CACGTCTCAAGCCACCACGCTCTGGACTTCAGAGATCAGCAAAAGCTCTCAGGGTATTAACTTGTTGCCAAGGGTTCCAGGGTTCAATTCCACCCTTTGCAGACACCAAAGAGCTCATAGAGCGGGAGTTGTTACTGATCAGCGAGTGCCGAACCGTTCTTGTTGCAGATTTGCAATGGCTGATTAGACAGTGGTCCACATGAATTAAGCAGAGAAGGGCCACTTGCTACTTGTCGATGAGACGATTCATCCGGATTGGCGACGCCAAGTATTTAGATCTGGACTACAAGCATATACGAGGCAGAAACACTTTCACCAATCGTGTATCACCATGCGGAATGAGGTGTTCAGCTATGCAGGACTCTAACGTTGTCTTTATGTTGTGGGCGTTCCATTCTTACAATCTTACAGAGTCAAATTTTCTATTTGTTGGCGGCTAAGCATATCCTAACCGCTTGGCTTCGGACTTGATGAGATCGGGGATCTCATCCAATAGTGCTGTGCCACAAGGCTTCCATTTCAATTGCGCCTGGGCTCGAGATGATGTTAAGATTGCATTGGTACCCCAAATAGCAGCTGCATGGGTGCTCATCTGATTCGCTTCCGCTGCGGTGATTTCATCCAAATCTGTTGTCTCGATGAACTTTTGTTCCACTGCTTCTTTGGCAATGGCGGAATAAAGCTCACCAAATGACTGGACGAGTTAGAGGTGGTGGCTGAATGTTCGATTCCAACTCACCAATTTGCCATTTTCGGGGAAGTAAAGACCATTCTGGTTCCACACTTGACTATCTCCTGCCAGGGCTGCGTCTAGGAGAGCAACGAATAACCGGCCTAGGTCATGGATATGAACGTTACCCCAGACATTTTGGCCCTTGCCCAGTCGGAAACCTTTCTTCCTCTCGAGCGTCAAGCGAGCGATCTCAGGAGCTTGTATACTTCGTTGGTTCACTGGACCATCACCCTTGCCATGTATGCACGGTCCAGCAATTAGGGCTGTGCGAACCACAGAATCTTCCTGTGCGATGACCAAGTTGTCTACAGCTCTTGTAGGATTAGCAGTGATGAGTGAGCGTACGCTCTCATCGTCGTGAAAATCGTCATATGACTTGTCTGAGGCTTCGCCGTATCGGCCTTCTTTGATTTCTGCTGCCGCGACCATGGTCGCCCCTGACATCTGTAGCCAGTAGCCCGGATGTTTCCTCGATGGACCGCTTAGCCCTTTCAGGATGGCTCTTGCACTACCTATATGGTTGGTGCTTGCAAGATCTGCCGATGTCAGTGCAAACCTGACAAAAAGTTGCTGCAACTCATACGGAGTACGACATCGGCACCTTTAGCCTCATTCTCGATTACTTCAGTATTGTCGAGGTCTCCCGGAATGATCTCAATGTCCGGATATGCCTTCCTCAATATCGAAGCTTTGGCAGAGTCACGATTCAAAGCAGAGATCTTGACATTCGGCCTCAACGTTGCAACTTGATGAAGGACTTCCCCGCCAATATATCCCGTTGCACCTGTACTTCTCCAATCAGTACGGCAATGATCAGATGTGTTTCTGTCTCACATGAATACTTTGCCCATGGTTGAACTTCTCTGTGGGAGCTTTCGACGGCTCAAGTCGGCTCGAAATATGCAGTGCAGGATACCTCTTTACTACAGGTTTGGGAGGCGGTACAGTAATAAGTCGTTGTTGGATCTGCTTGCCCCCGGGCGCAAGTTTATGTCAGCGGCGAGTTTCTCCATCTGTTGGGTTCCCATTTGAGTCAGTCTTTCCGAGCTGATGACCAATGACTCCGCAGAAGCAACACTTCACCTTATCGCAACAGTGCATACATACTCGTTTGATCGACTCCTTTGTCCCTCATGCCCCCCGTTTCGGGAGGAATGAAAATGAATGTGGATAGATTTTGTTGGTCCGATCATTTGATTCTTCAGCAGAATTACTAAGAATTATTGAGTCTCCTCGCGTGGGCGATGACAAATATGAGATCCAAGAAGAGACCTCGAAGGACTCATGTTCTCGGAGGGTGTGCATCATGCCGGAGACGTCATCTCAAATGCGACAAAATCAGACCAGCGTGCCTTACGTGCAGAGCGGTTGGCCTTGTTTGCGAAGGGTACTCAACAGAGTTGAAATGGATGACTGAAGATTCAGCCACTCAGCCTGTCCGAAGGCATCTTTACAATGGTATTGATAATGTACGATGTTTAGGGGGTCGACTAATCTTTTACAGAGGAATCTATGGCCTCGATGAGCACTTCAATGACTGCCAGGATACCCTCCGATGATCTTGATGCTTCCCTGGCCAGACTTGATGCACGAGTGAAAGATGTCAATGGTGCAGACAATCATGGTAATGCGGAAGGACCTTTTGGAGTTATTGATTTTCGTGCCTCCGAGACTTTTCCGCCTCGCGAGACCATATCTGAGCAGGTCGATCCCGAGAGGCCGGACCCTAGCTTTGGTGAAGTCCTGGACGATAGTCCTGTAACGGAAGGCCTGCTAAGTAACCCGAACGACTTCCTTGGTTGGGCAGACCTTCTTGCACTTGATTTCGACAATGATGTCTTCTTTTCCGAAGCCCCATTCCCGTCCGAGTCGCAGAAGTTAAATTCAGTGATTGCGAATGCCGGGTCCTCTCGTCCAATAGGTGACTTTGAATACCTACAAGTCCCCAATGATGGCCTAGTTGATCCGACAACACCGTCTCCGCCAGGATCAATCGACCTGACATCCCCCACAATTCAAAATCTGCTGAAATACTTTAGAGACCAAGTTATTCCCAAGTTTTCTGCCATTCCAGAAGGCCATAAATCTCCTTGGAAGATCTTGAATACAACAGCCGCTGTACAGACCTTGGCTGAGATGACATATTTGGGCGGCGTTGGTGTGAAGCACGCGAGTTTGGCAAATTTGTACGCTGTCCTTGCGATTTCAGCTCACGTTCTAGGACGTGCACCAGAAGACTCTTTTCATACCGCAGACTATTGGCAACAGCTCAGCACGCAAGCAAGCAATCAAGCAAAAGCACACCTTCAGATATCTCTCCAGCAGGAGACACAGGGGATTGGGAAATGTAAATATAAGGATCAATTGATGATGATCATTGCGATGGCAGCATACGCGGTACGTTATTCGTTTTTGACCTAGTGATATTCATTGATATCGACAAGATTCTCACAGCCCGACAAGCCGAGGCTCGGTGTTACATGATTGATGCGGAGCGTCTTCTTCGTATACGGGGTCTTGCAAAACGAAATATATCTCGAAAAGCACGGATGCTACACCATGTTTACACATGGTTGAGAATTGTTGGTGAGAGCACCTATGTGCTTCACGATTATCAGACGCTGGAAACATTGGTCGAAAAAGCCCTTCCGCAGGACTCGAGATCATCAAAGGAATCACGCAGTAGTTTTGGGGTTTCGCGCTCGGGCCACAATGCAAGGCTGGACGACTTTCTGCGGCTTGATGCAGACCAGGCTGAAGATGATACCGATTTGGAGGAACACAAAGATCGTGAGACTGGTCTGCTAGACATTCATCTCGAGGATACCCGCGAGGATTCCGAATCTTTGTACCTACAGATATACGGTGTCTCTGAAACTTGGCTAACACTTGTCTCGCAGACCACTCGACTGGCTAATATCATAGATACCATCAGGTTTAGTGGAGTCACGAAGAGTGTGAACATAATGCAATCTTTGGAGAGAAGGAAAGAGCGCCTTGAGAATATGGTCTGCTCGTTTGCTGCCAAATCTCCGAGGCCATTAAAATTCCTCGAATCTGACGAACAGTCACAACGAAATCAAATCGAGCAGAGCCCAATTGGTTGTATGATACGGGCCTTGAACGCCTCACTGGTCATATTCTTCTATCGGCGTGTCAGAAATGTCAATCCATGGATTTTGCAGGTCCACGTTGACGCTGTGATAGAATCTCTACAGGATTTTGATGCTGCCCTTGCGGCACGAAACCTTACTGGTCCAGGCACTGTCTGGCCCGCTTTCATAGCTGGTTGTGAGGCTCTCACAGAAGCTCGCAGAGAAAGACTAAAGCATTGGATGGAGAAAGGTTTTGCCATAAGTGGCTTCGCAGCTTTCAAGGTCGCTCAGGAAACGATGATGGATGTTTGGAGCAAACGTGATATGGCAGGTAACAAGACTTCTCCCGGCACGTCAAGTGGTAAGGATTATCGCACTAGCGTAACGTGGATGGATGTTTTAAGAGAGCGGAGCCTTTGGCTTATGCTTGGGTGAGACGTTGCTTTATATTCTAATCGAACTAGCGTGGTGATTGGGAACTTAATATGCCGTGTTTGGGCTCAATACGACGAAACTCATGCCTCTGCAATGCTATCCGAGTACAAGAATACTTTTTCTGCCATCCAAACTACCCGAGATAAGAGCTGGCCGAGACTCCCTACGCACGAATTTCCAGCCTTCTCGAACCACGCACCTTCCTCGCCGCCTATTCCTCGGCAACCTGTAGGCCAGCTGCAACAAGGATCGTCCTAAGCTCGGCTCTAGCTTCGTCCTTCAACAGGGAGAATGGCGCGCGCACACCACCAGTCTTGAAGCCCTGTATCTCCATGGCAGTCTTGACAGCCGACGAGTAATTATGCTGTTCGAGAAAATGGCAGATCGGGAAGATCTTCTCCCACAGACTGCGTCCGAGTTCCAGATCTTTCTTCACACTGATAGCATCCCACAGTTGGAAAGATAGCTCCGGGATGATATTGGATGCACCCCAGACACATCCTTTAGCGCCCAAAGCTAAGCCGTTGAATGTCAGGGTGTCCCAACCATTGAAGGCCGTGATCTTGTCGGAATGCGCGCAGACCACTTCCGTATATGACGGTGCATTCCTGGATGTGTCCTTGAGATATTGTACACCAACTTCCGACAAGCCGGCAATCTGCGAAGGAGTGAGCGCCGAGCCGCTCGCGGCGGGGATATGATAGTAGACGATGGGCAAGTTGGAGGCATTTGAAACATCGGACAGGAATTTCCGCAACTGCTCATAATTGGGGGCGTCGTAGAACGGTGGCACGACCATCAACGCCCCTGCACCAGATTCGGCCGCGTGGACGGAGAGCTCCAGCACTTCGCGCACATTGGTGCTTCCTACGCCCACGACAACGGGCACTCGACCGGCGGCGTACTTGACGCACAACGCGGCCAATTGCTTTCGCTCGTCGATATCCATGGCAGCGAACTCCCCTGTCGAGCCACCGGGGACGAGACCGTGGCAGCCAGCATCGATGATGTGGTCGATATGTGCCTTCAGCCTGCCCTCGTCGATCTTGCTTCCGTCGTCGGTGAACGGCGTGATTAGTGCGACGAGCACGCCGTGGAGCTCAGGATGCTTTTGCAGTTCTTGGACCATGATGACAGTGGATTTTTTCTATGGTTGCTTTGGAACAGTAGTTCGATGTAGGTTTTGAGGATTGATCAGGCGCTTTGTTGGATAGACATGTATGAAAAGGAAGCAGACTGCTCTTGATAATCGCCTTATTTCTACCATAAAGACTGTCTATGAATCGATGTCATCCACTCTTTTCGTCACTCATCCAGAACCAAGAACTGAATGCTTTCCCTCGGTCTTCCACGCATATCAATGTTGGAGATGCTTTCCGACCTTCTAAACCAAGTCCAAGTCGTATTTGCAAGCCGGTGCAGACACAAGCCAATCAGAAGGGGCGATTTGCGACCATTTTGGGACATCATCTCCAAATCAGGCTAGCCTGAGACTTCCTGCTTCATTCTGCTTTTGGAATGTTACTCCGGCAGGGCGTCTTTGGAACTTCTGGAGGAGTTGAATGCCAAATGACATGGGTATCTCAGCAAGGAGCGGGTTTCTAGGGAGAGAATGGTCGGACGACAGATAGCAGAGTTCAGTATGTACAAGATCCGAGCTTGCATTCTGGATGAGATGTTCTTTGCCGATCATCACACGACTACTTTTCATTCCGATAAGCATTCTTCTCCCTTGGAGATATCGACAGTTTGGCGCTCAAAATACCTCTAGGCCTTTATTTGTCTCAAGGTCTCTGCTCTCATATCTTGCCACCGTGTTCAACGTCTACCAGCGATATCCACGGAAGAAGAGCCTCAAATTTGTGATAACAATGGCAAATCGAGCCCCGACCCTCGACCCTTTGGTACACTCTATATCAGACCTCGAGAAATATGGCAGCGCAAGCCTTCCACCAGCCTATCGTGGTAAGGCCAAGTTTTGAGCGATATAGTGATTTCCGCAGTTTAATGACTTTACAGATTATTACAATGAGGGAGCGATGGACTTGGTAACGTATGCCCCTAGAGGATAGCCAGAACATCTTACCTCATCGATAAAGGCTGACAAAGCCCAGACTTTACGACAACGTTGCTGCCTATGACCGATACAAGATTCGACCACGGATACTGCGAGATGTATCTAAGATAGATACATCCACGACACTGTTTGGCCAGCGGGTGGGTATGCATTGCATTTGTGGAATATCTCCTTTGCGTCTCGTATGGCTGATTCTCCACCTGGACGTACTTATCAGGTCACATTTCCCTTGGGCTTCAGTCCTTCGGCAATGCAAAAGCTGGCGCACGGAGATGGAGAGCTTGGAACTTCCCGAGCAGCTGCTTCGATGAACGTCGCAATGTGCCTCTCGTCATATTCAAACACTGCCTTGGAGGATGTGATCAAGGTCGGTGCCAGTAATCCATACATAATTCAGATGTGTGTCGTCAGAAATCGCAACATCACCGCACAGCTACTGAGGAGGGCCGAAGGTACGAGTACTGAGCATTCATCCATTCTTTGCACAGCCGAGTTTGCATGAGCGTTCTGTCATTCGTCGACTTATGGGACAGCGTACATAAAACACTAATTTTCACCCCATACAGATGCCGGCTTCAAAGCTATATTTGTTTCTGTCGACGTCCCCGTGCTTGGGAGGAGGTTAAACGAAATGCGAAATAATTTTACCCTACCTGAAGATCTTACTTTCCCCAATATACTCTCCTCCGGAAGCTCAGAATTTTCAGATGAAGGTGGCGACGGCAATGACTATGGTTGGTCCTTTTGAGCTAGAAACGCATGACATGGCGCCTGCTGACTACTTTCCAGATGCATCGCTAGAATGGTCGGAAATCATCCCTTGGTTGAAAAAGAACACGAAGATGCAAGTCTGGCTGAAAGGGGGTAAGTAACCCACGCCTATCCTCTCCCTGACACCTTTTGAACTTGGCAGTTGCACGAAGCCGTGACTCTGACCCAACACTACTCCAGTCCTATCACCCGACGACGTAGAGCTTGCGATCCACCATAAAGTGGACGGCATCGTCATCTCAAACCATGGAGGACGTCAACTCGACGGAGCGCCCTCAACGCTTGACGCTCTTCGCGAATGCGCGCCGATTGCTCGGGGTCGCATCCAAATCGCCGTGGATGGCGGTATACGACGTGGGTCAGACATCTTCAAAGCCCTTGCCCTGGGCGCACAGCATTGCTTTGTTGGCCGTATCGCTATATGGGGACTGGCATATAACGGACAGGCTGGTGTGGAGTTGGCGCTGAAGACCTTGTTGTCGGAGTTCAAGGTCACCATGGCACTAGCTGGTTGCAAGACTGTTGCTGAGATAAGTGAACGCCATATCTCTGTGTTGAGGAATGATGGACTGCTTTGTAAGCTTTGAGTATGCTGGGACGATGAGTTGAATAGAATGTATTATTCTTCGACCAGCGAGGAGTATCTAGTGCCTGTTCAGCATTAACATTGAGTACGTCATTCAGCATTTATACTTGAACGGTAACAAACAAGAGAAAAGTGGAGCATGTTAAATTGAAATATTATCACAAGGACCACTGGACATTGTATCTGTTGGTTTTCCCCGCTTAGTATTGTGACATCGAAGGTATGATCATATCAAAATCGTCGAACAACTGACAGCACGTGGGCCGAAAGCTTTACACTCCTCCAGGCTACCTGCTGAGCCAGCAACAGCATCTGCAGTCTGTGTGCTCGAAACGGGAAGCCCTAAACTGCGGATGATGCAGGTATACATTCGTATTGAAGAAACCCTGGCGTGCTATGGCCTCATATCTGACCATGGTGGACTCCTTCATCTCAACACCCGAGAGTGGCTCCTCGCTGGGAAGAACATGCAGATCCCTTCGGGATAGATCACCAAGAGTGTTGCGAGGACGAAAGACCGACTGGATTCTAGATGACCATCAAAGCAGAATGGCATGTGCATTCGGGAGATGAGTTGGCCAATCATGTCCAGACTGTCCGGTTTGGGACATCTTCTTCGTGTAGCCCGTTGAAGAGGAAACACTTTCCGAAATCCACCATGGCTCGCCCCTTGCCATCGGAGAGCGTCTAGAGTATACTGTTAACTCCGTCAGACTTTGATAACAACGAGCTCTGGTATGGCTGTCGTTTCCCATATGGCTCACGGGTATATAATAGACCCACCATATCGGAGCTCGATGAGATGTATTCTCCATTCTTCATCCACAACACAATAGGTCAGTGGCTCCATACTTCGACACAATGCAAGAAAGCTCAGAGGAGAGCATGGACCTCAAGATGAAGAACGAAATCACAACGGACTTGGAGGCTGTCGGGCCATTCACGTCCAACATCGAAGCTAGTGCCACGCCACTGGAACGCACGTCGACCAAGCGTGGCCTCAAGAGTCGGCATGCACAGATGATAGCCCTGGGTGGCACCATCGGCACGGGCCTCTTCGTCGGTTCAGGACAAGGACTCAGAATGGGCGGACCGGTATTCCTCGTGGTCGCATATTCCCTGATCACCGTCATGGTCTTCGGTATCGTCACAGCGACAACGGAGATGAGCTCATACCTTCCGGTGCCAGGTTCGTCCGTGGCATATTATGGAAAGCGGTACTTCTCCAGTAGTATGGGCTTTGCCCTCGGTTGGATGTACTGGTATATCTTCTCGATCACCGTGCCGGCCGAGATTACTGCGGGGACGTTGGTGATTCAGTACTGGAGTCCGCCAGTGCACAATGCCGTTTGGATCACTATCCTCATGGTTGTCATTGTCGCCTTGAACGCATTGCCTGTTCGCTTTTACGGCGAGACCGAGTTTTGGTTTGCTTCGATCAAAGTCTTTGGCATCATCGGCTTGCTCATCATGGCATTGGTTCTCGTTCTTGGGGGCGGGCCAAACCATCAAAGATTAGGATTTCATTATTGGAACAACCCGGCTCCGATCAATGACTACCTGGTGACTGGCTCTTCGGGAAAGCTATGTGCTTTCCTTGGAACGACGATATTTTCGATGTATGCGTTCGCTTTCGCGCCGGAATTGCTTGTCGTCACGGGAGGTGAGATGGAATCGCCACGACGCAACCTCCCAGTAGCAGGAAAAAGGTACTTCTATCGCCTGGTCGTCTTCTATGTGTTGGGCGTCTTGGCCATCAGTATGATCGTTCCAAGTGATGATCCAAAGCTTCTTGGTGGCGGCAGCGGTGCCGGATCATCCCCTTGGGCGGTGGCTGTAAAAAATGCCGGAATCGCCGGCCTAGACTCGGTCATCAATGCAATCATCCTCACCTCAGCCTGGTCCGCTGGAAACTCATACCTGTACATGGCAAGCCGTGCACTGTACTCGATGGCGGTTGCTGGATCAGCACCGAGGATCTTCATGACATGCACTGGGTCAGGAATCCCTTACTATGCCGTGGCCGCAAGCGCGTCTTTCAGTTTGCTGTCATACCTGAATCTATCCAGCACCGGAGCGACAGTCTTCAACTGGTTTGTCAATCTAATAAACACAGGTAGGAAATCTCTCCTGGGCTCACATATTTTGTTCACAAACTGACGCTCGTCTCGATAGGTGGTTTCACTAGCTGGGTAGCCGTTTGTGTGATCTACTTGCGGTTCAGAAAAGCCACACTGGTGCAAAATGTTACAGACCTTCCTTACCGGTCAAAATTCCAACCGTACATGGCGTACATCTCTGGAACATTCTTCTTCATGCTTCTCCTGTTGAATGGCTTCAAGGTCTTTGTGCATGGATACTGGAATGCATCAAGTTTCCTGACTTCTTACATCGGCATCCCGATCTTCCTGTTATTCTTCTTTGCCCACAAATTCCTTCGTGCAAGGAACGAACCATGGATGATACCGTCTGACGAAGTGGACCTGTACTCTGGTTTGGACGAGATCATTGCCAACGAAATGCCACTTCAACGGCGTGAGAAGTGGTATCAGAAGTGGAGAGCTGTGTTTGAGTAACTGGTTGGAAGATTTCCAGAGCAGACAGATCGACGTCAGTCATGAAGTTGAAGTCATTACGTAGGTATTCAAAATTCATGATTGGCTCAGAGCAATTATCTTGCTCATTTTTTGTGTTATTCAATAGTCGGTTTCTTCGCAACTGCAGCCGAAGCGAACAAGGCAATGAAAAAGAGATAGCAAACTAGAAGACCGAATTCAGTTTGATGAATCATAGGCTCATCCTGCTAGGAAAATATCCATGTTTGTTGTTCTGGTTGATACAGTCCAGAGTTAGACCACCCAGAAGATTCAACACTTCACCACAACCTAGCTGCCCACATTTTCTTGGGTACGAAGAGTACAGACTGAGCTGGAGTATAGTAGGATGAAGTGTACGTCTGGTGGTTGTGGTGAGATACCCGAACTCCTTCGAACCCAAGCTATTCTTGCTGCAGAACAATGCCATATTAGATGCGAGCGGGGATATCTGTGGTAGGAAAATCAGGAGCCGATATCTTCATACTTGGCGGCGACAGCACTCTAACCTGACTTCTTCTCAATCAGGTTAAGAATGTCCTTTTCGATGTTTTCCGGTTTTGTGAGACTGGCATATCGTTGCACGACCTTGCCATCTGCATCGATGAGGAACTTCTCGAAGTTCCACTTGATTCGCTTCATGCCCAAGAGACCTGGTTTCTCAGCCTTCATCCATTCAAAAACAGGCTCTGCCTTGTTGCCATTGACTTCGGTCTTGCCCAAGACGGGGAATGTGACACCATAGTTGAGCTGACAGAATTCGTGGATTTGTTCATTGGAGCCAGGATCCTGACCACCGAATTGGTTGCACGGAAACCCGATGATGACGAATTTGTCAGGGTGCTTCTCTGAGATGGTCTTCCACACCTTCTCGAGACCGGCGAATTGAGGAGTGAAACCACATTTCGATGCAGTGTTGACGGCCAAAACGACCTTGCCTTTATGCTGTGAGAGAGGATACTCCTTGTTGGCCCTATCCTTTGGTGTGAACTCGAAAAATGAGGTTGCGGATGCCATGGTGATAGTGGATTTGGTGTTAGTTGCGAATGGTCGTTGGAAACAATTGGTTGCGATGGACTGATGTTGGAAGGTGAGCCTGGAAGAGCCAAGATGGAAGGCCTTCGGCGTTGAAGTAGTTGTCAATCGAATGGCCACCTGACTCACCGTATGAGAGCCTTGCATAAATGGTGGATACCTCGGTTCGGAATTGAAATCGCAGTTGTGCAATTCGTTTAAAATGAAGCACAACCAGTTTGGAATGTCGTTGAAAACGAGGAGAATTTGGAATACTTTTGCAACTTCCGAGGCTCGTGATGGTGACGCAATGCTTTTGAGACTGCAACTCCGAGTCACACATGTTACACCCCACCTGCTCACGGGCCGCGGATTATCCGAATACGCGCATGTGATCCCACGTGATAGATAAGATATGATTATCTCAACAACTCGAGCTCAGAGTTTGACGCCTTTCTTTTCAGATGAATTTACTCTACAATCTTATTGACACCAACCCATACCACCGAATAGCACTCATTACTTACCCTTTCCAGCATCCTCTTTTGCAACCTTCTCAGCAGGTGTTGACTCGTGGTCTGCTCTGATCTACAGAGACATAGTACGCCAAGTTAGATAGAGCTCATGAAATGATTAGTCATTGACTCCTCCTCTTTCCACGGCTGCCAGGTGCATTTACATAGCTGATACCCCAGTTCCTGGGGAAATCCAACCAAGGCAAAAACAGGTTAATACTCACATCAGCTTCACTCAATGTAGCATTCTCCTCCGTCCAGTGCCGATTGCCCTTTGCATCAGCCAGTTTCTGCTGCGTCAGTGCTGCTTCAGGATGTTTCTTCAGGTCTGCGGCTCGTTCGGCACGCGCGATTGCTGTTGGATAGCGCTGTGTAAGTGTAGGGGTGTATTGCCGTATTTGAATTTGAGAATTTAGTGTGGGTGTAGGCCGGAGGCTTGTTGTGAAGCGAGGAAGACGCATTGTGAGTGATATCAATCGTTGTTATTGAGATGCGGCGGCAATGGAACTGATGGCAAGGGTCGATTATCGTTGCGAAAAATAATGGCTGAATTAGGTAACTTTCGACTATTCTGTGGCCGTGATATACGGGAAAGAAGAAAAGGGATGAAGACTTGAAGCTAGGGAACGATAGATCTTTTCATCCTGCCACTCGGATATACACCTCTATGCAAAATTGAAGGGACAAGAAATTGCTATCTATGCCTCCAGGTTGTGACTACGTAAGAGATGGGATGGCACGGATAAGTGGTTACTCAGCGCCGGACAGGTCCAGACCCCGAGCTCGGACAATTTCCTCACGCATAAACGGATGATATTTTGTCTGGGATTCGGGGATATGGGTGGTGTGATTTGCAGCCTTGCAAACATACTTAAGTCTCCAAATGATTGCTTCGGAGGAGGCCGAGTATGACCGAGGATTGTCGACTTTGAAGTTTCGCTGAGTTAGAGGGGACTAGTGATGCCAAGATGACGCCAGAGATGTCTAGGGCAGGTATGCCGACCGGCAACAAATCAGAACTCCGATTGGACGATCGCCCCTCTCTCCAAAAAAAAAGTTCCAAATGCACCGCTTCGAAATTTCATGCCCGCACGAGTATCAACACAAAAGGCTGATGATGCTGTCCCAGTGGTAAAACGATACGTCTACATTTGAATTTGTCACGTCGGCATATCAGGCTGCTGAAACCTGCAGCTGAAAGATGTCCTCTGCTAAAAGGAAACTCGCGGTTGAGGAAAGCTCAAGCAAACCTGTGAGCAAGCGGTCCAAGCCTGACCCCAAGAAAGGCCTGGAGAAGTCTTCCAAGCCATCTAAGAGCGAGAAAGGCACCACAGCGCCTGCACAGAAAGCATCAAAACCCCTGTCCTCCTCTGTTCTCACCAAAGAACAGCCTGCATTCCCTCGAGGCGGTGCTGGTCTCCTCACCCCGGTCGAACGTAAACAGATTCAAGCAAAAGCCTCGCGAGATGCGGTGAAGGAGTTCAAAAAGTCGCAGGATCTTTTTGGTGGTTCCAGATCAAAAGATGAAGACACATCCGACGAAGGAGCAGATTCAGCGTCCGAGCCGGAAGTCGCTAAACCTGAAAAAAAATCTCGCAAAGAGAAGGCCCGCAAGAAGAAGTCAGACGTTGAGGAACTTGAAGTCCGCATTGGCGGCTTGAGCTACAAGAGAATTACCACAGGGTCACTAGTTCTCGGTCAAATAAGTGCTATCGGTAACAGATCCTTGACTGTGGGGTTACCCAACAACTTGGTTGGCTTTGTACCCATCACATCAATATCTCCACAACTTAGCAACAGGATCCAGTCTCTACTCGATGAAGGCATCGACAATAATGAGGCTAGCGGCGGCGATGAAGATGAGGACGACGAGAAGGACGTCGTTCTGTCTGATTATTTCCGAGTCGGACAATTTCTCCGCTCATCGGTCACCTCGACCGAACAGGAACGTTCAGGACCCAAAACGCAATCACGAAAACGAATAGAGCTGTCCATCGAACCTGTGTTGACCAACGTCGGTCTGAATCAGACAAATCTAGTCTCAGGCGCTACTGTGCAAAGCTCGGTCACCAGCGTTGAAGACCACGGTCTCGCGGTGGATTTGGCATTGGAACAATCTAGTGCTCGAGGGTTTATCCTTAAAAAGCATTTGCCTAGAGGCGTTTCCTTGTCTGATGTCAAGCCTGGGGCGGTTTTCCTATGCACTGTACTCGAGACCAGTTCCAACGCCAAGGTGATTAAACTTTCTGCCGATCTCTCTGTTGGAAGTACTTTGAGGACTGCGCCAACAGTGGACACCTTCCTTCCCGGTACTAAGGCAGAGATTTTGATCAGTCACAAAACAGATGCTGGAATCGCTGGGAAAGTCATGGGCCTCCTCGATGTGACGGCAGATGTTGTCCACTCGGGGTCCTTTAAGGATAGGGAGGCATTCAATGCAAAGTACGACATTGGTGACAAGATCATTGGACGTCTTATCTGCTCTTTCCCTTTGTCAGATCAAAAAGCGCTAGGATTCTCCTTGCTAGAGCATCTGTCGGATATCAAAGCAGTTGAGACATCTGATGATACACGCAACAAGCTATCAATTTCAACCATCATCAAATCTGCCACCGTGATTCGAGTGGAGCCTGGCCTGGGCATTTATGTTCAACTTGGTGGGGATGCCGTTGGATTCGCTCACGTGTCACGACTGTCAGATAAGAAGGTTGAATCTCTTTCAGAGTTGACTGGTGCCTATAAACTTGGTTCAGAGCACAAGGCGCGGATACTCGAGTATAACTCTCTTGATGATCTATACATTGTGTCTCTACAACCGAGCGTCCTTCAACAAGCCTTTTTGAGAGTTGATGATGTTCCTGTGGGTGCCGTGGTCAAGGTCAAGATTGAGAAGATACTCATCAATGCCGACGGCGTTAACGGTTTGATCCTTAACCTGGCGGAGGGCGTTACTGGGCTCGTACCTCAGACTCACATGTCTGATGTCGAATTAAAGCACCCGGAAAGAAAATTCAAGGAAGGGCTAACAGTTACAGCAAGAGTCATGTCCAAAGATGTGGTCAGACGACGCCTGAGACTTACTTTGAAGAAGGCTTTGGTCAATAGTGACCAAAAAGCCTGGATGAGCTATGATGATATTGAAGTTGGTAATTCAACAGTAGGCACTCTCGTCAAGGTTGACCGGGCAGGTGCAATCGTTCAATTTTTCGGCTCCGTGAAAGGATTTTTACCTGTCTCGGAAATGAGTGAAGCTTTCATCAAGGATGCTACCGAGCACTTTCGAGTGGGACAAGTTCTGACAGTCAATGCTATCAGTGTTAATCCGGCCGAGAAACGCCTGACAGTGACTTGTCGAGATGTCAATGCTGCCAATCCCTCAACTGAAAACACCTTTGCCGAGCTTCAAGCAGGAACAATCACGAATGGTACGGTATTCGAGAAATCACAAAATGACATTTTGCTTCGGTTGGAAGGATCTGATGCGATTGCACGTCTCATTCTGGATCACGCTTCTGATGGATCATTGAAGAAGCGAGAATCGGCATTTTCTAAGATCAGAGTTGGCCAACGACTTCAAGATCTAGTTATCCTGCAAATCCAGGCAAAGAGACGACTTGTTCTAATATCCAATAAACAAAGTCTCGTCAAAGCAGCTTCAGATGGAACCCTTCTGAAAAGTTATGAACAGCTCACGGAGAATGGGACATTCACCGGGTTTGTGTCGAACATCATGGATGATGGGGTATTTTTGAGCTTTGCCGCCGGAATCAGTGGCCTGATACCCCGAGGTCAAGTACCTGTTGACAATGAGAACCAACCAGACTTTGGGATGACAAAACTTCAGCCAGTTACAGCTCGCGTCACAAACATCGACTACAAAGGTGCTACGCCTCGTTTCTGGCTAACCATGAGAGAAGGAGGATCGAAACCTGTCCCGACTCCCTCTAAGAAGCCCGAACCCCAAGCCGAAAACACCTCTGTCGTTAATCCCGTTGATCCGACTATTACCGCATGGAGCGACTTTCACGTGGGCAGGGTCACCAAAGCAAGAATTATATCAATCAAGGACACCCAGATCAATGTGGAATTAGCCAAGGATGTTCAAGGCCGAATTGACGCTTCCGAAGCCTTTGACAAATGGGAAGATATCAAAGATCGGAAGAAACCACTCAAACAATTTTCCGCTAAACAAGAGCTCTCAGTCATGATCATTGGAGCTCATGACACGAGAAATCATAGATTCTTGCCGTTGACGCACCGAGCTTCGAAGAACACTGTTTTCGAACTTACGTCAAAATCAAGCGCTATCGCAGACCCCAAGAATGCAAGCCTCTCATTGGAAAGCATGGCGAATGGTTCCCGTTGGCTTGCGTTTGTGAACAACATTTCCGACTCTGGTCTGTGGGTCAATATATCGCCTTCTATCCGTGGCAGAATCCGTGCGACAGATGTCTCAGATGATTTGTCTTTGGTTGCAGACCTCCAGACCAATTATCCTCTCGGGTCTGCTCTTCGTGTTCAAGTCATATCCGTTGATGTTGAAAAGAACAGGCTGGATTTATCCGCCAAATCTGACAGCGCCGCAAGCTCACTAAGTCTTGAGAGCATTTCTGCAGGACTAGTGTTGCCAGGTCGTGTCACCAGAATCAGTGATCGCAATATCGTCGTTCAACTGAGCGACCAAGTTGTTGGAGTTGTGGATTTGATCGATATGGCAGATGATTACAACGAATCCAATCCGGCAAAGTATGAGAAGAATGACGTACTTCGAGTCTGCGTGCTGAAAGTAGATGCGCCAAACAAGAAGGTCACATTATCTGTACGACCATCCAAAGCCCTCAGTTCGTCATTTCCAGTGACAGACCCAGAGATTACGTCTGTTAAACAACTCGCTGTTAACGATGTGGTTCGTGGTTTCATCCGTAACGTTGCAGACAAGGGCGTTTTTGTGACGCTGGGCCATGGGGTTACTGCATTTGTCAGGGTCTCGAATCTTTCCGACAGCTATTTGAAAGAATGGAAGAATCATTTCCAGAGAGATCAATTGGTGAAGGGGAAGATAATATTCCTCGATGAGGCTTCAGGCAATGTCCAACTCAGTTTGAAGGAATCCGCTTTGGACCCAAAATACAAAGCTCCGTTAGTATTCAACGATCTCAAGCTCGGAGAGATTGTTACGGGCAAGGTTGTCAAAGCCGAGGCATTTGGTGTCTTCATTCTTGTTGACAACTCCGAGAACGTTCGTGGCCTCTGTCATCGCAGTGAGATTGCTGAACAGCGAATTGAAGATGCCAGCAAGCTTTTCAACGAAGGAGATAAAGTGAAAGCCAAGGTGCTCAAACTGGATGCTGCCAATCGAAAGATCAACTTCGGGATGAAGGCGTCGTATTTCGCAGATGAGAATGACGTGGATGATGATGCCGACTCCGATGGTGTTAGCGTAGATGAAGGCGGAGTTGACCTTGACATCGGAATGGAAGACGTTGACGAAGTCGCCGCTGACGAAGATGAGGAGGAGGATGATGAGGAGAACGAGGACGAGGTCAATCACGGGGAGAGCGCAGACTCGGATATCGAAGCGGATGATTCTGAAGATGAAGCAACCTCTGCTGCTCTCACATCCACACAGCCAAAGGGACTCAACGTCGGCGGCTTCGACTGGTATGGCCTGTCGGAGCCCACGTCATCCAGTAAACGCGCAGCGGCAACCTCCGACTCTGAAGACGACGAGGCCCCAACCGCGAAAACAAGCAAGAAAAAGAGGAAGAGAGCTGATATCCAAATCGACCACACAGGCGACTTGGACCGTGACGGCCCTCAATCCATCGACGACTACGAACGCCTACTGCTCAGCGAACCGGACTCCTCCCTCCTCTGGCTCCAGTACATGGCGTTCCACCTGGAGCTCGGCGACGCGGACCATGCGCGCAGCATTGGCGAGCGCGCGCTGAAATCCATCGGCCTGGGCCAGGAAGCGGAGAAGCTGAACGTGTGGATCGCGCTGCTGAATCTGGAGAACGCCTACGGCGACGACGAGTCCATCGACGCCATCTTCAAGCGTGCCTGTGAATACAACGACCCACAGGATATCTACTCCCGCCTCGCGAGCATCTACATCCAGTCCGGCAAGCGCGACAAGGCAGATGATCTCTTCCAACGCATGCTCAAGAAATTCACCCAGGACCCCAAGGTCTGGATCAACTATGCGACGTTCCTGTTCGGAACTACCGCCGAAGCTGATTCCAGTGCCACCACCAACACCGACACGGCCGCTGGTGCGGACAAAGCGCGCGCCCTCCTCCCCCGCGCGCTACAGACCCTCCCGAAACACACGCACTTCGACCTGACCCTGAAATTCGCACAGCTCGAATTCAAGCAGAGCGGCAGCGGCACGGGTGTGCCGGAGCGCGGCCGCACGATCTTCGAAGGCCTGCTCAGCGCGTTCCCGAAGCGCGTCGACCTCTTCAATGTGCTGTTGGATCTAGAGCTGAAGCTCGACGACAATGAAGCAACGGTGCGTGCGCTCTTCGAGCGCATCTTCGCCGGCCCCAGGAAATTGAAGCCCAAGCAGGCCAAGTATTTCTTCAAGCGGTGGTTGGCGTTTGAAGAGGGTGTGGGCGGTGCGAACGAGAGGCGTGTCGAGGAGGTCAAGGTCAAAGCGGCGGAGTGGGTTAGGAGCAATTAGCTTGTTCGTTAGGAATTCGGCGGATTGCCGCCAGCAAAAAGGTTGGGCGGAGATGGATGTTTTACTCTATCGCGGTATTTATACAACGGGTATTATTAGTACGTACTGTGAGAAGAAGAAGTTGCCGGTCACTGAAATGGCCCACGTCTTCGACGATGAATGAAAGAATGATAATATCAGATGTTGTGGGATGCTTCAGACCAAGAGTCTAGGAAACCTTGAAGGAATTCTAATGTAGTGAGCGCCCCCGTCTGCTGGCCTTATGACTATATATGATCAGTTATAAATTTCGGTGTATATCATCGCAGTGTACTGTGCTGTAACTGAATTGAGGGGTCGCTAAGACAGGCAATCAATCAAAGCGAAATACTTCGTATAATCAAAAATGAATATCAATAATTTTCAGCATCTAGGTAGTATATCAGGGTATGTAATAAGAGTGACAAGAACCAAAAAAAACTGGTTATTTCGGGATCGGTTTTGTCGAGATCTTGACGCCGTAACTATGACGAACGCTGGACCAAACACTAGCCGAAACCTTTATGGGCAGTTTCCTACCCTTGAGTCGCTGATCAATCAGCCATAACCCGACGACGAATTCTTCCCGGTTGAGAGCCTTTGCGTCGGATGCGGCTACCAGGTCCCAGACTTCCTCCAAGACGTCGTGAGGAAGTCGACTGCGCTCCCAGATATCTCTCACCACTATATTGACCACTAGGTCACTGGCACCTTCGTGATCGAGATATTCGAGGTCATGGTTGATAAGGACCCCACGGTTACCGGCCCAAACACCTTCATAGCGCTTACGTTCTCGTTCCGTCACTTTATCACGCCAGCGTTTCCGATCACCCTCATGGTGCATGTTGGGATGTCGCCTCCAATGTCGCCGGCCACGCTTAGTAGTTCCCTCATCTTTGTCTTCTTGCTCAGGAGACGCATTGCGTAATGTATGCCGCATGGTTCGTGGAGCAGGTGGATCAAGTTTAGGGGTTTCTGCTCCAGTATGTAGTCCGAAAGTATTTTTACGATGCCTTGAACTGTCGAATAAGCCAACTGACTTGGACCGTCGCCGGGGTTTTGGTGGAGGTGGTTTCACCGCTGGAGAATGCATACGTGATGGAGCATGTGATGAGGCGACAGATCCTGCGACCATAGCATCTGCAAGTGCGTTGACGCTCATCTTTGGTCTGGGATCCCGTGCAGGCGATTGTGAATTGTGACTGGCCTTTTCCTGAGCAATCATAGCAGCACGTGCAGGACGCAATGGTATTGGAGCTGGGATGGGCTTCCTAACATGCTCAGATACTACATGAACCACATCACTTTCAGTGTCTGTATGTGGTGGGGTGACCTTGACTTGAGGCCCGTTGCCATGACTGGCTGCTGATTGCGCAAGGGATGATTCCCTTGGAGATGTACCGACATGATGTTGCTCACTCGAAGGGGAGAAAGCTCGTCTTGCCAACTCAAAAGCCGCCGCATTTCTGGTTGCCGTTGCTGCAGCGGCGGTTCCAGAAGCTGAAGGTGAAGGGGAGGATACTGTAGACGGATACAATGTGTGTAGGTTGGGTTGTGTTATAGTTCCAAATTCTTGTTTTTGTCTCTCTCCAGTTCTTTGTGCTGCAAGCTGGCTTGCAACGGCTGCCATTGATGCCGTGGCACCTGCAAGAGCATTTTGATCTCTGGGCTGGGGTTGTTGGGGGTCCGAATTACTGCTTGTACTCATTCCACGTTGCCGAGTGCTCATCAAGGCCTCCGCTTTTAACTGATATGATCCCGTTGTATCTCGTTTTAATTCGGGTCTCACAGGGCTCGTTCTTGCAGATGCGGCGACAGCAGCAACAGCAGATGTAGACCGCGGAGAGTGTGGTAAGAGTCCGGTCTTGGGAGGTGATATAGACGAGTGCTGGCTGGAAACAGAGATAGGAAGCCTCTCAGCTGTCAAAGCACGTCCACGGGGACCTGCAAGGTCGGAGGGGGCAGAGGACTCTTGCGGTAGCGGGGTCGGCTGTCTTCTCCCTGCAGCGGCAGCTGCAGCAAGTGCACCTGCAGATGGGTTTGAAATGGAGCTGGCATTGATAGGTTTCAAAAGTCCAGGCCCAAAAGCAGAAGCAGCCCCTCGCAAAGCCGGGGAAGAGACCGGCGAGGGCCTAGGGGAGGCAATAGCAACATTTTGCTGGATTGAGGAGGGTTTTGGCGCCACCAGTGGACGCACTGAGCGTTTCTCAGTCATCAATCCATCGACAGTTGGCTGAACAGAAATGTAGCAGCATCGAGGGACTCGGAGTGCACGGGAAACGAATGTGGGGGATGTGATGCGATTAGTAACGATAGGCAGAGGCCAGAGGGACTCTCATAATCAAATATTGACGTTGTGAAAAGACAAATGTACGGGTTTACAAGGTTCAAGAATGCAATATGGTGGGAACAAATGAGGTCTTCGTCAGCCTGAGTGAGCAAAGTGTGCAGGCTTCAATTCGGGGAGCGAGTGGTTGAGGCTGAGGCCGCAGCTGAAATGGAAACACCTGCACTGCACTTTCCTCAAGGTCTCCAGCACGTGACACCGCGTTGTAATTTACAGCGTCGCGTCTCACGCTGCCTGCTCGACGCGTCGAGGGGGCCACCGATTGGGGCCTGAGTTCAGACGTCATTTCAACGTCCTCGACAAAATGAGAATTGCACAACGAGCACTTACCACTCTCGAATTAAAATATGGCTATTTGAGACAACTGGCCCATCTGGCTACTTGGAAGCTCCCTAATTTTACAGCATCGATTCATACAAAATGTCTGACGATGAAGACATGGAGGTCGATCACGATGGCGAACTCGATGAAGTGGAAGAAGGCCTTGCCAAAATCCAACGTGATATTGAACAAAATTATCCCGATCGCCCTCGCAACAAAGGAAAAACACTTCTCTTTCATACATTGTTCAAAGATCTCTTCGATCCACTCATGCAGATCAATAAGGCGAAGAAACCTGGGCCAAATCAACGAAAGTTAGGTCCAGATGCTCGCTCCAACAAAACCCCCACCGAGCGAAAAAGAGCAGCCGTAGAACGGTATATCTCGAGATGGCGTCGTGATGTCGGTGATGACTTCTACCCTGCTTTGAGGCTTATCATTCCCGAAAAGGATCGAGACCGAGGCATGTACGGCCTAAAAGAAAAAGTCCTAGGGAAACTATGGCTCAAGCTACTACAAATTGACAAGAATTCAGACGATGGTCACAAACTTCTGTATTGGAAGCTTGGTAACAATGAAACGACTGGTGACTTCCCCGCACGATGTTATGAAGTGATATCCAAGCGTCAGAAGCTGGTGGAAGTGGGGAAATTGACCATTGAAGAGGTCAACCATAACCTGGATAGGTTGTCTCTCGTGTCAAAGGAGAAGCAGCAATTGGAGATCCTGAATGAGTTCTACAAGCAAATGAATGCTGATGAGCTAGTGTGGCTGATCAGGATCATACTACGACAGATGAAGGTTGGTGCTACAGAGAAGACTTTCTTCCACATATGGCACCCTGATGCCGAAACCCTTTTCAATATTTCCAGCAGTCTTCGTCGGGTGTGTTGGGAGCTGTATAACCCTAACATTCGGCTAGAGAACGAGGAAACTGATATCAAAGTCATGCAATGTTTCCAACCACAGTTTGCGCATGGTAATCAAAAGCATTCCATGGAGATTGGGCTCGACAAATTACGACGCGGAAATCCCGAACAAGAATTTTGGATCGAAGAAAAGTTGGATGGTGAACGTATACAGTTACATATGACCACTGATGAGAACGCGCCTGGAGAGAGGAACTTCAAATTCTGGTCACGCAAGGCCAAAGACTATACGCATCTTTATGGCAAGGATTTAAACGACAAGGAGGGGTCGCTGACACAGTTTCTCAAAGATGCCTTTCCTGATGACGTTGAGAGTATCATTCTGGATGGTGAGATGATAACATGGGACATGCAAAATGACACGTTTGTGCCATTTGGAGCTCTAAAGACTGCTGCAATATCTGAGTCACGCAATCCTTACGCTGGAGGCAATCGGCCGCTCCTCCGTGTTTTTGACATACTTTTTCTGAATGGCGTTCCCTTGACGCGATATCAATTGCAAGAACGGAGAAAGGCTTTGGAGAGAAGTGTCAAAAATGTGCACCGTCGGCTTGAGATACTTGAACATACGATTGGCACTTCTGTTGCCGACGTCGAGGAAAGATTGCGGGATGTTATCTTGAGATCTTCCGAAGGTCTAGTCTTGAAAAATCCACTTTCTGCCTATCGACTCGATGATCGGAATGATGACTGGCAGAAGGTCAAACCCGAATATATGGAAGAATGGGGCGAGCAACTTGATTGTTTAGTAATTGGTGGGTTCTACGGCTCAGGACATCGAGGTGGAAATATATCGAGCTTCTTGTGCGGGCTTCGTGCTCCTCGAAAATCCAATCGTGGCAGCCGATCACAAACACAAAGCCAGTCCCAGAGGGCAAGTCAATCGCAAAGCCAGTCCCAATCGCAAAGTCAATCGCAATCGGACCTCCCCCCTTATGTGTTTGTCTCTTTCTTCAAAGTTGGTGGTGGGATGACACGTAACGACTATGCTACCATTAAGCACGAGACCGACGGGAAATGGCATGACTGGGATGCCAAACACCCACCTACTACATACATTGATCTTGGGGGCCCAGCCACAGCAGCCCGTGAACGACCTGATGTTTGGATCAAACCCGAGGATTCAATAGTATTAGAAGTCAAGGCTGCCGAAGTTACACCTAGTGATGATTATGGTGCAGGACTTACACTACGGTTTCCACGGTTTACGAGGCTGAGAAGAGACAAAGACTGGGAAACGGCATTGTCTTTTGATGAAATGCTAGATGCCCGCAATGATGTTAACAGGAAGAAGAAAGACAAAGGGATGAGCGTTGACAATAAGAAGCAGATAACGCGCAAGACGGCTCCACGCAAGAAGGCGCTTACGGTCGCAGGGTACCAAGAGAGGGATGTGAAGAATGTTGCACAGCCGCATGGCCCTAAAGGTGAGGTATTTGGAGGCCTGACGTTCTACATCATGAGCGAGTCCGGCCTCAGTAATTTCCAGAAGAAAACAAAGTTGGAGCTGGAAGCACTGGTCAGCGCCAATGCGGGAAAGATTGTGCAGACTCACGCGGCAGTGGAAGACACCATCTGCGTTGCATCACGCAGAACGGTACCGGTAGCGAGCTTGATCAAGACGGGGAGAAAGGAAATCATCAAGCCAATCTGGATCTTCGATTGCATTGAGCAAGCTAGGCGAGATTTTGCCAGGGGACTGCCAGAGATGGTAGTACCATACGAAGCCGATCGACATTTATTCTTTGTACCCGAAAGTCTCCTAGGCACGTGGGACGACAACACGGACGAGTTTGGGGACCCGTATGCTCGAGATGTGACGGTGGAAGAGCTCAGCGAACGCATGTCGACGATGCAAAATCCGGGCCAGTCTGGGGCTAGCGGGAAAGAGTTGGTTCCCACACTGTTTCCAGATTTCATGCAGATGCGAGGAACCATGTTTCACAACTTGGTGCTTCACCTCGTTTCGATGACAGAATCATCGATGCACGCGGACATGCTTTCACTGCGCAATATGATTGTTTTTGCTGGGGGCGAAGTCTCGGAAACACTCAACCGCAACGTCACCCATGTTGTGGTGCAGCCCCATGCGGACGTTGCCGGCGTGAGAAAAGAAATTTCGACATGGAAGGGCAAAATCCCACGGGTGGTGAGCGGCGAGTGGGTACATGATTGCTGGGAAGAAAGCACGAGAGTCGACGAGGAGAGATTTCCGGTGCTTTGAAATTTTTGTCTACCACGACGAGTTGGACAATGATAATGACTTGTCCATGAGGGGGGGGTGAAGAGCCTCGTTCAGAGAGGAAATTGGATCGCTGGTGAGGCTAGACTATCTATGTACCCGTACAGCAGGTTTTTCATTGCTCGAGGAAAAGAAGTCGCTGTGACCTGCCTCTGAACCGATATGTTCCTCGACCGGAAAGAATTTCGGAATGAAATACTCTTATCCACTCTACCTAGGTAGTTAACGTCGCAGGCTACTCGATGTATTCGGCCATAGACCACAGTACTGTACCACTTCCCGGATGTTTCTGTTAACCGAACCAAAGTATTGGATATTGGAGAATGGAGAATAGAGAATGTGCGTTGTGGGTCGGACGTTGACGTATGTGTGATTATCGGCCAGGATAACCGATAGGCCTAGGGGGGAAAAGGTGACACACTGAATGCTACCTACGAGCGTCATCTTTCAGTCTCTAACCTCGGAGCAAATCTCTATGGGCTCTTTTGCTCCGTGCAAGAAGTACGAGTACACTTAGTGTGACTGAATCTTGGGGGTATGGTTGATTGTAAGAGTGATTGATCAGAAATCAAAGAAAAGACGCTACTTGTGTCTACCAGTGATTGGGCGGTGATGTTTTCTAGTTGGAGAATCGTTTCTTTTTCGTGTGTTGCCGTTGATGCCGAGACGAGCCTCGCTGCTGGTGGTGCTGGTGAGGCTTGCGGAAGTGGCCGGCAAGACTGGCAGTGGCCGGGGAAGTGTCAGTGGTGCCCAACCGGTGACTTTGAAGTCCGACCACCACTCCTCAAGTTATGATTGCCCGAGATGCAGAGGACAACTCAGACACTGACCAACTAGTATATGTTAGAGTGTTCGGATGAGATTTACGTAGCATTGGAAATGGGAGATATGATATAGTGTCTTTCGGTGCACCTGGTTCCTGTAGCATCATAGCATGACGAGATCATTCATCGAGGGAGGGAGCTTGGACGAAAAAGGAAGGACAACAGGGCAGGGCAGGACAGGGCACGAGATCGGCCGCCCGAGCCATGTGGGCACCAGGTCCAGGTCCAGGTCATCCCCCCCTCCCCTTAACTAGAAGGTTCCAAGCTTCCCACTGGCAATGCAGGTGCCTGGCTGGATCATTAGGCGAATGGTTGCGTGAACCATCCGTCACCCGTTCTGCCGTTCTGGCGTGACGCCTATTTGCTCCCCCAACGGCCGAGCCCTAAGGGCGAAAGCACCTCCAGCGTGACCCTGAATCTCGTTGGCCCCAAAGTCCCTCTCATTCTTCATGCACGCTTACGCAAAAGAAATCCAGGGGCTTGGAAAGCTGAATCTGAAAGGAAGCACCGGCCAACGTTTAGGTAGTGTCACTTATTGCAGCAGGCCCCCCTCGGCCCAATAATCACCTCTCGATAGGCGGACAGTAATCCTTATCTTGCCTCCCACCTCATCGACCATCGACTGCGGATGCGGAATGCGGATGCCTGCACTTCCTGCACTTCCTGGCTGAAGCCTCCGAGTCTCAAGATCTCAGGCTCAGGCTCAGGCTTAGGTTTAGGCTGCATCCACCCTTCCTGTCCATTCCCTCCACTCTTCATTTTGACTTCAGGTTCTCTTAACCTGTCCATTTCAGGCTCTCTTAGACACATTCAGCTGTCCCCATTGTCCTTCGTTCTGTCGCTTGTTATATCCACCAAATCATGCTTGCTACCATCTCACACCTTGTTACTGTCGATGCTACACTGTCCCTCTTTCCGTCTACATTCACATCATCAACTTCATTACACCTTTGGCCTCTTTCATCATCGCCAATCCTTATCATGCTCCCGCGATAGCCTAGCCTCCGTGCTCATCTACCCGTTCACCAGTTGACCACCCCGTCAACCCACCATCATGATGATGGTACCTCGTTCCTTCGTTCAGAACCCTCTGGCCTTGAATCAAAGACGAAGGTCCAGTTTGAGTGAGAAGGAACTCCTGTCTTCCCAAAATGCCTCCAATAATCGCTCGCGTTCGCCCTCACCTTCAACCCGGTCCAAACAGCCTCCCGAGATAAGATACAAGGCTCCATCAGACCCTGTCAAAATCCCCAATCGAAACCCCAGACGTCTACCCACTCAACCAGAAAGACCAGGCCCAACAACTATACAACTCCCAAGATCTAGTCCTACGAGCGCACCACAGATTCGGACCCAAAAAAAGGAATCTGCCCAAGACATCCTTTCATCCACCACCATCCCCATCCGGAGAAGACCTAGACAAAGACCCGCTCAACGTTTACCCAACTGCGACTATGTTGCAGATTTTAGCAAACTTCTTCGGGATGATGTACAAACCCAAAGTGAGCCAAATTTGTCCGGGAGTTGGACAAATCCACACTTTGAGGGCTTGTTTGGAAACATTGATGGCTTCATGGACGACCAGATGATTGTGGGAAGTGAAGGTGTTGATGCCAGTATACTGTCCACCCGGTCCATTTCTACCGATTCCATGCCTTCCTTGGCTTCTCCCGACGATTTCAGTAGCAACGATATGCCTAGTGTTTCTCCTGCCACCATTCGATCTCCATCAGATCATAGGTTGCGACAAGTCGCCAGTTCAGAAGATTGCAGCAACCAGCACCCTCTTCTTATCCAGGATGAAGATTATCAACTGAGTGGGACCTCCACTCCCGAACTAGTGATATCTTCGCCGCCAAAGTCGAGACATCGAGAGGTCTTGGATCATAAGCCATACCGTTCTTTCAAGTCCAGTCTCACGGCCTCTTTGAAAGCATTAAAATCTGCTGCTCAGACAGTCTCCAATATTGCGACAACTCCTCCGCTTATTCAGCCGGATGAGTTCCTGGGTGCTTCAATCTTTGATTTCAAACCGGAACTCACCGACGATAGACGACCTCCTCCGTCAACTGAGCCACCGTCTCTCGCGATGAGAAGATATTTGAATCCAAGGGCAATCATATCCGACGATTCTCCAGCTCAACTGCATTTCTGGCTGGATGAGAAACCTGCCTTCAATTCAAATTCGTCCGAGGATCGTAAACGAAAGGCCAAACCCAAGAGAAAGAATCTGGCAGTTGGCACCAATTCTTCAAAGCTCAAGAATTCCAGGAATAGAACTGCCCAACTCCCACCGGTCCTCCAGTTATCAACATGTATCCCCTCGACAATTCGGACCCCCTATGCGTCGAGTCCACCAACGTGGTTGGAGCCAGACGGCACCCCGAGCAACAAACATAGGGCTGCACAAACCCTCACTGATGGCACTAGCGACCTTCCTTTTGGTGAAGGCCAACCGCGACCTCGTGAACCCCGTGAAAACCGGGACTTCCTCCGTATTTACGTTTGCGAACTCAACATGCGCAAGACTGGCAAGTTGTCCGAAGAGGCGATCGGGCATGCGAAGCTATGGCTTCCACCTGTCATTCCCACGGATAAGGACAACAAATACGGCGCAGGAGATGGTGCTCTCGCAGCAGTAGAGAAGAAGACCGGTGCTGAAAGGTGGACCAGTTGGTCCTCTGATGATATATGATATATGAATATGAAAAGCTAGTCAGCGAGCGAGCCATTGTTTATTAGGCTGAAGATTGGGTATATTTGCTTCCCACTCTCTTCGGTCGGTGTGTTATTATGTAATCAGAGACAGAAAGCGACCCAAAGCGACGCGAGTCGAGTTACCTTTCCCTCTTTTCCTTTTTTTCTCCTGCTTCCACGATCCATATCGGTTCTCGGGTATATAGATGAACAGCAGCTGAGCAAGCATCAAGTGAAGTGGAGTGGAATGGAGTGGACTCAACTCACCTGTGAATGAAGACAGTGGTGATATGTATTTACCTAGTTATATTGTAGCTGTAGCTGTATGATATGACATGACATGATATAATATGAACTTTGACGACCAGGTGGCCAGGTGGACATGATATTTTTTATCTTCCTCGTCGCGAGAGAGAGAGAGAGCTAAAACGAGAAAATGAGAAAACAAAAGAGGATCTTTCTGAATTATGAGGTCTATCGCATGATTCATCGCCTGTGCGCTTACCATATGATATATTCAATGGTCGGGCTCCTCTTGTTTGTCGGTATCGTGAGTCGATGGTGCGATTTGCCCGTGGGATGAGCTGAGATTATTTCTTAGATCTGGTCAGATCAGATCCGGTTAGATGCAAAGGGGTTGGGGATAATCGACTCCCACGCTATCTGGACTTTTGGTACCTACGCATGTAGATTTATATATCAACTTTGTTGCTTCATGTTATATATCTAGGCATTCTTCAAATTTTCCCCCGTTGGTTGGCAAGTACCTATCCACCCTCACCGTTCCGAACGATGTTCCACGCCCACACACACACATACATACATACATACATACATACATACATACATACATACATACATACATACAAACATACATACATACATCGGCTGAAGCGCCGCTGCCCGTACCGTGTCATGTCATCGTGCAGGTTAAGAGGTTGAGTTGACACGCTCTGGTCAACCTCGTCGGAGATTTGGTTCTTCGTAGTAGCTTGGTTACCTAACTACTCGTAGAACAGAACCCGCGGCCTACCGGTTCCGGTCCAGCAGTGCACGCCACAGCGAGAGCGGAATCTGCCAGTCCCTGACGCCCACGGCGATGTACGCTCTGGTGAAGCCCCAGCCGGTGACGGAGAACCAGGTGACGACCCAGAGGTAGCCGACGGCACGCAGGACGGGCGAGGGATTTCCACCACTGGCGGCGTGTGGTTGCTTGCCACTGCCATTCATTTTTCTGGTGGTGATGGTTTCGCTTTCCCCGTGTTCGTTTGAATGGGTCGGATGGCACTTGGAGTAGATGTGGATTGCGAGCGCTTCCATGCATGCTGCTACCGGTTGGGTCATGAAGAAAAGGGACATGTCCGTGATGAGAGATTGTAGGGTTAGGTTCTCATCTCGGATGACTGCGAGGCATACGATGTGGAAGAAGTTGCTGATGCCGAATGCCGTGGTGAGAATGATGAGAGAGGCCGCCGGTGATTTGTTGGTAATATGCAGACGCTGGACTATGAAGTTTCCGAAGCCTAGGACTGGCTGTGCGTCTGGGTCAGTCTTTAATACCTCAGAGACAAGTCGAGTCTTGGAGTAGACTTACTAGACGGATATATGTGTGCCAGAACTTTCCCCATACGTTGGTCACGGTGTAGCAATCTGCAAGGCTCCCAAATAAGGGTGGCCATTCCTAGGTATACAATCAATGATTATTCGATCTATGCTGGGTGTGCATACCTCGGGCCGACTGAAGCCCAATCCCACTGAAATGGCAGCAAGGGATTCGAACTGCATCGTCATGCTCGCGTATGTACACACGAACATGAAAAACTCGGCAACCAAGATATCTCGAATCGTGATCCAGTTCGCCTTCCATGTAATGGGGACGGATAGATCCTGGCCAAAAACCAGAACAGAATCGAGTGCAAGATACGAGAAGAAAGCTCTCGCTAAACTGGAACGCACGAATGAGAATCTCGAAATCTTCTTCCTTCTCATTGCGTCGTATGCGTTCTTCACGCGGTGGCTTGCAAAGTTCCAGCCTACTCCACGGGGTGTACTTGCCAGTGATCCTGCCCAGCGTAATTTACGCCATGTCCAAGGCGGCGGTGGTGCGGGTTGGCGATGGTTAGATGGAGAACTATTGTCTTTTGTTCCTCGACTCGTATGAACGGCATCATCGGTGAGGTCGTTAATGCGCCAGAAATCTTGCTCGGGCACATGAAGAAGTAGTTTTTCCAGGACTGGAAGGACAAGTAACCAAGAGCTTGCATTCCCATACCGTGACGGCCGTGTTGAGCCTGCATTTGGAGGCCATGGTGATACTAAACTCAAATAATCTGTCAAGATTATGAGGGACGCGAAGATGATGCCGCGTCCATAGAACGGTGGGGCTGCAAGGGCTGTTATTATTAGAATTGGGAGGAGTGCAAAGGGGAGATAGTCTTGTAGTTGAGCTTCAGGTTGGGAAATGGATTGGTGTTGTGAGAGTGAAAGACTATGCGGAATAGCATTAGGAACCATATTCATAGGGTTCTGTAGACTTGGTTTGGCTGAGGAGGTGGATTAGATAGGAGAAGCGACCACCAGACACGTATATATGGGAGGAGATCTGTTGGACCTGCGTCGCTTGAGTGGCTTCTGGGAAGGCCTCCAGAGCGACTTGTGATCATCTCGGATCACCAGTATATCACCTGATATTGGTTTTCTTTGAAACATGTCAACCAGCACTTACCTGGGTACCCAATGTGTGATAGAGAATCTTGAGGTCTAGCGACTGTATCTCAATCTATCGAAATCCAAGAGTTTGACTCGACTATCAACTATGGCGCCGGACGTCAACCTTGACTGGTCTGGTAAGATCTGTACATGGTAACATCGACTGTCGGTGGTTGCTCAATAGTTGAGCATCGAACAGCTTTTTTGATTACGCTTGCATGCTTGTTATCTGGGGCAATAGGTAGGCAGTTTTGCGTCTGGCAGATTTCCATGGCTCACTCCGGTTGCAGTCTGTTGTAAGTTATCCGATGGCATAAGGTCTTGAGAACTGGTGAGTTGATTGCGGCATCGAGAAAAGACACATCTTCTCTTCTCCGTCCGGGGTAATCAGAGGCCAAATGGATACAGACCCCACCGATGATCGAAATAGTAACAACAAAATCATTTGTCGCAAGTGATGGGGTTTTACCAGTGTTAAAGGGCTCAATCAACAACTGGAAAAGATGTTTTGCTTCGAAATGCCTCAAAAGGTTTGAAGGATTCAGCCACAGAAATTTAGCCTGAATACCTACCAAGAGAAAAGGATGTGTCGCATGAGAATTGTGGCACAGCAACCTCCCGTGACGTCGACCAAAGTCAATCCTCTCCTGCACGGCTGCAAATTCCATTTTGAGTCAAAAACCTTGTGTCTGTTCAGCAGCGATGAAATATGGGGATGTGGAAGTCTACCGCCCAAAATAACTCCAACGCACAGACTCGGAGTTTCTTTCATCCTTTGGATCTCTGAAGCCTTTGGAGCCGCACGGACTTGGATAGCTGTCCGTTAGGGTTCAGTGATGGTTGGAATGTGGAACGTTGCTTCATGGAAGGTCCAGAATCTCCAAGTAGCAACGCTGCAACCCTCGTCCTTCTGCCTACTGACACCATCATTGACTGAAATAGTCAGTGACTGAAATAGTCAGTCAAATTGAATATGGCTCAATTGGTGATCGCATATATACAGCCAGCGGCTCATCGTTTGCAGATGGTACTTTTCAACATCAAAAATTACCAAGCTTCTAGCATCAACACCAAGGACTGTACATCTCAAGCGCCATCGCCACTTCATACTCCCGAAATTCTCCTTTCATAGACTGAAACCCAACAATGGTCACCTTGCCATACAGAATGCGCGACTCTGACTCCTTCACGACAAAACAAGTCACATCGACTAAACAGGTCAGATCGAAGCGCCGCTGTCTGTCAGTTGTTGCGGAGGAGGCGGTAGTTCCAAGGGCTCCTCCCGTTATCGACTTTTCTCGTGAGTAGATCTCGTGATATCTCATTATCGACCCAACTAACAACTTGAACAGCCTTCTATGGCAATGATCGAGCCAATAAACAGCAGCTTGTTGATCAAGTACGACAGGCTTGTCTGGAAAAGGGATTTTTCCAAATCGTAAACCATGGAGTTTCTGATGAACTCCAAACGGCCATCTTCAAACAGTCTAAGAACTTTTTCTCCCTTCCAGCTGAAGAGAAGGTAAAACTTGATAAAGGTTAGTACATTTCCAAGTGTATCAAATGTTAGATGTTGATATTGATACCATGATAGCTCAACACCCAAACAAACTTGGCTATGAGTGCTTGCGATCCCAGAATTTCGAAGGCAAAACCGCTGGCGATCTGAAAGAGGGATTCTTCATCGGTCGAAAACTCCCTGCTGATCATAAATATGTCAGGGAAGGAAGAATTCATTGTGGTCAGAACGCGTATCCACAAACCGTCTCTGATCCATCTCTCTTCGAAGAAACGGTGGATCAGTACCATGCGACAATGACCGCACTGGCGGAAAACATTCTCAGCGTCATTGCTATGACTTTGAACCTCAACGAGGATTATTTCCGAGATTTCTGCAATGAGCCTGCTGCTGTTCTCAGACTATTGCACTACCCTCCACAAGCCCCTGACGCTGATGAGAATGAACGAGGGATCGGAGCTCATACAGACTTTGGCGGCATAACAATTCTTCTTCAAGACGAAATTGGCGGCCTCCAAGTTTTTGATGGTCTGACTCTCTCATGGATTGATGTCAAACCAACGCCTGGAGCATTTGTCGTCAACTTGGGCAATGTCATGATGAGATGGTCAAACGACCGTTACGTCTCGAACCTCCATCGAGTCATCAACAGCAGCGGTAAAGAGCGCTACAGTATACCATTCTTCTACTCAGGTAACCCAGACTTCATGATTGGATGCCTTCCCGGGTGTGAAGACGGATTAAGAGGGTCGAAGTACACCCCGATGAAAGTTCAAGATTGGATTTTTGGACGGCATACCAACACCTTTAAGGAAGCCAAAGGGTTGTCTGAGCTATCAGCTCTAGCAAAGGTCGCTTAGAAGAGATTACGCAGCTGGACCTGCAAATGATCTTCATCTTCACTGTCAGGGTTCTGATTTACCGGAGTTTTAATGGGCTTAGTCACACTGCGTCTGTAGTATTCTTGGCCAAACACTGTACGATATACGAACGCCATCTACCTAGGTACCTATTGTCACTTGATGTACTTCTGTGATTCAAAAACCAATTGTGAACTGTACAAGACTTCATCTTCCAAGCTAGCTTGTTAGAGAACCAGCTTTGTCTCCGCTTACACCGGGAACCACCTGAATTGAGTGCCTTCGATTTGCAGCAAGTTGACTTATACCTCTTTAGGTTCTCCGACAAACGATTGCTAACCACGGTCTAGAAAATTTGCAGTTCATTAATAGACGACATATGCTGACCGCAAATTGTTCAAGACCTTCAATTTCCGAGAGTTTCCAAATGAGCTTGCCCCAGTTCGCCAATCATCGAGCCGCCACCGATATCTTTAACGGAGCATACTGACGCCCGTATTGTAGTCAAGGCTATGTTATGTCCAAGGTCAAAGACAAACCGCACGATGCCGATGATTCGGATGATGCGTCGACAAGGTCTATACTGCAAGGACCCAATATCAACGGGCCATCTTCCGGAAACAACTTGAATTCGGCTACTTTCATTGGGCCTTTAGTTGCAGATACTCCCATTCCAACACTCGATTTGCAACCGGGACGACAAGTGGCAGACACCTACATAGCTGGGCATTCGTCCTCCTCTGTTCCTTGCTCGTTAGAAACAGCCTCTTCATCACAGAACAAGCCTGACGGTGACAATAAGCTACCGACAAATGAGAGATCACGCGACACCCATCTCCTCACTGCTTCACCATCCTGGAACGAGAATGCAGCTTCCATTAGCCAGATATCAACTGTGCTTTTACCTTCCCACTCACTTGCAATAAGAGCGATGGTTGACGATCGTGCTTGTTTTCAGCCTGAATTGTCATTGTCTCCTGAAAAAGCTGGGTTTGAAACCAGGAGTCATGCGGCAGGTCGACTGGGGGTAGCGACCGAAGTCTTGGCCGATCCAAACAGAACTACGTCTCATGCACCCCAAGACATGAGCCTGGTTCAATCTGCGGTTCAAGAACTAGCTGCCCTTCATGCTACAAGTAACCTCAAGCATGACATGGTCGCCAGTACTGCCGCCAGCTTGCGTAAGGATGGCACAAGTCAACCCCGCAAGATGCGAAAGGAGACGTATTCTGCAGATAAACGACCAGGCCTTCACATGGTATCTGCATCTAGGGTGATGAAAGCTTATCGGCGTCCTGGTCATCAGTATGAGATGCAGTGGCGTGTTGGGCAGGCCCCGAGAATGGGAATGCTACAAAATCAAGAGCAGATGCATTATGAGAATATACTGTCTGCCATCGGTCGCTACTACTCGGGTAATGCTGAGACTAGATGGAAACCTGCTCTATCTCAAAACTCTGTTACACTGGCTCAAGATTTTGAACCGTTGCACTTTCTGGGATTGACCGTAACGGTGGCAGGTCTGATTACAGCAGGTCGCTCAGTCCAAGAGCACGAGGCACTAAAGCAGATAGCCCCGGCAGCTAGGAGTATGTTGGTATCTTACCATCCCATGACTTTCTGGCTCCTCATCGATCAGGTCATGGATACCTCACAAACGGTACTTGGCAACCTTCGTGTTGCGATCACCCCGAAGCTAGCAAGTCTTGCCAGTACCCTGTTGGGTCCATCACATCCACTCACCATCCTTTTCAAAACCCCATTGACCGCTAAGCAGAAAGTCCAGCTGCGGTTGCAAGCGCAGTCGGTAGTTCACGCCGAGATGGCACGAGTATTTGGACCCTACGCGTATCAAACCTTTATTCAGTATGGATACTATGCACGAACGGTGATGAACAGTGGACGTCCAGAAGAAGCTATCAGAATGTTAAGTGAGGTAACTGAAGTGTTGAACAGGCACTATGGACTCAATTCGGCCATGCCAACGCTTGGAATGATTGAGCAAGCTCGACAAGAACTAGCAAACGGTTCTTCAAGTGTTATGTTGGAGTGCATGCTTGGTGACGTACTTCGACGGAATCATATTCTGTACACTGGAAGCAGAAACACTCACAATGATTCTATGGATATCGGAGAAGATACACTTCGGGGCGACTATCTATTGGTAATGCGACTTGTGACACTCAGACTGCTCGGGCGGCTACACGCAAGAAGAAGAAATTTTGCAGCAGCGATATTCCATTTCGATCTTGCCGTGGCGACTGCTCGACCTCTTTTGATACCGGGGAGTAACACCATGAGGATGTGTGAAGCCGACTTGACAATGGCAAAACTACTTGAAGTTGAGCAGGCCATGGGTATCCTCGGAGATGGGGATCCTTATGATCGATTTATGAGTCCATTTAGTATCACGCAGTGGATTCCGATGGAAGACAGAGTGGTTCATAGTCCGGCTTCTCCTCAGACATTGGAGTCAGGATGAGGTGTAACTTGGCAGCCTCAAGCATAATTGGATCAATAAAGGTTTATACAATTTGCCATGTTCGCAGCATTGACAGGACAGCCTGATGCCTCTCTCCCTTTCTGCTTCAGCCACGCTACAAGGCGATGGTATGCGCACCGTTGCGCTTCGTCTAGCAGTCGGTCATTGAGCCTGGATCGAGCAAGTAAGTGCCTTTCTTAGTAGTCTATATAACTTGATTATGATGGTGAAGAGATCAGAGATATAAAGATCCAAAAGCTGAGACTTAAAGCCCATGAAACTACGGGGACCCGAGGATAGCATATAGTTTCCTGACACGACGGATATAAACTGCTAAAGGGTCTTACGAGAGGGGCTAACCACCATAGCACCTCAGTACTGTCGTGAGGTCTTGGGAGGCAGAAAACATGGTGTATGATCCTATGAGCTTGCTACCTGTGATGCTAACAAAATCATGGCGCCGACAGCAGGAGCAAGGAGGTAGACAGAAGAGAAGAGGAAAGCTCCCGCTGCGGAATTAGCACGGGTAGACCTGAGGAGAAAGGCAGGCCCTGGGGCCCGTCGAGCGTCGAGCGGCGGAATTTGTTCCCCATCCCCCAGCAGTTGCGTCCAGTGATGATGCAGACGAGAGTATGGTGGCGGAAGGTCATGCTCCATGGGCTCTGGGCACCCATCCACCACAGTGAACCCCGCCTATCTAGTTAGTTAGTTACCCCGCTGTTGTGCCCTGGCGCCGGGGCCCCCCCCAATATGGCCGAAAGGGTATGGGCACCCGGTGTCCGCTTACCGCTTACAAGCCCAATTCAATTTTATGGCGATGGCCTAGTGACTCGTAACAGCCTCATCCCTTTAATTCATTCAGTCGAGTGGATTTCATTTCTGGTGTTCAACCCCTGAAGTTCAAGCTGTTTTTCTTCAATTGCACCTCTCATCGTCTGTGTAATCACACACACATGACCAGTCTGCTGCTCAAAGCCCCATATTTCCCTGGTAACACAAACGTAGGCATTGCTTCGAATACCATGGCGAGCGATTTATTCTGTGAAATTTGCAACACTTTCTTCCAGCGTCAAGAACACTACCAACGACATCTTCGAACCCACACGAAGGAAAAGCCTTTTACATGTTCCGAGTGTAATCAGGCTTTTGGCCGAGTGTAAGGCAATGCCTACGCGTTGTATTGGAACTACTCTCCGCATTGGTGCTGACAACTATATCTTGACCTCCCCAGTGATTCTCTGTTTCGCCATCATACCACTGTCCATGGGGGCAATGCCGTTGCAGATCCCTCAAAGCGTCAGAATGAGCGCCGTCGAGTCGCACAGGCCTGTAAATCTTGCGGTGCGACAAAGGTCCGCTGTGATGGAGAACGCCCTTGTCAACGCTGTGTCCGACAAAACCTGGATTGTTACTATGGAACCTCGTCCAAACGCAAGCAGTCTACTTCCAACAATGGCTCCCACGACGCCGCCAGCAGCAACAGCAACAACAACAATAACGACATCGATAATCACAGCGCAAGTAGCAAAACTCAGATCCCGAGTCAGATCTTGAAACGAGCCAGAAGCAATGATGGGCAGACCACGCCGGCAGTCTCCGTCTCAAGTATGCAGTCCATGCAAGTCGACAATCTCCAGCAACCCCCAACCACTGCCGTTGAGCTTTCTTCCTATGATCCATCAGTACAGCAGCATCTCAGTGTATCCAACGAGAATCTTCTTTTCACCACAGCCACGCTCCCAGTCGTGGAATCAAACAGTCGTCCTCCAGACCCAGACGTCTCTTCCAGCGGTGGCCCTGTCCCTATGGATCTCAACCACTGGGATGGTACAATTCCCTTACCAAACTTGGGCTTTGATGACAGTCTAAGCGTCGATGACTGGCTGAATTTTGATGTTAACACAAATGCATTGCTCCCGCTTCTGCCCCAGGACTCGGCCTTCGAAGCTTACAGCAACGTGTGGTTAGCTTCGTTTGAGTCCAAGTCATTGCCGCCACTTTTTGCCGAACCAATGGAGCCTTCCCCAATAGCTCGATTCTACAGTCGGGCTCATTCTCCAGAGATGGACCAGGACAGTGTCGGCCCCCGTGAGTATCGCCCCACCTCTATCGAGGTTGACGCGCCTTTGGTTTTCCCCAACATGGAAGACCTTCCTATGAGTGAAATAGATGCCGAGAATTTGGCACATGTCGAAGAGATTACCCCAGAGATCGTGAACAGTATCACGGGATACACGAATAAGCTAGAGCGCAATGGGCCCTACCCGCCATTTCTTGAAATGCGTATTCCTCAGAGGCCGGTCCTCAATTCTTGGGTCCAGCTTTATTTCGAGCACTTTCATCCGATCTTCCCAATGCTTCATAAGCCTTCGTTTCAAAGCACCAATACGCACTGGCTCCTCTTCTTCGCCGTCGCAGCTATTGGTGCACATTACTCCAACCTCAAGGGTGCGCAGCAGTGTGCCAGAGCAATGCACGAACTCGTCCGCCGGCAAGCAGCTAGTCTGGTGAATCCATCTCACAATTTGTATGCACACAATCATAGGCTGATTTTTTCTAGTGTGAGCAATACAATCACTACGGACGAGCACTATTCATGATACAAACGAACCTACTCAATCATATCGGTTTCATATACTCGGGAGAGCGTAGAGCTTTGGAGATAGCCGAGTTTCTGCAAGCGCTTCCGCCAACTCTTGCACGGAGGAAAGGTCTCTTTACTAACCGTCTCTCCTACCAGAAAATCATGGAGTTAGATTTAACCCTGAGCCAAAAGTGGCAAGTTTGGGCCTTGGATGAAGAAAGGAGGCGAACAGGCTTTGCTGTCTGGGTAAGCCTCGATAACATGATCTTTGACCCCTTCATGTTTTGTGTCATCACTGTCCTGACTTCAACGTTGTAGCTGCTGGATTCCCAGTTCGATCACAGCTTCGATCTTACTCGACTCATGAAAGTAGAAGAATTGCAGATGTCATTGCCTCAATCTGAGGAGCGATGGGGTGCCTCTTCTGCACAGAGCTGGGCAAGTTGCTCTCTGGGAACTGGTAAGTACTCCTGACAAGACGCTCCTTTCCACAAGCAGTGGAATGGCTAAGGTTGGTGAATCTAGCTCAAATCCAAGACTGCGGCTTGGAGGAAGTCATTCGCAACGACAGTTGGAGACCAACGTGGAAATCAACAGGTTCCATTGGAAAACAAGTCCTGCTCCAGCAACTCATCGACGTCATGAACAGCCAAAGCGGTCATCCCGGCGCCCCAAGTTTCTCGCAGCCTCAGAAGCACAAGGCCGAGGAAACTCTGCTTGGACTGCTGACGATTACCGAGGATGAGGATTCAAACGAGCATTTCTCGGAACTCAAGGCCTCCATAGCACATCGGCTTATGATTGCTACAGCCCTCACCATACGTAAATCTCCTACTCGCAAAATCGCCGCCGTGGCGTTGAAGACAATCTATGGCCGTATGGAAGACCCGGCTTGGAACGCATTGGCGTCGCAATGGAAGAACGCGGCAGACCAGGCAAGATTGTCTGTTTACTGGGCCGCTCGGTCATTACACATAGTACGGTCGAGTAGGTGCACGCATTTTGCGACACCTGACTCGCTCCTGAAGGCAGTGCTGGTTCTTTGGCTCTATGCCCTGCTCAGCGAGCGTTTCGAAGACCGTTTCAAGGTACCCACAGGACCTGCTGTAATTCTGGGCTCGAAGAGTCTGCAGGATATGGACTCTCTGGATTGGATCTCAGCTGGGTGGTCTGGAGTCAAACTACCTGGCATAGGCAATCTTTTGTGTCCGGAAGGCAGGTACAGGTTGCTCGACGAATCCATTGGACTGATGCGATCACTGAAAAGCTGGGCCATCAGCGCCAGCTATTCACAGCTACTTGTTCGTCTACGAGCAACTGAACGGTCTGCGCCTGCCAGTCGGATGAATGACATCTCAGCTCCTCCTTAGCCAGTGAAGAGGCCGAACTCTAAAATGAACCATAGAGTTTCGCCTAGGGTAGGATCTCGGTTTGTGAAATTGTCATAATTCCGTCCTTCGGCTCCACATCACACTGGGAAGACCATGTAGGGATAGTTCCCACCGTCGAATACTTACGACTGACGGACACGTAAATTTGTACACGGGTCAAGTCCCATTATATCGTCCGTGGTCACTTCCACAATTCTGTAGTAGAAGCTGCTTAGGTGACTACCATCATCCGTTTCGCCAAGTTACTGAATCAGTGGCCAAACAATTCCAGCCAAACTCACCAGATTTTTTCCTGTCCTCGAGTTCACCAGCCATGGCCAGCCATCTTTACGGTAACTACTTTTCTACCCGCTCACAAAGGGTTCTTTTCACTTTGGAAGAACTAGAGTACCCCTATGAGTGGCACTCAAAGGACTTTGCTAGGGGAGAGCACAAGGTAAGAAAGTGTGGGATCTACGTCAACAGTTTCATGGTTGCCATGCTGACGCGAGAGAACTCCATGTAGGCTCTTCCTTATGTCTCGGAACATCATCCATTCGGCAAAGTTCCTGCTTTCCAAGATGACCACGTAAAGCTATTTGAGTCTAGGGCCATCTGTCGCTATCTAGTGGCCAGGAAACCCGGACATCTGACGCCGCCCTTCGCTGGGACATCATCCGCCAGCCTTGTGCAAGGGGCTCGCTTCGAGCAGGCGGCTAGTGTTGAGCAATCATACTTCGAGCCGCCACTTGAGAAGCTCGGATTCGAGCTGATCTTCAAAAAGTGAGATTCCAATGGTCTTCCTGCTGCAGCGAACCATTTTTCTTACCAACCATCGTCCCGCATGTAACAGAATGCTTGGCTTTGGTGAGACAGATCAACAAGCAGTCGCTCATCAGAAGAAGTTGCTGCTGCAGACGCTTGATTACTACAACACGCTTTTATGCGAACAAGCGTATCTCGGTGGTCAGGCAAGTCTTATCACAAGCTGCTGTCTCCTGTGCTTTAGCTCTAGCCCTTCATCTAACGGATCATTTCCTGCAGGAGTTTTCCTTGATTGACATCTTCGCTGTTCCGTGGTTCGCATTTCTGGCAGATCGACTTAATTTCGGAGACGAAATCGCTTCTAGAAAGAACGTCCAGGCTTGGTGGACATCAGTCAGTGAGCGCCCGGCGTGGAGGAAGGTGCTCAGCCACCTTGAGCACTGAGTTGAATCTAGGCATAGTCTTTCTTAAAATAGATAGATGAGACTTTATTTGTCTTTGTTCTTCATATTTCTTCCCATCTCCCCTACCCAGTCTATATGATATAGCGATAGTATGCCTGATGGTTGTTCTTGCCAGGAAAACATGCTAACTGCCCAGTACAATATAATCCCGCACTCGTCTTTCATCCGCTTCGGCTACCCCCTAGGCTCTGTATTCCGGCCCTGTTGCCTAGACTAGTATGTCCCGTCGACGATGTCCATAATTTGAACCTTCTCAATTGCTGGAGTTAACACCCCTATCACAGTCTGATGATATGAATCTGACGCCGAATAGTAGTCCCGGTCCGCTGCAGTGGCGAACTCCATTACAAACTGATGCGTAAAATCGTTCTGCAGTTATGGTCAGACACATGTGCCACAACACCGGGCACAAAGTATATGCTTTACGTTGAGTGGTTCAGGCGACTGATCTTTGCCAATCTTCAGCGAGACAATGTATGACTGCTGGCTATCCCTTTGTAGACATTTTGCTTTCATGTCGCAAACTTGTTTTAGAATCTGAAGAATGGTAAGCGCTTCATGCGAGGGCGACGATGAGTTTTGTCTATATGGAATAGACTCTTGGGGCAGACATACATCGTCACGTGCAGCATCCTGCAAGTCCTTCTTGAACTGGACTTGTACGACTCGAGTGATGCTCATGATTATAACGTGAGAGAATGCTTTACTTCGAATAATGCTTGATTTGCTGTGAAGATGCTGTATTTGCAGTTGATATAAGTGCCACAAGGGCAGGACTTACGCAACAGTCTAGATTACTTACAAGCATGGGATTTGCCTAAGTCCGTTTCACTTCCTGTGGAGCCGGTCTCTGTGAAAGGCCAAGATACTCTACCATGTATGGCTTTTGTTGCTTGAACCACTCATATTTGTTAGGATTATGTATCTGCAGACCCAGAAGCACGTTGCCGTACAACAGCTAGCCATAACAATCGACAGCAATTGTTTTTCAATGAAGAACTATTCCTCACCCAACACATAATACAATAGACGCAGAGAATAGCGATCGCTATTACTAATCAAGGGTAGTACAGGCATTTAAAGATGTGTAGTGACCACACACTACTCTTTAGCCTTGAAAAATAGAATCGAGCACCGACTGGAGCGCCTCTTTCGACCCATTTTGCGCACCATCTGCCCTCCATGCAATGAAACCGTCCGGTCTGACCAGCAACGCCTGCCCTGGTCCGAGTTGGCACCTCTTCCCTAGTTTCCCTTCGACATCCTTCCATGGTGAAGAAGACGCATTGATCACATAGGTATCAATGGGAAATGAGATGCCCTGGGCAGCCTCAATCCAACGTGACTCGGATTCGGACGCCACGAGGACCAGATTCTGTTTAATGAGATCGAGCGATGAAACTTGTTTTATTGGTTCAGAGTCACTAGAAAGCCATGTGTGCGGGAACCTCGAGCCGGGAGCCGCACTTGGACTGGCGGGTGCATCATACTTCTCCGGTGCTTGACCACTGTCAGCAAGGAAAGCGCCCTCAGGATATCGAAATCCAAGTTCGACAGCAATGTCGTCGACTTCAGGAGCGGGTGGATCCTGTCGCACTACACGATTTTGAAAGCGAGCATGCGCCTGTCCCACTGTGAATTCATCAATTGGCTGTCGTTCGGCATTGTAGGTGGAAAGTAAAGAATTTGATGCCAACCCCTTGAGCACAAATGCCAATTTCCATGCGAGATTATGCGCATCCTAGAACTTGTGATCAGCAATCATTCTCAGATCATGCACAGGCTCGTTTTCCTTACAGCAATCCCAGTGTTTCCGCCCAAACCCCCTGTGGGGGGCATGACATGTGCTGCATCGCCAGCGAGGAAGACTCGCCCACCTGCACTGGTCAGACGATCTGCAGTGTAGGCGGCCATGGTCCAATATGACCGATTCTTCATTTGAACATCTAGGTCCTTCTCTTCAAGTCCCGCGCAATCGAAAAACCATTGCTTAGCTTCTTCATCCGAAACGGTACCTGGGGCAAAGTCCGTTCTGTCACCGACGTTGTTGACCATGAGCAACCCCTGTTTGCCGCCCTTTTCCATTCGAAATCCACCACCAATCTTTGGATTGGATACGTAAACCACGCCATGAACAGCTCTATTGCCGAGCCATGGTGTCATGTCGGCAGCGAAGAATACTGCCAGAGAATTTCGCAGCACGCCCGGCCCATCCCAATTGATGCCCTCCTTTTGCCTAGTTGGACTGCGGCCACCATCACACGCCACGAGAAAAGTGGTTTTATATTTCTTGTACTCCTCTGTTCCAGCCGCCTTCACCACCACGACAACACCATCTGACAATTCTTCATAGTGGACTACCTCGGTAGCGTGCTGTTGTTTTGCGCCAACGTTGAAGCGATCTTCGTTCTTGCCAAGGATCGGCTCAAACATACTCTGCGAGATCCATACCCAGCTTGAAGGTGTGACCTCTTTGACCTTTTCCGGATCATGTTCCTGCAAAAGGGCTAATGTCTTGCCGTTTACGAGTTTCTCAACAATGATCATGCCAGCATTGAGATCAAATTCACTTTTACTTTGCTCGAGGGTGAAGTTTTCAAGACCAAGCTGGCGCAAAATTTCACTTGTTCGAAAATTCAGACCCGCAGCGCGTGGATGAGTCCCTGACGATGGATGTCGATCAAAAGAGATGGATTTGATGCTGATATAAGGAGGTCAGACTCGATTTGGCCCACCGATACCAGATGCCAAGCTCACCCGTGGTATCCAAGCAACAATCCTAAGCTCTTCCCCACCATGCTCGATCCGATTATGATGACAGGCCATTCCTCGTCTTCGAAGGGTATTTTGGAATGGTCAAACTCATTGTATGCGAAGGCTGATTTCTTCAGTGAAGAAGATGTGAGGGTTTCATCAACATCGATGGCACGCTGTTTTGGAAGATCTTGCACAGATCCCATTTCTTTCTCTGTATTCTTATTCTTCTTCTTTGGCTTCAGGACCTTTTTTCTTGACTTTGCTTTTAAACAAGGGAAATCTGAGGGTTTTTGAAGAGCGTTTCGATCTGTGGAAAGCAACGCTGGCTATTACCACCCCAGATTTCCATGATGCGTCACTATTATGGGAGGGTGCCAGACTTCAGCCTGTTTACTCCGTAGAGTGGTAGCCGGTGGGACTGCCGTGTCCAGATTGTGAATCAAGTCTTGACAACCATGTGCGAACTCTCATGAGTGCCTGATTTCGGGTCGTACCAAAATCTTATCTTCTCCGCATGAAATGGTAGGAACAGACTTCCCACTCAAAGTTAATACCTCCACTTTTTTTTTTTCAACTGCCGGAGACGAAGTTGGTGGTTTTCAGGGATATCAGCCACACATCACGTGGTTCTGTATTGATGTAAGGACCGAGCCCAAGGTGGATGAAAGCTGTGTTTGCATTCTAGACAAAGTTGAGGGCAGGGTCTCATCGGACAGCGCATTACGCTACGTATGCACTAGCAGATGATAGCAACCGAAGTCTCAAAATGTCTATGTAACCTGAGACTGTTGAAGCAGATGCTGCGCGTCCGCAGTGGCGAACGACGACCAGCAGTATTTGATGAAATGCTCTGGAAATTGTGCATCAGGCACAAACCGCTTCAGGTCTGGCATCATTTCCCTCCTTCTTTCCTCGTTCACCTTCGACATATACATGACGGTAACAGCACGTGCATAGCGAGCCTTGTTGTAAAGTTCCAGCCGCTGCGAAATTTGAGCCGTTGTACTCTCACGCGGGAAGAGCGCACCAAGGGCTGCTCCATCCTCGAAACTTTGGGCACCTCCCTGTCCTTGATCTGCCCTGAAATTAGTTATGACGAAGCAAATGTAAGGTGTTCAGATACTGACGCGGAAGAGTTGGATGAGCGGCATCACCAACAAGCACAAGTCGACTCTTCCAGAAAACGGTTGGCGGTGTCCTTGAGGCCAAGCTCCAGAGTTTTAAATCCTCCGCCATCTTGCACATCTCGATCAGTGGGAGACAAAACCCAGAGTATGTCTCCAGCAAGTCATCGATGTTTGCGCCGGCCAGCCAGGATGATTCTGCCGCACTTGGAAACTCTGAGGTGGGATGCATAGCCACGACGTTCAGTAATTGGCCCTGTCGGCATGGATACAGGACTAGCCGTCTGTCTCGACTTGTGAAGCACTGCAAACCGTCGAGCACGTGTTCAACAAAGAAGTCGCGTGTAAGCTTATTTGCCTGAATCTTCTCCATCGGAACCAGAAATCGAAACGTGTTCTGCCCCGTAGTCTTTTTCTCGTGTGGCGTTCCAGCTACGGCAGTAACTGATCGAGACTGACTTGTTAGTGCGGGTCAACCGCGCTGCCACGGTCATTTGATCTTACATGTATGCCATCTGCTCCCACTATCAAGTCCGCAGTATGAGTTGTTCCATCTTCGAGAACGACAGTCGCAGTATCAGCATTCTGTAAAGTTCAAGCGATCACCATTAGCCCTCTTAGACTGCCAGACTCGCTAGCAATGGAAATAGACTTCAAGTATAGCTTACCACTGATCGGACTTTGCTTGCGAGATGTATGATTGGCTTCTTTCCGTTCACAGTTTCCAGCGCTCGTTTATGGAGGGTGCTGTGCAGATCAACTCTGTGCGATAGCAACCATTCATCTTGTGTACCCAATGCCGCTTGAAGCTCTTTGGTGTCCTGTCGGTGTTAGCGCCTCACTATCCTGGCGATCCAAGCATCACCAACCACTGCCTTGAAGATCAGCTTGCCATTTGAATCGTTGACAGTCAAGTGATGGCAGAAAGCTGGGCTGAGGGTGGAAAAGTCACAACCCCACTCCTTCAGTATTCTTGTCGCATTCGGGGGGATGTGAATAGCTGCGCCGACTTCGTTCATGAAAGACGATTGCTCGAACACCTGCAGTCATCAGCAGTGCCATGGTGAAACATACACATGTCGCCAGCAAGACGAACCAACCGATAACATCAAGGACGACGGGAATGCGCTTTACCTCAACATCATGGCCTTGATTATTCAAAGCTATAGCGGTGCCAAGACCGGCCAATCCTGCCCCAATCACGATGACTTTCAAAGGCATTGCAAAAAAGCTTGAGTAGGCGTAGTGTCAACTGTAGTGACCAGGCAAATAGTTCCCTTAATGGCGGTCACCGCAACATTATCTAGGCATTCCTTGTCTCCATTTGCACCCGAGATTCGTGTAAAACTTGGGTCATGACTCGATAGACACGTCCAGACTCTCAAAACCCGGGTATTGCAGTACCTCGCGGCTTCCGCCCCACACGGCCGACACCAAAGCCATTCTGGAAGTCTACAGACATAAATGTGACATCTGACGAGCTAGCTCCGGCGCGATGGTTTATCTCCGCGCGAGCTACTCACCATAAGAGAGAGCTGAATGACTCTCGCCTTGTCCCAGCACAATTGTTGTTGCTGCTCAATGGGAAATGAAATCTTTCTGACGACCTAAACACCCATTCCAAACGAACATCATGCCTACTCAGCAGGAGATCTCAGCAATCTTTGACAACATTGCCCAGGGCAGATTGGCAGACTTTTTTCTCCATGTGCATCCCGATGTGGACTGGACAGTGAAAGGTTGGCTTTACCATTTCAGCTGACTACATTTTCTTCTGCTCTGGCTCTGCTTTGGCTAAGCACAAAACCTTAGGCACCTTTTGCCCAATCTCGGGTCACTACAAATCGGCAAAAGCATTCCAAGACGGGACGAATGCCCTGAGCAGGACCTGGGCTGTACCCTTGAAATTGGTGATTCAAGACATCATTTCCGATGGCAATCAGGCATGTGTTGAGCTTAAGGCTGTCGATGTTCATTGCAAAAATGGACTTCCATTCACAAACGAGTATGCCTGGATAGTGACTTTTAACGATGAGAACAAGATCGTCAAAGTGCGAGCATACATGGATACGTAGGTTAGGTTCGCACCGTACAAGAGACCATCGCTAACCGCCATCTACAGGGAGTTGGTTACTAAGGCAATCGAGCAGAACCGTTAGATTCGCAAAAACAGATCCAAATTGTGTTTGAGAGTTACGAGCCTGGAGCTACTCATACACCTATGGATTCTATGCGAACGAAACATCGCTCAAGACTTAGACTTGCAGAATATAAAAAGTGATAGAACTCTAAAGGACCCATGATGTCTGCTGGAACACATGTTGCCAATTCGAAGCGTAAATATGATGCTGTTGTTATATATGCGCCGTGTGAGGGATAAGCTCTTTCTGAAGAGATAGAGAAATAAAGGAAGATTTTCGAACTTGAATTTCACCCAGAAGGTGTCTCGAGCAGCACTAGAAATAGCGCAGGCCAAATTGGCGAAGCTCACAAGACCCCTGGATTGAGCAGGGAAGTGCCAACATCAGCCCAGAACCCTTAGCGTCGCTGGCTGTAATGCAATCCTTTACGTGAGAGATATAGGGCAGTAGATGTCGCAGTCAACAGAATTGCCACTCCCAGGATCAAACCCTGTTCAAAGAACGACATTCTCCCGCCTTTGGGCTGCTTGATCTTTCCCAGGTTCAGGTTGTGAGAAGATAGCGAGATTCTATCTGTAGCAGCATTGCATGGCTTGCTAAGAGCCGTTTGAATGATGGGCTTGTTGTTCGAGAAGTCCTCGGGGCGATAGGGAAGCTCGTAAGATTGCCCGGAAGTAGACGGGTTCACTTCAACTGCATGATTCTTGTGGTCAGCAGCAGCTCTGAAATGAGATATTGGGGCTCATACCAGATGCACGCAGAGGAATATCATTCACAAACACTTGCTGAGCATTCGTGAAGCTTCCAATGTAGAAAGCAGATTTCCCATCTGCAAATACGTAAATGGCTTGTGCGCTTCTTGTACCATTTCTCGAGGGCTGTTAGCCAATGAATTATATGCATGCGGGCTAGAGAAAGAGTACAGGAACATACACTTTGTTGAACATGTCGATGCCATGATCAAGACTTCGAATGGGTATCAAGAGAAGCACCTTGCCTGCCGCTGATATTGCCTTGGTGGCCTTGCCAACAGTCTCCGCTGTGATTGAGCTGCTGCAGGTGTTAGAATTGATCAATCCATCGCGAACGTCACAGGAAATGGCTTTACTCTGTATTGCTTATTTGAATGACCGGAGAATTCGACTTCTTCGCACGCTGCTCGTAAGATGCAGGGAATGTTGCTTTGATCGACTTGAGCATTTCCTTAAGACCAGACGAACCTACCCCGGTATTTTTCTGCAAGTCTGCTGTATATGTTGCCTTTTCCAGCAGACTTCCCAACTCCTCGGTCAAGAATTCGTCCACGAAGCACATACGTGGCATTTTAGATGTATCGCTGCGTGAACTTTGTAGCACCATTGCATGAAGATGCGCCGCAACATTTTCCAAGTCCTTTGTGGTTCGGTCAACGAATATTGCTGGCAGACCTGTAGCTGGTTCATGGATGCGTATGGACGGGTTGACCTCCAATAGTGCCTTTTTTAACTCTTCCTTGTCGTCCGAACTTTGCAAAACAGCAACCCCAAAGTGCCGCGATATCAAATCTTTCAACGGCTCTGGCTGACAGTTGAGAACAACGCCAACAGCCTCATGATCGAAGCTCTCCAAAATCAATTTCTGCAAAAGGTTGTTCGTACTCGTCGTCGAAGGCTCGAGTAGTACCACCACGGCACTTCCAGCCGCCACGGCAGCAGCTAGAGGAATCATCGTCGAGGAAAATGGACAATGTGTTGCTGGGACAATGAGGGTCGGTCCTAAGGCGAACAAATTGGAGGATATGCTATGTCCTGCCTTGATTGACCGTTCAGTGCATAAGGCGCCGGGAAAGTCCAAATCACCATATAGAGCTTTTATCACATCAAGCACCAGTCTCAACTCTTCGGCCGCGGCCGCTGGTGTGGTGTGGAGGTCTGTCCTTGCAGATTAGTAAGTAGGACAAAGGAACAATCGCAGCCTGGATTGAGGTTGTAAACGGACCTTGACCGATCGCCTTGACAAGCTCTGTACTTTGTTTCTTGACATTGGTGTGCAAATTGGCAAGCTCCTTCTGTCGTTGGAGAACGTTCTCCAATCGACGTTCCATCCATGCTGTGTTAACTCGTTGATACACTGTTGACGCCGACATATTCGATACAACCATACATACAATTGAGGATAAGATCACCACCTTCAGAGCACCGAGAACTTTTTTGGGATAGCAAAGGGTGTTGTTCAAGACACGGTCTGTAAATCAGCCGCTAAGGCTCCGTGGTGGCCGGGTAGCCTTTGCGGATCACTGCCAGCCCGGTTCGGCTCCACGAATTTGGGACTAAGATCTGATGGGATTGCCTTCATATCCCATTTGGGATTCAACTCACGCTGGAGTGGCAGGCAATCAAAGCTCCAAATATTGCATGGTCAGATTTCAGTGGTTGATTGTCGCCTTCAGCAGCTGACAATCATCATCAGCTTCATCAGTCGCGATCATTCGCCATGGGTAGCATAGAGAAGAAGAAAGGTCAGCGCAATACACTCCTGCGGTATACTCCAGCTAACGCCAACCCTTAGCGACACCTGTTTTTTTATTCTCACATGGATCGACAATGATGCTGGGAGAGGAGTCGGAACCCGCGAGAGTATGGGAGGAAGTTGGACAGGAAGCACTTCGACGAGGAGTCAAGCGAATTGTTATGATGGTCAGTCATGGGTCGAGTGCAAGCATGTTTGTTCAAACTAACGATTAGATAGGGGGCGCATTGGGATGCTATGGGAGATTATATCGATGTCAGCATGAATCCGGATGCTAAATTACTTCCCGTGGGATCCGTTAAGGACGATCGATACCTTCCCTACAAAATGGTTGCTGACCTGAAGGGAGCTGAACGTGTTATTACTCTCCTTCGAGCGGCGGGTATCAAGGCACGACCTAACCGACAATTCGACTGGATACACGACACATTCCTAGTCATTATACGCATGTTTCCACGTTGCCTACCCTTGCCAACAACGATTGTGTCAATGAACGCTCGATACGACCCTCACTTCCACCTAAAAATTGGTGCAGCATTGAGCCCTCTACGCTATGAAGATACGCTGATCATTGGAAGTGGGGGTTCGGTGCACAACCTCTATCACAACCATTTCTATCAAATGATCCAATGGAGAGACAATTTTGCTCAACCTGTACCCCCAGAGCCGTGGGGACTCGAGTTTCGCCAAGCTGTTGAAGATGTCATTACTCAAAACACTGGACCGGAACTACGTCGAGCGATGACGAGACTTATGAAACATCCGAGGTACAAGATGGCCCACGGGACAGATGACCACTGGATGGCCTCGTTATTTGCAGCTGGGGCGGCTGGAGGCGAGGACGACGTGGGCCCCAATGTGTTGATGGCTGAGTGTTGGGAATTGGTCAACATGTGCAATACACAATACCAGTTGGGTCCATGGGATTAAAGGAATTAAAGGAAATCATTCGAAAGCATCTCCTCAAAGTGAGCGAGCCTCCCGGATGTCACAGTTGATGCTTTGTACCTGATCAATTCAATGACGATAGCAGACATTGATAGGATGTTCGAGTTACATTTGCTTCCGTAAATTGCCCTTGTATCTTGAAATTCATTTTATCATTCGGTGCTGAAAAGGGGCTTCCGATAATGCTCTCCAACCAATCCATGCCATTCTTACACAGGTGGTGCTTAAATCCATTCACCATTCTCCACCAACCTTAGTTAGACCATAATCAGTGAATCTACCTGCTGTATTTCTCCAGACCAGAGACCATGCCTTGATCGCCCAAAGAGGTTATATATCTGCTCGTGCATACACTTGGGACTTGAGTACTAACCGTTATCAGGGAGCATCCACGAATCATAATACCTCCTACTATCATAAACATTAGACCTTGCTTTCTCTCTTCGAGATCAAGCTCCCTATTTACTGGGCGAAAATTCGGAATACTTCGGTGCCTATTGTTCCACCAAACTGGATTTGAAGTTGGGTATGGAACGGTAGGGTGCACAGCAAGGGTGGGATCGAAGGCAGCCGGTTGTGCCTGTCGCCAAACGCCGTGGACGACTTCTATTTCGTCGCTCAGTCCTTCGTGTTCTTTCTCTGGAGAATGATGGATATCGTAGTCTCGAATTAGGCTCAGGGTGAGCGGTTCGATACGCTGATTAGGTGGCTGGTCTGCGTGCAGAGTTGTGGTTGTACTGAAAACAGCCGCCATGTTTAGGCCTGGGCTAAGAATATGAGCAATGTTTGTTATCAAAGAGTAACGTCTGCGGCATTGTTTGTTCTCGAGATTATGTCTGGCCCCCAACTTTTCGAGACCATTCACATGCACAGGCGATATGTGAACGCTGTGGGCCCGACCCGAGCGTCCCACTGAACCCGAGCTTGACTGTGTAAAGACTGGATTTCACGACGTGACGGCAGATCTTCGGCGGAAAACAGTCACATTTCTACATTAGTTGAAAGTGCATAAACATTCCATGCTTTTAGAACGTTCCAAGAAAACTTTGTCAAGCTTGCAAAATTCGAAGCGCGGAAATCGTTCAGGATGACACAAAATCATGCCGGGTTGATAGATACGGAATCCTTTCCGTACATCTTTATGCAAGATGTAGAGATACCATTGAAAACTTTCGAGAAGGGCTTTTTGAGATGCAATGTATACTCACCGAAAGATGCTGCTCCATCTGGCAGCAAGAAGTACCCTGTTATTGCGACTTATGGCCCCTGTATGTATCTTCCTATGTCTGAAACTGAAGTGATATCACTGAACAGCCCTTGTAGATGGAAAAGATGTTTCCTATGAGAGCTTTAATAAAAAGAGTTGGGACCAGCTGAATACAGAGATGAAATCGGCTCATTCATCCTGGGAAACACCTGATCCTGGCTACTGGACTAAGCAAGGCTACATCATCGTGCGCACCGATGAGAGAGGTTCTGGACAAAGTCCAGGTCTTCTCGACACCATGTCTCGAGGCACATCGGAAGCTTTCTTTGATGTTGTTGAGTGGTGCTCGGAACAACCATGGTCGACTGGAAAAGTTGGTCTGCTTGGTATTAGCTACTTTGCAGGTACTCAATGGAGGGTAGCAGCACGCAAACCGAAGGGCCTAGCTGCCATAATTCCTTGGGAGGGTATGAGTGATTACTATCGGGACAGAGTAAGACATGGGGGTATATTATCTGATAGATTTATTGGTAAGTCTATCTGATATCGTGGTGGTATAGCCTAGATTCTCTAACTCGATTCATCCGGCCTAGACTTTTGGTGGAAGAATGGTGTTCAGCCAAATCAATATGGAATGCCCGGTCGGGCTGCTCGTAAGTGGGGACGAGACACGATCGAGGGCGACCTTGATAAGGCGACTTTGGAACAAAACAGACGAAACCAAACCCTTGACACAGTAACTCATAAATTTCGAGACGAGGACTACTACAAGACAAGAGACTATTCACCAGAGGATATAACAACTCCACTGCTCAGCGTTGCCAATTGGGTAAGCTGAGCTGCTGAGATATTTTACAACCGCTGACTCGTTGGAAGGGCGGTATACTACTTCACCTCCGCGGCAATGTTCTGGGCTGGATGAGAGCCAGCTCCGAGCACAAGTTTCTCCACTTTATCGTTGGCAGGCACGATCTTCCTTTCTACTACGCCCATTGTGCTCGACTGCAACGCTCATTCTTCGATTGCTTCTTAAAAGGTAATGATGAAGATGGCTGGAAGTCTGGAAAGCAACCCAGAGTCAAGCTATGTCTACGAGAAGGCGATGCAGGAGTCGACGATCCGGAACGAGAATTGTTATTCCCTCATCGAGAGGAGATAGATTGGCCTATACCCGACACAACATATACCAAGTACTACCTAACTGCAGAGCAGCAACTTTCAACAACTAGCCAATCGAATGTTACGTCTTTTGCATACGATGCCATGGAGGGGTAAGTTTTCGTCTATCAGCAAAATTCGGGGAGCGATAGCTAATAATCAAAACTGTTCAAAGGAAACCGCTATGCTTTACACATAAGACCTCGGCGAGGCTCGAAATAACTGGACACATCGTGGCACATTTGACAGTGAGTGCGTCTCGTTCGAAGGCAGATGCGTCGCCTCCGTCTGACATCGATCTGTTCGTTACCCTTCGCAAACTCGACCAATCTGGAAATGAAGTCTACTTTACGGGTACGATGGGAGACCCTGTGCCGATTACGAAAGGTTGGTTGAGGATGTCTCTGAGGAAGACAAACGCCACGAATCCAGGGCATCACAAATATCTGCCTTATCGGGATTACTTTAGCACGGACGTGGAAAAAATTGCCGAAAATGAACATTATGAGGTAGATGTTGAGATCTGGCCAACCAACGTAGTGTTGGAATCCGGCCAGAGTTTGGTATTTGAAGTGGCTGGGCATGACACGCAAGGAGTGGGCAAATTTTCTCATGAGCATCCTGAAGATCGCAAGCCAGAGGATTTCGCGGGCATCAACAGCATACACATCGGTGGGAACCATAGCTTCATCACGTTGCCTGTAATTGCTCGTGGCTAACATGAACAGCGAGAGAAGCTGGAAATTAGGAGAATAGATACGACAGACAAAAAGTGGCTAGAAGACTAACGGCGACATTATTCTTGAAATTCGTCGCCTTTGGAGTTGTGACCCGTGAAACGTGATTCTGCTCATTGAAAGGCACTACGACGCGGGCTTTTCGTAGTTTGTAGTATTTTAGGAGGAACACAAATGCCATGAAGTCCAGCTAGATAACAGCGTTGAGCGATTCATTAAATATCGAATAACTAATAATGACTTCGCAATATCTAAACAGGTTTTCGAGTTAAGAAATGGTTTCCTCCCGCCATCTAACTGGGGACTAGATCTCTCTTGGTGCTTTTAGGCAGCTTGACCATGGACTTTGTGAGACTCAGCCTAACACCGGCTCAAGCACAAGTGCCTCAAGCGGCCGGAAATAGTTCTACGCAGCTTCGCGACTGAAACATCGTCTGTCTTTTGTGGGGCCGAGGTCACTCAGCTTTATCCTCCCCATTGAGATGCTAACCAAGGGTCAAGCCATGTTACAGGAAACAAGCCCATGCGTCAACGGCTCCACTGATCCAAGCCTCATACATACAAAATATATTTCTACATATAGTAACCACGATCAGATTTTGTGAAAGCTCTATCCTGGGAAGCGTGATTCCGATACTACCGAAATACCTAGAAGCTTCAGCAAGATTAAAGAAAAGATGTCTTTACGTATTGCAGGATTTGAAACAGCTATAGCCCCTACGATACCATTGACAAACAAAGAAGCTCTAGGGAAATATGATCCATTCAATCCGAGCAAAAAGACCATCAAGAAGGGATACCGCCAATCAGAGGATGTCGCCACATTCCAGGTCGATACTATCTTCGAAAAGGACTATGCTATTCCTCTGCGAGATGGGGTGAAGATCTACGTCGATATATTCCGACCGACTGGGAACGAAAAGGTTCCTGCCATTGTGATCTGGAGCCCGTATGGAAAGTCTGGTAATGGTAGGTGTTCCATCCATCGATGCGATATCAAAGTGTATTAATAGGCTCAACTCAGGCCCCAATAGTCTAGACATGCTTCCAGGACGCTTCGGAGTTCAGAAAGATCGCCTTAGTGGATACGAAAAGTTCGAAGGCTTGGATCCGGCTGAATGGGTGGCGAAAGGATATGCGATCGTTAACGTAGACTTGAGAGGCTCATGGGACTCTGAGGGTGTTGTTCCGTAAGTGTGCTATCTCCAAACTGCAGATCAGTGTCATGTCACTAACATCGATGCTGAACAGGTGGTTAGGCGAACAGGATGGAAAGGACGGGTACGATGCAATTGAGTATATTGCTCAGCTTGACTGGTGCACCGGCAAGGTCGGTACTGCTGGCAACAGCTGGCTTGCCATGTCCCAATGGTTCATCGCTGCGCAGCAACCACCGCATCTCGCAGCAATTGCTCCATGGGAAGGTGCGGCTGACTTTTACCGTGACACACTAGCTCGAGGTGGAGTACCCTACCCCTATGATACGATGTGGGGATTCCTTCAAAATACCCAAGTGTCGCGTAATGGCGTCGAAGGCGTCATTCAGATGTTGGAGAGATACCCGCTTTACAATGAGTATTGGGAGGATAAGCGAGCCAAGGTGGACAAAATAACGGTGCCGGCTTACGTGCTTGCAAGCTACTCGAGTGCGCTTCATACAACGGGATCTATTCGTTCTTTCAATGAGCTAGCATCTAAGGATAAATGGTAAGCTATACAAGTCTGCTCAGAACAAAGGGTCAAACATTACCCTCTAGGTCGTGCCAGTCCACTGACTTTCTGGTCCTTTGGCAAAATAGGTTACGAATTCATCCTAGACAGGAATGGTCAGACCTTTATAAAGAGGAAAACACCGTGGAGCTGGATCGGTTCTTCGCCCATTTCCTCAAAGGGGTTGAAAATGACTTCACTCAAGTACCAAAAGTCCGAGTTTCGTTCTTAGGTTTCAACAAAGTGAGTGGTTACCAATTTTCTTATCACTTCTCACCGAAAGCTGACATGGCCTTCAGGACTATGAGGAGAATATTGTCTTCCCCGAATATCCGATACCTCAAGCCAAATATACAAAATTCTATCTTGGGAAAGATTCAAAGCTTCACGAAGAGCCCTCAGACGAGATTGGTACTCTTTCTTATGATGGAAGCTATTTCCCAAAGCAAGACGACAACGACCTGGAAGAAATCTTATTCAGCCACAAATTCACTAAGCCGACATGGTTAGCTGGCTATTCATGGCTTGTCATTCACGTCTCGAACGCCACCGAAGACGATTTCGACGTCTTTGTGCAGGTTAGGAAACTAGATGCAGTGGGAAAACTTGTCCAGAATATGAACGTACCACTGAAAGACTTTGTTCCACCAGTCTCGGACCCTTCAGAGGTACACAACTCGTGTTTCCTCAAATATCTTGGGGCGCCCGGAACATTGAGGGCTAGTCATGCCGTCAGTAAGATCCCAACTTCAGATAAAAGGCTTGGGGACTGGCCAGAGTACTCCCACACGAAGAGAGAATCGATTGTTCCTGGAACTATCACTCGGCTTGAAGTGCCCGTCTGGCCCACTGGAATCATTTTTGACGCAGGTGAATCCCTCGTCGTGAAAATTGCGGGTCACTATATGGGTATGATGGAGTTTGACTCAATGGCGGGAAAATCGCATCACAACAAAGGCATACAGACTCTTCATTTTGGCGGTAAATATGACAGTCATTTGGTTGTGCCACTATTGGATCCAGTCAAGAACTAGGCGGTGAATCAGGCGGCATAATCTCGAGGGAATCAGAATAGAGCATCTATCCAATGAAAATATACAATGTCAAACCTGATAACTCGCAATCTTCCAATGGTCCTCATAATTGCAGTGTGAGTGGCTCAATCAGCAGTTACGTGCTTAAAGACGTATGATTGTAATGACTATTCTGCGAGCTGGTAAAGATTGGCCTGGCTTACTGCTCGTCGTGGCCGGCCTTTTATGACTTCGCCAGGTCGTACATGAATTCGGAAGGCTGGCCATATATAAGGGGTTGCTTAACATTGTCAAAGAAGTCATACGATCAAAGACTCGCCAAATGATTGAAAGTGACCAACGAGACAAAACAGGTTTGTAAACCTCAGCATGTGACAGCATTCCCCGAGACTTGATTTTATTCGTGAAGAATGCGGGCGTAGCACTCGAACTCCTCTACAGGCTCGCCAACAACTACCAGTCTTTTCTCCAAGTTGGCCTGATGTTCTCCGGATATCCTTCTTCTCCCAGTTCCCTGCCGTCTTTCTCAGGTGCGACAGACGGCATAAGCACAAATACGACTCTTGCAGCTCTGTCACTCAAATTATTCCATTGATGGATAGTCTATTCGACACCTGTCAGCAGTATTCAACCACAAAGACAACGTTTGATTCTTACAGCCTGCTGGACAACAATATCTCCTGCACGAGCGATGGATCGACTACCATCCTCAAGCACTAGTTCCATCTCTCCGTCTAGAATAATGCCATAATCAAGACTGAGCGTGCGATGATTGTGTCCTTGTGAATTAGCTGGGAAGTCGACGACACGGATCAGAGACCCAGATGCATAGATATGAACTTTCCCTTCAGCAGCATCCTTGGTCGCGAGTTCAGCTGGATATTTCTCATGTTGCCATATCGTTCTTGCATTAGACGCGAAGCCCGCAATGAGCTCTTGCTCGTCTTCGAGTAAAAGTCCAGATTTGAGGTCATTATGTGTGGTGACTATGCGTCTGACCTTAGAGCCTGTTTCTATACCCATGGGCGCTGACTCGTATCTGTGTTCGTAGAGTTTCAGATGGTGTGTTTCCAGCCAGCCCTGTTATTGTTGTGATAGTCCACACCTCTAGAGTTGGAGACGTCGTATTATCATTTTTCACTTTGATGTCCGTGTCTCCTTGCCAAGCGTTGTCGGAATACCGAGTGATCCACACAGTCTGGCGTTTCAGTCACATTTTCTCGTGTATGCCTCTCGTGGAAGCATGGCCAATCTTGCGCACGCCCGAAAGCCGGCTCCACACGGGTCCTGATTGCCACGCCCATAATATTGTCTCACGAAAGCTTGGCCAATGTTGCTAACAACCAAGCTGCATTTCATCATTGCTCAAAGCTTGCGTGGCCGACAAGTCCTTTCCACGGAGCTCCTTGGAGGCTTCATGGTGCCCAATCTGAAGTGACACCAGACATACTACACCCAGGTGGCAGATTGTAGCCTGCAATGCCGAAAAGCATATTCGGGTCTGCATGCATCCTTCACTGGATTTAGTTACTAGTGGGTCTTCCCCGATCAAGCTTGGTTCGTACATTCTGGGGGTGCAAAAGCCGACGACTACCTCCGACAAACTGTGGAGAACCGCGATGATGTAGCTATCGTGGGATTGGTATCTCCGTGACCACTCACGGCTCCACTCCCTAAGTAGTCCATTTCGGGAGCAGAATTGACTAGATGTCTCTTTTTTGGTTGCCGGCTCGACATTTTCTCCTACTAAGAAGTCCTCTTTTAGATTGCAACGCGGGTTGCAAAAAAACGAGGCCATGAACTACCCATTGTGTCCCTTCCCTGCTCCGTCAACATGCTTAGAAGTTGCGCTTTCACTAACGATCAAAGAGAAGGCCATGGTCTGGACATGATGCTAAGATTTCGATGATAAAGCACAAAGTAATACTATTCTAACTAGTAAATATCCCTTCAATTGCATAGCCAACAGGTAGATGAAGGATGAGACATTTCGGGCTATTGACGTATTGGCACACCTGCAGTGGTATCGAGCTCTACGAAAGTGATCAATATTGTCCGCAATACCGGACTGGGCATTGCCTAATGAAACAGCAGTAAGAAGATCATAAGGGAGAAATCAGAATGTGAAAAGTATCTCACAGTCGAGTTCCTTGTAGTCTGTAGCGCTGATCTACTTTGTTACGGATCTCTATGCCTTGAGTCCGAACTTACCCTTGGCGAAAATTGCGAGTGCTCTCCATCGTATGTCCTATTTGCCAATTGAAGGAAAACTAGTGGAAGCCGACTAGCATGAGGTGTAAGGATGGAATGTTGTACTACTTTAGATTTAGCCTGCAACGTAAGAGTGAGCTACGGGGACAGGAGAATTTGTTGCAAAGAATTTTGACTTTTATATCAAAACTGCAAATAGGGATGAAGACTTAGATTGTCCTTGTCAGCCGCAATTGACCATCAAATGAAGTATTGAACTGACTTCTCTCTGATCGAGCGATCCTCTCGTACTCAATCTCTACAAGGCTTTATCTCAACCCTTGAGTTCATAACGGTCAGGAACAACATGGGCATACAGTGTCTAGAGACTGGCAAGTTGTCATGGCTTCTACTCTGTAGCATTTGAGTCTTTCTCCACCTCAAGAGGAGCCTCAACGTGCATTGTGAAGTCTCCCTTATGATCAATCAAGAAGGCAGCGGCTAGGACAGACTGGTTAGTTTGGTTAAAAGCTCGTAAAGGGTCTAGTACTTGCCAATCACAGCTATAGCAGAGACTGCCAGACCAAATGCATGGACAGGGCGCAGTGATAGCAGGTATGCATGTTGTAAGGCATGCGCGCCAGCTCCAATGATCTGTGGTGTGACCCCAGGAATAGCCCCAAGTACAGCACTGTCATGACCACTCAAGGCTTGTATGAATAGACCTAGGTTCTCGGGACTCACTCCCAATGGTAGCACTGCTTCGGCGATTTCATGTGGCAGATTCTTGGATATTTGCGAAGAGAAGATGGCGTTCGCAATTGGGAGGCAGATAGCAGCACCAAATGATCGGGCAGTGATGAGTGCTCCGCTACCAATCGCAAGAAGCTCAGGAGGTGCGCTGAACTGGGCAGCGACGACAACAAGCGTCAGACAACCACCTAGTCCTAGACCCAGAAACACGGGATATCCATAAACATTCTTGGAGTCACCCAAACGCAGCGTCAACATAGTCACTTGGATTTTGTCAGTGATTCTCTGGCAATTTTTAGGGGTGTACCTACCATAGAACAGCACAAAACCAGAATAAGACATGACCACAGGCCATCTGAGTGATCTGCTCCAAGAGCAGTAGATAGAAGCCAGAATTGTGCTGACAGTGGCGCAGATGAAGACAATGCTGAAGTTGAAGCCCACCATGATTGGATTCGTGCTGTAAAGAACAGAGACTTCCAGCGGAAGGAAGGTGTTTGCCACAAAAAACGCCATCCCCTCAACGAATATTAGGAATAGTGCGATAGAAAAATTTCGATCATGTCTGAACAACTTGTGGTTGAACAAACCGTCTTTCTTGACAAATGCCTCATACCCAACAAGTGCTAAGAGAAGAACGATGCCAACAATGAATGGGCCGAGAACGTGACCATTTTTCCAACTGTACGGATTGTCAGACCAGGTGAGGCCAATAACAAAAACCGTGACTGATACGGGGAGCACAATAATGCCGACCCAGTCCAACCTCTTCAGTTTTTGACTTAGTGTGAAATTGACCTGTTCGAAGCGTGATGGTGGGTTGTATAAAAAGAGGAAAGCGGCTCCTGCAAAGGCAAATAGTCCAGTCGTGAAGTACCAGACGATGCGCCAACCGTCAATACTATGATTAGTGACGGCAGACCCCATGAGAAGTGCGACAATTGCGCCAATAGCAAAGATACCAGTGAGACCTCCTTGAGCTGCGGGACGAAATCGTCTTGGTAGAATCTCCGAGGCAATTGCGAAGAGAAGTGGCTGAGTTCCAGTGGAGCTACTTGCTAGCACATTTCCTGCCAGTGCAGTCTCGATATTGGTAGCGCGCGAGACTATTACACAGCCAACGATAGCCAGAACACATGAAACGAACATAGGCCATTTGCGGCCCCAGTAGTCGGCAGCTTGAGCAACCGGAGAACCAAGTGCGAGATTGATGATTGGGACTGTTTGCGACATCCATTGCGATTTAGACTGGCCGCCAATATCGGCAACCATACTTCGGGTTAGCTTTGTACGGATGGTCAGTGTGTTGCCGGAAAGGTAGGCCGGTGAAACTTACGAGTCCTGAAGTCACAATAACCATCATTTGTGCAAATCCAACGAAAAGCACAGCCTATTATGTTTAGTCCCCCTTGTATCTGCTTGAGATTCGATGCACTTACAAGATAGACAATGATGCATTTGGGAGTGAGGCCGTGATAGTTGTTCTGCTCAATCGTGGGGATTCGCTCAAGATGATTCGGAGTTTCGTCATCGTTACTACTGATCAGATCTGGTTGTTTCTCAGATGCATTCAGATGAGAGTCCATGGCTTAAATCCTTTGCTCGACCAATGAGATAGCAGTCACAATGGTAGTATTGCAAGGATGGTGAGTATTGGAAGAAGGAAGAAAATTCTATCAGGAGATGGAAGACTTGATATAGCATCACAATAGCCAAGCCGAAAGCAAAGAAAGGGAATGGTGGATATAGGGATGGTAGAGAGGGTCTTCCTTTGGTTGGTAAGGTTCTGAACATGAACCTAGAGAGGCGGATGAAGAAATTCTCCCAGAGACTGCCGACAGTTCTTGCCAGGAAAAAACGAATGCCGAACGTTCAATAATGTGTCAATTTTGTTAACTGAAGCGATATTCACGAGCTCGGGAGAGCGTCGAATTATCCGAAGTGTGTGATGCCTGAAAAAGGCTGCCAACCACTACTTCGAGTGTTACAGCTTGGTATATTCCATCATTGGCATGGCACTTTTTGGCCAGACTCTTTGATAGCCGAGCAGTCTTTTCCTACACACTTCTTGTCAAGAGACTGGTCCAAGAGACGACTGAACATCAATTTTGGGGCTAGGCTCGGCTCCACCGGGTACTCCTCAGCCTTGCTGGAAAAGCTGATTTACCTTAGGCAACTGCGCGGCGTAACGGGACCCATGAGGCGCCACTGACTTACCAGATACTCGCAAGACTGACGAGTCACAAGTAGCGCCACGCTGACCGGCTTCACAGGACGACATACCCCACAGACTTCCGCACTGCGTGAATGACTTCCGCGATGCAAGTCTGGCAATTGGAACTCTGAGATCCTTGGGACTGGGCTCATGGGGTTCAAATCGAGCAATCGCATTGTGAATTGATTCACAGGCACGGCACAGGCAGTTTCGTAGTGAGGCTCGCATGAATACACTATATGGACATATACGATCTTTCTTTGTGGGCATGACGTGCCCCCACTTCAAAGACAAGCTTCATTGCTCTACGTGGCCCAATACGCAGGATATGATATTTGAGGTATGGCATATAGTATCTCGTGAGCTGCGTGCAAGAGACATAATCTTCTGCTGCCTCAAAGTACGAATGAGTCCCTGTTATATGCTGTTTATAACGATGCGCTAGCGCCATCTAGATCTAACACTATTGGGAAGTAGCGTTTAAAGACATATGTCGGGTCGTATTTCGCCTGTATGTGACCTTAGTGTCAGAACAAAACGGAGGTCCGTATGGAAGACCTACCTTGATTCTCCGCAAGCGAAAGTAGTGTTGACCCCAGACATCCTCGCTTTTCTCAATCAACATGCTCGCGTTGCCATTGACTCCCAAGTCTCGTGCTCCATATCGTTTCTCATACGAACGTACCGCATTATTCATTTCGTGAGTCCACTGTTCAGCACGTTGATCTCCAGCTGGGTCATGATGTCTGTCCATTCATGAGTATTCAACGTCCATCAAAGAGAATGCATCTAACCTACTCTTCGCTCGATACGCACATTCCATGTCTTGGTACATCGACTGGTATACATGTTGTTTCCTACTCACCAGATTCATGAGTGATGCAGCAAGAGAAACGTGCTGAGTGGGATCTGGTAACTTACCGGACGCTGCCGCTTACTGTTGTGAAATTCCAGAAACACTTTTGTTTGTCTTGCATCTGGATTTGCGTCTGTGTAGCTCATCCAACGATCCCAAACTTCTTCTGCCATTCCCGGCCATAGACTGGTGATTGGAGCACCCCCATTGGCTTTCCGCGGTGCACCTTGAAGTAATAGATCATCAATGACATGACTAAACTCGACCAATGATGGGCAATGTGTTGTATGATTGAGAAATTGTGTTCCAGCTTTGAGAAATGGCTCAAAAACATCCTCGAAGTCTTCGACAGCACCGAGCCCAAAGAAGTTCAGTATGATTAGTGCCTGTGATACACATCAGCGTACTTGCGATGTGAAAAAAGCATTGAGAGTTCTCAAACCTCACTGTGTGGCGGTGGACCGCGAACGAAGTTTAAAAACACTAATATCTGTCTTTCAACCGGAATGCGTGCAAGAAAACTCTAGACGTACCCATCAGCACTTGCAAAATTCATTACCATCTATCATCACTCACTCTCAGTTCAGAAAAGACTTTTACTCGGGCATCAGCTGTAAAGCCAACAGATTTGAAGAAATAGGGGCCCTGCAGGATAGTGCGTTAGACGACGTTTGTAGCAAAAGCGGATCCGACCTACTTGATCAGGATATATTTTGAGCACGAACTCCGTAACAACGCCGAATGAGGAAGAGCCGCCTGGAGAGGATGATCAGCATTGAGGACAAAAAATGCTTTACTATTCCTTTCAATACCTCTGATGGCGAAGAACAGATCGGAGTTCTCTATTTCGCTGGCTCGGAGTATTCTTCCATCTGCAACGACGACGGTGGCTTCAATGACATTATCACATGCTGCTATGAATCAGACCCATGTGCAACCAAGGCCAAATGGACAGGAGATTTACCCATGCCGTATTTGAAGGACAAGGGCCCGTAGCCGCCTGCAAATCATATGTCAGTTGTCTAGTATTATTTGAAGTGCTTAGGCACCTAACCCCCCGTGATGTGACCACCAACGCCCACCACGTGGACACCGCCTCCAACGCAGACAAGGCGTTTGTCGCGTAATGCTGTATAGACGTCCCCCCATAGACAGCCGCCTCCTATAGTCACCTTCATAGCGGCCTTGTCAATTGAGACGCTCTTGAGGGCACCCATATCAATTACAAGGCCATTTTCGATGCTGCTGGCGCTTGAATAATGGTGACCCCCACACTTGACAGCAATCTCTAGCTTGGAACTAGTTTCGAATCAGAAGTCTACCAGCGGTACCTCTGAAAGGGATTCTACCGTGCTGCAAATCTTATTGCCAAGGAGACAGCTTCTGTAGAAGCTGGAAATGCAATCAGTGCAGCTTTGCATTCGGCTGCAGCATTGGCACGAAGCGATGCTGGTGCGAATTCGGCGGACGAAGGACTCAGTATACGGTCTGAGAAGCCCATTTCCCGGAGCGCACCTTCGGCCATGTTGTCGATAGAGTTCTGATGGCTTTGCTACCACTGTCAGTGCACAAAACCACCACATTTACTTTATATCAGTCTTCTTTTTACACCCTGCATCTGCGCACTAACCTTTCCCAAACGATCAGACCCTTAATCCTCGGTCGTGGAGTGCCGGTCCAGATCAGTGGAGCCGTAGTCCGAACACGTTAGCCCCATTCCTAGGCACGTGGAATTCACTAGAGGGTCAAGTACTTATTCTAATATCACTGGTTGAAACTTCCAAGCTGAGGTGGCATGTACTAGTCTAAAACAATCTATTGCCTGGTACTCATCAGCATACGTCCTTCAATTATGTTAGTCATATGAGGCATTTATGCGACTTTGGGACAATCAAGGTATAGTTTTCGAGTTCCATACCTTCAGTAGTACACTTGATTTGGACGCGCGAGCACTCGGTGTCTCCACACGTACTGGTCCTTGTTCCTCATCTCAATCGCTTTGGGCTCAGTGTTCCCGCCTCCTTCGTAAAGCTTCCAGCCGCCCTTTGGATAACTTTGACCGCCTCTGGATAAGCTGTGTATACCTCGAGTGGACTGACACAGACAGTCGTGCCGAGCGAGGAATGGCTTTATAGATAAGGCCGTGAAAGATCCGCGGAGCATCTGACTCGAACAAAGAGTTCATAGGGACTTTCGATATGTTGTATTCTGTCACCCGCCAGAGCATGATACCTTGCGACCCAAGTCGTCCGGTGACCATAAAGAGTGATATGGTCATGTTACCAGGAATAAACTTGTGACAAGAGCTAAAGATATGTTCTATACTGAATGAGTTCGAAAATTGTAAGTGTATTAGGCCGTGTGGAGCAGACAGGTGAGGAAACATTGGGTAAAGTAAGGTGATTCACAAGAGCGTGAAATTGTGATCAGCCATATAAAATCTACTGTCGCCATGCCCATGGTTTACTAGAACCCAAGCCCTCTGCTCAACTTCTCCTTTGGCTTCTCCCGGCTCCACACAAATCTCCAATTCAGTCGTTGAGCATATCGAGGGGCTAATACTATTATCCTTTCAGTCCTTAATTCGTATTGATTTTGTAATGAATGTATTATGAATCTCGAGTACATAGGTAGTCTTTTTGCTGTAGTAGTCTAGGCTCAACACTGGTACTCTATCGTAATGCTCCATAATCTGACGTAGTGGCTCGGAATATGTACCAGCCCGGGTGATTTTTCAGTGGGTGCACAGAATAGCCAGATGTTAGAGCTCAAAGTAGCCCCACCGCGCCTGGACGGTGAGGGGCATCCAGAACTTTTTCGAACTTGATGCCAGAATTGATTCGCCTCTGCTGTAACAATATCCTCCTTGGGTAACAATTACTTCGACTATTCAGCAATACATATAGCAACAACACCGCACCACAATGGCCGTCGAAACCATCACAACGATCTCCCCCACCACCAACAAACCCATCCTCACACGCCATGGCCTCTCACCGGAAGACATCTTGAAACTCGGGGCCACGGCGCAAGAGGCGCAGAAAGCCTATGTCCAGAGCCACCCAACGCTCGAAAGCCGGCGTAAGATCGTGACAAAAGCGCTCGAGATTCTTTTGAAGAGACAGGACGAGCTGGCCCGCGAACTTACAGAACAAATGGGCCGACCCATCGCGTACACAGCGAAGGAGATCACCACCGCGGTCAAGCGAGCAGAATACCTCAACAAGATCGCTCCAGAAGAGCTTGAGAAGGAATACCCCGGCGAGGCGGAGGCTGGGTTTAAGCGATACCTGCGCAAAGAACCCGTCGGCGTGGTGCTGGTGATTTTCGCATGGAACTATCCGTACCTGATCCTGGTCAACAGCCTCATCCCCTCGCTCCTGGCGGGCAACAGCGTGATTTTGAAGCCCAGCCCGCAGACGCCGACGATCGCAGAACACATCTTGGACATCTTCACCGAGGCCGGCCTGCCCAAAAACGTCATCCAATATCTCCACTGTGGATCGCCGACGGACCTACGACCCCTGATACTCAGCGAGGACGTCAACCACATCTGCTTTACTGGCTCCGTCGCCGGTGGGCTGGCCATCCAGGGCATCGCATCTTCGCGCGTCAACGTCTCCGTCGGGCTTGAACTTGGTGGAAAAGACCCGGCGTACATCCGATCAGACGTGGACGCCGCTTGGGCTGCCGAGGAGATCGTCGACGGCGCGATCTTCAATTCCGGCCAGTCCTGCTGCGCCGTGGAGCGCGTTTACGTACACGAAAGCATATATGATTCGTTCGTGTCCGAGGTCAAGAAGGTCCTCAGCGGCTACAAGCTCGGCGATCCGTTCGACAAGAGCACGCACGTCGGGCCCGTGGTGTCCGCGCGCTCCAAGGACGCCATCGCCGCACAGGTTGCCGACGCGCTGTCCAAAGGTGCAAAGGACGAGACCCCCGCAAACGACACGTTCGCCAACCCGCCCACAAGCGGAGGAAACTTTGTTGCACCCGTGCTCCTGACGGGCGTCAACCACTCGATGGCCGTCATGACCGAAGAGACGTTCGGGCCAGTGATCCCCGTGCAGAAAGTGTCGTCGGACGACGAGGCGATCTCGCTGATGAACGACAGCGTGTTTGGGCTGACGGCGTCGATCTGGACCAAAGATACCGCCCTGGGCGAGAAGCTCACGCGCAGAGTCCAGGCCGGCACCGTCTTTGTCAACCGTGCCGACTATCCGAGTCCCGATCTTGCCTGGACGGGGTGGAAGGATAGCGGGAAGGGCGTCACGTTGAGCCGCTTTGGCTTCGAGCAGTTTGTTAAATTGCAGAGTGTTCATGTTAAGGATTATCCTAAGTAGCTCGCCTGGGAGGTTGGGAAGACGGGCGAATATAAATGTGTTGATGAGTAAATTGAGACTCCAAGTCTTGTTGTCGGCGTGTTGGGTGGTATGATGAGAAGCAAGACTCGGTTGTTGGCTGGAAGCGTGGGATTTCATCTACATTTGGTGGAGCATTTATATCGCATTTAGGGCATCTAGTTTCCAGACGATTGCATACGATTGCATGAGACACTTCTAGTATCGTAAGGGACATGGAGTCGTGGGCCCACTAAGGGTTATAGCTACAATATTGCATTGTATGGAAGGAAGTTTTAATCTGCCCCTTGAGTATTCAAGGCCTCGGCAATGTGAGAATACCTATCCATTAGTAACAAAGGCACTCCTGGAAGAGGTCCATAGAAGAGAAAAGAGTCAAAGTACAGTTCTCTAGGTCAATATGAGCTGGAGTTCTGAGGCAAGAAGGAATTCTCTAGCAGCTCGTTCCAGCCTATAGTCTGCCGGATCACATCACATGTAAATGATTCTCATGGTTTGGTGATAAAAAAAAAAGTCAGTTCAGTTCATTTCAATCGTCGTCCTCATCGTCAATATCCACATCGATGGCATCGGGGTTGGCTGCTACGGTGGTAGGAGCAGGCTTTTCGGCTTGCTGCGACTCGGAAGGAGGAGGTCGATTTCCACCTTCAGGCCCGCTACTAGCAGCCACGAATCCGACAGGTGCACGAGCTTGTCTTTCTAATGCCGCCATCGCATCACCAGCAATTCCATTTTGGCCGTCTTGGCCGTCCAAGTCGACCGTAGAACTCGCTGCGGCCTGACCTCTCTTGACGGCCTGGCTGGCAATATAATTGACATCGGTATTGAACTTGGCGGCCACACTTCTCTTGATGCGGAGCATTTCCTTGAATGTATCTTCGTTGCCGTGAGCAACTTCGAATTTCTCCCATGTGTCCCAGAATGGGCTGTCCACGCGCGGGTCAGCGAATTGACTGGCGTGGCCGTAGATAGCTCTTGCGCGGTCGATTTCGCCCAGTCTCCGCTCCATCTCTGCAAACTTGAGGCACATAATTTTGGCTTCAGCGTCTGGGAGTGCGGCAATGGCACGCTCGTAGATTGGTCGTGTTGAAGTCAGCCCGAAATTGGAGGCTGATTTGGTGATGTAGAAGTCGAACATGTCGAGTCGATCGCCATCCGCCACAGCACGGGTTGCACGTTCATACACCCGCATGGCGGATCGAGCGAGACCACGTTCTTCTTCTAGGTCGCCGTACATAAGGAAAATGGCTTTGGCGAATTCGGGAGGACAATTTTCCACGGCTTGCTCGAACAAGTCACGGAGTCGTTCGATCCCGATCTTACGATTGACAGCTTTGGTCAAGTAGAGATTCCACAATTCGAATGCAACAGGGTAGCTGAAAACATCGAGTCCTCGTTCGTAGACCTTGAACGATTCCTCGTGATATCCAGCCTCCTCAAGGAGATTTGCATAGTTGACGATGGTGTTCGGTGTGGCAATGCGAAGCTCCAAGACACGATCATAAGCTGCACGTGCTTCATCCAGGGTGCCGACGGATTCGACGAGGTCGATATAGAATGACCAAACTTTCCAGGATTTGTGTACTCTTTGCTGTGGTGAAAGGCTTTCATCAAAATATTCGACCGTACTTCGCTTGGGTGCTTGCACCGCCTTCGCCATGACTTTCATAGCCCCATCAAAGTTGTCATTTCGAAGTTCTAATTCTGCCCATCCAACCCAAGTCTCAGCCAGCTCCGCTACTGACTTGTAGGGCACTTTGACTGACTTGTCGAGGATGATCCGCGCAGTTTCTAGGTCACCTGCTTCTTCGTAGAATTTTGCATAGTTGAGCCATAATTCATGAAATTTTCCGATGGCCTTTTTTGGTGCGATTGCGGCGATCGCATCAGTGTATGTTTGAACGACTTCTTCTTTGTTGTCGCTCCACAGTGCCACGCGCTTCTCCCATTCCACAACATTGTTCGGGTTCTGCCGTAATAGTACATCATTGACCAAGAAAGGTCTTCGATCCATCAAATGCTCGAAGCGCATCATGCGCATGTCGACATCGTAGTCTTTCTCTGCATCCACCAAGCCCTTGGATGCACGAGCAGAGGCCGCATCCATGAGTGTTGAGAGTATGGATTCTTCGAACTCGACATAAGTATCGAAAGCCATTGTGAAGTCGCGCACCGTCATGACGGTGGTGATACCTTCCTCAAACACGTCTCGTGCCCTTTCAAAATCACCTCGTGTGATCCAGTAGGTAGCGAGCCCTGCCCAAAGCTTGCCTCGTTGATCTGCAAACCTTTCGATCCCACTTCGAATGATGGTGTCGGCGTCGAAAGAAGAAACCGAACTATCGCCAAGTTCTCTTGCTTTGCTAACCATCAAGTCGACCATTTCACTCCAAAGTTGGAATTCACTCTTGATGTGTTTTGATTTGAACTTGGGGTTGTCCAAAATCCGAATATAGTGCTTAACAGCCTCCAGATAGTGGCCATTTTCAACCAACAAATCAATATAATCTTCCACATCTTCCGGGTGCGCCTGAATATATCGAGCCCAAATCTTTACGGCCGTCTCCCCAGATGCAGAGTTGGCAAAGGACTTGTACAGCTTCCATATTCGATTGTGTTGCGTGATGGGGAGAGCCCGTAAAGATCGGTCGAAAGTTCTCCGAGTCTTGGTGACATATGGCTGTCGGAGCAGGAAAACGAGGTACATCTCCCAGATGACGGGCATCTTGTTCAAAAGAACAAGCGCCCGCTCAAAGAGAGCATTGACCTTCGTGAACTCCGCTCTGTATTTGACAGGGTTTTTCTTTTTCAGGTGTTTAACCCGAAATTCGAGATACATTTTCCATAGTTTGTATGACCTTGGGAGCCGTATGCACGCCCTCTCTTGAACGAATGCTTGCTCATGTATCGTTCCATTGCGCACTTTGTAGTCGATGTAGGTGAGCCACGGTCGAATGCTCCCGGGATTGCGGAGAATATCTTGCTCATAGATGGCATCCTCACCAGAAATCAGATAGAAATCTGGTTTCAAGGGTTGAGAGGATGAGGATACCATGGTCATTGAGACGGTCGACCTGGGGTTTGAGACCCGTACAATTCCAGGCATCGCAGGCCTTTAGTCGCGCTGACAGAAAGAGATGAAGCTCGTGTTTCAGCAAATGCGAAACTTTACTTTCGGAGAAATCAGGCGGCTCATCGAAAAAGGCATGTCTGCCGAGAAACACGGCGGGGAAACATTCAGCCGATATCACCTTGGCATCGTCGATCGAAGCCGCAGCCTTGCACGTGCAAGCATCGTTGATCAGCTACAGTCAACATAGACAGCGTCGAGCTCTCCCTTGCTTTTCCTCACACCTGCGAAACTACCTACAGCGATACAAGCAGCGCACACGCGCTTGACAGCCAAGATGTCCTCAGGTGCAGGAGTATGTGCCTCGGACCATAGGAGTCGATCGCTGGCTAATGCAACGAATAGCGAGAGCCCGTCTTCCCAACTCGACAGGCTTTGGGTCAGATGAACAGCAAGCTCAAGGGTGCTCAGACAGGTCACAGCTTGCTCAAGAGGAAGAGTGAAGCCCTTACAAAGTGAGTCCATATCTATCGTATCTCTGATCTATGCTAAATCTCCATACAGGCGCTTTCGAGGTAGATACTGACCATCCCCCACATGTCCTACGATACTGGTGCTGAGCCACTACAGAGATCCTCAAACGAATCGATGAGGCCAAGAGAAAGATGGGCAGAGTCATGCAAATTGCATCGTTCTCTCTCGCCGAAGTTACATACGCCGTGGGCGGAGATATTGGCTACCAGATCCAGGAGTCCGTCAAGAATGCTCGGTTCAGAATTAAGACCAAGCAGGAGAACGTCTCTGGTGTCTTTCTCCCTCAATTTGAAGGTTTCACTAAGGACGAGATCAATGATTTCGGCTTGACTGGTTTGGGAAAAGGTGGTCAGCAAGTACAAAGATGTCGGGAGACATACACCAGGGCTGTCGAAGCGCTTGTTGAGCTGGCGAGTCTCCAGACAGCTTTTGTCATTCTGGATGAGGTGATTAAGGTGGTGAACAGAAGAGGTAATCATTTGCCCACTGATATGAAGTCAAAGACTGACAATGTAGTCAACGCCATTGAGCATGTCATCATTCCACGAACCGAGAACACCATAAAATGTATGTCCAACCCCGTTTCTTAAGAGCCTGCTAACTGATATGACAATAGATATCAATTCCGAACTCGATGAGCTCGATCGTGAGGAATTCTACAGACTGAAGAAGGTCTCCAACAAGAAACAGCGCGATCAAGCAGCTGCCGATAAGGAAATACTCGCACAGAGAGAGAAGAACAAACACAAGGAAGAACCTCAGAAAGTCGAGACAACCGATGTGCTCGGTGAACAAGAAGATGAAGATGTCATCTTTTGAGAGGCGCTGTATTGATAAACGCCTATGACACGTCCACCCCAGCCCGCTACTATGCAAGGGTATCAATCCATGTGTAATCCTAACTCCAGTAGAAATCAAATGCTTTTTCATGAAGCCAGTGAAGCTGTAAGGTCGTCGTGTCTTATGCGCGTTGATAGGTGACTCTGATACCCTTGCCTTCGTCACCCAATTGCATGCCTGCGGTGGCCTCCTTTGCACTGATAGCACCGGCTTCCGCTTCATATTCCACAAAAGCAATCCCTTTTCTGCCAGGTACTAAGCGCACCTCCTTAAACCCTTCAAACCGGCTGAATATCCTCGATAGACCATCCGCATCGTAGCTGTCCGGTAGGTCTCGGAGGAACAGAATCTTGTTCGGGGGCAAATACTCGTCCGGAATGATCGCTGCATTATTCGTGCCCGAGGCTTTGAGACCCGCACCTTTGACGGCCTTCGCAGGTCTCGCAGCCAGACCAGATGGATCCTGCGGTCCAGCAGTTGGCGCCGGTCTCTTGAGTTTCTGCTGTGTAGCCTCCACGGCCTGCTTCCTCTCTTTCTCCGCGAGCCGCGTTCGTTTCCACTTCTCCAGCCCTGGCTCCCCGTCTTCCTTCAGGACCGTAGCGTCGGATCGGGTGCGCGCGAACTCCAGTTGCATGGGCTTGTCGAACAGCTCGAACCCGTTCACTTCTTCGATCGCCGTCGCTGCATCTTCGGGGTTGTCGAAGACGATGAATGCCTGGCCTTTGGCTTTGAGGTTCGTCTTAGCCACAAGATCAATGATGTTACCAAACTCGGAGAAGATTTCGGTGAGCGCCGTTTTGAGTGCATCAATCTTGATCCGTTCCTCGAGGTTTTTGACGTAGATCCTGTAGTAAACATGCATCAGCTTGACGTTGCTGCAGCGAGGCAAAGGAGGGGAATGGGGCCATACGTCGCGCTTGGAGGGTTCTGCAATGAGGTGGCCATGGTGAGGATATGATGAAAAATAGAGAAACTAGGGAGATCGAAAACAGAAGAGCGACGGGTGTATCTCCATTCGACGGTCAAATGCGCAACACTGGGGACCGAAGTTGGGCATCTTCAGATATTGAAGGCCCGGAATCGAGCCTTCGCCAGAGAGGTCACCTGACGTTTCTTGGCGCAGCCAGGCTCAGAAGAGATCGCTGCTTTTGCGGTTATGTCCTCACTCCTGAGTTCCGCAACATAACTTATCTATCTAGCCACCACGCTGCAGGGCATGACAGAATTCGTTGATCACGAACGCTATTCCCTACCCTGTCGCCCGCAGTGCTCAACGATTACAGAGTACCTAGGTATTAGCTGAAAGACGCAATGAGATGCTTCACGACTCTGACGTCCGCTGGATGCTATGTAGGTAAGCAGGTAGCTAGTCACGCATGGAGGAGAAGAAATTGCGACTATGAAGATCATCCCAAATGCGGAAACAAATATCATAATGTCCCACTATTAACGGTAGCCATACTATGTACTTTGGCATCCTCTTTTCTATTATTCTCCTTTGTTGAGCACTACGCCAAAGCCATTGATTAGAGGGTGAACGAACTATTGAACCAGATACCACCAATGCGTATGATATCGATACTGGGGACATGAGGTTTAGGCCATGATCTGCCACACAGCACCTTTTTCCATCAATGCCTTGGGCTTGTAACCCAGGTTCGTCATGCGATGCTGCACCGTCCAGTGGAGGTTGGGTTCAGCACCAATCACTGGACGAGGCATGCCCAAATTCATGCCGATCCTCGAATCCCAAACATTAGTTTTGGGATTGTACATCTGGTATCCTGTAGGAAACACCTCCAGCATCCACCAGGCCATCGCCACTGTCAGTTGATCATTCATGGGTGATAGGGCGTCAAAGTAATCTTCAATCTGCTCTGGCAGCCAGTCGAAGCTTGAAGGGCTTGTAAGGCTGAGATCGAAATAGCCTCTCTTCTTCATAGGACCCTTAATAGGGGTAAGTAGACTCGAACGCCTACTTCTGGGGGGAAGGCCTGATTGATACTGTTCCACTAGAGATGGAGACGGTCCAAGAATGGGGGCTTCTAGCTTAATGTATTTTGGCCAGAGAGTATGCACATCAATACCCATTTCGACGAGCATCTTTGCTTTGAATATGATCCCTGTGTCGCATTCGAAACATTGTCGGATCATCCACCGCAGTGGAATCTGGGCCAGCCGATGGCGCTCTTCATTTTTGACGGCACCACCACCAATATCAGCATGACAACCAGCGAACCAGATTTCAAGCAGGTCGGTCTTCAACACCATCTGTCGAGACTTTGGGCGTCTCTCCTGGACCGATCCTGAGGGCTCAGATAGTGACCGTTTCATTCTGTTAATTTTGTCGGGCGTCACAATTTCACCATTCGATAGACTATGTCTGTGAGCATATCCATCTGACTGCTCGACGACCTTGTTTTCCACTGCTGGTGCGGCAGTACCTGACCGTGGCTCCTCCGCAGGTGGCACATAGTCGGATCCTTCAAAGCGGCACACCTTGAACTTGGCACGACGTTCGTCCAAGGCCACAGCGTGTCTGATATAGTTACATCTGGCTGTGCTAGTCGTACTGAAGGGCAAGTCGCGTGGTATAATCCCAACACTTGCAACACTATCGAACAGTCCAAGAAGGTAAACACTGACATTCGTGCAAAACGTACGTTTGAACTGAATACTCTGTTCTCGTCCCTGGTTACTATCATCCTTGTATATGTCATAAGCAAATGGTATCTGGGCCACGTTGTGCGGGGCAAGCAATCCTATCTTGTGAATCATGCCGGCTAGACAACGCGCGGTGTACGCCCCTCTTGAGAAACCAAAGATGCAGATCTTGTCGCCCTCCTTATAGGTCTGCATCAGGAAGTGGTAGGCATCTCGGACGTGAAGCCCGAGGAGACTACCAACTGCCATATCAAGACTGGCGGAGATCCCAGAGCTAACTCCATTGTTACTGTATGTGCCAATCCCTGCTTGGTAGTATGTGTTCTGAAATTTGTCGTCCTTTTTCAAACAGCTAACTAGGTACACGATGTTGCTGTTGTCACCGTCGAACTTGTCACCAGTGCCATCCAAGCAGACAACAATAGTCTTGCCATGGGGTTGGAACTTTTCTGCTTCCTGCACGGCATGAATCCTCGTTGGGAATTGAATTGTGGATGCAAGATTTTCTTGTGGCAAGGGTGTTGTACAAGGTTCAGTTTTGGACGACTGAACGGGGTATGCATGTCGAGTCCAACCGTTTGGACTTTCCATCGTACTGCCGATTTTGTTTGACGATTCTGGACGCTATCAACCCCTTCTGACTGATGGGCTTAGTGAGAAGGACTGTCATCCCTTGGTGTTGTTGGGATGACGATCGCGTCTTTGATGGGTCCTTCTGCTGGAAATCAACCTGCCAGCGAGCTGTGACCCGTTTATATGCCCAGGCCGACACAGCAAAGATTACTGCGCTCCCGATACTGCACCGAAATAGTAGGCCTCATCGGGTGGCCAACCTGTGGTAGGAACATGAAATGTGATCCTTGTCCAGTTTGGGAATTGTGCTGCTCGATGGATCTGGTCAGTTCGAGCAGCGGAAGCTGGTACACAGGGAATGAAAAATATGGCTGGCTCAAGTCTTACAATGCAGGTAGGTGCGGATCCCTGCATTCTTCATGAGCACTGTTGCTCTGGACTACTCCGCAATTACCTTTTTTTGGTTCGAGATTTAGGGTGTCCTCTCATACTAGTCTGCGGCTGATGGTCGAAGTTTGAGTTGATGCAAAAGTTTCCGGAGCCGCATCTCATCTATTCGCATTTTACAGGCAGTGAAGCATGTTTGCTACTCCCCTTCAACGGACAGGAGCGAGTACAGAAAATTTGGCGGGAGCATACTCAGGCGTGCTGCCGCGTGGCCGAAGCGAGGTTGTGGGTGGTTGGCTCGAGCTTCGAACAAACACGCGGTCTGCCAATCACTTCTGTCAACTATTCTAGGCCTTTGGAACAACACTGCTCTGGACAACTCAAAAACTGCGGTGTACCCTTACAAACTAACTAAGGAAAGCTGTTGCAACTACCCCGCTCCAGTTCCGTCAAGCTTCTAGATCTAGATATCTCAGGTAAAGAATAGCAGCGCCCACTGTTACCTCTTTCGTAACTTAAACTACTCATCTACTCCAGACGGGAACCAAAGCTAAGACTCTCTCAGATCTAGCTGGCTAATCGGGACTCATGTGTTGCTCTGCATCCTCTCAACCTTCCAGCTGCAAGGGCGCCACACGCTTCAGGCCTACCCGAAAAGGACCACGCCATGCTTAGGGATGCATGTCCAACTCTTTTTTGGCAGTTCTAGGCCGCTGGTGGTGTCTGGAGGCTGGCTGACATGCTCGATTCCTTTCGCCAATCTCTCATTGGAAGGTCACAACTGCATGATGGCCATGAGAGCCATGAGAGCCTGAACAGCGCAATGTGCTGCATTGTCAAGGATATGCAATCTCATTTGACGGATGTATGCATTCACGTAAGTGAACAGTTGCAAGCTTAGGTCATACACGCTCTGGACTGGCATATTGCAAGCCACTTCATCGACGGATTGGCGGGATTCGAACCTTTTCCACTCACAGTGCAAACAGAACGTCTTGTTGTCGTGCGGCTGAGGGCTCGATGCATCAGCATGGTGAAACTCGCATGTTTGCATGACACGAAAACAAACTCTGTCAACTCTGTGAGGCACTCATGTATGGCAGTGACTGAAGAGTTATGGCCCTGAGGGATGCCCTGAAATCAACGATTCGAACCAGGCATTATATGATATTTCCATGCTCCTTCGACCCCAGACGGCAAGCATACAAACCCTTTCTCCGTACAATTAAGTACAACTTTTGATAAAATTATCTACTACTTAACGAAGAATCTTCTGGGAATACACAGTGCTACCTGGCTGCGCGTCTCGTGAGTATGGCCGGTTTGCTCTCAAAATTATTCGGTCTGTTCTGGGCAGAACCCACCAGCGCCCCCGATGGCAAAACCGACGAGCAAGCATCAGGACGTCCCAAGGTGACGAAATCATCGATGCTTCATGACCTAACGCATCTCAATGCTGATGAGGTACAAAATGTGCTTAAAGTTGTGAAGACTGTTGTCAGTGGACAAGCCATGGATGATAAGGAGCTCATGCTAGAAAACAGTCTCGCTATGCTTCAGACTCTTCCAGCTAACAGCACTCTTGGTGAAAGGGCTGGAGCACAGATCATCAATATGCTATGGCAAGACCTGCCGCACCCAGCAGGAACGACTGCTTCTCCTGAATCAAGATACAGGAAGCCCGACGGAAGTGGAAATAATCCTTGGAATGCTGATATGGGTAAGGCAGGCTCACCATACAGTCGCAGCGTGCCACCGACAAAGGCCGTCGGGCCTGATTTACCGGACCCAGAGCTTGTATTTGAAACACTTCTTCGACGAAAAGGCCCATTCCGCCCTCATCCTTCTGGACTGAACAGGCTATTCTTCTCATTTGCCACAGTGGTCATTCATGAGTGCTTTCAGACATCACGAAAGAACCCCTGGATTAATGAGACGAGTTCATACGTTGATCTATCGACATTATACGGAAACAATGCTGAAGATCAGGCAAGAGTTCGCACGACGAAGAACGGACTTATATATCCAGACTCGATTGCATCACCCAGAATAATGATGATGCCACCTGGTGTGATTGCCGTCTTACTTATGTTCTCGAGAAACCACAATCACATCGCTGAGTCACTTTTGTCGTTAAACGAGTCTGATAAATATGGTGACTGGGAGAAGTTGTCTGATACTGAGAAAAAGTGGTTAGTATTAAACAAAACTCCTCCCCTTCAATTATTTCCTCTAAGCTCTCTAACTGGTTTTAATCTAGGCAAGACGAGGATATTTTCCAACTAGCTCGAAATATCAACGTCGGCTTCTTCGCAACGGTTGTGCTAAAGGACTATGTCGCAGCAATCTTAAATACACCGCGCGCAAACTCTGAGTGGTTTCTTGAATTGAACGCGCCAATGAAAGTCTCAGGTGTCCCCGTAGAGCGTGGAACTGGTAATGTGGTGTCAGTTGAGTTTGCAGTTCTCTATCACTGGCATGCCGCTCTAAGCGCAGCCGATGCAAATTGGATGGAAGACCTCATCCGATGGAATCTCGGTAAAGACTTTCAAATGGATAAGCTTACACCAAAGCTCTTCGAGAAGGTGGTGAAGACAGAAGGACATAAACTAATGTCGACCGAGACGAAAACTTGGACGTTCGCTAACTTAAAGAGAGGTAAAGACGGCAGATTTGATGATGTTGATTTAGGCAAGATCATCAAAGACTGTATCGAAGAGCCAGCCCACGCGTTCGGCGCTCATGGTACACCATCAAGTATGAAGATTGTGGAAATTTTAGGTATGATTCAGGCAAGAGAGACATTCAAGGTTTGCACGTTAAATGAGTTAAGCATACACTCCCCTGACCGATACTTTTCAAACTCCCAACTTATACTAACTTCTCACTAGATTTCGTAAATATCTCAATCTAAAACCGTACGAAAGCTTTGAAGAGTGGAATGATGATAAGGACACCTCTCGTGCCGCAGAGTTATTGTACGGTCACATCGACAATTTGGAGCTATACCCTGGTCTCCAAGCCGAGTGCACCAAGCCAGCGATGCCAGGAAGTGGTGTCTGTCCACCTCAGACTGTTGGACGAGGCATTCTCGACGATGCCGTTGCACTTGTCAGGGGTGATCGCTTTCTGACGTACGATTTTAACTCCACAACCCTGACCAATTGGGGTGTTAACAAACTCTCTGAGTTTGCTGGCGGTGCTTACGGAGGTATGCTGCCGAAACTACTCTTTGGGGCGCTTCCTGGCGAGTTTACTGGCACATCACCTTATGCCTTACTGCCCTTCTATACACCTACAGCCGTTAAGGGTATCCTTAAGGGGAATGGGGTGGTTGAGAAATATGATCTAAAGAGACCTGCTAGTGACCAAGTGATCATTGGGATTCATACTCAAGAGGGCTGCAAAAAGGCCTTTGCTGACCGAGATTCTTTCCGGACTATCTATGATCCGATGATCCGCACGCTCAATGACGGCACCGGATTCATTGTTGGCTGGGATGATAAGAAGCAACACGACGACCGTACAGCAATTTTGCACAAAGTGTTCTATGAGGAGAATTTCGATAAGAACATTACTGCATTCTTCCGGGAGCATGTCGTTAGTGCCATCAAAAGGAGCTCCTTGAAATACCCTGACTCACGAAGATCGTTGGACGTCATACGAGATGTCACCAACGTTGTGCCAGTGGAGTATCTTGCCCATCGCTTCGCAATTCCCTTGAAAACGAAAGAGCATCCACGTGGTCTGATATCATTGTCCCAGCTGTTTGCCATCACGATGGTCACTTTCCAATATCAGAGCTTCAATATTCTACCAGTCAACGAATGGCTCCTCCGCGAAACGTCCTTGAAGGTGGCACCGCTACTGAGGGGTGTTTTCGAGGCACATCTCAAAACACAACACGGCGGACACAAGGAGGCATTGGTTGATTGGCTTGCCAAGGGCTCTGCATTCGAAGTCGGCCCTGAGGCGGATCGTTTCTACCATGCCCTTCGAGATACCAAACTACCCTTGGAGGCCTTGGTAGCTGATTGCCTAGGCTTAGCTGGACCTCTGCTCGGTGTCATTACACAACAGGCATCTCTACTGGTCGATCTCTATCTCAGCGATGATTACAAGACGTACAAAGACAGAATAATCGAATTGGCCCATCAAGATACTGAAGCTTCTGATCGTGAACTCCTTGGCTTCGTCTATGAGGGAATGAGACACGCTGGGATTGTGCCAGGGCAACCTAGGATGGCTGCAAAAGACATGATATTTGAGGACGGCGCTCGAGGCCCCATCCCCATCAAAGCGCATCAAATCGTTCTTGTCGCACAGTCCAAGGCAGCAATGGACCCAGCGGCCTTTCCGAATCCTGAGAAGATCGACCCTACCAGGCCTCTCAATTCTTACACATTATTTGGCTACGGCATGCATGTGTGCTTTGGTCAGAGAGTGGCCGGTCTTGCTCTGTCGGCGATATTGAAGGAAGTGTTCAAATTAAACAATCTACGTCGCGCACCGGGAAGGCCGGGGAAGCTCCACCTTCGAGAGCATGAAGTCGCTGGTGTCAATTTCAGATTGTACATTGATAGCAATTCTAAGGAGTCGCCGGTGCCAGCGACGATGAGGGTGTTGTATGATGAGTGAGTACGTCTGCTGCAGCTCACGCTGTGAGTGGGAACTCATAATTTGAATTTCGGGTTACTATTGCACTTGTTCTACTTTTCAAGTTGAAATTAATGATGGGCGCAATGATTTGTGTGACGTTCAAATCTCCAGACTACATCCAGAATCGTTGTTATGACTTCCTCGGTAGGTAGTCAATATCACAAATAGTCACAATGTTTCTTTCAAGTTTGCAAAGAGTGTTCTAACACGTCAAATCTTCTAACTGCCGGTCGGTCTCAAGACTCGGACACTCATCTTGCTCTAAAGCTATATTCAGCAACCTGAGCACAGAGAGGTGGCGTCCTCAATTTAAAGCCTCAGCCTCACAGCCAAGGACACCACTAACAATTCTCACATCAACTTCCCGCCTTCAGACCTAGACATCCTTGGAATCCCAAAACGGTTTCTCAGTATACTTAGTGTAGTCAGGGTTCAGCTTGGAATGAGCTGGCTCTTCAGGAGGCCACCATGAACAATTGGATGTGAATTTTTCTGAAAATTGGCGGTGTCTGGAGGTGCTTTCTGGTCTAAGAGTGTCCTCGTGCCGTTCGGTTCGCTTGCAGCGCAGCGGTGCACGCAAATCTGCGGTCAAAAGATCAAGACCAGGGTCAATGCATGTTTCTCATCTTGAGTGACCTCTCGTAGCCCCGCATCCCGAGGTCAACTTGAGACTTTTTCCATTACGGGACGAAGTTGGCTCGTCCCCTCCTCTTTGTTTCACTTAAGCTTTGTGGAAACTGTTAAGCTTCAGCTGGTGTCCTCGAGCTTCGTTAACCAAGAACTTTGTTGTCCAAATTGCCCATTTGAAAGAGATGTGTAGCCCTGTCCTTGACTTACTTCAAAAGCATTTGTCCTATAGTGCGGGACTGAGCTAGATTCAAGGATGCCCCTCACACAGTTCCCATCTAGCTTTCAATGGGATGTACCAAAATGGCTGTCCCCTCTGTTCGGCAACCTTGTGTGAGTCCAGACTCCAGACCTCAGCCAGCCTCGCAGGTGCTGTCATGCATCGCGCTCCACAAACACCCAATAATTGAGAAGATGTTAATCCAGTGGCAGTGGATGCGCGCTGTAGGCAGATCCTTCCTCCGCCGAGAAGCTTTGCTCTGATGCCTCGCTCGGCCGCGTGCACGCACTTTTATCAAACCTTGGAATCGAATCAGGTGGACGTGCACTAGTTAAGCCGCCGTACCATTGACCACTTATGCCAAACCCGAGCGATTTCCCTGCACTCTCGGCTACTGTTTCCTTGGTTGCAAGTCTCGATTTCCAGCACCAGCCTTGTTTGCTGTGTTAAATCGCACTGGATGCGGTTCAATGGCAACAACAAGAGGACGGAAGGTTGACCCGCCACAGTCAACGTACCAAAGGTGTTCGCCCCCCATCAGGAGGACATGATATTGGCACATATCTTCGCTACGATATGCTGTGCAATCGACACTGTGACACACTGACTCCAGGAAATTCAAGACCTTTACAACACTGGCCTTGGTACCGGAGAAACTATCAACTCAGCAACTTTCAACTTTTGATAGAACTTACTTCTCCCAAAAGAATCTATCACTATTCTGGGCATCGTTGAAGACATCTTATTCCATCATTAAAGCAATGGGGTTAACCGGTGGCACGCCAAAAATCGATACGCCCACTTCGTCACCTACTAAGAGCGAGGTCATAGCTGATGAACACGAGGTTCTTGTCCCCAAACCCCCAACTTCGTCCACCGAAGATGGAGATCAAAAGATTATGGAAGGTGCAACGCTTTCCCTGCTTTGTGGCGCATTATTTCCTTGTATTCCAGTGACAGCCGTGTGTGCGGTTCTACTCACTCTCATCTTCAAAAACCAGATCAAAGAGCCTTATATGGTAGTACAAGAAGTCTCACAAGCTCATACAACAGATCTCATTAACCAAACATTGACTGAAGTCAGTAAGCTCAAGGCCGGTGGTGACAATGTGTACTGGCTCTGGGCCAAGAAATCGACTACACCTGGCACTCTTCACATGATAGCCTCCATCACAGGCAAGGTAATGCCATTTATCACAAGCACATGCATGGCCCTTGTCGCATTTTTTGCGGGACGGCGTATCATATCTATCACGAAAGTACAAAAACAAAGAGATATGCCGACACCCCATCAGATGTCAATTCTCATCAGTTTGCTTAACGGTAGCGGTGTCAAACCTCTGTGGGAAACCCTGAAATACCGATATCGAAATCACGAGGCCCTTGTACAACCAGTTCCTCTGGCATTCTGGTCGTTGGCTTGGATCGTCGTTCTCACGTGAGTCCATGGACGATCCAGCCTGGCATTACTCTTTCCAGCTAACATTCTGAAATATAGCCTTGCAATACAGTCGGTTGATAGCTGGTTCGGTGTGGCTACACAGCCAGCCACTGTCCAGATCTTGATGGTGGCCAACACAACCTCAGCTTATGGTCGCCAGCTCAACTCCAGCGTTTGCAGTTCCCTGTGGCATCAGATGCCTTGCATAGGAGATAGTTCGGCTTTATGCGACTATCCCTGTAGCATCACAAATTGGACTTCGCCCACGGGCTCGGAAAGATTTGGACTGCAACATGCTCAAGAAGCGGCGGAAGTTTTGATGAACAATTCATACATCAACTTTGTTCTTAATGTCTCAGCTGGTTCGTACGACACACAACACTATTTTCTAGGTGACAAGAAGAGCAGTACTAGTCATGATTTTACTACGGATACATTTGCCGTAAGCACTTCCTGTGAAGTGATAACCCAAAACTGTTCGATTGGCACGGGATTTACCTGCGGGGGTTTCACTTCAGAATCCTTCGCGTGGACGGGAGCAGTGGGCGTGGAAAGGGCATCTGCCACTGGGCCTTCTAATCAGTCATCCACTGGAATACAGTTCTTCAATGACAGTGGACTGACCGTTCCCGTCGGCGGTGATGCCTCCAAAGGTCTGTTCATCACCGCGAACCCGGCGCCATTTTTGCTGTTTTCCAAAGGTTTCCCACCGATTGATACATCCGCGGATCAGTTCACCTATATGCGAGATAACCACTATCTAGGCTACGACTCATCCGGAGATCCCGTCTTTGTACTCAATTGCTCAATGTCAGTATACCAAGCCAAATACAACTACACCAATGGTGGAGTGTCCAAGGGTGGCCTGTTTGACCTTCGATTGGCGGATCCTGCCTATGGTGGGATATTCTCCGCAGGATTCGCGGTTGATTCTGCCCTTGGTCACCTGAGTTTACAGGATGCTGCCGCATTAGCAGCATATCAACATCGACCAGACCTGCTGGCTAACTCATTTGCCAATCAATTTTCTCAGTCTGCCGTCTCACTGTCAGCGGGCATCATGTCTCCATCTGAGAATGTATTCGAGCAGCGCCGCTGGAACAACGTCCTCGTGACAAAGGTACCTATCCTCCCACTTTACGTGCTCATTGCACTCAAAGCGATATATGCACTTTTTGCCCTTGGTCTTGCAGGTCTTGCAATACTACTAGCAGACCCAATAACAACACAGGATGTCAAAGAACGTCTGACCATCGACGGGCTGGCCGTGGGGCTGTTCGAATCTGACGCCCACCGCTCGAAAGGAGTTACCGAGATCGAACAACTATACCGTGAGCACAATGCAAAGACACAGGGTGATGATAAGAACAGCGATGGAACCGCCAGTGTACCAGCCAAGGTCGGTATGGTCCGAAATGCTCAGGGCGGGTGGTCATGGGCTACCACTGTGAAGTTGGCAGATAGCTTCGGCCTGTCTCAAGTGTCCGGATTGGTCCAAAACGACGTCAAGGCAGGACTGTCGACGATCATCGAATCTGGCCCTGGGGCATTGCATTTGTAGAGGCGGCCTTCCATCACCATAAACTAAGTGATATGAGGCCAATATTGATCTTTCAGATGAATTAAGGAGAGATCTATTTATCTGCATGTTCGGATTGATCTTGCTATTCATGAAGATTTCGGAGAAATAGCATATTTCGTTGATAATGATAATTTCGTTGGGTTTTTGGAGTGACGGGTAATATGCTGTTAACTAGCCCTTGTCATGTTTACGATGAAGACTTGAAGTCCTATCACTGCAAGCTGATGACTCAGAGATTCTCGCGTCTGTAATCTTTTCCCATCCAAGTCTGTGAAAACTTTCTGGTTGGTAAGGATAGTTTATTAAGGTCAAAGCACGAGAAACGAGCCATATGTAAAAGGCGGCCGCCCATCCACGAAATGTCCCCTAATTCGAACGTCGAAATATGTTCTCAAGACAGGCCGAAAATCCTCATCTAAATCCTGCTCCCTTGTCTTGCGCTTTTATTTCTCGAGGGCGGATTATTCATTTTCTTTTGAAGTTATAAGAATATGTTCTCAACTTCTCTACGCAGTATTTATACTAAACAGATTAGTTGTATATATAAATTCGCCCCAAGTGCAGAAATCAGCTAACAAGTCTATACAAGATTACCACGCTATTCGCGAAGCAGGCATTTAGGTATACTGGTGCCCAGACCACCACAGGTCTATGCCGAGACAAGGCTGCGGTCTCAGCCTTGTCTCGGGGACGCTAGTCCGCTCAAGGGCTTTGGCGAAATAGCGTGCATTTCTTGGGAACTTTCTGTGGCCACTAGCCACTTAGTTTGCCTTGGATGCAGGACTTCTGCCACGTCACATCGCATTTGCTTAGGTGGGTAGGTTTGTTTTCTTCTGCCGACCATTGCGGCTGAGGGTCTCAGGATTTGCGAGGTACTTAGACTTGGTGGTACTTTGCCGGCTCAGCCTGATTGTCATGCTTGATACCTTTCTTGTGTCCGCCGCTCGCCAGAATGCCTTTCAACGATATCATACATGCTAACATCGGCGTTCCGGGACAGGATTTACATGTGGATGGAGTGAGGAAAGAGGATGATGATGAGAAGCATTCACATACCCACTTGAGCGACAACTACGACGAACTCCACTTCCCTTCTCAGAATCGCTACGGCTCTTTTGCTCCCCAGAGAGCCGGAAACGACGCGAAATGGTACATTGACGGCTGTGGATACTTCTGGGCTCTCTCCATCGCAGTCGAACAGGCGCAGCATTCGATATGGATCATGGACTGGTGGCTATCGCCCGAGGTGTATCTGAGAAGGCCACCATCGAGGTTTCAGCGATACCGCCTTGACCGCATGCTTCAGGCTGCTGCCGTCAGAGGTGTTAAGGTGGAAATTATCCTTAATAATGTTGGTAACACTGTGTAGGCCAAATGCACATGAGCTAACAAGGGATAGGAATTGGACCCCGCACTGGCAGGTATGTTCATCAATACTTCACAGAGTCGATGCCAAGGAAGAGGAACATACCCTGACCTTGAGCCTCCTCGTTGTTACAGTGGGGTGTGTCCACACCAAGCAGAGTTTGGAAGCCTTACATACGAACATCAGAGTCTTTTTATACCCAGACCACGTGAGTATTATCAACGCTTTTTTTAGTTGGGGAAAATACATCGCGATCACGATGGGTGTGCAGATGGACTCTTGCTAAGTTGTGAGCTCGAAACTTAGATACGGAATGGTAGAAACATTGCGACAAGCTCTAAAGGCTGCTTTACTCATGCAAATGAACTCAAGAGCCCCTTTCTTCCTGCCAATGAGCCATTAGACTGGGTATATCACGAAAAACTCTGCGTTATTGACTATCGAATGGCATTCATGGGGGGAATTGATATTTGTTTCGGCAGATATGACACAAACGATTATTTTCTTGCGTTAGTGTCGTATTATCGACCCACTGATCATATTCTAATGACGGCACAGTGATGCAAGACCAAATAATCTCGATGACATCCTATTCCCTGGTCAGGTGGTGTTTTCAAAAGCTGCTTGACACGACTTGTAACTAATGTTGACAAGGACTACAATAATGCTCGGGTGTTTAACTTCAGGGAGCTTGACCATCCAAAAGAAAACAGATTGGATCGCATGCTGACCCCTAGGATGGCTTGGACTGACTTATCAATATGCCTGGAAGGTCCTGTGGTTGACGATATACGAGCCCATTTTGTTCAGCGCTGGAACTTCGAATACGATCTTCAATACGCCCCAGCTATCAACGATAGAATTGAACGCCTGAAACTGAGCGACTCAGACGACAGATATCACAATAATGGTACGAACATGCATGCATTTGCCAATTTCCTGGAACCGTCTCACACGAAAAGAGCTAGTGGGGAGGATCGTGGTCTCTCTGTACAACTCGTTCGCAGTGTTGGTCGCTGGAGTCATGGTACGCCAACTGAGGTAAGAGTTCTGCTGGTTCTCAAACATTCGTGGACATATCTAAATCAAAATAGCATTCTATTGCCAATGCATACGTATCAGTCATCGCGAAAAGCGAACACTTCATCTACATCGAGAACCAATACTTCATTACAGGCACGAGCGACGACCAGACGTTCGTGCTCAACAAAATTGGTGCCGCAATAGTCGAAAGAGTTATTCGAGCAGCAAAATCGGGCGAACGATACCGAATTATTGTGGTCATGCCAGCAGTGCCAGCATTTGCGGGTGATGTGCAATACGATTCGAGTCCTGGCACACTCGCAATAATGGGACTCCAGTATAAGTCGATATCCAGAGGCAAGCACAGTATCATGCAAAGAATTAGGGACGCTGGCGTCGACCCTGACGACTATATATCGTTCTATAACCTCCGCAGCTATGATAGGATTGATACCAGTGCTAACGTGGAGAATCAAAGCGGAGTCAGCTATGAGTCCGCTAGGAAGGAGCATGATGATGTGGTCGGTGCTGGCTATAATGGTCGTGGGGAGGACACCAGTGGTAACAGCCTTCCGAACTCGCAATACAATCGATACCAGCAAGCCGCTCGTTCTGAGCAGTGCAAAGACAACAATGCTGACTCTTCAGGCATGCAAAGAAGATCAGATTCCACCATTGTTCCACAGGCTAGCCACCACTATGAAGAGATCGATGCCATTGTCTCTGAAGAAGTCTACGTCCACAGCAAGTTCCTCATTGCTGATGATCGCGTCGTCATCGTCGGGTCTGCAAACCTCAACGACCGCTCACAGCTCGGATATCGCGACTCTGAGATTGCCGTCGTAATTGAAGACACCGCTGTCGTGGACAGCCACATGAACGGTGAACCGTTTCCTGCTGCACGGTTCGCTGCTGGTCTTAGAAGGCAGCTGTTTAGAAGATATGTTGGGTTGCTGCCCAGGCAGGCTGCTAATCAGTCTCACAATAACTTTCCACCTCTGAGCGCAACTGGGAACGATTACGATTGGGGCTCGGAAGGCGACCGCCTTGTTCAAGATCCGCTGTCTGAGTCATTTGACATGTTATGGAAGAACACAGCTCGCATGAATACTAAGGCATTCGACAAGGTGTTCAGACCACTTCCAAGCGATTCTGTACGGAATTGGGACGATTATGAAGAGTACTACGGACAGTACTTTGCAAGTCCCAGTGTATCAGGCGCAGAGGATCTAGGCACCAACCTAAAGCCAAAATTCCAGTACGGCCATGTCTTCAAGCACAACTTTCCTGGTGGAATTCGGGATGTGAGGCTGGAGCTGGAAAAGATCAAGGGAACCTTAGTAGAAATGCCACTAGATTTCCTCGTCGAGATCGAGGATCTGGAGAAAGAAGGCTTTAGTGAGGATTTCAGACCCGAGGTTTATGCCTGATGGAGGGGAGGGTGAAAGCCAGAGTCGATTGGTGGCGATCAAAGGAACGGTGCGAACTTTGCCGAGATGGCCCTAAAGTCAAATAGGGGTGATAGGGGGTTCTGCGCCCCCGCTTAGCTTAAATCTACCCCAGGGGCCCTCCAGTCACAACCCCTCAAAACATCTTGTGTTTTCCCTTTATCTGCCTTGCAAGGTCCCAGGTAGGCGCCGCCTCGTATTCATACAAGGCAAAAGGCTCCTTATTTACAACTTGAAGCTCAGCCTTCATCGGCCAGGCGCAGTGCCAAGCCAGACTCCGAGTTTCTAACCAGCGGATATGGGTTTTCTCTACTTGGAATTGAGTCGTGTGACTGTCCTTGTCGGTCACTTAAATGTAGCGGTGTGTACCTGTACCACTCTTTCCAGGTGTTACTGCTGCCCTGTGCTGGAAGACATCGCCTGCCCTCAAGATCTTCATCCGGATACGTATGTCTGTCGAGCCACCGACCTTAGTTGCTGTCCCTAGTTGGAGCCAAGGAACTGAGCCTGATCTTGACAAATTGTTCACCTCCACGGATAATTTGACCTATCTTGAACTTTGGAATTTTGAGGTGAGGCACTAACTTTGGACGACAGGCCAAAGACATCCTTCTGATGTTTGTATAGGATACTAAGCAAAATGTTGCCAATTATGGCCCAGTGGTCGGAAACGTGACTGATATCTTAGCAAGCCTGGTGAGTATCATCCATTCCTATCATTGGCCACTTGCTGAACCTACCAAGGAGTCTGATAAATATAAAGCTGCGAGTGAAGGACTTGTCGTGTTGTGAGTTGTTTCATATTCACAGTTTGCAGCCACATATATACTTATGACCCAAGTTTCTCCGAAGTTGCGACAGAATGCTCCGACAAAGATCCGTACCTTTCGAGGCGGGTCAATCCTCCATTTCGTGCAAAGAAGGAGACATTTCAAGCCATCACGGATGCGTTATCACTTCCTATGATGCCCCATCTACAAATGTATGTGGATGGTGCAACAATGTTCATGGATATGGGTACATCATTGTCTTCGGCTGGTGATGACGTTCAAAGTATGATGCTCAACTTTCTGTGATGGAAATCAAGTGCTGACATATACTCGACAGCCTTCATTATCCAAAACAGTTTCACCACAACAAGTCAGTATAGCGCATGTATCAGCTACAACCCATCAACCAGGGTCACTGCCGCGTTTGTTCACGGGCTATGCGAGGCCGAAATAAAGGCGCTCGCGAATAAAGTCTTTGCTCGACAAGATAGTATCGCGCTGCCAATGATGCTGCCTCTCTATCTAATCTCATTCCGAGTAGACTCGGCAAGACGGAAAGTTGGAGACAGCCATAAGGAAATCATCGAGATCGAACATCAGACTGGGATTCGGACCGTGTGGCACCCTTCGCAGCCTTGCTGCATGAGTAATCGCAACAAGGTGCCTGGTCAACGTCGATATGACGGGGTGGATTTTGATGAAGTGACGGTGAACCTCACTAGCATGAGTTCCAAACTTGCCTATGTGGAGTTTGTGTGCGAGGTACATATACCTATGCTTGATAGCTTCGACATGATCAACAAACGTATATTGCAGTCCTACCCTGCAAATCGTCGGCACAGGGTTGAAGAGGCTGAGCATCGCCTTCGAACAGAGGGTGGCCTGCTCAGGAGTTCTTTGCAAGCAACCTTCTCGAGGGTGAAGTACTTATCGAAGCGAGGCCAAGTACAGGTCCAAACAGTAAGGAGTCTCACTGATACTATCCTTTCGACGCAAAGCTGACAAGCCTCTAGATATATAGCTTGATAGCTCAGAAAGACAACGCATTGAGCATGAAGGACAATGCCGCTCTGAAGATGATCTCAGAAGACCAGAAGCGAGTGGCGATCATGGCCACTCAGGATAGTGCTGCCATGAGTGTGATCTCCACGATAACGGCGGTATTTCTTCCAGCCACATTCACAGCAGTGAGTCATTCGCGAAACTTCTTGTGCAGAGCAACACTAATTCCTACAGGCATTTTTCAGCACCACATTCTTCAATTTCCAAATTGGCAGTGACGCAACCTCGATTGTTTCAGGATGGTTGTGGTTATACTTCGTAGTGACATTTATCTTATCTTTATTGATCGTTGCTTGGTGGCATGTCAGTTACCGGCGCAAACGGTATAAGATTGATGATGCGGTGGGAGGACTCATAGACGACATGCGTTCTCGAGGTTCGGTTGATCACTCGCACGTGAAGATTGCTTGAGATCAATTTCTGTTGGGCGTTAGGAGTGCTACTTTTCACTGCGGGGTTTTGCTATCACTGTCTCGAAATATACTTTACTTTACGTCTAAGAAATACTTAACGATGTGGAGACGAACCCTGCGGCAAGTCCCCGGTTTAGGCTATTAGCCCTTCCCCAGACCCGCTGCTAGGGGTATCCCCGTGGGTAATCCCGGCGTCTTAAATCGTCACCGCCCACCTGGGTCTTGAATGTCATCTCATACCTCTATTCGAGCGGGATACGGAGTTATGAGTATCTTGCGGTGAGGTATCTAAAACAAGAGACTCATCCAGCTTGGGCACGTATTCCCACGTGAATGAACCCAGGGATTTATTGCATCACCTGGGAAAACAGGACCACGTCACGGTGTCCGAGGGGAGATGAATCATACCTAATTTCGTACCTCACGGCCACAAAATTCATCCACGATTCTCCTACTAGAGTAGAGCACAACTTGACGCCCATTTACTCGGTGTGTAGCCTCGATAACTACTCAGGTAGACGTCAACTCTTTCGGGCCCAAGGATCTCAAAGATGCCCGCCGCCAAGGAACCACTACCCCTGATCCTCAAGCATCATCCAAAATTCATCTTCTTCACAGATTTCGACGGCACCATTACAAACCAAGATAGTAACGACTTCTTGATCAACAATTTTGGCCACGGGCCTTTGCGGCGCAAGGAAGTCTTTGACGACATTCTACACGAGCGTCGCACTTTCCGGGATGGGTTCAAGGAGTTACTGGATGGCATCCAATTGCCCCTCTATAAGTGCATCGCCGAATTGCTGGAGAACATTACGCTAGATGAAGGTTTTAAGGAGTTCTATGCTTGGACGCATGAGCATAATATTCCAGTCATCGTCCTCAGCGGAGGGATGAACCCTATCATTCGTGCTTTGTTGGCGCATCTGATCGGTGAGGACGAAGTCAAGACGTTGCCAGTACTGAGCAGTAATGTTGTTGCGAGAAGCGGAAAGAACCTCGACGAGGAAGGAGGCTGGGAAATCGCATACCGTGATGATAGGTAAGGTTGATATTGAGTGTAAATTGGATCGGCATTGATGGTTATGTTCCCAGTTCCTACGGCCACGACAAATCATTGCAAATCCAACCTTATGCAGCTCTACCAGATGGGCAGAGACCAACTCTCTTCTACGCTGGAGACGGCGTCTCAGACCTCTCTGCGGCTAGAGAAACGGATCTACTCTTTGCAAAGGAAGGCCGGGGTATGCACGAGGATTGACAAGTTTACTATACTCATGCTGACGGGCTTGCAGATCTCGTCACTTACTGCCAGAAAGAGAATGTTCCATTTACAACGTTTCGAGACTTCTCTCAAATCCTAGGTATCATGAAGCGCATTGTATCAGGGGATGTCAGTGTCAAAGATGTTGCTGATGGGAAGGCATGAGAATTCAACGATCACTGAGGACGGCATTCCTAAGTGATCAAGGGGGCATAACTCTAGATAAAGGGCGTAAGGAGTGATCTCTAGATGCCATTGAAGATGTTAGACTTGACAGGGTACGCACCGGTCTGTGCGAAGAAGCTGAATCGAGCTCCGGTATTGTCATTCTTTGAAAGGTGTCTGGTATTATTAGACCTTAGCGAGGGTATCAGCAATCTGATATAAAACCAGCAGGCATTTCTCATCCACCCAAGCTTATTGTCGCTAGCGCTGATCAAATGTCTACCCATCAAGAGTATCGGCAACACAATATCGATAAAGTATGTGCTCAGATGGCCCTCCACAGGAGAAGCCAGCACTCCCGTACCTGCCGGGTTCCCGCATATGTAAAATACTGCAAGAAACCAATCTCACGAACAGTGGTCCCTTCACACGACCGGGCTGCAAACACACAGATCTTTCAGTCCACTACCAGGCCAGTATCTAGAGAAATTCAGCCTGGTCAGTGGAACTCCAGTGTCCAAGATTTGAACAACCACCATGCTACGAGGCTACACAAATCACCCAGAGATTGGGAGTTCGTTGTCAAGTGACTGCCCGTCAACCGCCTGGAATGAGCGGCTTCATTGCCTAAAATAAACATCATCCGCATCAAGCAGCAAGGGCTAACTTGGCATGTTTGCTTCCTCAAATTCCACACGCCTCACATTCCCAATGCCTTCCGATGTTCACTCCGTATGATATGCCAGATTTTTTGAGATCATTCCGATGAGGATCACACATGCCTTGGTCGGATGATACTACGCTTCGCACACCAAGCATTAGGCGAATTCCTAGCAGCTCAGCCGATCTGATCAAGCCTCTGCTTCGATTTGAATCTTTCTGGATGGCCGCATCTAGAAGCAGCTTACCTGACGGTGTCGGTAGGCGTGCTGCGTCCTGACCGGGGCTCGTGCTTCTCTCAATTTACACAAACAACACCCGGTTGGAAACAGACATCATTCTCCATGCCCTGTGGGCTCCGCATTGGCGTTGGCATTCGTTGATCTATGTGACGTCCATCCATTTTTGAATGAGGTCAAATACTGCTTTCCAAGCAAAGTTTGCGCCTTAGAATCCATCGTGGTCTCCAAGCAAACAAACCAAGGTCAGAATGTAGAGAAATGATGGATGCTCTGGTTCTCCTGCTATCAAATCGGCGTTGTCATAGCGTTTGTTTGAACGATCAAGTTGCCAACAATCACTGATTCCAACATCTTGTCCGACAAGACATAATCAATCTAGAACAACCACGCAGACAGGAGCTTTCATGATCAATGCCTGGGCAAATGTCTGCGACTTGGACTTCTGACGGGCTTGAATTCTCGAAGAAACTAGCGACTCGAAAAGGAGGACTCCTCAGCGTCTCCCAATAAATACTGCGTTAATTTCCAATCTCGACATCATAGCAGTATATATATAACCACGCGCGAAGCACGAAAAAGGAGCAACATGATGGCGGCAATGGCAGACTCGGAGCATCGGTGATCGCATTTCCCAACAATGAACGCCAACTCCCTATGTAAGGAACTCGTCAAGCGTCGTCCCGGTCAGCGCATCGTACGATTGTACTTTGCATTAGCCGAGCAATAGCTCGCGAAGTTCTCCCTGAAGGAGGAAATCAATGACACTCGGATGAAGCCTAAGGCCGAAGACTTTGTCGATCCTAGCGAACGTCGAGAGATCCTCAGATTCATCGATGATGAGCAGTGCCCTCAGATGTTCTCAGGAATCACAGACACGTGGGTTTTCGACACAGATTGCTCCGCCACCGTCCATTTCCTTCGATACATCGGCTGGAATGAAAACGATGTGTTCACCAAACAAGATGCAGCCTTAGAGTTTGACGATTCAAGACACCAATTACGCGCATATTACACTCGTCCTGAGCAGCACGTGGCACAGCAATGCAACAACTTTTATCAAGGAAACAAAGAAAGCCACCATAGCCAACTTCCCTCTGAATATAGTCTTGTCAATCCTTCTTCTCAGGCGCTGCATACCCCACCCACCAAAATTAAACCCATGGACTCTGAAAGAAGAGAAACTGCGAATCCATCAACATCGAGATAGGGCTGCTGCAATTGCGCTGTCTCTCTGCAACACTAACTTCTGGTCATGTTGAATCATGATACCTTCCTAAGGAATGATTCGAGCCTGTTCTCTTCTAACCTCGCCGCAATCAACGCTTCAAATTAAATGTCATGGCAACCTTCATTTGCGAGCTGATGCAGGCCAAAGTCGATTCCCGCTTGCTCAAGGCATCGTATCACTAGCTGAGAACTGTGGTATGCGCGATCCGATACTGTTGTGCGTTGAGCTATACAAGCGTTGTGGGAGCACTTTTCCTTAGAAGAAACGGCAGTCAGGCAGTATCAGTGGTCCTAGCCCAATCAAAAAGGTCCGCTAGCCGCACGAGAGCTAGCAATACAGCTTCTGTTCCATGGGCGAGATATGTGAACTCCTTCAGATATTGTATGGAATACTTACCTCATAAGTCTGGTTGTCATGGAGCGAGCGGTACAGGAAACGCAGTCATTGCCTCTAGATTTCAGCAGTCTTGCATAATTTGAAGCACCCAATAATGCTAAATTTGTGGCTTCCAGTCACAAAACCCAGGAACTCTTTGACGAAAGCGGAGAAAATTGACGAGGATTGCATTCTTTCCAGAATGGTTACCCCCGCGCTTCAAACGTTTCTTGTCAAAGACGATCAGAGCACTGTCTTTAGAGTACTATTGCCTACAAGCAAACTGCTTATGGATCAAACAAATATTCTATTGCAAGCAAACAAGCCAGGGCATCTGGGGCGGTTCAACTAAAGTGATGGACAATCAGAGATCATTCCTAGTCACGCTGCAGCAGTCCTTATCAATTGGTCACGGAGTTCAGCACTCGCTGCACTCGTTGTATGTGCTATGATCAACGTGGAATACCTGTCACACTGGTTGAGTCTGGTATCATTAATTCGATCATGAGATCACATTATGTCGTGCTCACCCGTGGAACGACTTCTTCCCGCCGTATGATCACATTTATGACAGCGGCAGCGACGCCACGAAATGTCTTGTTTCTTGGACCAAGCTGTCGAGTTCTCCCAGCACTGCAGACTCCGGGTTGCTCACTGAAGCAGAAAGAACGAAGTGCTTTCAATCTGGAAATCTCGAGCCGTGGGAGACCGTGCATCGCCAGTCTTCTTTGAGTATTTCTCATTAACGTCGTCACTAGATGCAGCGTCGGTGGCTCACCTGGAAGCCACAACTCGTATATACATAAAAATGAAGGGCAATGATTGTGGTCATTGGCTTGCCTTGCGTACCAGCAGATATGTTGGCGCACTTTAATGCCTTCAGGACAGTGCTGGCCACTGATGTGAAGGTCAAATTGGACTGAAATTCTGGCACAAGAAAAGAGACTCCGACGAGCACATTCGACTGAAGCAACAATTTCTGATGCTGAAAATTTCACCATTCGAACCGCAACAGCCGACTCTCAGTTGGGTGCAATTGCTAAGGCCAGAGACATCAACATTCATGCAAAGCGCGACTTTCGCTACAAAGTGCCTAAGAAACACCTTGCTCAAGGCCTCAAAGGTCCTTTCCAAGCCGAGATGAACTTTTTTGGATCTGCTGCTACTCAAAGTAGTTGCTTCAAACCACCAGGAAACGACATGCTGAAACCGGTCGAGTCCGCTCATATCAAACATCATGTTGAAACCTCCACAGCGACAGAGCACCAGAATATGCATCAGAGCACCTGAATATGCCACGTGCGTATTGTTGTGTAGCGATAAGATCAGCAGATGCCAACTCAAAACTCTAATTGCAAAGCTTTTCGGGGATCATTGTGCCGTTCATATGAAGTCGTGCTCGAGCCCAGGAATCATCTTTGAGTCTGACTGATTCGTGGTTCATGACACCCATCAGGTTCCAAAAGCGTCTTTGAATTCTGCTCTTGTGACTTGGGCCTGTTTTCAAAGGCATCTCCATGTTCGCCTTCTTCTTCGTTGAAAGGACCGGAGTCCTCTTCACAAGAAGTCCTGGAGCCATCTCGACTAGAACCACCAGAATTGCCTTGATCAGTGGTAGCAGAGGGGTTTGGGGATATCGGGGTTTTGGCCAGTGACAACAGAGTCAACACCATGGTGACACGTGTTAACGTGCTCAGTATCGTGGCACTAAAAGATGCGGTCGAAGATTCTCTGTTCGAGGAATTCATTCAGCGACAGCAGACTCCAAACCTCCACCATACCTCGCAAAAAGATGCCGTACATCGGTAAATACCTGCGAGAGCCATGAGACCGAGGTCGAGTAGCGCGAAGGACTGCTCTATCAAAACACCTGGAACATCTTCAACGAGGATGTGATGAAGTCGCGTCTAGATAACGCTGCCGAGCAAAACAAGACGGGTCCAAGAGCATGGAAGCACGCCACCGTTGCCAAATAGTCCTGGATACGCAACCTTGTTTCATACCGATGAGGACTGTGAGGAAGCACTAAAAAAATTGTTTGGGTCCGTTATCGAAAATATCAGAAACTTCCAGATCTTCCTCGGTCACCATCCTGAGAACCCTCGAATGCCTATGGGGTCTTGATCGCCCAGGTACTTTTGCTGTACCGCACTGGTTCTACAGGTGACATATGCCAGCGCCTTAGATCTGGGACGAGATACAGGTCTCATGAGCCAGGTTTTCATGGAGCAGTGCAGTGAATGTGGTCACAACGAAGGTGCTGGGTTCAGGGATTCACTGCGTTGCTGCTGCGCGATCCGATCGCATGATGTGAAGCAGATCAATGCCAGAGGCAGCCACCCTGCTCATCCCTCTTCTTTGCTGCCTCAGTGATAACCGCGTTGCATGTCTTTCGTTTTATTGATGTCCAAAATAAAACTACCTCACAGGCTACTCATCATCTTAAAAGCCTCGACATTCGACCAATCTCTAGCTGCTGAATCCCATTCTCCAACACCCGTGCTACAAGAATATAACACTGTCCTTATTGCGCCTGAATGACCTCGAACTCTTTGAAGCCTACGCTCCTGCGCAGTTAGACGGCCTATTCTCGATGACATTCATTCCTCAGCCCGCTAATACATTGAAACTGTCCTAGCGATTCATCCCGTGGAATTGGAAAGCAGGAGCTGTTGCTTGTAACCTCACCTCAATAGCAGTGTTTGAATGAATCTACCACAATCTGCCAGGGCGCATATGTCTCATCCACGAGCGTCAAAAAATTGAACGGTTCTCCCTTTCCACCGTGTTGATTGCAAGTACTCGAACCTCTTTCCTGTGGCAACAAGTCTATCTGGCGAAGACATTGGTTCTTCGGGCAACCTTTACCCGTCTCCAGCTGCTCGCAATAAAGCATTCAATCTCAACTATGCCTAAAATCTGCATCAACAAAGCGTCTCGGGATACCTTAGATCGCTTCTGGGCGTCCGCCTTTTCTACATCACATGAACAGAGCGTCAGTGCAACCAATGTACTGGGAGAAGGAATACTGCATTTGTTAAGAAAATCTAATTTCACTCTCGTTCCCGTGAGGCCCCTTGCAAGTCCTCCTGATACCTGGCTTGCAAACCCAGCTTTTTATATCGATGACACGTTCTATGATAGAATTCGCCCCGCGCTTTTGCTCGCATCGAGGCTTGTGTATGAAAGCAGGTGGTTCTTCGACAATGTTTGGGCTCGAGACATCGCTGGAGAAGACGGTAAACTCTTCTTTGACCATGAGAGCGAACTAGTCACCACACAAATTTACAATTGGCAAGAAGAAGTGTTCGGCGAGGTGAGCAATTTCCAAATACTCCTAGGATACTATGGACATGGGTATAAATCGTACGGAACCCTCCACACCTGGTTTTATCCTGCGAATCCTGCTGCTCAAGACCGGGTACCAGTTTTTGCGATGCGGCTGAACGAAATCTTTTATAAGTTGTTCACCGATCCATCTTTTACTGCCTGGCCGAAAGACAAGATTCAGAGAACGATGTTTCTATTGGCAGTAACAATCGTTCACGAGCTCATTCATCTCTGTTATGCTTATAAGACGCTGTTCGACTATCGGTTCGGCGTTGAGGCACCTGAAGTCGGAGCCCCGTTTTTATCCATCAGATCCAAGAGGAGAACTTGGCTTGGCCTGGATGAGATGGGCATTTGGAGGAATTCCAGTCCCAGTAGGCTCAGAGACTCGATTCGACCAGCACATGAATTACACCGCTTTGCAAATCTACCATATCGACGACATCTTCCAGTGGAGTGGGTCTCACTCGGCCCCGGCTACCAAACTAAAACTCCTAAGTGCGACCGATCTAGCTCAAGTTTTCGATGCACGATGTTGGCGAATTCACCGCGTCATCAACAAAAGCAACACCACTCGATACATTAAATTGTTTGGAGATGACTTCATCGATGCGATGCGAGTCGTCGGCCGGATTAGCAATTGGCAGGCAACCTACGGAAATTCTTCTTGGCCGACCGTGGAAGAACTCGAAAACATTCAAGCACCATCAGGGATGTCACCTGCTGTGCGCACAACATCTGTATACCCTGGCATTAGGAAAGGTAAAGAGCAGCGTCAGTCAGAAACCATCGCTTCTGGCTTGAGCGCATTGATCACAGCGTTCTCTGCCCTTGCTATAGACTGAAGGAACTGCGGACGGCAAACGACTTTCGTTTGATTATCTCACGGTGTCATCTATGTGAAGGAGTCGACTGCACATTTACAGGCTAGGCCGTGTTGAACCCTTCCTTGCTAATGCGACGCCTTGCTAAGTCGTCGCGGCTCTTCGTGGCCATCCGCAGATGCGCAAAGGTCGACTCAACAGGATGGTGACTACTTTCGCCAGTGTACAGTGACTTTTCATCGCACAGTGAAGTCGCATGATAGCGCTATATCAATGTCAGAGGTAGCCGCTCTCTCCAACATGCGCTCTTTGGCTGCCTCGGTGGCACGAGCACTAACCTTTTCATTATATCAGTGATTCACAAAAGACACTTACTCTAATCTGGCTACCACTGTTCAGGCCATCAGTCTCATGTAAAACTCACTATCGATAACCATCACATCCACCAGAAAGCAACGGGAAAAGAATAAAAGCTCTTTCTCCGGATTGGCCTACTGAACCCTCAATATCCAGACTTAAGGCCCATTTCCTGCCACAGACCCTTCCTTTGAGTCAAAAGCACTTCGAGTGAGCCGCGCAGCACATTTTCAATCTTGCAGCACGTCAACTCGTCAGTCGGAGTACCTGAAGCTTCTCACCCTGCCTCGCAGTACTGGAAAGAGGCTTTCTGCTATCATCGCAGTTCTTACACAGCCGGCCTGCACCATGTGATCGTTCTCCCTTACACAGAAAACTCTACCACTCGCAACCTCGAGAGAGGGGTCCGCAGCTCCAGAAACCAAGTCCGAGTTCTACCCGTTTCTCTCGGAATCGCTGTGCGTTTCGCCAGATTCGTACTATATATAAAACTAATTACAGAGCCAGACACCGCAGCACGCCAGGCCCCGAAGCTAGCGAGCCTTCGAAGAGAGCACGTCAAAACAAGATTTCCATTCGGCAGGCGCAGCTGCCCCTCAAGATGCAGAAGCCTCTGGTTTAGAACGCACAGAGGCAAACTCTGAGCTTTAGTCAACCACTGTCAATCCTGAGATCCTCTCTATTGCAAGCCAACTGACGGCAATAACCTGTGAGAACGGCCTATCAGCTCTTGAAGCCATGAACTTGAAGCGCCAGACACCCTAGACCTCGAGTATCGTTACTGGCAGGTTTTCACGATCAATGAAGCACTGAACACATTTGGAAACTCGGAGCTGATTCAAGAGTATAAACAAATCATGACCGGCTCTGAAGTCGAGCTTAGGGCGCAAGACGCTGCATGGCGCACGATGGTCCTGGAGGAAACAGATAAGGTAAACCCGCTCTTACTACTTTTCAAGCTTGTCAACGATTAGAACGATGTAATATTTACGGAGCAACAGCTCTTATTGGACAGCCCGAGATACCAACCTCAGAACTACCTCAACGCATACAAGGCTCTCAACATTCAGGACCCTACGTGCCCTCGATTACGGAGTATACTACTGGGGGTGGTATTGTTCCGATGGTAAGTCATTATAATCGCGCGGCTTCTCGAGAAGCGCAAGTGTAGGCTTTGTGGTGTTTTTATCTATAATACAACGGGCCTAGGTAAGACTCTTGTGGCTCTCGGAAGAATCTTATTGGTAAGCCTTATACTAAACTTCTAGTTTTCCTTTCCTACCGCATAATTTTCAGGAACCTTTACGCAACCGGAGTTTCCTAAGATTATAAGTACTAACGATATTTTCTAGGCCAACCTAGCTAAAAAGCAATAATCGCAACAGGCAAGAAGGCTCCCTCTACTCGTCCACACTTAATATGCACTTTACATTACCTGATCACACAATAGGAGTCGGAAGTTCGTACTTTCTACCCTAGATTTAAGATTATCGAATACCAAGGCGACTTCAAGGAGCAGGTAGATCCAGATATGAGAGTCCCGCTATCAGCTCAACACAAAGTCCATAATGGTGACAAAGCAACCATATAGACTCTTGTTTTTACTTCATTGCAGACTTGGGCGACCAGACACGATCAAAATGCACAACCAAAGTGGCGAACTAGCACATTGGGCATAACAAAGCGTGATGCTGGGAAGGTGGAACACATTCTTGACCCTACGTTTCCTAGATACCTAGCTGGTCGATTCAACCATGTTGTTGTTGATGAAGCGACCAGCATCAGGAACCATGAGACTAAGGCAAATATTGCACAGCGATGGCTCCGTTTAAATTACACCACATTCTTCGTGCTCCTGAGTGCGACACCTGATATCAATCCCATGGTGGAAGACGTGGAAGGATATCTGCGGTCTTGATCACCTGGGAGATTTTGTGACCTGAGCTCGAGTCAAGGCAAAATACTTGCACATATCTGTCACAGTACCAAAAGAGCATTTGGTTCAATGGGAGAATTTAACAAGAGTTAATGTCCTCGTTCGAGCCTTTTTACCTCAGGTCGGACCCAATAGCAGAACTTGGACTGGCCTGGGAACAATGGGCCCTTGATGGAATGCCGGTGTTAGTAACCGAGACAAACAATTGGTTGGTTGGCAGTACAGAATTGGCTATGGCGAGGGTCACTGGGGGTTGGACTGTGCACAACCAGACACGATTTCTCACGACCAAAATCCTTACCGGCAGTGATATTGCCTCTTTTTTTGATTCGTGTTGTTGGCGGATTTTTCGTGGTGTGAATCTTAGTATAAGACTATCTACGCCAAGATTATCAAGGGTAACTTTGTCGACACAATGTAGATTTTACGGCAGATCAAAGACTGGCAGGTGTCCCATGGAAGAGTGTGGCCCAATGCAGAGGACAACAGGCCTGTGAGCTTTCGGGAGGAAGTATGGCGGCTAAGAAAAGATCAGTCACGAGCCGAAGCACTCGCCCACGGTGGCGAAAACACCATTGAAGGCAAAATCGTGCCGGAGGATGGCATCAACGATGAACGGTCATAAGCAAATGAGGTTGGTTGAGGATCACGTCAAAGTGTTGCATGAGACCCATGTATGGTAAAGAACCTATTGGAATATCACAGGCGGCAGCCAGGATTTGCTCGCCTCATCTGCTATTTCCGACCACATGAGGGCACCTGTATGCCATTATCTTTACAAATGACCGAGTCACTCATGAGTCATGAACATTGGCCAAACCCATTGTTGCGTCTTTCAGCACCAGCCAGAGATAGTCGCTTGACCAGAAGTTTCTTTGATCGTGCAACAATGCGGCCTAAAAATACTTCTTCGATGCGCAGCACTAAAACATCTCGACAAAGCATTTCTTTGACCTATCGTCAACACAGCCCCCTTGATGTGTCGACAAAAAATGCCTTGAAATACCCTGGCTGGGACTGTGTGTTTTGAATCATTTTACTGCCCTACATCAGAATCAGGAAACACAATAACCGCTGTGACAACAGTGAACATCAAGAACGGGAAACACCTACCTATCTACCTGCTCAATCATCTCCAATTTTCGTCAGAACAATTAGTCCAGGATTGTCCTATTGACGATATCATATTACCTTCAAGCTATGTCTACCGATAGGCTTCGAACCGGCTACCACTTTGGGTGGACAAAATGGTTTGTTGTATTCAATGAGACGCATAGAAAGATTCTTAGGAATTATGAAGTACCGCCTGGTATACTAAGTATCATGTCTCAGAAAAATTTCAGCACAGAAAATATGGAAGATGGTCTGAAAAGAGATATGAAGACCTGGCTTACAGATCCAAACTGCGCACTGGACGATGATATATACACAAGGATGCTTCCCGCATTTTGGCTAGCGTCGAGGTTCATATATTCCAGCCGAGAGTTCTTCGACACCATTTGGTATGGGGACGAAGTGATAGAAGATGGTGTGATCTATCTAGACCACACAAGTAAGCCGAACACCTCTGTATATGACGATTTTTTGAATGATGTTATCAATAGAATCAGCAATTTCCAGATATACCTCGGCCACAAGGACGACTGGGATCGCGCTTATGCCGTCCATAGCGCAGCACATGTTACGTTAAGGTCAGGAAACCCCATGCGTACATGGACGATTCAGGTGAACGGGAGATTTCTTGACTTTTTTACTCATCCATCATACAGTATTTTGCCAAAGGCGACCATAGAAAGAACGCAGTTCATACTAGCAGTGACACTGGTACATGAACTTGTGCATGCTTGCCACAGCATGAAATTCCAGGAACACCAACCGGAGCCTTTCTACTACAGGACAGACCCGGCGGCAGAACTTGGACGTGCCTGGGAACGCTGGGCATTTGCTGGGTTTCCGTATGAGAGTCAAGACTGGGAGCTCGCCAGCAGTACCACCGAAATACATGTCTACAACGTCGAGGATGATTGGTGCAACCCCACGTCTCCAGACCGAAAAAGGGCGACAGTTCTTACCGCTCTCGAGATTGCTGACTTTTTCGACAGTGACTGCTGGAGTATCCTGCGTGATTTGACCTTGAAAAAGACCAACCAAGTATATGACGGGATCCTGAAGAACAACTTCATCGATGACATGAAGGTGGCGAGGCAGATCAAAGACTGGCAAGAGAAACATGGAAAATGGTGGCCTAATCCAAAAGTCATTCAACCAATCCAGCGTCAGGAAGGTATATTGCCGGCTGCTCCAACTTCCACCACTCATATGGTCAGTCGAGATCGCAATGAAGATGCTTCTGAAGCGGGTCCATCTAACACCACTGGGGAGAAAGGCACTAAAGATACCTCAGGGGACAAATCAGTTCCTCAGAGTAAGAAGCTCAGTCACGTTGACGAACTTGCGGCGGCATTTGGTGTCTCCACGCCAACGAAGAAGTGAAGGCTCACAAACAGCGCCCGATGCATCATTTCTTGACCCTATGTACATCACAGCTTCTGGCCGGTTCAAAGAACTCAATAGACGAGGGTGACGAAAGCAACATAGCCAAGGCGGGCGTGTCACCTGAAAAGGGGTTTCTATATCGATGGGAAGGTAACACGGATAAAGCAGAAGTGTTGATGCAGAGACTTCGAAACCGAAGCAATAACTCTGACAAGTGCATCATTGACATCGACATCCCGAATCAGGATGTAGGATCTGATATGGAGAGGACACTACTACCAAGTGCTTGTATCGCGAAGAATGACTGCGCTGCCAGTATTCGATTAACTCTTAGTACAATACTCTGATTAAGTAATGCAAAAATGATTATGGTTGCTATAAAGACTACGAGAACTCTAAGTGCAATGAAACGGAGAGCGAAGTGGATTGGAACCAAAACGTAGGTAATATTGTGAATACTTAACAGTTCTGAGCAGCGGATGAGAAAGTTGAATTAAGCCAACATTGCTGGAGAATCTTTTCAAACTTGATAAGTTCCAAGTATGTCAACATTCTTGAATATGAACCAAATCCCGATTCCTGAGGGAGGACGAGTGATCAGTATCTTGTTTGAAGCCACGTTGAAATCATGGTCGAAGTTATCAAACTGGCTGCCCTTAAATGACATATGTCCTCCCTGGCCTACTTCCTCACAGCATTCACCTCTTCCTCCAACTTCAAAATATCGGGAACAGGGCCCACAGGCGTAATTCCGAAAGGATTAATCTGCTTATGGCTCTTCGTGTAGTGGCCCTTGATATGCTCAAACTCAGTGGTCTCTCCAAAAGCCGGAACGTTCCAGTATAAGTTGCGGACCCATTTATGCAGATTCGGATATCCACTGCGGATATCTCGAATATTGCATTTGAAGTGCTGTACATAAACGGGATCAAATCGGATGATGGTAGTGTACAGACGCACATCGGCCTCGGTGATCTTGTCACCAAAGTAGTATGGTCCTGCAGATTTTGCCAAGTCGGCTTCCGCGCGGTCGAGCGACTTGAAAAGCGTCACTACATTGTTTTCGTACGCCTGCTGCGTCGTCGCGAAGCCGGACTTGTAGACTCCGTTGTTTACGTCATTATACGTCCACTCGTTTGTTTCTTCGATTTGGGACTGGAGCGATTCGGGGAACAGTACAACGTCCTTGTATTTGGTGTCGATGAGGTCGTCAAATTCAGTGTAGAACATGCGGATGATCTCTGCGGACTCGTTGCTCACGATCGTGTTCTTCTTCTTGTCCCATAGTGTTGGGACCGTAAACCGTCCTTCATAGTCCGGGTTTACGCTGAAGTACAAATCGCGGAGATGGGTGAAGTCTGGGTGTAGTGGGTCAGGCGTGGAGTTTTCTCCCGGCAGTTTCTCGTCGGATGTTGCGAATCGCCATCCTTTGGAGGAAGAGCTGATGTTAGCTGATACATGTACACAAGATCCTCAAACGAAAGGTCCGGCGTGATTTACATACCCTTCTCGGCCATGTGCCAGTGTACACTGGTGAATCCAATGATGTCCTCCAAGCCCTTCAGTTTTCTCACGATGAGTGTTCTGTGAGCTAAGAAAACGATATTAGGAAAAGCATAACCTTATTGATCGGAACATTTCTATCATACCCCATGGGCAAGCATAGCTGACATATAAATGATATCGATCCTTTTCAGCTGGGAATTCCGAATTGGGATCCTTCGAGATAAAATTCCTGAAAACAGATTGCTGCCGCTTAAACTCGCCAGATTTATCACCGGGCTTGACCCAGTCAGTGATGGTGGCTTTTTGATCCTGTATGGACTGGGTCAGCAAGGGTACTTTGAACAAAAGAGAAACCAAAAGCACGAGGCCAAAGAGGGAAACAGAGATTGAGCTGCGTACCGACATGGTGAATAAGGAAGCGGTCTGTTTAGCTGTAGCTGGTTTTACGAGAAGCGATGAGGGGCTGAGCGAGCTTGATATATGTGATATAAATGTTCGAAGACGTGAGATTGAATTTGACATGGACAATCGGATGATTGATTGAGAACAGGGATCAGAACAAGAGCTCTGGATCTGTACTAAGTACTACTTATATGTAGTTATTTATGGATAGACATGAGTAGAGGTCAACCGTGGAGCGGAACCTCGCCGATGAATCGCTTGTGGAGGCGATTGGAGTGTGTGAGCTAATCATGACGAACAGATGCACCGCCGTTCGGTTTTTCACGTCGCTTTGATGACTAAACCTGCAGGAATTAGTCAATCAACTCAAGATTGAGGTGGAGGGGGGTTTTCCCGTTATGGTGGTGGAGAATCATGAACACAGAAACTAGAACCGACTAGATGGGGGACGACGGGCAACCTTGAAGAATTGTCGAATCACATAGGCATTGCTTACTATCAGCATGCTTCTAAACGGGCTCAAGCGCCGTAATGTCCTTCACGATCATTCATACACCGCTCGAGAAGGGAGAATTCTATCATACAGCCATGGCATATTGCATTCTAAGAGGGAGCCACTAAGTCGCGCCTTTGAACATGTTCCTTTCGCCAATGCTCATATCCCAGTGCCGGATCTACTTCTTGTATTTCACCATGACATATGGAATTTCCACATCCTCCTCAGTCGTATCTTCAGCTGTGATCTCAAAGATGATGTTCTTCTGATGATCGGGGATCGGCTTGCGACTGATTGTTTCGAGCAGCTTGCTCATCTGAAGAGGCAAGCGATCCTTCACCTTGCTCGGCGGGTAGAAACTGGCATAGAGAAGACTGACTCCAGAGCTGACCATGGTAACGCTCAAGCCAAGATCATCGAAGTGCTTGATGAATTCTGTCAAAGTGATGTCGTCAACCTCAAATCGATCCCAGAGTTTGTCAATTGTCACTTCACCATTCTTGCCCTGATAGGTGCCCTTGGGACTGGAAATAGGCTCGCTGAAACCAAAGAATGGCAATGCAAGGTTGACGAAACCATTCTTGTATTGTTCCAGGTCTGTCTTTCCATCGACAATCTTGTACAGCTCTGAAATTACTAATCCAGTTGCCAATGCGGTAGTCGTTGCAATGGCCGGAATGATCTTGCCAGCGATGAACTTGGTCTTGTGTCTGTCGGCAACAGTAATACTGTAGTTCAAGGCACGAAGATTACTTGCAGCTGTGATGAAATCAATGTGGTGATTTGTATCATCATCTTTCTCGAATTCCACAACACTCAAGCGGAAACCAGGCAAACTCTTTGGTGCTGGCAGTTGAGCAACAATCTTGTTCAATTCATCCTCATCATCTGCAAAGGTTGGAGGTGGACCATTTGGATCAGGCTCCTTCTCATCTGCCTGGATTTTGACATTCGAATCGGGTTTGAATTCCGGGATGATCATGCTGTCGATCACTTTGATATAATCTGCTTTGCTCAATTTGGGTGCTTGGATATCATAATTGTAGGCATGCAGGTGTGCACCGGCGATCACAAAGCCAAGGTGGGTTTCATCATTGGGGTCGAAAATGAGAGCGGTAGGTGCGCGTTTAGGTCCTGACCAGAATTCCGCACCGGTTGAGGTCTTGGAATCCTTGGGGAAGTTGTACAACAACTGAGCAATCGCGTTGTGATACTGCTTTTCAAACTGTGTACGGGCCCAGGCAATGCAATCATTAAAGTCGGAGGGCTTGTCAGAGACCAAGAAGTCCTTGAGACTGTCCAAGATTTGCTTCTCATTCCCTTGTTGTCTCAGAGTGGTGTTGATGTAGTCGGGCTGCGAGAGGTATAGATTGACAGTCTCTGGAGGTCCCACGAAGTAAGATTGGAACAAATCTCGAGCCCATGCAATCGTATGTTCAATCTTGTTGGGGAAACTCCGTAGTGTACACATGGGGAATGATTGTTCGGGGGGATCTTGGGAGCTGGAATAAGATTCTGTAAGACGAGGAAGAACCACTTGAGTATTTGCCTTTGTTCCGAGAGTACCGCTTTCAAGTAGTGGCTTCTGGAAGAAGACACATCTGCGATCGACATATGTACGAGCTTCCACATTGTCCAAAGCGTTGGTAACCAGATCGAGCTCTGCCCAGAATTTCTCGTCAAAGACGTCTTCCGAATCAGGGCCAACACGATCATTCAAGGTGGTGATCTTGCCCTTAAGTTCGGAATTCATTGCTTGTACCGCAGCTGCAGCGGCGTCACTCTTCTGCTTTCCAACATCCTTGGCTCGGAACAAGAATTGTCGGTTGAGATTGCTTCGTTCGATGGAGTCGTTGTCTGTGACCGTGATGTGGCCCTTAGGGCCCGTTCCGAGGCCAATCATGGCATAGTTCTTCAACATTTCGCAGCCAATGGCACCCGCTCCAACCAGGAAGTTCTTGACATTGGAAATCTTTTCCTGGTATTCCTGACCAAAAACAGCAATTTGGCCATCGTACCTTGATCCGATGGGTTTGCAGAGTTCCTCGCTTCTTGCAACGGAAGTAGGCAGCGCCTCCAGGGCGTCAAAGTAAAGCCACTGGACGATTGGTGTGAACTTTCCAGAGACCGCCTTCAAAACCTCCTGAGCCGTCAAACCGCCGAAGAATGCCGCTGTAGAGTTGAGATCACCTTGAGCTTGAAAGCTCAACTCAGTGATCAACTTGCTGTCAAGTTCAACTTCTTCTGAGCTTTCCTTTGCCAACTTCTGGGCGATTTCGACAACCTCTTTTGCGTCCTGTTCGTTGTGGGGTCGGGGAAATACGCCTTTGTTCTTTTCAGCGAAAGCATGCAGGGCCTGTACACCAACGTGCAGCTGCGCGGGGCGATCAAATTTGGCGTAGTCTGAGATCAAGAATTCCGGCTTCTTGATCTGCTCCGCTAGTGATTGGAACTGAAGAACTTTAGGCATCTTGACTTGTGCGAAGAGACCACCACCCTGGTATTTACCCAGGCCAGAGACGTCTCCGATAGAGAAAGAGTATGGTCCTTTTACTGTGATTTTCCGGGGAGCTGCGCCATTCAAACCATCCATGCCTTTGAGCTCCGCAAATTCCACGTAATCACCATCTTCCAGACCATGGCGGGTTTCATCAAGTGCCGATACCAAGCCGCTCTCATCAATGTCTGCAACGATTCCGCTGATCGGATTCTCCCCAGTCACATCACCAACGGTGAAATCTTTGCCAAAGTCCGTGAATACATATCCAAAGAGACCGAAGGTGTCGGCAACCACCAGGTATATTCCATTCGCATGTGCATACTCAGCAATTGTGAGTTGATCTTTTAGAGGAGTGTTTGTGAGGACAACAACTTGGTATTGTTTGAGTTGACTCAGGTCATCGGTCAAGGAGGATGATTTATGGACGGAGACTGGAGTGTAGGAGTTCAACTCGGCAACGCGGGGGGCAGTGACCTCTGCTCGAGGTTTGCCAACGTCTTCGGGGTGTAAGAAGAATTGTGAGGAGAGGTCACCAATGGCGACAGGTTGTGTATCGAATAGGGTCAAAGATTTGACTCCAGCGAGGGCGATATTCTTGGCGATCTCAACACCTAAGCCTTTCAATCCGACAATCAGGATGTTGGAAGAACCCATCCGCTTCATAGCCTCATGACCAAGAACGTAGAGTTGTCTGCTATAGAGAGATTCATCAATTTCGCCGCTCTGGAGCTGCTGAATAGCAGCCCCAGGGTTATCTACCTCCATGACAGAGTCGGTCATGATTTTCTTCTCTGGCCGGGAGAGGTCTTCAGAGGAAGCTTTTCTCTTACTGCCGGCCTTGATGGTATCTGGAATTTCGGCGTGAGGTGAAATGTTGAAGGTGGCCTTGCCTCACGCAAGACCAGAAGACAGGAGCGGAAATCCGAAGAGCAAACAAATGGCGCTTCGAACAGAAGGAGTGATATGGCAGTCGTTGCTACACTGCAAGAGAGTGAAGACGGAGGGTGGAGGGGTGGAAAGGTGTCAGAGTGTGTGAGAAGGGAAGAGGGAGCCTGCAAGGCTTAGATGAGGGACAAATGGTGCAGGCAACGGTTTGTAAGGTCGATTTTAGTCTATTAGTCAAGGAAGTTTCGCGAATTGTCAGTGTAAGAATGAGTAACTCAGGTACCAGCGCGGGACTCAGGCTTTCTTGGAGACTTTGAATTGGAGTGAAGGCAAGGCAGATGACGGATGGGAATTGGTTGAAACAGCCAGTGATGCAATTGTCTTCAATAATCATGGCTAGGCAGAATATTTGCACTTCAGATTAATTGAGTGATTCGCAGTATTTTTTCTTCGGTCAAGTATAGAGCACAGCCTCGCCAGCCTTACTCAACCGGCTCACCTTCCTTCTCGGACACCTTGCCCCACCTGCCACTACTGGGAGTCCTACTGGTACTGGAAACTGCGGTAATTGTTGAAACCTCATCGAAGCAGGGACCTTGAAAATTGACCGGGAGTCCTTGTACAAGCCAAGTTGATGGATCTCCGGTCATCAGAGAGTGCGACACGATCAGAAAGCCATGCTCCCACCGCCCTCCGAATCTGCCCACACGACCTCTTCCCTTCCCTCTCCCCATGGTGGACCAACACAATCCCGCATGTTAAATAGTTGAACATACTTCGACGCGCTCTTGTTGCCCTCGACACGCGTTGACTGCCATCCTAGCCTGTGTCTAGAATCATGGCATAACCTTTCATCACTTTCAATGTGTCGCTTTGAGCTCGTAGGAAGATTCATCCTCTGGTGCCAGTCACCCCACGACCCTCCCCCGGCTCACGAGCTTAGCCCTCGACTGCATGTCCATACGTCCTCTTCAAGGGCTTCGAAATGCTTCATGAAATCCTCCTGTCCTTATCAGGGATCCAATCGCCCATCTGGGATCAAAGTCGGAACCACCAAACCCCGGAAAGTCAGAATATAAACAACTATGTCTCCCCTCCAGAACGTGCCATGTTGGAGACTTTGGCCCATCTACAAGAGCTCCACGTTCGAATTAAGGATACAACTACAAGGATAACTGCCTCGCACCAATCAATGGTGTGCCGTGCGTTAGCTGCGTCTATTTCTGATGTTCATCTGGATAGATTCATGAACAAGATCATAGAGGTAGAAGCTTCCATATTGACAAAGGATGCAGCTTATGTTGGTGGTCATGGCATTGTCCCCTTGAGCACTCTCGTCGCCGAGTTCTCACCATGGTCGAGGCGTTTGGAATGGCTCGCTTCAATCACACACCATCTGGAGCAGGGCATTCGTCCTGGTAAACCAGGCCAGAAATCCTCGGGCGCTTCAGCTCTCAATCTACTGCGACGCGAACTACACACAGGATACTGGGATATTGCTGAAATGGCCACCGACCTCCTTTCTCTCGGACAAAGAGCATGGATGCGTGCCGCTGCTGTCTGGATACTTTACGGAAAGCTTCCCACCTCTGGTGCGGATGACTTTTGTATCAAGTCAAACCCTGGCTCTACGCTTTCTTTGGATCGATTTGTGATCGAACAGTCACTGCTGCCAGAATTTGTGAATACTGGGGCCTCACACACACTTCTTTCAATCGGAAGTGCTCTCAATCAGCTACAAGCTCAAGCGGTATCTTCGTCATGTCCAGGGAATCAAGTTGATCCATCAATTTCACTTCTTCCTAATCACTTGACATTGCTTGAAACGCTTTCCTATCCTTTGAGTCCGGCGCTACTCGAGAATGTTCTGGCTGCTATCAACCAATCCATATCCGAGAATGCTTTGTCCAAGATTCTTCCTTTGCCCTTGGTGATGCGGCTACTCCAGGTCACAATGCGTTATTTACTGCTCGATCGTGGAGAGTTTGCTATATCACTCATCACACATGCAGATGAGCGTGTGTCGAACCGACAGCAGGCACAGACAATCGCACGCCCAATTCGAAAAGTGGGGCGTCTCGATGAGTTAGCCATTAAAGACATCGAGCTGAGTGGAATCCTCAGCAGATCCTTCGCTGAGCTTGCCGTATTGCAAGGAGATGAGGAAACTGACGACGACATCTTCGATCTGGCAAAGCAATCTCTGTCCCTGAAGATGTGTGATTCACGAGCTCATGTGTTGTCCACTTTGCTCCCCACACCAACTGTCCTGCGACTTACGATCCCTTCAGTCTCGCCTCTCCACTTGTTCTTGTCTCCGAAGGACATTGAGAGCTATTCACTGTTGAATGCATACTTAATTTCAATCTACAGAGCAGGTCTCCATCTTTCATCGTTGTGGAAGATCTCTGCTCAGCGTCGGTGCCACCCTACTCCTTTGGGACCACCAGCGAGTGCCTCAGCCTTTGGCCGAGTAGCATTAGCATCGCGAAGGGCAAGAGAGGATTGGAGAAATGGGAGGACGAGACGCCACTGGACTACCGCAAGCAAGACGCTGTTCATGTTAAACGAACTCAAGGCATACTTTCAAGGCGAGGTGATCAAAAGTAGTTGGCTACACTTTCGTGCTTGGATTGGGAGTGTCGAAGCAGAGGCCTCCACATCTGCCAAATCATCCAGGCCCGGAACAGCCTCGTCATCAACAGAGATGAAGACGCTTGATCTCTCTGCAAGTACAGGTGCCTCTTCAAGTCGGTTTGGAACTCCAAGTGATCCTCGAGCATTGGCAGATGCACACCGATCATTTCTGGAGGCTTTGAACGTAGCTCTCTTTGTGACTGAGACCAACTTTGTCGACCTACTGAAAGAGCTTCTGTTGCAGATTGATCATTTCGTCGCCTTATTCTCCCGTCTCCAGGCTGTCTGGGAAGGTCTGGATCTTCAAGAGGACGAAGGAGTCTTGGATGCTTTTTCAAATTACGCCCAGGACGAAAAGGACGTGATTACGGAAATGGATCGGACAAGTGAGACTATTGAAGGCGTGTTGGTAGGCGTTATCGACAAAGTTCGCGGTATCGAGATTGATAGCAGAGTCGGACCCGGTGTGAATAGCATTACGGAAACCTTGTCAGGCATCGGACTTGACGGGAAAACGTTTGTTCCTTGGCGAGCGAGGACAGTAGACCGCCTGATTATGAAGTTGGATGGTCTGAAGGGCAGGCAGGACGAGGACGGGCATGATCTAGCAAATGAAGACGGACACGATGACGAATGAGTAATGAAAATATCAATCATGACTATACATTGATTGTCCATTCCGATCCAATATAGACGCTTTTGCACCGCACACGTATGGCTAGGTATGCATCCAATGTACGATATATCAAACTATTTGATAGAAAGCTTGAAAGGTACATTGAATGTGTTCTGCGATTATCAAAGAATTAGCAAAAACCGACTCAACGAGAAATGCAACAAGATGATACGACTCCCACACAAACGGTACGTAAGAGAGACGGGGAGACATAGAAGAAACCAGAATCTCACGAAAGAAAGAAAAAATCAGACAAGCCGTTGACCTCATCCCGTCCCCTGCCATCACAGATTTTCTCAACACGAGCCCATAACGGGCCCATGAGAAATCATCCGTTCAGGCAGCAATCAAGTCCAACAAAGGCACTTCCCAGAACCCTAACCACCAGGAAAACCACACCAAGCCGTTCCCCCAAACTCAAAACACCGGTGCCCAACATCGTCTCAACCGAGACGAACATACTGTTTCCCCCTTGATATCACATCCCGTTGCAGCATCGTAGACAGCCCGGAGAGGGAGAACAGACAAGAGACAACAATACCAAGAGCGATCCACAACCAATCATCCCCAATACGCTTCCTGGGAGGCGTATTGGGTCCGGTATCAGGGAAAGGTAGGTTTATTATTGTTGCCGTGTCTCTCTTCCCTTTCTCCAGGCCTGGATGAGATCGGAATAGATCGCAAGGGTTTTGCAGTTTGAACGTCCAGAAGAGATAACAGTGGAATGGTGTTCTGAGATGAAGTAGTAGGGATGGTGAGATTTAAAGTGGAGGGAATTGAAGGGTGAATTGTCGGAAGGATGGGTGGTGTTTGAAACCTCAGAGAATGGATAGACTAGGTGTCATCATATTTTTGGGGCTTTGAATTGGTTTGCTGATGATGGTGATGATGGTGATGATGGTAATGAAGTATCAAGGGATAGAAGACAGACTGACCTATTATGGAAACTACGTGGGTTTTCGTCGATCACGGTATGAGAAATTACAATGGCATCTGTGCATCTTGCAATGTCTTGTTAGCTTGTTTCGCTCAATGGAATAAAGATAGCTATGCAGGTGAATAGGCAGAGACAGCGTCATCAACATGGATTTGAGATGTGTGTGAGATCAGACAAATGGTAAGCTTGGTAGATGGCTTCTTCAACTTTTGATTCAGAAGCAGAACTGTATATTTAAACCTTGGTCATCATAGAAGGGGATGTAGTTGCGACTTGTGTTGATGCTGTGGGTATGGCGCTGATGAAGCATGAAACGAATGAAAAAACGGTAGTGGCTTACCGAAAATGTGAATTCAACGCCCAAGACGCGACGGATTTTCACGATCTGTCAATCTGTGCTCAAGTTAGCTTTTCCATCATGGTAAGCGTTCTTCTGAGTTGATTCTCGTATGTAGAGGAGAGGAATCGGTCAGATGGTAGTGCATGTTAAGTTCAATGGCTCATAGAAGTCGCCGGAACGAAAAAGTATGATAAATTTCATCAAGTGATTTTTGGACCTGAAAGGTTTTCTCGGGATATCAGCTTACCAAGTTAGTGAGGCAAAGTGGGTAAAAAGGATGGAGGTTCAGCAATTGCAGTGACTACAGCATCATGAGCTTTGTAGTTGACGGATTGACGAAATCCTATTGAACAAGTTGAAAGGCTGATTGAAGCTGAGGTTAAAGAACGAAAGCCTTGAGTGAAATTGTTTTCCTCCGGGTAAACTTCGTTGCTTGGCATTATCAGAATCACGTGATCAAGGCCCGGAAATCCCGCTTACGTCAGCCTCTGGAAACTTCATCAGTCACGCATCAGTAACCCATCAGTTGTTTGAAAATTCATTCTCATGGCTATCCTATATCAGTACTTAGTAATATGGTCTCTGAAAGTCGCTATGGAATAGCCACCGAGCTTTGACAACCATCTCAATCGGCTTCCGGCGATCGCTCCGAATATAAGTATGAATTCTAGCTTTTCCAGACCATTCCTCCTGCGTTCACACCTGCGTGCTACGCATTCTGTCACATCACGATGACATCTGGAATATGATGTTGAATCAAGTTCCACAGCAATGCAAGGCCGCTGGCGTCGATCAACCTGACTGGAACACCCCGTTAAGACTCGTAGCTCACATGAACATGATCCCTGGCATACCAATCAATTACCAGACACGCCGGCCGCAACGATGATACTCACCAATGATTCGCAGTATTGCTGCCACGATCGCCATTGACACAATTCTTGATGACTGTGCAAGCCTGGTATCGCCACTGTGACCACGGCTTGACCGAGTCCCTGCTTGGACTCCAGATCCTCTGTCCCCACATCACGTAGTCGACTTTGAGTGAGCTGGCTTTACGCATCACCCATTCGGCGATCGGTTCGCCCGTTGAGACTTTTTGCTATGGTGGGGAAACCCAGTCAGTGATGAATGGAACACATGGACTGGGGATAAATGTGAGTAACGAACTCCTCCTTTGGCAACCATCATATCAGTCGCCATCCCAGTACAATGATCGCTCGAGCTCGGATTGTCACATTTCCTGATACATCCGATCTCTTTGATCTTGCCTGGGAAAGCATCGACAATGGCTTTTGCTCCATCCCTGGCCACTTGCTTGCACCCCGAGCTTGCGCTTGGAATCTTCGGCGTTGGATATCCACTGCCAGCCGGCATGCAGCATTTGAAGTTGGTGGGCCCTGGGCATTTATTGGCCTCGGTAACTCCAGAGGCACAGGAAGATGTGAAACGGCAGTTTCCTTTGTCTCCCGTGCCGCACTTGGACTTGGTGCAGCATTTGATGTTATTCGGCGTTCCCGGGCATGCATTTGAAGTATAACTGCCCCCGTCTTGAGTGCAATCGCTGGTCGAGATGCATACCCCGGGATTGCCGCCTGATCCCGTGCATGGTCCGTTGACATCGGAGCGTGCTATAAATGTGAAGGCTTGCGTGGTGGTAAGGAAGAGGAATACAGGGCAAGAAATGATATATCGACTGAGGTGCATATTGAAATCTTGCATGTGGTCGCGTCGACTGAATTCGATTATGTCTGGTGGAGAGGTCTGAAGAATGGTGAGAGATGGATGTTAGGTCGTCCTAATGCTTGGAGAGAATGGCCTGGATATAAAGTATCTCCTTCCAGATGCTGTTCACTGACAAGAGGCACGCGAACTCTGCATGTGACATGCTTCCTGGTAATACAGAACGGGAAATGACATTTCAGACATGATGGTACTGCCCATTCTTTGGCAGAAAAGTTCGTCTTCTTCATGCCGCATACGACGGGTTGGTACTTGGATATCTATCAATCCTGACCCGTTCATAACAAGACCACTGAACAAAGCCCTGCGGTCACCGCCAAAATGCGGCTAGCTGCATCACCATCGTGGAAGTCTACGAACGCGGTTGGCCCAAATATATGAAAGGAGGCTTGGCTGGTAAGTTGACGAGCTTCTTGAACCAATGTGTTTAGTCCAGCAAATGTTACGTGTGACCTTTACCATATTCGACAGACGACGGGCAGATCAAAATTACTACAAGTCCTCTCAACATTCAATGCCTTTCAGCATTCATGTATGAACCGCGAATAGATGTTTCGTAGTTGTTAACCGGTTTCAATTAGTCATTAGAATATTGTAGGTTAAACCCAAACAAATTTATGCGGTCGTTAAACCACAGACAACTCTAGAAAGATGAAGGCTACAATCGCCAAGGAAAGCAGAAGAGTCGAGCTGGCCACCACAGTGGCAGCGGCCCCAGTGTAAGTCGAAATCCAAGAGCTCGAGCTAGGAGCTGGCGCTCCGGGGTCATTGGATCCGTACGACTCACCGTTGTAACTGGATCCTCCGTTGTTTGACGCAGGACTGGAACCACCACTACCGCTAGCTTCGTTCTGATGGCCATTGCTTGGCTCGTTGGTGACGCTTGAGCCGTCGCCATTGACTTGGTAACCAGAGCTGTCGGAGCCTCCAGGACTGACACCGGAGCCTGGGTCGGTGACCCCAGGTGCATGAGGGAACGCAGCTGGGGCATTGGCTGGTGGGGTTGGAGAACTGCTTCCAACAGGTCCATAGCCATAATTTGAGTTGACTAACGACCCAGTCTTGGTTACTAAAGTTCCTGGCGGTGCTCCGGCTGACCCTAGTCCATTTGGAGCCATTGGAGGCAATGGTACGACAGTTACTGGCAAAATGACAGTCTGTGTCGGAGTAATCACAGGACGAGTGATTGTGATTATCTTACCACCAGGCTCGGTAGTGACAATTACTTCATGCCCCGTGGGTTGTGGTCGCACGGGTTTAACGACAACGAATGGAGTTGTGATTGGCCAACCTGCAGGACATGTGATCGTGGTGGTAGTCAATGAGAACGTTGGGAGAGGCTCTCTTGTGCATCCGCAGTGGGTGGTCACAAGTGTGGTCGTTTTCGTTGTGAGACCAGTAGGGCAGGGTTCAACCCAAGTTCCTGGAAGGTCGGACATTAGTATTATCCAAATATATTTATATCAGGATTTGCTTTACCTTTCAACGTTGTCGTTATCACTGTGGAGGAAATTACTTGGCCACCCCATCCTCCATTACCTGCTTGGCCCGATCGTTTTGTAGTCTGACTGGATGATGTTGCAGCCTTTGAGCTGTTCCTACTCAGGCTCGTCGGGCTTGTCGTACCAGAGTAGGGAGACGCAGAGGTGCTACTTTGAGCCACAGATATGCCTGAAGTGGAACTTGTTGTGGAACCAAGATTTGGATTAACGGCGAAACTTGAACTCGATGTGAGAGACTGTAATGAACTGGTCGATGTCGACCCCAAGAGTGGCCCATTGGTCGACTGTGGGATGGTGTTGGTCGTTGAGCCACCAATTGGTCCAACGGAGGAATACAATGGAGCAGTTGTACTTGACCCACTAGAAGACAAAGAGGAAGGGGACAACAAGCTTGTAGTTGATGAGCTACTGCTCGTTGGCTGAGGTGGCAAGCCAGTGTACACGAAAAACGACGACGTTGTGGTTGAGCTACTGCTCGTTGGCTGAGGCGGTAAGCCAGTGTACACGAAAAACGACGAAGTTGTGGTTGAACCCTGCGCCGGTTGGACTGAGGATGACGATGGAGGTGGTAGACTTGAAGTGAGCACATTGTAGCCAGCAGATGTCGTGGTTGAACCATCGATAGGTAGGATATTCGATGATGACGAAGGTGGTAGACCTGAAGTGAATACGTTGTAGCCAGTAGATGAGGTGGTCGAACCGCCGATAGGTAGGATATTTGACGAAGGTGGTTGCACTACACTGCCAGTAGATGCAATATAGCTGCTAGATGTGGTAATGGCCAGGCTCTGCGATGTGGTAGACATTGAACTACTCAAGCCTGAGGTAGTTGATTGAGGGACTGGGCTCGGGGACGACGTTGAGCTAGAAGTTGAGCTGCCCGTCGAGAATTGATAGACTTTGAGCTGATTAATGCGCCAATATGTTTCAGTGAAAGCGCCTGGATTGTTCTTGACGAAATCATTGCAGCTTGCAGCTTGAGAAGTGCAAGTGGGATTTTGGTTGTAAAAGAATGGGTCAGCCGCATAGTCACCACAGAAATCGATGTTCATGACAATGTTTTGGTTCACAAAGTTGTCATCAAGTCTGCAGTTCGGGGCAAATTTCGCCAGTGGTACGCCCCAGAGCTGCGGATTGGGGGTGCCAGCCGTGATATCAGCCGGTATGGCGTTCCGAGCAAAGTACCAAATAGTTATAGCATTACTTGTCCATTCGGTAGCATACACTCCTCCACCAAGATTGTTGAACCCGGTTCCGTATGTGGCTGGACTGGCAGAGTTAATGGAGCAACCTACAATGCCTCCAGTGTTGATGTTGCAATCGGTGGTCTTTAATGTTCCTGTCATGGGTTGCTGGCTGATGGAACATGCTTGATTCGTCTTCACTGACATCAAACTTGTCGAGTCAAGATTTATTCCCTCGATTATGTCGAGCTCGCTGTATGCCGGTGCTTGAGGGCCTTTCAACCAATAAGCTGGCCAGGTTCCACACTGTCCGCCTGGCATGTGTGCCAGGTCGAGTATAAAAAGGCCATGATTGTAGGTCTTTTTGCTTTCGATCCGAATGCTATTGCGACCTCGTCCAGTGGCAACATTGGTGTCATCTACTCCCATGTAGACACTGCCATCATTATAAGTTCGGAGCAAACCAGAACTGACTGCATCTGCCTGACTGAGGTAATTCACGTAACCATTGGTGGGGTCATTGCCCTGATTTTCATTAAGCTCTCGATCGGCTCAGTCAGCTTTGGTATACTCACAGTGAAGAAGTTGAATTCGTCTGCGAACACGCCAGACGTATAGTCATCAGTGAGAACATATTGGCAAAGAGCAACTGGCAAAATTGTAATAAACGACAAAAGGAGTGGACGCATCTTGAAAGATGCTTGACGCCAGTTTGGACGCAGGCGGAAAACTGCGTGAACCTCGGAGAAAGACCAAAGGAGTTGAGTTGAACGTGGGAGCCATTTCGAAGGCTTTCTGCGTTTTTAACTCTTCTGGGTTACTTACTGCGGGTGCAATAGTTTGTGCACGTCCATCTGTCCAGAGATTACCTCAAAGGCTTAGCCAACGCAATGGGATTTAGTCCTCCAGCAAGAGATAAAATTATAACAGTTTGTTGACACGTTGGTCACGCTGAAGCAAGGGACAAGGTTCAGGATTGGTGCTGTCAGCTTCCAGGTGTCAAACATGTTCACCATTAGCATAATTGGCAGTGGTGTTAGGTGCTTTGCTGATTGCTGTCAGGAAAATGATTCCTGGGTTGCTCCACTCCCATAGGGCGGAAGGAGTCTGTGCTGTGCCTTTCGGCCACCCCTGGTTGGGCGGCATGGAACGAAAGTCATCATAAGTGATTCGGCTTGAGATACTAAGTATCAAGTGCAATGTAGCAGGGAGCAGGTCGCTGGATAACTTTCGGTTTTCAATGTAAGTTGTACAAAAGTTACTTATGTAGATATCAATTTCGAAAGAGATCTGCCAAGCTTAGGTATGTACACGGGCATCACACCGGAAGCAGCCGTCAAGAAAATGCGCCATGCATTCCAAGTCGGATGCGTTTGTGCATACGAGGTACTTGTCAAAATAAAGCCCAATTCCGTCCAGGACAAGCGCACGATGAACTGCTAACGATCAGTACCCCTAAGCTCGTGATTTCTACATTCTTGTTTCTTTTTCTTAGCTTACCTCCTTCGATCCAATCCACGATGCAATGGTCTGTGTTGTTTGGTCCGACAAGTGATCATTACACCCAGCATCAATCTTCTTCCTCGCACCAAGACTATTGCTAGGAGTAACATATATTGAATAGGCACAATTCCACCAATTGAGTATCAATTCAGATAGATCGCCCCTTGACTCATCTATCTCAACTAGGAGTCCAGGACTCAAAGCATTGTAACAACGAGAAGCAACAAGAAGTCTCCCAAATGGGTAGGATTGCAGAGATCTTGTCTTTCACAATCAAGATGTTGACCTTTACTCTGATAACATATATATATTGAAGGCTGTCATGCTTACCTGGTCTTCTCTGGAACCTACCAGCCGGAGAAGTTGCCTGGGCCACCCGTCTCTAGCCAAAGGTTCTCCCCTTTCCGATCGCCAAAGTCGCGATATCGCCTTCTGCCACAGTCATTTTTCGACGGTCCATATTGAACCACCTTGCGTCTGGTATACTCCCATCCAAATATTCTTTCGCTATTCGCTTGATATCAGTGTCTTCCGAGATCGTCATGGCGCCCCACACGTTGTAGTTGTGTACGCCCAGGGAGATGGCGAAGGTGCGCCGGTCAGTCAATTTGAAAATACTAAGTAAAAATCGAATTGCAGCCTGAGCCATTAAAGAAAAGGCTGATTACTTCGTCGTTGACCACCCAGAAGGAGCTACTCTCAAACGCTCGCTAAAATGGGAGAACCTGAAAGAAGTCAGGCAGTGTGTCAATGAGATCGAAAAGCTAATCGAAAAGCTTCATGCAGAAGCCGAGCCCAATATACGTGACACAGGGAAGGTTAAAGAAGGCGACGAACTTTTAGAGAGGGACATCATTCAGCACAAGACATATCTGGTTTTCCTTGCTCAGCAATGCCGAGAGCATTCGCCCACCTTGCACGAACTAGCCAGTCGATACAAAAGTCCCTCGTCCTGGACAAAGACAGTCTCTTGCTCCCAGGATTTGGCTCTGGACTTTGCTCCTGGAAGTGGAAAACGTGGCCGCCTTGTCGAGTTGAAAAGGATCACCCGCAGATGTAAAATAGTACATCACACCCGCCTCAAGACGCAAACCTCGAACCCGGCATTGCCGAGGCATCACCACCGAATCCTCATTCTACAGTCCACTGGCTCAGATTACCACTGTTGAGTGTAGAACTATCAGAGAACTCTGGGCAAATCAGCCATCGACGGACTGAATTTGGGGAAGCCCTACAAGATTTGGCCGACCAGACCATTCGAGAAGCATACATTCCAGTGGTTCAGACAGGCAAGCCAACACGATATCTCTGTTTCCGGAACCTGCAAGGCCACGATTATCAAAGGCTCGAGCACAAACAAAAGCGCACGGCGGTGTCACTGGAACTGCCCCGAACCAGAAAGGTGGAACTTGCCCTCAAAATCACGGAAAGCGCGCTTCTGTGGCGGCACTACGGGTTTGAAGCTGATGTATGTTCATGCAGACTGCAATTGATCATGATGACGAAAAATGATCCTCCCCGAAAGCAGTCGTGTTTTGGATTTGAGTTTGCGACAATACCAACGATGGACCATTGTGTCAAAGTGTGGCATAAAGAATTGATTCGGAGGGGTTTCCACAGTATTGGTGTCTTACTCGCAGAATTATTCTCGAGCGAGAACAATGCCTCACTGAAGAGCCTCGGTGAGGTCTCGGATGATGAAATAAGCGAAGGAGAAGAGTTTAATATGCTCGCGAAAGTTGCCATCGATCTCGGGAAGGTGGCTTGGATTACTCAAACGTAGTGGAAGCGGTGCTGCAGGCCATGAGACCCAGCCCAGCATCTCTGTTCGAAGACGAAGAATATTATTCGAAGATTTCGCGTTGGTAAGCACTTCTAGATTGTGCCTTTTGCTTGAGCCACAGGAAGCTGACCCTCTTGACACCATTTGGTAAACAGGTTTTTCCCTTTATTTATTAAGCATGGAGCTGAAGACTCTGCCCGGTATGGATGATTGAACCTTGAGAGTGGTATAACATCATTCAAAGATGGCTAGATGGAAAACGAGGTTTGAAGGCGCCTTGAGGGTGCTGCTGGGGATGTGCTCCGGGACGCCTACGGGCCATCGGAACCCACGGAATCTCATGCCCGTTACGACCTGACTAAATCCCACCCCCTTTTTTTGGCCGAGACATGTGGCAGCCTCGTGCACCAACTTGAACAGCTTTGCTCAATGTTTGTTTTGACTTCTCTTCAGCTACATTGGAAGCAGACTATCACCCGTACATTCTGGGGTTAAGAATTGCATCTACTAGCAGGTAACGTGAGCAACACGCACACATGATCACTGGCAAATCTGACCAAGGCGTCCTGAGTTTGAGCATGCTCAAGTATCTGGGAGGCTGCGAAAGGTACCTTGGTGGGCGACAGGCAACCGAACAGCGGGTCTGCCATTGGGAGTAGTATCTGCATGTCATACTCGCATATGGAACCCACTCTTTCAAAGGTAACTTGTCCCCATATTTCTTGCTTCGAGGCTGCCGAATCCCTGAGCGTATCATGAATGACCAGAATACCCATGCGGGCAGCATCATTTGCTTACAACTCAGTTCAATGGCGAACTGCTTCCTCGTTATCTTTTGATCTTTATCTTGTTCTTTGTCCTGATTGTTATGTCTCTTTGTTTCTGGTTCCGTTGTCAGTAAACCTCGACTCTTGAGGCTCTTACCACAATCAATGTTATGTTCGTGCACTTCTCTTTTTCATTGTGCTGGAAGCAAGCTCTGATGGCACGCACAATTTTCCACTCTTTAGTATGCTGGGCAATGAGTCATTTTGTTGCCTGATTTACTCTCTTCGGTTTTCAAAGTCAATCATGGTGGGAGGGGTTGGTCCTTCCACGTGCTTGTGTATTTTGCAGTTATGGACTCTGTTTGAGAGACTCTGATGGGTCAGGCGACACTATGACGAAATCATATGGACAGTGGTACGGACCCTTGAATCGCAGTGGAGTGTGTTGGTAGCTAGGGTGGGCCCAAGCGACCGGAGGTTGCCATGAATCCGGCTCCGTTCTGTAGCAAGGCTGAACAAGTCAAGAGGAGCAAGTGGAGTTCGCTGAAGTCAAGGCTAGGATATCTGATAGTTTGGGTCCTTGGAGGGTGGGTGGTTTGATCTGGCGAATAATCTGGCGATTGACATCGTAGGTTTGTTCTGCTTTGCGAGTGGGTTCACCAGGCTGAACCATAAATCCTATTGCTCGAAGGATGCAAGTACCAGAAGTATCACATCCACCACGGATTGATATCAGTTTATGACTGACAAACTTTACAATCAGATTGCCTTCACCGAATCACCGAGCGGGTACTGAGCAGTGATGTTTACTCTGATCCCCGGCTATTGACTTCATTCACTTACACTCAGGCAGCGATCAGATCCTTCACTTCTCGCTTTCTGATTCCTGATCAGTGAAGCAAATGGGCCGCTCTTGGCACTGCCTCAGAGTCTATATAATCCCCCTCTGCCCTTACAGCTTCTACTCCTTTGTTCTTTCCTCTCCAACAAATTCCCAAAGGTAAGATTTAAGGCGCACCTAGGTATAAGGCAGGCCTTCGTTGTTGAACTACTAATCTCCATTGTTAGTTGGCTCTGGTTCTGACGATGGGGTACGTTCTGCTGGCAGCCTAGGTGCGGGTTGGTCGGAGGGTCCTCAACTTTTCTTTTATCTTCCTCTCTCCCCTCTTCTCCCTTCCCACCCCAAGACAACTGAGGCGCACCCTCGGTCTTCCACAGCGCAGGCTGTAGGAGGCCGAGGACGCGGGTGGCGGCGGGTCCTCAGTTACTCCTTTCTTTCTTGCTTCCTCGTACCCTCTCTCCGTGCTTCCGCCCCCTTACAACACTCACCTAGCCACGAAGGTCAGTGCTCCTTCCTAGTCTTCAAGAGCTCCATGGCCAACGAAGAAGCTGCATTCCCAAGGATTCGAGAAGGGAGGAAAGGAATGGAAGTTTTTAGTACAGCTAGCTTGAAAATAAAAAATTCAATCTCAGTAAAGTATCAACTCCATTGTCAATTCCAATATCTTGAGCCCAATCTCTGCAGAAAACGCCTCGCAACGTCTGCCCTACTACCCCAGGACGCACAGTTACCTTGCCCAGGCTGCGAAAACAAAACCTTCTGGATTCGATATCCCCACCGAAGCTACGAAAGAGTGCACTCAAATTGAGCGAAACTTGCTCTCCACGAGTCTAAGGGTAAGTTTTGCTATGGCAAGGGAAGAGGAAAGATCTCTCACTTGAGTCTCGAGAGTACCACTCCTTCAAGTCCAGCGCACTGGATCATTTTCCGAAAGGCTCTTCGTCTTCACCAAGATGGTCCCGAGACACCATGAGGCACTGCTACCGAACTCAGGATAATCCAACTAACAGGGCAGGAAAGTAACAACCGTCTCTCCAGATCTCTATGCTTACCGTGCGGACTAGTTCTACCCAAAGAATCAGATCTAATCATCCAGCTTAAGCTATAGCAGAATTCGTTGGCAAATCAAGTTATGTTAAAGCTAAACTTGGAGCTACCTCGGAATTCGCTAGCTGGTAAACGTGAGACATCGGTAGACTTGCGCTCCTTCATGCCTTCTTTTCCACTGCCCGATCACCAGCCGTAGTAGAAGATATTGGCCGTTGCTCACTGTGTATCCAACAGGATTGGAATTTGAATTGTGTCTAACGCAGGTTATGAAGGTATGCTGGATAGTTGTCAGACTTTCGTTTAGACCAAGAGTATTGGCGTAGAGAAGCAGGTTGTGGTACTTGAAGACAGACTTGCTGAATCTCAGGATGTATTTCGTCAATCTAGTAGTGGTGACCGTAGTCAAACACTCTTGACTGTTCTCACAATTGTGTGCTCACTATCTTTCACTCTATTCAAATCAGCACATTTGTTCCACATGGACGATCTTCGGCAGAATGTTGGAGGAAGGGGGAGCTCAGGCGCAAACCTGAGAACCAATTCTGAATGCGCAGAACGTTTTCCTGGTCTGAGAATCTGTAGGCGAACATGAACCCATACGAACTTCATGCATAAGGTAGCCCTCAAGCCTTGAGTGTCCGTTCTTCCATGGCGATCCGTACTCCAGTGCCAGCAGGCGTCAGAATCAACCTCAGCCTTACGAGATTGATGCGGGACACGAGAGCAATGTCAGTGGTGAGACACGAAGCACATCAATCTAGATAACATGCTCAGCTAAACAGAATCAAATCCATGATCAGATTCTGCATTGTATCGGTAGCAACAGATCTCATATTGTTCACGGTACCGTGCCCAGCCTTGCGGACGGCAAGGCTGAAGTGCGACACTCGAAGATGTTCATGTAGAAAGCCTCCAGGTTCGAAACATAGCTGAAACAAGATTTCTCTCACCTGCCTGAATAGTACTGCGCACCAGACGTCAATGGAGGCATTCAAGCAGACTTGACAACACGCAAGTGGGAAAGCTATTCCCTTCACGGTTTGGGTCGAGTAATTCCATGCCCAGACTGCTGGGATTGTCGTTCACCGCTCTTCCTTCAGACCAGCCACTTCAGCTGGGACGGCACATGGTTCGGTATGGGACTATTCCGCCCCTGTGGAATCGTTATCGGTACCTGCGGTCCCTCTTTCCTTGCTGTTCATAACATTCTCCTTGTCCCGTGGTTCCTCCGCCGTACTGTGATCGGCTTCACAGCCTAGGCAATGAACCCTCATTGTCTTGACGACGTACGAAGTCTCCATGCCTATCTTGCGTGTTTGATGTTTTGGAAAGTACTTTGATCGACAGCATCAACGCTGGGGCTTCTGTCAGGGACAGATGGGCAACCGAGTCAAAATAGCTCTGATGGCGCTTATGCATCTACCCGGCGGAGATTCGCTCCCCGTGACCCACCCATGCTAATTCAACCTCAATATCACAAAATGATATAAGAGATACGAATAGATGTTGGCATGTTTGATGTGATAAAACCAACTGGCATGAATTTCAGCTGATGCGCATCTCGTTCTGACTACGTTTAGCGGTACAGAATAGGTCAGGATTGAGATTCGCAAGGCTGTGTGGTAGCAGAAATGGTTTAGGAAATCACGCAGGCCCTTCTTCTACTCCCAGAAGTTTCGGGCAGCCCAGAAACGAGAAAAAGCAGGGAAGTTTGAAAAAGTTCAAGTCAGTCAATCAATACTGAGAGCGAAGAACGTGCTGTGTCTGTGGAGGTTTGGGAGGGAAAAACTATTGGAACCATTCAATTGCCTGCCCGCAGTTTGTGTAACTGTGCTGGAATTTCTTCCTGGAGATCCTCTGAGTAGCAGTTTCACCCGAGTTGTGCAACGGGCAAGGTTTTTGTTGCCAATGAAGTTGCTGAGAAGTACCTGGCTGGTCGTGGGGCCTAATTGTTCTTTACTGGTGGTCTAGGCACTCTTCATTGAGCTTAACAGCCAGCCCGATGAGCACTCCGTTCTCTGGGCCATTTGGGGCGGTCATGTTTTTCTTGCATACTGCTATACTTCGCAAGGACACTCACTGGGGCCGTCGAGTTTGCCTCCTTGGCTAACAGTATCAAAGATGTTCTTTTGCATCCTGCACATATTCTCTGTCAAAGTTGCCCCGGCTCAGCCCATCTGAAGGGCGATCAAGACGCCGACTAGTCTAAGGTTGGGCGTCAATGGCCCTATTCAATCTGGGCCAAATCAATTGGTCGCATTGAAAGGCAGGCGTTTGTGATAGACAGGCACAAGGGTGCTCCCTGTAACAATACCGAGTTCGGGCTTTTAGCAAGGGCACGGTAAGAACGAAGGCGCCCATGGCTTTACTCAATGCTCGAGAGAAGGAGAGAAAGCCCCTTTCAGACGAATTCTGCGCCAAAAATACCTTATTCAGGCTAAATTCCACGAGGAGAAAATGTGTGAAGTACATATTGATCATTCATTTTACTTTTTATCACTGCGAGTGTACCAAGTATTCGAAGGGGTTGTAAGACATGGCTTGTGACAGAAACTGGACTTGTGGGAACGGCAGCCATCCGTGATCCTACCTTGCAGGGTAGGGGGCTCTACCGTAGTGTCATTAGATAGGGAGTGAACAGGCAGCCTGCGGCAATGTTTGCCAGAATGCAGCAGATCCTGTCTGCCGTTCCGCTGCCAACATCCGATACTTGGTTGTAAGCCCTGATGAAATAGACTAAGTACAAGGGGGCAGACATTTGTTCTGGAGCTAATGCACATTTTGCTTCATGCTGCATTGCAGTGATGCACGGCGCACAATGGTTTGGTTGGCTTGGCGCAAATGCATGATGCGCAACGCTTGCCAGTGCCAGTGGTCCGATCCAGAAATGCCCGCTTCTCCGGTTACATTCTGCATGGGGCCGATGAAGTGTCTAAGTGGTGCCCAACCTACCAGCCGATCTTCTCAGAGACTATTTCTACACCGCGAGGCCTTGTTCGCTCTACGATTGCGGCGTTAAGACCGACAACGAGAGGCTGACCACCACTCGCAATGCGGGCTTTGGCTTTCGGGCCGGAATTCTGGGCGACCTCCCAATCAGTCAATGGGTCAATCAGGAGCGCTTTCGTATGATAGAACATCGCTTCATGCTCAGCAAAATACGGATCAAGCTCAGACTGGAGAGTGGATAAGCTCTCGTGAGAAGTCTTCAGGGAATCGATGGTGTTCATGCACAGCAGCTATCTGGCTTCATCTGTTTCCTATCCTAATACCCTCCTCATAAAAGCAATATAACCTGTGCACACAAGACAACATCTCAACATCGACAAAAAGAACTTTGTGCATTCGAGCCAACGAACACAACCAGAACTGCGGTGAAGGTAGCAGTCGCTACGACTGTCTCTGTTCTAGTAGGAACAGTGATCAGTGCCAGCATTGTACTGAAGAGGAAGCTAGACAAAACAACGACGCCCATCTGCTTGATAGAGTCATTGATGAAGAACAGGCACAGTGCGCTTGTCGTGGTAAGAGTTGGGCCAAGTACTACTCTCAGAACATTGACAAAGCTGCTGGAGGTCTGTTCTGAATAAGAACGCATTGGAGGAGAATAATCAGGTGCCCAATTGGCGGGAATCCGAACCTTGCTGGAAGACTTATATCCCCAGTACTTGTGGAAAATCTCTGTCCGGAACCAGCTAAGCCAATTCGAGACTGAGTCCATCTCTTGTCGGCGACTCAACAGTGATGTCAAATCAAACTCATTCGATTCCTCCCAAGTGAAGCCTTCAGTACTTTTGAGAAAGCTGTCACCCCCTCGTCCACGTTGAACCTCTCTTAGAGTCTCGAGGTCGGTTGCATCGACGGGGGGGAGCTCAGCTAGCTTCTTCATCAGCAGCAATGCCTCGCCTAAAAGGTTTTGAGCTGGGCTGTTCAGAACGGACAATTGGGGAACGGCCTACCCTGCTCTTTCAGCAGAATTCTGAGCTCCAAAGCAATCTTTTTCTGACTGAGGCTTGGTTCCTCGAACACTAAGTGGGATTGCATCATTGCACGGAAGTCCGAGGCAAACGACATCCTCTCTGCATTGTTTGACTCTCGATCAATCTGAATGGCTGTGGTCAATTGAGTTTGCTTCTCCATGATTTCAGCTTGGTATAGCAATAGGTTCCTGGCATGGAGGATAGGAAAGCGGCGAAATATGAGAAGTCCTTTACAGCAGCCCATGTGGGCTGCAAGATTATCGTAGGATTGCATACTGAATTCGAATTGCACACGCTGGAAGTTTGCGACCACGCGAGATCTGGTCCGGTAGATAGTCAGCCATAGCAAAGGTTCTCGCTCGGAGTAGATATATCAGCCAGGGCAGGCTCAAAACAACGATGAGCTGTCGACTCTGTGCCTCGACGACCGGTCAAGGGCTACAATCTTCATACGCCCGCCAGTCAAGAAATATGAGCATCGCGGCTGTGCCGGTGACCAGTGATGCACAAGTCGCTGTGCTCATTGCCGTAGATCAACGAACGGCAGTTCATGCAGAATGGTAGTGCCAATGCAAGGATTGTGCCAATGCTTCACAAGGTGTGATGAGATGGTGCCTCGCTCTGGACTTTGACTGGCTGAATTCGACACGGTTCTAGCAAGGTCACTGAGGTTAACTGCTGCAGCTTGAACGAGTAAGATCCCGCGTTGGGATCCCTAATTCCACCTCAGAAGAAGTGCTGCAGGATAGATATTAAGGGCTGCTTCCCACACACGCACCCTCTCTCTCTCATCCAGGAAAGCCTCATCACTTTCCATCATTCGGTCTCACACACGATGTTTTGCGTCTCCAAAGCCTGCTCTTTCCTTCTGTGGACTGGTCTGTCAGCTAAGCACTGATTAGGACCACTCAGCTCGCAGGATCATGCTGCGGCTCGGGCAGTTGTCCGAGGAATCGGGTTCGGCACAAGCGCAGAAGCATTGGAACCACTATTAGTATTAACTCAATATCAACTGCCAAAGACAACTTTCTTACTTGCAACGGGTCGCAAGTGTCCTTGCAACCCATGGACATGGATCGAAGAGTTTTGCCGATGTTGCCATATTACCACCTTAAAAGACAGTTCGGTGACCGCCGAGTATGAACGGTGGCATTATTGCGTGGCATTTTTCACGTGACCCACAACATACCTGCATCACGTGTGCATGAAGCAAATGCTCGGCCTACCGTGCCTAGGTACGTATCGTGACAGTGTCGAGTGCTACTGCCAGGATTCTTCGTGGCGGATGTCGAAGTGTGAGCATCTACATCGATGTACTTTCGTCGAAAAGATCTCTCCTACGGCATGTTGTTACATCGAAGGATCTTGGATGTTCTGCAGTCCTGAGGGAAGGAATTCGCCAAGTTCGAAACTAACAATGACTTGGGTTTGGGGGGACGCTTCCTAAGTAACAGCAAGTCCCACAACTAAGCACTTCGGCGCCAGGGCCGTACCAAGCTCACCTAGACACACCCTTAACCCAATTCACCCTGGAGCCCGACACTACGACCACGGGCACCACGGAGCTGACGGAGTCAATTCTACAGGCACGCAGCGAGCTCGCGAAACTCATGAGTATGTCGGCAGGTCAAAGAGCATCTCTTTTCAAGTTTTCCTCTCAAGTTTTCCTCAAAACTGAAGCACAGAACTTGTGCCTCTGTCTCATTGACTCAGACTCCGCATGTGTCGATTGCAATACCTCCAGTCTGATTGCAGCATGTTACCCCTTGGTATTGGAGGTGGACGTTCCGGCTCTACTTGACAGGTCATTAACGGCCTTTGGAGATCGTGATAACAAGGATTGCTCAATCGTCACCGTTTCGAACATCTTCATTGGCAGCCGTTTTCTGAGGCGTTTTGTTACAACACTTCTAGTGGGTTCCATGTTCGATTGTTCTGGATCTTTGCATGAGAGTGCCTCTACAATCCTGTCTGGTATCGATGCTTACGACAAATGAAATTTGGGGATCCGGCTCATCTTCCAACTGGATCGTCTCCTATACCGTACCATTGGCTTTCAACCGTTGTCAGCACCACCCAGGTGCTTGAACAACTGGATTTTTCCATTGGAAACGGGTCGTAGCCTTGGGTCCAATTTTGGCCATGGCGCCGGCAGGAGATGTGAGTTCGCACAATCCTTTTTGAGCCTTTCCTTTCCATTTTGCAATATTGTGATACCGCTGCACTCGCTTCATAGGCATTGCAATTCGTTTTTGTGACGTCTTCTGAACAACTACGTCCACTTCCAAACTCCTACCCCGTTCACACGAGCCCCTTCACTTTCGTACCGCGGCAACGAGTCCCTCACCTGTAGTCGACGTTGAACCCACCATCTCCACAACCGCTCGCAATGTTAGCCTGCAGATTAGTTCCCAAGATGGCTGCGATATATCTGGAAGGGGTTTTGAAGAGGATGGAGAAGTCAGAAGCAATACTGATGCAAGAATCTGGATCGTTACCCGGAGAAATCCCCTGGGATGTCCTCGAACAGAATATAGCAATGATGGATTTCAGTTTCGACTACGAGAAAGGGCTGTCCAAGCAGGAAGCCATGTTCCTGCGGCGCTGGGCCACAGAGATCAACAGCATAGTACAATTTCCCGGCGATGTAAGGCTCTAGTATTTTTCCAGGGCCATAATCAATTTCTAATCAGCATCCAGTCTGCAGAAGATATCGGTCGCGAGGACGAGGTGCAGGCAGCCAATAAGGTGAATGAACATTGCTTCAAGCTCTTGAAAGCAGTGCAGCAATCTTTCCACCTGTTTTCAGCCGCACCGACTCATGGCATACACTCACCTGCGAGACAAACACCGACACGTAGCCAGGACGACCGTCGACAATCAGATGATGCACCTCCGCCACTCGGCATTTCTTTGCACATCTGGTGTAAGGCAGACCGGGCAGCTCGTAAATGCGTAGCACGCCATTTGCGGCTTTCTGCCTGGGTCAGAACGAACAGGGGTACAACAGCGGTTTCAATCCTTCAAGACACAGGGGCTACATTCTCGATCATGTCGGAGGAGAAGGCCAAACAGTGCGATGCAAAATTCCAAACTCTTGACGAAGAACTGACACTCCGCACCGCCAAAGGCGACTTGGTCGTAAATCGAAAAGCCTTGATCAAAATGAGATTTCCTTGTCGTCCAGAAGGGGTATGGATAATGTTCTATATTGCCCATGAGCTCCCCAATGAAGGCACTCAGGCTTATCTCGGCGCACTCGAGTGCTGGATACTTGGGCACTTGTTCAGTGAATGTAAGAAGTGCGAAGGAGCACGACCTGGAAAGGTAAAGAACAATCACGTCTCATCTTCAAAGCCAGCGCAGGGTAATGCGCCTCAATCTCGTTAGGGGGGTGGTATGGGTTCATACATAGATTTCTTTCCATCTCTCAACGAAATAGACGAGGCATCTCCTTAGCAAGAATTGATTTGACGATATTACCTTGGATCTCTCACCGACTTTTTCATTTGGTTGACTCTTTTGCTTCGAAAGGTCTCTCAACGGGCCCCCCTTAATGCAAAAGGGGCGTGAGGTATGGTGGTGAGTGGTTATAGCCCGTTGCCTGCTACGGGACAGCTCATCAGTGCCCGAGCACAGCCTACGAGCATGTGACAGCGCGCCCAAGTCCTGATTCCTGCTCGAAAGCCTCGTCGCGTCCCCTGTCGTGCAACCACTACGTGACTTTGTCGTCGTTGGAATAGGGCGTTGGTGTTGAGCAAAGGCCAGGCTCTAGAAACGTCATGGCCGGGGATACAATGGATGCAGGTGGTATTGTTCTTGTCGGGCGTGAACACTGGGGACTTCAGCCGCCTGCCGAAAACTCTGCCATGTATATAAATGCTCTGGGTGATCCCTTTTCGAGGAATGTTTAAAAAACTCATCTACTTCTCTTTCGCTTTTCTTTGCCCAGAACGCCACTACTAGAATAGCTAAGACAGCCTCTTCCTATTTCACAGTGGCAAGCAAGCTTACAACGATGGACAATCATATTGGAGCCGTCCGGGATGTGGACAACCTTGCAGGGGGTGGTGAAGTGGAGATATGGAGCAATAGCAACAAGTGGCTCAAATGCACAATTCATTTAGATAGTACAACAAGCTGCAGGATCGTGACAAAGGCTTTTCTCCAAGCCGACGGCAGGGGTGGAGGCTTGGAAGTGCAAAAAAGTGAACATCAATGTCACAACCCTGACCATCTTGAACAGATCGTTCTTCAAGTGTATGCCCCCAGCGAGGAAAATGAAAGCTTCATCGCATTTTGTGTGGTCCACGATGAAAGAGCGTACGCGGTGATGACGGGGACAGAAGCGTGCTTTGCCGAGTACACTGTAGATGGAAACTTCGCGCCAACGATAGTGGGAATGCCCAAAACGAAAGGTGAGCAAAAGTGGAGCCAGCCCTTGAGAATTGGGCATGTCTAACCGTGTGCAGAAGAGAAGGCCAAACAACAAGAGAAGGACGCAGAGCACCTTAGAGAATGTGCTGCTGCAGAAGCCGCCAGGGTGCGAGCGATGATTCAAGCCGCTCACAATGCAAATAGCAACAGTTCAACAACCTGATAGCTATCATGGAGCTTGTACGGGGAATGTGCTGGGAGACATTAACCAGTGGTCGTAGGCTTGCAGAAGATTGGGAGAGCCAAGTTTTAAGTGATCAAGGTGCTGTAGGAACTCATGCACCCATCATAATCAAGCTTAGCAAAGTAGTCGGCTGTTCCCACAAGTATGCCCTTACTGCGGGCTTTCAACCTACATGGGGGAGAGATCCAGGGGCTCCCAGCCTTGCGTAGCTGGAGCTCTAGTAACAAGCTATTCAGTCGAGACAGGTACCTTCTCTAAGGTACGCCATGCTTTTGCATTAAGTTGAGCGAGAGGAACCGATGTTTGCCGCTCTCTGTTGTATTTCGTGGAATCTGACCCGCAATACCTTGCAGTGGCCGCAAGAGGGTATAGTAAGATGATAGCCAAAGTGTTTCTCATTATCTCCCATGTGCCGAGCAATACTCATCCTACAACTCCCCAACTGGTAGCATCTCGATTTGATTCCTTTGAAGGTCTGCCTAGTTAGGCAACGAGAAACCCGGAGTATCGTGCACTCCTTGTCCAGGGAAATGCCTTGCCAAAGATTTTTGGCTGGAGATCTCCGCTTCCAGACAAATTCCTTCGAGTTTCTCCAGAGAAACCGGTTGGACGGTACTAGCCGTCCAGGAAAGCAGATGCGTGGAGAGTACGACCTTTCCCCAACATCTGTCGCTAGAGAGTGAACATCCGAAGGGCACACCCTCGATGGTTGTGGATAGTAGCCAATGACGCTGGAGACGTGTCTGACACTCGGCTTTATGATGCGCAGAGAGCCCCAGCAGCAGACAGTTTTATTGATTGCGACAAGACAAGGCAATGTTACACGATATGCGGATATCCAAAGACTGCAACGAATATCGGCAAATCACATCACCTGTCCCTGCTTTATATCTTATGTTCAGGTATCAATCGAGGAAATGAGGACAGCCGTTCGTGCTGAAGTGCGGTGGGAAGCTTTGGGCGAAATCCCTGCCTGTAAATGTGTAAACTCGTCAAGGCACAGATAGCAGTGAAGGGTCTACGTTGAGATTGCAGGACATGCAGCATTGAAAGCATTGAGAAGGGGGTATTAAAGCAAGGGTTGGGAGATAGTAGATAGCATATCCGTACATTGAAGTAGATATCTAAGTGGAAAAACAAGTGACTCCAAAATTAGTCTGCATTTCGCTCAGGTTGTCTAGGAGACGACTGCCGATGATCCCAGCCTCGTGAGCACTCTGGGAAAATGAAAATCGGACATATTTTGTCTGAAGGCCGACGTCCATTAGAAACGGGAGAACATAATTGCCGAATAACTCCAGTTCTATCATTGGCTTTGACAACAAGGTAATTCTCGTTCCAATTATTCCAAAGGTGAAAGGGGATTGGGTACTTGGTTTCAGGGCAAACGTTTCTTCCGCCAATTAGTACAGCCTCATTGGAGACAAGGCTGGGATCAGAGAACCACACAGGCAGTGCATGCTTGAGCCTGCGAGATATGGCTGAGAATGGACGCCTTCGTCTGATCAAAAGGGAAAAGGGTACTCGGTAATTCCAGTGACCGTGCATGCCTATCACCTAGGCAGGTAGACACTTATGGTCCGTGTTTTCGCCTGAGCACCCCGGGCATTGTTGACCCAAGCTCTCGGGACGTTCACTCACCGCTTTTCCACCAGGTGACCCATCTTACACTTCCGGGTGCGAAACCACAATAGCCTTTCTCTCGCTTGAGATCTTGCAATGACACTGGGTGCCTCGTTCCTCCCTGGTGGAGTGAATCTGGCCTAGCCGTTGGAGGAAAGCAGCACTTGCGTACTTGGTACCCAGCGGACCACTCTAGGAGCCTTGAGGCATGGCTGTAGCTGCGTGACTTATGCAAGGCTCTGATCCGGTCACCTCGATTGCCCCAGTGCAGGAATCTTAAAATGGTCAGTGGGGCGCATGCGAGGCGCGTACCATTCCGTTCCAACCTACGAAATTCTAAATCAACGTTCATCAAACATCTTCTTGGCTTGTGAATGTGATATGGTAGATCTGACCTGTTACACAGTCAACATCTTGCTCCTTTTGGTGGAACGTGATACAGCGTTCAACACATGGGTATTTCTGCAGGCCGCTGTCCCTCAACCTGACTTGGTCCTCGTGGCTGGGCGTGAAGGAGGAGCCTCCTAATTACACTTGTTAATTGAGAACGACCACAGCGCCGAAAGGATTATGAAGTTGTGAAAGTCACGAAACCAAACGAAGATACATGATAACACTCAGCATGCAACTCTCAACTGGCTCTTGAGAGATCGAGGTGGATTTGTAAGAGTCTTCACTCTTGAAACACGATTTCCATAACACATCTCCGCCAAATCCTTCACTGTATGGAAGCCTTGAACGAGTGGTTTCCGGCCGGGCGAAGGGAGGCTCCGTTTGCTATTCTTCACTCACCATTGTTAACCGCGCATGACAGCTTTGTTGACTACGCATGACAGCCTCAAGGCGACTTCATGGCGGTGTAAGTTGCCAGACATTGCTGACTATGGCTCGAGAATACTAGAGTTCAAGGGTAACCAACGCTTGTGGGGCTACGAAGAAGCTGCAGTCTTATTTGAAAGGCATTTGGAATTAGTTATTTCACGCGCTTCTTGATTCCGTCCCACGCTCTCAACCTACACTGTAACTTCAGCTCATGTACCTAGTAGCACATGATAGGATCATTGTTTCGCCATGCCTCATGGCCCGGAGCGCCAGTGTGGGACTTTGTTCTGCTTGGTGTGTGGGATGACTCTCTGATTCGAGTTGCCACCCACTAGCTTAGCTAGCATCTCCACGGGGGGTCCAGCTTCCCTGTCCGTCTCTATCTGCAAGGACTCCGTGACCTAACTGGATGCAAGGCCGTTCACCGAGGCTTTGCTTACCTCCTTATTCGAGATGAGGTGATGGTTAAGTGCACGAGACTGCGCCGATTTCGAGAGCACATTACTATCCTTAAGTTCTACACCATCAGCATCCTGTGACTTTCTGGGCGAGTGTTATGCTCAATCCACCATAAATTGCAGCGTATCTGGTTTACCTCGCTAAATTCTCCAGCAGTCCATGTATGGTGTTGTTCGAAAGCTCCGAAGCAATTTATCACATTCTTGCAAACCTATTTCGTTGCGTCAACCAGCTCCTTGTCCTTGGTCTTCTGGTGGTCAAGAGAGATGTCTGCCCTTGTCTCGTTAGCACCTTGCCGTTTGAACTCGCGCAGTTAGCGATTTGCATTGTCCTCGGGAAAAGGCGAGCATTTCAGAGATACAACCGCACGTCACCAACCACGGGAGAAAGAGAACAGCTATCAGACTAAAGAGAATCCAAGGGCAAAGAAGCTTAGCAATGCTAGAAAACTGGCCATGCCTCTCAACTTTGCTTATTCTTGCAGCCTACCACCATTCTGGCGACCTCGCTCCTCTGGTCATCTCTTTCGTCCAGCCTATCCGCCCTCTCCGGATGCAGCCGGCACTCATGCAGTCCCAGATCCATTTGTAGTACCCAAGAAGACGACTAAGACGGCACTAAACGCTGCGGTAGCAGCAAAGCATTCTGTCCGTTTGGCCCTCGCAATCACGGTGAGGATTGTGGAGAAGAGGAGTGTGCAGAAAATCAGTGCAATCATTCTCATCAATGGATCGTTGATGACAAACAAAACCAGAGCCGAGATGGTTGGGAGTAATGATGACAAAATGGTGCTCAGTGCGTCGATAACACTGGTGACAGTGGCATCAGAGTAGTAAGTCAACACAGTTTTCTCTGTTCTTTCACCACCGGCTTCACAGACTGAGACAGGATCATGAATCTTGCGCCCGATATACTTGTGGTAAAAGGTTCTCACGAATCTGTCGATCCACTTGGTAAGGATGTCTTTTTCCCCTTCTCGTCCCATTAAAGAGGTCAGATCAGCCTGGCTCTTCTTACTGTAGGTCAAAGTCTCGAAACCGGTGAGGAAATTCTTGCCACGGTTAAGAGGTGAATCAAGGAGATCTTGAAGGCACGAGAGGTCCGCTGGGCTAGCAGGGCCAAGTTCGAACAGCTTCGCCAGCAACAATATTGCCTCGTCTAGGACACAGACAGACAAGATGTTAGCTTAACGCACACAGACAAGGGGTGGAGAAACTACCGTATTCTTTGAGTAAACGACGTAGTTCCAAGACAAGCCGCCATTGCTCCCCATCGCAAGCATCCTCGTGGGGGCCTTTCATAGCAGCAACATCGAACTGGTATCGCTTGCTCTTTTCATTGCCAAACTCATTGTCAAACTCGATATTGACATCCAGAAGTTCACTGAGATGGACGATTTCCGCTTGTAGATACAAAATGTTGCGCACATTTTCGGGTAGGAACCTTCGGAAAATGGCTAGGGAGCCAGGGTATGTAGCAATGTTCTTTGCAAGGGTATGATAATTAGCCATCATTTGTACTTCCTCAGATCAAGCCGTAGTCCAGCAACATGAACATCAGGCTGGACGGACAAAGGAGACCGCAAGAACATGAGTCGGGCATGGCTTTGAGGCTGAATATTCTCATATGCTCGACGCTGCGCTGGCACCCCAAGACAATTACCCTTCGCAATGAGAAGACTCAACCCAGGTCGGCCAATAGACTTGACACCTGACCTGGGAGCAAGCAGGTGCCCAATATCGTGTAATTCGTCGACTTCCCTCGAAGGACTGAGCAGGGATTGCCTTCTGCCACACACACAGGGGTCGTGTTGAAGGGGGTGTCACAAAATCTGAATGGCGCGTCTGCTGAACCTTTTTGTGCAGGAGGTAGAGGGGGAGCGGACAGGGCTGAAGGCCCAATCAGGATGAAACTGTACCAGACTTCGGTAAGAAGTACTTGTAGTTGGCCGAGTTTGCTTCTGTTCAAAAGGATAGCTTGTCCCAACCATAAGATCATATATGGTTGCTCCCTTTTCTCTCCATCGTTCCCCCTTTGCTTATAAATTATAAGTTTCTACAATACCACTGCACTATCGAGTAGTGCACATATTCTTGGGGCAATGGAACCAAAGTGGAATCGCCAAATCGACTATCGAGGATTTGGGGCCCGCAAAATTTCGAGTCAAGCGTCCACCGTCAGTACCATTCGGTTGATTTGCCATTTGGAGTTACACCGAGGTTTTTAGCAAAATCAACAGCAGAATTGCAGACTTCTTCAAAGGTATTAAATACCCCGACATTGACCTTCGTTTTCGGATCTTGCTGTCATCTCTTTCTGGCCCGCACATTGGAATGCACGTGGCGCCACGTGATGCGCCACACAGATTCTGCATGATCGTCTTCCCACCTGTCAACAACAGTCTCGAAGACATGGTATACTTCAAGGGCAACCACTCAGGACTCGCCATATCGACATATCGACATGCACGCATGTTTTAATGCGATGGCCCCAATCAGCTGGGCGCAAGAAACAGTGAGAGCTCAGTCTGTCTCGAGGACAGAAGGCAAACACTAAGCCAGATCTGGCACAGCGAGTTCTATGCGGAAGAACATGGCTCCGACAATATGTTTCCCCTAGGCCTTTCGCCATTCCGTCGCCGTACGCGGTACGTGTACCGAGTACGAATATTTCACCCGGCTCCCCGTTTACTACAACTACCTAGGACCTGCTAGTAGTGTTTCAGAATCGCTGAGAACGCCAGAGAAGGAGCCCTAGCTAGCCTCCACTTTGCCTAACATACTTCTGGTCTCTGGGTGGCTGAGCGGACTGGGTGAGACCCTCTGGGGGTGCTCCCTGCCAATGACACTGATGCCTGCTCGTGAGTGATGGTTGGTTTTATTATTGATGGCACACCCTTCAGTGCAATGTTTTGGACGCGAACGTTCGGAGGCGAATGTGCGTTTCGACAATGGGCAAATACCAGAATCAATGAGGAATAGCCTGAGACAACGGTCGCAGCTCTGAGCACGGCAGGCCGTCGCCCATCGTGCACCTCGTGTGCTCGCGTTCAGTCGCGATGGAGTCGCGGACTCCCAGTCTCGCGTTCCCCCCGGTACTAATTAATTAGTTACTCAACCCCTGCTCCTGTGTTTTGTTCAAACCTTCGAAATCATGCCTCGTCCCTACATTTGGCATGTTATCTCGACTTTAGCGGCATATACTCTGCTTGCAAGCGTCCTCTGGACCATGCTAATGATCAGCACAGTCTAAATCTCCTTCATGCTTTCTGGAACAGGAATGGTCGAGGACTAAGGCCGAGATAGGTGCCGTCATGGTAGGTACCGTCTTTGCTAGACATTATCATTGTTTTTGAGTCAGAGATTACCCCTTTATCGTGTACAGTCATTATGGCAATGTGTTCAAGAACGGAGTCTCTACAAGCCTCCTGATTTATGCCTTTGCATTACATTCAAACCGTCCGTTCATTCCTTGTTCATTCTTCTGCTGTGAAAGCAACCGCAAAAGCCTCCTCGATCCCTTTGAAACCGAGCTCTCATTGCTGCAAGCGTCCCAAAAATGCCGTTCCGAGTTACTCTTGAAACTGGAAGAGTATTGCGTTTCTCTGTCGAGTTCTCCTTGGGAAATAATGAGCAGTGTTCCGATCGTATGCTAGATCTAGCTGTGGCACCTGGGGAAGAGCGATCTCATCACACTGAAGGATTAGACAATATTCTGGAGGACCATGCAGGGCAAAGAGACAACGGTCCAATGATCACAACACTGGAGAGGGACTTCGAAGATTTAGACGCAGTTCTGCGGTGGTTATGCAAGCTGCTATGCGTGGCCGAATTGATATGGCTTTGGGTCAAAAGTACAAGTAATGCACAAGGCTGCGCTAGCATGTATACCTGCAATGTATGCACGACTAAGGAGGCTGCATGTCCAGGTCCACACGAGCACCCTGGTACGGGAACAATAGCTTGTAGCGCAAAAGACTCTGTGCCCGATGCTGGGCAAGATGCAGCCTCGGACCATGGGGTCAATTTCCATTTGCTGCAGGCCACGCTCCGTGAATTTGCCTCTTCTTGCGGGATCTCTCAGCATACTCCCTGCCCCAGAGCCCACTATCCAACACGTGGAACCCACCTAGTGGGTGTTCTTCCGCGCCTGGCCGTCCTGTTCAACCATGATGGACAGCCCAACCTGGAAGCCGTCAAGTTCAGAAATCTCAACATCGTCTTCGAAAATCCGGAGGGGGAAAGGTGTCCAGCAATCGCTCTTCTGGATACTGGTGCTGATCCAAATACTATGGCATACGAGTATATGATAGAGTCAGGGTTGGAATCTTATTACCATGAGTTCAAGGAAGGCGAGATTCCACAGGGTATTACTGGGTTTGGTGGCACCTCCATTATAGCTTCAGGATTCGTTCAGCTGCCTTTTTGGAGGGCTTGTAAACCGGACGATCCCCTGGCACCTGAGATATTCTACGTATACACATCGAAGCAGCTCGCGGACTATCAGGTCATACTTGGGGCAAGTCTCACAAAGAGCCTTCCATACCTTCAGCGCATCAAATGTTGTTCAAAGTGCGACCAGCCTTGAGCTGACCGGTGAAGCGCTTGCGCAAGTTGATTTCAAGGGCTTTTCTCATGGCTTGCAGTGGTAGTGACGTGTCATTGAGGCTCTAGGGGAGTATGTGTGGTGCTCTCTTGAAATCATTTGACAGTTCATAGACTTCATACTGTATTTCTATTGAGAGTTATTCACCGTAACTTTGCCCCAGTTATAACAGCTTCGTCTTCTCAATGTGCCTATAGGTGGCTGAATGTCCAAGGGATATTAGCGACAAGTCTGCAGAGAGATGGTGTGCATCAGGTCTCCTGTTACTGGCCTATAGCCAACCAGACACCACCAAGGCATGCCCAAAGTGAGCTCATGCCGTCCAATGAAGATGTCAATTGGGCGAACCATTACGCTGTGCAACCATCAATGTTGCCAGGCGTCAAGATGGAAGCCCGCTCATCCAAAGCTCCTGTTCGAGTACGCTTGCATCCCCATTGTGCATGACGCAGTAGAGCTCAGCAGTAAGGCTCCTGACAGGCATGATTAGCTATATGTTGACCGCTGCGGTGATCGGAATGCCTAGCTTTAGAGCAGCCGCTGTCTTTCGCACTCGTGATTCTTCAGAGATTTAATACCACTTGAAGCCATCGACAAGAACAGAAGGGGCGATTCCACAGCATCTAACAAAGACTTGCAATGGCAGATCTGAGAGAAATCATCATCGCATCAAAATTGGGCGATCCTTCGCTTCACAAGGCTGTGGTTGATCCGGATTCCCCTTGTTACACCATTACCAAGGGAGTGCTCAACAGCCTTGGTTACGACAAATTCAAGAATGTAACATTTGATAGCCAGCATCCAAAGCACCACCAAGAGAGTGATCATACATCAAGGATACAACTTCGGGTTCGATTGCCCGGCGCAAAGAAGTATCTGAGGATCCTCTTCTGCGTCATTGAGAGCGATTCCAAGGACATCATTCTGCCGGCACCAATCTCCGATGAGGACGCAGGGCCTGCAACAGGAGGGGTGTTGGTGATGACCAACGATAGCGGCCAGTCGGGGGACGGTAAGTCATCTCTTATAGGAAGTGAACTTGGTATGTTGCTAACAGTTTCGGCAGCGACCGTGCGACAAATTACGGCCACTCGACTAGCAAAGGAACAAGAGGACGCACGCGTCCACCAGAAACTTCGAGAAGCCGAGATGAAAAGACGACACGCCCTAGCCGCGAAGGTGAAGAACGAGAAGAAACCCTGATTGAATGAGATATATCGGCTGATAGGTATCGTCAGTCTCAAGATATGGATGTCTGAAGCAGTGAAAATAAACGAGTGGAGAGGGCAAAGGGAAGGTCGTTCGGGGGAGAGCTGTTGTTAATGAGCTAAAAAAATCCCAGGAGGAGCCTGTCACTTTCGAAAACCAACAGTATGTTATTGAATATAAGGATTCCCCATTTTTATTTGTGATACCACTTTCGCTCGCACATTGTTGTTGGATCTGAAGAAGCGGTGAAGCAATACGGGCAGTTTGTCTAGGGAGGTTGCATAGTCTCTTGAGATCTAGGCAAACTGGAGGGGTGGTGAAATCAGAAACTGCAAATCTTGGACGCAATTCGGTCAACCTAACTACAACGCCCTCAATGATTATCAGTACTGACAAGCGAATCATCGATGCGGTTCGATTAGTCCTTGTAACGCAGGATAGTTGTGCAACTCCAGTTTAGCTCAGAGCGCTGAGTAGCAATAGGGGCAGAGCCTCGCCGGACTCTGTTCGCGCCGACCCGCCCGCACCTGCACACATTTTTAGTCACATCTAAATCGCTAAACCACCCACTGCACGCAAATGATACGAGAAGAAATCACCAATAGGTATGTAGCTCTTGGGGCAATCAACTTAGGTGAAGGGCTTGGGGCTTGTGTTCGCGCACTTAGCAGGAAGATCCCAATTCGAAGATTCTTTGCCTCTCGGACTCGCTGCACTACGACTTTTCATGAATTCTTTCACGTAGGATCTCGCTCAGCACGTCTCCGTATGAACGGCGATCTCAATCAGCGAAGCTCTGGCCAACGTAGCATCTCATCTCGGTTTCACGTCCCATGGCTTAACTCAAGCTGCTGCTTTAAGTATAAGCACTCTACAACTCCTCCGCACAGTTCCTCAGGGCCAAAAGGGGAATTCAGCAGACCTGGGGGGTGCTCTAACTCTACGCAGGTGCAGCAGAATGGTGGCCCCACGAGCAAAGCAAACAAGTGATTAGTTACGGTGCAGAGGGAAGTTGACCTCGGGGGCAGCTCCAATGGCTGAGAGCGGAGACGAAGTGCGGAGAGAATAAGCCTCCCTCCCCGCACCAGTGCGTATGATCTCAGGATGGGCACGTCCACAGAGACAACATAACTTGAATCATGATGTTGGACTTGAGGAAATTTCGTTGGTAATAATTTTAAGGTAGCTCCAACGACGACTGAACCATTGATCACATCAGAGTACAATGACGCAGAGCCATTTCGATGCCCTCATCGTCGGCGCAGGTTTCAGTGGGATCTATCAACTTCACAAACTACTTAGCCAGGGTTTCTCAGTGAAGGGGATAGATGCCGCGGGAGATGTTGGTGGAACATGGTATTGGAACAGGTATCCTGGTGCGATGTCGGATACAGAATCATATCGTAAGATAGTCCATCAACCTGTCTTATTCTACGGCATAGCGATGTGACTAGTCTTACTGACATGTTACCCAGTATACCGTTACAGCTGGGACAAAGAAGACTTGGTCAAGTATCACTGGAAAGACCACTACGTGAAGCAGACAGAGGTATTAGCATATCTGAACCACATTGTCGAGCGATACGATCTTCGCAAGCACATGCAGTTCAGTACGGAGCTTGAGCATGCCCAATATGACGAGGTGAGAAATGTCTGGGTGGTAGAATGCTCCAATGGCCAGATTTATACAACCCGTTATCTCATCACTGCCCTGGGCTTGTTGTCGAAAACGAACTACCCGAGGATCGCAGGCATTGAAACATTCTTAGGAGAGATGTATCACACAGGGTGAGTTTAAGTCCTTAATCTGCCACTAGTTTGTTCCTCCCCCTTCCTAGTCTCCTTTAACCTACCATTCCATCGCCAATTACTCATCGCGAAACAGGAAATGGCCTGGCACTCACGACTTCGCCAACAAACGCGTTGGTATAATAGGCAATGGCTCGACCGGCGTGCAAGTCATGACAGCGATCGCCAAGCAAGTAAAGCACCTCACCAGTTTCCAGCGCACGCCTCAATACAGCGTCCCAAGTGGCGATGGACCAGTCTCAAAAGAATACCGCGATTCCATCAACGCGCGATGGGACGAAATCTGGGGCCAAGTACGTGACAGCAATGTTGCTTTCGGATTTGAAGAATCCAAGATTCCGACTATGAGTGTCTCAGCGGAAGAACGAGAGCGAATATTCGAAGAAGCGTGGCAGAAAGGCAATGGCTTCCGCTTCATGTTCTGGACGTTTAATGATGTTACGACTGACGAGGCTGCTAATGAGGAGGCGTGTAAGTTTATTCGCAAGAAGATTGGCGAGACGGTGAAAGATCCGGAAAAGGCTAGGAAACTTCAGCCTGATGACTTTTACGCCCGCCGACCACTTTGCGACGCGGGTTATTATGAGCAGTTCAACAGGGATAATGTTGATATCGTCAGTCTCAGGGAAACACCGATCGAGGCAATCACGGAGACGGGCATAACGCTCTCGAATGGCACTAAGTATGATCTCGATGTGCTCATCTTCGCAACAGGATTTGACGCCGTGGATGGAAATTATACACGCCTAGCAATCAAAGGCCGGGACGGTGTGAGCCTCAGAGATCACTGGGCCGAGAACGGCGGCCCAACAACATATCTGGGATCCTTCGTACCAGGCTTCCCGAACCTCTTCATGCTTACCGGACCAAACAGTCCGTTCACGAATCTCCCTCCAACCATAGAGACGCAGGTGGAGTTCATCAGCGATCTGATCTTCAGAGCCGAGGTGTCTCCCAAAGGCAGCACTGCGTCAGCACGTGTCAACGGTGAGGCAACGAACGGAGCCACCAAACCATCACCACCAGGTCCAGTAATTGAAGCCCTCCCGGAGTCCGAACAGAAATGGACACAAGAATGCAAAGATCTCTGCGAGAATAGCCTGTTCAAGAAGACAAGCTCATGGATCTTCGGCGCAAACATCCCTGGGAAGACGCAGACGGTCATGTTCTATTTTGGCGGATTGGCTGCTTATCGCAAGGTTTTGAAGGAGGTCGTTGATGGTGGGTTTGTGGGATTTAGAGATTTTTGAGGTAAGAGTTTCACACGGTCATGGCTGGGGGATTGCTCGGGGGTATCATTTTAATTTGTTCTGAGCTGTATCACAAAATGGTTTTGGCTGTTTGGCCCCAGAAGACAGTGTAGCCCCTTCCTAAAGCCTTGAAACGAATTATAGTATCATGAACGCCATCGCTAATGCATTTTCCTTGGGGAAACTTGTCCGCCCACCAATCCCAGCCCACTGTTGGTGACAAGAAAATCCGAAAAGGAATCTCAATACTTCACTCTTCCAAGAGTAGGTCTCCAATCCAAGGGATGCGTCTCCTGTGTGGCATCAGGATCCTCGCGCCAGATCTTGATAGTCTTATCAGCCTCGCCCATGATGAGACGCGAACCAGTCTGATCAAAAGTAGTGCTCATGATACCAGCCTCAGCATCCAACGAGCCCGGCTGCGCAAGTGACTCGGTGGTCTGAAAGCGATGACCAGTCTTCCAATCCCAGAACGACACACTCCCATTATCACCACCGCTGAAAAGAACATTGTTTTCGTTGACTGCGAGAGTATTGATGATGGCATTGTGCCCATCGAAGTTCTGCATGAATGCGCCCTCGGGGCATTTCCACTGCTTAATGGACCCAGCTGATCCAGATGCAAAGGTGAATTCCTTGGGATGGACAGCGAGCGCGCGTACGCCCTTCTTGTGGTGTGTCAACACGCCCATGGATTTTCCGGCTGCGAGGTCCCACAGTCGTACGGTGCTGTCAAGGCTCGAGGTAATGACCTGCGGGTCTGCTTCCTGGCATTTCACTGACGAGATGGTGCCCTTGTGGCCACTGAGCACATGGATGTTGGAGCGCGTGCGCATGTCCCAGACACGAGCGACGCCATCACGACCGCCAGTGACGAGTACATCGAGTGTGGGATGCAGAGAGAGTGTGTACACGCCCGACAGGTGACCGTGGTAGTGACGGATTACTTTGTTAGTCTCCAAGTCCCAGCACTTGACCATCTTGTCCTCGCCGCAGGAGAAAAGGTAAGGATGTCGCGGCGAGACGGCTAGTCCCCGCACCGTCGAGATGTGGCCGGTCAGTGTGAGTCGTAATTGTCCTGTTGCTAGATCCCAAATCTTGATCGTTCGATCGCCTGCCCCAGAAGCGAACCATTTATTGTCCGGCTCGACGGCCAATGCGCGCACCCAACCCAGATGACCCGATATCACTCTCATCAGCTTCCAAGGCGCGTGCCACTCCGGCCGTGATTGCTGCATGTTCGGTCTTCGTATCAGGCTGTTTCCGACCCCATTGCCTGCCGATCCTGCCTGCGATTCGGCATTGGGTTTTCCTTCACTCCTGACCAAAGCGAGCTGATTGTTCCCACCTGCTTGAACTTTCGGCCTCTTTGGCCCTCGCGATGCCGCTGCTTTGGCCTGTTTCTCTGCAAGAGCCTTGGGCAGCTCCCGGACACTCTCATATTCGACTTTTCGCTTGTAGGATGTCGAAATGGGAGGGATGTCCGTAGTCAGGTCGATTGCTGTGCCAAAGTCATCGCCGAAGAGTGACCGCGTCTGCTCGGTGAGAGCTTGAGCTGCCGCAGCCATATTTGACTGAATTGAGGGAGTTCGAAGCAACCTGCCTATGTTGAGTTGAGAAGAGTTGCAAAACCCTTTTGAAGCGCATGATACTTGCTGGAAATTGAACGAGGCACGTGATATTTATCCGCCAAGCTTCTCCAAATCTGGTGCGGGGAAGCAACTGACGTTCTTTCCTGCGGTAGACAAAAGTCCACGAATGCCCCTCTGCCTGAGATCGACACCTACGATTCACAGTCGCGGCGATGGCAGCACTACAACAAGCCATAACAGACAACAAATATGCTTTGCATGAGGCAGCCAGGGATGGGAAAGGTATGTTCGGAACTATACTGGTCTTCCAGAATTGCAATTCACACCACCACAGCTCAGATAGTCGAGTCCCTCCTCGCCGCCAAGCCACGGCTGGCGACCAAACAAGACGAAGATGCACGCCTCCCTCTCCACTGGGCATGCTCATACAATCACTTGGACATCGTACGGCTATTAACAGCGCAGAAATCTTTTGACCCGGATGTACAAGACGGATCAGGCTGGACGCCATTGATGATCGCCTCAAGCCTGAAAGACAACTCGGGCACCGATATCGTCAACCTCCTCCTCGAGACCAAAGAAGCGTCGCCCATGATCACAACCAACACAGGCGCCACGGCTCTCCACTTCGCCGTCTCGAAAGGCAATCTGGACATCTGTCGTACGTTGCTGAAGCACGGTGCCAGTGCGCGTACGAAGGACGTGCGAGGTCAATTGCCCCTCCATAGGGCTGCCGCCATCGGCAACGTGCCGATTGTCAAGTTACTGCTGGAGAATAAAAGTCCCGTAAATGCTACGGATGTCGATGGCATGACGGCCCTGCATCATGCCATCTGCGAGGGAAACGGCGATGTGGCGGTCGAGTTACTCAAGGCTGGTGCCGAGACCGACAAGAAGGATGGTGATGGGAGATTGGCGATGGATTGTGCGCCAGACGCGAAGGTGCGGAGCTTCATTCTGAAGGCCGCGGAGCGCGAGGGCATTGATCTGGAATGAAGAAACAGAAAAGAGGAAGAAATTAGGTCAATGAAGATGATTGCTCATGGTCGGAAATGATGGAATTATACTATTCTATCGGCCTGCTGCACATTCAGACCTGATAAGTCAACTAGCAAGGTCATCCGCAGCAGGTAGATCTTCATGATCCTCGCGACCATCAAACCGGAAGATGAACCTGAACCCGAACGAACATGCACAAACGTTATTTCATGGTATCGGCCAATTGCCGGTACATTTGTTTGACATCGACAATATCAGCCTTGAGCTCTTCCACCTGCTCACTTTTCTCGCCGAGCAGCTCCAGAGTGGTTCGATGCCGTTGGGCCACTTGGGCATGTTCTACCTCAAGTGCTTTCAGGCGCTCCTCGATGCTTCGCTTTTCCTCCACCTCACGCATGAGGTTAACCACTTCCTGCCTGGCCTCGTCACGCTGGCCAGTGATGCGAGAGAGCTCATCTTTTGATGCTGCTTTCTCGCTTTCAAGCCGACGGACGTTGGCGGACATGCGCTCAACTAGCTGGACGGATGGTCCTGCGCCAACTGTCGAGGTAGAGACGAGATCATGGACACCACCGCGGTGTGAGAGATGACTAGCCGATAGAGGTGTGGCAGGCACATTGGCGAAATACTCATCGGCATCCATCGAGGTGACAACCGACGGTGTTTCGGCTATAGACCCGTTGGCGAGGCCTCGGAAAGATGCGGTGGATTGCTGACGTGGTGGCGTGTTAGAATCAAAGGGTAGTACGGATGGCCTTCGACTGCTTCCTCGTTCATACTGTACGGGACTCATCAAATGATTCAGATCCCAGCCAACTCCATTGGAGGCATTTTTGCGTATCGAGGTTCCCGGAGAATCCGTTCTTTGGATGTGAAGAGAGGCGGTCCATTTGGCACGTTCCTCGTCCAACTTCCGCTGTAATTCTCGCTCGGAGTTGACTTTCTGCTCGTCCATATCCTGTCTGGCGGTCGCTAGGTCCGCCTCGAGTTGAGTAGTCTTCCGAGTTAGTCGGTGTATTTCTGCACTGTCTTCCGCGACGGATTTGTCCAGCTCTAGGTATTTACTCTGAAGTGCTTCCATCTCACGATCCGAATTCTTGGCTTTCAGTGTCGCGTCTCGCAGCTTCTTCCGCAGGTCAGCCTCCCTTCGAGCAATTTCGTCGCGTTCTTTCTCCAGGTTGGTGATCCTGCCTAGGAGGCTGCTCTCGATGCCCTGCCAATTTTGACTGGCATTTGAATACTGACTCTGTAATGTTTCGATCTGTCGGAGAAGTTTGGCTTGAACGTGGCCATGATCTGCTGATGAGGCCTCTTCAGCACGAACACGAAACGATTCGAGCTTGCTTTCTAGTGTGGCTTGCTCACCAAGCATTTCGCTTTCCATCACCCGGGCTTGTTCCTTTTCTCTTTCGAGAGAGGCTTGCAGGTCTTTGATTTCTCGGCGCAATTTCTCTTCCGAGATCTCTCTTTCAACCTTAGCACTCGTCAAGTCGTCCTGTAGATCTGCTGCTTTTCTTCGCTCCTTTTCCAATTGATCGGACTGAGCCTTGCCTTCGGCTGCCTCGGCTCTTGAGTTGGCTCTGAGCAGCTGGGTCTTCATGTCCGCAATTGTGGCGTGTAATGCGTCTCTTTCTCTCCGGATGGCTTCGAGATCGGTTGCACTCGTTGAACTTGCTGCAAGAGCTTGTTCGGCCCTTTTGCTTGCTGCCTCGGCTTTCCTCGCGCGATCCTCCATGATCCGAAGTGCTGCCTCAGCCTTGTCTGCCCGGCTCTTGACATTCTCTCGCTCTTTATTGTCGTTGATCACTTGACCACGAATCTTTTTGATGGTGGATAAATGCTTCATCTCCAGCTTGGACAAATTCTGGCCTTCTTCTATCAGCCGTGCAATCTTTTCGTCTTTCTCAAGAAGTTTCCGCTCTAGACTTCCAGACGGAGCAGCGGCGGCTGCTTGTTTGGCGGAAACAGCCGCCTCTTTGCTGAGATACTTGAGCTTGGACTGAAGAGCATCGATTCGTTCGATGTAACCATTAATTTCTTCTTGTAGTTTTGCGGTGGACAATCCCTCTTCCAGAGATGGTTTTAGAGAAGCATTGTCCTCATTATTTTCTCCCTTATCAATCAGAAGCGTCAGGAGAGGGCCAGGTCCACGACTTGCCGCCGATTCAATCGAAAGCCTCGTAGAATCGGGTTCAGTCGCCACGAGCCTTTCGGAGTCCGTTTGTCCTGCCAAAGTCTCGTCCGCCAGATCAGAAGGTAAGGGTTTGTCCGCTATAACTGGTCCTTCAATTGACGGTCGTGATGCCTGTTCCACCGTGATAGCTTCGTTTTTCTCTTCATCATCGGGAATTATAGACACTGAATCATCCTTCAAATCGTTTGAATCGGCGGATGGAGGCAGGTTCGCTGGACTGTCGGACCGACTGATATTCTTTTTAGCCATTGCTTTCGCAAGGCGTTCTTGTAGACGGTCATTTGTGGCTGAGGCATTGCTACTACTCCGAGATAGATCAGACGACACTAGACCTTGGTTAGTAAGAGATCATTTTCAATGACTGGTCTAGAGACACCAACACTTCTTGGAATGGCCAGGCTCCCTCGTGATCGGAGGCGGAGCGGGTTGCGGAATTCGTTTGGGAGCAGGCGTTTGCTCACTGTCTTCTGCCAGTATATTATCTAGTCTAGATTCGACCGAGGCCACAGCTTGCTGCAGGAAACCCCATCTTGACTGAGGCTTGCCAGCCATAATGCAGCGAAACCATGAGCCTGTGCTGGTTGGTGAATGAGCCCAGTCAGTCGGTGCCGGGTGAGTCTTTCGCGAACGGCGGTCTCAAAGAAGGGGTCGATGTAATCGCAAAGACAAGGTTATATCTGGACCAGGCATGTTACGAAGGAAATTAAAGCCGGGAAAAAAAGACCGTGCAATTGACGCGTCGGCATTGACTGAGGACAAAGTGTCAGGCGTGAATGTGTACGAGTACGAATAGAGATCACTGTCAGGCAAAAGGACATATGAATTTTGTGGCTGTCAGTGGCTGTCCCAGCTGCACCTGAGTTCCGTGTCACCCAGTCGCTCGTAGGGACAGTTATTGAGTGGTCCGGGCAATGAATGGCCTCAAGGGCCACCCGTAAAGGTACTCAGGCTTGGTCGGATCATGCCTAAGAAGCCCGGAAAAAGCGTTGCTCGAGCTGAGGCGCTTCGGATTAACATGTCTCCGTCTCATACATCGCTTGTTCTGTATCGATTAAGCGGGCATGGGCAATGACATCGCTGGAGATACCTCGTACTCAGGTATCCGTTTATCTTACACCTGCTGCCCTCCGCATCGTCGTTTTAATCACCACATGGCTCAGTCTGAATGAACTGTTGAGTCCTTACTCCGGCCATAGTCCACTTGCTCAAGCTCAGAGACAAAATGTCGCTCACTCCCCCAGCCTATCTCAGCTCTCTGCAAAATAACATTCGAGCCCGCCCAGTGAGTGTCTATCTATGCTTCAGGAACTGAGAATTGGCTGACAGGTGATTTCTACAGATCCCTTGGGATGGCGCTGTGCGTGCCGGAAACCTCACTGAGGACCACCTTAAGAAGATCAGATCAGTCGATAAAGTGAGAAAGGACCAGCGCAAGCAGACCATTGAAAAAGATGTACAGAGCTACAGCACCCTTTTGGTCGGCGCTGATCGAGGTGGGAGTGTGTTGGAGAAAGCTTCCAAACGCAGCGACATTCTCCAGTACATGCTTGTCCTCGCCACAGATCTGATCAGTGGTATGTAGCTTTGTGCAGAAACAGCCAGGCCCTTAGTGTTGACCAGATAACAGATGTACCCGAGTTGGCTTCGGCCATTCTTCAGCAGCCGGAGCCTTACAAGATATTTATTTCTCTACTCAACCAGAGCAACAACCCAGAAGATCCCATCCCACTCTTCTCTGCCACGTTTCTGGTCAACCTAATCTCCAGCTCACTGACGACTTCTCCCAAGTCTGCTCAGAGAGACGATGAAGCACTTCCACAGCTCTATACATACCTCTCGAAACTGGTCAAGAATCAAGACAGTGGCCTCCAAGATATAGGAGTACAGCATATCTCACAATTACTACGTACAAGCCGATCCAAAGAGCTGTTCTGGAAGCAACGGGATGACACGGTGGATCCCCTCTTTGACATCCTGAGAAAAGCCGTTGGTGCCACGAAAGACAACGATTCTACGTTATGGGGTGGCAATACTAGCATTCGAAGTAGCGACACCCGATTTGGTGGTGGAGTTGGACTACAGCTCATGTATCATGTTTTGCTTGTGGTATGGCAGCTCAGCTTTGAGGGTGAGCTAGTTGGAGAGGGTTTGGAGAAGTATGCCATTCGCGATTGTCCAGTACCTGAAATCTGAGATCCGGCTAATCTTTGACCCAGGGACCAAGAAATTATCCCCCTGTATACACAACTGCTACGGCTCTCACCAAAGGAAAAGACGACTCGACTACTCTTGGCTACGCTCAACAACATCCTCTCCACCAATCAAGAGACACTGATTGCTGCTGCCACGACGGCCAGGCTTCCGGCGCTGTTGACCAATCTTTCGGGACGGCATCTGACAGACCCTGATCTCTTGGAGGATCTAACAGACTTGAAGGATTTGTTAGAAGAGTACACTAAGAACCAGACAACCTTTGACGAGTATGCCGATGAGGTCAATTCCGGGCACTTGCGATGGAGTCCCCCACATCGAAATCCTACCTTTTGGCGAGAAAATGCGCGCAAGATTGTGCAGGACAAGAAAGGAGAGCTTCCCAAGAAACTGGCCGAGATCTTGGCCAAGGGATGGGAGAGTGACAAGAAGGTGCTGGCGATTGGATGTAACGATGTGGGACATTTGGTCAAGGAAGTGCCAGAACAACGAAGCACCCTGGAAAAGCTGGGACTGAAGGCCCGGCTATTAGAGTTGATGAGTGACTCGGATGAAAGCGTGCGGTGGGAGAGTCTCAAGGCAGTTGGAGAATGGATGCGTTATACGTTTGAGAAGTGATGGAGAGGCGTTTGAAGAGGGTAGCATCACACATGTTGTCTGCGCCCAGCGATGGATCGGAGCACAATCGCTACGAGGTATTCCTCCGACTCGGTAGCAAGGTTGATAGTATCAGAGGCCAGAATTGGAAGCGGATTGCGTATCGAACTAAGGTTAAGGGCGTGTGCATTTTTAGACACGGGTCTGCTGGAGTATAATTTCTGAGATATGCCATTGTTCGATTCTAGCTAGACTCATCTAACTGTGAAGTGCACTGAAGATAATAGTGTGGGGATGGTGGCTCGAACAGGACGTGTTGGAGAAGAGTGAATTTCGTGAGAGGAGACTAGAGGAGCACTATAAACTCTTTACAGATTAGCATGGGGTTGCCTCTGGGTGTTGTCGCCTCAACTTGAAGCCCAAAAGATCCTCTGGAGCCTCTGGAGCCTCTGGCGGAGCCTACCCCTGCCAAGACGAGATGATGAAAACTCTCCTGTTGGCTGCTCCAGGCTGCACGCGGTTTTAGCTTTCGGGCATGTGCATTTACGAGTACTTCCCTGCAAATCCCCGATGGTGAGGGTGGTGATCGACAGACGGATGGAGCACGGAGTTGACTGCTTTCAATATCATTCATGCATGCATGTTCCTCGCTTGCCCTGATTTGATGAGTCAAGATGAAAGCATTAGTATGATAGACGACATTGTGCTGGACGCAGAATCAGCAGGAGGAGGCTGTACCCTGTCATCAAGATAAACATCCTCAGAAGTATCATCAGCCATGGCCCATCAGGGCTCTCAGGTTGAGCTAGTCCACTGGTTGCTATCAGAGTCGAAGAAAGACGGTATCTTTCTCCACCTGGAGGGGTTGCATAATATTGGCCTTGACAAAGTGGAAGTTGCACGACGTCCCCAATCTAAGCATGACCGAGTATACCTGCTGTCCTCGCTGGCCGAAGCACCAATTGCCGCCTGGAGCCCCCACAAAGACTTGGGAGTATGATCCCATCAAATCCTTTGTTCCTGCCATCATCCGCTTGGATGCAGGCTCGGCTTCTTCTCAGCTTCCCGTCATCTTTGTCCATTCTGTCCATCTCAACGGAGCAGACCCCAGAGTCTCCAATCTCGCTAGCTCTTGAGATACAGTCTGATGATGCATTGAAGCGCAGTGATTGCTAGAGCGCTAACAGCTTAGCTCCCGGCTAGTACGCGCCATGTCGAGTTAATCTTGGCCGGATCCAATGAGCTTGTCCTTTTAGCTCGGTACTAAAGTGAACTTGATTTGCGACATCGTCCTCGTTCGGCGGTTCCCTCCTATCCTCTTCCAATTCTTCGCCCATCCACTCTCTTTTCCTCCACTACCACACTATTTGCATGTGGCTGATCTTCCACTGCCTCTCCCAGAACAACCAGTCGAAACATGTCGCGATTCTAGTCGACGGCCATACTCGTCAAAGCCTTTCCTTGCTGCATCCAGACAAGCCAGTTGCATGGCTGTCCGTCTTCAGCCATAGCACCCTTCGGTTACATCCACTCCAGCATCCAGTCTCCCACACCACCACGCTCCACTCACTGGCACCTCAGACTTGAGCCCTGAGCTGAGTATGGACGACAATGCATATCCTTCGAACCAGATCCCAGCGACCTTCGCTTCTGCTCCTCCACCTCCGCCTCCAAAGCATTTCCCTTCTCTGTCCTTACAGCGTCTCCCCTCCCTCTCTAGTGCTTTGAAGCCCTTCTCTCCCGTCTCTCCAGTTCGACGCAAACCTCTGCCATCCACCGCCAGTCCTGTCTTCCGCTCTCCTGAGGGAACTATTCAACGGAAGCCGGTTCAAACTTCAGCCTTGGTCTATCAGGATCAACCGTGAGTAGTCCTGTTATATAGTGGTTCTATCTTCCTGCTCACAGATCAAGGGTCCAACAATTTACACCCCCAACGCCTAAACGTAGGAATACAGACGAGCTCAGCTTGACACGGTCAAGTACCAACGGGTCATCGAATCAGACCTCAAGCGAACGACAAGCTCCTCTCCCTGGCTACAGTCACAGTATCAAAAGGTCCAATGGTGTTTCTATAGAAGAGGCTATTCAAGAGGAGGACATGGCGCTCAAGGTCGGCAACCGGCCTGCGCCCCTGAGGACCGACTCTTCATCTTCCATCAGGTCCTTATCCGCGACGGACGCGAAGAAGCCACAAACCCCGGGCAGTAAATTCACCTCGTTCTTCACGCGCAAACCCTCGGCATCTCCCAGTGCCGAGTCTGCAGTTACAGACATCTCGGACAGGAGATCCCCACTCGCTTCGCCTTATGCCAATGGCTCACCGCAACCCTCTAGCTATCATTTCCCTTCTAGTCAATCTCACCCGCGTCCACCACAGTCTCAGACGTCGCAAGACTCGATTGAGTTTGATCCAGGTTCTTATGTCCGATCCTCGTACCACAGCGATGCTGCTGCCAAATGTCTACAATTGGAGGCTGAATTACGCGAGATCAGCACGGAATTGGCTGGTTCAATAAAACGCGAGATGGACCTAGAGGATCTGGTTGATAGACTTCAAGCAGAATCATCAACCACCCGTGAAGCCGATCGTACCAGCGATTACTTCTCCGATTCTGGAACGAGTTCCATTCGACCTTCGACTGTCGAAGACCCAAAGGATGAGATCCAAAGAATCAAAAGGGAGGCTGAACAGCTCCGAGCACAACTCAAGGTGGAAATGTCTCAGAAGTGGCAATCTGAACGTTCCAGTCGCCAAGCCATGGAGGCCCATATTCAAATCCTTGAACAAAAGCTTTCCCAGAATCGTCGCGACACTAGCCAGTCGGCTGATATCAACACAAAGGCCAAGGAATTGGAAGTCGCGCTTGATGATGCGAGGCGGCGATTGACGGAGGAGAGGCAAACCAAAGAGAACTTTGAGGATCTACTCACAGCTCTACGAGTGGACTTGGAACAACATCGCAATGACCGAGACAACTTGCGCGATGAAGTTGTGCCCCAACTACGGTCGCAGATCGAAGGTCTGGAGGCGAACCTGTCTGAATCTCAAAAATCGCCCTACGAATTTTCTCGCATGCAGCAAGAGATCCAGAGTCTCAGAGATGAGAATGCAGCTCTTCAAAGTGCGCGATCCATGAATATGCAATTCCGCTCAATTGCTGAGGAAGACGATGGCCTAGTCGAGTCTCCTCGCAGTTCGATGATTCAGCCTCGTACTGGTGGCCTGCAGCGATCTACCACAGTTCACATCAACCGGTCTACCAGCAGAGCGACAGCCAATCGATCAAACTCTTTGTCGCGCTCAAACTCGATAGTTAATCGTGCCGTGCCTGATTCCCAACAATCAGTGGCTGACCAGCTCAAAGATGTTACTCAACAGCGAGACGCGTTGCACATGACCGTGAAGTATCTTCTAAGGCGGCAGGACCACCAGCGGCGGCAATTTGAGAAGAGATTAAAGCTTACAGAAGCAGAACGCGACCGGGCCAGTTCTGTCAACCAAGCCCATAAAGGAGGTTATGAACGTGAAGTTCGGACTTTACGATCAGAGATTAATCTCTTACGGAAAAGGGCAGATGATGCGTTGGAGCAAAAGTGGCAGCTAGAGAAGGGTCTTTCCGGTTTCAAGATGGATCTGGACCGCAGCAAACAAGAAACTGCAAGCCTACACACACTCTTACAGGCACGGGATGAAAGCGCACCTGAAGTCTTGTCTTCAACGCTAGAAAAAGCCTTGACGCAGCTCAAGCAACAACGTGAACAGGCCCGAGCTCAAGAGACCTTGGGTTCTCTGAAGCAGGAGCAAGAGCTTTCCAACGAACTGGAAAAGTCGGCACAACGATCGGAAGAATTGGCCAGCCAGGTCCGACAACAGATGCAAGCCAATGCGGCCCTGAGAACCCGGCTTCAGGAAGCCATCGAACGTGGTGAGAGCAATCAAGCCGCCTCAACGGACCAGATCAATGATCTTCAAGGCAAGCTTCGAAGCTTGGAAGATGTGATTACTGTTGCTCAGATGCAATCGGAAACCGCCGTGATGAAACATGAGGAAGAAGTCCGCGTGTTGAGAGCCAGCCACAATATTCAGTTGATGCGGACCAAATCTGGACGCAAGACACCCGGATTACTTACTCCCGATCCACGCTCACCTATCTCACCTATGTTTGCCAACAGCAAGAGAAGCCCCAGACTTGATCAGACTACGACTGGACCAGGCGTGAATTTACAGCAGGCATTGAAGACCGAGTATCTGGAAAATAAGGTTGCCGAGCTCGAAAAAGCACTCGCGGAGGCTGAGAAAGAAATGGGTGAGGTTGTGGGACGCATGAACACTGCTCAGATCGGCGTGGCTGAGCTCGAGTCAGAGAGGTAAGATGTTTCGCGAACAAACAAAGTGGCACCCATGCTAACAATCGATATAGGGATGAGGCACTTCGACAAACTCGTAGGCTGGAAGTGGCCATCGCAGCCGAACGAGACAAAGTGCAGACATTGATTGATTACGACTATTCTTATAATTCGGATTACTAGCGGGGCATGATTGGATAGATTCCACACCCAGGAACTGCGACTCATCTTTACAAGATTTCCAACGCCATATATTTAATTGAATGAGACATATTTTAGCTGGGACGGGCGTTGAGCGGACCAGATGTCAGGGCGCTGTCTGTCGATCAAGACGACATGGCCAAGGCGAAAACAGATCATGAGCTGATCTTTTGAAACACTATGAAGCATACCCATGGATGGATTCCAGTTTATATGCTTCTTCTGTACAGAACTAATATGGGGGAGACAGGAGGGTGGGAACGGCACGATGACGGCGGAATGGGAGGCAATGATGAGGAGGCATGGGCCTACCATGGAGGTTATTGGATACTTGAACAATACAATATCTAATCTCCAAACATCACTTTGAATTGATTCAATCCCGGTCTAAGATACTAACTGCCTATGATACTCAAGAACGCGACACCCAATTTGCCATAGACGGTTTGATCATAGAGGGTAAGCGAAGGCTGCCATAAACTGGGCTTTTCAGCTGGACGTCACAGGGTGCTCCCTCAAACATCACTGCACCGAGCACACCGTCGAGAGGCTTATCTGGTCTCTTGGTTAGTCCCCTCAATCATCCTTATCTCCACATTCGTTGAAAAGCTCTCCAGGCATATATATGCATAGCTTCCCGATTTGCCATGTACCTCTCAGAAAGTCTTTACGATGCCCCCATTCGAGAACGAGCTGTAGAAGAGAACTAGTCCTACCGGTCGTTGGGGAGGTTTTTTTTAGGGTCGTTCCGTCAATGATGATGCCCACATCATCCACTGGGTGGCTGCCTACCTTGGCTACGATATGTAGAGTTCGGCCAATCGTTCATTCAGCTTCGTCTCACCGTGTCGAAGATGATGACATGAGCGCTGCTTGTCCAACGCAACGAGAGCAAAGAACTTGGAATGGCTTTTCCCTACAATGCAACGGAATGCACTGCTTTTCCACCAGCGTCAAGTTCTTTCAGAAAGCGCCGTGTAAATGAAACAGCCCTTGGTCTCTGCTTACAATAAAAATCCCACCACCGTCAACACCTCACCTCACCATTTGTAGAAAGCAATTTGTTCGCGTACTATGGGGGACTCAGAAAATAGATTGGCCCCGAAACCGCTTGTTTTCATACTACTCCCAGGTCCACTGTCCTAAAGAAAGGGCCGTGGCCGGGTGTATGTCTGGTCTGGTTTGAGCATAAATTCCATCATAGTCCCGTTTGAAAAGAACAGGGCTTTGGCCTAAACTCCATACTACACTTTGGTTGGAGAGAGGAATAGGTTGAGGAGGATGAGCCTTCGTGTATAAACAATTGAAAGGGGGCGGGATAGTAGCACCCAAAAGACCACACCGCCTTCGTTCTTATGGCAGAACGCGACTTAGGAAATACTTCTCGCTCGTGGTTCGTCCTTTCAAAGGCGGTACCATTACTAACAGTTGGGCGGTACATCGAGAAAGCCTACCTAGGTACTTGATACCTAGATCACCTCCAACGACCTGGCCTTTGCTGGGCCGAACCGATGTTAGCGTTCGGGCAAGGTAGTAGGTTAAGCTAAGGAGATATATATGGTAGGCTGGAGACTAAATACGAGGTACCTCGTGCGCTACTTACCCTTAGCAACTAACATACTGATGCGAACGCTATAAGGGGCCAAGACTAGGAAATCTCAGCCTGAGGTTGTTGGCGAGCGACTAACTACTGCTGAACGCCTGACGCGCCGCCTACTAATGGTGCTTATGGTGGAAAAGATTTGGGTGTTCAGCCGCTTCACACGAAAAGAGGATGGTTGGGCAAGCTCGCTTCTTATCGGCTCAAGCGAGGTCAAATCTGCTGTTGTTACTACATTTCCCCCTACCTTCTTCCCTTCTGGTGGTGAAGATGATGCCTGCTGCTTTTGAGATTGCTTTGATGCTCTCGGAACATTCATCAAGAAACCTAACACAATGCGCAGCATTATTAAACGTGTAATCAGAAAGTTATGGTGGAAGGTTCCGTTGTGGAAAGTTTTTGGTAAGGCTGGACACACTTCTAGATCCCCAACCGCCGTTTGGGTTCGAACCAAGCCTTTCAGCCTAACCATATCTCTCAGAATTTCACAATGTGTTAATGATGTCCTTGGGTTGTGGACTCATACTATGGTGTATGTAGATTACCAAATGTCGCAGACGACTGGTATGCTGCGAGCAATTGAAAGCTGACTAAAACGGACCGCCAAAGCTCTCCTCCTGGCCGGATGCTCGTCGGAGTCGCATTACATGCCATCGATATACATCGTATCCGCGTCCTACGCCCCCTCACCTCATCAGTCGTCCGCCATCGGCAACTCCAGCCATCCTAACGCCGAGTTCATTGCCTTGGCGAGAAACTTATCACATGGCGCCAGTCTTGAGGTCCGCTCTGGCTTCTTCGCGGCCTGCTTGAGATTCCCCGCGAAAGCGCCGCCAGAAAACAATTGGCACTGCGGCGATGCCTCAGACATTCTCGCTGGGGAGTCCCGGAATGCCGATCCGCTAGGCCTGGTCCAATATTCAGACAGGTTCACTTCCAAAGTGGTGTTTTACGGCCTCATGTACGTCTGGTGAAACCCCTTGACGTGGTTGTTTTGGACTGTTGCACCTTCCGTTTCTTGGTCATATCACTAATGTCGAGTTAGCCTGGGCAGCATGGCACTGTCGGTTCTCGCGATAGGTGTTTTGAGCTCCCTTCCAGGATGGAAAACGCACATTCTCGAGGATGGCGAAGCACACCAAATCCGTCCGTTCCCAGCCCCCAACGTGACAAGCTTTTGTCTAGCCACACTGTGTTTTTCCGCTGGATTTGGCTTTATCTCGGTTCTGTGGCTGCACGTGGCCGCCGTGGCCGCAACTGGGACTTTGGATTTCATGATTGAAGACATCGTTGTTACACAAGTGGGATCCGCTGCCATGGCTCTGGGGTGGTTGGCATTCGGTACAGAAATGATAGCACTAGTGGGTGTATTTATCATGCGCGTTTCGCTGAATTTGCTTGATCAAATCACGGACGAAGACTGATAGCGCCTCATCCAGTTGTGAGGAGTATAATTAGGATTCGAGGGGGCGATGCTCAGCTCAGCTCGCCCCTTTCTTCATCGGCCTGTCTGATTTCTCCTTCACCGACCCTGCGCTTTAGCGGTTCTTTTGGTCCATAATGGATCCTGAAATGAGAAGCATTCAGAATGAGAATGGAAAGAATTACCAACACAAAAACCCCAATGCTTATGACGGCTTTTAGGCCACCTAGCAAAGTGCCCCTGGACCACAGGGGTATCATTGTAACCAGCCCAAAGAGCAGCATTGCTATACCTTTTCCAAGCCTTGTTTGTATGAAAGCTGCCTTGATTCTTGGATATTACCCACCGCAAGAAATCCCTCGTTCTAATAGGCTGTCTGTCTGGAATGCTAGTGGTTTTTCGCAGGTCGACAACCGCCTCACTGATTAGCTGGATATATGTCTCGCTTCGGATCGTGAGACGGATGCCGTACGATAGACCTACCACCACAACAGCCGTCAGGACGAACCATTTGACCGACGTGGTTTCAGGGTCCAATTCTTTGACCTGCATTCCGAAAAAGGTGGCAGCAAACGAAAGGGGAATATATATAAAAGCTATCCTAGCGTCAGGGACCTATACTCATAGATCATTTAGTTTTGTGGACATGTCAACTTACCGAGCTCCGTAAGCTTTGTGACACTCTCTGCTTCGGCAATCCCTCTCCTGCTCTCGACAATCGACAAGGAGCTAACCAGGACATGGAACAACTTGTCTAAGCGCTTTTGGACGCGCAATATTTCTTCAAGAAGATTTTCGCTCGCATCTTTGATACTGTGCTGGTCGCTGGTTTTGCCTTTATCATTGGTCGGCCCGCACAAGAAGGCAGTAAAAGGGGGAATTGACTTCGTAAGAGCGCGTAGCTCGGCTCCTAAAATATTGACAAGCCTACGCCATATCGCGATATTTCTCTGTAGGGTTAACTCATCTTCAGCCAGGCTATGCACGTTATCAATAAAGGATTCCACCAGTTGCAGAAAGTCCATGGTGTCACAATGGATGATAAAAAACACTGCTGACATCGGACCCAGTGCGTAAGACTTAGTCAGACTTGGTTGGGCCTCTCTCTCAAGCCAAAGAGCAAGATCCTCGAGGGTGGTGGATAGTTGAGCAACCAGACCCTGAGGACAAGGGTCGAAAATCTGATAATCCGATGCAGGTCCTCGCGATGCGCAGTTTTGAAAAGGCAGACGACGTCGTCCTATATCACTAGGAGGCGAAAAATGCACACTCCCATTGCGCTGGGACTCATCACATTGTCCCATGCTATGGGGAGCTCCTAATTGATCAACAGCGATCTCAGACGCTGCTGGTGTATGAGTATTTTGCGGGACGCTATCTTGGGAATTATCAATTCCTGCTCCGGGCGTGATCTGATTGTGTTTGGGGAGGCACTGGGGACCATTGTTTCTGGGGAAGCTTCCATAACTGTGTCTCCTTGATCCTTTCTTACCCTGAGCAGCAGATTCAGACTCTACAAAGAGGGTCAAGGGTAGTGGACGCGTTTCGATGGCAGGCATCCCAGGCGCTTGGAAATGAACCTTTTCTGCGGTATTTCCTCAAGCTCAGTGGCTAATCCGGAATCCGTTAAGATTAGAACTATACACGGAGATAAGCTATAGTTCATACCCACAAGTAGGAAAGTCCAAATACCGATTTCGCGAGATCCCAAAGTTCCCTTCCAGAGACTCACACGTTCCTCCACTGCTAGCTTGTCACCATTTTGGAGGCGTTCAGAGGTTGAGGTTTCATAATCCCATTCTCCATTTTCGAGTCTAAGATCTAGGTGGCGCCTGCGACTATTACAAATTGCCATCATGTCGAGTTGTGTTTCTTGGGCGCTGGTCTCTGACTCGGACTCAGATTCATCATCGGTGGATGTTTCACGATGAAAACGGTATTGTCGTCGGGATAGACGCATAGACCCTCTGATGAGCCGGAGTGTGTACGGGCGGTACCACTTGATGGACGCATGACATTTCTGAAATCGTTTGGTCCACCATGTGGAAGCTTCAGCATCGGTGTAAGGTGTGGGAGGATCTTCAATTTGTTGGTGATCCGTTCTGCCGCTGGGCACCCAGCTAGAGTTGATTAAATGCTCTGCAAAGAACTGGGGGTCAACGTTAAGTGACGACTGGAGCGTTTTAGCCAATTGGGAACTTATGTCTTCGACAAGCAGGACCCAGGTGGAGCATTCAGGGTTCAAATTTGTCAAACGAGCTTCGAAGGTACTCCTCTGCCAGCGCAATCCTCCATCAAAGATGCTGTGGGTGGAACTCAGGGCGGTCCAGTTTTGCGTATACTCATAGCTGGAAACCTTTGAAATGCTCGTGTGTGATGGTCGGATCTTTACTGCATTGGGAGGAAGCCTATGGAGAATGTCATAAGGTATTGTGGGCTGACGACCTGAATCTATGTTGCGCCGACCCAGCTGTGCCATGTTGATATCTAGAGGAATGAAAACTGTATGCGCCCTAGGGTGGCCCTGGTGTTGCGACAGTGAAAGACGCTTTGGCAGTGTTGTGTTAGTTGGCTGCTAGGGAAACGAGGAAGTTGAACAGTAAAGAAGACCTTATGGAAGGACGTAGCCTCAACTTATAAGTCGTTATATAACGACTTACTTACCTGCCTAAGGTAGGTAAATACGCCTTAGCCTAAGCGACTCGTACTTGCCTAGTTAAACGCTCACGCAGGATCGGCCCGAGGGGCCTAGTAAAGGCAAAGGTAAAGGCAAAGGCCAGGTCGTTGGAGGATGACTTTCCTTTCTTGGCGTGACGCCCAACTGGCAATTGCTTAATGGTGGCATGTTCCCATCATGTGCGGCGCGCTTCCCCGCGATCATCAGAAAACAATACCATGAGGTGATGTGCCCTGCATGTGAAGAAACACGGAAGAGAGCAAACTTGCAACATTCAACCGCTACGCGACAAATTGAACTTCCTTGACATCTGAAGTGGACAAAGACTTGACTCAGTGAAGTCATTTGGTGGCGCTGCCTTCGGTACTCACCTGCCTGGCTGCTCCGCTTCACTGCAAACCAGATATCAACAGTAAAAAGATCCCTTCAGTCTTTTGTTCTTCTTCTTCTACCTTCTCACACCTACAAGCACAATTAATACTTCACCTCTGGAACGTGTGCCGCAGGAGACGCGCCCAACATCTACGATATCACATTTCACGCCCTACCATCCTCTATCTAGCAAACACATCAACCTTCCATACCCTGTCTACAACACCCACTCGGCGCCACAACTCACCTCCCTCACCCACCAAAAAATGGCACCAGCAAACACCCTCCCCGCGGTCCTCACGCACATCACGACCCTGTACTACAGCTACCTGCACCCACTGCTCCCGTCACCAGTCCAATCCCTCATCGAGAACGTCGCCCCAATACTCACACAAGTCATCACATCCGCGACGTCAGGCGACCTCACAACGCTGCTCGCCACGCTCGTGGTCATCTACCTCTCGCTGCGCATCGCAGACTATATCCGCCGAAGCGTGATCGCATGGGTGATGTTCTTCTTTAAGATTGCGCTGGTCATTGCGCTGGTCAACGCTGCGTTCTATGTCAATCGTGTTGGGCTGGACAAGGCGCTGGAGGATGCTGAGTGGGGCTGGGATTTGATTTGGGGATTGGCGCAGAAGGCGATTAATGGGGCGGGAGGCGGGAGTGCAGGGAGAGCAGGAGGGTATGGGCAGTGGAATCTGGATGAGGCGCAGAGGTATCGCATTCCGGTGGAGGGGAAGAGAGCGTCGAAGAGGCGGAGTGGTGGGTGGAGTTGAGCTCTGAGGTGCCGGGGAAAAAGAGATGAACAATAAATTGCATTTGAGGATTTCTCGGCGCATGCTCATTTTGGGTCAGCAATGATACTCGAATTTGTTCATCACCGGGGTATCTTGAAAAGTCTAGAGATATTATATTTCATCTGGGGAATCAACAACCACCAACGCCCGCGCTAAAAAAGGACCGGGTCGTCGTTTTGGACATGACCAACTTCAACACTGATACGGTGACCACGCACATATCTTGTTGCCCTCACTCTTCCTGCCAGGCAGGCTCCTGCATCTCGACTTCCTTGGGGTCTTTGGGTTCCTGCGCCTCATGGTACTGGATGGCATCGTCGATGTAACTCAGGATGTCACCGACGCTGTTCTCATCACTCACGTCCAGCTGCAGGTACGACACCATGCTGAAGTCGTCAATCAACCGCGCGACCGCCTGATTCAACTGCTTGAAGGAGCGACCCGACATGACCTGGTCGATCTCCTGCGGGTTGTGCACGTCGACCGTGTGTGGCTCCACCGCGCTTCCTCGCCCCGTGTCCTCGTCGTCCAGCAGGTTCGCGTCTGGGTCCACGAAACGCTTCATCTCTTTCTTGCCCACTTGGTCCTTCACCAGGTCCATTTTGGAGAGGATGTTGACGTGCGGCAGCTCGAGCATGATCATCGCGCTCATGGCCGAGAGCGTGCCCGCGAAGAATTTCGCCTTGTCCACCACGAATGTCGCTTCCAGGAGGTAGGCTGCGCACAGGTTGATGTTCAAGGGTCCCATGCGCGAGAGATACTTGACCAATTCGGGCAGTAGCGGGATGTGTGTGTAGAGTTCGATCTGGCCCGGGAGATCGAAGAGAATGAGGTATTCCTCCGACAGCGGTTCGATGGCCTGCGCCAGGAAATCTAGATTTTGGAGTAGGAATTCGAAGCAGAATATCAGCCCGCCGTTGGGGCCTAGTGACATCTCTTCCATGACGTCTTCCAGGCTGATGAGGTCCCGTATGTCCAGATCCGGCTCGTAGGCGAAGTCGCTCGCGGCCGGGTCGAGGTTGACGTAGAAGCAGGATCGCCGACTGTGTTGCAGGTGTTGGATCATGGCGGTGCAGAAGGTCGTTTTGCCCGCCCCCGCGGGGCCCATTACTAGACAGCCGAATTTCGACATTGTTACTGTCTTGTTCTAGTAGTTGGTCTTGTCCTCTAGGGATACGTCGCCATGGGAGTTGTGGCTCGTGAGGATGTTGAGATTATTCAACTGCGGGAGAGAAGGCTAGGGTATGGAGAGTGAAATTCTGCTTCAGAGAGATCCCTCCCCGCACTGTCCGTGCATTCGGTCCCAGGCTGTTAGTACGAAGCCTTAAGACACTACAATCTTGGCATTCCAGACAGCTTAAATTGTCCTACTCGCTCCTGATCATCACGTCAACACACATATGTTAGACAAGTATCAACTTTCCAGTACTTTTGTCCTCTATCGGTGATCTTGTCATGGCCTACCTAGGTACCTAGGTAGGCAGTCAACCAGCTCATCGAGATGCATGATCGGCGAGTAAAAACGGTTTGCGGTTGTCCTCTGATAAGTGGGAGGGAGTTACACAGGTAAGAAATTGCTGTGGGAGAAAGGATAAAACAAGCGCCAACCCCTGCCCAATTTCTATTCCTATTCATCAAAAGCTCCCTGTTGACCACCAAGCCCGCACCGACGACCTGTTCTGCCCTGTGCTTCTTCTGTCCTCGCCTTGGGTGGAGCCGCCGTGTGAGAAGCGCCCAGGAGAATTTGAAGGCAGGATACCGCGTGCCTAGCGCGGTAGCTCTGGACCGGGTCTCATTCTCTCCACCCTTATCCGGCCTACGATCTGGACAGCCGGAGGACTCAATGCAATGCTCACCCAGAATATGAGTGGCAGCCACGAAAGACCACGGATGGCATTAACGAGCAGAGCTAAAACGTGGATAGCATAGCACCAACAACCCAGGGCAGGGGCTTTTCTGTCCCGACAATGGCCCAATACTCGAGATACGACGACCAGAAGATCCAACAAGCGAAGATTGCATTCCACCCGATAAAACTGGTTGTGAAGGTCGAGTGCGTTGTCAATTGAGCATTTGCGGCTTCAAAGAACCAGCAAAATATGCCACCAGACATAATGCTTTGCGCAAAATGCCATTCAGCACAGTGCCTTGGAGAGTCGGTGACAGTAGGCTGGTTTGCGCTCTTTGTGATGATCAAGTTGAGAAGAACCTGGCATAGGCCTGCCGACACTGCTCCGAGCGTCATCTGCAGAAGGAAGCTGGCGAGTCTCTTCAAGTCAGACTCAGGATCGCTAGCGCTGGGGTCAAGGTCTTGAGCCACCCCCGGACTTAGCAGTGACGCCACACATATTATGACAAGCATAGGTCTCAACCCGGCAAACGAGTGTTTGGCAGTGGCCTTACTCCATATTCGCCTCCCAGTTTGGCACATCGCCATAGCAGTGGACGATGTTGATGGGCTCTTCGGGTCGAGTAAGTAAATCCACCTTCGAGGAGAAAAGGCGAACGAATTGTTTTCGACCTTGAAATCTTCCCGATGGCTGGTGCCAGGACGAAAGTGAGTCAAGGTCGTGCATAGAGTGCATGGAACTATCGGCATATTGTGGAGTATCCATCGAGGAGAGATGGTCGACACCGTGTGCAATGCATTTCATGTCCTTCTCGACCGAACAATTGCGTACTGGTCCGTCGCCGACACGGCCATTTCGAGAAAACGGAGACAAATAAGCGTGTCGAGACTCGACGTTTGACAGCACTAATCTGGGGAGACGAACTGCTTTACCAGAAACTAAGCTAGAAGTATCTTCGTCGGGTTTGAAGAGGTTGTCATCACTGTCAGTAGTGGGCGTCCTGGTGTAAATGCTTCGTGCGCTTTCGGCGCCCATTTTATGTCGGTTTCAAGTTTACACGCTGCACACAAGCCCGTCAGGATGTTGCAGCAAGGTGGATCAAGAGCGATGAGTGGGTCGGTGCCCAAGCAAGGTTGCGATTCTAGATATCAATGGTTGATGTGTGCAAAGGCAAGTTATATTGGGCCAAAAGCTTCCTAGAAGTTGTTGTAGTGCCGTGCGCCACGGGGGTCACGGTGCTAAGAGTTAGATCTTGGCGATCGAATAGGCTTATGGTTGTGCTTATGAATCCTCTACGGGTGGTCGTTATTCCGATTCATTAGGTACCTATTTACTTCGTCGGTAGGTACGATTGCATGTAGTGGCTGATGATTGGAACATCTTAGTTAGAAATCATCTTGGAGCAGCTGTGCGCCAGCATCACAGGCAGCGGACGCTTATGATGCCAAAGTCATTGCTTCTTGTGCTTCTGAACCGGAACAATCCTGAGGCTCGAGGCTTCAGCCTCAGCCTACGAGTCAGCGAGGCCCATTCTCCACTGTGCACAGAAATCACCTCTGCTCTCCTGCGGTTGCCGAGTTAGGGGTTCCATGTAGTTGGGAGTGCACCGGTGTCTGGACAAGAAGCAGAGCGTCAAGCTTGATCTCGCCCTTTGTTCCTGTCTTTGGAGTCCTTCTGCTTGGTTCCTCTCCATTATGGAGTGCTATGGACGCGAGCCACTAGGAGTTACTGGTGTTCACAGCCTGGGATGGCAAGGGATCCGAGTTCATTAGTGTTGCCGCCCTATGTAGCTTCACTCCTGACATTCGGGGACAGTAAAGCGGCGAGCTCCTGCAACGCAGTATCCGTACCTGTAGTTGTAAATTTGTTCACAACCCGACTTGTGCCATTCAATTACTTGTCCACTGCAAAGTTGTTTGCATGATTAGGAGCCCATGTTCTCACTCAAATGTCTCATCATTTTTTTCCCATCTGGATCATTAAATAGCCCTTCCGCTTATGGTTAACGCCTATCTGTATCTGAGGCTTGAGCAAAGTCAGCCTCAGGAGCGACCAATTCTGCCACCGCCTTCGGCTCCTTGTGCACGTGGAAGGAGATGAGGAGACGCACGGCTGGGTTGCGGAACATTTCATGTTAGGTCGACGGATAAAAGGCCACTCGGCAAGTGTGCTGTCTTCCACCAATTTGGACACGGCCCAGAAAAACATAAGGAAGGAAAGACCAAAGCCAAAGCACGAACCCGGCGCAGGGGTGACCCGTGGCTCAAGGGGCAAAGCCTAGAGGCCAGGCAGCTGCAGCCCCACGGATCGCGCCATCACACTTCCATTGAGGCCTGGAAACCCCAAGGCCACTGAATATTGAAGCCTAAACAAACGGTGAGCGCCCGGAGACTTCTTAACCACCGCGCGGACCTCCACCAATCTGCACCGATTCAACGCCATCAACTTTTTCAGGTGCACTCTCTCGTTCTGGTGGTGTCAAAGTCGGTCTGCAGTGCTGCCATTGTCGTTACCTATCACTATTTCCGACATTAAGGCAGGCAGATTCACCGTGGAGGAGACAATCTTGTGAGAGACTGCATCTGCATTTGTTCATCGCCAAACGAGCAAACAGGATGTATCCTCTTTTCTATTGTCGCTGCGGTGTCTTTGGCTACTCAACTTCACCCACTCGCCAATGGACCGTGCTTGATGGGGCTGCCGCTGCACTTGAATTGGAACCATTAGACCTGAAGAACTACCGGTCGGTGGTGGTGCCGAGTGCCAGTGGGATAACGCGAGAACCTGAAGGATAAAGTCCAGAGAAATAGAATCCCCGTCATTCTTACTCTCTTCCTCTTTCCCTCCACTATCCACATTTGCTGCCACGAAGTCCAATCGCGATTGACAGAGCAACCCACCCCTGCTCAGGCTTGCAGATAACGACATCAACACCAGGTAAAGCCCTTGAACCTTTCCCCTCTCAACCATCCCCCGATTTTTTTTCATTCAATTCAATATACGTACTCGTAAGTCCCCAAGTCTCAAGTCTTCTTCTACTTCCTCTACTTCCATTTCTCAACACTGTCTCCTCTTCATATTCTCTACCTTCCTCACTGCTAACTGTCTACATCAAAGCACCCAGCAATATTTCCGCTACGCAACCGTGGGGCATCCTCATCCACTCGGACACTTTCTCCGACCCTCACCAAGAATAAATCTCTGAACACCGCCCTCTCTCCAACTTTCCCTCCTTCCACGCAATCAGCCTCCCGGAGTCTCTACAAACTTCTTTCCTCCCTCTCTCCTTCCCAACCCCCGCCTCGCTTTTTCCAACAATAACAATGACTGGCACCGCTGTCACCAACGGTGTCGCCAAGAAGGCCGACACCTTCCTGTTCACCTCCGAATCTGTCGGTGAGGGACATCCCGACAAGATCGCGTAAGTTTCAACAATATCCACCTTTCCCACTCGCACTGACATTATTCAGCGATCAAGTGTCGGATGCCATCCTCGATGCCTGCCTCAAAGAAGATCCTCTCTCCAAGGTCGCTTGCGAGACTGCCACCAAGACCGGTAAGTCTTTCCCTCACCAATTTTCCGCGGACGTTCCGTCTGACATGTAATCTTAGGCATGATCATGGTCTTCGGAGAAATCACTACCAAAGCCCGCCTTGACTACCAGAAAATCGTCCGTCAAACCATCAAGGATATCGGCTATGATCACTCTGACAAGGGCTTCGACTACAAAACCTGCAACGTCCTCGTGGCCATTGAAGAACAATCCCCAGACATTGCCCAGGGTCTACATTACGAGGAGGCTCTCGAGAACCTCGGTGCTGGTGATCAGGGTATCATGTTCGGCTATGCCACTGATGAGACTCCTGAATTCCTTCCTCTGAGCATCCAACTCGCACACAAGCTCAACCTTGCTTTGAAGGAGGGCCGTAACAATGGCACGCTTCCCTGGTCGCGACCTGATACAAAGACTCAGGTTACCGTCGAGTATGCTCACGATGGTGGAGCCGTGATTCCCCTGAGAGTCGACACCGTTGTTGTTTCTGCTCAACACTCTGAAGACATCACTACCGAGCAACTACGAAAAGAGGTTATGGAGAAGGTCATCAAGAAGGTCATCCCAGCCAAGTACCTTGATGACAAGACTGTCTACCATATTCAGCCTTCTGGACTCTTCATCATCGGTGGTCCTCAGGGTGATGCTGGTTTGACTGGCCGAAAGATCATTGTTGACACCTACGGTGGTTGGGGTGCTCATGGTGGTGGTGCTTTCTCCGGAAAGGATTACAGCAAAGTTGATCGATCTGCCGCTTACCTTGCTCGATGGATTGCCAAGTCCCTTGTCAAGGCCAAACTCGCTCGTCGCGCTCTTGTCCAATTGTCATATGCTATTGGTGTTGCTGAGCCTCTATCTCTCTTCGTTGAGTCGTATGGAACCAGCGACAAGTCGAGTGCTGAGCTCGTGGAAATCATTCTCAAGAACTTTGACCTTCGACCTGGTGTCATTGTCAAGGAATTGAACTTGACTAACCCCATCTACTGCCGAACTGCCAAGAACGGTCACTTCTCCGATCAATCCTTCCCCTGGGAACAACCCAAAGACTTGAAGTTCTAGATGATTGAGTTGACTTCTTCCTCTGTCTCCTTTCTGCCCCTTGGATGAATCATCTACGGCATTGCATACATCACGACCGGAGTTTTGGGGAAACGGATGACGGACATCGTCGTACATTTGATGTGGAGTTTCGAGAGCCTTTTTAACCTGGCTTGGGTGTGTGGATGGGTTAGAGGTTGGATGAAGATAGAGTGGATCTTGGAGAACTAAATCGACATGGAAAGATCTTTCAACTCTTTTATGATTACCTTGTGTTTCAACAAACTCAGGAATTGTAATCGATTTGGAAGTATTTCTCGATTTTGGCCACTCGAAGCATCTCTTGGGTTTTCAACACCAATCACACGCGCGGAAAAGTGCTTTTTTCTCCGTTTCTCTCTCTTTCTGAGCAGAAGAACATATTTTACTGTCGTCGTTGTTGGCAGGGCGGCGCGGGAAGGGTTACGTCGTGACGATATTCAACATGTTATGATACCCCCAAAGAGCCTGCGAAAGATCGCATAAAGCGCAAGTCAAGAGTTATCTTGCGTCTAATTGAATTGTTTTTTGTTTCGTTGTCGATTGTGCCATTTCCCTACCACAAAAAACCAGAAAAGGCAACCAACCTCCCTTAACGGTGATGGACTGTTTTCAGCCCTTCTAGAAGGTTCCTACAGAGATCCAGCTTAGCTACGGGGGAAACCCTTGAGATGAGGCGGGAGACGATGAAGGTATAGATACAGATTGGCGTTCAACTCGCCGTTAATCAGCCGATGATGAGCAGCTAGATAGTTGAATATTTCGCTCGCTAGGTTGACAGAACAGAGCAGAGCAGATATACAAACAAGACAAGACAGTGCTCATCCATACAATGGAGTGCCATAGGGAGAAAAGAGACATGAAAGACTGACTGACTGACTACAGGACTCAGTAGTATCCAGGCAGAAGAGACACTGAACCCGCCCTCTCGTGGAGCTGGAATTTCGAAGCTTTCATCAAGTAAAAAACGATCACGTGACCATACAGAGTAATTCGGACTCGGGACGAGGAAGCCCGAGCGTGCATTTCAATGATCGACTTTTACTATTATCACCACACAAAGCCTTCTTTCTGCTCTCTTCTTCTCTCTTCTTTAAGGACGGGCATATTCATTAAGCTAAGGTAATCGAAGCCAAGGGTGATTCTTCGCTGAGTAGGTATGGTATGGTACAGCAATGGCAGGATAACTAAGATGGGTGTGTGTGTGACGGGGATGGGGTATCTGAATCTATCTACAGTAGTAAGCCTCCCATGTGCAGTCTTTTTGCGGGCAAAAATGAAAATTGGGGGGAAATACTCCATTTCTGACATTTCCGGCGGCTGTCATCTCAATCTTATCTCTCTCTCTCCGCGGAACTCAAGGCCACACTCCAAATCATCGAGATGGTAGTGTCTCGGTGGACTTTGGACCTTGGCATGAGATGTGAAGAGGAGGATGAAAAAGCCTTGCTGTGCTGTACTGTGCTGTGGGCGTGTATGTGGTGGTGTGTGTGCTGTGACGTCTTGCGTGGTGATGTGATGTAGACCAGACCATGAATTTGATACAAGGAAAAAGGGCTCAAGTATGTCGGAAAGGAACAACCATGTTGTGGATCAACTCTTTGGAAGGAAACCCCCTCCCTTCTCTCTTCTGGTAGTAGCCAGAAGAACCTCACCGCCCGTCCAGAGAGATATATCCCAATTCTCCCCGTGGAAAACCCGCCCCAGAACCAGTCCATTTCCAAGAAGATGTTCAAGACACGTGAGACTCATTTGCTCGCTGATACAAGAGGGGGATCAAAGGGGGAAAGACTAAATAAAGAGGAGCCACAACACAACTTTGGTTTGATGGGAAAACGAAGCAGAAAACACATAAGAGATCGTAAGCCCGTAGCTTTCCTTCCCCTCTCGTGCGTTCCCATCCACGTCCCACGGATTCTGGAGGGAAACTTGAGAACATCGAAAGAGAGATGAAAAGCGTGATGTAGAGCGCTCGACGAAAATAAAACAATAAAAAAAAGTGCATCAACATGAGGGGATCTTGTCCCCTTTCCCTCTTCTAGAAACAATTCAGGGAACTTCCCTTGCGTTTCTTCGCCTTGCCGTCTCGTCCAACTGTTGTCAAGAGCTTCATTCTCTCCTCCAGTTGTGCACGTGCAGCCTCGGCTTCTCGTCGTTTCTTGACCTCCTCTTCCACAGCCTGAACGCTTAATCGTTCAGATCGTCGTTCTTTCTTGAGACCAACAAGTTCTTCTTCCATCGACCATGCCTTCTTCTTCCATGATTCGGCATCCACACGTAGCTTATTGCTTTGTGTTTCGAGATCAACAAGTGCTTCTTCCAAAGTGGCTGTCAATTGCTTCTCGGCATGTAGATGCTTCTCAATGGTGCGAAGACGGGCCTCTTGCTCTTCAATCAATGCTGATTGGCGACGAACGTTCTGTGAATTGGATGAAATCACTGTACCTGATACAGGGGTGATGGGCAGCTGTACCTCCTTTGATGCATGCCGAGATTGTGGGGGAGATGGGTTGTTGGCATTGGCTGGAGCAACCTGTAGACCTGGCAGGCTTGGGAGTGGTGGCAGTGGTATCGCAGGAGGTGGTGATGGGAGCGAAGCAATGGATGCAGACTTGCGCAAGTTTGAGCTAAGAGAATTCGATCGTGGATGACCATCCATAGCTGGGGATTGAGGTCGTTGTGATTTCATAGTGTTACTCCGAGAGCCACTGTCAGATCCAGCCTCATTGATAGGCTTGAGTTGATCAATCTCTTTCTCGAGATTTCCAATTCGCTGTTGGGCATCGATCAATGCTTGATTACCTTGAGCCTGAATGACAGAGATGCGGTTGTGATGTTGATCATAGCTGCTCTGTAACTGTTGCTCAAGCTCTTCAATAAGAGACATCTTCTTGGCCTTTTCTGCCTCAACCGCCTCAATTGTCGCCTCATGCTTTTTGATGAGAATGTCTCTATCACGGATGCTTTCCTCATGATTGCCAATTTCATTTGCCAGGTTCCTAATCGTGTCTTGGTAATTGGCAATCTTGGTGTTGGCATTTTCGAGTTCTTCCTCCAGTTCAACAAGGCTTTGGCGTCCATCGAGGCGGCGTTCTAATTCAGCGTTTGTATGAAGTAATCGAGTGTTGGCTGATGCCATTTGTCGCTTCTCCTCAATGACATCCTCGATGTGAGTTGCGATCATGTCAGCATTGGTTGGATGACCAAAGGCTGCCTGAGCACTAGAAACAAGTTTCTGTACTGTAGATAGTGCATGCTCAAGATCTGACTTGTATGTTCCGACGAGTTTCTCATGCTTACTGTTCAGATCGGCAATTTGATCATCGTAACCAGCAAGATTACCGCCATGAGCAAGCTTCATCTCCTCGATCTCACTGGTATGTTTATCATGTAGCAACTGTAGGTTCTTCTTATGTGACTCAGCTGCGGCTTCTGTTTCTGTAAGCTTCTGTTCGAGATGTGTAATCTCGGCTTTCAAAGACAAAATGACCTCTTGTTGAGATCTGGCCAGTTCAGTCTGGGTATCCAAGTCGTTGGTCAGTGCTGTATGAAGCTCTCGAAGTTCGTGATTTTTGTCGCCGTGTTCGGCATTGATCTTTTGTTGTCCATCAAGATCCTTCTTCAGCTTCTCAATCAAAGATTGATAATTGTTACGTTCGATCTGCATGGCGGAAGCAGCAGCAGCTCTTTCGAAGGCGTCGTCCCCATCTGAAGAAGTTTGTTGCGCCTGTTGTTCGGCCTTCAGTGTCATAACGCTGGCCAACGCAGCATCTAGTTCTGACTTCGTCCTCCCGTAGTTCTTCTCGGATTCTTCGGCAGCTTTTTGAGCAGCTTGATGCTTCGAGGTCGTTTCAGCTAGCTGCTGCTTCAAGGACTTGACGAGCTCTTCATGGTCAGGGGAATATGTCTCGGCCTTGACCTTTTCAGCAGCAAGAAGTCTCTGCATCTCCTCCTGCAAGCCTTGCTCACGTCGACCATATCCTTCATGTAGAGATTTAAGTTCCGTCTCCTTCTGGATGATTTGATCTCGAAGCTGAGACACCATGTTTAAATCGACCGGGGACCCAGTTTTGATACTGGTTCTTTCTCTTGTCAAGCCGGAAATGATGGTAGACTTGATTTCCATTTCTTTCTTCGCGTTCTTGACTTCGGCTTCCAATGCGTGAATGCGTTCTATCCGAGCTTGCAATTCCGTATTGGCGGCTGACAGATGCACTTCTGCAGATTCCATTCGATCTGGCTTGCCTTCAAACTCTTCGGCCATCAATGTTCTCAAAGCAGTCACCGAACGCTGACCTCGATCAACACCGGAGCCGCTCTGGGAGGTCATCCTTCTCAGCATACCAGGAGTTCCAGGTGAAGAGGGCCGTGTACGTTGGACTTGCGTCTTCAGCCTCTCTACGGTTGTCAGAGTTTCCTTGTGATCAGCTTGTAGTTGAGTATATTGTTCCGTGACCTGATGAATGCTTCGTTCATGCTCTGCCAGAAGATTCTGAAGGCGCTCGATTTCCAGGGTGGCAACTTCTGCTGAATGCGTTGGTTTAGATACCGGCGTAATGTCTGTATCGACCGAAGTTGCTGACTCCCCAGCCAAGGATAATTCCGATGATAATGATCGCGAGGAGGGTAAGTCTTGTCCATCCTCCAGTTGCTGACCTCCCTCCCCGTCCACTAAAAAAGCCGGGCTCTGAGGAAGCTCTGCGTCTGTAAGTCCTTGTGGGGAAATTGATGATTGACGCTCTTCGTCAATACGCTCTTGCATTTCAGCCAGAGTTCGCAATGCTTCCTGATATTTGGCCGAAAGAAGATCGAAATCATTGACAGTGGACTCATGCTCAAGTCGCAGATCAAAAAGCTCTTGACTCACGGACTCAAACTTCTCAGTGATGAATTTTGACTGAGCCGGGCTAGGAAGAACATCCTCTTCTGGTACTGCTTTCAGGCTTCTTGGTGTTACCATAGCTGTCTGTAGTTTGCGAAGGCCCTGCTCATCGGTTTCTGCGTTGGCGGCTTCTTGTAGATTGTCCTCCACAGTTTCTTCGACTTGATGACCGAGTTCATCGTCTTCCTCCGGGGTTGGGAGTTCGATTTCTTTTGCGGCCTTCAAGGTCTCGTGCGGTGTCTCTTTGTCCTGTGCATCCTCGGTAGCAGGCGCGGATGACACGCCATTCGTCAATTTTGATTTGGCATCCTTGTCTTGAATATGATCGAGTTCGTACAGCAGGTTATCGAGCTTACCAAGACTTCGCTGACGTTCGACAAGATGCTCAAGTCGCTCCACCTCTCGTTGCATGATCTCCATATCTTGATCGCATTCAGCTAGACGCTCCTCAAGGGTGCAAATGTAGTCTTCAGCATTTGTTTCACTCTCCCGGATTCTTGCAATCTCTTTTCGTAGCTCAGAGATGATGGCATCGTTCTTTTCTCCACCCGAGCTTTGGTCTTCGAGTCTGGATTCCAGGTCATGCAAATATTGCTCTGTATTAGATTCACGATCCATGAGTTTTTGTACACGAGCATTCAGCTGCTGATTCATCGTCTCCACATAGGCACATTTGGTTTCTCTTTCCAAGAGACTGCTCTCTGTGTTGGATAGAGAGCCTCTTGTCGTAGAAAGATTTGCTTCAAGACTCTGAATGGTTTTCTCGTATTCCATGACCACTTGTTCGATCATTTCCTGGTTTGCTTGCGATCGTTTCAGGCGGTCTACGGCACTCTCACCAGCAATTGAGTTGATCTGATCATTGGCATCGTTCGTTTTGGTGAGTTCTGAGATGAGTTTTGCATGTCTCTGACTGAGTGCACCATAGCTCTCCTGAACGTCCAACAGGCGATTCTGCAAGTCTGTCTCCCGTTCATTGGGGCGGTCTGGACGCTCGGAGATGATTCCATTCCGGCGCTCACCACTCTCAGCACTTCGAATTTGCTGCCGTAGAAAAGCTATTTCTGATCGTAGTCTTTCGATGATGGCTTGCTTGTCACCACCATCATCGACTTGCTGGATCTTAGGCTTGCTCTGGATGTTTCGCGCACGTTGAGCATATTGTACCGTATTCAGAGTTTCACTCAGGTGAAATTCCGCGGGTGTTACACAGGCGATCATATAGGTGATTGCATTACCACCGAGAGAATCTTGGAGCATTCGAGTAAGCTTGGAATCCCGGTAAGAAACGTAGGAGGCAGGAGATCTTGAGGATAGTTGCGAGATAACCTTGCCCAGACTTGCCAATCCCGCATTGATGGAGATACCTTCCTTTGCACGATCGCCAGTTGCACCAGTGTTCTTCAATCTTTCACTTCCAGCCAGATCGACAAAGTGAAGTTTGCTCTCGACTGTCATAGGAGCGTCACCATTCGACATGTTGTCAATATGAGTGGAGGATCGTTTGCTAGAATTAAAACCCTGAGTTCTCGTCTGTCGAAGATTTATGGTGAACACAGCATGCGAACGAGAAGATCGTGCATTTATCGCGGTGGCGTCAGTCTGTCGTATTGTTGACCCATGATTCAAAGTGCGTAATAGTTCTTCTATCGATGTGATGCGTACTGAATTGAGGCCTTCAACGAATATCCGTCCACGGGGATCTTCTCGAATTTGGACGTTGGCCCTATCGGTGAATGTGGCATCTTCGGGTAAGAGAAGATCTCGTGGATGTTCGTTGTAGATTTCAACATATGTGACGGACATCTCCCAGCCCTTTTCCATGTAGGCCTTGGAATTTTGCATCACTTGGTTGAGACTCGACACTGAGTATCTGGTTGGTGACTTTAGTCCGGAATTGTGTCGACTATGCGCACTAGCAGAGTTTGCATTTGCGTTCAGGCTGTTGAAGAGATGCTGTGCCGCACGTGGAACCACGCCTAACAAGGATCAGTGTTGCGTCCCTCATCAATTACACGTGGTGATGCTTACCTTTCAAGTCGGGTTCAAACTGTTCTCTGGGACCAGAGGTACCCATTGTGTAACTTTTGCCCGAGCCAGATTGGCCATACGCAAGTATTGATACATTGTAACCCTGAAGAAAGGAGTCTACGGAATCCTGTAGATAGTCCCATACGCCATGCTGGGTGGTTTCTTCGCCAAAGACACGATCGAAAATGAAGATCTTTTTTCCTTGAGGAGATTCGACGGCAAGACTTGTGTCCGTGTTTACCTGTACCATTGAGCGTTGAAAGCGTTGAGGGATGAGGTCATATCCCGGATCGGTAGGACCAAGGGGTGGTCGGACGCGGACGACTGATAATGGAATTAGTACAACTGACGTCGTCTCTAGATAAGCATTGAACACATACCGACTTTGACCGAAGTCTTTGCATCTTCATCTGATGCTCTACTGCCACCATGTTTACTGCTCTGGCTCATGCGACTGTGACTTCGTGGAGGCGCGCGGCTGAGCATACTTTGTGGACGTTGTTTCTGAGAAGCATCTGGGGATGGGGCCGAGTACATGCTCTGCGCACGTACTTGACGGGCACCATCAGGAGATGCGGGAGGCGACGAGATCATGGTCCGGACGACGACGTTGACCCGTCAATCCTGCAAGGGGTGGTGTGATGATGTCGGTGTGCAACCGCGTGGTCCCTTCAGACACGCGCTGATGGATGTCAGACCGAGGGCACAACCACCTCACAGACCGTTGTATGGCTACTGATCATGAAGGTGCGTGTGATGGTCCGTGGGTTGGAGGAGTTGGAGGTTTGAGACGCGGAAGATATTGTGAGACACCGAGCGTGGGGAACTGACAGGATGTCCAAGTCAATGGCAAAGACCCAGTGGTCGAGGGAGGTGGGGAGGCACTCGACGTGTTTTGCGTCTATGAGGTTGCACCCTGGAGCGAGACCAAGGTGATGAGAGAGAGTGACAGTGATGAGATAGACCAGGGCAAGCCAAAATGCCCTCAAGGGTTCGGAGGCGATTGCGACCAGGAACAAAAAAGAGACTCGAGAGTACTGTTGTACAGAATGCCGGCGAGATAGTACTAGGTAGTCAAGAAAATTAGGTGGTGTGTACCTCGCAGTGGTACACACGCTGGAGTGCAGTCAGCAAAGGAAACGGAAGCACTGCACTGCAGGGCTCGCGTGTAGTCAGGAGTCGAGAAAGGTTCATGCAGAGGCGTCGCGTCGACGGACGAAAAGAGAATAGACCGCGTGGTTAAGTGTGTTGGCGTGGTGATCTAAAATCTAATCATGCCTTTCAATTGGTGAGATAATCTCCGCCAGCGTGGAAGCCGTTAGCGGTCAAATTAGCCTGCTGGATAGGGGAAGGCCGATACAATTACTGCAGGTCCGCCAAAGACACTGGAAGGTCCCCTCGGGCCTCTAGTCTCCGGGGGACAGCTTTCCTGCTGCAGCTTGCATCTTTTCATGCCGGTTTCTCGAAAATCTCCCAGTACTACCCACCCCCAAGCCAACTGCCATCCAGGCGTGCATCAAGACTTCCTAAGCATTCTCCACCCCCCAGTCTAACGTACCACTTAGGCTTGACGCCGCCTGGCATCGCCCCCCCATTAGGTCCCGAATGGGGATGAGCCCCCGGTACCTGAGGCTAAAATTACCCCTCTCTGCAGCCCAAATACGAGGTATCAGCCATTTCAGTCAAGTTCGGTTCGTTTCAGAGGGCTCCCCCCTTTCAGCCATCAGGGGTTCTTTACCAATGCTCCTGCAGGGATTCAAGGTAAGCGAGTTGCCATCCTCGCTTTTGAAAGTGCTGATCAGAGCACTTTGGACATTGTCGTCGATCCTCTTTGGAGTTGAAAGGTCAGGCCATGCCCAAGGACCGAGTGCTCAGCTGTTTATTAGGCACCTGGGAAGGTACCGAGTATTGTTGCAACAGCCCTTCGTCTCGATGTAACGGATTACAGATCTTACCAGTATGGAGACTCGTCTCGCAACTCCAGCTAATTCTTGCCTGTCTTGAATCCTTCCGCCCGATTCCCGTGTTTGCCTATCTAACCCAATAATAATGGATGACATGATGTTGTTGTTGTTGCTGTCTTTGGCATCATTCAGCATGGCCCTGGCCTGGGTTACATTTACAGTTACACATCCGCATCGGATCTGAGCGCATGGGCTGTCCCGCCAGCCGCTTCACTTTGACAGCTGGTGACAGGTGATCTTCACTCTTTCAACTGCCAACCCTAGTCCTCATCCCTTTGAAAGGTTCTGTATACCTGCATAAACTTGAATTTTATGCCTTGTGTTTGTAGCCGTCCTCACAACCGAGCCAAACAGTGAATCCCATCTCTCAGACAAACCTGTTGCTAGGATATGGCTTCTTGGCCTCCCCCATAGTTGATCTTCGTAGCTCGTTTCGACTTTTAATAGTGTTACTCGGCTGGGCAGGCTGGCATGTGTGGCATGGGTTGATGCATCGTTGGATTCAATTTCTTTCAAGTTTTGTCGAGACATGACTTCAACTACACTAGCGGTGTTGAACTACTTCGGAGTCAATCGAGAAGTTCCGGTAGTGTAGTGGAGCAGAAAGAAAGTTCGAATTGTTCGACGCCTTGAATTGATGATTTGACTTCTGCAGCTGAGTTCTGCTGAGTGTGTCCGAAATTCAAGCATCTTTCCCACCCGTATCTCGCCCTAGAGTTACAACTGACCTCACCCCTAATAACGCAAATGCTGCACGTGGTGACAGAATAAACTTCACATCACGAGTGGCGGAAATGCTAATTGCACCATGGTTTGAAGCAACCACTCAACCTTCAGGTGTGGAAAAAGTCAATGGGATGTCCAATCTGTTTGTCATTTGATTCATGAAACTCCTATTCGAATTATATCCCGGGATCTGGGGAGAAATCTCCGATAGGTGGCGGGTTGTTTCGTCTCATCGGTGAGTTCGAACCATTAGACAACCATGTACTCCATATTGTTCATGCAGACGGACATACTTTGCATATAGTGCGAACGACGGTTCTGATCCTAATGCGACTCCAGTATGTATGTACCTGGTTGACGAGCTCTTGGTAGAGTCATTCCTTGTCACTTGCTGCATGAACAAGTCAACCCGCCCACAATCACGAGAAAACTTGTTTCTCCTTCTGATATCAAGTACTCTGTACGGGTACCTGGTCCTGCATAAAGGCTATAGCCGCAGGATCATTGAACGCTCGTGGATGGACTCGCTTAATAGAATGGTTTCAGAATCTCTCAGCTTAGTCCCTTTCTGGCTTTGTTGACTGCGAGTTTTTCTGACCGTTCACGCAGCTCGTCGTCCAAAAGTGGAATTCACCCAGCCACCTCCCAGGGTGGACCGGCAACGCTTCTGCAAAGGCGAGCACATCACCATAACATCATTGGCGCGCTTGTCCACTGGTATCATGTCGACAACATCCCACCTGGGTCAAGTGATAAGGACTGAGCTGCCGAACTCAAAAACATATCTGGCACAACGGTCTCGAGGCGAGGCGAAGGAACCTTGCTCGGTATGATTTCTCGTACGAGTTCAATTTGTCGTATCAACCAGCACCGGTAATGGTATCATGTCTAGGCTCGACGTTATCACCACCGTTATCATGATCGCTTGGAGTCTCGTCCTCGGCGTTTTCATCATGATCATCCTCCTCCTCTTCCTCATCAGGATTTGAACCTTGACCAGTTGTTTCATTCGCTTGCGCATCTCCATCGACCCCGTGCTCTTTCATGTACGCCTCCAGATCTTTCGCCATCTTCCGAGAGAACCCTGACGCCTCAACCTCAATGTCCAAGCGTCGTCCATTCTCTTTTCCCACCAACGCCTTCGCATCTTTGAAGAACGGCCCTTGCTCGGTGCTGGTGAAGCCGAACCTTCTCTCAAAGAACCTCTTGACACAAGCCACATCTCTATCAAAATAGAACTCGGCGTTTGCGTGATCCACACTGACCATCTGAGGGAAATCAATAAGCACTGGAACTAACTTGATGGCCCCGCCTCCACTTCCCTGCTTCTCCTCCCCCTCCTCCTCAACCTCTTTGATCAGAATATTGAACTCGTTAAAATCACCATGGATCAGACCAAACGAGCACAGGCGAACCAGCATTTCCATCAGCTCCGCATACAACGCGGCGGGGTCGGGAACCTTGTCTATCTGCCTCAGCGGGAACCCGTCAATCAATGACATGACCAGCTGATGACGGTTCTGGCCGCGCGGAACAGGCACACTGAAACCTGCATCGTATAGCGCCTGGAGGAAAGCATATTCCTTGACGGCGGCCAGTCGCGACATGTACATCCAACTGCCTGCACCGCGTTCCTTTTGTTGACGGGTGCGTGCATAATCTCGCTTGTTGCGCACACCTTTCTTGAAACTCACCCGGCCCAGCCGGTGAATCTTCAGCACTCGTTGCTCGCCGTGTTGGTCGCTCACCACGAAGATGTCGCTTTCTTTACCAACCCCGATCTGATTGCCCACGCTGTAGACGATGTCGCTCTTTTGTAACGAATGGAGTGCCAAGTAGTCGAGTCCACCGTAAGTCAACCTATAGCCGTCGTATTTTGCATTTTTGACCTTTGCAATGAGATTGGCTTTGGCCACGAGAGAGATACTGCGTTGTACATCGCCAACACTGGTCTTGGAAAGATTGGCGATGAGGGTGGTAGGTACGACCTCATGGTTTCGACTGCCTGTCTCGACTGCAGTGAGGGTCCGCCAGTCAGTGGGGTTGAGATATCGGAGTGCCTTCGTATCGAGCTTCATGGTTCATGACTTGGTAGAGGGATACGATGAAGAAGAATCGACGTGCACTGGCAATATGTCTGCAACTGGAAAGATCATCTGCGCCTGGTCGGACTTTTTTCTCACGACCGGGAATCTAATCTTATCTGATCGTCTTCCCCACTTTCCGTTCAAACCCCTCACTACTCTCACTAATCACCTGAGTACAGAGGTATGAGGTACCTATTCAATCATGTTGCCGAATGGAAGGATAAGTACCCAATATATCTTAGGGACAACAATGTGGCATAGAGCTTCGGGCCCTTCATCAGCCAGGCATAATTACCTAGGTATGTCAAGGAATACCAGTTGCACATGCTGAAGCCACTCCTCTCGCAATACGAGCATCCCCTTCTCCAGAACTCATCTACCGCGGTCCCAAGCCGACCTCACTGCATGTCCTCGATCGAATCATCGACCAGGCGCGAACAATGAGCGATTAACGTAATAGTATTGCCCAATCCGTACCAGACCAGAAGCATCTGAGTTCATGCAGCTCTCTGTGACTCACAACAGGGTACCTCCGTTGTCGGGGTTCACATTTACCTAGGCTGTTACGTGTCGGCGACTAAATCAAACCAGGTATAAGAGTTGGATTGAGTCTCAAAGTAGCACGAGACTGAATCATCTCAATCAATAACCCCAGGTAGGTAGGTACACACGACCGACAGCTCCAGACGAAACCCACGATGGCGACTCCCAATCAACCGACAACATCCCCGGTCCGCACAACCCCAGCAATCCACTCGCTGCTCCAGCGACTACACACACAATCGACGATCCAAGAATCCGGGATCGACCCGGCCGCGATCGCAGCTCTACGCGCACAGTCCAAAGCGGACGCGGCGGCCGGGTCCGCGGCGCTGGACGCGTTGATGCTCGACAAGTTCATCGCGCTGGACGAGGACAAATGCCACTTCATGTATAACCTGCTCGTGGCCATGGGCGCCACCACCGTCGTCGAGGCCGGCACCTCGTTCGGCGTCAGCACCATCTACCTGGCGCTCGCGGTGGGGAGGAATGTTGCTGCGGCGGTGACAGCCAGGGCGAAGGATGGGCCTCGTGATGGTGGAGAGGTAGAGGTCAAGGGTGTCGTTGTTGGGACGGAGAAGGAGGATTCCAAGGCTGCCATTGCGAGAGCGTATTGGCACGAGGCGGGCGACGAGGTCGAACGCTGGATTGATCTCAAGGTCGGGGATTTGAACGATACGCTTGCTGGGGATCTCGGATTGCAGGAGGGCAGGAAGGTCGATTTCTTGTTATTGGACAGTGAGTCTTCGTTTCGTTTTCTTCAAACCATTTCTTCTCGCTTGTTGTCCCTTGTCCCCCATTCCATTCCATATTTCGTGCTTTCCGTATTGTTACTTACCGAGGATTCCCAAACTCAATATGGCCGCACGTCGCTCTCCCGGCCTTGAAGTATGTCATTCCGCATCTGCGACCTGGTGCAGTGGTTCTGACGGACAACACCATCTCGTCGGCAGAGAGCTATCGCGAGTTGCTGGCGGTTTTGCGCAACGCGGATGGCCCGTTCACGAGCACCACTTTACCCTTCAAGGGCGGTTTCGAGTTTAGCGTTTACCAACCTTGACTTTTGGGTGGACGGATCGCTATGTCTGTGGAAGAGGGGAGACGCGAATGTAGATCTTAGTTGGCTCAAATTCTATCTGTTGACTGGCTTTGTGGGTAATGAGTCGCGACGGGTGAAACTCATTTGACACGGGGAGATTTGTACCTCGTAGGATATTTATCAATAGTGTGTTATGAAACAGCAGTGAATACCGAGAGGCATAAAATCTCTGATCAGGGATATATGTGGATCTGAAATTTGAACCTGGGACAACAGGCTCTTGCCTGATCATCTAGATGGATGAGAGGCCGCCAGACCGAGCCGCTCTCTCTGCATTCCTATTTCTCCCATGACTTCGTATGGATTGACAATTTTGGGTCGTGGCAACAGACGACGCACACCAGATCTCACATTGTGGTTGAGGAGATCTGATCACGAGATTGGTCTCCGGAGCATACCTAGATGCTCCTTCATTCGGATCGCATACGGAAGAGTTTCTGACTACCCGTGAACGCTTTTCTCCTATTCCACAAGACTCTCGCCCGCCGCAGATATGCCTGTCTCAATAACAACAAGGGCGAACATGTTGAGAGTCCTGCCCACTTCAATAGAGTGTGGAAGTACATCCATCTCTGTGTTGCTCTTCCTGGTGACCACTTCTCCCCAGATCCTTTTCCATGGTGGAGTTTGGACATAGACAAGTGTAACAATTAGGCAGTGTGCCTGAGGTTGAGGTAAGTTAACAAACCCCACTGTACGACGAAAAAGCTGGAGTGATGTTCAAGAGGCTTGCCCGGATTGACGAGCTGGATATCAAAACGGCGAATGAGCTGCGGGAGGACTTTGTTCATCTCTAGAAGCGCGAGATGTCGTCCGATGCAGAGATGAGAACCACCACCAAACTACAAGGAGGTCAAATGTTAGATATAAGATCATCCTTGAGACAACCGACTTGAGGAGACTCACCTGGAACATGCATCTTTCCATCAACTTGATCTTATCCTTGTCGCCTTCCAACCATCTCTCAGGCCTGTACACATCTGCATCTTCACCAAAGATACCCTTGTGTCGATGCAGCACCCAGCCATTTACAGCCACTACAGCTCCGCCAGGGAGTTTGACTCCATCAATTTCGGCGCCATTGATCGGTACCTTCCTCGTGATATTCAGCCCCACCGCAGGGCTGATTCGCATTGCCTCCTTTAAACATGCCTGGAAGTATGGCAAATTTTGCGTTTCCTCGTATTGAACCATTTCAGACAGATCCGCCGCTAGGATCTCCGCGACCAACTTGTCGTAGACCAGCTTATTCGAAAGGACATGCCAGAAAAAGCTCTGCATCGTACTGGCCGTGCTGTCGCTCCCAGCGAAAATGGCGCCGTGAGCAATGGCGAAGACATCTCCGTGCCCAAGTGCTTCAGGGTGCAGCTTTTGAGCCTCGATCAAACTGTTCAACAAATCGCGATATTCAACTTTCTCGCCTTGAGGGTTGTTACGCTTCTCAAGTTGACCGAGCGCCGTACGGGTAACAAGAGCATTTTTTGTCGCAAGGAAAGGGACGAAGTTCCATAGAGGATTGCGTCGTAAAAAGTGGTCGAGGATCGGTACCTGTCCCACAATGCCATTGTACCATTGCGAATTGTCGATCGTCTTGATAGCGTTATCAACATCAACGCCAGCTTCAAGGAAGCCAAACTTTTTGGAAAATGCGACCTCGCCCAAAACCTAAATTATGTTAGACCTTTTTATGTGGATGAAATGTGCTTTGTAAATAATACTCACGTCAAAAGCAAAGAAATGTAACCAATCCCCGAGATCGCAGATCCTTTGTCCACCATCAAACTCGTCCAGTTTTGAAATCAAAAGTTTCTCCGTTCCTTCGATGCGATCGGTCGATTGCTGCATGGAAGCAAGACTGTATGGGGTTGCTGCATATCTCTTCTTCATGCCATGAACGGACTCGCGAGTTTCAGTGAAGATGTCAGGGTTTTCTGGCGGAGGGAAGACACCGTAAAAGTCGGTCTTGTGAAACCCTTTACCAGTCTTGAATAGTTCCAGGGCAGCCTCAGGAGAGGAGAGTGACACCTCGTTTGGCGCAATTCGAACAATGGGCCCTGACAAGATCAGCCAAGATCTGCGGAGTTTGAGAATTATTTCATCGTACATACCATATTTCTTGTGCAAGGCAATGTGGTGCTGTTCTGTTTTGCCGGTCCACGTGCTCCAGACTATGCACCAACATCAGGGAAATGCGCGATAATAACACAACCGGGGGTACTTACCTTTCCAAAGACGAGTGCAAGAGGCTGTGAACGGCCCAGGGAACTGTCTCAACGGAGATGAATACCGTTTATACAGTGGCCGTACAAACAGGAGAAGAAAGAGAATAACAAAGGGATGTGACCGCAGGAATTGCCATATTGTCAGGACAGCAGACTGGGTTATGGGAGCCTCGTCACCCGCCATTTTGAAGGTGAAGCCACTCAGAAGAGATGGAAGACGTCTCTAGAATGGTAGAGCATACGCATCGAGGAGAACAAGTTGAATAATAGTTATTGGACATGTCTCCTCCACGCTGCCACCACTGTGGTCCCGTACCTGGCTTTAACCAAGACATAGATGCCAGCTCCACGATCGTGGCATACTCGTACATTGAGCGCTAGGAGAAGATAGTAGGGGCACCCTCCATTCTCGCAAACAACAAATGCCCCACACCGGGTTAGCCCCACGATCTCTGGGAACGGAGGCCAGCATATATTTAGCCAATGGGTGTTGTGGCGGAGAATCTGGAGCACGGTGGATTAAAATTCCCCGTTGATGGTGGCGCTTGGAGCACAAGATGACAGCGGCTTGCGAATTAATGTACGAGCAACTGTCAGATCCCAAAGGGTTTGGTCCAGGAAACATCTCTGGAGCAATTGCGGTCATCCACCCACATGGAACAACTGCCGAGGAATTCTCCAAAGGTTGTCTGACCTACGTACCACAATTTTCGAGACAATCTCCCAAAGTCTTGAAGCGTCACACGTGTGGTATTTGGATGATCGATGTTCTAGAACTGGACAGGTAAAAGATCTTCCCTGTTTGTGGTACTCTTGTGCCATAATGCGAAGTAGTAAATGCACATTTCCAAGCCAACGGGGCTGATGTTCGTTCTCTGTGCAGAGAGGGAAGGATTCCTCCCTCAGGAGGACCATGGAAGGCTTCTCCACATCACAGCGGCATTGGTGTCCGTCAGTCAATTCATAACCCATTGGCGGGTTTGGAACGAGTTACCGATCAACAAGCCCGTACTTTAGCACGGTCAATAATAGAGGTGTTACTGGGAGGAATCTGAGACTGAGGGAACCACAGGCAGTGAGCATCTGCTCTGGCCCAACTGATCATGGGGCCACCTTCCTCTCCTTGCTCTAGATAGTTCAATGATCTCCTACCAACTACCCCACATCATTGCTTGACTTCCAAGCTCCTAATATATCCAAGGGATCTAATCAAATGCTAGCAAGATCGAGAAACTCAAGTGATTGTACAGATTAATGGGTCCTAGAATCGACGAACTACTCGTACTCATCCCTTTGATTGGTCCCCACATGGTCGTAAAGCCTTCAGGAAGGAAATAGTACCACTCATCAATTAAAACTATGTCTAATACCCTCAAGACTCACAACTTTTGCTACATGAATTCGTATTCTCAGCATACGCTTTGCTGGCATCCATCAATGCAATGCGGTTTTTGAGGCTCGTCCTGATCAACCCCTTCTCTTCCGTTCTCGGACACCGGGAGCCTTGGGCTGCGCTTCAACCGGCTCGCCGTTGAGAAGAACCACGGGTTGAACACCGTTTGCCTTTCTGTCGATGATAGTTTTCTGAGCTTGGTGGTCTTCCGACTCCTCCTCTTCCTCATCGTCGTCTTCATCATCGCTGCGTTCATCCTGTCCAACACTAGTGAACACATAGTTCTTTGCGATTCTGAGGATCAGGAAAAGCCAAAACAGATTCACGGCTTGCAGCATTGCTAAAAGCCCAAATGTGATGTATTGACTGATCCAGCATTTGTATTGCTGAGTCTCCCAGTTCAATTCAAATGGGCCCACGGTTCGGAACTCAGTTAGAGTCGCCCACAGAATACGAAGATTGAGATAGTGTCGAAGATATATCCACACAAAAATGAAAAAGCCGAAGTAGGGTCCAGTTATCGAGGCGTCGATGTAATTCAGGGTCTTTGAGGTCTGTCGATGTGTCAGTCAGATATAACCGGTTGAATTATTTGTGAGGCTTACTGCGAGGAAAAAATCACTGATGTCATGTGTAATATAGACTGCAATACCCATGCGCGCAAAGTGAAAGCGATAACTGAGTCCGATGAGAGACAGTGTGATTATGTGGTGCAGAACAAGTTCCTTGAAATCCTTCCGTGGCTTTTCCAAAACCAGAAGAATCACAATTGCCTGTTGTGCCCAATAGCTCGCTTGAAGCAAGTAATATGCTTTGAATATGGCCTCATGCTTTCTATGAGGGAACCCCTCAAACATTGCCGTAGTGTTGAAGTACCACAGGGGTCCTTTGGACATGACATATAGTCCGAAAGGACCGAAGACGGAGAAGTAGAGTGCAGTGTATACTTGCTCCATGAATCTCCACTGTTTTCCTCGTTTGGTTATCCCACAGTATATGGCAGCTGGGCGAATAACTCTCTGCATAAAGAACTCCCTGGTGAAACTCAACACGATGGTGTAGAACGCAACAAAGGCCATGTCTGCCTTGCCTTTGCCGTACATATTCGGTCCTCCTGGATAGTCCGGACCCAGTGGGTAGGAGAGAAATATGGCTTTGTGAAAGGGATTGTGTTCTCCAGGATCCACAAAGTAGGCCGCGAGGATAACCAGGACGATAATTAGAGGATTGAGCCAGGTGTGCTTGAGAGAGATGTGTTTCCATTTTCTCAAGGCTGACCGAGCTTTCCGTCTTTTCGAGTTTGGCCTCAGGTCTTTCCCGTTTGCCTAGATGGTGTCAGAAGTCTCCATTCCAAGTTTCCCAAATGTAGTCTTACAGAATTTTGAAAAGAAGCAGATCGCGTGGTCATCGTCGCCAGGGCTGGTGCACTAGTATCACCGCGAGGATCACCCCCGAGGTTGCTCGAGGCTCGACGAGGGCGGCCCATGGTTGTCGTGAGAGAGACAGGTGTGGAATGTCTGGTCCAGTGCGCGACACGGGTATGGCCAAAGTGTGAAGTGAATGCGTGCAAGATTCAGAATGTTCTTTGGTCAGCGTGGAACTCTCGGAGGAGCGCAGTCAACCATCTCACTCGCAGGGCCGTGAATAAAAAAGGGAAAACCAGCGTCATTTTTCGTGAACAAAACGCCCAATTAGGTTGACTCAGCTCGCCGCTATAACGAAAAAGGGGCGAGCAATACCCATTGTTCAAATTTTTTGATGTATTTTTGGGACTATGTCCAGATGGTACGTTAAGGAACGAGTATGTGTTAGACAGTGTGTCTAGGGAAAGCCGGGAACGTGAGACTAGGTTGTGCGGGTCTAGTTCAATGCTTTTTTCATTCAACCCGTAAGTGGTCTGATGCGGTGTTCTATACAATGAGGACGAGGATCTTGCTCGGTGCCATTCTGATACAGCACCCTGGGATTGATCGATTAGAGTTGGCCCGATTACTGTTGCTTACTCCTCCTTGGAGTCGCCTTCCTCCTCCTTGTCATCCTCATCCTGATCCTCCTTTTCTTGGTTGGCTGGCTTTTTACCTTTGGTAGGTCGAGAGGAGTCGACTGTGCCATGAATCTTAGCTGTCGCTGGCACGCCCTCTGGTTTCCTGCTCTTCTCGCCACTTTCCAACAACGGGTTCTTGGCTCCAGATTCATCTGAAGCAGCCTGCCAGTTGTTAGTAACCGATGGGCCTCTCTCGGACGATTTGTACTGACATCTTTCTCTCCCTTCTTCTCCGAAACCTTTGCATCCTTTGGAGGAGAGGCTGGACCATCCCTGGCAAGAGTTTAGTGGTGGTTGTTATTGACATGACTTGAAGCCTTACTCGTCTGAGCTGTCTGATTTAGCATCATCGTCAGACTCTTCTTTGCTGTCGTCGGAAGAATCATCCTTAGACTCCTCCTCCTTCTCTGCAGGTTCCTCCTCTTCCTTGGATTCTTCCTCGTGTGATTCTTCCTCTCCATGATCTCCGTGGCCATGGCTGTGATCGGAAGGTGCTGGGCCCTGTTGCCAGAGCCATCCGGCAGCGGGGACAGTGGCGGCAAGAGAGCCGATTAACCTGTAAAATCTGATTAGAACCTGGGTCGAACAGGATTCCCGACTTAGACATCATTAACCTACCATGGGATGTCGCTGCTGCTTTTTGCTTCATGGCCGCTGGCATATGTTCGTCGGCCAATTGAACGCAGGTTCGATCGGACCTGTGTGCCAGTCCTGCGAATGGTAAAAGACCGAATGGTGCTCCGGAGAGCCGAAGACCTTGGGAGAGCCATTGGAGGTGGTTTAAGAGGCTTTCGAACGTTGGACAAAGTCAGCGAAGAGCTATGAGCTCAGAAGCCGTTGCAACTCGCAAGCACCTCTGACCACTTCGGCTAACTTAAGTTAGGGCTGGAAGCTCCGAAAGCCTGTCCGGTACCAAGCTCCACCAAAAATCGTACCTACCTCGCCAAGCGGTCACTTGTAAATTAGTACTAGTGCCGAGTGTCACAATCGGGTCAAAGTTGTTGCTGCTGTATGCTCAGTCCCACTCGTTCAGCCAAATGAAGTGAGAATTGCGAGACAGAAAGGAGGATAAGATTTTGACTACCTGGATGTCGAAGATTAAGCTAGGCACTCTCAAGAAGATGAAGCTAATAATTTGCAGAATTGATATCACTTTTGTCGATAGACTCTGGTCATCAACCAAAGCCCATCAGATCCCAGGTTGCCTCTGAAGAGATTGACAGCGAGTATTGAACAACATCAGTCTGAGTGACTAGGAGTCGCGTTTAGTCTCTTTCATTCCATCCACCTTGGCTCGCATAGCTTGACCCATCTTTGTGAGTTCTTCGACGCTCCTGGTACCCTCAGGAACCGCCTGTCCTCTTTGGACCGCTGGTCGTTCACTGATGCGCTTGAACCATCTGTTGATACCAGGCCAGCCGTCAAGTTGGATGTCCAAGAAAGGTGGCGCTGCTCGCACCCAAGAATAACTTGCAATGTCGGCAATGGTGTATTTGGAGCCGGCAAGCCAGTCGGCCTGGCTCAAACGAGACTCAAGAACATCGAAGAGTCGTTTCGTCTCGTCCATGTATCTTTTGATGCCATACTCCGAGTGTACTCCAGCCATCGCCCGGAAGTGGTTTGCTTGACCCTGCATGGGACCAAGCCCTCCCATTTGCCACATGAGCCAGGAAAGGACCTCATAATACTCGGGACTACCTTGAGGGTAATTGAGTGTGTTGTCCTTGTCGTAATGATCGGTCAAGTACAACATGATTGCCCCAGTCTCGAAGACCCGTAAGTCACCGTCTTTGAGCGCGGGAATACGGCCATTAGGGTTGATTGCCAAATACCAATCCTCTTTCTGGGTGTTCTTGGAGATGTCAACCTTTTCAACCTTGTATTTCAGGCCGAGTTCTTCTAGAACAATGGCGGGTTTCAGTCCATTTGGAGTGCCGAAGGTGTAGTAGGTCAAATTGTTGTATGGTGGTTGACTGGACATGATGCCAGTGATAATGGGGAGCTGACCAGTGATATGATTAGCGTCGATCTCACCAAATTCAAGTCCTGCCGAGAAGGTGAGAAGGAGACTTTGCAAAAGCAGAATTGAGACTAACATGGGTTACAGCTAGGTCAAGTCAAGAGGCTAAATAGTTGTGAAAGGGCAAGTTTACATCGTCGCGGATGATTTAAATGCATGCGGAATAGAACCGTTGAATTCATGCCTATGCCAGGGACAGATCCTATTATTCAGCATCGTATATACACTATAAAGGTCTTGATCGCCCCATCCTACTGCGCCACTAATAGTAGATACGATCCCGATTGAAATCATTCATCTTTCGCCCGAGAAGCAATGTGCTACGAGTATCGTGTTCAAATTCCCTCAAAATGCTGACCCCGCGAAACGGGATGAAAAAGCGGGGTTGTAGAGCTGATCACAGGCAAAAACCCGCAGCATTCAGGATGATAGTAATCCACCGTATCATTAGCTCCAGGCGACGTCACACATCAAACATCCCACCTCCGAATTCACGAATTAGCAGATCGTTAGGCAAATCATCTGCTTCTCAATCCCGACAACCGCGGAGAGTGTACATAGGTAACACATATCATTTCGCATGCTCAGGCTGGTGACTGTCAGTTAAACCCTGACTCACTCTCCTTCTGATTTCAATTCCTTTCTCCATGTCCAAGAAGCGTTTTAGCGTTTGATTCTCCTGTACCGCGTTGTCTCGCTTCGATCTCGCCAGGCCTTCGCACATCAGCCTCCTGATATACCTGGACACACTTGCTGATCCTATATCCGACCGCAATAAGTTTCCAGAGTTTTCAAGAAGCCACGTTGTTCGCAACCATGGCCAGAGATCGGAACGCCGCCCAACAGGGCATCGCAACCCTCCTCAGCAAACTCAACGACCCCGATCCCGATATTAGATTCATGCAATTGAGCGATCTCGCTACCATCCTCAATTCTCCTTCTTCAGAATACGTTCGAAACGACTCCCATACCGCTGCTCGACTCATTGAGGGTCTCCTCAAAGCCCTGTCTGATCAACATGGAGAAGTCCAGAATCAGGCACTGAAATGGTGAGACTTGCCCTCTCCCATATTACCACTCGACTGACCAGTCTAGCATCGGTCCCTTAGCATCTCGAACGCCTGGAGAGATCATTGCGCCTCTGATCGACAAGTTGACAGATCTCACAACCAGTGACATCGACATTTCGATACCCAACACCGCTCTCCGCACCCTGATTGCCTCTCTGCCACAACCACACCCCGTCGGACCTGTCCCATCCGAGGTCAGAGAAGCTTACAATGCCGTTAGTAAAGTCTTGATACCAAGATTGGTCGGTCGTGTTGTTCTCCCTCAGAGCAAGCCTCCACCACAACTGCCAACCGGCCTGTTGCAGAAACAGAAAGACAAAGGTTTCAGTAGTGACGCGGTAGACGTTATGATTGAGATTGTCAAATGCTATGGATCCCTATTGCAACCAGCGGAGCTTGAAGAGCTTGCCAAGGCGGTGATGAATATCATCGAAAGTCCCCAAGCTGGTGGCGTCGTCAAGAAGAGAGCATTGGCTGGCATTGGTGCTCTTCTGATTCATTTCAACGATGCCCAGGTCAGCTCATTTGTCCAGGCAATAACGAAAAGCTTCCAGAGCGCTCAAGTCAATGCCGAACACCGCAGATTTCTCATTGCTACTATTGGAACCCTTGCCCGCTCGAGCCCTGGAAAGTTTGGACCATACCTACCTCAGGTTTTCCCCTTCGTTCTGGAGGTCCTCAGCGAAGACGAACTGTCAGCGACTACAGATCTGTCGGATGATGACGCAGAGGTGGACCCAGAGATCGAAGAGCTACGCGAGACTGCCCTGATTGCTCTGGAGGCTTTACTAGGGTCTTGTCCCGCGGAAATGAAGGACCATTTAGACCCCGCCATCAATGCAGCTCTGAGATATCTCAAATACGACCCAAATGTCGCAGAAGTCGAAGATGATGAAATGGGAGGTACACAGGAAAGCAGTTCTGACGATGGGATTACTGAAGATCCTGCAGATGATGACGATGATGACGAATACGCAGAGCTAGACGACGACGATGCATTCAGTGATGTGGATGACCTGAGCTGGAAAGTCCGACGTTGTGCTGCCAAAGCCCTGTACACTATTGTCGCTGGTGTTTCAGCTGCTGATCGAGCCACTTTGTTCGGCAAAATTGCTCCAGTCCTGATCACTCGACTTTTCAACGAGCGTGAAGACAGTGTTCGACTCGAGGTTATCTTCACTACTACAGCTTTGATTCGCAAGACAGGTTTAGGATTGACCCAAGCCATTTCTCGTCGAGATTCCTCAGAGAATCCTGCAGCCCCCACTAACACTCGAAAGCGAAGACGACAAGATAGTGAGGCTGATCGAAAGGATCCAGATTTGAAAGGTTTGATTGCCAGCCGTTCGAGCCCACCAATATTACCTGCAGCTCCTCCCACAGGCTCGCAAGCAGAACTCCTCAGCCTTGTTCCCAAAATCGTCCAAGCACTGACAAAGTTATGGAAACGCGCAACTATCTCGCTCAAACAAGCCGCAGTGGTCATGCTAAAAACACTCACAATGGCTCGGAATGGAATCTTATCCGATCATCTGCAACAATTGGAAGATCCCATCGCTGATGCACTTAAACATTCGTCCTCAACTGGCACCGGGAGCGCTGTGTCTGGTAGCTCCGCCACTGTCGCTAGTCTTCAAATCGAGAGCTTGAGTCTCATCAGCGCCATTGCCGAGACCAATGAGACCTCTGTTCTGATACCTTTTGTTATTGCATTGATTCCCCCCGTCACAGCAATTGCGCGTGAGAGAAATTACAAAGTCTCTAGTGAAGCACTCTCGACGATTGAGCAATTTGTCAAGGCTCTCACTCCGCCTCGACTACCTTCAACCAACCAGGATCATGCAATTCACATCGAAAAGTTATGGGATGTGATTGTTGATAGAGTCACAGACAACAATACGGATCTCGAAGTCAGACATCGTGCCATTCAAGTCTTTGGGGTCTTAATCGCGCGGACTTCTTCCACGCAACTCCTCCCTGAGTTAGCGAGAACGAAGAGTCTGGGTATCCTCAGCGATCGGTTGAAAAACGAGACCACGAGACTGGCCAGTGCACGCGCGATAGGCTTGATTGGTGAGGCTGCTAGCAGTAACGATGGTATCGGTTCTGTCTGGGTTCAAGAAGTCACACTCGAAATGGCGAATCAGCTTCGCAAGGCTGATCGCGCCCTCCGCGCTTCATGCCTCGAGTCACTTCAGTACATGGCTCTGAATCCAGTTACATCTGCTCAATACCAGACGAACACAATCGTACAGCTGCAAAGCATGCTCTTGCCACTTGTGTCTGGTGCAGATCTACATCTCTTGACGCCAGCCTTGGTCATTTTGTCCAAAATAATTCCCACGAACCCATCAGCTCTCGTCAACGAGGACATTGTCAGTGCTCTATGTAGCATTACACAAGCACGACTTGAAGGACCTCCCTTGCGAGCATATCTCCTTGTTGTCAAGGTGATTGGCGAGCAAGGAGTCGGCGCGTCGTTGATGAAAGGTCTGCTAACTATAGGCACGGCTGGTGAGACCATTGTGCTAGGCAGAGCTATTGGAACTTTACTGGTATATGGTGGTGACAACCTTGGCGTAACAGTCTCGGACTTTCTCAAAGAGCTTGAGGCTTCTCAAGACATTCGCGCCATATGTCTTGCCTTGGCCGTACTGGGAGAGGTTGGGTTTCGAACAGGAGGAGCGTCACCTGTTCAGATTGATGTGTTCATCAAATGCCTTGGTGCTGAGTCCGACAAAGTTCGGCTGTCCGCGGCAGTCGCTCTTGGTAGCGCAAGTTCGAATAACGTCTCCGAGTGTTTGCCCATCATCTTGCAAAGTTTGACTCAGTCCTCAGCTCAGGACTATCTCTATCTTCATTCTTTAAAGGAGATTTTGGAGCATTCTGAAAGTTCCTTCCACGACATGATTCCATATCTGCCAGAATTATGGCAGAAATTGTTCGCAGCATCACAAGCCGAGGACAACAGTGCAGTGGGTGCAGAATGTATTGGACGCCTTGCCACCATTGACCCAAACACATATGTGCCTGAATTATCGAAGTCGCTCGAAGATTCCAACCCCTCCGTACGGGGGACGGTGATCTCTGCATTCCGCTTTACGCTTGGAGACGCAGGAACCTCATTTAATGCCATACTATCAAAGACAATGATACCCATGCTCAAGACAATGCTCAGCGACGCTGACATTTCCAATCGCCGTCTTGCTGTCACCACCCTTAATGCAGCAATCCACAACAAGCCTGAGTTGATCGTCCCAGAGATCAGTCAGCTCCTTCCTACAGTCCTCGAAGACTCGCGTATCAAGCCCGATCTGATCAAAACTATCAAGATCGGACCATTCACACATAACGAAGACGGAGGTCTGGACCTTCGCAAATCCACTTATGCAACACTCTACGCTCTTCTTGACAATCCCGGTGCGACTTCACAACTCCCCATCCCAAGAATCTTTGACCGTATCCTCGACGGCATTCCCGACGACCACGATATCCGAACCCTCTGCAACCTGATGCTCAGCCGCCTATCATCAATCGACCCAGACGAAACCCGCCGACGCCTCTCGCCCCTGGCCGAGAAATTCCGCATCGTCCTCGGTGCCAAGATCAAAGACAACGCGGTCAAGCAGGAGATCGAGAAAGTCAACGAAGCCAACGCCGCGGTGATCCGCACGACGCTCGAACTGGATCGAAAGTTCCCCTCGGCGGCCACGGACGGTTCTGGTGAGATGTTACAATGGAAGGCTTACATCGAATATGTGAAGAAGGAATTCGCTCAGGTGGTGCGAAACGTCCTCGCGGAAAGTGCCTAGTGGGATGATTCGACTCTGCTGGATGAAGGTTGCCAGAACAAGGACCTAGAGCAGGTTGATCTCGCGTACAGGGACAGGTAGTGACTTTGCGGCGGCTGAAGACACATGTTCAGACTAGAGAGGGAAGTTGTGTGAGCAGCAAAAACACCCACCATTTACCCACTAGTGTTCTGGCCAGAGAGGCGGCATCATCGTCATCAGCATCGCCTTGCCCATACGAGTACCTCGATGATAAGACTCCACCACACGCAGAACAACCCCAGCACATGCACATGAGGACCCGCCTTGGCATCCAACGAACCTAGGTCAGGTAGGTTAGGTATCACGGAGGCGATAGCGGAGAGGCCGAACAAACCATAGCACACACACAAGCTCGATCGCATAGCATAGTATAGCATGGCATAACAGGAGGGAGAGTAGGAAGAGTAGGAAAGATCATTATCTAATGCATCCTCTATATCTCCATCTTCATCCCATCCCTATCTTCCATTGGAGGCGGGCGGGATCCAACACGTGTGTTTCTTTGGCTTTTCTTTGGTCGTCTCATTGTACATTTACATCTGTAGTCGTGCCGCGGCTCTGGGTTTCTACCAGGGGGTTACAGGGGCAGCTCATTGAACACACTACTCTAGGTGTCTAGTTATGTAGGCCAAGTAAGCGAGTCCTTCGGGGGCTAGTTGGCTTCCAGAAGGCGTGGATGTGTGGAAGAGTGGGCGGACAGGACAGGACAGACAACGCTTGATGGGGATCCCGAATTATCATTTATTTATTGACGGTCATTCTGGGGGGTTCATTGGCCTCCGTAGTCTACTATCGCTGCTGCTGTTCTCATTTGCTGGTCTTCTCACGACGGGCGAGGTCTCACTGCCGTACAACACTTTGACTTGAAGTCCGATCAGCACCGTGTGTGCAAGCCAACGCGACAAGCTCAGCAGGCATAGCCAATAGTTCCGAGAGCTGCCTTGTGTTGTTGAAGAACGCAGTCTTGCTGGTCTTTGCACCACACACTAACTGTGATTGCAGATGCTTTTGCACGCATGATGGGTTCTCCGCTTCAACACGAGGCTGTGGCAGCAATGAGCAGCACTCATACAATTTGTGATCATGTCAATCCTCCCCTGGTTCATAATGTCAGAAGAGCCTCTCCTCTACACCATAGCCATATCGCACGCCTTTTGCTTATGCTGACAATTGATTCCCCCCTGTCCATTCCAGACGGACTAGTATTTATCCGCCGCGCCGCGCTGCCCGAAGAGAAAAAGGTTCCAGAAATTATTCCCCCTACATGGGAGAATGTTGAGGTATTGGTCGCTCAGAGAACATAGGGAAAATGTAGGTTGGACTTGTGTTGGGAAGGGATTAATCAAGCTCGAAAGTCATCTTAGCGAAAACAAAAGGTCTGGTACCTTACAGACTCCAAGGACAATGACCGACAAGTCGCCACTCGGATTTGAGCCGACTTGATCTTGTGTGCTGAAGACTCCCCTGTCTCGGCAGACACGCCAAATGTAATGTAAGGCGAGGGGTTTTTTGTAATGTTCGCAGTTGTGTAAACGATAGCTCATGATCCTAATGTTCTTCAACAACACCACTGGGATGACGATGCCACCCGACGTGTCAGGTGTTTGGTCTCAATTGACTGACTGGTACAGCAATAGAGGTTCACCGACATTTTCGATTTCGGGAATGGTGCATTTCAAGTCGAATGCCTTGGAAAGGACAATCTTGAAGATCTTCTGGACATTGATACTGTGGCTTGTGCTGCTGAAGATGAGGCTGGCTCGCATAGCCTTTGCGAAGCGACGCGCCTGGGGAGATTAGTCAATGGGATGATTGGAATAAGGGATATGAGGGACATTACTTGATTGCTGATTTCTTCCTGATCCTCTCTTGGGAAATTGACAAAGTGGTCGTATTTGGTGCCGATAAGAAAAGGGATGGCAGTCTTGTTAAAGCCTCGACCCTGTCTATACCACTCTTTGATACTGTTGAGGGTGGATTTCCGAGTCAGATCGAACATGAAGAGGATGGCGACAGCATCGTTGCAGACAAGAGGTAGCATGTTGACGAATTCCCGCTGCCCACCAAGATCCCAAATGGAAAAGGTGATCTCTGTGTTTCGTATTGAGATTGTTTTTTCCATAAAGTTGACGCCTACAAAGGATGGTGTTCAGCGTGGCGGCTACAGCAATGATCGGAGAGTGACTTACCTAGTGTCTGGATATAATCTTCATCCCAACTTCCTTCGACGTACTTGACCATCAAACTTGTCTTTCCAATCTGAGCATCACCAACCATGCCTACTTTGATCACAACATTATTGGTCTTGGTAGGCTGTTGTCTGTTTTCTTGTTGGTATTGTGTTTGTTGATAGCCGCCCATTCCGGAATCAGGCCTGGAGGTGGGCTGCTGATACAGATTGGGAGAATTGTAACGTTGATTTGGATCATGGTCTATGGGAGGAGTTGAGGTGGCCGCAGGGTTGGAAGGGTGGCCATTGTGAATAGCTGTGGTGTCTTCCTGCTGCTGGTCCTGCAGGTTGACGATGTGTGGGCTGTAGGCCGAGTCGGTGGGGTATTCACTTGGGGGAACAGGATCCATGGTATTGGTTTATTGATGAGATGAACGAGAGAAATTATGGAAGAATGGACATGGAATAGAGAAAGGCTGTAAAGCCAGGAGAGAGTCCTACAGCAAAGACCCGAGGTGAATTCATGCAGCGCAGCACTGGCAAGGAACAGTGCAGTTCTGATGGTTTGTGGTTTGCGGGATTGACATACAAAGTCAGAGAGTGACAGGGAAGCGAAGCGTGTCGACCAATCCAGGCAGGAATTACAGCCGCAGGGAGAAACGCCCTCGACAATCGACGCGTTGATGTTCGTGCCAAGACATTGAATCCACTAGCACCACTAATAAGAGACTACCTGTTTTAGGGCACTAGAAGGCGATATGCATTGCCGCTTTATCTAGGACCTCATCATCGGTCTTATTCGAGCCGCCTGTGCCTCTGCTCCCAAGAACAATGCACACGCTGCAACAATAGAGGTGGCCACCACCCCAAAGATGACCTGGGTTTTGATCCCCGACTGGACCAGAGCACGTCGACCGGCATACTTGGTCACTGTCTTCATGTAGTTTGCCATTCCACTGGCCAGACAAGCAAGAGAGAGCAGCCAGAAAATAATCCCTAGTGGGTGGGACATGTGCTCTTCAAGCGGCGACGGTTGATGCTTGAGATGAAAATTGATGAAGATGGCCACCGAGACTATGGCCATGTAAACCGCCAGTCGAAGCCACGATAGGAATGTGCGCTCATTTGCGCAATGATCTCGAGCATCTGACGAGACATTGGAGAAGAGTAGTGGTGCATAGAGTGGTCGAGATAAGAACAGGTCGAGAGTACCCTCAGGATGTCGCCTGCTAGGTCTTAATTGATGCCGTCTACGGTGTCACGCGAAGACTTACTGATCAACATCAATGGCCGAGGATATTGGATTGTAAAGCCAGTGCCATTCGGATTCAGTTGTAGGATTATGAGGGGTCGAGTCCATAGTGATAAATAAAGATGCTTGGAAGGGGATTAACCATAGAATATGTGTAGTTGGTAAAATAGAATGTAGATGGCATGATGCTGGAGATGTCGTGCTTTCAAGTTTGGGGCTCTGTCGCCTAAGTGAGTAGATGACTAACCACCTATCTGGCACCACAAATTTTAGGTAGAGACCTACGAGTGTCCGTATCCAGGTAGGTATCTAGCTGGGTATGACCAAGGATCAAGGAACGTTCGGAAATCACCATGTGTGTTCTCAGGTGCATCGTATAGGCACCTCCTTGTAATAAACCCATGACTTGACTGTCAAAGGTAGGCCCAGTTGACGCCCGTAGTGCCAGTGAGGGGAAATCGCCTGAGGGGTCACTCCGGCCCAACTAGGCATGCCAATGCGAGTCGCTGATATGCGCCCCAGCCTTCAAATCCACCGGCGGAGGGGGGGAGCTTTATCTGTGTCGAGGCTAATTGCTACGCCTTTTCAAACATTATTCCAGCATGCTTGTATCCTCTTGCTCTCTCCCTTCCTCTCTTCCTTCGTCTAGATCAATACTAAATACATGACATTTTGGCTCTTTCATTCTTCCGATTATGTGAAAACCCCATTAATACTCTTGAAGTGGGAGAAACAAACCCTCTCCGCAATTCACCACACTCACTGATTGTCCCCCCAATTCGAGCCTCAACATGACTACACCGCCCCGACATTTCAGCACGCTTGAGCGGGTTACCAGTGCCACCAGTCGGGCCTTTGCTCACTCTCTTCCCGATGCCTCTCCAATCGCTCAGGCCTCCATCGCCAGGGACCTGGAAGAAGACACCGACTCTGAAGCCGCCGAGTCCGACTCGGATTCCGAAAGCTCTACCTTGAGACCTTCAACCTCCGCTCCAGGGAATGCAAGTGCCTACTCATATATAGGTTCCTACCGCCGTCCTAGCTTCTCCGGTGCGGGAAACCGAGCCACCATACTTCCCCGGCCCTTCAAAGACCATGACAAACTATCCAAACAGGAACGATCACGCGCTTTGGAGGAGGAACGCAGTTTACTGAGAGACAACAACATTATCCCGCCAAAGCACCCTCAGGCCGAGGAACCTCGGAGGAAGAGCATCTTCTCCAACTATCTAGGGATACCAGGGGGCGACCGCAAGGTCTCTCAGGATGAAGATGCTATCCAGGCATTGGACAGTCAGGCAGGGCTAGCTTCGGAGGTTTCTCCTCTGCTAGGAGATACCGGCCTGCCATATGGTGGACATGGAGACCGGGAGAATGTCGAGGCCAAATGGGAAGAAGCAGTGGCCGCTGGCATGATCCATACCACCTGGCAACGTGAAACAAAGGTCATCGCGAGCTATGCGGCGCCGCTGATGGTCACTTTCATCCTCCAGTATTCCTTGACGGTGGCGAGCATATTCACTGTTGGCCATATCGGGACCGTCGAGCTCGGTGCCGTCAGTCTGGCCTCCATGTCAGCCAACATAAGTGGTTATGCCATTTATCAGGGACTTGCCACCTCCCTAGACACCTTGTGCGCACAAGCCTATGGCTCTGGTCGCAAAAAGCTCGTGGGTCTTCAAATGCAACGCATGATCTATTTTCTCTGGGCCATCACCATTCCCATCGGCATTGTCTGGATCTCCGCCGAGAGAATCCTTCTTGCACTTGTACCCGAACCTGACGTTGCACGTCTAGCAGGCTTATACCTCAAAATAGTCCTATTCGGCGCACCGGGCTATGCAGCTTTTGAGGCGGGCAAGCGCTTCGTTCAAGCCCAGGGTTTGTTCTCCGCTTCGCTGTACGTTCTTATCTTCTGCGCGCCTTTCAACGCCTTCATGAACTGGCTATTTGTGTGGAAACTCGGCTGGGGCTTCATTGGAGCACCTCTCGCCGTCGCCATCACCGACAACCTTCTCCCCATTGGTCTTTTCATCTACGTACGCTTCTTCTCTGCCACCGGTATGTCATGTTGGAACGGTTTCACCAAAAAGGCATTCCAAAATTGGTCCCCCATGATCAAGCTTGCACTACCTGGCTTGATCATGATAGAAGCTGAGTGCTTCGCCTTCGAGGTTCTGACTTTCGCCGCCAGCTATTTCGGCACGACCGTCCTGGCGGCACAATCCGTGTTAGCAACCCTGTCGTCCATAACGTTCCAAATCCCCTTCCCACTCAGCATTGCCGGGTCTACACGTGTCGCCAACCTCATCGGGGCCACGCTCGTGGACGCCGCCAAAGTCAGTACACGCGTCACTTTCTCCGCAGCGCTCGTCGTCGGCATCCTAAACGTCACCCTGTTATCCAGTCTAAAAGACTACCTTCCCCGACTCTTTACATCTGACCCCGAGGTTATCGAGATTGTCTCGGCCATCCTGCCGCTCTGCGCGGCCTTCCAACTCTTCGACGCCTTCGCCGCAGTTTGCAACGGCGTACTGCGTGGTCTTGGTCGCCAAGAGTTCGGCGGCTACGTCCAGATCTTCTGCTATTATGTCTTTGCCATGCCCATCAGTTTCGGCACTGCTTTCGGACTTGGCTGGGGTTTGTGGGGTCTCTGGACCGGTGTCGCTCTTGCGCTGGGCCTCGTCGCCCTCATAGAGTTCATCTATCTGGGCAGGACCGACTGGCAGCGAAGTGTCGAAGAAGCAAATGCGAGAAATGCCGATGGTGGTGCCTGAGGGATATCACTTGCCGACATATATTCACGACAGCCAGCAAGAGTTTTCCAGCTTGCACGTGCTCTTTCGCGTCGTCTTTGACTTCTTTTGCGGGCAGGAGTAAAGCAATGGTCAGGACTTCGAGTTGTAGTGTGCTGGGTTCTTGTTGATATATCGGCCTGTTGTGCGCATTTGCGAATATGTTTTGGTTTATGGTATCTTCGTGTTTGGAGAGAGTCATCTGCAGTTGATAGCGAACCAGCGCTTTTATTTCTAGTCCAGTGTCTGATGCGTCATGTACATACCGACAAAGATTTTCTACATCGGAAAATAGTGGAATATCAGGACCTTCAGTCTTCGAGATCAATTAGCCTCTAAGCACGATTAAACCCGGTGAAATGTTTTGTAAAAAAATCCATGTAACAGCCTCGTACGGATCTGATACCAAATGCGGACGGGCGTGGTTCTGGTTCTGATTCTCGTCTGTGGTCTTGTATTGCGCCTGAAAACGCCTGTGGCTATGACATACCTCATGCTATGGAAACCCCACTCACAGGGCGCCCCTGATAAACCGTATGGGAAACAATGTTGCAGAAACAGGAGGCCCATTGCCTCACTCCCTCGATCGAGAGCAACCCACCCACAAACCACGATCTACATCCTTCGAATGCCCTGCTCATCCGTGAAGGTGCTGAGCTTCCCATCCACCAAAGCATCCCACCACTCGAACAACATGCCCTCACAGATCAGCCGGAACCAGGGAGTATATTTCAGGGCCTTGTCGACGCCGGTCTTGGACTCGACGTCCTTGAACATCTGCCGCAGCTCGTCCGCACTGACCCAGCGTGTAGCCTGGACCTCGTTCTCGTTGATCTTGAGGTCGACGTCGGCCTCGATGAACAGGATATAGTCGATCTCGTGCTCGCCCCACTTGCCGTCCGATGGCGCCAGGTAGTGGATGCGGGTGAGGAAGGAGAAGTCGGCGATGGGCACCTGCGCCGCGGGGATGCCCAGCTCGTGGTCCAGCTTGCGCACCGCCGCGCGTTTCGCTCCCTCGACGTTGCTCGGCAGGTCGCCGTGGCCCGTCTCGGCCGGGTGCGCCAGTGGGTGTGAGCAGCACGTGTTCGTCCACATGTCCGGGAAGGTGATTTTCTCGCTCGCTCGTTGTTGCAAGAGTAGCTTTTTCGTCTGGGGGTGGAAGAGAAAGACGGAGAAGGCGCGGTGGAGGAGGCCTTGGTTGATGTTGGTCATCAGGTGGCATGCTTTCTTGGAGGCGGACCCGATGGGCTGGTCGTTGTTGTCGAGCACGATGCACACTTCGTCCATGAGGCGGATTTGCTCTTCGTCGTAGCCGGCCAGGTCGTTTGAGTCCGTCTGTCCGTCGCTGCCTGAGGGGATGGCGTTGGGTGCCATTTCAGCGCCGATCAGGCGGGTGTGGACTTCGGGGAAGAGCGTCGTGACATTTTCTCGTGTGATGGTGGTTGTCGCCATGGTGTTTGCTATATAAGGATAACTTGTGAAGTTGGGAGATATTGAGCCTTCACCAATCTCGGACACAGATATGGAAGCAGAGTTGATCCTTCGGGCGGGGTAGGCTGGAGATTCTTCACACGTCTTTGTTGACTTTGTGAATCCGAGGGGCGAAATGTTCAGGCGGTGAGGGAGAAAATTATAATGCCGACTCGCAATGCCAGAAGTTGACAGGCCATCACGTGCCAGGAACCCGGACTCTTGCTTAAGCGAGTGGCCTGAGCCACAGGGGTTGAGACCTAAACGGAAGTGCTAACCGACAAAAATTGGCGCAAGGCTTGGGGGCGACTTACTCGTAGGCGCTTCTTGCGGAGAACGTGAGGGGCGATGGGGGGCTTTGTTAGGCATGCTTAGCCTAAAACTCAGAACTTTGATGCCGACGTCATCAGTGTCCCTTTTGTGTAGAAACACGCTTATTCCAACGACAACGTCGCAGATGATGATCAGGCTTGTGGAAGGTAAACTACTTCGATGTCCATAAGGTAAGCTTCAATGGTATGATTCTTGACGGCCTGAGGTATAGACGGCCACATTATCCCATGTGCAGATCCCCGACTCAATGAACGCCAAAGCATTGAAATGATCTTTCATCCTCAGATATCTTTCCATGTCTAATCTGTCCATCATGCTCCTTTAAAGCGAAACTCAAGGCTTCAGCTTCGCACTCCTCCTAGTTGGCAGATCCACTCGTCCTCGCAAAACATCAGAACTCTTTCGTTCCGAAACTCCACTGTCGCCTTCAGGAATGTGTGCTCAGGAAGCCTCCCCCAGTCAGGAGTGTCCGCCACTCGAAAAACGTACTTGCAGGCACTTGCTTTCCCATTCATCAGTTGTCTGAGACCGTTTTCGACACCTAGTAGTCCACCCTCGCAGACCTCATACCGATAACCTCTAAGCCAGCTCTGCTGCAGACCATCAGTAGAGAGATTGAACCATCTCTCAGTAAACTCATGATACGCAGGGTTCTCATGCACCACAGCAACACTGATCTTCGTTTGCGTCACGGTGTCTGGAATGTGCCGGTATTCAGCCAGTGGACACAGGAGCGTAATTCGCCCCTGCTTTGGATCCAGTACTTGGCTGATATTGGTGGTGCTTTGGTCATCCGAGACGGCATCGTAGGCGAGTTTACATCTGTGACCAGCAGGGACACTGGCGGCCAGTTTCCGGATCACGGCGGCACTGCCATCGCGGTAGTAGATAATCTTGTCGCCTTTGGCACGTTCGAGACGCGTCACGACGAAGGGGATGCCATTCCCAGCGACGCAGAGGATCGGATGTATGTTGGCATGCACGAGCAACTTAATCGCAAATGCTCCGGCTGCACTGGCTGCTCCGTATACAATGATACCTCCCTGCTCAATACTGTCACCTGCTATATCCTTTCCCCCATCATTGCCACGGGCCCGTGGCTCCGCCAGACCGAGGTATGAGAAGACTCCCAGAGCCGCAGTCATCGCACAGAGTGGTATAGTCGCAGCCTCTTCAAACATCGTTCCGTTAGGGACGCGAAACGTTGTCGCCGCAGGTGCGACGGCATATTCTGCGAACGCCCCTGCCGGACTAATCATGGAATGAAACGCCGCAACACGGTCGCCTGCCTTGAGCTTCCCACTTACTGCCACTTCACTGCCCACACTCGCCACGACACCAGCAATCTCATCGCCTGAATTGAACCCCTCGCGCACGAAATCAGTGAATACCGAGAGAAACTTCCAATCCTTAGGATTACTGCCTGCGACGATGACTTTTATCGGGACTTGGTCGGGTCCGGGGACTGGGATGGAGATGTTGTGGAGTTTGACTCTGAGGCCGTGATTGAGATCTTTGGAGACGCGGGCTTCTTTCGTGGCTATAAGACACTCTTCGGCTAGCTACAGTTGTCAAGGCTACTCATTCAGACCCTGAATGTATTGTTTTGTACAGAGATCGGAGCTATCATTGAGTTGACCGACGTTGAGTGCTTTTTACTTACTGGATAAACCCCAAGTACAGTATCCTTATTGCCTATCCTTCGAAAATTACCTAGTACTGGAACATCAAAACCCATTTCGACCGCTCAATGTGCAAAACTGGGGACCATAAATAAATCACATATTAGCCCTTCAACCTTGTCCACTATCTTCTCCGTATTCAATTACACCAAATTCTGCCACGATATATTAACCCTATCGCCCGCAAGACGAAGACCCAAATCATCAGAAGAGAGAAGGAGAAGCTCCAACATCGGGTGGGAAGTCGTCGGGTCTTCGTGAAATCGAGGCCGAGGCTGAGGCCCCCTTATCCCGGTCGAAATGTCGGTCGACTGTGCCTAGTTATGAATATGACCAGTTGAGGGTCTAGAGAATTGTCCACACCTAGATGGCAATCATTCCATGCTTGGTCGGTTTCACATCATGTCTGCACGTCGCAGTGTGTGTGATCTTTTGGCTGTCTCGGTCGTAGTGAAAATAATCGAGCCTCCGGACCTCGTCGTGGGGCGTACATTCCATTTGATAGCCAGGCTACCATCACCCCCGTCAATAATACGAATGCACTGAACTAACTAAAGACTGAGATTCATAGTTTAGGGAGTTCCTGGATCTCTATCGAAGTACATGGCATGCAAGGCTCGCAAGATGATGGCACTCGACTTACGAAAAGTGGTCCCCTTGGCATGACACTCCTTGGCTAGATGAATACAAAGTCCGAAATCTGGCTGCACGAAAGAAACCCAGTCTCCGAGCGTTCAGTTCACAGTTTTCGCACAGCCCACGATACTGGTGCTCGATCTTTCTGTAGAATCATTCATTCGCAATAATATCAATTAGTCGTATAGCTAGGAATTGAAGACTCATCATCGCATCGGCAGCTCAACGACATCTCGATTTCCATCCGTCGGCATCGGCACACCATCATCCGAGTCTTTCAACTCAACAACCCTAATCTCCTCATCAGACCACTCATGAGGTGTTGTGGCGACTGCACCATCTTTTCCTTCAGAGGCGAGACTATCACACGAATTCGACCGATCGACCACTCTTCGTCGACTGACACCTCTTCCTGTAGACCCGCTGCCGGAGTTATCGGAGTCGTAAGCGTGTGGTATATAGGGTTCAACACCGTCCAAATCCAATCCTTTCTCATCCGCCTCGTATAGTCTTGCCAAACGGCGATGGCGCTTCTTCTCAGCCGTCTCCTTGGCTGTTTGACCCTTTTTATTTTTGATTTCTCGGTCATCGTCTTTCCGTTTCAGCAGTAGCCTTGTGGGCTCAAATCTGCCTCCGATTGCAGCACAGATGAGTGCTGTATCTCCATCGTCGTCAACGGCATTCACGTCGATTTCTTCTATCCCGAGAAGTGCGTCTACACATTTTAGGTTGCCTGTCTCAGCGGCAATCGTTAACGGCGTGGAGTTGTGCCAATTGCGGACATTCGGATCAGCGCCGTGCTTAATCAAGCACAGCAAGATCCCAGGAGTGGATTCTCTCGCCGCTACCATGACGAGGGGATCTAAATGTGCTTCTGGACAGCCACACGGCCCCGAAGAACAAGGGTCTGCACCATGTTTAAGAAGCAGCTCGACACACTCGAGTTGTTCTCTGAAGATGGCACTGCCCAGTGGTGAGTTCCCACTTCCATTCTTTTGCTCAATTTGGACATTGTCCTGTTGGAGTAAAAGGGACAGCAATGTTGTACATCCACCTCGAGCAGCTCGATGAAGCTCAAAATCGTCTGTATTGATATTGCTTTTGGTGGGAGCAAACCCATTTTTGAGAAGGACTTCAGCTCCTTGTTCGGTGCCGCTATAAAGTGCCAATTCGAGCGCATCGCGGCCGAGGATATCAACCTTGTGCATATCCGCACCATTTTGCAGTAAAACATCAAAAGTATGTGCTGGCGCGCTGCTCACACATGCATGTAACAGTGGAGTCATCTTCTGATCATCTTCAGCCTCAATATCAGCGCCTTTCTCGAGGAGGTACTCCAATAACATTGGGTTCCTTGTTGCGATATGCAGGGGCGTTGATTGGTGGAAGCCAGGGGCATTTATCTCTGCTCCATGTCTGAGAAGTAAGTCGATAGTGTCATCTAAGATGGACTTTTCATCATCAAAGGATTCCCAGTGGTACCGGCGACCCCCCGTGGCGAGATGTATTGGCTGGTTGTTATCGTTGCTTCTGGCAGAGATGTCTGCTCCATTGGCAAGAAGTAGATCAGCTTTATCATGATAGTTGAATGCACAGCTAATGTGCAATGGCGTGTCTCCATCACTGTCTCTGCAATTGACAAATGCGCCATTAGAAATGAGAAGCTCCATACGTTCTAGTGAACCGGGTTCATTGGTCTCACTGGCATGATGCAAAGGAGTATTGCCAGCTTTATCAACAGCGTTCATATTTGCGCCTTTTTCAAGGAGTAATCTGGAAGTCTCCAGGCTGGCGGAGAAAAGAGGAGTGGCTGATTGATGATCCGTAGCTTCCAAGTCCGCTCCATGGTCAATTAGTAATTGTGTGCAGTCCACGTGGCCATGAAGTGCAGCGAGGTGCAAGTAGGTTCTTCCTTTCGCATCTCTGTCTTCGAGCTTGATGATCGGCGCATGTGCTCCTTCAATGAGTGTCTTCGCAGCAAAAGAGCATAGCCCTTGCCGAATCGCAATGAACATTCCTTGATTGCAGTGAAATTCAAAGTCATGTTCGGCTAGGTAGTGGGCAATGTCTTCTTCGCGGCAGTGGAGTGCAAAATGGACAGGGTTTCGATCGTAGAAGGCCTCGCTCCTATTTGCACCATTGTCAACCAAAAGTTTTACCATATCCAAATCACCCCGGTGAATAGCAGTTGCTAGTGCAGTAGTCCTTGCCAGTTCTTTTCCATTCACAGGATATTTCCTTTCCAAAAGAAATTTCGCAAATGCTTGATCTCGATACTCAGCAGCCACTTCAATAAGACGTGATGTAATCTCTTCGGGGATGGGCGAATCTGAGTCCCAGTGCTCAATGAGGAATTGAAGCATCTCACATTTACCATCGGCATAAGCTTCCCAAATCCGATCTTCTTGATGATCCAATGGTGTTCTACGATCTGCAAGGCGACGGGCAAGTGACATGTGGCCATTATCAAGTGCCAGACCAAGAGCCGTTGTGTTTTTTTCACAAACATAGTCGCATTTGGCGCCCTTCTCGCAGAGGAAATCGACCATTTCATCCTGGCCTTCCAATGCTGCATAAAGTAGAGAGGTTCGTCCAAACCTCCCTGGGCAATCAACTCCTACCCCTGCTTCTAGCAAGAATCGAACCACGTCGATATTCCCAGCTCCAGCCGCATAATGAACAGCCATATCACCTTCCTCATCTGGAGAGGACATATCCACACCACATTTTATTAGGGTTCGAATAACATCGAGGTCTCCTCGCTCAGCCGCTAAATGTATCATCTTCCGGTCGTGCAAAGCCTTCACCAGATTGACATTTTCTCCGACAAGCACATTCATGATTGCGGTTTCGTTGTTCAGTGCAGCGCAGTAGAGTACATCGAGATCATGAAACACCTTGTAGTCAGGGTCTGCTCCCCGATCCAAGAGAAACTGAACATACTCCGCGTTATGGGACCATACGGCCCTGAATAATGGCGATCTACCTTCGTTGTCGTATAGCTCAAGGTTTGCTCCATGATCAAGTAACATCCGTGTCACTTCCAATGCGCCGGTTTGAGCTGCAAAATGGATTGCGGTGCACCCTTCATCAGTCCTGGCTTCCAAATCTGATCCCTGATTCAATAATCGGCCCACAATGTCAGTATGGCCACCACTGGCCGCAAAGTGGAGCATTGTATAACCCTTGTCATTTTTTGCACTTGTATCTGCGTTGTACTTCTCCAGAAGCTCAATGAGCTGGAAGAAGCCCTCCCGCGCAGAGTTGAGCAAAGGCGTGAATTTTTGCTTATTTGAAGCATTTACGTCGGCGCCATGATCAATCAAATACTCTGCAAGTGAAAGCGCAGATGATTTCATGGCCTCCTTGGTCGAGGTGTCATTGATATAAAAAGCCCTACCATGCGCAATTGAGGATGCCGTAGCCATGAGTAATGTACTGCCTTCTGCGTCCATGGTGGCCAGTGATGCTCCAGAGTCGACTAGGCAATGGAAGACCTTTTCGTGCCCATGTAGCGCTGCTTCATACAGTGGTGTCGAACCTCTCCCACATGCTTTTAGCTGCACCATTTGTGGAATGCATCTTCCCACTTCCTTGATTAAAGGCATCAGGTCAGGGCTCTCCTCGGCCGTTCTCACTTCAATGCTGGCACCCTTCCCAATCAAGTATCTTACAGCGTCCTCGCGTCCCTGGTTTGCCGCAAGATGTAAGACTGTAGCTCCGCTGATGGTTGGCAAATCAATTTCTGCACCAGCCTCAAGTAGAAGCTCAATGAGATCGACCTGCCCAGTGTACGCAGCACAATGGAGCGCAGTGTTTCCACATGAGTTGACGGAAGTTACTTCTGCACCATGAGCCAAAAGCATTCTCACTATCGCTTTCTGGCCCGAAAGCACGGCCTTCACCAGGGGAGTCTCCCCAAATTGAGTCGTCAGCCGACAGTCTGCTCCCTGTTGAAGAAGGAGCTGAACAAGATTTTCGTGGCCCATGAGTGCGGCTGTGAGAAGAGCCGTACTGCCCCCAAAGCCTTTTCTATTGATTTCAAACCCCCGATCCAGCAGCAACTGAACGGGTTCCAGATGACCTTGGTCAACTGCAGTTTCGAGTAAACGAAAGCCATCTTCGCTTGGAGTGTGGATGTCGAAGCCAGTGTCTAACAGTAGTTGCAATGACGAGCAGTGTCCTCGCCATGCAGCCCAGTGAGCAGGAGTTTTAAAGGTCCCGTCAATCTCGCCTGGATCCTTGCCCTCAGCTAGCAGAACTTTGATAATTTCGTCCAATCCTTGAGAAGATGCACAATGGAGTGGACCAAAATTCTTAGGCTCAAACCCGAAGCCATTGCACCATCGAAAGAATTCTCGCTCTCGTACATTGCAGGCCTCGACTGATGCACACAGCTTCTTGTCATTTCTAATAAGCTCGAGTATCAAATGTAAACAACTGATTTCGAATTTGCCTCTAACATGGTCGCCCCAGTGACTTGCGGCGTATTCGTAGAATGGATGCTGGTCGAGACGACGTTTCAGTGAGTCTGGTTTGAGGCAAGGGCCAGCTTCAAACTCGTCGATCAAGAGGTAGGTCAGGCAGGTGCCAGCAACTTTTCCAGGTATATCAGGAAAGTGCGACCCACCATTCTTGTTGAAGTATTCCTGCGTCGTAAAGTGGACCAATTGCACGACTTTACTTTCTGGCTCAATGGTTATAAGTCCGGCACAGACATCGATCAGCAGCTGCGATCGGATGAGATTATCCACATCAACCTGATGTAGTCTGTGACGTTCGCCTTCGTCGTCGAAGTCCACCGCCAAGGCATGCCTGAGTTCGTCAATCAGAAGTGGTCTCCGTGCATGGGAAATCCAACCCAAAACCGTTAGCGCTAGCTCACTTCGCTGGGCACCCTGCCGTTTTATGCGTTCGATGGTCGTGTCATACATACTAAAAGGATCTTTGGGCATTGTTTGCAGAGCTTTGCGAATTTGGCTTTTGCTAAATAGTCCTTGTAGGTGCTTCAGCTGGAGAACCGGGAGAAGGATGCTAAGAAAATTAGTCAAAATATTGATGTAGAGGTCGCAACGATCTGCATCGCCTCGAACTAGAATAAAACGAAAACCCAGAAGCCAGAAAGGGACTCACTTACATTCCTTGAGCAGCTTTGGTGATGGTTTCAATCACCTCCTCCCTCATTTTCTCATCATCATCCATAGCATCAAGGAGATCGTCGTCTTCTTCCACCTGGCTTCTGATGAGTTGTTGAACATCCTCATCAGAAGCGCGAATATCGAGCCTGATATGCTTCTGAAACGCTCGTTGGATATCTAAAGGATGAGGCCGGCTAGTGACCAAGATTTTGGCTAGCTGCTCTTTCTGGAGAGCCAGGAGGATAGGAAGGAGTGTTTTCCTCCGGTCCGGTGGTAGCTCATCCAGTGCGTCGATGATTACGTACACAGTTTCGAACTCTCGGCATGTTGTGTGCAGCAGACCTTCAAAATCTTTGAGATTAGGGAGTGCCGAGCGTTTTGTCAGACTTTCATAGAGGTCCTCCAGCGGCTTGATGGAGGAGGACTGTCCTTGAATGACTTGTCTTGTGATGTTTCCGAGGATATTCAAGGCTGTCTGGTTAGTCTGATCTTTGTAATCACAGTATATTGCGGCCTGAACGATTCTGCCCGGCTGGCACTTTCGGGACAGATGGTCGATCACGATTGAACTCAAGACGGTCTTTCCAGTCCCGGGATCACCTGAGCACCATAGAATAGATGAGGAAGGGTCTGAGCTCCATTGCCTGAAGTCTTGATGGACCAAGAGCCAGTCCCCAGTACTCCCGACTCGTCTAGCAAGGATATCGTGCTGCTTTTGTTTGACATCCTGCGCCTTGGGTGAAAGCCATTCAAGAAGCCGGGTCCGGGTTTCTTCTCTTTGCTTCTTGCCCAGAAATTGTACCTCTTTGAGTATTTCAGCTTCAACCCGAAATGAATCTATCGAAAGAGCTTGACCAAAAGCATTCACGTGTCTGCGCAGCACATCAAGAATACCTTGTGTTCGTTCTTCGCTGAACGGCCACGTGAAAGATTTAATTTTCGCAGTGAGTCCTGTTTTTGACGACTCCTTCAGGAGTTTAGCCTGGAGTCGCTGAAGGACCTCTCTGTACTCTTCTGTGTTTTCGATGGACGAAACTGCCGATGGCCTGTCCTTGAACAGTTCATCAGCCTCCGTAGCCTCCAATGCCTTATCAAGTTCTGACAGGATAGTTTTCAAGACTTTGAGTTCTCGTTGAATGTCAAGGATTGATCTAGAAGCTTGCTTGACACAACTTATGTATCTTGAGCTGACGGAATAGACCTCGATAGTCAGTGAGAGTAGCCCGGCGATGCCAGAGGCCACTGCCAGAACCTCCGCCATCACACCGAAGAAGCATGTAGCGGAGTGAGGTGCAATGGGTTGCACGGTGTGTTGTTGTAGTCCATTCTGTGACTCCTGTGGCTCAGCTGCCAAGCCAGAATACGAGAGGCCGCGATCTAGACAAGGCGATCAACGGTTTGTGTGGTCGACTATGACCTGACATTGGTCGAGGCAGAGATAAGCCTTCCAATATTGTTCCAGCGTGAAGAAGATCTTGGATTGGTTTTTGGTTGTTGTTCACCTCCCTGGAGCGGTGGTGTTTGGAGTGCTTGTCATGAGAGAGCCCCTGCCCCTCTGAAGTTTTTTGAGTTGCTAACTTGGACGCTATACGAGTAATCACTCCTGTGTTTCGTGCTGTAGATAGTAGAGATTACCCATGTAGTCTTGGACTACCTGACTGGCTCGGATCGGACAAATCCGCTGCCGTGGAAGGCGGAAAGGCCCTACACGTTTGCTAACCATGATGGAGCTGTTGACACAGTCGAACCTTGAATAATGCCAGTGCCACCGAACACAGATCGACGATAATTGGCAGCTCTGCCTTGGTCGTTGAGGGACAAACATTTGATATCGTTACATTTATTCTTCTATTGTGAAACTTGACTAATGACGGCTCTCCATGAGATGTATATTGCATCATAGTGGTATTGTAGAAAGAGTGCCGACAGTGAATGTTGACACAGTTTCTCTCTCCCCCCACAATAGAGATACCATGCCCTTAACCATTTCAATGACCGACAGAGAGCATCTGAGCTCCTGGGTATTCCAGAGATATCGATAGTACTGCCATGGACCACTCTCTTGAAATGCCCACGTTTAGCAGCGGCTCTCGCTTTAGCCGCGCTGCCCCAAAGAATTGAGATGTAAGAAACAAAACTCCACACTCCTCGCTAAAAGTTCATGATTGAAAGACTGTTTTGGATCGCTCCCGGATGGTTCTATGACACTTGTCCATATCTCACATACTGACTTCACCGTCATCGCGTGCTTCTTCACCCCCGTTGCTAGAATGGGAGTATTGCTTGGCAAGACCAGTTTCGCTGGTGATCCCTTCTCTGTCACCATGATCTCGCAGCTCAGCTGACTTGATATCTGCGAGAATACGTTCCAAATAAGCCCTGAGTGTTCTCAGGCCACGCAGATAGCCACGATCAATATCACGCGGATGTGCTGGTGGTGCTTGAGCATTTGGAGGTAGAGGATCCTCGCCAGTGACACAGTTGGCAAAATCCACAATTTTGAGCTCAATTGGTGGTGGCCAGGTTTTGCCTTCTTTCTGCTTCTGCTGTGCGATATTGATGCCATTCCTTGCAGCCTCTTCAGCCTCGCGCGACTTGTTAGGCTCGGCATCATAGAGCATCAATAGACTGCTGGCATAAAATCGATAACCTGGTAAGCGTCGCACCATGCTCTCAAGCTTGGACACTTTATGTAGTATTGTAGGGATGTGCTTTGCGACACTGTTGTAACTGATGCCATCATACAGGAACCTGATCAACGCGTCACGAAACTCGCGACCTGCCTTGAGGTCACGACCGAAATACTTGTCCTCGTACGATGCTTTACCAGTCTTGGCGTCAAAGGTTTGCATCCCGCATATTCTTACTCCCAATACTTGTGATGTTGTTGTTTTACATTTGCGCCTTTGGGATTCCATTTTCTTCTTGGTAGCTTCGACCCCGAATTGCCTCGTACCCATCTTGAGATCGAGCACACAAGGCCGTCCCATGCCGCTTGTAAGATCCTCCATGAGAATGAAGAAAACCACTCGATCTCCCGAATTCGCAGATTGAGCTTCTTTCGGGTTTGAGGGTACGAGAACTTTTGCAGGATCTTCAAGTGATTCGTTCTCAAAGACATCGCCCGCTGCATCACCGCCGTTTGGAGGCTGTAGAAATCGGCTATTGTGTGCGAGTTTCTGTGCACTACTGCTCGGTCTCTCGTTAGAATCTGCATCTTGGTCCATGGCAAAAACGTCGTTAGCAGAGTCGGGACCGACATCGGTTGCGTAAGCTTCATCCTCGAAGTATTCTAGATCTGGTGGCTGAGTCTCATTGACCGACACGTGGCGCCGCCTGAGGCCCATGCCCGAATGGCGTCGTTTGACATGGGATTTGGATTCTCCGTTAGATGTAGTAGAAACTTCGCTTCCTGTCGTCCTGACTTTCTCAAGTCCGTACGTCATGCTATCAACAGCGGACACAGAAGCTGAATATGTGCCGTTTGGTACTTCAAGGCAAGTTGCTGACTCCTCATGAACTGGCACCATGGTTGACTGCTCAGAATTGGCAGTATTCTTAGGTTGCTCTTGATCTGGGTGCAAAGCCTTAGCCAGAGGAATTGCATGGGCGGAAAGGTTGCTCTTCCGTCGAGATCCGTCGCTGTGATATTGCCCAGCTCTCATTCGAGGAACAGTACCATGAGTGTGTGAAGGCATGTGGCGGCGATAGTATTGTACAGGAGGTGGCCCGAATACCTCACGCAGGATTTTATCTTTCAATCCTTCATTGACCGAGGTATTTCCCCAGCTGTTGGAATGCTCCGGCATGACGGGGCGGGGAGGTGACTTGGAATTCTCTTGCTGATCAGTAGGTCCACCATTTCCGACATAGAAGTCCTTACTCCGCCTTCGCCCATGATTTGGATCAGCACTTCTTGGCCTCTCTGGCAAGGCAAAATAGTTGGAAGGGATTATGTGCTTGTTCTGATCTAGAATCACTTGAGGAATACTGCCAATCTGTTGTGAATGGCTGACAATGCGAGGCTTTTCGAAGGTATGAGCTGCAAGGGCAGGGTCAACATCTTGTGACTTGTGAGTTTGATGCGCAGCAGTCTCAGTGGTACTAGTTTCAGTTCCCTCGGGCTTCGTCTCCGCGACTTGGCCCTGTTTCGGGACCTTGGAAAAAGTCACATTTAGAACCCCAATATATCTTGGAAGTAACTTGAGCATGTCTGGATGGCGTTGTTCAATACGTTCATAGAATTCATTCTCCCGATTGTTCAACTGCTTACAAACTGCACGTCGAGAAAAACGAAAGATGGTTGAATGCCCTCCCACCTGATGTTTGTAAGGCTCAAGTACGACTTTTGCTCTTGTCCCAGGAACAGGCATATCAGTAGTGGGCCTCCTAATCATGGTGGTGGTCTGAGTAGGAGTAGTTGAAATATCTTCAGCTTGACTTTGTTGTCCAAACTCGTCACCGGACTCCATCTCGGATTCGGAAGTGGTAAGAATTGCACTTGTGGAGTTTTCATCAACTGTAAACTTGGAGACGTCATTAGAGACATCGTCCACCGGCTGATAATTGCCATGGAAAACTTTTGTGTCATTCTTCGAGACCACGGAGATATCAATGTGCTCAGCGGTCATCAGGGGATCGACAAGCTTCTTTTCGATGGGTACAGTGTTCTGGAGAGGTGATAAGAGAGAAGTCGGGTTGAGATCTGGAGTACGTTCACCAGGAGACGCAAGTCGTTCAATCTCTTCAGGAGATGGGCCAGGGCGAGGATAATATACTGCTGCAGATATGTGCTCTTCCTCATCATCACGATTTACACGTGGATGGGATGCCTCTGTCGGTGAAGCGGAATGGAAGCTGGTCGGAGTTCTCTCTTTGGGTGCATGCGGACCAATATTCAGAATCCGTGACTTGTATGCGCCCTTTATCTCCTCAAGTAATTTTGGTGGTATGCTTGGCACTTGGGCACGATCCTGTTGACGGAAGTATGGATCATGATCATGCTTGACATCAGGAACTGTGCCAGACGCGCCGGCATTAGCAAGATGGCCATCGTTCCAATCTGGCAAGAAGAGTGTATCGTTGTGATCCTTCGGGGCAGACAGCATGGTTCTAGCGACGACAGCATCTTGCGATGAGGAGCTGGGAGGGCGTGAGGAGGGCTTGGAAATGTCAACATTGTCGCCGCCGGTTTGGGGTGCGACATCATTAGAAATTTGTGCTGCTGGTGATCGTGAATTGGTTCTCGGGTCAAAGATGCCCATCATGTGACTGGCCTTTCTACTACGGGCGTTTCCAATGGCCTCGGGATTTTTGACTGTTGCTTCGATGCTTTTGTCGACATGAGTCCGGCCTCGACTCACACTTCGCTCAGTCTTAGGCTGGTCTTGCAGCATTTGTCGCAATGATCCACTGAACTCGACGGTAGTCTGCTGTGGCGGGTCATGATTTCGAACAGCTGCTGTACCTGGTTGGATATTTCCATGGTGATCTTGCAGGTCGTGTGCAGAATCAAATGATTTGGTTTCCTTCGCTTCCATCGAGCCCACTGTAACGTGGAATTTCTTGGACCATGTGTGGCTATCGGATGCAATCCTCCTAATGCCCTGAATGGTACCAGTGGAAGGCCTCGTATGCGAAGGACTAGGAGATTCTTTGTCGGTGGCAGAATCTGATTTTCGGAACCAAGCCCTGCTTCTAGAGGACGAGGTAGCATTTGAACGCGCAGGTTCAGGAGGAGAAACAGAATGAGTAACCATGGTTGGCATCACGGTCATAGCCTTCCGTGGAGTAATGGGTGAAGTAGAGTGCGTCGCTCCTTCCGTCAACGAAGCCGGGTCATTGTTGGCAGGTACATAGTGATCAGCAAAGATGGTGTCTCTTTCCGAAAGCTGGGGAGAGTGGTCATCAAGGGTGTGAGCCCTCTGCAAGTGGTGGTGCGGACCTCTGCCATTGTATGTATTCTTCACCTTGAACCCCCGAACGATTGGAATAGGCTTTGTAGTCGACGAGGAAGTTGGATTCGACAAAGAAGGAGAAGAGGACAACGAGGGCTGGCGGAGCACAGGCTGGGCATTTACCGTTGTGGCAGGCGCGGACGTCCTTCCGGCGGGAGAGCTACCTGACATGGGGAGGACATTGGACAAGGAGAGGACGGCAGGGGTGGTTGTGCGTGGAATGATGATTTGCTGTGAGTCGCTGGTGATGTGTTGCGAGGAGGAAGGGAGCCAACGTGGTGCAAACGAAAGGACCAGAGGAAGAAATGTTCTTTCGGAAGAAGGCGGTCTGAATGTGGCACGACTCGATCAAGAGCAGCGGCTATCCAGGTCAAGCAGCACGTGGAGGAGTTAGAGGCTGGCTTGATGGTGTGGACGTCGATGTGGGAGTGGCCACTGGAGAGGCGGTCACTTGTGTTGGAATTTGTTCAGTGCCGGTGTCAGTAACGGTGATACGAATACCTGGACTGACGGTTGTTGAAGATCACTACGACCTGGGGTTGCGGGATTGAGTGGCCCAGTCGGTGAAGGTTTGAAGGTGATGTAACTTGTAAGGTAGATACGAGCTGCGGTAGTTTTTCTATGGGTACCTCGACGGATACTTCACACGTAGTATCTCGCTTCGGATATGCCAGAGGGTGTGAGTGGTTCAGGTTTGGTGGGAGAATGTTGTTGTGCGTAAGATCGACTTTAGATGACGTTGCTGCCGCCGCTCTAAGAACAACAGACTGCTCACTAAGTATTTAGCACCACACTAACTGCGAGCTAGTATGTTAGCAGCAATACGATTGGCAGTATGGAAAATAACTCCCACGCTGCTTCTGTCAGGACATACTACGAGGCCAAACACGCATTGTTATCCTCAACAATAAATGTACTTGACTCTAGGGGAGTTGTTACAATTAATCGTTCAGCCAGCGTCCTTCTTCACCAACAATCTTTCGGTAATTTTCTTTGACAAGAGTACTCCTGCCCGACCTTGACCCCTGAGGCCCTTTTTGGTGCAAGGAACACCAGAAGTCGCCTCCAATTCCACCAATCCTTTGACGCAATCTTCCCACGTTCTCGGCCCATGCATATTGACTATCACGCACGGATAGCGGAATCAACACCCCGTCAACCCGTTGTGACCCACGATTGAGAAGCCACGTATAAACGGTCCGTCGCGGTGGGACTATGCTCCTTGCACAAACTCGGTTAATGCCTGGGTTATCAAGCAGAAGGATAGCTCTATGGAGCACGCCTTGATGAGAATGCGAGCGAGGTATGCACTCGTACGGATACGGTAAGCAGAGTACCTAGCAGATTGTTTGATGACTTGTCTTGCGCTCAACACTAAATGTTGAATTCTTGTCCCACCAATCTCTCGCTCAGCTGCCACAATTTCTCGGCATATTGAGGATTTCTTGCCCAAGCCGTGATTTCGAAAAATTGGCAATCGTTCAAGTACAAGTTATCTCCACCAGAGGTGGCTTCCGGCAGACTAGGATCAAGCGCCGCAACAAGCGTGGTCGAAGAGCCTTGTTTCAAAGTCTTGAATCCACCAACTGCCGCTTGACCAGCCACCAGTTGTTTCAGCAGCTCTGGGTCCGTATGCCTCCATAGCTCTGTGACAATTCCACCTGGGTGCAAGGCATATGACTTTATTGCATACTTGTCGAACAATCGATGGCTAAGTGCCAACGAAAACAAAACGTTGGCAGTTTTAGACTGCCCGTAAGCCGTGATTGGGTTGTATGTGCCTTCAGTTGACATTCCATATGCTCGTACTGTGTTCAGATTTGCCCGTTCTGACTCGGGTATGTCTGATTGTGCTCGTGTGAAATTGATGTCAGAAAACCGAACTGGTGAGTATTGCACACCTAAAGAAGACACATTGATGATGCGCACGGCGCCAGATGCAGAATTTTTCGCTGCAGTAATAAGCCTGTCCATGATGAGATTGACGAAGAGAAAGTGGCCCAAATGATTCGTTTGAAACTGCATCTCCATACCCTCGGGCGAGAGCTCGAGCTGCGGAATCCGCATAACACCAGCATTACAGATGACGATATCAATCTGTGGGACATCGGAATATGCCTTGATATCTTCAGCTGCTCTCCTCACAGCAGCCAGGGACGAGAGGTCTAGCTCGAGAAATCGATAGTTGCCATGAGGATGCTTCTTTTGGAGCATGTCAATCACAGCCTGCACTTTGTCTTTTGATCTTCCTGTGAGAATCAACAATTTGGGACTTTGCGCGGCCAAGGCCTCTGCTGTGCTTTCCCCAAGACCATTCGGGGATACACCCGTGATGAGGATTGTTCTGCCTCTGATCTGTCCAGCAAATGCAGCGGCCACGGTTGAAGCCTCTGTCCGTGCGTCGAACTCGGGATGGGATGCCATGTTTTAGGTTAAAAGTCTAGCAGATGGGAATACTGCGCTTGATCGTCGATCGATGCTGTGTCGGAATCAGTGGTGGAAAGGAACACTCCCTTTATATACATCGCAACCACAGAAGTATCATTCTTCCCATCTTACGCCATCAGTCAAAGACCTACCTGGATGGACACATGAGTTCAACAACATGGACCAAAATAGCGAACAGCTGACACGTGTGCCATTTGAACATGCATTCCGGGGACATAGCATGGGGTTAAGAATGGGCAAACGTAGTACCTGCAGCTTGAGCCGCGATTAGCCTGCCGAATTGCTTCCAATCAGAGCGAGGAAATGACAAGGCTGATTCCACCACTGTACAGTGGTTGGCATGCGGTCAACACAAGTTCAAATGCAAGACTCGGTTGTATGAGCTTAATTCTTCAGACTGGCCCAAGTGTGAATCACTTTGACGGTGGAAGATTTCCGAATTTTCGCCACTCCGACCTCGTCCGGTTGCACAATGAGTATTTATTGTGACGATGCTGACATAGTGGATCCGCTTGACGGGACCATCTAATTCCATAAGGAATCAAAGTCAATGCACTTGGCCACATCGATGGCACATGTAACCTTTGCTTGTGGATTGCTCCTTGTGTTACGGATTTGTTTGTCCCAGAATTACCAAAAGTGACACAAGGTAATGAGTTGGTAGATCATAGGAATATGCTGAGTCATGCTTGTACGGTCACATGATTTCGTGGGGCTTGACACGTGACGTCATTTCCAGATTCCGAGGACTCGCAGAGCGCGTTCCTTCCCCAAAAAGTGTTGACGCGACAATGGACTCAATCCATGTCTGTAGACATCGGCAACTGGTCATTATGCCGCACGAGATAGCTGATTCGGATGCTGAATCCGACTTTAACTCTCCCCAAAAGTTGTTGGTCACACTTGATGGCGCACATGAGGCCGGAATTCCCTCTGTAGCTTCCCAGATCAATTTTGAGGATTACATGGACCCGACACAACGCCTATCGTTCTCAAGCAACCTTCAAAGTGGCGAAAAAGCCACCAATAGCACCAACAGCACCATCAGACTTTTTGATGGGATGCAAGACGCACATGATGCACTAAATGCCAGTCCTTCTGATGGTCGAAGCACAGATTCCATGAACGTGTCATCAATCATGCGGTCCAAGAAACGAGCACACAGTGTCATGCATGAAAGTTCGCACACCTCTGACTTTGATGCTCCAATCACAGCTTCTAAAGTCAAACGAACCAAGACCTACGGCCATCGCTCGAAAACTGATGGATCAGAGCACAACGATCTCTTTGCCGCATCCTTGGAACCACCCTTTGAAACAGCCAACATATCTGCAGAACAACGAACCGCTGATAAAATAACTCCAAAGACTTCCATGTATCCAGATGAGGCCTCTGATCCAGACATACCTAGCTTGAGTACTGCCGACTATCCGAAACAGATCAGTTTCTTCGACCATTCGATGCCAAACTCACTGCAAAACATTACGACCTCGACTGCCTCTATCGGGGGCTATGCTTCCATAAATCTCAACTATCGAGGCTCTGGTGAAGTTGATGTCAACTCAAACCCCTTTGGCTCCGTTAGCCAAGTCTCTCTAGATGAAGGCGTAAATCCAGTCGAGACTGAAAGGGCCACAAGCATGTTCTACGATGATCGGTCACCTCTATTGCCTGACCAGCAGAGGGAAGATTTGTATATTATCAACGAAACCAATTCACTGCCTCAACCTCTGTCGGTTGGCCCATCGTGGGAACATCCTCCTACTGTCAGTTCCCCAAATGATGGAAATCCACCCCGAGACGGATCTACCAATGTGCAGGACAAGAACGATTGGGCAGTGTCAACCTCGAAGCCAATCAGTATGACACGTACACCAACTGTCACTGAAGACCCCGTTCCCACCAAGAAACGCGGACGGAAACCGAAGAATGCGACAGCACCCACAGAACCACCGACTGCCATTGTACCTGACCAGGCGGCGGACGAGCAAAGCCTACCCGATCTTGAGCCGATACGGAGATCTCGACAGGGTACAATCGATTCAGTTTCTGCAACATCTCAAGCCTCATCTTCAAGCAGAAAAAGGAAACGAGGAAAGTCAAAGCACTTGGCAAAACCAGACGAAGCAGCTGACAGCCAGTCACCTGTGAAACAGCTCACAAGTGAATTGAATCTGAGTGACGAACAATTCATTGGGCTTCCAAAGGAAAGCTACAAGCCACGTCCGAGCAGATCGCGGTCAAAGAAGGTCATGGATGAAGATGAAGTTCTTGCCTCCGCCAAAACTGTGGAAGTTGCAACTGAAACTCCTGCAAAAAACAAGACCTTGTCAATGCACCTATCACCTCAGGGTGCACAATCCTCTGTTACAACGGGAAAGTCAAGTACTAAGAAGAGTGGCCGTAAAGCTAAAGTAAAACGAGCCAAAACAGCAGGTGTTGCACTGAAACTCGCTGAGCCGATGATCAGTGAGGGTGAGGAAGATGTGGTGTGGATGGACTCAAAGCCTGCCCCCGTCAAATTAGAGCTCCCTCGTGATCTCAAGGTAGTGAAAAAGGAGAACAACCAAAATGTCCTCGCTGAAGATGCATTGAGAGATGAGTCTGGTCCCACTCAAGGAAGAACTACCAGCATTACAATCGAGATTCCACCAGTGCTTAATGAATCTACAATCAACACTGCTTCGAAACCTGCGCCTAAGAAGCGCGGTCGAAAGCCCAAAAAGCCACAACCAGACACATCAGTGGATGCAGACCAGGCAAACAATGAAGTACTTCCAGCAGAGGACGATCGAAAACCTTTGGCTGAGAAGTCGAGTAACATTTTGCGCTCAAAAGCTAGAAGCTCCACGCCGAAGGCACCGACAGTCTCCCCATTGTCATCTCCCGAACCAGAACCGGAAACTGTCCCACAACAGACGACAACGCCAGCAAAGAACACAACGCCAACCAAAGCTATTGCTGTAGAAAAGGGTCCGACTAAACACTCCCCTATCAATCCACCTTCACTGCCTGGTAGTGTGGGAAAGAAAATAATATACCGGATCGGCTTGTCGAGGAGACAGCACATCCCCAGTCTACTGCGACGTGTGCAACGTGACAAAGCGCCACCAAAGATCGTGGTGGCAAAGGAAAAAGAAAAGAAGAAAAAGAACGCCGGCGACAATGGCAGTGATGATGATGTTGAAGATCGACGTGAAATGAGAGGTGCTGACGGCATGTTGGTCGAGTGGGGTGACTGAGCGAGTGCTTGCTTGTTTGCTTGATTCGGACGGTCTCTAATGAAGCTATGATCTATGTACCGACAGGAAAGGACTGAGGCTGACCGGAGAAAGCGACGCCGTCAAGCCTCAAGAACCAACCTGAAGAATGCAATAGACCATGGTCTAGCGGTTGACCACTTGATAGATACGGGATTGTCCCCTGGATGTCTGCCCTCCTTGCGCCACAATCAGGATCAAAGAGGTTCACCAGCTCTTGACCAACATCGGACGTATACATTATCACCCGAGGCCTAGCAGCTATAGGTACTTGTATCCGCAATCCGAACCCTTCAAGATATCCGTCATAAACATGCTCAACAAATTCACCACTTCCATGATAAGAGTGTTACAGAGCCGTAATTATTGTAGCCACACACACAACTGACCAGATCCCTATGTACTACTACTGCTTGGCTTGTTTATAGCCCCCTGCCCAGCTAGCACATACCCAAAGGACATTATATGTCATTTCGAGTCTCGTACACAGCGTGCCATACTGTAAGACACTTCATCGAGAGCCAACGCGCCGGGGAGAAGAGGAGTCCCTGGAAGTCACGAAACGAAGGACAGCTACCTGCAGGTGGTCACACATATAATAGTCGATGCTCAAACGTCCACCGGTGAAATTGGCCTCAGACATATCCCATCTGGGCCTATTCTCGAAATAGAGAGAGGCAGAGATGGGCCGGGCCGCCTCTCCACGGGGAGATCGTGTTCCATCCCTTTCTACCGAGTGCTTGCTTCGCTCTCCATGGGAACGGTTGGCGTTGGTCACTTCTCGATTGCAGAGCACGGGGTTGTGGATGTGCGAAATGTTGTAAGGAGAGCGTATCTATGTATGTACCTAATCTAAGGGTTGAAGTAACTCAAGCAGAGATTACCGCAACAGTCACGAAACCAAAAATGACGAGCATGGGTGGGAGAAATGCGTATTCGAACTACACAGCTCGCAACCGATCCATATCATGATTTGCGGCGCGCCAAAATGGTAAATGAGGGTCCATTGATATTCTATAGAATAAAGAAACAAATCCGTGTCATTCCTCACAACCCACCCTCATTTCGCCAACCATGACCATGGGTGGCGGCAGCAAGCTCACTTTCAAGGAACATACAGTCGGACAAACCCCTGCACGGCGCGTCGACAAGTAACACAATTTCCAAAATTGTTCAAGGCGAGACTGACGCGGCAGTCCTCGCAGACGCAGAGACAGCGGCAAGGCCACGCGATGATGGTCCTCGATGCGGTCTGGCACACCACGCAGGGAGGGCCCGCTTGGCGATTCGCATCGTCATCTGCGTCTCCACTCGTGGGGGGAGGTGGAGGGGCGTGTTTCTTGCGGCGGGCGAGGATCAGTGATTCAAGGACTTCGGACTCTTCAGTTGCGGTCAAGGGGCGGACACCGGAGGATCTGGTGTGATCGTTGTAGAGTGAAATGTTCGGAGGTGGGGAAAATATTTTGGAGGGAGTCGATGTGGATGGGTGAGGGAGGCGTCCGGCGAGGAGGATCTTGGCTCTTTCGCTCTCCTGTTCGCGACGGTAGCGGGATCGAGTGATGATGCCGGACGATTGTGGGGTTGCGAGATGCGAGGCAAGGATGCGAGCCTGATCCCGAGACTCTTTGTCCTGTGGATTGAGTAGCCGGGCTAAAGTCGCGGGGTCTAATGGTGAGTCGGCGAGATCTGGGGTTAATTCTCTTGTCGCTATGCCGGAGAAGGACCAGGCTGGGGTGTGAGTGGATTGTGTTGGTGTCCGTTGCCCCTCCGGCTCTGATTCCCAAGCATTATCATCATCGCTCTGATAGCTCTCAGACATTGCCGTAGACATAGAAATCATACTGGTTGTATCATCATTGTCAATGTCGGCAGGTGGTTTGTAATCGTCACTCTCGTCCTTGGTACCAAACCAGCCACCACCCTTCCACCAGTCGTAAAGCTTACTATCAAGTAATTCGTCAACTCTCTCTCCTGGAAACTCTGTCATCAAGCGAGATCGCATGTCTGGCTCAATATCGACATCCACATTGCCATCGGTGAATAGTCTCCCATCTTCAGAGAAGATCCAGCTGTCGATTGGACTGCCATTTCCGTGCCTCGATTTTCTCTTCTCCTTCTGTATTTTCTTGAGCGATCGGCCCACAATCTTTCTCAACCACCGTGGACGTGAGGTAATGCCAATACTGTCAAGCAATAATCCCAAGCCATATGCGATGTACCCTCCAATCAGAAAGAGAATACCTCGCAGGTAGATCATGAGGAGATAAAACCGGGTTGTTCTCTGCACTGCGCCGACACCACCAGCCCGGGGTGTAGGATAGACGAATGAGTCTTTGTTTGATACTTGAGTTTCTTTCTGCTCGAACTTGCGCTCCTTAGCAAAACCCGATTCCCAGACACCGCCCTTATCGGTGCCACCAGGGCTTGATGGAGGCAAACCATATTCCTCTAGGATTTGGAATGGCTGATTACTTGTGAATGGTCCATGTTCAAGTTTCATCGTTTCGAACTCATCTAAACGATCTTCTTCTAGCCAGGTGAATTGTCGTACCTCCACTGACCTGCCCTCATTCAAGAAGACAGCTTCTGAAGCCGCAGTCAATGCCGCAAAGCCAATTCGGAGTAAAGCTGTGTAAAAATCTTCATACCAGCGGATATTTATACCCCTACTCTGTACTGCAGCCTGCAGATTGTCGTGGGCAATACTGAAACGCTGCTTGAAGCTTGTCGGCTGAGGAATATGGGGATTCGTACCCAGTGAGACAGCGGTGAATACAAGGGCAATTATGTAGATAACCAGACACACCCATATTCCAAAAATGATACAAATGTGAGGCAAAAAGCCGACAATCGCAACTGTCGGGAAATGGAGCAGACTGCTGACGGGTCTATCATCACCATCTTCTCCACTTCGTACCATGACGCTCGTTGTTAGTAGGCCCCATACAAAGGAACCCATGAATGCCATTCCCCAGATGCCAGTATTGATAAGTCGTAATTGACGCTGCTTGCCTAAGACAGCAATTATGTGAGATGAAAGGGCATTCGCACATGAAAGTAGGGTGACCAAGAGAACCTCAACCGGGACATTGACTCGGTCCAAGAAATGAGGAGCAGTCAAAGAAGTTGTTGCATCAGCAATAGCGAGGATAGTCCCTGAAGCTGGTATGGTGGCCTGGTACTCGGAAGGAGCTGGAGATTCTGTAGATGTAGTCTTGCTTGCACTTGCAGACTTGCCATTACCGAAAAGTCCTAGTCCAAGAGTATGAGATATCATGGTTTCGGCTTCAGCAAAGGCGAGTGAATGTTCAAACACCGACATGCCCACCTCGGTCATACTCGGGACTTGCTGTAGTGTACAAGAAAGACTTTCTACCGCATGAGCCAAGCTGAGTCTCAAGAAAGCTGGCCAGAGAAGGGAAAATGACCCGCGTGTGGCTTTAACACCGGGCTCGGGCCTGCTGAAACCAACTGCAGCGCATGCATCGGCATCCGTAGATCGAAATAAGATGGTAGAAGTGGCTGTGTGCAAGGCACCACCATCCGAAGACCAATCGAGGAGACTATACTTGTTGTTATCACCATGGCGATACAGCGAGAAATCTGGCGACGTTTGACACCTAATGGCCTGCAAGAGATTGTGAATTTGACTTGTAAGTAGCAAGATGGGTACAATCCGAAGGGCTAGTCTCCGAGACCAGGTGAAACGGATTCGCTGTCTTGACGCCCCATAAACACCTATCCGGTTGAGGATGAGAGCCATGGCAAAGCAGGTGAAAGCCCATCTTGAAGTCAGGTAGTGCAACATCCCCCAATAACTCTTGAAGGTGCTCGCCTGGAAGGCCTCAGCAAAGAAAGCCGCCCAGCTCTCTTGAGTTGTTTGTGCAAGACCTTCGACGACCGCTGGTTGTGCATCGGCCATGTGTGCCCCAAGAGCACCAGCGGCAGCGTTCAAGCCGCCTGCGCCTGCGTTGCCTGTAAACCCGAAGGTTGCGAGTATGTAGTTGTTCCAAACGTGTAAAAAGACCCGGTCGACTCGTGTGGCAAAGCGGAAAGGAAATCGGATGATCTGCTCAAAGGAAGGGTTGCCGAAGAATGAGGAAGATACGTTCGTCGCAGCAGTCTTGAATGCCGCGAAGTCTACTACGACTGGCGATGCGACAGGCTGTGTGGTAATAGTTGATGCTATGGAGACCATCTCTATCTCCCCGCGCCTGCGGGTGAAAGCCCACGCTTAACGCATTGGATACCGAGGCAGTCAAACTCTCCCAAAGTAGAGGAGCACAGCCTGATCCGCTAAACAGTGAATTTAAATCTTGTGAGAACGTGATGTAGTGTGAGCAATGGGAAGAGAGGGAGTGACTCCAGGTTGATGACCTAGAAGTTGGACCTGGATTGAAGTCGTGATAGAATCGGCCGGAAGCCCAGTTATGCCGAGCCGACAAATAGCCGGCCGCAAGATCCACAGCCTGTGTAAGGCTGCAAACCACGGGGATCCAAATGAAATTATGTTTCGCAAATCAAATACGTCCACAATAACAGGATTGGAAATGACGGCAAAATATGGAAACAGAAGAAAGCAACTTGCCCAGGTAGTTTAGTAGAGGAAACGAATCTTATTACTCCCCCTACTTAGGGGCGATACTAAAGAGGGAATGCAGCATTTCATGCGTAATCCCGCTTCTGGGAGAGAGACGCCGCAGTGAAAGTAAATCTCAGATTTGTGGTTGTCCAGAACTCAACATTACCTATTTCGGAAGCATGCAACTCCCCTGAATGGAGAGCCTCTTTCCTTGACCACATAATAGGACTATTCTGACGCCTTCCCAAGAGCCAGGGCTTCCTTCTCCGGATCCCATGTTCCCAGATAACTCCCGAGATCATCCATGACAGCGTCAACATCAAAATCATCCTGAGGTATCTCTATGTCATCTTCAATCATACCCAGAGCTCTCACGCGTTGTGCATCCTGCTTGAATGAGGAGGAGGCCGTCTTATGGATGCCTGATATCAGACCCAACGCACTGGGATTGGACGATGATTTCAAGATTCCTCTTGGAGTTCCAGTTCCATTTTTTGTTGCTCTTTCTGTAAGCGGGACGTTCGGTATTGCCTCTGACACATGGTGGATACTATGGACACTGTTCTCGTCATCGTCTTCATCCTCCCACGTCGTTTTGAGACAGTTGAGGTGGTCACGGTCCATCTTTGGAGACTTGGCGACTTTCATGATAGCTTTTAGCGATCCCATGGAGGAACTGGAGGAGGCTCCTTCGGGGGCAAAAGATGTTCGTTTTCCTTTGCTCGTCCGGCGCACTTTCGTCGCTGTCCGTGGTGTTGTATTGTTCTGTATACCTGTTGTCTTTTTGGGTTTCTTAATAGTGCTGAAAACAATCGGCGTGATGCTTTCAATCATTTGTTGCGTATCTGATGGCCATACCGATGCGGGCTTCGGCGTTGTTTCCGACTGCATTGCCACAGGCTGTTCAAACTGATCTCTAGGTGCAATACCATTGTAGAGGCCTGGTGCCGGGATCCCCAGCGCCTGGGATGGAGCGTTATTTTCCGGTACATCTGGCACATCACCGTTGACTTGATCCACTGTGCCTTGATCTGGTCTGCAATCGATGTCCCGCCTGGGTTCTTCGAGCAGGGCACCCGGACCAGAGAGATTGGAAGGTGCTGACTCTAATGTAACTTGGATTGGGATCTGGGCAGATGGAATGTCACGATTGGTGCTTGGTCCTGAGTTTGCTTTGACTGACGGCGCCGTGGCATGTTCGATCAAGCCAGGCGAGTTGCCTTCTATGGCAGTATGTAACGACTCTGCCTGTTCGCTTGATTTCGAGGCTGTTTGGATGTCAACATTCGATGGAACTTTGACTTGAGTGGTTTGTTCCCCGGAGGGCTCTTGTGCACCGGTAAACCCTGCACCTTGAATGGTCTCTTTGGTAGTTGCACGGCGATATTCGAAGGCAGGCAAATGACTTGAGGGAGGGATTGTATGCAAAGACCTCCGCTTCAGGGCGAGGATTGCATCCTCCGCTCGTGAACCACTATTTGAGGCCAGTATTGGGCGATGTGTAGCAGTAGCTAACACATCGGGCGGCTCATCACTTTGAGTATCTTTCATTGACTCATCATTTAGTCGGTGGGGACTGTCTGGTGTCGTTGATATATCTGGATGTGCTGGGACTTCCAGATGCTCTTCCGCTGCTGGAGGATGGTCCACTCCGGGTGCCAGCGGACGTTGTAGAGGCGGTAGAGGTACATGACCCACAATATCGTCCGGTACTGGGGGGAATTCAATTTCAAGAACAGGCGATTCCCACTTTTTCGAGCGCTTCTTTGTTGGCCTGGTTAAAAGGCTAGGAGAAGATTGAGGGAGAGATTCTCCCGGCTGGGAACTGTTCTCATTTTTCCTAAGCCAGTCCTCCACCTGTCGTATCTTTGATTCTGGTGTTCCGATATATGCAGCGGCAGTGGAACTCGTCTGCTTGACGGGAAGAACTGAATTGGAGGTACTTGTCGTTTTGCCAGGCAGATGCTGCTTGCTGATCTGTTTGGTAGGGTATATTGGTGTCAGTATATCATGGGAGACCTTGTTCGCATGAGGTGAGGTGCCCGCGATTTGTGGTTGAGGCTTGATAGTTGTCTCCGGAACTTCCAACTGTAGTCTTCCAGTCTCAGTATTCTTTTCTCCCTTCGTCTTTCTCCTCCAAGGATTTTTCCATCCCTTATCAAAAGGGCCCTTCAACTGTGCACTCAGGATGAATAAGGGCTGGCCTCGCAAGTATGCCGCAGCATAGCTCTCAATTCGTCGCCTTTTCGCCGCCCTCTTCTCTGGGGAATCGTCAGGGTCCTCATCACCCTCGTCGTATACTATGGTATTGTGACAAATTGGGTATTCCTCTGCAGAGACTGGCGAAACTGGTCGTGGGTATTCCGGTACCTTCGCTTTGCCCCCAGGCATCTCGAACGTTCAAATGGTAGAAGTGGAGGACTGCAGGAGGACCGCAACGAAGAGGAAAATACAGAAGCAATCGCTCAAATGCAAGGACATGAGGGTCTCCCGATTGAAGAACGGATGCTACTAGTAACAAAAGGTTGATCAATACGAATGGGTAATATGTAACCACTTAAAGCCTCAACGCGTTTGGAGCTGGGCAACGCGTTTCACGCGACAACCGTTCTCCACGTGACGTCAGGTGGCTAGGCAGCAGAATCTCGATTTATCTTTCCAACATTCCACCACGAAGTTATGAATCAATCTCGGTACGTTCGCTATGCAAAGATCATGGTCAGATATAGATTGGATTCTTATTTGTGAATCAATTTTTCATTTTCGATTATTACTGCTGTGGTAAGGAAAACAACTATTGAAAGACTATGCAAAACATTTTCATAACACTTCCATCGTGTATGCAACCCAATCCGCCCGATTTCTGTTGTCAATAATCTTTTGACAGTCATGTTGAAGATTTGTAGTCGTCAAAACTTTGAAGGGTTTGGATCGCCAACTACCTCACCATCTTGCGACTGCATACGCAACAAGGGTATCATCGTAATTTCCCAAAGACCTCATTAAACGAAATCTGCCGTGGACAAGACATCTCACCAATTCATTTACTGACGGGTGACGTTATCATGATAGGTCTGGGTGTTGGTGTTTCCACCGAGGCCTGAGCCAACAACACCTTGGTTAGTACCAAAAGCTTGGTCGACTTGGTTGCTGAATCCTGCACCAGAGCCTGGGATTTGTCCACCGAGCTGAGTTCCAGTAACGCCGCTGCCGAGTCCTTGGCCAGCTCCGGCACCTTGACCAGGAATGGCAGAAGATGTTCCATAACCACCTGTGCCAGTTTGGGGAAGAGGGGCACCATATCCTGCTCCAGTGCTACCGGCACCAGTGTCATAGCCAGCACCAGTGCCATAGCCAGAACCTCCAAGGCCGCCCTGAGGAACACCTCCAAGACCTCCTTGGGAGGTACCACTATGGGCATTGGGGTGATTACCTCCACGGATAGCAGCAGTGGTGGTGTTGTGCGACTTTCTCTGCACCTGGGCAAGTTTGGGGATGTTGGAGGATGGTTTGGCGCTGCCAATGCTGAACACTGGTGACTCCCATCGGTCTCCCTTGGCAGCGAGTTGTTTATACTCAGTTGCTTTAGAAGAGATGCCACCGGGAAGAGAGATGTTCTTGAACATGGAATCTTGTTGGGTGATGGCAACATTGACACTAGTCTTGGATGCAACGGCCTCCGCCTTCTTCTTCTTCTCCGTGAACTGCTTCTGGAAAGAGTTGACATAAGATTGATAGATGTTTGGCGCGTTCTCGGGATCTTTCTTCGCGGCCTCAACACCACGTTGGACATCTTGGTAAACACCCCAGGCAAAAGTGTCGACTTTCTCGAAGCTGTCTTTGATTTGCTTCTCCAAAACCTTTTGAATGGCTGGTCGCATTGCCTTCAACAACAGTGGCTTCGCGATCGAAAACAGCAACTTGTGATTGGATTGTTTCACCTTGATGCTCAAATTCTTGATCGTAACATCAACCTTGTCCACAACGATGAAGTGGGTACGATCAGATTTCTGTGCATTGCGTGCAGCAATTTTGAAGCTGAAACCTTCGCCACCTAGGAAGATGTCCATGACACCCTTGTCTGTGATCGAAGGAAACCCTTGCTTCCTCTTGATGTAGTATGCAACATCTTTCAAATCCATCTGGCACCCAGACGCGGAGATCATAACCTTATTATCCCGCTTGCCTCTGATGGACTTGCGGCCAAAGCGCCAATAATTGTCGCTGCCAAACTCGACAGAGTTGGGGAAGAGGTTATCACTCTCAATTACCAAGTTCTCCACGACTGCATCGATCATAGGATCCGACACCTCGATGCGAGGAATTGGAACATAACGAGTATTCTCAAAGATGGCAGGAATGATGACCTCTGTAAGATCCTTGATGAGATGAGGCTTGAATGTAGCCTTACCGTTCTCATCATTGCCGAGATCCAAGAAAAGTTTGGTGACGGCGTCGGCAAATGCCTTGTTCTGTGGGTCCTGGTCGAATTGTTCGCCGAGGAACTTAACCTCGTCAAGAATGCGGTCAGTATGATCACGATAGCGGTCACGGAGCAGGAATCGACCTTGGTCGTAGAGACGATTCCACTCGTCGTTGGAGCTGTCTTGAAGGATGAATCCTTGCTCTTTGAGTGTTCTGCGGATGAAGTTGTCAAGTGACTTGAACCAGTTCTTAAGCTCAGGATCACGATCGGCATCTCGGTAAATTTGATTCAAGGCATCGAAGAAATCATCGGTGCTGGTGGAGTTGGCGAAACGTTCAATCAAAGTCTTCAAATTTGTCAGCGTTGATTTATTATCATGATAGAGACCTAAAACACACCTTGAGGTTAGCTTCAGCAGATTTGAGTTCGTTGTCAGTGTGGGCACCTTTGACAGCTCCTTTCGATTGAGCCGTAACGTCAGTGGCGTGACCGCCATATGTCTCAGCGAGCGAGAGTAATGTGTCAATTGCTTGTTGATCTTGAATAGATTGTTAGCCAAAATGTTCTCCGTCTGAGAATGGGAAGTGTCTCACAGTCTGAGTGGCCTTGGATTTCCACGACCATCTTCTTCAAACGCCAGATAGTTTGCTCGCGGCGTTCTTGGGGCATCTTTTGTCCGATATAGTTTTTAGTGTTTTGAATTGCGACACTCTTTGCCTTTTTCGCATTTTCTTGTTGTTCGTCGGGAATGTTGGCCTGGGCTTGAGCTTTCAGATTATCGACAGCTTGGCCAAGACCGGCGCGACCTGCATCACGGGGGTCTTGCGAAGGATGAGATTGGGCTGCATCCCGCCCTTGTTGAGCAGAGTCTTGGGCAATGTTCTGAGCCTGTTCTCTGCTGACAGGAGAATTCTTGTCAAAAGCTGAGCGAGCCTGGGTTTTGAGGTTGTCCCTAGAGAGATCGGGAACGTCATGCCATGTGTTGTCTTCGGCTGGATGATCAATCTGTTGTAGCTGGTCCTCGGATGGGTTTACTTTGTTCGCCGCTTTTGAAGCTGCATCGCCAGCCATGTCACGGGCGAGGATTGAAGCATCGGAAAGAAGCTTGCGGAACTGGCCATTGGAAAGAATCAATCTTCCCAGGGTTTTCAAGCCATCAAGTGCCTCGTTGCCATGCTGTTGGGCAGTGGCCTTGTCTGTTGGGGCACCAGGCAACTTGGCTGTCGAGCCATCGATATGTTGGGTATCCCAGATGAAGTCCTGCAACAACTCTCCCTCGTTTTTGCTGAGGAGGAGAAACTTTGCCTGCTTGACAACTTCCTTGGCATCAGCAACGAGGCTTTGACCTTCAGATGACAGTTTCTTTGAGGGTGATGCGAGAGCCTTTGACTCCAAAAAGCTGTTTAGTGCGATATCGATCTGTTGGTTCGATGGGACCTTTCCATTAGCGAAAGCTTGGTAGATGCCATAAAGTTGCAGCTTCTGGTTAATGTCCTTCTCCTTGATCGCCGTGTTGGTCAGCACGTTGACGGACATGTTGAGAAATAAGGAAGGTTTGCGCGCAAATGGATATCAGAGAGGTATGAAATAGATTAGGTGTATCACAGGATCAGCGGGTATCAAATGAAAAAAAGGTGCTGAGATTGCTGTGGGAGGGTAAGAGTTGGATCAATTACTAGAGTTTGAGGGTATAATGGAAGGACAAAAGAGCCTGTGCAAATGACGGGGGGAGCAGACGTATATGAACGATGGGTCAGGAGAGAAAGCGGGCACACGGGCGGTCAACAGAGACACTACAGCACGCGTCCACATGAGTACCAAGAGATGAAAAGATGGGAATCCCGCCACGATTTCCCACTGACCAGGCAAATAGGCTCGTTGGTTTCGAGCGTTTAGTCCACATCCAAAGGTCGTGGCTGAACCAAGGTGAGCAAAGTGCTACATCACAGCGCATAATTGACTGGTGGATGGTGGATCCAGGAGGCATGAAAACAAACGATGATGTAGAAAGCTAAGAAATTCCAGAGTTAGTGATGTCATTTTCGCCCTGTCGTCATGCACAAGCTTCTAGCTATGTTGCAAGGCTTGCTCCAGGGGCATTTCCACCCAGAGGACCGAGTATTCTCTTAATAGGTTCCGTGCTCCAGATCTCCGTGGCCACCCTTAAAGTTGTTGGTTTTCATGTGGACTCCGATGTACCTAAGCAGCTCGGCAGACTACTTAGCGAGCGACAAGACCAGGCGACACATCCAGAACGGGTAGGACACTCTGTTTTCGTCCAACGTGAATTTGGTACCCTCCATCACCTCGTACGTCGTCGGTGTGAAGCATTGATCGTAGCTGGAAGCGCCATGGGATGCCATCATTGCCATCGACTTTCAACAAGTTGGATAATCTGGAGATCCGAGTTAGGAAATTATCAACCGACTATTCATGCCATGCACAAGCCAATGACGCGTCGTACGCTGGTCAAGCATGTTAGCGTTGTCCAACACCCACCGTCTCTAGACTGCCGTTACCATCGTCATCATTGCGGCATCGAAAGGTGAAATCTTTGATCGTGCTCAGAAGCCTGTCAAACATGGCCGCTTTCAGCTGAGCTTGCAAGATGATTGTTCCAAAACTGTAATTGCGTGGACTTTTCCCCACAAGCATGACGTTTTAAGCAGCCTTCAAAACCAGGATTGGCGAGTCGCTAGGGAAGTCTTCCCACCAATGAACTCTATCTCAGATATTGTTCCTGAGTAGTTTGTGGCTGGTGAGATGGTCAAGCCACAATCCCCAACATGCATGGACACTCACCAACTTCAAGAGAAGTTAAGTTGGAAGTAGCTCTTCCCAGTAGACATTCGACACCACAGTGTGCGTGTGCTTCACATGAGGATCTCCAGTAAGCGGACTTATCTAGTTAGGAATGCCGTAAGAAGCTTGAATAAGATGATCCTAAATGCCGAAAATAGGGCTTCAGATGCATGGAGGGTGCACTCCAGAGTCAACTGTCTTCTTCAACAGAGAATGGAGGCGTCACGTGATTCTTCCACTTTACGCGGTGCTCCAAGTTGAACGCGACTTCCCACCCCAACTTGAAGTTAGCGTGGCTTCCTCGCCGTTGCTAAGGCAGCCGCCCCCTTGTGAAATTTGACAACGTCATGCAAAGGCCACATCTGGCCCTCACTCAACCACCACATCAATAATTCTTGAACAGGGCTCAACACCTATAACGAACAGGGCGCTTGCTACACCAACGACTCTTCCAAAACTCAATCAAAACAGCTTCAACGCTTCAACACCCAGAATGGCCCGCGGTCGGAAACCCAAAAACACCGTTGCAGGAGCCGCATCAGCTGCTCAGTCCAGGCTATCCTTCAACAACAGTTCAGCCAAGGTCACCAAATCATCGACCCGTGCAAACAATGCAGATAAGAAAGCTGAAACACTGAAGATCTCAGAGCCAGTGCCGTCGCGGCTAAGAGAAGAAGTCAGTGCAGATGTCGAACTCACCCCGGAGCCGGAGGTCAAGGAAGTGGATGTCGTGATCCGAGAGTCACCGCGCAAAGCAAAGTCACCTAAAAAGATAGATGCACTCGTGAGAGATGAGCGCGAGGTGGCAGCAGAAAAAGTCACAGATGCTCAGATCAAGCGCTATTGGAAAGCTGAGGAGGATGGTCGATTGGCACCAAGAGGTAATCCATTATAGTTTATTTGTTCCTGCCTTCATTGAGCATCATTCTGACCGACTCTGACACAGTTCACCAATCCTCCCTCTCACTGCATGAGAAGATCCTGCGCCATTTCGATCTCTCCTCACAATACGGCCCGTGCATCGGTATCCCACGCCTGGCACGGTGGAAGCGAGCAAACATGCTGGGATTGGAGCCACCGACTGAAGTCCTCGCTGTGCTACTGCGTGAAGAGAACAGTAAGACGAGTCAAGGCTGTGGGAAGATTGCCTACATCGATGAACTGGGTGGCGGCAAGGCTGTCTTGGTCGAGTAATAGTTGAAACGCTGATCTCGAATGTGTTCCTCTCAGCGGGATGGCGGCGTTTATGGAGGTGCTATTCGATACTATGACATTATGGCGGTTTCCCAGTGCTCAAAAACGGGAAGTCAATGGGCGTTCTGGCGTGAATTTATGGACGGTGGTTTGTGGACAACCAGAGCGGGGGATCTGAGGGACGTCGTATTGTGTGACATGGGCCGATCTATGCATGGCCTTTGCAGCCAAAAATGGCGACGGAAGCCTTTGTGACTGCTCTGTCTATGTTCGATGGGGCGACGCAACCTTCATCTCATCGGACACAATGCAACTTAGTTATAGGCCTGGTCGACTCAATTCAGTGATAGTGTTGAGATCATTAAAGACTTCATTCACTGCAGATCAATGCCCATGGTAGCAGCTGCGAGCCATTCCCTGTCTTACAGAGGGAACAAAAACCAAGAGCAAATATGGCCATAAAACGGTGTTTTTCGTTACCATCCTACCGTAATCTAAAACTAATGTATTTACGCTCATATCTCGAGTTCAGCCTTCCACTGGCAAGACAAAATTGCCTCAAGACCGACCACTCGCCGTCCCGGTTACGGTTCTCACACACATCAAAAGGCTCCAAACAGACTCAACGCCGGAAAGGAATCAATCCATGAATGCCCCTATTTTTCCGTCGGATCGCATCAGACGCATCAATCCCGAGCCAGACCATCAACACAAATTTCTGCTTTTTGATGGCGGTGAGGATGCTTGCGCTCAAGAGATCAAATCATACAACAACATCGACAAGAACACCAACAGTCAAGTCGGTCATCGGAATGCTCAAATGAGACAACAGGTCTAGCCACCGAATTCGGGGATGGTGGATTTCTTGCCGAGCAGAGCCAATGGGACGATACCACTGACGTGCATCTCGGGTCCATAAACGTGCATGTTGAGTTGCAGCTCCTCACCAACAGCCTTGATGTTCTTGAGGCCTTCCTGGTAATTGGGGCCTGCTCTTCGGACCCAGATTTGGACCTTGTGCTCATTGAGGACGGTGGCAACTTCCCGCAGGGCGCGGATGACACCCTTGAATGTCGAGGCGACGTTTGTGAAGTTGGCAATACCACCACCAATGAAAAGGACCTTGCCCTCTGGGTGTTGGGGAGCGCGGAGCATAAGATCTAGAACAGTTCGGGCGTAGTTATATGTTTGAGTCTCGGTGGGTGCACCTGAGTATTCACCGTAGTTGGCCAACTCACTGACGAAACCTGCTGAGGCAATGGCATCGGCATAAACGACAGATGCACCACCTCCGGCGACCAAAGTCCACACGCGACCCTGGGCGTTCAGAACTGTGAGTTTGAGTGAAGCACCAGTCTTGGCATCCATATCAGAGATGTATTTCTCTTCCTTGGTAAGTTCGCGACCGAAAGGCGCAGGGAACTCCAGCGGGGGGCCAACATCGATGGTGACTTTCCCATCAGTCTTGACTCCGGGAAGACCAAGGGCAGCTGGGCTCCGTGCAATGGCCCACTTGGTGCCACATTCGAAGTCAGCCGTTTGGTCGATTTTAGCAGCGAGATCGAGGAAGTGGACCTCTGCAGAGGTGCCGGCAGCGTTGGGAATGACGACCAAGGGGTTGATTTCAAGGTAGGTGAATTGGCAGTCAACATAGACAGAGTATAATCGGACAATGAAGTCCAAGAGGACATTGTGAACACCCTTGGGGACCTTCTTGAGGAGGGCGGCAGCTAGTTCTTGGTTGGAAGGGAATTTCTTGAGGTCAACTGGGATCAAGATCTTCTCGGCCTTTGCATCGACATCACCGACGTCGACACCACCTTCGTGAGTGAACAAAATCCAATCACCCTATTTTGAGAGGTTAGTCTAGGTTTTCAATCACATGCAGTTTGTGTACTTACATCTCGGACAGAGTTGATGTTGATATAGTACTCGGTATCTTGGGGATGAGGAACGAATGGCTCGACGAGGAATTGTCTCAGATATCCAACCACTGTCTCGACCTTTTGTTCCTTGCCGGCTCTTGCAGCAATCCACGCCTTGGCCTCAGGCCATGTCTTGTTCAATGCAAGCAATCCACTCTTTCCTCGTCTCTTGATCAATTGATCTGGCTTTGCGACGAATTTGGAGCCAGGAGTCAAAAGCCATGGGAAGGTGGCCTCAGCTTGGTTCAGGATGGTCTCAACACTCTCGTCCTCAGGGAAATAGAGAGATGCGAGTTTTGCGGGGGCATTGTGCACACCACTGGGCTTCAGGGGAGTGGGCTTGACAACTGGGGCACGAGTAAGGTGGTAGTTGAGGATGGCCTTGCCGTCGGCTTCGAGAATGGACTTTGCTGACATTTTGGCGGCGGTGAGGGGTAGAGTGAGGACAGGTGGTTGAGAAGTTTTGAGGGTTGTTCACAGAGGGAAAGTAGTATGAATAAGGGACAAGATGGTGGAAATAGTAATTGCACAAAGCAAGAAGTATGAGAAAGTGTACAAAGCACGAGAATGTTTGTAGAGTGTGTGCTGTGTGAGATCAAGATCGAGGAGTGAGCAGAGGGCCTGGTGGTCAACGGTGGTGAATCAATCAGTCAATCGGTGCTGGAGTTTCCAGTTGGGGCCAGAATGACTTTGAGTGTGCTGAACGGATGCAATTGTTGGCGTCGGAGTAGTTGCAGCTTCAACTCTGCCTCCTACTTTTTTCCAGTGGGCAGTGGGCGGTGGGGGGTAAGTTGCGCTTGTTGGGAGCAGGGGTTACCCACTGATATGCTAAACTTATCGAGGGCACTTCCCAATTATCGAGCTAAGGCACACCAACGCCAGGAACGGGGGCTGCCCCCAGCCTAACACCCCGTCAATCAACGCCATTGAGTTCCCCAATGCCTATCCCTATGCCTATTTCACCAATGAGGCTGTCTTCTTCTCGGGCGGTCACCGCTTTCCACGGCTTACTCGGCCGCTGCCTTTGGGTTGCTAGACCCTGAAAACGCTATGGTCACACTACGAGACTCAGAACCATTCCGGATATAATATTTTTTTCTGTTGGATCGAGTCGAGTTTCACCGCAACATGGATTCGTGTCCTACTAACTAGTAAACTACTGTAGTCTGCCTGTGTCTTGGAGAGCGAATGAATCACAATTTCCGCCGAGATTTTTTTCCCGCAGGTTTTTCTTAGTCTGGTCCCGTTGCAAAGATTAAATGTCGTAGCTGGCGGAGCATTATTGATTGTTGCTGAGGCTGCATCGGGGAACGATTGATGAGAACGAGATACGAGAGTAGCCGCCATGGGAACCGGAGTCCGAGATGGAGGGGTCAGGCCATAAAAAAGTTGGAGGCACGCGAGGTACGAGGAAGAAATCCCCGTGGCTACGGCCCATTGTTCAACACAGTGAACGTATCAAAGCTGTCAGCGGGAAGGACTAAGCCTTAGGCGGGCCACATGGTGTCCCTCCAGGAGTTCAGCTGGAGATCTCAGCCTTTCCTTTGCCCAAAGAGCGACCCTTTCGGTGCCTCAGTTGGAGACTCTCAGAGCGTCTCACCGCCCAAAGTTGGTGGTGAGCGTTAGTGGCACAAGAAACATTGGGGGCCGCCATTTCCTATTTTCGGGCCCCGCCCAAGCTCACCCTAAGCAGTAAGCGGGCTCTCAACAGACGATCCCCTGCGCTCTATGCGAGTTGTTCCAGTCTGGCATTTTGTGGTCCTTCAGAGCATCATCCTGCTGAGGTGCATCCGTACCAGACGGTTACTCTTGCTGTCCACCTGCACACAATCTCAACTCACTCTATTTCCCCAGTGGTGATATCCATCTTTGCTGAATTCCAACAACAGGACAGTTTCTCTCTTCACTCCTTGACCACTACCCAACACTTGTTTATTGACCCGGTAAGTCCTTTCAAAGTCTTTGGGATTTTCCATCTCACTGTCATATCTCCTGAAACCCCTCCTTGTGATATACACCTACCACCTCATCGGCGCTCAGTCTTCTCTTCTCTACTAACAATGGGATTACCAGTCCGTGAAAACACTCCTCCCAACATGCCTTCCGCTACACAAGGCGCTCCTAACGGAGTTCCTACCATTGATCTGCCCGAGGGCTCGTCAACCCCCACACCATTCTCTGCCAACGACAACATCCGTCGTTTTGATCCTCCCTCAAGAGTACCCAGCCCAGTCCAGAGCAATCTCTTTCATAACAAGACGAGATGTTTCGTTTAGTAAGTGCCATGGAGACCTCAAACTGGAATCTGATCCAGATCTAACCAGGAAAACAGTGGCATGCAGCCCAAGGCTGTCCAGGGTATGCTCGACTTCGACTTCATCTGCAAACGAACCACCCCCTCCGTTGCGGGTATCATCTACACATTTGGTGGTCAGTTCGTCAGCAAGATGTACTGGGGTACCACCGAGACTCTCATCCCAGTCTACCAGTCGGTTGAGAAGGCCTTCGAGAAGCACCCTGATGTTGATACCATTGTCAACTTCGCCTCCTCTCGATCGGTCTACACCTCAACCCTCGAATTGATGAATGTGCCCCAAGTCCGCTCCATCGCCATCATTGCTGAGGGTGTCCCCGAGCGCCGTGCTCGCGAACTCCTTGTCAAATCTAAAGAGAAGGGAATCACCATTGTTGGACCGGCCACCGTTGGTGGCATTAAACCCGGTGCTTACAAGATTGGTAATACTGGTGGTATGATGGATAACATCGTGGCCTCCAAGTTGTATCGCAAGGGTTCTGTCGGCTATGTCTCCAAATCCGGTGGTATGTCCAACGAGTTGAACAACATCGTCTCTGCAAACACCGACGGTGTGTATGAGGGTATTGCCATTGGTGGTGACAGATACCCCGGTACCTCCTTCATCGATCACATTCTCCGTTATCAGAACGAGCCTGACTGCAAGATCATTCTTCTTCTTGGTGAGGTTGGTGGTGTCGAGGAATACCGAGTCATCGAGGCTGTGAAGAATGGCCAAATTACCAAGCCAATTGTTGCCTGGGCCATTGGTACTTGTGCAAGCATGTTCAAGACCGAGGTTCAATTTGGACACGCCGGTGCTTCCGCCAACTCACAACTCGAGACCGCTGTCACGAAGAACGCCTCCATGAGGGAAGCTGGCTTCTTCGTTCCTGACACCTTTGAGGAACTCCCACAAGTCCTCGCCGAGGTCTACCAGAAACTTGTCAAGCAAGGATCCATTAAGCCTGCTGCCGAGCCTGCAGTGCCCAAGATCCCCCTGGATTATGCCTGGGCGCAGGAACTTGGCCTGATCCGAAAGCCAGCTGCTTTCATTTCTACCATCTCCGATGACAGAGGTCAGGAATTGCTGTACGCTGGTATGCCCATCTCCGACGTTTTCAAGGAGGATATTGGTATTGGTGGTGTCATGTCTCTCCTGTGGTTCCGCAGACGTCTTCCCCCTTATGCCAGCAAATTCTTGGAAATGGTTCTCATGTTGACTGCTGATCACGGTCCGGCCGTGTCTGGTGCCATGAACACCATCATCACTACTCGTGCTGGCAAGGATTTGATTTCTTCTCTCGTTGCAGGTCTTTTGACCATCGGATCCAGATTTGGTGGTGCCCTTGATGGTGCCGCCGAGGAATTCTCAAAGGCCTTCGACAAGGGTTGGTCGCCAAGAGAGTTCGTTGACACAATGCGAAAGGAGAACAAACTCAGTAAGTCCAATTCCAGCGCATCTCACTTCTTCATGCTAATCGCCCATAGTTCCCGGCATTGGTCACCGTGTCAAGTCCCGCAACAACCCTGATCTCCGTGTCGAACTTGTTAAGGAATTCGTGACAAAGCACTTCCCTACCCACAAACTTCTCGACTATGCTGTTGCCGTCGAGACTGTCACCACCTCCAAGAAGGACAACTTGATTTTGAACGTCGATGGATGTGTAAGTGGTTTTGCCATTAGTTGCCTGTAGTGTTTTTGCTAATCATTCGTTAGATTGCTGTTTGCTTCGTCGACTTGTTGCGCAACTCAGGAGCCTTCTCCCCTGAGGAGGCCGAAGATTACCTCCGAATGGGTGTCTTGAACGGACTGTTCGTGCTCGGTCGTTCGATCGGTCTGATTGCCCACTTTTTGGATCAGAAGCGTCTCCGTACTGGTCTCTACCGTCATCCTTGGGATGATATCACTTACCTTCTTCCCACCCTGGGCAAAGGCGGTGAGGGACGTGTCGAAGTCAGTGTATAAATTCGAGTTGCCTAGTGTTTTGAGAGGGATTATCCAGCGCTCGGCCATTCATGTACCGAGAATTGAACATGTCTTGGCGTTCTAAACATTAAAGGGGGTCAAACAGGTGTCTTAGAGACAAGGCTGAGGGAACTTCAGAAGTAACGAAGGTCTACGAAAGGGGCAAAAAGTATCTCTGTTCGTAGTGGCAAATTAGTGTACAGCGAACAACTGTGATACATGAAGTAGCATGAATTTATTTCGCTTCAAAGACTCTCTGGTTGGAAGTTGAAGGTTTTATGCAGGAGTACATCTCAAACGATAGCCCAGTGGATACACCTAGTTCTGTATTCTTGTGAAGGCAATCAGCTCCTGTTCGGATCATTTCCCGCTCTCAGCAGCAGCAAGGGCAGCAGCGATGGCCTCGGTCATCTCGAGGACCTTCTCCTCCTCAAGCCTGCGGCCCACAACCTGCAGCGACACTGGGGCACCGTGGTAGAATGCCGCGTCGTAGTCCTTTTGGATGCGGCCGTCGATGTCGCTCAGCTGCTTGAATGTCTTTGGGTCGCGCGCCACATCGATGGCTTGATCTGCGAACGTGACGGGAAAAGTGCATGCTGCGAAATCTGAGATTCGATGAAGGAGGGAGAATTGAAGTCAGTCTGAGCCCACACACAGGAAGCAATACAACCGACTTGGAGAGAGTCTCGGAAATGGATAGAAACAAGGCAGCACTACTCACCGAGAAAGTTCCACACGCCTGTATATCCGACGTAGAGGCCGGAGCGCTGTGTCTCGCCGAGGCGGGGCGCCGCCCACGGCGACACGGCCTGGATGATTCCATCGATGGGCGGCTTGCCGTCGGCTGTGGCGGACGCGTTCCAGCGGTCCAGATACGCTTTCTGCAGGGCGTTGCGGCGCAGGTTCATCAGGCGCATCTTGGTGGGGCCCAGCTCGCTTTCGCCCGCTTGCGCGGCGACCGCGTAGCCTTGCATGCTCGGGAACACGGGCTCGTCGTACGAGTTCACGACGTCCATGATCGCCGTGCCGCCGAGGTCGAAGAATGCGGCTTGGAGGTTCTATGAGGTTGGAGTTAGAGGGGCATGGTTTTGTTTTCGAGAAGTGTATCAGGCGCGGGTGTAGTGTGTTTCGCTGAACTTACCTTGACGATCGCCTCGTGGTCTTCCGTCGACCAGGGAATGATCTCGTGTCCTGCCTTTTCGAGCGCGGCTTTCGTCATGTTCAATGCTCGTTCTACCGGTGGATGACAGTGGACCAGGCCGTCTTCGATGCCGATTAGGCCAAGTCGGAGTTTGCGACCGGGTGGTTGGATGACGTTGTTCCTCCACGGTATGGGCACGCATTTGTGATCAAAATCCCATGGCCTGACTTGGTCTGATAGGACGGCTTCGGAGTAGAGTCTGATGGATTTGAGGGACCGGGCCATTGGCCCATTGATCGCGAGGATGTACTCCTGGCCGGCGATGCTGGGTTTCCCTCCGTAGGTTGGATAGCGACCGAAACTCGGTTTCAGTCCGTATAGATGGCACCAGGCTGCTGGAATGCGGATACTGCCGCCTATGTCTGTACCAACACCTAGGGGGGAGCCTTTGAAAGCTATCAGGGCGCCTTCACCACCGCTTGAACCTCCTGGGCTAAGGTGCTTGTGTAACGGATTCCGCGTTTCACCCCAGACATTGTTGGTGGTCTCTGCCATCATCATTGCACTGGACACTGAATGTTAGTGGACCACATCGCGAGTTTTGGTGACGAAAATCATTGAAGAATGCAGATCATCAAAGTTCATTTACCTACACTGGAACATTGGTCTTCACATAGAAGACGGCACCGAGGTCTCTCAGGATTGTGACAAGCAGTGAGTCCTTGTCCATAGCCTCGTTGGCGTATGCTGCCAAGCCATTGGACGAGGGGTGTGGCGCGGTAACGAAACAGTCTTTCAGCGAGATCGGAAGACCATGGAGTGGACCCACGGTCTTGCCCGTCCGTGCAAGATAGTCGTCGAGATAGGTGGCCCGCTCAATGGCTTCAGGATACAAGACTTCTGTAATACAATTGGTCTCGAGAAAGGTCAGCAACACGGGTTTCTGGCCTCAAAGTGTGGTGAAATTCGAATTTACCAACTCCTGTGCCAAAGCCGAAGCCTTGCAAAAAGCCTTCGCCACATCGAGCGACGTCCATGTTCGGGTCTTGATGTTTTCAAGAATGGCATCTGCTTCCGACTCGATGATTCCCAGCTCACCTGTCGTGTAGTAGCCGGATTTGATTGCAAAGTCTGTCAGATTGGCCGGTAACTCTGCCTCCGGCCATGTGGGCGTGGTGTAGAAGGCAGCAATACTCGCGGCTCGTCTTTTGCGAGCAATAGCCGAGGCTTGCTCATATGCCATATTGGTAAATTGACGGAATATTTGCAAGACTAGTCACGTCACAAGGTAGATGATTTCAGTGGACTGACCGGCTTCAATGGGGATCACGAGGAATATGGGAGAAATCATAGAGCCATAATGAAAGACACGAACGACATACTGGAACAAACCTGAAGGGACTAAGCGGATAAATGCGCAGTGTCAGTGCGGAGATGTACAGAGTGGACTGTTTTGATGATTGTTCGATTTGGAGATACATTCTTGGACCCAATCCGAGGTACTCTGCTGCTCGATGTCAATCCGTGTAAGTCCGTCCCAAGGAGAGAGACACTGAGGTATCATCTACCTAGGTATCTCTCTAAGATAATGACAATGGCGTAATACGTCCGAACAGGGCGGTGCCTGAGGTCGCGTTAAGAACGAGACCGAGCTTCCCAAGGTTCACAGAAAATAGTGGCGCCCCCAAACTGGAATGTGGCTGATGTCATCGACACGTGACTTGCTTCGCCACAGCCCAACAATCAAAAAGCACCCTTACCTGCTGCACCTAGGTACTCGCAGACTGAATTTGCCCCTCGTTTCCAGCAGCAGCTCCAAGCCAGAAATGACCAAACTCTACCTCGTACGGAAATGCCGGCCAAGTCGGTTAACGGAAAGGGCAAACGATGAACCTGACAGGTCGGAAGTGGGCATCTTGTGGGGACATGATGAACCCTGCAGATGACTGGCTTTGCTTGATGGCTGACAAGTAAAAGCGTCGTAACCACCCTCGGGCTCGGGCGATATTTGCATGATCATTTCCCAGCTCTGCCGCGGGGGCTGAGTTGAGGCTTGAGCGACTTCGAGTAGCATCTGCGCCTTCTGTATTCTTCGCTTCTACAGCTGGACCGTTCCTTCCCTATAACTTTCCTCCTTCAGAGTCTTGTTCTTTGATCTCTCTTCCGATCAATCTCCAAGACACTATCGTCAGCCTCACCTAAGCTCCTCATCGATCCATTCTCCTTCTTCTTTCACAGTCGCCATGTCAGGTCCTTACGATTCATACGGCGGTGGCCAGAACTACGGTGGCCAGCAGCAATATGGCCAGCAACAGAATTATGGAGGCGGTTATCCGCCTCAGACTGGCTATGACCAGAATCAAGGTGGCTATGGACAGCAACAGCAATATGGACAGCAACAACAGAACTATGGTGGTGGCTACCAGCAAGATCAGAACTTCGGCCCACCCCGCCGCCAGGACTCTTTCGGTCCTCCCCAACATGGTGGCTTCCAACACGGCCAAGCAGGAGGCCAATATGGTCAATATGACGCCAGTAACCCACAGGGCCAGCCCAGCTACTACGGCTCCCAACAGGGTGGCGACGCCTACTCACAAAACCAAGCCTACCAGCAGCAGTGGGCGCAGGGTGGTCAACAACAAGGAGGTTCACAACCATATGCCGGTGATCATCAATTCGCCAAACAATCATCCGATCCCAACGCCCCTAACTATGATCCCAGTGCGCCCCCAATGTCAGACCAGGACAGAGGCTTGATGGGCGCCATTGGAGGCGGTTTGGGTGGTGCGTTCCTCGGAAAGAAGGCTAACCACGGCTTCTTGGGCACAGTAAGTCGCATCAACTTTGAAAATCTCCAAAGGCAGTATTGCTAACCAACTATCTTCTCAGGTCGGTGGTGCTATCTTGGGCAGCGTGACAGAGGATCTCTTCAAGAACAAGAAGAAGACTCACGGCTCCTCCAACAGCAGCTGGGGAGGTTCCGGCAGATACTGAACGTCGGGATTGAACACCCCTGATGCACATACCTTAACGCAATGAACGACAATCAGCTTTTCCTTGTCTTTATACCGAATGGAACAAACCGGATTGGTTCAAAGTATTATCGTTACGACACTTAGTCATATTTTTTGTCCAGCAACCAATGGCTTCAGATAGTTCTATTACGAATGCATTATGGAAATGAAATCAATCTGTCAAATTCCTTGAGTCATCGGTCATGTGTTGTTTATTATATGCTGATTTAAGCCTAACACAGATACCCACTGGCAACGGCATTTTCTGTTTAAGATATGCTCAGCGAATCCACGTGAAACATTTAAGTTGCAACTGACTCACGCCCATAATCACAGCATTCAATACCCAGCTCCGATCCGTCACTCCACACGGACTATTCTAGATACGGGATATGTACTTTCCGTATCTTTGAAGGATTTAGATAGCCAAGTAGCGTAGAAAATGCCCCAATGCTTGATTAGTTTTTCTCCGCAATACCGTAGACGGCCACCTGAGGCTTCTGCACGGCCACAACGGCTTTGAGCCCAATGAGTGTGGGTTTCTGCCTTGCGCCCCCTTTCCGTGACTCACAACAGTGAACCGCAGTCGACTTCACTACCTTGACCAGTGAGACAATGCTTAGCGAATAGATACCTAGAATATAGTCATATAGTCATAATGGGAAGATGTCCTCGGCTTTTGTTCAATGTTCATTGATTCTATCTACGAGCAAACAATATTCAACCCCATGTAAAACAACAACCGTGCCTAGGAAACCTAGCGATACGAAGTACTAAAATACCTATTTACCATCAGAATCAATACACACATAGATTCATTTCCCTCAGATCTCACGATCATGATGTTGATTCACAATGCTGCTTTGGCAGATGAGATCTTCGCTCTCAATGCGATCTATGGAGATGGCACAGTCACTGCAACTTTCTCCAACAGCGACCATACGACAATTAGTCTTCGACTATTCGACCTGTCCTATTCGTTTCTACTTCACATAGCCAACACATATCCACGGTCGACGCCCAGAGTACTGGGTATCGACGACTTGATGCAGAGCACTCGTGTGGAGGCTCGTCAAAATGTCATGTACTTTCAAGCCTGCATCGTCGCGGCCAAACACCCTGACGGTGTTTGTTTCTTCGATGCAATTGAACAATTTGACCCAATCTTCACAATGCAGCGGGCACACTATCTCAACATTGAACACGGTCTGGATCCGGAGAAAGAGGAGAACGAGGAGAGACTGGCGATGCTCAGGCAGCTGGTGGATAAAGCGGCACTTGGATCACCACCACCTCCTTCTTCAGCGACTGAGTCAAATCCGTCATCGGATATCGTGGGCTGTGCCGTGTGCATGGAACCCTTCTTCAGAATCGATACTGCCACGTTGAAGTGCCAGCACTCGTATTGTCATGACTGCCTCGCGGATGGCATCAAATTTGGTTTCACCGAACGGAGCGAGCTGAAATGCTGCGGCAAGAGCATTCCTAACCATATAGTTCGAGACTTTGCCGGCTTCGATGAGGCATGGCTAAAGTTTTATTTCGCTTACCTGAGAGAACGACACTCACCGAATCCAATATACTGCCCATATTTCAAATGCAACGCGTTTATCCCACAGGTGTGTATGGAAGGTGAGAAGGCAAAATGCCCCGTCTGCAAGAAGCAGCTTTGTGTGGCATGCAAGGATAAAGAACATCGAGGTCTGTGCAAGGCCGATATCAAACTGGCCAAACTGGCCAAAGCTGAGAAGTGGCAGTCCTGCCCATCGTGCAGCCATATGGTGGAAAGGACGGAGGGCTGCAATCATATGGATTGTATTTGTGGGATCCGATTTTGCTATCGCTGTGGCAAGACAAATTGCCAGTGTGGCATTTTTGAGGATTGAGCTCCGTGGTTGTACATAATGTGTACATCCATAACAACCCAATTCAGTACTCCAGTGGTGCTCTGAGAGCAACCGCGTCTGATTTCTGACAGGATCAGAATGCGGCCATGGAAGCCAACAAAACAGCATCTTACACTAGACATAGCAGGCGGCGCCCGGGCTGTGAGTTTCCATGACCACGGGAGAAGAACTATGGTAGATTCAAAGTTCAAAGCGGCGATTCGGCGTCCAGGGTGAGGCCAACCAACTAGCAGCACAGAAACGTCCAAGGAGTGAGGAGATGGTGGAATCACCACCGATTCGAGATTGAGACACCTTGCACCACAATTGTCGACTTGCAGAAAGTCAATCCTTAGGCCTCCGTTGATCGAGGAAGGTGCATGCAAAAAAGATGTGGTTTGCAAGGGTGGGTTGGAAAGCAACAAGATATGATCCAACCCTTGGAAGAGACACCACAGGGAGTAGGGAAGCACTTCCGGTGACTTTGTCAGTCGATAGGCACAAAGCCATCTCAGCCTCAGCACCTATCTCAATAGTAGAAAGGGAAATAAGAGCGAATGACCAATAGCCTGCAGTTGATGAGCTGTAGCTTAGTCGTGATGGCGTGGTAAAAGAGATAACGGATGCACACGGATCATCGTTGGCACTTTCTATCGTGCTTATAATCCCGATGGGCCGGATACATTTTCTTCCGAGCAAATGAATACCAAAAGTTCTAACATCCTGGGTCTGCTTTTCTTTACATTATTGTGCCTGTTGTTGTTTTTTTGTAGCTATTGTTCATTATGATCTCCTTCATCGTCTGGATCTTCGTCTCTCTGCGGCCACCATGATCGCCAGAAGTGTGACACTCAAGAGCTAAGGCATGAGGATCCATTTGTTCTCCAAGCTTCTGTGAATTTCAGCTCGATGTCGGCATAGTTGGCTTCAAAGTAATTCAATGTGTCCTGAGTGTCATAGTCACCCTCCGTTAAAAACTGGAGCTTCGCAACTGTCACTTTCAGGAACAAGGCTGCATACTTCGGTATCAGGACTGGACGAACTTCCTTTGCCGCCAAATTTTATGACTTACAGGTAATGAACCCCAACCAATTACCTGCGAAAAGTCTTCTATGGGCAAAAAATGATGCCTCTCCAAACTTGACAAGCGTGAAATCTCGGGGATGGTCATCGAGTAAAATGACTATTAGCATTCCAATTGTGCCAAGCTGATGGAGACAGCTACCTGGGATCACGGTGCGTATGATCAAATACAGCAGCAGTGTTGTGTTAGTCCACAATGGTCGTGGCAAATATTCCGGTTTGTCGAGGTTGATTTTCAATGGTCTATCAAGCCCGTAATTGACAATACCTGACATCTCGAAGCAATCCCCACTTAGCCACGGTCGCATCTCATAAGGTGATTAAGCCGTGAGAAGGACCTCGCCAACCATCACGTCTGTAATTGACGTTGCTGAATCTGATGAACATTTGACTGTCAGTCCCTCGAAGTAGTGGGATGTCCGGGATGTCCGTGCAATTGCACATGGGCGAGCAATTGCAAGGATGCTTGGATACTACCCATAGCATTTTTGCTGGGTCGAGTTCTGGCTCGAATTGTCAGTGGATCATGCCAATTTCGTCAAAAACAGCTCACTATGTAAGTAATCAAGAATACAAGAAGCATCATAGTTCTCAGCGAACCACATGGTCAGCAATGCACGAATGTCAGAATCGTCAGCATAATGCTTGAGCGCAGGGCGGACGACCATCCACATCCACATGATTTCCACACGAACTTCGAACATCGTCTCAGCCTTGGACAGGTGACCGCACAATCAGGTAGGCTTAGCTCATCGACTGCAGGTCTTGGGATTGGAAAAGGTACAGGCATCTCGACTGGAAAAAGACTGAGAGTGTTCACTCTCGCACCTATTGAGAAGGCGTGTTGTGCAACTTGAGAAGAGGGAGGCTTTGAAAAGAGAGATTGCGTGGATTGGGGAGAAATGTTAAACGCAACTGCCATCTTCAACGACCTTGTCGCGTGCCTGAAACTTTATAATTCACGAAGCTGTTTTACAGTTTATCATATCACAAACACTAACCCACTGCACACGACGACAAGAAGGAACACGAATGCACGAACGAGGCAAGTCGATGCAATGGGATCTCAGCTTCACACGAGGGGCTTGGCCTCGATAGCTTCGGGCTGTTGAGCTTGGGAACACAACAAGAACAAGCCATGTCAAATCATCGAAGCCTTTGCATGGCTTGTTCTTACACAGGTACTACGCCCACCATGTTGTCTTATCATTTCAGTGCTTGATGGTGAGTTTCCAAGGTCCCGAATGAAGCCGATCGTGGAAAATGACAGCAAGCCAGATTTCTCACCGTGACCGGATTTGCTCAAAAGAAAATGGTCTCTGTACTTCACGTCAAACAAATCCTAGCGGTTGCCCGCCTGCGAAGACCAAGACCTCCATAGGGTGTTGTGAATCAGGTGTGCTCCTGTGTTACTCCCTTCCAGTACAACTACAGAGAGGTCGAAGGACAAACCCTCTCGATTATCATCATGAAGCCTTTTTCCACGGAAAGAGCTCCACGGATTCTTAACAATTCAATCTAGCCATTTGTTGGGAATGACTCCCCATCTGATCTGATGCAAATGGTGAGAAAGGGGTTGACAACCTTGTTGCGGTAAGGCTGGGCTTGCAAGGCTAAACGTTCCGGAAGCACGAAGCACGTGCCCAGAACAGAACACCTGTGCCGCGTGTCGGCGTGTCAGCCACCCAACTGGCCCCAACTATTTTCTTGTCCACCGTGATCCTCATCCTCAGCCCTCCAACCTCAGCCTCCTCCTGGTCCTGGTCCTGTCAACTTTCATCTGCGGGCATGATGAAGACTCCCTTTGGTTTCTAATCCCTCCTTCTGTGCTCGCTTCTCTTGAGAATATTCGGTACAGGCTGCAGCATTCTTTCCAGCATGGCTGAAGATCCCCAGCCACTTACTCTTCAACAGCGTATTGCCGCTCTCAATGCTGCTCACATTGGCCGGGTTCCAGGAGATCCTCCCCGACCCTCGTCTCACCCAACTCCGCCCTCGATCCCTACGAGACGTCCAATTGTTGTTAAGCAAAACACGATCAACAACCCTCCAGAAAACCTCAATGGTTCAGTCACAGACTCGAGAATTGGCAACAAGCCTGCTCCTCCCCCTCAGCCGCCTGTTCGAAAACAGCCACCACCCCTTCCAACAAGAAACAGCTCGCTGGACGAGGAGAGGAGGGGCTCGGTAGCGTCCACCGCGTCCAGTGGCACAACCAACACGACTGAAACCTCATCTGCGCGTGTGACCGCTACACGAACGAAATCAACAGATTCTGCTAGTCGAATTAAAGCACCCGCTTGGGGTGAATGTGAATTGCCCGCCCTCCCTCCCAAGGGCCAACAAGCGAATCCTCCTACAAGGAAATACTCGGAAGAAAGACCGAAATATGTTAATCGGGCACCGTCGAGCACTTCTATAGTCAGTATCGCTTCCAGCACCGATACGAGACCTCAGCCACCTCCACGACCCGCACTTCCCCCACGACTTCCATCCCGCAAGCCTTCGATCGAACACAGAGAACATGTCGCAGATGCACCTGTCAGAAAACTTCCTCCCATGCCATCGCTTGACTCAATTGAAAGAGCCAAACGAGCTGCCTTCTCGCAAGGTTCCCCAACCGAGCAGGACACTACACAGCATATACAGCAGTCACCATCGACAATAATATCCAAGAAAGACCACATACCGGCCTCCTTTCGAAATCATATACCTGTCATTGGCAAGGAACAGCTCCCCACCCCTGTTCGTGAGAAGATCGCACCAAGAATTCCTCTGCCTTCAAAGACCCAATTAGATCACATCTCGTCATCCGCAAGAGAATCCTTCAACAAACATGCTCCCATGGTCAAAGAGACGGTTACCAACCATGTCACCCAGAACCACGCACCGCCTCCTATCCCGATGTCCTCTCGACCAGATCTTTCAGCAATACAAGCTACAAAACCTAAGTTTAGCACGAGTCCGACCTTGGTGAATGGAAACGTATCGTCCGTAGGCAATGTATGCCTTGTCTGCAGAGATTTCTCAGCGCCTGATCAACAAGCTGCCCTCTTCCCTCGTACTCATGTCACATCACTTCAGACATTAGCTCATTCACTGACTGCACCATTTCCTTCCGACACGGACAAAGCTCGAGCACTATTTACCTGGCTGCACCTTAATATTTCCTATGATGTTGTGAGCTTCTTCAACAATAATGTCCGGGGTTCGACACCTCAGTCAACACTACAGAGTGGTCTTGCGGTGTGCGAGGGCTATGCGGCTCTGTTCACGAATCTGGCGACGTATGCAGGACTGGAGTCGGTTGTCATCTCTGGGCATGGAAAAGGTTATGGGTTTGATGCTCTGGCTCCTGGTGCCCCACTTCCACCTTATAATGCCGGTCACGCGTGGAATGCCGTCAGAATTGACCACGGAGAGTGGAAGTTGATTGATGCTTGTTGGGGTGCTGGTTATGTTCAGGGAGCTGGGCAGCCATACATTCAAAAATTCAACCCGGATTATTTCTCTATGACGAACGAGCAATTTGGTGTGAAGCATTTCCCCGGCAACAAAGATCATTTCTTCTTGCCTGGCGGCCGACGCATGAGCTGGGAAGAATACATTGTTATCGACCCTGCTTGCTGGCCTGACATGGTGGAAGGCCCCACGGTGTTCACTAATGCCAAGGAAGACTATTCAATTGGGGAGAAGACTGTCTATCCTCGAGCAAGGAAGATCAACGTCAGACAATCTGGCTCAGTGCGTTTCCAATTTGGACTTCTATGCCCGCATTGGACGCTCGAGCACCACACCCGAAAGGGCTTACCACCAGTCTTTATCGTTGCGATCCATGGAGTCGATGGTCGGAACAAAGACCATGTTCCTATGGATCTTCATCCAGGACCTTCGGGCCAAGGCGGAAATATCTGGAGTCTCGATATCCCTGCCCAGCAACTGGGAGCTCCAGGTCAAACCGTGACGCTCTTCGCTGTGACGTCATTCGGCGATAGACAAGATGCCCGGGGTCTCACGGTCCGGGAATTCAAAGAAGGGAAAGGAAGAGTCGGGATGGGATTTGTCGGCGTTGCTGCTTGGGACTTGGTATGACGGATTGTCGTCCTTCTTTGCCCTTGCCCTCGTGCAACAGCAAAATTTTCAAGTAGGAATCGGGAGTTTTGTCGACGTTTTGTCGGCTTTTGAATGGCATAGATCGCCCACAAATGAGCGCAGATTACAATCTGGGAATACTCTTTCCTGGGAACGAACGAGATCCAACAAGGAAGGACTGGAACATGGTAGTACAGGAAGGCATTAGGCAGATTTGGGACTTGTTGCAACTTGCGCGTTTTGAAATGGGCTTGAACATTGATGGGAAACATGGGCATCAGGATTGGAGGGCAATCTCAACATGCCTGAATAATGATAATGAAGAAACCACACACACACACATATGCACACAATACCGACGAGATACCCAAACGATTGAGAGCGAGAAGGATGGTCAAATGGATGGATTGATGGACGGATGGGCCGGACCGGACAATTCATGTCCAGGTCGACTCCTATCTATGTGAGAGCCGAGGCGAGGCGAGACGGGATGAGAGACGAAAAGGGATCGTGTTATGTTATGTTATGAACTGCTCTGCTCTGCTAATGAAGAGCACGGGATCTGAGAAGAGACAACCGACACCCAAGAGATAGATACTCAAATGTCATGATATCTGGTCTTCGCTGTGCATTTTTACCAACCCAGGTAGCTGGGCATCGTTCCAAATAGGTATGTTTCGGTTCATGACATGCGGTGATGCTCGAGAAACCTGGCTGAGTCATCTCGTTGATCTGTATTGGATGGAATGGGTGCCAGAAACCACCTACTATTTCAATCATAAACTTCTCTCCATTGCGGAAAGGTTGTGAGGATTTCGAACGCAAAGCCAAGCTTGATGTCACAGACATGTGTTGATGAGGATGTGATATACGTAAATGGACTGTGAATGAACGCTGTGGATAAACCACAATATATTGGATATTTATGACTCATGTGTAATGATGTTGGAACAATGGTCGCTGCCAGATTGTGATCAGCTCAGCCAGGTCAAACTCGAACGCCTTCGCCATTATGCATGATATATGAATATGAAATGATCGTCATCGCTCCTTCGCCTTGTGATTCGTCCAACCGAAAGATCACCATAGCAAGGAGGAAGGCTGAAGATCCAGGATCTCAAAGCAGTCAACCAAGAAGGCAGGGACCAGTTTCAGAATCTTCTTCTCCTGAAATCCAGGGGTCCAAATATCGAACTTGGACCCATCCCAGTACGGAAAATAGGTTTAACTCTAGCTCGTGAAGTATAGACATCGCCTTTCACGTTCAAAAGCAAGGCCCGTTCCCGGGTTGTTTTCTAAACAACGACATTTCTCTGCCGCCACAACCTCCACGCCAAGCACCATAGAACAATTGCTGCACACACACTCACAGCACAGCCCCAAGCCCAGACAGCGAAACATGCATAACCACGGCATTCGCCCTGGCTGTCACTGGCATCGGAGTATCCTGCAGAGTAGACTAGACTCCATACTGCCGCGCCCCCTGCAGGCATCATTGCGACAACACCCCAATTTGTAGCGAAGTTTTCCGCACCCCAAACCACAGAGATAATGATAGGAACCAAAGAGAAGGATGCACCGTAGCCAAGACCAAGTAGTCCAGAGCATAGGAGGAAGAGGGATGGTGTGGCCGTGGTTAGGAACGGAAGGGCGAGAGTGAGGAACGCGAATAAAAGCAAGACTGCCGAAGGTAAAAGGAGCACCAGCCGCGAAAAACTTGTTCGGGTCGAGGGGGGGTTCTCGGGATAGGAAGGTGGTGCGAATAAATCGGATAAAGTACCAGTGAAGAGACGGGCAAAAGTTGATGCCAAAGCGATGATGGAAACATGGGTGGAAGCACGCCCAGCGGGAGGACTCGTTACATCGAAATAATTCTTAGGCGTAAGCGTCGGAATGATGGTGCCCAAATTATTGATGTATGCCTCTCCAGGTCCAGTGAGAAGGAAAAACCCGGCTGCTAGGAGCCACATAGTATGGTCTGTGAGGAATGTGTGGGTTGCATGGTTTAACAGCCACCATTTTTTCTTTTTTAGCCTAGATTTTTCCTCCCGATGCTTGATGACTTGTGATGCAGAGAGATCGAGATATGCTTCTTCGTCGTCGTCATCGTCGGACACAGTTTCCGAGTCTGAGGGGGGGCTCTCTATGGTGCCATAGTTGACGGGAGTGGGAGCTCGGGAGTCGTGATAGAATTCGCTTTCATCCAGCAAGCCACTTCGTTCGAGGGCTTCGACACCATGATCGATCAGATCCTCTTCATCTACAATCTGTAGGCCCAGAGTCCCCAGGAGACCTACGCCAATCAAGGTACCCGCCAGGAAGATGAAATACTTGAAGACATCGAGATCACCCTTTTGGCCATTGGGCAGTCTCTCGTACAACAAATGCGCACCAATCTGGCTCTCCCACATGCCACTCAGTCCAAAAGCCGCAATAGGCACGGCCAGCATAAAGCCACGGTATTTTGCGGTTGCGAAGTTCTTTGCACATGTAGCCACAGCGGAAAGATACATGCAACTTGTCCCTGCACCGATGCCCACAAATGCAAGAATCATGATTCCAAAAGGCCATCCTTGTCCATCAATCTTCGCATCTGCAGGTGGGCCAGATCTGTAAGTATATGCGGCAAGGATATAACCGAAGCCAAAGAGAGCGGATGCGAGAAGTGATAGCGGCGGAGGAGAATATCTGTCACAGAGATATCCAAATAACGGTACGGGAAGATACATTGCCAGTTCCGCCGTGATCGAGACCGCATTGACTCGGAATTGAGTGTAGTGGAGGTCGGTAAGAAAACGTACGCCATAGAGGGAAAACGAGGTGATGGATCCGGCGCATAAGCTGGGGATGAAACGGTTAGCATTCAAGACCACTTTTCGGAATATCTGGCACACACCAACTGAGGACGGCGCAGACGAAGCTCAGCACGCGAGTGACTTCTCTGCGCATCTTGAGACGATCCTGCTCGATGATGCCTTGGGCAACCTGATCCATGAAGTCGTAACCGTCGTCACCAGGTCGAGGTCCTGAGCCACTGGAGCGCCTCCTTCTTCTACGATTGGTATCGAAGTCTAACGAGGTGATGCGAGGGTTGAAGGTGGGAGATGTAGGCGCCATCCTTGGCGGGCTGCCGCAGACGAGGCGGGCTCTCTAATACTAGGTAGGTTCCATGTAGGGTATAGGAATGCTCTCGGGGATGGAAAGATGCGTATGAGATGAAGCGGACCGGGTCAGGTTGCCATGAAAGACCGTTGTGGGCACGGAGGGATGTAGAAACGAGAGGTGGTGGTGAGGATGGAAGGAGATGTCACTCTGAGACTTGGAGAGGGACGGCAAGAATTGAATGATGCAATTCGCAAGTCAATTCGCAGTTGCCCGTTGCCGACACCTCGACCGTGACGGATACGGACAAGGCAGGAGCGGATCTACCCGCAGAGAGAAGGAGCGACCAGGCGACCACCAGCCTCGTCCGGATATTGACGGCACGGCAAGACTGACAGTTAAAAGTAGGTATTTGAGGCACTGCCACTTATCTCCCTACTCGACTTGAAACCAATTTATCTGAAGTTCTCGTTCGTATGGAACACCACGAGCAATCAGGTTTCCTGTCTTGATAGAATTCGAAGAACGATAGGTATCTCGGCAATCTGGGTTCGCTGGATTGTGCGGAGGACATACTGTAGGGCCTATCGGGCCTCTGCTTATTAGTTGGTGAATATAGCCCAGTGAATAAGTACCCACACTTGTGTTTCTCAGTCGAGCAGCACCAAATTCGGCCACGGTTGTCTGCTATCGGTATACCTCGTCTGATGTCGACTTTGAAAGACTCTTAGTGACTCCATGAGGAGAACCTCCCGTACTCGGTATGGGGTACTTTGCCCCAATATTGGCTTGTGGGCGGGGATGATAATCGACTTGCAAGGTTACTGTAACTAAGCCACGTTAAGTCAGCCCTGGCTGGCTGAACCACCGGTTGCTTGCTTGCTACATCATTCACAGCCCTATTCTAACCATCCCTATCACCTCGCCGCCTGCCCTAGTTCGAAGAAACTCAACTTCAGGAATCATCACTTCACAGTGGCAAGCGTGCTCACGGTAGGGACAAATAATGCAACTCTCTACTTGACGTAGCGCAACCCATTATGACGGAAATCGCAGCCTCGTTGATAGGTATTGCGACATTCGGCATCAAATTGACCACGACTCTGTATGAATTTGGCGCGAACGCCGCCTCTGCAAGAGAACAGACCGATCGTATCGCTCGACATCTCCGTCTCTACTCAGAAGTTCTCGAAGTGTTGGTCGTCCGCATCGATGATGGTGAGCCTATCCATTCTGCCAAGGCACTCAGCCTAGTCGATGAAATATACGATCAATCGTATGATCTCTTCGATGACATCAAAAACTTGATTCCCCAGAAAGGGGTTCGAATGAGTTTTATGCGGAAGCTCGCCTGGAATTTTAAGAAATCCAGGGTTGCGTTGGTGGTTTCCGAGATTGAATACCTCAAAAGTACTGTGACCCTCCTTGTAACTGTTCTGTTTGCAGGGAGGAAGATCCGGTCCTCAAGACGTAAGACGCGGTCGAAAAAGGAATCGAAGAAGGATCGTGAAGAAGTGGATCGTGAGTGTGCGAAGGTGAAAATTGCCATCGTGGAACAAATGAATGCCTCTGCCCACAAGCTGGATATGCAAGTCAAGGTTGAAGAGGAAGAGAGGAACGAGCCAAGCTTGGCCCGTGATAGCCAGGAGCGAGCCCTTATCAGACCAGGAGCTGGAGTCCTCCAACACAGCCTCGAAATAGTGAAATTTAGAGAATCACTTGGGCGCACAGAGGACCAAGGGGAGGAGAGGGCTCTGGTCCTCAATCATTCAGCCGACCTGATCGCAAATCTACTCGATCAATGGACCACTTTGGCGGATGATGCTACAAACCCATCAGTCGCGCAGGGTGACAATGGATTCGGCGATTCTGGTGCATCGAAGATCTCCCAGCCTAATCAAGGTTCGGAAAATTTGGTCTTCATGGATGACAACCAACATGGAGAGGCCACGATCAGCAATATCTCGAACAAGCTACAAGGAGAGGCATCTAGAGAAGAAAATCATAGGAACATGTTAACGGAAGCTTACCTTGACGTGCGAAATAGGGCAGAGCGAGCAGAAGAAGAATTGGCGAGGTTGAAGGCATCTTTGCAAGATTCTCGAAAAACCACGACGCCGGAGAATATCCAGCCTAGCGAGAACATATATTTTGCAGCCTCCTCATCAGATAGTGACGTAAGTCACTACATACCCGATTATGGCGATAATGTGGCTGAGATATGTGAGTCTGATGGACGAAATATCAGAGAAAGCATTGAGGCGGGAATGCCAAGGACTCGGAATGAAATCCAGGCTGAATCGCGTTGGTATGATCAGGAAAGTGAGAGGCTTCGGGGTCAGCATTGGAGTCACAGCGATGACGAAGACGAGCAGAAATGGAAAGCCCACCAAAAACGCAGGCTTGCGGAGATGGTCACTCCGAGGTTTGGTTCAGATGGGATGATCGAGGCACGAAGCACGGTCCGAAATCAAGACAGAGCCACCTATCCTAGAACACCACTCAATGATGACGCGAGACTACATCCAAAAAGCCGTGTTGGAATGACTAGAGGTGCCGCAATGATGGCTGAGATGTGGCCCACAGGAAGTCCTCGAACGAGAGTGGCCGCTGCCAGTTCCAAGAAGTTCTCTGACCCAAAATTGGGTGTGAATGCTAATGAGGAGCAAACAGCAAATAGGGGCATGGGAAGACCCCCTCCCAATAGCGATCGTCTAAGAGGTGATCAGAGGGAAAGTTCCGAGTATCCAGAGCCTCGATATAGTGGACGTGAGGATCCACCCGTCAACCGGACTTCAAAGCAACGTGGTAAATACGAAATTGTGGATCCTGAATGGTATTCCAGGCCCGTTGAGAGACCTTCCAGGCGTGTTAGTACTAAGTACCAAATTGTGGATCCTGAAGATGTATAAATATTCTATCCGCAACGAAGATCCGGATCGCGAATATTTACCACTCAGAGAATTTTATTCGAATCAAGCCCGCTACTGGGCTAGGTATCAAGAAATATTGCGCACCTATACAAGGCAGTGGTGAAGGCATTGCTACTTGTTGACTATAGCATGTCTACTTCAATTGCTCACACCTACAACTTCTCCGAGGCATATCGACTGCGCTTCCGAATACTGGCACCATACTTAACACAAGGGTCAGTCAAAAGAATTTGAGAAGTAAATCAGGTATCAGAACTCACCTTCCAAAAGATGAACGGCACTGGGGCCAATACCGCAGAGATGCCTCCAAGCACAGTCAACGTCCAATGCACTCCGAGGTTCCTATAGAAAGGAATAGACACTGGGATCATGCCCGCAGACACGATGTACCGCACGAAAGTGACACCGACCAATGCACTCGCCGCGTGCATCTCATACGCATCGATCAGATATTGATAAGTCGAGATGAATATCGCCAATATCGCAAATCCCGACGGAATGCAGGATAGAATCGGTGACCAGACGCTGATCGACGGGTAGGCGGTCCATCCCATCCAAAAGAGTCCAATGGGGAGCCATGGTGCACCGAGCCTGTTCCCTTGTCAGCCGACTATCGATCGTCACGGAACTTGGTGACTCCACTCACATTGCAAATATCAGCCTCCTCTCCGGCGGAAGCTTTGTTCCACCACTACTCTCGACTTCCCGCAGCTGCCTTTGATATGTCTTGTATATCCAGGGAACAAATGCTGAGGCCACCGCGAAACCAACACCCAACGCGACGAATATCAGGTAGGTCAAGCCTTGCGATAGTCCGTATGTCTCGGAGAAGATGAATTCGAATCCTGCAGGGTCAGAGTGAGCCAAAGAACATGAGCGCACGGTATTCAAGAAATGTCCACTTACCAGTGAGGAAAGTGAATAGCACGATATATACAACGCTCAAATAAAAAGTAAAAAGAATAGCAATCGGCTCAAACGCAAAGAGCATAATAGGCCTGTACATATTCGCAAGTATCCGGTCTGAAAGCTTGGTGTTCTGCACTTCCATCTGCGACATATACCTCTCATCCCCAGTGATTGCTCGTAGATGCGTTGCTTTCCACTTCAGTAGGATCGGCGCATAAGTTTCGGGAAGGAAGAGGATTACCAGTCCCAAAATAAGGCCCGACCAGATCAGGGTGACCCATTCACACCACCTCCAGGACACAACATCAGATTGCGCAATGAAAGCCCCAATTACAGGCCCGAGGATAGGGCCCCAGAATGCTGAATTGGCAAAAACAGGGAATATCGCCGTGCGTTCTGAGGCATCCCACATATCAGAAATACTCCCTCCAGCACAGGTAAGTGGCGTGGAGCCAAAGAAGCCCGCAAGGAAGCGAAAGACAAGCTGAGCCGCAATGTTCGGCGCCAGCGCCGACGCCATGATCCAGACCATGAACAGACTCAGCGTGGCGATATAAACGACATTACGGCCAAATGTCTCGGAGAGTGGCGCCGCGAACGGTGCTCCAACGCCGAACCCCAGAAGATACATGGACGTTGCGAGCGACTCAGTAACCTCACCGACGTGGAATTCCTCGGCGGCCTTTAGCGTGGCGGGCGAGTCGACGCTCGAAGCGAATCCGACGATCATCCCGATGAGTGCGATCAGCAGCGTGTAGCAGATGCGACGTGGAGTGGACCAGTTATGCGGGTTCAGCTTGTCTTCGAGCCCTTGGTAGCCTACCACAAAGACATGCCCGCCCGTGTCATGCCCTTTCTCGTTGGTATGTGGCGTGTGCATATCAACTCCGGTCAAAGCCTGGCCCATGGCAGCTCCTGTCGACGTTTGTGTTCGATGTGTGCTCACAGTAGCCAGTCGATTGGGCGTGCCGCTTTGTGTGGACGAGGAAGAGATTGAAGAGGAGCTTCCTGCAAACTCCGGACGGAGATACGGCTCGGCTGCTTCTGTCTTCCTGTCTCCTATCAGTGTCGTACTGCTTGTGGCAGTCGCATGATCAGTTCTGGAGGTGCCAGTGTGGTCCCTTTCAGTAAGAATGACTTGATTTGATGTCTCGTCTCTGAATACAATTCCAGAACTTGGCCCATGCTGGCCATTTAAATCAAATGGCGGCTGAGCATTCTCCAGCTGCTTCTCTTCCAAAGCATGATCTCTGCTTTCGATAGTCGTTTCCGGGTAGCTTTCCAGATCATGAGGCGCACCTGCCTCGTGAGACTGCGTAACTAGCACCGGTGGCTGTTGATTGGAGGAAGCAACCTTCTCAATGCCATGCCGTTCAATCTGCGCTTCCAATCTCCGACGAAAGCGTCGATACTGGAGAATCGACTGCATCGTCGGAGGTACCTAGGTAGTGACGTACAGGTATTTCGCGTCACGTAATGGTGTAAAGTATTAAATACGATGCAAGTCTCCGTTCAACGATCAAAAGTCGTGTATTGTCCTACGAAGAACACAACAAGAAAACATAAATAGCATTAAAGATTGGAAACGAAAAAATGTAGAACAGGAAGAAAACACCGATGCAGGCCGTCCATACAAGGCGAAGCATCGGATATGGTAGCGGGTGACGAGCATGGTGAGATCGATTGACAATCAAGCATCTCCAGCATCTCCAAGAAGGGAAATCTTACCTATGGCCGATGCTAATCTCCATAACTAGCCCTAGAGATTCGTGCCTTGGTAGGACTTGTGCGGTGACAAAGAGAGGAACAGTGCGAGAAGCACATCTCACCGAGAAGCTTCCGGAACGAGCTTCGATCTCGGGAGGAACGGCAACTGCGAGTAGTGGTGGTACATCTCGGAATGCGTCACCACCTGGAAAGCAACTGGATACAGGGAAACGCAAACAGATGAACAGAGTTTGATGGTCAAAGTCACGTGCGCCGCGCCTGTGAATCCGTGCCGGGTGAACAATGGGTGAAAGCTGAACTCATGACATTTTCCCAAGACAATGGCTATCTGGACCGGACAGGCATTCGAGCATACAGTCGCAGTTGCAAGGGGGAAAAAAGAAATGTTGAGAAAGACTTGTTCGTCATCAGGGGAAAGATCTGTGAACCTGAGCAGGCATCTCTAGTGGCGGGTGGTGACGGAGTGAACCAATCATAGTGTTGAAGACGTCTCTATTGTGGCCTTTCTCTGCCTCGACACGGCAAATTTGGCGGAGGGTCTACTTGGACCATCTCTAGTGCTACCTATGATACACTCCTTCCCTCAATACCTCGCCACGCCTGAAGAATCTTTCCATGCTATTGTGACAGTGATACTGGGTATGCTATTAGCCTACACTATTTGGTGCTTCCCCATTCCGGATTCTGGAGATAGGTTAGTTCGCGAGTTTAATCATATAGAGTCAATATGGTCTTGACGTACCTTGCGCAAAATGACCAAGTTTTCGAGCGTACTGCTCAGAGAAATATATTCCTCATCCTCCAGTTCTGCTCTTTCACCGTATGCCAACAGCACTGGTGTGCTTTGTGTTTGCCAACCAGTAATGGTTCTAGGTCGACCAGCAGCTCCCACAACATCAACAGCTTGACCCACCCGGACATTTACTGTCAATGGCTTCAGGTCTTCGTCGAGGGTGATCAAGAATCTGGGATACATCGCTGCCGCCAGGAAGTAGAGGAGATAGTGACCGTCACCAAGGATGAATTGTTTCGCATCAATCAGAGACACGAGAACAGTAAGCAATCCAGCAGCAGCAACCCTCGACAATACCTGTCGATCAGTGTGGAAGGGGTTCAGTGACATGGTGCCTTTTCCCATGTGGAGAAGTCCTTGTGCGATCCGCACCATGAAGAGCGAATTCTGGTCTCTGTGGTAATAACTGGCAAGTTGCCTCAGCAGTTGTGCGAGGCGTGCATTGTTGGTTCCGGCACCAACGAGGCCCATCGCAAAGATAGCGTTGATAGCGACATCATTGTCATTGTCGTGGCTGTACCTCGACAAGGTATCATATATCTTCATCTGGGGATTACTGGGACTGATCAGACCCATGGCAAGCGGTACCACCTTGCGGATATTTGCTTCACCATAGTGCATGAGATGTCCAAATTGTCGAAGGACCATGTCCTGGCCAACATCCTCACCCATGGCGATGAGGGACAGGCCAAGAACAGCGTAAGATTGAACCAGTTGTTCCCCTGTGTTCTCTTCCTTGTCCTCAATGTGGTCGTTGCAGATATGGAGGAGTTCTTGCAGTTTGAGCACAGCTCCAGTGCCTGCCCATGCACATACAGAGGCAAGTGTCGCAGTAGGCGTAGCCATGGGATGATCGACGGCCTTGAGGATGTCCAGAATCACGTCAACCTCTTCTTGCTTGCCGAAGTAGAGGAGGGCTAGACCAAGAGCCATGAATCTGGCCCATTTGTCCTTCAGTTGTTTCTGTCGCTCATCGTCCATCAATTGAGTCGCGATGGCTTCCGCAACTTGATTGTTTGATGAGCCGACAAAAATCATGCCGAGTGACACGGCTGCCATGGCAGATTGCTGTATCTCCAATGTGCTATCTTCCACTATAGGTAGGAGGTAGTCAAGCAGATCTTCACGGTTTGAGCCTGCATACGATAGACCAAGACCCATGATGGCGGCCAATCTTATTGACGGCTTAGGGCTTTGAAGAACGTCGTCGTCGCTTAGAAGGGAGACTACTGGGTCACCCTCCATTCTGACACCAGAATTGACAATGCCATATGCCAAGAGCGCACCAGCTTTGATACTATCTTCTGAAAGCTGTTGGAATTTGTCGATAGTGTCAAGACTGCCTTCAACATCCCACTGCATGAGTAAACCCAGAGACGCAGTTGTAGAAAGCATGCCATCGTCTTTGGTCTTCCAAACCCATGGGCGCTGTTCACCTTCCACAAGCATCAATTTGTCACTACCGAAACCGGCATTGACGAATGCATTAACGAAAGCGCTGGCCAAATTGTGCTTGGCCGAGTCTGCAGCAGCGGAGCTCCCACGTCCTGATTCCAGGTGGGTCTTGTAGATGTCTTCTGGGACCTTGGGTTCTAGAATGTTGAGCTCTTTTGCAAGAGTCTTGAAATGGTTGGGTAGTTGTGTGTTTCCAAGGCACTCTGCAATATCTTGCTCGTCTTTGGTCTCCGAGGGGACGTCTAATGATATTCTCTGTCGTGCAATGAGGAAGGCTAATTGCTTCTTCAAGGCAACATCATCTGTTGACTCCAAATCTTGCCGTATCAACTCATGGTCATTGAGTCTGATAGCTACCACGATAGCCTGGGCGAGTTTGTTGTACTTTACGTAGATGTCGTGTGCTGTTTTGAGGAAGGCGACATCGTCGGGGTATGTGAGCAGGTTGACCATGCCGAGCATATACAGGCAAACACGTGAGAAGGTGTTTTCATCGAGAAAGCGAGGGATCTCTTCGATCATCTCAAGCTCAGACAAGAGATCAACGGCATCTGCTTCCGCATTATGGCTCAGGAAATAAGGGACAAGGGACAAAGCCAGTTCGGTGAGATCTCCGACTTCCCGCTCATCAGTCAGTCGATTCTGGTATTCCTGGCCGATTTCTAGAGCCAGATGACGAATGTATTCATGACCCCAAGAGCCCAGGTCGTCTGATTTTGACAGTAACCGGTACTTGAGAGTTTCCAATTTCTCCTCGTCGCCATAAGTCATTCCTAGAACGGAAAGCATGTCTGCTAGTGAGTCTCGATCGGTGCCAGCAGACCATTTGTCGTAGAGGGCTGCAAGTTCATCATAGTGTGGTCGAAGGAATTTGAGAGGTTTAGGAACGGCGGTCATGGAGGAGGTAGATGTCTTAATGAAGTTCTTGATGGCATCAATGGCGGGTTTGTAAAGGGAGGTATCATCTTCCTTCAGCCGTTCAACGAGCATCTCAAGTTCACTCTTGAGTTGTTGATCTTCCTCGCTGAGCTCTTCTTCGGCAGGGACATCTTGTTTGCCATTTAGGACCTTCTCGCCGTCTTTCGTTGAGGGTTTTTGGGCATCACCATTCTGAATGGGTGTGTCATCGGCCTTGCCCTTGCCCTTCTCTGCGGCGGTGGGCTTCTTGTCATTGTCGTCCTGCGCCATTGTGGCCGGTTGCCCTGCGTGGCCAAAAAGAGGATGTAAGGAAGCGCCGAAAGGAAAGATGTGAAGGAGACGAATTAGAGATTGATGGGATGTGGTCGGAGGAAAGGCAAGAGGAGGTATCTCTGGTGCTGGTGAATGATTACCGAGCAATTGTAGGTGAAGTAAACGTAGTTGACAGGGCCAGGACGGATAATTGGATTAGGTGACTATTTGGTCGCGCGTCAAATGGGAAACTGATGGAGGCGGCGAGGCTCACTTGCCTTGCAGCAATTCTGCTTTAGTAGGGACTAATTATTAGTGCCTCGGGTCACCTTCCCGGTGTAACCATTCCCTGTTCGATTTATTCCATGAATGATTTCCCCAAGTCCAACGATCTGGTGCAGCTTCGAGTCCAAGGTCAAAGACTCCGCCAACTGACCACGACGACACCCTCATTCTAACGGCGGTCCGTCCAAATCCGACTATGCCTCGCGCCTCGCGCATTCCGGCGATACTAATCAGCCAAAAACCACCCTCTAGATTACCATCCAATGCTCCGCGATTATGGAATGCGAAAGAACGGATCAAGACCAATGTCGGGCTCAAGCAGCGTGACATGGAGAAACTGAAAGAGTCGCCTCACATTCAGTACGAGAAGAGCCTTGAGCGGTCCAACAATGAGGCTACATATAAAAGATGGTTGAAACTTAGATACGCCGAGCCAATGGAAGGCAAGGATCAATGGTGGAAGAATGAGAGCAGTATGGTGCTTCAGTACATGGAGAACCATCCGCAGCTTTGCAAAGTGTCAGAGGATGTGCAAATATTCATCTCGGAAAATCCACAGTTGACTGCCCACCAAATATCCTATCTGCTGAGGAACCCAGCTCGATATTTCAGCATCCCTAAAAATGTGCCTTTCGAAGATCGAAAACAAATATACTTGTGAGTCCAGGCTTTCCTCGGGACACTGCTCAGCATCAGTCAAGATATCCGTCCACTAATAAAATACCACAGTCCGGATCCCAAAGATGCAGTAATCCTGCTAAGAACCAAACATCTCGGCCCGCGCTACGCAGCCTTCTTTGTACCCCTGCACTTCAACAAACTCGACATGCGAGATTACCTCAAATCCGTCTATAATGTAGACATCCTCCATATCAGGAGCACAATTATTCAAGCAAAAGTCAAACAGATACCCACAATGTCCAAAGTCGGACGGGGATACTGGGCCCGCCCAGCAAGCCGGAAGAAAATGACCGTTCTATTAGCAAAACCGTTCGTTTATCCTGAAGAAATCAAAGATCTATCCGAGTAAGTGGCCTTTTATTTCCCATGCACAAATTCCCTTCTCCTTCTCTTGCCCCGAACAAACAAACTGACCAACCCTTTACAAAAACAGATGGGACCACGAACATTACTGGGATACGCAAATAGCGCGCGAGAAAGAATACAAAAAGCAAGCCGACACAACCAAACCCAACGAAGATTTCCGTGCCGCCATGAAATCTCAGGCGAAAGCCGTTGTCCGGAATCTCAAGACGTCAAGGGAATGGACGCCGACGTGGAAGGAGCTCGCGTCGAATCAACGCGCCATGCAGGGCGCCGTCACAGCTATTCCCCCGAAGAAGTCCGCTTCATCATTACCGCTGCCTCCCCCTGAGAGAGCGACGACAGGGGAGAGTATACGATCGCTTCCTGAGTAGTGAAGAGGGCGAAAGTAGACATTCTCTTGTATATTATTATTGCCACCAACACTGGTGCCCCTGTTATCGTACTCTATTCCAATTACCCGACAAGGCCATATTCAACCACGGTACTAGGGAACAACCTCATGAGGTCAAGCTGATGGTGGTGATAGATCTTGGGAGTATCAGTGTGAAACAAGGAATTGTACCATCCGAAGACAAATTCGAGTGCATAAGAAATGATAGGTGTCCCAAGGACAGGATCTTCCATTGTAAAAGCTGTATATATATCAACTCGCAAGCAAGGTAGAGTGTGAGGGGGAAAATCACGATTCGCACTGGGTTCTGTATTCGCTTCTCCGGCAGTAGGGGCCTAAAAAGGGCACAGCAGAATTTGAATGAAACGTGTCCGTAACTTGGAAGGCAATGCATTATATATGTGTGTATGATATATGTTATAAATTCGGAAGCAGCATCCTCCTGACTAACGCATGCACATGAATGAGAGGGCTCCAACTACGGATCCTACCACAAGACACGATGAGGAGAGAAAGGTGAAGGGACAAACTGCTATGCTGTGCTTGATATTATATACCACTCCTTCCAACACCTACAAATCTACAGTCTGCTCTCAACCTTGGCAAAGTGCTGGTCCGTGGCCCACACCGACTCGGGCCAGATATGGCGGAGGGCTTCGTAGACGTGCCTGTTGAGCGAAAGGATGTCAGTAAATGGTGAATGAATGAGAGGGGGTAAGGAATGAAAGGATTTAGAGGAAGACTTACTTGACATAAATGATTTGGAGATCAGCCTTGACCTCCTCAGGGACATCCTTGACATCCTTGCGGTTGTGGCTGGGAAGGAGAACGGTTTTGACACCCGCACGGTGAGCGCCGATTAACTTCTCTTTGATGCCGCCAACGGGCATGACACGACCTCGCAAGCTCATCTCCCCCGTCATGGCGATCTCCGGTGGTACAGCCTTGCCTGAGAATAATGAGATGAGAGCGACAGTATGCGCCAGACCAGCACTGGGGCCGTCTTTGGGCGTGGCCCCTGCTGGGCAATGGACGTGGATGGCCCGTTTCTCCATAATGTCCTCGTTTGGATCGTGGGTCAGACCGAGTTCGTAGCTGTGTGCTTTAACCCATGTCAGTGCCACCTCGACCGATTCTTTCAGAACGTCGCCAAGTTTGCCTGTCAATTGGACTCTTCCTTTACCGGGCATGTCGGCAACTTCGATGAAGAGGATGCTTCCCTGACCACCAGAAGAATAAGCCACCAGGCCGGTGACAACGCCAGGACGAGATCTCTTTTCGGCAATCTCCTCCTCAAAGCGTTCTATCCCGAGAATTTCTTCAAGCTCATCCATAAGAACAACAGGGTTGTACTTGGTTTCGTCAATATCGCGGGCATCTGCGTACTGTACAGCTTTGTAGCGGCACACTGAGCCTATCTCTCGCTCCAGATTTCGCACACCTGATTCACGGGTATATGAAGTGATGATAGTGTCCAAAACATCAACTGGGATTTGTACTTGCCCATCTGAAAGCCCATTGGTGCGAATCTGCTTGGGGATCAAATGTTGTTTTGCAATGTGCCGTTTTTCAATCGTAGTATATCCGGATAGTTGAATCGTTTCCATGCGATCCAACAATGGGGCAGGAATGGTATCGAGAGAATTGGCTGTGGCGATGAAGAGTACCTTGCTGAGGTCGATTGGGATATTAACATAGTGGTCATTGAAACTATGATTCTGCTCAGGGTCAAGCACTTCGAGCATAGCTGCTGACGGATCACCATGGAAATTGTTGGAGCTTATTTTGTCGATTTCATCAAGGAGGAATACCGGGTTTGCCACACCAACTTTCTTCAAACCACTGACGATGAGGCCAGGCATCGCAGCAACATAAGTTCGTCGATGACCTCTGATCTCAGCTTCGTCCCTAACGCCTCCCAAGGAGATTCTATGAAATTTGCGTCCCAATGACAGGGCAATCGACTTTGCCAAAGAAGTCTTTCCGGTACCAGGTGGTCCGACGAGAAGTAAAATAGGTGACTTGTCAACCATTCGTTTTGATTTCAGGACGTGAAGCTTCGCGGTAGCGGCATCCTTTTCATCATCCCCAATCTGTTCGGCTTCTTTCTCCTCACCTTCCTGTGGAGGAGTAAGCTGCTTTGTCAGACGAGAGATCTGCTGGTCAACATCAGCATTGACTGATTGCTTCAATTTCAGAACGGCTAGATATTCCAAAAGCCGCTTTTTGATCTTTTCAAGGCCATAATGATCATCGTCAAGCTGCTTACGAGCACGCTTCAATGTATCTGCACCTAGCTGATCGTCTGTTGTCTTGGTCCATGGGATTTCGACAAGGTTTTCGACATATGATCGGATGACACCATATTCGGCATTCGCTGGATTCATCTTCTTTAGACGTCTCAGTTCACGATCTGCAGCTTTTTGGGCTTCCAATGATAGACCGGCTTCTGCAACCTTCTTCTTGAGCTCTTCGACTTCATTGACTTCATTGTCGTCTTCTGCATCGCCACGGCCTTGTCCTGGCACTCCTGGTGGCGTCATGCCATTGAGACCAGACATAGCCCGTCTTGCCAAAGCCTCACGTTGACTTTGATTGAGATCCGAAATGTCTACCCCGAGATTTGGTAGGGTTGTAGAGGTCACTGAGGTGATTTTGATGTTTCCATTGATGCCAGAAATCTGCTTGTTCAATAGGGCCAGCACCCTCTCCAGTCGCTCATGCAAATCCAATGTGCTCAAAATCCGTAGTTTTTCTTCGAAGCTTGCCTCTACAATGTCGGTCATGAAGTCGGCCAATTGACCAGCCTGCGAAAGGTCTTTCTTTGCAATGAAAAGCTCGAAGCGGCGAACAATAAGTGGTGATAAAACCATCGAAGCCGGTCTGAAAAGTGAAGAAAGTCTCAGGAGGGTGAGCAATTCACGGGACCGCTGCTTTAGACGTGTGAAACTTGCCCGCAAATCACCGTCATTGAGATCAGGGACTTCATCCTCGTAAAAAGTGACCTCGGCCTCGAAATGTGGCTTCTCATGCTTAATCCTATCAATCTTGAAGCGTTGTACACCCTCCACGATCAAATAGGGATCGGCATTGGAGTTGCCTTGCACGCCAATGATCTTTGCAAGGGTGCCATATCCAAACAAATCTTGTTTTCTAGCGTTTCCAGGATCTATGCCCTCGTGTTGGGTATGCTTGCTGCTCTCGTTCTCGGAACTATCCAATAATTCTTTCCCATCGGGGCTGAGGAATGGCGAATTTACTGGAACACAGCCAACCGGCAGCTGGGTCGAGCCAGTCCTCGACCTGGTTGCCCTTTGAAAAGCCGATGATAGGAGGAGAGGTATGTCGGCACGATTAGAAACTGAGATGCGCAGGGTGACACCGGGCAAGAGGACCGAGTCTTTCGGAAGAGGAATAAGTGGGATGGTAGCCTTCGCAGTGTAACCCATCTTGACGACGTATGGCAGTGAGAGAGCGATGAAGAAGAGATGGGAGGATTAAGAGAAAGTGATGTTTATCAAAGTCCGGGGTACATGAATCCGATTAGTGATGCGGGTGTGGGCTGACCCCGTCGGCTTCCATAGAAGATGATCGATGATTGATGAACAGCGACATGAAGCCGAGAGAGTTCACTCTACACTCATGTCACCCGTACTGCCGAGGCTCTACGGCAGATAGCGATTCGAGCCTATCTACAAGAGCACGTGATACTCCCGATTTCGGCCAGGAATTTGAATGTTCCGGAAGGTGCCATTGAAGCAAGATATTTTTTGGCGAGTACGCGAAATAAACATCAATGCGAGGAGCACACCACTATTTAAAAAAAGGCTCGGGAGAGTTTCATTTCGGGTTCAAACTTCAATTGATTAATCTTTCAGTGAGCTTTTTGCCATTATGTCGAACACGGCTGTCTTGGAGGAAAATGCTCTATCTCAAAGCCTCGACCATCAAAAGTCCACAACTTTGAACATCGGAACCAGAAAATCAAAATTGGCTCTGGTGCAGACAGACCTGGTTGTGAAAGCCCTGACTGCTGCTTGTCCAGATAATGTCTACGCGATCAAAGCTCGAGATACTGCCGCAGGTGACATCGATAAAGTTACTCCTTTTAAGGATATGCCAGTCAAGAACATTTGGACTCACGAGCTTGAGACTTTGATGATCGAGGGACATCTCGATATCTTGGTTCATTCCCTGAAAGGTTCGTTTGTTTCGTGGTTCTAACCACGATGACTGACCCGTTCTAGATGTGCCTACACTATTGCCGCCAGGCTGTGAACTTGGCGCTGTGCTTGATCGTGAAGATCCTCGGGATGCTTTCGTACTCAAGGCTGGGCGGGAGCCAATTACTATTGACAAGCTTCCTGCCGGCTCGGTGATCGGGACGTCTTCTATCCGCAGAACTGCACAGATTGCCTGGAAATATCCTCACTTGGTTGTGAAAGATATGAGAGGCAACGTTGGGACACGGTTGGCCAAACTGGACGCCGATGATGGACAATTCGATGCATTGATTCTTGCGGCTGCTGGTCTTCTTCGACTGGACCTAGGGAACCGAATCACTCAATACTTGAGCTCAGAAAGTGGAGGTATGCTATATGCTGTCGGACAAGGTGCCATTGGAATTGAAAGTCGATCGAACGACCCACGTGTGCAGGCTTCGCTCAAACTTATCGACCACCAAAGAACACATTTGGCCATCGCCGCTGAAAGAAGCTTGTTGAGAACACTCGAAGGAGGATGCAGTGCTCCCTTAGGTGTAGAGACCAGTTGGCACCAGACCAAAGACGGCAAAACACTTCTCCAAATGAAGTCCAATGTCGTCAGCACGGACGGGAAAGAATTTGCAGAAATAGATTTGAAGCAGGAAGTCAACACGAGAACTGAAGCAGAGTCGTTTGGTGTGTATGCCGCCTCAGAATTACTACACAAGGGTGCCGACAAGATCCTCAATGAGATCAAGGCCAAGAAGCCAACCACAGTCACTGATTTAATTGAGACATGAGCTCAACCAGGGGCACCGCGGACGTCCAGGAAGCTGAGCCGAGGCTTACTCGATCTGATCGCCGGGTAGGCTTAGTCTGACATCGTCAAAAGGACAGCCGCTCTGACTGGTTCAAGCCTACTTGTACCCAGGGTTGACCATATCACCCTCTGTTCATGGAGTTTCCAGCGCCCTTCGGATTGGCCTCCACGAATTCATCCCATTCCCTAGCCTTCCTCGTCGCAGCATCAACCTCTGCCATATCATCCTCGTCTGGTGCGGGCTTAGGCTCATCACCAGTGCCTTCGATGATGCCCCCACGTCTTCGCTCTTCTTCTAGGTACTCATCAATACTCATGGTGGGTAAATTGTGGCCTGGCTTGAAAACCCCTTGTTGAAGCTCGGTTCGCTTGCCGACAATGGTGAAAGGCTGAAGTGGTTTGCCAGTGGGGCTTAGAAGAGGGCCACCTCGACGACCAAGTCCTGAGAGTGTATTTGGACCATCAAGTCTGTCGGAATATTCTGTTGACCGAGCAGCCTCTCTGGAGTCTGGAGTGGGACCAGGATTGACCGGCGCTGCTTGGCGCATATGCGAAAGAATCTCCAGCTCCTGGGTGATGCTATCAAGAGAAGAAAATGTCCGATTGACTGCAAGCGAGACCTCCGCTAGGTACAAGTCTCGGATCGTCTCTTCGTCGATGTCTGATTTTCGAGACTCTTTTCGGAGATACTACTTTTCTTAGCAAGACGAGTAGCACCAATTACAAACCCTAGACTTACCTCGAGTTTCTGTTTCAGCGCCTTTTCTTCCTGAAAACGTCCAATCTTGATCTTCCGCTTCTCCTCCGGGTTGTTCGAAGATAGGACTCGGAAAGAAGTTCGTGACTCCAAGAACCTTTGGTAAAGTTTTCGATCCGTCGAAGTCAATAATCCGTAGTGATCGACATTCGTGAGGAAGCTTTCCAAAAGCTCTGATGACTTTTTCAAAGCCGTAAGTCTGTCGTCACCGTATGATCGATTCTTCAGCTCCGCAAGCGTGTAATCCACCGTGAGATACCTATCAACAAAATTAGCGGGTCGTTTCCCTCCTCAGGGCCACCTGCACTGGTATCATACTGGATGTCGTTTGTGGATATGTCCTCCAGTTCCTCATTACTGCTGAAGAGCGACAACTTTTGGATCAGCTGTCGACATTGCTCGAAGCTGTCGGTAAGGGCTTGCAAACGCGCTTTGAAAGCCTCGGTCTGTGGCTCCAGTTGATCAAGCTCAGCTTCTTGGGATTTGGCGCGCTGGAAGAGTTCTTTCAGAGAGCAGTCGGAGGCTTCCATTATTGAAACGTAGGGTTATTATCGCGAATATAAGTGCCAGATTCTACTCTTCAGGATGTTTTGTCGTTCAAAGTCGTCAAGTGATGAGGTCTTGATTGGTATTATGTCTTTGCCCCCACAGTTACAGTGACGATAGTGGGAAATTGAGTTGGTGGCGAATTGCTGGTTAGATGTGCTGGAACATTCGACTTCGGTACAGTGGAATAGGTCACCCGGGTTGGACTGTCTATGGGGATTCGAATTCCTTTGGATTATATCGAAAAAGTTGCGGTATGGTTCTTCTCACAGTTTGTAAGCGATGAGGTGGGTGTAGTCCCATAAGGCTGGCGGACGTAGTTGGAGCGATGCCAAGGACTCGGATGTCGCGCCTTCCACTTGGAATCCGTGGGACGAGGCTGTGTCATCCGAAGTTTTCCCGAGAAACACCATGGGACTCGGATGCATGAAGCAATGCTCTAGATCCTCTCCAAATGATGGTGATGTACCCTGTGCCAACTCAAGAACTCTATGAAACACGTCAGTGTTCTAACGTCCGCTGTAGAAGCTTGAGAAACGCATTTTATATCCTAGGCATGTATTTCATGACTAACCTCAACGACGGGCACGTGAAATTAAAGTGACTTTTTTTTCAGTCTTTGTCGCCAAGCCTTTTGCATCGGAAATGCATCATAGGCCCGAACACCTTGGAACTCTCTCTCCCCATTCTGACTCATTCACCACTTTTGTTTAGATGAATACCATGGATCAAAGCTGCCTCAGGCATATCGTCTATTCTTGAAGGTACCCTTTATAGAACCACAAAAAGCGCGCAAACATGACATCGCCGGTCAATGCTCCAGCCATGGAGCCTGATGATGAGATCGCTATGGAGAGAAATGCTGGCCTCATTATGGGTGTATGTGATTCTTGAGCCACAAACCGCCAGTGTTCGTCTTGCATACCTAACCCCCATCACAGACCAATAATAGCAGCATCGTCTCCAAGCGGAGTGTGGAGAAGTTATATCTTCCTCAGCCTCATTTCTATCGATACTTCGTGAAGAAGCCTCAACGAAGGTCGCCTACTATCAATCGTGGCTACTGGCTCCGGATGAGAGCGATCGACTGGGTCGTCAGACAATTCCTGGAGAGACCTTCATCACAGAGAAAAGTCATCCTAAACTTAGGATGTGGTTAGTGAGTAAGGAGGGGAATCAATAGGCGAAGTTGTCCACAGTACTCACCGTCACAGTGACCCTATTCCATTTCAATGGCTCGCACAATATCGCGAAATATGCGATAACACGAAGTTCATCGACATTGATTTTAAAGAACTCATGCTCAGTAAACGAGAAATCATCCTCAACACCCCGAAGATGAAGGACTTACTCTCGAATCCAACGGCATCCACTGGCAATGATGTTTTGATAGACAGCGAAGAATATGCCGCTATTGGGTGTGATCTGCGGAACCCGAGGAGATTAGAGCGGCTCCTCAAAACTGTTGCTGATATTGATCAATGCCTGGTCCTATGTGTAGCCGAAGTCAGCATCACATATATGTCTGTGGAAGACTCAGATGCCCTCATTGCGTGGACGACGACTCTATCTCCTGGTATGCTTTAGCACTCATCATAAATGATATCTTTAACATATTTTGCAGACGTCACATTCTGCCTTTTGGAACAACAATCCCCGGATAGGGCCGACAACCCTTTTACGGCGACGATGCTCAAACACTTTGCGAAGCTCAACACACCTCTTCGCTCCGTCTTAACTTATCCTGGGTGCCATACACAGATCTTGCGTTTCCAAACAGCAGGTTATCTTCAGACTGAAGTGCAAAACTTGTGGGAGTTATGGGCAGATCCCAGGTTCTTATCACCGACGCAAAGAATGTCACTAGATGAAGTTGAACCATTTGATGAATGGTACGGAAGTCTTACTCAGACATGGTGGTGCCCCAAGAACTGACTGTCCTATACAGGGAAGAATTCGCCTTGTTTGCATCGCATTACTGTTTGATAGTTGCACAAACTGGCCCTGAGCCACTGATACCAGAACAACCAAAGTCAAGAAGAGCATCAATTGACAGTTTTGCATCAGATATGAGTACTCGCACCGTCTCACCGTATGGGCGTCAAAGTCAATGGTTCGCCTACACGTATTCGCAAAACCCCGAGAAAGAAGGAAGAACTCATCATGCTTCAGCATTTTTCATTCCAAACGAAGACGCGGTTGGAATCTTTGGTGGTATTGGTCAACAGAACAGACTCTCGACGACTTCAGTTTACACCTCTGCTGATAACAAGGACATGGTCTTTCCTGTATTACCTCCCGAGGATATTGGTGCAAGATCCTGCCACACCATCACTACATTGGGCAACGACCAAAACATCCTCGTAGGTGGTCGCGCATCGCCGTCAGCGCCCATGAGAGACTGTTGGTTGCAGACTGGTCCTAAGTGGCAACGTATACAGGATCTTCCAGAACCTCGGTTTCGACATAGAGCTTGTGCCGTTGTCCTTCCGCACAATCAATACGGTGTTGTTATTTACGGGGGAAGGACTTCTCCGACCAAAGTCGCGATTGACGTTCTCTTATGGGATCATCAAAATGGTTGGCAGAAGCTGAAATCTCTACGCGGCGACCCGATGCCACGATTCGGTGCCAGCTTTGTTCGATTGGGCTACAATCATGGTCTACTATTTGGTGGCATGAGACAAGATGGGGTCATATGTCAAGGCCTGTGGCGGTGGAGGTTGACCATCAGAGACAACGTTGTTGCTGGAATCAGCTTCAAGACCTCTTCAGCTCTGGACACTTCTGCTGGCGTCTTTCCCTGGCTCGCACGACTAGGAGCGTCGTATAGTGTGATCAGGAATGAGCTTCTCCTTATAGGCGGCGTTGCAAAACAGGGCTGTATTCCGAAGGATTACGAAATTTTATCCATTCTCGGCAGTTTCTCTGCCTTCGGTGAATATGAGAAAGAGATGGACTTACGAGTCGCATGTGTGATCCCAAAGAAGGACCCAGATGTTCCTCGTCCATTTCTGATCGGACATAGCACACACCGCACTACGAAAGAAACCACCATCATCATAGGCGGAGGTGCAGTCTGCTTCAGTTTTGGTGCATACTTCAATCCAGGCTGCTGGCTCTTATATGATCGCGAAGCTGGAGTGAGCTCCAATTGGGCACTTCTCAAGCCCAATTCATCCAAGGCTACCAAAAAGCCGGCCCGGAAAGAGGGCGTAATCCATGCGCCCACCTTGGTCGACAGCGTGTCTCCATTAGAGAGCAACTTCCTCACCATCCTAAGAGAGGGAAAACCGCGACTATTGACTGGGCTAGATCTAGGACCTTGTATAAATCTATGGACACCATCTTACCTTCTCTCCAAGATATCGTCATCTCAAAACATCGTTGTCCACTCCGCCAAAAGCAGGTCGATGAATTTCCAGAGGAAAGATTTTTCCTACACAACACTTACATTCCACAACTTCATAAAAATCCTCGAAAGCAATCCAGATGCACACCTCTACCTACGCTCATTATCCGGCACGAATCCAACCCAGTCGCCCGCCAATTTCGCCGACGATTGGCCCTCCATCGCCGACGACGTCCACCTCGACCCGTGTCTAGACTTCATCCGCAGGAACAAACACAGCAGTCCTCTCCGCATCAGCGCAAATGTGAACATGTGGCTCCACTACGACGTGATGGCCAACGTGCTGTTCCAAATCCGCGGCACGCGAAAACTCATCCTCTTCCCACCAGAAGATATCAAACACCTTGCATTCCCTGCCGGGTCTACGACCTCAACTCTCGACATCCTCGAGCCGTCTCAACACCCAGGGAGAGGAGAAGACCAACTAAAACCGATACCGGACACTCACCCACACATCGCAATCTTACGACCAGGAGATGCGCTATTCATCCCGCCACTCTGGTCTCACACCGGAACCCCTTTGCCTGTGGTACCCAACACGCCGGCGACTCCAGCCTCACCACCACCACCTCCACAGCTAACCCCGGATCCAACTCCAACCACAAGTTCAACAGCAGCCAACGACCCAGCAAACTCACACATCAACATCTCGCTGAACGTCTTCTTCCGCAGCCTGTCATCGAGCAAATACCCCGCCGGCCGCGACGTCTACGGTAACCGCGATCTAGCCGCATACGAGGACGGCCGACGTGATCTGGAGAGGATCGTTCGGCGCTTCATCTCCCACGCCGCCAATGCCAACAACAACACCACAAACAGCAAAGCGATACCACATCACCCAGCGACAAAACCCGAAGCAAAAATCTCCACGGCGAACAACCCACGACAGGAAAACGGGACCGCCGCCCCTGCACCTGGCCCTACCCCTACCACCCCCGCCATACACATCCAAACACCATCGTCAGGAGCAGATGTCAAAGACCAAGACCAGACCGGAGACTCTACCATACAAGCCAACTCGAGCGCCAGCACCAGCGCCAGCGCCAGCGCCGCCGTCAACGACAACGACAACAACGAGGACGAATCGCTCTTCGGCGAAGGCATTCCGAAAGCGCTGACGAAAGCGTATCTGGAGCGACTGGCCGACGAGTTGCGGGAGCGCGCCGAACGACTATGAATGACCATGCTTGCATGCAGATTGGGGATTAGGGATGAAATGTGATGTGATGTGATGTGATGGTGTACGATCAAGTAGCTCGTTGACGTTCACAGCTAATGAGGAAAACGTTAAGCGAGGAGAGGGCACTTGCCGGTCTTGTTGGTTGCTCGTTAGGTTGGTAGGCGAACGTAAGGGAAGGGAAGGGAAGGCTGTGTTTGAAAGGGTTGAGAGTGCAGGTGTGGAGAACAGGTGTGTGTATCTTCGACGCCGTGGTTTCATGACTGATCCATTCACATTTTGGGTCGGTGCATGCACTTTTGGCATGGTAAGGAATCAGTCGACGGATCAACGGATGGATGGATGGGAAGGTGAATGCATCCGGTTTGAATGTTCATTGCTATCATCAGAAAAGGGAGAACGGGTACGGGTGGGGAGGGTATCGGCCAAAGAAGATGGAAGAATAGTGCCGGTCGCAAAGAAACCTCACTGACGAGCATGGAAGAATTTGGAAAACCGGCCTGTTATAGGGCACGGGTTCAGTACCGAGAATATCTTCCTCCGGAGTAACTCGCTAGATACCTATCAAATATAGTAGAGTTCCTATTTGGAGCCATCACTTGACCGAAAAGCCACATAACACATAGCCCATAGTCCATAAGCATAAATAAACATGCCCTCAATATCTGTGTTCCTTGAAAAGAATTCCCGTCCTTTCTTCACTATTCCTACCCTAAGAAGATCAGTCTGATCCCGCACGGCTCCACATTGACTCATGACAATGACAGGGAGCATTGAATCACATGGATGTCCGGAATGAGGTCGTCAGACCACACAGAACAGCTGAATGATGTGCTGTTGACCTCAGAATAACCTTCTTTCACACCAGCGACCAGCATGATATTCCCATAACCCCGTACATATATAACTCCACATTTACTCGGATATCCACTTCGTCGCTTCGTAAAAAATCATACAAGAGATAGAGATATCACCGATCTCTCATATCCCTCAATCCGAACCTGATATCGTTAATCTCATATCGTTTCGTCTACAGTTTTGCTGCCCTGCGGCTTGTTTCTCCTGACTGTGATATAAGGCGCGCCTGGTTGTATCCCTGACAAAGTTGGAAGACAGCGAGGTATTATAAACGAAGTGTCTTCTTCTCAACGCCTGGAAGGAATGCACCCGGTGACTGATGTCCCGCCCCAGTGATATAGCAGACTTGTTAAGTCCGAGCATATGGTCGATTCATAGCCGCAATCTCTCGTGACACAGTAGGCCACTCCAATTCTCGGTTGAGTGGCTCTTTTCTCTTGATCTGCTGACGCTCATCCCATTTCATCAACTCGTAGACAAATCTGAGATGAGGTTGGATTATAACGTTCAAACGACGAGCGCGAACGAAACAGCTTTGAGATTTGGTTAGTATTCACCGACAAGGATATGGAGAAGTGATCGACTTACTATGCACGAGGAAAGCTCAGGCCTAAACTAGCCATGACTTCTGCGATACAAATGGTGGCTGATCGACTGACGCCTACTCGACAATGAACTAACGTGGCTGTGCCATCTGACTTCCCCTTGCCTGGATTATGGTTAGCGTGCGTCCGATGGCAAGATTGCTGCAAGTCATACCGATAAATTCGAGACATCGTTCCATTTCAGTTGTCAACTCGTCAATTCCATTGTCCTGAACTCGGTCAATCATCAACAAGTTGTCTCGACCCCAGGATTTGACCTCAGCTTCGTTCCAAGACACCGGTTCACCCACACTAAGGATGCGCCGTATGCCGAGTAGTCGAAGCATCTCGGGATTATTAGCATGAGTCAGGTTACCGAGGTACATGTATGGTAGGATCCTGCTTGGAAGACTGCCATCCAATTTTGCCAACCAGGCTGGCGCTTCAGGTATTACTGCCGATCGTTCACAGGCCTTAGGACTCTCCTTTAAGATACGATCCTGAATGGCACTCAACAAAGCGACATCGGAAGGATAGGCGAAAAAGTTTCTCTTCTTCTCGCAATGCAATCGAATCCATGCTTCATGCAAGGGCACTCCTTCGGCATACATGAAATATGCGACGGCAAGCATGGATGTTTCGGTGTAACCGTCGGCACAGTGTAGTAGAATTTTCCTGGCCGGTGATGCCATTTCAGTCATTTGGATGTCACCATCTTGATCTCTTGTACCGCCGACTGGCTTCACATTATGGGTCAATTCATAAAGCCATTTGCACATGCGCAATATACCGTCAGCCTCGGCATGCGACCATGAAGGAGGAAGTATGCTTCCAGAACTGGGAAAAGACACATGTACTGGATCATCATCTTCTCGAGTTTCCAACAGTCTACGTTTGGCAGCCAATAGTCTGTCGTCCGGGAGCGTAGCATGATCACTGGCTTCGACGTACAGGTCAAAGGTGGGATCGTCAAGGGTGGATGGCGGTAAGGTATGTGGTCCTGGTGATGGGCCTTGAAACACACCTCGAGAAATCTCCGATGCTTTTGACATGGCACACATCTCTCTTCTTTCTTGTTGGAGGAAGTCCAGAGTATGGTCAGCATATCTTCCTTGCGAATCGATGGACACCAAGTCAGGATGTTTTTGTTCGAAGTCTTGGAAGTGCTCGGTGAGGACAAAAGTATGGAATGTCTCAGGACATTGACCACTGTTCTCCAATTCTTTTCGCCATCGCTTTTGAACGGCAGCTGTTCGTTCAGCCACAGACTTGAGAATACGATGATCGGTATCTTCATCACCATAGATGACTATATCCGAGACCAACGCCAACTTTGCAGCTTGGATATGGAAATTGCGAACGGAGAATCCTTCTCGGGGGTCACATTCGACAAAACCTCGACCATTACCTTCAGAAAGATTGAGAATCTCATCAGGAGCGATGGCACCGTTGATTTTGGAACGACTCAAATCCCCACCGGCTTTAATTATTGTAATACCTCTTAGGCACTTTGGAATTCTTCGCAACGACTTTTTCCTAGCGACGAAAAAAGCTAGTTGAATATGATTCTCGGGATGGAGGCCATGGAGCCAGGGGAACACCGAGGTTGGGCTGGGTAGTGGCTGTGAAGAATGGTGGTGAAGAGCTTCGGCCAATTCCTCACCATTCAAAGCATAGATGGGTGGAGAGTTGCATAATTTGTGGTATGCCGTTGGTGGATGGAGTAGTGATGTAGGTCTGGGGGCAACGGTTCGAAGAGGGGGCGAGTTTGGAGGAGTGATCTGGGATTGTGAAGGTACAGGACCAGGAGGGCAATATGGTAAGTGCTTGTTAGGTACAGGTGTTGAAGGTCTATTCAGAGTCAAGGTCGCTCCCAGGGGTGGCGGAGTGCTGGAGTGCCGAAGGAGGGGTGGTTGTTGGACAACGACGGTAGCCATGATAAGGTGTATTGTATTGTGGCCGAGGGCTAGAACAAGTCCCAGTCCACAAAATAGTCAGGGCTCGTCCTGCAACTACAGGAGTCCTCGCCGTTTCTTCTCGAGAATAGTGATGTTGTAGACGGGGGCAGAAACCGAAGGAAACCGGATGTGGGTTGAAAGTCTGAGAATAGATGATGAGGGATGGTGGTGGGGGTTCGGAGGGCGAGGCTGCAACTTGAAGAAGGGCAGTGACTGATCAGAAGCAAGTCGAGGGGCAAGAAGGATGCTTGTGAATGGAAGTTGAGACAGATGAGATGAGATGAACAGAATAAGTTTTGAAGTTGGGGCAGTGATAGTACGGACAAGAATCTGGGGAGCAAGCGCTACTGAGTATCCGTAGTGGTTCGCGACAATATTCACAACCAGATGGAATGGGCATGATGGAGTTTGGAAAGTCTGGGGGGAGAAACGAATGGGATGGTGGGGCACTGGGATATTGGGGCGAAGGGGAAGTAGGGACGATGGAATAGTGGTGCTGCTAAGTTAGTCGCGGAGGGGGGAAGTTCGAAGTTCGAAGGGGACAGGCATGGATGGCAGGGAGAGGCAAAGCTCCAAAGCCTGAGCCGATTAGAGGTCCAAGCAGGAGACAGTCATTGGATGCATGTCTTTGACGGGCCGGGGAGGAGTGCAAGGCGTGCATTAGTGAGGACCGATGGTTCAACGGCAAGAGTTGGAATAAACGTAGCGAGGAGGGGCACCCAAGGGCAAGATGATGAATGATGAACCGGCAATGCAGGGTGTCGAGTGGTGAGATGCATCACACTATCCACTGATTGGCAGCGCACCAGCATGAGGCGTTTCTTGGACACGGGAACTGGCTTGACATGAAGAAGTCAAAAAGAAAAGAGCTCATCAGTGAGGGGTTGATCATGGTTCAACTTGAATGACGCGACGCAGACATCTGGACGAGCTATGGATATCTGTTGACACACCTACCACCTACCACCTACCACGTTGTTACTCGTGTCGGCCGACCTACGGATGCCTCGGTAAGGGAAGATCCTATACTGATCTTCGATCTCTCAATATGATCGTCCATGTTTGGGCTAGAACTTGATAGCTCAGACCTGACTCCACGCGGTCCACCACGGCCAATGGGAGTACTGGTCCGTACCCTCAACATAACCAGACACACTCGTGGTTTCAACACCCTACCATCAACCATCTCATCACTCAACTGGCGGAGAGACAAAACAAAGACTCAATGCTGGGAGTCTGATCCTTTTCTTCCGCCAACTGACTCGAACAACCTGCAACATCACGAGCAAATTCGGCTGCAAATTTCCACGAATCTTTCACCGATTCGCTTGCCGCCATTTGTTCACCATAAAAGGATATCATAGGTATGTCGTTCGTCTGGCTCCCCTTTTCCTGCCCTTTGGATCGACTGGTATCGAGAAGTGACATCACCAGTGAATCAGCCGATAATCTGCGTTCCTGTTGCAATAATCGTTTCACCTCCTTATCAGCCGTGAGAATACCTTCAGAGAGCATACCCGAAGACTGCTCTCCGGCATTCCCCAAAGATTTCTTGTCAACCTCCCCATATTCCTCAGGCCGGTGAGCAAGTTCCTTGTGTAAGGTCGCCATCACCTCGTTTCCACTCTGTATAAACCGGGGATACAGCATGTAGTAGTTCCTCGCTTGCATCAGTTCGAGGGCGAAATGGAGCCAACCGGGATAATCATGTGAAAGGACTGGAGATGCACGACTCTTCTTGACCAGTTCTGGGTCCGCCAAAAGCCTTTGCGTGAGAAACCAGTGCATTTCCACCCATTTGTCTCCGAAATACAGTCCAGCGTTCGAACTTGGCGCCTGCCAGGACACCAATGCATCGGAAATCTTCAGCGCCACCCACGGCGATTTGGTCGTTGCATCAGGCGCAAACATAGGCAATTCGAGCGAAATCCCCATCAAGGACTCGCCTGCTTCTTGTGATGAATATCGGTGTTCGAGTATCGCATACATCAAGTATTGAAAGTAGCCTGCCGACAGCTCCATATCGGGAGAGAGTACCAATAGGTGAGCTTTCTCTGGAACAGCAGGAAAATACGACTCGAGGGTTCCAAGTGACGCTTGTACAGCAGAAATGGGCTTGGAGTCGATGCGGCGTCGTAGAACCAATTTACTTTCACTTGCGTAGTCGCCTGGGGGCCATTGAAAATTTGAAAGAAACTGTGTGAGAAAAGGATCGACGCGTGCGGGAAGTTCTATAGTCACCCGGGGAAGAGCCCAACCAGAATAATCTGCTTCTTTGACGGAACGCATCAGACGCACGAGATTTGCAGAGGCTTCGCTCTGAGCGTGGATGATGATCTCAACGCTCATGTCGCTCGAGTAACTCAATGACCGAGCGTTTAATGATGAAATCCACGACATACCTGCCAAACCACCAGTGGGGATGACGATTGTCGAAAGTCCTATAGAAGATGCCTTTTCTCTCAAGGCGTCTACCAGGAACTCTCCTTCAGAGTCTGAGTCTCCTACGAAGACCGTACTGAGCTGGAGAGCTGAATGCATATGACCCAGACTCGCCCGAGCACTGATGTCTAGTCTGTTAATCGAAGATTCAGCAGCATAATCTGGCCGCGCATCGTGAAGGTATAGGGCACAATCAGCCTCCTCAAGCCCGTTCAAGGCCAGAATTTCGTCCCATTTCCCCGACTGACGACCCATAAATGCGAAATGGACACGAGTACGGTTATTGCGGGCCATGGAGCAAGCAAGTGGAAGGACTCGAGGAACATTATCAAGCTTGGAGACCGCAAAGAGCACATTGCCCTGCAAGGATGGTTTGTGGAGCGCACGCCGTAAAGTGCTTCCCAATTCAAGAAATCTGATGGGACCTTCATAGCCTTGCTCATCATTCCAAAGCTTTGCAGACTGGCGATTATTTTTGAGCGGCACTTGATCAGGGCCAGCAGGACCAGGGGTCAGTCGGCCAAATCGAGGGTCGTAACGCTGGCCAACAGTTGGAACATCGGTCGGCATGTTCTTGAAGAACAAATAGAGGAGCCATAATGTCACTAGGGCAAGGACCACGCGTCTGCGGCGGAGCAATTTCAAGGGTCGGAAGAGGGAGATCGAACTCGAACTGGAAGTGGAGATGGAGGCTGCTGCATCAGAGTCGTGTTTCTTCCCATGAAGCCGGTGGTCAGGGGTTGTTCGGCTCCTGGCAGCCATTCCCACCTTGAATAACGGGTAGAGGTGTCACATCAAGCCGTCAAATCAGGAATACGGATCATTATAATGGCAGATTCTCGCCGTAGTTGAAGTTGTCCAAACTTGAACACCGAACGCGTCTAGTTCCCCTTGCCCAGATTTGGCTGCGGCATGCTTGAGCCTGTGCACGTGATCCTGACTCGAATGCTAGGTAATCATCACGTGAATTACAACCAGATATCGGACCACTTAGTTTTGGAACTTCGACATCTTCTCCATGACCAGAGCTCCATGTCGTTCGTTGCTTGACATTTTCACAAATTCCCTGAACACCGTCGACCCTGTGATGATCGGTGCCCAAGGAGATGCGAGCACTATGGTCCCAGATCCCCCGGCCTAGATTAGGAGCTTCCTCCCCTCTCTATGCCAACGACCAAGCGGTTGCAATTCTAGTTCGCAAGACTACCACTGCTCCTCTCAAGCGACGCCTGACCTTCAACGATGCTTTCACTCTCCTCCTCACTCCGGTTCTCGCGACCGCGTTCGTTGTCGACACCAGCTGGAAAGAAAAGCAACGCAGAGACTGGGATAAGAAGATTGCGGAAATACAAGATGAGATAGATCAGTTCAATGCCCGGGAAATACGAATTTTGAGCTCTCTGCGGGTGCAGTCCACCTCTAGGAGTCTTCTCCAGCAGCGTCGGCATTATTCGGTCCTTGCGGATCCACAACCATGGGAAGAGCAAGACGATGGTGTAGAAGATGAGGGCAACTTGGGAGCTCCACGATGGTCCGCCAACGATACATCTCACACAGTGAACGAACTGTCCGTCAACGAGATACTCTCTACGTATGACCAAGAAATTCGAGATTTCATTCCCGACTTCGAACCTGACGACTTCACCTCTTCCTCCGAGCCTGCCAAGTCATATTCAGATCAAGAAATGTCAGCAGGGCACCGGTATCAAAGGCTGATAGCGACAATGCTAGCCATTCGGCTGATCACCCACTTTCATATCTCTACAACTGCACGTCTGATCCCTGACGAGGAGGAATCGAATCTTCATCTTGGTACAAAACAAATCCCCGACATCGATGATATTCCTGCGCTTGTGGCAATGAACTACAAACTCAGACAAGAGCTGAAAGACCTGAGGCGCGCTTCACTTGATCTCCACGGATTGGGAGCCCAGATGCAGAGAATGTATCGTGGAAGTCTCTTGAATATGCAACTGGTAGCTCTAGTGCAGGATTTTAAAGACCAGAAGCTGGACCCTTTCGAATTTGTGAAGGGTTACAGTACCTTGGTATTGAACTCGGACCAAGTCCCATGTACTGAAACGTATGTCAAGATCTTGGGCGCTTTAGGAAGGGCTGGAAATCACAGCATGGCCTACTACGTCAACAGTGCATTGAAAAACAGCCTTTTGCCCTTGACCGATAGCGCGGTTGGGCATATGTTGTATCATTATGGCCAGAGCCGAGACACTCAGCAAGGCGAAATGTTTTTACGACGACTTATTCAATCTGGCTCTCCATATAATCTGGCGACCAAGTGGCAGTTGTATCAGACCAGGAATGGTACTATCCCCGTACCAGAAAACCTCAATCCGCAACTTCTACAACTTCTGGTATATATGGCTCTGAGAGGTAACCAGCCAGAACGAGCGGAGAGCTGGTATTCATTTCTGAAAGAGATCAACTACGGCGGCAGAGCCATGTCGCATCTCTTTTCATCCTTTTTATATCATTATGCTCTAGTGCAGCATTGGGAGAAAGGTCTCGTATGGCTTCAAAAGGGCATACTAGACGCCATACAGATCGCCTCAACATCTTTACCGGGATTGAGCAAGGTCATTTTCAGAATGCTTGATCTTTGTGTCGCTTGCCGGAAACACGCCGAATATGCCACTATTCTCGATGCCGCTGTCCGTGCAGGCATTCCCCCTCCACAACTCCATAAGTATCGGCGAAAGAGGTTTACGCCCAGAGCCCAGAGTATTCTCCTAGAATGGGAGTCTTTGGCAGCCGCTAAACAAGATCCTGAGGATATTTTGCCACGTGACAGAGCTATCATGTTCCAGGACATGTGCACACTTCATGACTCTAGTCTTTTGAAAACTATATCTGAGAATCACCAGCCATCAGGGGATGAGGATGAGCTTGCGACAACGCTTCCAACCGCTCCTACTCCAGATACTGTGGTACCGATCACCCGTAGTTTTTCGACAGATCTTGTTGAATCAGAGGAAGGATCGGATCTAAGTAACAGCCTACTAAAGGACGAGCCGGGACCAATTGCTGAGATGCAAAAACAACTTGACACTGCTCATTCAGAATTCCAGTTAACCAAGGCACGAGCTGCGTCACAAATGAGCGCCATAGATCTTCTCGAGCGGAAGCAGGACGATCTATTCGACCGCTTTCGTGAGTTTTCCCAAAAATTGTCGCCACTTGAGCCTTTACCAGCGGAAACTACTGCACTGAGGGTAGATATCACTGCGCTAAAAGCAAACTCCACTACACTGAAGACTGAGTTTTCTAAACTGAAGGCTAAGACCACTATACTAAAGGCAGATACTACTGCACTGAAGGCAGAGTCCGCGAAGCTAAAGGCTGAGACCACTTCGCTAAAGGCTGAGACCACTACGCTGAAGGCTGAGATCGCTACGCTGAAAGCAGCAATCGCTACGATGAAAGCAGAGATCCTTCGACCGAGAGACTCGCCTGTACTTGAACCCTTGACACTACCTACGTCGACACAGCCAACAGCAGGCAAACCCACTGAATCCGAAAAATCTCCCGAAAATAAGCCATTCTTATCACCTCGCATGATACTTCGAAAAATAGTCGCGTTAAGCGCAGAACTAGCGGTAGCAAAAAAGACACCCACGCCTGAATTATCTTTACCAAGAAAATTGGAGTTGGCACAGATGAGAGTAGAACGAAAACAGCTCCAAAAACTTCTCGAAACCCAAAGAGCCGGGAAGGCTGAGCGAAGAGCAAGGACACCTGGTCTCGGCTCCAGGACGATGGACATTGAGAAGGGCGTCGAAGCGCCCATTGACGAAGACACGCCGGAAACCCCTCTCCCAGCTACAGCGTCGCAGCCTCAACATGACTCCCACGAGGAGATGCCGAATCCTTCGTCGGGCGCGACAACGCCACCTACGCCGAGTGCCAGTGCGCGACCCGACCGTCAATCCAAGAAACGCAGGCCCGGGCCCGCCGAACAATACCGCCTCGATCTGTCCAACATCGGCCACGCGATCCCAGACATCAAGGACTCGACCCCGATCGGCACGGCCGGCGCAGCCGAAGACGATGCCGACCTCGACAACCACGCCGTCATCCGCCGGTATTACGACGTTGACTTGGAGGCCGACAAGTGAAAGAAAGGGTCATAGCCCAAATGTCCCCTAATCGACTGTATTGATTGGCTGATTGATTGAAAGATAGATGGAAGGATAGCATGATGTACATACATATCCAACGAAGACAGCTGGATACATACATGGAATAAGCCTTCCGCTGGCTGTGAACCTCTGTACCGAGCATTTCAGCTTGTAGCATGCGTGCATGAATCTATGCATATGCAGTGTATGATAAATTAAATTTTTAGCCCCTCCCTCTCTCTTCCCCCATGGGCGATTTACATCCTGCCTACCTACGCCACGGAATCTGAGAAGTAACGTTTATGTGTTCCAACCTTCGGACGATTCAAAAGACACGATAGATACAATGATAGGTGGTATAGTACTTGTATTCCATGTTCGGCTTCTCGCCTATACGTCCTGTCAGGTGCTAGTAATGGCCAACTAGGCAGGTAGCAGAACAGAACTCCACGCTAATTCGACGTTTGGAAAAATGCAGCGCTAAGGAAATGCAATGGTAAAACTTGCTATGTATGTACTGCAGGGGAGTATGTCCATGAGAATGCCGCTTCCATGCCATGCATACCGGAAAGCACAACCGAAAGAACTCCTCTCTGACGTGCCTCAATTCCACGAGGCTCTAGAACAATTTCGTCGCAAGCACCGGATCATCTAATCCGTCTCTATCCGTAATGATATTTTGCTTGCAATCATCGGACAACAAACTCCATAAATGATTTTTGGGTATAAAGTGGAGCAAATGCTCTATTGTTTTGCATTCGCATCATGTCGTAAGCAGCCGGCCGTAATTCGGACCATGGCGGATGGCCATCACCAAGAATTAAAATCGCTCATGGCTTGTTGATTTGCACAAAGACCTTGAGGACCTCGACACCGATTTGAAGCAGTTCCGGATCCTTGGTCTTTTTCAAACACGTTTTCAGTTTTTCCGTGGCGTTGTTTGCTTGGAATAATTCTTTCGCTTGTAACGCCACCTTTTCGTCTTCATTGCAAACAAGATTTCTCAGCACAACCAACCCTCGATGCACCACCCCTGAATCATCATCTTGGCAAAGCTCTAGTAGAATCTCTGGTGTCCTCTTGAACTCCAGAATTGCCGAAATCACAGACGCAGACTGGTCTGTTAGCATAGCCAGTGCACCGCCAGCCGCTCGGCGAGTGGGTAGGTCGTCGACGTCCGCCATGGCAACAAGAATGTGAAGTCTCTGGCTTGCTCTTTTGGAACCATCTGCAAATTTCTCTGCACCAGAGGGTATAACAGTCAAGTTGCAAATGAGTTCGGTGGCTGCACGCCGAAGCATACTATTATTCCCCAGTTGTAGATCTTCGATGTCATCCCATGCACCTTTTATGATGCTACTTGCTGCTGTCGCCTCGGCAGCCGATGCAAGGTTGGTCAGGGCGAGAAGACTTTCGAAGACAGGGAGTAGATCTCTTGCTTGATCAGCTAGACCAGCGCTGGCAGGAGCCTTGAGTAAAGACACCAGAGGAGGAACCGCATCTGTAATATGCGGCGTTGAGCCAGCTGCAAAGACGTGTGAAGGATTTAGGGAGATCAGAATTCTGGCCAAGGCATGAGCAGCGTCAATATTGGCTGGGTTGGTACTGTCCTTCGGTTGAAGATTTCTTTGTGCGTGGATTATCAACAACTTAACAGCTCCCTGTTGTGCGATCTTTCCCCTATCTTTTGAATTTTTAGCAAGGGACAGGAGTATTCGATCTGTAAGTTGGGCGGTAGCCGGTGATCTTCCCTTGTTCAACTTTGACAATGTCGGGACAATGCCAGCTTCAACCACTGCTGTACATCGCGCACGAACATGATCATCGTTTTCGAGGGGACTTGGATCGGCCGCCTTGGTAGCATTTGCGTAAGCTTTCAATTGAGTCATCTTTTTCTGCTCGTCCGAGAGATTTGGCCTATATTGTGTGAGATTGGAGAAGACGCTCAAGCCACCCACCACGACCTCAGGAGAATCGTGATTGGAATCAAGGGCCTTCAACAGAGCGACGAGAAAATCCCTGTCTTTGGCAAGAGATTCTTTGACCTCTGATTTCAAAGATGTGTACGCAAGGCCTTCAATCGAGTCAGAAACGTTTCTCCCCTCTTCAACAGTGAGGGTAGTCTTGAAAAGATCAACGAGTTCACTAACATCATCATCCGCCATGTTGGCTCTCTGTTCTCCCACTTTCACACCCGAAGTTCTTAATTTTGCCAGAGTAGTGGCAGCAATGGATGGTTGTTTGCCCATCCCATTGCTGACCTTGTGAGATAACCAAGAGGCACAATGTTGGGCAATTGCTGTGCGGCACGCTCCATCGATACACGCAGCATTCAATAGTATGAGGAAGGCGTCATGAACGAGTGTGCTGCTGAATTGCCGTCCGAGAAGAGGCATCAAAGATGTAAGGAAGCCTTCTGTCAAAAACAGTTGCGCTGCAATGCTGGGAATAACGGGAAAGAGACTGGCGGCAGCAGAGAATGCGAGAACGAGGTCATCGCCCTTTTGTCGCGTCACATGTGATGTAACGTAGTTGGTAAAAAAAGCTTGAGCGGCAGATTCGTCGGTGGAGAAGAATTTGGATAGGACGAGAGTGGCTTGGCCACGTACATCTGAGGGAAGTCTCAAGTCCAAGCTGCCCATAAGAGCTTCGAATGCTTCTTCATCCACAAAGGTATGCAACCGTTGAGGGTCGGCAATGAGAAGAAGGGCAATACCCTTCAAAGCTCTGCCGTCATGATCATGACCAGTTTCCATTAATTTGGCCAGAAACAGTTGGAAAAGATCATCCTCAACACGAAGTCTTGCATCCTCACTGGACCAGATTTTATCATCGAGCACCACTGAGCGAAGACAATTTGCAGCGTCGTCGCCTCGTTCGTAGACGTTGTCGAAGAATTCTGTAGTTGAGGCTTGAAGTTCTGAAGCAAAATATTGTCGTACTTGAGGGCTCTGTCTGGCGAGTTCGGCAATGATAAAATTCTGATCCTCCGACATGGAGGTTTGGTTGCACTCCAAAATGATCTGAAGACAATCCAGAGCCACAGATCCAGCGTTGGCAGCATCAGAACCTCGCAAGTATGCTACTGCCTCAGAACCGGCAGCATTATTGTGATAGAGAGCATATCTGCGACACAAATCCAGGAGTGGCGAATTGTCCTGATCATTGTGGATTTCTCGGAAAGCGGCTTGGACATCGGCATTGTCATGACCAAGAGCAGCCGCTTCTCGAAGCTTCCTCGAAGCTTTCTGTTTCAGGGAATTAGATCATAAGGACAGATGCAGGATAGGATTGAGACTTGCCGCTTTATCTCCAGTATTAGACAACTCGACGGCTTCTTTAGCCAAGACTGAAGCACGTTCTTCGGAGAGCTGACGGGTCATCCGCTGCACTGCCGCCATTGATGACATTTGGGATAAGAGTGGTCGGCGGTCAGTTGCAGTGGAGAGGTGGATGGGGGAAGAAAAGGAGGGAGAAAATGGCGAAATCCGAGGGGGGTGTTGGGGGATGGGTGAGATTAAGAAGTAAACGGCATGCCCTGATAGATGGAGGTCTACTGGATTGGAAATAGGCGATGGCGGAAGAGAAGAAAGTTGGAACTTGGTAGAAGGCGAAGGCGAAGGCCGTCAGCTGATGAGAATGAGGTGTTCAAGTTTGGATGGATGGTGTATTAACTAATGTTGGATGCCAGTGTTGGATAGCGAGTGCAAGGGCGAAATCCGCCGAGAGGCGACGGACGGAGAGAGTAGTGGCTTAGGTAGTGAGGCTGGCGGAGATAAAGGAGGATGCCAGAGTTGAGTGAGGTGGGAGAAAAAATTAAACCAAAGCGAGCAGTGCCTCGTAACGATTGGTGACGAATTGCTTCTTCAAGGCAGGAACAATGCCAGAATAAGGCAAACAACAGAACCGAGGTATGGGATAGGTTGTTGATTGTTAATGTGGATGTGGACAGGTGAGGAAAGGGTTCGAACAGAGTGGACACGTGGGATGGAAAATTCGAAGTAGTGGAGGATGAAAAATGTCGAGATGGACTCGGATAGAGACCGAGATGAGATAGCGACAATAATGAATGAGAGAGGCAGTGGCAGTGGCAGTGGCAGTGGAAGTTGTAAACGGGAAGGGATGGGCAACTCGAAGTTGAAGGACTCGCGACGGATAGTCACTCTTGAACGTCCGCACCGATTACCGGCAGCTTAAGGGCGTAGTAACTAGTAATGGTGAAGTACTTGGACCTGGACGGGGACGGTTGTGCTGATTTTAAGGCTTAAATTTGAAATTAGCATGTGCTCCATTTCTGACTCATGGACTCCCGCCTTCAGGCTCCGCTGGGACCTGTTCTACGTGTGTATCAACCATCCCTTTGATTGTAACACATTCAGATGCTCCTCTCCATCCATCAAATCAACAGCCCACGTTGACAGATCGTTGGATTATCTCTCCATTTCCGTCACTGTCAGGTGCTGAGAATTGGAATCCTCAACTAACATCATTTGCAGACGGATCAGCCAGCACCGGGCTCAAAGTCAATTAGGCTCTATTGTTATTGTTATGGTAATTGATTTCTCGGGCGACGTGCCGTGGCTTGGTTGAAAGTAAGGTCGGTCCAGGCGTCCCCTACAGGCTACTGGTGGCTCACAGGCACTATGAGCCACCAGGCACAAGCGCTTCGGACTAAGTACTACGCGCGCAGAAGTACTCCCGGCACCCCCACGGCCTGTGGCTCGGTGACTTCAAGTTGAATAAGGCTGATGCCCTGGAAAAACGGGCCGACTACACCCCAACGTCTCAACGTCACGTTTCTCGTTCAATATCATTTCTCTTCATCCATCTTGTCTTGATCATATCCATCTTCACGAGCCCACCCTTAGCCCAGAACAATGAATGCTCTCGACATCACAGCCGAGCAGTTCGAGAAGCCATCACATGGTAAGTCAGGTCTACCTTCCAGGCTAATCTCAATCCTGCATCTTTTTACCCCATCTCGCATCAGCCCACCGTTACAACTTCGGTCCAGACCCCGAAAATCGGACCCCCTTGGTGCTGATTCCTGACCGCTTGCCTTCTCAATCCAATCATGTGACATCCCATTACCATCCCAAGGCTCTCCTATCCTTTCGGATTTGATATGGCATCTGAACAAGGCTGAGTGTGTTTTTCATCAGAGCTCTCGCCATCATTACTCACCATCATTCTCGACACTAACCCTGCCGCCTGGTCACTGTTATTACCCACGCTCACACTTTCATCAACTGTCGCAAACATTCTGGTCTTTATCAATGCCCATTTGGCAGGGAACTACCTCAACAAGGTTGGTGTCATCGCGTCTCACTGCGACAAAGCACAATGGCTTTATCCCACTCCCACCGAACAACGTCTTCCATCTCGCTTGATCCAGGAGCGACAAAAGCGTCAAGCCGGTCAACCATCACATCGCACTCAGACGCAGTCTCAGGACCTATCCGACTCCACCAAGCGCCTCAGACTCAGCAATGGATCACCATCACTCAACCTTAAGCCTCCAACGGCGACAACGACATCGACCCCCTCGACGACAGAAACGGCCGGTAACAAGTACCGACCCTTCCGTCTGGTCGAGGAAGAACTGATCAAAAATCTCTCCAACTTGCTTTCCAGCACCACACCAGACGTCGTCTCCAGCAGCACATCGACCATGATCGCTGGAGCATTGACATTGGCACTAAGCCACATCAACCGTGAGTCGATCAGCTATGCCGAATCCCTTATCGGCACAACCACAAACATGGACACCGACGGCACCGACGGCATCCCATCAACATCCGAAGCCACCAGCACGGTACTCCAATCGCGGATCCTACTGATCTCCGCCTCACCCTCGACAGATCTCGCACATCAATACATCCCCATTATGAACGCCATATTCGCGTGTCAGCGCCTATCGATTCCAATTGACATCCTCCAACTTCCCCTCCCACTCCCAAACCCAAACCCCAACCCCAAACAACCAGCCTCAAACCCACCATCGTCCTCATCACCATCGACCACACCCACAACCACGGGCTCCAACTCGACCGTCTTCCTCCAACAAGCCGCCGACGCCACCAAAGGCATCTTCATCCCCGTGCGCCTAAAATCCCCAACCTCCTCGTCCTCCTCATCCACCACAGCGACCACATCCGCCTCACAATCCCTACTGACCTACCTCCTGACCTCGTTCCTGCCCTCGCCGACAACGCGGGGCGCACACCTGATCCTCCCCACACGCATCGACGTCGACTTCCGCGCCGCGTGCTTCTGCCACCGCAACGTCGTCTCCACGGGCTTCGTCTGCAGCATCTGTCTGAGCATCTTCTGCTCGGTGCCCGAGAACGGCGACTGCTTGACCTGTGGCACGCACCTCACGTTGGGGAATTATGGTGCAAGACCGGCCGTTGTGGCAAGACGGAGGAAGGCAAGGGCAAGATGATTGTTGCGAGCTCTTCTCGCCAGGGAGGGGAGAGATGGGTGGATGGGTTCTACTGGCGCTACCGTAGCTTGGGGTCGCCATTCTATATCTCAAAAGAGGATTCTACAAAAAGCTAATCTGCAATCATGTATGAAAATATCACGGAATGATGGTCGTCTCTGGACCTGCTCAGAGGGCAACGATACTAGATTGACTATCTAGGTGGTGAACTCCCATCAGGATATCTGAGAATCACATCGAGGTGTAAGAAATACAGATACTGCGGCGTCTGCGAGTCTCCATAATTGTAGGTCTGGTGTTGCTCTGGCGTTGCTGCTTCTTTGACCTTGTCCCACATTGGGCGTCAAGATGGCAATCCATCTCAGGTAGCTCTTGTGTGCTTGCATTAGCAGGTTGGAACTGTTGGTCTCTCAAAATTTCCAGAGAATTCCCCTTTGCGTTTGTCTCCGTATGTTTCAGGTTGGGCGCCTAGGCGTTGCTTCGAAGGCGACATGAGTGCGCCGGGAAGGTCTCTCACTAGCGCGGAGGACGAGCATGCTTGGCCCGAGACACTCTTCCGCCTTGTGCGATTGCACCATGTCCTTTGCTCCGTGACATTGTACAGACAGGTTTTCGTTCCTCTGAGTGCATCGATGCCAGGGCAAACGAGTCTGTGTTGTGTCCGAAATAGAAGTAGATCCCTTCACGAGACTTTTTGACTGCAAGAATACCAATCGCACCGGCGCAATGGCTCTTGCTCACTCCTGGGTGCCTCATAAAATCGTTCTGAATGACAGAATGCATCGCTTCATCCTCATGGCAGGCTAGCAGCCGACCATTCTCTTTCTTCACTGAGGCATAGATTCGATCTGCAGCTGTAGCAGCAGCAGCAGTGGTTGCCATGTGTTCCCCGGTCCCGCTGGTGACGGTGGCTACACAAGTCTCGGTTGGATCCTGTGGGTCGATCGGTATGACTGCAGTGCCAATTCCGACAAGTGCTGCTGGTCCACAGCGGCCTTTGTGTTTCATACCAATTCCCCCGGAAGATGAGCCTGCGGCTATCCGTCCAAAGCAATCTATCGCAATGGCTCCCACTGTGTCGGTGATGTAGTCTTCCCGGTCGTCCTCAAACCCCTCGAACGGCTCTTCGTCATTATCAGATCCATGATCGCCATCGCCATAGACGTAATCCTTATGCGAGCCATCATAAGATCCACTCAACTTTTGTCTTTTTGGAGCAGATGCCGTGAACTGCATATTGTCATCAATTGCTTCTTCGTTGTACGCGTTCTCAATTGAAGTGCTCTGTACATGAGTGGGTGTAACAACTCTGTCTTCCGCACTATTGACCAAGGACGGTACATCTGCCGTTGATGCTACCAGAGGACGGCTAAGGGCTGGAAGTCGAGCAAGACTAGGACGATGCACAGAAGCAGATGGAGTTGGCGGGGTTGTTGTTATTGTTGGTGTCGTGCTCATGTTTGGTGTGTGATGGAGCGAGCTTGATTGTACCCACGCATTTACTGCGCGTAGATGTCCCGGGTTGTCAGTCGGTGCCTCGTTACGTTGATGGTCCTCAAGATCCTGTCTCCATCTGATCCAACGGTCATGGGCAGATTGAGAGATTAAAAAGTCGAAAGGGAGGATGGGGATGCCCTTGTCAGCGGCATAGTCAGTTGCGCCACTGCCAACAAGAAGAATGGGTGGAACACGTTGTAGAGACATTGGCTTGGTAGATTCGTCCAAGACGAGACGTGCAACCGCGATGGGATTTTTGACCTGCCGAATAGCACCAACTGCACCACTTCGGCCATAATGATCAACCAGAGTGGCGTCACATTCAACATGACCATCCATTGTCAAATTGCTGCCGTAGCCAGCATTGGTGATCTCCTTATCTTCGAGCATTCGAATGGCCATTTCGACAGCATCAGTGGCATCTCCTCCGTTCTTCAATATAGCCATGCCCACCTTGGCAGCATCGTTCACGGCATTGAGATGAACCCTTTCGTTTTGGTGACTGTGATACCCGGCTCCAGCATGGATGAAGATGGCGCAAAGGTCGCCGCCTTCTTGGGGTGGTCGACGTGGCATTTGAGGATCCTCAACTAGAGCGAGACATGAAACCTGGTGTCGTCGAATTGGGCTTGGTACCTACGAGAGCCTGTGCTCGAAATTTGTTAGTGCGAGATACAGAACTCAAGGCCACGGAGAGGGAAATACAGGAGGATGCAGAGATGACTTTATAGGAGGGCTGTAGCTCGAGAAAGACCTGGCTTGACGAGAGGGTCGAGGAAGCAAAGTGAATCCAAGTCAGCTCGAGCACAGAGGCGAGGCGTTGAGGCAGATTCGAGAAGGGTCAGAAGATCGGATTGAGCAGCGTGAAAGAATGTAATGTGGCTTTCTGCCAGTAAGACGTATCGAATTAAGAGTGCCTCGTGAGGCAGTGTGAGACGAAGAATACCTGAAGGATGTGGTCAAGAGTGAGTGTGTCTATGTTTGGCGAACATCCACAAACAATGCACACCAATGACTTCACAATCTGTATGCCTTCAACTCAAGAAAGAATGAACGTGGGTGACCCTTCGGCCACTACCTGCCGTTGCAAACTCTAGTGCACCTTCGAAGATTCTCGGCAGCCTTGTTCGTCGCAAAATGAAGATCTGAACCTCTCCATACCTACCTAGATACTAATGATGACATCGAGACATATTCAGATTCCAGTTACCCACTAATACTTTCTGCAAGAACGTGCTACTAGACCATTTTTCTTACATGCTCCAAAGGGTAAAACCGGGAGTGTTGCGTATGGCAGCAGAAAAGTGGCAGTCGTGACCACGGTTCAATGTTGTATAAAAAGTGGTGGCAGAATTTGTGCAGTCAGAGCCAAGAGACCACCACCGCCTTGGATGACGACGGATCACGTGAATTGGAGGCCAGCACGGCTGGAGCAGCATCCCACTATGTCCAAGTCAATTGTCTGTCTCACTCGCACTGGGTATCAAAGCTGCCTGCGACCAGCAACACCCAACACAATATCAAGTGTCTGCCGTTGTATTGCAGGAAGTCGACAGACAGTGCCTCACACTCTTCGACTTGCCACTCACCCACTGGCCATGAGGATACAAAGCCTCCGTCAATTCAACTAGCAGCCCTCTTCCCCACCTTACTCTACCTCACTCTCTACATTGCTGCTGCACTTGACGTCTACCATCATCTCAATATGGCGTCCCAAACACCGGCCGTTGTCATGGACAAGTGAGTTGTCAAACAATCTCTGTGGATCAAATACTAACCCTCGATACAGCGGAACCGGCTTCTCCAAACTCGGTATACCATATCCCTTCCCGATCTCACGTCCACCACTCTGACATGAAACTTCTATAGGATTCGCCGGAAACGATGCTCCTTCATGGGTGTTCCCCACTGCTATCGCGACAAAAGGCCCTGCTGCCGGAGGTGGTGGAACGGGCTCTGGAAGACCTGCTGTTGCAAACAAGCCTTCTTATTTGACTGGCGGAGCAGGTGCCAGTTCCAACTTGGCTGGAAAACGCGGGACAGAAGATCTTGACTTTTTCATCGGAGATGAGGCCCTTGCTGCCGGCGCTGGCCCTGGCTATGGTGTCCACTATCCGATCCGTCACGGTCAGATTGAGAACTGGGATCACATGGAACGCTTCTGGTCCAACTCCATCTTCAAATACCTAAGAGTCGAGCCTGAAGATCACTACTTCCTTCTCACTGAACCTGTAAGCTGTTTGGCATGCTGATTAATTCTTATTCACTGACACCTTTCACAGCCTCTAAATCCTCCAGAGAACCGAGAAAACACTGCCGAAATCATGTTCGAATCGTTCAATTGCGCCGGTCTTTACATCGCCGTACAAGCCGTTCTGGCACTGGCAGCGTCTTGGACTTCCTCCAAAGTGACAGACAGATCACTTACAGGAACAGTCATTGATTCTGGAGACGGTGTCACCCACGTTATCCCGGTTGCTGAGGGTTACGTTATTGGGTCGTCGATCAAAAGCATCCCAATTGCTGGTCGAGACATCACATATTTTGTTCAGAGTCTTCTACGAGATCGAGGCGAACCAGACAGCAGTTTGAAAACAGCAGAAAAGGTCAAGGAAGAATATTGCTATGTCTGCCCGGATATGGTCAAGGAATTTGCCCGTTATGACCGAGAGCCTGATCGGTTCCTCAAGCACACTGTCACAGCCCCTAATGGCAGATCTGTCTCCATTGACGTTGGCTACGAACGCTTCCTCGCACCTGAGATCTTTTTCAATCCAGAAATATACTCCTCCGACTTTTTGACCCCTCTACCAACAGTGGTGGATGGCGTTATTCAATCCTCGCCAATTGATGTCCGTCGAGGGCTGTACAAGAATATTGTTCTATCTGGTGGCTCGACTCTATACAAAGACTTTGGCCGCAGATTGCAGCGAGATATCCGACATTTGGTGGATGCACGTATCAAGGCGTCTGAGACACGAAGTGGAGGAGCCCGGAGTGGTGGGTTAGAAGTCCAGGTCGTAACGCACAAACGACAAAGACATGGACCGTGGTTCGGAGGCAGCTTGCTTGGACAGACCCCGGAGTTCCGGAGTTATTGCCACACAAAAGCAGAGTACGATGAGATAGGCCCCAGTATTGTCAGGAGGTTTGCCCTCCTTGGTGGACCTGGTAGCACTTAGACTTGCCATTAAAAGCAATTGATGATGGTAGATTGGCGAAAGCAACTCTAACCCTACGCCCAATGAAAGACAATGAATACCATGAAACGATTTTCATCTTCCTTCTAGTAGGTAATCTATGACAATAGTGTTTATACAGTTGCGGTGAATTTTTGAAAGTGCCACACGAGCAGGCGTGTGCATAGTCTTCTTGTATAGTAAGACCGAACCTTCTCCAATACCAGCCCAACACAACATCTCATACTGAGAAGCATCGACATTACTTCTCACCATCCAGCCCACCCACCCCAGGCATATCACGCACACGATTCAAGACACAAACGCCCTCGACATGACTCGTCTGCGGAAAGAAGTCAAAGCCGCGCAACGACTCAATCTCATATCTCCAATTGCCACCGAAGCCCTGCACCAACAGGCCCACATCCCTTGCCTGCGTATGCACATTACAACTGATATAGATGACCCTCCTGGCCCCGAACTGGCACAACTGCTGTAAGAAATCCAGTGACGCGCCTTTGCGCGGCGGGTCCATGAGCACGAGGCTCTCCCCTGGCGGGAAAGGCACGTCCTGGAATAATGTCGAGGCGTCGGCTGTGATGAAACCTGCGTTGGCGAGCTTGTTGTATTCTGCGTTCTTGCGCGCGGATTTGATCCCGTGGATGTCGACGTCGATGCCGAGCGTTGATGTGAACGAAGGGGCGAGCGAGACGGCGAAGAGCCCGGAGCCGCAGTACGCGTCCAGGAGGTATTTGATTGGTGCTTCCCACGGGGTGGCAGTGACGGCGGTGGATTTTGGGGTTGTGGTCGGGGTGCATTGTTGGCGGACGTAGTTGATGCAGGTCGCGAGGATCGAGTTGTTGTTTTGGAAGAATGAGTTCGCCACGTTCTCGAATATTGTGTCGCCCACGTATTCCGTCGACATGCCTTTGTGGTCCGAGACACATGTCTTGGTGTCTTCATGTGTGGCATAGGTGAGTTTGAGCTCTGGCTTGTTTGGCTCAGGGAATGTGATTTCGCTTTTTAGCGGTTCCTCCAGTGGCACTGCATAGAAGGCCGCGTCGCTTGTTGCATCTGTTGAGGGTGCTGCCACATCGTGGGTTGTGTTCTCTTTGGAGAGTTGGTCGCCGTTGGCAGGCATTGATGGGTTTTCGGAAGACTCGTGCTTTGTGCGTCGTGTTGACTCCCGGAGCAGGATTGTGGCGCCCTTGCTATTTGTGAACTTTTTATCACGGATCTTTTGCCGTTCAACTTTCATTCCTTCATTGACAATGGGCGTTCCGATAGGGCAGTGCTCAATGTCCAGGACTTTGCCTCGAGCTCCACCTTTGTAGTTGAATCCAATGGGCCTGTGCTCAGACGAATTACCAGGGGAAAGTTTATCGTAATGAGGCGTTAGTTTCGTCCTATAGCCGTACTCCAACGGTGATCCAATGGTGTCGCCCACGGGCGGAATCAGTGACTGGTCGAGGTTCGAGAAGCGCTGGAACGCTCTCTCCACAATGGATTTCTTGTGTAATAGTTGTTCGGTATATGGCAGCATCTGAAGCTGGCAACCCGAACATTTGGTGAAATATTTACAGCCGGGGGTGACACCTTCGCGCTTCTCAGACGGCCGCAAGACTTTCAGGAAGTCAGTCATGGTGTACACATCGTTAGGGACCTGCGGAAACGTCTTCGCCAGTACTCTGTCACCCGGAACAGAAAATGGTACAACGAAGACATGGTCATGCTCCTTTGAGTACGCAAGTCCATCTCCCGTTGAGGACAGCTGTTCAATCTCGAGCTCAAGCTCTGTCATGCTCGACAGAATTGGTGTTTTGAGGCGCTTGGTCGTGCCCATGTTTGATGACTCTGTTACTGGAGCGGTGTTCGCCCCATCGCCATTGGAATTTGATCGATGCTTCGCTAGAAGCGCATTGCCCTCGTACGCGAGGACTTCCGCTGGCAGTCCTTCGGTGAGCCGATGGGGCCCACTGAGCAGCTGACGCTTGGAACGTGCTGACTTCATCATTGCCAATTTTACTGCATCATAGAGTCCCGTTAAAGGATCTGCTTCTATTCGAAATTTCTTGCTTCCATGTGAGCTCAAGGGTTCTGGCTCTGATCGGTAATCAGTGGTTTTGTTCTTGGAAAATGTCGGTGATTGTCGTCGACTCCTGTCCTGAGGTTGATACCGAGATCGATTTGCTGTGGAGAGGAACCTTCGGCCTGCCGAAAAGTAATATGTCTGCAATGAGCGGCCTGCGAACATGAATATGATTACGAGCGGCACTAATCAGCCAAAGGTGAGATCAGACAGATACTCAAGTGATGGCTAGGAGAAAGGCAGCGTCACGGATTTTGAAGTCTAGAAAAATATTGATCACGTGGGAGATCTATTCTTGGCCGAAGCCAATCAGATAAGATTAATTTGAAGGTTAATGATGATTATGTAATAATGATACTTATGTAATCCTATTTCCACACCCTTTTAATCGTGAAGAACTCGAAGGCAGCCAGCCTTTTCTCAGGACAGACACTGTATAATGGCTTCTATATAGGTCATCGCGTAATTGCGTTAGCAAGGTATCGAGAAGCTCCTTCGAGAAGAATCGAAAATCAACTGTCACTGATCTAGGTGTGGCCAGATCGCTTCAAGTGGCGTCTGAATGTATCTCCAGAATTCGACCTTCGCAGGGGCTTTCAGGTGCAAAGTCCAGAGAAGAGTTCCTGTGCCGTCACTATGGTCGAGTGCGCTCCCCAGAATCCAAAATATTATCGTTGTCCACCATCATCTGGTCCATAATTCGCGCAAAATGTCTACATATGTGGGCCACGGCTACTCATGACCTATCCAAGATCATCACTTCGTACCGGGCTTATTGAAGGACTTCTCGACACAGCCAGAGCTCGCAGATCCTCGAAGGCAGGACTGGCACGCAGCCTCGATGACCTTTCCATCTGTATCGGTCTAGACACTGGCTTCGTTTTCTCAAACAACGGCTTTTCTGCCTCAGCATACATGTCAGTGGCTGAAAATCGTAGCGCAGCGAGCTCCACTGGGCCATCCCGCGCATTGACAGGCGTTCGTGACTTGAAGCGACGGGTGAATTCTTCCTCTGTCAGTCCGACACTCATTATCTCCTGTGGTTCCAGGGTGTCCTCCTTGGAAATCGTTATGGACATATAAGCTGGTGCTGGTGAGAAGGGGGGGCGGGGAGATGACAGTGTCGACGATGTGGCGGTGTTGCGAGCCAAAGACATAAGATCTGCGAATATACTTAGTACTTAATGTCAACTTCATTCAATACGTACTGTACTTAGTATCGTTAGGTGAGAGTTACTAACCTCGACCCATCCCAGGATTTTGCAACGGAGCTGATATCTGGATCTGGCGCCCACTTCTCCGAGCCCCCCTTCGTCGCCGGCAATAGAAGATGGCAAGGCATACTAGAGTGGTTACAACTACCCCAACTGCTGCCGCGGCTCCGGCCACAGCTATCAGGCTCACCGAGTTTGACTTCGACGCTGGGGGTGATGATGAAGACACTTCGACTGCTCTTGATTGCATAATATCCTTGAAGGAATGCCGTCGGCCAGAGGCCAGAGCTAGACCGAAACCGACCTCGTAGGTGTCGGGTCCGGGCATTATGGAATGGCGTGTATCAGATTTGATACTTGAATCTCGACGGAATCTCGACGTTAATGAACAAACTGTCGTCTTAGCCGTGCTTTAGTCAAGTATGCCGAGGGATGATACTTGGTATCGCGATGAGTACCTAGTACTCTTGTACCGTGTATGGCAATGGAGACATAGGACGATAAGCAGTAAGTACTTAATGTAGTACTCAGTAAGTAGTATTTAGAACCTAGGGGTTTGGAGCATAGTCCGACGAGGCAAAAGCAAATAGATAGAATTAAACACAAGTGAAAAAGCAGGCAATCAGAACTTGAACCTCTGGAACCCACCAAGCGGATAAAGAACCCATCGTTGACCCTTGCTACTAAGTACTACTCACCAGCAGCCACCGTCGAGAGCAATGCCTGGCTTGGGAACCAGGAGAAGGCTGGAGCCATCACGGCGTCTCCGTCTTGCGTGCACGCGACAGACGGACTTGCGAAAGGAAAGGCAATCCACCCCAGTCATCCCATATGCGGGAAGGGCGAGTGCTCGGTGGCTATGCTGATGAGTCTTACTCGTATTCCCCCCTGCCGGCAGAGAAACTTTGATAACAAGCACCCTGGAGTTCATAACCTTGCTTCCAAATGGCCATTGAGGGATGTCATCCAGACATCAAGCCTCACGACTATTCGGCGAGGTACTTAGTATACCGAGGACGAACAGCGGGTCGGTGAGGCTGAGGTTTCGTGAATATTGTGAATCATAAGTACTCAAAACTGTGATGTTTGTTGATCTGGGGTTGTGGACTGATTTGGTATCTGAGAGGAAATACGGTCTTTGAAATCATATTGGGTACTTAATACTTAGTACTTAGTATCTTGTAACCAAGAAGGTGGTGGATACTGTACTGGACGTAGTACTTGATGCATCAAACTCTTTTGTCAGGAACGATTTTTGTTCGAGATCAGAGTTGGTTTATTTGAGCAAATCTTGGCTTCTCTAGGCGGTTAGCCCGGGCATCTTAGGGAGTAACTAGTGCCTAAGAGGCGTCTTGTTCTAAGCTACTGGCACTGTTCACTTTGCAATTTGCATAATTTTACACCTGAACTTCTCTCAATGATTCCAGAGGGATCTCTTTGACCAGGCCAGGTTCATAACTCAGCTTGACCAACATATTCCAGTTTGGACAGAGCGGAAGAGCAAGGTCCATGCACAATTGCTGACAAGCCTGCTGGTAAGAGATGCAGGGGTACTAGTATTGGAGTTGTCCCTCACCGCTTACAAAACCATATGGAATGCCTAGCGCACCAATAAGATACTCGCCAGTGTTCACCAAACAGCGGGAATTTCGGAGCGAGCAAAACCCATGCTGCCCACCGCATACTTTCTATTCATAACAGCATGCAAGGGGCATGAATAACACTTTCTATCATTGATGAAATCGTGGCAATCTTTCACCTCCGGTCTTTGTTCTTCTGTCTTCGTGCAATCCTCTCACTTAGTCGTGTAAGAGCCGTCTTGACTTCGCCCTTGGGGAAAGAGTCGATATCGTAGTAGCCGGGCGCAAGATCCAGGAGCCACTCGCCTCGGATACCAGTCACTGTGCGGATGTAGTTCTTGCTCGTGAGAACGAATTCATTGTAAATGACCCAGTCGTTTTCCTGTTCGAGCACTGTACTGGGGTGCAATAGAACAGTCTGATTGTCTTTGACAGTCGTGTATGTCTTTCCGTTGGCTTCCTTCTTTGCCACCTGCATAAAGAAACCAGACACCAAGGCTCGTCGAATGTTCTCGTAATATTTCTTGTCCTCGAATGGCGTCGACATCAATTCGAGTTCTTCTCGTTCCATTATGCGTTTCAATTGGAGCCGAACATTATCTGCGGACTGAAGTGCACGCAGACTCAGGAAGTGGTCATGACACCATTGGCGTGGATTTGCTTGTGCCTCTGCTCCTTTGAATGCATGGTAGACGTTGAGGAGAGTGAGGTGATCTCCGTCGGGATGAGCGAATAGGTTCTTCATCTCGTCTGCACGCTTTCTTGCAGATGCTGGACGTACAAACACCTGAGGAACAGAAATCAACGCTGTCAAACTTAGAATTTCATTCGAGCAATAGAACTCTGGCGATGAGATGAGCATGACAGCAAGGGCGGGATCCAGAGGAAATTCTGATGCCAGTCGGCCCATAGTAGTCAGGTTCCCATCGTCATCAAGGCAAGCAAGATAGTTCAACTCCTCTAGTGCTCGCATTAGAGTCTCAGGAGCAGGCGGATCCATCAGGTCGAAATGCACCAAATCGTCAACTCCGAGCTTCTTCAATTCCAAGACTGTTGACGACAAATTCGATCTCAAGACTTCAGGATATGTCTGCTCGATAAGCTCTTTCTTAAATGCACCCTCTGTGTAGAGACGGAAGCACTTTCCAGGACGGGTACGACCTGCACGACCTGCACGTTGCTGAGCAGACGCTTTTGAGATTGGAGAAACGAGGAGAGATTCAACACGAATTCGGGGATTATAGACCTTTTGCTTCGAAAAACCCGGGTCGACCACATAGACAATACCATCAATTGTCAAAGAGGTCTCCGCAATATTGGTTGCAATGATACATTTCCGCCCGGCTCGTCCACCTGGACGGCGAGGTGCGGGTGCGGGTTCGAAGATCTTCTGCTGCTGTGCCGGTGGTAGGGAACCATACAGAGGATATACTTTCATGGGTCCAGCGTCTGCCTCTCTGATCATTTCGTCTGCTTCCAGAGAAATTTTGCGGCACGCATCCTCAATCTCTTCTTCACCAGTGAGGAACAATAGGATGTCACCGTCTGCTTCTGTGGCATGAATTTGGAGCACTGTTCTGATTGCGGCCTCAACATAATCACGCTCGGGTTCAGGTGTGTAGAAGATCTCAACGGGATGTGTTCGACCAGGGACCGCAAGCAAGGGCGCTTCCATGAAATACCGCTGGAATTTTTGAGCATCCAAAGTTGCAGACATGATGATAAGCTTGAGATCAGGTCTTCGTACAACCACCTCCTTGAGGAGACCCATCAATACGTCGGTGGCGAGAGTACGTTCATGGGCTTCATCCAAAATGATCGTGCTGTACCTGGTCAAGTTGTGGTCATTCATGGCTTCTCGAAGAAGCATCCCGTCGGTCATATACTTGAGGATAGTCTTTTGACTGGTCATATCTTCGAATCGAATGCTGTATCCCACTTCCTCTCCCAGCTTGACATCCATTTCTTGCGCCACTCGTTCTGCGACTGACATGGCAGCTACTCTGCGAGGCTGCGTACAAGCGACCAACTTTCGTTGTTGCTGGGGTAGGTCATCATAGAGGACGAATTGGGGGATTTGTGTGGTCTTGCCAGAACCTGTCTCTCCGACAAAAACCAATATTTGTGACTGTTGGTACAGTTTCAGAAACTCGTCTCGCTGGGCGTGAACCGGGAGGTCTCGTCGAGTCCGCAAGATGGAGAAGTATCTGTCTGAGACATTTCGGCCTGTGAACGGATTGATCTTGCTATCCTCAGCGTCGCGGGCAAGGGCAGAAGTGGTTTGATGTCTTTGGAAATTTGCGAGAGGGCTCTCTGAGACGGACTGTGGTGTAGAATAGCCACTGCTGTGGCCATTGGACCCATTTTCGTACATATGGGCAAGATATGGGTTGTCTCGAGGGTTCATCTCGTTCGATGTCTTCTGTCGCTTTGCAGGCGTGCCGTCTGGATTGTCGGACCTCTTTGCTGCCATTGTTTGGGTAGGGATTCAATGTCGAAGTGGGCTGTCCCAGTTAACGATGCGCCGTTCTGGTGGATGGTATGCCACGGTTCAAAGAATGCTTTGTTCACTTGGGATTTTGTAGCAGGGAATTTATGATCACCATGACCAGGATGAAAGCAGTGAGAATAACGCGAGATCAATCCTACTCACAAATTTTGTGAAGGCGCAAACGAGCCAGGCACAATTTCAAGGTCAAAAAAATGTCGGGTTGCTACGGGGGATCATTGATGTCAACATACATTTTCCTTTTCGGGATCTATGGTCAATCATATATTTGCTAACCGCTGATTCATTGTCAAAAATGAAGACCGTGGATAGATGTCTTATCACCTTTCCTGCCAGGTACCATCATTATTTAGTATTATGTAGATGTAGTGTCTATTATACAAAAAGGAGCCATCCAAACATTATTCGAAAGGGTTCGGTCCCAGATTCTCCTTGCAAACCGTTCTCCCGTCAATGAGATGCAATTTGGGAATGCCTGAGGGGACAGGCGGCACAACAGCTTCCTCACGACACGGCCTCCAAGTTGTAGCTCTCTGTGTCTCCATTTGCTTTGGAGTGTGCGTCATCCCACTGAAGGGGCATCTACTGACCTCATTGCTTTGGCGGACTTGCTCTGGCGTCCTACCAAGGCTGGTCGTACTCTTCCCAGATCTCCCGGATGAAACAGAAGATGGTCGTCCTTCTGAACTGCTATCATCACTTCTCTGGTTCCCCAAAATCCTGTGTCCATTGATATAGCCTTCTGGTTCAGCCGCTTCGGCCTGTACCTCCTCTTCGACAAATTCATCGTCGAATTCTTGGCCATCAATTAAGTGCCATTTAGCCATCAAGTCATTTTGTATCCAGATGACTTTGCCTATTGCTTTCACAATTGCGATTTTCTGGAGCAGTTCAAGACGAGGATGTGAGAGGATGGCCTCTGTCATAGCATCTTGGATGTACCCTAGGCAGGCGCCTAAGAAAATATAATCGACGTGCAGTGGGTTTTTACGCCCCTTTCCAACGTGCATAAGACTGTGGCATGTCAGACACGGTTCAACTTGAACAACAGAACGCGGATTTCAAATCATACCCGACTTTATCCAGGTATTGCCAGTACTCCATTTTGCTCGGGTCCGAGTTTAGCTTGGTAAGGTACCATCTCAAGAACATCTTACGATGTCGAATTTGAGACCCTTCCTCCTTGACCCACTCATCAGGGTCTTCCTCGCGCCTGCTGTCCCTTGTCGAGAACACCCGGGCAGTAATATCATGCATCAGCAGCTTCTTGTAAACCATATTTACAATTGCTGGAATGATCTGCTTGATATACTTTTGTCCATCTATCAGAGCCACGACATCGTCTGCATCGACACCTAGTCAGCTGACTGAAGTCCACATGAGGGTATGACAAGTGGTGATGTACCTGCACTGAATTCAAGAAATTGTTGCAAGTATTGCACTCTAACAGGTAGTGAAGTGTAGAGTTCTCTCCTATCAACATGCTCCATGTTCTTTGGTAGAGCAGCCATATCGCACGATGGTGGTCTCACAAATATCGTGTGCTTCTAAGGGGTTTCGTTATCACTCACAGATCGGTCAGTCGCAGCCCTCGGACGTTTGAGGCAATGGGCATTTCATTGTAGATATATACTGGTACTGGGCCCAATCTTCACCACCGCTCAGAGTATTGACCAAGAGCGGAATCAAAGCGGTGGATCGGTATCCCATTTGAAGCCATCTTATTCATGATAAGTGGACATCTCCACTAGACACGTGTGTGGCGTGGCGTGATATTCGGGTCTTTCAGTGTAAAGGTTGTCACTTTGAGCATCAACGGTTCGCTAAGAAGGAATCATAACACCACTTTGAAAAATATTTCTGCAGAAGACCCCTGTTTCAATGCTTTGCAGTGTGCTTTAGCAGCTCATCGCCCGGAAAGTGGCTCCGGCCTTCACCGTGAAATTTGTAGTGTCTCGGGCAACCACAGGCACCATATTTTAGCCCCTGCGACATATTCCGAATTTTTTGGTCAGAGCAGTCTCGTTGCGAGGTGGTCATGCCTTGGTACCTGGGGATAAATATGTACATAAGTTGTGGATTTGTGACTTGTGAGAGCCTTGGTACTTCTAGTCAGCGGCCTTGGATTGGCCCCGAGAAATTGGCTCTCCCAAAAATAGTGAACCCATGATTTACCGGATGATGAACCGGCAACTACCGAAGTCAACAACGTTGACCGGGAAGGTGTCTTGGCTTTTGACCAACAAGGTGTCTGAAATTTAGTGTGACACTTACCATACATTTCAATGACCTCTCCTTTATGATTTAAACGCCGTTCAAGGTTCAGGCCTCTGGGAACCAACTAGTCTAGTCTCCTAAATATGAAGGAGAGATAAACCCAGTTGTTTCTGAGGGAATTCGGAAGAGAGCGGAACAGTAACTGCCAGATTCGTCTGTTTAGCATACGGACAGGTTTTTGAGATTTGCCAGGCGAGGCTCTGATCCCTGAACGATTCGCTTGCATAGTGGGTCATCGCCAAACGGTTGACCTGCATTCTAAGGGTGATTCTGGAAGCCGAAGACGCTTGGTTGGCCCGCCCCTGGTGAACGGTGTAATCGCGGTGCCTGGTATGTGGAGTCCGGACGGATCACCTTCTCCCCTTTGTTCTCAACCTTTCTTCGACAAAAAGGGTCCTTCGGAATACAAGGGTGATGATTCGGACAAGAACGAGAATCAAGCTACTAGTACTCGTAACTGACCATGGTCGATATTCGAGACGAGCCTGAGATCCACCCGCTAACTGGGTATGGACATTGCATCTTACCCTCGTCGAAAAACGTGCTGGGGAACAAACTGTGATCCTCGCGAGAATCATTAGCGGCTGCAAGTGTGACGAACATTTGTGGGCATGTCTTCTCGTATCGTAGGCTCGCACGATCGATTGGTAACATGATACCACACAACATGGTGTTGGTGTTGGAAATGAAAATACCTCCGAGGAAACGGTCGGTGTACTCGGAGAGTATGCAGTTTCTGACCTTGGTATCAGACTTACTGCCCAAACCACGATGAGCCAGGTGCTCGGTAGTCTTGTTACTGGTAATGTGGAGCGTCTCACGACGTGGCCAATGCTTGAACAGTGGAAAAGGTTGGTAAAAAAACGTGGAATGAGATCATTGAGAAGCTAGAACGAAGTCCCCCTGCTCAGGGATGACATTGAGTTGGCGAATTGCACCTTTGAGCATTGAAGAACAGAGAGGACAACAACCAAACTCGGAGCCGACAGCTGGGACCGACCAGCTTGCATCACTGGCATTTCATTGGTAGCGACGGCATGAGAAACTAGCAGCGGTGTGAAGATTGAAGAACCCTCGCCCGGTAAAGACTCTCTCGGAGCATTCACGCACGAGGCTTCAGCCTCGCTTGTCGTGTCACTTACCAGCAGCGTGTAAGTCACGCCTAGCAGCGCAGACATTCACTAATCCAACCACTCACCTTCAAATATCAAAGTCCTGGAATTTCCTCCAACATACCACAATTCAGGCAGTGTAGTGCAGCCGTTGTCACATTTGTCCCCCTACATTCGTAGGTGTGTATGTGGGTTTGGCGGTGGGGCCTTCTCCTGGACAGGACGGCTGCAATTAAAGCGCCCTGTGAGGGGAAGGCAATAATGCATTCTGGACAACCTGTCTTTAGGAGAAGTTATCAGCTAGTTCGCTGTTGGTTAGTGCAGCTTGAGGACTGAGGGTCGAGGGATTGGGATCTGGGGGAACTGAGGGAAGCCCATATCACCGCCAAACTTTTTTGGCTATGGTTGAGGGTTCGAGTTACGCTGTCGTTGTTCTGAAAGGATTATTTTGCTTTTTGACGCCAATGAAAGTCTCAAAATATTCGTTCGTAAGCCGGAATGGCAACAGAGTCCTCCTTGGTTTCAATCGTCCATTATCGAGGCGTGAAGTCAAGATGGGGGCTCAGCCCGCATCGGCCTTCACCAACTTCAAGTACTAATCAATAACGATGGATTCATGCTTCTTGACTACAGCCAAGAAATACTGAGTACTGCGACTCGAGAGTATAGCGATTACTGTATGCGCTAAGTCGAGGGATAAATACTGGGATTTAGACGACAGGATATCAAAAGGCGGAGAATCTCAATATCGAAGTGGCGCTTTTGGAGGCTGTGGTAACGCCAGGCTGGAGACAGATTTTGTACCCAAAAGTTCTCGCGTCAACTTGAAAGGCTATCGTCATCTTCTCTTCCCATCGGTCTCACGGCTTGCATGTGTGTGCGGACCGTAATGGAACTACCAGATCGCCTTTTCCCCCGAAATTAGTGAACAAATGACCAGAGTCACCCGTCTGAAAGCTCGATAGGTTTGGGCTATCCACCCAAGCTCTGCATGACCACTGAGAAACTCAAATGCTCGTGTTCAGCTGATTTTGGAGATAAGGTTTCACGAGCTGAACACTTTGTCAAACATATCTTGGAGATCTTGAGGTCATCCCGTGCCTTGGTATCTACGGCTTGGGCAATTCTTTCTCCATTGAGTTTCACCTACCCAATGAGCGACCTGCGGCGCTTGAGCACTTCGCATGGCGGGCGTGGGCAGCTAGGTACCGAACGACAATATTGCAGAACTGAAAATTTACAGATGCATACTTGGCTGCGATGATGGCAGACCGGGAAGCTTTCTCGCGTGGTAGAAACGGGTGCCCTCCCTGTGACAATTTTGGAGCTCTCCTGGCAGAGAGCTACCTACCCAGCTTGATGGAACAAAGCCCAGGGTCTGAGCTATAAAATTAGGCCTGGCTTGAATACACGACTCACCCAAACACACCCAGCTATCTTGATAGGAATCGAAAAGATGCTGTGCCACTTTGCGTCCATCAGTCTGCTGCTGACAGTAAGCTTCGCGGTCAACGTGTGCTTCCCTTTAGGACCAACTTATCCTGCACCCAGAAATCCATCAAAGACAAAGGCTCTTGCACAAGTATTGGAGATTTTCAACTCTACCGTTGGTGAGTCACTTAGCGCCAATGGCTCTTCCTACGGACAATTGGATCCAAAGGCCACCTCGTTCTCAATGGAAATATTTTCCTTGCGCGAAGGACAGCCACTGTTCATGTACCACTTTTCTGCGCCAGAATTCGCAAATGCAACTGAAGGTGTGCAAGAAGTCAATTCAAGCACCATCTATCGGCTTGGAAGTATGTCCAAGCTCCTCTCAGTGTACAACTTCCTGATAGCAGCTGGGGATATTCACTTCAATCAGCCCATAACGAAATATGTTCCGGAATTGGCGCAATACGCAACGCAGCACCAGGCGAGCTTGCACACAAATGACATCGATGCTGTCAGCTGGGATGAGGTGACGGTAGGGGCTTTGGCCAGTCAAATGGCGGGTATCTCCCGTGAAGACGCTTTTGGGCCAGCTCAAGATGCTGAGCTTAGAGAGGGACTTGGATTGCCTCAGGTAGCCTCTGTGAACGCATCCTTCTGTGGCCCCAGAAACATTCAAGTGCAAGTGCCCTGCACAAGGGCCGGTATGTGGTCTGATTCTGCCCCCATAGAGCTTGAATTAACAATGGTGTTAGACTTCTTTATAGATTTGTTCGACCAGCACCCAGTCGTACCGTCATGGCATACACCGATCTACTCGAATGCAGCATTTCAAATCCTCTCATACGCACTGGAAAATATCACTGGAGAGGCGTTCAACGAAAGTTTTCAGCAGGGAATTATTCAACCCCTGAAGTTGAACCACACTTATTTGGCGGCGCCTTCGAATGTAGACCTTGCCGTCATTCCATATAATCGTTCGTGGTCTTGGTTCGATTGGGATATGGGAGAAGAATCCCCAGCAGGAGGCTACTATTCGAATCTGAATGACCTTCGCGCCATCGGCAAATCGATACTCAACTCGACATTATTAGCACCACAAATAACAAGGAAATGGATGAAACCCGTCACCTTCACTGGTAGTGTCAATGTTTCTGTTGGCTCTCCGTGGGAGATCGTTCGGGCTCCCATGGAGCGTAATCTATGGCTTTATACGAAAGGGGGCCATATAGGGACTTATACCTCTGAGATCATTCTCATTCCAGAGTACGAGATCGGAGCAACAGTGTTGACGACTGGAGTTGAGGTCAGTAATGACGTGGATTTGCTGAGCAACCTCTTCGCCGAAATCGTGGTGCCAAAACTTGAAGACGTTAGTAAAGAGGAAGCTAATGCAACATACACTGGTACATACACATCGATGGCAACAAACGATACACTGATCATCACCATGGATTCTTTTCCAGGGCTCCTGGTGAGCAATTGGACCTGGAATGGTACCGATGCTATTTCTCTTCTCGGTGCACTTATAGGCGCTGGCCCTGATCAAGACGTGGAGGTCCGATTATGGCCTACAACCTTGACGGCGCATCCTGCCTCAAGTCCCAATATTGCTACTCAGACCAGCTGGCGTGCTGTGATTCAGAAGCTGCCACTTCCAGATTATGGGCCGTTCTTGGGCAACTGTATTTCATGGCTTCAAGTTGATCAACTTACCTATGGAGCTGTGGGTGTCGATGAGATGGTATTCGATCTGAACGCCAACGGGACAAGAGCAATTGGGGTGGAAGCCAGGTTCTTCCGTGCAAATTACACTCGATCTTGAAGAAAATCGACCAGTTGCCAGTGAGGAACAGTTTGGCTGAGACCCATGGGATTAGAGCGGCAGTGTTTCAATGGTCCAGAATAGCTAGTTTGATGGTGCTGCTATAAAACAAATCGTGTGAAACCGGGAGCTTTTATTTCTTGCGGAAGCCGACAATCGATAAGAATCGGAACCACTTTGCATGCTCGGGAGAGTTGCCCTCTATTGACTGCCCCTCGACCTCCCCATTCGATGCCCCGCCGTCAACAGTTGCTGGGCTTGCAGTTTGGTTTGTCCTGCTCCGGTTCTCCAGCTTGCTTCTCATCCTGTGTTTTCTTTTCCTCTCAAATTCCAAAGACTCTTCCTCCAAGCTACCAGACTACCATCTTCTTCATTGTCACAGATACAGAAGTTTTCCCGTACTCAGAAACACCAGAAAACACCTCCATCATGGGTCGCAAGTTCTTCGTCGGAGGTAACTTCAAAATGTAAATACGCTATGAAACTTTCCAGCTGCCCGGAGTTTCACAAACTTCTTCATGCTTCTGGTTACAGAAAACACACTGATCTTGTTCTCCCATGCAGGAATGGAACGATCACGTCCATTAAGGAGATCGTCCACAACCTTTCCACCGCCAAGCTCGGTATGCTCAATTAGCTTTGCATGGTCCAGTTCCCCCCTGCCCGGCTACTTTTCGTGTCCGCTTCTGGAGAGCAAAATCAAACACTCCACAAGGGGAAGAAGTCGCTGGACAGCCTGAAAGGAGATAGATTCGCGCAAGTATCGACCACTGACCTTGTTCTTCCTAGACTCAAACACCGAAGTCGTCATCGCTCCCCCATCGCTCTACCTCCTCTTGACCCGCGAGCACCTCTCGGACAACATTGAAGTTGCCGCCCAGAATGTCTTCGACAGACCCAACGGTGCATTCACTGGTGAGATCTCTGTCGCTCAGCTGAAGGACAGCAAGATCTCATGGACATTGTTGGGCCACTCTGAACGCCGAACGATTCTAAGAGAAGAGGACGAATTTGTGGCCTGCAAGTCCAAGGCTGCACTAGATGGTGGCATTGGCGTCATTCTCTGCTGTGGTGAAAGTCTCGAGGAGAGAGAAGCCAACACCACTGTCGATGTGGTTACCAGACAGCTCGCCGCGGTCAACGAGTCTATTGGCAAGGACGGCTGGAAGAACGTGGTGATTGCCTACGAACCAATCTGGGCCATCGGAACTGGCAAGGTTGCTACAACTGGTAAGAATTGACGTTGGGAGGACCTGACATCTCAATTTATCAGCGACTAACTACTCTTCCTCTCTCACAGAACAAGCTCAAGAAGTCCACGCGGCCATCCGAAAGTGGCTCTCGGAGTCAGTGAGCTCGGAAGTGGCCGAGGCCACACGAATCATCTACGGTGGCAGTGTATCGGAGAAGAACTGCAGAGAACTGGCCAAGCAACCTGATGTCGACGGGTTCTTGGTTGGAGGTGCCAGTCTCAAACCTGCTTGTAAGACGTCCTCATATTGCTGTCTACTGTCAACTGCTGACTTTGTTTTCTCCTATCAGTCGTCGATATCATCAACGCCAACGTCTAAATTTCGGTTTTCGGGCAAAGTGGGGAATTTTGACTGGTATTTTTTGGTCGGACTGGACCGCCCCCGTGGCGACCACGTGGCTCAGAATAAATCGACTCACCGTGCGGCATGAGCCAGATAAAATGAGTATACTCAGGATAGGTTTGAGAAACTCGGTCCAGTCCGTTTCCCCCCGAGCTCTTGTATCGAATGGAAGACACACCGGTCACAGCAAACAAGTCTGACCAAAACGTACAGTATTATGCCGTGAGTGAAAGATAGATGTGATTCCGATTTTTGAGGCCTTCTGCGGCCGAATAAGCTATCCAACCGTATGACGCCTGTCGATCTGCTGGGAGATATCACCTATGAATATATGTGCTCAACGATCAGATGTACATGTTGACAAACACTTCGCATTACGCATTTCAGCCAAGCCCACATTGCGACCAAGCTGAAAAGCAGCCTCCGATCTCACCTTCACGCGAATAGTAAAGTCTTGTTTCCATTTTCGGTTCTGGCGTCCTTTCCTTGATTTGACTTCTCTCTTCAATCAAGACACTCAAGCGGTCGCGGCCCACGCATTTCTGAAATTTGTCAAGCCGGCCATCAAGCCCAAGAAACCCACAGCACCAGTGCTCAACCCAATACCATCTGGATAGTTGCTATACTGGATGGCGACGGGGATCCAATACGCGGCGGTCATGAACTCGTTCCACCACTTACGATCATACTCCTCCTTCTCCTTTGCGGAGCGGGTGGAGGCACGAGACTTCTCGAGCTCGGCCTCACGCCACAATCGCAAGAAATCCGAGGCTACCCCGACGAGCCATGCACGACAGCTCCATGCCACCCACTTGGCGACACCTCCGCGCTTTTCGAGGAAGGAGATGGGAACGAGGCCTTTGCCGGCCAGGTGGTAGATGTTTTCGAGCAGCTGGAACCCAATGTACCCGCCGCATTGGAGCAGGGCAATGCGGTGTAGGGATGGGTCCATCTCCTTGGACGCTTTCTTGGATAGTAGGGTCTTCATCCATATGTACAGCGGGATCAGACCTGTCAGGCGGAGGGTGGTGCGAGTGTCGGAGATAAGGGCACCGAGAGGGGTGAGGAAGGATGTTGCTGCTGCGGAGGTAGGTGGTGTGACGATGGTTGGGACTTTGGATGACCGCCCGATCAGGCGCGAGATGTACGCGATGACTGCGGCGCGGCTCGGGGATTGCGCATGGAGGTATGCAGCGACGTAGAGGGCGTAGTTCAACGTGGAGAGACCAGCGCCGAGACCAGCGGTCGTCTTGATCAGTCTGTGGTTGTATCAGGCAAGTCAGTTTGATATTCCTCGAGAATGGAACAATGGTGTGGTTCAAACGTACTTGCTCAAGCGCAACACCAATTCGTCTGCCTTGGAAATTGACGTTGAAACTGCATTGGGTAGATTCTGAGGAGGTTTAACAGGGTCGAGGCTTCGTTTCTCTTCTGCGGATAGATCCTGAGGCACCACAGCTGGGTCCGGATGGGTCGCTTCTTTGTTCGACATGGTTGGAAATATGTCCTTCTCTGTCGCAAGCTCACAACTGGGTTCGGAGAGAGGAGGAGTTGAAATGAGGAGAAACGACTTTATTGACGTACAGACACTTCTGACGTGTTAATGCCGGGTAATGTCCGAAGGATATTTATATATCAAGTCCCGACGCAAAGAGATCAAGTACTTCCAAGTGGTATGACAAGGAGGACTCGTGAGAAGGAGAAGCTGAGACTCTGGGAGTGATTGAACAACCCCGTAATTATGATCACCAAATAATAGTTCGGCAATCATAAACAGGATTAGTAGTAGTTGGAGAGGCCACAAGCTGATGGTCTGGGATAATCTCCCTCCGCAGACCCGATGAGGTCGATCACTTTTCGGAGTGCCGAGGTCTATCGGAACCGGAATACTGCACGTGACCGTGACGGAGCTTACGTTGTTGGGGGGGAGCAAAAGCTATGGCATAGTAAGAGCAATATCCCACCGTAGAAGTGCTGCATCACGTGCTCAGCCTTGCTTCTGGTGGCCTCGTCAGATCAAGCAGGTGCATCTCCGATCATTCTCGTCAGAAATCACTGAATGATCCTGCCATTCAATTGGGCACTTGTTCATGTTTCTCTGTTATGAATTCAATATTCAGCCGTCCTCTCTTTCGAATTTTTCGACTGGTATACAAACAAAGAAGAATCGCCTGGTAGCCTTGTCTGCCCCTGATATACCTCGCTATGGGGTGAGTCTTGGCACACCGACTGGCTACCAAGGGCGTTTTCGGTTGCCCGGCGCAACAACGTCCGGTTTGCCGCCAAAATAATCATAATTCCAACATTGGTGCTGGCGCTTGATTGACCGAATTCAAGCCCGCCACCACTCCATACCTAACGTCAAAGTACCGCAAATATGATTCACTGCGGACCGCACACAGAATGATCAAAACGCGTCTACGCGGTTATTTTCACATGCCACAGTCTATATCTACACCCCGCGTCTCTTCCCTTACAGCAGATCTTTTCTCTCGCCAATCGTACTACTACTCGTACTCGTACTCAAAGACTCAGAACACACCATCAACGCGTTTTTGACTCTGTATCTCATTGACACAACCCCAGATTCATGCTCAAGCTCAAGCCTTTACCAACACTCATACCCATACCATTGCTCACACCAAAACTTCATTCTCACAATTCATATTGACAGACATCAAACATCCACACAAAACTTCTACCACCACTACCATCCCTCAAGATGGAACCGTGGTTGGACTCCCTCTCGGAGGACTGGAAGTCCGAACAACGCTCCTCGTCACCTGCTCCTTCTCTACCTCTCCGCCGCCAACGTGGCAGCCTATCCCTCTCACAATCATCTCAAAGTCGCATTCCTCACCTTGCTAACAGCATGCGCAAGGACTCTTCAAACTCCATCAACAGTACACGGAGAGATTCCACCACCGGAACTTATCTCAGACTCCGCTCTACCAAAGGCAAGGCCAAGTCGAGAGGCGAGCCCGCTCTACAAGAACGTACTCCTTCGAGCTTAAATGCTCTTGGTCCTTCTGGATCCCACAGACAACCCAGCTTACCCCGACGCACATCAAGTGTTTTCTCTGAATCTCAAAACTCTGTCCAGCACCATTCTGTCCGAGAACCTTTCTCAGATGCCGAGACACCTGAATGGAAAAAGAGACTCGTCAAAGGCGAAGATCTCACTAGTGATGGATTTGATCTCTTTTCTCCTTCCAAATTGGAGGGCGTGTTTAAAGAACCTATTGCCACACAGCTCCGCAGTGAAAATGATTCTCAGCACCTCGAATCAGAACCTCAGCAAACAAAACCATTCAGCCTTCCACAATCAAACGCCTTCCCACAACAGTTCAGCAGCTTTCGTCCAATGCGGAACCATAGGCCTGACCTGGAAGTTCTTCAAGAAGTTACCGAAGATGAAGAATCAAATCCTCGCGACATTTCTGCCATGTCTTCCGAACATGGCCTCTCATCTCTACCTGGTCTTGTTAGCCATCGTGTGCGTTCATTTGAGCGGACCAGATCGGCCAATTCCGGAACTACATCTCCCAAACACTCCAGCGTTCTTTCAGACAAGGCAGAGAGTGTTATCGACTCCAGAATCAGAACCGTCAGTGGCCGCCGAGAGATGGAGAATGAATTCATCAGCCCCATCACCATCTCCAAGCAGAATTCCATTCGTGCCTCTGTCATGCGCAGCTCCCTTAGTATGGATGTCAAAGAGTTGCAATCCAAATTGGAGGCTGCTGCTGCCGCCACTCAAGACGATCGCCCAACTTCAAGTTCTAGTGACAAGGAAATCAGTTATGGTCATGTCAGTGTACTTGCAGATGACGACAAGATGGACCACACATGGCCATCTTCTTTCCCATCTGACCTTTCCGTCGGTACAGAAGGTTTCTCAACCCAAAAGGCCAACCTGAATGGAATACTTCAACGACTAGCTCGTTCAGCCACCCCTTCCACAAGAGAATCATCCATGATACATAGAGATCAGACAAACCGCTCTTCTCGCGTTGTCTCTGCACATGGTGCTTCAATGAGCATCAACAGCTCACCACCACAGCACTCTCATCTGATGGATGATACCTTTGAGCAGAGCGGTGTCAGTGCAAGTGTACTTGAGTCCCCACCTGACACCAGTGTCATTCACCACATCGATGCTCATGTCAGACCGTCGTCATCTGGGAGTCCTCTGAAGCTTTTCGGAAACAGAGACACATACACGAACAACAAGCTGAATAGAATTCTGAGTCAGTTCGAAGAAACAACAGAAAGCAGTTTTGATGACCTTGGTGATAAGCTCGCCGCAAAGACAGAGTCCATTCTCCTGATGAGTCAATTTGGTCTTGGTGATCTCGACGACTTCGGTTTCGAGAACCAGATCCCTCCACCTTTACCCATCCAGGCAGCAACTTTTGCATCAACCGACCGTATCTTCAGGTCAAAGGTTGACGTCTCTACTCTGCTTCAGAAATCACCTCGTCTTGCCACAACTTTTGCAAGAGATGTCCAAGCGCAACACACTGCACCTCAAAGCCCTGCAACTTTGAGAAATGACAGGTCCACAACAAAGAGGCGTAAGACGCTTCTGGACAGTCATGTTTCCGTCCAAAACCAGGATATTGAAGTCAAGATCACCCAGATTGACGACGTTGCAACCTTGGCTGGTACCAAACGAAAGGATGCCAGACCTGGCAATGATAGTGTCTTGGCTAACTCAGACATCCTCCTCTCCAGACTTCGATTGAGACCTGCGTCTGCAACCCAAAGATCACTTAAAACTGTTCCATCAGTTCCAGCTACCATTGAACAGCCTGTCGTCGATGACAAGCAGCTCAAAGAAGCTGTTGCCACCGAACTTGCCAACTTTGCCCATGAAGTTATGGACGTGGCCAAAGACTCCCGCAAACCATCAATGGGAACCAAGGACTACCTGGAAGAAGCAAACAAAGTCATGGAATTCATCCGCTCCAAAGGAAAGCCTCTTGTCCACCTCACCACCATCCGTAGTGAGACCACAAAGGACGAACACATTGATGAAGACTCTGATCCTGATTCCACCAAAGACTCTTTCACCAGGCCTCCTTCCAGAGAACATGTTCGGAAGCCACGTGCTGATCCTCGTCATGCCAGACACAACTCCAGGGTGGCTAGTCATCTTCGCAAATTCAGAGACGAAGAAGACACAGACAACTTGACCAACTTCTCAGCAGCATTTGGTCCAACATCTGCCAAAGGAGATATCTCTCCAGCAGACAGCATCTCAAGACTCAACTCCATCTCAGTTGTATATGAGGAGCAAGAAAGCAACCCTCCCAACATGCACATCTTGAACCCTGAGGAGACGCTTAGAAAGCGCAAGCACTCTGCATCAACCATCGAAGGATCGATTGTAAATCAACGTCCTCAGAGTCAAGACTCTTCTCATCACTCCACACAAAACACTTTCCCTACCAACTCAACTGCTTCTGGACCAAAGGGCGTCATCCCCTCAGGGACCATCTCCATTCCAGACCAAGTTGCTGGCTTGACCTTTGACAAGGAGAAGAAGCTGTGGGTGAAGAAACTGCAAGCCAGTGCAGAACAACCACGTTCACCAGTCACTGAGGATGATCCATTTGACAGCATCCCGGACTTGAGTGTCAATGAAACACGTGAGAACGCAGTCAAGGTCGATCCCAAGACCGTTCCTGCTGCCATCGCACGTGAGAAACAACCCAGGGCGGTGACAATAGCATTCTCATCTCCAGTTGTCTCTGCTGTCAACTATGTCAACATCTCTGAAGACGATATCGAGAGCCTACCCCGTGAAGAAGACCTTCCTGTTGATGACTCTGAAATGGAGTTCAGTGAGCTCAGTGTCATCAAGCACAGCCTCAAAGCAGACCAACCCCCAGTCATCTCTGTCGAGGAGATTCACATCAATGGAGCTGATGATCCTCCAAAGCCTGCCTTTCAGACACGGACTATTTCTCCAATCGAAGAGCAGGATGAGGAACCAGAGGCTACCAACATGAGTCTCGTTCCTATCACCAGATCAACTGACTTGATTGCAACTCCTCAACGAGCAGTGATTAAGCATCACAGAAGTGCATACCGTGCTCCAAGCATCCTCTGCTTGACTCCTCTCTCGGACTTTACTCTCCATCAAGTTGATGTGGGCAAGAATCCAGACTTGAGTTACGTTTCGGAAAGAAAGCACCCACAAGCACTTCGTCAAGCACATGGAAGCTTGAGTCTCGCCAATGATCAACTTGTCAAAGCCATCACTAACGCTGCTGGTGGCGAGCTTTTCTGGGATAAGCTCCGCCAACTTGATATTCTACCTGGCAAAGTGTCTTCCGTTCATAGTCTGAAGAAGTACTGCCCAGTTCTTGAAGATGTGTCGATGTCTGACAACATCATTGAGCACGTTACTGGCATGCCCAAGACCGTCCGAACTCTTGATCTCCACAACAACATGCTGACCAACTTGACATCATGGAATCATTTGGTCAATTTACAATACCTTGATGTATCTGGAAACCAGCTTGATTCACTTGATGGATTTAGCTCTCTAGTACATCTTCGAAGCTTGAAAGCAAACAACAATCATATCACCAATATTACCGGCATTCTGAACTTGAAAGGTCTCATTGATCTTGAGGTTCATCACAATGACATCTCAGTTGTCGACTTCTCAGGATCTCAACTTCGTCGTTTGAAGACCTTGGATCTCAGCAACAACAAGATCAAAGAAGTCAAAAATCTTCACAATCTCTCAAGATTGGAGGAACTAGATGTCAGCAATAACGCCATTGAGAAGTGGTTGTCAGAAAAGACAGATCGCAGCATTTCTCTTCGCAAGCTTCAAGCATCTCACAACATGCTAGCAAGTATCCATCTGAAGAATATGCCTACCCTCAAGTTCTTGGATCTTGACAACAACAGCATTAACCAGGTTTCCGATTTGTCAAACTCATACAATCTCGAATCCCTTTCATTGAGAGATCAAGACAATGCACCAGACATTGTCAATCTCATATTATCAACACCGAATGAATGTCGTCACATTCGGTTATCATCAAACGAAGTGGCTGATGGTTCAATCACATTACCAACTTTACCCCAACACAATGTCAGGGAACTGGAACTTGCAGCCTGTGGCATTTCCGATCTGCCCGAAAGATTCGGGTCTTACTTCCCCAACTGTCGAAAACTCAATCTCAACTTCAACGCCATCAAAGATGTGATACCACTCAGAGGCATGCAGAAGATAACTCACCTCTTCATTGCCCAGAACCGAATCAGCAGGTTAAGACGGACCTGCATACTATTTTCCAAACTCACTCATCTGAGGGAGATTGATATTAGAGAGAACCCCTTGACTTTGGGGTTCTACGTCCGAAGATTGGACGAAATCACAGCAATGAAGAGACGCACCATGGAGCTGCTCCTCTCGGAGAATTGCAAGAACTTGGTGGACTTCAACGGAATGGAGCTATGTCGATCTGATGAAATGAAATCAGATGCCCTATTCAAAAAGCTCACCACGCGTGGTGTTATTGGGGAGCCGGCCGCGAGTGACGGCGCTGTATTCAATTAGAATCACTGTTACTGTATTACTATGGGTTTGTATTGCTGGGGTTCACCAGCGCTATTGTTTGGATCATGGCGTTATCGTTTGGGTTGGGGTTTGGATGGCACTGTATTCGTAGCGTAATGATAACACGAATTAATGAACTCTGAAACAAACTCCTGACTTCTACTTCTGGGTGGCATCGTCTCAAACTTGGTGAAGAGCTTCTCCTAAACCAGGTCCTTCCCGATAGCATCGAATAGTTAATCGCTAATTACCACGGCCTCCTTGACGAAACCATTCTCCGTTGCCACCTTGACAAGGAACTTGGCCACATTCGCAATATGTACACTGCTTGTGACAGACATGCCAGCACCATTGCTACCCAGCGTCTTGACCTCCGTCACTGTCTTCGCTTTCGTTTTCGAACTATCTTTCGTATCATCGTATTCAAGCTTGACGGCCCTCACAAGCGTCCAGTCCATGTTGGTGCGCCGGATCTCCGTGTCCACCAGACCGTGGTCCTCCAGCGCATATTTGATGTTCGTCAAGCTCATGAACATGCGCGACAGCCAGGGCAGCTCACGCCAGCTGTCGCCCACGCCGGCGGTCGAGAGCACGACGATGCGCCGGACGCCCGCTTCCTCGAGGACGGCGCAGGCGTTGGCGCACGAGTCCGCCAGGAAGCGCGGTGGGCCGAGTTGTTTGCTGAACGGGCTGTCGGATTCCCTCACTGTGTTCAGCGTTATGATCGCCGCCGAGGGGCGTACTGGTGCTGCGGTAGCGGTAACGGCTTTGCGGATGTCGTCTTTGGACAGTGGTGAGCCTGTCACAATGGTCAGCCCGGCGCGAGGTGTCAGGCTGCTTGCCGTGCGCACCAGAGCGACTGCCGTGTGGCCCTGTGAGAGGAGTTCCGAAACGACCTGTTTGCCCGTGCGGCCGCTGGCGCCGAGGAGCAAGAAATGCATTTTTGTCGATGAGAGCGGTGTTGGTAAGGGTGGTAATGGCTAGGCTTTGTTTTAGCTGACTTGTATTGAGATAGAGAGCCCTCGTCCCAAGTGCCCGGCGTGATTTATATATCATGTCGAGTATGCTGGTCGGACACTTGAAGGCCGTCTACCATGGCTCGGAGATACGGTCGGCTGGTCGCTGATTGGTCCGTTCGCTTTTGGTACTCTTCTGGACAAGCGTCCGCTATTTCATAGGCGACCGGCCCCTTTCCATTCCGTCTCCTCGCTCTTGGGTTGTGTTCAGCCCGTTTCGATGGCACCCGTGGGGCCATAAATATGGCCAGACTTTAAATTGCTCCGCCTGGCCGTTATCTGGTTGCATGACGCATTTGATAGTTTTTGAGTCTCTCCGTCAGGCCGTCAGCTATAATTTGCAGCTGGTCGGTCTCGGTCTGCACCCTGTCATGAAGTTTTGGTGAACAGTCCAACGCTCCCAAGAGAATCGTTTTGAGTATCAGGCGGAAGCATCTCAAAAATGAGATTGAGATGGACTCGGGCCCTGGTGAGTCAACCTTCGTTTGGAGAAGCTCGAGATCGCTGAGCCATTGATCCAACGAATCCAGCAGAGCGGCTTTCTCGGATAGCAGTCGGTGAGCGTCTCCTGACGAGTTGACCTGTGAGACCTTGTCGAGGAATGCTAGGGTTGATGTGGATAGAGCGACAAGCTTTTCACGGCTGTTGGGTGCAATGATTGTACAATGTTGGCTGCTTCCCACAGGTGTCTTGGGAGGCGTAATTGAATATGCAGGCGACGTCGAACCGCTCGAGTGCCCTATTGCTGGAGGTTCCGCGAACTTACACGGTGCAGCGAACAATTTGACGATGAATACATCAACTAGCGGTAATTGAGCGTAAACTGCTGGTTCCAAGCTGTTCGTAGCAGTCAAAGTTGGCCGTACACGGGACTCATGCATGATTCTGAGTCCTCGAATGATATGCTGGGCCATGGCAGAGTAGTTCTTCTGCAGTTGTTCAATACCGATAAATATCTGGCAGCAAAGTAATGCCGACTTCAATACCTTGAAGTCTGGAGATGACATGTTAGATACCAGGGCATTCAGTGCCATACTGTACTGCTGGATGCCATAGTTGTAGTTCCGCTCTTTCTGCGCGGCATGTACAGGAAGGTCTCCGGACTTCTCCCGCTCCAGATCTTCGCGGAGAGCCCTAAGAGATTTTACTGCATGTTGGATTGGTGGGTCTGTCAGGCTAGCTTGTAGCACCTGTCTGGCTTCCTTTTCGAGGCCCAGCTTCACGCCTTCGTGTATGCTTTTAGTCGAAAAGTAGTGACCAAGGAGTTCAATTTCGTGAGCGGAGATGTCATCTAAGGCGGGCGGGATGGTTATGGAGTCAGGCTTCAGCTTAACGCCGCGACCAGGAGAATTACAGAATATGAACGGCGATTTGTAGCCGTCACATTTCCGTCCAGTGCTAATGCAGTTGTTGCAAAATGGCTTATTTTGAGCACATTTGACCTTCCTGATACGACAAGTTTGACAACCTCCCTTCGATTTGGTCCGAGCTTGAAGGCTACGTTCGCGGGTGACGGTGCTCTTCGTCATTGTCGGGCCCGAGAACAGAACTTCGAGCAGGAAGCCACGTAAGGGTTAAGATTTCTGGTGAGTGGGAATTCCGAACAAACGAAGTAGAAGAGGTGGATTGACTCGGCGATTCTTCACTCGGAGAACCTTTGTCTGAGGGCCGAGTGGAATTTGGGGGGCCTAAGCGAGGACAAGGCTCCGCCGCTAATCCTTAATGGGCAGAGACTGCGAGCAGACCAATCGCATCCGCTTGTGGCTTTGACCAGGCTGTGGTTCCATATCGAACCTCAGGTCTTATATAAACCATGGAGTCCGAATTCAAAAATCGTGTCTGCAAGATGTCAAGGCTCATAAACGGCTCAAGTCCTGTGTCGAGATTGCTACACAGCTCGAGGATGCCAGGCTTTATCTTGTACGGAGCACGGGGCTCAACCAATACTGATAGAGTGCGATTGACTCTCGCTGAAGGAGGCTTATCAAATACCGATTACGAACTGGTACTTCTTAACTTGCAACAAGGAGAGCAGAAGTCCAAAGAGAACTTGGCTCGCCATCGTTGGGGAAAGGTACCAAGCATATCAGTCCCGGAGTCTGGTTTCACACTTTTCGAAAGTCGGGCAATATGCAAGTTTCTTGCTCGGAAATACTCGATCCCTCTTGTTCCGCCAGAGTCGGATCTCGAAGCTACGGCGTTATTCGACCAGGCGCAATCCATCGAAACAAGCTACTTCGCCCCAGCTGCCGGAACCATAGCATTCGAGAAATTCGCCAAGAAGTTCATGGGACTAGAAGCCAACGAAGCCGTGGTCTCGGATGCATTGCAATCGGTCAATAGTTTTCTGGACATAGCAGAGGGGCTGCTACAGGAGCCTGGACGAGGATATATGGCAGGATCTCAGTTTACGCTCGTCGATCTCTTTTATATCCCACTAGTCCTGCGATTGTTCGCATGCGGGTACGGAGACGTCATCACCAATCGCGAGGCCGTGAACGCGTGGTGGAATCATTGCATAAGCCGGCCTGCTATAAAGAAGCTGCTGGAGGCTGACAAGGAGGCTATGGCGGCAGCGATGGCAAAGAGATGAATTGGTGGAATCGTCATTTGACCGTCTTTAGAATATGTAATGGAAATTGAATTGAGCCGAGACGATTTTCCGATTGCGCTTAACTGGACCGGGACTAGCTCCTCTACTACGTCATTATCATTCCGAATCGAAACGACTGTTCAGCCTCGTTGCTGATCATGCTCACCAAGCGGCTTATTGGCTCGTCTCGGGTTTGAATTGAATCCATATTGAATTCCAGATCAAAATCAAAGGTGCCTCTCGATTGAATCATTCTGCCCGAAAGTAAGCCATGGGCACTACTGGCAGGTTGATCTCGCATTCTTGGGCGAGTCAGGAAACAGCGCACGGATCATGTCCAACCTCACCGCACCACAAAGATGGCGAGCTGTACTCAATTCCAACGGAAGGCAAGTTCTTGGAAATTATTCACCATAATGGCTGGGCAGGCCTCGCTATATAAGAGGAGAAAATGTAGGTGTGCAAGGTATGAGAATCATATTGTCTATCACAAGCATTGCTATTCAAGTTGAAGGCTTGAACAAATATACTTGCAAACAATAGCATCGAAACATGACCGCCAGCAGCATCTCTCTTCTCTTTTTGATTGTACAGTGTAAGGGCTCTCCGGTAGCGCTACCACAAGCAGTGACTGCAGCAATTTCGCCCTCAGCACCTCCACCACCCGGGTGCTCAGCATCCTTTCCGACTCGATTTGGCATAGGGGTGGTTAAAATTCCATCCGCTCCGCCATATACTCTGGCTAGAAGGCAGCCGGAACCTTCCAAGTAAGTGTGTGGCTCATCAGCGATGGTCTCCTGCTCACGAGATAATCCTTACAGGACACCGGCAGTCCTCACCGTTGCACCCATTTCTCAGATTCAGGATGGTCAAATACAAGAAGGTAGTCTGCGTACCTTGACCATGATTCCGGGCATGCAGATCGATGATGGTCAGATCCAAAATCCCGCAGTGCCCAGTAGAACAGCAACAGTGACCGAGCATGGCTGCAATAGCCCAATAACGGCGAGTCCAATGCTTGGGGATCTCCAAACAACGACACCACCGAGTTTCGAAGCATCACCACGGGTTCCCGTGCCTACCACCTTCTCGACCAGTGTCACTAGCATGCGCCCCCCACTGGCGCCGAGTAGCACCACATCCAGAGCTTCTCCGGCCCAAGCAAGCCTGGTCTCCTGTATCACCAATTCGACCCTGCAACTGACCCTGAGTAACAATGTCCTGTTGGACTCGCTGCAAAGAACGGGCTACATCGCATCGAATTATCAGTTCCAATTCGACGGGCCTCCCCAATCCGGAGCTTTATATACTTCCGGTTGGAGCATATGCCCTGTCGTGACCGACCCTGAGGAAGACAACGCTGCAACATCAGAGTCAGGAGTCACCGGGTTAATGACTTTGGCCCTCGGAGACTCCACTGTCTTCTACGAGTGCCTATCAGGCGACTTCTATAATCTTTACCAGCGACACTGGGCTGCTCAGTGTAGTCCTGTGGAGATCAGGATAGTTGGGTTGGTGGAATGTGATCATTAGGGGTGCCAAGTTGGGGAGTTCTGTTTTCGCTAGCTGTTCTGGCACTTGGACTCCGGGACAAGGCCGTTATTTCACTGGATTTTGTTGGCTTGTCGTGCAATTCTTGTTTTCTCTCTCTTATAGTCCAGTTAGCGCTATGTGATGATCCTAGTAATACCCAAGATTAAAGATGGAACAGGTCCTGGTATAAATGATTATTGCGAAATCAGTTGTTAGAATCAACGAACCCCATCCATCTGTCTAGCCACCTTGCTGGCTTGATTCATGCTGAGTGACTATTTTCCCCGCCAATACTGAACACACTGGTCCCATGACTCCGAGTACCACAAAAAACACCTTTAAAGCAGCTCAACCTTCATCCCCACAAATCTATTCAAGTGGACAGCGATCCCGAGTCACCATCTGAGTCATCTCGTCTTGCAACACAGGTTCCTCTAATCTTGGCTCTGCACCTTGTTGTCCCCTCTAACCACATCCGCATATGCAGGTGGAGCACCCTCCTGGTCGGTCCCAGCTCCTACACTTGGTCCCTCGATGGAAACTTGTGGTGCCGAGGAACTGCTGCCTACCTGACCTCCAGTGTTCTTGTTTGCAGGTTTGTTCTGAGACTTGGGAGGTGGGGGCGCAGGTCGATTCTGGCCTTGTGCCCCTTGCTGTTGAGTGCCGTATTCGCGTCGGCTTGGCTCATGGCGGATATAGTAGTATGTTGTCACATGCTGGTTGCCACCTTCACCGTCGGGGAGAGCTTCATAGTCGTAATCTCGCTCTGGGTTGCTCGATATTATGTACCAGCTATGGAGTAGTCCGGGTAAGTACCCAAGACAACAAAGGAGTATGTTGATCAGTGAGTCTGCTGAGCATAGACCCCTCTTGATCCAGACTGTAGCATCATGTCAGTTACTTCATTGGAAGGTCTCGGGCAAGAGGGGCAAACTGACCAGCGATGGGGGGGAAGAAAATGGCCAATACGCCCAGGAATATGTCTCCACACGATGCCATCTTAAATTTTGGGTAGAGTAGGTCAGAGAAGAATGTTTGGATGACAGGTGTTGATTGTGGTTATTGTACTGATCGAAAGATGGATGCCTGATGGGTCGTAAAAAGAATCGCGCTCGATGTACGAAGAAGATACGCAGTGAGGCGCAGCTGACGGGCTTGGGCGGGCAAGGCTGAGAATGACGTAGTACGAAACATCACGTGGTAGTCGAATTCCGTTGCTCTAGTGCTTCACCCCTCCTGCTTCCACGTTGTTTCTAAACTCCTGGACGTTCCCACTGGCTTTTGCTTAAACTATCGAAGCTGTAGGACTCCAGAAGGTGTGTTCGTTATCTACTAAGCACTTGGTGCATGATTGTGATCAGGTCTTGCAAGCCTCATCTCATTCGATTCGAGAACATTATCTGTCTGCAATATGCCTCATCTCAGGGCCACACTTTTGAGCATGTTCCGAATGAAGAGTATATCATAATTTCAATGCAAGATTTACCCGCAAAGCTTCCGCACGGGGCCTGATGCAATGACGGACTGCGCGAGTTCATGGCTCTGCGCTATCTACCTGAGCTATCTATCGATATCTGACACTGAGAACCACTCCTTAGATCTTTTGCGTTCCTACGATTACTACTTCGGAAAGTTGGCCTTTCCTCAGCCCCTGAACCCGAATGAGGCATTGACTTGTTCTGTATGAGTAGTACATGATTCCCTTCCCCATGCCTTGTGGATTGACAAGTTGAGCACCTTGCCTTTGCTTACCACCAAGTAGTTCGTAGGAATTCTCCAAGACGACTCGGCGATGACATCGGCCTAGGCTTTTCCGTCCAACCTGCCAGGCAATTTTCATATATGAGCTGTGGTTGTAATTTCAACTTAGACGAAACCTTCAAGGCCGTAGATGGTCTGCTTTCATTGAATAAATAGGTATAGAGTCTCGCGCCAACTATATCAATCCTGCGTGAATTCTAGCCTCGAGATAAAGTACTCGTAAGGATCTCCTATTCTATCCCTGGCCAGCACTCCGTAAGCGCGATAACTCTCGGTGCTTGTCTGACAACTAGTACTTGAGAGTAAGTAATCTCAGGTAACAGATCTCGGTGTTTGTGGCCCAGAAGAGGGAAACAAGGTAGATGGTTCCGGGCTACGAACCCCACGAGTTCGTCGGCTGTCAGTTTAGAGATGTTGAGTAGGCCTTCAGATCGAGGCTGTCCTTCTTTCCTTGAATGTGGTAAAATAAATCTGCGACCGCTGGTTGCTGACTTCCTGACTATACGCCACCAGTTCATGGCTTCTACGCTGGCTAAAAAGTCATGAGCTTGGCCTTTGCGCTTCCTGTGCAATGCGAAGATTCGAGTTCTAGGCGAGCTTCCGCATTGAACCTTCCTGCTTCGCAAGCCAAATTCTTGCAAAATCGTGGTGGGGAGTTAGAGAAAAGTCATTCTGGTTAGCAGTGTCTAAGTCTAATTAGTTGACTTTCTCCTGTGGCTAATTGAAGCACACTGCAAGTCCCACTGAAAGCCACCGTCGCCAATGCATCACTTTCAAGCACGATACCAGTACCATATACTTAGGTACATAGCTAGTAGTGCTACTAGCTAGTTACTTATCTTCTGCCATGGTCGATATCCCGAGGGCGGAGTTCTTACTTTCTTATTATTGTATGGCTTTATTTTTAGGGAAGGCGGAAGTACCCTAAACACTTTCCAAACGTTCGAAGTGGACAAAACAGCTCTATACTACCCTTGGCGCGTTCTGGACTATACCGTTATCAGTATATAGCGTGTAGTATCTCGAGATCAATTGCTCAACTGAAAATTGTATTCTCAAGACCCATGTATATGCTGAGGGCTGTGGTCTAGCAGTGACGTAGCTAGTAGCACTTGACTATGCTAAGAGAATATTTACTCCTTAGTACTTGCTTGGTTGTTATTTACTCGAATAAACACTAAGTCCTCACCTACCTACCCCTGGAGAGCTTCATGGTAGCTAGCTCTTCGTTTGCACTGATGAGTTGAGGGCTCGTATACTACTGCGTCGTACTTAGTACTTAGAATTTTCCCGGAGAAAGGACTTGTAAGAACTAAATCTAAGTAGGTACTAAGTAGGACACACGCATCTTTCAAGGCGCTATAAGTACTACTAAGTCCTTAGTACTTAGTATTTAGTACTCAGTTACTGTACCACGTTTCGAGATGCCCGTTGATCCTAAACAAGTTGTGAGGATGAATGTGGAACAAGAACCTAGTAGGTCGGCATGGACGCTACTAACAGAATACAAAAAGTACTAAGTACTAGTACCGAATATCCATTTGGTGCCCAGGTGCCATTGCAGTACAACAAGGGTGCAGCTGCTATGGGATCTTTGTGAATGAATGTACAGCACACTTGAGCAATGCGCTGAGCTTGTGGTGGCGGCCTCATTCGAAACAGCAGTCATGGTAAAGGACGAGGTCAATAGGCGCCTATTTCGGGGGCCAAAAATAGATCTTGGGAAAACCAATCAACGCATGTAGGTACAAGCTTGGTACTATTCAGCCTCACCCCGCTTGAATAATGTTAGTCGATCTTAAACATCTCCCCTTCTTCCCTTAGCAAACCTGAGCCGCATAGCATAGCATAGCACCTGTGAATTGGATTCACCATGGATCCTCTTTCCATTACCGCTAGTATAATTGCGGCTCTGCAGGCCGCCAGCGCTATCATATCCACAGCGTATTCCATAAAAGCGGCAATGAAAGATGTTCCCATCACGGTCTTGTCAATTATATCCGACATCATTGAGTTGAGAAACGTTTTAGAAACGTTGGATCGGCTAGCATATGAGGATCCGAAAGACGATCCAAATTCACACTTGTCTTCAAAACAACGTCGCTCCTTCGAGATGCTCTCAAATCCTCATGGCCCTCTCGAGATTTGCCAGCAAGAACTCAAAACATTAGAGGCACTGATTGACGATCGTTCGGGATCTCGAAGGGGAGCTTTGGTACAAGCATTGAGATGGCAGTACGGAGGTGACGAGATACGGATGTCGTTGAAACGAATCGAACGGATCAAGAGCACTCTCAATCTAGCCATTACAGCAGATTCGGCGTAAGTCATTTTTCCATTGCCATAAATACTAGCTACTAAGTAGTTCTTATGTTTCTTTGACTTCTAAGTGTTCAGATGCCTGATTGATGCGTTTTTCTGACCTTCCTTTTCGTTAGAGCATTGCTATTGAACATCCAGGAGATGGTGACCGACATTGCGACTGTGGTTGAAACAGTGCAGATTCGAGAGCTTAGTACGGTGATCCTACTGCAAAGCTTCAAGCTGATATCCTTGTCTGAGTCGCTAACACTTCATGGTCAGACGAGACGCAGAAGAAGATATTGCGCTGGCTTTCCCCTGTCGACCCTTCAGCGAGCCACGAAGCGGCGACCAGGATTCACCAAGCTGGAACTAATGACTGGTTTTTACACGGGTCAGAGTTTCAGAACTGGTATGCGGCGAAGCGTTCATTCCTATGGCTCAGTGGCCTTCGTAAGTACAAACATTTCCTTAGGCTGTTCAATACGGTGTCCTTCAGATTGCTAATTGACTCGTGAAGCTGGAGCTGGAAAGACGATCCTTCTGTAAGCGTGGTGCCAGATGATGCTGAACCATTCAACGCTGACTCCATCCAGGTCTAGTACAGTGACTTACCTCAGAGAGCGAGCGGCGAGCGATGACCTAATTGCTTGGTTCTACTGTGATTTTAGAAAGAAGGAAACTGAGGAACTGATTAATGTCCTGGGTTGTCTTATTAGTCAATCATGCACTCAGAGCGGAATGTTTCCACCTGCATTGAAAGATGCCTACCAAAAGACACACAGCAAATCTGACAAGCCGAATTTACAGTTGCTGCGCCAGCTTCTCGAGATTTTCGCAGCGAGGTTTCGTCTGTTCCTTTTGATCGATGGGCTCGACGAATGTGCTCAGCCGGAGCAGGCTATCGACTTCATCTGCGACCTACAAAAGTCAAACATAGCTATCAATCTTTTATTGACGAGTCGCGATGTGCAAACAGTACAGGGGTTGGACGAATTTGTCCATGTGAAAATCGAAGCCCATCAACGCGAAGTCTCGCAGGACGTCAAACTATACCTGGACAATCGTCTAATATCAGATAAAAGACTACAATGGCTGAATAAAAAATCCCATGATTCGTTAAGGGAAGACATAGCAAATCAGCTGATGGAGAGGTCTGCTGGAATGTAGGTACACACATATATGGTACTCACAGGAACTCAAGCTGACCAACTAGGTTCCGTTACTGCCAGTGCGCCATCGATGCGATTGCAAGCCTTCGCACGGTCAGAGCGATTCGGACTGCTTTGCGAGAGCTACCACGAGGACTGGACGAAACATACGATAACATATTGTTGAAAATCCCAGAGCCAGACACCGAAACGGTTCGGAGAATTCTGATGTGGGTAGCATTCGCCACAATGCCAATGACATTAGGGGAAGTATATGAAGCAATCGCCATTGACGCCGATCTCGGCTTGGATCATCTGGACGAAGAATCACGCCTGCGGACACCAGCGGATATACTTGACCTCTGTGGAAGCCTTGTCGTCGTGTCCGAGGATGGCCACATCGGACTGGCGCACCTCTCCGTGAAAGAGTATTTACTGTCACCCAGAACAAAGCGAAACCACGCAGTATCCGCATTTGCCCTTGAGCCAGAAAGAGCGGTTCAAGAGTTGGCAAAGAATTGTTTAGCTTACCTCTGCTTTCGGGAATTCTCAACCGGGCCCTGCAAGACTTCCGAAACCTTTGATGAGAGATTGATCAGACTGCCACTGGCCACTTATGCGGCCGTTGCTTGGCCTTATTTCGTCCGTTCAAGCAAGACCCCTGAGTTGCAACAACGCATCAACGAATTCTTCCAGCCACCCGCCTCACCAATTTTCATGTCCTGGGTCCAAGTTCTCAATGCAATCCATGGATCGTGGAACTTCTATCCAAATCCCACGACTACACTATATTATGCCTCGACATTCGGACTCACAGAGGCAGTGGCTGCCTTGCTGCTCAATCCTGAGGTTATCTCGGTCATCAACGACCCAGGCAGCCGGTTCGGTGGGACCGCATTGCATGGTGCGACGTTACGAGAGAAGCTCCCTGCAATGAAACTTCTGTTACGTGCTGGGGCTGATCCCAACCAAGCGGATTGGAACAAGATCAGTCCTTTGCACACAGCAGCTGGGTATGGGAACAAGGATGTCATTCAGTTGCTGCTGGAGCATGGAGCAAGCCGAGACGCACTGGATTATGAAAACCAGACTCCCTTCGACTGCGCAGTCCGTGCTAATAACCCTGTGTCGATCAGTCTACTGGCTAGGGATACGAAGACGCAGGGTAATCCAACTTTTCAGCCGTCCCAACGATCCAGCGCCAGTGGGGATAAGGATGGCTCAGACGAACATATTGTATCATCGCCGACAGATGTCCAGCAGCAATCCAAGCGAGGGACACGAACTTCTAGCTCTAGGATTACCTTTCTCATGAACCAGGGCAAGATAGCGCGTCAGGATGAGTCGCCCTGATTCGGCTCAATAGTTCCCGCGAGAGTATTTATCACATTCAGGGATGGACTATCATCTGACCGTGAATGCAAGCATGACAGTGGTACTAAGCATTGATTCTTCCATCACTCTGCCTTTTACCTTACTTTTTCAATGCTATAATGATACCCGGTTCCCATGCCGACATTGGCAGTCTTCGCTCTCCTCGATTCTGGCCTGGGAGCGCGCCGTAGGTCTGGGGGATATCGAACTTGGTGTATTCTAGGATAAGGCCCCAGGAGAAATGCTTCCAAGTTCCTAAAGTTGTTGCTTCTACAACACTCTCAGCTTTCTTATCATGATCGTCTCGTGAATATCTAGATTGACGGACTACCCGTCGGAAGCATCCGATGCAGAATTTCTCCATATCTTCGTATGAGATGAGTACATGTACTAACTTAGTATCTCCTTCTTCATCGTGCGTCAAACTCATCTGAACCACCAGGTTCACACGCCCCAGATTGGACCCATCAGCAATGCATCACAGTCATCACCTATCTCTAGGAACCCATCTTTCAAGGGTAATTCCAACAATGCATTCGCACTCGCAAGACTTCCCACACGGCTACTCCTCTGCATACCGGTGCTCTTTGCTAAGAGGCCGCCACGTGCTTTGTCAAAGGTCACTGTCACACGGTGATACTCAGTGCGGGATTTATCGCAGCGTATGCGGGTGGAGACCTTGACGATGACACGCTCAAGGCCTTTACCGGACAGACCAGCAATGCGCTGCACGCATGGCAACAAGAAAAGATTCGCTGTGACGAGGGCGCTAGCAGGATTTCCCGGCAGCCCGAAGATCAGGCGGGTGGAACGGGAGCCGTGACCTGGAGATGCAGAGGATGAGGACTCCTTGAACGGCACGCTGGCGAACGTGGTTGGTTTCCCGGGTTTCATGCTAACACGCCCGAAATGCACTTCACCGCCAAGGGCACGCTCGACAGTCGGTTTCAGAAGATCGAGCTCACCCATGCTAACGCCACCCGTGGTGACGATGATGTCCAGGTCGTGAAGCCGATAGCCCTCCCGGAGTTTCTCCTCGAGCTCATTTGTCGGCGTGTCCCGCGCTACCTGCAGGTCAACGACCTCTGACGCCAGGTTCCACCCTCGGAGGAGAGTCAATAATGAAGGCCTGTTGGAATCACGAATCATGCCGCCACTCAGAGAACCTGTGTACGAGGTGTCGGTGACTTCGTCGCCAGTGCTCATTACACCGATTCGAGGCTTGCGGTAGACAGCCACCTCCTGGATTCCCGCTGCTGCCAGCACGCCGATTTCACCTCCCAGAGCACTGATTCGTGTGCCTTTGGTGATGACGAGCTCCCCGAGCTTGATATCGGAGCCGGGCTCTCGGATGTTCTCACCCACGGATAGTTCAGATGTGAGGATTTCAACAGTGGCCTCTTCCTTCTTGTCGTCAGTCAATGAGGCGATGGTGGTGTCTTCCACCATGACTACCGCATTAGCGTGCTCAGGCAATGGTGCCCCCGTGGTGATGCGCGCTATCTGCCCGACTTGCAACGGTGGTGGGAGCGACGCAGCCTGAGCATGTGAAACGGATGCCACGGGGTAGACGCCTTTCAGGCCCGTCGCATTTGATTTTTCCTCTTCAGAAGGAACGATCACAGCATATCCGTCAACTATACTCGCGCGATAAGCAGGAACAGCTTCGGCTGCCTTGACGTCTTCGGCAATCACATAGCCAATCAAGTCTGGACTCACATCCCTCGTTTCGGTTATTGGAGCGGGTGAATGTTGCAGGATCTTGGCGACCGCGTCAGGGACAGAAAGCATCGGGTACGGAGAACTTCGCGCCCGTGCTGTAGCTCCTAGACGAGGGTCGTTAGACTGAGGTCGTTCCGAAGGACTCGTATGAGCTTTGGGGACTTTGTGTCCTCCATGACTGTGGTCATGATCGTGATGGTGGTGGTGGTGAGAGTGATCATGACTTGCTGATGTTGAAGAGTTTGATGAGGCTGAAACTCCAGCATCTTTTTCGAGCTTTTTGACACCGCCAACGTGAGCTTGCCGTGAATCTTCACCAGCTGCCTGTAGACATGCGTGTGGAAGGAGTTTCAAGACAGCCTGAAGGTTTTCTTTGGCACCTTTGGGTGAGCCAGGCAACGTTACGATGATAGTCCTGTTACGAACCCCAGCCACCGGTCTCGACATCATTGCAAATGGTGTTACCTGAAAAGAAGCAGACAGCATTCCGTGCACGATTCCCGGCGCATGTCGATGTATCAGAGGACTGATTGCTTCAGGTGTAAAGTCTCGCCGGGCAAATCCAGTCCCTCCAGTTGTGATGACCAAATTAACGGGTCCGGATGTTGCATCCTCGGTGTCAGTCCAAGACCGTACGATACGTTGTATCTCCAGTATATCGTCTCTCACAATTTCAATGATTGGCTCTGCCCATTTCCCAGCTCCATCTTCGGAGAAAGTGTCCCTTAAAATTGGAGCAGCCTTGTCGGTCGCTGGATCTGCTGCGGCTGTATCGCTAATAATCAAGATCGCAGGTCGTAGGCGCGGCTGGGAGCTCATTTTGTTCAAATTGTCTCGCACTGTGACTCAAATAATTGACAATAGAGCTCAGTATATGTGGAAGAAGAATGTCAGTCAGAAGTTATGTTCGAAGATCTTGGAGCTGGGAAGGGCGGAACTCGGGAATAATGTTCCGGCGAAACCTTCTTCCAGCTTCCGAGTCCCATACTGACAAACATCGCGAAAAAGAATGGCTGACATGCATCTACCTCTCTAGGTGACAGAACGAATATCTCGAAATCTAGTCGTGAGAGGCTGTTTGGTAGGTCTACGATCGGTACCAGCGAGGGAGCAATTACAAGCACATTTGGAAACCTACAGAGATTTTCATTTATGACCAGACAGAAAGCGCCTCCCGATCTTCATGCGTATGTCAAGAGTCAATTGCTGACTACCCTATCTAAATATCGGAGACAAAAGGGGCAGCCCTCCTTAAGAAACACCTCGGTCATTCCGTAATGAAAATTAAACCTTCTCCTCATTCCCACTAACCTCAGTCTTGGTGTCGTGAAGACTGGTATTCCTTGGGCGTGTAGCACCCGCACTGTCCTGAGTTCCAATTCCAGTCGACGTACCAGGCGCCTGCTCTTCATCAGCCGGCACAGACCTCCTCCATGATAAAGTCAACGGCTGGACAAACGGTTTCGTGAATTCAAATGTGACCAACAGGTCATCGAGAGGTGATTTGCTCGTGAAGAATGCCAATACGCTCGTAAGTGGCTGTGGGCCACTGGTGGTCTCATCTGAACTCTCTAGGCCGTTGCCGTTGGCATCATCTTTCTCGTCTTTTCCGAGTTCAGTCGGAGGACCGAGAATTCGGACGGCGTGTTTTGTCAGCAGAAACGCACGTGCCCACGGCCAGAAAGGCGGACGCTTGGCTGCCCAGTAACATGCAATGACCAGTAACACGTAGAGCCCCAGGATGTAGATGAGCAGATGAGTGAAGCTCAGGGCTAAGAAAATAATAAACGTGAAGATTCCTCCCAACACTTCAAAAGTGGGTGCCAGGATCTTGACGATACCTTGCCGAATGGGAAAAGTCAATGATGGCGACCAGCCCGAGTCCGCTCGAACTGAAATGGTGTCAACAACCTGTGTTGCGATGGATACATTGGCGTTCAGGCTATCCTTGAGAGTGAAATGCATCTCCAACAAGGGACGTCTGGAACCAGGTTGTTCCCAAGTCCCGACTTCCTCCACAATGTCCCAAGAAGTCTCTTGCTGCAGCCCACACATCAGTACCATCAAGAGAAAGTTGGTATGGGGTACACATCACAAACCTCATCCATCGAATGCGCCCAGATGAAAACATCAAATCCAGTGTCTCCTGACCTATCGATTTGCAACCTAAAAGGTGCATTTGATCGGTCACCATGAATCTCGTAGAACAGAAGCGTCGCATCCGCTCTCGAGAACCACGGCATGTTGACGCCATCTTGATCGCCCAGCTTGACCGTAGCGGCGAAGGGCGCAGAAACGAATGGCTTCGTCGTGGCCAATACGTTGTACCACGGCCTCGTCGATGCCGCATCGCTGCCGATAGACAACACACCAGTGGTGGGGTCGTAATGGCACTCCAGTGCGAATGAAATTCGGCTGGCGTGGCGCATGTTATACGCCTTCTCGTTTACCTCAGCGGTTCCCCATGTATCGCTCACGCTAAAGAGAGGGAACGCGAGAGCGGTCAGAATTAAGTATATGCATTTATATTTTGCTGGGGACTGGAGATCAAGGCACCACGGCTGGGAGAAAGACTTACTCATAGACCCTAGTCAAAGTGCCGCCCTTCCACAGCATGGGAAGCGCATCCTCGCCATGTTGTTCCCATGGGCGACGCTGTGGCGAAGGAAGAGCGACCCAGGCAACCACAGAGAGAAGCACACATAGAATTGTTAGGAACAGTAGTTTAAACGGCGTTATTCGAGGCATTCGGTATCCTTTTGGCTGTGTTAATAAACTTAACTATCTGGAAGGATTTATTCTGAGACTGCCCGGCGATTTAAGCAAGGCTCTGTGGCAATTTGCTTACCAACTCTAGATGGACTTCTCAGGGGTTTGTGTCTCGGGTGTCTCGGCTCGGGTTTTCTCACGTTCCAGTTCTCTATGCACCGAATCTCTACCAATGCCTTTTCTGAACAGTTCGAAGGGGTTTATCTCGAATAGGAGGCTGCTATCGGCAGCAAATTGTTGTTCGAGCTTGTTCTTTAGTATTATCTTATATACACTTTGAGTACATAGTTTTTACAATGGCTCCGGCTTCCTGCAGGAGTGGAAGAACCTTGTATCTTACACAACTGTGGCACACAGGCCGTAGTCATAGTGAAGGATTCATGATGCATGCATCCCATCATCCATATCAACTCCCCGCAGATGGCAAGGTGAATTGTATCGACATTGGCAAGCAATCCCCTCTGATCAAATATACCATGGCAATCCTGCTTGCCTCTAACCAGATCTCCTCGCTCTTCCGATGCAACGCTCAATAAAATATAAAACTGCCCGTCAATGTACATGTCATGAGAAAAAGTAGGTGCTATCTTTCAGCCGTCGAACATCGAAGTCACCTTTTTTGGGGATGGGCTTGAATTTCAATGGAAGCCATAACCATGTTTGATTACTGGCAGTCCGATTTTTGCAATTCTTATCTCTCGGCTTCGTCCTACTTCGAATCGTGTTTCCGAATGCGTCTTTCACGCATATGTAACCATCATCAAATGAGGAAGTCGATAAAGGCGAAGCGAGAGTTGGTTCTGAGCTGTCATCGTTGTCTATCTCGGCAATCGAATCCTTTAGTGGACCAAGCGCACGATCGAGACTCACATCGCCGACCACATCTGTTGAGTGAATGGCTTGCTCAAGAACTGATTCGTCCACATTGTCGGGAATCACTCCAATCGCTGTTTCACCTAAGGAGGTTCGGCCGGACAAATACTTCTCACCATCGAACTGTTCGAAAATGGTGGCTGCAGTCACCATTTTCTTACCTTCCTCCCGCTCATCGGGATCTTCACTCGCCATTAGCTTATTCTTCCGAATTTCTCGGAGTAATTCAGCATGGCGGCGTGCATGAAAGGCTTTGGCACTATGTCCACTGGGACTCATCTTGTCCTTGACGAGGTTCTTCCGATAGTCAGAGATGGCGCATCCTAGCTTACTTGTGTTGCTAATCTGAGCAAGGTAGTAGTGTCCCTCGTATCGTTTCTGGAACTCAGCTGACAGTCGGCCAATAATATCTTCACTGTGCATTTGTATGAATGCGTCACGCAACAGTGTGTTCAGGGTATTAACGTCACTGGCATGGGTCCAGAAGCTGTCGTGGACGGCTGAAAAGCTCAGGCCATGCTCACGAGCTTTCAGTGCGGATAATGCCATATGGCAAGCATCCAGTGAATGGACGAAGTTGGGTGGAAATGCTTGCAATTGTTTGCGTTTATTGACCGCATCTGCAGCACTAGGTTGTGAGAGTGAAATGTTCTGTAAACTCGTCTGAATAGATTTCGTCTTGACGGTGCGGTATGGTTGTACCACTGGTAGTTTCAGTGGAGTTGTCCAGATCACACTTGTGCGAAACACTCCAGACTCATAGACAGTCTGCCCTTTGGTCATGGTTCTGCCCTTGAGTACCGAGTCCTGATCTCTTGCTCCAGGCCCATATTCCTGATCGTACATCTTTTCCATCTGGGCGACAGAAATTGAAGCGCTAATGCGGTTTGCGCAATCGCCTAACCAGTATTGAATTTCATGGGCGCCTGTGAACAGAGTACCGAGACCACGAAATATGTTCTTTGCAATGTAAGATGCGGCTCTGCCAGATATCTGATCTTTGAGGAGGTCAGGCATCAGATCGTCAATTTGCTTCTTGACTTGTCTGATTGCACCGAGGAACGTGACACCATATACGTTGGTCATGACTGTCTGCTTGACAACCTTCCTTGTCACTCGGCCGTCCAGAAGCTTTGCTATGGGATTGCCCCGAGCTGCATCTTCTTGGACCGCTGCTTTGACCAGCTCACAAACACCTGTATAAACGTCTGATGGAACGTCACCAGGTTCAAGGTTGACCTGTTTGGCTCCAGCAACATCTCCTCCAAGAGCAGCATAGTGTTGCAATCCATTGCAAGAGCCGTCTTGATGAACGGGTAGTCGAGATATAAACTTGGTGGGATCGGGAAGTTCAAGGGCATTCGTAAGCTCGAAACAAGCCGCAAGACATTGCCAAGGGTCTTCTGCTTTGAGCCACCATCTGTCTCCACCCAATGGATTTTTGACTGAGTCAAGTATCTTGTCCAAATTATCCATTGGGAATTGAGCACGATCGGCCAAACTAGCCTTGTCGTACCCAAAAACATTTGAAAGATGAATCTTGAGCCACCTTAAGCCGTCAGAACCAAGCTCCCGACCTTCATCGAACAATAAAAGTCCGCGACAATTGTCCGCACCCATCTGGTTCAGATAAGGTGGGATGGGGTAAGCGCGCCCACGGAAGTCGATGTTATGGGGTAGGTAGAATGTCTCATGCAGATAAGACTTCGCAATTTCCATCTGTAAATTCTGGAAGCATCGTTCCGAGTGCAGACCACTCCTCTCATTCTCAACTCTCTTCATCAGGTTGAACCATTGCCACCTCTCTTTAGGGGTGGCATTTGGTCCTGGAGTTTCAACGGTGGCAAAAACTTTGTCAAGTGGAGGTAAATTTGCGACCCCTTTCCCACTGTTCCAGGCGTCAACCATGACGTCGAACACCTTCTTATTTATTCGCCAACCAGTTTGGCTGAGAACATCGATGGCGGCAAATAACTGGTCAAGGTCGCCTCTATCAGCAGCAGCTTCTGCGTAATGTCTTTGGGCAAGCTCATGAGCCTTCATACGCAGGAAAGGAGTTTTTGTCGTCAAGAACCCTCCCTCATCCCAGCCCTGCCATGGTTTTGGAGGGCAGACCATAGGGAGAAGCTTTGTGTATAGATGCTCGGCAGGTTGGTTCATTAGGATCTTGGTGAACTCCTCAAGCATAGATACGACGCCCATTCTTCGTCCACCTTGCCAAATCGTCGTGCGGGAGAAGATTGGTTGCCACATGCAGATATCCTCACCTGTCGAGGTGTTCTGTCTAACCACTTCCATCTTGGCAGCATCGAACATCAGCTCGCAGACGATGGCTCCAAGCTTGGCATGTTGAACGGAAGTCCAGTTTCGTTTGTAACTGTAGGGTTTGGCGCTATGGTGCTTTGTTCGCCTGTGCATAACTGATTTTCTCTCATCTTCCCTCCACTTGTTCGTGGTCTGTGGAGGTTGATCCTTCAGTGATTTTACGAGAGTCTCTGTGTTCTTAGCCTGATCTTCCGCATGATACTCGTCTTCAATGCCTTTCCCAACCTCGGCGACGAGCGAAGCTAGCCTGACTGGTCTAGCAACTCCCGCCCTGCAGAATATGTTCATGACTGTAATCAAGGACGTGGCGGCAATTTTGGAAGGTGAAAGAGATCCTAGAAGCGGGCCGTACTCCATTCTGAGCTTCTGCTTTTGTGATCTCTTTCCAACGACTGCCTCTGCCTCATTTACGAGATCTAGTTCTCTGGCGATCTTTTTGGCTAATAACTCATGCCAAACCCAGAGATAACCACCTCGAGCTCCATGAGAAAGGTCTAGTGCGCCAATCGCAGCTTTTTGCTTGTACTCGGTTTTCCATCTTTGAAGCGCAATGTCGAGTGATTCACGTTCGAGTAGTGTCTGTCGAGCCACGGTAGGGTCTTCGCCAAGCTTGAATTCTGGGGTCACTATCGTTGGGTCGGAGAAGAGACGCATGGTCTTCTTTAATGTAGAAAGACCCAAACCTTTCTGTGCCGTTTCGATGATTTGCGCTTCACTTCTTTGAATGGTGGAGGAATCTTTTATAGGTCCCCCTTGAATGATGGTTACCATCTGCTCATCTTCAAACGCCGTTGTCTCAATAGGGCAGATGTGGGAGAGGCTCCCCAGATCACGGTCACTGAGAATGTCTCGAAGGCTGATGACCTCGCTTTCCAACTCATATTCCTTTGTCATCTCCCAGTATCTTCGGACTGTCCGACTTCTTTGGGATCCCGTGAGTGAATGCAAAGCGACTTTCAGCTTCCAGGCAAAAGTATGAGCATCCGGCTCGACACGAGCTTTCAACATGTCGACTTCGATCCAGTTATTGATGCGTAAGGCATTTTCATGATTTTGATTGTGTATGACGTCTTCAGCCATTGCCCCTAGAACTCTGTTGTGGACATCTAACAGCCTTTGCTGATGATTTCGGTATAAAACGCTGAGTTGAGCGAGGAGGTTTAATGCTCTACTCCATCGTTGGACGTGTAGACAGGCGTCCAGTGTCGCCTCCATCTCCTCTGCGTTCATATGTTTATAGCCTGCCGGACGCTCTGAATTTGCAAGTTCGTCGGCCAGAGATGCATTTTGGTCTAACATGACAACATTGGAGATGTCAAACGACTGGAGATCACTGAGTTGACCGGTGGGAAGGTGCGATATAGAACGATAGTCACCATTGCCGAAGGCGAACGGAATATAGTCGTCGGCACCGCTAAAGTGATCGGAAGCGGATGCGGGAGAGGCCAAATGTCGTAGCTGTGTCCGTTGTGCAGGAGAAATGTTGGAACGTGGAATTGCCGGTCGGGCAGGTTTTAAAGGAGGCTTGGGTAGGGTTGTATATGAGTGGGAAAGGGCCGGGCATAGCCATGGTAGCTGGATGCTATCGACTGCTCGTTGAATGTAATGCAAAGCATGCCGACGACGGGCAGCTCGCGTGAGCATAGCGGCGAATCTGAACGGATGTGACGGACGCCAGTATGGGCTGTGACATAAATCAGGGTTTATGTAAGACTGCAACCACGACGCCGATGGAATTACGCGCAAAACAAAAGTAAAAAGAATTGAAGCAACTGTCAAGTCGATGGAGGTGATAGAACTCCTCAGGGATCGAACCACGGCCAAAAAAGTTTCGAGGTGAAGAAGATGAGAGCTTCGGGCCTAGCGGCAGGTCACGTGGTTGTCCCTGGAAGTGGTACGAGCCCCGACCCTTTAGTGGCTAAGTTAGCCTAGTCCTCCATCAAAGAAACCACCGTGTACTAATGTTTGATATCCTCTTCTCCAAAAGGTGAGGCTCATGTATATTGCACATATACCTAGGTACACTGCGAGAGTCGTCGTTGAGAATTGCCAGTCTGCCAGCCTTAGCGTTAGACTCTCCCACGCATCTTGCTGAAATTGAGGGTTGCAAGTTGCAACTATTGTACCGTCACGGCTCTGACCCATCATGTCTTCCAACCAAATCGTGAAGGTTGGTATTATCGGCTGCGGTCTGGTCACTCAGGTGGTTCATATCCCGACTCTGGGATTCCTATCAGACTATTTTAACATCACTTTTCTCTGCGATGTGTCTCCAGCCGCCCTCGAACACAGTGCCAAGAAAGTCATCAATCACGTCCCGCAGACCACACAGGATGCAAGTGAACTATGTGCCTCGCCAAATGTCGACGTGGTATTGTTGGCCAATCCAGATGAGTACCATGCTGTCCACGCCATAGAGGCATTGAAACATGACAAGCATGTTCTTATCGAGAAGCCGATGGCCTTGTGCGAGCGTGATGCAGATGCCATCATTGCTGCCGAGGGGAACTCCAAAGGTAAGGTCATGATCGGTTATATGCGAAGGTATGCGCCTGCTTTCGAGGACCTGGTCAACGAGGTTGGTGGCATGGAGAAGATCACCTATGCTCGGGTCAGAGGTATGTTGTTTCGTTACCGACCACTTATGAACTTGCTGAATTCGCATTCATTTCAACAGACATCATTGGACCAAACAGCCACTTTGTCTCCCAGTCCGCTATGTTCCCCAAGGCATTCATCGACTTCAGCACTGAGGCCGTTGATGACCTGAAATCGAAACAGGATGATATCATCAACCAAGCGCTAGCAGTAGAATGTGGGATACCCGTGACACCAGAGGCCACAAAAGCGTGGCGTTTTCTTGGAGGTCTTGGATCTCATGACTTGTCAGCCATGCGTGAAGCACTTGGAATGCCGCAGAAAGTGGTTGGTGCTTCGCTGGGACCTATCTGGAAGTATGATGCGCCTCGATGGTTGTCCGCCCTCAAACTAATCACATTTACTAGTGTCATATTCGAGTATCCTGGGTTTTCCGTGACTTATGAAACTGGAATCGATGATATCCCAAGATTCGATGCCCATGTCGAGGTGTACAGCAAACAAAAGTCTGTCCGCGTGTGCTACGACACTCCCTTTGTCAAGGGTCTACCCATCAATCTTTTGATCCGCGAGAACTTGGATGGGACTTACAGAGAGTCCATCGTACGCAAGACGTATGAAGATCCGTATACGGTAGAGTTCAAGAAGTTATACGACATGGTGGTGAACAGGAAGGCCGTGAAAACGACAGCCAAGGATGCGAAAGAGGATCTGAAAATCTTCCAGATGATCATGAAGGCAGGGGTGAGACCTGGTGGCCAGTGATGAAATGTGTCAAAGAGGGCAATAGTGATCTTCAATTCATCGATACCAAGTCAAGATGTTCCTCCCAAACTCCGAGCTTATGCTGTCAACAGTGACATTCCGTCGCAATGAGTCATACCACACCCTGGCTATCAAGCGTGAAGCTTACTCCCGACCATCTGAAGCGTCTGGGGTACTGAGGTCGCTATCTGAGCTCATATCCAGCGCGAGTCCATGTACACTTGTGGCTGGGCCGGCAGCCTCTCTTTGTCGCTGACGTTTCTCTTCTTCCGCCTTCTTTCTGCGTGCGCGTTCTCGTTCTCGACCTCTCAACTTGGCCAGCAGTCCCTTCTTCCCATCTTCTCTCGGTGCGCTCATCTTGTCCAGCCAGTCACCATTGCTGATCCTACTCTTCAATCTCGAGGCAGATGGAGTTCCAGCAAATGATAGGTGGAGCAGAGAATCGGATGCTTCCTTCGCATCATCATCCTCTTCATCGACCCATTCATGCTCATCCCACTCTTCGACCTGAATATCACGGAGACTCCTCGCATTTTCATTCAGGCTTCGATCCTTGGGGTCATCCTTCGTGTCCTTGATCTTAATCTCGATAGCCTTTGACTCAACCTTGCCTGGTACTCCATTGGCCCCGGGTTTTTGCCTTGCTGCAGCAGGGCCAGTCAAGGACTGAGCCCGTTTCTGCTGTTCTTCTTGCGCATCGATGTGGTGCAGTTGAGGACGCATTTGTACAACTGCATCAAGTTGGGAGAGATGAATCTGATTTTGCCGAAAGCAACCCAGAAGATAGATAGGGTCTCGAGCGCTCGGTGGAACGATCTTCCCGCCCAATGACTGCGTTTGTAGAACAGGGGGCATAGCAAGGAAGTCCTCCTGTGGGGGTACATCCCTCATTCTGGAGTGTGCGCTTGATGTGAAACCTCCGGCAAGGCCATGGGCACCACCAGCATGTAGTGTCCGGCTATCAGCAACTGCCTTTCCATATTTTTCTCCGACCAAGATATTGTAATTCTCTTGGAGCAGAATGGGAACATCAACCTCGACAAACCCTGATTTTGGCTTCACTCGAAGCGCGGTAGGAGTCTGGTTTCTGCTGGCATTGTAGGGTCTCTTGTTGCTTCTGTGCGCAGGATACTGGAACAGGAAGAGTTTCGAGGTGCTCGTATCGTTTTCCGAATGCGGCTCTGTCAAGAAGACATCATAGGATGCCACCACGGGATCGTCGTCGTCGGCCATGGTGACTGCAATGAAAAAGCGCAGGAAAGCGGGGATATATTTTTCGAGATGGAGAAAGACCTTCTCGATGAGTTGGAGATGACGCTCCACTGAGCGCGATAGTTAGCTCCATGTGAAGCACTAGTGACGCGCTTATTCTACTAAAGTCTTTCAGCTAGACAAATTAGGTTAGTGTAGAAGTTAATCAGAAATAGCAGGAGATTTCCTGGGAGATGGCCTCAAGTTCGAGATATCCTTTGTACATACTCGTGTTCACTAGGGAAATAATGCTCGTGCCGAGTGAAAGTCCGCTTAACATGGATTGCTATCGAGATTTACAGAGTATTCCATTCTGTGTAGTCACTTCTACCTAGGGCAGCCTACAACTTACTTCCCTGCTTCAGAGTACTCTCAAAATCACCCAAGAAATGCCACAGAATCTTCGCACGCCAACCTTTCTCTTTCCATTCATTCGCGCTCTTGGGGAACAAGTCTACATTGCCGCGAAGCGAACCGTCGTGGGCGTAGATGAACAGTACGTTCGAGTCACCGTCAGCTTCTTGTGTCTTCTTAATGGTCGCAATCGCCTGTGGGATATCTAGTCCCATATTCGGATCAAAGAATGGCTCGTTGACATTTCTTGATCGACTCCTCTGGAGCTCTTCTAGTGCAGCGCCAGGACAAAACCCACCGGCGAAATGCGAGAAAGCTTGTAGATGGACCTTCTCGGGCAACGGTAGGTGCTCGGAAGGCCGTATCTCGCCTCCATGATGACAAAGATCGCCGCCCATGAAGATAAAAGTATCGGATGTGGTACGTGCTAAGCCTCCAAGATGTCCTATAGCGTGTCCAGGAGTGTCGAGGAGGTAGAAGGAGCCATCGCCGAACAAGTCAATTGCACGGAATTTGCCAATGGTTAGCACTTCGGAACCTTCGAAGCTGACTTCCCGTACATTGCGACCTCTTTTGAGAAAAAACATTCCGTGTCAGTATCATACCACAATGGCAGCAATAAGCATAAAGATGACAGCACTTACTTGAAGTCGCTCTCTCGAACTGGGGCATCCTCTTTCCCCGGGTAGCCAGGAAAGAATGCGTCCTTGAAGCCTGGACCGACAATCAATTCTGTCCCAGATGGGAACGTGGAGGGGTCCCCAAGATGGTCCCAGTGCCAATGACTAGAGCCAGATTTGTTTCATCAGCCCATGGATGTTGCAGACCTCGTCATAATCAGAGCAGAAACTGCCAAGTCATTGTACACACCTCCAAATAATACTGCTAATCGAAGCCGGATCAACCTGATGGTCCCTCAATATCTCCTCAACATGTTTCGATGCATTTATCTCCCATCCATTCGTCGTCAATTTGTCCATCACTGCAGGCGAGAATTCACGCCAGTTCGGCGGCACGCCGAGATCGAAGAGCGCTTTTTTGCCCGTGTCGCTCTCGACGAGAAACGACCAAGTCGGCAGATCCGGCATCATCTCCATGCCAGCAATGGGAGGTGTCATCAAAAACTTCAATGGTAGATTTTTGATCGATGTCGTGGTATCGATGATGCGGACGGACGCCACCGCACCACTGGGAACGTTGAATAGTCTGCTGGTCGCCATCTTTGTTTTTGCTCCTAGGATTTGTGTTGCTATCTGGCTGTGGAAGACAGGTAATTTTTCAAGAGGCCTATAGATTAATAAGACTTGCTCTCATAAAAGGACTATCTACTGACATAAATGTCAGATACTAAGCATAGCGTGAGATATCTCACTGCGGGGAAACCACTATCTCGTGAACATCATGTATCATGGTCCCCCTCCCCGCACCGGCAATTTGACGTCCTTCAATGACAATGTGGTCCACGCTTGACCGGCAACGAGAAGAATCACCGGCGGAATTGCGATAACTGACGCCAACTACGCCAGCGACTCTCAGTTTGCGCTATCATCGTTTATGCTGATATGACGTGGACGATGGAGAACGACATACATTCCTACCAATGGGGTGTGTTATGCTGCATTTGCCGATCTATTATCTAAGGGCCCAGGATGTTCCTTATGGCGTCAAAATGATCTCTATCCCACCGCTTACTGGCCTCCAGTTCGCCATATCTCCTGAAGCCGTGCGGTACGCCCTGGTAGACATTGAAGGAGGTGGACACCCTAGATCTGGTCAGCTCGGTCCAGCCAGTGATTGATAATGTTTGACTGATGCTCGTACCCAAGTCGCTGTAGTTTAGCCATGAATAAAAATGACTGATCTCGAAGAATGTCTCGGCCCGCGATATGGAAGTGCGTTGGTGGTGAGCCTCGCAGATTCTCGTCTGGCTCCAGAAGAATATTGTACAACCGGTCCGCCTTGGCCTCCTCGCCAAGGAGGGACTCGAACAGATCCAAGCGCGCGGTCGGTAAGAGAGGTGCGAAGCGATTCTCTTCGTAGGACCCTTTGCCAGGTAGTATGAGATCCACTGGGAAGTTTGCCGAATGGGAAAGAACTGGGATATCCAGAATCTGACCCCTGACCCGGTTCTTATCGTGCTGTTTGGAAGGATTAGTCCAGCTTCTTGTGCGGCCTCTCGTAGGGAGGCTTTGTAGAGCATACCTTCTCGCGGTCTTGTAGTGCCACAATGGCACTGAGGAGACCGCCCGCTGATCTTCCTGCCACCAACACTTTGTCGGGATCCCCGCCCAAGGCGTCAATGTGCTCGAATACCCAGTCCAGACCGACCAGGGCATCTTCACGTGGTGTTGGCCACGCGATCTCTGGAGTGTGACGATAGCAGACGTGGACAACGACAATGTCTAGGTTCTTCACCACATTGAATGCATGGCCATCTTCTCCATCGAAAGTCCCGAACAAGAAGCCCCCGCCGTGGAACCAAACATAGACAGGACGCTTTCCCGGAGTGCTGTCAGTTGCCTTTCGTTTGTAAACACGTAGAGTAATGACATGATCCGAATCGACCTGTATATCGAAATCCTCCTTCACGACATCGTCTTTGGTTGCGGTTGGATTAGTGTATTTCTCTCGAAAGGATGGAAATCAGTATATAGAATAAAAGTTCTCCTACCGACTCCTTGGACCAATTTCTGAGCCGCTAGTGCCCGGGTTTCGTTGGTAAGTCTTTGAAGCTCGATGGGTGTAATATCTGCAGGCAATTCAACTTGTGGCTGTGACTCTACCAGCAACTCCCACTCCGCTGCAACGCCACCATATTGAGAAAAATCTGCCATCCTCGTCTTGTGGATTGGTTTTGTTGATATATGGCTGTTATGGTGTACAACACGTAGCAATAAGGATGTGAATTACGGAACTTAAAATTCTTGATTTAAAGGTGATCAGGAGTCACATCTGGAATTTATATTGCGCCTTGCCAAGATCTCATAATTCAACCCAGATTTGAGGATGGCCCCGCCATGGCCTTCCTTGTAACATTCACATTCCAGGTCTACTTGAACATCACGGAGAGGCTTCAAAGCTTGAAGTTGACAAAAGTCACATCAATCAAGATCTTGACACTTGACTCGTGGTGAGTTGACATCTCAAAGTGAAGTCATCATTGTCAACTGGAGGGTTGTTCAAGAGGCTGCCTCTAGCTGGAACGTTCGGACAATCGGTACCATTTAAACGAGTGGCTCCTGCGTAGTATACGGTCACATTTTCTTTCTTCCCATAATTCTTCGCTGTGGGTTGGGATATTCGCAGAAGATGGCGTCTCCTCTCACTGCACCACCAGTAGCGGTTGCAATCATCTACGTTTTCGGACTTTCGTGGCTAGCCGACAGATGTGGTGTCCGCGGTCCTTTCATCCTGCTCCATTGTACATTGTGCATCACTGGTCTGTGTATAATCGGATCTCTGGATTCAGCAACACCATGTTATAGAGGGATTTTCCTAAAACAATCCGGTGACAACGGCTTGATTGTGACTCGGTTTGCATGGAGACAGAACAATATGAGAGCAGATGCCAGAAGAAGTGTCGTGACGGCATTCTTCGTGATGCTGGCAGGAGTTGGGGGAACTTACAGTGCGTCGGTGTTCAGACAAGTTGTACGTCTTCAATCAAGATATCCCGTGTTGCTATTTGGAGGAATATGCTAACTGCCACTAGCTAGGACGCTCCCAACTATCTCCCCAGCGATATTGCGACTGGCGCACTGACACACCTTGCGGCTGTTTTGACTTTGATCACCTCGCTATTATTGATCCGCGCAAATCGCCAAACTGATGCGGTAAAGAATAACGAAGGAACATCATGCTGCGAATGTATAGCTTAAAATCCTCGTAACTACCCACCAAGGAAGAAACTTTTCAATCATACAGCAAGAAGATGACAAGGCACTGGTACTCGATTGGAGAGGATGAGAACTGGATGGAGGGTGTGCATGTGAGGTGGATGTACGCGAGGTAAAATTCAACTGCGAGGTAGATAGTACATGCTGCATCAAATTGCACGCATATCAAATCTGCTGATGTCTGTTTCGGAGGGACAGCTCCTACCTGGTGATAAAGCGATTCAAGAAAATTTACGCTATGGCGATGCCACCGGGATCGTTAACAAAGTAGAGCCTTAAATCAAGTAGTAGACACACTTGAACGGGCAGCTCACTGGTTTCTGGATGTTTGGGCCGTCTCAGTCTTCGGTGCGTGATTCTCCCTCTCTGACTTCGAACACATGCCCCCATGGAAATTTGTTGAGGCTGAGCCGAGCCTCCTCATGGTGATCTGAAGTGAAGACCTCCGGCGACCAAGGCAACCAAGGCGAATATGCGGAAAATCGCCGATGCAAAGATTGCGAGGGTAAATCAAAATGGATTGGCGATGTCGAATGGCGAACACATCAAACGAGATGCATTGGTCTGCGCCACAGGATTCGATGTCTCCTTAACCTCCCAGATACCCCATCATTGGTCGCGATGGGATCAGTCTCAGTCTGACGGACGGGCGGTCTAAGAACATGCCATCCACACATCCGTCCACAGCAACTCCGAAATTCCCCACTTATTTTTGGCAAGGCTGGAACCTCCTATTGAAATTCCGAAAATCACGCGACTTACCAGATTCCGCTATTGACAGTGTCTCTGGGCCCCAATGCCCCCCATCTCCCACGGCAGTGTCTTCACAATCACCGAGCAGGCCTCGAGCTACATTCTGCAACGGATTTACAATGCGCAAACGGGAGGTATCAAAGCATATCCAGTTAAACAATCGGCTTGCGACGACTTCGTCAGTCATATTCACCATTTCATGCCGCGTACAGCCTGGGCGGTCAAATATAACTAGATCATGGTTCAGAACGGATCCGTCGATGGACTTGTCTTGGTAATCCGTCCAGGTATGTTGTCTTCGCGATTACTCAACAGAGGGGTGATGAACACTCGGAAAAGCTGTTTAGCATTCATTATACAGGATCGAGGATACATTGGTTCCATCTCATGGAAAGACCAAAATTCGAGGGTTATGAGAATACCTACAAGACGAAGAAGCGATTCCAATTTCTCGGTAATAATTTTTCCACCAGGGATATGGAGGGCGGGAATGACACTTGGTGGGTAGCACGAGCTGGAGAATGGAGTTAGATTCGTGAAGACTCATAATCAAACACAGCAGTCACCTCAGTTTCAATCCATCCACGGATACTGGGAGCGTCATGAACTTGTCTTGTTCCTGCGCATTTATTTGCGGCCATTGAAACTCTTCGATAGCAGAGACTGATTACGTCCACAGAACGCAAACAGGCCCCTTTCTCAAAGTCACATCATCTTCCCCGAGCTTCACTCTCCCGCGCACCTCTTTCAAGAACCCACTCTCAGCATCTCTGTCAAACACAATAATCTCTTGCTCGTAGGCATTCGCCACTGCCACAAATTGGTTCCCGGCATCATTCGAAAGTGCAAACATCCTCGGCGAGTGACCAAGGACTTTGCTCGAGCCGATCGGCGTCAAGTGGTTTTCTTTGCTCGATGTATCAATGCGGTAGATGGAAAGCGTGTCGCTGTCGAAGTCGGCGACCGGGTAGAATCTGTTGGACGCGTAGAGGAATTTCCCATCGTCGCTGACGGCGACTTCTGCGCCGAGGAACCGCTGGTGTGGGTTCGGCTGCGTCTTTGACAATGGGATGGTCTGCTTGAGGTTGATTGTGAGGGTTGTTTTGTCCAATGGTTCACTGAGGCTGTAGTTGAGGTTGAACACTCGAATAGTGTTATCCTTCTCACTCAGCAGATAAAGGTAAGACGTCGTGGAGTCGATCTTCTGTATCGCGCTATGGCGCGGCCCAGTTTTGGGTGGAAGCTCAAAGGACTGGACCTTCGTCAAGCTATCTAGACCATTCACCGAGTACACATCCAGCTTATCAGCACTTCGCAGCGGTACGAAGAGGAATTTCCCAGTCGAGTCGAACCTGGCTTCATGTGGATTCGCAAGCCCCTTTCCGTCATTGACACTCGGCCCTTCTCCGTCATAAGAAACAGTGAACGTCGGCTCTCCGGTCGCGCCATCTTCAGACAACGGAAATAAAGAGACCGTGGAACCGCTGATATTCGCCGCGGCGAGAACTCTTCCATCCGGGCTAATGTCGATATGCACGCCCCCTTTTCCCGTGCTGCGCTGCTCGTTGATCAAACTCAGGCCTTTTCCGGGCTCCGAGCTACTAGAAGTCGCAGACTGCCGAAAGGCGAACAAGCCCCCAGATTCGAACGATTCATCCGGGTAGTGCAATCTGCTGATGCTGTATATCTTATCTTGATGCGACGCGAGCCAGCCAGGCATTTTCCCAGCGTCAGAAAACGTTGAGATGACTGAGAGAGCCTGACCTGCATCCTGGACATTGGGCTGGAATGACAGCTCTACGATGCCAGTGCTTTGGAGAGCAACATACAGCGTTCGGGATTTCTCAGCGTCCATGGTGGAGTTTGGCATCTAGTGGTGCACGGGTGGAGTGAAGTTGAAGCCTTGTTTCTTGATCTTCCACGTTTGTCTTCGAAAGTCTCTAAAATAAAGCCTATAATTGTCAGTGTTGATACAGGGGATCGAAAGACCTGCAAAGGCGCATCGATTATATGCTTGAAACTTCCTCCGGCGCTCATCAGAGCGAGTGTCCAACAACATTGCCGGATGCCGTTTTTACTCCGATTGCGGGATTCGCAGTTCGCAACGGGACCACCAATCTCGAGGTGCGACTCTAGGCGAAGTTGCTGGTTAAAATCTATCTTCTGGACGTAAATTTACTTTGAAGAAAAATAACCATGCCGAGCGAGGTCCCGAGGTGAAGGTGTGATATATCAGTCTATGTCAAATCTCCACCGTGCGGAATGAGCCGTATGCAACCATCTTCAACCGATAATGCATGGTAGTTGTTAATCCCGAGTTCAGACTCGCACCCTAGGTACTCAAAGTATTCGAACTCTATTACTGAGTCAGAGGCACATCTCACGGCCACAACATTCATTCGTGACAGTAGCAAATACACCGGAAGTCTATAGCACTATCCATATCTGGATAGGAGAATTGGGGTATCAATAACATCTAATCTAAGAATAAAAACGAAATACCGCTGCAGAAAGAAGGCCTCCACCCATCAACCAGCATCAAGACAACGCCCCGCAACGAACAACCAAAACACATGTTTTCCAAGCCTTTGGACACTTTCACACCCCAAGTCCCAGAAAAAAAAAGACCCTAAGCCAAGGTCCCCCGCTTAAACTCCCTCTGCTTCCTGGCCCGCAACACGGGCAGAGTATTTTCCCTGCCGGGCAACCTTCCAATCTCGACGACCAAGAACCTGACGAAGTCCCTCAGGACCCAGTAACTACTATGGGCGCTGAGCATGTTCAGATACTGGATCTCGAGGGGCCCGCCGCCAGACTCGAGGAACCAGTCGATCTGGCCGTTTTCATTCAGCAGATACATTCGCTTCTCGGCGATCTCCTCGCGCGTGAAGTTGTGTGTCTCCATCTCGACGGTCGATGGCATTTGCGTGAGTTCTGGGCGTGTGGTGCTGGATGACGAGGGGTGGTTGTAAGAGTCTGACGTGGTGTTGGAGGCCCATCGGAGGGTGTTGCCGATGCGGGTCATGAAGTTGACGCCGGTGGTGGGAATGACGGCGGGGAGGAGGGTTGAGGCGTAGAGTTGGTCGACGGATGCGTTTTGTAGGTACGAGATTGGGTCGTTGCGGTGGCAGATGTTGTAGACGTTGTCGACTGCCATGCAGCCGTATTGGGCTTCGGACGCGATCCCGGGTTGTTGGTCTTCGCCTTCCATCCCGGGTTTACCTCGGCCTCTGCGTGGTGTGAGGCTCGCATTGTTCAGGAGGAGGAAGAATCCCGAGGGACTTCCGCAGCTGAAGAGATTGGTGGTGTCGAATTCAAATATCTTCTCGCTTGGCGTGTCTGGGTCGAACTTTATGTCTTTCCCCAGTCTTGTAGGTTGGCGACTGAGGATCTCCATCGCCATGACAGACCCAAGAGAGTGGGCGATTAGATGCACGCGACCGTGTTCCTCGAAGCCGGGATTGTTGTGGCACCAAAGTCTGTAGACTCGGTTGGCTTCACGGATCACTGCCGAGGTCATTTTCTCTTTATGGTGCGAAAGATAGTAAGGTATGTCGAGCATGACATCACTGATTAAAGACCGAACACCTTGTAGACTGTCAGGGGTGATGTCCTTGAGCTGATACTGATTGTTCTGCGATACATCAGATGTTTTGCTCTCCTCGTCAAACGACACAGTAAGTCGCCAGTTTACCGGTAGAACCATCATTCCAGAATTGTCCTTGAGATTACCCTTTACGGCTTCTGTTGACAACTCAACGTTGAACTCTCGCCTTAGACTGTTGATCGCATGGGTGAAGTGGAAACTGTCAACCCGTTCAGATAGCTTCTGTCCAATGCCGTGGATCACAAGGACAAGATCGGCCACCTTAGGTGTCTTAATGTCCTGTTCACATGCAGCACAAGACATACGGCGGCCACGGGTAGTAGCATCACCTGATTGAGACATATAAGCACCTACTTTGGCGTGTGCGGATTTAGCGTTGATTTTGGGATCGGGATGAATTTTCAGCCAAGCTTGCCGGTCGAATCCACGAACCACGGCTACGCCTATCTGTCTCCCCTTTCGAATCGCGTTGAGAGGTCGACGGTTCTGCCGTTCTGAAGGAAGCGAGTTCGGTCTGAGAATTTGGGCATTCTTTGCATCGACATATACAACACTGTGGGTTAAGAAGAGGCGTTTCTCCGTGGATCGACTAGGATCTGCAGCCATGTTCTGGGTCGCTTTTGGGAGATTGATATCTGTGGACTCTGCAGAATCGTTAGGATTTTGTTTTGTCCCTCGATCAGCTGCAGTCGATGGCCTGCTATTGACTGCCTCGTCAGGCCATAGCTTATGAGCAACCTTGAGCTCAGCTTCAGCTCCATTATCGATGCAAGCCTGTAGTTCTTCGCGATAGTGTTCGGCATATGGCATCATATACTCATAGCCGACTTCGAGGCGATTAGCAACCTCTACAGGAACGGGCAACATGGTGTCCTTGTAAAACCATGTTGCTCGGATGACATTGGAGGTGTCGTTGATTGGTGACCAATATATCGGCTTCATGACGAGTGTTGGGACTTCAACAAGATGAAGACGAGAGACTCCCACAGGCACATACATTTTCTTCTGCTTGTCCTTTTTAGATTTATTCTGGCGATGTCGACCACTGCTGCGAGAGCGACTTTTGATAGGTTTGGAATCATCTGCTGAGTCGTCGGCTGATGATTCGGTTAAATAGCCGGTGGTATTGTTGAATGAAGAAGTAATATTGCGGCCACTAGGAGCACGTGCGAATGGTCTTCCACTGATATCTGAGCTTGTTCCAGCAAGTGTTGCAGAGGCAGCTGAGGTAGACAGGTCAGGTATACTAGGCTTGAGTTGGACTTCCCTGCTCGCTTTCCGCTCTTTAGATCTAGACCTGTGACGAAAAGGGGAGAATCGTCTATGCCGACCAACAGATGTCTGCTGATGGTCTGGATCCTCACAACGCAGCTCTTCCGTATCTACTGGCTTAGGACTACCAACTCGACTATCCTGGTTGTCATCAAGCATGACCGGCAGGTCTGATTGTTGCTGTTTCTTTCGACCCCATTTATTGGACCCGGGTGATGATCCTCTTCCTCTGCCCTTTGAAGAATCTGGCGACCTGAGACTAGACGAGGCACTGGCTTTCTTGAACTCTGGAAAAGAGAAGACGCCACGGATGTTGGGGCTCGTTCCTCTTCCACGCCCGAACCTCGAGTTATTGGCCTCATCTTTCTGGAAGGCAGTCCATGCTTCTTCTAGGGCGGCATTGTCTCGAACTGAGAAGGGTTGAGGGGGGAGATTGATAGCCTTATCTGCGGAGATGGGTGGCAGGGGCGATAGAGGGTCGTCGATGGGCAGTGAAGACACATAGAAGAACTGGGCCTTGACATGCGGTGGTTGGCCTTCCGTGGTCACGGGGTCATCTTGCTCTTCGTGAAGAGCACACGTAGGTCCGAAGGAGTGAGTATTTTCAGCCATGGTGAACATACAGCATCCGTATAACAGGACTAGGCTCTTGAGGCGAGGAGAATAGCCACACGCCAATTCAATGGTGCGTTGTCACCGCAGAGGTACGGAATTCAAGAAGCGGTCACTCGGTGTTATGTACGAGTTTCCGTGTCAATAGCGGTCAAAGTTTTGCGAGAGAAAAAAATATGAAGCATTTGACAGGTAAGAGGCCTTCCACAAACCTCTCACCCGTCCGATCAAACTCACTGAATTGCATTGCGGAAGCCTGAAGGTTAAAGTAGAAGACACGAATGATGGAGTGTCAAGGCAACAATTTGGAAAGTGACGTATGTTATTGCCTACTTTGGTTTAGTCAGGTATATCATATCTACGCAAGTTACTGATCACCCTCGTCCATGGACGCTTTATCAGAATCACAGCAGGAGGAGGAATTAGTAGTGGCTAGATGTATATGGTGTATTGTTGTGTGTAGCTCGATATCAGCCATCCACCCACAAAACAAGGGGTTCACTTTCACTGCTAATTATTCACTGTATCCTCGCGTCACCCGAGGGACTCCACCCTAAATATACATAGGCCTCTAGACAGAAGCCACTGATCCTTTTCGCCAAAGAATGATCTATCTCCATATGTCCAAGAGCATTGGTCTCGTATCTTGTGCAGAAGCTGGGCTGATGGGTCCCTTCAAAGAAATGCACCTATCTTTGGCTGTTGTATTTCTGTCCACAGTAGGCGATTGTGCCTATCTTCCACCTCCCCAAAGGACGCGATATGTTCGTCCGTCGAAAACTGGAGAGTTCATTGGATGTCCTCCATCAGCGACAGCTGATTAATGTTGATATCGAGGCCTTCCACCCCCTACTCGAACTCGTTGGCCTTGCTGCTGAGTAGCAGTCCAATAATCAAACCAAAGAGACCCAACACACTGGAGAAGATCTCAATGACAAGGACCTTGACGAACATGCTCGGGTCCGCAGCATCGGCAAGAGCAGCACTGCTACCGTTGATACCCACACTGACACCGCAGACGAGGTTGCACATGCCGACCGTGAGTCCAGCCCAGAACAGTGCATACCCAGTGTAGTAATTCGACCCCGTGTAAAGTGATTCTTCGGGTACCATGGAGAGTTTAGAGGAGAAGACGATGGACATGATGACACCGTAGATTGCGACGACCTCGCAGAAAATAATCGAGATCAAGTTCTTGGTTCGTATTCGAGGCGCCTTGACGCCACCTCCGAGAATGGATGATCCTGTGATGAAGATGCCCCTGCGATAGTATCCATAGGTCAGCCAACTGCGCAGATGGTGGCATTTCACCCGCATATTCGCGAAGCAATTTTCGAGTCCTTACCATGCTGCACCAACAACTGATAAGCCTATACATAAACCAATTCCTAAATCTGCCCAGGCGTAGGGAGACACGGTCTCTAGAAATCGTCCAACCTACCACGTTTCAATCAGTCTGGGGCAGCACTCGGCGATGCTGCATCAATATGGCCACGTACGTTGAATTGTTCACCTTCACCGTTGAATAGCATATCTGTAGGATAGTCAGCGGCCACGGCCTCCTGCATGATTCTGGGGTAGTATGTAAAACTCACAAAGACCAACGACACCCAGCGCAGCGGTGGCGCCTCCCGCCGGATAGTAGAGACTCATTTTGAGCCTTGTTACCACTATCAACAGACCTGTCACTTGGAGTTGATTCTGGGGAGAGAGAAGAGATGTTTGTCTATCAAGTCCCAAAGCTCATGATGCGCAGGCCGCAGCTCTGGGGGTGATGAGGGTGTAGAGGTTTTGAGGAAGGTAAGCCGAGTCCGGCTAAAAGATCTTCCACACAACTACGGGTACTACAGATACCAGCCGAGTCTACAACAGATTATCAGAAGTTACAGGTGAACAAGAGCAGTGGACGGTGATCGAGAAGGCTGACATTCTAGGTTAAATGGTAATGGCTTCAGTCTATTATATTGCCTAGCCTTCAGCCACTAGACACCAATTCCACACCTATTAAAGCTTTTGATCCTTGGAAATCTAGCTAGGGGCTTTGGTAACTAGACGCACATGCCAACACCCGTTTTCTCTGTCGTGCAATGGTTCGTCCTTGGAGCCTAGATCACTCCTCTCTTTGCAATTCATCTCTCATATCCAAGCATCATTCATTCAATGGATTTCCAAAAGGCAACATTGCTCTCAATATCTGCCCTCCTATCAATCCCTGCTTTCATATCCATTGCATACAATCTGTGGTTGTGTTGAAGTCTGTGTTCCATATCATATCGGTATCTCGCAGCCCTCTTCAAAAGCTCAAAATCATTCTTGCTACATGCCTCATAAAACAAACGTCTCATTCGATCGCTATAAAGCTGGCAGCTGATGCCTGGAAGGGCCTGTGTTCGCTGAAGCACTGGAACTTGCCTGACTGTTTTGGAAACTTCCTTCGCAATAGGTCGATCTTTCCATGGCCACACAACCTCTTCAAAGCATGCCTCGCAGATGGTAAGCTCTGGAAGTTCCGGATGGTGATGCCATAACTGATGGCCAAGCATGGTGTCTTTTGCACAGTCTCTATACCGACAGAGACGCCAAACGCGGTCTAGAAAATTGTGGATATCTTTGGTTCGAAGTTGGGATTTCTGTTGCCAGTCTGCTAATCGCTCCAACTCATTAAGAATAACAGGCAAGTTCCGGCTACCAAGATTCATGTTGCATACCTTTTCCTGCGCCAATTTTCCTGTTGGTCGATCAAATAGATAGGACTGCAGATTTGGAAATAAAAGGTCAACATTCCGGACACATGCGGAGCAGACGTCGAAATTTTCCACTGGCTTATTCATCCTGGGATCATTCAGATGATACCATTTCCTCAAGTCATTCTGATTGCCATTACATCTCTTAGTTTCTGGTGGTGGATCCGAATTGATCTTCCACAGAAGCGTGAGATTGGGATTCTCCTGCTTCATGGTTCGACTCCACGCAAATCGGATCCATGGATTACTCATTGAGCATGCAATAGGTCTGTAAGGATCCGACGAAAAATTTGGAACGAAGTAATCCCTGAATGGGGAGCTCCCAAGATGATTCATGCAAGAAGGACAGAAAAACATCTTCGGCATGTCACGAAGAGTGTACCAATCATGGCACCCAGCCATGGGCTTAGACCGAGGACAGGGAGGTAACGTGTTATTCTTGACAAGTGGATTGGCGGGAGGAGGAGGGACTGGCGGTGATAGAGGTGAGAGGGGAGATGAAGCAAGGGGCTGTTGAGGTTGTAGATGAAGTGACTGTTGACCAGGCATAACTATCGAGCTCGAAAAGGCACGAGGAAGAACTGCTGGTCTAGATTGTTCAGGAGAGTGTGAGTATGACGATGCCCGTGATGCTGCTCGAGGAATCTCGACATGCGTGGCTGGACGCGGAACAGACCTAGGTAATAAGCGATCATCCTGGACAGCGTAAGTTGTTACACGGGGTGATGGACCTTCCTCACGATTTGTGACCGAGTTGTGGCGCGATACCGGCACTGATGATGGCTGGGCTGGTGGCGTAGTCTCATCAGAAACAGGCGAAGGTTTCCTAGATCTTTGACCACTGCTTGGCCGACTTAGAGAGCCACTGCTTGGAGAGTCGACTGACTGGGCAGTGCTTGACCGAGACAAACTGGGAATAGCCTTTACCGCGAGAGAAGCTCCCAGAGTTGCTGCCCCAAGGAGAGTGGTCAGAGGTTTCAAGTCCTTAAAATGCCCTTCATCCATAGAAGGAGGCCGAGATCGTTGCCGCGACGACTTCGATACCTGAGATGGTGGTTCGAAATATTCTCTGGGTGCTCTTTCACCTCGAGGGGTGCGTGGTGGACTCCGTGGCGGAGATGCCATTGGTGAAGCATGTTGGGACGGTGGAGCGTTTTGCCTTGACCGTTTGCTTTGGTTTGCTTCAAAAGCCTTTTCAAAATAATCTTCCATGGCCTTGGGATCTTTAGGTGCCTTTTGAGCAGCCACAGGGCTTCGAGGACCTTCAAAACGGTTTCGCTCATCAGATGTTTGATACCCACGGTCACGGTCGCGATCACGACGTGACGAAGAGGCTTGTTGAGGACGAAGCTCATCGTCTCTGTTGAGCTGGGAACGTGAAGCCCTTCGTGATCTGAAGCCCCGAGCCAATCTCCTTTCGTCTCCAGATTCGTATCTTCGACTATGATTTTCTTCGGCAGATGAAGTGTAGGGCGAGTCAGTGGCACCCCTCCTCATTGGCTGGCGGCTTGAGATGGGGTTGACAGTGGCTTTCAGATCTTCACCCGATGATCGAGTCGATTCTGTAGAGGGTTTTGGGGTTTGAGGGGGGGTGATGTGATCTTGGCTAGTGTAACTGTACGTGCCATACCCACCTTCAGCAGGGCCACGGCTTCGATGGCGAGGATAGTCACGAGAAGATCTTGAGTCAGGACTCTGTCGCCGGCGCCTAGATTTCTCCCGTCTTGGCTTTTCCACATCAGAACGATCAGAATGTGATATGCTAGGTCGAGCAGCTCGACTGCGACTTCGTTCACTTCTCCTCACTCTGGGTTTGTGATCAGAATCACTGCTGTCATGAACCGCGGGACGAGCCCCGGGATGAACAGAAGCCGGCCTCCTGGGTTGATGTGCAGACATTGGAGATAGTAAGGTATCATTGGGTCGAGGGCTCTGAACCATTGGCTCTGCCAGCAAAGTGGACGAACGAGCATGGGCATAAGGTGAAGGAGCACGACGCTGACCAGTTACCATGCCTTCTAGACCAGCCCCCAAGTCTGTTTGAATCCGATTAACCTGAGGCCTGCCCCGAGTGTCATCGGGCTTGAGTTGTGTGGTGGACTTTGAGCGATGTACGATATCAGGCCGACGAGTGGTTTCAGGCTCTGCTTTTGGCTTCGGATCATCTTTAGCAGAGGGAATAAAGACAAACCTCCGCTCATGATTCTTGGCCCCTGGCGGGGTGACGGGCTCTGGCGGTTCGTCCGGAGAGGAGGTATCTGGGACGAGAGGGTATAGCTTGCCTTTCCGAGATGTCTTTGAATCTTTGTGTTGTGCTGGACTCGGGTTCTCAAGAATCACGGGATATTGATCAACCTCCCCACGACTGCTTGCCGGTTGGTCATCACTTTTCAGCTTTTCCAGATGTACATCAGGCACATGTTCCTTCGCTAGCGAGATATCCTCGTCCTCAACACATGGGGTGGGAGGCCACTGCACCATCTTCATGGTCAGGTCGACTGGTCAGTCGTGTATTGGGGCATATACATCGCAGGGATTCACTCAAGAGGCCCGAAGATGTGATATTCGTGGAGATCAACAGAAACTTAGTAACAGGTGGGAAGCCCAAGTGAAGCGGAGAGGTAGAGCACGCTTGGCTACCTTTAGAGACGGTTGCCGAGATATGTTTCGTTCCTGAAGCAATTGATGCACTAGAGGGCGTCGACTGTTGGGGTAGTTGTGTTCGAGATGTGTTACAGGAGGCGCAGGTAGTGTAAGAGGGGAGGTCGGCCAGATCGAAATCAGCAACACAACTGTGGCAGAGTAGAGCCGGAGGACAACCGAAGGACAAGAGGGAGACGCAAGCGACAGATGCACGTTATCCTTGGCTCAAGGCCAGGTGTGGAGAATGGTACAGGAAGAGGTGGCAGATCGGAAGTAAGAGGGGATGGTGAGTGCAGAGTGAACTGTAGAATCAAAGGATCATGAGTTATGGCCGTGTTGGATGAGGCTTGTTCGGTAGTGAAGGGCTGCAGTAGTCGAAACTGGCAGCGAGTGTGTCGAGGTTGGGGAGTGGTCGTTCTTGCACGCGAGGCCGAACGCGTGAGCAGTGGAAAGGCTGTCACATAAATCCAGGATCGAAGTCACCGGAATACGAGGCGGAGCGTAGCATGAGGCACAGAGGCGAAGGTCACACAGTTCATGGTACTAACAGCGGGCCGTGAAAACTGGAGGACAAAAGGTGCAATCCAGAGGGGCACCGGTGTTGAGACTTCAACGTACTGGATGTCTGCGTGTTTGAGGCAAGGTGGAGGGATGAGACGACGAGCATGAAAGCGGTGAGTACTCATACGGAGGAGCTGGTAGGGATTAAAAGGTTCGGCAGGAGGCTTTACGCTTGAATAAAATTGGGGATCATCAGGGATGGCGCGTCCGGGACAGGATTGGTTGAAGAGTAAGACCCCAAACACACTCGCATTAATCGGGAACTCTGCAGGGTGAACAGCCTAATAGTGCCTATTGTTTAACGAGGATAACAGCTGTTAAAGACCCGGGGGCGCCCCCTCGGCCTACAGTACTTAGGTGCCTTGTACCCAGGTGGTCGTGACCATTGGCACTCCCCACACTTTCCCTGGCGCATGGCTTTGGCATGGATTGAATTAGGCATGGCCAGTCGTATCGACCCAATCCCTCTCCAATCGTTTCCATCCTTCTTTCCCCTCTTCAAATCACTACGCATTCCATGACATCTGCTGCGCCCGACTAGTTAACAGGCAGTTAGACATCACCCAAATCAGAGTTGGACGCGGACTTAGGCAACGCACAGTCATTCCTTCCGTTCTTCAGTGAGCCCTAAAAGCCATGGGTCTGAATCACAGGTCTCGGGCCTTACTCTTCAGGCTCCTGGACTTGAAACTCTTGAGCCAGATTTAACACTCACCAGATTATGGTATCGTATCCAATTGCAAGCGTACTCAGATCTACTCGGTAGGAGGTACCGTCTGTTTGCTTACTATACGGAGCACTCGTATGTCTGCCTGTGATGTGTGCCGAGTCTCCTTTCTCGCGCTGCGGGCAGAGGTCCGAACCGCCACACTATTCTCGACCGACAATCCTTCGGCCAGGCTACTGTACAGCCTATCTACTTCTGACCATGCAGAATCACCTAAACTACATGGTCCCAAGGACATGACAGTCCATGAATGGCTGAGTACATTATCTGCTGACATGGCTACCCTTGAAAAGGATAGATACGTGTCCTTGGTCAAGTCTTCTGCTGACATCTGATAAATATCAATGCAGCGTACTTTAATGGTGGCAAAAGCTGAGGCAATGAGAGAAAAATCAATCGGCCCAATTTGGCCACCCAAAAGATCGACAGAAGACCCAAGAAGTGGCTGTTCACCTGTATCCAAGGCTCAGCCGGGTGGCTCTATTTCAGCAGCGCCAACCACTCACGTGTGTCTTGTTCCTGATGGCACTGGTAGATCGCCAACCCGAGCATGCCACACATCATCAACTGCAGGACACAGGTTGGCCAGCCCTGTGATTTGTTGTTTCTAAGCATGCGTCGGCCAGTAGCAATCTTCTATCACCGCGTCATGTCTACCCAAGCCTTGCTGGAAATCGATTAATAATGGCGGTATTCATGAATTGGTTTGCAGTGGAGAGCAATTCCAACACACAGGTAGGACCTGGCTGATTGAGCGACATATAATCTGGCAAATGCCTAACCTTCCGACACTATCCAAAAGATCCTTGCGTCGCAACCTTATTCAGATATCCTGCCTCGCAGAGCACCGCATTCTCTCACTCGTTACAGCTGTATGGAACTTCTATCAAGCGGGTTGGGCCGCAACAAGCACAGATCTGGTGTTGCACAGAACATCACCTCGCTCTGCCTTGTTGGTGGAACTTTTGTTTCACTTTGTATTGGAAAGTAAATGGTAAGACGTATACCGGTCTGAGCACGTGCTTGTTTTGGAACCTTTGCTACCAAAATCGGGCACCCTGAGTCAACTTCCTCTTTATAGCTAGAGTCGGAAACGACCGCCATGTGTCCATGAGGTCTTCCGATATGCCAGCTTTGGATGTTGTGTAGTCTTCAGTGCCTTGAACGACACCTGTCTCTTGGTCAGCCTCGTTTTGCGGGTGCGACGCCCGATTATCCTCATGTATCGATATTTGGGCGGGAGTTCCGGAAAGTCCACTCAAAGATACTCGGTGCCTCATTTCTGATGCTGTGCCGCCGCATCACAAACGAGCGGCGTCATCCCACGTCTATGCCTCCGATTTTGATTATTGATGTGCTGACACTCTTCAAAAGTGGGATGTTGTTGTTAAAGCAGAATTGGAGCGATATCATGAATACGAAGTGTGCTACAGTGCAAATTGCAGTCCCTTCTCCAAAGCCCTGCATACTGGGCATATTGTCCTCAGGAGATAGAGACAACTATGGATGTTACACAACTTGTCCTCGTACAAACGCCGAAGATCATGAGGTCATTGCTTGTCCAAGGCGTATTCTGAAAAAACCCCGAAGAGTACAGACTCGCCTGCGCGTAATTACAAATCCCTCGTATTTCAGTCCTGGAACGAATCTTCTCACTCGTCCATGAAGAGTGCAGGCGGATGCTTCTGCTGAGATGTTTTGCCTCTATGATGCTTCTCCAGCCTTGAAGGTGGCACAGACAAAACTTGTACGGAAAAGCTGCATAGAATCAGTCGTGTTACAGTTCTGCTTACCCTTCAAAGCCGACTGTGAATTGTTGTCTCCAACGCTGATGCATCGTTTCAGCCCGCTGACACGAGGCTGAATCTGGAGCCCTCACCCCAATCCCCGTCCACGGCCACCAGTCGGTGCTAGCACTACGTTGGAGCCGAGGTACTACCTAGCTCAGTCGAGGTATTGGTATCTCATCTTTAATCCCTCGCCACCGGCCTCATCGTCGACCTCCACCGGACTTTACTTACTACACACGTTCAAACTCCACTTGGATTATGAAATCACGGTGAGTCAGGGCAGAATACTTCTTTCCTCCCAAAGATCCACATCAACTATCTGGCATGACCTGGCGAGCTGGACGAATGATACCCCTCATTGAATTTCCCCGCATGTTCAAGCCGCGAGCCGTCTCGGGCCGTGTCAAGAAGGTTGCTCCTGATGGATTTTTGCTGTTGGCGCTTCTACCTCCTGGTGGGTAGTATGATTGCATTAGAAGACATTAGCGAGTCGCTATCGACGCGTTGTAATCACCACCTACATGATGGGAGAATCTAGAGATATTAGTTTATCGAAGGATCATTGATCTACCATGTACGGTGGAATTCAGTGCGGGGAGACCACCTCAACGGTAATGATGAAGGTAAGTACTTGGAGCATGGAGCATATAGCGCACCCATAAGCACTGAGTTTTCTCATGGCTCTTGAGATTGTGGTTGTCGTGAGGAGGATCTCAATCGTACTGTGTGAAACATGAGATCGGTAAACAACCTCAAATTCGGCCTTTTTCTGCTCCAGGTGGCCGCTGCACTCCCATTTACGCGTCGTAACCAAGAGGCTGTTGCGTTCTCCGACCTAGACTATTTCACGTCTGAGACAGCCTTTTTGGCAAATCTTGGGACCAGAGTCACCGGCACGCCAGAGCACAACGTGCTAATTGACCATATCAAGGGTTCACTCGAACTGTTGGGGCTGCCAGTCTACGCACACCATCTCAACTTTACTTATAACGATCAGTTGATCAGCCCTCCAAAGCTTGTGGTCAATAATGCAGAGCTTGAGATCTCCTCGTATCTCCCTTACTCAGGAAATACCGATTTTGAAGGGCTGACCGGGGAGCTCGTTGACCTGACGGGGTCGAATGTCAAGGATATCAACTGGGCACGGGCAAAAGGTAAGATAGCCGTTGTCAACATCACTGGTGGGTTACAAGACTATCGAGACACACTTGCTCCATGGGCCGGCCAGCCTGACTGGTATGTTGCGACAGGCATACCGCCCACTGTGGCTGATGCTAGAGTTGGAAACCTCACACAGGCAAGACAGGCTGGTGTCAAAGCGGTCATCCATCTATGGGAGAACATATCTACGGGTAGTGCATTTGGTCAATACACTCCTTTTAAACGACTTTTTCAGGATATGCCAAGTGTGTTTGTCGCGGGTCAGCCAGCCATGGCTGTGAAAACGGCTATCAAGGAGAACACGACGGCGACTTTGACATTGCAAGGTAAATTACACCCCAACACAACGACCAGGACAATCTACACAGTCTTTGCAGGTAACAAATACCCAAATGAGACTGTGATCATCAACACCCACACCGACGGAACCAATGCCCTGGAAGAAAATGGATACATTGCTATCATGAGCTATGCACGACACCTTCTTGCAAATCCACCAAAGCGCACTACTGTTCTCGTCTTTCTGACGGGCCACATGCATCAGCCAGCCTTCAGCACTCGCGGCCGAGCCATGCGGCGATGGCTCGACGATCATATCGAGTTCTGGTCTGGTGGCGACGGTAACAACATGACCGCAGTAGCGAGCACCTGTGTTGAACACCTCGGCGCACTCGAATGGGCCGAGGATCTGTCGAACGACACATACTTCCCTACAGGTCGATTGGCCGATGAAATCCTGTACGCCAACACCCCGGAGACGCTGGCAATACTGCAGCAGCACTGGAACGGCGCTCGTGAAGGCTTCCTGCGGGTCAGCAACCCTATCCCCAAAGGATTACAATTCGGTGAGGGTCAACCTCTAACGGATGTCGGTATCCCCAATATCGCTCTCGTGACTAGTCCGCTTTATACGGTGGCGGAGATGCCACGAGACTTTGATGAGAGGAAATTGATTGACATTCCTGCGATGAAGAGACAGGTCGACAGTTTCTTCCGTGTTTGGGCAGATATGGATACCTTGGAACGAGATGCGTTTGGTATCGTTCCTCCAATGGTGAGACCTGCTTAGCAGCGATAGATAATGAACACATTGCACTCCTTTCCTCGGATCTGTCCGAGCTACAATGCCCTCGGAACAGCCTTATCTTGCTGTGATGAACAGTCAATCGTTGAATCCAGCGATTCTAAGCATCCGGATTCAATGACGCCATCCCAATGACACTGAAGGCTGAACAAGCAATGATTTCAAATCGAAAGCTATGGTTCGCTCCAAAGCCCTTTCGGCAATATTCTTAACCCAATGTTGCCAATGTTGCCCAATGAAATTCAGCTGAGCTTGTACGACACGACATTCAAAGTCAAGCGATATCGGCGACAACAGGCTCAGTTTGCTTAGCTAATCTAACAGCGAAATTCATCTTCCCTTCCTTCATCCGCCCCCTTCGACATGGGTAAATATCTTCTAACTAGGCAAATGCTCGACTTGGTAGAGGAAGTTCCACGGGACAGCAACCGCCGGACAGCGTCCGGAATCACGACCGAACACCTACCATAGCCGAAGGTCTGTATCGCAACCCTCACTCCGGCTTTGAAGGGCGTGTATTTGACAGATAGGGCCGGCCATCCAGCCTTATCCCCTGAATCATGGGTCAATCGCAAGTGAATGTGGGGAATGGGAGGGGCTGAGGGGGATGGGCACTGATGGAAGCCCGCGCATCACCGACTCCAACGGGAGTTTGGTCAATTCATCTAACATATCTCCGTAAACTCCAATAAATATCAAAGAGACTTCTACTAAACAATTTCAACTCTGTCTGTGTTTTGTCAGCTATCTTTGCCCTTCGCTTGCACCTTGAAGGCACAAGTATTTAGCAGTGCTCAACCATCCACCCTCAGTCCTCAATTCATGTCCCTTTGCTCCCTGCGCAATATAATCCCATCTTCGGCCCACATCCGATTTCTCAAACAAGTCTCAAGAGCGGGGATCTCTCATCCCCAACCACAGATTCAGGCCGTGACAGCACGTTCTTACAGCATCGGCGGTAGCACCTCCCAACTGCGGAAGAATACTGCGACCAAACATCCCCTCCTCACCACGCAGAATACCCCCAGTCTTTTTCTCCAGCCAACCAGCCAAAGAACAACCCTCAGAATGTCGTCATCAACAAGCATCCCCAGCACGCAAAAAGCGATCCTCGTGCACGAGAACGGCGGCGCCGATGTCCTCAAATACACCGAGTCGCACAGCGTGCCGACCCTGTCGAACGGGCAAGTGCTGGTGAAGAACCACTTCGCGGGCGTCAACTTCATCGACACGTACTTCCGCTCCGGGCTGTACCCAGCGCCGGGAGGATTCCCGCTGATCGTGGGCCAGGAGGCGTCAGGGGTGATCGCCAAGATCGAAGGCGACAATGCGTTCGGCTTGAAGGTCGGCGACCGCGTCGTCTGGATGGCCGGCAAGGGCTACGCCGAGTACAGCGCCGTGCCCGCCGATCGCGTCATCAAGATCCCCGACGGCATCTCCGATGAGCACGCCGTCGGCGGCTACCTGATGGGCATGACCGCGTTGAGTCTCATCAAGGAGGCGTATCCCGTGAAGAAGGGCGAGACCGTCCTCGTGCATGCCGCCGCCGGTGGCATGGGCTTATTGCTGTGTCAGTTGCTCCGCGACGTGGGCGCCACGGTCATTGGGACGGCGGGCGGGCCCGAGAAGACGAAGCTCGCGAAAGAGAATGGCGCCACGCATGTCATCGATTATAAAGCGACCGAGGGCCCGAGCTGGGTCGAGCAGGTCCTGAAGCTTACGGATGGCAAGGGCGTGGACGTCACGTTCGATGGTATCGGTAAGGATACTTGGGAGGGCAGTCTGGAGGTCGCCAAGCGGAAGAGCAAGGTCGTGTATTACGGCAATGGTATGTTATCTACCTTTCCCATCCCCTCCTCTTGATCTCGCTTTCGTCTCGTGTGCTCTAATGAACTGGAACTAACCATGAGTTTCAACCACAAAACAGCATCAGGTCCTATTCCGCCTTTCAACATCGCCAAGCTCTCGGCGAAGAATGTCTCCATCATGCGCTCCACGCTCATGAACTATATCGTCACAAGGGAGGAGTTGGAGTTCTACGCAAACGGTGTCCTAGACTTGATCAAGGCCGGGAAACTCAATATTAAGATCCACAAGGTCTATCCGCTTAGCGAGGCGGTCACGGCGCATAAGGATCTCGAGGGCCGGAGGACGACTGGCAAGTTGCTGTTGAAGTTGTAGATATTAAGATGGCAAATGCGATGGATTGTGGCTCTTGAGAATGTGGGCCGGAATTGGGAATGGGCCATGAGATCGGAACAAGCGGCTGGTAGAACAGAATGGAGAACCGAAAAAAGAAAAAGAAAATAATTTTCCAACCTGAATCTTATGTTTATGAACAACTGTGACTTGAAGTCCTTCGTATTGTTCAAGGTTCGGTATTCCGATCTGGATTGTTCTTTCGAGTTGATCCACATGTGATGTGACACGGAATTCTGTTAATATACCTGCCAGGACAATCCAAGCACATTCCTGTATACTTGAACTCCTGATGCATCATGACCGCCGACAGATTCTGACAATCGCTTTGCCTTGGTGATCGGTTATTCCCTCGCTGCCTTTGCAGCCTGAACAGCAGCATTACTTGTTTTCCTGCTCGCAACCTATACTCCGTATTTTCTTCTCATGACACATCAGTCCCGTGACTGTCCAGGATTCCGGTCAAAGTCTTCTTGCATGTTTTCGACAATCATAGTCCGCAGGTCTCACATGTCCGCAACAACAGTTCAGCGGGGTTGATTGTCGGCATACTCCTGGACCTCGTGAAAGCCATAGATCGGGGTTCCCATCTAATTGGAGGTAAGCACCCAGCCATAGATACAGAATTGAGAGGATTCTTGGAAGTTTGAAGATGTTCTGCAACTTACTCCTTTTAGCGCGAATATGACATCCATGGTTGTGATGGTCTGTGGAAAGTAATGGGTGTCAGCAGCTGCTCAACGCCCTTGTGGTCAAGGCTTCGATGGTTCTTGGTCGTCATTTCGACAAGATAGAGGCACAGCAACCCTCGTCAAAGACAGACGATGGACGATTCGCTCTCCAACCTGTCGAAGTGACTTTGGGGATGGACCATACCTTTCTGGCCCTTGAGTCATCTCCGAGGTCTCGGTCCGACGCATAGGCCTGCATAGCGATAATGATTCTTCGCAAGATCTAGAAAGCGAAGAATGAGAAAAATGATTAGCAACGACCGAAATGTGAAGGGAAGCCGGACTCCGATTCATGATAATCATTGACTCGTGAGAAAGGCAGGGTTTCGTTCTCGGAGCGAGTCAAGGTAAGGGGAGACATACCGCTTCGAGCTTTGCTTTCAATGCACCACGAATTGTGTCGTAGATATCACTTTGGATGCGATACACTCCTCCTCTGCGTGCGAGGCGACTGCGAACAACCGAGATTGATTGTCAGTGATTCTGATCTTGAGCTTACGGGAAGTTGACGAGCCCTGCTTTGATGAGCACATACCGGATAGCGGGTTTGGCTGAGATTGGCAAAGGGAGAGGTTAGCATCTGTTGTTTCTCTCAAGCCTTGTAAACATTCAAGTGAATGGATTGAACTCACTGATGCCCATTATTGCATCGGCAGGGACTCGCCGATGTCTCTTGGGGATTTTGGCGCCAGGTAGGATCAGGCCACTGGCATTCATTGGTGTCGGGATCGGCATCGTGACCTCTTACCGACAACGAACTGCGAGCTGATCAACACTGTAATTGTACAAGGAGGGCTGTGTAGAATCTGTCGTTGTGATGATCAAGTGTGAGAATGCGGTTTGGTGGTGGTATGGATAAGAGAAGAAGTGGGAGGGGAAGAGTATGAGATGAGAATATATAGCCCAAGGATATCCACATGTCAATGGACAGGAAGTGAACAACTGGAGGCAAAGTGAGAGTGAGATTAAGGTGAGAGGCCAAAGTGAGAATAGCCCTGAGACGAGAAGGGTCGAAGGTGAACAGGCATCAGGCATCGTTGACGAAATATTAGACATTAGAAGGTACTTGTGTATATCCAATCGTAGGTCGTTCAGCCATCCAATCTATGGTCATTTGTACACGAACATGGGATCATCATGCTATAAAGGTCGCTTCCGAGAAGAGCCTTCCAGATTCCGAGAATTCCTCATCCCCAATCTTGATTTTCAGAGTGAGTTCATCTTTCGAGATGTACTGATTGTCGTTAGTGAGCGTCCGGGCATTGATTATGATATTTAGACTTACCTGGAAAATGTGTGGCTTCAATCCTGTTGCACCACTAATGAAGGACTTGACGAAGCCGGGCAGATGAGCAAGGACATCAACTCGATCCGTCCTGGCAGGCAAATCGCCATTGATCGATGCAGTCACTGATTTACCGTCCTTTTCACCCTGCCATTCCCAAGAAATGGTCTTTGGTTCAGGCCAGTCATTCTCGGTCTCTTTGACCGAAGTCACATGTTTGACAGAGGTATTTCCGGCGACGATAATTTCTCCGTCCTTTGCAATGCCACCAATGCTCACACTGGTTCTTCCATAGGCAAGAGGAGTTGTGAATTCCATGAGAAGTGCGGAATATGTTGGGGTTTGGAAGTTGACAAAGTTCCACTTGACAGCAGCATGGTGGGGTTTCATACCCTGAATGGCATAGGAATATAAAGCCTTTCCATCAATTTTGTAGGTCTTACTGGGGGTCTGCATAGTGCCGGTGACAAGTGCTCGAGGCCAGAATGCATGTCGCATATGACCCCATGGATTTGCCGGATCAGTTCCGTAATAAGATGTGCCATTCTCGCCGATTTGGAAACCGGGACTCTTTCTTGTGACAGTCAAATTCACAATACAGGATTCATGGGCAGCCGACTTGATTGTATATGTGTCGCCCGCCTCATTCAATTCTACCGAGACATTCTCTGCGTAGAAACCGGTCTGTGGCTCGTCAAAGCCATAGTCACTCAATGGACTGGCACACCAAAGATGCTTTCCGGGTCCGTCATGGTCCCAGATCTTGGAGTTGAACTGGGCGGTTGTATGGATGCCTCTAAGGTTGTGTCAGTGAAAAAATTGCCGACCTCAGGGCAAGTATTGCATACCCGACGTTACTATAAATCAGCTGGGCCATTGAAGTTGTTCCATCATCGCTCATGAAGTAGAATGTCTGGGTCTCGACGTTGGTAGTCTCCATGACCCTCCATTTGAGGTCATCTTTGCTTAGTGTCGAGTATGGAACTTTTGCGATCTGGTTGGTGACGGGTTGAATTGCGGTGGGACCGTATTCGGGTTCCTCGGTGCCGACGACATTAGCCAACTGTTGTTTGAACCAATTCATATTTGATGATGGTCTCGGAGGAGTGATGGGAGGTAAAGAGGACAAGAGGGAAGTGGTAGCGTGTCGGTGTGCAGGAATATGGGCATCTAATAAGGTACCAGGAATTCAGTAGTAGGTGGTCGGTAGTCAGGCCAGGCAAAACGTCACGAGCGACAAAATGATGTTGGGGATCCAGTTTCTCGGTGCCAGTCACGGTGACCAGGCTCGATGCCTAGGTATTCTTTACAGGCGAAGGATACCTGGTATGGGTCCATCGGCTAGGGTTCACAGGCACAAGACAAAAGACTCGTTGATCCATCTTGGGCCGTTGACCAGACGTTGGCCAGTGTGCCTGCGGCTGCACCTGCAGGCTGCAGCAACTGTCCTGGGAGGCTTGAACCGCCGTAAGCAACGTGGTTAGTCATCTGCCTGCAAGCCGATGAGCTATCGAGAATTGGGTGCACCTAGAATGACTTTAGGGTTGCTCGCCAGGCGACTTTAGGTAAAAGCTGAGTGCTTCCTTCACCCGTGAACAACCCGGACAGGGTTCGTTAGGCGGCTCGGCGGCTTTTCACTAAGCGGGAAGCCCCGGATAACACCACTTGCAAGTATTAGCCCTCTTCGTGCTTTGATTAGCGTGGTCCTAAGGGGAATACCAGATTCGGCAGGCCATCAAGCTTCAACTTTCATATCCCAGTCCGAATCATCAATTCTTTTTGTTCCACACGACTACCTCGCAACGTACAAGCCCGGCTTCATCGCGTTTGGTTCACTTATTCCATTATACTCACTCAGTTTCGTTCTGCATACTATTAATCATTACTGATACATCAACTGGCTCTCAACGTCAATCGCCTGATTTATCCCTGGTCTGACCAGTCCTGCTTCCTTCACCTGTATCAAAATGTCTAAAAAGGTGGCTGCCACGGATCAGATCGTCAAGCTGATAGTTGGTGCCGGTGGTGCAACACCTTCGCCGCCAGTTGGTCCGGCCTTGGGTAGTAAAGGTGTCAAGGCCATTGATTTCTGCAAGGTATACAACTCTTGCCTCAAATTGGTGAATCTATCATGCTCACTGAATATCCCTAGGAATTCAATGCTCGAACCGCTCACATCACCCCTGGTATTCCCATTCCTGCCCGAGTCACAGTTCGCCCCGATCGCTCCTTCACGTTTGAACTACGAACTCCGATGACTTCCTGGCTTTTACTTCAAGCTTCTGGCGGTCGAATGGTCAAGGGCAAGATAAGGGGAGCTCAAAAGCCCGGCACAGAGATTGTCGGCACCGTCTCTTTAAAGCACATTTACGAGATCGCCAAGATCAAGCAGTCCGAGATGCGTTTGTCGAGCTTAAGTCATCGCGCATTGTGCAAGACCGTGATTGCGCAGGCAGCGACGATTGGAATCAAAGTCGTACCTTAGACATGTTATGGCTGGACGCACAGATAAATCGCGGGACAGAGCGCTTTTGGCAAAAATGAAAATGGGTACAAGTTCCGGCTGTTCAACTTGTTCCGGCGGATATCTTACGCATCAGGAGGGAGGTCCAGGCACACCATGCAGGGAACGCTCGCAATGGCAAGCATCCGACATCCCGTCATCGCGAAACATGACAGAGACGTTCAACTTTGCCATTGTGATGAATGCCACGATATTCCCCAGCCAGTTCTCCCTTCCGACCATATTTTGGAGGACTGAAGGCACCCGTGTCCAAAGGCACGCGAAATGTACACGAACTATCAGTGGTTTGTGATAGGGAGCTTTTACCAGCCATCTCGGATGAGGATCAAGTGGTACAGCTTCCGGTCATAGAAGCATACGGACTCCAACCGAGGTACACCTCACAGGTTGAGTTGTCTCTCTAGGACAGCCGAAGATCTCACCACAGAGAGCTAGCATCAGTGACATGACTCTACCCAAAAGTTTGGACGAGAATTATGTCGCACATGGTCACGAGACAGACAGCCCGGAAAGAAGCCCTGAAAAGGTCTACGAAAGGCCAAGGGGAGAAAATGATGGTTGTACAGGGTGGATGGACATCTGCCACAAGAATAGTTCCCACACTCAGCTCGATCATAGAAGGATATACTACATAAACAATTCCATGAGTCTTTCCATGGCAGGTACAGATATAGGTCCTCTGGTCCAATGAATCAGTGTCGATCAGAAAAATGAGGACCTCAAACCAAGCTAACGATATTATGCATCCGATAGTAGGAGACTCCAAGTGAATAACGTTTCAAACATCCGTCATCGATCATTTCAACTCAACTCAACGGCCTAGCACTCCAAGGTCAAGAAACGCACAGAACAAAACTCTCACAACTGCATCTTAATTCAAGCGAACGGCAGACACATCGATTTTACCTTCTTGCCAAAGTGACAGTACCCAAGTTTCTGAAAACATGTCGCCCATCTCCACCCAGTGGACATGCCTGACATCCTCGGCGCGTCTCCAGCGGTCCTCTCAGACGCTCGCTGTGATCGCCAATCAGGCCTGGATCTTCGGCGGCGAATTGCAGCCCCGCCAGCCTGTGGACAACCAACTCGATGTCGTCGAACTCTCCAAGAGTGCGGACTCACGATGAACATTTGAGCCATCAGGCACCCCAACTGACGATGTAGCAGCATCACCGAATATGCAAACACTGGCCGCGACTGATGGAAAAGAAGCACCGACTCCTCGCGTCGGATCGGCGAGCACCGTTATCGGCAATGCCATCTACTTGTTCTCCGGGCGCGGCGGAACTGCTATGGCGCCTATCGAGGAAAATGGGAAACTATGGACTTACGAACCGGCTGCCTCTCGATGGAGATTGATCTCTCCGGCGGACAGCACAGCGCCATATCCCGCCGCGCGGAGCTATCACACCATGACGAGCGACGGCCACTCTACGATCTACGTCCACGCCGGCTGTCCCGAAGCAGGCCGGCTCTCCGACCTCTGGGCCTTCGATGTTGGCGCGAAAGCGTGGAAGACTCTGGCTTCCGCACCAGATCCGCCTCGAGGAGGGACGTCGATCGCCTACTGCGCCAGCCATCTCTACCGCATGAGCGGCTTCGACGGGAAGACAGAGCAAGGTGGGTATCTTGACGTGTACGACCCGGCGCACGACTCGTGGTCCACCATCACGTACCCCGCGAATGGGAAGAGCGGGCCAGAAGCCCGCAGCGTCGGTGCTCTGCTTGCTGTCAAGCTGAATGGGAAAGACTATCTGGTCACGTTATTTGGTGAGCGGGATCCTAGTTCGTTGGGGCATGCAGGCGCTGGAAAGATGCTTGGTGATGCCTGGATGTTTGATGTTGCGGCGGAGAGTTGGGCGAAGTTGGAGCCGAAGGGAGATTGGCCACATCCTCGAGGGTGGTTTGATGCTGATGCTGTAAAAGGGGCAGATGAAGGCAGTGCAGTGATAGTTGTACATGGTGGTCTGGCTGAGGACAACAATCGGTTGGGGGATATCTGGATCCTGGAGCTGGAGGATACATCAGTAGCTCCCGCTCCGTAACCATACTATTTCGGAGGCCACCCACAGCTCGTTCTCTTAACAGTTGAATGTCTCAAGTTTCAAGTTGCAGTGCCTCAAACGGGCTTGGCACTGAGTATCTAGCGAACTTGAAGAACATTGAAATAGCTGAGTTGGCCCTGCATATGCCACCACCTGAATATTTCTTCTTCCTGCTGTCCAGAGACTGCCTTTACCTTCGATTGTGGCATCCTTGAAGCGATCTGTCCAGCCTAATTAGGTGTGTCACGAAGTCCTTCCAGCGTCGACAAAGTCAACTCACCACAATGAGGAACACTGCCGACTCCGCGGGAGAAGACGATTATTGGCTCAACTATGTGTTCCTTCCATTCATCGTCCTTACACTGAGTTGGAGTGTTCGGTCGCAAATGAACAAGCTTTCCGGCAATCTTTTTGCAGCTGCTGAGAGCCGTCCGGTCACTGCGATGGTTCCACCGAAAGGAAAAAGAAGCTCTCCCTTTACTCCAAAGCCCATGAACGACTTGGATGGCGCACCACTACAGCAAAGAACTCGTTGGTGGGCCTTGGAGAAATCGCAGATCATCCAATGCTGCATTGTGCAGGGGTTTCTGGTCTTGATTCTGCACAGAGTAGGACTCCTCCTGACCAGGCGTGTGCAGAAGACGAACAGTGTCACGGAGCAGACGCTCGGTATGGCTCTGTTCTCTGTGATTGTTGCATTCGTGGTGTCGTCGGGCGATGCAACTCAGCAAGCATGGAAAGCCTTGGTGCGATCTTCTAGAGGCCACAACCACAATGGACGCCAGCTACCTACACAGCCTGATCAGACTGATGGCGTTTCTAACCTTGTCTTGTTCGCCTCGTTTAGCTTGGTCATTCCTTGGGTCGGGCTGTTGACATGTTGACAGCCTGATGAGTTGTAAGCGTTTCAGATCCCATGTCGAAATATGGCTGGAAAATTTAACATGCTGAAGGACTCCAAGGCATTAAGTACCCGTTAAATCTTAGAATTAGGCTGTAGGCTACGAAAAGGAGAAAATAAGATCTTGGAAGAAATCCAGTCAGACAAGGCTGAGCCGAGATTGTTGGTGTCCCTAGTGCTCAGCTAGGTACTTTACGCGACGCGTCAGTGTACGTGTTAAGGATCCGTACTCGTACTCGTACAGTACATACTCGGTACTCTATTGGTAAGATCCCTTAGCGGAATTAGACTCGAATTCGACTTAGGCGAAATTGGGTGAGTTGAGTGACGAGTTCCAATCCGATTCCCAAGAGTCGGACGACGCAGCTGCAGAGTAGTATCCCCCCAACGCTGGGAGGAGGTGGCTATGCTGGGTAGAAATCAGGTTCAGATCTGGGTCAACAATTGCTAAGCCGAGTTGAATCGTCGGGACTGGAACATCTTCGAAGCGTGCTGCACTTTCTCTTTTCAATAATTGGATCCTCTGACTGATTGCTTATCATCCTTGCAGTATCTCTTTCTGAGGCGCTCAGATCTCTTGGGATGCGTCAGGGGCCTACGAAGGAACTCCCCAGCAGGGCCAGCTGTGGTGAATCCAACCACGATATTCTCTGGATTCTTGTGATTTACCCCTTGTTTATCATTCTTTTCAGCGTAACTTCCCAGAAGCTGATGAATGTGGTTATTAACAGCCTTCCACTTGATGAGAGCTCTCGACAAGTTGTGGGCGACGATGGCCACCCCAATGAGAAATCGACCACCCTTGATCTCGACTACAGTACAAGCTCAAACGTTTCAACGACAGATCCGCCAACGGATCGCATGAACGAGTTTGAAACCGTCCAAAAACCTACCGATGCTGCTGAACCCACGCCTTTGTCGTCAAGTGCTGACAAGCCACAAGGACACCCGACCAAGCAGCAGGAACGACAAGCAGATGACAATCATAAATCACGGATTGTGCAAGCAAGCATTCTGCACATTCTAGTGGTTGTTATGACACACAGACTAGGAATGGTTGCCACCAGACGAGTTCAGGAGACGAAAGACGTTGTGGAGAAAGTGCTTGGATTGCTCACATTGTCTGTGGCCATCTTTTTTGCCGTGCTTTCGGGAGGAAAACTCGAACATGGAAGGGTCCTCTGGGGGCAAGGCTATAGAGTTAGCAATGACGACGGATCACTTATGCATGGCAAAGATGCATTGACGGCATTCGTTGTCATTAGCTTCTTCTCGTTCGCAATTCCCTGGGTCAGATTGTTGATAGCATAAAGAGGTGCTTGAAGCACAACTGACATGAATTTGTGCATGAAAGGTCGGTCACATGCAGATGAGTCTGGGCCACCACCCATTGACAGGTGAGCAATGGGAAGGACACCGATTGCTGCCATGCGAGGCTGAACCGAGGTTGAACAAGCCCGGTGCACAGGAACCGATGCATTTCTTTAGAGGATTCGAAAGAAAGGCTCGTACGGGGAATTTTGGTGGCACATGGCATGATAGGAAGTTCAATGAACGAGCCGAATACGAATAGATGACCACAGCGGGATGACGTATGGTCTGACGAGCAACATATCGTTCAGGCAGACTCTACGAAAAGGCAGTCGTTGATCGAGTCACAAGTGGCTGACATGAGAAACTGACCGTGCGAAGGGTCCGGGCCATCCGGAAGTTAATGATGTCTTTGGCTGCGACTGTCGCTGTACCCCAGACCGAGAAGACAAGGGATGAGGAAGTGCGGGAAACGAGAGGCGAATGAGCTGAGAAGAAGGAGTTCAATAATAGCATTTCGTGGGTACAGAGATGGAAAAGGCGGAAGGAGGCATAATCAAAAACAACTATTCGTAGTCATCACCACAGGCCATGCTGACACATGTTGGCCAAATTGTGAGAGACCGAGAGAGGAGGGAGACCTGCTAGTAGAAGAAAGACCATGACGCTATGAATTGGCCTCCCACCGGACTAAGATTCCCCTAATTGCCCGCCTCCAGCGTCATGGCTTTTGTTCCATTAGGTATGATTAGGCTTTGAGCTTAGGCTCAAGCTCGGAATTTCCAGTTAAGAGGTCTCGGACTGGTGACCTAGGACATAATATTAGAGGGGACAAGCTGCTCACTACTCGTTACCTAGGTAGGTACCTTGGCCGGATAGCGGGGCAATGATTCTCCCAGCAAAACATGAACATCCCACTACTCGGTATGGAGAACTGTCAGTAGGAATTATTGGTAGCCGTGCCATCCCATCTCATCCCACCTTGACCTTGACCTTCGAATCTCCATCCATCCATCCATCACCATCCCAGTGAGCAGTGCACCACTACCGCATACATTGGCTTGTGCTCAGCAGTACTTTGTCTGATTCTTTCCACTCCACCTGCTCCTCCCTCTCCTACTACTACGAGACTTTCTTCCCCAGCTTCAACCAGCTCATCCCTCCCCGGCAGACGTCGCACGCCAACTGCAGCTGCCACTGCTGTGTCTCCCTGTCGCCCAAGTCTGGATTTTCTCTCCACCTTTCTTCTTTATCTGTTTGGCTTTTTCAACGACGCGTGTATGACTCCAATTATTCCTACTTTCATATGTAAGTCTCGAAAATTCCCCACCAACCATGCTACAGGACCCAATGCAATGCCCTCCATCCTAACAGCTCAATGCCTCCCACTGACACGATCTCCGCAGCTTGCAATCCTCTACTGAAACAGATCTTGCTTCTGTCTTTTACACTCCCATCTCTTACAGTCGAACCCGGCGGCATCGGTCGACTGTTGATGTAGCCATTCGTTATCACCTTTGCCAGAACAACTCGTACTATCCTCCCCACCCAACCAAACCACCGGCATCATGACATCCAGGCTGTCCGCAATGTTCTTTCCAGGGGACGATTCCAAGGATGAAAAAGGTACATGGTTTATCCCGTCTCGTATCGTGCGTAAGGTGGACTAACTGGCGCCCAGAATCGAAGCCTGCTCCTGCAAACGCAGAAGAAAACACTCGTTCAAACGTGCGCTTTGCCGCAGAAGACGAAGAAATAGATCCACTCGACGAGTCAAGGCGCAATTCCAAATTGGGAAATGACACTGAAGAACTCAGCCCTGAGGCACACGAACAAATTAGGAGTCTAGCAATATCCCTACAGAAGTCGAGGCTTCAGGAAAGCAGAATGTCCAATTTTGCCTACGAACCGGTCTCCATGCCACCATCTCGAGTACGTATGCCCACAGTCCAGCGGTAGGTACGTGACACTGATCGACAAATAGGTGCCTTCGAGGGAGAGTGAGGGGCCTGGCACCCCACGTGGCTCCATCCGACAGGGCCACGGTTCTCTGTCATCAGCAGTACATTCACCTCCATTGACACCACATGGTTCGAAAGATGGCAAAATAGATGCTACAACTGGGCGCAGTCAGCAAGCACAAGCGGCCATCACTCCACAGACCTCTCCTCCCCCTGATTCACATGCTCGAGCTCTATCACAATCCATCTCACCAGGCCAAGTCATCTCGAGACCGTCTTCCTCTGAACAGGGTGCTCAACGTCCTGATCATACAGATCCCAAGAAATCAACTCGCTTCGAAATCGGTCCATCAGAATCTGCCAGTCCCGCCGATCAAAGTCCAGTTGGTACTCCAAAGCTAGTCCCAGCCTCGCCCCGTCCTGCCAAAGCATCTTTGACCGAAGCCAAGATCGAACAAAGAGAGCCCAGACATTTTGGAAGTACTGGAAGAAATTCTCTTGCTCCTGCTATCGCAGCAGCTGCCGAGAGGCTTCCCAGACCAGGCAGTAGTGGGGATCTATCAGGTTCGGAAAAGCGCGGCTCAATCTTTGGAGGCAAAAAGGATCCCTATTCTCATGTGACAGACAGTGGTAGTGACAGGTCAGGACTCGGGGAAAAGAAGCATGGGTCCATGTCTGAATTGAAACGATTTTTCAGGCTTGGTGGTCATGGGCACAAGGATAAGCACCACAAACACGACAAACACGACCGACAGCTGGAGTCACCGGCATCCTCTGTTCCTGCCTCACGAAAGAGCAGCTATAAATCTGGCACGAGAACCCCCCCCAGTCAACAAGTACCCCCGTCTAATAACGTTCCTTTCATGGATGACCACAGTCTAGAGGCAAAATACGGCAAATTTGGTAAAGTCTTGGGTTCGGGGGCTGGTGGCTCCGTTCGACTGTTGAAGAGAAGCAGTGACGGGGTCACGTTTGCCGTCAAACAATTCCGAGACAAGCACTCGTGGGAAAGCGAAAAGGATTATTCCAAAAAAGTCACTGCCGAGTTCTGTATCGGTTCCACTCTTCATCATGGAAACATCATTGAAACCATGGATATCATCCAAGAGAATCATCGCTGGTTTGAGGTTATGGAATACGCGCCCTACGACCTGTTTGCAACTGTCATGACCGGCAAAATGACCCGAGAGGAGATTGCCTGCGCTTTTCTTCAGATCGTGAATGGCGTTAGCTACTTGCATTCGATGGGGCTTGCACATCGAGATCTAAAATTGGACAATGTTGTCGTCAGCGAGCACGGCATTATGAAAATCATTGACTTTGGAAGTGCAACAGTATTCCGTTATCCATTTGAGAACGACATTGTTCTCGCTTCAGGTTTGCAAACTACTATTATCAATCCGAGGAAACATGCTAATCGTGGAAAGGAATTGTTGGCTCTGACCCATATCTCGCACCCGAAGTCTACGAGGAACGAAAATATGACCCGACTGCTACCGATATCTGGTCCCTGGCTATTATTTTCTGTTGCATGTCTCTACGACGATTCCCATGGAAGCAACCGAGAGTAATAGATAACTCTTACAAACTCTTCGTCTCTCCTCCAACTCCGGGAACCCCTGTTCCTGATTCACACCCACGCAAAGGGTCACATCTCAGCCCTACTGATGATGGCAACCGAAGACCATCTGAAGCAGAGGGGAGCAGCTCATCTCATCATCACCATCATTCAGACAATGCTGAAAACGAGTCAAGACCTGCCACATCCAGTACAGACAAGCAAGAGGTAATCAAAGGGCCCTGGAGGCTACTCAGAATTTTGCCCCGAGAGAGTCGACACATCATAGGACGTATGCTCAAGGTTGATCCCGCCGAGCGCGCTTCGATGGATGAGGTACTTGAAGATGAATGGATTCTTAGTTCCAAGGTATGCTATCAAGAAGAAAATGGTACAGTACATCGTGCAGAAGGTCATTCGCATGTTCTAGAGCCAGGCTCTGGAGGACCTCCTCCGGCAAAAGTCTAAGCAAAGAAATGAAGGAAAACAAAAGTGGTATTGGGCTTTTGATGGAATCATGCAGTTCTTGATAAGTTTCATACTAGACGCCAAGATTCAGAACAAATTTACGAGAGTTGATTGGTGCTGAAGCAGGTTTTGATGATCGATTGGAGAGAGAGCGAACGCGAAAGGGGAGAACAAGAGTGAGGTTTTTATCGTGCTAAATAATGGCAACCGGGTGGGATATGTCTCTTAGCGAGGCCTTTGAAACTGTAGATACCAGTCGATCATGTTCAACAGGAACGAATTGAAATTTATTAGAACCAACTCAACTATCCAGTTAGTCAAATTCATTCGCCCCCTGAAATGTCAATCCTGTCCTGGAAATGGAAGTCGGTGGAGTAGAGAGATAGATAGCATCAAGGCTGCGATCTATGCCTTGGGCTCCTTGCTTTCTGAATAGAACTTTGGTGGAGGCCAGAGAATTCGTTGGGTGACAATATCATGATATATGAGGAAGCGAGTGGAATTAAGTCTTCACGAGCCACAGGTTCATATACTTCGTACGTACTGTATCTCAAGTGACAAGATAATTTGTCTTGCAAAAATATAACTCACCCGGACCTCGCTGCTTTTATAAAAGAGCTCACCCTCGCCAACCCTCTCGTTCATCCTCGCTTACCTTCACTCACCCTCTTAATACTCTCGTCTTTTACCTTAAAATCTTCCTTTAACCGCTACCCTTGACAGCTGATAGCTCACCTAGAACTAGATTTAATAAATATAGTACATAGATACTGTTTACTAGCTTAGTCAGGAGATTTACTCCCTATGGCTTTTGGCGCGCGATTGTCTCAAGCACCTCATTCCTGTAGTGGGTGTAGATTAGAGTGCAGTGGACCAGGATTGCTGGATAGATAAGTTGTGCACTTGTAGGGTTATATAAGGCGATACGCTTGCGAATATAGCTGGCACTGAGGCTCAATGTAATGAATCGATATGTACGTGATATGGAGGAGGAAATGTTAGGTTTACGAGCTGAGCTGCATCTTACGTCCTTATTCGAACGGGTGTGGTCTAGATGTTTGTCGCCATCAAGTCCAACGCTAAACGCAAACATCAACAGCCCAAGAAAGGTCGCCTCGAAGGATGTGCCTCAGAAAGAAATCGCTTTGTCAACTGTTAAGCACCCGAACCAAGCAGGGTTTTCCGGCCTTAGGAATTCTCGATGTCATCATTAGCATGAGCCCTCTGTCCCTCTTGCATAAATCGGCTAATCTGTTTGTCACCCTTACGATAATGCGTTGATGAGAGGAAAGGAAGAAGTGAACTTAAACGTGTCGAGTAATACTAGTGCCTCAGTGCCAAGTCTCTAGGCAACCGTTTAACGCCAAGTCGTGAGAAATCTTACCTACTTAGGTATCTGCTCACCCCGCTTGCGCGAGCTAGAGGCGAGCACAGGGCAGCATCACCTTCATCCCTAAACCGGGTGAGTCGGGAGGAGATTTTACAACTCTTGGTTATCAGAATACCCTCCTACCTACCTAAGGTAGTCTATGGAAAAATCATTAAAAGGGATATTGTCACTAAATATATTGGGAGAGCTCGCAACGTGTCTAGTGAGAGCGACTTATCATTAAGGAACAAGAACCGACGCCAGCATACATCAGATATTTGCCCTTAGAGCAATCTGCCCCACTGACAGTGGATACCTTGCTCCCAGAGCAACAATCGAGCGGCCAAAACCTGCTAAATTGCGCCCAAACGCGATTCGAGAGGGATGGAGACAAGCGGATACGCGATTTTACGCACTCATATCCTGTACCCCAGGAATTGCGACAGGAAGTACAACGGCACCAAGCATTCAGTATGTCGCCGTTCGAGTTCAATGAGTTGACTCAGCAAGTCTTTCAGATTGGTCACACAACTTTCTCCCACCACGAAAACGCACTTAACGTCCAAACCGAATTCTGCTGGTAGCTCGGCACCGACGTATACGCCAGCTACGAATACAACAAACACCCAAAATTCTAGAGGAGATGGGAATTAAAGCACGAGAGCAACAGTGTTCTTCTGCGCACAACGAGCTTGATAATAGCCAAACGACAGGCCGTCTTAATCAGACAGCACAAGTACTTTATCGCTCCAGGAACTTCACGCGACTACACGGTCTGAAGAGTCACAGACTGATTTCATTACAAGTGAAGCTCTAAGTTTGTGAGATCCCTCGGCGAAAAAGTCGTCGACTCCACGACTGAAGCGCCATGCAAAGTCGCACATTGAAGAACGCTTGAATAGTAGTTCCCAATATGAGCACCAGTTCGAGAGGCTTCAAGCGCTTTCTTGTCACCAGGAAGTTCCTGCATTTCAAAGCTAGAAGATTCACTGGCGACATTTCCAACGATACAACCCCTAAGGTTAAGCTTAGAATCGATCCTCCAGAGGAGTACGCGATAGTATAGGAGTTGGAAGCGTCAAAAACTTGACAAGTGATGCTCAATGTACCAGCGGTGATCGTGAGGTTGATCAGCATACTATCATTATTGACGAAGGGAATGAGGTGGGCTTGCTTGCAACATTCCTGTTGATGGTTACAAGAGCGTTCCGGTCTAATTTCAACGACCAATGGTCCCATTGTCCTTTCGCAGCTCCCTTGACGACTACTGAATGAAAGTGAGTAATTCTGTAGTAGTTTTGCAGGTGATCAAAGTCAACAAAAATATTTCGTAGCATAGTAGTCTGCAGAATGATCTGTGACTTGAGCATGGCCACAAACCCTTAACCAATGTGATGAAAAATGAACATTTCTACGAGACCTTGTGCAACAACCTTTCTGCTGGTACCTTTCTGGACCCCTTCCGGTGCTGTAGCTCTAGTCAGATTCATCATTTCGCATTTTTGAGATTAGGCACGCGTTGAAGTTTGGGGGATGGCCTGAAAGCCTCCAAAGAGGTGGCAATATTGACTACCAATTCTCTGCCACTGAAACATAGAAGGCCGGAGTATGCGGAAAGGTCTTCAATCACTGATGTTGTGTACCTGGTCAAATACTGCAGTAGGGTAGCCGTGTAGAGGTCGTGGTTTCTGTCCGATTACGGCGTCGTTGAACAAAATATCCAGGCCATTGGACTTTTCTCAAGTCCACCACTTGGAACGAAGTAAGGTCTCTTGCAGATATGATGGAAAGACGCGATGCCGAGACATCACTGTGATATACTTGCTAAGCTTTTGCATGTATGCCAGGACTTGCCTGGAACCTCCTTCTTGTCGCAAAACGGGGTCTAGTTCGTCTTCAGCTAGTCTAGATACTCTTATTCCAATGACATATCATGCAAGACCTCCGAAATACTCTTCGCAAGACAGTCTCTCTGTTCAGCCGAGAAGAGGTAAGGCCATAGATCTATCTCACTTCAATATGTATGAGGGCCTTTTCGCCTGTGCATCTGGTCCCAAAGGCGGTGGAGAGAAGGGCCAAACACAGAGTCACAGTATGATACCTTCATTAGCTGATTTCGGAGATCATTGCCGGTTCTGATCGAGGTCTGTTGAAGTGAGATCATTTGATGACAGAAGTTGGAACTCCAACCAGAAACTCCACCATGGATCAAGTCGCCTTCATTGAGACCATCCTCGTATGTGGCCACGAATGATATCCAGGTCAAGGCCTCTAACACTTCGGGACTCGCGATCGTCTTCAGATGCTCCGGATTTCCTGTAAACTGTTCCAAATGCCTCTTGACATGATGAAATGGAACATGACGAGAGGAGAGCAATGATGGATTGGTTTTCGCATAATACACACATTGGTGGTAACAGAGTAAAGCGACTAGAAAGGCCCGCTCAAGACCTTCGATGGAGTTGATAAAGTCATTCTGTGTCCGAAAGAGCTTGTTCTGGGAACTGTCGCAGTAGACGTTGACTATCCTTTGTGTAAGAGCGAAGAACTTCATGGTAAGCCAGCGACGGGCATTATCCATCGTGTTGAGCGCATTCTCACTCATGCAACATTGAGTCAGAATGGAATGAAAGTCCTGGATCTCTTTCAAGAGCCTATCCACAGATGGCTGTATTATGCCACCAGGTGCCAGAGCATGCCGCTGGACATTGTCAATCTTGAACAGATGCCTAGCTTCCGCCAAGTCAGGATTCGCGTGCCAGGAAGGTGTGCCCCACTCGAGGGGCCTGGAAGTAGATCGGGTAAGCATATGGCTCGCAGCTTGAGACTCGCCTACCAGCAACAATAGTCGCACTGCAAGATTCACAGGTCCCACACCTCCCAGAAGCATAACAATATGCCTCATGCCATCCAGGTGAACTCGATAAGAGGGCCAATCGTTCAAGGCAGATGTATACACGAGTAGGCTGGCAGTATCGTATGCAATCCTCTCCAAGTTTTCACCATTCTGTATTCTGACTTGCATGATCATCAATGATCGAGTGTAATATTCTCGTGCAATTGTCCTCAATTTGGTCTTTGCACCATTATCAGGCGCCAAGCGTACGGCTACAGCACTCCCGGCTGCATAGAGCCCATGCAAAGATGCAGCATCCTGGACTTGAGTCTGCGTCCAGAGCGTGGCTGACCCTGGACTTACATGCTCTATCATCTTGTAAAAGTAGCTCTGTTGTAGATAGTGGTATGATTTGTCATAAAATTCAACGACAGATGCAGGGACAGATGGAGCGTTCACTCCGGCCCCTGTGAACTGGCAAAGCCAGCGGTCAACCAGGCTCGACCCTTCTAGCCGCTCCTGGTCAAAGCTATGTTCTGTGGCGTAATAATTCAATGTTATATCGTGTTCTGATGTTCCAATTTCTGGGAGCTGCAGAGCTGTGCTTGAGGCGTTGCTCCTGCTACTTTCGAACTCCTCAGCTGATGAATCTGTGCTGCTATAGGGCTTGCGCGGAGTGCCGCCTTCCCGTGGTCGAGCCATTACAGTAATTTGTTGAATTGGGATGGTATGCGAATCTTGAGAGACGATTTTCTTCCTTTGCGCAGGATGGAGCCGTTGTCGATGGAATGTAGGCTTATTCCAGTTAGCGGTTTGCAAGTCGTTTAACATAGTGCTTTTAGGACGAATTGCAGAGTTGAAAATGCGATTGGCCAGAGACCCTTGAAGAAGGATGCGTCTGCGCCTACGTCTGCGAAGATTGCGCTGTACGTGGGATCCTATCGTCTGACGATCAGGAAACGGGGACCGCCCAGTGGATGCTGTGCTAAATTGATTGATGAAGAGGAAATTGTCAACAGGGTTTTTGTCCCAAGGACGACTACAATGCCCGTTGGAATTCTTGTCCGAAACTGATCTAAGAGAAGGTGCTGCCAACGTCCCCATGTTCCTTTTGGCATGGGCTAATAGCTGGGAGATATAGTTCGTATCTCTGTGTATATATACTCGAGTGACCCTTTTGGGAATGTCAAATTACTTTCAGCATTCCCAAAAACAGCACCAGGATGCTCGTGCGTTCGGAACGATTTCATGCTCTGTCATCAAACCCTAAGTTGAAGCCTGGATGATATCAACTCTTGATGTCGACATCATAGCAGCATCAATCGTCTATCACGACCACCAAATCCGAGACAGAAATCTCCAACATGCTCAAAGAAGTCTAGTGTAGTTCGGAGCTAAGGAGGGGTCCCGAATCTTAGCGAATGATCATCAGCTTTTGCAGCCACACCAGGTACCCAAGTCGACTCCTTAGCCTTCAACTCGCGAGATCGTCTACCGACGGAATGGGAAAGACCCACAAGCTATAAAGGGTCTAGAGGGCAATGAAGAAAGAGCCCCTAAATCACACCCAATAGGATATCAAGTACACCCGGTCACTAATCCTATGCTTCTGACACTGGTTGGGGACATTTGCCAGCAAGGATCGTGTGACTGCAACTTTCAGTAAACGCTGTTCCTACCCAATAGCACTTATTCAGAAGCTGGTCCTTCGTTCTGCTGGTATTCGTTTACAGTATCTCAACAGAAGTTGTAAGTTCGTAATCAAAGAGATCTACGCGGCACATCCGAGTTCCCGTACATAAGTCGCAGTGAGAGTGTGTAAGCCGGGAGCATTACATGCTTATATCAATGCAGTTACGTTCTCGATCTGGGGTTTCAAAGCGGCGACCTCTTTGACAAACCCAACCAACCAGCCGATCTTTGGGAAATGTCTTCGTTGACTCTCTCACTGTAAGATTTGTCGTTATCTCCATGGTTAACTTTGAATACTGAAGCTAGATTTCAACAGGCAACTTGATCCTACAGACTAGCTGCCGGCCATCCTTTCATCACCAGTCAAAGTTCTGAGCACGCAACGTGGGGCGTCTTCACCACCTCCATCGACTCCAGCGAACGAGACATCGTTTCCCCACCACTTAACTGGTGCCTCTCGAAGCTGTACAGTAAGAAAGATGATAATAGCTGCTATTGCGATAGCGCCTCTGAAGGAGGTAGTAAGCACATAGGCATACTTTTGCCACCAGGCCAGGTGTCGCCGTTTAATATAAAAGTTGAAAATAAAGCCGAAAATAAAGGCAGGCCAGATGAAGGAAAAGTTGTAAGGCACCAGAGCCATGCAGCCGAAGAGTATCACCGGGATGTGTATGAAGCGTACGAAAGACTTCGGATATCTGCGAGTTATGAACCAGGACGGAAGTGGAAGAATAGCGCCAACAAGAAATGCCCATTGAAGATTATTGTAAGTTCCACCAGGGCCAAACAAACGCTTGGGGCCAACGACCCCCCATATAACAGCTGAAGAGAAGAAGATGTTCGCCCACGGACAGGTGAAGTTATCTTCCTGGGTCGGTTGACAAAGATCCTTGATGTTGCCCATCTGCCAGGAGTTGACCCCGATTGCGACAAAAGCAGCCAAGGTGGTAGCATAGACTTGAGCTGCGAACATGGTCCGCGGGGGAACTTTGAGATAGTGTCCTAGCTTTAGATCTAGAGAAAATGAAAGTGATTGCGAGCAAACATTGGTGCCGAAGGCTTTGAAAATCATGTTGGCAATTGGTCTGTCGGGCAAAGCGTAGCCCGCAATAAACTCTGTGAGAACGTTTGTATATAGCTGGATGTTGGTGACAGCGTAGATAATTCCAAGAGGGATTTGTAAAACAATGCAGAAGGCAATGACAAAGATAAGTGCCCATATTGGGAATCCGGTGGGATACAATGAACACGCGAGGCAGCCTAGTACGAAGGAGATTAACAAGATAACGCCAAACCACCACTCTGGTACTTCTGGATAGCTCTTCATAAGATTATTGTGAACATCCTTGTGAGCCTCGCGGGGATGCTGCCGTTTAATCCAGGCCGACATCCCGGTTTTAAGCTCTGTCCAGTGATGGAGTAAGACGTAGCTGATTGTCGCTGGGATAGCCGCGAAGCTCGCTGTAAGGAAGATTACATACCCGGCACTTAGGTACGGAGCGCTGTATGTATCGTATTCTGCCATATTTAGCGTGTAATCGGAATTGAGAACTCTTGAAACATTGAAAATAGCCCCGATATTGTCAAATGTGTAGTATGAACTGACTGGAAGGTAAGCAGTGTTGAGCGCGTTGTTCCAATAGAGAAGGGGGGCGATGAAAAATGCAGAGATACATAAGCCGAAGGTCGCATTGGCGGTGCTGATGAATGGTGTCATGATTGGGTCCATGATTGAGGAGACAACGTTCCAGTCGAATGTTGGCCATGGGTTCAGCCCAAGACCACAGAGACTTCCAGTAATGATTGCCAATATAACATTATCGGGGGCAATCCAGGTTGTCCAGTTGAAAAAGGATAAAGCCTGAAATAAGTAGTTGGGTAGCCAGAAATAGATGAGCATGCCAGTAAAACAGTACGCAAAGAACTTCCGCCTGCCTATTCTCCAACCTTGAACCTGTAGAGTTCCATTGTCATTGTGGAGAGCTCTATTCAAGGCAATTTGGGCAAGGCTATTAGGCCAGATCATGGCGGGTGGGTAGACCAGAAAACGCCGCGCAATGCCTGCGCAGGCATATCCCAATAGTTGAGTAGAAAGCGTGAGCATAATGCGGAATCCGATAGAATTCGACAAGATTCTCTCGCCAAAGAACATATCTAGCTTGAGCATAACGAAGATGGACGTGGCATATGCAGTACCGTTGCCGAAAGCCACGTTGGCCATGACAGAAATAAGAATATGCTCTTTCTGATTAAAGGGACCAGGGTTTAAAGTCATGGACCAGCGACCAAGGGCAAAGCGGCGTCTAGGGAGATAACGGGCCATTGCTACCCCACACGGGAAACTAAGGAGCTGAGCAACAGAAGTCGTGATGAAAATGCCAGGATAGCGACTACCGAAGAATTCATTGATACCAGTTCCAAGGATAGACAAAACGCTTCCGAGAAACCATACTCGGAAGGTGTTGACTGGAATTGTCGGGTCATCGGTGGATCTGACAACCGCAAGGACCTCTGTATAAGGGGAATAGTATTGGTCCAGCTGTTGCTCGGCTTCAATTTCTGTCTGAGAGTGTAGTGCCTGTCCTTTCGATTCCTTCAGATTTTGTGCTGATAAAGGGAGACCATGTTGTCGGTCTTGGATGACTACAGTGAGCTTCCTGAGGCCAACAGAGGATCCCTGGTTCGACATTGAGGTAGACATGTGTGCCGGCGCCTCAAACTTTTGATGACTGCTTGCCCCAAGGTTCGAATCCAAGTCATCAATCCACCTCTTCTGCGTCATGGTTGTGCAGTTTGTAAGTTAGCTGCTATGTATGGCCTATTGGTGGCGCAAGAGACCCAGGATCTTGGTAACGGCTTCCAAATAACGTCAAAGGAACGTCAAACTTCAAGCTTGTCATCCGCCCAGTGTCAAAACAAGATCGCTTAGAGCGATCTTAGAGTTGCTACGCCTGAACCTGGGCAGTAAGCACGAACAAAACGAATAAAGCGGACGGCTAGAAAGCATTTCTGTGAGGGAACGACTTGTGTCTCACGTATTGTCAATGGTGTATCCTACCTCGAATTTCTTTTATCATGGCAACTTGGGACAAATGTGAGCAAAAGGCTGGTCGAGTGGGAATACGAGTCAGGCGAAGCGGTTGATCTGGTAGAGAGCCTATCAAATGTGAATCTTCTAAAGGAGTGCAGACGGTGAAGCACTAGTCCCATTGCGTAGAGATAGCAAGCGAATCAAACTCGTACGGGCAAAAGCACTAGAGCAAATCTAGCACTGCGAAGCGATCAAAGCTTGAATTCTGCTGCCTGGCTGGATCCGTGGGAACGCCACTATCTCTGACTAAGCTTATACAGTGATTTGAGGAGCAGGAGCATCAAGTTACCCGGAATTCTGGCTTCGCGAAATTCGGACATTTTTCACCAATTCTAGCCTGGTGTCTGTCTCGAGTTGATTTGGAAGTTTGACTAACGCAATCACCGTCAATGACGACTCGTAGACCATCACCTGGTCTTGAATGTGCGACCGACGACATTGGTGTATCACCGAGTGTTGAGCTCTCCAATCTACCGCATCCCACTAGTTATGCGGCCAATGCAGGTCGTATTCATCCACCATAACCAGACTGGTGGCCGTCTATCCCAGGCAAGTACAACAAAGGCATGGGCCCATATCGGCAAAAGATCTTGGCAGCCGAGACCAGAGCATCTGACATTCAAGATATGGGAACCACAGGAGAAAGATCCTGGTCCTGAGGGATATTATGATTTAAAAGGCCAGGAGACGGTTACGGTCTCTTTCCGCCGGCTCCAGCAGGCGTATGTAGCTAAAACAGGTCTTCAGAATATTGATCCGCCTGAACAACTCGCGCTAGTGGAAAACACCCTGCACAATGCGAAAAAGCATTTCTACCGATGTGCAGCAGAAACACACCCGGAGTGGGACAGATATGTCCAAAATTTCCACAGGGTGAAGTTCAGCATCAAGTTCGGAGTCGACAGTCTGCGTAGCCGGAACTATACCGAAGCATTTGCATTGTTCGAATACGCTGCACGATTGCTCCAAGATTACTTGACCTCGAGCGCACTTGATAATGTTACTGGATTTTTTGACAGCTTTGTACCTGCATTGCTCTATGCGCAATTTCACAAAGCACACGATGTGGTTGAGCTGTTTCTCAAGCAGATTCGCGGCCTCGCATCCATATCTCGTGGTCCAATGCATCCGATTTCGGCCATTGCCAGAAATTTACTCGCATCTGACATTACACCGGACTTGGTCCAAAGACTTATGTTAATCGAAGTCCGACAGTATTACTCGGACCAACCAGGAATTGAACACTTCATACATGGAATGCTATTTGAGTGGAAGTGTTGTGACCTTGGCCAGAGCTATCCTATCCAGGAGGCCGAATATACATACCAATACCTCAATGACCACGCAGTTATCAATAATGACCGCCCTAATCCTCGCTTTGATGGTCAGTTTATCAACATGTCAATGGCACTACTTTACCTCGGGCATTCCAAGTTCATCGAAGCCGCAGCTGTTTTGTCCGATGTGCCTGGTCAATTCGCGGAATGGATTGAGAGAGGTTATATTTTTACTACACCTCCCACAGCACCGTTATCGATGACAGGCATTGTCTGTAGCCTCACATATCTAGCGCGAGCCCTGGCAGGTCAGAATCTACATGAATCCGCTGAAGCAATGTTTCGGATGGCCATATTTGCTGGGCAGAATCATTTCGAGCCTGATCACCCCGTGTCTATCGAAGCAATGAAGGCGGCTGCAGACTATTTTTTCAGTCAGAGTCAAAAGAGAGATGCAGGAGAGATGCAGGAAGCGATAGATGCAAGACTCAAGTCATATATGCTTACGATGTAGGCTCATATATAATATGGGGAGTGATTGCAGAGCTCATCGAAGGACGTGGAAACATTTCTGTCGGTACCGCAGACGATAGCGTGTTCAGACCATCAAAAGCGAAGATAGCAAAATTGACAACGTTATCGAAGAAGTCCAAAATACCCAAGGTGGGTAACTAAATCCTGAATGCCCGAGCCCCTGCGCTGGAGGCTGCCAAAGGTTCTTACTACGAAATTGATTGTTATTTCTGTAACTGCAGACGACTAGTTCATTGTACTAAGCAGAGAGTGGAGGGGCAGGCATGTGGATTTGAATGAAGTATATGTGCCCACCTCTGAGACCCCTTTTCAATAGAGGCAGAGTGGAGTAGAGAAGCGGGACGGTTTTGAAAACGATCGATAATGATCAGGGCAAGCAAGGCTGGACGTACATACCCGTACCGGTGACTGCCGAGATTTACTAGAACAAGGCGGCACTACCCTTATCCCGAAAAGGGCTAGTCGGTCTTCCTGATCTTGGCATTGAGTTGTGCAGGGAAATTTTATTTTCCGCGACCCATCGACACACCAGCCCGCAAGCAAGAACAGCGCATTGACAAGCAAATTGGAACCCATGTTTCAAGAAGCAATGTCTTCCTCGTTGAAAACTGCACCGCAACAATATAAGCAGCCGTCACGAAAAGGCAAGAAGGCATGGCGCAAAAACGTCGACATCGGAGAAGTCCAGCAAGGACTGGAGACGCTTCGAGAGCAAATCATTCAGGGCGGACCGATTGCAGAGAAACCTTCGGAGGAACTGTTTGCACTTGACACGATAGGTTCAGAAGATATAAAGAAGAGATACAAAGTTCAGAAGCCACTGAAGGTCGATGAGATCCTCGCTAAACGCTCCGCCGTCCCCGCAGTCGATTCACGGAAGAGACAACATTCTGCACTCACCGACGGCGTCCTTGAACTTTCGAGCAAGAGGCACAAACCAGACTGGGTAAGCAAGAAAGAGGTCCAACGCCTGAAAAGTGGTCTCAACACTGCATCGAGATTGAACACGGAAAATCTGGACGACGAGCAGCCAGGGGTTGATTTGTGGGCAGTAGAAGCACCGGTTACTGTTCAGGAAGACATCTCGATCGAATATATCCCTAAACCTCGAGCTAAAGTTGCACCTGTCACGCTTCAAAAAGCACCAATACCTATGACTGCGGATGGTCGCCCAGTCCGAGCTGTTCAACAACCCAATGCTGGCACAAGTTACAATCCATCCTTCGAAGAATGGGACGATTTACTCAACCAAGAAGGAGCCAGAGAAATGGAAGCTGAGCGCCTGCGACTCTTGGAGGCCACACTTGCTGCGGAGAAAGAAGCCAGGGTACAAGCTCTTGCTGCTTTGCCGGAGTCGAACCCGGCCGACGATGAGAGTGCGTGGGAAGGGTTCGAGACAGAGAATGAAGATGCTGAAGGACTGAAGAAGAAGCGGCCGCAACGCAAAACACCATCGCAGAGGAACAAGGTCAAGCGGAGAAAAGAGATCGAGCGACTGGCCAAACATGAGAAGCGAATGGGAGATAAGTCGCAAAGGCAAGAAGACGTGATCATGGCTCTGATCAAGCAACACCAGGCGAGCGAATTGGAAGTAGGGAATGAAACACCAGAGCTCGGAGATGGTGACGACCGAGTTTTGCGTCGACGGAAACGAGGAAATGCGCCAATACCGGAGAAAACTCTGGAGGTTGTACTTCCAGATGAGCTTCAGGACTCACTCCGACGCCTGAAACCTGAAGGTAACTTGCTGAACGATCGGTTCCGGAATTTACTGGTGAATGGCAAAGTGGAGGCACGCAAGATCATCCATCAACCGAAGAAGCGCAAGGTCAAGATGACAGAGAAATGGAGTTATAAGGATTTCAGCATCCAGGTCTGAGGGTTGGTCAGGGATTGACTATGTCGATACTCAGATATTGACGGATTCTAAATGTCCACCTTGATAGCGAGTCATGTGATGATGTGAATGAATTCAAGTTTCTGGGTGGTATACCAAAGCATGACTAAGAAGGCTTATTTATGCACGGCGAGTTTCCCATTCTACGATTATTTAGATGGATACCTGTATGCAGAATAATGGCTATGCGAATACACTCTGCATCGGAGTGATTGATGACTTCACCTGGCGGGTAAACTTGAAGATAGCGCAATCGTCAGTTGCAACTCCACTAGCTTCTAAGTCCACTAGCGACCGCATCCTACTCCGTACAATCTCGTCTCCATCCTGTTTGCCAGCCCCATCTTTGAACAACCACTCGTGCTCATACATGTATACTATTTCCATATCTACAGCGCAAGAAGCCGCCTGACCATTTGGCTCTCGTGACTCTTTCACTTTGCATTAGTCCAGTCACGGAAGCTCGGGCGCGCGTCCGCCCATTCAATATGTCACTATTCGGTTCTTCTCCAACCGAAACTGCACCACTCAACTCCAAGTCGTTGTTTGGTGATGAACCCGCCCGCCCTGCCACCAATTCCTCCTTGTTCGCAGACGATGCTGGCGAATCGCCATGGTCTATGCCCACTCCCAAGAAGTCGGCGCGACAAAACCTAGTCAAGAACTTGCTTCCTGCCACCGATGTTCCCGACAGCTATGTGGATGCCTTTGACACGGTGCTCAAGGCGAATGACAGAACTGGGGTGGGTATTGGACTAGCTGGTGTCAAAAGCGTTCTTGAAAGCAGTGGTCTAAGTGAGCAGGAGCAACACAAGATCTTCAATTTCATCATACCGGGTGGCCAGGAAAGTGCCAATGGCGTGGGCAGGAGCGAGTTCAATGTGCTCCTCGCTCTTATCGGTCTGGGTCAGGAAGGAGAAGACATCACTCTCGACAGTGTTGATGACCGCAGGCGAAGTCAGCATTTCGCCATCCCATTCCTCTTTACCATTCTAATTAACCTGCAACAGAGCTTCCGCAGCCTCGCATTGCATACATAGACCGACTGCAGTCCAGCATCCCACCGCCCAAGGGCCCATCGCCAGAGCGAACGAAGCCAACTCCTGCAAAGCCAAACAAGACTAGACAAGATTCATTTGGTGGCGATCCAACTGCTGATCCATGGGCAAGCCCTTCAAATAATAGACTGCCTCCACCTTCTCCAGCTGCAAATAAAATGCCCACGAATGGTATCCCGGTGGATGTGGATAAAACCGCATCCAACGGTATTGTCAGAACAACAAGCACTTTCACGACTGAAGGAAACCGGTCAAGTCCCGACAGCAGCTCTCCAGATAATACCTCGTCTGGTGCAGCAACTGGCTGGAATTCCTTCAATGGCAGTTCAGGTGGCTTCTCAGAGCAACCAACACTTGGTGGAGGATTTGGAGACCCTGGTGATGGCCAAGGGCCCAATCTTCCTAGCCATGGGTCACAGGGTTCAACCTCTCAAAGCCTCGTCATCCCGACAGGCACTGGTGAATCCGTGATTGTGTCTATGCTTCCAGAAAAAGAAGGCATGTTCCTGTTTCAACATCACAACTATGAAGTCAAGACCATCAGAAGAGGAAGCAGTGTTGTGAGACGATATAGTGATTTTGTTTGGCTTTTGGATTGTCTACAGAAGCGCTATCCTTTCAGACGATTACCTCTGCTACCTCCCAAACGAGTGCAGTGTAAGTTCTCCCACTAATCTCCATACTTCTGACTCATGCAACTCACAGTGAATGGGACTCATCTTGCAGCCGATGCCGCTATCTTTCTTGAGAAGAGAAGAAGGGGACTTGTTCGTTTTGCGAACCAACTCGTACAGCATCCAATCCTTAGCCAGGAGACTCTGGTGGTCATGTTCTTGACTGTGCCCACAGTAAGTCTCCAATTGTTTCGTTTCGGGTCCAGGCCCAAGATTCAAAGAGAGGGAACTAATATGTCGTTAGGAGCTCTCTGTATGGCGAAAGCAAGCAACAATTTCTGTCCAAGAGGAATTCACTGGGAAAGCTCTGCCACCGACACTCGAAGACAGCCTACCATCCAGCCTACCGGATCTCTTCGATCAAGTCCGAGTTGGCGTCAAGCGTTCTGCGGAAATTTATATCAATCTATGCGTTCTTTTGGAGCGCCTCATCAAACGTAATGAAGGTCTTGCAGCTGACAGTGCCAAGCTCAGTCAGGCTTTGGGTCTCCTCACAGAAAGCAGTCACGACACATATGCCATCGACAACAATGATGTACCACTATTGAATGAGGGTATCATATCTACGGCGAAACATGTGTCAACAACCCAATCTCTACTTGAGGATGAGGCGAGAGCCTGGGACACTGGTGCTCTCGAGGACATGAAATCAATTCGCGATAGTCTCGTTTCGATGAGAGATATGTTTGATCGACGAGACCGGTACGCTCGCGACAACATTCCCCAGTTGGAAAGGCGCATCGAGGCTTCCGAGAACAAGTTACAGCAACTGCGACAAAAACCACCAGCACAAATCAAGCCTGGAGAGTTGGAGAAGGTAGAGAGCAGCATAATGTCCGACAAAGAGAGTATTGTTCAACAACACGCCCGAGGAGTGTTCATCAAAGAGTGTGTCAGGGATGAAATCCTTACCTTCCAAGGATCAATTTACGCTATCAGCCGTTTGCATCAGGATTGGAGTCAAGAGCGAGTCAAATACGCCGAATTGCAAGCTAGCAACTGGAGGAGTCTAGTTGATCAGGTCGAGAGTATGCCTACGGGAGAATGATCTGTCCCTGTTGAATGCAAACATGAGCGATTGTGGATAGCTTTGTCCTGACCTTTACCTTTCCATAAATGGTATACGGCGTACAATATCGGTGGCGTCAAACAGTCTTTGGTTCTGAGAGCAATGAGTATATACAATCCTTCACGCTCTCCATCACATCCTCAGAGTGGTGGATTATAGGTAATTTGCAGGATTGGGAAAGGGCAGCAAGCACAGATGCTTCTTTGGGGAATATTGAGTTGGAGAGAGCAGAGATTTTGACGGCTGAACGTCACTCTCGTTAGGCAGCAGTGGTAGTAATGACCGTCCAACCTCACCTATTTTTCTAGCCTACGCGCCACCCGGATTCGCAGCTCCAGCGCCTAAATTCATACCTAAATTCCTACCCACCACCATAAGCGAAATCCGTAAGCGACGTCAACCGATTTTCATCAACAACTTCATCAATTCATCTTGATAATTCAATTCCATCAGGGTTCCTTGTCGCACTGCTTCATAGAACACTCCTGTCAACATCAGTCGTATTATGGTCGGCGGAGGCGACCACGCTGCCGACGCGACAGGCACGCCGGAGCCGGTCATTAAAGGTTTCGCCACGCTTGCACAATTGCAGTAAGTTTCCTTTTATACATCCCTTACAGATACCTATTTTCGAGGAAATCTACTGACGCAAGAATTGTTTCTCAGGATTGGCGTCAAGGCATATGTTGAAAAGGTTTGTCTCAAAAACAGTCCTCAACTTTCTATCCCAATCACGTGATTTGGAAATTTGGGCCGAGCAGAACACTGACCTGAGAAATGAACAGAATGGTGAACCAAGAAAAGCAGAAATCTTATCAATCAAGCAAAAGATCGGTGCTTTGACGTTCTAGTATGTGTCAATTATCCCGGCTGCATATGGTTGATCGACTAACTCGCAGCCTACAGTGTGCATTATGTCGAGTTCAACAAGCGTCTTGATGGTATGTGAACCCACGATTATAACCGATCTATTACATATCATATCAGGACAATGCCGCTAACCTTGAGATATAGAATGGGTCTCGGCGGACCGTATCGACTTAAGTCAAGAGGTGGAATGGCCCGCGCCGGAGAAGCCAGAGAAGAAGAAAACGACAGTGACGAGCAAGGCACCGCCGTCCAAAGCTGCCACCTCCAAGAGTATCACAACTACAAAAGTCCCAAGACCTCGCGCAGACTCCAGACCTGGCTCTGCAACCCCGGATCTCCTCAACTCCAAAGCGGGCAATGACAGGAAACGACCCCAACCATCGAAAGCAGGCGGAAAAGAGAACCAAGACGATGCTATCGCCCCAGATGGCGATGCAAGCCTTTTCACCACGCAGGCCGGCACGCCTCTGCCCGCGCTCAGCCAAGATGATAGCAATCTCAGTGCCGCCGGTGGAACACAGCAAGACGTGGAGATGACGGACATGCTGACGAAAACGGAAGAAAAGGTCGCCCCGATCATGGAACCAGAAGAAGAGATCGAGAAGCTACGTACTGGTGGCAGCATGGTGCAGAATCACGCTCAACTGCACCTGGTGCGCAATCTCGAAAAAATCCAAATGGGCAAACACATCGTCGAACCCTGGTACTTCTCACCCTACCCACAAGAATTCGCGGATCTGGACATGGTGTACATCGACGAGTTCTGCCTGTCGTACTTCGGCAGCAAGAAATCATACGAACGACACCGGTCGAAATGCGAGCTGCGCCACCCCCCAGGCAACGAAATCTACCGCGACGACTTCATCAGCTTCTTCGAGGTGGACGGACGGCGGCAGCGCACGTGGTGCCGCAACCTATGTCTCCTCTCCAAGCTGTTCCTCGACCACAAAACCCTGTACTACGACGTCGACCCCTTCCTGTTCTACTGCATGGTGACGCGCGACGAGCACGGCTGCCACCTGGTCGGGTACTTCAGCAAGGAGAAGGAGTCGGCCGAGGGCTACAACCTTGCGTGCATCATGACGCTGCCGCAGTATCAGCGGCAGGGACTGGGTCGCCTGCTCATCGCCTTCTCCTACGAGCTCAGCAAGCGCGAAGGCAAGCTCGGCTCGCCGGAGAAGCCGCTCTCCGATCTCGGTCTGCTCAGCTACCGCCAGTTCTGGAAGGAGATCCTCATTGAATTGCTGTCGGACCCGAGCCGCCTGCCTGCGCCGGGTTCTGCGAGCCACACCCCGTCGTCCGAACATCTGCATCCACACGCGTCGTTGGCGTTCTCTTCTGGTGCGAATTCGGGTCCCTCCGCGCAGTTTTCGACCAGTATTGCTGAGATTGCGAGTCTGACCGCCATGAGCGAGAAGGATGTGCATGAGCAGCTCGAGGTGTTGAGGTTACTGCGCTATCACAAGGGCGCGTGGATTATTGTGGTCAGGGATGAGTTGCTCGAGTGGCAGGTCAAGCGACTCGCCAAGGAGAAGATCAAGGGCGCAAGGAGGATTGATCCCAGTCGTTTGAATTGGAAGCCACCCGTTTTCACCGCGAGTAGTCGTACGTGGAACTGGTAGGTGCCGCTGGTAGATGGGTGATCGCTGGGACGTTTATAACATGCATTGATGACTTGAACAGGGAAAGGACAGAGAGGAAAACTAGGTGCGAGCATGGGTCATGGATTTCAGGCTGGCACGGATGGCCATTGTTTGATTGTCCTATAGCGAGGCGTCTCGGCGTTGATACGCTCTTCATCATCCCTTGTGCGGGAATCTGCTCACGATATAACTCTAGCACTTCCTGAGCCAAGGTTACCCTCTCCATAAATCAGAGGTTCGACCCGGGACATATTGCATCCATGCAAAAATCAAAGGATAAAAATCAGCACGATCCCCGACGCCATCGCTAAATTTCATTTCATACGGGCAGAGTCATTGCCCATGTGGTGAGTCCACATCTTGTGGTCACGATGGAATGTTCGTATATCTTGCAAGCTCGGCGTCACCGGAGCGGGTGGCATCTTCACCATTGTTCCCCGTCATCTCGGTGTCGCCATTGTGACCATTGCCAGAGGGCGATGTCCGCTCGTCGCCATCGAGGCCTAAGGACATATTCTCGGGGAGATCGATTTTCTTGTCTCGTGCTAATTGCTCGGCCCATGCACGTGCCCGAACGAGGTAGCGGATATTGGCTTCCCTCCTCTCATCTTGAGATTGTAAAATTGCTTCATTGACATCTTTAGCTACCTTTCGGCGAAGAGAGGGATCAACGAGCTCGGCAAGTGCCCCAAAGTCGTTTTGAACCTGTGATGTAGCAGATCCCGTCGACCTTGAGGAACTAGCTTGATTCCAAGATTCCTTGGGCACTATCAACAATGCCATAGCTCTTTCGAGGTCATTTTTAAACTGGGCATCTAGCGGAGCGTATGGTGCTAAGTTATTTTGGGCAAATTCTATGGCTTCACCTACAAGAGCGGAGTCTGAAGAGGTGAAGCTTTGACGAATGAGTTCCACTAGTTGAAGGCGTAAAAGAGAAAAGTGAAGCTTCTTATCCGTGTCCAGCAGCTACATCGTCTGGTCAGCGCAAGAAAAGTAGGTAGGTTCTGAACGACAACGAGAAGAATGACTTGTGATTCATACTGAGGACTGAAGGTGTTTTTGCTCTCATCTTTGCCCGAAGGCTATGAGTGGTGCATGAAACTAATCTAATCATAACAAGGAAGGGTCGGTTGAAAGAAGGATTTGCAAGACTCACATCTGGATTCAATTCATTTATAAGTTCGATGGCAACCTGAAGATCCCCTCGATGTATAGATTCCCGAATCTGTACACGTTCTTGGATATCAGAGAAGTCTGATTTCGGTTGAATATTCGCTTCAGCAGCAAATTTTTGGGCAGCCGATGGATAGCCTTCAGTGATCAGATAGTCCATGATAAGGTTGTTCACATCACTATAGAAGTACATAGTCAGCAAAAGCCGTCGTAGGGTATTGTGGCTGTGCGAGGGTGTAGTTCAGTGTTTTTTCAGAAAGCAAAATAAATTTGTCCTCCACAAGTTGTGTTCAGAGAGATTCCCATTTTGTCAAAGGTACATCATGCTGATGAGTAGAGATGATAACAGAGAGAGACATACGTCTTGGATATGTGTGTGTCGGCGACCCTGCGCTCGAAGGGACTGAGAGTAGCAGCAGCCTTGACCAAGAGTTAGCGGAAGAACCTCGAAAAGCTGTGGGATAACACAAACCATGATGACAGATTTTCAGGGTAATATAAGAGGCTGCCCGAACAGCATACAAGACTGACACTACTCCATCTAAGGGCAGATGCTTCAAGATTATGAAGAGTTAACCGCAGTGGTTGAAGGATGAGGATGGTTGATGTGACAAGTACGAGAGAACGGTTTGCAGGAACAAGGTGAAGTTTGAAGTTGGAGGTCAGTCAAAATCGTACCGTGGGGAACTACGGCAAGATATACATGTTGCTGGCGCAACTACTGTAAAGCACCGGTTTTGCGTTTCGACATACCTCGAAGTCATTGAAATCAGACATATTTACAGAAGTTGAAACACCCAAGTAGTAATAAATATCTTGCATTCTTGTCTCAGCGACATCTATCATATCTTAGCATCATTGGAGGCAAAAAGGCACATCTTCCTGGTCACTTCGTGCTCAATTTCGATCTAACCTCTCGATTCGAATCTCATGTCACGAAGATCTCCAGCCGTGTTACGATAGCTTCCTACCTTTGGGCACCTTAGATTATTGATCTGCTCCTTGATCTCAGCTGTTCAACATGTCGAGCGATGCTGATCTTCGTAAGCTCTCAACTGTTAGTCTGGCTCAGAGAACGGCCAATGCTGCCGAGACTCAAAAAGCTTACTATTCTCCACCATGGGCTGATATGAACATCATCGGTATTGCCGGCTCAAGTGGTTCAGGGAAGACTAGTCTGGCTGTTGAAATCGTCCAGTCGCTAAATCTCCCATGGGTCATAATTCTATCGATTGACTCATTCTACAAATCTCTGAGCCCAGAAGAAAATGCATTAGCACATAAGAACGAATGGGATCTCGATTCCCCTGAATCTATTGACTTCGATCTTTTGGTCGAAAAGTTGATTGAACTGAAGCAAGGAAAGCGGACAGATATACCAGTCTACTCGTTCGAGCAGCATCAACGGCTGGACAAGACCTTGTCAATATATTCCCCGCATGTTATTATTCTTGAAGGAATTCTGGCGTTGAATGATCCAAGAGTTCTCAACTTGCTAGATATGAAGATCTTTGTTGAAGCAGATCCCGACGTCTGTTTATCAAGAAGGATTGTTCGTGATGTCCGGGAACGGGGGAGGACAATTGAAGGTACTATTAAACAGTGGTTTAGCTATGTCAAGCCAGTCTTCCAGCGTTATGTTGAACCTCAGAGGGAAGTTGCCGACCTGATCGTGCCTCGAGGTATGCAGAACAAGATGGCGATCCAGATGATCGTCAATCAAATACGGCAAACGTTGAAGGAGAAATCCACAAAACATAACGAGGAGCTGGAGAAGTTAGGTCAACAAATTGAGGACTATTCGCTATCGGACAATGCCATCATTCTAGGCGACAAGCCTCAAATACTAGGAGTCTCAACGATATTGCGAAATCCAATCACGAGTCAGGTAGAATTTTCATTCTACTTCGACAGATTGACCGCATTATTGATCGAGAAAGCTCTGGACTGCCACAACTACCGATCAGCTCAAATTTTAACACCTCAGGACTATAAGTACGCTGGACTCAAGTCAGCTGGCAGGGTGTCTGCAGTTGTTATTCTACGAGGAGGGAGCTGTATGGAAACTGGTCTCAAGCGAACAATTCCAGATTGCTTGACAGGTCGTCTCCTTATTCAGTCCAACATCCGAACAGGAGAGCCAGAACTACATTATTTGAAGTTGTTTCCAGATCTTTCAGACCATGAAACGGTTATGCTACTCGATCCACAAATGTCAAGTGGTGGCGCCGCTCTGATGGCTGTCAAGGTTCTCCTTGATCATGGCGTGGCAGAGAAAAGGATAGTCTTTGTCACATGTTTGGCAGGGCGACGTGGTCTGAAAAGGTTGATGACAGTTTTCCCCAAGATCAAAGTGGTGGCCGCCAATGTTGTCGAGGATCATGAAAAGAGGTGGGTAGAAGAGAAGTATTTCGGCTGCTGATTCCAGTTGCTTAAGAGCTTCAAAGGGGTTTTCTACTGAGAGAACCGTGCACGGACTCGGTTCTGAGCACTCTCGAATTGCAGTCCCTTCTGCATCGCGAAGATGCTGTTATCACATCGCCTGAAAAGAGTTCGATAAGATCAGGCAGCTTATACCTCAAGGTCGCGGACATGCTGCAGAACGTGTCAATGACCACCCATGGCTAATAGCCCGTTGTCCATGAAAGTCACTAGCTGATACGACTACTGCCTTGCCAAACCGGATATTTTGAAGACATGCTCATGCTTCAGAAATGTTCTCTCCAATACATGGAAGGCCTCCTACAGCGGCGCACAGGGTTGAAAGACCGCAATCACCTCAAAAACCATGATATAGGGTTGGAACATGGCAAGTGAGGCGTCCGTGGGTGGGGTGGACTCCATGAGCCGGGATGCCATAGAGGTACATAGGGACATCAATTCGTGCTGTCACGTCAACTATGCATTATTGAAGGGGCTGCTATTCCAGATGGCTTAGATAGTCCGAGAAGAGGCCGACGGGTCGATAGATACGTTCTTCAGGTTGGTAACCACTACATCTTGATTGAGATTTCTATGGTCACGTGATAGAGATTGCTCTGAGCGATGAATTACTGCACCCTATATATCTCTACGGTCAATCACCGACACCTTTGCGCGAGAAACACGACGACAACTCGTGCCTGCTTCAGGCAATTCAATGTACTCCTCATCTTCACAAACTCACTCATCTCTCACTGCCTCTAATTATCTAGTGTGTTTCGAAATCAAGGAAACAGATATTTCGTCTTCCCTCCCGCTGAACCTGAACGGCTAGATTCATAAACACAAGTCGGCGTGGAAACAACAACCCATTTCCAGATCAGCCACAGAATCAACCCGATCACGCTCATCCACCATGGTATGTACTTTAGCCCATTCCAGACCTTTCTCTTGCCTTGAAGCCCTATCTATGAAGCTATAAGCGAACCGCCCCAACTAACCACGTTCCACAAAACCCAGTCTCTCCGCCTCGCACCCGCAGCGTCGCACCCAACAAGCACGACCAACACCGCAGCCAGCAAACTCTCCTCGACCAACAGCAGCAACAAACGAGACACACTCGACCGCGGCGCACCCTCAGCCCCAGGTCTCCCCGACACACTGCGACTGTCTCTCCAACCCACCCTCTCGTCCAACACATCAACATCGACCATCACATCCTCGCATCCCCTGGAAACCCGGCTGCAGAACTGGACGGCCACACAGGAACGCACACAGATGAACCTACTGCGCCGGAACTTCGGGCTCGCGGAACCGCTGCGTCGCGGCATGGAGTTGCATATGGTGCGGACCAGCGATTCGTTTCGGCCCTCGGTGCTCGGCATGCCTGCGAGGGTTCATGAGGATATCCTGTCGGGCAGGGACAACTCGTTGAGCTGGGAAGATGTCTATGCCGGGCAGGATGGTTTGAATCTCGGGTTGAATAGTGGCGGTGATGGCCAGGGTGTTGGTTGGACGGATGAGATGGAGCGCAAGGTTGGAATGGGCAAGTGGTAATGCAGCTAGAGGCTGGTGGAGCTTGAGTATCAATGTGCGGGTGGCAGGAGAGGAAGGGGCATATGTTTGAGGCGAGACCTTACGCGGTCTGGCAGGGAGCAAGACCTATGTGTTGCATGGCGTCGGGTCAGGATCTCTCTCGCTCTCTCTCTGCCGGCCTCAAACGTCTTGATAACAGCGGCTTGAATCTACCGAATTCGACGTGAGAGCACGACCTTCAGAACCCTGGACTGCGCGGATATCTATCTGACATAGGTCATCCCAGGACGAGCCCTGGTGCTCGCACTGCATACATACATAGCCACACGGTCACGCAAGGAACTTGATAGAAAACATGTATCATCACCCACGCCGAAAAATAACATCCGCGTCCCATGGCCATGGTCCAATCCCCTCGACCTGACGTGAAGCAAAGTCGAGCTGCATATCTTACAATTTGAATAAATAGCTCACGACGCTCAACCCTCCTTCTCCTGCATCAGTTTCGTAAGGTGAATTGCTCTGCTCTGCCATTCCTTTGCTTGTCGTCGACGCTTTACAGTATCGAAGTGCCGAGGAAGGGCCGAGGGGCTGAATCCATGGTACCTTTGGCGAGTTCGTGGCAACCAGCAACAGTGCAGTTTGCATTGCTGCCAGAAGTACCCCGGCCCATTTACGGTTCAATGTGTATCTAGTCAGGGTCCTGGTGGATTTTCAAACACGAGACACTTACATGATACCGCGCTCTAATTTCCCTGGAATGAATCAAGGACAAAAGAGCAAACCGTAGAATCCATAATTCATGTCCTTGTAGAAAGCCTATATACCCGTTTCAAGTAGAAGCAATAGAAGTAGTAGCCAGTCAGCAATATGTAAATGCTCGCTCCCTGTGTTCGACTCAGTGCCAGAATATCGGCACCTGCCCAGTGCAAGTCAACACGTACACTCACAATTGATTAGCGCCACCACCTAGTGCGATCGAACAGCTCCAGATTGCTCACAGGCCATGGCCGGACTTTCTGTCGCCAAGCGTAGCACCACCACAAAACGGTACCTCGAAAAGCTGTACACACAACCTCTCCATGGCCGAATCCTCACCCAATCCCACCAACTCTCGAAAGTGAGTTGAGGGGGAGCCCAGGAGACATGGACAAATGGCAACCAAAGGTGCCTACCCTTTTTATCATAAACGCCATTCCAGTGTTGTAAAGCAAGCCGAGGACAAACTCGAAAAGACATAGCCCAAAGTTTATCTCAGATCACACCAAACGCCACGCCTCAAACAGTGACACGGATTTGGTGTCGTTTATCAAGCCATGTCTGGCTCGGTAAAAAAGCATATCGCGCGGACAAGGAAGCACCCACAACTCCCGACATGTTCCTCAGTTCTGCACAACTGAATCACATGGCTACTCTCGAAAACGACTTTCCAAGACGAATCACATGATGACACAACGACATCCGGGACTTCGACTTTCTGCCTCACGAGTATTCGAGAGACTGGATTTACCACCTTTGGCGTCATCGTCCTCCACAAAATCTTGAGGTTTGATGGTCATGTGTAGCACATTGGGTGATTCTGGGCTAAATTTGTAGTCTGGAATTATTCGTTAGCTTGTAAATGGATCTGAGGGTGTAATCAATCAATACCTTTTAATGAGGCCTTATCCTCAAGAAGCTTTCCAAAACTGATCAACCGGATGTAATTGGGACTGCTTGGTTTGGTCTCCCACTCATCCCGCCACTCTCGGAGAATGAGTTCCTTCAACTTGTAGACGCTCAGACTGAAAGGGTCGCCACCAGGAACCTCGACATTTCTCTTGTTCAGATACTTGCTGTCCAGTTTGAAAGGATGTCTAGCTCCTGAGGTGAGGAGCAAGGTCACCTGCAAGACGGGTCCACTCGTTTCACTGTCCTTTGCGGGCACGACAGGAGAATCTGAGGAAGGGCCGATAGCCGTGGAAATTGTTCTTGTCACCGTCGGACCATCGGGAATAGGAGGAGCATCGACAGGACTTAAAGATTGATCGATGGCGGTTCTGGTATCAACTCGTTGAGGACCAAGCCGATGTGCCGAATCTGCCGAGGTGGTCTTGGTTACAGGTGGAGGGGAAGTGGAATCAGTTGGGTCTGAGAGAGGAGATTTTGTAGGAAGGCTTGACATCTCGACTGGTGTTGATGAGGGAAGGTCGTCCTGTATGGCAGGTTGTTGTGGAATGTCTTGCGCGGCAGAGCGAGAGTCTGAGACAGGTTCTGACGGACCGGTAGTTAGGTCGGTGGTAGGACTCATGGCGGACGTCCGATAAATAAATCGACGTTATCACAACAGCGATCTAGATGATAGAACGAGTGACGGAACGACGAGCGACGTTGGCGATGCTCCGATGATGCGAGATGAGATGAGATGAGAGGTGTGGTATGTAGAGAGTGGAAAGATGTTGGAGCAAGACCAAAGTTGGTCCAATGCAGGTGCAGGTGCAAGTGCAGGTGCAGGTGCGGGTAATCAGTGCGGGTGAGTTTGCAGGGTCAGGATGCAACGGGAGAGTGTTGCAGGCGAAGTCTGAATCTGATCCGGCTAAGTTGGAACTTGTCACCGTAGCGGAAGTTGACCTGGGCAAAGCAACCTTGAAGTTGGAACTGGAGGACACCTTGATGACGGTACTGGTTTCCGAAGGGATCCTGAGACAAACAGAATTGAATACGGAGTGAGTGAATCTTTTTGACGTTTCAATCAATATACTCAAAAGAGGACGAAGTAGTAGAAATGATCATTCGTATGATAGTGGGAACTGGGCAAGAGTAAATACTGTCCGTGTGAAAAAGACCCAATAATGAATGGAAGCGAGGAGCCACTACTGGGAGAGTACCTCGTAAGTAGTGGCAAATAGAGACAAGATAACCCGCAAGGACGGTGGTGCTGGTGCTGGTGCTGGCCGTGAATACCTACCTTCCTAGTGAACTGGATAGATCTGGAAGGCATAGGCATGGATAGTGGAGATGGATCGGGAAAGGACCACTAACTTCGACCTACTACGAAGAGGACAGAGTACAGAGTACCGATACGGTATACCTAACCAAGGTCCAAACTCGACCAGCTGAGCACCTAAAGTCGAATTTTCTGGGGAGGTGGGGACCGCCCCAGGGGCCCGAGGGCCCTTGGCCCAAGCAAAGGTCAAGAGTCAAGACCTTGGACCCGTGGCATCCATCATGGCCTCGCATGGCATAATGATACGAGCAATGGTGAGCCCTAGCTGGTAAATAAGGGTCAAGCCTTGCCTTTGTTGGGTTAGTGAACGACCGAGGTAAACTCCGTTCACACTGCTGGGAGTGTGAGTGATAAATAACTCCCGAAAGTCAGTGGACGGGCCTTCTCTTTTGACATGCCGTGACATGACACTGCCAATCAATACTGGGTCAAGCGTGTTCAATGCTTTTACAGAGTGACCATCAATGTCTCTGGGCACAAGTAGTCCCATATTCGAGGATAAGAATGAAAATCGTTTGCCTGTGTCTCGACGAGTACCACGGCCAACTTCTTGAGGAACATCGAGACTGGTTCTGGGATTAAATGCCTCGGTTGGCATAGCCCCTTGCACCACAGAGAGTTTTCAGCTCGACCCGGACGCGTGGTCTAGACATCTTGAATGGCACGTGCGGACATATCGCTCATTCACTTCATGGATCATGCTACCCCGACATCCTCAAAGCCAACCACTATATCTGACACTACTCTCTGCCCTTACGCCTTGTTTCTCCTGCTTGACTCCCAGTAATCGCACCTTCCCAATGGTGGTCCCACTGGTATCCTTACTCTTCCAACCCTCCAGTCTAGATTGCAGGTCATGCACCACTTCCACATCATTCTTTACCAATAGCGCCACCGCATCGTAGCCTCCAGCTCCTGGCGCGACACCACCCACAACTCCCGGCAAACTGGTGCAGAAATCCAGCAGTTCCGTGATGACGGGCGGCTCGATGGGCACCGTGGATGCCACCGACATTTCTCGTACGAGGCTGCGTATTGTGGAGATAGTATCGGCCAGTTCCTGGTAGCCATCGAATAAAATTCCTTCTTTCTCGGCCAGTCGTCTAAGCTGCTGACACAACTCTTCTTGCCCTCGTTGTAGAGCATTCCAAAGCAAGTTGGATTCCTCGGATTGCTCTTTCCTCCATTGGAGGACTTTGCGAACCATACCAGGAGTTTCCGAACCACAGTCCACATCGCACATTACCAAGAGAAGGCTGTTAGGTACTTGCACTGCCTGGCGCACCACTTCTTGGTCCCACGAGTTCTCCAGATCCAGATGATCTATACAGACACGAAGCCGAGTAGAAAACCCGACACTCGTTGGCTCCCCGATACTTTCCAGTACCGCAGGACTGAAACGTCGATAGAGGCACGATCCGTAGACCGCGGCAGCCACGTCGAATCCGGATCCAACCTTGCCTTGAGCAGCACAGTGGGCTGCTTGGGCGAGATTGTGAGTCCGCTGAAGTTGTCGAGTTTCTTCAACATCACCATCACTGTAAAATCCCAGCAATGAGGCTACCAGTGCTGTGACCAAAGCTGCTGAAGAGCCGAGTCCAGTCTTGTGCGCCTCGGTCAGCTTGACTCCGAAGTTGGTAAAATCCGACTTGGCCTCTTGTGGTTGAGATGAGCCAGCAGATTGCGAGTAGTAGTCATCATCCGCTAGAATCGTGATACTGAGGCTCTGATAGATATCTTTCGTGACATGTGACAGATAACTCAGGACATATCGAAGTGTGGTCTCCACAAATTTATTCGACCCACTGGTGAAACCGTCCTGGTCGAGTACCTGAGCAACATTGACGGCGACATGGTCACCGACTGCATCTGAAAGACTGTAAAGCCATTGGGCCTCGTTGAATTGCGGCGACCTGACTTGGATATGTGCTCCCTTCAGCGCAGACGGGTGTTGAAGCCAGGAGTCAACGTGGACATGGATTCGAGCATCTAGCCCAAAAACAAGACCAGTATGCTTCCGGTCGAGAACGAGAAATCCTCCAGCAAATAGGACCTTACCCGGCGCTGATACAGCGACCGTCTGTGAAGACATCGGAGAGAAAAAGTTCACGGAATATCTGAAGAAGAAATTCGAAATTGCGCGGTGAGGCAGGGCTGGGCTTGGCGGTTAAGCTCAACACTCCTCGGAAGGCTCCGCGACCGGTGCCCAATGATTTCCCCGCGACTCACAGCCTTATGCCAAGCCTGGTTAATGAGTAAAGCCTCGTCGCGACATTCACTGTGCTCCAGGCACCCAAGAGGCAACCTTCCTTCCTTAACATTCACTACAAATTTTCAGTATGCACATATATTCAAACTTGCGGAACAGTCCTCACAACACAGCGATGAGTCGTCGAGTTCAACCTGGCACCGTGGAAGGAGATGGGGCAATGGATCGGTGCCAGGGCTCGACAACTCAAACCGCCCAACGGTCAGCTGTATTGTGTCCGTTGAAAAACCCCCCTTCCCAGTCAGGTCCTGGGCAGAGGGATTCCCAGTGGGCGGAAGTTTTTGTCCGCCTTTTTGGAGCTCAATGGATCCAGGTATCTCGAGGGTTGTCGGAACAATTTCTACTTCCGCATCAGGGGTTGTACATGAATTGTGTGTATACAGGGAGCACCACTCAATTGCTTTACTGTTTTTGAGGCCTAAAGGTGAAAAGTTCCAATCTTACTAATTCCTCAGACGGACCAAGTTCTTGACTTTTCTCACACTAGAGGTTGTCCTTTTTCTCACCATGGATGGGGAAATACATTATCCCGGAAGACGATATGTAGACCGAAAAGTCAGCGAATGGTGGGCTGAGAAAAGACATGACTCGCTCTTCCCCTACTCGTTTAAAGACGTAGATATGATTCCCAGCTTCCCTCGATGTTGCTATGACCTCTTAAACTGGAATAGTTAAGCGCTGTTTTGCCGGCGGTGGGGGCTACTAGTGCATTATGTCTGAAGGATGAAATTCCAGCGAATAGGTACAAATGCATTTGGAACCAAGCGGCAGAACCCCGACCACACGGAAGTGTGGAGATTGTCAGTATCTTGGGGTGGTCGCATCTGTTGCACCTTTCGTGCCTTTTTCGAGAAACCAGAAACATATGGGATTACGTCATGGTGACGATGTGCTTGTCAAATGTGAGTCGAGGAAGTCAGGTCCGGCATGCTGCCAGGTCTGAGATTTTGATCAACATGAAGATATCAAAGATAAGCGAGTCTGAGGATATGAATGCTAGTAGGCTTCTTATGCAACACATCGCAGGACTAGTCTTGTTTGGGACTAATCACCATGCAAAGTTGATTCGCGGATCCATCGCCTCAGTGACATGATGACTAGAATGCTGTTTACAAGGTACGTTGGTGGCAGAGTATTGGAGATTGAACTTGTCTCGCTTTGGTAAGACTTCACCGTTCCACAATTGGACCAGGACAGGAGTGAAAGCTCAGTGTGACAAAGTGTTGAGAGTATGTTATGATCGGAATTGATATGTTTGCAACAACGTAATGGACCTGAGGTCATTCCATATGTTGGGGTGTCATCAATACCTAGCAGCTCCACCGAAAGAAGATACGTCATGATGAACGGACGTCGCAGAATTCTGCTCGACATCGTCACGACTGCTGATTCGGTCTGATTTTGTGGGAGGCGAATCGTTTGCGCTCGGTGTAATCAATGATCATATAGGGAAGTGTGACCTTTCTTCTACTTCATTCCCCCCAAATATTCATACTCACATTCTATCATCTGAAGATAAAAAAAAGACCAGACACATTAAAGATGGGATATCCAGACAGCTTTGAAGGGTTCATGATCCAAGATCAAAAGAAATGGACCGAGTTCAAGAAGCAAGAGGTCTGTTCCCCCTTTCTAGGGTTGTTTCCAATACACTTACTGAGAGTGACTAGTTCAAACCCAAGAAATTCGGGGACAACGACATTGACATCAAAATCGAATGCTGTGGCGTTTGTGGTTCTGATGTTCACACCATCAATGGAGGCTGGGGTGAGGCACCAATGCCTATCTGTGTTGGTCATGAAGTCGTCGGGAAAGCTGTCAAAGTCGGCCCTGCGGTCAAGGAGGTCAAGGTCGGAGACCGAGTAGGTGTTGGTGCTCAGGTTTGGGCCTGCTTGAAATGTCCACAGTGTAAGAGCGACAATGAAAACTATTGTCCACACATGGTCGACACATACGGAGCACCCTACCCCAAGGAGGTCGATCCCGACGAGACCATTTCACAGGGCGGGTATTCATCTCACATTCGAGCCCATGAATATTTCGTTTTCCCTATCCCAGATGCCATTCCCTCCCACTTGGCGGCGCCAATGCTCTGTGCTGGCTTGACGGTGTGGTCCCCATTGAAACGAGCGGGCGTTGGGAAGGGTCAGAAGGTGGCCATTGTGGGCATGGGTGGGCTGGGTCATTTCGCTGTGATGTGGGCAAACGCCCTCGGTGCGGAGGTCACTGTCATTTCGCATTCCCCCAGCAAAAAGGATGATGCTCTCAAGTTGGGTGCCAAGCATTTCGTTCTTAGCACAGAGGATGGTTGGGAGAAGCCGTTGGCCTTCACATTTGATTTTATTCTCAACAGTGCAGACATGACACATGAGTTTGACCTTACCAAGTATTTGTCGCTGGGCAAGGTTAATACCACTTTCCACCAAGTGGGCTTACCTGACGAGGCACTGCCTCCCATCAAGTCACAAATGTTTATGAGCAATGGAAGCTCCATTGGAGCCAGCCACATCGGCAACCGACCAGAATGCTTGGAGATGTTGAAACTTGCAGCGGATAAGCAGCTATTTCCGATGGTGGAAACATTATCGATCTCGGAGGCAAGCTGTAAAGAGGCAGTCACTCGCGTGGCGGACAACAAGGTTAAGTATCGATTCACTTTGACAGATTATGACAAAGCGTTTGGAACGCGTGATTGAGAGGTATTCTATGGTGATAGAATGATGCAGAAGCAGACCAAGATTCTTCATGCGAAAGTGCGGGACCGTGGCGCTGTCAAAGCAGTACGGCGTCTTCGTTCTATTTCGTATTGCATCTTCTGGGGCATGTTTTGCATGAATCAATTGGCAAAAGCGCCACGCAACTCAAGCCATGTTTAGGTAATCTGGCGGGAGGACCTGCCAAGTACCTACGCAGATAGTGTTCAGTTGTATGCCCGATCATCCTAATAGTTGACTTTTGTTGAAGAAGTTAAAGTAGTCGCAAGGCTCAAGTCTCAAGCATCCCGCATCAACAGTCATTTCATGAGCTGCGAAGCCCGGAGTGAGGTGAGTGTCCAGCTATGGTGGCAGATCATCAGGGCCTAATTCTACCCCTGAACTCCGTAGTGGTGCCGACAAGTTAGGCGCCAGTAGCTTGGACCTTGCCGGCATACGGATAAGCTTGAGTCTCTAGCTTGTGTACATGGCTCCCTTGTCTGCCGGACGACTTTGCAGGTTCCCCAGGAGGCTCTAGGGGCCCCGGCCTTTCACTTGAGATCTTAACTAGACATCATCTTTTCCTAGGCGCATGTCACCAGAAAGGCGGTCGACCATTACTGACATATTGACGTGCATACCTAGAGATAATTACCTGGGTATCGAAATTTGGCAGCTGTAAGGACTCCGAGTCGGAGTATCATGCCATCAGGCCATTTTGGATCTTGTATTTTTTAATGAAATCTGTATAACTGAAGTCCCGGGCCTGATGGAGCGTTGGGACCGTGCCGATGGTTCGGACATTTCAAGTACGGTTGATCGACACCCCTAACAGTCTTTGTGCCAATGATCCGGCCCGCCAGTGCCCACCTCTTCAACCTTTTCGACGGCTTAGGTAAAGCCTAAGTACCAAGGTAGAGAGTCTTAACGACATCATCGCCGCATCGGTGTGATGGTGGACTCTTAGGGCATGGTTACTCCGTACAACAATCAATCTTCTCCAACACCATACCACATCAGAATGAGAATGTGGAATGCAGGTTGCCGACTTCTCTCAGGCTCACTTCGAATCTCAACTTCTCAGGCGGGTCTTTTCGATTGATGTTGTTGTGCCGCGACAAATTGCAGCGCGGCATGTTGGCCTCTTACTTTCGGATGTCTATCAGGCAATGCCTAGGCCCGGTTTTGACTAAGGCAAGTCCCTAAGGCTGCAGATTCTGCGATGGACAGGGTTACGAGGGGCTTTCCCAGCGCCTATTCCAGACGGAGGACTGCCCCAGCCCACAAGTGACATTGTGGCTTCCCGCGGCTTTGCTTATCCAGAGCCCTCTCCTTCTCCACCCTCCACTCTCCATCCATCCACAACCAACCACCGGGTCCTTCCACTGACGCCCTCATCGAAGCCGCATCTCACTTATCCCAATCGTCAGATGAATCTAGCCATCCAATCTGCCAGCCTCTTCCAACTTCACTGCCATCGCTCCATCTTCTGACACTCCTGCCCAATGCAGCAATATTGTCTCTCCTCATCTCTATTGCATATCGGTTGATCATTTACGGACCAATACGTCCCCCATTTATCGCCTTGTCAGTTCCATCAAGCAGCCCAGTCAATTGAGCACCACCACATTTCTCCTCCTCCTTCGAATGCGCACTCTCGCACTCCTCATCTTGGAAAGCCCCAATGTTCAAATCGCCCCAATGCCCAGCTTGAACGCGTTGGTGCCATTGTGAACGCTTGCGATGCGCTTGAGGATCCTCCTGCTACACTGTCATGATGTCTATACCCAATTGAACAGACCCGGAATGCAAAGACGATCGAGCTATGGAGAGTGGTTTAAAAAAGCTGTGGACTCGTAGAAAGAGCAGAGGAATTGACGGTCAGATTGAGCCCGCTTTCAAGGGCCTGCGGACGGTCCAAAGCATAGATCGCAAAGGACTCTCATCCTCCAAAGCCCAGGATCGACCGATCAAGACTCCCCAAGCCAATGCCTCGAATCAATCCGGCCGACCTGCGACGACCACAGACAGCTCCGCCAGGCCGTCTTCTAGCAGAAAGGTACAACCTACCTTGCTCGGGGTTTCCCGACCTACAACATCCCCCTCGAGACCTGGTACTTCTGGTAGCGGCAGTTTATTAACCGCCGTCAATCGCGCTGCTGATGCCGTTAGCATCGCCGAGCAGGAATTTCAAAAATCAGCACAGAGATATTCGAGAAATCACATACCAACAAAATCACCGCGCTACCTTGACATTTTCTCGCTGTCGAAGCCAGATAGTCCCCAGGTCTACAATGAAGATATAGCCGAACGAAATCTAGACCTTGCTCGAGTGGCCCTTGATGGATCAGAACCCCCTCTCAGTCCCGCCAAATATCAAGAAGAAGTAGCAGCACGAAATGCTTTCCCTCCACTGCCTGGAGAGAGCAAAGATGGGTTCTCCCCAACGGAATATAGGTTTCACCCGGCTATCGAGCATCAGCTTGGTGGAGCCCATCCGAAGACGAGTACTCTGAGTCATCAGTCACTCCCGAGAAAGCCACCTAATGCGCAGTCCATCACGGGTGACAATCGTCCACAGAGCGCAAGCGTGTCACACTTTCGCCAAACCAGTGATCAGTCTCGAGGTTCACAACCTCGGGGTGCTGCCGTAAAGGGTGGAAATCAACCAGGTGGCTCCACTGTGCTACACCCAAGAGGCACAGTGCCGGATACTTTTCATATCAGCTCTGCCATGTCTCCCAGGTCCAATCGTTTTCCTGTACCACCGTCTAATCAGCTGTTCGGAGCTCATGTGGCACAGGCCAACACCCATGAGGCGTTCCGAGGCGAGAATCTCCGAAACTACGTACTTTCTCAATCGGAGTTAATCCAATCAAGGTCTCAAGGAAATCATCAACATATCCAGAGCAGCATTACTAGATCGATTGATGGGCAGGACGGCATTCAGCAGTCAGACCACTCCATACGCTCTCCATCTGCTCTGAGCAACACATCATCGGTCAAACGATCATTCAATCGTCCACATCGCAAAATTATGGATCTTACTGGGGATGATTCTGAAGTCTTCTCTGAAAGGACCTCGGGGTCGCATTACAGCAGCTCCCCTGTCGTTGAACACGCAAAAGTAGACCCTCTGCGCAGAGCTCAGCCAACTATCATATCGCAGACAACCAAATCCGACACGAATTTCATTCCCTACCATCCTCAGAGCAGTTCTGACTCTCATCATAAGGAAATGACTCAAACATCAATCGACGACAATATGCAGCAACAGCCAACAGAATCTACGGTATCAACGGAACCGACCCCAGAAGTCCGTCCCCAGAAGACCATTCCAGCGAGTACATTCTCACCTATCAACACTCTGGCATTTGTGGCACCGCGAAGAAGCGTGATTGAACCTCGGGTGGGAGACGCACAAGCCGGGCCTGGGCAGCGAGATATGAATGTCAAAGAGGAGGCGGGTCGCTCCACTGCAAGCAAAGATTTCACGGTTCTAGGTGAAATCAAACCTCTTAGCCAGGGAACTTCTGCCCTTGGAATTGGACCAGGACAAGAAGAGGCCAATTCGGTTGAGCATGGAGCCTCAGAGGAAAATGTTCAGGCTGCATCAGTGCGAAGTGGTTCTGCACTAGATGGCACGTCTGGACTTGGTGAACATAGCGTTGAGCAAGCAACTGAGCCGCACTCTTCAAAGTCATTAAAGTCGACAGAGAGCCCTCTCAGCAAACCGAATATACAAACAACACCGGATAGTCTGCACTCGATCGATTTTGTCGACCCCTCCAGAGCTTTTGGAGTGACTACCAGGGATTTTGCAATATCTCCCACCAAAGCAACACTTGAAAGCGTACCAGAGGATATTGAAACAAACCCGAAAATGAAGTCAAAGCAGCTGGGCGACGCGACTGCTGAAAGACATGCTGCCAGTCATGATCTAGAGAATCGGCAATATATCAGCCAACCTACCAGGAATCCTTCCAATTACAGCTCGACCTTTGACGAAGACGAGTTTGCTCATAAGCAGGCAGAAGCTCGCGCAGCTTTGATCCGCCTCCAACAAAGTCTGGACGAAAATTTCCTAACACAACCTATTACTCAAACAGCACCACTTCCAAACAGAACTCTACGCCACCATTCGTCTCTGAGTGATGGGAAACCTGTAGCTCCTTCCTCTATTTTCGCACAAGTAAGGAATACGTCACCTCCGCCAGCGGACTACAGAATCAGTATCGCAACCTCAAATTCGAGTGAAGATGCCAGAACTGTGGCTTCTTACCACAATCTCACTACCATTGCTCAACCCAATGGGCAGTCGAACTTTCGTAACTCTTACTCTTCTTCAGGAAGTGCTGAGTACAGTCCGCATCAAAGCAAGGGTATGCTGAAGTATGCTGGTGATCCCAACGGTCCGGGCCCTTCGGTCATCGATCATGGCCTTCGAGAAAAGAACCCGCTTCCTCTTCCACCACCGCTTCATATGAATGGAACCGCTTTGTACCGAAACCTCAATCAACCTACTGTGCCACCAAGCCCTGGTGAGATTTCACTTTCGAGCTTTCCTATCCCAGCATCATCTCCGAGGCAATCCTTTATACCACCGGCCAGCTCCTCGGAACCCGCTCACCAGCATCATGTTCACCACTCTCATCAAAATAGTGCTGGTACTGGGCGAATTCTGAGACGTCAATCCAGCCAGAGAAGCCAGGCGAGCAGTGCTTCAGCCTTCAGCATCCCCTACCACATGATTCCAGATCGGTCCAGTAGTGCCCGAGATCGCTTGATTCGGGAGGCTAATGACTGAATGGAAGACCCAAGCCCTCTTCCCAATGACTCTTTGCGCCACCGCCATACATCAATTCTGAAACGGCCGCCAGTATCTAGGTGTTTACCTAGAAACTAAAATTCCGTACTATACTTGTCATATATTCGACTACCACTCTCGAAATTTTTATATTCACAGCATTCTGCTCTGAAGCGACAGTTTCTGACTCGTGAGCTTCGAGAATCACGAAATACTTTAATTCGACGAGAAGGGTACACCAGGTGGGGTGGCTGGCTCTACTCCAATGATTGAGACGAACAGTGTTTGATTGCTTTACTTGTCATTTAGCTAGCCACTGTCATGGTGAGTTCTTTTTCACCCATTTGCTTTTATGTAGAACACTAGAAACCAGCAGAATTGCAATAACAATCTGCCTTGATATGGATTGGACCGTGCACATATGTTTCATGGTTCCAGTAACGTGTTCTCCAGCGTTGTCGTTTCTTAAGCCCTAACTCAGGATCAGATTTTCTCATCAAGCGCATTTCCTGGATATTTCTCTGCTGTCCGCATTCATATCGTGATATTTATATTTGTGACGCTGTTAGTCAAGACGGCACCATGTCAACCGAGAATGGAAGATCATCACCTCCTGTGGCTCCCGGCCCATCCTGTCATATATCAACCATTCCTATAGCAGGACGACGGTGCCCTTTGACTTTCCTCAGGACGATGAAGAATTCGTTCGACATCTTTCCAGAGCACCACGTCTCTGAACATTGGGCATCCAGCACGGATTTCGAGGGGCGCTGTGTATCCTGAAACACGTCCATGTGAACGTCAAGCTAGAGCCCTCGTTGTTTTTGATCTAAGTTTCTTACGCCATCGCCGTGAAGTAAGACTTGAACATGCAGGATTGACGCTGTTTTGCTGAGGATTGCTGAATTAGCGCGACTAGTACGTGGTGATCCATCCTCTACCCGAGAGACCAAAAAGGTCCTACGAGATCGTTCGAGCGTAACACATTTCGAATCTCTTCCGCAGATCTCTTGTGCCAGGGATGCGAAACATAATCACCGTACCAAGCACTTGCAAACCGCCACATCTGGGGCAAAGGAACGACAGCACCCTTTGGCAATCCATGCCGCAGACACCAGACATCGACGTCGTGTTCATTCCGGAACGGTTGAAATGACGCGCACGCATGGATGACATTATCCCACCATTCGCGGATCGGAGTCGAAAGGTGGAAGACCAGATCCTTCTCGACGACGTCTTGGTCTCGGACTCTGACGACACACTGTTCACTCTCGCCTCCGAACCGCGTAAAGATATCAGCGTCCGTCTTGAGCGCAGCGGCGATGCCAAATGCGCAGTACAGGCACGTTGCCCAGTATCCTCGACCGCCGACCTGCACCCAGCATGACGCCGGGTACAGCGCGAAGGGATGCACCACCCATGGCTCGACTTTATGGGTGTGGAGGAGTAGAGAATGCGTCGAGTGCAAGGCGAGCAGGGCATCTTCAATCTCCGGGACCGAACACTGGAGCGAAGATGCGAGCAGCTCTTTGCTCGGTGCATGACCTCGTTCGGCAATCTGCTGTGTGAGAAGGCCCCTTACTCGTTCTTGGAAAGCTGTGACAACGGCAGTCATGGTGATGGGTTGGAAAGCGATGAGATGCTGGCTAGCAGTTCAGATTCCTTAGGTATTAGGAAGTATCATGGATGGAAAGAGGACTTGCTGAAGATCCACCGGACTTTCATCAAGCAACTTATTGACCGTGCTTGTCAACCGGAAGGGCGTAAATATCTTGAATCTGCAGGCGTCGGAAAGCATTGGAATGGAATCCCCGCATAGTCCACTGGATATGTATGTACTTGACTTCCTAGGTACCCAATGGACCGAGACGCGGTTTGTAAGATTACATATTCTACTCCTTTTCTATGCCGCTCTCAGACTAGGGCGACACTGTATCCACTTTTTCTTCTTAGCTACAATCCACAGAATATATCTAGATATACATTCGATGTATATGTGTACCTGACCAAGGCATTTTCCCTTTCAGAAGTCTAGGCTATAGTTCAACATTAAAAAGCATCCACGCGAGACAATATCAATATCTCCAATGAGTCTAAGATTTCCTCAAAGCCCAAACGCGATTCCAGCCCTCGGGAGTGGAAAGCGCCCCAGGAGCGACAAAGCCGCTTTCGATACCACGACCCATCTCGCTGACCTCTTCTTCGCCAGGTAGACGTAGCCACTCGTTGACAACGCTGGGAATTTCTTCCTTGACGTGCGAAACCACGACGAGGGCCTGGGTGGGCTTGAGGCCCGAAAAGTGCACTTGGGAATCGACCATGGCTTCCTGAGATCTCGATGCATTTGAAGCCACACTTTTGGTACTGGTGCTGGTCGCATCTTCTTGGACCCTTCTGCCCTCGCCGTACTCAAGCCATGCCATAGCTTTATCACGTGTCTCGGTAGAGAGGCCTGAGAACGCTTCGTCCAGGATCACGATGTCGGGTTGCTTGATGAGTGCGCGTAACAGCAGGAGGAGCCGCTGTGTAGAGAAAGGGAGCGTGCCAAAGGTATGATGGTTCTTATCGACAGCCCAGTCCAGGGAGCGGCTGGAGGAGGCTGCGGTGTCGATTGTTGCCGTACTGCTTCCTTGGCGGAGTTCGGGCGCCCACCAGTGGAGGAAGTTGTCAACACGGATTTCGCGGTCCGGTGTCATCTGCGCTTGACTGGCGTATGTGTCGGCCCAAGCGCTTTGCAGGACTCTTCTGATGGTGAGATGCTTGGGAAAGAAGGCATGGATTTCAGGGCTGGAATGTCCGATACGGGCTTGGATTTCCCATAGGCTCAATCCAGGTTGCCCAGGGGAAGGAAGGCGTGAGCGGCCGAAGAATTTGATGGGTAGTGAGTAGCTTTGTGGGTGGTCGGAGGTCAGTAGGGAGAGGAGAGTTGTTTTCCCCGACCCATTGGGGCCGAGTAGCGCCAGGCGTGTGCCTTGTCGGACCGTATGGTTCAGGCCAGCGGGTGAAGGAGGGTCTAAGCTTGCTGGTTGGTGACCTAGAACCGTTTTGCTACCATATCTGACTACAACGGAGGATAGCTCGATCAACGGTTCTCCTCTAGGTTGTACATGACTTTGGCGAGGTACCGCTTGAGCAATCGAGTTTTTCCTCTCAGGCTGTGGCTTCATCGATGGGGGTTCTGGTGTTGGTTCTCCCTGCACATTTTCGGCAGCAGGAAGACGATCATAGAAGTCCAACGGCAGGGTTGCTGAAAGTGCCAAGAGCTCACTCTTACGCATTTTCCCGGGGTCCATCAGCGTAGCTTCCGTCAAAATGGACTTCCAGTATGGATCAACCACGTCGGCTCTGACTGTGCCATTGTCATTAAGATAGCGGGAAAGGACTTCGGGATCACGCCAATCTCGAAAGGCAGGATATTCTTCAATCCCATTCTCGGTCAAGATATCACCAATTCCATGGAGCGGTGGGCCAAAGCGCTTCGTCATAAGTTGGCTATATGCTTGAGGGATTGGTTGAAGATCAAATTTGTTTGGCGTAGCTGAGTCGGCAGCTGCCCTCCACCTTTGCAGGGCGAAAAACACACGCTCCTTATGGTCTTTCAATGCGACCGTATGATTCTGTCCGAGTATTATTAGATGAGTAATCCAGTCTGGTACTGGATCTTGGGGCCGCAATGCTAGTATCAACAGCGGCGAAGCCTTGTAGGAAAGATCTCTCAATATCGGCGAGAGGGTCATTAAAGTTGGAGGATCCAAACCCATAAATGGTTCGTCGAGCAATAAAAGTTCTGGTTTGCCCATGAGTGCTTTTGCGATCCTTGCTCTTCTAGTTTGTCCATTGCTCAGATTGCTGACAGGCATATCTGCGAGTTTATATAGGCGAAGATCAGACATGACTTTGTTGAGGAGATTGTCGTCCACATGTCTTTCAGCAGAAGTTGCCTCGTCCGGGTTCAACTCTGTCTCTCCTTTGAGATATTGCAAAACCGTCCAGTCAGTCTCTTCCCTTCGACTCTCATACCGCGCACTAAGATATGCTCCTCTGATACTGCCAGAAGAGGCTTGACCTTTTCCACCATTGAAGCCCACATATTGGATTGCGCGTGATGGTACACGAAGACGGTGATCCTTACGATCTATCTCTTCTGATGAAAGATATGGGAATTTTCGTGAATTGGGAGGAACCGAAATATATGAGCCCCGCAGGATCTCAAGGAATGTGCTTGCACCCGATGGGCTGATAACAGCCCAATGTGGTGAGCGTCGATTCCATGATTTCTTTGTCTTCGAAGGGTCTTCTTTGGGCTTCGGAATGGCGGCGGGCAGGGAGAAGGTCAAGTCTCTGTATAATGGTGGATTGGAACCAGAGTCATGATTGTCCGTGGAGGGGTGTTCTCGGTAAAACGTGGCATTGAATATATCAATCAATCTATTCCGAGTACGAGGTGGGAATTTGGGAAGACCGGAGGGCTTAGGAGTGGTCATGGTGGATTGATGCGTTCACGCATTGTTGCCTCATGAGCTGTTAGTTTGCTTATACACTGGAAGAACTCGAACCTGCTCAAGGAGAAAAAGAGAAGTATATATGCTCTTCTACTACGCAGCAAGTCGGTACGATCTGACGGCTTCAATGGGATATGGGGAAACAGTTGGAGTACACGCTTCGGAGTTGTTCAAAAGTCCCCGAAATCGAGACAAGGCTGAATATCACGTGAAAGGCTGCACTGGTCACGTGCGACACCCCTCGTAAAATCCTCGATCTAATCACTTCGGCAGGTTTTATTTAGAAGGACTTCAGTCTTGTAATTGTCTGAAAACTTGATTCATTGCTCCCAGGGTAGCCCTCATTAGCCCGTAATGTTGTACACTAGTGCATGAAGACCAGCAAGACGCCATGCAATGCTAGTAAGCTATAAAATGCTCCCTTGAAACCCTCGACCTCCCATGAGGAAAATGCGCTGGTTAGTACCTGTCATACTTGACTCCTGTTGCATGGTTGTGTCTAGCTGTAACTCTAGCTTTTTCTGCCGAGCCTATCTGTGTTGCACCCATGTCTCATGATCATCATCCTTAAAGGAAATATTCATTTCGACCACCTCTGGACGGTGGAACGTGTCGTAATTCGTCTTTCACAGCACTAAATAGCTTGAAGTTTGGTTTCATGTCTTCTCCAACTTCACAGACAGAAGCAAGATTGCCACATCTGTAGCAGTAGTTGGGCGCACTCCAGACCGTCACAACATCCTGGCTTTTGAAGTGATACTTGTATCCCTCATTAACCAGTTGATGGGCTCTGGCAATGAGGTTCAGACCATTGACATGGCAAAATTCCTGACTGACTCGATCTCCAAACAGCCACCCAGCACCTCGTGGTGAAACGGCCCAAGTCTCAACGTCCTCCGGATCTGACCAAACCAGATCACAGAATGCTCCTTCATGAGGAATTTCTTGAGCTCGAGCGACAACACGGACTTGATCCAAGGTTCGGATCTCAGGAGAGAGACCACCATGTACACATAGTACTTTGCCATCCACAATTGCGCCAAGTGTCATAAAGTCGAAAACTTGACAACAAGCTTTCCAGACTGATGTGTTTCCGTATTTTTGAACACACTCTTCATAAAATCCATAGACGGTGGTGATCTGCCTCGACTCATGGTTACCCCTAACGAGCGTGATCTTTTCTGGGTATTTGGCTTTCAGACAGAGCAGGAGAGTGAGGGCTTCAAGGGAGAAGTATCCACGGTCAACATAGTCTCCGAGGAAGATAAAGTTTGCATTTTGTTTGTTGGAGATGACATTGCCAGATTCCGATCTTTGATCTCCGAGTTCTGATTGTTGTGAAGAAGGCACTTCTTCTGCATCACTGATCTCACTCTTCTCACTCGTGCTATCTGGATGTTCTGAACCACCAAGTTTTAACTTCTTCTTGAGCTTGGGGTTCGTGATTGTCGACGGAGGTTCAATGTCTGCGGATGTGATGATGTTGGCGGGTGTGACGGGTGCTTCTGGTGCGGTTTCATTCGGCATGCCTCCAGCAACTCGAAACAACTCCAAAAGATCGTAGAACTGGCCATGGATATCGCCTGCGATTGTAACTGGAGTTGAGACTGGTTGGATGTTTGATTCTAGAGATTGGTTAGTGTTAGATCCATAGAGGGGATGCAGATGGAGGGGATGTGGAGGTGGAGAATCGGACCTTCCATCATGAATTCTTTGACAATTTCGCAGAGTTGTTTCATGTGGTATTCTGAGAGATATTTGCAGTTCTTTGCTGCTTCGAGCCATTCATCAGGACCAGCGGACCTCTTCAGGCGCGCTGGGCCGGGAACGGGGACCTTTACCGGGCCCATGGTGGAGGTGAGGTTGCTCGGACTTGGTGGTGAGGAATGTATTTTCGTTCAGTGCCAACTTGAATTGCTGGTGCCACTGGGAGTTTTCCAGGGGATGGTGGAGTTCGGAGGGATTTGACGAGATCGACGTAGTCGAAGACCTTGCGATTGGGGAGGCCTTTGAAGGCACGCAGGTCGTGCTCAGTCACTCTTCGTGACCGGCGGCGGCGGTGGGAGGGGACGAACGCAGGAGGGGAAGGAGAGGTCGGTGTGGTGGTGGCGGCCTCTGGAGGAAAATCCTCAAAGACCGGGAAGGAATTAACAGTCGCCTTGGAGGCAACGGGGTCTGCAATGGCGTCAGAAGGACGCTTGTCGTCGATGGTGGGGGAGGCGGCAACGGAGGTCGATGGCGATGAGGCGGCGGTTGCTGCCAAATCGGCGGCAGGGGAGGACATGGCTTGGCGGTGATATCGGAACCGGGAAAACAAAGCTCCGGAAAGGACGGCGATATTTGTAGGCTACCAAGACCTCACTTGATTCACCTGACTTGACCTGACTTCACTTCGCTTCACTTGACTCTGACGTGGACAGAGACGTGACTCATTTACCATCTATTCTGTGAATACCATTGTGATATCAATAGATTTGCGATTTATTTACATTGATCGCATCGCTTTCTGCGCACAATACCTCTTATTGATGGCTTTTACATGAATCAAGTCCACAATGTCAAACCCGTCAAAAGGTCGCTCTGGAGGCGTTCTGCCAGTCAATGCCGCAGCGAGGAAGAACGCAAACACGTCTTCAACTACTAAATCTTCTGGAAGAACAACGGCGCTCAAGCTCAGGCTTATCATACGCCGATTACCTCCAGGCCTGACACAAGGTGAATTTTGGACTGCTTTAGGTGAGGCTTGGAAGGTAGGTGGAGGCAAGGTCGAATGGGCTGCTTTTCAAGATGGCAAGATCTCTAGAGAGTGAGGTTTCAATTTTGGTGCTTTCCGAGATACCAACTGACTAGATCCAGTCCTGCAAAGCCATCAAGGCCAGCCCGAGCGTATTTGAAGGTCAAAGAACAGTCGCTATTGGATGAACTTTCTGTAGCCATCAAACAAACGTCGTTCCAGGATGCCAAAAATACTGGCAAGGACACTTGCCTTCTTGGACCGCCCTCTCTGGAATTCGCTCCCTACAACAAAATTCCCACTGGACGTGCAAGGCACGATGGTAGACAGGGGACTATTGATCAAGACCAGGAGTTCATCGACTTTCTTCAGAGTCTAACAGAGCCGATTACGAAACCCAGCATAAACGGTACTGAATCAAACGATGCAAAAGGCGAGAAGGTTTCCACTACACCTCTTGTGCAGTATATCAAAGAGAAGAAGGCAAACAAAGCGAAAGAAGCCTCTCAAGCCAAAGCTGCAAAGGCTCGGGAAAGTAAAGAAGCCAAAACTCCAAAACCTGAAACTAAATCGACAGTCGTTATCAAGGGCAAGAATGCCCCCGCAGCTGAGAAGGAACGTGTCGTAAAGGCCACCCAGGATACGGCGAAGACCATTATCAAGTCTGTAGCCACTACACCAGGTGCGAAGCAAGCCGTTTCCAAGGCCGAGGTCAAACAAGAAGTCAAAGAAAAGCAACTGTCAGCTCCACCGCCACCCGTACCAAAGAAAGAACGTGAGCGAGGGAATGCCAGTGCTGCTGCAAGGATGCTTCAACGTGATCTAGGTCTCTTACCAAAGGAAAGTAAAACGCAGCGAGCGGCGAAACTAGCGGCATCTTCAACGCCTACAGAAGCCCCATCTTCAGCTAAAGCCACTACCGGAGTACCGAAAGCTGAAACTACCAAGAAAGAGAAGGAGAAGGAGAAGGAGAAGGAGAAGACGAAAGAGAAGAATAAGGAGAAGACGAAGGAAAAGGATAATGAGAAGGCGAAGGCGAAAGACGACTCACCACTTACGCCTACCACATCGAATCCCCCAACTGGACCCCGAGCTTCTCGAACTCCAAGCGTTGCATCGACAACGACCAAACCTGCTGCAGGACCCACCCAGCGCAATGCAAAGGCTCCGCAGCCATCAGCAGGTGCTAAATCCGCATTCCTGAAACATGCCAATCCTTCCCAAGGTATCACTGAAGAGTCGCTGCAGACGGTTTTCAAGCAGTTTGGCACCATCACACGCTGCGAGATTGACAAGAAGAAGGGCTTGGGCTATGTCGACTTCAGCGAGCCAGAAGGACTGAAGAAGGCGATGCAAGCTAGCCCTGTCATAGTGGGCAATGGTCAGGTAATGGTGCTTGAGAACAAAAATGCGCAAGGTGGTGGGAAACGTGCTGGTGGACAGCAAAAAGAGAGTTCAACCAAGACTGCTCCTGCTGCCAGTCCTTCAGCCACCACTACTGCGTCGATTCCATCAGCTCTACAGGTACCACCTGGACAAGCTTCATCCACAACAGCGAAGGTCAAGTCCCCAGCTATCAAGTCTCCAGCTCCAACACCAGCCACACCACCTACAGCGACCGCGGCAGTGGACTTGTCTCCAGCCACGACAACCGCAACAATAACATCAGATACACCGCCAAGTGCCCCACGAGGTTCAGGCCGCCATGCAGGACGCGGTGGACGAGGCGGTGGCGGCGGCGGAGGGGGTGGCGGTGGTGGAAGAGGAAACAGCAGAGGGTCTGGGCAGAGCTCGAAAGGCCGCAATGGAGGACGAGGGAATGGCCGACGCGGTGGTGCTGGTGGCGGTGCAGATGCTTCGTCAAAGACAGAAGGGGGTGCCGTCTCTGCCCCTGCCCCTGCTCCACCGGCCAACAGTGGTGGTCCTGCTACTGCTGGCACGACAAGTAGTGAGTAAGGCTTCAGAGTCCTTATGAGAATACGCCGATCACGTTGTCAGCGGTCTTGACTACTGATGACTATGACTGAGGCTGGGAGGAAGAAGCCACACAGGTGTTTTCCACGGGCATGTCATGTCCGATCGGACGAACATACAGCATGCTTCAAAGGCTTTTCGGGTATCTAGTGTGGCTGAAGGGTGTTGCACTTACTCTCGCTCGTCGTCTACAATCGCATTGATTTTCTGGGGCGTGGCGATTCATGATCAGGTGACAAGATCCTTTACCACGCTTCTACGAAGTATGTGAGGTGGACGGACAAACTTCCACCGCCGGACTACCTCAGATGGGGGGGGGGCGGGCACTCCAGGCAAGATACGGCCGAACGATGGACGTTCCATGGCTGAATCGATCGACCCCAATCTCTGTTTGGGTCCTGAACGACTCGAAATGGACCGTCCTCGTCCACCGTCGGGGGAATAATTTCTCCGCCTAGGAAGAACATTAGCAATTTCGCAAATATCACTACTGGTCTCGGGCTGCAATACTCGGGCCAATTGTGAATGTGAAAGTACTTAGATACTCTTCGCCAATCTGGACCTAAGAGCGACTGATCACTTTCGTAACACTTTGATAGTACACCGAAGAAACCTTTCTACACAATTCAAGCACACATGCGCAATGTTCAAAACACCGAGGAGACTTGGCTTGTACTACTGTCTGTTGAAAGGGATTGTGACAGGACGCATTCCTGAATAATGCTTCCACCATCGTGCGTCATATCGAGGCCTGCATTTTCATATATCGACCAAGAGTTGGTCCAGCTTGTCAGAGGGTCAAATGACATGGACCAAGATCAAGATCATACACAAACCCCACCAGGACGCAAGACTAGCTATCAACATCTCTCAGCACGTGTCCATCGTGCGATGACGGTCCTTCGTATGGCTTCTCAACAGCGGACTCCTGTTCACCACCTCTAACCTGTTCATTCAGATTCCCAGAGTGATCGGAGGCGCCGGTTTCGAGGCTGGACGCAGGCGATCTGTCCAGCCGATATTGATAGTTTAGCTGTAGTGCCCACCACACTCTTCACAACACCACACCACTGATTTAAAGGTGATAGAACGTAGGTATGGGATTGCCGGGCTATTAGTGCCTGGGGCTGGGCTGAGTAAGTCCCTTCGAATTGGCATCTGAGTCTGCATCAGATTTGATCAAGTTCTCCTAACTTGAAGTTGGTAGAGTGCAACAAGGAACCGATCTGTTGATCCGGTGTCATGCTGCTATGAGAACTGAACTGGAGGTGTGTATCCCGTTCATTTCTCCTTTTGCTGCTTCGAACTTTCAATGTTCTCCAGCTCCTTCTTCAGCAGTTCCGCGAGTCCTTCGTTTCTTCTCGCCAGCAACATGACATCGTCGGTCTTGATTGTACTCCTTCCAGCGTGCTTGGCGAAGGATTCAAGATCGACTGCAGCGCTTCCTATGTGAAAATTAGTTTCGTCATCACTCATTGTCCGCCGTTCTTTCCGAGTGGCATTCTTCGCAATGGCTCAGAACTCTGGCAGGTACAAGAAGACAATAATACCAATCTGCGCCCAGACCAATTCCATCAGACTCCCAATGAACTGCGGAGTCGCATTGACGCCAAGTAAGAGGCTTTGTTCATCGACCACTTTGCCGATGTGGAACCAGAGAGCCGAACGTAGTTTCTAAGGAATATTTAGTGAGCGGCGGGTCTTGAATGGGTTGTTATCTGGTCGGGTGGTGGTGATGGTCTCCTGGAGGGGTTGTGTTGTGCCTCACCTTTGAAAGAGCTTCGGCGTCCATATCGTTCTCTGTGATTGACGCCATTGCTAGCTCGTCGTTTTTGACAAACCAGCATTTACTCTATGTCTCAATTTATTGCATGAAGGCGGGATATAAGGAGGGGTCTTTCTCAGAAGTGACGCGTCTGCCAACGTGTGCTCTACTTGACGCGTCGAGATTTACTAGGGCGGAGCACTGACAACCAGCCGCAATAGCTAAAGAAAATCAAGTCATTTGAAACGCTGGCTTGCCGACGCTCGATTGAATGGCTCCTAGTGCTTCTTCCAATTCGATTGCAACAGCCCCCGAAAAGACAAGTGGTCTGCTCGTCCTCTGTGTGACGATGAGGTACTCAGATTTCGTCCTCTAGCTGGCAAGTGCAAGCGTTGCGAACCGCAAGTCGACGGTCAACTTTACGTGCAATTCAGACTCTCTGCCACAACCTTGATCGAGACTTAAGAGCTCTTTGCTCGCTCAATTAGATCCCACTGATTGCCATACAAGTCCTTGAAAACTGCGACGGTTCCATAATCCATCTTTGCTGGCAGCCTGACCCACTCGACGCCGTTACGGTTGAATCGATCATAGTCTCTTTGGAAATCGTCCGTCTCGAGGAACAAGAAAACCCGCCCTCCTGTTTGACTTCCCACCACAGCCTCTTGCTCAGGGTTTGAGGCACGTGCGAGCAGTATTGTTGTTGCACCTGGTGGCGCCCCTGGAGGCCGGATAGTGACCCAGCGCTTGTTTGGCTCTTGCTTGTCCTCCACCAGTGCGAAGCCAAGCTTGGTGACGAAGAAGTCAATAGCCTCATCGTACTCGCGAACCACCAGGGAGATGTGTGCAAGGTAAGGCATATTGACTCATATGTTATGGCGAGGCCTACCCCTGTGTCGACATAGATGTTGCCTTCATGGATGAAAACGATGTCCTGATGAGCCAGCCAATGGACGTGGCAAACCCCGCCTTTCCCGAGTAGGAATCACCACTCCATTATCACTCTTGGTCATCACGGTTGAGTTTGACTCTGGAATAAATGTCATTTGGACACACGTTCTTGCATCAGCCAGTTTCATTGCCTCAGCTATGTTCCCCTGCAAATGGAGGAAGAACTCGAGGCGATGCTGACGCGATAGCACCACCAGATGAAAGTCCTCTTCCAAGCTATACGCTTAACGGAAGGTACCTATTATAGCCTGCTATCGTCCATCAGAAATCAGTGCCATGGAAGCTTGATCACACTAAGCCTGCTTGCGTCAAGTACCGAATGCTTGTAAAAATGGCATCGTGCGGCGGAGTGGATCGCTGCTGAGCTCGTATCCATTCTGTCTTGCATAATCCGCATTAACGATGGGTGGTTGGCAAATTCCAAATCTCCAAATTTTGAACTAATGCATAACCTGTGTGTTTGCATACTGTGGTTGCATTAGACTTGGCATCATATGGTCGCATCAAACGTGGTCGATGTGGCTGCATCTACCTCAACAGGATACCTAGCTGATGTAAGTTGCGTTTTTTACTGGTAGGTAACTGGAAAGATCGTCGACCTAACGCCTGTAGATGCTTTCAAAGTTGACTTGGTATGCTTCGTGGTTGGGACCATTGTCAATATGCCAGTACTTTTCCAGACTCGTGCGACAATCATTTGATCGGACGATGCTGGAGAGTTCTATATAAGCCTCAATGCCCACGAGGCCTCTTGGTCTCAATCTTCATCCACATCACAGTTTCTGAAGTCAATAAAGTGATACACAATCTCCCCAACGACACATAAGAGCCACTAGTTTCACCGAAGTGATCTGCAAAATGCCAAATCGTGACGGCGTCTACTTCCTCGACTGCAGACGTGGTGAACAGGTTAAAACTGCACTGGCCTACTACAAGAATTTTCAAAATGGCGCAAATGACAATCAATTTCCGGACGACATTACCAACGTTACTGAAGCTGGATTTGGGGTTTGGGAGACAGGGCAGACACAGAGTGCGTTGAGAGCCCTTCCTTGGATCGTTCTTCATGCTTTTTCTTCTCGTGACAGTACTGAACATTAGAAACATACAGCTGTAACTTTCGGTAACGGCACGAAATTCAATTTCAATATTGCCCCTGATGCAGTGTCCAAGCCGGATGGTGCGGTTGTTGGTACCGCGGATAATGGATTCGAGACTTTCACTGTGTTCAAGGACCGCCAAAGAGTCTTGATCATCACGAACGATGGCTTCCAGTGTACGACGATCTACTTCGCTCACTAGAAGGAGTCAATAAGCCTTGCGACTTTTTGCCAGATAACCAGATAGCAATAATGGAGATTGACAAATTACCAGAGTAATAGGGTGCGCCGCCACCCTACTCTCAGGCACACTTGCCATTTGTACATCATTGTTAAGTTTATACAGCGGGTTCTCATTTCCTAAGGTCTAGGGAGTTCCCCGGATAACCCATGCACTCGTGCCTTGTCTAAGACAGATGTACCTTGAACAATGAGTAGAGGACTCGTTAGTCTTGAGTCGGTCCGTGACCGTTACCAGACGCTCAATGAAGACAACAGATCAAGAGAATTCTCGTTCTCGAGAGCAAGTCAGAAAGCCACCATCTGTTCCCGCGGAACTTAGAACTCCAATCGAGGGCTTGCCGTTACCGGCCGAAGTTACCGGCGACCAGGCGTCCAGCTAGCCGGTCTACTCCCTGCTGCCAAGCTGAACATAGAATGCGGAGAGACTTCCAACTCTACGGTTCCTGGAAACTGGAGTATGCGTGCTCCTTGCCTGGCTAGAGCAATGGTGTGGAGAGATTGGACTCATTTTTTCCCCGGGGTAAATTTCATGGAGTTTTTGAAAAGGGTCTCCGAGATGGATGATCAAGCCTAAGGGAGTAACGCAGTCCGCTATTTAAATGTTGGTATGTACCACATCTCAGACGTTGACTACATCCTCAGGGAAATACCACTTGCCTGGCAAAAGTCCTTCATACACTTCATAATTCCCGTATCTCAACTATTCCAAGATGGCCGAACCCACGAAGCGTCGCTTCAAGGCGATTAGTATGATCTTTACAGCACTCACAGGACTGGGCTCGGTATCTTACGGCTACAGCGCGTTTGTGCTCTCCTCAACTTTAGCAGAGCCGTCGTTCTACCACTACATGAAGCTTGAAGGGCGCCCCGATGCCAACGACCTGATTGGTCTGACAGGCTCCCTGTTTCAAGCCGGAGGATGTCTGGGATCTTTGCTTGTCTCCTTCTTCGCCGATCGCTGGGGTCGTCGAGTTGGTATAGCATTTCCAGCTGCCTTATCAGTCTTCTCCGCCGCTCTTCTAGCAGGCTCAGTTAACATCGGCATGTTTATCGTTTTCAGGTTCTTTGCTGGCGCGGCCTCTTGCATGATCGTCAGTGCAGTGACTTTATGGATCAGTGAGGTTGTTCCTCCGAATGTTCGAGGATCATTTGTCAATGTCAATGGCGCATCCATATTGCTCGGTGGTGTTATGGCTGCTTGGGTTGGATATGGCTTCAGCCATCTTCGGCCTGGTGATGTCGACAGCAAGCAATGGCGGGCTCCACTCGCACTAGGGACTCTTCCGGCCTTGATTCTTCTCTGTTGTCTCTACTGGCTTCCTGAGAGTCCAAGATGGTTGATCAGCCAAGGAAGGCACGACGAGGCAAAACGGGTCTTGAGTCGACTGGAAAGCCCGGAAGAAGCCGCCAGCGAGTTCTTGCAAATCCATGCACAAATCCAACACGATGCGAACTTGGAAAGTTCATATATTTCCATGGTCACCAAGCCAAGTTACAGAAAACGAACAATTCTGGCAGTTTTGACAACCTTTTCGACGCAATTGACTGGACCCTTGGTGATCGTTAACTATGGTGCCCTCATATATGCTCAACTCGGATTCGATACCAATAAACAAATCATCTATCAAGGCGGCTGGATCATGGTCGGATTGGCTGGTGGTTTGATCTCTCTTTTCATTGTCGACCTTGTCTCACGGCCAGCACTTATTGCTGGCGGGATCCTCGGATCTCTAGCTATGCTGGCCATTGAAGCGGCTCTAGTGGCTACTTACGCTACAACTCCCGAGTCCTTGGCCAATCCGAACCAAAGTGCGCTTCAGGCAGCAGTGGCAATCTTCTATGTATATTTCTTCCCATACCAATTCTCCTGACAATTGCATTCACTGACGGGTATTACAATAGGTTTACATTCTCATCTTTGAGGCCACGCTGGAAGGTGTTCAATTTGTTTATCTTGGGGAGATTTTCCCAACGCATCTCCGAGCTAAAGGAATAGGTATCGGTATTTCAGCCTTATGCCTTATCAATATCATGTATCTGCAGGTCGCACCAATGGCTTTCGCTCATGTTGGATGGAAATTTTATCTTGCCTTCATCGTGCCAGGTACATTCATGGCGTTTGTAATCCTGTTTTTCTGGCCAAACACAAGACAAATGCCCCTGGAAGATATTGCTGCATTGTTTGGTGATGAATTTGAGCACGTTGACGAGGCCCGTTATCCACAAGAAGTGCTCTCCGTTCATGATGCTGAGGTCAAATATGCAGAGAAAGAAAGACCAGCGGAGAAACTCACGCCTTCTGGGCAAGATTAGAGCCCAGAATCTCGCTGCAATGCTTCTGCTTGGAAGAAAATGGATTGGCACCTGCCTGCCACTGCCTAGTGCTCGAGTTCAGAGAAGAATGTTGGCCAACCCCTATTGAAATTTTAAGCGAGGGGCATCCTTCAGTTCTAGTCCATAAACTGCGCTCAGTGTCATACACGAATCTGCAGCACTTATACGCAGTCTCAAATCGGCAATCGAGCATCTCGTATACAGCTCGAGATTGGACACGCATGTCATATCTTGGAGTTTAATACTGCCTTAGTCTAAGCACAAATATACTGTGTTCGTAAATCGTGTGGTATCTTAATACTAGTTTTTCATGTCGCGTCCTTAGCTATACAATGATGCCTAATCCACTTATTTCCTTCTATCAGTATGGAGAGGGAATACTGATCTAACCATTCCTGTACTGGGGCAAGTGTTTCATCCTTAACTTTTGTTGACATGTAGTGGGTTCGACTCTATAGATCATAGCGAAAGTCACGACATAAGACGAGCTATCTAAAGTCACATCGTTGTTGCTAATTCGCCTTCATTATTTCGTGAAAGGGCGGCCGCCAGTTACATTTCTTCAATTTTCATAGTAGACGGGGATATGTTAACCAAACAGATTATGCTTGTAGCTTCATCAAAGAAACGAACTCTATCTATTCTGATGAATCGACCAGCTTTTTCCCAAAGAACGCAGACTCAATCTGGAAAGGATCAAAATACTCAATGATCTCAGCAAGTCCATCTCCCTCTGCACGTAGATAATACCCATAATAAGGCTGCTTATACACTCCGTGCGTGGCTTTTCCAATTCCACTGGCTCTCAAGAATGCTTTATCCCCATCCACAATAATGTCTGAGAAGACGATGGTGGGTCTTTCTGTATAACCAGATAAAGCAGGTGCAAGCCGGGCAAAGATGTCTTCGAGCCCCTTGTAGACTCCTGAGACTGGAGTCTGGCCAGTCAAAACAAACTGTCCATCTTCGTTAAGGAGGCGATATGCGTCTTCATATCGGGTGGTTGAAACATATTCCACGAATTTGTCTGCGAGAATTCGAGTCTTCTGTGTTGATGTTTGTGACGTTGACATGGTCGGCAGTTGACTCTTCTTGAGACTATGCCTGGGGCATGGGATGATGTGTAGGAAAGGAGATTATCTGAATGCCTAAGTAGTTACAAGTCCGTGGACGTTTGCTTATGAGGAATGCGTTCCACTGGTTGTTCAGAGAATGAATCAAGCGCGATCCTTATGCTGGAAGCGCTGGAGAGAAGCGAGGCGTGTTTCTCTTTTCTTAATATCCCGAGCGAAGTAGCGAGACTATTCACACATGACTAGGTAAACCGCGGGGACACTTTGTCTAGAGGATCCTTTCAGAGGGTTGCGGCATTTTGAACCAAAATATTGCAACGAATGTTATCGCGGTGGGGACCATACTGCCGGATAACATTGACAGCCGCGGATCCCGGGGTACGCTTGTGCTCGGACCAGGGGCTCCACAAGTTGAGAAAAGCGCTGTGTCACCTTAATTTCAATGTGTGACTTGGAGTACAACTGGTCAATAGTACGAACGCGTCTGGAACGGAGTATATTCTCCCGCGTGGCTTATTTGGATACATAACGTTCAAAAACAGTTGGTGCTGCTCTCGAAAGCCATACACGGACTGTCAAGACCAATAGTCAGGATTGGCGTTCTAGCTGCCACCTGACATACTGGCTAACAATTATGGAAGCATCACTTCAACCATTGATCGGGTTGTATAGGCCTCATAATTTAGGAGGGCTTTACTACGGGCCAGATGTGGTTAGGAATCAGATTCGTTCAGTGTTACGGTCTGAAACTTCGAAGGCTTTCATCGTCACAGGCTGTTCACTTGCAACGAAAACGCCACTCATCGCAGACCTTGAAACATTGCTAGGACCAGAAAACCACGCCGGTACTTTCAGTGGTATTAAGCAACATGCAGGTGCTACAGAACTCGAAGAGCTGACTGAGTTGGTCACGCAACACAATGCGATTGATACCATTATCTCCGTTGGTGGTGGCTCGCCAATTGACAGCGCTAAAGCCATCATTTTCCGGGTTCATCAAAAAACCCAACAATGGTTGACCCATATCACAATACCCACAACCTTATCTGCGGCTGAGTGTACTATAATCGCAGGCTACACAGGATACGACGGTGTCAAGACGAGTGTGAGCCATCCAAAGCTTTACCCTTCATACATCTTCTATGATCCTAAGTTCGGTCTTCACACGCCGCCCAGGTTGTTTCTATCTACAGGTATTCGTGCCCTCGATCATGCAGTCGAGATTCAGTATCAACCGTGTACAACAAAAATGCCCACTCGAATGATGACTTTAAGCTCCATCTCAGAGCTCTTTCGACTACTGCCACAATACAAAACTGACCCTAAGAATGAGGATGTGATCACCGGGTTATTCCTAGCGGCGTACGCGAGCTTAGGCTTTCTTGGTCAGAACCTGGTACCAGCCCTAATGCTCTCACACACGTTAGGTTACGCACTCGGTTCGCCCTACGCAATCCCCCACGGCGTTACATCGTGCATTACTCTGGGAGGAACTGTAAAGCTGGTGGCAAGGCTGAAAAAAGAGAATGCACGGAATCTTTCAGCGATACTTCCTCACATTGGTGAAAAGCAGTCGGGCAACAATATACAAGACTGCGATAGCGTTGGAGATCGTATCCTGCAACTGGTAGACCTTTTGGGCCTTCAGACTACATTGACGGAGTACGAGGTTGGGACGGACCAATTAGACATTATCGCTGCAAGATCTTTGCGACTGGACCCAGGAAAAGACATCCTATCTCAAGACAAGGAGTTGTTCGATTGTGTCAGAGAGTTCGTCAGGAGCCTATGGTGACCACCTGCCGACTTCGGTATACTCTTCTACGTATGGGATCTGTTCGAGGGTGTACTCAGTCATTCGCTATCCTGTAACAGATAGACAATCGGGCAAAGCTGAAATCAATATGCTGGAGATCACGGATGCCTCAGCTGAATGACTAACGCGCCAATAACTAGTCATTTTCAGATCCGCGGCCCGGCTACCCAGTCAAAAATCTCCATATTTGTTATTAATCCACGACAATGTGCCGGTGATTAACCCCAGAGGTAACCGGAACTTCGAGGATCTTGATGTTTTGGTTCCGGATGGCCTATGCCTACTTAGTGTTCTTATATAATGAGACCGAACTCTGCGGTTGATTTTATGGCCTCGCACAATCTTCAGACCTCTCAGCTTGCTCTGACCTCAAACATCGGCATGTCTCCGCGAACTGAAGGTGGTTTGGGCGATCTTCATGCGGCGTCACAGCTCATCCCAAAGAATGAACCATACGTTATGTTGAACATGATGAACTTTAAGCCGGAAGCTCAGTACGATAATGATTTTGAAGGCTCTCCATCAAATCCTATCTCGGGCGCTGAAGCCTACACGATTTACAGGCAGGCATTTGGAAAGCGAGCAACTGAGCTAGGGGTGAAAAATCCTGCAGTTCTCTTCCTGGGTAAAGCCCACACAAATCTGATCGCCGGGCCACAGGAAGGTGAATCATGGGATTTCATTGTTATGGTGAGGTTCGAAAACTTCGCCTCATTTAAAATGGTTCTGGAGGACGAAGGGTATATCAAATTGATTCAACCTCATCGCCTTGCTGCGGTACGAGAGTTTCGCTCGTTTGCTGTCAGCGAAATTCACTAAAGAGAACTTCAAGCACATGCTCACATTCGGATACCTTTTCGGTGTTGGGCGGTGCTGATCTACATCTGATGTTATTATGAAGCCGTTTTTGCCTCGTTATCCGAGAAAGTCTTCGCTTGACACTAGTGGCATGACAATAGAGATGGTTAAGATGACTTTTGTATATATCTGCTCCCAATTAATGCTCGACTTTTCAATTACGCCTCATGGAACCTCATTACTGGATGGACTTTTCATAGTCTTTCAAGAAAGCCCATCGTACTTTGGTAGCGTAGTCTTTAACCTTCCAATCCTTTAGATCCCCATGTGGGAACCAACGCATTCCGAATTGTGGGTCCAGCAATGAATCGTCATGTGCGATGATCACGAAGACGTTGTCAACCGCATCGAAATCTTGCATGCTCTCAAGAGAATGGACTGCTTGGTCTCTATCGTGAGACATGGTATCATTCAATTGATAAAATGGCTCATTTCCCTTCTTGTTAGGATGCACCGCCTCTAAGATATGACCCGGGCAAGTTGAAGCATACTTTGTAGGCAGAGGCGACGGACTGATCTCTTGGGGAAGAGGAAGATACGCGCTTGGCCGAATGGCGCCACCATGGTGGGCTGTATCTGCACCCATGAAAACAAATGTGTCTTCAGCATCGCCCTCCTGAGTTGAAGTAACTCTAGCTAGTCCACAAATATGGCCAATGGCGTGCCCCGGGGCGTCAAGAAGGTAGAACGAGCCGTCTTTGAAGTAATCATATCCCCTGAACTTGCCAATATTGAGGATAGGCTCCCGCTCCCAATCTATTTCTTTATGCTCGCGACCTGCGAAGTCGCTCTCCGATAGAGGCGATTCCGGATTTTGGGGGTAACCTGGCAGAAGAGCATCTCGGACCCCAGCTCCGGTAATGAGTGTTGTGCTACTGGGGAACGTGCTTGTGTCACCGGTATGATCGAAATGCCAGTGACTCCAGACAACAGCCTCAATCGCGCCTCCTGCTACGTCAATCCCATTGTCCTGCAGAATCTCAGCAACGTTCTGTTGCACTTCAAGGGCCCAGTCAGGCGGACTGAGTCTGTCAATAATCGCCGGCGGTAAATTTTGCCAGTCCTTCCTTAGTCCCAAATCAAACAATATCTTTCGAGACGAAGAGGGCTGTTCGACCAAGAAACTGAAAGCTGGTGCTTGAAGATGGCTATGACCTGGAATCGCTGGCTTCATAAATCCAGCTACAGGAGCATGGATTCTGGAAGTGGAATCGATGATCTGGACTTTAGCAGTGGCTCCCGCCGGCAGGTCCAGAGATGGGGCTGGGATAGCTTCATAGAGAAGAGCGCGGTTCTGAGATGTCATGATTGCTGATATGTGGCAATAAGATGTGAGATGTAAGCTCCTGAAGCACGGGACTAGTGCCTAGATAACGACAAAGAAAGCTTTGAGCGCCAGACTCATCATACCTCGTTCCCTGATTTCTTACAAGATATCAATCTTTGCATCCCTCAAGCCTATCCTCAGGCGTGCCACTGACACTTTATTTGGCAGGTCTGACAACGAATCTCGACGCTGCCAGTAGATATTCTATTTGTCAGTCAACTCCGCGGACCGAATGTCTAGCTAGTCAATACCAACGTCATCAACACAGACCACCCCAGGCTGAACGTCTCGACATCACAGGTGAGCCCCCGAAAGTCTTGGGTGGGTGAATCATCTCGTGGTTGGGGTAAGTATTCTACCCCTCGGCCCCCTCCTGGTTGATCCGCACTTCGGTTCGCCGGCACCCAGACATGACACTTCCCACTGGACTATCTTTTTGCCCATCGGCTTGATTGGTAGTAGCAGATGATGTTCGCCGCGGATACTATCTGTTGCGAGTACAATGATTGTTTGTAGCAATGCTTTTAACTGCCTATGGTACTTGGTATTCGCTTTGAGATCTCGAGTTTGATACTAGTTGTTAGGATATCTTTTCATCGGTTTATGATAACCTACCGATGCGTTTACGCCCAGACTTCGATAATAAACACCCGTCTCATTTAGAGCTCATAGAATGTGCTTTGGAATTCATCGGAGACTACTCTGACCTCCCGTAACCTCTGCCTTGAAGAGCCACATTATTCGTGGAGGGAGAGGAGAATACTACCCGTGCTTTGGGACTACTAGGTGGCCTTTAGCTTGTAGGCCTAACAGTGTAAACCTATTGTAGGGGTCACTTTGAACACTTAGAGCTTGCCCTGATATAAGATCGCTTTTGCGGGGTTGGTGGACACCAGTTAACATGGGGAACCTCGGATTAGTGCTAGTTTGGGGTAGAAAATCAACCTGCGACGACTTGCTTAGCCCCGACAGCCGTGGCGCGGCATTTCCCATTAGAAGCAGACTCAGTCTTCATCATCTACCCAGACCGCCAGCACAAGAGATTGTACCAATATGGACACAACGTCCACCACAAGTGCTCCGCTGCAAACAGCCATAGGCGACGTGCCTCAGCAGAGAAACAGGAGAGCACGGGCAGCATGTGAGCTATGTCGATCGAAGAAGGTCCGTTGCGATGCTCGTGGTGGCCGAGCTTGCTCTAATTGTACTTTTGACAATCTACCTTGCGTTTTGTCACCGAGAAGGCCAAAGAAGAACGCAAATCCTCTCAGATCTACTTCGACCCAGAGCCAATATATACGTCCGAGAGGATCTGAAGATATCATTGTTCCGTCTCTCGTTTCAATCCCGATCTCGCAGAATGAAAACTCTGATCAGACACATGCTGAATCTGGGGCATCTACTTCTCAGCATGAGGACGCCGTCCACCTTCAGGGGAAGGTGCCTGCACCTGAGACATCTCCCAGCGGATGGACAGAGACATTGTCAATACCTGGTAAGCAAATTTAGCTATATCAGAGGGCACCTTCATTAACGCTGGCAACCAAAGAAGATCCAAGGATTTGGACATCCAATGGACACGATAGCAGCTTTCCACCGTCTCAAAGCACATACAGCCACTTCTCCCAGTCCGGTCCCGCGATGAGCAAAACACCCCCGCATTCGGGTTCTTTCCTGGCAGACATCCCCAACTATATCAAGCCATTTCCTCCATCACTAGAAGTGGAAGACCTTGACTACCTCCAGAAGAAAGGGGTTTTTGCATTGCCAGACTCGGATGTCCAAGACGCATGCTTGAGATCTTATTTCAAACATATCCATCCAATATACCCGGTTATAGATCCGGTTACAGTTACCCCGATGCTCAAAGACGGGAACAAAAAGAAGGAAAAGATGAGTCTCTTACTCATCTATGCGATTATATTCGTTGGTAGTACCTGGATCGATATCAAACTGCTGCGCAAGCTTGGGTTCCTATCGCGTCGGGTGTTTCGAAAATCTATCCATAAAAAGATGCGCTTACTTTACGATGCTGATTATGAAACTGACAGGTTATGCCTGATACAAGTCTTCATTCTATGGACCTTCTGGTTTGAGGGTCCAAATGAGAATAAAGACGGCTGGCATTGGATAGGGGTAGCGTTGTCGCTATCCCGAGTAATTGGTTTGCATCAAGCCTCGCTTGATGCAGCGGGCACCAAGTCGTCAATCAATCGCTTCCGCAGACGGCTATGGTGGTGTCTTGCAACTCGCGATGTCATCTGCTCGTTCGCTCTGAGTCGCTGTCCGAGGATTACAGACATCAGCCATAATGTTAGCATGATTGGGATTGAGGATTTCGACTTCAATCCGATGCCCGCCATCATTCAAATGTCCAATTCTCAGAGTCTCTGTCAGCAACAAACTCTCGCTCGAATCTGTGTGCATTATTTTAAGCTTGTCAGCATCTTTGGGAAGATTTGTAAAGCTGCGTACCCTGAATCTGGCTCGGGCAAAAGTTCCGTTCTGTATTCCAGTGAGCAGTTAGAGGGGATGGACAGCATCGGCGGTGACAGAAATCTTTCGGTGGCTAATCAGCTAAAAATGTTTCAAGCTCAACTCGATCAATGGAGGAGAGAAGTCCCCGATGATCTATGGCACGACTCAAACTTGCTGTCAAACCTCGATGGGGCTGAAAGAGTTGAACAAGTTCATCGAGGACTACTATCAATGATGTATTACGCGACGGTGATGATATTGCATCGGCCGCAAATGGGTGCAATGAATACAACAGGGCACTCGGTCAACATTACGCAGAGCACCGTGCCAGATCCCCCTCGAGTCCTAGTTAGGTTTGCCGCCATGCAGATGACCCAAATTGCCATGGATTTCTACCAAGAAGACCTTGTCGAATCACTTGCCGCAACTTGTATTAGCTGCTTGATTCTCGCCAGCATTAGTCATATTTTTGACATAATGTCTGTTGAACAAGTGGTACAATCCGAGGCGCGCAAGAAACTGGAGCAATGCCGGGCGATCTTCCATGCATTTGCAGATCAACAGGCCGGAGGGCTATGGGGACTTGGAGTTATCGACTATATTATGTTTCGTTTAAAACATCAACAATTCCACCGCAAGATTGACGTGACGCCTTTCCAGGGTAACTCCAACAGCCTCAGTCTGGAAAGGAGCAATGAAGCTTCGATCAGCGACGATGTCAATGCTCAAGATCAACTACACACAAATCATATCCTGGCTACAACCGATAGCTCGAGAAAGCAAGACACGGAGGGCTTCAGCAACGGAAGTTCAAGCACGTCCCACATACCAGTGTTTCCCTCGCCACGCCAGCCATTCGGCTTTAACGAGTCCTTCTTGCCTGGACTGAGTTTGGACCAGCCGTTGCCTGATAATTTGATGAGTTTTCTAGGCCCGGATATTGCCTGGCTCGAGTTTCCGAACCCCTGTGAGACCTTAGATGTCATGAGCTGGAGCGGGACTGGTGGAGGTTGAAAGCGTGCTATAGTCTACTTGATTTGCTATACTATATAAATACACCACACAAATTCTACAACAATACTCAATGCTTGCCTCGACCGCTATGGAGTATGTGTCGTTATCTGGTTTTGACCAGGTTCAAACACGTGCAAGTTTAGATACCATTGCCCACAAGGTTAACGTGTCGTCAATTCTGTTCGACTGAGTTGAGAACAAATGTCACCACTGAAGAAGCCTATTTGTAGCCATTGGAAGACTCCTGAGCAAGGCTGGTTGCCTCTGTTTTGCTATGAAATATGCTGCTTCACCATTGTTCTAGCATTCAAATCAATGTTTCAAGTAAAAAGCCAAGTCATTCTTCGGATCTAGTTCATGATCCGTAAAGCCGTTACCCAAGAAGGACCACCGGTTGGTGCTTTGATATTGGATGTCAAAATCTTCAGGTCGGATCTCTTGAACCAATTTGCGAAACAGCAGCGCGCTGCCGCCGAATCCGGCTGTCACCCGGCCACCAGGGGTATTCCGTTTGAACCAGCTAGAGCAGCTATCAGTCCATACCAGGGTATCATGAATTTTATTGCCTTTTTCGATAAGCTCATTGATCACATCCGACTTGGGCGTGATAGACTTGATGTCCTCAGTCGTCACTTTATAAAGCCATTTCAAAATATAATCAGCCGTCCAGTTGATAGATTCGATGAGCGACCCATGGGTGACAACAGCGTTCGGACCGAGAAAGATGAAATGATTCGGCATGTTCGCTGCGCCCAGCGAGATATATGACTTTGGGTCGACCGCCCACTCCACGTTCAGGTCTACCTGATCTCTTCCAATCATGCGCCACTGTGGTCTCCAAGAAACATCAAATCCAGTGGCACAAGCAATAACATCGACCTCGTAAGACTTGCCACTTGCCGTCACCACAGAGTTTTCGGTTGCCCCCGACACTGTGTCAAAGACCAATTGGACATTGTCTTTCGAGAAGGATTCAAGATACCCTTCCGCTGGGGTGATGCGCCGACAGCCTAATCCCCAGTTCGGTATCATTCTATCGCACAACTCAGGGTCGTGATGCAGTTTCTCGGCCATTTGTAGACGTGCCAGCTCCGATTCTTTGATATTTTCCTCTGATCCCTTCACAAACTAAGCACCACGGTCAGCCCCTGAAGCTCCAGTGTGTGCTCTCACAGCTTACCATTTTGAACATCGAATTGATGCTATGGATAATCTTTTGGCGGTATTCTCGGTGAAAAGTCTTGTCTTCACGAAACCTTTGTTTCTCCTGCTCGGTATATGCTGGATTTTGAGCGAGGTCGTCACGGTCAAGTAGTTTTGCCGGAGCAGATCTTGAGTAGACATAATTAGGGCTTCTTTGAAAGCTGATCACCTTCGCTCCAGGCAGATTTGCCAGTTTGGGAACTATCTGAACCCCGGAGGATCCGTTCCCTATCACAGCTATTGTTTTATGGGAGTAGTCGTAATTTTCATCCCATTCTGCTGAGTGGCATTTATGACCTTTGAACTTTTCTAATCCTTGCACATTAGGCCAATGCCACTTGCTACAAGACATTGATGTTAGCCAAAAATAGTTCAGAGCGAGTTATCCTCTCACTTCAAGACTCCTTGTCCTGATATTAGGAAGTCGGCATATTCGACGAAGGCACCCTCCCCATTCTCAACTGTAATTTTCCATTGTGCGACGTCTTCTTGCCACAGAGCTTCCAGTACTTTGTGATTCAAGTGTACGTCCCGATCAAGATTCCATTTTTTGACCGTGGCTTTGATATAACTGTGTATCTCCTGCCCCGTAGCGTAGAAGTGGTCCCAATCAGGTTTGGGGTCGAATGGAAATGCCTAGTCGACTCAATAAGCTAAACTCCAAGCAGTGGAGAGACTTACATATACATGTGCAGGCACATCACATTGGACCCCAGGATACTTATTCACGAGCCAAGTTCCACCAACATCACCTCTAGATTCAAAGATCTTATGTGAAGTCAATTGCTGGAACTCTGGCCGCTCGTGTTGCAGCTTATGTGCGAATATGAGACCAGAAAATCCAGCTCCAACAGTCACAATCTTTAGAACTCTTTGCGGAGTATATGCGGGTGAGTTTGGAACTGGGTTTTTGGTCCCTCGCGAAAAGGTGTCCAACACCTCAGAAGCTGTGGTTGCTTCGCCCATCCTAGATACCGACAAACTATACTGTGCAGATGTTTGAGCTAAACACTTGAATGTTGCAAGTAGATACCCAGAGGCAACATATGAAATAAAGCTAAATTATGGCTTTCGAAATAAAAGGAAGGCGAAATTGTTCTTCCGATTCAGCTACTAGACTCTAGGTTGTTGCTTATAGCTGACACCCTTGGTATTTACAACAGAGTGTTAATTCACTTGGAGATCATGCCTAAGAATACTCAAGATAGATCGTGGGTGTTGGTTTTGGATCTGTCCTGCTATCATGTTTACAGCGTCTCATGCACAATACACCCCCATGTTGAAGACTACATAGTCCGCGGCCCGCGGATGAGCAACTTGCAATAAGATCAATCAGTTTGCATATTTAGTAAGCAAGGTACCTAGCTTCTCAGTTGGTCCCAAGGGGTTTGAAATATAGCTCAAGAAATATGTTGCTAGTGCTTGATGATTCGTTATGGGTCAATAGGGTTCTGGTTGACTAACTACTTAGATGCCGCGGCTCATGGTTCCCAGCCCGAGGGGTTTCCCTCATTCAACGAATCCTGGATTCTTCTGAACAGGACAGTCTGTTGACGTCAACTCTAGATTAAGCCTTGTTCTTTCTTCAATCAGTTCGAAATCGTAGTGTTTATGGTACCAAAGCTTCAAATCCCCAAGTTGCACAGACCTGGGTTTTCCTCAATTATCCAAAATGTCCGAGGTGAAAATAAGGGACACCACAGAAAAACCACCACCAACCGTCGTGATTACTTTCGAAAGGGACGGCTCTAACACCATTGATGGCCCAAAACAGATGGGTGTCTTTGAGGGTGGGAATGTCTGGTTGACTCCTGCAATAATAAGCAAAGACATCACTATAGCCCATGTGCACTTCGAACCCTGTGCGCGCACAAACTGGCACAAACACGAGGGCGGTCAACTGCTCAAGGTTGTTGCAGGGTCCGGATGGATTTGCGATCAGGGAGAACAGCCTAGACGGATTTTGACAGGAGACATTATTTGGTCTCCCCCGGGTTGCATTCATTGGCACGGTGCGGATGATAACAGCTTTATGGCACATGAAGCAACTTCATTCGGTGGACTAGATTGGTATGATCCCGTGACTCAAGAGGAATACTCTCTGAAAGGTGGATGCGCCTCTTGAGATATATTAATCCATCACACAAAGGAGAAGAAAGGCGGAGGATTAATGTACTGCTTCTAGTAGTACTAAGTGTTCTGGATGAGAACCTATGAAATCATATAATTTAGCCTGAAGCAGAACCTCTTCATTCAATCACAGTCAACTACTGCTGGGCTCTTGTGAAGCCCTTTGATTCATTATTGATATAAAGCCATACAGACGAACCGTCAAGACCCTAAGGACTTCATCGTTAGTATTGCATTACTTTTTCACCTTGAACGTGTTCGGATCCTATGAGAACTAACCGTGGTCTGTGGATCTTGATCCACCTTCTCGAAATAGTCTACCGATATCTCCCCCATCCTCGGGTTGATACCAACACTGTGTGCTGCTTTGATGCCCAGTGCGATGTCTTTGGCGCATAGTCGTGACGTGAAGCCAGCTTTGAACCCGTTGCTCGAAGCACTTTCCGGAACGATACCTGGGACTGGATTGGAAAAGTTCAGAGCCCATGAGTCGCCACTCGAGCCCTTAACAGATTGATATAGTATGTTCTTGTCAACTCCGTGTCGCAGCCCAAACGCTAGACCTTCCGCAGCCACAGCTATGTTTGTCAATGCAATGTAGTTGTTCACGATCTTGCATACTAGTCCATCACCAAGGCTGCCACAGAAGTTGATACGATCTGCAGCACCCATCCATGAGACTGTTTCACGGATACGCTGTGTGATGGAATCTGTGCGAACAGAGTGGCCTAAGAAAAACGATAGAGTTCCTGCTTCCGCACCACGAACCCCTCCGGAAACCGGTGTGTCAATGTAGTACCCTGCTCCAGAGCCCATGATCTGCCGCCCAATTTCTTGGGTGGTGCCTATGCTTATCGTACTGCTTTCCAGTATCAAACGATCACTGTCAGTGGTAGCGGCAATAATGCCCGTATCTGGGTCCAAATATACGGATCGCGCATGCTCGTCCATAGGAACCATCGAGATCACTGTCGAGGATTGACTAGCCAGTTCTCTCGCTGAATTAGCGATTTTGACGGGCCCGTAGGCATCGAACTTGAGTTTAAAATCCTCGCATGCTTCGTGGTTGACGTCTAATACGTGCAGTGTTGCAAGAGGTGGCATCTTCTTACGCACGTTTCCAGCCATATGAAACCCCATATTGCCTATGCCTGCTCAAAGAGCAATTACTGCTTAATACACTCGTCAAGCAAGGGAATCGGGGCATCCACATACCAATGAACCCGATGTCAGAGCACATCTTGTCCTCTTATCAACCTATGATTGGAGTCACTCACTTCTTTTTCCCTTACCTCGATATGGCCGTCTGAAATCCGTGTGGAAATAGGTTAGAGTCTTTGCTGCTAATGCCAGCTCTCGCTCACCACCTATTCAAGTCTATTCCGACTATACTAATAGCTGTTGAGTGGTAAAATTATTATCTTCTGCCAACACGTCAGGTGCAGTGATCTTGGTGGGTTGTACGAAGTACTTCCGCGGCCCGTACGTAGCCCGGCTGAGGCCGAGGTGCGCGCATGGGGGTGTTTATGGAGCCATGGATACTAAGTAGTAACATGGTAGAGCAAAGGCCCAGTTATTTCAGGCCAAGATCTTGCGACGGATCATGTGGGCGTAGTGTACAACGCTACGCAAAGTCATCAGAAGCAACAAGGAAACAACCGAGTACACTTCAAGGCTGAAAGTAAAGGGGGTTTGGAAAGGGAACTTCCACGTGACCATGAGAATCATGTCAGGTGACCAATTTCACCCAGGTATTGGTTTAGGTAAGCGTGTTCTGGGCAAGTCATGGGCAACCGAGGTCCAACTCAGAACAATTGGCGCAATTTTGCTACTCTTCCTTCCTCGTCAGCTTCAGTGAGTGGTGCCATGGGCAACCAAGATCACTACGCTTGACGGAGATTTTCCGGACCGCCCCCCGTAAACCGAAAAGAACATGCGAAAGTACTGTGCTGGAGTGCTGTCGCGGCTTCGCACCACGCTACTTCCACGATGACTCGCGGTAGGCCGAAGTTGGTTGTGGCGCCTTGTCGGTATTGCGGCAAGCAATTCAAGCGGCGAGAACACTTGCTAAGGCATGAACGTACACGTACGAAGAACTAAATGAAAAGGTAAAAAAAAAGCGGTGGCTAATGTTGGTTAGATACGGATGAACGACCATTCGCCTGCTTTTGCGGGCAGGGTTTTACAAGACAGTAAGTCTCAGATGGCACGAAGATGCAAGTCACGTATATTGATACCATTCAGAGACCTTCTCAAGCGCCATAAAAGCCTGTCACATATATCCGATTCCAGTGCATTGAATACACATGAAGAAGAAGCGCGCGATGTGTCCGGATCTGCCTCGACCAGCCTCGACTTTTCGTGGGATCTGGAACTTTCTACACAATACCTACTTCCGGATAGTGTATTCGATCTGGATCTCTCCCCTCAAGATGATTATGGCAGCATTGAACATGCTCGAGTAAGCAGCTTCCCGCGCTTCAGTTCTCATCTACCAGATATCAACGAAAACGAGGCTGAACTCGATTGTATTGATGATCAAAGCGAGGACGCCATGTACAACGTCCAACCTGTGCCTTGGTCAATCAACTCCAATCAATACGACGATTTCTGCCTTAGACTCAAAGCTGAAATAAAGGGCAACTCACTTGAGAGGTCTTTGCCATCAAGAAATGTTCTCAGCCGTAACCTGGAAAGCTTTTTCCGATGCAGTCAGGAGCAATTGCCGTTCATTCATCAAACCAGCTTCTCAATCGTTCATCGCAGTGTTGGACTCACATTGGCGGTCGTGACTCTTGGCTCTTTGTTCAGATTTGAACATAGCCAAGCTATGGAGCTATATAAGATAGCTAAGGCAGTCCTGAGAGAGTGGACAAATCGTGAGCACCTTGAGCTATCAGCAGAACTGCTATCTGAGTCGGAAGATCTGCTGCATGACAGTCCAGACGAACTTGAGCGAATCCAAACGTACATCCTTCTGACAAATTTCGCATCATGGATTGGTCCAAGCTCTCTACCCGAGGCGATCTTAATGGGCCATCAGCTATCAATTCTCGTCATGCAGAGTAGGACTTGTGACTCTGATGAGATGCCAGATAACATCGATTGGGTAGCCTGGGTTACAACTGAGGAGAGACGACGAACAATATTTGCTGCATATGCACTCCTCAATTTGCACCGAATCGCATATGGTAACCCCTCAAAACTCTGCAATCAAGATATCGGTGTTTGCGTGCCTGGAACAGCGGCCGCTTGGAAAGCAAAAAGCCATACGCAATGGTTAGCAGCACCTCGTCCTGTTGAATGTTTATTTCAAGACTTGCTGTCTGCACTCTTGGAAGGTACTACACTTTCGCAGGCTACATATCTATCAGCATTTGCGAATTATGTGCTCATCCATGGTATACTGCAGCAAATGGATATGGAGTGCAGCAGCTCTACCAAGATGCTGAGCCCTAACAAGATGGAAATATTCGAAAGAGCACTGAGAGCATGGCAATCGTCCTGGGAACTTACCTCAGAATCCACACTTGATCCCTTGTCGTCTAAGGGTCCTCTGGCACTCAACGCGACGGCACTATTCCGAATCGCCTACATGCGCCTCCTGCCAGATTTCCATTCACGCGAGGGATTTTTCTCAGATATGACATTGTCCCACGGACCAGTAACTTGCAACCTTGGGGGATCTCGGTACCTCAGTAAGGCTGTTCTGCATGCGGCGCACGCTCTTTCCATCCCCGTACGACTTGGAGTTGAATTGATTGCTCGCACTTATATACCTTTCTGGAGTATTGAACATTCACTCAGCAGTTATGAATGTGCAAGCCTACTCAATAGTTGGCTAAGAACTATTGCCACGACCATAAGCACTCACGGTCTGTGCGAGCTAAGTAAAGGCGAGAAGTGGCTCTTGGAGGTTCTAACTGACATCATAAACGAAACATCGTTCTGCCGGATATTGAATGATACAGACCGTGACACATCCCGCATTGAGCTAATGGCCAATATAGTTGCGCAATTGTGGGCACGAATTTTCTCGGGCGCCCACGTCTATGAGATTGACAATATCATTAAGACGAGATTCGACAGTATCGCAAACATCAATCCAGATTGATGCACACTTTACCAACATGCTTTCCAGAGGCGACAAACTCAAAGGCCGAGATGACACCCTCTCGGGTGAAGGGGAACGTTTTGTCCACTGGAACTGAAAGATTTTGCTTTCCAATGAACTTAGCAGCGTCCTCCAGTTGTTGTTTTGATCCGGCCAGAATACCTCGAAGAATCGCCCCTTTGGCCAGCGTCTGAAATGTGACATTTGGCATTTTGTCATCCATCAATGAGCTCAGAAAGCCAATCACGGAAACAACGCCACCCCAGGCGACGGACTCAAGACTCTGTTCGATCGTGCCAACTCCACCCACCTCTAAAATGTGGTCAGCACCTTGACCTGCAGTGATTTTCTTCACCTCCGTCGCCCAGTCTGGATGCGTTCTATAGTTGATTGTATAGTCGACGCCATACTTCAGCTTAATTTGATTGAGCTTGGCATCGCTAGATGATGTGATAATTGTGGTCGCACCTGCTGCTTTCGCAAAGATGAGACCAGTGAGAGATACACCACCGGTACCTGCAGACAAGATCAGCACAAAAATCAAGCATTTGGTGTTTGAACTCTCGGACCAAGCAGTAGGACCGTCTGGCCAGGCCTCAGTGGTTGACAGCCATAAAAAGCATTCCACACAGTGTACGCCGTGGTCACTGTGGCCGCCCAGTCGGAGAAGGTGTGAGGGGACTGTGGCAATTTAACCGTCGCATGTGCTGGTAATACAATATACTGTCGCAGGACACCGTCTACAGAGCCACCGAGGCTGTGATCTTCGTCCTTGACCGGGCCATATAGAACGATGAGACTGACCGGAGCTATCACATGGTCGCCGATACAGAAATCTATGACGCCCTCTCCGACTTGTACGACCTCGCCAGCCATGTCGGAGCAAGGAACAAGATTCTCCTTGACAGGGAGTGGAAATATATCCTTCGCTATGGCGATGTCTCGAAAGTTCAAGGCAACGCTGCGTACTTTGACAAGGACCTCATATTTCCCTGCTTGTGGGATTGGCTCTTGGACTGGCTGAAGGTTCTCGAACTTGCCTCGAGAAGCAAGCCGGTAAACTGTTTGGGTGGACATCCTTGAAGATTTAGGTGATCCGGTCGGAGGGAGAAAGACGATCCAAGCTGGGATAGGGCGTACTGATTATCTTTTAGAGGGGAAGTACGATCGAAGTATTATAGGCATATCGAGGTGTCAACATCAATTTATGAAGGCACCCACTGTTGGTACGCCGATTTTCCCTGAAGCTCCATTTGTGAGATTCGCCGAAACTTCAGCCAAATCTGCGTAAATGCGTTGAAAAGGGATGCCATGTTTCAATGTAGCTGCTCAAGCACATGGTAGTTCGGCAATTGCGCTGGGATGACAGCCAAAAAGCCGTAGATCTCGAAATTGATATTTGGGGTAGAAATTACTAAGCGTTTTGACAATAAGGCCCGCCGACAGCATTTGACTACTTACTGCCTTGGTGTACTGGGGAGTTTATTACGAAATTGCTAGCACCCGGTATATGACCGAATTCGTGGATCACGAACGCTATGCCGCCGCGCTGAACGATTACGTGGTAGAGTATTGCTGCAAGGTGATCCACGAATTCCAACGGCTGCTAGGTGGCTGGTAATCCCGCTTCTGCCGACACACAAGCTCAACGACGCGCCTCATTAACATAGATCTATAACTGGCTGTCGTCGAAAAGCTTATCATGATCCCCTTAGCAAGGATTTCGAGTTGCTTGAAACTGCCTTAATTATGAGAAACGATTTTCAGATAATTATAGTTTCATTTATGTTTCTGTGATTATCCTGCCTCAATATCCTCAACCCGGCACCTCATGCATCTACCAGCTTTTTCCCAAATACCGCGAGTTCAAGCTGGACTGGATCTAGGTACTCGACGATTTCACTGAGACCATCACCCTCAGCCCGCAGGAAATAACCATAATATGGCTGCTTATAAGGTCCATACTGCCCAGCGCCGACACCAACAGCACGGATGAACGCTTTGTCGCCATCCACCAAAATCTCCGAGACCTTGATCTCTGGCCGCTGTGTGAAGCCAGCTAATTGAGGGGCTAGACGAGTAAATATGTCGTCTAGACCATTGTAAACCCCGGAAACTTTAGTTTGGCCAGTCATAATAAATTTTCCATCGTCGTTGAGGAGTCTGTAGGCTTTCTCGAAATCGGCGCTTTCAACGTAAGCAACGAACTTCTCTGCTAGATTGCGTGTTGCCTCAGTTCTGGGTGTTACTGGCATTTTTGTGTCTGTTGTCTAGCTCGATCCGATGGCTAGCTTTGATAAAAATATGTCAAATGAACTATTTCGGGTTCGGTTTGTACGTTGTTTTGTCCGCGACTGATATTCCACTGAATTGATCGAAGTCCTTACAGTCCTGTTTATATCTCAATTTTGACCAGATGCACCACCTGCAAACATTCTTCTAGATTCCCGTTGATCCAAGAGGTAGGCCACGGAAAGTCAATTAGGACTTACTTCTAAATGGAATAGATCCTGAGGAGCGGAGAAGCGGTGGGCTACACTTGGACATAACCGGCCACGGACCGCGGATAGGAAGAACCAATCGTCCCTAATAAATGTGGCTCATGGCAATCATTCTCACAGCTGAGGACTTTAGTCTCATTGCAGCAATTAAAGCACTTTAGTAGCTTCTACAGATATAGTACGAACTTTAACCTCATTGTAGCAATTAAAGCACTTTAGTAGCTTCTATAGATATAGTACGAACTTTATACAATCTATTGCATTCTATTGTGGACTCGACTCTTGGTTCACCATATTCAGCGGCGAAGATATCCTAGCCTTGGCCCGTATTCAGGAGCATGTTTACTAAGTGCTGAGACATTGTGCCACTTCCGTATGTCGGGTGTGACGAGTAGAAGCTGTGTTTGAAGCGTCAAGAATGCTTGCTGTCATCATCAATGCTCTAGGTCCGACATGGCCTTCGAATTTTTGTCAATTCAGGTGACTTTGCCTGAGCTCAAGGGAGCTTTATTTGATGACGAGTTAGCAGAGTTCTAGACTGTTTTAAAGGATACAGCAGGGAAAATTGCCGTAGCATCAATAAAGCCGGTTCGGCATCGGCAGCGAAATTTCCAACATATTTGTCTGCTCTTCACCCAGATCTAAGACTCAGGCTATGGCATACTGGATTTCTAAATGCTTTGGATGGTCTTGTCAGTGCAAAAGAAGCCAATCGAGTAAGCCAAGTCGATCAGTCGCACAAACAAAGCATCTTTGCTATCAACTGCAGCAAGCGCCTCCATATTGTCCACTGCCTTCTTAGCCTCGATCTGGGCCTTGAGGGTGATGTTTTGGTTTGCATACATCAGGTACACACTACCATCTTGATTGAAATTGGCGGGAGAAAACATCGCGCCAGTGCCACGCAAGCCATCTTTGCATCTCTCTACATCTGGATGACGGCAGGCGCATACGCCTGATGGAGCCTGCTCTTTGGTCTCGCACATCGGCATTAGTAGCCCATGTGCGCCGCAGTCAAGGGCACGCTTGATCAGCCACGATTCTCCAGCAGGCAGACGAAGAATGAATGGCAACGAACCAGCCGCCGCCTTCGTGAGGACGAACCTGTTGATTCGTTTGGACCACATCACTTTTGCTGCCACCCTGTCAATAATCATATGAGTAGATCTAGATTTGCTCTGTAGGCCTCAGAATGACAATTTGGACCATTGCGCGGGTACCGGTCCTTGGCCTGGCGAGCTGCTGCACATGATCCTACGCTGTTCCTAGAATTGCCACAGCTCACAAGCAAGTAGCTGTGACAGTCTATGAAATAATTTAATCAACATGATACATAGTAGCATCAGTTTTCACAACGAAACTTACTTAGTAATTTGAGCATTCCTCTGAAACGTAACATCCGCGAAAGTTAGTTTACAGTTCAACGTAATGCCCAGCAATAGATTGTCAGAGCCCAGCTCCTTTATTGGAATTTCATCGTAAGCAATCACTAGCAGTCCAATCACATTATGACATGTCTCTCAATCTCCTGTGAGCAGCAAGATTTTCTGCACGGACATTCTTCGCCTGCAATAGCTTGTAACGCACAGTCCATGCCGAGGCCGCTGAGCTGAACCTCCATCCATTGAGGGTAGCATCGTTTTCCCAGTGTAACGGCTATGGCCTAAATATAACTGTAAGTTGAACGGTTATTACATGTAATTGGACTAATGGGAGTCATGGTTTTTCGTAGGAAGATACTGAAACATTTATATAAGAAGTTCCATTAGTGGCAAGTCACCTCGATCAATTCATCATTATACGACCAACGAACCGTTCGAATAATCACAGCCTGCGGATCACAGAGATACAAAAAATAGGGAGCACTTCCAAGACCGGAATATTAGGCGTCGAAGAATAACTTCAAGTTCCAGCACTATGATGCGCTTATTTTCATCCACGGCCTTCGTTGTCACAATTTTGACAACCTTCAATCTCCAAACTACCTACGCCCGCGCCACTCCGCTGTCTTTAGACTTGTCGACGCTCGCGCCCCGGGATACCCTATCAGATCATGGATCCAGCTGCACAGCCTGGAAAGAAGAACAACCTAACGGCTATTTCAGATTGAAAATGAAGTGTGACAAGATTGGCCGAGGTCTCAAGGTCTGTGGTTCCGGGTCATATGCAAACTACGGCTTCTCCACTGATTATGTCGACAACAATAACTTAGGAGTGGTTGTCCAGAGTCCAGCATATAACTCGGATGCCTCCCTTGAGAAACTCAATTTTAGATACGCTTTCTCATCCTCAGGCAACTCGGATATGGGAAGCTGTGATTCTAATCTCGTTGAAGTCGAACATACCATTAAAAATGGCTGGTACAACTCAATGACCTGTACCAATATCAGCCCATACCTCAAGGTCCGCGCCGTGCTGGACTTGCCCGGCGCATTCAATCAGTATTCGGAGTGGATCAATAACCCTGGTACAGTCCAGACTTTGGAGCGAGAATCGTGGTTTGGCAGACCCAGTGCCTACGCTGAATGGAAGCTTAGGGACGAATAAGTTTCTGAACCACTCATCTGCGGCAGGCGAGAGAGTACTGCGGACCGCGGAGCTATAGAAGACTAGTAGCTGCTAAGTACGGCATTATTGTCAAGACTTATTATCATACGTGTTGCTTTATGAAAACCGTGGTGGATTCTCCAGTGCTCGTGTCTTTTACATGAACAGAACGATAGGCGTACTCGACATTCATAGTCTTAGTAGTGCCACGATGGCACCGAGGAGACCGTCCGCTGATCTCATGATCATAGATTTTCACAGATGTACAGATTTACTTAGCTATTGCAGAACAATTGAATTGCTAAAACCAGGAAGACGATTGGAATTCTCTATCACAGTGAACTCATTCTAGAAGGCTACAGTAGCTTTGGCGCCTTTAATCTAACCCATAAGCTTTCCGCCAGATTGGTGAGTTGAAAGCCGCACGCAGACTGTCCTCAAAGCTTTCAGTATGCAGGGATGGGAAGCGAGCATTGTCCCAGGGCTCAGGAAGTAAGGTGCCTTGTCTTCCTTGCACGAGCTTATGACTCGCTGCCAGCTCTCCATCTATGTCGCCTCGTGCTTTAGCATCGCTTTCCTCAATCAGAGCACTTTCGACGTCGAGGTATGTCACAGCATATTTTCTGCCGGTAATACGCTCCATTGCAACAAATATCTCTTGGTAGCTGGGAGAACTACCAGATATACGATATGTTCTTCTTTTACTGTCAGTTTGGTCGCTTTCTGCGGTATGTTCCGATTTCGAGTCGTTCAGCGTCTCGACCAAATAAGCAATTGCATCCTGAACACCGATCAGACTCTGCCGCCCGGATTCAGTGCCATAAATCCGAGCCGTAGAATGTTTATTATCAATCCCGAAGTGCGAAATGACAGCCCATTCGGTCAACCTCCCGACGAGAAAGTAAGTCCAGCCAAGGTCAGCATATTCTTTGCCCTTCATTTCAAGGTGATTTCGTGTCAGGGCCTTATATCTGTAATAGCGCTGATTCCAATTATCTCCGGCCAAGAGATCAGCTCCGTACTCGCTGGGATAGAAGTGACGGACGCCAGCTGCGATCGCCGAGTCAATGATTTGGGGTTGTTCTTGTAACCCGTAGTTCCCAGAAAAGATCATGACGCAGTCAAACCCCCCGAAAGGCTCAGGAGACGCGTAACCGTTAGCACTGACAATCTCTATCCCAAGCGCCTCAAATTTAGCGATCTTTAGCTTCTTTGCTTCGTCTGTTTTTCTTGCCGTATTGTGATAAACTGCAAGTCGGCTGAGTAACTGTCGTCGTTTGCTGAGAGCCACTGCAACTAGGCCCCCAAAAGTGCCCGTTGCACCTACGAGGAGAATCTTCTGAAAGCCAGGCATTTTGTGATAGTTGTGTAGGACTAATCTTGTAAACTCTTCAAATGAACTACTAATATCCAATTGTAAACTTGCAGCGATAGGAACGTATTCTTCAACGATATTTATGCCCTGGGTGACCTCCTGGTGGCCCCCCGGGAAGATATAGTTACATTATGTCAGCAGTGCAATATACGAGGACTCTAAAAAGTAAACTTTGTCGGATAATACTCTTGACCATTCATATGTATCGGAAGTCTGGCAAAAGACGACGAGCGCGAATGAGATATGCTCAGCCAGTATAATAGTAATCATACCTCGGACAAGACATTTGTAATTATACCTCGGACAATATTGGACCTTTCACATGCAACATCCCTCTTTTCTAGGATTAAAACCATATTGCAGAGCGCCACTGCTGCACTCAATATCTAGCCACCCGAGAATCCTCGAGTTACAAGACAGTTTGCCTAATCAATCATTTGGCGAGCGGGTGAATATGTCTATCCCAGGAGAAAACGTGCTTCTACCTCCTGTTGAAGTCTCGTGGCTACAACGGGATTTGCTTCTATTTGCTGCGAGCATCGGTATCGGAACGGAAGAGCTCAACTTTATCTTTGTAAGAGTTTATTTTATGAGTAAGACAAACATTAAATATAGCTGACCCAAATTAGGAGCACGCCGATCCTTTCGAAGCATTTCCAACTTATCCCTGCATCTTGCGTAGGCTATTGAGTCCCCTTCAACATAACTGAACACTCACTGCAAGCTAGCATTCAAGCTGACCGATCAGGAGGTGGTTGATTTCGATGAGCGAGCTACTCTACGTGAGATTCCCGGGGTGCCGAAATTCGATCCTCGCCGCATTATTGATGGAGGCCGTGCTATGACATTCTACCGTCAAATTCCAACTAGCACTGTCGGTCGCCGCTTCGAGCTCCGATCAAGGATCATAGGAGTTTATGACAAAGGCAAAATCGGCTCAATTATCGAAGACGAGAAGATTTTGGTTGATGCAGAATCTGGTGAACAGTATGTCAAAATGGTGGGAAACACCTTCTTTATGGGCCAAGGAAATTGGAATGGTCCCAAAGGTAAGAGAAACGTCTTCACCATGCGGGACTTGTAACTAATGTTCGATATAGGCCCTCCTACTACGAGCTATCCGTCTCCCTTTGAGAAGGAGCCAGATTTCACTTTCCGCTTTCAGACTACAAAGCAGGCCGCTTTGATCTATCGGTGCGTATTCCAGGCAATAATACATTACGTCTCTACTTGAATATTTGGTTGACCCTTCCCATGTGAGCTTAGCTTGAATGGAGACTACAATCGTCTACACGTAACGCAAGAACCTGGTAGATCTTTAGGGTTTGGTGGCCCCATCATGCATGGGCTCTTCACATACAACTGTGCCGCTCATGCTGTTCTCAAATGTGTTGGAGGCAATAATCCGGCAAGTCTTCAAAAATTTCGTGCTCGCTTCGCTGCTCCTGTGCGAGCTGGAGATGAGCTTGTGACCAAAATCTGGAAGCTTGGGGAATTTGAAGGTCAATATGAGGATGTACGATTTTCGACATTCGTAAATGGGAATATTGTCTTGAGTAATGGACGAGCTCTGGTAAAACCTGCTGCGAGGTCGAGCAAGGTTTGATTTGATATCAGGTGTAAAGTGTTACAAACTCTTAAGCACCCAGATCAATTCCGGCTTCGTATATAGTTGTCATTCACAGTCCCTGGAGGTGAGGTTTCTCGTTGCGTTGCCAATCAGACTACCAACATCTTTAGAATCGCCGAATAAGCGGTGGAATTGGTAGGAAAGTGCACAAGGCTGTGTGTTCAGGAGAGGAGGAAAGCCGAGACCGTAGTAGAGAAGACAAGCTACAACTAGCTTAGGCTCTTCGTAGTGGCGTTCCTTGTGGTCCTTAGGTAACCCTGAACCTACAAATGGCGATTATATTCACATATGTAGTCTGGAGAAGAATGAGCGTGATCTGGAGTTGAGACTCAACGCAAGACCGCCGAAGTCGGCACTACAGCTTTCCGGTGTGCACCTCCCTGTGCACAACAGATAAATAACCGTGATGCGTGGCAATCCACTCTCGAATTGGGAGAGGGCGCTGACGGCCAGTTAGATAATTGTGCCACTTACCGCTCACACAGCCCGTTGAAGTGCAAAGATTATGATTATTCTTTCATAATCAACTGGAGCAGCGATTCACAGCCGGTAGCAGCCGCCAGCCGAGGCTTTAATCGCAGTGCTCACATCAAAATTTGAATTTGACTCCGTCATACTCTAAAGATGCATTTCTGCTTCGTCCTGTGAACCATTAGTTTTACATGATAGAGATGACTCGATATGAATAACATGGAGAAAAGCACATTAGCACTCGTTGGATTGCATATCCGAGGTTCTTGCGATTGGGCGAGAGATTTGTTTGTAATCTAGTTCAAGTGCTCGGTTTAACCCCCACCCAGTTCATCAGCATACGCATTCCAAAGTTGCACTGGACTGTTATGCATCTTACCTAATCGTCGCAATGTAAGTGGCCCAAATCCATGTCACGAGTTATTAGCGAGATAATGCCTAACTAGACGAGGCAGCTACACATAAGCGCAGTGCTTTGGATTTGTCTGCTAGTGAGGCTAGTTGACAATTATTTTGACGAACAGTGGGGACGTGCGTGACCATTCATGCTCACTCTGCCTGTTGGTGGATGAGGCCAAAAGAAGTTCATCCCAAATCTCCGGCTCATTACATGTATGACTTGGAGTACTAATCAATGCAGCAGGACCTTGGTGGCTTGCAAAGACAGAGCTTGGGTAAAAATAGTGGTTTGGTAGTGGAGTGGAGTGGAGTGGGTGAAGTAAGCCACATGGCATACTAGTACCATAACGTCGAGGCTGAACTGGCTATCTCCACTGTCATTGCGACACCGTCTCTTTTGCATCAACTACTAAGTAAGCCTAAGCCTATCGGGCAATTGCGTTTACCTACTACAGTCGTGGTACGAATAATTGCCTCTCTGTACTTAATTGGAATTCTTGTTGTGACCAATGGAAGTTAATTCCTGGGCTGTGTATCTGGAGCCGCTCTATTGTTGCTTAGAGAGCTCCAGGCAGTGCAAACTCTTCCACTTGCTGTTTTCCGCGGGGACGCTGAGTATTCCACTTACTGTGTTCCGCGGGGACGCTGAGTATACCACTTGCTGCGTTCCGAGGGGACGCTGAGTATACCACGTATGTGATGGACGATGAGATCGTGAGTACTGTATCAGGCTTTGTGAACGAGTATAAGATCTCGTTGACCTCCACGTCGTTGGGAGCATTTCCCTTCTATCATCACACATCAAACAACACAAAACCAAAGTCTCATTTCTTTACTTTTTTCCTATTTTCCTTTATTTCCTTATTTTCATTTGTCAGTTCTCTCATCGACACGATCATTCCAACCCTTTAATCAAGCAGCCAAGTTATAAGCAAAAAACTACAGCATCACCAATTCCAGCCATCGAAATGCATTACTCAACCATCGCACTCACTCTTCTCGCCTCCACCGGTGTCCTGGCAGCCCCATTGGCCAGTGTCGCCGATACTTCGGTCAAAGTTCTTCTTTCCAGCAGCACGGATGACTCCACCAGCACTTCAGTGGAGTTCTCCTCAGTCACATCTGCCAAAACGGCGAGTCTTGCCGACCTTTACTCCAATTTCGCATTCGACACCGTTGCCCTAACAGTCGGCAAGGACGCCGCGAAACAAGATCTTCGCTGCAAGGTCGTCGACTTCGCCGGCAACGACATCCCCATCTCCCGTGGCACCAACATAGACGTAGCCTTCAGCGACGCTGGCAAAGGTGCCTGGACATTCCTGACACCATCCGAAGTTGGCGCTATCGTTTGCGACCCAACATTCGAGAAGATCACCCCGGAGGCTCTCGCTGATGGCTCTTCTCTCCGTGTCGTTCTCTCCAATCAACAAACCGAGACCGGATCCCAAACCGCTCTCTCTTCAGGTATGAGGGAAGAGGCAGCCCCCATTGGCTCCAGCGGTCCCTTCGAGACCGTTGAGCTCCGCGTCGGCAAGTTCGTCCAGAAGAAAGACTACCGCTGCCAAATCCTCGACATGACTGGCTTCCCCATCGACCTTACCCGTGGCACTTCCGGATCAAACACCTTTTCAGATGCTGGCAAGGGAGAATGGACCTTGAATACCGTCGCCGAGGTCAGCACCATCATCTGCGATCCTACCTTTGCCAAGTAAAGGGCCTCGCAGCGCTCTTGACCGACATAATGGCACCGTGAAAACTTAGCGCTGGGGACTGGGATCTGGGATAGAGAAAAGTTTGATTTTTGGGTTGCATTGCATAGCATAGCGTGGTTGGGGTCTGGCTTTGTTTGTATTTTTGAGCTTTTGTCTGGCGCTGCTTTGCTTTTATCTGCTTTTTAGTCATAGATATTACCTAGTATTGTGTGATCATAATCATATACACTCCTTTTGTACACAATTGCAACAGCTGAGCATCAGCCATTCCTCCACTTTTGTTGACTTTGTTATGAATAAGATGGACGCTGTTCTAGATCTTGGTCCGCCGAACTGAAGGACGACAGCTGGAACAGTTGGGCGGTTTGTAAGACGTACTGTCGTTCAGCTTACAATGAATTTTCGCGGTCTCGGTCAATCCGAGTCAAACCTGTACAACAGCGCCATCTCACCTTCGATGCTGGGTCCAGACCGTCTCGAAGGAGCCTCTCTTTGTGTTCGCGTCGGTTCGGCAGGCACGCGCCTACAGGTCGTGCCTTCCCAACAAGAAAGCCGTGTCTAATGTCGATTTGGGCACGTGCACGTCGAAGCCTCAGAAATTGCATTGCTTGTAATTGCAAAAGAACCTGATTAACAACATTCTCATCGTCTAGAACTTGCAAGACTGGTTGAAGTTGACAGCCAAAAGTCACCTAGATAAAGCCTCATGATCAGCCAATGGCAACCGAGTGAACTTCAACCCCACAATGACAACACTCGCAATTATTGCGCGTATTCATCCAACTGCAACTCCTCCGCTTAGACAATAAATAACACAAATCATCTGGAAGCACGCGAGAGCCTCAAGACGGTATCTCGTTCCTGGGGTGGCCATCCTAAAACCAACAGTGACACCACAACCAAGACAACGCACATTGTCGAGCCCCACGCCACCCGATCGCACTGACCACCACCATGGACGCCATCACCTCATACCTGCCGGCCGGCGCACAACAAACCCTGGCGACCCTCGAAGCCACGGTGACCAGCTACCTGAGGCAAATATTCGACAATCTCCCATCGTCGGTGCAAACGCATCTCCTCAACGTCGCCGCATCACCACACCTCTCGCGCACCAACCTGCAGTACATCCTGCGGCTGATCGTGATCATATCGACCTACATCCTCTTCCGACCCCATCTGGAAGCACTACTACGCAAGGCGACGGGGGCGCCGGATCCCCGCGCGACGGAGCTGGAGAACCGGCTGCGCTTCCTCCAAGATCTGAAGGACGGGAAGATCCAGCCACAGGGCGGTGTTGAGGTCGTGGATGGGAAGGTTGTGCTGAAACCGAGGGCACCTGCCGGTGCGGGTGTGATGAAGACACTAGAAAAGAGTGGAGCAAGCAAGAAAAAGGGGACCGGGAAGGGCAAGGTCGTCAAGCTGGTGGTTCCGGGAGACGAGGACCAAGGGCCGCAGCAACAGCAGCAAAGGGGCGACAAGAATGTGGCGGACGCGAGTCCTAAGCAGAGTCCGGTGAGCACGGCGACGCCGAATACGAGGGCGTCAACCAGGCGGCGGAAGGCATGAGATGAGAAACCTCAGATGCGTGCTATGAGTACGTAGATCCCTCGTCGTGGATACCAAATTGACTCATCGCGAGCAACAGTAAAACTGTAATATTTTTCTCTGCACGACCCTTTTAGATGGACACAGAGCATTCTTCGACTGCACGCGAGAGGTCAAGTAATCTCCGAAGTGAATTGAGGAAAGTTCATCAGCCATGATGAGGTCCTGAACCCGTCCAAGCAAGCATTTCATTTACAGCCTTATGGACCAACTAGCGATCGTTCTAGTAGTTTTTCCAGGATGACATCCAAGCCTATGTTCCATTGTCTAGCATGAGATCGTGCCACCACACCAAGCAAGGCAGAAAGGATCAATGTCCACGCAACAAGCCAACCCAAGATCGCCCGTCCAAGCGGAACACAGAACCCATGCATCTCCGCTGCTCCTCCAAGACCTAATACAAGCGTCTGAGCTCCTCGCCCCAAGCACGCACTTCCTCGACGGTGACGTTGTGTTTCTTGTCACTCAGGCCAGCTTCCTCCAGGACGCTCTGGAGCTCGTCGTCCGAGAGGGCGAGAAGGCCTTGCTCAAGCATTTCCCCATCGACGAAGCGGAACGGCTCGTCCTTCTCCAACACCGATGTCTGCCATGCTCGGTATTTCGCCCAGGGCATGTATCCCGGCGCTTGGATGCGGGTTGCCAGGGAGGTTTGCAGGACTAGCAGTACGTTCACGTATGCTTGGTTGATGGTCGCGAACATGAAGATCGCGCCTTCGATGGTCGCGATGAATGCTCGTGGAGTCACGAGGGGGCCGGAGCGTGGGATGGCATCGTTGGTGTGGGCCGTGGCTGCTCCCGAGGGGTCGTTCGAAGTTATGATTTCGGGGACGTCTGATGGACCTGGTTTGGAGGAGACGGGCACGATTTTGTTCACCACTTGGCCTAAGCGGAACTCTCCGATGACCTCCATTCGGCGCCAGGCTGGGTCGTGAATGGCATCACGATTCTGTCTCAAAGCGAGGAGATTGCCCTCTGCGTCGGCAAGTAACCACTCATGCTCCACTGTTGCTGCAACTGCCGTACTCCATACCGTTGCGAAATGTCTTGAGACCTCGACCAGTTGATGCTCAGGAGTCGATTCATCTGGAGGTACTACTTTCAGCACCGACAGAGATTTTGAGATATCGGCAACAGCGATCAGGGCTGGCGTGGTGTCCGTTTTGGTTGTCACTGATAGAGACAGGGGGTTGGATGAAGCGCGATACGTAGCTAGTTTGACCAAGGCCAGTGAGTGCTTCCCTCTCGTTTGAGACGGGGCAAGTCCATACAAGACAACCTGTGTCACAGATCAGTATCTCGGTCAATCATGAATCTTTTAGGACGTACCGTCTTCAGCAAACCGGCTACAAGTTTGCCTTCGCACATGGCCAAACTCCGACAGCTGCCCGGAACTTCCAGTTCAGTAACTTGTTTCAGCTTTTTCTCTTTGTTGACTTCGAAGACAATAATTCGTCCTCTCACAACCTCACGGCCTGAATCATCCTCCACCACAATACTCGTTCCAATGACAAACATTTCTATGGATTCATCTGAGCCATCTATGTCAAGCGAGCCGGTAGTGATGACGCAGTCGACCAATTCTCTGTCTCGTAATTCGACAGAGTCCAATTCTTTGAAACTGATCTCATCGGCGATCTTGACCGAACTGAGAAGTGCTTCTTCTCCACTTTCCAAGATCCGACGAACACAACCCATGACAAACATTTGTCCTTTGGGTTCATAAGCTAGACATCTGACGGTTTCTCGTACCGGTAGAGTTTGAAGCTGTGTGGTTCTCTCTTTACCGATTAGGGCAAGTTGTAGTTCTTTGGGGGAGGCAAGGGCGATTGCATCAGGATATGCTTCGGAGTTGAAGTGACACACTCTTGACGCACTTTCAGCATTGACGGCAGAATAGATGATGCGGCCTTCGGAAGCATATATCAAGGAAGGTTGTTCACATGAAGCATAGACGTGAGACAGATTCACGTCCCCATCGACCGATCTGGGTAGCGCTTTGAAGAAAGCCGGTTCCGTGCCTAGTAAAATCCTGGTCATACCTGACAAAGAGTTCTTTGCTGGGTCGAACGAATATGTCAGGACAGTTCCGTCAGCCAATGCTACGAATAGAGTAGGGGGCGCATCAGGCAGCACATTGGCAACGAGCACTGATCGCGGAACATCTATTCCTGGTGTTCCAAGACTCTGTACCCAACGGCTTTCCAGAGAGTGCAAGTCTAGAATAGCAAGCGACGCAGTCTGCCAGAAGGAAACAATACAGACGTTGCTCTGTGATTCTGGGACGGTGATACTTGATATCTGAGAATCTGGTGGAAAGGTTTTTGAGATGGTGGGTTTGGAATCGTGGTTGGCGGTATGGAAGACATGAAGAGTATGGCCACCCTCGACGACAAGAAGATGAACAGAGTTCGCTGACGCCGCTGTCAACTTTGCCTCGGCATCTGGGGGTCTCCAATCAAGCATGAGCATGTCCGAATCAAGATCTGTGAGTTTGATACCACCTTCAAATACCTGTACCAACTTTCGATCGGGTAGGTCGGCAGCGAAAAGGGTTGGCTGAGCGAATTCGAAGTGATGAAACTCACCGACCTCCTCCACTGCAGCCTCCGAGTCGAATTTGAAGACTCGAGTCTCGGTCACAAATGTCGCGACAATAGTGTCATGGAAGTCCCCTTGACCCATCGAGTTCAGAGACCAAAGATCCAGTATATGAGGCAACTCTCCGATGCTACCGATAACCTCAAGTCCCACCCCACTTCTCACGCTTCGGATGGTACCGTCCTGCCACGCGCCGGAAGCAGCCACAATTCGGGCCTGACCTGAAGAGAATTCTGGTGCTTGTCCACCATCAGCACCTCGACCGAGATCCATGATTGTGAAATCCAAGATAGGTGCGATATTGGAAAAGGTCTGGACTACCTTGACGCCCTCCTCCTCAATATGAACAACCTGCGAGTCTCCGGAGTGGGATCCCACAAACACATATCCCTCGTCGAGATAAACTAGGCAGGATGCCTTGGAAGCCACTCCCACGGGGTCAAGCCTCCATGATGACACTTCAAAATCGGTGACCTCTATCATGAGGAAGAAAAGCTTTCCAAAGTCATCGGCAAGCAACCACCGGCGCTGATCGATCTGAGTCCAACAAGACCATATTGTGGCGTCATCACCCAGATCTTGAGTGATAACATTTTTCAACCCGCGGTCGACGAATCGAATCGAATGGTCACCTAATATCAAAAAGCCACCATTGGCAGGTATGAGATGGCTGACTCCATGGTCAAGCTGGTCTTCTCTCAATTCCGCGACAGTGTCCAACTCAGCTGTAGCCTGCTCTCCACCAGGAGTGTATTTCAGTTCTCTCACTTTCATTTGAGGTTGCCCAGAGTTGTCTTCCCAGAGTATGGCTAGTTGAGGAGGCTCCTTTCCTTGAGGGTCTGTGGCTACCAACGCTGTATCTCTTGTTAGGAGCTCTTCTATCCGGACCTGGACAGGTTCCCCCAGCGTTCCAACTTGTGAAGGCGAGGTGGTCTCCCTCTTCTGGCGCTTATTCGAAGGCTGGATGAAGGGCAAGACAGTAACCACGCCGTCGTACAGCTCCAGGGTCATAAACCGACCTGTAGGATCTATGTGGCATCTGTCCGTCTCTTTGGAGTCACGGAGAACTTTATCTGCCAAATCGACATAACTCTGTTCGGTTTGTAGCTGCTTGATATTAGCGTTCCAGGAACATGTAAAGTACTGGTACCGATCTGTGCCAATGAAGAGATGGTCGGTTTTGGAGGAAGCGGGGCGAAAGCTCTTGAGCATTATGATGTATCCAAAGACATTCTTGGTGTATAACAATGACAAGCCTTCAGGACCTTGTTCGTAGATGTGGACTCTGTTGGCCTTGCTTGAAATTTATAAATGTTAGCTGACAGAAACTGCGGCGGGGTTGGTAGGGAGACTGACGCAACCACAAGGACATCAACGTCGGGTTCGAGAAATTTCAACTTGAGGGCATGTCGGACACCACTTGCATGGTGTATAGGGACGATGTAGGACATGGTAAAGATCGGTTGGGTCCAAGTTGAGTAACCCGTGTAGCACACTGATTATGCGATCAGGCCGTTGGTCATTGCTTCATCGAAGCGGCTGTGGTATGAGGGTGGAAGTGGAAATACGACGGTCTGCCAGGGCGGATGTACACGCAGGATAATAGTAAGTTTCTTGCGAACGCATGCGCAGGGTGAGGGAGGCGGTTCAGTTGTTTAAATGGGCACCTCCAGGCTGAGATATGGTGAAATCGTCACTACTCGAGTAAGTTCAGATTAATTGGAGTCACCGTGGGATGCCCATTGACGCCATGGGGAAACTTGAACCCGAACGCGGAGAAACCCAACGACGCGCTCACTCGATCTGCATGTCCCGTCACGTGTCTGACTTCTTGGGGATCATGTTTCAACGTGAATACTACCAGGCCATCAAGACGTCTGTGAAAGGATCAGGATTGCTCATAGTGATGTAAATATATATCATTCCTTTCCGCCTAGCCACCTATATACTACGGAGAAATCCTTGCCTTTATGAGCCTTCTCCGTCTCATCATAGACTTCCTTTGCTTTTTCCGCGAGGACCAGCTTGGCTCCAGCCTCGGATGCTGCTGTCATGGCAAGTCGAAGATCCTTGTTCATAAGGCTCACTCCAAATCCACCTTCGTAGTCTCTGCTGGCTGGTGCTGTTTCAATCACGCCCGGGACTGGGTTGTTGATCTCGCTAGGCCAACATTTCCCCGTAGCAGAGTTGATGAGATCAGCCAAAGCCTTGCCTTCGATACCCCATTTCATGCCAAGATTCATGGCCTCTGCGGTGGCAATATTGTTGATGGCAAGGGCATAGTTGTTGGCAAGCTTGCCGCTTAAACCAGTCCCTTGTGGCCCCATATGCCAGACTTTTTTACCCATCAGCAGTAGGATTTCTCTGAGGGTAGGAACATCCTCCTTCTCTGCTCCAATCATGAACGTCAAAGTTCCTGCTCGAGCTCCGACCACACCTCCTGACATGGGAGCATCCACAAACTTGGCTCCAGCCTTCTCTTTCACGAGTTTGGCCACTTCTCTCGAAGTAGTTGGGTCAATTGTGGACGAGTCGATGAAGATTCTCGTGCTCTGTGATGGGGGATTGGGGAGTGAGGTAGCAAGGACTTCCTCGAACACGGATTTGACATGCTGGGGCTCTGGCAGTGCCGAGACAATGTAATCCTGCAACCAATTTATCAGTACATAGTTGACGCGGTTGGTTTGAGGAAAGGGCTGCAGGATCCTTTCTGGGAAAACATTTCAGAGGATTGGCTTTAATATTTTTTGGGTAATCATGACAAGGACAACGCGAACGAAGTCCCCAACTTAGATCATAGATAGAACAATAGTTCATCATAGTAACCGCAAGGGGCTGAACATTAGACAGGATATCTCTACTCACCGAGTTCTCAACGACTTCCCGTGGGTTCTGGGCGAGGACGACGTTCGATGGGACCGCCTCCTTTGAGAACCTCTCCAGTGAAGACTTGTTGACGTCGAAGACGGTCAGGGTATCAGCCTCTGGGATCTTCGCTCGGAGGTTCTGTGCCATAGAATAGCCTGCACCGTATCAATATCAACCACCAGCCATTCCGCCGAGTGGTAAGCTTACCCATGGCACCGAGACCGATGAACCCCCAAGAGGCATCTCTTGATACAGAGCAAGAGAAGCTCCTGGAAGCAGTGTGAAAATAAGTGGGAGACCGCCGCACTGCGGAAGATAACAATGAGACAGTCATCTCTGCTGAGCTCGCCTGACGCCGTACATGCTCAGCAAGTACAGCAGGTAGGCAGGCATCAGATATGGAGAAGGTGTTCAGAGTGTTTGGCCTGAGTGCGGAGTTTTTCCCGAGGTTGAAGAAGCTCGGGGAAAATGTGTGGGATTTGTTTCGTAGGCCGGGCGGCTCAGCTTGTTCAAGTTCCGTGCAGGTAGGCCGAGCTTCCAGCGTGTTGCACTGGCACTTGCCGTCTGTAACCGAACCTCCCACTGTCTTGGCGGAATTTCATCGGCCCGTTCAAGGAGGGAAGTCCATATCTTGGAACGAGTGGTCGATGAATGGAAGGCGTGCAAGTGGGAGAATAGGGAGTATAGTCCCACTAGAAGTTGGAAGACAACACACTATTCAATGCTGTTGGCATAAAATGATATTCTCTACCTTCGCCTAGCTAAACCTCGCAACAGCTCAATAAAGTACCTGTTGGTATACGAAAAGAAGCAATACTCGATCATCGAAATAGAACCACTGGAGAAAAACTCAAACCTGCTACTCATCACCCTTCTAGCGACGTCTTGACTTTCCCTTGCCCTTTCCACGACCTTCAGAGGCTGAGCTTGATGAAGGGGCCAACACCGGAAACTCGTCATCTAGTGCCTTCCTACTTTGCTCCTCTGCGAGGCTCAGTCGTAGAGCGAATTCCAGGTCGTCTTCGTCGTCACCCGCGGCTAGAGCCTTGCTGCTGCTGGGCTTAGATTTGCGCGAAGGGGTTCCATGCCGTGAGCTTTTGGCATAGCGAATAGGGATATCATTTGCAATAGGTGAGGACGAAGCCTGTTCACTGTCGAGTAAGCTCAACCGGATTGCTTCTTCGAGGTCGGCATCCGTCTCCACTGCGTTGTTATTGCCGGCGCGATTGACTGGAAGTGATAACTTAGGTGAGGCATGACCCCATTCCTCCGGCTTTCGGTTTTGCCCTTCGCTTTGAAAGGCTTCTTCACTGAGCATCGTGGCGTATGCCAGTAGTTCTTCCTCACTCGCACCCTCCCCCAGAATATTCGTCCCAAACCTGCCAGTGAGGCGTTCGTTCTCTTTACGTCTCGCAACTTTTTCTCGTTCCATCTCCATGTGCTCATTACTGATGTAGTCTTTCAGTAATCCCCGACCCGTGGCACTGACCTTTTGACTGGCAGGAGTCGAATTGCTCCCTCTTTCTGATCGTCGACGTAACTGGCCTCTTTTCCTGCTCTTATACGCATCAGCAGCAGTTGAGCTGTACGACCAATATCTCAAATAGGTCCCTAGAGACGCCATACCACGCAAGGCGGTTGGGTCAGGGTCCAAGACTATAGCCCCAGCAGCATAGTAATTGTTACCAACGCCATGGATTGAAGCCTCTGCTTGAGCGATCCTGCGTCGAGCACGGTCGGAAAACCTTGAATTGAGTGTTCTGATAGGCTCGTTGGTGGATGCAAGTGGGTCCCATGCTTGTACAAGTCCGTCATTACCACCATGCACCAAGTAGAGCGAGGTTAGAGCCAGTGATGCGATCTGAGGAGATTTGGTGTAGAGTGTTCGAACCGGCTGGATTGTGTTGACAACATCAGGATTCGGAGATAGACTGGCACGCATATCCCACAGTATCACTATCCCAGACATTGTACCAATACCAAATAGGCGAGCACGATGTCCAGGTATCTCGGAAGCCGTACCTAGGATTGCCATCCGACCCAATGGTGATGCGAGAGGGGATGATGAATTGGATCCTCCAGACATACCTAGAAGGGGGTCCTCCGTGGCCGCAAGCGTGGCAAATTCGGTATCGTCTGACGCCAAAGCCGAGACGGCTGTATTGCGATGCTCGCCAAAAGAATAGTGTGAAGTATACCAGTCTTCCCTAAACTTGACATCAACTGTGTCATCTTGGCTAGATGTCCGCGAGCGTGGCACACTCCTTGAGATTGGTGATGACACCGTGTCCCAACGCGATGGCGTGCCTCCAGATCCAAAGATAGAACTGTGAGGCGCCGGTGATTGTATCGCCGGCCAAGCATCAAGATCGAAATCGACCGCGAGCTTCGTTTTGCATCGGTTGAAACGTTGGATGGACGCCCTTGAACCTTCATCAAGCCCACATTCAATCACAAAGATGGCTTCTCCGGCACCTCGATGATCATCCGCACCAAAATCTACCAAAAGTCTGCGCCGCATATCCCAGCCTTCACAAACAGACTTGTAGTGCTTAGCCTTGTGAAGGAAGAACCTCTCGATTTCTTTGGTTTCTGCAATGATTTGATCGGTGCTTAAGTCGGCATCATCACTCGAACTACGCGGAGAATAGCTCCCGTCGACCTGGACCGTCCCGAAGGGATCGGGCTTCGCTCGACGCCGAGTCGCCTCCACCAAGTTCCAGCGTACGCTTCTTCCAGTTTGCCAGGCTAGTCGGTCAATGTCTTGAGCCGAGGCCTTGCCAACAAAGTCTGGACGTGCCGGGGCTTCTGTGAGATAGAAGACTTCTCCAAGAGCGTTGAGTACCGTTGCCCAAATCCTCCCAGATCCAAGTCGACGATTGGAAACTTTCTCATCAATGCAAATGGCGGTGATCGGGACACCGGGACAGAGTACCCATTTAGCCGTAGGCTCACCCTTTTCAAATCGACGGTCTTGTACAGGATTGACTCCCAGTGCGTACGCACCCAGCACGCCATTGGAAAAACCAGCCAAAAACCCGACCAACCCGTTTGTCGCTTTGAGGATGTTTTCAGACTTTGCTAACCAGACCGAGCAAATGGCAGAGCCAGGGTTCACCTCAGGAATACCACGAGCGTGATCTGCGCTTGAGGACTGGACTACGAATCGCCCACGTTGTTCGCTTGTCGATGTATAAAATAGGCGACCGCCAGGACAAGCTTCTCCATAGACTCTGCCGTATTGTTGACTAACATCCATCACATTAGGCATACCCACAACGTTACCGGAACCAAGCCCAAATGGCAGCTCGCCGGGAAACTGATCAGCAAAATGCTTGAATCCTTCAAAGTCAGTCAGTCCCCAATGGCCCGGTTTGCCGGTACTTGGTTCACTGACAGAAACCAGGCCTTGTTCTACTGCACCATGCATGAACTGTGGCTGTTTCTTGTTCAAGCCTACGCCAAAGGTAGCGTGGAGATGGCTAACGGGATAGTTCAAGCCAGATACATAGGTAATGACTGCAGCGGCTGCAGCACTACTAGCATGTCGGGAAGCACTTGATCTGGATATAGCTTCCATCGCTGGTCGTCCGCGGCCGAGAGAACGTAGGAGTCGAGTTCTCAAGATGTATTCCGATCTCCACGAAGCAAGTGCAGATAGCCTAGTGAAACTTCTGCGCTGTGCGCGCTCGACATCAGACGAAGGCTCGTGGGTGGCACTTCCACCTTCAACTCCAACAGACTCCGCGCCTGGAAAATATCGTGCGAACGCGATCCGCCATGGAGCTGGCGTAGTGACCAGCTTATGGAACCTGCGCGACAGTAGACTCATGGATGACAACGTCTCTGGAGGTAAGTGAGACAGAATGTGAGTCAACACCTCTGTTCATGGATCAGCCAGTACTCTAAAATCACGGTTCTGAGGCTAACCATTTGGGAATATCTCGATAGAGACAGTATCGATCTTGCCCTTTGCTGAAGGGACAATCTGAAATATCATTCCATCAGAAAGCTTTCTTGGCTGTGAATTTGCCTTTTCATATTCGTCAATTCGACTTCCAGGCGATCCTTCTTGCGAAGAATTGTCACGACTGCCTCTCAATCCGGTGTTGGTCGAGCGTCCGCGTTGGGTACCGCTGGAACTGACGGAGGCATCATCGGTATCCTCGATGGCAGAGTCTGGTACTCTGGGGCTATTCTCGGGGAGAAGGCCATTAGAGGCATCATACAGGATGTCTGAGAGTCCATATTGGGAGGGAGGCGAGGGAAGTTGGGGTTGAGCTACTGGAGTCGCGTTTGGGGGAGTTTGTGAAGGCGCAGATTGCATAAAATGAATTGAGAGGAGGCCTGAAAGATTATCGAGACTGAGCCAGAATGCGGGTCAGTCTGAGAGGTTCTGCGTGGAAAGGATCGAGCTAGGGAACACGTATTGCGATGAATGTGAATTGAGAAGAGAAATGGAGCGAGAAGAGATGTTGTCATGAGAAATTGTCTCTCGGAGTTAGGGGCCAGGCAAAGGACGATCAGATCAGTCCTTGCACTCCGGTTTCGATTCCATGTTCCATGCCAAGACAATCTTACCCGACGCGTCATAATTGGTGGATTTATACAGCCTTGTCCTTGACAAGGCTACATTGCTACACGCTGTCCATTATCTTCCGAATACTAAATCGGCGATTCAATAAAAGGCATTACAACAGTGTTTGAGGGTCGAATCTTCTGCATGTTTTACGGATATCGTAAATTAGTTCCAAGTCACTCGGCCGATATCAACGCTGAGATACCATTGGCAACATATCGTCCACAACAACAGCCAGTGAAGCTTCATGGGAGCTGGTGCGAGACTAATCATATCAGGAAATGTCATTTATATCACCTTCAACCGGATGATAGTCTGGTTGACTAAGAACCGTCCTGCAGCGATACCTGCGTGCGAAATGGGAAACCGCCCTAGCAGCCTCGCTCAACTTTTCGTACCATTCCCAGCGCCTTGAGGCACGAGACTTCTGCACATTCTTTTGAGCGAATCTTAATCTCCAGATGAGAGTTTTGTATGGACCAAGTGTTTTATCGTCGGAGTACCTATGGTATCGAAGATGAATTCGCAGCACCGTCCCAGTCGGAACCCTGAGTCCGAAGTCCGAGATCCAGAAGCATACTCGCGGACATATTGGTGGGGGACCCGAGGTATGAACCCCACCATGGGTGCGGAAGGCCTGCGCTGCCTTGTACAGTCAATAATAACTAAAATTGGGTAGATCTGGGGACAGATGAACTCGTTTCAATCTCTTACCTCGGCGAGATAGTTCAAGCCAGGCTTTCGGATGTGTGAGTCGGCATTGGTTTCTACCTAGTGTCGAACTCTATTCCACTCTCTTTTACTTGCTATTGACATCGTGCCCAACATGATGCGGGTGAAAGTCTGACGAGATCGTGCGTGTTCAGTGGAGACAGCTGACATTTTGATACTTTAGGACTTCTCATGGGCGGAAACTGAGATTGCGACCACTTTCAAGGTGTCTGTCTTGCCTGACGAATGCTTTCCCTCAAAGGCATGGGGACGAGTTGTGCACTGAATCATTATGCCTCTTTCAACTCTACGCGTCAACTCTCGCCATCGTTGTTCCAACGCTTGTGGTAATTGCAAACGACGTAAAGAACGATGTGATGGAGTTAGACCATGCCAGAGGTGTCGCGCCAGAGGTGTCAAACATGAGTGTCGTTTCATTGCGCCAATGCTACTTCGAGCGGTGCTCTCCCCCGATACGGACTATTCCCAGACTCAGGAAGCAGATCCATCGAATACGAATGAGATGGATCCTCTTTGTGAGAGATATATGAGGAAAGTTCTTATGGGCATCAACACACCCCGCGTCAACCAGATCAAAGCTCGGCAGCCTCTTGCAAGACTTGTTGAACATGGGGACAGTGATTACACATTCCTTGGAGATTCATCTGCTTCAGCCCTACTGCAGACAGTCCGTCAGCTTGCCATAACAGCTATAGGCGATTGTGCGTTCATCAATTTGCAAGAGAACTTCTCACAAGGGCCTCCCGTCGACGAACGGCAGCCCAAGATAATCCCTGGTGAATTTGTGGCTCCACCAAAACCAGATATCGTTGAGGCTCGACGTCTCGTAAGATGGTACTTATATAGTACTGCCTGTTTTGGCGATCTATTCGATGAGAGCCTTTTGATGGGCGAGCTTTCCGCTTGGTTGTCAGATCCCCAAGAACGACACGATTGGATAAGCTCCAAGTTCTTCTTCATCCTTGCGGTAGGCGCCCAAACTTGCCCGGAGGATAAAGATCGTCTCGCACAATCATATTACACCTATGGTCGAAACCTTACCGTCTGCGATACAATGGAGCACACAAGCGCTGGCCTTGTTGGTGCACAATGCTATACGCTTATCACTCTATATCTAATGAATGCATCACGCCTCAATGCGGCTTTCATGAATCTTGGACAAGCCATCCGCGCTGCATACGGTCTAGGGTTACATCGGACTGATCTTGTCGCAGATTTCTCACCTTCGGAGCGCAGGACTCGAGACCGTCTTTGGAAAGCCATTCGGGTCTTTGATGTCTATCTAAGCGCCACCCTGGGAAGACCACTAGCAACTCATGAGTCCCGAAATACCACCACGGCCACGAACTACTCTCCCACAGTGGACATGTGCACAATATACGAGTCAGTACTTACTGAAGTATACACTCAACCTACGATCGGGACTGAAATGCTGCAACAAATCATTGACCACAATCGGGCATGGGCCACTAGATTTCCTGCCGGTATCGAGAATGATGGAGTTGATACGTCCGAGCAGATACAATTGGGATGTCATCTACTGCCTAATATCGGGCTATTTCACCTCAAGCAGGCATTCTATGGGGTCACGATACTGTTGACTCATCGATATATTGGGGGAAGTGTCTTGAGCGATATGGACAGTTCTGTGGGGGCCTCCAACCCCAACCTCGACCAGAATGTAATTTCTCCATGGCTCTCGTCATCACAGCTATTGGGACTCGCTTGCGTTCAATCAGCCATTGATTCCATTGAACTGTTTCGGGAGCTCCTGGTTGCTGATCAAGTACCGAAGCGACTCCCGCTGGTTGTGAATTCGGTCTTCTATGCTGCCCTTGTTTTGGGCTCGGCAACCTTTAGCGACCTTTATCCCACGTTTTCTCTTCAGGAATATCTTGAAACAGCTTGCAATCTTCTGTCGATATTTCGTAAGCATGACTGGCTCGCCATGCAATATACTGGAATCTCGGAAAGACTGAGCGCAGCTTGCAAAGAATATGTTGAGAAGAAGTCACGAAGCCAGTTCAAGAACAGGAGAGCCCTTATCAGCGAGCTCTTTGGGGACGTTGACATTCATCAGCCCACAGAGTCGATTGAGCCCGTTCGAGACCCTGACTCAAGAGAACACAGAGGACCGGCCCCGTCACATCGTGAGAGGTTTACCCAGGAGTGCTCCCCTGCATCTATACCCTCAAATACTCTACATCCTGCGGGCTCAGAAATGGGGACTGCAACCATGGACTCACTGGACTTTGCAGAATTTCTTGAAGACTCCTTCCTGCCCAACGCGCAGAGCCATTTCCTCCAGACTCCTTTTACCCCTTTTTGTGATCTTCCCGAGGCTGCTCCAAGATCGGGCCCGTGTTCAGATTCTAACCTGTCGGGGTTATTTGTGAATCACGCATTTCAATCCAAATCAGTGGATGCATCTCACGGATAAACTGGCTCAACCTTCTCGCTGTAATATAAGAGACTTCCGGTTGGGCCCCCAATATGTACGAGTAAGTCAGGAGACCGGGTCTTCTTGCCGCCTCTGCGAATCTTTCATCTCATAGTGCAACGTCCGCTCATGGTTGACATATGGTCGGCCGATCCTCCATGCTCTGCGGTGCCCTTTCGACACGACCATCTGTGTCCTAGATAGCAAGTGTAATGTTAGCGATGACGCATATGAGAATGAAGGGTGGACTACTATTAAAGGTGGCCGAGAAACCCCTCAGGAAGGTCTGGAGGTCTTGTTGTCCACAAGTGGATGAAGAAGAAATGCACCCAGTCGACTATTCTGCCTCAGGAGCAACTGCTCAGACGATGTTAATATCTTCCCCTGTGCCTCGGATCTCGGTCACGTTTGACACCATCCCAGTGCCTCTCAGAAGTTAGGACCACTGTATTTGTCAGAGGTCTACCGTTATTAATGATGGTCAGCCTAAATCGTTTTCGTGTGGAGAACGCCCTTACCATCGGGAATGATACCACTTGGACCCAATGGGATCGTGCATCGGATTCATCCGAAGGCATAATTATCGAGTCAAGTCAAGGCGCTGGGATTTGGTTGGTTGCGAGCTGGCCCATCCGGTCCAGACTCCTAACTCCAGACTTTTTATTTCCCCCACAAACCTTACATGAACAGCATCCGAAGAGGGGGATCTGGGGGTTGAAAGTACCGGGGAAGTCTTGATACCAGCGACATGTGTGTCGTTAACTCAACGAGTGTCTTGGGGCCAGAGTTCGGATAGGTGCCTCGAAGAAATTGACAAAGTTGTCTGGAGAGCTCTCCGCCGCATTTTTCTCTAACTTATGTTATAAAAACACCCGTGTGCACCTTTGAGTTTGGACTGTTGGTCAATGCAAATAGTTTCCGAGGAAGCATACAAGTGAGAGCCTCAAGCCGCTTCTTTCAGTCTTTTCTTTTGAATCACCATTCGTCGGCTCCCACGTATCGATATGCCTTCTTCCGAGTCCCCGCATGCTCCAACAGTCAACAGAGCTCACAATCCCCAGAGTGATGGCATCGAGACTGCCAAGTATGATCCCAAAGATCAGCCGGTGGAGAACTTTCGTCCAATGAAAGTCATAACGATCGGCGCAGGGTTTTCAGGCATATATCTGAGTGTTCGTATGCCGGAATGGCTCCGCAATGTCGAACTGGTGGTCTATGAGAAAAATGATGGACTCGGCGGTACGTGGTGGGAGAATCGATATCCTGGCTGCGCCTGTGATATTCCAGGTACGTGCTCCTTTTTGCATGTTGAGGAGGACCCTTGCAACCCAAATCGTTCACCTTTTCGGCACCCTCATGCTTCACGAGAAGCCCAACAATGTCGGTGGCTACGCAATATTGATGTAGCGGTTACCTAGCACATTCGTACGTCTATTCGTTCGAAGAGAACCCGGGCTGGTCCAGCTTCTATGCACCCTCGCGCGAAATTCAAAAGTATCTCCAGAACGTCGCAGACAAGTATTCAGCTGGCCGCTTTATCAAACTTGGTCATAAGGTTGTCGGCTGTACTTGGGACGCTGCAGAATCGAAATGGTATGTGGATATTGTTGAACTCTTCCTTTGATATACGTTCAAGCGATGGGTGGTCACTCACAAAGTGTCCAGGAAAGTCGATGTTCAGAAGATCGCCACCGGTGAAATATTTTCCGATGAAGCAGACGTAGTAATCGCAGCTCGTGGCGGTCTTAATGACTACATCTGGCCAAAGATTGATGGACTGTGGTCTTTTAAGGGGAAAATTGTTCACTCGGCAAATTGGGATGAATCGTCTGAAGCCTGATTCCCGGGATCTCCACAAGTACCTGTCCGCTAACCGTCAAGCTAGGTTTGACTACTCGAAGAAGAGAATTGGTGTCATCGGAGGGGGCAGCAGTGCCATCCAGATCGTCCCACAACTACAGAAGCTTGTTGGCACACAGTTGAGTTGTTTCATCCGAAGCAAGACGTGGATTTCCACCACTTTCGGTGCATCTGCAATGCAGAAATTGGGTCTTGATCATGAAGAATGTACGACCACCCAATTTCTCAGCAATAACGTTTTCTTTTCAGTGATGGTAAAGGCTGACAAACCGTGACAGTTACGGAGGAGGACTACGAGAAATACATGTCAGACCCGGAAAAGTATCATGCTTTCCGCAAATCAATCGAGAGTGAGGGCAACGCCATGCATCCATTTTCTCTCCAAGGCTCGCCGATGTCGAATTTCGCCCGTGATGCTTTCACTCAGCTCATGACGAGTCGTCTTGCCAGAAAACCGGAGTTGGCAGAATTCCTTATCCCTAGCTTTGCTCCAGGTTGCCGCCGCTTGACTCCCGGCGAAGGATTTCTCGAAGCCTTGACGGAAAACAATGTCGAGTTTATCAACACACCAATCCACGCAGTGATGGAAACCGGTGTCGTTCTAGAGGGTGGACGACTAGTTGAGCTTGATGTTCTTGTCTGTGCAACGGGATTCAATCCCGCCGCCGCACCACCGTTCCCTGTTGTTGGCATCGATGGTAAAACTTTGGGTGATAGATGGGAACCGTATCCCGAGGCGTATATGAGTGTGGCAGTTGATGGGTTCCCAAACTACTTTACCATGTTGGGCGCGAACGCCGGCGTTGCGAGTGGCAGTCTCACCAAAATCATTGAGAGTGTGGGCGACTACATCATCAAATGCGTCCGCAAGCTTCAGAAAGAGGACATCAAATCCATGTGCATCTCTCCTCGTGCGATCAGGAGTTGGATCAACTTTGTCGAGGTCTACTTCCGGAAGACCGTCTTCCTAGACAATTGTCACACCTGGTACAGGAAGAACAACCGGATTATAGGCCTCTGGCCTGGCAGTACCTTGCATGCAGTCGAATCTCTCCGGTCTCCCAGATGGGAGGACTTCGAGTATGACTACGGCGAGAACGCGGAGGACGGCCGACTGCTGCGTTGGCTGGGCAATGGTTGGTCGGAGCTTCAACTCAACGGAGGTGACATCTCATTTTATATCGAGCCTGATTACGTGGATAAACCCTTTGCGCCTTTGCCAGAGAAGACACAGAAGTGGAATTATCGCTCTTTCTCCTATTGAAGAGAAAGCACGATATTGGGACATTAGATGATACGGGTATGTCTTTTTGATAAAAACGAACGAGAGCATATTATGCAAGGGTATGAGCATGCCCTGGTTTGTTGTACACGTTTTGAAGTCACGAAGAGAAACGAGTAGTCCATGAATTGCTCGCTTCAGCAGAATTGATGACGCGCATCAAGTCGCGTCGTGAGAAATTCTAAAGCGGCACCGCGTCGCCCCCAATCCAAGAATCCAGTTCCGCCGCCATAATTTCAATCGTCCTTGACCTTGCAGCTGCCTGTCACTGGGTGCCTGCTTTTACCAACTTGTTTGCTACAATTTCCCTTTTACGAAATTAAAAGGCTAGCAGTTTTAAACCCTCCGAAGAATGTATGATCATCATGGCCGACACAATCTCAATACTGGTCGCCACGGATAACCATGTCGGAGCTCATGAGCGGGATGCAATCAGAGGCGATGATTCTTGGAAGACATTCCATGAGATATTATGTTTGGCCAAAGAACGAGACGTCGACATGGTCCTGCTGGCTGGTGATCTTTTCCATGACAACAAACCATCGCGGAAATCTATGTACAATGTCATGCGATCCCTCAGACTCAACTGTCTGGGTGATAAACCCTGCGAGTTGGAGATGCTGAGTGACGAGTCGGAACATTTTGATCCCACGTTTGACCATGTCAACTATGAGGATGAGAACATCAATGTCGGCATTCCTGTCTTTTCGATTCATGGCAATCATGACGATCCGACCGGTCATGGTCATTTCGCTGCCCTTGACCTGCTGTCTGTCTCAGGCCTATTGAATTACTATGGCAAAACTCCTCAGAGTGACAATATCTCCGTTAAACCAGTTTTGATTCAAAAGGGCCGTACGAAGCTTGCGCTATATGGGTTATCAAACGTACGAGATGAACGTCTTTACCGCACATTTCGTGAAGGTCACGTGGTTTTCCATCGGCCAAGCACTCAGATGAAGGAGTGGTACAATTTGATATGCGTTCATCAGAACCATCATGCTCATACAGAGACTTCGCACCTTCCTGAGAACTTCCTCCCCGAATTTCTGGATCTGGTGATCTGGGGTCATGAACATGAGTGCATCATCACACCACAACTAAACACAGAAATGAACTTCCAAGTTATGCAACCTGGCTCGTCTGTAGCCACATCATTGATTCCAGGCGAAGCGGTTCCCAAACATGTGGCAATCGTGACCATTACTGGACGAGAGATGCATTCAGAACCCATTCGTCTTAAGACAGTACGGCCTTTCGTTTACAAGGACATTGTGCTCAGTTCAGATAAGGTTGCCGTCAAACTGGCAGAGAAGGACAATCACCGAACCAAACTCACACAGCATCTTATCCAGATGGTTGAAGACATGATCGAGGAAGCAAAAGCGGATTGGTATGAAGCGCAAGAAGGCCGACTGGAGGAAGGTGATGAGCCCCCTGAGTGCCCCCTCCCTTTAATTCGCCTTCGCGTGGAGACGAGTTCCGCGGAAGGAAGTGGCAAGTTTGATGTCGAAAATCCTCAGCGCTTCTCCAATCGTTTCGTCGATAGGGTTGCGAACACCAACGATGTGATCCAATTCCATGTGAGGAAGAAGAATGCTACGGCGACAAGAACCGCGAAAGACAAGGAGCTGGCCAATGAGATCATGGCTAAACTTGCAGATGTTGAGACCATCAGCATTGACGACCTTGTTAAAGAATTCCTGGAAGCTCAATCCCTTACTATCCTTCCTCAGAACTACTTCGGAGACGCGGTCAGCCAATACGTTGACAAGGATGACAAGCACGCAATGGAGACGTTCGTGAACGAGTCGCTTGCGACTCAGATCAAGTCCTTGGTCAAGTTACAAAATGGTGATAATGAGGAGGATGAGGATGAGGATGATCTTGCCACTCAAATCAATGAGCAACGCGCAAGAATGGAAGAATTATTCGCGGCAGGTGCCATCAAGGCTAACAAAGCTAGATTCAAGCCCAAGCCAGAGAATTGGGATAGCGATCTGGACGGTGAATGGGAGGCTCAGCCAGCGGCTCTGATTCGCAACGACGAGGATTTTGCAGACATGGACGACAACGCTAGTGACGACGGAACTCCAGCACCTCGAGCAAGCACATCCACCAGAGGTCGTGGTCGAGGCCGAGGTGCACGTGGAGCCCGTGGAGCAGCTACGGCAGCATCTACCCGCAAGCCAGCAACGACGGCAGCAGCTAAGAAAACTTCAGCGGCTACCGCATCACGAAGTCGAAAGCGTGCAGTTCCATCCGAGGAAGACGAAGAGGAGGAGGACATTGTCATGTTCGACGACGATAAAATCGAGGCAGTCTCAGTGGATCCGTCAGAGGATGAGAACTCCCAAGCCATGTTCTTTCCTGACAAGCGCAAGGCAGTCCCGAAAGCCACGACCAGCGGACGAGGTGCACGAACAACTGCAGCCTCGACTACGTCCAGCACACGAGGTCGCAACACGGCCGGTGCCCCAGCTCCTGCCGCAAAGAAACCTCCTGCTAGGGCTACTGCTGCAAGTCGGGCCAAGCAGTCGACATTGAACTTCACGACATCTCAAAACAGCATTCTTGGGAATGGAAGGGGCAGTGCGCGCAGTGCCAGGAGTGTGGCTGACGATATTGAGGATGATGACGACGACGATGAAGATGCATTTGAGCCAGTTTCGTCTGTCAGAAATCGGCGTTGATGCTGGCTGACATTCCTGTGAGATATGGGCATGGGAGATTATGCGACCACATATCACATGTGTTCAATGCTCGGGTCATGTTGCTCAAAGGTGTCAAAAAGGGGGCCAGGTCTCACTTCAAATCGTAAGGCTGGCTGGACAGATGGTCACCTGATCTGATACATCGCAACGTTGGCCCGGCAGATGTAAGTCAGAGCTCCCGGCATGCGCCGCACAAAAGTGCTTCTGGGTTGACATCTGACCTAGACGAATAGAAAGCGAGTTATAGGCGCGGCTGGACAAGAATGTGGAAATGAACCCAACCACCAATTGTGGCTGGGAGAATTATTAGTTCGAACAGATTGTAAATCAGAAGAAAGCCCCGAGAGTGAAACAAACATTACAATCATGATTCGTGGCTATGGTTATTCGTAGGCTCAGCTCGCAGCCTTCGACTTTCAATTTTCAAACCCATCTGACAGCCGTCGTCCGTCAGTCATCGTGGTGCTCTTGGCCCCACGCTTCCATGGCCACCTCTTCTGACCGTTATTTCCTCCTTCTTCACTACTTGTCTCGAATGGATCAGCTTCTCGCTGTCTCGTATTGAGACCGTCTTTGGGTTCCGCTGGATCGTCAAATCCTGACTCCAAGCCTCGCCGCGGGCGTATTTGCCAGGTATGGTCAATTATTTTTGCCTGTTGAATGTACTCTGATGGGTAGTCCGGGTCTTTCATCCAGAAGGGCGTGCGGTTCACCACCAATTGGTGGTCCGTGAAGCGTTGGTAGAGCAAAAGGCCACCGTACCACGCCAGACCCCAGAAAGGAGCGCTGATACCGATGACGGGGACAATGTACCACTCAAAGCCAGTCACGCTGGAATGGAAGGGTGATCCCAGCGAGGGTGGTACGAACGCCGTTATCAGAACAAAGGCGCTTGCCAGTGTGTAGATGATGGCGTGCGCCGGGCTGAGCCAGGGCCGATACCGTCGACGTTCTTGCCAATGCCACCTTCCACGTCGTAACTTGATCCACAGAAGTCCAATTGACACCCAGAACCCAAGGAATGTCACTATCGTGTAAGAGTACAACGATACCAGTGCCGAGTATGCCTTACGAGGATCCCCAACTGGGAGTGTCACGAGGATCAAAAGTATAGACGTAAACCAGTGCAACACAAATGCGGCTGTGGGGGCCTGCTCGAGGTCTTCCGGAAGGATTGTATTGCGACTCATCCATTTCTTCCACATTCCGTAAGGAGTCGTGTAAGATGTCGCAAAAATGAGTGATTTTGGCAGAATTCCTTCCTTGGCGATTTCTTGCTTGACTCTTGCCGCAGTAAAGGTCATGACAACCAGATTTCCGAATATGGAAACCGCAATCAATCCTGCCATGGCTCGGCGGCCATGTGCTTGATCATCAAAGAGATGCTCGAAAAACAGTGTGGCCATGTCGATACTCTGAGGTATATCACCGGCTCCGGCGGGGATGACCAGACCCTTGGGCACGGCAAAAAGCTATTAAACGTCAGCACAGTGATAGCCATATTGTTGAGCCAACTTACATAGGCGATATTGACGAGCATGAACAACACGGCCGCAATGCCCATTGCCAGGACGGTGTACTTTGGGAAATTTTTGTGCGGGCTCTTTGACTCTGCAAGGACCTGCAAAATTTGTTAGCACACTCAAGCACTCAGTCTGATGGGTAACATACATAGAAAGGTTGCTCGAATCCGGAGAAGCTGTACATGCAGAGCATCAATGAATTCGACCAGCTGGTGACATCCTTTCTATTTGTAACAAACACTCCCTTGGTGAAGTTTTCCAAAGGTGCCTTTCCGGGACCAGGAAACGCTCCCGCGGCTTTGGCGATTCCGAGCGCGATGATCGCCACGAGCAGGAGGACTTTGGTGACAGCGAAGGCATTGTTGACCAAGATCCCGCCGCGGCGTGAGAACATATGGAGTAGGACAACGAAAGTCAGCGCGCCGATCGCGATGCCGGCAGCTACACCCTTGTCTGGGACTTCGCCAGACATTGGGTCGTAGATACCAGAGGCAGTCATGACTTGGATGCCGAAAGAGATCGCATTACTTTAGGATGAGTCAACTTCGGCCTACACAAATGGAGTCTTTGATCTCTAACTTACCCACTCAGATTGTAGAGTAGAATAAACATGATGCTGAAAGCACATGTAGTTCTGATGTGTGGTAGACGGGCGCTGGCATTCGGAAACATGAACTCCAACTAGCACGAGCTAAGTCAGGGACATCAGACAAAAGATTAAAGGTCAAACTTACAAAGTTCTTTTCACCTCCAGACCTAGGTACTCCCCGAGGTTCTGTCTCACCTCTGACGGTTCGTTGAGGCATTGATAGACCACACTCAAGCCAAACATAAAGTCCACAGAGTGAGATCACCGCCCCAATGACCCAGAGGAGCAAAGCACCACCGACACATCCTGTGCCAGCGAGTATTCTATGCGGTGTTAGGAATATTCCCGAACCGATTGTTCGATTCAAAATAAGAGCGACAAGAGTCCATTTTCCGATTTTTATCCTTTCGGCGGGTGCCTGGTCAAGCCGTTGATGGTTATAATCAATATCTGCAGCAGTGGGATTTCCGAGGAGTGCTTCTTCATGGGAATTCAGAGGCATGATGGTGGGCAACAAGCCAGAAGGATGGAATAGGCGAGAGACCACTGAGTTCCTGAGAGAGGAATCCGAATCGCCCTGGGAAGCCGCTGTAGAAGAACATGATTAAAACCATCAGGAGACTTGTGTTTCCGAACTTAGGTGGCTTGCAAGATTGCGCGAACGCGTTTCTTGGAAGTTTGCCTTGCCTAGAAGCTAGCGATAGCCCTTCCAACAGATGTGCATGAAAGTGAAGCAATGTACACCCACCTGACCTATCAGTGGGGCTAAGGCTGTGAGTCACTTTGATGAGGCTCGGCGTGCAGAAAGACCAACACAGGAGAGGAGCTGTCGGCAGCTGTTTCTCGGGATGAATGAAGGCTAAGCACGGTTGAAGGAGGAGTAGCACAAGGCAACTTGACAGGTGGGCCCCCTGGACGCGATTCTTCAACAATCGAGAGGCTAATTCGAGTTAGGGGGAGCGAAAAGAAGGGCTCAGCCCCCAAACTAAAGAACTCAAGTGGCTCGTCATCGATGCCCACGCTTCGGAAAGCGCCTGTGGCTTAAAGCCGAGGCAGCAATGGTGTGTGGTACACCTCTCAAGGGACAGTCGAAACCCAGCATAACCTTGGATTTTAACCCAGCTAGATGTCAACCCCGTCGTCTACCTGCATGTTGGGCTGAATCTTCTATATTTTTATCCTTCTTTTTCCTTTCTTCAGTCAAGGAGTGTAAAAAGCAGAAATTCGAAACAATCGGCCTGTCTTCGACAGCTCAGGCCCACCAAGAAAGAAAGTCTGAGCCTGATCTGGGCTTGTTCACGTTCCCCATAAAGTCGATCATGTGATGGACTTTGGATGTGGTGATGTCCTCGCTGGAATCCGTCTTGCCCATACTATTTACCAGATTAGTTGTGTTTATGAGAACCGCGCAGGTATGAAAGTTTGAATGCTTCCTATCCTTGCATTAGCTGACCTAGTTCAATAGATGTCAGATATAGAAATTTCGTGAGCGAAATTCAAGGGTTTCGAGAGCTGTTGAAAAAGCTTCTCAAGTCTCTCAATGATGCCGCCCAGCGATATAACGATGGAGGACTCCTACAAAGAGCGGCTTACGATCCGCTATCGGAAGATTTCGACGCAGAAAGGCGCCAGATGATCGGTAATTTCAACGACACTCTCGAGGAATGTCAAACTCTCCTCAATAATAACAAGAAGCTACTTTCCAAGCCTAACAACTTCTTGGATAATGTCATGTGGAATCTCAATCAGCAAGATCAGAAGATCGATGATCTAAGGAAGCGTATTCATCTGCACTCCACCAAAATCAAGCTTGTCATTGATCGATTGAGTATCAACTTGCTCACCGATATCGACTCCAAGGTTGATGATCTACTCGATATCTCCGAGAGAAATATCAACCTAAGCAAAGACATTCAGATTGAGCTACGAAAGTTCTACACTTCATGGCTCGGCGTTTTAGCGGGACATGAGCCACTGAATGCACTAGGGCCTGAGGACACACATGTCGCAAGCGCGCAAATTCGAGAGAAATTCGAGAAAACCCTCGGCGTCAATGCTCCAGCTTCCATGATTACCAACGACATTCCACTCAAGGAAGGATTCGATGTCATGCTTGTACATTTCGAACAGAGTTCCGAAGGTACCGATCAAACACCGGAAAAATATCTCATCCTCCTGAAAACCCGATGGATGCTAAGTCAGATCAAGAGTAGTCGAGGCTTTCAATCAGCTTGTGCTGGCTATTACTACAAACGTGCAATTGGCCAAGTCGAGCAAGCAGTTCTACTACGTGTGAAGGGAATGGAAATCATTGCCTATGATGACGAGACACTTGCATCATTACCCGAACATGCCTTCATGATATGGGAGCCTCCCAAACAAGAAGAAAATCCTCATCTGGATCCAACAGTTGTGAGGGCCAATGAGCAAGAAGTCATACGTCTTCAGCTAGCTTCGACGGGCACCCCAGATGCAGTGACAATATTTCGGCAGTCGTTCAACAGTTTTCGAATAGTCATGGAAACCACGACACAGGAGGGGAAGAGTGTCATTCTTCCCCAAACAGTGTACACTCATGAAGATAGGCTCATTCCTCGATATGCCTTACCGACAATGAAGAAAGAATGCTTCGAGATTGCGATCTTTTCACGAAATGAAGAAACGTTATATCGTTTCAATTCAATGGAAGATCTATTCGCATTCCAGACAGCCTTGACCGGCTACGATGTTTCACATAGCCAGGTCAAAATCACATGTCAATTCAGCAAAGGCTCTGCTTCAGCATTGGATTGTACTGGCCAGATTCAACTTTGGCAAGACCCCATAACTGTGTCTAAACTTCCAGAAGCTATATCGGAAGGTTCTCCAATCGATTCTTTCAGCACAAACAGTCCGCGGTCTCGCGAGAGTAGTTTTGTCGAGTCGATTGGTCCAACAACAACGATCAGCCGTGTCGGAAATGGTTGGGAGGCGGATAACATCAAGTTTTCAGGATTGACAATCTTCACCCAGCTGAACGACAAGTCCAGCCGATTAAGATTTGCCATCATGTTTATCGAGCTTGAGACAAGTATCAATATCGATCCAAAGAAATGCAACTGCCATCGCGATTACAACAAATGTCCCTACTTGTGTCTCACACGCAATAATGGCGACAAGTTCCCTATCCACGTCCTCTTCACCACTCTTGATGGCCACGACAGCCCCGATCCAAATTCTTTCGACCTCTTTCCCTTCCGAGCACCACGGAGATCTCAGTTCAAAGAGCTCACCGTCAAAGAAACAGCCTACCTGCTTCTGAAATTCAGCACACTCGCAGAAAAGGAGAAGTTCCACCGCGAGCTATCACTCCGCTTCCGGATCCGGGCAAAGCAATTGTCAGATCAGCTAGAAATGATGAAAGGATTTCGACATCGCGAGAACAAGCCCATACGGACTAGCCAGGTACCCACAGGCAGCTTCTCTCAACCTCGACGGTCCGTTACAAGCGGTTCATTTAGCTATAGCAGCTCACCTCCACAACTCGAGAAACTCAAGATCGAGACCGGGTTTTCAGGAGAATGGAAAATACCGATCGCCGCGAACGACAACAGTGAAACGCTGCCGCAGCAGACGGCGAGCCAGGCCGTAGCAGTCGAACTTCCAGGCAACGGAGAGACCGCGACCCGGGCGTTTGGTTCTTCGACACAGCGCAGCAGTAACGCAATAAGTGAGCATTTACCAGAAAAGGAGTTCGGCACAGTCAGATCACCGACGCAAGGTGACCTCAGGAGGGCATCCAGCAAGCAAGCCCTGGACGACAAACCAATTAATTCCAACAGCCGGGCGAGCACCTGGACCATTCAGCCTGGAACAGTGCACTCGACCGCCAAGCAGAGCGGACTGAGCAAACTCAAGAACAAGATTATGGGTTTTTGAGAGGTTTGATTCTTTTATTTATTGGATTGGGAAGTTCAGTTGTTTTTCTTTTTAGCACATCCACTGGATTAGGCGTATGGAGACTGGCGAATTTTGGGCACACAGGACGATTGACACGATTGACCATGGGAAATGTATGAACAGAGACCTACATACAAACATGCGGCGTACGGGACTCTTCGTCATCTGGATATATTACGGCTTATGTATCAATGTATAGTTTTGTCATGAATTGATAGATCACTTCAAACAAATCATCAACCCACATTCATGACCTCCCAACTAGTTACCACTGTAATCACTCACACGCCCGAAAGCCGCATGAAATCCGAAACGGGCTGCCTCTCCTGCGTGTCAAAGTCACTCCACACGACGAGCTGCGTGTCCTGGAAGGAATACTTGTCCAGGAGGGTCAGCAGCTCCATGAAGCGCTCGATGTACAGCCTCGCACGGCGCGAGATGCTCGTGTGCTCTTCGAAGGGGCAGTCGAGCAGCGTCGCGGCGACCTGGCGGATCTTGTACGTCAGCGTGATTCCGTTGGGCTCGAGGTTCTTCTGCTTGATGTTGTACAGCACCGCCAAGAGCTGCTCGCAGATGTCCTCGCGCTCGGACCAGTGTTGGCGGTCGTGGGACTTGGATAGCTCGGTCGGAGTCGCGGTGGCGTTGTTGTTGTGGGTTGACGCATGGTAGATGGCGAGGAGGCGCTCGAAGATCAGACTGCGGACCCAGAGTCGGGTCACTTGGAGATTTGCTCGCAGGCTCTCGATCTGATCTGCTCGAGTGTTGGATGCTTCGGTGGTGGTGGTGTTGTCGTCGGCGTCGGAGCCCGCCCGTTCACCTTGCCAGAGTGCCATTTGCGGTGAGATGTCGTCGAGAACATACTTGACCCGTTCGAACATGCGCGTAAGCACCTGGTAGTCAGGTCGGTTGTTGTAGTGAGCTGAAGAGTCTCCCGTGGTGGTGCTAAGGCTGATTTTTGGTCCCCCTACAACTTCGTGTGGCAGATCCATCAGGCATAAAAATATGTGGATCAGACCTGTGAACCCGGTGGCCAGTGGGGTCTCGGAAGGAGGCTGTTGGTACAACAGGTTGGGTGTGATGTACTCGTCGTCTAGATCCAGGGGAAGTAGTGCCGCCAGATGATTGGAATCGAACAACATCTGATCCGGAAGGGGTTTCCAGAGTAATGATGGGCGTTGCGGCCCACCAACTCGATCATGGCTATACTCGATCAGCATCGTTGCTTGATAGTCTGATCTTCAAGGGATCCGATGGTTGTGATCCGGTGAATACTAGAAAGTGGAATGTCTCTGACTTACACCGAGTAGTACACATAGAGCCAGAATGACTTCTTCCTTAACTGTGCCTCCACAAAGTTCAGACCGATGTAAGTCTGTGGATCGTTGGCTCCCAACGCCCTCAGCATCACCCACATCTCCGCCCAGTACAATGACATCCGTCCTACGACATTCAGACTCCCATAACTGCAAGCCAGGAAGAAGGCGATAGCACATTTCTGTGTGCTCGGAGTTTCAAAATATTCCTGATTTCGTAAGCCAAGAACACGCTCCTCCAGGTGCACAACCAGCTGTTTTGGAGTGTTGAATTCGAAAAACCACCGTGCCTTCTTGTAGTCCAAGAAGCGTCGAGGTAGCTGAGCCACCACCATTGCACAGATGGTGAGAAGTAAAGAATAGAAGATCTGGTCGTGCTCATCGCGTTCTCGGCCAAAGTCGGCTCTGAAACTTGGACGGTGCACGACGGGCATGAGCGGGTAGAGGAGATCGAGATAATCGATAATCATCAACTCGATGGCTTCTCGACTACCAAGGCCTTGCGTTGGTTCCGAGGGGTTTGACTCAGAAGAAATCGTCGGAGTCGAGGGTGTTGCTGTCGTTGACGTACCGGGATAGTGAGTTTCTACTGGTGTCCCTGAGGAGCCTTGAAAATGGGCTGCTAAACTGTCCCTCGAACAATTATCGTGACGTGCCGATATTGGAGCTGGCACTTTGTTGATGTCGGAAGACATGAGGGTCCTCGACTTTCTTGGGCGGCGCTGCTGTGGTCGATCAAAAGTGCATTGCATACGAAGAGCATTGCATTGTGTACAGCGATCTAGATTGGCAGAATCATTTCCTGCTGCGGTCTGGTATCCATTAGTCACTTACGGTTCATGTTCAGAATCATGGAATTGGTCAGAAGGCTTGATTGAGCGCACCAGATCAAGTCGCTCGCACTTTATTTTGCGAATGAAGCATGCATCACAGGCGCGAGAAGACATGCTGATTTTATAAGCCCATTGGGGGAGATCGTACTTGCCCCTACTAGCCAATGCGACTGAACATTAGCCAGCTTCTCATATGGTCCACGTCATTCTCAAGTATGGGTTTTGGGCGAACGAAAGCGCGGGAAGATAAAGTTCGATGTTAAATCACGTTTGCCAGCTGCACTGCAACCATTATTGGTGACGCTGCTAAAAAAGAACAGGAGGTGAGTTTGGGGGAAATTATCTGAGCGTTTTTATTGTCCGACCCAAGGCTGAGCCGACGAGGCCCGCCAAGCCTCGTACAGGGCAAGCATCATCCGGTTAACCTCGCTTGTCATGGAAGATATATGGCGGAGGGTTCGTGATGATTGAGAAAGAGATACCGAAATTGTTTGATATTTTACTATCATCGAATACATAAGCATTGAGTACCTTTGCTGTCCTGTAGCCAAAACCTGCGCCTCTAAGGTATGGCACAGCCATCATCAAATACGGGCCAACTCCAAGATCATCAGCCACACTAGCAACAAGCAACTTTGAGTGATGCGCACAAAATCAATCCATGACTCCAGAACTCCAAATGTGATCGCTAATCATAAACAACTATATCGTCACCAAATGATGACTGCAAGTGGATGTGCTGCAACCCAATGCCTCAACCCAGCCTCGTCCGTTGAAAGGGGTTCCTACCGTGAGACAGATGCGGAGACCTGGCAACGTATTAAGGTAATCCATCTGTCAGCATTATGAGCGCTGTGTCCCACGTTAATATCGCCTGATCTCCTTTCCCCATACAATTGATCATATGACGCGTGCCCACCAAGAATTCCAGGGAGGTCTGAGTTATACTTTCGGTCGTGTTGAATGTAGAAATTGACCCCTGCGACGTAGATTCAGTGACAAGGTAAATCCTCGGCTGTGAAAATTTCTATTTTCCCGTGGGCGATTTCGGTGATTGTCCTGGTTCGACCTTGATCCACTTCAAGTCTGGCTTCTTATCCGCAGACAAGTTGTCCGAGGCATCAACAAGCCCACCAAAAAGACTCAATGCAAGAGAGTCCGACCGTTCTGTCAGGACATCTGCCAGGGAGCGATTTGCCTGCCCGCTCGAGCTTTGTTGAGCGGGAGTCCGATGCTGAGCACCACTGGGATTTGAATTGGCGCTGCTTTGACGAGACAGCTGACCTCCCTGTGGCGATGAAGAAGATGACGGGGAGGTCGTTGGGCGTTTCGATCTTGGAGGAGATGGCATGTTTAATTGGAGGGGGACCTCAGCGGTTGTGGTAGATTCGCTTCTTGGGTGGGAGGAGGAAGGTAAATGCTCGAGCAGGAAATCTACTCGAATCGTCTCGTACGAGGGTGAGCAGCAGATTCGATGATCGTCAACCATTTTGCCGGGAGTGGCGCGAACATTAAATACTTTGCGATTAGTTCGACAGGAATGGGTCGCAATATGTTAACCGGAAGGGATGTTGAATATTCACAGTGATAATACGAAGGCAAGATGAGCTGAGCAAGAAGAAGGCAATCAAAAGGGCAGGAGTAGTGAACAAATACCTAGTTGGAGCGAAAGTTGATGTGCCAGGCCGGGAGATGGAGCTCAAAATCGGGGCTTGATGCGAAAGAACGCAAAGCTGTGAGTCCAAAGGTGGATTGCCTTACCAAATAGTTGGGCGATCGAAGCCAGAAAGCATTGGCACCACGAATCAAACATAAATCAGTGACATTTGCCCATTCCGTGGGTAACAAAGTCCATCGGTGTAAACGACCGACCCTGTTGATTTCGCAGAATAAACTCGAAAAGAGGTGTCATTGCCTGAGCTATCGAACGACGAAAACTGGGCTTTGGAGCTGAATGGAAATGCAAAGTATCCATGTTCAAGGAACAAATACGCAAAGAGGGCAACGAATGTTGACTGAAAGATATCAAAACAATCGTGACGAAGAGGACGAGGCTGAGGGGGTTAAGTACCAAGACACCAGCAAGGAATGAATAAGGGACTTTGGTAATCAATGTCAAAGGTTGTTTTGGAAATTAGAAATTCGTTCCAGGAAAGCTTAGGACTCTTTCCTTACAGAGGCTAGCTGGCATCTTCTTGATGACAGAACTGCCAAGTCCACCGTCGATTTGTGCCTCGTTCTTTATGCAAATTGAACGCTTGTGCAGCGATCTCGTTGGTGACCCTCAGTCAGATCTAGATGAAACCCCTGCTTCAGCCCCAAGAGTAAGTCTCTCGTCCCAAGTGGGTTCCACTCTGAGCCACTCGAGTATCAACAGTCAGCCGTCAGCTCGTGTAATGCATCCGAATAAAGACTAGACTGGCCTGCACTAGCTCGACTGCTCTTGATGGCTTTTCTATGGTTACAATAGAGCTGTTTGGTCCTCGCCGACGATATCTCAGCCACGGGGATTTGTCACGACCTATAGGTACGCAGTAGGTAAACTTTCAACGGAGAACTATTTTCTGTTCATTTCTATGGGATTTACTGCATAGGCAGCTGTAACTTAGATCCCTGAACCGACATCTACAAGAATTTTGACATGGTTCTCCTTGTCCTCGATGAGCGCCCTGAACCCTTCTTCGGCGACCTCGTTGAGCTTGATTACCTTGGTGATCATGCCCTCTGGTTTAATTTTGCCTACAAAACCAAAGAGTGAGAGAAGTCAGTAAATCAGCGATGAGGTTGCACACTTCACCAGGCAAGGTAGGGGCAAATATACCGGTAGAAATAGCATGGATGACCGCTTCGAAGTCTCCTAACGCAAATGTGGCCCTGTGAAAAGTAAGGTATCAGCATCTCGGTTGTCGATGGAAGACAGCGCCAACGTCAAGCAGAGCCTCTGGAAGGGAAATCACTCACACGCCCATATATGCTCTTTCTCTGAAGACGAGATCGTTCATATTCAGAGCAGCTCGTTTCTCCCATACAGCAATATTCACCAACATGCCTCTGGCTTTTATCGCTCTGAAAGCTGTGTCAACGGCAACTTGCACACCAGCGCAATCAAAGCCGACATCGACACCCTCTCCACTGGTAAGCTTCTCCACCTCCTCGACGACATCTGAATTTGCTGGGTCGATTACGTGGTGGGCTCCAAATTGTGTTGCAAACTCCCTTCTCTTGCCACTGACCTCGCTTACGATGATGTTCTTGCATCCTCTGCCCACAAGGGCTTGCACGACAGCCAGTCCAATAGGCCCACCACCAAGAACCAGTGCGGAATCGCCTTCTTTGAAAGGCGAAATATCCACAGAGTGCCAACCCACAGACAGTGGCTCAACCAGTGCACCGATCTCGAGCGAGACGTTGTCTGGCAACTTCTTCACGCAATGTCCTGGAACACTGACATGTTCCGACAGGCCGCCACCATACCCACTCAGACCGACAAATCCATTCTTGTCGCAACAGTTCACGAGGCCTCTTCTGCAGGCACGGCAATTTTCATCCCATATCGTAGGTTGTACACAAACTCTGTCGCCAGGCTGAATATATGTCACACCATCTCCCACTTCCTCAACAATGCCGCTGAACTCATGTCCCAACGTGAGTGGTGCTATCTCACCCGTCAATGGATGAGGGTTTCCTTCTGTAGGAATCAGGTTTGCGCCGCCTAGGTATTCGTGCAAATCTGTTCCGCAGATTCCGCAAAACTTTGGAGCGACGGTCACGAATCCGGGCTTGATGGTTGGGACGGGGATCTGCTCCAGTCGTATATCTCGTTGTCCGTGGAACCGGACGGCATTCATGGTTGCCATGGTTGCAGATGTTTTTGTTAAGACTCCTCAAGATCTTCAGGTATGCCCTATCTTGACAATAGTTTTCTCTCAAACTCGAGCACGACTCCGTAGTAATGGACGGCTGAGATCAAAATGGCCCAAGAAGACCAGTCAGACTTTATGTCGCTACCTATATATGATTTCAGAACGGGATCCTCACGAGGCAAAGCCGAAAACAACAGAATTCTGGAAAAGACAAAAGTAAAATCAGTGGAATGATGCTCCGGCAGCACAAGAAAATGAACCCAATCTCCAAGACTTTCACCATTGCCACTCCGCTCTCATTTCAACCGAGACAACGGCAATAGACGGATTTGAGCTTGTTAAAAATTCAACAACGAGGCCAATGAGAGTAGCTGGCCTATACTACCTACTCCTCTTCTCTGGTAAGCCCCTCCCGGGAAACCATGTGTTTTTCAGGCTGTTTGATGTAACGAAAAGGAAGAGCCGTTTTGTTCGGCTTACTGATTCAGGAAAGCCCGAGGCGCCCAAAATGAGGGGCAAGAAAAAGGGTGCATCTTCGGCTCTTGTATTAAATCTGGGGAAGCAAAGGAGGAGAAGTTCAATCGCCGATCCATCTTTTGCTACTACGTCATCGAAGTGCCTCAGACTGAAAGTCATACCCCAATGTAAGCGTAGAAACGATGAACGATTCTTGTGATGAGAGTCCATCTCTGATCCCGTGAAGCTGATGTCGCGTATTCGGTTCGGAGGTCGTGAAGTATTGCTTTAGTCTCGACGCCTCAAGGCATGGACCAATCAAACAATGTCACGCAGTAGGGCATCGCTTCTGCCTGACTGATAAATCTCAGGGTACGGTAGCCTGAAGCCGAAAGAAGACGAAGAAGAAGAAGGTAGGACTCGGAGTGCACCAAAAAGTTCTTGAACCAGACAAGAAGAAATGAACCACCTCCTTCGAACCAAGGCATCATGGAAAATACTAACAAGGCACATTTCCTGTCCTCCAAAACCGTCGTGATCGCAGGAGCAGGAGTCGCAGGGCTCAGCCTGGCGATCGCTCTGGCCCAACAATTCCCGCTCGAGGATGTGCAGACACAAAGACCGCGAATACTGGTATACGAGCGCGACAGCGAGGCCGACCGCATCGCCGGACGCCAGGGCTACTCGCTGTCGCTGCGGACGGATAGCGACCCGGGCGGCATCCAGGTGCTGGAGCGGCTGGGCCTGTACAAGCGGATCCGAAGCGTGAGCGTCAACGCCCACGATAGCGAGGCCGACCGCGGCTGCTTCAACATCTGGGACCAGGACTTCAACCCCGTCCTCCGCATCCACGGCCGGCCCGTCGGTCCCAAGGGTCTGCTCGGCATGAGGGTCGGCCGGGGCGCGCTGCAGTGCGAACTCGCGGCCGCTGCGGTCGAGGCGGGCGCCGAGATCCACTGGTCGACGGCGGTCATCGGCGTCAAGCCGTTGCTTGGGACCGGCACCACGCCGCCGGTGGGCCAGGTCGAGATCTCCCTGAGTGACGGCGCGGCCGTGGTCGCAGACCTCCTGATCGCGGCCGACGGCTCGTCCAGCAAGATCCGCTCGCTGCTGCTCCCGTCGCACGGCCTCGACTACACGGGCATCTACCTGTGGGGCGGGACTGGGGTGTTCGCCGAGCGGACTCAAATCCCGCGTCCCGTCGACCGCGACTGGGGCGCCGTGCTGGGCGGCCAGGGCATCGGGCTGTTCGTGTCGCCCATCGACTCGACGTCCGCGCTGTGGTCGATGAGCCGCGCCAGCCCGACTCCGCAGCCGTCGCTCCGCCATCCACTCACCCAGGACCAGATCGACGCCATGATTGATGAGTCCATTCAGCTGAGCGCACGCTTCCACCCGCTCGTGCGCGACTTGGTCCAGGTCTCGGATCCCAGCTCGCTGATCCAGTTGAATGCTATGGATCGGCCGCCGTTCGCGCACGATGTTGGCGCGCTCGGCCCTGTCGTCTGGATCGGCGATGCGAATCATGCGGTCAGTCCGTTTGCCGGCAACGGCGCTAATATGGCGCTGATGGATGCGTGGGATCTGGCCGAGTGCTTAAAGTGCGCGGCTACGTTGCAGGACGCCATTGTGGCGTATGATGCCAGGGTGCTGCCGAGGGGCAATGGGGTGTTGAAAGCGTCGAGGTGGACGATTGACATTTCACATGCTAGTGGTTGGAAGTTTTGGCTGTATCGGTATGCGTTGTGGGTGGTGAGTCTGTTCGTGAGAGTGCCCGTGTGAAATCTATATGTGATGGAGGAGATGTCAAAGTCATCTTTTGGTTCATCAATTTTGTACGATTATTCGCTATCCCATTCGCGCCTCAATCTGTAATCCGTTTCCCAGGATTTTCGCTTGCTTCGTGCCCAAAATGATAAGAGAGGGTATCTAAGCATCTTGTATTACAAAGACATAATATTATGCGTCACTCAATCCGAGTGATCCCAGTATTGATCAGTGAACAGGGCGATACGATCATCCGCTTCTGTCAATCCTCCCAATGATCGTGTGATGATCAATCATGGATACCCGTTTCCCCCAGTAGCATCGGGTTGTGAAATGTTTATTCGTTGGGACAGTCACTGAAGCCTTTCGCGGTTGGATAGAACCAAGCGGCCACTGCAATAATAACGTACAGGACGAAAAGAAGGATACCTTCAAGCCAATGTGACTTGCCGTCCTGGATCAGGTAGTTGACGAGAAGGATGGCGACAAAGAGAACCGCAATTTGGAACCCGTCGAAAAACAAGGTCATGTCATCTTTCCCAATGATCCATCCGAGAATCACAGTGAGTGGCAAGACCAAAAGAGCGATCTGCATACTTGAACCAACGGCAACACCAATTGCCAGATCCATCTTGTCTTTGATTGCCACGGTGACCGCTGTAGCGTGTTCGGCCGCATTGCCGACAATGGGCAGAAGGATCAAACCGACAAAGTTTTTCGAAATGCCACCTCCACAGGTGATGGAATTTATCGAGTCGACGAGGCATTCGGCGTTGAGAGCAACAAGTACAGTAGAGGCGGCCAAGGTCAATAATGCAACCCAGATGGCGAGCTGTGGCTCCTCAGGTTCGTCTTCCACAACCTCCTGTTCTGCTTCCATTTCTGCCACTCTACGCTCATCGGCGGTTTGGCGTCTGAATTTGTCCGGGATCACAGCAGCCTTGAACTTGCGAGAAACCGCTCTTTTCGAGTTTTTCTCACTTGGCGCGTTGTACATCTCTGTGTGGCTCTTGAGTTGGAAGAACAGGTAGCAGGCGTAAACGAACAGAAGGAGGATTGCTGTACCACGGCTGATTTGCTTTACTCTGTCACCTGGACGCAACGGTGTAGGCGGGTCACCATTGACCGTATCCGTACCCTGAGCCCATTGTTCGAACACTGTAGGAATGAGAAGACTGCCGACTGCGACGAAGAGTAAACTGGAAGCAGTCTGTGCGACAGTCATGTTGAAAGCTTGCTCAATGCGATTGACACCTCCAAAGAAGAAACACATTCCGAGGACTAGCAACAAGTTGGAAAGCATACTGCCAATCAGAGAGGTCTGCACAATCAGGATTTGGTCTTTTGCCAACGCGATGATGGAGACAATCAACTCGACGGCATTTCCGAAAGAAGCGTTGAGCAGCCCTCCGATCACCTCACCAGTTCGAAGAGCGATTTCTTCGGTGGCATAACTCAACATTGCAGCAAGCGGGATGATGGCAATGAAGTTGATGACAAAGACCGCGACTTCGTTGACACCCGCGTAGTGAACTGCAATGCCGATTGGCGAGGCGATCAGAAGGACATTGATCCAAGAATTCAACAAGGTTGCACGGATCTGGCTCATGGCCGTAAACTTCTTCTTTTCTTTTCCGTTTTTGTACTCTGTAGAGTTCTCGTCTCCAGTACTCTTCTTGGAAAAAAGCTTCTTGATGCCATGCTTTTCAACCGAGTCTCCAGTAGCGCGATTCCGGATGGCATGCTTCTCCTCTGTAGGGCCGCCATTGCCGACAAAAGTCTGTTCGCTCATTTCGGTCTCAGCGCGGTCAGGGGGATAATCTTTTTTGGTTTGCGAAATGGAATTGGATGGACTGCTAGATCTTGGGATCTGTATTCCCTCACCAGGGTTGAATGAGCGTGGATTAGATGTCGCATTGGGTGTTGATACAGCATGCCGACTCGAGGGTTGACCTGCTAAGTCGTGTCGTCGTGCCTCGCCAGTTCCGAGTCTGTAATCATCAGGATCGTCGGTGTTTGTTTGGTTCAATGGATAGCCGTTGCCATCCTCTACATTCCGTAGGGTATTTGACCTTGAATCAGGGCGCCATTTTTTGAAAGGGTTTGGAACGCGGGTGGTTGAATCCGGCTCGTCATACCATGCAGCATATTTCGCTTGACGGCGATATTTATCTGTACAAGGTCAGGATGGGCTGCATTTTTCTTCGTCCGAGGTTATACATACGCATGATTCTTAGGAGTATGGCAACCAGGTGGTAGTCTAGACTGAAACCTGGAGTGGATGAAGGATGGAACAGGAGCAAGCAGCCGACAAGGTGACCGGCGAATCTAAGGAGTCAGCTTGGGTGGGAGTCAAGTAGGTCGTAGATTAGTGACTGTCTAACTGTGGGCGCGGGTTGACTCAAATACGGCAGTGATGGGGGAAAGGAAGGGTGGAAAATCAAGGCAGAGAGAAAGAAAGCGAATGGTGAAACAAGCGAATCAATTAAGTCAGGCAAAGGAGATGAAGTGAGTGAAGTCAAACGGCTTCGGGCGCCACGCGCGAGGGACGACGGCGATTGACTTTGACGGGATACCGTGAAGCGTATCCGGATGGAGGTTGTAACAACAAATCTTGAAAGCTGAAAGATGGAGGAATGACAGGGATGTAGGGGGCTAAGGGGAGCATTTGCTGCAAGATGACGCGAGGGATTGACCAAACATTGCAGGAACGGGATGAGTGGGAGCCGCTGAGCCACAGCTAAGAGATGGCTCCAAAGGATTTCGGTTCCTGGCGTCTGGCAGAAATCATGTGGCGGTATTCGCATTCCACCTTTTATGGGTAGGTTTAGGTCAGGTACCTACCTAAGGTAGTGATCTAGGGGTTAGGTATTAACTGCCCAAGTGCTTGTTACTTACGACTCACGCAGGCTTGATTCAGTCGTGTCGTGGCAGCAAACCCACCTCAGATCGGGCATCAAGTTCAAACGGAAGCATGGTGAATCTTGGCCTCCATCATCAATCGATCAGGGGATGCCATAGGCGATCCCTGCTTAAAGCCTTGGCGGCTTGAACCAGTTGCTTAGGCGGGCTTAAACTTCCTCTTGGTAGGCTTACATGCCTCAAGCCTGTGAAAGCAATGGGCCTGAGAGCTTGATCGAATCTTGACGTCACCCCACTTTTCAAGTTCAAATTCAAGCATCTGAGGTCATCTGTCATTTCACCTGGCAAACGGATCGATTTCCCTCCCCGTCTCGTTTCTGGTCCGCCTCCTGCGCCACATCCCAACATCAAACCGCCACAAATACCATTGTGGCTGTGCTACCCCGTTCGACACGTCGCAAACCTACATAGGTACCAATCGCATAAAGTTGTCAATGTTGGTAATACTGGTCTTCAAGAATCTCACTCCACAATCGAATTGCAAATTCTTCACCTCGTTTGACGTATGAGCGTTCATGAGCTGATTGGTACATGCCAGAAGACACCCCCTACCAGCCTCGGCGAGTGATGCCACAAATCGTTAGACCGACAAGCATCTGTTGTTGTATTCTTGCTCTTGGGTGTCTTGAACAGCTCAATCTATCTCATTGCCCAGTTGAGCTAAACTACTCTCATGCCCACTGAGCCCCATGGATGGCACAACTCCATCAGTTGAGGCAAGACGCTTCCGGTAGGAGCCTCTACGACAGCGCTGAGACCACTCATGGCTGCCTGCTAATATATGGTACGATGACGACTCAATAATTGGTGAAACATTTACTCGGGATGCTGGAGAGCCGAAACCTCAAATCACGCTACCGTACTGTCTGCACAAGCCCCATTCATGCGATGAATGTGTTTTGCCTGCGGAAGAGCATCATTTCAAAGTACATGAATCACGACTTCAGAGTTCTGATAACAAATGAAATCTATCAAGCATCTGAAGCCTGCTAGCACCTACCTACATACCTATCCCATGAAAAGCAGCTCTTTGAGACCCGTTATGTTCATTATTATCAAGATTTCCTGATTGGAGGCGTTGGCCCAGTCGCATCGTCTCCACTCCAGGCCCTCGGAGCGTCTGTTCTAGAGTTTAAAGACTGGTACTTGTACGTCTCTACAAAATCGGCCACTTGAAAGCGAATTTAGGCCGTTCCTTCACGGGGAATTGTGTTTACGTAATTGCTGACTCAGAAAAATCCTTCAGGAGGTCGAAATGAAACATCGCTGCATCTAGAGTTTTTTAGCACCACTTAGGTCACGACCTTCTTCACCATTACTCTTAGGTCTTATCGCCCGCCGAAAGGCTTAATCGAGCTATAGCCTATACTAGTCTCTGTCAATTCATCGCTGCTATTTTCGAGCCATACTGGCAGGAATTCGAACTCTAACGCCTCGACAGGCACTTGGCATTACCTGATTCCATCCAGGCTCTCAGTCGTCTTGTATCATGTCAGCGATGGCAGGCACCTGTGATCTCAAGGTCGAAAGTCAAGCAATAGAAAGTGTTCACATGGCATCATAGCAGAAGACGACGCACATCAACTGTGCGAGCTTGATATCGCGTTCGCAGATTCTACGCAGAGCCAGTATCCGCGATTCTTCTCCACCATGGCAACTCGACAATCTGCTGTGCGAGCCACAGATCTCCTTGCGGGGATCTCTGAGCTATGGAAAAGTGGTCTACAGAAAGAGGCTTCTGCCGGTCCAGCAAGAATAGGTACCGTTCCACCCGTGCCGTTTCATAAACTCTCTGACTTTGACTAGGGGTATGTGTCAGTGGAGGGCCGGATTCAATGGCTTTGGCATACTTGCTCAACCAAATTCCGCAAATCGAGCCAGACCTTCGGATCAAACCAGTGGCCTTGATTGTGAACCATAATGCACGCCCTGGGAGCGCCTTAGAGGCGGAATCCGTGGCAAGGCGATTAGAAAAGCACAGTAACGTCATGAAATCGAGTCGAACGCTACAATCACTAACACGGGCCTAGATATCGAGAGCCACGTTCTTGATATGCGTTGGGCTACAGAGCTTGAACCATTGAAATCGACGCGCTTCGAAATGGTGGCACGTTCTAATCGCTACCAGTTAATCGCACAAGCTGCTCTTCAAGGCCACATCCGGCATCTATTTCTTGGCCATCACCTTGATGATCAGGTTGAGACAGTCATGATGCGCCTGATAAGAAACACCAATACCTCATTTCTCGGCTTCAGGGGCATGGCTGAAAGAAGCAACATTCCCTGCTGCGAAAACATCCGGGGCGCCCACGAGTCAGTCGAGTTTCGCACTGCCGAACAATATGTGTCACATAATCTACAGTCTCGTCTGGCGAAGTGGTCAAAAGGTGTCAACAATGGTAGACCTGTAGGGGTATCTGATGCACAAGGCCTTCAGCTCCATCGTCCACTGCTGCAATTCAGTAAATCGCAATTGATAAAGACCTGCCTCGAGCACGAGATTGAGTATGTGACCGACAAGACAAACTTTGACCCAACCCTCACAATGCGAAATGCTGTGAGACACATGAGAGCCACCCACAAGCTTCCCCGAGCATTACAACCTGCCTCTGTCCTTCACTTGATGACCACGGCTCAACAAAGTTCGCAGTCTCTCAAGAACAGGGGAGAGGCACTGCTGTCACACGTCCAAGTAGTCGAATTTGACCTTCGCATGGGCTCCATGAAGATCAAGCTTTCACAGGATTTTGGTTCAAGGTGTAAGACAGACACGGAAGCCGCTGCCTACGCACTGTCAAGATTGATGAGCGTCATCAGCCCGCAGGACGGAGAGGCAAGAGTAACGCTGGCACCGGAGGCTCGTGTTGAAGAGTTTATCAAGAGTCTGTTATCGAACAATAAGACAGCCACTCACCAGATTGACCAGACCTCGATGCAAAGGATGATGGACAAACCATATCTTCAACCTGGCGAAAGTCTATGGAAACTATATCGTCCACCCATGCGCCCGAGCGAGAGAATGGCGGCAACAATGATGTTCGAGCTATCATCCAAGGAGCCTGCAGATGCCAAAGCTGGAGTCTGGTCGGAATGGAAGCTCTGGGATCATCGATACTGGATAAGAGTGAAAGCCCAAAGTGCAGAACAGATATCGTCCATCACGATTCGAGATTTGTGCCTAGACGAAGATAGAGGAAAGCTTCGTGACGGCCTCCCTGAGAACAATAAATTTTGGCAAGAGTATAAAGAGCTTGCGCTCGGCAAGATGAAATGGCCCATTCCCGTTCTCACCTGGAAGGAAAATATTGCAGTATTTCCGACATTGAATGTGAGAGTGCCCGAAAGAAAGCCTGCGGTGTACAAACCGCAACAACCTGAGAATTCATATCCAATCTTGGAGTGGGAGATCTGCTACAGGTCTCTCGACCAGTCCTTTATTCAAGATCAAAAGGACAACATAGTATGGAAAAATGTGTAACCCTCGAGGCCACTGCGGGTTTAGAGGATCACACCAAACCTCATCAGTATTTCCACCATTCATGGGAATTGTATCAACTCTACTCAAAATGATTACCACCTATTGAGAATACGAACTGAACATCTTATGTCACTCCTGGACGGCTTCAAGAACGCAATCCATGAACCTTGAATGCCAAGGGATACTTCTCCGGGCAAATACCGACGTCAGCAAGCAGCCATCCAATAATAGCAGACAGGGCGCCTTTTGGAAGAACTACGGATCTCGGCTTGTCTTCATCTCCCCGCATGCATTGGGGAGGGGATGGAGAAGGGCGGCCGTCAGAAGTCCCATTCATATCAGTCAAAAGCGAGAACGAGATTGTGTTTCTGACTCTGCCTCCATCAGTGAGTGCAGTCCATACTACATCCCACTTTTGCCAAACAAAATTTGAATAGAAATGGCTACAGAAACCATTCCAGAGGCATTTTCAGTGGCGGCACAGAAATTCGATAATGCGCCACCGTTCCCTGATGATGTCGCTACTGCACCGTTGCTACGACTGTCGCTTGCGAAATTATTGCAGAGAGATGGCGAAGAAGTAAATCGCTTCGTGCGTGCATGTGAAGACCTCGGCTTCTTCTATCTGGACCTATCTGGACCTGGAGACTCACTACTCGCAGACGCAGACGCTCTGTTCAAAGTCAATGCTGATCTGTATGATCTTCCATTGGAGGAGAAGAAAAAGTACGACTTCACGCTCAAGCAGTCGTATTTCGGATATAAGGGCTATGGCGCGAATGTGGTTGACAGAGATGGAAATCTTGATCGAAACGAGTTCTATAATGTGACTCCTTCCGATGCACTCTGGGTAACGCGGTCGCTAATGAGCCATGCCAGGTATCTAAGGACGATATATTTGGATTGTCTGATCCTTGGCCAGCACCGGACGTTCTCAGCTCTCAACGACCTCTTCTCAAATCATTCATTCAATCTGCGCACGGGATTGTTACTCTCGTACTTGAACTACTGAATGACCACCTCCGTCTGCCGCCGAACACTCTCCAAGATATGCATCGACTCGAGGGTCATTCCGGAGACCAAGTTCGCTTTATCAAAGCACCTCCGCAGCCTATGGATGACCGACGAACTGCGTTGGGCGAGCATACCGATTTTGGCAGCGTTACCGTCCTGTTCAATCGCCTGGGTGGACTTCAAGTACTACCGCCGGGTCGGAATGCTGAATGGTGCTATGTAAGACCATTGCCAAACCACGCGATCATCAACCTGGGAGACGCCATGGTCAAGTTCACCAATGGCCTTTTGAGATCCAATATTCACCGGGTCGTCTCTCCTCCTGGTGAGCAGGCCAACCACACAAGATACTCACTGGTTTATTTCAACAGACCAGAGAATGACGTCATGTTGAAGAGACTGGACGGAAGTGAGATGATCCCACCCTTGGAGAAGGATGAGGTTGAGGAGGAGATCAATAGTAAAGACTGGATAATCAGGAGGGCACTGGGACACCGGATTGCACTAATGGACGGAAAGAAAATTGATTTTGACAAGGCCGCTGGCACAGAAGCGAAGAGTCAGAGGGCATATCTGTAGGCACCCCTTCAGGCATGGATGGCCATTGGTGTCTTGCAGCCGTATGTAAATCTAGTTTGATGAGAGAGAGTCAACCTGAGTCAGGTTTCCTCCTCCTTCTGAATGACTCCTAACATTCTGAAGCATTGGTTGGTGGTGGGAGGCAGTGAATCGATCGGCACAAGTTCTTGAGACCCCCGAGTGACACATTGCCTGAATAGGACTAGCTTTCTGCCGTTTTTTGCCCACAGCGAAACATTTTTGCCGTGACTTTGCAACATGAGGCCAAACGGATTGCTCAACGTCGATTCCATGCGACAGTGCTCTATCAATAGTCATCATTAGATCTGGGCCAATCTACTGTACACTATTATCAATGTGAAAACACGTATTGTTCTCTTTTTATCTCCATGATATCCCCGACTCCTTCAACTCATCAGCCATGTTAGCCCCGCCTCGTCGGCCTGCCATGCCGACCACCATCTCTATGCCTTCTCTTCCCTCCAAGCCACAACATCGACCTCAGCCCCTCCAGAGGAGATCGACCCTTAAACGCTCCATAGATGAAACGAGCTTCATGGATGCCCCCTCGAGTCCTTCCAAGAGATCCCGCGTCACCTTTGATTCTGACGTCGAAATAGTCTCGGCTGATGAGGAGGAAGATTTGGATCCTTTGGTTGTGAAAGAACAAGTCCGCAGAGCCATCGAGAGACATCGGCTCAGAGAAGACGAATCATACGAAAGAATCAAATCCCTCTTCACCACTCCGTATGAGAAGGCAGGTGCCCCCTCGACCAAAGTCCTCAAAGTCCATCTGCAAGCCTTACTCTCCAATGTTACCGCACTCAACAAAGATTGCAGTGGCCTTGTCAGCGCAGTTTTGTCCAGCGAGTGGATTGGCCGAGATGAGGCCTACTACGCTCTCTTTGTCAGATTCCTGAACAATCTGGCTGCTGCTCAACGGGGTTACCAGCACAAAATGATGGGCGTGCTGGTGGATTTACTTGGTCCCCAGAAGACAAGAAGAATAGCCAGCGCCAAACCAGTCAGACAACCCACGATTCATCGAAGAGTGATGCAGGCCATACAATACATCACTAGCAATGTCCCGTCCCTTCCTGCAGCATTGGCCGATAGGATGTCTACGAAGCTTGAATTCGATTTCCAGAAGGCCGAAGAACGCATGACTTATACTCGGAACTTTATGGACATGATTAAATATGTCCCAGAACTGACATCCGAGATCCTGACCAGTGTTCTCAAAGAGCTGATCAAGCTCGACGTGTCTGTACAGGTTGACCTTGATGAGGACGATGACGCCGAGGATGATATTCTAAACCACATGTCATCTTCACAGACTCTTGTCGCATCTCAGTCGCAAGATATGCTGAAAAGTCCCCTGGATTCCGAAAATGACGATGCCGTCACTACAGACGACGATTCAGATATGGAAGATGATGACGATGATCCAGCAACCGCCCGCCGCCGAAAGCTGAAGGAAGACATCAGACAAGTCGACCTAATCATGGATGTCTTGTTTCAATACTACGCAAAACTCACCACCTCCAACAACATCACTACTCGAGACACAGCTATCGAACAACTGATTTCTCAATTCCATTCACATATCCTCCCCACATATCGCGCTCGCCATCCCCAGTTTCTCGTCTTCCACTTCGCCCAATCCGATCCCATCATCGTCGATCGCTTTGTTACGAGCTGCGTCGCCGTACTGGTCGACAAAAAACAACCTCACATCCTCCGCCACAGTGCCGCCGCCTATTTCAGTGGTTTCGTTGGTCGCGGAGCTCACGTCTCACCACAAGTGGTTCAAGATTGCCTCGAATTGCTTTGTGACCACCTCACCACCCTCCGCAAGGCTTATGAACCAACTTGTCGCGGACCCGACTTGAAACGATTTGGCGATTTCTATGCTGCATTCCAGGCCATTCTCTACATCTTCTGCTTCCGGTGGCGAGACATCGCATCTACATCGGCTGATCTCGAATCTGACTCTGAGTTCGACATTGACGAGGAAGAAGTCGAGACCTACCATTTCCCCGAATCGCTACGGGATTCACTCCGCACAGCAATTTACTCTCCACTGAACCCCCTCCGGGTCTGCACCCCTGTGATTGTCGAACAATTCGCCAAGCTCACCTACGACCTCCAGTTGTTCTACCTCTACCCGAAACTAGAGGAGAATAAACATGTCCGCGTTGTGACAACTCACGCAAGAAACATGTCGGATCTCATGATCAGTAATCCCGATCGGGATTTAAGCTGGGTTGGCGATAACGGCATACTTGAAGGCTACTTCCCATACGATCCGTATGTTCTGCCCATCAGTCGACACTGGATCGAGGGTGATTATGTCACTTGGAGAGGCCTTCAAGGAGACGAGCAAGACGAAGAGAGCGATAGTGAAGCAGAGGTAATGGACGATGATGACGATGATGACGACAATAATGACAACGAAGATTCAGCTGATGAGGAGGCAGAGGAAGATGAACATGTGGAGCAGTAATATCTTCCTCTAGACAAGCACTGCGAGCTTGAGCTTTACATTGGCCTTGTTGTGCCGTGCCATGTACTGGCTACCATTCAGGACAGGACACAGCGGGTTCGGAAAGACATGCGATGGACAAATGTCAACGTTCAGTAGTTGGCAAAGGCAAAACCAGCCAGTGTCGTCAAATTGGACTCGTATCTATCTACGTTCGAGGGGCAGACGGACAGCCAAAATACAGAATCTTCTCTTCCTTGATCTTGATATCAAAAAATCATGTTTGTGTTTGTGGACAGAGCGAGGAGAAAAAGGAGTCGGTCGGTGCTTTATATTTCAACATTCATTTTTCTTTCTTCGCTCGAGCAGAAACGCTCAAGCGACCACACGGTATACGAAACGGAGAGTGACGGGGCGGATTACCCATCCATTCTGTGGTCCCACTGGAACATCGCATAGATTGGAAGTGACAAGACCACTGAACTAGAAAGATGAAGGACAGAGAAACCTAACAGAAGAGGGAGGAAAAATAGAAAATAGATTAAATGTGAAACACTCCATTGAGCCTTCCATTCGAGCCTGTCGTCTCCGATTCTAGTAGGACTGAGGGATATCGTCGACGGGACTAAAGACTATAGAACTCGAAGACACACCAGTTTCTGTCTCAAGACTAGCTCTTCTATTTCGCCAGGAAACTCAAACATCGTTATTTCACAATGATAATCGATGCCAGCGAGCCAGACCGGAACTCATGATTGTTGACGTTTCGGAAGCGCTGTGGTCCACCGCAGCACTCGTAAATTTCTTGTAGAGGAACTTTCCCCGCAAAACCAAAATATTTCGACAACTCTCCAATAAAGCCTACAACTTCAACCCACTGCATACAATAAACGGTGCGGGAACTCGGAAGAAAATCCAATCCTACGCATTGGTATAAGCGTGAAGTCATCTTCTTGCCTCCCTTCTTGCACGCTCAGATATCCTCCATCCGCCCTCACCAACTCGAACTTTCAACTCGCCCTCAAACCTCTCCAGTCCAAGATCCACAACATCCATCCGACCCAAATTAAGCAGCCAAGATGCGAGCCAAACGCAGCAAAAAGTACCGGAAGATCATGTCGGCGTACCAAATGGCATTTTCATTCCGGGAGCCGTACCAAGTACTCGTCGACTCGCACTTCCTCAAGACCTGCCACGCCTTCCACATGCCGCTGCAGCGATACCTGGAAAACACACTGCACGGACAGTGCAAGCTGTTCGTGACGGCGTGCACGATCGATCGGGTGATGGCGGATTTCGAGAAGGAAAAGGAGAAGATCAAAGCCTCTGGCGGACGGCCGAAGGGGAGACCAGACTTCCTCCCTCCGCCGCTCGAGGTGCCGATGCGGCATTGCAAGCACCGGAATAACGAGGGCGAGGAGCTCGGAGTCATCGGTGAGAGTCGGTGTTTGTTGGATCTGCTGGCGGGCCAGCCGCACGGTAATGAGCTGGCGAAGAATAAACAGCATTATATCCTGGCGACGGCGGAGCCGGATGAGAGAGAGGTCAGGAGTAAAGGGTACCTGGATGTGCGTGAGCGGGCGCGCATGATTCCGGGGGTTCCAGTGGTTTATGTCAAGAGGAGTGTGATGATTCTGGAGGAGCTGAGTGGGGTCAGTGAGCGGTCGAAGAATAAAGCCGAGAAGGCCAAGTTTTCCGATGGGTTGCTGGACACGAGGAAGCGGAAGAGAGGGGAGGGTGTCGATAGCGACGAGAGTGATGATGAGCTCGAGGATCTCTTGTTGGCTCGTGAGGCACTGGCGCAGGGTCCTGGGGCTCGAGGGCAGAAGAGGGCGAAAGGTCCGAATCCCATGAGTGTGAAGAAGAAGAAAGTCAAGCTCACTGGTGAGGGAGGACAACCAGCCGAGGGAGACCAGACGGTTGATGGAGCAAAGAAGAAGCGCACGAGAAGAGGAGGACGTGGAAAGCGCAAGCCAGGTATGGGTCAAGAAACGTCTTCGGACAAGGCACACGTCCCAGAACCAGTATCCAGTGCCCAACCAGAGGTCTAAGATGGGTACTGGACTTTGTCTTAGATCATGGTAAGGCGATGATGGGAGGAACCTAGAGCGGAATGGACTGTTTACGAGATACCCCAATGACATATCACACTAAAGAAGAGGACTTGATCCATTAAGAGAATTGATCTCGATTTCCATTTTACATTGTATAACACGGCTTTTATTATTCCTCAACCGGCGATCATGCTTTTGCCAGGAACGCGCGACCGTAGATGAATAGACCAGTGGCGGCGAGAGCGCTGAGGCCTGCGGGAAGAGGCTTGCCGGTCTTGATTGCTCGGGGAATGCTGCTGCCAGCTAGGACGACTGATGCGAGGAGGGCAAGCTCGACGCCATATGTTTGTCGTTTGGCGATGCGGTAACCACCGAGGATATACTGAAAGTAACAGTCAGTACCGACGAGGTTTCGATAAAGATACCCCTTGAGTAGAGCTTTCTCTCTTACCAGTGCTCCAACGGTCAGACCGGCGGCGATGCTGGGAACTGATCCTGTGCGGACGTAGCCTGTCACTCCACCAACTGAGGTGAGGGCGCCCAAGATATATGCGGGGGTTTCGTCGGCCTGCGGAGGGTTAGATTGAAGTTCTTGATGGTCACGATGATTCCTACCATGTTGAGTTGACTGTAGGGCTCTGTTTCTAGGATCAAATTGTTGTTTCGTGGATTGTGCCGTGGTGTGCAGTACAGGAGGGGTGTGTTGCGCCTCTCACCAGTGGAGTCACTAGTCGTAAATAGCTTGAAAGTGGCCATGACACCATCTGCGGGCCGAGCTCGACTGCCGTCAGCATCGCCCAAAGGCCCAAGAAGCGTACTCCGAACCTAGGGAACAGTAACTGGTGGCCGCCTAATTCCCTGCCGCAGAGCCCGAGGTGCCCCCTACGACACGTGAGCCCAGCCTGTCTTTCAGAGCGCCATTAAGGGCGGCATCAGCCAGTTTCCCGATCTGGTTCAACAAGCTACCTGACCATCATCTGCGTTGTCTCTCTTCCCAACCCGCATACGCTTATATGAGCTTACAGTAGATAGATGTTCTTTTCGCACCGTGTGCCGCTAGACCTTTTCGTCGTACTTCCAGAAGTGGTGGTCGAGTTCGGAATATCGCTTCACTTTCCTCAAGATATTCAGTATAAAATCAGATATTGAGGCCGCTCTGTGTCTGATCATTTATCTGGGGCTCTTGCCACTAAGGGATGCTCTAGGCAACGCGTATCGCCGATTGCTGGCGACGTTCCGACAATTTCAAACGATCATAGCGAGAAGGTAAGTGGTCGCGGACGAACACCATACGATGTGGTTAAAGCAATAAGTAGCCACTGTTTGTGCCAGGCTATTCAAACACAGAATGACCCAGGTTAGATCTGGTGTAGACGATTTTATGATAGCAATGATGCACAGACAGGAGATAGACTTCACGCTTCATGGTGACCCGGCTCGACATGCTCTTCGAGGATCGGGCGGTCATCTTCAACAACTTGCTGTTCTTCATCAATGCCACCATGTTCTGCTTCTCTTCCTCCTCCTCCTTGTTGTTGTTTTTGCTGCTGCTGAGTCACAACTCCAATACCGTACCAAACGCTGGGCTCTTCATGAGCGCCCGTGCCATGCGTATTGCGACATCGCCGCAGTCGCTCTTCACCCACTTCCAACGCAATAGGTTGTTCACCATCTTCTGACCAGAAGCCCAGCCGCGGTATGAGTTTCGCTTCTCTCAGTTGTCGCACCAACGCACCATCCTCGATAGTGTCTGTATCGTCCGGCACCAGGCCGCCATGCAAAACGCTTCTTCCAAACGGCCCATTTGCGACCAAGGACCAAGTCCCGGCGATCGACAGCGGACTGTGAGGCAGAAGCTTGCGGGTCGGGATGAGGATGTAGCCTGTCAGCATGCAAAGCAGTATCGTACCAAGGACGGCTTGCAATGCTATCCTCGGCGGCCTGTTCTGAAGCAAGCAGAGCTTGTCCGAGTCCAGCACAGAAGCGGTGTATGTCTTCGCCTGTGAAGGCGTAGTGACCTCTGTACGCATGTTCAAATGTATTGCCTGGGCCATATACTTTCTATACATGTGTTGCACGGCTGAGAACAACTTTTCCTGGTTCTGAGGCCCCAGCATGTCCGCTTCGGGAACGCCTTCGCTGCCACTGATCACGTTGATGAAAAATGGTTCCAGCGGCGCATATGTGGTGTCACCTAGACCGCCCGAGAAGATTTTACCCAGCCAGTAGTCTGCATACTGAACCAACGTCTCAACGGAATCCTCGTCGACCCGAGGTTGAGACGTCACATCGATGATCCAGTCCGGCAGGACGAAAGTGGTCACGGTCCTCACCTGCTGAATTTGTTGATAGCAAGTCAGGCTGGTGATATTGTCTGTGCTGTTGGAATGGGGACCCGCGAACCCAAAAGTGAAGCCAAATTGCGGGCATTGGCCAGGGAAGGCGTTGTTCGACTTCTTGTAGGGCGGCCAGGGATATTCATTCTGGACACTGTAGTATTGTCCTGCTTCATCGAGAATGATGGCTGGGATTGTTGTTGTGGTATTTATGATTTGACGCCCTGCACTGGGACGACATTCTTGAGGGACGTAGATCTGATTGTTCTGGACGAAGTTCATTTCGTTGGATGGACCTGGAGCATTCTTGACCCATAAAGAGGTTGCGCGGCCGGGGATTGCAAAGGTACAGTCCAGAGACGCCCTTATAGCAGGAATCTCCATCAGGACTTTGACGCGACCAGCTGAAATGCTCTGCTGCAGACCGCTTGTCAAGGTGGACTGATCAATCCGCGGATAGACTAGCTCTTCAAATGTCCATGCAGGGTAGGACATGTTGTGTAGATTCAATAAAGCAAAATTAAGTCCGGCATAATTATCTGGGCTGCTCGAGTTGGCTGTCGTGTTCCAATTGTAGTTGAAGTAGTCCACCGTCAAGACGGTCTTATTATGAGCATAGGTACAACCCGTCACGGTGTACAAACCCGAAACGATGATCGATAGAAAGCTACAGAGTATAAGGGCAAGTGACACCACGACAACAGAGAGCCGCTGATATTTCATACCTCGCACGAGGTTTTCGATGGGAAGCTGACCCATCGGACTCCATTTAGAAGCCCTCCAGGAGGATGTACGTGCTTGTTTCAGCATAGCGAACGGAACGAAAAGGAGGAGCGTACCACCACTGGAATGTATGGCGAGCTTGGTAAGAACCATCACTGCGGTTGGGACGATGGAAGACCACCTCCTTGCGGCCGCGCCACTCGCGCTAAGATATAGAAATCCGCGGGCTTCATGGGAGAAATGTTCAACGACTTGCAAGCCAGCAATCAATCCACAGAGGATGACGACGATGACAAGAGTAAAGTAAAGCCTCGACGCAAAAGGCCGCCACCAATCAAAGGAGTTCAAAAGAGCAGGCGGTACGCCACTTGTCGAGGTCGTTTCCTGAACGACTTTGCTAGCTATGCACTCGGAGCGATAATTGAACCCGAGCAGTGAGAGCTTGAGGTCAGAGTCGGAAAGCTTGCCACAGAAGGAAAGCCTCTGTCGAATATCAGGGCTTTCTTGCATCAAGAGTGCATTCGCCATCAAAGATCGAGGAGATCTTGGAACCACTCCCTGCGGTCGTACCATCAGAATGACAATGGAAAGAATCGCCAGCAGTCCAAAGCACACTGATAACACAATTACTGGCATCCCTTTGACAACGATTCGAAGTTCAGAGAATTGCCTCGAGCCATTGACAGAGGCAGTGGACGGAATAGAAAGCTCGATATTTGCGAACTGCGCCGCAATGCCATTGAACACCGTTTCTGCCGCATTCGCCATCTCATTGGCATCAAGGAACTTCTCAATAGTAGTATCTGGTTGCAACATGGACATGAGTGTAAAGCCAGCGCTGTCACTTGTCTGCTGGGTAAGATCAAGAGGTTTCCATTTTAGAGGAAGAGTCTGAAACAAAGGGTCCAGTGCAAGTGAGAGTGCGGTGCTGAATTGCGAGTTGTTGAAGCCATCAATGTACGCAGGCGGAGAACTGTCATCAAGTTCTAGGGCAACCATTTTGTTCGGGTTCGTGTCAGACGTGACGCGAGCCAAGTGTATGGCATAGCTGGGGTAGCACATAATGCTGGTAGCGTTGGCTAACTCAGCGTGCCACATGGTAACATTCAAGGTATCGTTTTGAGAGGGTCCAAAGATTTGCGTGTATCTCATATCCAGCACTGTCCAAGTCCATGGAGCCACGTATCCAACACTGAGATTCTCGCAGACAGCTGCGTCTCCCAGGATGCCGGTCAAGATTCTCGGTGGTACGACATCTTGAAGCATGTTCGGACCTCCGTTTTCCATGCTCATTGTCTGGCAGGACGAAGTAGACTGGGATATCGCGAAAAGGAGCTCTGCGTCCAACTCGGGACTGTCAGTGTGCCAACCCTGTGTGTGCCCGATCGTAAAGTTGAGATCAGCGACCTCGCACTGCAGTTTTGGCACAAACATAGGCACTTGGGCAACCAGAGATTCATTCCGTAAGCTGTTGAAACTCGAATTGATAGGGTTGAAAGCGGTAGAATTGGTCGAGCCATAAGGCAACCCAAGTCCACGGTCGATGGTGGCCCAGTAGCTCATCACTGCCGCCGGGTCACCGCTGTAGTTGACAACGTTTTGGCTCGAGAAAATCGAACTGAGGGGAATATCGTCATCAGTCACGGTCCGCGTTACCGGTATCAAAATCAATAAAGCTGTGGAGAAGACCAAAGCAAGGTCCAAAAGCATTCCAGCCGCAGAACTAGCCGCCGCAGCCCAGTCGCGGTTTTGCGCGGCGCGGAAGCAGGCGATGGGAGGAATCGGCGATATGTAATCGAGAAGCAATGTGTTTGCTGCTGGCTTTGGACCAGTTGTCAATGACAGCCAGGGGGCCAGCATTCGACATTGATAATCCACTTGATGCCATGCTCCTGCAACAAGCACTAGTACGGCCATCGGGCCGTATGTCCAGGCGTAGTGATGAGAGCTTTTGGACGTGGCGAGCCCTGCATTCGATCGCGAAACTTCGAATAAGACAATGGTGGTTGCAAGCATCATTACATAGACGGCAAAGAACGACACAAGAGTGAGCCAGTGAAGAGCTCCGGGGTTCCAGGTGGAGACCGATCTCGACCTGGATTCAGGCGATTGTTCTTTGAGGACGGGTGGAATTGTCTTCGCCCGTTTAGGTTCCACCGTGAGTGTCTCGTTTGTCTCGCTGGGAATATGAGCATTGTCACCCTCAGAAACAGGTTGATTTTTTGCCGTACTAGAGTGCTCTTCAGGTGAAGCCGGCCATGAATGCGCAGGTACCGGTTTCCGTCGTACTGCCGTGGAGGTTGTACTCATCGTTTCGGTGGTTCTCCTTGTCGAAATCATCGACCCATAGTACAATGGAAGTTCCAGAATAGTAGAGGATGAAGCTCATTCCTGAATTTACAGCAGGACAATCTCCCACTTTGAATCAGGCTGACTCTCTGAGATTGGGAAAAAAGCATGACTGGTCCTGGATTTGATCCTGCTCCTAGACTTGCTGAAAACCTACTGGCCTGCCTTTTCACGCTGGTGTGCCTCCTTCGGACAGTTGACCTCGACTAGCTCCTTGAGGACTGAGACATGCATTTGTGTACTGTGGGCCACGTGGAGGAATCGAGACCTAAACCTTTACTTGAGGCGAGGCTCGTCGTACGACAATCGAGCTGCCGATGTGGAGCAGACACTTGCCTCGCCAAACACTAGTATTGTTGCGGCTGAGTGCAAGGTTTGCTGAAGGCAACCGGTGATTCTCAGCCTCCAAATGCTTAGAAGGCTTAAAAAGTCCAGAGGAAAAGCCAATTCGAGCCATCAGCGTCTGGAAGGGGTTGTCATGTGCGCAGAGAATCACTAGCTTTCTGACAATTTAGGCGATGGTCAGGCTGCAGGATCTAGAGGTTCTCGAATGGGTGTGCTGCACCTCTGTCAGCCAGGAGGATGTCGCAGCGAATACGAGATTTTGCATATCCAGGAACTAGTATGTTTTCAGGCAAAGGATGAATACATCGGAAGAACCGTATCCTGGCGTTGCTACCGACTCGGCGGGGATTTTGGCATTGGGAGTGTCTCTCCGACTCCAAGCGGTACCTGGCTGTTAGCAGTTGAAACGTCCCCGATGAAATCTTGTTGACTCTACAAGTATTTCAAGCATGTTGCGCTGTGGCTGCAAAAGGTGTGGGGCTTGCTAGCTTTCGAGCTATTATTTATCCTAAAGCAGCTCGAGATTCACTACCACCACCACCACCACCACCACCACCACCACAGGCGAGAGCAACAATCAAATGGACAAGTCTTGATCGACATTCTAAATTCATCTTGTCGATCAGAGAATGAGCCATCTCAGCTTGCGTGGCCCTTCGCTCTGGAATGGTTAGGTTGACAAAGCTTGCGCCAACAGGACGAATATGCCTCGACTTCGACTCGGCCAAGGCTAGTCAAGATTAAGATCAAACTTTTCGTTTGACACCACCCCGCAGAATTACCACTTGTCTAGTCTCGATTCTCCAGAGATAGGACAGTTGGTGTCAGCTGTCTTCGCTTCATGTACTTGCGAATGTGAGGCCGCTGGAGTTTTCTCCCTCCTACATGGTACAGAACGAGGCTCATCTCTGATGGCTAGAGTCTCGCCTCTCTTTCGGTTTCCCTTGTTTGAGGCAGCGTGCTGCCACTAGCGATCAAGGATTTTGGCTCCTGGAGGCAAGATCAGCCAAGAAAGTCTTTGAGGCCAATACCACCCCGGTAGTCTTCTCAGCCTCACGACACCACAAGCCATGAAGCCCATAATGTCCTAAATCAAGACATGATGTTTGCAGAAGCTTGACTCAAAGTGGCGCCTTGAACGCTGTAACCGAACTCTAGCTAATGCTTCTTTTGGCAGTATGCAGATTCGCTCACAGTAAGAACCTCTTCAGAGGCGCATGGATTTTGCTTCCGTGCCGCCTAACCACACACGTCCTTTCTTCGGAACCATATCTGCTACTCCACGTCCCCATGACAAAGGTAGGCGGTCACAAAAAGGACGGCACCAGGCTGAATCTCTTGGGCCACAGAGTATATATCTCAACTCTACTCATGAACAACGGTATAGTATGTGTGATTGAAATCTGGTTGTCTTTCATCTGCATGCCGATAAACATCCAACATGTATTCCTTCAATTTCTGCATATCCATATTCCTCACAACGTTGAGTCTACGGTTATTCTCCCTTGCGCCTGTACAAGCCATTCCCATCAACAACATCGCTGAAAGAGACCGGGAAGCAAGAACACTTCGCATGCCCATCCGGCGACAGTTCTTCAGCATCTCCAAACGTTCAAACGTGCTGTCTAGCATCCTCAAAAATCAGGAATGGCAATATCTCATTGATGTCAAAGTTGGCACTCCACCTCAATCCCTCTCCCTGGCTCTCGACACAGGCAGTAGTGACACTTGGGTATTCTCGCCTGAAGCATGCGTCAATGACGCAAAATGTGCAGGATCTTGTCAGTTCTTTCCCTTTGCATAACCACCACCAATCTGAGCAGCAATTAACATCACAAAAGTCGATCCTGCGGAATCTTCGACCCTTGTGGAACTGTCGGCCGGATCATTCGCGATAAGTTATAATGATAAGTCGCACGTGGAAGGCGACTTTATCACGGACGATCTTGGGGTCGGTGGCACCACAATCTCTTCATTGACCATGGGCCTAGTGAGGACGGGTCAATTCCAGGGAATATCCACTTCTTACGGGGTTTTGGGCGCAGGATACAGGGCCAATGAGGCAACCGCAATCCTTGACACTGCAAATGAGTACCCCAACCTTGTGTACGAGATGTTCTCTCAAAACCTCATTGGGAGTGTTTCATATAGTCTTTGGCTAGACGAGTTGGGTAAAGTATCGCATAACCCGTATGTTACAGTTGAGGACTAATAAGTTTGGCACTCCAGATGCATTAACGGGCACCATTCTGTTTGGTGGCTACGACACGAGAATGTTCCAAGGCCACCTCACCGTGATGCCCACGCTCCCCAACACCAACGGGGTGATTAGCACCTTTCTCGTGTCCCTATTTTCTCTCAGCGCCATATACAACGGCAAGACAACCACGTTCACCGCGTCGACTTTCAGCGGTGCCGCACTCCTCGACTCCGGGACAGCATTGACGTGGGTTCCAAGCGCCATCTACGCCGAACTAGCCAATTATTTCGGCGCAGATTCAGATGGACTCGTTGATTGTAGTCTGGGCCAGACAAAGGGACATGTATCATTCGAATTTGCAGGTGTTGTGATTCAAGTTCCCTTTTCTGAACTGTCGCTGTATGATAGTACCACGCACACGTGTTCCTTTGGATTCTACGACGGTGGAACACTACTGATATTGGGTGATACGTTCTTGAGGTCTGCGTATGTTTATTATGATCTTGGGAATAATCAGATTGGGCTGGCACAGACTGTGTATGAGTGAGTCGAGGTAGGGAGAGGTTATCACATTAGTATATGACGGGTGATGAGTAACTTGAAAACGGCCAAAGGGAAAACACCCTTTCCTTGTGTTGATATCCGAAAATGACCTGATGTCATCTCACTATATCATCTAGTCCATCATCGCCACTTTTTCTTTGGCTCCCCCAGACGTCTAAGGTGACCTCGCCTGGCCTCGCCGTGCCAAATCAAGCTGTGGAAACAACTCAGTCTCGATTCCGACGGGTCTAGTTTGGTCTGTGAGGCACAGTGTTTCCATCTACAATTGTTGCGTGCTTGCAACTTTCGGTACTCGTACAAAGTGGATCGTAGAGAAAGAGCAATGTAGGTAAGGAGGCAGGAATATGTTAGATACCTTGTTTCCTATTCCGGAACCATGGCCGTTGAGACGAAGGTGGACTGGTAAGCAAGAGCGGCATTACCTTGTTTCCAGTTTGGGCGAAAACGTCGAGCCGTTTTCCCATATCTGCTTGGCAATATCTGGCTTCATCCGCAGCGAATACTCTCTTCAGCATTCCTATTCAACAAACTCCGGACAGAACTACGGGTCAGTTGTCAAACACGACTGCTGTCCTCCATATACTTCCATCATGGCGAAGAAAACCGCTGCCCAGCCTGCTACTCCTAGAGCCCCACCTCCTCCAACACCACCCAAGCCAGTCCCTGCAGCAAGAACGCCCTCAAGTACTATCTCAACACCCGCCGTACCAGCAGCGAAACCTCTACCCCAAACTCCGCTATCGCCACGGTCTTCTCCCCAAGAGATCGTCATTCATGTATGGAATAGATATGTCCAAGACACACCATCACGGACTATCCTTCTCGATGTCTTCATGGCGTGGTTGGTAGTGATCGGAGCACTACAGTTTTTGTACTGCATTCTTGCTGGAAACTATGTATGTTGGCCGGTCTATTCTTGCTGGGTAACTCCGTCCGCACCTGCTAACACTCTGAATACAGCCGTTCAATGCATTCCTGTCCGGCTTCAGCGCAGCCGTTGGACAATTCGTGCTTACGGCGTCACTACGAATGCAGACCTCTGAGCGTCCACCTAGCGGTGCGTCAATAGCTGCGAAGAAATCCACTTCAAAGGCTATCGATACCGTCAGCGGGGAATTGATTGATGGCAACAAGATTAGCACGGAAAGAGCATTTGCCGACTACATCTTTGGCAGTCTTATTCTGCACGGCTTCTGTGTGAACTTCATCAACTAGACGAAAATTATTCAGCTGAATACAAAAGTCGGAAGACAAAAGTCGGAAGACAAAAGTTTGATATATTTGGTGGATCCCCTGGGAGCACCTCGAGCGAATTTGGGCACGTTCCTTCTCGCACCACCGAGCGTACCAGACTCTGAACGCGAGATGCAGGACTGAGCAAGGTTCGAGAGGAGTGTTGGGCAGAAAGCTACCTCCTAAAGACCCGAGTGCTTATGAGCCTCCGTTGACCGATGGCTGGTCCGGTGCAAAAACGGGTCCTTCTTCGTATGTTGCATGTCCCGACCTGGCACCTGAGAGGCATATGAGTATAAACGTGGTGACCCGAGTACGAGACTCTACCTATGCATGAAATCCTGAACGCCTTGCATTCGAAAGACAAGGGCGTCGGGCAATGTAATACAATTCCAGAACAAATGACATCACTTCCATTGTCGGGACGTCCCAAATTTTGCTGTCAGACTAAACCGCCCCTTTTTGCCATGACCACCTCCAGCATTAAATATCAGCCCTCCTAGACGCAAAATAGTTTTCTCGTTCGCGCGTGTCTGGAGCGAGCTTTCGCAACCTAGTGTGCGCAGTAGGCAAACCTGCTAACTATGGATTTTACTAACTCGTATCTGATGTTCCAGGTGCCGATGGGAAAGGGGGGTTCTGACCTGAAACACTCAGGAGGGCAGTTGTTTCAAGATCTCTTCGCGTAATACAGTAGAAGAGCGCGACGGACAGCTCATCATGATCTGGACTCTAGTCGAACTCATGTTTCATTCATTTCCTGAGTTGCAAAACAATCGCAAGTATGAAGGGAAACCTGGTTTTGAACCTCGCATGTGCACTATTCGTCGCCGTGGCGGCGTCTACTGCAGATGAAGTCAGGATACCGGCGAGCGAGCCGATTCAGGAATTGAACATTGGAGAGGACACGACGGGCGAAGAACTCGTCTACGAGACTGAGAGTGATCAAGGATCATTACTACAGTCCATCCAACAGAACTCAACGTCGACTGATACTCCTATCGATGAAAATTGGCGAGACATTTGGACACATCAGCCAGTATGCACGTCTTACCTTTCAGAGTTCAATAGCTTGCTGTGCGTCTACACAAATGCGACGTTCAGCCAAGGACGAGGCATTTCTATCTTCACGACGCCGAAGATCGCCGCAGAATTCGCCGCGTTACTGCCGTTTCACGACGACGAGATCCTGCAGAAGCGCGGGATCAACAGTGCCGAAGGATCGGGCCTCTGGACTGCCAAAGCACTGCCGGGGAAAGGAATCGGCATGGTGGCTAAGCGGGACCTACAGCGCGGTGAGCTGATCACGGCATACACGCCATATCTGATCTCGCACGCAGAGAATGTCCTGTCAGTGCAGGAGCGCGAGAAGTTCTTGCAGATCGCGCTGTCTCAGTTGCCGGCGGCGAGTCAGGAGCATTTCCTCGATCTTGCCAAGTACTACTATGAGCTGAGCGTGGTGGTTCAGGACGTCGTCAAAGCGAATACGTTTCAGATGGACATGGGAGGGCGAATGCATCTGTTGGTTGTGCCTGAGGCATCGCGATATAATCATGCTTGCGCGCCCAAGTAAGTCACTACACTACTATTCTCTGGAGCTCTTCATACTTACAAATCTCTCCAGCGCACAATACTACATCGAGCCTGGGATACTGACACACTTCGTGCACGCGGTGCGACCGATCGCCAAGGACGAAGAAATCACCATCACGTACTCGACGCCCTACCACCCCTACAGCGTGCGCCAAAATTACCTCCTCGAGGCCTTCCGCTTCACATGCACGTGCTCGCGCTGCGCGAAGGGTGAAGACACCGACCAGTCGCTCGTCGAGATCCACGACCTCCAGCAGAGCCTCGGCAACTGGGGCGCGGATTCGACTGCTAGCGTTAAGCAGGCGGAACGGCTGGTTAAAGTGTATCTGGAGGAGGAGTTTGACGGGTTCCTGGACTTTGCGTACGGGCATGCCGCTCTGACGTATAATTCTGTCGGGAGCGCGAGAGGGACGGTCAAGTATGCGGCGTTGGCGGCTGAGGCGGCGGCGTTGAAGTATGGGCCTGCCTCGAAGGATGTCAGGACTTGGATGGATTTGGCGGAGAGGCCGATGGAGCATTCGAGTTGGAGGAGGAGGAAGAATGTTGTTGTTGTTAGTGATGGTGATGGTGATAGTGATTGAAGGTGACCATGTCTATCATTTTGGATATTTTATCTACGATACTGCAGCAACAAGTCCAGTCAGGAATAACGTTTTGCCAACCCTTTCCCTCCTTCAAAATTAAGGTGCGATACTGGGGGTGAGGTTGTGCTTATCCGCTAGGGGAACCCCGGAATGCCAGGGCCGAGGGGGCGTGGATTTCATAGTGGATAGGCATTGGAGCGCCCACAATAGGCTTTCGGCCGCTCATTAGGCGTCCGTGATCCCCGGGGTTATCCGTAGAAGAGACTCTAGACTTTACACGTGCGGTGCTTCCACACGGATAGCAATCGCCATCTCCGCCTTTGGACGAGAATCACAAGTACAAGGAAGAGACGGCTGGAGAAAGTAGCCTGAGTATCTCCCCCCTTCACACCTGATCCATCTACAGTACGAGCACTTTTGTCTTTCTCCCCTTCTCTACCACCATTCTCGACAACCCACACAACTCTCTATCCAGCGCATCTCATTATGAGAGCGCTGTGACCATCCTATGCTCACTCCGGTGGCCCGATCATCCAAGCATGCGGTGAAAGCCATTGACCGTTCGTTCGCTCGAATCTCTCTATCACCACTTCCTTCACTTCCGTCACGTCAGGTCGTGCTCTGTTCCAGACGATCAACTCACTCTAAGCGAGCGGTCTTCACCCTTGCGAACAAGACCAGTCGAAGGCACTTGATCTCCGAGGGGAGCACTACTACTCCCCAGGAGGACGATTCTACGAGTTCCGTGCCCAACGACTCCCCCTTCTACCTAGAGACTGGCTACTCGATATTTGCCAAACGCCCTTCTCGAGCGTTTCCTCCTCCGTTTGTTTCACTACCCTCTGGATCTTTCTCAGATCCTCTCACCACCCATAATCCTGTACGAGGTCGTCGACCTTTTGTCAATGGAGTCCCGGTGAGGGGTGTCACCAATGGTGATGATGCCATCATTATTGGCGATCACAACTTTCTCGCCGTCAACGACGGTGTGGGCGCATGGGCACAGAAAGAGCGTGGGCATGCTGCATTGTGGTCACGTCTGATTGCTCACTTTTGGGCCGTGGAGGTGGAAAAGACCTTCGTGGCTGGTGGTAAAGATGTGAAACTAGAGGATCTCAACCCCATACAGAATCTGCAAGTCGCATTTGAAGAGACGAAAGTCGCCACTCGAGGAAAGGCAGATGCAATGCTGGAGGGCGAAGAAATTGCCCGAGGTGGACCTCCGGAGGCTGATAAGAAATCCAGGTCCAAGGAGGCAAGTAATTCGAAAGATGCTAGTAGTAACGACATCTTGGGAACCACCACCGCTTGCTCGGCCTTGCTTCATTATAAACCTTCGACCCCCGAACCAACTCCTGTTGTTCTAGCCACGAGTCTCGGGGATTGCAAGGTTCTTATCGTTCGCCCTTCCACCTCGAGCGTGTTGTATCATTCCAAAGAACAGTGGCATTGGTTTGACTGCCCTCGACAGCTCGGCACCAATTCCCCTGATACACCCACGGGTAACGCCGTGACTGATACAGTACCAGTTGAAACGGATGACCTTATAGCTGTCCTCAGCGATGGCGTCACGGACAATCTATGGGAACATGAGATCTGCTCGACATTGTGTGACAGTGTTGCCAAATGGAATGCAGGCGATGCAGAGGCAAAAGATGGCATCGTCTATGTCGCCCGCACTCTCATGAATGCTGCCCGGGAAATCGCTCAAGATCCCAATGCTGAAAGTCCTTACATGGAAAGGGCACTTGATGAAGGTCTCCCGGCTGAAGGCGGCAAGTTGGACGACATATCGGTGCTGTTAGGCGTCGTAAGGAAGAAATGACATATCAGGCTTTTGGGTAATGACACTTAGCCCGCTCTTATATGCATAGCTGGGCCTTTCCTTATGGCGTTTTGGTTCATGGCGATCATGAGGTTCGCGATTTGAAACTAGCATGAAGCATCCTCTAGACACAGCACATGAAAGGCATCGTCGGGCGTTCAAAGAATATCGGCACATCCACCATGGTCGGGTACATAAAATATGGGCCGACTGGGATAGTTGAAACCAGTTCAATGGCCCAGGCGGGGCTTGAACAGTCAATGCACAAAATTGTTTTTGGGGCGATATCAAATTCAGTCATGAATAGTAACTCTATCACTACCCACGAATGCACAGATACCAACCTAAGAACCTAAGATGTTGAGCATTGCGTGTCTAAAGAAAGAAGATACGGATAATCACCTGGCCATCGATGCCGGGTGCTACAACATACCGTCATTGGGTGGACGTTGTTCAGACAGGAAGGATAGCTCTTACCAACTCAGCCCTCGATTCTATTCAAGCCAACCATGCAAATATCTGAAACCACTTCACACCATGAGCCTACAAGGACCACTTCCAACATTACTTGAGGTTTGGTGGGCGCAATTGCCCTCAAGATGGACAGCCTTCTTCTTTTCCAAATTGCGGTAGCTTTTTCTCCTCATGCATGACGCCCGACCTTAGTCGAGAAGCACTCCTGCCTATCAGATGTGCCCATACTTGCCAACTCGTGATGCACGCCCTGGCACCCTGGATGCTGTGCAATGGCATCACTCTGTGCAAAGCCCGCATGTTTCTGCCTGGGCGTTCTCTTAGACGTGCAGCTCATATTCAAAGGCCAAGACTTGTATCGCCAGTGGAGGGTCAGACTACTTCTTCCAATGGTTCTACAGCCTAACAATCGATAGTAGTTACAACTGCTTCTCTGCACTTCCCTTCGCTGACCAGAGTCAGTTCTGTCTTTCGGGTTAACCTGGTCCAAATTCGAAAACAATGTCTACACTAGGCCGCATTGCAAACTCTTTAACCAATATCAACAATGAAAACATACTAACCTTGGCAAATCTCAACTTCGACTTTACCGTCTTTAAATTCGACGCTCCAAAAGAGTTCGCTACTATTGGGAATAGCCTTTCGCTGCGGCGTCGTGCTGATGCCGAGGAAGGCAAGATTCACAAGACGGCTCGCAAGCTTGCTGCCCTCTTTGAATCCCTGGTCCCTTCTACTCCAAATTTACTCAAGGCGTATGGAACAAGATCATCTGAGATAGCCAGCGATCCACAAGCCAACCCAAAAGGTTCAGATGACCATGGACCTTTCGAAGAATTCATTGGGATCGATGGCTCGTCCTTATGGGCCGCAGCTACCTCCAGTGCAATGACTTTCGACAGGCATGCAGCTATCTCAATGTATCTCTTGGCGTGCATTCTCGCCCGAGCTTGGGAAGCAGATAAATCAATTTCCATATGGACCGAACTGGTGGGCGAGCGACAGGCTGAGATTATGAAAGCAACTGAAGAGGGACCGCAATTGACCTCCACATATATGGCCGCATGTCAGGACATCACACGAGAAGAGCTTGCTAAATGGGATGCCAGCGCTAGATCATGGTTGCGGAGCGCCGATGAAGTCAAACGGGTCGCCTATACCAAGTTCATGCTCATTGCCAAGAATATTTCTGTCAATCTTTGCCAAAGCAGGTCGACTTATCAGAACGTCGTCGACGTCTGGCGTCATGCACTACTCGGCATGGAAGATCTCATCCAAGGACGGCCTCAAGAGGCTTCCGATGGAGCGGTACTTCTGGCACTTTCGGCATGGCATATCTATCCAGATCTTATGATTCTGGGAAGCTCCACTAAATCGATTGAATTTGATGACCCCCTTGTGCAAGCTGGTGGCATCATTACTGTCGGCCTTCAGTACGCCGTGGACAATGGAGACGCCGGAATGCACTGGTCGTTGACGTTATCCCAGTACCAATTTTATGAGCGCAAGGCGAAAGTCAGCACCGGTGACGGGACCAGCCGTATTACTATGGACGAGCTCTTAATCATGGCCCTTGGAAGCTTATTTTCGGCTTGGGATGTGTTGAAAAATGAACAAACCGAAACTGCCAATTGGTTGATCAAGATTTTTGATCTAATGCATCAGTCCACCGATCTGCCGTGGCTTGCAGTGCTCGTGGATGCAAGTCACAAGTTTTTAGAGATGAACCAAAACGACTCAGCACGCTGCTTTGCCCTTGTCGCTTATAGTAGGAGGCGGGCTAAGAATCTTCTTGGTTTCCAAGAGTTAAAACCCCAGCCCTTTTTCGGTCTCCGCAGTTACCCCCTTCTACGCTCATTGTCTTTGAAGCCTGGAAGTAAACAAGTCATCGCGTATCTCAGAGGTCTCTGTGAGACGGTGAACATTACAGGGACTCACTGTCTGATACGCTATCGAGAACGTTGGCAAGGCACTACGAGGACTATATTCGCTACTGCACTTCCACGTGACAAGATTTCGACCAAGCGCCCACTGGACAGATCGCCAAAGCGAGAAAAGAGGCACTATTACTGGTTTCCTTTGGGGCAAAAAAGGCCCCCCTGTTTTGAGTGCCTCGCAGGCTCCTCAGGTGCATTGGCAGAGAGTCAGGGCCGTGGGGCTTGTCGCTTTGGGGAGTTGTTGGATTGTCAACCTGGGTCTGCCTGCGTATATTCCGAGGAGATGGCCAACGAACAGTGTCTAGAGTATGATCCCCAACGTATAACTACAAATCATGACAGTTCGGGGGAAACCTTTCGCTGGTATAACGCTCCTGCGATACTACGTGAATATCATCATTCAGAGTATCGCGGAGTAAGGGACATGGATTTGACGTTCAGACTTTGCTATGGTGACCCACAGTCCTTTGCCATATTTGCCATAGTGCCCGTTCTTCGCTTTTCTTTCGGCAAGAGGAATAGCAAGACGACTGAAACATTCGAGTCTCTTGAAGCAGCTTTAGAGACTGCTTGTCTTGCGGAGAATACCTTCCTACAGGCGAGCACAATGCTTGAACAGAAAATCAACCCTGCGTCTCTGAGCCAGTACCTTACTTGGTATGGGGGCAACAGGGCCAGGTGTGCTTGGCTCACTCATAGCCGCGCTATTATTCGTGGCAACGAGACCTTCGATGTACCGGAACAACCTTTTAACCACAACTTAGGAGTGTTTCTCAAAGCCAACCTTCTCGATCCTATTCATTATCAAGCTCTAATCACACTTACAAAGGCTCAGACAGTATTTGCGCCATTCAAAGAATTGACGGTTCCCTTGCAAGCTGTTTCAGTTGTTAATCTTTGTGATGTTCAATGGTTTATGAACAACGGCTCCGTTCCTTTCAATATCCAGTTAAACATCTCAGAGCGCCTTGCATGTATTGTAGGGTTCGAATCTTGTTTTTCGAAGATCAGGTGTTCTGACCTTGACAACGTCTTTGCTGTTTCGTTTGGGAACTCGATCTTCGTTGCATCAGAACTACTCACCGATCCTCTAAACCACAAAAATTGTACTGACGAATTCCAGAGACTGGCGGGAAATGTAGGTATGTTGGGCATCTCATTGTTGGTGCCACCCAGATCGTCTCTGAAAAGAACAGCGCCAGGTTATGATCTACGCCTCGTCCCACACAATAGATACGACCACGGCCGAGAGAACAACTTCCAAGGCACGTCACTGCATTTATCTTTTACAAGCTGGAGAGAGCCTTTGATCATTGCAAGTCAGGGAACGATTGATCAAAACATTTTCTACGTCGAAAGTGTTCTCTCTGTCCATGACCGCGGAAAATGGGTTGCCGATTTCAATATCTTCGGCGAACAGGATTTCACGAGACTGCAGCCGCCCGTTGGGAAATGGGATTTTGATTGCGAGTGTACTGGAGATGGGAATAAAGCAGCGACTTCAATCGACGCTTGGGAAGAGATAATCGACCCACCCGAGAATGTTGGTATCATACGGGCACACAACAACTGGGCTGCGCGCTTGGCTGCTCAAGCTGTTTGCCTCTCCGTAGAGGACTTAAGGGTGTTCGTCGTGCAGCCTCACAGGACTTTCTGTGTGAAGTGCATCTCTAGGTCTTTTGAAAAAGCTGGTGAGGTGGATTCCGATCGTTTCATCATCATCGACTGAACTCTCAATATCCATTCAGAAACTTTGTCTTTTCCGAATTGAGAACTCCTGCCCCGCTCACTCTCAACCATCGCAATGGAAGCTCGGCCCAGCAAACACAACGAACAGAGCACGCCCAATAGGTTCTTGCTGTCTTGCTGTAGCCGATCTAGAAAGCCGAGCAATTCAATGTCTGAGATTAGGGCCACTACAATAGTACCTGCCCACTCGCTTCGCCGAGTGTTCAGAGATGTTTGCTCGGAGCATTCAGTTCGAAAGCTACACCAAAGGCAAGCACCAATCGTGAGACAAGCAACAGTAGGATAGAAGCCTTGCATCATCATGTCGAGCCGCAGAATTCCGTCGGTCAGTGGGTGTGAATCCCGTTCCGGCAAAGCTGATATTCCTCTCGAGTGCATGCATGGCCTATGCTATGCTCTCTGATAGCCCCCATTCTAGAGCGAACTGTCCCTGCCTCCTGCATTCTGTTACACTTTCAAAGGGGAACAAAAGACAATTGCCCATGATTCGTGAAGCGCTGCGATGCTTTGCATTTCGGGCAATGATGCCAAAAGAGAAAACGGTGGGAGGAAAGAGCAAGGATTTCATGGTTCTGGGGTGACCGTCATCTTCAATGACATGGCTATGAGCGGTTCAAAATCCTCTCATGTCACGCCTCCTTCATTCGTGCTCCGTGTAACTACCACTGGTTAAGTACTAAAGCGACCGGATATGCAGAAGGTTCATCTCAACATCCTGCTTCCTTGTCCCTCGCCTAGCCATATCATCATGACCCGATCTGTCCCTCATTAGCGCCGTGATCGTCATCAACTCCATCGTAGCTTATTCGCACTGACATCCTTCACGGCTGAGAGGGTTGCTATACCTCCACAACCGACAACCCATCCTGCTTTAGAGAGTAATGGCTGGTATACTTCTCCAATGACTTTCAAGTCGCTCTGGGAGGTTCAGGTCCCAAGATCGAAAGAGCAGAGAAGGTTTCGCTCCCCCCCTCGAAGTCAGACTGAGAGAGGGGCGACAGACCGATCCAAATTGGCAAAGACTGGGTTCTGAAACCTTCAGAATCAAATCTTAATGTGCGAAAAGGCTCTGGTTGGTGCAGCTGGTGCACCCCAAGGTGTCCATCGCTCTTGGCTTATAGTTGGAATATACATGTGTTCAGGCCGGTTCGCAATTTCTGGGTTGTTACGCAGAAATATCCTTGGAATATCATTGTGTGAAAGACTGCTGTTTGTACATGGCGGAGGCAATGTTGATCCGAGTTGGAGAAGAAACTGGTTGGTGTTTCAGTTCTTCCATTCTGGCCCAGTATGCCCGGCGTATCCTCAATATAGCTGCTTCAGAGTCCAGTGTTGGTCGCATTAACCAGTCCTTATGGTATGCACTAACTTGAAAATCTTGCCACTTATTGTTCGTTTTGGTTAAGGAGTCCATCATCCGACTATTCATCCACTAAATCTGAATCTTGTCGCTTCCAAACGGCCCAAACCTTCCCGAGGCGCAACGTTCCTTCTTCTATACGAATTAGTGAAGTCTTGGAGTAAGACTCGTACCTTGCGTGCCTCATTCTGCTGCAATTTATCACTGATACCTTTCATAAGTTTGTTTGCTTCTGCTGGCTTCAACGTGCCTGCAGGCAGTAGCTGAAGCGTCCCTTGAACCCATTGTGCTGCAGCCTGAGGAACTAGATTAAACAATGAAAGTAACACACCAGAAGAGTCGGCAAAAACGTCTTCAGGGAAGCTAAACATCATGCCGGTCAAAACTCTATGCACGAGTTGTTGACCTGTCGTGTTGAGGACCTGTCTGACAGCAGCACGAACTTCTGGTGGGTTGTCCCGTGCGGGTTCACCATTTGGACCTGCAAAATTCGACACTGGAGGGTTGTCGAATCCAAAGTCAAGGAAATCTCTCAAGAAATGTAGAGCAGCCTGAATAGGTTCCAAAGACTGTAAAGTAAGAGCAGTTAAAGACGCCTGGACCATTGGTTCGGCAAAGTTTGACATGATTGTCTTTGCAGGATAAAATCTCACAGCGTCAGATGCCAACCTGAAGAAGTCCTCAATGACGTCTGGAAGTTCAACTGGTTGTAGATCGGTGAGAATCCGGAAGAATGCAGTTGCTTGCTGTGCAAAGAATCGGAAAACATTTTCGCTGGTCTCGTCGTCAACAAACTCCGCTCCATAAGAGAATTCTCGAATGACTGCATCAGTGGCCCACAAGAAGCCTCCTTGGTGAGAAGCTTCAAATCCCTCAGCAAGGCTGCTTGCAAGAGTTGGCAACAAAGGAGCCGTAGCCGTCCGGTAGGAGATCACCATGGTTCGCCAGCACTTGCATATGCGCTCTAGTATGGGTATTGAACGCGTAAAGTGCTTCGCAATACCAGAGAGAGCTGGCAGTATCTCTTGGCAGTATTTCACAGCGGGATTCTCTTGACCAGGTGAAACATAAGGCTGAACGAAGTCGAAGAAAATGGTGAGAAGGCCCAGATAATCAGCCACAACCTTTTCGGAATCCTCATCCTTTGCTTGCTGAGCAAGAGAGACGATTCTAGCCATGACTGGATCACAAAAGACTTTCAAGGTGGCATATGTTTTTCCGACTGGTTGAACCGCAACGACAGCCGCAACTCCCTCGGTGACCTCCTCTTGGCTAGAGGGCTTGAGTTTATCTATGACGCCCTCATAGAATTGGTGTAGCTGAGGGATGTGATCTCCAAGAAGTTTTGCGCAATCAGTTCCCAGGAATCTGAATGCCAATGCGGAAGCCTGTATAACCTCCAAAGCAGTGTGATTGAAGCCGGAAATGACATAGGTTAGCTGTGCTTCCAGAGTTTCTGGATGCTGAGAAGTCCATTCGGTATATCGCGCCAACGCCATGATTGCCTGGAACGTCAACTTCTCATGATTCGGAACCGTAGTTAAAAGTGGGATCACTTGAGGTAAGATGTTAGCCTCTTCCGGACTGACCATACGACCCATTGCTCGCAAGCTGAAAAGGGGCGCCTCGAGCTCTTGCCAATGTGGAACAAATGGCTCAGCAACTTGGGAGGCGTAAGCTTGACCCCACTTTTGAATGAGAATATAGGCTTTATTCAGGCACTCTGAAACGCCAACAACCTCACATGCATCTTTCAGGACATCGCCCATGTTGTGTCGGAAAGAACGGAATTTATCTTCCTGCTCACGATCGCCGTCGAAAAGATCTTTCTCGTTGCCGTTCTGCGGGGTAGGGAATTCCAGGTGTTTGATCATGACATCAACCAACTGAGAATATAGATCCACTAGCTGTGCTCGAGCAGATGCATATTTCTCGAGAGTCAGTATCTGCTTCAACTCATACCAGAAAATGAAGGTGATAGAAATTGCCTCGCGGTCCTGGTCACGCACACAACATTCCAGTACACATTCAGCGAGTTCTCGGAACTGTGCCGGCTGGCGAGCGATGAGGACAATCCAGGCTTCTCCGGCTTCTGTAAAGAGTCTGGTGATGCCTTTCATCAGATCATTGTCCTCAGTGACAGCGGCCTCTTGGATGAAGGGTCTCAGACGAATAATTTCAGGGTAGAGCTTTTGAATGACACTTAGCGATTCATCGACGTCTCGTGTATCCCGAAACATGGTACACATGCAGTCCACAGCGGCTTCGAACGAATCCTGATCTTGTAATGCGGAGGTGATCTCTTTGAGTAAAGGCGAATTGACGACATCAAGGGCCGGGATTTCTCGGAGCCATGAAGCAAGACAGGAGTACAGGTGAGGGTTATGGGCGGCGCGAGCTAGTGAACGTGTCAGTATTTTGATCCGGGGATGCGGTGATTCGGACTGTAACATACTGGACGACTGTGCGTATGAAATCAAGAGTTGGAGAACCTGAGAAGCGTTGTCTTCGAGCAGTTCCTTCGTTCTGTCGGCGAGTTCCTCTTCCTAAATTGTAAACAGGGTGGATTAGACTGTGATCGATGGCGAGACTGAGGGTTGCGATGGCGACAAGCCGAAGATCAAACTTGGAGGCTGTGCGGTCGGACATACAGAGACGTTGATTTTGCGGCCTTCAGTGACCTCTTCTGGTAGGATTCGCAGGAAGTCGAGTAGACAATCTCCGCCATCAAAACTACTACCAACGGTGGCTCCCACGGTTCCCACGACATCTTTCCAAGATGTCAATTGAATAGCCAGACTTGCCAGACAGACAGATAGTTGAGTCCGGATCGGCCTTGGGCCTGAAATGTAGGTTTGGAGTAATGCGAGGAGTGAGTCGCGAAGTGGCTGTAAAGCATCACTGGGGAGTTGGTGAAGATCGTATGTTATCTGTGATGCCTCAGTAAATAGTCTGGAAAAGGAAACGCTCATGTAACCTACTTTTCCTTTGAGAGTGGTGGCGGCAAAGAGTCGCGCTTCAACTGGGGATTTAGAGTCTTGCAGGATGGCATGAGTAGCATTCCAAGCTTCGGACTGCGTAGCAGTTAGGTCTGGTTGAGGGAGAGAATTGGTGTGACGAACTGATTTTTGGAACTTTTCCAGGAAACTGTGGGCATCGGCCTTGTCTTTCCCGGCCACATTACTCTGCATGGTGGCCAAAGCCTTGAGAATGGGCGTGAAGCCATCGGAGGCGGTTGTTTGAGCAGCCATGGTGGCTTGAGGTGGGATGGATGGGACCGGAGGAGGGGTAGTGGTCGGCTTGCAGCCTTGATCAAGGTTGGACTAGAGGCGGTTGCATGCGGCTTGGATGTCAGAGGGAAGAGGCTGTAAAAGAGTAGTGAAGGGAGACAAATGTCCAATCCAGAGACTGAATGATATATACGAGTGAGATGAGGATGTGGTGAATTGTTTGGTGTTTGGTGACCCATATGGGGACAGAGATGGATGACTGCGCTTCGCCTCTAGAAAAGAATTGACTTTACTTGGCGGGACAAGCAACGTCCAAAGTGCTCGCAGCTCACGTGGGCGCTCACCACGAGCGTGCCGCTTTTACAACTACTTCTTCGCTACTGACCCTCCCACTCACGCTCGACCAGTATTAAAAGTATGTGCTCCATGCATGGGGATGGACGGCCATCTTCTCAAACTTGCAATGAAACCTAGATACGTGAATGGGCACATCAATAGCTACCTTTTGCCGAAAATAGGTCGACGTTGTCCGGGCCGACTTTGGTGCCGAGATATTTCGGATTTACTTCTGACGTACACCTCAGATCCCCAGAGACTTGGACAATAAAGATAGCCACTCAATACCTACCTACCTACCCACCCACCTAGGTAGGTCGGTGGATTCTCTCGCCAGAAGCAACTTCTGGCTTTCTAGATTCTAGTGCCCTGTCCTCAATGCTGAACTCCACCCCTGTCCCGGGCTCGGCAGTACGTTTGAGCTGCGAACAGTGTAAGCAACGCAAGAAGAAATGTGATAAGCAGGTTCCATGCACAGCATGCCGAAATTCAGGATTCACATGTGCCACGGTACAGCGCGCTCGAATGCCTCGTGGAAGACTTCAACGCAAAGGCAACGATATCGACGCGAGAGTCGCCCGCCTTGAAGATCTGGTGAAGCAGTTGAAGGTACTTCACCTCTTGGCCAGCTCAAAGTTGAGGACGTGCCACCAATCCTGCATTTTAGGCTCAAGTACAGACCACCAACCAACATGATGCCGGGCTCGAGGATACCCATCTTCTTGGACCTGTTGGCCCACTGGGAAGGTATTCCAATGGGCTGCAGCGTTATATCGCTTCCGATTTCTGGGAAGCGATTTCGCGAGAGGTAAGGTGTGGTGGCTTGCGCTTGACCTTCAAAGCCTTGAGAGGCCTGAACCACTGCTCACTTGCAATCTAGGCCAATGGCATCCGCAAGACCCTGGAGGAGTCCAACAATGAAGGTGCCCCAAGTGCAAATTACTCTACATCACCGGGACCGACGACGGAGCCGTATTCCATTCCAAATACACTCCTCTTCGGCCACGGCACATCTGGCACTGAGTTTGATACATCACAACCTCTCCAGAAGCACCTCGCCAGTACACTCCTTTCTATATATCAGCACCGGGTAGATAGCATTGTCAAAGTTCTACACTGGCCTTCCGTTGTTGCCGCAATTGATAAGAAGAACATGGAGGCCAGGAACGAGGGCTGGTGGACTGGGATCCATGCACTAGAAAGCGCCATACGATTTACGGCTTGGTGCACCACGACCGACGCCGAGTGTGAGCAGCAGCTGCGTTGCAACAGAAGCTCTACACTACTGCAACTCAGAAATGCGGCCGAGTTTTCAATCTCGAAGGCCAAGCTCCTCGAGTACCCAGATCTGACGGTCCTTCAGGCCTATGTCATATACTTGGTAAGTTGTATTGATTGACATCGTGGCTACACTTGCACAAGTATCTGGATCGATTTGTGCGTGTAGAGTGTCGTTGGAATCTAGAGCTGATCATTCGACAGATAGGTCTTCGCTGTTCCACCACTGGCGCATCGAGCTGGACATTACTACCAATAGCTGTCAGGCTAGCAAAAGCGTTGGGACTTGGATCTGAGGATCCGAAGAGCCATTTGCCGTACGAGTTGGAGATTCGCCGGAGATTGTGGTACTCAATTGGAATGCTTGATACTCAGCTGGCTTTGGATAGAGGATCACTCCCACTACTCTATTGCAGCGACTTCATCTCTTGGCCTTTGACGGTGAATGATGCAGATTTGTATCCGACATGCAGTCGACTCATATCATCGCAAGGCTTCACGGACATGGCATTTTCCTCAATGACCCACCGGGCCATGATGTGTCAGAAGAAACTGTATGAGACCAATATCCACCCCGAGGATCCTTGGGCCAGCTGGAACGAGAAGATGGCAGCAATTGCGGTCTTTGAGGACTACGTGAGAAACAACTCTTCAGTAAGAAATCCATTTCCAACCCCATTGGAAACCTTTACACAGGCTGTTGGGGAAGGATCGCTACTCAACATCAAACTGATGCTTCGACGACCACTACACCGGATTGAACACAGGCAAGTTCCTCCCTGGGACGATTACAACATAATGAGCGCCAGTACCGAAATCTTGGAGCGATCTCTGAACAAGCAAGCGGATGTCAAGTTTGCATCTTGGGCATGGTTTGCATGGGTCAAATGGTATGCTTTGGCCGTGCTACTGGCCGAACTGTACAGCTCCGGTACTGGTGCAACCACTGAGCACTCTTACTTGGTGGCGCGGGAGACATTCGCGCAATATGCCCCAGTGGTCGCTGACAGCGAGTCTGGTATGCTTTGGAAACCCATTGTCAAGCTCATGCGCCAAGTCGAGCGATTGAGAGGCACTGGCAGCACAGTCAACGGAAATGCGCATCAACCCCGGTCGTCTGGTCACTCCGCCGGCGGCGACATCAAAGCGGGCGAGGCCACGAAGCTCAACGTTTTCCAAGGTTACGCCGCGAGTCCTCAGAGTGCCCATCGGCGAGATGCCGGAAAATCACTTGTGGCGGAATCAGATCTTCTCGACCAGACCATCACCCAACCCAGGGGTACTACGCATGGTATCGTGGATACAGAAAACATTGAGCAGATGAGAATGCAGGATGTTCTAGACGACGATCTGTCATTGATGAATTGGGATAGTTTCTTGGAAGACATGTTCCACTCCACCATCATGGACCTGAGTATGAACTGAGAAAACCATACTTGTCCCAGTGGCTCTCAATTCACAGCTGTCATTGCCCCGGGTGACAGACTCTCGATTTTGTCTGATAGCTCCTCCCAGAGTTTCTTTTGAGCCTGCTGACCTTGCAAGCTTCGAATATAGCTCCCCTCGGTCTTGACTTGACACTCACTCAGATATTGCCCATGAGTCTCCTTGCCGGCCGTTACAGCATGTACGAGGGTCCTGCTTCCAGATTCAGCCGTCCTTCCAATGAGACTGAAGATAAATCCAACGATTCGCCCCTTGTCATAGTATCGCGAGAGTTCGGTGGCGCACCAGCCAGGATTGACGCAGTTCACCACCACCTGCATGTCACCATGCTTTGAGCCGACAGCAATTCGCTTGGCGAGTTCTCTCTCCCACAGCTGTTCCATGAGCTTTGTAAGCTCGTACCTTCCCATCATATCCGCCGTGCTGGGATCACTAAGAGCCTCACAGATACTCTGGTGCTCTGAAACCGTCAATTGGCCACTTGGGGCAAAGACATGTTGCATGGATCCCACAGCGACAAGGTTCGTGTGATGACCCGTGGTTTTGGCTGTCTCCTTCAGCATCGGGAGCGCCAGAACTGCAAGAAGGAATGGCGAAATGACATTGACAGTCAAGGATTTCTCGTATCCCTCTGCTTTTTCGAATGTCACGGTCTCGATGCCAGCGTTCGCAATGAATCCGTCCAAGCGAGGCAACGAACTGAGACGGCCGCCGAAGGCCAACACAGCTTTGAAGTCTCCGAGCTCGACGTGCCAGACTTCAACCTCGGTTGTACGGGAATTGGTAGAGTTCAGGATGCTTTCCTTTGCTGCTTGGCCTTTGGCTACGTCTCGACAGCCGAGAATGATTTTGGCGGCATTGAGGTTTGCTCTGTGAAGGATAAGATGCTGGGTTCGTGAATGGATTTGTATCTAGTTCTTACAAATGCTTAGCACATTCGAGACCCAGGCCAGTGTTTGCACCTGTAATGACGAATGTTTTGTCCGAGAGGTCAACCTTTGGGACAAATGGCTTCCCAAATATTTGACCGCCGAGGTATTGTTTGATCTCGGAGACGGTTGGCATGACGGTGGTGGATGATTGGATTGGACCAATAATGGAGTAGAGTCTTGATACCTAGGTAGGTACTTTTAATGTCTAGTGCGAGACTTGTGCCTTAGGTAGCCAACAAGGAAGCAAGAATGTCGAAGCTCATATAGTACAGGTAGAAACTCGAACCAGGTCCCTAGGTAACTGTAGCTGCCATGTTCTGCGTCTTATAAGTTGAACTCGGCGTGGCATGCTGACACTAGGGAGTCGGGACATGAGCCAGAAGGCCAGTCGCAATGTGGCATTGACGTTGTCATTGACCTTTGCAGATCTGAGACATGACATCTACATAGAGCTTCCCTCTACCGTTCTACAGTATATTTGATCTGTGAGGGAGCCCATATCAAAAAGTTCAAAACCCACATTCAGGCCCCAGGCCCCTCGTGGGTCTCCACGTCAAAAGCCGCAAAAGCCGCAAAAGCCGGTCGGCGTTTTTCCGACCCGAAGTTGGCATATCAACGACTACCTAGGTACCCTTCGTTACTCAAGTACGGAGTAGGTACCTAACGTACTGGGGGCTCCTGGTCGGTGCTTTGAAGCATAGACCGATGACGTTGTACCCAAAACCACCCGGAAGCTGCAGAGGCCGCAAAGGGCGGACGGCTTGCTTCGCTACCTGATCCGACAAAGTTCAATGTCTACTCTCAAGGCGACACTGCAGTGGTTTGCATCGCGCCATGGCTGGGATGCAGTGCTTCATTAACACATCCATGCTCTCTTCTTCAATGTGCTTTATTTCATTCCATGGTGCATACTCTGCTTCGAAGAGACGTCGTCCAAAATAACATCATTAGTCATTGGTAACGTGATCGGACTCACTTGTTCATTCAGCCACCACCCCTTCGATACTCTTGAGTCGCTCTCTCTCTCTCTTTCTTTCGTAGAAGAAAACCTCGAGGCCATGTAAACACCCGCAACCCTCTGTTCGATTGGATACTGGCTGACCACAATCAACGTCAAGTCAAGTCAGGTCAAAAACATAGACTGCCCAACCATGAGTTCCAAGGATCCTGCCCATTCGCACACCTTCATCATCGCCGCCGCTGCTATCGGGACGATTTTTATAGGATTCGGACTCAATGGCATGCTCCGTCCCGAACAAGCCCTCTCCTTTTTCGGTTTCGACCCGCCAGCTCTGCTTCAAGATAAGAAGGTCGTGAATGCTTTGGTGGTTGTGGAGAGTGCGAGAGACGTTTTCATGGGCTTGGCCATCTATGCTGCTTCTTATCACGGCCATCGCAAAGCGTTGGGCTGGATCGTGATTGCTGCTGGTTTGGTCGCTTTTGTGGATGGTGCTGTCTGTCTCGCTACCGTTGGCCAAGGGCACTGGGTTCACTGGGGTTATGCTCCCGTGGTGACAATCATTGGGGCACTTGGAATTCTGGATTAACTTTGGAAGGCCTTTGCTTGAGGCTATGTGGGGACCAAGTTCCCATAATCACCAAGCTGAAATCGGGCAGTCGTGTGCAGGCTCACAGTCCGCTGGGCTGCCGCAAATACGAACGTTATCTGACAGATCGGGATCAGATGTGTCACCAGACCGGAATGATGGGCTTCGCGCGATTCGCAATCAGAGAGGTACCGCTTTTTGAGAAATACCGCGGCAGCGGAATTGGCAGAGTACATGCGCGCCGAAGCTCCCTTCCTCTTGCTCAGACGAGCGGAAGCTACGAGAAGATAGCTCGCAAAGCCGAAGTAAGGGATTCTCTATTAATTTATCTTATATCCCGGAAAGGCGAGTCGACTCGGATTTAGTATAACAATAAGTAGTCGAGGCCGACATAACCCCAAGGTCATTCGTGACCGCGTCTGTACTTTGGTGCTGCAGCCAGTATATTCACATGCTCAAGGCTAGGCGTGAACAGACACTGGCAGCCACATCCACATGCCGCCCATCATACACTTCATTGCTGCTCTAACGGGATAGGTCTTGGGAATCACGAAAGTGCTTCCAAAATCCTTTTTAAGCCTTCCTCCAGCACGACCTCTTGCACGCTGAACACTATGCGAAACCAACCTGGCTTTTCACTCCCGAAAGTAGCTCCTGAGGCTAGAAAAACTCTTTCATCCAGCAGCGCACGAGATACTAGGTCATCAAGGCTAGATTGCAAGTGACTGGTAGGAGAGCCTGAACATGCAACAGGTGGTGGAGGTTCATGGTGACGTAAATAAAATTCACCTAGATTGACCCAGAAGAAAAAGGCGGCATTGGCTCCTTCCTCATGCTTGATTTGATTTTCAACCACCCATTGCTTCACAAGGAGGAAGTGTCGGAGCAGTTTCCTGTCATTCTCTGCGAGATAGCGATCAATGAATTTGTCGTCATCAAGCATTGTAGAAGCGACATGTTCAGCCAGTGATGACGCGTAAGAGTATTTCGAGACCGGCACCATGGCCGCATGAATGGACGGATTGTGCTGTGAGATAATACAGCCGAGACGAATCCCATTAGCGCCGAAATCCTTTGAGAGGCCCCAAAGGACATGAACTAGGGATGGGTCAAGATTAGATTCAAACGTCGGGATTGATAGAACTGAAGTGAACTGTTCGAGCGTGGGCTCAGTCGACGTTATTGAACCCTCGCCCGAAGTTGTCCGCCACACGCTCAGGGCATATATTTCGTCACTGATGAGGTGAATCTTGTGCTTCTGACACAAAGTCATCAACTTGATCAGCATTGACCTTGAATAGCACCGGCCCAGCGGATTGTGTGGATTGCAGAGCATCAGACCAGCAACGCGTTGTCCCTTGGATCTGCAAGCCGTGACTGCCTCCTCATACGCCGATATAGCATTTTCACTGAGTGGATCAATATCCCCGAACGAGACCGAGACACAGTGCACTCCTGTGCGAAGCTGAATATCGCCAGGAAAGGCGCCATAGTAGGGCCGCCCCAGGAGGATGGCCTCTCCTGGGTCAGCAACAAGGTTTGTCAAGTGCTCGTTAGCAGCTGATATTCCATTCGTTATCGTAACGTGCTCAGCTTCAACAGGTGTGACGGTTTCGAAGTTACGGCTAACAAATCGTGCTACGGATTGCCGTAGGCGTCTACATCCTGATCCGCCGTCCCCGTATGTCAGTCCACTCGATGGTAGATTGCCAATTTGGCGAACGTAGTCAAGCATGGTGGTATGCATCAAAGCATTCTCGGCGACACCTAGAATCACGTAGCCTTGCGGATTCGTCTGGGGGGTCCCAAGGGTCTTTGACAACTTTCCATATCAATAACGTGGGAGCAACCTTTTCCCAGTCCTGGCCACTTTTTGATAAGGCCAACTCGAGCGCTTGGTAGAAAGTCGCAAAATATTAGAGATACACGGCGCTGCTCGAAGTTGTGGAGGGATTTGTCCGCGCTGTATGTTGTGGCAATGATATCGATTTGAGTTGTCCTCTGGACTGCCGTGATTGATGGTATTTTCATGCATATCGACAAAACTTCACATCGTAAATCACGTCAGGAAAAAACGTCGGTTCGGACGAGGGAAGCTCTTCCCCCTGTCAAGTTCAGTGCTCGGGAGTTGGGGACGCTGTTAGACTTTCGACTTGGAGTTTAACTTAACTCGATACATAGCCTAGCGGTAGAGTAGATTATTGCAGTGAGGGAGTAAACAATAGGTAGTTAATAACGCTGCTTCTATAGAAGCCCTCTAGGCAGTTATAACGACTAATTATAGGTATCTAATAAAGCTCTAACTTGGTAAGTGAGGAATATATCGGACTATTAAGTAACGTGTCCAACCTATGTCAGTCTAGGTGATGCTTGGTGAGTACAGGGCGGCGTCACCCTCGTCCTAGAACGGGAGAAAGCACAGGCAGGGCAGTCTTCCCTCACATCTTCCTCCGCAGTTTTTAGCAGCCAGCATCCAACCGCGCACCTTCGTCCTGGTACAATTGATATCTTGTTCGCAACTCTCCTCAAAACACGTCCTGTGCCTCCCACTTCCAACTTACCTCGATTACACTGCTCCTTTCTCTGCTTTCCCTAAATTCATCCCACAATCACCATGCATCGCGGCGGTGGAGGCGGGCGCAAAACCCTTCTTGCTCCCATTCATTTTATCTTCAGTTTGCTCCAAAAGCGCTCTACGGTCTCAATATGGCTCTACGAGAACTTGCGCACGCGGATCGAAGGCAAGATCAGGGTCGGCACATCTTTATCCACCCATCCAACGCAGCTAACTTTTTCCAGGGTTTCGACGAATTCATGAACTTGGTAATTGATGATGCGGTTGAGGTTCAGCTAGCAACAAGAGACGGGCCTGAAAAAAGACGACAACTTGGTGCGCAGTCTTCCATTAGGCTGTTAAAAAATTCCAGACTGACATATATTAGGACAAATATTACTCAAGGGCGACAATGTTTCATTAATTCAATCATTGGACTGAAATTATGAAATATATGCTCGATCTTACTCGCAGAATCTTCAAGTACGAGCTATTGTGGAAACAGACAGGCTCGCTCCAGTACAGTCAGAAATCCGGCTACTCATTCTCAGGATCTGCCGTAATCACTTGATCGATACGCCAGTCGTTGTCGTTGACGGGAATATTTTCACCCACAGGCAGAATCTGTGGCAGAAGCGCCAGACCAACTGAGACAGGAGGACAAAGACAATCAGCGACATGCTCATGCTAGTAAATTCAAGACAAGCCTTACCGAGGGTTGGCATCCGACCGCTAGAATGGCGAGACTCCAGAGTCGTTTTATATGTTTCGAGGTAGCGGTCATAGAAACCTTTGCCATGACCCAGTCGTTGACGGGACTGGTCAAAAGCCACAGCTGGCATAAATATCAACTGGAGCTTAGGATATCCCTCCTGCCTATCTACGGCTCCGTTCAAAACACCTTCTCCCCCAAGAGCATTCCGTCTGTGTTGTATTGACTCTGGTGAAAGCGAAGGAATACCCCAAGCGTCTGGCTTGAGGGAATTGAAGTCCTTCTCGTCTTGCAATTGCATCATGGACATGATCTTGGATTTCGAAGTGCCTTCTGTGTGAAGAAAGGGAATGAAGACCTCCTTCCCATCCTTGAAGGCTTGTAAAACTATATCACGTGTCGACACTTCTCTTCCCGGCATGGACAGAAATATTGCTAATGATTGAGCATTTTGATATGTTGAACTTTGCAATACACGATTCGTGATGACGGTCGCTTTCACCATCAGCTTTGGACTACTCGACCTACTAGTAGCAAGGGCTTCGTACATTGGCGTGTGATCTCATCCGTAGAGAGCTTGTTCAATTTTTCTCGGATGGCTTTGCGAAGAGCAGCCTTCTGTTCTTGTAGATTCTGGTGGTTCGTAGCCATGGTGCGAGTCATCAACACTGCTCTTGACACACGCCGAAACCAAAGTATGGGAGTGCTCATTTGCACATGTCAAGATGATATAGAAATATTCAGATAATAGAGAGAATACGATGTGATGTGTTATTTTAGCATCCTTCCTGCAGTTCCAAAAATGTAGGGTGAGGTCAGAGGAGATCCGCAAGGACCCCCCAATGCCCAATAACGTTGGACATGCCCAGCCCAAGCCTTAACCGAAACCAGTCCCAAGGATCCCAAGAAAGTCACCGAACCCGCCTAAGTCTAGTTAATCAGCCCTACCTAGAAGCCCAGGTACAACCTCTTTGCTGCTTTTTCCATGGGCCATCATGGGTGCATGCCCCAGCGCCTCAGCCTCAATCTGCATCTCTGCATCTCCACCCCAAACTGCGCCGCGTCAACTTTTGTCAGGTCCGTTTCGCCGTCTCATCTCAGGGTGAGCGAAAAGAGGGTCAGACACGAAACACCACCACCACCGACGACAATCAATCGAACAGAACTGAACTGCGATTCTTGTTACTGTTGCTCATCGTCTCTCTCTTTCTCGTCGACATCTGCCCATCCAATCCTCTCCCCTCTATTTCTCTTTCCCGCTAGACATGCAACCATGATCCCCTCGATACAGAACCTCCTCGCCGTGGCCCTGCTTGGGCTGACAGCCCTCCGAGTCGTCGACGCTCAGGATGCAAAACTGGTGGGCACATGGACGACCAAGTCCAAGAAAGTCCTCACCGGGCCCGTGAGTTCCCGCCCTTCCTCTGCTCAGCTCCGTTGTTTGCTACGTGGTTATGACGAGGACTTTCCACTGACCATGCGGCTTGTGACTGGGCTTCCAGGGGTTCTACGATCCCGTCGCCGATAGATTAATCGAGCCTGAGTTCGCGGGCATTTCGTACTCCTTCACGGCCGATGGCTTCTTCGAGTCCGCATATTACAGAGCCATTCCCAATCGTACGTCTTCCTCCCCCTCCACCCCTTAAGGTTGACCACAGCCATCCAACGTCAATTCTAACATTCAAACCCCCAACCTTTTAGCCACAACACCACAATGTCCCTCCTCGATAATGCAATGGCAGCACGGCACCTACTCACTCCCAGGAGACGGGTCGATCGTGATGACGCCGTTCGCCGTGGACGGGCGTCAACTGACATCGTCGCCGTGCCAGTACGACACGGCCATCTACGTGCGCTACAACCAGCCGGAGACGATGAAGCGCTACGAGGTGATCACGGACCCGTTCCACAACGTGCCGCGCCTGAACCTGTTTCGATTCGACGGCGCGCCCCTCCAGCCCATGTACCTGGTCTACAGCCCGCCGCAGATGCTGCCGACACAGACGCTGAACCCGACGGCCACGGCCACCGGTGCCAAAGCCAAGAGAACCCTCGACGGCGGCGACGGCGGATCCCAGCACCCCATCATCGAGCCCCTGAATAAAAACGCCTTGGTCGACCCCGTCAAGCCCCATAACGCCGATACCTGGTGGTGGGCCGGTGTTGGCCTCACGGCCCTTGGCACCGTCATGTACATGATGCCCACGTCATATTGATCTGATTTGATTTTGAAAAAACGATGGATCCAGGGGACGAATCGAACGAACTGTCGGATACACGGGAGTTTGTTCATACCACATGGAACCGGAAAGAGTCGCATTTACAGGGCGCAAGAAAGAGCACTTGTTGATTGGGGTTGGTTGTCCTTGGCGGGTGATTCGAAACTGTTTACAGTCCAGGGCGGCGTTTTTGGTCGATACTTCCTCTGGACACGAAGCGGCCTGCGAATCAGTCATTACTTTCTAGATAGATGTCCACGGGAGGAATCTAATCGTACGAGCAAGGCTTCTGTTTATTTCTCCTCTTCTTTGTCGTGGGTGAAGTGTTGTTCAGGTCGACCCAGTTGTGGCGTCAGAGGACGACGATAGCGGAGAGATGAGGAACAACCGTTCATCTTCAGAGTGGGGATTCTTTGATCTTCATTTTCAATATGTCGCTACGGTATGTATGATATGTGTAGTACGTGAGGTTCTGTCACAGCGATTGGTGTGCTTTTGGTCCCATCGTCAGTTGTCAGTTGGAAAGCTCAACGGCAGTCTGGTGGGGGTGATCGAGTCTTTCCCTCAGGGTGGGATCCGGACGAGCGTTACCGCCACTATCTGATTTCGGGAAAACTCCCCTATTCCTCGTCCTTGTTGGTATGGTGCCCCACGGATGGCTCTACTGACCACTCATACTAATGATGTCTAACTGGCACGTCCGTTGACCTTCCTCAACTTGAGCGCATCAGCATCGACGCCTTTGAGAGTTCGCACCTGAAAAATAGAAGAACCGGATTGGTTAGCCAGTGCTTGTGTCAATCAGAACCTGGAGCGGCTATGCCCAATGTAATGTGCGGCTAGTGAGGCGGAAATTGAAATATGAATAACGATGTTGTACAATTACACATCGGGGATGCGTAGTATGGGATTGTCCAGACACTAGAGTAGGCCGACCAGCCTCTTGAGGTTTACAATCGGTTCGGCGAAACCGGTGATTGTATGACTTACATTAACAGCCCGATTGTCCGCAAAGAAGTTAGGGTCGGTGCTCTTCCCGCCGATACTGGTACCACAGGTCGAGCAGAACGTATGTGCAATACGCTGTTTACCGAATGTGTACTTGGTCATGGAATCAAAGCCACTGATCCACGTGATGTTGGACTCGAGTGGGTAGACCATCAGATAGCCGTTGGTCGCACAGATTGAGCCTTGTGCCACAAAAGTCAGTGAGATGCATTTAGCGTGAAAGCCGAGACGTTGTCCACCCAAGGGAATGGATGTGGGTACATCCACACGACTTGGAAATTCTTCATTCTTTGGCTTCTCTACTTACAATTGCAGCTCGTGACAGGACCGTCTTCAACTGGAGGAGAAAGCTTCATCGTGAATCTTTATCATTATGTCAGCCAGGACTCGCTCGATTTCACGAGGTTCAGGTTGTGATACTTGACTTTTCCACAATGGCAAGACCCATCATAGGTTCGTGACTTCGGTTTGCTTGGACTCGTTGGACTGGTAGGACTGTTGGCAGACATATCGATTTCAGGGGCAAGATGGCCAGGTAGATCGTCTCGTCCTTCGCCCACCATTTTCAGTTACTATTGTATATCGGACAGACATGATCGGGCAGTTGCTCCAAAATTGTTGCTCTCTATGTTTTGTTCGCAATTGCACTTACTCAGTAGTACCGTGGCCTTTGGATAAGGACAATGCTGTCCTCTACACGATTTGATGGAAGCGTGACGTGACCGGTGTATTCACGTGAGGTTTGATACTTGGCGTTTTCAGGTAGATCTGCAGCGACTTTTGGGCTTCCAGAATCCAGTCCTCTGCTCCGAAGAAATTGTTGAGGATGGTATTGTTGCGTCCTATGCTCTCAGTGGTTACCAGTGACCAGTGCGAGCCTGAGAGGGAGTGCAAGAAAGCTCAACATGACAGCTGAATGGTCAAACCAGTGATGCATTAGCCTCGCAGATTGTCAGCTTTGTGATTGGCTTTAAAGCGTGGAGTAGGAATAAAGGAGGGGAAAGGCGGTCCTGTGGGCCTTGATTGACCTTGGCATGCCATGCTCTCTGCCTGGTCCTTTCCTCAGAGTTTGTACGGAGTACGAGTAGCCAACCTCAACTCGGATTGGCATGTAAATTGTACGTCGGTTGGGGTACATGCAAGCCTGAGAGAGTCTGACAGGCTACCGTGTACCGTCCAGGTACACATAAACCAAAGTCATGTGTGAGCAGCCAGCCTAGGATGTTAGTCCTTGGATGACTCAAGGAGCCGAAAGCGGCCGTCTCAACGATTTCAAAAGAACATCTGCTTGGGTGGTTCTCTATAACTGTCGTGTCCGGCACGTATCTGACCTCTTCGGTGCCGATCAAGTATAGCCCTGCCTGAATGGTGGGAATATGTGGATTCAGGAGTATGCATTACTCGAAAGCTGGATGCGGAAAGTGATGGTAAACCTGCCTGAAAGTTCGGATAATTGATGACAGACCCCAGAGTACTCCGTATTTTATATCACCCTTCATTGTTCCTGGGGTGGCAGTAGTTGGCCCGGAGCCGAGAAGAATCTTGTGAAGGATCAGAGTGATCAGACAACAATTGGTCCGTGGGCTAGATGTTATCTTGCAGACCAACTCATTACCAAGAGAATTGAGTTGGTTTCAGCAAAGGTCATATCTTGAATATAGCCGTAAGTAAGCGAGCCTCGTGGCTGACCTTGACGCGTTTGATGCCCCAGAGTCTTCCAGGATCCAATCCATGCCTGGAGGCGACCAATTTTGGCTGTGTGAATCTTGATTCTTGACTTGTCGTCGGATGCAGCCGGCGTGGGGAATGACACGGGATGGTTCCTCAAGGTCCTGGTGGTTCAATGATGGGCAATGATATGATGTACACCTGGGGAACGTCTGCGAACGAATACGTATTTACATTGTCACACACCAACGAACATTGTCCAACCAAAGGAGAGGTCAGTAACAATGTCGGAGGAAGAGAGAGTGAGGCTAACTAAAGAGGCTGATGCCCTTGGGGCACGACTAGGGTCAGGGCACTAACAAAGCGTGGGGAAGGGTTATTGTGTGGTAAGATCAAGATGCCAATAAGAGAGGAATTGGGGGCATGGAATGGAGAGCCCAGGTTGGACATTCAAGCCTGGCTGCCACTGATTGTGACTTGGAAATGGATTTGGGCGACGCGGAGTCCTCGGTACTCGTGGAGTGGAAGTTGGCAGGTGCAACTTGCACTTGCGCGTTCGGTGGTCGCACCTGCAAGACTGAGCGGGAGGGAGGGATGGAATTGAGAAGGAACCTTTCGGTAACTAATGATCGTGCCGCAGCGCTCACCGGGAAGGTACGAATCAAACTCTCATAGCGGGCGCCATCGCCTATCACTTACCTTAACCTACCTTGACATCCCTTAACTTCAGGGCGCCTCCTGCTCCACACATGGCCCGTTCCCTGGAGAAGGCTGCACACTTGCCAACCCTTTTTTAGTTTCGGCATACTCTCTTGGGCAGACCGCACAAGTCTCTATCAAGATGATGATGCAGTTATGATCAATAGTCTTGGCCGTCGTCGAGTTACATTGAACACTTGGGTACCCAGGTAGCCGTTCTGACTGCGGAGTTGGCAATAGACCCGTACTAAAAACCAGTGTTGCTGTGATCCAGTTTGACGATTGGGAATTACGGATGATGTGCACGCAACCACTCGCCTGAGAAGGCCCACCAGCCAGACCTCAGCAGACTCTTTAGACCCCTTTGAGCATTAGCTGCGGTTTCTTTAGGCACGATTCTAGTTCGTACGAGTAGTCCCTCTTCCCTCTGCTCCAAGCACTTGATTCAGGCGCTCGAGCTAGCCCGTACGCCTAGCCAGATCGAACGCACCAGGGCCAGCCCCGCAGTCGATGTTTTTTTCCACACAAAATGTCACGCCAGCGGACCAAGAATCTCTCGTCAGAAACGAATCTACTCCGTACTCTATAAGTCAGGTGGCAGGCAGATGGGGAGGCACTGGGGGACGGATGTCGATAGGCGAACCAAGATCGTCTCCCCCTGTGTCCGTAGCGAGTTGATCTTCCACGTAGCCGTGCGGACTACGGAGTGATCCAAGAAGTGAGTGAAGGAGAATGGTCAATTTGAATAGGGGAAAGCCGGACGAATTGCGATAATGCGAATGATCGATCACAAGCTGAGCCCACGAGAGTATCATGGTCCAGGAGCTGAAGTGCAGCCAACAGGGCTCCCTCGTACCGACTACCTACGGGCTAGTGACTCGACATCCTTAACCGCACTAGTAGACCCAAAAGGCTAGTGCGGGCTTGGCCGGTATCCACCGCCCGCCCCGAGCACCTGCCTGATCAACCACTCACCTCTCACTTCTCACCACCAGAGCCGACCCGGACTTTGTCTGATGGACGACTAAACTCCCCTCCTCTCACTCACCAGACACCCATTGTCTCTCCCACCTCCACCATGATCATCCCGCGCCGCTGAATCTGCACAAACCCCCCGTCCGTCTCGTGTTGGTCGCTGGCCCATGTACTCCGCCATGCGGAAGCCATCACCTCTTACCAGATTCATTTAGCCTGATGCTCTTCCCCATGTTGTTCGCATTGCGAGACTCAGACACAAGCAACCTTACGAGAACTCAAACTGCCCCAGCCAAACCATCGCTTCGTCCCGTCCAAAAGAAAAAGAACCTCTCACTCCAGACCCGTACCCCGACCCTGCAACATCCTCTGACTCGGGAGTCTTGGTCTGCGATTCTCTAGACCTCAAGGACTCCATCTTCTTACATCAGTCAATTCGCCACAGGCCGTGAGCAGCGGCAGAAGCAATACTTCCCTCCACCATCTGCGTCAGAGCCTTGCCCTCCGAGGTCACCTGAACCATCACATTCTGCGCGCCCGGTACCTGCATTGACACTCACGGCCACCACCTCGCCTGTTCGTCTTGATCCCACAGTCCCTTCCAACAACCCCGTCTCCCCCCCCTTCACGCCGCCCACCCCGACTCCGTACTAGGGACTACGCCCTCAGCGCAACGCAATACCCTCCTTCCTTGTCTACCGTACTCTTGGGCCTGCTGTCATTGAGCCACATTCCAGATCCTCCACCATCATCCACAATCAGCACCAGTTCCAGGTCCCAGGTCCTCGACCTCCCTCACTTCGCAACCTAGAACGACTAGCCTCAGGTTAGCAGCGCCATTGCCACACCCTCGACGCAACATTGACCGAGACTTGTCCCCCTACTATTGTAGCCTGGTCATCCATTCCCGTTACTGGCTCTTCTTTCTCGAGCGAAATACTCACCAGACCGTCAACGCACCGCGCAGCCACACATACACACCTACCGTGAGACCCCGGAGCCCTCCGATGATGGTGTTTGTTCAACATCAGCGACTTCCCTAGGCTTTCTGCCCACTGCGCTTCAAGGATCGCTAGGCGCCTTCATCGAGAGCCATTGCAATGGCAGACACAGATGAGATATACAAGACAGAGCATGATGCGGGTGCGGAGGACGGGCCAGTGGGAGACGGTCAGGATGTGCAAGAACTTCCCGAGACGTCGGCGGGTGAACCTCCAAAGAAGCGTCGAAGGGTAGTGAAACCGAATCCTGATAAGAAGTTCGAATGCAAGCATGAGGGATGCGGTAAAAGCTATTCCCGTGCAGAGCATCTCTACAGACATCAGCTCAACCGTAAGTCATACTTTCTCCTCGCCATTTCTACCGCCTAATGCCTTGCTCTAGACACACCAAAGACCATCTATCGTTGCGACTTCCCACAGTGTAACAGATATTTTGTTCGGCAAGATCTGTGTATCCGTCACAGAGAGCGACACACCACTCATGGATCTCAGCTTCACAAACGAGACACCTTCACGCCTTCCTCCGCTGCCCAGCCGGTACAACCACAGCATCAGGTAGGTCAGGGTGGCACCTTTCCTATGGCTGCCCCGAGTTTGAAAAGCCCTTCACTGGAAGGTCAGAAACCGTCTGGTGTGCCGCCCAGCTACCCCAGCGACCCGCAATTCAAACAACCCGCTCAGATGGCTGGCCACACAATCTCACCGTCCGCTGTGTCCGCAGAGCCCCGCTACCAACCTCAGACTCCACAAGGCGTGATGAACACACAGGAGCCATCCTTGCATCGAACAAGTAGCACAAGCAGCAACCCCTTGAGTCCCTCACAGAAACAAGAACTTGTGTCATGGCAGTCTACAGCCCGAAGACAAAGCTTTGCTGGGGATATGGGCAATAATGCTGGGTCATTCAGCCACAACCAATCAAGAGACCGTAGTTCCATCAGTGGCATACCTGAATCTCCTGCTCAGCAGTACTCGAGCACCAACGGCGCCACCAATGGAGCCGTGGTCAGGTCATATTCTGACTCGAATATCAATCGGACCGGTTCAAACGGCTACATGCAGCCAGTTGACATGGTAACAACAGCATACTCCAATGGCTCTTATCAAGCATCCGTCCCCTCGAGAGCAGCTGACGCCGCTTTCGCCGCAGCTGTATCCCACGGTCTTACAACAAATGACCAGTATCCTTACCCACTTCTCAACAACAGCATGTCTACTATCGACATGGGTGCTGGCTATGGGTTTCCCGTCTTCGGTGGGGAAGAGTACACCCACAATCCCTTCGCAGTTGCCGATGACTTCACCCAATGGCTCTTCAATGATGCTAATTCTGGGTCGAACAGTTTTTCGCCACCCAACTATATTCCAGGCTTCAGTGGTCATGAGCCTCAACTAGTAACTCCCTATTTCTCTCAAAGTCCGACCACGACGGCGAATCATACCTTCTCCACGCCTGCCATGCAACATCCCATGAACATCACGAACATCCTCGGTGCAACTGGAAACAGTAATCACATAATGTCTGAGTCCAAAAGGCAAGAACTTATCGAACTCATGTTGGCGCAGTTTATCGAACGCCCTCACGATGCAGTGAAAAAGAGAAAAGATCTGGTGTTCGAAGGTGATCTCGATGCCGATGGACACATTCTGAGTCTGAGAATGATGCACACTTATATAGGATCGTACTGGTACCATCAGCATGCTCAGCTACCTATACTGCACAAGCCCACCTTCTCTGCGGATCGCACACCAAACTTGTTATTGCTCATTGTCGTTGCAATCGGAGCCGCAACGTTGGACAAGGCCCATGGAACCTCCCTGACCGATTCTGCGGCCGAGTTTGCCAATTTCGTCGCCTGGCACATACGATGGGAGATTGTTCGGGATGCTGACTTCAGACCTCCCGCTAAACTCTGGGTTTTTCAGACCCTGTTGCTGATCGAGGTATATGAGAAGATGTATGCTACAAGAGCTCTTCATGAACGAGCACATATACACCACGATTCAACTTTGACCTTGATGCGAAGAGGCAGCTCGCTCCTAGGCCGTTCCGCTTCAGACTCACCACCAAGCTTGCGGGGCGAGCAGGACAATGGCAGAATCGTCGTCCCCTTTACATCCTCAGAACCAACCAAATCTGAAGAGTCATGGCATCGATGGATTACCACCGAGGCAACCCGTCGTGCAGCATTCGGAGCATTTGTCCTTGACTCAATACATGCAACAATGTTCGGACATGCCGCAAAAATGGTTGCGCATGAAATGCGACTACCTTTGCCATGTGACGAAGGTTTGTGGTCAGCCGTCTCCCCCGCTGAGGCGGGTCGGGTACAATCATCGTTGCAGACCAACGGTGTCAAGCCAACTCTATTTTTGGATGGCCTGAAGAGGACTCTAAACGGTCAGAGAGTGCGCACAAATTCTTTTGGTCGCACCATCATCATGGCTGGCTTACTATCTGTATCCTGGCATATGACACAGCGAGATCTGCAAATCTCCTCGCTCGGCCCCCGTACGGCAACCTCGTTTGGAGGCCCGGATAAATGGAAAGGAGTTTTGCTTCGCGCATTCGATAACTGGAAGCGAGACTTCGATGAGGCTCTTGCAGAAGCTACACCAACACCGTCCTCGCCTCTACGCGCTCCAATCACACCTGTTCAAACATTCATCCGTCCTGTCGATGACGAAAACATCTTTGAGTCACGAACCGTTCTACACCATCTTGCCCATATTGCCGCTCATGTTGATGTAGTCGACTGTCAAGTATTTGCTGGAGCAAATCGCCTGTTAGGCAGATCTATAACTCCTAAGGATTATAGCGTAATTCGTGAGAAGATTGAGCGATGGGCAACCAAGGCCTCAGCCCGCGATGCAGCATTTTATGCGCTGAAGTTTATCTCCCAGGTGCTTGTGCCACCCGCCGAAGGTATTGGCGTCGATGGTATCAACAGCCATATATATGGGCACGCGAGCCCGATTCTTCCCCAAGCATTCGAGCACAATCAGTACATCGCTCGAGACGATTTTCTATTGAATCGGCCTTGGGTTCTGTATATCTCGGCACTAGTCGTATGGTGCTACGGCTTCGCTCTCGAAGGCCCCATTCATCCGCCTCCACAGGACTCTGATTTTGAAACGTATCACCAGAAGGAGCGAGACATGCGAGATTACCTGGACCGTGTCGCTGGGGTGCGAGCCCCTGATGATCTAGAGAATGTTAAAGGCAAAAATCGCTGCCTGGGGCTCTTGATGATCCTGAAGGAATCTTTCGAAAGTACGCGTTGGGAGCTTACACATGAGGCCGCAGGACTCTTGGGTAACGCATGCTTGAAACTCCGAGGTCTTGAGGGCAGTAAAATTGTTGGACCTGGAAGCAATGGCATTTCAGATGATTTCCCGAAAAGGCCGCTACATGGCCACACCAATGGTCATACACATTTTGGAACTTATCGAGACCATGGCCGAGGACAGGTTTCGACTACTTTACGCTACTGATATGAAAGCCTCCAGACCATGTTCTCTCGCCTTACCAAACATCGTCTCCTGAGACAAAGGACTGCCATTGAAATGATGGGCACGACAGACATCCCGCTGGATGTGATGCCCGGCATCGAATGCCAAGCACGTTGGAAAATGCAGTCTTATCGATGGGCCATCATTCGTCCCAATGGAACTATGATGAGAAAACGATTTCGTCTCTACGTCTTGTTCCAGCATGATCATTTCGTTTATGATAACGAGTACAGAGTGCTTGTTTGGAAGAACTAGCAATGTTTTCATTCTGAGGTATGCTTTCTTTGATGATTTTGTGCGCGTTCAAGCAGGCGGCCATCTGATACCCAATCTGTTGTTATTTTTGACTCATGGCAAATTTATCATAACTGTGCGTCATATCTTTTGATGACTTTTCAATTCTATGGACAAATCCTATTCCAACATATAAATTTACTTTTGGACAACACCCCCCTGGTCCAGGCTCAAGACAGGGGATCTTTGTCCCCTAATAATTCCAAGCTTGAATTCAGGCTGATTCATGCGGCAATGTTACAGCAACAAACACTGGAAATCCTATATATGTTTCTGATCGATCCTCGCGGTCTGTGTCTCTCGATTTGGAGTGGTAGAACTTCAACAGCTCAACCAGCTCCACATGAGAACTGATGTTGTTCCCTATCAAAGTATCGAATCTCGATTTACGTCTACTACTATCTTTCACTCACTCCTACGCATGCATGGCGATAAGCAAAATCGCAATGGTTCACACTACTCTCCACGAAAGAAATCGGCAGTAGCGAGAAGTGAGCGAACCTCTTGCATCAATGGAACACCTTTCGTACCGAGGGATTTGTCATTCATTACAGTCCTGTCAATGGACTCCAAAAATATTATTCATTACATCGCATGGATCTTGGCTAGCTTCCTCACCGCGAAGTGCCTTCAGCAGCGGTTCTCAACGATACTTCCACGAACGCAAAACCTTGGCTACTTGGGATTCTTATACCAAGTAATCTTTTTTTCCCATCTCACATTTTATAATAGGACGGCATGAGCGGTGGAACTTCGGGCACACAATTGGTTGGAAATTGCACGGAATGGACTCCCCAGAGAGAAAATTGCATGCATTACTTTTAGGGAGGAACACAAACAAGACGATTCCAGATCTCTTGATGATTCATGCATGGATGGGAAGGGTTCTGGAATATTGAGAAAACAGGCAGGCTCATGATGATCAGGTCACAGTTACGAGCCTCTCACGCTAGGAAGCTAAAAATTGCGAACGAGACCAATGTCTAATGTGGGGTGTGGATCGGTGGACTGGTCACTGGAAGGAGCGGGTCACTAGGGTAATGATCATGACTATGGACAGTTACTGGCAGGATACACTTCCTTTTTCCTCTCTAAAGCCTGAATCTAAGGCGTGGAGAAGCTGATCCCAGATGGTTCGGGGGTGGCTGGTGCACACTTATTGACTTGATATTCAATCACAGAGAGGCATGACTGTCATAGTATCATGTACAGCAACTGAGAAGGTGCAAAGAATTGATTACTAGTATTGAACCAGGCTTTTAAACTCGGTCTGTTGTGGATATCAGTTATGGGCCCAAGATTGACTTCGAGTTCCATGCAGCTGAGGGAAAGGGTGGACATGACTGGCCAGCCGTGTTGGTATCCCTCGTCCGAGGCCCTCCCGCCCCCGCCCCCTCCCTAACCTCCATTCCCCATTTTATGCTCGGTCCTAGGTAAGAAAAGATCTGTAAACATACAGTTTGCAAAGTCAAGCACAATCGAGGACGTTTAACGATCAACATAGGTATCAAATTCTTCAATCATGGATTACTGTACTTCCAGCACTTATCTATATATTCGTGGTCGATCCCCCCTGAATTTCACTCTATCACCTCCCATCAGAGAAGACATACTCAAAGATGTCGCAAGCAGCAGCAACAGTAAGAGGAGTCGAGACACGCGGGATCTATTGGGGTGTCCCCACCTACCCAGATAGTCTGAAGGGTCTGAAAGCGATTGTCTTTGGAGCAAATGGCATCTCGGGCAACTACATGGTAAGGGCGCTTTCTCGAGCACCAGAGAGATGGGAACAAGTTGTGGCTTTGTCACGTCGTCCGCCGCTGGCAAACCAAAATATCGCCAGGAATGTCAGGCATGTCCAGGCCGATCTGCTGCAGGATCCGAAGGACATTGCGCGGATCTTGAAAGATGAACGGGTCCAAGCGTGAGTGAATAGATCCTAGCCTGGATACTGCTCGTGGAGGAGGGGTGGCTGACTGGGGGACGCTGGGCAGTGATGTCGTCTTCTTTTTCGCCTATCTACAACCAACCCCCAAGGAGGGTGCTTCGTTATGGTCGAACGCTGAGGAGCTTTGTAAGGTCAACGGTAAGAGTCCATGGTTGATTCGATCAGACTGAGGGTTGAGTCAATGCAGCTCCACAGAGCTGACTTGATTCCATGTGGGCAGGTCAACTGCTTCAAAACTGTCTCGACGCTCTCGAACTAGCATCCATCCGACCGAAGAGATTCCTCCTCCAGACGGGAGCGAAATACTACGGCGGTGGACTTGCAGTGCCCGCCCTCGAGTCTGACCCACGCATCGCAGAGCCAAATTTCTACTACGTGCAAGAAGACCTGTTGGCCGAGTACTCGCGCAGCACCGGCGTGCAGTGGAATGTCGTGCGACCGGCCTTCATCATCGGCGCGGTGGAAGACGCCGCCATGAACTCGGTCTATCCGCTGGCGGTCTACGCGGCGGTGCAGAAACACAAAGGCGAAAAGCTCATCTGGCCTGGTAATTTCGCCGCCTGGGAACGCGAGGTCGTCCAGTCAAGCGCCTGGCTCAACAGCTACCTGTCGGAGTTTGTCACGCTGAATGAACAAGCCGGGAACCAGGCGTTCAACGCCGCTGATGCGAGCTACTTCACCTATGGCGGACTGTGGGTGGAGCTGGCTGCCTGGTATGGAATCGAGTACACGCTGCCAGACGTTGGGACCGAAGGGTTCCAGGAACTTTCATTGGAATTCAAGAAAAACATGAGGTATACATACATGAACCCGCTCTTTTGCTTGGTTTTTTTTTGTTTTTCCAAAGAAAACAGAATTGAATTGTACTGACGTGGAAATCAGCTTCGCTCCGACGCCTATCCTAAAATTCAAATTCAGCTTTGTCGAGTGGGCTCAGAGGCCGGAGAACAAGCAAGCGTGGAAAGAGCTCGTGGATAAGCATGGTTTGAAGGGGAATCCTTTTGGGGATAATCTTCAACGGATCTTCGAGTTCTTGGACTTTGCGATGCTCCCTCCATTCCCTTTTACGCTGAGTATGACCAAAGCCAGGAAATTGGGTTGGAATGGCTCTGTGGACCCTGTTCTGTCTCATCGCGAAGTCATCGAAGAGTTTGTCGCGATGAAGATGGTCCCGCCGTTGACGTAGGTTGATAAAATACACTTTCTCAAAATATGTCTGCTCGTTTATTTCTGAACAGGTCTACCCGGGAATCCCTGCTAAATATTGTTCATGTTGAAATTCCACCCAACTTGCCAAGGTATCGTTTGAGATCCCTCATACTTGGCTGATCAAACTGGCAGGGGGAACTATTATCGCTGGAACCTGAGCGTTTGTCAAGGCGTCCAGAATTCTTACTGTCAAGCATGACTTGTGCGAGTAGCCAGAATTGTAAAGCGTCTTTCATGAAGCCGGTTTGCTTCCACCGTTCTCCTTGAACACTGCCGTTCTCCAATGGCTGAGCGGGAGTGCCGAAGAGTTCTTGAAATCTCATTAACTCGCGCAACATCCATATCCTCCTCCAATTACGCATTATGTTCAACACAGCCGAGGCTTGATCGAATGGAAAGATCGAGTTTCGTATGTAGAAGACGGTCGAGTGCAAGGCTTAGTCAACAGGTTAGCAGGAAGGTCCATAAAAATGGGTCTGGCCGTGTTATTTATCAATGAACCATACATACCTGAGGTAAGTACAAACAGATTCAGGTCCCCGAATTGTGTGAACATCTGCTGTGTTTCAGAGTCCAAGTCGTTCCGACTCAATACTTGAACTGCATCTGCAATGGACATGCGCCGTCCTTTCCACAGTGGATGTGAGATCCAGGCGAGAAGGTGATGGAGACATTCTGACTCAGTAGTGGCCTGGAAACAGGCTTCTGGACAGACCAAGTCTGCCTGTATCTCTGGCACCATGACCCTCGGTACCGAGTTATAGATGATGATGAATCCGCTGTCGAGAACGACCATATATGTAAGAGTGCTGATATTGACATATTAGCGACATGTGGTTCTTTGGATGCAGTGTGTCACATATTTCCATACCGAATGAGCTCCTCTTTCAAAATGAATTCTTTCCAATCAAAAGTGTCCTCTGTCACATATTGCAGGTCCGTGTGCCGACCATTCTGGAAGCCAAGTTCCCGTGCCATCTATTTGCACATTAGAGAACACATGCTGACGGTTCGAGTCGAACTTACAGCAACAACCTCATTGAAACGACCCCGCCTTATCCTTCGTCGTGCGGCATGGTTGCCCTCGAATGTCTGATATATGCACATGGCATGTGCAGCCTGCAGTGCTCGCAGTCGCTTTTCCAGACAAGCCCCGTTCAGGGCGGAATATACCGTGTTGCTTCCGAAAAACTCGTCCTCAAACACCATCGCCTCTACAGCGTCAGCCCAGTACCGAGCAAGCTCTCGTGTGGCCGCGTCGGGTGAATAGCTGGCAGCCAGAAGCACGAGGCTAGCGACCAGGCCAGTTGATGCTATTGAGATCTGGAAGGTCGCCCGGTGTAACACCGGCCAGTGGATGTACCAAGTGCTCCAGTACTCTTGCGTGAACTTCTTCAGGCTGCTCGGGCCGAATAATGCAAAGCATTCGTCTGTGAGTTGAGAGGTCCCTTGTTGTGGATATGAACCCTGACCTGTTCGCCGCTGGCTGATTTCGCTTCTCAACCTTGATAAGATCTCGTTGCTCACTCGCGAGCATTCATCGTATTCTGTTGACAGTGATGGCTCCGATGAAGCAGTCCAGGGCTCAGTGGCTTCCATCGAGTTCTGAGTGTTCTGAAGTGTGTCGACTTCGGGGTTCTCGTCGATCAAATTACATGCTTCGTACGCGCACTGGGAGCTCCTGTCACCAAGACCGAGGTCCGCAAGCGAAGTACACGATGTAGTTGCGCCTTCGGCATCCATCATGGTAATACAGTCAGGGAGACCCCATGTGAGTAGTTGACCCCCATCATGCCCAGAATTTCCCCTTGTAGGAGGTTTAGATGACACAGGTATCGCGAATTCAGGGTCGAAAATTCCAGTAATGGCAAAGCTTGAGAGAATGCGAATGAATATGGGTAGTGACTGAGTTGCACCGCCACGTATAGATTCTTCGTAGGAGTCTGATTCCATCTGGAGGATCAAATGTTCCCAGGATGGTGCAGGCGAGAGGTCAATGTGTTGATCCGTAATATATATCTCTGGCTGGTCATGCTCGTGTCCATCTTCCAAGCTTGAGGCCAGATCAGGAAGTTCGGGCACAGTCTTCTGGGAGAGATTCTTTAGACTTTTATCATAAGGCAAGCAAGTTTCGGTGTGACGCCGAAGAATGTCTCTGATGCACAGATGTTGGGTCAGGTATCTCTCAACATGAAAGTTGCTTTCTGAGAAGCGCAAATTACCTTCGATTGAAACCTCTTCTACATCTCTTGCACACAAAGCGGCGAAGGTCAGAGTCTGAATCTTCGTTAGTGCAAGTTAACTATCTAGAACCAGGCATCGGTCGCCAACCGGGATCGATGGGTAGAAGGGGACTTGAACCTGGTTGGTCAGGTTGACTTACGACTTCCCATATGGCGTCTTAAATGCTCCTTACGGCTAAATTTGTGATGGCAGATATGACACAGGTGGGGCTCCATGGTTAAAATGGTGGTTCGCAGCAAGCTCGAATAAAGCCCTTTGGTAGGTCTAGGAGGCTGTTATCGAGTGCTGGCACTGCAGCAACCCAAGCATACTCGAGACTGGTTACTAGCGAGTGATAGAATGGATATGAATGATGAGCAAGAGTCCTTGACTTCTCCCTCCGATATTCCGACTCCAGTAATCTCGTTCCTGGAAGACGGTGGGAGTTGTCAATTGCTGCCTCGGCTGGCGAGGAGGTGAATCAAGGTCAGCTTCCAGAAATCTGACTCTAGTGAACCATACGTGCTTTCTAACTCAATCTAATTAGTAATTACCTGTCTGGCTGTTTTAAATGTCCGGACGAACGATATCCGATGGAGCGAGTATGTGTCCGCGCAATCCCGAATTATGGGCGCGGGGGCGGGGGCGGGGTTCTGGGGAAATGCATCGGTGAAGGCTCGCGTCTCAGATGATGTACTTCGATATGTATTATATACGGCCTCGGTCAAAGATGATGCTTTTTCCACAGTGAGCTACCTATATTCGCTCATTATGCAACATCAAGTCCAAAGCTGCCTTCATCGTGAATAGTCAATATCGTCACCACTATCGTCATCATCGTTCTCCGTGGTCTCTTCATTCTTCCTGTTCGAGTTCCGTTCATCATCGTCGCCACCGTCATCGTCGCTCTCAGGCGGTTCTTCATTCCTGCTCTCCGAGTTCCGTTCAACATTGTCATCATCGCTCTCAATGGGTTCTTCACTCCTGCTCTCCGGTTCCCATGCAACGTTTGATCTGCTGCTTTCCGATCTCCGTTCAAGTTTCGCCGCCCAGCCGCCTAACCTCCGTCCGCTGCATTCCAGGCGACCTCCAATCTCCTCCAACTTCGCGCCATACTCGGAAGAAATCGTGGTCGACTTCGTGTATTCAGCCTCCATTGATCGATATGCCTCATCTGCCTCCTGGGTTGCTTCTCGGCGCTGGTTGGACTCATTATCCTTCGTATCCCAGATGCGACTAAATGCATTGAATGGCTGACGAGAAAGTGTTTAGTGAGTCTCGCAGATGAAGAGGTCATGTAGGGAAGAGGACAGTCGCTCACATGGTTGCTTTGATCCCCATCGCGTCCTGCCATGCTGTCCCCACGCCCTTCCTCAGCACGCCTCATTTCCAAGTCTCTTTTCTCACCACTCTGACGAAATTTGAATTCGGACTCTTGCTGGTTATGGTATATCTTATTTCGTGCGTTGACGATTTGTTGCTGCATTTCATAGCAAGCCTTGGTAAGGTCGCGCACCTGTGACTCAGTCACTTTTGGAGTACTTGTGTCCTGGTCCAATTTCTCAAGGGTATCGGATGCCCGCCTTTGAGCCTTCTCGGCCTCATCGATGATGCGTTGTACTTCGGTTCTCTCCATTGTTGCTGCACTGCACGATCTCTCAAGCTTGTGCCGTGTGAGTTACGCAGTGGTCGAACAGAGATACTTACGTCTTGTAGCTCTGAAAGTCCTAGGGAACGGCGGTAATTGAAAAGTAGATTCCCAGGGACAGAGACACGCCCGATGTTCATTTTGAAGTCCATTCTCAGATCGAGATCGGTCTAGAGTCTGCACTTCGCTTGAGAAAAGCGCCATGAATGCAATGGGGTGGGCTATTTCGAACAAATGCTTAGAGTTCATTCTGGAGTTGTGCTGCGCATTTGCGCCGCGGGTCTAGAATTCGTCTGTGTCGTGGACTTGGTGTGCCTCCGGTCTTGGAATTGTTGAACGTGGCTGGCTGAGGTTTGACATTTGTACCCGCCGCCATGTTCAAATGCTCCCAAAGGACTGCCAACCAAGGACATTGATGTTAAAAAATGTGAAGTACTTACTCGAATATGTGCTCGGGTCTCCAAACTGTCTTAGATATGCTAGCTCCTCCGGAAGGTATACATGATTGATGTTGTTCCACTCGACATTCTCGCCACAATTATTCTTCGACTTATCTGTGCAAACCGCTTAGTGATCCATGAGCTGTGGACTCGAAAGTTTTTGGGTGTAGGCCGCATTTGAGGCGAAAGATACATGTCGATCCTCGACTAAAGTAACAGAACGGTGGGAACAGCACTTTGCGCTTGACAATGTTGAGAAATGAGTACATAATGCAGTTCAGCTCATATCAATTGGTTTACTTGATCCCTCCTGCATCCCGTTCAGCTAAGCAAAACATCTCTCAACAGTTGAAAGCCTGTATTGAATACTTCATCCAAGTCGTCTAGAGGATTGGAACGCAGTTTTAAATGCCCGTAACCTTCGCCAGGCCTGTCATACGTTAGGCTCAAATCGAAAATCAAGTATTCTATGAGAACGTTCTCCATTGTATGTAGCTAACTATTGGGCTGATATCGATGCGTGTCTTAAGTGAAGGGGAGCTCAAGAACGCGCCTACAACAGCTCATTCAATTCTTCGATGGTTCTCTTGACCTTGCTCCGACAGTCGCTCAAATTGGTTGCCTTTTGAGAAAGATTTATGGCCTCAGGGTTCCTATTTCCACGATACTCTTCTCTCTCCATAAACGATCGGTGAGCATTTGAGTGTGACCCCTTCAAGCGTTCCATCGCTTCGCGGATCGAGTCACCGCCGCCGCCGCCACGACGGAACATGGAGTCGTCAGGCTAGAAATCGGAGTCAGTCTTTCAAACTTGGACATCCCAATCAACGATCACTGGATCTAGATGAGATAGCAACTGGGGCCCCTCACATTCTCTTGTCTCTGTTGCAGCCTCCGCATGTCCTCTTTGAAACCGCCATCAGAGTAGGCCAGCTCGTTTTGCATTCGAGCGCGGTTTTGGTCGGGACGGAGAATACCATCGGGCTCAAGAACACTGAGCTCTTTGTTGATCTTCTTATCGGCATCGTCAATTGGCGAAAACAAATCTTCGCATTCTTTGACACACTGACGCAACTGCGCAGCATCTGGGGCAGGTCTCTTCCCAAGAAGACCTCGAGCACGGTCGAGCGTCGAATGAGCACGTTCGAGAACGGACTGCGCCTCGGTACTTGCCATTGTCGAGGTTATTTGAAGATTTTCCCTACCCTACCATCAATTTAAGATACAGTTGGTTGCGTCGACTAATACTGACTAGGAGTGTTGGCGATATCGCTCGTAGACCTGTTGATAGCTACAATAATCCGCTTTCGAGTACAACGCGTTTTGGCAGGATATGCTACACCAACAATCTGTTGTTCTTTCTGTTCCTTCGTCGAATAAAGGCAACAGAAGGAAATGGAGAGATTGTGATTACCTTGACTGATATATGACTCAAATTCATCTTACGGGAGAGATCGTTCAATCCCACATCTCGTTCAAAAAAGGACCTTTGTGGGGTATATTGCACCACCTGCAAAGTCAAGAATTCGCGGCTGCAGTAGTAACATGTCTCGTCCCAAGGTCTAGAACTCAAGGAATTTGCGCCAAGTGCATCGAACTCAGCTTGATTGTGGTCTGAACCACGGGAGCATCAGCGATGGCGATGGCCGACAGATAGATCGAGGTCTCCACGTGGTCTTTATGCTTCGGTCGCGCCGTCCGTTGGAGACTTCTTGTTCTCCAGCTTGCCCTGGCGGCTTCTGCTCATACGCAGTGGCAAGGAAAGAAGCTTGGCGAAGGGCATCTAGATTGGCCGACTGGATGCTGCCCGCTTTGCGCCGCACCGTCTTCACGAAAGATGATGTGGACGAGGTAGATCAAGGATCCGAATTGAGAATGTCTCGCTTAAAAAGGTTCTAAAACAAGCCGTGTTAGAAAGCCATTCGTGCTGGATTGGGAAGTCCCTATCCTGGGACCCACCCAGGTCGGAGATGAATACGAGGTCAGATATATGATCCCTCGAGCTCAGCGACAACTCACTCTACCTAGGTAGTTAGCTGAGCCAAGAGACGATGGCTCCAGATTGATCTGTATCTCTTGCTTTGACTAAGGGCAACAAATGCAGCGATTATTCAAACTTGGCTATGGAAAACTCTGACATTTCATTGGGTCCAGGCACATTTCGATCTTTGCGTAATTTACACACTGCACAAGAATACCATTGCTACCAGGCTTACCACTGTTCGAGTGTGAGCCCATTGAGCCAGTCAGCAGCTGTCATGCTGTGCTCCGAGCTGGTAAGCCACAAGTCCACAAGCACTGAAGCTGGAGGCTGGTTCGTTGATCTGTGCGCCTGTTCCGAAGAGCTGAGGTTGTGAAACCCAGTGGTTGCGTTGGTCTAGTCCCTATCATAGAAATGACAACAAGTGACCAAACAAGCGTCTCAGTGGAGATGAGAGCTGGATAGAAAAGTAGAGTGCTTTTAAAGTCGACTACGATATACATAGTAAAGAGACGGAGACACGAGATGCATCAAACTCCATGCAGCAAGCGATCCCTGCCTGGAAATCCCTCCTCTTCTGTATAACGTGCACCGGTGCACCCCAATAATTGTACATTGTTGTTGACAGTACAAGGATAGTATTCCAACAGTAGCACATTGCCCTCCTGTGGGCTTGTGTACACTCCAGTGCACAACCAAAAACTGATTCAGTGACTAAGAGTCTGCTAGCGGCATGGAATAATGTGCTTTTGCTGCTGCCCTTCTGCATGCGTCCGGCGAGACACTGAACTCAGCAAGGCGTATGATCTCCCAGGCAAGGTTGTCCCGTTCCCTCAGTTGATGTGAAGAGGTTGATGCTTTTAAATGATGGTCTTATCCTGATCATGACGTGCTACAATACGTTCGGCCCTTCCTATCAGCTCCTCGTAGACGGTCCATGCGAGCGCGGAGCTCAAAGCCTTTCTTCCCATTCGGAGCCCCAGGCCATCGAAGAAACTTTTTAACCCATCTTCCTTGATCATCAATCTCGTGGCCTTGAGCATGTTCCCGTACTTTTGAGGCATGAGTTGCAAGCGAGTTTTCACGGCATCGAACGGATTTGTCACACCAGTGGCTAGTCCCGCAGCGAGGACGCCACTCGAAGCATTGATCGTGGCACTAGACCCTGAAGACCTTGTCGACTGGTCGGCCTCAGTAGATGCCAGCCTGTTGAGGCGAACTTTGGTGGCTTCGTAGAACAGCACATACAATCCAGCATACGGAGCATCCCGTACGGCAGTCGCACCGAAGCCGGTGAAGAATCCCCTCAGACCCTCCTGTGCGAAAATAGACCTTGCGGCAGAGCTGATTGATTTATATGCGTAAAAATCGGACTCATATCGGACCTTGATTACCGTTACAGGCATCAACACAAAACCTGCAAACACTCGAGCTGTAGCCCCTGTGAACAGATTCTGAATATTGGACAACTTCGGCAAAACAGAACTGCTCCTGGCCGAAGGTGCAAGCATTCCACTGCTGAGGTTTCTTTGTGCTGTTTCATTTGCCACTACCTGTCGCAGGGAGCTGAGGGTTGTGAAATAGAGAGCAGAACCAAATCCAGTCCGCAAAGCGGAAGGTAGGGTACCTCGCCATAGGCTCGCGATGGGGTGAGGACCAGATAGAATGGATCGCAAGACAGGAACGAGGGAGGAAGACCGGCTCTGTTGCACTCGAGTCTTGAGAAGGTCGGCCGGCTGGAGTAGAACCGCACTGGAGAGACCAGAGGTCAGACCGGCGAGGAAGTGAAAGGTGGGATGGGCCTTCTTAGAGCTTGCGCTTCCATTGGACATGATCTAGAAAGTCCCGGACAAATTATTGTCGCAATATTGGTGAACAGAATGGGAGTAATAGGATTGATGTATGTCTTGGGAGGAACTCTGATGACCGGCGCATGACTGTTGGTACTTTGAGAAAGATGACCTCGCGTCTCAAACACGCAGGCGTTAAAGTACTCAAGACAGTCTAGAATAATGAAGCTGGTGGGCAAGCATGGTGTCGGCGGTGGTGGGTGGTTAACCCATACGAGTACGAGTGAAATCGAGCGTGACGCGAAAAATGGAAGCTTGCAATGAAGTCATCCTTTGAGAAGGAGCCGAGGAATCCCGCCACGTGACACTCATCGCTACCGGAGTGGAATAATGTTCATTCCGATCACTATTGGTCTAGGAGGCATTTTTGTACAAATAATGCTGTGGACAGGCGCTGGACTCTGAATATTGAGAGGCAGCTTAGCTCCCGGCACGGCCAGTTTGAGGGGGTTTCTCCTCAATCGACGCCATCAACTTGTACCTCACTCTCAGTTGTAAGCCGTAACAGGTGACAAGAGGGGGGAATTGTTTCGTGACTCTTGATCTCTCACAAATCCCGGCGACCTCCATCACATTCGTCGGATTTCTGACGCAATCCAATCTCGCCTCGTTCTTCGTCCAATACAGCTATCCTGTTTCCCATGAAAGGCAAGGGTCAGTCAAAGTCAGTTACCCAAATGCGCTTTTGGGACGACCACTTTCAGCTCCTCGGCCTCGAGTCGATTCACAGGCTCTGGGGGCGAAGATTTGTAGATTTGAGATAGGAGCGAGAATGTCACTCGCCGTTCTGGCCATCGTGAACCCGGTTGCACGGTTCTGCTTCTTCGGCGTGTTAATGTGCCGGTATACCCTTGATCGAAGGTGCACCAGTTGCGAGTGGAGATAGGCATCTCTAACATTGGTACTCGTGGCTCAATCATCATTGCTTTCCTCATAACCTTCGGTCTTCATCTCGTTGAGTCCAAGGTCGTCCATCTCTTCCTCGGATCTCTCGTACTCTTCAGTAGTAATCTGAGGGTCATCTCCATCGTCCACATTCTTCTGCACAAACGAGTTGGCCAATGGATCCTCCAGTGTGATTGAGTACGGGAATTCGGCTTTGATTGCGCGGTCCAACGTATCGAAAAATTTATCCCATCTTGTCTTGGTGTCAGAAGTCATAGAGTCCCCGCCGGCGAGATCCTCGTTTCCAACATCAAATATCTGGCCCCGTAGTTGATCTCGCACTTGGGTCAATAATCCTTCTACTGTCGTGAAGCGTCCACCAAGTGTACCAGGTTGCACTTCGAGGCCCAGATCCAAACTGCGCAGTGCACAAGACTCCGACTTCAGGATGTCTCTGGACATGTCTTCCAAAGTCTTGATTGCAAGGGTGATTCTTTTGCCTTTCTCAGGAATCTCACCACCCGTTTTGACGTCGCTTGTCCGGTATCCGCAGTGGTCACAGACCGTGGCAATAATGATGACCTCTTTGAAGTGCGGAATATTGGTCTTCTTCATATTGACCGTACATGGTTTGGAGCATGCCGGACACTCTGCATGTAATTCGTATACCTCATCGTCAACGATGTCAACTCCTTCCATACCGCCACCATCGGGGCTGGCTTGATCATCCTCGGTCGCGAGCCCGAGCTGAACATTCTGAGCGTGGCTACGAAGGTAATCATGGCGGCTGTACTTGGAATCCTTGTCCGACGGAGAAGGCTCAATGAACGAGTTACCGGAAATGTCGTCCAGGGACACGGTGAAGGGGAAAGCTGTACCGTCCAACATAGCTGTGAGTTTCTGGATGATGCCATCCAAGGCCGTATAAAGATCAGGATTGGCTTCCTTTCGCGCCGGCTGATCGTAGGCCAAATCCGTCTGAATCTTGGATATCATGCTTTCGAGATTGGTGAATTGTCCGGGAGCTGAAGGCATTTCCAGGTCGAGGTCTTCGACACGGAAGACACCCGTGTCACTTCGTACGACTTGCCGTTGAAAATCCTTTGTGTCTTCTAACTTGAAAGTGAATTTGGATCCCTTCTCTTGAATTTGTCCTGCGCTCTTGACGGTATTGTTTCTCCATCCACAGTGGTCACACGTAAAGGACTCGAGTAGTATCTCTTTGAAGAAAGGGATCTTGATCGGAAGAATTCGTGTCATGCCCTGGTAAAGTCAGCGGTTGCAGCGATAGTTATTTGGGGGCGTCCTCACATTATCACGACAATTCATACATAAACTTTCAATCTCATACACTCCCGTCTCGTTAGGGTCGGCGTGGAGGACGCCGGCAGAGTGATTTTCAGCCATGATACTTGGTGACTAGTCCTCTGCAAATAGGGCTCCAAGTAATCAAATGGGATATCTTGGTGAATTATCCCAGACGTAAGATATGGGCGCGTGGGAAGGCTAATGTGGTCTTGGTGGGGTGTCGATTCATCCCGCAGGAGAGGCTTCTGGAAACAAAATTTTTGGACGACGCAGAATCAGATCAACGCCTGCCAAGCCGGGAAAGGCTGCAGCGTGCATGAAGCCTGAGGATCAAGCTCGAGGTGGGGGAGACCCGGGCCTCTCGGGCCTGCCCAGGGAAGTACTTCAGGCTTCAAGCAAGCCAAACGGCGCCTGATCCACCAGTTCCAGGTCAGTCTTGCCATTGGTTTTCAGCCTACTTCCTCATCAAGTCCATCAGACTCAGTCCTTGCGTTGTCTTGTTCTGGGAGCTGCGGTTCAGAAGACTTTGCAAACCCTCACGATCTTTGCGCGCTTTCGCTCTTTGCTTACTGCTCAATGTCTTGGTTGGTTTCTCAGGAACAGGTTCAAGTCCTGGCTGGGCAGCTTGTTGGACAGTTGGGCCGACCACATTTGAAAACATTGTTTTAGTCTTCGTTTTGAGCGGATAGGTGACAGTATCTTTGTTGACTCTATGACATACTTCGCATTTCAAATAGCGAATCTTCTGTTGAGGTTTTGCTTCTCTGCCTTTTAATTTGGGAGCTGACTTTGGCTTACCTCGAGCCAGACTGATGGTCGTAGTCCAACCAGGCAATAAGTGGCTTCCACATGCAGAGCAGCTGATTTTCCTCGTGTCTTTGAAATGCTCAGACTGTGCTCCTTGTGCTCTTAGATATCGTGAGGTAGATGTGCTAGATAGGAACAGAGCATCTGATGAGTTTTGCAAGAATCTGGCACGCAGCGCTTGTGCACTGGCCATCTGCGATGCCGTCTCAGCCATTGGAATCAAACTCCGTCAGCAACGTCCTGGTCTCATTGCAGCCATTGTTGGTCCCTGTCAGATGCCAGTGGTGGACTTCGGACATGATGAGGACAGCAGAACTGTGAAATGGAAGAAGCAGTGGTCCTCTTTTTGCCTCAGATTGTCCCTGCCAAGACCCAATATCAGTCAGGCTCCGCTCCGCATCCAACAACTTTCCACCGTCCACTGAGTACCACTAAGGGCTTCACAATGAGTGCTATTAAGGGGACTCAGAATTCAGTCCTGTTCACAGATCTCGGCGGTTAATATCATCATTAGTGCTAGGATTGCCTCTCGGCACACGAGCTAACCTCTTTCAACTTATTCCTAGCTGCACGACTTTGATTTTTCTTTCTTTTCTTCTCCCAGCATCATCTCCAGTCGCAAATGACACTCCGCAAACAGACCCATTTGTCCAAAAGCACCACTGTGGTCTAAGCGCTGCGACAGCAATATGGCACTCGTCGAAGAAGCGAAGACTGGTGGGATTCGCCTGGCGGTTGAAGGCTGTGTAAGTCAACCTACCCAAATCTGAGGAACTCTACTCTGACATTCGCCTCCTCGCAGGGCCATGGAACTCTTCACAATATATATACTACTGTTGAAGAGCGTTGCAAGTTCAGAGGCTGGGATGGGGTTGATTTACTCATCATTGGTGGCGATTTTCAGGTATCTTTGTTCCAATCTCGGTGTGAGTCTCATTCACTTACAACATTCCAGGCTGTGAGGAATCAATACGATCTCAATGTGACCTCAATGCCCCAGAAGTACCGTCGCATGGCCGATTTCCACGAGTACTACAGCGGTGCTGTGGTTGCGCCATATCTGACCATTTTCATTGGTGGCAACCACGAGGCAAGCAATCACCTGTTCGAACTGTACTATGGTGGTTGGGTCGCTCCCAATATCTACTACCTCGGCGCTGCAAATGTCCTACAATTTGGGCCACTCCGGATCGCTGGTCTGACTGGAATCTGGAAAGGATATGACTACAACAAGCCTCACTTCGAACGCCTACCATACAACCAAGAAGAAATCGGTAGTATCTATCACGTCCGCGAGCTGGACACTAGAAAATTGCTATCTCTCCGTTCCCAAGTCGACATTGGGCTTTCACATGATTGGCCACAGGCTATTGAGATGCATGGAGACTATCAACGTCTGTTCAAGTACAAGAGCTTTCTCGAGCCTGATTCAAGATCAGGAAAGCTGGGAAGTGTTGCTGCAAAGCGATGCTTAGATCATCTTCGTCCGCCATACTGGTTCTCTGCCCATCTCCATACAAGATTCGTCGCTACCGTCAACCATGGCAACAATCAAGAAATCCCTCATGCTGTGACCAATGATGCACGCAGCATTGCCTCTCAGTCCAGTCTCAACAGCATGAACGCAAACAAACAACAGGGTGTTGCGCCCAGTCCACGATCCGCTTTCAAGAATGTGGATCAGCAGCGTGTCTCAGCATGGCAACAATTTGGGGTTGCTGCAAAGAAAGCTGACGCTGAAGAGGCTGATCAAATCAAGCGGGAGCATGCAGCACGTCGTGGGGAAGAGGAGCGTACCGGAATCCGTCAGGGTCCTCAGTACGACTTTAATGAAACCTTTCATCAGGTTAAAGGCGATGGCACCTTGGAACGCACTTTGATCAGTACGACGAATCAACAAGTCCGCAATCGCGATCTTCCACAGAGCCCAGAACCTATATCTAATCTCGATGGCTGTGGGTTCTCCAGACCAATCAAGCGCCAACGAGTCGTCAGCCCCAATGCCTCCGACAGACAAAATCTCACAAGCCCAGAGACTGTACAAGACACTCAGGTTGGCGATGCTGTTGCCACAAGCCACCCCCAGGTACATACTAATCCTGATGCCATTGACATCGAAATAAGCGACGAGAGTGACTCTGGAGTCAGAGTCAATGATAAAGTTGCTGATGCGGCGCGTTCTTCTGTCAAATTCACAAATCCTGATGCAATTGACATCGATATGAGTGATTCAAGTGACGATGGTGCTGAAGCCGAAGGCGGAGGTGCAGAACCGACCGGAAAAGCTCCCACAGCCGCCAACTCTTCCACGACCTTGAGTGGAACTGAACAAGCCAAATCGAAGACTATCTCTTTGAACATGTCAGAAGCAAGCGAAGATGGAGGCGTTAAGCTCAGTCCTTCCGTATCCGTCTTCGACTCCACGCTGCAACCGAGCCAGATATCCACATCCGACAGTCAAGCCAGCAAGGAGAGCATCATCCCCTCCAGGCGCTCATCTGACTCTGAATTAAACCCAGAAGCCAAATCCTTCACACCAAAGGCATCAACCGCCTCATTGAGCGCTCCTGAAACCGTACCACAACCCAGCGTTGAAGAACCAGCAGAAACAAAGGTCGAGGAAAGTGAAGTTTCAGAAGAGATGCGTGCCCAGCTGGCCGCCCTTTCCAGCAATTTCACCCAACGCGAAGAGCCCAAGATTTCAGCATCTCTTCCCTTCCCAGAGGACATCACCAACAAGACCACACACTTCCTCGCCTTGTCCAAATGCGAATCAAACCAAGAATTCCTCGAGCTCATGGAAGTCAGCTCACTCACCAAGCCAGATGCAGAAATCAAGCGACCCCTCAAACTCTCATACGACCCAGAATGGCTTGCCATCCAACGAGTCTTCGCACCCGAATTGACCCTCGGCGGCACCAGCAACGACCGAATCCCCCCACATCGCGGCGACACATACTACCACGAACAGATCGTGAAGGAACAAGCCTGGATCACCGAGCACGTCGTCAACGCCGGCCGTCTCGAGGTCCCGGAGAACTTCACCCACACCGCACCCATGTACGACCCCGAAATCCATGTCGACAGCACCGACATGCCGCGCGAAGTGACCAACCCTCAAACCTCGGCGTTCTGCCAACTCATCGGCATCGAAAACAAATTCGACATCAGCGAGGAGGAGCGCGACTTCCGCGTCCAGCAAGGCCCCAGGCCCGAGAGTGCCGGATATCTCGCAAGCCGTGATCGACCCCGTGGCGGACACCGCGGTGGCGGTCGTGGAGGTGGTGGGCGAGGCGGACGAGGCGGTAGAGGTGGAGGTCGCGGCTCAGGCGGTAGTTATAGAGGTCGTGGTCGTTGGTAGCCCACAGATTCTATGGCTCTTCTGATCACCATGTGACACTTCTGACGTGAATCAGATTCTATTGACAGCGAGGGTCGAGCATGTATGATGATACCTGGTTTTGGCCCATGTTGGCATGGCTACGGAGGTTCAAAGGGACTGTACCATCAGCCTGCGACATAGCACTTCTCAGATTGGAATTGAGAGGCATGATGTACCAATGTGCAACGGTTGGCAAAGCATCGGCGTTAGGTGCTTCTTAGAGCTAGCATTGATATATAACGGCATAACCACCACATCATTCCATTCGTGTAAATCAATGTAAAGGGAGAGTCGAAACCTCAGGCAAGAACGCGCTATGATAATATGTCTTGGACAGATGTCACAGCACTTATGCGGTGCTTTTCATTTGGTAGCTACAGCTTTACCGCCACCACTGGCTTTGCCTGGTTGTTTGTCTAGTCTATCCAACCGACGCAGGAAGCTCTTTTTCCAAAGGTCGAATTCATGCTGTCGTTCATCGCTCAGCAGGTCAAATGCGTCTTGCATCATTGTTGCCAGCCCGGGTAAAAGCACCCCATCCGGGTCATCAGCTTGAGTATCAGCTGTTTTTGATTGTCCGCCGCTAGCTTTCTGGTGAGTGGAAGATGCTATCCGTCGCTTCCTCCGAGCCGTCAAGAGCTCGTCTTCATCTTCATCATCTAGGTCTTGCCCGCTCCCTGCGGTGTTTTCCGGGTCGAAGTCAAAGACGGAGTCCGGCACACTTTCCCACCAGTCCTGGCCTCGACAGTACTGGTCACGATTGATGGTTCTGATCCAGTCCTCCACTCCCGCAGCACCGGGTTTGTACTCAAGCACTTCTGCAGACTTTGCGCAGGCCGATTTGTAGACTGTCGAGGTCATCTTCGCAGTTTGCATCTTGGTAAGTGTCATGAGATACAAGGCGATCAGTAGTCCAGTGATGACTTCGTTGGGAGTCGTGCCTCTGCGGGAGTTCTGTAGTGTTTCATCCGCGCCGTCTTCATTATCCTGTGGCCAAAGCCCCGATAGCTTCAGGACCACACATGTGCCGGTGTAAACGTGGGGCGCAAGTAGCGGTGTCGAGAAAGTCTTGCACAGCCTTCGAATTGACGGCATGACAAAGCTCGGTGCCTCCCCTTGTGATTCAAGGTCTGAAGTCTTGCTAGATTTTATTCTGCCTATGAAATTATTTTCCCTCGGTTTTCGTGATGGCGTTTGGATTTGATGGGCCTCATCCATCAAGGCATCTTTGAGCGTCCCATTGGCAGCTCTCTTCCTCGAAGCTGACTTTTGTGGTGTTGTTGGGTTTGCTGCATTTGCTTCATCATCCAGGACCCTTTCCAGAAATATCACCAGCTTCTTATAGACTGCAGGCTTGCAAGGGGCGCCGCCTGTCTTGACTGCAGGCAATCGACATTGGGCTCGAAGCCTCTTACAGGCTATTTCGCAGCATGCATAAGCGCGGGCAATTTCTTCCTCGGGCTTCAGGTTCGATGCTCGTTGTCTTGATCTTGCAAGCAGAGATTCGCAGAGTGATATCAGTGGTTTAGGCAGTTTGGATGCATGTGTTGGCAATTGAGAGGACAAAGCCTGCTGAATAGCAGAAGAGGTAGGCATGACAGTAAGTGATATCAATTTGGCATGAGATCGTTTTGTTCCCAGGGCCAAAAAACATCGCTCCGAATCCCGTTCCGCCTTCCACGCGTAAAGTGCTTGCAGCACGCGTCGTGGAAAATAGCATCCACGTGACCGCGTGTCGCCAAGACTGTTTAGCCCTCCAGATTGGGATATCGCGACTCTCATCGTCATCATTCTTCAAGTTGGTCACTTGAACGGTTTGTATCACTGCGGTTGCAATGTTCACATGGCAGAGTATGTCTCATGAGCACATCAGCACTGACTACATGTGAAAACAAGCCAGAATCTCGAGCTCAATCGTGGGACACGCCATGCCTGAAGTCATTGAGCTTGTTTCGTCCTCGCCGGTAAGCAGTCTTCGTGGGACGAAAAACAAGAAGGAATCTCCCAAGAACTCAATAGAAATCACATTGGACCCTGGCGGCTCTGATTTCCTGGATTTCGAGAATCACTGCCCTTCGAAAAAACGACGCATCACATCTGAATTTAAACAAAAGACATCAGTATTTGACACGTCCCAGTTTGATCTTTTGTCTGATGATGAGGTGTTACCTTTGCCCGATTATGTAGGCTTGACGGCTGCATGCGGCAAGACTCAGCCAAGTCGTCTCCAAACCGCTTCAACAAGTTTTGATGATATCACCTTTTCGTCTTCTGCACCCGAACTACGGCAGACAAGGACAGGTCTTGGGAAAGCACCATGGGATGTCCTCAGTGACAACGCATATGACGCCGAGTCACAAGAAGATATCAACGCCGTCTTTGGGGATGAGCCCACTGATGCTGGATACTCGAACCGAACTGCGCTGCTGTTGGCGTCTCTGTCTCAACCTTTAATGAAGGAAAACAAAGCGCCAGTGCGATCTATTGACACCAAGACAACCGTCAAGCCGACAAAGACCAGGTCTAAAAGTGAGCCTCACGATGATATCGTTTTCTCTTCGAGTCCTGCCAAAGCTCGCTCATCGAAAGCTTCTAAGCCACCAGCAGATGCAAAATTTAGTCGAGAGGCAGGGAAGGGAGCAGAGAAAGAAAGAAAACGGCTTCAGAGAGATGCCGAAAAAGAAGCAGAGAAGGAAAGGAAGCGACTAGAACGAGAAAGAAAGACGCAAGAGAAACAGAAGGCCGCGGATCTAGCAGAGGTCAACAAATCTCGAACCAACAAGAAAAGCTCAGCGCCCGAAATGATAGTTGACGCTACTAGGGCATTGCAAGGCACCAGCATCGGAAATCAAGTCGAAGAATACATGAAACAGGCTGATATTGAGTTGCACTACATCGACGAAGAATTCAACCTGACCGCGGATACGGCTGGGAGGGATCACTATGGGAATATCATAAGATGGCGACGTAAGGTTGGATCTACTTACAATGATGAACAGGATCAGTGGGAGCCTACCTCCAAGACTACGATTGTACGTGAGGAACATGTTCTGGTTCATTTGACTGCTGTTGAATTCGCGGCCACCTTGACCACTTCGACTATCAACTCGACCTCAAACAAAGTCCCAAGGGTTGAGGAGATGAAAACAAATATTGATAACCATGTCGCGTCTATTCGCAGCTATTACCACCCATGTACACCAATCTATCTCATCGAGGGCATGGGTACCTGGCTGAAAAAGAATGTCAATGCGAAAAATCGACAGTATACTGCTGCAGTGAGGGCGCAAATGAACGATTCTATGACGGAACTTACTCACACCGTCCCAGTTGGGTCCCAGCCTCGGGCTAAAAAGCGCAAGAAGCCCGAGGCCCAGTCGCTAGACTTGTCATTTATCACTTCTGCACACGTAGAAGACCTTCTTCTGCATTTGCAACTTGCCCATCAGCCGATTCTGATACAACACACCACATCGCCTACGAATACTGCATCCCAGATATTGACGCTTACGCAACACCTATCGACAAGGCCGTACCGGTTAGCACAGCTTGATTACAATCTCAAGAATGCCAGTTTTTGCATGGATAGTGGACAGGTCAAAACTGGAGACAATGCGAGGGAGACTTTCGCTAAGATGCTGCAGGAGGTTCAACGTGTCACTCCTAGCATGGCATATGGTATTTTGGATAGCTGGAGCACAGTGACGAAACTGGTAGGCGGGTTTGAGAAGCATGGTAATCTTTTGCTAGAGGACGTTCGGAAAAGTCTCAACAAGGATGGCGCCTGGAGTGAACGACGTTTGGGGCCGATGGTCAGCAAGCGGCTTTACAAGGTCTTTATGGGAAGGGACCCATCAGCCACTGACGGCATGTCCTGATTCTAGATTATCAACAGCACGCGACTCGATGACCAAGTCGACCGACTGACAGCCTTTGTCATGATACACCAGCAAGCGATCATTCAACCTTGGGCAACTACGAGTACCACGAAAGAACATCTTAGGATATATGTGGCTACCTAGGTATCTCGCATTGATGTGCCACTGGTACTCATTTTTCGGAGTATAGCTCAAAGCACTCGGTACGCTGAGGTGGATATGCAGCATCAAGCTATATGATCAGAGCTTCTGAGCCGTGTTTCGCGTATTACTCTGTGGGTGATCTCGAGTACGAGGTAGGGGGGTTAGACTGGATCGATCATCGATTCATCACGTCCGGTCTTCGAAAGAATCCAGGCAAAAGTGTGGCCCAGACATACAGGTGACTGCTCGTCTGTGTGAGTGCTCCGTGCGGCCAGGGAGTAGTACTTGTAGGACCGTATGGAATAGTAATGCACTACTACAACTAGCCGATGTTGGGCGATCAACTTAGCTCCTCTGTTTAGGAATTTCTGCTTCGGACAAGGAGCTTGAAACTTGGCAAGCGCAACCACGCCTGTCTAAAGAAGAAATATTAGGCTCGGAGTTTGCCTCACGGTAGGAGCCTTATGCATAAACCCCCATCGTCCTTAGTGGTCCCGACCCTCACATGCGATTGACTAATAGTAAGGCCAAGATACTTGATAAATAATAATAGGGGGGTGGTGGGATAAACTTTGGCCCCCAGTTTCGCCTGACGAATATGCTCTGCCCCCGACAAGGGTACAGGGTTCGAGCCTCATCAGTCTAATCTGTGATTTGTCAACACAGGGAAAATGCCTACCGTCTCCTCTTTTGTCGAGTACCACTTGTGAGAGAATTTGGGAGGGACTGTATCAAATAGCGAGCAGTCCTCGCTGAACTCAAAAGCTACCGACGAATTATTCTAGACACAATGTCTGCGACTGGGGTTTGTACACCTTTAATCATTGCGTTCTCCGTTCGAGGTCGAAATACATACGGTGATTAGGGACACTGGTGCATCTTTCTATCAAGCTAACCACTCTGGCAGTTAGCTAACTTAGGCGATCCGCGCCGTTGTTTCGGCCTCTCCAGGTTCTTCGATCGCGCATGTCATGGACTCGTGGCCGACGGTTCGGCCGATGATCACCAGAGGTTCGACTTCAAATTGACAATTCGAGTTACTGGTCACGGCTGGATACTATGGGAGCTGCGGCACACTCGTAAGGAGATGTCGCTGCGTCTGGAAGCCCAGCGCTGCCCCTGGCGGTACAGATACGGCCTCAAGCTACCACCCGTCCTGGATTACGATTGACATATACCTTGTATCCTTCGAACGTCCGGATGTATTCGTCCTTTCGAAGATCGCCAAGTGAAAAATGGGTGGTGTCTGACCCCATCACCTATTTATTTCAGTGTGATCTAAACGCCACTGCTTGTGGGCGGATAGGAGAGAAAACTCCTCTCCCGCAGGCCTTACTAGTCAAGTCACCATAGTTCCAGCAGTGCTTCTCATCAACTTGGCCTGCAAATGCTCGGTAAGGCTACATTTTGGCTTTTGAAATGGTCCTTCAAGCCTTGTCGGGTCTCAACTTTGTTCGTCGCGACAAACTAGTCTAACTAGTATGGCAAGCCTTGAGGATCTTTATCGAAGATCTGGATAGTGGTCATTCGTCTAAGTGTAGGAAGCCGTCACGATTAACAATCCGATTACATTTCCACGCAACATCGACCGCCCAATCAGGATATCAAGATCACCCTATTCATGCGAGCAACATGGTTTCTAGTATCCAGCCTTGCACGGAATTCTCAACAGTGACTCAGTGAGTCAGTCGTTCTTGCTCATGGTTGGTGCATCGCCTGTAGTCGTGTTACGGAAACTGCATTCGATTCTGTGCGACCGAGACACGACCTGGGGCCTAAATTTAGGAATGTATTGAGACGATCGCGTCCCCCCCTAGTGGATACTGGGTGGCCTCATTGAGTATCCGTACGAGATACTTGGTAACAAGCTCGTAACCAACCCAATACGAGGTACTATCGCTTGGTCAACAATCTGAAATCGACCTTATCAACTCGCGACAGTCCACATTGAATTGCAAGCGCCCTTCTGCAACACGCATTCCGTCATCATGAGGCTCTTCCCTATGTTTTTAAATTCTTACTAAACTATCATTTCAACCCTAGTCCACTCGTCCTCAGTTGACGACAACTGCACGCATCTGGGATGCGACCGCTGGTATCTGTCCTGTCGAGCATGACAGTCTGAATAGAGTAATCTCGCTAAGCGGAGCCGGTGCATGAAGGTACAAGCAACATGTCTTCAAACTCAACAGCGTATACCGGCCTCCAAGCAGACGAGCGTGGGGTATTTGGCAGCAAAAATGACCAGCAACTACCGAGCTGGTCCACCAACATGATGTTTCCGAAGGCTGCATATGTCGGAGTTGCGTTAGACGATATCGACACGGTAGATGTCGACGTCAGAAGTGTACAGACCAGGTTTAGCCAAACCAGTGGCTTCAGCAGATCTTCCCAGACAAGCTATCTGTCGAATGTTTCCCTCCTCAGGACTCGAATGAAAGCACAGGCTTCTATCGCAGCATCCAGTCTCAAGGCACAGATTCGACAGCTCTTTACTGTCTCATTTTGGCGCACGCTTCCTTCTCAGACTAAGACATGGTGGCAAGAGGTCTGGTCAGATGCGAAAACCCTCAGGCTGGGCCACCAATTCTACCGCATCTTCAATTTCACTGGTCCACTTGTGGTAATCATCCTTCTATGTATGGTTCTGAAGATCATCACTCGAAAAGACCTCTATCCGGTCGACGAAGCGTGTCGACCGGATGCAGGGTTCTATGTTGGTGATACCGAGTACAACATCTTTGCATCCACTGGCTTCTTCCAGATAACCCTGGCTTTTGGGACACTACCATTCTCAACCGCAAAAATCATCGACGTGGCTTGGGATGTCGTGGTTGGGCGGGGTGGCCAAGGAATCTTGGTGGCAATATGTTTCCTGGTCTATGGTAAGGCTCTTGTGCGGTCTATGGAATCGACTTCCGTATCATATGGAACGTATGAAGCGATTACCCTACAGTCTGGGTCAATTACTGGCAGTCTCAAACTGGCAAGGGACCTGTTCAAAAATCCTACAATGCGAGCCAAGTTTTTGATCTTCTGGATAATAATCAGCGCGCTTTTCGTTCTATTGTTTCCGACTATGGCCAGCGCAATGAGTGGCTATGCTGCGAACATCGATGCTTACATCGCCACAGATGACGGAAACATGATACCATACTCGAAGTTTCATCTCATCAGATACATCATACACGACGCCCATCGGCTGGGAGATGATTTCGGCAAGGACCACAAAGTCGCCACTGGCAGTAAACAGCCCACGGAAGTCGCTGATGTCACATACTCTGCCGACGAATGTATTACACCGTACTATCCCTATCAAACCTATAGTGACGATCTACTTGATTGGTCTCCGACAGAAGGAGTGCCCGCGTGTGAATTCTACTGGCATGTTTCAGAGTACGCATTCAATTACGGGTTCCTTGGTACGAATCAGACCAATTCCACCTTCAACAACAGTGGCACAATCATTTCTTTAGATCCACCGAGTCTGGATATCAGCGCCATATTTTGGAAAGAAAGTTGGCTTGATTACAGCCGCAATGATGAATGGTGGGAGTATCCCTACGGATATGAATGGAAAGCTGAAAATGGCTCCCAGCCCTTCAAGAGAATACAAAATGCTTCGCTCACAGACGGAGAGTACACATTCACACTTGAGGAGCTCAATCAGCGTGGTCAGTGCCAGCAGTCAAACACGAGCTACAAATGGGGATTTTCGTTCCTTATTCTCTTCTCCGTCCTCGTGGGATTTGTCGTGTGGTGTGTCGGAATGTATGTTCTATGGGTAGATGCCTTCCTAAACTCGCGAGTGGACAATGCTGGTAGACATATTGGACTTCAGCGCGCTGTACTGGACCTAGCATCTGTTATGAAGAACGATATTGGTGACAACTTAAGCGAGATGGCGTCGAATAATCACTTAAATAAAAAGGTTCGCAACGACCTCAAAGGGGGAAGAATCGATTATCAGATGCTTACGCAAGAGCATCTACCCATGAGTAGATGGAATCAGGCTTTTCGGAATCGACGAGGCAGAACCAAGCGCGAAGCAATTTTGATATGGGCCAAGGCTGATTGGAAGTGGCTCACTTTCTTCCTCCTCTCGGCCGTGTTCCTCATCGTGGCGGTCTGCGGATCCCATGCGCCGGTCTTGACGCCTATCTTTTTCTGCTATGGCAGCGCCGCAGGCCTATATGTTGGCCCTACACACAAAGGACGCTGGCTGCTATTTCTCATATGTCTTGCTATCGGCATCGCCATGGGTCCTATTGGACCCTACGTGTATCTGAGCAAGTCTCATTATGCCCTCGTTTGGCTAAGCACAGATCCCTATTATGCCATCTGGTGGTGGTATGGGTGAGGATCAGACAATTAGTCGGCATCTGCCGGGCAATCACTATCAGCGGACCTCATGTTCTTTAACTCGCGTGTGGCGAAGCAGAAATTGAAGTTGTGGACTCGTCGGACTTTCAGATGAGCCAGGCATGATCTGTATACTGAAGCACTGGTCAAACTCGCCAATGTTCGCGCCATGACATTCTCAACAGTTTGTCTCACTAATTGGCAGATTTCGCTCTTGCATCCCATAATGCCATAGCACCAAGAACTAAAACCTCAGCAGAAAAGGCTCCAGATTGTTATGCCAACACAATGAGCATTTTCAGGTTATTTGTGCCAGTGTCATTACCTACCAAAAGGTCGAGACAGGTGCTAGAGGCGACATGCGCACAAGACAACGTGAGCGAAAGATGCGATGCACTGTAGATACGAGTGCTTCGCTGGGACAGGCAAACTGGGATGTATCTCAGCGCAGATACCCTCAAATGTTTGTTTTCACGAGGAACCTCAGCAGGGCTGGAGCAACCTCACGTTAATGAACCATGATGAATTCGTACACGGGACAAGTCAATGTGTACACACTTCTCAGAGAAATCTTGCAGGCCATGCATGGAAGGAAGTGTTCATCGCCGCGATGTGGATCCTTTCCCAGAATGTGTGTAGATGATATAAGATATATTATGCCAGTTGCACAATGTGAACCCAATTGACTTGTGATCTCTCCACGGTGTTCGCCCCGTGGATCACAATATGGAGTCGTGCCAGCCTCTTGGGTAGCAACCTTTCGAAGGAAGGTGTCAGAGTCACCGAACACCGTCGTAGATACAGCATGCGGTCTTCTCTTCCCAAGATTTCTCCATTTGTCATTTTCGTGTCATTGGCACATAACGGTCATCTATTGCAGGGGCCCTGGGTCGTGCTAAGAAGTCCATGCACTTACAGCGGAAATTCAAGTGTTATCAAAAGCCTTGCCCTCAAAAATCCATACCAGCCATCTAAGTCCCGTTTCCTTGATTTCAGACCAGCACCCAATCAACGCCCAAATCCGTAGCAGCGGCTTCTAAAGCATCTCGCACGACTTTGATCTCTTCGCTATCGCTCGCAGACGTTTGCTGGGATGTGGGTGCTGCTCCTTGATGGGACTGTACCATCCGGACGACGAGGACCTTGACGTTCGCGTAGCGTGCGTCCTGTTGTGGTGGCGGTGGATTTTGCGGTTTAGGAAGTGCTATAAGACTCGAGTTTGGAGAACGCAGTAGTTCGGAGTCGGTGAGTGCGAGGGAGTCTAATCCCGATGTGATGGACGAGGAAAGTGATGGGGGTATGGTAGTGGTGCTTGTGGCTGGAGCTGGAGTGCTAGCATTGATAGGCGTCTCCGCGATGATCTTCTTGAGTCGAGTGAGGAGCTGGTGCTCGTTAATGGCGAGAGCCTGGAGGATCGAACTGTGGAAGGAGGGAAAGGACGAAAGGAGACCTAGGCCAAACCAGGCTTCTGCTTCTTGTGCGGCGGACGGGGCTTGTCCTTGAGGTTGGGGTTCGGTGATAATGTGGGCGATTGGTACAGCTGGATTTCTCGAGGTTTCAGAGACGCCAGAGGTTGCTTGGTCTGAGGGTATGGTTGTGGAGATTGGTTCGAAGATCATTCCGAGGCGTGACTCGACCGTCGAAATCATTTGCGTTTCGTTGTTTGCAGGATAAGTCGATGGACCACCAACTCGACCTGCGGGGAGTGCGGATGCCAGTGTTCGCAGTATCTCTATGACGAGTCTCCCAATGGCCGTCTTTGTAGCCGCGTCGGTGGTATGATAAAAGAGGTAGAAAACCTTCGCGGCAAGGCTCTGTTGCGTCCTTTGCTGGGTCTGGTTCTTGTCTCCCTTGTTGTCAGAATCTAGCTCTACGTGAGAATCATTCTGATATGGAGAGCCGATGATGCTCAGAGCACTGGTGTACTCCGAGTGGCCCTTGATCACCAATCTGATCAGACTGACTGTCTCACGCTGGACCTCAATGCCAGCTCCATTGACCTCGCTCGTTGGGTTGAGCACTTTGCTTACAGCTTGTAGTATACCTGCCTCGTATAGCTGCCGCTGACCGTCACTACACAGTGCCAGTCGTGTGGCAAGGTCGACCGCAGGGTGGAGAATTTCATGATCAGACACATCCTGAATGAGACGAGTTAGACATGATGCTAGGTCTGGATAAGCCCGAAGCAGGGCGGCAGCTCGATCTGTGGAGACCACGGAGTTCGATATAAGAACAAGAATGGATGAGTGTGGATGTCTCTCAATGGCGTCTGCGAGATAAGATGGCGATTGATGCGAGGACGGCATGGAATGGCCTCGAGACAGAACGCTAATGCAGTTCCGAAGTAATGTTGTGTCGGCATGGAATTTACTCCCATAAGCTTCGGACGCAGACACTTCATACACCAGCTTCAAGATCACTTTTTTGTATGGGATTAAGCTGTCCCTCATCTCGTCATCCGTGGTGGGCACCAAATATGGCAAATTGATCAGTTGCCACAATGCACCATCGACGCTAATTAGACCTTGACGTGTGGCCTTCTGCGAAAATATGTTCATGATCGCCTGGCAGATCGACGTGCAGCATTCTGGATCTCGTCCTATCAATCTGGACCCTTGAGTCAGAAGCGCATCGATAACGCTGATTGTGCTGGCTTCGACTATGTCATCCGATTCAGTACCGTTCAATTGACTGATGAGGTTGTGCACTCCATAAAGGGTCACTCGACTCGCCATTTCGACGAGGTCTGCAAGGGTCGAATAAAGCCCATTTGCATGATCCATTGTATCAAGCAGCTTTTCGACAGAGCTAGTATTATCACTAAGCTCTTCCCATCGTCCGAGTCTCTGTTCCGCAGCATTGACGATAGGTCCTGATTCTTGATATGGCTCGGTTTGCATCTGGTCTAACGGCTTCCAGGATTCACCATCAGCATCAGCAGCAGGCTCATCGAAATCGATACAGACGTTGAACAGTGTGGGAAGTAGAAGATCGCACTCCCTTTGCCACCTTACTAAGTGCATCATGAGCTCAATCCCCCCACGGTGGACTATGACATTTCGATTCAGGTTGTTGTCCGCACAACAATTGGCAATCAGTCGAAGGGCAGATCGAAACAGCTGGCTTGAGGCCTCACTCCAAGGGCGTGTCAAAATTCGTCGGGCAACCTCGAGAACACAATCCGGAGGATCCTGAGCAAGCTGGGGATATGCGTCACCAGCCATTTGACGGCGATTTTGTTCCGGCGAGGGTCGGAAATCAAGTCCAAAATATGGCCGCCAGAATGGTACTTCGCGAGTGGTTTTGGCAAGAAGAACGCATAATTCTGAGCCGTGAGTAGATTCTCGATACGCCACACGACCGAAATAAATTGATAATGCTATCGTCGCGGCAGTAATTCCTCCAGTTGGGCTGTTGGGACTGCGAGCAGCGGCTTGGACCTTTGATATCAAGTCGGCGTATGCTCGACGTAAATCCCAGTCTTTGACAGAAGGTGTGTACACAATAAGGTCGTTTGCCAGCTTTTTACAAGCCTGGTTTGGGGTGAGCGAAGTCATATTGCCACTTTGTGAAGACGTGTAAAGCCAATGAAGCTTCTCCGAAAGATCGGTTGTTGACCATGCGGCTTTGAAGCTGTGGTTGAATTGGTCTCGCTTTATGGTTGCTAGTTATGGTGGATGCCTAGCAGGATTACCGAGTGAGTCGCCAGGAGGTATTGTTCGACACCCCACCCTCCAACTGTGCTGTGGTTAGGACACTTCCACAGAAGTCATTAGGCTTCAAAGATGTGACCAGGTGCCTAGCAGGCAGCTATAAGCCATCAAGTGAAGAGAGTCTCTGAATTCACGGAAGAGGGGACAAGTGAGATAATTTGGTACAATTACCACGTAGCCCACATCGATTTGGAGGCCAAGTCAGGACAAGGCTGAAGTGCTATTTTATGCGCTTTATATGCTTCAGTTGCACCGTATGTAATGCCAAGTCTTGGGTGGAGTATCCGCCCCTTCAGCGACATCAAAAATACCTCCTGGCTGTCCTCTTCCAATGCATCGTAGTGAACACAATCCCTACCACCAACCCTAGGTCTACAACTTGCTTGACGCGTCGCATGACATCGAACTTGACCATTTCACCTCGAATAAAGCCATAAAACAAGCACAAGTTTTCGGGAAGCTCAGCTCATCAACATGACACGCGCAGCACAAACCATTTCCTTTGCTTTGTTGGTCTCTTCGGTATGGAATAATTGACTCTCTGGCAGTGCAGATATCGCGGCCCAGTAGCTGATCTCCTGTCATAGGCATACCTCTTGCTTGTCCTCCCTCTCTTGACGGACTCTTCACCCATTCCCTCAATTCTTCCGACCAAGATACAAGTAGAGATTATCCCCGTTCTACCTTTCTGGGCCGCCATCGCTCTGGGAGCATATCTCTTAGGACGTCTGGGTCTCGGCGTTTTACGGTTCAACGACACCAAGGAGGCATACACTGAACTTACAGAACAGTTGGCAACGGCGAGGAAGGATTTGGACAAGAGAAAGGTGCGATGGGACTAGCTCGAGGGTTGAATTGAAGGAAGGCCCATGCTAGTCAGTCTTTGCCTACCGCGAGGCATGCCTTGATGAACACAATATCTATCGGAGTCGTCCAGTGAAGAGTCGCTTCCTCTATTCTATTGGGAGTTCTGACAAACAGAAACTGGGACCACCGTCATCAAGAAACCTATACCGCACTGTGCTTAGCGGCCAGTGCATCATGCTCGTCAATGTCTGTTGCCTCCCAAGGATAACAGATCCAAACGTCGGGCACGGTGACTGCCGCCAAATATCGATTGTCGTCAACCATGTCGGTCGGGAGCCGGCCTTTCTTTTCCTTGTCTTTGTTGTGCAACACGAATATCGAGAATTTCGTCTTTTCTTGTCTACCCTGCTGTTGCCTTGCGATTTCGACATCTTTTTCCAGCTCTCTGACGGCGTATTCTAGAGTTGTTCGAGTATCGTCCACCTCATCAACAATCAGAACATTCTTGCCGATCAGATTCGACATTTCCAGAGAGGAGAGGTCGAGCCATTGAGTTCTCGTAACCTTTGTACCAGGGGCCTCGACAGGGTCGGAGCCAGAGAGTTGCTCGTAAAGGGAAAGACCGATCGCTTGAATGGGGATGTTGGGGGCGCCTGGTTGTTTAAGAAAAGATCTGTGTACATTATGTGGTCAGCCTTGTCGAACTTGGAACTTTTGACGAGGCCGCTTCTTGCATCTGCAGACTCATACCTCAGGATTCGTGCAGGGACATATCCGCCGCCGCCAATTGCGATCATCAAATTCGGCTGGAAGTCCTGTAGGATCCTTGGAGCCGAAGTCTGGCATAATTTGTGAATCTACTCGAACACGAACTTAGTATCGAGTCACTGAGTGTCACACTCGGCCTGTAACATGCGACATACCTCATTGTATGTTACATACACCTTTTCGACCATGGTGACGGTGATTGATGCTCCAATAGCACTGTGATGATCAAGCAGCAAGCAGAGTGGTAAGGCTGTGAGAGATACAAAAATTCTTTCAAACAGTGTCGCTTTGTTCACGAAATCGAGTGGTTCTAATGCAACGCCAGAAGATCGGCCAACCCCGCGTCAAAAAAAAGCAAACCACCATCGCAATATTATGCGCCACCGTACTCCATTTGCCAGTCAAGATTTTGATCCGCAGTAGCGTAAGCAAGCTGTTTCTTGAGACAAGCAGGTACCTTAAGAAGCCTGCAGTTTATTTCACCAGAAGACCAGCCATATGTACATCGTTACTAGTGTCTCGTATATCGGATAGCTTCTCGACGGCAGTGCCGACCTTTATACTCGCTATGCGGTCGGCAAATCCATTTCATGACTAGGAAATCACGCCACTCGCTCCTTGCCCGATGACCATTCAGACATCATCATTTGCCCCCTTTCCGTTTCTACACCCCGGTGAGAAGAGGGTGGAGGAATTTCATGTCGCGTTCTTCTAGCCAGTGGCTGGGAGTCATTTATCTTGTTGAACGTAAAAAGATTAGCAGGGTCCCGTTGAAGTAGCAGCCTCGCACGATATGCCCAAGTCAAGATATTCCTCTCAACCAATCGTTACCATGGAAGGCCAGACCGTCTCGGAATGGTGCTGCATGCTGCCAGTATCACTTCCGGCGTACGAGGCATCTAAAGAGGTATTGGGTCGCTTAAGCCCTCGCTAAGCGATAGCGAATCAAGACGAGTATATGGTCCTTTGCTCCACACACCTGTCATTGCTGACCAACTTACTTCGCGTGGCGCAGATTCTCATATAGTGAAAGCAAGATGCAGTTGAGGGGGTCGCCCTTCCAGACAAGGCTACAAATTATATAAGCCTTGACTTGATCCTTCCGCAACACCGAAAACGGAGAACGACCAATCCTTAATGAGCTTGCTCTTCCTGGAACGTCTCAAGATTTCATCTTTGCTTATCGTCATCTTACGGCAAAATCTGTATGGTGCTTAGCCTTAAACTGGAAAAGAACTACTTCTTCAGCATTCAAAGCAGGATAGTAAGCCAAAATGCTATAGAGACAATGCCCAATGACGGAATTACACACCGACTCTACTGATATCACTGATATCATTTGGCTTGATAATAAGACCCCAAAGAATTTCCATGCAAAGACGAATCGTCGTCAGTTAGGGACGATAGCTCAGCGAGCTCAACACTATTCCAAATGGCGAAGGGAGGAAAAGCTTCGAGAGGAATTCGCATTCTCTACGAAGAGAGCATCAACGACAAGCAATCGAAATGACAAGGTCCATCAAGGCGTTCTCGTAAGTCTTTCGTGTTGTAGACGTAATGAGGCGTCTCAATGAGGAAAAGACATCGGTCACGAACTGATCTTGCTTCATTTTCGTTGCACTTGACGTCGTTCCCCGATCCCACAGCATGGTCTTGAGATCGGGTCAGGAACACTGACGATTGTTAGGTGCTTCGCCAGCATTTAGAGTCTGAAGCCGGAGCCCGGGCCAACAATCTTCCATCGTTCGCAAGGCGATATAAGACATCAGAGCTTGACAGCGGTTTCATTGAATTTCAAGTCGGTCCGCGGAACAGCCGAGGCAGGAAATCAACAAGCAATCTAGCAGCACAGCCACGGCCAGCTAGCCCAAGCATCCCTTCATATCTTGGAGGAAACGCTGACCCTTTTGACGCAACACCAGTGCCGTTGGACTCGTGGAACTATGGGATTCTAGCCTACATTCGACCCTTTACGCTAAACACTGTATGGCCTGTTGAAATGGAAAATTCGAGGGGCCAATCTTACGTATCGCCAGCGCACAAGAGTGTCTACAAGGCTTTCGTCTCTCACTTATCAGTTTCCCATGCCATGCTAGCATACAGCTGGGCTGTCATGTTGATGCTGCGTCCCGATCAAAAGGAAGAATGCCACTACAAAATCACGCAGCACGTCTTGAGAGCCATGCACGCACTTCGATCAATCATTGCGTCTTTATCTCAAGAAAGCGATCTCGCCAGCATGATTTGCGCGCTCCAGACAGTTCAGACGCTGACATCCGCCGAGATTTACCGAGGCAATCGCGAGGCGACTTCGCAGCATAGGAGGGCTCTGGGCGTTCTCCTCGGACTCATTGGCGAGTCTCGCAACGTTCCATGGATCCTCAGAAGCGCGATTAGCTTTTTGATCGTCCGGGTCGCCGCCAACACGGGGACAAGGACAGATGTCGACCCATCATATTGGGATCCCGGGCCATGGTGCACACAAGACATACCAGTCGGGGAAATGGTGTCTCCAAGAATCCATCCAGCGCTACTGGAAGACACTATCACACCGCAATCCGCTAGGGCGAACGATATTTTACCGGGACTTTTCGCCAACTTGCGTGAAGTGCTGGCCGTAATGGAAGAGCACAAACGCACCAGCAGCATTTCAAGTGAAGACAATTACATTTCCACCCTCCAGTGGGCACATTCACGACGGATGGCAATCCGCGGGCGCATTGGGAACCACTGGGCGGACATCACAGAAACATGCCAGTCAGTGGCGCCTCAGACGGGCACCCTGTCTAGCCCGACCACTGTCCACTTCGCCACCGTCGATATGTGTCTGTGCCTGGCAATGTTGATTTTCATCAGCTACGGTCTCGAGAGTCCAATGGCCAAGAGGCAGCATTGGATCCCCAGTGGACAGATCCACCACCTGATGCTCCTGCGCTGCACGCGGAAGCTCGGATTCGAGCTCGAAGCCGTTGATGTCGAGGAGCACGCCGCTACGGGAATCCGGGATCTTCTTTGGGTGTGTGCCGTTGGCGTCCATGTCGAGGAGGAGTATGCGCTGTGGAAACGGTCGGCCAAGACGATGCCGCTCTGGTGGGATAGGTTGGATCCGGATGAGTTTGATGTGCGTTGGTTCTCGATTCGGTTCGGCGTCTTCGCCAGACGGCTGGGCTTTGAGAATTTTGAGGATGTCGTGGATTTATTGAAGAGGGAATACGTCTATGTCGCGGAAGTCTACGATGTTGTGCTGAAAAGAGCTTTCGAACTTGTGTGAAGGTGGGATGGGTTCGCGTAAGGATTCCTGAGCACTGCTACGGGCTGGGAAAAGCAGTTTATATCCAGTTCGACACTGTCTATTTCGATCGTGGTACTGCACGTTACCCTAAAAAGTTTCTCTCTAGAAATCATCAGGTCTCATTGGAGAATCGCATATCCTTGCTATTTTGCCCATTCAATGTCTGCTTGATCCGTGGACAAGCTCCCTCTTCATTCACAATGACAGCGCAGTCAGTTTCGCTATTAGATGAGAGCATGACCGACACGGCCTTGTCGTCCTCGCATTCACTTCCACGATAGCAGCGAAGCAGGGGTTCGCGCAGTGAACTTGGGTCGGTGTGTTAGCCAGAGGATCTGCTTTCACTGAGACCACTTTCGACGCTCTTGCCGCGAGGACGTTCTGAACAGTAATCCTTCTCGAGGTGCTGCTGGCGTCTCCCCATCCTATATATTGGAATTGGCATCGCGTTGACAGGTCCCTACAATTCTCAGGCTACTGAGTAGTGTTTTGCTGCTCTGATCGTATGGTGCGGAGATCATCTCGTGTCGACTGACGCTCTCAGGATTTATCAACCGCAAGGTTCTCCATACCGTCGACTTCATCCACAAAATCGAGGCCGTCGAAAGCCTTGTCTGCATCTGCTTTGATCAGATCAATCATACCCTTCGCCGACATTAGTACACTGTGTATATGTGGATGCGATGGCTCAGGAAGGCACTGACCTCGGGCATGATGGGTTTTCCTGTGCTGTCTGTGACGTAGCGAAAGGGCATCTCGGTGGTTTCATGTTCGTTGAGCTTCAACTCGGGAAAGTCGACAGATGGGATTTGGTCCAAGGGGACTGTCAAGCAGGTTTGGTGAGACAGAGAGTTCATTCGCACATGGTAGCACAGTGGAAGAGCAGACGTGCTCACCTTTGTCAAGGACCACCATCCGCGTCACCCGGACAGCAGTATCGGTTGTCATCTGCTTGGGGCCGAGTCGTCGTCCAGTGAAGCCTTTCTTCCGCAATTCGCTTGTGCGGTCTCTTGGAGGGTCGTCACCTGCAGTGAGAGCCAATGGTCAAACTCGAAACCTAAGGAATATGAAACAGGACATTTTGCCCCGGACCCCGGCACCAGCGTCTTACCTAAGATTCCACCAAATAGGAAGACATCAAATTGGTTGGCATCAGTTGTGTCGAGTTCTTGTTTTGCAGCTGGATCAAGAAGACATATTCGATCCTTACGGTCGGCAAAGTATTCCTCTATACTATCGTTTCGTCCTTCTGCACCAGCATCGTGCAGGATTTGCAGATCTTGAGACTGTAGCAGGGATTCAGGCACTGATGAGAGGATAAATCTACATCCAGCATTTTTCGACTCTTGCGCGATGGTCTTGTATTCCAAGGCCGACCATGGCCCCAGTTCTGGATCCAGATGCTCGACTACAAAGGTATACCCTGCCATGTTCCTGGAAATCAAGAAACGTCCCTGTGGTGACAGATGCTGTTGCCTGTCCAGTAGTGAAAGCGTCTGTTGGCCTCGCGGAAAAAAACAACTTACATTGACGGAGGCGGACGGGGATGTTTGGCCGAGGGTATGACGGCATATCTCACGTGATGAAATCTGTCTACAAAAAGACTAGCCGGCTCTGATCAGCCGCCTCTGACTGGATGATGCCTCAACCTTGTCCCTTCCCAACTTTCTATCTTCCACCTTCCGCCTTTTCCCCAGTCAATCAAACAACCAGAAGGGCTGACCTGACCTTACATCTCTAACCCTCTTCAACTCTTCGCTTTCAACCCCTTCTCCATCCTTGTTGGATAACTCGAACCATCACACAAACGTTCCCTGCACTCCCAAGTCCCGAACCTTCGTCAGCCAGACAACCTCAACTGCGCTTTTCCCGATTCTTTCCCCAGGAATCACTCCCTTTCCAATCCAAGCAACCCCACTCTCGACCTTTCCAACACACCCTCCCCTTGTCTCGTTTCCTTACCAGTACCACAACCACGACAAACAATCTCGTGTTGGAAACAAGCATACCCTCTACAATCCGTCTTCTTTTATCTACCGCGGAAACATTGCCCGGAACTCTCTTCCTCAATTTTCTCGAGAAACCTTTTTTTGTCTTTGGCAATAAACAAGCGCTTGGACCGTCGGTCGTCGACTACTCCTACGACCCCTCCTCCAACTACCTCCCACACTCCTATTCATCCACCTCTTCAGTCATTCTTGATTCTTCCAGCTTTTGTCACTGGCTATCAAACCACCTCGGCTGTGCAAGACGACGGGTCACTCGGTATTTGTACACTGTGCAACTCGCTTTCCGCCAACGATCGGCACGAGTTTTCCCACGTCACGTATCCCCTTACATATACAACAGAGTGAGAAAGCAACTTCGAAGTAATAATTCAAGATGAATCCACATCAAAAGAACAAGGTGGATGTCAGTGTATGTTTTACTCGCCTGTCATGTGTTACGACCGGATGACTGATACCCTGATAGAAAATGTCTGCAGACGAGCAACGCTTGTTCCGACTTTATGGGAAACTCCCAAACAAGAAGGACCTCCTACAGAACAAATTGAAGGTAAGTCACAGTCCCGGAAAGTTATACATCGGGCTCACATCAAATACCAGGAACGCAAATATTTCGACTCGGGAGATTACGCCATGTCCAAGGCTGGCAAAGCCTCTGATGCTGGGGTTACTGCCATAGGCACTGAACACCCCAAAGCCGAAGAAATCCCTCACATGAGTCCTCTCATGCACACCGTCTCTCGCACCGAGTCAAATGTCGGCCTTCCCGGATCCAACCCAAGTCTTGCAAGTTCTCCCGAAGCCCAGCCAACTGCAGGTCTACACCGTGGAAGCATCAACGGCATACCAGGTGGTGGTTTGCCAGGGGCCACCAGCCGAAGCCCAATCAAGGAAAGCAGCTTTTTGGCCAGAAGTTCGAGCATCCATGAACGAGATGGTAGCAATGACATCAACCAAGACGGACACGCCAGCTTGGAAGGGAGTATGAGCCCACCAGCCAGCAAAGCAGGAATTCCTATTCGGAGATGATCGCCTATCAAGTTCGGCCGAGCACTAAAGCGTCATATGGAGGTTCAGTGTGTGTACGATGCTGGATGCAGGAGTCTGTCTACAATGTTCAGCTCGATTTGACTTGAGTCACCTTCCGAACCACCCTTTAAGTACGGAACGGATTGCCTGTAATTGGGAGAAATGTTCTCTGACGGGCACTCGCCGGTATCTTCCAAGAAAAAATGTTTAAACAAGAAACAACTTCTAAAAGAGTAATACCTGGAGCAGAGTCCCAACGGTCATGCCAGCGAAGCTGTTAGTGATATCAAGACATTTGGCGTTCAAGGCAGAGGCATCTGCGGGTTGAGAATTTTGGGAACCAGAGAGAGCACGCCTCGGATACCAGAAAAGGCCGGTGATCCTCCGCTGCCGACATGAGAAGCAGTGGGGTAATGGAGTTATATCAAGGTCGGGGGTAGTGAAGAATGAAATGAAGCAGCAACGGGCTATGTGGGAGTCGGGATCGGGACATGTTGATCAAGGGGGCCTCTTTCTGCTTATGTGCCATGTACCAAAGTGAGTGCTAGCTACTCGCTACTAGTACTGCTGCTACGGATTACGATTACCACTCGTTTCAGTGATGATGAACGATTTTTGACAACTCGTCACATACGATATCCATTTCACATCCTCGTTGCTGTCATTGCTGTTTCTATCATTCATCGCCATTTCGCCAACTAAAAATCATCGTCCAATCCTTGTTCATTCTTCATGTACTCGTATTCGTGTAGGAGGTCTCCCATCAACTCGACTCGAACCGCTCTATTGAATAGCATGGCATCTAGGGGCCGAGACATCAAAATGCCCGTTCTGTTGTGTCTTCTGTGTCCCCATTCTGCACATTGAATGTATGTCACCCAGTGAAAAACATATCGCTGTGCGTTTGCACTAATTGCGTTCTTCTCGTGCGATCCGCCGTGATCCGCCGTCCTTCTGCCTCAAACTCCCCTATCCATCCGGAGACGCCGCCTTTTCACCCTAGAGCAATAGGATCCAATATGCCCAAGGACTGGAGACATCGCTGTATGTTGCTTCCGTGCTCGCAACCCGGGTCCAACCGTCATTCTGGTCATGCACGCTTGCTGCGATACTTCTGGAAAGAGTTTTCTTCTCACTGCTTGGTGCGGGCGTCTCTGTGTCATATCCCTGCATTCCTTGCGTCTGTATCGTTGTCCTCGTGTCATCCTTCACGATAAGATCCTTCGTTTGCTGCGAGTACAATTCAATTTTCTTGAACTGAATGCATACTTGACCATGACCTTCTTCACCGGCTGTTCTCATCCCAAAAATGCCATCTCCTCGTCCGGTTCCAATCTGACCGCCAGGATGAAAAAATTGACGAAGCTTGGCAGCAGGCTATGTATGTTGGGCTTCGCAATGCCTGACCCCGCCAACATCTCAGAGATGAGAATGAGAAGGCTTGCAATAACTTCTTAGGGGCTGTTTGTTCGACATGGTCTTCTCAGTCAATGGTGAAACAAGTCTGCCAACTTCAGCACCTCGCCTTGATCCCGTTCGAAGATAGAGAGGTATGCGTTGGCGAAAGGCGATCAGAGCCGATGTGAAGCTATGCGAGGCTGCAAGCGCATAGAGGCTAACATTTTAGAACACCACGTCTTCTGCCAGATTTCCATGTCAATCACCAAGAGTTGACGATCAATCTACTTTCCAGTGACCTCCATCGATGTCATCTTCCTTTCCTAGCCACAGCTCAATCGCGTAAAGGCCCATGGTCCCGACCAAGTTGACCCATTTCCAAAGATTTCCATTCATTCCCGGTTGACCATTCCCACTCCACCAAGCACCGATGGATTCGGTGAGACCTGGGGAATATCCACCCATGGTGGTGGCGAAGTGTTGCATCAACAGACTAGTGTAGACAGCGATGAGGATGCTTGGGGAGAACCAAGAGAGGAAGGCCAAGAATTGATTACCGGCATTGGAATCCTCCAAAGATGGCTCCACGCTGAGACCTCTTGCACCACTTTCATTGATGGCAGGGATGATACGAGTGGAAGCATAGAAAACAAAGAGGCGGTAGCCTAGAGAAATGAGGACTGAGGGGGTGACTGCTTTGAAGGCTGCCGCGGTGAAGTCGAAAGCGTCGACCAAGGCTCCGGGTAGGTTGGAAAGAGCGAACATTATGGCGGAGTAGGATGACATGATGATGGGTGGGAAAGGAGGGAAATCGGGCGCTGAAGAGCCGGTATCTTCTGCAGTAGTGTCGTTGGGTTTGTAGTCCGTAAAGATCTGGTAAATGCAGAGAACGATATAGGCGAACAGAAGTGACGATTCGACAGCAGTTCCCCGGCCGGAGACGACACCATAGGCACAGAGAAAGATAGCAGAGGCGATTGCAATGCCGATCAAAGTCGAGTCTAGGTTGGAAATATCCGGGAACTGGAGAACTCGCCAAAGGAAGTAGACCGAGCTGGACACCACACCGGCAGCAGAGACCAGAAGGACGAGTAACCAAGCGTCGCTCCAATCACTTCGGTTGACCAGCCATCTGGAGAGTTGACCCAAAGCCTGAATCACTAACAGGCTGCAGAAGCCCTCAAGCAACTGGAAGATGGGAGAGGACCAGCGCAGGAGAAGACGCCAGCCTCCAATAGTAGCATTCTCGACCAAGCCTTCGGGACCAAAGATGGCCTCGCGTGTGTTCCTGTTGGAAGGAAAGAAGGCTTTTTTGGTGCTGAATGTCCTTTCAACCCAACCCCCACTATTTTCAGCATCAATCGAGAACCTTCCCAACGCCCATATGCACAAGCTGGGAAGTAAGATCCATTGTAGAGCGAGCAAGAGGTTGATGATGCCTCTTCTGAAATTGGATCGGTCGGGGGTAGAGATGCGCAGGATAGAGAGGAAGAAGTAGAAGGATGCTATGGATAGCGAGTAGGCGAGGCCAGCGTCGCGACCACCGATGTCGAAGGTGAGAGGTATTAATAGAACAATCAAGGTCAAGAACACCAATGAGGAGATGGCGCGAAAGACGAACATTCGGTCGGTGGAGGGAGCGGTGAGCTGAAGACCCCGCGAGAGATGCAGGAGCCGTGCAGGTGGAAGGTGGTGAGAATAAGGGTTGTCTGCCGGTGGTTCATAGGCACTAGGTCGTCGTACTCGTAGATCGGTCTGCAGCCTGCAAGTTGAAGCGTGACTCGCAGAGGGTCTGGCAGAATGTGGGTGACAGGACTGTGTAGGACAGGTGGGATGGAATGTGCAAGATTTGAGATTAGCGAGAGGACCAGAACGGGACTTTCACATGTCAAGCCGGAAAAGCGGAGGAAGGCGCCTTGGTGTTGAAAAAAGACGAGTGGTGGAACTGGAGGAAGAGCAGGCAGGAGGAGATGGGACTTTGTATTCGAGGAATAAAGAACGGTGGAGAATAAGTGCGTGTATTTAGGTAGGTAGTGATGACCGAATCTGTGATGCAGCGTGTCGCGTGTACGGCGTAGAGGAGGAACAAGGAAGTTGAGCAGGCAGGCCAAAAAGGGCCAGGGTCTGTCACTGGTACTGGTACTGGTGAACTACTGGGAAGTCGACCAGGTTTCAACTCTCGCAGACTCCGCCAAGGAAACAGGAGTGATGATGAGGGAGAAGAGGAAGAAACAGGATTTGAAGGGAATATTTAAAGGACCTGCCTCTTGTCTTGAAGATGTTTATCAAGGCGACTCTTCACCGCAACAACTGAATGAGCTTGCAATAATAATAATGGAGAAATCTACTCTGGTGCGATCTGGAGCCACAGTTTGCCCATCAACCATGCCTATAACCAGTATGGTCACATCGCTAAGGTTAACAGAGGACTAGTATTATCTTAGTGGATTAACACGTGTTTGCTGCCCCGCTCAAAGAGTCGCCTGCTTGCCAGTTGGTCTCTGCTCTTTCTCGTCCAGTTGTTCGCATTAAACAACACAAACTCAAATGGCAAACAAAAGCTTCGTCTGTGGATGTGGCATCAGGCAATAGGTACTTCGTACTTAAGTAACACTGGGTCGTGCCTGCCCGAATCTCCGCTGCAGATTAGACCAATCACGGAAAAATAATATTCCAGCCCCGGGACCCCAGGTCTTGGCTGCGGCTCTTCGAGTTGTCCAAACATTTTTACAGTGGAAGACTGCCAGTGCTGGACCAAGTACTCGCTCAACTTTACCCTGACCAGAAAACAATTGACTCCATCTTCCTCTCTCCACCAGTTTATGTTCCGTACCCTCGCCAGAATGGCCGAGACAGCTGCAAAGCGAGTAAAGGCTGATCCCCTCATCATTGGCACTCATAATGGCCACTTCCACGCCGACGAAGCCCTGGCCGTCTACATGTTAAGGCTTCTGCCCGACTATGCTTCTGCCACTCTCGTGAGAACTCGTGATCCGGCCTTGCTCGATTCGTGTCATACGGTTGTCGATGTTGGAGGAGAATACGACGCTTCCAAATATCGGTTTGACCATCACCAACGTACATTCTCTTCCACCTTCCCCAATCATCAAACCAAGCTCTCCTCTGCCGGTCTTGTTTATATGCATTTTGGCAAGGCCATTATTGCCCAGCACACCAATCTTCCACTTGATCATCCCGACGTCGAATTGCTCTACCAAAAACTCTATGACGACTTCGTCGAAGCAGTGGACGCTAACGACAATGGTATCTCCAAATACGATGACACTCAACTCGCACAAGCCGGCGTCGAAGCTCGTTTCAAGGATGGTGGTGTCACACTAGCCAGCCTGGTCAACGACTTGAATCATGAAGATCCTCTTGCAGTCGGGGTTCCTTCCAGAAGCACTGAAGACCAGCCTCAAGCCGAGGAGGATTATCGGTTTGGTCAGGCTTCGACTCTGATGGGCAATTCCTTCCTCCGCAAACTTCATAGTGCTGCTACCGCCTGGCTACCTGCCCGAACAATTGTCAAGGATGCCTTCAACTCGCGATCCAGCAATCATCCATCCGGAAGATTGCTAGTATTGCCCCGCGCTGGGATTCCATGGAAAAATCATCTCTACACTATTGAGCAAGAGGCTGGTCTTCCAGACGACCAAAATCTTCTTTTTGTCATCTATCCAGAGAAAGAGGACCCAGGTTCTAAATGGAGAATTCAAGCTGTCAGCAAATCTTTGTCGAGCTTCGAAAATCGTAAAAGTCTACCCGAACCATGGTGTGGTGTGAGGGACGCTGAGTTGGATGCCCTCCTTGGAGACAGTGTCCCAGATGGAGCTGTTTTCGTTCATGCCAGTGGTTTCATTGGAGGCCACCAGACTGAAGCCGGTGTTCGCGCAATGGCCGCCTTGGCTCTAGCAAGCTAAATCACCAAGGTAACAGGCGGTAACAGGCGCAAGCTGAAGTCAGACGCTCTGGCTCTTTCCATGCACAAGAATCATCTATCGTTAGATAGATGACGTTCAAATGAACGTCAATCCTCTCCAGACGCGCCCAGCGCACCATGGCCATGGGGACATTTTTCTCGATAACTGCCACGTCCTGGTTCGAAAAGCTTAAGTCACCATAAAACCTTTGGCACATGGAGCGGACTGTGTCTCTCGCGGTACATTCTCAAGCCATCGGCAGAAGAAACTGGGCAAAGTTTGCTCGCGGTCGAAACTTAATCGTCACAATCCTCGACCCGGGCTTAAGTACCAAAGCGGAGGCAAGAACTTCCACGATTCCCCATATCAGGGTTGTCGCTGGAAGCCATCTGATAAAGAAACTGGGGGTATTTTACAGATGCTCCACACAAGGCTGTGGGTGGAAGACGAAGCCGATCTCGCCTTGTTCTTTTGATATCACCGATCATGTGACGTCACAACTGGTCATGCTTGTCCTTACGTAGCAGTCGGTCAGGGACTTTTTTAATCTCTCTGACAACGAAGTCCAGACTACCACTCACACTATACACGCTCTCTCAAACAAGCCAATACTCACAAATTCTCCTCTCCCGCTTCCTTCCATACGGGTTTCCTTTCCTCTTTAAAGATTTTCTTTTGCTAAAATGGCCTCAACAACTGACTTGCGTGTTTCGAATCTCTTCTCATTGAAAGGTTATGTCTGTCTTGTTACTGGAGGAGGTGCGGCCGCGAAAGAACTTCTACCTGGACCTCATCAAAATCAACTGACTGAATATAGGGACTGGTATTGGGCTGATGGCCACTCAAGCACTAGCAGCAAATGGTAATACATTATCAATATACGATGAACAACTATTGACAGCCAGCTAACTTCATTCCAGGCGCCAAAGTCTACATCACCGGGCGAAGAAAGGAAGTGCTGGAGAAAGCAGCTAAGGAACACGACCCCGCGTCCGACGGTAGCCAACAAGGCGGACAGATCATCCCCGTAGGGCCATGCGACGTGACGAAGAAGGCCGACCTAGAGAAACTCTGCAAAGAGATTGAGAGCAAAGAAAAGCACCTCTCACTAGTTGTTGCCGCGGCTGGAATCTCAGGCGCCAAAGGGCCGCCAGACACCAGCGATGCCGAGAAACTGAAAGAAACTCTCTGGCAAGAAGATCCGGAGGAGTGGAGCGCGACATGGAACACGGACGTGACCTCCGTCTTCTTCTCGACGGTCGCATTCCTCCCACTCCTACAGCGCGCACCATCCGACCAAGCCAAAAGCGTCATCGTCATCAGCTCCATGTCCGGCATGATGCGCCACAGCCAAGCGCACTTCAGCTACAATGCCGCCAAAGCCGCGACGGTGCATCTGACGCGCATGATGAGCAAGGAGTTCGCCAAGACCGGCGTGCGCGTGAATTCGATCGCGCCAGGCTATTTCCCGAGCGAGATGACAATGAAGGAGAGCGATGAGCGGAATAAGGCGCACATGCCCGACGAGAAGGTCAAGGATAAAGGACATGAGGTCCCCGCGGGTCGCTCTGGGACGGACGAGGAGATGGCCATGGCGGTGGTGTTTTTGAGTCGCTGTGGCTATGTGAATGGTGAGATTGTAAAATTGGATGGTGGTGTATTGAATGAGGTTGGTAGTTAGTCAGAGTAGGAGCTCAAGACATTAGAGTTGGGGGAGGGTCCTTCAGGAAGTTGAAAAGCACTATACAACCATAAGCATTCCTCGAAGACCAGTGAACAGCACAACTTGAGCTGAAATCGAAATTCCATGGGTCTTCAGATACCCAGTACTTGATACCCTTCACCATCAATCACATGTCTCCTACATAAATGATGGCATGTCACTTCAGTGGTTAGTGGATTTCAATCATAAAACTACTAACTTCGTACTTAGGACTCAACTCCCAACCTTTTGGAACCCCCCCCACGCGGGTACTCGACATAAATATAAATCGATCAATCTAACCTAGTAATGATCCCATATCCCACGACTCCCAATCTCGCCGACATTCCCGTCGAGATCGGCGAAATACACGCTCCGCCCGCCCTTGGGCCAGTCGACCGTCGCCGTCACGCGCACGCCCGAGCCACAGTCCGCGAACCACGCCTCCCAGGCATGCACGTCCTCGACGCTTGGCACCGCCAGGCAGAAGTGCTGTTTGAGATGCGAGTGTGTGTCTGTGTCTGGGTTTGTGTCTGTGGTGTTTGGCTGCTGGCCTGTGGTTGTTTTCTCCGGTTGGAGGAGAGTCAGGATGTCCTCGCTGGGCCCGTGGCCAGGAATCACGCCTCGGTTGTCCGGCAAGATGCTGTCGGACGCGGTGCCGCCAAGCTGGAATAGGAGGAGTGTGGTTTGGCCGAGTGGGAAGACAGACATGCGTGGCTAGAGTGGGGGATGATGCGTTAGTTTGTCCTGAATCGAGCGTGCGAATGCAGATGTAGATGGGCTTGCCCCTTTCCTTCCCGTGGCATTACAACGCGGTGCCGGGACTTTAGATCTGACTTTGAGAAAGGAGGGTCATATGCAAGCGCAGTATTCAAAAATGGGGGTGATGAAAAAGAATATAGACGACCCCAAGAATCTGCTAAACCTCCATCCAGCGCGTCCTAAGTGTGCTTACCGTGTCCAGACTGGGCTCCACACCCAGTGTTTCCTTGTAGAACTTGGTCGACGCAGCGACGTCACGCACCTGAAGTGCCGTCTCGAGGACGTGGGTTGGTGGTGGTGGTGGCCGTTTTGCTTGGGGTGAGGCCATTGTGATGAACGGCTTGTCTGGTAAGGATCCGGCGCTTCGGGTCTTTGTTGGGCGCGGAACCGTACGGTATCGAGGGCTAGGTTGGAATGGTGGGACTGGCTTTGAGTGTTGTGGCAGAGAGATCGATGGATCGTCGAGGGGTGGTTGTTGTGGGATGAGATGAGATGTTGTTGAGAATGAGAACTGTTGATGATGTGGATGAATCCACGCTCCTGGGCGACGAAGACAAGCAGAGTAGCCGGGTAGTTTTGAGATGCTGCTTATTGGGTATGTTCGTATTTTCGCAATCAATCTCATCTTCTCCAGGTCGCTTGGTGACGCATCAACCTGAGTTTATATAGATGTATTCTGGTCTTATTTCTCACATATCACGACAGGGTTCAATGCTAGACTTGAATGGGACATCTCCAGCGAGCGAAGGGGCTTGGTTACATCGTAAAAGCCAGATCCAGCGCTGACTATTCTGAGGTCACACGATGAAGCGTCTTTTCAACGACTCGGGTGATGAGATATACTTAGTAGTAATGATGTTTGAACCTGACCGACGTATTCGTGGAAAATGCGGAGAAGGAGTGGAGTGAGATCCGGAAGATGATGGCCGAGGAGGACGTTGTATGTCAGCAGTGGTGGTCTAGATTGCGGGGAATTATGTAAGAAATCAATCCGGATTTTGAAAACTGGAAGAACAAGATATTCGCGCTCAAGTTGTGGCAGCTAGTTGTAATACGGTCTTTTCAGGGTCCAGAGTTGCATACAGTGCTAAGGATCAAATCTAGAACAAAGTCGTCTAAGTCAATTAGTAATCGCGAAATACCTATGTTCAGATGGCATGCCTCCAATAACGCCCTGCTTGCTGTCTTTCAGACAATAACATCTCATCAAGAGGTCGTGCCGTGAATCGTCAAACAACTGCTTGCCCGTGGATATATAGGGTCGCGTTGAGTTCTCTAATAATGCTTGCTCTTTTGAAAAATGCACATCTCGTCTGCGAAGCCCGAGTCCTCTGCTGTCGACTCGGCTGATTTATTATTGTATCCGTCTGCTGTGAATCGTGGGGCTTGAAGGCGCCGCTCCGGCTTCGCTTTCTATACCAGGTCAAATCTTCAGGTATCGACCAGCCAGCAGGGCCAAAGCAGAGTCGAAAAATACCTCGGCTGCATCAGCAGGGATTTAACGACTTGGGTGGCCGTGGAAAAGGGTGCTTCTTTCCCACGTCTGCAGTATTTCCGAGTCGAGCTGGTGATGGCTAGCATGAGAAACCGGCGAGATAAAGGCCTGAAAGATCAGCCTCCGCAGGTGCCACCTGTGATCGAGAGGTAGTTGAAGATCAACCCACGATCGATACCATTTATCAGCTCTCCTTCCCCTTCCTTGACTTCTTCCGATCTCTGATCCGTTTTTCCGTGGCCATGAACTCACGAATCCCGACCGGAATACTCTGGAACAACTCATCACCATCCGTAGAACCTGCCGCAGCCATAGAGGGCGAAGGAGAAGCCCAAAGCCCTTCACTTCCACCGCCATCATCATCCATACTACCCGACGCTTGACTCACCTCTGGTCTGGGCAGCTCAATCTTGGCGGAATCCCCAATCGTATTCTTCGTCGGTGCCTTCGCTTGCGCTTCATGTAGTCGGTTTGCCCAAGACTCGACATCGTCTCGGTAATCGTCCCATACGCAGTGGACACAGCCGCTCATGCAGCAGTTGTCCGGCTCTTCAGGGCGCGGGGGAATAGGCACACCGTTGATGGTGCGCCATGTTGCGTCCGGGCTCTCCGAGACTGAACTTCTATATCGTTCCATCGTGCCGAATAGTCTCCTCGCTCTTTCTTCCTTTGACTGATCGCCGGACTGCACGAACGTGGGGAGCGGCACGGTTGGGTGTGCAGGTTTGGGTATCGGCGTCGCAAGGAGATCGGTGTAGAAGTCACCTAGGGGAAGGGCTTGTTCTTGCGATCGGTCGGGCGGTGAGTTGAGAATTGCGGGACTGTGGTGGAAGGTGCGGCGTTGTTCTCTTGATCCGCTCTGTAAATTGTTGGAGGCGTCATTCTTGTCCTTTTGAGCATATCTTCTGGATAGAGAAGTCGAGATCTTTTCAGTTTGGGTGCGAAATTGCTGGCGTGCACAGGAGTTACAGACCCAGGTTACCTGGAGTAACTTGCTCATGGTGGGAGCTTGAGCACCGAGATTCATGCTCGATAGAAGTCGTGGTTAAGGTTTGACAGCATCATCAGCAAGACAGGAAGAAGAAGAAGCAGGATAACCTTCTCCCGCTGGCGCGAGTTATTTCAGCGTGGCGGGAGGGGAGGGGCTTATCTAAATATGAGGCTTTTCCTTCAAGAGAGATTACTTGAGAAAGAGGCAGATGGAGGAATTCCAGAAAGCTGCCGAGGAACTGGCGATGATGTCATCCGACGCGCCGAGTCCCTTGGGTGTCACCCCCCGGCTCCGTATTGTGATTTTCCGCCCTCTATCGCGCTCCATTCCCCATTCTCTTTTGGAAATATAGCGAGAGAATAAGGAGGAAGTGTAAGTATTCGGCCAAGGTCGCACGGTACTAGTATTTGGACGCCTTGAAGAGTGACCACGAGAAAGCGATAAGAGTGCAACGTGTTCCTATGCTAGACACGCAAGAGCCAAGTGTGATAGAACCTAGACTTGGAATGATTGAACAGCCTAGCACATCGGTAATACGGGGCAATTCTGAGTCCTACTGATGGTGATTACCTCGCCAAAGAGAAAATATATATCACACGGGGTTTGAAGACTTGAAAGCTTGGTGGCAGATACAAAAACTTCAATCAATTTCAAGGAGTAGCGAGCAGACCAAAGGTACTGAGTAGGTTATTCACAAGTCCTCGTACTCTGCGGGCAGCTGCTTTTCTTCGATCCATGCTTTGATGCCATCCGCAAACAGCTGTGGATGCTGTAAATCCCACGCATGCACCGCCTTCTTCACGAGCACCGCCTTGCTCTTTTCATTCTTCATCTTTAGAACGAGACCCATTTTCCTCGTTGCATCGACATCGTCCTGAATCCCACCGGCGACCGACAAGGTTCTCACCGATATCTTCTGGACCTCTTCCAACGTCATAGTCAGAATACTCGCGTACACCTGTCGGACGGTTTTGCTGTCCAGATTCTTTTTCTGCTCTTCAATCAGCCCTGTTGGGATGTGCAATCCCCGCCAGGACGCCGCGTAATTATACAACCACCGCGGGAGCCAGTTGGTCAGGAGATTCATAAAGCCATACACGAGTTTTGGCCGTTCGGCGAACCATGTGAACCAGCCCTGGAAGGGTGCTGCACCAGTAACCCACAATGACTCAACCACATCAGGTTGGAGCTTGGCCACCTCGAGAGCCGTAAAGCCTCCCATAGACAGTCCTACGACGTGAGCCCGGCCACTGTGAGCATGCTTGCGGATCAATTTTGCCACTAGGTCAGCGGCTATGGAAAGCGAGAACGGCTTGACGGAGATAGACCCAGAATGTGCGGGCAGGTCCACAACTAGAAGGTGGTAGGCAGAGAGATAGGGAATCACCTCTGCGTATTCCAAGTTACACGATAGCAGACCGTGAAGAAGGACCACAGTCGTTTGTGAAGAAGAGTTCAGTGACAAGTAGAACAGTTCTTGTGCGGTTTCGGAAGGTGCCTGGACCTCGGAGGCAGAAGGCATTGCTGATGTGCTGATCAAGATAACTACTGTGTAAGCTGGATCATGAAACCCCTTTAGGCAATGCTGAGCTCCCGTGTGGCCAGGTGTGCAAGGGTGGTCGTCCTCCCAGCGTATCAACAGCTCGACCGTCACCTCAAACGTTGAATTGCCGGCATAACTTCGGTGGCTACTTGGTATCTAGAGCTGGCATGTGGTGGTAAATCGGCAAACTCGTCGGTACTCTAATAAGGCTACATACCACGTGACGAGGCTGAACCCCTGTCCCATAAATGCATCTGAACCTCGAGATGCTTGCGACCAAGATTGGAATAGCGACAATGAACAGCCACTACTCCTGCTGGAACGCCAATTTTAGCATGAACAAAACCGGAACTGGAGATCTAACAAATTTTGCTTCGATACTTGAGGGACTTCCTGCACACCGATTACGAACTCTGCCAATCCAAATACTCGTCCATGAACGTCTGCATTTACCTTGTGCCTTGTGGGTGTCTCTTCATCGCAACAACTTCGACGAATTCGATATTATTATTAAATCAATTATCCATGCCACAGAACGTGAGCTGCGAATACCGCAATCGCTTGTTATGAAGCAGATGCTCATCATTGCAACAGCGAAGGCGTTTTTGGATGAGGTTTCTGAATGTTTTGCAACTTGCCTTGCTGACAAGGAGGAATCACGTTGCTAGTGTTGGTTCTTTCAGGCAGATCGGAGACGCTTCATACATGATACTTGTAGGTTTACGTGGGGTCGCAAGAAGACTATGCAGTTGATACCATTTGTACCTACACGGTAAAGCCTATGGTTGGCAGTTCACCAACTGAGTCCAGCCCTGCTCGATAGGATTCCAGTCATACCCCTTCTCCCCCTTGGACTTTCCGATCCCGCAGGACTTTCGAAATTCCCGGTTTGTCCTAGAAACGCCTGTATCCCGAGAATGCGGGCATTTTCATCGTCGGTATGGTTATATTGGCAGCCCGGTGCGAAGCAATGAATAAAATGAGACCGAGAGCCTCCAAGACCGCAACCGTGGTTGATGAGTAAAAGTTGTACGTCTAGGCAAGCCAAGATGCGTCAGTATTAAGGTTTGCAGAGCATTACTCGGCTTGAGAAGGATTCCTTGGGCTCGAAAAGAATGTATGCAGCCCAAGGGGTTGGATGCAAACTCAGACATACGTTTTCAATGCACAAGGCATTCCAAGCCACGTCTCCATCTTTAGTGGTTCGTTTGTGGCAGCTCCAGGACCACAGATCCCAACCTTTCTTCTCATCGCCCATGCTGTCCACAATTTTGAAGTAGACCACGGCACCAATCCATGCGGCAACCATCAAAGTAGAACTCAGATAGACGGCCCACTTGTGAGAGGGACCTTGGCGTGCGCTTTGACACTGTGAGACAAACAAGAAGTTAGTATTCGAGTCGACAACCTGAGGGACACGGAGGAACAGCGTACACAGCCACAGAGACTTCCAAAAGCGATCAAATGGACAACAACGGCGGCCAAAGCAGCTCCTAGCATGACCCACGTTGGCCACGGATCGATGACAGCCCATATCTTGGTTTGCAAGCCCGTTGATGAATTCCTTGCTGTTTGATGTCGCGTCTTGAGCCAAGTGTACATGGAATAGGCTTGAATACCGAGAATGGTAATGGCCAGAACAAGTGACAGAATGCGGAGGATTGTGCGAACGGTCTGAAACCGGGCGTGGGCGTGGCGCGTTTTATCGTTGGTTCGACGGCCGCTGTGAGGGCGTGGCTGGTTCAGAGCGTGATGCTGCCGTGCATAGTCTTCTGATTTCAGGAGCGCCTCATCATCAGCAGAGGGATGCATATTTACATCTGCATCCAAATCGCTCCGAGAGTGCCGGAATGGCTCGTAGCGAGTCTGAGACTGGTGTGGATTCATTGTTAGCAGCTCCAATACCCGACCCGAAGTCAATAAAGTCGGGATGTGTGAAAGACAAAGTGAAATGTGTCGAAGGAAGGAAGCAGAATGGCAGCATAGCTATCAACTTAAACAAACAGCTCAATCGCTCAAGGCTGTCAGTCGCATGCTAGGCTGGTCATCTTCTGGAACAATGAAGGACTCGATCCACATCTAACGGCCACTCTCCGTCGCCGGCCACTCTCCGTCGATGGCAGTGACAGACCTGATACTTACTAAGTACTTTAATTAAACATCCCTTCGATTCAGTCTCGAGATGAAGGGTTTTGGGTGACTTGGCTTTAGCGCTTATCATTGCTTATCGTTGCTAAGCATTGCTAAGCGATGCTGGAATCCATTTCACCTATATTTTGCTGTCGTTGACAGGCGGTTCCCTGGAGCAGAGCCGCGCCAAATCAAAATCATCGGTTAACTAGCGGCTGCTCATCCCCATAAAATGCTGACGAGCTGAATCAAATATTAGGTAAGTTCCTCCACCACGGGTGGTTGATGGATATTGCATCTTGATAACGATCGCAAGCCACATAAATTATTATATGGGTACAGTTTCACCATGCCCGGGCTGAATTTGGCTCATACACCCATTGCTGATGGCCATTGGTGCACTATGTCCCTGTCTGCAGCTGGTCCACTACAACTCGTCTTTGAGTTTATCGATCGCTACTAAGCACTGTCTCTTCTACACCAGGAATAGACCCGGTCCTTGTGAATCTCTTCTGGTTCAGCATCAGCATGGCTTCAGGGTCAATTTGCTTCCACAACGCGGGCCATGACCGGTGGCCGAATGCTAGAAGCAGAGCTGGAAATTAAACGTGTCCGGTCAAGGACTAGTATCCTGAGACATTAATTCTGGCCGTGGTGGAAATCTGCCGTCTTGTACTCTTGCCTTTGTATACTAATCTATAAGTACAACTCCTCAGCGGGTAGACTTACTGGTATGTTCGATTCACATCGTACCTTTTTAGCTTTTTCTTCTTCGCATTTCGGGAGCGACAAAATTTACATCGATCATGAAGTCGCTATTCTACCTCTCTTCCCTTGCTCTGGCGGCAGCTGGTGACATCTCGCTCCAGGCCTTCACCGACAGCAGTTGTGGAGGAGACGGAGGCACTGCAATTCAAAACGTGCACGCCGACGGCAGCGACGTGCACGATAGTAGCGGATGCCGGGCACAGGGCCAATACAATTCAGTCAATGTGGTCAGTGTTGATCCAGGCTTCCGGTGCAACGTCTATGGCGACAGCGCGTGTCAAAATTTCCTCGAAACGGTCTTGACGGTATCTTGTACACCCGTCATCGGCCAGGGCGTCATCTGCTTCAATCAAGCCGCCTTTGACAACCCGTTTGTCGAATCAACAAGCGCTGTTGCGATTGGGTCGACAACAGTCAATGTTGTTGGTGGCGACTCGCTGCAAAATCAGCTCAACAACGCGGTCAACCAGGCATGTACAAGCGGAACTGCATGCGATCCCACCCACACACTCGTCCTGCATCAAACCTTCGATCCGCCTGCTGGAAAGGAATTCTGCAGTAATGGAGGTCAGTTGATTGACAAGTCCGGATGTACTTCAGAAGATTGTAGCACCACGATCTCGATATCTGGGAGCTTCAACGACAACAATCAAAGAGATTATATGAAAGGGTTGCTTCAGAGTGCCGCGGGCTCGATTCCATCACCCGTAACGTTTCTGCAAGTGCAGGTCCTGAGCAAGACGAAAGCTATCCAGGCCCAAATGAGTGTCACTGTCAGCACTCAGTGCACTGCAGTCGCGCCGCCATCGGGCTTTACCTGCTCGTCCGCATTGAAGGACATTGTCAGCGCAGCGCTCGCGACCGTACCGGGGGTGGGAGGCATTTCGTCGTTGGCGTTCCAGGCGGACTGCGATATAAACGGATGATTTTGGAATCGCCGTAAAGTCATGATATATAGCTAGCACGGCAGCCACGTACACCAAAGAATTTCTATTAATTATACCTACGAAGGATCTATCCAAAATAATATACGCTACTACCATAATAGGTATTTGAAATCTCCTTTAAATCGAATAAGAGGATTCTTTACGGTAGCTATACCGATCGCACGATTAATAGCTAAACACTTATATATAGTATTTATGGGCGACAAAGCGTCTGGTCTTGATACCCGTTGAGGACCACGGACTACTGCTTTACTCACGCATCATGTAACTTAGCTCAACTTTGGCTCAGCCTACTCATCCTTCTCATCAACTGCACTTAGTCCCGCTTCTAGGCCCCTCCATCATTAAATACTCGCGGCATATTTAAGAAATAGTTGAGTGGAAGGTACTAGTAGAAGAAAAAGACCGTGGTTAGTCCTGGGCGGGTCATTGTGGCGGAGACGAAGACGGAGACGGATGCCTAAACGAAGACCGAGTCCCTTATCACAGTCGACGATATGAAGTTATAAGGTTCATCATCCAAACCAATGTCGATCAAGTCAGGCACCAATACTCAGCAATAACTTATACAATGTACGCTAATTTAGGTAATAGAACAGTGCTTTTTTAGGGTTATCTCTGGCGATCTATACCTAATGTTTCTATCAAGGGGGTTACCAAGGTCAACAAGGACAAATCTTACTTTATGTGTTTTAACTTCCAAGTGCCCAAGGCAGATACCTATCTAAATTAAACTCAAAAGGTGCGACTATCAACTGACCGACTAACTAACTAGTAACTCACACGGCAGCCTTGCAACTCTTGCTCCGTTACGCCGCCCTCGATTGACTTGTCACTTGCACCGATATTTTTATATAAAAAGCCACCTTCAAATCTTTCTCTCACACATCAAAACCGCCACATTGTTTGCAGCGTCGTCAAGAACTGTGGAAACTTGGATTGTCGCTCTTTGTCTGCGCTAGGCAGCCCGTGCGGACAACCGATCCTCAAACTGTATCCTCTGCTGAAATGGGCGACCAGGTTGAGACTGAGAGCGGAAGAACGTCCACACTGCTTCGCATCCTAGCTTACTTCCTACCATGGAAAGGGGGCTATAAAATCGTAAGTTCTCTCTCTCGAAAGATCTGGACATCCCAGCTAGTTCAAGGACTAAACAGAGTGATGTTCGCCAGGGCGAAACAGCCCAGGAACAAGATGGCCGTGGTTCGACGGACAAGACGCTCCTCGGCCTCCCTAACGAAGTCGTCCTGATAGTTGCAGGCTTCCTCGACCCGGCGTCTCGGGTGCTCTTCAGCCTCTCGTGTCATCGCTTTCGGGGTCTGCTCACCTCTCACCTCGACTTGACGCTTGATGGTGACCGGGACGCCAAGGTTCGAATGTTACAGCTTTTCGAGCTTGACCATCCAGAGTTCCTCACTTGCCGCCACTGTGGTCTTTGTATCGTTGGCGGACGAGGGCCTTCCTCCAGTATAGATGTCCAGGTCACTACTCATCTCAGGATATCGACCTATCTCACCGTCAATACATTAGCGGGGCTGGGATTCAGTGCGTTGAAATGGGGCGAGGTGTGGTCGATTTGATTCTGCGAGCGTCCGAGCATGGCCCCGAATATGGTTTGCCCGTGTCTATCTTGAACATCGGTGGTATCGATTGGCAAGGCATCCCACGAAGGAACGAGGCACGGCTGGTGGACGGTCAACTCATCTTATCCAGTTAAACGCGGGTGGAAATAGAATCAGGGGGAGGAATTACGACGATGAGAAATCTCGTGGCCAGGAATGCATGCTTTCATCTACATTACACCCATGGACTCGTTTATTTGACGTCGAAACCTCTCGAGCAAATCGTCGCAAGTATGATAGCTGGCTCGGAAGTATTTTTCAAGTGTCCGTTCTGCGAAACTGACCACCAATTATATATGGGAAAAGACGACGAGAGTCGAAACACTATCTCCCTTAATGTTTGGAGAAACTACGGACGAAGATACCACAACGGGCTGCTCAATGAGCAGATATTTCATGGGACACCTCAGTTGCGGCTTGATGCTGGGGCGCTCGCGGAAAGGGATCTTCGAGCGGTCTTTGAGTCGGACAAGGAACACAGTCCAGATTTTGAGCCATGCCAATCCCTAAATGCTGAGCCTGCACCAGAACCCTTATGGATTCAATGTACCAAGTCGGACAGCTCCTCATGCAGATTCGCCTCCAGATCGATTTGCCGATCCTCATTGTCGAGCAAACCCAAGTAATAAGATAAATCTCTTCCATCGAACTCTCTTACCGAAAATCCATTACCCAAGAAGTCAAACATGTTATACGAATTGCAATACTCAATCTCATAGTCCTCGAACCTCGGGTTCTTCAACAGATCCATGTAGATCAACCGCGAGCCAGGGAACATGGGCAATGGACCGTCGACTCGTCCCTGCTTGAACCAACTGCTGCAGCCTGACGTCCATGCCGTGCGCTGTAGGAAGAGTTGCGCGTGCTCTGTCAGTTGCTCGGCCACTTTCGTCTTCGGCGTGAGGCTCTTGATCCGGTCTTTCTGCAGCTTCTCGATGCATTGGATTATGTTGCCCGCCAAGGTCTCGAGGATGGGGAGGAACGAGCCGTGTCCGAGAGGTCCGTATGGTCCAGCCATCATCCAATAGTTGGGCACTAAAATGTCTTTGATCAGTATCATTCTGTCAAGATCTCGGGGACAAAGCTTACTGTGAGGAACTCCGATTGAGATGTACGACGACGGTTCTTTCGCCCACATTTCTGCGATGGAGTGCCCATTGGCTTCAACTGGGAATCGAGGGATCCAACTCGTATTGAAGCCAGTGGCGCAAATAATGACATCGACCTCGTGTTCGTCACCATCACTATCGATGAATCCGGCAGGCGTGATCCACTTCATCTGCTTCGTAAATACTTTGACGTTGTCCTGAGACAGTGCTTCTAAGAACCCGTTTCCTGGCTGATCATTTCTTTCCGTCAGCTGTGTTACCGAGAAGAGCGACCACAGATTGCAATAGACTGGTGAACTTACCGTCGGTCTCCTGCAACCCACGCCAAAATTCTTCGGTATCAGCGCATCCAGTAGCTCTTTGTCACTGGTCCCAAGTTTCTGGGTCATCTCATTTCTTGCAAACTGCAGGAGTTCAGGTCAGATGTTGTCCTGCCGTCCTACAAGCAACCATAGTGCAAGCACTCACTTCTTTCGCGCCCTCAGCTTCGGGGGTCCCATTCAAAATAAACTTAAAGCGAACATTGAGCTCAGACTCGATCATTTTCGAGTATCTCAAGAACAACTCTGGCTTCTCAGCGAATCGTTTCTTCTGCTCGTCGGTATCTGAATGTATCACGCTGGTCAGGATGGCCTCAACTCTTGATTACCGCAGACGGCGGGACTGGGAACGTACAATGGAAATTGCCACCATTCGGTCCCGCGAATTTCTGGGCGAATCCAGCGGTGATCCAGGTGGGCGTCTTCACCCAGGTGTATAGTTGCTTGACTCGCGAGGCGATGTTTGAGGTGATCTGAATGCCACTGCTTCCAATCCCGATAACGGCGACTCGCTTTCCATTCAAATCGATCGTCGTGTCGTAATTGGCGCTGTGGACGAGTCGCCCTTTGAAGGAATGAAGTCCTTCGATGTCTGGCCATTTCCAGTTGCTAACGGTAGTGATCAGTTAGAGTTCCAGGCACCAAAAAAGAAGCATCAGCATACTTCAATACGCCTCCACCATTGATGAGGACATGACATGTATCCGTGAACTCGGAGCCATCGGGAGACTGGACGCGAACTTCCCATACTCCCTGCTCGTTGTTCCACGTCGCGCTCACGATCTTGTGCTGCAACTTGATATACTTCATCAAGCCGTGGTTAACAGTGACGTCTTTGAAATATTGCCATATCTCGGGAGATTCGGAGTAGTACTGCGACCAATTCGGGTTGCGCGCCCACGTAAATTGATATGACGCTGATGGGATGTCGCATGCACAACCGGGATATCTTCCAGCGTCATCAGTTCTGTTCAAAGAAGGGAGGGAAAAAGGAGAAGCAGGCACATTGTCGAACAAGCCGGACATACCTGTTCTCCAACCAAGTCCCACCCACATCCGAGTTCTTCTCATATATCTGGACATCGACATTCTGTAACCGCTCCTCGGCGAACTTGGAGAACACGATTCCAGAGGCTCCCGCACCGATGTGTATCACTCTGAGTTTTCGATGGGTGTCGTATGGCTCTTCGTTTATCCGATACCCACGGGCGTTTTGCAGGAGCCAGCCTAACTCGTTGTATTCTTCTCCGTTGATGTTGGACGGGAACCCTTCTCCGTCCTTTGAGGGCGCCATGATATAAGCACCCAGGACCCGTCGGTGAAGTGGCGCCCGAACTTGTACAGATCTTGCTTGTTGTTAGAATGGCGGACTTCTGGGTCAATGAATACCTTTCGGAGTAGACTGTGCGCAGGTAGCAGTGAGACCTATCTTCTCGGATAGTACCCTGTGTTTACCACTTTTGAGATGTAGTTTTATAGCAGTGAGATGTATCCTTTCGCATAGTCCGTCCTGTTTATTAATCTCGAGATCTAAATATTCACGGCCCCTTGATATCGTCAATACTCCATCCCAGTCTATCGATGAGATCGAAAATAGCGCGAACTCCAATTTGGAGAAAGGCCGAGGCAAGCATCGCGCACATCATGACGCCCTGGCAGCATTTCTGTCCAGTAGATAGTAGATGGTGGCCTCGGTTCTCACGACGAACTCCGCACATGCGGGGGTGCCGAAGAAGCATGGCGCATGTGTAGGGCAGATTTGTAAATACATAAGACGGCATTATAATATCACACGAGGCACTGATTGGAGTCTGCTGTCTCGGTTTAGTGGATCGAGCTTGGGACAAGATGCCGTCTCAGGCTTTCGGCACCGACAACGAAACATCCTTGCAATTTCTCAACATTACTATTCCTCAAAATATGCAAGTGTGAGCAGCACTTTGGCTGAGCTGTGGAGTCTCTAAAAAGAAGACGGCGTCTTGACATTTTCTAAGAGCCTTATTCACCATATTGATGCACGCCAATCTTCCGCGTTCCCGATAGAGGACCCCTTCATTTCACTTGCTTGAGAGCCTCACGAACAAACAGCAATCAACGAAATTATTCTCTGCGAGACCATGGCCATTGGGCTTCGTGTCCTCACAAGCTCCACCAAACTAGATTCTCCCCAGAGTCTCACCAATAATGGCCCAGTACCTCTCTTTGTAGAGTGAAACGTGGTTGACATGCATACTTTCGACAAACTCCTCGACACGGATAACGTCCTTCGCAGCATCATCACTCAACCCGCTGCTATGTCTTGCTATGGCAGCATGTTCGAAGATATCCTGTGAAGGTATCATGTCATCCGCCTGGCTACAGATATATGCTCGTGGTATGACCCGCTTGTTCGACGTCGTTTGTCCAGCTGTCGGATCGGTGATGACCTGACTGCCCTTTGAATGGAGACCGCTCCCTTTGAACAAGAAGGGCCCTGTTGGACTGTTCAATTCTCGCCAAAGCTTGATCACAACATGCTCGGCAACCCCGAGCACATGGCAAAGGTAGAAGCCACCAAGTAGCAGGTAGACGACCGGCATCGCGAGGGTGCGAGCGACGTGTGCATCTTTCGGAAGGAATGACAGAGTTGTCTTGCCGGCCGTTGCATACCTAGCATGCCCCGGGCATGAGTCAAACACGACTGCCGAGATAGGTAATTGCCGGGCCGATGTGGATGAAGATGTAGGTGATGATACTCTCCCGTTGTCGCGGTATGCCTGGCCGAGTTGTACGGCCATATGAGCGCCACCATTGGAAAAGATGTGGAAGAAAATGGTAGGTTCACAGTGCTTGCTTTCGGCATCGTCCATGGCTGTAGTCACTCTGGCATCGTGAGAATCGAGAAATTCGTCGATCGCCTGGACTGCTGGTTGAAGTTCCTTCATTTGAACGGAATCTGGCACCCACAACATGTTGTGCACAGTGTTGAACAATAGAAGGATCCTCGCATTTGGGTAAAGCAGTTGATAATGGGCAATATACTTGGCAACATCTGGAACAAAGGCCGTGTCAGTACCAGAAGGCTCAAACGAAACTGTCATAAGTCTAGGAGAGGTGGAGTCGATCATCACGCTTGAACGGTCGAGCCTTCCATTCCACCCACAAGGCGAAGGCGTGGATAACACCTGAGAGAAAAGAGGATGGATCCATATGATCGGAGTTGGGGAACTTACGCCGTGGTTGTGAAAACGCCCATGCACATACCACCACAAAATCCGGTACTGATGCTTTGTAAGAGCTGGGTTGCTTTGAGTCGCCTGATTCATTAGGGATGTGAAGGAAGATGCGGCCGCTGAGCCTCTGAAAGGAGGACAACGGATCTTTTTGAGCCATTGCTGGTACTTATGTCTGAATTCTCGGACTTCGACTATGATTGTCTCGTTGGTGAATACAACGTAGTTGAGGAAGAGTCCTGGCATTCTGAACGTATCGCGGTATGGAGGCCTTATAGCATCATACATCATGATCGTAGAGGATATGTATACCTAATCAATGGCCGAGGCTGAAGGGTCCGAAATCGCCCTCGGTTAACGGTGGCCCTTCTTGCATAGTCTAGGTGACGTGGTAATTGCATGGCGATCACAAACCCAAACATGTGAATGGCATTTGGAGAGATTGTTATCGACGAAAGAAGGGTTGGGAAACGAGGAACGATAAGGGGAATACGAAAAGCGAACCATCAGAGAGGTTGGTTGGAGGCCCAGGAGTGCCAGGTTGGAGCCTAGAGATTGGGTATCCTAATTCCAGATACACCTTAAATATACGAGCAAGGAGGGTGCCCATATCAGGCTTGGTGTTTCCGGTATTATATGTGGTTCTAGTTAAGCGCCAAGCGACGGCCCGGAACAACTGTTTCCGTTGAGGTATGATTAGAATGGTGCAATGAACTGAGAAATCTCAACACCAAGCGTACTCTTGCTTGAAAATCCAGACAGGGTCATGCTCTTGGGAATCTTCTAATCGAAGACTGCAGATGTGCTCTTTGTCACGTGTGATGACTTTGACCTCCGGTTGGTCATGAGTCCTCAAGAGTTGGGCTGCAGCCACGACCAATTCTGACGGGTCCCATATGTCAACGCCCCCGCCCATATCCCAGTCGGCTGCTTCAACTTGGCATCTCAGAAGCAAGGCCGCGAAGATTTGTTGATTGGCTTCAGAAGGATCGATGTTGGAGGGTATCACAGTGTGCAAAAGGGCGACTTGCCAGTCTTTTGGCTGCTTTGCATATCTAAGGGACCACACCAGGGCAAGACCTGTGTCTCGATGCACTGCCCCTTTGACGATGGGTTGGCGACTACCGCGCAACTTGGTAAGATATTCCTCCCGTGAGTGATGCCATTCGAAATGATCCACATCTGGACAGATGGCAGTGAATGTCGCCTCGGGCTCTTTTGTGGATGAGCGTTGCAGCTCCTCTTCTGCATATCTGACAGTTGGCAGATTTCGAAGGTCTTCCGACGATAGATCTTGTACAGAAGGCAATGATTTCGCAGCTTTCTCATACTCTCCGCGTTCTAACGGAGGAAGGTGGATGTGAGTGCTGTCATGGGGTTTCCAACCAAATTGAGCATAATACTTTCGACCAATATCGCTGTAAAGAACGGAATAGGCGTTCTTCTGGCCGTCATTTTGTTGCCAGGTTTCCAGTCTTTTCCCCAGGTCTGCCATCATTCTACCTGCGTAGCCCTTACCACGATACTCGGGCCTCGTGTAGACGGATCCAATGCCATGGACCTGAACCCTTTGAAGTCTACCGGCTTGGGCGATGTAAGCGGACATGACTATCGACTCGCAGGAGGCAAGAATGGGACGAGTTCCGTCGGGATTTGGAGGGAGAGCACTGGAGGTGAGGATCCAGCAGGTAATACGGCCGTCTTTGGTGAGAGCAACGGATTGAAGTTGGACCTCTCTTTCAAGATACTGATGCATGTTCAAGGGACCTTTCCATGCCACGGCATTGAGGTAAGCTGTTTGAACGTATTCTGGGCCTGAAGCTGGGACAAGAGTGAGATCGGCGGATTGTGCGAGGGGGAGTAGGGCACTGTCAACTGGGGGAGGAAGGTAAGGATCAGGAAGGCTTTTCAGAAGAGAGGCTGTAATCGACATGTTGTCGGCGGTGATTTCGTACGGACACAACTATGTAAAGGTGGGGGAGGTTGATATTGGGAAGAGGGGTGGTGGGAGATATCAATTTCGGACGGGCAGAAGTTTCAAGATCTTAGGGCGTAGGGCGTAGGGCATCAGGCTACAAAGCAGCCTCTTACCTCTGCTCACCGGCAAAGTATCATGATAAGACGCAAGAGATCATGATCCGATGTTCATTGCACTGAAAACCAGTCTTGATGATAGATTGATGAAGTCATTCAAAACAGCTGAGAGATCGGGATGACACCGAGGAGGAGAGTAATTGTTTTTGCCCATGCGAGTTTCTGCCGCGGACATTGGAGATCAGGATTGGTGGGGGGGGCCGTGGGCTTGGCTTTAAGGGTTAAGGGTAAAGTACAGTTATGGAAAGGTCAGAATGGGGGTATTAGGCGTGGCCATGACGCCTGCACTGCCTCGTGGGAGTACCCGTGATAGCCGACGGAGCTACTGTGACTTTAGGCGCAATAATGGACCCCGAAGTCAACGTGACCAGCGATTGACCAACCAGTGATCCAGTGGAGGGAAGATCGTTAACTACGAGGATCTGCTATTCTGAAAGAAGCTCGAGGAAAACAATACTAGTCAATAAAATAATAAATATCTGGTTCGTATGATGCCTGCTCAGAAATGCATCATCAGGCGATAACTCGTAGAGTAGTCATCAGTCACGACCACCTGCCACTGCCCGTGGTGGCCGAGGGTTGCCTTGCCCTGCAGCCTTTTGCGGTACAAATGCTCCCCTTGCTAGGCGGATGCGAACCATTTATGAATGGTGGAAAGTACCTGTAAAAGACTCTCTACCGACATGGTACCAATCGCCCTGTTTGGCCGCAGATGGCCACTCCTCCTCCTCCTTGACGTGACTTTCGGACACACTTCCCCGTCGTTCCCATTCCCACCTCCACTATCAATAATGAGCCTGAGCCTTCATCACCGGTCAGTCAAGGCCAATTCAGGGCTTACCATTCAACTTATGCTCGGCGCTCGATCAAATTCATTGAGCCTGACTCAGCCCTGTTTGACTCAACCCTACTTAGAGAAGGCCCCGGTGTTATTGTCCTGTGATTGAGCCTCATCCAACTCTATCTCAACATCACCCGTCAACAGCTCCAACCACACTTTGATATGCCTTTCTCTTATCTCACTGCCTTCACTCTTCCCACTGGGTAGTCGAGTTTACCTGCTCCTGTAAACAAATCATATTCACTCTTTTCACCACTCGCTCACTGTTACCCATTTCCACTGCCTCGACACAACATTGTCACTCTACCTCGTTCCTCCCAATTGAACCCACCTGTGGTTCAGAGGCAATTTCACATCTTTATTCCACGACCATCTTGACTTCCATGTCTTTCGTTTCAGACCACACCTTTCACCACTGCCTCTTGAGATCCTGATACCCTCGATCTCTTGGACCCTGGTCTCCCGAAATGGCACGCTACGAACCCCAAGCCTAGTGAGTGAATCTCCTTGTTTACTACTACTGCTGCCTCGCCCTCGAGAAGCCTCGAGGTCATTGAGATCGGTACAAAGCAGACCTGTTTGTGCTTCAACCTGATCGTTCCCTCACAATCTTCTCCTCCTTCCCCTTCACCACCTCTTTCCACAATAGTAGAGGTCTAACTGACGCTCTTGATCAGCATGGCTCCACGTCCAGCTCAGAATCGTCAACAAGACCTTCCAGGCTTCACTTCTCTTCAGGGATCGATAGTTGACATCTCTGATGACGACGAGTTTGACATCGACCCTCCTACCTTTGCCCCTGCTCTTCACCACTACAATACCTTTCATGGATTTCACAGCAATCCAATCGACCTCACTTCAGATCCTATCGACCTCACCACGGAATCAGATGGTGAATGGCTTGCCACTATTGGTCGAACTCGCCCTTCCCAAGTGCCCCAGCCCATGAAACGCATCAGACTGGACTCGACGTTGTACCACCCAACTGTTGATCACAATACAGTTACTGCGGCCCTGCCTCCTGTGTACAACCCTTTTGAACCCGTGAGACCCCCAGGCAGCTCAATTTCACGAGCGACCCTTCGTGAAGACCTCTCCATACCCAACGCCGCAGACCACCGCCCTCATGTCACACATGGAAATCTCGGTACTATAAATGCGACACTCCCCCTCCTGCCAGGTTCTCGAGACAAAGCTCTCCGCAAGAAACTCAAATCCAAAAGCATATGCCCCTACTTCTACGATTCCGAATTAGAAGTCACCATGTATCGAGGCACAGGCTACGAGCGATTCCCTGTCGCCCGAGGCACCATCGACGGACATCAAGCCATTTGTGATAAATGGGACGCTGCCCAAGAGAGAAAGAGGCAGAAGAAGGCATCAAAGCTGCTTGAACTCCCCGACTTCAACCATCGCCGAACTCACGGTAACGGTTCAGAGTCTCCATCCGAGAGTGATGACTCTTCAGACGAGGAAGAAGTCGGACCCACCCGTTTGGACCAACAGTGTCTTGTTGCTGTCCTTGAGGTCTTCCCCGACGCTCAGCACCAATTTTTACTGGACCTTATCATGAAAAATCCCGAACGAGCGAGCATCGTCGGAAAGGGCAGATCTTTATCCGTTCCCGATGAAACCCTCGTTCGGTCAATTATCAATGAAGTTCTCGAACTCGATTCATATCCAAAACAATCCAAGGTGGTCAAGAAGGAGGCATCTGCAGAAGATGGCACTGGCAAGACCATTACTTGGAACAAAGACCTCCCAAAAGACTCAATGTACCTCAAAGATGGTGTCATTCTTCTGGCCAAAGTCTTTGATCATATCCCCACCTGGCATATCCACAAGATTGTAAACGAGAAACAATCAATTTTTGACACTTATGTCAAACTTCACGAGCAGGAAGAAAAATATTACCAGAAGGAAAAGAATGAGAAGAATCCATATCCACGATTGCGAATGCCGAGAGTGGTAATCGAGAAGAAATATCAATACACACCACGTGAGCAGCGCTATCAGCAGAATTATGCACAGCGTATCAATGAGTTGCAAGCTGTCAAACAACACGTTGCCAGAGAAGCTATCAAGGCTGATATCAGAAAAGAGAAAGAGGCAGCCGAAGACCTGAATCTGCAGGAGCACAAAGCTATTGGAGCCATTGTCCAATGTGGTTGCTGCTTTGAAGAAACAATTGCCCTCAATCGAGTGGTTCCTTGCGATGCAGACGCTGCACATTCATTTTGCTTTGCTTGTGTTTCAGGCCTTGCAGAAAGTCAGGTGGGTCTCATGAAATACGAGATGAAATGCATGGATGGTTCAGCCTGTTCAGCCAATCTTTCTTGGTCAGCAGTTGCAAAAGCAGTTGACATTAAGACCTTTGATCGCCTCGAATTCAACAAACAACAAGCTGAAATCATAGCAGCTGGTTTGGAAGGCCTGGAAAAATGCCCCTTCTGCGATTTTCAGGCCATTTGTGATGATATCGAAATCGACCCTCTTTTTGCCTGCCAGAATCCTGAATGTGGACTTGTCTCCTGTCGCAAATGCCGGCTCGAAAATCATCTACCAAAAACTTGTGAGCAACACAAAAAAGACAATGATCTTGGTGCGCTTCATCGTGTTGAAGAGGCTAGGTCCGACGCTGTCATGCGAACATGTCCTAAATGCAAGGTCAAGATCATGAAGGAAGATGGTTGCAACAAAATGATCTGCTCAACTTGCAGAACATTCATGTGTTATGAGTGTCAGGAAGATCTCTCTAAGCTTGGAACTCATGTTTACGATCACTTCAACAAGCCCGGTTCCAAATGCTCTCTATATGATCGGGTGGGCGTCGATCGCCATGAAGCTGAGGCAGACGACGCTGAGAGGGAAGCTATCAGAAAGGCGAAAGAAGAGGATGCTACCATTGACGAATCAAGACTTCGTGTCGAGACAGGCAAAACCAAGCCAACACCATTACAAATGCACCCTGCTCACGACCTCTTCGCCCAACATGAAGCCCTTGCCCGGAATTGGCACCCCGCTCGACATCATGCAGCGAATCCCGCCCAAATGATTGCGGAGATGCAACAGATGGCAGTGAGACAAATGGCCGAGGCTGACCGACAACGTGCGGCAGCAGCGAGACGAATAGTAGAAGCCAATCGAAACGAACACGGAGACAGATTGAGGAATTTGCTGCTTGAGACCGCCCGTAATAGCGTTGCTCGTCCACCTCGTCATGATGCTGCTGCGCCACCAGCCACTGGAAATCGGGCAACTCCCGCGCCGGGCGCTGACAATGCTAATGGGGGAATATTTGGATATCCAGCTTGGTATACTGCTGAAGTTGCTGCCAATTATCCAGCGAACGTTAACCATGCTCCTGCTCAACATGCCATGCCTCCCCTGCACCCAGCACCTCACGGACTCCCGCCGGGACCGCAGCATGCGGGTGCTGTGCCAAAGGATGATCGACGTAGGGCGACACGTCGACCCCGGGTTCCAGCAGCGCTAACAGCAGCAAACATGGCTGCCTACGGTATGAACCAAATCAATGGGCCTGAACATGTTCGCGCCAACCAGCATCCATGGCATCCACCTCTCGGACTAGAGGGAGGCGACCAGGTGTTTGACCTCCCCCACAATTGGCATCTTGCGGATGACTTTGGCTTCCAGGACCTCTTCGGGCGACCGCCTGCAGTCTGATTCTTGAACGAGTTTGAAGTGGTTGGAGGGCACCCAGAGGGCTGGACTGCTGTGAAGTGCTTATGTCAATCAACCGCGTGACACAAGAGCATCAAAATCCCATCAAGCAGAATGTGTTGGAATTGAACTCTCAGGATGATTGGTGGGAACCACACCGAACTTTCTTGTCATTGGACTGATATGGGTTCATTTTGCTCCTGTTATTGGCTTCCCGCAGCCTAAGAACTTCAGATGTGCTTTCAATTTTCTTTCAGGAGGGGAATGTGGACTTGTTGGAGTACCCTTGGCGACTTCTTGAACAGCCTTGGATTGTTATGAGTATGATTGAGCTTCATGAAACGAGCCTTAAAGGGCCGATGAGCTAGGGAATCAATTGTCAGCCGGCGCACGTCATGAGTACACATATCACCGTGGAGGAGCAGAGCACGGCAGAAACCACTTCCGGAGTAGTTATACCGTTAATCAAAACTCCAAAGGGGAGGTGGTCTCAAGTAGTGCTTCTTCTCCAGAGACTTAATTAACAGAATTGCATTCGAGAAAAAGAAACCCACAGCTTGAGACCTTGGCGAGTTCTTGATGTAGATACTTCATGTCGACCTGGTCATGACCTCTCTGCTCTCTGCCAGGGACATTTAGTACATTGACCCCCTGGCTACTTGCCGCATGGTAACAATTCTAGCCAAGGCAATGAATGCCATAGTCTAACTACTGGACGCTCACGACCTCTCCTCGTCATCACAACACACGACCAACGTAGCCTCGAAGCAAGCTGACCGGGAGCCGAAAACCCATCATAAAACAACCATTATTCCAGCCGAACCTCCGTGCATACCATGCCGTACCCATGATAATCTCCTGGGGAACCTCCCGCGTCCCTCATCCCTCCGCTTAGTATTATCCACGCTGATAATCCGTCGAACTGCCGCCGCCCGGCTTCCGATTGACGTCGGGGGGCTCGAGGTCCAAGTCATCATACTGATACAGGGCGTCGTCCGGGTCGAACTTGGCGGTTCCGGCGCCGTAGGACATTTGCTGGCGCCGTTGCTGTGCGGGTCTTGGGTTCGCCGTTGCCGCTGCCGTTGCTGTGGACGAAGACGCGTAGCTGAGTTTCGCGGCCGACTCCTCTACCCATACTTCCATGCGCAGCTCGCCGGCTTCGAGGCGGCGGATTGCGTGGGTGCGGGCATTGGGTCGCGGTGTGGTTGTGGTGGAGGATGGTGGTTGTGGAGGCGGAAGGGCTCCGGAAGGGTGTTTGGCGTTCTGGTTCTTGCTCGTTCCCGGTGCACCGCCTTGATCGTCGTCGTCAAACGGTTCGGGTTCCGCGGCGATCCATTTCCTTTCTTCCCGCTCGAGCCGTCCGACGGGTCGGTCGGCCTGGTCTTTGACTTCGATGGTCAGCGTGAAACTGCACTCTGGCGCCCCTGGCCCTTCCGGTAGTGGTGACAGTTTCGCCGCCGCCGTACTGATGCGGGACAGCGTCGCGCGGAAGTTGGATTCCAGGTCGCTGACGTTGACTTTTCGGGCCAGTGGAGTGTCGACGCTCGTCTCGTGATTTGCGGGTTCGTCGTCATCAATATTGTTGTTGTTGTTGTTGTCTGGCGATTCAAAGGGCACGTCGCGGTCACGTTTGGCGACGGCGGGGAAAGAACGCAGATCGAAGGTCCAGCGTTCCAGGACGCGGTTCTCGTCGCACTCGTAGATACACAGCGAGACCTTTTCGACCGTGTTCTTCTCGAGCTGGTCGCGGGTCGCGGCCACGGCGTCGTTGATCCAGCGGCATACGGCCGGGTGGCGGCTCTGGCGCACTGGGTAGTTGTACGCGCGCGCGGAGAGGAATGAGACGGGCGGGTACAGCCTTCGCAGATAGAGGATGTGGTGTGTCGTCACGGTGAGGAATGAGGTCAGTGTGTCCAGAAGAGCCCGGTGTGTTGAGAGGAGGTTGGAGATGGTGTTTGGGTTGGGTGGTGGTCCTGTCATGGTCGTGTGTGTGTGCGGTGAGGCTTCGGTGTCGATCCCTTGGGTGGCCAATCTGGAGTATTTGATAGATGTGAGAGCTTATTCTGAGGTCAAGCACTCCTCAAGCATGATATGAGGCATAGTTTCATGGATCAATACTATTGATTGCGACACGTTTGGATATGCTCGTCATAGACATTCTTTCCTCTGCGTTGCTTATGGATATTCTCGAGTCATCTCGATTTCAAGTCATCCACAGCACGGAAGCTGGCTTTGGAATGTTATCAGATCATAAGGTGTTCAACACAAAGATCTACTCATATATATTGTCATTGTCATTGGCTCAAGATGGCTCCTGCCTGGGCCGTGGTCATGTTGCGGCCAATAAGAAGGAGAATAATTACGGCGGAGCATTAGCCTACATTCCAGTCTAATAGCTCGAAGGGAGGGTCTCGTTTTCTTCTCCTTCATCGAACTCTGGCTTGTTATAGAGATAGAAGGCAAGAGGGAAGTTGACGTGGTCCTCAAATAAGTACAGACTGAAAGGTGTTGGAAAGCTGCTTGCTGATCAACCAGTTGAGCCTTCCGACAAATTTCCGCAATTAAAATCCCATCACTTGATCTTCTTGTGCTCCAAGTTTCCATTGGTATCACCGCCATTAGTACTGGTATCCTGAGCAGGCGGATCTGAGACCTTCACGATCTCTGGAAGTCGATATATCCTGGGCCAAATCATGACATAATGTTCCTGGTCACCATTGAGTATATGTCGAAGATGAATACCCCAGACGATGTAGCAATATGCACCAATACCGGTCATCAAGTGCCACCATCCATGGCCTTCGAGGAAGAAGCCCCATGGCATACCAATGCTTCTGCGCCAGCTTCGAAGAGTCGAACAGTATTTGATGTCCAAGGCCCAGATGCCGAAGCCTCCAAGGAAGATGGAAAGACCACATGCAACAAGCAGCCACATCGTGTTCAAAATCTCCATATCTCGTTTGTTCTCGTATTCGTTCTCTGCCTTGTTCTTCAAGGGGTCGTCTCGTAATTCTCGCTCTCTTCGGTGCTTCTCCTCGCTCTTTCTCAATGAGGGGCGTAGCGTAAACTCCATGCGATATATGCTTTGAAAGACAATGAAGACCGTCATGGCGGCATAGACATTCTGATGGAAGGTAGGATCCTGGATATAGTGGTAATATACCGTGATACCCGCACATAACAAGGAGAGAAACAGACCCAGAGCAATTTGAACGCTGGCGGACTGAGAGTAAGAAAGGCTGGCGTAGGCCATGAGGCACGTAGTATAAATCATGTTGAGTTCGTCGACCAGTTGCCATGGATCTAGGGTTGTCAAAGTACAATTCCACGATGGGATGGACTAGCACCTACATTTCAGAGTCGAATGAAACATGAAACTTCCAAATCCCACGAGGAAGTAGCCATAATATGCGACCTCAAACACAGTATCATGGCCATTTTTTCTGCAGCTTTTGACGCCCTCATATGCCAGATATATGAACATGAGATTGGTCAAAGTATTGATGATTTCGGCCGAATAGTAGGTGACATAGTAGTCCTTGTCTCATCAGCAAAGAACAACGTGACCCAACACGGCCACAGGTTTGAGTACCTCTTCGCACCACTGTAGAGTCGAGGTGACGGGGTCCCAGAATCCCGGCTGGTCCGGGGGAGGGTAAGGAATGGAGGGAAGCCAGGAAGGCATGTTGATCAAATTATGTTAAGCAAAAGTCTAGATGGGTATCATATTGAAAAGAATAAGTCGCTTTACGCAGGACTGAGCACTGATATTAGTGGAAAAGGAAACGAAAGGTTTGAATCATAATACTTGAATTGCGACCATAATCGGTGGTGAGCTGAGTCCTACTAGTATGAATACGTGTTTGCCAGAAGGGACGTGGCCGATAGGATATGACGTAGGCCGAGGGCTCCGAGTGTGCACCCGGATCCTTACCAAGTCCACCAAGCTTTTACCCTTGTAGTGCCCGAGGTGCCCCTCATTGTACCTCTTTAGGGATCAAACCTGGAGCCGGAAAAAAGCCCTGATAGACACGCCAAACGCCTAAGAGCCTCATTACCGGGAGTTGTGTTTTGTTAGCTCGTTGAGGCTCAATTGATCCGACACTTCTCTCTACTTCTTGTCCAGACTCACCATGGCTATTCCAAACGCCGCCCTTCAAAAGGTAGGTGATTCCAACCACTCTGGCATAGGGACTGCTATCTGACACGCTCCGTTCCAGCTCCTCCAAGAGGTCGAGACGCAAGCGCTTCTTTCTCAGCAGAAGATCACTCAAACGCAGGCAGAACTTGGTGCCAAACGGAGAGATGCACGCCTGAATCACCTTACATCCAATGAGTTGAAATCTCTGTCCAAAGACACAAACGTCTACGAGGGCGTTGGCAAGATGTAATTTCTCCTACACCCAGAAACCGGCCCACGATAAGTTAATCACTTGAACAATAGGTTTGTCGCAGTCCCGATCACCACTCTGAACCAACGCTTGACTACCGAGTCGACCACTTTAAACAAGGACATCGCAGACCTGGAGAAGAAACTGCATTATCAAGAGACCACCTACAAGAACAGCCGCAGTCACATTGAGAAGATTCTTCAAACAGGCTCTCGTCCCTGAACAAGAAGGATAGTGGGACGACATGAAAAGCGAGGCCGTTATACAAGACATTCAGTGGCCGAATCCATTGGATGCACAGACTTGGGTGCCTCGATCCTCAATCAATGATGAAAGCCTAGGAGCTGGCTCTAGGTCCACCGTCCAAGAATTGTTCACAGTGGCATGGATCTCAGCGTAGGCTATTCTCCCTTTCCAATCAGTGGCCAGGTTCTTTTGTAATCCTGATGGACCAGACACAACAGAAGTAAGGTCGGCTGGAGATAGTAGGTAGGTTGGGTATCACTGCCCAGAGAAACAGAGGGGAAGTTCTGCAACAGTGAAGCACAGATCTGTTTGCTAGTCAGTACAATACGTGACGGAACCCCGCCAGCCAGCGATGAAAAACATAAAGACCAGCACACCACGAATCAAGGGCATTTCCTGCCAGACACAACATAGATAGCCATGTCTCTAATGCAAGCAAGGTGGAAAGGTGAATGGGGAATGGTAGATTGAATAGTCTATGATAACCCCTTCACTTGTACGTAGCCATAGTGGCCATCGAACGAAAACAACACGAGATCCACCGACCTTTCATCAAGGTCCGCAAGACCGCAAACGCTGAATGACGCAACCTCTGCTTTGACTGGTTTGAGGTTCGCTCGTTATATCACACGGCATGTTTAGGGATACGACTACAGAGTAAGCGATTCTGCAGGCACTCGCAACTTGAGCTCTTAAGGTCTGCCCGGATCGGGTGAAGACGCTTTAGCCCTCGGGGAGGGTGAGGCTAGTCAACTTTCAGCGGTGGGTTATGGCCTATTCTTAACTGTTTGATCGCCCGACGAAACAACAGTGTTACAGAACATTCTCTCCAAGAGTATTATAGAAACAACTGAATTACTCACTCGGCCATGGAAGCGGGTATTCATTGGCCGAATGAACGCCCCGATCTCATCCTGATGATCAAATTGTCGCCATGCTCCTCAGCTAGCGTCGCGTCCCCCCGTACCTTTGCAGACAAGTCATCTGCATGGGCTGCATGGATTGCATGGGTCGGGTCTGGTCTGGCCCCCAATCTTGTGGGATTTGGCCTTTGTGTGCTTTTGTGGTTCGGGTTCTGGCGTTTGGTGCCAGTCAGCAGCCGCAACCCTTGAACTCAGGTGGTAAAATCGGGGGGCTCTTAGGGCGTACAGGCCCTGGACAGTGGACAACGGGCAGCAGCAAACACACTGGAGGCTCCAGCTAACTAGCTAGCACTTACCCAAAGTCGCTCGTACAAATTACCAGCACACGCGCTTCCTCGGTCTTCTTGCAGCGTCCTTTGGTCTCCTGAGTCCCAGTGCAATACGGCCTCCTGTGCGTGGGATTCTGTGACTCTTGATAAAGCCCAACCGCATCCCCACTATCAGCTGAAATTGCAGTCTCGTTCTCAACCCTCCAAAACCATCTTCTCATCACTCCCACAGCACAGTCTTCGTCTCTTTCGAAAGCCGTGCAACCTTGATCTGATTATAAAGTGTCGCCTCCCGATCTTCTCTGCCCCTGCGTTCCTTGCGCCCGAACTGTTTGGAAGTCGTCTTAAGCAACCGGGCGTCGATTATCCCTACCCCACCCCACCTTCCCACACAACTACGTTTTTGACCCAGCAATCACTGTCACTCATAGGGCTGAAGAGTGGGCACTGGGCAGCCTACACACTGTGGATCGGCACCGATTCTGGGCAGCACAGCATAGTACATTAAGTACACATCTATCGTTCAATCCTGCAGCCATGCCTTATTCCAGACGCTCCTCAGGTTCTGATGCCGAATATGTATTGATGCCAGTTCGCAGTCATGCGGGTAGCGAGTATGGACGCTCTCGTCGTGGCGGTGACGGGCGGCGCTCTCCCGTGGAGGCGGTGGTCAATAACTATCTAGGCGTGCCTCAGCAACGACCTCGGGCTTCAAGTCAAGGCGGGGGACCTGCACCTACTATCGTGAACATTGGGACCCTCCCATCCGAAAGAGGCCATAGCCGGTCCCGCAGCCGTCATCGTCGCAGAAGCAGGAGCAGGAGTCGATCCAGTTCCGAATATTCTAGCGATCGATCCAGATCATACCATCGCAGCCGTCGTGGAAGCTACCGACCAAAGAAGGTGGTGGGCGAGGATGACGTTCCATACCACCTTCGTAAGGAAATCGACTACGCTCGGCTCTCGCGAAAAGAAGAGGAGGAGAGAAGACTGATGGAGAGGATGAAGAAAGATCGTGAAGAGGCCAAGAAACAATGGCAGTACGAAGAAGAGAAGGAGAAGGAGCGTGCCAAACGAGACCGTGAGGATGCAAAGAGGCGATGGCAGATCGAGGAAGATCTCGAGAAGGAACGCAAGAAGAAAGAGCGTGAGGCAGTCCTGCTGGAGGCCAAACTGGAAGAAGAACGGAAAAAGAAAGAAGCCGAAGAGTTGAGGAAAAAGGTGCTGAAAGACGAGGAAGAAAGAATCAAGAAAGAGAAGGAGAAGAAGAAGGCTGAGGAGGAAGAGTTTGAGCGAAAGGTCAAAGAGAAGTTCATGAAGGCCGGTAAGCGAAACTCCAGTGTGTGGCCAGCCTATGGCTACTACTATTATTCCTCTCCCTATCCCTACTATGGTTATTATTGATGATGGTTCGCTGGGTGGTTGGGCCAGAGTTTGGGCTGCGAGTGGTCTCTTTGGCTTGCTTTGCTATTCTCGCGCCATGCCTCCTCTTTTGATCTTGATCCCTTTTTCTTTTGCATGGGTGGCTAATTGTTTTCGGTGTCTTTTTGTTGGGCAAACAGGCTACAGTCCAGACTACATTGAGGAAGTGCTGCACAAGAAGAAAGAAGAAAAGACGACATTGGCAATTGATCTTCATCGGCCGACTTACATCAAAGTCAATCGCAAATATCTACATCCTGATACTCTGGATGCCTACGGACTACCTTGGGAATGGGACGGGGTATGTGCTACTTTGACTTTTCCTTGACTCCTTTTTGATAAACACAATTGACTAATTCCCATGGTGTCCCACAGCGAGACGAGGAATACATCATCATCAAGAAATACATCGACCACAGTCTACAGGACGAGTTGTTTGAACACACACGGAAACTCAAAGAGCGCAAACTCATCACCGGTCCCTACATTAAGGAGACCAAGACCATCACCACACTGACGCCCAATGACACTTTTGTCAAGAAAGGTGATAAAATGTATGTCGTCCGTGAGAAGAGTCAGACTCGGAGCAAGAGTCCTGCTGGTCGAAGATCTAGCTGGATGTTCACATGAAGAGAACGGACAGAGAAGTAGGGCTGGGTGGCTATCTATGTTGATGCTGATTGCACGACCTTTACTTTTCTCGAAACTTGCATGAGATTTGGAGTGAATGTGGGACGGACGGAGGATGATTGGAATATTTACGAAGGAACGACTTTTTTTGCAAGATCCAACATGGGCATCTCATTTCCTGTTATTCCGTTATGTATATGTCGGGATGAAGGCCAAGAAACTTCCCCAATGAACAAATGAGACAGTGCTCGCGCAATGGTTTGCGGTTAATGAATCTATATACAGTATCGACCCAGGTATACAGCTCTGCTCCAATTGACTTGACTTTGGCCTGTTGAAGAAAAATACATGGGAACCTACCTACCTAGGTGTCCAGAATGTAAATATCGTGTATGACTCGTTACTCAGCGAGGCTCAAAGCACTTGCAATGCAGCTCCTAGATTCAAACAACAGTATTGAATGAGTCATGCAGACTCTAAAGCAGGACTTGATCACTGGATCAGGCTGAGTGAGCTACGGACGGAGCCCTCTTGCAGCACAGCGTCCCTGCCAACAGATAACGTGACTCCGGGTACGGTAGATTTCAACTTGGCTCATCATGCCAGACCGTCGCTTGAGATTTCGAGATCGGAAACCACCTACCAACGAGGGAGGCCAAAAAAAGGAGAAAAGAAACCACAGAACTTTACTCGTATGGAAACCTGACGTTGAACCTCCCTGTCATTTATTTCAGCTTCGGAACTTTCATTGACATTTCCGGGAGGGGCCTAGAAATCGACCTTCGACAGATAAGAAGGATAAGCAAAGCACAAATCAGTGCGGGGTATTTATTTTATTGGAATCCAGCAACCTCGCACTTAGGTCCAGTACACTGGGAGGCCCAAAGAGGCAAGGGACGAATTTCTCACACACATACATCTACATAGAGAGAGCACCTAGGTATCTTGGCCAGTGATCACAGAGAGGAATAGCACTGTAGGTAGTGTGTTGAGCATCCAGTCAGACGCACATGACAACTCAGCCTTTGATCGTGCGTCGTGCCAGGAAGGGAGCTGAAAAGAACACACCCAACCTCAGGAGGTGAGGGGGAGAACCTGGTAGGTACATACGAGTACGTGGGCACGTCACGGATAAGAATCTGTACGAGGGACTTACGAGGTACACCCTCGGTACATGGCGAGTCGGTGAGCAGCAAGCATCGCCAAATACGAGTCTGGTCAATTTCCTGCCGGCAAGCTTGTACCTGGGAAGTCACTCACTAAACTGGTCTGGTCTGATTGGCGCTCATTGACCGCCTTACCCGTGGGGCTTGTGGCGACCTGGGCAAGCCTGAGCTCGTTTGTGGCGGCCCTGGTGGTGGATCGGCGGGCCTGGAATGCTCTGGTTCTGGGCTTCTTGCTCTTTTGCCATCGCCGTGCACCCATGGTGGATTCGGGGTTTCTTTAGCCTCGAGTTTAGGGTATTTAGCTGGGTACGTACCTACCGTACTCCTCGTATTTATCGCTGCCCAACCAACCTTCATGCTGGGACTAGAACCGTGGAATGTGTTTCCAGCTGCTAGTTACTGCTGTGTGTTCATTTGCCCGCCCATGGATTTGGGTGGTTTGATTGCTTTGCTTGTTGTTGGTGTCGTGGGTGTCTGGGTGTACTTGACGTACGAAGTATTCCCTTGAAGAGTGGTGGGAGCCTGAGCATTCTATTTAGTCAGATATTGTGGTCTACATGAGAAGGTCCCCCAGAGAGGGTTCATGGTATATGAGGACGTGCGTTGTAGAGTAAACTATGTGGGAAACCACAATAGGTGTCGACCTCAGTGGCCGGGTGTCTGCTCTAACTACACCTCGTCCTCTGTCCTGCTATATACTTGCAAAAGCACCAGTGATGAAACCCACCTCACCTGTGCTTGAACCGAACAACAACTAAAAGACACAAGCATTCCCCAGGCTGGGGGCACCTCCCTGTTACCTCAAGACAAGCAGCATTGAACCTCGTAGCTGCATCTCTCATCCGCCAGTCCCATGGCTCTCAGAAAGTCAAGTGTCCCCACTCAAGTGGCGATTCTAGCACTGCTGGACGATGAAATTCACAACAAGACACCACGTTAGGAAATCCAAGAGTCCCAAGATGGTGAAACGGGGACTGTGATTGCATCTCAGAGGCTCCGGACCATTTCAAGTGTCATCTGGTTGGACGACGATGGGGGCCACGGGGTACGGGTCTAGCCATGCAGCTTGCATGGAGCTGGGGCTTTGGGGGCGTTGCTTGTGTTGGTCGTGAGTGCAATGTTATTTGAAGGATGACTGGGAAATGGGGGAAAGGTGGAGAGCAGAAACCTGATCGTAGAGCTACTTGCAGATACTACAAGAGTTCCCGTGCGGCTAGGTAGTCCCGAGTCAGAAGAGAGGGGTTCCCAAGCCTGCAGTGCACGAGCAAGAAAGCAGGGAAAGCATCTGACAAAGGCACCGAATCGGCTTGTAGAGGCAAGAGAGACAGACGGTGGTGGTGGCGACTTCAGACAAGTGAAGGGGGGAAATAAACATGGCAAAGGCAAAGGACCGATGAGGCAACCGTGGATTTCCCGTCTCGTCTCGTCTCGAATGCAATCAGTGGATCTCGCAACTCCTGGACCCCAACTTCACAAACTCGACGTGATGTGGACCCTGGGCTACGAGCCTACGAGTCTTCATACAGGACACTAATGGCGTAGAATTGTTTCTTTGAATGCTCGATTTGAATCTACATGTACAAATCCATTCTATCATTTTCCCACGAGATTCATGTTTCGATACATACCGGGTCATTGTCACCAAAATTCAACAGCAGCAGGAAATCAGCACGTGAATGCACAGAGGTTTTGGTAGAATTTCATTCATGGACAACACTATTATGGCATGTATCTAATGCTTGGTGGATTCTGCTTGTAACAGAAAACATGTCCATTGATATCACGCGAGGCTAGAATATCGACTTTGTTACCGATCGGTTGCTTTTCGAGTAAGGAACGCCTTGTCGATCACCTTGGTATCATGCGTAGATCCTGAAGATCTAAGATCCCTCCCGATGGAATATGTGCTCATTTGTTCATCAATTATCTCACGCACTATGTTCCCTTCCCATTTAAATCGCCTGCCCAAGGGTCATGGCAGGATGATGTGCCAGGTTCGGTCTGCTCAACTCGGGACTCATTGCATAGCGTTCACTCTTGGGGCTGTGGCTGTACTTTGAACTCGACCCGCCCGGACTTTGAGCTGTTCTCGTCAAGGATGAATCTTGAGGAAAAGGGCTGGAGATGGCCATGTGCATCTTTGGCGTTTGGGTCATGTCACCATTGTTCTTGCGGGAATAATATGATGGAAGAGAATCGCGCTTGCTGCCAAGGAAAAAGGAGCGGTAATGACTTTTCCGGTTTGGAAACTTGGGAGTCGATGCTTCTACATCTGCCTTGTGGGAGGCCACTGCACCATGAGATCGAACTTGACGTGCTGTGAGATGGCTCTCCTTGTCTCGGAATATGTAGCTCTGAGATCAGTTAGTTATTATTGAGTCGGTAGGGAAGTTTAGCTCACAGCCAGGATGTTGATGGGACCCATAACCAAGACAACAATGCCTGAAGCAATCACAACACGCCAGAATGGGAGACCCAAACTCTTTTGACTCGTGGCTTCCTTGTTGAGATTGCCAAGTATGCTAATGCCGAGGAAGATCATGACGAATCCGAGCATGACGAAACCAGATCGATGACTGAAGAGTGGCCAATTGCGGGAGACATAAGTCTTGAAGAGAGGGAGCTCGGTGAGGATGAGGAAACCTGAGGGATTTCAGTCTTGCCAACCAGATTGAAACGACATTGGGAACATACCACCCATGATGATTCTGATGACATGCTCGCAAGCATCGAAGAAGAAGAATTTGGAAACGATGAAAGTCTTGACCAGCATGACTGAACTCGCCGCAATGATGGAGAGAAATGCTATTATGTTCATGGCCCGGATGATATTGAGCACGACGTATCCAGCGCCGAGCAACGATCTCCCAAAGATAGGCATGATTTCGAGATAGATATTGATTAAATGTTGTTAGGAGGTTGTAAATTTGAAGGCTTTTGTTTGAGTGGGTATCAAGTGCACAAAGAACTTTGTCAAGGAGGAGTATAGGTGTAGTTATGAGCGAGAGGCAGTGATAGTACGAACAGATGATGAATACAACAATAGAACTGCGCTAGGCTATTGAGCAGCCACGGGAAAAATGAATAGGGAAGGGAAGAGTGAAGATTTGGTCAGAATGGGAAAGCAAGGCAGTTTTGGACTCTGGACGAAGTACGGCAAAACGGACAAGGCTCTTTCACAGACCTTCTGATCGACAGGTCGACCACAAATCGATGACTCCGAGTTATTATTGTTGTAAGCGCGCGAGCATGAGATCAAAGCTGTAGTATATAGGTTGGGCACTTGAGAAAATGAACGCGACTATTGGCTGTATGTGGCAATTGTCTGAGAAAACAGACATGCAGTTTCAGATATGGAGGAACATTTTGGTTTGACCACATGGAGAAATGATCGATCTTGAGATGATTCAAAGACTGCAGAGATGATGATTTCCTCAGGCTTTCGAGAGGCGTGGTGAAGGAGTGGCTGTGGGTTGTCTCCCAGGTGAAGCCTGAGAGAACCTGAAACGCGCTTCAGGATTGAGTTGATTGCCGACCAATGAATCAGGCGCCTCATGTCATTGACAAGGTTGAAGTTGATATGGCTGTAGCCTGCCGGAGAAAAGTAATTGCGTCAATTCTTACTCTTACCAGGTCGTCACTGCCGTATTACCACCTCAGGGCTCACGCTGGTGACAACTTGAAGGAAGGTCACGGTGGTGAGTCAAACTGGAAGGAACGTGCCAGTGGTCGTGGTTGCCTTGCCCAGAAACAGATGGTTCCTCTTGCTGCTATAACATTATAGCCCCCAAAAATCTTATTCCGCCGCTGCCTCAGATTTGGTCCTTCATTCATCCCTCCATCTCACCGACTGCACTCAGCTGCACTTCTATCTTACCAGGAATCGACTGAAACACCTCGGTGGTCAACTAATCTGATTTACCACGCGCCTGCTATCCTTTTGGCAGCTTACTGAGACCAGATACCTGCAAAGATGACTCGTGGAAATCAGAGAGACAAGGCTCGGGAGAAGAATCTCAAAGATCAGGCTGGACAGGTAGGTGGCACGAACCCGACCGACCATCAGCTTCGCCCTCTCTTCGATCCAATATTACTTCTCACACGACACGCTTCTTCCACCAACACTCACACGGAAGCCCGCCCGTAATCACAAGTTCACTGGACGCTGACCAGCCCAATGCAACAGAAAAAGAAGAACACACAATCCGGCACCGAGTTCGCAAAGACTAAAGAGGACCAGGCCGCCATAATGCGTGCCAAGCAAGCAAAAGGTGGGTGATATATAGCGAACTCTTGGACTGTCTTCTGTCTGACCTTTCTTTCTCTCAGCTGCAGAAAAGGCGGCCGCAGGTGGCGGCGGCTCTGCGAAACAGAAATAACACAACCTCAGTTGGTCCAGGGGCACGAGAGAACGTATGCGCATGACTGCAACTGACCACACACCCTCCAACCTCCATGCTTCTCACTGTGGACGGACGAAATGAATTTAGCGAGGTGTTTTATGGTGCGCGACATTGACACCATTAGGCTGCACAGTTGGAGATCACACAAGTCCTTTGGAGTTCAAAACTAGATAGCCTGAAAGGAATCTGTATCGTGGACCCCTTCGTGAGCCGTTTGATATCGCAGTCTTTTCCCACTTTGATGACTTGGTATTTTAAGACCGCAGTCCCGTAGAGTGCCGGATAGTTGACATGCTGGGCCTTGAGTTGTTCGATCTTGTAAATCCACACGGTAGCACTAGCTGTATAAACCTCATATAGCCCGTCTTACCATGGGGCCTGCTGTGCTCATTCTATCTCAGCCTGATCTCATCCTTTTCAGTGTGTACTTGACGCCGCTCTATCGCGTCAGCCAAATCGTTCCTCAAATATCAGATGACTAAGCTGAGCCGACTTCATGACATTCTGGTCTCAACGTCGCCAGCAGGACATGAAACCCACGTTGCACTGAGAGATCGATTAGAAAGTCTTCAATTCATCCATAATATTCAACAATCTGTGATGTAAAGCAGACCTCTTCCTACATCGCTGCCATTGAAAATGGGATTGCTAGAGAGGTTTGCCATCCCGTCTCCTCCCTTTTCCCGACACTCAAACAAAAATCATTCTAACTCCATTATGAAGCATCAAGCCCTTCTGGCCGCTGCTTTTCACATTCGTTCTTCCACGCGCGATCAACTACTATCGCGTGGTAAAGACAGCCATCAGAACCAGGCCGCCACCAAGACCGCTACCCGAGAAGACTGGACGAGGGCTCAACGCGCTCTTTGCCTCGATATGTCTCTTTCTCTACGCCTCGCTACCATTCCGAGGGGCCCTGGAAGATCACAATATCTTCGTCGTCACCCAGTCGCATCTTATGATGTCGACAGATGTTCTCTTCGGCCGCTTGGCCCTGATGCGTGAGAATGGCATGTTGACCTCTGTTGACGAGGCTCTCAAATCGAAACTTACTTCTTCCACGTACGTCCATGCAAACTACCTTGGACTACCCTGTTCTCTCCCCCTGCCAATACCTAGCCAGTGAAGCAAATTATCCCCGTGCTGACCGAAGACCGAACCTCCAGCGTCCGTCAAATGTACCTCGCCTTCGGCCCCTCAACACTACTGAAATGTACATTCTGCCACCCGGACGATACGACATCATATCTCCTGTACCACCTCCCGACCAACGTCCTGGGCCCTCACCTCCTGCACATCCTGCTCGTGGGGATCGCAACATCTGAAGCCGTCTCCGGCATCGAAGCACACCACTGGCGGCAGCGAGCCCTCATTGGCAGCCTCGTCCTGCTCGGCATCGACGCATACCTGACCAGCTCTTACTACCCAGTCATCAACCCGAGCATGCCCGCTCCGGCCGGAACGTTCTGGCTGGCGGCTTCTCTGCGGTACGTGACGCTTTGCGCGTTCGACGCGGCCGTCGCATTCCTGATCTACGCGTCGGCGACGCGGCGCTTCCTGCTCTTCAGCGCCCCGGCGTCCGCAGACCCGGAGCTCGCGCGCCGCCGCCAGGAGGAGATGCTCACGCAGGCCAACGTTTCGCTGCAGATGGCCTCGACGAACCTGCGCGCCTACTCGGTCGCCAGGAACGCCGTGCTGCGCAACGACCTCCTCAAGGCAACCGATGACGAGTACTGGCGTGCCGTCGTCGCGTTCGAGGGAAGCGAGGGTGACGAGACCCTCTTCGAGGACGAAGAGGTCCAGGCCGCCTTGGCTGCCGCTTATGGCACCGGTAAAATCGACGTGCAGACCATGCGTAGGGAGACTGCTGCCTTTGTCGCCAATGTGACTAAGGGTCTGTGAGTTTGGGTTCGTTAGGGATGCATGGTGTTAGCTTTTTGTTCTAGAATCTAGACCGGCTTTTCTGCGGTTGTATGATAGTCTTTGGATATGCGGAATCGGGATTTGACAGCCTTCTAATCAAGTTTCAATTGACCACCAGTGACAACTTATCTCGTGGAGTGTCGAGCTCTCGTATATACAATATGGGGCACTGGACGTGATACTGGCAATTGTACCATAGCTGACTGCGTGGCTTTGGGCTCAATATTTCAGCTATTGCTACTGGCTGTGTTGTAATTTTCTCCAGAACATCTCCAAAATGTGCTGGCTGGGTTTGACAATCGTTACTCATAAATGAGCCGAAGCACTAATAAGTTCCGTCGGCTCTGGCTCATCAATCATCGGGCTCATCTTTAATCACGATAGCCTCATCATCATCTTTCTCTCTCTTGATGAACTCTCTCTCCACCACCCGCTGACCGTTCCGTCCCATAATCTCCTCCGCGAAAATCACCGTCTCCACGCCAGCAGGGACTCTTTCCTCTTCACCTTCGGGCAGAGCATCGATATCAATTTCTGCGCCGATCAAAGATCTCAAAATCACCTCGGCACCCGCTTTACTCATTATCATGTTCTTCTCCTTACATCGTTCATCGCAGATACATTCCGTACAGCCTTCGATACAGTGACAAGCAGAAACACGCTGGACAGCACGTTCCAGAAGCACGTCGATGAACTCAAAGGCTTTGGCTGCAATGCCGGAACCTGCCGCACCGCCTTTCGCATCGTAGAATGTCAAACGTGCAGGCCTCTTCCTTTGTGTTTCTTTCTTGGCAAATTCTTTGAGAGCGTTCTTGCATTCAGTCCGCACGTCACCGGGCATCGAAACCACAAATTGAGGCATCAGACTCATCATCGCATGCTCAGCCGCATGTATCCCGGCCGCGAGGTTCAAACGTTTGTCTTTGAGGATCTGCAACGCAAACTTGGGGACGTCTAGCCACAAGCCTCGTGAAAAGATGATGACGGGTGGATTGTCCACTGCCACGGCGTCCAGGATACGTCGCTTTTGATCGAGTTTGAAGAAGCCAAACACCACAGCTTGGATTTTGATTCGGCCAAAGTATGCTTTGGTCAGAGATTCTTTTGAAACACGCCGGACTTGCTCGGTCTCGATGGGGTCGACATCGGTGAAGTCTCTTTGTTGTGTTGTCCAGTCGACTTTGACTAGCTGTACTCGAGCAACCTTCCGCTCCGGAGAAAACTCTTTGACCAGGTATGTGCGACCTTGGTGGAGGAATATTCCGCCATCGTAAAGTGTGAAGAAAGCACGCGATGGTTCGACCTCCTCCAGCACGATATTCCGACCATGTGTAATGTCAACAACTGCGAAGTGACCATCTTCTGTGTCTCTGATGCTAACACATTTCGAAGGTGACGGTCGGAATCTCTCATTACAATGGTAGAATCCCAGGGGATCATACGTAAGCCGGGAACTGCAGATCTCTGGTAGCATTTTCCCCAGGAATTTGACATCCTCGTCCGGTTGAACTGGCATCTCAAATGCCGCACACTGAACATGACCTTCAACCACAAGCTCATTTCCGAGATCCACCTGGAGTTCGCAATTAGGCTTGGTGAAGATCTCATCCGGGTTCTGCATGTAATATTGATCGACTGCAAAACAATCACCGACAAGAATTGATAATGAGTCCCTGTTTCGCCTCCCAGCTCGACCACTTTGTTGTCTTAGATTAGCAATTGTGTATGGAAAGCCCATAGTCACAACAGCGTCGAGGGATCCGATGTCAACACCTAGCTCAAGGGCTGTTGTTGCAACAATTCCCATGAGTTTGCCACCGAACATTTCAGATTCGATACGTCTCCGATCTTGGGCTGAATAGCCACCACGGTATCCCATAACAAGAGCAGCACATTCTGGCCTCTCCTGTGCAACAAATTCAGCTTTTACCGCTGCCAGTAGTACTTCGCATTGCTTCCGAACTCGACAGAATGCGATGGTTCGCACACCCCTGAGGATCAATTGACAGATCAAGCGAGCAGTCTCGGCGAACGTATCACCCCGTCCAGAAGATGGATCACCAGGATCCTTGTAGGGTGTGTTCCAGCAAATGAACTCCTTTCGGCCTGATGGTGAGCCATCAAAATCTGTCAATTTCACTTTCTCAACACCAAAGACTGTCTTCATGTGCTCTTCAGGGTTGGCCACAGTGGCCGAGCAGGAGATGAACTTGACTTTGCGATTTCCTACTGCTGCACATATTCGTCTTAGCCGCCGCATGATGAAGGCTACGTGAGCTCCAAATAGTCCGTTGTATACGTGCAGTTCGTCAACGACGACATATTTGAGGTGTCTCAGGAATGTCCTCCAGCTGCTTTCTTGTGGTAAAATGGTGATATGAAGCATATCTGGGTTCGTGAAGATAATACGTCCTTCATCTCGAATAAGATTTCTCTCCTTCATTGGAGTATCACCATCAAAGGTCTCGACAATAACGTCCTGGAAGTTTGGGATATACTTCAATAATTCTTTCATACTTCGCCTTTGATCTTGCGCAAGAGCTTTGGTTGGGAAGATGTACATGCCTCGGCTCTCTGGATCCTTCTCAAGCTCGTGAAGCATTGGCACTTGATAGATTAATGACTTTCCAGAGCTCGTTGATGTTGATACAATCACATTGTTTCCTTCGTGAAGATTATTGATCGCTTCGGTCTGATGCGAATAAAATTGAGTGATTCCTCGACTGTTGTAAAGTGCATTCACCAGGTTTTGAGACAATTGAAATTTGAGTTCACCGTATATCGCTGGTTGCGGATCAAAGACTCGATGCCCATCGGGCACAATCTGATTGCTGTACCACTCCATTTCAGTAATGTCCTTGACAATTTCTGATATTGATAGACGCTCCTTGGGTATAGATTTTGGAGGCCCTGCTTGTTCTGGCCCAGGTGTGGAGGGATTACTGGAAGACGGATATGGAATATATTGCTGCTTGGAGTCGAGAATTCTCTCAACTGCGTCTGTCTGATCCTCTGCGCATTGGTTCAAAAATGCGTTTATGGCTGACACGAATTTGGCATTACGCTTTTCGATCAACTTCAACATTGACTTTTGGCTGAACACTGGCATCTTGAGTTCTTCATTTCTCAATTTTTGCGTTGCTTTAACAGGCTGGCCTGTTTTAGGATCGACCACTTGTCGTTTGAGATCGCCATCAGTGAATTCGAACAAGAGCAATTCCTTTTGGTCCTCTGATTTATTCTTAGGCGCACTTTCATCCTGTTGGAGAGATCGAAAATGATCAGCCCTGCCCCCTTTCACCCCATCTTCTTCTCCCATGAGAGTCACCAATAGATGCTCCTCGTCAACATATGCAAAGTTGATCGCTCGTGGTACTAATGCTTTAACCTGCGCCACTTCCTCGACCAGAAGCGGCTTCTTAATATGTCCTTCAACTGCAGACTTGATATTTTCCCATGTTGTCGCAAAGTGTTTCCTGGTGCAACAGAAAGTATAGACAAGGTTCAGTGCCCTATGCAGCTGCGACAGGTACTTGAAATGCTCCGGCCAAGGGATGTCGGTCTGCACCAAATTTGTGGAGGAGTTCCGTCGGAGAAGAGCAGGTTTCGTGGCTGTCTTTGGCCGCCTCGTAGCACTGCCTCCATCGTGAGTTTTGGTAGGGACTTGGGTCGTAGTTGTGGTTCTAACAGTATTGATCGTGATATCGGATTCTGAAGCAGGCCGTGGTTCCTGAGTTGGTTTGGGTTGTCGCTTGCGCTTGCGATTTACGGGTATGTTAGATACAGTGGCCGCTTGCAACTTCGCCATGAGGGAATATCTCTAGGACAAAGTGTCCACTGGCAAGGGTTTCCAGGTATGAGCGCAGCATTGAGGGCTTTGACGTGGCGTCGAGACAATTTGCACTCCAGAGACTCAAGAAAGGCAAGATCATGACGTCTTCGTGGACTCAACGCGTAAAGTGGTTTTTTGTGGCGCGCAGTCACGTGACACTCTGTTAGCGCGCCACAGAAACCTGTCAAGGAGGTACCCCGGTCCTTCAAGTTCAAGTTGCTTCCCACGCTTTTACGACTCACAGTCTCCACCTGGAAAATGGTATGCCTTAACCTGCTTCGTCAAGCGAGCGAACTGAACCTCTCTCATGGGTCCATTTCACAGTTGGGGTGGCATGTGGTGTTTGTTCCACTTACGGGCAGGTAATCCCATGTAGTCATCTACTCGTACCTCGTATTCATTTCCGGCCTCCACCAGCCCACCTATCATCCTTCCCTAGATACCTAGGCATCTAGGTAGTTTCCATCACTTTCCCCAAGCCAGTATCTGATTCTTGGAATTCATGCAAGGGTCTCGTTCTCACGACCCTTGCTAGAAAAACAGGGGCGATATGGATGTGTCTATACTTGGTGATTCGCCGTACGCGCGTCAAATCCAATGTCCAGGCATTGGAGAAGCCATAGGAGCTGGCGATTGCATTGTTGTGGAATTTGTTAGAACCTCCAGTCACGAAGGTCAATTCACGAACAAAAATCCAAATATCAACCATGTCGCTGGGACTGGATAGAGTTATTCGCAAAACGCTACTTCCAGTCGTGGACAGAGACACTGACACGATAGTCGATAAGAGGTCCACTCTCGCAAGTTTTTACGATAAAAATTTTGCTGTTGCGGATACCACAAATGTTAAGATCTCAGCTTTTGATGTTGCGAATACGCTTAAGGTATCATCAAGTCCGGGCAGTTGCAATCGTGGATGGAACTGAGGATATCGCCATTACTGTGGAGCATGTTCGAGCGAGCTTCAATTTCTGCGGCACCTCTTCCCACGCACTGGACATTGTGTTAAAAACCGAGTGTATTAAGGAAGATTTCGGTACGGCAGCTCTAAAATCCTTCACCGGCGCCATTTCGGACACCATGAAGATCTGCCACAACATGGGATCGTGGGTTAAAGAGGCAACCTCCACAGATTCAGAAGCCGCAGTTCTGGTCTTAAGGGGCTCGTGGTCGTACTCAGCCGCTCAGATAGAGGTTTGTCATGCACTTAACTCATGGGAACAAATTGTGACCCGATCCACAGAGATCTGTCCATCACGATAAACCCAGGAAGTGAGCCTGCACTTACCACATGCGTCACGAGAAGCCTTGACGACGCAATTGATGTTATTGCATAGTAAAAGTCAGATGGTCTGTACACATCGCTTCGCAGTCGGTCCATCCGGGTTCAGCTTGTAATCAGTATATTTCAGCCGATGGACGTGAGCAACTGGTCTCTTCCCAGGGCCTGGTTTCATTGCAACCTGGATTCTGTCGCCTAGAGCGCCCCCCAATGTGCGCCCGAGGATCGGTCTGATGTCTCTTACCGCATCACAACCCGCGTGGAAACCCGGTCACCATGACCTCACCCCTCAAGCCAATTGCAACTGCCCCATCGTCACATTTCTCACAGGAAGTGGCCGATTCGTCTGGTTCTCCCAGCATCATGGTTGATCCATGGGAGAAGAAACGCACCGGCGGTCTTTTCGGTCCATATATTAGTAGTTACATTATTGAAAGATCTTGGTTCGTACTTTGATTTGTCATGACTGACTGTGATTTATTGCTGGAACTGGAATTGGAACTGGAATTCAGTAATTGGAGCTGTTGTTGTTTTGCAGAGCGAAACGTAGGACGTCCACAATGTATCTCCACATCCCGAGATGCTGTGGAGATCTGCCCTTGTAACCGCGAATTTGCTTCCAGAGCTCGGCACTGACTTCGGTTCGGCAAGAACAGGTGCATCATTCAAACCTCATAAGATCGAATGCAATGTCGAACATAAAGGAAAGGGGTTGGCGCCCACAAATTGTGTTTTTTGCAATCATTGTCAATTAATTTGGTTCTGAGGGAAGCTTTGACTATGACTACCACTGCTATACGAACAAGCATTACGAATGGGTTGGATGGATCCACGATCAATGGATCTTCAGATGAAAGCCTCAATATCTTGGTTGTTGGTGCCGGTATTGCTGGTTTGGCTGCCGCGATTGGCTTGAGAAAACAAGGACACCATGTCCAGGTCAGTCAACGCGGTTGATTGAGTACAGCAACTTACTTGTCCAAATAGATCTTTGAGCAGAGTAGATTCGCTCGAGAAACAGGAGCTGCTGTTCATATCGCACCAAATGCAAACGGGCTTCTCAAAAGGCTTGGTGTCAACATGGAGGCCATTGAAGCTAACAAGATGGAGCGAGTATGGATACTTTGCTTGTGTAATCGCGTTGTCACGGCTAATCGACCTCTCTAGTTGACTGAGTACAACTCCAATGGTGAACTCCAGCGGTCAATGGACCTGACTGAATCTAATAAATTATGGCAACACGTGAGAAACATATCCCGGCTACAGTATTTCGCACTCTGACTTGAGTTAGGATTGGCGATTGACACATCGCATACGCCTTCACGAAACCCTGAAAAAGCTGGCCACCAGCGACGATGAAGTAGGTCCACCCGCGTCACTAAACCTCAGCAGCGGAGTAGTTGATTTGAACCCACATGAGGGAACGATCACTCTCAAGGACGGAACAGTCGTCAAAGGCGATTTAGTCCTCGGTGCTGACGGTGTCCATTCCATCTCTCGACGACACGTTGCTGGTGGCGAAATTGTGAAACCACTTGGTTCTGGCAAGAGCGCCTTCCGATTCTTGATTGACCGAAAAGCTGTCGAAGAAGACCTGGCCACAGAGAAGTTTGTTCGCCATTCTGGAAATCTCGTGATATGGTATGGTACGGATCGACGGGTTGTCATGTATCCCACATCGGACAACACTCTCCTCAACTTTGTGTGTATTTACCCAGAAGAAGAATCCGAGGCTGGAGACGATTGGAACAATGACACGAATAAAGAAGCTCTACTGCAAGTATTCAAAGATTTCGACTCGAGCTGTGTTGCTCTGATCAGCAAAGCCAACGCGGAATCACTCAAATCTTGGAAGCTGTTAGACATGCCATTACTGGATACATGGGTTAACGACAGACTTGTTCTGCTCGGTGATTCTGCACATCCTTTCCTACCTCATCAAGGCCAGGGCGCTGCAGTGGCCATGGAGGACGCCACTGCATTGAGCGTAGTGCTGGAGAAAGGTTTGAAACGCAGCGACGTGCCGGCTCGACTTCAACTTTACGAAACGATCAGGTATGAGAGAGCAAACAGGATGCAAGAATACTCGCGGAAATTGGGCAAAGATGTTCAAAAAGACGCAAAATTGGACAGTAAGATCCCCAATCTTGATTCATGAAGGCCAAAGCATTAACCCTTGTAGTGATCGAATACACTAACTACAACTTCGGTCACGACGAGTTCGACAATTCTACTCAAAGGCTCCGAGAGTGGAAATGGGCACAGAATCCCAAGATCTACTGGCGCATGCCCATTGCATTTGGACCAATGCCGGGTCCGCGGCAGTCGCACTACGGTGTGGCTCGAAACTCGGTTGAGTCAACGTTTAGAACTGCCTCGATAAAATTCAAGACCTCACGAACCGTTCTACAAAATTTATTCCCGCCTGGGGCCAAAGGCTACCGATTCAAATCTCCTGGCACAGTGGCATATTGCTCCTTTAGTTGCACCACCCTGGACAAGATGGAGTGGCTCGGTGGAACCGGATACAGTCATATTGGGCTCTACATCCATGGTGTTGAGTATGAAAAGCCAGATGGCCAGATCATCAGCGGAACTTATATGCCTATTCTTTTCGAATCTCTCACGGATCCAATTGTGTCTGGTCGAGAGGAACTCGGAATGCCCAAGCTTTATACCGCTATCGATATCTTTCACGGTACAGGCTCTTACCGCATCAAGACCAGCTGGCAAGGATCTCTGTGGGGAAATTTCACACTCGATGGTCTAGAGCCGGATACCGATCTGGCAGCTGCCACCGGAAAAGTCAGTGGCGAGGATGACGATGGCATACTGGTGCACAGATACTATCCCAAAGTAGGAAGAGATCTCAAGGGCCAGAGTGAGACCGAGTACCCCGTCTTCGTTCCCTTCGCGGAGGAGAAGCCACAGCCGGTCACGAAAAGGGTTTGGAAGGCCTCACGAGCAAATATCAAGATTGACCCGCTTGATTGGAATGCACTTCCGACATTACACCATATTGTCACACGACTGGGGGAGATTCCAATTTATGAGATTGTAAAGGCTAAGGTCGTTGAGGGTGAAGGTGTCCCTGATGTTGCTCCAGCGAGGAGGATATATTGAGACATGAAGTGAATAGCTTAGATGTTTGTGAATCAGAGACCTCTATTTCAATCATGGAGGCTATACATCTCAAAAAGATTCGAATTCTGGAGACGCTCGAAACGGACAGAATCTACAAGTGACACTCCCTGAGGCCCCATGGCTTCTTATTCTTATCTTCAATTCATCCTCAGGGCCACCGCATTCTGGGAAAGAACAAATCCAGTTTACGTAGCCTGAATCTCTAACTTCTGCGTCGACATTATGTGCCGCTCGAGGCTCAAATTAGATAGTCAACCTATGTCCCATGAACTACCGATCTCCCTTATTTCTGGTATTCTGAGCCGGCAGACTAATACGGCCACGGTATCTCGCTTTACTCGCCGACTTCTCTATCCTTATCCCACTGCATCAGGTTCTGGATCATCCTCCACTGCAGGGTGGATTTTCGAATTCGGCGACCGTAGAAGAAAAGCGGCACCCACATCAGAAGTACGCCTCCGCAGATTCCCGCCATGGTGCCAAACGACCGCGCGTAACCTTGGAGTTCGACCCACGGGTTGGTGTAAAATGATAACAAGAAGCCAAAGGCCGCTGTAGGAGGGCTGTCAGAATCCGACCACCTTGGCTTGGAAGGTTTCCCTTTGGCCGTGACTGGAGACTTACATTTGAAGGCTAGTTGTGTGACCACAGTCTCGCCTGCGATGGGACGATATGAATCAATGATGTAGACGATCGAAACGTTTGTTCCTTGTGCGATGGCAAAGCTTACTATCAAAACTTGTCAGGTATGGCGTGAGACAGATGTCATAGTCAAATGGAACACTCACGCAATCCGAGAGCAATTGTAGGGACAATCCAGTGCCAATGATATTCGATTCCGCAGCCATAAAGCACCAATCCAAGAGGTCCAGCGATGAGAGCGACAGTGATTGCAGGCAGACGCATCTCCGGTTCTCGAATGCCGCCGTTTCGCCTCGTAAAAACATCGGCCAGCCAGTCAGAGAACCAGCCTCCACCCAGGATACCAAGCAATGTCCCGATCAATCCGGAGACGAACGCAAGACCGGATTGCCAAGAGCTGAATCCATAGAACTGTGAGAAAGCACTTGCAAAATTGGCAGAGATAGCGACGAGGAATCCGATCGTCACTGACATGACCAGGGTTGCCCACAGCACAGGCGGTAGGAGTAGCAGAACCACAGGCCGATAACCGATACGCCATAGGCTCTCTTGCGTGAAAGTCCCGGCGACCAGACGGAGACTACGGATGTAGCTCTCCTTCTCAGCGTGTGAGGTAGTAGGCTGGTGGTTCGTTGTCTTGTGCTCTGCTTCCTCGACTTGCGACTCATTGCGCTTGTTGATATCTTGTTGCAAATTGGTGACTTTCGTTTCGATAGCTGTCGCGTTCTCAGCTTCCGTGCTTCTGTTGAACGAGGTTTCCGGGAGTGTCAATATGACCAGGATAGTAAGAGCACCAATGAGGGCAGTGGCGATATAGTAGATGTACCGCCAGGAATGGGTGATGGTGACGAGTCCAGCTACAATTATACCGCCCGAAACACCGGCCGACAACGCGACAGTGTACATCCTGAGAGTCGTTAACACCCTACAGCTAATCCAAAGTCAATCCACCCTGCAGGACTTACGCCATGAAGAGCCCTCGCTCATGTAGAAAGAAAATGTCAGAGATGGTGAGTGGGGCAACACACTCTCCTGCCCCGGCGAAGAATCCCATAAGAATTCTCGATGCAAGCTCACTTGCATAGCTCTTTGAAACTCCAGCCCAGATAGCGGTGGCCGTGTATGCGGCAAAAGAAATGATATACACTGGCCGCCTGCCATATTTGATGATCAATGGCATCCAGATCAAGTTACCAGTGCCCTGCAGCAGGGCAGTGGTGGTGAAGAGGTATGAGATTTTCGCAATGGCTGCGGGGAATCCGGGCATGGGAGGAGCAACCCCGGTGAAGTCAATGGTGATATCGACGATGGCGACGGTTGGGCCCGCGGCGAGGAAGTTGCAGAAGAACATGGCGAGGCATACTAGTAGTGCAAGATATATTCTGTACGCCTTGGACCTTTTGACGTGTTAATCGGTGCATGGAAGCTGCTACAGCATGATAAGGAAGTTGCATACCAGGTGAGGGGATCCTTTGGATCCTGAGAGGGCGTTGGGATCAATATTATCTCGTTTGTCTCGATATGCCGGAGGCGTAGATGTCCCAAGTTCCCCCCTCGCTGAATCTCATCGGGATCTCTTTCAGTAGTGTAATTGACCATGGTGGCTTATGGGCTTGAACTGTGTTAAGGAAAACTTAGGTGGTATGAGTATGCCAACTAGCCTACAGTCCGTATTCGCGGGCAAAGTGAAGAGCTTGGAGCCTTGACGACGCCATTGAAGTGATACATCAAGCCACTTATAGTCAGGAGGCGTTCTATTAAAAATTCTGTCGGAAAGTGCACTTCTGTTATGCCGGCGCGAGTCGTCGGCTTCCCCATGGGGCCGGCGGTGGCGAGAAGAAAGTTTTGCTCTGGGGAGGAAGTGCTGGAAACGCCGGGATGTGGGCATGTGGAGGGAAGAAGTCCTCCATTCAGAAACATACGAGGTGGCGCGCCTGCTAACCGTTCAAACTTTTTGTCCAAATACTAACCACTGCCGATTCGAGATCACGAAAGGCACTGCTTCTTCTATCAGATTCTGCCGAGTGTTCTAAGCCATCGGGACAGGTAATTAACATCTCAGGTGCTGCTGATCGGAATTTGTCACAACATCTTACTATCTCTATGGAACCATGGGTTCTTTAGATATTGCCGCAAATATGCCCATCATATGGAGACATTCCGTAGACGAAGAACGGTACGAAAAAGCACGCGTTGGACGTGTGTTCAATCGTCGACGACCAAAGAGATACCCCGTGGCTGTGGTTGAGGCGGAAAGTGAAGAGCACATCGTCCAGGCAGTGAAGTTAGCGATTGGGCAGCAGCTGAGAATCTCAGTGCGGTCCGGGGGTCATTCTTGGGCGGCCTGGAGCGTCCGCGATAATGCCGTTCTTTTGGATTTGGGCAAATGGGAGCATATCTCTCTTGATAAGGATGCTGGCACTGTGACTGTCTCGCCGAGCACGACTGGGCATGTATTGAACAACTACCTGGGTCAACATGGCTTCCTATTCCCTGGAGGCCACTGTCCTGACGTGGGTCTCGGGGGATTTCTGTTGCAGGGTGGTATGGGCTGGAATTGCAAGGTGAGTGGCTATCGATGTGATCACAACTATAGGAAGCGAGCACTGATAGAGAAATACTAGAATTGGGGTTGGGCTTGTGAGAATATTGTGGCGTTGGACGTCGTGACAGCGGATGGCGAACTCGTCCGTGTAGACGAGGAACAAAACTCCGATCTCTTCTTCGCTGCGAGAGGTGCAGGGCCTGGTGAGTGATGGTCTCCTTTTGTGGTCAGCAGCAGGAATACTGGGAGCTAACGGTGAAAAAAAGGATTCCCTGCCATTGTGACTAAGTTCCACCTTAAAGTGCGGAAGTCATACACGAGCATGCTAGCTTCCACTTTTGTATATCCCATCTCGAAATATTCGGAGGTGCTGGATTGGGTGGTGAAAATCAGCCCTGGTTTCGACGATGCGGTCGAGATTGTTGCCTGCGCAAACACACCGGCAGAGGTTGGCGAGATTTGCATCACTGCCCACTTCGTTACCTTCAAGAACACGAGAGAAGAAGCGGTCAAGTCTCTCGAACTGGCTAACACGACGAGACCTGAAGGGTTCTTAGTTGAGATCGTAAATGAGCCAACGAGTCTGGCAGAAGAGTACAAGGCTCAAGCACTGGCGAACCCAACTGGTCATCGCTACTGCGCCGAGAACGGATACATTAAAAATGACAGCAACGTCGCGGCAGTCCTCGAGCCCTCTTTCACCACGTTACCTCATCCTAAAGCGTTCGCCATCTGGTTTGCCATGAATCCGTGCAGCAGGCGTGAGCTCCCTGATATGGCGTTGAGTATGCAATCCGATCACTACTTTGCAGTTTACACAGTCTGGGAAGACGAGAATGACGACGAGCGGTGTCAGAAATGGACCCGAGGTGTAATGAAGGACTTGGCCCCTCACTGTGAGGGCGCCTATCTGGGGGATTCAGACTTCCAGATCAGGCAGACCAAATTCTGGACGGATGATAAAGCAAACCGCCTAATGGAGATCAGGAGGCGGCGTGACCCTACTTCCAGGATCTGTGGATACTTGATCCCTGGCGACGCCTCTGGTGCTGAAGGACTAGAAAATATTGACAAATTGCATTTGGATTGATTGAAGAGTATTTCAATACGTCTGCTCAAATCAGTAAAACATTGTTCAGCTGCTTAAAAGTGATATCCTTTCCTTCTTGGATCGTCTTAGTAGATTGCCGTGGGATGCCGCGTCAGAACGTCCACGTTTTGAGGTTCAGTACGTAACTCCTTGCTGAATCCAATCTTCTTATTCGTGGTTGTCATCCGTCTCAAAGAAAATGGGAGAACCTTTTCTTTGAGGCGCAGTGACACTCCAGGTAGCCTGAGGGCGCCACATTTTCTGCCTCACATTGGCCTCGGGTGGTGTTTGTGGGGAATTCTTGCCCTCCACTTACCGGGAAGACCATTATCGAGTGTGGAGGAGGCGTCAAACTTGCAGGAAGTAGAGAATTATATTGGACGGGACACAGTATCCGCAGAACGGAGTGTTGTACACGTACTGAGAATCTAGCTTGAAAATCTTTCATCGGAGCAAGGAGACAGCAATTTTCACGATGACTGATTTTTCTTCGATTCACGACTCGGTGCTGATTGCCGCGCGAGATGCCGTTCTGCAAAAGCAGGCAGGCAATACCCTGGATGGGAAAGTGGCTATCGTATCAGGATCAAGTTCGGGAATAGGTAAATCGATTGCTGTCGAATTAGCATCTCGAGGCGCATCGGTGGTCATCAATTACCCTCTGCCAAACCTGGAGGGCGAAGCAAATGCTGTGTTGGAAATTCTCCCAACACCGTCAAGAGCCGTCTGTGCGGACATGGGTTCAAAACAGGGCCCTGCTCGAGTGGTGGAAGCGGCCGTCGAAGCGTTTGGCAAGATCGACATCATAGTCAACAATGCAGCCATCGCTGTCAACAAACCGTTTGAGGAGCAAACGCTGGATGAATGGGACCTACTGGTCAACATCAACGGGCGAGGAGTCTTCCTGCTTACCCAGGCCGCACTACCGCACCTCACACAACCTGGAGGCAGGATCGTCAACGTCTGCAGTGCATCGTCGCGAGCACCTCCACCCATGCAGACCATCTACGCGGGGACGAAAGGCATGGTGGACAGCTTTACTCGTTGCTGGGCCAAGGAGCTCTCGCGGAAATATGGATGTACGGTGAATGCTGTCAGCCCAGGACCAACACGGACCGAAGGGTTTGCGGCAGCTGGACCAGAAGTCATGAAGATCTTGCAGCCGATAATCGACAGTATTCCAGTTGCTCCTCGAATGGCAGAAGCTTCAGAGATTGCATACGCGGTTGCATTTCTGTGCGAAGAGCGGGCGAGATGGATCAACGGAGTGCATCTCCATGCGAACGGTGGCCTCTTTGTGGACTAAGCCCATTCCTCACAAATATATACAATCTATGTTAACCTCGCTTATGATCTATCGAAGACATTTGAGATTATGTAACAGCAGGTTTGATGTGCCTGGATCTGTCTCTCCTTCAGGCAAATATCTATTCGTGTGAAGGCTTAACTCCGGGTATTCCACCATAATCTTCTCCCAGAGGCTGTGAGCTACTAGTGACAGGCAGTGATTCTTGCAGCACATATAACATTCTAGCCCACTGAGTACTGCTTGCGTTTTGCCACGCATGCATCGTGCCTCGTTGGATAGATACGTCTCCCCGTTTCATCAGCCGTCTCTCTCCAGAATCCAACACCAGCTCCACTTCGCCTTCTATCACGACACCGTAATCGAGACTTATGGTTCTGTGCATGGGCGAGAGAGCCCCTGGCATCATGTCCACGATCCGAAGCACTGAACCGCCAGGGATCATGACTCCCGGCTTGTTCACAAGGTCTTGCGTATAAACTTTGAGGTCCTTTTCCTCGTTCATGTCCACAGGGGTACTCCGAGTCGTATATCCGAGGCAGAAACGAGCCCCATCTGGAAGCTCTTGAAATTCCAAGCTCTCCTCAATTTTCTCACTGAAAATGGCTTCGCCGTGCTTGTTGTGGTCCGTGATGAACCTGTTGAGGGTTGGCAAGTTGTTGTCAAGAAGTGTCGTTGAAGCACCCATACTGGCTTAGATATGCTTGTTTTGGTGAAGGAATGACTTGCAGTAAATTCAAACTAATCTTAAACTCAGTTAACAATTCATGTGCAACGCCTGGTCTTTAAGATGGGCTCCCTAGTTTCATTATTAATCGAGTGCTTAGAAATAGTCGCGATCTGACCCCCGAAGTGGGACTTCGGCTCCACGTTGTGGTTTTCAGCATGCTACCATTCCACCAGCGGAAGTCTTATTTCTTCTTATAAACCATCTGTCCTGTTAGCGCAATCCGACCGCCAAAGCTCATACTCCTGAAGATCTTCACAGTGTACGTCCAAAATCTCTTGAGTGAAGTACATCACAATGTCGAACCAAATACGAGACATCAGCACGACCGATGCGAAACCACACCGTTACATTTTCGAGCAACGTGTTGGCAATCCAGCTCAAAAAGTCTTCTGAGGTCGTCAGGTGCAAATTCTATCGCCCAAAGTCAAAATCTGGCAGCTTTTCCGATCTTGTTACGTGCAGGCCCTAGGGAAGGACATCTTCCATTCACACTCATTCTCGGAAGCCAATGAAGAACATCGATCGCAACACCAACATGAGAAGTCCCCGATTCGTTGCACTGGTGATCCTATAAACTATGTTGTGGTCCCCGTCAATGAGCGGAGCCTTGGTCAGTCCCCTGAGCTTCTAGAAACTATGTCGAGGTCTACAAGTGAAACCTTCTTTGGCTCTATCGGGTCGACGTCAGAACAACCCTGTTCTAGCGGTAAGGCGGGACTCAGACACGATCGCGGGCGATTCACCCGAGAAAGGGCTAAAACCAAATTGCGACCGATACCATATTATACATCTAAGAAGTAATCTTAATGATGATAAAAGTCCTCGGGACCGGATTAGCCAGCGCAAGTTGAAAATGACAGACATTGTGTGGCTATGTAGCTTGGGAAAGAGCGAGCCAGTCGGATGAGTCCCAGAGGTCTTGCCACCGTGATAGTTAGCACCTTGATATGTAGGATCCTCGGTTACCTGACGGTAGATACCTTCCAGTCCTACAACCCTGAATATACCAGATGGCAATAGGAAAAGATCTAGCTGACATATTTCCTGCAACCTGTAAACTTTTCGGGCTCAAAGGCACAGCCGCACAGGTCCTGCACATGCTCTTGCAATTCTCGGGAGAATTCAAGTTGATTTCGTTGTCTTGGAACCTAGTCTGCTGCCCCTTGATTTCAGATTATATGTCGTGGCGGACAGAAGCCCGTCACAGTCATGATCTCATGGGTGAATTAAAGCAAAACGACACAAGCATTATCATGACAGTAGAAGGTGGAGAGTGGAGCCGACGCACATTGGTTTCGCGGACAGGAGTCCTCCGCCTGCGACAAGCCCTGGACTAGATGCAGCGTCTATAAAACGTTGAGGCTCGATGGAACAGATGCTGCGTACTAATAGAGATCGAACCCAATAGCCAGTAAAGTACTAGTACTGAGAGATCTTCCGACTTCCAGAATGCCAACCACATACTTGAAGAAGCCCTCCACGAATTGTGCAGCCAATGGAGTCAAATCAAACGATGGAGTGGCATCAATTGTCAAGGGAGTTCTAGACGACGTCAGAGCCAACGGTGATGAAGCTGTTCGCAGATACTCAGAAAAATTCGACAAATGGAGCCCGCTGTCGTTCAAATTGTCAAAGGACGACATTGAGAAAGTACTCCAACAGGTACCAGAGCAAATCATCAAAGATATCAAGGAGGTTCAAAACAACGTCAGGATATTCGCCGAAGCCCAGCGAAAGTCCATATCCGAATTTGAGCTCGAAATCAAGCCGGGAGTCTTCCTAGGCCAGAAGAACAATCCCATAGAGACAGTCGGAGCATATATCCCGGGCGGACGATATCCATTACTGGCATCTGCACATATGACTATCCTAACCGCAAAGGTGGCAGGAGTCAAACATGTTATTGGTTGCACTCCTCCGATCAATGGGCAACTTCCTACGTCGACAATTGCAGCAATGCACTTCGCAGGGGCTGATGAGATTTTCGTTCTTGGGGGTGTTCAAGCTGTCGCCGCCATGGCAATCGGCACGGAGACTGTTCGGAAGGTCGACTTTATTGCCGGACCGGGCAACGCCTTTGTTGCGGAGGCTAAGCGGTCACTCTTCGGTGAGGTTGGAATCGATTTATTCGCCGGGCCTACTGAAGTTCTCATCGTCGCTGACGAGCACGCGGACCCTTTCACTGTCGCGACAGATTTATTGTCACAAGCCGAGCACGGTCCGGATACACCGGCGATCTTGATCACTAACTCCCACACCCTAGCTCAGAAAGCGATCGAGGCTATAGACGAAATCCTGGTTCATCTTCCCACTGCACCACTTGCTGGGGTGTCATGGAGGGATTATGGAGAAGTAATCGTCGTCGATGGTCTGGACGAAGCATTTGCCCTCGCAGACGTGTACGCTTCCGAGCATGTACAGATACTCACTCAAAACCCTCGAGAGGCTTTACAGAAGATGAAGCATTATGGCGCCCTCTTTTTGGGCGAGGGGACTTGTGTATCGTATGGAGACAAGGTATGCCAGATCGCAAACTCTGCATTATGTCTCTTAAAAAAACAGAGAAACTAATCCCGCAACAGTGTATCGGAACGAATCATGTGCTGCCAACCCGGAAGGCCGCCCGTTATACAGGTGGCTTGTGGGTAGGCAAGTTCCTGCGTACAGTTACCTACCAGGAATCAAGAAGCAGGGAAGCAAGCGGCGAGCTCGGTCGATTATGTGGGAGAGCTGCAAGAGCCGAACATTTCGAAGGTCATGCTCGATCAGGTGATCTTAGATCATACAAATTCTTGGGCGACCATCACGATTGGATAACGGGGAAAACAGCACCTGCGAACGTGCGGCCTCTTGGACTAGCCTAGGCAGAAGTAAATCGCGTAATACCTTCATCTTTGGCGATAAAATATACAATGTGGTGGTGGCGAAGCTTATGAAGACGCCCCCTTCTTCACCCCCTTCCTCTGAGTGAATCAGTAATTACTCTCCCTAATGAGTTCACGAGAGTCGCACAAACTAACAAGCTGGAAGTGGGCAATTCGGCAAGCCACATTTTTGCCAACAGAGATTTGGTCAATGTTATTCTGAATTTATTGAGAATTGACTAGCGGAGTAAAAGCCGGTCATTACTATCGCGATCTGTCGATCACCCACCACCACTAAGAGCGTGGTTCTATCCTAATGACCAACCTGCATCGATCACCGCATTTTGCCCCGTATATGATTTTCTGGTCGCGAACTGGACAATTTATTGAACAACATCCTGCAATAAAAAGAATTCAGCATTAGTGTGGGCATATTTTGTGCATGGGAGTAGTGTAATTACTTCTATTTCGACCAATGTTTTCAGAGCGCTCTTCTGAATAGCAGCGTCTAATTTTTCTTTTGAAAATTGCTTTCCCCATTCCTTTGACCTAGCTGTTAGCCTCCAAATTCTCGGGCTATGAGATGAGTAGAGAATAGAGCTCACAGTAAGGAGTATTCCAGGAGAGACAGAGTTTACTCGTACTTGGGGAGCCGCAACTTGGGCTAGCACTTTGACGAGATGGATTTGGGCCGCTTTTGTAACAGAGTATGGCTGATTTATGTTAGTATTCAGTCATGGACACAGAAGTCTTGATCGAAGTTTGAGAACGAACGTACAATGGAGCTGCCACTCGGAATGACACCCGCCAACGATGCAATGGTCGTGAAAGACCCATTAACCTTCGCCAGATGAGGTCTCACAGCGTGGAACAAGTAGAGGTGTGATTTGACATTCATGTTATAGCACAGGTCCCAGTCCGATTCCTCAACGTTATCATCTAGGTCATTGAATTGTCGCATTTTAGTCCAGCCTTGATTTGATACAACGCAATCCAATCGGCCAAAAGTGTTGATGACGGCTTCTACTAGATGCGAAATATCCGTCCGCTTGGACATATCTGCCTGAATCGCGAGAGATTGAGGACGACCATCTGCTAGCGATTGCTTTTGTTGGATATCTGAGACCACAGCATCGGCTTTCGCTTTACTACTTTTGTAGTTAATGACGACGTTGAACCCAGCAGCTGCAAGCGCTTTAGCGGTAGCGGCCCCTAGACCCGCCGAGCTGGCGGTTACCAGTGCGACTTTGGCAGACATGGTACCCTACGCAGCAACGAGGTCGGTAAATCAGGTTTGGTATGATCGAATCGTACATACATATCGTAACAGTGGCGACAATGAGGCTGTCCAACGCCCGAGACCACTAGTCCGAACGCAGAACGTTAGAATGCCTTCTAGTTCGCTGTGTCAACCCCCCACAGAGAGATAACCACTCAAGCTTCGGGAAGTGGGGATAATCATTATTTGGAGGAGTGATGCTTCGGCTCCAGCGTGGCATCACCCAATCTATGGGTTCAACGATGCTTCTTTTTCACCGCGGCCTTTCCGAGGGATTGCATGAGTTTACTCAGATTCGCCAGAAGCGGTGGGCAGCTGTTCTCCCCCCCTTCGTGCTGTGCATGTAGAAGTTTAGTGATCGTGTTCATGACTTCCCCGACATCCTTGATTGGAACTTCTCTGAATCCTTCATTGCCTTGTTCCACCACCTCACGACCGATACAAGGAATCCCTTTGCCAAACATCACGAAACGTTGCACTTCGGGGCCGTTTTCATCGTCAAGTCTGACATAAAATACGGCCTTTGAATTGGTAGCGCTCGACGCGGAGTTTTGTGCTCCTTCAGCACCGTGACTTCGTGACAATACAGCGTACGCCCAGAAGACCAAGCTTGCATGGTACACGGCGACCGCGGCCGCATCCCTAAGCATGGATCTGTGATATTCTCTGGACGCACGGATCACTTGACCAGCATGGAAAAGGGCCTGCCGGGCGTCCGTTGAGTCGACCCACGCTGTCAATGTCGGGAACACTCTTCGAGCTTCTTCCTCTCCCTCTCTCCCGGCTAAGAGCTGGACATCCTCTAGAGATGCATGGAGATGCATTAAGCATTGCTCCTGGAGCAATCCAGCAGTTGGTTGGAATTTGCCATGCCATTCTGTGGAGATCAAACGAATATGTCGTAGCATTTGTTCCACTTCATGTCGTCTTGCATTCATAGTTGACAAACTGTGCCGTGAATCTGAGGAGGTTCGGGACCTGAGTACACTTTTCATCTCTCTGAACTGCCAGATCAGTGGCCAAACTGCAGCAATGATTATAAGCAACGACATGTCGACATCTACCATGCTTTGGCGCTCAAACAGGGGCGTTATGTCGTCAATGCATGATCGGACTGATGGCAAGGGATAACGTCCTTCACGATTTTGAGTTGAGTAAGCTTCCCTCCATTCACCTGAACTCTTTGCAAGCCATAATGCTTTGTGGCACGGTAGTGAAGTAGAAACCTCGGCGTAGGAGATCAACGGCTGACTTAGGAGAGAAATAGAAGATCTTGTATCTCGATAGAATAGGTACAGTGCAATCCTGGTCAAGGGTTCAGTATGAGACTTGGTTTTCAGTGGTATGAGGCCAACCGTTTGAAGGACTCTTGACGAACCCAGTTTCGCCACTTCGATTCAAGAAGCTCTCCATTATCCTCTACCTGTGGTGGCAGCTCAATTGTTCGTGGAAGCCGATAATGGCCAGCTCTTCGGGCCATCTGCACATTTTTGAGTCAGGGTGAAAGCTAGGCTTGTCAAAAATTGCTTACTGTGATCAATGGCATAGCGAAGCTTTCTGCTATCTCCATTTTCCTTCGATTGCCACTCCATAAACCGATATCCAAACTCAGAGCAAAGCTTTGCAACGTCCTGAGGTCACGTGTTAATCGATTATCGTGCTCGAACTGTAAATGTCAACAAAACTCATGCAATGAAAACACGAGGAACACACTTCCGATGGTAAAGCCTCCCTCAATACTTCCTGCATGGCGAACCCCAATTTTCGAATCTCCTGAATAGGCGATATCGCCGCCCCAGTTGCGACCATACTAATTAGAAATAATGGGGGCTCCTTGTTCAGTTCAATTGACGCCGGATGTATCCACATGATTTCCTGCTGTAAATGGAAGCTGAGGAAATTTTGAATGAGATTGGTCAACAGCTCCGAGCTTGGGAAATGCGATATCACATGAGGTTGCACGGTTGCTTCGCAAGTGCGAAGGACCATGGCCAAGATCTTGCCCCTGGTAACGCTGCTTATACCTTGCTGCAGAAGCGGGAATTCGCTGAAGAAGTCGCTCCCCGATGACGTGCTATCCCAAGGCAAAGAGAGATTGCGCTGCTCAAGTGCGTTGTGATCGCTGATCTCTGGCGTCCAGAGCCACAGGGATTCTTTGAAAGCTTGAACACTTGCAATAATATCTAGCTTCCCTCGAAGGCCTGGCGTCACGAAACCCCCTTGATTCCCATGGGGTTCATCCTCGACTAGCTCAAATTCCGGCTGTAGCAGCTGTTGATCAGTAGGGAGCAGAAATTCTGTATGGAAAATACTAGGCGTGTCAAAGGTCAGATCGACGCCGAAATCAAGAACATCCCGCGGGAGTGAAGCATCATTCAAGAGATCTTCAAGGCCTGTGATTGACACTGCAGTATGTCCTGATGAGTGAGATGTCTCGACGTCTCGAAGTCCTTCAAAGCTGGCCATGACGTCTTGTTCGAACGTCGGTGCGGGAAAAACTGGTTCTAGTTAGAAGCGGTTCAGTATCTGCACGTCAACGAATGTCCAAAGGTATCTACCTTGTTCGAAGCCCGAAAAAGTCTCAAATTGCGGGTGACCTTGAGCATTCTCATCGTGTGCGAGTGGAAGTTCTGGATTACTCATGAGCTTCTGGTTCGATGAGTGGCTGATCGAAGACTCCATCGAATGTCGTGTGGATCCCAAGGCCACCGTCGTGCCAGGCTCGGGCGGATCAAGCGGCCTGGCGTCGATGAAACTGCTCAGGCGAGGCTCTGAGAACCCACAGACGATATCTTTCTCTCGGCATCGCAAGCAAGGAGGAGCTCCATCACACCTCAATTTCGCCTCTGCACATGGGCGACAAGCTTGCACCGCTCTAGGCCTGTGGGCATTTGCTGAGGGCTTGTGACGTTTTGAAGGAGGCCCCGAGCCGAAAGTTTTAGCCAAATTAGTGGCATCGTGATTGGTTTCGTGTCGCTTCAGTAAATCTCTGTAATTGGACATTTAGTCAATCAATGGCCAACAATTTGTCGAACTAGCTCACATGCGGGCGAAGCTCTTGCCGCAACTCTGGCACACGTACGGCCGTTCGCGCGAATCTGATGGTGTGAGTTCAAGCATTCAGACGGATTTCTCGACGCAGGACGCAACTCACGAGATCTGAAGTGCCTGGCCAAGTGGTCAATTCGAGTATAGCTTTTCTTACAGAGGTTGCATGAAAAGGGACTATCGAATGATGTGCCTCCTGGCATTGGTTGACCATCCTCCGCCATCAGTTTACAATCGACAACGGTGTCGAGACCACCATCAGTCAACTGTATCGCTGAAAATATGGAGGAAAAGCGGAGAGAGGTTGACGGGATGTGGTCGCAAGCACAAACTCTTATGGAAGGATGGAGAGCCAGTACAAAGTTCAACGCTAGACCCAACGATCCCTGCTTCCCCCTCTCTGGCTTTTTGGAGGTCTGGGGAGGTCTGGAGGCGATTCGATGCAAGCCAGTCCCAGAACTGACATTCCAAGCTGACAGTGAGAGGTAGAGCATGCGAGCAATTTCATAAGGGAAACTGGCCTTTACACACGGGCCGCACCCATGCACGAATATGGTCGAAATCGACTGGTACCTTGCGCAAGGGGAATCTTTCTACCAGTGCGGTCTTTCCTGGGTGACTTCATGTCTAAAATACGATCATTGTTCCTTTCATCGGTCGAGATATGGTTGAGCTCGGACTCTTGTCACTGGAGCACTGGAGCATGCGAGCAAAGCAGGCTTACAGGTTTTAATTGTTACACCCGCGAGCATTGTGAAGACGGAACCACACCTTCCGTTCCACGTGGCCTAAGACTCTTATCAGTGGTCTGGTATAGATGAAAGATTTTGACCGATTCGAAAGTCGACATGATCCTCCTGGGCGTGTCCATCGAGATCCGTGTCGTGTCACTGATGCTAAGCATACCAACATAACGGGGCTGAAGGTCGCTGTTAGTGCCGGAATAGCTGTTAAAGCGGCCCTGGGGCAAAGACCAAAGTTCCTCCGCGATGGACAACTATTGCTCCGAAGTTGTTCAACAGACTTGTCGAATCTCTTAGGTACTGCAGGAAATAAGCCCTAGTCGCGCTTACCTAAATCTCAAGGCCGCCCATCAACAGCCCTGTGGGTGCCTGTGGGTAAGTTAGTAATCTCGAGAGGCGAGCCTAGGTAGAGACTATCCCGGCATTTAGGGCCCCATTTTCCAGTCCCCATTCCCTAAATCATGACTTTGTTTACCGTTTCCCTTAGGTACCTACCTACTCTGCAATAGGCTGCTTGTTCCGCTGTGCCTTTCCTCAGCCTCTGTTCATCTACGATAACCTGCAGTTTAGCCACTGACACGTTTGCCGAATAATAGCCCCCAACAATGCTGTCATTGACTAGTAGAGCGGCGTGGCAGACTAAGACGCTAAGTCAGCATCTCGGACTTTGGGCTTCGACGAGGGCTATGGATAGCATTCCCTACTATGTCTCAACATGAACTTAAAACCATGGAATCTTGCCTCGTCCCATTAGATCCGCAAAGCAGATCAAACCACATATGAACGACGATGAATGAAACCGAGCATGTCAAGCGCACCCGCAATCGCCGTATCAACACCTGCTTAGAATGCCGCCGCCTCAAAAGGAAATGCTCGAGGACTTATCCCTGTCTACATTGTCAGAAAACGTCTCGAAAGTGTATCTTTCCCGTTGTCAAACAAAGCACTTCGTCCACTCCACATGATGGGTCGGGGACCTCTACGAGTCAGCCAGATACTACCCTCGATCCCCCTACTAGCATGCCAGCGGAGTTTTCTGTACCATACCGGTCACCGAGAAGTACCAAGACTTCCTACAGGAAACCACCGGATATCTGCCTTCGCCTTGGAAAGTTGAGCATCACCGAGCGGATCGGCGGTGTCCTTCGAGTCGACTTCGTTCAGTCGATCGAAGATTTACTTCAAGACTCACCTGGAGTCAGAGAAGGCTGCGATAGTCAATTTTCGGCGCCTCTGGTGGCATGGTTCAAGCCTCATAGCGTACTACCTCTGGATCAACTGTTTTCACAAAGTGGCGTCACGCCAGAAGCTTTCCCACTGTCGGAGCTGCAGGAACAAAAACTCATCAACCAGTATTTTGTTGCAGTGCATCCGATATGTCCGTTGGTGTCCATGGTTGATCTAGAGGATGGCGCCATCTTAGGTACCGCCCTCCGAGCGGCTGTATTCTATGCAGCTGCTGTAAGCTTCCCATTACTGCAAAGTCAAAGGTCATTTGGCATTACGAAGGACGCTCTAGTCAACAAGCTGAAGGCTCTAGCGGAAGCAGAAATCTGCAAGGCTGATATCTTGAGCTGCCTAGACTTGCAAATTTTTCAAGTCGTCCTTGTTTATCTGACCCCACAACTACTAACAGAAGTTTCTCGTTCACATTCTGTGTTTATCGGAACGGTAATTCGACATTTCCAGATTGCTGGATTCGATCGAGAATGTGCTACAGATACCAGCTTAGAGAGACAAACTAAGCGACACCTTTGGCAGCATCTCTTGTTTCTCAATATTCGAGCAGTGGAGGCGGTCGGGCCAGAGCATACTGTTGTAGATGATCCGTCATCCTTACTCCCTGAACACGATGAATTCGTCCTACCACACTCATCAGGTGCATCAAACCCCACTTATATTCTTGCCTTGGTCCGTTATGAATGCTACAGAATCCATCGATGGATATTTCGAAAACGGGCACCTTTGAAGAGAGGCGAGATTTCGCTGCAATCACTTCTGGCTGAGCTCAATCAAGCTACTATGAGCATATACGCGCGATACATTGATCATCTGAACGATAATATTCCTATCCAGAAGTATGCCTCCCTAGTAGGAAAGCTTTTGCTTGCTCGAGCAGAAGGGATGCTTTTGGGGTCGCAACGCCACAAATGGGAGTATCCAGAGACTGCATTGGGTCTCAGAGACAGGTAAGAACTAGACTATCCTTACCCATAAATGCTGAGTATCTAGAGACAATGTGGCTAATAACAGAGCTCCCAGGGTCATCAGGTCATGCCTCGACGTACTCGAGACAGCCGTAACAATCGAGACAGATCCGGAGCTCTCACAATGGGCATGGTACGCAGGAGCATATCAGCAATATCACAGCATGCTCTTCCCACTTGCCGCGCTGCACCAAGCGCCTCATCTCCCCGACGCAGACAGAATCATGGCCATGGCAGACCACGTGTTTGGACCCTCTCCGACAACTTCACCCAGAGAGCGCAGTCAGATGATCCTCCGAGCCATAAAGAACAACATGGCTGCCTTCCTCGCGACCATTGACCCGACGCGCCCGGACATTGCACATCTCCACGCACCCCTTCCGTTTCAGCCCCCAAATTCACGAAACAACAGCCACCCAGACCTCGTCCACCAACCCTCCACTACATGCGTAATGGAGAGCGCCACACGGGCAGCAGCCATTCAACATGCCATGATAGACGATCAGCAATACTTCTACAACAGCAACAACTTCTTCAACGTCAGCCCGCCGGCACTGGACGGTGTCGGGGCCGATGCCTGGTGGAAATGGCCTCCTCAGATGGATCAGGACGAGCTATTCCGGGAGCTCAACATTTTCTAATCTCGAACGATGCAGGGTCAGGAGGGCCTTAAAACATGTCGGCTTTTCAAAAGGACAAAAGGTACATGAAAAGTTGCAGAAGTTCAAATGCCGGCTGCGATGTCTAATGTCTTGGCATCGCAGCGGGTTTTAGCGGGTTTTGCGCGAAAGTTTACACTTGCCTGGCCTGGCGGGTTTAACAATCGTCAGTGTGAAGAATTCCCGAGTCTCGTTTTTGATGGGCAAGGTGTACATATATTGGACCTATTTGTGGTGTATTGTTTCAACTTGAATATGCCACTTTTCGGAGCTGAGCTTCGTACGTGCGCTACTCACATGATGACGACGAGGAGGCAGGGAGGAGCAGACTGCAGGGTGTTATGTTAAGTTAGATACCCTTGAACACATGAACCTTGCCAGCTGGCTGGGCTGAGCTGAGCATCGAATGATCGGATCTGAACCTTCACATTCAAGTTCTCGTACAATTGAAGGCTCTGCAAAAGACCCACTATTGTATCCACATCGCCTCCGAGCTGGTGTGTAGACGTGAGCTGCACTTTCGAGGCGGCGTGGTCACTAATATCATCGTTTCGACAAGAATATGCACAACACTTAAATTCATCTACTAGATTTGCTTCCGCAATCGACCATAGGATATAGAAAACAGGGCTTCCCGTTCGCTCAGCCGTACTTAAGCTATATGCCGGTCAGTCAGTACTAACGTCGGTGACGAGTTGGGAATCCTGGCTGTTGATTGTTTTTTGCCTTTTTTTTGGGAAAAGTTCTCCACACTTGAAACAAATCTCCCTCTCGTACTTACTGATTGAACGCACACTGTAAGTGAGGCAACGCCTTTATGATACTATCCCGACCCTTCTATGTCTTTTGTTTTGTAACGAAGTGAGACGTCATTTATGACCACAGCATCGCAGCTACAGCTGCTGCCCGAAGAACTTCATCTCCTCCTCGGAGCCAGGCGCACTCGTTCTCCTCGCCCGTGCAAACTCGGTCAGTCGAGGGTCGCCTTTGCCCAAACTGCCGCCGAAGCGCGCTTTGAAGATCGTGGCGAACAATGCCGCAGCGAAGGCAAGTATAACCCCAACGGCGAGGACGATGTCCCCTCTTTCCAAGAAAGTGCTCCGCTTGCCTTGTAGCAAAGTCGCCAGCTCGGCGTTGAATTTGTCGGCCATGGTGCGTCGCGTGAAGTGTTGGCTCACTCGTTGTTGTCCATTGACACGGATCTTCTGGAGTTGTTGGGGCGTCAGGTCGTGTATGACCATGCGAATTACGGCGGCCCAGTCGTCGACTTTGGCGACGTCGCGCAGCCACCCTGTCTCGTTCTCCACGATGGTCTCCAGTGGACCGCCTGTGTTGGATGCCAGGACCGGGAGGCCGTGTTGCATTGCCTCAACGGGCACGATGCCGAAGTGCTCATTTGTGGGTGTGTAGAGGAGGAGACGTGCGTTCTGTAGGAGGGTTGTTTTGAAGACTCCCGGCACGGAAAGCAGGAAGAGGACCTGGATCTCGTTGGGTATTGCCAGGGCGGTCGGGACGGTTTTGGCGGTTGCGGTGACTAGGCCTAAACCCTCCGCGAGATCGACTAGTTCCTTGTGGTATTGAACATTTTCGCTCACGCGTTGGTCATAGCCGCCGGCTATAATGAGTCGTGTACCTTTGCGGTCGGATGTGGGGAGAGTGTTGTATGCTCGAATGGCGAGGCCTATATCCTTCTTCCGCTCGAAGCGATTTATGCTCAGAAGAATCTTATATTTGTTGTTCCATAACGAGCCTTGCTCCACTCTTTGTTCTTCAGGCTCGACATTGACACATGGGTACACTACACCAAAAGAGTTGGCCAAGGCTGGCCACACCTGGGATGCGATGGACTTTGTGAAATTGGAGTTGACCACTATTTTGTCACTTCCACTCATGCTCCAGCCCTCGAACCAGTCGAACGGCAGTCTGTAGAGTTTCTTCAGCAGACCTAGGGGTCCGGATGTACGACGATCAGCCAGGAGTTGATCGGGGAAATGGCAGTAAAATAATGTCCGCTGGCACTTGGGATAGAGCCATCGCAGGAGAGGAACGCAGGCAGAGAGTTGATCCACCACAAATGCATCGGGTTTTAGTTTGTCTAGTTCATTGCTCCATACAGATATAGATATCACCAGATGTATTTGCCGCAGAATGGCAAGTAGGATATGGAAACGGTTCAACAGGGTGGGGGGAAAGAGGGAGTTTCCGCGGACTCTCACGTCAAGGGTGCCTGTACTCACGATTCTGTCAATCTTAGCCAAGGGAGATCAATCCAAGGTTGGGGATGGGAACACACCATCTCGAGCCTCCTCGAAGCAATGTTGTGGATCACAATGGGATGTGAATATGGTCACTTTGAGTCCAAGTTCTTGCAATCCGACAGCGGCATCAACGATGAGTCTCTCTGCCCCTCCAATTCCTAGGTCTGGATGGAAGAAAACAACGTTTCTCTGCGCCGGAGGCGTCGGAGCTTTGGGTTGAGATTTCGCTTTTCTTGACGACATGATAAGTTGAGGTGATGAGATGTCACATTAAAACCATTTTTTGATGACGAAGAACACCGGCACATGTGATGATACGAATTAACATGAATCTTGTCCGCTTAAGCAGCACATGGCGGCTCCCATTCATAATAATCACGTGACTTTCGGAATCACATTTTTCCTGTGTGTCACAGGCTACACAGGCTTTCTTTCCCTCTTGCAAAATATTTTGAAATGGTGACACGCATTGTTACATTCATTTGACATTCTGTGCTGCCAATAATATTTGATATCATGATGAGAAGAAAATTACATGACGGTGGGAAAGCTGGGCAAGCATGCCTACCTGCAGCTGCGGTGAAGCAGTAGAAATCATCAACAGTGGCTCAGACACAGGAGCAAATTGCGATTGACAGATATCTTGATGCCATGAGCCTTGGTGAGGAGCCTTGTGCCTCGAACGTAACAGTCGCCGAGCCTTATATTGCGTATCATGACCTAGCCAAGGGTCTTGTGTATAGCTGGGCATCATCTTGTTTTTGAAACATGACGATCCCAAACGGATCTCTCAAGCATCAAGAAGGCTGCATGTGAACCCTTTTCCAGAATGCCATGCATTGTAAATGGCGGCATGGAGCCTCAAGAATGACAAGGCCATGGGTTGGAGTGGGCAATTTCAACCTGTCGATAGTCCGCCACTTGAAAGGCCTGGCTTTGTTGATTGGCACACGCCACGGACAATTAGATCCAATTGATAGCCTTGGTGTAGCATTGGCATTTCTTACGCGTCGAGGCTACGGAGAGGGAACATGCATCCCGGTCCAAAATTAATATGGGGCCCCCCAGTTTATCCGTGAAGAGCAAGCAGACGGCAGACGGACATGATAGAATCAAGAATCAAGATATGTAAATCGCCGCGTTCCTCTACCGGCTGCCCGCTCTTGACTTCAAGTTTTTCATCACACTCGTTGTTGCTTAAAGTGTGCATCGCGACTGCACCTGCAACTTTCTTTCGCGTGCCTTCCCATTCTTGTTGCTGGAAGCTGCGTCCCTCGTTGATTCAATTCTCCCTCTCAGAGAGCTTCAAGTTCGAGTTGTCAGCGCAGTCTTGTCGCTCACCTTCCACTAATCCACCTTCATCTTCTAATCTTGCTTCTTTCACTCTGTCGACATGGCACAGGTATGTCTCAATCTCAAACTTCATTGGTACTGGCACTGATCATTTCTCGCAGTTTTCTTTGGCACTCCTGGCCCTTCTGGCTTGCTTCACTTCCTACGTTCTCGCCGTCTCTCCGATAGAAGTAAGAGGGGCCGATTTCGTCAATGTTGTCGATGGTACCCGCTTTCAGATGATTGGTGTGGCGTAAGATACATTTTCTGCAAGCTCGGGACAAGTCACTGACACATGTTAGATACCAACCGGGTGGATCGTCTGGCTTCAATCCTGAGGCCGGAATAGACCCGCTGAGCGATGCTGATGTCTGCCTTCGTGATGCTGTTCTCATGCAGCGTCTCGGTGTCAACTCTGTCCGAATCTACAACCTCAATCCCGATCTTGACCACACCGAATGTGCCTCCATCTTCAATGCTGCTGGTATCTACATGATTCTCGATGTCAACAGCCCCCTGCCAAACCAGTCTTTGAATCGTGGTGCTCCATGGGAGTCATACAACGCGGACTATCTGGAGCGTGTCTTCAAAGTTGTGGAGAGCTTCATGCACTTCAACAACACCCTGGGCTTTTTCAGTGGGAATGAAGTGATCAATGAGGACTCTGTTCCCGAGGTTCCGGCATACATCAGAGCAGTCACCAGAGACATCAAAGATTACATTGCCGCCAGAGGAATCCGACCCATTCCCGTTGGTTATTCTGCAGCTGATGTTCGACCACTCCTGATGGGCACCTACGACTACATGGCTTGTGGTCTGGCCAACGAGACCACGTCCAAGATTGACTTTTTCGGACTCAACTCTTATTCATGGTGCGGTGATGCTAGCTTTACGTCTTCTGGTTACGATGTCTTGGTTGAGGATTTCAGCAACACAACCATCCCCATCTTTTTCTCCGAGTACGGATGCAACCAGGTCCAGCCACGCACATTTACCGAAGTTCAGGCCCTGTACTCAGACCAAATGACCGGTGTCTTCTCTGGTGGTCTCATTTACGAGTACACCCAAGAACCCAACGACTATGGTCTGGTCACTCTGAATGACAACGGCACTGTCTCCATTATGATCGACTATGACAACCTCCGCCAACAATACGATGAAATCGATGTCGCAGCACTTGAGAGAGCCAATTCCACTGCCACCTCATTGACAGCGCCAGACTGTGCGACTAGTCTGCTGGCAGGCACCAACTTTACACGCACTTTCGCCATTCCTGCGCTTCCCAGCGGTGCGGATGACCTGATCAGAAACGGCATTGACGGCAACTTCCCTACCGGAACAAAATCAATCACCAACACCAACGTTGGCCATACCGTTTATGCAGTCAACGGTCAAGAAATCACCGGTTTGGAACTCAACATTTTGGCCAACGATCAAAGCAATCTTCCAGGAAACAATACTAGTGGTAGCACACCTGAGGGAGGCAGCTCACCTTCTGGGACCAGCACGGGCAGTAGTCCTTCATCGACAGCCAATGCGGCAGTCAAGGCAGATGGCATCAAGTTTGGATCTGTTATGGTTGGTGCTCTGTCACTTGGTTTCTACCTGCAATTGTAAGGAGCGGGCGATACTGAAATAAATTGACATCGATCGTGATGTATGGGAAATCGATGCTGTCGGTTGTTGAGGCTCTTTTTCAATCAGGTTTCAATTCTTCTTTCTTTTCAGCAAGCCAAGGGCATAGTTCGAATTCTCTTCGATGGACATATTTGCAATTGGCTTTGCCGGACAAAGTCCCCTCCCAGAACATAGACTTGCTAATGACTAGATGATTATCAAAACAGAGATCAATTTCAGGTTGCATGATTTGGATCAGTTCTTGTTGCCCACCACTCCGGCCTCGGTCACTTGTCTGCCATTATTGCGTTTCATTAATTGCTCACTGACTCATGAATACTACATTATGGCGATAAGCTTGAATTTGAGGTGTTTGCAATAGGACTGTCGGAGTGCCAAAGTCTGATTGGGAAGGCATCAACTCGAAGAGGAAGCTGTAAGCAGAGTCACTTTCAAGTGGGTGGAGAAGAGGCTCGGAGAAATTGCGGGATTTGATGGAGGTAGGTATGGAGTACAGAATATGGAGCAACTGTCCAGATCTCTCCCGCGATCTGAGAAACGCAACTCGCTTCAATATGGATCGCGATCAATTGCACAGGTTTGTCTACGTTGCGCACTGACGTAGCGCTCAATACTCCGTAAAGAGAAGTTACTCGGAAAGAAGGATAGTGTCCCATTAATTCCATGCTCAACTTGGGTATTCAACTCACCGGATCGCAAAGATGTTGAGAACTTGGAAAAGCCCCTCAAGCCACGAGACGACTGATCGTCCGATAAGCTTTGATGTGGCTACAGGAAAAAGTTGCTGTAGGGTCGTGTGGCTTGCTTTTTTGAATCGGGCCTCAGGAGTGTGGCGATGTTCGTGAAATGTTTACTTGGTGGGGGGTTGTTGTCACATTTTGTCGGGGCATGTGAAAAGGGCCGTGCCAGCCAAGTATTGTCCGAGAGATTGTTTGTTGAAAGCTTCCAGCTCCAGTTCTTGGTTTTCAATTTCCCTATGATCCTCTCGATCGAACGGATGCTGGCGATCGTTCCAATGAGGCTTGTAGAAAAAGCGCCATGGCCATGTGAGTTGACATCATGGCTGTGGCTGAAGCAGTGAAAATCCAGGCACCTTTTCCAATGAGCAGACGACATTGTGGCGCTCAGCTCCTTCCCTGCTTTTGAATCGAGTCTGATTCGTTGATGTGGTGCTATCCCCACTTAAAATGATGCACTGATCGGCGCCACCACGTCACTGCCCAAACTCACAGTCAAACATTGGCATTGGGCATGATTCTTTTCATCACCTTTCAACACCCAAGCTGGGACCAACAGGAGTCTGTAAACCCTTCAGAATTCTCCAGCTCGGAAAACTACAAAGACCCTCTCATCCCTCCCCGATACTTCATTTCAGGCCACCACAGATCTCGACCACAGCGACTAATCGAAACACTCGTCCACTCTCATCAACACCTAATATCTAATTCCAACACATCAATCGCAATGGCATTGGGTGGGGCTTTCCTCCGCTTCGGCCAAACTGGCCTTCGCATCATCGAGTTCTGCTGCGCGGCAATCGTGCTCGGCATCTACTCATACTTCCTCGCTGTCTTGTCTAAACACAACATGACCATCCCCACCTGGGAGAAGGCTGTCGAGGGCATGTCAGGCGCCGCCGCTCTCTACACCATCTTCGGTGTCATCTTCACTTTGTGCCTGGGTGGTGTCAGAGTTCTCGCCTTCATCGCTATCTTCCTCGATATCTGCTTTGCCGGATGCTTCGCCGCCATTGCATACTTCACACGTCATGGCGCTAGCCGCTGCAAGGGTCTTGTCAACACTCCTATCGGTAATGGCCTAGCCACCCAATCCGCACCAGGCGCTGGTGACTTTGGCTATGTTTGCAGCTTGAACACCGCATGCTTCGCCGTCTCCATTGGTGCCATCTTCCTCTTCCTTGTGACTGCCGTCCTCCAATTCTTGTTGGCTCGTCATCACCAGAAGGAAAAGCGATTCGGTCCATCTCCCACCAACAACTACACCAAGGGTTCCCGCAAGGCTCCATTCTGGAAGAGAAACCGCAAGACCCATGCCACCCATGATGCTGAAATCGCTACTGCTGGTCACACCGCTGCCCCCGGCTTCCGTCACAGTCACGAGACAGGCATGACTGGCTCCACCATGCACGGAGGCCACATGCCCGCCACTTCTGAGCCTAAATATGGCCAACCTGGCTACGGCATGAATGGCTACAGCGCACCTGCCAACAGACTATAGTCGACACTGACTCGGCCCTGAAAATACCTTGTCACCAATTTCTGCATTATTGTGATGCAACGCACTATACCACTACAACCCGATAGACGTAGCAGAAGAGTTGGGGATAAACGATCCCAAATTCCGGAGTTTTTCGCGAACCACAGCAAAGCATGAGGATTTATCTCTACGTTGCATGCGAATTGTACGAGTATGGCGGAAATTTATTCACCAGAACGTTTATGATGCTCATGATAGAATGTCAACTACATGCCTAATATGTCGCTTATTAGCGTCACCTAATACCATATTTTTTAAAACCATCTCCTCTTCCCATTATTTTCTGAGCAATTTTCAACCGTGTTGACCACCTGGGCACATGTGCAGTGGTTAGACCTCGACAATGCTGCTATTACAACACGCTTGTATGAAGAGATGTCTTCCGTCCCAAATTCCGATGACGTAAATGTGCAATCCCTGCTTTCATGGTTAGTCCCCCGTCAATCGTCTTCTGACCTTGCCTGACCTCATTTCAACGACATGTCTTCAGATCTGAAGATCATTCCTTCTTCGGGCGCCGGCGCCACAACGGTTGATCGACGCTGAAACCTTGTAGCATCCTCCTTCGCTCGTGTTCGTCATAATCCCTTCATCCCTTTTCAACGACCATGGGATGTCATTTCCTCCCTCTTCCGCAGGAGTAATTCATTGGTAGGGAGTGTGCAGATTGACCCTCGATAGTTCAATCGTGTACGAAATATCTCTGAAGCACATACCGGATATTTGTTAACTTGCAAGAGTGAAACTGCACTCCAGCTGCTCCCCCGTAAGGTCGTTCGCGCAGAAGTTGCTTTCTTGCAATTTTGCGATTTGATTTTATGAGTACAATCCCAGTCCCAAAAATCGCAGTATGTATTGCAAATATTGGTTGTTATCCATGTCAACTTTTGGATTTCAGCAGAACAAATACCTCTTGCGGTTTCTTTCAATATGCAATTGACGATGACTCCTAAAACGGGTATAGCGTGTAAATCGGAACAGCCGGAACTTGCCTCCAAGGCCTCCCCCTATTTCCCCAGATAACAATCAAAGCCTGGCTCCTTTTGGTCTAACGAGATTCAATAGATCTGAGATAACATAACACTAACTGGTTAGTGAGTTCGCAAAAAACCTTTCAGATCTTCTCTCATGTTTCAACTTCCTTCTCCTGGGTCAGATATGCTTCACGTCAAGGTCTGGACTCTGGAGTGGGAGCGATGGATTTGAAGTTCCGCCTCCGTCATTGCATAATCATGCCTTTTTAATGTTGAATACACTACGGACGCAGCATACTCTATTCATCGACTCTTTGTAAGCGACCAAGGTGACTGCAGCCCCATCATCTCCATGGACCCCGCTAGAGCCCAGCGGCCAAATTTGAGCTATGCCCAGACCGACACTCTCAACCATGGATATGGGAGAAATGAGGATGTTTCCTTGGATGAACAAGCTGCAGTCCTCCAAGCGATGTCACTAGAAACTCCCGCAGAAGCAGGGCTAACTCAGTCACCGACGACCTACTCAAGTGGCTCTAGCTATCATACACTGCGCTCAACTGTCAGTCTATCAACCCTGAACAGCCCGACAAGTCCCATAAACCCGACAAACGAAAAGCCCAAAGCTGGACAAATATTCAAATCAGCGTTGCAAGATGCAAGACACTTCGCCGGTGGACTCATCAGCCACCCTTATGAGTCGACGAAACACTATTCAATCCTGCGCCATTCTCACGGGCTGGTCTACTACACCGGCACATCCACCAATCTCGCAATCACGATTTTTTCAGATAGAGACCTTCCCATTGACAGAACGCTTTGGCTGCAGCGCAAAGGATTTTCCGGCAAGACCGGACTGAAGATCGGAGGGCTACTTGGCGCTCGAAGCACCTGGGTCAATGTGACTCCCGCCGTCAGAGCGACGCCCGCGCAACTCGAGCCAACCGATGAGAGGGCATGGCAACGGGACATCAAGAAGTTCTTAAAGAAGGCTCCGAAGGAGATTCGATCCCATCTCGTCCGAGAGACAGATATCCTTCGTATTCCCTGCGAGGCCGATGACGGCTATTTGCGGGTGGTGTTATGCACAGCTGATGGAAAGAAAGTCCTATGCGGAAGTCCGATATTCAGACTCGCTTCTTCGTCGACCGACGGCAGCTCTATCAGAGGTGCATCCCTGGTGACGATGCCGCTAGAAGTGGGGATCAAGATTGCTTCGGTGGTGGCCAACAATGCCGTCGCAGCCACACTCAGCCCTGCCGCGGAGACGGCGAGGACTTTTGTCTCCACCAAGGTCTCGCAGATATATCAGCCCAGCGCGATACTTCAGTCGACGGTCACGACTGCATATGATTCTAGCGGCATGCAGGGACACATTGACCGTGCCAACGAGCAATACGACAGGAAAAGAGACGAATCTTTCAACGCGACAAACACCACCGCGTTCGACGCTCTCGCTCGCGCTGATATCATTGGCGACGAATCAGGCCCGAATTCTCCCTTCCCCGTGATGTTCCAAGGCAAGGTTATCCCCGGCAGTGGAACCAGCACGGTACAGTGGAACATGCCCACCGCCAATCTGACCGCAGTCTCCGAGGACATCCTCCTACGCCACCGCGGCGTCTACTTCGGCTGGGCTGCAATCCATCTCCCCACAAAAGTCGCTGTCGAGAAGGAGCTATCAAGCGACTGGCACCAAGCCATAATCTTCATCGCTCCGGATCCAACGGCCCGACGGACAGTGGTCCACAAGAACACAGCGCGAGTCTACGTGATCCACGACTTCCAAGCGACGCTCTTCTTTGACGCCAAACTCTCCGTCATGATGATGGGGTTCCTGCGCCACGTCCACGTCGACGAGTCCGCCGAGCTTGGAGGCCGAGACCCGGACCGCGACGCCCAATTGTTCGACGTGTACAAAGACATCGCCGTGGCGACGGCGAGTCTGGCCCGGCCGAACTGGCAAGCCGACGCGACGCTCGAGCGCGTCGAGTCGGCCGCGTCCGCCAGATCGTTCCGGGACCGCTATGTCGATCTCAGGCAGTCCAGCCAGCGCCACATCGACCGCGTGCCCGTCCACATGTTGGGCATCCGCACGGAAGGGGCAGGGCTGAAGGATCGCTTGATTGGAAATGGCGGCGTCTGCGTCCCCAGGCAGGGTCTGACGCATACTTTCACGGCGTGAGCGGGACTCGGGACATGGATTCGAAGACATTTTACGTTTTCAGGGTATGTTTTGGATTGCGAGGGATACTTGCACAGCAATCATGTGCCGAGCCGAGCCGAAGAAAAGGTGGGAAATGCAGCTGTTTGAAATCTGTGAACTTGATATTACAAATCTACATCAAATGCTTCCCTCAATCACAACCAGATGACAAAGACGAATGGATGAAATATCCCTCTCCTCCATGATGATTCATTGAAATACATCCCTCAAATCCGGCGCAGTTCATGGTCGTACAACATGATCTGCCCTCGTTAAGACACTCTTTGCGGCTATTGACAGTCCAATCGGAGCTTCGAAACACGGGCAAGTGTTCTCGGAGCGCTGTACGCTTGATCACGTTTCAGTCCGAGCGAAGGCGGGTATGACGGAAGTCAGCACCTAACATATGTCGCAAAAGACCTTCAATCCCTATTCCACGACGTTAGCCTCAACCCGGGCGCGTTGAAGATTTTTGTTAAATTTCACTCACCAAATCCTTTCCTGGAGAGTTCGTGCAGTTGCTCGACAATGGGAAGTGCCTCTGAATAGCCCACAACGATGAGGTCGGGGAGTGGTTGAACACGATCGGTGCGCGCCAGGCTTTGTCGCGGTAGGTTTGAAGGATGTCTTCAAGCCGCACGGTCAGGTTCTGGACCGAAGATCCTCGCACACCATAGCCGACACCGGTGGCGTCCCAGTTGATGCCTTTGAGCTGGTCGTTGAGAACGCTCAGAGGCTGTTCGGGACCCATGAGAACGACTTTTGATCAAACAATGTGTCAGTCCGATGAGCTCCAGTGTTAATCAAGCATGGTTGGATTTACCTCGGAGGTTGTATCCTGCTTTGACAACTTCGGCAGCGTCTGCTGTGAGAGATTTATTGACGAAGACTGGGTCGAAGCCTTGAGCTTTAACAAGCGGGTGCGCCGGGGGAAGACCACTGAAAGAATGCCAGTGTTAGTACGATGGCTTACACCTCAACTCTGTCCACTCGTGGATACACGTACGTCATGAACACATCAATCTCTCCGCATTTGTAGGTTCCAGGTGATCCTCCCGGCGTGGGATGCGCGCTGGTGAAGGAGATACCCAGGAGCCCAAGCGCCAGGAAGAATTTGAAGGAAACCATGGTTGTGTGGTTGGGATCTTCTGTGAAGGTATGCTTGTGAACGAGTGGAATGAAGATGCTGGTTGAAGTCTGTTAAGGGTGCGACGAGGTGATCTTGACATATTTATGCCAATCCTCAAAGCAAGTTCTGGGAGTCTCCGAAATTGGTCTTGGTCATAGCACTTCTTCTATGGTGACCGGCATAGCCTCTGCGCGGGACATGTTGACCTTCTGGGGCACATCATCGGCAAACGGCTCAAGCCCAGGACACAAACCTGCCTAACGGCGCTGAGAGTTCCGCGTCAGCCCAATTCCAGGGTCACATGGTGGGCTGATGTGTCTGAGATATTCGTCATTAATCTGTGCAAGCTTGGTTGGCAGAGACTAGATTCCGCGCACAGGTACTTACATCCATTGAAGAGATCACAGTAATGTCGATACGCCGGTTCGCGGGGTGAAGCCAGTAACGGTCGCCACCAGTAGGTACTCAAGTACCAATCGCACCAATATTCAGTGCTCGACGTTGCTGATTCTGCCAAGACTCGGTTCGGAGAGCAGATATACATCCGGGCATAAGCCGGGCTATTCCGAGTAGGGCAGAAGGCACTCGGATAGCTTTTCACCACGAATGCCGACCATGGATCTGTGTGTACCTGCGTAGGCTTGATGTATGTGCGTTAAACCGGGCTCGTCGCGCAGGATATTGCTTCCTCTGGAGGAACTGATGAACATTTGGACCCCACTTTTGTATACATTCTTTAGCATTCGGCACTTTTTCCAGTATACCGTGGTCGTGGCTCAGATTGCAGGACGAGATTTCAATGTCATGACTTGTCGAATTTCGATGTTTCTTGCATTACAGTCTCCTTTCGGCAGCTTGCGCAATTTCAATCTCGGGCCTCGCCAGTGAGACACAAAGAAGCAGGGTTGGCAAGCAAGGCCCGAGACAGGAAGTCCACTGCGTCTAAATTCATTCAGACCAGAGAGAGCAATCTCGCAAAGTCGGCTCATATTGACGCTCAATGGCCGTTTCTGAACTGTCTTGATCATGCTTCGTTTCGATCCAGATTAGATTCCTCCCATACTTTGTTGATTGAGCAGATACCGTAATCCATTCTTGGGACCATGACGAGGCTTTCCTCCTCTTTTCAGAGGATACCATGGTGCTCTTTCGGTTTTATCGATAAACTCGAATCCAGCGAAAGTTTTCATACCCGACGTAGTACCTTCTCACAAATGGTTACGGGCATTGCATCAATTCCTCTCGATTTGAAGAATTTGCTGATGACAAGTGCAGAGGGGGCAAGAACATGGGGGAGACCAAGGGGCAGATTCTTGAGGCACAGCCTCGTTGGCAGTTTCCCCTCACGAGGCTGCGTTCCGGCTCCCAACAATCGTGCGTTGCTCCTGTGCCTCTTGAATCGTACTTTTGCGAGGTTATCCGCGGCATTCCCAAGCTTACAGTAGCACGCCTCACCAAACAACCTACCTCGTAGGGACAAAACTCTTTCACGTCGAAAACGATAGTGAAGCAGCTGTCAGCAGATGTCGACCACTCAGGCTTTAAATAAAGTACCTACTTTTGCCCAGCGCTGAAAATACCAGGGGTGGCATTTGGACCACTCTCTCCGACAAGGGCCGCCATGGGCAAAATATCTCTCGCACAATATCTTTTCACCCGTCTTCGTCAAAATCGGGTCAAATACATGCATGGTGTTCCCGGCGACTTTACGCTGAAAGCACTAGATTACTTGAAACCGGCCGGTCTGCAGTGGATCAATTCTTGTAATGAATTAAATGCAGGATATGCTGCTGATGGCTATGCCCGTGTCAATGGCATGGGGGCGCTATTTACCACCTACGGCGTGGGGGAGTTGAGCGCGATCAACGCAATCGCAGGCTCATTTGCAGAGCACGTGCCAGTGGTCAGCATAGTCGGGACACCCCAGCGACAATTACAAAGACAGCGATTGAATGTCCACCACACTCTCGGGGACGGTCGGCCTCGAGTGTTCGCGGAGATGGCCAAACATGTCACAGCCGCCCAGGCACATCTCTTCGATGAGAACGAGGCTCCAGAAATGATCGATGAGGTCTTGACGACATGTTTGAGGAATAGCCAGCCTGTTTATATTGACTTACCTTGCGACATGGTGGCGAAGGAGGTACCTGCCTCGAGGTTAGATGTGCCACTGAACGGGAATTCTGCTATCAGCAAAAGTGTCAGGACTACAGAGGCACTCCTGACAAAAATTCATCAGAGGCTCCAAAACTCGAAACAACCCCTACTCCTTATCGACTCTGGCCATGGCGTGCGTGGCCTAAGCAAGGACATCAATTCTTTTGCTGAGAAGAGCGGAATCCCTACTCTAGCCATGCCTTCAGGTAATGGAATGGTCAGTCACAGTCTGAAGAATTTCTATGGTGTCCATTCTGGTCCGGTTGGCCGAATTGACACCATGCCCTACGTCGGCGCTTCTGATCTGGTCATTTCAATCGGAGGGATGTTCTCAGACACCCAAACACTCGGTTGGCAGGTGGTTCCGGATGAGAACAACATGATCGTGATGCACAAAGACTCCATTCGGATCCCAGGAGAACCGACTGCAAAAATAGCCCTCGAACGATTTCTACCTGCTTTGACGGAGAGCATAACGCCGGACACTTGGAACAGACCAGATGCTACGTCGCTGGGTAATTTTCGCGATTTCAGACCCACGATAAAGGATGCAAACGACCATATTGATCAAGAAAACTTCTACCTTTATCTCAATGAGCATCTACGCCAGCATGATATTGTGCTATTGGCGAACGCCACACCTATACTTGGAGGTCGAGACCTCATTCTGCCCGAATCATCACGTACCATAGCATCAGGTCAATGGTTCTCGATAGGGCACATGCTACCAGCCGCACAAGGGGCTGCACTGGCGCAATGGCAATCAAGGAAGGATGCCGATAGGTTGAATAGGTCGACGACGGACGTAGGCCGTACTATACTCCTCGATGGAGATGGAAGTTTTCAAGCTACAGCACAGGAGCTTAGTACTGTGATTCGATATCGTATCCCTTTGACCATTTTCATTGTCAACAATTCTGGATACGCCTACGAACGCCACATCCATGGCCTCGAAGAGGACTACAATAATCTTGCGCCGTGGCGATATTCGGAAAGTCCATTTTGGTTTGGGGCCAGAGACAAGAGTCAAGAGTGGTCGGATTACCCTGTTTCGACTGCCAAAGTGGAGACTTGGAGTGACCTTGGTCATGTATTGAACAATCAGCGTTTCACGGACCCCAGAGGCCTGAAATTGATAGAGGTCATCATTGGCAAATATGATGTTCCCACAAAGTTTGAACAAGTGTTCAAAGCTGCAGGCGAGAAACTGGGTTGATCAGTGCTGATGAGTACTTCCAAGGACTGAAGTCCATGGAGAAGGGCAGAACACCGGATCCCAGATACCATAAACCTGGTGTTATCTACTTTATGATGAAGTTTGTTTGGATCAGTCGTTAGCTATCCCGAAAAGTCCGGGATTGGTCTCCACTTAGCCCGAAACCTCCGATAGACATGGAACGCATTCGACGTTGCAGCCAATTAAATTTGATTTTTTTCTCAAGTTTACATCGTAACTATGTGCATAAGACGTGGGATTATGACTCGAAAGCATTTGATTAGAGTTACATTTGGGTTGATTGGTGGCCTGGGAATGTTCGAAATTCGGTACTTATGATGGAGGCAAGCCTCTACAACTGAATGTTCAACTGTTGTCAACATCAGTCTCTTGAACCCTGTCCAAGCTATCCACGTGAAATCAAGAGCTAAGAAACATTCAAACAACTCGATTATAGCCCACTACCTGGTTGCAAGAAAACATGGGCCGAAGTCTGGAATATCCAAAACGGGGACACAACACTGTTAACCGGCTCGGCAAGAATAGAGGAGTGTATGATCTGGAGATCATCCACTCAATCATCAACGGCTCTCTGGTGCTGAATGTGTCGTTCGCTCCAAGTCCCGATGATGAGTTTCCCGCCATTCTGCCAATGATTGGAACAATGGCCTCGTTCGAAAACCCGAGTGCTGGCCTTGACGAGCCCCTTGACTGCTACCTTCACGGCTATGTCTCATCGCGAATCATGAACTTGACCCGGCAGGCCCAAGAAGCAGGAAAACCGGGTCTTCCAGTCTGCATTGCAGCCAGCAAAGTCGACGGCCTTATTCTAGCCATCTCATCCTTTTCCCATTCCTACAACTATCGCTCAGCAGTCCTATTTGGTTATGCACAGCTGGTGACCGACCTAGACGAGAAGCAGTACGCCATGGAGCAAATCACGAATAAAGTCGTCAGTGATCGATGGAGAAATACCCGGCTTCCCATCAATAAAGCCGAGCTCTCAAGCACGCAGATGTTGCGAGTCCAGATCAATAGTGGCAGTGGCAAGATCCGTGATGGACCGCCTGCTGATGACAAGGCCGACCTAGCAGACAAGAATGCTGTGGACACTATCTGGACCGGGTATCTTCCTGTCACTGAGACGATTGGGGAGCCGGTGGCCAGTTCTTACAATCAAATCGCAGTGCCACAGCATGTGGCGGATCATAGAAAGAACTTCAATGATCGCGTTAGGGAGTATTCAGACGCTTGTGTAACGAGAGTCAAAGAGATGAAGGTCACCTACGGAGATGTTTGAAGCCGAACAGTGGTCGGAGAGGCTCATGGCAGCGCTAGGTCGTGATTCTCTTCGAGCGGTGATTTTTTCTTGAAGGTAAAGAAAAGCAGCCGCAGTGGCCCAAAATTCAATAGAAGTTGTTTTCTCAGATGCTTAGTACTCCGCAAATCCAATTATGCCGATAAAGGTCAAGCTAGATTTGAATTTGAACTTCACAAGCCTCACTGATGGTTGAAAAAACCAATGACGTCATGGTTGCTTCAAAACACGCCGAACACGCGAAGAAAGAAACACGAACGCTGCATTTCGAAAGTGTTGAAGATCTAACACTATGAGATCAAAACTCAAATAAGAGTTTATAGACCACACGGAGATGAGAACACAACTGTTAGATATCGCGACTTCCAGGCAAATCTTCTATGGTTGCTTGACAACCACCCAAACGCTGTTGCTGGTAGTCGATGGTGATCAGGATCGAGATCGATCTTCCGAACCATCGATATGGTGAAACACAGTGCTGAGAGAAGGGTCTCGGGCTCCATGAAGACATACCAGATGCGGAGGAGGAAGGCGTGTCAAAGATGCCGATTAAGGAAGCAAAAGTGCGACATGCGAGAGCCGTCATGTAAGAACTGTTTGATAAGTGGAAACGGTAGGTTTGCTACGAGACTCAGCACTGCTGACTGTCCGTGAGACTTATGCTCAGCAGATTGCATACCAGGCTCTGTTGGTGACGTCGAGGTCTATGAAGTGTCCTACGTCAAGTCGCTGGAGCAGCGGATTTCAGATTTGGAAACCAGATTGCAAGCCCAGGGATCCGTAAACATCGCCACTGGCTTCCCCAATGATGGATCACATCGCTTCTCTCATTCTCTTGTGGACGATCTACAGCCAATGGACCCCATGCATTGGCAGTACTCATTCTACTCATCCATCACGAATCCCCCAGAGTCTCACAATCCATTTGATGACTTGCTCATCGACCCGCATGCCATCCAATCGCTTGCCAATACCGTCCCCGTCAATTCGGTGACAGCACCGAAGACACCTATCTCTACACAAGGCCACGACTTCTTCGCGCTAGAACCTGTGACAGAGAATCCTCACAAGAACGACAGCCCTCTTTCAGCTTTGCCAATCCCACATGCTGAAATTGCCAGGTTCCTCCATGCATATTTCGGATTGATACACCCTAGATATCCATTTCTGGACGTTGATGAATGCGCATCCGCCTACATTAATTCCAAACAGGCGTCAATTATCGCGGACGAAGTGCAAGCTTCATGGTATTCATTTCTTCTGACAACAGTAGGTCCATCGGTCAGTTCAAGATGAGCTTCCTTAACGATTCTACGTTAGCTGTGTGCCATCGGGTGTACAATCAGTCAACCGAGCACCGTTGCCCACTTGTCCAAGCAGAATGAAATTCTCCTAGCACGAGTCCAAGCCGAGCGTGGTGTGATATCAAACGAACATGCCTCGCCACTGATCCGCTTAAAGGCGATGCTGCTACATGTGATACTGGCACTGCATGGAGAGAACACATCTCGCCTTGTCCACCTTACCGGCGTCACGATGCGTTTCGCGACACTGCATGGGTTCCATCGCCTCGATACCTCAAACTCGAATGACGCTGCAAATGCACAGACCAAGGCCTGGTCTTGTATCTACGCGTAAGTGCGATATGGCATTTGACCTGACCTGACTAGTAACACTGTTCAGCCTCGATCGCATGATAAGTGGAACTCTCCGGATCCCTTTATACCTCACTTGTTCTCCATATATTTGTTCAATGCCGTGGCTCTCGGACTATCCAGGCCACGAGAGTGTAGATCAAGTCCTCCTCGAGAAAACCTTCACCCATATGCTTCGAGTCCGCACCATACAATCGAAGATTATGTGTACAGCGCCCACGTTAAAGCCAGACGAGATTGGCCCATTTATCGCCAAGATGGAGGACGAAATTAGCGATTGGTCGGAACATAGCCAGATATTCATGCATATGTATGTTCTTGCATCTACAGTCCCCAAACCATTGACTTACAGCTCCGTGCACTGACAAATCAACAGTGAACCGGACAATGTAGGATATCTCAGTTGCTTCTGGCTTCAGTACATGGCCAGCGTTGTCCGAGTAACCCTCCATAGCATATTCGGAGACATGGACTATGAACTGCCCCGGGCGGCAGAGCTCCTCAAAGCCTGTTGTGATGCTTGCACTGCATTTCGAACCGTTCAGAAAGGGAGACAATTGGTCAGATCATGGATTGATGTAAGTTAAGTTCGCTTTCTTGGCTGGATGCAGTTCCTCTGACCTTCTGAAAACAGATGGTCTTCGACTTCCAAGCAGGCGTCACCATCCTCTACATAAAGTGGAAAGGACTGAAACTTCACCATCAGGATGTCGACCGAGCTATTCGCAACTGCACGTCCACCCTGGCCATCCTCGCCGAAGGTGCCCCCAATGTCGAGACTTTCAGGGATTGTTTCGACGCCCTAGCCACGTTTGTAGGGAGGAATGGTCTCAATGAGGAGTTGCCTGGTGATAGGTCGGAAGATCTCAACATTTATTGTCGTAAGGTGATTGCCTTGGGAGTAGCACCACATATCGCAAGCATACTGCGGGAGATGAGCCATTTGTCTCCGGCCTGATCGACTCAGAGCCCCTCGTTTTGCGTGCCTTGTTCAATGGCAACCTACCAGAGGGAAAAGTCCAACAAATTCAAAATACACGTCCGGTGTGAGCTCACCCTTCCGCGAGTGGTGTTTCACGCAGAATACTCAATATACAGTAGGAAAGATTGGGGACTTTCGCTGCTTGACATAAAACAAGTGTCTTCGCTTTGATGATGCGTGCTGGCTATCAAAATTTCATAAATCCCGATTACATTTTTTCGCGAGACTCAAGCAAGTAATAGCTCGATCTTTTGGCTCCAACAATACCGTACCCAGGTTGGTTGTTGCATGAGGCAGTGATACTTGCCTTCTTCGTATTCAACAGGCGGATCCAGCGTCCATATCACCTTCTGTAACGTCGTCAAACACTTTTCTACACCTTTCATGGCTAGTCGGTTGTAGATCGTCTGGAGGAATGTGGTCACGAATTCACGTAGGTCGTCGGGCCCGGCGGTGTGGTAACTTTCGCATCCCAAAACCCACCATGGCCACAGCATGATGCTTACCGCGCTGTTACTAGTAGGGATTCGAGATATGGTTTTCCGCAGGAGATTGGAAAGTGTCTGGATTTCTGAGGATGAGTGTTCATGATCCGTCGCCCTCAATAAGAATATCTGAGTTGCGAGGCCGTGGCAGATCGCTGCTCTGACGCAGCTGTTGTGGGCTTCGATACTCTCTCTTTTGAAAGAACACGATGGGCTTGACTTTGGTCTGCAATTTGGATCGTCCTCATGGTCGCGTGCAAGCTCTGGAATGTCGGCTATTGCCTTGTCCAGCTGTATACAAAATAGGTTTTGCAGATGAGCAAACTCCTGCTCTGAGATTTTCTCATTATAGAGATCGTGGATTGCACCTGTACACTGACCAAGCAAACCAAACACCTCTGCACAATAGCCCACGTCAAAATCTGGTCGCAGCTCTCGAGCTCCTTCTCTGGCCGCCCTGACCGCTCCATCGAGCCAGTACCTCTGGTCCATGAGAGGAGGTCTCGCGCATGGAACACATGACATGATGTCGCCATAGGCCAGAGCGCGGACTGTTGATACAAACACAGGGCTGTCCAGCCGATATTCTGGATCAAATCTTGCCGGATGTGAGAGAGCACATGGACAGTCAAAATATTTGTGTCGTTCAACGATCAACGAGTACGTGCCTTGAAGAAGGAACTGAACTCGAACGAGACTATACTGATCATCAGGTCGAATGATCTCGTCACCAAGCAAGAGCATAGAGCCGACGATGGTATCGTTAGCTACAGATGGGAGTGGATTATGTTCGCTGTGGGCTGGCGTTTTTCCACCCGTGAGCGTTGTTGCTCTGGCGGCCGGCCTATTAAGCGAAGCACGTAGAGATTTGAACGCTTTCTGTTGTACAAGAGCAAAATTGGTGGCAGAAATTCTTCCAAGGGAGAAAAAGTGGGCGGCCGAATTTGTTAGCATTGCTTGCAAGGCAACTGAGTTGTTGCTAGTTGCGAGATGCAGATACATGCTTCGAATGTCATCCCATGCGGCTGGGTCAAGGCAAACCAGGTGGAGAGTTATTACCATCCAGTGTTCGAATAAAGGTCGGTCAAGAGAATCGAGCGGATGATTACAAGGAGCACATAATAAGGCTTGCACCCCACATGAGATATGGTGATAGTCTTTGTCGGTTTCGTGGCGTTTCCTTGGACTTTCTGGGCTTGGGTGTCCATCTCGAGTAGAAACTTGGGTTGTTGAAGACTCGACTACCCATCGTAGCTTTTTCGTGTAGGGCTTGCACACCACTCCGCGGGCCACGCAGCGGCGGCATTCTGGTTTCTGCTCATCGCATTTCGTACGGATTGCTCTGCAATTCATGCATCCTGTTCTGGACCGTCGGAAGTAGTCCCCCGTTATAGCCGATGATGACATCAGGGTTGTGTATTGAATACTACGGTAAGTAGTTGCCAATCCCTTTTGTCAGATATTCTCATTATCCAAGTGGAACAGCTCAAGCAGGTATCCCTGGCTATCTATACCCAAAACGTGTTGTATTGTTGGTGATTGGCCTCGGAAGGAATTCGTGACCTCTGCGGAAGGTTATCAATGGAATGGATTCCCGACACTTCGGATATCAAAAAGATAAGGACTTTGGGTAATGCACGACGGATGAAAAACCCAAATTGTCGTCGAGTGTAGTTGCCACAAGCTTCACGTAGGGGTACTAAGGCGCCGCAACCCCAGTGTTCTTATTCGCCAGGCGAACAGGCACGGTCGCTTACTTTCTTGGTCGATTTGTGTTCGCACGTGTCTATCGTTGGATCCAATATCACCCGTACTCGGTACTATCCAGTAATGAAGCAAGCCAAGCTGATCAAGTCACAAGATGAAGGGCTAGCATTTGACCTCTTGGTGTTCCAGAGATAAGAAGAAAGGCAAAGATTGGCCAAGGCCCGGGGGGAAGTCTGAGCTTAATTTACCTTTCTAGAGGATCCGTATCTTCCAGGGACTAAGGATACAAGCCCTTCACTGTTCAGTGTCTTTTTTAAGTTTTGAGTGCCTTGCAGAACCAACGTCGTGTGGCTGGGTGGCCAGTTTTGACCTAGGGAGTAAAACCATGTGTCAAGCCTAGAACAGTTTCGAAATCTGCACCTTTGTCATTATTTCGCGGCTAAAGTGACAGGGGCCGGGGGTATCACATCCCATCATGGCAAGGCGTGGTTGAGACAAAATTGAGTCTGTTAGCGGGCTTGGACTTGATGCCAACCTGGCTCCTAGCCCGGTCGATAACCTACAGCTTTGGTATGTTGACCCTTTGGTCTATTCTACACATATTCTACGCCGGAAGGTGGTTCTTGGTCAACAATCGCATGCATTATTGAGTTTTTCTACTTTGCTCGACAGATTACAATCGAACTGTTACTTAGCAATCATGGTAGAGATGTCTGAGGTGCTGAGATGGGGAACCATGGAGAATGGATAGCAAGATATCAAGGTCTTGTGGCCATATAAAGAGCGGTGCCGACAGCCTCATGACCCCTTTGTCTCTCACACAGGCTGTTTCATCTACAAGTCCCCAGAAGTCTAAACAACCGCCGACATGCGGTTTTCTTTGGGTTGTTCGATTCTCGGCCTTCAATGGTTGTCGGGACTAGTGCTCGCTAGGTCAAGCGACTCTTGCGCCGCCCCTGCTTATGTTCCTACCACCGCTGAGAAGGCTACGCCTTTCTTCGTTTTGAACGACACTGAGCTGCAAGACATCACCGAATGGCTGCTTGACCCAGCTCAGGGCCTCAATTTGACCGATGCCACAAGTCCCAACCTGACTCAGACTGACAACTACATCTGGTATATTGAACCTTTGCGGCCCAACAAGACCGATGTGTTGGCGTATCTGGATGGGAACGCAAGCTCGCCTGCTAAGTATGCTCATGTCGTCATGGCCGAGGGAGGCAAGGCTGAGCCAGATATGACGGAGTATTTTGTTGGGTTTCTCCACCTTCCGTTAAGTAACGAGCTGATATCATCCAGGTTGGCCCTCTTCCTATCAGCAATGAGACAACGATACAAGAACTCGCCTATTGGTACAATGGTGTACATGGCGCCCACGTTCCCTTCAACTCTCGTCCAGCAGATGGGCCAAGGAATGCGGCCATTCTACCTCTGATCATTGAAGTCATGTCTAGCATCGCCGACATTACGGCCGACCTTGTCGATATGGTTTTTTATGGTCCAGATGACCCAAGGTCAACTGCGCACCTTTTCACAACCAATCCGCAGTCCAAAGACGGGAGCGATTGTCTCATTTGGATCCCGTGGCGTCGCAATCGAATGGCCTACTTCGACCAGCCATCAGACCTATACACAAGTTTCGACTTTTCGGGAAGTGATCCATCGCTCTACAAGCTTCGGATGATTGTCTACAACCTGGTTGTCTACAACTCAGTGGAAGAATTTCGCGCCGCCTATGAGAGTGGCCAAATCATCAAAGTCCCACCTCCAGCAACAGACGATTCTTTCCTGCAAAAGGACAGATTGGGAGCTGTCCGAGACCTTGAGAACCGACTTGCGCCGACCTCGGTGGAGCTCGAAGGAAAGCGATACAAGATCGATGAGGAAAATGGCTACGTTGAGTACCTCGGCTGGTCATTCTACCATCAATTCACTCGTGACATGGGCATTGGAATATTTGACATCAAGTTCAAAGGCGAGCGAATCTTGTATGAGCTTGGCCTGCAGGAGGCAGCCGCACAATACTCCGGCAACAACCCTTTCCAAGCAGCAACGGCTTACTTTGATCGCTACTATGGCATTGGCTCCTGTAATGTCAGACTGGTCCCTGGCTATGACTGTCCATATCATGCGACATACTTGAACAGCACTTGGAATGACGAATTGGGCGTTCACGAAGTCATCGATGGCATTTGCATCTTCGAATCAGACCTTGGCCACCCTTACAGTCGCCACAACGAGGCAACCTACATCCATAGCTCCAAAGCGTCCGCTCTGACTATCAGATGGATCGCAACGGTGGGAAATTACGATTATTTGTTTGATTATTCGTTCTGGATGGATGGCACCATCGCCGTCGACGCAAGAGCTTCAGGCTACATACAAGCAAACTACTACCGTCCTTCAGATGGGGGCCACTGGGGTCCCCGAGTTCAAGAAACCATCACCGGTACTCTCCATACGCATGTCATGAATGTCAAGGCGGACTTCGATTTGATCGATACCAAAAACACCTTTCTCAAGACAGATCTTATTGTGGAAAACATCACGGCGCCGTGGTTTCCCGAGCTTGGAGAATTTGAAATGATGCGGTTGAACTTCACCGAACTACAAACCGAAGACGAAGGTCTACTGCCAGTGCCTACCAACGGACAGACGATGTACTCCGTTATCAATAAAGACCAGAAGAACAAGTGGGGCGAGAGTCGAGGCTACCGCATCCTCCCAGGGATCAGCAACGTGCACCTCGCATCACAGAACTCCCCCTTCATGAAGAAATCCGGCGAATGGGCCAAGCAAGCATTCGCCGTATCCCGCCAGCACGATACGGAACCATCATCGTCTTCGACGCAGCAGCAAAACCTTCCGTGGGCGCCGCCCGTGGAGTTCTGGAAGTTCTTCGACGGCGAGTCATTGGTGCAGGAAGATCTCGTCATGTGGATCAACCTGGGCATGCACCACTACACGCGGTCCGAGGATATCCCCAACACCATCATGACCGAAGCACACTCGAGTATCATGTTTGCACCGCAGAACTGGGGAGATACGGAACTTGCAGTCGACCTGACGAATGCGGTCATCTACCATGCGAATGAGAATGGCAGTGTGGTGGTGCCAGATGTGAACGGAGTCAGCCCGCCTAGTTGCTTCCCTTTGACCTCGCAAGATCAGCTTCTTGGTGTCTTTGAGAATCAGAATCCGTAGGAGAGATTCTTCGATAATGGTTCCAAGGAGGGACAAGTCACTGGGTGACAGAAAAGGTTATGCTATTGAGGAAATCTCTGAAAAAAGGGCAAATATACCGACATTGTGAGTGTTGAAGCACGAACAGCGCCAGATATGAATGAATGGTGGCCGTGCATCTACGAACTAGCTAGGGCAGATTGCGAAAACTGCGAGATATTATGACTCGGGTTTGGAAATTACATTCTAGATTACTAGAAATATCTAAGATCTTTGAGAGAGACAAATCAGTTCCTACTCTATACATTAATGGTGTAGAGCGATTGGTTATATGTTATTCTACTTCACAATGCCGCTCGACGACATGGCAACTAGATATCAAACCATTCGCGAACACGATATACTCGTGCTTGGACCAGAACAACATTTTCACTTTCTTAACATGTTGATCTTATCTAGCAGATACGGATAGACATTCTTAAATTTAATCCGAGCCTATTGGTCTACATTGCCAGATAGATATGCACATACAGGCGATCGACCAGGGCTCGATAAGCCTATGCGTTTGCCTTAGACACGTGAGGGACCACCCATACCCCAACAGCAATGAACCTAAAACTCGACCACAAATTTCTCTCCACGCGCACCATTCTTCAAGGTCTTCAATGCATCGCCCAGGCTCTCCAGTCCCTTACCAACGACATTGGTCTTAGGCGAGGGCTTATAAGTTCCATCCAGTAGTGCCTGTGGAAGCCAGCGATTGAAGATAAACGCGTCGTATTTGTTCCGTGCGTCTTCATCGTCGTCGGGTTTGACGAATGACCATTGCACACTCTCGACTTGCGGAGTGCTCTCGTTGGGCGGTTGAGCTGTCGCGACCTTCCCGCCTCCGAACGCCGCCACGATCTCGAGAACGGGTTTCAAATCGCCGATGGCGTGGAATGCCTCGGTGATGGTGACGCCTTGTTTCTTCGCAGCCGAGATGATCGATTCCACTGCCGTGGTGGAGTCGGCGTAGTCTATTACCACGTTTGCGCCCAGAGACTTGAGGTATTCGTGGTGCTGCGTCGATGCGGCCGCGTAGACTTGGTAGCCCAAGGATCGTGCGACCTGCATGCCGGCACTGCCAATGCTGCTTGATGCACCCCAGACAAGAAATCCTTTGTTGTCTGAAGAGGTATATCTCGTTTCTGGTTTGATCCCGATGACCTGTAGGGCGAGCCACGTTGTCCATAGGCCGATGGGAACGATGGCAGCATCCGCAAACGTCAAAGATTCCGGAATTGGCGTGACCTTGCTGATGTGCACGATGAGCTTCTCCTGGAAGCCTCCATACGGTAGCTTTCCAAGCTTGCTAAATGCCTCTGTCATGGCGAGGACGCGAACACCAGGCTTTAGAGTGCCCAGGGTAGCGTTTGAAGACGCTGAGCCCACATTCTCAATCACGCCTGCAACATCGGAACCTGCGATTGCAGGCCACTGGCCAATGAAAGCGCCGAAGTCGAGCATATAGTTGTCGAGTGGATTCAAGGCGACTGCCTTGACCGAGATGACAACCTCATCTGTCCCTGGTGTTGGTGTGGGCAGGTTCTCGATCACGGGTGTCTGCCCTTGTGCTTGGTAAACATAGGCACGGTGCGCGGCCATCGTTTGGATTGCGTTAAGTTCTTTTCAGGAGTCTACAGGCCTCAACAGACTAATCGACAGTTTGTAATCTCGTGATTCTCGATAAAGCCAGGGGAGATGAGAAGAGGAAATGTTGTTTGGGTTTGCATCCATACTGCAGCGGAGGTAGACCACTTTTTATAGACACAACGGACCCCATATCGGCATCAAACATGTAGTATTCGACCGCTACTTCCTCCGTGAGGATACTAGTGGCGACCCTCGACCATGTTCGGGACTCCATCAGGAGCTTCGATGTGGTCAAAATGGCTACGATGAGTGGATCTCACGTTAAGACCAACGCACCGGATTGGTAGACATTGAAAGGTCATGTTTACGCAGCCGTTCTTAAGGCTTTCCAGGGCAAGAACTTACGACAACAGACGTTAAGCTCGTCCGCCGTTGAAGAGTGTGAAAGACATTGAGCCTTACTAGCTTGATATCCCTCGTGGAAGTTTCGCCAAAAACGGAACAGCGCCGGATATACATCGTCTGTGCGGGACATGGATCTGCTTTTGCTCCGGGTTCACTTTTCAAGCGATCGACTGACGTAGCTGATCTTGAATTAGGTCAGCAAAGTGGAGAAAGGTCTGGTGGGTGTCTGGGAAATGGAAACTCATCACAGACTGTTTACCGTAGTTCATTTTTTACAAGAGGTTTTACAAATCTAGTGTGACAGGGAGTATGGAAGGAGGAAAGCAAGCGCGTTGCACGTGTCCACTCGGCATATTTCACCGACCTCTTGTTGGACTCGTGTTGCGGCTGCTGGTTCTAACAGTGCCAGTAGCGATTCCCAGAGTCATATCACCACCAAGGCTCTCCCGACTCTCAGTGCGTACGACCAGTCCTGCTCGATCTATCATATCAGGAGTCATGCGGCCTAGATTTCGCTTGCTCCTAGCTTTGGATCTGGGAAAGGCGTCTGCTGGGTCTAACATTGCATCGTCGTCAGAAGAAGACGACATGTTACCCAACTCAAAATCATTGGGATCATACAAGCGTGTGGTGCCATCTTCGAGGTCACGATCGAAACGTCCAGGGGTCCGTTGGCGGCCAAGCAGTCTGTTGAAGAAGGACAAAGGTCCTCTTGAAGGGGGTTTTGTGGCTGATGCTGGAGTCCCGAAAAGAGCTGTACGAACCTTCGCCCGCCGGTCGCGACCGCAGAGATAGAATGTAGCAATGATCAGGATGAGGAGGAAGAATATGAAACCCGGGAGGCGATGAGGAGCATCGGATTTGAATAAAGTGTCGTGAATCTGGTCGGTGATGCTCTGGCTGTTTTCTCCAGAATTTGAACTACCAGGAATCTTCTGTACAACACCACCACTCGGTAGTTGGAAATCGGCTGGGATGCCTGGGACGTTGCTGCCGAAGCCAACAGGAAGGTCGCCATCTACTGCGGCTGGAACACTGGCGGAGGCATACAAGACCATCTTTCCCATGGTCCAACTAACCTCGGTAGACTTAATCTTGTCAACTGCTTGAAACGGGTCGAGAAAGCCCATCTCTTTGCCGCTCTCTAGAAGTTCCTTGGTGCCGTTATGGGAAGAAGTGGTGGTGTCCTCAATACCCACACGTGGGATTCCGATACCATCGTGAAGCATGTTAATCAGCCAGCTGGCTTTGAAACAAACTTCGAATGCTGTTTGCTCGTCGATCTTCTTTCCCCAGGTCTTGTCATCAATTCCTTTCTCAATTGTCGACCAGTCTTGTCCACAGAATTCTTTGACCCGACTCTGATAGGTGTTGAAATCATAGGCCTTGTCTTTATGAGCCATTTCAAATATTTCATGAGTCGTGTGCCAATATTCACTTATTCCAACAAAATGGTTGACATCAAAGTCAATTGCAGGAACATGAACACCATGGACAAGACATGGTTCGTCTGGACATGGTATGTCTTTTTCGAGAAGTGGGAACGTTCGATGGAGACACTCGTCGAATTTTCCAGTCCCAATCAAGTGATGGCCAGAGGGTAAAGGGTCGTCCTCCTCTATTATTGTCCCATCAAGAGTCAACCTTAAGTCTTTTGGTAGACACGGGTCTGGTATTTCTGTAAGTCCTTTGGCTGAATAGGACTCTTCTAGGTCCTTGACATAACGCCGACGCGCTTCATTAGCACCAAAACCCAGCCAGGTTGTGACGAAAACTCTGTGTTCCTGTGATACACCATTATTCGTCCTTAGCCTCAGCAGTGTCAAATCATTGGCGTGTTTCTCGGCCTCTGTAGCATTTGGCGCGAAAGCGATCTGTGCTGAAGCCCCGCCCATATCCAGAAAACCGTACGTATGATGTCCCTTCCCATGATTATGCTGCTCTTTATCATCGAACCCCCCAAGTAGGTAGTTTGCTGCGATCCACCCGTACAAGCCCTCAGTCTCACCTGGGATCACCTGTACATGTAGATCGCAGTCCGGAAGCAAGAACTTGGTCTCTGATTGGAAGTACGAGCAGATATTGCGCAGCAAGGCGGTTCGTTGGAAGTCTGGCAGGAGGCGCATGCCTGCGGTCGCGAGAAGGAAGATAGGAGTGTTTGGAACGGCATCTTTGGGAACATACTCCAGCGCATGTTTAATCAGCGGTTTGAGATGGTCATCGCCGACCAGTTCAGGAGTAGTACCGAACGTTGAGACGCCAGGATGAACTTTCTTGGTCCACTTGTCCTTTGTTTCTAACTCGGGGAGTGCATGGAGGCTTGAAGTATCCAGGCGAGCGACAGAATTGTCCAACCATCTGTACACATATACGCGTGTACCTGATGAGCCCGCATCAAGTACAACGCCATAACGTTCGTTGTCGGCCGTGGAGACCATGTTGCTGGTTACCAGCACATGCTACTTGGGCGCGCCACTGGAGATGTGTCAAAGAGCTGACTAGAGAGTGTTCTGGAAGAGTAATAGGTGCGTAATTAATAAAATAATTGTACTGGAAGCGACAGTGGAGGACACATGCGGCTGGCCAGCATGGAGAAGATGGTTGAGGCAGACTGGTCTGTACTGGCTGGCAGTGGCTTCGGCGTTGAGAAAATCATGGGGCGAAGGTGTCACCCAAAACATGCTGCAAAATGATAGGTCACGTGCTAAATGTCACGTGATCATAGTGGCGTCATCGGTCCGGAAGACGGTCGCGAAGTACGAGTACTCGTACGCCCTGTGGCTTTAGCGTGAGGTTGGTGAGTTGAAAATGGTCAAAGATAAAGTCTACTTTTAATGAAGGGGAGCGTCAAAATGGCGACGAGCCTATTGCTGCGAGTGTTGACGACTCAGGAGTTGGCGGCTGATAAATCCTTGGTGCCTCTCGTTAACATGATCAACAATGTATACGGAAGAGGTCTTGAGGGAGTTGAGGATCTTATCGATCGATACTCTGGATCGGACGCTCTACTGGACGATCTCGGGACGGAGGGCCTGTGCGCATTTATGCTAGATACCAGCCAAAATCTAAGACCAGTTGCAGTAGTAGGAGCGAAGAGATGGAAAGGCTATCGAAACAGGGGCAATCCCTACGATAATGGAGGGGACTGGGAGATTGGCCCTGCGGCATCTGATGGCGACCCTCAATATCGAAAGAAAGGACTTGTTGATCAATGTCTAGAAGCCTTGTACACGAGGCTCTTGGCCGGGGAACAGGCTGGCACAGTGCGGCTTCGGATGACTGTGCTGGAGGATGTCAACGCCCCCTATTGGAGACGGAAGGGTTATGAACAAGATGGAGAAAGATGGGTAATACCTCGAGGTCGATGGCACAAACTCTTCGAGTATACTGTGATTGATATGGTGAAAGAGATCTCTGTTATTCCATCTCCAGGAATGGGAACTTGAAGAGATGCCGAGCGGGTTGGCTGGTGGGTGGCCTGGTATCAGACAGTGACACCCAACTTCCACAGCGCAGTGACCACGACTGATTACGTCAGAAAGCACGTGACTACGGTTGGGGTTGAAACGCGGAGGAAGGAGCTCATGAGATGAAATGGATTCGGGAAGCAGGTGCAGATGGCATGGAGATATCCGACTCGCCGAGTGGTCCTCGGTTAATTGATTGATCAATAACATAGACATCCAACAGAGCCAACACTTTCCAGTTACAGGCCGTATTAATACAGTTCTTCATATTTACACTGCTTTTTTTTTTCGTTTCTATTATCTACTGCCGTCAGTCATTGCCATTGATTTACTATGATCATGGTTTTGGTTCTGCAAATGCTCGCAAGCTAACCTGAAGTCCACCACAATCTTTACACAATGGCCGATCTCGTCCAGCCAACTCCATCTAGAGTTCCTGTTGATACCGCCCTCGAGATACCTTCCGATCAAGATGGCGCAGGGTCGGAGAAGAACATTGTCACACGGATGGCACGTTTTCGAAAGAACCCTTTCAATTTTGCCCATGAGATCTCCCTCTTCGTTCGCGGCGTTGGCTGGCGGGGTTATGACAACATAATCGGCCAACCATGCTTTTATTCGGGATACACCGCCAAACTAAAGTCGGCAACCATGGCTTCCCCGATCCTGAGACACAGACTTGTTGAGATGACCGAGTCTCGATTAAAAACTGAAGAAGAAGAGGCTCTGCTTGACCCATCAAGTCCAACCTATCTACAAGACAGGGAGAAGAGAAGACATGAAATCACCGCTCAATTGATTGGAATTACGGGTGAAAAGCTGGACTATATGATGTGCAAAATGGAAAGCAAGCCATATATCAGAAGTGCCTTTTATGGTGCCACACAGCTTCTCACCAGAATATACAGCGGCATTCACATATCTGAATCCGAGGTAAAGAGGCTGAAAGAGGCTGCTGCCATAGCTGCAGAAAGAAAACAGTCCATCATATTTTTGCCTCGTCATACCAGTCACGCGGACTATGTCACCTTGCAGCTGGTCTGTTACCGTCTTGGTCTAACACTTCCAGTCGTCGTCGCGGGAGACAATCTCAACTTTCCTGTAGTCGGTGGTTTCCTGCAGAGCTGTGGCGCCATGTGGATCAGAAGAAGCTTCTCAGACGACCAACTCTATGGCACTCTCGTCCAAGCATATCTTGATACCATGCTTCAACAGGGATATAATTTAGAATGCTTTATCGAAGGAACCAGAAGCCGCACCGGCAAACTGCTGGGGCCACGCTTCGGAATTTTGAGCTTCCTTCTTGAGTCACTCTTATCCGGCAGGACCCAAGATGCATATATATGTCCTGTCTCCTTGCAGTATGACAAAGTCGTCGAAGTCGATTCCTATGTCAGTGAACTGCTTGGAACCCCAAAGCAGAAGGAGAATCTAGCGGACTTCATTTCTTCTTCATCTGTCCTATCTTTGAATATGGGCCGCATCGATTGCAGGTTTCATGAACCCTGGAGTCTAAGAGATTTTATCAATGAGCAACAAGCCCGCCAAAACTCCTCGAGCCAGCAGAGTCTGACCGACAGTTCACCTGAGTCTGAGACTCGAACCAGGCTCTTGAGAACTTTGGGCTACAAAGTCCTCTCGGATATCAACTCTGTTGCCGTGATAATGCCGACGGCGTTGGTAGGCACTGTCCTCTTGACATTGCGTGGGCGAGGTGTCGGCAAGTCAGAATTGATTAGAAGAGTCGATTGGCTTGCTGCAAGAACAAAGGCAAATAACGGAAAGGTTGCAGACTTCCATGGTGTGCCTACATCAGCCATTGTGGAACGTGCGCTAGAAGTACTTGGTCCCAAACTGGTTGGCACTGTCAATGGTTTGGCTGAGGAGACTTATTATGCTGTAGATCGTTTTCAACTATCATTCTACCGCAACATGACCATTCATCTCTTCATCTCGGAAAGTTTTATCGCAGCTTCGTTGTACACAAAAGTCAAGCAGGGTGGCGGCAATGCAAATCAAAGCATGGAAGAGACAGAATTGATTGACAAGGTCACCTTCTTGTCACAGCTCTTCAGGGGAGAATTCATTTTCCCTGTTGGACAGGGGTTGAAGCATAATCTCGAGGCTGCTGTGCAAGGACTCACCCGCGATCGAGTCCTTCAGATCGCAGAAAGAGACGCTCAAAGGGTGGTTGGTCTCGCAGATGCGGAGCGCAAACTTGGTCGGGAGAATTTTGATTTTTACTGTTTTCTTATCTGGCCGTTCGTGGACGCTGCTTGGCTTGGAGCGGTCTCTCTACTATGTTTGGTGCCTCCCCCCGGATCGTCCATCTTTCGGATTGACATGGCAAAAGCACAGAGTATGGCACAGCTGGCTGGGAGGACTTTGTACCACCAGGGCGATTTGTCATATTTCGAAGCGATCAATAAGGAAGCTCTGAAGAACGCATACAGTAGATGCCAGGAGGAAGGTATCATCATCGTGACTAAGAGTGAGAGCCCCAAAGGCGGACCAACAGTACAACTAGCTCCCGACTGGATACCGGAAAGGGACCCTGCATCAGGCGAGCTACGCGCATCTGGAAGACTGTGGGATTTTATCGAGAAGATTGCGTTATACAGACGAGAAGGGAAAAACAGACGAGATGGTGCCGCAGTCTCGACCCGTGTACTTTTACTGGCGTCAAAGCTGAATCACCAGCTCTTCCAAGATGCAGAAGCGTCACTGGCGCCAGAAACAACCACTCCGAAACGAGAAAGACAGAGAAGGTCGAGACTCTAGTCCTGTCTCAGCAATGATGCGTTAGAAAGCACTTCTATTATGGCAAATTATTGCTATGTAGGTTGATGAACAGATTTTGGTCTGGGACACCAGGTTCTGTCACCTGAAATATGAACATATCGCCCTGCGATCATTACCCCTTTCCAATTTCATTTCAGCAGCACCTCAATTCCGATGTGCCGCGAGAAGTTCCTCAAGATCTTTTTATGAAGAGGTAGTCTTCTTCTCAACGGACTCTGGAGGTGGGCTTGGTGGACTAGAGACGAGATGGGAGTCGTGTGTTGTTCCATGTGTAAGTGACGCTCCATGCTCGAAAAGAGACCAGTCGCCGACTTCCTCCTCCATGAATTGATCCTCGTCGATTCCACGGAGTTCTGCCTCTTCGCTGATACGGAGGGCCAAGAATGGAACAAATTTGCCGATGAATTTCATGATGTACAGCAGGCAAAGCGAGACCGTGAACGAATAGGCGGAGATGGAGGCAATGTCGGCAAGCTGTCGAGCTACCTGTGCTCCATCGCCATCGATTCCGCCAGGGGCCAATGTGCCTCCATCGAGTGAGGAAACCGATGCTGATGCGAAGATACCAGTCAAGAAGGAGCCAACCATACCGCCAATTCCGTGAAGTTTGAATACATCCATGCCCTCGTCGACACGAATCCAATCATTGACGTTCTTGAGCGATGAGCATACCATACCGGTGATTAGACCGATGGCAGCAGCTAGCCAGACGGAAACGTAACCAGCGGCGGGTGTGATACCTGGATTTGGTTAGTCGAAGCTCTATCCAAGAGACATATGGCGGCTTCCTCGGGACATGTATTTAAACAAGTCACGAGGCAGCAAAAAAAGCACTCACCGACAAGACCAGCAATGGCTCCTTCACAAGCTCCCACGGTGGAGAGTTTTCCCTTGTAGCGGATCATATCGATAATGGTCCAGCCTAGAACGCCCATACCAGCCGAAACATTGGTGTTCCAAGCGGCCATATACGATCGGACAGTTGCGTTGAGGGTTGAACCACCCTACATAAGATTAGTGATAGCCTCATTGAACTCTGGACTCGACTTACGTTAAAGCCAAACCATCCTACCCAGATGAGCAGAGTTCCGATATACACCATCGAGACGTTATGAGGCTTCATCATACTCTTCTGGCCATGAAGCTTCCTCTTTCCGAGGACGAGAGCATACGCCAAGGCAGAGCAACCACTTGCGATATGAACTGGACCACCACCAGCATAGTCGAGCGAAGGCAGGTTATACAACCAGCCGCTGCCGTTCCACGTCCAGCAAGCGATTGGGCAGTAAACGATCGTAGCCCACCAGAAACCGAAGAAGAGAGATGGGATGACACGGCCGCGCTCGAAAGCACCACCAACCACGATCATGACTGTGCAGATGCAGAAGAGCAATTGGTACAAACAGAAGACAATCTCAGGAAGATATGCGCTACCAGGGGAAGGTGCAGCTGTAACGTCCTTGAGACCAAAGTTTGCAAGATCTCCGATGAAAGGGCCGGCTGTTCGAGAATAGGCAAGCGAGTAGCCCCAGAACATCCATTGGAAGGTGACGACCTGAAGAAAAGCGTTAGCAGCGATTTCGAGCCTGGTAGGCAGTTCTCGTCACTTACACCAATGACGGCAAAACCTTGGTACAACATTGCAAGTGCGGACTTGCGACGAGCCAATCCAGCATACAGCAAAGCCAGACCCGGAATGATCAGCCAGACGAGATAGGCACAGATGATGAGGTAAACGGCGTGGAATTCGAAACCAGCGAATTGGGCGTTGACATCGACCTCAAGCGGATTTCCGCCATTGGGGGCGGACTCGTCGAACTCAGGCTGCGCACGAGGACATCAATAGCTGGACGGACGACACGTTGGCGACAATGACTTACTGGATCCATTGTGAATTATTTTTGGTACTTCCAACAAATTCTCGATTAAAGTGAGTCGAATGTTGACGCGAACCAAAACGAAAGAATAGAAGGAGAATGCGAGCTCGGCCAGGGTGGTTATTATACCCTTTTTAAATCATGCAAACACTTCTCAGGTACTGACCAGGGTTACGCGTGCCAATATATGGGGGCACGGTTACTAGCACATCGAAGAGACGAATCCGGATCACGGCATGCAGTGAACGCCATCCCAAGAGTACGAAATGGGTGTGTAGATTTGTTATTCGCTTGGAAGGAGACCCACCTGAGTTGATATGTTCAATGTGTTTGACAATTCTGGAGGACCAACTCGAGGCTGCAATTCGGCGAATGTTTGTTGTTGATTGAGCTACCTCACCAATGTTGACCATGATACCGCAGTAGGGGGACGTCGAACGGGTGTCCACTGTCCAGGGCGCAAGGCCGAATGGAGCCAAGGCTGTTATCAGTACCCTGTGGAGACGTGAGGGAAGTAGTAGACACCGATCGTCCTCCTCCCATATGCTTGGCGACACCTCTTGAAGAGACTTGTTGAAACCCGAGTGACTCTATCCGTATGCTAAGGGAAAAAGGGTGGCGGACTCTCAGGGCCAAGTCGTCATGGAGGTTATGAGGTTCACAGTGGCCTATGAACTGTCCCGAGAATGGGAAAGTGAAGGGAGATAGCCGTTTTAGTCGTTCGAATAGTGTAAATGAGATATCCAGTTGTCGAGATAAGAGAATCTCGACCAATTACAATACTCCCTGAAGCGAGTGGGCCAAGACTCTCTCTCTGGCCCCGATACTGCGCGCGTACCATGTTCTCCTAGGTATTCTCTTGGCTCGGTCATTGTGTCCGACGACGACAGTCTCGTCCCTTTTTTCTTTTCCTCCCAGATCCCAGCTTCCCAACCCTACGAGTAATTGATTTTGCTTGGGGAGATCTGAAATCTACCCGATCGAGAAGGGACTCATGCAAATCCGGTGGAAATTTCCACGGTTCTTGGTCTTCTTGTTCATGGATCAGGTACTTTCGGTGGGATGGATGAGAATCCGCTCAAATCTTTAGCGGCGCAAACGGTGGGGAGGGAAGTTCACCTTACTTATTAGCACCAAATACGTTGCCGAATGCCAAGTGATAAGGGAAAACAGGGAGTGAGCCTCAGGGCGGCTTCGCATTTCAATTTCCATGTGGTCACACTCACACCACAGCTGACTGGATTCTACTCGCGCTGTACATGCGACTAAGGGAGCAGAGTAGTCGTGAGGGATGGATGGAGATTTGTCACTACTATTATTATTATTATTCCTCTCAAGTGTGCGCGACTGGGTACTACGATCAGGAGGACAGGTCGATGCCCCGTTGTTAGTTTTGATAATCCCCCAGCTCACATACGAACAAGATGCGACAACGAGGGAATGCGGAGTACCCCTACGAATAGATACGCAGTCGCCTCGCTAACTAATGTCGTTATTTTACCTCTAACGTCTAGTCGCCATGTGCCTAAAGGTTAGGTACCTGAAGTCGCTGCGGGACTAACGATGAGAAGGGAAGGCCATTGTTGTAAGCAGGAACATCCCTACCTACTTCGTATGTACCTACTTCGTACCTAGGTAGGCTATCTTGTCAGGTTTCTGGTTAGGCTGCTGCTGGGTCGGGATGGGTGGCATCTTTGGGGTGCGCGGTTATCATCAACACGTGGATTGATGGTGGCAGGGGTAATCAATCCATGTAATCAATCCATCGCGTCATTATTCTTCCGCACGGACGGAAACTTATCGCACGCGAAGGCATCGATAAGTGCGTGATTTTTATTTTCGACATGTAAGAATATAAACATGAAGCCGAGTCTGGATAATTCCCATCGAATTTTGAACGGAGAATTATTGTTGCAAACGCGATGGGGGTGGAGAAGAAAATGAAAACTTGCCAAGGCCGATGTGTTCCGACATTGGAGAGAGGCAGCGGGATGTTTAGCGACACTCTCCGTATTGACTCAGGACGCAGGCTCAGCATTGTTCAATCAGGGAGTTTCTCCTGGACCCTCGTGAATATGGGAGTAATGCTGTGAGAATGCCACCCGTAAGTTTCAAGTTGGTGTTGTTCCAGCTAGAAGATACTCTCAGCGAAATATAAACCGCAATGACTCGACGTCTCTCGCGACATACTACGCGTCTATGATTGTGCGTCACGACATTTCATAAACCCTTCTTGGGTGCGACTGCTGCGAGTCCAATTCCCAGTGTGACCCTGGTCCCGGTGCCTCTACCTCGTGCGATCCGCGAGGATGCGGCATCTCGACAGCGACTTGGTATTTTTCGTCTCTGGGGCCAGCACCAGGATCTGCCTTTCTGTTTCTGCTACGACGGAAGCAGAACGTCAGCACAGCGATGATGAAAATCACCCCGAGCGCGGCCCCCACTCCAATACCAGCCTTGGCCCCTGTGCTAAGTGATGATGAGGAAGCTGAAGATGTTGGCGCCGCACTGCTTTCCGTTGTTGGCGGTGGGGTCGTCGATGTCGTTGAGTTCGCTGGCGTACTGAGGTCCGGCCTTGCATCGGTCTTATTCGGCGACGCTTCATGGGCAAGCACGTGCAAGACCCCGTTGTTGGTGATATAATCGGAATATATAATTTCCGCATCGTTGATATACCTGGTTCCATTCGAGGCGACTGTCACTGTTAGGTTATGGCCTTCGACAGATTGCATTTGTAAGCCGTCTGTCAAATCCGTGGTGAAGTATACACGACCGTTGACGAAATGGTATTCTTGGAGATCGAAGAAAACATCCGTGGGAAGGGTTTTGAGGTCGATAATGGTTCGGTTGGGGATGAAACTAAATATTGGGCAAGTATCAGCTTCCACTTGGATATAATGCTTGATCTGTTTTCTTGATGATGAGGTCTCTTACCATGACCAGTCTGGTGTGGATCCAAGTGCGCCAATTACTTCCGGACTGACAGGTGAGTTCACTTGAATGGAGACGACTCCGTTGAGCCCAGTCTCGATAGCAGTACTTGACTCATCAATTGGAATCTCCAAGACTCGGTCGATTACGTGAATGACTGCGGCACCACTGTTGCCCGCAAAAAGTTGATTCTAAACGCAGCCTTTAGACTGGGATGTCTCTCTCACGAAGACATGGGGGACTTACCGGCGTGGTCAGGTTCGACCTTATTTTGATCCCGCCCTCAAATTGAATGCCCTTATCCGTGGGATACACTGCTATGCGCTGCCCTCCAGTCACGTTGGCAAACTGGGGATTTGTTAACCATGTTGGCAAGAATTGGACACCCCTCTCCAATTCTACCAATGAGTACGGCCCTCGGATTGTGTGGTACAGAAGTAGAGCTTCAAGGACATCGGTATCGTTGAGAGCATCAGTCTTATTTGCGAGATAGTTCGTGATCGCGTCGTTGGAAGGTGCCAGGACTCAGAGACATTAGCTATGAGGGCCTCACAAGCCAGGGGCTGATTTACCAGTAACGTTCCCATCAGTCAGCAGCGAGAATGCTGACGGAATTGACTCGAGATATGAGGTGTAGTACGAAATGCCCTGTATAGTTGGAAGAACGTCGCTCAGACCGTACTGAGTCGTAAGATTCTGGCCACATGCATGACGAAGTGAAAACAAGAGGATGAGGAAAGAAGCAGAGCACAACATCTTTTGCGCGCACGCACCAGCAAACGAAATCGAGATATCTTGAAACACTTTCAGAGAAGTCTGAGGCAGCGACTCAGACTCAACTATAGAGAGCTGGTGTCGAGGAGCATGCCTGCGCGACTGACCATTTTGGGTAATTGCATATTTGCAAAAGTACCAGTCATGTGTTCACCCTGACGGGCAAGCTTAGACTCCAGAACAAAGCTTTGCAGCAAGCCTCATGATACTCGTGAAGAATCCTGAATCAAGTTTAGCTCTTCGTGTCCGATGATTTCGTCGCCTTAAACATGGGTCTGGATTCAATGATGATCCAATGAGCATTCGGAAGTACCGAGTATTTGGAGACGAACACGACGAGCGTCAAATTTGGCAACACGAGCCGTCCATCTCCAAAGCAAAGAATCTAGATCTGCGTGCAGACAAAAATGAGAAGACAGCAGCCTACCTTCCTTTGTGAGTAGTAAACATCTGATTTGGATGATTTTGGCCATCCGATCCTAGCACTGCAATGGTTTTCCATGAGGGTCGTCGTAATTGCCAAAGATGTGCCTAGGAGGTCGAGACGTCGATGGGCAAATTGGAAGCGGAACACCATTTGATTGGTGTTCACCACCGAAGCCTCGATGCAAGGCTAGGTGTTCACACGACATTGAAACATACGTGTCATACTCACAGAGAAAGCTTTGCAACTAAAGCACTTTGCTGTACAAAAGTTCCAGCTCAGCTGACCATCAACATCCGAATACAGTGAACATCACTGTCAATGTATAAGGAAAAGATCTATGATCTGCTTTGGCAGTTGGATATGATAGACCAAAATCACTCTTTCAGCTGCAGTCAGGCATACGTAGGAACACATGTCACTCGTGTCAGCAACAAGGAAGCTGCGATCACGATGACTGCATTGGCCCTATGCTATCTTTTAATGGACAAGCGAGAGGACTTTGATGTACTCGCGGTTCGCAAGTGACGTATTCATGTTAGCATTGCCCTTTGTCAGAGATATTCCAGAATCATTGGGGTGACTTCGAGTTGTCGGGCTGCTATGTAGCACCACAAGGCTGCGCTAGTACATAAGTAGTTAGTGTTAAGCTTCGATGAGGCTGTTGGAGTTATTTTCCCCCACCAAACCATGATCACGTGAACTACATGATTGTTCAAAAGTTTCTCAGGCAAGTTGAGCCAAACCTTGGACATCGAAATATCCCGCGCCAAAGACTTTTCGTTCTGCCACCCAGAGGTAGAAGCCCAGGAATACCGCGGTCATGCGGCTTACAGCCGACCTCATCAATAACTCCCTCTCCTATTTAAACCCACTCAAAGAGCGCGAGCTGGATCTACGAGGTGAGTCCACTGGAAAGAGCAGATATCTACACTTTGAAGTCTTGCTACTACACTCGTTCTATTCATACCCAATTTGACACGCACATTTGGCTCACCACAGTCCTCCTCCGTTATTCGCGTTGAAACAGGCCACAAAATCCCCACCATTGAAAATTTGGGTGTCGCGGGTCCTCAAGATGCGATTGATTTTACCGACAACGACATCACCACTCTAGCTAATTTTCCTCTCTCGCCGCGCCTAAACACCTTATTATGCGCCAGAAATCGTATACAGACCGTCGATAGACGCATTTCAGAGCAGTTGCCGAACCTGACGACGTTAGTACTCACTGCGAACCGAGTGAGGGAGTTGGGTGATCTCGAGGGCCTCAGTCGGTGTAATGGACTGATACATTTGAGTCTGCTGGAAAACCCGGTAACCAAGAAAGAGGTGTGTGAGGAACCATTTTCCATACAGTGTGGCATATACGAGATTATTCTCCTCTACACAACATCATCAAGACAACATGGCTGACAATGGGAATTGTTGAATAACCTACAGCATTATAGGCTCTACTTCATCTGGTCGATCCCGTCACTCCGTTTCCTGGATTTCCAGAGGGTACGAGAAGCTGATAGGGAGAAAGCGAAAGAACTTTTTGGAACACATGAAGAACCAACAGAACTAGCCTCGAAGATCAGAGGAATCAAAACTCGGTCGTTCGACGTGGGTGGCGGTGCAGCTGGCACTACTAATGGGAAGGACGACAGTGGCTCGCGACATGGTGTGCGCACACAGTTGACAGATACGGAGAAGAAGAGGGTGCAGGAGATGATCAAAAACGCAAAGAGTCTCGCAGACATTACTCGTATTGAGAAGGACCTGGCTGAGGGTAGGATACCGGCGGGTGCAGCTGATGCAGACCGGATGGCATCATGATTGGGTCATTGTTCTTGACGTGTCGGTGTCAGGAAATTCATGAGGTTAATGCATGGGTCAGGAGGCATTCAATTGCATGATGTTGGCCAAAGTGCCTTGCGACACTGATGTTCGGTGTATAAAAAACGGCTTGAAGGAACGAAATACCCCAGGTTAGATGGAGGTCTATCTCTACAGCCTTGAAAGACATGATGAAATACGAGGACAAATCTCGTCCGCCACTGATACTGAAAAGGTTCCCTGTGATGTCGCTTTCTCCAACCTCGTTGATACTCCGATTCCCCATATGACACAATCATGATCGTTCAACCCGGGAGACAAACTAGGTTTGATAGCCGGATCCCGCGATCTCATTGTTCTAACAAAAATCTCAAAAACGCCTTGCTGACAACCAGGCCGTCGTGCGGTAGTGCAACCTTTTTAAAATGCGCATTGTACGCCTCGTCATCAAAGATACCGGTTGCATGGCGTGTGTCAAGGATCTCGGTCATGATCTCCTCGTTGAACTCCGGGTGGCCTTGCACGGTGATGAGTTTCTTAGCCACGTACATGCCCTGGACCTTGCAGACAGGTGAAGAACCGAGTGCTTCAACGCCCTCGGGATAGTTGAACACGATATCCCTATGCATCTGGTGGATTCTCTTTTTCACTTGTCAGGGTCGAAACAAAAGCCGAAGCAGAAAGGAAGTTGATCGACTCACAATTTTATCCACGCCGAATATCTCCTTTCCTTTCTCACTGAGCTGGACATCATTCACGGCAGCTTCCCACCCATCTGGATTGCGGCCAACACCGGCTTTCAAAGCACGGCCAATGATTTGATGTCCGAAACAAACACCAATTGCCCGCACAGAAGTCTCGGTCAGGATTTTGGCAGTATATTCGACCAGTGTATTGATCCAGGGTGTATCGGCAAATGAGTCATGCCCTGTTGAACCATCACTCGTCAGCGATCGTACGGCATATCGATATTCACTGGTTGCTGAAGGGAATCATCCAGAAAGGCTCCAGCCTAAGATACATATACCACCTTGATTGCAACTCTGGCTCCCCTCCACTAAGGAAATATTGGAAACCTACTTGAGCCTGTTATCAAGATAGCGTCAATGTCCTCTGGATTCGGATACTTTTCCGGCTCCAACTCGATCTGCCAACGCGAGATCTCAAGGCCCGTGGTGGCATCAAAATCCGGCCGTTCCAGCGCCTTTGCGCCTGATCTCAACAACAACTCAAAGACACCGCCATACCCTTGAAACTTGGCTTTGGTATTGGGTAAGGGTGTGTCAGCCTCGAGAATGGCGAGTCGGATTGGTGAGGCAACCTTCAAGTTCATGATGAAGACTGAGTACTTGTGTCAGTCAAACACGTGGTTTCTAGGAGACACTCCACAGGGTGCACAGGCTATGAAGGGAAGAAACCAGAGAAATTTGATATGGATGAATGACCTTCCTTGCCTCCTGCCAAAGGGCGTTCAATTCCGTTATCTATTATCTAATACCCATCATCTGGTGGTGGGTGCGCAATATCAACGGAAGTAACCGATTGGAGCATGCCACCTCATTTTCTACCATCGACTAACTACTGATTATCTGGATATTGAACTACCTACTCAAGTCAAGCAGCTACCAGATTTCATCAGGCAAATGACGAAGAAGACATCGTTGATCTCCAACTGCGATCATCGACAGACTAAATACTCTTTAGTTTCGCCCCCTCTTCGCGGGGTAATAGCAATACTGCACGGCAAACAATCTATCACCGACTTTCTCGCTCGATCATGATTAATCAAAGTATTCTTCCCAGGGAAGGTCTATTGAGATACAGAAACCCAAGTTCAAGACGTTTGGCGACGACGGCTCTACTAATCTCAGTGTAAAAGATCCGAAGTGTATTACTCAACTCCACTAGTTGCTTGCTATCTTTGCATCAAATTCGGAAGCGGGCTAGCACGCCATTTCGTACCGCTTCTACGACTGGGCTTGTGTCATCTTCAGCATCACTCTACTTTCGGGTCTTCCATTTGTCCAAATCTCCCGGAGAATCTGCTTAGTGGACATCGTTGACCATATCAATCTCTAAATCGGATGTCGAATACAAACACTCTCACAAGCCACGCTAAGTTACATAGAAGTCCTCCTTCATTTGCACAGATTGTATCTTGGCCCAGGGGTCGTGGAGCCTAGCATCACGACCAGGACGAAAGATGCCCGATTTATCTCACACTCGGACTGGCGGTACATCACAATCTCCTACCAGCAATGGCAACCACACTCCAAGTGACCACCAAACAACAGAAACCACGACCTTGTTACCCAAGCAGTCCAATCGAGCACGAACTGCTGATGAAAAGGAAGCTGAGGTTCATTACCGGGGCCCTATCACCGGGCCCAGGTTCAAATTTCTCCTTTCCAGTATTCTTGCTATCTTGACTATAGCCTTCTTCGACTCAACTTTGATGGCCAGCGCACATCCCGTCATTACCTCCTATTTCCATGCTTCAAATGCTGCATCATGGTTCAGTACTGTGTTCTTTCTAACATCCACTGTCTTTCAACCCGTATATGGACGGCTCAGTGATACCATCGGCCGAAGGTCGGTGTTTGTGTTTGCAATCTTCATGTTCTTTGTGAGCACCGCATGGTGTGGCGCTGCTCCTAACCTAGGCAGCTTCATTGCTGCTCGTGCCGTTTGTGGACTTGGTGCTGGCGGGGTCATGTCAATGGGGACTATCCTGGTCAGTGATGTGGTCAAGATCGAGTATCGTGGCATATATCAAAGTGTGTTCAACATGGCGTATGGCACAGGGACTGGTCTTGGGGCAGCCCTTGGAGGTTGGTTAGTGGACACTAGACGCCCTTGGACTTGGAGGGCTGCTTTCTATTTGCAATTACCCTTCATCCTTGTGTTCGGAATCCTTGCTGCCATTGCATGTCCGCCAGGCCTAGGACCCAATCTAGCAAAGACCAGTGGCAAGAGCATCAGACAAACATTTTCGACCTTCGATACCTACGGTGCAATGGTTCTTGCCGCAACCACAACCTCATTAATTCTTGGGGTCAATCTCGGAGGCAATGTTTTCACATGGACCCATCCTCTGGTCATAACGAGCCTGGTACTCTTTGTGGTGGCTGCAGTATCACTGTACTTCATTGAAAGGAAAGCCGAGTATCCCATCCTGCCGATCCCTTTACTTTCCACAAATCCCAACGCGAGTCTGATGTGGTCCAACTTTTTCGGAGCGATCGTGGTCAACACGGCCTTGTTCAACATTCCCCTCTACCTACAAGCAGTGCGACAGACGAGCCCCACTACGTCAGGTCTCTTTCTCCTCGCACCCCTCGCAGGAATCAGTCTCACCGCCGTTGCTATTGGATATTATATCACAGTGACTCGAAACATGAAAGCACCTATGACCCTAGGCACGATTGTGCTTTTCTTTGGTGCGACTCTGTTGACCACCTCACTCTCAGCCGAAATTCCGACATGGGCAATTCCCCTACTCATTCCATACTGCAGTATCGGCCAAGGATTTTTCTTCCCACCTGTCACCATTGCCCTCCTCGCCATCAATCCACAGGACGAGCAAGCCGTGGTCGCCACAACTCTAGGCTTGGTTCGCAGCCTAGGCGCCATTCTCGGCGTGGCTGTAAGTTCCTGGGTCCTACAGAACTCCCTCCTCATATTTCTCCAAGAGTACGTGATGAGTTCCGACCCTGCCAAGAAGGCATGGATCATCAAAACCGCACGAGAATCCGTAAGCTCGATCCGCGATCTCGATCCAAAACACAAAGCACAGGTCATCGCCGCATACGCCGCAAGTCTGCGAGCGACGTTCCTCGTCGGCGTCATATTCGGCCTTGTATGCGTCGTCCTCATCTGGCCGCTCAAAGTGCCCAAATTGCAGTCCCAAGCCGATAAAGATAGCGTCGAGACCCCCGACCTTCTCGATGCGCAAGACGAAGCCCGGGAAGGAGAGAGAGGAAGCAGAAGAGGAAGCCAGGTTGAAGGTTCCAGGGGCCGCCCTCTGGGCATATTGGATGCGAGGGATCAAGTCCCCGTAGAGTACGAGATTGAGCCAGATCTCCTGGACACGGTCGAGGAGGGAGAACAACATGGATCCGGCAATCTGGCCATCGGTGACGGCTCAGCTGCGGGATCGATCCCTCGTGCTGGAGTGCTGCACCACAAGAGAAGCCGGAGAGCGAGCTTTGATACACAGTGGCGATAAACAACAAATTCAGGAAACCGCCCTCTCGATTCTGGTCTCAATTGTCTCGTCCGGCCTGGTGTTCTTCAACGAAACGCGCATCCCATCATTCTCACAGGACTCGGGCACAATAAGACGTCGTCTGATAGCATCAACGGCCCTCCATTCTACCCGTTACACAAACATTCGCCCCAGAGAACAAGCTGAGAGCGAGAACAGATGAGACGAAGCGGAACTCATAAGAACAACAGCACGACCTTCGATGAATCCCAGTATGTCTGACTGGATATCCTATAAGCACTCTACCCTCAGGCCTGGTTTTCTTAGGATTGTTGATTCGAAAAATCGAATTCGAAATCGAAATACCTTGACGAAAGTCCAAATCCAGGTCTCAAGCAGCGAAAAATTACCTTTGAATCAGGCAGAGGATCTGTGGAAATATTAAAGCTGATGGAATGAAATCTGGGTTGATCTGATCGCAAAATGAGGGTGGGCATACAAGTCATACAAGTAAGTGGATATGGCAATATCTGTTGCATGTTCAGTGTTTGGCAGATATTCAGTCGAGGCCTATGCTATTCGGGAGGTGTTCGTCGGTGAGGTGTTTCAGTTGAACATGGTATGGTATGGGCGAGGTGCAGAGGCCTTATGTGAGCCATGCCCTGCAGTAAGATATATATTTCATTGCTATAGCTATAATGGGTGTGAGAGAGAACCAAGGCAATGGTGCTCTGTGAAGGAGCCCAACGGGACATACTGTATATCTCCTGGGTTAATTTAACTTGTATTCATACATACTTTTTCTAGCTGGGATTTCCGTCGCCTGCGTTTATCTTCCCAGCGCAGCGGCTTTGGGAACATCTACACTCCATCGATGAAATGACCAACGAACCAACCGACCAACCAAATCAGTTCGTCGCCCCCCTTCTAGGAAAATGTACATTGACGGCCTCGGGCAGGTTGAACTCAGGGATGGCGATGTCCTCACCGCTCGCCGGCTCACGGATCGGACGGAGCATGCTGCTGCTCGTGCCGCCCGACCGCCGCTTCTCGCCCACCGTAGACGCCGTGCCTGGACCTCCGACCCCCTGTGCTGCCGCGCCGTTACCGGGCAGTGTGGCCGTGACTTCGCGGTAGAAGATCTCGAGGCGGTCTTTGTCGTTGCAGAACGATTCGAAGTCGTCTTTGATCTGCTCGGGCGTCACGTAGTGTGAGAATCCTAAGGCGATTAGTGCCCGCCGCGAGCCGAATGAGTCTGCGAGAATGCCGCCTGAGGCGGGTGTGGTGGTGCTGTTGGGGCCTGCTGTTGCTGGGGTCGTTGAGGTGGAGGAGGGCGATGGACCGAGGGGATAGGGGTTGTTGGTGGTGTTGATGGTTGTGGAGGAGCTCATGGCTGTGTTGATTGGTTTGATGAGTGGACTGGCGAAGGGGCCCGATCGGGGACTCGCCACGTTCAGTGCGATGATGCCCGACGCGGACATGCTCGTTGGGCCAAAGGTTGTGCTTGAACTGCTCTGGCTTTGGTTGGTGCTTGGCTGTGGTCGTAGTAGTAAACCCTCTTTGCTGGCGTTAGGGGTTCCTTCTTTCTTCAGGTTCTCGAATCTCGATCGCTCTTCCTTTCCACCAGCCAGGCGTGAGTTGTAGAGACGATTGGCTAGCAGTAAAATATCACCGTTATCTGTGATTTGTGCAAGGACAACGCCGGAGCGATGAACAAATTGGGTATACCGATAGTCTAGACGTCCCCAAGAGTACCGAATCTCTACATTTTCTGGAAACTCGGACACAGCCTCGAGGTCGAGAACGAAATTGAAGTGCTTTAGTAATGCCTTCTGATAGATATGAACGTCCGTATTGGGAGGGTTGGCTTGTGGAGTGAAAGATGTTGCGGTGAAATATACAGTGGAGAATGAGATGGAGCTCCGCTGTGGTGGCTCCAACGCAAGCTTTATCCGGTAATATGCGCGGAAAGGTTCATCAAGGGGAACCTTACTGGCCTCCGCTATGGGAACTTCAACAAGTTTCAAGCCATATTTCTCAGCTTGGGTGGTCCAAGACATGACTGCATCGTCGACGAGTCTTGAAGTGACGTTCAACCATTGAAGTTCAAGATGGTAGCAGTTCTCTGGATTGTGGAGGCGATCATAGTGTAAATGGATGACTTCAGGATGACTGGATCGTTTCCGCGAATCAACATCGATTCGAATGATCTTACTCAGTGTAATCGAACGATGCTTCTTTTCGCCAAAGGATTTGGCCAATTCAGATGAGACCTGAGCTTGACCTACCAAGTTTGACCCTGAGCGAGAGCGACCAGTAAGAAACTCCCTGCCACCATACTCATTAAGTGGTGTGGGAGGGATAGAACGATCGGATTTTCGACTCGTGCCAGGAAACCACGACTGTCGAACTTCTGGTCGGGAAGTTCGCCAGTCAGGTTTGATTGAATAGAAATAGTTGCCATCTTTGAACCTATGACGGCTGTTGACGTGTTCGAAAAGACCCTCTTTCATCAAATCATTGCCGAATTCCACTGCCTCATCACGTGTATCAATATCACGAAAGTTGTGAACAAGCCAATTGGTCAGGTCTTCTCCTTGGAAGCAACTATAATGTAGGCGCAGATGCCAACGTCTGTTCTTTATTTCGATCCCCTTATCGCTCTGCAACGCCTGTGCCAGCTTTGGCATTTTGAATGTCTCTCGCTCAAATTGTTCGTTCTCAGGTAGAAGTTGTGTGGTTTGGATTTCACCTGCTTCCTCAGCGGCAAACAACTTATCCAATTCTGTGGCTACCAGCTCGGAAGGGTTCAAAGTCTCCAGTGTGATCCGGAGGGGATTTCGATCTTTTCTCTTCATCGAACTTATCCTATTGTGTGCTGGCCTTCGTTCGTCTGGTGCAACGTACCGTGCCTTTTGCCACATTTGTGTCAGAGCACGAATCCCTCGCAGATGAATTTCCTCCTCGGTTTCTTCGCTTTCTGAGGTTGTCGGCCTCCAAGAATTAGTTGGTGGTTGGACTGGAATCAAGACGAATCGAGCACGCCAAAAACGTAATGCCTTGACGTCAGGATCTGCTTGTTTCTTGAGATCACTCAAGAAGTTGTCGGCTTTTTCCCATGGATATTGTTCCTGGAAGCCATCAAAAAGCATGTCACGTATGTTGTAGGACTCAGAGAGAATTGTCCTAATATTAGGATGGTAACTGATCTGGGTCGGTAGAGGTGGTTGCACAACACGGGGACGACGTACGTATTTTGTGACGCGAATACGGTCAGATTCTTGAAGCGATAGACGTTGTATTGTGTTGCCCATCGACAAGAAAATGAAGGAGCCATCTGGCCGGATGATATCAGGAGTGAAAAATGCTGAGCTGTCACATGTACCTGGGCCGACCGCTTCTACCAAAGCCGAGCCAACCACCAATTGGTATCCATGTGCGAAGCGTAGGGCAAGCATCTCTCTGAGAAGTGTGTCGCGTGATTCCGGCATCTCTTGCATTTCATTTGGGTTTTCAAATGTGACATCGTAGTCCGACGAATCATACTCGGTCTCGAGGTCAAGCTTTGTAGGAAATTCTTCAGTCGTCAATGGCACCGAGGCGGGTGTACAAAGAGACCGCCACTTCACGGTGGCGGCACGGGGCCTGCGTGGATAAAGATGCTGCCAGCGACCGAACATTTCCGCCCTCTCAGGATGTCGTTTTAATGGGTTTGATGCGTTAACATTGCGGATGGACGTCAGGTCACTTCTGGTGATAGAGCTCGCTACAGATGTTGGGAACAAGCTATCAGTGCGTCTCATGCTATCACCATCATCATTACTTCCACTATCGGACAAACTGCTAGATGTTGATTCAGAGTCTCGATCATTCCGTAGTTCTTCTTCTCTTGGGCTGAGTGTTGTCGGAATTTCTCGCGACTGCTGGTTGGGTTTCTGTGTTGTGTTGGTTCTATCTTCATGGTGTCGGCGAAGTGTGCCGTTAATTTGAATTGGCTTTGAAGGTGTGTCGTCAATCCTTGTTGATGTCAAGATAGATGATTTGTCTCCCGGAGAATAGTCTCCAAAGTCATCGTCAGTAAAAGTGTTTTTCATGGAGACCGAGCGAACACTCGCGCCAGATGTTGCTATAGTTGGTCGTGAATGTCCTGGGTTGCTGAAGAGCGGAAGCGCTTGAGCATTCGTAATATTGACTTCAGTGCTCGCAAGAGCGCGAATTGGGGGAGCTAGCCCGCGTAGAGCATAGTTGAGCGTTCGATTGACTTTCGAAGTCTCAGGACTTTTGACCTTCTTTAAAGTCGAGGTCGTCGCATCTGCTGATATTACGGATGGCAATTGTGGTCTGAACGGGCTATTGAATGGCTTTTTGGTGAGAGACGAAGTCAAACTCGACCCTCCTTGTGATCCTCCAACGGGACTCTGATAAGGATTCTGTGAACTTGCAGAAGCCTTCGATTCTGCTGTTGCCCTTGGTTTACTCGGGAGCTGTTTAGCTTGCTTGGATATTCCCCTCAGACCTGGCTGCGGTTGATATAATCGCGTGTCATAACGATCCATGCGACCGAAAATGTCACCCAAAGCCTTCGAATGAGTAGACAAAAGACCTTGAACTGGTCGTAATAACTCTGTACCTGGACGGTTACTCCGCGACATGCTCGGAGAATGGGAGATGCTTCTACCCCCACTCGGATGCCGACTTTTAGACTTTCTGCGATCCAGTCGTTTCAATACTGGGTTCTGAGTTTCGCTCATGTAAGGAATGCTCATATCAGCCATGCCCAACTCCATGATGCCCATCATTTGAATCTCATACATTCTGACGCGAGGTTGAAATCGTCCCTTCTTCGGTTTCTTGAGCCCTCCCACATCACGCAAGTCTTCTCCAGGGAGCTTGCTATCCACACTCTCTGGTTCAGCTGACCAGTAGGAGAGATCGACCCATTGTGGAATTCCATAAGACCATCCATGGAGATTATCACGAGTTTGTAGGGACAGATAACTCGCCATGTAGTGAGTACTATTGGATGTGGCTGAGGAAATGGCTGGGGAAAGCTTCCGAGGTTGACTAGAATCGTAAAAGTTGGGACCTGATCCAGATCTTCGAGGGCTTGTTGAGTGTTCAGCTATCGCAGGATGCAAGTACTTGTCTTCAATTCCAGGGGTTCGATACTTGAATAATGGCACAGAGTGCAGAGGCATCCTGGAAAGGCAAACGACATCTATGCCGACGCCGTTGTTGGTCAAGGACTCAGAGGTGAGGTTGAGAAGATCTCGATTGACTTCAAATACTCCAGTGCCAGCCGTGATGACAACAATTGAGACACCAGTACGTATGAGATCTCTGTCCACGTAGTCGTTTGCAAATTGGGAACAAGCAATGTTAATTGCCTCCAATATGTTACCCTTCAATGCTGTACTTGGTCTTCCTGCGATCTTGACTGGTTGAGGTTTCTTTGACTCTGAGAATGTTCCAGGGTTTGCGGTATGCAGTGAGATATCTCTGAGGAAGACACGAAAGTCTTTCTTGATTTCATTGAGGATGAGTGTCCATTGAGCACTGGCCATATCTGTAACCACAACTCTGTAGAAATCTTGATATTGACGAGCAGTCATATTTGGTGCGCCAGATTCCGCCACCATCTCGAGTCTTCTATCCTTGTTTCTGGCAAGGTCGAAACGGTCATATTCTAGGCGTCCAAAGAGGACAATGCTGACGAGATGATGAACATCTAATTCTGTCCAGCGTTTGAAGAGCTCGGGTAGAAATCCATTGATCACTCGATTGAACATGATTTCGCCATTCCCTTCCGAATCGAAGTCCCACATCTCGCTGGACATTTGAATGAACAGGACATATCGAGCAGCTTCACTGCGAAAGACTGGAATTGTCGAGCCCGAGAAGTATGCGGTTGGAGTTTTGTGCCCTCGGATATGGATGGACTTGACATTAAGTTTGGTACTTCCCAAAAAACTGATTTTCTGACCGGCATAGACGGTCCTGCCGGCGAGTTCTTGGCCAACCAAGCGCCACATGTCCGATCTTGCGAGGTATGTGTCTCTGAACGCCAATTCAATATGAGATGCTGTGCATTCTTCCAGAGACGCCGGCGAAATTGCAACATCTGATCTTGATCGTAAGCCAAATGCAGTCGCAATGGTGTTCTTGATGGAAAGTTGCAGCCCCTGTCTCACATTGAACTCAGCGTGTGCGAACTTTACGACGCAGAGATATCGAGTATCTCGGTCGACAGAGAAATCGTTGTCAAGCCCATGTCCAAGGTTGCGCTTGGAGTCATCAGCCTCACCATTGGGTGATTGAAAATCTCGAACATCGGATGTTCCTTGTAAGGGGTAGATTTCAATCAAGCTGCCTTCTTTGATATCTGTGCCTTCCAACAGAGACTGATGAATTAAGACGTCCTCTGAAGAGAAGTTATCATCATGAACCCAAAGGGTTGCTCGAATACATAGTGGTGACGAGCTCGGGCGGTTGTCATGGCTGGGCTGAGGAGGGAATCCGGGCCGAGCTCTGACTGTAGATCCGCTGCTTGTCCGACGGTGTTTGACATCGGAACCAAGGGTAGACATGATTTATTCCCGTGATGCTATCTTTCAGTGCCAGAGCCTACTCTGACATGGCGGAGCGAGATGTGATACTGCCGCGGTGCGTCGCGTGTAACAGCCATGTGTTCGTAGTCGAACGGACAGATGAATCAGCAAGACTCACATTCCAGACCGCAATTGCATGGATCGCGTTGCGTGGCCCAGCAAGTTTCTTCGTTGATGATTGCTCTTAGACGATTGGGACTATCTGAGTCGAGTTGTCGAAGTCGAATGCCCTTTGGTGCAACGTGATCGGACCAGACTGCCAAGGCGATCACGGGAATCACGTGAGGAGGCCTCGATGATTTCGATGTATGGAGTGATGCCATAGGTTAGGTAGGAGTGAACATAGAAAACAGCAAATACGGGACTAAAATTTCATCATGAGGTCAATAAATTGTTGCTTACACTCGCCACGACTCACATCTATCTTCTGATCGCTTACTCATACAAGTAGTCTGCTCAAAGGGTATCTTCGCCAACAAGAAGGGCGCGGGAAAAGTCCGCACCCACAAACTTCATCAAATCATCAAACATCATATATACAATTGTGTGCCTCTACCAGACACTCCTCGTTTCGACGTTCAAGAGCCATTTCTTGACGCCTTCACGCAAGACGTTATCTTGTTTCGCTGCTTGTTTCATTGCTTTGGGATTGAGATTGACCCTACGGTCCACATCTCGATACTGTTTGGTCAGATCATCGTTGACGCTCTTGACCACTTCTTCCAATGCACCGACCACAGCTTGTCGACAGTCGGATTGTGAGAGAGTGGAAGGACGACCCCAGTCGCGCATCTTTCCAGGTCCTGATATTTCCAAAGGCTCGGATTTTACAGAGCCAGTTGTTCCAGTAGACACAGTCCTTGAATGGGTTCTCGAGGGTGCAATGGACTTTTGCGAGGGTAGTTCTGTCTCAACCAGGACTCGCTCAATCGCATCCGTCAACGTCGTATCGAAGTCCATCACACTTTCAACAATCAAATCCTCAACCTTGTCGTTAGCTAACCCTCGAGGAGCTCTTTGCTGAGCTTCCTCAGGCTTTGTGGGCCGAGATTTATCTGCCGGGGTGTCACTATCAATTCTACGCCTCAGTGTGAAGCGTTGTATGGTGAATGTGCGTAAATCAGCGACTAGAGTGGTACAGATATTGACCCATCGGCCACCAGTAGTTGTTTCCTCTTCTGTAAGAGGACTGTAGAGATCGCCGCTTGGTGTCATCTCTCGGGTCATACTCTGCTTGATATCGTCTTGGAGTTCAGCATATGGTTTGACACCTTGAAGACTAAAATCTTCATGATATCGCCTCAAATAGCCGCCTACTCTGATATTTTTCGTCCCGACGCTGTCAGAGACCACCGATCTCGAACTATAAGACGAGGCAATGTCCTCACTCAGAACCGATGGAGACTGATGGCGCAGCGACGTTGGAAGAGAGAGCACCTTAGAATCTGCCCAGCCCACGAATCCGGGCAGATTGATGTCAACATCGACTACACCGTCCTTATCGTCCACGGTGAGATGAGGTGCAGGGACATCATTCGGAGTGGCAGAAAGGCGTCTGGTAGCAGTAGAAGACAGATCGTCCTTGTTCTTACCGTGTTTGGGTCGAAGATCTCTAGCTTCATCCACCATTGCCTGGAGGGGGCTTTGGTGACGGGGGTGAATTGGCACTGATCGTGGGGCCAAGTGTCGGCGGTCACGAAGGCTGTCCGTGGGAACTCGCGGAAAAGTGGCTTGCTCGTCTTGTGGCGGTAAGTCGGGTTTTCGAGACCAGAACCCGCTCACATTGCTAATCAGTGAGCCCCATTTCATTGATGGCTGATTGATAGATGTGTAGCTGCTGCTATCTCTTCGCAGAATACGAGCAAGATCAGCACTCGCACCACTCTCTTCTTCGTCCACAATGGCATCCTCAGGAAAATAACTATCGACCTTGGATGCAAAGTGAGGCATGGGAGTGGTGGCATTAGGGGTAGCTGTCGAGCTGGTGGCGGATGTTTTATGGACTTGATTCACACCATCGCCTGCCGCCAGGATAGCTGGAGGTTTGTCAAGGCCCTCTTGCAAATCTTCACGGGCAAAGGCTGAACGAGAACTGTTTCGAATTGCCTTCCCAATACCCCCAAGACTGTCGTTGGAAGACGTACTGGTCGACAAACCTGTCACGTCGCGTCGCGGGAATGTCAACGTACCATCTCTCGATTTACCATGAGTATGACGACGAATTGATCCTTCATAAGTGTGTCTGGGTGCTGGGGAGGTGGAAACAATATCTGGTGTGAGCAGCGGTGATACAAAGTCTGTGCCAGACCTGGCCACTAAATTGAGGGCGTGCGAACGAGGAAGAAATGAGGCAAGTAGGAATATGAAGCGCCGTGCGGTGGAGCGGTTGTCACAAACTATCACGGTCCGCGAGGCGAGATTGCTGGGTCGAGACTTGCCTCTATTCATTGCCTTGAATTGTTTACGATACCAGTCCGGACCGAGACGTTCCAGCCACTCGGTATGATTTCCGAGAAAAGCTGTCAAAAGATTGAAGAGAAAAAAGTTCTGCTGCTTGTTTCCAGAGATGCGTACCAGGTAACGAGCTTCGTCAAGCCAGTGGCCGCCATTGTCAAGACCAAAGCCGGTTAAAACGCGTGGGACACGAAAAGCGTACGAAACTCGCCACAGAGTCTGCTTCACCAGGCGATTTAATGGACCAGTTTGGTTCAGTAGATTGGGAGTGCGAAGATAGACATTACGTTGATTAGTTCGTTGTTCGGCGGGTCCTTTAGGGGCTTTTGCAACGGATGAGATGATTGCCAGGTTCACTTGTTGTAGAGAGTGGGCGATGTAGGAGCGGGACAACTTTTCTACCACACCCAGGCTTCGCAGAATAACGTCCCAGTTTTTGACAATAACATCGACACCCTTATCGGTCATGGTCCCGCTTGACTCGGAAGACATGAGGTGCTCGGGTATGGCATTGAGAAAGGTCCAGGAAGACATGGATTCGGAACCATACGAGTTTGGGGTTCCTGAAGGAGTGAAAGATGCGCGTGAAGAAGGTCTGGCATTGGCAGTGCCTGGTCGGACATCGCCATTGGGAAGATAGCATAGAAGACCGATAGCAAACACGGGTGTTTTCTTTTCCACGATTTTGGGTTTCTTCAAATAGGCCGGGGGGATTTCATGCTGATCCTGCGGTTGGAGTGCAGGCCTGGCACCGTCTGAATGGTCAGCAGAGGAGGTTCGGTGCTGGCGAATATCCTCTTGAGCATCTGGAAGAATAATGGTAAAGACTCGAGTGATCAAGATGGCGTCGCGAGTTTCTGTTTCCGACTCCTTTACAGTGATATGTTGGCGATGAGTCTGTACCGTGTGAATTGCGGTTTTGGCTCGCAAGAGGGGGGCGCGAGTCGGCACCCCAGCTGGCGCATGAGTAGGAGTGCGTGGACCCAAGTCATTGTTTGCATTCCGTTCACCAGGTAGAAGGTGCATTTTTGTACTGGATTCGGTCTTTGTGGCGCTACTAACGCCGAACATACAGTCTAAGACATTCCCCAGGTGATCGGTGTTGTCCGACTCCTTACTCGAACGAATCCAAGAGGCTGAAGCACCAGAGATGGTTGAACTTCTGTGCCTGATATGACCATTGGCCGGGATTCCGGGATCTGCGCGAGGACCCAAGGAGGACATCAAGGGCGAGGCATTGGTTCGACTGCTCGAGACCGAGTCGGGTGGGGTAGTGGAGGACTCGGAGTACTGAGTATCAAAAAGAAGCAAAGGTCGGTCGTTTGTTCCGAAAGCATCTTGGGCGATGATCAATCTTAGATCCTTTGTATCATTCAACTCCAAGCCAGCTTTGTCGTCGAAGGGCGATACGCGCAGAGTTGGAGAACCAAAGGGAGTGGTAGGCGGTGAGACGGAGGAAGCTGGGCGACCATCGCGGGATTGGAAGTCGGGCCAAAGAAGGGCGCGAGTATGGGATTCATCGGTGGCGCTTTCGAGCTGGCCACCTCGGGAGTAGCCCTGGATCAGCCTTCCCAACATGTCCACGAAAAGCAGCGGATCAGTGGAAGGTGAACGGAAAGGGCGCTCAGGGCGCAGGAGCACAGTGAAGTTGGGGTAGGGGGTAGAGGTTAGCACAGTGGCAGAGTCGGCTTTGCCGGTAAGTGGCAGATGGACAATACATGATCTTGAGACGGGTATGGAAGCAGCATAAGGAAGAGGAGTGCACGGAGGAAAAGAGATCAGGAGTGTAATGCGTATGCTGGAGGGCAGATGTCAGTACATTTGAGTTTTGGCATGTCGCGGGCCTCATCCGCATTCCGAGTTCAAGCGACATGGACGGTGGGCAGTCTCGCAGTCTCTCTGCGGCAGACACAGAAACTCGTCCTTGGTGCCTCAAGTTGCGGTCAGTGAGTCGCTCTAGCCACTTTGGGGTAACAAAAGGGTCGCACCTTCCAAAAGCAAATCATCACAGCTCCACGCTAACCCGATTTTGATTCCGCGCTTGGATCCAACTACGCGTCTTCTCTTCCGCCATTCTTTCAGCCTTGTCTCGATCAACATCATTACGAATATAGCCTTGATCAACGTCTGCCCAGGCACAAGATATTCTAACGACTTGGCTTTAGCAGAAAAAGCTGCTTGTGGACACTATGAAAGGCAAAGCTCACTCCTGTATTTTGCACAATGAGGAGAGTCCCTCCTTCGTCAGCTTGCCGCTCCTACACAGCACATCAGAAGCAAGTGCGGCCTTGATGAACTCTGGACCGGCAACCGACAGGCTCAGAGGCAAGCAGGGCCCGACGCCAGCTTGGAGATACAACCATGATGGACTATGATCAAGTCCTAAATCACTCGATTGACTACCCCGTAGGTACCTCAACAGGTATGTATTAATGATCTACGCAACCCAGCCAGGAACACTCATACTTGAAGTTGCACTGCGCACTTGTGAGGCGGGTGCTCGCCATGATCATGATCATGTATGAATCCGTCACATTTTCTCTACTTACCCCTGGATCAACACGCTCGAGAGCGATCACATGATGCCTGGGTCAAGTCAGTCCAGTCCTCATCAACTACTCGACTCTTTCCTCTATAAGTACTCCCGAATCACTTCAACCGTAGCTGGACTACTTTTTCACATGGCACCAACTCAGGCACTGACATGTGCTATTTATCAATACCATATCTGGTCTATATAAACCGTTCTCATAGCAACTTTCTCCTCCACAACTACCAACCACTCCCAATACCCTTTGGTCTTTCTCATTCTTTCCAAGGACATTCCTCTTCTCTTATTATCTCCCTCAACGCTCCTCTCTCTTCCTGCCTTCACCGCTCTATCTTCTTTTGATTGTCCTGCTGCTCACTCACTGCCTTGAGAATATGCTCAAATCTCAAGAGGTGGAATTCTTTTTGCCCGTTTCTGCTTCTTTCTTATCATCATCAATTCTCAACCTTCGACCTCACCAACGATATTCATCAGGTCTGATTTTCCATCACATCCACAAGCAGCGACGCTATGGCTTTATCGGACTCGCTCTCAAAGCAGCTAGCGTACGATGTCATTGATCTCACTGGTGACTCGGATGAAGATGATTCTTCTATCATAGTCGATGGTTCACCACCAGCACAGCTCGCGATCAAAATCGAGCTTGAAGAAGCAAAACCAAGCAGTAGCGCTATTTCCAACACCACGGTAACCAGTGCTGCACCTTCCAGCAATTTGAATGTTCCAGATACGACCCAGACCATTGCCCAAAAACTTGAACATGTTTCAAATGAGGCCGTAGGTGTGTCCACCACATCAAGCTCGAATGATTCAACGGCTCCGATCAAAATTACAGCCCCGGAATCGCCACAGCCTGTCACAAACTCATCTACCGCAGACTCTACTGTCGAGTCTGTCGGTTCGATCAAAGCTACTTCTGATCCCATTGATATCGAGAACTTTGACTCAGTGCTACAGCAGAATCATGTCTCTCTCGATGTCAACGCCGACAAGGCCTCTGCTAACGAGGACTCCCATGATCAAGAAAATTTGTTGCATCCAGAAATACCGCCTCTTCCTGAACTGCCCGAGATGGACCTGCCAGGTGATGATGATCCGAATGATCTAGACGACATGGATCCAGACCATGCGATTCTCCTCTATGTGCAAAACAACCTCCATCAGGACAACGACAGCCGTCAAGATGTGCAAAGTCACCAGTTCCCTGGACCTGAAGATGCTGAGCTAATCGACTGGAATATGGAAATCGACTCTGACCCGACGGATGGTCATGTCAGAGCGGCTGCCAAGTTTGCTCAACTGAAGAAAGCTTATCACGATAAGAAAGCTAACAACACGGCCACAGGAGAAGATGACATACACTTCATTTCTGCAGAAGCAGCTGAGACAAAACGCCTAGGAGACCTGGAGCGTAGTCAACGCCTGACCGAACCCGATCCAAGCCAGCAAAGGCTTCCTGCCGGTTATCATTATGGAAATGAACATGAGGATCAATCAATATTTATTCCTGAGACACCAGAGAGACCTGTGCTCAAGTCGCCGAAAAATAAGCAACCAAGAAAACCCCTCAAGTCACAGAACAAGATCACTGCTAAGGAGACTCGTGAAGCCATGGCGCTCGGAAACAGTCCCTCAGCAGCACGCAAGAGAGCTAACCCCTACGGTCGCAACCAGTCTACTCCGCGGAAGAAGAGAGATAACAAAAATGCTTCTGGCAAGGCCAAGGCGAACGGCGGCCGCACGAGACCGACCACATTGACCAACCTAGGCAGCCTGGGGCCATCAAATGTGGTTCAAGATGCGCAGGCTAATGCAGATAAACCTGCCATACCAATGTTTACTTCTAAGAATAAGCAGAAGGCCCTTCAAGAGCTGATTGCAAGTATTCCATCCACTGAGAGCGGCTCACCCAATTCCGACAAGAACGCGGTGATAGAAGCAACGAAGAAGTTTCGCGGTCGCGGTGTGGTAAGATCTGATGGTCAGGGTGGCTGGAAGCTCAAGGGGATGAGATCATCGCTATATCATCATCAGCTGCTTGGTGCTGGTTTCCTACGGGACCGCGAAAACGGCAACCAGAGACCTTTTGGTGGAATGGTCTGCGATGAGATGGGCTTCGGAAAGACTATCCAAATGATGTAAGGCTAACCTTCTAATCCGCGTCGTCGATTCCAAGCACTGACTCTTGAAGTGCCAACATTGTCGACGGAAAAGCTGACGCAGGAGCGGCCGAAAAAACGACCCTTGTCGTTGCACCAGCTTCTCTCCTGAATCAGTGGATGATGGAACTTGAGAAGCATGTTGCACCAGGGTATCTTGCTCGCATCATTCGGTACCACTCTGGTGCCCGTCTTCTCAGCAATGATCCTGTCGCAGATTTGAGGGAGTACGACATTATCCTCACGACATATAGTGAAATCCAGAAAAGCTACCCAGCATGTGAACCCCCTAAACATCTAGTCACGGAAGAGGGGAAGAATGCATGGTGGGAGATGTTCTACCGAGAGAACGTTGGTCCGTTGCATCGCATCAAGTATCTTCGCATTGTCCTCGACGAAGCGCGTATGTTTCTCTCGACTCTGGGAATTTGCCAAAGTCACAACTGACACCCTCATAGATCAGATTAAAAACCCTACTTCGAAGACGTCCATAGCTGTTCGTGCACTCACTGGAACATTCAGATGGGCTATCACTGGAACTCCAATTTTGAACTACATTGAGGAGTTATTCCCTTACTTCTCATTCTTGAAGGTCCCGCACACCGGCGACTACCCAACATTTCTACACAACTACTGCCACAACCGCAAAGGCAGAGATCCCGTTAACATGGGTCGAATTCACAACATTTTACGAGCCATAATGTTGAGGCGAACCCACGCCGACACGATGTTCAACCTGCCTATTCTCTCATTGCCTGGCATCTCACACACAACATACAAGATAGAATTCAACGATGTGGAAAGGACGATCTACAATACCGTAAAGAGGAGATTCGTTCAGGACATCAATAAGATTCACCGAGCCGGCCAACTCGCTGGTAGCTATAGCAACGTTCTTGCTATGATCCACTACTTGAGAATGCTATGTGCACATGTACTCCTGTGTCAGGGCATTCTTAAGCGACTTTTCAATGCTGCAGATATTGAATTGTTATGGCGCCTGACCGAAAAAGAGAGTCAGTTCAACCCTGGAGATGACCAGGTTGGCATGATTTCTGTCCTCCAAAAGATGCTGCGATCCAAGTCTATCTTGGTCGAAACATGTCAATCTACAAAAGCACCTGGGGCCAGCGTCGAGCATTCGGACGACGATAGTTCAGAAATTGTAGGAACTGGAAGTGACTTCGGCATCTACTTCAAGTTTCGGAAGTTCCTGAATGACCTGTCACAAGGACATCAATGGGCTGAACTCCATCTGAGATCATCGTGCGCCAAATGCAAGCTCCCACCAGAAGACCCCATGTGCACTTCGTGCTTTCATGTCTATTGCCGAGAGTGTCTCATGACCATGGACTTGGACCGTCAACAGAACAAGGAGGAAAAAATCACTTGCATTGAGTGTGGAGCTCATTTCGAGGAGACCTCGCCCTGCGACGGACTCCAAGCTCTTGGCTATAACAGCGAGACTGTTGCCGAGCAGATCGCAAAGATCAAAGAAAAATCCATGGCACCGGTCAAGAGCGGTGGTGGTCAGAAAAAGAATGCTCCTACTGGCAAAGATGAAGAGGAAAAGAAAGAGATAGATTGGATCGAGATGGGCAGGATCCCCTTATCCTCGGCGAAGTTAGCCGCCACAAAAGCGGCCATCCTCAACTGGCGGCGAAGCTGTCCTCACGGAAAAATTCTCATCTACACACAATTTTTGGATATGGTTCGATTGTTGGCCAAAATGTGCAATGCCGAGGGATGGAATCACGTCCAATTCACCGGCAAGATGTCTATGCCAGCGCGCGATAAAACATTGCGCAGGTTCGCGGAAGACGAGGAAATTCCCATCATGATCTGCAGTCTCAAAGCTGGAGGTGTCGGCCTGAATCTTACGAGGGCCTCCAAAGTCATCATCTTGGACCTCTGGTTCAATTCCTCGATTGAGTCACAGGCATTTTGTCGAGCATACCGCATTGGCCAGGAACGGAAAGTCGAAGTTGTCCGCTTTATGATCAAGGACACCATTGACGAAGACTTGATCTCAATGCAGGATCGAAAGGATGTCGAGGTGCAAGGTGCCATTGGTTCGGAATCACACGGCAGTCGCGCGACAATCACACAGTTGTTAGGCTTATTCGGAGAGGTTGTGGATGATGAGGACGGTGAGAATGAGTTTATTCTGGTGGAGGATGAAAATCAGTACGAAGACGACGCCAGGGTCGACATCGGCGATCGATTGCCGCCGCGACCGTTTTAGCCACGGTGCGCTCCACGGCACAATTCAAATGGCAAAGTGAAGGATTATCGGACAGGCCGAAGAGATAACGTTGTAAAGAGCTTTGCGTCTGGGGAGGACATCGGGAGCATGAAATGATTGAGGCATGCGGCAAGGGCTTTTGGCTGAGACGCGCCCGTCCACCAGCAACAGAGCACCCAGAACAAGCGCGGTATTTGCGACAATCTGTGCAAGTTGCACTCTTTAGCACAGGTACAGCAATCAAAGCGAGCTTGAGCTAACTCCGCGCCTTTTCTCTCTTTCTGTGATTGCCCCCTGCATAGTAAACGATCCAAGTCGTTCCCTAGCCCTGGCGTAACTCTCCCCTTCTCCTTCATCTTCCACCCTTGAAGCTTGGAGCGCCAGAATTCGCAATCGGAGAGCTTCAGTGCCATGTCAACCTCGAATCACATGCACCTTGTACAGCACACCAAATTAGTACAGGAAACAATATAATAAAAACAGGACTCGCTGCTCAATAAATCATTTTGTTCAATCGCCAACTTTTGATCATTCTCATATCTCAAGGGTATGTATGTAGGTAGGTAGGTAGGTAGGTAGGTAGGTAGGTAGGGAATTGGGGTATCATATAAGAAGAGGCGCAAGAAAATGAAGAAAACAGGATCGCTCGCCATGTATATATACGCAAATTCAAGTCGTGTGGATGTTTGTGTCCTTTGGTTAGAGCCCCTGCATCACGAAGAAGGCGGGAAGCGGAACGCCAATAGGAAAGTCTGAGGTTGCGTGGGGAAACGGCATTCCTGCTCAACTTTTCTGCAGAGAAACTGCCTTGAAAAAAAACCCCAGCTGCATTGGAACATTCTGAAGAGCACACCCGTAAACGCCACGCCAATCAATTCAAATTCGTCGGTCGGTCTTTTGTTTCTCTTTTTCTCTCTCGCTCCAGTTCACAAGTGCCGAGAGTCATCGTTTTGCTGTCCTGCTCTTCTCTTCCAGATCAAGGGAGCCTGAAAACATTTCGGTACTGTAGCCACTAGCGCAGGGTGGTTTATACCTACTCCCTGACACAACCAGCAGTGTTTTGGTGTTAATCTTGTTTGCTCAGTGATTTGACTTTGTAGACCGAGATATTGTTCGGGAGAGACCGAGGTGTTGTGTAAACGGTCACCCACCAAAAACCTCCTAATAACGAGGTCTCGCACCATTCTATCCTGTCAGCACTCCAAGATATCCCTTTCTGTAAGGGAGAGGACAAAATTATTTGGCAGCAGATTGCTCATGCCTCCAATCATTCTCGCAGCTAGACACCTAGCTCTTTGATGGCCGCCCTGCGTTTCTCAAGCACATCGCTTCTCTTAACGCTTGTTCGTAGTGCTTCGCTTGCTTGAATAAGTTGATCGATACTGATAGCATGGTTGGTCATGTTGTGGTTAATATAAGTGTATACTTGGGCTGCCGAATCGAGGGCCAATATGGCGTTCTCATTCAACTTCAACAATGCCAGGGCAAGTTGGAACAAAAATGGCGAGCTGGTACCATCGTGTTCATCATCTTCGCGCTCAGTATCTGGCATATTGGGTGTCACTGGTGTGGCGGGCGTGCTCCCAATGTTGAGACCGGCGATATCTACAGCAATATTTCGTGTTGTGTTGGAGGTGAAGGGCGTGGCATCAGAGCTGTTTAGACAAAGTCTGCAAAGGCAATAACGGTTAGATAATGCCACACGAGGTCATCTGAAAGAGGTACTCACATCACGTCCCAAACACGATATAAGGCCTCGCCGCCAGTTAGAACACCGGCATACAATGATAAGAACCAGTGGAAAGTGCAAGCCTCCAGCTCAACGCCAAGCTCCTCGAGTTTTGCACTCAGTCTTGGGAGTACTTCAGTAACATATTGCCGAAGAACGACTTGATCGGCTCTTGCAACAAGCAAGGTGGAGCTGAAGTATTGACTCGGAAGTATGACATCAATCATCGCTACCAGAAGCCAAAAACAATCTTCGGCTGTGGCGCAAATAAGCAGTAGCGAAGCTGTGATTAGATTCATTCCTGCCGTAGAAGTTAGTGTCAGTAAATATCAGATCGCGGCGAAGTAGAGAGCATCGTACCTTGGCAGTAACCAATGCGAGGATTGTGTAGCGAATACGCTCGTAATATCTCCTCAAGCCTCTGAACACCCGGACCTTGACGGAAGAAAACGTTATCTGTCAAGGTGCGACGAACGTCTGCTTTGATCTGATTTGCAATATCCACATCAATGTCAGCACCGTCCTCCGAGCGAGCCACCAAATCTTCATAGTATCCCGGATTGCGTAGCCCTGTAGCACCTGAACACTCAGCCCAGATTTTAGGTCGAAGAGATACAGGAATTCCTGCCAAGACCAGCGACTTGAAATGCAGGTACTTGTTCTTAGTCTTCGTAGATCGCCCCAGAGTTGCTATGCCAGTAAGCTCTCCGTTGAGTAATTCGGCTTCGGGCGTGTTGTTGGTGGCTCGATCAGTGTTTGCCCTTTCAGCCCGGACACGACGGAGGAAGTCGTTCCACCGAACTCCGCGCTCGGACTGTAGAGCGTCATGAAGATCTGTTAGTTGTTCCAGCAATAGTCTTGCTGAACCAGAGTCATTTTGATTATCAATGTCTGAATCAGGTGTGAAGTCTCCTGTAGTAACATTCACAGCAGATGACAGTGGCTCTGTAACTCCACTGAGTGACAGGAGTGCTTTGGAGGCCGATATGGAAACGGAAGTGTCTCGCGGGCGTGGGGGAGTAATTGTACCTTCGGCGTCAAAAGTGCTGACGGTCACCACAGCTCCGGCAGATGGAGTATGTGAAAGTAGTTCTTTTGGGCGGCCAGGATTTGCTGATGACGAGACTTTGAGATAATCCTGCCAGGATTTCTTTGGAGCATCATCATCGATCGACGCGGGAGTTAGTGGTCTCTCCGTCAATAATCCATCTGCCTGCGGACTTTCGCCTGTGCGGAAACTTGCAATAGTCTCGGCACCACTTTTCTTGTTTCTTCTGTGCTCTCGCACTTGCAGATCCTGCCTCTTTCGTCGTTTCTGATCGTAAATGAATCCAAACCGATCGGTCAAAAGCCCGGAGGGGTCGTTGTTGTGAGTTGTCATGGTAGGTGGTAGTTGTGAGCTCTCAATCATGGAATCCAGTTCGACTGTGGGAGGAAGGCTACTAGCATTCGACTCTTTCCTGACATGATTTGGGCTGGCAGAGAGCCTGCTCGCCGTGGAGGTTCTTTTGTTGACCGGTCTTCCTTTTTGACTCGTAGCAGCAGGGAGTGACTGGGCAGACTTTGTTGCAGCTTGTGAGGGAGTAGTACGGATCTTGGATAATGCCGCCGATGCTCCCTCCATCTCATTTGTGGGTGGTGGAGCCACGGCATCTTGTCCCAAAGATGATGCTCGAGATCTGGTATTTTGATTTCTTCCACTGAAGATTTGAGTCCAGGAAGCGAAGGAACGGCCGGACTGATTCGAACGGACACTAACCTCGTCGCCGAGCTTTACCTTTTTCCCAGGCTTACCACCAATAAAATAGCTCGACGACGACTGTGCCGGCGCCTGGAAAATATTTTGCAATGTGGAACTTTTGGAAGTTGATGCTGCCCCACGTGGTCGGATGGTGGCATCCATGTCCTGGCTGCTTTCACTAAGAACGCTATTTGCCCGACTCGGGGTTGCACTGTTTCTCAACTGATTGATATCTTGTGATCCAGTTCTGCTCCGAGTACTTTGCGTTTCAGATTGGGGTGCCGACTTGGAGCTTGGCAGAGCAGAACCTGTGTCAAAAGCCGGGAAACCTTCAACAGGACTATCAGTCACTAGGCCATCCTCCATTGCTTCAGTCATCATGCCGTCTAGAGAAGTGGCCGAGACCACCCTGTCCGTGCCATGAGTCGATTTGGAGGAGCCCAATACCTCCGAGCCCTGCTCAAGGCGTAAGAGTCGTTTTTCCACTTCTGCCGTAGACACGTTGACTTCTCGGAGAAGTTTCTTCAATTCTCGTTCTCGATTGTCTGCCCGGATCCTCAAATTTGATATCTCTGCATCCCGTTGGGCCAGATCAGCAGCATATTGGCGGACTAGTTTGACGGCACCCGTTCGGGCGATGAGTCTTTCAATATGTTCATTACTTCCCAGGTGTAGGGAGCCTGGAATGTCCAAGGAAGAACGGGGCGAATCATCAAACAACGCATTCTGTTTATTGAAAGAGGGTGATGCATTGGTCAAGCCAGCCAGAGTCACTTTTCTATCTCTCGCCTTTTGCGAGATTGTTCGTGTCGGTTTCACCGCCACCTCTTTTGTACTGTTCGATGTCTTGGTATCAGGCTCGGGCGAAAAGGATGGGAATGAAGTCAAAGCGGGATCCTCGACATCTGTGGATTTGGTGGATGCTTTGGAGCCATGTCGTTTAGGAACTCCACGTAGGGTTTTCGGTTTTTTGTTCTCGGTGGATGCGTGAGAGGTCTGAGAGGAGGAACGCCTCGATTGATTGCTTCCGTGATCGGACATTGTCAATGCTACCTATTGATAGAAGCGTCTTCTTGTGCTGCCAAAACCACCCGCATCTTTGCACCACGAGCGGCAGGTATGGCTAGTGGAGGTGAGTGTGGTTGATAGATATTTCTGAGTCAAACGTCATGCGTTACAGGGACCCGTCTTTGTGCCTTGCGTCAAACTCCACTGGGGATTGGTATGTGATGAGGAATGTTCGACAAAGATGTAGGGTAGGATATCTGTTGAAGCCGCTGAACAGTGTACGAGTAGGTGATCTGACTGTGTTGTGTTTTCAGACGCACGCGAATGGTGTTGGGGATCTCTTTTAGAAGGGCCAGTAATCGATTCGGTGCTCGTGTGCCAGTGATATGACGACAATCCGAGATGGTCCACGTTGCAGAACGAACAGGGGTCACGGGAGGCACAGGGGGACTTGTGTCAGTGGCTCGGTGGTTCGGGGGCCCAGTAGTGGACGAATCCACGCAGACTGATGCAACGGACCACGGTTTGTTTGGTGGGCCTGTCTGGTCTAATGAGAAGGAATTCAAAGTGGACACTTGCTATGACTGATGAGCCTGAGAGTGGGATGGGAATTCGCCTGGTTGACTCTCACACTGCGCCCTCGCCCACTGGCATTCATGATTTGGTGGTGGCCCAAGGGAAAGTCCTCGGTACCGGATTAACCTTCCAACCCGTAGTTCCAAAGACTTGAATGACAGATAGCCTCTAGGTCGAGGCTTACTGGAAATGGCCGCCTACTCGTACTGAGTGGCACTTCCGTATCTTGACTATCCACGAAATTGATACAGGAACTTTCATCATCCAGAAATCTCTCTAGACACTTCACGGTCAAACAATCAAGAACCTCAGTCAATCACAATTCTTTTTCAGGCCCCGTTGATCTGTCGCGGGCTCGCCTCATTCAACAAACCAAAAGGAGTCTCAGACGCGGGCGCGATCCTCTTGAGCATTCTCCTTGTCACCAACTGTCATGAAGTCTTCATATCTTCAACCTTGGAGATAGATGTTGTAGCTATGGGGCTGGAGGATTCCTCATTCGTCCCTACCACTTGAACGCTACGCTATCCAATATCGCTTTGTGGGATTCTCCTTCACTGCCCGCCATGGGTCAAGGTTATTCTATGACAACGCTGTCAGCAGCATCCGCAAGCATCGATGTCCCAGAGCTTGCCGATCTTGTTCAAGAAAAGACTCTAGCCTCAGCCCGTTTCATGAAAAGTGTCAGGGCCAGAAGCCAAGATGGGTTTGTCTTTGTGAAGGCTGTCATGAAACCCTACTCTTCCTTTGATGTGCGTGAGTACGTTCGCCAGATACTGGAAGAGCGCAGCATCATGGCAGACATCCCCAACACGCTCGCCTATCAAAAAATCGTCGAGGTCGGTAGTGCCGGCTTTTTGGTTCGCCAGTACATGTTCAGCTCCGTTTATGACCGCATGAGCACTCGGCCATTCCTTGAGGACATCGAAAAGAAATGGTTAGCGTTTCAGCTACTTTGCGCTGTCCGTGATTGCCATGCTCAGAACATATATCACGGGGATATAAAGACCGAGAATCTTCTTGTTACATCCTGGAATTGGCTTTACTTGACCGATTTCTCCTCATCCTTCAAACCGACAAATCTACCAGAGGACAATCCAGCAGATTTTTCCTTCTACTTCGACACTTCTGCACGGAGGACTTGCTATATCGCTCCAGAGCGTTTCACAACCACCACTTTAGGAGACCTGCAAGGTGAATTGAACTGGGCAATGGACATATTCAGTGTTGGCTGCACCATCGCAGAGATCTTTCTCGAAGGACCTATCTTCTCCCTGAGTCAGATCTTCAAGTATCGATCTGGAGAGTACAGCCCGGAACATACCCACCTCAACAAGATCGAAGACCCAGAAATCAGAGCGATGATACTCAACATGATCGAACTTGATCCAGAAAAACGATACAGTGCTGAGCAGCACTTGTCCTTTTATCGCTCCAAGATCTTTCCAGACTATTTTTATAGCTTTCTGCACCAATACATGTTAGATCTCACACGACCAGCAACCACTTCTAAGCCTGTAGGATTGGATGCCTCACGCTTGATTGAGTCCGATGATAAGATAGATCGGGTGTACCACGATTTCGACAAAATCTCATTCTTCCTCGGCTATGGTCCCAGCCCCAATCAATCAGCTTCCAAACCCTCTTCGGCATTACGTTCGAGCAATAGAGTCAAGTCACCCGATGCAAATCCTAGTTTGTATGATGGAAGTCTCTTGTTCCTCACCCTTGTTGTCTCGAGCTTGAGAAACACAGCGAAGGCATCTACGAGGCTAAAAGCTTGCGACTTACTGGTGTCGTTCGCAAAGCGGCTTCCTGACGAAGCAAAACTTGACCGAATACTCCCATATGTTGTTGGACTGCTCTCGGACCCATCTGACGTCGTCAAGGCTGCAGCGATACACGCACTGACGTCTATTTTCGAAATCGTTCAGACCATCACCCCGATCAATGCATATGTCTTTCCAGAATACGTCTTTCCAAAGCTCCGAGAATTCATGCTCACACCAAACAATGCCCCAAGTGTGCTTGTCCGCTCAGCATATGGGTCCTGTCTGGCATCCTTGGCTTTATCATCATCCCGGATACTTGATATGATTCATGCAATTCGCGCGGATGGCCGACTACCTGCTTTGCGCGCTGAGGAATGGGCTCCAGAGACGGCTTATCATGGACTCTACGATGTTGCGCGAGCCGAGTTGGTCCCACATTTTGAAGAAGCAACCGTTGCTCTGATCACAGATCCCGAGCCTTCTGTCAGGAGAGCATTACTGAGCTCAGTATCGCGCTTATGTATTTTTTTCGGCAGCGCAAAAGCCAGTGATGTAATCCTCACACATCTAAACACCTACCTAAATGACAAGGATTGGATTCTGAGATGCTCTTTCTTTGAGGCTCTTGTCGGGATAGCAACTTATGTTGGCACCTCGAGCCTGGAACAATTCATCCTTCCCGTCATGGTTGGCTCATTGACCGATCCGGAAGTATTCGTCGTTGAGAAAGTCTGGAGGTCACTTGCACGTATGGCTGACCTTGGCCTGCTACAAAAGTCCGTCACCTGGGAGCTCATCGGCATGGCCGCACGATTTCTGGCCCATCCCAGCTCCTGGATCCGTGAAAGTTCTGCGCAGTTTATCGTTTTATCGTGCAAGTATGTCTCCAAAGCAGATCAGCACTGCATTGTCCTGCCAATTCTCGATCCCTTTCTGAAGACGAGAATTACTGTCCTGACAGAAGATCGGATTTTGGATAACCTGAAGAAGCCGCTTACCAAGTCCGTCTTTGATGCAGCGATAAGCTGGGCATCAAGAAAGAGCAACAGCCTTTTCTGGACCGCTGCAAGCCATGATGGTGCTTTCACCCTCTCTGATCCAAGCCATCCCCAGAATCACACCCCCCTGAACACCCGTTTGTCGACGAGAGTTAAGGCTTCGCAAAAAGACAGAGATGACCAGTCTTCCTTGGAGAGCCTCCGAAACCTCGGCTTGGGAGCAGATGACGAAATCAAGCTAGTTGCGCTACGCGAGTACATCTTGAAAGTGTCGAAGCATAAAAACAATCAAGATGTGGAAGACAAATATCGTATGCTGAACAATATCGTATCTCTCAATCGGATAGAAGTGACGCCGCAAAATATCCTGTTTGATCAGCGAGATGCCTTCCGGGATATGCAGAGTCGTCCAAGGAAACTTGAACCGAGATCCAGGCAGGAAGAACGTCATAGTCTTGCAGATGCCCTATTGGATGCATCCTCAAACCTTGAAGAGCGAGCATCGAGGCGAGTGTCACCCTCAGACACTGCAAGCGGCACCGTAACGCCTTCAGTCCTATCTAAGCCGATCGACATTCAAAATCGAGCGGGTGGTCCTCGTAAACCTGACGGCACCCCTACCTTGAACATCGAGCGAGCAACCGGCGGAGAATCGTCAAGACCCAGTCTATCAATTGACGGAAGCTCGCCACGAAGCACTAACCTGTCATTTCGCCGGAATACTACTCTTGAGCTTAGGCATCGAAATAGTGGCATTAATCTGATGAATCGTAAGGATTCAGCGAAAGCAGATGCAGAAATATCAACCACTTCCGAGACTGTTTTTGGCAAAGTCGACGGTCCCATTCACCGGAAGAACACAGCGGGTCCATCGGCGTTGACTGTTGCTGCAAGCATGACAGAGCAATCAAGATCGGCCTCCCCGAGTCCTGGCAGAAGAACGCCTATGATCGACTTGAACCATTCTTATACGGGCAATGACGCGAACGTCTTGAAGCTGCTTGACAATCACTTCACGGAGAATTTCCCCGTTGACCTCCTTGACTTTGGTCCACCACGTCCATCTGCTGATAGTCGAAACCCGATAAAAAGAGTGACTGATGTCATACAGCAAAGCAGCAGTAAAGCAGTTCAACAAGAGCTCAAGTTCCAAACGGAGCCTTGGCGTCCTACTGGTCAACTAATGACAGTCTTCCGCGAGCATACTGCCGCTATCAGCCGAGTTTGTGCAGCACCTGATCACGCTTTCTTTGTTACAGCTTCTGAAGACGGCACTTGCAAGATCTGGGATACCATCAGATTAGAGAAAAACGTCACGCCCCGATCAAGATATACTCATAAGCATGCAGATGGAGCAAAGGTTAAAAGCTTGTGCTTCGTCGAGGGCACCCATACATTCCTCAGTGGTGCGGATGATGGAAGTATCCATGCCGTTAGGATCGAGTACAAGAGTGTTGAAGGAGGCGAAAGTTCGAGGTATGGCAAACCCATACTCGTACGTGACTATCAGATTCCTCTCAATAAGAAGACTGAAGAAGCCTTGGGGCCACATGGAACTGCTCCAGAGCCTGAATATGCAGTTTGGCTTCATCACTACCGAACCGCAAACACACAATCAGTCTTGCTTGCGGCAACAAACAAATGCCGCATTCTTGTGATTGACATGAAAAATATGGAGATAATCCACACCATGAATAACCCAGTCCAACATGGAACTCCAACGACATTCTGTGTGGACAAGAAACATCACTGGCTCTTGCTTGGTACCAGTCATGGCATTCTTGATCTATGGGACTTGAGATTTAAGCTTCAGCTCCGCAGTATTGGCATACAGACGAACTCCAGGGTTGACCGCATTCTTATTCATCCGACTAAAGGCCATGGCAGATGGGTTATGGTGAGTGCTGGGGGCGAGGTCACTGTCTGGGATATCGAGAAGCTCGCCTGTCGTGAGGTGTTGCGAACGAGCACGTTCGTTGTCTCCAGCAATACTGCTCCTCGCCCATACGAGACGTACTCACCAGACGAGGAAGTTGGGGAGAAGATAATAGCCAGGTTTTCTCGAGATATTGACGCAAGTTTGAACCCGAAAGTTACGTCTCTGCCAGACCACAATGAAGCATCTGGTACCTCTCCACTCAACAAGAACTCATTAGCGACAACGCCCACGTCATTGGAATCACTTCCAATCCCAGCGATGCATATCCTGCATGACTATTTACAAAACTCTTCGCAACCAGATAACCCTAATAAAGCTGCTCTCTTGTTCACAGGGGGCGCCGATCGAGGTCTCCGCTACTGGGACATAGCTCATCCCGAAAAGAGTTTCATCGTATCCGGTCCGATGATCTACAACGATGAGGGCAAGATAGTCCACCCAAAATACGGGGTCACTCACCCATTATCTCTCAATGCCGGTGCCCAAATTGCACTGATTGAAGAGCAATTCCCGGAAGACCAAACAAACCCCGCTATCATTGGTAGTGCAAGAGGCGCAGGTCCAGGCACCAGTACGCCGAAAAAGTCATCTCGTCGCATTCATTCCGGCCAAGCTAGTCCAGCAATGTCTGAAAGAACAGCCACACCGTCTTCCACACCGTCTGGAGGGACAGCTGCGAAGCAATATGCCCGTCAGAACCCGGTGTCGAAACCGCCACGGAATACTATTATTAGTGCGAGCCAGCAGCATGCTATACGTACACATCTAGATGCTATTACAGACGTGATAGTGTTGAAGAAGCCTTATGGATGTGTGGTCAGTGTCGATAGAGGTGGGAATGTTTTCATCTTTCATTGAACTCTGGGGTGACTCTACTCTTGGTGAAAAAGACGTCCCCATGGGTGATTGCGAAGTGGGATGCAATTACCTTGAAGATTGGACTCACAGGTGGTCTAGGTAGAAAAGAAAGAGCATTGAGCCATGGACAAAAGGGTTTTGTGTACTTAGTTCTTTGCAGTGGCACGGTCGATTCACACCGCGCAAGACCATGATCTTGGAACGCGCAAGCCTTCCATGCCACCACTCCTTGCAAGGTTCGCTCTTCATCTTCGACCGCAAATGAAGCTCGTAAATGTCCGCTTCATGCAACTTCTACCATTTCAACAAGTACTGAACTACGAAGTACTTAGTTCTACTAACACTTAGTATCTGTCATAGGCCATTCTCCCCCATACGTACTGAGTACCACACTATTTCCAGCCCTATCTCTCATGCGCACCATCCATCCTTTCCTGACACTGAACCACCGCTCTCAGGCCAGCGTCCCTAGCCCTAATCCCCTGCGCCGTAGGCAACCCGTATGCTTCATCTGTCTGCTTCACCACCTTATCCTTCCAGCCTTCATCCTTGAAATCCAAATCCCCGGCATCATCCCATAGTTCCCCAATACTACTCCCAATTCCGTCCAAGAACCCTCTCATCCCTTTACTACCCCCTCCGAACCCATACATCTCAAAAACACCCTTGACAGCCCACCGCGGCCCCAGACTTGCACGCATGACTTCATCCAACTCGTCCACACTGACGACGCCCTCATTGACGAGATGGCACGCTTCGCGGAACAGGATGAAGCTGAGCCTATTGGCGACAAACCCCTTTGTCTCCTTGTGAATGACGATGGGCCGATGCCCGCTGGCGAGCGCGAGGAAATACTGTTTCGCGAACTCGACTTCCTCAGGCAGCGTGCTCGGCGACGGGACGAGCTCAAGCAACGGCATGATATGCGGCGGATTGAAGGGATGCACGATAAGCAATCTCTGGCGCGCACTGGCGGCCAGATCTCCATCCTCATCCCCATCACCAGCAGCAGCATCATCAAACCCCTCCAACTGCCGACTAGCACTAATCCCGCTGGTCGAACTCCACAGGCGACACGACCTCGCAACCTTCGTCACGACAGCACGCCACGTGTCGCGCTTGAACACCTCCTTCTCGGGGCCCTGTTCCTGGACGATCGTGGCGCCAAGCAACGCATCGTCCAGACTGGCGCAGATGCGCAAGCGTCCTTGAGAGCGTAGCTCGTCCACGGACAGCGTGGCAGGTAGGTACAGCGGCAGGATCGCCGCGATGTGCTCGTCGAGATCCGCCCGTGGGTCGTACACCGAGATCTGGGCGCCCGAGAACGTCAGGTGCAGAGCCAGGAACGAGATCCCGATGGCGCCCAGGCCGATGAGGCAGATTTTCTCGCACCTGGACGGAAGTGGCGTTGTTGTTGATGGTGCTGGTGCGCTGAGTGTTGCAGCCTGTGGTTGCGATGAGCTGGAGGTGCTGCTGCTCGTGTCTCCAAGTCGTGCGTGGTCTTGGTCTTGGTCTTGCTGTGTTGGTGACATGGTGGGCGTCCAGGGTTTGAATGGAGTCTGCTTGCTATTCGTGTGATTCCTCGCACTCTATGGCACTAAGAAATAAGTACTTACTGAGTAAGTACTTAATATCTATGAAGCCCCGGTGCGGATAGTAAGTACTTAGTAGGTATTTGTGGACTTGACTTCCTCGGTATCTCATCCCAAAGCACTTAGTAGTACTGACTTCGTAGGGAGGAACAGGTAATTGATTGGCGAGTGATGTAATTCCCTGCCCGGTATCACAAATGACATAAGCAGATGATTACATGATAATTCATCTCGGAAGGTATAGTCTTTCGCTTACCTAACTCACTACGGGGTGTTATGTCAACTTCAATTCATGAGTAGGTATCTCAACGACTTCAACCACTCAGAGTCCTCAAACAAAAAGTTGCAAAGGCATAGATGGCTGAGAAGATACTGGGCGACTAAACTTGACGAGTGAGTCAATCGTGTAGGTACTAAGTACTAAGTACTGAATCCTAAGCACTAGACCTCGAAATGAGGTACATGAACCTGCGGGGATTCTGGGGCCAGATACCAAGTACTAGATACTTAATACTTACTAAGTAGTAAGTACAGTCGGTCTCTTTTCTTATGATCTGCAGTGAATCCCGAGCCTCACGGCGGCGTTGAAGCAATTAAGCTATAACAAGGACACACTTAGGTATAATACTACCACTGAGTACTAAGTACTTCGTTACTCAGTACGAAAAACTACTAACTTACTATCACATTGAGGAAAGCTCTGGCTCCAAGTTTGTATCAAACCTCGAGGTGGGAGATTTCATTGACTCGACCCTTCTTAGTAAGGTCACTGGCACTATAACATAACACACTGCTGTCATTTTGCTTCTACCTAGGGAAAGGGAGAGAAAATGTTTCATTTCCTACACTGATATCACATCGATTCCTGCTTTGTCTGGAGACGACGGAGAAGCTCTAGCCCCTCAAAAATGTACGTCTAAAATGGTTCTTTTTCTTCTGGCACACCTCGTGACGAAATTTGTCTGAAAGCAAAAACACAAGTGAATGGGAACGAGAATAATCCTCCATAGTATGGCGCGGCATGGCGATGAGAAAACAAATTGTGGCTCTACTCAAAGAGGGCCAATTACCAATAATAGATGTGTGTTGTTGCAGACAACAAAAGAACAAATGATGAACTTCACCAAGGGACATCATATTTCCCGAAGACGAAGCTCTTCAAGCCACCTTTGATTCAACTTGATGGCCTAATCCAAAAACGCCTGGGCTCCGTGCAAGTCGCAATTCCGTAATGATGGTTCCGTTTCAATCCGTGGCAGCAAAGGACAAGTTGAGACATTGCCCAGCTTGATCATGGTGGGAGTTGGTGCTTATGACTCGACCACTCGGCTCAGCACGGCACCTCTTGTTGAGGGAGGCTGCTTCAGGTTTTCCTCCACCTCGTGCTTTCCAAGAGCATTGCCATTGGTGCTTGCGCTTGCATGGGCACGTTCGGCATCATCATCCTCAACGATCTTGGTTCGATCACCGCGAGTGTTGTGGTTGAGAGACTCGCGCGCCGTATAGTTGGTCGGTGCGGTGCTTGCCATACTCAAGGCAGTGCTAGACCTTTGGTGTACTAGATCAGGAGTTGGGGGAATGGAGCTTCGTTCACTCTGAGGGGTCAAATGACCCGTACCACGGCGTGAATCAGTAGTGAGACCCTCGACAGGAGAGAGGTTGCCACTGTTCTCTCGAGTGTGGCTTGTTGAGGGCGAGATGCCAGTTTCATCGGCCTCGATGTCACCGGACTCCTCGTCTTCAATCTCAGCAGCTTCGTTGGCAAGCTGCAGGCCTTCAACAGCAGCAGCACACTGCTCACTGATGTTGCGAATGATATCAGCAATTGCATCGGTCTTGTCACGAAGGTGGCGATCTGCAACATCAGACATGCTGAGGTTAGAGTAGCGTTTACTGGCTCGCTTGGTGGTTGCGAGAAGTTTGCTCTCCATGGAAGGAGTGACATCTTGACCATCGATTGAGCCTGCTCGAGAAGCACGCTTGGCAGCTCGAGACGCAACATTCTTATGACGATCGTTGTCATCGAGGCCTTCATCTTCCTCCTCGGCTTCCTCGTCATCATAACCTTCATGAATGTACTCGGCCAACTCCGATGCAGAGCCAATTGAGCGCACAATATGCTCCATATGATGTGTTTGGCCGGTGATGAGAGATCGGAGATGTAGTACAACTCTTTGGGCCTCATCACGCTGTCGCTGAAGAGTTTGATTAGTGTGCTGCATGCCAGCAATTTCCTTCCGGTTGCGAGAGCGTTCCTTTTCCAGATCTTCAGCAATGCCTTGTTGAAGGACAAGTGCCTCCAAAGCATTGTCGCGCTGTCTCTCCGTACCGGAGAGCCGGAGAGTAAGTCGCGCAGCATCATCCTTCTGTTGATCAATGAGACCTGTAAGTCTGCGGTTTTCTCTCTTGTGAGACTCGATCTTGACTCGGAGTTCAGCCAATTCCTTGTTGAGGGATTCGACGAAGGCTTGGAACTTCTGGAATTGCAACTTCCACGTCTCGACTTCCTGTTCCAAGTAGTTGTTTCGCTTGGCGACCTTTGCCAATTCGGTATCCATGCGACCTTTCAGGTTGATGAAATCTTGCCACGCCTCAAGAGCATCTCGAGAGTACTGATTACGTTCACGAACAATCTCATTCATATGTCTCATGGAAATCTTGGTCATGAGTGGTTTTTTGGTGGCACCACCGAACAAAGCCTTGACACCAGTATTGCGACCAAGCTTTTCGCAGACATGGTCCATGACCGCCATGATAGAATCTTGGTTCCACCATGAAGGATCTTGAATGCTCTCGACTTCACCACGCAGAACAATGATTTGGCCAGCCGGTATTAGCTTTCCACCACCGTAGGCAGACTTGAGATGTTGAGGTACACCACTTATCTCGACGTCACTGTTGAGAGCTTGGGTAAGACGATTAATCATCTTTGTTCGCTGACCGGCCGTCAGAATATTGGGTGGGTGATCAGTGATGACCAGGTTTCGGTCCAAGTCCACCAAAAGAGCGTCTTTGGGTGGTTGGAAGAGCGATCTGCATTCGGTTGTGATACCGAGGATGTACGGGCCAGGTTCCTGGACCATCTCACTAACATTGCGAGCATGTACCACCGGGACGTACAACCCACTCCATTCGTAAACTCGAACACAGAATCTGATGGTCTCGGCAGCGATTGTCAGCATTGCTGGGTGGTGACTGGTCAAGATGAGTCGACGAGTCGGGGAAACAGCAGCCTCAATCAGCCCGACAATGTTTGGAATGGTCAGGCAATTGAACAGTGGCCACATGGCGAAGTTTTGAAAGCCAGTTGGCGAAGACGGGAACTGATAACAAAGGGCATAATCCTTCATATCGATTCGAACCAGGTCATTGAGCCGTGGTGCCGGAAAGCTCAGTATTCTGGAGACTTCCTCTGCGTGGAACAGATTGGTGGCCTTGTTCCAGTGAATCCACATACCACGCAAGTAGTCGCCCAACAAGTTGTACAGAGGATATCTTGAGAGGAAACTCAAGCAGTAGGGAATCCAGTAGGTTTCGTCTGCAATGTCACGATAATCGGGTTCAGTCTTGCGTCGTAGATCACGGATGGTCTCGGCTCTCTTCTCATCGGCCCGTGACCAGACTCTGAGAGCGATGCCGTAAAGGGTGTGTTGGGAGTCCTGTTGTAGGACGAAAGAATGGTGGACGCAGTGGGGTTGACTTCGGCCAGTGCAGATTTCAACGTCATGGGGGAAACAGGCCTGATCTCCAGTTAGTGAGGCTCCTGTAAATATGCAAAATGGATCAATCTCACCCTCATAGCGCTGTGCAAAGCCCTGGCGATCTCATTGTCAGTTTCCAGCCTGGGGCTGCTGCCCAAAATCTCAGGAAGCCAGAACTGTCCGACAGCCCCTTTCATGTGTTGGATCTTGCCATGTGATGGTGGAGGCGCTTTGACCCATTGCGAAGGCTCTCTTCCGACACCACATACCATGTACGCATGGGTAAGAGTCTTTGGGGTTGGTCGATTATTAGCTTTGGCAAGACTCGAGGGTAGAGGCTGAGTGATTCTTGAGTGAAGAGATGAAGTTCTGCTTGGGATCATAGCATTGTCGACCTGTTCTCTAGTCGCCGGTCGAACTGTGTCACGAGTTTGAGGGCGCGGTGCCATTGAAGTCATCGAGGTATGACCTCGAAGTGAAGGACCCATGGTGCAAGGACCTGGAGTTCAGAGTTGACGGTGCAGGAGTTGGTCTCAGCGTGCGGGAAACGGGAGTCAAATATGTCAATTGACCGTCGAGTTCGCCGCCTGTGCGATGTCCCGTGGCGTAGCTCCCGATGGGTTCAGAATGACGGGGCCACTCCGTGACCGTGAAGGCGTCCTTGGAAGTCGGTGCTCACACGTCCGAGTCCAAGACAGCTTGCTGCAGCTGTCAAGCGCTCTCGAATGATGGCTGGATATATTTGTTGGAGACGTTGAGCAGAGGGAGGGAAAAACGAAGGACTCAAGTGGGACGAGGATGGCAGATGGGGAGGGGAAGGAGGGAATGAACAGAAGGACCCGAGTTGAAAGCTTGAAGCAGGAGATTGTAGCAAGATTCAGGAGTTGGGTTTGATAGAGGACTAGAGGGAGGGCAGCGGACATGGGGGGGATGCAGTGCAAGCGAGAGGTAGCGTAGCAAGTCGTCTCGGGCCAAGAGCGCCGGAGCTTCATTTCAGACAGGCATCAAGTGGTAAAGAATTGACTAAAATCCGTAGGCTTACAGGGGTGTCAGTCCGAGAGACGCAATGGCTTGCATTCAACACCACACGCAGCGTGGACTTTGACAGCGAACTGAGGTTCCTGATTGCCCCATAATCCACCTGTCAAGCTGTGGAATTGAGTTGTGATTGAATATCAAGACTTGAGTCTATTCAAAATGACTTTGCACCACGGGCCATGCACGCGGCATTTGAGATTGAGTTACGAAGTGCTTGTGAAAAGTACCTGCTGGGTTTCTTCTAGAGGTGATAGCTCCGACCGGGCTCCCGCCTGGACCAAAATGGTTAACCAGCTTTAGGTCTAGCCAGGGGAGACTCCAACCCGGGCCTTGCAGGTCCGTGCAGGCACTGCAGGGGCCATGATTGGGGCTTCTGTTGCCCACTGGTACCGTTAAAGGCTCGCCCACCCAAATGGTTTGGGAGGGCTCCCGGTTGAAACCCAACTGGTCCAAGCCCATGCACTCGTTCCTGAAAGCCCTGTCCCATGGACTCCCTCTTCCTCTCCAAAACACTAAAACACGATTTCCCCGGCAGACCCTCTTAATTTGACTAGTAGGGATGACACTCCACTTACCATTTGTGCTTGTTTGATCGCTGTGATGCCGCCTCATTTGAAGCAAAGGACTGCGAGTCTGGACAGGTCAAGTCCTGCCGATCCCCTCAAACCGGCAGTGGTGCACACCATCGGCAAGCCCAAAACTTAACGGCCGCTCCATCACTGGAAGTGGCTTTGGTGATGCACTGATGGTCTGCATGGTTCAGGGGCCAGGTTTGCCAGTTACCAACTCGAAGCTCTAGGACTCTCTGCTGCACCCTCGCTTCCACCCGCGGTGAGACAGTCATTCGGACTCGCAAACATCTGGTTCAAAGCATTTCGCTTCAAGAATCATCTGCACCTTCGGCTATGATGCTCTGACAAGTCACCATGCATCACTGTCCATCACCATGGCAGCCAAATTTCGTCATCATCGCCATTGCCATCATCATCGTTCTACAGACTTCAAGTGCAAGTTGAACTTGAGCACTACTGGTATCAGGCTTGCGGCAGGACGGACATGACTTCCCGTAATGACACTTCCATTTTGAGCATTTCCTCAAGGAACAAACCGCCAATCCTTGAAGAGCTTGCATTGACAATTCCACAGTATCAAATAAACTATTGCAAGCATGTTTTCATATGGATAATCCCGTTATGATTGGTGGGAGCAGGGCCAAGGTCTATCTGGCGCAATTATTTCCCGTCAAGTCTCAACCACCAAAAGGTTTTTCTCTCCCCACGCGGTGCGGCAAGATACGAAGTACATGCTAGACGAGTCATCATTCACCATTCAAGTACTCCGTCTGCGCTGGACGGAGACTCCATATCAAGCACTCCATCCTCCAGCAGACTCGGCTGTGCGGAAAAATAACGCGACTCGAGAAGCGAAAATGTAGCTTCGTACTCGGCAGAAATCTAGACCACAGCTGCAGTTTTGTTACCCGTTTCACAATCCCCATTGGAGCAGTTTGAGCCGATCGTGGTTGATGCTCTTACGAAGGAATACCTTTTGATGCGCGTTGTGATCCTTCTCACTGAGAATCGCGTTAGGTAATCGGTGGTGATTTCACACTGATCTGCGGAGTAATGGTACTCCTCGGTGCTCCGTACTTCAACCACCCTGTCTTTCCCAATTAAATACTCGATAGACATTTGTCCTATGCAGTACTTATCCGCACAAACACAAAGTGGACTGTGCTCCATCCTGACCTCCTGAGGTGATACAGGATGGATCTTGCATCGACCCCAAGAAGCGGGGCACTGGTCGGCCACAGCCTCTGTGCGCACACCCTTCCTCACACGTATCCGGACATTAGACACGTGGAGGGAGAAGAATGGAAAATAACCTGAAAGGTGATACCCGTCCTCTGGACAGCGCCCACCTGATGACCCAGTGCGTAGAACACTGCCCACAAACAGAGTAGGAAACACGTATAATCCCCCACCAGTCTTGATCAATTGGGCTTTTGATTGTCCTAGAAAGGAGAGCCTGCAGCCGCCACAAGCGAGAACGGACTTCTTCAAGTAATGGTCGAAAGCAATTGACATCCAATTGTCTTGCATTAGGCACGGATATACGAGGTACATGCAATCCAGCCTCCAGCATCTTTTTTAACCCTCGCCTCTTATCGCTTGTTGTCGGAAATCCTGCCAGTCCGAGTTGAACCCCACCTTCTTTCTGCGTGCCCCTGCGCCTGCATAAAATTCCCGACCATCAGTGAATGAAACTCACTGCGCGAAGAAAAAACTTGTTGATCGCGCTTCCCACTTGTTTCAATGACTGCCGGAACGCCATGCAGCCCTTGACAGATTCATGCCACATGGACTCAGGCTAGAATTTGACTTCGGAGTTCGCCATGCAGGAGACTGGAGGCGACACTCCACTGACTGACCTCTGCGCCATCTGGTAAGCCGACCATCTACGCACTCTATTCACACATTACTAACACGATGGTAGTCACGCAAACCCCATCAAATACACATGTCCAAGGTGTGGAATCCATACCTGTTCTCTCCCTTGCGTTAAACGCCACAAGACCTGGGCTCAATGTTCAGGCATTCGAAACCCAGCCGCCTATCGACCACGAACCGAACTAGCCACCCCATCTTCCATCGATCAGGATTTCAATTTTATCTCTTCTGTCGAGAGATCCCTGTCCAGAGCAGATGACCTGATCCTAGACAAAGGCATTGATTTGGCCCCAAGTGGTCTCAAAACTCGTCCCAATGATGCCAAATCAAATTTTGAGACAGAGGTGGAAAGGAGGAGAATATATATCATCAAGGCTCCTCTAGGCCTTTCACGCAGCAAACAAAACACATCCCACTGGGCCAGACAGTATGTACATCCGCCCCAATACTGATAGGCTTCCTATTGACCGATGTTAGGCACAAATGTATCACCTGGACCACTGAATGGGTGCACCCTGATGGTGAAAAAAGATTGCAGAATTTCGCCGGCTCTATGAGTCTTGCTGAAGCATTCCTGAATAGGTGGGGGCGGAAATCCATAACCCTCAAGAAGCGGAAACGCAACAGCTCTGAAACAGCTCCCGCTCCGAACATCAGTTCTGATACTCCAGCCAAGCCGAGTGATTTGACTGGGGAACCCCAGCCTATATCGCCCAAAGCAGCAAAAATTGAAGCAAGCCATCCTGACGATGCAGGAGAGACCCAGATTGCACATCCGCAAGATGGTCCCTCAAACGCTTCGCCTGACAAAGTAGAACCAACTCGGGCACCAGCACTCGATGCCGCTAAGCTTGTGGAAGATCTGCATTTTTATCTTCTTCGACCGAACACCCTTTCAGGCATAAAGTGCTTGATTCCCCTATCATCACTCTCGGCGATACATGACGTACTTGAAGACAGGACTATCCTAGAGTTTCCCACCTTTTATGTGAAAGAGGAAAGCCCGGAGCAATTGTCCGAGCCTTACATGACGGAGGAAAAATACAATGAGGCATATGGGTCAGATATTCCACTCGAGCTTCAGACATTTGCACCCAAGGACTCATCAGCACCAGAAGAGGCAAAGCCGTTGACTGCAATTGATGAGAGCAAGGTTTTGGAGGTGCTCCAGAAGGATCTTATGGGATGAAACCAGGGCTTTTTGAGGACTTCTATGCTATCTTCCCTGGGACAAAGGGATGGCCCGCGCTGAGCCCACCACAGACAGCCCAAGCCTGTCCATTTACATAGCTTGACTCGTCACTTCCGAGAAACAAGGCAACCCGAGCCACCTCATCTGCCACAGCACCGCGCTGTAGCGGATTCAACTGTCCAATCTTTCGTTCTGTGCCTCTTGATCGTGCCGCGTCGAACATCGGTTTAGTCATGCCCGTCTCGATCACCCCGGGGCAAAGAGCATTGACTCGGACACCCGTTCCTGCTAGCTGATACGCCATCGTCTGCGCCAGCGAAACCACCGAAGCCTTGCTGGCCGAGTAATCCGTCCCACCGGCATTCGATCTGAGTCCCGCCACCGATGCCGTGCCCAAAATGCTTCCGCCGGGATATTGCTTCTCAGCACTGGTCTTCTGCATCGCCAGCGCGGCATGCTTGAAGCACAAAAACACACCGAGAGAATTCACCCGCATGGTCTTCATAAACGCCTCGGGCGTGATATGCTCAAAGGTGTTCGGCACGCCGACGATGCCGGCGTTGGCAAACATGATGTCGAGCCGGCCGTACGTGGCCATCGCATCGTCCACCACGGCCTTGACCTGCTCTTCCTCGCCGACGTCGACCTTGACCGCGTGGATCTTGACCTCCGGGTACAGCTCCGCGAGCTCCCGCTTGTGCACCTCGAGGTACGAGGTGTCGAAGTCGCAGATGTAGACGGCTTTGGCCCCATTCTGGGCGTATTGGTGCGCTGACGCTCGTCCGATGCCGATCGGGCTGTTGGCCCCCGTCACAATCACGACTTTTCCTTGCACTCGTTGGCCCACCGAGGGCTGCGCGACCGTGCGGATCCGTGGCACGTTCTCGAACTCGCCTTTGCTGGGGATTCCGTTGGCGAGTTGCTCGGAGAGGGCCGCGAGGCGGCGTTTGGGTGCGGCTGTCATGCTGAATGGGTTGGAGGGGTGTCTTGTGTAGATATGGAGAGGAGAGGGGATAAGGGCGGACGGAGTCTGAGGAAGAAATTAAAGAAAATAGGTTTATGAGCAGATATTCTTTTGGACGCCGTGGACGAAATCCTCAGCTAAGTCCGCTGCGGTATGAGAGGGGGGGCTCCGCAGGTCCTGTAAGACTTGAATTGGTTCCCCGGCTTTATTACTTGACCAAAACCGGACCGCGGGATTGTATGAAGAACTAGATATCTGAGCAGTGTTGATTGCGCTGGACAAATAGCAATTGTACCTGTTGCCGCACAATTGCCAGGAGTGAGAGGTCGGGTCTTGTCCAGTTCTGTCTTTCCCGCAGACTCTAGAGAGCCGAGGTTCACGCAACCAGATTTGGAGAATGCTGTATATTCGTGTTGCGTACTCGTACTCGTAACCCTCTAGGTGGCTTGCTGGCGGCTGGACCTGCCGAAGTAGGATGATGCGCCAAGCTATCAAAAGCTGACGTTTTCCCAAACGCTGATTCTTTTGTTGTCGATCTTGTAGATTGTTCTTTCTATCTAGCACTGAAAATGTTGAAGTGGGGTTGTATTTGAGCACTTGGGATGAGAATAATGAAGATGCATCAAGACTCATGACCTTTGGATTGCAGGCAATATGAGTCTACGCAGTGCAAATGATGGACGCGGAAATGAGCTCAAAAGAAGGCTCTAAAGCAAAGCTAATCGAACTGTGGCTCTTCGGAGGCACTCTCGATGAAGTCTCTTTGGGGCAGTCTGAAGACGAAGGCTCAGTGAAACATTGCAAGACGGGCACTCAAAATCAATGCCATGGTATGGCTTTGGGGGTCGAATGATTGGTGCATAGGGAACAAAGTCGCAAGGACGGAGGAAGCCCAGAGGCAGACCAATGCAAAGGGAAAGAAAGATCAGAGAACATTTAGGTAGGTGTGAGAGCGACTTGAACCCGAGCGCAACAGGTGAGTGCACCAGGAAGGCAGCTTAGGCTTTGCATGAAAGCCTACGCTGAACAATCACCGCCCAAACATCACATGACAAAATGACTTGCAACTATATATTCTTGAAAGTCTGTATTCCGCCCACTCAATCGAGTACCCCTCGGAGCCCTTCCAGTGGACAGGTCACAGTCTACGCCCGTCGATGGTTCAATTGGCTCGCGGCCTCCTCCCGCGGCCAATCCTCATATGACTATTCTCTCCCCAAACTTCTCAGAAACCATCGAGGGGCGTTGGAAGCGCTCTGAGTTACCACCGTTCCCCCCTCCCCTTCTATTATTATCTACCAAAAAATCCCAATCGGGGTTTCTCATGTAGCGCGAACCCCGGCGGTGGGGGTTCGAGCTACGTGAGTTTTTGTCTTTTTTTGCATTTCAATTTTGTGCAAGGTTGAGATACTTTCTCTATATCCTTGTGCGCTTGGCAAGTCCCGGTGTTGTGGTACGCGAACAGGCAGCATCTTTTCGTCGCAGTCTTGCTCATGACCCTACATGCCAGCTCTTTTCAAGCATTGATCGTGTTTAATGCCTACAGGTCGAAGTTTGTTTTGCTTTCCAGCTTCAACAACAACCACAGCTCAATAATCAACATCTCTTCGGACTCTCCTCGTGTGTATTCATCAAACAAAGTTCATTGCAGTTGTCAACTACGATAATGCTCATTAAGCCTTCTAAAGATATCCTCGCAACCAGAATTGGTTCTGAAAACTACAGCAGCTTGACTCTATATGCAGAATGGAGCATATCTGTTTTCGATATGATTTGCAGTCTGCGCACAGTCATAGGTAGATGCTTTTTGGGTGGTGGTAGTAGATTGTCGGCCGTGTCGAGGATACAAGGCTGCGCAAGGCTGCGCCAACATCTCCACACGTGCTGATAACGTCGATCACTTGAATATTCCTCTTATCGCATTGGAGTGAAATAATTTTTGCCCGCAGCAACATCCCCTCCTGCGCTCCACATGTACACACTCGAGAAATTCGACTCATAGTATAGACGAGGCATCACCCTTCTGAACATGTCGAAACGAACAGCAGATGACGACGAGTCTGTTGAGGCGCTCAAAGGAGGCCAACGTCCAGAGACTGGCCACGATGACGAGCCTGCGATCGATTACGAGGACCCCTACGAGGATGAATTCGACTCCGAAGACGAGGTAATGGAGGCTGGTGTTGATGGAAGGCCAGATGCGGAAAGAGAGGCTGAGGAGTCAAAAGATGCCATGGACATTGATTCAAAAGAACAAACGTTCATACCGGGTCGGTCAATACTACAACCAGGCATGTCTTTGACGCCAGATCCCTCCACTTATGAGATGTTACATGTCATGTCAACGACATGGCCATGCTTGTCATTCGATATCGTACCAGACAACCTGGGAAACCAGCGGAAGCAATACCCCAGAACATTATATGCGGTGGGGGGCACTCAAGCAGAATCGGCACGCGCAAAGGAGAATGAGCTGTACGTCTTGCGACTAAGTAGTCTCTCCAAGATGGACCGAGGGGACCAGACAGACTCGGAGAGTGACAGTGACGACGATGATGACGCTTCAGATCCAGTGCTGGAATACAGGTCCATACCACTCCCAAGCACCACAAACAGAATACGCGCATTCCAGCCCTCCTCCACATCAAGCGACCTCAGTCAAATCCCACAAACACTCACAGCAGCCTCGCTCGAAAACGGCCAGATCCTCATTCACGATGTATCACCATACCTTCAATCCCTCTCGACCCCAGGCTTCACCCTCCCGCCCAACGCCTCCAAACCTCTCAGCACACTGCGCATGCACAAGACCGAAGGTTATGCCTTAGACTGGGCGCCAGCATCATCCCACCCGCACGGGCGGTTACTCTCCGGCGACAACGCAGGCCAGATTTTCAACACACAACGCACCGAAGGCGGCGGGTGGGTGACAGACACGCGGCCGTTCGTCGGACACACCGACGCCGTGGAAGAACTGCAGTGGTCGCCGAACGAGAAATTCGTGTTTGCGTCCGCCAGCTCCGACGGCACAGTCAAGGTCTGGGACGTGCGCAGCAAGAGCCGCAAACCCGCGGTCGACGTCAAAATCAGCGACACGGACGTCAATGTCATGTCGTGGTCTTCCCAGACTTTCCACTTGCTGGCCACGGGCGCCGACGACGGACGCTGGGCCGTGTGGGACTTGCGGCAGTGGAAGCCTCAGAGTGGCGGAGGTGGAGCGGCTGATGCACAGCTACGGCCCAGTCCCGTGGCAGACTTCCACTTTCACAAGAAACCCATCACCTCGATCGAGTGGCATCCCAGTGACGACAGTGTGGTCGCGGTGGCGTGTGCGGACAACACGACGACCTTGTGGGATCTAGCGGTCGAGCTCGATGACGAGGAATACGGCAAGGAAGCGGGCATGGGGCTGGGTGAGGGTGCTGAGAAGGTGCCGCCGCAGCTGTTGTTCATCCACCACGTCGAAGATGGGAAGGAGTTGCACTGGCATCCGCAGATGCCTGGCACTGTCATGGTCACGGGTGGCACAGGATTTGGTGTTTTTAAGACAATCAGCGTTTAAGTGAGGCAGTCCGCTGCGTGGAATGAGGGTTTAATGATGAGCAATGAGTTATGTGACAATAAGTCGACTTCACATCGAAGAGCTAAACCACCGGTTACTCTTTACTCCTTTGGAGCTTTTAGGCAACTCTGAAGCCGACATATTCCTTCATTGTGTACCCATGATTCATATAACTTCACGATCATGCGATTGAAGTTGTCACTCTTCTGAGATGTTCGCTGCCTGATCCTTCCTTTTCCTTGGTATATAATCAGTTCCCTGTTAGCCTTCATGATCCAACCCTCCATTTCTTCAGATCTCTTCCCATCTCAGCCTTTGCCAGAAACCCATCAAACACAATCCATGCTTCGTCTCATACTCAAACCCATCATATCATATCCGTCTCGATTCCCTCAAAATGTATGCCCTCCGGACAACGGACATACCACCGCCCAGGCACGGTGGTCGCAAAGGGGGCGAACACGGGGAAATCCCGACCGGATCAACCGCGTTGGATATTAACTTCGAGGAGAGTAAACTTGATCCTTCCTTGCACCGGTTCACGTCGAAACATTCGAGGTCTGACGACCAAAATCCTTCCACGATTTCTGGTCTGCAAATGCCCGCAGGGATTGTGCCCAATACTGATCCTCCAAAACAGCCAAACAGCGGTCGCCAGCAACGCAAGCGCCTCGCCAAACGAACTGCAAAATTTTTCCACAAGCAGACATGCGATGACTTGTCGAGGGCTGTGAGAGATCCTGATCAACACCATAAACACTTCACAGAGGACTTTCCGAAGCCACAGAAGCGGAATGCGGCAACCGATACATCATTTAGAGGAGGAGAAGTCGTGGGTCCGGAAGTTGACAAATCGCATTACTTGTCGACGACTCCCACAGGTGGGACACGCAAATCGCCACGAATCAATTCGAAATCCCCTGTGGCTCTACAGGACAGTGATCTCCCAGACTGCGAAGATGTTGGCGATCGACCAACATCAAGGCTCAAGAGAGGCCTTGCACGAGTCAAGAGCATGTCGGCGATTCTTGTGAACACGGGCCGAGTACCTCAATTTGATACTGTCAGCACCTCCGGTGACAAGAATTCCAAAAGGGAAACCGGTCTAACCAGTCTCGGCGCATCAGAAATTCCAGACACCAGGAGTGAGTCAGTGGAGCCGAGAAACACTCAAGCTGCCGAGCACGCAGCCTTCAAACAAGGCGCAGAAAGTGCAAAGACTACACTGTCACAGCTGCCACCGACGGTAGGGTTCCTCACCAACGAAGCCATGCAGCACGACCGCGTGCGCTTCGCCAACGCCTTCCGATCGAGGATCGAGGCGAGGCGGCAGCGAGAGCTTGAAAAGGCCACGTCTGCAGCCTCCCTCGCCAGGATCCGAGGAGGATGGGGTGGCAGAGACCGAGGGCTCGACGTGCCGGATTGGGTGCGCGAAATGGATCACGAAATGCGACGCATGCGTGACGATCCGCATTTCCAGCCATTCCGCCGTGTTCGCGAGCACCGTGGCGATGATGGTTCTTATCATTACCAGGAGCACTTTGACTATGATTCAAGGCGCGATGGTCCCATTGGGCGCACAGGTCGAGATGCTGGCAGGCTAGGTGCTCGGCATGGTGGTGGTTTAGGTGGTCGCACCCGTGTTTTGTTGGGAGGGGGTCGTCCTCGTTCTCCTCCTGGCGGTGACGAGTCTGACTCTGAAGACGACTTGCCCAGGGGACCGCCTCTCCAAGGCCCTCCTGGTATGGGTGGACAAGGTATGAGAGAGTTTGGTGGCATGCCACCTGGCATGGGACCTATGGGTATAGGAGGGCCCGGAGGGATGGGTCAACTAGGTATGGGAGGCTTTGGTAGAGTGCCACCTGGGATGGGTCCGCCAGGAAGGGCTGGTTTCATTAGAATGGGTGGGCCACATATGGGTGGTCTCGGTGGGATGCCAGTCGGTGTGATTGGACCTATGGGGATGGGACCTCGTGCAATGGGAGGCATGGGAGGTATGGGAGGTTTCGGTGGGATGCCGGCGATTATAGGTATTCCGGTAATGGGAGGACGAGGGATGTTCCCTTGTGGTGGGCATGTTGGGGGTGAAATCGAAGGGCCTGCCGATGGACCTCCAGGTCTCGATCAGGATGGGGATGATGGGGATGATTCAGACGAAGGTGAAGATCCTGAAGATGATCCCGATGCCCGTTACGACTATCGTCTCGACGGGAACAGAAGACGATGGTAGGACGGCGGTTGTGGGTGGGATTTCATACGGAATGGACTGCAAGGGCGGTCACTTCCACCATACTCGGTATATGGTGGGGATTAGCATCAAGCTGGCTTGAGACTATATCGTGTCCTGATTTTGCTGGAAAATGAGGTCGTTGAGAGACATATGCACCTGGCTGACAGTGAAATCGAACCAATATGAAACCTGGTTGGAATAGGTCCTCCTAGAGCCAGTTCGTCAGAACGAGTGCACCATGAGAAGTCAAAAACATAGATGTCCATTCGGATAATTCCGAAGAAAGGTTTACCTGTATTTTCAGGCGTATGTGTGTATCCAAGCAGGCGATCATCCTAAACTCGGTGACAAGAACAGCAGGAAAGTAGTTGGTTCGAGGATCAAGCCGAAAGTACCAGTTGAACAAAGCCTCGCCCGTCGGCGAGTTTTCTAACCACGGCGGTGGGCCAGATTTTCAGTGCAGGATCACACAATACGCCAGAATCACTCCAGTCACAGATTTCCAACATTGGCAGCGTCTGCTGGTCCACAATAAAGGTCATTTTGACGTGATCTGGATGCATCAAGTTGACTAGACTGGTTTTCAGGCGGCCACCATGGGGTAGATACGGAGAACCGTTACGAGCGACAGCACCTGGTTCCATGTCTGCAGAATGCAGCAATGCCACCATATACGTGCGCCAATGTGAGACCATGCTGAGTAGGCCGCGCCTTTGTGGTAAATCAGTCAAGGGCAGCGTATCATTGTACATCATTATAAGTCTGTGCCAGTCCAGAAAGAGTGATCGGACAGTGATGAATGCCGCGCTGTGAGGTGTCCACTCATTTGCTCCTTGAGCCCGAAACACAAAATGCCATCGCAGGATCTTGTAGAAGGCATCTCGTGCAGCCACTAAATGCGGAAAGTGACTTGGAAGACGAGGTCTTTCTAGATCGTCGTTCAAGTCTCCCCGGCAGTGGGTCACTATTGGTGTGTTCAACATAGAGAGCATCATTTCAAGCTGTAGATACATTGGTTGGAGGTAGACATGGACAGCTTCGTTATGAGAGTCGGTCGCAGGCAGAGCAGCCATTGTTGATTGATCCTCGAGTATGCGAAGTCCAGCTCCAAGATGTTTCACACTTGCCGTCGTCATCTCCATTGGATCCTCGAACGCTTCATATCCGACCATGAAAAGGCAGGACATCAACACTGCAAGTGTGCTAATTTGAGGTTGTGGTCGGACCAATAAATGAAGCGCTTCGGAGAATGCATGTGACCGTAAACGAGAGAGACTGTACAGCTCATCAGGCGAGCAACTCGCCGCTTCCTGCCGAGTCGCAAGTGCGATCATCATGTGCCGGACTGCTGGTTCTGCATGAGCCATACGTAAGATGAATTGTTCCCAGAAGCGCAGTGTGAACTTTGAGAAAGCCGCAAGAATGGGACTTGTTTGTTCCTGGAAGAATTGGATTGCTCTCCGCTCTTGTTGATTCGTTACAAGAGCTGTATTGGAAGTCGGTTGAAATAGCCATATCTTTGGCGGCTCGTACCCAGCACACAACTGCCCTGCCGACTTGCATCGATTGCAGGTCGGCTTCGCTTCGTCACATTTGACACGTCGCGACCTGCAGGTTCTACAGCCGGTCTTTGACTTGTTGTGATATGCCTTTCGAAAGTTGCGTCTCATCTTTGCGATTTCACTACACTTCTAATTGTGAGGTATGGAAGGACTGTGTGTGAGCTAGCAAGACGATGAAACCTTTGGAGGCCATCACTTTGATTTAAGACGGAGAGTTGCACCAGGCGCCTTAAACTCAGGTTACGGGCAAGAACCCAGTGAGTTCAGACCGAGACATCTGCTTTAGGCAGCTCTCCAATGATGATTTCCGAGGAGAACTGGTGAAGGTTCAAGCGCACAGACGTCTCGACGCAGGTGGTAGAGAAATCGTACCTTGGAACGCCTGAAAGCTGAAGGAAGAGAAGTGTAGAGCTTAATGCAACCCAAATCCATCGCACGTGATCTGAACGAGCAGTCGACCTATCATTCAGCCTCGGTGGGTTTGCTCATCAGATGGGAATGTTGGACCGGTGTGGCGGACATGGGCTTGTTTTCTCGAGCTGTCTTTCTTTCGAGCATGAAGTAGGGTTCAGCATATAAATATCTACAGCCACAAATACACCAGTCTCAAGTCCTTGTCCTTCTTTGATAGCGAGGAAATCTTGAAATTTTTCTGATGGCATCCAAGCCGCTGATATATATTCTGCACGGGGCATGGCATAGTCCCCAGCACTTCAAAGCCGCGAGAAAGCGGTTTGAAGCACTGGGATATACTGTCATATGCCCGCAGCAGCCGTCGACTGGTGCCGATTCCCCAACCGTGACCCTGTACGACGATGCTTCCCGGGTGCGAGATGAGCTGGAGTTATTAGTCGAGGACGGTCTCGAAGTCTTCATTGTCATGCACTCCTATGGTGGTTTGGTCGGATCACAAGCTGCAGCTGGTTTGGGGTGGGTTGAGAGATCAAAGCGTGGATTGCAGGGTGGAGTTGTCGGCTTGCTGTATGTCTGCGCATTCATTTTGCCGCTGGGACATCATCTTTGTACAGCACTTGGGGGAGAACTTGCTCCTTTCATCAAGGCCGAGGTATGTCGAATATAGTCCCCACTGGTGTCATGGCTGATTTCAATCATGTCGTCCAGGCCGACGGGCGTTGCAATCCGATCAATCCTGGGCACGTCTTCTACAACGATCTGTCGCCGTCAGAGCAACAGTTCTGGACTTCCAAATTGGACCATCACACTGCGATCGCACAGAAGACACCGCTGACTAGAGTAGCTCATCTTGAGATTCCTGTCAGCTATCTGTACTGCGAAAATGACCAGGCTCTTCCTCTGTGGCTCCAAAAGGACATGGTAAAACAATCAGGAGTAGAAGTGTACGAATTGTGTTGCACTGCGGGGCATTCACCTTTTCTCAGTCAGCCAGACGCCTTTGTGGATAAGATTGAGGAGGCGGTCACCGCCATCTCGAGGGCTACTCCAACCGCGTTCAGGTGAGGTTTCCAACCAGTCAAATGTGGTCAATCTTTCCAGCGCTCTGGAGAGTTGGGGCTGGGGGCCGGAATTTGGTTATTACCAAGAGTAAATCACTGGCAATGATCAATAGGGTGACTGGCGTACTCGTACTGGTGAAAATCCACACCAGTCGAGTCGAGTGATTCGCTTGCTAGTTGTCCCTCCCACCACAGCCTCTCCCCGGGTTCGTCAAGAATATAGCTCCACCAGAGGTACGTCAACATCAGTTTGCGGAAGTCCGACCATGTATGTCTGTACGGCGACTGCGAAAGATAATGTCCAAGCTTCTGTACATACCACGTGGTGTTTACTGTCGAAGATGCTGCCATAGCCCCAAGCATCAATGCCCAGAGGATGAAATCAGAATGGTCGACAGTCTTCACCACCTGTCCGGCTAGACTGGTGGACTTGCTACTAAGTATTTCATAGCTCTCGAGCGCAGACCGTAAGCCTTTGGAGAGCCTTGGCTTGTTCCCCGTTGTTGCAGGTAGCGGGAAAACTACCATGTCGTTGTAGATGAGAGCGGCCCACTGACAGATCTCCCGCAAACAAAGATCATGGGTTGCCTCGGCCGAGGGTATGTTTATCGTGCATAATAGCTTGTGTTGTGTCTCGTTGGCAACATCCACGATGTCGATGAGAGTATAGCCATTCGACTTCTGACGCTGAAAGGAGTCCAAAGCAACTGTAACGTCTCCTGCTCCTTCCAATGCGCGTGCAAGATCCTGGTCGATGAACTCGCGATGGCCAAATCCGGTCCCGATTACTGCCAACATATTGACCGCTACCTCATCGAGGTCAGGTTGCCTTGAACACAAGCTGGTGGAGTTTGGATACACCCATTGGAAGGCTGGAGGTATTCCTACACGCGAGCTAGCTTGTAAATCGGCGCTGGAAACAGCGCGTGTCAATGAAGTCCAGAAAGAGTGATGGGGAGACTAACAACTGAAGAATAGACGTCATTCCGTAATCATGAATATTTGAAATGCCACCTCTCTTACCTACCGACTCTAACATGGTGCGCATTGTTGCTGGGACCAGCGTTAACCTTGCGTAGATATGGAGATGCTGAGCTCTAGCCAGTGGCGATCCCCGATACATCTCCGGGATTTGCGAGGGAGATGGGTCTGTCAGCATACCCGCCATGACCATGGCCATGAGAAGAGCATCTGAGGCTGGTCCTGTCAGGTTTTGCAGCGCGTTCATCAACAGTGCCAAGCCCTGAGCCTGATGTTTTAGTCGAAGAATCTCTACATCGTTAGGTAATTGTGGATTTCTAGCATCTGCCCTGACGAGATTTGCAGCCCCAGCAACCTGAAGGTGATACATGAGAGGCCACTCGAGGCCAAGCCGTCTCCAGGAGACCTTTATTGTTGAGACATCTGAGTCACGAGTTGACGATATTAGACTCGGATGTACGCATTCGTACACTGCATCTGTCAGTTCCCTACCCACTGAGGCCGAACGGATTAAGTGCACAGCTCACCATATTCCAGACAATTTCGTAGATATGGTGGGAGCGGCCCAGTTGGGTATGATTCAAATGGGTCCACCTTGTGCTGTCCAAGGAGTGATAGCGGGCTTGGTGAGTACTCGGACTTTATCAAGTTAGACGAATAATGACCGCCGAAAGGGCCATAACCCCAGCTTGCAGGCACGATCACTAACCTGATACTCATCGTTCGACTTTTGGTTCTTCTTTCGTTTCCGCATGTGCGTTATTCTGGCAGCATGAGATCTCGCTTGGGAAAGTCTCATATCGGGCCCTCGCCTTGTTTTCGTCGACGGGTCACGAATTGTCACAAAGTGGAAGAGCTTTTCTGGCTCATGATTGTCCATTGTCGTATGAATGTTGTTCTCTGAATGGAAAATAACGTAGACTATGCAGAGATTCTGATGCTGGAATATTCACAAGGTCTGATTCCGATTGTTGGCTTTTGTTGGAGGTCAGCTGCGAATCTCGTGATAGCGCTAATCTGAGTTAGGTTAAGATGGATATCAAATTGTTATTGCAGGCAGGTGATGGTAAAACGAAATCCGTAAATATAGACGAGTTATATTGTACTTAGTATCATCGTCATCAAATGTGAGCCTCGTCAAGTTTAGCTTCTGTTATAGCTCTGGCAGAGCATTTCTTCCGTGATAGATATCATTGGTTATGCACGATGCATCTTAGATAACTGAGGGCCTTTTCAGTTAGACATATCCCTTTCAAGTTAGATTCATTTCCTTTTGGGTTGCTTGGAACAGGATGCTGAACAATCTGCATAATCTGCATGACTTGGCAATTGGATGGTCGAAGTGCAGTATGATGGCAGACAACGTTCAAACTTGGTTTGCAGTGAGATGGGACGCCATGAAGAGCTAGAATTCCCCATCGTTGCGTTGCGTCAGATTAAAAAGGTATCAGTTTGGCTGATGACTCGTAACCGAGAGGGAATCCAACCCGAACCTCTAGCTGGGAAGAATTTGCAGGGTACCGAGGTAGCCTCTGGGTCGTGTCAAGAGAGGCTGATAGATCCCATGGTCAAGCAACATTGGCAAAGGTGATCACAGACTGGTATTCCTCGAGTCCTGGCATTTCCTCAGTGCTCACCTACAAATCAACACTGCTCTCCGTAAAGAGAATTCTAAGACATTAGTCTTCCCTAGTGCTTCGTACGTGCGCTTCTTCACATCTAGCCCACAGTCAAGTATCGACAGTGTTCGTACTTGGTAAGTCGATCAAATCTCATCCGAAAACGTTTATTGAATAAATCATGCCTATTCTGGGTGTAGGCCCGGTCGGTTGGCGATTAACCGAGCAAGGGTGAGCCGCACGGTAGGTGTCCTATGCTTTGGGGGTTCAGGGACTAGAACTCCAGAAACATGGTTACCAGGACCTCGGTGTTCAGCGTGCTGACAGCCTGACACGCGTGGAGCGCGGATGAGCTATTCTCTTGAGACGATTTCTCGATGAGGTCAACTTCGAGATGTGTGAGAAAAGTGCTGTAAGCATGAATCACTGGTGAAGAACAAGGCAAGGAAATGGACAACGGATGTCAGAATTCGCAACTCAGCCTCCCTTCCCCCCAAAAGCGGCTTTCAGCTAAATACTCTTCATGCCCGGGGTGGGAGGAGCACGATACCCGCCCATTAGGTGTGCCCTCCCCCAGAGTTGTGCCTAATCCATTCTGGTCCTAGGTAGGAGGGATCCCAAGAACCAATAGCTCCTGCCACTTTTGATTTGTCGCCAAAACCTCCGCAACTCATTTCGCCTCGCGCCGCTTTCCATCACAAGACGCGTTCTCATCCAACACTTCCCTTCGCGACCATGCCACGGGTCGGCTCTCGATCATATGCTTGCATTCTTCACCTCTGCATTTCTGTTGGCCGAGGTCAAAAAGCTTCATCACGCTGATCTTGCGCGGCTCATTTACTGCAAGGGGATGTGCAAGTCCGTTTCTGCTAACACTGAGTTCGCTGGATCCGGAAGCTGACGAGCCATTGTTGACATCTCCAAGATTACATTGCCAGCATCTTCATGCAGCTCCGCCAGCCTGTCGAGATATGCTTCGGAAAGAAGCAACACTCCTGCATTAGCTCGGAGGAAATGTGTTGTGTTCGTGGGGAAGTATACTCGATAGTCTTGAGTCGAGACCAGGACATCCTTGATATCTTCCTTTCTCCAGCTTGGGGGAAAATCTGGGGGTGATAGTATTCTATCACTATACACTATATGAACCAGGAGGCCGCCTTCGATGCCTCAAGATGTTCCTGAGCTTTCATCCAAACAATCATTGCTTCAAACATTGCCACTCATTTCTGACCATCTTTTGAAACTTGTCCCCTTGCTGGACGTCCACTCATTCTAACATCTCGTCGCTCTTTTCACTGCTCTTTTCACTGCTCATCTTACTAGCACTAACATTTGGTCAATATCGATATGGCATCCCTTTTCATTCTTACCATACTCATTTCCTTTCTTTTGAGCCCAATTGCTGCTCTACCCCTAGCAATCGAGTCCAGAGGTATGTAACACATTCAGTACCCTCTTTCAACTGTTAGACTGACCCAAGCAGCGGTCTCCCAGACTCTATTAGACCAGCTTTCCTTCTATGAACAGTATGCGGCAGCAGCATACTGCCCGGCAAATAACTCACCGGGTTCAACAACAGCTATCACTTGCGAGGCAGGAAACTGTCCACTGGTGCAAACTGCCGGTGCACAATCTGTCCTTGAATTTCAGGAGTAATTATATCCCCTGAGCCAACGCATTTCCCACAAACACTGACTTTCTCCAAAGCGTTGGCATATCCGATGCTACTGGCTACGTTGCCCTAGATCATACCAACGGATTGATAGTTATATCTTTCAGGGGTTCTCGGAGCGTTCGAAACTTCATCGCAGACATTAATTTTGCCTTGGTACCTTGGTCGATTTGCACTGGTTGTTCCGCACATGCTGGATTCCTTGAATCTTGGCAGAGCGTTAGATCTATTGTCCAGGGTGCCGTTGAGGGCGCACGTGTCGCATATCCCAACTATAAAATCGTATCGACTGGCCACTCTCTGGGTGGTGCGCTTGCCACACTTGCCGCTGCTGACCTGAGGAAGGGTGGTTACACGATCGATCTGGTATTGCTCATGCAGACATTGCCACAATCCATTTTGCTAACTTACACTGATAGTTCACATACGGATCGCCAATGGTAGGCAATCGCTTACTAGCAACATTTATCACCGGACAAACATCTGCCAACTTCCGCGTCACTCATGCGCAGGACGTTGTCCCTAAACTTCCTGGCTATGCATTTGGCTTTGCACACGTCTCGCCCGAATATTGGGTCACTTCGGCCACTGGCGTCGCTGTCACGTCGAATGATATACAGGTCTCGAGTGGCGTCGTCAACTTCAAGGGAAACCAGGGGACCCTGGGGAACAGTATCGACGACCACCTTTGGTATTTCAACAACATTTCAGGTTGTGGAGGAGATACACTCGAATTCAAAGAGTAAGTTTGAAACATGTTAAAAGTTAAAACATTATCCATTTCCAGAGACAGCAAAGCATGATTTTGACGCAAAGTTGCACATGTAATGTGCACATATTGTATTTTTAATGGACTGTACATAATCCTGAGTGCTGCTCTCGTTTGTGAGACAGCTGACCACTACATATTAGTTTCTTTGGGCTATCGCTCAATTAAACAACCTCCTCAAATTCTTGCGTTGATAGTGGGGGGGAGACCTTCAACCTGGCAAGATCCTTGAGGCAATGAAAGGCACTTTCATATGAGTCGACATTCCCTAGAAATCCAAGCTTCCTTGCCTTTCGCACACTCAGGGACAACGCCCACCCACCAATCACGGCACTATCAGTCATACCAAAGATCTTCGCCCGGTCTTGGAATGGGTCGAGAAGGAGGCCATGTTTCTGGCTCAACTCCTTCCAAGCTTCGACAACCTGGGGTGACTCTGACCACTCGAGCAGCGAGAATGTGGAACGTGTTACACCAGGAGGTCCGTATCTGTGTGTTCGCTCATGTTAGCCACACTCCTTGACCAGGCCCCGGGAAGGAGAGGTAAACGGGGAAACTCACCCTCTTGGATTCTGATCATGGCGAGAGACGTTCTCCCGGTACTTTGTAGTATCCGTTTCCGGAGGTGCAAAAGCCGTGCCATACCACCTGGCCAAATACGGCCAGAAGCGGCCCCAGGTGAAGGGGAGACCATCTTGGGCATTGAAAGCTTCATTCCCAGTATTCGGACTCAATACGGCCCATTCCTCCAGATACGCATTCAGCATCGCCGAGCTCTGGCAATACTCCCTGTCCCAGGCGGTATAATCGCCTGGAAACGGAAGATTTTGGCCCAGGTGAGCCTGAACAGACGCAAAGACCGCCAACCCAACCATATGATTCAGCAGATTGTCGCGCACGGCGCCAATGATATAAGATGGACGCACGACATTCCACTCGGCACCGTTGCGCTTGCAGTAGTCGAACAACATGTCTTCCTGCGGATAATAGAAGTTGTTCTCAAGGAGGACGCGTGCATCTGTCTCAAAAGACGGACTCGTCGCCGGTCCCATGTGGAATCCGTAGTGCTTCGCTCCGGTCTGGAGAAGCACACGGCGTGGCTTCAGTGATGCGATCTCGAGAGCCCCCAGGAAGTTGCGGAGGAGGGTAGCTGTTCAGGTCTCAGTGAAAGGGTATCAATGGGGCGGAAGCCGCCAAGGGTGGGCTTACAGTTGACCTCGGCGAGCGCGTCGGCGTTAGACCACATGCCCAGAATATTGCCCTTCTGCTCCGGCTGCATATACGAGAAGAAGAAAGCATAGTCCCTGCCGAAGCGGGAAATCACATCAGTAACCCAAATACATGCCTAATCTAAATCCTTAAAAACTCACACGGTCCCGATCTTCCCTAAGATTTTGGCCAACTCAGCCGGCTCCGACAAGAAATCCGCACAGATATGTTCGACTCGACTGGCACCCTCGCCGAGATCCGTGAAGAAGTAGTCGGGCGGCGGCCGGCGTGATAGGCAGTAGATCTTACCCCAGCGCTCTGGTGCCGCGGCCAGAACTTTCAACATGTGGTAGCCGGAGATCCCATTGGCGCCGGTGATGATGGCTGTGAGGTTTTTGTTGGCTGGTGTGGATGGAAACGTCGGTAAGCCGTGGAAGATGCCACGCGAGATGACAGTCTGTTTGTTGTCGTCGGAGCCAGTCATGATCGCCGTGCTCTCTTGCTGCGTTGGTCAACTCAATTTGATAAGTAGGTAGGCGAGGCTGAAGACTTTCAGGGGACGAGGCTACGCTTCGTGTGTTGATTTTGCAAGGATCTCCGAACCGTAGATAACAATCAGTAAAATCGAGGGTCCAACGACAACGATATCAAGCTACATTTCCGTGATCTTACGATCACGCCGAACTCAATGACAAGACTCGTTGTTATGTACCTCGAATATTCTCGGTTCCCCGCTACAAAGGCGGAGACTTGTGCATGATGCAACCCGTCCCCAGTCCCAATTGATGCGGGGAAGGCCAGGAATTGCCAGGCTTTCTGATCCAAGGCCTTGGAACCTGGAGATCCCTGTTCATAGATAGCGTACTGATAGACAAGACATGGTAAGCATGCCATCCCACTTTTGACTTGAATATGCTGCGAGCTTCACAAACACCTCGTGTAGGGAGAAGTGCCGGCACTTACTTTGTGATTGGCAGAGGTTTGAATACCTACTGGTGGTTGGAGGTGGAAAACTATTTCCTGTTGTACAAATAATACTTATCAAGGTGTTATCAAGCTGCCGATGGCTTGGTTTGTTGGACAACCAGCAGGACCCCTACCTATTGTGGGAGGTGCCTGGCTAGCTGCGCGGTAAGCAGTAACTACATCAAACCACGCTCCAGATTTGTGCGCAGATCTAATAGATCTTAGTAGGGATTCACGGGAGTACATCGAAATATAGCGGCCTTTTTTGGCTTTAATAAAGTCGACATTGTTGCAAATCCGCAGACTACGAACACCTTAGTTCGGAGTCGGTGATGTGTAACTTCGGTGAGATGGAAGGACTTACTACTTGGTACTATTCTGATTCGGAGATCCCACACGACTCGAGGTAGTGGTACAAAGTATCCGCATCTAGTGCAGCCTCAGAATGAGTTCGGCAATGAGGACGTTGTACGAACACTAGTTAAACTTGGAGTAGTTGCTCTTCGCCGAACGCCCAAGCATACTTATTAATGTTATCTGAATTTACCCCTCCCTTGGTTGGAGAGGGATAGCGTGCCGATTCCCTAGCTAGCTAAGATAGAAACACATCACGATCCTGATTTGTAAAACCAAGAGGGGTTTAAAGTTCTATGGAAGCCGGAGCATACTCGTGAGAAAAGTGATGGATGTATTTTGAAAGAGCTTCCCAACATCTCGAGCTTCCCGTGTGATAACAAGTCGCAATATATCAAGACGCTCCTGGAGTTGAATCTACAATTATGGCGTCATCATCGGATCTTTCCACGCTCTTTGCGAAAGCTGGAGTGCCTGCTTTCAAATGTCCTGCTGGCACCAAGATGCACTTTCTTGATTTGGGAACGTTACAGGCGGACGAGGGTTGGTGAGTTTGATCTCGAACAGCCTCTCTATGTGACTGGCTGTCCATTGTTGGATATATACACAACAGAATCTGTGTCGACGTTCAGGACTCAACTGACTTGGTGGGGATTCCCTATCAGGCTCCTTCGTGGCGGAAATACCAGCACCGTGAGCGACAAGAACCCAGAGAACAAGAGACGCGACTTGATTATTCTTGCTGCACTGATCGAGTATCCCGGCGTCGGGCTGATTTTGTTCGAGACAGGATGTGCGGAGGACTTGAAGATAGTAACTTGAACCCCTTCAAACTGTCCTCACAAGTCACCGCTTTCATTGACCACCATCATAGGCATGGCCGGCTCCGTTGACTGATGTCTTCCCTCGGACTGTATACAGCGAGAATCAGAAACTCCCAGCGGCGATCAAGGCTACAGGGAATGACATCAAGGATGTCAAGGCTGTAGTCATTGGTCATCTTCATCTTGATCACGCTGGCGGGTTAGAGCACTTCATGGACACGGATGTACCGATTTATGTCCATGAAGAGGAGTTCAAGCATGCTTGTTGGGCGGTTGGAACCGGAGCTGACCTCGGCGTATACCTACCTGGTTATATGTAAGTATCCTTTCGTTGCTCGCTGACCTCGAAGTTTGAGATTGGCGTGCCTGGGAGGAACCCACCCTATCCACCCCTCGTGACGAGTATTCCACTGACTTCCTGGGTACCTCATAGGAGTCTTGACAAGCTGAAATGGAACACCTTCACGGAGGACCATCTGGACCTATACCAGGGTATTACACTTCATCACAGCCCAGGACATACACCAGGCCTGGTGGTGATGCAGCTGAATCTGGAAAACAGCGGGACTTGGATTTGGACGACTGACCAGTTCCACATCGCAGAGAACTACGAATTGAGTCATCCGCACGGTTGGTTAGCTCGAGATCACAACGCGTGGATCAAGTCCCTGAAGATGATACAACGATTGCAACGATTGTTTGATGCCAAGTTAGTATTCGGCCATGACAAGGATGTAGCAGCCAAGTATATGGGCAAGAGCTATGATTGAGTCTCAAATAGATGATGATGGCTTTGGAGGTTCGACACCAGTTGGCTGGGCGATATTTCAGAGAGGTTCTGTCGCGTCGAGAGAATGATTACATAAGGGGGTGTCATTTGAAGTAAAGCTGGTGTCATTTCATATCACGTGACTATTCAAACAATCTCATGATTTGGTCTCAATCAAAGAACCTCCGTCTAAAATAAAATCGTCATCAACGTCGTCGTTGCACATGGTCGACTCTTTGCGGGTTTGAGCTCGATAAAGGCAATGCACAATGCCGGAACGGTAGTACTGCGCTCAGCAAGCAGTTGTCTGCACTTCTCATCATACCAGCTACTCCCTCGACCATTCCAATCCGGGTCCTGCCCTTCACCCACCTCGATCCTTAAGCGTCTCTGTACTAGCAATCTGCCCTCAAATACTGCTTTTGCTACCATTCATCATGGTGTGCAGCGAAGGGCTTTCTCACAATCCTTCCGGACTAGCTTCTGGACATCTCCTGTCCTCCAACTTCTCAAACCCTATGGCTCAGGTGACAAGCCCGAGCGAGGGCTAAAGTTCGACAGTGGTGATCTGAGTTCAGCAAAACTCGATCGCATATTTCGCCGTAATGCTCCTCCGACGAGAGTTGGCAATCGTCTATTGCGGATCTTGCACGGCCGGCGCACCGATGGGACGTTGGACCTTCCACTGCCTCGAGACCTCGAAGAAGACCTGGAGGATTATCCAGAGGCTGTAGATGCTGGACTACGGTATCTCCGAAAAGCAGTCCCCATGGATGAGGATGCAGCCATCATGGCGCGAATTGAAAGAGAAGAAGCAGCCACAGAGAAAGACAATCCTTCAGAATTGATGCAGAGAGGTCAAGATCTGGGGTTATATCGCGGTCCTCAAAGTGGACACTTTCATGCCGAGCTAAGTGATCGAAAAGGCGACGTTTACGGTCGCAGTGAATTGGATCGCATGCGAGCTGAGAACATAGCACGTGCAGAGGAGGAAGAAAGGGAAATGGAAGAGCAGATCAACAAGCAAACCGTCAAAGCACAGGAGGAGCAGACCAAAGCCCTTGCACAGAGACCGGACCAAGGTCTGACCTCTGCGCAGGAAGTGAGGCCGCCAAATGAGTTTGAGAAGTGGAGGCTCAAGGCCAGGAATCGAGCATCGACGAAAATGACGGAAGAGTCGCCTGAAATTACACAGATGCCGTTCCTGAAGCGAGTATTGCCTTCATTCATCCTGGCCTCCGTTCTAACGACTGGGTGCTATTTCCTTTCACAATACTGGGAGCGACCTCAGAACGTGGAAAGATTTATGCCCAATGTCTCATTGTCCTGGGCAACGATCAGTACAATCATTGGACTCAATGTCGCAGTGTTCTTTGCCTGGAGGTGGCCTGGCTGCTGGGTTGCTCTCAACAAATATTTCATCAATGTCCCCGCCTATCCTTATGCGTTGAGCTTACTGGGGAGCATGTTTAGTCATCAAACACTGGGTCATCTGGTAATGAACATGATCCCCTTGGCTATGTTCGGACTCCCGTTGCACGAAGAAGTCGGCAGAGGGACTTTTCTGGCAATTTACTTCGCATCTGGTCTGGTTGGAGGCTTTGCTAGTCTCACACGATATGCCGTGCAGAGGGTATTTGCAGTGACGACGCTTGGAGCCAGTGGAGGCGTGTTTGGCGTAGTCGCTGCGTATCTTGTCCTCCATGCAGAGTAAGTACTTGATGTGATTAGCTTGAGAGACAGTGGGATAACTAACACAATTACCAGGGGCAAGTTTTCACTCATACTCTTACCGAAGGAGTTGACCGAGAAACTCAATCTCGAGGGGCTCACCCTTTTGGGATTGCTATTCTTGTCACAGTTGTATGGATTCTTCCGACCTGCGAGGACCATCTCTTATACCGACCATCTTTTTGGCATGATGGTAGGAACCGGTAGTGCTCTATGGTGGAAGAACAGCCAGCAACGCAGGAGGGACGCTCAGAGAAAGGGCTTCTGGAATCGTGGACTGGGAAGGTAGCCATGGTGGAAACGAGCCACTTCTACACTTGCCGCCCGGTTCTACATTGCTGTTTGTGTAGATTAGATGTACAATTAAATCCCAACAAGACTACAAATTCCAGCATTGATAATTAATGCATTCCTGACGATTGGCCATTTCTGGCAAATGGACATGAGCGCCCCGCCGACGTCACTTATTCGTCGCTACGGAATTGTATCATCCATAATAATTCCACCTGTGTTACAAACCACCACTCCGAGCTTTCGCTTAGACTTGACTCTTGAAAAAGAAAAAGTTCCCCGTCTTATTGATTGAAACCAATTTATCAGGGCCTTTCGACCGTGCATACCTCCACGACAGTTCATTTCTAATCCTCAATTCTTTCCTCCAGATGGATCATCGATAACTTTTCCCCATCTCCCACAAGCTTTTCCAAACTAGCCCTCTCTAAATTTCTCACATCCCAAAAAGGGCCACCGAGCTTCTACAAGGACCTCCCCCTCCCTCATCCAATGGCACACTCAGGGGAAGCATCAGCAGCGCCTTCGCTGGTGCTTTTGAGAAACCTCCACGCGTCTGCAGCCAATCCGACACGCGCATGGCAGTCTGCATCCCATCCAGATCCATCCACCCCGCTCCTGGCGACCGCCTCAGCAGATAAGACGGTCAACGTCTGGAGTCTCCGAGACTTCTCCCTCGTCTCCACCATCAGTGGCGGCCACAAGCGCAGCGTGCGTACCGTCGACTGGAAAGACTTTGGACGGGGTGCGAGAGGTCCGAGGTCTGAGAGAAAACCTGTTATCCTAGGCACGGGCAGCTTTGATGCAAATGTTGGTGTCTGGGTGTGGAATGACGATCGCCGACGGGCGCGATTCAAGGATAGCACTGGTGATGAGGAAGAGAGTGGGCAGCAGAGAAATGCAGCGCAGGCAAAAGACAATGGTAATCCCAACAGCGGTGTAACAGAGGCAGCAGGTGACGACAGCGCCATGACGGACGACCTGGCCACAGACCTGACCAACGACGAGGCGGATCAAGATGAGGAAGACGAAGAATGGCACTTCTCTACCCTGTTGACCGGCCCAGACTCCGAAATCAAATCCATCGCCTTTGCGCCCCCGCACTATCCTGCCAACTGGCTGGCTACGAGTTCGAGAGACAAATCCGTCTGGATCTGGGAGGAAGTTGAGCCCGAGGAGTGGGAGACCATCGCCGTGCTGGCCGAACATACGGGCGACGTCAAATGCGTCAGCTGGTGCTCCGGAGCGAGGAAAGGCAACATGAGGAGCAGTGAGAGGAAGGCGAAACGTCGGAAATTGGTCAATGGAGCTGTGGCTAACAATGATGGGGATATTCACATGGCAGGAGACGACGACGGGCCTGCTTCAGGTGGTACAACCCGATCCACAGAACAGGAAGCGGACGATGACGATGACGATGATGACGAAGACAAATTCCTCGGATCACGCGACATCCTAGCGAGTGGCTCCTACGATGACACGATCCGATTATGGCGCGACGTCGAAGAGGAAGGAGACTGGATCTGCGTCGGGGTCATCAACGACCACAAGGGTACTGTATGGGATATCAAGTGGGAACCTCACATCAACTATTCTACTCTCGATATCGTCAATGATAAGCAGTCTTTCAAGGACCACAAGGCAACCATAACGGAGTTCGAAAACAACTGGGAGCCACGACTGCTATCGTGTTCCGACGACCTCACGATCCGGGTGTTCCGGCGCGAGCTCAACGAGGCAGAGAAGGCAAAAAAGCAGCAAGTGTCCTCATCTCTCGGTGCACCACCTACCGGGTTTGCCAGTTCTCGCCTTCCTAGTGTGATCCGGCCAATGAGTAGCATGGAGCGGTGGACGCAAGAGGCAATCCTGCCCGAAGCACATGTCCGCAGTATCTATGCCATCGACTGGTCGCGCAACACTGGCTTGGTCGTCAGCTGTGGTGGCGATGGCACCATTGCCGTCTACAAGGAGGTGCCTGTTGGTGAGAACACCAACGATGTGGCAGGAGACGATGTCGTCATGAATGGCACCGCAACCGCTTCTCAGACGGACCCTCAAGCAAAAGCAGAGCACGACCTCAACAACAACGCAGAAGCATCATCGGTCCCGGCATCGGTCGAGCCATATAAGCTGCACAAGACGAAATGGATCATAGTCGCGCTCCTTGAAGCCGCACACGATGAGTACGAGATCAACCATGTCTGCTGGGCTGTGCGCCGCGACAAAGAGCGAAGATTTGACGGTGAAGAGGTTGTTGTTTCAACGGGCGATGAGGGCGATGTCAGGATTTGGACTTTGCCAGATGGTGTTCTAAATAGTAACTAGGCCCGTGAGGAGGAGGGCAGGGATCGTATGACCAATATACGACACCGTCTCTTACGAGGAACTGACATGAGACCGAGAGATTTCTGCGATGAGATGTTAGGAATGCAACCCCCACGTCACTGTATATCGACAAGTGATTCATGAAGAGGACAAGGACCCCGATGGAAATCTTGATGCGTGGCTTGACTGAATCGGGAGCGGAGTGGGAGGGACTTTTCATCCCTCAAGGGCTACACTCAATGTTAACGGCCTCGTCTCGAAATCAAGTGTCCAGTAATTAGTGGTCCATTTGCCTCTCACAAGAGTTTATCGTGATTGATGTTGCGCTGAAGGTGCGCCGATAGCCCAACTGAGTACCAAATTGAACTATATACGGGCAAGACCCGTCCGTAGGCATTTATCAACTTATTACTTGACTACATGGGATCCACTGACCCCAAATCCAAAGCAAGGTAAAGTCGCCCGCCTTCGTGCCCCGTCTACGGGACACCCAAGAGTCTCCGCCTAAATCCGCGGCGACGAGTGCTCTCGCCGGAGCTACCAGCAACACCGATTGAAGATACCCGTGGGGACGACACCGACGGCGAGAGACTAGCGCTGTCGACCATCGGCACAGGGGGCCCGGTGGTGGCCGCAGAAAAGCCTGCCCCCGGGGCCGATCGCTGGTGTGGGTGAGCCTGTGGCAGCCGGTGGCTTTGCAGCTGGGTTTCCACAGATCGGACCGCGTACGGCTCGTCGGGAGCATGGGTCGGTGCAGAGTCGGGCGATTGCTGGTCTTGCTCCTGCCTTTCCAGCAAGGATATCAACCACGTGATCTTGTGTTCGAGGGAGGCGTTTGCGACCACGGGTCTTGTTAGATGTAGTCTGCCTGCGTCTACATGCGGTTGTTGCCCAAGATGTGCACTCGGGTATGGTCTCAGTGGGGAAACTTCGTATGGCGCGCTTGCGTGAGGTGTGCTGAGCACAGACGCTGTCATCGGAGGCATAAGACTGTTGAACGTCAGAGCACCCTCCGGGTGAGAATGCTTGGGCGACGATAGCCACACCTCTCGTGGTGATCCTGTGACGAAATCGGAGGTCACACCGTACGGGGCTTCCAGGGGGTATTCGATGCGACGGCCACTTGGCACATCACTGTGCCCGTTTTGGGCTGGTTGCTCTGACTGGTTCTCGGTCTTTAGAGCCCGAGGACCATGCTTTTGCTTTTCATTGGGCGGGGTCGAAAAACCCGGATCATGCTCTCCTCGTTGCTTGTACTCCAGTTTACTTTCGCTCATCATGATCTTTGCATGTCGCCGCCGGAGCCTCATGCCTGTGAGACTGTGTTCGGTCTTCAGAGCTTCCTTCAGCTGAGGTTCGATGTTTTCCCAGAAAGGCGCAAGGAGATTTGGGAGCCCCCCGTCCACAGAGTTTCGGCCGTCCCCAGACCCGGCGGAAACCCCCGCGTCACTATCGACATCGCTAAGGGGAGCTGTGCAGGCATCTTCGCCATCGACTCTAACGGCTGGTGGAGGCGTGTCGGCTCGAAAGTAGTCCCTCAGACTTGATGTATCTTCTCCATTGCCGCCGCTTTGGTGTTTCTGCTCCTGAGTCTTGTGCGTAGTGTCTGAGATCTTGAATAGGCTGTCAGGAGTCAGTTGCAACGGCCCAGACTCTAGACTTTGAGTATTTCTAATGTGCTCAGCCCCTGCTTCAGATTTAGACAGGAGTTGTGGACGAGGCGTGAGTGCTGGTCTTGCTTTCTTCGGAATAAGATACACGGTCAATCCAGGGATGGCCCTATGTTCCCACAAAGAGGGAAGGATGGTAGTGCCATCAGAATCGACAAAAGTATGATCCTCGATGGCGAAATCCGACTTCGTCCCACTTGTGGTGTGGTGTGCTTCTCGAACAAGTGATTCTAGGCTCTGAGGACTATTAGTCTGACAATACTTAACAAGAGGGGCAAAGAGATGTGCTAATATACCTCCCATGAAGTACACTTTGAGATGGGAAACTCGAACTTCTCTCCCAAGGCGTTGATATAATGGATAACTTCGTCGGATCCGGTGTCCAATGATGTAGGACCATTGACTTCGGTCCGTCTCAGATAGCTCTGTCCAGTAGGGTTCCCAGATGACGCATGACTTCGCGCTTTTGGTTGCTTAGGCGTTCGGTTTGCACCCTTACGTCGGCGCATCGTGTCTGACTCCGTATCACTAGAGAGGTCCTGGGACGAGGGAGGTGATAGAGGCGTGGGGACAGATGCAGCTCCGGACCTAGATGGCAAGGGTACTAGTATTTGCTCACGGTAATACTGATCAGACCCAGATATGGGATAAGGATTTGTCGATGGTTGGATATATGCGTACGGTGGATTGACTCCAGAAGTCCATGGTGGCATGTAATTGGGCCCATAAGGCGAACTGACATGGGAGTGATAGTGAGAGGTATTGATGGCTGGGTAACCAAGGTTTGGATCATGTGGCACTGGTTGTGGTTGAACATGGTATGGGGCAGGCACAGGATAATGGTAGTTGGCCGAAGGTGGGTGTGTGTAATAACTACCTTGATCGGGGTTCAGAGTGTATTGTGAGTGAGCTTCAGTGACTGGTACAAAGTTTTCAGGACTATCAGATCTCGACATATCGGTGTTTGCTCGTGGCCGACTGTAACGATCTCTGTCTTGCTGTAGACGTGGGTATGGTTCGTCTGAGGAGACGGTGTCCACTTCATTGGGATAGATTATGTGGAACTCGCCCGAATGTGATGAGCTGCCGGTTTGGCTCGTAGGTTGAATGATTGAATACTGTGGAGAAATCTCAGAAGATGCCATATGAACCTTGTGACTCAATGGTTCTTCGTATTCAGCCTCGGTAGAACTAGTGGAGGGCGATGGGTAGCGGACGTGGGTACGGTCGATGTGGGTGTGTGAACGATGTCTGCGGAGGTCAGTATGAAACAAATACGTGGTAGCAGTCCCACAGCATGCAACACACCTTTCTCTTTGTGATTCGATGGTGGGCTCGCTGTAAGTTGTGTGCATACGGTCAGTATCGGGATCAGGTTCCTCTGTATGGACGTCTGTGCTGGTGGCGTCCTTCACCTTGCTCCCAAAGTTTTGTTGCCCAACAATGTGTACATTATCGGCAGGATAGCGCAAAGTCGCTTGGTCATTGCCTTTTCCCTTCTGCTCAAGGCTTGGGACTGCATTTTGTGTGATGGTGTCTTCTCCGACATTTGGTGCTGTTTTAACGGGTGCCTCGTTAGATTCTGAGGCTGATTAGCACAGGAAGATAGAAGAGGGTGATCATGATGCCTGTGGTTGGTTTACCAAGGTTGAGATTTGTCCACTTAGACAGAAACACGTCCACCGTCTTTTTGATCAGTCTCTGTTCGGTTTCTTCCACGCCAGACTGCGAGTCAGGAATTGCAGGAAGTGCCAGATATGGTTTCCCCAGCAAATTGACGTGTTCTGAGGTTGGCATGAGCCGTTTGAGCCACTGGCTATCATGTGATGGGGTCCATGTCAAAGCCTTGGGAATATACTGCACTGATAATTGGAATTGCTGCTGATGCTCGCTCTGCTGCCAACGCTTCAGTGCCATTGATTGCGAACGGATGTCGCGCTCCACTCTGTGTGTCAATTTCTTCTCCTTGCGTGCCACGGTGTTTTTAGAACTGCTCAAATCAGCGATGGCCTTGATTGTCGATGAGTTGGATTTCGCTTACCTAGGAGTCTTGACTTGTGCCTTACACTGTGCTAGTTGCAAGACATGCAACAGGATGGAGAGTGTCTGCTTGAAGGCCTCGAGGTTCGCTCTCATGGGTATGACTTTCTCCCGTCGAAAAGACCAGCTGGCACGTTGCCAAAAAGTTGGGGCAGATTGACTATCGGTCTTACCCATCATGTCTTTTATGTTCGCAAATATTCCTTTGCAGCTTTCTAGAATCTTGTAGGCGCTTTTCAGACCTTTCGGGGAAATCTGGGTTTTATGCTCGTCTAGCCAGTCATGTAACTCATCCAACACAACAGCAAACGTATCTAACTCAAGTATTAGTCCATCAATCTCGTTAGCGCATCCCCTCATGGTAGTAGTTAACTTGTACAACGTCTTCGATATCTTCACGGCAGCTTCTGATATGGCTAGAATGGAGACCAGCAACGAAACCGGATCTGCCATTTTTGGGAGATGTGATATAGCGTAGATGCTAGCGTTTAACGCTTGAATTTCCCTGTGAGGGATGGGAGCTTGGATGTTCAGATCACCTGAAGGAGGATATGGTGAGGTGTGAATTGGGTTATCAATTGGAGGGGGTGCCCCCGGTGGAGGATATATAGTAGGGGGAAAGGATATCAATTGCACACCAGGTTCAGAAAGTACTGGTAGATAAGGCATGCCGTTGGACCAAAAGAGTTGTTGTCTGTCTGAGCAACACGCACTGTATTGTCAATGTCCATTACATTGATTAGGCTGTCAGCCTGATCAAGATGGATATGATGAGCAAGGTTGGGGGATAAGGCTGTAATTATGCAAGCAGGACCGGCATGCCACAACACGGATCGCAGGTGTGAATCCAGAAGGGCAGTGAATCAGTGGGGTCTCAGAAGACGTTCTCATATAGATGGAAAAGTTGAGCGAACTTGGACGAGTACGAGGTATTTATCGCCTGGCTCGCTCAGAGCTTGCCAGCTGCGAGCTGTCTGCCTTATCACCAGTCCAAGAGGCTGAGCCGCTTCACACCGTACTAGACTCGTTTACTCTTGAAGAAACTGCACCTCATCATTGGCCTATTGAGGCAGAAAGACCGCTAGCGGCATGGTGGTGGCAGAGCGACAGCAAGGGTGCTTTTAATCCTAGTAGGTGTGGAGGCGGGGTACCAGTGGTAGTATAGACTCCAAATGTCTACCTGTACCCGTGGTTTGTGATAAAGCAGGGATCCGCAGCCGGCCAATCTGATACTGGCACTTTGCAGATGACCACGACAGGGATTCTCAGGGCTGCAGAATTAACTACAAGAGCCGAACTATCCCGTTCGACCTTTTCCAAAGACTTCAAGCGCTTCGAGGACGTAGATGAGATACCAACATCATGGAACAGATGTCAATAGTGCTGCTCAAGCTGCGCATGCTTTTCAAATGAGCCTACAAACGACGTTTGTGATTCGTGACTATACGTTGAGAAAGTAGTGGTCACATGCTTTATCATCTGAATCCTTTTGTGTAAGAGTCGCCGATCGTTTTGATATCTATGTTGGATCTGGTTGCGGTAAGCCCGGCTGCAGTAATACGGCGAAGTCTTAACTATGGACACTTCCACTCAAGTTCGTGTCAGATAAGCATCTTTTCGTAGCTGCTTCACTGCCTTGCGTGCCTGGTTCATGCTGCCGCCCATGAGATGCAGTTCTTCCGCACGCTCTTGTAAAGACGTATCTGTCACCTTGTCCAGAATGAAATGACCCATTTCGCCAGCTCGCCATTTCTGTACAAACTGTATCGCGGATGCCTCAAAGTCAGGAGCGCCACCTTTTTTTAAGCGGCCTTGTTTGCGTGCAAGTCCTTCCAGGACTTCAAAGACATCATTCGTCGGTCCACAGAAAGACTCGTAGAGCGTCGGATCATTCAGATTGAGATGATAAAGGCAATAGTCTGCAATCGTTGTAGGTGGAATGATGGTGTCTTTGACGTTGCCACAGAGTGCCAGTTTGAGCATACTTTCAGCGTCAGGCACATAAGGTACAAATACACCGGGGGTATCGAGAACGTATACTCCCTCGCGTCCATCTTCACCGTCGATAATCTTCACGCTGGTTCCAATCTTTCTTGTGACCCCAGGCTGATCGCCCGTTCTCGCGGCTTTCTTCTTTCCGAGACTGACATTTCGAAGAGCATTGAGGAGTGAGGACTTCCCTACATTGGGCATTCCCACGACCATCAGGCGAGTGCCAAATAAAGAGTGTGAGGCGTGTGCATGGGCACGTGCAAAGTCGAGCACCTTGTTGATGGTATTTCGAGCCTTGATGTCGGTACAGAAGGAGGTGGAAGGTGCATCCCATTTCTTGACGATAGCCTCTCTCTTCCGGTCCTCGGCTGAATATGTGCTCCCCAGGTCTTGCTTTGTGTAGACAATCAATCGAGGTCTTTCTCCCAAGTTCTCTTCGAACAAGGGATTTCGAGATACAACCGGTGTGCGATAGTCGCGGCATTCGATGACAAGATCGATGGATGCAACCATTGACTTCATCTTGGATAGTCCAGCAGCATGGTGTCCCAAGTAGTAGGATCGTGGAATTGAAGATAGGTGCGGGTAGGCTTGTCGAGGGACGAAGGCCGCCATCTTGACTTGCTGTTTCTGTGTGCTGTAAGGTAAGATAGGAGCGCCATCTTGGTGCTATGCTCGACTTAGCATATTCTGCACCACAGTCATTGGCATTGCAACAATATGCTTTTCATATCGAATGCCTTTGACTAGAGGCTGCAGACGTCGAATTGCTGTAGCAAACTTGCCAAGAGATATGTTTTGAGGATCCAACCTCTAGTCCTAATTTGGTCAAATACGATGCTGCCGTCTTGGCGTGAATGGGGTTCAAGTTTGTCTCATTGCGATATACTAACTACTTTATCCTCTGGCATTCTCAAGCCAGGCATGAAAGGGGTACATTCTTTTTCATAAACCTAAATTCAAAGCCATGACCACGTGGTACTAGATTAGAAGGCTTATGAACACATGATCCTACCCACAGTCGGCCCTGCATCCCCTAGAGACACAGCCTTGTGCCACCTGCGAATTTTCTACAGTCCATGGCAACCCTGATAGCTTGAGACCAGTGGCGATTTCCAACTTTTCAAGACACTCTGTTCATCGATGAGCTTGTAGACCTCTACCGACAGGGGTCTACACGTTGGCTGCATGGCCAACATTGCTTCTCTTCCCCATCCAAACTTCGTCTCGTCCCCAGCAGGGCAGGCAGAGAGCGCGCATAGAATGTCGATCTCGGCAAAGAATTCGATGTAATCTCCTGCACGTGCGGGGCAAGGGTTTCTGTACGTATGATTGCTTCAGAATCTGGAAGACGAGTCGCCCCTGGTACACCGTGGACAGGACATTTATGGGGTGTTAAGTCACTTACATGAAATATTGGTCCTCGTTCGTCAGTCCTGTCACTTGGAAAAGATTGACGTTGTCGTGAACATTGAATTCTTTGAGGCCGAATGGCTTGATGGCTCGTACGAGATTAGAGTGGCAGTGGTACTCGAAATCGTCTCCACCCAGTATCTTGCCGACTGAGAGATAAACGAACCGTCCATGTCAATTGTGATCTTGCCAAAAAAGAAGTGATCAAGTCCAACTTACTATATGGGTCACATCGCGTCCCGAGCAGATCATGAACCCTACCACCAGAGCCATCAACGCCAAAGTCTTCTAAACTGTTCTACCATGACTTTTAGTTGATGCCATTCCAAGACTCGAAGGACTCCTGCTTACATTGATGACTGTGACCAGCGGCCGCATATATGGCAGAACGCTCCATAGGCGATCAAACACTCTGATATGGCTGGAATGTAACTGCCTCGACCTGGCGGTCCACATGTATTCGCTCGCGTTATGCTGATTCCAGATATTGAGATCTCCTACCTGAGGTCCTTCAGGGGTTGATATGCGACAAATCTTTCCTGCTGGGACCAACCACGCCTGACCGTCACGTGGAGCGATCTGAATCTTCTGAACAGACTCCCGCCTTGCCGCAGCGACCGCGCTGTAGAAATCACGATCGACATATAGCGGAGACTTTGAAGATGTCTCGTACGCAGGCCTGGGCTGCGGAGGTGCCTCTGAAGCCATGCTTTTAACAATTTTGGTGTTGACCTGGGTCGACAAAGTCCAATGTTATCTCGAAATTGAGGAGAACTTACGTTAGACGGACTTCTACGTTAGGCGGAAAAGTGCGACGAGGCTGAAAAGACACGACGGGAAGCCTTCTAGTACGTGAACCTGTCGCGTACCAAATTCACACATGCAACGTTGCTGCAGCATTTCTATCTACCAGCTACGAATGGATTACTAATGCCTGCTGCGGTCGACTGTCGCTGACATGGCAAGCTCTCACCTCCTCAGCGAGATGAACCGCAGTGCTGAACAGCTTTGTTTGATGAATTTCTCACAGGTCACTTGCATATCCAATCCTCGGATTAGGCATCATCGAGGCCGTGCCGGTGTTCGACTGGAGCACAGATCTTCGGGTGGATTTGATATCATTGGCCAACTCAGAACCAACCATGTTGCGTGTACAGCTTTCTGAGACGCATGAAGCCTGCACAGGAATCAGACAAAGGACCATACAGGCACTTTCTTTGTGCAAGCCTTTGTTCCGACGCGCGCACACCATGTCTTCGGTTGAAATATTCACATAATGGAAGTCATACTCCGAGGCAGTGAACCTTATTTGACACACGGTACAGGCAGCCTCATGGCTATATCAAATACGACATATATATTTTTCCTTCCTCGAGATTTCACAGATGCGTATTTTCAGTCTTCAATCCTCGGAATACTTTCAGGCCACTTTCGACAAGTCTCACCAAGCGGGATAACCGGAGTATCTCTGAACCAGCGACACTTCTCTACTTCAGTGGCAGTCTCGACTACTATTCTTGGTAAGCCATTACCTCGAAGGACACCATCTCTTGATGATGGCAGACCGGAGCTTTATGGCTGAGTTGGAGCTCTGGCCACCTGGTTTGCAGAGGTACCTTGGCGGTGCAAAGAACAGTCGGAGAGAGGACTTTGACAGTGATGGAGCCTATAGGCTTGATGTTAAATTGCGCAAGCGGTTCTTCTCCTTCGCGATCGCTCACCTTCGAGCAGCAAGAGTCATTTTCAGGAAGGAAGCTGATACCAGCGATCTTGTGAGAACCTGGCTGACTGCGCCGGAGGGACCTGAATCTAACATAGTGATGCGCAGTAAAGACATGAGAAACCCCAAGACGACAATCGAAAGGGCACGCAGCCTGCGAAATCATGCTTGCACCTATTTGCTAGAGGCAAGAAGACTGTGGAATTACGAAGACGAGAGAGATATGGACAACATCATGCATATTTATCATTGGTATCCATATGAGAAAGAATTCATGCTCAAGTGCTCAGGCTGCGCAGCGACATGGATGTTGTTGCTCGCGCGATTGAGAAAATCGAGAGCAACGCCGAGATCCTGAAGCTTCTCGACCGAGCCTCAAGGGAGAATTAAATCGAACGAATCCAATTAGACACGCATCTCTATTTGTAATTTATCGGGAGCCTTCCAAATTTATTCGCAAATACGTTTTGTCAAATCCATCTCTTCTCATGCAAGCAGCTGAGCGCTGTGCGATCCACAGGTAGCAGCCATATGAAGTATGCCCTACTGCTTAGTCTGTATGTTCACGCCTTGCTCGATAATGAATGAAAACTAACGCAGACGCACCTGTCTCCCATTCCTAGCGGATGCGATTAACGCTGAACCTTCTGGGTACAGAGTAGTTACTCTCAGGCTGACGAACCTGCCAACCATTCCTGTTCTTGGCCATAAGTTCTCGTACATCTCCTCAAAATACACCAAGCTACACCAAAATCATGAATTATTCGTAAGCACCACAATATAAAATTCAGTTGTGTAAGCACGTTACTTTAAATACGCAAGATACTCTCCATCTTTAAGAGAACCTTTCTAATTCTTTAGATTTCTTATAAGTCCTCTGATAAACTTATAGCTGTTGCTTTTCTTGAGGAGAAGTAAAAAATTAATAAAAAATTAAGGTTTTATACACTAATTTTGTAATTTTCGACATAGGTCTACTTTTACCGTATATAGCTCGTGTATTTTGCTAGTTATTTGAGTTATAGCTGGACTTTATTGCGTCTCTATTACCCCTCCAGAGTATAATATCTTTCTTAAATACGCTGATAGCGTTGTAGTATTACTTTGAAAAGATCTTGTTTTGGTGTAAAACGGCTAGTGTGCGAGAACTTATGGCACGGAGGTGGTCTATCGTTCTTCGTCTAAAGACGCAACCTAGGAACGGTAAAGCCACACGGCCTAGATTCCAGCAGTGTACTTACTGGCCTCCCGCTAACTGAAAACGTATAACGGTCATTAGTCATCGACAAGATTCGGCAGAGGAGCGAGCAATGCCAACACCAGTTGTGCGAAGTCCCGTGCTCGTTGTCCAATACTTAGCATTTACCTGGCATGAGTTGCTCGGCAAGTACAAATGTACAAAAGCATAGGTGATACCTATGGGGAGATCGGAAGTATCTGTGATCAATCGAATCTGATTAAGATTTTGCGTGCGCCACTTCAAGTTCAACGAGAACGGAGAACGTGTCACTGAAACTTAATACACGATGTCAATGAACACAAACGATTTCCTTTTTGTAAACCTTTCCTCCCGACCTCCCAGCTGCAAGGCGCGGGGTTATGCAAGTTCTTCTGCAAGGTCCCACGCCGCAAGAATCTCACATGCTCGATTGGAAACTCAACGAAAGGGCATTAAGCACCGCCAGGGACACCTTCCGATCGAGGAAGAACCATATTCTGCACTACAGGGCACCGAAAACCTTCTGGGAGGTCAGTTCTAAAAGCTACACACATGCAGTGCCCTATGTACTCCATGAACCTATCCACAATTTCACACATGCTAGCCAATCAACCTCGTTATGTCCAGAGTAAGATTTATTGACTTCCGAAATAGTCACTGCAAAACAGCACAAGTCAAAGTCGCATCCAAATATATTGAGATTCCGACTGTATACTCCCAAGAAACCTCAAGAAAAAAGCCAAACAAAGGACGATAATGAATTATTTCCGGTCCAGATCGGCGCCACAGCACTGGAGCCAAAAGTCGTCGCATTACTGAGCACGAGCAGCTTAGACCCCTTTATGCGCCCTGCAATCGATCTTTCAGTGCCAGATAAGCACTTACTACATTTTTGTGAGTCTGAAGTCTTACGATTTCCGAAACTTGGTTTCTCCAAACATGCTGATGTGAAATATTGATAGACTTGTTGAAGACCCCCAACGAGATCTTTGGTTCCGTGCCAGGGCCTGCTTTGGCAATGATCATGGAGGCGAATCTAGAAAATATATCTAAAAATGAGATTCAAGTTCTCTGGTGTCTGATAGCGGTCGAGAGTCATGAGGTGAGCTTCCAGCCGACTGCGTCAGCTCGGAGTATTTCAGTTCTACGACGAAGAGCCCGGGCCTACGATATGATGCAAGCAAGGGTTGTCGAAGGCAGTGCACATTCAGATGATTTTCTCGTCACGCTGGGATTGACCGCTGCCATTGAGAAGCGCATAGGCAACATTCAGTATTCCGATTACCATACGCGAGCGCTGAAGAAGTTGATCGATCATCGAGGCGGATTGAAGGCAATCCGTGAGATGAACCCCGTGTTAGCATTGATGGTTGTCAATATGCTGATTGAAATTGGCATTCCTGAGCTTTATGAATACCACAGTTTATTGGCGAACCTGAAGAAGCTGCGACAGAAATTCCAACGGCTCCAGGATTGGAACAACGGAGTAAGAGCTTCAGTAGACCGTACTAAGAACGGATCGACATGTACCCTAGGTGTACCAGCAAAGAACAATCAACCGCTTGCATTTCTATGGTGGCAAGCGTTCAATGAAGCTGGCCTGTCTAGATACATCGAAATCCCTTCAGGGGAGTTAACGGAAGCGGAATATCGTTTTTATCTAGCCATGCTGTTCTTCGTCAACAGCGCTTTCTGGGCATTTCGAAATAGCAACGAGGCAGGTAAAGCTTATGCTGAATATCTTTCTAGCTCTGCAACCGCCAGCAAATCAACTAACTTCATACTGCAATGCTTTTCGGCAAAGCTACCCTCGATATTGTTGCTGATTCTTTTGGCACACCAGATTGCTGACTCGACTGGACGCGACTCATCCACGAGCGCCGTATTTGAGGTGGAAGAGCTGTTGGATTTTGTTGAACTTATGATGCTGGCGAAGCCCAAGTCGAGAGACTTGGTGTTGAAAGCGTTATGGTCATGGCTCTCATGCTCGAGCAACAACGAAATCAATCTCTTGAGTGTCGCACAGTTGGACAACGTGGTTAAGGAAATCGAAGATCAATGGCTGGACAATGAAAAGGAGTACTTGGCGCGAGAGAAGATAGGTGCTCGATATCGTTAAGTACTAGTAATATACCCGTTTCAAGATCATCATCAGCATTCTCATTTGACCATATTAGTATGAATCTTCGCAATTCGACCGGACCCCTTACGATATCTTTCAAGATATCAATCAACATCCTTCCTTGGTTCCTGCTGGCTTCACATGTTTGACGCAGGCTACGCACTTGCGCATGGCTTTCCTGACCCCCTGGAAAAGCGCCCGAGGACTTCAAATACCATTTGCCTTGATGATTGAGCAAGCGATGACATATCACACCATCAGTCACGGAGAGAATATAGTCCTGAGAGGCAGTTATACCACCTTGTTGCAACTCTTGGTAAGTGAGACCGTTGCATCGATCAGGGGGAAGAGGCACCTCGTTCCCATTGAGCCATCCAGTTGGCTTGCGTTCGGCAGGCAGGTCGAGGTTTTTTCGATGCGCTCCGGTCAGGTGCCTCCGAAGAAGTCCGACAGATGAGTATCCCTGCCTCTGAAATTTATCAGTCAGACACCGCAGGGTCAGAAAGCCGCTTGAACAAATCACATATGTGAAAATAGTGACTCCGAATGCACTAGTGAGGGTGCTCGGAGATAAGGCTTGGCAGAGACTAGAACTAGGTGCACCTGCTTAGCCCTGCGATTCGGGACCCTCTTTTTCCTTTGATGTCTTTCGTGATATGATAATGCTTTGTGACAGCACTAAACTTGGGCCGCTCACTGTAGCGACGGTGTGGGTCATTCATGCAATGATAGCTAGAACGACCGCGTGGCGCTGGACGGCGAGAATTTACGAGCAATGTCAGAGACATGTATCAGGTCAACAATCCCAATGGGCAGGACTCGTTTTTGATGATCGCATCGCAGTGTGGCTTCTTCAACCGCGGCTACTGAACGGATTGGCGACGCTATGATCACCTAATCAATCACTGTTGTCAGCCGTCTTTCGGCAGTCGTGCAGATGTCATGAGGCTTGCGGAGTATTCGTATACCCCACTACTCAAGCCCCGTCCCATATCTGATATATATCATGCCATACAGTAAACTCCGAAGCGTTCGGGCTGCGTAGTTTGGGAAAAGGTCAATCAATGACACTATAATATGTTGGGCTGAGTACTTATCTTTTTGCCATTTAAACATGTAAACCACCAAGCTTATTCCAAAACCACTCTTCGATAGATTTTGCAATACTTAGTATTCTCGCAGCACCAGCTTTGCTCTGATAAAACTTATCAATATCGAATTCGAACTTAAGTTTTAAAGTCTTCGAACAAGATGGAGGGGAACTCTCACTTCGAAAGCGATAACACTCGCAAGACAATCTCACCTGAGAATTCCCGTTCTTCAATACCATCAGCCGCGAAAGAAATCCTGACCAACTTCTTGACCAAGAACGCGAAGTTGGGGATGCCAGCAGCAGTGACCAAATATGCTTCGTCCGTTACCTTCACGCCGAACGTCGATTCATTTCTGCCAACACCAATGAAAATGTCAGAGTCCGCATCTGCCTTGTGGGCATGCATCGGACTATTTGCAAGTGCTATCTGCCAAGAACGCTATGATGCTGGAGAGCCAGAGAGGATCGTAGTGGATGTATATTCCGCGACATTGATGCTCTGCTCGGTATTCTTATTCCAGGTCAACGGAAAAGCCTTTGTCGAGAGCCCAGTGGCACCCAGAGTCATTCATCTTGATAAGGGGCGCAATCGCGAGACTTGGAGAAACACGGTATCAAACATGTAAGACACATAGATTGGGACTGAGAGAACATATTTCTGACAGCTTTCAGGTACAAGACGAAAGACGATCGATATTTCCACCTTCATGGAAGCCTCAACGCAACACCTACGCTTCACATGTTAGACTTACCAGAGCATCGCCCTGATTTAGAAGGCAATGAGCACCTCGAGGCGATCAAAGATATCTATAGAGGCGTCGTAGCCAACCGAGACAGTTTGTCCCTGGAACTCGAGGCTAACGAAAGATGGTTGCAGCCCGGCGCAATTTGCCGAACCATCGATGAGTACGCGGCCACATCGCATGGCAAACTGAACATCGAAGAGCCGCTCTATACGATTTACAAAACTCAAGAGCAGCTACCACCGGTACCTTGGCCCCACAGGCAAACCAGTGGCCGGCCTTTAGCAGGGATCAGAGTACTCGACCTGACCAAAGTGATTGCCGGTCCGACAGTAACACGAGTCTTAGCTTTAATGGGAGCAGAGGTCTTACGCGTATCGACGGACACCCAACCGGAGCCTTTGCCTTTCATCGCAGACGGACAGATCGGCAAACGAGATGCTAATATCAATCTCAAGACTCCCGAGGGAAAACGGCAGCTCGATGAACTTCTTAAAGAAGCTGACGTTGTTGTTAGCAGTTACAGGCCTGGTGTCTTCGAAAGGATGGGACTCGGGAGGAACTGGGCTCATGAGCTCGCGCGTCGACGGGGTAAGGGGATTATCTACTGTAGGGAAAACTGCTATGGCTGGAAAGGGGAATGGAGCGGTCGAGCTGGGTACCAACCAATCAGCGACTGTGTGAGTTGCAGGGCTATTGTCCTCTTGAAGCTCTAAGCTGACTGACTATCAGATTACGGGGGCATCTTGGGAGCAAGGGAAGTTCTTGGGACTTGAGGAACCAGTCATGCCGCTTTTTCCCAATTCTGACTCCCAGTAAGTAACGAATGAATATGTCCGTGGGGAAAGGTCTAACTATCCACCATCCAGAACTGGACTCACGGGAGGAGTTGCAGTCATGCAAGCTCTTCTTCGAAGGGCGTCAGAGGGCGGCTCTTACAACGTCGACGTTGCCCTGAACACATTCAACAATTGGCTTGTCCGGGAAGTTGGATTGCACGACAAACAAACACAGGTTTCGTTGCGAGCTTTACACCCAGAATTTCTTCCAAGACACGATACCGGGTTCTTTGAGATGGCCCCAATGATTTTGGGAACCACCAGAAAGTCCAATGGCACTGGACCAGATCAACTTTGGGACCGAGCGAGATTCACGACAGGCATCATCCGATGGGGTCAGGAGGGAGAGGAAGCAGAGTACCTTGACTGGAGGCGAATAGTTTCTGTGATTAGTAAAGGGGAAAAAAGTGAAGTTGTGTTTGAGTTTGAACATGAGTCGTGTATCCCAGGATCAGATAAGGCGAGGTGGCTTTGAAACGTTGACGCTCTCTTCAACTATCCATAAGAGCCCATTCAGTTCTATTGCAGTATCAGAACAATAAAGACCTTGAACTATCCAAATTGAGCTTACTTTGCAGCCAATACATGGGTAGTGGTTCGAGACAATGGTATACAGGAAATAGCGTACACGAAAGACGCTTCTGCGGATATCAGAAAGGTCATAGTTTTTTAAAATTTATTCCACTGGGGCATCACTTTATGTGCTCGTATATAGAAGGGCAACCAAATTCTCCCTACGAGATGTTTATGGGCATTTAGTTCTGGACCTGGAGCGCCACATGGAGCATGTCGTTGATGTGCCTCATTTCGCTCCATTAGCCACCGTGACAGGCACACAAGATTGCAATTGGAGCAAGCGACTCAGAGTCTCAATGCCCGCACGGCAAGCCGATGGTGCTGGATCATCCCTCCAGGTATGCATACTCGATCTAACAGACAGCAATTCTGCCAACGAATGGAGTAAGTGCCCTGATAAGCTGACACCTAGAATGACTTCAAATGCTGCAAGCAGTATTGCGGACGACTTGAAAGCGCGAGAGAGCTCCCACCATAGTTCTGCGATTGATGAAAGCTGTCGAAGTTTAAGATAGGCGCTAACCACAGAACAGAACTTCAAAATCATGCTCTGAAAGTGGTGCAATCGCCTCTCGGTCGAAATACTCGCTAAGAAAGCACCTTGAAGATGTAGAGTGCCTTCAAAGAAATCAATGTGCACTGTATAGACAAGTTGCTCTAGTGTTGCCTGCACGGAACTGGGACGACACAACGAGGATGTGACGCTGTGTGCAATTTCTCTCAGTTGAGCGGTCTTCTCCAGGTATGATTCCACATTGTTCTCCTGAATCAATGCAAGATGTTCGCGGCTTCCAAGCGACTGCCATTGTATTTGCAGGCGATGCAAATTAAATAAAAAGTCCGGGAAGTTTAGGCGGGAGGCGCAGATAAGGGGCTCTAAGCTGTTGTAGCTGCTAGAGAGGGAAGTTATCGGAACTCGATCGTAGGTCATTGACAATTTACTATCCAGTATCATGATGGCTCTCCAAAGAGGCTGTAAAGTATCGAGGCACTCGCAGGTGAGTGAGCTACAGGTGCACTCGCACCTTGTGTGCATGCCCAAACCCTGCGCTTGCTGGGCAGCTATGCCTAGCATGCTCATGGTGACGCCGGGATTGCCGTCGTTGCAATTAACACTCGCGAGAATCAAGATGGCCTGGATCGACTCCGAGGAGGGATTGACGTACATGTTGGCAAGGCTTAAGCATTCAAACGAGCAAGCCACGAACACGCGAGAGTATAAAGCAAGCTGATGATCACCTTCAACAACAAGACAGCCTTGGCACCCTGCGGCAAGGACCGCAAATAGTAAGGCATAGCCTACCAGCTCGGGACGTGGCAAGTGAGCAGCCAGTTGCATTGGAGATGACGATGGCCTGTCAGCTTCTACAACGAGCCGATCAAGCACCAGACAAAGTTTGCTCTCGAACACCCCGATGTCAGGGATCACGGGGAAGAATGGATGACAGGTTTGTTGGTAGGTTTGATAATACCGCAGACAAGCCTCAGCAGAAGGCAGGGAGCGCAGAATGTCTTCAACGGTGACGCGGGCCGTTGTGTTCCAGAGCGACACGAAGGGCTGCGAGATTGTACGATTGGTCAAACCAAAGACAGACTCGAGTGAGGCAGTAGGAGGAAGTGCTTTCTCGGGAAGGTACGGCGTAAGTGTGCGGAAGAGAGTAGCATGAGCGCGGCGGCCGACAAATGTCATCTGGCCAGTGACAGCGTCCATCTCGCAGCTCTCAGTTGCGTTGGTGGCCATATGGTCGAGAATGGTGAGCAGGTCATTGGACGAAGTATCAGGCGACCTGGTAGGACTTTCGACGCCGCTATGCTGCTGAGTTTGCAAGGCAGGACGATACGAGGGGCGAGATTCTCCAGACATGCTTTGGTCGCCTGGGACCTCAGAAGCAGGGTAAAGTCGCTCTGCGATGGTTCCGAATCCCCTCTCGTAGCAGCAAAGCTGCGACTGATGGCGCTTCACGCATGTTCCGCAAGGCTGCCGATAGTCGCAGCGCACTTTTCTCGCCCGACAGGGACGGCAAGCTTTCGGTCTGCGATTGCGTCGTCGCTGCTCGGAACGAGGCTGTTGCTCATTCGTTAGTGCCATTATGCTACTATCGCCGAAGGGATCTGTGAAGGAATCCGAGCCAAACAAGGGAGAAAAGTCTGTGGTTCGAGACGTTCCAGGGTTTGTAGCAAAGTATATTGGAGAGATTGAGGCAAGTGCCGGATCCCAGGGTCACGCCGAGCGTCGTCGAGTTCGGTGTTAAGCAAGGTTTTGGCACCGCTTCAGAACTCTGGGCTACTAAGTACACCCCGAATGCTAGAACAGCTGTCGTGTGGCCGCCTCGTATATTTGTGCTAAGGATTAGTGGCGAAGTCGCGAAGCGGGATGTATTCGCCTCGGCACAGTCTCACACAGGATTCAGCAAATGAGGAAACCCTACACTCGACTAAGTACCTAGTGTGTATTTGCCATTCAGAATTGGAGCAGGGTCCGAAGTTGGCAAAGTTTGCAAATAGGTAATTCTGATCGAAGGTTCTTGTCTCGCCTTTGGCAGCGGAGGATCACATCTACTCTCCACTTTTTCCCTCTCATCTTCCGCATTCACAATGTACCCGATCACCGTGAGGCACTTCTATGTGAACATGGCCTAGTACAACACGATAAAATTGAAATCCAACCGAACTCCGACTCACCTGGTCGTAGCTGCGAATGTCTTAACGACAAACGGGGTACTATTATGTGGGCGTCACTCAAGTAGTACATTCTGCACACTATGGCAGTCTCGATCACGTTGGCAGAAGTAATCTTGGCATCCCCATCGACTTCAAGCCGCGGCTTGACTAGGATCTCATAACGGCACGACTAATCAATTAAACAGATCGAGATACAAACCTGCCGTCACTCCATCTGTGTGTGAGGTGAGACTACGTTAGGCATGAATACTTAACATTCGATTCCCTCTGTCGTGGATTTGTACTGAAAGTGTAGCCTCGTTTTCCAGCTCATAACCAAAAGAACTCTGCTTCACGTGGTGCAGGTAGTTCTTGATGAGTCTAGCTCAAGGGGTTTCCAGTAGTCGCTTGAATAAGAGGTAGATCTCTATCGAGATCGCATTAAATTACTGTAGTGAACTGCAACGTGTGGAAAATACGTTGCATTTGGCCGAGGTCTGCTCCGCTAACTCATGCCTACCTCGATTTCACCTCTGATGATGGTGACTACATGTGCGTTCACCAGAATATAGCTCCTGAAATCTGCGAAAACTGATATAAAGTTATCATCGCGAGGTAAAGAGGCTTCGAGGGCATCATTAGGCTAGTAAAATGCCACAGCAGGTAGAAATTACTTAGCTTGTCCTCATGTAGAAGTGCTTTTAGTTAAAGAGTTAATACTTAGTATCCAAATTGAGTGCCTTTTAACCGAGTAGTAGCCTTTCTAGCAAAGTATTCTCACTAATTAGTGCTAGTATACTTTATCTCGCCGAGTTTCTACTACTAATCGTACGCAGTGTGCGCGTAGTCTTAGCGGCGTAGAGATATTCGTATAGATAAGTACTAAGTACTACTTACTCGTAAGATGCGTATTAATATTACAATCTAAACTACGACTAGCAAGTGGTAAGTCCTAGTAAGTACTTAGTACCAAGTAAGTATTTGAAGACTTGTTTATATTCCTACAGATTTTTAGACTAGCGAAAATCCGGTAATTTTAATGAGGCTCTTTATCACATTGAGTTTTTACGTCCGCGTAATGATTGCTGGAAAAAACGAGGATCTTAGATAGCTATAGCTTATTTTCTCGACACTGTAGCAAAAAATACTAAGTATAGACCGATATGTAGTCCTCATGCACTACGCCGAGCTATACCGTGAATGTGTAAAAGGTTTACAGAAATCTCATTTAGTACGTTATAAGGACTAATACTTAGTTACTAAATACTCAGTGCTTGGTATAAGTACTTAGTAAGTACTTACATTCAGTGATACGTAAGCAGTATTAGATAGAGTCTTCCCTCCTGCGCTGATCACTTGGTAGCTCTTAATCAGGAGCAGGGCTTATTGTAGAACCTAGTCAACCCGAGCGTCATAGAGACAAGGAACAGGTCGCGAGACACATTGTCGATGAGGATAATATTCGGTGGCTTCGTCTTCGTTGCCCAAGATATAGGCCCGGTGTTCGCGATATCGCTGCCCACTTCAGCGAGATGACCATTCGCGAGGTTCGCAAGAACCCTGATGCTATGGGCATCATTGAAAATGTCACCCTTGTCTTGAGTAAGTGTCCAGGAGAGCACATGGAGCTGATCCTTGTTGTCGGGACTACTGTTCTGTTTCACGAGTTTGTTGTATTGATCCTTACGCATGGTCTCCGTGATGTTTGTGTCCGAATAGGAATTATAGGTGGGAAACTGGTTGGAATTTCCCTTACTGGAATAGAATCCGCGATTAAGAAACTTGTGATCTCGTAGCCAATTAGTGTCTCTTTCATTGGTAACGACCACAACCGCGGGGCCATCCTTGATGAAATCTCTAAGGGGAATTTTAGTGAGAATGTCATCACCATGGCCTGTGTAGAGATGATTCAAATCTGAATAGAGTTGAAACAGAAGACTATTCCACTGTGCATCATTGAATGGCTGATACTGCTCGTCGGTCATTGAAGTGTGAGACAACTCCAGAATAATGAGCTCGCTCTGTGGGAGCGCGAGATACGCGTTGATATCTGATATTACATCAGCTATGGATTGCCCATTCGCGCCGAACTGGCCAGTATAGTGACCAGTGAAGAAATGGGCGTTTGATATAGTAGGGCGGATATCGAAATACCGTATACCGGCGATCAGTTGGTTATAAATGCCATCCGATTGAGTTTGCGAGTTGGTGGGAGTGCCGCCTGCTGGAAAATTGATCTCGGACATTCCAGCGTCATGAGAGCCAGGAATAGTCATCTGCTGGAGAGTCAAGCATCCAATCTGATCTAGACTGGTTGCCATCCAGGCAGTGGAAGGACTATTTCCTGCCAGGTGATCCTCATCGCCCACCAGGATGAATGGGGACCATTGATCATCCTTTAGGGCGATCTCAACTTGGGAGCCTTTCTTGTGGCCTATTGTCACAATACTGAGAAGCTCCGCATTGATCGAGATCTTATCCGCATCATTGTTCGAGACCTTAAGTTCGAGATTCGCGGCAGGATGTGTATCATCGGTCCAGGTGAAAGCCCAAGAGCCAGTTGCTTGTGACGGTGTCGAACCCTTCGTCATATTAACCTTGATCTGAGCATCATAAGTGCCACCTGGACTGCATTATCAGTAAGGTCACCGATAAACCACTCCCTTATTTCTTACCTGATGGTATGGACGAGGGAAAACTCCATTGATCTAAACCATGCGTACCAGAAAGTCCCGTCCGAGTCCAGGTGTAGGGCGTGAAGTTGATGAGCGAAAGATGGAGGAGTCTGGCAGTCATAGTAACCAGTGTATTGGAACTTGTTGATGGTTTTCCCGATGGAATGGGGGCACTTCAAGAATGGACACACTGTCTATTTTATGGCCTCCGTTGCGTAGAGTATGACTTACCTTGAAGCGTCACAGTCTCAATGCTAGTTGCATACTGCAGCATTTCAGAAGAGCATGGCATGATTCGTCTCCAACAACCGTTTTTCATATCCCGCGATAGCTTTGCTTGGACCACATGAGTGCAATGCGACACCACTAGAAAAGTGCTGAACCGAAACTCATTTGGACGATACAAGGCCCGACCAAGTAATCCGTCTTATCTGGGAGCTGCAAAGGTCGTTCTTCGCCTACCGTGCGGTATTTTGATCCACAGGTGATGCCATCTACATTTCTCCGTAGATTAGAATGTGTTGGGGTCTGAAATACGTGTTCTCAGCCTTGTTGCTACTTAGTATTAATTGCTAGGAACGGGCGTGCATGAGCGACTCGCTCATGTCTTAGCCACTTTCACTCATGGGAGCGCGGGGGTAACAACCCGGGACATTGTTGGTGATCCCATCATAACATCGTGGAGATATTTCCACAGGATTTTGGGTTCGCCGTGACTCATAGACTGGTTCCTGAGTCTCGTACTGGACTGGGTTACAGCAAGCAAGCTATGAGTCGGCGTTATCGCTATTGGTGGGAGACCTTCTGAGGCGGGCGGCACCTCTTCCATGGTGGTTTTCCTGATGCATCTGATGCATCCGACGGATACGATGGGTTTCCGTCAATGACCATACGGTTGAGTCAAGGTTGCGACTCGCACAGGCCGGTTCCTTGCTTTGAGAGTCCACAGTTTAGCGATAAATAAATATGTTCGCCTCACCTCACCACAAATTTCCATATAGGGAGGTGCGACTCGCACCCCTTAGTGGAAAATTTAACAGCGCCTGACTGTCCTTCTCCAAACCTGTACCGAGTTAGCGAAGAGGATTCTGCCCCTCAATTGAAATCAATCGAAAGCTGCTGCCAGTGACAAGCAGTGCAAGTTGCAGCTCGTTACCAGCTGGCCACTTGTGACTTCTGGGTTTTCGGGTCCAGATGTTATCCCGATACTGTCTCCAGTCTGTCATACTAGCCAAGATCTGTGTTGTGCAAGCGGGGGCAATGCTTTAGCTTCGACAACCGCGAGACATGACGATCGGAAGATAAAGTATTTTGCCCGTTCTCAGGATGATAGCAACATGAAGTGGCTTGTCATCTCTAGAAAATGATCCACGATTCCAATTCCCTGTAGTGAAGTTCAGTAAGTAACGTGTTGGCCATAATGATAACTTATACCCACCTACCTAGGTCGGTTTGCTTCGTTGGATGGAGGTAGTTGATTACCTAATAACCAAAGGCTGCGACAGTCTTGGATAAGCCGTTCGGAGGGATGATTATCCGCAGCAACGAGGTCAATGTGACCTTGCTCACACATCCAGCTTTGTCAAGAGTACTAAGTACTAATCAACACAGGATATTGATTTTCTGGAAATCCAACCGCAATACCCGAGATAGATCTTGGATTCCTCATTCCTCCGACGTCCTGAGGCCGTTGCTGATTGCGCTGTTTCGTGGTAGTTATGCGTGTCAGATTAATGCGCCCTTGGTTGACATTTACAGGGCGCACCACCAAGAATATGGTCAGGGCTGCTGTTCGATGACAATCACCCAATCCGTGAAAGTTCATCTTTACCATAAGCTGAAATCGATCAGAATGGAACGAGTTTATCGCAGACCAGTAATTGCCATTGCTGGAGCAACTGGTGATCTGGGATCCCATCTAGTGAAGGCCTTTCTTGCAGCGGACGTAATCTCCCAGCTCTCGGGCCTGATATTGCTCTCAAGACGACACACGCCATTAACTGAGACTTGGAAGGCAAAAGGGGCACAAGTTCGGATTGTGGACGAAGCTGGGGATATTGGGGAGCTGGTCGATGCATTGGAGGGAGTTGATATCTTGATTAATGCGTGAGATCGCAATTCTTTCCTAAGGTGGAACGAGGCCTTGCAATGACACTGACGAGGAAGCAGTATCTCATCTGCTGGAGCACGACTCAGGGATAACATGATACGCGCTCTACCGAAAACCAAAACGACATTATACTTCCCATCAGAGTTCGGGGTCGACTATACCACCCATAACTTTGGCATACCTGAATGGGATGATAAAAAGGAGCATTTCGAGCTGATGGCGAAGACCCTCATGGGAAGCAGAGTCCAGTTCTGTCGACTTTTTATTGGGTTGTTCCTGCACAAAGGGATTGGTCCCTGGTTTGGATTCCATACATCGAAGGATGTCTACCAGGTATATGGGAGCCTAGACCAGAGTGTCAGCTACACCGATCTAGGAGATGTCGCTAGAGTCATCCAGATCCTTACGGACGAGGCGTTGGCTGGGCACATGGTGCCAACGAGCCTGCGAATTGCTGGCAGTCATTCCAGCATTCGCGAAACAGCCAAAGCCATGGAGGAAGCTGGTGCAGGGACGATAGAGCTGAGGTCGGCAGACCTTGATCGCTTCAAAATTAAGGCATTAGCTCGACCCTATGCACAACGGGATGCAGTTGTGTTCCTGAGGTTCTTGATGGCAGATGGAAGAATTGATCTTAGGCCAGAGCATGAAGGTGGGATGGGTAACGACAACGAGCTTGTCAACCCTGGACAGAAGCATTTCAGGTGGAAGACCATTGACGATCTTGCTCGAGACACAAGAGGGAGACCAAATGCAGATGCGTAGCAAGACGCGACTCGAGCGATTCTCATATAAGGACATTGAGCCAATCTGTTTCGAGCTCGACAGCCGCGAGATACATATTTGTCTATAGCTTCGTAAGAATGTTTCGGGGCCACGTTTTTTCAATAGGCCTTGATAATTGATACTTAGTAGTTCTCAGTATTATACCAAAAGAAAGTAGAGAGAACCCGGTGGAACGAATAGATGAAGTTCAATTGAGGAATGGTCATTGAAACGCAGCTTATAACACCAGGCGCTATATTTGCTAAATGGAAGCAACTATCTACCCTACCATGACCTCTCTTCATGAGGTCAAGAACCATATCAACGAAGTCCTCTATGGGCGCTTTCGCTCGTTCAGCGACACCTTGTCGACGATATGCTTGCCATGTCCCTGTTTCCCTCGTGGTACGAGCATATTCTGGCAGCATGTTCTGGACGATGCCTTCCATTAGGCCTGCCTCATATAACTGGCTGCGAAATGATTTGTCCTCAACGATCGATAACAGCCACTCTCTGAGAACTTCCACAGGAGGCACGGCCACCGGCGCTCAGATGTGCTTGGGATAGAATACTGGTCATCGCTTATAGCTTGGTCCTTTTTATCCTCTTACTCCTCTTTGAACCGGTCGCAAACTGTGAGTGCGTGATTCCCAAAGAGGAGCTTTGGGAGACCTTCCAACCCAGTAGTCGCGTAAACTTCTCTTTTACCCTAGCGTTACAGCCGCCATGAATGCCACTGCGCAGCTACTTAAACTCTTAGCCGGTAAGGCATTCGTTAAAACTGGTATTTTACATTTTACACTCGTTCCTTATTGCTGGCTGTTAAAGATGGCCCTCATGTAGACTACCAAGCGCCTCTAGTTCTAGAAAGAGGCACCAAATACCTAGTAACCAGCGTTTCGATGGTTTACACCTTGATCAGCCAAGGAAACTTGCACCCTAGAGCGAGGAAAGTTCGCTAGAGATCTTGTTCTGGAAGGCAGTAGTTGGTGTGAGTCGGTGGATGAGAGTCGAGGCAGACTTCCAGAGCCCATCTCGAATTAATCCACAAATGGTAGAATGATATGACTGTCAAAACTCCCTCCTACGTGGATAGTATGTTCCTCTGTTATTGGTCTGCTGGCCCGAAAGCTAAACACAGCCCGAGCCGTCCATCGGCTCGGTTCAGGGGCTCGGTTCGGCACATGTAGTGTTTGGCTGCTCACACGAATACTAATACCTCGACGTATCTATTGTCTCTGAATACTTTAACTACTATTAATACTATAACTCTCGATATACCTTATGAAAAGTTTAAGCTGAATACAATCCCTGTTGGGATAAAGATCATAATCCGCGGAGAAAAGATCTAGTATGGTCAGGTAATTTTACTAATTGGTTGAGCTTTATCATAGTACGTAGACGCTCTTCATAGAATACGGGATCATCAATATCTTCACTTGACACTATTACCTGTCGAAGAGCGTCTGTAAAAGCACAGCATGTCCTCGGTGGCAATTGCAAGGTTTTATATTGGCATTGCCTCAGGCACCACATCAACTGCAAAAGATCTATCACAGCCCGGTGGACCATCATGGGTGTTGACATTTGGGGAGAGAGTGATGTCTGCTTTGCTCACACCGGTTTAGGGGAAAGCTCAGCTGGAGCGGGGATGGAAAGCCGTGGCGCCCTTGGGCCTATAGCTTGATTCTATCCCTCCTTACCCTCTTGACTTCCGAGCAACATCTCGCGACAAGTCCCAGCTTTTGCAACAGCTCATTCGACAAGCCCTGCGCTAGAGGTGAAAGAGCGTACGGCCCTGTAGAGCTGAGGTCTGCATCTCGTAAAGATATGAACCTTCAAGTCATCAGGACCCAATCAATGGGACGATTCGATCGTCGTGGAAGAATCACTGACCTGATGTTAGCAATTGGTTGCGTGTCGTATTGATGATCAGTTGCCAGTTTCTCTCATCCTCCCTGAGAGCAAGATACAGGTTTCTAGTCTGCTAGAATCAGCCTCAACAATGCATATCTTTGAACACATTTCGCTGTTTTCACAGGCCATTCTCAGGGGAATATTGCCTGCGGTGGACACCTGCCAGTTTCATACTCAATGGCCACAGTTGCCAGACCCTCTCTTCAGCCTGGAAGGTACGTGTATCGTTGATACCAACTGCACCGGATTTCTAACGAGAGGCTTCTGCCGCGGAGCCGCGAACATTATGGTGAGTCAAGGAAATGCAGTGTCAACGGTCGTCGTGGGACTTTCCACAATATGGCAATCACCAACGAATGCTACAGACGCTAATGGGTACTGAGTGCTGTACGGAGACGTTTGCAGACGATAACGGAATGGCCGCAGTCCCTGGCGTGCTCAGCCCTTGGGGTTACGGTCTGATCAAAGCCTTCGAGGGGTTCAGGGATGACTTCTATTGCGATCGTGCCCCCGGTTCAACGATAGGCCATACACACTGTGATCCAGGTGAAGGAACTCTTACGATTGGCTATGGTCACGCTTGTCAACCTGAGTCAAATTGCCAATCCATCATGGACGAGACACGACCGATCTCAGAAGCGAGGGCCACGCAAATCATGAAGGGCGATGTGGCAGTAATGGAGCGTGCGGCGCGAGCAATCACCGGTCCGGTGAGATAAGCCCCATGAAATCAGGCTCGACGAGGGAGGAAGGTTTGAATTCTTCTTGTCATCTCGCTAACATCATTTGCGAATGTGCAGCTCACCCAGGATCAGTTTGACGCAATAATCTCCTACATATTCAACGTTGGCCCTGGCCCTTCACACGTGAGACCGTTGGCAACAGCCATCAATGGGGGAGATTACGCCGCCGCCGAGAACGCGATCCGCAGCGGGGTTGGGGACAAGAAGCGACGTAGTGTCGAAGCCAACGTGTTTGCATCGTTTTCGTTTTGAGAGAGTACAGATGGACAGGTTCCACGGTCGAAAAGCGAGAAACGTAGTTATTTAGTTTGCTCGCCTACCCCGTACGGTGTCGCTGTGTGCATGAGGTCACGCTGCCCAAATCGATGTGGATGATCTGCGCCCTTACGACGCACCGCAACGTCGTTTCCTACATTTTCTCGCGCAAAACCGCTGCTTCCCTGTCCTACCATTGGACTCAGAATTGAGAGCTTCAGATCGATTGTTGGTTCCTCACTGATCAGCCAGTACTACGTATTTGTGCTCTCTTCGAACGTCCAGGCTACTCCGTTGGTGGCCTCCAAAGCTATTGGATCCTGACGGGTTCTCACAACTGGCACTTGCAAAATTGAATGGGTGAAAGTCTCTGATTCTCTATCTGATCTTGCTTGTTCTCTGTCCTACATATATTTGGCCGTAGATTGATCTTTTCTTGCTCTTTTTCCATATCTGAGAGCCCTGAGGCGAATGCGCTACCTTTGCCGGCATTGCCGTCGCTGTTGCCGCCGACGTCTTTACGAGTGATCTTACTTGACATTATGATGCCTTGTGCTTCTTTGATGGACCAGCCGTATGCGTCGCCGAGCATTCGAAAGTGTAGACCAGTTGATGCGGCTTTCCAACCTCTCAAGCGACGCAATACATGTGATTTGGATCATCAGAAGCGCAGTTTCAGCCTTCTCGAGGTCAACGGTATTACGGCGGTCATGCGTGCACATGTCGATCTGGTCGTCGCATCGGCAGGTCTGTACCTCGAAGCGAAACTGCTCGTTGTTGGAGGGACTTGCTCCGAACACCACGACCATGGTGGAACAACGATCTGGGTGTATGCGCGTGTCAAGATTGCATTACATGTTAGCATCTTTTTGATTTGTTAACATTGGGTATGAGGAAGAGGCGCATTGGGACAGTAATCTCGAGCGGGATAACATGAAAGACCTAACCCCACACTGAGTGATATGGTTGGGAGAGAACAAGCATATGCGTCACATTTCAGGTGGTTTCAATAGAAGCTAACATCGAGCTTTGGTAAGTACTTATATATAGATACCTAGGTAGTAGTAGTCTAAGTGTCTCCGCTGGTCTAATACGCCTGATATGCGCCTAACATTCGCTAACGCCAATTAGCATTAGGCTGCCTTGGCACCTTATGACATAACGTTCTCCATAGTATGTTTTTAGTACCCTCAAAGTACCAAAACACGTGGGTTGAGCCATCTTTGAATCCTTTGTTTATCTCGAAGCTTAAAACGTGTTTGGAGTTGGGGGTGGCGCCAAGACAAAACGTGACGACTCATGCAATACCTAGGTTGGTAGGCATCTGTTCTCTGGAGGCCCGGGCATCGAGGTACAAGGGCCAGAGCGGGTGCCTGCATATGAATCTTCCAAATTCCCCGAGATGTGGTCACCGAGGGGCAATATTTCGTGCCCGGCACTGTCCCTTGGCCATGGAAATTAGGCGCAGGCACCCCGCGTTCATCCTGCACTGAATGGGTTTTCTTGATTAAGTCATCTCCTTTCATCATATTGAACAATACACTCCCAGTATCAACCTTCCTTCAAAGTACATTCACATACAATGGCAGACGTCGATGTTCCTGTGGGTAAAAAGGCCTTTGTGCCCTTAGGTACTTCCTCCCATGCCTTTACCCACGGCATTTACAATCGCATGCTGACCGAACGTCTTTTTAGAAAACAACCCTGAAGTGATGACCAGCCTGGTGCATGAACTTGGTCTCTCCAAAGGTCTTCAATGGCACGACGTCTACTCTCTCACAGAGCCTAGCCTTCTAGAATTTCTACCTCGGCCGGCCCTTGCCCTCCTTCTGGTCTTTCCCGTCACAGACACCTACGAGAAGTTCCGCGTTGAGGAGGACTCGTCCAAGGAAGACTACAGTGGCTCTGGTCCCGATGAGCCTGTAGTCTGGTTCAAGCAGACAATCCGCAATGCATGTGGCCTCATAGGGCTGCTGCACTCTATCACCAATGGAGGCGCCACAGACTATATCACACCAGGAAGCCCGCTCGATCAACTACTCAAGCAAGCCGTACCTCTCACTCCTGTCGATCGTGCAGACCTCCTCTACAACAGCAAGTCTCTCGAAGCCGCACATGCCACAGCTGCCGCCAAAGGCGACTCTTCGGCCCCGGACGCTGAGGCATCTGTTGACCTACACTTTGTCGCCTTCATCAAGGACAAGGATGGTAACCAGTGGGAATTGGATGGACGGAGGAAAGGTCCCATAAATAGAGGCAAACTTGGTCCAGAGGATGACGTGCTAAGCGAGAAGGGCCAGGAGTTGGGTGTGCGAGCATTCCTGCAGAGGGAAGAACAGGCTGGTGGTGGCGAATTGAGGTTCAGCGTGGTCATGCTCGGGCCCAGCTTTGAGTAGCTGACGCTCCCTCCCACCTCATCGTTGCACTTCAAGGCGTTTGTTGTGGTAGGGAGGCACACTTTATGGATTCATGAACAACAGTAGCAACACGACCTAGAGGAATTGTGGATATGTGTACAGCTTCTGTCGTCGAAACCCTCATCGGTGTGGCTATATCATACATGTTATACACTGTCTCGATTACCTCTTACCCTTTTGGTGTCGAGACTCGGATTGGATCAAATGATCTTGCGTTTCGAGAGAATCCACTTCGTCTGATACGATGGTCCTGCTCTCGTTCCACGACCTCTCCATCTCCCGCTTTCCGGCTCCATCTTCAGGATGGTGTTCTTCGATGCCGCTAGCTTCAAACGCGGCATCTTCTTCGAGAACACTGTATCCGAAGATGGCATCGGCTTTCTGTGCCTGCCTCGCTCGTCGTGTGTTTCGTCCTGCCCAGAGACCTTCGAGGTCCATGTCGGCTCTTTTCTCATCTGTGAACATCTGCACCACGATGCGAGGAGCCGTGCTCTGGCTGCCAAATCCGACGTAGGTATCCTCTTCCGGTGGGTTCACATATTCTTCCTCCTCTGCGCCATCCTCCTCGATTTGGCTTTGCGCTTGATCGCCAATGACATATGCTTGACTGGAAGGAATATCCACATCAACCAGACCCATATTGACACAGATCCAGCCAGTCGTGATCCCATCATCGACATTCGACTGTTCCATTGTGGTGTTGCCAACACTCTGAGCCATTTTCAGCCTTCTTGCCTTCCGCCGCAGCTTCAACTTCAACTCGTTCCGCCCAAGCAGCCCATCCGCGAATGGTCGCAATTTGTATTCTTTTCTGACCCATCGACATAGTCTATCGGCAGAAACGTTCAGATGCTTGACACTTCGTGCTGTCCCAATGATCATCAGAAGATTGGATCCGAGTGCAGGTGGAGGATCGAGGTGGCGGAGGTCCAGCAGGACGAGGTCATCTAGACCTATCTGGGTAGACAGAAATTCGAGGACCGGAGAGAGTATCGGAGGCGGGTTCTCCGGTAGTGGTGGGATCTCTTGTCGGGATAGCAGTGGTAGGATGGGTGTGCTGGGTGGTGCAGGTTCTTCGACCTGCAGATACCAGGGTACTGACGTCTCAGACTCAACTGTCTCGGATTGTGGGATTGAGTGCAGGGTTTCCGAGTCTTCAGGCGCCGGAGGAGATGGCGATTGCTTTAATGGTCTGAATGCGCTAAACTGTCGGGCTGGCTTCACGTGCAATCGCAAAATTGGTTGTCGTCTTGCTGCTGTCGATGATGAAATGCCTGCAAGTGACGTGAATGCATCGAGTATCGAGATGCGACATGACGCGCATCTGGTGAGAGAGCGATGCATCCTGGGTTCCCTGATGATGCAACTGAGAATTGAAGATAGGAGCGCGGGTAGATGCTCGGACTTGGATAGAACACGGAATTTTTGCAGCGAGCCATCATTTCAAGGCACGTATCCGGATCATCATTGTTGCGGAATTTAGGCTCCTTTTAAGCGTTGTGCAGCGGGTCGCGTCTACGAAGTACTGTATCTCGTAATGCTTCGTACTAATAGGCGGGCCCTCGGGCGCTACCCTAACTCTCCGTTCTTAAGTTTGACCTCCACCCATCTCCTTTACCTATCTCCACCACCCATATTCCAACAAATTTTTGTGATAGGTATTTAGGGAGATCTTAGAAAAATGATCGGATCTTTCGGAGGTAGACTGCTCTTAACTCGGCGTTGATTGCTACTTGATCTCAAATACGGGATCGGAGAATATATTCCTAGGTAGCACCGCAATTTGAGGACTTACAGCAGCAAGTCCGGCCCCTCCATTTGATGGACAAACAGATTTAGTCGCAGGAGGCGCTAGCGTATCGTGCAGAATAGTCCGACAGATCAGATCTAGGACTTTCATGGAGGTTGCTTTGACTCTTGCTGCCAGTGTACTTGACCTCATACGTTCACCCGTCCGAAGATAGGGTTCTGGAAGTAGACAATGCGTATGGCTAAGAGTTCCGCTCCAAGGTGAGAAGCCAGCGAGACAGCTATCATTGGGCTTGTGAGCTGCTGTTCAGTTAGCTCGACGAGAATTTCACTCCTTTGTCATATCAAGTTCGTAACTCCCTCTTTTCCTGTATCTCACCGTGTCTCCATAGCCTTGGGGTTGGGATACCTCGTCAGACCTTCACACAGAGATTGATCTTTCTCTCTACTTCACTGTTCATCTCCTACCAACGATTTGACTTGCTTTGCCCGAACCAACCCCTCAGGCCTATCACACTTGTGAATCTGTTTGGCCTGAGCACATCTCACTTCCCCTCGTCATCATTTTGAAATTCCTCTGACAGAGATCAGAGAAACTCATCGAAAATGCCTCTGACATCCTCAGATAGAGCTGTCCCCGACTATCACTTCGTGAACGAGGCGATTGAAATATCAGGCAGATATACCTCAACCAGTATGGTTCACCATTACGTTTCTTCTCCAAGTTCGAAGCCCACAACACTAACAACACCTATAGGGAGTGATCTAGACAAGTCAGTCGACAACATGGAAGTTCAAGCAACGAAATCTAATCCACGTTCCAACGATTCCGGCGATGAGGACCAACAGAATGTTTCATCAGTATCTCACCCACTGACCAGAGCCATGCCTACACATGAAACAAGATCCACAGCCATGAGACCAGACATCCAGGGGTTGATGGCAGTTCTGCAAGATCTCGATGCGGAGATTCTGGAAGATGCAGCAATGATAAGCGACTTGAGAACGAGACTCGAGAAATCAGCGTCCACTGCAAAAGAACGGGAAGCAGACTTAGAGGCATCGTTGAAGCAGGAACACAAACGACAGCAGATGCTGACGATCGATGTCTTGCAGTTCATCTGTAGGATAGTTGCCCACCCAATTCGACCGGTTGATATCACGGCCTTCAAGATGAAACACTTAAGGACCACGATCTCCGAAATACCCACGCTGCGAGAAGAGATATTGGGACAGTTCTTGCGATTCTCTGGCCACTCAGACTCCCTGGCAACGTCTACAGCCGGCGATGGCAACGAGCTGAATGATGCTGCGACCTTCGGAGAAACACAGATCAGATGGTATGTGGAGCACTGTGCGAACTTGTTGGTAAGATGGGCAAAAGGGCTCGGCTATGGTACAACTCATGAGCTTACAACGCAAGTCAAAGAGCTCCAGAGAGATCTCGTTGATTTAGCTGCTGCAAATCGAGCTGCCAAAGCGAATATTCAGTTCTGGAAAGATACTGCTGACAGGCAATATGCCACGGTGTCATCCTTACGAAGAGAGCTTGATGCTCTGAAGTCTGGCCGGCTGCAGAGATCCCCAGCAGCGGCAAAATCGGGTCGCAGAGAAGCAAAGTCGTCTCCTCAAGTTGTTGCCCAATCCTCTCTAGGCACTGATGAACCCGTCCGGCCTCAGAATTCCAATCCATGGCCGCTGTCGGGGGACCAAATGAGTACCAATACCAATACCGCGCCTGAATCTTATGTTCCAACCACTTCGGTGCTTTCACGCCATCGCTGTCTACTCGCACCAACCCCCGCTGCTCGAACCGCATCGGGCGAGCCTGCGTCGAAGCGGCCTCGAACCAGCAAGTGATTCCGAGTGATGGAGCACAATCACAGCATCGGCCACGCAGCAAAGCGGAGGTTTGGCTCAACCTCGAAACGAGCATACTTTGACCCACGCACAAAAGTCTTATCTGATGTGCTTGGATGTACTAAGAGCCACGACCATGCCCGACTGAAATTACGCAGCCACCTGGTGGTGGTGGAGTTATACCGTACGACTGGGGTGTGATTGGGAGAATGAGAGATTAGAGAGAGAATTTCCAGGAGTAACATTCGGAATGCATGCATGGCTGAGATCTGGAAGTTATCCATGCTTGCTAGCTCGAGAGATATGCAACTCAGCAGTCTCAGATTCAGAAGTTCTAGCTCTCACTAGAACCACCAAGCTGTCATCAACCCAGCCTTTTTTTTTTTTACCTCGAAGCGTACCTACATTTCATGGCTATCGTGTGTAGCAGGCTCTGCGGAGTGGGCACAGTGGCATTCATAGAAGGCACTCTCAATAGGCCGAGAGATAATAAGGAGAGTAATCTCAGCGCAGTGGTTCTCGCACTGGGGGTTACCAAACCAGTCATATCAAACCAAACTCACAGGACTTGAGAAGATTCACTACCTACGCACCATGACGAAGACTTTTACATGGTGAAGTTCTGTAATTGCCTATCATACTAGCGCTCTAAAGGGTCCTTGATTCGCTCTTTCTTTTCTCACCTCCATATCTTATCTTCCTCCCGCGATTAATATTATCAGGGATAATGGCAGGTCTCATTAAGGGTTTTCTCTCCTGCGAGCGCCTCCTATAAACTCCGCCAATGACTCTTGTCTGGGGCCACTCTGTTCCGTCTGACCTGGTCCGCTAAATCTATCAGTCTTGTAAACAACTTTTAACTATCATTCAAACTTTGACTCTCCCTTGAATCACCTCCGAAATCGCGGAAAAGAGGCACAAATCCCTCCAACAGTCCCTATATTGCTCAACGACTCTTTCTTGCAATAATTCCTGGTAAAAAGGTCGAAAAGCTGGCGAAAGTGACTCATCCTTGACGAGCTGAGTTCCAAATCCCCCACAATTGAAGATTTGTGTTCCCTCATTGTCCCCTTAACGAAATGGATTCCGGTTACCTCAATTCTGGGTATTGGGGTGACTTGCTCGACGATTTTGCTTCGGACAGCCCATCAAACAACCCTGCAACTACCAAAGACAAGGCGACTTGGCCTGGATCATTCTTCACGACACAGCCGAAGGTGAAGCGTTTGAAGCGGGAGGAAGACCAGACTGAGCCCAACCTCGAGACCAAGGATCCAGATCTCACTTCCTCGGATGCAAATCCCCGGCTCCAGACGGTGTTGGACGATCTCGCGAAGACACAAGAGAAGATCGCCAGAGACGAAGCAAAGGTGCTGGAATTGAAGGCAAAGGAGCAGGCACTGACCAACGAGGCGACTCTATTGCGACGTAAACCAAAATTAGCAGCACGGAAAGAGTCCATGCTTGATATTGAGGACTGGGAAGTGCGCTATCTGGCGACCTCACATTTCGGCATAGCAGGCCTACGGGTGAAGGCGTCGCAGTGGGTGGAGAGCGGGGATCCGCCGGCTCTGGCCACAACTCGCCATATCAAGACTGTACTGTTTGATGCACTCACCGAGATTGACGATGAGCAGCTCAGAACGTTGCTTAGTCGGATGCAGAAGTACTGGAAGTGAGATCAGCCTGAGGAGCGAGCAACAAAGCAGAGGATGCTCCGAATCAGAGGCTGCGGCTCAAACTTTGAGCTCATGAGATAAGGGACGAGTGAATGGATTGCTTTGGGGAGAAGGGGTGGTTTCCTTGGATGTTAGGGGTTGGGAACTCGCGAGGAACATCCAGCTCTAGGGGTGGGATAGTACCGCCGAGGTCAGCGTTGAGCCCGAGCTGATATCAGGTTTGGAAACTGGAAGGCTGCTAGATTTTGATCTCCCATCTGCTGTTTTGACGCGTCATATTTCACAATCACCAAGCCGATGAGCAAAAGCTGCACGGCATTGGCGAACGAACGGTTGGAGAGCTTCGGGTTGCGATGGGAGCGATGAGCAACTGGAGGGAGAACGATGCCTGAGGGGTTGATGCATGACTGGCTAGGACCTGAAATGATGGCATCCACAGTCAACATGACCTTCGACCTGAGAATACCACTAATACATAGATCCTCCCAGCCAGCAATACTGCAAGAGAGCACGAGAGACTCTCACAAACCCCAGATCTTCATGGTATCCAGTTCCCATGTATTGTCTGCATAGCTCAGCCGTGAGTACCTTGACATATCTTGTGCGAAGCACATCTCATAACGTGCCAAACGGAGACGGAAATCCAGACCTTGATACCTTGATAGTCCAAATCTCACGTTATGACTCGTGTCTCACTGCTCCGTAGACATAAACACATCCCCAAGTTCTGGCGAAGAAGCGACACCAGCCGCTGCAACCCCAGCACCGACATTTGCAGAAGACGTGATAGGCACCAATACCTGCTGTTGCTGAGAGGAAGGCGCCGAGAAACCACCACCTAAGCCAGCAGCACCGATTGTTGTCTGATCCTGATCCTGATCCTGGTCATCATCCTCAGTATCATCATCCCCTTCGTCATCGTCATCGTCGTCATCATCGTCGTCCATGTCCACTTTCTCCTGTATGAAGCCAATGACTTCGTTCTCGTGCAGCTTCATCATCTGATTGAGCACGGTGCCTGGGGATCGAATAAGTTTGCCGTATTTACGGGACAAGTGGCCTGTCTTCCTCCAGAGCGAGTGTGCGCTGGAGACGTAGATGCGCGAGTTCTCCCCGTACCATGGCGTCACGCTGTGGTTATTGGGATTGTAGACAGGTCGGAGCGGCTCGGAGGAGATGAAGCCAATGACGCCTGCGAGGGAGTGATAGACTGATTCTGGATGGAGAGTCAGCCGATACATCTGTGGGAAATGTAGTGCAGGGCTGAGAGTATGGGATCTGTTATTCTTAGCATCTAAAGGACGCGGTACTTACCATTATCACTCATCAACTTTGCCACAGCATGGAAGGCATGACCTGCGCCCATCAGGAAGATGTACCCGGGGAACTCATAGGGCTCGATGTAGTTCTCCCAAAGGTATGCTGCCAGCTTTTCGCTCTCCTTCCGAGCCTGATTCGTGGACGTTGAGGCATATTCGATCTCGGTTGCTTCGTACGGATTGAGGCCAGGGATGGAGGGGTCGGGATTCACTGAGATGAGTTCGGGGATGTTGATGTCGATCACACCAAAGTTGTGTGCTACTGCCCATCGGACGTACGACTGTGTGCCATCAACCTTTGAAGCAAGAAGTTAGGGGTGATTTGAGTTTTTATCTGAATGTAAAACGACAAAGAAGAATGATATAGACTGATAGACTCCGTGCAAGAATGGAAGGTGCATTGGTGAAACAAAACTTACCAGCCAGGTATCATGAATCTTTTGCGGGGTCGTGACATTCGAGGTGGTGCCGAGAAGATCTGGACTATGATGGTCGTTAGTGTCCATGCATAAGGCAGAGTGCCGTAAGAACACTTTACCTATCATGGAAGATGATCAAGAGATGTCGTTTGGTCTCGTAATTTGGCCTGCGGAACTTTGTTCAGCCTCTATCAAGCCCACGAACTGGTGGGCCACTTACGTCGCAAGCACTTGGTGGTCAAAAGATTTCGATACATCCTCGCGGAAGATATGCAACTGTGTGAACTTGTAATTATCATACAAGTGAGCAGCTTGATATCGACGGATGATGTCTTAAACGAAACATCCAATTAGCCAAGCCATGAGCTTCGCGTGAGAAAAGTAAATTTACCGTGCAATCGTTCGCCACCAAAGATTCCGCCTGATGGTTCTGTGGTAAAGACTTGTCAGCAATGATTTTTTCTCAACCAATTTCTCGTCAGACCTACCCTTGGGATAGATGCTTCGCCAATGTTGCGATTGTACAGCTCTGACCTGGGCAACTGTTTCGACTGCAGAAGTAGTGGCAGCGGTGGGAATCAACCTATTCGGTGGTTCTCCCATCAAGGTGCGGGTCACGGCAAGGGCGGATTTGGAAATGGCAGTGAAGTTGTAGCCACCCTGTTCCATTGTCAGTGCGAGTGAGCGATCAGGGTTCGAGGAAGAATCCCAACCTCAAGGCAGACTGCAATCTTGCCACCTGCAAGAGACATCAACATGTGCGTCATATGTGCGTAGCATGCCGGTGATACAAAGCAACCTCCGAGCTCGTCTCCAGCTGCTGCATCAAAGCCGGACGCCACTAGAAGTCTTCAGTAATCAAGTTCTGCAATGAAGACCACCACATACCAATGACAAAATCAGGATCAAACTCTGTCGCAATTGGCATGACAACATGTTGAAAGGCATACATGTAATCTCCATCGCCCATGCCTTTTGAGGGCCAAGGAATATTGACATTTCTGTCAATGGTCAGTAATCTGAGTGTATACCATGAAAACTGAGTCGGTCGTCACTTACTTGCCCACTCCAGGTCCATTGCCACAGTGGTACATATCACCCTCAGGCCCAGAAGGGTAGAATCGACCGTCCATATGCACATGCAGAGATATGTAGAGAATATTTGGATCTTCGTAGAATGCTTTTTGGCATCCATTACCTGTGCGAGTCAGTTTGGACTGACCCAAAAGTGAGTTGTGACTGACCGTGGTGCACATCCCTGATCATAACTGTCAGTACGTGATCATTAACAGAGATGTGGGTCTACTTACCAGTCAACGATCAGAATTTTGCGGCACGAATCACGAAACTCGCTCTGACACACTTTCGAGGCAATGCAAACATTGTTGAACAAGCAGAATCCCATAGTGCGATGCACTTCTGCATGGTGGCCAGGGGGCCTAATAACGGCGATTGCATTCTTCACTTGTCGAGAAAAGACCGCTTTACAAGTCTCGATAGCAGCACCGGCAGAAAGCTTCGAAGAAAAATATGATAGTTGATTGAAGTAGATGGAGTCCATTTCCGGGGCTTCGGAGAGATCTATCAGTTCCTCGTCGCTGTAAGCTTTATCAGGTTAGCGACTGATCCCGCCGATGTCAATGCAACACGGAGCGCTACTTACTCGCTGTTTTTTTCACAAAATCGTAATGCTCTGGAGTATGGACCAGGAGGCACTCCTCTCGAGTTGCTTCTCGCGCATCTATCCGGAGAAGCGGAGTTACCATGGGTGGATATTTAGGATCATCAACTAGCCCAGCCTCGCACAGTTCCTTGTAGATGTAGTAGATGCGCCGCGGATCTTCGGGATGCACATTCTCTCCACTGGTTGCAGATACCTCTGCGTGGTAGCGCATCCGCTCATCATAGCAGAGACCAGTAGGGAGTCGTGACACGGGAAGCCCGCGGGCGATAGCAGGCGACGAGTCATCCGGTTCGGAGGAAGAGTCAGTGACAATACTGTCTGAGGAATCTTCTTCTGAGGTCTCCAGCTTTAGTCTTGCGTTGATATCGCCAGCCATGTCGGGAGTATCTCTCATTGACGTGTCTCCTGAGAAAATGACGTTGGGTACACCTCTAGAAGAGGGCGGAGCAGTGGAATCCGGCGAAAATTGACTCATGATCAACGGTTTGATGAGTGTGGCTATTCTGCCTGCATAGCTGAAGTATGCCTTCCAAGGCGTCTCCTGAATAAGAGACCCAAGGACGATGGTACGTTTCAGGGATACCCGGTAGCTGAGCGAGTTGGTTGATCTGCAAGAGGAAGGTCAGAAATGGATTTTCTTGTTCATCAACATTTCGCAGCCTCATATGCTAGGGAAAGTTTGCCGTAGCTAAAACGGGCATTGAGAACAAGGCGGCTCAATTCGCAACTCTATCGCGATGTTCACATACCTTCTTGGCAGTAGGCCAGCTTTTGTTTGCGACCTGTCAAGCCTGAATCTGGCAAAATCGATAACTCAGACCTTGTGAACTGAACCCAACAGCGTCCAGTTTTTGTCGACCGAGACTGTTGTGGGCAAGACGGTTGTGAAGCTTGATGATTGTATCCCAGTTGCAAGTCGCCGGTTTAGTTCAAGTTGGCGGCGTTCACTCAGGGAGGTGCCAAGACATAATTGCACGTGATCTCTCGAGGCTGAGATCACGTGTCGGCTGGACTTCGGCAAAACACATCCCACATCAACCCTTTGTTCCCGCTGGTTCACTTGAATTTGCAGCTGTCAGATTCACACTTGTTGGCATTCTACGCGAACACACCACACGAGACAGAAGAAGGATTGAGTTTGATGACCCGAGAAATCTCTGGATTGTGTTTACTCAAAGAGCACAGAGGTCAAAAGTTGGAATTTGGACTATGTAGAATGCCTCAAAAGAACCAAGGCTAGCCGATTTCGCGTGGACGTGCCCCTTGCTAGCCGTATTTCATAGCACCTATGCTTTTCGTTCCCCAGAGAGCCATTTCCTTGTATTCAACCTACGGCCATGGTGGATTCGGGTTAGATAGCCGCTCCGCGGATCTTACTCCGGACGGGAATTTAGGCGTTGCCGTCAACCTTTGAGATGTAGGCTAGATGGAGACGTCAGTAAAACCATTCCGATATTTTCCGACCGGATAGAGCACTTACACAGGAGATCCAGAACACGTCGGGAATATCCCCACTCGTTGTCGTACCATGAAACAAGCTTGACGAAGTGGTCGTTGAGCGCAATTCCGGCCTTTGCATCAAAGATGGAAGAGTTGTTGTTGCCGTTCAAATCGGTGGAAACGAGATCGTCTTCGGAGTATGCGAGGATGCCTACCAAATGTCAGTTCACTCCATTGCAGTGTTTGAGTGGGGAAACATACCCTTCAGCTTGCCCTCGGAAGCCTCCTTGATGACCTTCTTGATCTCATCGTAGCTGGTTGGCTTCTCAAGGCTGACGGTCAAATCGACGACGGAGACGTTGGAGGTGGGAACGCGCAGAGACATGCCGGTGAGTTTGCCATTCAGGGATGGAATGACCTTGCCGACAGCCTTGGCTGCACCGGTGCTGCTGGGAATAATGTTCTGAGCAGCAGTGCGGCCACCACGCCAATCCTTGGCTGAAGGTCCATCCACAACCTTCTGGGTGGCGGTGTATGAGTGAACAGTGGTCATCAAGCCTTCCTTGATGCCAAAGTTATCGTGAATGACCTTTGCAAGGGGGGCCAAGCAGTTGGTTGTGCATGAGGCGTTGGAGATGACGGGAATGTCGGATTTGTAGGTCTCCTCGTTGACACCCATGACGAACATAGGAGCATCAGCAGATGGGGCAGAGATGACAACCTTCTTAGCACCACCCTTCAAGTGAGCAGAGGCCTTGTCAGTGGTAGTGAAAACACCGGTCGACTCAACAACGTAGTAGGCACCAGTGTCGGCCCATGGGATCTCTGAGGGGTCTCTCTTGGTGTAGAATTTGACGGTCTTGCCATTGACGATCAAGTCATCACCGCTGACCTCGATTGTGCCCTTGAACAGACCGTGCTGGCTGTCATATTTGAGCATGTATGCCTAGAGGGTAGGATATTAACACTTTTTGTTTCTTGTGGCCGGGCCGCCCGGAATTGGCATGACGTACAGCGTAATGGGTCTCAATGAAGGGATCATTGACAGCAACAACCTCGACATCGTCGTGCTCAACGCTATAGTAGGCTTGTCAGAGAACGAGGCTTCGGAGTCCGAAGGATAGAGGGTACTCACGCATTTCGGAAGACCTGAGATCAGATTAGCTAGAAGCCGACGAATTCAGCTTGCTGGTGACTTACGATACGTCCAATACGACCGAAGCCGTTGATTCCAACCTTGGTAGGCATGTTGATGTAGAAAGGTATTTAGGATTGCTGCAAGAAGGGAGACAGGTTAGTTTGGAGCACATGTAGATGCATTGAGCTTTTATTTCAATGGCAACCAAGGATAGGGATATGCTCCACTCACGTAATTGAAGATCAGCGTCTGAGTCAGTGGTTTGAAAGGAATCAGAATGGTGATAGAGTTGTAGAAAGTCTGCAACTGTGGTGTGATGAGTGATGAAGGGAGCTTTTTGTTTCTTTTGAGCAAATGGTGGGGCGGTGTTGACGTTGAGGGGCAGGGCGAGTTCAGCAAAAGTTATTGGAGCCAAACCACTTACAAGGAGGGGAGTTGCGGCCTTGGCGCCCGGGGAGCTGCTAGACAGAGAGCTGTGTGCGATGCAATTATCGTTCACGATAATGGAAGATCCGTTCGTACGATAACTGCACGGACTCTGATGAATCTTCTCGGATGCTGTGAGCTACTAGCAGACAATCTCCAGAGACTCCAAACGGATGAGCTTTTATATCCACGGATGGCCTTGGAAAGTCGACGACAACGGGGGGTTCCCAAGTGACTCAACACCACGTTGCTTATCACAGCCTGCTTCGTTCTTCCTGTGCTGATGCAAAAGCAGCAGGCAAGCGCGACTTAATCCATCCAATCATCTCGAGTCATCTCGAGTCACTTTGGTGGTTGTGCGGCACCGGAGAGCGGAAGAACCAATCTTCCATCATTTCTGCCGTTCTGCCGCGCTGTTTTTTGAGGTGGCGTTGGGGCAAGCTTGTGAGGACACCCATCCGTGAGCTGGCTCGACCAATCCTTTCCCTACCTGCATGGACGTGGGTAGTATCCGTATCCCGCCTTGGGAATACTTCCTGTTTCAAGACCCTGAGAACGATCATGTCTTCGCAGAAGCAAGAAAATGCGCAGCCATAGCCGATCGTCAGCGATTTCCACAAGCACAAGAGGCAAGGTGAAAATGATTGTAAATGCAAATGCAGAGATCTATTGTCCACGAGACCCGGATGTCTATTTACTGGTCATATGCGCACCTGGTTGCAATTGGAATGGCTTGATCTATTCCTCCTTTGCACCGCCACGGCCAGCGCGTTCGGCTGCCTCAATACTGGCCTTGTCACTCTTCGTCTCTCCCTGACCCATGCCAAATGGTCCTCCTGCGGCTTTCCATGGTCGCTTGAGCTCACCAACGGCGGGCTTGCCAAAGAGGTGAACCTTGACCAGGTTACCTTCAAATGCACCCTTGAGCGGGATGATGGACTGAATGAGCAGTGGGTTGGTATATTTGAGATAGATATGCATGAAAGCCATCATGCCAATACCCATGAGCTGACTCTTGTATGCTGCGCCGAGTTGTGTTTGGTCATACTCTTGCACGGTAGTCGTTACCAGTTTTGGTTCTTCACCTGAACCCATTGGCGCTGGTTCCACATATTTTAGTGTGGTTAAATCTGGAGGACCGTGTCAGCGCATCTTCAGGTTCCATGATCGTTGTCGTTCCTACCTCGCTTGGCTTTAATCTTCATGCCGATGAAATAGTAGAGTCCGAAGATGAGCAGGTTTGACACCACGTATAAGATACGCACGCCCGTAAGGACTTGAGGATCATCAAAGGGAACTCGTTTCGAAACCTGCATCATCCCAAGGATGATCACCAAGTTGGTGCTAGACTTTGGTTAGCAAACTAATGTCCATTCCCATGTCTGGAGCATGCCTACATTTGGGGGTTTGCGAAGTTGACCATGATGAATGACGCGAACGTGCTCACTCCCAAAAGAATTCAGTTGAACGTGGGTGGTAGAATTGGGGAAGACCGTGAAGTTGCACGAATATAAACAGTTGCCCTCACAGCAAACGACCAAACGCTGTGGAAATGGACAGATCTCCAGGCCACAGTAACTTTGAAATTTGCCCAACCTTCTGCCAAGGCGAGGGCCTGGGAAATCGAACTCTCTAGAAGCTCACGTGCTCCAACCGAAGTACTACCGGCAGTCACGAGCGTTCCTAACCTCCACCCCTCTCCGCATCTCTTCTGTACCTCTCCACGGACATCAAGTTGATGGTCGTGTGTGCATGTTCGCCTGATGTATATGAGGAACCGTACGAGGCTCTGTTGTCTGAATATGCAATTTTGCGACGGTTCATTCAGAAACCGACATCTGATGGACAGTAGCTCTGCCAAGCTTGTCAAACATGGTAACAAAGGTCTTCATGCTTGAAAGCAGGTAGGCAGGCAGAAGACTGTGGTGGTTTCGTTCGGTGGTGAACCTTTGGGAGTTGGGGTCAACCGAGACTTGCAAGACATTTCTATAATCAGATGCTGAAGAGACCACAGAAAGGAAACGCACTACTTCGTGAGGGCACGCTTAAAGTCCTGACTTGGTCCTGAGCATCATTCAGGGACTGGTAATCAAATGGTCCAATTCACTTCGGAGTACTGCTAATCCTTGGACGAACTTGGGTCTAACATCAGCAAATGATCGATAATGATCGATCTCAAAAGTGAGACCACATTATGCAGTTCTATATCCAGTGCTATGGGACCTGCGAACCTGGTCCCTCATGACGGAGATCAATTTCTCCTCTCATCCGGATGTATATACTGTAACTCTAAAATATCAGCGGTCTTGAAATCCAGGGTTCTACGACTGGAAATCCAGGAGCCTTTCAGCAAGGAAGCCGTATGGCACTCATACTCGTTCATGTACCTTTCGACTCCTCGATCGATTAACAGAAACATGAGCAAACATGAGGCCTTGCCAACAACGTCCCCGGAATACCGATTGTGTATCCCGAATTATCGCCTCGCGGGCAAAATCGCTACTCGTTATGCATCATCCCTGTCAGGTAGATTTTCTTTCTACCCGTACTGCGTTCATCAGAACCTGACCTTGGAACACCGATCCGCCACTTATTCGTCCCACCACTAACTGACCAGGTCCACTCCTATACCCTGCTGTAAGTTGACATATCCCACACCTGAGGCTCTGATCGACAGACAGCAACCCACCAGTCTCAGGAGTGGGCAATCCCATCAGATACTCCTTAATATCCGCCGTTCCACAGACAGTGATGGGCTACTCCATCTTTCACTCTCGTTACACCGTTGACTCCATTCTTCCCAGATGAGCTACTTCGACCGTTACAATGCGTTGCGCCACTTTTCGCTCGGCCTCCACCTACATTTCGTCTTTGATGTTATCCTTGATTTTCAACCTTGTTTCCGGACCCCCTCAGTCTGAGAACCGAGAATTCAATGAGTACAGATCATGCTGTATCGAGCATGGCTGACTATTTCTCTGTCTACCCAAACAGTATGTGCTCCGAGAACACTCCTCTCTCTGATCCACTCCATATTCTCCACAGAGTATGGATGCCCGCCAGAAAGAGCGTCCCTGGTTGTATGTACTTAAACATATTCTGATGAAACGAAGTTTTCCCGAAAGTGTTTTCGTGTCGTTGCCCACAGACCACCATCGAGATGAGCAGCAGCCATTTCCTGTCCCCGTCCAAGTTTGCCCGGAAACATCCATCAGCACAGCAGCCTCTTACATAGAAAGTATTGTTCCAAAGCCACAGGCAACACAAGGAACCGAATCTCTGAGCCTCTAGTAGTTGCGCCTGCCACCCCTCCCGCCGAGATCCCATGGCCGTTCTTCAATATGTTCTCCCTCTGTTCTATATATGACATTTCTGGGTATTTGTAGCATAAGTAGGATAATACAATCGTCTCCCTCCCTTTTTTTGACCTTCCCTCTTGGGACTGCTATCCCCAGGCAAGTACTGGGATTGATGGAGCATTTATACAAAAAACACAATCGACTTTTTGAACCTCGTCACTGTAAACCACACCACCGACAGATACAAACGTAGACAAGCCCGCCACGAAAGCACGCGACCTAAGTTCGAAATATACCTACCAACCACTCCTATCCCTCTGATTCTGCGCGTTGCCCGCACCGTCGTGCGGTACAAGTTCAATATCATCCGAGTCGCCACCGGAACTCGGCGCCGGAGCAACAGTGACCTGATGGCCAACCATGATCTTCTTGGAGTCGATGCTACTGGGCATGGGAGACTTGGAGACGCGGTAGGTGCGCTCGTCGCTGTGGGCGTCCGTGCTGCCGAAGCAGTTGGGGAAGACTCGTCTCAGCAGTGCCCGGATTGCCGGTAGGCAGCAGCAGATGATGCTGACGAAGGCTTCGAGGACGCTCCAATAGGCTGTCGGGACGTTGTCGTCTGTGAATGGTGCATTGTTAGTGGTTTGGGGTGGAACATTGCACCGAGGGTGGAAGAGTCGGTCGCGGGGTAAGGTTTCTTGGATATGAGACTTACACGTAGCGTTTGTCGTGCTTGCAAATTGAACCAGAGATTGTAGACGCACAATGCTGACGATGGTAATACTTTACGTTGTCAGCAGGAGGACACAAAGCGGCTAACACAGGCAGGCAAAATAAATAGTAAATACTCACAAGAACCCAACCGAAAACATGAGTATCAAATGAATGAGCCTGCGACGGCCAATGTGGAGCTTAAGCAGTTCAGGAATAGGTAGAGCGATGATGAAAATATCGAAAATGATGTTGATGATCGCGTGTGCCCAAGCAAAAGCATTGAAATTGACACAATGGCCCTCGAATTCACCGCTCCAGCCATTCCACCCGAACGAGATCGGAGTGCAGTGAAACACAACGGTCAGAGTGAAGGCCATGATATAGGCAGCGGTGATCACGAGCGTGACAATGATGACTCTCCGGAATTGTGGGGTGGGAAATACCCGTAGATAGAGCAGGAGGATTGCACCTTTGGTGAAGCCGATCACGGCCATGTAGAATATTTCGGTCAACCATGTGAACTGGTATTGGTCAGATGGAGAGGGTTTTGAGAGACACAGAGGTGTGTTACCTGGACTATACGTGTGACTTTATCGAAAGGAATGGTCCAGATGTCCTTGCCAAAGCCGTCACTCGACACTATCAGGCACGATCAGTACTAGACCATAAAATACCTGACCATCCTCAAGGATAGGAAGAAAACTTACTGATGAACTCGAGGACACCCATCGGAATAGCGAAAACCTATTCGACTCAACATCAGCGTTATAAAGATTACGAATCCAAAGTTGAGCTTACCAGAGCCAGTACAACACACAAGTCAGCCCATTGCAGCCTGCCCCAGTGAGGATAGCGGTCGGCAATGCGTAGTATGACACAAATGATAGCGAGACCACCAGAAACTGCGGTGACGATGGGTGTAACGGCGGTGTTGTCGCGAACAGGTTCGCTACAAAGCGTCGCAGTGGCATTTCTCGCAGCTGAATACCTCTCCCAAGTCAGAATGCTAGCTTCTCGACATCATAGCGTTGATTCCTCAGGGAACTTACATAGACTCTCCTTGATAGTACAACTTGTCAGCGTGCAGCCCGACACGGTGGTCATCAACTGGACATCTGCACAGATGCAGGCAGCATCGGTAGGATCGCATAAGGAGCTCGCGAGCGAAGTTCCTAGACATTCAGCCTAACACGGACGCCGTGGGTGAGTACTTTGGAAACCGTATAGGAGCGACCAGCAGCAAACTTACAGCGCATGCTGGCATGGCCTGTGCTTGAATCAACGCAGTGAAGCATGATAAAAGCGAAAGCACCAAGCTCGTCTTCATGTTGTCTAGTAAAACGAATCTGTGATCGTCGACGGCGAGTTAGAAAAAGGATGTTTGACAGCCCCAGTAGAGGATTGGATCTCGACAAGTCGTTGACATCTTGCACCAGCTTGGACGTCATATCATATACGTTGTGTGACCTTGCTTCGACGTTGGAAAATTCTCTGACTTAACAGGACCAGGCACTGTAACTCATATGGAGCTTCACCAGGAGTATCCCTGGATAATATGAGGAGCCCACATCCGCGTCGATCGTCTTAAGGGCGCCCTGGCGTGAGGGCAGGGGGGTTATGTAATGCTTTGGCTAGGTACCCCAGGAGGCCGAGTCGGAATGAGGATTCCTGATGTGATGAGTGGGGGGTGTCTCACAGGGTCTATTGAGAAGGTTACGGCTTAAGCGGCAGCACCCAGTATGTTCTCGATCACACAATCAGCTGTATGTGTTCGAAAATCCGTGTCGCCTGTTGCAAGTATGTCGAATCAGGAACCTGGGGACAATATCCATGAAAACGTCTGGATAGATCCAGATCAGATGGTTGAAACGTGAACCAAGCAGACACCTGCAGTAGTGCCCCACGGAAACAGAGTTGGACAAGCATTGTCTAACCGTAGCTGGGTACCTCGCATTTTGCAAGGGCCATGTTCAAACAGATATCCATCGAGAATTTTAGTGGTCTGGGCAGCATAACCCCCACTTTCCAAGCAGGTCCCACAAAGGTAGCGATGAATAGTGAAATATCTGGGTCCGTGAGTAGTCATTCATCCGTGTGCCTTGCGATGAAAGTGCTCTTCGAGACATATTTTGTTGTACCTTGAGCATTGGCCTTAGATCTTAACACCGCCCTGTGCATGGGAGAGAGCAAAGATGAGTAGCTCGCAACAGATGAAGTTCGTCGTTGTACATCGCAGGCGAGTTCTCGCGAGCACACTTGTGGTTCCCCACTATTACTGCAGAGATGGCATAGCGCTTCACCTCGGCGGTAGGATCCGCTGGGCCGCCCGGCTAGTCAGGTTTTCGTGCTCCGTACCGACCACCTAGTCTCGTCGACCACCTCGATGGAGATGCTTGCAGGATATCAGGCTCATACCCTGTGGATAGTCTCACACAGACTGTCCATTGGGGTCACGACAAAATGAGAAAACTCGCCCTCCCGATCCTCAAGCCACCCTGTTGAACCCCCGGGTTTATTTGCGATCGTAGTTTCGCAGGGTGTTGAGAAGTCATTGGATACCTGGGGTTGAGGTGGAAAATGATCTTCGTGGATAGCCAGCCACGGGCGTCGGATGCACGGTGGAGAAACTTCATGAGGCGAATGCGGGCAAGTATGTGGCAGGGATTTATAAAACAACTAGGGATAAAGTATGCTAAGTTAAAGATTTTCGTTTCTCGCACTGTATGAGAAATACTTCTCTTGTCAATGTCGTCCTGTATGCTCGTACCGTAGGCGGCCAGGGAAGAATTAGCGAACTCCACTCCAAGAACCAGACCAGATGGATTAAGATACTTTGATGCTAGTGGCACACCTGTCGAATAGCATGCTTGTGGTTACCAAGGAGGGGTTATCTAACACCCAGCTCGTACAGGTGATCCAGTGCGGGACAGGTGGTGCTCAGCATATCTGGTGGAATTGACAGCAAAGGGTGTGCTGGTGAAACACTGTTTTCTGGAATAATAAAATCACGCTTGCTGCTTGTCAATTCAAGATTGACTTCCGAAAGCATCTTACCGTGCTTCCCTTGAACTGTGACGACCCTACCAGTATACCTTAAATCCAGGAATCACCACATTTAGATCCGAAGGTACACAATCAATCCCAGGCGCACTGTGACCAGAAATATGATCTCCATATCGGTCTTCGTGCATTTAGCATGGGTTCTTGTTGTCTACTGGATCGCATGGATCGTGTATGCCAGGAACTTTCACCCACTCCGGAACATTCCAGGGCCATGGCTTGCCTCGGTGAGCCGAGTGTGGTATATGATCCAAATGATTCGTGGAGACATGGAGAAAACCCAGAGACGACTGCACGAGCAATATGGACCGTTGATCAGAATCGCACCAAATGAGCTTGCCTGTGCAGCGCCTGAAGCTATCAAGACGATATACCGTACCCAAGGGGCCTTGAATAAGACCGATTTTTATATTCCATGGAATACTCAGAACTTCAGCAAGCACAAGGACATGTTCACGACCCTGAATGATAAGACTCACGCTGAGAGGAGAAGAATTTTCAACCATGTGTACACTCTTTCTAATATACTCAAGTCAGAGAAGTATATCGATAAGTGCTCGGATTTGTTTCTGGAGCGTTTGACGGAGTATGCGAATGCCTCAAAGCCAATGGATCTGGGGAAGTGGTTACAGATGTAAGAAGGGACCCAAACTTTCTGGAACCATCGTTAATTAGGATAGGTACGCCTTCGACGTGATTGGCGAGCTATACTTTGGTCGTATGTTCGGTTTCATGGAGAATAGCCACGACCATGAGTCATGGATTCAATCCTTGGACCTCCTAATGCCTTTCGTGGTCATGACTGCAGTGGCGCCGACTTATGTACGACAGTTGATACTGATGTCGGCTCTTGTCGTGCCAGGTTCTTTAAAAGCATTGAAAGCGCTCGACACCATCGGCAAAGCTTCCAGAGACTGTGTGGCCAAACGTTTCGCGAACAAATCAGAAAGCACAGAAAATCGTGCCGATGTCCTCAATCAATTGTATTCGATCCATCTCGAAAAAGGAGAAAAGGTCGACTTTGGTATTGGCGATATCGAACAAGAATCATATGTTGCTCTGTGAGTTTCCACTAGGGGTCAAGGTGACCGACGGACTCTAACGAACGCCAGGTTTGCAGGATCGGATACCACCGCCATAGGGTTCAGATCAGTCTTCTATCATCTCATGAAAAACCCCGAAGCATATGATAGACTGCAACAAGAAGTCGACGAAGCGGCGGCTAATGGTCAGCTCAGCTCACCAGTAGCATATGCAGAAGCCAATCGACTTCCATATCTCTGTGCCTGCATCAAGGAAGCTCTTCGCTTACATCCTGGTGTTCAACTGACCATGGCGCGTCTCACCCCAGCGGAGGGTCTCGAGGTTTGCGGTCAGTACATCCCAGTAGGATACCGAGTGGGCATGAACCCGGCAGTAGTCCACTACGACAAGGCTGTGTTTGGGGAGGACGCGGATGATTTCAGACCTGCGCGTTGGCTGGAAGGCGATGCGGCAGCGATGGAAAAGGTTATGTTGCATTTCGGAGCTGGAACGCGAACTTGCATTGGAAAAAATATCTCGCTTGCGGAACTGCACAAGCTGATTCCGTATGTGGTTCGAAATTTCAGGATTGAGATGTGGGAGCCGGAAAAGACTTGGACGACAAGGAATTTGTGGTTCTGCAAGCAGGAGGGACTTGACGTGCGTGTAATAGCAAGAAAGAAAACTGGATAGGCCGGGATTCAGGCAGAGACTGTATTCTCGGGGTGGTTGCGACTGGCGATCATCAGTCCCGGGGAAGCACGTTGAGGCGTTGACATGTTACGTGTCAGATATCTGACAGCGGGAGGTAGGCATTGACAAGCACGTTGCGACATGTGTGGCCAAATGCGTGGAACTTCCAACGGGTTTCGAAGAGCCAAAGATCACTATCCGTACAAATTGCATGAACTTCGGATGCGAAGATGGTGGATTTAGGTCCCTGATACAGTGGGGTAATAATGGAGCTTGGGGGAACGTCATGAAATTGACCCTGGCCAAATCCTCGACTTACACATCCGTAACTTAGAACAGCCAAAGTCTGGCTAGATTGACAGCTTCATATTATTCCCTGCGTGGAAGTCCATCCCGCGTGAAAGCGAGGTATGATCCAGCAGGTGACCCTAAATCGTCCCACTTTTCTATGTCCGATCATTTCAAGAAACTGCAATCGCGTAACCTGAGATGAGAGTGGCAGTATCGCCGAGAGAGCCACCGCGTCGGAGACGGTGTCAGCAGCACTGGGCCTTCACAGCCTCGAGAGCATATGTTGATGCTTCCATATCTTCGGCTCTGGCTTCTTATGAGGACGCGTCAATGTCCCTGAGAACATTCTGAGTGCTGGATCCGACGGCTGGTTTCAGTTTCACCAAGGATTCACATCGATGTTCGTGGGTTCGTGGTTAATACATACCACTGTGGCGGATTGTTCTAGGTCGGTTCGCCTTAAGCGGCGCTCGAAACTGTCCTGAGACGTATGTCTGAAGACTTTTAATTTGCTCACGCGTTCAACCGGTACTGTGAACGGTTCGACAGCTTGTTTTGGGAGCATAGAGATGAATTCACGCTCCATTCTCAATCTCAACGTCGCCTCCTTCCTTGCTGGGTTGTGCAGCACCATCCATCAAGACCTTGACGCCCGACTCGGGCCCTGGTAGTGAGCCTCCCCCGGGCATGACGCTGCTGAGATTGCCTTCTTCGTCAACGAATTCAAACCTGTAACGTGAGAGATAATGCGGTATAGCACTCAATTGAGGTCCATAACGTGCAGTGTTGTCATAAAGCTCGAACAGTGGTACCGCGAGGAGCTTCATGTTCTTAGGCACGCTAAGAACCTTGTTAGGTGGGAGGTGGATAAGATACAGCTTCTTGAGTTCCTTTGGCCGAGAAACATGGGCGGGAAGGAATGGATATAAGAATGTTTCGTGGTTGGGCCGCCACCTATCCCAGATTTTAGCACAAGGAATGCACGTCGATAGATTGGGAGTCACAAACCATTGTGCTAAACAATCTCCAATCTCCCAGTCTGTATCCCCTTCCTTTGGATTTGTTGGTGCCAGTCTGTCGTTTAGACGTGACTTGAATCCTTCGATCTCGTCCGCGTCGTGTGGTAGATAGTCCCCTGGTCTTTTGAGACTATGTCAGTGGAGTTCGTGTCCTATTTGCTCGGAAGAACGAACAGTTTGAAGAATGCATTTGCGATCTGCAGCATGAGCACGTGGGGGTGGTTATGCTCATGGCATACTAATATGCCTTCACAAGTCCTCCTCATGCCGTAGTTCTCATAATGCTCTTCTAACCTCTTCAGTCTCGCAAGAACAGATGGGTCCTCCTCTGGCTGCGTCTCCTTTGTACCAAAAGTGTAGTTGGAGAGAGGGAAGAGTCGAAGTACAGGAGGCTGGTTTGCTGTAAATGGAGGTGGAAGTATTGGACTACATAACAGGTTAAGTAGTGCGTGCGGACAGCTCATCACTTGTACTCACGGATAGGATGACTTCAGAGTGGTGGTTGTGAGAGTGCTCATGGTGACAAGAACCTAGGCAATCTTGTGGGGTTGCGTGAGAGTAATGGCGGGGGATTATAACTTCCTGCTCTCCTCAGATCAGTAAGCAGGTCAACTACTGTTGCTGCAGTCAAATTGTTTGATCTGTGGGAGCACGGGTTCCCCATATTCAGGTTGTTGGAACCAATTTACAGACGTGAGGGTTCGACGGGGTTAAAGGTCGCGTGCATCGGAGATAAAATTAAAAGCGGAAGGTGTCCCGAGGATGGTCAGTTGGAGGGCAGGAGTGTGCACAAGGTATCGGAGCGCACTACGAAGACAACAGCCTTGGTCTCAAGCATACACATTGATCAAGTATTCATGAAAGTACGCTTTCATTCTTTGCATAGCTTCATACACGTACCCTTGCAGGTTGTCTATTTCTAATCTAGACCCTGGCGAGACTGTCCGGAAACACCTTCGCTAAGCAAGCCTTTCTCGAAGACACTTGACATGGACACAATTGCCTCCCATTCATTTCTCCTCATAGCTTGGATTCCAAGTCTTCAAAGTCCCGAATATCAGCCACAGCCACTGGACCCTTGCTGACCTGTAAGTCTGCCTTCCATTGATATGCGTCCTTGATGATTACGGGGGCTGGGATCTGTGCAGCCACTTCCGCTCCATCGGTCTCTGCAACCACAGGCTTGAGCTTCAGAGCCACTTGGACTTGAACAATAGCTTCCTTCATCTGCTCCATAACCTCGGCCAGCTTGACTGCTGGCAATGAATCACCAACATACTTCTTGATTGCCGCGGTAATGCTTTGTGCGTCACTTGTTTCAACCGATTCGAAATGTTCCTTCAAAGCTGACTCTTGAACATCAACTCCAAGTGATCCTAGAACCTGTCCGAGCAGACCGACTAGTTGTGATTTTTGTTCTTCGGGAGATACCTCAGGCGGTGTTGAAGATGCTTGGGCTTCAAGATGTATTGAGAGTTTGGCTCTTGTGGCGGATTCGGGATTGATATACTGGGCGTAAAATTCTTTGATATCATCTTTGGTCAATTTCCGGATTTCAACCACATCCCGATCGACTTGATGGAAATTGAGATACTCGCCACTGATGTAAGCCCACAAGCGGTTGGTCTCAAAGTCGAGATTCTTCAATTTCTCCAGCCGCTTGTTGACCAAGCTTCGCTTGTGGCCTTCAAAATCCTCGGTCGACATCGAGTCCAAAACAGTATTGATCTTGAGAAGGAAAGAATTGATCCGTGACTCAAGGTAGCTTGGGTCTCTCTCACTCTGAATGAGTACTCTGAAACCCATCGTGACGGCTGCTGGTCTCACACCACTCCACACCACATAGCCAAGTTGTTCCTTAGTTCTCAACTGGTCAAATGCAGGTTCGTCCGTGATCTGTGCAAATAATTGAAGTTTCGATCGGAGTGCTAAGTCCATCACGTGACCCACATCCAGGTAATACTCAATGGCGTGGTTAACATTAGCAGGATCGCCCAGAGTGTGCTTGTACACGAAATTGCTTCCTGGAGGAATGATCATGTTTCTCCGAAGTTGCCACTGCGATGCAGGTAGAGCACGCGGCTTCAATGTGGTCTCAACCAAATTAGCAACCTTCTTGGCTTCCTCTTTGTACAAGTTACCGTGAGCAAGAATCTCGATATGCGCTTGTTGTAAGATCTGAGGTGCGAAGGCCTTGACATCCTCGACAGTTACATGAGGCAGTTCGGCAGCATAAGAATCATTCATCCAAGAACGCTCATTCAACAGCCATCTGGTGTAGTCGCCGATCTGATAGTATGGTTGTTGATAGCCCCAGTTTCTGTATTTCCGTGCCATTCGTTCTTTGATGACATCAAATCTGTCCGCCTGGATCTCCATATCTCTGATGGTTATGAGGATCTTTTCCAGTAGCACGGCCATCTTATCGTTGTAGCCATGGACACCAATGTCAACACCGAGCATATGTGCCGAGATGTCGTAGGAAAGACCTGAGATCTCTGCGTCGTAAGAATATGTCGAAAGCGCGTCCTTGACGAGATCGACAAAAAGAGTTGCTTTGACATAATTCAAGGGAGTGGCGTATGTGACCTGATTTCGCAGCTTGATGCTGAGATTCGCTTTAGGAACCCAAAACGTGTCATCCTTTTTCCACCACAGTCGTACCAAGTCGTCATTTCGTAGTAGCTTGGGCGTCTTTGCAGGTTCTTTAACCTCCAGCTTTTCAACGTCCAGCTTGGTGGGAATGAACTCATTCTTGTGGGGAAGATGAAGTTCTTCTATTCTGTTCTCATTCGGGGAGTTGAGAGCTTTGCGGATGTCAGATAGTACATCGCTTGGGATCTGATCAATCTTGTAATCAGTCCCGTACCACTTTTCCTTCTGATTCCAATCTCCAGGATAGTCTTGAGCAACCAACATTAGCCTGAAATTGTCCTCCCGAAGAAATTGCATAGCATTAACAATTGCCTTGGCATCAAACTTTCTGAATTTGCTTGTACTACTGAGCAACCAGTTGCGCGGCAATCGCTTTTGCATGACACTGCTTGTTCCACTGGTGAAACGACTTGCAGGAGACTTTTGCCGGAATCTGAAGTCAACTTCTGCCATATTCTTCATTTCCTGATGCATCCATTCGACAGGAGGGTTTGCCTTCATCATGCCAATATACTTGAACACAATCTTGGCAACTTCATGATAGTTCTGCAACCCCTTTGGTGTCAGGCCGACATCGATTTCAAACAAAGCAGATCCAGGGCAAACGGGCTGGTACCCAGCCGAAAGTGTCTGGGCAAGGCCTCTCTCTTTGAGGTATGCAAGAACACTGCCGGGTCCCTCATGGCCAATCAAGTGGCTGATATACCTGGCTGGTTGAGTTTCGTACATATCATCTTCGTCTTGCCATGGGAAACTGATCTCCAGCGAGCGCATTTCCATGACCGGCTTGGCAAGAACCTCCGTTAACAGTTGTTTGTCGGAGAGCATTTCAACGCCATCCCATCGATTCTGCTTCAAATCCTGGTTCTTGACTTCGGAGAACAACTCAACAACCCATTGTTCAAGATCCTCGAGAGACTCACGGCCCAAGACAACAAGTTTCATACGATTGGCGGAATAGTGGCGCTCGTAGAATCGGATGAACTCTTCACGAATTTTCACACCTCTCTTCTCTGGATCTTCCTTCAGAGTTTGAAGATTGCCAGTGGAGAAATGATGGTAAGGATGAGCCGGGTTGGATAAAGACTTGGCGAGCTGTGATAACCGCCATGCATCGCTCTGGAGGTTTTTCTTGTTCTCCGAGTCAACGGCCCTCAATTCACGATCGAGTGTATTCTCTAAGAATAGAGGCTTCACGAAGAACTGAGCAAAACGATCTAAAGCACCATATAATGGTCCTCGTGAGGTACTGTTTCCTTGGCCATTGGCCACGGACCCATTGACAGGCTGATCATTGGATTCGTTGGTTGCGGCACACTCAAAGAAGTAATTTGTTTGTGTGGCAGCAGTGTATGCATTTGAATGTCCCGAATTTGAAGAGAGGTAAGAGCTGTACTCATTCTCGACCGGATACTGTAGCACGTCAGAGATCTTCCTTGCACAACGAACGTAGACTCGGAGTTCTAGCTCACCTTTTCAGTCCCCATGAAAAGCAGGTGTTCAACGGCATGTGCCATGCCTGGCATGTCTTCTTCGTCCGAAAAATTGCCCACATTCACATTTAGACTGGCACTCGCTTTATCGGTCTGTGCATCATGAACCAGCAATGCTTCCAGCTTGTTGGGCAGTTCAATGACCCGATAAGATCTGTCGTCGAGATCTGGCTTTTCCAGATCATCCGTGATCCGCCGAACTGAGCCCATGACTGAGGCAAATTGCCGACTTGAGGGAGACAGCTGTGAAGTAGGGCTCGACATAAGTGACCAACTGATGGGTCGCTGTCGCTGTCGATAGGCAAAGGGAAAGGTAGAACGTATGGCAAGAAACGAAGGTATGAGACGGGTAGACAATCTCATCTAGAACAAAGAGAGACAATATATTCTGTCTCAGACAGGCAGACAAACGCGTCACAAGGTACAAGTGAAGGTGGCGTACAGTGCAAACGTGAGCACTGGCAATTGATTGTCATTAATATTACTGACTGCACCGCACCTTGCGTCCTCAAGCCTGGCAGTGACGGGCCGCCTTCTCCATGGCGAAATCACAAGTCGGTCTGGCTCAGTGAGGTAGGTATGCCGGGGTTTGGGGTTAGGCTCTGGATGGATCCCGAGGCATGTAGTAGTATGAAGACTGGGGTTTGCTATCAACGGCGGAGCACTGTCAGGAACTTCTTCGTTTGTTTCCTTTACCGCCTTTCAAGCTGGTCAAGGATAAGCCTGGAATTTGTGGCATCATAGCTCTATGGTATCTGCAGGTGGTCACGAGCTATCGTGCCCTTGGTGGTACAACCACAGCATAACTGCCAATGCCATGCCATGAGTCCTTCGCTCCTGCCATCATTCCGTGAAACCCACCACAATGCCAAGACTTTCTGAGGACCTTTGGGGTCTCCCCAGTTCCAAGTTCCAACCTCATCCTCCTTTTAATCATCACAGCTGGTGAACGCTGTGATTGAGTGCTAGTACAGGGCCGAAATCTGGAGTCCAATATTCTGTCTGCGTTCAGGTGCAGCCGGCGTTTCCATAGTAGAAACATCGGGTTTGCGTGATGTTCTCCTGAGCACACCCCTAATCCGCCAGTCATCATGGCAAACAGCGGCCACCCTTCAGTAAGTCAGTAGCGGATGGATGCTTGATCGATAGCTCTTGATGTGCTCCATCCTTGTCCTACCAACCTCCTCTTGCTGCTGTGTAGGGCTAGCCTAGGCTAACTGCCTGTTAATCGCTTGTCGCCACTGAGGTCAACACCTCCTCTTATGGCCCAGGCTGTTACCATGATTGAAGGTGTGGACTCTTGTTTGACTTGACATTGACTCCTTAAACATCCATATGTAGGTCTTTGCAAACGGCCATCCTGTCTTACGGGATATTGCTGCAGCACTGTCGGGTCGTTCCGATCCCCTCCTCTACTCCCCTCTAGTTTGACTGAATTTTGTTGGCAGAATTTTGATTGGTCTCATGCTTTTGCTACACACCGAGAGACAGACAATCCGATTTCGAGTTCGCTCACCTATGTGTTGATCGGTGCACAGCCTGCCATTCCCGGGTTAATCTATGTGTATGCACGTTGAGGCTTGCGGTGGATGTACCGTGGTCATAATTAGCCGTCCACAACCACCATAGGAGCACGGCAGGCATCCTCAAGCTACTCTTCCAACACCTTCAACACCACAGGCAACTCGATGTAAGTGTTAATCGTCGTTTTGATAATACCTAGATACCTACCTAGTTAGGTATGTTTAGATCAGCCTTGGCGCATTCGCAACGAGCTCCACAGCAAATCAAATGCCTGATCACGTCTTCACAGATCAGGATGTTGCAACGGCCTTCATCCCACCTCATAGTATTTCGATATTCCTGTCTGATATAGACGGTGTTCTCCTTTCAAGTCGCGTCCAATGCTTACGAATTTGGACAAAATAGGCAATGGCTCCGTGTTCAAAGGTGAGGTCTAGCGAGACATCCATCCTACATGAGTGCGTGCTACTTTTTATCAATACTCAGAACGTTGTGGACGTGATCCTGTCTCAAAGGACTGGAGACTTGCTATTCGCAAGCATGAATGTTCGGGAGGCTTTTGGTCTACCTCGATCTGTCGTCGAGACATCACAAGAGCCATACCACCAACTTATCGGCTGGTGGAAATCTCCATCAACTGATAGTGAATCTCAGTATTTCAACACCTGAGTGGGGTGGGGGATTAGCACGTTTCCATGGCTGTTGCTGATGCCATCGACGTTGCCGTCCCTCCCTGCAACAACACGCCATGTGAATGGATGAATTTTTTCCTCACTCCACTCGCTTGAATTTCCAGGACAAGCTATACCCAGCAAATCGTCTTGCAGTTCGCTATCTCAGGAGCATAAAAGACGAGGATTGCCCAGCTCGTCCAACTTTTGCTCTTTCGACGTCACCTCCGCCCCAGCGTATCTGTTCATTGACTTCGCTCAGAATGGGTATCTCAAACGCTGAGAGTAAGCGTCTCGATGAGAACTTGTTTGCGATACCTGCTACGACAGACGCCATTGGTGAAAAGGCACGATCCGCAAGCACGTCGTCTCTTGAACATGACCCAGTTGAGGACATTGATCCCAAAGAAGAGAGGGCTTTTGTATGGCGCCTCGATCTCTTTTTCTTGAGCATTGGCTTCGCCTCATATTTATTCAAGTATCTGGATCAAGTGAACATCTCAAACGCCTACGTGTCTGGCATGAAGGAGGATCTCAATCTCTATGGAAATCAGTTGAACTATTTCACAACCTACTTCAATGTATGTGTGGGTTCCACTCTTCAAGCGTGCCGCTTTAAACATCAACCTGGCCGCTTAAACAATCACTCAGGGGCACCCCCTGCTTTTTCTGCCTGTAAAGCTAATTGAATACACGAGCAGATCGGCTATATGGTTATGTTATTTCCATCCTGCATCTTAATATCATATGTGGGACCTTCAGTCTGGCTGCCTCTTGCAGAAGTCATATGGGGAATATTGACTTGCTGTCTATCTACTGTCACCAAGGCAGAGCAAGTATATGGACTTCGCTTTCTCATTGGCTTCTTCGAAGCCACAGCATGGCCAGCCTACTTCACAATGATCAGTCAGTGGTATATGCCGCACGAGGTTGCTCTTCGTATGAGTATTTACAATATCGCACAGCCTACTGGTGCAATGCTATCTGGCGCGATGCAGGGTGCTCTGGCAGAGAACTTCAACGGCGTTTTAGGCCGCGCTGGATGGCGCTGGGCCTTCATTATAAACGGTGCTTGCACTATCCTCGTCGCCTTGGTCGCTTTCATCATTCTCCCGGGATATCCAGAACGGCAGAATCCATTGTCAAAGTTTTACCTCAAGCCTCGGCACATTGAGATTGCTCTGGCCCGCGCACGTCGAGTAAAACGAAAGCCACAAATTGGCATCACTCCCAAAACCTTTCTACGTGCGCTCACATTCTGGCAGTTATGGGCGTTTGCCCTAGCCTGGCCGCTTGGAGGAAATTTTACGCCGACCAACTTCTACAACTTGTGGCTCAAGTCATTGAAGAATCCAGACGGAACGAAGAAATATGGCGTTGGAATGTTGAATTACCTTCCCATCATCGGCCAGGGCGCTCAGCTCGTTGCAGAATTGCTATTCAGTGGATTTAGTGACTATTTCGGCACGCGTTTCCCTTTCCTGATGCTTCACTCAGCCATCAACATCACCTCTCTGGCCATACTCAGTGTACGCCCGAGCAACGAACATACATATATGGCTGGCTGGTATCTGAACTACCTCGGAGCCGTGTCAATGATGTTGCTATGCTCGTGGGCCGTCACAAATCTTCAAGACGAGCCCCAAGTCAGAACACTTCTATTCGCAACGGGTACCTTTTTCGCCTATTTGATGAACGCCTTTATTCCAATCGCTGCGTTCCCCGCCAAAGAAGCGCCCAATTGGAGAATAGGTGCCAAGTTGTACCTAGGTTTCGCAGTCTTCTCCACTTTCTTGTTTGTGGGTATCTTCTTCGCCTTCAAATGGGAAGACAAGAGGAAGGCCACGAAAGCGGTCGAGGACGTATCAATCGAGGGCCCCACCACTGATATCAAGGACCATGGCAAAGCTTAGTTGGACATTTGTGGGGAAAGAGGGACCAGCTCTGAGCTACGAAGTACATGTCAATCACTTTTCTCCTAAAGTAATTAGGGCCTTCAGCGGCGAGAAAACACACCAAAGAAGCACCCTAATGCTGCAATTAGCTCTGGATCTTGTGAAATAAAATGTCTCGTGTAAAAGACACCGCTCCAGTAGGTTTGATCGTAACCCACGAACCGCACCCGATTTACTTGAATTAATGTTTGAGATATTAGAGCCTGGCGTTTCGTCGGTATGTCGCAATGAGCTTCTCTAGGAGAGGACCAATTCTTCCCCTCGACCACAATCTGATGCTTCATACAGACTGCTCGCTCTATGTTGCTTGCTTTGATCTAATGCCGTCGGCGTCAGGACCCACGCACACCATCCTGCTAAATCAGCCAAAGCGCACGCTTCGGCCCGGTGGCTCGCTCCGCACCAGAGCCGCAGACAGTCGGATTGGTCTTACCAGGAGAGCTGAGCCTTACCAGGAAAAAGTGTCCACCTCCAACTCGAAAATGGTCTTCTCATGCCTTCCGAGTCTGGCCACCACGGCACGGACATCATCGCAAAGACCGCCTGGGCCACACACCACGACACCAATGCTCTTGTAGCCAGCTTGAACTTCCGCGAACAACAAGCTCTCAACATCAATTCTCTGGTTGATGAGTATGTCCTTCTGCCCAACGCCATGAAGTGCAGATTGCAGCTCGTTCACTAGTGCGCTCGAAGTTTCTTTCATGCTCCAGGTCAATCTCACGTTGGGGTGTACATTCAACCAGGCGAGTAAGCCAGTGATCCCGATGCCACCACCGATCAGGATGACTCTGTCACAATCAAGTAGTGACTTGGAAGAGTATTTGGGGTACGGGCCGTCCAGAAAGGTCAGAAGCTTCGAGTGATTCTTGAGATGCTTGGTCATGCCGGTATTTTTCTTGATGAATAGACTGATACCTATTGTGGTCTGGATTGGCGTGTCAACGGCGCTGGTTACACTGGGCTGTTGTCCCCCATGTTTCTCTGAGTTTTCTGAAGAACTGGTTTCGTGTACCGTAGCACTAGTCGGCACGTCATGTTTTCTCCACGAGGATAGATGCGCGGTTGAGTTAACAGAAAATGGATGATTTTCCCACGGTCTGAGTGATGTGATCGTAGGGAAGTGCACATAAGCGTGAATTCCAGGAGCAGTACCCCAGCGGACTCCTGGAATGTCTACTCGTACATGACCTTGCCCTACGTCTGTCACAGTGGCGTAGCGAGCCCTATTTTTGATAATGCGAACAATGCGCATGAGGCGGTCAAAGACCCACACCGCTATTGCAGCGTAGAGCCAGTACTCGTGGGATCCCTTTTTTCCGAAACGCAGAATAACATGATACCAACACGCGACGATAAGGATCACCACAAAGAGGATGTGTTGAATGAGGAAGACCTCATATGACCACCTTCTGAGCCAAAGACTGTTGGAGAAGAGCATTACAACGGCAAGTACTGTGCCAACGATGCCCCAGGAGAAGTAGGCTTGTGGGAAGTTCATGGCGTATATCCCGGAGCCCTTGTAAGCGATCAGAAGAGTCAAAGAATGCACGATGGCAAGTAGGATGAACAGTCTGGCAACCCAGCGGTGCAATATCAGAAATGTCCCGTGGCTCCAGTTCGTCAACCACAGCAGAATATTGTTCCTACCCGAGAAGAGAATCGTTAGTGGCAGGATAGCATATCCGAACTCTCCAGTCCGGTAGCCAATATATGCGTTGATCTCTTGAGCCTTGTTGTAGCCCCATGGATGCGGTTGGGCAGAAGTGTAGCTGACTGAACTGAGAACCAAGTTGAGGACGAAGAACATGGCAATGTACTGAAACTGGCCCATCGTGGGTGCATTCCCCAAAAGCCAAGGTAGCGGTCGAGCGTGGTAGCGTCCAAAGATGGAAGGGTACACTAACCAAGGGGTCGCTTTTGCGTACAGGTCTGCCATGAAGGGAGCATAACCAGCCCAGCTTACGAGTACTGGTGTGGCAAATCCAACCACGAGGACGACAAGACTATATCGATTGAGCAGACTGGAGTTCTCCTCAAATATTGGGTAGAAATTCCGATACATAGCCAGTGCTGCAGAATTGGGTCGCATCGTAGTGTTGAGAGTGAGACCTGCACTGTACTCTCCTTGTGGGGGTACACCAATCAAACCGAGTGCCTGGGTATAAAGTAAGGTTGGGGGCACAGTCGGGTTTTCGGTGACCTTCTGCGCCCACCACTTTTCCAGCTCCCAGATTGGCAGTTGTTCCTGGTCAGTACAAGTCACGTTGAGACAGTACGCTAGGCTAGTGAGAAATGCTTCATCGCTAGCATAGCAGTCAGGCGGCGTCGTTGCACCATGAGAATGAGCTCCTCCATGATGATGAGGTGTACAGGCGAGCGTTGCAGCAGCAAGAGAAGCTCGGCAGGCAGTACAGCAGTATGGCTTGTATGCGGTTGTCCCCAGACCCACGAAGGCCGCAGAAGCAGCGGTCAACAGGAGACTTCCTCGGAGCAATAGTGGTAGCATTCCGCTCTGCTGGAGTTGATGAAGTGATCACCCTGAGACCAAGCTAGGGAAGTTCTCGTATTATATACTTACTAGGAATGCATTGCTAGTGGAGACTAAGTGCGGGATGCTCGGCGAGGGAGCGCGTTCAACGGTGCCAAACGTATATTGATATGGTTTCCAAGACGCAATGAACCTCCACAGAGACCGTATTCATCAGTTTGAACGCCAAAAGCAACCACTACGATCGAGTAGATGCTGACTTATTCAATGGTATTTTTTCTTGTCACTACGATTGGGGAGAGCCCGTGGCGTGAAAGTGGAACCCAGAAACTTGCTCATCTCTCGCCATATTGACAAGCGCTAATTGGAGGAAGGTGGACCTCGAAGACACTAAACTGCACCTGCATCAACGTGCAGACCCTCCATGGCCTAGTGACAGTCAGCAATAGTGTGACTCGAGTGTCCAACGACGAATCGTAAACAACTACTACGTGTCTACGACGTACGCCAAACCTGAGAGTCAAACCACACGTGAATACACAAGGACAGATAAATCTCCACAAGGCAGGTAACTTGAGTCTTTCAAATCTGCCCCAGACTTTCATAAATGTTCATATTATCAGCTACCATTGTCAGACTCCAGGCTTTACTGACGTTGATCGAGCCCATACATCTACTTCCTCGAGTATTTAGTACCTTAGGTCCTTGTTGCACAATGGAGAGCCTTTTGTGCTTGGAAAAAGAGCCCTTCAGATACGTGCCCAGAATAGCCAAATGCCCCAAGCCGTGTACTTACGAGTACTGGGTACCATCGTCGTACCACACCACCACTTGCAGCACAGCTCAAAGATGGAAGCCTTATCGTGGCTTGATAAAAGCTCGAGTTAGATGACCACGCTATCATACATTTTGTGCTGGCGGGGGCCGAGCCTAGGTGATAACTACCTCACATCGGCTATCAGTGCTCCAAGGCTGAATACCAATCAAACTTTGAGCATATTTCTAAGGCTGACCCAATCTATTTCGGTGTGTCAGGGGAATCACGACAGGAGATTTCGAGTAATTGTCCAGACTTCATTGATACCAAATAGTGGTGCACAAGTTATAAACCCCCGATGTGGCCCTCGAAAATCACCTGCGATTGGGACCAGTCCTCATGTTCCGTCTACAATTCAGTAACTCATATGTGAATCGTCCCCGATGTGGAAAGTATACAAACTTTCCAACGAGTCTGGCGTTTCGCTCGTGAAAAGCACACTCGATCGTTTTACCCCTCAAGAGCCACATGGTATCTCGAACAAGTCAGAATGTCACAAACGGAAGAGGAGGAAAATCGCGTCGTGGCCTACTTACATAAACGCTCATTGGAGACTTTATGCCTGGAGCTACTTATTTTCGGCCACGGTATTAGCCCTTCAGTTTGGATTCGGAGGCTGGCAATGTTATAAGTACAGCACCAACGAAGCAGTCAGAGCAGCGTTTGGATGGGGTGTTCCTGTGGCCAAGTTTGGAGCAGGTGCTCTGTATCCGACGTTCTTTTTCCTCATACTCAGTATGTCCCGCTGGCTTGCGACTGTCGGTCGGTACTTCGGTATTCACAAATATCTCAACTGGGACAGACATCGCTATTTCCACATCCGTATGGCAGTCATGGCGCTGGTGTTTTCCTTGTTGCACACTTTTGGCCACGTGAGCGGGACTATCCCAACAGCAGTACAGTCAGGACATCACGATGCAGTGGAATTTCTTCTCGGAACCAAATTGACACATATCGACTGGCCGAGCTTCATCTTGTCTCGGCCTGGGTGGACAGGCATCGGCGCTCTTCTCATATTCTTGATCATAACAACGTTCAGTCTGCCTGCGGCCCGCAAAATGTCGTTTGAGGCTTTTCAGATTGTTCATCTTCTCATTTTTCCAATGCTTGTGCTACTCGCACTTCACGGTACAGCAGCACTATTGCAGTACCCTGCACTGGGGTTTGTCATAGCAGGACCTCTGACAGTCATCTTGTGCGAAAAACTCGTTCGAGCTGTTCAAATTGTCCAAAGGCGAGTAGCTCGCATCACGCCCATTGGCAATGATTGTGTCGAAGTGACTGTCTTTGCCTCTGGAGCAAGAAGAAGGAAGTTCTACCGACCGGGACAATATATACTGGTACGAGTGCCGAGATTGTCTCGATTCCAGTGGCATCCTTTCACTGTGGTTCGGACAAGCGAGAGCGAGCTCGTTATTATTGCTAAAAACAATGGATCTTGGACCAGAGCTTTGCAAAAGCAAGATGAGTTCACCACTGTCAACCTCGATGGACCATTTTCAGCACCATGTCAAGGATTTTGGGACTATGACCACAATATCCTGATTGGAATGGGGACAGGTTTAACTCCATCAGCCGCCATCATCAATGAGCTACTATCTTCTCCGACACACCCTTGGATAACGGATAAACAGAATATTGTCCAACCGGGATATGCTCAACCCTTCCACAAGCGGGTGATGGTACTTTGGGTGGTGCGCGATGCGACTCTCCTTGACACATTTGCACCACTTTTGACAGCAATGATATCACGGCCTCAGCATGAGTGTCTTGACCTGAGCTGCCACGTATACATCAGCCGATCGACAACTCCACTGCAAGTTGAGGGCGAGTCGATACCAGAAGTGTGTACAAGTGGGAGAAGCTCGAGGATCAAAAGCTACCCAGGTAAAAGACCGAGCTTTGTTGAGATACTACAAGACCATCACCAGGAGTTCTCGATGGAACTCAGGGAAACGATTTTACGGACCGGTGAGCCGCGGACAACTAATCCGAAGGTCGGGGTCTTCTTCTGTGGCTCTGCTAGCATAAAAGCCGAGCTGAGGGAGATGTGTCTCGAACGAACAGTGCAGGGAGTTATAGATGGAAGTGATCTGGAGTATCATTTTCATCCGGAAGTCTTTTAGTAGGGCATCTTCACCTTCAATTTGCTCTCTATCTCGCATTCAGATCGTTCAGATATCTTACAGAGCGTAAAGGATAGAGGCTGTAAATACCGGGGAACGTGAATTGTTCTAGTTTCTCAATAAGGGTCATGGTGTTCGGGAAGGAAAATAAGCCACAAAGTTTGGGCATGGCGTTGTGACATGAATGAACTGTTCAAATTATCTCTAGAATGCAATTGAAAGATCCGCGAGGTTAGCCAACGGGGAGTTAGTCAGTTATTGAGCATGTTTGGTCATTTGCAAAGGACGGGTAGGGCAACAAAAGCTTGCATACCAGACGGATGCGATTTCTGATCCACTAACATCTTGAGCAAGTTTTGACTCCGTGAGAGCACGTTTCACATTTACAAAGCTACTGTCTTGGGTAGCTGCAAGTAGTGATCTGGAAGTCCCAGTGAAACTAGCGTTCGGTTACACAGATCTTACCACAACATCCTCAGATGCTACACTGGTGCACACTCACCCTGCACTGGTATGGAATCGAACATTACCTTACGGGTACGAAATCAGAATTCACCAATGGTTTTCAGGTCTGCTGATTTGTCTGTCTTTGTTGTTCAGATGGAAGAGCTATACGCCTATGTATTCGGTCTGCGTACTCGTCCCGCCCAGAATTCAACACCACTAGCTTCACACGAGAATGCGTGGACTCATTATCTGTGAATCGAAGAGCCAAATCGTGCTTCCACAAATGCAGAAGTCGATCACAACGGATGAATGCTACACTAGTGGCCCACATCCATCCAAGTAATTGGATTCCTGGTACTGATCACGCCGCAGGTGGCAACACTGTCGAAATCTTGGATAGCGATGTATTCCAGTATCATCGAGGAAGGGCAACATGGCCAATATCTCGTCGTCAGTGTCATCCCACGGTCCTAAATACTGACACATCCTGTGATGAATGCACCACTCGCCATTCCAACAAACAACGGATTCAGCTATGGAATATGGCGTCGAAGACTCTCAAGAATCAGGATATGCTTGAGAAATTGAGAACTGGGACAGTGTGTGGAAGACAGCTAAAGAATCCCTTCACCTATGTGTCAGCAACTTCGGACTGCACACTCCAAGCACAAAGCTCTCACAATCGTGAGCCGATAACGAGATAATGGACCCTCGCTCTGATGCGTGATGACTTTGAGGGCTCGATAGCCTGACCTATGAATCGTTCCTCGCCATCCTCCAATTATGAGCTGTGAAGTACCTAGCTAAGTATCTGAACCTCGGTGCCAAGATATATCGAACCGCTGGCTGGTAACTTGCTCATGGATTGGGGATCTGGTTGCATTATACGTCCGAGTGTAGGAGGCGAAATCTGCTCAATCTGTCCATACGAGCATTCTACATGCTGGGCGAAACGTAAGGGATGGGCCCGATACTGCTTTGTATGGCCCTTACGAGGGTAAAATACTATCATTGGTCATGGGCCAGTCTAACGTATGCAGCCAGGTGTTGCTATACTAGCACAAAGCCCTGATCGACAATGGTATACTCAACAACAGTTAGTAGTATGAACCCTGTGGCGATTGCGCACAGAAAGTGAGTGTTCATGGGTACAAATAGCTCACCTTCGCCCTCTATTGTTGATCTGACCTCAAATTACTTTCTTCCACAGATTAACAACGCTAAAAAGAACACAGACTGGTCAGAGGTTGACCCAAATACTTCCAAAGTCGGCAAAATGGATCCAGAGAAGCAATCCCAGACCTCTTCCATCTCTTCAAAGCATGCTCACCCGCCTATTGCTAAAACCAATGGTCCCCCAGTCATCATTACAGTCATCAGGGCTGCACAGTATATCTGGTCTGTCATCGCCCTTGTCTTCATCAGCTGTGCCATCGACAGAAACATTCTGGTCCCTGGTGTGTCAGCAGACGAAAAGGTTCTAGGCGCCTCAGTGAGTTGAAATACCCCTCAGCCTCGTGCATTGTCTCAACACTGACATCATCGCGAAGTCGGTCCTGGCGGTGATAGTTGTGCTTTACCACTTCCTGAGCCCTTACAGAAAAGTCTCAGCAGCTGTGGTCGATGGACTCCTAGCTGCTTTTCTGTTTGCGACATTTATCTACGGTGCTTATAACGCTGGTCAACGACAGGGTGCATGCCTCGGTCCGGACAAGATGGGCATCTGGGACAACACTCGAGGATGCAAGCGCATGACTATTGCTGTCGGATTCTCGGCCGTGAATTTCGCTTCTTTTTCACTATCAGCAGTTTTGGTTCTACTCCTCTGAAGCAAGGTTCAGTACACCATGATGCAGATGGGTGCTAGGGTATGAACCATGCTCATACAGCGGAATGCTATCAACACGCAAATGAGTGTGCTCATTATATATGTCAAGAGTTGTCGGAGACGGGGAGAGATTAGAGATAATGTCGTGACACTGGCTCACTTAATTCCCACCAGTTGTCCGAACAGTAGTGACTTATTTGCAAATATAAAAGGTGTTGCTATATCTCTCAGAATTAAAGGGGAAAAATAGGGAACAAGAGAAGTGCTCGAAGATCTATCTTTTGAAATTGTTTTTGATTTATTCTGATCAGAACTATCTAGTAGAAATCTATCATTCTCTCATTGTGCCATACCAAGGGAAGAATCATGAGTTTCATTCTCATTTCTTTCCATCACATTTCCATTCCATATACCCGATCTCCGTTCTGTGCATCCTGTTTCCGTATCTAAAGTTAGTATTAAGTATTTGCCGTCAAAGTAATTGTTTTTTGGGTCTCGTATTTCGTAGTAAGACATCTGACATCGTCCAATAAAAGCCGAGAATCGAAAAAGGGGCGATGATTAAAAAAATAGTATGTTGAATATGTTCAATCCTGTCAAAGGAGAAGGGAATCGTGTGCGCTCGGGAAATATTCAGGAGACTGCAGCTCCTCAAAACATAGCTTTCTAGAGCATTGCTGCGATGGCGACGGCACCGACAATGATGGCTCCTGCGCCGGATGAGACCTTGTTGGCTGCGCCCGTGAATGTTGGCAGAGCGCTTGTTGTAGTGGAGACTGCGACGCTGCTCTTCAAAGTAGTGCTGCTGGGCTTGATGGAGCTGGAGGCTGGCTTGGTACTTGAGACGGGCGCAACTGTGGTCTCGCTCCAGGCAGCCCACGATGAAGTTGGCACAACAGGGACCACTGGAACTGATGAACTCCATTCGGACCACTCTGTAGTTGTAACTGGAGCAGGACTGGAGCTCGTAGGCACCCAGTCTTCCCAGGCACTGGAGGTTGTAACTGGAGCAGGAATGGAGCTCGTAGGCACCCAGTCTTCCCAGGCACTGGAGGTTGAAACTGGGGCGGGAACCGGTACTGTGGTTGACCAATTTTCCCACTCAGTTTCGATGCTTGAGGTCGTGGTTGTTGTGGAGACGCTGACCGGAGCCCAAGATTCCCAAGTCGAGATCGGGGCGACGGGAGTAGTCGTAGTCGTAGTCGAGCTAGTCACTGGAATCCATTGTTCCCAAGTCGTGGTTGAAATTGGAGCCACTGGGGTGGTAGTGGTCGTCGAACTGCTGACCGGGACCCACTGCTCGAATGTAGCAGTCGTTGTTGGCGCGGGCTTGCTTGAGGTCGTCTCAGGTGTCCAATCGCTCCACTTTTCCGTGGTGCTGGTCGATGTAGGAGCGACGCTCTTGCTTGTCGTGGTTGAGACAGACCATGGGAGCCACTCGGTCTCGGTTGTGGTAGTCGGTGCTACAGACTTTGAGGTTGTCGTGGTTGTGGAGCTGGATTCCCAATCGAGCCAAGCAGTCTCTGTTGTGGTTGTTGCCACAACTGGCTTGGTTGTGGTTGTGGTCGTGGTAGTCCATGGTAGCCATTCAGTCTCGGATGAGGTGGTCGTTGGTGCCACAGATTTTGAGGTGGTCGTCGTGGAGCTTGATTCCCAGTCCAACCAAGCAGTTTCTGTCGTACTTGTCGGTGCTGGCTTGCTAGTGGTGGTTGTGGTGGTGGTGGTCGTCGTCTCAGGCGTCCAGTCTAGCCATGCAGTTTCTGTCGTGCTTGTCGGTGCTGGCTTGCTGGTGGTGGTGGTGGTGGTGGTGGTGGTGCTTGAAGTAGAAGCTGGAGCTGCGCTCCATGCCTCCCAGTGTCCTTGAGGAGCAGCTCTTGCAATGGGAAGGCAGGCAATAGCAGCAGCTGCAACAATAGTGGATCTGGTGCGAGAATGCATATTGAACGATGAAAGAATGGTCAAGATAAGATGATCAAAGTGTGAGTGGATGATGGTCAATGCAGGATGTCAAACAAGAGATTTCAAGGAGCTATGTACACTTTGTGTGACGTGTAGATGAAGTTCGATGCTTGTTCTCTTTGTTTGAATTGAGTGGATGAGAGAAGAATGGAAAGATGCAACACAGACCTGTAGGTGACCATGCTCTATATACCTGTGCAGGAGGTCGATTTCGAACGAGGTTGAACACACAATTCATTGTGCATATTGCATGAGGTTACCCAGCCATCGCATGGCGTATTCACTTCAGCTGCGAGCTGCTGATCGTGGTCTAGAGTCGCCGAATCGGATTGGTTGAGTGAGCCGAAAAACCATGGTACGAAGCGAAGGTGGAGTGGTAAAGATGGAAAATCGATGGCAGGGATAAAATGGCGTCAAAAGTGGGTTGATGCCAAGCCTCGTTAAGCTTCTGACCGAGTTTTGATTGGTGGTTGCGCCCCAACCTCCCGCGGACTAAGCCACTCTCAGAACTATAAACAAAGCTAGCACAGTTACCATAGATTTTCTACCACATGTTCCCCACTATGATGGCCACATGTTGACGGTAGATGGCTGGGAGGTTGAGGATGGGACTTTCGCAGCATGCATGAGGTGGACTTCGGATATCCGTACCACTCGAATCAAGAACGGTGAAGGCACTATGCATGGTGAAAAACTGCATCACTCAGCCAACCTATGGCGGAGCCTTCACTACCGATACAATGTTAACCATTATTGCCCGGACTACCACATGAATCCCGTGGCTCAACATTGTTCAACAGTTGGTAGCATTCATTCAAGGAGTACTGATAACGTATCTCAACAAGAATCTTGCCTGCACAATCGTTAATGGCGCACAATGACAAAATTCGAGAAGGCTGGACGCGGGTGTGCACTCTATTCACAAGATTAATCAATAATTTGGATAGCCTGCCCCTCCTTATTCGTCGTGGGCGCTGATGCAGTGCCTCATACACTTCAATTGTAAATAATTTGATTACGCCTTCCTTGTCTTGGGGGGGTACGTTGTGCTCCTGCCACCTGAAAATAGAACCACGGAAGAACGCTAAGCGAGACACTAACGTGCAACCACCCGGTAACAAATCCCAAGGCTGGTGTTTCAGCCTCCTTAGCCTGGATTTAGTCCCGGATCTGGCCTATGGTCTCGGAGTAATCGGGACTTGATTTGATGATGCAGTGATCGAGGAACGGATATGACACGAACGACAAGGAAATGGTACGAGCTTGATTGATGTATCATTATGTCATTAGTCATTATAGCAGTACAATGCCTTGGGGCTGCGAGTGTGTAGCTTCCCTACGTTCTGTCTGGGTTTTGTTCAATCTAGTTCTATTTACTTTTGCAAAGAAAATCACTTTTTTTTGTCGAGCTTTGTGCCACTCCAAGGCCAACCAATCTCCCGTAACCTAAAATCAGATGTTTCCAATGAAAAATCACGCACCAATAATTTCGTGAGGAGTCATGTCTATGGCGACAAGACCAAGGCAAGGAGAGCCATTCGAGTGTAAAGACCATAACGCATTTGTCTGAAGTATGCTGCTCGTTGATCAAAGTCGACCTCCTCGCTGATTTCACGATTTCGAGGAAGTGGATGCATCACAATCATGCTTGATTTCGCGTGTTTGAGGACACTGTTGTCGACAAGAAGGCTGTCTTTGAGTCGCTCATATTCTTCCAAGCTTGGGAATCGTTCCTTCTGCACGCGAGTACAGTAGAGCACATCGCTCCTGGCGACAATTTCTGGAGTGAGGGTCTCTGACTCAACTCCCAACATTCCAGAAGCCACTAATTGATCTCGTACCTCAGATGGCAATGCTAGCGCCTTCGGTGACACTAGGTTGACACGCACCTCGTAGTACTGGAGAAGTTTGACCAATGAATGCACCGTCCTGCCGTACTTAAGATCGCCAGTGAATGTTACGGTTAGGCCGTTGACGGTTCCAAGCTCCTCTCTGATCGTGAAAAGGTCCAAGAATGCCTGAGTTGGATGTTCACGACTTCCGTTTCCACCATTGATGATTGGTACAGGTGAAAATTTAGCTGCGGTCGCGGCCGATTCATTATCAGGATGACGGAGAACCACAGCATCACCATAACAACCGAGAGTACGGATGGTATCTTGCAGGGTCTCACCCTTTTTCGTGCTCGAATGATCTGTGTTGATGGCAATAGTGCGGCCACCTAGTCGTTGCATTGCCGCGTCGAAAGATGCTGAAGTCCTTGTACTAGGTTCGAAGAACATGGTACACAGTACTCGAGAGGACAGGATGGGTAAGATACCTTGACGTTGTACACCTAGTCGCATCTCTTGGGCCACAGTGAATAAGACGTGCAAGTCTTGGCGAGTATATTGATTGACAGACAAGACGTGACGATTCTTGAAGGGTGAAGAAGCCAGTAATGAGAGTAGGGATGGCGAAATAGTAGATGGTGCTTGTGGTTGTTGAAACGCAGAAGTCGGCAACAAAGGACTGCTGGACTCAAGCACCTCATCCATATTGCGAGCACGCGTAATTGGTCGGCTTCGAGATGTGATCGAAAGACGTCTCGAAAGGCCGGTGTCAAGAACTGATGTGCGTCTGTCAATCGCACTTTCTTGTGCACGGATTGTGGGAGACGAAGTTACAGCCTCAGATTGAATTGAGTGAATGAGGTGAGACGACATGTCCGTTCCATTCGGTCTGTCGAGGAGAATCTCTCCATCAAGACAGACAGTCTTACCCTGAAATACAACTCTAGAAACACCACCTCGTAGTGTTCTTCCAACAAATGGTGACCATACGTCTCCAGCTTGAAGCACATAAGGTCGATCAATGTCAATTTCAACCGATGTTGTAGTCTGGTCGTGTAGCTCAAAGATTGCCTTGGGATTGTCATGCAAGCGCTTGGTGACGTCGTCGATGGTCATCCGGCCCTCGGAAACAGCCGTCAGAAGCAAAGGCAGAGCGTCCAAAATACCAACGGTCGGAACCGCCTTGTCGCCAGCAATTTGATATGGCAAACTACCAATCGAAAATACATCGATAGTGGCAAGATGATCCCACAAAGCCTTTTGGTCTTTGATAGAAGGCAATGCTAGACAGTCTGGGTAATCGACTTGCGACAGGAACAAACTATAGATTGAAACGTCGCACGTGACCTTCAATCCCTTCTCCTTAGATAGGGCAATAAGGCTGATGTCATCTTTAGATGTAACATTCATAACGTGAACCTTTCGGTCATGTAAGCTTGCTAGCAGGAGAATTGAAGCCAAGTCAGTTGTTCTAGCATCAGTCATGATGGGCTTGTATGTTGGCCAAGTACCAAAATGTGAACCCACTGTGGCGACCTTGTTGATATTACCAGATGACAAATGGTTGAAGGGGATGAAGAGGGATCCCACTTCTCCTTTGACGTGAACAATTTGTTCCGAGTTCGAATCAGTAGCTGCAACCGAGAAGTTGAAGTCACTGTACGCTCCATATTCAGTATTAGACTGAGCCACCTTCAACGACCTCGCATCAATGACAGCGCTGTTGAGTCCCACTGGCATTATTCTGATCATGCTAAAGCCTGCTGCAACTGAAGCCTTGCTCACGAGGGAAAAATCATGAGAACCCTTCTCGGCGACGCCAGGTACGAAAGCCGCGATGTTGATGAGGCCGGGTAGAACGACTGTACGGTGACTAGTTTGGAAATCAATATTCCGAATTTTCAGATCATAGCTTCTGGCCATGGCTTCGATCAGAATTTTTGCGATCTTGACGTTAGTGATAAGAGGTGTTTGATAATCAACAGCCATTCTTCTTGTTCGGTATCCCTTGCTCATGTAATTGGCTGGACGTCTGTACCTGTTGCTAGATGGGAGATTGATATATAGATCAATCTTATTGTTGGCAAGATGCTGTGTTAAAGAGTATTCCGACTTTTGATCTTTATCATCAGCTCCGAGGACTTCTAAGAATTTGGCTTTGATACCATGTTCCTCAAGGAAATCAGCAGTACCGGCGGTAGCGAAGAGATTGTAACCAAGTTGATGCAGCTTGCGAACTGAAGGAAGGATCTCCATCTTATCCTTGAAAGAGCCAACGGACAGCAGGATGTTCTTTTCAGGTAATTTGAAACCCGTGGAGATGGTAGCCTTGAGGTAGGCTTCAAAGCGGTCACGGCCGAAGCTGGCAACCTCACCAGTAGATGCCATTTCAACACCAAGCACTGGATCGGCACCAGAAAGGCGTGAGAAAGAGAACTGTGGCGCCTTGACACCAACATAGTCGACAGGGATATCGATTGGAGGATATGGAACAATTGGCTTGTCCATGATGACTTTGGTCGCCAATTCAATCAAATCCAATCCCATGACTTTGGATACGAAAGGGAATGATCGAGATGCACGAACGTTACATTCGATGACCTTGATCTCATTGTCTTTTGCGATGAATTGGATGTTGTATGGTCCAGTCACATTGAGGGCGTTTCCAATCTTTCGTGTAGCTTCCTCAATTCTAGCAATCGTCTCGGGTTCAAGATCCTGTGGAGGGCAGATCAGTGTCGCATCTCCAGAGTGCACACCCGCATTTTCGACATGCTCGGAGATGAAGTGTCCCACCATGACACCATTTTTGGCCACAGCATCCATCTCGATCTCTTTTGCGTTCTCGATATACTTGGTGATCACCACTGGATGTTCTCTCGAAACCTCGACAGCTTGGTTGAGATAACTTGCCAAGTCATCTTTCGAGTATACAGTGTTCATCGCAGCTCCAGACAAAACATAAGAAGGACGAACAAGCACAGGATAGCCTACATTCTTGCAGAAATCCAGTGCCTCCTCAATGCTTGTGAGTTCCTTCCATGAAGGCTGGTCAACACCAATTTGATCGAGCATACGAGAGAACTTCCATCGATTCTCAGCCGAGTCAATCATCTCTGGTGAGGTTCCCAAGATCTTAACGTTGAGTCTGTGAAGCGGTAGGGCAATATTGTTTGGTGTTTGTCCGCCCATGGAAATGATAACACCACTTGCTGACTCGAGTTGATAGATATCTAGAACCGTTTCGAGGTTGATGTTTTCAAAATACAATCTATCGGCTTCGTCGTAATCGGTCGAAACCGTTTCTGGGTTATAGTTGCACATGACGGTCTTGTAGCCCTGTTCTCGCAATGTTCTGATGGCCCGGACTGAACACCAGTCGAATTCGACCGAAGAACCGATACGATAAACACCTGATCCGAGAACCATGACGCCCTTGTCATTGAAAGTGATGTCGCTCTCTGTGCCATTGTATGTCAAATACAGGTAATTCGTGTATGCTGGAAATTCTGCAGCCACTGTGTCGATTTGCTTCACAACTGGATGAATCCCTGCTTCTGCACGGAGCCGGCGAACCGCAAGTTCGTTCGAATTGAGGTAGCGTGCGAGTTGACGATCAGAGAAACCAAGTTGTTTGGCTTCACGGATCAAAGATGGGGGTGCACTCGTTGCATTGAAGTTAGATATCAATTTGGCAAAGTCGCTGAGACCTTTCAGACGGGACAAGAACCACTTGTCGATTTTGGTCATTTCCCAAATCTTGTCCACAGAATAGCCAGAGTTCATTGCATTTGCAATTGCAAACAACCTCTGGTCCGAAGGGGTTTGGAGCTCATCATCGACAGACATCAATGGGTTGGAGATGTCTGAGAAACCAAGATTGTGAAAGTCTACAGAGCGAATTGCTTTTTGGATAGCTTCCTCAAAAGTTCTTCCGATGGACATGACTTCACCCACACTCTTCATCGAAGAGCCAAGTTGGGTGGAAACTCGAGTGAATTTTTTGAGATCCCATCGTGGAATTTTGACGACGACGTAATCGAGAGAAGGCTCGAAGCAGGCGCAAGTCTTCTTGGTGACTGAGTTTGAAATCTCATTCAAGGGAATGCCCAAGCCGAGTTTTGCAGCAATGAAAGCCAAGGGGTATCCGGTTGCTTTTGAAGCCAAAGCCGACGAACGCGAAAGTCTGGCATTGACTTCGATGATGCAGTATTCTCTGGAGAACGGATTTAGAGCATATTGGATATTGCACTCTCCCACAACACCGAGATGGCGAATGACATTGACGGCTGTTGTTCGCAACATATTGTAGTCTTCATCAGATAACGTCTGCGAAGGCGCAACCACGATAGAATCACCAGTATGAATTCCAAGAGGATCAAAGTTCTCCATATTGCAGACTGTAATGCAATTGTCGCGAGCGTCTCGGACGACTTCGTATTCAATTTCTTTCCACCCTTTCATGCTTCTTTCGATGAGGACTTGAGGACTTGCTGCAAAAGCCTTTGTACATAGTTCTCGTAATTGATCTGTATCTTCGGCAAAACCACTTCCAAGGCCACCCAAAGCATAGGCGGCTCTGACAATGACGGGAAAACCAATGTCTTCCACTGCTCGCATAGCCTCATCAATGTTTGATGCTGAGGCGGACTTTGCACATTTTTCTCCAATAGATTCCATACTTCTGGCAAATAGCTCACGATCTTCAGTGGTGATGATTGTGTCAATTGGAGTACCCAAGACCTGAACTCCCAGGGATTCAAATTCGTCCTTGAGTTGGATTCCAACTTGTAAAGCAGTTTGTCCGCCGAATGTGCAGTATATTCCATCTGGACGTTCGTGCTGGATGACTTTACGCACAAAGTCGGCATTGACAGGTAGGAAGTAGACCTTATCAGCTAGGCCTTTTGATGTCTGAATGGTGGCGATATTTGGATTTATCAAAACGGTATAAATACCTTCCTGTTTCAGGGCTTTGATTGCTTGACTACCAGAGTAATCGAACTCGCCAGCTTGGCCAATACTGAGGCCCCCACTTCCAAGTACGAGCACCTTCTTGACCTTGACCCGGGGGTGGGCTTGATCGTTTTCTTCAATCGTGCCGCCAGGGAATGTGACTGGTTCGAGCAATGCCTCTACTGAAGCAACGCTCTTGGTGATAGCATCAATGAACACGTCAAACAAGATTTCAGTATCCCGTGGACCTGGGGTAGATTCTGGATGGAATTGTACACTGAAATATGGTCGCCCAACATGTCGAATACCCTCGTTGCTACCGTCGTTGGCATTTACGAAGAGTTCTTGCCACCCATCAGGAAGTGTCATAGAATCGACTGCGAAGCCATGATTCTGGGATGTGATGTAGCAACGGCCTGACAGTAGATTGGTGCATGGAATATTGTGACCACGATTGCCAAATTTCATCTTGAGAGTACTGGCACCTGCTGCGCGAGCAAGCAATTGATGACCAAGACAGATTCCAAAGATGGGTGTTCTTCCTTCCTTCATTGCCTCGGCAATGTGTTTGACGGTTTGTGTCAACATTGCCGGATCACCAGGGCCATTGGAGATGAACAACCCATCATAATCTTTGCCAGCAAGTTCCGGAAAATTGTAATCCCAAGGAACGACCATGACTTCAACACCCCGGGAGAGAAGACATCGCAGCTGGTTGTACTTCAGTCCCACATCAACGACGACAACTCGTACTGGTCGACCGGAGGGATGCAGTAAAGCCCTTTCATTTGGGGGAGCGATAATTCGGGGGGCCTTGACTGACACCTCTGCAACCAAATTGCGTTCATTTTGGTCATGCCAGTCGACCTGATCGACCTGATCACGCCAGCTGACCGGTCCAGCTACAACATCACCATTTGGTGTGGAGCTGGACTTGACACCATTGGTGAGCTTTGTGGGTGGGGTCTGGCTTGCATGCAACATTCTTCCGAGCATACTGCCTTCCTCTCTGATGATCTTGGTCAAAGCTCGTGTGTCGACTCCGTACATGGCAGGCACACCTTGTTCCTTCAACCAAGTTCCCAAGGATGATGTCGCAAGATGGTGCGAGTAGCTCTCCCCGGCATACGAGGCAACCACGAGTCCTGCCACGTGGATTTGATCGGACTCAAAGTGCTTGGGTAGATCACCCAATAATTCATCGAGAGTTTCTCGGGATGGAACGCCATAATTACCAACCAGGGGGAAGGTGATGACTAAGATCTGACCTCGATATGATGGATCTGTGATGGATTCTGGATATCCGACCATTCCAGTTTGGAAGACCAATTCTCCGGATATGCTTTTCTCAGCACCAAAGCTGAGGCCTTCGAAAACTTGGCCATCTTGGAGTTCTAGGTAGACTGACCGCTGTTCATCTTTGAACGAATGAGCGGTGGCGATGGGATTGAGGGAAGCCATTGAGAGAATTTCTGTGTTGGTCACTCCCACAGTTGCAGCAACAGTTGGGCTTCTAGGTAGCAATCCGTTGCTATGTGGTTGTCCGTGGCTGATCGCTGCAGCAGCCTGGGACATGGTAACAAAGAGTGTGAAGGTCTGCTCTAGGAGCAGAGGGCAGATCAAAGAATCATTTGCCTCCTCAACTAGTTATCGAGGTCCAAGATCGACTGATTTATTGATTGAACCAAGACAAAAGTGTCAGCTGAAAAGGACTCGACGGTGAACCTCTTTGAAAGACAACTGAGATCTGAGAATCTTTTTGATGCCAAGGCGCTATGTTTTTTTTGCACGGGAGCGCCCCTGGGATTTACCCAATCAACGCGTTAGACTCGCGCATCACCCCACTTTTGTGCGCGAAAAGGTGAATATACGAGTCCTCTGCGTGTGAGGGCAGTCACAGCTTTGGGTAGGAAGCAGGAGCGACCGCCTCAGGCTTTACTACTACTGTACTTAGGTACCTAGGTAAGTAGCAATCAAACCCTAGATATACAGTCCTTGGGGGCACAGAATCGAGTCTCCTTAGGTACAGGGTTGCGGATAACAAATCCTCTCCAGTTAAGAGCATGACATGCAAATGATGCAAACTTCCCCACGCTGCAAGTCAAGTCGCAACTCGCCTGTGCATAAGCGGCCAGGCTTCCTGCAGACGCCCCCAAGGACTCTCCAATCACCTTGGTCACCAACACCACCATCACCATCCCAGATCTCGTTATCTTTTCCATCAATTGCACTCTCCTCCGCATTCTCCCACATGAGCACCTGCTGTGAGGCAGCACAATAAATACATACTTTACTAAATGAGGTTAACATCATCGTCTTGATATTCTTGTTTCTTGCCCTTGTCCATCATCATTGCATGGTGGGGTGGCCCAAGTCCTTGTCCTTTAACTAATTGCTAACCCAAATTTCCTGTGCCGTGTGTTTTGCCCTGTTACAATCCCAGCATCCTTCATCAACACCACTTTGGCACACCGACTCGTGCTCTCTCACCTTTCTTCCTCGACAGAGTTATATAACCCTCTAAATCCAGTTCATCCTTCCTGTCCATCACATCTTCTCTCTCGAACTGATGGACGGCAAGCCATCACCCTGCTTGTGGGTTTGACTGCTGTTGACTGCATTTTTGGACATCTTTTCTCTCAACACATCCCGGCCTTCCCACTTTGGCCGATCCGATGCTCTCGTCCTTCTTGCGGCCTGCTCGAAGCAGACAGCGTCGAGATCGTTCCCCCTTTTCTTCCTCTTACGCACCGACCGTGCGGTCTCCAGATGTTTCCCGGAATAATACACAACGCGTTCGCAGACGTTCCTCTGGCCGGGATCATGACAATGTTATAACAGAAGAAGAGGACGAAGACGTCGAGTCTGATGCTCTTGAAAACGAGGACGACGATGACGAGGATGAAGACGAAGATGAAGAGCACAGCGACTCCGATGAGGATGGCCCCGATGACAATACTCCATTGCTCCCAATGTTCTCCCCTGCCCGTCTGGACTCTATACCCATCTTCACCCTGACCCATGCTTTACGAACCTTGGTGACTTCGAAATGTGATACTGTTCTCACCTGGGAACAATTGAGATCCCCTCAAATCTCGCAGTTTCTTCTCAAACCAATCGAGCAAGAGATTCGTAACAATCACTTTAATGCAGCCACGGAGTATGCACTCATGGCCAATTGTCTACAGTATACCAAGGAGGGCGCTATTTCATCGGGAAATAGCGGTGCCAATAAAACTCGTGCTATGATCTGTGAGCTTCTCTGCATTAAGCTGCTGAGAGATCATTCCAATCGAGAATTGATCGATGCTCTCTCATATGACTTTGATCCCTTACAAGGACAAACCAGCGGCCCTGATATTGCCACTAACGGTGGACAACGACAGGTGGAAAACCACCGAAGAGCTGCACAGAGACCGGCGCGGATATCATGTTTCGAGATCGCAATCCGAGCTCAAGCGAAGCGATTTCTTGCACACCCACTTGTGGTCAAGCAATTGGAAGCCATCTGGGCAGGTACTATTGTTTTTCATTCTGCTGCTGATAACATGCATCGAGTAGTACCGTTTATGAGGCAGCAGCCACCAAGATCCTACGGGACTACCGAAGATGGAGCACCGGCCAGGACAATTCAAAGCAGTGGGCATCCTCTACGGCGAGCAGTCACTCTGTACAATCCTCGTGATGCATCCTTGTTCAAACTCTCTCGTCTGCGAGTTCCACGTTACCGAAATATACTTTCGACCATGTCATTTGCGGTCTTACTCATCTTGTTTGTTGCGGTCCTGGTCGAGAGATCATTGGAGATTTCGACTCTCGAAGTCGTGTTCTGGTTCTGGGCTGCTGGGTATATGCTTGACGAAATTGTGGGCTTCAACGAACAAGGCTTTGGCCTATATCTCGCTAGTTTTTGGAATACCTTTGATCTCGGCATTTTACTCATCCTTCTTGTTCACTTAGCCCTACGGATTTATGGCATTGTCATGCCAGATGTCAGGAAGCATACAGTCGCCAATCTAGCATACGACGTGCTTGCAGCCGATGCCATTCTACTATTTCCTCGACTCTTCTCAGTTTTGGACCACTATCGCTATTTCTCCCCCCTGCTTATCGCGTTTCGATACATGGCCGCGGATCTTGTCGCCGTCTCCCTACTGATACTCATCAGCTGTAGTGGGTTCTTCGTCGCATTAACATTATCCTTTGGAAACGATGGTGTTGACACCCCAAGCTCGGTGGCTTATGCTCTCCTCCAGATGGTCATGGGTTTCACTCCAGCAGCGTGGGACAGATGGGACAGTTACAACGCACTTGGAAAATTCATCTTGACATTGTTCCTATTCATCTGCCATTTCTTGGTGGTGACGATCTTGATCACCGTTTTGACAAACTCATTTATGGCTGTGGTGCGAAATGCTCACGATGAACATCAATTTTTGTTTGCTGTGAATACTATATCACATGTCAAGTCGGACGCGTTGTTTTCATACGTGGCGCCGACAAACATCCTCCAATGGCTACTCGTTCCTGTGAGGTATTTTGTTCCTTTCCGGCAGTATGTCAAACTGAACCGAACGACGATCAAAGTTACACACTTTCCGCTACTATTTGTGATATACCTCTATGAGAAGGCTGTGTTGCAGTCGACTGTCTTTGACAGCATGGATCTAGTGGAACGACGTGGCAGACCAAAAAGATCTACCACTACAAAGTTGACCCGCCTAGTTCGAGCTCCATCAATTGCCACCTTCCGACAAGACATGGCCCTAGAAGAAGTCTTTCGACGACCTTTCGACAGCACGATGCGAAATAATCATCATAACCGCGATCAGCGTAAGGCTAGCAATGTTGTGAACACCTGGATGAAGGATATGGGAGATGATATTGCAAGCCCTCCACCCGAGCAAGATCATCAAATTGTTGATCGTTTGGAAGGGAAGGAAGTTACTCCACGACGGAGCTCACGAATCCCACACTTCAGCAGGCTTCGAGACTTTTCCCGTCGTACAATGTCGGTGGCTTCCGATCCAGAAGAGTTTGCAACCAATGCCGACTTTCTATCTCCGCGACCAATGCCAGTACTGGACAATACAACACCCTCTGCACTAGAAGACTCCATGCATCACACGGATGCCGATGGTGACGATGAACTTCATACACATGATGAGGCCGATGAAGAGGATGCTGCAACTTTTGCCCAACCTTCGCCAGGTGACCATGCTACTTCCAACATACAGGACAATGTTCGTGCTTCTCAAGACTATTTCACAACCCGAAGATCCCCAACGGCGTCAAGACTTGCAGCACAAAATGCCTCAACGATCATTGAGAACGCTAAGGGAGAACAGAGTGCTTCTGATGCTGATACCCCATCAAACCCATCGTCAGAAAGTCGACCTCGGCATACACGGAATGTCTCAACTGCGACGATGATATTCAAACCAGCAGATTCGGGCACTGATAAGTCATCGTCACGAGGTGCGACAGCTATTCAATTGTCTGCTCCAGGGTCAGGGGCTCGCACACCGGTTTCAAAGCCAGTCTCGCAAACTGCCGGCCATCGAACGCCCAAGCGTGGTGGACCCGGTCCCAGTAGAATGCGACCGCTTTTACCAACCAAGGACGATCCAGCGTTCCGTTCTACGCCGAACTTAGCTGGCGTTATGGAATCGAGGAATAAAGCTAACCAAACAAAACGTCGGCGGTCTTTGGAGATGGACCTCGTTTCGGATATTGGAGACAATCGTGCGATTGGTGAAGGTTACGTGGGTGCCCTCCCTGCCTCATTTGCCTCAGCACTCGCCCAAGGAGCAGCTGTGGCGAGGCATGCAAAAGAGAAGGAGATGAAAGAAGAACAAGAAATGTTTACCAAGATCATGATGGCCAGAATGAACAGTCTCGAAGAAGGCTTCAGAGAGGTCATTCATGAAATGAGAGAAAACATGAGAAATGACGACAACAGAAGTCGAAGTCGAGGCCGGGCTGCAAGACCACCTGCTGCCCCGAAGGAGAAGCGTGTCAAGGAGAAGGATCGTGAACGGCCCACGACGTCAGGCGGGAGTAAAGAGAAGACTACTGACCTACGTGTCGAGAAGAAGCAACCTCAACAAACTTCATATGCAGAGGTTGCTTTGGCCACCAAGGCTGGTGAAGACGACAAGGCTCAACAAGGGCCAATTGAAGAGGAGGCCGCAAAGAATGATCCTTAATTAGCAAGCGGTGTAGGGATACAATTGCTCGAGATATTCTCTCATATCTGCGTTTGCTGGCCATCCCGTGGTCCAGACCGTCGTAGAAGAATCGAGGTGGTGTACATTTTCGGCGGGTGGTAAGCGTTCTTGATTTTTGTGTGGGAGGGGACCGCTGGTTCTATCAACACACGATGATACCCTGGTAGTGTTTGGCGTTCTTGGTCTAGGACCGGCTTTTCCAAGTAGCAAATAATCTTCAGAGCTTCTTTACAGGAGTGTAATCATAATTAAGATGATGCATCTAATAAGAACTGTTCATATGAACAAAGGCAGGTTTGACGGTTGACCACCTTGTGCATGTCATATATTATGTATGTCCACACAGACTCACCCTCGTAACGGCGGAACCCCAACGTTCAGAGTCGGCTTAGGCTAGAGACGGCTATTTCCGGGCGCTCCGGGGTCGGCTATCTTATAGATAAATGTCAAAAATCTCGCACAAAATCGACACACTAGGTTGTGTAGTGTAGCGGTTAGCACACGGGATTCTGATTCTGAATCTTCCCGTGACCCCGGTTCGAATCCGGGCACGACCTCTGGAGTTACTCATAACTTATTTCAATTTTTTTTGGAGTCGGCTTGCAATGGAAAAAAGTGTTCCTTTGGCATTTGCAAGGTTCAATATCACGCTAAGCTCTTTATGGCCAATTACTGGACTTTCCTCTTCAAGGCTTTGAACTTTTATTTTGTTTTTCACGACCAGCGACGAATACGCGGAGAAGGCAATGGCGGATAGTGATTTCAAACAAAACAAACGGAGGAGATTGGATTCATCCTCTGCGCGATACAGTACTTCTTTCACTGACACTGATCAGCTACACGGCCCTTTCCAATTCTCCAAAAGTGCTCCTTCACAAGAAGTGCAGAATGGCAAGTCAACTCAAAACAAACACGAACAACCTTTCAGGATGATCTAACAGTACGATAGCTGTTCAAAACTTCGGTGATTTTCTCACCGGCATCCAAAACAGCGCTGTCGCTGGCAACGACAAGACTGGCCAAGTTCAAATCTTGAAGAATTATTGTGATGAGCAATCCTCGGCTTCACACGAAGAAATCGACTTCCCTGACATTCTCGGCACTTGGGCACACGCTAGTGAAACGAACGATGAAGCAGTGCTTGCGACGGCACCTTCAGTGCTGGTACAATTCTTTCAAATCATCTCAGATCGACTCGATTTTCGCGACTTTGGCCTTTCATTGTGTCACAGCCTGTTGAAACGAGACCAGGTGCGATTGTTCGACAAGGCACTCTCTGCACCTCGAAGCAAGGATGCACTGATAGCCGTCAGCTTACAACTTCTCACAGAGATCATCAGCTTTGACGAAGGTGCACTTTCCAACAATGTCTTTGGACGTAGAGATACTCTCTACAGGAGACTTGATGGGATCCTAGGCAGTGCATTGTCAGCACAAGGTAAATTGCTCGCAGCACATCAATCAGCTTTAAGATTCCTTTCGGCAAACTTTAAGTACCTTGACACGACAGCCAAGACGGAGATCATCAATCACGGGAAGACCCTGTATTCGGCCATTCGCAGCCTTCCATCAGAAGCACCACACACTGTCCTCGAAACTTTGGACGCACTTGAGCGGTGGGTACTTGATGACAAGGCCTTGCCGAAGCAGCTCAAGGGCAGGTGTTTCAATTCTGGAGTCCTCACCGCACTTTCGAAGTTGTATGAATATGACCAAGATCTGCAGAATGTTCACGAGAGCGAACAAGCTCAGGTCACTGTACGAGATTCCTTGCACAGGCTCCTTCTTCGGTTATGTACCTCTACCGAGGCAATACTGCTTCCGCAGGCAGGCTGGTACCCAAGTGGTACTAATCCTGATATCATAGAACAAGATGAAAACACCATTGATTTAGGCTTGGACTCTCCATATTACTTTGACGACTATACGGAGAATGTTCCGGTCAAAAACGGCGGACTGTCAACGTTCATCCATGGGCTGAAGCCAGGAGAAGATCTCCTTCATGCAAAGTTGGTTAACGCCATCTTCGCCGCAGCTCCAGAACTGGTGGCCGAGTACATCTCGAAGAAACAGAAGTTCCTGGCACCATCTGGCGATGATCCACTCTGGCGAGGACAATTTGCCTTCTTGTTCTCCGTGGTCCAGCTTGACGTTCCGAAGAATTTTGGCTGGCCTGAACATCTCCCACAAACACCGCCTCCCCTCTCGATCGCGATTGAAAACATACTCCCGCGATCATTTGAACGTGCTACCTCCAGCAAATGTCTGCATTCAGAGGACGACATCGTCGTGTTCTCTACGCTGCGCTTCTTGAGCATTGCTCTCGACAAACTGGACTCTGTATTGAGAATTATAGATCAAGCAACAACCAAATCTCATCTGTGGAGTCAAGCATGGCTCAAGCTGGTCAATTCGTTCGTCGAGCGTGCGCCACCAGCCCAAGAGGTGGTTACAACTCTACAGAAGCTAGGACCGGACAAAGAACAACTCCGCACCAGTGTACTCGAGTGTCTTGCGAAATATTATAAAGTTCTGCCCTCTGCAGTGGCTGGGTTGAAATTCGATATCACCCCTTTGCTTAGCAAGGCTTTGATCAGTCTAGAGTCTAAGGACTCGGCCGACTCCCTACGAGAGACATTTCAACAACTCTCGCACGAGCTTGAAATCGCAACCGGGTCCTCCACAACCAAGTGGTGGCATAAAGCAACGTCAGAAAGCCTCTCGACAGCATCTCTTCTACTAAAATTCTGTGTGAACTGTACAGAACCCATCATAACAAAACAAGCAAGACATGTGCTCGGGGGTTTACTGTCTGGGAAAGGCGTGTTGGCCGCAACGAAGCAATCCCTAGATGCTCTCCTAACAAGTTTAACCTCGACGAAAAAATGGCAAGCAGAAACCACCACGTATCAGTTCCTCGACAATTGCATGATACGTACAATACAACGACCAGTAAAGTATCTTGATCCCATTGAAAATCTACAGATCCAGGAATCGGACAAGAAAGAACTCAGTCTTGTGGCATGTTGCGTGGCCGAGCAATGGTCTTTTGTACTAAAGAATGAAGACAATAAAACCGCTGTGAAGAATATTGCAGGATGGATCGCACGATTTTACACGGCACTGGACTCTGCGGGAGAGAATTATCGAGTGCTTATGAGTTTCCAGAATGATATGCTCATCGCGGCCAAAGGCAATGAGGTGGCGCAGAAAGCTCTCATCAAAGCGTTTGAGCAACAGCGAAAGAAGCCTGCGATATTGACCGAATCTTTGTCATCTGACGATATTGGGGATGTGAGTGGTATCGATGTGGCTATGGACTCTACGGACCATGTACTTTCGCCTCATCAAAGCATCGACCTCACAACCGTCTTCGCCCCATTCCCAGTAATCCCCAAATCTATGAATGGACTCACTCGCTGGGAGAACCCGGACTTCGAGTCTGACGTTCAATCAGGACGCCTGGGCAATTTGATCCGCTGCCTGATCAGCCCAGACCATGAGATCCGTCTGCAGGCATTCCACACGCTGCAGACAGTGATGCACGCAGTCGAGCAATCAACCTACACCGAGAAGACACAATTATACCTCCTCCTCGGCGAAGTCAGCGAGACCATCAGGAACCACCATAGCAACCACACCACGCAACAGCAATCAGACGGTTCATCCGAGACCCAACCACCACCGTCAGTCATCTCCGCGCTCGCCAACTCCATCCTAAACGTCATCTCCGACCCCTCCTCACCATTCTACCAGAAAACCAACGCCTTCCTCCTGCGCAGCCCGTCATGGAACCTCAACCACGTGATCCAACGCTGGGCGAACTCCGTCTTCCACACGGAGCCGGAAAGCGACGACACCTTCGCCCTCCCCGGCGGCGCTCCCAGCAACCCTGTCCTCCTGACCAGCAACACCGCATCCGAAAGCAAAAACGCCCAGACCCAGGAAATCTCACACTTCATACACACAATCCTCATCCCCTCGATCCGCACGCCCGCAGACGTCGACCTCCTCCGCCGCGCGCAGATCTACACCCGGCTGTTCACGTACTACGCGGCGCCGATCTGCCCCAGTTCGCTGAGGAAGCTGATCTTGCAAGTCGTGCACCAGACGTGTCTGGTAGCTGGTGGGAGCGAGATGCTGATCACGCGGACGGGTGTGCGCGAATGGTTGCGCGTCGTCCGCGAGGTTCGTGGGCACAGTGGCAGTGGGGCTGGGAGGGCGGGGAAAGTCGATATCGAAATGAGGGAGTTGGTGAATGCTGTATTGCTGGAGATTGGGGAGACGTGTGATAAGGCGGTCGTCGAGAGGTGGGAAGCCATGAGACCGCTGTTCAAGATTGCTGGCACCGAAGATTGAGGATTTGATTCGCTCGGGGAGTATTCGTGTTGGTGCTGGGACATGGTGTGCTATAGTTGGTCAGTGTATCGCTGCATCCTACCGTGCAAAGATCCTGAGCTAACTAGACTGTACTATTTTTTCCACAAAGACGACTCGTCCATTGCTAAGCTCGTGAACGATATTTCTGTCTCTGTTACTCGTCATTGGAGCAAGCCATGAATGAGTTGCTGAACTTTGTTTGTTACTGATGGAAGTTCTCCTACAGTCAGTCACAAGACGATTAGAATAATAGCTACACGATGAAACTTGATAGATGGAAGAGCGGTTTTATGTCGACTTTCAAAGGAGAAGACGCAAAATACTCTTGTACACACACAGATACATACAGTCCATGGAGGGAAAATAGTTTACACACACCATCTGCTATCATCCTGAAGGGGTTCTCGTAGTCGACACTGCAACGACTTGACTTGCACACCTCTCACATAACGTAACTCGGATACAGGAAAGCAACAAGATGCACAAGGTGAACCCCCCAGGGTCTTCCATGTGTGACAATCACTAGCCAAGCACTTGGCTTATACCGTGCTATAAATACAATGTAGTGTTTTTTTCAGCTATATCTTTGGATCGACTTTAGGAAAAGTATAACAGAAATTTCTCAGACCTAGGAAGAAGATTTGTCCTACACGTTTCTACCGCAGTGATAGTGACTCATTATCATAACGGCCTTGATACAGTAAACAGTTCCTGTCCGCTCGTTCGTACTCGAGGCTCACGTGCCTCGTGAGCAAATCGGTTCGTCCAAGGCTGGCCACGCGCTGTGGGCAAGGGGCGACCATGGACAGCATAAGAAGGTGCCGTTGGATCAGTTCATGTCATCTCTGTTTTCTGATATAATATATACAAACAAAAGTTCCACATCGCACGCATGCTTTCAATCTATGAAACGTTGCTTTCCTGTGACTGTGGTATAGATACTGTAGGGTATGGGATAGAAGTAAATTCGCTTCCGCTTTCTTGCTGCTTCTTGAATTTTGCAGTGACGAAGATATTTCAAGAATGACTCCGAAACCAAACGTTGACTCTTTGATAGGGGTGCACTCTGTCTGGTTGTTTCTCGTAGATGTTTCTGATTTCTCTGCCTGGGGCTGTATGATGAATCGATGACAAAACTCATGACAGCTATCTGTGTCATGAGATGACTGTCTGGCGCCCGCAGACAAACATTGATTGATCTCGATAACTCGGGATGAGTTTAGAAGCTCATCAGATCTGCAGAGGAGTTAGCAAGACTTGCTTCCGTACACGACAACGACCGAGGAGACTTACCTCTTCCAAACAAAGCTCTCTTACTCCAGTCCATGGCCAACAAGATCCGTGTTCGAATACTGACACTCTGCGCGAAATAGATACTTCTCCAGAGGTAAACAGCCATCAGACCACCACTGAAGTTCAGCCCACCGAAGTCAAAAACCGCCGCATTACCGATGTAGGCAAGACTACCCATGTGTCGATATTCGAAAGCCTTGTAGACTGCTTCGTCCAAGTCACCGAAATCGACCTCGTTGGCTCTGAATCCCGGAATGGCGGCGGCGATCTTATTGAATTTCCTACCCAAATACTGGCCTTGTTGGTTGGCTCTTTGAGCTGTTGCTGGAAGAGATGTGAGTTTGTTGTCGATCTGAACAAGTAACTCATGCAGTTCGCCGAAATCTAGAGTCCCAGACTGGTCCTTGTCGTATTCCTGGAACAGTTTATCGAGTCGCTTGAGGTGACCCGCTGCCTGTGGGAATCGCTTTCGAACTTTCTGTGCCACATTTCGCCAGTCTTGAAAGGTGATATGTAGCTTATCAGGATCCTTGCCCTGTTCATAAGCCATGCCACGAACAAAGGTGGTCAAATGATCCGCAATGTTGTTCTGTACAGTAGAACAATCTCCAATTGCATAAACATCACCAAGAGGAGTACCTAGAAGTCTCAGATGGGTGTCCGTCTCGAGTGCATGCTTGTTATTCTGGAAATCACCAAGCTTCTTGGCAAGTTTCTGGCTCAGCTCAGTTTGAGCGACGCCGGTGGACCAGAGACAGAAACCCATCGGAAGTTCTTTGGTGACGGGCTTGCCATCTTCCATTTGTGAGAAGAGGATCTTATCAGGTTGGACCTCCTTTACACGGGCATTAGTTAAAACCTCCACTTGATCGTGCTCGAACCGTTTCTCGGCGTAGACCGATAAGGCTTCATCGTAGGTATTCAAGATATGGCCACGGGATTGAATGACATGAACAGAAACCTCATTTCGTAGAAGTCTCGGGAACGAGTTGAGAAGATCTTCATTGAGCATGTCGTAAAGTTCAGCAGCAAATTCGACTCCGGTTGGTCCACCGCCACTGATGACGAAGGACAACAATCTCCTCCTTTCCTCGTCCGAGGTTGTAGGTAGACAGGCCAGTTCCAGATTTCGCAGGACTTTATTCTTGATGAGGCGAGCGTCTTCGATAGTCTTTAAGAAATTGCAATTCTCCAAGCCTTTAACACCATGAGGATTGGTGGTGGATCCAACACCAACCACAAGCTTGTCGTAAGGGAGGTAGAAGGATTGTTTCTCTCCGTTAGCATCGACCTGACATACTTCAACCAGCTTGTGGGAGAACTCAATATCAACAGCTTCAGCCCTAAGGAAATGGCCTCTCAGTCGATTGACAATCCTGCGGACAGGTTCAACCAAGGACCGCAATTCCAAGGTACCGACCGTGGCAGAAGGAAGCATGGGAGTGAAGAGGAAATAGTTATCGGGAGAAACAACGGTGACGTGATAGTCTCCCGGATTGAGCTCCTTCAGCATGGCAACACTACCCCAGCCAGTACCCAAGATAACAAGCTTTGGTTTGTGTTTCTGCTCGAGCATACTCTCACAATCCTCATCGTCGACCAAGACTTTAGCTATTGGCAAGTTCTTTGGACCTCCCCTTTCTGGTGACAGAGCCGCCTCCGCAACGGGGATATCGCCTTTATTGGCTTCTTCTTTATAAGTGGAGGCATCGTAGACGAAGAAGGCGACGACGAGGGTACCGCTGAAAACGATGAAGATACCTGTCCATGCAAAGACACGATACATGAATCGCGCCACAGGGCCATGGTGATTAGGGAGGTCTTTGGTTGAGATGTGGCGGATTGATCCGGGAGAGAAGGGTCGCTGCAGCTGCAGCTGGCGTCGACATTGCCGCTGAAGTATAGATGACGGTCGGGTCGCAGGGAGTGTATGGGAGAATCTGATAGCGTGAGGAGAGGAGATTAAGGGTTGAAATGAGCGAGATCGAGAATAGAGAAGGTGTCGTCGAGGGGCGCGGCGCAGGAGGCCATTGCGGGCAATGCGAGGTATAGTCTCCATGATCGAGGAGTGGGTTGTGGATAATTCACCTCATGATGGAACAGGAGATATTGACGAAGGATCCGTTGGCAGAAGTTGGTGAGGATTTAGGAATGTAGATAGACGGAAGCTGGGAGAATGGATCTGGCGGAATGTTAGGATGTGCAAGATATGATACGAAGTAGTGGTGGTGTTATGACGGAATGCAGGATTGGAGAAGGAAGGTTTAACTAGGTTCAGCTGTGGATAAGTGGATGGGGACGGAAGAAGCGAGAAATTGCTTGTTGGGAAGCAGAAGAAACCGCTAACGGAGTCAAGAACATCAAGCTTAAGTTACAAGGAGAAGCACATGGTCTCGAGCTGGGAACAACTTAGTTGGTGAGCAAAAAGAAAAACATGGATCGTGCTCATTGCCAGTAAATCGGATCGATATGGGAAGCCCACGTCATGATCGACTCCAATCGCCAAAAAACTACTCCATCAACGACGCCATCTACATCCGTCAAGGCCGAGGACGGATGGTCCCTGCCGTGGACTTGAGATGGATACAACGTCCTACTGACTATCGAGTACTTAGTACCTGCTCAAGAATAGAGAAGAGAAACAGCTATCAACATCATTCATGAACAACTCCTGCGCTGTCCACTCTCTTTTTCATCTCGAAACTATGTGGGGTATCAATGTAAGTAAAGTACTGGTAACGTAGCATCTTTTATCGTGATCAAGGCATTGCCGTTTTTGTTTCAACCACAGCAATGCAATCTGGTGCCACCCAAACAACAAATGTCATTTCATTTGCTGGGCCGCTCATTTTTCATCATCAGACCTGGTTGATGCTGAACAACTCATCTCCCATCAGATAAACGCCACCTTCCTTTCTTCCTGGTCTATTGCCTCTTTAACCTGCAAAATCTGCATCCGGGTCCTCATGCGATGATATACTTGAAGAGCGTCGACCATTCTTTGGCGGTCTGCCCCGTGGTCTCTTGGGTGTACCGCCGATTGAGCCTGTACTTTTCCTCTTCTTTCCACGAGGGGCAGGCACACTGGCTTCATACCCATTGTCGACTGCGTAACCTTCGCCCTCATCTTCTGCAATCTTGACCTCATCATCGATTGCCACCAATGTCACAAATTCTCGGCATCTTGCCAGCATAGCCTCGGTGCTCTCCAACGATGCCAGCACCGAGTTGCTGTTGGTCCAAAATCGTTCACCAGTGATGCCGTGAACTCTGACTGGTTCTTTCGTCGCGTCTTTCGTTTGTTTCTGTTGCTGCATTGCCAGCTTCACATCGCGAGATATGCCGTATTGTCGTTTCAAGAAATTCCTCGCCTCGGAAACCAATGTCATTGCACATGCTGCCACGGAAAGCTGTCTCAATAAGACAGGATCGATCGGCGGCTCTTCTGGCTTAACAATAGCCGTTTGTTCTGCCATTTCCATTTCGCCATTGACTTCCATCGGTACTGTGACGGGGGCGACAGGCGCTGCAGGTGCAATATGAGTTTCAATGGCTTGAGCTAACTCTCCTCCGTTCTTGCCAAAAGCCAACTCGAGTTGTAATACTGTATGCAGCAATTCCTCCATCTTTTTGTATTCGAAGAATGCCAGATTTTGGGTGACAAACAGCACAAACAGAAGATGTGACGGGACTTCCGATTCTCCAATATTCAACTTCGAATGCTCCGTATTGAGTTTGGATATCAAACTGCTGAGGAACTTCTTCACATATTTTGAGCCACTGGTGCTGATAATGGTAAAGGCAGGCGAAAGTTTGGCTTTGAACGCAGGCGCTGTTGCACCACGGGGGTCTTGAAACACCTCGTTCTGGTATCTGAACGCCTCGTATACGGCGTGGATGTATTCTCTCTCACATACCGATTCATGTTGCTGATGGAGATGTTCATGGGCCGTCTTGGCCACACTCGACACCCGCAGTTCTGGACTCGTCTCAAGAGCCACAAATGCCGCAGTGCTCTGTTTAGGGTGAGTCATACCTTGATGGTCGATGCTCGCAAGGGCTTGAGCTGCAAGCAAAGCTTTCTCTCCCTTTTCTGACATCGCAATGCGTAAGAGATGATCAACCAGTGGATTGGTGATGGTTGAGATGGCGCTGTCATCTTCTCGGGCTTTGGTCGTGCCACCAATATTTTTCAGGGCTTGCACCTCACTCTCACCCTCCGCCTTGTCTAGCTCGGCCTTTGCGCCGGCACGAGTCGCATACAGCTCTGCAAAGATGCCAAGAACCACAATTTGCATTTTCAGAATGTCCGCCTCGGATACAGACTTGAGTGAGGAGCCGTCCAGGATTTGAAAGAAGCTTTCTCGGATATGTTTCTTGTTGAATTGTCCTGGCCATGCTTGACAGATAGAGCCCAAGCCTTCCAATGCCTTTGCCCTGACCTCCATGGCAACATCCTTGAAAGTAAAGGGCACAATCGAATCTGCAATGAACCCCGCCACAGAGCCGGCTTTGAAGCTTGGGAACTTTTGTCGGAATTCATGCGGGTGCTGCTCAAAGTCGATATATTTCGTAATCGTCCCGATTAGGCGCAGCATCTTGGTTCGTGTTCCGTTCTCTCTAGTTGCGACTGCCTCTGGATTTTCCTTCATCAGTTTTTCTCGAAGCTGTGCCGGAAGTTGGGGCCGAAGAACATTCTGGAGAATAGAGATTGCAAAGACCACAAGCTTGGTTGTGTTGTGTAAAACTCCATCAATGCTTCTCAAGCAGGACATGACTTCTTCCAAATCCTCACGTCGAACTACTTTGGGGCCAGCCTTCATCAGGTCCAGTTGAACATCCAGTAAAAGTTGGCTCTGGGTGCTTGACAAATGTGGCAGAACACAGCGGAAGATGGCCACCACAGATCGGAACTTCAAGAGATCATCAGACTGTGACAAGTCCTTCAGATAGCTTTTCAAGCCTGCCAAGTCCCCAGGAACGATTGTTTGAGGGCGAGCTTCTGCGAAAGCCACCAAGGTGGTCAATTCTGCTGGACCAGCTTCTGAACCATTCGCCATCTCAAGGAGGTTTTTGACAATACGAGCATAAAGCTGTTGCACCTGTTCGGCATTTTTGGAATCTTTGAGCTTCCATACCAGAAAGTCCTTGAGAATGGGACCCAGCCCGACAGTATCTTGACTGGTACACGACACAATGTGTGCTTTCAGGTCATCGATGGCAACTTCCGCGTGAGCGGACTCACCCGTAGAAGACAATAGCGCCAACTTCGGAACAATCCAGACATCCGTCAGTGTCTTTCTTGCTAATTCAGCCACCGATGCCTCAAGATCTGAAGTCCGTCGGAGAAATTCAGTGGCAATAGTTGTTTTGACATTGACCCTGGACTCCTTAAGATAAATATCTTTCAGGTGGCCAATGGATCGTTTCTGCACCCCCACATTCCCATCCCCAGCACAGGCCAATAATCGCTTGAACGCCTTTTGCTCGAGCGCTGGCCGAGGTACGATGAATTTGGCGATGAGAGATAAGGCTGAATCTCGAACCAAAGAAGAATCGTCTGAGGCGCATCTGAAGACGTCGTCTGCAATGGTGGGGTCCCAGTCTAGAAGGCTGGAATCGGTCTCTAGGATAGTGACAACACTTTTTAAGCTACGGCTTCGAACCTGTGCTTGATCGCTGGAGAGTGACGAGGCAAGTGTTTTGGCAATTTCTGGAAATCGTCGACAGAATCGCATGTTAAGAATGCAAAGCATATACGCCAATTGTGCTTCCTGGGGCGTTACTTGTCGATCATGATCATATGAATCTCCAGACTCGTCCGGTGCGGAAAGTTGCTGTAGAAGCGAGTCGATTGTAGTGTTGAGTTCCTGCACCTGCTGACCTTCGTCCCCTTGCTTGACGGGTCCTTTCAGTGTTCGAGAAACCATGGCTGCGTATTGAACGAGGAAGTATGCTCTTGCAGATCGAGTTCTCAAACTTTCACCGGCCTTCGAACTTAAGTAAGACCGGACGATGGAGAAAGGACCGTTGTCTGGGATCAGTTCGTCGTTCTGTAGTAGGAAATGGGCTCGATCCTTCACGAGCCCCGAAAGGTCGCTAGCTATTACTGAGGGATTTGACTCTCCCGAATTGTGCAAAATCGATGCCAGCGAGGCCCTTGCAGATGCTCTTGTCACGGAAATAGCTGATCCCATGACTCCCAAGGATTCCAGAGCCATGTTCTTTGTCGATGCAGCCTTGTCGTTCTTGGCGAGACTGATCATACGAACTGCAAGGACCGTAAGAAGTAATTCTGATGCAGGCCACTCCGTATAAGTGAGCACCACGGTGAGATCTTCAACGAAAAGGTCGAGGATATTCCTGTAAGGCGAATCTCCGGTCTTGGTCACTTTGGAAGCTTTGTCAACCATCCAGCCAACAATTTGCTGTGCACTCTTGAAAGCGTCATCAAACAGCGATTCGGAGAGCCGACCAAGCTTTGACAAGGGGTCATAGTCAACCTTGGTCGCTCCTTCGTTTTCTGAATCGCTCGTTGACTCCTCATCTTCAGAACTATCAGCATCACGAGCACGGTTTTTGCGGTGGCGAGGCTTTTTCTGATTTTGCTTCTTGCCCGTAGACATTGCTGGGGTTTGCACGAGCTGCATGAAAAGAGCAGATACAAGCTGGATACTTTTGCCGTTGCCCAACTTATATTGTCTGGCGCTTCTGCTATTTGACGGTAGTTTATCCAAGGATGTCAGGACTTCATCTAAGATGGCGTGTCTCTCAGCTGGAAATGCGGCATAGAGTTTGGCAAGTGCTGCCATTGCCTGCTTTCGAACTCGCTCATAGGTCTGAGATCCTATGGCAGAAGTCTTGTCATTGAAAGCGTTTTGGACAAAGATGAGCCTGGAGGCCATGAAATCGGTCGCATTGACAATGGATCCGGCGCCTTTGATTTGGATGCAGACTCGTGCAACAAGATCCAGTAGTTTTCGTCCAGCATCGAGAAGTCTCTTCACAGGATCGGGGTTACGTGATGCCAAGTCGAACAAATGACTGTTTTGACCCTCGGGGCGAGACTCAACGATTGGAATGATACAGTTCTCAAATATGTTCACCATCACATTCGGAAGCCATTGCAAGACTTCAAGGTTCACAAGTTCCTCCTTTTGAGGATTACCAAGTACAACGTAGATGAAAGTACAGGCCGAAATAGCACCACTTTCTGCCTTGCGAAGCCTTGATAACCAGATTTTGATATCTTCCTCTGATGAATCGGGTTGGACTCTCAGGTTGACAGCCTGTGCTACCTCTACCGCGGGCTCACAGATTAATTGTAATCGTCGTAGATACTCAGCTGAGGCATCCACCAACCGAGATGACGAGACCAAATGGTTGAGGGAGACTTGGATTTTGTCTTGAATCTGTAGTGACAGACGCGGTTCTGAGTCGTCCTCGTCATCGGCGAAATCAAATACAGCTCGGTCGTGGTTCACGGCGATAGCAGATGTATCAGGAGCCAGTCGATCTTGCGCTTCGAAAATCTCCAATAGCTGGTTTTCGAAGGATGCTAAGAGTAGTGTGTCTTTCTCCCTCTTGGAGCTGATGGCGAGAGCGACATTTGGATTCATCTTGGACTCATTCGACTTGCGATGTTTGGGTGACTCAGTCACGGGCGCATACTCATCTCGTTGAAAAGAGGAAGGCATCTGAGGGATCTCCACACTCAAACCAGGATCCAGTGTAGCCTTTGAAGCAGTCCGATCAATCTTAGGAGTTGCTATTGGTTTTTTTTGATAAGACTTGACAGTAGGGTAGGCGTCGTCAATCTTGACGGGTGTTGAAGAGGGGTAGGCATAGTCAATCTTTGTCTTTCTTAAAACCATTTTTTGTATAGGATTGAGATCCAGGGTCACTTTTGATTCACTTCGGACTGGAGATCGCTTGAATTTACTGTGTGGTATTAGCAGTGAATCTTGTACATGGCGAAGGGAGTGAGCATACATCTCGGAAAGTCTGCTTGGATCCAACAGTACTGCCAGTCTCTCCTTCACTTTGGGATTGCAGAACTCATTGCGGTATACAGACTGTCGCTCAGCGGGAGTTGTCAGCCGAAAGTTTTGCGACCGACTAAGTTGTGGAATAGGGATACGGTCTGTCCATCGTGTTAGCGACAGCGCGATCGAGAATTGAGGCTAAGGGAGATCCACCATGCGCAGGCAGTACAGAGGTTGTCATGGGCGTAAATTGCAGAGCCTCATCCACCGTGAGTTGCCTTGGTATAGGGCGGTTATGATGCCGCTGTGGAATGACCACCTCAATGGTGCTCTTATCGTCCATGGTGTCGAAATGCGTAGAGCCTGACACCGATGCGCCAAATTGGAGGGGTTGAGGTTCGATTACCAGGAGAGTGGTTGCGGAGAATTGAGAATGAACGAGCGAGGCATCAAAGAAGACATGCTTCTATGGCCAGATCCCTTGGTGAATGTATGCAATTGAATGCTCAGAAGTATGCCTCTACCATATCACAATTGAACCGCTACCAGTCCACTCCGCAAATGAGTGGATGAAAGAAGGCTGCACTTTGCTCTCAAAGCCTTGTGATGGAGATGATGACTAGTCTAATCAAGTTAGGCAAATTCAGTCAGTCCAACTGCCAAGCCTGCTGACTCAGCACGTTTTTTCAGTATCGGGCTTTTTCTGTGTCCGGGGAATAAAAGATTCAGATCTGAAGGTAACAACCGTAAAGACAAAATGGTCGCCATAGGCAGTCTACTATTCTGCGATGCTTGCGGCTCGCTGTTACCACGCATCGTTGCCTCGTCCAATAAGGAGGATCTGATCAAGTGTGAGGATTGCTTCCAATATACCAAAGACACCTCGTCCAAGGTTATCACATCTCAATCTAAGCCCAGTGCTTTCCCATCGGCACTGAGATCCAAGCATTCAGAGGTCCAGAGTGTGGATGCTGAAAGTCTACAAGTTGAGGCCGTTATTGCCAAAGACTGCCCCGACTGTGGACGTAGCGAAATGTTCTACCACACGAAACAACTCCGCAGTGCTGATGAGGGAACTACTGTCTTTTACCGCTGTGAATGTGGTTACAAGGAGACACAAAACAACTGAAATTCGGAACTTAATTGGTACATAATCCTACGCCTTCAATGCGCGCTTCATTTGTCGAGGAAAGAAAGAGTCTATCATGCCGCCACTGGCTCGGGAATCGTGGCATACTCCATCTCACCATTCTTTTCATACTCGGCCATATCCAACGCCACCACGACACTTTCACGCACAACCTGCTCTGGGTCATTGAGGAAACGCTTCAGCATATCTTCGACCCCTGGTTCTTCCCCCAGACTCCCAAGAGCCTCGGCAGCCTCATGACGAACCATACTCTCTTCTGTTGCATTCTCAAGCACCGCAAAGAGAGCAGGTATGGAGGCGGGGTGCGATAACTGGCCGAATACGAATGCGACCTCGTGCCGGAATAATGCTGAAGGATCGACAAAGCCAGAAGCCAGGGCTTGGACAGCAGGGACCGCGGTCGGTAAATCTGGGGGAGAAGCGAGGTCACGCAGGGCAAACATGGCCCGGTATCTCTGGAAAAGCGGTAGCGAGGTGTCGAGAAGGCTTTTCTGTAGGTCTGGAATGGACGGCGTCTGAGAAGTAACAGGCATTGGTGGAGCAGGGTCGATGGAAGCAAAATCGGATGGATTAAGGGTTTCGGTGTCTTTGGAATCGGAATGAGCCCATTGAATTCGATCAATGGCAATCTCACATGTTTCCCTGACCACCACGGACTCTTTCTCATCATCCTTCATCTGCTTCATGACATCTACACTCCCCAGATCTCCCAGTGCACCAAGTGCTTCAGCGGCTTCATGCCTGCACATGGCATCTTCGGATTTGTTCTCTAGAACTGCTCGTAGAAAAGGGACAGCTTCAGCATTCTTTGTTTGGCCTAGACAGTATGCAAGCTCGTGTTTCAGTAGTGCGGAGGGTGAGGCAAATGCTGCGGCGATGGCTTCTATGGCTGAAGAGGCTTCTGGTCCCGGTGACTGCGAAGCAAGATGTTTGAGCGAGAAGAGGGCACGAAAGCGGCGGGCCAAGGCTACATCTTCAGACGTGAGGTCTTTGCGAAGGGTAGAAACAGTGGTATGTGTAGACATGATGGATGCTTCCAGAGTTAATTTGAGGTTGAATCAATGCGCAGGATTCAGAATATCTAGGCACCTAGCCTTCGGTACCTTTGTATGACCAGACACGGAATAATGTTCAATTACTCGTAGATTATTTTTTCCCAGTCGCGGGGTAACATCACACGAAAGAATTTGGAGCAGCGGTATCGCAGTGAGGGCCGCCCCTGCAGAACCATCTTATCTTAGCGTCGAAACACAGATCAAGCAGCCCCCCTCAGCCACCCTTTTAGTCGTCCTAGCACCTAACGAGGCGCGGATAATGGGCGTGTCTACTTAGGCTTCTTCTGGCGAGAGCCACCACACAATTCATCGTCCACGTGATTTGGGATGCGTCATGACATAGGCTGTCATTTGATGGTGGCTCAGGCACCCGGAATTTCTAACTTCACATCTCAATAAAATCTGCGAGCAATCTCTCTTCCACGCTCCTTACATCCTCTCTCAAGACTCCAGGACTCCTTCATCGATCTGCCACTGGCCACGGGTATCAGGCCTTTCTCCTTTCTCCCTATCTCATCCTCAGCATGGGCTCCGTCGTTATTCCTCATCTGGTCACAGCATGGCATGTCGACCAGGCTATCCTCTCCGAAGACGCACGCCTGGTCGTTATTCGCTTCGGTCGTGATCATGATCCTGACTGCATGCGTCAAGATGAAGTCCTCTACAAAATCGCCGATCGCGTCAAGAACTTTGCCGTCATCTATGTCTGTGATCTCGATCAAGTTCCGGACTTCAAACAGATGTACGAACTCTACGATCCCGTCACCCTTATGTTCTTCTTCCGCAACAAACACATGATGTGCGATTTTGGTACTGGTAACAACAACAAATTGAACTGGGTGTTGGAAGATAAGCAGGAACTCATCGATATCATCGAAACCATCTATAAAGGTGCAAAGAAGGGACGTGGTCTTGTTGTTTCACCCAAGGACTACTCGACTCGATATCGCTACTAAAAACTTCTTTGAAGCGTTTATCAACATGGATTCGAGTACTCGATATTACGACAGAGAAGCCAGGTTTATTCTATGATGGCGTTTGGTGACAATCACGGAAAGAGGCTCAGGCATAGCGAAACTATTGATATGGGCTTTGGAGGGATGTTTGGTTGGTCTCACTCGACAACGAGTCACTCAAATGATAATTTGCTGACACACATTCCCGCGAAAAGCTCCTCACAAGGCTCCCTCTCCTTTCCAACTGTCTGTATTGTTCGCTTCTCCAGGTATGTCATATTCCAGATCTCAGACAAGCCAGAGGGTAGGTGGCAGGTAGGTCTTTTGTTCTATCACTTCCCGTGTAAAACCACATTCATGCCTCTTCACGATACTACGGCATCCTGAACCACTGATATGTTCAACTCATGGAGGCTCCATGACAGCTTTTCAATCATGTTTTTCGAAATGTAGGTCGCCTTGTATGAATTGAGATTACTTGTCCATCCAGTTAGCTACCCGGTCAAGTTCTGAACTCCCCCAACATTGCCAAGATTTTCTATCCACGTGACAATTGACAACGCGAAAATCAAAATGTCACTCTGGCATTTTCCCCTCCCCTATCCAATTCCACTCCACCTTACCCGAGCATCCCTGACGATCGTCCGGTGACTTTATTCAATGCAGTAATTAATTTGAGTGTGGCGGTTTCTTCATGACAACGGTCCAACGAAGCGATGTTCCACTAGTAGCACCGCGAAAGCGGACAACTGTTCCTGTTCGAACAGACCGTGATTCCGCCCGCCGGACCCCTCCATCTGGACTGGCACCACTCAAGACTGTTGAGATCCGGCCACCTTTACTTACCGCTCTTTTCAATCTGGCGGGTTTACTCTTTCCAAGCTACTCCACAGGTTCATGCGCCCTGATCGAGAAACAACAAGAAAAGAGGAGTTTCCTGCACACACGCACATGAACTCCGACATCTGCATTATGAACTTTGTCGTGCAGCCGCTAAACTCACTGTGCATATCGCTAAGGTTGACGAACTGCCAATCCCACCACCAGCCATAGTTCCCCTCTACAAGCCGCGTGTCTACAACTTCTTCAATACGACCCTGCGCGGGCGATAGCAGCCCTGAACTAGACTTATCTGGTCGCGGGCTGTCTTGGGGAAAGCACTGTCACCGCAAAACTAAGACAAACATACCACTCATCTCTCGCTGTCGGTTGATATCTTAGTGCTGCTTCCTGAGTGAGGTCATCGTCGACTATAATCCAAATCCCTCACTATGGCGGGCACGACAACTGTGGTGACACTTCTCCTCGTGCCCGTTCTGGTATTCTTCCTCTGGCACATGACAGCGAGCTCAATCCCACCCGTGCCATCCAACCTCCGCAACAAGCGCATCATCCTCTTGATCGCACACCCAGACGATGAATCCATGTTCTTCTCCCCTACACTGCAGGCCCTCACACATCCGTCACTACAAAACCATCTTAAGATTCTATGCATGAGCACGGGCGACAGCGAAGGGCTGGGCGAGACCCGGCGCAAGGAGATTGAGGCCGCAGCTGTGACGTTGGGTGTGCGACGGAGGGAAGACGTTTTCGTGCTCAACGACGACCGCTTCAAGGATGGCATGAATGAGACATGGCGACCGGAAGAAATCGTTCGCGTCCTGGCCAGCGCATTCGCGCCACACTTAAACGCCACACTTCCCGCCAACACCACTACCACCACCACCGCCTCCTCTGAACCCCCATCATCAGATAAAGAGAAAGAGAAAGACCGCCGGAAATCCAAAAGCCAGAAACACAGCAAAAGCGCCTCGTCATCCGCAACCCCTCCGCCAGCAGCACAGAACATGCCTGCCGGCCCTCGCGCCACCATCGACGTCCTCATCACGTTTGACGCACAAGGCATCTCATCCCACCCGAACCACATCGCACTGTACCACGGCGCGAAGCAATTCATCCAGTCCATCATGAAAGGACATTCAGGCTATGCCTGCCCCGTGGCACTATACACGCTACCGACGGTCAATATGGCGCGCAAATACAGTTTCATCCTCGACGCCGTCCCGACACTGCTGGGAGGTATCTACGGCTCCGTTTTCGGGGGCAGCAAGAAACAGACCATCGCGTCGAGCGAGGCCAAGCAGGACACCGCGGCGGAGAGGACGGTGTTCGTCAATGACATCCCTCGCTACTGGAAGGCGCGCGAGGCAATGGTCTCCGGCCATAAGAGCCAGATGGTCTGGTTCCGCTGGGGTTGGATCTCGTTGGGTCGCTATATGGTCGTTAATGATTTGAGGTCGGAGCGGGTCGTTGCATCGTGAGATTTCGAGGGTTGGGTGTACTTTTATTGCCGAGATGAGATAACGGGGGAGAAAGATGTTTGAGCGCGATAGAATATCATGAGACTGGGACGGAGCAGCGCAGATGATGCATTGGTTTTTGTTCGTTTTTTGGGAACTGGTGTTATTGTCTCGGCGTCTTCATGGATTCCCAACTGGGAAGCCGATTGACGCCAGAGATATCTTGCCTTTCCCGACCCACTCACTGCGTTTACGGTCCATGGGGGAAACTGGGTACGTCACACCGCACGCGATTCTCCCTCTCTTCGAGTCACTCAGACCGACTGGTTTCCACTCTGTGGAGAACTCCTTTCCCGCCTCAGATTAGCGTACTTCTTGCCGTACAGTGTCCTCCAGGGAGTTTTATCTACGAATCGAGTGCGAGCACCCACGTACGGGATTATACAGGCGTTTTGCTCAGATATCTACGTGTTCAAGAAAGGTGGTGGTGTCTCCATGCAGGTGGTTACTCGTCTTCGAGTGGTTTACAACAGTTCACATAGGTCGTTGGAAATATACCCCCTTTAGTATTCAAGGTCGGAGACTAATAATGGCCGACGGAGAGGAGGAAGATCTTCATCTGGAGCGTCACGAAGTAGTTCAAATCAGGAGTGAAATTCTCTATCGAAATGGTTTGCTGGGTTCATATATCTACAGCGATCTGAGCCAGACCCAAGCTTCGTACAGTGAGGGTATAGTTGTAGTTGTACAGTGGTGGTTATACAGTCGTGGCCAGTCGAGAAACAGCCACGGGTGAACTGACGGTCGCCTTTGCTATCGCGTCTTCTGGGACTTTATGTTCTGGGCCTGGGGTGAGGGGGATTTGGCCAGGGCGTCCAACCACTCTCAGGCCATTCTGGAGCGGGACGCAGAGGGCTCCGATATGCAGGTTCGGCCTGCCTCCATGTTCGACCCTTCATCTCCTCATCCGCAACCCAGTCCGTGGAGAAATCCTCACGATTGGGACCCCACATGTCTTTGAAATACTTTGAGATGGCTCTCTCTCCAGAACTACACTCCCACGAAGCTTTCATTAACTTGAAAGGGCTGAACGTATCCAAGATATTTCGCAGATGGCCAGCCCGCCTGGTCTGGAACCCATTTTTCTCCCTAATGGCTTGCAAACGATGCTCCCGGGTAGACAAGACAACATGGCCCGTAGGTGTGTAGTAGGGCAATAGGCTGGGTAGAAATTCGGACCACTCCAATATCAAGTTGGGAAGCCGTTGCCATGCCCAATTGCCAATCTTCCTTCCCCCTGCGAAATATGTTTCTTTGAAGATATTGCGAAGGTCTTTGATCATCAACTGCAAATGGGCTTCTACCCTTAGGGAGGTTAGAATATATTCCCTCCTCAGGTTCAGGAAATCCTCCGTGGCGAGGTCATTTTGGTGAGTCAGAGAATACTCGGACATGAGCAACCGCATTTTGTCGTAGATGCCATCAAGGGCATGCCTGTCCTCGTCAAGCTGTTTTAGACAATTTCGTACATCATCGAGCAGTACATCGAGTACACGTTTCGCAAGTCGGACTCGGATTCGATAATGCAAAGGAATAATACCAAGTTCGATATTATATGGCTCTCCTTGTAAGACAATAAAAAGTGATTCAACAGCAGCAGCCGAAGGACGCCCAATGTTTATTCCCCTCTTGCGGTGCCAAGGGCGACCTTGACTGAAGATCGAGTACGCCCATCCAAGGAGATGATTCCAAACTCTATTGGGAACCTTGATGGTATAGTGCCGGGAGATATATTCAAGCAACGTGGAGGCAGTTTCGACCTGGTTATTGCTGGAGAAGATGTGGGCAATAGTAAAGAGCAAACGTTCGGATGGTCGAAGAATCGAGTTCTTCTCATAAGTCATAGGAGGTTCCAGCTCTTTCTCGTCAAGATTGTTGAGAGCGTCCACATCAATATTCCATACTGATTTCATAACGCTCTTGACACCTTTCATATCACCCTCACGACCCATTGCAACCATCAAATGGCAGAATGTTGCTTCGTCACCAGAGATTTGCTGACGGACAAGATCGTTGAAGATCTTGAGCACTTGAAGTCTGATGGAATCGGGGTTTTCTGGATTTGAAGGGGTTGTGACTCCATGGCCTGCGTAGTTGCGGTGTCTGTCGAGCCGGGAACGGATTTCCAGACGGTCTGCAGTAACGCGAAGTTTATGTCTTTCACGTCCGCTGTATAGATTGTTCCAGATCAACGCTTCCATAAGATAATTATAGCAAGCACGATCAGGGACCAGGCGGTCTTCGGGAAGAGATTGGTAAAAGATTTCTTTGGCCAAATCTGCCCTACCACAAACAGCAGAAGATTTCAACAAATGGCAATAGACTCTTAAGGTAATGGTTCGAGCAGCTGCCTCGCGGTCCGCGATCAACTTCCGGAGTATCTTGAGAAACGTATTTGTACGCTCCTCGAAAGATCTGATAGTCCGGAAGGTTGGTTGAGTCTCCATGGACGGGTTCAAATGATAATGCAAGTCGCGAAAAGGTGTGATGAAATAATCGGGATCAAGAGCGCATATTGCGTCGGCAAAGTCATCGTCCGTGGCCGTGGAAACGAAGTCGAGAGCTACTGTTGGATTGAGTAAGGCAAGCAATATGCGATCAGGATGGCCTTCTTTGACCAGTTCCCACATTGTTGGCGCTCGTGGAGCTGGATGGGAAGCGTTTTCACCCTCATCCTGAGTGGGAGCATCTTCATGGCGTTCCAATGCGAGAATATCGTGAGTTGTGTGCTTTCCACGGGTATTATGAAACTCTCGAGCTCGTTGACTTGATGCGCGGGACGGGGGAGATGGAGAGGTAGGCAGAAGGACTGTCGAACAGGGAGCAGAGGATTTGGATGATGGCGAGCGCGGCGATGGCCATTTTGACAAAGGCGTTCGCGATAGAGACGACGAGTTACGCCGGCAGCGGATATGACGGGCCAAATGAGGAATGCGACTGCTGCTGGAGGGACTTCCAGTCGACAATTTCAACTTGCAGGTGCCATTGATGATCCTGTGCAGAGGGACGGAGCCATGCATCAATGCCCCTGCCTTAATGTCGTAGAGCCTCTCGGGGACCAGAGGAAAGAATGAGAGGCACTGGCATGGAATTTCAAATGAGCGGCCACGAACTGGAATGACCGAGCTGTGCCTCTTGATGTACCGAGTGGTAGAACAAATTTATTCACCATCTGCTGGGGGACTTCAGATTCAAGTTGGAGACGGCACTATTCCAGATTGGGAAGCAGTTCCTTCCCTGGCAGAAAGGTCGTAGTTGCAGTTGCAGTGGTCGTGCCTGCTTTTTACTGTCTCCCCTCCTACCAAGCACTCGACTACACCCACAACATCGACCTCAGTCCCCTGAAAATCCCTACCAAGATACTACCATGGCAGATACCGGTGGTGAAGCTGCGTCTGGGGTTTCGGAGCCTCTCGATCTTGTGCGCCTGTCGCTAGATGAAAGAGTCTTTGTTCGCCTGCGGGGAGACCGAGAATTAAAAGGCCGGCTCCATGTACGAATATCTTGACTCTCAGACCTTTGGTTTCTATTGACGAGGTTCTCAGGCCTATGACAGTCACTGTAATCTTGTCCTCGGCGAAGTCGAGGAGACAATATACACCATCGAAGAAGAGGATGATGGAGAAGAGAACATGAAGGTTGGTTAGACCCTTTTCGCGGTGGTTTCAGACACGCAGAATACTAAGAAAAGCGCATCTCAGGTCTCTAAAAAGCAATCAGAAATGCTCTTCGTTCGTGGTTGGTCTCCTGAAGAATGTCTGTCATATGCAGTCCTCGCTAATACTTTTCAGGCGATTCGGTCGTCCTGATCTCTCCTCAACCGAGCTCTTGAAGGCGATGTCATCACTTTCGAACATCAAGACGGAGTCACCTTCATAAGGGGCCTGGAGTGGTATGGGTAAACATGACGACGCTGCACCATAATGCATGTTGCGAAATGATCCCTGACAGCACCACCTCGCATATAACAGGAAGCCACCATCCATGTCTTTCGATTGGCAGAATAGGGTTGAATTCCACTGTTGGCGAACACGAGCAGATGACTCATATCAGACAACGGTACTGTTTCTCAGTCGAATGGCATGGAGGAAGACTATCGAACGCTGTAGCGACCAAGGTCAGTCACAGACTCACAGATACTGTCAGCCTGGTGGCGCGTTGGGTACTCCATAACTGAAGCAAGGCATACTCGTGCGGGGTTGTGTGTATTGCCCCCCCGAAACCTCGGAGTCTTAGGCACTTCCGGGCCTCCTCATAGAGGGTTCATAGCCAGTATAGGAACCCCATGGGACCCCCAAGGCCTTACGCAGAGCATGACATTATTTATCAAGATCGCCCGGAAGGACGCCTCTCTAGCCTGAAGCATCGTCTTACTCCTCCAGTGTGGGGTGATTCGATAGCAATTGCTCCTGCATGACTCAAATCCTCGATCCAGATTCCCCGCTCACTATGTGATGACTCTTTGATTGCTGTGCCCAACCTCAGTTGAGTTACTTCATAACAGAGTCTCTGTCCATCAACGTCGTCGTTCACTAGTCCATTACATCTCTCAACCTCAGCTCATCCGATTCTCAACATGATGCTCTCATAAGGTATCCCATTCTGTTCCGCCTTCTCTTCTCATTCCGAAAATGATCACACGAATACCTTGACGAGCGCGGGGGCGATTCCATCACTTCGATATCATTGATTCAACTCCATTCACCATTCAACTTGAACTAGTTTTACTCGCACTATATCCACCATGGGGACTCGAATAAAGCAATCTCTCCATGATCGTCGGAAAGGGGAGCTTGTACTTGGCCCCCAATCTGTTGCCCTGAAGCTGTGGCTAACTTCCCTTGACAGGCTCTCTCTGACTTTGCCGATTATGTGGACAAACAGCAGGCACAATCTCGTGTCAAGCGCACCGAGTCGGTCTATAGCGATAGCGGCTACTCTACTGCCACGATATCATCTGCCAATGAAGATCATGCAGAGCTCGACATCTTGGATCAACTCGGCTTGTCCGATAACCCGAGCCAAGTCAAACTGAAGCACTGGTTACTTGACTCTTCACCCGATGCCAGTGTAACATTGCACCAACTTTCTGGTCTTGTTCAGTCTCGACTAGATGAAGGCCATGGAGAGACTCTATTCGATTTGGGCTTGGAAGACAACGGCGAAACCATGGCGTTCACGAGAGAGAATTGGAACCTCGCGTTAGCAAGGGTGACCGAGGCTGCTTCATCTCTCAACGCTGCTGTCCGTGTGCTTTTAACATACAATGTAGGTGGTGACATTGAAATCACCACGAAGAACCCCAAGGATCCATTCTGCCACGGGAAACTTCTCATTCGACAGACTCCAGCGACTGCAGAGGAAGTCATTGAGACCCGCATAGCGGTCGTCGGGAATGTCGATGCAGGAAAGTCCACCATGCTAGGTGTTCTTGTCAAAGGCAACCTTGATGATGGTCGTGGCAAGGCCCGAGTCAATCTCTTTCGTCACAAACACGAGATTGAGTCTGGCCGAACCTCATCTGTGGGCATGGAGATTATGGGCTTTGATACTCATGGGGAGGTCGTAAGTTCCAATGTCCCTGGCCGAAAGCTTACCTGGGGCGAGATTGGCACTCGTTCGGCTAAAGTCATCTCGTTCACTGACCTTGCTGGTCATGAGAGATACCTGAGAACCACTGTCTTTGGTCTACTCTCATCTGCACCAAACTACTGCTTGCTCATGGTCGCAGCAAACAATGGCTTGATAGGTATGAGCAAGGAGCATCTGGGTATCGCTCTTGCTTTGAACGTGCCAGTTATGGTTGTCATCACCAAGATCGATATCTGTCCGCCTCAAATTCTAGAACAGACCATCACTCAACTCACCAAAATCCTCAAATCTCCTGGAGCTCGTAAAATCCCCATCTTTATCAAGACTCATGAAGAAACAGTCATGACTGCAACTCAATTCGTTTCACAGCGGATATGCCCGATCTTCCAAGTCTCCAATGTCACCGGCGAATGTCTTGACCTGGTACGCACCTTCCTGAACATTCTACCTCACCATGGACATTATGATAGCCAGGCCCCTTTCGAGTTCCACATCAATGACACTTTTTCCGTTCCATTCGTCGGAACAGTTGTATCTGGAGTGGTCAAGTCAGGCGTGATCCATGCTGGCGACTCGGTCTTGGTTGGTCCAGACTCCTTGGGACAATTTCAGACCACAAATATCCGGTCAATCGAGCGCAAGAGGATCCAAGTCCCAGCATGTAGCGCTGGACAGTCCGCTTCGTTCGCACTGAAGCGAATCCGACGGAAAGAAGTTCGAAAAGGAATGGTTGTACTGCCAAAGCTTGAGACCGTCACACCAAAGGTGTATCGGGAGTTTGTTGCTGAAGTTCTCATCCTCTCTCACGCCACAACCATTCGTCCGAAGTACCAAGCGATGCTTCATGTTGGTCCTGTCAGCCAGACTTGTGCGATAATAGACATTGATCGCGAGTTCATACGGACTGGAGACCGGGCTACTGTGGCATTCCGCTTTGTACAGCGTCCAGAATTTCTCGCGGTGGGTGAACGAATATTGTTTCGTGAAGGACGGACTAAAGGACTGGGAATCGTGAAATCCTTGGGTTATGAGGAAGGCTCTATAACTAAGCAGCCGGAAGCGCAAGAGAATGCTGATGGAGACAAGAGCAAGGGAAAGTCAAAGGCTGAAGAGACGGCGCCGAACGTGGTCTCAACTGGCAAGGCGAAACAGTGAGGAGGAGGGACACTTGTTTCAGCGAATGTAGATGGTACGGTGCATATGGGTGTGGTTTATCAATGTTATGGGTTTTTTCCTATCCCGTGTTCCGTTCTTTTTCTTGAACTTAAGTGGAAGCACCTCATACTCGCATTTTGCATAAAGGTTGTCAATGTGCAATAATCATCACATATGCTGGCAGTCTGTCTCCGTCTTGAGCCCCTGTCAATCCAAACGGCCAGTCCCACACTCGCAGCCTTGTCCCGATGACTAGCCTCGCATCCTGGCTAGTGTGCGTTAGTTCTAGTTCCCTGAAGTCCTCTTCGAATCTAAAATGTATCTCACCTCCAACTTTTCCTCATTCCTACATATTATACCATGTCCCAAGCACGGAAACGAAAGACCCAGAAGAATCAATCCGTGGTAGATAAGCAGACTGCCAGCCCGAGCTCGGACACAAGCCAGAAGATCTACGCGGAAGACATGGCAGCAGCATCCTCACTTGTGGCCGCACTACGGCGGCAGCCCGTCTGGATCGTGCTCGCGGTATCGAGCGGTGCCTGTGCGGCCATCAACGGCGTGTTCGCCAAACTGTAAGTGTTTACATGCCGAGTGGGATTCGTCTACAACTACTCCTACTCCTCCTCCTCCTCCTCCTCCACCATGTATCAAAATCTAATCTCATCCCCATTTCCCACCCGCAGAACAACGACAGCCCTCACATCAACCCTCTCCTCACACATCGCACTCCTCCTCTCCCTCTCGGCGACCAACAAAGTCATCGAATTCCTCGTGCGCGGCACCTTCTTCCTCCTGAACCTGGCCTTCAACGCGGCGATGTGGGCGCTCTTTACGGCAGCCCTGACCCGCGCAGACAGCACGACTCGCGTGTCGATCGTCAACGTGTCGGCCAACTTCGTCGTCACGGCCGTGCTGGGCTGGATGATCTTCAGCGAGAAGTTGAATGGCATGTGGTGGGGCGGCGCAAGTTTGCTGGCCATCGGGAATGTCGTTATCGGGCGCAGAGAGGAGGGGAAGAAGCCTGGTGGGACTTCAGGGCTGGATGAGACCGCCTTGGAGGCTGAAGAGGGTGAAGGATTACTTGGTAGGCGAGGGGATGGGGATGGGGACGACTTGCTCGTTGAGCTGGATGACACCGCTGCTCCTGATGATTCCCGGAGGCTCAGGCGTGCGGAGGAGGCGGATGCCCCGATTTGATACGAGGAGGTTGGACACCTGCGCTTCGAACACTTTCCAGGCTCTGTTCGACACACAACGGTTCACACCTGCGTCTATACAAGATACTAGGTCACCAGTGATGCCACGAAACCTGCGGGCATGCGGCATCCATGGACTTTGCGATACAGGATGAGAAGCTACTTGGCAGGAGATTTCGGATCTCAGCTAAACTGACATGCTTTTCCGTATGTCAGAATGGGTTGATCAATCGCGAGTGCTGTCCCAAGTCATAACTCTGAATCTATGCGGATTTATGGCACACGCTACGGGCGCTGTTGGACAACACCATACAATTGGGCGGCATTATACAAAGCCCAAAGTGCAGCACAGTTCATCAGCCCGGACAGGGAATCTCAGGACCACCGTCAAGCATCAACACCTCGGTGCCAGGGTTACGATGTGATTCGCAGTCTGGATGCGCAATAGTCATAATTCCGCGATCCTGATCAGACAATGCGGTGGTCAGGCCGAGCAACACCCGCCACAACAGGTGATACTGTGAGCAGCAGGTAGCGGGACAGGATGTGAAAACAGCTCGTATACACTTCTCGCACTCCTTCCCAATGAGGATACCACTCATGCATGAGAGATATTGATGTACCGATTTCACCCATCGTCAACTTCGTATGGACTCGGAGAAAAGACGGCAACGGGAGAACGATGTTCCTCGACGGGGGATTATTTTCGGAAGCGTCCCTTCGGAGTCTAGCTGAAACTGGAAAACATGAAGTCATCTCGGCAAATCTATTAGGGGTCTGATTGGGAGACACAGCAATGTCTTTCGTCATAGGGCTTGTGAAACGTGAAGTGGCTCATGATTCGATCTGCTTTCGGCCGTGCCCAAAGGGTGAGTGTAAATTGCGTCTGCCGAAAACCGCCCAAGTTGAGGGTGCTGCAGCTCGAGCCCGCCTCGTCAAGATCTCAACCATTGCGGCGTTCATCTGAGAACCAACGGCGCGAAAGTACAGGCTCTTTTACCAAAGTCAATGACTGTTACAGCTTACAGGTATCCAGGAGTCAGGGGATCGACCCCGAGGGGGCTCATGAGATTCATTCTCAGACAGGGAGGAGATGAGGCATCTCTCTCAGACCCCAGGAGACGTGTATTGGACCATGAAATATGTGGGGTATTTTCTGAGATTGGTGAGGCATCAAATGCATCACTAGTGACATTTTTAGGTCTCCTGCTCGACGCTGTTGTCACGAGTAACAATTAATAGTACTCATGATGCATGATGTGAAGGGATATGTGGAGTGCTCATCATTGGAAGAACATGGTCCCAATATTCCTGGATTATCACGGATCTACGGTCCTCAGACCACGGAACAATCAAGGCGGACGTGAGTTGATCTGCAGGGCCTAGAAAGACGATAAACTTGGAGGGTGGGCTGTCCAGTCTGTGGTCGTTTCAACATCGAGACTCTGAGAGATGGGAAGGACCCAAAATTGAGGGACCGACGTCAAGGTTTGAGCAGCACGAGGCGGAAACCGACGATGATTTGGCGAGATGCAGATGGTGGGCGACTGACCTGCAGGAAAATGAGGGAAGGGAACATGAAGGCGCAGGCTTCCAGACTCCCAGAGTCTGAATTTGGGACGGGCAGGGAACCAGGGAAGAGACACGAGTGGCAGCCCACTCGTAGGACACAAATGACACCATCATTGGGCAAGAAAGCGCTCGTGCGTGATCCAAAGGTGATTAGTGTACTCGGTCCTGTCGACGTGCTCACATTTACCCTGTTGCCGTCAGCAAAATCTCTCGCGCCGGTATCAGAAGTGCGGCTAAGCGACCCTCCTGCATAACAAGGGTGGCAATGGGCAACGTGGATTTCCGGCAATGCGCCCCCAGAACACCCAGCTGCACCAATGCGGCGCTGTCTAGCCTCGACATGCCTGTTACGAGGCGGCCATGACCAGTCGGAGCCTAGTCCTCCAGCGCAGGGACACCCGTGTGACCAATGATACTGCCATTTCTCGGCTGTGCCCAGCACAACAAGACCCGGCACCCCCAGAAGCCTTGACTCAAACTGGCTACTACTGACCAAGGTAGCGCCTACTAGTCCTCGCTCCTACTCGTACGACTCACGAGGTCTGCTGGCCACCCTCCCGTCTTTTTCAACCTCACAGTCGACTGGCACTCCTGCACCCGCAATTATCCCAGCTTCCCTTCCGTCTTGCTTGCCTTTTCGCCATCCACCGCCAATTCCCATTCCCATACTATTACTCTTTCATCACCGCCTCGTCTCACCCGCCATTCTCCATTCTCCATCATTCTACCTCGTACCTCTTCGCAGCCTTTCTATCTTCTTGTTCCATTTCCGCTTGCACTCGACCCTGCTCTGCACCTTTGCACATTCTTCTCAACAGAATAGACCTGTTTGAATTCCAAAGCTGCAAGCTTGACCCTCCTCAAAACAGTCAGCTGTGCCTAATCCGTCATTGTTTTGCCACTGTTTGATTAGCTGCTCTCCTGACCTCTCCCACCATTCTTCTCCAACCTATCAACCTTACATTCCATCTCGGAAGCTCCTAGATTCCAGCACATCATGTCGACATTCTTCTACGGTGCTCAACATCATCAGCAGCAACATCATCAAGTTCAACACCCCCACCCCATGCCTCAATCACATAACCACCATGGCCGCTCCAGAAGAGCACCACGCTTATCCTCGGCTCAAAACTCCCACCGTCAATTCCGTGGTCCCAAGATTGTCAAGGAAGTTGTGATATCCGAAGCTCCCAGCATGACTGCCTACCGAGCAAGATTTGAAGCCGGCCGTTCCTTCGATATCGACGACGACCTCGAGTTTTGTCCAAACCTCTTGACTTTTGATGAGGTTTGTGACGATTCTTCCATTTCAACATCCTTCCTTGCTGACCTTGAGAAGCGCCAATCTGTCACCTCCGGGTCTGATCGTTCTTCGCTGTCCAGTGGCTCTCCTAGCTCGTCTCCTCTACAAACCCAGATTCAACCTCATCAAATCACTCCCGCTTTGTCCATTTCCTCTGCTGCGACATCTGCATATATGTCTCCTCCAAGCTACACCAACAACAACAGCAGCAACCTTAAAATCCACCAACCCTCCGCTATTCGCTCGTCCCGCACTAGCGCCATTCCCATTGTAAACCCCTCGACCGGCAACCGCATTGCAAGCCCACCATCATCCATCTCCCCTGGTATGATGCAGCAGACAACCATGTCTCGTCGATGGTAGAGTGCTTGAACCTTTCATGCCTCTTACTCTTGTGCGGACCGCTGGCTGTGCCGCTCTTTTCTGCCGTGGCTGATGTTATGATGTTTGCTTTGCCTTTGCCGATCGCTGTACCGACAATTGTACCTCCTCATCTCACCTCTTTTGCTTTGTATATATGCACCATTACGATCCGAATACTATTATTGTCCATCGAGCGAAAGGCATTAGCGATCTGACGAAGATTTTACATCATGATACCAGCCATCTGTTGTGGAGGAAGAATATGGGCGGGAGTCAGGCACAGCATTTTTCCAAAAGACACATCGGTTTTAGCATTGGAGTTTTCGAGTACCATGAAGGTCAAGAGATCACGATAGAAGACGATCATCATCATCGTTGACGGTGTTTTTCCATCTACATGTTATTTTCTGGGGATTTACTTATATTTGCACAATCAAGCATGTGATGTGCTTTAACGGCTGGGGGTGGATGCGAAACAAAGATACCAGAAAGGTTTTGATGGGAATCCTGGTTGGGTTGGGTTGACGTCAGGATGAAAATATATGCACATCTCATGGAATGATGGCTGGCTGGTTTTTCAAAACGAATCTAGGCTTGCGACGGGTTGCGGTGTTCTTGCCAGCAAATGCAGATTTGGTTTGATGATAACCACTGCTCATGAGATGTATTTTTACCGATAGTATAGAGAGATGTTGAAAATCACAAGTCCTATGTGTTATACAAAAAAACGTCACTCCTTCCAGACATGATCATAAGACGGTTGCGCCGCAGTAGAGAAGTCCATGTGACACCGTCACCCGACATGGGGAGTTTGGTCTGCTTGTGACAAGGGCTGCCCATGAAGTACCTCCTACAGATGCTTGGATCCTCCAGGCTGACTTGGAATGAGAAGCTCCGACTACCTAGGTATGTTTGAATACCTGAGAATTTCAACCAGGCAGACAGGAATCGCCACAATGAGCCAGCCTTGCAGATGCAGAGCTTCAGCTCCGCAAGGGACGGAGTACAGAACAGACACTACACTCTCAAAGAGACATACCTATCCGGAGGGTGGCTGTGTTTTGATGCGATGGCGGGGTTGAAGTGGTGCGGGAGGCAGGAGTGGTGGCCCTGGTGGGAGGAGAGGCTGAGCGTCAAGCTAACTAGGGAGGGGCTGAAATAGGGGACGATGAATTCTGAGGCGTGCCAGTCCACCCAAGCTACAGTACTCCGTACATGCCAATGTTCGAATGGCGGGTCGGCTTGCGTGTTCTTCATTCAGATTCCTCATCTTATTTGATGGGGTTTAAGTACAGTATCTTGGTCGGAAAATCGTACGTGCTTGGGTATTCAGTTAGTGGGGCAACTCTGGTCTGGTCATTCCAATACAGTTGAAGTTCAGCCTCCCTAACGTGAGGCAGCTTCTGGGAGCTCGTCTAGATGGGATGTCGTTCCACATATACAAGCCTGAGAGAGGGGAGTAAAGAATGCGCTAGAGGGGTCTTACTACACTAGTGATTGAAGGTTGGAAGAGACATCAGCTGAAAAGCCCAGATGCTGATAGGGAACTGCAATATAATATTCTGTCTTGGCATTGAGCAAAAGTCATTGACACATGCGGGAACCATATCATCATATCACAAACTGACCTCATTCCTTAATTCAAACCCCATCGTCGCTTGCACACAGTCTCACACTTTTGCCATAATCCTGGTATTCTCAACACAATCACGTCAAGACACTGTCGTGTCTTGAGTAGAGACAACAATGGCGTTATCCTCCAGGAATGTGCTCCTGGTGTTGTTGCTTGCACTAATATTGTTCACTTGTCGAGCAGATGCTTTCGGAGCAGGCAGTGAGTGATGCTCCAATTTATACTTTCTCGATTTCGACCCAGAGACCTCCATTGCTTCTGTCTCTCGGCCCAGTGATGAATTGCGGATCATGCTGACAGCTCCCACCCCTCGTGAATAGATATCGCTTCGATCTCCGCCATTGAAGGCAAGAATTGGCGTCATGGAGATATTGAAGATGTCTTGAAGACTATTGCTTGCATCCGTCATCACAAATGGAATTCCATGATGATCAAACGTGTTTACTTTGGGTTTGTCCACCTCCACCTCCTCCGGCCCTCGCCCCCCCTTCCCTTTGGCGATGACTGCTGACGGACGGATGTATTGCAGAAACTGGTTGCGGGACTATTCTCAGGCCATGGATACAGGCGCTCTCAAGAAGGCGCAACCTGAGACAATCCGTATATTGGTCTGGCTACTTTCTTTCCTCGGTTTCGGATATGCTACTGCTGAGTTCGAGGTTACCTCGGAGAGACTTGGGGTTTACAGACCGGAGGAGCATATCGAGTATGAATATCCTCGCTCCAGGTAAAAAGTGCCAAATTCTAACCACACTTCTAGCAACCCAAAGGATTATAACGACAACGAAGATGCCAGGAAGTATGACGCTCGTCTTCGTGGTCCAGTTCGTGATGTCGAGCTCCAAATCGACATGCAAACCGGCATGAAGAACTACATCGCCAATGGCAACGGTGACTGGGCCACTTCGGCTGCATTTGTCAAATTCAGTTTTGAGCGAAGCATTCATCATGGAAGACTTTACACCAATGGAAGCGGCTTCTTCAAGGGTAAAGATGAAGACCTTGCCGAAGCATTGCGATGCCTTGGCCAAGGGTTGCACACACTGGAAGATTTTGGCGCTCACACAAACTACGTCGAGCTTGTGTTGAGAGACCTGGGTTTCCACAACGTCTTCCCACATGTGGGTGTGGCCACAGGTATCAATCTCCGCGGAAAGCAGACGTTCCCCCTAGTCACTGGTACTTTCGGAATGGTCGACTTTTATCACTCGGTGCTAGGCGAGGCCACAGACCATTTCACACAAAGTGAAATCAACGAAATGGACAACGCTCTAGGAACTGCCCAACAAGCAGCCTCATCCTCAAATCCGCTGACTACGCTGGTCAAATTGCTTTCCAAGGTTCCGGGTACCAAAGACCTCTGCGATGAAGCCGAGCGTCTTCAATCTACATCTCAAGCGCAAGCTCGGGCTAATGAGCAAGGAGGGTTTGGAGGTGGTAGCCGTGGCATCGATGACAATTATGGCGGAAGCACACGCGGAGCTGATGACTGGCAAAATACACGCGCCTCAAACGCAGGCTTCCCTCAATCGCAAGGTCATGATCAATGGGCTGGACAGCAGCAACAGCAACAAAATTGGGGCCACTCTCAAGATCAGTGGCAAGGACACAGTCAACAACAAAACTACAACTCACAGAATCAATTCCCCGGAGCACAACACAATTGGAATCAACCTGCACAGCAAGACTGGCAGCATCAACAACAGCAACAGCAAAACTGGCAGCAGACTCAATCCCAGCAGCAGAGTGGGCATCAACAGGGCGGTCAACAACAGCAGTTCACAGCTCCTTCCGGACTGGAGGGAATGCCCAACTTTGATCCTGCAAAAACCGTCGCTCAGATCTACCCCATTCTCGTGTTCCGCGATAAAGTGGTACGAACCATCAGTTCAATCATCGAGAAGATTCCGGGGCTCGAAGCACTAGTAGACCGGATTACCGAGACTCTCACAGTCTTCATCCTGTCTCTTTTGGCACCCTTTGTACGACCGGTGATCAACGCAATTTCAAAGACCTTGCAGACTGGAAGCGAGGGTGTGATCAATTCATCAGGCAAGCATCAGTATGAGGTCTGGACCGATCCTCATTGCTCGGACCCCACGCATTCCATGCTCAGTAAAGATCACTTCAGCAACTTGCTCAACGAGCCAGCAGGCAGTGTCGCAGCTGAGATCTTGAAGTACATCGCACCAAGAGTTCTCTATGCGTGGGAACACCCCGATGTTCCTGTCCAGCAAGTCCTGCAGGACGTGGAGAGTATTTTCCACCATCCTTCTCTCCGTAACGAGAGGAACGAAGCGCATCGAAACATGTACAATGCTGTGAAGCAGTGGGTCGACTCCAGATCGGACCGCGGTAGGGGTCTCGAAGCCGTTCTGAGCTCTGAAGCCGTCCGTGAGGGTAAAAATCACAAGGGAGGTGTCAACGAACATGCTCACGTCCAACACCACGCGGCTCCTGCTCAGCATCAGTCCAACACCAGCGGTCTTGGTGCCTTTACAAGTTTCATTCCAGGCCAGCATGGCGGTGGCGGTGGAGGTCATCAATCTAACTCTGGCGCTTTTGGAGCTCTTTCCAGCTTCATTCCGGGCCAGCATGGCGGCGGCGGCGGAGGTCATCAGTCCGGCTCTGGTGGTCTCGGGGCCTTCACGAGTTTCCTTCCTGGACAGGGTGGGAGCGGCCACTCAGGCCAGAATAGCAACCCACTAGGCGCGGTCGGAAACATGATTGGAAGCTTCACGGGTGGAGGCGGCCATCAAGGCGGATCGCAACATCACGGTGGTGGTGGTGGCGGCGGCGGATTTGGAGACGTTCTCAATCTCGCCGGCAAGCTCCCCATTCCCGGTGCCTCGAATCTCAGCAAGTACGGCAAGATGATGGGCAGCTTTGGCGGCGGAGGCGGCAAGCGTGGACTCGACGACAACGACACAGGAGGCTATGGGGGGAGTGAACTGGGTGGAGCCAGAGAGTTACACGAGGCCGCTGCTCACGGCAGTCAATACGGTAGCGGACTTGAACCTGGTGCTCCTCCAGCGAGATCACCTTCCCCAATGCCCATGCAACCCCCAGCGGGCTATGAACAATATGGTCAAGGAGTCGGCACCTATGGACAGGAAGGACAGAATTATCAGTATCAGACGTCCTACCAGGATCCTTACCAGAGTCAAGGTCAGGGTCAAGGTCAGTACGACAGTAATGCCGGTGCGGGATATGGAGGGCAGAACCAGAACTACTACCGCTGAAAGGGCGTTCTGCAGCAACCAACAGACTTGATGAAGGTATGAAGGAATGAGAAGATGATGCGGTAGAGGCTGCCACGATGATTGAAGCGATGCACGCGTCACGAGGCCAGAGGGTGCGTCAAAAAACTCAGTACGATAGACAATCGAAAAAACTCGTTCCAGATTAGATCAATGATCGCGCAATTAAGTGTCGCACACTAATGTACGAATGATATACTGCTATCTAGGCACTATGGATGGATGGCAGTGTCAGCACAATGACTCTAGTTAGAGGTCGAGATCTAGTGAATCCATCGAGGTTAATTCTAGCCTTGTGTGCCGCGGCAGCAAAGCCTTGCCTGAGCCAAGAATCCACCACAATGCAAACGCGTAATCTTGGACGGGCACGGGACGGCAAGGTCTAGAAGGAGATTAGACGGCGGGAGGTGTTTCAATGTCGATTTTGAGTCATTGAGATTAAGGCAAGATTGTCACTCGACGAACCTTGGTCGGCTATTCACACTCAGAGTCGTTTGAGAAAGTCGTTTGAGCAAGTCGCTTGAGAGATGAATGGTAGTCTGATGATGTTTCTTTGTGCTGCGCCACGTGTTTTTGTCTTTGTCTAAATGAGTTAGCACATTGTTTGTAACCTGTGGGCAGTTCCAGTTGGAAGCTCAACGACCCGAAAACTTGAAATCGTGTTGCGGGGCGGCACGCAAGAGGGCTCAGGCCTTGGAATTTAGGCAAGCTAGGCGCTCGGTTAGTGAACTTAGTTAAAGAGACCAGGAGAGATGGCGCGCCCGTTGGCGTCAAATTGTCAAGGATTAGGGGCAGTCGAGTGAATTGACTGGTGAACAAGGCCTCCGTGCTCCTGTCCGTTTGGCGCCTCCGTCGTCATCTTGCGCCAACCGTTCCTCTGCAGATCGGCCTGAGACAATCACCATCACGATGGCAAAGTCGACCATGACATCTCTCCGTCAATGACACTCAGCCTGGTGGTGGCATCAAGAAATCAAGATACGCATTCCCTGTTCAATCGGTGTGCCAGTGCTCCACTCATTTCTTTACCACTCCCACTCCCCTCTTTATCCTTTCTTCCCCGTCTTCTTGATCTCTATTGTCTCCCGTTATTTTCAAAGATAGCCCATTCGGCACCTCAACGCCTCTTTGTCTCCTCTTTATCGTTCTATCTTGAGCGTGCGTGGGTTCTCAGAGAACCGGGCGTGTACCGTCTACTTGGTCTCACTCACATTACAATCACATCTGTATCGAAATTCCTCGTTTGCAATACCTTCAACAAATCCAACACCCAGTCATGCTTTTAAGGTTCCAAAAACCTTAGACCTCCCAGAAACATTCCGAAACTCTAATCATCTAATATCAAAATGTCGATTGTTAACAACACTTTGGATATTGGAGGAAGCAATGCTGCGGCTGAACAGAAAAATGGCCAGAGCGCCAGTCAATTCGCCGCCTCTCTCATTACCGCCATTGCCATCTTCGCCGTCCAAGTCATCCTTTTCCTCCTGATCAAAGATCGTTTCGCACGCATCTACCAACCCAGAACGTATCTGGTCCCTGAAAGAGAACGTACCAAACCCACTCCGCCAGGATGGTGGGCTTGGATTGCCCCCGTACTCACCACGTCCAATTCCGACTTCGTCCAGAAATGCGGTCTTGACGCCTATTTCTTCCTACGATACCTCCGCACGCTTCTCAAGATCTTTGTGCCTGCGGCCTTGGTCATCCTTCCCATACTGATCCCACTGAACCTTGTCGATGGTCGTGGGGCACGCTTTGCCCTGGGTCAACAAGAAAACGCGTCCAATGTGACGGGATTAGATCAGTTGGCATGGGGTAATGTTGCACCAGACCATACAGGCCGCTACTGGGCCCACTGGCTCCTCGCCTTGGCCCTGGTAATTTGGATCTGCTATGTCTCGTTCGATGAGTTGCGTGGATACATTCGCATGCGTCAGGCATACATAACGTCCCCTCAACATCGTCTTCGTGCATCTGCAACCACCGTACTTGTGAGTTCGATACCTCAGAAGTGGTGCAATGTCGAGTCTCTTGATGGCCTCTTCGATGTCTTTCCTGGTGGTTTGAGGAATATCTGGATCAACAGGAATTTCGACGAGTTGAACGACAAGATCAAGAAACGTGATAAGCTTGCTTCAACCCTGGAGGCCGCCGAGAGTGAGCTCATCAAGAAATGCTTCAAACAAAACGAAAAGAACATTGCCAAAGCCGAAAAAGCAGCTGGCAAGAAGTTGTCAAAGTCCGATAAAAAGACGAGAGCTGCCATTCGCGATGAAGCTGGCGAGAAAGCTGCTCATGGACATGGTATCACCACTGGCAATCCTCATCAAGTTGATCACAACCTTCGCGATATCCTTGATGGACACGACGATCGATCCGGCTCTTCTGCCTCCTCCTCCGACGTTGAGTCCGATATCGAAGACGACCAGCCTCGCAGACGTGCTATTCCTATTCCTGTCATCGGTGAGGGCATCACAGCTGTTACACAGGGTTTGGACAAGTTTGGTACCAAGCTGCTGGGAGGCATTCGAGGAGTCAACAAAGGAGTCAACGATACCATCGATACCACCAATGGTTTCATGGCCCAGGACATGGAGGAGAGAGAGCAAGGAAGATCGTCCGGTGATCAGAAGCACTCTCATGACTCTAGAAGACGTCTTCATCATACGTCCAAGCAAAGAGCTCCAGGACAACCCAAAACCACTCATGCAAAGGATGCTTCCGCAGGAGGAGCTCCAGCCACTCCAGCTGATCGTGGCAGATCTTTCGAGAAGAGTCCTCGGGATTTTGGTCAACTCAGCCCAATCTCTCAATCTAGTACGATGAGAGATGATAAAACCCGACCTGAAAAGCCACTGACCAAGTTCGAAAAGTTCAAGAAGGCAATTGGACTTGGCTCCGAGGAGAAGGAGCATGTCGACTATCCCGAGGCGTTCGCAGATGGTTTCCATCACGACCCAGACGATGCCGTATGGCGCCGTTACCTGAAAGACAAGGATCGTGAGACCATGAGAATGCCTATATTTGGTTGGCAATGGATGTTCGCCCTTCCACTGGTCGGCCAGAAGGTTGACAAGATCGAATATTGTCGGAAAGAGGTTGCCAGGCTCAACACCGAGATTGAAGATGACCAAGCCCACCCCGAACGATTTCCGCTCATGAATTCGGCTTTCATCCAGTTCAACCACCAAGTTGCAGCACATATGGCCTGTCAAAGTGTCAGTCATCATCTTCCCAAACAGATGGCTCCACGTCTGGTCGAGATCGATCCCAACGACGTCATCTGGGATAACATGTCAATCCCCTGGTGGTCGGCCTACATTCGAACTGGAGGCGTTCTCGTTATTGTCTCGGGGATGATCCTCCTCTGGGCTATCCCTGTTGCCTTCACATCTGCCCTTTCACAAATTGAAACCGCCGCCAAAAGCTTCTCATTCCTACACTGGATAATGAGTATTCCAGCTTGGTTCCGAAGTGTATTGCAGGGTGTTCTACCTCCAGCATTGCTCGGTTTGCTCTTGTTCCTGCTACCCCTTATCCTGAGGTTCCTGGTGCGACTTCAAGGGACTCAATCTGGTATGCTTGTGGAACTATCTGTTCAAAGATACTATTTCTGGTTCCTCTTTGTGCAGCTTTTCTTGGTTGTCTCAATCGCCGGTGCTTTGACACAGTTCTTTGCTCTGTTCCAGAGTGTGGAAGGGTTTACAAATGTCCCCTCTCTGCTTGGTTCCAACATTCCCAAAGCCTCCAATTATTTCTTCTCGTACATGCTGCTTCAGGCATTGTCTGTTAGTGCGGGAGCCCTTTTACAAGTCGGGTCACTAATTGGCTGGTTCATTCTTGCTCCCATCCTCGACAGCACGGCAAGAGCCAAATTCAAGCGACAAACCAGCTTGTCAAATATCCAGTGGGGTACTTTCTTCCCGGTCTACACAAACTTGGCTTGTATCGGTTTAATCTACTCAGTGATATCACCGCTGATCTTACTGTTCAACATTATTACCTTCTCCTTATTCTGGTTCGTCTACAGATACAATACCCTCTATGTTACGAGATTCACTCGAGACACTGGTGGTCTTCTGTACCCAAATGCGATCAACTTCACCTTTGTGGGAATATACGTGATGGAGATTGCCCTGATTGGCATGTTCTTCCTGGTTAGAGATGAACACGGTGATGTGTCGTGTGCTGGACAAGGCATTGGTACGATCGTCATGTTGATCCTGACGGCTGGCTATCAATTGCTTTTGAATAATGCCTTTAGTCCGCTTTTCAGATATCTACCTATCACACTCGAGGACGATGCCGTGAGACGAGACGAAGAGTTCGCACGTGCTATGATGCATAAACATGGTGTCATTGATGACGAAGAAGATGGTGTCGATATAGAAGATCAGTTGGAACAAAGGGAACACGATGAAAGGGATGAGAATCGAGATCAACAAGAGTACGAACTCGAGCAGATTGACGCAGAGAAAACCGAGCGATTGGAACGACAACGATCCAAGAGACTCCCATCACTTGCACCGTACGAATTCCAAAACCCAGAAATCGCAATGAATCTGGACGCAGAGAGCAAAGGTGTTCGATGGGCCAAAGCCGCCGCCCACAAGACGACTGGAACCACGAAAAATTTGATTCCGCGAAATCTTGTCCGCAAAGATAATCGTGAGAGCCGAAAGTCGTGGGCAGATCGTGACAATACTCGCAACCGCAGAGCGTCCAACTTCGGTGAATGGAACAGCCCCTCTCAAAGCCGTAGCCGAGTTAGAAGCGAGGCTGGTGTTCTGGAAGGAGGTCAACCATCCGCTCGACGATCCCATCATCCCAAGAGACACGAGTCACCTCCTCGCAACATCGCTGGAAATGTTCTTGATACGATCAATAACTTCAACCCTCTCACCAGCAACGAGAAAGATGTTGAGGCACAACGCGCCGCCCGCAATCAACTTGCAGATGCACTCTTCGCTGGCGTTAACGACGAACTGGAAGATCTGACGCCCGAGGAGCGTGACAAGTTGGTGCAGCGAGCGTTCCAGCACAGTGCCTTACGCGCTCGAAGGCCTGTGATCTGGCTGCCACGTGATGAACTCGGCGTTAGCGACGATGAAGTTCACCGTATGGGTCAATTCAGCTCGAACCTGTGGGTCAGTAATGTGCGACAAGGCCTCGACTCAAAAGGGCGATGTGTTTACTCTGGTGCACCGCCAGATTTCAGCGAGGTCGATCTGATCCAGCTCTAGACTCCTCGGCAAAAGACATGAGAAATTCCATGTATTATGAATCAACAACTAGTTCTTTTATTCCACCACTGTCGGCACTTCAGCAAGCGTTCTTCTTTCTTAATCAAGTCTTGTTTGCTTACGAGCCAGCACATGATGATGTACGTACGTTCACACTTATGACGACCACCAGTCCGACTTCAGTCGAGAGATTATGGTAGCCTCTGACAACCAAGGCGATAGCATGGAAAAGGAAGCGGGGAAGCGAGGCTCGGAGATGGCAGCTATGACATGACCGTAACGTATTCAAACTGTATATATATATGTATATGTGTATACCTATGACTGTTTCACGTATTAATTGCCGTGTTCCCAACGCGCTACAATGTGATTGCATTGACAGGCAGATTGAATCCAAATGGAACGCTTCATCCATATTTCCACGCCAAGCGAGCAAATCTACCGAATCTGATGAACATACCTCGACGCATCCACACCTAGGTCTGTACAAAGTAACAAAATGATAACCATCTATATAACACCCGAACCCAGACTCTCCGAAGGCATGCTCACCCGCCTGCCTGAGTGACTCCAACTCGGCTAATCTCAGCACTTTCAAATCGGTGATGTGACGCAAGATCTCCGAGTCTCAGAATTGGTCTTATGGGATAAGGAGCAGACAGCTAGCTACATACAGAAGGAGAGGAAAGATGAAAAGCGAACCAGAAGATTCGAATCAACGTTCTGTTCTGTTGCTCTTGCGAGGAAGTACGAGTGCTGCGGAAACAACACGTCCCACTGACTACTGTCTCTCGCACGAGGCTGTGGTGCCGAGGGGGACACGCCCGGCAGCCACACCACGCTAACGATCCACCACCATGCACGTGGATATTTGCCGACTATGCTGGATGAGGAAACGGCTACGCAATACTGCTTCAGTACGCGGAAGTGAGGATGTACTGGCAAACAGGCAGGAAGTGTCGGGTCAATGAGTGATTACCTCGTCGTGCTTGCGTATGTTTGTTAGGTGTGGTGTGGGATGGGGTTTCTTATCAGGTATACATATAGTACGTCGGTCTCTCGTTACGGTATCTTGGAGTGCTTGGATCCATCTATCTGTCTGTCTTAACATTCCGCTTTCGGACCTGTGCAGGAATTTGGTTTAGATGAGCATTGCTTCTCTGTTCTGTGCTAAAGTCCGAACTTGTAACACACGGGGTTACTTCCCTCATCATCGGTGGCAACGATATCTCTCATTTACTACACCCCGGTATATCAGCACAAGGACAGATAGTAACAAGCTGTCAATCATGGGTTCCATACAGCCTGAAAACACCGCTGCTGTGCCATTTACTCTAGCAACCTTTGATGGAAATGCCACGATGGGCAAGAAAAAGCAGACCAGATCGGCAATTGGCGTGAATGGGTCTTATTATGATCTTGCCGCGCTCCTCAAATCGACATTAGATGGTCAAGAAGGTTTGGACTTGGATCAATACTCCACCACACTGGCCATCTTTGAAGAGTGGCAGAACACTTCCCCTACACTGTCTTTGCTAGCTGGGAAGATTGCCTCGGGAGAGGTCAAGGCGAATCCGATAATCAGCACCGGTAATGGCGCTGCCAGTACGGGAGTTGGCACTCCAAACCTGCTTGCTCCGATCATCTATCCGGCGAAGCTTCTCGCTGTTGGAGCTAACTATACAGGACATCTGGCCGAGATGGGTTTACCTGTCGAGAAATGGACACCGATGCCCTTCTTCACCCGGCCACCCACCACCTCTATGGTCGGGCCTGGCGAATCAGTGATCATCCCTGAGTCTACTAAGCAATTTGATTGGGAATGCGAGCTGGCGGTAGTTGTCGGCGCACGCTTGCGACACGCGTCAATCGCCGAGGCTGCAGCAGGCATTGCAGGCTATACCATAGGGTTGGACATGAGCTGTCGGGATCTGATAGTTGCGGGACGCGGGCTTGGGACCGACCTGATGCGCGGGAAAGCGCAGGATACAATGGCACCGGTTGGACCTCACGTTGTGCCTGCAGCATACGTTGGAAACATCGATGAGAAGCGCATTACGCTTGACGTGAACGGAAAGCGAATGATGGATGCTTCCACCTCAGAGATGATATACAAGTGCGATGAAATCCTCAGTATCATGAGCCAGAATGTCACGTTGGAGCCAGGTGACGTCATCTTCACCGGCTCACCTGCTGGAACAGCAGGGGCACATGGTGACTGCTGGTTGAAGCCTGGTGACCGGATTCGAGCAGAGATTGAGGACGTTGGGGTATTGAATATCGTGATCAGGGGCAAACCTTGAACCTAGAGCTGTGGGATGTACTTCAAGCCTGTTCATTCTTTCTCTAGGCGTCGGAGAGACTGATATGCTGACCTGAGTGTTGGGCCCGATCTACGAGAAGACGCAGCGCCAGTCGATGGAGGTAGGATGCTGTTAATGCTAGTTCGACCTTTGCGAATCAAAGTCCCGGCAATAACCCAAAACTCTACGGCTGCATCTTTGACGAAGCCGAATCGTTCTTGGCCTGAAGCCGAAGTGTGTTCCTTCTGATGGGTCCAGCACTGCATCCAACGTTGTAGTGCTCGAGTAAGTTCAACTTCCTTTTCCCTTCTGAATGGGCGATAAGGCAGCAGCCATATGGCTTGGATGATGGCTACACTCTGTTATTGGCCAACGTGTCATCGTGACGGTTTTCTCTGCATGTACATACCTAGAATTGTGATAAACAAATCAAGTGTATTCAGGTTGTTTATGATGCCCGTAACCTCATCATCCTCTTCCTCTGCACATAAAGCATCCAGTGCATCAGCAAGTGTACCCGAAATTGAGGCTGCGCTGCTAGTACATTCTTCATAGCAGGCCTCCACTGTGGTAGCCATAAAAGCATCCAAGGAACAAGGCAAACATAGCTGCATTTCTTCGACGAATAAACGGGGGGCCTTGTCGTACAGAGTACTGAAGCTTACGTCCAAATTGTAAATCCCGAATAAAAGACGTGCACCTGCTTGTTCAAGACCAAACTTGGCCCAGTCGAAATCTTCTTTCGAGGACAATGATTCCAAAGAACCTGTTGATTTGAGATGCAGGCCTAAATACTTGAGAGCAAGGATGAGCTGATCAAATCTGTAGTCCCTAATGGATTCCCTTTTCGATTGTGATCCCTGACGCAATTGAATTTGAGCAATGGAAAATGCAGCCTGTACCGCGGGGAGAGCTTCAGCAAGTGGAGGAGTTTCGGTTGCCAACGACGTATCGAACAGTTTCTGGAAGCCACGATGTGCAAAAATATATTCCTCGGCAAGATCGAGTATACCTCTGGCCGCGGATGCGTCATTGGAATTTGGGTCTAGCAGGGCGCTGGTGAGACAAACGGCGAGTAAAAGAGGAGTATGAGCTGTCGAAATATTGAAAGAAGCCCCGTGGATGATTGGGCTATGGTGGTTCCAGAGTAAGAAATAGTCGTCCACGAGTGCACTAATCTTGCTGGCAGTGAATAACAAAAGGCCTGCAGCGAGGATTTCGTGAGGGCAGTCATCCATATGATATTGAGACCTGGAAGACGAAAAATGAGTCAATTCATCTAGGACTTTGTTCGTGGCTCCTTGAAGTGGAGAGAACATAGGATCAGAAGATCCAATAGAAAGTTGATCAACTGGCATAGACCAGTGGATATCAGCAGGAAACGACATTGGCGAGTCTAGCTCACCCAGGAAAAATTGGAAGATGCTACCGGGTGAGTAGGATGCAAAGGCCTCGGGCGGATATAACTGGCTATCGAGTTCGGTCACGCTGCCATCATCCTCGAGCAACGCTCTCGGACTGTGCTCCTTGGCAGCAGCAACCACACCAAAGGCACTTGCAAGGGATGTGTTATCTGGGTGTACATAATTCAGAAGGAAAGAGAGTGGGCCTCGTCCTGGAGCCGAAGAACGTGCTTCAGTGTCAATTGAACGAGGAACAGTTGATATTGTCGGCAGTCTCACGGCAATGGGGCCTCGGATGGCAGGAAGCCCTGTGCTGGCAGTATCTTCGATCCTGTTCACAGTACAGGTCGCTCCTTGCAAAAGGCACGTCTCGCAAGGAAAGTCAGCATCACACGCCATCTTCATCTTTGCGCACCGGTCGCAAGCTCTTTTCCGCCGGCCACGGCGAAGCTCGCAGGGAATGGCTTTGTCGCCTCGTGATGGACATCGAGTGTAGTGACGGCGTAAAATATCACTAGTTGCTTGTCAGTCCATTTTCGAAATGATGAGGCAACTGAGAGGTGGATTGTGATAGTTGCGATGGAGTTTGTTGGCTCAGACTCTCAATACAACACCATTGGGAGAAACAGACCAGTCCACTTTGGTCACTCAGCCTGACAAAGGATCTATGCCTTCGCTCCATTCTCGTACATGTTGTACGAAAATGCGGAATTTGAGAGACTCACGCAGGCTCATGGTAGCGACTGTGAAAGAGAAACACTCACGATCTACCGAAAACCTTCGAGCAAAAATCACAGGTCCAGCTCTTAGATGGCATTGTTCATTGGACGAACCGCTTACACAGTGCGGAAGCAGAAAGTACTTCAGACACGGCGGCGTGCGTATGGTTGTCCAACAGTCGGCAGTGAGCAAGCTCGTTGGTAACGCGTGTATTGCCGAAGTGTAGAAATCCCGTCTTAGACGTACGAAATGTGAGCATATCTGGGGTAACTAGTGACACAGACGGATAGTGCTGAGATAAGCTCGCTCGCTTGATTTAAGTATTGAATCTGGAAGCCGGGGGTTGTCGGGTTTCGAGTCCGGCATGCAACCCAGAGTTTGAGTTGAATTAAGAATGTCGTCAAAATCCAGAACCTATACTACCCAGGTGGGAGTGGTCGGCAAATTCCCTCCCGCTGGCTCCGCTTAGGCGATCATAGTCGGGATTTCCACACCGGGCAAGTAGCATTTCACGGGTGTCCTGGAGGTATCTCAAGGTACAGCTTGTAGGAGTGCGGGAAGTTACCGACACCAGATCAGCATTGGTATCGAGAGTCGGCTCACATGTAACCGGAGGGATTGAACCAAGTGTTCTATCGCCTCTGTGGCAGATCTATCCTTCAAACAGTAACGTTGGTGTCGAGGGTTGATGCACAACCATAAAACGGAACAAGTTGCTGGCAGCTTGAAGGGAGGTGCAGCATCAGACCTTGCTGGTCGTAGTAGAATTTGCAAGCACCTGCTGCATATAAAACCGACTTGAGGCGATCGAGACACAACACAATATCAAGGATAAGATGGCAACCACCACCACTAGCCCGGCAGTGGCCACCACATCCTCAACGACCACCGCAGATACGCAACGACCACCGTCCTTCAAAGGTATAGACCACCTCAAGCTCCCCGTGCACTCACTGAAACGCACTCTGGAGTTCTACACCACAGTGTTTCCCTTCGTTCACGCGCCGCACTGGGACCACTTCACGCCGGACCACAAGCTCTTCGCACAGATGTTCGTGTACGAGCCTTTGGGCCTGATCGTGGAGGCACGCTACAACCCGGCTCAAGCAGATGCACAGCGAGGCTGGGATCCCATCACGTGGGGTGTCGGCACGCGGAAGGATCTGGAGGAGTGGACGGCGTGGTTCGTCAAGCATGGCGTGGTGCACAGCCCGATCTTTACGGGCATCAAGGGCTGGGTGATGGGCTGTGAAGATCCGGATGGCAGGATTGTCAGGCTGTATGTCCAGGACGAGGAGCATGAGTGGACAGATCATCCAAGTCGTGATGAGAAGTGGTTGGGCACTGTCGTGGCGGATCCGGCGACGTAGTAACTGGCTGGCGAATTGGTAGCTGTCCTGATGTTCGGTAGTAGTCTGAGGAGTGCCTTGGTTAGGTGTCCTTGCTAGAAGCTTCTTTAGGAGTGTAAACCTGATGATCACAGTAATCATCTCTACTTCGATAGTGTTTTGCTTGATCCTCAGGGTCTCGTTCTCGTCGAGTTTTGAAGCTACAATTTCGATGGATGAAGGATAACATGTTCGTGTGTTGATTGAACTGAAATCTGTACGTTTCCAATGCGTAGACATGGAATTGATGACCAAAGACTTCAAGTACAAGTTGTTCCACCACATTGATCTCTCCCAGGCAAGGCATGGCGATGGCTAAGTCATGTTGTATAACGTCAAGAACCGGTCAAGAAAGGAACAGGCAGTCGAATGATAATGCATCTTTTGTATTTTGCGGCTATATAATAGTGATCTGGGTGTTTGACTTGCAATTTTCCGTCTGCCTGCCCCTCCTTCTCTCCGCTGCCTTTTGGACCCTATGTATGAGCCTAAGTAGATGCTACAGCACATACTTGAAGTCGGGATGATGGTCACCAAGAACCTCCATTTGCTCGTCATGAGTGAGATGCGCCACAGGTCGTAGAAGTTCCTCGCGTCGCTCCTTCTTGGCCTTGTTCAAACGTTTCAGCAACACAATCTGACCCACGAGACAAGCCATTTCCAGACAGAGGGCAGCAAGATTGACCTTGTTGGCCAGAAGATATCTGGGTGCCGTTTTGGTGGGATACAGCCACATAGCTGCAACGCCGGCGGAGTTACTGGTGACAAAGACGATTGCAACCGCTGTGGCACGGCGGCCATATGTCGCCGTGTTGTTGGGTACCCACGTTAACAGCGATGGAGCTGTCGAATAGATACTGGCAACGAGGAAACACTGAGCCGTGTAGCGGGTGCCGACCGATCCGCTGCAGAGATTGAGGATACATCCCACAAGTGCGAAGATGAGTGTCGCCAATGCTGTCAAGCCACGGCGGCCATATTTATCGGCATGCCAGGCAGCAACCATCGTGAGGACAAAGGCGCACGCGTATGGTGGTACACTGAGGAGCTGTGTTTGTGTCGGTCCATAACCCATTGCCTGCACGATAGACGGCGTGAAGTAAGAAAGACCGGCAATCACCAAGCCATTGCAGAAGGCAATAACGCTCATACTGAGGACATGGGGTTCGTGAAACGTCGATTTGACGGCTTCCATGCGGATGCGAGGGCTCTCCTTGACATTGGCTTCTGCAATGAGGCGTTGAGTCGCAAATTGTGCCTCCTCTGGCTTGAACCAAAGCACATGAGAAGGTGAGTTTGGCAATACTAGCATGACCAAAAAGCCAAATGCAATAGTGACAACTCCCTCAAGCAAAAAAATGTAACGCCACCCAGCGATGCCACCCACACCATTGAGCTTGACGATGGCGGCCGCGAGCAATCCAGAGAACGCTCCACTCAAGGAAGCGGCCCCATAGATACATCCAATACGTTTCTGCATTTCCTGTCGCTTGTAAAAAAACGAGAGGTAGAGTATAAAACCGGGAAATAAGCCTCCTTCGCACAAGCCAAGGAAGAAGCGACAGATGACAAGCCCTGTGTAATTCTGTACCAAGCATTGGAGGGTGGTTACAAGACCCCAAAGAACGCAAAGACCCGGTAGCATAAAGCGAGGACCAATCGCCTTTAGAGCGAAGTTCGAGACGAACTCGATAAGAATGTATGGGATGTACGTGGTCATCAGTGCTGAAGACATGAATGTCAGTCCGATTGTCATCAAGAAAGAGGTGTACAAACCAACTTACCGAGCTGGTATTGATAGTCCGTGGCATGGATCGCTTTCTGTAGACCAGCGACCCGTGCGTTGCCAATGTTGGCACGATCAAGGAAGAGGAAGAGGAAGAGTAGAGACATAAGAGGCATCAGAAGAAGATCGAGCTTCCATAGCACCTTGCGCTCAAGATGAGGGTCGGTCTCAAAGCTCTCTGCAAGATTTTCGAAGTGGTCGATGTTGTCATCTGTGATCGTCTTTCCTTCCAACCCAACATTAAGCTTCGTCTCAGGTTTGGAAGACATGATGGGTGCGAAGAGTTATGATGGCAAACACGAGAAAGTCAATGAATATCTCGAATAGAAGAAGATTGAGAGACTGTTCATTCCTGAAGATGAGGTCTGGGAACTCATCAATTTATACATCTTATCCTTTCGCGCAGATTGTAGCCCTCAGTATATCAATTTCAACCAGCAAGAACCACGTGAATATTCCCCGACTACATGCGGAAGTAGTTCCTGTGTGGAGTTGTCTAGATCATGGGCAACTGGAGAAGTTGGGAAGTCTCGAGCCAGCCTAGTCGGGATAAATCCACATCTAGCCAAAGTAGCCAAATCATCGCGGTTACATTCCGTATCGATCGTATAACCAATATTCGTCAGGTTGATATGGTAAAAATATCTCACGGACGAAGGCATGGGATAAGAGAAGTGTTCATCGCGATGGTGCATATATTCGAAGGTCGATGTCGGCAATAGCATCTTAACACTTAGGGTAACCAAGAACATATATCCATTCAAATCGCCATGCGCATAATAATAATAGGCGCAGGCATCGGAGGCCTATCAGCCGCAATAGATCTTTCACAAAGACGACATTCGGTGACCTTAGTCGAGGATAAATATGGGTTATCGGAATTTGGCGCCGGCTTACAGATGTCGAGCAATGCCGTCCGAATATTGCACCACTGGGGAGTAGCCAGCGCAGTCGAAAGGGTGGCATTTGTACCGGGAAGAACACTTGCAAGGCGGTATAGCTCTGGCGAGGTGCTGGGCAAGGTAGAACAAAATCCCATTTACCAAGATGCATATGGTTTTCCGTACGTTGAGTACAAAGACTATCTTGCTTTCCACTGATGTCGTCCAGATATTGGCAAGTCTATCGTCCGGATCTGCAAAGGGTTCTGTTTGAACGTGCACAAGAGCTGGGAGTGGACATACGTTTTTCTGCTCGAGTCGTTGATATGGATATTTCCGAGGGGATTGTATCACTTGCAGATGGCAAGGCAATATCGTCTGACCTGATCATCTGTGCTGATGGTGAGCACTCTTTGTATTTTGAGACAGAAAACTAAGGGCTGCAGGCATCAGTTCGCGAACACGCAGTACCGTGATCGACATCCCTTCTTGCTCACCCAGGCCTCTGCAAGATTCCGTATATCGAGCGATGCTCCCACGAGCGGTCATGATGAGCCGTCCTGAAACCGACAAGCTTATATCAACTGACAGTGCACAACTCTTCATGGGTCCGAAGCGGGCCTTGCTTGCTTACCCAATTGCCCAAGGCAAGTTGTATAACATTGCAATCACGGCACTGGATACGAATCCTAGTTCAGATACCGATAGAATAGGCAGGTGGAATGATCCTGTAGACATCAATGAGCTTAAGAGGCTTTTCCACGACTTTTGTCCGCAAGTTCAGAGCTTATTAGGTCTTGTGGAAACATGTACGAAATGGACTATCGCCGAGGTGCCACCACTCGAAACTTGGTCCAGTAAGTCCGGTAGAGTGGTACTTCTTGGCGATGCAGCACATGCGATGTCGCCGCATCTAGCGCAAGGCAGTGCGATGGCCATCGAGGATGCAGCGGTATTGGGTGAGTGCCTGCAGCGAGTCGAATCAACGCAATGTAACTTGACACAAGCGTTACAATGGTACGAACAAATTCGCAAACCTCGCGTTGAGCGAATTGCTGGATTGGCTCGGCAGAATGGCGCCAGTATGCTGTTGGAAGATGGTCCGGAGCAAGAGCAAAGAGATCGCAAATTCGGTGCGTCTTTGGATGCAAACCAAAGTCGAGTAATGACTAAGGTGCTTTCTGAAGCAGTGGCAGATCAAAATGCGCCGTGGGCAACACCAGCTTTTTCGAAATGGCTGTACGGATTTGATGCTCTCAAAGACGCCCAGATTCGGCTTGAGCGGCTGTCGGGGCTCCAAAATAGTCAAGTAACCTCTGCTGAGTTGAGAGCAACCAACTAGAGACTTGAGACGCTCCTAGCCCCAAACTATGGGTGGTGAGCAATGGTACACTGGGTCCCGTTATTGGTATGTCGAATAAGTCTCAACTCGATATCAACATGTTGGTCACGGCGTGTTCGAGTAAGCTGACCTCCGGACTTGCCGTGCTTTAGATGATTCCCTCAATAGGGGGTGTCAAACAAGGCTTTTCATGGCCCAACCATTTGCTTGACTCTCTCGATTCTGGAGACCGCTTTTTCAAGTCTATCCAACCGTTTTCTCTTCTCGCTGTCCCTTTGCTCAAGCACTTTGACTCTCTCCTCCAGTTTGGCCCTGGCTTTTCGTTCAGTTGCGACCATCTCATTGGCCTGACCAAACAACTGCGCTGTAAGATCTTCTAGTTCTGTCTGTGTCTGTGAGAGGCTGGATTCAGCGCGTAGCCGCAGATTCCGTTCCTCTTCCAAGGAGGACTGCAATGACGACAAGGTTGCGACCTGGGAGTCAGAGTGGGATGGCACAAGATGCGGGGCGAGGACGCGTGAGAAAGGAGTCTTCGGGGGTGAGAGTGTAGTGCTGCCATAGGCACTTTCGTTGGAGGGAAACACTCCGGTGTGAGGAGTGATGGGTAGATTCGAAGGATGAACTTCCTTTCTCCGCCCGGGCAACAAGGCACTCAAGCTTGCTAATCTCGATTGTGGCTGTGGGGGAGGCTGCGGTTGTCCTGGTAGAGGAGGTGTAACAGCCGGACCTGGCCCTTCCAGTGCCAGACCACCCACGCCGGCTGGTTGCGCTTGTTGTTGTTGTTGCTGCTGTTCATGCCTCGCATTCGCCTCTCGGAGATATTGAAGTTCGTCTTCGTAGTCAGCGAGCTTGTCAACCGCAGAGGCGGCTTTGGTATTCAAGATCTTCACCTGGGCTTCGAGGTCATGAAGTCGGCGGTGTGCTTCGGCAGCTTCGGCGGAGGGATCGACCAACGAATGGAAATCACAACCGCAAGAGCAGGTAGCTGGGTGGGAGAGGTGATACGAGGAAGCGTTGTCATTGGAGTATGCGGTCGTCATGGTTGTTGAATTGAGAACCCTCGTCGATGTGGCCATGACACGATTCAGATCGGTGAACGCGATTCTCTTGGAGAGCAGTCGAAGTCGGCTTGCTCCATTAGCTGGCGCAGCAGGGTGTTGGACGCGTCAATATGAGGTGTCTTGGGACGTAGGATATGCAATCGCAGGTCCTTGGTGTTGTAAGCTGACCTTCGGCATGAGTTGCGGTTGATGTACGAAGAAGAGAACGCGAAGGAGTGAAAAGCGCGCCAAACTAGAGCCCAACCACTGGAACCTCAATCACAGAGGTCACAATTCCCCTCCACTATCAATATTGGCAAACAACAAGACCAGTAATCGACGTCAATGTCCACGGATATCAGAGATCCGAAAATGTCAAGAAAATCAATAAATTAAATTATGTCACATGCATTGTTTCGAAAAACGTCAGGCGACTGAGACATGGGGAACCCGGTGAGTCTCTATCTGCTCCAGAGTACCGAGAACGAGTCCACTGTCGGGCCTTTTCGGTCACGTGTGTTGACCACCAAACCAGATTCCAACTTGAAGACTGCTAACAAGTCAGAACTGTTAAGAATCTAGGTCAGGTTGAATTCGTTTGCTTGTATAGGTCTGATAAGCCTTCGTACCCAACCGAATAAGCCCAAATCGACCATACTAACAATAAGCCCTTCTGAACATATCCATGCTTCTAGACACCAGTAACGCAGTGGTATGTTATATGAGACACAGCCATCACCATATATCTTTCACACACAATGAACATCTATCTATCTGATAAATCTCAACCAAAGACCAGCCTTTCCATCGATGTATGCCAACCCCTGTTGCTTTGATTCATGCCTGGATCACCTGAATTGCCCATATAGAATAATGACTCTGGTAGGTCCAACTGCCTCCTCCCCGGCATTAGAACAATCATTGGAGATTTTGAAAGTGAAATCTGAATTATCGATGGTTCGTAGTACTTGTACAACAAAAAAGTTTGAATTTTGGATCCGAGGTTGCTGGTAATGGAGCACCTTCGGCTCAACTTACGAGGAACCCTCTGGGGTCAAAAACACATGATTCGAGAACGAGGATGAAAGAGGTCGTGCCTAACCACTCCTGACACTGGATCAAATAACCAAGAAAACGGTATTAGATAGGCTCGAGGTGTGTGCAGCTCACACAGCTCTGCTGCCTCCCATCCCTGTCGTCACACAAAAGTCGCACTCTCCACAAGGCATCATGTTCATCTTTCGATGAAAGGCTTTGGTGATGAAATAATCACCCTCTGCATTAACAAACCCCTAATTTTGAGCTTCACAATTAAAAGAAATATGGAATAGCCGCACTTTGAAGGTTAGCATCGAACATCCCCAAAGCAGAAACCCGACTTACGCGATAGCCAGGGTGGCTGTGACTCCCAAGACTGCCCGCGTCCTGACCTTTTCTCTCTTCAATTTCTCCTCCAACACTTTAGCCTTCTTCGCTGGTTGCACTGGCAATTCCGCGTCGATATCGGATGGCTCAGGGTCCTGCACTTTTCGTTTCCTCGATAATTTGGGTGAGCTTTCCAATGCCTTGGCCTCTTCAACCATCTTTTTGGCAGTTTCGAGCATTTTCTCGGTGTCTTCGGGTAAAGGCAGTTCTGGTAAACCCACCGGCATCTCCACAATGACACTGGTGTGCGTGACCTCAGTGTTCCCCTTGACCTCGACCGATTGATCAACTTCGACCCGCACCTTCTCGTCGTCGGCAGCGGACGGTAATTCGGGCGCTGGTGATGCAGTATCGACCTCGGGTTTGCCTTCCGTCTCAGCAACTGACGCAGCATCGTCGAGAGCCGACTGAAGCGATGCACTAGCTGCGTTGGCATGCGCAATGTTGGCTTCTTTCTGGGCCTTGGTTTGTCGCTTTCGAGGGGAAGCTTTGGCTGGAGTAGCAACTGCCTTAGTCGGCGATGAAGACCTCGTCGACCGTGATCGAGGGGTTTTTGTGGTAGGGGCTGGTAGCCTTGTCTTGTCTGATGGGAGATCGAATCTCGGTGGCGGAGCAATTGACTTCTTTGCACTTGAAGGGGTCTGTGAGATGTCCGCCGGGTCAAGCAGTGCTTTGATCCAGTCGGTGAGACCATATGCTTCTGCTAATTCAAGGGCTATACCTGGAATGAGCCGCGCTCGCGCAGGGTAGGCACCACTTTGGACTTACCGAAAACTGGGGCTACCCAGACATTACCTGCCACCTCATCCTGACTGGTAGCATCCAGACTCTTGAGATAGTCGCGTTCCTCCTTTTCTTCGGCGTGAGCAGCCCAGGGAAACGCGATTTTGAACATGCCAGTAGCAGACACGAAGCCGTCCTTGCTTCTCCTCTGCGATGATGTCAGACCCGGTCCGGGTGGCGGAGAATATCAAAACGGGATCGTACCATCAAGAAGTAAGTCTCTGGGTGAGCCTGATTAGACCGAGATGCAAATATCTCGGAACCGGTCAGGTCTTCTGGAAGAGGTGCTCGTAGATGCGCATATTCAAAGGGACCCAGGTTTGATGCCTTGGTCGCGTTGGACGTTCCAACTTGACCGGGCTTGACTGTTAGCTTGGTCTTTCCCAACCCCCTGCGATTGATCAAGTCTTCATCTGTGACCTCTGTCAGCTCCTCTGAAGTATGATTAGTATCAGCCACGATGGCTTACAAGTAGGCGCAACGCCGGGCGCAATGAGAGGATTTCTCTTTGTAGGGAGAGATCGCGTGTCGGACATGGCGAAAATGATATAGTTCCGAGAGAAGAGGTATTAAAGGAGAGCAAAGCGAAGTGGGCGAGGTGAAGAAACGGTCAACGTGGAAGGTGTGGAATCGGTCTGCGACAGCACTTTGATTCGAGTACGAGGTTGGGCCGGATAACAGCGCGCAAAAGGGAAGACGGTGGTGAGTTGTCCAATTGTGGTGCTCTAAGGCTATCCAAAAGGTGATTTGGCAATCAAGTGATGCGACCAAAGAGAAAGAAGATACGAGAAGGAAGAGGGAGAATGAGCGCAACCTGAATGGAGGGCGAGTGAAAGATGGACGGGGGAAGTAGCGAAGGTGCAGTGCAGGTGCAGGTGCAGAGGCAGAGGCCGAGAGGCACGAATGGGACTGACCAAAGTCGAGCTCAGTTCAGCTCCGTCACCACCGCCGTCACCTCTGGCGGAGCACTCTTCCTAAGAAATTTGGAGGCAGGAAAGACTGAATGGGGGACAAGCTTACTCCCGAGACCCCTGGTTCATCATGAGCTTGGCTGGGGATGGATGTCTTCGGGTTAGGGCGTCTGGAAAGCTCCTCCAGGCGAGCTTAGGGGAGCAATAGGCGGCACGTCAAGGGTTGCGGGGGAGAGTTTCGGGGATTTTTAATTGGAGGCTGGTAGTCTGGGTGTGTCTCGTGGTTGGCCAAGGTCCCTGAATTGACTTCTCGCGATCAATCTAACCACGTTTATCCATTGCAATCTCGAAATTAGACTCGGAATGGGACCATCAGATTCTGTTGCTGTTGAGGTGCTCTATCGAGTCCAAGAGGTACGAGGTACTCGTATTAGCTTTCCACGAGAGGAAGGGCGGCATCGCACCATCTCTATCTACATCTATGAGTCGAGTTCGCGATTGCTTCTCTCCCCCATTTTGGTCCGAGCCTTTTCATCTGCTCTCTCGTCGCCAATGTCGAGGAACTCGTCTCCACGATACTCCCATGCCCCAATCTCACGAGGTCCTTCCATCCCATCAGGGGGAAGAGCCCAAGTTGGTGCAGGGCTACGATAACTCCAGCTTCCTTCTGTCACATCGGCATATGCGAGCGCGTGAAGATATATTCCCAATTCGTGCGGCCCAGGATCGGAATACAAGGGCGTATCACAAACGCTGCATTTTTCTCCCGTCATCTTCTCGCCTTTTCTTTTGTTGTAATCAACCACCATGTCCTCGTGCGCTTTGACATAAGCAGCATATTGAGTCTTCTCGTCAGATCCTGCTAACTGGCCTGCGTGCAAAGTACCGCTATTCAAGGGTTTGAAGTTGGCGTCGGTGAGTCTGGCGGCATCGGTAGCCGTCATCTGCTGCGTTTGGTCGATGACTTTGGCCATCTGCTCGTCATGCGCCAGCGAACTAGCCACTTCGGTCTTTCCCATGGTCGCCAGCCTTGCAATAATCTCTGCATCATCGTTACCACTCGAGTCATTCTTTGAGAGACTGGGACCAAAGACCGCTCGATTACTGTAGATCGGATCATTTGTGATGGGATGCCCTAGAAATTGGAGGTGCACTCGAATCTGATGTGTCCGTCCCGTCAAGGGCAAACAATGCACAATGCTGTATCCATCGTTTTCGCTGCCCGGTGTGGGTGCTGCGGGTTGCGCATTCTCCTGAGTGCGATTAGCTTGAGGTAGGCCTTCAGATGGTGTCGAGTTGATTGTGTTTCGAGGATAGTACGCTATTCGTCTGAACAACGTTTTCGCTGGCTTCCCACTGGCTCGCGCTCGATTGAGACCAAGGATAGGACTAATCTGAAGGATACTTTCTTCACAGCTCACCACTCCACCACGCATTGGATCTCCGTTCCAGCCTTCTCCATCCTCAAATCTACCTTTGACCCTCGCGACATACTCTTTCCGCACAGTTCGTCCTCGGAGCTTCTCGCTTATCTTTTCCGCCTCTTGACCGGTCTTTGCAATGAACATAACACCACTAGTCAAGCGATCGAGTCTGTTGCAGGGAAGTGCTCTGAAGGTAGGGTGCCGTTCCGCCTTCATAATTTCCACCACCGAATTGTAGTTATACCTTCCTGCCGGATGAACAGGCACACCGGCTGGCTTGTCGATAACAATCATATCTTCAGTCTCATTGATGACTCGAATTGGCTGAGCAGTGACTGGGGGCTCGTGCCTATGCAAGGTGTGTGAGATGACATCGCCATTCTTCACAATGGTGCGGACATCGACACAGGGCTCTCCATTGACAGAGATTTGTCCCACCTCAATTGCATGTTTGTAATACTCCCGCGATCGATCGCGAAACTCCGTCGCGAAGATGTCAAGCAGTTCGCGGCCACGCCATCTTTGTTTGCAGTAGGTGTTGTAAGTATAATGATACGGGGCGACTCTTCGGAGGCCACCTTCTACGTAATAAGGTCTAGGCCAAGGGTCACAAGGAGTAATCGCAACGGCAGGAGCAGGATGGGGAGGTGGTTCTCTTTTTCCCAATTGGAGGGTATTTCGATCGGTAGTGGCCAAGGCCATGGTAAGACGTTTGCGACTTGCCAGGTAGGCAATGACGCGTGGTGAGGGAGCCAGGAGTGGCTTGGATGAAGTCCGACTATGAGATGGATTCAATGCGACAAATTGTTCGAATGGTTGGAGAAGTACCAGAACCTCAATAACTTTTTTCCTGTTTGAGGTGCCATTTTAACCGCGGTTGTACCGGCAGGTACAGTAAAATGTGCCTACCTTATCCTTGCCTCCCCAAAAGCTCGCAAGCCATATTGCGTCGTCTATTATTCTACTTATTCAGATTCAACATAAAATGCTAGGACTGGACATTGCCTCCAAGAGGAAGAGGAAGCCAACGGATTATCCATTCCACCTAGACTACAGAACACGATGGTGAACATGGCCTATGAATCGTCGAGGGGCAAATCGTTAGCTGACGCTGTGTCTAGGTCGGACAATGATGTCTATCACCACATGAACAACAGCATATATGCATTCTTGATCGACTCTATTGTGAATGCATATCTCATTGAGAAATGCGGGCTCAATCCTGAAACGTCGGAGCAAATTGGTCTAGTCGTGTCAAGCTACTGTGATTACTTTGGATCTGTGGCATACCCTTCTGTGCTCGACCTGGGATTGAGGGTTGTGAAACTTGGAAAGTCAAGTGTCATGTACGAAGTTGGCATCTTCGACCAGGGAAAAGACCAAGTCAAGGTAGTTGGGGGTTCGATACACGTCTTCGTCGAGGCAAAGGGACGTCGACCTGGGGAGGACGGCATGATGCCACAAATGAGAGAAGGATTGTCACAGATCCTGGAAAAGGACGCCGCGAAATTATAACCCGAGTCAAACATTGATTTGAAATGGTATCAATTCTTTTCGCACTGCTGTAACCGCTGCTCCGTATCATGATCGGATGTTCCCAGCTGTCAAGCATTGCAACGACAACCCTGTCGTCAATACACCATGAATCGTTTGGTGAAAATGCTCTGCACCGTCCTTTGGACCAAGTCTACCACCATGCGCTCGCTGCCTTGATATCGTCACACTCTAAGACTCAGTCGTAACCTTGGCCTTGGGGTTGGTAACCTTGACACCCAGTGTCTTGGCCTTTGCGATGATTTCGATTCTCTTTCTCGATGAAACGGCGGATGCGATCTCGGCGGCGTAGGTCTGGTTGTGCATAAGGAGAATATCAACATCGCGAGCGTTGTGGACGAGGAAAACTTTGTGGCCTGAGGGGATCAAGTGACGAGTCTTCTTGTTGGAGCCATAACCGATCTATCATTCAGTGGGTTAGCACAAGTGTCCCTGTTCAATATTCGTCTGCTCCTGGCCCGATCTCTTCGATCCTCAAAAATCCAGCGTTCGAAATTCGGCCACCGAAGCATATGTGTTGACATACCGATGGCATAACAACCTGACCCTTAAACCGTCTTCGAACTCGATTGTCGATACCCTTTGGTTTCCTCCATGCCGATGGTACACACTTGAATCTGTCGGACTGATGTCTCTCCCACTTCTTCGGGTGTTTCTTCACGATCGGAACGTGTTTCTTTGCGGAGACCATCTGTAAGTGTGTCAGTTGTTGAAATTTTATCGCTGCTGGATGATACAGACCTTGTCGGTATTGTGGTCTTGACGTCTGGTGTGAGATCGATGAGAGGTTGAATTGAGCGGTGTTCGTGGGTCGCAACTGCGAAATTTCGACCGCCAAGAGTTGTGTGCAGCCAAAATTTACTAGTCCATTTTCAGACTAGCGTATGTGGATTTAGTTCAATGCCGTGTTGGACATCACTTTTAGAGGCTGCACATATCTCTCGTAAATAGAGGCTTCACTCGTTCGAACGCATTGAATTAAGAAAGTTCTGACTCTCTTTTTATGACCGTATTTCGTTACCTGATTCAGCTCGAAGTTTGAATATTGCTTCTTTTACACGACGGCAGACGGCAGACTGATCATCTCAAGATTTGATATCTTGATGTTCTAGCTTGTATGGCTTTCCATCTTGTGCGCCGCTAACCAACATCGCCTCAATCAATTCCAGATCCGCGAGTGCCTCTTCGGGTGACTGGTTTGCATTTTCTTTGCCTGCTGCCAACGCTTCACCCCACGCTCGAACCTCAGGAGTGACTCCGCTTCCCTCGTTGGTGATCTTTTCCTCCTTGCCATCGATTGTGACACCGTCAAATGTTACACTGACAGAGCCTTTGTCGGCGCCAATTGTCCAATCACGGCCTTTGGCGGTGGTGCCAAATGATATCGATATCGACCCGACTGTGCCTTGCTTGGTCTTACCTGTAGCTTCTACCGTGTCGACGGGAGGAAGATGTTCTTGAAGTTGTGCAGAATGGGCAGAAAGCGTCACGAGCGGGTTGTCCTTCCCAAGTAGCAACCTCAACCCTGCCGTAAAGTGGACTCCTCCATCTAGAAGAAACCCTCCTTGATGTGTGGGGACTTTCCTCCAACTGCAAAGAATTAGCTTATCCACTGTAAGAAACTCGTTCAAACTCACGATGTCTCAAAGTATTTCCCTCCCGACACTAGAACCTGCATTCGGGTCCTGAATGTCAGTTGGCGGCCCAACGTCTGAACTGCTTCCGCAGCACGTATGAAGTTGGCCAGATATCTTTGGTTCTCAGCGACTGCCCATGTCACACCCTTGCCAGCAATTTCTGATCGGTACCATTTGATCAGTTCGACCGCTTCCTTGACATTCTCTGCCACAGGCTTCTCCGACAGGACGTGCTTGCCAGCCAAGAGTGACTTGCGAATATATTCTGGTTGATTCTTGATTGGAAGAGCAATGATGACAGCTCCAACATCGGAACGGGCAAGGACGTCATCAAGAGATTTTCCAGCACCAGAGTCCTCAGAATATATATCGACCTTGGAAGAGTCTGCCTCGAGCGATTGAGCCGACTTCAATGACCGTGACCATATGGCTTTGAGCGTCAAGTCTTTGGAAGCTTCAACCGCGGGCTGTGCCCTATGTTAGTGATACGCTGTGCATATGCAAAGAAGCTGTCAATGCCCACCAAGTGCTCCTCACGGGCAAATATGCCTGGAATGGGTCAGAAATACTGTGCATAGCCCAATCTGTGATTCGGACCTTACCTCCACCAAGAATTGCCACACCAATAGTCATTTTATAGGATGTCAATGGGGTTACACAAACTCTGGACGCTTGATGGTCAGAGACAAAGACTCGATTCGAGTTTTATATTCAGAGTAGGACAGCATCCCACCACTATTTACCCGGAGTGATGTATTTCCGAAGCTTCAGTCAATGGCGATTTAGCCATACAGCCCCCACTATGACACCCCGCTTCCATGTTCCGATATTTTGCTGTTTGGTGTTACAGAGTCAAACCCTTCGGGAACTGCCCGTCATCACGTGCCTCGTCAAACATGCTTTTGTTCAACAACGTCATGATAATAATGCATGGGCAAGGCAATCTTCGACTTCCATTTAGACTTTGAGATCTCCGTCGCCGATCATCGCAAAAACAGGGCCAGAGGCAAATCACGCCAGAGAATGCCTGGCAAATCCCATACCGCGTTTCTTTGTCCTTGTCTCCACGATGTCCCAGCTGCGGGACTTCCAAGAGTTAGTCACCTCTTCAAGTTCCTTTTATCAATGCGTTCCAAAGTTGTTTGCTCTATGTTTGCTTCAGTGTCACCATGAACAAAGAAACTCACCCGTATCCTTTCCTTGCATCGAGCACGACCTCGTAACCTTTTTTCACTGGGGGGCAGGCTCCCTCGTTTCTGTCTGTGCCATATAATCCCACGGACATCCTGCTCTCGCACGCCCATCCCTTCAACCTCTAACTCACAAGATCCTATCCTCCCGTAACATTTACCGCGATGGTTCCTCAACCCGTTTGTGAAAGCGAGACGCCGCGTAGCTTACTGCCCATTGAGCTGCTCGCCGCGACTCGGGACAAGCACCATGCCCTCAATCTTCAGATCTTGAAGAACTTGCCGCTGTGCGTCCCTCCCGCATCAGACTCGCCCATTCTGTATGCGAAAGGTATGGCGGTCTTTGGCCAGATATACTATGCATTCGAGGCCCATTTGACAGCTTGTCTGGAGGATAAGGAGTTCGATGAAACCCTACGGGATCTGTACAAGCGTATATACGTTCCTCGTTTATTGAGATCGCCACGCCTGCGGAGGGATCTCGAGATTGTCAACATGAGACTGGGCGATCATGGGAAACAGGAGGTGGAAGACATCTCAGAACGGTCAATGATTTACTACAGAAGAATTCGCGCAGCCTTATGCGCCAAACCGCATGTCCTCCTCGCATACATGTGGACCATGTACCTTGCCCTTTTCAACGGTGGCAGATGGATGCGCAGCCAGTTTTTCTCCGCTGGCTCTTCATTTTGGCTCGGGCAGGACTTTCCTTTGTCATTCTGGGACTTCGAGGACCCAACCGGGACTGCCTCTAATGGAGAAGACCTCAAGGTGGCTTTCAAGGAGAATTTCGCAGAAGCGTCTCGACTTCTGGACGACACGCAGCGAGATGAAGTAATCGACGAGTCCAAGAATTTATTCGACCTGTGTTTGGAGATGGTGAGATTCTTGGAAGGAGGGCCATCATTATTGGCCTCCCCGGAAACTTTCTCCACTCATATTGCGGCCACGAACCGGGCAGCTGACAGGTCGCCAACCACGGGCTCCTTGGTCTTACCTGCTTGGCACTACGTAGCCTCGTTGTTTGGATCACTCGCGACGGCAGCCTCGAATACAGTTTGGAGAAGAAAAGAATTAAGCTCTGATTGAAACCACGCACATCATTTGGAATCAATAGACTTGGGGCTTAGCGACGACACGATCATCCCCGTCCGAGTTCCTCCAAGCATCATCCCATCCCGAGATATTTAGTTCGTCTTTGCTTCTGCTGGGAGACCGGGATGGCACTGTTTGAACATTTCGAGGGCGGTAACCAGGATTCTCCACCACTTCATCACTCTCTGACACACGCATGCATGTTCAAGGTTCTCTTCGCGAGGGATCACATGTATGGGAGCGTAGGAACGTCCGAGGTCGGAATATTCATAGAATCATCACATGGGCTCAAGCCCGGCCTCACAATTGTCACTATCCGTATTGAACTTCGACTGCACCTCTCAGAGCCTCGGGTCATGATCTCCAAAAAAGAAGCAACACAGGCAACTCAAATTGCACGCCAGCCGACATGTGAACCGGGAGGCCACTTCACTGTGGGCAATAATAGCGGTGCTCCTGCACAAGTCACTCGATGAAAATAGCTTCCTCGGTACCAAGTAGACACTTCCCTAAGGCAGCAGCAGATAGAGTTGTCGTGGAATCCCCTTTTAACATGCATGGCCAGCCAAATTCAAATGATCGTTTCGAAACCTACCTACGAGTACGAGGCATGCACATTGTGCTCCGTACTTCATAGTCAGGAACTTTCTTCTGCGAGGTGTAAACCTCAACCTCCAAGCAGTGCCATTGGGTCAAGGATGGAGCGGGAGAGGTACTTGAATCCGACGGCTGTCTCCAAGATCCGGTCTAGTAGTGTACTCGTACGAGTACGGGACGGAGTATCCGTATGTGAAGCTCCAAGTGATTAGGTTGCTTCGTCCTCTTTAGCTTCACGGGAGATGATTCGCACGCGAACCAGTTCCCTGCCCTGGCCCCCGGGGTGGCTCAAAGTGTGGGGATATCCACTGGATATTTCTGGGAAGGCTGTGAACATACGGAATACGGATTGCTTGATTGACAGACCCCACTGATTGAACTAGTTTTTCATGAGTAGCTGGCACCTTGGTGCCTTCGCATTCATGTGCCGGAGTGCTACTGTACAAGGGCAAAGAAGGAAAGCTCGTGGCGTGAAGGAAGAGAAAATACATATCTACGAGTATGTGGAGTAGTGATTTAGAGTACTTACAGTTGGTATTCATGGCGATACACGACCGGCCAAGGAAAAGATTCGTAAGGATGCTTGGTGATTGCATTTGAAGCAACTATTGGGCTCAACAATTTTCAATGCCTTGTCAAGCTGTCCTGGACTCATAGTTGATAGGCTTTGCATGTGCTTGGGGCCACGGAGCGACTCCGAGCGAGATTATACTCGGCCCAGCGCCCTGGTCGTGATTTAATCAGACTGGTGCTCTATTCACAAGATGAGGAATAGAGCATAGTGACTATCACCATTCAGTGCCTAGGTGGCTGCGGTAGTGAGGGACTACGGGAGTGAGTTAGTTTGGAGGCACATGTTTAGGGACAAACAAAGCTTGGACAGGTGGGCATGTTTGGGTGGGTTACCCAGCCTTGGGGGCGATCGGGGATAGGTTGAGATGGTGATACGATGAGATGAACCGCACGGACAGTTTTCTTGTGGCCTGAACGTGGTCGTTTTAGCAGCTCCCTAGCGTTCCGTTGCTTTGGCTTTTGCGAAGATACGGAGTGCGGATCGATGGGAAGGTAGGTAGCTGGGGTATTGACCATGTTGATTTGGCGGTGTGAAACAGCATATCCTGATCTCCAATGCTTGGTTGTTCTGTCGAACGAGAATCAGCTGTCACTTGCGGCAGGATCTGTCTGGATCCGTAGCATTGGGTGATACGATATGCCAAAATGTAGTTCAACAACACGGTCTGTTATAGGCTGGTCTAGGCTGTTTTGTCCCTTCCTCCTTGACATTCTTGGATGGTACCGTATGAATCCCTTTACCTCGTAATAATGGTGAATGGCAGTATCTAGCCATGTCTCGAGGCGAACGTGCAAAGGGTAAAGTGAACGCGTTTTTAGAAGCGGATGGATTCAATAATGTCGATCAGGAAAGGGCCTCGCTTAGACAGACACAGACATCCTCGGTGCACTGAATGCCTATTTGGAACCTATTGGCCAGGAGAGCGATGGAGCGCATGTCGGACACAGTCAGAAACAATCTCCCCCTGGCCTAGCCATTAGATCAATCCCCGATACCCAGATTGTGGTTAGCCCGCCTTGAGGCTTGAGGTCCCGAAATACCAAGACGAGATCTTTTGGGATTTCTGGGGGTGGGCCTGTGCACGTCCAACGACGAGTCGGGATCCTCCTTTTGGTTTCGGATTTCAAGCCCTTCCTCAGCATCGCCACGTCGGTCTCAATTAAAATTGACAGAGTCTTCAATCATACATCAATATAGTACGTCGTGATGTAATAATACCTGATGGCCAGGCTCAATCTCGAAGCAAGGGTCTTGGGAGCAGAGGGAAGGCGAAAAGCTGATCTACGCACTTTGTCTGATGGTCCTCCCTTTTAAAATGATAGATATTGCAGCTTGAGGACGTATTCGTAGGCGATTGTCCTTGATCAACTATCTAGTACTCACCAAAAGGATGGATCTACGTTTCAGGTCACAAAGTGTGCTTCAGAAACCTCAAGACCTACGAATCTCCATGAACAGCGGCTGTCTGGCCCCGCAAGGATCTAGTCAAAGAATCGAATTGATGAACGATGGAAGGTTGGTATTTTTATAAGCCTTTGATAGATGGAGGTGGAGATGAGTTGGCACTTACTAGGGACAGTTTGAACTTTGAACGTGGTGAATTAGTTGACTTGGCATTCTATCCTGTCATCTTGCTGTTCTCGCACACCTTGATTGTGTGCGTTTCATACTATTGTCATTGTTGCTGAGTCTGGCTGGTGGCAGAATGGAATTTAGTCGCCATCTTTTCTTCGGGGAGGCCGCAAGCGCATGGGCGTTTGACGTACAGGACTTCCCTCATCGGTGACCAAATCGTTGAAGATTGTCAATGCTCAAAGTCAGTATCTTCAGCTCGCTTAGGTACTTTTGTTGGCTTATACATGGTTACAAACAACGTCACAGTTCGCATCCGTTGTGATTTCGTGAATACTTGAGGCTGTGAACGGCCTTTCGAAGAGACCCGGTAGTGGTAGTAATTGTAAGCGAGTCCAAACTCGCAAGTGAAGCCATGCTTACCCAGGAGGGAAACGAGTACGAGTAGTTCGCTACTGACAGTGGCATGTTTTGACTATGCTAGTAAAGGGGCTTGAGCAGAATTACCTCACATAGCAATCTAGAGTAAGTGACCAGCTGCATGTCTACAACTGATCAAGAAAGAAGCGGTCTTGATATGGACATTCTGCAACACTCTGATGCAGTCCGGAACATGATGGACATGTTGAAAGGACGAGGGGAGGTTTCTTCAAAGCTTTCTCGCATGATACGAAGTAGTGAGGGAAAGGTGCAGAATCCGTGACGGGAATTGAATCCAAGTGGGTCGTTAGGTCAAGCCCCACGGATGGCAAGCATGACTGATTCGCGCCACGCCTTGGGACTTCAGAGCTCGTGCTACCCACTATTGGGACTGGACCAGGAGGGCCTGGGGCTTATCCCAGGCGACCCAGAGAATGTCTCTCCAGGTGCAACCTTGGGTACCTCGGTCCTCAAGGAGCATGGCTTACAGTACTCGTACGGGTACGGAGAAGGTGCTCAGTGCTGGGTGCTCACACCATGCCCGTGGTGCTAGGCGAGACCCACCCGCCAGGGAACATTAGTGGGAGCTCTGGGTGGTGACTGCTCCCGTTAGCATGGACGGGCACTGGTTGGGGAAGGCCCATGGATTTTCCGGAGCAGTAGCTCCTCTGCAGGTAGGTTGCTTGGTGGAAATCATGATGGTCGCATCGATGCTGGCAGGTGGTTCAGCTACCAAGTAACTCGGTTCACCTACTTTCTAGCCTACCACAATCCTGGGATCCCATGCTCGGAGGACGGACTGTGGGAAGTACGAGCGAGTTGGGAACAGGTTGCAGATGGCGACTGTGCAGTCCTTCAACTTGGTCAACGGTGTTCATATTGGGTTCCCCGCAGGTAACTACATACCTAGATAGAGACTTGGTACGGAGCATCTTCACACTCTCAATCCCCGTGGATCCTAGGTAGGTACCTCCGAGTGAGTCCTGTCTACCAAGGACGAGGGAAGCACCACCTGGTGAGGATTGGGCCCAGCTTCAGTAGTAGCCTACAGTCCATCCGTACGGCACCGGGTCGACTACGGTGTGGGCTACTTAGGTACCAACTAGCCCTTAGCTGGGTCCTTTTGGTGGTGGTAACCACTGGAACCACTTGCGGGAAGAGCTAAACCCAAACCCGGCAAGCCCCTGTTGCCTGACTCGCCTAGAGGCCGCCCGGGTCGTCGTCTGGCTTCAGTGCGAGTAAGTCGGGGTGGGTCGATGGGTAAAGCCTAAGTCTTGCATGTTCAAGTTGAAGGTTGGAATCATCATCAGATGTCTGCCCATTCCCTCTTATCATCTCCACACCACATCACGCAAGTCCTGTTCATCTGCCACTCCGCCATCATCGAATCGACACTCTCTCTTTCCCTTTCATTGTTATTAGTGTCACTCTCTGCACGGCCTTTTGTGTCGATCATCCTTCCCTCTCCTCACTCCTCCTCTTCCTCTATATTCGACTCTTTGTCGATCCCTCAGTCCCTTTTTGACACCTCTCAAGACGACCTCCCATCTCTTTGGGGAGTCGACTTGACGTTGTCAAAGTCGGGGTCTGTGACATCTGAGAGCTGGTGGCTGCGACCGTACCGTGGCTATTTCATCAGCGGATTGGCCCACCTTCAGCTTCTTCTCCCACACCTAATCAACTCTCATGCAACCACTCCGTCCTCCGACCCGAATATCAACCACTCCTAGCACACCACAGCCTCTCTTGTCAATCTCATAGCCGCCCTTCTCAACCAGACATACATACCTCGTGCTCGTGCTCGCCGTTGGCATAGTTCGTTCCAAACTCAATGGTCCCCATTCTTGGTACTGGGAGTTCGTTATCCGACAAGTGGTATTCCAGTCCACTCCTCCGGATTTCCACCACCAATTGACACCTGACATTTCTGCTCCCACACCCAATACCCTGGGTCCGCTCACAACCAATAGTTGGCCAATATAGCCACCTGATCTTCCTCCCGGGTCCTGTCACTCTGCTCTCCTCTGATTACCTCTTACACTTTTATGACACCGCCGACGCTAGGCGTTCCATCCTCTCTCACCAATAATGGCCACTGATCAGCCTCCACCTCCTAAGAAGGAGAAGAAGGGATTGAAGAAGATATGGAAGAAGGTCAAGGATTTCTTCAAGGACAACGCTGCCAAACCTGCTGCGACTTCTTCGACCGCTCCTCCCGTTCCATCAACTGCTGCTATTCCTGCGCCTACCCCCTCTACCTCCAAACCAGAAGCTGCGACTACTACAGGGCCGTATGTACTCACCCCCCTCGACTTTCGATCAATGCTAACAACTCACAGAGATGATTCAATTGTGCGGTTACCCAATATCGAGGTTGATGATACCGTGGAGGATATCCCTGTCACCCCACAAGAACCAGTCCAGCCCCGCCCAATACAGCCTTCTTCTGAGACTGGCCAACTCACGGAGCCCGAGATGCGCTTCAATAAAGCCCAGGCAATATTCGCCAAGTACAATCTGGAACTCAGTGAGGCTGACTGGGACATGAGACCAAAAGTCCCCTATGAACGAGTGGCCAAGAATATTCGCATGAGAGTGAGATATACCTGCCACAACTGCTCAACGACCTTTGGCCACGAGAGAGTCTGTGTGGGCTGTGAGCATCGTCGATGTGTCAAGTGTTCTCGATACCCACCCAAGAAGGATAAATCAAAATCCCAAAAGACCGACCCCACTGCACTCCCACAAACCTCAGGAGGCCCATCATCATCCAATACTGACGCAGCCTGTCATGAGTGCCAGACCGGTTTCACTGCGGGCACTGAAGAATGTCCCAATTGTCATCACAAGATATGCGAACGTTGCCTCCAAGAGGCCATCATTACCGTCGAGCATACTCCTGACGCGCTCGGCACAGGGCAGAAGCATTCGACAGAGGGCGTTGGTGCGGCCAGCTGACAAGTGTCCTGAAACGACATCTGATATATCCGTTTATTGCTTTCCAATTGTTCTGCATTCTGAGCATTCTTACGATGCGATGACGACCTTTGCCTTTTACGACTTTAATCTTTGATCTGAGCGTTCTCGTTTTGATCTCATTCAGAGGTGTTTTGGAACCAAATTTACGATATTTTGGCCGGTTACAGGATGAGCTTGTTTTGGACATTAAAAGCGAGGGTTTATGGCGTTCAGTGTGCATTTTTATATGTTTTCCACTCTTGAAGGGAGACACCAGCAGACAGGATTGTGGTTGTTGAGAAACCACGTTGAAGAAAGGGAAAGCTACGGAGAGAAAAAGAAGCAAGGAACAGGATACCCAAGCACTGTTAAGGCTACAGCGACGCAGCGTCATAGCGCAAAGAACAGAAACTAACTCTATCTACTTACTACTACAAACTGATCACCTTAGCCTGGAGAATTCCGACGGTTGGCAGATGTTCGCCCGGAACCCAGACCACGATACCAATGAAAATAACTGCCCTACTCTCTTCCTTTTCCATGGCTTCTGTCTCTATTGATGGAAACATTCTTGGCGATCTCGAGCAGAATGTCCACCGCACATACGTGGACTCGGTCGTAATTCAAGTGCCTTCCTATTTCCATGGGTCTCAAGGTAGGACATACCTGGAGATACTTGATGGACTTTGCCACCGAGGCCACAAAAGGCCGGGAATCAGAATGTGGCTCTCGAACACCAGTTTGTTACTGCGGACTCTTAACGAGAACGCCTTCACACTATTCCTTATGGGCGCCTTACAAGTTACGAGTTGCAAAGTGGAACCTGATCCCTTAAACTATGTACAAACCACTATCAGGCATCCTAACTAGAATTTGCAGGATCGTTCCCGTTGCACGATTATCGACTCAACCCACCAACATTGAAGCTTCAGACTCGGGCTGCGTGCGAGAGGTCTAGGATAGTGCGGAAGATCACCTCAGCATGGGTGTGGAATTACGACAGGTGATGGCTTAGCCCATCCATTGTCCCGTACTTGCCGCAGATATTAGCAACCAACACGACTAAAGCAGACCCTCTCCCTCCGATGCCCTGGACCTGTCCATTCGAGAACAGGGATCGGAGTTTGTTCATTTGAGACGGAAGCCTTGAACGGGCCGCTTAGGGTGTCATGCCTAAACATACCATAGACCTGAGACTTCGAGCTACAGTCTCACAGGCTGACCTCGATAGGATACGGTTTGCGCCTTGATAACGAACATGTGACTTCACTGACGAGCTTAATGTCTGTGAGCGTTGTACACCTTAGGTCACCATAATTTCCACTATTTCGTGGCATTGCAAATCTGCTCATAAAACAATTACATGTCGAGAGACAGCGACATGAGGCGTACACTCGAATCCAGAAAGCCAGTGATACTGCCGACCGCAAAACTGCAGATTGCCTGACAAGTACTCAACCTGCACGTTTGGGTGGCTCTTACCCGCTATTGCGACTCCTTTGCCTCGTTCCAAAAAGCCGGGCAGCCTTGCAACGATGGGTGTCTAAATAGAGCCAACGCCCGAATGGTGGGAGCAAGCCCCCCTGTCGAGCTCCCGAAGATCAAGTTTCCAAGTTAGTAGTACGTCGTCCTCCCGATTGTACCGTCCAGACTTGATTGATAATTCATTATGGTTGCCACAGGTTCGCCCGAGTTGGAGATACGAGATGCAGCAAATTGTAAGGCTGACCGCCTTGAAATGGTCTCATCTGCTCCGTAACGGGTACTGCGTACCTGGATCATCTTCTCTACATGGTGTGTGACTCTGGTGCCTGGGTGCGGTCGACTGCCCGTAAGCATTTAACCTCCTGGTGAGATACGGATTGATCCGTAAAGCTTGACTGGGCGACTACGGAGTGTCAAACTATTCTAATCTAGGTAGCTGAGCTATTGTAATTTGTAGCAGGCCATTATTAGCCCATTATTGTTCGAAGGAAAAACTTGATTACCGGATGATCAGTTCATTCCGGTCGATTGTGGCATGATGATTTCTGAATTCTCATGACTCGGAAATCAGGAGTTGAAAAATCCTGGAGGTTTGGTCAACAACATATCCCTCATAAATGAAGCAGCCATCAACAACTCGGGTGTGTACGAGGCACTGGTTGATCCTCTGGTTTCACCTGGTCTTTCGAACCGAGATGATCGATTCGCCTGAAGTGGAGCATTTGGGCGAGCTGGGCTCCATCCTCATCAAAGTTTACCAAGCCTGAAACAGTTTTGCATTACGAATTTGATGTCTACCTACGCATGGATACTCCGTACTCCTAACTAGTAACTAGATGTCGACGATAAACCACGTCTAGACTGAGCCAGAATGAAATGCCGACAAAATCTTGGATTGCTAACAAAGCAGCCGCTATCACGGACTCACCAAGAATCCCCAAAGTCGGGACGATACCAGTTCTCGGAGGTTCAAGATCGGTGTTCGTATTCGCTCGCTGACTGACTAGCCAAGCGATCTGGTTTTGTGGCCAATGCACTGATCCAATCCCAGCGTTTCATGTTTCCTAACGGTACAAGAAACCCCGAGAACTTGGGAAAGCCGTTCGAGTCAGTGGGCACCTACGGTATCACGTTGGTCCCACAGATAACCTACACAAATCAGAATATGTGACGCCATCCGCCGTGTGCTGTTGTGGACCAAAATCCAAAGATGGGTTGACAAGGGGGTTGTTTTCACACCAGGTTTCCCCTTGCGCGTGTATCATCAATCTAAACTCCTTATCTATCTACGCCCGCGATCTGTGTTCGAGCGATCCCATCTTGGCCTGTATCTGACCGGATTGAGACCCCATCCACAATCAGACGGCTTTGGTATCAGCTGACGAATTCAGGACAACGAAGTTAATGTTGAACTATGTCGCGGACAATGCAACAGACCCCGCTCTTTCATGCATTGTTGACGACGGACGGGCAGACATTTATCTCTTGAGCCGGCCGAGGCCTCGCATAAAAACAGCATGACTCGATCATCGGTTCAGAGGTCACCAGAGGACGAAAGTCCCGAATCCCTCCTCGAACTTTGTCGACGGAAGCAACGTCCCGTACAAAAACTGGCCGGTCTGAGTACATCTACTACTAAACTAACTCTGCAGGAAGACAATAGTCGCAAGACGGGATTGGACCTAGGTGGTATTTGCATCTTCTACCAAGATTCGACACTGAACAACGAATCCATCTGCCCAAACGGAACGGCGAGCGGGGGATTTACTGCATGGAGCTAAGCCACCACTGGCACCACCAGTGATGGTGCGCGTCGGGCCTCAATTGAGGATACGGCCAGGGTGAAATGGGAAATTTTTCTTTTCATGCCCATGGATGGATGGATGGGCTCGCAAGCGAACAGTGGAATTCCAAGCAGAAGATGCATGCACACCGGAAAAATGTTGGCAGGTTTGGGCTCACTGTTGGTTCGCTTCGAGCTGGAAATGCAAGACAGCGAAACTCGAACCACTGACAGTAAGTGGGAAAACAAATCCTTGTCTGGAATTCGGGGGTGTGTTTCTTAGGGCTTCGACGCCCAACCAAACCACCATCCTCTTCGCTTGGATACTCGATGCCCAAGCCAGGCCAGGGACGACTTGCACCATCAAAGCATTTATCTCGTACGAGGTACTTGTGCGCAGAATCATAGCCAGCTCTATCTAGCCGTACCTAACTAGTTCGTCAGCTGTAGTAGTCTGAGGTAGGCTTGGGAAGGAAATGTATGCAGTTCCACTGCCTCGCATTGTACATATGCCTCCCCACTTTCTTCACTAATTAATGTTAAGATACTTTTAGCCCACGTTGGAAGACATGCCGCACCCCCACCAAGGCACTCCCGAGCCGTCCCTCCCGTGGGCAAATAAGTCCAAAGGGTCTGCTCTGCCGGTGAGGGGGGGGAAACACGAAAGGGATTCTCGACCCCTTTAGAACTCGGCCGGCCTCGGATCAAACGGTTCCCTTGCTCCCGAGATATGCTTACGCAATTATTGACGGACGGGTGTTGTCAATCTTGAAGGTGCCCGTCTTCACTTATACGTGTCCTTGAGGTGACTATTAAATTATAGTACCCATTCAATGCGGGAGATCCCTTGACAGTAAGGTCAATAATGATGGCTGGTATACCGAACGTCTGAAAGAGGTTGATGTATATGCAGTTGGTGTCGTGTCAGTTGGCGAATTTTTCTTTGAAAGCATCCTCCTCGGCTGCTGTATTTGAAGGCGGTGAATAGGCGGTCGTAACAGGATCCAGGAAACTTCGCAATGGGCAGTTTACTTGGAAATACTTCATAAAAATTGCTCATGGTTGCGTAGAACTCTGGGTTCTCAGAACACAATAGTGTCTTTTTGGCGCCATGCAAAGCTGAAAGCTGAGCCATTGTGAACAATGGACACGCCTGTGAGGACGAGAATTCTGACCGGCAGCGTTTAGTAGATCACAGACGGATAGATGCTATTATGCGATGACAAGGACCATATCCAAGCTCGTGAAGGAATCATCAAAGTCGTAAAAGCCCTGCGATAGACAGTCAGGAGTTACAATTCTATAGTCCCGAGCCATTGAACTTCAAAGTTTCCAGATGGGATCCTGGATCTGTGAGTGCTCACCCCCAGGCTCGCTATGCCATAAGACCTCTACGGACCGCCTTCTCATCCTCGCTATCTTCCGTTTCGCCCTCGTCGCTTTCGCCTTCTTCATCCGTAGATCCCTCTTCCTCTTCCTCGTCCTCTTCACTTTCACTTTCCTCCTCGGTTTCCTCTTCCTCCTCACTTTCCGCCAACCAATCATCGAGAGTACGTGGTTTTGCATTTTTGGTAGATCCAGCAGCAACGACTTTCTCCAAACCCTGTTCTCTTACAGCCTCGTCAAGCCTGCGACTCGCCGCGACGGTCGTCGCAGTCCTGTTCGCAACAGATACGTACTCCGCTTTCTCCGCCCCATCAACAGCATCTCGCAATTTCAGGTCGGGCTCCTGTCCCTCTTGAACCCACTCAGGCATTCCCTCGTACCCGGGGAGGCCGAGAATCCCGGCTGTGTCCTTTCCTAAGACGAGGGTTGTGCTGCCGATCAAGAGACCTTTACGTGACTCTGAGGGGGAGGGGGCATGTGGGACGGGTTTCGGTGCAAGAAGGAGGAGTGATGCTAGTTGTGTGGAGTCGGGGTTGGCGAGAAGTGCTTTGAAAAGTCTGGCGCGATCGCGCAGGTCGTATGAGGTATCGTAGCGCGCGAGGAGTTGGATGTAGTTCCACAGTTTTGGGATAGGGTGGTCATCGGGTATCAAAAAGGTTGAGGATGGTTCTTGAAAGCCATTGTTATCCTCAGCTTGTTCTGTCGAACTGGTGTCCGTGGCTGTCGACTTCTTGGTCATTACCTGTTGCAAGAACAATAGATACACCTTGGCAGCCAGAAGAACAATCTGTTGTTTTGCCGGTTCACTCTCGTCAGCAAAGCCTTTGGCAAGGATCCGGAGTACGTCCGGTGCGATATTATTGTCTGGGTCAAGGTTCGCAAACTCGCCAACCAACCAGATGATGGTGGCTCGAGCCTCAGGACTTGTTGTTTTGTCCAGGTTTCGTGCCAGTCTCACTACTGTCTTCCTGTGAGAGGTTGGATCTTGCTGAATTAGGTGTCGGATTACCGTGAGGACCTCGGATACGAGGACATTATCGAAGCTGGATATCTGATTCAGCAGAACTCGAAAGCATCGGTGAGCGTTGTCCGGATCAGCCTGTGCGCAACGACCTATCGCTTTGACGGATTCCTGGATTAGATCAATGTTGGAGCTATGGGAGAAATGCTCCAATTCGCTCAGTATGATCGATTTGAGGTGCAGGGCTGTATGAGGAAAGACTAGTGTCAACATTTCAATCTTCAGCTTCCAGATCTGAGGCGGATCTTGTGCCCGGAGTAGGAAGTGCGAAGTGTACGGAACAAACAATTGAGGTGCAGATAGCGAGATCAGCACGATATTGCACAAAGCGACCTCCTCAATCTCGGGGGGACTATGCAAAAGCCCAATCAAAGGTCCCACAGCTTGCTTGAGATATTCTGTCGTGCCGAGATACAGGAAACAACTCGTCACTGAGATGATGACAGCGGTACTCCGGCTATGCAACAGGCTTTGACATGCTTTCAAGAGTAGCTCCAAGTCTGGATCCAAGATTCGGACTACGTCACCAGTTTCCACTTCCTCATCAGGCTCATCGTCGTAGAAACCTTTCTTATTGACTTTGGTGACTCTGTGAGTTTTCTGGGGAAAGCATTGGCGGCTGTAGGATAACAGCAGTCTCAGTGTTGCGAGTTGGCTCCATTCATCCATATCGACCAACTTTTTCACCAAACTCCTGTAGTGCTTGTGAATCAAGTCGATGCGATCGGGGCATAGCTGGAGAAATGTCTGGACCGCAGGTCCAACTACGAAATACTGCTTGTCACCTAATAAGATGGATAAATATTCCAGTAATTGCGGTAGTGTGTTTGGGTCAAGGTTATAGCACTTGGGTATCGCCAAGGCAGCAGCTTTTCGAACATGAGGGCTCATGTCACCGGCACCACGCTTGATGGCCAAGGACACAATTTGGCTGATAACCGGAACCCTCATTCCTGACATTGTCCGAAGAGCCAGGGCACGAACTTGTGGGCTCTGATCCGTCAAGGACTTTTGGATAGCGTTGACCGAGAGTAGAGCCAGATCAGGGTCGGATTCGGCGTAGTGGAGTAAGTAGATGTAAACCAGTTTCTTGATCTCGATGTTTGGGTTGGCGACATTTTTCACCACCGAGGAGAAGTATGGCAAGCATGGCTTATTCTGATAGATCATCTAGACGAGCAGAATTAGACTTATCAAGAGCGGTGGAGGGCGATGGTGTGAATTACAGCAATGACTTTTCTTAAGCCCTCCAGGATATCACGGTCACTTCGACTGTCGAGGAGACCTTTCAACTTTGCGAAAGGAATACTGCGAGATGAAGAGCTTCCCCCTTTCAGCGCTTTCGACAGACCGATGGCCTGGGCCGCCTCGAGTGTCAGATCTCGTGCTTTTCCATGGTCAGTATGAAGTAGCCAGGAAGGATCCATGGTTGCTTGCTTACCCGGGTCCATCAAGGACGAGACACGCGACAATGACTCCATCTCACCTTGGGAGTTGCGTATCAACCTTGTGTAACCATAGTGTTGTGATGTTGTACGGTGTCATATCACTTTTGAAGTGGAGGCACTTGGTGGTAGGCTTAGACTTGAGGCCCTCGCCAATATGCCAAGCCCGGAATGATTTCATCGTGATGTACTGAAGAGGGGCATAATCGCCGCCGCTTTTATCAAGACTTATGCCGCTTTTAGACTCAGAGCACTGACAATTCTACGACCGACGCCCTCAGCTACTTTAAAAATGGTCTCCTCCTTTGGGATACCATGCCAAGCAGAAATAATCTATCTCGCTCCCAATCAGGCATGGAGAAACAAAACCCTTCGTTGCCTAAAAATAGGTATCTGGGATCTTCTTGTATACTCTTGTACTCTTGCTACGCGAGGTACCCTGGTTTGGTACTTCGTACAACGCGCGGGGCTAAGCGGCACATAGCACTCAAAAAGGAATCGCCCGCCAAGTGTTAGGGACACGCTCTGAGTCTTGGATTGGTCAAAATCACCGCTACCAAGACTGCCTGGAAGTGGCATGTTTAATATCAACATAAACAACCTTGGAAGTACCACTTAGCATTGCTACTAGTACAATACGCCTCCATATTGCCGAGAAGATGTAGGTTAGGGAGGAGATACTATGATGTCAACAAGTCTCTCTTCGATGCGGCTCCCGGGTTGGCCTTACCTACTCCTACACAGCAGCCTCGATGCGTCTCATCTCTTTTGCTGCCCAGGTATCTCTGATGCGTCGCCCCTGCCTTCAAGCCTGCCAATTTCATCTCTCATTTGCCCAAAGACTAGGCCATGCAGCGCCGGGTGTCACCTAGGTAGTCGAGATCCTATGATTTTGATCGCCAAGCTGAGCCTCCACAGCCTCGCTAATGAGACGCGGTGCAAGTCACATTAGGTAACACCCAGCGCGAAGCTTTTGCAGGAAGCTATATAGGAAAGCAGCTCCCTTGTGATCGGGACTCTATCACACTTAACAAGTCCTTTTGTCTTGACTTAGATTTTGATTCAACATGGCGCTCACCCTCGCTTTTACTGCTTTTGCGTTAACCGTTGCAACCAATGTTGCGGCACAACGTACTAATCAGACCAGTATCAACTTCCAATCTTGTCCAGAGTTGAACGCAAACATCACCGCTTCGAATGGTGTAGAAGGGTCGGTCGTCGATTGCGCGACGCTTTCGGTACCGTTGGATTATACCAATCCTGAAGCAGGTCAGCTCGAGCTTCGATTGTTCAGGGCCAATGCCACAGAAGAGCCGGTTTTGGGAACCGTGCTTATGAACTTTGGAGGTCCTGGAGGAACAGGTGCTGAAAACCTCCCTCCATACGCCAAGCTGGCACATACGGTCATTGGCCCACAGTGGAATCTTGTCTCCTGGGATCCCCGTGGGACCGGGTATACCCTTCCTTTCGCGTGTGACCTTGGAGCCTCAGGATCACCCCCAGCTCGAAAGCGCGACGTTGGGACCTTGGCCAGCACCAACTTGACCGAGGTCTTCCTCAATGGCGGCTGGGAAGCTGCGGGTCAGCTTGCGGACTACTGTGCCACTCAAGCAGACGAGACAGCAACGTTGATCGGCACGGCTTTTACAGCCCGTGACATGATGATGATTGTCGACGCTCTTGGAGAAGACGGTCTTCTTCGGTACTATGGCTGGTCATACGGTACAGCACTCGGCTCATATGCTGCCGCCATGTTTCCTGAACGTGTGGAGCGCATGGTTCTAGACGGCAATGTCAACCCCCATGACTACCAAGCAGGTCACTATGGAGAGTTCGTGGTTGATTCCGATGCCGCTTTCACTGGATTCTTACAAGCATGCTTCGAAGCGGCCGATGACTGCGCTTTCTACTCAGTGATAAAACCCAATACAACACAAGATCTCCTCGATAGCATCAATTTCGTGCTGGCGCCATTGGCCGAGAATGCAACCTCGAGCATCGAAGCCTACACCAACTATATCGCTTTGAAGGGCATTCTTTTCTCACCTCTCTATTGGCCAGCGACTTGGGCAACACTCGGGGAGACTCTTGCCGACTTATGGCAGGGAAACATCACTGAGCCTGCAAACACAACAGCTCGACCGACCTATGGCGAGGCTGCGAATGCAGTGATTGGCATTCGCGCCGGTGATGCAACCTTTATCGCCAACTCGAGTGATGAGTATCTTGCTCGAGTGCAGTATGAAGCCACCGTTAGCCCTGGTTTCAGCGATATCTCCTATTTTAGTCTCTGGGTATCGGCACAGTGGCGTCTACCAGCGAAAGAGCGCTACTGGGGGGATTTCAGCGCCACGACCAAGAACCCGATTCTGTACGTCAATGGACAGTTCGATCCTGTAACGCCGCTTGTGAATGCGTACAACGGCAGTGGAGGCTTCACCGGCAGTGTGGTATTGCCTCACAGTGGCTACGGTCATGGTGTATTTGCCGATCCTTCCCAGTGCGTTGCCAGACATGTTTCAGCCTATTTCCTCAATGGCACACTCCCCACCAACAACGCGAGTTGCGAACCAGATTCGACACCAATCGAGCTATGGAGAGCGTTTGTGGCAAGGTCAGGAGCCAACTCCACCTCTGAAGGGGGTTCCGACGGAAATGGCACCGACGGTGGATCAAGCGACAATAGCACTGCGTCGCCGCCTGAGAATGGTGCTCATCGAGAGAGCTCACGGGCCGTCTTTGGAATCACTGTGGTATTGATGGTCATGACCTTCATTCTGGTGTAGCTATACTTCTGCCAAATAACGATTGTAATCAGGAACTCGGAATTCGGAAGGACTTAAAAACTTGTACATTTGCAATTCCATTATTGCCGACATCCTGGCTGACTCTGTACTCTGGGTGCGTAGCTCCCTCCATGCATTCGGTGATTCAGTAGTAGAAAATCCAGGTTCAATTGCAACGCTATGTGCCCCGGGACAGTCAGGCTGAGAATTATAACGGGATCTTGAGTCGTGTGGCGCTCTCCGTCCAACACAAACAGGAAACGCTCCTCGGAACTCACGTGCGACTCACCCAATTCTAATTCAAATAATGCAAGGTAGATCAAAAGTCGCACCAACATAACTCATTATCGAACAATCCAAATCTCTCATAGTCACCAATTGGCACCCCATCATCATCCAGATATTCACGAAGAGGAAGTTGTCAGGACCGAACGGCATATCAGACCCAAGCTGCCTAATCCAAGAAATGGCGGGGAAAAATCCCGAGCTGAAATCACTTCTCGACCACCCTTCATGAACACCGTCGCGATAAAATACACCTATGTGCTGGATCTGCTAAAAGACCTCATACGCAATCACTCCTCAGTGTCACCACAGGCCGTCAATCTGGTGATATGCAGCACTCGAGATGACTTCCTCGGCCAAGTCCTTTCCAGTCTGCACCCGCCCCTTCAACCTGGTATCGCCACTAATGCAACCTTGGAAGCAAGACATCACGACGAGATAGAGCACGGTGCGGAAGGACCTGACGAGGATGATTACGGATCCAGCAGATCCAGCCATCAGTTGTTCCTGTCCCCAGTCTTGAGTCTTCTGAGCGCCAGCCAATCCGTCAAGCTGATTTTCTGCCCCACCATCCCGACTCTCCGGGCGTATTTCTCCAGTCTCTACGAGGTTGATGGCAATGGCGATGGCGATATGGCTGCGCCGGAAGACTCGAGCTCTACGTCCAAATCGAGTCAGATCATTGTGCTGAACATGCTTGCTCAGCACCACGGATCATCCGAATTCACCCTTCAAGGGCTGTCGCAAACACTCGCTACGATCGTATCGGCTGGCGCGAGGACATCTCAGGCTGTGCGATTGGTCGAGTGCAAGGACGCCAATGACCCTTCGAATGATCAATTTGGATCTAATTTGTGGGACATGGAGGTTCCGTTGCTAAGCCTGTCGATCAAAATCGGCGAGGGCGGCGCGAGATGGGGCCGTCGAACTGTACAGGTGAAAAAGATTGCGAGTCGTTGGTTTCGAAGGGAAATGACCATGGACCAGAGACACGTGAGCAGAACCAGCGGACGTCAAGAGATCCCAGACTCGGAAGACGAAATGCTTCTCTGAAGTCGAACGAGCTCCTTGCCTTTTCAGCTAAAGAATACCTGGTACCTAACAAATGCAGAAGTTGCAACTGAAAACGCCCCTGGGTATCATTCTACAGATCTGTAGTAATTGTCATCAATGTCGTCAATGCCTGGCCTTGTCATATACTCTGCTCCATTTCGGTGATGTAGAGTTTAATATGCGACTCCAATTTCAAGTACTCTTCATGTGCGCTGTGGACCTCGTTTTCGATGTTATCTTTGAGGTCAGCCATCTGTAGTAATGTTAGTGTTGACACCAGTTAGTTCTCAGGCGCAAGCCTTACCTTCTTCTCTGTTTGTTCAATGCGAACTTTGCGCCGCTCCATCTCACGTCCCTTCTCTCCCCTTTCTTCTCTCAACTGTCTTTGAATCTCGCGAAGTTCTTCCATTCTCGCCTTGTTTGCATCGTCTCGGTCTTTATGCTTTCTTCTTAGCTCTTCAATTCGATCTTCCCACTTCTTTAATTGTCTTTGGAGAAGTTTCTCATTCTGCTCCACTTCGCGCACATTATTGCCGCGATCTGCTAGAGCATCTCTGTTTTTCGCAGCACGAGCATCTTCCTCCTCTTCCTTTTGAAGCTCCACCGCCACTTCATCGAGGACTTTTACGCATGACTGAACATCATTTTGTACAACAGTAAAACTGTCCCCTGATGTTTGAAGTGCCCGGCATCGCCTCTCAAGGTGGTCGATCTGGCTCTTCTCCCGCATCAGGTTCTCGGAGAGTTCTGCCAAGGCATCTTGGAGAGCCGCAGGGCTTTGCAACACGTACGGCCTTAGTTTTTCGCTTTCTTGTCGTGTGCGCACGAGCTTCTCCGCTTTCTCTTCCAGAACGGCTTGTGCACGTGCCTTTTCAGCCTTTGCTCGTTCGAGTTGTTCAGAAACTCGTTCCTGTCCTTTCCGGAGCTCTAATAGCCTGGCCTTGAGTTCATCATTTCGCCGTACTTTGTCTCTGACGGCCATCTCCATCGCTTTCCTATTGCGCTTCATTTCTTCTAGCCGCTGCTCCATATCTTGATTTTCCGTGTACAATGTCTCAATTCGGTCTTTAGTGTTCTGAGCTTTGTTCAAGTTTTCGTCGATAACGCTAGTGTGAGTTTCACGAAATCGAACAAAATTGATGGTGTATGAGAAGATCTTGACCAGGCGATCGTGAGTTGGGCGTACAAGGTCATTGAAGGAGAAGTCATTGATCCCGCATTGCTCAAGCATTGTACGAAGATTGACGAAGAATCCCATCAAAAGCCTGGTCTCGACGGGGATCATTTCGGGGAACTCGCCGCAGACATCTTCGGCGGCGGCGCGCATTGCAGGATCCAGGTTATCTCGGGTCGCATTCATGACCAGTTCACCAAGATGCTCGAAAACCATTTGGATGACCTGAGGGTTTGGTTTCTGGAGGTCGGAAGGCTGGAATGGAATTCCCATCTCGCTGATACATGATGCGATTTCTTTTTCGGGCTGTGGAAGATGGTCAGCTGGTGTGTGATGATGCAGCGCAAATGAATTGCATACCAGGCGCATGAAATCAGCGGGATCTTCCTCCTTCTTCTTGACCCGGCCTTGCTGCTGTTGAGATGATCGGTACTGTTGACTCATTTTGGCGATTGATGATTGTATCAAGTTATGGTGATTTATGAATTCGTTGACTTGTGTTGGAGAAAATGGTGGTGGATGAGAAGCGCAGGTGATGGTTGCTAGGAGTAGTTGACATGTGTGGACACGGTCTTGTTGACATGGCCGAAAACGGAAAGAACCGACAAGGTTCAAGTTCAATTGGCGGGTTCCCCAATTTTAATGCCAAGACATGGGCCAACTCCCAAAGACGAATCCTTGCAGCCTCTATGTACGGATAGATTAAGGTGTTGTACGGGAATATCGAAGCATTCGATTCATTGAGATCCGGCTCACCACGAGGGAGTTTTCCGCGCCAGTAAGTTTTGTTACTGAGCTTGGAAAATGCTTGACACTCAAAGCCTGAAGGCTCTTGCGGTAAACACATATTTTGGTTGCGAGGGGTGTGCCGTAGAGCCCGAAGAGCCCCGAGGCCCCAATGTTGGTTGGTACCCCTCAGGAGAACACACCATTTGCGTCATGCCGGCGAGGGCTCCAAATCATGGCCGAGGGAGTCCTACAAGATATCGAACCGTGGTAGAAATCAAGTAGCTACCGTCGCTTCTACTAATCTGGGGCTCTATACGATCCCGTCGGCAGTGCTACAGCCTGATAAAGCCGGATAGGTTACTAGCATAAAACAATTGGAGTTTAATCAATCGCAGATCGATGCAATGGGGAGCATCAACACTGGTCCTCAATCAGACTCCGGCTTTGCTGGTCTGAAGACGAATGCTAAACGCTTGAATGACAGCCTGCAATACTCATGTCAATGGGGTGCTACCAACGATGGAGGCATGCATAGATTAGCATGTGATGATCAGGATCGACTTGTACGGGAGTGGTTTATTGCCGAGACAACCAAATGTGGGTGTTCACACAAAATCGATGCCATGGGAAATATCTTTGCTATTCGGCCAGGCGAAAACAACAACATACCTCCAATTGGCCTGGGATCGCATCTGGATACGCAACCCACAGGTGGTAGGTATGATGGTATCTTGGGAGTGCTCTGTGCGATGGAGGTTTTGAGAGTGATTCATGAGGCAAATGTCACGACTTACGCACCTATTGCTGTGGTGAACTGGACCAACGAGGAGGGCGCGATTTTCCCTCCAGCAATGCTAGGCTCAGGCGTGTGGGCAGGACAGTTTACCCTCGAGCACGGTCATAGTCGGAAAAGTATTGAGGGCAAAACAATGGCAAAGGAATTAGAGAGAATCGGGTATTTAGGCTCAACACCTTGTTCTAGCCAAGAGAACCCCCTCTCGGCTCACTTCGAAGTGCACATCGAGCAAGGCACAATCCTGGATCGTGCAGAAAAGGCAGTGGGAATAGTGACAGGCGCTCAAACTGTCCGGTGGTTCCGTCTAACCCTCACTGGACGAGCAGAACACACAGGCGGTACCCCAATGGACAACCGTAGTGATGCACTACTCGCAGCTGCAAAGGTGATCGTGGAAGTGAACAAGACTGCCATTGAACACGGCGCTCGTGCAACTGTTTCGACAGCCAAATCGTCTCCGCAAAGCATGAACACAATAGCGGGGACTGTGGAACTCAGTCTCGATCTGCGCGCTCCCACGGACCAGGAGATGGATGAATTGGAACAGTCGCTGAAGCATGCCTTTGATGCAATCAATGCAGAACATGGTACGAGTCTTGCTATGGACGTTGTTTGGGATTCCAAAGCGACACATTTCGACTCGGAAATGGTGGAGTGTGTACGTCAGTCAGCCAAAGAAATTGGCTGTTCTCATGAGATGACCAGTTTCATCGGACACGACAGGTGTGCCAATCGGATGACGAGCAATCATTTATAAGTTTACTGACTCCTTCCGACAGTGTATATACTTCCAAAGTCGTTCCGACAGCGATGATTTTCGCACGTTGCAAGGATGGAATCAGTCACAATCCCGCCGAGTACACTCGACCAGAAGAGTATGCTCAAAACTTGGCTCGTTCTTGAAACATTTTGCTGATCCATGATAGTTGTGCAGCTTCGGCTGAAGTGTTACTGGGTGCATATCTTCGACGCGACCACTTCCTTCGGAAAAAGCATGCGATGAAATAACAAAGGGCAGATTCGGGGGTTAATCCATATCTTGAAAGCATACATTTATACATATCTTGATGTTGTATCAGGATTGATGGCTGCTGTTTCAATTCATGAATCTCATGTTGTGACCATGTGACTTCATCGCGTGATTGCTGCAAGTCATGTCCAAGGAGTATTGCGAAGTCGTTGCGAGATAGAGGCTGTTGTTAAGACCACAATCGGTACACCTTCCCTACCAAGAATCAGTTTTAGTGGCTCCGCTAGTGCCATTAGTGAGACGTAGTTCGCCAAGGCGTATGAAAGCCCTGGAAACTTCACCAAGTTGAGCGAGGCAAGGCTGGCATATCAACGAGCAATCATCGACATCCAGAATTCTCATTCAACAGTCACGGACCAACGAAGGCCCGACACATTCCACTTCAAACCACTCCTCGACTGGTCTATCAGTATTGATTGTCGAGTATTACAGGCTCTCAATATGGCGTCCGGTAAGTCAGATACTCAAATGTCTAACTTTTCATACCATCATATGACTCAAACCACACGTACATCACGCCTTGCTATACAAAGTCTTGCCACGTGCGATGCGAAGAATATGCCAGCAGCACTCTGGGACTTCCTTGACCCGCTATCGCTGTTTCCACTGGTTTCAATATCTATGGAGTCTGATCTATCGTTCAATTGCAAAGTCCATTAATTTTATCTCACTGACCATGTTACGACCATCAGCGCCTTCGGTGTCAATCCCGACCAACCTCCCGACATCACCGACATCGCCCACAGTTCAATCGCCATCCACGACATTCGACATTGTATCATACTATAATGAACTGCTCAAGTCGGACGAATCCATCACACCGCCCATAGCGGCCATCGAATCACTCATCTCACTCCTCGCCACGACGCCACTAACCACCATCTCCGAAACCCTGGCGTTACTGACGACACACACGACCAAACTCCTCGCAGCACAGCGGAATCCGATCCCTTTGTCCGCAGGGACGGAACTCTTCCAACGCTATCTGGTGTCTTCGTTCCAACAGCGACCGTCCTCGCTGGCGAACTCGGACTTCTCGACACTCCGCCACAACATCATTACCAACAGCTCGCTGTTCGTGAAGCGCGCGAACGAGGCGCGCGTCAAGATCGCCCAACTGGCTCTGCGCTTCGTCCGCGACGACTCCACCATCATCACGTACGGCTACAGCCGCGTCGTGCAGAAGATGCTCACGCACGCCGCCGAGGCCGGCCGATACTTCCGAGTCGTGTACGTGCTCCCACCCTCAAGCAACACCACCGGCACCGGCAACACCTCAACCATGCTGACAGATTCCATCGCCGCACTCAACGCCCTCTCCATCCCGACGAGCACCATCCCGATCCACGCGTTGAGCTACGCCCTGGCCTCACTGCCGAGCTCGCCCGCCGCCCCGCCGCAGTTCATCACCGGCGCTGCCGCCGTGCTGGAGAACGGGTCAATCATCACACAGTTCGGCACGCATCAAATCGCACTGGTGGCCCGCTCCGTGGCGATCCCGTTCTACGTCGCCGCCGAGTCGTACAAATTCGTGCGCAGCTTCCCACTGGGCGGTGGACAGGGCGACCTGGCCAAGATGGGCGTCAAGCAGCATGTCCTGCAGTTCAGCACCGGTACTGGTTCGGGTACGAGTGGTTCGTCCGCTGCCGCGAACCAGGTCGTCAACGTCGAGGATATGGTTGAGTTGACCCCGCCGGATCTGATCGAGGCGCTGTTCACCGAGACGGGCATCATGACGCCCGATGCGGTGAGTGAGGAGCTGATCAAATTGTGGTTTTGAGCGTGAGGGCGAGGGAACGTTTGTTTTTTGGGAGCTGGGAGAGGAAGATCTCGGGATTTTTGGCTCGTGGGATGCATCTCGTCGTTGGCCTGTTCTGTGAAAGAAAGCCGAGATTCGGTTTGGCGGAATGACTTTCATCAGCCCAAGTAGCTTTTATCGGACTCAGGGCGGAATTTCCTTGAGACCTGACCTTTGAGGGTTGAATAGTTGTCGTGGTGATGCTGTCGAGGCAGAGAAGCAATCGCCAGAAGAATGGGGTATTCTAAGAGTGTGTCTCTCTATCACTTGCACATGACCATGAACTGTCTTAAAGACGAACACTTGCCACCGTTTCAATGCATATCTATACACAGAGTTCGAGAAGGATCAAACATCAATGAGTGGTAGGATCCGTAAGGAAGGCAGCGATGTCTCAGGTAATAGAAAAACTGCAACACAAGAGGACGAATGGTGTTTTCAAGAGATTAGACTATAGAGTTGAGTCATGCAAGTCAACACTCCTAGGCTTCTAAACGATCTAAACGTCTGATAGAAACACTTCGCATTTGTTCGAATCAACAGTTCCTAAACACCCCGTTTTTCTAACACGGTCGAGAGCGCCGTGAGAAGTATCAATGACCCTCCTCCAGCGCCTTGCTCTGTTTGTGCTAGAATAGATCCTGTAATAAAGAAAAGACCCGTCCCAAGGGAGAAACATGTTCGTCAATTCTCTTGTTGGAACTGGAATGTTCGGTCATGCTATCGTCTTCATTAGTCATAACAATCAGTTGAGGTCATCAATCTCTCGTTCCTTTGCTCGTAGTGCTGCTCTCATTTCTTCAGCTTCGCGCATCAATTGCGTGCGCCTCTCATTCCGAACCCGTTCCGTCTGTGGATAGCTCGACGGTGAAACTTCTGATCTCTCACTGGTTCGTAAAGGTGTCGACTCCAACCTCCTATCATGTTGCCCAGCGCCGACCAACGCGGGGTCAAGTTGCATCTCCTCAGCGGCTGCAGCTGCAAGTCGCGCCTGCACTGTAAAGTCATCGGTAGGTCTTTGAATCTCTCCCGGTCCATCATTTCGTGCACTATCAGGAACATAACCTGTATAGTCGACTGTAGGGGGAGGTCTCTTCCTCTTTGTTGCAGGTGTACCTTGTATTGACTCACCCCCATCAATTCCTGGGGATGCTGGCTCAGGTGATATCGAAGTCGCGGCTTGAGAAGCCGCACCCTCCGGTCTCGGAGCGTCTGGATATGCCGGGACCACCCGCTTCCTCCTCTTGATCGTAGATTTCTTCATCTGGACAGGTCGGTGTGAACCATGAAGTTTGTGGTACAAACCACATGCATTGCATATTGGATGTCCAAGCTCATCTCTTCTCCACAGAGGAGTTACGGTAGTCCCACAATTTTTGCACGCAACGACCATGGATGTATTACCTTGACTCGTTGGTGTTGGCTGAGCTGGGATAGGAGCGTTTGATCCTGTGGCCGATCCGGCTGTACTGTGGGCGTCACTTTCTGTGTCGTTGGGAGGATTGATGACAGAGGCAACATTAGTTGTCCTTGCAACTCTATTATTGTATGCAGGACAACCTCCGCACCCTTCAGCACCACCAGCACCATTGCAATTCCCTCCACCAGGGCAGGATCCTGGTGTATGCTCAGGCACTCTATATGGGATGCTGGGCTGTGGGGTTTGGGTGGGCGGTGGTGTCGTGGCAGAAGCCGATGGTGATGTGTCCGTCGTCTGACGTGGACTATCAGCAGGCGCGACAGAGTTTGGACGTTTGAAGTTGGAAGGTCGTGGAGCATTCCGTGTTTTTTGATAGAGCCCACATGCATTGCATATTGTGTTGCCGGTCGGTGAGCGTCGCCATAGAGGCGTTTTGGTAGTGCCGCAGTTACTGTATCGACGATTAGTGATGAGATCAGAGATTTGAGACCAGGTTAGGCCAGTGCCAGCGTAGAGCATTGCATCCAAAACCTCGTCAGCATCTTCACGTACCTGCACATTTGACCTAGTCCGCTGGCGTCCTCTGTCTGCTCGGAGGGATCCCCAGAAATCCGCATAACGTCGGTAGTATCTTGGCCAGGGCTAGTTCGTCGCAAATAAGGTTGGTCGGGTGAAGGCTCGCTGGTGAGCGTCTCATGTGTCACACTGTGTGAGCCGTGTCGCTCTCCACGGGCGGAGGACACGAGTTGATGAGCGGCATCGAGGTCTTCGGCCGAAGGTTGACGAAGAAGACTCTCTTTCTGACCAGCGAATGAGGTAGAGCGCTGCAAGGCATCCATTGTACCACGCACGGCCAACATGCCGCCTCGGAGACTCGTGGTGTTAGCAATGTCCAACGCCCATCAAACTGGAATTGCTCAGAAGCAGAGAAAGAAGAAGCGTCGATAAGATGGGAGAATGTTGCCAGCCACGAAAATTGAGTTCAAACTCTCGAGACTCGGATTCAACACGAGACAGACCAGTTGGAAGTTCTTGGCAGGAAGGGGACAACGCGAGGTGGCGGTGTCAAGAACCTGGAAGTGAGGCCACGTAGGCAACCGATGAGGATGGAAGGCAGCGTGGTGATATGAGTGAAATAGCAGCGACAGCAGGACTATGGTTTAATAATCGAGAGGAATGACGAAAACGTTGGGAGACTGAGATGTGTGAGAAGATGGAGATGGATCTGATGGACGATGGCCAGTGTAGGGGCACGGAGTTGGATCCTGAATGAACCTGGTATGGTTTGGATGTGGAGAGAGACGTGTCGCTCAGGCAGGTACCGTTGGTAATATTAATCGCCACGCCTCTGATTGGCTTACCAAGACAGCCAGAGTCACGTGTCAAACCCGGCAGATATTCAGATCAGCCCGATACTTACGATACTTGATATCCTGGATTGGACTACTGCAAGACATAAAGTCTATTCACTTTCAAGGTACCGACTTGAAGTAACAAGTACCAAGTACGTAAATATCTAGGCACTCCGCTCTCCTGTGATGAGGAAAACATACACATCTAGGTAACAGGTAACTATAGACAGCAACAGTACTACACCGAGCCTCCCCGGGCCCATACTTGGTGTTGAACACGCATCAGCTACAAGTCATCATCTCCTGAGTCGGCCCGCAGTCTGTCACTCAAACCCAATACTGAACATGGTGGCTTCGTCTTAGGTTCAGGGTGTGGTCTCACCAATTGATACTACCCGAACTTAATGCGAACAACCATTCAGCCACTCCAGAGGGACGGTCAAAAGAGTGACCTAGCCCCCAAGAATAAAATCACTCTTATTGGCCCTTGCGCAGGGTACAACCTGCCATCGGCGTCACGGCGAAATTGTAGTAGAATGTTATTCGTTATCAGATCACCCAGATCCAGAAGATATAGGTCTCATCCCTCAATCGTGACGATATACAGTGGTCAAATCGTTTTGGGAGAGGTATCGATTGAGTTCGCATAACGAGGAATGTGCCTCAACGCCGTGCCATAGAAACCCGCCGTCTATGAACCCGAGATTTCTCTATAGAGGATCAAATAGACTAGATTCACAATCGTTATCAATAATGTAACTGTACCCCCATCGCACCAAACCCTCTGTTTTTACACTTTTCAGTCGGACCGCCGAATAAAAGCTGTAACGCGAAACGAGGCCCTCCTCCTTTCCTCTCCGCTCAGAGCTCTCTGACTGTCCTGGAGGCCGTTCCTACTTCGGCGACATCACACTCCAGATTATTGAATTGCAGGTTTCAAAAGTGCAATTGCGCTGTATGTCTCTTTCACAGATCTTCAGAGTAGAGAGTGCTCCTCCCTTTACACTTGCTCTGCGCCCCATCCAGCGTCCGTGTCTCTCATGTTTGACGGAGGTTCGATGGAAGGCATAAACTCGAGTGCGACGTAGCCCACTCCAATGAGGCCGACAATGGATCCAGCAACGATACGTAGGGCGTTGTCTTCGAGGATCAAGCATCCGACAAAGATATAGACTAGATGCCGTCATCAGTATGGACCAAGATAAGCTAGTTGAGATCGTATCACTCACAAACGCCACGACCGAGGAAGGAGAACAGAAAGCTGGCGTATTTGGGGACGTAGGGAGGTACTTGAGGTAAGAGTTCAAGGCCGGCGACGGCTGTTATTATTGCATGTCAGCTCGTTCTCCAGTGCACGTCGCACCATTCGGGTTTAGGGAGGTCGAACCTAAACCAAATATGATCACGTAGACACCAACGATGATGTTGCGGCTGTCAAGATCTTAGCTATACGATCCTGTCGGTACAATGTGCAACACATACAATAGGCTCCCGTGGAAGAATTGGGTGATGCCTGTAATGCGGTAATCAGTGCAACTCCCAAGACAAGCTGCGAATTTCCATACCTCCCAGGACCATAACACCACCAACAGCCAAATTGACCAGCCGGCTATCGTGAGGACGTCAGTAGTGCTCTTTTCGTTGGCTGAGCAAAAGGACCGTGCTCTTGGGCAGGCTGCGCATGTCAACGTACAAAATATTGGAGAAGTCCATTGTGTTCGAGATCTAGGACCGTCGGGAAAATAATAGTCGGTTGTGGTGGGATGAAGAGTAAAAGTACTCAAGTCGAAAAGGAGATCTAGTATTAGCGGTGGGTGATATGATGATGGGGCGTGTTGTTGACGAGCAAGAATAATTTGTTTGAAGATTGAACGGAGTAACAAGCTAGGCACCGTTTAAGCAGAAAGCAAAGGGGAAGTTGAAAGCTGTCCAAACCCGGTTGGTGTTCGTAGCCGTAAAATCTGGGGTGGGGAGTCGATTAACTAGAAGCCCGCCTAGGCCTGGAGCTTGGAAGTTAGGGGCTGCTGGGCTTCGGGCTACTTGCCAGTTACTCTCCATGGTCGTTTGCCTGCCCAACACTGACGTACAAATCAGAACCACGTATGCCAAGAATACAAGCTCCATTAGGTGTCAGTGAGGTCATCCAGCGGGATCGTGAAGATGTATGTATAGCTTACCATCCACTGTAGCCTGAGCGTCACACGCGACAAAGCATCGGAGCTGAAGGTTACATAAGTCTACAAGTACTGCTTCCCCAAGATCAATCTCAATTGAATCAGTTCTTGAAGCAGCGAATCTCCAAACAAGTCATCTTCATTGATGCTCGTGGAAAGAACTTTCTAATCGAGCTCATGGTACATAGTAGTAATATCTAAGCCGAGGCCGTCATCGTAAATCATGCTGTCTTATGTAGACCCAATCCTTGGTAATATCTAATGATCTAGTAGTGATCATAATTACCCTTCGCCCTTGCCGCCAACGCAATGCTATGCTGGGGTATCATATGCAATCCCACGCCGTGTAGAGTACCTCACCAAAATAGAGAAATTCATCTTCCAACCTGTACTCCTTCTAAATCTATGCTTGCAAACCTTGATCTCGTGCCGCGCCATGACCGACATCACCCTTGTATCTGGTTGCTGACTCGTCAGTCGATTGGTAACCAATTCGACTGGTACTCTCGTGGTGGGTAGCTCAGATGATGGTGTGGCCTGGTGAACATCGTGTTTTGAATGGCTATTGTCGAATATCCACCGAGCATGGCGGTTCTTGGATTATTGTAGTTTCATACTCGGTCGATGGTGTATCGGAGCACGGATCTGTGTCTTGTGTACTGGAAGGTGTGTCCGCATTCGGCGATTCGGTTGCCATGCGAGGTGAAAGGCCATCGTCTTCGTCATCACTATCATTCACAACGACATAGATTGGCTTCTTGAGTATGTGATCGCGTTTTCTCATCCGCTTGCTGATCCCCGCGTCGGTGCGTTTGCTGGCTCGGATGGGCTCGCTATCTTCTTCTAGTGATCTCTTCGAGCTTGAACTCCTCTGGGAGGAGGTGACAGATGGAGTTCTGACTCTGCGGTGAAAAGGTATAAATGGCTCGGTCCATCTAACGATAAGATTCTCCGCATTTTGGTATTCAGGATTCACAAGTGTGGGTGGAAGGTCAGATCTATCGTTTCGGATTTGTCGATCACTCACATTCGGAAACGGTCTGGGGTTTGGTGAGACTGCTTGAATATTGCCAGAGAGATCAGAAGATATGACCGTGGGCTTATTCCGGCTTCTTGGGGTTGAGTCCTCTCTGGGTCGAGCTGAGTCGTAATGTGCTCGTGTGACCTCATCTCCTCCATAGCAGATGTCCAACGGAGGTGCAGGAGAAGGGGCCTGTCGATGCTCATTTGTATAGAAGAGGTGGTCTTGGTCGAAGTTGCGAAGGCGTGGCAGGTGAACTGTCACATCCTGGTCGAAGACCTGACAGAAGGCCACGAGCTCAGGTTCTCCGCCGTAGGTTCCGTTCTGAGACATGAGTGTCAAGTAATGCTCAAACGCGTCTTCTGGTTCTTGACGACTTGCAGCGGTTGCAGATCGTAGTTTCCGACGCTGTTGTACATCATTTTTGTTCACGTAGTCTTCAAATAGAGGCCGGAGGTTTCTCATGTGGTCGATGACTCTGGCACGGATCTCAGGGTGTCTCGTCGGGTCACCGTAGAGTTGGTCTGATAGGGATGCAAAAAGACAATTGCCTATATGGAATTAGATCATCTGCTGTTAAGAGAGATGGCGATAGGAGAGATTGACATACCATCACCAGCTATTTGCTTATGGTACATGCCCCTTCGTTCAAGGCCGGGCCAAACAGCCTTAGGCTTTCGGACCATGATTGGAAGCTGTATCTCAAATGCATGGTTAGCCATGATTGCGAATGAGCCATTGACAATGTCATTGGCAAGCAAAGAAGAGATGATTGAGATGCCCCGAGGCTAGAAGAACACAAGTAGGCTGGACCAAGTCAAGAAGTCGATGGTCGGCCGCCTGCTCCTGTTGTCTTGCAGGGCACCAAAGGGGCCTTGATGAAAATGACAAGCAGTTAACAAGTGCATGCAAGTTGAATGCTAGTTAGAGGTGCCAACTAGTAATGCAGAAAGTCTAACTGCGGAGGTGAACGGGCAATTGCCTAGGCGGCGGCCCAAGTGGCCGAGGGGGCCTTCTCGGCCATGTGATTTAGGGTCACCGATGCCTGGAAGAGCGACAGATAAGGGGTGGACGGCGGAAGTTGATGCTAGGGGTAAAATAGGTGGCTGTTTTGAGCCGCACTTACCTGAGGGAGGGGTTCAAGTGGCTGCTTAGGCTTTGGTGGCTGTGGTTGGTTGAAGCCTGTGGTCAAGGCTTGAGTGGTGAGAAGCTGGCGAATGAGTGTTGGTTGGTGAAAGCCTCCGTTCTCTAAAGCCAACGTCTCTTAATGATTCTTGTTTGCAGTATAGATTAAGATGATGATGAACAGCTCTGAACTTTTTATATATGCTTCCAATTGAAGAGGTCCTCATCATTGAGTTTGCTTCCCTACTGTTGCCTGTTGAAAGTGAATAATAGTTCCTCCGCGCTGCTCGCTCACCTCACTCACAGGCAGTCACTGCGAAACTGTGGAAGTTGAAAATACCCTGCAACAAGCTCGCCTGGACGATCATTACCCTGGAAATCTTCTATCGTACTCTGCAGGGATACTGTTCAGGTCGCTGATCTTGCTGTCTCTTCACTCGCTCTTCTTGCTATTAGGAAGCCTTCCGCAAAGGAAAGGAGCCTCACAGTCCAAGCATCACCAGACTAAGAAGACACTCCAGATTATTATGCAGGACCTCCAGGAAAGAGATATACAGGGTTAGAGAGTCCAGTGATACTGGATCACTGTCCGCAGAACTTCTATGAGTGCTTTTAGAGTTCGAAGATGGTCGCTTCAATCTATTGCCTCCGATCCCTTGACACATGTTCAATTTTCCCCCTCTAAGGTAAGACAACCCCTAGAGAATGCAACGGCAAGGCTAGGGAGAACTTCCAGTTACTCACTCAACACAAAAGAATTCGGGAGAAGAAATAGCGAGGCCGGAGAAGAGTTCAGCAGGCGACAAAGGGTAAGTTAACCAATGCATTGGGGTACGAGTTTTATCTCTTACTCTCTGTTTCTATGACGTGGCTTTTCTTTGGATATGCGTTTCAATGTGCTCCAAGTCCTGGTGTTGCAGGACTTGCGACAGTGCCCTTACCGTCCAGAAATTCACGGTATCGAATTACTGTTGCGGCGCGGCGTCTCAATGGCTTAAAACGTATGATCTTCGAGTGATGCGTTTTGAAGAATATCAAGCGGCAATGGCAGACATCCAACCTTACCGAGCGGACACCGATTTTATCGTAACCGACACTGGGCTTTCTGCCTTTGAGCTCGATTGCGTGAAGATCAAACCGGGGTTCCCGCTGGAGGCCAGAACATCGTCGCAAGGCATGAAGCCCCAGGCATGTTCGCAGAGTTTGGCATGGATGATAGCTCAGGTGAAGCATGCTACAGCATGACTTGAGCCGCTTGTGGAAGCACGATTTCTGGAGCCTGCTACCACTGCCTCCTAGGAAAAGGATTGAAAGTCTCAGCCTGATGCGAGCCTTGCAGTCCTAACAGTAAAGAGGTATGTGGATCTATGTCCAGAAATATCCGGCGGCAAGTGCATCAAACAGCTCGACATTGTTATTGTTCGACATGGGCTTATTAGCCCGAGGTTTGTCAGAGAGGATGGCACAGGGGTCAAGCTTAAACAAATACTACCAGGTGGGATCCTGGTTGCCCACAATTACATCGCACGCGGATCCAGGAGAGAGTTTGAGTCCATTTTCTGCCCCAAAAGGCGACGAATACTTCAAGGTCCAAGGGTTTTGGAGTATGGTGTTTTGTTACGGTGATAGTATCTAAGCTCTTGTCTGGATGGTTGTTCTCAGGCAGCAGTCAATTTCGTCGATGGGGCATTTCATGAGAAGCAAACTCATGAAATTAGATGATTGAATTCTTGACACCGGTCTGATGGGTGCCTGGAGGGTAGCAGACCTTTCCCGACTTTCAGAGGCCTTTGGTTCACCATACTTTTAAGGTACGAGTCTGTGGTTTACACTAGGTGACTTTCAGCCCTATAGAATCGAGAAGGATATTGCGCACGAGATTGTCAGGCTACTCGACAAGCAAATGGTAAGGATGTTTGCACTGAACATTCGACTAGATGGCCCTTTGTCCAGTGATTGAACTTGAAATGAGACGTGAGAGGTGACATGCTGACTCGCCAATCTCGAAATTACCGATTTGGCGTGAAGAGCCGCTGACGGAGTCAAAGCTCCGAGAGTGCGCCACAACCGTGAACTAAACCATGAGTCCGGAGTCAAGGAAAATTATTGTTCAAAGATTGTGGGGAAGAAGACAATGTTGAATGAATCTATCAAGACTCGATTGTCTGGGAGAAGAAGAGAGACGGGATATGATCAGCGCCTACGAGTAGATTGTCTCTGATTCATCAACGATCCGGATGGTCGAGTACTCGAGCAGAGACACCACGTCCAGACTTGGTACACCAGAAGCGAATGGCCCAAGTTTCAGTGGACGGTCCAAAAGGTGTTTAGAGTGGGTGAGACATGTGCTTCTAAAAGGAAGCGATCGATGCAGGAACCATGCTTCTACACGTTTACCGTGTATCCTGGTCCTCGCTACCCAGTCTAGTCATCACAGTCTACGAGTAAAGTCAGTATCTTTCACGCGTGGGAATTCATCCTTGGCTCGGGTACCTGATGCCGTTGTCAAAGTCCGTCCAACAACGAGCTGGCCACGCAACTACGGATCCCACTTCTGGCCGACCTCATACTCTGTAAAAATAGCCAACTTTGAAATATGGTGAACGTCATCTGAAAGGCAAACAAGTGCTGGCGCTAGGTTAAACTTGCTTCTCTTTTGGTCCATCATTTCTTTTTTCGGACATATGCGGTTCTTTGGACAAAGACTCACAACAAACTTACGAGTAGTGAGCGTCCCTTTACGGCTGGGTTGCTAGGTATTCAAAGAAGTCACAAAACGGCAGCAGAGTGATACCAAGCCAAGTAAATGACTGCTGTGACATGATACGACCGGGATTAGGTCGGTCGCACTCGTGAATTGTTAGATATTCCTTGCATGCCCAACTGTCAGATGCTTAGCTTATTGCCTTCCACTGTGCATGCGAAAAACGCCATGCTGAGGTGCTGCATAACTTTCAGAAAGCCCGTCAGCACCAATTACCCTAGAAGTACCTTTTGCAGTTACGAGAATGAGCATCCTGAGCTAGCTGCCGTTCAGGTACCTCTGTACCATGTACACTCGAAAGTGGCCCAAGAAAAGCATTGCGCGCAGAGAGGGCAACGCAGCGCTGGGACTGGCTGGCTGTAGTGGCCGCTATGATTGGATTCATGTCCAGACAGAAAGTGGCCAGCCAATGCATGAATTGTAAATTTGCTGTGATAACAAGGTTGACCGGCATGTTGTGAATTGTGATGCACTGCCAGTCAATGATCGCTCTGGAGACCATCCGGTGGTGCTGGTCATTGCCCTTTGTGAAAGTGGGCATTTCTTCAGAGTTTCCAGAGTTTCCGTGAGGGAGGCGGGTGTCAATCAATTTTAGTGGCGTTGGCTCTAAAACCTCGAAGCCTTCGAGATGCCCACCAGGCGCCCATCTGGCGCCCACTGGCACCCACTGGCACACCCACACTCGGGCGCTCGACACCCAAAAGCTGCAACCTGTAATCTGCACGTTAACCATCCCCCCTCCACCAAGTGCCTCGTCCACTATCAAGCAAACTTCTTCTCCCAAGGGCGATCTCCAGTGGCTCTCTTGTAGCCTGTCACTTTCTGGAGCTACTGGCGACCTGCGCTTCGGGTTGCCGCTAAACACCAGATCCCGGTCCGTTTCATTCGTGCCTATGGGCCATCATGGCCCATGGGTGATGGCGGTGCCCACTCATGGCAATTAACCCATGATATTAACTAACTCGTAACGCACCTAGCCAAAGCCCCATGCCCACTTCCCTCGCTCCCAAGATCCTCTACATCATTGCTTGTAGGCATTCATTCCGTCACTGCTTTCGCAGCCACTCCAACTTTGCATATCAAACAAACTGCTGCAGACAGCCATCACTCAAGCTTAAACCTCATTTTGTCAACTTCCACCACCATTTTCCTGTCTTCCTCGACTCTCGTTACCCTTTCTAGAAGATAAACAACCTTGCACCACCGTTCGTTTCACCTTTGCAATCTTGGCCACTTCCACGCTTCGAGTCACACATTTACTACAATCCACACGCCAACCTCCTACACTATAGTCGGCACCTCTAGGATTATCGCAGTCGAGGGACATTGGCGACAGCAACCGCGCACATCATCACCCTACTACATGGGCTACCTTACCTGTGAGAGTCACTTCTCATCAAGCTCAACTGCAGAGTGGAAACGAGCACGCAGCTAGATATTTTGTTCCGACTGCGCCACGCTACTTGGTGATTCGTCATTGATGTCTTTCATTCAGCCTCACCAACCTGCACCTCCACTCGCTTTTGTTCCTTGACTGTGCCTCGATACGATTCGATTCGGCGGCTAATCTGCAGCCGGTGGGCTTATCATGGGGTTTTGGTCATTTGGGGCTCGCAAGAAAAGCCGCCTTGTCGACAGTCAGGACCAAGGGCATAATACTCTACTGGAGAAAGACCAGACCACACGCTCGGGAAATCTTAGCCCTAATCAATCTCGAGAATTTCCCTCAATGGCTCGACAACAAAGCAAAACCGATCGGGCCGAGCCACGACGGCTGTCTAAACAGCGCAATTCAAGTCAGCAAGGCAGCGTTCCTCGCTCTGTCACTATGCCAGTCTCTAGTCCGAGGAACGACTCAAGAGCCACGAGAAGACCTTCAGACTTATATTCTCACAATCCCATGTCGCAATCCAGTATTGGCCCTGAAGAATTTACTGCACTGCCGCAACCACCACCGACCTTGCTTGCGAAGCCTCGAGGTTTTGATGCGGGGAATCAGAGGAAAAAATCAAGCAAAAGGAAAGCAGAGGATTATGCTAGGGAAAGAGAGGTCCGAGCCATGAGCTCACCCGATCCTACACCTGGCTTGAAAAGGCCTGCATCGTATTCCGGTACTGGTCCTTTGCGTCGAGACACGAAACAAGTCCCCGGCAAACTCAACCGACGATTGCAGAGACCGGCATCAGAGGTCTCTCTTCCTATACCCGAGGCTATAGATGAGCCGGGCGACCATTCAAATCAAGCTTCGTTCAAAATCGGCATCTTCGCTGCCTTGAGTCCGAGACCTACGTTGACATATGTCGCGAACGCTCGACCATCATTAGGAAAGCAACCATCCAGAATCAATCCATCAGTACAACAAGCCATTGAAGAGGAGCCTGCATCTTCGAAAAAGAGGATTGATGAACTTGCAGATGAACTGGATGCTGGTGGCTTGAGGGAGCTCATGGAGAGAGACCAGAGACGGCATGAAAGGAAAAGGTTGGCTGACAGAGATCGCCTTCAGCGCAAGCTTCAACGGAAGGCAGACAGACAACGAGAAGAAGAACACCGCGGTCGATCAATGCCGCAACCTTCACAACCCCCCGCGAGTAACAAGGCTACGGTACAGACTCGCCATACTTTGGATGGCCATGCGGAGTCTTCTTCCGCCGCTACCCAGCGAAGAACACCAAGTCCACGAGCACAGAGGGTTGATCCTTTCGCAGATCCTCAACCTCCAACTCACCGCGCAGTCCACGCCATCCGTAACCCATTCGACGATGAGAAAGATGTAGATCTTACTCAAGATCCTTTCAACGACGACGATGACGGTCCACCGGTTCCGGTCAGGTCACCATTGAGGACTGTTTCTCCGGTCGAGGCTCCAGGCAGGCCACAGGCTTCCCATGCAATGACATTCTCACCACCAACATCGCCGGTACAGCAGCCTGTTGCACGCCCAAGCTTTTCACAGACCTCGGGACTCGGGCGAGAGGTCACACCAGAAATACTGCACATTGGAGAGGGAGAAAGGCGGGCGTCTGATCAAAGCAGTCAAAAGATGAGCTCGTGGACGAATTTCTTCAAGCGCGGAACCCAGCGCAAGGGGAGTGGGATCGATCGTGGGAGAAGTACTCCCTCAGAGTTTTCCAACACTTCACGAGAATCCTTCGTCCGGAAGCAACAGCTTCCCCCAGCGGTTGTACCCCGAACCTTTCGCCGGTCTGATCCTTCCGGAGTACCTCAGAGGACAATGTCCAAGTTCAGAGAAGACCTTCCAGAACTGCCCATCTCACCTCCCGATTCTCGCGTTCAGTCCCCAGAGGCCATGGTCATCCCCCAGGGCAGGGGCGAGCATGTTCTTGGACGTCAACCAAGACAATCTCTGTCCGGAACGTTTGACGGTCGCAGCGTAGCCACCAGCTCAAGTAATCCTGCACTGGATCGTCCTGGTCCGGAAAGTAGGCTTGGCCATATTGCAGACGTGGATCTTAGCAGTGGGGCATTATCGGGAATGGCATTGTCTCAGTCGCTGGCATCGGTAGATTCAGAGGGCTCGTGGCTCTCTGGGAAACCAGTCAAACGGTTGTCTGGAAACATGAGTCAGCACATCCGACAAAGTCAAGGATCCCCTCCACCACAATCGATACCAGGAGCTTTCGAAATGGAAGAAGATGATCTTGCGGATGACGAATACCTGAATCGCTTTACCCCTGGACCCAGCGGACGAAGAGACTCGATGATTTCGTCAGACCGTAAAGCGAGCAGCACGATCATTGATCTAGAACGAGAGCGGCAGCACAGTCCTGTACCGGATGTGCCTCCCGTACGAAGGGACCTTCACGGAGAAGAAGCGTGGCATGAGGGTATTGCGCGACAAGCGACGGTTGTGCATCAGCCCAACCGTGCGAAGTCGACGGAGGGCCTTTTGAAGAATTTCGGAAGCGAGACACCAAGAACTTCTCGAAGATATAATTCAGATGACGAAGGGGAGGAGGAGCGTGCTCTTCCGGAGGTAGAAACTCCTGGTGCAGAACTTCAGGAGGCGCCAATTCTACGAGCGCGCAGCGTGGAATACAAAAAGCATGGGCGACATGCCAGCGCAGGATCGGCACGTTTGTTAGATATCCGACGATCATCTGTGCAGTCCGATGCTGCAACACCTCGGAGCCCGACTGTGCCTCAAATGCCTCTCCCAGGTGGGAAGGAGCAGGAGCGCCCAACGGGGCAAGTGTGATGGGGTATAGGGGCCACATCTCAACGCACAACACAGCTCACACATGACTTTGCTCAGCTTTTCCTTTGTCACTCGCAATGTGATCCTCGGCCACTAATGGATTCGGCCGGGTCTAAAATGATACCCATGATGTACAAGATACCCGGGAATGACAACACTCTTTTTTTACAGATGATGCTTTTGTGATGCGTTGGGTGACCGCTGGGATGAAGTCGATGGCAATGGTGTACAGGCAATTCCAAGTAATCTACGAAGAGGTGCACGAATGGAATTTCTAGATGGGGATATGCAAATAGGTACCATTGGATGTTATACAGGTGCGAATCCTGGTTGATTTGGCATCCGGCCGGCGGAGATGGAGGAAAACAATGTACTAGAGGCCACATCTGGGGAAGTTATTTGTTGCTGCTGCAGGATGACAGCGGCAAATCGCAAAGTCTCTGTGCCAATACGTGATCAGTGCGAGTGAGAAATGCTCAAAAGTCGAATTGTGTTGAATGGAAATAGAATAATAGTTGGCCTGGTACAGAGCAATCGGCTCAAGTTGGTACACTGGCAGAGGAAGTTGACCACGTGATCCTCTGAGGCTGTCCAGTCCATTGCTGCTTTTATCATGGTGAGCAAAAGTAATCATCGTTCACTGTAGTAGTGTACGTACTCGTAGTAGTGAGAAATGATTCCAAATGTGTCTGCTTCCCCCTAGCCAAAACCCTGGAAATGAGTTGATGGCGTCATTCTACCCGACGACTCAAGAGTCTGCACCTCCGGGCTTCCACCAGTCACCACGGACCGGCGAACACGCACCTCGGGCTCCCCTACTACTCCTGCCACTGCCGCTGCCACTGCCACTCGTACCCCTCCGAAGCTCCCTGTGTTTTCTTTTCAAATCAACCAGCATTTCTAAGCCGTGTCATCGATCCCCCAATCCCCTCGTATTAAATCTTTCACCATTCACTCTCACTGCCTCGTCTGATCTCCAATCTTCTCCTATCATCTTTCCTTTACCCGAAAAGCTGACTATTCCCTCAACCTCTACATCTCAACTCACCACCATTAAATACCTTCGCCGTGGCTGCTTCACTCTTCCCCCGAGCCATCAAACTCCAGCGCCTTCTCAATAACACCACCAGAACAATAAGAACAAACCCACTACACACTCCTACTTCAACACTCCTATCAACTCGTCCATTCTCCTCCAGCACTCCAACCAAATTCAATCAAACATCTAACAAAATGGTTGTCCACAATCTCGCAGAGTACGTAGCATATCACCAAGCCAAGCTACGCAAGGAGCAAGCTGCGGCAGCTGGCCGTCCCTCTCCTGCAAGAAAATCCGGTGTTAATGAAATCCATAGCAAATCCTCCTTCGACACCTCGATCGGATCCTCGGACAAGCTTATCGTCCTCGATTGTTTCGCCACCTGGTGCGGGCCCTGCAAAGTCATTGCCCCCGAAGTTGCCCGCCTCAGCGAGGAGTACAAAGACCAGGCCGAGTTCTACAAGGTCGACGTCGACCAAGTGCCCGACCTCGCTCAGGAGTTGAGCGTCCGCGCCATGCCTACCTTCATGCTCTTCAAGAACGGCGAGAAGGTCGCTGAGGTCGTCGGTGCCGACAAGAATGCTCTCAGAAAACGTATCACGGAGAACTTGTAGAAAGAAATTCCGCAGAATGGGATATCATGGGTTCATGTCGTCAACCCCTGCGTTGGGCGCTTTGAATCGTCATTTCTTCCTCTCACGTATTCGGCAGTTCCACCAAGTCACGCACGTGGGGGGTTTCTATCGTCCTAGTCGACGGGAATGAAGTTTGATGCGAAAAGAAACCTTGGGGCAAACGGTTGTCACACAGCATGGTAATGACATCGATATTCGTGGTTTATTTCCTACATGCCAGCATTGCACAACGGCATTCAGAAACACAAACAAGAGGATTGCAGGCGAAGAGCACCTAGCACAAGTCCTCCCTTAGACGTTGAATAGCAAAAAAACACTTTTGATAAAAATCTTGTGAACAACTCATCTTTCGACACGTCGTGACACCCTTAGATCTCTACACACCTTTGTATGTCTGAACCATACCAAGCAAACAGCAAGCAATGATACATACGGGTCCCGAAAATAGAAAGATACACACCAATGTCACGTTCCAATACCTATCCATGCACCGATGCCTAGTAATTGTAGACGCCGACCCCCTTACGCATCGCGGCATGCGTTCTGCACTGCAAGCACTAATAATGTCCCCGAAGGAATCTTGCTCCCCCCAAAACGATTACAGAATCACTGATGATGACCAAAGCATTGCGTCATACATGACATGACATTACCTCAATGCCCGGGCCATGAAAGACTACTACCAGGAAATACGGCGCGAGGGTCCGGCGCAGACATTGATTGTCAGAGCAGGCATCAATACGTATCGTATTGAATCCATCTTCTTGCTCCGATGGAGGGTCTGAGATGCAGTGGGAGAGGGGCTGGGGAGATTAGAACAAATAATTTAATTGTGTATCCTATTTTCTTTTTTTCTTTCTTGTCCTTTGGTGTTTGAGGTTTGAGCAGTAGGTCGAGAGAGACATAGATAGATACCCGACGTGCCTGCTGCGATATGTCGTTGATGTTCGGCCATCATGTCAGGATGATAGATCTGTGTGTTGGCCCCCCCTCAACCACCCCGCCCTTCCTCGCTGACGAGGCTGAGGCTGTGACTTGTTCTTTCCTACCTACGCGCAGAGACCAGAGATACCCCTAGAGGTCTCGAAGCCGAAAGCCTGCTGGTTCGTGGGGGTTCCTCTCGAAAACTCATCTTCGAACTTTCATAATGTCAATACGGGGCTAGTGATGAATGGAACGTATTCATATTTTGAACCCAGTGACGCTTCAATGACTGCCTAGATATCTTCCTGATTCCGAGTCATAAAGGCATGTCCTATACTTCAGAATCACAATCTTTCCTTCCGTATGTGTATATGCTTGGTCAAAGGGATGTAAACGTCACAGGATCTGCATGGAGGATCATGTTCATGGTCTGGCGTGCCGATATCGTAAGAATTTGAACTACTTTAATGTACAATACACCTGGGAACAATAACTCTGGCGATGTCGACATCTTCGGTATGCTGGACAACGAACGCCGTCAATCACCCCACTCTCTGATAAGTTGCCTCACGTCTCGGCGCCGCACTTCTTACACCGAAAGACCTGTCGCTTCTCAACAACAGCAGCCTTGAACGTCCGATTTCCACAATTGCGACACTTCAAATCGCTTTCACTGCCGACGCTGCTTTTCCTGCGTCCTCGGGTCGATGATTTCCGTCTCCTTGTGGCCATCGCGTTGGCTTCGTCATCGCCTTCCACGCCACCGTGGACACTCGCGTTCGCGGAATTTGGGTCTCGTTCCGAGCCCGTAAATTCACTGGATAGTTGAGAGACGTAGCTTGCGGCGCGGGAGAGTGGGTTCCCCTCAGGCCCAAGAAGACCTGGTGTTCGTGGGGTGCGGTTCGCCATAGGAATAACGGTCTTGGTCATGTCCCATGCCATGTAGGAATGGCTGCCCATAAGGAGAAGAGGATCGTTGTGGGGCAGATCTGCTGAGGTTGGTTGATGTAGACGTGATGGCTCAGCAACCAGTGGTGGGTGAGCATTTTCAGGGGATTTGGTTGAGTAGAAACTTCCTGGAGATTCGCCCAGTGGTGACGAAACTGATATGGACGGTCCATTTTGCATCTGGTTTAGAGGCGAGTGGTATTCAGGAGATGTCGGTGACAGCAAGCTGTCCCTGTTTGGGGGCGAGCTCCGGCGTATTGATAGACGATTAGAAAGTAACTTTCTTGGTGAAGCACTACGGGAACGGCCGTTATTAATAGCTCCGCGAATCTCCAGCATGCTTCCAGAGGCTGTCGTCGTGGTGCTACCCGTGCCTTGGACAGAGTTGCGCCAGTTCAGGATTCGGTCCGTGGAGTGATTCTTCGATCCCATGACAAAAGAATTTGGTTGTGATGAAGACGTGGCTGAAGTTCTCGTAGCGACCGACCCTGTCCTTCCCAACATCTTTTTGGAGAAGGTGGAATTCGCGTCCCAAGATTCATGCCGTCGCTTTTGGAATGCACAATCTTGCCGGAAAACCTTGATCTGGCCAGTGTAATCGGCAGTCACAATGAGCTGGCCTCCTGCATGCGCATTCCGGGCCAGGTATGCAGGAGTCTCTGGAGCGCGTCGGGGAGATTCTGAATGGCGAACTCTCACATCAGCCTGCTTATCCTCTGAGTGATTGCTGGTGTTGGTTGGCGCTTTGGAAGAGATGACAGAGTCCGCTCGACTGACCAATGTCACAGGTGGTGGATTGCACAAGTCGTACAGAGGATCCCCTGACTGCGCTAGTAATCGCCTGGTCTTTTCAGGAGCGAGTATGGCCGTTGTCACAATTGCTGAATGAGCCTCGAACACTTCTATCGGTCTCTTATCATTCTCTGGCCGCTCATATACTGAAGTCGGCCATATATACACCTTTCGATCTTCGCTTCCACAGATCACGTACTTTCCATCATCGCTAAATGATGCATGTATTTGACTGCAAGAGTTCTCGTTCCCTCGGAACTTCACTTCCAAGGTCCTGTCCTTCAGGTTATACATCCGTACCCGGGAGTCATTACTGGTGATCAGGATCTTGACATCCGTTTGACCATTCTCACGTGGCAGGGCGATGGTGTCGATGCCTGTAATTTTGCTGCCTTTCGCATTCCTCCCTCGAGCTGATCGCACATGAATCTGTGAGTGAGCCTTCAGACCCTCCGTATCATATAATATGCATAAGCCACTCAAGCATCCCGCTATCGCCGTTTTTCCATCCGGGGTGAAAGCCACCGCGGTCACCATATCAGGAACTTGGGCCCAGTAGGCGACAGACTTGTCAGGAATACTCCAGAGTCGCAATTTCGAATCGAGGGAGCCAGCTAGAAAGAACCGATCATCGCGAGGGTGAAATTGGATCGAAGTCACAAAGTCGACGTGCTTAAATGCACATAGGCACTCAGCGCGGCTGACATGGTGAAGCCTGACTGTTTTATCCATGGATGATGATAACAAAAAGTTGTTCTTACTCCAACTGAGGTCAAGTATACTTGCCGTATGACCATCATACTCTCTGAAGAGTTTGGTTTTGAAGACGGGAGCGTTAAGCTTGACACTTTCACCCTCCTTGTCGGTTTCAGACAACTTGTCTTCCACGTCGCGGTCTTCTACGGTTGCCAAGACCTCCCAGACCCTCAATTTCCTGTCCTGTCCAGCGGCGGCAAGATACCTTCCATCCTTGGAAAATTCCATGGCCCATATTGCGTTGTTGGACGAGGTGGGTGGTGGGATTGGAGTGGCGGAGGGAGCATCGGTAATGCTGTGAATTCTAGAGTCGATCGATGACTTCCGACTCTTGGTCTTTCTCAGATCCAAGGCGATCTGGGCGAGAAACAGTCTGTCGAAGTCTTTCTGTTTCCGGTACTGGGCTTTGACCTTGATGTAGCGTGGGGGAGCCGGGAATTTCGGGATGAAACCAACGGGCTGGGAGAAGACTTCAGCCTCGACACCCCCCGAACGGTTCTCTGAGATTTCGGATTCATTGTCTCGAAGTTCGAAGGAATCCCTCTTCTTGGAGCCCATGATGCGGCTCAAGAAGGAGACTCCCTTTCTGAAGGAATGTACATATCAGCCTCGAGTACTTGGCCCGGAACAGGCCAAGAAGACAACGACAACGACAATGACAACGGCGGGTTTGACAGGGCTATATGCACAGGCGGGCGGAAAAAGGATAGCATTATGGCGATGCAGGAGTCTTGGGAGAGATATTTTCAGTTGGTTGGATTTGTGGCACTTACTTTTTATCCTTGCCCAATTTACTGCTAGCAGTGCTATCGACTCGTCTAAGAAGACCCGGATCGGAGCTATTCCTCCCCGAGAGGTCTTCGGATGGACCGGATTCCGCATATGTCGATTTGGTGGACACACCGCCTTGTGAAAGCGAAGGAAGCCTGTTTTGCGATTGCGTACGTTCTAAGATTTGCTAGGGGGGAGAGGATGTGAGCTCGCGAAATGGTTGAACTTGTCCAGGCGGTGGATTCGTGGTAGCGAACATACCCTTGATATGGGGTCCAGGCGGCCTTGCTGAGCATCCACCAGGCGCGGCTCATTAGAGCTTGGCGGAGGACTCATGTTGACAGCTTGCGGTAATTTCAAATGGGTCGTTTGCGATGGGTCATGGTGGTTGTGAGAAGTGACGGTATTTGAGGTTGGAAAGCCTTAAAAGGTGGTGATAGTGGTACAGTCAGCACATGTGCTTTTGGGTGTAACTTTGTTTTTGCAGCGCGGCAAATGGGACCAAAGACAGGACGTCAGTCAGCAGAGAGTCGTCGCTGAGTGATGCTTAAAATACGACGCTTTTTGAAAGTGGGAAGTTGGTGGTGGGTGTCGAGGTCACTTACTGCTGTTTAGAGACGGATTGGCGTCGTTGCTGCCATTACTCGTCGCATTGTTTGCATCTCCATGGAGCAGGCCCCTCGCACTGGCACTGACATGAGCATTGATAGTGGGAGTAGGAGGAGTAGTAGTGCCAATGGTAGCGGGTATAATGACCGAAGAACGAGGACCACTGGCAGGACCGGGCAAAGGAGGGGTATCCGCAGACTCCGTACTCGTATGTGACAATCGATGAAGGCCTTGTAGGGATGGGTATCCGTACGAGTACTGCGTGCAAAAAAAAGAACAAAATTGAGCCTCGGACATTCCAATTCCTCCACCACCTCTGCCAATTCGGGTTGACTTACTATGGCGGTGTTCCTGTTCCGCGGCGGCGCAACCTCCATGGCCCCCAAAGGTCCTAACTGCTGGCCGCTTCAGGCTTGCGTTGCGAGATTCAAATCAAACCTGAGGCATTTCATCCAAGCAAAGGCTCGAGGGAGCCATGATCATCCGTAGGGTCAAGGCTCGAGTGTGAGAGGGTGGACAGTAATATGAAGAACGCCCATCTGCATCCTCGTCCCCTGCTTGAGTATTTACATACGAATACAAATAAATTCGGGCACCATCAGTCCATCACCGCTCGAGATGCAATGGGCCGGTCACCTGGCATGGCCAACGCCCGCGTCAGGCCTGCTATGCTGATCCTTGGTCATGATTCTGAGGCTGCTCCAGTCGTTCGTTCGTTCGTTCTTCCATCCATCCATCCATTCCCACAACGTGGCGCGATTGTGGATGGTGGATGCACAGTGTTCCGAGTCCTTGTGCACCCTACTACTCGGTACACAATCTAATGCATCCGACCAGAGGTCCCCCAAAAAGGAACCCTGGTGCCGGATCGTCTTTTAAGTGCTGATAATCAAAGTCCAGACTGTAGAATTTAGAACTGACTCGGGACGAGCCCTCGTGTGCAGATGGAGGTCATGCTTCATTCATAAGAGTCCTCGAACCTAAAGCTTGAGTGTTGCTTATGATTTCCTGGGCGTAGAAATCTAAAAGCACCTGACATGAGAGGAAGCCCACCCTTTCTTTCTGATGCCTATCATCTCGTAAGTCGGCTTTCCTTAACTGGGCAGTCATTGCGAGAGCATGTCAAGTACTTCATCTCCTGGTGTTGATAAATCCACATGTTCGAGACCACCCGCGACAGCCCCAGCAATGCAGTGCTACAAGTATAATCATGCACAAATTCACCATGTCCCAGGCGACGCCCCACCACCAAAGCTAAACGCGAAATACGAATCATCTCGTATGCAAGTACTCTTCCGTATCGCTGTCCGACAAAGTCAAACGCTTGCATCTGTCGCAGCACCGCTCACTTTCGGTCTCCCCGACTAACAAAAAATACCTCAAGTACAGCGAACTTCCAATCTGCCTCCATGACATGCCAAGACCCAACCCGAGTTCTCTCCTCCTGACTTTGGAATTCAGCTGCTTTGGCACCTTAGCTTTCCTGGTTGGCAATACGCCCTAGATATCCTAAGAGAAATGCTTTGTTTTCTGCCGCCGTTTGTCGTTTTTCAATCGCTGGTCGTCCAATAACAGGTCCGCTACCAATAGAAGTTAGGCTTCCAACTCGGGATGTTCGTGTAGAGACAGGTTCAAGTCCAGACACAGTAACCTCTGTACTAGGACTCAAAACCTGACTGGCCGATAATGGTGACACCGTTCCAAAGCCCGCTCGCGCTGTTGAAGTCTTGGGAGTCTTCTCTGGTCCACCAAATAGAGAGAGCAGTGTTTGTTTATGAGCTTCGGCTCGAGGACGCTCAGGTGCTGGCAATGCCTCTGATGTTTCGAGGGCTGTGGGTTGTGCCAATGGCACAGACTCGAGGTTGCTGGCAACATAGGCTGTTCCCCCATTGGACTCACCGATCTGTTCTGTAGTTTCAAGAGTCTGCGGTCGACGCAGAATCTGGGGTTGAAATGGCTTCACCGGCGCTTTGGGAGTCGCTCTTTCTTTTGGTGTCCTTTTAGCAGTCGGTTTGGGTCCTCGAGGTGATCGGGGTGAGTTTGTTTTCGGCTCTTCTGGTCTCGTCAAAATCTTAATCGGAGTCGGCTGTTTGGGGTCAAATAAGGTACGATTCGAGGTAAGTGGACTGCGTCCAAGCTCATTACCAGCATGCTTCGCGGTACGAGATATCACGTCGAAAACTGGCTGATTGAGAGGGCCACTAATGGTCGCTGCGGTTTCTCCTTCTCGTGGCATTGACCGATTCGACACTTTACGTCCCTGATCCCGGTTTCCTTGCTTTAGCAAATTTAGAAGAGGATCATCTGTCGTGGGTTGTGGACTGCGTTGTGCTCCAAATGCACCAGTTGCTGCAAGCTCGGCTGGAAGACTATACGTTTGAGACTGTATTTGCGACGGGGTAGCTCCACTGGCGGTGACTTGAGATGGGTGACTGAACAAACCTAGGAGCGATGCTCGTTGCAAGGAATCTGGCCTGTGGACTACAGTAGCTGGACTTGCCTGGTTTTCGTTTCTCTCAGCCACTGGCGAGGGGAAAATTCCAGCCTGCTTTGGTGTGGCGGATAGAGGGGAAGGAACCTGTTCCTGTCTTTGTTGATAATATGAACTTTGCTGTGGCGGTATGCTACTCTGTGCTTGATTCTTAGGGGCAGGAAAGACTGCTGCCGGCAGCAATTGATGTAAAAGTGCAGCGGATGAGTTGGAAAGAGGAGGTTCGGCAGGTTTATTGGCACTTTTGAATACATCAAGTAATGATTTGGTATGGGTGGTGAGTGTCGGTAATGCACTAGCAGGTGGCACCATTGAACTGTGGGCTTGATTCAATGACGGGCGCGCAAATTGAGGATCTCCGGTTTGTTGATATGGCGCCCGAGGCTGTGGTAGTTGACTTTGTACTCGGTCGCGTATCAAAGCTGCTTGCGTTGGTGGATAGTCATCACCCTGTTGGGGGATTTGGAATGTTGGAGGGGGTTTTGGCTGTTCCACAAGTGCTGGGCGGACATGAGATATATGTGAAGATCTTTGTGGTTCTGGTTGGGAAAAGACTTGTTCGAATGGCGTTCTCGGATCAGGCTGTTTCGAAGCGGCCGTGGTGCCACGAAGAAGTGCCAGTAAAGCACTGGATTTCTCGGTGTCAACCTGTTGCATGTGACTAGGCTGTGCGGCGGCTGATGGAAGCGCCCCGGATGGCTGCCCGATGCTGAGGATTCTCTTCAAATCCGCGGACGGATCGATAGGGATCGGTGCAGAGACTTCAGGTAGATCGCTAACGACCGGCACCACGGTATCGGTCAATCTTGCCCCAAAGCCGTTAGTATCCTGGTCGTCTTCGGTAGTGAGCTCTTCAAGCACCATAGGTGGTGCGCTCAGATGCGAACTGTATCGATTCTCCTTCTTTCGTTGCTGGGCAATCCATTTCTTGAGAGGGTTCAAGAACGGAGCTACCATATAAAATTTGTTGGCATTGATTGTTGGCACGTCGGGTCCACTACCATCGTGTTGCCGACTCTTTTTGAGCGTGGGTAGATCTGTGAGCTTATACCACTCAATCTTGCTAATCTCCTTGCGGGTTTTTGGCTCAAAGTAAGTGTTTTTGGGTACACCCCGAAAGACATATAGTCTCATGTGTTGCTCGCGCATGGTCACCTCAATATACTTCATATCCTTTTCGTCTTTGACAAGACCGGCTGCACGGATATCAAAGCCAGTCTCTTCATAGACCTCTCGCACCGCGCAATCAAGATCGTTTTCATCTTTGTTGATCTTTCCTCTTGGGAAACTCCAATTGGCGCTCTTCTTCCAGCCTTTGACAAGCACCACTTCATCCATGTTCTCGTTGAGCATGATAGCCCCGCGCACGGGGACGCGGGACTTGTAAGCCAGGAACTCGGCGAAGGCGGTGGTATGATGCTGAGCGGACCATTGTGAGAAGAGCGGACAGTGCTGGAAGATCCTCAAGCTGAAGGTGCGCAAGGACAAGGAAGGTAAGGTGGGATCAAGAGGACGGATGAAGTCTTCGTAAAACCATTGTGCTTCCTCGACCTGGAAGCATATTCTCTCGACCGAGGCTAGCTCCTCTGGAGGGAGGTTGATAATGAAACGGACACAAAGGTCATCGAGCCCTAGAGGTCATTGTCTGTCAGTGTGATGGTACCACCAACGTCACGAGCGATTGCTTCTCACAGTCCTCCAACTGCATCTCTGAGACGAATAGCAGAGTCAGGGCGTCTTAGCATCTCCAAAGCGGTGGTTGTTGTCGGGCGTTGTGATCGTGTGCGGGTAAGGGAAAGATTGTTGTAGATCGGGAAGGTCTGAAAGGTGCACCGCCTCCCGCCTGGACGTTGGTCGATGGGGAACAGGTACGGTTTACGAGTAATGGTGATTTTGTGGGGCAAGCCGCTGGTGTTCCAGAGGACGAAAAGAGACAAGCCAGATCCACGCTTGAATTGAGCAGCAAGAACAAGAGACGAGGCGTGAGGCGAGGAAGAGGTTCGGGTGCGGATAATCCTGAGCGGATTTATCGTATGTGGCTGGTGCCGCAGGTGATGGTGGCTGCAATGTGGCGGTGTACAGCAAACAAGTCGATCAGCAGGACAAGGATCCCCGTTGGAACCAGCCCACCGTTAGCCTCTCCCAATTATTTGGTCACGATTGAGCAAGCGCTCGGTTAAAGTTCAAAAACTCATGTAGAATGACGCAGACGCCAGGAGTCAAACAAGATTTGCCTGACAATCCCTTCACCACAATCGTGCGCTCTGGCTCCAATGGATGATGTGCAAGTCTAGGAGCCTCTAACACTTGACTTGTTGCTTTGTTTGCAAAAGGGTTCAACTGCAACTTGAATCTTACAGTCCGTCATTGGTGGTGACATCAAGCCCGGATTAATTCACCTTTGTCCTCCTTTGCTCAGCCCACCTCTGTTCCCAGCTATATTATCCACCGTGTACCCTCTTACCAAACACCTTCCTTTCTCCCAACTTTGATCATCCTATTCTTCCCAATTTCCTCGATTGATCAATCACAACCATGGCGTCCTTTGCGGCAAAGCTTGTGGCCAAGAAGATCTTCCAGGAGACCTCTGCCAACAAGCAAGGCAGAGAGGTATGATTAAATTCTCCATGTCCCGCTACAAGGACCATTGCTGACTGCTCTTCTTCACAGGATCCTTACTTTGAGAGCATTCCGGCCACTCGATTGGGAGGCATGTACAAGACCAACAAAAAGAGAAAGAGAGCGCTCCCACCAGGCCTCACTCCCGAGGAGGAAAAGGTTCTCACAAAGGCAAAGCGACGTGCATATCGCATCGACTTGTCCCTTGGTAGTTTCCTCGGAACGCGCTTCGGGTGGGGCGCAGTCATCGGCTTAATTCCAGCCATCGGAGACTTCTTTGATTTGCTGCTGGCCTTCATGGTCTATCGTACCTGCAATTCAATCGAGCCCGAATTGTCCTCTGGTATCAAGATGAAGATGAAGTTCAACATGGCCGTCGACTTTGCTATAGGTCTGATACCATTTGTTGGTGACATTGCCGATGCTGCATACAAGTGCAACACCAAAAATGTCATTCTTCTGGAGGAGGAACTGCGCGAACGTGGCAGAAAGCGACTGAAGGGAACCCCGCAAGCCAATCTCGCCGATCCCAGTCTTCCCGACGAGTTCGACTATCAAAATGAGGAAAGATTGGTCCAGCAGAATGGTCCACCTCCTCAGTACGCTTCTCGACATGAATCTAGACGATCACGCCGTGACCGAGGTCACCGAGACGACAGAGATTATGACGTCGAAGCTGCCGGAGCGGTTGCACCCCCAAGGCCAGCCAGAACTCGCTAAGGGACGAATTTGATGGTCGTTTTTCAGCGTGTTGGGTGATCATAAATTGTTAGAATGCGAGTCCCCATGAAACCAAGTTAGCGAGTCAGAATGAACTATTCTTGTTTGACACTACTCCTCGCGTTCAATTTTGACCAATGGCGTCATGTGTTTGTCGGCGAAAGATTCTTCAGTCCTCTGTCCCTTTGGTCAAGGTTTGATGTCTTGTTTGATTCGCAAACAGCCATAACATAGGGTTGACACTGATGGCGATGGGTTGCCACTGTTCAGGATAGGCTGTACGCAAAGCCGACAGAGGCTATGGGTTTGTCGGATTTCGAGTTTACCACCTGTGCGGACCACGTTGGCCATGATACTGGGGTACTTCAAACCTTGCGTATTGATATAGTCCGTCAATAAAGTATCAATTGCGGTGTTTCGAAGGCTCGTAGGAGGCAGAAGGGCATCGTCTGAAGCTGCCATAGCCTCCATGAGCGGTTCTGGTAGTGTGGTAGCATAAATCTCAAGCTCGGTCTTGTAAAGATCACGAAGGGGATGATTGAAGTTGACCCCAAAAGGTGACAGGCCATCAGCAATTGTCGATGGAACTGACCCACCTCTTCCCTTTGCAACATCAGCTAGTGTTAGTGCAGCCAGGCGACTGTCTGAATGACCCCAGATGATGCTCTCGCATTCATGGGCTTTTGCTATTGCCACGAGCAAGCGTTGAAGCAGGATGGACTGCAAGTCAGTACGAGTGGTGACCGACGTAGCACCTGATATGATGCGATGGAAGAAGTCGGGGTCTGACTCTTGGTCATGGCGCTCACACCCAACAGTCTTCAGGTCCTCTCCAATAGCCTCATCGAAGCTCAACGCTGTAGCGAGTGCAAAGCTGGGGAGGAATTTATGACTCGGGAATCTTTGAGCCAGTTGAGTAAGATGTTGGTCCTTGAAAGCAGACGCAGATTGGCCTGGAAGTACGACATGAGCAATGATCAATTCGTAGGCAGTCTTGTTCCTGTTTGCAATCTGTCGCTGGAGCTGGGTGTCTAGAACTTGAAGCAGCACCAAGGAGGAGACACCTCCAGACAGAGGTACGAGAAGCCGACGCTTTTGATCTCCCTCAAGTGTTTTAAACCGGTAGGACTCCATGCGTTTCAGAGCCTTCGAGTTAACATACCGACTAAAACACTCGACGCACAGACGTCTGTTCCGGATGTTGAGGTCACCACCACGCTCTTTACACTCAACGCAAACGATCGTGGCATTGTTCTCAGCCATCACAGCTCTGACACAGTGATCTGGGTGAAGACTTTGGGCTATATCAAATCTAAGTCGGTGTCGCAAGCATCTCCAGGCCGGGGGACAGTACAATGGAATCAAATTTGATGATACTCCAAAAGTTTAAAGAATTTCTAATGAAGTGGACGGGCCGGGTTCCTAAGCAAATATTTATGACGCGCTTTGACATCGCGTTTCTCCATAATTTTTTTCATTTTAAAAGTACATCGCTACACCATGGATCTCCTTCCTTCGTACAGACACAATCACAAGCACCAGCCTTGCAAAGATTCCGATGAGAGTGCAACTTCTGAGCGCACATAATTGCTGCTCACGCTCAGTTCACAACTCAGCAGTTTGGGAACCTTCGGTGTCACGATGCCTGCCTCTGATTCCTACTCAGCGTCGATACCAATGGACCAAGACCAGTCCTCCTGCTCGGCTGACTGCTCTCCTTGACAAGACAACTCCCAATCCTGTGACTTTGTACTATGACCCAACTTCGAGACAGCCTCCAATTTCTCTCAGTCGCCTCCCAGCGAACGTCCAACGCAACATAGATCGTGATCTGTCAAGCACGCAACCAGCACCTCTCAGTACTCCTCCACCTCTCAACGGAAACGACTACGATGACGGCAAGATTCCGTTGACTGATAGAGCAAAACGCCTCTTCAGAGTTGGGAAAGCATACCTGCAGTTTTACAAGACTGGTCTTAAAAACATATGGCGCAACTACAATGAGATGAAAGCAATTCGGACCAGACTGGGGACAAGTGACTTTGAGGATTTGATCAAGTATGGCACAACCCACGCTCGGTTGATGGCAAACGGTGGGGATGAACAGGAACAGCGCCTTAGGGGAGGCGGATCAGGCAGTGACTCAAAACCTCCACTGACAAGACGGGAATATCAATTGGTCCTCCGCACACGGCATGACTTGTTCAAACTCGTCCCCTTCTCCTTAATTTTCGCCATCTGCGGCGAATTCACTCCACTTGTAATTCTAGCTACGGGATCCGCGGTGGTGCCGTTTCCGTGTCGAATTCCACAACAAGAACAGCAGGATTTCTTGAGGCCTGCGAAGATCCAACCAGCCGTGCAGAGAGCTCTCGACCGTCTCTCCGAACCAACTCCATCCCCACCTGATAACACATATACTCTACAAAGTGATCTGAGATGGAATTGGCGACAGGAGTTTATTTACGCCCACCGTTTGCACCTGAACCCATTCCTCACGCCGGTCTCATTACTAGGGATGCTATGGCACAGAATCTACGCTCTCCCTCGTTTAAGGAGACACTGCTCCCATATCCTCTGCGACACCATCCTCATCCAGCGAGAAGGCGGGTTCGCCAAACTTTCGCCCCGCGAGGTCTTCATGTGGAGTCTCAACTATGGCCTGCATACCTTGACGGAGTATATAGAAGACAGAAAGAGGCGAGGTTTGTCGATCGACCCGGATTCAGACGAGTTGAAAAACGTCTTGTCTCCGATCGTTGAAGCCGAGGCTGAGTATTTGCTCGCCGTGGACTGGTCGCGAGTCCGGCCGGAGGATCACTGGCGCGCGGTGTTCAGACCGGTCAGGAGCATAACGCCTGATGATCGGCACGTTACGCGTTGAGAATTCTCACTATCTGATGAATTTATGGAAAGAAGTGTATATTAACCATGTATTAGCTTACCTGTTCAATGTATCTTGGGTACTGTGCCTTCGTTGAGAAGCTCACCTATTGTAATATCACAATACTCGAATCATTGGCTCCATCTATCCGACTACTGGTTGATACGGTGGCCAGGCTGATCTTATCTACTTTTCTCGCCTATATTTGGCCGAGCACGCCAAGGCAACGCCAGCTCCCAGTCACAACACCCCTCGTCCTCCCAAGCTGATTTGAACGGGATCTTTGGATGACGATAGTATTGCATTCAAGGCTTCATGAAACGTGTTGCATGGAATCCTCGAGGCGCGTCACTACCATCACCACTACTACCATGACCTTGCTCCGTCGCCGCTATGCACCTCTGAGAGGTGCTTAACGTTCACTAGCTTGCGCATGATCGAAGAATAGTGTCAGCCTGATGCAACATGATCTTGCATCTCCCTTTGCAAACCACTTCCAAATCACCAGTTGCTCAGTGTCTTGTGAATTCCATCGTTTGTGGTTTCTCCAGAGACAATGTCAGACATGGACTGCGAACTTCAACCTCAGCCTCATCTTTGAGCCGCCAACTGACCACTACATCCATTCTCCACCAACCATGTCTCGCCTTGCCGATCGAAGAGTATCAAGTGGGCTGGGTGTGCGCCCTCCCAAAGGAGCTGACCGCGGCCCGGGCGATGTTGGATGAGGAACACGAATCGATTCCGCGACAAGAACAAAATGACGACAACAGCTATGTGCTGGGACGGATCCATGGCCACAACACGGTAATTGCTTGTCTACCTGCCGGTGTGTACGGCACAGTGTCAGCAGCAGGTGTAGCGCTGAACATGTTGCGGACCTTCAAGGGGATTCGTTTTGGCTTTCTGGTCGGAATTGGTGGAGGAATTCCCCATAGCACTCAACGGGGCGATATTCGGCTCGGTGATGTGGTGGTAAGTCAACCTGACGGGATCCATGGTGGCGTTGTGCAGTATGACCTCCGAAAAAATCTCGGCCACGGAGTCTTCGAGAGGAAAGGTTTCCTGCAATCGCCCCCGAAAACTCTCCTAACGGCCCTCAGTAACCTTCAGTCACGACACCTGATAGAGGGAAATCAGATCTCGAAGACTATATCTGCTATTCTCAAACAACACCCTCAACTGGCAAAGGTTGGTTATATCCATCCCGGCCAAGAACGAGATCTTCTATCCTGTTCAAACATTAACCACGAAAGAGAGCCCTCATGCGCTCAATGCTATAACGGGATCGTTATTCGAAAGGCCCGTGAGAATTCCGGTCCGGTGGTTCATTATGGAATCATTGCTTCGGGAAACGAGTTAGTAAAGAACTCTATCGACCGAGATCGTCTAGGTCGAGAACTTGGTGCGAAATGTGTCGAAATGGAGGCAGCTGGATTGATGAACGATTTTCCTTGCATTGTCGTACGAGGGATAGCCGATTATGCAGATGCGGAAAAGAATGATATGTGGCAAGAATATGCGGCACTTGTCGCAGCAGCATTTACCAAAGAACTACTCTCCGTCGTCCGACCAGTAGAGGTAAAGGCTATTCAACAAGCCTCTGAGGCCATAAGTAAGTCTCACAGATATTCTCCTTACACAGTATAGAACCATCTTCCTCAACAAAGCACCCTCACTTCGCACTTTCTACAATGTCTAGTCATACGGATTAGAAGTGTATTGAAGTACTCATGGATGATAGAATACCACTACGGTCTCAACCTCTTTGATGCACCTGACCTAAAGGAGGACCTCTTCATTGGCCGACAGAACGAGATACAGGAAATCGTGTCTACTTTGCAACCCTTTTCAGCTACGCTCGGCTCTAAAAGGAATGTCCTCGTCCTTGGCGGTACGGGAGGTATTGGAAAGACCCAACTAGCTATCGCCTATGCTAAGCGTTATGAGTCTTACTATACATCCATATTCTGGCTCAATGCTACTTCGGAGGTCACCCTCAAGGCCAGTATACGCGACTTAGCTAATTGCATATTACCATCAGAAGCGCTCAGCCAACTAGACGATGAGCATATTCTCATCCGGGTGTCTGCCTGGCTCTCTAACCATGACAACCAGCGGTGGCTGCTGATATTCGACAACTATGACGAACAAGACATGTATCAAATTCGCTCATATTATCCTTTTCGTGCGCATGGGTCTATGATTGTCACAACTCGACAGCCAGATCGAGTCAACGGGGCGAGGATACGTTTACGACATCTCGATTCAATTGACGACAGTCTTCGGGTTTTAGCTACTCGATCGGGCCGCGAAGATATCCAATCTGGTATGAGACATTACCCAAATCTGCATCGGCCACCAAGGCTAATCAAACAAGTAGATCCGGAAGCTCGGAGACTTGCTGCGCGCTTAGACGGCCATCCACTGGCCCTAGCTACGGCTGGAGCGTATCTATGCCAGTCTACCGTCACCTGTGGCGAATTTCTCCAACAATACGAAGCAAAGTGGAAAGTTATAGAGTCAATGGAGGAGTTAGCTGACTATCCTTTGCGCACACTCTTCACTACATGGGACATGTCTTTCAAGATCGTTCAGCAGCAGAATCTAAATGCCGCTAATTTACTTCGACTGTTAGCATATCTAGATAACCATGATGTACGATACGAACTCTTCCATGGCATGTGTGGGGAAGGTCGACCAGTGTGGTTCAACGATATAATGAGGGAAAAGTTTGCTTTTGAGGAGGCGATTCGAGTCCTGATCCGCTACTGTTTGGTCGACACAAATCAGCAGGCAAGTTCATACAGGCTGCATCCCTGTGTGCATGATTGGACTCTTGATGGCCTGAACAGGCCGATCGACCCAGAACTCTATTGGCTAGCATTTGATTGTGTTACTAGCCACTTGCCGCTGCTGGAGGAACTTGCGATCATGGAGAAGCAGTCGGATTTGCAGCTCGTGGCGCCTTTCAAAGGCCATCTCAGGCGACTAGCTCACAGTCGTTTCGATGGGGTCCGGAGCGAAACGATTGCATTTAGGGAGCGAATTGATCCCATGGAACGCGCAGCGATGATTATTTGCCGAGAAGACATTGACGCCGCAAGGAACATCTATCAATTGCTTGCCGCCGAAGCCGAGACATTATTTGGCGCGACCCATCCATCCACCATTCGCATTATGCTTGTGTTTGTTCGATTGACGGCGACTGAAGCACCCAGCGAAGGTAGCGTCCACAAGGCGCAGAGAATACTGAGATCTATACTGGACAAGCTGGAGATGAAGGCAGGACCTGAAGACCCATGGACCATCGCAGTCATGGATCTTCTGGCCTCGCTATATAGCACGACCAAACAGCTGGATCAGGCCGAGATGATGACGAAAGAAGTGCTCGAGGGATATGAGAAGTTGCCCACCGATTTCCCTTTCCGAATCGCTGATCTCTGGCGTCGTCTGGCCGGCATAAAGTATTTCCAAGGGAAGCTGGACGAGGCAAAAGCGATGTATCTCCGCGTGTTAGAACTCGCGGGGATCCGAGGGCTTGAAGATCACACGGTCTTTGGGACCACTCTAACACTTGGTGTTGTGTATCGCAACGAGGGGGATCTAAAACACGCAGAAGATATGTTCAGACGGGCTCTGGGCATATCCGACCGTGTACCCGGACCAGAAGGCCTTTTCACCATGTTCGCGCGCATGAATTTGGCCAATATCCTGAGTGAGCAAGGTAAGCCTGGGCAAGCGCAGGAACTCTACGAACAAGTTCGCATGCAGTCCCAAGCAGGATATCAACAACATGTGCGGCAAGTCGAACACGTAGTATCAATCAACGAAGGGGTCTTGTACGCTCAACTGGGACATGTGCATGTCGCTCGGCTGAAGTTTGAAGGAGCTCACGCCGGCTTACAAGCAGGAATCCAACCGTCGTCACTGTTTGTGAATTTGGCGCTCTACAACCTTGGGCAGCTAGAGCAATCAGCCGCGCGAAATGGCGCTATCGACACGACACTTTCTCGTCGAGGGGTAGCAGACGAGACTGGTCACAGCCAGTTTAGGAGCTTTTACTATTCGACGCTCGGGACCAATCCCGATACCCTCAAGACATAGCGGTCGGTGCGGCAATGATTTCATTCGCCATGAGTATTAGTTGAACCAACCCAGCCTGATAAAGTTCATACCTATGTTAGAAGTAAATGTTTCTGCCTACACGACTTATGAATGTCCTCAATCGGTTAGCCCACTGCTTATTACCAACAAAGCCTCGGGCCATGAATGCTTCAACCAAAATGATGGGGACTATCCACTGCACCGACAATCACCCACAAGACCCACAACTTGAACACACTGCAAGTCGCCTTCTCATGTGACAGCAATGGGATGCTCTTTTAGCTAGGTTAATGTCCGGTTTCCCAGGGGGTTGCGCACTATGGCACGAACTGGAAGCGGACGAAGTGACGTTACACTCGTCGACCTCAGATCAGCCACGTGCGGGAATCTCCAATGACGTAGGGGTCCGCCGCCCCTCAGACAAGACCCTCTGGCTCGTTGGGGAGTCACTGGTACCAGCACCGGGCGCCTTGATAGCGACAATCCAGACCACGCCCGTTCGAATAAAGACGTAAGATGCACGGTCCGCGAACCTAACATCTCCTCCTTCATATCTCGTACATTTACGTGCATTATATTGAGCCTCACAACACCAGGTGTATTCAGAAGCGCGTCGCTTAATATTGCCCTGCAAAGTACACGACGTATTCATCCTTGCATAAGTGCCTCGTCAGGTTGCATCACCCCTTCGCCCAAGACTTCTAATCTTACCCAACACTTTCTATCCTCGCGACTACCATGGCCACAGTTGCGCAAAGTCAATCGGGTGAGGAGCCCCCTTCAGGCATTCAGGGAAAGGGCACAATCGACGAGCCTTACGACCAAGGAAATGCTCCAGGTATATTGCCACGACCGTATTGAAAAGTGTCCCCTGCAGTTGGCTGACCCCTACGGCTTCTAGAAAACAACAGCAAACCTGAGCCAGTACCGACAGTCGCAGAGCCTGAGAGCCAGAGCGACGCGTCAAAGCCCATACCGAGCGCGGCTGCTACGAATGGTGCAAAAACAACCGAAGAGCGTGGAAGAGATGCTCTAAGGGCGCCGGCTAAGAATCGGATTGAGGAGCGCGACGTGAGCCCCGGCACTCTACCAGACGGTAGTCACGCCCAAACAAGCGGCGAACGAGGTGAAGGCTATGAGCCTGGAAAGTTGAACAAGTTGAAGAGCAAGTTACCATTTGGGAAGCACTAGTGATCACCGTTTGTGGACAGAGGGGTAGAGAGTCAGATCTATGAGCAACTGGAGATAGCCGATGGCTTTCTTCTTGATAGATCAACGAGCCGTTCTGGGAAGATGGCATTTTGTATGTTATGACATTGTCAGTTTTGATTGTTCGTTAGATGTTTGAGAGTGGATAGCTAGATACTGCAAAGTAGCAAGTGGATTTCATGTCCTACTCGTACGAAACATTTATATCCGAGGTTCCACAAGGCTTTTCTTATCGATTGAGATCATCCCACCAGCAACTAAGACCCCTCACCATAGATGAAGAGCGGTAAGACGCCGGTTAATAATGTTACTGTTGATAAATCAGAAAATCGACTTTGATAGTCGCAAACGATGACTTGATTAGCCAGCGCCGGAAAACGTCATTATCAGCGAATCATAGGATCAATTTTCACCCGTCGACACATGTAAGCATTTATTCCAAGAAGAGTATTGTTGACTACTTAGATAGTACTCACACCTGCTTACGAACCAAGCGGTAGATTGAAAGCATTCATCGTTCAATTCCATCCTTCGTCTTGAAGATCAGACTACCTCTTTACTCCTACCCATTGCTGATCTGAAGATCAACAGTGCTTTAGCTATCGGTCCTTTGATCTTTGATTGCCAACAGGATCCTTTTATTCTCGTCTCAAACTGTTGACTGCTCCTGAAGAAATCATGTCCACCAACGAAGTCTCCAAGATTGAGGCAGGCAACCTCTTCAATGTCAATGGCCTCGTCGCTGTCATTACCGGAGGCGGATCAGGTAAGTTGACGAGTCTTGGATCATCCTCTCTTTTGTCTGACTACTGATCACATGGTCCGATAGGACTCGGCAGAATGATGGCGCGAGCTTTGGCAGTCAATGGAGCGTCCAAGGTGTTTATCATTGGCCGCCGGGAGGACTCCCTCAAAGAGACGGCGAAGTCAGTGCCTGGTGATAACATTATCACCATCGTTGGTGATGTCACTTCGAAGGAGTCCTTAGTGAAAGCCGTCGAGGCCGTCAAAATTCATACCGACACGATCGATCTTCTTGTCGCCAATTCTGGGATCAGCGGGCCATCGGTCGCCACAGTCGATGCCAATCAACAACCACTCCCGTTTGAGCAGCTGGCAAAGAACATGTGGGCTCCAGACTTCGATGCGGTCACATCGACATTTGCTGTCAACCTTACTGGCGTCCACTTCACCGTCGCTGCATTCCTACCCCTCTTGCACGAGGCCAACAAGAAACGACCAACGCCGGCTGCAGACAACTTCCGACCGCGACCACAGATCATCACCACTGCTTCGGTCGGAGGCTACAATCGAAGGCCATTAGGGAATTACTCATATGGTACGAACCCTAGATCAAGATGACACATTCAATTACTGACCAAATCTGTAGGACCCAGCAAGAGTGGGGTTCTGCACTACACCAAACAACTCGCCACTTCGCTCGTCCCTTACGATATCAGGGCGAATGTGATAGCACCTGGACTATATCTTTCAGAGATGACCCAAGGACTGTATGCTGCGCAAGGGAAGGTCGAAACCCACAATATCGAAGGCACATTCGCCAAGGACTATATCCCAGCTACACGCAGCGGTGATGAACAGGACATGGCCGGGGTCATTCTATGGCTCACCTCACGAGCAGGTGCCTATATCAACGGCTGCGTCGCGGTCACAGATGGAGGTCGGCTTTCAGTCCTTCCCAATTCCTACTAAAGGGGCATCTAGTACTTTGGCATGGTTTTGCAGTCAAGCGTCACACAGCGATAGGTCCTAGATTCTAGATTCGATGAGGTTTCAAACCGGAGGAAATGGCTGCACTCAACTTTAAGAAGCATTAAGGGTTGCCCTGATTTGTAGTTCAATGCTCATGGAGGGTATAGCCTTGTATCAAGTAGCTTGGCGATGAGCAGGCGTCTCTCTGCAAGGCTGGCGGTTACCAGTGGCCTGATCTCGATGGCATAGGTCCGAGTAAGATTGACGCGTGAAAGGGGTTTGATTAGCATTCTCTGGTTGAGCACGGACGGAGCCTTGTCCGCCACAAATGACGAGCAAGCTGGAGAAGAAGTGGCTGACCAAGAAAGCTTTGCAGCGAAAAAGACCATCCGGCAACTTTCTCGACTTCTTCCACTGCCACCCCTGTTCGTTTTCATGCAGGAACCGAATCACACCGAATCGTCCCACTGGCAAGCCCCCCACGGAACAAAGACTCAATTGGCCGAATCTCATGTTTGCTGGCTCGTGCTAACCCCGTCAGGATCTCCAGGCCGTTTAGCTTCATGCCGTGCCCCCCCAGCGAAGTCGGCGAGACCCTGGACGTTCATCCCCGTTCAACAGATTTCATGGGCAATTTTTCGTGGGCAATGGTTTTCGTCACTGCGCTCTCAGCTTTTTTTCAAGGTTGATGGATATCACTCCTATTCGTCATAAGTACAAAGACTGTCCCTGTCACAAGGAAAAGAAATTCGTAGCAGAACCAAACTGTGCCTTCGCCACCAGACTTGCGTCCTCGTCCTTTGTAGGGTAGTTTTGGTTGCGACTCCACACAGATCGCCGCTTCCTCGACATCGTTTTCTCCCACCCCGCCTACACCGCCTTCCAACTCTTCTTCCCATTGATAAGGTCTTGAGATCTCCTTTTCTTCGATTGTTCCAATTCCCCAAGTAAACAATACCCACCTTCTCCCATACATCAGATCAACAGTCATGGCTACTCGACCCCAGAACATCGGCATCAAAGCCATTGAAATCTATTTCCCCAGCCAGGTATGCCCGGAATGCGCCAGATCAGGATCCTGCATGTACTCACAACATCTAGTGTGTTGACCAAGCCGATCTCGAAAAGTTCGATGGCGTCTCACAAGGCAAATACACCATCGGTCTGGGGCAGACTCGCATGTCTTTCTGCGACGATCGAGAGGGTGAGTTTGGGCCCTCTTTTTTGCCGTGCCTGCGACATGGTCTCATGCATGTGATCTCATAGATATCTACTCCATCGCCCTCACAACCCTCACCAGCCTCGTCTCGAAATACTCGATCGACCTGAAGAACATTGGACGATTGGAAGTGGGCACTGAGACCATGCTGGACAAGAGCAAGAGTGTGAAATCAGTCTTGATGCAACTCTTTGAAGAGTCTGGCAACTTCAACGTCGAGGGTGTTGACGCTTATAACGCATGCTAGTGAGTGTCTCCCTCCAAGAAAGCCATTCTGGATGGTCGATGTTCTAACAAGATTATCAGTGGTGGCACCAATGCCGTATTTAACTCCGTCAACTGGATTGAATCCTCCGCGTGGGACGGACGGGACGCCGTCGTTGTGGCAGGTGACATCGCCCTCTACAAGAAGGGCAACGCTCGCCCGACTGGTGGTGCAGGCTGCGTTGCAATGGTCATTGGCCCAGATGCCCCCATTGTCTTCGATGCGGGTCTCCGTGGCTCCTACATCACCCATGCCTATGACTTCTACAAGCCGGACTTGACAAGTGAATACCCCTATGTTGATGGACAATTCTCCTTGAGATGTTACACAGAGGCCGTTGATGCGTGCTACAAGGCATACAACGCCCGCGAACAGACCCTGAAGTCCCGAGCCAACGGCGCCGCGACTAATGGTCACGCCAATGGCAACGGTGTCCATGAGGAGGAGACGCAAAAAGCACCCCTCGACAGATTCGACTACATGGCATTCCATGCCCCAACATGCAAACTGGTGTCCAAGTCATATGCTCGATTGCTCTACAACGATTTCTTGCAAGATCCAACCCATCCTCAGTTCAAGGAAGTGGCTCCTGAGCTACGAGACATTGATTACCAGGCTTCTTTGACCGACAAGAATGTGGAAAAGACCTTCATGGCTCTGACGAAGAAGCGATTCAACGAGCGAGTACAGCCTGCTATCCAGGTTGCAACCATGTGTGGAAACATGTACTGTGGTAGCGTTTACGGCGGTCTTGTTGGCTTGATCAGCAATGTCGCGCCGAAACAACTGTATGGCAAGCGACTGGGTATCTTCAGTTACGGAAGTGGTTTGGCCAGCTCCATGTTCAGTCTCAAGGTGGTTGGTGATACCACTGAGATGGTGGAGAAGCTCAACTTGCAAGAACGATTAGACGCTCGCAGAGTCGTTGCACCCGAGGTCTATGACGAGATGTGCATGCTCCGAGAGAAGGCACATCTCAAGAAGGACTTCAAGCCAGCTGGTGAAGTCGACACCCTGGTGAGCGGAACCTACTACTTGACCAACGTTGATGACATGTACCGGAGGAAGTACGAGGTGAAGGCATAATCGATGTTGGGGATAATAGCGGGAGTTGTGTCATTCCTGCACCAGATGCTTCGTTTCACATTCCAGGCGTTACTTTTGGTTGGTCGCAATGCTAGAGAGCTCTTGATAGAACGCACAGTTGCATTTGCACAGGGTTTTGATGGGACAGCCGAGCACCGGCCAGGCGGGCCACGATGGCAACTCAACAGCTTGATGGATGTACATAGTTCTAGAGAAAGCTGAAGGTGCATTAATGGATCTGCAGAGATGAGCCAGTCTGCAGAATTGATTACCGTTCATTCGTAAGAAGAGAAGACCCCGGTGGCATGGTGGGTTTTCGTTCGAGGCGTCCCTATTCTCCGAGCCAATGCGACCGAAGGTTGTCGAATTCGAAGTCTGAAACAGGTTTGTATACGGACTAAGTACGGCTCGATCGAGACATTTATGACGATGTCGGATGCGCCTAATGCAACACTCGAGGCCATTCAGGCAGCAACTGACCAGTGAATGACCGGTTTCACATAACAGAACAGAAACCTGAAACATGATTCCAGGTCGAAGACCGTTGTGGCCAGTAGGACCAAGATGGCGGTGAAAGTTGCAAAGCAAGAATGACGTTCTAGAGGAAAAGCTGCATGCAAACGAGGAGGCTGGGGAAGAAATACTCCATTTATCGTGATGTTCTCGTGGAAGATGGCGTGGAATTCTCGTGTCGTGATAAAGCAGGAATATGCAGCTAGGCCCGAGTAACATGACTCACGCGTGACGTCGCATCAGGTTCGTGTTTGTCGGGTCGAGTTGGGTCGAGTTGGGTCGAGTTGGGTCGAGTTGGGTCGAGTTGGATCGAGTTGGATCGAGTTGGAGAAGGTGGAGGATTCCGGGTGTCTTGGGGCGTCGTGGGCGTCCTCCCGGAGGCAAATGGGGCAATCTTCCAGGTCGGAACACAGCCACCGTAGGCGGCAAACCCAGCTGCCAATCAGACTTCCCAGGAGCCCGACGAGTTGAATGAAACAGAATCCCAATTTGGGCCAGCCCTCTGCAGCGGCTATCTCATTCATCATTCCTCACTGCTGATCTCTGCATCGCGCCTCACCCGCCCAGTAGGCACGCGCATCAGCGCGCTCCCGCTGCTCAAACAACCGCTACCGCCCGTTGAGCCTCACAATCTCGAAATAAGTCAAGCAAGCGCCGACACAGATTGCCTCGTGAGACATGGTGAAATGATTCCCTCAGAATTGTTACACCTATTCTGGCCACCTTGGAAACCCGAAGGAAGAATCTGGGAGGAATCTTCCACACCACCACCCCAAACCCCAGCCAGAAATAGCTGCAGTGGACATTTTGTTTCCACCTGAGAGTCTGGCGCGCGTCTTGTGGTTTGGATTCCACGGTTACTATTCTTCTCCCACGCGACGCTTCACGGTAGGTAGACGCAACGCATCTCGGTACCTCAGCATCGGATCTATCGTCAGGCTTGTCTCCGACGTGTTTGTTTCCCAACCCACTGACTTTTGTCGTGTTGCTCCACGTTTCATCTTCGTTATGACCTGCATGGTCCTGTTGGTCGGGCATGATGCTGCCCACCGGTTCGGTCGCATATCATGATCGCATTTATACCTGGCTTCCTCCTCCTTCGACATCTCTCAGCCTTTCATTCTCTCCAGTTGCAAACATCGATAGTCTCTCTATCAATCATTGGCATTTTTCTATTTCCTTTGCTCTTCTACTTTCTTTTGTTAGTTAGACCTTGGTTTATCCAGTCGAGAAGCAGGCCTTCTCGTTGACCTTGGCCATAGACAGCTGCTCGATACCTCACAGCCAAAAGTTCTGCCATGTGAGTACTGTTGGCCTTGCTGCCTGGCTTGCGAATATTGACAATTCGTTCCCAGAATGTCGTTGGCACCATACTATTATAGACCTTTGACCCCTCCAGAGGGTGGTGTTGCTGCTGGTCGGCACGGTCATGCTCGGAATCTGTCAAGCTCGTCCTACTGCACAGTTGACACTTCCCCCGAGTCAGTAATCACTGTTAATTCAACCCCAAATCGATCTCCAGTTCTTCGTCAGCATGGCCCAACGTTGCTGCCGAAGATCAGGACCCAGGATTCCAGCACGGATCCTCGACTGGCACATCGCCCAGCACCCCACAAGCGAACATTTTCAACAAACCAAGTCAAGTATGGTCGACCCCCGATGCATCGCAGTGCTACTGAGCCTGCCGAGTGTATACCCTTGATCTCCCCAGTGTCGAATGCTCCATATTCTCGGTCCAACTCCCTCATTCCATCACCAACTTTCTCCAAGGCTCAGTTGCAGGTTCCAACCAAGAGTCATTCTCGCTCAACATCTGCCTCGAGTATCGACAGCAGTGTCCTCAACCGTTTCGGCTATCCCACCTATCGACAAATGCCAGTCTACGTTTCACAGGCTCAACATACCCCTTCGCCTGACCTGTTTGCCACCACCTACATGCCATACACCAACATGCCAATGCTCGACCCTCCAATCATCAACCTAGAGGGTACATTCGATATGCCAATCGACCTAGATTCGATATCTCGCCCGTCATCCATGAGCCCCCCGCCCATGATTGCTCCCCTATCAACAACTAGCATGCTCAGCTATTTGACCCAACCTACCCAGCCAGTCAATCTGGTCCGACATCTGACCTTTCAGACTGGTCGTGGCATGACCAACCATTTCTGGTGGGATGTCCGTAACGTACGCAACTGGAAAACCTTCTCGCTAGCCACCATGTCGACCATTCCAGATCTTCTCACCTTGCTGAACTTCCAACATGACACAGCTTGTCTTCCTCTGATTAATCCAAATACCTCGACAGTGACACCCAGCTCCGAGGTCGACCTTGCCAACCTAATTTCCAAGATCTACTTCCCCAAAGTCAACGCTGCGACCAGACTCTCACTCGGAAACAATGCCATTTCATTGTATCCAGCCCCGACACCCACCGGGTCAGGAGTAAGCTCAAACGCGTCCAACATTCCGACCTTCTTGGCCAACTACCCCAGTGACAACGATCGCACACTATCCGGATTGCCGCGTGGACGCGTCGTTGGAATCGTCCGATCATTCGACCGCTGGAACACAGGCATGTACCGTGAAGGACCTGCACGCAAAGTCGAATACCTACGCACGCTGGCTCATCTGCAGAAATGCATGCGTGACCACAGCTGCCGCTATGGATTTATCATCACCGAGATCGAGCTCGTCTGTGTTCGTGCCGGTTGCGACGACCGAGGCAACCCGTACTTCGGATTCCTGGAAGTCGCGGAAGCGGTCGAGACCAAGACCTTCACGCGCAGAGACGACCTCGCCACCGGTCGCGTCGAAGGCGAAGTCTCCATGACCGTGACACTGGCTCTCTACTATCTCCTCATGCTGGCCAAGTCAACCCCGCTGCCCGGCCAACCTGCAAGCTTCATGGACGTGGGGGGAGCAGGTGCCCTGTCGAGATCCCGAGTCTGGGATGGAAGCAGTGGCACCGGACTCAATCCCATCAGCATCGACGATGACGACGATGTCGAGGAATTGGGTAAGGATGGCAAGGACAAGTGGATCCCCGAGCCGCAAATGGGCGAGAAGCGTGAGGCGAGGACCGTTCGCGGCTGGGTGTGGCCCAGTGATCCGTGGCATAAGCGTGAAGGTGAACGGGGCGAGCGAGGAGGTGCTGGACGCGGTGGTAGGCGGTGATCACGCTTCTTGATGATGATGAGACGATGATGAAGAAGACCACGCATCCTTTTTAACCGACGATTTAGCACGGTTTTATTGCATGTTTTGGGCTATCAAAATCAAAGGTGAATGCCATCCAGGTGATGTGCTTCATTGGGCATCTTTAAAAGAACTAGTTTTACACGGAAAAAGACAGCAGAGCTGGTTAATTAATAAGAACTCATAGCATTTGAACAGATTTAAATGAAACCCAATATTTTCGGGAAAAGCAACGATCTTCGGTCATGTTATATTGTCAATCTAGTCCCATCTCGTACCTATGACGTGGAAAGCAAAGTCAGCCATTTGTTAAGAAGTATCATGATGATTGTGCGCAAATGAGAGACATGGGGGTTTGTGTGGCTTCGGCTTTCTCAGACTGTTGAGTTTGACATAATTTTTATACTCAGCGACGGAGGAGTTTGACGGCTCCAGTGTCCCGTCTCATCAGTTATCGTTTGAAGTTGGAGCATCATTGAAAGCTTTTTTGGGTGGTGAAAGGTGGTGGGAAGGAGATCGTGGATGGGGAGGAGGAACTTACCTGCTGTGTCGTTCATTCGATAGCGATAGCGTTGGTTGCGAGAGTCGAGCTTGTCACTCGTCCTTTGCAAGTACCAAAGGTCGGGTGTTTGAGAAGTAAGGTGTTTGACAGGTGCTTTGATTTCTTGAAAATCAAGTTGGGAGATTCGGACTTGGCATCGTCTAAGCACGTGATCTTATAGTTGGGCCCCTTGAGCCTTGCTCCTGGTGCCAGCGATGAGGCTCTCCCTCACCATTTAGGCAGTCACCACTCCTGCGGGATGCAAGTCGTAGCGCGGTCACACAACCCCCCACCAAACAGCAGAGTGAACATCTGCCCAACTCAGGCTGGTGAAACACAACAACTACCACAATCTTTCTTCACCCGCTCTTCTCTCTTCGTCGCGACGTTATTCTCACACTCACATCACTGTTGTTCGATCGTCATTCACAATGGGAGGTAAGTTGGACAGTGCACCATCTCCGGCGCAGACTGAACACCAGTGAAGCGTCCTGGTATCTGAGGCTAACAATTGTGTGCGCAACGACAGACTTCCAGACCATTGCTCGTATGCTAGTCCCTGCCATGACCGCAGCTGACCCTTTACCGTTTTCTAACATACCTCAGAACAATTCGTTGATTTCTACTACAAGACTTTCGATACCGACCGCGCACAATTAGCCGCTCTTTACGTATGCCTCTCAACTTCCTGCGAGGCAGCAGTGGACTGATATGGAAATGCAGAAAGATTCCTCCATGCTCACCTTTGAGAAGGAACCATTCCAAGGCACCCCCGTGATCCTGGAGAAGCTCACCGTAAGCCACATCTCGCCGGACGAGAATTGCAGACCAGAGACGTCTAACAGTAACGCAGAACTTGCCATTCCAGAAAGTCCAGCATCGCGTGGACACGGTCGACGCCCAGCCTGCCAATGAACAAGGGGCCATCTTGGTCTTGGTCACTGGAGCATTGATGGTAAGTGAAAAATGACAACAGTGTGCATGAGGTTGTGGTGGTCAAGGCACTGACTGAAGAATGTAACAGGTCGATGACCAGCCACAGCCAATGAGTTATGTGCAGACCTTCCAGCTCGTACAAGCAGAAGGCAGCTTTTTCGTCCAGAACGATGTCTTCAGATGTATGACACAATCAGACTTGATGATATGGATCCGACTGACATTTGCCATAGTGGTCTACCCAGCTCAGTGATCGTTGCATGTCACCGACGCAGAGTTCGGCTTTTTGTTTCCCGGGCTGCTCAATTGATGATGATGCCACAGCCAGGGTGGACAATTGCATAGCAGAAGGCGTACGATTTTGGTGGTAGGAACCAGGAGCCGCACAAGGCTGCACCATTCGCCATAGACACACAGAGATGAGTGTCAGCTAGTGAGAAAATCAATGAGCAAAGTACCTGGTGTCTCATCGCCCGTTCCTCCTGCTTTGCTTAGTTGGTGACAAAGTTACATTGCTTAATCACCATGCTTGACTTGAGTTTGTTGTGTCTCTCTTACTGGCGAGGACCAGTTTTCTTACTCGCACATCTTCAACTTCACCTCCGGCACTGGCCTTGGATATAGAATTGTTGGTTCATTGCCCTTCATCCCTCATCTTCGCGCATTGCATTATGGTGTGTCAAACTAACAGCAGTCTCTTCTATCTCCAAACCAAGCATCATCTGAGACACTATGGATCCAGACCTCGCGGATCGAATTGGGCCAAGCCGCTGAGAAAATGGTCCGAGAGATGGTCAGTGTAGATCCGGCAGAGAGTGGCCTTCTCGACCTGGAGCGAGTCCACTATTATTACCGGTGTCAGTTAACTCCTACGCCTTTCTGGCTACGACGATCCTGATGCCTCTATTATTATCCATATATGCATATATCCGGGAGAGAATCACATTATCCAGCGGAACAGCTCGAAAAGTCTACTGATGGCCGAGAGATTGATCGTTATGGCATAATGCAGAAGTCGAGAGTCTTGCTTCATACTTGTTGATTCGGACAAAGATTTCATTGATGCTAGGTAACTTTGATGAACCCTGTGTTGGAGAGTCCGGTCCGGCTGAATTGTGCGGCTATGGAGAATCGATTAAGGCCAACTCGTTTGGGCATCAATGGATGTGTATACAGCTTCAGCCTGGGATGTGATGAGACAGGGAAAGAGACATGTGCAGGAAAAATAGACGCCTACAGTGATTACAGAGGTTACTCAACGCGTGTCAGATGATACCCGCCGCCATAGCTTGCGCTCTATCCGTACTACCTAGGGAGTTAAGGCTGCTCACTCCAGCACGTGGTCCGGCAGGTCCAATACCGGCGCCGGTATCCGTACTCGGTACAGTGATAAATAACAATGGCTGGCGTGGTGCCAGTGGAATCTGAGTCTGACGCGTTTTCCGAGCCGCCATTTAGTGGTCGAAGGTTGAACTAAACAAGCCCCGGCCACCTGCCAATGCTAAACTCAGGTGCCTGCCAAAACCACCGTTTCCTCCGCCAAACTGTCATCGACGACAACTTTTAATTAACCATCTCTCGACCCCTTTGTCTAGACACCCAACTCCCTCCCATTCCAAATTCACAACTAATTCAGCTCTTACTTCAACATCTTTCCATTCTACTCCAGTACTCTCATCCAGATTGCTAGCGCTCTCGTCCGACCTGACACTTCCAAGTTGGAATTCCTGACTGCCTGACTACCATCTGTCCTTCAATACCCAATACCTGGGACTTTCCGCTCGACGGTATAACGAAGCCACCATGTCGATCGCCGACGAGTTCAGGCAGCGCAATTTCAGTGAGTGCTTCTCCCAAATTCCCTCTCCATGAACATCAGAATTAACGCAGACGCAGGTATTTATGGCCAATGGTAAGCACAACCCTTCGTCTCAGATGACCGACCTCAGGTCATCACTTCTACGCAAGTGGGACGCCATCCATGCGCATCCTACTATCTGCCCGACCAATCCAAGGACCATACTCTCTGCATCAAGTTTACTCGGTTCTCAGTTCGCTGACAATGTCAACGTCAACAGGCTTGGAGTTCTCAGCATCATACTGGGTTTCGCCCTAGGCATTGCCAACCTCTTCCACGCCAGTTTACTTATTCTGTTTAGCATCATCCTACTGTACGTCTCCAGAAGCAGGGACCTTTGTTCTACAAGCTGATTTCAGGGCCCAGCGTTTCCTCCTTCGTCCTAATCTTCGTCGAAATCCCACTCCTTCTTCGAATTTGCCCTACGTCTTCCAAGTTCGATGCCTTTATCCGCCGCTTCACTACAAATTACATGAGGGCCGCAATATATGGTACCCTGTCATTGGTTCAGTGGCTCAGCATCATCATTGACGCCAGCAGCCTGATCGCCGCGGCTGTTGTACTCGCATTCGCCGGTGCTTGCTATGCTCTTGCAGGCTTCAAGCAGCAGGATTTCGTAGGAAGCAAGACTCTTGGAGGACAGGGAGTGGCGCAGATGATCGTCTGAGATCCCAAACGCTTTCAATGATATGACTATTGCCTATCGCAGATGCAACATAACCTCGGATCTCAAATTGAACCTTCTGGCTTGGGAGCAGTACCTCCCAAGGTCTTGCGGAAAAGCACATTTCAATCAAGGTGAAGGCGCCTGGATCTCAAAAGTACGCTGCGGTGTTTGAATGAGAAGACATAACTGGGAGTACCTCGACGGACGTTCAATGATTGAAAGGAAGTCAGGCGAAATGGTGTTTTCCTGAGGACGCGACGATAAGCATTGGATGCAGTCCAGAACTACCTGTAGTATTTCTGAAGGTCATATGGCGTATACCTAGCCATGGCGGCCGTTGTCCTACGCAGTGTATGCTCGATTATCTTGGAAGGCTATGGCTTTCTTATTATGATGGACTCAGCGTCCAACGAAAATGTATTCTAGCCTGGCGCTTACTTAGTCGCTTAAAAGAACGACACTTGCGTATTAATGGTGAAAGAAGAGTGATCAATCTTAGAAACGACCTCACGAGTCATCGGGTAAGCCCAAAGCGGGCTCCGATTGCAAGGTTGCTTATTGCAAATGATTCTCCTCCATGGCTGTGAACTCGGGTCGTGTAAGCAGCTGGACCTTTATCGCCACGTGTAATTATCTGGATGCAATCAAAGGCTAGATACAAGGCAGTCTATATGATGAGCCTTGAGGAAAGAATAAAGGGGTCGTCGATGCTATAGAATTCAAAATGATCGTGCAAACATGTGACAACGAGACGACAAAATTGATCACCGGTGTTTCTGAGTTGACCAAAGTCTTGCGGGTCCCTGGCTTCAAGCGATGGCTGACTATCGAGCTTTAAATGAACACGGGCACCGGTCAACACCTTCTGGGCACAGCGTGCAGAACCATCTCCCATGCCAAGGCCATGTCTGGCGACCGAGGGGCCAGAGAATTGGTTGAAACCGTGGCAATTGGGTGCAGTGCTGGTGCAGCGGTGCCTTGAAACCAACATGTTCCAACGAGACACGAGCGAGACTCGAGAGGAGCTTGCCAGCCTGGTTGAAGGGCAAATAATAATGAGTCGATGAGTGGTTTCAAGAGGCTGAGCCGCCACACCCAAAAGCCCAGTTTAGTTCACCACAGCCTCCCTGGCAGTCGAGTAAGCCCCCTCGCCCTTCCCTTCGGCTGCCTAGCCCTGCAATACGGGCCACTGCTATTTGCGGCTGAGATGTCGGGGTGAGCTGGGACTGGGAGCTGTTTATCCAGACCTCTGATCTTCAACCTTGGTTAGGCCTCCTTAGCCTCGACTGACCCTCCTGTGTCTTGTGCGACAACGACCTAATTAACTGATTTCAACACGTCGCAACAAATCCATCTCTCAAAATCAGGGGATACCATGGACTAACTAAGGCCCGACGCCAGACAACCATGTCACCAGAGACGCCTTGATCGAATTATGGAAAATAAAGAAACCCAACCTTTTCTCGACGTCCCAGTAACTGATGCAGAGAGGGCAAGGGCTCGCGCTGCTGACCAAGAACGTCAACTTTCATCTCAACATGCCAGCAATAACCCGCCAGAACCACGACAGATAGGAGGGCAACTTCAACCGCCAAATAATGGAGCCGTGCCACTACGCTTTCCATCCATTCATGCCGCCGCTTCATTAGCAAGCAATCAACCAACTCCGCAAAACTTCTCCCACAGGAATCCAAACGACGATCGACCGCGTACGAGTAGTTCAACCTGCCCGGTACATGGCCCTTCAGCGACAACCAATCCACCACCTCCACCACCTGTGCCACAAACTGTTAATCGACCGCAAAACCCAACCTGCCCCGTTCATGGCCAATCAGCAACTCGGAATCCGCCGCCTCCAAGGTTCGGAAATGGACAACATGTCTCAACTATCCACGAAGAGGACGAAGAAGATTCCCTACACTTGAGGGATGTAGGTTCACGCCAAACCAACGACGACGAGGGCCGGTTATTACCAAACGCAGGACCAGTACCGCCACTATGGACACCTCTATGGTTGAAGAAATGGTTTCTGGGCGTGTTTGCTCTGGTCTACACGTTGTTTCTTCTTGGTATGGTCCTTCTCTGGTACTATGATAAGAAGAACGATGGTTTCAAGGTCAAAGAAGGAACGAGTCATTATGCTTGGGCATATGCTCCCACCGTTGTCGTCGTCGTGATCCTAGCCACCTGGCGGCTGGTGGATCACAGTACCAAAATCAGTATGCCATTCCACGCTCTCCAGGGCGGCCCTGTCAAAGCTTCGGAAAGTCTCCTCCTCGACTACATCTCGAATTTCCAACTCGTGTCTTTACTAGGAGCCATCAAGAACTCACATATCGCGGTTATTGCTTCAATCAGCGGGTTTGTGTTATTAAAAGTGATTACCATTTTTTCCACAGGATTACTTGTCCTACTACCGACAGTTGTCACACAAACAGGTATAACGATCCAAGCACGAAATTTCAGCGCCGACTCTTTCGATCCGACCATTCCTTTCAATACTTCGACTTTTTCAAGCATCCCTGTATATTCATACTACGCAAGCGTGGTGCAGGGAATGCCATTTGATAATGGTGTGACATCCAACATTGCTTATAGCATAGTGACTGTCGAATCTGATTCACCAATTCCCGATGAAGCAACAATAGAGGGCGAAGTGGCCGCCTTTGTACCACTTTTAACTTGCAAGAAATTAGATGTGCAGGTTGACAGCCCAACTACTGTGGACGACTCCAATGCGGTAGACGCTTTAGCCACCTCACCAAATATCTCGCTGACTATCAAAGCGGGCGATGTCTGCCCAGGAGCATCCTCTCTTCAGGTTCCAGCCGATAACCCCTACACCGAAATTACCCCTGAGACTCAAACTCTGGGCACGTTGCAGCAGATCTTCTGCGGATCAGCCAATGTCACAGAACCAGATGCAAGTGGCCCGGCGGGTTTCTTGTTGACTGTGACGGATATCAGCTATAAGCAAAGCCTGTTCGACAATGCGACCGAGTTGGCAGGAGGCACCTTTACAATTGCAGACAATGTTTCAAGGACTCTGAACACGATCACCAACGTGTTTTGCAATGCGTCGTATACCATAACCCGCGTCAAGCTTACCAACAATACCCGGTTGATCGACAGCAGTCAGGCTGTCTCAATCCAGCCAGCCGGGAACACGCAGAATAGCACATTACCACGACTCTCCGATTGGAATGTCACCAATATATATGCACAGTCATCAATATCCGCAGAAGCATTATTTGGAGATGTGATCAATGATGATACCATTTCTGATTCAAGCGCAATGTTCCAACTCATGGCGTTGACGCAAGGCACGCAGGGTATCGATACCTTGCTAGATGCGGACAGATTGATGACAGCTGCTGCTCAGACATATAACGGCATATTATCACAATATGCACATCAGCTCTTGAGAGCTCCGGAAAGCAGTGACTTGGAAGACGGGACTGTCACTGTGAATCAACCAAGATTGCGAGTCAATGATGTTTCTGTTTGGACAATTGGCGCTCTCTGTGGCGTTCTCGCTCTGTTGTCCATCGCCCTGGTTTTTATTGCACCGAGAAGTGTTGTCCCTAGAAATCCAAGCTCAATAGCGGTCATCGCCATGCTACTTTCCAGAAGCGTAGAGTTGGACAGGTTGTTACGACGAGAAACCGTCCCGAGCTTAGAAAATCAGAAGTCTGCTCTATCTGGTTATGAATTCGGCACAGCAATTGCAACATCAGATGCTGGCCGGATCAGTTATCAGATCATCACCTCCGAGGGTGACCCTGATCCACCTATACGCGAAACAACGCATCTCAAATGGTGGTTACCAATCAGTGCCACCATCCCTTTCCTCGCCATCACTATCACAATCCCTTTGGCTCTTATCGCTGTTCTGGAAGTTTTGCAACGGTCCTCGGAGAAAAATGACGGCCTGTTCACAGTGGCGGATGACAAATGGACTGAAATATATAGTCATTACATTCCAGGGGTTGTGATGCTGATTGTTGCAGCATTAATCAATATGCTGGACTTCAACATCGCATTGTTCGCTCCCTGGGTCAATCTCGCCAAAGGCAATGCAGTCAGCAGAAGGTCCATCTTAAACCATCTATTGGGAAGAACACCACCACTAGCGTTCATGCAAGCGCTCAAGACACGAAACCTAAGTGCAATACTGAGCATACTGGCAGCGACGGCAGCAGCAATCCTGACCGTTGTCGCTTCTGGACTGTACACCGTCGAGCACTTTACTGTTGAAGGACCTGAAATAACGCTTCGCACAACGGATTCCTTCGCCCTCACTTGGACGGACAGTTTCACATCCGACAATGGAGCTGCCGCCATGATGGATCTTATCATGCATCAGAATCAGAAATTTCCCCAGTTTACTTACAAAGACCTGGCTTTCCCAAGCCTTTCCTTGGACAACTCACGCGTGTCTACCGACTCCCTCGCTACAGCGAGCGGAACCTACAGCCAGATGTTGGACGCCCATCGAGGCAATTTGAGGTGTGAGATATTGAGCGCTGATTCTTACGAGATAACAACCGAACAGGCCGGATCGGAGACTGCATATCCGGATGATATGGCTTTCGTAACTGCTACGGCTACGCTCCCTGACTCTTGTCGGCTGGGAGGTTCTACGGGCAACGAATCTGTCGTCGTGTATGAGAATGATTTTGTTCTCCTCCCGGATGGAGAGGCGACCTTTGCAGGAGCTCAGCTAGACCTTTTGTTTGGCGAAAACGCAAGTTTGTATGGAAATTTTGGTGAAGAACGAGGCCAATACATTTCGGACAATCCACCAGTCGGCTGTCCGAGTCTTGCGTTCACCTTTGGTCAATTCAAGTTGGGCAGCGATGACAAAGATCTAGTCACAACCATGATCTGCTACCAAGAGATCATGACAGTCAAAGCAAATGTTACCTTCAAGGCCAACAGTACCAGAATCGACACCGATCGCCCGCCCTTACCTCAAGGGGACACATATACCGTTGTTGACAATCCCGCCAGCAACGAGAGTGTGAAATCCTTCGATTTCCGGATTGAGAACAATCTGGCTCAAGAGATGACACTTTTCACAGGCAGCAACAGTACACCGGCAGCGGATCCTGCTAGCACCGCAACCCTCGACATATATTTCCAAGCCATCATCTATGGCCCAGACAAGGTGGATCCTGCCTCGTTGATCGGAGTTGAAAACCAATCTGTGTTCCAGAATACGGTCAATACCTTCTATGGGTTGTACATGGCGCAAGCCATCTCTGCCAACATGCGCCAGCACACTGAAACCAATAGCACTTCTCGGCTCATTCGTCGACAGAACTCCAATGCGCTTGCCACCTCACCAACCACAATCACCCACCCTCGCCTAGTTCAGCATAAGGAGAGCAAGATTTTACTCCAAGTTCTCTTAGGTCTTATGACCGCTTTGGCTGCAGCAGCATGGACAACCACGAAATTCCGTTACGTGCTACCTTGCAACCCTGCCTCGATCGCCGGAACAATGGCTCTCCTGGCTGGTAGCGACCTCTGCTACGCGACTGATGATGGTATTTGTGAGTGCTGCGGCAAGTCACGGCGGAGGAGCTTTGGAATTGATAATGACGGTCGCCCCGAGAGCATCCATGCTGGACCTGAAGATAATCTCTCTGATGAAGACAACGATCGACAGCAACAGATACCCGAGGGTGCCGAGTGGATGCGATCTGACCAATTCAAGAGCTTGTTTGGTGGGAAGAGATATAGTATGGGGTGGTGGCGTGAGCGACGAGGAATTGGTAAACGAAAGCGATTCGGCGTCGACATTGGCGAGCGTGCAGATGGAAATGATGATCAAGACTGGGAACTCGGTGACCGCCGACCTGATGGGGCCGGGTTTGAGAACTTCATGATGCGCAACCTAGGTGGCGGTGGAACTGGAGGTGGCCGCGATGGCAGCCGTGGTGAATACGCCAGTATTGGCAGCGCTCACGGTCGTCGACCAAGTGGCGTTGGTCTTCCCCCTGTTCAACAATCCTTGACGAGGGACGGTGATGTTGGATTTGAATCACCTCGACATGTCCGCGCTCCAAGTGGTGGCGGAGGAGGAACTCAACCAATTCCTGGCTCGGTAGCGCGAAGAGGAACCTCTATCATGGGTGGTGAAGCGTAGGCGTTTAACGAGGTGTCTGTCATGACCTGAGGCCGGTTGAAGAACTGTTTGGGATAGGTTTCCCTTTTTTTGCATTTTCCAAGCGTTGGGATATGTTTCAAACGCTTGCTATGGACCCACAATATCTTTCTTCTTCTTCTGGAAAACAAAACCAAAGCTTTTCTAGGGATATGTCTGGGTTGTTATATACCGAGCGATTGGAGCTGGTTAAGGCAAAGGGGGCATTGTTACACATATATACCAAGATTTTCTAGGAATTTGCATGGATGGTTTCTCTCAATTTCACCTACTCCTCCTGCTCCTTTTTCTCGTGGTCTTGCTTCTTCCTCTACTTCCGTCTTCACTGCAGGATGAGAATACGGCAAGCCAATGCTCAGCCCAGAGGAGAGAATAAGGAATATTATATTCCATTGACAACTTCCTTCAAGGGGGACAAAGTAGAAATGGTAGACAAATTTGAAACTCCAATCTGACACAGCACGCATGCTCCAACGTAAATAACCACCAGCACGTCAATAAGTTTGAGCAAGCCTCATGATCAGATAGTCACCACTATTGATCCCCTCGTACTTCTTCCCGGACTCCTCGTACGTCCCGGGCAATGCCTCGATATACTTGTCGAAGTTCGGATTGCAGAAGTAGGCGATACTGTACCTCGCGGGGATGAGGGCGTCGGGGTCATCTCGCTCGCCGTCGGCGAGAGGTTTGGGCGGCGGCTGGATGACGCGGTGGTTGGTGCTGCGGATGAGGTCGTTGCTCCAGCGCGAGAGCAGGTCGCCGGCGTTGACGACGATGGTGCCGGGGATCGGGGTGGCGCGCACCCAGGTGCCCTTGGGCGACTTGACCTCGAGGCCGCCGATGTCGTCCTGGAACAGCAGCGTGATGCTGCCGTAGTCGGAGTGCTCGCCGGCGCGCACCTGGTTCGGGTTCTTCTTCCACACGCTCTTCTTCACCGGCGGGTAGTGCAGCAGGCGCAGCGTGTTGTCGCCGTCGGACGTGAAGGCGTCGAAGAAGTGCTGGTCCAGGCCCATGCCGAGCGCGATGGCCCGCATCACGTTGACGTGCAGCTCCTTGAGCGTCAGGAAGAAGGTCTGCATGTGCGCCGTGAACGCCGCGCCCTCGTCGTCCAGCGCTTCCGGCCACCGGTTCGGCATCCCTGCGACGCCCTCGCGCCCGATCTCCATCGACTCCTTCAGGTCCGGGTTCGTGCCGCGCAGCTTGGCGATCTCGTCCGGGTCTTGCAGCTGCGTCACTTTTTCCCGGCCCGACGCCACGTACCCGCGGTTCGCGTCCGGCGTCGTCCAGCCCAGGGCGTCTTTCTGGGACTGGGGGCGCGCGAAGAACGATGCGGATTTGGAGAAGGCTTGCGATGTCTCTTCCTCAGGCACGCCGTGATTTTGTAGGTAGAGAAATCCGGAGGTCTTGAAGGCGTGCGAGATCTGCTTGGCCGTCGCTTGCTTGACGTCCGGAGAGCCGTGGAGGAAGAGTCCAAAATCGATCAGTGGCATCACCAGGTCGTCCTGCTCTACGCCCTTTAGGGCGGGTTCACCGATGGATCCCATTCTAGAGCAAGGCTGAAGCGAACCAGGGGCCTGTCGTGGCGTAATATGTGGTGGCCTTGTAGGGCTAGAGATTGCCGGTATGTCGAGGTCTGAGAAGACGTCGAAAAGCGTAGCTGAACTTACTCGTGACCTCTCGCCCTCCTTGTCAACCAGAATGCTTTTCAAGTTAGAATCGACTAGGTAATACTTGTCGCCCCGGAGAATTAAGAGATGGACAATATCAGAGAAGGAGAGATGAATCAACGCTTCAAGTCCTGTTACCTCACCTCGTACTTCACGTTTTCAGTGCAATGGTCAGGCCACGGGAAGGGGAACGAGTGAGCGACGATAAGTTGATTGGAGATGATGGCTGGGACAAGCCTGAAAGGCGGGGGGTGGACAAGGGCCGATAAGAGCAGAACTGTCTTCTCCGATGTGATCAATAGAGCGCTGTCATTCAAGATATTCAACCGCGGAGCGGAGGACGCCGAGGGCTATTCAATACCACCCTGTCGTATATTGGACTTTTTTGAAGAAAACATCTTTTTTATTCATCTATCATATTCAACGCGACTAACTAAAACAAGGACTGTGCAAAACTCAAGCAGGCTCACAAAATAGTGATCGATCTGTATGATTGCGGGACCAAGTTGTCACATAGATTCTGGTTTTATATCCCTGTGCCAGTCAACATACTGCTCTATCATCACCAGCCCATACCATGTCAAATACCACATCTAACCCCGTGGTGGACATTCACACGCACATGTACCCGCCGAGCTATATATCACTGCTTTCCAACAGAACATCGGTGCCATACATACATCAGCCATCGGATCCCAAAGCCGATCCACGGCTGATCATCCTCGACTCCGACGATGACCCGTCGCGGCCAAAATCGTCCAGAGGACGACCTGTTGACAGCACGTATTCGTCGTTCAACAAGAAGCGAGAATTCATGAAAGTACACGGCATCACCTGCAGCGTCATCTCACTCGCAAACCCGTGGCTCGATTTCCTGGAGCCCGAGTCCGCTCTGAGGACGGCTGTTGGTATCAACGACGATCTCGAGCGTGCGTGCTCCGAGAACAATGCCTCAGCCGAATATTCCGACCTCAAACTATATGCATTTGGCAGTCTGCCACTCTCCGCGCCTGCGAAGGATATCGTCTCGGAGATTCAACGCCTCAAGACCCTCCCCCATGTGAAAGGCGTTATCATGGGCACCACGGGGCTTGGGAAGGGATTGGACGACCCGGCTCTAGATGACATCTACGCCGCACTGTCTTCTACGAAGACCATCGTCTTTCTTCATCCTCATTATGGGCTCCCCGCAGAAGCGTTTGGTGGTCCATCTGTTGTTGCGAGGTATGGCCATGTCTTGCCCCTGGCCATGGGCTTTCCGTTGGAGACCACCATTGCCGTGTCGAGGATGTATCTCGCCGGCGTATTCGACCGACATCCGAAGCTTGAATTCTTACTTGCACATTCAGGAGGGACATTGCCATTCCTAGCAGGCCGTATTGAGTCCTGTGTGGCCCACGAGCGAGAATTCATCGCCAACGGTGGGCAGACTCAGGGTCCGCAAAGATCTATTTGGGATGTGCTACACTCTAACCTCTACCTCGATGCTGTAATATATGGCCAGCCAGGGTTGAAGGCGGCGCTGGAAGCAGCGGGAAGCGTGGATCGAATCATGTTCGGAACCGATCATCCGTTCTTTCCACCCTTGGGCGACGAGGAAGGGGCGAAATGGTTGAGCGTGGAGAGCAATAAAGGAGTCATTGGAGACTCATTCCCAAACGACGAGGAAGCCAGAAGGAAGGTTCTGGGTGGAAATGCAGTCAGAGTGCTTGGCCTTGACTTATGATTTGTGTGGAATAAGTAATATCTGTTTCCCCTAGAGATAGTACAATACAAGGCATCCCCATCCAGCAATGGAGAGTCTGCCTCCAGCTTGAGATAGCAGCAAATGAAACGTTCAATAACAGACCACCATGCACCTTCAAAATGATCAAGTAGATCTCTGACCAGATAAAATACCCCAGCCCAGAATGTCCCAAAGTTGCGCAACAAAAAAGTCCGCTGGATCTAAAGCTCGTGTCGCCAAGCTTGTTGACTTGACATTATCAGTATCGTCTTCCGTGTCCGTTCGTCTCAAAGCTTCCCCAAAGGTATCATCATCATCTCCAAATACTCCTCGAAGTAACGTGTGCTGAAGTGTTTGCTTGAGACCTTCCTGGAGACGAGATCCTTTGAGCTGATTCCAGCTGGCCGGAAGGAACTGAATCACAGATTCATGCGACATGGCTTCGGTATTGGCACACGTGTATGTCATGGCTTTCCGCAGGACATTGATCAACCACGGAGCTTCGAGCTTGGCGGTATCAATCGCATCTTTTGTGTTCAGATGAGCAACGTGTAATAGTCCCACAGGAGGACAGATCCCGCCTCCCTCTTTGGATGATAATGTGGAGTCAGCAAAGATGAGAACAGCAAGCGAAGATCCAATATGGTCGAGAAGTGAGCACATCAAGCCCTCAAGTAGTTCGGCGTGTGCTGGCTGAGTAACATTGAGAGTCGTGATCATGCTGACCAAGACGCGTACGAGGACTTTGTATTGTCTGTCGTGGATGGCAGCCGTGTGCTCATCATCACCAGCGGTCTGTTCCCCAGTTTTTGTCCTTGTAGGCTTCTTCTTCAGCCTCACCTTCTGTTGCTGCCGAACAAGTTCATCAAGAGCTGATTGATGTAATTGACCGAGAAAAATCTGGAACAGTTTGACAATCATCGATACTCCGGGAGATGGCTGATCTTTGCGTGATCTCTCGGACATTGCTTGGAGAGAACGAAGAATGGTTGGATATGCCCGTTGAAAGACACTCGTGATTTCTTCTAACAGCTTCAAGGTAATGGCTTCATTTCTCCTCGCGTCATCACATGCAATCTGTGAGACGAGATCACCAATAGCCACTGTTAGGCTTTTTATTCCCAACAATATTGATGGCGTATCGGTTGCGCCCAGTCGAAGAGCCGTGGCGAGGTCGAAAATGCTCTGAACGAGTGGACAAGGTTCTATAGTGTTTAGTACATTTGAGACAACTTGAGACGCATCTGCAGCTTACTGATCTCCGTTCCAAGTTCGTGATCCAGATCATGATCAGAGCTCAAGAGAGAACCGATCCTCTTTCGTTTCGACGGAGTCGCTGTGCGGTGGTCCTCGCTGGTGTCGAACTTACGTTTTCCCATGGCCGTGTTCACATCCAGCTGCTCGGATTCAACTTCATCTCGGACCATGTGTTCCTTCTGTCGAAGTTTCATGACCTCACTGCGAAGTCTCAAATTCTCGGCGTGTGAACTCTCGAAAGCATGCTTCTAAAATACTCCAGGGTCGACACCGTAAGTGACAGAGAATCCATCTTCGGAATGCTTTTTGAAAATGGCTGTTCGAATTAACGACACATATTCTGGGTCTATCAGTGGTAGCAGCAGAGTTGGAGTAGCAAATTATCACCTTCAATGGATAAATGGGCTGGCTTCGAACGGTTGAGAATTAAGGCAAGTGCAAGATGGGCTGAGCTCGGTCTAGGAGACATGCTGTTTCGAAATAGTTGATCACGCACAAGACATCTCTTATACTCACTGCTTGAAAACGCGATTGTGATCGAGAAACACGAATTGCGGGAGAAAACTTGATCAACAGGGCATGGCAAGGAGGAAGGTGCGAGCATGAGCATCAACACTCTTTGTATCACACTTGCCGCATCTGCACATCCTATCACTCACTGCTACTAATAGCGCTGAGTCACTTACTCTTCTTTTACACCCCTGAGATTGTTTTCCTATGGCATTCCATTCCAGAAGCAGGAGGGATCCTCAAATCTGAGAGCGATTGAGTTGAAAAGGCTGCATACATGGTTTAGTGCTTCGCCGTATTTACACTACCAAGCGACTTAGGTATTTCCGTTTCATTGCCAGCCTACGACGTATTCTTCACCAAATCTGATAACATCCAGTATTTGCCTGTCTGATCTCACAGCCCGCTCGCTATCATGGCGCCGGCAGGCAATTCAGATATGGCCACCGACTATTATGAGTTGCTAGACATCCCTGCGACTGCGACCGAGTCAGAGATCCGGCGCGCCTACAGGAAAACCTCGCTTCTCTACCATCCTGACAAGGTCAAACCCACCCCGGAGAATCTAGACAAATTTCAACTACTTCAGACAGCCATCAACATCCTCACAGATCCCACCGAGAAGACAAAATATGACCAAACTCGTGCCGCTAAACTACGGCGACAGGCCGAGACTGCAGCTCTCGACAGTCGGACCAGAAAGATGAAGGAAGATCTGGAAAGGAGGGAAGCGGAAGCCAAAGGCGGCGCCCCCGGATCTGTAAATGGCACCAAGAGATCATGGACCGACAGGGAGCTTGAGATCAAGAGGATTCAAGAGGAAAACAGGACCAAACTCGAGGCGTTCAGGCAGAAAAAAGTGCAAGAGGCAGAAGCGCGAGCTCACGCCGAAGAAAAACCTTCCGAGGATATTGATCGATCCATTAAAGTATGCTGGGTGAAAGAGGGTGAGGGCCTTGACATCGATCAAGATGCGCTGGAGGAGAATTTCCCTTCTGGTGACGTTGAGGACATCATCTTCCTGAAGGACAAGAAGAGGCGCTTAGAAGGTAGGGACAAGAAAATCCTGCTAGGTACCGCTGTCATTGTGTTTAGGTCTCTTGCCATCGCGAAGAAGGCTGTTGCACAGGGCACTTGGGAAGGCATCGAGTCGCTTGACTGGGCTGCAGGAAAAGAGCCAGGAACAACTTGAGGTGGACGCTGTGATCATCGTCACGATGACCATTCCTCATTCCAGGCCGTGCTAATAATGGCTGACATAATTTACGGCTGGCAAGACCCCTCCCTGGCTAGATTCTTTCCCTTGCTCTCCTCGAGGATTCGAGCGTGGAATTTCAGATGTCAACATTTTGACATTGACGAAATCCAGGGAGCCTGACACAATGGTGAGTGCCAACCTCGTTGCTGAGGGCGGCCTACAGCCACACAACGTGTCCTGAGCCTCTCGTGCTAGGTCATGAGCAGTGACGCTGCCATGCCACAGCCAAACTTGAGCGTTCATGAATCGCAAAGTGACCATCAGCTGAGTAAGCATATGAATCATGTTTACCACTGGCACGAGAAGCAACACTCTGATCCAGAATCATGGGTCACACATGACTCCCAGTTAACGCCATTGCTTTGCTTCAGTGGTCTTTTTCTCAGCTCACTTGCCAAACCGTAACTTCCTCTGCTCAACGTGCTGAGGTGATTCCAAATGACTTATGGCCTTGATGAGCTTCAATGATACACAATTCTACAGGCAGCAGTTCAATCCAGATCTTCATAATCTTCTTTATCCTCATCCCTCAGCTTGGGCTTCGCCTTCTTCTCTTTCCTCCGTAGACTCTGCTCGACTCCATCTCTCAACCACTGGGGCACAAAAGGCTTGAGCATCACCTGCTGTTTCTCCCCATCGGTGCCCTCTGCACCCTCCACTTCCCACTGCACCTTATATTCCTCGGCCGGGTCGAAATTCGTCCTGTCGGCCGTCAACTGGATGTCAGTCATCATCTCCAGCCGACACAGCGCCAGGCCAATATTCCCGATCCCGGAGAGGTATTTCCCACTGCTGCGGCCGCGGCCACGTGCATTTTCTTTGGAGATATTGGACTGTGGAGGTGGCGAAAGGAATGAGTGGTCCCCCTGTACATATTCTGGTAGCAATTGAGACTCCGCCGGCTTGTTCCCTGCACTGTAGAGCTGGACGGGTAGAATTCGTTTCCGCACGACGCCGGTGTGGTGCGTCCGGATCGTGAGTTCCTGGCCGAGATAGCAGCCCTTGAAGAAATCGATGCCGCCAAAGAAGTCAATGTTGCTCTCCTGCGGCAGCGCACTGGTCGAGATGATCTCCGACTGTCCCTCCGCAAAGCCGTTGGTCATGCGGTGGACCGTGTACTCGTCCAACGTGGCTTGCTGGAATCCATTGTGCTGCAAGTGGGTGAGAAACTCCGATGTGGTCTGCGTCTGGTCGACCCATCTCGTGCCCATGCCCGGTCGAGGATCTTTCCCTCCGGTACGTCCTGTCTCGTTCAACCTTCCATCCACTTGCGGTTCATCGACGCATCCCGGCCATGCGAAGAAGACTGCTTTCTCCGCCGGGTTTACCTTGGCCAGCTGGAATTTCGACCGTAGCTTGTGCTTGCGGAGATGCTTGAGAAGCTCGCCTGCGCTCTCCGAGTCTACCTCTAAGAACCACTCTTCACCGTTTCCCTTTCCTGGTGGATAGACGAAGACATCGTTCAAAATGCGGCCGTGGGCGGAGAGAAAGGCCGTGAAGATCGGTCTCGTGCTCCCGGTGTCTAGAATCTTGGCGGGGATGATGTTATGGAGAAACTGTGCGGCATCCGGGCCAGCGAGGCGGATGAGAGTGCGGTTCGTCAGTTGGAGGTATTTCGTCTGGCTTGATGACGGTACTTTAAGGCGACGAGAGCTGGCGAAGCTGCGGGACTGCGTTGGTCTAGCTCGTTGAGCTGCGATGCGACATTCGGAACAGATGAATGGCCTGGAGAGGTTTAATCTTGCGATCGCAGGCATGGTAGGCTGAGGAAGGTAGTTCAGGATAGGAGAAAAGCAAACAACGATGGACACAGTGCATTGGTACTGGCTCTGGCAGTGGAGGATGGCCCTGGATGGAGTTGAAGATGTGATGTGCCGCCTCAGTGGAATCCATCTCCAACTATTTAATTCTCAAACCTCGCGCTCGGAACTCCAGCCCCGCGTTCAGACAATCATCTTTATTAGTACACCATCTCCCCCATACTCTACATCATCGGAGAAATTAATCTTCTCTGAGGAGAATGCATCTGCATCTTCTAAATCAGCCTCAGCAAGAGCAATGGGCTGTGCAAGCGAAGCCGCCTTGTCCTGGACCCATGTCACAACGAATCGATAGTGAGTATTGATCGTCAAAGTGTTTCTGCACGAGCGGCACCATCTCAAGAACCTTTGCAACCTAATCGTTAAGCCAGTGGGCATTCCGAACGATAGCTGAGCATGTAGGTATTCTCGCCTTGCGCCCGCCTTGATAGTTGGTTGGAAACACTTATCATGACTGCTCATTGTCGAGGCCCGTATCTTGCTCTGGTGTATTTCTGCATCAAAGTCATCCACCTCATCCTGGCTTGACGGGTTGCCCCTGGGTCTTCAATTACAGAACAGTATGTATACATCAATCTTCAGTTATCAATTGTCACGACCTTATCCCTATCGTTGGTTCACCTACGTCGTCTTCCTTGGTGGTGGTGCTGCTGCCATTGCGCTGTTTTCAGTTATTAGTCTTGCGGCAAATGGCTACACCACGAGGTTTGTATGCCTGGGATGAGATGTCGTGTCGTGTCAATATCGCTGAAAGCTGGCAGTGTGACGTTCGTCAATAGTCCCAGTTCGAACCTCAGATCACATCAGGTAGTTGGAGTAAGCTCCAAATGAACAGAATCGAGTGTAACACGCCACAATTCCAACCCTGTATTTATAGATTTCAATGATCAACTTCTCCCATATGTGTCTGGCACCGGCACCGGAGGTTTCAATTCATTCGGCTATACGTTCTCTTAGGGGGACAACTAGAGTGTGTCGAATAGTCTCACTCCAACCGTACGAGAAGAGCTCAGCACAAGCACCTGGAGCAATACCTTTGGGAAAGACGTTCTGGCACACGACTGGTTGCATGTTCGTCCTCTTGGTGGATATGGCAACGAAACTCGCGTCACCAATCTTTCCGACACCTTCACGTCTGTATCACTGTACGCCGATGGCCTTGCCAGATCAGGACGTGCACTCATCCTAACCGACCTAGGTCAATCCAGTCCGTCCAAATTCTTCGCCAGCCCTCAGAAGACAGTTGACTTGATCAACGCGACCCTACAATTTCACCAAGAGAACTTGGCAACAGCAAACGCCACATTATACTGGACTCCGATCTGCAATGTCAACGACACCGAGTCTCTCCTGCATCCAAAGTCGCTCGACCCGGCCGCTTTCTACGGGTGGACTAACACGGGTATCCCGCTTGTCCAACCAGCCTACATATCCACGCAGTATCTCTGCAACGTGACCAAGATGAAGTCGACAGCCTCAGTCATTTTCAGCGTGATTGTGGTGGACCTCGTCTACTTGCAGGCTTTGTGGGCGCTGCTGAACTGGGCCGTCACAACACCTCTCCAACGCGTAAATAGTGATGCTATGTACTGTGCAGGATATGCGAAGGGGCTCGCTGTGGAAGAGGCACATGTGGCCAAGGGCGGTCAGACAGTTGTCACTGCTCAAAGCGCAGAATCACAGCTGCAAGACGAGCCGCAGCCTCCAGTAAAATGATACGGTCCACTGTATCGTCTACCTGGATGAAGCGGTGTCACTAGATGTACCCTCGGCTGCAATGATTCTTCCGGAAATGCCCCTCGCTCATAGCGTTGTGTGCGCCATCAAGAACTGTATCTCAACGCATCTTAGCGGTGCGCGGAACCGATTTCTAGGAACTCAAAATCTCTCGCTGCATGGACCGTTCAGCTGTTTAAGAAGATACAGCAATGTCACATCTCCGTATCTCTTGACCTCTTGACGTGATGCCAATCACCACCGTGACCCTGTTCCACCAAAGTCGATGGCATAGAGGAGAGGCCGCATACTACGAAGCATACCATATTAATAGTAAAGCACCGCGAACGGCATGGGCGATGTGAACGTAAGTCGAGGGTGATGGAAGCCCAGGTGAAAGAGACTGGGTGTTAAAAGCATCACGGTCGGAGGTGCTCTGCGGCGTGATCTGCCAAGGAATAAATGGACATGCCGTGCAAGTTCTAAGTACTTAGATAAATATCCAGTACCCTTCACCCACCTTGGTGGCTCACCCCCACACAGAAAGACATACTTCCACCATTCGCCTATTGTCTTCTAACAGTCACACGAATTGACAGCATTCGACTCTATTCGGGACCGCAAAGTCTCAAACCGCCCACCGAGTCAGTGGTTTCGATTCCTCTACCACCATTCCACGGCCCCTCAACTCCAAAACCCGGGGAAACCAAAAAAAAGTGTCCCGCCGTGTGATCGCGCAAAACCCAGGCCTTGTGTCTCCTTCCGCGAGGGAGCCACCAAGCTTGCAGGGCCGAGGGTCACAAGGGCACACAATCTAAGGCTTCCCAATCATGACTTACTTTACCGACCTCAACACCTATCTGCACCGCAGCTCTCAACTCATACAAGCCTACCCCTCCTCGCGCATCACGACCAAATATTCATTACCCAAGAAACGCAGCGGCAAGGCCGACACCAAAGCCACAGAGAAGAAAGATGCCACCACGGCGGCGGACTCAACCGGAGCCACTCCCTCACAAACTAAGAGGGAGCCTTCTGCGATCCTCACCCTGAAAACATACCACCCAGACTCCGGCATATGTCTGAAGTACAAAACCGACAAGGCGGCCGAAGTAGGGCGGTTACTGGCGGGGCTGGGTCGACTTGCAAAGGGAGAACTGATAGAATTGCCCACGGCAGCAACAGTGGCGGCTGCTGCGAACGACGCGGATAAGATGGATATCGATAGTGGGGTGGTGGCTTCAGAGGCCGACGCCAAGGTCGTCGTGGCGCCTCCTGCTGCGACGCAGACTGCAAGTGGTGGGGGTGGTGGTGGTGGGAAGGGGAAGAAGAAGAAGGGAAAGAAATGAAAGGAACCGGGGTGACATGGACAGTCGTCTGAGGATCTCCTTCGAGGGGCAAGGCTGGTGGTACGCTGACATGCTCTAAGCTATGATCGGTACGATAGAGAGCCCTGGCGCGCAAGCATTGCTCTATCCAATGCTTGAGCCAAGTTGGTCGATTCTCAGGTCGATGCCGAAGCGCTGGCCTCGCAAAACAGCTCTAGAGACTAGAGGAGCGAGATCATGCTGCTCAAAAGTGGTAGGCTGGCCTCATATCAAAGGAATGGCCAACCGAATGGCCTCCTTCTGCTTGGCCAAGTATCAAGCATACCTTCAGGGAATTCGGATTTTATATACTCGTAAGACCACAGGATGAATACAGAGCTCCAATCATCAAATAGATCCGCTAGGGCAAAGGCAGAGAGCAAAGGCAGAGAGCAAAGGAAAGGAGCAATGGGCAGTTGAAATGGTGGCTATGATACCAAAGGTAGTCGAGAACTAAGTCGAATGTCAAGGAAATCTACGAGACAAGCGGGAGGAGATATTTATCATGCTTTTTCTATCTCTAGAAATACTCTGTGTTTGTTCAGTACAGCCATGGCACTCGTCCATGCAGTGCAGACAACTCCCCGTGTTAAGCCAAAAAAGGGAACCATTTGTGAGTTGAGCTGACCTGAGCGACGCGTGTGAACAAACCCCATTCTCGCAATGGATTCCGGTAACAAGTTTTTGGCACAATCCACAAGCCATGCTCAAGCACCAGTGAACATCCCGTGCGAACCCCTGGTGATGGTATGAAGGGTATAAACAAACAAGAGCAAAGAAACCTCATATGCTGCCATTACCTTCCTGACCCTCGTGCTCCCATTAACGCCGTCAAATGATCATCGTGAGAAACTGTATGTACAAGTCTAAAAGTCCTCGTCAAAGTTGATGCCATTGCTGTCATTCTCCGTCTTCTCCTCGCCAGGCGTCGAGGCTTTCTCCTCTTGCTTCTTGGTTCCTGACATAACACCGGCCTTTTGGTAGTCTCCAACGCGTTTCTCGAAGAAGTTGGTCTTGCCAGCTAGCGAGATGTTCTCCATGAAGCTGAAAGGGTTCTGGGAGTTGTAGAAACGCTTGTTGCCCATGGACAAGAGAAGGCGATCAGCGACGAACTCAATGTATTGTTGCATCAGCTTGGCGTTCATGCCGAGTAGCGCACAGGGAAGGGCGTCAGTCAAGAACTCCTTCTCAATTTCAACGGCTTCAGTGATGATTCGCTCAATGAGCTTGGGCTCTGGCTTGTGGTTGAGGTGCTGTAGCAACAGGCAGGCGAAATCTGTGTGCATACCCTCGTCACGGGAAATCAATTCATTGGAGAAAGTCAAACCGGGCATCAGGCCTTTGCTCTTCAACCAGAAGATGGAAGCGAATGAGCCGGAGAAGAAGATACCCTCGACGGCGGCAAAGGCAACAAGACGTTGAGCAAAAGATGAGTCTTTGTCTGAGATCCATTTCATGGCCCAATCTGCTTTCTTTCGGATGCAGGGAATGGTATCGATGGCATCAAAGAGATATGTCTTCTGTTTGGGGTCATTGATGTATGTGTCGATCAACAAGCTGTACATCTCGGAATGAATGTTTTCCATGGCGCATTGGAAACTGTCAAGGAATTAGATCATGCATACTCGAGCGGGATTGCGAGATCAAGAGACGGTGGGATGGATCACTGGACAGGGTCCAGGAACATGTGGGTAGGGATAGGATTCATAGTGACTTACCCATAGAAGCATCGTGCCTCTGGTACCTGGACCTCAGTGCTGAAACGTTCTAGCAGATTTTCGTTGACAATGCCGTCGGAAGCTGCGAAGAATGCGAGGACATGTGAAATGAAGTATCGTTCATCGTCATTGAGGCGGTTGTGCCAGTCGTGAAGATCCTTGGAGAGGTCGACCTCCTCAGCTGTCCAGAATGAAGCTTCGGCACGCTTGTACATGTTCCAGATCTCTGTGGATAGTTAGAACTAGAGAAAGACGCGTCGTCTGCAGGAGTGACACGCACCATGATATTGGAGAGGGAAAAGCACAAATCGGTGAGGATTCTCTTTCAGAAGGGGCTCCTCGGCTTCTAGCTCTTTGATAGTCTTTGCAACAGGTGCAGCTGGTTCTGTAGCCTGAAGTTCTAGGACAGGTTTTGTGGCAGTGATGTCTGTGGGAACAATGGACTCAACAGCCTCAGGCATGTTCTCCTTGTTCTCGGGATTGAAGTCCAGCTTCTTGACGGGACTATCTTTCATCTTAAGGGTCTCGAGGCTTGCAGCCGCCTTCACGTCGAGTTAGTCATCGTGTAAGTCGAGGATTGAAATCTATGACGAAGTGGCGAACATACCTGCTTTGACGGCGTGATCTGAGTAGTCATTGTTGACGGGGTGGATGTCAGGATGGAGAGGAACAAAGAGAAGTGTTATGAACTATGAGGAGACAAGAGGTAAGTGCTGTTTGTTGAGTCGTGGTTAGGGAGGAAGATGGATTGAAAAATCGCGGACAGAAGAGGCACTTTAAAGTAAATGGAGCACAAACACGGTTACGCGCTAGACGTGTCGCGCGTTCAAATCATCGATCCTTGCTCAGAGCTTGCCCTAGCAATTCACTTGCTGGAAATGCCCCACCAGACCACAACAACTATTGCTTCACTCCAGTTCCAAGCTGTGCCTCTATGGTGTCAATGAATGCTATTACGATATGCTGATCAATCGGATTGGAAGTCCTCGAACTGTAAATCTTTGTCCAGCACCAAACGGGGCGGTTGCCTGCATTTCCCGGCATCAAGCGACGACGAGCATCTGATAATTTTGATCTAATCTAATTTTATCAGATCATCTGTGGTCCTAGTGACGTATGTACGTGAATCTTCGAACGCGTCCGACACGTCTCCCAGCCACTTTGAGCCCTTGCACGCCTTGGCCATAGAACCTCTCATGAGTGAAATTTGATGTCCATGCTCAACGCCAATGACTGAGTAATACAGCGTTACATGCTCCATCAACTGTATCATCTGCTCCGCAGCTAGTCTTGGAGCCCCTACAGTGGCAAGAACTCACTTGGAGTCGGTAGAACATCATCTATTGCACACGGTATGCTGCCTCTTACTTTCAAGTTCAGGCCAATCCCGGTCGTATCGATCTAGATAAGGAGGACGCTGCTGAGCAACGGGGTCTTGACATTAGGTACCCATATAAAACACTTTCGAATAGCATACCATCGAACGAATATGCCTTATATTCTCCCTTCCACAGGCTGAATGAAGTGCTTCACCATTGCCAGAATCACATGGAGATTCTTACAGAACACAGCACAAACGACAACATACAGGGGGAGAATTGGTAGTGGCACAGATCTTTATTTCAGCAACAACGGAGAGACACAGTGTTTCAAGAATTCGCGTGATAGAACTAACCGTCCAGCCTTCTGGGTGCCTTCCTCCCGAGCCTTGCTGACATAAGCACTGTGAACAATTCATCCCGATATCGGACCTTCACAAGAATAGTTTTTCCACACTCCTTATGATGTGTAATATTTCAAGCAGGTAGACGTATTGGTGATATCACTTTGCACTTTGAATTTGAATATTGTATAAGTACATGATACACAAAATGCATCGCTCGTCTTATTGTGGAGCGCAAGGCGTAGCTCGTGTATTTCTTGACTCGACATTCTAGGTAGATACCAACGCCATAGAAACAGCCTCCACGCTAGAGATACGGTATCACTATTGATTAGCAATGGTCGCTCGCCTCGAGAATCACACCCTTGCCCTCTCCTACTATGCATAGAAGACCCCAAATATGCCTGCCGGAAATGAGATGGAAAATTTGATCAGATCTTGTCCTTAATCGACTCTGGTAATATTCTGTTCTCAATACCACGGACAAATTTATTGGTCTGCTCCGCCAGGGTCAGGGTCAGGATGGTATGAGGTAAAATTCGGGCAAGATGAGCTGTAAATCCTTTATAGACGGAGAAGAAACCTTCGGTAGATATCGTCTTCCACAAGCAGTCGAAGATACCACTATAGAGGTTGCCGTGCTGATTGTACATTCTGGCCATGACCGTATCCTATCCTTGGTTAGCACTTAACAAGTCCTCGATGGTGGGAGGTAGTCTTACTGGAGGATGCATGACACAGCAGACGACAAATCCGCTCGCAGCTGAACTCAAGAGATGTAGGGGTAAACCCTCTTCCATACCCGCATGACGTACTAATCTTCTCTTCGCAAAGAAGTATGTGGGTAGTTGGACGGAACTTCCAGCGCCAGTTCTGACCATCGAGGCAGTGATTCCTCGGTATAAACCTTTGACACCCTCACTACCGTAGATCTGCTTGCATCCATCCAACGCGTTGCGATACTTGTGTTGGGTACCGACCGGGAGGAAGGGAGAATAGGACTGCAAACGAGTCTTGATGAGGAAGAAAGGAGAGCCAGCCATGGCACCGAGAATGCCAGAAGCTGCGCCGGAAAAGATATTGACGCCGAGAGATTGGACGTTGGAATCTTTGAAAACAACCTTTGTGCAGGCGGCCCTCAGAGGTTCATAGAAACCCAAGCGGCAGCCATTCAGAAGAATCTGATAGACATAGGCACACCCAAGTCCTCGATAGATACCACGAACGCCCTCGTTCTTGACGATGACACCAACTCCTTGGAAGACACCGGTATATTTCTTGACAGCAATATCTTTTGCCTGTAGTTCTCCTTGCAATTGCAACCTGATCTTGACCGTCTCGAAAGGATGAGTCGCGGTGACTGCGCCGCATGCAGCGATACCTCCAGCAATGAAAGCGCCAGTGGTTGTAGACATGGTTTTTCTTCCTCTTTGTCTGCTTCTTCCTCCTCCTCTCAATCCGACTTCCGCAGGTGTACTTATTGAATGTGAGATGACACTGCGCGCACCATGTTCTTGAGGACTATGATATCACTCAACAGAGGTAGGAGGTATTGTGGCGCGTCAGCCGGTGTCAGATGTTGGGCGCACAGGTATGGTTAAATAATTCAGAAATGAGTTCGGGGGAATTGCAGTCAGAAACCAAAAAAACCCGTGAGTAGCCGAATCTTCATAATTATTGCCATTATGGTACCTTCTAGTGAACGCCCTTAAGCCGGCCGAGGGTGCGAGGTATGGTTCTGCCAGAACTCGAATGCAATGAAGCCCATAGGCTACGGGGTATGAGCAGGTCAAAGGCCTCCAAGCTCTGGGGCAGATTGCCGTTGTTCCGGGAGCCATTTAGACGGGATGGTAGCCGAGAAGCCTGCCCAGCACCACCAAAACCCAGGCAGCAAGTGCCCGAGGCCCAAGTTTTGACACCTATTCTGTCCGTCTATCGGGCATGGTAATAATTGGAGATCATTATGAAAGTTGGGGTAATTAACTCCAACTTCCACCTGCAGTAGTGCCTAACTTAGCCAGCACCACAAATCTTGTGGACAAAAACATATTGGCGCATGCTGTTGATCATTCAAACTTATCAGGCTGCGCGTTAGATGCGATAGTCGTCCTTTCCTTTTCCCTCTTGCTGTCCGCATCTTCCAACCAGTGTAACTCTTTCTCCTGTCTCTGTCACTGCGCAGCCGCATCAATCTCACTGCCAGGTTCGATTTCTAGCGCTGCCAATCATGGCGTCAGGCGCACCAGTCCAGCAGAAGGTGCAAGATGTGATCAAGCAATACCGTCCTGCTAGAGTGAGTATCCCCATCTAATTGCTTCGAAGACGTGTGCTGACCAGATTAGCAATTCCCTGGAACCACGCGCTCGGATGGCATGGAGAGTCGGGTGACCTCCCTTGACTTCGATGACATGGGTGAATTCCTAGTAGCCGCCTCCGACGACGAGACCATGCACGTTTACGATATCAAAGAGGGGAAGCGGACAAAGACAATACCCAGCAAGAAGTATGGCATTCACCTCGCTCGCTTTACCCATCATCCGCGAAACGTCCTTTTCGCAAGCACAAAACAAGACGATTCGTTGCGGTTATTAGAGTTGCACAATGAGAGTTTTGTCCGCTACTTTTCTGCCCACTCTGCTCAAGTCACATGCATATCACTGTCGCCTGGGAGCGACCAATTTCTTTCATGTGGCAACGACGATATGGTGTGTCTCTGGGATCTGAATTCGAGAAGCCCGCAAGGAAAATTGAAACTTTCAACTCCCTATCTTGCTGCCTACGATCCATCTGCCAATGTCATGGCTATTGCCTCACAATCGACATCGTCCGTCCTTATGTATGACGTTCGATATTACGATAAGGCACCCTTTGACACCTTCGACCTTGCCGCATCCGAGAGTCAGTATACACCTTCAACCAAAGGCAGAGCATGGACAAAATTGGAGTTTTCAAACGACGGGAAATACATGCTCATTGGAACTGATTACCACGGCCATTTTGTACTTGATGCATTCAACGGAACACTCAAGTCTTTTCTCGTGGGCAAGACCAGCGGTACAGGGCGAGCGGCACCTGTTTCGACCTCAGGAAAACCCTTAGGCCAGGGAGACGCTTGCTTCAGTCAGGATGGAAGATTTGTGATTGGAGGAACTGGTGACCAGCCCGATCTTCTCGTCTGGGATATGCAGCTTGCAGCAGATGGTGCACAACAAGAACCCTCCGCCAGACTGACAAGTCGAGGCATCAAAAGTGCTGTGGTTCAGTGCAATCCTCGCCACAACATGATAGCCACCGCCGACACCAAAGTCTGTATGTGGCTGCCAGGTGATCAGATCAAAAACCCTGATCTATGAACGAGATGAGCACCTAGGTTGCGATGACTTTTGTCCCCGTCCCTACTAGAACAAAGACCCATCTGCTGGGAAGCCTGCGTCTTTCGGCTTGGCAGTCGTTCACTCCGCCAATTGGAGTAGCCTCTGCTCCGCACTCCGACTTATCGTCATAAAAACTACATGCCTCTTTCAAGGTTTCGACAGCGGTGTCAACGTGTGAAAATTTACCTGCCATATCTTGGTCGCTTTGGTATTAAAGATGCTTGATGACGTGGCTGGGCGGCACTCGTATGTGAGATGTACATTGCGAATCCACCAAGACGTTGTATCAAATGCCTCCTCATCCTTCACCTAGCATTATTCGTCACAACATGTCCTCTAGCGGAATGAATTTTTCCAACCGCAAGGCCGACTCACGCTTTTCGGTAGCTCTTTATCAAAACCTCCGTGAGAGAGCAGAAGCCCTTTTGCGAGAGCTTGACGCCTTTCAAGGGCATGTCAAGTCCCACGGTAGGGAGAAGGAGGTTGAGATCAGGGTATTTAGACGTGGAATCGAATCCGAGGTTAAAGGACTTCAGAACATGGCAACAATTTTCATGTCTGAGGAACGACCTAGCTCCACCACAAACGATGCGTTAGACAATGAGTCACCTCATTTGCATATCCTGAAGAGCTCCAACCTTCCTTTCTACGAGGCAGTATGGGTGATAGCGAAAACTTGTTGTGGAGTGACAGCCTTGAGTAAAAGGTTTTACTCAAACCAACGTCAGATATTTAACGAAACCAAGGGCTCTGCCGCCCCAAACGTTATTCACAAACCGGAGACCTTGAAAAGGCAGAGCCAAAAGGGCGTACTGGTTGACATCGTTGCCGAAAATGGATCACAATGGATTAAAGTTTCCACTATATCAGAGAAGAGGCTTCTCTTCGAGATCGCGAAAGAAGGATGGGAGTCATATGCGGGCGACATATCGGACGACGAATCCGACCGGAGCCAAATATGCGACGCTGATCAACGGCATCATCAACTCGAATTGGTTCGTCTGGCCCATGAACTGCATGCTGCGTCAAAAGCTACCAGGATACAATTTCGGCACCCCCACGTGGTGTTTGTATTGCCAAATATTCAAGAAGGCCAGCTGCGTGATATTGACGCGTTTGTGGCAGATCTACGTGCTACTGGCGCAACAGTGCAATGTTTGTCAGGTCAGGTTCCCATTGTTCTCGACAAGGACAACACGACTCCTGTTCAACCTGCTATCCTCAACAAGCTTCTGCCCGGTCATGATCGAGTGCATCGAACCAACATTATCAACCTGGATTGCACCATTCTTTTAGCCATAATATCTGATATCTCGCATCTACGAAAGGATCAGATTTCTCCAGACTCACACGCCTTGAATGGTACATATCACTCAGCTATAGTGCGGCAGATCGAGTTCGAGGAGTCGAATTCTATAATTCAGGGCGACATCTATCCCGTCCTAACGGATCGAATGCTCCACTGTACTTCACATGCAGCTGAGCGGATGCGAGAGATTGTGCAATGTATGGGCACTCCTTCGGAGTGTGAGCGGGCGGATATCATCCTTGGAGAAGGTAGGTATGCAGACAGGGATGCCGAAAGTTTGAGACAATCACTCCAAGAGCAGTCCGTTCATGCTGTGCCTGGCGACATTCGACTTCCAGTCAAAGTTGTGGCATTTGATGCACAGGATCTCATGACATCTTCGACACCCGAGAGTGCAGGACGCCGATTCTTCCCTCACGGGGTTGCAGTAGAAGTGGCGAAGCTGATGCGACTTACTCCCATCAATCTATCGGTTTTCCTCTACGGCTGGAAGGAGCAGAGTTTGACGTTTACAAGCAATCGTGTAGTGGCAACAGGGCTTTTGAAAGCAATCGATGAGGTCCTTGACCATACTGAACACGAAGAGAATGGCTTGGAGGAGGGACTTGAAGAGTTTTACGGTCCACAGATACACATCTGCGACACGGCAAGGAGCTTGATCGGCAAAGCGAAAAGTAAAGCCCCATCATAGCTGGACCATAGTTCATTGGCAAACGCTGAGAAACTTTCACAGCCATGTGAGAGATAGAAATGAAATCACATTGACAAGTGAATACTCCTAATCAGAGTCTGTCGCTCGTCTTACTCACCTGTGGTGAAATCGAGCCTCAGCCTCACGGTTCAGGCACATGATATCGTACTAGTTACTGTAGATCTGAAGACCCTGGACAAATCCATCCCCTAAGATAATAACCACATTAACATTTGATCCTTGAACACATGACAAGCAGAGAGTGAAAACCGTCAGGGGTAACGTGGTACGTGGCAGGAGTATTTGAAGGCTTGGGACTGATCACCGCGCATTATTATTTAGCAGGTGCGGTGCTGCTAACTACCTAGTAGTTAGGTAGCCTATTAGTGTTGCGGCCACTACTGGCAGTGACTGAACTGAGCGGGTGGATAAGCGCAACGGAAATCGCGGAGCCTGATCTCTTTCGCCCTCAAAGACCACCCTCCCTACCACCCATCATCCACCCATTCATAAAACGAACTGGTCGTTCGAGATACTATTCTACAGCCGGCAGACTCTGCAAAAGTCACTCTTTCTTATCCGGCCTGGTATCCGCGTCTGTTTCTGCGATCGCGTGGCAGATGAACTAAGAGGCCGAACTACCAACTTCCTTCTCCGCCTGCATACTTTTCCTTGTCGTCAAACACACCCTCTACAACGAGGAACACTGTCTTACACTAGTCACCATGAGACGATTAGTCCCGTCATTATGTCTGCTGGCGTACATGACCAGTTTGGTCACCGGAAATGAAGTGAAACTGGCGAGTATTTACTGTCCTACAATCATCATCCGGCTAACCAAAGTCGCAGAAACAAGATGATGCCAACCGGCAACGCTGTTCAGGAATGTACAGTAAGAAAGCCTGGGGCGGCTCGATAGACCCCTTTATCCTCGTCAAATTCTTGCCAGATCATACCGAGGGCGACTCCGATCCCATTGCGAGTGTCATCATATTTGAGTGGCAGGATGAAGGGCTGATTGGGAGGCGCCCACCTGGTGACAAAACATATCTCGAAACCATCTGCAACACCGACACTGTCAAGGCTGGCATGTGTACTACCGAAGAGATAGGCTCCTACATATTACAACCAAATGCCACCGACATCTCCAAGAGCCCGATCATAAATGAAGCGATCCATCTCAAGGATCCGAAGGCCCTCAACTACCCCATCCGTCGTACAGGCTATTATTGCGTCTCTTCGTATGCTTTCTCAAACAACGACTATGGCGCAGTGGTCGAATTCAGGAATGCTTATGGCGAGCTTCCTGCGGCCCAGATAGCAAAGTTGCCCTTCTATGGAGGCCTCACAATCGTCTACGCCGTCTTGGGCGCTTTCTGGGCCTTCCTCTACGTGCAGAATCGCTCTGATATCCTTCCGGTTCAGAATTATATTACAGCAACGGTGATATTTTTGATCATCGAGCAGCTTATGACCTGGGGCTTCTACGACTATCAGAATCGACATGGCAACAATGCTTTGAACAAGGCGTTCATGATTATTGTCTCCATTCTCAACGCAGGAAGGAATTCTCTATCGTTCTTCCTCCTTCTGATCGTCTGCATGGGTTATGGTGTGGTCAAACCTTCTTTGGGCAAGACGATGATTTATGTCCGCATACTTGCGATCGCACACTTCATCTTTGGCGTTGTCTACGCCGTAGCATCGATGGCAGTCACCCCGGAATCCGTTGGACCACTTATTCTGTTCGTGATCCTGCCGCTTGCGGGAACACTGACAGCCTTCTATGTTTGGACCCTTTCCTCACTGAACCTAACTATAAAAGATCTGGTAGATCGAAAACAAAAGACCAAAGCACTCATGTATAAGAAATTGTCATGGTGTATTTTGGGCTCAATCCTGGTCATTTTCGCCTTCTTCTTCGTCAACAGCTTCGCATTCGCTGGAAGCAGTGAAGCCAATTTCATTCCAGACCATTGGCAAACACGGTGGTTTGTCCTTGATGGCTGGCTCAATCTGGTATATCTATTTGATATTGCTTTTGTTGCCTATCTGTGGCGTCCGACCGCAAACAACAGGCGTTTCGCTATGAGTGATGAGGTAAGTTCGACCATCTCCTGAAGCACTTCCGGCAATTTGTTAACTTTTATGGAATAGTTGGCCCAGGATGATGATGGTTTTGAGATCCGCAGCATCGCCGATTCTTTATCCGATGATGAGGAGCAGGGTCGCAAAGATGAGCAACGTGCTGTTCCTCCGACGGGTGGGGCGTCCACATCATTGAGTGACACACTCAACACCTCGTCAGTGAAAAGAGCGGACCCGGCCCCTGCCCTACAAAACAGTAGTAGAGCGCCGCCTCCGCGCCCAAGGGAATCACTTGACGGCGAGACTATTTTCGCGGTCGGCGACGACGGAATCGAGTGGAGTGACGGTGAAGAGGAAGGTGACTCGGATAACGAGATGAGCAAACTAAATCGCAAGGACACGAAGAACTTCACCTAAGTCCATCCGGAGTGGGTGCGAAACGATGATCACTGCAGTGGTGTCTGGCTACGATCACATATCTATGCGTTGCTTAGCCCTCAGCGAGAACTAGCAATGATACTTACTTTTGCACCAACCCCCAGGCTCCGAGCTTCCATGGGCTGTTGCCAAGGTCAATTTGTCCAGCGATCAATCTAGGTGGGAGAATTATATCGGACCCGTGGAAGAAGCCGTCATGATTCAACGAGGATTCAAAACCAAGGGTTATTTTCCATACGATTCTACTGTGCGCATTTCTGGCGCTGTGTTATGTATTATTATACTACCTCGGAAATGCTTGTTTACAAGCTTGCCACGGTGACGTTGGCGCCATCATGATTAGAGAGCAACTATTGCTTAGTGGTTGGAACAGGGAAATGTGAACGAACAGCTGACGGGTATCTTGCGATGTCATCCTTGTGAGAATGTTTCCGCTCTTGTGTTGTGATTATAGAAAGTCGCTCTTCATCCCGAAGCCGGCATTCTCGATACATATACATCGTTCCAACTTCGTAGGAAAGCAGATCGTACGAGATCGGGCTGGCCTTCGAGACCAAATCGTACCGTGGCCGTCACTATCATCGGCATGATCGTTCTCAACCACCAAGCTTCTTCGCACGATCAGCTGCGATGTCGCACATTGCCTAAGAGAGCCATGAGGCATCAATGGTCAGAGCGCGCTTCCCCAACGGGTGGGGAGAGAGGGATAGGCCTTCAATCGCCTCAACGTGGAGGCCAAGACCTTGTGCCCCAACATGGATTCAAGCTTACTTTGATAGCATCGACTTTCTCCTGTGCCAGATCGCCCCGGCCTATCCGTCGCTGCATGTCCTCCATGATAACGGGCCGACTTCGTCCGTTCACGAAGACTCTTGATATTCCCGAGACCGATTAGTCTTAGCACGGCTCGTGGTGTACAGCGCAGAGGAACAATAGTAGGATGCAAAAGCCCGTGCCGACAACAAGGAGATGAACAGAAAGAAGGTGAAAGCACCATGACTACAGGGCCACAAGAAACAGGAACCTACACGTATCTCAAACCCGGGAATTTCTCCTCATACGCACGATTCAAGCTCGCAAGCCTCTCCGCCGCCGCGACATCGGCACCGGCACCGTCAGCACCCTGGTTGAGCTGTGCCTGCTCTCTGCGGCTCTGCTCGCTGTCGACCTTCTTGTCGCCAAGGCGCGGGTGGGCGACGAGGATGGAGTCCAGCCAGCGGGTGTCGCTCTCGAGGCGCGACTCGTACAGTCCGGTCAATTGCTCGCCGACCGCGGCGATGAGGGCGTCGTACGAGTCGAACGAGCGCTCGTGCAGCACGCTCACAGACAACGTGTGAAGCTGCGCGCACGGCTCGAATAATGTGTCGAGGATCTGGGCTCGGCCCTCGGTCGAGAGTGACGGCACGTCTGATATTGCTGGGAGGGTCGTCATTGCTCTTTTTGTCTCCCTTGGTTATCCTGTTTTTGTTTCGGTTTCGGTTTCTGTTGCTTCTCAGATCTGCTTCTGGGGATTGTTTTATGTAAAAGACTTCCGCTGGAGAGATGAAGTCTGTTGGGCTGGACCGTATAATTGAAAGGGTTTTGAGACGGAGTACTCTTATCAGTTGTGAGTTGATCCCCTACATCATCGCCTGGGGTGGGGGAACTGGTTCCTCTGGGATGAACAACGGTCACGTGGGAGCCATGCCATCAGGTTAATCATGCTTCGAGTTCCTGACGCCGGAAGATTCTAGCAATCTGTAAGTTGCACAAGGTTAAAAGTTATAAAAGTAAAGGAGTATTAGTTTGTAATCGCGCGAAGTCTAGACTGATGGGAGAATAGAGACCCACGCTTCATGGTGGCCGCTGAGCTGCGAGGATGCTGCACAGAAGGTTTTGTCATGGACTGGGGTAACATTATGTTTCGATCGATAGTCGGTTAGCCATCTGGCTGAACGCTATTGACCTGCTTACAGAGTAGTCAGCAAGTACCGATACGAGCATTCATATACTCGTATGTACTCCGTGCTCTAGAATCTACGGATAGATTGCGTATGATCAAGACCCATGGAGGCTTTTTCTCGGCTAGATACCGTCACCTGGTAAAAGCCGGTGCGTCAATAGTTTGTTAGTAGCTGGCCATAGAGTCTCCATATGAACCAAATCGATCTTCTAGTACACGTGAATGGAGCAATCCAGTGGGTATAGATCCTGTGCAGAATCTACTCCGGACGCCACGTTGGACGTTAGACACATCCACGAGGTTGACCATTGCTCGGACCATTTGAGCGGAGATGAAGGACACAATAATTGGCATTATCTCAGTCTTAGGTCCAGTTGAAACGTGAGAGACGTCTCTGTGAGATGGACAAGCATAAGGGATCTGAGGAAAATTCCCCGGACGTGATGATCAATGACAGCTGACTGACATGAATCCTAGCGCTCCTTTCCAGTCCACCAGGTCCACAGTATCAGCTCACCCTTCTTCACTGTCGGTGCAAGTCAATTCACCTACTTACTGTTCGATCGGGCTGTCTCCGGGCTCTGAGAGATCGGCCAAGATTGAGTCACCGACCGGACTACCCGCAGAAGATACTCCGTAAGTGGTGTCCAGCCAAGTTGAGATGCTCTTAGGGTTTGGACAATGAGTTTTTCTGAATCTGTGAATTGCCCAGCACCACCAAAGAAAAGCCCAAAAGGTCAAATGGAGATGCAAACAGGGTCACCCCAGCAAACATAGTCCAGGATCAAGCGGTAGACACGGGAAATTGGCCACTGATGGTCGAATGAGGCTCGGAGCGACAGGCGCCATCGGGGTCAAACAAGGTCCCCACCGACACCAAAGTGGACCAGATCGGCCTCAACTGGGAGCACCACACCCTTGTCTAGACTCGCTTGTACTGTAATTGCCCCCTGAAGGTGCAGACTACGAGAGTAGTGTTCCGCGCTGTGCTCCGTCTGGTACATTCAGATGTGGATTCCCCTCAAAGGTGCATGCCCAAGGTGTGCTTGCACTTGGGCCAGCACTAGGCACGTCCCCAGTGCTCGTACCTGCATGCTCCTGTCAACGTACTCGGCCTTTGTATCTATGTCGATAATTGCTGCTGATTCCTTTCCACGCTGCGTGCATCCCAGATGACGGTGAGAGATGTCCTTGAATGGGCTTGATGGCGCTGCGGTTGCCGAAGCGCACCAGACTGCGCTGGCAGAACCTGGAGGATGGTAGGTTGGCTCAAGAATCGTGGGGTTGGGCGAGAATATCCAGAGTAACCAGTGTCCAGGTTCCTCCTCAAATATGCGAATCGCGACACGGTGGAAGTGTTGAAGAAGGGGACAGGAGGAGTACAGGAGGTTCGAGGGGTGATACAGCAGTATGAGGAAAAGTCACCTTTGTACGGCCTGGTTCAGTATCGGCGCAAAAAGGTGGTGCTCAAATATGTGCCTGGTGGAACTTCACGTCTCTTGCAAGGTACGTCGGGATTGGATTGCCAGCGACTTCTGCCCCGACTTGAACTTCACGACTGACGCCGTCCTTTGAACCAGTGCGGCTTACCGTCCAATTTCAATCTGTCCTGGAAGCCTTTACACCCCACGACACTGTTTTCTCCTTTACGATTGCCTCTGAATTGACCGAATCGGCATTGGGCCTGTGCACCATGCTGTTGCCCTCGGCCGCGTCATTGACCTCGTCCAGCTCTTCACTACGTCGGCGCCGACTGGACGGAATCACAGAGGACGTGGAGGAAACAAACTCATCCACAGCAGCACCTGAAGCGAGCTCGAAAGTCCCAGGCACTGCAGGTTCCCAATCGGAATCCACAACCACCCCAACCTTTGCAACCCTGAGGCACGAACCACCTGCGGCCGCACCTGCAACTGCACCTCCGCCTCCTCGTGAAGAACCAACCCCAGTCTATGGAAGGCACGAACTCGATGAACTGCCTGCAAGTGCCGTTCTTGCAAAGGCGCTCCTCGCCAAACGCAAGGAAGAGGCAGCTGCCGAGGCAGCGGCGGCAACCCAGAGCGACTCTCTCAACTTCAAATTGAACGATGAGACCCCAGGTCATCTCCTACCACCACCACCACGCATAGAGAGCCTTGCAATACCAGTACGTGGCCCGTCCCTTTCTCTACTTCCTCCAACAACAAAACCAGACAAGGCACTCCCCATAACACCTGATTCGACTCCACCAACAACGAGCGAAGGGCCCCCCCAACCTTTGGACTACGAGGCCACAAATACCCTTCTCCTGGAATCATCCGCTATCGGCTCTTCAGAACCTCTATCTACTCACCCTCCCCACGCTCGCCACCTCTCTGCAGCTGAGTCTGACAGTATCAGCCAGTGGAGCAGCAATGTGGCATCATATGCAACAGTGAAACCACCCAAGAAAAAGAAATTTGGTCCACGTCCTCATGTTGAGTCCGGACACCGCCCAAAAACATCAGGTACATCAGAGACCAGTCTAAATGTTCGACCGGTCGCCAATTTGCCAAACTCAATCCGTGTCAGCAATCGCTCCGTGGCAAGTTTGTCTCTTCGACCAGGTTCACAGCAATCCACCCGAAGCGTCCCTGGCCGCTTTCCGCATTCCACCCATCCCATCAACATTGCTCCTCCTCTGCCATCCCCTTCACTCCTCGCACCACTCTACAAACAGACCGAGAGTCGACACACAAAATCAAGAGCGGGCTCCGTCAACACAGAAGGCAATACAGCCACCCCAGAGAAACTGCGATTGATGAAAGCACTGCAACTGAGGAAACGGAATATGCTCCTGGCGCAGAGATCCTCTGCAGTGGCGTACTCCCCTACTTCCACCACACATGCGGCCAATGATTCAGAATCCACCACAGCAACCCATACTTCCAACGCTAGTTTATCTTCGGCTGTCAGCAATGACCAGCTTTCCAACATTGACGAGGATCCTAAATTGATACAATCGTCAAACACGACTTCGCCAACCTTCATGACACATGTTTCAGAAGAGCCATCAACCAAAGCATCCTCGTTTACCGAGCCCGATGACCTCTCCAGAAAGCGCCGTTCATTGTCCTCCGCGACAAGCTCCTCGATTACCCCAAGAGCTGTCGTGCAGGATACTGTGAAGTTGTCAGAAGTGGTCGGAGAGGGTGATGGCCGTGGCAGGCCTCTGAGCAGGCCAAATAAGCCGCTGGAGCTTGGGCCTCCTTTGGAAGACGTAGCTGCCGTGCAGCATCGACCCGTGGATAAGCATGAATCAGAAAGCGAGGCAGAAGCCAAAGTTGTGCCGTCAACAAAGGAGGCTTCCGTGTGCAATCTTGAATCGAAGCCAGCCACTCGCACTGAGACCTCTCCAAGACCTGCTCCTACATCGATCTCTCCCAATAAAATACGCCGAGGGGTTCCACCGCAACCTTTAAAGATCACACCCAACATTGACAGTTCTGCATCGGATATGTCAGATAATGATTCTTTCATGGATGAACTACAAAATGCCACTGTTCATGAAGCCATGCCAGTATCCGTTGCACGCTCCCCAGTTACCCCAATAATGTCGAAAGGAAGTTCCGACCGATTAAGAGAGATTGTGACCAAGACTGCCAATTCCAGCTATCAAGCAAGAAGGAGCGCGTCAACAACGCCAGACAGGGCCAGGTCTAACAGCATACGTAGTGTCTCGACGGCATTACCTCAATGGCCACCAGTTCAGTCGGAGGCAGTCCCTCTTCCTTTGACGAAAAAACCGACTTTGGGGACCGGTATCTCGAAGCGAATCAAGGCTCTAGAGGTCTTGACGGCAAAGGAGGCCGCCGCTCAGCCGGCTAATCCTGTGCGCGAAACGAATCAACCGCGCTCTGCCTTTTCCACCTTTATGAAACGTTCATCGTTCTTGTCAAACCACCCGGGACCCAATACCTCGATTGAAAACTCTCCTCCCAAGAAGCTGCCTGAACCCTCCATCTATGATTCAGGGTTCGCTGCGTCAACCAAAGATCTCAGACAACCTCTGGTCGAGGCCAATGGTTCGTTGACCAAGGGTGAAAGCATCTCGGTGACTGCCAGGATTGTTCGCGACCCGAACAACAAACATCCTCCAATGTCACCGAGTTCTAGCTATGCAACACCTTTGCAGCTATTCCGAAGTCCTTTGATTGTCGAACACGAAAGACATGATGATGGCGCAGGTCAGGAGCAGACATTTGCTTCCATCCAAGCAATGGCTAAGAGCCCGACAAAGTCCGACAAGGGCCGGTTCTCATTCTCGTCTCACCGTTCGGCATCTCAAGTGAACCTGCCACGCTCCGAGTCCAGTAAAACCAAGGGTTCTCACAGCAACAACTACAAAAAACATAGCACCCGATCGGTGAGCGATGCTGGGTCGTTTACAGAGGAGAAGAAATCCTCGAGGACGAGCCGGTTGATGAAAAGAGTTTCTAATTTGACATCCTCTCGGAAGCAAAGCCAGTCTCAGGTCAAGGACCAACCTCATCCGGATACGATTCAGGAACTGAAGGAGTCTACCCGACAGAGCTCTATCGCGGAGTCTCTCTTACACGTTGTAGATATCGGAGATGTCAACGTACAATTTCCTGATTCACTTTTGTGGAAGCGACGATTTATGCGAGTGGATGATCAAGGATATCTGATATTCTCGCCACCAATGACAGATGCTCACATGAAGAGCATCAGCCGGAAATACCATTTGAGTGATTTCAAAAAGCCGACACTACCGGATCTGGAAAGAGAAGAGATGGCATGGAGCATTTTACTTGATCTGAAGGATGGAAGGTGCATACAATGCGCTTGTGAGAGCCGACATGGTCGACAGCAGGTTTTACAAAGTAAGTCGCATGCGACAGAGAGTTTGAATTGGCAACTGACTTATAATAGTGCTTGTTGATGCATACAACGCCTATCTCCAGCTGTATGGTAGCTGAACATGTGACTAATACCACCTCCCGGCGATGACCTTGATGACTGAGCCCAGTACTTCGAACACCTGTGATTTTATGAATGACGAGCATACAGAGCGCAAGAAATCTTTCTTTCAAATGGTCATTGGGCAGATATAAGTCTGCGAACATGTTGGGTTTATACTTCCCAGCGAGCCAAATTGTTGGTGGCTCTGTGCTATAGGTGATGGAACTTACACTTGCCCCTATGTACTCATACTTCATTACTTAATGACAAGTCTGTAAACTGGTTTTCGTCAACGTCATGGTGTTTGACACCCATATCCCGTCGTGATCCTGCGCCGGATGAGGGCATTTCTCAGATCCTGAAAGTCGAATAAGCTATCGATTAAGGTCCGGGCAATCATTCTTAGGGTGGGATTTGGCCTCAAGACTACGTGTGTTTTGCTTTCCAGAAATATATTTTAGGAATGTGCGGAGTGGGTGCTTTCTAAGTTTACTAAACAAACACTGCCCTTGGATCATCGCCGTGCGGAACATGGCGAAATGTTGACTATTCGGCCTTGACAAGGCTGAAACAACCCTGGGGACAGCTGGCCTTTACGCGGACCCCCTGCGGACTTGGAGTTGAAGTGGGCTGTGACTGAGGACCTCTGTTCTGAGGGCCCCTGCTTAAAAATCCACCAGGGCCACCACCAGAGCAGCGTACCCAAATAGAGGCCCGCCCAAATACCGCCACTTTATAAAGATTCTTGAAACTCTACCTTCATTTTGCTTTCTGTCCACTTGATCTTCAAGAGTATATATTACTCTTGTTCTTTCCTCCATTTTCTTGCTGATATCTCTGACACTCAATTACTTGAGATTTCAACCCCCCCAGAACACCCACTCCCCGCGCCACCATGGTGCAATTCAAGTCTTTCGTTTCCCTCGCCGCCCTGGCTCTGCCCCTCGTCTCTGTTGCCTCCGACGTCCTGAACCTCATTCCTTCCAATTTCGACACCGTGGTCTTCGAGTCCGGAAAGCCAGCACTCGTCGAGTTCTTCGCCCCGTGGTGTGGCCACTGCAAGAACCTCGCTCCCGTGTATGAAGAACTCGCCACCGCATTTGCCGCCGCCGGCAACAAAGTCTCCATCGCCAACGTCGATGCCGACAAGCACAAAGAGCTTGGAAAGAGATTTGGTGTGCAGGGATTTCCCACGTTAAAATGGTTTGATGGCACACCCGGGGCCGAGCCGCAGGAATACAATGGCGGCCGTGATCTCGAGAGTTTGACCAAGTTCATCACCGAGAAGTCTGGTGTCAAGACCAAGAGTCCGAAGAAGGCTGTGAGCCATGTTGAGATGCTCACGGATACTACCTTCAAACAAGAAATCGGAGGGGACAAGGATGTTCTTGTTGCTTTCACCGCTCCATGGTGTGGCCGTAAGTTGCCATTCTCCTCCAACAATCGAAGAGCCAAGTCGCCAACTAACTGATTCTTCAGACTGCAAGACTCTCGCTCCCGTGTGGGAGAAAGTCGCTGCCGATTTCGCCTCCGAACCCGGCGTGCTCATCGCCAAGATTGACGCAGAAGCCGAGAACTCCAAGGCCACGGCGCAGGCACAGGGCGTCACCGGCTACCCTACGATCAAGTTCTTCCCCAAGGGCTCCACCGAACCCGAGGCATACGGCGGTGGCCGAAGTGAAGATGCGCTGGTGGATTTCGTCAACTCAAAGGCTGGCACTTTCCGCGTGGCGGGTGGTGGACTCAGCACAGCAGCTGGCACGGTTGAAGCAATTGATGTTATCCTGGCCAAATACGTCACTGCCAATGGTCTCAAGGACATTGAGAAGGCTGCAGCTGAGGTCAAGAAGGTTGCGGGCGACTTGAAGGACAAATCGGCAGAATACTATCTCCGTGCGCTCTCCAAGATCACCGGTAATCCGGAATACGCCATGAAGGAACAAACACGACTGGCTGGACTGTTGAAGAAGGGCGGTCTTGCACCAGAGAAGATCGACGACTTGCAGAAGCGGAGCAACATCCTCGCCAAGTTCTTGGTCAAGGATGAGGCCAAGAGTGAGTTGTAGAGGAAAATTGGCTCGCTGGGTTGGACAAAATGCCCCCAAAAGGGCAGAGGCGTACGAATGTTTTGAGGACATAGATTATTGTCCCATCTCAGAGGTCATGTACATCGGCGTTAATGCAGTGGCGTTCTCAATCCTAGCAGAATAAGGACTATTTGTGATTTTTGTATTTCTGATTCAAATTCCGAATCCAAATTTAACCATGGTTAAAATCATCTTCCAGTGTTCCAACAACAAACACGCAGTAAGCCCCGGACTCCCAGGATGACAAAATCTGGCAAGAGGCTATCGTGAGACATGAAAAGAGCCAACCTTTCTCCACGCAATCCAATCCATAACAGCTCGAGAATCAACGTGAACCTGCAGTCGATCCCGCCGAGTTCTTCTCTATGGTCAAGGCGTCCTTCATGAGCATTTCCTGCTCGAGGCGATCGCAGCGCTCGGCCATATCGTCCACTATAGTATCCACAGAACATCAGTTATTAGACGCCAATCCATCTTTATCAAGCCCATTCGACCTCTTCACATGGTGACAGCACAGAAGGGAATATTGCAAACAGAAGACAGTATCTCCATTTCGGTGGATCCAACTCACACTTGGTCAGGATTTCGTCACTAATCCCCTTGAACTTCTTTTCCAGGTCGCCCAGGAAGTCGTCGATCGCCTCGGCGAGTTTCGTGGCGGCTTCATTGGGCCCAGAGCCTGTGGTTGCGTCGGCGTTGGGTCGGCTGCTGTTTGGCCCGCGGATGGTGGACGCGGTGTTGGTCGTTGTGAGAGGGGGATTGGGGGTCGCCTGTTCCGCAGAGGAGTGGTTTGTTAGAATTCAACGAGTTCCAAAGGCGTCGGAGGATTGTCCTGGGATATGCTGAATAGTAGTGGGACTTACCATGGTGGATGGAGCAGGCTGTGGTTGGGAGGATGAGATTAGGATGGAGGACGAGGTCTGCCGCTCCTGCAGCCTTGGACTGGGAAGTGTGGAACAGATATCTCAGCCGCACCAGGGGGACACTATGCCTTTTCTCATTCTGGGAAGTGAACCATAGGCCTTACAACTCCTTGACAAGTCGGACTCCTCTTGAAGTCAACCATGGTGGAGGTGAGAGGCACTGCGGGATCGCGTCTAATACGGTGTAGCTTAGAGACGACAAGCGACAAGCGCCGCGCTCCAACTTCACGTTCCATCGTTGAATTTGATGCACTGGATGCTCTTGACAGAGTCTATCAGATCCATCTGTCCGCCCAATCTATAGTTTTCCTGATGTTTTTGTATGATCGCTTTGAAGCTCTCCAATTGTTACAGGTGGACCAAACCCACCATCTTTACTGACTGCCACAAGCGATAGGCGCGGCCGATCTCCAACTTTTGTGATCGCTTCTCCGCTCGCCCAAAAATTTCATCCAAGATTCCCGAATTGAAGGTTCCGCCATACCGTCTCAGGCAGTGAACATATTTCACTCTTCTCACTGGACTTTTTCTTGAAAACTTCCACGACACCTTGATATCTACGCTTTCAAAAACACACACACAAACATCAACATGGTGAAGAAGAGTAAGCTGCTCGCTGCTCTAGACGCCCACCAGGGTCGAGATTATGCAGCGGAGAAGAGGAAAACTCAGGTGAAAGCTGCTGAGAAGAGGAAGCGGCAGAAACTTGACAAGGGGGCGCAAGTTGGAGATGAAGCCATAAAGTCCGCCACTAAACCCAGTGCTCCCGTCGAGAACGGCAAGAAGCCTGCCGAAGACGAGGAATTCGCGGATCTCTCAGACGACGGCTCCGAAGACAACAGCGATGACCACGAAGAGGATCCCGAGGCTACCAGCACGATCCCTCAACCTGACCAACCCATAGACGCATCGGCCTCCGAGGCCGAGAACGACTCCGATGTCGCCCTGTCGGACCTCGACAACGAGGACCTAGAAGACACCATCCCCCACCAACGCCTCACAATCAACAACGGACCCGCCCTGATTGCCTCAAGAAAGCGTATCGCCCTCCTCGCTAAGCACCGCAGAGACGGCACAAAGACCGACTCAACTCCTTTCCACATCCACAACTCCCTGATCTCCACCCTCCCATCCGCAAATTTCGCCATCCCAGACCCCAACGATGACCTCACACGCGAGCTGGAATTCTACCGCATCGCGCGCGACGCTGCTGTGACGGGTCGCGGTCTGTTGAAGAAGGAAAAGGTCCCGTTCACGCGGCCGACGGATTACTTCGCCGAGATGGTCAAGACCGATGAACATATGGGCAGGATCAAGAAGAAGCTGTACGACGATGCGGCGGGCAAGAAGGCATCGCAGGAAGCTCGCAAGTTGCGGGATGCGAAGAAATTCGGCAAGGCCGTGCAGGTCGCCAAGGAGCAGGAGCGCGCCAAGGAGAAGAGGAACACTCTGGACAAGATCAAGGAGTTGAAGAGAAGTATGTTCCCACACCCCATTTTCTTCTATGTATCATCTTTCTTATCAAAGACTAACCTCACGTCTCTTTTCCCCCACTTCTAGAACGCAAGGGCCAAGACAACGGTCAAGTGAACGAGGCCGACAACCGCGGCGACAGTGATATCTTCCAAAGCATCGCCGTCGAAGCCGGGCCGGACAAGGACCGTTCAGGCCGAGAACGTGGAAGCGGTGATCGCTCCGCAGGCGGTGCCCAGAAGCGGCAGAAGCGGGACCAGAAATTCGGGTTTGGTGGTAAGAAGCGGTTTTCTAAGAGTGGTGATGCTGTCAGTAGTGGTGACATGAGAGGGTTCTCAGCGTCGAAAATGAAGGGAAAGTCAAAGCCGATGAGGTTGGGCAAGAGTCGGCGCGCGGGAGGTGCGACTCGGTGAGCCTGTGGGTGAGAAAGCTGTTCGTCCAGCTTGGAGTCTCTATATGGATTAAGATGGACGAAAACAGTGCCAAATGGGAAAAGAACTTTATGATTAACTGGATTTTGTTTTGCTCATCGTTTCCCTCTGGTCCGCTATGTCTCTCACTCTCCTTCCATTGGTGTTTCTCAACAAGAAGATATTATATACTACGAGCGGACGAGAGGGAAAACAAGGTCAAAAAAGGGGTATCACAATCACAACCAACAACGCACGCGCAATGCAATCAGCCCATTATCTAAACATGTCCAGTGAAGGGTCTCAAAGTCACTCCCGGCCACCCGCCACATTCAAGTCTGAACTTTATACCACCCACTGACCAAGGAAAGCCTGAAGATGCGACGTTTGATGCTGTCTCCCCACCCTCTTGGCTTCCTGCGATACCAGGTCCAACATTTCCTGTGCTTCAGGACCCGGTGGTAGGTCCGGTAATGCGTCGGGCCCGAGATGGCCGTTCAGCTGTTGGCTAGGACTATCTGCCCCACTGCCCGTGGAACTCTCGTCAACCTCGCGGAGGCGACTGGGTAAAGGCGGACCATGGCGTTTCGCCACAGGGGACGAGATGGGCATGTCGCTCATTTCCTCGTCATCGTCCACCGAGTCCGTGGCGCCTCTGGCACGTTTGTGTGCCTTGCGGGCACCGCTCGGGCGGAGTACAGACTTCATGCGGTGTTTCTGCTTGCCCGATTTGCCCGGTGTCTTCATGACTTCGTCGGCCACTTCGTCCGCGAGTGTGGCTTCTAACTCATCGTATATCCTCCGGGTGGACCAGTTGAATTTCTTGCGGAGTTTGGCTTCGTTCATTAGTCTCAGTAAGGCTTCCGCAGAGCGTTCTAGTGCCGCGACTGCTTCCTCGTGAGTGCCGTCGAATGCGGCGAGCTTTTCTAGCTCGGTGGCTGCTTGGTCAATACCACAGTTGCGCATATTGAAGTTGCTGGATCTCCGTAGGGTGTTCAGCATATCCCATATATGCTTGGTCCAATCAAAGGGCTCCGGTTGTATCTCGGACTCGCTGCTTGAGCTGGACGTTGTGTTCGACGCAGGTTGGGATGTCGCATCCGAGTCTTCAGACATACCTGAGTCCTCTTGCGCCTGTTCAGGTGTTGTATCTTCCTCAGCTGACTCGGATTCGGACTCCGATGTCGATTCCGACTGTGAATCTTCCACTTCCTCAACGGCAGCGACTGGTGGGAGCAAGGCAGCTTTCAATGCTTCCACTTCGTCGGCGTATGTCTCGGCCAAATGCTTAAACAAATGCGTCTGTGACCAATCAATGCCTTCTCTCTCTTCTATCATCTGCTTCAATAAAAATCTGTGGTGCTTGTGTATCGTCTCCATAGCTTCGTCATCATCGTCGATCCGATATCCAGTGTGCTTTTGGTACTGGGTCAAGAAAGGATCTATCATAAAACCATACTGTTGGCGCTTCCGAGGAACCTTGTGGTGTTGGTCCACGGCAAAATAAAGTAGATCGATGGCCTCCATGGTGTCGTTGTAGTGGCTCAAGTAGCGATCTGAGGGGTAGATCTCAAACCAGCCAGCCTTTCCAGCCGCCCAGATGATGGGCTTCCCATTGTCATCGTGACCAAAGCTGTAGCGTGTAACATTCTCAATCTTCAATCGTGCATAGAGCGGGTTGTCAATCAAGACTGTTTATGTGGGCCAGAATTCGTCAGCATAGGCCATCGGTGGGGTTGAATATTCCACACGGGGAGGACTGCTAAGATCTCACCCTGATGTTCCTGCTCCTCATCATCCAGAGGCATCAACTCTCCCAAAACACAGAGAGGCACATCTTCAGATGCCTCGAGCAGATCTGCATATCGACCTTTTCCTTGATAAAAGATCTTGACATCGCGTAGAGCAAAGTCTGGCCATTCATTGACATCGTCCGGTACGGGGTCTAAGGGTTTAAGGACGCTGCTTTCAGGGAGAGTGGTCATGGCCGGTGGGAGGGCTCGAGAAACATGCTGCGGCCGAGACTGAGGGGAGTTGTACGTATCAGGTTATGGTGGCTGCGGATAGAGTCTCATCTGTCATGTCGGAATTCGTGCAAAGTGAGCCGAGTGTTCGTATCTGGTTGATAGTTGGAGGGGTAGGTGACCAGGTCTAGGGTGACGTGAAGATGTGGGATGGTTTGGGACTTTTCATAGAGATGACAGAGTCGTGAACAGGTACAAATACAGGAGTGTGATTGTAGTCGCGCAAGATCAGACTAAGCCAGGTATTCTGTAGTGTCAAAGCATGGTGGTGAATGGGGTGGAGCCTCGAGGTTGAGGTTGGTCGAATCCCATCCCGTCTGTTATTATTGGACTTGAAAGTTCAAGTTGTTGTTTTCGTAACCGGTGGCGTCGGGTCTCGGATTAAGGATTCTCCGGCATCCCCACAAAAAACTTTCGGGAACATGAAGAGGAGCGTCGCTTTGGCTGCGATCGATCTGAGTGACCTGGACAGACTTTCATAAACCGTTGTCAGCACTCCCACGATAAATTCCTTCATCATAAAACCAGAGCACGTAGGCGAGCCTCCATTGGCTTCCCGCCCTGTTCTCGACAAATCCGAGTCTCGGTCGCATGATCACCAAGAGTCTCTTCAGGATGGCTGAAAGCCCCAGTAAAGTCCTCGAGGGCATCTTCGGTGAGGCCAACTCCTCTCCCAAGATAATCCCATCTGACCGACTTTTCAGCGATCAGCAAACCCCCAAACTTGTCCTCTGCTCAAGTTTTACGTGATCTACAACACACCTTTGCAGAGTCCAAGGTATTCGCTCCACTGTTGGCTGAAACCCAGAGGATGCGAGTGCGAAATGACAACACGAGGAGGAGACGCATCAGTACGGACAATATATTCAAGATGGGCCATGGCGGTACCCTAGATCCCATGGCCACAGGAATCCTGATTGTTGGCATTGGCAGGGGCACCAAGCATCTCTCAGAGTTCTTGGAATGCAAGAAAACCTATGAGACCGTGGCACTGTTTGGAAAAAGTACCACCTCTTATGATGTGGCTGGAAAGGTGGTCGCGGAAGCTTCTACCGATGTTATCACCAAGCAGACCGTTCAGACCCAAGTCAATCAATATCAGGGATTCTTGAAGCAGATTCCACCAATTTATAGCGCTATCAAGATCGATGGCATCAAGCTGTACGACTATGCACGAAGTGGTAGGGAACTCCCACGAGAATTGGAAAGCCGTGATGTCCAAGTTACAGAGTGCACCCTTCTCGATTTTTACGAGGCTGGACAGCATGACTTCAGATATCCCGCCGAAGAAGCCTCCGAAGAAGAGAAGTTGACTGCAAGCAAACTCATGAAAGGAGCCGAAGCAACCAAAAAGTTACTTGCGGAGCGCACGCCCATGCCAAAGCCCTTCGAAAATGACAAAGCTAAACACAACGACATGCCTCGAGATCAAAAAGCAGCACTGCATACGCATCCGTTGCCGACGCAAGAAGCAAAACCAGCACAAGCACCAGCGGCCCGGGTTCGCCTGGAAGTCAGCAGTGGCTTCTATGTTCGCTCTTTTGTACACGACCTCGGTATTAGTTGTGGATCCTTTGCCACGATGGCAGCCTTGAGTAGAAGCCATCAAGCGCAGTACACCATCGCCGACCCCGCCCCTGAAGGATTAACCACCGCCTTGACCATGGATGACATATCCGCGGGCGAGGATGTCTGGGGACCAAAAATCACGGCTATGCTTGAACAGTGGATAGAATCCCACCCAGCAAGCCAAAGTGAAGAGAATGGGAGTCTTCAGAAGCATTTCGACGGCAGGAGAGATTCAGCGAGCAATCGGTACAGCGGACACAGGTCGAAGAGGAGTTGGGATACCGGAGGCAGAGACCATGATTCCAAGCGATCAAAGCGGCGAAATAGTTCTTCGCCGGAGGCGTGAGGATGATGAGGAGTCTCGTTCGATGAGAAATGGCTTGGCTGAGTACTTTGGAACGAGAGATTCGGCGCCAGATATGCTCTCTCTACTGTACAATACTTGACCTGTAACAATAATCCAAAAGATGTGTAGTAACGCACTTGGATCTTCCTTTCTGATGAGCGAATCCTTGATGGCAATGACAATGGCGTATGCCAAGACTAGTTCCTGCATATCTCTCACTAGCACTTCACTAAGTGGGTTAGTACCAAGTCAATGGTTGATGGCTCCTTCCCCCAAATTCTTAGGTGGGTCGATCAACTGCCTTGCGTGCCCTGCGCCTTGCAGCTCCCTGTCTTGCCGCCACGCGCCTGCAGCTGCCACTGCCTGCAATGATGGTCGCCCCATTCTTTCCGCATGGCAACTTTTATCTCACTCGACCGGGGCCTTTTCTCTCTTCACCCTTGCACTGCCAGTAGGCTCGTGTGATCAGTTGTTCCATCTTGGTCATTCTTTTACACCTGTACTTTACAACTTATCTTTCTTTCTGATTCAATTTCCCATCAATGTCTGATACCCAATACAATCCTTCTCTTTGCCCCTGCGCCTAAGTCTCAGGCTCAACGATGGGGCCCGTGCCATCGCAGGACAAGCCCTTGTCGCTGGCTGCCTTGAAGGCGAACAAGGCTCGCGCAAAACTTGTCACCAAGACTGTTACTATCGCCAAAGTCCCCAAACCGACTCCCAAGCCTCAAATAACCTCGAGCATTTCCAGGCAGCCGGCCGCTCGGAATGTTGTCGCAAATAGTACTCCTCGACAGTCCATCGTACCCCGCAAGTCATCCACCCCGGCTTCTCTCCCGTCCAGGCAGACCAGCAAGGAACCACTGGAGAGAGTAAGACAGAATGGGCATACTCGCACAAAACGTTCTTCCCCTGCCGTCTCAACCCCGAGACTCACCAGTTCGGATGATGAGAGTGAGGAGGAAGATCCGCCTAGGAAACGTGCGCGAACTACTCGGCGAGACAGTCTGGATGAACACCGTCGCATTAGGGATCTGGCGTCGTTCTCCGAAGAAGCCAGTGGCCCTCTTCAGATGGTCCATGCTGCAGACATCGCGAACATTGAGATTTTAGACCAGTCAAGAACCAAGTATCAAGACTTTTTTACAGCTCTTGAGGTGGATGAGACTGACTGTCCGACAATCACACTACAGTATCCCAGCGTGTCCCAGGCGGAGAAATACCAGTTGGTCAGGCCCACCGACTCCTCGGATTTCATGCCTTTGGAGGACATTGTTTCCAATATGAAAATCATCGCCGAATACTACCTTGACACAGAATCGGCCAGAAAGGTCAATTGCGAGGAGGACGGTTCAGGCTTCGTTCAATTGCTGAATCGAGAAGCCAAATTGCGGGGCCGTGTCGGTGCTCAGTCCAGGTTCATCAGTGTGGTGGAAAAGTTCAATTCACTCCTGACTGAAAAACGTAAGGATGGCACGATTGCCAAGAAGTTGGATGAGATGGTCCGTGTTGATGTGCAACTGGCTGAACACATAATCAAGAGTCAGGTCTACGCGCGGACCGTGTCACCTCAAGTGCATCTGGTGAGGCAATATGCCAGCTTTTCTGACAACGTTTATGGAGAATTACTTCCCAAATTCTTGAGTCGTATCTTCAAGGAGACCCATCTCAAATCAAATCAAATCTTCGTGGATCTCGGTTCTGGTGTTGGTAACTGTGTGCTACAAGCAGCTCTGGAAATTGGTTGCGATTCCTGGGGCTGTGAGTTCATGGAAAACCCGAATACACTTGCCCAACTCCAGGCCAAAGAGTTTCCCGCGCGTTGTCGGCTTTGGGGTATCAAACCCGGGAAAGTGCATCTGATCCATGGAGATTTCCTCAAGAAGCAAGAGATCAAAGAAGTGTTGAAGAGGGCAGACGTCATTTTGGTCAACAACCAAGCTTTCACCGCTGAACTTAACGACAAGCTGAAGTATGTTTTTCTTGATGTGAAGGAAGGTGCCCAGATCGTGAGCCTCAAACCGTTCCGCAGTCCAGCACACAAGATCAAAGTGACCAACGTCAATGATCCCATCAATGTCTTGGAGGTTGAGGAAAAGGCTCGCTATAGTGGGATGGTCAGCTGGGCAGATGATCATGGCAAGTGGTACCACCAACGGAAGGATTCTAGGGCTTTGGAGGCATTTACCAAGAAGTTGGCACGATCGAAATGACGACCCAGGAGCGACATTTTCTGTTTGGCGTTTGTACAAGCAAGTGGGCTTACAATGAGATTATGAGAGATGTCTTGCATAGCGTGGGCATTGGATAGCGTTTATTCATAATTTCGCATGGCGATACCCGCGCATTGACATTTGGTTAGAAGATTCGATTCAGAAGAGCGTACCCTCAGAATTAGAGCGACAAGAATAGATCATCTTCTGAAACACTTGCTGTGGTCCTTGTTTCCGTTATGATAATCGAATTTGATCGTACGTTCTAATGGGTAAGTGCTCCACTCCAGCAAGTTTACGGGGATCTCGCTCTCTGACTTTAGAGCAAGAAAAGGGGGCTTTACCAAAGGATTAGCTGAATTTATGTTGTTCGTTCATCTTATCGGCCTCCTTTCCCATTCTCGCCATCCAGCGATCCACAAGCTCCTTGTTTTCCTGCCTCAGTTTGTCAGACTGTTCCTCAGCCATATTGAGTTGGAGATTCAAGGTCACGTTCTCGTCCTGGACATTCTCCACTAGCTTGGCCTTTCCACGAAGTTCCTCTTCGCGATCTTTGAGTTTGATGGTCAACTGAGAAACACCGGCATTGAGCTGATTCATGCGTTTGCTGTCGGCTTTGGCCCGCCCTTTGAGGGTTTCCAACTCCTTCAGCGCCGAGTCTAGTCGGACCTGAAGGTCTCCGCGCTCCTGTTGCGCCTTGGTCAAGTCCTGCCGTAACTGTGCACTGACAGTTGTGTTGGACTCCACTGCTGTCGTGCCGGCTACTGGCGAAGTGACTCTCCGCAGCCCCCGACCTACGAGTGATGGTGTTGCTGTGGGTGTTGCCTGTTCTGGCTCCTCCGTGGGAGCCTGTCTCAGCTGTGTCTGGAGCTCGGCATTCTTGTCTGCTAGCTTGGTGCCTAGATGAAAATGTTTGAGATCTGATCTGCACTGCGAGAGCGAGAGCGACGGATATCAGAAGACTTACAGTGGTCGTACAAATTGAGGTTGGCCTTCTCCCTCGCATCTCTTTCTTGCAAGGCTGCCAGGTACTTCTCAGTCCATGTGGCCATATTGTCAAGAATGAAACGGATGCATTGTCAGGGTCTGCGACAGATCGGTTACAAATATCTCAGAGATCCAACGGAATATGTCTTTGTTGTCTGAGATGACAGACAAAAAGAAATGAGCGACTCGGACTCACTGAGCGTGACAGATGAGGCAGAAGAGGACCACATTGTCAGCCTTGGGTCGTGTGGGATGAGCCGGCTGAGTTTCCTGAATCATCACGTCTTCCTTCCCGAGATACGGTTAGTCCTATTTAGGTCACAGCCGTTGCCGCCTTGGGCTGTGGTCACTGGTCACTACCAACAACACTCGCACCCAACTACGAAGGCTCGCTTGTAGGTCATGATGCCCCCATGATCCAGTTCCATTCCCACTCCATACTTCACACACCTCGCAAGCCACAGGTCCAACTCCCACTATCCAATCTATCTTTCATATCAGAGGTTCCCGGGTACCCTCTCTTTCTCCGACAGCGGTCCCTTCCTTGCACGTCATCAACACGACACGCTCGAGCCGCTTTTCCGTATCGCCTGAGCGCATCCTGGGCAATCATTCATCCGCGAATACATTCAAGCTGCGTTTGATTGAAGCCCAAGAAGCCCAACCCATCCACTCAGGCTATACCGAGCACCATGTCTTCAAGAAAGAAGGTGCTATTGAAGGTATGTCATTGTCATATTTCCGCACATGTACTGCAATACTGACAACTAATCGTACAGGTCATTATCCTTGGAGATAGTGGAGTTGGCAAGACCAGTCTCATGAATCAATATGTACGTTCTTCTCCCAAACCTCGCACTGCGGTTGCCGTACATGCGCTGACCATCTTATCTCCCAGGTCAACAAGAAATTCTCAACCTCCTACAAAGCCACCATCGGCGCCGACTTCCTTACAAAAGAAGTAACAGTCGATGATCGTATCGTGACCCTACAGCTTTGGGACACGGCCGGTCAAGAGCGATTCCAATCCCTTGGTGTCGCATTCTATCGCGGCGCCGACTGCTGTGTCCTCGTCTACGATGTGAACTCAACCAAGTCATTCGAGACCCTGGATTCATGGCGCGACGAGTTCCTGATCCAAGCTAGCCCTCGTGATCCCGAGAGCTTTCCTTTCGTTGTCCTGGGAAACAAGATCGATTTGGGAGAAGACAGGAGGATGATCACACAGAAGAGGGCGCATGCGTACTGCCAAAATCGTGGACAGATGCCCTATTTCGAGACCAGCGCCAAGGAGAGCATCAACGTTGAACAAGCCTTTGAGGTCATCGCGCGCAATGCTTTGGCTCAGGAAGAGAGTGAAGAGTACGGCGGCGATTTCTCTGACCCGATCAACATCAACCTAGACCAAGACAGAGATGGATGTGCATGCTAAGCAGGGGTGGCTAATGGAGGATCGCGGTGAGCAACTTTGGTTGCCTTTGTTCAGCTTGTCAGGCCTTGCTCTACCCAATTAGGCAATGACCGGTTGCAAGTTGAATTGTGCATAGAATGCGCAAACATGGTTCAACGCCTGTCGGTATGGATCGATCCGTGGAGAGGCATTCTCCTTGGTCCGGGTTTGGGATCGCATCGTCTTATCAAATCCGTCTTTCCACTAGTCACGTGGTACAGTTCTCACGGTCTCTGTTCGGAGTTGGCGCAAGCATAGGTGTTGTACAGATACAAATACAGAACAGCAGGTAGTTCAGAGTGGTGGTAAAAGAGCAACGAGTTCTTTGGTGCTTGTATACATGTTGCGAGCTGTACTGATCGTTCCCTCTTAGTCCCCCATGTTATGCCACCTCCAAGTATCAGGTACCCCTTGCCTGTCTCTCACTTCTTGACCTCGTAGATGTATGTCAACATGGTTAGTTCCATATTGCAGATCTCTTGCGGACGACAACAGTACTGAGCAATGAACGACACCTAGTACAAAGCAGACCAGAATATCCAACGACCACATCCAGATATGTCGAGTGATTAAATCAGGCATAGAATCCATGGATCACGAACAGACCGAGGGGTTTCGCAAGCAGGTATAGACACTAGATTACAGCTCTATTCACTCGTCCCACGGCATGTTTTATCTAATCTACACGTACCGCACGGGATGTAGACGCTTCTCTGACGCAGGAGGGGTGGTGCACAGCGGTGCAGTTGAAATACCCCATAGATCGCACTGTGGTCCCGACACACCGGTTGTGTATAAATTTACTAGCGACTATAATAGCATGCCTTCTGCCGCAACACGCGGTTACCTCAATGTTCGCTCCGGATCAGCGTTCACGTTGTATACTGGGGCGCTCGGACAGGTAGACAGGCGTGGCTGGTCGAGTGATTCTGACATGGGCTCCTCATTGAGACCTGGAAATTGTTCAACGCAGTGGAGTTGCTAGTGGCTTAGGTCATTAACTCGACAACGGTACATCGATTGTGCTGAATACTTGTATAGTTAGTCAATGTTGAAGAGACCCTGTAGATGTACGCGGGTCGTTTCAAAACCCATCAAAAAGGAGGAAGACGAAGAATATGTTTTTGGGTATGGAATTGTGGAACAAGTTTTTGCGAAATCTGCTTTTTTTTCTCCCTTGCGCTGCTGTTGACACGCGACCTAGTTCTGAGAAGGGGAAACAAAATAGGATGTGTGTGTATTTTGCTTTGCCTGTGTGCGTGGGTGTGTGGTATGAGAGAAAATTTTTGGTTCTGTTCTGTTTTCAGATAGGACAACACGTAAAGAAGTTTTTGGTGGTAGGGACAACAGGATAAGTCGTGAGAAATCCCCATGAGAACCGATACACACACCTCATAGTCACAATCACATCACACGGGATGATTTGTGAACGGGGTGAAAAGATTAGAAACTCCAGCTTGCTCCAGGCCGTCATGACAAATCGTGACAGGAATGACAGTCGCGCTCTCTGCGAGTAAGAAGAAGCCAGCAATACAATCACATGAAAAACCTCGAGCTTGAATGTACTCATGTTCTCCATCCGATCAAGATCACAACACATAGGAGGCCTATCGAGTAAGTTTCAAAAACCCGGGCAGAGGAGACGCTCTTGTCAGTCGCCCTCTCCATCAAGAGATGAGATCAAGAGTCGATTCGAACAAGCGTCGATCGTATTGAGGCTCAGGCCCATGAGAGATGATAGGATAGTCGGGCTGGTCGTATTGCCCGCTGTATGTCGAGACGCCGTTTGCCTTGCCACGCCAGAAATACAAAAAAATATGTCTCCCGTAGAGTGTCATTTTACCAAGCCCAGATTTTCAGCTGGTTGAAATAGTTAGTGACAGATCAATCAAGCCAATGACCAGCATCTCTCTTACTAAGGAATCCCAAGAACCAGTGCATAAACTAATTCCGTCATTGCTAACACCAAGACAGCTGACTCGGTTTTCATGTCCGTTGAGCGATCCAACCTTGTCGCCACGTAGAGTGTCCCAAACCTGTCAAAGTGAGTACAAATCCACAGGAAAGAGAAGGCAAAGATGACTTACTTTGCATTCGAAATCATCGTAGCCAGCAAACAACAGGCGGCCAGAGACCGAGAATGCGACGGATGTGATGCCACACAGAACTTGTTCATTCTAAAGCAAGAGTCAGTGAGCGGTATTAGCCGAGGGGTCTTAAGGACGTACTTGATAGGACATCAGTTCCCGATCAGCTCTGATATCAAAAAGTCTGCACGAAGCATCGTCAGAGCCTGTGCCAAAAGCATTCCCATCGGGAAAGAATTGGATGGCGTTGATGTCCGATTCATGTCCGGCAAAAGTCTGGACGGCCTTTCCTGTTCGAACGTCCCAAAGTTTCGCGAAGGCATCACAAGCCCCAGATACAAAGATGTTGGCGTTGGTAGGGTTTATGCTGATGCTCATGACGTCGCCCAAGTGATCGGCAAATTCAGTTACTTTTGACCCTGTCTCAATGTCCCACATCATGCAAGTCATATCCCCCGAGGAGGTGATGATTTTTCTGTCATTGACGAATCGACAACATGATAGATAGCCAGAATGTCCCGAGAGTTCGCGAGCAACACGTGTCGGGCCTTCTCTTGTGGACAGGTTATAAATCGAGCAGATATTGTCCAGACCACCACAGGCAACATAATTTCCACTCGGGGCATATGCGCAAGTCATGACCCATGATGAGCGAAGAGGAATTGCGTGGACTTTGTTTGTAGTATAAGCATCCCAGATGATAAGCTTGCCGTCTTGTGAAGCAGAAACCAAATGCCGTCTGTCGGTTGACCAGTGCATGGCATAGATCTTGGCCAAATGCCCTTTGAGATTTCTTCTAGGCTTCATCCCTATTCGTTGTAGGGCTTCAGTGTTGTTGAGCGCGACTTGTCGCACTATGAGGGTTCGATTGATTAGCAATCCGGGGGAGCAGGAGCATTGGGTTTATGGGGGCGTGTGTTCCACGAATATTCATCAACTTACAGCTTGTATCTGCCAGATCATCCTTCTTGCGCTTGATTCTATCTTTTAGACCTTCGGCTTCTCTTCTCGCAGCCGTGATCTTGGCCTGCATTTGCTCTCCAGTCAGGTCGGAAGACATGGCGCGGGTGGGTGGCCCTCTCGGACCAGGTTGATAATAGTACACAGGTGATCAGGGTGTGCCTTCCAGGCGTTTTCGAGAGACTCGCAGCGCACAAATGGCGAGATTGTGGTTTGAGAGGATGTCAAATAATCGGCAAGAGTCAGGCGTGGAGAGCTCAAACGAGGCAGGTCTCAGGGATGGGATGAACCGATTGCCGCGGCCCACAGCACCAACGCTGCGAATGTTGCGGGATGCCGATCGTGGTTGGAGTGGGAGTGGGAGGTGACAGCTGGACAGAGGCAGCAGGAAGGTAATTGAGATGGATGGAAAAGACCTTGGGACAGATTGGGAGTTGCTTTGGACAATTGAAGGCAAGGTTGGACCAGGGAAGCAACCAGAGAAAGTCGGGAGTGGGAGGCTTCCTTGCCAGGCCAGTGCAATGGGTACGGAGGGACAAGTAACTAGCCTACCAAGTAGAGGTGCGAGGTGGTGGTCAGTGGTGCCAGTGCTGAGTGCAAGACCAAGCGGGAAGGTTGCTTGGTGCTTGGTGCTTGGTGCTTGGTGTCTGGTGTCTAGTGCAAGTGCCCGGGTTGCAGTTTGACGGGGGGTTCTTTTGGTGGGTAGACTAGTTTAATGATGTGCCTTTCGAGTTTGGGGCGTTTGGGCGCGGATGCCGCTCTCGTTGAGCCGGCGGTGGTGGACTCTGCGTTTACTGACAGTGCGATTAGCAATTTGAAGGGTCGGCTTCTCCCTCTTGGAGAAACAAGGGTTTCGTAGCATCAATTAACCATTTGGGCCACTGATAAATTAATTTAAATTCAAAGACCGTCCTCAAAGGGAATTCGGCACGATGGTCGACGCGGTCAACTACTACTAAGTAGAAACGACTGTGTGTGTTTCTCAGCTATATTGACCTCGAGTTGCAAGTACATTGGAATGTCTCCTCTTCGGCCGTTCCTTGCAGGATTGTGCTTCTCGTCACGGGTGATTTACTCGAGTCTACGTGCTTGTCTGCAGCTGAGGCCCGTAACCTTCAAAGCACCCTGTCAATCGAGAGATGTAGTATAGGGGTAATTCTCTATGCTTGGGAAATTGTTTACTCTCTGCATATCCAATATTAAAGATGGACATACTAGTCAAATCAACCCCGAATAATACCACGGTATCCGTACCTCGAGTACCTACTAAGCAGGTAGTTACTCCGGGCTCTACAGGCCTCGTACAGATACTTGGGACGGAGTAGACGCACTGAAGAGAGATTGCCCATCTGCGGCTAGTGGCACCCTAAAAGAAGCCGGGCACCGCCCGTGCCCCACCAATATCATCGGTCCAGTTCAAGTCCATCGCGACCCATCCACCTTTGGAACTCGAAACGAGAGAGCACTGGCACCCGCAGAAAGGGGCTTGCGCCCACGGATTCAGGTCAAGTCTGCAGCCAACCTCCAAATCTTGATGCAGCTCTGACACTGGTGTTGGCGTTGGCATTGGCATTGGCGTTGGCATCTGGTGAGCACGGATCTCTCGTGATTATTTATCATTCAGATCTGGTCTTCAATCCATAGTTCTGGTTGTCGGGACCCAATTGCAATGTCCTCTTGTCAAAGCCCCTTCTTCCACCAGGCCAGAGCCTGGAAATGCGAAAGCGTAAAACAAACGCATTGACGATCCTCCACCTTCGCAACCCGATTCATCACACTCCGCTTTCTTGCTGATCTTTTTCTTTTTTGTCATGAACTACACGTGGTTTCCCTGGTTCGGTGCCTTTTTTTGGGAATAAGTCATCATCCTCTCCTCAAATGCTTGCCATGCTGCTATAATTGACTCTACAAGCTATTCTGATTTAACTAGGATCTCGTGGTTGGTTTCGCCATCTCGTCGAGATGTCGCCTCGCGAGTCGTAAATACGCCTACTCCGTAGGGAGCAGATGATCTCGAAGCTAGCCACCCCGGACCATTGCAAACGCCATTATCCTGGCCGCCAAGGGAGAACAGTCCCACAATTGAGAATTCGTGCTCTAGATCGGGGCTGACACCGTCCCAACTAAGTGATAACATGACACTCTCAGATTTCTTAGAGGAAGGCGACTATTCAAAAGCATGGGCACTGTTCAGCCAAGGCCAGACTTTGTCAAAAGTACAACTTTACTACCTTGAAGTCGCAGTTGAGTTGATGTTTGGTAAGGACTTCTCGTGCAGTATATGACATTGAGACAAGTGCAGTTGTGAATGGAGCCGGTTGGAAATTGTGGTGAAGGATCTGCGCTAATAAGCAATTCTTTAGCGAGAGGAAGAAGCAGCGCAGTTGAAATACCTTGGTGGGCGTTTTCGGGTTACTCCGAATCTCCAATCACCCTACGAAGTACTCGGACCAGGTACAAGGTACCTCGTACCACGGCGGCCATCTGATGGTCTGAGAGACAAACTTACCAAACATGCCAAGAAATAGTCCTTCTCTCTTTGTCAGTCGCGAGCATTCCGAGATTCGACTCGTGTTCTCCAACCTGCTATGTACCACCGACACCAGAAGCCGCTTCGAGACAAGGCTGTACATTAGAAGCAGTTACAATTCTCCGCCTCTTTTGTCACTTTGCAACTCTCAACGCTCCCAAAAATGCTGTGGCAAATCGGCTGCTTGTACGGAGCATCTTCTGTGGCTCTTGGAGCTTTCGGTGCTCATGGACTCCGAAAACATATCACCGATCCACAGAAGATTGCTACGTGGTCCACCGCTGCACATTATCAGGTCAGTTGAGTTCAGACCTCTTTCTTCACCGTTGATAGCCTGCAGCAGACGCTCTGACACGGCAGGATAGCTCGTACATAGCGGCGTGCTTCTCATTGCCACATCCGTCGCTCCCAAGAATAAACTTGCTGCGGGTCTTTTCATTGCTGGCATGACAATGTTCAGTGGCAGTATTTACCTTCTGGTCCTCGATCCCCAGAGATTCAAGGCTTTGGGGCCTGTTACCCCACTAGGAGGTCTCTGCCTGATTGCAGGATGGGGTGCCCTGGCATTCGGTAGTCGGGGAAGGGTGACTTTGTGAAGGAGAGACGCAAAACCATCTTTGTATCAACATTTAATCTTATACTCAACTCATCGATTGATCTCTCTAGCGTGTCAAACCACTAAATCGGATCTAAAACGCGAAATGGACAAGCTGAAGCTATTCAACAGCTGGGTTTATCAGACGACACGATCGGAATATGCGAACAGATCTTATCTTGCCCAGTTTCACACGGTTGTAACTTGGTTCGCTATGAGCAATACGTTTTCGCGCACGTCGAGTCATATCCTGCACTGTCCTGAAGTGTCATGGGCTTCTCTTGTGGTTTGATCTCTATTCCAGGCTCTGTGACTCCCATGCCGATTCACGATACTTCGCCAACCTGAGGATCCATTGGAACTACGGGGCACCTTGCTTCGCCGTGCGAGCTTTTGGCTACGTATGAGGTAGGGAGTACAGAAAAGTCGAGAACATCCGCGTCAACGCGTCCATCTTGTGACGAACCAGAAATCCACTAACACTGAGTGTCTGTCACCCACCGAAGAAAGGATGAACGGACTGAAGATGGGCAATACTACAGGTTCTCGACTGCTGCTAGATGAAGACGCTTCCCATCTACTCGTAGTCTAAATATATACAAGGTGGCTGGTGACCGCGCTTCGGTCCACCACCGTTACTCGATAGTCCGGTCACCAAGTCAGAAGAACATCTCCCTTTTTGTCAAATCTCAATCCAGCACCATGCAATCACAAGACAAGATGCTTGTTGACGTGCCATTACCAGACATGCTGAACCAGAAAGATAAGTTACTCGCTATTGCGTAGTTGAACCAGGTTTCGCCGTCCATTTCCTGCGATTGGCGGAATAGCCGCTCCATTCTAGAGTCAAAAATAGTATCAAAATCTATAGTATGTACTACCAGGAACCCTCCAGGCAAGTTTGAAGTGTTCTTGGAATGTATTCTTGCGAGACTACTCGTACGTGATTATTATCAAAGGCTGAGCTAGCTCAACGATCCCTGATGGGCTGCTTTTAAGCACCTCGCGTTGATGCTCTGACGATGAATCTTCATGCAGGCTGAATATACCCCGCTCCAACACTGAATCAGCGAGTTGTAGCATACAATGCGATGCTTAGTCGCTCATCCATTGAGTGAGATATGCTGTGTGTTCTATTCTAAGATGCATGCATCTGTGTGGTAGATGCAATTCAGAAGGCTGCGAGAGGCCATGCGATATCAACATTGAGGTCCTACTGGTGTTAGGTTCAAGAACAGCAGAGCTGGAACGAAAATTGTTGCGATTGGCTCGAACAGCTGCCACCACCCATCGATCCTTTACCCATGTCCTAACTACCATTTTCTTTGAGATCCAGATTGCGGTAAGTGATAATTGCGCAACTACGGATCGTCAAGGCCTAGTTACTCCAGGCCACAAGTTTCACGCTTTGGCACTTCTTGATCTAGCCGCAGGAATGAACCATGCAGACCCTGGCTATCCAATATCTCACAGGCATTAGTACCCTGGGCTCGAGGGCTCGGAGGAGATAAAATGCAGAGTTGATGGAGGACGGATATGTCTATTTCTCACAGGGAGTTTAAGTGGAGTGGGGTTGGGTTGGGTCTGGGGAGCAATTCATCATTTAACCAGCCACAGAGATGTCAGTTTGGAGATGACTCCAAGGTGACCTCGTACACAGAGACGGCCCTCGATAGAGTGCGATCTAAATCATGCGATGGAAGGAAAAAGAACCGAGAGATTGAGTGAATTAGATATCAAGAACAATATAGAGCTCTCTACACATAGGAGTAGGGTATTAGCAATCAAGCAGGAGAAATAGGGCTGGGCTTCAGTGGCTGGCAGGCAAATTACCTACGAGCAGATACTTGCCTATAGGTAGGTGGTGTCAAGGTGAAGGATTATTTGCGTGGTCCTGCACCGACACCGTGCCACTGGCAGTGGCAGTGGAAGATTCGAGCCAGCCCTGGGCAACCAATACGAAATTGATCAGCGTTAGACGCGAGGCTTGGCCAGAGCCCAAGCCCAAGCCCAGGTCCAAGTCCAAGTCCAAGGGCGAACCTGATGCAGCAAAAGCCAACAACACGGTTAAAAGCCAAAGGGACCCTCCGAGCGCACACCTGAAACCAAGCGAGCGCTGGCACCAGACGCATCACTAGTTATTGGCACTGCGTTACTCGGTACAGTGGCACTACGGCCAACGCCAGAAGCAGCACCGCCATTGCCATTATTCATTCGCCTTTGCTATTGCCATCATGCTACCACCACCACCTACTGCTGCAACTCATCAACTCACCTAGAATCATTCGTCTCCCTTCTCTTCCACCACCATCATCCTCCATCATCACCACCATCGGTCGTCAACTTGGATCTTTGCTCGTCCGATTCTCCTCATCTCTCCTTCTTCAGCCGACCGTAGCATTTATTGTCTTGCATCCCTCCCTGGTCCTTCGATTCCTGCGATTGCCACACGGTTTTTCGAGTCCCCCGTCTCCTACCTTTGACCTCCGCCATTCGACTCCGCAGACAGCCTTTCGTCCTGCAATAAGTTGACTCGACTCGACTACACTCACCACTTTCCTTTCTGCCCACACACTATCTCGCTCGCCAGTCTCCCTTACGAGCACACACACTCATTGACACTTCGGCTGGCTGACCCAGTGTACGACTTGCTAAAACCTATCACCACAAGCAGTCCAATATCATTGTGCAAGACCACACCAATTGTGGAAAAGCCATCCAACGTCGACGTCGGATGATTAGCTGCGGTCACTGCCATCCTCCATGCCAGTTGTTTGAAAGTCTGTTTTTGTTGTCAGATTTCTCGATCGTCCATTAGGAGTCAGGGTGTGCATATCCCCAGCACCACCTCTACAGCCTCGGTCAAGAGTATTGGTCCAAGAGACGCGAGGTCGGTCTTGTAAAAGAGCTTTCTGCATGAACAGATTCCACTATTCATTGTTCTGGGCATCATGAGGGAGGTTAACTTCAGCATACCAAATGTCAACAAGGCCTCTGTCCACATCACCACCACCCTGTATGACCGTCGAGCTCTCGACTGTACATCCACCCTCCCTCTAATCAACTCTCTTAATCATCTAGCCTACCTCACCACATCATCCGCCCGAATTAGAGACATTTTGACTGTGGATGGAGGTATTGAGCGCCTTGTCTGCATCCTCAAAGAGGGCAGAAGCAAAGATGAAATGCACATGTGGAAATGGAATCTTGCCTTTCAGTGCATCGTCAACATTGGCGTTCGAGGCTCGGAGAATGTACGGACACGTGTAGTTGAGGCTGACATGGTTCCTGTCATTGCTACGATTCTTTGGGACTACGTCCTCGTCATTGAGCGGGAAAAAGCAAAAGCAGATGCTGAACAAGCCCGACGAAATGGCTCGCAACATACCGGCAGTTCAAGATCGTCTAAATTGTCCCGAGATCTGTCACAGGATCCTGCTTCAAGGTCCTCCTTCTTCGATCATCTTAATTCCTCCTCCGACCACCGATCCACGCGACGACAGGCACCTCCACCGTCATTGGACATTCCCCAGTCCTTCTCTCAAGCATTTGGCACCACTGAATCCGGCCAAGCAGACACAGTCATCACGCCCGCAGCTGTACTCACATCTCCTCCAGAGAGAACTGTTTTCCCACGCCCAAGCTTACAGCACCAAAATCGGAGTAGTGAGGGCCGGGGATCCTTTCAACGACAAATCAATATGCAACCTCCCGCAACTGCAGTCCCCTCGATGGACACATCTGATGGATTTTCGATACGGCCGGTCCGCGAGGTAGACAGGCTCCCTTCCATGTTACCAGCTCTCAACACCGGTGTCACATCGCATCCCGATTCTCCCACAACACCTTCAGCACCAGTGCATCGAGGCCTTCTTTCTCCTATTGGGCGACGAATGAGACGGCCATCTATCCGCCATCAAAATTCTACAGGTGGTGAGGTGGACGACGCAGTAATGGAGGATGTGACAGTGGATGATGAAGGGCTCGTTAACCCGGATGCCACCACTGAAGGGCGAAGCCGTGGCGCAACCAGAGATCCTAGCCCTCATGACAACCATGACATGGATGTCCGTCAGCCACTGACCATCACTATTCCTCCCCAGCAAATTCGTGACATCGACAATGTCGACATCGCTCAACAGACACCTACTGTAGCCGGAATGGGCAATCCTCTTGGGCCCGCAGCCCTGGAAGCTCTGGGGCCGTCTCCCATTCCGACAGTCCCTGCAACTGCCGCCTCTCCAGCGATCCCTCTCAACGCATACCCAAACTTCTTCTTGCGAAATGCGACTGCAACCACGTCCACCACGGCACTCATGCCTCGCGATGAGGACGTATTGATGGGCCTTCAACTACTTGCATACATTTCAAAATATTGCTATTTGCGCCACTACTTCCAGAGCACCCATCTCGTGCCCAGGCTTCGAATTGACAAGGAAGTTGAACGCATCTACGGGCCGTCTTCGAGAGGTGGACCAGTCCCGGAGCCTACTGAAGACGACGATGAAGAATTTCTTCAAGCTGACGACTACAACATTTTTCCATTAGTTGAGAAGTTTACCGTACGGCATCACTCCAAAGACATGCAGTACTGGGCCTGTGTTGTCATGCGCAATCTGTGTAGAAAAGACGACGCTCGAGGTGGCATTCGTCAGTGTGCCAACTATCAATGTGGTAAATGGGAACAGTTCCCTCGGCAGTTTGCCAAATGCAGACGTTGTCGACGTACCAAGTACTGTAGCAAGGTATGTCTAACCCTGAAACATGCAGATAGAGCGAGACTGACAATCATGACTAGGAATGCCAGCGCGAGTCATGGAGCATGCATAGACATTGGTGCCAGTCACCATAACGGACTTGGAGCGAGTGCAAAACAACTGTTCGAAAAGCTTGAGTTAGCATAGCCGCGGAGTAAGCGTGGATGATTATTGCTTGGAGTTGGGGGAGTTTGTGATGTCGAAAATCCAATTGCAATCCAAACAGCCGACCTGGACGGTCTTGACTTCAGTCACCAATGTTGTACAGCGACGAATTGTGTGATGAAAGGCCACCACACCGAATCTGATGGAATACATATAACTGACATATTTATAAGCGAAGCAACGCTCTGAGCAGGACGTTGACTTATACGAACAGCACGAGTGGCGATAGGGTTTTGGATTGCTGGTGCTTGAGGAGTCGTTATTGAGCCACGATTGCGAGGGTCAATGACATGTCTTCGACGAAACTGTTATTGATGCAGACGTGTAATATGATGACTTGATTAGTGCACAAATTATGACAATGACATACTCGTTTAGCTCAACTTTAGTCGCTTTTCTGATGACTGTGTGCTTTTTCCTAATATAAGTAGCTAGGTAACCTTGGAGGTGTGGACAATAGTCTGAACATAGAGAGTCGCACGTGTATGGCAATCGCTTTCATCATCCCACCATCAAGTCAAGTGTATAGTAGCGAAAGACTTGAACCTCATGATAACACTTTTATTGTCATTGGATGGAAAAAGTTCAGGACTTTCGGAGGTCGCCGCCATTCAACGCCTGCTGGCTCAACCATCTCTCGTTCTACCTGAATAATGAGAATACAAGTTCTCTGTCTCTCCTAACGGCACTTATTGCACTGTATTGATCAGCAATCTGTTATGGGATCAATCAACAATGGCGGAGGGGCTATTCAGCTTCCCGTCATCGACGTCTCAAACTTCGGCGCGGAAGTTGGAAAGCAAATGCTGGATGCTGCCACCAATTTCGGTTTCCTCTACATCAGCACCACTGGAACTGGATTCACAGAGGAGTTGGTCAATCGACATTTCCAACTTTCTCAAAAACTCTTCGCACTGCCCGATGCAGAAAAGGAGGCGTATCGTATTGACCATTCCAATCAAGGTTGGGTCGGGATGCAAGCTGAGATCCTCGATCCCAAATCACAGCGAACAGGAGATTTCAAGCAAGGTTTCAACATGGGTGAATTCCGGGATGGAAAGCCTCAGAAGCCTCTGCCTTCTGTGTTGGAAGAACGCCTAGAAGACCTTGCCAAGTTCGAGGCGAAGTGTCAGCAGCTCTGCGGTCGCATACTGGACCTGCTCGCACTCGGGCTGGAAGTCGAGGAACCAGGGTTTTTCTCCTCACGACATACTCAACCAAGTGGCTGTACGGTCCGACTATTGCACTATCCGGCGATCCCAGATGAGAGCGACTACCAGCCCGAGGTCGATATCCGTGCAGGTGCACACTCGGACTACGGCAGCATTACGCTCCTTTTCCAGAGGCCGTGTCAACCAGGGCTCGAGATCCGCACGTCAGATAACACCTGGGCACCTGTCCCTGTCATCCCAGACGGATACACAGTGTCAACTACATTCCCACCCATCCTGGTGAATATCGGCGACCTACTATCATACTGGACGAACGGGATGCTAAAAAGTACAGTCCATCGAGTTGTGTTCCCACGTGATGCAAAGCGTGGGGGCGAGGATAGGTATTCAATTGTCTATTTCTGCCATCCTGGCGACGATACGCAATTGGTGCCTGTCCCAAGTCGGCTTGTGGCCGAGCATACCTTGGACGAAGGTGCTCAAGTCGGGCACGGTGGTGGAGCGACGTCGGAAAGAGCCATCACGGCTCAAGAGCATTTGCTGAATAGATTGCAGGCAACATATGAGTTCAGAGGCAGCTCAGCGAGCGGAGGTGGTGTCAAAGTTTGAGTCGGTACTAGTAGACACTGGCTCTATCAAAATTCAAATAGCTGTGGTTGTCAAATTTTTGCTTTTCGTTTGGCTTAGACCTCGCTCATCACGTTTGCACCACAAAGAAGATCCAAATTGTGGTTCAATGGGAATCTTACTGCGAGCACTGGTGAAAATACACGAGTGGAAACGGAATTTGAAGTAAATGATTGGTTTGAGCGAGCAAAGAAGAAAAAAAGAAATGGTCCAAGTAAGGATCGATTCACCACCCACAGCCTCGCGAGATATTTGAACTCCGCAAATTTCAGCCTTGTGATCAGACGATAAGAGACCAATAGAGACGAGTTTACTGGGGTGCAAGAGGGCACCGAAGCTTAATTATAGTGGCAAGTGGGCATCACCTTTAGGCTTTAACCACGGGTCAAGGCATCCAAGGAGCCACCAGTGTCAAGTGTAATTGGCGCTGCTACTGCCCGCCTGCAGTCGCTTCCCCTGCATCTCCATCTCCAGACAAAAGTTTCGGCTTCTTTTGTTTTGGGATCTGCTGGAACCCACTTTGGTCTTTCCCCCAAACTGCTCCAAATCGCTTTGACTGCAGTGCGTGTAGTTGTTAACTTGTCACTCTCACTTTTAATCAACTGTCCACATCGATACATTCTCTTCTGTTCCTTTCCATGCTCTGTCTTTTCCTCAGCCTTGGCCCCCTCAACTCGACTCAAAACTACCATGTCAGGTACGACCAGCGCAACCCACAAAGCGATGAAGCTTGATCCACTGACAACTTGTGACAGTCCAGAAGTTCGACCAATGGGCCAGTAAGCATGTCGACTTCTGCCATCTCCAATCCTTGAAGGATGCTGTCATTGGCGTCGACGCTTCCTATTACCTCGACCTGCGCCTGAACGGCAACAATGAAGAACCTCTCAAGCATGCTCTCGGTGGCATTCCCTTCTGTTTTAAGAAAACCGTCGAAGACGACATTGGCCTCCTGCGCCAACACGGAATCACCCTGATCTTCGTCTTCAATGGGTTGGACTACGTCAACAAGAGCCGTCCGGACTCTCTGTCGACCGAAAGTCGACGGGTTCAAGATGAGGCGTGGCATCACTATCTCAGTGGTGACAGCAAGCGAACAGTCACGGACTTTGGAAAAGCCAAATATCCAATTGATATCATGACTCGTCCGCTTCAAAAGATTCTCATTGAGAACAAAGTTCAATTTCTGGTCGCACCCTATAGTGCGACTGCGCAGGTTTGTGATCTCGTGCTCTTGGTGGGACCTGAAGCTGACCAACGGTCTAGCTGTCATATCTACTCAAGCTACCTGAACAATACATCGACGCAGTCATGGGCAACACGGAGGCATTCCTCTTCGGTATTGACAGAGTGGTCACCGACATCAATCTCAATAAGGCAACTCTGAGCCTCCTGACCCGTCAAGCATGTGAGGATTTGCTCAAGGTGAACGGAGACGCACTGCGAGATGCCCAACTGATTCTCGGTACCTCATACACACCCACTTTCCCTCCACTCGAGGGCCTTGGACCTGGCAAATCTACGAGTATTGTCGATGCGATCGCATTGTTGAACACCGCAAACAAGAACGTCATACAACTCTGCAACTTCCACCGGGAGCACCCTCAAGTGCAGACCCTCAAGTACGCTGATCGATACAAGAAAGCGATCATGACCATTAGACATCACGTTGTCATTGAAAAAAATGGTGCCGTTGCGCCATTAAACTTTAACACTGCTCCTGGTGATGTCCATGAATTTATTGGACAGCGACTACCAGAAGAATTATTCTTCTATATGTCAAAGGGACTGCTGGGTGCGCAAGTTCCAAACTGGCTTACGTCGGGTGAAATTGTTCTTTCGCTTCCCGGAGGCGTGTTGGATTCAGAGCCGTATCGGCGATTGGTAATAGAATTACTCAATCCCCTTCGTACGGAGGCTCTGAAGATATCAGCCGAGTCTCTCAATTATTACTACCAGTCCAGAGTTGTCAAGGTCGACCCATGGGTCCCACAGGACACGAGCAACCTGACGATTGAAATCAAAAATAGCCCTGCCATCAAGACTCGATTGGCGCCTTGGAAAGTCCGGGGTACAGATATTCAGACCGTGCTAAGCAAGCCCAGTGTAAGTCGCAAGATCTGTTCGCCATTCGCTACGTGCTCACAGTGTGACAGCATACCTCCTTTTTCCTACCGTGCTTGCAGTCTCTCAAGGACGCCTCATTTGCGCAAAAGACGATTACGAAAGAACGAGTGAAGCACCCTGCGCTGACAACACCAGACGAGATTGTTGTTGATGCAACCTTCAGATTTCTACACGTGCGCGGTTATGTTGATGACAACCACAAGCTCACTACTTGGGGTAAGGCTCTGGAAGCTGCACTTGCCGTGACAGACGAAGAAACGACTGTGGTGGGGGTCGAAATGCTGCGACTTGGCCTGTTTACTGGCAACTTCGCAACCGGGACTCCAGTTGCTAGAAGTGGTAAATTGTTCTCCGATAGTGCTTTGAGTCATCGACTAATGCATCAGTAGACAAGGATTATCCACGCAAAGTGTACACGAATCTTATCTCTAAAACCGCATGCTTGGGTCGGATCCGGCATAAGCCAATGGGCTTTGTTGGCCCTCTTGATCGCCAGTTGTTGACCTTCGCGTGGAAGATCACAGCTGTGCGGAGATCTGTTCGGGATTTACTGGAAACCGTCACAACCAGCATGTTCCTGAATGGGGATGTTGAGCGTGAGAGGGACGACTGGACTTTATTGGTTTCAAAGTGGGTGGCTCAACTCGTGCGCCTGAATGTGCTGACCAAATCGTTAGATTGCCTTTCGCTGGCGACAATGGATCAGGTCTTGGAATTGCCGTCAAGACATATCTGGATGCTGTCAACGAAGAAGGCGAGATTACAGATGCCCTGAAGACAAGTATCAAGCAACAGGAAGGGAAGTACAACTGGTTTGGCCAGCTCAAAGGAGGAGGCCACTTGACCAAGAGTTTGGAACAAGCATGGAAACTTTGGGATGCGGTATGCCAAATTGTGACGCTAATCACCGAGTAGGGCTGACTTCTCTAGGTCTATGCTGCGAGTCAAGTGCCAGGCACCGAGGTGAAAGAAGCCAAGCTGTTCTCCGACGCAAATGAATGGCTCTCGCACCGACGTTGAGATGGCCATTTACCCTCGAACCAATGGCAGCCTATGCCACTATCCAAAGACACAAGAGGCAGGGGTGGATGCCTTGAATCATGCTGTCAGCGGCCTGGGTTTAAAGAAGCCAAAGTTTTGACATTGGCCACGCGTTCTCAGATTTGAGGAGGTGGTGATCGTTGACCTGGGTGGAAAACAGCTGACGGGACTGGAAATCTACGAAGAAGACCGTGGTACATTTGGCCACCCATGACGGTACATGGAATGAGTCCAGAAGCTCAATCGCGGGGATCGTAGTATCGATAGGAAATGGTGATGAGTGGATGCTCTGACACCAGATGACCAACACAGTCGGAAAGATACAGTCGAGTTATGGCAGATCGGCTCGGGTATTCACGGGCACAGTAGTTCTAGGACGTGAACTGCAGGGCATACCTGCAAGGCTGGATCACCAGTTGAAACCGAAGCCTTAAGCTTAGTGGGAGCTTTCTTAGAGGTGTTTTCTGGTGGCTTGTTTCCTCGGGACCCTGGCAGGTTGGACATGCCCCTTTCGGGTGTGCCAGGCTGAACGGTTAACGCCTATCGCGTGATGGTGAGCCTACCGAACAAATCTTAACCTTACGTGTACTCAAGTGCGGATCTTCATTGTCTTCCTTTGAACCTTGAACACTTCCCTCCAAACTACCCGGCTCCCATCTCCGTTGGCCACTATCTGTAGGGCACGAGCATTGACACACCAAGAAACAAGGCACGAGTCAGCGAGACCAAACTTTGTCAGTAGTGCCTGTGCCACCTTCCCACTGGCGCACTCCCGATAGAAATGTCGTGCGTGCCGACCGGGCACGCCTGTGATCATGGCCGGCGATCGCTTTGCTCCCCATCAACACCACGACTCCCTGGCACACGACCAGTTTGAGATGGACGACACGAGCATCTCTCACACCTCCTCAATTCAAAGACTCGCCAGCAACAATGACAACGAAGACCCCATTCCGTCGAAAAAGTCGGGGGTCAAGGGTGTCGCGCGACACACCCTGGGGCTCCTCCTCCTTCTCTGTGTCGTTTTTCTCTGGACAACGTCCAATTTTTTGGGCAGTGTATGACTCCTCCTCTGCTATGGTCTGATTCCCGCGTTGACAATTATGTGTGCAGAGCATTTTCGCCGACAAATCTTATGCGAAACCTTTCTTCCTGACATATCTCAATACATCCATGTTCATGCTGGCCATGATACCTACATTACTACGTTCGGCATACCGACAACATAAACGAGGAACACCGTACAGCACATTACGATCGAATCTATCGCGGAATAAAGGATATAGACCGCTGGCCGGAACCACCGGTGAAGAGTCAGAGTCGCAGGCCTTCATACACAAATCTCCCACCACAGATCACGATGCGAACGGGAATACCAAGAACCTGGGCATCATAGCGACCGCCCGTCTCTCCCTTGCCTTTTGTTTCCTATGGTTTCTCGCAAACTACTTTGCCATGGCCTGTTTGCAGTATACCACCGTCGCTTCCACCACTATCCTTACTTCCACCTCGAGTTTTTGGACACTACTCATCGGAGCCGTCACTGGCGTGGAGCGTTTCACCTGGCGCAAGTTTTTCGGCGTTATGGGTTCCTTCATCGGCATTATCCTGATTTCCAGCGTTGATTTTTCGACCAGTCCAGAGTCTTCCGATCCGCCTCCCAGTAGTGACAATACCCTTAGTCTACTTCGGAGGGCGATTGACAGTTTTCCAGACAAGACATCAGGGGAACTGGCCCTCGGTGACGGGCTCGCGCTCTTCTCCGCCGTTATATACGGCATTTACAGCATCGCTCTGAAGAAGATGACCATCAAAGCATTGCCACGACAATTGAACATGCCTCTATTCTTCGGCCTCGTGGGAACTTTCAACATCTTCTTACTAAGCCCTCTTTTCCCCATTCTTCATTACACCGGCATCGAACCCTTTCAGCCACCACCCTCGGCGCACATCTGGATGGTCCTTCTCGTCAATAGCGTGAGCAGTTTATTGAGTGACATCTGCTGGGCATATGCGATGGTTCTGACAAGTCCACTGGTGGTCACCGTGGGACTGAGTTTGACCATTCCGCTGAGTCTGGTGGGTGAAATGGTTCTGCAAGGGCGGTACGAGGGTTGGATATACTGGGTTGGCGCCGGGATTGTGGTGGGCAGTTTCTTGTTTGTGGACCATGAGGAACGAGAGGACGAAAACCAGGAAGCGAGGCATCCGTCTTACACCGACAGTTATGCTGCCACGGACGGACTTCTACCCCAACGCGACGTTACAGATCGAGCTAGACATTCCAGCTCACAAGATTCAATTATTGAGGAAGACTCGCTGGTAGCCCGGCACGACGCAACGCCAGTACAGGCCGGACGATCCTCGACGGCAGAGAGGCCGGGGCACATTCGCAGAAGATCTTCCGGTGTCATGGAGACCCTATCTGCTCAAGCTGGACTACAAAACAGCGTTCCTTCGGCTCCACGGAGGAGTCAGGAGAACCATGGAGTTGAACATGATCTGTTGGATAATACGGATGATGACAGATAGACTGCCCATGTGATATAGACGATTAATTTGTCTCGCATTCTGAGGTAAATAGCTGGATATATACATGTATATTACCTAGGTAGGGATATAGTATCCCCCCGAACCGAGTTTCGTCCACTGCCATGCCGGTTAGGAAAGGGAGCCAGGCCGCTCAACTCAGGCACGTACAATAGGATATTGAGAACGTCGAATCACTTGAGGTGCGTCCTGACGTTATCACAGGGAGTTCTCACTTGACATCGGGCCTACCTAATTTGTATATGCTCATTCTCTGGAGACAGAACCTTACTCTCTTCCTCAGCTTTTATCACCCTGTCAGGCTAAAAAGAAGCCTCACCCATGGCACCATCAAAGTAAAACAGGTGAAGACAACGAATAGTTTCCAAGAGTCTGATAAAACTCATGAGCGGTTCGTATCTTCCATGTGTACGGTACCCCCGGAGTGTCACTGATCTGGACGCTTCCAGATGTCCGAGGGATATCAGGACCAACACAGTAACGACAGACATTGACAGAAACCCCAGGAATAGGTCTGCAATGTTGTGGGTCTCCTGCACCCGTCTCGTGGCAAAGGCTCCGAGGCGATGTGCTGGAAGAACTTGGAGGCCATAAATGAGAACTCTTGTGGTGTATTTCGACTGCTTGGGGCGTGAGACTCCTTCGGTTTTGCTGACACTCCTATGTCCCGAACGTTCGTCTTTACAGGGCGTAACTCGAGCTTCGGGAATTTCGGCGGTTGGATCAATTTCATCCGCAGGGTCTCTCTGCTCTGTGACAATATCCGCACAGCCCAGCTGAATCAAGTCGTACTCTATGGATGATGTACCTCCTATGTCTGAAGCTTCGCTTTCTTTTGTAGCTGCAGGGTCATCTGGCGCCAGCGTAAAGCTTTCAACAAGATCCTGCATCTAGAAGTGGCAGACAAGGGCAAGAATGAATATTAGGAGGGGATAGATGGCGAAAATCCATACAGGGGGATTCCGAGAGTCATCGAGCCAGTCGGGCACGCCCACTGCTTGTGGTCTGTGGTCTTAAGCTAGATGTATTCGACTGCCTTGATTAATGTGTCTCAGGAAATTCGGGAATTCAGAGTAACCATGAAAGTAGGAATTGTTGTTCTTGAACCTCGCCGATTTGTGTCCCAAATGGTGGAAGGTTGGGACAGGACGGGGGACGATTGCTGTAGCTTGATGTTCCAACTACGCGAGAGCTATTTGGCTGGCAAAGCCACGGCGATACGCCCGAGCAGCCTTATTAAACGCTTGAGAGGGAGCCGTAAGCGCCCAGGCTGTATTTTCTTTGCTACTTCAACCATCCTGGAGGGAGTGGAGGAGGGGAGCGATTCGACATTTGTCCGCTAACGGGAGAGCAAAGCGGTGGTTTATTTGTCAGCGTACGAACTATAGGGTCATAGTTGGGCGAGTATATGAATACTGAGATATATACATGACATGAATGGCTGACTTGTGAAAGCTGCAAGTATCTTGGTATAGAAGGGTTGGCGTGAACATTGTGTCGATGTAAATATTCTCGCATTTGCGAACCACTGATAATCAAGATGTACTGGCAAAAGACGCATGCAACGGAATCGCGCGACACTGAGATATGATATGATACCTAGCCTATAGCAAGTTATACGGAGCTAATCCGCAAGGCCCAAATCCCGCATCGTTGGCGTCCCATCCCTCCAAGGTCTGGGCTCGCCCATGCCAGGCATCTCAAAGCCGTCGGGCAGACGGATCTTTGGGAAGCCCTCTGTCTTCCACGTGTAGATCTCGCCGGGCTCTTCATGCTCGAACGCGCCGGGCATGGGCTGTTGCTTCTCATCATCGTCTCCGTCGGACTGTCGCTTCACCAGCCATTTGCTGCGGATCTCGTGTGCGCGGTCCTCGTCTTTCAGGACGAGCGCCCCGCTGTGCCAGCCTGCTGCGGCGATGGCGATAGGGAAGTAGACGCCGAGATGGGCGTAGTCGCCTCCTTGGTCGGGTTTGTGGTCTGTGGATTTGGATTTTGGGTCGGACGTGTTGGTGCTGGTGCTGGTGAGTGAGGGTGGGCCTTCGTCCCAGTGCCGGCCTTCCTGCTCGATCCATTCGCTAAACGCAGCTTGTTTGGCCGGATCGTTGTCGAAGATTGTACGTGCGGATTGTCCGTCAACGTTGAGGTGTGATTCGTTTAGTTGTTCCTCGAGCCAGTTCAACCAGTCCTTACGTTCGGGCTCAAACCAGATCTGTCGTCCGCGAAGGTTGGAGATTGGGAGGAGATCCGCGTCGCTTCTGGGATTCGGGTGTTCACGACGCAGGCCTCGGAAGCGGCCGCCGGATAGGGGTTGAGAGAGACCCAACGAACCACATTGCTGTGAGTCTCTACCGTAGGACGTGATTCTTCCATCGGCATGGAGGGCGTGGTAGTGGTAGTCTCCATATGCGAGTGCAATGACGCTTGTGTGCTGGAGAGCGGGGACATCTTGTGGTCGGCTGGCCAGGACTTCTGTCAAGCCGGCCCAGTCGTCTGAGTTTAGCTGACGGCTAGGATGCTGACGAATCGTATTGAAGCATTTCTTGAGGTAGTTGACATCGCCGGCTAGAACCTCTCCGGTCGCGGTGAACACTCCAAATCTCTGGAATTGACCGTGAACATCCTTCAATTCACGGCCTTCTGCACTGTACCCAGGGACTTCGAAGGGTGGGTGGGAAGGCTCAGTCTGATCTGGATTGTCAGTGCCCAATTGACAGGCATACAGTTTAGAATCACTGGTGATGTAAAGGATAAATTCCTCAAGGACAATATGTTTCAGGACCTCGAAGGTGCCGGAGTCAGCATGTTTGCGAGCTGTCCCTGGGATCACCTTTTCCTTCACGTGAATTCCATCAAGCTCTACAGCTGAGTGGTCGTTCTGGACTGGAGTCCAGTATACGATACCTACTTGAGGAACGTAGGCCGAACTTTCATTCCAGCCCGCCGCCACTCTAGCAGGTCTTCCACCAAAATCGCGGCCATTTCGAGAGAACACTTTAAGGCCCTTAGCGTTGACTCTGTCCCAAGAAACAATTTCGCCATCGTCGGTTAGGGCGAGAATGTGACGTCGTCCGGACGAAAAGTGATGAAGAGCCGACGTGCTCTGAGTTAAGTACTCAAGCTTTTCGAAAGACTGAGCAGCCCTTCCACGATTGACACCATCGAGAGAGTCAACAGAGCCTACCGTATATAGCTTGCCGGCGGAACTGAGAATAGTGGTTGACCAACCTCCACATTGGAGATCAGCAATGATACCGACCTCGTCAGGAACATGAACTTCGGTGGGCCAGGCTGAGCTTGTCCGCATAAAGACTTCTCGTGGTCTCGGCGGAACTCGCTGAACTGGGCGAGGGCGGCTGCCAACAAAAGGGGCAACATGAGGAGTAGGCCGGGAAGGATGAGGAGCTGGCAGGAATACCGAGGGTATAACGCCAGGAGTGGGTCGAGGAGGGTGGTGGGGAAGAGGAAGAGGTCGAGTGAATGGAGAGGCTCTTCCAGGCCCCAGGTTGCCCTTGACACCTTGACCCCAGGTGTACAGCTGAGTCTGGGTTTTGAGTCGCTTGTACAACCAGTACCAGCGAGGCCCGTCGGCAGCAAGTAAAGGGCTGATGGGTAGGCGAAATGTCCCTGAGGCGTTTGATCTCCAGTAAAGAGGATCTTGTCTGTATCTCTGGTAAACAGCCTTTTGAGTACGACAAAAAGCCAGATAATCTTCTGGTTGGAGATATGATAGAACGATGACGAGAACGTCGTCAGGGAAATCCAGGATCTCCATTTCAGGATCTATATCAATCCAGTGAGGTGTAGCAGCTAGGAGAATGGGGACTTAGGTATAGCAAAGTTGCAATGTGCTTTTAGTTGAACGGGGAGGACGTAGGGTAGAAGAAGTACGAGCGTGAGAAGCCAGAGATGCTTCTAACACTTGAACTGAGGCTGAGGGCTGGGCGAAGGATTCTGTGCCAGTACCTAAGTCACAAACAGGCTTGTCGTTCAAGTTGGGCTTGGAGTGCCAATCGGGTGACCCCCATCGTGCCATGTCAGTCTAAAGGCTGTCACTGTGCGGGCAGTCAAGGTGACGTCATGTCACGAGAATTCATAGGGGCTGCTTTAAAAGTCTTGGCAGCCTCAAAGGTGGCACTGCAAATGCTAGCATAACTACCTAGGTATCTAGACACCAGACTGCTGGTGATAGTGCCTAACGAGAGAGTGCGTGTAGGCCTTAAATCTATAATGGTTAGGGGGACATCTAGGGGTCCAAGTGGCATTTTGACAACATATTTCGTACGGTGACGCCTATTGCTAAATTACGTGCGGCGCGGCCAGACTTCTGGTTCTAGTGTGGGGTTTGCCAACAAACATCAGTCTTCAATTTATTCATCCTCCATCCCATTGAAACCACCACTATTACCATTACTCACACAGTGCCTGGCCCTCTGTAAGATCGCAGCGCACCAATCTTATTCTCTGCCTTTCCCTCTAAACCATCCGCTCCGCTCTCTACTATTCTTCTTCTCCATCTTTTCCAAATCCCATCACAATGTCGGACCCAACTCCCTCCGCCGATCAAACCGCTTCAGGCGACCTTAGACTTGCTCAAGATGAGACTCATCTAGTCCAAAACCCTCTGGGCAAACCCTCATCGGAGGCTCCTAACTCTTCCTCCACTGTCGCCGAGTCCGCCACCGCTGCTGCCAGCACGGTTGCCAGTTCCGCCACCACTGCCGCTGCTGGTGTCAAGGACTCTGTTTTCTCCATGTTCGGAGGCGGAGCAAAGAAGGAGAAGAAGGTCGAGGAAGAAGACGATGATGCCAAGAATGAACCCAGCGGCAGTAGTAAGGCCAAGAGAGAAGATGATGATGTAAGGCACAGTCAATGAATATTCCGAGAGAGTGGCTACTGACGATACTGGCAATGCAGGACAAGGCAGATGAGGAAGAAGCTGACGTCGAATTCGCACCTGTCGTACATCTCACCGAGAAGGTCGAGACCAAGACCAATGAAGAGGCAGAGGAACAAGTCTTCAAAATGCGCGCCAAATTATTCAAGTTCGACCGTGATTCACGAGAGTGGAAGGAGAGAGGCACTGGTGATGTTCGTCTACTCAAGCACAAAGAAAATGGTAAGACAAGATTGGTCATGCGACGAGACAAAACTCTCAAAGTCTGCGCCAACCACTATGGTACGTACTTGATGCAGTGCAATCACTCTGCCAGGATGTGCTGACTCTTCTCCGCAGTTACTCCAGACATGAAGCTCTCCCCCAACGTGGGCAGTGATCGAAGCTGGGTGTGGAATGTTGCAGCCGATGTCAGTGAGGGCGAGCCAGAAGCTCAGACACTTGCCATTCGTTTCGGCAACAGTGAAAGTAAGCAACCCCTGCTCGTCTAATCCAGGACAAGACATACTGATGAGCTTTAGATGCCAATCTGTTCAAAGAGGCTTTCATCAAGGCGCAACAAGAGAACGAAGCGTTGTTTGGCAAAGCATAAAGCGAGAACATGACTTGAGATGAAATGAATTTTGCAAACCCAACGCAAGCATAGAGATCAGTCTTGAATTGTCTGCTCCTATGTTTTGATTCGCACCTGACAGGTGAGCACACGACGACAATGACAGAAAGCGATTGCAAATCAGAGCCAGAAGACGCATTTGGTCATATGATGTCCGATAGTCTAGCCCATACCCCCAACTTTAGATAGAACTTGAAATGGACCCCGAGTCTCCAATTGACATTCTGAACCAGAGAAAGGTTTTTGTTTGTCCATTGACACATCTTGAACACTTTTCAACCCGTCAAGAGTCACAATGTTGCCCCGCCTCTCCCAGTGCGAATGGTTCGATGTTTCATACCCTCCTGGCTGTTGAGGTTCAAGTCGAAGAAGACGCTTGTGGTTGGAAGATAGATGTTCCTGGGACTAGACCAAATCAGGCTCTATAAAGATCGACGCCAAGACCGAACAGTCTAGTCGCGTCCGGCAAAGTTTCCCTGGATAGTCCCCGCAGTCACGACTCACGACTCAGTGCACGACTTCCTGGCTACTTACCTAACTGAGTACTTTCGCATTCGAGTTCGCAGTCTCACAGCCATCCTGACATCTCCAGACTCAAGATCCAAGCATCGGCGGCGAGTATCCTCATACCTCGTTCTCGCGTCCGCGTCCGCCTGTCACGCTAAATTCACATCTTCATTCACCCTGCTCTTCACCTTCACAGACTGGGACCCTGTACGTATCCGCGTTGCAGAATATTATTTAACCACCTCAACCCACCGCGCGACTTCCTCCTCATTTCCTTTTCTTTCCACCAATTCTACCACCTATATACATGCTCGGCGTCGCGAGTATCAACCACCATCAGCGCGTAGTTCAAGATTCTCACTCCTTCTGGGCATAGATCTACTTTCCCCGACCAAACTTCCCGCAAGTTGCGACCTCGCGACTTCACCGATCTTGCCTTTTCTTCCCTCGGCACTTTCATCACTATTGACAAGACCACCCCTCGTCGCGCATCATGCCGGACGTAAGTACTCCATCACTTGTACCGTCTTGGTGCAACTTCTCTTCTGACATCCTTGCTAGGTCAAACGATCCATCAAGATCATTACCGAACAAAAAGTCATGTAGGTTGACCTCCAACAGATCTTGTCCCAACAACGCTTCCGACCAGACCAGCTATTTCCTCTCTGGTCTCTCTGCAACACTGCCCCCCTTTGTCACCGCACGCAAGTCACTCAACTCATCTGATGTGTCATCTACAGTCCCGGTGCCGATAGTGGTGTAGAAGGGTTTCCTCTTCGTCACTGGTCGATGAGAATCGTCTTGCTCCATGCAGACACAAAGCAAGAGATTGACGCAGATGTCTTTGACAGCGTCCTATACCACCTCCATGAGTCCTTCGGAGCAAAGGCGAAGCAGAGTATGTCCTGCATCTCAGTTCATTTGACCCGCCTCTCTAACTGGCCCATTCAGCATTCAAGAAGCCCCCCTTCCGCGTCTCAGAGGATGGTTGGGGTGAGTTTGAATTGACCGCAGATCTCAAGGATCTGTCTGGAAAAACCCACTCAATCGTCCATGACTTGAACTTTACTCAACCTCGCTATGAAACAAAGCATATCATCAACTTCAAAAATCCAAAGGGCACTCTCCTAGAGGCTCTCCGGAACTCAGGTCCCATCCCTGGTGAAACTGCAGCAAACGGTGCCGATGCCTCTAGCAAAAAACGAGCCAGCGAGGTTGGTGCTGGTGGCACTCAGAAGAAAAAGAAAGGTGGTGATGGCAAAGCTGTTGACATGGACAAATTGGCAGAGGGCCTACAGAAGCTTGGTGAGGATGATCTGTTGCAAGTCGTCCAGATGGTGCACGACAACAAGAGCGAAGAGTCCTGGATGCGCAATGATGTCGAGCGTAAGTGCAAAATTGATTTCGCGCCCTCTTCGATGCTCTACATGCTAACAGCGATTGCTCTTACAGAGGGTGAGTTCCATGTCGATCTATACACCCTCCCAGAAAATCTCATCAAGATGCTCTGGGATTTTACTGCCGAGAAGAATGCCATTTCTGCATCTGCATGATCCCAAATCAGACTCACTGATCACATTTTTGTCATCTTGACAATTTTGGGGGTCGTCTTCTGATTCGGCAATCTTTCGTCCAGGGAAAACGGAGCACAGAATTTTGTACCATTATTTACCATGGCCCGGAGCGTCTACTTGTTTTGACTTTCGTCATGATCATGTATTCTCATGCCCAAGGCTAGGCCATTTCGAATGCTTTGCATTTCAGCCTTTGCACGCTGCCCATTTCTCACCCGCCAATTGAATGTTGCAAAGCTCAGGAGCATCGGACACATGCACTTGGAATTTCATCCAAGCACCTTCATGGAGGCTCGAATCTTGTTTTTGACGCGTGAGGTTTACGAATCTGTTCACTGCGCGAGGTTGACCAGGGGTATATGCGCAACATGACGGTCATTTTGCTCGACCATGCGGAGCAGTGGTCACGTGATAACATGAGACCATGCCTTGATGGAAGGAAAGGAAGGGACAAAAACCAAAGACGAGTGAAGGATAGGCAAGCTGGAACTCGTTCAGAGCAAGATGTGCCATAGAGAAAGAAAGATACCCTACACCCAGACAGAAGGAAAATAGCCCCTTTTGCCATATTGTCAACACATGGGATCGGCTTAGATTTCTATGATGTGGCTCGCCATGGCAGGAACCGGTTCTTTTCCTGAAGATACCACGAATGGAAATCTAAACAGCGAGCGATAATTCTGCAGCCTGCCACTGTGAAATCGTCCTAACAGATTGGTTTGCATTCCTCCTTAGGCGCTAGAGTTAACAGTGTAGATCTACATGTCTTCCTCGACGTGCCTCCACGCACTTCCCGATCTGCAGCGAGGCCGAAGCGGCCAATCGCTCAATCCATAAGAGGAGTCTCTTCTATTTGAAACAGCGACCTCCCGCAAGGGAAGAGTCATGACAAATGACGGCTGACAGGCGGTTGTCGAGTTCCTAACCCCCTTTCACCCAATGATACAAACGGAGTTCGATTCACTACGAATGAAAAACGCTGACGTATGAACGCGCATCTAGATGCGGATGCCCATGCTCGGATGCAGATACATGTGCCACGCATTGGTCTCTGGTGCTTTGCCATCAACCGACCCACCTTCAGCAGTCAGGTGAGGAGGAACAGCTCGAGAGAAGATATTCCCCCTCCCCCAAATCCAATCCCGAGAGGGCCCGGCGCGGTTCGCCTCATGAAACAACCCCGTGTGGAGGATGGGGTGAGGGAGAACGCGTTGTCATCTTCGCTGGAACGGAGGATGGGGGGAAAGGGAGGGAAAGGGAGAGAGAACTGGAATCATGGAAGCTTCGCTGACGGCCGGCAGATGCAGATGAAGTAGGTAGCTTTCCTGCTACAAGGTTGTTCCCTATTATGAGCTTATGAGCTGTGGATTGACATGGGGCCTGAGTGTTGTTGCTTGTGCAAGTAGTTGGGGCTGTGGGACCACCTCAACGCTGACTGTACTGTTCAGTTCAGAAGGTGATCTGAAGAGGAACGCCATAGACTAGTGGACCATGCGGCACGAGGAAAGTAATGAGCTATGCTGTGTCATGGGTGACGGGTGATATCATATAGATTTTCATCTGGAGCAAGTGGGATTTAATATGTCCCCATCTCTGTCTAGGAGTAGCTAGCAGCTAGTAGTCTGTACAGCTAGGATCTTACTGCTGATATCGCAGGTCATCATCAAGCCTTTGTGTTCAAGTTTACCTAGTCAGGTATGTGTGGTCTGGTATTGACGTGCCATACCAAGCTTGTCTTCACCCATGATCGCAATGCGAGTGTGCAAACAGCGCTGCTTCTCAAATCAAAATCTTTGCCTATCCCAAAGGGATGACGCATAACCACCCAGCACAGCACCTCCATGTGCTCTCTTCCGCGGTTTGTCCAGGTGCTCTCCAACGACGATAGTTTTTTATCATGCAGATTGTAGTGCATATGTTACAAGCTCTGAGAGAGCCAGAGCAAGTCCAAATGATCAGCATATGTGATCGTCCAAATATCGAATATCCATTAACCCAAACCATAGGTGGTGTGTACAAGTTAAGCCCCTGGGGGCATTCGACAATATTGCGAGAGATCTCGGCGTAGAGTTGAGATTTGTCTCGTCTTGTGGTTGAGTCCAATTCCAGTGTCGGAATCGTCGTATTAAACTCTTAAAAGAAATGAACGTTCACAACAGTCTCAGTTTTGCAGATAATCCGACCAGAACAGCGAGGGATAATGCTCGGAAATCATCGGTTGGGCGAATTGGAATGGTTGTGGGTCGTTCAAATGTGCGCATAGTAATGCAAACGACGGAACATGGTTGACAGTATCCAATCTGTCCAAGGACTCGTTCTTTCCGCAATGTGTTATTCAAGTCATTTCGAATACCGTATTTATCTCAGTACTCGATTTCTAGAAGGGGGGAAGTTAGCCTTCATCGCTGTTGCAACGAGGAAGAAACTTACTGCATGAGAACGCCTTCCAGACCCTCGGCTTTTGCACCAGATATTGTGGCAATAACATCGCCACCTTTGTAGGCCAGAACGGCTGGGATGTCCACAGACTCCATCTCAGCAACCTCGTGGTGTAGGCGTACAAAGCGTGTGGTCGGGTACTTGCAAGCTAGTACACCAAGCTCTTCTTCGACCAGATCACTGGCAGTAGAGGTCGGATCATGAATCATGACAACTACTACCGTATCGTCTGCGACCTTCTCGATGGCGTCCAGGTAACCGTTGGCGTCTACCTCAAGAAACGTACCCCAGCTACGCTGGCTGGGCCATTGCTTCCGTTGAGGTTGTGATTGTTGAGAGGCTAGCTCTTGTAGACGGTTTGCCCGCCACGCTCTCATGAATTCCGAGTCTGTTTCATCGTCTGATAGGGCTAGGCTCTCATTGTCAGAAGAGACCGACTTCGGGGAACCAGAAAGCGTCTTCCTCTTGTCTGACTTGGAAGTACCTGTTGGGCCTATGTTAGAGGTGAGGTTGCTTGCGAAGCTTGCGAGCCGTTGGCGGAATGTGGTCTGCTTCGCTCGGGCAAAGGATTGAGCATCTGCAATGACACCTTTTGGACCAGTGTTTGCGAAATGGGTTTGAGTTGGAAGATGATAGGTGGTTCTGGTAGCAGTAATGGTAGCCATGTTATCGTCGTCGTCGGTGCCTGGATCTGAATCTTGACGTTCAAAGGCTGGCTCAGTGGGATCTTCAGAAGAATGTCTTGAACTGTTATCGCGGTCTTCAGGGTGAGAAGTATGGTGATCGCGGTGAGAAAAGTAACGGTCAGCTTCTTCACGAGCGAGGTCGGCCATGATGTATCCGAAGGGTAGGGCGTTAACTTTCAAGTGCTCCGCGCTGGCTATGGTAGATGGAGTCACAGTTGGTCCAAGAGACAAAGATGACGCTCGGGTTCTTTGAGTTTGAGTGGACAGGACAGACAGGGCTAGTAGACTAGTGAATCTGTGACCTACAAATCGAGGACTAGTACGGGTGGTCTGGAGACGATGAATTGGGTGATGTCAAACTCGAAGTCAACCTGGTGACAAGGGCATGGCTGTTGCAGAATCACCGGGAGAAGGAAAAGATCAGCTGAGACACGCGATTCGACTGATGTTTGGTGATGTTGAATTGACACGTCTGTCGTAGTGGGAACCGAGGGGGAATAGCTTGAAACACGGTCCAGGGCAGATGCCGCACCAACAATGTGGATCTTGCCTTGAAGCCCAAGAGAAAGGGCTGAAAAGGCGGGAATTCGTATTGTCGATGACTCCAGATAGTTTGTGAGCGACTGGTTGTTTGATGGATGATGAGATGACACGTGGCTGTGGCTATGAATAAGAAGGGCTCGAGCTTGAGATTGACAGAATGAGAGGAGTGGGAGTGAAAGAACCGTTCAAGTTGGTCATCTTCGGTGCAGTGAGGCTGCATCTGCACCTGCAAAGGCGCTTGCATACGCCTATCAGGCACACCGGAAAATATTGGGAAGCCACCAATCGCTTCTCGATTTAGCTAAGGTGCGGGGGCTTCTAGGGGCAGCTGATTAACTGTTTAGGCCCTGTGGGCGTAGATCTCGGGCGTTTGGTTTCGGTGCCTTGCAAGGCTATCCATACTAAATCTACCTACCGAGCGCTCCGTATCTGCACTCCGTATGCCTGGGTACGGATACCTTGGAGAGTGATGATCTCGAGCAAACCAAGAATCGGAAGCTAAGAATTGTTATCCGTAGCCTCAGGTCGAGATTCAAGAGCCGGCACTGTCTCCGAACCGTGCCGTTTGAGCTCCTCTACGGAGTATTCGTACTCTGTTCTTCCTCTGCGCTTCCCACACCGGAACACGAATTTGGCAAGCCTTCGAACGCGCCCTCATGCGCATTCCAATTTCATCTTCCCCAAGTCCGTTGACAGTTTGCAGGTCAAAATCGAACCTGTCAGATGTGTTCTAGACGCGTGCCGCAGCTCCCGACCAAATCTCCGACACTTGTCAGTGTTGTCACTGCTTTGACTTGATACTCCGTAATTAATGTCCGGTTCCAACCTGTGGCTGCTTCTATACGAACGCCCACTCCGTGTCGAGTGGCCACAAAATACCACACCGCTAAGACGCTCGTTGCTCTCCTTCCAACCGATAGTAGTGGACACAGACGTGGACTCCGGCTACTAGTTATTTCGTACTCGTAGATGGCACAACGAAGGTTGACGCCAATTCAGCCCCATCATCTCCACCATGGCGAGAGCTCAATTTGGTCAAAACACTCGAGTCTGGACCACGTTCATCCAAGTTGTCAAGTTGTCAAGGACTTCGCTCCAAGTTTTGATGGTAACGTGGCACGTCAGACGTCATCACCTCCGTGGCTGTTCTTGCTTTTGATGGATTGGCAGACACTCAGGCTGGCAATTGTTTCGTTTCAAGTGTGGAGACCGCCCTTCGTGTTGGATGAAGCTGGTGGAACCATCTTCTAGTCTTCTAGAAGTTCCTTCGAAGCTCTCCCCAAGCTGTGTCTGACTACTAAGAATATCCACCAACTATCAGTACTCCATCTATCAACGACGGGTCCCCAGAGGAAGCGCTCTGGCAGTCTATCCATACGTGATCGAGAGTCCCATACCTTTGAACTAACAAGGGGCCAACCTCGCCTCGGGCTGGACATAGGACCTTGTTGAGTAGTCATACGAAGACTTGATCAAGTTGAGCCAGAGGGTCAGTGCTTTCCTGCCACAGAAATCAAGGCTTCAGAACTTCGCTATCTCTTGATTCGGCGGACTTTTGGGCTTGTTTCTAGTTCTTCTCCCAGCGCCCCAACCCGCATCTGCGAGAACATCGTCATCTTTGATCTTCCGTCCTTTCTTTTGCTGCACGACTGGCTTCGGTTCAATCTCCTTTGCTCCCTGCTTCGATCGTGTTCGTCTCGATTCCGCGAGCTTTTGTCGCAGAATGATGGCCTCCTCTGGGTCTTCGTAACCCAGCTGGGTCATCTGAGGAGTATCATCCTCCCTCTGAAAATCGCCTCGAACCATATCAGGGTCGTGCAGACCGAGTGCAAAAGATTTGATTCCTGACAACGTTGATTTTGCGCGCCCCATAAGACTGAATCCACTCTTCTCAGCACCACTTGCGCTCTCGGTGCTTTGCTTGCCCGGAGGCATGGAAGCAATCTCACTCCCGATGCCATCTGTGTTCATGCTGTCGACCGATCCTGCCCTCGAGATGCGGGTATTGGATGTGTTGGATAAGTTGCTCAGTGCGCGACCTATAAGTCTGCCTTTGGTTAAATTTTCATTACTTGCATTCGTAGTTGTATGCTTCTTCCGGTTCTGTTGATCTAGAAGCTCTCGAATGGCGCCGTTCAGATTGAGCACGCTCGTAGCCTTCTCAGTCATGTCCTCGGCAGGATAATCTTTGCCCTGGCAAGGATGATCTGTTGCTTTGCTCGTCTGCTGGTCAGAGTTTTGTTTGCAGTGGTTGTCATCATGCAGATGCTTCGTATCACTCTTGTCACCTTGACCGCGAGGCTTCTTGATCGGGGAGTTGGCATTGACCTCTTTTAAAGGCGGTTCTACCCACACGAAAGAATCTCCAAGTGCCTCCCGATTGGTCGAATTTGAGTTTTCTGATTTCATGGTATTCGAATCGTGATCAACCTGCTTCTCTGGTTCTTCTGTCGAGTCCCGATGGACGTATGTGAAGGAGCCATCTATTGCAGCATCTCCACTCAGTGACATATTGGAGCCTTTCTGCCGGGATGGCCGTACATCGGGGTGTTTGCCGTGAGGAGATTTCGTTTCGGACTTCAATGGTATCGTACTGACTTCAACATATGCGCCATCTGGCTTTGAACGATGGCTAGGTTTTGCCGCCTCCGTCTTCGCTGAAGAATTCGTGAATGGTTGCACGAGATATTTGTCTAAAGGTAGGTTTCGACTAGTCTCAAGCACTTGATAGAGCCATGACTCGGTAACGACAGGAATGTTGAAGTGTTTCGCTAGCCCAAGTTTCTGCTGATTGCTGCTTCCAGACTTACACAACAACATACCCACCGTGGGCGTCAAAATCTCGACATACTTTCCTCCAAGCAAGGTGACCATCTTCGAGGTATGTAGTGTCTCCAAGGCACCAAACCCTGTGGCATTGATTGTAAGCTTTGAAAAGTCCGGCATCAACGATTTCTCGATGATCTTTCCGAGCGGGTAGTCTTGAGGGTTGACGAATCTCTTCTGAAACATACACTGCTCTAACCATAGCTCAGAAACGGTCACAGCTGTTGGATTGGACGGGTGTATCGATGCCTGGCTGGTCTTTGCTATATCGTGGGGCAATAAGATCAACACGTCGTCATCATGGTCACCGTCACCCTCTGCTTGCTCATTCGTGATTGTTGCTCCATTCTCTAGCAAGATGTTGCGGACAATATTTTCCTTTTTCGTAGTTAGCTTTTCATTCTGAGCACGAAGTAGAATAGTGAACTTTACTTACTTTCTTACCCACGAAGCCACACATCTTGAGAGAGTGGCCACTAAAAAATCCAATCCTTGTGTTGTTGGTGATGTTACCCACCGAACGTGCCACAGCTTGGACCTGGTCTTCCTGTGCCGTCTCAATCGGAGTTACAGTCTTAGGCAAAGAGGACATAGACTTTGAAACTTTCAGTTGTCGCTGAGACTGGTGCTCGTCGTCCAGGCCAGGGCCTCCAACAATGTCTGTCCACAAATTCTCATTCTGACTTCCGAGTCTGGCACTCGCTGTCCTTCGTAGCTTTCGAGATGGCTCTCCCCCCACGACCGTCTCCCTAGGACGTTTGATCGCTTTAGGGGAAGGTCGAATATTCCGGTTCCACGCTCCACGGCCTTGTTCGGTCACTGGAATTGTGGGGTGGTACAGGCGTTCTTCCAGTTGCATGCCTCGTTCAAGGGTGTCTTTGTACCATTTTAAGCTGACGACTTTCTTCTGCCAGGTCATCCCGTATTCATATTTCTTCCCCTCTGGTTTCGCTGCAATGAGATGGGTTACATCTTTCGTCAGATCTCCGGTATACTCTCCCCCGTTCTCCACGACGTTCTTTTGCAACTGTGCTCTAAAGGCCAAATCCTCAAACCCCGTGATACATATTTTCAAACCGGTCAGTGTGGGCATACGGTACTCTTGGGCAAGCTGATCGAGGTTGATGGGATGGTCGTTCATCCAGAGCTCTCGTAGGGCGTCAATCCATTCTGGACGGAGGACTTTGATATCATCTCGCTCTCTGGCGACATAGCTGTACTTCAAGCTTTCAGTGCTTCCGACGATCAAATGGGTTGTCTGCGAGGTCAAATCAAGAGTGTGTTCTGCTCCCATCTGAATAGCAGCGTCCGCGTATTGAGTCTGTGTCCGAGTCAGTGCATCGGGAATTGAGGTTCTTGTGGGTATACTAACTCGCTGTTCTGGAGCGACGGAGGTAAAGCATAAAATGGCGCCGTGCAGTGGTCGTTCTGCAGAGGCTGGACAGCACAGTTAGCACAGGGAGACAAGCACAAAAGCAACCGCCTTTTCACACCTCGAATATTTGATATTGCCATGATGCATGTTGTGACGAGACAACAGGTCTGGCATATAAATACCTAATGAATGCAATAAGGCACCTACGATCAAGGCTTGGTAACTCAAACTGCTGACCAAAATCATCAGTACTTGACGGAAGTGGTTCAGTCGTGTGTGCGATCCCGACGCGTCGAGCGCGTCGTGGGGAAATCTCCAATTGTGGGGCATCATATGACGTACGTTGCTAGATATCGAACAATCATCTTGAAACCCAAGTCCATAACATCCTTCCATCTTCGATATCATACCACAGTACTCGACAAAGCTTCTACAGTGCCTTCAACTTGCGCGGGCATTTATCTAGGTAACATCCCAGCATCAAGTCATATACGAACAGAAGTACCGAGACACACTAATCTTAAACTTGCTCTCGAAGAGTCCACTTCAGTGTAATCACGTCAACCCCGCGATCATGATGGTTATGCCAGGCGATGTTGAGTTTTGACATTCTGTGTTTATCTGAAATTCGCCCTACCCTACCTATGGAAGACTTCCGTTTCTTCCGAGGAAGATCCAAGTGACTTCCTCCATTGGCCTTGGAAATGCGAAGCATACTCCAGAGAGGAAGTCCGAGTTGACTCTACTAACCGTGTCGACAGCACGCCAGCATGTGCCATTATTCCAGCCATGACCTTCTCGAGCCGCTATCGCTGCAAAATTTCAAGCCTGGCCTGCCCAAGGCACCGTCGCAAAAAGCCGCCAATTCTCCAGCGCGGCGTGACGATGTTTCAAGGGCCCGGCGGCGTATTCTTCGCTCCCAGCCAATTTTCGAAACGCTGCGAAGTTCGAGTACCACACGATGCCCACGCGATCCCAGACCTCGTTCCCGTCAAACGGCCCTGCAAGCATGTTGGCTTGGAACTTTCCAAGCCACAGGGGCTTCATGGCTGCTCCGGACTCTTCGCCCCATGTCGCTGTGATTTCCCTAATGCCGGCCACGTAACGTGTCAGGTAGGCTTCTTCTCCGGGGACGTTGGTGTCGGGTGATCCTTTTGGGTACACTGTTTGAGATCGGAATTTGAGGAGATTGATCATGACGATGGGAACGTCGGCTGGGATTGATTTGGCTGCGGTGTCGAGGTCGATGAGGTTGATTTCCGTGGCTGCCATTTTGGCTGGAATGATACTATGGTATATATCTTTGGACTTGGGAAAGTATACTGCCGCTAAATCTGTTTATGTTGTTTTGATACCAGTTGTCAATTTTCGTGGTGTCCTCGAAGATGTTAAATGTGAATGCAATATCAAGAACTGCGAGTGATATACTCCACCATACATCCTGAGCTAGCCTCAGTGCCGTAAGCCACGAGGCCAAGACCCACTCATAAGCCATAAGCCAGAGCCAAATAGGTCTCTCATACCGTTACCAGTATGCCCGCCCAGCACAATCGTATGCGGGAATAAGACACTTGCTCATCGTTTAGTGTTGTGCTGACATCATGCCGACCGGGAACGTGCACAACAAGATTGTTCTATTGATGCTGAATTGACCTGCTGTTGCCCAAATTTCACTTAACGAGCATTCGGCACCTAGAACTGCTTTTGCTGATGCGCCCTGTTTTAGACTTCGATATCTGAAGAACCCCGAGATTTGACCACAGTATATATTGCAGCAGCACCCAATGAGGAGCTCTAGAAAATGGAGGAAATGGTTTGTGGTCCGAAACATCAATATACATCGGTCCTCGGTGCCAATTCGTGCCTGTCGCTATTGTAGCCACCGTCTCGGAGTACGCCTTTCCTACTTGAACGAGGGAAAAGTTTGTTCCTTAACAATGAAAAAATGCCAGGCATATCTGAGCCAGGTCCATTCATGAATCTTCCAGGATGACAAACAGCGAAGCATGTCAACGCGCACAGCATTGGAACTGCTTCCAGAAGATAGAAATAAACCTCACGTGTCGTCAAAACACTACCCTTTTCAATTCCACCCGAGAACTCGACCAATCGATATATGATTCGGACCGTGATCATGGCTAGTGCGATGTACAGGGCAGACAACAGAGGCATCCAGTATCGGCGGTCATGAAGAATGCTGGAGTTTCCATGAACAGTCTTGAACCTGGTCATCTGAAGCTGGAATGCAACACAGAGCCCAACAAACACCAGGATCATGAATTGTTGAAAGCCAATCCCACCCATATAAAGATTGAGTCCTCGTTCTTGGGCCTCTGGGCTGGCGGATGGGCCAGCCATGGAACCGCCAATGAGTTGAACCACAAAAGCAGTCAGGTCAAAGAACACAAAAATAGCCGAGATTGTGGCTGCTGGCATTCGGAATATTGCTCGAGATGGGTGAAAGTAGTAGATCATGCGTCCAAAAGTCATGTAAGCAAACGCATTTACCCCTAATCAAAGTCAGCCTCGCAGTTCAGAGTGAAGGGGTGATTCCGGATAGCAGGATCACGGACAAAGTGGAGCAAGCAGGATGAAGATCTGGAAGATTAGATAGATTCCCTCATTCTGCTGGCGTCTTGAGCTCAATGCTCGGAAGAGCATCGCACTCGCTTCCCAGATAGAAGCCATGATGATAACCCAGCACCATCCCTATGCATCTTCTAGTCAGCCGAATTTTGTCTTAAATCGATAGAAATGGCCTGTGACTGCCCGACTCTATTTGGGGTCACTTACGAACCTTTTGGTACTTGATAGCCATCCATATATGAGCTGCGACTAAAGCTGCAAACAGTATCGTGAAGGCGATAGCTGCTCCATAGCTAGGGTAATAATCCCAGATAGCACCGCACGTTCCCGGTGGAACATGGCCATTGCTGTCCGGCATAACAGTTTGTATACAGGTTGGAAGTGCAAGTGTAATCGTCTTCGCCGGTATAGTAAGGACAGCGTTCGTTTCGCCATCGATGACAATGAGTTCGGTTGTCGTAAAGGTAATCATTGTTGTTGGAGTGCTCAGTGACGAGGTCTCTGTGGCGACTTGTCGATGATTCAACTTAGTAATTGTGTGTGGTGTTTCCAATCCATAGACTGGAGTCAAGGCAGCGGCCATTGCAACAAGCGATAACATCATCGTAAAGATACAGGTGGAAGCAGCATAAGGTGTGACCAGATTTTAGTCGATGCATAAGAGCCTGATGGCGACGGCTTGAGTTCTTATAGACGTTAGAAGGTGACGAACAGTGAATGCTAGAGATGTTCTCCCGTGCTAGCACAGCCTGATGGCCCCTGCATATCCCACCCAGTTTCGGTGGAACGATTCACTGTGGGTCGTGTCCGAGCGAACCAATCAAGCCCATCTGAATTTGATCAAACCAGGATTGCTTACGGAGTCGGCTCGTTCTGCTAGTACACAAATAGTCGCTGAGTCGAGCATAAGATGCTTCAGAAGGTGCCCTTTCCGGGCACTTTAGGCACCAGAGTATGCGACTGTCGCGAGAAATTTCTCGCGGTGTTGACAGAAGCAATCGAACAGAAGGCTCACAGATGGTAGTTTTCATGCGGATGGTAAGCTATGGTCACCCAGTCGTACACTGACTTAACAGGACCGATCCCAGGCTTGATGAGGAACCGAATTTTTCTCCTCCAAACTTCAGTACCATGATTGTCCGTACAGCATTCTGTGTCTGGCTCGAGTGCATTATCTCGAATACGTTTCTCGTCACCAGGGAGGACATATCCATCACCTTGCGGGATTTGAGGCTTTGATGTGTCCATAGATAACGTTATTCCATGCTCTATCTCGATAACTTTCGTGCCAATGGCGTGCATTGTTGCAGAGTCCCATAATGACTCCCTTGAACAAGACAAAGCCATCATCAGTGATTGTGCTGCAAGTCTGATCTCCAAGAAGCGGCACTTCAACACGACGAAATGAAGGAGAGGGGAAAATCCCATCCCGAAGGAAAAGGTGCCTCGGACAGTACCAGAAAGAGCTGTTTGCACCTTCGCCTGCGATGCTAACTCTATAATGCGGATAAAGCTTGCAAGGTATTGATCATATATTCGCTCGTCCTGTGACAAGCATGTAGAAGTCCATATCCGTGCAACACGCCAACGCATTTCAAGCAGCAATAAGCGAAACTCTTGCTTTGTGCGAGATCTAAGATTCCTTCTTAAGCCACAGAATGCGGCTTGCCAGACTTCGAGGTCTTGCTCTAACATCTTCTGCTGAGAGGTGGCAGACTCAAGTGACTGTAGTTCAGGTCCAATCCCGAGGCGGTGATGCTCCACCATACGCATCAACCTGACAGTTTGACATGCTAAAGTGTCAAGGCACTCTTGAGCATGACGTAGCGTTGTGAACACTCCATTGACCATCTGCCAGTCGCGGTATTCAGGTATCGGCATATTAGGGATACCATGCGTGAAAAAGTGTGGGAAAATGGCTAAATGGCGAAGTATAGATACGATATCTGCATTAGATCGTGAAGGATCCGCCAAAGAAAGCCCATGAGCGACATGAGTGATGGCAGCTGGCGCATCGCCTCGCAGAAATTCGGTGCACACGAACAAAATGCAGACAAGGAGGACTGTGTCTAAGCTTACAGTGGCAGGTCTGGTGATGTGCTCGATGGCTGAATTGTAGTGGTTGATCGCCTCAATGCTATGCTGCGAGGACATCCACCGCGGCTTTTGGGGGTTGAAATTCCGGTACAGAGCGCCTATTGCTAGGGCAGCATGTCTCACTGCTGGCTCATTATGAGCTGCACGAGGTACCTCATGGGTCCAAAAGCTTTCGAAAGATCCACAGAGCTGAACTGCAACAATCTGATTGAAGAATGTCATTCCCTGGAGATGTACAAGATCCGCACATGGGATATCCCGAGGAACTGGTCTGGACCACAGTAGGAGATATTCCCATGAATATGTTCCAGGTGCTACTGCTTCGTAGCCGTCACAACTTCTACCTGTAGACTTGCACCTCCGACACTCTGGTTGCAACTCATCACACTTGATCTTGCGAATTCTGCGTGCAGGTGGACAGATGTTGCATCAGCCGATGGTCTTAAAATGAGGTGTGAGTGCTTCATTTGACTTACTTGCAGGTACGACAGCCAGTGCGAACTTTTTGTGCCCCTTTCCTAGGCATGGCAGTTAGTGGTGTGAAGTTGTTCTAGCCCTAGATTTCCAAAACCCGTCGTACTGGAAATACGGGCCAGAAGGACAAAAATATGAGATCCGAGTATTCCATTACAAGATGTGTATTTTCCTTTCTATACCTTGTAGTCGTGTTCAAATTGGATCACGAACGTCGTCTCGGAACCCACCCGATCATTGGGCTGAGCACTAAGTATTGTCAAAACACTCCACCCTGGGTGGGGCAAGTGCGAGTTTCACGTTCGTGCCAGTTACGGTGCCCAGGTGAAAGATTGACGAGTTTCGGCCCCTATTTACTTGGCCTTGTCAATCAGATCAGGCGCTGGACGTCTCAACTAGTGTACGTGACGAGTAGTGCTACTGTACCTAGGTATGTACCTAGGTAGTTCATAGAACCTCCCACTACTCGTACGACAAATTTATCCAAGTGGCCCTCAATGTGGCTGTTTGGTGAGGTGGAACATCATTGTGATTATTGCCTAGTCGCCTCTTGCACAAGGGTGTGCATCATTGCTTGCAAGCTGCAACTGACCTCGCAACGTACCTAGGTACCCAGACTTAACGGCAAATACGGCTTCGTGTATCTAAAGATGTGTCTGGACTTCGAAACTTACCTCGACAGGTAGTCGAGGTAGCTAGATAGAGATACAATAGACGTTGTAGATCGCGTCCGTAGACGGTGCCAAGCAGATAATGAAAGTTTTTCGCCAAATGATTGTATTTGAGAGCTCGAGCGAAAACACAGCCTTGTTGGGCCACAGCCTTGCATCATAGCGTATCAAAACCTTGCTAGTATGAGGTTCTCCGTACCACACGCTGTGGTAAGGTGATGATGTGGAAGGCTTCAGTGTTGCCGTCGCGAATTAACGTTTTCGCTTACAAGACATCGGCCAGTAAAATTCAACTTCGATGACTAATTTAAGGGTCGGTGATGGGCCCAATTGCGCTCGCAAGGACTACTCATTGACGAAGAGTACATGGTGCGTGAATTGAAACCCATCATTGCTGAAACTCAGAGTCTCGAGCAGAATGTCTGAGCTGATTTGTATTCGAACCTCCACCATGTCATGAGGCCTGTTGATCCCAGCGCCAGAGATTAAAAAGCGCTGTTCAGGTGCCGGATGATAATCAGGGGAATTACCTTTCATTCCGGGCGGAGTCATTCCTTGAAGGCCCTGCATATCGGCAACCAGGATGTCATTCGTAAGCGATCCGGGAAATCCGCTGTGTCAATAGCGGCCTTTGTCCATTGGATTCATGACATGGTCTTTCAGCACACAACACCAATGCTTTGCGCCAGATGAAGGGCGGAGTTACTCGTAGGTCTAGAAAATTTGACAGCATGTGGAGCACGTGAGGTGTCAAGAAAATCTAGACTGAACAGAGAATTTACGATGCAATGTGGTGCATTTCGCTCGAGCGATACCTCGGTAAGTAGTCATGGAACTGCTCGACTCAGCCTCATTGTCCACGCCTCTTGAGTCTTGGGCTCTCTATGGACGACATACAGCATGTGCAGGGTACTCGTAAGCCCAATCATATGCATAGAATGGAGGGGAGCGTGAGTGTTATCAGGATATTGTCAGACAGTCGCGAGCATTACAACCATAGTTCGGAAGATTCAGACAGAATGCGAGATATGGTAAGTAAATGCAACATGTGCTCGATGGCTTGTCGGTCCAGATCCGAGTGGCTTACCAGCGTAATGCTTCCATCCACGCCCTGACGCTATGGCATTGGGACGCGGTGAAGAGAAGAGAGCAGAGAGCAGAGAGCAGAGAGCAGAGAGCAGAGAGCAGAGAGCAAAGTCGCCAAATCGCAACCAAAACTCGAAAGCCAGAAGGGGGAAAGGGGTTGATCAAAACAGTGAATAAGAAAGACATCCGCAGCCAACGGGTATGTGAAATGGGTGACTTGGACGATGGTCAGCGGCAGGCTCGGCTTCGCGCTGAGAGCAGCGGTATCCACAGTCAGTTACCATTAATGATGAATCGTAGGCTTAGGAATGGAGTGATAAGGGATGACTAAGACTTGGTTATTGGGTGTGTAAGGTTGGGAAAGGAGCGGGTTGTGTGTGAGCAAAACGCGCGGTGAGAGAATAATGTGTGGATGTACGGCAATTCGTTTCACACAGATGGTTGTCGGCATGAGAGAGGGTTTGGGTTTTGGAATCAACGAAAGCGTATATAATGGATTGTGGACAGGTTGAGCACCCAGGCTCTGCTCCGCTGGTGGTTCATAGGTGCGAGGCCGAAGTAGTGGCTACTCGGACTCGCGGTACTTTATTTCGACAATAATGACCTCGTGCATATTACTCCATCCTGGTACTGGATGCTCGAATGACGTCGTTGCTTCTGAGGTTTAAGTAAATGCCCATTGGTGAACGCGTGGATGACATGGCACGAGTACGGAGTACGAGTACAGTTGGGCTGTTCACTGGGTGAAGCACCACGAGTGGATCAGCTCTGACCAGCTCCTCCGGGCCGGGCGAGCCATGTCCTGTACTGTATTGCCATCTCTACCACCAGATATCAAGGACTGACATTGAACCCAGGTATCCGTAAGATAATCTGGCGGCTGATCATTGTTATTACGAGTACCCACGAAGCCACTAGAAGGAAAAAACCCCAACTAACAAAAAGCTGACATTCGCATCACTCCTCCAACTCCATCGTTTTCCATTTGAGCGACCATGATCCTGTCCTGGTTGTGACTGCGAGAGCAGCCTCTAAAGCAAACGACGTCTGTGGTTGCAGATGCATGGGAATGCTCCCGAGTCCCGATCTGAAGTTTACTCGTAGGTGCGTTTAGGCCAAGCCTGTGCCCCAAGCCGCAACCCCCCCAGACCCAGACTGCGGAGTCGACAGCACAAGACAGTTGAGATGTTGGCACATCGTGAACCTGCTTTCTGCTGCTACTCTTGTCGTTGTCGTTGTCGATGCCTCAGCCCGCACCCAACTACAAACCCACCCCAAACCACTGCTTTCAGCTGCAATCAGTCGTTCCATCATCTCTCTGAGCCCTCTCGTGCCCGGACATCCACTCACTGAACATTATTATAGGCTCACACTGACGAGTCCTCCAACTTCTCCACCCGAAACCCGGCATACTTCATAGGGCCTGCCAACTTCACTTCAACACCGTCGATCCCACTCATAGCCCTGGCGATCTCACGAGATCACGCCAAAAGATTCTTCAGACTCTCTCTTCCCCCTCCACCTTCCCTCCCCATCTCTCCACAGCCAGCCAGAGCTGAAAGAAACGACCGCAGGAATTCGGCGACTGCGGAGGAGATGGTTGGGTTAAGCGATGTGGGCAGAAGGTCGCCAGAGAGGAGGGGCAGAAGTTCCAGCACCATCAGTGGTCCCATAAGTGGCATGGTACACAGGCCTAGACTGGAGAGTGATGTTCGGAATGCCTCGATCTCAACTTCCAATCCTGACGCAGCTCTCAATGCCACCCACTTGGCTGATGAGAAACCGGTCGCTACCGGAAATGGCGTCTCCGTCATCATCTCTCTCGCAGAACCTGTCCTCTTTTTGCAAGGCTTTGATGCCAATGATCCCACAACGCACACCACCACCATGCTTCGAGGCAGTTTGCTTCTGAGAGTACAGAAACAAGCCAAATTGAAATCAATATCCCTCAACTTCAAGGGCAAGTCCGAAACCGAGTGGCCCGAGGGCATCCCGCCCAAACGTGTCGAATTTCGTGATGTCACGACCATCATGAATCATACATGGTCGTTTTTCAATGCTCAGTTTCCTCAGGCGGAACATAGCTACGGGGCGGATATAGTCCAGTTACAAAAGGCCCCGTCCGTGGAAGCAAAGGAACTGGGCGTGACAACTTCGTCTTTCGACCTTTTCCAAAGGAGTGCTTCTCCTGCCAAAGGCCATTCCGCTCGCGACCTCAAACGCCTCTCCCTCCAAGCCAACCAATCGAGGAGTTTCGGTAAAGGAGATACTCTGGGTGGTGGGCCGACTGTCGCACAACGGGGTTTCAAAGTGTTCCATCCAGGTGACTACATCTACAATTTTGAACTTCCTCTGGATTCCAGATTACCCGAGTCAATCAACGTCGATCTTGGCCACGTTAAATATGAACTCGAGGCCCTGGTGGAGCGATCCGGTGCCTTCCGTGCTAACTTGGTCGGTACCAAAGAGCTCACTTTGATCAGGGCGCCTGCTGAGGGATCGCTGGAGCAAGTCGAGCCTATAGCCATTTCGAGAAACTGGGAAGATCAGTTGCACTATGATATTGTTATTTCCGGGAAGTCGTTCCCCTTGGGTTCCTCGGTTCCGATAGCCTTCAAACTCACCCCCCTGGCCAAAGTCCAGTGCCACCGCATCAAAGTCTTCGTGACAGAGAACATTCAATACTTCACAAACAATAAGAAAGTGCACCGTCTTGAGCCTACGAGAAAGGTCCAACTCTTCGAGAAGCGGGCAGATGGCCACAGTGTGACTTCATACCCGGGGAGCTCGATGCGCATCCTAGCTGGCGGTGGAGTGCCCTATGACTATCGCCAACAAGCCGCGGCTGGAGACGAAGATGTCCCGAGGGACCAAACCAATCTTCTGGGAAACCTAGATAATGACGCCGGAAGCATTGGTCCTACCGAAATGGAGTTCAATGTTCAATTGCCCAACTGCCACCAGATGAAGGAGAAACTCCGGAGTGAGCGGCTTCATTTTGATACCACATATTCTAACATTCAGGTCAATCATTGGATAAAGGTTGGTTCTAATCTCTCCCATACCCGCCTCCTTGGCTGATCCAAGTCCAGATTGTGATGCGGTTGTCTCGACCAGACGAGAACGACTCCGCCAAGCGTCGCCATTTTGAGATCTCCATCGATTCCCCATTCAACATATTGTCCTGCAGAGCAACTCAGGCCAATATCTCGCTACCGGCTTACAGTGCTGGTCTCTCAACTCCCTCTTCAGCCGATGAATTCGAATGTGGGTGTCCTGGAGCAGCTCTACGAAGACGCAGCACTCCTCCAGTGTCCCAAAACCAAGTTCCCACCCTGGCTCAGCCCGTACCCAATGGACCAAATGTACAACGTAGCTGGACCAACGACAGTGGAGGCCTGACCATGCCAACACAAGCCCACGTGCACAACGATCCTAATTCCGGCCAATCTAGGCCAATGCACTTGCTTCGGAGCCCATCTTTCAACCCCCCCGCTTTTGACGAAGATGAGCCTCCACCACCACTTGTGACACCGCCGCCACTTTACGATAATATTGTTCCGGGCGATTCTAACAGCGCTCTGGCAGATTACTTCGCCCGGCTAGCAGATGAGACTTCAGAAGAAGACGATCGCCTGGATCGGTCGCGGGTAGACTACCCACTCACGCCAGGTGGACGTATCAACCGAAGTATGGATATACCCCGGAACTGGTTACCGCTCGATGGCGCAGCCGGAACAGCCAGCACCACTCAGTCAAGCCTGGCATCCTCAGCGTCTGGAGCTTGAACGATACTCTAAGCGGTGTTCTTACGCTTCTTGCAAGATATACCTGTGTATGGCTGGTTGCACAAACTTGCATTTCATGACGGAATCTGGCTTGCATTGACATCTGAATGTTTGGAATGATAAGGAACGACATGATATGGAAATTTGGGGATTTTGATGACATAGTACCTGAGGGTGCACAAGGGCGTGTTGCATGGATACTGTAAATGACTTGGAATTCTCCACATTACATGAATCTGAAAAGGTGCCGAGGCTGGAAGGTGAAATAGTATTGTCTGACTTTCTACAATTTACCTCTATTTGTACACGTCCTTCCAATAAAACTGTCCTACTGTTTCTACGTTACTTAATCGTCAAGAACCGACAAATCTGTATGGGGTAGCGTTGACAATATCGACTGCCTGGGTATCTGATTCAGGTAGCAAGGCTCTGGAAACTTGAAGTGGCAAGGCTGAACAACGCGCCAAGCCTGCGGACCCGTGACTGAGATTGAACAGGAGCTTCTGCGCTAGCGAATTCCCTTCGAACTCGAACTTCTTGATGATTCTTCCTTTCTAGACTGCATAATCTTTCCACCCCAAGTTCATCGGCCATACTTATTGCAGGGTAGGAGGAGGTTATTGCAAAGATGAGCCCCTGAAAGAGCATCCTTCAACTTGTATCTCTCTGGTTCCGATCACCAGACACCAAAGATGGCGACCGCTGCAGCCAATTCCGCAGCTCACCATGTCAACCTGGCATCATTACCACCTCTGCCACGAATAAGACCTCCTCGACTACTTAAAGGAGATCCTCACCCTAATAATAACCCGCGCCCACATAATCAATCTTCAGCGTCGAATAGAATCTGGGTTCAAGGAAAATGGCGGCACCCTACCTCCAATGCCGCCGAACAACATCGCGAGGTGCAGTATCGCCGAGTCTCCAAAGCGCTCCGGCATAGATCACATGGACTAGACATATATGCCTACCGACATGTGCGAACTAACCAGGTGGTCTATAGCCTGTCAAGGTCGTTACAGGTATGTTAGCCGCCACTCTGTACGGAATGGCAGACTAATCAACCATGACACAGAATACCCAAGTCCTCAAACAACTGCTGTTCCATGGCAAGAAGACTGTCCCCGAGGCTGTGCGTCGAGATATGTGGACCCCCTACTTTTCGGTACATTTCCCCGACAACCTCGCAGGAGCCTCCACAGGCCTAGAGGCTTTCAAGAGCCTACGTGAGCTTTCAACACAACGACAGTTGTCACCTACTAAGGCTCTGCTTACTGCCACTGAAGAAGATGTCGAAATTGCAAGGTCCAAATTGGGTGGACCTCTTGAAATCTACCGGTTGGAACAATCAGACAATTGGCAAGACAAGAGGAAACTCGAATTAAAATTACCGAAAGCGGGGGAATTACTGCCCAAGAAATTACGAGCCAGACGGCTGATGGATCAGAAGGCGACAAGTGTCGCAGATGTCGCGTTCGTCCTTGATCGCATCAGCTCGGGCCCTGGCCCCTTGGAGAAGATGATCGCCATGGAAATCGATCGGGTCGCGCGCCACAAGGAACAATCGAGGCGGGGGCGTGCAAGATTGAACGCTGCAGCAAGGAGACTTACGGCGAAAGAAACTAAGATGGGAGAGGTTGCCCAACTAGTTTTGGCTGGAAAACACGACCCTGACTCCGATGCAAGATTCAGTTTTGTGCAGATAGACAGACTGGGCTTGGAGCATCAGCTTTCTAGGTCACCTGAGAACTCTCGTGGTTTCATAAATGACGGTCGAGGCGAATCGCTTTCCAGAGCAACAGAGCTATGGCAGTCACTCAATCCTATCAATCCAGCGCTAGTTGACGTCGAGGAGTATAAAGAGCGGAGGGCTGTGTCACAAGCGGCGGAGCATGAGGCTTTGAAGGCATGGCATTCATCGGAACATCAGTCGTCGAGTGCTTCTACTGCCTCAATGTGGACTTTTGTTAAGGAGAAGAGACAAGCTGCGTTGGACAGCTTTGATGAGAGCTACCTAGAGCGAAAGAAGAGTGCCGCTCTTGCTCGAGCTGCGGCTGAAGCCGCAACAGAACACGAAGAACTTCAGACGGCCGGGACTGGTACTTCTCCTGCATCCCTTGAGGATCTGGTTTCGAGTAAACAGGCAGCAGCCCTCGAGAATTTCGAAAAGCGGGAGGTAGAGAGACGCGAAAATCTTAACCGCGCCATCAAAGAAGCTACATCCAAGCTACTCAGTGGCACACTTGCAAGACAAGGTGGGGTTGAGCAGTCAAGTACAAAGGCCGATAGTGAATTATCTCCGGCGGAATCCCCTTGGTCCAACACCTGGGACATCAAAATGTACTGGGCCGACTTGAATGATGGCACTTTTGCCAAAAGCTGGCCACAGACGGTGATTCACGACCTTCTCGAGCCGTATGCGGTTACCAAAGGAAGCAACGGACTCGTCTCCAACAAAAGCGTCCACGTCATCGGACGCGGTCTCCACGATGGCTGGGTGCCTCAAGAACAGCTGACAGATCCCCAGCGCCCGGCTCCGAAATCGAAGTGGGAGGCACCTGAGGTCGAAGTTGAAGAGGAATCCGCGGGAATGGGCCGAGGACATCGTCCAATCCAGCTTGGGCTCGACAGGTCGCCAGTCGAGCAGCCTCCGCCAGCGGTAACCGGGATTTTCGCTCGTCTACGCCAGTCCATCTTGGGCCGGTAGACGCGTGCCAGCGTTTCCGCCTGTGGAGGCAATCACACAAGGGCTGACTCTCTCTCTCGTGTTCACTGCCCCCGATGGACCAAACTCTGTGTAAACTCCGTACGATGTCTCGACATGGCCATACACCACCAACACAATCCATGCCGACCACACGTCCCAGTGCTTCTCATGCAGTGGCCGTGGCTCCCTGGACTCTGTATCTCAAAACCCGCCCCTCTGAGAAGCGGTCCCCCCACGACCGATCCGAGCATAGATAGGTAGATATACAGTTAGCTACTTTCATGTACAAAATACACTTGACTTACTTCACTTTCATGCCGGGTAATGCGTCCTCGGGACTCATGTCTTCATGCTCAGAAGTTGGATGGTCCTCTAATCACTAGCTGTATATGAGTCTGTCTAAAAGTGATTGGGGGAAGCAGAAATGGAGGAAGGCACCATCTGATTTTTTTGGCATTGGGCATTATATACACTACATAAATAAGTACTTATAGGCCACCTCATCCTCTTTGCCAATTCACTTCATCGTGATCCATGTCATCATATGTAGAGAAACAAACAACGATAAGCTCGTTCTTGCTTTCTTCGGGCTACTGTGTCGCTCATAGGTGTGCTTGCTATGATCAGTTCAAGGGGGTATATATACTTTTTCCGCCATCCAAGCAGCCAGTGGTTTCGCTCATCGTACTGCAAAGTAACAACTGTCTGCTCAAAAGTGTAAGTTGACCTTTGGTCTTTCGTAATCCAAAATAGGTAGACTGCCACAAACGTAAAACTCCCCGGCTACCAGTACGATCATGGTCGACAACAGCATGCTTTTCTTCGCGAGATATTGCAACCACCTTCATCCCTAGTCATCCACGGACTGCTGTACACAACCGGTCCGGTTATTGTTCGTAATTCATGACATCGTAAAAGCGTTTTCTGTAGATCAGAACATGATAGGTTTTCATGGTAATATCAAAATGGAGATCATCTGAGGGACAATGATGCTGCAATTTCAGACAACGTTGAAGGTGTTGCCTTCGCCTTGCCCTTGGCCTTAGCCTTGACTGCTGCATCGCGTTTGCTGAGGACGCTCTTGAGAGCGCCCAGCCACTTTGCTAGCTCATCTTCGTCAGGTGCGCAAAATCGGTAGGACTTATCCTCCATTATCATCTGAAAGCAGTACCTCTTGGACTTGCTGATAGGATCGATCTCCGCTGCTGTGATAACGTTGTCCATGTTGAAAATCTTCAGTGGCGCGTATTCTTGTTCATTCTTGTAGAACGAGATACCGCCGTTGCGGACCACGACCCAGATCCATTTCCATCCTTTGACGCCAGTTTTGTGTGATTTGAGAAGCTGCAAATGACCCTGGCGGATCACCCGTTCCGGATCATGACTTGTGTCAGTGGTCGGAGGGACCGCAATTGGGAGTGATGTTTTCACTTCAGATTGGGGTGCCAGTTGTTGAGAGGATGCAATAGGAGTCAGAGCGGGAGGTTTGGAAAGAGACATGGCCGAGTTCTTTGGCAACGAACTGCCCAGGACATCGGAAAAGTCTGATTGGGACGTTGTCATCTGCTCATTGCCCGAGTATTCCTGCAAGGTTGAAGCACGGCGCTGCGGATAAGCCAAGGTCGAGCCCGTTCGAGCCCTATTTCTGACTGGCCCAGGTGCGGTCGGAGCGTTTGGTTGATCATCGGCGGACAGATCAGTCGACTCGTAGTTCGATGGGTCTTGGTGCGCAGAGGTCACCTTGGGAGGAGGAATTGTATCCAGGCCATCTTCGTCCTCGGTACGGGTTTCAGCTCGGATGTGTGAGATCCAATCTGCAGCGTCAGGAGCAGATAAACCCTGAAAATGGTAGTTCTTGGAGGGAGAGAATACACCAAACACATTCTCCATGTTCGCCTTTCGGACTGGGGCGACCGCGGTGACCTCGGAGAGTGTGATGGAGGCCTTAAGGTCCGTCTCATCTTCATTCTGATATATGGATAGCAGATTGGGTCGGAGCACAAGATAGGCAGGTTTCCACGAAGGTTTCCAAGCACCTTTGTTTTTGACTCGTCTGTTTACTTTGCCGCGTCGGATTTCGCGATCAAAACAAAAGCTTCCATTCTGGTCCACTGGCGAAAAGACGTCCAAGTTCCGATGACCAGATGTGTACGGATTTTCCAGGAGAACTGGATGTGGCATTCGACTGGGCGACAGTTGAGGAGGATATAAAATGGTTCGGGAGGGTGTTGTCGGACGGAACGAGGCAGTAGTAGTCATTTTGGAGGTGCAGCGCAGGATGCCAACATAACCAAGTGGTGAGTTTGACGGCGAGAACAGGATGGTTTATACCATTTATCGCAAGGCGGATGTCGTTGTGATAAATCGTATGAAAGGACTCGTGTGGTGGGGAATTGTTAAAGTGGAAAGGGCGATCAAACTGTCGTTTCAGAGCTGGGTCGAAAGTAGGTCGACTGTTGGCTGGCTCTCGACCGATGACAGGATTGCATGTTTGAAGTCAAGAACATGTAAGAGGATGAACGTCGGCCTGATTTTCTGGTACGCTGGATGGTGAGAAAGGGTACGTGGGAGGTAGAAACGATTAGTCTTGAGAGGGCGACGTAGAGGTAGGTGCAGACGACCCAAACATGTACTCCGTCGGTCCGCTGATCAGTGTTGCTTCGTCGAAGGAAGCGACGCGAGCAGCGAGGCTGGGTGGGTTGCCGTGACGTTTAGGAGCATGGGGGGGCAAGGTGCAGTGCTTGGGGTGCTTGTCTGCTTGCACTGTGGCAACACCTTACCTAAGAGGCTGCCTAGAGCAGCCTAAGCACTTGGGGGAATGATGCATGATATGCCGGGGTGCTCCCACCCAAGTTTGGCTGCCGAACAATTGGTCAATGGCCACGGATCAACAACTTTAATTGTTCAGGGGCCACTGGCAGTGCTCATCAGACTTTTACAGTTGCCGAAAATATACTGTAGAGTCTCTCAACGGCTTCGTGAACCAGCAGAAAGTTCTTGGGACCACCCTTCTCCAGGTTCACTATTTGTGTCAATCTGGATCGAGGATCAAGGATTGACGACCCCAGCCATACTTCTGTCGAGCACGAAGATCCAGCAAGGTGATTGTACACAATCACAGAGTAGCGAGTGCTTTGGATGGCAAAGCACGCCTGACATTGATCACCTGGTAGAATTGGCCTCGCAGGCACATTTAACAATATGGCCTCTCCCTTCTCCCTATTTCTGCTGTTGAGGAGCTCCAAGCTTGGCGACGCGAGTCGTCTTACTACTTGTGGTTTTACGGAGAGTTGCACCAGGGACCGCAAGACACAAGTAGTGAACCCATAGTGCTCCTGAGTCCACAATATACACCGCCCCAAGCTCGATCAAATTTCCAAGACGCATTATTATTCATGGCATTTGCCGTTGGTCTTCGCTGGGAAACAGAAGTGAGCAGGCGGAAAGTTGGATTGGGACCGATTGGCATGGGGTTAGTCAAGCCCAGAGACCCAAAAGTTAGCACACTCCGAGTCCGTAGAAGCAAACACCTGCACCTGGGTACCTCCGAGTAATAGTGGGCACTGGAGGACAAGGCCAAAAGTCCTTTTCCTTTGATTTCCAACGCAGGTTCACGTTGTCTACACGTTACTAACCTGACTGCATACCCTCATCCCATCTGTCCTCAACACCTCCATGCCATCGTCACTCTGGCTTTGAGTTCTTTCCTCTTTTTTTCGACCTGCATACCTGGCATACTCTTTGCCAGTATTGTACCGCGCCGTTTTCTTTTTCCTGCAGAGCTCCTTTAGCATCCATTTCGCACCCCATCCCTATTCTCACCATCTCCCTATCTGCAATTTCTTCCACCACCCAACTTCACCTTCCTCCTCAACACCGCCACCAGCCCATCGTACCGCGGTCATATCGTTCAATGCAGGCCTGTGCGACCTCCTCTTGACCGCGTTCCCCAATATTCGCCCTTCTTTCATGCCCCTCTAAGGTTCATATCAGTTGGGCCAAAAGTCCTCATTTATACTGTGGAGGCTGGGCGCTTCACGAATATGGCCTTTGTACAACGTCTACTGAAGCGGCTGCCTGCCCTACCTTCTGAATCTGCCTCCGAAGACTGGAAACATGAAAAGCCACGATCCCAGTCCAAATTGTCCTTCTTTCGCAGACGCATCCGATTAAAGGGAAACTCCTCCATCTCTATACCGCTGGGATTTTTACTTCTTTTCCCCAGTCTGGTCGTCATATTAATTCTTATTCTTGTTATTAAACACCCTAACTCCCCTGGCCGTATCTTGGTCCCGGCAGGAACTCCTCCTTCTATTCGGTAGGCTCCTCCCGTTGAGTTATTTGTCTTTCATCCTAACCAGCCAACCAGGAAAATCAGCGAGAAGCATGACCGTGTATTCGCCACTGGGTGTCTCAACCCCGAAGATGCGGCAAAGCAGCCCCGGGCCAATGCTGCATTTGTTGTCCTGGCTAGAAACAAAGAGTTGGAAGGTGTCATACAGTCGATCAAAAGCATCGAGCGCCATTTCAACCGCTGGTTCAACTATCCCTACGTGTTCCTTAACGATGGCGAGTTCGAGCAAGATTTCAAAGATGCAATCACAAACTATACCAGCGCCCCAGTGGAGTTCGGTAAGATCGATGCCACCATGTGGGGATATCCAGACTGGGTGGACCATGAGGTTGCGAGAGAAGGTATAAGAAAGCAGGGAGATGCCGCCATCATGTATGGTGGAATGGAGAGTTATCACCACATGTGTCGCTTCTACTCGGGCTTCTTTTACAAGCACGAGCTCCTGGACAAATACGAATGGTATTGGCGATTGGAACCCGAAATAAAATACTTCTGCGATATCACTTACGATCCCTTCATCGAGATGGCGAGAGCCAACAAGACCTACGGTTTCACGATTGCGGTCAAAGAGCTGAAGGAGACTGTACCCAACATCTTCAGGTATGCGTCGGCATACAAAAGGAAGAACAATATCAGCTCTCAGGGATTGTGGGAGATGTTTGTGGAGAAGGAGCCCGAGAAAGCCAGTCCGGATGAGAAACGGGCAAAGACTCTACCACAGGAGGTTCTACAGACTGAGCCTGGTCACCAAAACATTGAGGACATTGACCCCGAGTCAATGGAAGGCGAAAAGTACAACATGTGCCATTTCTGGAGCAACTTCGAAATTGCTCGACTTGACTGGTTTCGAAGTCGAGAGTACAATGAGTTTTTTGAGATGATGGACAAGAGCGGCGGCTTTTGGATGGAAAGGGTAAGACCTGTCATCGCCTGATGCTAAATTTCTTGAGTATTTGACTGACTATTGAGTAGTGGGGTGATGCTCCCATCCATTCACTCGCCGCCGGTGCACTTTTAGCACCTCGAGATGTTCATTATTTCCGTGACTTTGGTTACCGCCACACGACCATTCAGCATTGCCCTGCAAATGCCCCGGCAAGACAGCTGCCACGCATTCCGTGGCTTGAAAAAACCACCCAAGATGAAAAAGAACGGATAGAAGAAGATGAGTACTGGGCAATTCCAGACTCACCTAAGGAGAATGGAGTTGGCTGCCGTTGTCGTTGTGACACAGATATCAGAGATGTGGAAGGCAAAGAGGGCAGCTGTTTAGCTGAGTGGGTCGATGTCGCTGGCGGTTGGTCATCACCTTGAGCACTTTCAACAGTAGTACTCCCTGGTCACACCCGGCACAAGATGTTTGACTATGCATTTGAGCAACCCGGCGTTCGGAACTGGGGCTGCTACCAGGACTGGGTCGCGGCATGGTGTATTGGAGGCCTCAAAACGTCTGGAATTCTGTCCACAGACTCTGTTGATGTTCAGTCTCAGGTCTGAGATCATTGTCAGGGATATTCTGGCCACCGACTGGCTTCTCCGAAAGGGACGGCGATGGTAAATCACCAATACGCCGTGGAGAACAAAGAAAAGGTTGGGCTGTGGCCTCGGTGTCAGGGAGGAGAAAAAAATACAGGGCCATGTGGTCCATTGGCCTCCGGCTGCAGATGACCTGGCTTTTGGTTGGCGTTCAGAGCTATCACGAGAATACTTACCAAGCTGGTTCTTTTTGCGATAGGGAGTTGTCCATACACCTGTATGGTTTGTACAATGAACAAGACATGAACATGAATGTTATAATCAGGGCAAGTCGTGTAGGCATTGATCTGCATGCTGTCGACGCCAGGCATCCAGTGCATGACAGAATTCGTGGATCTCGAACTCTGTTTCCTACCTTGTCGCCGCCGTGCTTAAGGATTACCGAGTATAGTATGAGCTGAAAGACGCAGTGACGCCCGCTGGGTGCAAGGCTCTCAAGCAGCCTTGTTCATGGTTGCGAGTATAAAGCTAAAATATCGTACCCGAGAGCGATAAGGACGTTATCTTTATCAACGCTAGAAAATCCACGCTAGTTGCAAGGCACCCCTCAGCCTGTCTGACAAGATTTCTTTCGGCGGCACGCTGGTTCCTAGGTAGGTAGATAATGCATGAAATCCATGGAATTGCAAGATTATCAAGATTCATCAGCGATGGAAAATGGGCCCGACTAGCCGTTCGTTGAAGAAGGACATGCGGAATACCTCGTACTCTGATGCAGTTTCGGTGAACTTAGGCTCCCACGGGTACCCAAACTGGGCAAAGGAAAAGAAAAAGTCGGGCGTCAGACCCCTTGCCATTAAAGTCCAGATCGGCAAAAGGGTGACAGTGACAGCCTGGAGATTCGGACGCGACGCGGAGGGGCACCCACCACTGCATGCGGGGCTCAGGCTCATCCTCAGGCCTAGGCGGCTGCCTCGTCCTCAAAGTTGAGTTCATATCTCAAAGATGCCTCCTGCTGCCTGTGTTCCATGCAGTCAAAGTCCAAGTGCTTTTCTCAAGCAGTTCATGACGTGAACTTCTCTATGCAAATAATCTGAATCTCCATCGTTGACGCTGAATTCCATCATCATCATCATCATCCTCCTCCTCAGGCTGATCTGGGATGCCAGTGTCGTCCTGCGCCTGGCCTTGCACCCGGGGATTCAAATACCATCAGTCTGGTCAGGATTGACGCTTGTTTCAACCTCTTTTTCACAGAGTGTCACTTGGTGCCTCAGCTTCACTGCTACTGCTCACTTCCTCCTCTCCGGTAGGTCTTCCACCTCCTCATCCTTAAATCCAGCAAACCGATTCTTGATTCACTTCAGTAACTTCCAATCAACGGCCCACTAACCCTTCTCCAACCTGTCCGCTCGACAAGATGACTGACGAACCTACAAAGAGTCTTCGCAGAGGCGCCATCACGTTGACCACTGCTTCATCAGAACCTGACTTCACTTATCCTTCTCTTCCACTCGACTTGTCCCTTGACTCCCTCCTCGCCCATTCTCAAACCCCTCACTCCTCCTTTCCGAAGATGACAAAATCAGAGACCGACACAGCCTCCCTGGCGGAGAGTTGGGCATCATTGGCCGAAACAGATATTTCACATGAAGATGATATCCACTCGGAGCATACAGATGTTGGTTCGCTTCTGGATGTTCATAGCTCGGAAGATGTCCATAGTGTCATCGATGCCGAAATTCATGATTATGCTCCTGACCCAGACGACCACTCTGAAACAGATGACCAAGAATCAGACATCTCACACTCACAAAAATCCTTACCGTTCAGTCCTTGGGACCGATCCGGCTTTGATGCCCAACAGGCGCGCTCTGATCTCAGCACTTCTCTCTCGAATGCCCAACCATCAGAACATCATCCTACCACACCTCCGCGCTATAAGGTCCGAAGTTCTTTCAATGAACACCAACTCCGAGACCTTTCTCTACGTATCCATGGAACTGTCAATGCGGACTATTCGGATGGATATACTCATATGGGATTGTCGTCTCGAGGGCTTGATCTGAACACTTTGGACTATTTCAAAGTCATTCTGCTTGGCACAAGCATCGAGCAATTCCGACCGGAGATTCAACGAAAGCTGGGTGACGTGCTAGTCTCTCAAGGAGGATCAAGTCAGTTCAGCTCTCGAGGATCTGTCACTAGATATCACCTCGTTCCGAACACCTTTGGGCCTGGCGCGGAACCAGACTTTGCAGATCTTGTTGCTATTGACAAGCAGATCGATTTCGATTGCTATGATCAAGTAAAGGGATCGAATCTACCGTTTGAGAATGACAAAACCAATCTATGCCTCAAGAATAGGAGCACATCATCAGAGTTGGTGTCGTTCTTCAATGGACGAGATTTCGTTGTCAGTCAGCCACGATGGATAGCCCCTGATCTCGCTATCGTCTGTCTCGAGTTGGACCACACTGGGAAGCTAGATTCTTCCAGCCTCCAGATGCTTAAATTCACAGAACGCCACCAGATTCCAAGAATTGTCATTCGAATGGATCGTGGATGGACCGGGGAGTATGGTCACTTTGAACAAGAAGGTGCTCTGCGTCAGTCCCTTCACAAAATGTCTGATAAGCCTTTCCAGAACCTCCAGTTCTCACTCAACTTCCCTGTGGATATGGCAGCTTTTCTCAATCTTGAAAGCCCCCTCCTCAACAAGCACATAGCCTATATCGTCTCATGTGCAGATGAAGATGTTCGCAAAGACTCCCCCGAAACCACAGGTTATCTGGACGGAATCGTCGAAGGAAAAATATCCAAGCTACCAGGAGGAAATATTACCGCTCTCTTTTCAACCAGACATTTCGTTCCTATCAGACTCCTTGCGCTAACGATCGTCGCAACCTCTGTTGTTGGTCTGCTGTTGAGTGTTCTACTACCATCACCCTCTTCCAGTCTGTTAGCACGATCTGCGCTGCACAATCAATTTGCCCAGGACATATCAACCACATTGATCAGTTCTTCGTCTGCGACCTTGCAAGCAGCACAGACCCCGTTGCTAGGCAACACCCCACTGTCGCTCGCTGCTCTGGCCAAAGATGACGAAGCCTGGCAGCAACAGTTGGAAAGCGCCTCGGTGAGTCGGAATGAGGTGACGAAAGACGCGGACAACCACTTTCAGGTTGGCATTGCGAGTGCGAATCAATTGATGGTGAAGCTACCAAAGGTTGCCACCAGCAGCAGGAAGCGATCAGTCTTGGACGTCAGTCTGAAACGAGAAGAAATCAGCCTCCCCATAATCTTGCAGGAGCTCTTCGACGGAGTTTATAGTGTAACACTTGAGCCCCGCGACAGTTATGGAGACATTGAGGTCAGACTGACAATGTCCAACCCCCAACTTACGGAAATGTTGACCTTGTCATTTGGAGAACCATCGTTTGGAAGATATGAACGATTGAAGACAGTCCTAAAAGCTGTCAAGAGCCGGGTGCAGAACCGTGCTACATCCTTGGCGAAACAAGCCACTGCGGCAAGAGAGAATATCCCATCACATAGATTTCTGAGTGAAGTCGGTGTTGCAGGCATGACCGTCAAGGCTTACTTCCGGAAGATGTGGGCAACGATTCCAGGCGCTGACTTGCCATATGATCTACTCAAAACCGCCGGTGACCATCTGGGGAATGGACTCACCGCTGTACGATCTGTAGCGGCCTTGAAGGGCTCTGAATTCTCACAGCAGATGCACACGAGAGTTGTGGTAGATGGACTTGCCTGTGCTCAGAATCGAGCTCAGCAAGTTGTAGCAAAAGCGGCGAATCGACTGAAGGGCATGGTATTGAGTCGCCAGACTGCGAGTTGACCAAGGTCAAAGATTCTCAGCGATCAGCCTAATGATATTACGGTACACGAACAGCACTGCATTAAGCGATAGGAAGGCGAGTATGGGTTTGCACGGATTGTGGAGGCGGTTCATTGGGTTTAAGTGGATTGCGATTCATGGTAAGCAGGAAGGCTTGACAAGCATAACCAGTGTGCAGTATACTGGCGCGGCTGACATTATCGAATGATTATACCCCTATGGCGAGTAGCTTTGAATTGTGAAGTAATAAGATGCTTCTCAACCATTTGTCGTTGTTACGGATACTTTGTTTAATCATAATGGTCGTGGTGTCAGTGGCAAAATGTAGGTCGAAGCACAAGGCTCCGAAGTGAACTCGTACTTTCTATTCTATTTCAGGGGCAGCCACAGCAACCAGGCCATCTGCACTAAGCCCCGTTGAGAGTGTAGTCGCGCCTTCTGTTTGGTTGCGTGGCCTGCGAGGCCCTGCGCCTTCCTTGGAATTCTCAAAGGGTGAGACAGATTCAGTCTTGATTTCGTCCCTCCACATCCTCGTTGCCCACCAACGCCTACACTATCTTTACGCCTATCCTATCCATTCGCTTCAAGTTCGTCATTGTAACTTGCGACACTCGTTACCAACTGCTTCATCGTTCAACGCATCTCTTTGCATTGCCACCCGACTTTCATCTCACGCTTAGCCTGTGACTTGTTGAACCCTGGGATTTCCACCTTGCGTTTTGAGACATTTCCGGTGCAACATCTCTGAACAACCACGACACTCACTCACTCATACCACTTAAACCAGACTCGCCGCCGCGACGGCCGTTAATCCATCTCTCGGCTCTACATCGACGACACCCGTGGTTGACGAAAGGCCTTCGATCCTCAGCAAACACCAACGTCAACGCCTGTCGGTTCGGGGCCCAGTGCGAAAGCCCGTCCAAGATGGGATTTGGTTCCTTCGAGACGATATGCGAGCGAGCCGGGCTTCCTCTATGCTACGTCCTTGGTACGCCTACCGAGTTCACCTCAGAAAGAAATCCAGCACTGTTGCCAACATGCAGTGCAAGATCCATTGAGTTGGCAAACACCATTATATTCCAGGCCGCCACCGACTTTGCCCATATCGCTGCTCTTGGGATGACCGCGATCATGATCTTTCACGTCCGCTCCAAGTTCACCGCTGTTGGGAGAAGAGAGATCTTGACATTTTTCTACATCTACAGTCTACTGACCATCATCAGTTTGGTCTTGGACGCCGGCGTCTTGCAGGCCACAACTTCTAGCGCATTCCCTTGGTTTGTTGCGGCGCAGAATGGTCTGACCAGCGCCTTATGCACCAGTCTCCTCATCAATGGCTTTGTCGGCTTCCAGCTATATGAAGATGGTACAACCCTTTCTGTTTGGCTGCTCAGGCTGGGTAGTTTGCTTATGTTTGTCATTACCTTCGCTGTCAGTCTGCTCACCTTCAAGGGCTGGGCGGGATTGTCTCCAACCAACACCACTGGTCTTTTTGTTGTCTTGTACATTATTAATGCCATCTGTGTCGCTGTTTATTTTGTCATGCAAATCATTTTGGTGGCCAATACCCTCCAAGATAGATGGCCTCTGGGTGATCTTGCCTTTGGAGGGCTTTTCTTTGTCGCTGGACAAGTTATTCTGTATGTCTTCGCGGGAAAGATTTGCGAAGGAGTCAACCATTATCTGGATGGCTTGTTTTTCGCCACAGTTTGCAATTTATTGGCCGTGATGATGGTCTATAAGGTAAGCTCTGATTACACCAGACTTCAGTCTCCACTTCAACTCACTTTTTTCTTAGTACTGGGACAGTATCACCAAGGAGGACCTCGAGTTCAGTGTGGGCACAAAGCAAGGTCACTGGGATGTCAAAGAGGCTCTACTCGAACCCACTGAGGATTATCGAACAAGTGTCTACGGTCGAGAAAGCGTCTACGACACAAGCAGCCTCGAGTACCAACCTCAGCATAGCCACTCATTAGGCCGAGATCAATACTCCACCCATACCAGTCCGGTTGAGCCCCGGCAAGGTCTACAGTATGGCGACATACGACAACAATTGGGCACGTACGAGGACTTTGAATCACAACCTCCGAACTACCGGAATCGTGAAAGAGAATATGCTTATTAACATGTTTGGACTTCCGTCAAACCTCGTCAACATTATGTTGATTTTGCTGTTTTCATCGAGAGACTAATTGACAGCGGCAAGTCATCTTGCCCAGGCTTACCATGGGGGACGGTCGGTTCTATCTACGTCATTTTCCGCTATGACAATGTTCAGCGCAAAGAATACAGGTTAATAGCCTGACAGATAGTAACTGAGGTGGTGATTATGAGATGAGCTCGGCTTTTGTAATGGAGGTCCCTATGTGATCTGGGCAAATTATTAGGTTTATGGGTCATGACATTGGGCAGGTCAACATCAGCGCAAGGCTGATGGAAAAATCCTGTGTAATTTAGCGTAGCATTAGCATTAGCATTAGCATAAACACCAAGCTCCTACATGAGCCACAATACGATAATATCATGAATTAATATCAAGAAAGAAAGACGGCCTGGTCATTCCACTGGCGTGTATGACCAAAGACCAACCACCACGCACCACCACATGAATTCCTGGCCCGCCCACTGACCGTTGATGAAGACAGCACCACCTATGCTCAATTCCCAGCTGGCTGATTCACGTCATCCCTGTCTATCCCTATGCTCACCTATCCTTCAACCAGCTGGCCGCTGCACCTCGAAGCGAAACTCGTCGCCACGATCCAGGTAGACGGCCTTATGATCGAGGCCAGCATTTGTCATTTCGGTCTGGAAATCCGCCAAAGGCGACAGGAAGACGTCGTAGTCACTGTTTACCACCATCGCGGTCAGCTCGGTCCGTCAAATCCCTCTTCATGCCCGAAGCACAGAACAGAATCGCAGCGACGGAAATCAATGCAGATAACGTCGAAAGGGGGAAAGGCTGTGTAAACAGCACCAGAGGGTGGGGGGAGGGAACTCACTCGTAATGAATCGGCACCACGACGTCGGGCTGGACCAGCTTCACGAGCGCAACGCCCTGCTTCGCGTCCATGGTGACCATCAGCAGCGGCATGCTGGGGCCCGGGATCGTCGTCCCGCCCAGGTGGATCAGCATCAGGTCGATCGGCTTGCCGGCGTGCGTGTAGTGCTCGGGGATCTGCGAGAGCTCGTCCACGTTCAGCGTGTCGCCCGAGATGTAGATGCGGTAGCTGCTTTGGAAGGCCGGCGACGAGGCGGAGGCGTCGGCGGGGGAAGCTGAAGTTGGTGTGGTTGCGGTGGTGGAGGACTCGGTTGAAGATGGCGTGTCGTAGCCGAGTTCGAGCATCCAGCCGTTTGTCGGCGGGACGGCGCCCAGGATGTCGTTCGCGCGCGAGAGGAGTCCGTCCCCGACGTGTTTTCCTGGCATGCCTTCGACGCGAAGGCGAGGCTGAGGCCGAGGCCGGGATTGGTCTTTCCGCTGCTTTGGCGGTGCGGACTGCATGTCGACGAACATGTTGTCCCATTTGTCGAGGGCGTGGACGTTGGTGAAGCGTTCTTCGTCGCTCTTCTGCGTTGTCAAGCAGGCGTGTGCGTGTGGAGTGGTGATGATGGGCAGGTCTCGGCGCAGTGCCGCTTCGACTTCCTCGTCGAAGTGGTCGGCGTGATAGTGCGAGAGAAGGACCAGGTCGATAGGGGGCAGGTCGTGCAGGTCGACCGCCGGATTCGTCCTTCGCGTGCCCGTCACACCGGGCCCTAGATGGACGTGGTCGCCCGCGTGCAGGAAGTTGGGGTCTGTCATCAGTCTCAAGCCTTCCCATTCCAAGATCGTCGTCGCCGTGCCCACGAAGAAGAGGCTTGCATTGTTGCTGTCGGTCTTCTTGTCCGAGGTCTCGTTCTGATGCTTGGGATGGGTCTTGGTGGCTTTGGCCTTGGGCAGGCTTTCTCGGACTTCCTTTGAAGTCGGGTGGTCCCTGGTCGGTGCATTCTTGTTCGACGCGTCGATTGAAATGCTGGGTTTTGTGACCATGTCGAGACTTTCTGGCTGAGAGCCTTTGTGGGTTTGTCAAGTCGTTGAACACGTTAAGCTTTTTCTCCTTCAATCCCTCTACCCCCGGGACTCTGCTAGACATATCGTTCGACAATGGTCATGGTTTCGTGATGCCGGAATGACGACATGGAGGACAAAGTGGCAGAGTGGAAGCAAATCCCGGTACCCGGTAGCTTGATAGCAGACGTGGAATTCACTCAGGATCAGCTAGCCGACCTACGTAACTCGTGGGCGAACACGCCGGTTGATGTTCCTGGGTTCCCTTGCGGTAGTGACGATGTCGTTGGGAGATTCAAGTTTACCCATCACCACTGGTCGGCATTCCCAACATAGCCGTTTGGAGCGGCAATGAAAACACAGTCAGAAAAACGCACGACAAGAAAGCCCTCACGGCAGAAAATAAAGGGTCTACAGAGTATTACATTCCGGGTAGGGGCTGGCTGCTTGTGCATGTTGGTCGTTGTCATCTTTCACGGTGTTTACCATATGGTCTGAGGGTCGGATCTGAGCCGGACTGTCTTGGATCTGGGTAGGTCATAAGGCAAAGTATGATTGTCTGTTGGAACTAACCCATGGACACCCGTCCACGTCGAACCGTATCGTGTGAAATAGATTCCAGATCACGAAATAGTGCTATTTCCCATTTGGGCAAACAGGCAAGAAATAGAGTCGCTCTTTTGGGCTCCACGAGTTGCGTGTTCCCGGCTTCTTCAGCATGGTCAAGAACAGTGCGACTGCTGCTAAGTCGATGGATGTGAGGGGAACGATCTGGCCCCAATTGATCTTGTGAAGAAGATAAATCATAAGCGTCAAATGTCTTTCATCCATCTTTGTAACGCTAGGCGATGGATATCTAGAGCATGAGTCTCGCTGGGTGTTAGCAGATTGGGTGGGCGAGCAGAGTATCATCATCAGCATAAAGCTGTCGTCATGGTCGCATCGACCGACAAGTGCTTCTTGTGCCAGAAATCTTGATGCTCGAGAAGTCGAAGATTGACCCATTGCATGTGCTAGCTGAATTGGTGATAGGAGGCATGTCTGGTTGAACTCGGTGATAAGCGTGAATCCGAAGCCGTCCAGATTATGGAACTCCTTCTGCAACATCGTGATCCATGGGCTTACCGCAGCCAGACTCGGGGAAGTCTCCATTCAGTGCAAGGCGTTGACTAGAGCAAGTAGCAAGACTGCAGCGTTTGACTCTTGAGGAGCAAAGGAGGGTGGCAACGGGGGAGATAGATTGTTGAGCTTGGCCGAAGCCATGGTCGGTACCTTCCTGGCTTCAATGCGTTAGTGTTTTGTGCACCTACCGCGATGTCAAGTGCAGGGTTTACATCCAATATTTGCCAAGGGTCAAGTGACGAGACATCGGTACGGATGCTCGTTTGAGGAAGTAATGATGCACAGCAGCTGGAGCAGCTCGGCGAATATCCATTCTCCCCACCTGCGACTTGCAGGGTGTGATAAGAAGTTTGGAGTTGAATTGGTGTCCCACCTGACATGAATCCTGGACAGCCTTTGTGAGCAATCCGGAATCCAGCGGCACGTGGGCAAGAGACTAGGACGAGTTAGAAGTACGAGTATCCGTAAGTCCTGCGAGTCGGTACTCGAGGCGAGATGATTGTGACTCGCTGCCACTACTCCGCTCTAGTCCAGTGGCCACTGCAGTGGTGACCGCCAAATGGTGAATCGATAGTGGGGCCTAGATTCACCTATAATTTTGCAAAGTCGTTTGATGCCAACCCTGCACGATGCCGGGTTTAGGTACCTCAAAACCATGGAGTGAAACAGCTGTCTTGATCAAATGTCGAAGCCGAGCTCACGAAGCGTTAATCGACGCACACGAGTACGTGTGAGATTAGTGTACGCACACACGAGTAAGACCTCTGGCCGAGTCGAAAATGTAACTTTCCCCTGAATCTGCATAAGTCAGAAGATAGTCCACCTAGCACTTCGGCATCCGCTACTGAAGCAGTCAAAGAAATCAGTGAACCTACATGGGGTAGGCAGTACAAGGTTTTCAACGACCCACGGGGCGACATCTCGGGAGCTGTTTCTCTCTGTTGAGGTTCACAACACGGATATACGAGTCCTCCAACTTCAGCCTAGTAGCTGTGACTCGTCCAAAACAGAAAGCAAAATTGTACGCAATCCCAGTATCAGGCTTCCACAACACGTATATTGCTACGAGAATTTTCGTAATAGGTAATCGCTCACAGACTACGTGACCTTGCACGAGTACCAAGATACCGCAGCTGTCGGGAGAAACTCAAAGAGCGATTTCCTGGCACAGTCAAGGACCATGGCTTTGCCTTGCCTCCAGATAGCAGACCGTCGCAACCTCTGAGTGCCCATTTATTACCAGCTGGAACAGGATCGAGGATCATGGTAGGACTTCCTAGATGGACTCGAAAAGGGCACATTATTGCCGTCTGCTGTGTTGGATTGGACATTGGGGGTCGTCGCTTACCCCCAAAACACGGCCGAAATTTTCATATATCTCACCGCGTGATCTTGCCGTCTCATTCACCTTTGTCGCCTGGACATTTGTGAGATGGGATCAGTCGACATAGTTCATAGAGAAAGCAGTGGTAAACGTTGAGGACACGTGTTGGCAAGGTGCAAGCCAGACAGACACATGATTCGGAAATCGAACCGTTTGATAGAGGCCATTATTTGCGGCAACGCCGTCCCATGGATTTGATATCATAGTATGCAAGCATCACCTATAATTCACTGACTCTTAGAGCACGTCAGAAGTCCAAAAATAGGACCGCCATCGGACGGCCTAAATTCACGAATAGCTTTGGCTGCTCTGTCTTGAGTAGTTCATAAGAAAATTATGCGTGATACTCGGGAAACCTGATCAGTTTGTCGGAGGATGTACAATTGATCTTCCACTCTCGGATCCCCGGCGCTGATGGGGAAACAGATGACCAGGAACACACGAGTTGTCTCATGTCAGCGGGCTGTAAAGGATTGGGACACTTACGGCTGCTCCATGCAAAGTAGGCTTGATGAAGGTGGATTCTGAGACGAGACGACGTGGACGGCATGCCTGCTGAAAGAGGTCAATGATCTACGAGCACGGCTCACAACGCCCGTCCGGAAGTAGCCATGTTGCGACTTCATCGCTCGAGCCAGGCAGACAGGACGCTGGACGCGTTACTAGTGATGACCATCGCGAAAGGTTCCTGACATCGTTCAAAAACTCGGCGTCGATGCGAGGTGAGTTGAAGCGCGAGCATGGCAAACGACCAGACTGGTTGCTAGGGTGGTGGAGCGAATCAATGCTCTAGACATGGTGTGGTTGGGAATTGTCATGGATGCGGGTAAATAACGATTCAGGGCCGACACGCCTTCTCTCGCCCTTGACATGAAAAGGAATGTTGCCGGGAAGATAGGAACCAAGGGAAGATGGTTTCATCCAACCAGGCAAGCGAAAATCTTGTGTCGACAATTGATGCAGACGCCTTTGAAGGGTTGGGCTGGGCGCAAAAAAGCTGTAATCAGCATTCGTACACGAGTCGTCGGTCATAATGATTTGAGCCGTGATCTGAACCTTCCTTTCAGAGAAAGCGTGTTCGGATGTGGACGTGGAAGTGGATGCGTCAACCCATCAATACCTGCATGGTAAGACTCTGCAATTTGGTCAAGTGGTGGCGAAGGGCAAAGGTCCGCCTTTCATGGCCTGCTGGTGTTCAGCTTACTCCGTAGGTTCTCGGTGGCGTTGAATGGACGACAGGCGTGGACACTCGACAGGCAAACAGCGGGTAACAATACGTACTTGTAGCCTGAGTTCTGGCCTCCAACAGTTGAGGTCTGATTGGCGAGCTTGAGGCCAGTGGGGCGCGACGAAAGTGCAGAACTGCACAACCCGGCTCCTGCTTTCGCTTTGGTGCCACAGGTGTCAAGACTCAAGACTCAAGACTCAAGAGCCCCTCTGGCCCTTACAAGGCCTATCCGTATCTTACGAGGACGTCCAAGGATGCCACTGGGGGCACTCGGGAGGCTAAGGACTAGACATTTCCGATGGTTTGGCCATTCTTATTGCGCCCCCCCGCGGGTGTCCTCGACTCGTTTGTTGATCGACGCTGTTCGTTTCTTGCAAAGTCTGTCATGCGTCTTCCCGCCCTCGGATTGGCCATCATCCCATGGTCCTTGAGTCTTGAGTCTTGGGTTGGTCGATGATAATAACTTTCGCTAGATTGTCAAAGGCCCTCAGGCTCCTTACTGCTTCCTTGGTCTCATTCTGGTGCTAGGTTCCATTCGTCGAACCAATAATGCTGGCATCGATGCCAGCTGCCAGATGTGAAGTGCTAAATGCGAAACAAGCCATGCCATGGCCCATGGTTTCTGTGGAGGACGACGTACGAGTTCTCTCACTTGCTTGTTCGGCTCATAGGTTTTGTGACTTATGTCTCCCTTAGTGCGCGGCGTCGCACTTGCATTAGAATTCCACCACGACTGTTGTAAATTACAATATGTTGGAAGTGTCACACAAGACACAAATGCGTGGGTGGAGCAGAAAGCTGCAGCCTGTGCTGATCGGATTGAAAGCGCTATTATTACGTAGCAGACGCCAGGAAAGCTAGATACTGCGAGTAGTAGTCGAGTGATGCTTTGAAGGGTTTTCGCCTGAGAATCGGTCGTCCTTCAAGCGACTACTAGAGAGAATCATATGGCTCGCTTGATGTCGAAACAGAGACCTCCGGCTACGAGCCCACCAACCTGTAGGCATTTGGTCTTTGATCTTCCCCTTTTTTCTGCCGCCCGTTTTCTCTGCACAAAGTGGTGGGCAGAGCCGGGCACAGGTGCGAGTATCCAGACTCGTACGAAACGAGACATCTGAGGTCTATCACTCGGAGTGTCTCTCCTACTCGTATCTAGTAGCATTAGTCGGATCTGCTGGCCTTAATCCCTGCTGCTTGCTCTGGATTCTGACAGAAGTTTCGTGATCGTTATGATTATTATCATTATTGTCTCAAGGCAGGTGGCTACTCCCAGTAAAAGTGGCTCAGCAGCACTTGTACCGAGTACGTATCCCATCTCTTGCTTCGTAACCCTGGGAGATTTTGACATCCCAATCCTTCGCAATCCCCTTCAGACCGGTTTTCTGGCCCGTAGTCGCCTGCAAGTGATTCGAAAAGATGCGCCACTCAAATCCAGATCAACGATAGGATTGTTTCCAGACCCGCATGCAGACTCTCTTAACTCCATTTATGCATCTTCGCACCCAGGCTTCGGGCAGTCAATTCTGCTAAACGTCATGAAAATTATAATCCTTTGTGCACCTACTCCGTAATCCAGAACCTAGTGCCTTGATCGCTGCGTGTCAAGTGTCCGGGACTCCCAGGACGACTCAGGAGATCTCCGACACCTCACAAACAAGGATCACTGGAAGAGTAATCCTCAAATGCTGCAAAATCGAGATCTCCCAATCCGTGGTGCATCCGGAGGAAACCTATTTTGTGTCCTGTTTAGTCCTTGCGAAACCTTGCCCTACTCAGGTTGTTGTTATTCCAGGCATACGTCGACAGTGGCCAGAAAGTCAGACGTCAATAATACTGGATCTAGGTATCATGTCTATCCCTCCATCAGGCTCCACCCTCAGGTCCAACGCGAAATATCAAACCAAGACGCGTGTTAAACCAGGCAAGCTTGGGTGTAGACTCGTGAACTGTGCCTCCCTCTCCTGATGGAGTACTGCACTCCGAACAGGTTGCCCTTTCCTCGTTCCTCGCTTACGCTAGTTATAGTTGCAATTGTTTCTGGTTTTGACTTCTTGGGGCAGCAAACCCATTCCTCATGATTTTTAGCTGGACGGACATGTACATCTGACGATCAAACCGTCTCCTATTTTGTGGTGCAATATCCCAACACCTTGCCCATCACAAGATGTCGTCTTCGCTAGTCACTAATGTTACCAGGTTCTTGAAGCATCTCCTACTGGCTCCATTCCTGTCAGTCGACATTATCGCGGCTCCACTCGTCTACAACATGCTGCCCGTCCTACGACAGCACTCTCGTTTTGACGCTGGCTGAGGCAGCAGGAGGCTGATTGCTTCGTCCCCATAAGGGTGCGTGGCAAAACTTGAGCATGCCGTTTTAGTGACGGGTTCCATGTGCCACGATAGCCGCTTGCCTACTCGTACTCACCAGCTGCAACTTGTTGCGCCGCGACCCAGCTAGCCCACTGTGTCACGTCTAGACGGGAGACTGGTTGAACCAACGGTCAAGGACAAAATCACCGCTCGACCTTTGCTGCTGAATCAAGAACACTGAACAGTGAAGAGAGCACTGGCATTTTTCGTCAAACCGTTCTTGCAGGTTCCACTCTACAAACTTTTACTCGTAGGATGCGTACTCCGTACGAGTAAGTTTCTCGATCCTCAGCCTGAGCCTGTGAGTGGCATCTCTGAGCTAAGGATCAGCTGCATTGATTTTCGGTGGTATCCGTACCTATCCTCTGTAGACTGTCATGATGAGATGGTTTGGAGTTAGTTGCTAGCGTCTTAACTAGTAGCCAGACAACATCACACCTGCACTACGGCAAGACACCTTTGTTGGGTGGTTTCCTGCTTAGTCTGTGCCTATCGTCCGAGGGCCACCGCCCAACCGCCCACAGCGACCGCCTGGAAACCTGGGCGTTGCGCCCCAGTTTTTACTCGGTGCTCACGGAAGGTCCTACCTGATGCTGGTGGTGCTGATCCAGGCGCTATGACAGGGAAAACAGTGGTGACCAGCGACCACGGCCCCCCGCCAAATGCCGTTCTTCATGCGGTTACAGACTGGCTTAGCGGGTTCGAGTTTGACCCAAGCCAGCCTAAGCAGCCTAACCGGAGCCGTCAGCCATTTTCAAACCCCCCCGACTGCTGTTTTCAGGCTTCACACCTGCTCTGGCCTCGTTAGCCCTTGTCACGCTGGTCATCACTGGCACCCACCTGGAATGCAGCCTGCAGCCAAACAGGAAGCGATGGACAGCACTGCGCTCTAGCAACCAGGGCTCCAATTTCACCTGCAATTCCATTTACCAGAGCCGTGCGTTACTCATGTCACTATTATTCAGCCCTTAGCGCACTGGCGCAGCTCCGATGGTGCTCACGAGTCACCACCGTCTCACACATCCTGGGATGCTTTCCTGATGCAAAATTACAAACCCTTCACAGGAACAAGTACCCAACTCGTACTCCGTCAAATGTTTCTCCCACTGGCACCAGCGCTAGTGAACCAAGCCCTTGCCTCGATGCAGTGCACAGTGAGTGGCCACTTACGAGGTACACTTTTCGTAGCACGTTCCCTTGCGCTCAGAACTCCTTGGAAGCATCCCCGCTTCGGCCTACGTGCAAGCAGCAGGGACTATTATTGCTAGTTGGAGAGCAGTCCACGTCCGGGACAATCAAAGGTCGCGCCCCTTCATCCCGGACCCATCCACCACCCAAGATCCTGTATTTGTACTCGGTACACACGGACAGAGTTCAAACACCTTGCGCCCTCACTCACGCTTGCACAGACGGCGAGTGCGAAGGCGAAGGCGTAATTGTAGTCTCACTCCACACAACATCCCTGGATAGCATTTCAGTGCACCCACCCCTCTCCGTGACCAGGTCCCAAGTCAAAGGGGGAAAACTTCACTAAGACCCCAAGGCTTCTTCCTAGTCCTTGGTTTTTTTTGAACTCCTCATGGCTCAGGCTCAAGGCTCGGGCTCGGGCTTAGACTCAGGATCACCACACACACACGCAGGCCCCTCAATACCGAATACTCCTGTACGGATACTGCAACATCCCTTGGACCTACAGGCTACAGGCAGCCTTTGATACGACAGCCGAGCTAAAATGTGTTCGGTGGACATTATTTCGCATCATTATTGGCATGGTCCTGCGCTCAGTTGCCGTCACCATTTGATTTGCACCGTCTGCTTCGCCGTCACTCCGTTTTTCCCGCTCAGGCTCGCCTTTGACTTGCCTTCGTACCCAGTCCATCATCCTAGTCTTCCGTAATCCTTTCTTTTTCCAAAACATGCCATCACCTTGCACTCCGCCATCCCGTCTTAGTCCACTTTGGCAATTCATTATTCTTGTGCCAGTTTTTCTTGCTCCATCTTGAGGTCCCTGCGCCTGACCCATGATTGGCTCGCCGACCGTACCCAGTTCGTAGCTTGCTCTGCGGCTTGCCTTTGACCCTTCTGTCTAATTCCTGCCTCGTTTCCTGCTGCAACTGGGCTCATCCCATTCTGCGAAAGCTCTGCCTTTCCCACTGGGGCTAGCGAGGGCCCTGACATCAACTACCAGGCCGAGCCTCGAACCGCCTGCCATCCAAGACAAGGCCGTGTGTGAGTCTGTATGGAGTATCAATGAAAATAACCCCAAAACGCGAGATCATCATCAGCAGCACCACCAGCTACCTCTTCGTGACCCATTCGTTTGGGCCGCCACAAACCTTACCTCCCATCTCCCCGGCTGTCTACGTTCTTTCCATTTATTGTCTTTGACTTTATGGTTGCTCCTGGAGAGTGTACGTGCTTGATATCCATATCCGTATTGCGTTCATAATCACCGCCGCCCGCGTTCAGGTTTGCTCAAAGGTCTTCCTTTCACGGATCCACCCTCAAAGACGGCCTTCATTCCAATCCCCATTTCAGTCCATCACTCCAAAACATCAGAAATGCTGGTCACTGTCTGACCTGACTGCCTGAACTCTTTCCTTGTGCTCTGCAATGTCCCTTGATTTCGGATACCTTCATTCATGAGGCAGTCTCCTCCAGTTTCACTTCACCTCATACATCTTTCACTTCCATCCTCACCACCATCTCATGACGTCCCCTCCATCGGCCGCCTTTACAACCTGATGTCCTTGAAGTCTCCCTGATTTTCTTCCACCACTCGCACAACCCAACCTTGCTCATGTCGGTGCTTTACGACTCCATCCACAACCTTGACTGGCTCAAGTCAAACCCAAAGCCCACCCTCGATCAGACAATCACGAATGGGTTGAAGAGGTGGGAACAAATCAAGGCTCCGTATTCTACAGGTCTACCGACTCCTCCAACATCGAAGGCCATGCCTGGAGTAATATTGGAAAACAGCTACGCTGGTTACTCAACTCTGCCGATCCAGCCAAATGGAGTGTCGAGTCGAGACAGTTATGGCACAAACCCACACCGCGGTCAGATCTCTTCGAGTATCAACACCAGCCAGTACACGATCGCCCCACCGTCGAACAGTGTGAGCTCTTTCACACATCGTCCGGTCGACCAGATCAAGATCGATGCAATCGCCCCCCATCTCCAAATTCCAGAGTCGGTGAACAAGAGCAAAGGAAGTCTGGCTGAATTTGCAGCGGAAATTACCTGTTTGTTCTGGTTTGAAACCGCCAAAACTCTGCAGCATGCAGAGGATCTACCGTTGGAGAGTGCCCTCGAAAGAGGACTTCTTCCAGACGCCACACCATCAATTGGCTTTCGAAAATGGGTCACGACAATAATCAGCACCACTCAGGTTGGCAAGAACGTCATTCTATTGGCACTCATGTTCATATATCGTCTCAAACGATTTAATCCTACAGTGAGCGGCAAACGCGGGAGTGAGTTTCGATTGTTGACCATTGCATTGATGCTGGGAAATAAGTTTCTGGATGACAACACCTACACCAACAAAACGTGGGCAGAGGTTTCGGGAATCTCAGTCACTGAAATTCACATCATGGAGGTGGAATTTCTCAGCAATATGAGATATGACTTGTATGCCTCGGCTGAAGAGTGGAGTCAATGGAAGGCCAAATTGGGAAGGTTTGGCGCGTTCTACGACAAAGCCTCCAAGCTACCCGTTGCAGAAGAAGGCAGAGGAACAGCACCCGTGACACCAACCTCACAAAGTTTCTCGAACAAGCTACCCTCGCCCCCCTCCACTCACCACAGCGTCAGTCCATTTGCAAACCAAGTGTCACTGAGTCAAAATTACCCAACGTTACCGCACCCCTTACCGTCCACAACCCAGCTTCCCAGCTCACCACTACGTCAACATCTATTAAACTCGTATCGATCTGAGAGGAAAAGAAGTTTAGATCAATCCCTGGATCTCCCACCTGCCAAACGACAACATTATTCTGGTTCCATTTCTGGTTCAGCAAATGGAGTTCCAAATTCCATCCCTTATCCGCCCAGCAATGTTCGAGTATCACCATCGGCCTTGAAGCATCCGGCAGATAATTCTAGCAGTGTGTCGACATTCTTCGATGCGCCTAGGCAGGATCCTGTGCGGATGCCATCAACGCATGGCCTATCCACCAATCATCTTGCTCCTCTCAACGTTCCGTCGACTCGAGCAATGTCCACTGTCTATCCAGTTAGCACTAGTGGATATTCTCAGCCGGTAACACCGATTTCTGCGATCCCTCAGAATCTCTTCCAAAACCCCATTCCAAGCATTGGGGACGGCACCCGACCACCCTCGCTTTATCCTTCAGCACATACATCGCCTTCCAATGGCTACCAAACAAACACACCAACCTTACCGGGGCTATCTCCTTCATACTTTTTGACCCATCGGGCTTCTCCATATCGACCGGTCCGACACGTCAATACCCTTTTGATACCACCGCCATCAACTGCCCTGCAAGGGCCCATCAGAAATGTACCATCTGATCAAATCCACTATCAACCACTCAGCAAGGTATCAACTGAGCGTCATGTTGGCCCTTTACCAATGATGCAGCTTGAAAATTGGCAACATAGCAATGTATCCACGCCAGTTACTCATCAGCAGCCTTATCAATTTTGAGTGACAGGATATCACTCCTCAACTTCCTTTTTCTGCAGACATGATCTGCTTCCAGCATGGCGTGGCGTTTTACACTATTAGAGGAATTGTACTTAGCGACATGCATCGGGTGGGGTTTTCATACAGGTCCATTATGGCAACATACCCAGAGTTGGGAGGATCAATTGTCCAAGACGACAGGTCTTGTCCAGGCTAGGAGCTTCACTACATGTGGTATACCACTACTCTGCTTAGATAGCTCACACCAATACCAGAAATCATTGACATCAGGCCTTGAATTATAAAGTAGTCTCTGTTCTCTTCCTAAACCGTTGTTGAAATTCATCCCTCTATGTCTGAAATGGTCAATCCTTGGAGGGGAAGTAAGCTGTAAAGCAAAGATGTGAATGGCCAGCATCCTTAGCGCGTGCGCTGGGGACAATCACGTGGCCCCCAAACGAGGCAAATTCAACGTCATGTTCAAACCGACGGGTTTTCTCCGCTGAAGCGATGGGATTCCAGCGGTCTCTGGTCTTCGCGGTCTAACATGTATTCGTGAATTCAGTAAGTGCTCTGAATTTCAAGTTGATCCAATGCAAGGCTCCGTGCGCCACAAATGATGCAGAGATTGTACATATCTCTATCCCACAAGGATGCGCAAGACTCTCCTTCTTGTCTTCATCCACGGCTTCAAGGTAAGCTCTTTCTCGTCCGCTACCGACATGAACAGGCCAAGTTTGTTTGTTTTCATCCGCTGTTGGTGGAATACATGATCATACTGATACTCACTACTCATTCAGGGTGGCGACGACACCTTTGGGAACTTCCCGGAACACCTCAGAGCGCTCGTCAGCCATGCCCTTCCTGAGATAGACGTGTTAGCGGTGACGTACCCCAAATTTGAGACCCGAGGGGAACTCAAAGAATGTGTCTCACGCTTCCGAGAATGGTATGTAGGCCTGAGCCCAGTTGAGATGCCAGCATAGCGTTGGAAACTGATGTCCTCTGGACCCCAGGCTTGAGAACAAAGTCATCGACCTCGAGGTCGCCCACCACACCCCTTCACCCACGATCGATCCGTCGATCCATGTCATGCTCATCGGGCATTCGATGGGAGGAATAGTTGCAGCTGAGACATATCTCCTCCTCGCCAAAGAGCAACCTATCCCAGCGGCCTCCTCACGACAGAATCCTGAAAGACCCAATTATCCCTCCAACACCGCCCTGAATTCTTCCACCTCGACGTCACATCCAAATCCTCCGCTCTCCGAGGATGCTTCCCATGTTGCTGAAAACTTCATGTTCCCACATATTCAAGGCATTCTAGCTTTCGATACACCTTTCCTAGGCCTGGCTCCGGGCATGGTTGCGCACGGAATCGAAAGCGGCCACAAGACTGTGGCAAACGCCTACAACACCTACAACGAAGTGGCCTCCATTTTCGGGTGGGGATCAAAATCAGAGCCCGCCGTAGGTTCAGCTGCTTCTGCCAGTAGAGCAGTGGGAGCATTGCCTGCGCCGACGTCGGCTGCGGCCGACGCAGCTGCGGCACCCAAATGGCAGTCTTGGGGCAAGTACGCTATGTTTGCAGGTGCTGCAGGTGCTGTCGTGGCTGGTGGAGCAGCTGCACTATACTCGCAAAAGGAAAAATTGAGTTTGGGATGGCAGTGGGCAGGAGACCACCTATTGTTCGTTGGTGAGCTGTTCAAACCAGAAAGACTGCAGAAACGGGTCAAGGACCTTGAACAGGCTTGTAAAGAGAGAGGATCCGGCTGTGGTAACATGTTCACCAATCTGGGCAAAGGTGCTAGAGAAGGCTACGGCATCACTAGTAGTTTGGCCGGCAAGGAGCGCACATTCTGCAATCTCCCAGTGAACGTGATGAAAAATGGACAGGAAACCAAGGCATCCCAGGAGAGGTTGGATACGGGGTCCGGCTTCAAGTGGACGCCGACCATCAACGAGAAAGCCCAGGACGAAACCACAGCACACACGTCAATGTTCTACCCCCGTGACAACCCAGGATACTTTGGCCTAGGTGAGCGCGCAAAGGAATTCCTCACAGCGTGGGTGGATCAAGGCTGGTACCATTCCAGTGACGGACCGACACACATGGGCCAAGACCACGGCGCGACTCTGGGGGAGGTAGGTGATGGCTGGGAAAAGCCAGACTATGACGCCGAAGAAGTCAAGGCCAAGGAAAACGAACGAGACCGGTACAGAGGACACACCTTTCCTGACCCGGATGTCGAGAGAGACCTCGCTCGTGATTGGGAGGGCGTGGATGCCCACAAGGGTCGCGACGGGATTGATGATCTTGACGATGAATTCAGTATGCGAGATGGTGGCGAAGATTTACATGATAGCATCATTGTGGAAAGAGCTGCTCAAAATGGTGAAGTGCCCTTGCCTCGATCTCGGGCAGACACAGGAACTTGATGAGGCATGACTGAAATGAGAGAATGAAGGAAATGAAGCGGGCCGAAGGCATTCCTGGATCAAGCTTTGGCGACCTTCGGGGAAGATGCGATAGATGTCAATTCCGTCAATCTGCACACTGCTTCCTACGTTAGAAGCCAATATCCGCGCCAATTGGACAGAAAAGAGAGCTGTTGTCTATTCTCATAGAGAAAAAGGTCGCATCGCACAGCAACGACGTCACGATCCCTCCAATCTACCACTGATACAGTTACAAACACAAATACAATGCTTGATGTAGGGAAATGCTCTCTGTTCTTTTTCTCCAGCAAAACACAACACTTGCCGGACTCGAGAAGGGCCTGCAGCATTGTCTTCACACACATTCATCCACCACTACCATATGTTTGAATACCTTCCTCCAACCTCAGTGGTTGTCTGCCTGCGTCCTTGTTCCGCCTCACCTCCGCTCGGCAAACCATGCCCTCCAACCTGCAACCTGCAACCTGCAACCCAATCAACTCAACTCAACCAGTCCCATTGGTTTCCTCAACACCCGCTCCATGTGGAAGACGCTGCTGGCCCTCGGCTTCCATGCCCTCACAGCCCGTGACTTTGCCGGCGGCGTTCTCGACAACACCCAAGACGCGGGATTTCGTGGGCGGGCCGCTGTCTGACGACGACTGCGACTGTGCGTCTTTCATTTCCTTGACCGCTTCAGACTTTGTTTGCTCGCCGGTCTCGTAGCCCAGTGCAGAGGAGATGGCACCTTGGACGTACTATTTCGTGGGGTTCAGTTGTCAGTCGGTGGATTTGGGGGATTTGGGGAGAGAGGGAAGATAGTTCCGCAAGAAGCCTGGTATTTGGACAAGGTATGGCAGGCTATAACATTCTGGATCGAAGCTTGGAAACCTGCGTACGACAGCAGTGCAGAGAACGTACCTTTGCGTGACCCGCGATCATGGATGGCTGAGACTCAGTATTTGAGGATTGGTCCGAGGATGCCATTGTGACGTGAGTGTCGTTTTGAGGCGAACAGGCTTTTCTCAGTATATAGTCGTGTCTTGAAGGTGTCTTTCAACTATTCAGTGATCGTGGAGGCGAAAGGGAGAAGGTAAACACTTTCGTGAGAAGACCATCAATGATGGAGGGATGGATGATGTCACTGCCCCCCAGCATTGATCACGTTGCTTGGCCTTCTTGTATTTCACCAATTATGGCCTCATTGGCAAAATCAAGCGGAAGCCAAGTCATTGTCATCTGACCTTGAGTGGCCTTACTTTCCTTCATGCCCAATCTTCTGACAATGAGCTTATAAGTTCGACTTCTGTTGCCAGTGTATCCGAAATGTGAAACGGAAGAGATATCCGAACCACGCTATGCCCAGCTTGTCTGGGACCGAGGTAGTAAAGCGCTGAGCTAAGTATTTGACTGCGATCAACAACACAGGCTTGATCGCGGCAAGGCGAAGCATTGGCACATACAACAGCTACTTGACATTGCCGTGGACAGCGCACGCTTGACATTGGTCTTTACCTCAATTATAAGCAGAACTGGTTGTCTATCTTGGAACGTACTGTGCTCAGCATGAAGCTTCGATGAGAGCATAGATCATCGAATATATCTTCAAGATCTAGAGGCTCGAAAACCTCACAACCATGACTCGGAAGTTCGATACTACGCTAGGGAAGAAGCCCATATCATGGAAGCGCCTCATGGCCTTGAAAGCTCTCGGAGATGACCAGTTCGAGTCTTTAACGCCCGCTTGGCCCCCAGCCCCTCATAAGAGAACCTTTGGTGGTCACGTCTACAGCCAGGCCGTTTGCGCTGCTGGCCAGACAGTCGATCATGGATTTGTCGTACATGTACGTAAGGCAATATGCTCCCCATAAGACAGAAACATGCCATGTTCTCCCAAGAAACTGATCTCTCTGTGATACTGCAGCAAGTAACAGGTCACTTCATTCTTCCAGGGGCGATCGATACTCCATTTATATACCGAGTGAGGAGGATCCGTGATGGCGGCAACTATTGCTTGAGAAGTGTGGATGTCTTCCAAGAGTCCGAGGCTGCCGCATTCGGGAAGACGCCATGCTTTGTCACGACTATCTCGTTCAAGCGGCCAGAGACAGGGTCTGGCAAGTGGAAGGATTACAACCACCAGAGTTTACCTCGCGATCATATTGCCACCACGTACCGAAGTGTTTTGAGTGGCAAGGCTTGCGAAGATCATCCACTGGCACCAGGAGCTGACGCCCTCTGGTAAGTGCAGTGCTTCTTACAATTTCATTATCAAGATTTTCGGATGCTCATGTGTGTCTGTCATTGATAGGTGGGAGGAGGAAGAACAAGAGGCATGGTCTCGCGCAGCCGCAGCGTTTCCTGGTGTTGAAACACGAAAAGTTGACATGTGCAAGTACAATGGGGAAGTGGAGGAAGGCGGCGACAAGGATGGAGAAGGGGCGACTCGATGGCGGCAACTTATTTTGTACCGCATAATCCTCGACGATGACGACGAAAACATGAATGCCACCACGACAGGAGTCCACAAAGCCTCGCAACCGATCGACCTGAATCTTCACGCCGCCGCCCATCTCTACGCCTCCGACCGCAACTCCCTCTTCCTCATCCAACACGCCGCAGGCTTCCAGAGGATCCGCACGAACATGGCTTCCCTGTCGCACACAGTCATCTTCCACCAACCAGCAGATTCACTGCGCATGGTCGACGACCAGGGGAAGCCCAAGTGGTTCGTGCAGGAATCGTGGACCACGTTCAGCGCGGATAAGCGCGGTTGCCACAATTCCTACCTGTGGGATTTCGACCAAGGGGTGGTCCTCGCCACGACCATTCAGGACGGCATGATGCGGTTCCCTAATGCGGATGTTGGTGAAGGACAGAAGAGTATCTCATCGACAACACCACCATCTGCCGAGGGAACTGAGCCTTTGGAGGCTGCAAGAAGTAAGTTGTGAGTCAGCGGATCTCCCGACTGCCGCCATTATCTATCATGAGGTATGAGGCAGATGTGGTGAACGTCAGATCCTCCGATCACTTCCTCTGTGGGTGAATTGCATGGCCACGGAAATTCTCTTCCGCGGGGAGAGAGGTGGAACGATTGAGATGCCGTTGCGGCTTTGTTGATCTGCTCTCCCGATGTAGATGCGTGCGAACAGTCCACGCTTATTGCTCCCTTGTCCAAAATGAAAGAGACTGCTGATGAAAATGCACAGCTCGGTAGAGTCTGGATTCAAGGAATGGTGACCTGGTCAATCACGTCGCGAGCTCTGTGGTGGGATATGAAACCGACACGTGGAGTTGAGCCATTCTCGCAATCTGGAGGCATGACAAAGGAACACATACCTCGAACGAGTGAGAAACAAGGCTGATTGTATTACTCTGGTGCATCATATTCATGTTGATCAAGCTATTTATGTATGATCTGTGTATATCTCCCGGCCTCGCGAGGCGACATGTGACGTTGGTGATGTTATGCTATGTTATCTGATAGACAGAACAAAGGTCGACAATTGCTTCAGAAGCCAAAGGGCAAGCCAGATGTTATACTGGAGTAAACAAAATAGACAGACAGATAAGACAGATGGGTATCGCTCTCAGACGCAACCTCTTCTCGAGAATTAAGAAATAATACAACGCCACTTCTCATAGCTCTTCCGTCTCCTTCCCCTTCGCTCGCCTGCGCTGTGCTTCGCGGGTTTGCAAAAACCATATCTCAACTCACATGGGGTCAAAAGTGGCCCTCGCACACAGACAGAGACACAGACTCGACTCGCTCATTGTTCTCCCCGGATGTATTGCGTGTAATTACATTTGTTGGATTGGAATTTGTTTCGTGAGGTTGATTGCGAACCAGTTTGTTGGGGGTGCGTGTCGTGTGATATTCGATAATTCGACAGTTCGACGGGTTGGAGTTTCAGCGATGATTTCTTTGGTTTGGTTGGGGGTAGTTCGTAATCTTCATTAAATTTGGGGGGCGGATATCAGATAGATGGGTTTAGAGCAGCACCATTAATGCCCAAACGAAGGTGAGTGCCAGGAGATACGGCTGTAAAGCCTCCAGAGTGGGCGCGCCACTGTTGAAAGGGGGGTCGAAGGGGCTTCCGCCACCGCCAGTATCGGCGTCGCCGCCGTTGGAACGAGCGGTGGTGGTAGATGCAGCCGCCGATGTGGTAGTCGTCGTGCCCGTACTTCGGGAGGAAGATGTAGTCTCGAGGGTGGAAGAAGATGTTTCGGATGATGATGCTGATGATTCTGTTGTGGCCGTGCTACGATCTGTGGAAGAAGTTTCCGTTTGGGAACTGCTTGATGATGTTGATCTCGCCGCAGTGGTTTCTGTCGTTGCAGTTTCAGTGTTCGTTGATGCGGCTGTTGTCCTCGCCGATGGCACCGTAGTCGTGGTTGTGAGCGTCTGCACGACCGGCAAACATAGAAAGTCAACCGCCTCTCCGACGAATATTTTGCCGATCAATGAATTGCTATCGGCCGTTTCTCGAGTACATGCCCGCTGAACCGCCGACTGCGCGCTTCTGATGCTGGATTGACAATTTGCAGAGCAGGAGCCGGATCCACCGATACCTGCCAGGTCGTTCAAATTGCAGTTGCTAATGGAGTTCTGGTAGGATGTCGTGCAACCGGAGGAGAACCCAACGATCAGTTGGATGTCAGAAAACCGAAAGGTTGCGGTCGCGTCTTGGGCGAAGATGACAAGCATGCATGCCAGTGACCATGATGATAACGATCGTGGACTCATATTTGCAAGTTCTAGTAGGGGGTTTCTCGTCCTTTCGAGTCGGGTGTGTCGAAAGCCAGCAGATTCTGGTCAAAAGTGAGTTATGCGAACTCTGTCGTTTGAGATTCGTTGGGTCCAGCAGTATATCACCCTGCGTCAAGATGGAAAGACCAAGATAAGACCACTTCTCTGTTCGATTTGATTTCGTGATAACAAACAAGCGAGCGGAAGGTAAAGAGGCGATGGGGTAAGTCTAGTGATTCAGACCAGCCGCATCGCAAAGAGAAGAATTTCCCCAGGGCAACGACCTTTGGTTCTGTCGCTCAAGATCTAAGATCCCAGTGGTGTATTCAGCGTGACCACCACGTTAACTCAAGTCACTGTCGATAAATGATGGCGAGACTTTTCCCTCACACAAACAGCCAAAATATGTCCCTCGTCTCTTCCCTCTTCAAACCCTGCGGTTTCTCAGAAGACGGTTGTTTGTTTGTCCAAATAGTAGTTAAAAGTCGATTACGGTCACCTGGTGCCCAGCAGGATCAACAACGATCTACGTCAGTTCAGAGAAAGTAATTCCAGCACGCTGGGCAAATGGTAGTTGCCGAAAGCACTGCACTTGGTGGGGGATATTGCAGTCGACAGATCGCTGCCGATCGCAATCAAAACGCCCGCGTATGAATAGCGATCAAGGCCAAGTTGAGAGCGAACGATCGGCAGATGGCGGCTTGAAGCGGATCCCAGCCTCTGGTCTGAAACAGAAGGGTGCACAGACGCTGCGAACGGGGACGAGTACAAGTACTCGTGAGGTTGACGACAACAAGAGGACGCTCCGCCTGGGAGGCACAGCTGGCTGGCAGGCAAGCCTGGTTATATTCTCTCGGGGAACCGTGCGTTTTTAGAGCGTGATGTCAGATGATCACTCCCGCCTCTTGTTTATTCCAGAGTTCGCAGCGCTCAGACTTCAAAGACTCCCAGAGGACTGATTGGGTTTCGGGAAAGCGAGGAGAGGTAGGGCGAGTGAGTCAGGGGAGGGATAGGATAGTTCGGCAGCGTGGGTTCTCGCTTGATGGACTCGATAAAAGATCGGCCGTGCAGAGCCTGCTGCGTGGTCAGTAGCGACGAGTACGAAGTAAAGTAAGAAAGAAATCAAGAGAGATCAAATGTGTTGCATTAAGTGTATAGAGATTAGACAGGGGCTAGGATGGGTTCTGGTGGTCGACAGCGGGCACGACAGAGTATCCGTATGATCTAGAGGAATTCGCCTACTCGGTACTGTTTGATAGGGTGTAGCTGAGATGGGCGGCTCCAAATGGGCACGGCTACGGTTCAGTATGGAGGAAAGCTGGTGTTTCTGCGACACTTTACAACCCTGAGCCGGGGAGGGAGGAAGACAGAAGTGGATGATGGGACTGGGGATGGTCGGGATGGGTCGAAGATGACGATGTACGGAGTATGATCGACAGGGGTTGCAACATGAATGATTGGTGTATCTCTTATCAGGGGTTGCATGACACCAGTCTAGATAAAGTAGTATGAAACTCGAACAACCGCTGCCTCATGTCCAAGCCTCCGTCCTTCTTTGACTTTGCCCAGTCCAAGGTCGAATACATGGCCATGCCTCCTTCCAGAATAATATCAGCCGACAGGATCATGATTTCTTCTCCCGTCCACGGTGTTTGTCCCATCCTTCAAGTTTGGTATAAATTGACCACCGGCTATAATTTCCACGGCTTTCTAATTAAGGACGTTATGCTGCGTCCATGGTCACTGCGACTCGTGCTTGATGAGGTTTTGTAGTCGAGTCATGGACACGGTCATGAAGATCAAACTCGTCGGTCAATTGTCCATCCATGCCATCAAGATGGAATGGAATGTCCGTTGCTGAGGATTTGGCTCATTTGACTTCAAGCTCGTCCCACAGAGCACCGCACCACTCTATAGCGCGTTGTCTCACTGATATGCAGTCTCAACATAAGACGCGTCTCATGGCTTGGGCTTGGATTTGGGCCGAGGCTCGCGGAACATGCAGTAGAGATCAATCTTGTCACCTCCCTCCTCGCATTCCATCTTTTTGGCGACGGTGAAGCCCAGCTTCTCGTAGATGGCAATGTTTGGGACAGCCTTTGAGCTCTCGAGATAGCATTTGCGATCCTCGGCATCAGCAGTTTTTGTAATCAATTCGATCAGCTTTCGTCCAATACCTTTGCCTTGATTGCCAGGCCTGACAGCGACGATATTGCAGAAATAGTAGCCGGTCGGGTCGTCCCAGATTTCGGCCTGTACGTCGGCTTGCACCTGTTTCCAGATCCAATATCGCTTGGTGTTCAATCCTCCGCGGCCCTGATACCGCACCAGATTCCAGCCTTGCTTGAACCACAACAGGTAACCATCCAGCCATTCCGCCCACGTTTCCGGCTCCGTCGCATTCCTGGGTTTCATCCACATACCGACTCCCAGAACCTGGCCCGAGGGGTCGTCGCTGTCCTTGGCCACGTAGAACAGAGCGTTCCGCATGCCCCATTCGCATTTGGCTCTCAAACTTGCCAGGTTCCGTTCTTTGTCGAATTTACCCGGTCGCTGATCAAAAGCCCATATGTGATATGGATCGTCGGCGAATGACTGCTGGATGCAATCTGCCACCGACGGGATATCTGCCGCTGTGATCGGGTGAATTTCGATGCCCATGGTTTCCTCCAATATGAGTTGTGTTGACGCGTTTCCTACCACCGAGGGAAATGGAATGTACCTAAATGGCTGAGGGTGCCAGACCAAGAATTGGCAAGTTTGCAGTCTTGTGGAAGGTAGTAGTGCGGTATGTCTAGGTAGTGCTGCAAGTTAGAACTTAGATGAGATGAGCACTCCGCAGATAAGCGGACGAGATCGTTCATGTAAATAGATCCCACGTTTTTAGAAATTGAGTCAATGCCCCAATCATGAATTTCCTCGCCTACGTCACACCGTGTACATATTATCATCGGCTGTTGCCTCACGGCCGGTAGAGAGCTCTCTCACGGTCAAGTTGGCGGTACTTAATAAGTCATAATATACACCAATGTTTGGTCCCAATCTACGAGCAAAGATCACCCTAATTCGAGAAGTTACAGGCGGCTGGGGGATGGATTCCAGCTAAAAGTGGATTTGGAGGACATGCCGGAGAACAGCGACGGAAGTTTTTTCTTCTGGGCCAACATTCCAGTCCCAAGACAAGACTCGGTACTTAACCAAGGGTGATAGGTGCTTTGATTACCATAGTGACACTAAGTACAGTGTCACCGCACTGCTGCGGACCGGTTCATCTGGCACACTCTGGATAAATCACAAGTGCCACATCCGACAAAATTAGAACGAGTGAAAGGGTATCATTCATTAACAGTATTCAACAGCCCAGCACAAATACACTTTCATGACTCCTATGCTCGCTCGCCGTTTGACTCATCGTGATTGAAGCAATAACCGAACCCCTCTTTTGTACAAAGCCAAATGTCTTCTCGCATGACTATCCCAGATCAAGAACTCACCTCCAAGGAGCGCCGTGCATCAGATAAATAAACATTTGAGTCGTGAGTCATAAAGCGTGCCGAATGTCTTTGATGAGTGCCTGCTCGGGCAAGGCACTCTCTAAACAAGTTGGGCCACCAGTATAAAGTTGGTGGAAAAAAAGAGACATGGAGTGTCATAAATTCCACGTCTCTGACTGGTCAAGAACCCATGAGGTTCCCTTGGGAGTTGGGCTGAATTTGAGCCAAAGCGAATGGCCCCGTCCAAAGAAATCAGGTCGTTCAGTGTGCTCAGAGTCGCCATGCTCCTGTGGTGGACTGCGGGGAGTCTTCATTTGCCGCGTACTCCTCTAACCAGGACGACTCAACTACCTGGCTGATGTTCCATCGACAAGAGTCCTCCATTGCTAGGCAATTGCTGACCAGCTCAAACGCATCATCACCACCTCTGTCAGCGAGCTTCTGTCGGTCCCACTCACCCGCTAAGATCTTCATCGTGACACGCGGCTGGAAAGCGTCGCTGAACGGTCGAGTGCCGACCACGATACTGTAGATACATACACCATATGCCCAGACATCAACTGCGGGAGATACGATAGCCCGTTCGGCTGGTTCGGATGAATCAAGTCGCTCTGCAGTTCGAAGTATCTCGGGCGCCGCATACTCGAGACTTCCTCCAGTAAAGGCAGATGTTGAGGTGTCTGCTGGTCCAATGTGTTTCTGCGGTGGTCTATCCGAGTCCATTGACGGACTCGGAGGCCCAGAGCCGTGATCGTTGGAAAGCCATTCGGCCATGCCGAAGTCGCAAATGCGGAGTAAACCAGGCTGCCCATCAGAAGTAGGCTCAATCAGACAGTTCTCAAGCTTAATGTCACGATGGACCACCCGTGCATCGAGATGAAGGTACCGTAAGCCCGATGCAAGCTGATAAGCGTAGGACTTTGCAATTTCAGTCGGAACACCTTTGCGGTGGGATCGTACGAGGTCGAACAAGGTTCCGCCAACGTTGAGAGGAATAAAGCAGAAGGTTGCTTCGTCAAGTTTATAGACGGCCTCGAGTGGGAGGATGTTAGGATGGTTCAGGAAGCGCCAAAGTTCCACTTCGTGTTCAAACTCGGCCTGTGCTTGTTCGTTCTCAAGCTCACTCTGATCGGCCAAACGCCGGCGCACGATTTTGACGGCGAGCTTCCGATGGTTTCCATCCTGAAGCTGGGTCACCTCTCTGATGGTGCTGAAACCACCAAAGCCGATCCGCTTGCCAAGGACATAGTCGTCGCCAATGGTCTGCCCTTCACCATCCACGGAGGGTGAAACCATGTCAATGCCATCACCATTGGTACCGCTGCTGAGTGAAAAGGCACGTAGATAGGAGGATGCGGCCGACCTTGGTGATTTTGTAGAGCCCGAGGTGTTTTGGCGTGAAGCTCGACCGGCAATGTCGTGCATGCTCTTGCGTAGACTTCCTGCTCGAGAAAAAAAGTCTTGAGGTGATGCCGAGAATTCGCCATCTCTCCATCGCTGAGACGCAGTGCGCCGGAACTGCCGCGGCTCATCGTAAGAGAAGGCTTGTCCATCGCTGGGCGACATGACGGCAGTAGGGGAGAGCCCATAGTTCGCTTCATAACGCGGGGAAACGACTTCTGCAGAGGGAGGGACCATGGGTGATGTGGAGAGGTCGATCTGAGATTCTCGAGCCATGTCATCAACGGTTCTCTGTAGCAGAGGGAAGCGAGCTTCGCCAATGCGGGCTTGCTCTCGTGGTGGGCTGGTGGAATACTGGGGCAGGTGTCGGCCAGTAATCTGATCATAGTGTGACCGTTCCGACTCACTGTGGGCTCGATAGGACCTTTGTTCTGTGGCCATCAAGAAGGGTCTTCCTCTTTGATCTTCCTTTGAAGGGCTATGGCGAAGAGGTTCTTGGATGCTTTGACGCACTCCCGAGTCCAACTTGATCTCATCATCAAAACTAATAGAAGCCTCGCGGTTTCGCATATACCTATCTAGCACAGCCTCGGTGGATTCGTCTGATTCAGGGATGGCGGGGTTCTCGAAGGGAATTGGGATAGATATAGGAGGGGTCGCGGTAGGACGAAGAGTCTCCTGGCTGGTATCTGAGGCGTTGAAGGTAAGACGAGGCCGCGCTGGAGGAACACGGGTCGGAAGGTCCATGTCGTAGGTGTTCTGGGTGCCAAAGATGTCATGTTGCGGTTCTGGGTTGTCAGCACTGGCATGCGCCATGAACAGTGAGCCTGAATGGCTTCTTAGGCACCAAAACAAAGGGTCTCGACAGGATCAAGGGAAGAGAGAGGAAGGAGGAGGAGAGATAGAGGCGATGTCAGGTTCTTGGAGCAGAACCAGACACATGCAAGGACAAAGGCGGATGAAATTTCTCTGCACTGGCACGTGGAAGGGAAGGGCGCAGGGAATGGGCGGGGGAGATGAAAGAAGAAAATATGAGCGGAGGAGCGCTTGTTCGCGGCTCCAGTGGCAGAAGACGGATAAGACCTGCGACTGGCAGTGGAAGGGTCAGAGGGGAGGCAAAGTTTAGGTGAGGCGGCAGTCGCCGTGGAGGGTCAAAGGATAATCATAAAGACAATCATAATGGATGGAGTAGGAGGAGGAGTGGGAGTGGGAGTGGAGGTGGCTGAGGGTATTGGCATCATCCAGCGAGCCTGCAGCTCGTGACATGAGGGCGAGGATGAGGGTGAGCCTAAGCGTGGAGAAGAAGGACGTGAGCATTGTTTCCTGCAATATAAGGCTTGATTTGCACAAGCCGAACTTGAAGCAGAAGAAGATCGACTTTCTGATACTTGTGTGTTATTTAAAAGGCTAATAGGAAGAAGAATATCAAGCAACATGACATCAATCAATGACGAAGGGTTCTTGATGCACCATTCACGGCGATTCATTGCCAACGTCCCGTAAGATAGACAGTCGACTTGCATGAATGATGAGATTCAGTTCTTTCGCTTTAGCTGTTCAGGTACCCCAGCCGTGCCCAGCGCAGAGAGACCCCCACTTGGCAACTAACCGTGGTGCTTTGGACCAATTATGCTGGGGGGCGTCTCGAGGTCGGTACCCAATTCACTACCACCAAGTCACTTCGCTGAGGAAACCCTTTGGCCTCCTTGTCCTCTGAACCTGAAGGTCTTCAGGCTTGCCTGCAGCGCCCACCGAGGACCCGAGCCACTCACAGTCATCCACACCCGCACCCGCACCCTGCCAGCCAGTGCCCTGTTCTAGTGGTGGTTCTGCCCTGGCCCGAAGCCTGCCCAGTGCCCACCCTGTCCTGGCGCCAGTTTTATTTCTGTCTGTGCCTGGTTTTGAAACAGATCCTTTTTGGGGGTGGATAGGGGAACCGCATCGACAACTGGACTCAGGACTCAGGATCCGTACTCCGTGCGACTAACTTACTCCGTACCTCTTTTTATCTCAATCACTACATTACACACACCACCACTCATCATCCTCCGACGGCGACGGCGACTGCGCACTGGTATAGCGACAGACACACGCTTTCATGTCTTCGCCAGGCTTGCCTTGACACTCTCTGTTTCTCATTTTCACGTTGCCTGCGCTCCTGGAACGCGTCGGTCCTTCAGCTCGAGCTGGTCCTCTTTCCCTTTCCGTCGGTCCTTACCTCGTGGCGCGTGTCCGCTTCAACGTCCACCACAATTTTGCACTCGCAACTGTCAACCACCAGGATTGGTTCTACTTGTGCTTTTGGTTCTGGCTTTGTGTCTCTATACCCCGACCGTGTCACCCAGCTCTACTCCACCCTGCGACCCCTCTATGCGCCCTGATATATCTCAGAGCCTTTCGGTTTGGGCGCGATTGCTCCTACCTGAAACACTTTGCCACAATCTTTAGCCCCAATGGTTCGCGCAATGACAACGTTAAAACCCCAGCTTGTAAGAGCAGGTCAGTATTGTCCCATTGCACCAAGAGATCAACCCAACCACTTCCCACTCTGTATTGAACACACTACTCACCGCCTTTCAACCCCAGACACACTCGATTTACAAGATCATGACACTCCGTCCGCTAAAGATCATTCGCGCCAGCCCGCTCATCCATCGCCCTATGGTTATGGTCCTGCAGCACCACACCAGGCCCAGACACTGAGGCAAGCCGAACAAGATGCATATCAAGAGCAACATACTAGTCCTAGACAATCCGAGGACAAAACGAATGGTGCTTTCGGCTACAGCGATCACGATGACGACCGAAACGATGACCACAATACCTCGAATGGCTCCAATGGACCTGGGTATAACGGGCAGGATATCAATGATGAAGATGGTGGCGACTCCCATGACGAGGATATGGACGATGACCTGTTGGACAAGATCTCGAGTTCTCCCTCGATCGAAGATGGTAAATACACCCTTCCTGTTTGGCCCCCAAGAGCGGATTCCGTCAGAACTGGAGCTGCCCCGGCTCCGGCCATGATTCAGATTCACGACTCTCCTCTTTCTTCATCCCCATATATTTCCCACTACAAAGTTTCTCCCCCACAATCCCCGCGTGTTGTTGGACCGGAAAGTCATCATGGTGAGTGTGAGGGCTACTACGCCAATCGCCGAATGGAGGTCGAGCCCTGGCAAGATCACGATCAGACTTCGTCATTGACCTCGTTCACCTCGAATAATAGTGGGCTAGCGACGCAATTGCAGGGCATCCCGCTTTCCGAGTCTCAAGAATTTCGGAGATATTTACTGCCCACGGACGACCCACTTCTGAGAGACGTGATCGACGCTCAATCCGATGAATACTTTTACGACGAGGAGGGAGACTGGGAAGATGACGATTCTTCCGTGGCCGACCCGGATTTAAGCTCTGATGATGACCCCGAGGATTTCCAATTTTCAAATGACGATCGCTTCATTGATTCTGGTTGGGGTGGTGAATGCTTACGAGAAATAGAGGACATCGATTTCGAATTCGTATACGCGTTACATACCTTCGTGGCCACCGTCGAAGGCCAGGCTAATGCTACAAAAGGCGACACCATGGTGCTACTAGATGACAGTAACAGCTATTGGTGGTTAGTGCGCGTGGTCAAGGACGGTAGTATCGGTGAGTGGTCTATGGCCATTCGACTTCACCAAGTTGCTAAGATGAAACAGGATACTTACCCGCCGAACACATCGAAACACCAACGGAGCGTTTGGCGCGATTGAACAAGCATAGGAACATTGATGTTCGTGAACCAGTATCTGATATGAAATTTGCTGACATGACCAAAGCTATCCGCCTCTATGCTTGGAGATAACCCAGAAAAGTCCAAAAATCCCCTGAAGAAAGCCATGCGCCGAAGAAACGCCAAAACAGTCCAATTCGCTCCACCTACATATTATGAACCTTCTGATTATGAATACTCCGACGAGGAAGACGATGGCAACGAGAGCCTCACGGACCAAGGCATTGATGACAACGCCGATGACGATACCCACAACGACCAAGAAGTGGTTGAGACCGAACCCGAGTCTCAAGGACAACGAGTTACAGCCACAGCAAATGGTGTCCAGCGAATGGCCAGTACTGACAGTCTGAAGAGTGACCTGTCATCCGACAACTCCACCAGGGCCCAACAACAAGAAGCTACTCTTGTTGAACAAAACAAGGCTGACGAGGCCGTCTCCAGGTCTCGAAAAGGCGTTGTCCGAAATACTGATTCCTTCTTCAGAGATGACACGGTAGAGACGAAGAAGATTTCACTCACTCCCCGGTTGTTACGAGGTGATTCGGAATCTGGTCAAACCACAGAACAAGAAGTGCGACAGCGTCAAAGCCTGGACACGTTTGACAGAATTGTTGCCTCAGATGACAAAACCAAGGAGAAGGAAAAGGAAAAGGAAAAAGACAAGAAGAAGGAAAAGAAGGGCATGCTCAGTGGCTTGTTCAAGCGAAAGAAGGGCACTCCACAGGAGGAAAGCGTTGAACGGCCATCGGAAGAGCTACGACGATCTCCCCAATCAAAGGACTCGATGGAATCAGTGACCTATACAAAACCCGAAAGTGGTCCCGAACGCAAGCCCAGTAAATTGCAAAAGACACCTCCGATTGCATCGCCCAAATCGTCACCTACAGAGCCGCGTGCTCCTCAGCGGGAGCTTATGGCAGCAGCAACAACAGCACCACCAAGTGTAACACCTCGTGAACCAACTGGACCAGCGCCAGCACCACCGACACTTCGGAAGGTTGAGTCCGAGTCCGAGTTGGCCGATGACACTTTGTCCACGGCACCACAGAGTCAACCGACCACACAGGTGAACCGATTCCCATCGCTCACAGAAAAGCGATCGATATTTGCACCCATCACCACTGCTTTGAAGTCCACTTCTTCGAGCAATTCAGACACACGCTCCCCTGTGAAACCTATCTACTCCAAGCGAGCCAAGGAACGATTCGCCATTGATGATGAAGACTCGGAGGATTATGGACCAACTCCCAAGGCAGATGACCAGACTCGCAACAGTGTGTCACCTCTGGCGGACAATTTGGAGGAACCCGTGCGCTCAGATTCCGTGGTACGAGTTTCACCGGTAGACTCGCTAACACCGATAAACTCTCAGACACAGAAGGGATTGGATGTGCGTACCACACCTCTTCCAATTGAGACAGGCCACGCCGATTCCGAAGGCACTGCTAGTACATCAAAACCATCGCCCTCCACGGCGACACATACTCCTTCTACATCCCGATCCACACCAACATGGTCAGACGCATCATTAAGATCATATATGGAGAATGACCAGGAGATCAAGGACCTCCTCATAATTGTTCATGACAAGTCCAACGTCACGCCGGTGGGTGCTGATCACCCGCTAATGAGCAACTTGTTTTCAAATGAACGGAGCAAGCTCGCCGAGATGCAGCTGCAGCTCGACTCAATGTTGATGAGTTGGATGGGCAAAAAGAACTCAAGCCTATTGTCAGCGACAACCTAACTTGAAACTCAAATGACCCTTCCAGTTTAGGGTTTTCTTTTATCTTTGTGGAACTGGATGATCCATTTGTACAACTTTCATTTCTTGGCATGTCAGAGCAGAAGCTCGACCTGTACTACTAGGGATCAGGACCTTTTTTCTCTCAATTTTCTTTTTGTGACGACGATAAAGCTAAGAACGAATTACCGCAGCTGTGGATAGTACCTAAAAGATTACGCACATGTACAGGCATTCCTCACCCAAGGTGACGGCTAGGAACAGGACAGGCACGATTTTGTGGAGTTATGGAATCAAGTCTGCAGATCAGCAGGGATCAGGATGGGCACTGGGACCAGGACTAGTTTCGACTGATTGATCGGGACAATATATCATTTGTGCTATGCTATCTTGCCTCTTCTAACATACCTATTTCGTCCTCGCTCGATCAATGTTCCGTGAAAGCACGTGACGCCGGTTCCGTTGTTCCCCAAACGTTATTGGCGGCAGAGCCCGCGCTCCCCTCATAAAAAGGTTGCCGTCCAAATGCACCTGGCTCTTCAAGAAAGTAAAGCAGACATCGGGCAATCTGGGGTCTGCGGGCACATGAACTGCTCTTGGAACTACGTCTTTATCGTCTTGAACCATATTGATACAAGCTAAGAGCAGCTGCCGTCTCATGGACCATGTCTGTTACGGTATGTGACTTCCCCGCCAGATCGCAACAACAAAATCATTTTGCTGATCGCAAACTAGCTGCAAACCACGCATGGTGATCTCAAGATCGAGATCTTCTGCGAATCCGTTCCCAAGACAGCGGAGAACTTCTTGGCTCTCTGTGCGTCCGGGGCCTACGATGGCACCCCTTTCCACCGCCTGATCCCCGATTTCATGATCCAGGGCGGCGACACATCACAGTCGGTGCACAAATCAACCACTGGTGAGCCTGTCGTCAAGGGTGGCACATCCATCTGGGGCGAGTACTTCGAAGACGAGATTAAGATTCCTGCGCTGCGACACTCGGGCCGTGGCATGGTCTCGATGGCGAACAAAGGTCCCAGAACCAACGGCAGTCAGTTCTTCATCACCCTAAAGGAGGCATCGCACTTGGACGGTCAGAATACTGTTTTTGGCCGTATCATTGAGGGAGCGGAGGAAGGAGGTGCGCTGGAAAAGATGGAGGCTGTCCCGGTCGATAAGAAGTACCGACCTAAGGACGAGAAAATTGTCGTCAACAAAGTCACGGTCCATGCGAATCCTTTGGCAGGGTGAACAGCCACACACTCGGAATCCCATGGGCCAGAGATCTGTTTTGCTGGCGAAAGATGTCAATTCTCACCATGATTGCCATGATTTGACGAAACCACGCCCACCACAATACTGTGAGTCTGGACTACAACCCTCTGATCACCCAGTACGAACCAGTTTATAATGTGAGAGACAGCAGTGCGCCAGGAGTGAGCCATTGTACCTGCTTGTCGCGAGGTGCAAGCCTTAGACCTCCTTTCGAATTATTGGTCTCAGTAGTGGCCTGCAAAAGGACATGCAGTGCAGGATCTGGGTCCGAGGTCCCCACGTTGGGTGAATATTCGCAAGGTCTGCTCAAGATAGGACATGGCCTTGCAGGAATGCGTCGTTTACCGTACAATACAGTACGAAGGACGAGACTAACTTAAGTATTGAGGTACCTAGGTATCTACGCTCGCAGAACCCCCGGCGTGCCGATAGGATTTTACAGGGTCAGGTATTTGGGATCACCACTATTATTGGGTCCAAAGAGTCGGGTATCGACGTGCTGAGGTGGCTGGCCTTGCAAAGCATCAACGTACGGCCGGTCTAACTAGGTGCCGCACGAATGGATACCGTGCCTTGCTGACTTGGCGGATAATTTGAAAGAGAATCCGTGGACGGACTTTGGATTTGGCACGCCTCAGCTTTCTTAGATATTGGATGACATAAAATACCCTCAGGCTGTACGCCAAGTTAAAGCGCTGTTCAGCTGTTCAGCGGATGCTTGACGTGATGACGGCTATCAACATTGAGAACATGGTCATGGAGTGTTGGCAGCCACTTGAAGCTTAGGAATTCCATCAGTTCTTGATGCTTGGGGACTTCTTGTTTACATGCAAGACTTGGAGTATTTCAGAATCTGACCACGACCGAATCCCCGAATGGGTAGAGGGCCAGAAATACCTAGTTGAATAAACGCATCAAAACTCCGGTGGGGCGGCTTGCAGCGTTTACCATTCAATCGTGTCAGCGTGTGCCTTCAGGTGCCTTCCACGTGTCTCAAGCCTGGCGTCTTTTACCAAAAATCGGAGAACTCACATTGGAAGGGGAGCATGACAGCGGCCGCGTAATTGAGAGCCATGGGAGGATTCGGCGACCATCCCGAATCTAGATGGACACAAACTCGAATGTCTGCAGTAGAGCAAATGACCTGATTGTCATCGTGTGAATTCAGCCGCAATGGCTCACTAGTGAGTTGGGAGAGGCACTGCATTGGTGATTCTCTGTTCCTCACGCGCCTATCTGAGAAACCAGTTCATGTTCAGATAATCAGGTTTGGTACCGGAAAATACTCGTCAGCCCTGCACTTGTTGGTCTCTTGTCAAGGCCTTGAATAATGGAAGAACAGGCTAACTAATTAGTTAAACCCCGAAAGTGTCCCTCTTTCTCCGGCTACTAGTGCTAGTCTAATGGCCCTAGTACTACTCCATCCTCAAGATCAACACACGCCCACGCCCCCGGGCACGCCCCCAAATGCTAATCGCAGCCTTAGCTTGTAAGGCCTTACGCTTCTCTTCTTTACGGGCCACAGGGACCTATTCCAACGCCTAAACCTAACCACATCCCGTGCCTGGACCTTGACAGCACACCCTCCACTAGTTACTATCGTGATCTCAGACTCCATTCACTTCCAATCCCGCTGCACTGCACTGCGCTTCAGCAACACAGATCCAGTGGCCTTACCGTTCCTCATCGCCAACCTATCCCACCGTCATCACTCGTTTTCAGTCATATTCTCTACACATTCACACACAATATCATCCCTTTGATCTTGCCTGCATTACAGTCGCCTACCGTATCTTTATCCTTTGTCATCACCAGTCATTCAACTCCCACTGCCCTGACCCCAGCTGAGTGGTCCGCGCCCGCTCCTACCCAGTATCATCAAACCCGTGTCACCCACTCAAGCCCAGCCCCATTGATGGAATAACAAAGAAATCCCATCTACCCAAGGCTTGTTGGTCCGCATGTAGCAACTCTCGGCTCCCAAAGACGTCTCTATGGGCTTCACACTGTCATTCAGAACACGGCCGCCGCGAATCGCAAGTCCTGTGCCAGGCCTCCCGAAATCCACTTCCTCACACCTCTTACCTACACCTGATGGTCAACGTCCGAGGCACATCTCTGTGAGAAGATGACCGCATTTGTGCGTGTGTCTGGGCGTCCGAACACAAACTTCCTTGTTGGATACCCAGGCATCTCTGCTACGCTGGTGCGCTTGCCTTCCCCTCCGTATGTCGCCCTCTATTCCGTCAAGCTGACATGTCCATGTTGTAGCCTCGTATTGAAGGAACCGTCGAGGTCCGTCCCGGCGTCGGGATATCGAGTCCTGTCAATATCTCCATCGTCACAATCGCTCTCCAAAGGAGAGAGAGCATCCATCCTCATGCCGACTCCGTCACAAAAAAGCATTTGGCTGCCCCCAGGAAAGAGTCGACCGAGACGGTAGGGAAAGAGATGCTGTTGTTCCGATGTCCAGCCAATAGAGAATACGAAGAGATAATGTATATGGATCTGCCATTTGTGATATTCATTCCCTTTGGTCGGGGCGCACAAGAGACGGCGAGGAGGGTTCCGCCAGCAAGTCTTCAATTACCCCGACGAACCGCCGAAACATTCTACGAGATGGTTGTCACTGTGGGATATGGCAACAATGACCGAAAACAGTACACCTTCCCCGTACCCATTGCGCGATACGATACACTCTCAACTTTCGGCATGTACAACCGGCCCGAATCAGCTGAACGCGTGACCGACCATCTCGTCACTTTGGGTATATCTCTACCAAGATGGTCCTACGGCCCACTCGACCCCGTCAGCGTTTACATCAAACTATCACCAAATCCCGACTGGCTTACAAAAGCACGAAAAGTCACCATACGGAAGATTGAGATTGGTATTGATGAAGAGGTCATCTACAATCATGAGGGTGACGAACCGCAGAGGAAGTCCAAGAATCTGGTCAAGAAGACCGAAAATGTCGGTGTAAAAATGCCTGAAGCGGGATATTTCACAAATCTCGGCCTGGTATTTCCCGCAAATGATATGCGTGATTCTGACGGAATCATGCCCCGAGGCAAAGCACCTTTCCCATCATATGCCGTAACCGGCTTTACCACGACTGCAGGTCTCTACAAGGTGGAATACTACTTGACCATCAAGGTAGGATGATTCCGACATTTCTTGACAATCTCGAAAACTAATTATTGGCAGGCTTCGATGAATGGGGCAAAAGATATTATACTAAAACAACCAATTGTGGTCTGTCCACTCGATCATGCTGCGTGCAAGGCAGAGATGGAAGCAATTGAACAAGCAGCAAGAGACGCGGCACATGTAAATGCTGACAATCCTCGTCTGCCCTTGGCCCGTATCATACGGAGCACAGATCCAAATGCGCTGAGCTGTCTTGGAGTGGCAATCGTAGGTACGGCGAAGAGACCTCTAATTGACTGAAAGAGCGACTGCATGCATCACAAGATAATCAACAAATAAATGGATTGCCCTTCACAGCTACTTTCAGGACAGAACTCTCAGCAGCGTCCAAAACCCTCCATTTTTCTAGCTGCCAGCTGTCGGCTTGAAGTTTTAGCAAGACAGTGGGAAAATCGAGTACAGACATTTGGGAATATTACCAACAAACTTGAAACATGCAGAATCTCGAGCTGTCTACACTGCCGACAGGGAAAGGGTGGCTAAGGAAAAAGCCTAAAGAGAACATTGGCATGAAGTCATGGAGGGAATATTCTCCCTTTCGAAGAACAATCAAACGATCTTGGCAGAGAAAGCATGGTGAGAGATCAAGATCAAGATCAAGATCGCTCCACGTATCTGGAAAACTCAAGTCAATCCGTGTGAAAAAGGTTACTGGGCTGCCAGCTTGATAGCCACGAAGATATTCCCTTGGTAACCCCAGCAAGCCGAGACACTCGGAAATCCTGGACCACGCATGGTGCAGTTAAACACCACGGTTCGCCACTTTTGACTACTCATGTCATTATGCATGGCGTTGAACTCAGGGGTTGTCGAAGGTCCGGCTGGCCACATTCAATGGTGGCCAAGCCACTTCATTTGGGATAGTAATGATATAACGGATTTGATAAACAATTCATGATTAAACACGACTTTGGTTCAGCTTCTGCAATTCCTAGTTCATGTGGAACCACTCGGCTCTCAATCTCAAGCCTGGAGCATACAGCATACTTCAACCTGGGTCTGTATCATCTAAACTCGACCGACCGACCGACCGCCATGGACTCTGTCAGCCCAAACAATCCCCAACCTCCATCAAACAGAACTGGGCTGGATCCCCTCAATTGCATCTTTAACACTTCGCTCCAAGCCAAAAGGACCGTCCCGGCCACCCCATTTCTTCAGAAGATCCTTTGTCAATTTATCATCCACTGTGGCCGTCATTCTTGCCTTGTCAGGCAGATCGTCGATGAACTGCCGATTGGGCTGCAATTTACGGAAGATGGCAAGCACGTCGTTCCAGATGAACTCGTCTGACCAGGCATGGATCCGTCTGTTCTTCACTGAGGGATCGAGGATGGCTGCGGCGTGGAGGAGTGCGACGTCTTCGACGTGGATGGACTGACCTGGCAATGGGGAAAAGGAATCGTGTCAGTGGATATGGTCTTTTCTCGTGAGTCAAAGAGATGGCGCCCCGCCATATGGGCCACCTAGGGGGGAGGCAAGGGGAGAAATCAACCGGGGTCACTTACTCGCTTTCATCATCTCAGTCGCTTCGGTGTTACCAGCATACAGTGTAAAAAGCCATGCGTCCGTTGACGCATTCTGCTGTGCGTGAAGCAGAGGCCCAAAGACAGTATAGGGCAGCACGGCATTCGTTCTGAATTGGGGCTTCTCCTCCTCAACGAACTTCCATATCGCCTTCTCCGCCTCGACCTTGCTCGCCACATAGGTAATCATGCTGCGGCTGGCATCGTATGGCGGCGGCGCCCACGCCATCGACACAGCGGCGTCGTTCCAGCTCTTTTCATCGACGTGGAATCGTGTTTCGGGCATGGGCATCGCAGCTGCGACGATGGAAGAAGTGAAGACGAAGCTCTTGACCGAGGATTCCTTGGCCGCTGCCTTCAGAATATTGACCACGCCGGCAACGGTCTGCGGAACCACGTTGTTCGGATTTGGATCCCAAGTCGCGACGGTCGCGACGTGAGCAACACCATCGACTCCGCGGATCGCGGTGTCAAACGACCCTTCCACCGCCATATCTTCGACGGTGGCGAGTTCAAATAACCCCTGAGATGCTTCGCTCTTGAAGAGATCGTCAACGAGCCATTTTGACTTTTGCGCGTTTCTCACAGTGCCGCGCACGCGATATCCTTGTGTCAGGAGTTGTTTGGCTAGGTGCCCAGCGATGAAGCCGTTGACGCCTGTAATCAGGACTAGGCTTCCTTTGGGAAGTGTTAAGTTAGAGGCCATAGCTTGCTTGATTTTCAGATTTTCGATCTTAACGTGGAGGCTGTACGTCTTGGTTGTCTGGTATGATCAATGAAATCTTGTTTGGCGTGCTCGATTAGCTTTCCAATAAAGAGATGGATTCGAGGGACATCGGGAATGAATCCAGGTCTTTATATCCCATCTTGTTTTGCTATCCTCGTCCATCCAACCGCCTTCGATCAGCTCATTTCCAAGCTGCTCTTCCCCACCGTCCGCACCATCATCCAAAAGTTATTAATCACGCATCTGGAACCGTCCTGAATGCAAAGACCATTGACCAAGCATACCTGAGGACCAGTGTGGACGTCCATACACCAGCAGTCCAACCACTCGCTCAAGATGACCGATCAATCCAGGAACCCACGACACCATCCAGCCCATGGATTTGAAGCAGACCCGCCGGAAACCCTAAGAATCCATGACCATCACACGCCCCAAAAGCGCACTATCCGCATATACCGCATGTCCAGCCAATCTGGAGCGTTCGTCGTTTACCCAGAACCACCAACGCCATGCACGAAGCGTGACACAGTAAAGTCAAAAAGAACAGATTGTGCTCTGGCAGTCTCCACCGAAGATCTCATTGCTGCTGAAGAATCTCGCCCGTCAAGTGGAGTGCAGTGAGCCGTTGCTTTCGTAATAAAAGCCTTCAGGGTCCGGTCCGCTGTGCGGAGGCTCGGAGGCTCGCTGGGCTCCGCTCTTTAGCCTAACCTTAACTGCTGCCGCAGCCTACCTACTTAGGGTTTACCGTCTACTTCATCCGGTTCAGTAGTGGGGTCTGAATTCCGCGGACGTTTCGTCGACGAAGGGGATCTGGTCCAGAGCGGCATGAGTTTCACGACTCGAGGTATCCTGGGTCGCGTCATTCATTTTGATATTGTCTCTCTTCCCGCTGTGCGGTTTGGCTCGGCTGGAGTGATTTCTCGGGCGTGGGTGAGTCAGCGCCGTCACGTGCGAGGCTGCGCGGCCCCTAGAACTCGGAGCCTGACGGGCACTCCTTCGTTGATCTAGCTGATCGGGTTCACTAAACGGCAAAGCTTCTCTCATTATGAAGAGCTTGAAATGCGTTATACCATCATGTAATCTATAATTCGATATTATGTCCAACCATTCGTCTATCATCTTTGGTACTCTAGCCAGACAGTTTTTCCCCCAAGCAACACCATTCAATCATATCATTGAGGAACTTTAGGTATAGCAGACAAGAGTCGCAAGCACGAGGTGGAGAGCCAAAGCCATGAAGCCGGCTGTCAATGCGATATCCAATTTACCGCTTGATGCACCATTTGCAGCTGTCGGCGTACTCACGGCAGTGTTTCCAGAACCCGGGCCCGTAACGAGATTAGTAACCATAATCGTGTTGACGGCCGTCACGGGTCCAGCTGTACCCTGGCTGATCACCGTGCTCAACGAAGCCGATGTGATGGTGTGAACGGTCTGCGTGACAACTGAATTCGAGCCTGAGGAGGTATTTGGCGAGGTCTGAGAGGCGCCGTTTTGAGAATTTCCGCCCTCGACTGCTGAATCGGTGGCCGTCGCGGTTCCTGAACTCCCCCCGCCGACATAAGACACCGCTGTGGCTGTAATGAAGCGGGCAGTCAGTTCCATCACGGCTGGGAACACAGCGTGTGCAATCGAGCAGCTCTGCAGAGCAGTCACACCCGGAAAGATGGCTTGGTATGACTGTCCCATGCTCGTGAAATCTTCCACCCAACTCGTTGTGAACAGGAGGCCTCCAGGGTCCGGGCCATACGGACCAGTTGGCATGGTAAAGACAGTGTCTTGTGAGAAATAGTCGACATAGTCTATCGCACTGCTGGCTACCGTCGAGCAGACCGACTTGCCAGCTGCGTTGGTCGTGGCTAGGGTTCCTGACCAATTGACCTCTTGTGGGAATTTATTGAACTGTGTTGGAAACGCACTATAAACGTGTTGTTAGGCACCCAGCTGACAAGAATGCAAGTGACTTACGCAGTAGTTGTAAAGCGCTGGTCTGATCGGTAGTACGTTATGGCTACGGTCTGGGTCCCTTGGGCATTTGTGTTCGTAGGCACAGTGTAACCGGCCGGAATTTCGTTGTATTGCGTGGACAGGCTTGTGATTTGCAAGTCGGTGTTGATGATCTGAACAACGGTGGCAGCAACAATTGTCGTCGAGAAGGACTTCGCGGTCCAATACATTCGGGCTCCATTTTGGACTCCCACCGTACAGTTTGCAGCGCATGCTTGTGTCTGGCATGCCACTGTAATACTCTGTAGCGTCAGGACAGTCACAGACAGTCATATTCGATAGGTTCATTCGTGACTGACCTCGTGTGGGCAATGATAGCAGTGCTAAGGGCACCAACCACCTGGATAAGATATCGTGAACCATTCTTTGGCAGAACACAAAATGCAGAATTGAGCTAGATGGAGTGGTTCCAAAGGGTGATAGTTGGTCGATGAGGGCAGCGGGCCTAAGTAATACTCGCATTCAGCCCGATGCGAGCAGTATGGCCGGCGACACTTCAAAGTTCTGGCTGCTGCACCCCGTCATTTTTTGCGCTTTGAAGCGCTTCCCAGGGGCTCCCTATCCGCGATTCGTGTGGAAGATTTTTACTTTGAACGGGATGCATGCCAGAACACAGCCTCGAAATTAGTTGTTATCACCTGCACGCATAAGGCCGTCCTAGGGTACGCCAGAGCACCATGGTGGTATACTAGCGAATCTTCAATTCAGGAGTTAACAGCTTCTCTCGCGTTTGAGGGTAGAATTTCTTGTCAACACGAGCTCAAATATATCTGACGAAGAACTAGGGATTTGGCTTCTCGGGTAAGCTTTTCGACGAATGGCTTTTGGCCTCGGCCCAAGCCTCCTAAGACGGGATTGGACCCCCTAGAAGACTGCTTGGCATTCTGCGGGCGCAAGGCGCCTCTTTTGCTAAGTCGCTGCCATGGTAATCTTAATTTCCCGAGTAGGATGAAGGGCTCAAGGCGACCTTCGATTGCTAGAGAGCCTTGCCACGCAGAAGATTAGAATTGGGGTGAATCTTTCCAGGATTGTAATTTGTCCTATCCGTAAAGAAACGTTGACCGTGGCTGGGGCGAGTAGCGTTAGATCAATGTTGAAAATTACCTATTGAGGACTTTCCGTGGCCGATGTTCCAAGTCGACGCTCCCGTAAGATATCGTCAATCGCAGGACATGAGTTCGACACAAGAGTTTCCGTGTGTTGAGACCTTGAGTGGAAGGCATTCATCCTCGGAAACCAATTCAAAATCTCTATTCTCCAACCGGTCGATAAGCAGAATGGGGAATTCACCCAGTCTTTTTCTGCCCTGGTTACACATCCTACTCCTCTTCTTCACGGCGGTTATCTTCGCAGTAACTGCCTGGTTTGCTCAGACAACGTTTTCGGCTTCATCGATGGATAATGCAAGGTCAGGCTCTCCCTCCTCCTTCTATTAAAGCAAGGGCTAATGAGTCGAATTCACGTAGTTCTGTGTTGCTGCTAGGTGTGTCCTCGACCTTGACGATCTTGAGGCTACTGGAAGGTGTATTATCCGTATGTTCGACAACGGTCCTGTTGACAAGCTTCGGTTTGATTCAATGGGCGCTAACAAGCAGAGACAAAGGTGTGAGCTCTCTCTGCTTGTTAGGTCTTTCGCCTTCGTCGGGACTTCTTGGGACGCTTGGTCTCGTTACTAGCCATTATTCGAAATTGTGTGACCGACTGGCTGCTGGGGGAAGAATTAGTCTTGTGACAGCGATTTGGATCGCTGGACTGTTGTTGTTTGCGAAAACCCAACTGACAACAGTATACGAATCAGTCAACTCATATGCAGCCACTGGAGGAGTCGGCAAATTCAACGCCTCTTACATACCCGAGTACCTACAGCGGTATAGGGACAACAATAATGGATATGCACTCGCAGTCCTCCCCTATTCCACGATCAACACCGCTTCAAACTTGGTCGTAAACCCGATGCACTCAACAGCAATTAGCCCCATTTTTTGTGAGCAAGGTAGAGTCTGCCACAGCTATCTGTTGTCAGGAGGGTTGATCATGACAACGCCTTGGCCACCAACAAACTATACCTCGTCTCCAGTGATAAGCCTTCGAGATATTCCTGCAGTACACATTGACTTTGTGCGTGGAATTCATAACGACACTTTTGACGATGTAGAGGATTGTGATGTGTTTGGAGATGCTGGCTTTTTGATTGCGATGAAGTTTTGCTTGGCAAGAAGCGTGTCAAGCCCCGGCTCTTTGATTGCTGGTATGTTGAAAGAAACATGCTCTACTTAATTAACACTGATTCCAGGGAACAGGTATCTTCGTCTGTCAGCAGGGTATAAATGGGACCGACTGTTGGACAGGCACCAAGCCCCCCGAAGTAACGACGACATTTTCAATATACCAACGTCATGCGTCGATCACCACTTCCAGGTCCAACTTCTCGATCATGTCCGTGAATCATCTGGACCTGCCGGTGATGGACGTAGATCTTGATGTTGCAGGTCTGAAGGAGGCATTCAATTGGCTATTCAACTTCTCTGCGGCGGGAATCCCTGCTCCGTCTTCACTTGCTGAGTACTTTTGGGTGGGTCAGGACCAATTGGAGAGTGATTATTGGTCAATCGAGCCGTACCAAATATTCCAGAGTATCCTAGCATACCCTTTCTGGCTGTTCAATCCCAATAACTTTGGGAATGTCAATCTGGACGCGCAGACGATATCTCCGAACCTGCCCACAGATTTCTACACGACAGCGTCCATTGGAAATCCGTACCAGAGGATTGTTGTTGATCGGTAAGTCGAAGGCTTTTAGTTGATAGATATTATCTTCGAGCTAACGTGGGAAACAGTGTGATGTTTATCCTCTTTTGTGTTCTGCAGGGTGTGGTCCAAGCTTTTGCATGGGGGGTATTGGTCTGGCTCTGGCTCACGAGGCTGGATTTATCAGAAACTTCTTCGTATCCAATGATCGATTTTGCAGTCAGGACCCGTTTTTCAGACTTGCTGCAAGACACCGAAGACATTGAGGGCGCCCATGGTCTTAATTGTGGCGTGAAAGTGGATGCTAGCGACGGGTTGATTAGGAAGCGACTGAAGGATACCAGAGTTATGCTTCTCAAGTGAACGGCGCAAAAAGATTCTCTGTAGGACCAATACCATCTTTATCGCTTGAAGTTCGTCCAAGGATCAGATTAGGAAGTAGAGCTCTCTTCCAATGAGAGACCTTGCATTAAGGACTCGATCTCACCATCCTGCACCTCTCCCTTGATCCTCTTTACGTTCTCAGCCAGATAGGCCTGCATGATTGCACTAGCGGACTGGTACTGCGGAGAATCGCGGCCCCATGTAGTGAGAATATTGCTCAGATTCCCGCGGATGAAGTCCAAAACAGAAGAGATCAGGTTGAGGGTAGAAGCATCTTGTGAGACTTGCTTGTTTTGGTTTTCCACGTCTGATGCTGGGGTCCGACTGTCGGAAAAGCTGAGAGATTGAGACATTCTGGGCCCGAAGACTACTAAATAATAGAGCTTTAAGCAACGGCCAGGCTAGCTGAATCGCAGAATGCGAGACTTTGGGATGCAGAAAATCCTCCTTCTCAACTAGGGTCGATGGAAATGGGGAAGGAGCAACCAAGCTATTGTGCTGCAACCAGAGCACTTCCCCTGATTGTAACTTGAAACAACTTCTGAAGCCTTGATGCCGTGTATGGGTTTGACTTCTGGATGGGTATCCTACTCGGAAGTCTTTCGACCACGGACTGACCCCAATAGGCTCTTTTTGAGTATTCCATAGGTCTTCACAAATGAGAGTGGGCAATTTGTCACTGAAACCACATGATTCGACAAAGGCTTATTTAGTTGCCGGGTGTTGATCGTAGGCAAGGCAGAATGCCTGTAGCATACGAGAACCCTTGAAGTCGAGCTATGGGGATTGAAGATGAGGATGAAGTTGAATGATTACTGTGCCAAGAGAACCCAAAACCTTGGAACCGTTAGGAAGGATAAATGACTCGCGTGATTCTAATTGCACTACCGCGTTGAGTCATAACGTCAACTTTCTTGACAACGAACACACGACATCGCGGCTTGACCAATTCCCACTGTCCACAACTTAGTCTTGCGATCTGCCATTCAGAGACGGACAGGTGAGTCGTCAAAATGGCCGACGCTGACGAAGATGTCATTCCATCTACCTCCCAACCTGAGGCAGATGACCTCGAAGATGAAACCCAGGACTTTCGATTCCTCGCCCAACTCACTGCCGCGGCCTCAGGTGGTGGAGCAGCCGCCATCGTCCCAAAGCGAGGGACCAAAGATTTTGAACCAAACCCTACAAGATCGCAGGCATCTGCGCTGGACGCCTCCCGTCTGGCTATGCACACCGCTCTTAGCGCACCCAGAACTCATGCTGAAAAAAACCACATAGTGGGCCAATACCTGCCAGATCCGAACCGGTGGAGGTGGGAAGATGACGGTGCTGTCAGACGGACTGGGAGATGTGTTGTGGTATACAAATTCAAAAGCACATATGCCAAGACGATGGGTCAGGCGGACAGAAATAATTGGGTGTGGTTCCTCCCAGAGGAGGCTCTGTTCCTGCTCGAGCGTGGCAGTCTTGATGTTCGGTGGCCAAAGGTGGACGAGAATATGACAAACAGTGCTTCCCAAGAGGAAGCTCAAACCGCCATTCAGGATGGAGATGGGTCTCGAGGACCAGACAGTCCAGAAGAAAAAAACGATCCTGAGGTAGGGGAACTTCCAATGAGTCTTCAGGGGGCCTACGCCGGTTTCATTGGCAAAGACGGCCTTACTCTCGAACGATTCAATGTCTATGCTGGGCTGAGGAGGTCAGGCTATATTGTCCAGAGGGCCTCGACATGGTATGATGATTATCTTCCAGAAGCCAATGGCCATGTTAGCACTGCAGCTTCGACACAAATCGACCAGTCCACGATATCAGCACCTTCTCCTCGACCACATCCCTCTTTAACGTCTTCAAACAACGCAGCTGGCTTGATTCACAGAATCTGCTCGTGGCTGTTCAAGCCTCAGCGAGGCGAATCTTGTCCATCGATTGGGCCACTGGTCGCGCCTGGACTCTACCGAAGCTACACAGACATTTTCCGCGCCCTCAGCCTGATTCCCTTCCACAATCCCAAATTGACTCATGATACAACAAGCAACGACTTACCCTCGGCAACAGATCAACAAACACCTTCTCCCCACCCAAGCCAAACGCCACGTCCACCATACCGCATCCACTTCCACGCCTGGAAACCGAACACGACCTATAAAAAGTCAGTTCCACCACCGCCGGACTATCGCATCTGCGTCCTCGACGCCCGCACAACCTCTATGCCAAATCTCATGCAAATTGGTGATCTACTCGATTCTATGCCAGATGATTTCGTCACACAGGACAAGGTCGGCAGACTAGAGGCCCGTATCAAGCACGGCAAGAGGAATGTCATCCTCGCTGTTGTCGATGTCGGCATTGTCAGTTACCTCAGGCTGAGCGATGCGTGCTTTGGTGCCGATAAGCTCTTTGAGCAGAAATTCGGGCTTCGTGCCAAAGGGAAGGGCCATGGCAGGGGTGGGAGACCTGGCCCAAAGAGGAAATCAGAGGGCCAGAAATGAAGCAACCTAGGCTTTTCACCATCTGGGATCGGTCACAAGGATGGAAGGTTTCACTCCGGTTAAGAGCCCAGGAGCAATTCGCAAGCGACATTGAGAGAACTCAAAATGGCGTATCTTTTATGCATCGGCGCCAAGGTTGACTTTTTGGGTGTTCACGATGACGCATGATACGTTGGGTGGCATGAATTTGATGTACAGATCCATAGACATGATACCCCCAAAGACGAAAAACAATAGAAGAGTACTGGTCGAGAAGAAAGTACATTGGAAATGTCAAGGCGACGAGCCTGATGGAAAGTCAAAAGTTGAGCGGCACATAATATGATATATTGAGTATATGTTCGCGCACTGAATGATGTTGGATGATTTGAGTCAATGATGAATCTACAGCTCAAGGGCGGTTTGTAATTTTGTCTCCCCTTGAGAGAACGTCCGCTTTTTCAGCATTGAAAAAGCCATGCGGACTGCCTGATGATCTAGGGATGTTGATCTTCCACCTTCTATAGACGTCGGCCTGTAGGATATCCTCGTGGTTGAGGGCAGGTTGTCGCGACGTATATGCTTGAGATGGAGAATTGAAGAAAGGGCAAGGGGAAAAGAGGAGGAAGAGGATGTGAGGTCACAATGTTAACATGAGAATTGCTTAGCATGGCATGATATGCCTGGAGCTAAAGGACACGATTGATCGAGTGCAGCGACTCACAAGCTCCAACGAAGTTACCAACCTTTTCATTTGGTCCATATCACTTAGACCCAGGCTTGATCAGAGCAGCATCCACTATCATTCATGTAGTCTGTCACAATGCTGGAGAATGTGTGCTGGGCTGTTGTCGATGCAGAAATTTGGGTCATTCTAGATGAATAACTTGCTGCGTCTCTTCGAAAAGATATAGACTGTTCGAATGGTGGTGCTGAGGATCTCGTCATTGGCCCACCGTGTTCGCCGTGTACAACTTCAGTGACTTGTCGTCGAAGGAGTTACTCCCAGGTTTGTAGCTCTGTGGCGCTTTCGCTCTTTGACCCAAAGAGGGCAGATATTTTCTGAATCTCCAGGCCATTTGAGCAGCGTTGCAGTAATATATGCTGTTGCTTTGATAATGTAATAAAGTTGGCCATTGGGACGGGAATTTGATGTGTTTAGTGGCTCTGCTGATCAAGAGATCTTGGTAGTTTGTTGTAGGCATGGCTTGTGCTCTTCACTACGCGATCAAATAGTCGCCGGCGCTGAGGAGTTCCAGGCAAAGTTCGGTAGGAATGTCCATATCGGGTACACCAATACTGTTGCGGTGTTTCTCATTGTAGTAGAAATATTCGACGACCTTTTCGAGGACGACGCCATTTATGTTCTCAAGACGACAAATGCCTGTCTGGGCCTCACTGAAGTTGCCTAAGAAATTCCATAGTCAGTGGCAGTTGTAAAAGACTGATGTGATATTCACCTACTCTGCGGATCTAACATTCGACGGATTGTCGCAGACACGCATGCAGCAGAGCGACGGATATGGAATTCAAAGCCGTCCGCAGACACAAGAGTCACAAATGGTGAGGGCGAAGCGCCGTTGACGGACATGATGACAATCGGAATGGCAATTCTGCCTAGAATTGGGAGAATTTAGCAGAGAGGTTGTGAAGAAGTTTGAGCCTTTGTGACCTGGAAGATGCTGTGGTCTCTGGAATGTGCTTGGCCAGTCTAGTCTATATATGTTTAGCGTGTTTTAGATAAAGGCGGCAGTACCTTGCTCCTCTGTTAGAGGAAGCGACTCTGCCGCTATAGCTGTGTGACATCGACCACGCAACACGCCGGATGCGGCGTGAGGTGGCCACTGGAGTCTGAACAAATTTCAAATGAACACAACTGAACGCATCAATGCAGCATGAGGTCTTAGAGCGAGACTAGCCCAGAAGAGAGCATACAACTGCATAATCACATTTTATGACATATACCAGCTTGGTAAATGGGGGAGCCAACCTTCAAAACCTCTGTTTCGGTCTCTGCAAGTGGTCCGCGATTGTCAACACGCGGACTGGAAAGACCTCCCTACAACTCGCAAGGGTCAGCCTCTGAATCACCATTTGAATTGATCTGAGCGACTGCCTGTACGATCATAAGGCTTATTTCCTTCGTACCAAATCTACGTGGTTGTGAAAGCCTAAGCTTCTGGTCCAATCATCCCACGCTCAAATTTGGTCTGGACGGCGGAGCAAGGCGGGCGAAATATTGTCTCGTACGAGGCCAAGCATCGTGCCTACTCTACTTTGTCACTAAACACATTGGAAAGATTGTACAAGCTGGCCCTCCGAGATCTGATGTGCAGACATGCCTCTGAGAACGAATTTCGGACAGGACTCCACTCTGCGATTGGCTCGACCATGATTCTTCGCAAAACTCATGCATATACCATGGACAATGAAAGCGAAGCAGTTCAGAACCGCGGTCAGTCCATGGAGTGCAACATGGAGCGTTCTCAACGGACATTCATCTTGCCAAAGCATCTAGAATGACTGCTTTGTGAAGGCCTCGAGCATAGCAGATTGTCCTGAATTCGACAAAAGCAAGACCTGTCAGAAGTGACATACTCAACGACCTTTGAGAAAGCGCTGAAACAATGTTGCAGTTATCTCCAGACCCGTCCTTTCATTTTGAACTCCTGCGCGTTTTCGGGGCAACTCCTACACAAGGGTCTGATATTGCAGAGCTCCTGCAGGTCTGTGAAAGAATTGTTCCTGGCGACTTCGAGTCTTGTTATTCAGAATTAAACAAGCTCGCCCATCAAATCCTCGAGACCGCCGAGGAGTCACGAAACCCAGCAAAGTTCGACAATGTAACATGGCGAAATCTATATTTGCGACCTCGCACTACTTCTTCGCGCCGGACAATTTCATTCATAGGAACGAGGAAGATCCTCGCATTGCAAGTTTATGATCGGTGGAGTAGCCTCTTCGACAAAGCCATCGCCTTGTTGCCTGCAACGAATGAGCGGCTGAGTTTATAAGCAGACGGTTTCCAGGTGCCCGTCATCCTACTCCGTCACGACCCTCCAACTGAAACTCCCCACCCAAGACAGACCATCATCCTTGCTAGTGGTTTTGATGGTGGCATGGAGGAAATGCTTCACATCCTTGGGCTCGGGCATGGAGGAAATGCTTCACATCCTTGGGCTCTCCGCCCTTGAACGAGGCTATACTGTTGTTCTTTACGAAGGGCCAGGACAAACGGGTATGCGGCGCACCCAAAATGTCGGCTTTATTTCCGATTGGGAAAGGGTCGTCACGCCAGTCGTAGGTTGTCTCCCTCAGCAGGCTTTCGTAAGCGTCAAGAAAATCAGTCTGTTGGATGTAGGTATCTTAATGCACGTGCTGCAGCCTACGAGCCTCGACTGGCGGCAGTGATGCTTGTTGACGGTGGTTGGGACTTTGCCACAGTCCTTCAAATGATGTTCCCTCAAGCCTGGAGAGCGTTCGCCGAGGGAGACGCAGACGGCTGCAATCACCAGTTCAACGTGGACTCACAACGGACGACCAGCACAGCTTGGAGGTATGAACACTTCTAATGGGCATTCAAGTCATCTACTTATGAAGGCTTACGGGTGGTACAAAAGATGAATGTTAGAGACTTCATCCATGAAATCAAATGCCCAGTCTTTGTGTGAGAGGCTCAAGACGACCAATTTGTCCCAGAAGGACCTGAAAAGCTGGTCAACACCATTGGAGAGAAGGCCTACCCTTCTATCCTACGAAGAGACGGGGCGCTACAATCCACTGTCACCTAGGTGCCACACTCTACTTTTCACAGGAGCTTTTTGCATGGCTGCACGGGAAACAGATGGCTTGAGATATACCTTTGGAGGTGTTTGTCCAACGTAGCAATCGTGATGCTGATTGTAAGCAGTAAGGACGGATTCATAGAGCAAGAGCAGTGTATAGGGGTGGCATGCGTATTGATGCTTGAGAAATCCCGATATCTATGAATGCCAATCCTATATTTTATCCCAGGGTCGCACGGGGAGGGGAGACCAATATTTGCGTGGGGACTTGGAGGTCGTATTATATTGTGCTACAATTAGTCAACATGGCTTTCTTATACAACACCATTGATTTGAGATCCGAACCTCGTGCCGGCTAGAAAAGAGTTGGTAACATTCGGAAGCTCGGTCTTTCTGTTTTGGCCTTGCAGCCTTGTATTGTGGGGCAGGAGGGGGGAAAGGATTTGAGCTTGTGGCGGAGAGTTGAATGGGGGAATTCCTGCGGTGGGTCTACAACCTCGTACGTCTCTCACGTTGGTGGGCTGGAACCTGTTCGGCTGCTCTACCATCCGGACAGCGAATACCTCGTACCTCTTAGGCAGTGTCATATGTCAGGTCATACAAGCTGGCCGCCTAAAGACAGCTTGCTCTAGCAAAGGTATGCTCAAAAAGACGATGAGAGGCCTCTGCCACTTTGGGTTTTCCATAGTCGATGAAGCGACCAAGTACTAAGAATTTGCCAATCGAAGCAAGACTCTTACCCTTTCGTTGCCCGTGTCGCAGTTTCAAGGACGTGAAAGTTGGTGAAGAAGCTATGCTGGAACTCCCGGGAATGCAAAGTGCTGTCCTGCTCGGTGTCGTCGTTGCTTCATTTTGGCTGGTGTACAAGCTCAGCGAAGCAGCCGTCGATCCCTTGCGTAGTGTTCCAGGGCCTACACTAGCAAGGTTGTCCCGCGTGTGGTATTTATCTCAAGTCCGACGAGGGAATTTCGAGAAGAAGAATATCGAATTACACGAACAGTATGGCCCCATTGTGAGGATCTCTCCTGATCATTACAGCCTAGCCGATCCAGCAGCCATAAAACAAGTGTATCGCATCAACAGCAACTTCGAAAAGTCAGCATGGTATGAGGCCTGGAAGCACCCCGCTCCGGAACAGTGGACAACTTTCGCAGATAGGAACGTGAAGCGACATGCTGACACTCGGAGGCGGCTGCAAGGTCTATATGCCATGAGTTCGGTTTCCCAGTACGAAAAGTTTGTCGACCAGACGACAGAGGTTCTCCTCTCGCGAATGGATGACCTGGCTGGCAATGCCCAGACAATCAACATGACATTCTGGCTTCAGTATTATGCTTTTGACGTGATTGGAAACATCACGTTCAGCACACCGTTTGGGTTCTTGGAAAAGGGGGAGGATATTGATAACATATTGGTTGCTCTGGAGAACAACCTCTTGTACAGTACTCTGGTGGGCATTTTCCCAGAGTGGCATCCACGGCTATTCCAATGGCTTCAGAAACTGCCAGGATCGGGTGCTGGAGCCAGAGTCAAGCTGCTTCGTTTCGTCGCGGACACTATATCGATCAAATGGGCTGAGAAAGCGCAAGTGGGCGACTCGCATGACTTCCTCGATAGACTAATGGAAATCAATGCCAAAGAACCGGAAAAAGTCACCGAATATCATATTTTCGCGATGGTAATTGGCAACGTCTTCGCTGGGTCTGACACGACTGCTGTCAGCTTGTCTGCCGTCGTGTACAATTTGATAAGAAACCCAAATGTGATGCAGAAGCTTCGTCAACAGATTGTTGATATCGAGCCGACGGGGAAGATTACTTGGAAACAATCTCAATCCATGCCATATCTCCTAGCTGTCATCAAAGAAGCCCTAAGAGTTCACCCAGCTACTGGTCTTCCACTTTGGCGTGTCACTCCCCGGGGTGGAGCACAGATCCTCGACCGCTTTTTCCCAGCAGGCAGTGTGGTTGGAATAAACACTTGGACCATGCACTACAACCAGGATGTATTTGGTCCCGATGCTCAAACTTTTCGTCCGGAACGATGGTTGACTGCAGATGCGGAAACACTCAAGGAGATGAACGCTTCGTACATGCCGGTAAGTTTATGCAGAGCAACACCAACTATCGCCGCAAGGTACTAACTCCTGTCGATAGTTTGGACTAGGTACAAGAACGTGTCTCGGAAGGCATATCTCGACTCTGGAGATGTGCAAGCTGGTACCTCGACTAGTTGTCGCTTATGATTTTGCCCTGGCCAAGCCGAAGAAGGAATGGAATACTTCGAATTTTTGGTTCGTAAGACCAACCGACTTCCATGTCTATGTGACCAAAAGAAAGTCGGAAAGATGATGATAGTGACAAACTCCATTGCTAATCATAGACTTTGGAGAATCAAATAACCGTTGAGAATGACAGAAAGCGGAGACTCTGATGGCTAATACAATCTGATAATAACTCTGACCTTAGATCCTCGTTCTAACCATCTAACAAGGTCTGATTCTAGATTTCTAGGGATATCTCGAGTTAGTCTATCTAACACCACCATCAAAACATATCTAAGTGGCCACGAAATTTCAATAAACTATCAGAATTTTATAAGAGTATCAGGGAGACACGCTAGTCCCAGTAAGTGCCATCAACCCTGTTAAGTAGGCCAAGGGACCTCAGGCAGCTTGCAACATGGCTTGAGTGTATAGCAGGCTGCTGGTCTTTCGGGTCTAAGGCAGCCCTTAGGCGTTCCCTTGACCTCATTACCTGTCTATCACATTCTTATACTTCTCGCTTCATTAGTTCCACTCTCGTCACTGTCCACGGTTTCGGCAGTTGGCCCAACTTTCCTGCATTTGCACTCTCGATGGGTGTATTAACATAAGATCTAAGTTCACCTTTGGGATGAAGAGGTAGTGGATCCAACAATTTTGTTGCAATTCTCCTGGTGAAAAGGCCCAGTGGTGTCTTGACAAGCAGCAAGACGTCTGGCCCTGGATTCTTTCCTACCATTCTGAGCGGCGTAATATTATCCCATTCAGAGACTTCAAGGTGACTTCGTCAACAACGAATGCTGGCTAGAATTTCCTGCCGCTGTAGCCTCACGTCCAGCAATGCGAACTAGAGTTGTATCTTTCGTCAGACCTGCACCTTGGGGATAGTGTGTCACGCGCCAAGAAATTTTGTCGTGGGTCCCCAAAACGCTATCGCACATACGTGCGAAAACAGTGATGGAGCAGAAGCGCGATCCATAGGCAGTATATAGATCGTGTAGTGATTTTGAAGTTCTTTGCAAGAGGGTTTGTCGTGGCCGGCCGTGGGTTGGAGAGACACATGTTGGACGTCAACTATCGGCATTTGATCTACTTTGTTGCCAAGACGACGCTGAGCTCCTGACCTACAAAATCCAGTTGTAATGACGATGAGCCCCGGGCACCAGTTACAGAGTGACAGCGATGCTAGCTCGGACGGGTTGATATGGCTCCTCTCTGCTTGGCCCAGATGTCAATACTCATATCAATAGATAGGAAGACATCGTTCCGTAGGATACAGATGATTGCCCAAACCGCTGCTGCAATACTACAAGTTCATCCTCGTCCAATGGTAGCAGGAAGCTGTCTTCGCTCGTGGTTTAGTTACCAATCCTTCGCTCTCGATCGACCGTGGCGTGATGGAAACGATTGAAGAAATGCCAGATCAGTGCTGATACTGACAGTTTAGCGGATTAAAGAAAAGAACAGGGGTGCACAACCATATTTTCGGAGGAAATGAAGCAAGCAACCCACATCCGAATCATCTCGTCCGGGTGCGAATCAAGATTGTCCCGCAGGAAGTCCTGGACAAGCCATGGTTTGTACATGCCCATATGCATGAGGCCGCTCTTACATGACGATACCAAGGTGAATGATATGTCGGTAGACATGGAATTTGCTAGAAAGTGCCGTAGATAGATTAAGATCATCACCTTGAGACCAAGCCACATATGAGGAGGATTGCCAATGGTTTGCCAATGGTTTGCCACAGAAGTCTCTTCACCCCAGGAGTCGCACCGGCGACTAATGTCGCCTCGTTATCGTCATATCTCGCAACAATAGCGATGATGGTCCAGAACAATAATTGATAATTCTCGAAGCAATCACTCGGAGAGATCGAAGAGTCAATAATCGGCATATATGGATGGGAGCTCGTGCAAGCGCCTGGGCCCCAGTATTAGCCATGAAGCGCCATTGCCATGTATAATGGGTTCTAGGTCTCCGAGGCATACCATTTGGGAATGAGGATGAAGGATGATGGAAAGACGAGGGGCAAGGGTCAAACACAATGATCAAGCATTCTTGGATGCAGCCTGAGCTTGAGTAGACACTAAATGAGACCTTCAGAAGACCTGAAGCCAGCGAACCCGTTGGAGACTACAGCTCACTCAATGGTTGTGTCAGTCCGAACTCAACTACTTTCGGAAATTCATGTTCATCCCAGAATGAGCTTGGTTTCCAGCCTGCAAGTTTCCAAATACCATCTAACTTCTTGTAGTGCTGCACCAATTCTCCATGACCGTGACCTTTGAGACCTTCCTGTGTCCGCGCATCATCCTTCCAACGAACATGAGCGGCGCGCACTTGGTAATGCGTCGTGATCTCCGTATCTGAAATCTTGATAAATTTGGCGGCTCCAATCAAGTGCTGTGTTGTCATTCGCTTGCCACCAAGGAAACGAGGATTTGAACAGTATTTAATCCAATCATCGGGAGACATGTCTGTGAAAACATCTCCAGTGACAATGGTGTAATCAATCTAAGGATGTGTAAGTACCTGTACCTGACCTTGACGATGTCTTCAAGGATTACGCGCACATTCAATTTCGGACTCAAAATATTTCTGAGGCGGTCCCAGTCCTGAGCCCTCTATGTTAGCAACGGAGTGCTCTGCACATCGAGAGCCCATTTGGAGAGTACCTTCGTATCGTAGCTCATAGCCCATTCAAAGGCGAGCTCTTGAACCTCCAGGGCATCTGTCGCAGAGTCTTAGATCAAAGTCGGCCGTGGTCGATAGTTTACTTACCACTGGGATCGACACGGGACGAGCGGGATGTTTCGCCCATTGATACTAGATCTGATGTATCACTGTCTACCTGCAATTACACTTTTCTCAATAATTGTTTATATTTTTATTCCTTTGGTGGGGGGCAGCACTGGACAGACTCACAGATCTGAAGAATGACTCCGTACTAGAAAAATTTGAGCTTATACAACTCCGCCTATAGAATGTCAAGGAAATCGAATGCTCTTTGACCGAGGAGGTGGTCAATCCCGTAACGCAGAAATGAGCAAGTGTTGGGTATCCTCTAGTAGGTTGCTCGATCTTCTGTGTCGAGGAATACCGAAATAGCTGTACCTTGACTATCACTTCGGTGTTATCGTCTGATCTAGTTGTGATGAACGACAATGGTCTGGGTCAGAGAGTTGGCTAATAACCACAATAATGCGGTTACCCCGGCCGGCTATGGAGGGATTCTGAACTACTGGTCGGGGAAAGGAACCCAACGGCCAATCTATGTCTCGTCCCCACCGGCCCCCCTTTCCCCACCACTGTTAGGTATCTTGAGATCTAGTCTACATCGTGTGGAAGGCATTGACCTGACACCGGGCGGGATAGCACTGTACAGCACGCAGTCTGGCCTGCCTCAGGAGCCTCAACAACCTACCAAAAGAGGTTTCAACAGGTGGGAGAACGTGGTGTGAGAATAGAGGCTGAGCTAAGAAGGATTCCGTACGAGGGCCTGCGCTCCGGTCCACGACGCCTGATCGATTACGCTTGAGTGTTCGTCATAATCTTGTCCCAAGGGTATCCTCCTTCCATATGGCGACTTTTAGTTATCAAGCAGAGGACTTAATAAAAATTATGAATCGTGTGCTTGTTCCCGCGAAATTGGGTCGAACAATACCATGCAAAGGGAGATCATGAGCTTCTGTCCCATAGAATGATGAAGCCTTGGACGTGCTGCTCCGGACAGTAGATTTCATCTTTAGGAGAAAGCTTTTATATAACTGCTATCCCTCATGATAGCAACGGTACTAATAGCTGGCTAAGATAATGACCACCAGTATGGATCTTATGTCTTCCACGATTTTGGTTGACCATGCTCTGGAACATCTCGGGTTTTTCAGGTATGACCGGATCGTGGCCCTTGGCCTCGAGCCGCAGCCCTTCACCAGCTCCGAAAACCATGCCACCCGGCCAAATTGCAATTTCCGTCTCTACAACTTCGCCTTTGGGGACCTTGGCGACTTGATTGTAGGGATACCAGATTTCTGTTGGATCTTTCTTGGCTATCATCTCAACCGTCAGACCAGGCTCCTCAGAGATTTGTCGTTTCGACGCTCGGAGACGTCCGTTGGGGCCGACGTATTTGTACACGTTGAGTTGATCGATATCCTCAGGCTTTGTGCCATCTTTCTGGTTGACGAAGGGGATATTGTAATGGAGCAAAGCTTGGCCGTCAACGTCAAGTTTTCGAAGGATAACATATACATCCAGATCATCCAGGTCATCGCACGACATGTACAGCTTCACTTTGGAGAAACCACAAAGTTCTGTATACTCTGAAAAAATGTACGTGAAATGGCTACCGTCATCCTCCCACGAATCTGATTGGTAAGAAGTTTCCGATGGAGCACTCGGTTGCTTGAGAGTGAGTTTGCCATTGTCTCCATCAAGGTAGAATGTTTCGTACAATGTGCGTGAAGGTGGATAGTTATCCTCTACACGATTGACGATTGGAGGTGCATTATAGCGGAGCAGAGAGATTCTAACCTTTGGCGTAAGCTCCCAGCCATTGTTCTTTTGCAATAAATAGTGGTCCAAGAATCGCTGTAAATCATCCGTGGCTTCTGCGCTATACATGTCAAACCACTCTTGGGTAGAATGCACTCGTAGCCTGGACGATTTAGCTCGATTTTTGATTGGTGTCAATGGGAGCACTTACCATTTCTCGGCTGAGTTGGAATATTTCCAGCCCCGAATCGAACCTTCCGTATGAAGGCAGCTGGAATAGCTAGCTAAAGCATACATAGGAAGACTGATATCTTGAAGTCGTGGCTTCTTGTCTTCCCAATATGCATTCATGTGAGGATACTGTTCAAGCATACCAATGATATCCTCTCGTTGATTTTCGCCCTCGAGACTTTGGGCTAACAAGTCCCAGAATAGTGGATTGGGAATTCCACCTCGACAGAGAGTTTCACGGTAGAAGTCACCAACACCTTCCCACGGTGCGATTGCTACAAGATGGGGTGGCTTTTCGGCTGCGATGAACCTGTTTATGGAATTAGAATCTGCGAGAAGATAGACCCCCAGCACATACCATTGTGTAATCCCAAGCCATGAAATTCCAACTAGGGCAACCGAGCCGTTGCACCAATCCTGTGCCGCTATCCATTCTATCGTGTCGTGGCCGTCCTTTCCCTCCTGAAAGCAACAACCATTAGCGACTCAGGTCAGCTGCTTGCGGTGCATTTGCTCACCTGGGTGCCAAATTGAACGGCATCACCTTCAGATTTGAAAGTCCCACGTGCATCGACATTCACGATTGCATAACCTCTTGGGCACCACTCTGCAGGGTCTGGAGCTTCAAACTTCTCGAGACCGCTTAGCGAATTTTTCGGTACCCCCAGAAATTCAAAGTTAGTGGTCAACTGTGAGCCTGGCAATCCATTAGATGTGAAGGCAGGGATACTCGCCTTATAGCAACGAGATTCAATGGAGTACATACCAGTTCCCGTTTTACCATATGGTCCCCATGGCAGTAACGCGGGGACAGGTTTGCCATGTAATCTCGCTGGGCGGAAAATATCTCCTTTCAGCTTTTTCCCATCACGAAGCGGGATCGAAACGTCCTTGTCCCAAACTATAGCCTCTGGCAAGGCTCTTCGGTCAGGGTCTCGACGCCAGCCTTTCGGCAATACTTGTAGTGACGGGTTCTGATCGCACCAAATGTTGGAGAAGTCCCTCTTTGAGGGCAGTTGCCTGACCTCGATGCCATCGATTACCGTCCCCATGGTTCGCTTGCTGGGTGGTGACTGGTGACTTTTCGGGTTGTTGGAATATATCTCCCTCTGTGGTTACGTTTTTAGATATCCTTTCGGGTTTTCTCGAACAAAATCTCTTCACGTGAGCTGGACAATTGCACCAAGTCAAATCATCAAATCCCTGGTGGAGCAGGCCTCCCCGTGTGGGGAATGTCACTGCCCCTCCTCGGATTTAGGAATTCGCGGCTCGGCAGCACACAGCGATGAGGATCCTTGGAAGCCTCGTACACGGACTATGGGGGAAAGTGACTCTTTGAGACCTCACAAAGGCAAATCTAGCAGGACTGAGACAATAAGAGCAGGACACCCAGCCAGAGGTAAGTTGACTGTCGAGCACCGAAGTCCTACTTGCGTGTTTTCTTAACTCCCACGATGGCAATCGAAGATATCTTGCGCCAGTGGCGCACCAATGAGGGAGTCGCAGATCAAAAAGTGGCGCGATGGTACCTGGTAGCAGTGAGCCACCAATTGCGTGTCTCAAACATGTGTATCCTACTGATATTCCTCCTCCAGGCATCTGCGATGGCGGCGTCGAGCTGCGGACCCGATGCCGTGAAGCTATATCGCTTAGCCGTAGAAGGACTGGAGCTCAAAGATGAGCTGATCGTTCAGCGTCGGCTCAAAGAAGCGGTTCTGAAATCCAGTGCTCTTTTTGGGGTGCCTCGATGTCTACAAGCATTGTTCCCGATCTTTCACAGCTTGGATGATGATCATATCGATACTTTTGCTCCTCGGTAGTTTTTTTCAATTCCAACCTATCATGCAGGCTAATTCAGTGGGAAGGTATGAGTCTCTAGGCAATGTAGAAGCACGGAAAACCCGCGAGGAGAAAGCACGAGCATACTTTGATGTCATCTGGACTCCAGAACTGGCTGAGAAAAACCGCCAGATGAATTTGAAGTATCAGCCCGATCTCTGTGAGCGCTGTTTCCATTCCCTTAGTCGCACCCTCGCTAATGACATGTTGAGATGTGACAACCCTCAACCTTGTTTATGAATGGTACTTTAGTGAGACAGGCATACTTCCGGCGGTAGATACTCAGATGAGCAGCGCGGCTGCCTTGATTTGCTCCAATTGCCCTATACAGGCTATGTGGCACACCAGAGGCATAATTCGCCATGGTGGCACGACTGAAGATGCCTGGTTTGCTCAACGTCTGGCGTTGGAGATCGCAAAGCTTTATGAGGCGAAGACAGGAGAGATCACGCCCGTAGATCAGATTGCCATGCAGGATGGCAAGACTCTATAGAACTATTCTACCCCAAGTCGTCTAAGGACCACTATGGAGCTGTGATTTCAGCAAGAAACCAGGCATGCAGTCACCTCGAAAATGGACCGAAACGTATGATTCAGGCCTTCCCGCAGACTTTTAGACTTCTAGTATCATGCTCTTATGAGGCCTGTTTGAACGTCCAGGAGCATGCGAGCAATTCACTTAGCTAACTACTTTCACAATGATCGTCTACTTGGCCTGTGTAACAAAAGGATGACCAGCGACTTCTCACCTACAAATGATACTGTGGGGATCGTCTCCTCGGTGGGATGAACACTGGGGATTTGCTATTTGACAGGTACCCATCTACTAAGTGAGTCACTGGTAATGTAAATTACATAAACAAGGCTTGAGGGATAAGATATTCGCGAAATACCATACGATAGTGTACACGAGTACGAAGTGGTGACTGCCTTAGATCGTTAGTCTATCACCTCCAGTGTACATTGTACGTCCCCACATTCCCCACCTCCTCGGCACCCCAGGGCAGGACATTCCGCTGTTGCTTAGAAGCTTGAATGGACGCAGGCAAAGTGGAGGGCTAGTAAGTTATTGCTCGTATGAACGATTTGGGTAGAGCTCGTACCGCATCCCCACCACGCCCTCCTGTCAGTTCGGGGCAAATCAAACAGAGGGGAGAAGGGGGGTTTTGCGAATGCTGGTGTACTTGTCAAGGATAGGTACATGCGAATCCACGGAGAGTACAAGCTAGGTATGTGGCCGCAACATTGCCCTCTGTCTTTTTCTTCATTGCACCTTGTCCCCCAATCCGTCTGCGCTGAGTTGAAGTATAAGACAGCGCAGTAGAATGCGCCTTGGTCAGTCAAGTTGATTGTGAGGAATCAATTGATAAATAAATAAATCTCCAAGATGGTATTAGCAGATCAGCCTTTGCCAGCTCCTCGCCGGGTGGTGACGACTCATAATTCCGAGGGCAAAGCAACAATCCTTCTAGACAGCGTGGTCCAAGGTATCCAAGCACCCCATGGTCCATGGTTAACGCCAATCTGGAACACAGACGTAGTGCCACCGGCCGTCAACGTGACAGTCGACCGGAGCCCGGTCAAAACAGGAATTGCAAACAACGGTACCGTGATACGATACGTCGACCTGCCCCCTCATTCCAAAGGGTCTGTCCACCGTACAATCACCTTGGATTATATCACGGTGCTCAAGGGAGAAATCGTCTTGACGCTGGACGATGGATCACGGACGGCGATGAAAGAAGGTGACCTGTGTGTCCAACAGGCTACTATGCACAGTTGGGATAATGAGAGCGATGAGTGGTGTAGGCTGCTATGTATCCTCATTCACTCGCAGACGCCTGTGGTAGATGGGAAGGCGCTTGGATCCAATACGCACTTCTAAAGATCATGACAAATATGAGCTCTCGGGAGAAAAAGGGGGAGTTGTAGACGGAGGAGAGGCGAGCAGGCCCGAAGTGAGCAAAGTACTGGTGGGGTGTGGAGCAACTCGTTGGCATCGAAAAAGCCTATTTAGCACTGCAGTGAGATGCGATCGTGGAACCATCAGGAAGAAGTCATTCAAACATCATTAACCATATCACTAGCGCCTTTCCCAGACCTAAACCCCCAACTAAGAGCACTGGTCACTATCTTCCACCACGTGGAAGTTGTGCCCAACGCTCAAGAATCTTCTGCATCGATCTGGTGATCCCCCAGGTGCCCGATATTGCTGTGATCTGAGAGTGAAAGATGCTTAACTCCGTTGAGATTTTCCTCAAGCGTGGGAGGTTAACCCCTGGAACCGAAGTCCCAGCCAGATAGCTTGCCATCTCAATCGAGTGCGTACCACTCTCGGGAAAGGTATCTTTGGGACACTGATAGAGGCCTTGCCAATCAATGTGTGATGGCATTGGCAAGGTGCGAATTTCGGCTGATAGAAATGCAGCCACAACCGCTGCGGCTGAAAATATCGTAAATGGCATGTGGACGGCGAATAACTCGGCCATTGATAGACTCTGAACGAGTTCTCCGATTGCTATGGCGTGTAGTATTGCTCTTCGAGCATCATCGGTGCGCACCCAGTTAGGCAAGTCGAGTGCTTGATGCTCCTCGATCTCGCTCTGCGACGGATGAAACAACTCCTCAACATAGCGCTCCGGTCCAATACTGAAAGACAGCCGCCTGATATCGACTGACATGCTCAAGAAGACCGAATGCCAGCGTAGGAGCAATTCAGTTGCTGCACGGGAAAGATGAAGCTGCCAGTGTTTAAGGTTGAGAAGAGCGACGCAGATTTCCTGCTTATTCACCATGCCAATAGTCTCCTCAGTCGTTTCAGCCACCCGAAGAATCAAACTCTGTAAGCATTCCAGGACGACACGAATGGCAAGCTCGGAGATTGGTTTGTTTATGATCTCTGTCTCGCCACGGAAAAGGGCTCTCACGTACGATTGAACAGTCACTTGGCTATCGCTGTCAGATCTTGATATCTCTTCAATCCAGGCGTCTACCGTGCTTGCTTCGAAAGCTGCAGATGCCGTTGGCAGTAACATGGAGTTTGTCTCATGCAGCAACAGTGTGGGTTGGCGATAGAAGAGTGAGGAAAGTCCGTCCAAGACATATTGCCAAAGCAGGCTTCGCACCTGTACCTCTTCTGCCACCCATTTCTGCCACACTTCAAGCTTCTGTTTAGAGGGTGCCGCAATAGAAGGAATTACAACCCCGTATGGAGATCTGGGACGATAAAGCCCACATTCACGAGCCCATACTGATCCAAGGCCACGAGCAACATGGCTCATTTTCCGAATGCGCGGGTTCATACATACTATCGCATAAGTTCCGCCCAAGGAACAACTCTGCACAAGCTGCACACCGCTATGCACATCGTGCGGCCCCTTGTTGGTTAGGAGTTGTTCCCAGGCGTTGGCCATGACCGCGTGCGAGACCAAGTAAAGTGAGTCTGCCTGAAACTCTCATGGGTTAGCCCGCCGCGGTTGAATGTATTTGTTACGGGCGATCCTCTCAAAGGTTTAACAACTAACCTTGTAAGCTGCATACGGCAAAAAACAGGAACCGAGCGACAAAATGTAGAGGAGTACAGTGGCATTGCACTCCCGTGGATTGAAAGTTGGCTTATGCACAATGGGAGCCACAGTGAGATGGTGGCGGAAGAACAGGTCGAGGCAGTCTTCAAAGAATGTGGAAGCCGTGTCCTCGCTTTCTGTTGTAACTATAAAGGACTCGGGTAGACTCTGAATAACTCTATTCATGGCAACGAGTGCTTTTCGCCCTGCTTCCGCAGAACCTCGAAGCCACTCGCCATCGCGAAGCCTGGACGTAGAGTCTTGAGCACACTTGGGCGAAGGTTGTGACCGAGAAAAGCCATCGGTGGGAGCAGTCGTAGGTGTTGGGAGTAGAAGACTAAATATCTCGTCGTCGTAAAAATTCCAATCAAAGTCATCGGTAAACGCGACGCCGTAGCTGGAGGTATCCAGATTGGTCGGCGCCTCTGTAGAATGATCCACGCTTTCCGAAAGCAGAGAGGCTGATGGTTGGGTGACTCTGATGTCCGCGAAAGTATCCGTTACAGGCAGTGATCGATTTATCGTCAGACTCTCCGCGACTGGTGTACGCTCATTCGATCTCGTCCTCTCTTCATGCCCTGAGGCAATTGATGAGACCGCCGGAGGACGTAAAATCGGCGATTGACTCTGACGAACGACATCGGGAACATCGTGCTGATGATTGAGGTGCGTGCGGCAATGGCGCACGAGCGAATCCTGTCTTCCAAAGTGGCGATTGCATATGTGACAGGCAAAGGGTTTGATACCAAGGTGTCCGCGCTGATGGCGGGCAAGATGCTCTGCTTTCGTGAAGACGGCTGAACAGCCTGCATGTTTGCAAGGGTGCCTACGCACAGGCGTCGATATCATGTTTACGCACTTGGATACCCAGAACTCTTGGAAACACACTTGAAAAACATTAAATGCTGCAGCGACGTTCAAGCGCTCTGTAGACTTGTGAATTCAGAGCAGGTTGGTATTCGAAAGAAGCTGCTTAGCTGGAGAAGTGGAGAAGAACCAGGGCCTGGGGAAGACCTGTGGAGATTGGAGGGGGATTCCCGAGACCTTGCCTGCGAGGCGACAGATACTCGGTATTCGGTGAGTCCATGATGTACGAGCTGCAAAAGCTCCGTAAGCGGTCTGTGCGAGTTCAGTAGTTATGAGTAACAGGGTTTCCAGACGAAAGCTGTACCTAGGGCACGAACTTCTGGGCAGAATACGTTTCAATGCTGTATTTGGACATCCTGACGAAGGTGTACGAGAAGCATCTACCAGCGCGTGTCAAGCAGGGTCCTGTATAAATGTGCACGATCACCCGGTACGTGGTTGGTCAATTGAATGCCACTTGATCATTGACGATGTTCATGATGAATGGAGGGAGGGTTCACAGCTTTCCCAAATCGATCAAAGGATGATGATCACAGCACTGTTATCGAACCCTCTCCTGCGTATTCAGAGGGCAGGATATTGTGTTGGAAGACAAGAAAGGCGGTGTGGAGCGGCAGAACTGGGCTCAGCTCTCTACTCTACGCATTCAAGTTCTTCAAGGACGCGACCGACTGGTTAGTACTTTCACTGGGTCTCACTGCAGCATCTCCCAATCAATGGCTTCGGTGTGAACAGCCACACCCCGATGTCGTGCTGGACATCTACCTTCGATGCCTTTCGACTTCAAGTTGGCTGTAGAGGAAGTGCAATACTTTCTCCCCCTCGGGTTCAAGTATATCAAAGCACTCGAAACCGCTCAATCACGCTAGGCACAAATCCTGTGCATGGACGCTATGATCCCAAAGCAGGAGTTCAACTCAAGAGGAACTTTTCATCAACGCACATCCAAGACCATGTGAAGAACCCTGCTGAGCCGGATCGTTTGGATTCCACGCCCGTCAACGCCCGGTCCGACTATAGTGTTAAAAACGAAACTCGGTGGAAGAACTTCGCCCCGGCAAAGGGTGCCACTGGCACATTGTGTGCTGGGAGATCAATTCTCCTTACAGGAGGAACGTCTGGGATTGGCCTTGCGGTAGCTAAACGTGCTGTTCTCGAAGGCGCAGCACATGTCATTATAGTTTCAAGGCGTCCCTCCAAGGGGGCAGGCGCAGTGCGAGCAGTCACAGAAGCAACCGAATGTCCAGACGCACCCGTGTCATATCTAAGTCACGACTTTTCCACATGCTCTCCGGAGCTCATCTCGTCCATTCTCAAACCACTTGTAAGTCAGAAATTCTCAACAACAGTCCAGCCACCTGACGTGAATCTCTAGTACATCAACACCCTGATCAACTGCTCTGGTGTAACGTCTAATCAACTGATACTCAAGCAACGGCAAGAAGATGCCGAAACAGTCTGGGCTACCAACTATCACATGCCCTTCAAGCTGTCACAGCACCTCATGAGCAGGTACTTAACCCAGGCCCGGTCTCTCCAAAGGACAGGTGGGCTGGGAGATCGAGCTGCCCTGCCTTCCTGGTGCATCGTCAATGTCTCCTCCCTGCTTGCAGAGAAGGGCGGGCAAGGCTCGTCAACATATGCGGCAACCAAGGCAGCGCTCACGGCACTGACTCGTGTGTTGGCACTCGAAGGAGGTGATTTTTCCGAGCGGTCGCGAGCCCTCATGCCGCCACTGCGGGCAAATGCAATCCTGCCGGGATATATTGATACGCCCATGATTGAAGGTATGTTTTGACACGCTCAATGATGATGAATTACTGTTTATCGGAAGATCGTTCGTTGGCTGACCTTACCATTCCAGGATTCTCGCAAGGTCGCAAGGAAGACCTAATCGCACAGATCCCTCTACGGAGGTTCGGGAAACCTGCAGAGGTTGCCGATGCCATCATGTTCCTGCTCCACAACGAGTATGCCAATAATTGCGTACTGAAACTCGATGGCGGGCTGAGCGCAGTATGATGGTTCAGTCCGCAAGTGATATGAACAATACACGGTAGCTGCATGACTTAGAAGTGCTTGATGTTCGTCGGAGTTCAACTCTATCAGCTTCGCAGAAGGGATTGAATCACAAGGCCACCCCCTCGTATGGGAGTGGACGAAGTGTGATAAGCTGTCCAAAGTCTTACGTATCTGTAGCGGCTCTTGGTTCGCTATAGCTTTACCTCGTTTGGCATGTCAACAGTAATCTAGAGTTCCTATCTGGACTCATTCAGCACAGGAAGCGACCCAAATGAGGCATGATTCTGACTTCGTTCGAAGACAAGACTCTGTCTTCGAAATTACAATACATATACATGGCCGTCCTTCTTGGCACCGCCTTTCTTGCCTTGGTTTTGTACGCTAACAATTGATGTCATGGCATCGGCGAGCCTCTATCGCCTGTTTATCCAAGCCTGGATACCGTCATGAACGGCCCTCCTCATTTCATTGCTTGCTCGGGTATCTGTGTTCTGGAAATCATGTCCTGTAATAACCTCAACGGCCTGCATCTTCCGCGAGTCTTTCAGTCATCAGCAATCAAAAGCGTTCCGTCGTCATCATCTACTACAACAGCTTTCGATGAGGGATCTTTTGCCACCGCACCTTGAAGTTTCTTAGCTGGCGTCTCTGTTCCATTTGCAGCGGCATCCGATAGTGCTCGTTTCCGCCTTGCTGTGACCGGGGCTGTGCCGTTGACCACGATTTCCACTTCATCTCCGTCTGAATCTGCTGCTTCGGCCACTGGAGCTTTTTCCGGCTTCCGCGGTATCTCGAATGTTTCTCCTTCGTTCTGAATGAGTGCAACGGGCGGCCGACCTTCCTCTGCTTTCGTAGCGACCACTGCTAACTGCAGATCCACACGTGGCGTATCGTCCTCCTCATCCTTGACCACTATGAAACTTGCGTCGCCAATCCCGAGGTCTTTGAGTTTCTTCTCCAAGTTATCTTCCAGATCTGGATCGTAGATAATGCCAGCTTCGGTCATGACAGTGATTTCATCACTATAACTGAAACTGGTCTTGAGGATATTCTGAACGAGATCGCCAAGGGTAGCATTCTCGAGATTGACTTGGATTCTCGCCATGGCGACACTGCAAACCACGCATTCTGGGTTCGGCTTCTCCAGAAGATCAGTACGAAGGGATCCGTTCCACAGCCATAACCATTTCGTGCGAGCGTATTCACCCTTAATGACCTTGAAGGCTTGTAGCACGCAGAGACCAGCTACCATAGCGTTGGTCGTTGCGATAGCAGGAATAATGTTGCCGGCCATCTGTTTGGTGTCAAATTTGGACTTGGCCTCGATGCCGAAGATTGAAGCGCGTAGATTTCCAGATGCAGTGACGAAATCCATCGTGTCATCGTCATCTTTGTCAAACGTGATAATCGGTCGGGGTTGATTCGTCTTGTCTGCCACGGCTTGATCTTGAGCGAGTCGTGTGGAAAGTCTTGACAAGCTATCTTTAAAGACAACAAAGTTCTCGATTACTGACCACGTCTTCTGACTCTCGTTCGATATGGAGGGATCGATACCGGTGGATTGTTGTTCTAATATGTCATAGGATAAGGGTGTTGGGGGTTTCTTCTCTTTCCACATGTCCTCCATCTTGGCCAGTCGCTCAATATCCTCATTAAACACCTTGTCAAAGATCTGCCGTGGGAAATCCTCCGATCCGATGGACTGTCTGATTTTCTTCAGAGCCTGTGCTTCCTCTTTCAATTTCTGAATTTCCGCAGCGTTTTCCGAGTCTTCTGTGTTGTCCAGATCTGTCGTTTCATCCTCACCAACACCAAATAGCTCGGGTAGCAGATAACTCTTTCCCCATACAATGCAATGAATGGGTTGGCTGGGAGTACTCCGTATGGTACATACAGGATAGGAAATGGGAGTGGTCTTTGGAGAGCAATCGTAGCAAGCAGTTTTTCCTTTCTTGATGACCTGAACCTGACCTTTGAAACCCGTCGTTCCGGATTCGATGAGTGGCACATCCACGGCCAAGCACATCTTATTTACGTGTCTTCTTGCGTCCATATTGTCGAGCGCGTTGAAAACAATGTTGAAGGATGAGAACCATTCAAGATTGAACTGCTTGTCTTTGATGTTCGCATGCTGGGCAACGAGTTTGACATTGGGATTGAATTTTTGCGCGACTTCCTTTGCGACAACGGCTTTTGGTTTCTTGATATGTTCTTGTCGAAAGAGAAATTGACGATTCAGGTTGGAGAGATCAATGGTATCAAGATCGATGATATGGATTTCGCCGAACCCGGTGAGGACGAGGTTTTTGAGGAGTTCGCAGCCTATGCCACCGGCGCCGACTAGTAGGACTTTGGACTGGGACGATCTCATGTCAGGCCACAGTCAGTGATTGTAGTGTAAAAAGTGCCTTACTTCTTTGATCAATTTGTGCGCAGAGCCCAGAGATTGTCTGGCAAGTTTTTCGCGAGGCATCTTGATTGATTGCATTGAAACAGAATTCATCTGAAGATAATGAGGCAAATGATGGAAGTGGTGGAGTGACTTCTAGTCAGGGTCTGGAAGACATGTCAAACCACTTGGTCTTGACAGTTGGCGATTAGTAGGTTGGGTGAGACGAAACACGGCGCAAGAGAAGAAGAAGGAATTGTAAGAGTGAAGAAACCTTTAATGAAGAAGAAGATAAGAAGAGAAGGGAGAGAAAGGAGAGAGTGAATAGAAAGAAGCCGGCCGATCAAAGAGAGCGTAGATCTTTAGAGTGGAATCTTTGTGATGAGGCTTTGCTTGACCATAAGCGCGGGAGGGACGACAGCTGCAGCGGCGAGCAGCATGCAGAAACGGAGCAGCTAACTAACTTAGTAGTACGGAGTAGTCAACTCGTTAAGTGCACCAAGGGCTCTGAGGCTTGTTAGGCCCGAGGCGCCTGTGAGTTGGGGTCACGTTTCGCCGGGCATTATCACCTTGGTCCTTGAGTGACATGACAGCCTATGTGACCATTTCAAGGATACCTCAGGAGCCAGTGACAGAAACCCTTGCTTTACTCTCAGGTCAGTGTCCAAGAGTTCTTGATCGGCATGTATGTTAAAGATTGGTCCTGGCCTCAACATGAGCGTAGATCCAAGTTCATGAGTGGTTTTCAAAGCAGAGCCTGTGCATGGACTCTTTCCCCGTCTCCATGGCCTAAGAGTACGGAGCGCTCGGCCCCAGAGCGTCGCCTAACTTTAGGCGGCTTCACCCCAGTGATCAACTGTGACGTGACTCCAACGCCATGCAGGGTGAGAGCCCAGGGAGCAGCTAAACTAAACAGAGGCTAATCTTCAAGGGGCCTCGGGCTAGCCAAGGCTAATCGTGTGCCTTGCATATCAACCCACCCAAACTTCGCCATCCCGAACAAGGGTGGACGCTCTGGAAAAGCCAAAAAATAAAGACGGACAGAAAAATTTATATCCAAAGACAACCAAGTCATTGTCGAGCGTCCAGCACTCCACAAACGGCTGTAGAAGGAAATGTCGGATGACGAGGCGGACCCGGAACTCCTGGAATTGCTGCGTCAATCGCTAGGCCTGGGTCCAGGCTCCTCCACCGCTCCTCCCACCACGGGGGTGCTCAAGTCGGCCGAATATATATACGATAATTCGATCGATGTCGCCATATCGACGGCGGGAACAAAGGCGGCCGCAGAGACCATATGGCTTTTGATGCAACAGAAGAGCTATTCGACCCAGACTTGGTCGGAACATGAGCTCCATCCACAGGCCAAGGACGAGGCCACGGTCAACTTCATATTCACCATGAACCTACTGAACTTCTCATTTTGGTCCGAGTTACCACCAGAAGAACGTTTCGCAGTGGAGTACAAAGATCAGCGATGGACGGGGTATTGGTCTTTGGTGGCAGCTCTGCAAAGAGCGTTGGATGAAGGTCTGTATCACTCGTTCTCCCCCAAAAACTTCCATGATCAACAAGCTACTCGGTGCGGAAGTCTTTTGTCCACAAGTCAAGTCACTCACGTCGGACATTTCTCCTTGATATAGGCTACGCAATCACCACACCAGATTTCTGGCAAGATCTCGACGCCTGTCCCGACTCAACATTAGCCCACATCTTCCGCTCCGCGACCGCCGAACCCATCCCCTTACTCAACGAACGGATCGCCATCCTCCGCGAAGCAGGCACCATCCTATACAACGACTTCGGCTGCAGACCCATCAACATCATCTCCCACGCGAATCAATCAGCAGCCTCACTTGTGAACCTGCTGGTCGAATCATTCCCCAACTTCCGCGACACGGCCACCTTCCACGGCAAGCCCGTGAAACTCTACAAACGGGCGCAGATCCTCGTCGCCGACCTGTGGGCCTGTTTCAACGGGACGTCCTACGGCAGCTTCACCGACATGGACAGCGGCGCGCTCACCATGTTCGCCGACTACCGCATTCCGCAGATGCTGCAGTCGCTCAGCTGCTTGTGGTACTCACCGCGGCTGGAGTCACGGATCGCCCGGTGCGACGAGCTCAAGCCCGGCGAGGACATGGAGGTCGAGATTCGTGGCTGCAGTATCTGGTGCGTCGAGCTGCTGAGGCAGGAGATCGAGAGGAAACATCCCGATGCCAAAGGAAAGCTTAACGCCGTCTTGATTGACTTCTTCCTGTACGATACGTGCAAGGAGATGGAGAGGAAAGGTGAGATTGATGATGTCTTGACGCATCATCGGACGAGGTCGATTTTCTACTAGAGAATTTCTAGATGTGATGGCTTGCCTTGGGGCGAAATGTTGGGCGAGGCATGAACTCAAGGGAGGTTCCTGAATGGGTGCAGCGATTACCGGTTGAAGTCCACTTAGAATAGATACAACTAGACATGAAGGATGCAATGTCCAACTTCATTTTCACTTTGACTTCGGCCTTGTTGATATTGTTGTTTTCATTTCCAACGATTCTTCTAACTATGCAAACCTTGCTAGTGTTCGCCCGAATGTTGCACTCTACGATGCTTCAGGGCCGTGCCTAGATTGCTTTAAAAACAAGAAACCTCACCACCGTTTCACCATGAATACCAAATCAGGAGGGATATTATTTCTCGTCAACCTCGACTGGTGTACTCGCCCCGTTTGATCGTGACATAGAGTAAGGTACGAGTACCTTCTTAGCTTCCCAGATCCTCCATGCCAAATTTTCAACCTTGCCATCGGCCTTGACGACCTGGGGTGCGAACTCAATGCCAAACATCTGTCGGACAGCATAGACCACCCGTCGAGCATACTTGCCGTCACGCTCTACGAGGCTACCAAAGGCTTGCTTCTCGTTGATAGGCGCGATATTGGGGTCCCGATCAAAACAGTTCTGCACGACAGGGAGCAGTGTTTTTCCGATGGCGGCTCGGATGAGCTCATCGGTCTGTGGAAGAGTCGGCGTCGTGAATGAGATGTTCGGATCCACCAGCTCGAGCTCATCGTCCCCAAATGGCGGGATGCGAATCTCAAATGGAAGTGAAATTGCCATCACGGTGTGTTTCCCGTCGTGATGATAGCGGAACTCAAATACGCCTTGGGTCCACCAAAGTTTGTCCCCGGAAAACACCATCTCGCCTGAACAGAATTGCTTCTCTCCGTCCTTTTCAGTAGCGAGAGTAAACTTGAGATCGCTGGTAATGATACCTGCTTCCGAGCCAAGCGAATCGTATGCACCGATGTTGGTCGCAGTCCATCGACCTGAGGATGAAGTTCTTGTGACTTCTCTGCTAGAATTGTCGGACACCATATATAGTCCAATCCAATCATTCTGGCTATGGTTGACAGGGGCGGTCCATTTCACTTTGACAGGCGCACCATATTCGAATAACAACGGCTTGAAGTCGTTGGTGCGTTCAGGCGGTGTTCTTGCTGTTTCGGACTCCTTATTGCTAGAACGCTCTGAGTCTGCCAATGCGGATGCTGGTGTTCCGGAAATTTCAAGCTTATAGTCCTTTGGTTCGAGGCCAATAACGTCTGAGTCTGTGGAGGTGATGGCCATTCGAGTGGGCACTGTATGAAACATGCCCTTGAAATCCTCAACGATACTCGTGACACCTGCAGCCAGTCTCGGTCTAGCTGCGTCGATGGCATCTTCTACGATGTCAAAGGTCTCACTAAGTACTTTATCCATACCATCTTGCCATTGACGAAGGGGCGGAGGGAGAGATCGACGGAGGCTTCTGACGAGTCCAGCATCTTGTCGGAGACTCCGGCCATACAGCTTCTGCATATGGGGCCGCTCCACAAACTGGATGAAGGCCAGACTCAAGGTGTGACTGAGAAGCGCCAGACCAAATATCGCTTTACTACTCGTAATGAGAGCGACACCCCATACTCCAGCGAGGCCTAGAACTCGCTCGGGATTGTTCAAGAATCGGTAAATTCCTCCGTAGGTCAATTTTGGTTGTTGATCGAAGAAAAAATCACCAAAGAACCAGCCAAATTCACCGAGCTGGTCATAGATGCTGAAAGAGGTCCAGACTTGCAAAGCAATAAGCCCAAATCCTATGACGTGTTTCAGGAGATACAGTCCATAGTCCCAGCTTGAAGGCACGTCATACATCTTCCACGCGGCCGCCGCGAATGTTGCGTAACAGAGGGTCATGCCGAGGTGATACGTGCCTTTCCACTGCCTCCAAGCCTCATTGGTGGTCTCGCCATATTTGAGAAAGTGTCGGGTCCATTTCTTCTTCGATGACTGCCTATTAAGCAGATATCCGAGACCGACTGAATACCACACGCGGCAAATGGCAGCCGCAATGACGAACATGGCTCTCCAAAATGTTGTGTCCGGAGTTGCAAACGCCAAGGTGAATATCAGGCCCATGATGATGGTGACCGAAGTATCAGTTGTGCGGTAGAAGTCGAAGTTCTGCAGCCCCAGTAGGTTGTGGGTTTGAGGAGGTTGCGCGTGACCTGGGATTGGTTGACGATCTGCAGACTGGCCGCTTTTGGCCGAAGCACTCTGTGGTCCTGGTACCTCATCAATTGACTTACGTGGAGGTGGAGAGTTGTAGATGCGCTCAATGTGTGGGTTCTCGACGATCACCAAGAAGGCGAATTGTGCTGCATGGGCAATGATGGAAATGAACAAGACCTTGTAGCTTGCGGCCATCAGGGAAGCACCATAGTATCCGACATAACCGATCGAATACATTGGATGTGGCGCCATCTCAAAGACTCCATCGAAGGTAAGTTCCTGGTCAATGAGATAGAAAAAGTCACCCCAGTACCAGGCAAAGTCCTTGACGACACGGTGTGCATCCAGCTTGACCCACAGGTTAAAGACGAAAAGGGCAATACCAATAATCCACCGCAAGAAGGTCATAAACAGTGACTCCCCTGGTGGACTTCGAGCACAGGAAATTGCAAAGAGCATGTATGAAGTGAAGTCGCACATGAGAATGAGATCCACAATACGACGAAATACCAACCAAGTGTTGTACTCGAGAGGAGCATCATCGAAGTTGTAATCCTTTGCGATCTTGGTCTCCAGTTCGCGTTTGACGAAGGCTCTCAACTTGGGATGTGGGTTCTCACCGTTAGAGGCACTAGGGAAGAGTTTCGACTTTCTACCCCAGCGTACCAGACGATTATGGTGTGATTGCATGTGTAACAGCCAACCAATTCCGATATTGTAACCGGCTCGCCAGGTCAGAAATATGGCACCGAGCACGGGTGTTCGGTAAGCGGAGGGTAGGCTCCAAGCGAGAATGATGTGCAGCAACAAGATGAAGAGCACCAAGATATCACCCAGATTCTTGGGCTCGGACGGTGACAGAAGTTGGGACACCATGTCATGCGTATACGGCACGGTGAAGACAGTTCCGCTGGGAGTCCGACCAAACGTCTTTCGATCTTTCTCATCTTTAGCCGAGTTCTCCTCAAGGGCGTTCAGTTGAAGCACAGCCTGTCGAGCTTCAGATTGGCTGGAAGCTTGGAGAGGTGCATTTCTTTGACGAAGTCCTTCGGTGGCAGAGTCTAGAGAAGTCATGGCTCGATTGGTGTTGGGTTTAAGTCGCGTTGGGATTTTGGAATAAACAAGATGTGAGAATGTGCGCGATATTTGAAGTTTTGTTGTGGAAGATTACTTTTGGGCGACACGCTGCGGTAAAGTTGATGAAGGCAGCGGAGTTCGCGGAAAGAAATCACATGAAATAACTATATTTACCACGTCCACGCTGCTTGTGTGTTACTCATTGTCTAGAAAGGTTGAAAATCTAGACAGGAGTCCTGTGAAATCAGAGAGTCGAATACAGATTTCGATCGTGGACACTAGTGAAGGCCGTGATAATTACCATTAGCTAGAGTGAAGACCGGAATGTGCTGGGCTTTAATAGCAGCTTCACTAGTTAGCTGAGCTTGGAGAGGGTTTTTCACGTGCCACATGGTCTGTAACTTGGACTCGGGCAACTGGTTGCCCACTGCCCACTGCCCACTGCCTGCGGTGTCCACTGTCCCTGTGCCTACTGGAGGCCGCCCGGGCCCCTGACCGCCTAAGACCTCTAATTTGCAACTACCGGTAGTGGGGGTTCATGGAGGACTGTTGGCATGACGCCATTCTTCCTAGAGCCTCCATTGATGTGGACTCATATCTGACGAAGGAAGAGGGATAGATCTGAGAGAAGTTTCACTATTGGAAGATGATCTTTGTACGCGCATGCTTAGCTCTTATAAGACCTCGTCGCGTGGAAAACATATCCAGGAGAGCCCGAGCGGGACGTGACAAGAACACAAAGAAGTTGAACATTACTTAACTGAGGGACCTACCAAGGTACCTAGGTAGGCAATCATGGAGGTTATTTAAGCGCGCTGAGCCCAAACCATTTGACACCGGGACGTGCTAGCAACTTAGGTTCTCCCAGGCGTCACAACACCTTTATCGGCAACCTACGAGGTACTTAGCCTTTAGGTACATAGGTAGTTAGTTAGTTAGAGTCACCACCGACTGGGTGGGTGAGGGGCTGCAACCCCGCCAATCGGAGCCAGGTTCTCCAATTACCAATCCAAAATCACCTTTTGTATCTCATCCTTGCCTTCCAAGAATGTCGCAGTCTGTTCCAGATCTACGGAGTAGTCTTTCATCTTTCATTTTCAGCCAGGGTCCCGTTTGTCTTCAGTCCATAGCCTACGCAAGTTCCAATTCGAAATACCAGCGTTGATGGCCCCTTCGTTTGAGGAACCCCTCACCGAGGCTTTAGAAGCCCCGCTAAAGTCCAAACCTGAACTTGTCGCACCTGAACCAGGTCGGTAGCCTCTCTACACAATCCTTTGAGAATAACAATTGACTGACATTCTCCAAAGAGCATTGTCCTGGTCCCGAATCAGATCAAGCAGGACAAGGCGATGCATGCGCTGGGTGTCCAAATCAAGCAATATGTGCTTCGGCACCAAAAGGTCCAGACCCAGACATCCCCCTCATAACCGAAAGACTGGCTGGGATTAAACATAAGATACTGGTGTTATCGGGGAAAGGAGGGGTGGGGAAATCAACGTTCTCGTCTTTGCTGTCGCATGCATTTGCGGCGAACCCAGATTCTACTGTCGGGATAATGGACACCGATATTTGTGGCCCATCAATACCCAAGATGATGGGCGTGGAAAACGAGACGATCCATGTGAGCAACGCAGGCTGGAGTCCTGTCTGGGTCACCGACAACCTGGGAGTCATGAGTGTCCAATTTATGCTACCCAATCGAGACGACGCAGTCATTTGGCGCGGGCCTAAGAAGAATGGCTTGATAAAACAATTTTTAAAAGATGTGGAATGGGGGGACTTGGACTACTTGATTGTGGACACACCACCAGGAACGTCAGACGAGCACCTCTCTGTCAACTCATTTTTGAAAGAGTCGGGCGTAGATGGTGCAGTGGTGGTTACGACACCCCAAGAAGTATCGTTACTGGATGTGAGGAAGGAAATTGACTTCTGCCGAAAGGCAGGCATTCGGGTCCTGGGTCTGGTTGAGAACATGTCCGGCTTCGTCTGTCCCAAGTGCACTCATGAGTCTCAGATATTTCGAGCCACGACCGGAGGTGGGAAAAAGCTGTGCGATGACATGGGTATTCCATTCTTGGGAGCAGTCCCTTTGGACCCTCGAATCGGCATGGCATGCGACTTTGGTGAAAGTTTCATGGATTCTTATCCAGACAGTCCGGCTTGCAAAGCATTGCGCCAAGTGGTCCGGTCGGTTGGGAAACTGGTGGGTGAAAACCCGGACGACGTTCTCCCTGATGGTCCTATATGAAGATATGCGCTTACCACGCTCGAACCCCCATGGACATTGATAATGCTTGTGGGCGCAAGTCTCGGTGGCGGACAGGCGATTCTTTGACAGACGTTTGACGGCGATATGCGTTTCAACGATGCTTCTTGGTATAAGAATTATTGCTGGCCCATTGCTCGGTCGAGAATGAAAGAGACATGCTCACCAAGAGAGCACTGTATCACATTCTTGCACTTGGCAAATGCAAGGCGGCTAATACTGTCAGTCAGTGGCGACGACGAGTACTCGGACTCGTGTGCGCCCGAGTCATGCCGAACTCGTAAGGAATTCTATACTCTTCCCGGCGTCTGATCAGAGAAGACGGAGGCCAATCGACAACAGTCAGAGGGCCATATATGACAGGGAGATGTGAAGCATTTCGATGCCGTGGGCGGGTAGTACAGGGGGGAGGAGAGCCTTGAGGGAGGAAGTCTGATCGTGGATCATGGCACTAGCCGTATCTAGGATAGCTCCATAGTCTAGTCCAGATAAGGCCGATGATGCCAAGTCCTAACGATCCGAAACCCTGCAGCCTGCAACTCCTGGATTTGTTTCACGTTTCAAAGGCGTCCCCTATTCACTCACTTTTCCTCAAATTTTGACCAGAAGAGTCCATCGACACATCCACATGTGCTTCAGAAGTCCTCTCTGACAACGGCCGCCAGCCAGTCGCCTGGCCCGCGTGGCTGCAAGCCACATCGACTCCATGCAAGCCTTTCCTCGGCATCGACTGGCCTTTCCACATGAGCCCATGGTTTTTGTGGAGAGCTCTGGATTTGAGACTCAGATTTTTCGTTTGCTCCAGCCTCTGGGTCTATCCTACCGAGGGGTCTTGGGTCATCATCCTGAGACGTGCATATGGATATGGCCGAATGTGCTTTAGCTATATTGGCAATGAAGCCGCGTACTTGCCTCCCGTACCCCGTGCTATTCATACTTCCTCGCTCCTTCTGTGCATCCTTCTCTTAAACGTTTGCTTTCGGTCCATATTTTCTTCGTTCAGGTTGTATTCTTCATCCTGGTTGTTTTGCTTGAGGCTGGTCTCATTCCCTTTTTACCACCATCTTTTCCTTTCCGGAGACTGAGGGCAGGCCCTTGACTGTTTCGCATCGTTCCTTTACAAGAACTTCACCACCTCAAGCTACAAGACCAACATTCTCCATCGCTCCTTTGATAGCAGATTTCCAAAAATCGCCAGACGATCTTTACCGGCAAAATGGTGCCTCGCATTCAGATATTGCTACTTACATTCTTCCTTATCGCTATTGTTTTTGCATCACCCATCAAGCACAACAAGAAACGCTCTTTTAAAATTCCCGTAAAACGAAACCCAGCCTACAAACCCAATGGAAAGGCTGCATACAAGCGAGCCTTGTACAAGTTCGGTCTCGGCGACATCAGCTTTGTACCCGACGGCGAAGTAGCGACGAGGATCCGGGCATCGAGCAACACCTCGATCAACGCCGCCGACAACGAGGATGGGGCGACGACCGCCTCTCCGACCCAAAACGATGCCCAGTTCCTCTCACCCGTCGAAGTCGGTGGTCAGACCCTGATAATGAACTTCGACAGTGGTTCATCCGATACGTATGACGAAGCCCCCTCTGTACCTCTTGAGAGACCCCCTCGTGCGCATGTCCACTGACGTTGTGACTCTAGATGGGTTTTCAATACCAACCTTCCAGCAGCCTCTCAAAGGGGTCACACCATCTACGACCCCACCAAGTCCACGACATTCCAAACCCTCCAAGGCACATTCAATATCACCTACGGAGACTCATCATTCGCCAACGGCCCAGTCGGCCTCGAGAGAATCGACATCGGCGGTGCGACCGTTGACGCCCAAGCCATTGGCCTACCAAACGTAGTATCCGATTCCTTCGTGACCGACTCAGCCTCCAACGGGCTCGTGGGCCTCGCGTTCTCGCGCCTCAACACGATTCGTCCGAACCAACAGAAGACCTTCTTCGACAACATCATGGCCGACCTGACCCTCCCAGTCTTCACCGCGCAACTCATCTCCGGCGGCCTGGGGTCATACGAGTTCGGTAACATTGACACCAACGCCTTCAAGGGCGACCTGACCACCGTCGCCGTCGACAGCTCACGGGGCTTCTGGGAGGTCAGCTCCGCGGCCGCCAAGGTCGGAGGCCAGACCACCAACATCCCCAATGGCAAGGCCATCGTCGACACGGGCACCTCACTCATGCTCGTTGGTGACGAGATGCTCGTCGCATACTGGAGCACCGTCGAGGGCGCCCAGCTGAGCGAGCAGGCCGGAGGTATCATCTTCCCCTGCAACACCGCTCTGCCTGACCTGCAGGTCGCCGTCGGAGACACCTACTTCGCTACCGTGAGTGGCGACGGCATGAACTTTGCGGAGGTCGGCACCGACAGGACGACTGGAACGGACTGTAAGTCTCTCCCTCCTCCTTGCTTCATAGTCCCATCCTCTTCCCTTCATCTACTAACTGCCCTCCGCACAAACAGTCTGTTTCGGCGGTCTACAATCCAGCCAAGGCCTCCCCTTCGCCATCTACGGCGACGTCTTCTTCAAGTCACAATTCGTCGTCTTCGACGGCTCCGGGCCCGCCATCGGCATTGCCGAGCATTCGTGAGTCTGTAGGATCCCTCATCAGGTCTGCTTCGGAGCACCGGAGTCGAAAGTCCGAGGCCATGGTTTTCTGTATCATTCGACCTGATAATACATTCACTCTTAACTTGAGTGGGAAAGTCGTTGCTTTGCATTTGCCATGGCCGGTCGGAGGACGAAGCCTGCATTACATACCCTGGGCACTGCGGTCGCATAGCGAGGAGTTGGGAGATGGGTTTTGGCTGTGTCGATCTGGTTGATGACTGACGTCCCGTCTACACCAGACCGACACATGGACTCTTGCATTGTTTTTGGTTTACTGTTTTTCTCTCTCTGGCTCCCCCCCTCTTTGGTGAAATAACCATCATCGTGCATGGCTCGCTCGGAAAGACAAAACATTATCATGACTGAAACGTATGGGGTATTGGAATATCCGATGGTCCCCACTTTAGATACGAACCAATGAATCGAAGACATGGACATGAGTTCATGATCCATAAAAAGTAAAGCCATTGTCCGTCCTTGATGGCATTACCGCTCTTGTGTGCCAAAAAGCTTTGTCTAGCCTGGATTGCACACTTCTAAATAAGAACTATATACTAAGTTAACCGTGTTCATGCCATGCTTAAGCAGGAGAGTCTGGTCATGATCGATAGAACGCCTGCAATGTGAAAGTTGTGATGCCTGATAGCAACACCGAAAACGCCCAATGCTTTAAAGTCAAGTTGTGGATTTGAACCAGGCCGATTATCCCCTTAGGCTCCCCATGCCTTTCATTTCATGACACCATTCAAGCTCGTGATTGTTGACGTTGCAAGCAATGTCCAAATGCTTCTTTTGGGCACCCAATAGGACCAAGAAAATGCCAGATGCAGACCAATGTTGATTCCACCAAAAATTCGAACGAAAAGACAATCAAGAATATAAACTCCCTCTCAATGGGACCTCGAGCACTTTGTCTGAGAAACAACAATGTCCGATGCCTCTATTGAGATCCTCTGAATCAGAGTCTCTGGTATTGACGACATCACGGATGCCCAATGCTCCCGTCTTACTACCCATTGGGACTGCGCCCCAGCTGAGAGGACGCGTAACAGCTTCATCTCGCTCAGCTTGCGTGTAGCCCGGTAGATGGCAAGCGGCACTTAAAGCCATCGAATTGCTTCCTATCAAAGGCATGCCGAATGGCAATTTCCGCATGGATATTCCGAGGAGGAACATCAGAAGGAAAAACCCTAAGAACAGGAGGAACAACATGGCCAGTGGACTGTAGGCAACGGTGGTGATCTCATCCTGCATCGGTACAAGACCGTCGCGTGGGATGATCGTGATGTTTGCAAGAAACACACTCTGAGATACCAGCCAATGCATCAGACCGGATCCAATCAGGAGTGGAATGCCGTACTTGTAGGGAAGATTCAAGAAATATGTGCATTTCTGTTCGCCTTTGGGATCGCTGACACGCAGGTATTTCCGCCCACGACCGGTCGTTACGCTGAAAGTCATCAACTCGCGCGAGAGGAACATGATGGTGAATAAGCTGTTGTAACAGACGTAGAGGAAAGAGAACAGGGCTTGTGGCGCATTGGCGATGAGCGTACTAACAGCAATGGAGGTATTGCCATACCCTGGAAGCTTCCATCCCATCACAAGATTTTGAGGTTTGACCTGTCCGAGTCCAACAGCCCATGCATTTGCGATTGTTTTATCACCTTTGAAACTGTCAATTCCAAGGGCGAGGCATACACTTGTGCCAGCGCCGGCAACCGCAAACACTGTCAACAGAAAACTCCATTGTTTCCAAGTTGCGGCCTCATAGAAGCGGTGTTGTTCTGGCTCGTAACGCATAGAGGATGCGCTATAACCCAGTCTGTCAGAGGCAACGACGCTGGCATGGCTGGACAGGCTCATGTTCTCGCTCGTGCGATCAGGATTACGAATAAAGGAGTCGACAGCATCGCCCACGGTGACGAGAGGTGCCTCGCCAAGTCGAAACGCAACGTAAGCTATACCAAGGACTTTAAGGATGTTGAAACCCAAAACAACAGCCATGAGAATGAGAGAGAAATGCAAATGGCATTCTGACTCGACGTTTTCTGATAGACAGTGATCGACCTCGAAGCCTCCAGTGGACCACTGTTCAGACATATTCTCTAGTTTCGAGATCATTTTGCCACAAGGGATAAAACCGAACTCATTGGGACAACAGGCGCCGGTCTGGTTGGCAAGATCTGGACTATCACAAATCCATGCGAATGCATTATAAGCGGCTGTGATTTTTTCGGGAAATTCGTTGATTGTGACATTCAGGAGTGAGCCCTGGTCCGTCGGCGGGTTCTTAACAACAACGAGAACATTTCGACGGTCTTCAACAAAATCTTTTGCGTACAGACCAATACAATCGGCATTGGATAATCTTTCAAATCCACCAGCTCGTGACTGGATGTCGGTTATATTGCGTTCAGCATCATCCGGAAACTGCTGTCTATCGTACTCCGCTCCATTGACAAAGTCTTCGTCGATGTAGAGAACGTTGTAATTGTTCGTGGCCAGCGCCGAATAGAACACGGAATTATAGCTTCTCATGTCAGCACAAGTCCGGAAACGGAGTATTAGTGGGAGCAAATACACTAGGTGGAGTGGTATTGACGAAATTCCAAGGATCCACCACAGAAGCACTTTTTTCTTTTTCAGAGAGCTCAGGTTTCTGACACTTGGAATACCAATGTCGAGCCATTTCCGCTTCGCGTGTGCTCTGTCGACCTCACTCCTGCTTGGCGATGACAGCAGTTGCATGCAGTAATTTGAGCTGGCGAGCAGGACTGTCGCAACAATATTGAGACCCAGATGAACCCAGGTGTCCTTGGTTTCGGTTGCCTTACAACTACCCCAATAAACCATGTAGACACCCTCCATCATGTTATGGCCTCCAGCCACAATGGCGACTGTCATGACCACATTTGCGACGAGCACGAATGTTGCACAGAACAAGGCGATTTTGGAACTGGCTTGCCAACCACTTCCAAACCATCTTTTGTTCTTCGGAGGTCTATCCAGAGATGAAAGGTAGGGAGTAGGAGTAGGAGTGGTCGCTAGAGGATCGGGCGTGTATGCAGTCGCACTGTTGAGGTCTGGACTGAAATAGCTGCCAGTGTGCTGACTTGAAAGAGGGCCTCTGCCAGTGCTGGGCAGCGGAGTGAGTTGCAAGTCGTCCCTTGAAGTTAAGCCCTGATACGACTGTTTGAACGGGGGCCAGTGAGGAATATTTCTCCTGCGATGTACAAAGTCAGTCAGATTGAGAATGTTGCCTGTGGCACCGGAAGGGGAGGGGTGGTGCTGCGCTTACCTTTTCGCACCTGATTCCATGGTTGCTTTCCGTTCACCACATGGAAGCACAGAATCACGCAGGAACGACCAAGCAGAATGGAATGCAAAGATCGATGGAAAGAAGTACAGTAGAAATGACGAGTAAACAAACCTTACCTCTGAGTAGGTAATCACGAATGGGACGATGTCAATGAGTCCAAAAGGGACCCTTTGGTTAGTATACGTCGAGTCCTGTACGGATAGTATCTCAAGCTCATCAATATTACGGTCCGTTGATCTAGGCTTGTTCTGCCACCAGTGACTTGCGGAGGAGAGGCTTGCTAGGGTAAAAGCCATTTGGCTTTGGTGGTGGGTGTTCTAACGTCTCCCAAGATAGAACTACCAGGGGTGGATTTGGTAAGCACGGGTGGTGCATCGCCATGATCAACAAACATGTTTTAAGTGAGCCAGAGTCCGATTCACCCCACTTCAACTCTAGCTGGGCCGCTGGGCGTCCATCAGTTGCTTTATCAAGCTTAGACTGGGCTGGAGTTGCCGAAACAGCATGTCTTTGCGTTGGCACTTTACCATTCGGGCTGGCTGAAAGCTATCTAAAGGCTTGATATTGGTCTTCGAGGGCAGCTCCGATATACGAATAACAATATCCCTGGGTCCATGGCCCATGGTACAATATACTACACTACACTCTACCCGAGCTCTGGGCACGGACGGTGAAGATCACGGCCACACTCTTTCGAGGGGCGGAGTCTGATCGATGTCTTCAGCGGGCATTTACCGGCTATAGACATTGATTTAGAGAGTAATCAGTCTCAGCCTTCTCCTTCAGGAGATGAATTTGTCTCAGTCACCAATCAAAATTCTGGAGGTAACTGTGTCTGAGGGTGCTACTTTCATTTCCAGCAATTTAGTCATGGTAAATACTGACCCTGGTGAGAAGGAATATTTTATCATAATTGGCGTCGTGTTTAAGTGAAATGACTATCCCAGTGTCTGGACAGTGGAGGCTCGCAGTGCTTGTCGGCCTCCGAAACTGCTTTCAGGGAAGCCTAAATGGAGTGGCCGGGGGTTTCGGAGTCTGAACGTCCAACTTGAACTCCAAGCCCTTGCTTGAGCTGAGCTGTTCAGGTGCTTAGCGCGCCCGAGGGCCCTCACCAATTACGAGTACGCGTCACTGCGTCAGTAGTCGTCCGTGGAAAACACTTTTACTGCAGTGACCGCAGGGTCACAATTCTATCACTGTTTGATGATACGCAGAAACCATTTTCTCTATCATGCTGATTTCTCCTTTTCGACCTCTCTAGTGATGAGATCTCGGAGTCCTCCTAGCCCTTCATGGCTTGACACCTTCAACACCTTTCTCTCTTGGCTGTCGAGGCCAACAAATTGTTCTGGTAGCACAGTGTTGAAGTCGAACTCTTTCTCTTCCTGTAAAGCCAACTCTACTGCTCCAGCGAACTTCGCAGGATGTGCTGTTGACAGTGAGACAATTGGGACATCAGCTCTATCCGTGCCTGCGATTTCACGCAAACTCGCTGCCACTCCGATGGCCGAATGAGGATCCAGAACATATTTGCTCTTGGCGATCAGCTTGCCTTGATAGCTTCCTTTTATCGTCTCCAAGGTCTCGGCGTTGCTGACGCGGTGCGTACTGAAAATGTGTCTCGCCTTGTTCAGAATTTCCGGCTCCACGGTAAATGATCCCGTCTGCTTCAACGACTGGAACAAGTCGTTCAGCTTCCCACCCGCGGCTCGAACTGAAGATTCAAGTCCATCTGATGGATTGCTTTCCAACTCATATTCAAGCGTCAAGTGCCACAGAAGGCGTTCGAAGTTCGAAGACACAAGGATGTCCATTGCAGGACTGTATGTCTCTTTAACACCGTCTTCGTGAGCTTGAGCTCCATCCTCCTTGAGTCCCGCGTGTGCTTCACTGGCAGGTGTTTCCTTTTTAGAGTAAGACCCAGTCTTCCAGAATCGGTGTAAAATGTCGTTTTCATTCGTCGCGATGACCAGCTTTGCAACCGGCAGACCCATCCTCTTTGCGTAATATCCCGCCAATATATCACCAAAGTTACCCGTGGGGACCACAAATTTGACCTGCTGAAGGTCTGGTCTTTGCTTGAGGAGTTGAAAATAGGCATAGAAGTAGTATGTGATCTGGGCCAAGATACGAGCCCAATTGATGGAGTTCACCGCCGCCAAATGGTGGATTTTGTTCATTTCTGGGTCCGCGAACAGTGCTTTCACATAGTCCTGACAGTCATCAAACGTCCCCTGGACCGAGATGCAGTGTACATTGGGGTCCAGAACTGTCGTCATCTGTGCCTCTTGCACGGGCGAGACCTTTCCATCGGGGAATGTGATGAAGATACTCACATCCTTCTTGCCTCGAAGACCGTAGATTGCTGCAGATCCTGTATCTCCAGAAGTTGCTCCGATGACTGTCAAATGGTGTCTCGGCTGGCCCTGCTCAAGCTTCTGGTTTTTTCGGACCAAGAAAAACTCAAACAGATTTCCCAGAAATTGAAGAGCAACATCTTTGAAGGCGAACGTCGGCCCATGGAACAACTCTAACAGATGGAGGTCTTTCTTCTCGTCCAGGGTCACCAAAGGGACAGTGTCGGGGTGTCTGAAAGTCGAATAACTCTGATCGACGATGGAACGAAGTTCATCGTTCGATATTTCGTGGTCGTCCACATATAGCCTGATAACCTGATATGCAAGCTCTGCGAACGACAGATCTTTCCACTCTTGATATTTGGAGCGGACATCTGGTACTTCATGAGGGTGGAACAATCCGCCGTCGGATGCCAACCCTTTCAGGACAACCTCTTCGAAACTGAAAAATTCCTGTAGACTCGAATCATGGTAGCGAGTGCTAGAGTATTTTGAGTTGTTGTGTACCATTTCGTCTCTGGTTGGGAAGGAAGGTCCTGAGATCGTCCTTTCAAGTCTCAAGAAACGAATCACAATTAGTCCCTATCACTAGTTGCTCTTTTCAGCGTGAACTCGAGTCTGACTGTCGAAGAAAAGGCGTCTAGAGATATAGCTCCCGATTTCACAGAATGTCATAGCTTAATACAAAATTCGAGTCACGGCTCCCGCCATGTTTGATGCCAAGAGTCACCGGGCTAGTCCATAAATGGGTTAGAGACTGAGCCTTGAAGAGGGTTCCTCACGCCTTGTTGCATTTCTTCCTCTACAGATGTTCCAGTCTGAGAATTCTAAGACCACACGTATCTAGCTGGTGAAAGTGCCGTATAACCCGGTCTGCCTAATTGGAGCATGTGAACCCTCGAGGGCAGTTTCATGAACAAGAATTCCCGTCGGATATGGAAGACTACCAGGGCAGGGCAAAGAACAAAAACCAGCAGTGAGACCGTTACAAATACTGAACTAGCATGCCGTGAATACACCAGTGTCACCTAGGTATCTTCACAAGACGGCCTGGAGTACATAGGTACTCATCAGGGAATGTTGAATGTAGCATCAAACAATGGACTCGTCTTCAGGATCTCAAATGCCTTCATTGGTTTTCCACAACTACAATCTTGTTATGTAGCGTACGCTCGTGTCAATCTCAATGACTCGGAGCACATGCTCAGAAATTGGTATTTGCCGAGTCGCCGCCACGCGCCAACAGTGAATGACGAGTATCATCGGCTTTCGATGGAGGTAAAGTAGCTGCCTTCAAGTGAATGCAAGGCCCGGCTAATGCCTTCGAAAACGCCAAGACTCCAGCAAACTTTGTGCCCCAATGCGCACTAGCGTGTTTTCAAAGATTTTTTTCCTCCATCTATAAATTCATCTTCTGCGCCCTGATCTCTCTTCTTTTTTTTCTTCATAAGACACATACTTGTACGCATCCCACCCCCTACATTTTGGCCCGTCAAACAATGAATACTGACTCCCTCTGCAGCAAAGAATCTCTTTTTAGTAAACGTCCTTCTCTGAGTTGCTTACAGCAGCCACAGAACCTTACCCTGGTTGATGATATGTGCCCCTCGGTACCCTAGAGTGAAGCCTTATGTTACTCTCGACAGCTTTTCCTGCTCCTTCCTTCGGGTCGGGCTCGAAACAGAGAGTGGTGATGATCTTTGACGTGCGCTTGGGGTCTGGCTTCGTGCCGCTCGGCGTGCGAGGTACCGAGGGCCTTTCTGACAGGCCCCAATACTACACTTTTCATGAATCTCTGGACCTTTGGTGGCTGGAATTTGAGAAGAGTTCGATTCTACATGGAATATGGCTGCCACTGAGAGGACACTGCGAGACCGCTGTGAATTGAGACGAAAACTCTTGATGGGTTTCCTGCCTGCACTGCCAAACCGTAATTGACAAGCATGACCGGGCTTCATCGAGTCACCGAGCACGAGAATCAAGACAGGGTATCATGTAACGCTTCTGCTTGCTGATGGCCTGAGGAACGAAAATCCCTGCGAGATTAGAGGAGGCGACATGCAAGTGAGGAGTTTTCTCGCTACCGACATCCACTGGCGCAGGGGATACGATCGACAAGGGGAATGAGATCTGCTAAGTAACACTCCGGACAGATGAGGCTGCTCCTCTTCACAGCGTCTTCTCGCAAGAATAATCCTCATCAACAAAGCCCAGCATCTGCAGCACTCCGTTCCGTTTCGATTTCAAAAGCCGCGCCTCCGTGATGCCCTCACCGCTTGCTGTGCCTCAAAAATCTTATGGAGCTGTGGACAATCAATCCGCGCCGGACGCTGACCTGTGAGCTGAACATGTCATCTGCGACTTGATTCCTCGAGACCGGGAGTCCTTGCTGCTGCTGCTGCTGCTGCTACTGCTGCTACACTCGTCTCACATCACCTACTTTGTATTTTATTTACCTCAATAATTCTATCTTCAGACGCGCAGGACACCACCTTGAGCAACCCGGACCAAGCACATTGATAGGTTACAATACTACCTGTCGTTAGGAGAATGGTGTAAGTGTAGATAAGTGTCATTGGACAGTGGAAATCTTGCATGAATATCATTTGAACGAGTGACCACTAAAAGGGCCATCTCAGAACTGGATCTCTGCCTGTGCAGCCTTGGTTTCAGTTTTCCCCTCCTCTCCCATGACTTGATTTTTGGGGCGTCCCTTCCTGTCAACCCGCTCATCTCTAGGATCAAAGCCACCATTCCCCCAAAGCGCCCACTCTGGTGTCTCCGCACAGTAGTCTTCAGGACCAAAGTCCGCACCACTGTCTAACAGTTTGAAGAACTTATTGTAGTCGATGATCGTGTTCCATTTGCCATTGATGTGGAAGCGTTTGCTGGCGAGCAGAACACAGCAACTGTGCGCATGCTCGGCTCCAATTCCATATTCTAGGCCACGTTTTGCAAGCGCCTTGTCCAAGGCCTCGACAAAAGTCACGACCTCTTCGTAGAACGGGATGTTCTGCATTGTCAGAGAAGAGGCCGGGCCCGTGAAAGTGGCGCCCTTGATCTCAATAAAGCACGGGAGGCCTTTGGCAACAAGATCGGCATAACCTTCGACCTCGTCCTCGACATTGAAGCCCTTGACCAATGTGAGACGGAAGACAGTTCGCTGTACAAACCTTTTTTCCCGAAGAATGTCAAGACAGGTCTGAAACCGTTCCCAGAAGTCTCGGTGTAGTGGTCTGTCAATCTTGCGCAGACTGTCCCGATTGCTAGCATCGATACTCACATATAGCTGCGTGACCCGCTGGAGTTCCTGTAGCTGCTGTGGATGCTGAGCATTGCATACGAGAAAGCTCGAAATGTGTTCACTGTGAAGGAGACCCACGAATTCGTTGATGCGAGGATAGAAAATCGGCTCACCTACAAGACTCAAGGCGCAGTGCCGAATGCGCATGGCCTCCTCAAACCGGTCACTTCGCACGCCTGGTACGCCTCGCATCATCTTGATTTTCTTGTAGTGACCTTCCTTTGCGCCATCAAAAATCATCTGAGGATCATCAACTTCCCACCTCCATGTTGTGGAAACAGGATTAGTCCCGTGCCGCCAACAGAAAACACATTTGTTGCTGCATGATAGAGACGGGGTTGTTTCCATGCACAAGTGGGAGGCTATGCCATAAAACGAGTTCTTGTAACATGAACCACGCCCGCGAAGCGCAGACTTCGTCCACCGGCAGATTTTGACGCCAGAATGCGACCCAACGATCGTGTAGCCTTGTTTAGTCAATGCAGCGTATGTGGGCGACTCTTTCGGCACCATGGCTTTTAACGGGGCAGTTCCAGCGGGCTTAGATGATGAATATGTCGTAAAGTCAACTGCCAGTGGTAGACCACCCGCGCCGCCAACATCTTCCAAGTCAGTTGCCTTTGCAAGCTTGCGTCTTTTATTCCGACCGGAGTCAGGAAAGTCAACTTCTGGATCATCCTCGAAGACTTCCTCTTCATCTTCGCTCTCAATGGCGTCACCACTACCAGGAACACCTTCACCAAGGGAGCCAGTGGAGATCAAGTCCTCCAAAACACTGGTGATACCATTGACCCAGTCCCCCAAGGCTTGGTTGACATTGCTCTTCACGTCTCCCAGGCCAACGGGATATGCCCTCTTCCTACCTGTCAATTTGGCCATCCAACGATCCACCTCCAGTGCTTGTGTGCAGAAACCCTTCTCTTCACTTGGCCATCCTTCTTTGTCCCCGATTCCAAACACACTGTATCCTGCTAGGACCGAGAGGGAGGCAGTATCGATCCGGAAGTCATTGTGAGTCTCGTTGAGGTGCTCAAGGAAAGTGGTTAGAATCGTGTCAATGTCGTAAGAGGGAATCAAGAGTAGGTACAAAAAGCGAGTACCTGGGCGCGGTGTTGAAATCTTGGGTCCCGATATGAAGTAATCATCTAAGTCAACATATGAAAGATCATGGGTCTCTGGCTTGAGAACAACATCGGTCTCAGTCGAAAACCTTTCGAGTCTCTCTGCCACGGCCATGGAGAGCTGTTCGGTGGTTCCAGTCAGAGAGGAGAAGAATATCAATGGTTGGATGGAGAGAGGGTCTGATTGTGATGTGGCATCCTTTCCGGTTCCTGCTGCAACGGGCTTCCGTCCAGCGACGACTCGTGCTGCAGAGCGAGGCTTGCCTTTCTGTGGCAGGTTGGGTTGTGAACTCTTGCCTTGTCGAGCGGTAGCATTTGAGCTCAAGGGAGGAATGGTGTCGATTTCAGTCTGGGGAAGCCAATTGGCCTTCTCGACTGCAGGGGAGGATGTCTGTGGTGTGATTCTGACGGTTAGGCTGCGGCGGACAAGAACCACGAGCAGCGCGACCAGGGTGAGTGCCGTTGCGACGATGCGATGGTCATGCCAGACGGTCAAGACTTGGTCCAACCAATCTGCAAGAATGACCGGCATCGCTCCGCCCTCGCCTAGATCCATGCTGTCTGTTTTCGTGCGTCTGCAGGAACAATCTGATCTGACTCCTTGAGATTGTCGACATTTACAAATCTTCTAGTACGACGGTCAAGTGGGGAAATTTCGATTGTGCGGAGTAAAGTACGTCAAGCGCATTTTCTCGCAGGTGACGAATCTTGTTGACGGTTCCTTCATCTATAGACCTGCAGCGATTATCAATGCCGATTTCAAATCAATATGCTGGTTTATGCTATGGTTCTATCTATGAGCGTATCAAGTCGTTGATCAAATGGCCTCTCGGGGTATATTTGCGAGAAGCTTGCCTCCCAATGTGATATGATAACCTCCAAAACACCGTGGCTGAATGGCTACTGGGAGTTGGGATCCTCAGAATGCCTTATGCAAATGCCTTGACCAGTGAATCACACATGATGGTGATACCTCGTCTCCCTGCTTCCAGTACCCCATCCATGCCAATAAATGGATGGGGCACACCTTGTATAACATGCAAATCCGCTTCAACCCCATTGTCCCTCAATTTTCTGACATAGTTTTCACCATCGCTTCTCAGGACATCTAATTCGGCCACAATGATGACGGCGGGCGGAAGGGACGCAAACAATTCGTCCGAGGCGAGAAGGGGAGACGCCTCCCTATGTGAACAGTCCACCTTGTCGGGCAAATAATGATCACGGTACCACAACATCTTCCTCGAAGGCAAACCTGCGGTGAATTCCAAATCCTTCCATGTTGGATTTGTTGTTGGTGTCGCAGTGTTATCCGTGATTGGTACGGCAAGGACCTGTGAACGAATTGTCACACCCGGCTGAGGGTTCAGCACCACTTTCTGTGCTATCACGGCAGCGATGTTAGAACCTGCCGACGCACCACTGAACGCAATTCTGTCGAGATCCAGGTTGAGAATTTCAGCTCCATCCGACGTGGCCCATAGAAATGACTCCCAGGAATCGTGGATCGCAGCGGGCCAAGCATGTTCTGGCGCAAGTCTGTGGGTGCACTCAGATCAGAAGTCTGCTCAAGCTCAATGTGAAAGGGAGATGCTTTTAGGACCAGTGGTAGAGAGGGACCGGACTCAAACAACGGGGTAGAAATGCAGCTAACCTGTAGTCAGTTGTCATCACAACAGCATTTGCACGAATACACATGTTGGTGCAGATGGTATTCTCGGAAGTGATGTCCCCGCATACCCAACCTCCGCCATGATGGTAGACAACGAGTGGCCAACCTCCTGGCCTAGGCGGGGTTCCTGGTGGGGTGAAAGTTCGAATCCTGATATCAGGTCCAAAGGTTTGGCGTCGCCGGATGGTGAATTCTTGGGTTTTTCCAACGGGGAGGGGTTTGCTGTAGCAAACGACACCTCCACTTCTAGCAGCTGAGAGTGATAACTGATGGACGCGAGGGTTGTTTATGAGATACTTGTTGTAGAAGTCGACATATTCTTTGTGGAGTCTGTCCTTTACACTAGAATGCAGTGGCCATAGCTGGGCGACCATGTTGACACCAAGAAATTCGGGTCTGGTGTCATGAGGTCGAGGAGGAAGGCCAGAAGAGTCATTGAAAGCTGAGGAGGAAGTTGTCGATGTTCATATACAGTGGCGGAGAGAGTTTCACTGTTCCACAGCTACCGATGGAAGAGGCGTGGGAGCTTGATTTGAGGTGCAGTGATGGGTCAACCCGACGGCTGTCAGGCGAGCAGGGTTTCGGTTGACTTTAGCCTCGACTAGGCTTTTGCATCGTACAGGGATCACACGTTGCGGGCTCTGTATCTCTCGACATCTTTTGAAGGGTCTGACTATGTGTGGAGGCCGTCAAATCAGAAGCAAGTGGCGCTCATCTCCGGAACGGGATTTTTTCATTGGTGACTGGTGACTTGGGAGAAACGCAATATCAAGGTCCAGGTCAGAAAGCTGTGATCAATGCACGTCCTCCCGAACAAGGACGCCATCCCCGTGCGATGCATAAAACCGCGTGAAGCCCTGGGCAGGAGCACACACTGCGTCACGCTATGACTGCTACCACCGTGGCTAACCGTTTACTCCATAGTCAGTTGGTAGAGACTTGGTAGAAACAAAAGTGGCCCGCTAGATAGCAGCTCCGAATCGAGTCAAGTGACCGGCAGACTCGACCAGAAGAGGCTACTAGTATTAGGTACCTACGAGGCACTGTAGGACAAGTACCTGGTACTCGAGAGCGAGCCAATGCCGACCAGATTCACAGGAATATCACCCATGCTCGAGTTTTGCCGAGCCTGTAATGGTGTCAAGCGAGGTGCTTTGCTGGCCAGCTGGTTAATGTTGGTTCAATCGGAGAATAAACCACTCCAGTGGCATCGACCAGGGACACCACTCCACCGTGGGAGAGATGTGCAAGACGCAGTGTTATTGGGAATGGAATGCCCCCACCATGGGACAAGCGAGGTCGAGACGGGCAAATACACAAATCCGATGGGTCGGATGGGTCGAATGTGCCCAACGACTAGAAGAGTCGGTCTTGCCGTATCTCAAATCGAATGCTCCTTCAGTGGAAGAATAGCCATGAAGCACGAAATAAAATACATACTTGGGTACTGTAGATATCCGTCTGAAGCACAAGATGGTTGACACGAAGTATTGCTGCCCATTGACGACCGATGTGTCACCTTTCAGGTTCGTGCACCAGGAGCCACTGGTATGCAAACTCAAAGAACCGACTCCTTGACGCTTGAAGAGCAAAGTTTGGGTCCTCATCGACCTACCAAGCCACCGGGTCGAGGACTCGATGTCGGTGAACCTTGAACTTGAACCTGAACCTGAGAAGTCTCGGCAACAAACTTGTTAGGCTTCAACTACAACTAAGTAACTACACCTGCGGGCACTTTACGTTGACACTGCCCACAATGCCCAGTTAAAGATGAAACCCCCCTCGCTCCCCTCCATCCCCCAGGGCCATCCAGACGACAGCCCGAGGGGCCTATCTTGCCCCCAACGAACTAGCCCCAGGCATGGATGCGTCCACGACGATCTCCCAACTACCAAGTCACTCTTGATCTAATGCTACTCCATACCGAAACGGTGACTCGTACAGGTCGTATTGAAGGTTTGCTTTAGCAAGGGCTGCAGTCAACATGGCTGACCATCCGTGATTCTTTCCCTGATTTTTCACAACCGGTGCCAGCCTGTCGGTGCCTGTAACCTCACACTCGGAACCGGGGCTTCGCTCTCATTATTCGTTCAAGCGAGCCACGAGGCGAGAGGGCCTGAACAACAGACCAAGATCACGGCAGAGGAAACAAAGCCGTTTGGGACTTTGAGCAGAGCAGCTCAACTGGAGCACTGTCTGAATCTCATCCACACTTTCATTTTTCTTGAAAGACTCTATAACCTGAGTGTCATAGTCGGCGATTTCTAACAGAGCAGCAATAATGGCATTACTGATTGCCGTCCCTACGGATTAGTGGGGGACTGGGCCGTGGCGTCCAAAGATTGTTTCAGGCTGTCGGATCATGGATCGTACTAATCCCATCCGCCACGATTCCTATTTCGACTGATTCACGACTGTTCTAAGTTTACTGGTCTGGCTTGTCTTCCAATGGAAAGTTTGACGTCGGTGTGATTGTTCGGAAATCGTCGATGGGACTGAACGTCACCTTCTTTTTGACAGCATGAACCACCTTGCCGATCCCATTTTCCAATGCGTGAAAAACACCCGAACTTGCAGAACTTTGGGAGCCGCTGTCATCGCTAGGGCTGAAACTACCGTGGCTGGTACTGCTCGTCAGGTTATCCGCACTTTCCCTCTCTTCTCGAAGAACGACAGCTCGACCTTCGTACAGGTTCATATCGGCCCCAATTCCAGAAACCGCGAGTGTTTTTGGCAATGCATCGACACCCACTTTCACGTCCGTGCTTGAGAGTTCTTCGCCCACTGTCTGGGTGTCGGAAGTCGGTGAAGAATTGATCTCTTCTCGGATGCTCCTGCCGCGCAGACGACGGGATTTTGCGCTGCTAGCCTCACTAGCACTAGGGGAAGGCCTTCCGCCAGAATCCTTAACATCTGATAAACTTTCCTTTTCTTCCTCATCAATGACATCTAGTGGATATCGTTTCGTCAATAAGTTGCTATTGATATCTGACACTTCTGATCCTCCAGAAGAAAGTGCTTGTGTCCTGGCCCGGTCAATTTCCGCGTCTCGGCCTTGTACCGGCGCTTCCGCAGCTGGAAGATATCGACTTGAACCCTCAGCAGTGCCTCTCGTGAAATCCCTTGGTCCCAATGAGCGTGGGGACGAGGATTTGAAATCATCAAAAGCCGTACCATCCGTCAGAGGTGTGGAAGCACTAGAGCTAATCTTTTGATATGCCACATCTTGTGGGCCGTCACACTCTCCTGAGTCTGACGTCGTGGCTGAATAGGAATAATCTGGTGTCAATTGATAGTCAAAATCATGAGCAGTGGTGGTGCCGGGTCTTCGTTTTGGGATCTTCTGGATATCTTGTGCCTCGATTTCAGGTATCGTGTCTTTCATGCCCCCAGTTACAGTTTTTGCACTGGGACGAGTGTCCATGATTGTGCCTTCGACATACTCGTATTGAACATCGCCATCCGACACCATCTGATGTGGGACGCCTTCCCGAACAACATTTCGCAATCGTTGTGGTCGAGCATGGGCTGGGTCACTCGTCGACGTAGACAATCGTTTTGAGGAGCGCAGTGGGACTGAAGGAGTACGCACATTGCTGAATGTTGGCGAGGCTGATTCAGGGATAGTTACCTCCCGCGCTCGATTCGCCCCTTCCATATATTCACTGCTGGAAGAAGGCTGGTTTATAAAGAGGTCTGAAAGGGTGTCATCCATATTCTGGACCTTCAAAGACCCCTCTCGCCGTTCCTTGATTGGTTGTTGAAGAAATGAACTTGGTGAACCTTCGCCTCTCTCCAGCCGCCGCCGCACGAGAAAGTCTTGCACGGGCTGTCCAGTGTTCAGTCTTATTCCAGGGGTATCGGCAAAGTCCGGTGATTGACTGCTGTCTGGAGATTGCTGCGCAGACCCAGAAGAACCTTGGCTTCTCCAGGAAGTCCCAGACCCCGATGAACTCGCCACAGATGCATTGGCACAACCTTCTATGCTTCTCAGTTGTTCCACATCATCCAGATCTGAATGTTTTCCTTGGCCATTAGTACTTTCTGCTCTGTGCGATGGTCCAATGACTACATCTCGAGTGGGATTAGCTGGTCCCGGAGACGAGTTCGTTGGAGATTGGCGTTTAGGCACATGAAGAGGGTCTGCCGTTATGGTAGAATGGCTGTACTGAAAAGGCAGTACTGTTGAATATTTGGACATTTCGACGTGATCGTATCACCGTGATGCTTCCACAGGACACGGCATAGCCAATGTTGGTCAACTAATATCTTCGACTGACGACGTGATGAGCAGTAGAGTCGGCTGGGAGTTGCCATGTTCGGATGGTGTCCAATGGCCACGGACACTGTTTCCAGGAGGCAGCAGGGATCATTGCAATTCCTGTGCCGCACATCGAGTGAAAACGTCACGACCCAAGATTTACCAGCCTCGATCAGATCACCCTAGGTCGATATCTCTTGCCCCTGGAGACTAAAAGTGATCCTTGTTCTCGACCTGTGCAATGTCGGATATTTCTGTTCCAGCATTATGCCTGCTTAGTCTTTACTTGAATTCCTACTCGGTAGTCACGGCAAAGTTCAACTCTGACGTCAGTATCGTGGCCTCCGTCTCGCCTGAACCGTCAATGCGGAACAATCTCAGATCACTTCACCGCCATCCACCAGAGTTGGGATGCGGCGGCTCGCTGTGATCAGAAAGGGGCCACTAGGACAAGATATAGTAGTACTTCAATTTTGAGCTCCAGTACATTCCTACCCCTGTGGGGAGCATCCACTGGGACATTTCGTAATCAGTGAGGGAGATCACGTACGAATCAACCACCTTTCCACCACCTTTGCGAGCTCGAGATTCCTGGTTCGGACGAATATATATAGGGAGTTATCGACTGCCTTGGCTAGCTCTAGTAGAGGTCTCTGACTAGTACCTTACTAGCCCGTTGTACTTGTTCAGTGATTGTTTTGAATACTTCTAGATTGTGAACATTGTCGATCTTGTGGAATCATAACCATATACATAGTGAAGAAGATAAAAATGAAAGACAATACATAAACTACCGGCATCAGCGCTCACTCTTCTTTCGTCCCTTGATATCAAGCTTCTCTGCCTCGAATAATTCGCCACTTACACCGTGGTGCTGGTGGGTACGTCGCTTATGGTGTGATAGGTGAATGTCTCTATGTACTTAAGCGACCGAAATAAAGAACTCTTCTCTCAAATTGCTCCTTTTCCATCGCCGGCCGGGTAATCCATCCTTATACAAGGGTGAGTGGGAGGATACTAGAGACGAAGGCAAGAATACGAGGAAGTGGTATTGTCGATATTTAAAACCCACTAAGTTTCGATCATCAATCCCCGAACCGTGATCTTTATGAAGATGAAGACATTGTGGAGACAGCCAAGGAGAATTTTGTTTTCTTGCGATATAACAAAGAAGATCTGAGGGCCAGTCAATACGAGCAATACCGCTTTCAAGCATATGAAGGAATCGGGCCTCTGGTCAGCATATTGGGCGTGAGTCAATCCTATCGGGTGCTACTTGGCATGCCATACCGACCAGTGCGCGAAACGATACACAGACCGCATCACGAAATAGCCGAATGAATGGCACCTACATAGTTGGTTGACAATTCGTCAAAACACTTGGGAGTGATGCGTCACGAGATCCTAATATATCCAACAATGGACGGAGGTTTCTGGTTGTCAACAACGCAGTTCTCTAGAACACAATTTAGCGATGGGCCGGTATTTGAAAGGGGTATCACCAAACAGTAAATTCGAGCTTCATTCTTCCTGCAAATGGGTGACGGAAGTTGAGTCGAGTCATGAAGAGTGTTGTCCTGACTTGCCAAGTCGGTGGAATGCATCACGCTGAATCAACCAGGTCTTATTTTTCCACAGACACATCAAGTTTATCCGAAGCTGTCTGTTTGTAGGCAATAGCAACCATTGATAATTTCGATATTATGGATATCACTGAAGAATGCTTGTTATATCTGTGGAACAAGAAGCAGAAACACAACATCAACTCAATCTGACCCAGCAATCAGCGCTCGCTTTTCTTTCGACTTTTCACATCAAGTTTCTCAGTATCGTATCTGGCACCTATTACATGATGTCGTGTGTTGATATGAGAATTGTAGGTTGGGGCATGAGTGAAAGTATGTGGGCAACCTTGAGACGCGAAGAGACATGGTCTTTCGGAATTGACGCTTCTCATGTCCTTGTCGTGCTGCGTTCTCAGATGTGCCTTCCAAACTTGGAATTTCTTGAAAATCTCGTCACTGCCGCATTCAGTGACCCTTGGACATAAACCATCCTCCACAAACTTATGTCTTCTACGTAGATGTTCATTCAGGTGCCACGTGCTGCTGAAGTGCCATCGCCACCTATACCCAGGGCGACGTGTGGGCAAGGGAATGGCTTCTTATTCGACGGAGGTGGTGGCTACGCTTTCCATTAATAGCTTCTTTTCCCGCCTTTTCGATATTATCAAGACATTTTTCGGGGTGGTTTTCATAATATAGATGGGATGTTGCGACGAATGGACAGTTTGAACACCGGAATACCATTAGAGACGGCGCATCCCGGGTATTATCAGACTCGACGCGAGTTGCAATGTGTGCTTCCGCGATATCGATATTGCGGCCGCGGTTGTAACCGACCATATTGTATCGAGAAAGATAAAGAACCCAGTCAGTTCCACTCAGTAGGAACGGGTCGGTGGCCTGCGTAGTCTCGTCAACGAGGGGTGTTTGCAGAGATGACGAAATCATGTCCATGCTGTCCTCCAATAGAACATTCTTGTCGTTGTCCTTCTTGGACGCAGGATCCTGTCTGAGACTTTCAAATATGGTCAGCGTAGAAGCAGACGAACTATTGGGGTTGTTGGCTTCGAGATCATCTTCCATCAGAGTAGTATCCTCGAGATCGGCTTCTATCGAAGCAGAGTCCTCAAAATCATCTTCCGACGAAGCAGCCTCCTCGAGATCATCTTCAACAAGTGTATGGTCCTCAAGCAATGGAGGTCGCATGGTATTGCTTGCCTCAGTGTTCAGTGTTGTATCTGACTGACGACCTGACCGACGAAGTGGCTGTAGAGAAACTGAAAGCGAATAAGGAATGTCTGAGGGTGTGATGGGCGTGTGATGTACGGCCCGACCGACGAGGTACCTGTATAGAGGTTGAAGACGAATTGGGAATGCCTGAGGCTAGGATGGGCTTGCGAACATAATCGTTGTATGGCGGTTTGTGAGTGATAGTGGCTGGATGTCCTGGATCATCTCTTTGCTGGGTGCGATAAATACGATTAACTCGACGTCCAGCCCTCTCCCGAACATGCTGCCATTCATTGTAAGGAGCCTTATCACTCGGCGGTGGCGATACACCCAAGTAGAAATCGAGAGGATATCCAGATTCTCTGATTGACTCATCCTGATTCTCACGAATATACTTCGAAATGAGGTGTGACTTTGCCGAACGTGGAGGACGTTGTATGATCCAGGTACCTGTACCAGTAGCCGATCAACAGCAGTATCTTTGAGTAGTGCTTTATGCGTAACAAGATCTTCGTCTTGCTGCTTGTTATCACCCTTACTCATTTTCACACTGCTATAACCCTGTGCTCGAGCTATGCCTTCGTGTGCAGTGCGCATCAGTCCTGGATCGACATCGGCGAGGTCGTGGGCCCCCCCCTCCCTTCTCATATCATGGATCCGAAGGTAATTAAGATATCCAGCTAAATCACCCTTTTTTTCGAACGTGGAATGGACTTGTTGGTAAGTAGCCGGTTTCTGAATCACCAGCTTACCCCAGTTTCTCCCGTCAATGGCCAACACCAAAGGATATGTGGGACATTTCCACCGAAGTCGGCGATCCCTGCGGAGGTACGCGGCGTGGAGGACCTCCTCAAGCGTGCTACCATCCAAGAATAGCCCGTGTCTGAGACTGTGTGCCATCAAGAGGAGAATGATATCCGCGGCGTTAAGGTCCCAAGATCGAAACGTAGCGGACCAGCTGATCTCGCGAGATGGAGACTCAAAATACTTGAAGATAATGGCACAGCGTGTGCGATTGTCGACGGAGAACCTGCGGGCAGATAATCAGCAATGGGGGAATGGCAACAGGATCAATTTCCATACTTCTCGCCTTTCTCGTACTTGACAATCACACGAATAACGACATTGGTGACCGGCTCCTCTGTCCCTTCACTCTCGAGGGATAGCTCGACGTCTTCGAATTTCATGTATAGTTGGCGGCCTACACATTCAGTAAGAAGGTGCAACGACCTTACCGACACGACAGTCAACCGCTGCCATAAGTGCGAAAGAAATGACTTTAGAAAGGGAGACATCGAACCCCGGGGATCCACGATCGAAAACAACTTTGAACCATGTGCCCATCAGTTTCGGAGGATATTGAACGTGACAAAATGTCCTGAATTCCAAACGCCACGGATGAGTCTGAGAGGGTCTGCCATAACCAAGACTTAACCTCAAGATCCATATTGGGTGTGAACGACTAAATCGGGTAGTCTGAGGCGTTGATGGTTTTGATGAAATTGATGGCGCTCTTGAATGTTGACTCCGACGGGGTGGTTTGTTCTACGCCGGAAGGGTTGACATACTGGATCGTTTCATTGAGGAAACGTCTCAAATGCATGGCCTGGGGCCCATTTGTTGGAAAATTTGGCTGGCGTTGTACCCAAGTATACCAGATGCTCTGATAATGGACAAGTGGCCTCTGCATCCCGACAGATGCCATGGTGAGCTCTCGGCTGTCCCACTCACGTCTGGTCGCATCGCGGTCCTGATGCTTGTTCGCCATCATTTGCAAGGGAGTTTTCGAAGGCTTTTCCTCCCATACCTTCTTCTTTGGGGGTCTTTTGTCGTAATCCTCGGCGTCCCAATCAGCTGCATCATTGTTCAATGTGGCTGTTGAATCTGGACTTCGTTTACGCCGAGGCATGATGAAGTGAATGAGTAGAAGAGTTATATTCGAGATATTAGGAAATAAACTGGGAACAGAGGGAGATCATGGCTCCTTACCTAGTACTAACATGGGGACTAGCCGGGATATAGTGGTCTGAACGCTCCAAACTGCACGAGCAGAGGCAAAGAGAGTGTTGACGAAGCGGAATCCAAAGTAACTAACCAAAGAAATGGCAGCGGAAAGAAAGAGACGACAGTGGATCCAAGGTGACAGTCAATTCAGAGAGACGATGGCCGGCTGAAGAAGACTGTAGCCGTAATAATCATTAGAGAATGTGATCAAGCTGAGAGACGGACAAAGAACGGCAGGAGGAGGAGGAGGAGTACTACGGAGGCGTCTGAGAATGGAAGGAGCAGAAGATTGAGTGGAGGGTAACGTGATAGGATGGGGCACGTGCTGTTTTCTCCGATCGGAAGGCGCGCCGTTGAACCCTTGATCATGTGGAAGTGTAGAGAGGAGGAAGGAGCATACCGATTGGTTTTCGGGAAGGATTGTGATCATATAACAGCCGGCGGGATAACCAGAAGTGCAACCGTAGAAGAGTTGGCTGTCTGACTGCGTCCAAGGCCTAACTGGCCTTTCGAAATGGAAACAAATCCATGACTATTAGTTACCTAGGGCAAGCGGTGTGAGCCAGCTAGCCTTTGACTTGCTGACCCTTGAGATTGGAAACGATACCATGACCACTGGTTATCTGAGTGTACCGGGCGTGAGTAAACTGAACTGTAATCAGCTGGGTATTGGAGATGGAAGCGATCCCGCAACAATTGGTTATCTGAGTTGAGGAGCTCGACCATACCTTGTGGGGGAATGCGATCGCACAGAAGATAACGAGTTGTTGTACCCCAGCATAGGAGGAACCGGTCCGCCACGTCGGAGGAGTGAGACTGCACGCAATGGTTGGTAGTATGAGTAGAGGAGAGATCTGTGTACCGGACAGGCCTGTTTGGGGAGAGTTGGACACATCGCAAGGATCACAAAGTGAAAAGTACAGCCAGAGATGGTTATGGTGTGCTCAACCAAATGCAGCTCCAACTCCATCCTGTCTCTTCCTAATAATCTTGAAGTCTCCTGACCTCGGCATCCCTAATCGCCTTCTCAATCTGAGCCTTCTGGTCTGGATTAAACTTATTAGTCTTCATGGACTGTGCGATGGTCTGGGAGAGATGGACAGGCCACAGAATTTCGCTAGAGGGCTTAGTTCGCCCTTCCAACCTGGAGCGCGTGCCTGTGACTTTGCCCAATCCACAAGAACCACCTCTTACCCCTCGCGTTTATGCTCTGGCTCTATCGTTCCACAGATAATACAGAACACTTGAGTTTGATGTTGGACCAGGCTTCTTGCCTCATCCATTGGGTCGACCAATCCTTGACGCGTTGTTTGAGATAGTTCTGTGCCATGTTTCGTAGTTGCTCGTCATGATGCTCACTATAGATCCCACTGAGCAATGTCCACGAGTATTATTTATGGAGGAGCTGACCACGGTCTGGACCATAACCTTTTTGAACAAATGCGAGCTTTGTCGTTTTTCGTTTGACAAGAACTTGAGTTTCGATGTCGAGGTATGCTTTCATGTCAGGAACGTCGATCCGGTATCCACTAGATTCTCTTCGGATCCGAGATTGAATTTGTAGAGGCTGTTGCGAGCGTTGGCAGTGGGCCAGTGAGCAATATGAAAGTCGAAATCAGATTTAGTAGTTGGATAGTGACAACATGAAGAAATCCTGATTTCTGCTTTCACTGTAAAGCGACAATCTAACTCCGTGACAAACTAGATGCTCTAACAGTAATAGTTGATTCTAAATATTGGGTAGCAGGTCTCAAAAATTTGAGTGGGAAGGTTAGCAATCATTATGTTTGGCAATGGCATTGATGGATGCGACAATGACACTCAAGTTGAAGGATATGGAAATTAACTCATCTTTGGGTGATGGGAAGGTGTTGACCCCACCCGCTCTTCGAGAATCGAGATAGCTCAAGGGCCAATGATGGAGCCCTGGCAAGAGCTGGAGCTCGAGCCCAAGCTTGTCTGGAACCTAGTCCACGGGGTTATTGTTCATGGTTTGAGGATCGGAATAGTCCTTTACCTGCAGTGGGTAAGAAGCAGATTGTGAATTCAGCGGCCGGCTTTGGAGACGAGATGAGGTTAGGGAGGGAGGGATGCCATATGAGCTAGTCCACATTAGGCGATATCATCTCGTCTTGGACTCTTGGCGTGTAATTGGCCTGCTTCCCAGCAAAACAGGCTGTCAAGCCTTGGCACGTGAGAGCAAAATAGATCTACAACAGAATGTCACTGAATATTATGTCGATACTGCAGCTCATCTCCTGCAACGGCTATTTGTGAACTTCCCTCTATTTTAGTGCTAGAGTCGATCATTTGATCAAATTCGTGCATGCGTTCTGGCCATGCTGCCAAACGGCAGTATCCAAGCGACTCAGATTTCACATGCCAGAATCAACGACGATGGGCTACATAAAAGATCTTAAACAATGTTATTCTGTGCTTGAAATCAAGTTGAGAATCTCCATACTGGCTCTAGTCAGATTAAGTGGTCCTGAAATATTCCATCATGATTTATGATCAAACATAGAGACCTTGACCTCTGTAAGGACCAAAAACTCAAGCCAACAATCAAGCAGCAATACCATCCGACTCTGGAGGACCCTTATATACCTTTCTTGCATAGACCACATACCACGCGGCGCTAATGGTCATGAAACCAACAAAAACTACACTGGCATAGTTCATGGTGACTTCTGTGACAGGGAGAGCCACGGGCATGCTGAAAATGACCATTTCGAACATAATCCACAGAATTGCGACTATGTTGACGGCATATCCGATCGTGTTTCCGGCGTTCCATGGTGCGGTAGACACCTCCTTTCGTCGATGCCACAGACTAATTCCTATTGGAATGGCGTAACTGACTGCCAGGCCCATTACGCCAACCGAGATAAATGCAGTGAAGGCACTCGTGGAGCCAAGATAGATTAATCCAAGAAGCATCTGCACGACTGTTGTCAGCGTGAGCGCCCAAATCGGCACTCCCAACGTTTGATTGACTTTCGAGAAGAGTCGAGCTCCGGGAATGGCATCATCTCGAGCGAATGCCCAGGTACAACGCGAGGCGGCCACCGTGATGCTCACGCTGCAAAACAAAGTGATTCCAAGGACCAGGAACATGAGGCCCATTCCACCTCCTGGTGTGCCCATAACCCGATAGAAGATATAAGGCAAAGCTTGACCGTATGGTGCCAACAGAATGTCTTCTAGAGGAGGTAAAGTGAAGCAGATTGGCAGGATAAAGAACAATCCAGCCAACCCTCCAACTGGAACGCAAAGTGCGATAGCTCGGGGTACCTTGATTGAGGGGTTCTGGCATTCTTCAGCCATAGCCGAGATCATTCCAATCGCTGAAAAGGTGTATGCCGCCGGCAGAAGACCGATGAAAAAGGTGAATCCTCCCCAACCTGAGAAAGATTGGTCGTAATGGCCTAGTGCATATCCTGCACTGTGTCGTCCTGTTGATGCCTTTACTGAGAGCGCGATAAGGATGATTAAGATGCTAAGGGCGGTCCATCCAGCGCATATGGTATCCACCATTGGCAGATATTTATTGCCAAAAGCAACAATCACAAATGTCATCATGCAGATGGCATAGAAGATCAAGAGCAACTGCCAGTTGCTTGCAACCCACTCCGGATGATACATCGCCACACAACCCAGAATGAGTGACGCGAATCTTTGATGGTCAGTCCTGTCACTTCGTCGAACGCCTTACGAATGCTCACCCAAAGTTGACCGAGAGAGTGATGGTCCAATTGCCTATCAGCCAAGTCCATCCTGTTATGAACGAAAGCACCGTTTTCCCCTTCGTGGCCAGCTGAAATGACCAATAGTAAGGACCTATACACTGTTAGGTTCCCAAAACACGTGATCAAGTCGAAATGGCCACAAAACATACCAGCGCTTGTTGGATACTTTGACGCGAGCTCGCCGAGGGATACTGCGACACATTCATCCAGCACCAATACCATGAGCCAGCCGACGAAGATTGAAAGAGGACCACCGCCATATATAGCACTCAGTATGGGTGCGCCCTCGCCCTGGAAACGGTAGGTCTTGGTCAGCATATTCCTGATAACGGATTGGCCATTATTTTTCCACAACGCAACGACAGGGACCATGCCGGAGACGGGGGACACAGACGTAAGGAATTGCTGCTATTGCGAGCGATTGAAATAGCAAGGTGAACATGGAACGATTCCGATTCAGCTCAGGCTTATAGCCAAGCTTGTCGAGCACCTGGATATCGTCGACAGTACCAATGACGAGGGAGCCCGTACGGCCCTCAGCAGGAGAAGGCACATCCTCCGAGTCAGGCAAACGCTTTTCGGTGTCGATGGTCATTGTTGCAATGTAAAATGGTCTTGAGGTTTATTGTCGATGGGTGGTGAGGCGCAGAGGAGCAAAAGAGGGCGTTTCGTGAACAGCGAGCATGGTCGCTTAATGTACGAACACCTCGTGAACGAGGAACGTGATGAGGGAGAAATACAGTTAAGACTTGGCTCCTGAAACCTGGGGTCACCTTATTCGATGCCAACCTTGTGGAGGTGAAGCTTGTTGGAGATAGGGCCTATCGTAACAGGGATAAGGATTGATTGGCAGGCGGAGAATCGAGAATGTAGTACAAAATGGCTGTTTACTCCTGGTTGGGCAGTCCAGGAGCTCGTGGTCAGCAGCCTTCTGAGAATTGTGGTCAATATTTTATCCTAATGGAGATTAGGCGTTGGACGTTGGGACCCTGCTGCCGAGTACTAGTGCAATCTTTTGAGTGACAAGATAGCAGTGTCCAATGAGATTTCGTCTTTCTCGAGGTGCCAGCCACAGTGACCGAGTTTTGGTCTGATAAGTACGAGGTCGTCCGTATGGTATTGAGCTTGTCAACACGCGAGACGATGGGAGAATACCTAGTCCATTTGAGCGTACAAGACATGATCAACCTGGATGACTCTGGGAAGTCGTGAGTCCGTGACTCGAGCATACATCCCTAGCCATTTGGTGTGGCTCGCTCGACGGGCCGTTGACCAAAATCCATGTGTCCATTTAACCCAATCCGCCCCCAGAGGAGCTCCCAAGGGCCAAGGATTGATGTGGACTATCAACCTTCCAGAAACAGATGTATGAAGGGCATCAGCATTCTCAGCACGCGTCATTTGGGTCAATGAAGCAACAATCAAGCAATTTCACGTTGCTTGATGGCTTAGACGCCAATAATGTCGCCAGAAGCCTTTATCATCCGACCCCTGCCTAGGCTTGGATGCTCCATTGGCGGAGCTCAGTTCCAGAGATAAGGGAAGGATAAGAGCACCAGCAGTCTCACAACAATCAAGACACTCAACTCAGGCTTCCAGTATCAACTGCTGGCATTCTCAGCTGACTTATCTAATTATAGTGCATGTGCACTTCGAACACGGGTAGACTTTCGCCATGTCAAAGTACTCGAGCGTTCAGGAAGCCTGGGAGGCTTGCGATCGCACCGACACGCTATTCATCCTGGTATGCACGGTATTTTGCTGGCCCATCATACCAGCGGTCGGTCTCGGATATTCTGGCTATTCTACTCGCCGAAGCGGCTTAGCCTCGTTCATTCCAGCGGTCCTCACTGTCTGTGTGTGCTCTATACAATGGTTCATCGTCGGTTATACTCTAGCATATGGGGAGGGAGCTGGTGTCATTGGCGACTTCAGCTACATTTTCCATAAGGGTGTGCTTGCTGAGCCCGTTGGCACTATTCCTGCCATCCTCTTTAGCGAGTTCCAGTTGGTGAGTTATCGACGACAGCCATTGTACCATGGAAAGCAGGGGAATGATTTGCTGACTTCGATTTTGTATTCAGGTCTTCGAGGCGACGGTTTGTGCCATTGCTGTAGGAGGTATCTGTGAAAGAGGACGCATAATCTCGGTGGTCCCATTCATCTTTGTGAGTGACGATATGCTAAAACTGGGATATATGACTGACAATCATTCACCTCAGCTTTGGGCGACACTCATTTACTGTCCACTTGCACACATGGTCTGGGGAGGAGGCTTCCTGTCTGAACTCGGTGTGCTTGACTTCGCAGGCGGAACCCCGGTTCACATCTGCAGCGGTGCAACCGCCAGTGCTCTCAGTCTGTATCTGTCATATCCAATCGCCAGATCTCGACAGTCATCAGAACGCACGCCGTCTCATCTGAAGCTACATAGGCCCCATAACAGGTCAGTGACATCTAGATCGCCTGAACTGTGCTGACTATAACAGCATGTGTCAATTATTGGCGATGATCATCATTTGGGGTTCCTGGTTGGCCTTCGATGCAGGAACTACGCTTACTCTCAGCTTCCAATCCGTCAATGCTCTGTGCGTAACGAATCTATGTGCATCGGCTGGTGCCCTGACATGGGCATCCATGACATACCTTGAGTCGGGTCTGTGGTCCCTAGACTCAATTTTTATGGGCGCAATTGCCGGACTCGTCATGATTACACCCGCTGCAGGTTTCATCGATATGCCTACCTCTTTGTTATTTGGGGTTCTGGGGGCTGTTGTCTGTAGACAGGCACTGCGTATCAAATTCACAGAACTTGCCAGGAAATGGAGATGGGTTGACAATGGTGATACCTTCGCCACCCATTGTGTGGGAGGATTTCTTGGAACTATCAGCACTGGTCTCTTCGCCCAAAAAGCCGTTGCCGCCTATGGTGGTATCGAGGTTGATGGAGGTGTCTTTTTTGACGGAAATATTCGACAACTTGGAATCCAGATTGTGGAGGCGTTAGTTGGGTTTGCCTGGGCCTTCTTCGGATCTTATGCTATCATTGCTTTGATCGATTGTATCCCAGGACTCGAGGTTTTGGCGACCGACAAGTAAGGCTCACCTCTTTTCCTTAGCTTTACATCCTACTAATGACCGCTCAGGGAAGTCAACATGGGCATGGATGCCTCCCAGATGGATGAGTCGCTATATGAGGCGCAGTGGGCAGGAGAGGAGAATTACAAACCTCTACCTGTGGGTAACATCACACTCGATGACTAGGTAAGATAATAGCGACAGCTTTGCCCGGCTGATAATATACATAAAGTGCGTGTGTTGCAATGTGATATCCACATTCTACACAACAGGACAAATCTCACAAGTTGGGTGAAGTCAGGCAATGGGAGTATACCATAAAGAGTTCAATCATTCGTAAGTCCCAAAACATGGGTTGTATGAATACCTGTTGAATGCATATGCACGGCTACATCGAATATAAATCCTTTCCATGATCTGGTGTTTACATCTTCCATATTTCCTTGATCTAGACATTTTTGGGTTCAGGCTAGAGTTGATTACAACGACTAGATCCAATATCTCAAGCAAAGCCATCAAGCATTCATTCGTCCAAGTGTGACCTTCGGAGTAACCCCGAACAACAGCACTATGCGAGGACTATAAACAGCGTTGTTGAATCTGATGGTGATTTATTCGACTCAGCATTGATACCAATTACTTGAGAAAATCATACAAACGAAAGAGGAAGACACGATTGTCATCCAATGTTCTGAACAGCAAGTATCGACAGAAAACAAATATTCAACATACTTACATACACAGATCTCTACACAATGAAGGTCGACACTCTACCCATGTCTCCTACAGACTGAGATTTACCGCAGATAGAGTTATATCAATCGTGGTGATCTTCTAATTGCGGGAAGGATCAACACCACCAGGTATGTTATTGTCAGAAGAAGTGTACAACCTCGAATTTGCGAGTAGAATCGCAATATAATGACTGACAGATAGCATGGTTTATCAGGCGTCACCATCAAGGCAGTTGGTAACACAAATGGAGGAGGCCAAGTCATTAAACAGAGCAAGTCCAGGTCAAGATGGCACTCGAAAATCCTCAATTTTGACAGAGGATCAAGATCGAAGAACCTACATTACTGAGGGTTGGAAGAAAGTTGAGACTTGCGAGCGCCTTCGAGAACTTGGAAACACAATATCAGACCGGCCACGGGAAGGGAATGTGCGCGGACTCGACATTTTTGCATAACACAGTCATCTTCATGATCACCCAACGCCGTACTGGTGTGCCATCGTAGCGTTGTATGTCAAAGACAATGATAGACTCAGCGAATTCGACCGATTTTGTGAGAGCGCTTCCAAACAATTTTGAAACAAGCGAAGAATACGAGACCTTGCACTGCGTGTCAACTCCACTTATTTAGGGAATCGTGAATTCGTGAATCATCGGCGTGAACTGTAGCGCTAAATGATAAGTGAGCTCATGGTGGAACCTCCTTTCGTCTTGGGGTATCTGGTACACGGCTACCACCGTGGAGTTCTAGGCATCCCTAACCATCTTCTAGCACGTTTTCACCTCTCGCCTGGGCGACTGCAGAGAGCTCTCAAAATTTAACGTCTTGAGGTCCTCACAGCATTCTATTCATCTCAAACCCTGTCTTGCACTTTGTTGGGCGATTTTTGTTGATTGAGTAAAGTCTTAACTGGGTTGCAAGATTTAATGAAAGGGTTCATCATCATATTTTGGGTGCTGGTGCTCGAACCAAGCCAGTCACATTACTGGTCAAGTGACTCTGTCCTGATCTGTGCGTGATTTACGGGACTCGGACTCGAGACAAAGCTTTTGCTGTTGCGTAGCCAGATGATCACCAATCAAGAGCTCTTGCGAACAAAGAAACGCAAGTCGGAGCCAGAACAAAACAACGAAACCATTGTTTAGACCACCGCATTCGGTCGAGAAGGTCATAACAATAATCAATGAAACAAGGCATTGTCTTTAAGTGTACTGCAGCACAAGATAACAGAGTCTCTTGGTATCACACAGTTGCACGGAACTGCACACAGAACGGGTTGCTACATCGAGTCTTCGCCATCGATATACTTTTGACACGATTCCAATATGTCCGGAAATATCGAAGACCGTCAAGATGACCCAACGGCCGAAGCACGAGCAGACTCACTTGACATCTTGACACGAAGGCTCGAGCAAGATGACAGAGACCTTGAAGAGCAAGCGCTGCGACTTGTTAAACTGCGAGAGCAAGCCGAGCTTGATGAAATATTGTACGAGCATGGACGAGCAGAATTGAGAGACCAGCATTCGAAATTAAAAGCAGCCCAGTTGGCCATTCATGAAATCTATATCTCAACCATGCTCAGCCACGCCCATAATCTGTTACTCATGAGCAATTTGGGATATAATGATGAAGAGATGGCCTTCAAAACTGCTGATACTATCCTTGACGAGGTTGACGATCTGATTGAAGATACCAATAATGACCTAAGTAGGTCAACACTGGCGAAACATGCTTATGTGGATGGATTCCTAGCAGAGATGAAAGGAAACCTTGACGTGGCAGAAGAATGCTACTTTGCTGCTGTAGATCATTCCAAAGACTACATTCGTCTAAGACGGATCCAAAGCTTAAGTGATTCAAGGTATGCAGAGTATGCCGCTACAACGATGGCCCAGCAAACGAATGACGGTGGTTCTGAAACGGTGAGTAACAGAGACAGCTGGCTCTTCACAAATTTGAGACAAGCTGCTGCTATCCCTTCCGAGAATGGAGATACTTTCAATCGATGCATGATTAATCAAGTTTACCTCGATACGCCCCCTCTCGGCGGCAAACAGTCTCATCCTGAGGCCGAAACTGAAGATCGTCAAAATGACGATGAGTTTCACGAACCTAATAGTCGACACGCCACCCCATGTATCAGAAGGTCGTCAGTTTGTTGCGAACCCGTGGTAGAGTCGGTCATTTCAACAGATACACCCCAACCAGATTCACTGGCGAAGCGACCAAGACGACGGACTGCAGCAGAGCTGAGACACAAAGTCCCCCACATTGATACGAGCGGCTTTGGCAGACCCACTGAAAGCCCAACTTCCCCGAGTCGACCTAGCCCTTTGAGTCGTCAACTCTCTGTCAATGGAGATATCACTCTTCAAAACGAGAAGTGAACTAGGCCTCCCTGGCACTAAAGAGAGCGCAATTTCAGAGGAGTCCTCAGAGATAGCTGAGCTTTCGAATATGATGTACTCGTGCTGCCCATCAATGAAGCCGATATAAAGCACAAGGCATATTGGGCCAAGTTGAAAAAGATAGTCGAAGTGTAAATTTCAGCAAACACAATCTCCAACATGTCTACCATATATGCAGGTCAATAGTGAGGCAGCTTGAAGGTCAAGTATGCAACTAGCGAAAATCGTAACTATAACAAGCTGTCACAAGATGCCCACAACTACAATATAATCCCCTGGGTGTTAAGGCGCGGTGAGAAAGGTGATGTCACCGAAGGAGGAGGTTGACACATCTTGCATCTCCTGGACCTTAGAATCAGAATTCTACCGATCCGAAGATGATGAATCGTTATTTGCTTGCCTTCAAGTCTTGCCATCCCACCAGGAATAAACATATCACTGTCTAGAATAAATGTTCAGCATAGGAACATAATTTGTGACGAATATTGCCTCAAATCTCAAACCTGAACACTCCTGTAGGATTTTAAGTTGAATGCAGTTAATCCGTCTTGATGGGCTTGAGCAGTGAGCCGAGGTTTGTGCAAGGCTGGGCCCCTGACTATTTTCAACCTTGACTAATCACTAAACCACTGATCGACTTCTCCGCAGTATTTCTCGAACTCTTTGATGTCATGTAAGCCTGGCCTATTACGCACGTAGATGGAGAATTAATGCGAGATACTTCTTAAATTTAGGCTATACATATAAGAGAAAGATCTCGGTGGAATCACGTTATCCAGTGAACAGCGTACAATGTTGAACTTCTCGGACCACTGATTGTGGTGTCTTGCACATTCGTTGGCTGCAAGGAGATCACGGTCTCCGATGTTTCAACTCAAACCCAAAGATGCCATCTTTGATATTTCAGAAAGCAGGCTTTGTAGGCTGGCCTCAACTTCGAGTACTTTCTTGGAGAAGCTTGGTGCTGAAATTGCTATTCCTGATGACCGACCCCGCAAACTACTAAGTACGAAAGCATATTGTGATTAGTGAACCATGCATCTTCTAACTTGAACTGTTCACCCTCAACTTTTACCCAGTGAGATCGTTGAGCCATCACCACATCCTAAGCATATTCCATTGACAGACGCTTTGGTTCTCAGGTCTCTGGACGAAGTACAAAAGGGACCTCCGTTGCGTATAAACACTGGACCAAATCTGATCCACCAAAGCAGATACTATTTCCAGTTCAGAACAATACTAAATACTTAGCACTTCCGCCCAAAACAACGCGGGCAACACACTAACCCGTCCATCATGCCTGTCACAGTCACCACCGATCCCATCACCACGCCGCGTACGACTTACCGCAGCAGCGTTCCCTTCGAAACGGCCGAATCTCGTCTTCGCTCCACCATTCAGCGCGAGAAGAATGCGGCTCCAGTCACCGAAATCGCCACGGCGAAAGCACCAGTCTTCGAGACCAGAGAATCTTTCACCAAATTCATCCAGTCCAGGATCGGTGAGCATGGGTTCATGCATTTCCATGAATTCAACCACGGCACGTGGCTACAGGCATACTACCCCGAGATATCGGGCGTGACTGGCCCGGATGGAAACACCAAGCATTTGCGCAGCATCCGATTCATTCTTGGGAATCCCCTGATTGCGCAGACTATGCTGAGACATGATCTGAACACTGGGTTGTCCGTACCTATTGAATTGCTGCTTTCTGAGGAAGTAGATGGAAGCGCCAAGATTGTCCAGTTCAGGCCGTCTGGTCTCATTGCGGGCTATGAAGGCGCGCCGGAGGAACTGGGCAAAGCTGCCCGGATTCTCGACGGGAAGGCCGAGGCGCTGATAAATTGGGTATTACGAGATACTGGAGCCGATGAGCCTAAAGGAAATCTGTGAGCTGGTGTCAAGGATAGAAAGTCCGTATCCTTGGCAGGCTGTAGAATACAATCTGGGGAACCGCCGTGTTCAGCTGCCATGTATCTACTATTAGTGCACGCCTCTTCCATTTACTACTCTCTCAATTCCCGGGTCAATAAGCTACTCCCAAAGGCACCTTCGCGTCTGACTTTTCCAATCTTCTTCGTTCCATTCTGGTGGCGAGACCGACCTCATTCTCAACTCGCCCAAACAGGTCTTGCTTAGCCACCATGTCTTACTCATTGTCCTTGACGTCGATGACAGTATGCTTGAACTTCCTCGCAGGAACCTTGCGATTGAACAAGATATCGATTTCGCGATAAGAGCGGTGCTTGAGTTCTGGCAAAAAGAAGAACGCCATGATCCAGCACACGAGAGCAGTACCACCCCAGACGTAACCACACTTGCCTGCTAGATTCCATCCAGTCGGATTGAGCATCTTTGAAGCGAGATAGATCATGGGAATCTCGGCAACGTAGTAGGCCGCGCGGCCAACGCCGGTGCTCAATGCACGGAGACGGACTGAGCTTGTTTCAGCGATTATGCTATAAGAAATCGGTCCCATGAAACCAGCGAAGACGAATGAGATGATGATCCCGAGGACCGCCTGGGCATAGTTCGTGGCATTATTCTGCGAGATTGATGCACAAATTCCCAGAAGAACGAGCAGGGTGATATTGACAGCGGTACCCCAGAGATAAATGGTCCTTCGACCGAACCAAGCAGTGAGGAACCACGAGCCTGCATTGGCAACGAATCCGAGACATGAATTGATCAAGTTGAGCGCGAAGGCACGGTCAGGTGAGATTCCCGCTTCTGAGTAGAGAGTCATCTTCTGACTTTACCTGACAATTGATACTCAGGGATACTCACGTTCAAAGAAAAAAGTAGCCTGGTTGGCAATCAGGTTACCGGCGAAGTTTTGTGATGCGTACATCAGGCAGATAATAGTCGTTCGTCTTAGATCGGTACCCTTCCACAAATCGAGCAGGGTTGGCTCACCTCCCTGCTGAACTTCGATCTCGACCGTACGTTCCATCATGGCAAGCGTCTGTGTGGCGTTTTCTGTGGTGTGTCTGGGTCCGAGACGTTCGACTGAACGAAGAGCCTCAGCCTTGCGGCCACGTCGAACAAGCCACCAGGGAGATTCGGGTGAAAGGAAGACGAGGATCAGGAGTGGAGTCTGGTATGGTCAGAATCCTGGCTTTGTGGCATCCGAGGAAGCCACTCACAGGAAAAATCCATTGCAAGGCAAGCGGAATTCTCCATGACCACTCATCAACACCAGCACGGTATCCATAGGTTGCAGCTGCGACAATTATGCCTCCAATAGACCAACTCATCTGGAGGGTTGCCGTGCAGGCACCTCTCAGGACGAGAGGCACAACCTCACTGGCATATGCTGGGGTTTGTGAGTTTATGAGACACGATACCATATGCCGAGATTACACAGCTTACCTGGTGAGTTGGCGATAAAGAAGCCCCAAGGCACACCTTCCAGCGCTTGGCCAACTACCAGAAGAGTGAGAGAATTGGCCTGAGTTTATGCGGTTAGTGGTCAAGCTCGACCAGAAAGATGGGTCACTCACGAAGAAAGAAATGAAGATGGTGGCATTCATGAGGACCAAAGCCCAGATGGTCGTCCAACGATAGCCAAGTCGAGTGGTGACAGGCCCAGCGAGGAAGACTCCGACAAAGGCTCCGCACTGCCCAGATTGAAAGAGAGCACTTTGCCATCTGGTCGGGATGGCCCAAGCATTTTCTCCTACGACGACACCATATTTTTTCTGAAAGGCCGGTAGGGCGACGAAGTTTCCATTCAAGAACATGTCAAACGATTCCATGACCTGGCATGTGTCAGCTGTTGGGCAGCTGCGAAAGGATTTAATGTCGAATCACCAACATATGGGCACTAAAATGGAGGAGATATGCTTACAATAGTGAAAGACATGACGAAAGCCCAAAAGCAAGCCCACGGATGACTCTTGACCGCCTCCCAAATTCGCATTTCATGCTCACGGTTCTCGCCATCGACAGCATCGTTCATAAGATCAGCGTTGATTAAGACATCAGAATGGTTGGTGTCGACTTGAGCCACTCTTTGGTGCAACTCCTCCTTCGGTTCGCCGATAGCAGTCGACATGTTGGGGGAACTATGTGGCTATGTCACCAGTATGAAGATGAACGAGAATGGAGAACCAGAAAAGAAAGAGCAGGATGCTGTGCATCTGGGGGGATTATAGCTTTTTCGATACTTATGTTGCAAGGTAGTGTCAACTACCCCAGGTTGGAACAAATCCCGGCGGCATACATTGATTGATTTGGATTTCTGATCAGGCATGAGAGTACACCCCCCGCTCTGATCAGGTAGATACTCCGACATTGGCCATAGCGAGCAGGGAATAAACCCTTGTCTGGTTGACAGTGCAGGTGCTATTGCCAGGAATACCCGTAATGGGCTGGATCATCGTGCCACCAGAAGCTTCCACTGAACATCTATTGTCCCGTGGATCGTTGTTGCTCACTGGGTCCAGCAAAAAGACCAATGGCTGTCTTCCAGCGGTCTTATACTTCTTTGAGAAGGTCTAGGGAATGCAGTGACCTCATGTTCCAATAAGAAGAGGGACCAGGCCCAAAATCAAGTTTGAGGGGAATTTCGCTTCTGATTTAGTCATTCGTGCGATTGTACCGTCCAGGACCACCCAATTGCTATTCACCCTGGTGCTCATGGACGGCATCTTGATACCACCCTGGTGAATATAAGGTAACATTCAGTGCCACTCCACTTTGGAAGAAGTGCGCATGATACGTGGAGAAAATAAGACGCGCAAAGTATGGTAGGCTCTGAACATGTCTCGAATGGTGCATGCGCCTGACATGCTGTCGATCGAGCGTCTACACTAGAAGTGGTGTTGTAGCGCATTTTATTGCATCAGTCTGAGACTACTGTGGCTTTGATTAAGGTGAGCCTGGATGGGGTAACATTGCAGTTAATTTTACCTTGCAAACAGGCTCGCGCTAGCGGATGGATCAACATTGTCCTAGGTATCTGGTCCAACTAGCAATTCATTCTACCCCCACGCACTACAGCTCATGGGAAGCTGGGAATTGATGGGCTGAGTTTAGTCAGGAGAAGAAAGTGTTCATTGGCGACCTGACCAACGCTCGAAGGCTGCAGGAGGCTGAAGATGCTCATGTTCAACTGTGAAAAGATCAGAGATCGTCAGACGATGAGGCATGGGAAGCTATTCGTATACCAAGGTCCGTTAAGCCTTGTTGGTGGTGGCGGTCCCGAAGGCTTAGCCCCCGAACGCCTCTCGTACCCCGCCGAGTTCTTTATTCGTAACCGCACCTATCTCCGAACGGCCACCAAAACTCCAAGTTTGGCGCCCCATTTTAGGGCATGATCAACGTGTTCCCCACACACCTAGCCTGGTATTGCTGGACGTCACGGGTTAGTTTGTTTGACAGACATGCAGTTCGAGCATTGTATCGTTTGTTCAGGCTTGCCATGATTACTTCCCAGCTCTTCAAGACTACTTTCAGTTGTACCTCTGCGGAGTCCTGGACGAGCTCCCCAGGTACCTCATAGTCTGCATTCATGGATACCATGCTTAGCAGCTTCACTTGGTTGCGTTTGCGCAGCGGAGAGTGCCATGGAGGTCCGGCGTTGATCCTTTTAGACTCCTTGACTCATTGCTTTCAATTCGTTGGCCAAGGGTGACTTATCTCTTCCTTTGCTAGAAGACCTGGATGGAACGCATCCATAGGCTTCTCGACGCCCGTTAGAAGACATTCTAGAAAGTCCGGGGCCACGGTTAGTCCGGCATTAAAAAATCACTGGGGTTGATTGGTTAAAATTGATTATCATTCAGTCATTAAACTACACAAAGGACAACTCCCTGATAACATATTACTTCGATGCCTTTTACAGTAAAATCACTTCATCAGGTACCCTGACGTCCCGAACGACCCCTGTTCCCCCTGTCGCTTCCGATGAACAAGATATTGCTAACCGACCGACTTTATATCCACTACTGATGAACTGTTCTTATGGGCGAATCAGGTGGAAAGGTGAACGAATCACTTAGTTGAGAGAAGCAAACAGAGAAAGGGATTCGAGGATGATGTGCTCCCTGGAAATTATTGTCATCAGTATTGGCTTGCATCAGCAAGTAAGCGGTTGAGGAGAGTCTCGACCTAAAACGCCTGGCTATTTAATATCCGGCAAATTGTTGCAAAAAGTGATTGTTGCCATCACTGGGTATCTCAATAATTATTGTGTAGTGGAAGAAAGCAGCCCTGCGTGCTGCTCTGTGACCCCGTTGAGCATTCGTCCCAAGTTTGCGTTTACCCATGAACCCGAAACATTATGTGGTAGTTCATTCTCATTGATTTGAGATAAAATGAACCCGCCGCGTCTCCAAATTTCACATCATAGTTTAAACCTTTACCGTTTTCACGACTCGGGTGTCTATGCCGTGGCCCCAGCCGTAAAAACGACAATCCTCACCGTACCAACAACCAGGGTCCTCGGTTTTGTTCTGCGGACATCTATGGCCATAGATGCACTCAGGGTCTGAACAGTCCATTCTGTAATAACAAGGTGTCATTCGCGCAACCTCCCGCAGAATGCTTCGCTCGCCCTTTGAAAGAGGATACGTGTGTGAATGCGAACAATTGTTACTTGTGCAATACGACGCGCCCTGGAGGTAGAAGATGTTGCAAAGTTTGAGCTTCTTGATCCGTTGGATCTCATGATTGGGAATGGAGGAATCAACCTTGTCAATTCGTTGATCGAAACGATTTCGCTCGATGCTCTTGCTTGCTGGTTTCACTTCTACCACATCCGGGCTTTTCATGGACGTTGGAGTCGAAGTCCGCGTAGTGCTAGCCTTGGAGGGTGGACCGGATGGAAGGAAAGGCTGTGCTGAGATCGAAGCCCACGTCATGGCAGGTGTGCTTGAGCTTGAAGTTGTTCCAGTGGTGCCATTTGACTCAACTCGAGAAAGAGCCGGAAGTGATGCGGTGACGGCTTGTAGAGGTCCTTTGGGGACTGCAGGCACAGCGGCCAGCTTTGTTGTTCTAAACAGACCGTCGAATTTTGTGACTTTGACTTGATCCTTCAGTGTAGCGATCTCTTTCTCCAACGGTGCAGCCTCAAGTAGTGTAATATGGTTCAACACCGTAGGATCTCTGATGGTCTCCTCAAGAATAGGAGCATACTTATTGTCGCAGCCTAGAATGATCTGATGACAATGGCAGTCATAGATATTACTTTGGAATTGTTCACTGAGTTTTTCTCGCGTCGCATTGGATCTCGAACCAGAGTCGACGAAGTCAAGTGAAACTTCAGCACCATTGGCGCCTCGCACAAATTCATCCAAGAGCGAAGGTCGCTCGATAACCTTGAGCTTTGTAAGGTTGTCGGCCAGAGACTTGACATTGGCATAAATGCGTACGACAGTTCTGAATGATTCGAGGTGATGCAGCGTTTGGGTACCGAAGGATTGGGCGGCATTTATGATTTTGTTGGCGGCTTCAACGCCACCTTTTTCTCCCTTGGACAACAAATCTTTATTGAAGAGTAAGCTATCAGCATCGATGAGTATTAGGACATAGGCGTTTCGATCCTGGTGGGTAGGTTAGTATCAATCGTGTGGCATGGCGCAGCCTCAGGATCAGGTTAACATACCATAATCGTTTTAACCTGACTTAACTGATCTCGTAAGGAGGAATCTTCCTGACGAGCTTTTCGATTGAAGTCAACCTCTCTGTTGTAGTCCATTTGTAGGCGATCGACATGGTTTTGGGTAGTTTCGAGTTGGTATAATAAATCCTATTGATTGATGATTTAGGATGGAGACCAGACGGTGTAACGTGAAAGTACCAGAAAACGTAGGACACTTACATCAATGAGCTGATTTCTCTCATCTTCAAGACTTCGGAGACGCTTGTTGCGTTCTCGAAATGAAGAGTGAGTACTCACTGGACCAATCTCACCAATGGCGCGGTTCCTGAAGGGAGTGGTTCGCGAACCATAATCAGGACTGGAATTGAGCAGAGGGTGATCGAATGTGGGTGAAAATGGATCAAAACGAGCCATGTCGGGCATTTGGTTGAAGGTTGATGTGAACTGTGTAGCTATTGAATGGATATCTGGAGTGCAGAAGAAGGAAAGTAAGTTGGCGGTGTGAAGAGATATTTGGTGTTGACTATGGGAAAAAAGTTGTCTTGGAGAATCGCGAGGCAGAAAGTAGGTAACAAAATTATTGCTATGGAGTCCATCGTCAAGATCATGGGCATGCTTAGCCGTGAGTTTAGGCTTGCCTAGCGGGCGCGGGACCAGTAACAATGGTCTAGTTCAAAGTTTCTGGGGGTGCTGAAGGTCCGCTCTTTTTAAGTGCACGGCGCGTATCTGGCCAACGTTAAGCTTATACCTTGCGAGACGACTAAGGTAAGTGAAGGACTACTTGGTAATTAGTACGAGGTACTAGAGAATCTCTAGTAGAACTCTGATGGCGCCCTTTTGAGCCCCGATCAAGATATGGGCTAACTTGAAATCTTTTAGAGCCATTGCTGCCCTATTCATTTCTCCAATTTCCTATCTAGGTACGATACGCTGGCCTCTCCTCTCTCCAGATTGACCTCACAAATGTGAAAGTGTCCCATTCGAGTGCTTCCCCGTCTACCACCCACCTTTCTTCACCACCCACAAATCATTTTCCCTCCCCTTCCCTACCATCTACAACCACGATCAACATGGGTCGCTTCAGAGATATCGCCCTACTCCTCTTCGGCGTCCAGGCTGCTGGCGTCTTTGGTCAAATCGACCCTGTAAGGCCATCCAAGAACTCAACCTGCCGGAACCTTTCCTCCCACTAACAATTCTATTCATAGGAGGTCGCAGAAGAGGTCGAAGACCCCTCAAAATCCCCTGCAATCGCTGTCACAGTTGAAGCCAGCTTCCCTAATGCTGAGATCTTTGGCATCAAGCTGGTCAATGGCAAGCAGACCGAGTCCATCCTCTCCTTCACCAATGAAGAGCCCGACCCAGTCACCATTCAATTTGTTGGTGGCAGCTTGTGGACTGCGGATCCAGCTTCTCCTCCTCGCATCGTTCGCAACTTGACCACCCACCAATATGCCGTCGAAATCCCTCCTGGAGAGAAGCAGAGCTTGCCCTTTCGCTTCTCCACCAACATGCACCCGCAAGATCTACGATTGAACTTAGCCGCCGTTGTGAGCTCTCAGAACTCCTTCTTCACGCTCCCAGCATTCAACGGCACCGTTTCCATCGTCGAACCAGACGCCAGCATCTTCGACCCACAACTGTAAGTTGGCTCTAATCACATTGCCCATTCAGCGCTAATCAACCCGTGTTCATAGTCTGTTCCTCTATTTCTTCCTCCTTGCATGCGCCATCGCCGTTGGATATTTCTTCTACACCATCTGGATTGTCCCATACTTCCCCCAACAGAAGCGCAAGACTCCCGTTGGTAGCAGTAAGAAGACACCCCGCAAGGTCGACGCTGTTGTGGTCACCTCAGACAACGAATCACCGGCTGTCGCCACTGGCGCCAAGGCCTACAACGAGGAGTGGATTCCTAACCACCATATCCAGCGTCCCGAGGCCCGGAGAGTCAAGAGCAGTGGTCGCCCCAAAAGCCGCACCGGCAAGGCAGAGTAAGGCGCTCGTTAAGTCGCAGACCAAACTCCCGTTGATCAAAAATCGATATCTTCTTCTTTTGTCAGGTGGACTAAAAGTTGGGCTGGAGCATTATTTTCTAACATTGGCCAACCGGTGGGGTGAGGGCTTTCACATGAAGCGAGCGAAAAAGACATGGAGGGAACACACTGGAGAGGAGGCAGAAACATGCTCTATTATTGGTTCTACACGGATTTCTCTTTTGGAAATCTGGGTTGACATATCCAAGATGCCAAAATTCCTGTTAGTGTATATTAAAGCAAAAAATAGGGGCACATCAGATCAAGTCTGATCACATTAAAGCATACCGGCGAAGCATGAGAAGATGGGGCCGTCAAGAGGACGAACCGAAGCGACCACAAACCAGGCAGGATGCTGCTGCAACTACATATACGGACTCACAAAAAATAGGTTACAAAACATATAACCTGTACAATAACAATATTACTTAACTTGAATGAACTGTGGAATAACGAAGAACATGTCGTAGTAGCTCCGGCGTGGCAGCAGAGACAAGGCCATACTCGTACATGCCAGCGCTCATGCTCGTCAGAACAACCTTGTTCGAGCCGATTCGACCGAAGCTGTACAGAATTGTCACCATGCCTGTCGATCCCAAAGTCATCGGGAAGCGGACGCGCCGAGTCTAGCATCGCGGTCGTTGCAGCCAGCTCGATATGTAGTGCGATAATCCACCAACCGTATAGTCTCACATCCGAACACGGTATTCCCGATCCATCACCGCAGAGACGAAAGGAAGATGTAAGGCGAGACTGAGACGACTGAGGAAATCTGTCTCATGACGTCAAAGCACCCATTATGTTTCTCGCTCCAAAGTGTTGATCGCGATACATGAAGGACTTGACTTCGATTTCCAGACATTTGTGTGGATCTCATACTGTAACACGTGGCTCGATAAACCGATTTGCTCTGCCTCGACATCAAAGGCCAATGCAAATAATAAGATCTGTGAAACCTCACTTGGGTCACCTCCACTACGATAAATGCGCATTGAGGGGACTCATGGCCGGGAAGCGAAAACGTATTTACTCAATTGAATTTCCTACGGCAACTCAACTGGAAGAGAAGCAAGACAATAAGACCATCGTAGACGTACATGCAATGCACTTTGCGATCAACATATCGTAACAGCACCGCAACCACGTGTTGAATACTGGTAGCACAGTCAAGCAGTCAAGAATCAGTCGCCCATGATTTCATCATCTTCTTGCTGCTCAGCATTAGCGTCAGCATTGGCACCGCCAGCACCGTCGTTATCATCGTCATCGATCTCATCCTCCTCGAGATCACGCTGGTGTTGTGCTTCCTCATCATCATCGTCCTCGATGTCGTCTTCCTCCAGCACTCTCGCTTCTGAGAGTGTCTTTTTCTTCTCCGCAGCTTGTGCGGCATCAGTGTTTTTGGACTTGTTTGCTGCACCTGCTTCGCTCTTCTTGTCCGCTCCTCTGGCGATTCCGCTGGTCTTCTTCTTGTCTTTCTTCTCGTCGAGATATGCCAGCAATGCGGTGTAATTCTTTCCGAGCTTGGTGCGGTTTAACTGAAGTCTCTTCTTGACTCTATTGTCCTTGATGGCACCACCGACCAGAGTGAAGATGATCTTACTGGTGAGCTCACAAAGGTTTTGCTCCGCGAGGAGCGCTGCTTGCTTCTTCGCGCTTTTGCCTTCTACCACGCCTCCTTCATCATCTTCGGAGTCATCATCTCCAGTATCAGAGCCAGCGGCTTCATCCTCCGAGTCCTCGGGTGGTTTCTCGATATCCTCTTCATCTTCCACATGACCTAGGTCTTTGCTTTTCCCTTTCTTATCCGCAAGCTCAATTTTCCGACGTGTCTTCTTTGCAAATGATTTCTCCAATTTTTCGTGAGTTATCATTACGTCCCTGATCAGATCTTCCGGGACGACGGTCACAAGACTCTTTAGGTTCTGCTCTACATCTTCGTCCAAGTGACCTTTCTCAGGTTGGAAATTCCTGATTGTGGTGAAAAGGGCAAAGAGTTCGAGTACATTAATGAGCGCATTGTAACGGACTGGATCGAGTGCAGTTCTCAGTTCAATTATCGGACTTAGTGTCGAGGAAAATGTGGTGCGGGTCATTGCGAGGTTCGTAAGCATGGCAGCCGTGAGGGAAGAGGTGTCATTCGTTTCAATGGCTTTCTTGAGACCGAACACCTTCCACCGGAAATATCGTGAGAAGAGCTCTAGAAGGGCGGTACAGAGTTGGTCCTCCAACTCGTTGAATGCATCTGTCGTGTCTTCTTCCGGCTCGCCACGCTTGAGAAGTTGCAAGAGAAGGTCGAGGAGGATCTGTGGGTTGGCTGATCGACCTTTTTGTTTCTTCGATCCGTTGGAGTCTATCCTGCCCTCAATGACTTGCGTGCAATCATAAACTCCTGCAAGCTCAGCCATACGCAAGGCAGTATTCACCAGTTCACCAAGCAAGGGCAATTCGAGGGTCCCGCGTGATCCAATATCTTTCCCTGCCAATAATCTGGTCAAGGTTGCAATCGAATCATTCCAGATTTCTTGAACTTTTGCGTTCGCGGCCTCCTTGCTCTGTTCGAAATTTCGGGCATTGCGGAAAGCAGCGCTGGCTGCCGCAAGGACCTTTTTATCAGAGTGCGACGTGAACTGTTTGCTAATGTCATCAAGGATGGCAGCATAGGTAGCCTCTCCGTTCTGAAGATCATTGATCAAGTCAATGTCGAGCAACTGCTCGATGCGGAGAATGGAAGAGGCCGCTTGAGGAGTACTACCAAACTTGCTCAAAAGCTGTGGAAGTATAACGGTAAGGTTCTGTGCTGCTGACTCTTGTTTCTCGCGGATTTGGTCTTTGGTTGCATTTGTCTTGCGACCTGAAGCCGATTCGAGGATCGAGGAGAGATACAACTTCACCGAGGCATACAAAATGTCAAGTAGGATGATATCCTCGCCAGCATTAAGTTTGTAGGCTTGTTGAACTTGGTAATTGATGTCGTCGTCGTCCCCATGTGCTGCAATTGTAGAGTGGTCATATAGTAGATATCCCGCGAGTCCCTCCCAATTGTGCAATTCTGACATGTGAGGGAAGATGGCTTGTGCGGCAAGTACATATCTTGAGTCAGATAAATTGATCGGTAGTGATTGGGCATTGCTCCCGTCGAGTGATTCTTCATCGCTGTCGAATGCCGCCAGGATGCTTCCCATGCATTTGAACTTGATCCATTGTCGAGTTGGGATCGTAAAGTCCTCAACGTCGTCAACATCGGACAGTGCTGCATGATATTGAGCTTCATCAAAGTCGTCAACTGTTGAGATATAGAAATCTTCAATATTTGAGACAAAGAATCGACCAACTGCTTTCCGGACACGTGGCTCGTTGTCAAGGATTAACCTGCCGATAGTCTCGACCTCGTCCGGCTCGAGCAACTCAGCATCTCGAAGTCGATCAAGGAGTTCAATTGCCTCAACTCTGACACTCACATCAGCATCGCTGGCACCCATCTCGACGAGTCTAGGTCGAAATCGGTCGGTGAAGGCTCTCAACGCAGCAATATTCTTCTTATTCTTAAAAAGATTCTTCAACTGCTTAATGTCTTCGAGCCGTGTCGTGGCCGCGGTATCATTGAGCACCCACCCAAGGTACCGAAGGTATTGACCTTCCAAGAACATTTTGCGGTATATCGAGATCCAATTCCCTAGTGCGGCAACACACGGGGCTCTGATTCTTTCCTCTACATCTCGATACCGATGGACAAATACGGTATCGAAAGCATCTCTCAGTTGATTATCCACAGCTTCGAGCATTTCCTCGGCGGCCTTTTGACTCTCTCCAATAGTCTTGACTCGTCCTTTGTTAACGCTCCTTTTCTTGTTCTCAGCATCGAGTTGGGCCTTGTAAGTGACCATTGTGCCCTGAATCTCTTTCGCAACCTCGCAAAGAGCGGTGCTCATTGCGAGTGAGACGATCGTCGCAGTGTGTCTGAAAGATTTATAGTTCGCTCCCGACATTGTTGCTATCCAGACGTGGATGTTGTCATAGATTTCGGGATGTTTGTAGAAAAAAGAGGAATTGTGTAACGTCTTGATGATGGCGCTAAAGAATTCTTCCAACACAGCTTGAAACCCAACGTACTGTTTCTGCTTGGAGACTAGAGGATAATCAGGTGGCTTTTGTTGCTCATATTCTTGTAGTAGGTCTCCAAGCTTGCTGGGTACAGAATCCAGATCTTCGATATCCTGGTTCTCGATCCTAGATTCACATCCAATGCATTGAAGGACAAAGTTGACAAGATCTCGAATTGCACCGACATTATCGGTCTGCACTGATTGAAACCATATGGAAGCCGCATCATCGGGGGCTCGCCCTTTTCCAAATACTTCTGCATAGAGTCCTGACTGATGCGCCTGGCTAGGCCGAGCGCGAGCCTTTTGTGTCTTGGATCCTTTCCCTCCAGCACCACCTTCCGCAGTGGCTGATCGAATAGCTAGTGTTGTGCTCGAACCGTTGGTTGTTTTGGTTCTTTTAGCGGCAGGCTTCCCAGTCGCGCGCTTTGCTCTTTGTGCTCTGCGATTTGCTTTCAATTCCTCCTCACCGGGTTCGGATTCACCGTCTTCGTCTTCGTCTTCGGATTCGGAATCATCTTGATCGTCTTGGTTATCCTCTTCTTGGTCCTCATGGGCGTCACTTCTTGAAATTCGTTTCCGCTTTGTTGATCCATTCGCAAGGATACTACCCTCGTGACGTTCAGTAGAGAACAGATTTGGCTTGTGCACCACTCTCCCAGATTTGCGGCGTGACTCGCCGGTGCCGTTTGGCACGCTCGAATCCACCTCCATGACGCGCTGTGTCAGGTCGGTTGTGGCAGTTTTTGCGATGTGAGGGCAGCTGCGGGATAGAAATTGCCTGGCAATCAATCGGCAGTCGAAGTTCGCGACGCGAATTCGATGCTGGATTTGGACTGGATTCAGTGCACCCCTACGACGCTTCTGCAGATGGTCACGATGTAGGTTCAGGCAGGCGATACTCTGTGGCTCTCAGAGGGTCTGTGAAATAAAGGCAAGGTGCGATGCAACTGGAGTGGTTGAGGAAGACGCGACGCGCGAGATTATTGTTTAAGTGGAGGCGGGCGAGCCTGAGGGGGAAAATGCAGTGGAACTTGTGGAAGGTGCCCACTGCCAGTACGAAGTAATAGCGGTGGTATCATGATCAAAATATTCTTAGCGTGGCCGTCGGCTTGGCCCCCTAACAAACACCAGCAAGCATGCCCGAGGCGCCTAACTTCCTACTCAGAGTCGAGTATTCCAGCCTACAGCTAAGTACCTATGTTCATGTCCTTGGGAGTGATTTGATAGACAATGTCTCTTTATTACAGCACTGCCAGTGTTACACCAACAGATAGGCAGTATATAATAGAGACCAGGAGCTCGATTTAGTTACATACCTCGATCTTCTGCACCAACCTGAAAGTCAAAGCTATCTCTTCGCTCTTCCTCTGGGAAATCTAGTTCTTCATGATCGCCAACATTTTCTTCCCTCATCATGCCACTCCCTAAGTCGCCCTTTGCAGCTTCAAACTCGATTCCTGGCAATGGAGAGATAGTTCTGGCTCTCCTTCCTCCCGGAAAACAGATCCTACAGAGCTGTACTTATCAATACCCACTCAAGCTCATCGCACCGGATCCTCATGCGGTTCAAGGTGAGAAGCACGTGACTATTGTTTTTCTCCTGACATATGGAGGAGGACTGGTTGGAGGTGACCAGATCAACCTGAAAATCAACCTACAGGATGCCACTCGTTTGGTTCTGGTTACCCAAGGAAGTACCAAGATCTTTAAATCTCCTACTCGTACAGTGGTGAGCAAGCAGATTCTGGATGTGAAGATAGGGGCCCGAGCAGCTCTTTGCTATCTCCCCGATCCAACCCAACCTTTTGCGGAAAGTGTCTATGAACAGAAACAGACCTTTTACGTCGACCCGAGTGGGAAAAGTAACTTGCTCATGCTTGACTGGGTCAGTGAAGGACGCCGGGCGAGAGGCGAGAGCTGGACTTTGTGGAGTTGGAAAGGTAGAAACGAGGTCCGCGAGTTCGACGAGCGATCTCGGGGTAGATTGTTGCTCCGAGACGCTGTCATGTTGCATGAAGATGGTCTAGGAACAACTGGTCTTGTGGACAAATCAGACAACCTGGGCATATTTGGAACGCTCATTGTTTACGGGCCTCTTTTTGAGAAGCTGGGTGGATTTCTGGTTCAACATTTTGCACAGCAACCACGCCTTGGGGCGAAGAACTGGACACAAAACGATCGTTCACACTCTGACGAGGCCGACGCAATAAAAAAAGACGCAGATGCCCAAAGACAACGTGAACATGAAGATGGTCTGGTTTGGACGGCGGCTCGTGTCCGTGGCTTTGTCCTGGTCAAATTTGGCGCAAAGGAAGTTGATGGAGCTCGGAGATGGCTTGGAGGATTACTCAAGCAAGAGGGAACTGTGGAAACGTTGTTTGGCCACCAAGCTCTCATTTGTCTCCGTTGAGCATTCCACTGTTCAGGACACCCATTTTTTCCAAACCATGAATCACTTCCCAAGAGTCAAGAACAACCGGTCGCCAATATCTCCCAACCCAGGCTGTATCATACCTTTGTCGGTCAACTTCTCGTCTAGCCCTCCAACCCAAATTTGTGTTCCCTCGGGCCATTCTTCAGCAGCTCTGACCACACCGGGATGTGCACCAAGCACGCTCAGCACGATGATCTTTTCCACACCCCACTCCCTTAGCGTCTGAATGGCAGCTACTGCGGTACCTCCTGTTGCGATCACAGGATCGGTGATGATGGCCAGTTTGGCGACGGAGGATTGTGATTGCGGCAGATTGTTGTAATACTCGACTGGCTGCAGGGTCATCTTCTCACGGAACAAACCAAGGTGGTGAACAGAGGCGGGTTGAGGAAGAATTGTTTGGATGGCTGCATGGTGGTCAGCTTTGACGTTCCCACAGTCAAGGAGACGTACCATCAATCATGCCCAGCCCAGATCTCAGAATCGGAACAAGGGTGATCTTAGCAACGTTGATGGATTCCACACCGTACTCAAATCCAATGGGAGATTCATCCTACGAGAGATGCATGGTTAGCCTGGCCGGGGATCAGCACCGTGGTCTGAGAAGAGGACGAGGCAGAGAGGAAGCACTCACAGTTCCAACAGTCTCCACTTCAAGATTAGCTAAAGCCTCAGCACCCAACAGTAGGGAAATGTCATGGACGAGGGCTTTTGTGTCGCGAGCATTGGTGGATTTAGAGCGCAGCTGAGAGAGTTTGGCGCGCAGGCAAGGATGCTTTGAGATATGGACGTTGGGAGGAATGGAGGAAGCCATGTTGATGATGATTATGGAAGAACAAGGAAGGTCACAAGGTTCTTAGGGATAATGGAGACGTGAAGAGCAGAAATATGTCTAGAGATTGAGGAAAGTGTAGGATACATTCTCACGCAGGTACGATGCGCAATGAATGCTCAGCGTTGTTTGTGCTTTGACTAGAGTTGCCAGTATTATTGGGCACATTCATCCCCGCATGCTTGCTCTTTGATCCTTTGTTACATTTGCGATAAGGGTAAGCAATCAACACAGACTAACTAGACTAAGCGTGAGGGGCACGGGCACCTCCGATCAACTCAGACACCAAGCCTCGGACTCTGGAACGCCTAGAACTCTTGATGGAGCAACCCTATTCAAGTGATGAGTGACTGATGGTTCGATGATAAGAACAATCAAACCCCATCTACCCCAATATGATTTCTCTGCTCAAATCGCCCTTCGCATCAGAATAGCAATTATAGCGATAAAGATGAACGAACCAGACAATCCAGGTGGGTAGCCTGTTGCTAGGTTAGAACTTTGCACAGCGTCATTGCGCCCGTGCCGCCCTTTCCGTCAAATTTATTTGTTTTCAAGTCTTAAAGAATGGTTCAGGCTCATTCAACAACCTACCACTCTAATAGTGGACCTTCATTTTCCATTTCGCCCGAGACTTTCCTGATTTACATATACCTTTGGAGCATCTCATTATCGTCAAGCTACATCTTGCCAAATTAAATAGACATTGGACGATGAAGCCCGGCTAATCATGCCACCAAATGGATTTCGCAATGGAGCAAATGACCTTGGTCACGGTCGACAGAATGATGAGCCCAATCCCAAGCAAGGACGTACGGAGGTCGATGAAGAAGATGGCGACGAAGTAGGGAGTGACATGGGTTTGACTGAGATGGCGTTGCCACAGCCTGTAAGGAACGAAGATCCGAAGCAGTCTTCATTGGAGGCCGCGGAACGGATTGCGAGGTATGGAGAGCGATCGCAAGGCTCTGAGCTTACCGAAGTCGCCGTCCCTGAACCTGTGAGATCACAGGACAGAATCGCCGAGGAGGAAAGTACAGACGGGTCTGTACACCGACAGCGAAGCCTGGAGGAAGTGGAAAAGGAACAACGGAATCTCACTCCTCGGCACAAACACTCCCGTATGGCAACAGAGCTCTACACGGTGTCGTGGTTGATATTCTTCTCGCTGCTGGGTACACTTGCACGCTTAGGTGTCGCGGCAATCACACTTTACCCCAACTCGCCTTTTCCTTCCCGAGTGCTATGGGCAAACTTAGGAGGGTCGTTTGTGATGGGATTCTTGATCGAGGATCGACAACTATTCCAACAGGAATGGGGATCACCTGATTTCAACGCACCTGCAGCAAACCATGGGAAGGTCAAGAAGACCATCCCCTTGTACATTGGATTGGCCACTGGGTTCTGTGGAAGTTTCACGTCATTTTCATCATTCATGCGTGATGCATTCCTTGCTTTGACAAATGCTCTCCAGTCGCCTTCTCCGACCAGTCCATACCATACGGATCCTGTTATCTCCTCAAGGAGTGCTGGCTTTTCCTTTCTCGCCCTGCTGGCCATTCTGATAGTTCACCCCGCCATATCGTTGTCCGCCTTGCAAGTTGGTGCACAGATGGCTCTGATAAGTCAGCCAATTCTACCTACCATCCCATTCAAACCTGGTCGCAAGATATTGGACCCATTGGGAGTGCTGCTTGGGTTCGGATGCTGGCTGGGCGCGGTGTTTATGGCGATCTGGCCGCCTGGAAATGATGTGCACTGGCGTTTCCGAGCTGTTTTTCCTCTGGTGTTTGCTCCGCTGGGTTGCTTGTTGCGGTTCTACGCCTCGAAGCATCTAAATGCAAAGATTCCGTCATTTCCACTGGGGACATTTGTGGTTAATATCTTCGGCACAATCATCTTGGGGATGGCTTTTGACCTCCAACATGCAAGGAGCATCGGTGCCACAGATTCCACTTCATGTGCAGTCTTACAAGGCGTTATGGAGGGTTTTTGTGGTTGTCTCACTACGGTCAGTACATGGGTGGCGGAACTTCAGGGTTTACGAAGAAGGCACGCGTGGATCTATGGTATGGTGAGTGTTGGTGTCGGATTGACATCAATGGTTGTCATTATGGGTAGTATGGGATGGACGATTGGATTTACAAAACCTGCCTGTGGATGATATAGATCTTTCTATCACTTCCATCTGTATTACGACATGAAGGAACCGAATCTTGTTTTTTGGCCTTAAGATGAAACAGTGGTCTTGCATGACCAAGCATCACGATGGACGATGATCTAGCGCCATTTCTCGCTTCAGTGTGCGAGAGGCTCCGGATCACTCCGTAAGCTGTAGGAATGGCGTTAGTAGTGGCTGGAGGCATGGGTGGCTTGAAAGGCACGGGCGACCCCAGCGCCTCTTCCTCCAGCGTCCCACCAGGGTCTTTTGGGCGTCCAACCCACCCCAACCCACAGCCATTTTCCGGCCCCTGCATCCCTTTCAAGCTTGTTTTCCATTGCCTGGTTTGGTTGGGCCATTGAATCAACATTCGAATTAGCCACGCCCCAGCGCCCCAGTCCGTTGCCTTGACCCAGCCTTGGCGCGTCTGCCTCTATCTCCCCTGTTGATTGCTGCTATTTTGTGCCCCTTCTTTCATCCTCCTCATCATCCGGCCACCTGCGCCGCGTCAGCCAGCATCAGCACTGCCTTCAAGAATAGCACACCCAACCAGAAACACCACACTACAGGATACGATTACACCTCTTTTCACCGAATATCCGTATATCGTCGGTTCTTTGTACCGCCGTCGATACTACTCACGAACATCACAGGGTCCCTCACCTTAAACGACTGGTCTCTTCTTTCGTATTTGCCAGCCTGGTTCTCTGGCCCCGGTCTTCAATACAGTAATACGACAAGCCAGGAATTCAATTCGGACATTTGCCTTACTCGTGTCCGTCTTGACTGATTGTCTTGACGCGCACAATCACTTCGAGATTCTTTGTTCACCTAGAATCTCGTTGTGTTTGTCCAACAATCGTCGCCAAACCAAAGCCTTCGATTCGAGCATGCTCAAGGTTCAACAACCAGCCTGAGCGTATCAACTCTCCTCAAATTCGTCGTATCCGACCGCTAAAAGCCACTTTAGAGGCTCGACATACGCACGAGCGATCAAGATGCACAGCTCGACTACTTCCGCCCTTCTCCTCACCTCCCTCATCTCTGCCGCATCTGCATTCGTCCCCATGCAGATCGCACCACTACCCACAGACCTTGATACAAATGGCTGGAAAGCATTCACAACACTGCCGGCAGAACCAGTGCCAACGGCAGCCTCATCATCTCCGCAACCCACACCAACCGAAACGTCCGAAGAGATTTTCGAGATTCTCCCTTTTCCAGTTCCTAGCGACCCTGCCGAGCTGAAGAAACGACAGGGAGTCAACGCAGCCATCCCTCCTGTCGTTACCCAAGTTTCTCCCATCACAACATATCAGATAGACGGGGTTGTAAATGGCGTTGCAACAAGACTTAATGTGGTCTATACTCAAACATTCAATCCTATTCCAGATCAATGGCCTAGTCCTACCGAAGCAGGAACCATTGGCTTGGGCACGATCGTAGGCGAGATTGGCGTGGTCAAGACAAAGCGGAGTCTTCCTACACAAGCGCCATTAGCAGAATCGCCCGACCCAAGCCCAACGGCAAAATCCCCTGAAGCTGAGAATATTCCTTTGTTAGAGAAGCTACGGAAGGCAGGCAAGGAGATGCAAGCAGAAGTAGAGGAGCTACTGAACAAGGTGAAGAAACCTGCATTTGAGGGTAATACATTAATGGACAAGTTGCGAAAAGCGGGCAAAGAGGTTCAAGAAGAGGTTGAAGAATTACTCAACAAAGTGAAGAAACCTGCTGGCGAGAAGAACGAAGATTCCAGCCTGCCTTTGGAAAAAGAGTTCAGATCCCCAACTTCAGCGTCCTCCACGAGCAAGGTCCCAATCCCTTTCGGCACACCATCGGGCTCTGAGGAGGTGTCAACAGAGCCCTTCCACTTCAACAGCGGTTCTGAAAACAAGGGAGCCTCAAATCTACTACCTGAGGAACGAATCCATGGAAACGATGCTCGTGTTCTCAAAGCCGGATCTCTCGCAATCATTGCTGTTACGATCGGCACTCTGTGTGTCAATTATCTATGATTGGAACGAATCTCACAACCAAAACTTGTCCATTACAGATTCTTATATCGTGTTAACCCAGCGGGGAGTTACTTGATGGCGCTAATATCTCGAGTTTTCTTTTCAAGAGGCGACAAATCGAATATTTCTGGGCGGCGAAGGGGGACCAACAGTTGCGGTCTCGATCGTTCGTACACATGCAGTATCGAGAAGTGTTGTTTTTCCGGACCAGGCGCATTTAGGAGTAGCAACCTCGCATAAGCATGGCTCTACTTTCCTTTTCTGTTTCTTTGCTTTTACTGGGCTTTGGTACTGGGTACGATTGGAACCAACCAAGGGTACAGAACACGGGGTTTTATTGTGCGCTACACGGAAACAACTTCAAATCAAATCATTAGAAAGAAACCTGCAGCACTGGACGAGCGCGGCGGCATTTTAGATATGCGAGTATGCGCCCATGCTGGACCAGACGAATGTTATACTGGGCAGAATAGGTATCTGGATATCTTGAGAGTAATGAAAGAAATAAAACCAAGAAAAGTTAAAAATGGGTTTAGATCATCATCACTCACCGCTGTGGCATAGTGCAATCGGTTTTGTTCAAGTATCTCGTGATCTCGTTGATGCTCCGGTTGCACATATATGTAGCACAGCGAACAACCATCTTCATCTGTATTTCCATTTCCACTTCGACTCCTATGCACAGCCGAAGTCGACTCGACGACACACTCAATCATATAACTTAGCCCAATCCGGAATCAAGACCATTTTCTTCCTGACCTGACCCAGTGCATAGCCCCTACCGGCTCTAAAATCCAGGGCAGCATCCGGATCACCGTCCTCACCCTCAACAACATTGCCGTTCTGGTCCTTTTCCTTTTCCTTCTCCACGGCCTTGTCCTTCTGCGCCTCCAGAACCTCCTTCTTCGTCTCGACCAAGACCGCATCCTGCAGGAAATCCACTTCCGTGCCGTATCGCACCTCCATGTCCGTGCCGCCCCAGTCGAGACTGACTTTGCCGGACTTGTGGACGCGCAGCTTGCCCACGAGACCGGGCGGGAGGCGCGTCGGCTCGGTGGCGGTCAGGAGGCCGTCGAGCTGGAGGGCTGGTTTCGTGGCGGCTCCGGTGGTGTCGGGGTTGGTGCCGGCTGTGGTGGTTTGTGGTCCAGGCTCTTTCTTGATTCCTGATGCCGATGGTGCGGCAGAGGTAGAGGCAAGGGCGGCGGCGGCGGTGGTTGTGTCGCCCGTGCCCGGTTCTTGTTTGACTTGTGGTTCAGGGGGAGGCTCGGTCGAGGGGTCGTACAGGAAGGGTGTCAGGGGTGGGAGTTGGAAGAGGAAGAGCTTGCCGTTTTTTGTTAGGGATAATGTGTCGTCATCTTCTTCGTCAAGGGTTTTTTTGGCTTCTTCTTCCTCGCCGTCGTCAGCTGCCTCGACCGTGGCGGACCGTCGTAGAGACTGCCGTCCAAGAAAGACCTGTCGCAGTTTGTCCGTGTCCTTTGCAATTCTCTCGCGCTCCGCTCGATCTTCTATCGTCCCTGCCACGAGCCGTGTATCTCTTGACTTTGTGCCGGATTTTCTCAGGGTCCGTCTCCTCGCGTCGGGGCTCAGCGGAGGCTGGTCTTTGATTGCAGTTGAGGAGGCAGGTTGCTCGTCGAGATCCATGGCATTTTCGTCCGCGTCTTCGTTGTCGTGCATGTCGGACTCGCTCTTTTTAAGAGCTCGATTAGTTTTGTTGCGTGCGCCAGGTTTGAATTCATCGTCTTCTCGTGGCGCACGAGGCGCTCTGACCGGTCGTAGACCACCGCCATCGCGTGGAGTGCGCCGCACTGCTTTCTGCTTCCGCTTTGCAGAGACAATGGCGTCGTCATCGTCATATTCGTCGTCGTCGTCTTCATCACCGCTCGAGAGCCAAATCTGCTCAATGTCGCGTTTGAGTTCGTCGGGCTCGTCGTCCGAAGCAATATCGATATCATTGATTTCTCGGTTCGCTTTCGTCGATCGCCCACCACCGCCGCCACCACCTCCTCCACCTCCTCCACCTCCTCCACCTCCACCTCCGACACCATCTTCCTCACCCTCCGTCGTCTTGACCGGCGGCCCACGACTAGACTGTCCCTCACCCAACATTTCACTATGCCCCTCAGGAAGGGTCCTCACTCGCGCGGATCTCAAACCAGTACCCACACCAAAGACACCACCGCCCGCCCCAGGGGCTGCATCTCTCGTTCTTGAATCACCAGAACCCGCAGCCGAAGAGCCACCGCGGGCTCCTCGACCACCGCGTCCTCCTCTTATGCCACCGCGCGGACCGGCATTCTTCGCCGCCTCAGCATTACGCGCCTGTTGTCTCTCGGCCTCTTGTTTGGCGAACTGTTCTCGCTCTTCTCGCGTCTTGCGCTGGATGCCGGCGCGCGGCTTGGCTGCTCGCGTCCGCGTCGCAGCCGGTTTCGGGGGTTCTTCTGGCATTGTGGCGGGCGGGAGGTTTTGGGAGTTCAAGGTGACTTGGAAAGTTAGAACATGAGAGGCTCCATGCAATACAATGAGGACCAATGAGTCGTAAAGGGACGTAATGACTCGACTTAAGTCGCGAGGATGTTTGTGGTGGGCAACGGGCCTGCGAGACTGAGCCCAATGTCTAGGTGCTCAATCTTTTTTTTTTTGGAGAACTTGCAAGTCGAACTCCGGAAAAAATAATTGCCCCCTCATTTCTCAAATCCCCCACAGCCTGACCACACACGTGATCACAATCTCACAGCCTCGTCCCCGTGCGGCCAGTTCGATTGGACCAAAGCATTTTCTCGGCGCGCGACAACTGAAGAAATGTGTGAAGGACTGTTCATATATGGTGATTGCAGTTATATCAAAGCTTAAATCCGCGACTATTTCATACACTCATGACTTAACGCGACCAAAGTCAAAGAACAATTTTGCCTTGGTTTCAATGTGTTCCGCGCAAAACAACTGCCTGCCCGGTTTTCAATCCCAACGCAAGATCACCATACCGTAAAGAAATTCACCCATACTCTCGCTCAGCTGCTTCCAACTCCGTTAGTTGTTCTCCGTTGTTAGTCAGTTCCACAAACTTGAACCCATCACAAGTTATCAAGTCCTTTGTTTCGATCTCGTTGCAGTTGCTGGGGTCTCGCAACCCTACCCGTCCCTAGTTGGCCCTGGGTGTTTTGCAATCTATCCATGCCGGTTCCACCAAAGCCAAGAGTGCCTCCGCTTACTTCCACAAGCCGTATTGCCCAATCTAACAAATGCTATCATCATCTCTTTCTCTTCTTACCTTTGTCAGGGCTACCTCCAAGGGTGACCGCATGAGTCTCGCCAAGGATAGCTCTGTTGAGTATCGACATCTCATCATCTGAAATGGCGGCATCGTCATCACTTTTCTTCACAATAGGGACACCCATGTGGCGACCATAGCGACCTTTTCGTCCATTGCCTTCGTCTTCACTGACACAACCTTCAATGCCAATGCCTGCGTCTTTGCAGCGTTGACAAGGACGTTGGCGATCACAGCCTTTCTTGCTCTTACGGCATCGCTGGCAGCGAGGTTTAGAGGACAAATCTTCCTCGTCTGCACCGAGTGGATTTTGGAAGTTGAGACTGGAGCCCGATGTCTTGCGTGCCTGTCCATTGGATGCTGGGGCCAATGGTGCCTTCATCAAACCGGGTTGGGCGGCTGGTTTGTTCACCTTCGGCACGGCGACGAGACGAGCCTTGACTGGCTTGCCACTCTTCAAGGCTGAGGTCGACTTGGACCGATATCCATTTGTGGGACCATCATGCATTTTTGTCTTGATTTTCTTCGTCTTTGGTTGTCCTTCGAAATCATTGTTTTCTTGATTAGGGTCCTCCATATCAAACTCTTCGTCCTCTTCAAGGTATTTTCTATGTTTAGGTTGGCCTCCCTCTGCGGCGCTGTATTCTTCGCTGTCGCTCGTAGCTCCAGTTGAAGAGGCAGCATCTGCGACACCGCTGAATGTTTCATCAACCGTCGAAGTTGAAGTCCGCCCATGTGAGTAGTTCGAAGCATCACCAAGAGCGATTAAAGTGCGAGCAACATCTTCATCAGATATGCAACTGGCCACGGTGGGATCAGGTGTGGGGAGGACTCCATGAGAGGAATAGGCCGCTCTTCCAGTATATGCTGAATGACGATCTCGCAGTCGATGGCCGTGTTGAGGTACAGGGGTCGTCACGTCAGCAGTCGGAACGAATTCGGCTTGTGCTGCGCCTGGATTCTGACCATAGCTCTGAGGAGAAAGGACGGGCACCGATTGATTGCCCCATAATTTCTGAGCGGGTGGATGGAAAGGAGAAACACCCTCTTGAGGAAGTGTGCGTCGTTGAGGGGATATGGAGGACTGGGATGCCGTGACAGGGATCTGAGGGGGCAGAAACAAAGGCAGCGTCTATTGCAAATTAGCAGGGAGTCAAACGAAAGGTTCCCTCGAGCCACTTACGCTACTATCAAAGATGGCACCTCCTCGTCGACCATCTTGCAAGACATTAGCAGCACTGATGTCTGAACTTGCAAATTGTTCACTCCTGGCTCGTTTAGATCCTGAGATGGAACTGCGTCCGGCTTCACTGTCGCTGTAGCCATTGTCATCGTAATAGCTACCGTTGGCACTAGAACCTCGACTAATGGTTGTATGTGACCCTCCCTTTTGTTGCGATCCACTTCTCCGACCTCTTCCTTGGGTAGGAGAGATACTGCGCTTGAAGGCAAGACGGGAGGAAGGGCGAGAGGGCGAATGTGACTGTTCTCGCATATGAGGCGGCAACATCTGGAAAGGTTCACCAAGACTGGGTCGACGCCGAGCCTCTGCACCATTCTCACCAACATGAACACCGTTGGCATGAGTGGCAGAAGGCAGCTGGACGCCTGCGACGATACGGACATAGACGGTGGAGTTGGCCTTGAGATTCTCGTAAGAGGCAATAAGAGTATTGCCCCACGAATCTTCAAAGCTCACACCATGGTTATCATAAATACCGTAGAAGTTCTTGACGGTAGTTATGATTGACTCGATGTTGTCATGGGGGTTCAAGACCACACGAAGAGGGATGCGTGCTCTTGTCTTGGATCCTTCGTCTAGAAGAAGTTCAAAGGCAATGGACTTTGCCGGTGACATGATATTGGCCTTTTTATCCTCTTCGGAGAGGAGACTAGAGATCTGCATAGTAGCTTCCCCGAACTTGATGTATTGTATGTGTCCGTCTCGGTTGAGGCGGTGTTGGACCAACGGGGTCAGCAGGGGCGACGATTAGGGTCAGAGGGTAGAGGAGGTCAAGATTGAAAAAAGTTGGTTCCGAGGAGTATCGAGGGCTGCGAAAAGGATTGTTAGCTTCAGAGACAATGATAGAGACAGGTTGTGGTTGAAGTTGGTGTTGCAAAGCTGGGGGTGAATCGGGGCACTCTGGCTGGCTGGCCGAGGGAGGCGATCGGGTTGGGAAGGAATGGGCTGCAATGTGAAAACAGGCCAACTTACAACAGAAATGAAGAGTTTTGTGCGATCGCAACCGGACAGGAATGATTGTAGGAGGATATTAAATTGAAGGAGAATGGCGCAAATGATATTGCAATTGCATCCGGATCTACCGTTCAGGCATGATTCGAGGAGAATGACACTGAGGATCGTGGCAGAATTGGTGAGAAAGAAAAGGTTGCCGATGGGGTTAAAGGAGTCCTTCTTGTGTAAGAATCACAGGCTGAAGGACCTCACCAGCCGACGAAGAAGGAGAAGGAGAAGAGAATTCGAGATCAGGTGTTGAAGAAGGGTGAGGAGGAGGAAGTGCAGTCACTGTGGTAGGGTAAGTGTAGGTAGCAGAGGTGAAGTGCGATCCTGATCCTGGCTTGGGTTGGGTTGCTTGAAACCGGGGCCCACTTGGAGGTCGGTCCACTGCCACCGTCCACCAAGGTGTACTCGTACCACAAGAACGTGGCTTCGAACTGCGTAGAAGAGTTGATTATTCCGACGTGGCTGAGGTCCGGCGCAAATCACGATTGACAATTAGATTATGTGAAGAAAGAATTCTACGTCCCAGTTGAAGTTGAGGGAGAAGCTGAAGCTGGAGGAGAAACTAGATAGACGGTGCATGGCGCTGGCCTAGAGCGACGGGAGAGTTGGCAGGGCAGGGCAGGGCATACTCGTTATTACTACGCGCAGTGGCCGGCAAGGTCTGCGAACCAGAATTCGCGCTCATAGCCCAAGTCCCCATATCACTACTAGTATATCTTGTGACGGAGTGGCATGAGTAGCTGGGCCAATGAGTACCCGATGACAATGGGGACATGAGGAGCGGTGTCTTTGATGGCCATACGGAACATGCGAGGTTGATAGATTAGCATTAGCATACTCACGGGGTCAATCACGAAGGATCTCGCACCACGGGCACCCGAATAGCATCGGCGCAGAACGCAGAACGCAAAACGCAAAACGCAAAACGTAAAAAGACCCGGTCAAGTCAGCGGGCGTCAATGGCAGTGTGGAGGTGGAGGCAACAATCGGGAAAGTGAGGACAGTAATAGAGTCACCCGGAGCTTAGAAGGCGAGATGGCTAGGCCAGGCGATGCGCTGTGCTAATTGCGACCGAGAAGTGCCAGTCAAAGAAAAGCAAAGCAAAGCAAACCCCTCATGTTAATCTGGCCGAACTGCAGCGGCTTGCGACTTGTCAATGGAGAAAGATTAGCAAGCCGTCAGCGGATCAAGGCACACAGCTTATGCCAACCATCCAATCGTCCTCGTCGTTTGTATGTCGGTTGGCACACAATCACCACCAACTGGGCCCATGCACTTCAGCCCGCCTTCAGAATGGGATGCCCAGGAACAACATCCCAGACTCCGAGGATCGAGCCAGTCCGACATAAAACGTTCAAGTAGTCAGTGTCCGTACTGTTCAAGCATGATTCCATTTCCATCATCCAGCCACCAATTCAGTGGCCTGGAAAGTCTTCCTGAAATGCGACATCGTAACCCAAAGTTCACTCGCCGCCGTGAACATTCTTGGCAAATCGTCGCAACCCCCGTACCACAATCAATTAATGTCCCTTCGGTATCCCCCACCTCCCAACGTGCACGTGCAGTAATTAGGATACGAGATGAGATGCTACTATTTCTATCCATGGCCAACTTGGTCAATAGCACAGATCACTCAAACTCCCCAAACTGATCGTGACCCTCCAGCTCCTCCGCGCCATTGCCCTACTGGATGAAACTGAATCCAAATGACGGAACACTGACACCCCCACATTCCATTCCAGGCGGTGATGCCATGGAAACTCACCCAAGGGGGAAAAAGCCATCCTTTCTGATGGATCCTCTATTCCCTTCATTCTAATCGTTCATAATTTTGTTCACGGAAATGCATTGCGTCAAAGTTGAAATGTCTCTCAACGTGGCCCACCCTGCCCGTAGCTGGATTCGTAACCCCAAGCTCCCGTGCCGAAGCGCAATCAAATAAAGTTCCTGCTTGCCGTTCTGTAAGTTGCCACCTCAAGCCTGAGCTTGTGCAATCATCGCACCATCTTTCTCGCTCATATCAAAGTCAGGCGTTTCGTCCGACTTATCTTTTCCTGACCTGATGAGTTTGCAAGTTACAGGCTTCTCAAAAATTGATTTGTTTTGCAATGCAGGCCACCGAGTCGGGTCACATGGGATTTCTCATCTTCGCCATAGGCAGATCGTACCTTGGCCCGCGCCACGGTGCCTCAGCTCGACAACTCACATCCTAGGATCGCATCAAACGGGTAATGCTTATGTTGCCAGAGGACTTGGAATGGTGCGATTTGTGATACGTCACTGGAGAGCACCCCAAACCCACAGGGCTGGGGTTATGGTCGACTTTGATGGCCTTCCAATGAGATCCAAATGTAAGTCAGAGGGGAACGTGACGATGAAATCTGCCAGTGGCCGTGAAAGACAACCCGTTGATGTTTCAGGCCCGATTATTGGAGCATGCGCGCATTTGCTATTACACATTCGTGGAAAGATTGAGTAAGCGCCCACTTGATTCCTTTCCAGCTGACGCCGGTGTCCGATAAGGATTGGACGAAAACGGTCCATTGGGTCAAGGGGAATGTAGACAGAATGACTGGAACATCTCTCTTTCTGACAATTGCATATCGAGCATGGCATCGCCTCTCGGACAACTCGCAAAATTGAGATCGTGGAGATACCGAGTTTGCGATAAAGTATCACGTGGGGGTAACGTGACTTCGCGAAATTTCGTGAGTGTTTCACGACGCGTCTACGTCATATCACCTATTTGTAGATTGGTCAGGCTATGTGCGGTATGCTATTTTTTGATGACCATGGACAAGTCTCTGCCATACCCTGATACCAGCATTGTATATTTTGTAGCGATATACTGCTCGCTGCGAGGGTGGTGCGAGAATATGCTATATTGACCGGCTGTTGAAGGTCGCGTTCTTTGTTGACGTTGTAATAAAGCAGGGAATCCCGGGCTTGGCATTCGACTAGCCGCCGTCCAGTTAATTTCCTTAATGGGAATGGTCAACTTCGGTAGCCGCGTCCAAAGGGCTCATGCTGCCTCAGGCTCGTCGTGCTGTTTTTGTTTACATCCTGCAGGTTCAATGTTGTGGCTTTCTGTTACCATGGCCCACAATATGTCGTGAACTCTACTACAGGTCTACCTCTCCATTGATACACTACCTGGCGTTGCCTTCTTCCTTTTCTACCTTCGCCTTTTGTATTCTCTAAGCTAATGCTCCCACTCCTGACCACCAGTGTTTCTACACAAAAGGGGCGCGACTCCTTGACCTAGGACGGCCTCATCTTGCCAGTCTCGGTCTGGTGATTTCAAGTACCTGCCATCTCAGTCTCGACGGATCGATTCATCATGATGGATATCAAGGTAAACAAGCTCCTCGACAACAACATTGCAAGATCTTCTCCCACGATCCATCCCAAGACGCTCAAGAGGCCTGTCCTCGTGCATATAATCCAGACCAGTGCTAATCCCTCGATAGCCATCACGTCCTGTGCGTTTTACACGCGTCAAGAACGATGAAAATATGCCTCCCAACGGCACGCTCACGAAATCGTTTCACCAACGCAACAAGTCCAGTCCAGCTCTTACTTCCATCCCAGGTGGTCACGCCCTCAAAGCTGCAGCCAAACGTACCGCCTTTGCAGACGTGAGCAACATCGTATCCACCATCAGAGATGATTCAATTCTACATACAAAGCCTGTGCTCCAGCCTGCTTCGAAACCAATCCACTCTCTGAACGAAAGAAAGTCAACCGCACTCCTCAAACCCGCGCAGAGACCTTATTCCGTGACCCATTTCAAGCCCACGTCAACGGCGACTCACACACATATCACATCAGATGTTGTCGCAAAGCAACCGCTGGGAGATGATGGTGCATCTCAGCTACCTATCCCAAGGAAGACATTGAGCAAGAGACCAACGATGATCTTCAAGGACGTTAATGGAGCATCGGACAATGTTCACAAGCCCATTGACCCAGTCGTCTCTTGTATACCGACAATCAACGAACATGTCAAAACCGAGTCTGGGAAAACCCTCGAAAACCTTCCCACCCTTCCACCTCTGTCCTCAATCACTCATGTTCCCACTGAACCGCTAAAATCCCTGACCGAGGTCAGATCCGATATCAGCCTCCCAGAGCTTCATGGAGTTAGCCTGGACCCTACTCCTTTGTACAGCGAAATCTGCGGAGCCCTCGTTCAAGACGGCATGCCAATGATAGAACCTACTAAACCTCAGGTCGCACACTCACAGGTCCACGACAGCACACATACGACCGGGCCTCTACCATTACCCAATATTGTTGCCGCCCCCACAATGGTCGCAACAACGCAAGTTACTGTTGCAAGTCTCATGAACCCAGTCACCAATGTCCCTGCCTTGAACCCTCACCACACCGATCATGAACCTTCCCTGGAGCCCGAAGAGTACTGGGATGACGAAGATGAGGAAAATTATGACGAGGAAGGCTATGTGACCGCAAGATCATTCCGATCTAAAGGCGAAAACACCACTGGAGGTGCTACTGCGGTTCTCTTCCCCCAGGTCAACAATCGAGTCCGAAAGGAAATTGCTGCTGCAAAGCAGTTGGTAGAGGCGACAAGATCTCCCGAAGAAATTGAGGACGAAAGTTACGACACCAGTATGGTTGCCGAGTATGGTGATGAGATCTTTGATTACATGAAACAGCTTGAAGTCAAAATGCTTCCAAATGCTCACTACATGGATAATCAACACGAAATTCAATGGTCGATGCGTTCTGTTCTGATGGACTGGTTGGTACAAGTACATCATCGATTCAACCTTCTGCCAGAGACCCTGTTCCTCTGTGTCAATTACATCGATCGATTCTTGTCTTGCAAAGTTGTGTCTCTTGCGAAGCTACAGCTGGTGGGAGCAACTGCCATATTCATTGCTGCCAAGTACGAAGAGATCAACTGCCCATCGGTACAAGAAATCGTCTACATGGTCGACGGTGGCTATACCATTGATGAGATTCTCAAGGCTGAACGATTCATGCTGACTATGCTACAATTCGAGTTGGGTTGGCCAGGCCCAATGAGCTTCCTACGAAGGATCAGCAAGGCTGACGACTATGACCTGGAAACACGAACTTTGGCGAAGTACTTCTTGGAAGTCACATTGATGGATGAACGATTTATCGGGAGTCCTCCAAGCTTCACTGCGGCGACATCACACTGCCTTTCCCGCTTGATGCTTCGAAAAGGCACATGGGTAAGTCACCAGTAATTCAGATTTGACAGCAGAAGCTAATCATTTTAGTCTCCTCATCATGTCTATTACTCCGGGTACACCTTCTCTCAGCTCAAGCCCATGCTCAACTTGCTCTTGGAGTGTTGTGAAGATCCAAGAAAGCACCACGCAGCAGTGTACAACAAATACTGTGACAAGCGTTATAAGAGAGCCTCGGCGTTCGTCGAAACAGAGATGCAGCGTGGCTTTCGTTTACCCGATCCAGTCTCAATCCCGAATTTATCACAGCCGGCCCCTATCGAATACTACGACAGTGTTTCATTCTTCCGAGGTTGAAGAATAGCAGTGCCACCCACGATCTATGATAGCACATGTCGCCATACAATGATCAACAGCCAGCATGGGAGTTTTCGCCGGCCATGAGGCCAGCACTTACAAACACCCTGCTTGCAAGCTAATGCACAAACAGCAATTCGGTTGCATCCTCCTCATCAATCCTACGGTCTTTTCTCATCAACCATTAATTTTAGAAGAGCTCAATACAAGGAGCGAGCATTTACGAGGCAACACGAAGTCACGAAAATCATAATTAGCATTTCTTTACTTTCCTTCTCCGCGAACCAATGACCGGACCATGCTCTACCTCGGCTCCTAATCAGTTATTGGCGCAGTGGAGGGTGGAATGGATGTCATGGAATACGAGCCATGAACTTGGTGTCGGGGTAACCAGGCTCGGAGGCGGATTGGGAGCCTCTCGGGATTTCATGGCATAGAAACGGGTCTCATCGAGCACAACAAATAAAAATGTGCTGAGGAGCAAGTTGACGCAAATGCAATGCTTGGAGAAGACAGACATGGCGTCTGTTTCAATTTAATGATGAATTCCCAGAACTACTTTTCACAAACAATTGCTTTCTCGGTCGACTCTAATTTGTTACAGGTATGATCTTCACAAGAACGTCTTTGTAGTAGTAGGACGTGCACTTTGGATTCAAACAACCTAGGTCTTGAAGGACAAGGCTTTCACACCGGAGAGTGTCCAGGTGGCTCCCCGATGGCCTTGTTCGCCTAATTACGCTAACAGCAACTAAGCCGAGCCACACGGTATTTTCCTCTAACGAACGTGTACATCTGCCACGAGGATCAACAAACCTTGCAAAGATCACTCCTTGATCCTTTGGCCAATCACAAGAGTTCGAATAAGTCGTCGTCAGTGATCTAAACCTACTCAGTGGCCTAAGGAATGAGCGAGGTCCGCACATCTTTCGCTCACGTCGATCTTCTTGTTTTGTCGCCACATGATACTCGATTTGAATGCCGTGAAGCTTCATCTCTGGACATCGGAGCGCAAATCCAAGAATTTAGGTATTCCATTGCGCCTATGCATGCCTAAGAAACCTCGTTGGTGAGTGGTGGTCATTGATGGCGCCCAAGAAAGGTGCCGGCTCTGGTAAAAATACGCCGAAAAAGTCAAATCCCACAGTCCCTGATAGTGATCACATCGTTTTCAGTAATCGCCAGGACGACAAGAAGAAGAAGGATCAGAAAGATGCCGAGGCACCTCCACGTCCCGATACAAAGAAGATAATTGGTGGTGCATCATGGACGGGAAAGGTTCCTGTTCAACTGCTCTCTGAGCACTGCCAACGTCAGAAGTGGAATAAACCCGAGTACCAACAACGACAATTGCCTCCGAATAATGAAGGTGAACCCAGATATAAAAATTGGGTCATCCTCTCGAAGACTGACTCTAAAACGAGAGAAGTGACTCGATTGCCTCCCTTTCAACTCCCTCCCCAACATGCTCATCTTGCAGAGCAGCCAACGGCACTAGAAGCAAAACATTTTGCTGCCGCTTACACCCTTTTCAGAGTTTTGAGCATGAAAAACATTTCAATGATACTCCCACCAAATTACCGTGACTTATGGAAGGGTGATTTCCAACAGATGAAGGAGGAAGATGTAAAGGAGGACCGGGCATGGAAATATGATGCCGATCCTTTCGCGGCCGACACTAAGCGGCAAGAAATCAAGGCCAGCATTGAGAAAAGAAGAGAGCAAGCCGCTGTTCAAGCTGCAAGACCCGAAACGATCACCTTAGTTCATCCTGGCGCGTCGAAACAACCTACCAAGGCGTGGGACTATGCCCCAAAACTCGAGCTAGGTGATTCGATTCGGACACGTATCGAAAGCATCATCAGATCGAAGAGCATCTGGAATCCAAATGATATTAGGATCCCTCCAGCTGAGAGAATGTCTATCATTTCTGACCTGTCGAAATCAGGATTCAAGACCAACCACGTTGAGGAGGCCGTTGGATATTGTGGCAACAGACAAGAAGTGTTGGAGTGGCTGCTCATTCATGTGCCTGAAGATTCATTGCCTGGCTGGAGCTTCCCACTGGGTTATAGCGCAGGGGTCAGTTTGGTGACTAATGATCTTTCCACTGACGCGAAGATAAAGAGAATGATGCAAGCAGGTTATTCGAGCCAAATTTGCATCCAGGCATTGAAGGATAATGACCGAGATGAAAGTCTTGCTCTAGAGGCCCTCCAATCCAAGCTAGTGCTGCCTCTGACAGATATCTCGCAGGCCATAGCTTCAGATGCCTCTGTCTGGGCCGATGAGATCATGGCTTTAGAGGCAATCCTCGCAGAGAGATTCACTTTACGGAGCGAAACCCATTGCGAAGTCAAGTCTGATTCGTCGTCTGCAATCTCAGCCACATATTCATTCCGCCAACCAAAATATGGTTACCCAAATTCCTCAGTACCTGTCTTCTCAATCGATGCACCAGGCTTACCCTCCCACACCCGGTTGAGTATTCTCAAGCGAGGCGTACAATATGCTCAGAGCAATCTACTTGGACAGCAGATGATCTTTGGTCTTTTGGACTGGCTTGAGACATCAGCTTCTGATATTATCCAGAATCCTTGCCTTCTTACCGAGCTCGAGATTGTTTCATCGACCTTGACATTGCAGGCGTCAAGCACGCCGAACGATCCTGCCCAGCAGCAATCCCGCCATACGACAAGAGGAAACCGACCTCAGCGAAAGGACCTTCGATCAAGTGCATCAATCCTCAAATCGTGGCAGGCACGACATGAAAGTGGCCCACAGATCAAAATGCGAACCATCAGACAGAAATTACCTGCGTGGCAAAAGCAGGCCAGTATAGTAGAGATGGTCTCAAATCATCAGGTAACCCTCATCACTGGTGAGACCGGTTCTGGGAAGAGTACACAAGCGATACAATTTGTCTTGGACAATGCAATTCAGGATTTGAAGGGTTCATCGACTAACCTTATCTGCACTCAGCCCAGGCGAGTGGCAGCGCTGTCTCTTTCGGAGAGAGTGAGTGCAGAAAGGTGCAGTACCGAAGGTGACGAGGTCGGCTACAACATCCGTGGTGATTCCAAGTTGTCTGCCGCGACCAAAATCACTTTCATGACTACCGGCGTTCTTCTTCGACGCTTACAAGGTGCCACAAGTGTCAAGTCCGCGCTTGCCGATGTCAGCCATATCTTTGTAGACGAGGTTCATGAGCGCTCGTTGGACACGGATTTTTTGCTGGCGCTCTTGCGAGACGCTTTGTCATCAATGCCTGCATTGAAGATTGTTCTGATGAGCGCGACTCTCGATGCCGATGTGTTTGCCAATTACTTTGGTGGCGATAGTGTTGGAAGAGTCCACATTGAAGGCCGTACATTTCCTGTTCAGGATCTCTACCTCGACGATGTCGTCCTACTCACGAATGGCGCAAAGGCTGCAGCTCATAACGGTTCTACAGAAGAATCCGAGGTCCATATTGGGAAATCAATTCAAGCTTTAGGTGCTGGTATTAATTACCAACTTATCACCTCTCTTATCCAAAAGATTGATGGAGAGCTAGGGGCTCTTGCTGGCGGTATCTTGATATTTCTCCCTGGTGTTCTGGAAATTGAACGATGTTTGAGAGCGCTACAAGATGTTCCTGGTCTACACGGACTTCCACTTCATGCATCTCTTACACCTACCGAACAGCGGCTGGTATTTAGGAGCCCTCCATCAGGTAAGCGGAAAGTGGTTGTCGCCACAAACGTTGCCGAAACCTCAATTACCATCGAAGACATCGTGGCCGTCATAGACTCTGGGAAGGTCAAGGAGACTTCATATGACCCTGTGTCGAACATGGTTCGGCTGCAAGAAGTATGGGCGTCACAGGCTGCTTGCAAGCAAAGGCGTGGTCGAGCTGGTCGAGTCCGGGCTGGAACATGCTATAAGCTATTCACGAAGAATATTGAGACGAACATGGCCCCGGCCCCAGCACCTGAAATGCACAGAACACCATTAGAGCAACTTTGTCTGTCTGTGAAAGCAACCGGGGCAGATCGAAAGGTAGAAGACTTTCTTGCAAGGACGATATCGCCTCCAGATAGCCGTGCTGTTTCCACAGCAATGGTTACTCTGCAGCGCATTGGGGCATTGGAGAACGATCGTCTGACTGGGTTGGGAACATATCTCTCGACGATTCCTGCCGACCTTCGATGCGGAAAATTGCTCGTTTATGGAGTGCTCTTTGATTGTGTTGAGACATGCCTGACTATCGCAGCCACCCTAACAACGAAAAGTCCATTCGTGTCGCCGCGAGACAAACGTGAAGAGGCCAAAGAAGCACGTTCATCCTTCCCCACTTCTGATGGCGATTTGCTTCTAGATAGCCATGCCTTCCACCAGTGGAAAGAGAGATCTTCGGAATTGAGATACAGAGACCTACAGGACTGGTGCTCAGCAAGATTCTTGTCTCAGCAAACGCTTCGAGACATAGATTCAACGAGACGGCAACTGCTTGATTCTCTGATTGAGTCTGGCCTACTATCTGCGGGATACTCCTCGAGCATCGCCGCGCACAATCGAAACAGTGGGAATTGTATGCTGTTGAGAGCGGTGATTGCAGGTGCCTTGAACCCCCAGGTCTCTAGGATCCAAATGCCAGACAAGAAGTACATCGCATCAATGTCTGGTGCCAAAGAGCTCGATCCGGACGCCAAGACCATCAAATACTTCAACCAGGAGAATGGCAGGGTTTTTGTTCACCCTAGCAGCGTGCTCTTCGATGCACAAGGCTTCTCAGGCGCGGCTGGCTTCGTCAGCTACTTTACCAAAATGGAGACTTCAAAGACTTTCGTGCGAGATCTGACGCCACTGAATGCATATGGTCTCTTGCTTTTCGGAGGGCCTATTGAAGTGGAAACCTCTGGCGCTGGGCTTCTCGTGGATGGATGGCTGAAACTGCGCGGTTGGGCTAGAATTGGTGTTTTGGCTTCTAGGCTTCGTGCCCTAGTTGACGACGAGCTGAAGAGGCGCATAGATTCTTCGGGCTCTCAGGTTCATGACAGCTCGCTCTTTGATGTCGTGCGGCATTTGGTGGAACTCAATGGGCAGGATAAATAGATGTTTTATGGCCCCGATTCTGGTGCTTAAACTTTTCAGCGACGATGGTAACTCCCTGTGTTCCCTCTATCTAAAAATGCATTGGTTGAACCTGAACTGAAAGAGCACTTCGCTCAGTAGACCCGTCTTCTCCTATTTCGCATATTTTCTTTCCTAGCTCATGGTTAGTCTATTGAGCCATATGAGCTCATCAAAGACCAATGTAGGTAGGTAGGTATGGGTGGAAGTTGGTACGGTGAATGCTGTGCCGAAGCCGGCCCGAAAGATGTCTAGAACAACACAACAGGGTCACCCCCGCAGATCGGGTAGAAGACCCCGAATATCCTCGTCTGTGACGCCCCGACTCCAGTAGACAGTTCCCTAACTGATACCCACCTAGGTAAGCAGCTTTGTGGGAGAATAGAGGGGCACACGAAAAGACGAAAAGACCAATGCGGTTAGTTACGGGTGTAAACCACAGCAGTCACAACATCGAGCACTAAGATCCCAACCGGATATCGTGTTTCTCAAAGGTCTCGCATTCGGTCCATCACAACTCACGCCCTTTGACATGCTTTAACACACCGAGGAGAGCAACTATCATGGCGTTTCCCTCCCCCTCATCCTTTCAGCCCCCAACGACAGTTCGAAAACGTCGAGCGGCTGCGTGTGAGAGATGTAACAAACGGAGAGTGCGATGCGACGCCTCAATCAATGGTCTGCCTTGCTCCGAATGCAAGCGCTCGAACAATCGAGAATGTAGACTCGTACAATCCAAGCGCACCAGGTAGGGGGTTTTGGTATAAATGTCGTACCATTGCGCTCTGAACTGATCTTTTGTGACAGAGGTCCCGACGGGCGCTATATCTTGCCAGAACCAAATGAAGCACAGTCGTCCACAAGCCCAAGCACGACTGACGGTGACGGTCTAAGATCAAAGGCTGACAATGCCCCAGAGCCCACCAAGAGTGCTCAAGAGGCTGATGTCCCCATCAATCTCGTAAAATTGGTTGGTGCCGACCAAGATCAGGACAGTCTTTCCGGAGATGAATCCATTGACAAAGCGGCAAACCGAGGTGATCATTCCGACGATTCTTCTACCCGACCACGCCGCGAGTCCAAGGCCAATTTTGTCGGAGAAAGCTGGTATGCTTCGTATGTACTGAGTGCTTCCGGTACTGGTCATGCAGAACTCCATCGTCCGATAGAACGGCGACAGAAGAATCTGTCAGATACCTCTCTTGGTCACGTTCAAGTAGACGGCAGTCTGCTGACAAAGCCTGGAGGCTCACCTCCTGCCGATTTGCCACCACAACATCTTATGGAGCGCTTGCTGGAAGCTTACTTCAAACGATTTCATTGCCTAGTTCCAATTCTTGAACGAGCCGAGTTCTTGACATCGGTACGCGATGGCAGTGTCTCAATAACATTGCTGCGCAGTGTCCTCTTTGTCGCAACAATCCACTGCGACCCGGAAGTTTATCACTTGATGGGTTACAGCACTCGTGTTGATGCGGGAGATGATCTCTGGACAAAGGCATGTGCGTCCTTCGATGCGGACAGAGACTCCGATCGCACGACGTTGATTCTGGCATCCTTTCTAAATCACTACTTCTTCGGGCGGCCTTCGGAGTATCGCGATTCATTATGGTGGCTGAGCAACGCAATTCGCAGTGCGCAATGCATGGGGTATCATCGAAGCACGGTGAACAGCAAAATGCTCCCGCGACATAAGGCTCAGTGGAAACGGGTCTGGTGGTGTTTATATGTGCGTCTGAGCCACCGAATAACATTGAGCTTTACTAACCACGGCTCTAGATGCGAGATCGACAAGTTTGTTGTGCAACAGGCGCTCCAATGGTCATCAATGACCTCGATTTTGATGTTGAAGAACCCACCCTGGAGGACTTTTCGGATGAGACTCCGGAGGTCGCCAAGTATATCATAGCGCAATCACAGCTGAGCAGGATATGTAATCAAGTGCCCACCCCTTTTGGTCCAGCTCTTACTGATCATCTTCCAGTTTCGGCCTTGTACTTCAATCATTGTTCTCCACGTCGTCTTCCATTGAGTCATGATCCCGTGGTACGCCAGGCAGCACGGCGAGAGATCCAATCCACTTTAGAGGACTGGTATGCTGGGACCCCATTAATGACCACTCGTGGTAAAAGTCATCACTTGACTCTATGTTTGCAGGTTTGCTATTAGTAAGAACTTTCGTCTGATGGTCACCACGATACTAACCACCTGACACTCAGTTTCTATATCACAACTCTACAACAGAGGCTTCAGAGATTATGCCCAAAGCCTTTCACGGACTCGGAAGGGTCCAAGTTCATCCTAGAAGCTGCGGATCAAGTATCGGTACTCGTTGAGGATTCACTGTTATATTACACACCGCAGCATTTTCCCATGACATAGTCAGTATCAGCCTGGTTTGAAGTGTTCCGCCATTACTAACTCTTCAAAGTATAACAGCAATATTTACCGCAATGGTTGCTCACGTTGCTGAAATTCAAGGGGGCGTATCGAGCGTCAATCGCGACGGGCTATCCCAGAAACTTCGTCCCAACCTATTAGCTCTCAAGCAATTTGAGACGACATACATCCTTGCTAGATGGATCAGAAATCTGTTCATGGACATTATCAACAAACCCGTTCGGCACGCGCAGGGCCAAACAAATATTCAACACGAGAGGACACAGAGCAGTGGCAGCCATGGCAACATCGAGCAAGACCCGTCCATGACGCCTGAAAGTTTTCTCCGATCTCATCATCAAGCGAACTCGACTTCAGAAGCATCCGCTGCACAGGGCCACCACAGTTACTCGGCAGGTGAAGGCTCTGTGCAGACCCCAGCACCACATGACGGGACATATCTTTACGGATCGAATTCCTACGAGCATTCCGTGTCTCCGCCCGTGATTATGGGCAATTATGTGCCGAACTTCATCACCAATGAATTCCTGCCGACACAAGGTAATAGTGAAATGTCTGGAATGAACATGATTGATTTTCCTAGTCCCAGCACTCTCGAGTACCAGAGCCTTCATTTCCTTGCAGACATCGGCCTCTCTGGGTTCAATGTTTACCAATGAGAGACATAGGCGCATCACACCTATTGCTCATTCGAGTATCGCCTCTGCCTTGGATGTAGTTGGTCAGTCCAAGTTTTCGTCCGCAACGCAAGAAGTTGGGGCTTCAATTACAATTGCCTCGGTGAAAAGAGCAATGTGGCTGTCCTCGTCCCCTTTTCATGACGGAGTAGGACAGGATGATGATCTTAGCTTTCCATCATTGATGGTCATGGTCCTGAAGCTTTTACCCCGAGTCGAGTAAGAGAGACTGAAGTAGTCAGCTTGATATCCTCTCACGAACTGTATGAATGAGATATGAATCTCGGCGGGCTAGATCCGCCAGAATATGGCTAGAAACAGGAAATACACGCCCTGCTACACATTGCACCACATCACCAATCTTATGCTATGGCACTGAGACTGAGTCGCATCGGCCGGAAGAATGAGAGGAGAAAGGTTGTTCCAGCGATACAGTCCGGCATGAGAAGGCAGGCGCGCTTGCCACGGCACGACGCACGAAGGAAGGCACGCGTAACTCACCGGGCCGACAAACAACTTCTCGTCCTCAGGCCGTTTTCTCTTGGCCATAAGATCATATCTCTCTTCCTCTCGTCAAAATTCCAGTCCGTCCTTCGTTGCAGGTCTCACATCATCATTCTCCGTTTCACCAGACCAATTCTCACTTCCCCACAGCAGCAATTATGTATGTATGAATCGTTATTCTATCGACCCACTCACCAATTTGAAACAGGAAACGAAGCAAGGATGATGACACCCATTCTGTAGCAGTGAGTCATTGCACTCATCTTCTCGAAGCACTGTTGTCGGTTCTCTACGACAAGCGGCTGTGCTTCGGGAATAGTATCGAAGGTGGAGACAACAATGGTACTTGCGGAGTGATATCAGCGTTATTTCATCGTATTCAGGACACATTCGTGCAAGTCACTGGCTTCGCAGGTTTGTTTTGCGATCATTCTATTTGCAGGGGGATTCTACATACTAAGAGGCGCGAGATCGGACCAACACCGGGAGCCAGGTGGTCAACACTGGTATAAATTTGCATGAAGCCAGAGATAGCAGCCACATCCCTTTTGAGCCTACGACTACAGACACGGCGACCAAAAAGGAGAGGCAGCAGCGATTGCAAAAGCTTTATGCAGATTACTTGAAGACATATGAATGGCTACAGACAGCTCAGCAGGCTCATCAGCGTGTTGCAAGACGAGTTGCAGAGAAGAGAGAGGGCGTCGTACAAAAAGTCACAGTCTGTTTGCCCGCTCTTCATGCGACCTATCATGCTGGGGGCCCACTTCAATTTCACTTTTCTTGCACGGTTTTACAGAGTGCAGATGACTATGACGCTGTTCTCGCGAGCTTGGGCTCTGCCCTTGTACAAGTTACACAGCGGTTTGAGCGAGCAAAGAGGAATGCTACGGCCAGCAAGCGAAGGGCTGAGTTAGCACTAGCTGCGACTTAGGAGCTTCACCAACATCTCCAAGCCATGAAAGCAGGGCGCAAGTAAGAAAGGTCTGCTTCAAATTTCATATGCAGAGTCCACTGGTCGCTGTCTCTTAGGTGCACTCTGATCTGCAGAAGGCCCGGGTTATCGCTGCTTAGGACGGGTGTTTAGAGAAAATCTCACTGCGATCTTAGGAAGGCTGAGATTATCGCATAAAACGAATGCTCAAGGATGATAATCAATACATCGTGCTTCAAATTCAAAAACTTAGATTGAAGCACTTCTATCTGATTCCCCAATCACGATCATGTTTATAAATTCGGGCCTCGGCCTTGCCAAACAATTCCGTGGTCAGTCTCTGTCGTCTTCCGCGAAATGACATCCTGGACCTTCTCTTCGACACCGGCTTTGTTCTTCCATCTCCTAACCATCTCTTTTACCACCGCCTGTGATCCAGCAGAGCCATAGCTTTTGACCACTGTCTGTATGTCCGATTCGCGTGGCAACGCAAACACCGCGTGAGGATAGTCCGTGTATGTTTGGCTGGGCGAGCCTGGGTGTGGATCAATCAATTCAATGGTTTCCGCTGCTGACGGCTGGTCGAAGAAGCGTTGCACATCGCTCGACGAGACTTCTCCCAGAGTATTTGGCTTCCATACTGGGTTGGCTGGTGGCTTGGCGATGAGGCGTGCTGAGACGCCCTCGGTGAAATCGGGATGGCGCATGAATTCGGCGGCGATTTTGTGTTCGCGGATGAACGTCTCCCGGATGTTCCAGTTTCTGCCCTCTCTGAGTTGTCGCAGGGTCACGCGCAGACTGGTTGGCGATCGAAGCGCGATAGTCTTGCCTGTGGCCTTGGCCCATTCCGCAACCTTGGTGTCTGACGACTGAGCCTCGCGCTGGAGAGCCTCCAGGATCTCTTCGACGGAGTCAAATCTGAAGGACCGGTCGATCGCCTCGCGCAAAGTGCCTGTAAGATTGCCGTATTGCGCCTTGGGGTATGAATCCGGAGCTGGCAAGCTACTCGTGAACTCGGTGATGGTTGCGTTGATCAGTTCTTGTCGATCGATGAGGGTCGCGCTGTCTTTAAACACGAGCTCTGATAGTCGTGTTGTCAAGGGGCCGAGTACTGAGCTGTCGAGATAGTGTGTGGCAATGCCTGCGTAGAATGCTTGTACCCCGTGTAGTCGTTCCGAGGTCAGGGCCAGGTATGTACCGATTTCGCCGTCAAGTCGAGACAAGAAGAAACTGCCACCAACATCGGGGAAGAACCCAATCGTTGTCTCTGGCATGGCGAAAACTGTCTTCTCCGTCGCAATGCGGAATGGAGCATGAACCGACAGGCCTACACCACCACCCATTGTGATTCCGTCCATGATGGCCACATATGGCTTGCTGTACGTCGCGATCAGAAGATCCAGCTTGTATTCGAGGGCGAAGTAATCCGCCGACTCTTTCTGGCCCGCCTCTCCCTTTTTATTCTGGAGCGCAAGCTCAGCCACGTCGCCTCCGGCGCAGAAGGCTTTCGGGCCTGCTCCGCTGATCAAGATGACATTGGCCATGTCCGACTTTTCCCATTCTCTTAGACGAGGCAGGATTTTCCGTGCCATGGAACCGTTCAGGGAGTTGAGTTTCTTCGGTCGGTTCAACTCGATGGTGCGCACCCCGTACAAGGAATTGAAAACGACGTCGTCTGGGTCGTCCGAAGGTAGCTCCTTTGGCAGAGCGCCATATCGGACAATGGTGGAGGACATCTATGGCCAATGAGCACAAACAATGAACAGGAGCATCATGTCAACGTGAACCTACCGTTCGCCGGTCGAGTGCTCGAGTGAGTTGTGAAGCTCGTGGGCGAGCGACAAAGCTCGACGTCCTTAGAGCAGTATTGTGACCTAACAACGAGGCTGCGTATTTAGCACAGCACGCCTTCATGACGAGAAGTAAAATAAATGAATGATCATCTATTGCGTTAGTTTGTCGCTCTCTCTTTAACTACGGGTTGGATTCGTCAACAATTCCCGGCAAGGCCAAACCTCGGAAACCACCCCGGCCGAGGCGTCTCTGAAAAAAGAGGTTTGCCCGAACGGCTATCGAAGGAGTTTCGATGAGATCACGTGATTGGACCGCCATATGAATCACGTGAACATTGTTGCCAATATTATGTAAGACAATGCTTGGCAGTGCAAGGATCTGCTTCGCTGTATCATCGTGGAAGGCAAACTTTCTGAATTATTAAGACTCACATCAGGTTTTCCAAGACTTTCTGTTAATTGAGTCCTGCACGGTTCTGCCTTGTTGAAGGCGACTTATAGTCTGCAGAATCTTCATTTCTTCCTGATTTCTCGACTGATTTCTACAACATTAGTCCTTCCGACAGCCTCAATATGTCGATGGAAGTCGATTCTGTGGCGCTGCCATCCATCCAAAAACCACAGACAGCCACTATTTTGTGTTGCAATTGTGGTGCCCCCATCGACGGGACCTTATCTGCAGGTGCATTGTGTTACGATTGTATTAAACTCTCCGTTGATGTCTCCGAGGGTATACAGCGAGAAGGCGTACTACACACATGCAGAGATTGCGAAAGATGGTTAAGTCCGCCCGCTCAATGGGTCACTGCTGGATTGGAGAGTAGAGAACTTCTCGCCCTATGTCTGAAGAAACTCAGAGGTCTTAACAAAGTCCGAATCATTGACGCAAGCTTTCTCTGGACCGAGCCTCATTCCAGGCGGGTGAAGGTCAAGATCACCGTTCAACAAGCAGCATTTGAAGGAACCATACTGCAACAGACATTCGAGGTCGAATATGTTGTTGCCAATCAACAATGCCCAGAGTGCGCGAAATCATTTACCCCGAATACCTGGCGAGCATCGGTGCAGGTCCGACAGAAGGTGTCTCACAAACGTACTTTTCTATACCTTGAACAACTGATGCTCAAGCATGGAGCACACAAAGACACAATCAACATCAAGGAAGTCAAAGATGGCTTAGACTTCTACTTTGCACAACGAAACCATGCTGAGAAATTTGTCGACTTCCTCTCATCGGTAACTCCTGTGAAGACGAAAAAGTCTCAAGAATTGATTTCGATGGACATCCACACCTCTACCAAATCCTACAAATTCACCTACTCTTGTGAACTGCTACCAATCTGCAAAGACGATCTGGTTGCACTACCACCGAAGCTTGCGAAGTCGATTGGCAACATCTCACCATTGGCTCTTTGCTACAGAATAGGCACATCAGTCAATCTTATTGATCCAAGTACTTTACAGACTGCCGATTTACCATCATCGGTATATTGGAGAGCCCCTTTCAAGAGTCTTGCGGACGTAAAGGAGCTAGTTGAATTTGTGGTACTGGACATTGAGCCAACGGGTGTTCAAAACGGTCGATTCTTTGGAGCGGAGGCTACTGTTGCTAGAGCTTCTGATCTGGGATCAAATGACACTACTTACTATTGCAGAACTCATCTAGGAGGCGTCCTCCATGTAGGAGATTCAGTGCTAGGCTTCCATTTGACCGGAACAAATTTCAACAATCCTCAGTTTGAAGAGATGGAGCAAAGCCACGCCTATGGTTCAACGATACCAGATGTTCTACTTGTCAAGAAGTTCTACGCTCGAAAGAAGAAGCCGAAGGCGAGAAGCTGGAGACTTAGACGAATGGAGAAAGACGAGGGAGAGCTCTTGCCAAAGAAGACAGATCAAGAGCGGATGGATGCTGATTATGAAATGTTCTTGCGAGATGTGGAGGAAGACTCTGAGTTGAGACAGACTCTTGCTCTTTACAAAGCTAAGCAGGAGAAGGCCAAGGCTGCAGATGATGCCATGAGCATCGTCACAGGTGATGAGAGTGATGATGAAGTCCCGAAGATCAACATGGACGAGTTACTGGAGGACTTTGACGAATTGAATGTTAATGATATGGAGGCATGAGGGCCAGGAAGGCAAAGCAGTGTAAACGCGATTGACGATAGGGTTTATGACACACCTAGTTACGTTTTTCAATGAAGGCGTTCTCGAGTTCGATTGAATACCATTCTCGACTCAGCCTCTGGGACACGTTTCGGTGTCGTTGATTGTGTGTTATACATGGACAACTAGGTCGGGTCACATGGCTCACCAAGTTATTGCGGTATTCCGTGGCTCGGAGGCGTTCTTTTGCTGGACGATAAAGAAAACTTTTCATGGTGTTCGATTTCTTCTCCTCTCATCATACCACTCCCTCTCCAAGTCCGTTTCGCCCTCTCACTTTGATTCACCACTCAAAGATCGGATTCCATTTCCACCTACCGTTGAAAGACACTTTATTCCATGAGAAATCGTTGGGAAATCTTGCTGTCCACCCCACCAGAGTCAACCTCCCCTCAATGGCCTTTCGGTAAGTTTGAATCAGATCTTTCATGCTTGTCTTCTGAGCTAATTCGGGACGCAAAGCACGGGTGGCAGCAAGTGCTGTGACAGCAATTGCCCAGTGGTCATCAACGAGAACGCGCGAGGGATTCAAAGACTCTTAGATGTCCTATCCCCAGAACAACGCAATCTTGTGCTTGAATTTGCGGAGGCCTTAGGTCAGTTCTGGTTCTCTCTCTACTGGACGAAGTCACATACTGAGCAAGATATAGCCCATATAGCCCAAAACACAGGAGAACCCTTTCCAGTTAGCCAAGAGCTAAAAGACTCGATGGAGGAGATCATAGCTCTCGCCGAACAGCAGCAGAAGGATGAGAATACATTGAACACTGCTTGACTGTGACACTCAACACTCAGGCTGCAGACGCCAGTCGACAGAATGACGTCATTGGTCAGGTCTGGTCCTTTTTTTCGGACTTACAGACGGAGTATGAATTGTGACTCAGTTAGCTACATATCACCATAGAGAAACTCACTTACGCCCTTAGAGTGACAAAAAATCAATAGGAATGATCCTTGAAGTGTGAAGCATGCAACAGGCAGCGTTACACGTGTACTTGAAAACGCCCTTTGATGTGATTAGAACAACGTCGAAGCTTGTGGCAAGTACGCCAAGCCAAAATTGATAACCTGCAGAGTGTTCTTTGGACCATATCTCACCTGACTGTACACGGCAATGGTGACTTAAGATGTGTGTGAAGACTCTACATTACTGACTACATACTAGTCTGCTAGGTTCACACCGTTGGTTTTTGTTTGAATGAAGCCCAATTCTCTAAAACTTACCCGATTATCCGACAGAATAACCCTCCTAGTCACTCCACTTCCCTTTCGCTGGTGGCAGTCGCCGTCTAGACCCATGAAAGTCTATGGAGCCTCGATGTGAGAGTGATGAGTTCCGCATTCTTTCGCCGACCTACAGATGACAGCTCAAGTTCAGATAGCGATGATGCCGAGCCAATCGATGCTTCGCAAGGAGAGTTAGACCACTCGGCTGAGGTAGCAATTGGACCTGCAACGACCACTACTGAGTCGATCTCGAGCCATGAAAGCGTGTCCGTCGGGGAGGGACAGGAGGTTCCGTTGGCCGACTTCCGCAATGTTGAACAACATCGCAGCCTTCTGCTCTCCGCACTACTTGAGGATTTCGTCAAAAACAGGGCTTGCGAAGAGATGAACAAGGCCAATCCTGGACGGAATTTTGACCGTCATTCACCAGAAATTCAGCCTCTAGCACAGAGGCTTTTCCAACAAGCCAGTCAACCTCTAGCTCTGAACGGGTGGATTACACCAACATCTGCGAACGATAATGTCGGAAGCAGACAGACTCGTGCCACTTATTTGACTGGAATTGAGAGTCTAGCCCTGGGCCAGCTTCAGGGCAGCAACTTCTTACCGGCTCATGGACGGCCACAACTCCCTTCGCGCAGTCAAACCCTATCACTTGTCCAAGGCAGCCATCATCCGAGAACAGCGATGCACCAAAGTATTCCAGCCTTCGGTAATCTTTCACTTCTCCCAGAGGCACACTCCACACCCAATCCTTACTCAGACCTGATCCTCACGACTCCTGCCATTCGGTCAAGCCATTATGAATCTAGTTTCCAACAACTCAAGTTTCTAGGTCGCGGAGGATTTGGTGCTGTTTACCATACGTACAATCTTTTTGACAAGAAGGAGTATGCAATCAAGAAAATACCTCTCAGTCCTAGATTATCTCAGAGGTACCGAGAATCCGGCCATAAAGAATTGGAGAATATACTCCGAGAAGTGCAAGCTTTAGCCCAGCTTGAGCATCAAAACATTGTCCGATATCATGCAACATGGATTGAGGAACCCAAAGAAGTACCCCCACCTGCTTTTCCACCGAGGAAGCCAAGTCTGGCTGTTGGGGGCAGAAAGTTGATAGAAGCAGGGGGTTCAGCGCATGGTCATATACCTCCCGTGCAGGCAGAAGAAGTGAGCGACGGAATTGTCTTTGGGACAGACAGTGTTTCCAAAGCTGAGCCATCCAGAATCGAGGTTAACGCTCCATTGATCTCGTTCATCCAGCATACTGAAACAGACTCGGTAGCTGGTCGAACCTCAGAAATGTTCACTGATGGGGACGCCAGACCCAATGTTCGGAACGAGACTGCTCTAGATGCTTCAGTGTACGTCTTGCATGTACAAATGTCCGTCTATCCTATGACTCTTGCGCAATACCTCGCCCCACAAGGTCAACATCAATCGAGCTCAACAAGCCCCCAAACTCGTCGTCATTGCTTTCACTTAGTCCCAGCACTCAGGATATTACTTGGCATTCTTTGTGGTCTGCAGTATATTCATGCAAAGGGGTTGATTCATCGAGATATCAAGCCAAGCAATATTTTCATTTCCAGCATGGGATTGAGCGCAGGATCTCTCATTGCGGAAGGTTATCACGATGTTGGATCTTGCACTGGATGTCCCGATCGCAGTCCTTACTACATCAATCCTCGCATCGGAGATTTTGGTTTGGTAGCAGAAGCAGCAGCTACGAGCTCCACTAACCAGAAAGATGTTGGAACACAGTACTATCGTCCTCCTCCGTATCGTGACCCTCATAACAAGTGGAACTCTCACCTTGTCAACGAGAAACTCGATGTCTTCGCATTGGGTGTGATTCTGGTCGAAATGCTTTGGTGCTGTAGCACAAGCACCGAGCGTATGCATGTCCTCCAAGGCCTTCAACGAGGCAAGCTACCATCGGGTTTTGTGGGGAAGATCAATGAGGAAGGCCATGAACCCCAAATGGGCGATGTAGTGGTTCAAGGCATTTTGGGCATGATCAATCGCAATCCAGAGGAAAGATGGGGTTGTACAGCGGTGACAGAGTGGATTGTCATGATATTGAGCAAGTGCAAAACATGCACTGACAGCATTGGCGATCGCCACGATCAGCCAGATGAGGCATTGGTCAGAATCCGAAGTCTGGGGGAAGTTGAAGTTGAAGAAGAAATCGACCCAAACAGCATGAAGTGATCGGCAAGCTACGTGGGTTGACAGCTGCCATGATGTCTGTGCACTTATATTATTGAAACAATGGACTGTGCCAGTCAATTTTTGTCAATAACATTCAGCGCGGTCTCAATCAAGAAACCAAACTTTCTCTTCCTCTGTGAATCTTCGAAAGCAAATCTGTCAGTGCGCCACTTGCAGCGCCATCGACGTGGAGAAGGTAGAAATGCCGATACTACCGTGTAGCCCTTGCATTGATCAGAGGACTGCGATGCACATACCACTTGATACTCCACGAAGTTATGTACACTCATGGACATCACTCTGTCACAAGACACGATGTTGGCTCGTAGCTATGCCAGATGCACGATGATAACCTTAGGTGTCCGTATGAGTACATGTCTCTTGGGCCCAAGTTGGCGCCTTGATGTCTCGGTACATTTGTAGTACCCTTAACTCAGTATTCGACCAGCCTGAGACTGGTAGAGAGTGTTGGCTGATGTGTGGTTGACGCTAGCCCCCAAGAAGAGAAATGCCAAGGTCCGGTTGTGGAAGATTGAATCTCCCTGAACTGGCAGAAGTGATTAACGAAATTCCCCCCTCCGAGGGAAACTCGACCTCGAGTCGGCCGCCACCACGTGAGATTCAATAATGCTCACCTACTGACCACGCCCGTTTCGAGAATCATCCTTATACCGCATCAAGTCAGTTATACGAAGTCGAACTGCGATTCGTACATTATTGCGAATAAGGACAACCAGTTGTTCTCAGCTCCTCCCTAAGCCTCAATGGTAAGCTCCACAACGGGATCTCAGGTCGCCCTGACAGGCCGGCGAGATCAGATGTTGCGAAATAAACCAATCAAACCACAGCGACACGCCGGTTCTGGCGTGATGCTGTGATCCACTACACCGAGTTATATGATGCTAGACCTGGCTAGTGGTCTCCAATCTAGCCCGATCAGAATGTCATGGCGGCGAGGGGCTGTCACGCGAGACCGTGATCTTCGCGCAAGCAAGGCGCCCCGAGACAAAATAGGGGGCGTGCCTCCTGAATCCTGACCTACAACAACGGCGCCTCAAGCCTTGCGCGTACTAGCCAACCGATTTAGACAGCACTATCTGCGACGATGCCCCGGTGCCATGATTGAAAGAAGGCCCGGGCCCTGCTAGAACAAATCTCAAAGATTAAAAAGGGTAATTTGCCAAAAGTCTACTCTCCTAGGTAAGGTGTTTTCGACATCTTCGTGGTGACCTTTCTGTCTCTTGCTTTCTCTCTCTTTTTCGAATTCTTGCCCTCTTTTCGCTCCCTTTCCAATAATAATACATTCTGTTCGCCTTCAACCTACTGTCTTTAACATCCCAAACAATCATCTATTCGACATGTCTCTCATTCAGAAGTCGGCCGTCGCCGTGGCCCTCATTGGTGCCGTGCATGCTCAGCAATCCGTCATCAACATTTTCTTCCCCGATGTTGCGGGTGACCTCGTTGGATCTGTCATCTCTTCAGTAAGACCATATGCTTTTTAGGTTCTCGGGAATCATGCAGATCTGGATGCTAATATCACGCCCAGGATTCTGCAGCAACCACACTGGTAGTTGCATGCCCTGCGACCGTCTCCGCCGTCGATTGTGAACTACCTACCCCAATCACTGTCACGGCCGGACCCAGCACATTTGTGGCTGGGTTGGAACAGGTCGTCACCGAGACTGATACGATCACGGCCCAGATTAATTGCGTTGTGGAGGGAACAACTGCCGCAACATGTGCGCAGACATTTGTCGGGCCCGCGAACTGGCTGGTCGATCAAGAAAGTGCTTCCACGACCAACACCGAAATCACGACAACCGTCACCACAGATGTGTTGACAGGAACCGATGTTACTTTCCAGGCCATCACGCTCGTGGACTCGATCGACTCGGGCGCTGCAGCAACAACTGGACCAAGTGGTAGCGGCTCAACCGCAGCAAGTACAAGATCCGGGACTGGCTCAAGCACTGGTTCGGCCACAGGAACCAGCAGCGGATCGTCCACGGTTTCTCAAACCGGTTCATCGACAAGCTCTGGTGCAGGCGCAGCATCTCAAACTGGAAACAGTGCTAGCCGAACGGACAGCCGTGCCCTGGCATTCTCTGCTCTTGGTGCAGGATTGCTCGCTTTGACAGCTTTCGTTCTGTAGGCCACTTGGGACAAAGGCACCAGAGTGAGCATGCTAGCGGATTGTGGATTTCTGTTGCACTGATCGTCAAGAGACAAGATGCGATTGGAATAATGGGAACATCAAGAAAGGGAAGCAATCGTTTCACAATAGGACTACAGCAATAGGAGACCCCGGAAATGTGGCTGTTAGCGCACAGATATCACGGATCTTTCATCCGTGCCATCGGACCATGCACAATGACATCTCCATGACATAGCCAGTCGCATGATAGAGGATCTTGTTTTCTGATCCGCGTTGTGTCTGTTCCTTGGAGACGTAAGATAGTGTCGGGCGTTCTTGTTGAATAACTGCAGAGTTCCAGTATAGTTGGAGATAGACAGCCATAGTAGTTTTCTCATATTTACCAAAGAGATGAGGGAAAATCCCTAATCAGTGTTCACCAATTCCAGGGGACAGAGAGGCACGACTCGTCATTTTAGAGAAGAGCCTCCAAGTTGATCTCCTCACTGGACTTGAGACGCTTCATCAAGGGGTCCAAGATGCAGCATGGCAGAAGCCGGGGAGAACGAGGGAGTGTCAATTCCGCCGGATGAGTGTTTGACTACTGGATTTAAGCTTGTTTGTGTTCTCTCGGATGGTGCTCGGAATCAGTTGATGAAGACAGCAATGATTTGGCAATTGCATGTAGAATGATGCAAGCCCAGGATGACGGTTGCCGTCACTCCATTGTGGCGGATATAACAGCCATGCTCACCCGCCATCAATGACTCTGATTCGACGGCCGAGGAGGGCCGAAGTGGCGCAGGTCACAAGGCAGGCACATGGCACTTTCAGAAATCCCATAGGCAGGAATAGCAATTTGATCGCTGGATCGGCGATGAGACTGTTTCTCCAAGGTGTAAAAAGTCGATCGTGGCTACTAGTCAGTATCCGCGCAATGACAGATCCCAGCAGTAGCGCTCTCCACCGCGAACCACAATATCTGTATGAGTAGGCTGATGAGTGACTTTGAAGCATGTCCAGTGCCTCAGACCATTGAATTTGGTCGGAGTTGGCAGTTCCTTGTTTCTGGTCGTTTGTTTCTGATTGTTCATTGGCAGTCAGAAAACACCCCGCAGCATTTTGGTGAAGCCGCGACCGAGGGAGCTCTTTCCCTCGTGCAGCAGACAGACCAGGTCACCCAACCCATCGCTCCTGCTTCTTTGTCTGTGCCTGCCTGTTGCTACCGCTTTTCCGGCAGTCGCACCACCATGCTCATTCCTCAATGCCCATCCCTCTTTCCCACTTTCTCCAACTACCTTTGATTTGCTAAAGTCAAGCCGCGTTTGCTTTTCCATCATCCCTGGTTCACAAGCCACAGCCACTGGTTTCAACCCACGGAGCCCACGGTGCTGGACATGTTGAACTGTGCTCGCTCCTCACCGGCTGCTTCTTCCGCTCTCACCTAAACCCCTGCAACTCAGACGCGTGGTGCCTGCACACAGGCAAAGAATAGTCCCCTCTACGCCAGTGCTCAAACCCCCAGGAAGAAACTTCCTATGATCGACAATCTTCATGCGATCTGCCACCTGACCCAGTACCGGTTACTTAGGGCCACACTTCCGTGGCCTTTTTCTCATACTAGAACCTTCCTCCCTGTTTATCACTTTGTTTACAACTCTTACCTCTATCATCTGTCCCTTGATCAACTTCAATCCTCTCACCACCCAAGGCCACCACCAAACGACTTCCTCCACAACCTCCAGGCACGCTCCTCAACTACATCATCACCATCATCACAATAACACAACACAACACAACACCGTCAGTTCGCTACCACCACAATGGCGACTTTCCATTCAGGTCCCTCTTCTGGTATTCCTAGTATCAGTGATCTTGATGGTTACACACTTCGAGACTACCAGTTTCCTCATACGACGAGCTATCCTCCTAGCAACGATGACAACTTTGGATTCGACCCTCCATCGGCCAAACCGACAACCATGAACATGTATCAGACCTACAGTCCTCCAAACGACCTGTCTATGTCGGGATGGCCGGAATTTGAACGTGACGGAGATGTCAAGGAAACCGTCGAACCTCCCATGGACCTGGATGCCTTTGACGTCGATAATTTCATTACTTCGACTCTTTCAAGCACCGATACAGCAGTGGCACGCTTTGGCCAGATGACCCCACCTCGATCAAATTCCGCCGTTAGTTCCAAATCCAGAGACAAAGCTGTGTCGCCCAAGACAGTCCCAGAGCGAAGGAAAAGCAAAGCTCAGTCCGATTCCACAGAGGGTCCTGCAAAACCTGGACGCAAGCGGAAGTCTATACGCAAAGCATCGATTGCATCAAGCGTCTCTGAGTCTCTGGATGGGTCGAAACGCAAACAGTCTTTGGAAAAGAATAGACTTGCCGCAGCCAAATGTCGGATCAACAAGAAAGAAAAGACGGAGCAGCTACAACGAGATTCTCACGACAAGGCTGTTCAGAATTCCTATCTCAAAGATCAGGTCATGCGCATGAAAGACGAGGTCCAACAAATGAATGCAATTCTCCTTGCACATGCCAATTGTGAAGGTTGCAGATCTCCTGAGGGTCTTCAAGCACATCTCAGTCAACTAGGCAGTGACTTCTTCAACCAGCAACACGTCGACAGTGGAATTCCAAATTACCTCGAATATCCTCAGATGGACTATTCTCCACTAGCCGCTGTGCAAGACAATTTCTTCCCGACCAACAACCGCGCACAGATGGTCAACCCACCATTACCAGAATTCACCCGAGGTGCAGAATTTGAGGTACATACTCCTCATGGAGATTGAAGCCACTGCCTTTGAATTCTATTCATATATTTGTTACGAGTACCTGCAGACATTAAAGTATGGGCATATCTCGGTGTCCCGCCACCAGCTTCTGATGCTAGAAGCGGCGCCTGGCATGAGGGGAGCAACGTTCCTCTTGGGCAAATGCAAGCTCATGGCCTCCCAAACCACCAACAAGGGACAGTCACCAATCAGGACACGAACACCTGTCGCCAATACGAGAGTGGTATCAAGGCGGGGTCGGCTTAGATGGCTGAGTTTCCCCTCTCGTGGCGGTGCTCTTCGACCTGAACACATCTCCACAGTGTGAGAAGGTTCTGAGCAGGACGGATTTTGTGTCCAAAGAAGGAATGGACCTTGGGATTTGCAGTGATGGAAAATTGCAGACTCGACTGCCTTGGTTTTTGCCATTATCCCATGTGTCTACAATATTCCGAGGCAAAAGTCAAGCCTGGTTTTTCTTGTACCGGAGACTTCATCCGGAGGATCGTCCGTGAGAAAATCACGGTAGATCGACAAAAGTATTGAGCGGTCCCGGCGGGGTCGCTGTGTACGACTATGATTATTTCTGGCAGACAGGACAGCAACCATTGAAAGTCTTGAGCATGGATTGCAGTTTACCACACCCGTGTTTATTGACAGACATGAATTACGAACCCGTATAATGTTTTAGCCTTTAATGAACAAAATGCTAGGCATCAAGATTCTTCTTTACCATGCCCCGGAAACTCGTACTACGAACTGTCACCCATCCAAGACGGTGTTCCCGTCTGGTGAACGTTTGAGGCTAATAAACCATATTCTCCTAGCGACAGAACCGACAAGGTTTGACGTGGAGATGAACCCGGTCGACCAGTCCAAATCCAACATGATTGCTGCTTGGCTTCAGCAGTGGACTGAGTAATTCCAGCGAGGAGAAAGAGGAGATAGTTCTTCCAGCAAATAGAATGTTCGCAGAGTTATGGCTGCCGCTGGTGCTGCTTGAGAGTGCGCTGTCCCCCTGTCACCGAACCTCCCACCTCCAACTGAATAACCACGAGCCCGCGGCGTTGCTCGGCCCCTCACTCTAGAATCAACCAGATCGCAACTTATTTCCCCAATATTTCTGTTTGGCCACTTGAAGGCTCTTCTCGAACAGAGCTTGCTTGGGCCTGCAAGTGTTCAAAATTACCCTTCTTTCCCCACCGTATCCGTAGCTGCAACTTGTACGCAGAAGGCACTGTCCCGTGAACGAATCACCCTAGTTAGATGAGCCGGCCGCTGACAGTCCGTGGATTGTTCAATTGCCTCATGGGTACATCTCCGAGCTGAACTGGTTTACCTAAACTGACCAGGATCCTTGGGGGGAACAAGTCCCTTCCCAGCGGCGCCTACACACGGTATGAACAATAGTCTCTGAACGGCCGAGATTTCGAGATCGACATACTTTTCTACCATTAGAGAGACGACTCCTCGATGGTCTACCGTGTCTCGTCTCGCCCGTGCGCGTTCAATTCCTCATTTCAACTCACTCACTAGTACCCCATTCTTTTCGCCCCTTAGCACATTCTCTGCCGTCTGTCATCCTCGAAAGATTACTATCAGTTGGAGCAGAAGCAATGAAAATGACGTAGCTGGATGCACTCGCCACAACCACCACATCCCGCAAAACGCATCATTTATTGTGGTTCAAGTGGTCCCCTTGTGGAGCACAGGGAAACTTGTGGCATCCATAAACCGTTGAGCCACATTCTGCGCGCATTGACATGCTCGCCCTAGCTTTCCATTCGTCTTCCCATGCCGTCAGTCAGTGGCTTCCACCGCGAGCTACGACTCTGCGAGGTACGAAGTACGTGGGTAGACAGGCATCCCAAACAGATGTCCAGTCAGGAGGATCTAGACGTCTAGCGACTCCAAGGATCCCAGGATCCCAGGATCTCAGCAACTGCAACCTGCGTGCCCGTGTAAATGTTGACGCATACGTGAAGAGACCTGTCGAGCTGAACTTTGCCAGGTCTGTTGCAGCTAGTAGTAAGTACATATCCTCCTTCCAGTTCCAGCAATCTGCACCTCCATCTATTGTTTGGCGCTCCTATCGCTGGGAAGGCCGATTCTTCTACAGTGCTGTGGCGGTGGCACTTGCATTGATCCTTTTTTTCCATGTACATCAACCACCAGACTTGGGTGAGTAGATACTTGTCAGTCAGCAGTGCTTCCATCGAGGCGTCCATGACAAGGGACGTGGCTTATTATTAGCTGATGAGTCGGATGCCCCCTTCGAAGATGAACTCTACGCCTGCCTGTGTTGTCCCAAAGCGGTCTCTGCAGGATAAACCCATCCATCCATCCGTTTTGACTTTCTCTGCCGGCACCGGCTCTCGAGTAGACAATTACGAGTATGTCCCAGCTCTGAAATCTGCTCACTGCAAGTTTCTCGGTACAGGCGTGGCTTAGATCAGGTACCCAGGTACCTGGATATCTATGTGCTGTGTACGAAACAGAGCAATCCCTGGAGTTCGTTGCGAGAGAGGTATCGAGGTATCCTGTGGTGCCTCGATATTGGTATCGTAAGTGGCCCATTAACTGTCGGTCTAAATTCAAGCAGAGAGCATTTGGTAGTTGGAAACCACTTTGATACAGGCAGGCCAGGTCGCGTTTCTGCTCTAGCCATCACCGCTCAACCATCACAGAGCATGCAGATTAAAGCACTCTCAAATGGTTGGTGACCCAATGAGATGTCGAGCAGAACACTACTCATGAATCTTGGATTCGAGCCAGCACAGCACAGCACGTCCACTTGGGTTCTCGGGACCTCGCAGAAGCTTTTGGGCAATATCCACAGCTGTACCAGACTTCACTTCTAGAAGCAGCATCCACTTGATTGGGCTTCCATCGCACGACGGCCTCCACCCGATGACATGCATTGTGGCTCTCTGTGAGGCCGACAAGTCGCAGCTCACTGCTTCTTAGACTGTTGTGCTCTGCTTCGGTCGACATCTACATGTGAGCACTGCTCTGATGGTGATTCTCCATGGCGAAGATCATCCGTCTAAATATGCGGCAAGTTCCAGGGTTGGTCCAGGAGTGGATTCTCATGCCTCCTATTCCTTATTGACAAATATTTTTCGTGACGTCTGTGCTGAGCATTTTTTCGACTTCTCCTGGCTTGATGTTTCATGCGGTGATCCCACGTTGTGATTGGGTGTCATCCCACGATTATTGGGACATATTGACCAGGCGGCTGAATCTTCTGGGGTAATTGACCACGTACAGTGACTTTCATTATGGGTGCGAGACTATCACGATGATTCTGCGATGATTCTGCCTTCGTATGATATGCTCACTGGACAAGAACATGTTACAGAATTGACTGCCTTCCTCTACCACTCCATATCTCACCCCAACGGCTCCCAGGCTCAACTGTGTTTGTATGGCGCATATGTGCGACCAAAACCTCGTAATTGGATATTGCTAAGACTGACTGTAGAAGAGATGTCAAGGTTTTGCCCCAAAGTTTGGTCACTCTTGCTTCACCACTGTACCCTTATGTCCACCCATAGTACTTGACCTGAAAGAGAACCCAAAAATTACATTTTCCATTGTGGTCCTTCGGTATTTGGTTCTTCACGCCGAATTAGAGCTGTGTCTCAAGAATGTGCAATTATGTCTGAAAAGTGCAAATTCATTCCGTCCTGGATATGTTGAGAGTGATGTTCAGTACGAGCAGAATCGAAGAACGTGTTCGCATGGCTTGGTGTATGAGGTAATGGAGTATTGGTGGCAAGCACCAGCATAACTGAATCCTGGAGGCCACTGGTGTCGACAAGTTGACCATGAGTTTCGACGAAGGAGAGGGTTGGGCGGGATCTTGGACGCCTGAAGATGTATGGACGTGGGCAACCTGAGTCTTCCAGATTGCACGCGATCGTCTCTTCATTACTGTTTAATCCTTGAACGGTGGAAGACTCCTCGCTACGAGCACGAGCCAATACTCTCCTCACAGTCTGTCGGAAACCCCCACGCTTTCGAACAGAGTGTTTGTCCCCGGGCGTTGACTCTTCTGTGGCAGTGGGAATGTGTTCATTTGTGGTAAAGAAACTGCAGACGGACTGAACAGCATTTTGGCCCGCACGTGAATAGAACCGATCCTGGGTGGTAGGTACTTGAAGTCTGGCCAGGACACGGGCATCAGATATGGGTCGATTCGTCAGCTCCCAGATTGGTGGGATTTTCACAGGCGTGTTCAGAAATTCGTCAAGAGATTGAAAGGCTCGTTCACGGTAGGCAGGACGGCAAGTCGGACAGATCATAAAGGAGCAGTCTTTCGGGGGTGATGAGACGCTATGAGAAGGAGGGCGTGATTGAGTGAAGATAGGTGAGGATGATTCTAAGCTCGGCACGGCGGACTCGGACATCCAGACCTTTTGCAGCTCGCCCCAGTCATATGCCTTTCGAATCTCTTCGTCAAGTGAAGCGGTCGAAGTGGTGGAGAAAGTGGTACTCTTAGGAAGGAAAAGGCTATCGAACTTGGAGGAAGTGGAGGATGAGGATGTAGTGGTTGTGACGGTTGAGGCAGTTGCAGGTCTGGGTTCCTGGGCGAGAATGATGGCGCGAACGTTCTCCTTTTGCTGAATCAAGGTCTTAATCTGTTCATCAGTGTACTGACCCTCCCCAATTGCCTTGATGATGGGAATTGAAAGCGTGTGTAATGCGACATCCTGACTTGGTGATTTCTTGGTGTGGGAACGGGATATGCCAATGAAATTTGCCTCAGGCAGAGTGCCATTGGAATCCTGAGTGCAACGATAGAACCAGCCAATGTTGGCGTGCTTGTGGCAGAGAGAGCATCTGAGGGATCCATACTGATCAAAAAGTCGGGTGATCAACATATGAGTACATGGATTGCGTCTCTCCGAGCTGGTAGCCCTCCGACCGGGCATCTTGAAGAAGAGCAGGTTCGTTAAGTGAGGCTGACTGAATGTTCAAGGGTGACTGTGTGATATAGGAACTGATTGAAGCGGGCAAGGCAAAGCAGAATGGAAGGAGCGACACATGACTCAGGACAGGAGATGGAAAGTCACTCAGCAAGACAGTCACAGCGGGCAAAGAAAGTGCAGGTCTCTTGCCAGGCAGTTCGTTTTTCACATTGTTTTCCCTATACTTAGCACTATCCCCAGCGCTGGAAGACTCATGTTTTGAGCTTGTCGAGATCAAACTTGGCCTGCTTGTCGACTCTTACATGGCTAACAGGCATGGCCATCATGCAGAAGCACCATGGCCTCCTCTTCTTGTTCGTCCAACTTTGAAGTTTTTGAATTCCAGCATTTGTAGGTGAGCAACCAGTATGTCCCTGACGCAGCAATTCATTTACAAGGGCAATCGGGTACACATACTAGTATGTGGCATACAAGTACCTAGGTACTTAGGGTGTGTACGTGATATGATGTTGTGGTTTCCTGCCCAAAAGCGTTGTTTACTTCTTGGCAAAATCATGAAGTGTGACTGGCTGCAATCAGGGTTGGGCTTATCTCCCTCAGGTCAGCCCGAGGGGCCCCCTTCGGCCCCATTTCCAGGCGAGGATTGCACCCCCGGAACTCTGGCCATCTACCTCCCTGCCACTATCACCACCGCCTAGTACCAGCCTACAGGCACTACTACTGAATTGTAGGACTCTACGACTCGGAGACGAGCAACGGAGTACCACCACTTTCAGTTGGCCTTGAATTGCTTTGGGTACCACGCGCGTCGCCATTGCGCTGCACCATTTTCATCCCCTTCATCAATCAATCTAAGTTGCTTGTTCCATTCTCATCACATCGTCTCATTGAACACAATCAATCGCCAACAAAGGTATGTTTCTGCCCCCTTCCCACCATCTCTCCCCACAATCTTGACCTCGACCGTTTCCTCGCACGGTGACTTCGGAACGAGCCTCGGTACTTGCTCTTTTGTCAACAACCGCAATTGCGCAACTCCGAAGCCCTGCATAACTATTCCTCTTACTTCTCATTCTCACCTCTCATCATATTCATCACGTCGCATTCGATCTGACATTCTGCTCCAGCACCTCCTCCTGTTCCTTCCCCAAGCCATCGTTTCCCTGCTCGGTCACTTGCGCTCTACACGCGCCGCAACCTCCATCATGTCGGTCAAGTTCGAAAAGGAGCAGATTAGGACCACAACAGGTACTGTTGGGAAAGATCAAGACACCATTCACAAAATTGGTGAAGCCTTGACTGGTGGTAAACAACAAAATGGCTATCTTGCAGTATGTCGTCCAGATCTGACCCCTCCACAGCTTGCGACCTAAACTGATCGCGTCATTTAGGCATATCTCAAGCAGCTTCAATCAAACCCACTGAGGACCAAGATGTTGACCTCCGGCACCCTTTCCGCCTTACAAGAGCTTTTGGCATCCTGGCTTGCCCACGATCGGAGCAAGAATGGCCACTACTTCAGCTCCAGAATTCCCAAAATGGCTATCTATGGTGCTTTCATCAGTGCCCCAATGGGCCATTCCCTGATTGGAGTTCTACAATGGATTTTCGCTGGACGAACCAGTCTGAAGGCTAAAGTACTTCAAATCATCGTCAGCAATTTAGTGGTAAGTAGTGGTCCTGCAACTCAACGTGACCTTGTTAATCAATCCAACTCAGATCGCACCGATTCAAAACTCGGTCTATCTTACATCCATGGCAGTTATTGCCGGTGCTCGTACGTGGCACCAGGTTCGTGCCACTGTCAAGGCTGGCTTCTGGCCCGTCATGAAAGTGAGCTGGATTACCTCTCCAATCGCCCTCGCTTTTGCACAGAAATTCCTCCCGGAGCAAACCTGGGTTCCCTTCTTCAACATTGTTGCCTTCACCATTGGCACCTACATCAACACTCACACCAAGAAGAAGAGACTCGCAGCCCTTCGGAAGAGAGTAAGTCTGATCCCGAGTGCTCGTAAATTCGAGCCATGAATCGCCTTTTTACTGACTCGATCTATAGCATTATGGCGGTAGTGATGGAAGGAGCCAATCTGGCCGCCCCGACGAACGATACTAGTGACAAGTGTTTGATGTACCATCTGGCTGATGCCAAATATCGGTGTTGGAGTCGAGTGTTCATTTCGATCGTATCTGACTGATCCATTCTGCACACACAACGCTTCAACTGACACAGCTTGTCTCTCGACAAGATTGATGGATCGGAGGCAGACCAATGCACCTTGATTATAATGCGCGTCTTTGCGGTACCGCCAGAACGGCAAATGGCTGGCTGACCTGTAATGTTATGCACTGTCTCTACCTCTGACCATATCTTCTGCAATGACGGGGAGAATATTTAGTTTAGCATGTTGGAGGCAAATGAAAAGACGAATTCCTGGAATAAATGCAAATCAAATCGTGTGCGATCCTCCGCTTATGGCGACATTCCCCAACTTGACGAGATTCACTCAAGATCGTGCTAGCCCACTCGCTCGGGTAGGTTGTAGGCAATCTAGGCAATCAGGGAGGTATGTAATGGCTCAGCCCACCTGTATACCTAGGTAGGAAGTGTTGTATGAGGTCAGATTACCCTAGTCGATTTATTTATGTATCTATTCAGCACTACACACCCTTATTGACGTAGACGACGTGTTTTTGAGAGCCATGGGGTCGCCATCATTGCAGCCAAGGTCAGGACCGGGGAAATCAATGGTGACAGATATCCGAAAACACAATCACTGCCTTTGATTGGTTTTTTGTTCCTTCCAGTTGCCAAAACCGAGACGTCGCTTTTTCTCGGACTACAGCGAAAGATGGAAGTGCTGTGGTTGATGTGTTGCCGCCCTTTTCTCCGAGCGGCTAAGACGCATGTGTTGCAAGAGAGCTCCCTCAATCCCAGCACGCAATGTTGGTCAATCATGCAACGTAGGCGTAGCTGTTGCCCTCTTCGCGTTCCATGTAGTCTTTCTCGATCAACCTATTCGAATAATCTGTCAGTCACAGGACATTCAAACATGGGGAAGAATGCGACTAAAAGCGGAATGTAGACAATGTGGAAGGAGAAAGGGTACTTACTTCTCGATGTTGCGCTTGATGTCAGCCTGATCGAGCACGCCTCTCGACATGGTCGCCTTGATGACCTCGACGATCAGGTCATTGTGTCCAATGGTTTTCTTGCTCTTCATGATGCGCACGATCGCCGCCTGCGTCTCGTAGTGCCGGTCGGCCGCTACACGCTGATGGGTCTCCTTGTTTTCCTCCTTCGTCTCCTTGAGTTGGATCTGGTTAATTTTGATGCGAATCTTCGGGTCGTGGAAGGTCGTGGAGAACGTGAAGGTGTCGGTCTCATTGACTTCGCGGCCTTTGGGATGCTTGCGAAGGACCTGATATTTTGCGCAGGCAAGGGACTGGAGTGTGCGTTTGAGTTCGGCGTCGACGAGGCCTGATGAGTCTTTGATCTCGCTGTAGGTCAGGTGTTTTTCGGCTGGAATGTCGTTGAAAAGCAGAAGCACAATGGCTTGGAAGGCCGATACTATCAGCTCTTTGTTGCCTTTGGGAAATTTGGCTCGGAGTTGACAGTGGGCAAGGCTGTGTTTCCAAGTGAGTTTTCGCCCGCTGTGTTTGGACTTGTAGTGATTTTCAAAGTCTGACATTACTTTGGATATGGCTGTTGGAATGTTGACCGTCACGTCGCGATATGTAGGCCAGGCAGCAGCTGAAAGAACATTGACCGACAGATCAGGATTGGGTTTGATGCCTCGATCATCGAGGAGCTGACTGTAGGACATCATATCTTCACGTGCCAAGTTCATATCCTTGAACATCGATTCGAGATTATGAGTGAAAGAAGCACCGCACTCGTTCTTAAGTCGCGTGAGCATGTTTCGCTCAGCGTCGAATGAAGCGCTCCGACCCATCAGGAGACGACGTGCCAGATCTTTCTTGTAGAATGCCTCAAACACGGCCTTGCCATGAACGAAACGGAACAGATCCAACGCATTAGAAAGATGCTGATTGATCTCGGCATCCTCATCTGCTGGTCCATCATCGAAGTCAATTTCTTCATCCGGTTTAGATGGATCTGCTTTTTGAGTCTGAAGTTGTGGAATAGCTTTGACGCCGCCTTTGAGTAACAAGTCAACGTGCTTGGCGATCATCTCACCAGGTTTAGCATTATCAGTATCCCAGTTTGCCTGGCTCTTTTTCGTTCTGTTTATAAACAGTTCAAATGATTTGTGCAGACCGTTTCCGATCTTCTCATTGCCGTGGAATGAGCGTTGAAGGAATCGATCAAGCCGATATTTGAATTGCAGCAGTCTGATGACCATCTCGGACTCTTTCTTTTCGTCAAAGACAATAATGCTTCCTTCCGTCTCAACATATTTGCTAAAACTGGGAGCGACCAATTCTCCATGACCTTTACGCTGAAGCAGGGTATAAACTCGATCCAACTCGTCATACTTGTCAGCCTCCAGGAGATCTTGGACACTATCATCGTTTGTGAGAGTTTCGACTTCTTCAGACACGAGGACTGTATCGAAAAGGTCCGAAATCTGATTTCTGGTACTCCGATCGAGAGTCAAGAGATCGCATCTCGTCAATTCCCGGGCGAGGAGGTCGGTACATGCATTGACATATTCCCCAAGATCCTCCTTGTGTGACTCGGTCTCTCGCCACAACCGGAAATATTGCTCGGTCGCTGTCTGGAAAGGCGGCTCAAAGTCACTGGTATATATGCTCAACTGATGTAATACATCAATCGACTGACGGAGTAATGTTGAATCCTTCTCGTTGAGCTGTCTTTTCCGATCAGAATCAATGAGCGTCACCACACCGGATAGAACTTTAGGCCGGATGATATCGTCTCCGAATACCACGGCTCTGAATGAGAGGAGGCCCGTCTGTGTGATACTGGGATTCTCCTGGGAGCGTAGCAGATATGTCTGATCGAGATAGTAAAATATTTGGCGCACAGTCAGAAGCTGTCTCTGCCACGCCGACCATGCCTTGGTAAACTGACTGAGTACTTCCACATCGGATGACCCTGCCTCCTCCCGACGAATACCATCTCTCACAGTATCCGACAGGTGCGTCTCACACTTTTGTTTTAATTTCTTATACAGTTCTGCGGCGTTGCCCTGTCGACAAACATTCTCGGCACCTTTGTACAACTCCTCCAATGAATATTGTTCTTTGGCTTTCCCGAATATGGCATCGAGAGCTTTCTCCTGCTTGGACCATATTGAATCGAAGTAGTGTTGAGGATTTATTCGTGGGACCACCCGAAGATTTTTGACGGCCAATTTCTTGGGCCCAGAATGTGGGTTGAACGTCGAGACTCGTGGTGCCGTAAATGAAACCTTCCTCTTGTGTGATTCGGGGGAGGATGTCAGGTCGACAACAGTATTCGTAGTCGATGCCTTGGGTGTGAATGTGTACATATCAGCGTAAGCCTCGGCAGGCTGTGTGAGGGTGGTGTCCATGTTGGCTGATGTTTTCCTCCCCCTCGCTACTTTCCTGCTGCTGGATGGGCTATCATCCGAACTATTTGTCTGCTGGGAAGAAAACAATTCTTTTATGGACGGGCGAGACTTCTTGGGGCTTGTAGAGGGCTCGGGGTCGATGTCGCTCGACTTGCGCTTGCCGGAAGAGTTGATTGTGGTTCCTCGGTCTGGAGCTTTTCCTTTGCGTGCTTTAGTCATCTAAGGTTACCGTTAGTTGAATTGGAAAGTGGGAGGGAAGCATCTCAAGGTCAGAAGACCGACCGTGGAGGATGAGGTCGACTGCGGTAGAGAGGAGACCCTCTGTATGACGAGCCGATGGAGCGGATTGGCAATCGTGATGATGGCTTTAGCGTCGGTGATTAGAAGCGGAGATATCCTTGTCGATATGGATCAAGATGCAGACCTTCCTTCTTGAGAGCATGTGACCACGCGCATTCGATATTGATCTTGGAGAACGAATGGGTCCTAGAGAAGATGATGTTGAGATCGCAAGGGTGTCGATTTGATTTGCACTCCGATAATGCGAGTGCCACCCTGGGTGGCAATAGTAGAAGTAGAGTATGAGGCAGTCTCTGAAAATAAAGTCTTTTGAAAGCCAAACCCCACCAATTTGGCCTGTAAGATAGAATACCAGGCGGTCAGACAGCTCATTTGTTTGCGCGAGGCACTCTACGCGTCTCCATTGCCAGTCGCGTTCTCCGCAGTTACCCATCCTGTCCCATGCCACATTTTGTTTGCAACGTCAATTTGAACACCGACAACATCTACACAACGTATCTCTCAGACCGAACAGCAAGAGTTTTCAATCCTTGCAGAGCCCAGCACGACTCACTGAAAATGAATTCAATGTCCACACCCCGCGTTCTCCCTACGCACCTGCACGCCTTCGCCCCAGGGAAACCCCACGGTACAGTGCGCATGCTCGGCGTTATAACCACCGTCAGCGGTGAACAAGCGACACTGACCTGCGGCGATGATGCAGTCACAGTTCTGCTCAACAGGTATGGTTGACAAATACTCTTACCCCCTCCCCGGAACCAAGCACTCACTCTCTCATTTCAATTCCAGAGATTCGCACCTCTCGGTCAACTCGCTGTATGAAATCGTGGGCAAAGTCGTTAACCTTGATGGTGGAGAGGGATTGGGCTTGAGAGTACTGAGCAGTACGGAGTGGCCACGCAACGAGAGGAATGAGTTACCCGATATCAAGCTGTTTGAGGCCGTCGTGGACGCTACACACCGGTACAATAATATTTTCTACGAGGGCGACGGTGGTGACAGTGGTGGCCATGGAGGGTATTAAAGTGATCACGAGTGATGAGATGACTGTTATATGAATAGTACGACTTTCAGCCTGCTGGTGCTCAGGGAATAATAGCATGAAAGAAAGGACGAGTTCTTATCATGAAATGGAAGCCTTATCCAAGGACACCCATGTTGCCCGGTCCTCCAAAGCCAACAGCCATGTGAACACGAGATGTTCCTGTGGACTGTGTGAGATGTGCTTATAAGAAACATATGGCTAACCAGCATTGGGACATGAAATAGCGACTAAAGATTACAGCTCCAGATGGCAAAGCCTAGCGACAAGCAATACTAGTAGTTTTGATACAACAAATAAGCATTTCGCTCACGTTTGTTTCATTTCTCGTAGACGTCTGGTGCATGTCATATACTAACAATTTTCAGGGACAGTCTTGTCGCCGCACCGGCTAGCCAAATCATGACTGAAGGGCGCCTGAGGCAAAATGCTGCTTGCTCCCTGTTGCTGGAAAAAAAAAGGTGCTGTGATACATGAATGCAACCGATTGGTGCTGATGATAATATGATAGCATCTCCCTCTAGCTAACACCCTGTTTTCGAGGACTTCTCCTCGGCTGACCATCTGTGGCTTTGGGGGTCACAGCTTGTGCCGCGTCACCAAAAATTGATGTTTGACCTTGGTCTGTTGCGTTCGTGTCGATCATCTCATCCCACATGGTGGATAGATCATCTCCTCCCACGTCAAAGTATGCGAACAGTCCGGGTGGCGAACTAGGCATCGTCGAGGTCGCCATAAAAGGTTCATTGAACTCACTATTCAATTGGTCAGTCGTCATTTCCGAGACCTGAAAATTCAGAAGTTGATCATTCGACATCGGTGACGAATTTTTTAGCGACGGTAGGTCTGGAAAGTCGAAATTGATTGCCTTGTTGGGTGTATTTTTTCTCGATGCAGTATGTCCATGGATCCGCCCATCCCCTGCCAAGTTCAATTTCGCAGGAGCATCACTAGTGAAGGCGTCGTGAATGGATCGTGAGAAGGGTGTCATCTGATGCACTTCCTTGCGTGTTGTCCCCAATAACACATTCAAAATCGCTTGTTGATCGCCGGACTTCATTTTTGGCGTACGAAATATTGGTAGCATATCTGCATTGGGTGAGAGATCTGCACCGAATTGGCGAGATGGTGTTTGCGAAGGAGTTTTGAGTAGTAATCTTTCCGATCGTCGTTTAGGAGTGGGTGTCATCGGAGGTAATTCCAAGTCACCTGGGCCTTCTTCAAACAAATGATCGATACTCTCATACACAACCAGCGGAGCTGGAGCAGCATTCTCTTTTCCATCAACAGTAACCTCCATGGCCGCACCAGGCTGCGCAAAGAAATCCCGTGTCTTGTTAAGTCTCGGGCTCCTACGTACAAAGGCTGGCAAGTGGGTCGGCTTTCCTTGGACTGAGGATACGCCCGGGCCGGGATCTGATAAGACTTGTGTCTTTTCTGGAGATGGGAACAACTGTCTTCGCAACGGTTTGGGAGTGAGCCCAATCTCTATAGGAACAGCTTCTGAGCCATGCGCTTGTCCAGGGCTAGACTGAATCAGTCGTTCTGTGGGTCGTTGTTTCGTCCGAGCCTGCAATCCCCGTGGGCCAGGATCGGCACTACTGGCTCGGTATGTATGTGACATGTGCGGCAATTGCGGTTCTCCCTCGTCTGCCATGTACTCGTCATTGTTCGAGCTTTCATTCTCGTCCCCCTCTGCAGCTTCATTCGCCGTATCTGCTGGTGAAGAATCATCGCTAGCTGGAGTCTGAGCATCACTCTTGAAATTAGTATTCCCGTTAGCTTTCTTGGAAGGCTTTGATGGGTTAGGATTGCGTCTTCGCTTGCCCTTTGTTTGAGGTTCTTTCTTTTGCCACTTTTCTCGAGGTCGTGGGCATTTTTGTTTATGAAGCCATAAACCACAAGCTAATAGTTTTCACATTAGTCACCGATCTTCAATATCTCATTTTCAGGAGACTTACGATTGCACAATGTGATGGCAAGCCAGTTGTCATCGTCATCTCCTGAGAGCTTCTCGACCTTATAGCCTCTGAATGTCTTGATGCTTCCATCCGCATTATGAGTCAGAACTTCTTTGAAACAACATTGGCCAGGGTCCAAAGATGTTTCAACTTCGTCCCAAGGACAGTGAAATACTCTTGCATACCCGCGACGCCATGCTGGGGTCTCAATTGAGCCACAGTTATCACAAAACGGTGGCATTTCTCCGTTAGCAATAGCGTTCTCGAGTCGAGCTTTTGTCTGCTCCTTGCCCACCTTCTTCTTAGAAGCTGCCTTTGCTCTGGCTTCCTCTATCGTAGGGGCTTCAGACATCAGAGCGTCACTATCGGGTGCCCAGGTCTGAGCTCTCTGAAGTGCTCTTGGAGCAGGATCACTCTTCGGAACTTGTGAGTGTAGCGAAGATTTTGTGCGTTGTTGTTCTTCCATAATCTGACGAGCCCGTGGGATTGGTGCCGGTGCCAACTTAGGAGAAGAGATAGACGAACGTGATGCAGGTGTGTATGATTGCGTCCTTGCCAAAGATCGTTGATTAGAGGGGAGTGGTGGTGGCTCCATTTGCGGCTTTTGGTACTCGGTTATTGGGTCCATCATATCATTGCCATCCTCAAATACTGGAGGTAAAGTGTCTGCGATCTGTTGTGACTGAGGTTGGTCAATAGTTTGTTGATTTTTTTCCAACATAAAATCCTCAAACTGTAACATGCCATCGTCACCAAATATATCATCCAGAGCACCACTCATGAAACCTGAGTCGTGATTTGGCATCATCATGGGAGGAAGGGCTGGGCTAGTAACCGCTGGTTGTTGAGGATCAGGCATAACTGGTGGTGAAGATGGAATATTGGCGGGTGTGCTAGACACGCTTCTTAGGCGAGAATCTTCCGGGGACGTGATAGATACATTGAGAAGTTGAGGTTGTGGAACAGGATCAACCATTGGTGAAGAGTCTCTGATTTGAGATCCTTGATTCAGATTGCTAGGTGCATTCTTCCGTGGTCGGCCACGAGGTCTGCCAGACTTTGCTGCTGGCACTGGCGTGGGAGGTCTCACGGGCTCTTCTATGGGTTGCCCTTGTTGCATAGCAGCCATAGCAGCAGGGTTGATGGCAATCGGGCGATGTAGTCGAACACTGGAGGCGGTGCTGGCAGCTACTCTAAGCGAGTCTGGCTGTCTCTCGATGTTGAGATTTGTCTTGTTTGGCCAATCCACTTTTGAGGTTTTTGCTCTTTTTCTGGCTGGACCATCGTCGGCGTTTTCGTCACCACTGTAATATCCAGAATTAAAAGATTCGCGTCGTGCATGGGATGTTTGGCGTATGCCCGACCTTGAAGCCGGCCTTGAATGACTGCTGCCAGGTTGTCTGAGGGTCGGGTTGAAGTTCTGGTTAGTGACTGGTGTTCCAGGTCTACTGCCTGGACCTGTGTTCCCCATTGCTTGCATGTTTTCTCCCGCGAGCATCCTCTGCATAGCCTCCAGTCCAGACGTGTCTACTGGGGAAGCTGACCGGGGCAATAACTGCGAGGACATGCCGTTCTGCCATTGAGGTCGACTGCCATCTTGAGAGCTGACACTTCCAGACCGATAACGTTGTGGAAAAGTATTCACAGGGGTAAATCTCAATTTAACCTCGAGTGTTTCCTGCGCATTTTTCGAAAAAAGACCCATGAGATTCTTTGTAACCCTTCCAGTCACCATAGCATCACTTTCGCTCCCAGGACCTTGAGCATGAACGGCGAGTGTCTTGGAGAGCATGCCCTGTCCGACAAGAGGAGTATCTGGCTCGGAGTAATCGTACGCGTAGACTGTGTAGTCATTATCGGAATTTGTGGTGAGCTCCGGGCTCGCGGTGATGACAGCTTCCAGACAGGACCTAAGGTCAACAACACCAATCTGACTTGTTTCGTCAATGAAGGCGGTCTGAACTTCAAGTGGGTGAGGATATCGAGCGAGGTGATTGTCTTTCTGTTCAACATCAAAGGTGTAGAGGACCTTTAGTCGGATGGTCCGGATCGAAACACTCTCGTCTGGAGAAGTAGCCATGGTGGGCAGAAGACGCGAGTTCCTCAGACGTTGCCGGTCTGACGGTACAAGACTTTAGTAAGTCATAAGGAGGTTTGCATTGTTGGAGAGAAAACCGTGAAGGATAGAGAGCAGAAAGGGTCACTGGTGACTCAAGTGATTGAATAGGTCGGAGGTTGGAGGTTGCTGGTTCAACGGAAGGCAAGCGTGGTATGAGGAGCTGCTCAGACGAGGTACCAGGTATAGAAAGGTGGGTGGATTCCAGAGCAGGCTAAGAAACTCCAGGGCAATGGCTTTTGTGTAGCTGCAGACCAGAAAGAACGAAGAATTTTGTTGCAAGAGGTGTATTGTCAAGAAAGAATGTAACAAGAGGAAAGAGAAAGGAAGTGTACGAGTACAAGGTCAGGTTGCTTGAAGGGAAAACGCGACTTTGAGGTCTGGAGTAACTTGGTAGGCGCGTGTCGTGGCTGGCAGGTACGTAGTGGGCCCGTGAGCGCCCGCAGACGTGGGTTTGGTGGTCGGTCGCGCCTACAACGGGTGGGGATGTTCAATGATGCAACTCCGAGTCCCACCTTGTAGGTAAGTGACGGATATAGCAACTTAGCCGAAAGATATTTCTTGGCGGACAGAATTCGAGGTTCTCCAAATCCTTAGGTATATTCCATCTCAGTCTCCCTCCTCGTTCTAAAAACATTTGGGAACTCGCTCGATTTAAGTATCTTTCGTCGCAAACATGGCAGATGCCTCCAAGATCCAGTACGTCCTCTCCTGGTCTTCGGACCCCGGCACTATGACTCACTACCCTGGTCGACCTTATCTCCGTCCTCCTTCTCTTTGCCGGTCCCATGAAACACGAGATACAATCTGCTGACTGGTTTCGCAATAGGGAGTTGCTCAACAAACCCAGAAACGAATTGACGTACGTTGGACCTCCCCATCCCCGTCCTTTTCCCAACTTCACCATGTTTTGATGTTCCTACCCTGGTTTTGTCTCCGCCACCACAAATCAAACCCCATCTCAAACCCTGGTTACGCTCCGCCATCGATCTCTCCATTTGCAACCAACATTGCATTGTCGTCGTCGCGCAATTAGGTGGCGCCCTTATCCGCCATCGTTATTGGCGCGCGCCATTTATGATCCTCACTTCTCCGATTTATTTGAAGTGATCTTGACACTAATTCTGCACTAGCGAATATGAAGTGTCATTACTCGAAGCACATGAATTATCAACCGGACCCCTCTCCATCCTCATGACCGCCACACGCACACACACACAAGTCTTAATATCATGTCGAAACAATCGCAAATTACTCGCCAGAGTCAAAGCCTTCGACCGACATTGCAATATGGTACTAGAGAATGTCAAGGAGATGTGGACAGAAAAATCCAAAGGCAACGCAAGGGGCGTCAACAAGGATAGATTCATCAGCAAAATGTTTCTCAGAGGTGATAGCGTCATCCTGGTCTTATTGAGTTAATTGTCTGGTTTCAAAGGATTTTATGACATGACGGGCGGGAAAACATCAATGATTTCAAGGGAAAGCAAATCCTACTTGGTGAGCATGGTGAGCTCTCGAGGACAAAAGACCTTCGACACAGTGCCGAGAATTCACAGTTTCCAGTGTTAACGCAGGCACACTTATAGGGGACTAGGCAGAAGCCAGGCAGAAATTGCCCGGAGGATCGTCTCGAGAGATTTGGGGCGCATGCAGCCGCAGTTCAAAAGCAGGAGCCAAGCACCCAAAAGTCGATACCCAATGATAATGGAAAGTGCTGAATTTTCTGGAAAATCAAGATACCCCATTTGATAACAGCTGATGCTTTATGCGCATTTTTCAGAATCCCTTGTCTTCTCTCCACTCCAACATGACCGGTTAGTGTTTTATACACCCTCAGCCAGTCCAACTAGGAATTCCTGCAAGCCCCATGCACCGGGATCTGGGATTTTGCCCATCCATTCCTGTTCCGCGCCGACATACACCGCTCTTCCCAAGCTGGCTTTGAGGTTTTTCGTCTTCTCCGCACCTTCTTTGGCAGCCTCGGCAGCCTTCTTGACATCTCCAGTGCTGTCTAGCGTCTCGACGAACGGTACCAAAGCATCCATTAATGTCCTGTCACCAACCGCTGCAGGTGTGTACTTGGCCAATGCCTGCAGACTGGATTTTAATGCTGCGGCCCAGACTTTTGCGTCAACCTCCTTTGAGGAACCAGTGTCTTGCTCTCTCAGACCATGGGCCAATGCATTAAGGAAGATGGCATAAATGGCTCCAGATGTGCCATCCATGGTGTTCTCGACCACGGTGATGATCTTGTTAACAAATGCGACCGCGTCTGTAGGTAGGTCACCGGATGCCAAATCCTTTCGAACAGCCTCAGCACCACGCTTGAGGCCAATACCACAATCACCGTCGCCAACGATCGTGTCATATTTGGTGACATCAGGCTCAGCGGCAATGACCTTTTCGATCCCCCCGTCGAGTGCTTTTTGTGCCTTCTTTGGGTCGAGAGTGAGGTTACTGGCTTTTGCGTCCCCTGAGATGGCGGCGTGGCTGTCCGCAGTAGCAGTATTATCCGCATCCCATGTGGAGGTCGAGATAGCAGCCGCCCATCCCACAGCTTCTGAAGGAGCGTCCAACAGCTCGAGCATAGACTTGCCGCTGCCGAGCCCCGTGTCTTCGAGCTTGAGTAAGGACGCAGAAAATCCCATTCCGTTCAAAGATGTGAGGAATGTACCCGCAATGACACGGACCGGTACAATATCCCAGTCCTCCTTCAGCTGCTTGTGGATTTCGGCCAGAATGCCTGCGAGTTCGAGCATGGAAACGCCACCAAGATTGTTGATAAACAGCACGAATTTATCTCCCTTCTTGATGTCGACAAAATACCTGTCTTTATCATTGGGGTCGAGCATTTGCCCGAGAATAACTTTGATGAGCTCAGGGAGGGTTGCAGTGACTCGATGGCTACCAGGCTCGTTGTGGATACCCATACCAACCTCGATCTCGGTGGTGGGGATAATCTCATCAGAATTGGGGTCGGGTACAGCGCGTCCTGGGACGTGGACATGCTCCAGAGAGGCTCCGACGGACACGATATTCCCGGCGACTTGCTTGGCTAGCTTGTAGACCTCCTGCAGGCTTCCACCTGCCTCTGCCAAGGCACCAATGGATTTCAACACCAATATGCCACCTCCGATACCTCTTCTCCCGACTTTTCCACCCTTCTCTCGGCCCACGCCTACATCATCGCCGATGGCGAAGAACTCTGTGTCGATGCCTGTAGCTTTGGCCTTCTCAGCAGCCATGCCGAAGTTCAGGACATCACCAGTATAGTTCATTGTGATAACGAAGACTCCCTTCTCTGTGGGTACTCTTGTCAAAATAGCTCTCCTCACTTGTTCGGCTGAGGGCGAGGCAAAGATGCTGCCGGCTACTCCAGCAGTCAACAGGCCTTTGCCCACAAAGCCAGCGAATCCAGGCTCATGGCCAGATCCTCCACCAGAAATGATGGAAACCTTGGCATTCTCGGTCAATTCTTTCGAGGGTCGGCGATATACAATCTTGTTCTGTGCATCGAATGCAAGGGAAGGGTTGGTCAGGGTCAGTGAGTGAAGTGCGGTGCTCACGAGGTGAACCGGGTCGTCAATGAAATGTTTCGTCTGCATTTTGGACTGTTTTTCGACCTTTCTGGGCTAGAGGATGAACGAACAATGGAGAGCGAAGAAGAAAGAGCAGAGAAGAACGGACAGTCAGGCCATGACCAGGGTGAAGGGGCAGGGCAAACTCATATTCAAGTACCGTGATGAAATGCGGGGGACAAACATGAACATGCACTGGGCATCTGCAGCCTGCAGGTGGTGTCTGCCCCACACACCACTGGCATTTTATCCAGGGTTCCATTTAAGCCATTGGACTCATGGCACGATTACTGTGATGCGACAATCCACAGAGTGCTCCGGCCATTTCGATGCACTTCGGCAGAGAACTCCGAGCAGCTTGAATTCCCGTTTTGCAAAGCAGGCGCAACTAGTCGCGTTCTCCTAACTAAAAGGGTTTATCTCTAGATGCATCTCTTGGCTCACTCCCCGGGATGCCTCTTTTTGGAAATCCCGGAGACACAGCGAGCAATCTCGCGCCTGCTCACAACCGGCTAAACAGTGCGAGCTTTGTCAGACTCGTCTCCTTGAAAAAGTTTCGAGCCCTTTCCAAACGCAAGATCAGAGCTTCGTATGCTGTTCAACGACTTGCAGAATCGTGGGGAGCGCATGGAGTGAAAGTCTTGGGAGACATCCCTCGGCTGACCGGTCTTCATCACCGATGTCTACCGTGGTCCCGAAATGGGCATCAGAAAGCAACAATGATCTCGATAGCCCTCGGTCTCCTCCACATCACATCCCACGACTGCGGGAATGAAGCCTCGACTGCTTGGACCTCAATCCTTATCATTCTCCGGGAATAATCCAAGTGTGCGAGACATATAATAGTATTTCATTTATTATGGTATCGGGGAGAGTCCGACAGCTCCAAACGAAATAAACTGCTACCAAGGACTTTGGCAGTGTCGTCCGGCTAAAATACGCATCGTGGGGTATATCACGTGATGACGACTTCACCCGGCTCGGCTGGAGATGTGGTTTCGTGGGGGCATGGGGGACGCGCCCTTGCGAGAAACCGTTGAAGCCCAGGGCTGGTTCCGACTCAACTTCAATGCTCATAAGCGCGATTCGAATTGGACCCGACAAGATCCTTTGAGGTGAGTGACTCCTTAGGTATGTTCTTCCCCAGTTGACGATGCCGCACTGTCTCGACTCTGCCACTATCTCTAACGAGAGATCTCATATCTTGGGCGCCATACGTACAATCTTGTCACAATTCAATATACATAGGGGATCGAAAGCGTTCTTCATCTAGACAAAAATGTTAGCAAACCGGATTTATAACAAGCCCCTGGGCAGAAATCAACTTACCATTCGCATTGTGTCAACCGTCGCCTTTCCCAACTCTTTTTCCAGGTAGTCACGTTTGACAAGACCTACGCCATGTTCCCCTGTTGCAGTTCCCTTCATGGCTATGGCTTTCTCGACCATTCTGTGAACAACCCCCTCCGCAATGTCTCGTTTCTCTTCGGGAAAGAGCAGGATCGAGTGGAAATTACCATCTCCCACATGTCCAAGGATTGCCCCCAGGATCCCGGATTGCTCAATATCTCTTTTGCTGTCTTCGATGATATCTGCCAACCGACTCATGGGCACAGCGACATCCGTCGTCCACACTTTGTCTGTAGGTGACTCTCTCATGGCCATCATACTCCAAAGAGCGTTCTTCCTCGCCGACCAGAGCTCTTCGCGCTCATCTGCGTCAGCAGCAAATGCATAGGATGTTGAGCCGTGCTTTTCGGAAATCTTCCCCACCAGCTTTGCGCTATCTTCAACAATGACATCTGTGCTGCCGGTGAATTTGAAGAACAGTGAAGGTTGTTCGGTCCATTTCCGTTTCGTCAGTCCAGCCACATTGATACTCCGCATTTGAACTTCGTCCAGCACTTCCACTGCGGCCACTGATATGCCCCGTGAGATGATTGACTGCACTGCGTTGGCAGCGGCTCTTATCGATGGGAATGTGCACACTGCCACTGCTTCGCATTTGGGTTTGACTGCCAGTTTCAACGTGGCTTCGGTGACAAGTCCGAGAGTTCCTTCGCTACCGACAAAGCTTCTGGTCAAGTCAAATCCTGCAGTGGACTTCCGTGGCCGTTGTCGAGTCTTGATAATCGTCCCATCCGCAAGAACGACCGTCAATGACAGGACCCAATCCTTCATCGTGCCGTATGCAGCCGCATTGGTACCTGAGCAACCAGTACCAATCATTCCACCAATTTGGGCACCTGGGCCTGGATCTGGTGGAAAGAAGAGATCATCTGAAGCAAGCTCATGATTGAGATCCTGCCATCCAACACCAGGCTGTACCGTGCAATCCAGATCAAGTGGATTGACCTCGATGATACGATCCATGCGGGTGAAATCTATCGCCACACCACCCATGGTGGGGATATACTGGCCTTCTATGGATGTTCCTCCTGAATATGGTGTGATTGGGATTTTCCTTCGATGACACACTTTCACTATTTTGGAGACTTCCTCCGTCGAACCTGGATATACGACGGCCGCACCAGGAGTCGCTGTCTCCGGAGTCCAAGCATAGGATTGGAAGTCCGATCCCGAATGAATCAAGAGGTCTTGAGCCGCCGTGGATACATTTGCTGAGCCGACAATATGAGAAAATTCTTTACAAGCATCGCTAATATTTGATGCAGAGGTGTCATGTTGGAACTTTGGCACATCTGTTACCTCAAGGGTAGATGAGTCTGTCTGCTTCTTGTGAGAGAAGAAGTATCCAATGGTCCCAATCCCAAATCCTGCTCCTGCAATCCCTAGTGCGGGAAGTCCTTCAATCGAGTCAATATTTCGGGCACAGCTTGTGAAATGCATTCTCTGATCTTACCTGAAAAACCACTTTTGATTGCATTTGCAACTCTGGGACTTCGAGACTTTGCGGCATTTGATCCATGGCGGATTCGTTGCGCCCTGCACCGTGGCTTGGATTGTACTGCCTGTCGAGAAAGTGAATATGCACGCGTTGCCTTCATTTTCACAACAAATATTATCCTAGGTTGAGAGAGAAATGTCAGACTCTATCAGTCAATTTCACCAAAGTTTATGTTGTCCTATTTACTGGAGCCGGATCGATTGCAATATATGACTCTGGGCACCTTAGCCGCTCAATGGGAGGAATGCTTCCGCTCCTTGATCCACACTGGTAAAAGGCTGGCCTGATGGCCTGGAATTGCAGTCAAACGTATATCAACCACCTAACAACTGCTCGGCTAGCAGGCGCGGCATGGTTATGGTGAAGTTAAACCCTCGTCCATACAAGTCAAGTTTGCGGAGATCATCTTCCATTCCCGATCACAATCCCTGGGACTGACCGCTTGGGTCCGGGTATGGTTCGGTGTTGGAGTATCCAACACTGGTGCCGATATCCATACGACCCGCAACTTCTCCATTTTCCAAGACTCCAATATGGATATTCAGGATCCACAATCGGTGTTTGCTACACTTTGATGTATACACTAGTACATCATGTGTACCTCGTCGTGGGTCTGTGGGATCAACTAACCATAGCAACCCATTCCCGTCACCCCATGGGTACCCCAGTTTACCCAAGTATTCACCATTCCCGTGTGATCTACAAGAACAGTCCAAATGAATATATATAATCCTAGTTCCCACATGGCGACTTCCACCTCTTTTCATTCTTGACGCCCAGTCATATCAGATTCCAATACTAGTGGGACAATTACATTCTTTTCCAGATCCATCCCCACATGTCGGAGCAAACTGCCAATATGGCTCACAGAGACAGCTTTTCATCACTCAAGGACGAGAAGCACGATCACGATCAAGTGGAAATTTCACCAGCCGTGGAAGACACCCACGACGCCAAATTCGAAAAGAGAGTACTGAGAAAGATCGACTGGCGCCTTCTCCCGATTCTTGGTGCTCTTTACACCATCGCACTGGTAGACCGAAGCAACATCTCTGTCGCCAGAATCTCTGGTCTGGATGAAGATGTCGGTCTCAAACAGGGCAATCGTGCCTCAATCGTCCTTCTGGTTTTCTTCATTGGCTATATCATCTTTGAGCTCCCTTCGAACATTATAATCCACCGTGTCGGTGCTGCGAATTGGCTGGCGTTCATTGCATTCTCGTGGGGTCTCGTTTCACTTGGTATAGGCTTCCTTCAAAACTGGATCGGCCTTGCCATATGTCGCGCTATCTTAGGCGTGTTTGAGGCTGGTTTCTTCCCGGGTTGTATCTACCTCGTGACTTGTTGGTATCGACGGTACGAGGTACAGAAACGACTGGCAGGCTTCTTTCTCACAGCGTCCGCCCTATCGGCATTTGCGAACATCTTTGCATATGGGCTCATTCAAATCGCCAAGCGCACCGAATACAAAGGCTGGAGATGGATCTTCATCATCGAAGGGGCGATCACTTGCGTCGCAGCGATCGCGGCATGGTTTGTCATTGTCGACTTCCCCGACTCCAATCGAAACACATTCTTGAGCGAGGAAGAGAAAGCATTCGTCAAGGCTAGACTTGCGGCAGACCGGGGAACCGAAGAACGCCAGAAAGTTACATGGACAGTCCTCTTCAAGACCGCAGCCGACTGGAAAGTCTGGGCATTCTCTCTCATGTACATGAGCGGTGCAGTGGGTGTCTATGCGTTCCTGTTCTTCCTCCCCATCATCCTGCGAAGCGGTCTCGGATATTCTCTCTCAATGTCCTTCATCTTGTCGGCACCGCCTGCCCTATTCTCAGTCGTCGAGGCATTTTTCATCTCGTGGGTTGCCGACAAGACCAAGATGCGAGGCCCTTTTGTTGTTTTCCAGGGCATTGTCGCGATCATCGGTCTCTGCATGACAGGTTTCCTCAACGCACCAACACCGAGGTATATCGGCACTTTCCTAGGTGAAGCTGGTACGTATCCTCGATCCAACCAAATCGAGTCTTACAGCTAACAATGCTCATCAGGTGTCAACGGCCTCGTCGTCTCCGTGCTAGCATGGCAGGCAAACAATCTTCGAGGAGATGCAAAGCGTGCCGTCGCCACGGCGATCCTTATCTCTTGTTCCGGTATGTCTTCCAAAAATCCTCACTTTTCAGCTCGGTTTGAAAATTCCAACTAACAGCCACTCTCACAGGAATCGGAGGAATCTACTCCTCATTGGTCTTCCGCCAACAGGATGCGCCAAACTACCTGCCAGGCATCATCGCCGTGATGGCGATCTGTGTTTCCACGGTCATCATCGCATGCATCATGATGTTCTCGTTGAAGCGTGCGAACAAGCAGGCCGATGAGGGAAAACGAATCATTGAGGGTCTTGAGGGATTCAGATATACTATCTAGACCTTCCATGTGATTTTATATAGCTTCAAATACCACTCTGTGCTCAAAACATTCCAGTCTGCTTTGAAAATGAAAACAGGCTGATTTTCGTTTTTTGAGGAGGCAAAGAATGCGCCCCCTTTTCACTTTCGCAGCCTCGTCGACCAAAAGTTCCATCTTCCGTGAATTTTTAGGGAGAGCCTCGTATGTAGATTCTAGATTGCAAAGAGATCGCTAACAGGGAGGGTGAAATCTGAGTAAGTCGAACAAAGGAATATCCCTTTGAATCCGAGAGGTGGGTATGTCTCGCGCACCGCACTTGATCAGATTTAGATTAAGAAGCCAAAGGAGGGTCTGCAACATGCTGCAGCGAGAGGCGAAGACTGTGCAGCCGTGTGATGCTAGACCGGTAGAATTCACCACAATTCTACAGTGGTAACCGTGAGGGACCATTAGCAGGAGCCACGTGGACTTGGACTGGGTATGAGGAAATCCAATTCCCAGCCTCGACCTCGACCTCGACCTCGACCTCGACCTCGACCTCGGGTATGGGTATGGGTATGGTCAGCCTTCAGGTTTCAAGCTTGATCTTGTCAATCTAGCTGGCTTTGGCGGTTGATGGCCAGCCTTGGTAGGACGTCTCCGCCAGGGGTTACGGCTGTGCTGTGTCCACGGAGGTGGGCTGTCGTTAGCTACCTAGGTATTTACCATACCCTTCCCCACGACGGCATGAGGGTCTTCAAATGGCCGATTTGGCGGATTCCCAATGTGGTATGTCTTGGGAAAGCCTGGTCCCGCACCAGGCATTGGATACCGAAGGCATCTATGTAGACGGCGAGATCGAGGTCGGTACCATAACCTCGGGCTAAGTAAGATTTGTGTTGTGTCGGTTGTGGTCAATGATGAGGCTCTTTTGCAAGCACATTACTCAATGCGGCTTTGGAGGAATGGAGGTTGGAGGCACACGGGTCGCAGCCGGTTACAAGTTACAGTACCTCGTATGTGCCTGCCTATCGGAGATAGCTCCGTAGGCCCTTGAAGACAAGTTGCCTGATAGGACACGAGAGGAGTGGAACACCACCTCGCCCTGGGCTTCTAGCGGGCCTCGGGTGCCTCGGGCATCTTGTCCAGGCCCCTCGGGCCCAAGAGGCTCCACAAGCCATAGCCAGAAGGAAATCCCCACGGGGAGGGGTCGGGGGTACATCCCGGGCTCCAAGCCCGCAGCCATAACCGTTACAGAAGTATAGGTAAGCATGAGGCTCAACGAATGGGATGAGTGCGCCGCGCATCGAATTTCCAGAGAACACCATTCCCGGCGGGCATGGCTTGCTGCAGATAGAGCTCTCACTTGAGTTCTGTAGCGGCCCCAGGATGGCTCAGAGGGGGGGAGGTCACTTTTCTGGGGCACCCTAATTACTGCACTGCTTTATGGAGTTCATTATCTGACGTGGGTCTTCGTTTTGAAATTCGATGCGCATTTGAATACGGTGACTCTGCTGGGGTTCGAAACAGTGTGCCCAAGTATTTCAGTTCGGGTATGGATATAATAGTACATGAAGATGGAAGAACGCCAGAACGCCACCGCTATGAAGGCTGAGATTCCAAGGCCCGGTACTCAAGAAGAATCCCCCTATGCTCTTGTTCCCCTGCAGCAGGGACCCATCGTTAAACCACACGTATCATGAGATGCAGTGGCCATCCATGACCATTTTCTGAACCATTCCCCGGCCCCTTTTCAATACCCAAGTGCTCTTCCACAAAGCAAATCATTTCTCCGGTCCGTTCATTGAGATGCCGTGTAATCGGACTCTGTACAGGCAGGTATGGTCAGAGCCATGATTTGACACGACTCGAACCACAAATTTCTGGGCATGGTGTCGATACTGATCTTGGTTTATGTCCAATGTGAATGTCTGAACGTGAGGAGCTTCCCCAGATGCGTCGTACCTGGCCTGGCCGATCAATGCATAGTTCGAACCAAACGGGTTGCTTCCCTGCATGTGTCTGATACCCAGCTTTTCCCACTCCAAACTGTCGAGATGGCTGAAGTCGGCCCAGAGTTCAATATTCTTGGGGATTGATCTGGGCGAGATCGAACCGGCATTGGGATAGTTTTCCACCACCAGCTCGAAAGGGTAGATTATTTCTGACGCCTTAACTCCCAGACGCATCGAGTCTTGCTCACTAGGCACTGCCGATGCACACCAGTTGTCTCCAACGTCCTGCCAAGCTTGAAGCGCAACGTCCGGGCCTTTTGTCTTGTACATTCTTGAGCCAACAACTTTTAGCAATACTCTCGTAAGTAAACCAATCTGCTTTTCCTTGGTTGGTGAGGTGAAACGTGGGTCAACAATGGCTCCATTATTTGGTGCGAAGTAATTGATTTTTGCAATCACTGGTGAGGCAACGTCGTTGGCGGTTTTGGGTATTCCAGCGCCGATTCGCGACAACTGATTTGCTAATTCGGCGTGCTGCTTCCTCAGCGCTTCGAAGTCCTTGTCTATAGCTGCATGCTCTGACTCAATTCTGCCGGACAACCGGGCATCCATTGAGCGTAGCTGACCGTTGATGCTGTTGATTGCTGAAGTCAGCTTGCTGAAATCCTCTCCATGACCGGAGGTAATTATCATTGATGGCATTGGATCCCGGACACATGATCCGCAGTATTTTTGGAGAGCCAAACCTATTGGTGAGGAGGTCAATGGATCGCATACGTGGTGACTGTATGTATAGCAAAACACAAACCCAGTCACGCTGGCAAGAACGAGGCCGAAGATCATGGTAACGAGGAAAGCGATGATTGGTGAATTTGGGATATCCTTGACAGCATCTGAACATGCTCGTAGAAATTGGAGAGTCCAGTCAAGCGCGGTATTTGATATTCTTGAGAGGGACTGACGTGATGTTTCAATGATGTCTTTCGTTCTTGTTGAAGCTCTCTGAAAGATTGATGGCTCTTGCTTTTTTATCGTAATGTTCGGTCTCCGGAGGCCTCTTTCGTAGTTGTAACTATGGTCGAATATCCCACTAGGAAAACTCGACGGATCTGTGTCTTTGCGACTTGCACCATCGGCATTACTCGCACCATCACTACTGTCTTCCTCCGGAATTTCATCGAGTTGGCTGCTGTCAAGCGAATTTGCCCATGCGGCAACACGTTGATTTTTGTTCTTCTCATTGTCATCGCTCGCAACTGAAGCTTCTCGGGATGCTCTTCGTTCTGCTCTCTCCGCTCGCGCATCATTCTGTAGATTAGCATGTGCTTCTTCGAGGTGGTTCTGCAGGTGATGTTGAGCCTGCTCTACTCCTGCATCAATGTTGTCCGCGAGTTCTTTTAGATTCATCCGACTGCGAGCAATCAATTGAGTCGGAAGTACTGGAGTCTTGCTTGACCCGTACGCATATGATTGCTGTATCTGCACTTCAGGTAGTCGTGGATTATTGACACTGACTTCTGATGCAGGTTGCTGGGAGGCACCTCTAGCCGTCCTTCTTATTGAGTCAGGAACAGTCAAAAGACTCCCACCACGAGCCGATCTTTTTGCGGGTGATGCATTACTGATGGGCGTAGCGCTTGCCGCCCTTGCGCTTGATCGACGTGGTGGCATTTTTTCTAGATTTCCTCCAGTGGCTGTTTGAGGATCAGATTGAGACTAGAATTATTCGAGGAATGTCTGTTTTTCGGACACCGAATTCGGCGCAGCGTCGTCCTAACAGATGAGGTTGAGAGAGAGTGCGAGAACACAACTCCCCTAGAGATCCCCTGATCGCGCCGGCCCCATTGACGATCTCAGAGAAATCTAGACCATGCAGAAAAATGTCCTGTAGCAAGTTTTGAAACAATTGCGGTTGAAAGCAATAAAAGCGGCGCCTTGAGATGAAAGGCGCTGTGTCGAAATTTATTGTTTCACGGGTGTTGCTAAATTTTGATGATGTGGTGAGAATGATCTAAGAGCGACGCGTCGGTTAAAGTCGGTCTTGTAAAACCGTGCGTTTCGCGTCGCGTTGGAGATGTCACACAGACTCGTGGCACAAACTCGACTTATAATTTGAGATGTCAGTCGGGTCGTAGTAATAATCATGAAACTGTGGGAAAGTCAGACTCGCTTTTGGAATTGTTCATTGTTTAGTTGTAACGCGTTCGGATCCCGGTTGCGGAGAGTAAGAAGAATGTCGAAGCTTTAAGGAGTGGGGCGGCGCTGCCTTGAGGTCGAAGATCGAGACGTATCACGTGACCAGACCGGGAGCATTCCAAGACCAGCATTGTTGACATGAATATTGAAGTGAATTGGTTTAATCTAATCTATAGTCATAATACATCACATAGTATACATATTTCGTGGGGTCAACATTAGTACATGATATCTCGTATGCTTTTCCAACGCTTGCAAATCAGGCGGGGGAATGATCCTCCTTATTCACGGTTCCCTCAAATGAGTAATCATCATCAAAAAGTTCTTCCTCCGACAGTATGCGTGTAGTCGAGTTCAAACTCAGGCGTGGGGGTGTATCGGAAGTTTGTGTTGGTGAATGCTGCATCTGTTCACTTGAATAATCTCCAGGCCCTTTGCTCCCGTTGGGAATGTGGAAGCGGCGATCAACCCGAAGCAAGAGGTAAAGATAGACAACGATAATCTCGATGACAAAGTTGAAGAAGTAAAAGCACCATTTCGCGTGGTACCATGCTGGATTGTTCAGAGGTCGAGGATTTTTGTACATAGTCGCGATGCGGAAGGTGGCTCCAAGACAGAGTAAGAATGCTGAGGTGAGGAGAATGGCAATCTTTGACCTCCATCTGCCACTACCAAACTTTTCCACTCTCGTCTGCCGAGGGACGATCAAGCCAACGATGACCAGAACGATGGGTAAGAATGAGATAAACAAAAAGTATGTAGAAGCGGTCATTTGCAGATCTCGGTCGATTCGCTTGATATCGGGGTTAAGCGTGTAGAACGACTGCACAGTGGCAGTTATGACCATTGCAAGCATGGCGATGACCAAGGCGTAAAGGGCTTTGAAGGCAATGGACAATATTTTATGCCAACCGAAGTGGGGATGCGCAGCTCGAGTTATTCTTTGCGCGAAGATGAGATTGATGACGAAGAGAAGTAGTACGCCAGCAGATACAAAGATCTGAGCTGCAATGGCGATCTGAACATCATGTGGATAATTTGCCCATACAATACGCTTCAGACAGATTAGCGGGTGTCGAAATCGCAATGAGATGGAGACTCACAAGGATCATGGTCACAGTACGCGCCATGCAGAAACCAAACATTAAACCCGACATGAGGAATTTATGTCCGCGTCGTCTATTGATCTGGAAAATAGTCATATGACCTGCTGCTGCAAGTAGAAATAAAAATATAAAGACGGACGATATGGGAACATCGACTCCAATGGTAGGAACGCCCCCTACTCCGGCTGTCGTAGGGGCATATGGAGGTCCGCTTTGATGATTCGACATTTTATATAATGAGGTGTTTGCTGATTGAGTTGATGTGATGCTTGAGACAATCCTTGTCGAAGGCTGTTGGGATGATTGGGAACATTCTGAAAAGTCCAGGAAGGACTTTCATGCACCTTTATCTACCCAGGTTGAATAGTCGTCATTGTAACCCTCGGACAGCCATTAACAAAATCCCCCCCCGACCATCAACGGGGGACAAATAGTCGGGTCCGTGACGTTGAGATGGAAACATGCGATATGACCTAAGCTTGAACACAGAAAGTTTGGAGTTGTTGGTAATGGTCGAAGTGCCACAGATGATCGAATTAGATGTGATACACGTGATCTCGCTCACGGCAAAACGGTCCGGTGAAAGGGCGAGAGGCCGACGACCAACCAACGAACAACAATCTGACCCTTTAGAGCGAGATCCGATGTTCATCGACCTTGATCGACTCGGAGGAATCATTGTCTTTTTACCGCGTCGGACTAAATCCACCTGCGATCTCCTCGGACATGGAACCAGAAAAATCAAAGAATAACCAGTAACGTGAACCCACCTTGCAAGCGTAGACGACTAACAACGGTAAAACCTCTCATGCATGTTGTGTAGGTAGAACCTACCTTGATTAGCAAACCTCTTGAAATTCTTAGAAATGAAGAAAATGAAACTGCAACTTCAGCTGCAACTTGGATTTTGGGGTGTCATTTCGGCTGGCTGTGTCGCAAGAACTCACGTGTTTGAGCGCTGACGTCATTCTCTACGACCTCTTCCGATGTTGGTGGGGTTGCACTTTTGGTAACGCGACCATCGTGTGCTGCCTGGTGAGCACATCGTAACTCCTACACATTGTAACACAAAGGAGGCGTGGGCCATTCCATTTCAAATCAACAAAGCTTCTTGTTTTTGACACCGCAACCCTTTTCACCGTAACCATGGCTCCATCTACCACCAATGCTCTCAGCCCGGATGTGATTCTTGATTACATGAGCAAGAGTCTTTCAGTTCAATCCAATGAGAGGCCATTACTCAAGGACTCCTATTCCGCCATAGCCCTATTTTCCCATGCCTGTATGCTCGCTGTTGGTTTCCGTCTCATAGGACTGGGCGAGGATGACAAGATAGGTCAGTTCATTCAGTCATCCCGGGCTGACTTCTCTAACGTCTACACAGAAGCACAGTCTAATCCCGAAAATGTACAACCTTTACCCAATGAGTGGAATGCCTCTTCTTCATATGCCTTTCGATATGCGCACTCACAGTCTTCCTTGGAATTCCTGATAAAGGTGACTCGTCTGGGTGGGAAAGCGATCATTTTTGGGGTCGGTCTCGGTGACGACAGGACGGCATCATTCGAGGTCAAGGCACAGGACTTTACTTCGGAAGGCTCATTGAAGGAGGCTACATACGCATCTTCGGACAGAAAATCGGCACTCAGAAACGCATTTATCTCAAATGGTCGGCTTGAAGACTTTGCTAAACTTTTCAAGATCAACATCATTCAGAAATTGGCTCCAGGGATTCAGAAGTCCGGCTACGAGGAGTCACCCATTGCTGCCGAACAACCAAGACAGCGGGAAGAACCACGGCGAGATCACTTGAGAGATGACCAGCCTGCTCCAGCACGACCACAGATATTCGACGATCCACTAGCCGCGGCACCTCGAAGACCCGCCCCCGCCGCAGACTTCCCTCCTCCAGGATTTGAAGATGAATACGAAATCAACAGACCTCCACATGGCATCCCACTAGGTGGACAGCCGTTCGGAAATATTGGAGAGAGAGATCTATACCCCCCTGGACTTGGACCACATGATCCTCTGAGAATTGGACCGGGAGGAGGGGGAGGCTTTCGAGGTGGAGGTGGCATGTATCCTACGTTTGATGATCCTATCTTTGGAGGTCAACCTGGCCAACAACCATTCAATCCCAGAGCACCTCCAGGAGCGAGGTATGATCCGGTAGGACCAGGTGATGGCCCACCTAATTTGCGAGGAGGGCCACGTTTCCCTAGTGGAGGTGGGGGGGGAGGCGGGTTTCCTGGTGGCAATCCATTTGGTGGGTTCGGACGAGGCGATTTCATCTAGATCTCACACGTAGCATTGAATCATCAACTCAAGTGCTCAGAAGCTGCTGGGAGCATGTATAATAAAACACTCTGCTTTCGAGCCAGAAAATTCGATCTATTGCAAGCAATTATTGAAATTCCGCGAAGTATGTACAAAATTCCTGTGGATCAGGGTGAAGATTACTACACAACTACACTAATTGCGTATATACTTGGTTTCCTAGTCGAGCTACCCCAGACGACAACAAAGACAATGACAATGAGAGGGACGTGAGGGTAAGAATTGTACTAGTCTAGGACATTGTTTCTACCTAGCGAGCTGAGGTACACTAGGTAATAAATACTCCATAGAGCACCCAGGTATTTCCAGGATTAAATTGCTTAACACCACACCGACCAGCATGAGACAATGTACGCAAGGCCATTGATGGCGGTTGATTGTGGTGCACTAGACAGCAATACTTCCCGACTTCATACCGTGATTAAGGTGTCTTTCAAAGTGGGATGGAAGGGAGTGGAAGTATGAAAGCGAGGGGAGGATAACTCAGGTAAATACATTGGCCCACCCCCAAATTTCCCATGTTTTCTGACCTGAGATCCCTCAAATGACACAACATTGCAGATCTGGGAACTTGACCAAACACAGCCAAAGTGAATGGACCCCATCTTCCTATGAAATACAACCCACCTGTCCTATCTGCCCAACACCGCAATTGGTACTCATGTGCCCATCTGAACCATTTTCGACTCCAGAGCGGAGAGCCTCGGCATCACATAAGTTGGTGGCGCTTGTCAGTGGCATTCACACGCCAACAGATCTTCTCAAACTCCATGAACACAGAGTTTCGGAATCACATAAGTTGGTGGTGCTTGCCAGTGGCAGTCACGAACCAACAAAGCGTCTCAAACATGGGCCTGTCATCAAAGTGCAACAATGAACCAACGGATGTCTTTATTGGGCATTCTGAATGTCACACTTCTCGAAACCTCTCTCTCACTGTCTTGTTTATACGATCACACATTTCGAACACAGCTTCCTCATAAGCTGTTGGCAATCACAGGATATCGCATGTTGTGAGCTCGTCCTCTATCAAATCGATCCGTACAGACGAAGTTCTCACCAGAGTAAGTTATCTTGTCTTCAGGGAGAGCACCGCTAACAAAAACGTAGACAACAACAACAACAGCTGCAGCAACGGGAGTAAGCTATCTTACCTCGAGAGAAAGAAATACTGACCATGATCTAGACGGCAGCAGCAACGGCAGCAGCAGCAGTAAGTCGTCTTACCATTATAAGATACCCCACTAACAATGATTCAGACCACAACAGCAAACGTGAGTAGACTTTCCTTGCTCAGAACTATATATTTACCAAAAAGCAGACCGCCGCAGCACCAGCACCAGCAGCATCAGCGGCAGCATCAACCCGGCCGTAGTGTCCATTTTAAACGGGTGCCGTCCACGTCGCAATCGAGGAGACCAGCTAGCCGTTGCCAACCACTCGGCCTTCCTCGCTAGGGACCCTACTAAGGGGCCTATTAGCATTGCTACGCGCCTGTCGGCCAGCACGAGGGCCGTGGAGGCGGAGCACGCCGCCTGGCGTAAACGCTAAGTAGAAGTGTCGACGGTAGTGGCGGTGGAGGCGGTGGAGGCGGCAGTAAAGCGGCTGCTGTAACAGCAGCGAGCCCACCAGACTGAGAGGTAACTTCCATCTTCCCTCCTTCAACTTTCCCTCTGCATTCCAATATGGATTCGAAAATGGAGCTCGATTCCACCTGTACGGCACGAAGCACGCGGTGTCTCTGCCGCCTGCGGATGAAGGCCGCGTTATCACTTGTGTGAGCTTGGAAGAGGGCGAGAAACTCTGTCTTCTCTTGCCAGAGCTGTCCGACAAGCAGATTCAAGAATGGCCCACAAACTATAGAGTGGCAATGGATAGGTACTTTTGGCACGGGGGAGTCGTCGAGTTCAAGTATGTTGGAGCACATAGATTCGGAAAAAGCGGCCTCATCATTACATGATCCACAGAGATCGGGGCGAGAGCGAGTGCCGGCACCGTGTTGACTATTGCTGGAGCACGCGAGAGAGCAAGATGGATGATAGAAGAAGTGTCTGGCATTAGAAAGAGAGTGTCGTTCAGATTACCATGCACTATTGCTAATCGGGCAAGTGTGCCGATCAACGCTACTCCCAGATGGGGTCCCTACAACTCCGCTGAGTGCGCAATCCAACTTCTATCCAGATACATTCCCACGCTTCAACCTCCACCAACCTCCCTGTCACCACCCTCTTCCAAGGGCGCGCTCCCAAACCTCAACCTCTATCTACGTCCCTATCACTTTGTATCTACGACATGGACTCCAAGATGGACCTGGATGTTGGCAAACCCACAACCCACGATTCAATGCCTGCTACCGAATCTCAATCCACTGGCGATCTGGACGCCTGGATCGCCCAATTGCTTCAGATCAAACAGCTAACGGAATCCGACGTCGCCAGGCTTTGTGAAATGGCCCGAGAAGTCCTTCAAGAAGAATCGAATGTCCAAGCAGTCGTGAGTTTCTCAACTCTTCACTTCTTTCTTCTGTTGACCATCATTAGAAAGCTCCAGTTACTGTTGTAGGTGACATCCACGGCCAGGTCTCAGATCTTTTTGAGTTGTTTCGCATCGGTGGCAATTGTCCAGACACGAATTACCTTTTCATGGGTCAGTTCACAACTTTCCATTGAAATCGCCTCTCTCTCTTCTCTCTGCGTCCCAATCCACTCCTCCCTCAAATCTCTCTCACTCACTTTCATCTAGGAGATTATGTGGACAGAGGTTACTACAGTATTGAATCCGCCAGTATACTCGTCGCTTTGAAATGCAGATACCCCAAACGAATCACCTTGACCCGCGGCAACCATGAATCGAGACAAATCACCCAAGTCTACGGTTTCTACGACGAATGCCTCCGAAAATATGGAAATGCAAACGTCTGGAAATATTTCACCGACCTCTTCGACTATCTCCCCCTCACAGCCCTAATTGAAAATCAAATCTTCTGCCTTCACGGAGGCCTTTCCCCCAGTATTGACACCCTCGACAACATTCGATCCCTCGACCGAATCCAAGAAGTACCTCACGAAGGCCCCATGTGCGATTTGCTTTGGAGCGACCCCGACGACAGATGCGGATGGGGAATCAGCCCCAGAGGCGCAGGCTACACATTCGGCAGTGACATTTCTGAAGCTTTCAATCACAACAATGGTCTGACACTGGTTGCAAGAGCACATCAACTCGTTATGGAAGGCTACAATTGGTCACACGACAGAAACGTGGTCACAGTCTTTTCAGCCCCCAACTATTGCTACCGATGTGGAAATCTCGCTGCGGTCATGGAAATCGACGAAAATCTCAAGTACACATTGTAAGTCGAAATTCCAAGCATTGAATTCCAACACTGACCAATCTTAGCCTACAATTCGATCCATGTCCACGAACAGGAGAACCCATGGTCAGCCGCAGAACACCTGACTACTTCCTCTGAATGAATCACATGCTCCGTGAGACAAATACAGAACTACATCCCCCGAATCCACAACATGCCCCAGAATCATTTGCTCCGAATCAACACCCCCCAAAAGACAAATGCAGAAGAAAATGTACCCAAAAAAGGCAGAGCTAATACTTCTATACGAGCAAATGCGACACATCAATCAAACCCAAGGTACACCATAAATCAGCATACTTTAGAGATGTGGCACGAGAACCAAACTTGTCCGAAACTGGGTTGGAAAACTGAGACAGAGCTAGACAGAAACTCAGATACACCGATTGTGGGAATCTTCGAGGCATTCTGAACTTTCATGACACAACGGCACGGCGGGTTGCCTATGAGCTGTTGAATGTAGTATTATGAACCCACAAAGAGATACCAAGCTAGAGAAAGCAAAGCAGACCTTACGAGAACAGTAATTTATTTCCTTTCCGTCCCTCCCATTCATTTGAGCTCTGATCCAGCTACGTCATGATTGCACTACATATTCTCTAGCTTGCTTCCTCTCCCTCAACCATGGTAGGAATGTACTCAGACTGCGTTGCATTGAGTGTCAATGGGCCTCGCTTAACCATCAATGTCATAACCTCATAAAGTGCATCGGCGGCGGCCATGGTGGTCAACTCTGCGTTGGTGTCATATGCAGGAGCAACCTCCACGATATCAGCAGCCACGAAATTGATACCTTCCAATCCGCGCAGGATGGTTCTCAACTCGCGAGTGCTCCAGCCTCCAGTCTCAGGAGTTCCAGTGGCAGGAGCAAATGCAGGGTCAAGAGTATCAATATCGATGGACAGGTAAACGGGGTTCTTGGTGCCAACACGCTCTTTAATGCGCTTAATGATACCCCAAGTACCGATCGTGTCAATCTCACGTGCCTCAACACGTGTGAAGCCGCAGTATCCATCATTCTCATAATCGCTGGGTCCCGAGAGTGTGGTACGGATACCAGCGTGAATGGAACTGTCATTCGCAAGGAGACCCTCCTCACTTGCCCAGTAGAAATATGTGCCGTGGTTGATAGCGGCTTGTTTGCTGGGTGCGCCACCAAAGACCTTGGGTTTCCACGTGTCCAGATGTGAGTCGAAATGAATCACAGAGATTGGTCCATATGCTTTGTTGATGCTGCGAAGCAATGGCAGGGTAATGGTATGGTCACCTCCGAGGGTGATGATGCGAGGAAGTGTCTTTCCCGACTTGCTGATACCCGGTTCATTAGCTGCAGTAAAAGGAACGCGGGTGAGGAGGGCATTGTGCCCGTCTTCGATCTGCTGGAGGGCATAATGATTGTCGTATCTGTCATTGTGAGTCGGTGATCTCTTCTTCACCACAGAATCTGCTCTACTTACGAGGTCACAGGGATATCACCACAATCAATCACCTTTCCCCAGAAATTGAACGGGTTGGATTTTAATGGTACATTGTACCCGCCACTGAACCCGAGTTTCCGTGAGCCTTTATCCTTCCAAGGATGGCAAAAGTAAGCCTTCGAACGAGGATGGAGAGCAACATACTAAAGATTGAGACGGCGAGAACCTTGTCTGATACCACTTGGGCCAAAACGCGCTCCTGGTCTGTACGAAGTTCCCGTGTCGAATGGTGCTCCTGGTTACAATGTCAGTTGGAACGGCATTTTCTTTTGCGCTCTTCGTGCTCTCACCCAAGAAAGCAATATCGTATTTCTCTTCATCACTGGCTAAGCAAGGGAAGTAAGGCAGGCGGCCGAAGGTCGAGATTCCTGAGAAAACGGAATCTGCCTAGACATCCAAATCAACATCGTCCTTCCCACATATGGAGGCTCAGAGCCTTACCTGAGTGCCGCCATCACCTGGCAAGGTGTTATACCACAAAGACTTGTGTGGTCCTGAAATTGGAGTCTGATCTGCTGAATGATCTCCATGCGAAAGCACACAGCTAGCACAAGCCAACAGTGCGACTGAGGTGAAAAGCATCTTTGCTGCGAGGAGAAAGATACAAAGAGATTGGAACCAGAAATTAGAATGCAGAGGGAACGACAATCAACACGAATTCAAGTACCTACCTCAAGGCTACTTGTAATCGTCAAAATATTGACAATTACCCCAACGAGCGTCACTAACATGAGATAATGACAATCAGTTACCGGCGTTCGGTTCCTTGCAGCAAAGGTCTTGGATATCATGCTCTTACCTCACATATGCTCCATCTCATGCACGAGTTGTCTCTTGAACACTCTTTCGGGCATGGTCTCGTTCTCCAGGAAGTCAATGCACGAGTCGTCTCTGCATCACTCGTTTAGGTTTGGACTGGACATCCGCAACACCAATGCACGAGTTGCTCTTTCACTTCCAGTTGTGGTATAGCCTGATCCTCCACACACCATATGCACAGGTTGTCTCTCGGCTGCCTCTTTAGGAATAAACAGACAAGGTATCAAGGATTGGCGTGCCAGATATCTGGAGCACGGCTCCAATCAATGGTGACGAAAGTGTATTCAGGTAGCTAGCCCGGAGCCACAAAACTCGCCTGATAAGGCCCAGGGCCCCATTATTAGCTGAACCACGTTCCCGACATTCAGGACTCGCATTAGTGAGATCGTGATCCAGTTATAACCTTACGATATGCTTCAAACCTTTCTTGAACCCGGACTGGATGATGCATCCATCATCAACAACACGATGCCGGTCGCACAACTTTCACCGACAAATGCCGAAATATCGCAATCAGGTCTGATACGGGCACCCTACAAGTCCTTGAAACATATGTCAGGCTTTCGGCCTTATCAGTGCATGGTACTTTGGTAATGGGAGGTAGTCAGATCTTCCAGGTGGTTTGATAGCGATGCCGCTAACCAAGAGCGGTAGGGTCGTTTTGTAATAAATGGTATCTCGTCATTTTCGGCCATCAGTTCCTGTCCTGACAAGGCTACGCGAAGTGCACTACCGAACTCATTGGTAAGTGCTACTGGATGGCCGTTACAACACAGCATCTGAATCAATAGCGGACTTGAGAATACAATTCAAGTCTCTCCAACACTCAGGGGTCGTCACGATACTTGGTACATATGTAATCGTGCTGGCTAGATGACTTTTCAATGGTAGGCATGACAGTTCGTTAAATCTATTGTGATCAGTTAGAGACGGGAGCAGGACCAGCTTGACCGTTTTCAACAAGTTCATCCTTGTCCATCCTCGCAAACGCCTGTTCAACCTGATAATCCCAGTTACTCCAGGCGACAATGACCCATTCTCCAATTCCTACCAGATATAGGGCAATACATTGACCAACCCAGAGACCAGCGAGTCCCCAGCCATGGAATGCAAGCCATATACCCAGCGGTAGTGCACCACAGTAATAACTGATAAGATTGACCGCAGCACCAATATGTTGCCGACCCATACCGCGCAGGGCTCCACCACAGCTCCCGTTCAGGCCGTCGGCGATTTGGAATAGAGCGACATATGGTAGAACCTCTGCAGTAAGCTTGATCACTCTTACATCGTCATTAAAGATTTTCGCAAAGTGATTCCTTGTTCCCATGAGAACGGCTAGCACGAAACCGCCGAGTAGGATACTCAGCCATGCACCGACATTGGCGGACCTTGCTGCACCTTTGGCGTTTCTTGATCCAAGCATGTTTCCAACTCGAGCGCTAACTGCTACACCGACACCAAAGGGTATAGTATTCAAAACTTGGTCTGCAGTCATAATGACACTCTGTGAAGCAAGGGGAATCTCGCCCAGTCGACCAGCTGCCAATGCCACAATTTCAAATGCCCACCTGGAAAACGTTAGTAAGAAGTGTCATTCTGAGCTAAACCAATTCACAAACCATTCTGTTCCAACATGAAGGACTCCCAGTGCAGCAAGTTTTGCAAAAGTTGTAGTGTTTTGCAATGATTTCTTGGTCCATCCGCCCCAGCATTCACCACCAGCAACGAATTTGGCATAGAGGACAAGTCCGAGGAACGACAGCCAGTAGCCGATTCCTGTTGCGAATGGAGCAGCAAAAAGACCCCATCCTAGTGTGTACACAAACAGATAGTTCAATGCTGCACTGATTGGGGAAGTGATCAGCAGCACATAAGTACCGGGTCGCATAATTTCTTGTGCCTGAAGGTATTTCTTCATCGTTTCGAAATAGATATAGCCAAGACCACCAGGTATGAGACATGTCAGAAATTTGGCACTATCTCTTGACAATTGAGGGTTCTGACCCAAGGCTTTGAAGAGAGGTTCCGATGCAACCCATATAATAGCGACAGGAATGTAGAACAAGGTCAGCACGATAAAAGAACGTTGCAGTAAGACGCCCAAATCATGCTTATTCTTGCTTCCAGTAAAGGTAGATGATGCCAGTGTATCCAGAGCCGTCGAACCTCCCATGCCAATCAACCAAGCCGAGCACATAGCAAACATGTAAGAGAATGCTGCAGTTGAGAGATCTTGTGGTGAAGCTTGGCCGACAATAAGGATCGAAACCGTTTGAAGAGAGTTTTGGAGCGTATATGCCAAAACCACTGGGATTGAACCTTTGAAGAGCACCCAGAATTCGTGAAGGATGAGTTTCCTGGAAGAAGTGCCATCCTCAGGTAAAATGTCCATCACCTCCCCTTCCTCCTGGCTGGTTGACTGATCATCATCATCATGCTTCTTTGGCAGAAGCTGCGAATGCTCTGTCGGGGCTTCCTCGATATCATCATTAATGAGCACCGACGAACGACGTCTCTCAGCATCCTCTTCTTTGAGAATTCAATGAGTACAAAATCAAGAGCACGGAGAGTTGCACCTACCTGAAGTACTATATCTCCGCATGATGGCGCACGAGCTGAGTAGAAAGTATTCGGAACAAGGCGTATTCAGCAATGAAAACAAGAAGCAATCACAGGAACGAGGTGCCTTAGTATTAGATGAAGGGTGGTGCTGGCCACTGGAGTTCAACAAACCTCGATTCCCGCCATAATATCACCGAGCGTAGTTAGTGGATCATGGTTCTTGAACCCTACATACCCCACCAGCCTAGAAAAAGATAGACTGGGCTCGCCGCGAACGAATTTGTCTTCCTAAGTGGACGCAGATTCCGCCATGGGCTTTTGAAGGTGCATGCAGCTAGCAGTCTGAAAACTTCACGGAGCTGCATACCGAAAAACCGCTCACAAATAATAGGACAACGTAACCCGGCAATTGTTGCGTATCGCATGATGTGCCTTGGAAAGGGCTCCAGAAGGGAACGCAACACAGGAAAACCACGGATCGCCAACGACGGACGTTGATTCGTGTGTCGAAGTCCTTATCTCTGGACTTCGAGACAAGCTCAAATAAGGTGGGTATCTTAATACTAGCGTATACGAGGCTTGGCGGCGAACCTCTATCTCAAACGCTGTTGGATGCCAGATGGAACCTCATACCTCGTCACGCCTATCAATTTCCCCTTATCACCATCGATATTTTCGCCTCCCCGTCTTTGACCAGCATAAGCAATCTTCGATGCGCTAAGGTGCCAGTAACGAGACCGATGCAGACTGTTCCTATGGCCCCCATTATGGTACTGTCGCGCAAGTGCGCTGCAGCTTAGGCCTTCAAGCAGCGCTGTCTCAACAACCATGCTATGTTTTCATTTGGCGAGATGCTGGTTCACGATCCTACTTACGGGGTAAGCTGCCTCATGGCACTAGTGGGACCCAACACATTCATCATTAGACATCTCCATCTGTAACACGAACCAGAGATAAGGTGTCACACAAGAGAAAAATTAACTTGGGTATCTTGTCAGCTTGATGGTCCGTTTAGCTGCCGTTGTGGCGTCCAGGCTTTGCTCACCATCGCTGTTTACTTTGTTGGTACTTTATGGAGATCCTGGTATTTGCCTCAGGTCTCGGTAGGTCTCTTTTCCGCGTACCTTTGACTCGTTGTATTTTTATATATATCAACATCGTCGGTCGCTTTATGTTCAATTTCTATCTTTGGCCTCAACTATTTATTCCCTCTCTTCAATCATGTCAGACATTCTACATGAAAAGACCGCTCCTTTGGGAGATAGTCCTGCTCCAGTCGGAACTCTCAATGAGAAACTTGACGCCGGCACTGTAGCACCTTCTCCTCCCAACGTTGAGAACGTCGTGACCAAAGATGGCATTCGCGTTCATCCACAACCCACAACAGATCCTTTGGATCCCTTGAATTGGAGTTTTTTCCAAAAGCATTCAATTCTCGCGATTGTTATGCTCAAGTATGTTTCTCAAAGCACCATTTGTTTTGACAGCTTCACTAATGAATACAAGATACTTCCTCTTCACATTCCTCACTACCAACACTGTGCCGAGTTTTCCTGATTTACAGGAAGGCTTCAATCTTTCATATTCACAGGTGAACTGGACAGTGGCCATCCCAGCTCTCGGGCTAGCTGTTGGTCCCTTGATATGGTCTGGTCTGGCGGACATCTACGGTCGTCGCATTGTTTTCATCCTAGGAACACTGATGGCTTTCGCTGCTACAGTCGGCGCTGCCAAAGCTTCAGACTACGGCGGCTATATGGCTGCGCGTTTCTTCCAAGGGCTAGGAGTGTCGCCGGCCTCGACAGTCGGCCTCGCTGCTATCAATGACATGTTCTATGAGCACGAGCGTGGCCAAAAGATCGGACTTTGGGTTCTAGCTATCGATGCGGGTCTACTTGTCGGCCCTATCTTTGGAGGTTTCCTAAACATCGTATCTGCAGAGTGGATTCAATGGTTCACCGCTATTCTCTTCGGTGCACTGCTTGGCCTCGAAATTCTCTTCATGCCCGAGACCTTGTACCCGAGAAACAGCATGCTAAAGCAATTGCCCATGGTTACTGCTTCAGACGATGCGACTGCAGACATCGAGAAAGTGGGCCGTCGGAGAAGTGATGCCAGCATAGTCAACCTACCACGAACTAAGAAGCTGCCATATGTCAACTACAAACCGGTTCCAGGGATGCGCCATCCAAAGTTATGGGACCCAGCATTGCGATTCATACTGACATTCAAGTTTCTCGCCGTCACCATTTGCGTATTCACTTACTGCTTTATGTGGTACTGGTGGGTCCTCAGCGTCATTACCATGTTGCCGGCCGCATATCTCGATTACAAACCCCAGATTCAAGGACTGCTGTTCATCGGTCTCCTCCTCGGCACACTATTTGCGGAGCTGTTCCTTGGAGGTCGCCTTAGCGACTACGTTTGCGCCAAACTCGCAGAGAAGAATGGCGGTGTCCGAATGCCAGAAATGCGCCTCTGGCTGATCTACCCTGCTGGTATTCTTTCAGGAGTCGGACTGATCATTTGGGGAGTCAGTGTCGACAAAGGATACCACTGGATTGTAGGTCAAGTGGCATTCTTTCTCTTCGCTGCTGGTATTCAAATGGGCAACACTGTTGTGTGTTCATACATCGTCGACTGCTACCCACTGCAAAGCATGAGCATTGTAACATACTATGCTGTACTCTTGAACTTGTCGGCTTTCATCGACCCTGTGAGTCAAACCCCTGGGATTTTTACCTCCAACCATTGCTAATATCTATCCAGTTCTTCATTGCACCCTGGCAAGCTGACTCAGGCTGGACCTGGTGCTTCGCTGCACAAGGAATCATTGTCATCTGTGGCGCATTGCCTGTGTTTGCGCTTCTGCATAGGTACGGCCCGCTCTTGAGAGCTAAGAGTGGAACACCTAGTTGGGTCAATCCCGAGTTTGATACCTTACAGTAAAGGAATAGAGGGTCGAGGCAAGACTTGCTTCATTGGAGCGGGGTTTCCATCATCTGGTCATTATAGTTATGTATCATTATTTTCTTTCTTCCTAGATATATATCAAAGAAAGTTCCCTTCAGAAACAGGCCACCCTGAGATGTTGCCACTCGACCAATACAATGCGACTAAAAGTGGAGAAGTGTACCAGGAACCGTTCTGCCACACAAGGATATCACAGTGCATCGATTGCACTCCTACGCCACTGGCTTCTGTAATCAAAGTTTTGCTTTAGCAAGTTCCTCACCCCTTTCTTTGACCGTATTCCGTCTCACCCACCAGTTCCGAAGGACCTCCCAGGCCGCCGAGCTGGCCATGAGTGGTGGACAAAGTAACAGCAGCCAAGCCCACCATCTTGGGCTCCTCGACCTGATTTTCTGCATCACCTCTGCGAGCTGCACTTTCAGATCCTCTTTGCCACCATCATTGTAGACGACATAGCCTTTCCCTGCTTCTGGGTTGCCATTGTTCCGAGCTTGATTCCTTGCAGCTTTCTCTCGAACGTCAACCTGGCTTTTAACTCTGTTCTCTGCATCTTCTGCAGACAGGTGTGGGTCTCTTGCCCGAAGTCGCTCTAACTGGATCTTGGGTTCAGAGACCGCAACGACAAGGATTGTGCTGCAGAATATATCAAGCCCGGACTCGAACATCAGAGGAATATCAAGCACAACTGCCCAATGTCCTAGCAGGTAATAGTAGAGCACCGACCGCACCATGTAGAACCTAACAGCAGGATGGACGATACCATTGAGCTTTTTCCTGTCTTGAACTCGTTCTTCGCTGTTGCCGAAGACTCTCCTTCCCAGCGCAGGTCTGTTCAGCGGTCTTCCCATCCCACTTGGTCCATCTTCCTTTCCCCCGCACTGTGGATCAGAGGCTGGGAGAAGCAGATCTGGTGTGGAGGGTCCAAACGTTGATACAATCCGACGATAGCCCCATGACCCTGGCTCGACTGCTTTTCGTGCGAGAAGGTCGGCATCGATTAGAGGTAGAGAGTAGGGTGGGGAGGAAAGGACGCTTGCACATGTCGACTTGCCGGTAGCAATAGAACCTGTGAGACCGATAACCCGCATGATGGGCGGCCGAGACTGTGCGTTGAAATCAAGAAGCTGTGCGCCGCATTCGGGACCACGTTATCGTACACCAGGCCAATGTTTAGTTTACCTACCAGTGATGTCAATCAGTCAAGTTGGATGACCGCGCTGTCGAGTGAGGAGTGCCAGGTGTGAACTGAATGTGCACCGAGGTAGAGGAGATGGGGAAGCGAGACCGGCTGATCCTCGGATCAATTATCCTCCCTCAACAAGGCTGAAGCCTCGTCGTCACGCGTTTGATTCTCATCTTTTCATTTCCTCTCACAGTTGCACACGACTCTTCCCTATTATATTAACCGGACAATCAGTGACTAATACTTTTTACACCTATGCGCCATCGTAACACTCTCCAGCAGGCCCTGTCTACGTGTCATACTATCAAGAAACCAGCACATAAAAGTGACTACGTCAGCGAAAGAAGTTATGACTCTTTAACTAGGAGGCAGACCATATGACTCCTAACTCGGCACGCGCGTCAACCCAATCAATCGGATAAACACTCCAAATTCTACCCAGTCAATGTGGCAAAAGTGGAAACTGAGTTGTCGAAACCTCATTCATAGGGGTTGAATAACAATCCCCGCAAATTGTCATAAGAGCGCACCCGAGGAATGAAAAGGAGAGCTCTTCAGCCTGTCGTGAGTCTTTTTAAGTCCTCGCAGAGACATTGCATGACAACATACGCCAAAATGAGTTCAGTCTCTCTATCGTTAACACCAGCAGAGAAGCTGTTTCGCCAATGTCTTTTGGATTGCCGGAACGAAATGAAAGACACCCCAGGGATGAAAGGTTTAGTCCTGAGGTTCACTGGTGGCTGGGTTCGCGACAAGCTTCTCGGGGTTCAAAGCAACGATATTGATGTCGCCCTCAGTACCATGACTGGGTTGCAGTTTGGCCAGGCGATGCAGGTGTTCATGGGGAAGCACGGCACTAAATATGAAGAGGAAGCCAATCAGCAGGGTTTCGCTGCAGCACTAAAAGACCTTCATAAGATTGCTGCGAATCCTGAAAAGTCGAAACATCTCGAGACCATCACCACGAAAATGTTTGGGATCGATGTTGATTTTGTCAATCTGAGGAAAGAAGTCTACGCCGAGGATAGTCGAAATCCACAGATGGAGTTCGGCACAGCAGAAGAGGATGCCATGCGAAGAGATGCCACAGTCAACGCTCTTTTCTATAACCTGGACACGCAGGTCGTTGAAGATTTCACGAGGAGAGGATTCGAAGATATGGACAAGAAGATCATTCGCACCCCCTTGGAGCCATACCAGACATTCAAGGATGATCCACTCCGAGTGTTGCGGCTCATTCGCTTCGCATGCCGACTCGATTACGAGATCGAATCCGCCTCTCGAGAGTGCATGAAAGACAAATCCATCCACGAAGCTTTGAGACTCAAAATTAGCCGCGAGCGCGTTGGAGTCGAAATCAACAAGATTATGAAAGGCCCCGATCCGTACACTGGCTTGAAATACATCAACGACTTCAATTTGTTCAGCACCGTTTTCGCCAACCCTTCAGGTAGTGACAGCGTTGACTCAAACATAGCTCTAGCAGCATACAACGGCTTAAGTCGTATTTTGGAGGATAGATCCTCGATCTGCCTGGCACTCAAACCAAAGGACGACCCAAAACTGAGCTGGTTCCTCGCAGCTTACACCCCATGGATCAACTCGGCACAGGGAGCCTTTGAAGCATCTCGAGAAGGAATCAAAGCCACCAATGCGGAGTGCAAGATACTGAAAGAAGCCATCGATCAGCGCCCAGCCTTACTCGATATTCTGGACCTGGTCAACAAAGAAAGTGCAAAACGTTCCGATGTTGGCATGGTCATCCGGAAGTGCAAGGACTCATGGAGAGCACATATTCTCTACTCTTTGCTCTATGATGTAGCTAGCGATCCAGAAAATTTTAAAGCCACCGCAGACTGCTACCAACGCCTACTCATCTACATTGAAGAGAACTCACTCCAGAATGCGCACAAAATGCCACCAATATTGAACGGTAATGAAATTCATGCGGCACTGGGGAAGCCAAAAGATCGTCGATGGATGGCCAAAGCCGTAGATATGCTTGCACAATGGCAATTCGATGCCGCCGAGCCTACGAAAGATCAAGCCATCGACATGTTGACCAGCAAGAGAGCCAACTTTGGACTGGATTAATAGTCTACAATTTTGAGCCTGCAAGTTTCTGAGCCCTCAAGGCGACATCTCGTGCTTCCTGGCGCACGGCAAGATCAACCATGATTTCTTCGCTCCCGCCACCAATCACATGCACTCCGACATCTCGACTGATCTGCTCGATCCGGGCTCCCTTACCAGTCTTGGTGTATCCGGCTCCACCCATTATCTGCCGAGCTTCACGACAGACTTGCTCCAGACATCTTGTGCTCATGACCTTCAACAAAGCAGTCATGCCTCCTACATTCACTTCCTTGCCCGTCACACGGGAAGTCTCGATGATGAAACATAGTTGCTCTAGGAAGGCGTGGGCTGGCTCTATCAGGAGTCCGAAGGAGGCGATCTTCGTCTTAATCGATGCGTGCTCTATCAGCTTCTTTCCGAATGTCTCTCGCTCACATGCATATTCGTATGCATCCGAGGCACAGACTCTCGCAAGCCGAAGTGCTGCGGTGGCCAGGGCGAGTCGTTCGGGGTTGAAGTTGGACATGATCATGGGGAATCCATGGTTTTCTTTTCCAAGGAGATTCTCAACTGGTACTTCAACATCTTCGAAAGTGATGAATGTGGAACCTGAAGACAGTGAATAGCTGGAAGCATGTAACAGAGATTATACTTGACCTACCACTCGCGTGGACACCCTGATTTTCCATTCTTCGTGTTGTGACTCCTTCTGCCTTCAATGGAATCACCAGTAAGGAGATACCACCATGACTTGGACCCCCTGTCCTAACCGCTGCTGTAACAAAGTCGCACCAAATTCCATTTGTGATCCATTTCTTGCTCCCATTCACACGATAAATATTTCCTACCCGTTCGGCCGTGGTCTTGATATTGGCAACGTCACTTCCACCATCAGGCTCCGTGATACCCAGACAGAACCGATATTCTCCCCTGGCAACCTTCGGTAACCACTTTTGTCTCTGCTCTTTCGTGCCAAACCTACTGATCGGAGGACATCCGATGCCATTACCACCTCCCAATCCCCACATCGGGCCGCACCAGCCCAATCTGTTGAACTCATCGGAGACAATAACGCCACACCAGACATCCCACTCATCAAAGGGGATTCCTGCCGGATGTTGGATTCCTCCAGTGTCTGCAGGATCAAGCACCGGATGCGTGATCGCAAAGCCTAGTTGGCAATGCCGCAGGCGCACGCTTTCTGGGACTTGTCCAGCAATTTCCCAGTCTTGTGCATAAGGGGCGATCTCTGTATCAATATAGTTGCGTACAAATGCCCGCAGGCGGTGGTGTTTATCGGTATAGTATGGGTTGACAGGAAGATCGAGTTGAGGGAGAAGGGGTTCAGAAAACGGCGCAGGCGCTTTCGGTGCCATGATTATGGGTGAATCTGGATGCGAGGCCAAGGTCTAATGGGAGTCGAGCATTCTACTGAGTGAGGTGCTTCAAGCACGCTCAACATCTATGTATCTGAACTTACATTGTCCCAAGCAGACCGCTCGCGCGGGGCTGGGTATCGCTTCGCTTCAGAGTCAGACTGTCCCGAGTCTTTGCAGCTATATTTGTGCACTTGCCTTATGTCAGATGGAAAGGGACCTCGGTCTGAATATCTTGGCACGACTAACCTCTTTCGGAAAATGGAGTGCTCGGCCGTACAACTTGTATCTGTGTTTCGCCGTAGGAAGTCGGGTAGTATGACGTGCATGGCAAGGCAACTTTCAATAAATAGTCTGCCAATATCATTCCATTGTTAACGATTGCGGTACGAAGGCCATTTGGCACATAGGAGTGCATTGACCAAGACATCTATCACCATGGCTCTGTCATTTCAGGCATAGTTGTTTGAAAGTATCAAATTAGAGTTGTTTGTGGCTACTCCAACCCTGTCGACCATGCCCTGGTCACAATAACGCCACACCGATCAATCGGTCGTGATGGAGTCGTTCAAGGAATTCAAGATCACAGCGTCTGCGACCACGGACACTGATACTCATCCCGTTGAGAGATCGACCACCCAAGTCGATAACAGTGACCAGCCAGACGGGACTACTGATGACACTTCCGCAAATCAAAGTACAGCTCTAACCGACGTCACTCAACCCATCAACGTCAATCTCGAAGGTTCAGATGATGGAGAGAAACCAGTACCTCAATTGTTTCCCCTATTGTCGAATAATCCGCCAGAATCACCGACTTTGCCTCCCAATCGAAGGGACTCGGAAGACGACGATGAAGAGCTGGAATTATCCAAATCGTTCGGTCGAACGTCCAGCCCTGATCCGACTACACTCCAACGCAACAAAGGAGCACTAATCACAAAGGTTGGGGAAGAGGGTGTTGTTCGGATGCACAAGTTCACTTTGCACGAAACCGCGAACAAGTATTATATTGTGGGTTCTGATATCCTGGATTCTGCTTTCCGAATCTTGAAAATTGATAGAACTGCCGAACCTGGCGAGTTGAACGTTATCGAAGATGACATTGTCTACACCAAGAAAGAGACATTTCAGATCCTCAACGCAATCGATGAGGGTAATCGAGCCACTGGTGGACTCAAGCTGAAGACAACCTTCTGGGGCTTGCTTGGTTTCATTCGCTTCACCTCCCACTATTACATGCTCTGTGTCACCAAGAGAAGCCAAGTGGCCATGGTCGGAGGCCATTACATCTACCAAATTGACAAGACTGAACTTATGCCATTGGTCACTGCAGCCTCCACCCGGATCAAATCTGACAAGAGTTTGGAGGAGGCTCGCTTTGTTGGGATTTTGAACAATCTCGACCTCACTCGATCATTCTACTTCAGCTATTCTTACGATGTCACCAGAACTCTTCAGCACAATATCATGCGTGAGCGTCAGGCCCTGCAAGATGGACTAGCCGAGCCTGTGAAATGTGACCACAATGACATGTTCATCTGGAACCACCATCTCCTTGAACCAGCTAAAAGAGTTCTCAAGGCTCCTTTCGACTGGTGTCTTTCCATTGTCCATGGTTATGTGGATCAAAGCGCCTTGTCAGTCTATTGGGGACGAGTTGTCTACGTTACGATCATTGCTCGACGATCGCGCTTCTTCGCAGGCGCTCGATATCTCAAACGAGGAGCGAACGATCTCGGCTATGTCGCGAATGATGTGGAAACTGAACAGATCGTCTCAGAGATGCTCACTACATCTTTCCATTCTCCTGGCCCTACACTTTTCGCAAACAACAAGTATACATCTCATGTACAACATCGAGGAAGTATTCCCCTACACTGGACACAAGACAGTACAGGTGTCTCTCCCAAGCCAGACATCCATCTTAACGTGGTGGACCCCTTCTTCAGTGCTGCGGCTCTCCATTTTGATAATCTGTTCAAGCGCTATGGTACCCCAATCTACTGCCTCAATCTCATCAAGGCTCGCGAACGAACTCCGAGAGAGTCAAAATTGTTGAAAGAGTACACAGTCGCAGTAAACTATCTCAACCAATTCCTCCCCGAGGACAAGAGAATTCTTTACCACGCATGGGATATGAGCCGAGCATCAAAATCTAGAGATCAAGATGTGATTGGGAGTCTTGAGGCCATTGCGGAAGATATCCTGCCCAAGACTAGTTTCTTTCAGAACGGAAATGATGCAGAAAGTGGTCTCAAACTTCAAAGCGGCGTGGCACGTACCAATTGTATAGATTGCCTTGATCGCACAAACGCAGCTCAATTCGTCATTGCCAAAAAGGCTTTTGGATATCAACTCCAAGCTTTGGGTGTGATTGAGCATCCTTCTGTCGAATACGATTCTGACGCGGTGAACCTATTCACCCATATGTGGCATGACCACGGTGATACCATTGCAGTCCAGTATGGTGGATCTCACCTGGTCAATACTATGTCTACCTATCGCAAAATCAATCAATGGACAAGCCACAGTCGAGACATGGTCGAGAGCTTTAAGCGATATTACAATAATTCGTTCATGGACGCTCAACGACAAGAGGCATACAATCTTTTCCTTGGCAACTACATATTTGAGCAAGGTGAACCCATGTTGTGGGATCTTTCCACTGATTACTACCTGCATCATTCAAACCCTCGTTCGATGTTTGGGAAACGCCGTCCGAGCTATCGCCACTGGTACACCGACGAATACCTTGAACAGCCCCATATACCACCCACAATTTGGCCAATAGACTATCGTGACAGACCACTGGGATACTTTGACGACTTCTGGGTAGAGTACTACCGCCCACTGGCGCTCTCCAGTTTCAAAAAGTTGTTTTCCTTCAAGATGCGCTCCAATCTCAGGTATATTCCACTGAATTCCACAGCTGCAGGAAAGTATGATTTGTCACCTTTCAAAGTCCGTACAGCGAATGACAGTGAATCTGAGAATGGTCACGAGAAATCCCACGTCCGGAAGGGTGTGAAGATCGTTGCGCCCTCTGACGACGCCACAACGATCTCGTCCATCGATGGCGTTCTGAAATCGACTTCAAGCACCACGATGGAACCAGCTCCGAAGCCTTCGACCCTTGGTCCGTGGCTCGATGCACAGCAGCAGATGCATAACACCATGCAGAAACGACAATACACCGGAATAATAAAAGAGCCATCTTTTGAGGTCCAGTCTCCTGCATTACCAAGGATCCCGAAATTACCCACAGCAAACACATCCGATTTGACTGGGTCGTCCTTCGCCACTGGGCCACCCACCAAAGCCGATCTGGCACTCCACGCCTTCACACTACTGATCTCAAAATCAATTAATCCGCAAGTCCGACAGGCTGACGAATACCAACGATATGTTGCCCATCCTAGTACAATTCCCCTTGTGGTATCATCCGCCACCGACTACTCATCAGCACCGCTCGAGTATTTGGAATACCTGTCAAAGACGGCCTCAGATCCAGCGGAACACAAGGTTCTTCGGGCTTACGATGACGAGCGAGGTGCCGTCAGCCTGACACTAGAGGAGCGAGCGGAGGCCAGCCTCGACGACTATGTGGAGTATTTGGCGAGTGGGAGCATGGAGGAGCCCTTGACGGTGTTGGACGAGGACACAGGAAAGAAACGTTACAAGGCGTACCGAAAATGGCTGAAAGGGAAGAGTCTCTTCAAGCAGCGTCCGGTAGTTGGCGACGAGATGGAAGCAGTGGGAGACACTGGTAGGGATTCATATTCGACGATTGGAAGACTTGTATCGTAGTCTGAAGCATACGTGTTAGCCGGGGGAGCCACAGGTAGGACTTTGTTTGCACTTTGTAGCTATTCTATTGCGATACCCCCTAGAATTACATCTTAGTTATTAATCCATGCCTCAAACTTCCGGTTTTAATCTCATATATCCTCAAACAAGCCGGTGAGATCTTCCTCTTCGCCCAACAATCTCTTCCTACCAGCCGCCCACTTATCCTTGTCTACCACTTGCCCGAGCCTTCGAGTGACCTCCTTCAACACGGCCTGGATCTCCTGGACACCACCCTTGCTCTCCGATCGCGTGACATCGAGCTCGTCGAGACAATTCACCCAGCAGCCCACCAGACCCCTCAGGATCTCCGACCACCACAGCTCACGAACCCTGGGCTCACACTCATCCAGCACAACGACATAGACCCGCAATATCTCCTTGACCAAGTCCGGCGCAGCGAGCGCAAAGGGATCCATCAGTCCTCCTCTCATCATGGGCAGGAACTCCCGTAGATACCTGACGCCATCGATACCCATACGTGTCATGACAGGCGCGATCTGCGACACCAGATACGTCGTCAGAGAGATGGAGATGGAGGTGGAGAAACTCTGGCCGGCGGACAGATGGGACAGCGACGCCAGCACGCCATGGCGCAGCAGCAGCTTCAGACGCTCCTGCCGGCCCGCAAACTCGTTGGAATCGCCCACAGATTGCTCTGCCGTCACTTTCCCCGTCCTGTACCTGGCGTCCACGACGGCGAAGAAGGCCGGATACAGCGCGGTCAGAACCTCGAGGCTCTCCTCTTCCGGCGTCAGCGTCGGTAAAAGCATGAAATTCGCTTTGAGCGCGTCGAAGAAGACATCTCCAAGCCCAGTCTTGCGCAGCATCTCGCTCTCCGTCGACGCCAATGCTTCGCACAGAAGCTGGAGCAGTTGACATCCCGCCGCTTTGAACGCAGCGTCACCGTCGTCGATCATATTGAGGATCGGCGGGATCAGGAGGTGGAAGTGTGCTTCCAGCGTCTGTTTTCTCGTATCGAGGGGGAGGGTTCCCGAATATGATGTGATGATGTAGTGGAGTAGTGGGACCGTGAACGGTGTTTTCCATGGCTTGAGGTCGTCGTCGGTGAGTGGGTAGTTGAACCGGTTTCCTAGTGATGGGCCCGGTGGGATCAGGTTCTTCCGTCCCATTGATGTTAGGGCTGGGTGTTTGGCGCTGGTGAATAGTGGTTTGATGATTTGCGTTAACAGGTCCAGAAGTGCGCTGGGAAGGGTGTCGGGTTTTGATGTCGAGTTTTCTGCGAGGATGTCGTGCGCTTTTTGTCGGAGACTGACCACTTGTGCATTGTCCTTCGGTGATGGATTTGAGAGCACGTCGAGGGTAGTTTCCAGTTCCATGATAGTGCGCAATGGCCGTCTCGCCAGTGTCTATAGGACTGTACAGACTGTTCGCCTAAGGAATTAATCGTTGGTGCCTGTGGTCCTGGAATCACGGTCATGGACTAGCACATATTGGCAGGGTTTTTCTTCGATGCTGATGGGAAGTCCAATTTTGGGTGCGACAGTTGGAAAATAGGCAAAGTTACGCGTTTACTCACATGTACGCTGCTGTGTGTTAGGTCTGTTGACTTCGATTTTTACAAACGTTCCGGGTGAATTGACAATTTGTTAGTGAAGTGGTTGTCTACCCAATTATATGTGGTCAAGTTGCACTACAGGCTCTGGACAGCCTACTTCTGCACAAATATGCCTGCAATAACTGTACGAATTGGAAGGGGCCCTTATTGCAGATTTACAGTAATCATACCCCTTTTGTCCATGGATTTAGGTCAGATGTTGATCTGCGCATTAAATAGTCCAGTGGCGTGCGACAGGATAGGGAAAAGGGTTAGAGATCCACGAATTCTGTCATGTCCTGAGTGCTTGTAACGTTCGTATTCTTCTTTAAATCTGGTCGCTTCAATTATGATATCATTCCTCCACTCCCATTCTCCGAATTGGCCAACGACTATAGGGCCATTACTTTTTCCATCCCAAGTCCTTGGCTCTATCATGCCAGGTGCTCTTCTCATCCTCAAGAGCAGCTAGCTTCAATTCCAACTCTCTGATTTTCTCCAGTTTATTCTGACGATGCTTTCGAGAATTCATCGTGTTTCGAATGCGTTGCGCTTCCTTCTTGTTTGTCATGTCAACAAAGTGAATCTCAGTCCCATATTTCGTATTTGATTTGGCCTTTGATGATTTCTTGACTTCAGCCGTTGAGCCCGTAGCCTTCTGCTCGAGGACATTCACGGGAGACGACACCTTAGTACTCGCATTCGAGATATTTGATATAGGTCGGGTCTTCTCCACCCTTCCACCCTGCACAGGATGTGAGTGGCTTACAGTCTTCGGTAGACTGAAAGAGGATGGAGCAGGGGCCCTCCCCAAAACTGTCGGGTCAGAGTAAGGGCGTTTTCCAGGATCACTAACGGTGAAAGGATTGATGAAGGAAGAAGCAGGGTCCCGCTCCATAGAGATTGGATTGAAGCAAGGAAGATCCCCGGGAAAACTGACGGCAAAAGGATTGATGAAGAAGCCCTCGGGAAACGAGATAGATATATCATTATCTATCACCGGATCACAAAGGAGAGCTTCTCCATCAGGACTAGAGTCCAATGAGGTGTCCCCCATACCAAAATCCTCGTCGAAATTGACATTCTGCCAGTCATTGTCGAACAAGGCGTACGCACCGACATCATCGAATGCCGATACAGACACATGGTTGGTGTCAAAGTAAGAAGGTAAATTTCGCTGATCAGGTACGTTGACCAGAGGTAAAGACCGTTGACAGGAGTTGTAAACCGTGTGTTCCCAGTTGGGCCAGTGTAAATGGTCCTTATGGTGGGTAGAAGAGCGCTTCGAATCTCTTTGGCATGGCACTTGCAGTGAGTGGCATTGTGAATTACTATCCAAGGTGGAACCCCACCAAAATCAAAGGGAAACAAAGGTTGCCTTGCTTGATTGCCTGGTGCAAGGCCTTGGTGGTTCGAAGGATAGAGAGAAGAGAAGAAAGTGGAAGGTGGAGGTGGTCGCTTTACAAGAAGAAGAAGTAGTAAATCACAGCCGTCGACCGCCCCGGACGAGCACCCAGTTACCTTGATAGGTTAGCTCCTCTAAGCCCCAAGTGCGAGACTGTTGGTGACTGGAATGTAACGTCATCCCAATCGATCCCAATCGCCCGAACCTTGTGGTAGGCTATGCTCGCTTGGCGGACCAATATTAACTCCGAGGCTAAGCGATGACCAACTTACCGAGAGTTGAGACGGAATGATAGACTGATGATGTTCTAGACGTCCAAGAGAAGCGCAGCCTGGTGACTTCCACATACCTGAATTCGATATGGACGATCCCCCGAGAGGGCTATACATGGCAGCTTTGAAGAACAATTCCCTTGAGTAATTTCCGAGATACTGAATGAAGTCTAATTGACTTTCGAGATACCCAAACAAGTCGTAGACGGAATGTACTCTCATGTGTTCCTGAGAAGCTCTATGATGCCGTCAATGTTGATAAAGATGTACCGGTCTCACGCTGGTATTGGAAGGTCTCCAAGAACATATCCAGTAGCGATGATGAGAGAACATATCGATTGTCGAGCCGACATCGGTTGATTCTTCGTGAAAAAACATCTGATTTTGCCGATCTGAGCTTCTGTCGTTCTTTTTTCCTTGATAATTTCTTTTCAATCAGCGTTTCATGGTCTAGCCTCTCTTCTTACTTCGTTCGTCATGCTCCAGGACCTCTACAGGCTGCCAACGATGGAAAGTATCGTCTACGCAATTCACACGACGCAGCAAGTTCGACCGGATAACGAACTGTAAGGGCAGTCGAAAGGGACCATTTGTGAGGTATATCGCCCCGGGATTTGCCATTGGCCACTGGCACATTTGTTTATTGCCTGATATTATGTATATGAATCTAAATTATGGTTGTCCTCGTCAAGGGCGTCGTATGATTTTATTCCCAACCAATCGCTATGCAGGTCAATCAAAGACAAAATGAAAACCGAAGTTGTGGCGACTAAGCAACTCAATACGGAGTGGCCTGAACCATCCTCCCTCAAGCACAAGAGAAATCGATCAGAGGATTGTAGTCGTGATCAACAACAGCAAAGCTTGGAGAAGCCGAAAAGTCATCAAGGTCGTAGAAAAAGTAGTTCAAGCTGTTGAAGCTGGAACACGACACTTGCCACCAGAAGGTTTGAAGGCTGTCGATCGATGGTACCGAATTTCCGACGGTGTCCCCAGTGATGGGCTGGCCTGTTTCAGTGGTCCAGACTTCTTTGCCTTGTGACACGCTTCGGACTTTTTCTACTGCAGCCCAGTAGGCATTGCTCGAGGCACCATTGTCGATACTGACACCTTCCCAATAAGGGTATGCATCATTGCCAAGCCAGTCAACGGCATTGATCACAGCGGCGTTCGCAGGATCAACCCAGGCGGTCCAGGTATCGACGTGCCCAACGGATTTTCCAGATGCTCCGAGGCCCCACAACATGCCACGGACATCATTGATCTTTGCAGCAAGTGTATTGGCATCTGTATCCTTGCGATATAGATCCTCTGATCCAACGGAGACGGCCAGGATCCAATCTGATCCATATTGTTGAATTGCTTGTAGTAGAGCTTGCTTCTCGGCCTCGAAGTGAGCATCATCTTCAGTCCAGATACCGACCAAGAGAGTTGTCCCTGTCCGGATAGCGGCAGGTACTGCGTTTGCAAGAGTGTTGCAATCGCTTGAAGCGTACAATCTGACATTCTTGAAGTTACCTGGAAATCCAGCTATTTTGTTGAAGGCAAATTCCCAATCGGCTTCATTTCGACATGCTCCAGATGCAAGATTGGCACCAATATTGAAGCCTTTGTAGTATGCATCAACGCTGGAGACTGCTGCTGCGGCCAGAGTGAGAATAAGACCGGATTTCATGGTTGAATATTGGAAAATCGCCGAGTGAAATAGGAGAAAGAAAGGTAAACCAGAAGTACAGCAACCCTCGAGAATGATTGAAATGAACGAAAAGACTTGAGATAAGTTGCAAGGAAAAAAGAAAGGAATATATCAATGATGAGTAACGAAGTGTTGGAACAGAAAAATGGCAAACCTCTTCGTTACCGATATGTCCAGCCTTATCCATGTTGATGTTTACCAGGATCATGACCAACCTGTGGAGAAACGGTCAATTGATAGGGGGGAGGCCCGCCGAAAGAGTCCCTACAGGACTTGAATGAGGCTCCTTGAAGGGTGGCTTGGACCTGCATTGGTGGGCCATTAAGATTGAATGACGACCTAATCTTGAGTATTCAAGGCAACAACTTGTTGTTTGTGATGGATGTGGATGCGTTATATGAATCATGTCAACACATCGATTTCCGATGCTGCCGAGATCTGAAAATCTGCATGAGACTCAGGGGCAGACGACGCGTCGTCGGGTTCGAGAAGAAAGAATCATGGTGAAAGAAAGAAAGAAAGAAAGAAAGCGAAACTGAGTTGTGGCTACTGAACGAACTAAATAGAGGTGCAGTGCTGGCTTCTAGGCGCCCCAAGATATCTGTTGTCAAGCTTTTTGGCCGGGTCCTTACCAAAGACACCTAATTCAGTTCAGCTAGAAGATCCCAATTGCTGATCAGTGGTAACTATGGGGGAGTGCTCCGGGTGCTGGTGCGACCTTTAAACCAGCTTTCGGGTCGATCTGGTTAGGGAACGCTCTGGGCTGAACGAACTCAATCACCCCCAAGCTTCCAAGGCTTTTTATTCCAAGACACAACCGGTATGACATATGACGAAGGCATTCGTATGCCGTTTCAGCTCCTGTGTAGGCTCAATGGTGAGATTTTTCTTTCATATGTACGCGCCTCTCTCTTTTGGTTTTACACGACATATTAGATCGCTATTAATCCAAGGCCAAGTCTTGAGAACGCTGTGAGCGGAGATATTAAAGTACTGATCCATGGACTTGGGTAAGGGTGCAACACAAACAGCACCATCAGCATCATCAGCATCAAGAGGCCATCATGCTATGACCCCTCGAAAGGGCCGAGTCGCTGTAGTTGTTATAACCTTATCAATCCTCCTTCTCTTATGGCGTTTACCAAGGTCTAGTCATGGCATCTTTCCTGAGCCTCTAGGAGATGTTGTTCTGAAACCACAGGAGGAAGATAATCGGCCTGCCATACCCAGCATTCTTCGCCTACCCGACGTATCATCCACGGGTGTGCCTCGAATCCAAGCAGACTTCGTCGCCGAGAGTTCATCCGCAAAGAACACCAGACTGCAACGACTTCAAAAAATCAAGGCTGCTGCTCTACACTCGTGGCATGGCTATCGCAAATTTGCATGGCTGAAAGACGAGCTGGCACCAGTCTCAGGCGGTTCAAAGACCTCTTTTGGCGGCTGGGCAGTAACTCTCATTGACTCGTTAGACACTTTGTGGCTTATGGGTCTCAAGAGCGAGTTCGAGGAAGCTGTTCAAGCCCTCGTAGACATCGATTTCGAGAAGCCTGCGCATCTTCCTATCAATGTTTTCGAGACAACCATTCGCTACCTTGGGGGCCTGCTTGGGGCATACGACCTGAGTAACGGTGAGTACCCGGTCTTGCTCGAGAAAGCTATCGAGGTCGGAAACATGCTTTATGGTGCCTTCGACACGCCTAATCGCATGCCTGTTATACAATGGTCTAAGGTTGGCACGGAAGCAGCGGCAGGGGACACTCTTGTTGCTGAGCTCGGATCTCTGACCCTGGAATTCACAAGACTCAGTCAATTGACGGGTGATCAGAGGTACTATGAGGCTATACGGGGAATAACGAATTGCTTTGAATCTCAGCAAGGTCAAACCAGGGTGCCGGGATTGTTTCCCCACGTCGTCAATGCGAGAGAATGTTGGTTTGGTGATGGAGTGACTTTCTCGATTGGCAGTTCCGCGGATTCCGTTTACGAATATTTCCCAAAACAATACCAATTACTCCGAGGGCGTAGTCTACAGTATGCAAAACTATACTTGACTGCCAAAGAGCCTTTGAAAGAGCATATCCTGTTCAGACCATCAATTCCAGCAGGTCAGGACATTTTATTGGCTGGAATCTACAAGAAGTACCCGACCGGACGTGAGGAGTTTATAGCAGAGACACAGCACCTAGCATGCTTCGCTGGTGGCATGTTTGCTCTAGGAGCCAAATTGTTCGACATACCAAGTGATCTCAAAACTGCAAGAGACCTTGTGGAAGGATGTGTGTGGGCCTATAATGCGACGAGTATGGGTATCATGCCCGAAAGACTTCGCTTGGTACCTTGCCATGATCGACGGCAGCCTTGCAGCTGGGACGAGCGTCTATGGGACAAAGAGTTGCTGATGCTAAATTCCCAGGAGGAATCTGCCTCCGAGAAAGCGCTGTCCCAGGAGAAGCGTGCACAACGACTGGCGGATCGATTGCGATTGCCCAAGGGCGTCACTGAGATGTCCAATCGAGGATACGCTTTGAGACCCGAAACCATTGAATCGATATTCGTCCTCTATCGCGTCACAGGAGATGAGAGTCTTCGCGAGGTGGCATGGAGCATGTTTGAGAGCATCGTCGCGCACACAAAGACTGAATTCGGCTTCTCATCCATCGATGATGTGACAAGCACAAATCCGACGAAGATGGACATCATGGAGAGTTTCTGGATTGCGGAGACCTTGAAGTATTTCTATCTGCTTTTCGAGGACCCGGATGTTGTTAGTTTGGATGACTTCGTCTTTAACACCGAAGCTCATCCATTTAGACTGCAAGAGGTTTAGCTGGTAAGTAGTTAGACACATATCAAAACTGCATTATCTGTTCCAGGCTGATTGCCCACTGATGTTCCACTGATTTATCCGTTCAATCATTAATCATTGCTATAGCGCACGATGAGAGCAACTAGAAGATCTTTCCCAAGACCTCCTTTACGTCGTCAGAAATACCACTCTGGTGAGCGCTGCCTCTATTCGATTTCTCATGCCGTTCATTTCCTTTGACATCGAACTGTCTCCAAGTACGCTTGACATCTGGCTGTGCCGGCGTATCAGAGTCCAAATGTTGTTTGGACTCTTTCTTCCTCTTCATGCCCTGGAGCCTCCTGCCTTCCTCTACACCCTCCACGAACCTCTTGGTGTCGCGCATGATGTTTCTCCTCTCCTCATCTCTCCTGCCCTCCATCTCGCGCTTCTCCTCTCTAACACCCGCCATCAATTCCTCCCACCGCATGCCCCTCAGGTATTTCATGTTCCAGACGTCATCATGGTAGAATCCACCCTTCTTGCCGCCAATCACTTGAGCGTTTAGTGTTTCGGCACATCTCCTGGCGGTCTTTTTGGATGCGAATTCGATCCAGCCCTCGGTGTACAGCTGTCGGGAATTCTTCTTCGAGCTTGATTTGTGCTTCGAGGCTGGGGAGAGGAATAATCGTGCTATAGGTTCAAAGCCGCGCTGTGACAGAAGATTTCGTAAAGCTGAGGGCTTGAGGTATGGCGGTAGAGAGGAGAGGTAGATTACACCTGGTGGTGTATCCTTGTCTTTGGATTTTATCGTCCTTTTTTTCTGCTTCTTCCGGGATACCGCAGATATGCTCTCGTCCTCGAGAACTACACCCACCGATTCCCTGCTCTGCGTGGTCATCAAATCCTTTCCCGTGATCTCGGCACCTTCGTCGTGGTCTTGCTCTCTGTCCGGGCCGTTCGCTTCTTGAGCATCACGTATCAGAGCTACCGCGCGCTGCTTCGTCTGCCGCTTTTGCTCGTCCTCGGAGTCTTCACCTGAGGAAGTATGACTCGTCTTCCTTCTCTTCGACGCTCGACCAACTTTTGAGACTTCGGCGGCTTCTGAATCATATCCAACATCATTGTCAGACTCGTCTGAAGGGTGGTGTTGCAGATATGTATTGGCGTTTTCTGCGGCCATGGTTAGCAGTCTTTCAGACGCTTTGTGATTCAGACCGTTTGAGTCAATTTGACACACAGAGGCTGGGTGTTGAGAACTTGGTTATTGTCATTTAAGTCGAGGCCAGCGATAGAAATGCGGAGAAATTTTTCTTGCGTTGGAGAAGTTCCAATCACGTGGCCATCAAGTACTTTTTTGGGTTCACGTTATGCAAAGTTGACTTGGTAACTGAGATACTCACTTGCTCGAAAGTCCCAGTAAGCAAGTCTACAAGCTCTTGCTACGATCAAATTCACCCCTTCTTCCACTCTCCCTACATAACTCAGTCATGTTTGCTTCATTGCAGCCCAAGCGGGCCCAGGCGCCGGGAGTTCACAGGTCAGGACAAAACAGTCATGGCACAAACCCAACCAAATCGACATCGCCTCTTTCCTACGACCAACAAAGACATGAATCAACCGATACTGGTTCTGGCATCGTCGAGGCAAAAGAGAAAAATCCTCTATTCCAGAAGTGTGCCAAGGCCGACAACGAGCGTTGATTCTAGGGCAAATGAAAGCAACTTAGTCTCTATCACTTACGATTGTGGAAGGACATGAGAGAGGGAGGTTTCTTTATTGTCAGTGTGTTTCTCACCAACTTACTGGCCAGCACTTCGTTGGCGTAACCGACAAGGATAGCCGCAAGGTGCGTCTTCGGGGCCCCCGTAGAAGTCTGGTTGGGCAAGGCATTGCGGGAGCTAATGCCTAAAGCCCCGAAGAGGCTGACCAGTCGACGCCGCAAATGCGAGCTGCCCGCCAAATACCATCACCCCTGCGAAGTATGCCAATGACTAATTCAGTCCCGTCCAACGGGACCACATCAAGTGACAGCGTATATGATTAAATAGGTCGAATATGTCCTCAAAGAGGCCCGCATATCAATCGCTAAACATTTCTTAGTTTTCGCCCTTTCTGGTAAACTATTATATGATCGCCAACGACCTGCCGCCAATTGAAGCGTGTCAGACACACGATGAGACTTCTCAATGTCGAGACACTCAAGTTGGAGTCATATCACCATGTCGAGACGACTCCGCCGTATGCGATACTTTCACATGTCTGGGAAGAAGAAGAAGTCACCTTCCAGGATATTGATGAACCGTTCCTGGGTAAAGATTTTCGTGAATTACAGAATCGGTTCAATGAGCTCGAGAAGCGGTTCAACGACATCAGACAGTTGATTGCCGACTCTGGCTCACATGTCTCTGCCAGCACGAGCGACCAATCCCTGGCTTCGCCCGTGGATTCTTCATCTCTTGGATTTCATGATACCACAAGTGGCTCGGCTGAAAGCCCTGCATTGATTCAAGCAAGGCGTCTGAAAGGCTGGTCGAAACTTGAGGGATGTTGCCATGAAGCTGCACGATTTGGACTTCGTCATGTTTGGATCGACACTTGTTGCATAGACAAGTCGAACAGTTCAGAGCTATCAGAAGCGATCAACTCCATGTTTGCCTGGTATAGGGATGCTGAGCTATGTTTAGCCTATCTCAGTGATGCCTCCGATGTCAAGGACGCGTTTGACCACTCACGGCCGTCTAAATGGTTTAGCAGAGGATGGACGTTACAAGAACTTCTTGCTCCAAGCAAGATGCTCTTTTTCCAACGAGAATGGGAACCTCTGGGCACGCGGTCCTACCTAGCCTATCGCATCGAACAGATTACGATGATCCCATCGGTAGTTCTCCAGAACGGTATCACGACAGTGCAGGATAAAGAGTTCAGCATAGCGACCAAAATGTCCTGGGCAGCTCAGAGAAGGACGACAAGATCGGAAGATCGGGCGTATTCTCTGATGGGCTTGTTTGAAGTCAACATGCCCACTCTATATGGAGAGGGAGGACAATCAGCCTTTCAGCGCCTACAAAGTGAGATCTTTGCTGCGTCTGGAGACCACAGCATCCTGGCGTGGTGTTCAGATCAATTCAGAGTGTTGACAAGGCCACAAATTAATGTTACTATGTTGAAAACGGTTCCACGGCAGATTACCAAGTTGCTTGCGCCAGGCGTGGAATCGTTTGCGCCGTCACCACGCTATCAAGATCTCCCAGTGAATCTCGTCAACAGATTCGATATCGCTGCAACTGACACTGTAATCCCATTTTATCCAATGTTGTTACGACATCCATATGAGGTAAGAACTTCGAATCTTCAAAATTCTGGTTCCTGGAGCGAGGCCAAGTATTCTGAATCGAGTCATGGCATGAGAGTGCAACTACTCTTGGAACGAGTACATGCGGATCCGGCGACAAACTGTCACATCTTCATTGCACACTTGGCGTGCAGGACGGAGACATCTAATGAAAGACTTGGAATTTTGCTCATATCAGAGCGATTGGGTCAATTCCAAAGGCTCTTCCCAGACGTCCTTGTGTCAATCGATGACAAATTCCATAACCTCTCTCGATTGATACTGGAAGATGTGTACATCACTCAAAAGGGGTCGAGCGGGCAAGACTATCTTTCTCGCCCACCCAGATACAAGAGCATACCCAAAAATTTCTTCGGCAAATATAGCATTCGCATATTGAACCGGGAGGTCGAAAAGTCTGGCTTTGCTCTGCTCGAGTCAACACCATGCCAACGAACCAGTATACCAGGCGGTAAATTGCTGACGTTCGGCTCGATCATTCAGAAGCCTGGACCATCATTCGGCAAGCTCATAGCTTCAGAATATGCTGGACACCTAACATTCTCATGGGGAAGCATTAACTTTGGTCGAGCAAACATCCTCCTCTTCGGCCGAAAATGGGATCAGAGTTCACACTTGATTGCGGTGGTATGGCTGCGGTATCAAGATTCGCTCAAGATCTCAGTGCTTGAGGACGTTGATCCTGCCAATCCGATACCAGATGATATCTCTTTTGCCTCATACAATATTTATGACACCTTCATATCCCACTGGCAAGAGAAGGCAGGAGAGACTGGCGGAATCAATGTGGTATTTCAGGAGAACAAGGTAGATCCATCTTTGGGAGAAGAGAGGGAAAAGAAAATGCATGTAGTCATTTTGTAGGGTTCGAGATTAGAGCCCAGACACCTTCAGGAATAGGGGCTTTGGAAGTAGCCAAATCTACAGTTTCCCGGCTTCGTTGAACATAGTCTCGCACCACTGGGAGCAGGTCGAAAAGTACCATAATACAAATCAGACATCCATGGATCTCTTGACAAGAAGAAACGCTGCGAGTCGAACTCGGATCAGAGGTCAATTGAGGTTGGCCCGGTGGGTGAAGAATGACCGAACTACACGGCCACTTGGTCCAGCTCGGAGAGTTGCTCAGTGTGTTTTGATCGATATAGACGGCGGCCATCATCCAAGCTCAGGGACTGTATCGGAGAAGCGATTAATAATGAGGGCTCGCCATTCCAGAAGTCAAGGTCTCGTGGTCCAAGGTGTCCAAACAGGAGCTGTCTGGACTTCCCACTTCTCCTCCGCACTCAACTCGACTTTTTCTGCATTTTCGCTGCGTGACTCCAACTTCACCTTCACTTCTCAATCCGCCTCAGGCTTGAACCACAATTTTCTTTCACTCACCCACCCCTCCGCCCGTCACTTATCGGCTGGGATAACGAAGCCTCCAGTCTTGCAGTCACATCAGCGTAATCCTCACGCGGCCAAAGTCCCCTCCAGAACGCCATTTCTTGCACAAACTACCCCGCAAGGACTGCTTCGACTCCGTCAACACCACCCAGGAAGATATCCTTCTACAGTATCACATCAGGCGAAGCCGCAGACACGGCAGGAGAACAATACCACTGAGTTGACTGCATCGCAACCTGCAAAGAGCAGCTCGCAGGCAGACGCGACTGTGATTCACAGTCCCCCACCATCATCACCATCGAAGAGTCATAAGTCAGAGACCTCTGCGACTCTTATTCCACCTCACACCCTTCCCTCCTCTTCGAGTGTCATTCAAATGCCGACCGAAACCACATCTTCCGCGCCCGCTCAGCACAAACCCCTCGTTGTCGGCCGGACGAAACCTCAGAGCCCCACGAGCACAGCAGACATGGATTCCTCCAGTACAAGTAAGGCTAACGACCAAGCAATCCCCACCGAAGTGAAGGAGGCCCTCAACCAGGAAATTTCCAAGAACGTCGAATCCAACACCACATCTGCCGCACCTGCCGAAGAAGCAACACCACAGCAATCGACGCAGGCGGCGGGCAAGAAGAAAGAAAAAGCCCCCAAACAGCCCAAAGCACCCAAAGCCGCAGCTGCACCACCAGCACCTCTGTCGCCCGCCCTCATCGACCTCCGCGTCGGCCACATCCTGCGCGCCATCGCCCACCCCAATGCCGACAGCCTGTATGTGTCGACGATCGCAATGGGGGACGCCGAAGGCACGGAGCACACACAGGTCGACGAGGAGACAGGAAAGGTGGTGCGGACAGTATGTTCGGGGCTCAACGGGCTCGTGCCGCTGGCCGAGATGCAAGACCGCAAGATCGTCGTGGTTGCGAACCTCAAGCCCGTCAACATGCGCAGCATCAAGTCCGCCGCGATGGTGCTGGCCGCGAGCCCCAAGCAGGAGGAGGGCGCCGACCCGCATGCCCCGGACCGAGTCGTCGAGCTCGTCAACCCGCCCGAGGGCTCCGAGGCCGGCGACAAAGTGTATTTCGAGGGCTGGGAGTACGGCGAGGGAAAGGGCCCGGAGAAGGTGTTGAATCCCAAGAAGAAGCAGTGGGAGGCCATCCAGCCGGGGTTCTTCACTGGTGAGGATCTCACCGTTGGTTTTGATGCCGGAAATACGGAGGTCGACGGCGACAGGAAGGGTACGCTCGTCGTCGAGGGCAAGGGCAAGTGTACGGTCAAGACTCTGAAGGGCGCCGTTGTTAGGTGAGGTCGGTCTGGTGTGCCTGGGCAGTAAGTGGGTGAGAAGGGAGAGCATTTCAGGAGATCTGGTGGATGTGGATTCTCGCGGACGGATGGGAATGGCCAATTTCTCATTGCGGCGAGAGAACATGTCTGCCATGACGACTATCTGAGTAACAATACGGACCTTAAGAGACAGGACGCAGTACCTAGCAAGCAAAGAGCTTTGCATCTTTCGTGGTAGACACCGGAGAATAAGAAGCATGGAGATGTATGGTGTTGTCATTAAATTCCCCTCTCTCTGACCATATGGGTATTCTGAGCCGCCTTTGGGCAGAGATAAGGTGTGGTATATACGGTATTTACAGCCGCAATTATGGCGGGAAACGCCTTCCAGAGTATCAGATGAAAACACCCTGCGGGAGGGTGATGCAGAGGTTCATGCGGTTCCATACGCCATGCACAACCAAAACTCCACTCGTCATGAAGGCCGCTTCCAAGTGTGCACTCCGTGCTCGACCACAAGTCAATAATCAAAGCTCATGGGGGCCTATGTCGTGCTCTAAATATAGATTGTTTTCAACAATCATTTCAAAACCACAATGAGTAAGACCAGAATCACGATCAGGATGATAATGGTTGTCATACCCCAAATCTGTGAGGCCTTCTGACTGACGCCCTTGAGTCGTCGTTTGGCGCCGTCAAGTCGGCCTTGGTGGCGGTCGACGCCCCGGTCTACTTCGTCTAGTAGGGCAATCTGACCCTCGAGTTCATCTCCAACTTGCATGGCAAGATGTCTCTGACGACCAATAGACTCACCCAATCGGTCTAGTTGTTCGTCTTGCTCCTCTATTACCTGTTGGTGGTATGTATGAATCTGTTGGTTCGACATTGCCTCAGTGGGATCCGGTGTCTTTACCCGCGCCGAGTCATCGTCGGTATATCTTGATGGAAATAAACTGGCACGATTTGCTTCGTCTTGAGCATCGAGAGATTCCTGACTGGAGTTATCTCGGAAGCGGACATTTTTGGCCGGATTTTGAGAAGAGTCTTGTCTTCGGAGATTTGATGCCTTCTGTCGCGAGGCTGCATCGCTCGGTTTCCTCGTCTTTGCTCTGTCGAAGTCTCCCTTCAAAGCGGCATCGTTGGGAGATGACAAAGTATCCTCGACAGTAGAGGAGTCATCGCCCTGAAATTGGCGAGAGAGGTCATTGTATTGCGACCGAAGCTTATCGAGAGAGTCGACATCAGAGGATCTGGTGGCTAACGATTCAATTCCTTCGCGGAAGGACTCTAATGATCGAGAGATGTTGGAATCTTGGGAGGGGTTTGGGTCAAGGTTTAACGAAATGGCACGTTGTCTTTCGAGTAAAGAGAGTTTGATGTGGTCGGCCAGGAGCAGCAATTGGGAGGGATTGGACATGGTGAGCAAGTGATGGAGCAAAAGAGGGCTGCCTAGGTCGAGTATCTACCTACTCGCACCGGGAGTCAGGTAGGGAAAAGGATGAGAGCAGCTGATGGGTGATAGATGTGAACCAATGGTGAACGGTATGGTTGTTGGGCGGTTAGATGTTCAGGTGTTGATGTGTACAAAGTGTCTCAGACGTGGTCGAATCGCATGAGGAAGCAATGGAAAGGCTGGAATCTGCGGATAGGACGATGAGGATTCGGTGGAGACGAGTTCATGCGAATTGCGTTACAGGCGATGTGACACGATGCTGAGGTGTCACGCCGAGGTGCCAAGCCACGCCATCGAGTTAAAGTTGGGGGAAAGGGAAAAAAGGGAAAGAGCGATCCGATGACGACCCGGATCCAGCAGCGACTTCCCCCACACGTGTGCGAGCACCTTTCCGACAAACTAGCAACCACGACAACACATCCATCGTGACTTTCCTTTCAACACCCGACTCTATATTCACCGCTCATGCCAGTCCCGACCTGTCAAACTACATAAACACATTCCATCCCATCCCTCGACTCTCACCCACCATCATGAACATACATCTATCCCTCACATCAAAAACACAATAACATCATGGACGAGCGGCATTTCCTCTCTTTCGCATCATCAGGGCCTTTACCCGATGATGATCAGTCATTTCACAGTCCCATACAACCGCACATCGATACACTATTTGCAGAGTTTGCCAGGTCTCGCCCCAGTCCATCATCTCCTCGCTCACCCATTGGTCCAGCCTCAATCAACCGCCGCTCTCGGTCCCGCAGTCCTCGCCCGGAGCAGGCCACGCCAAAACTCGACCTCCGCTCCCTCGACTATGTCTCTGACTACGATTCACACCTGATGTGTCCTATCTGCCATGTCCCGTTTCTCGATCCCGTTGTCCTCGAGTGCGACCATACCTTCTGTCACGCCTGTCTGACGGAATACCGCGATGGCTTGGCCAGTCCAACCAGATCACAATGTCCCACATGTCGCACCTTTCTTCTCTCACCTCCTCGGAAGGCCTCGAGATTAATCGTCAACATGTGTAATGATATCCCCGTCCGCTGTCCCAACCACGATTGTGAGGATAGCATTCCACGAGGCTGCATCGAAATACATGCCACTAAAGAATGCCCACACCAACAGTTACGCTGTCCAGGCTCAGAGTGCGGGAAGTCCATCAAAAGGAAGAATTTCGTACCTGATCAATGTATCCATACCTCTCATATAGAATGCGACTGCGGTCTCATCATCGAATTGGGGAGGGGCGAATGGCTCAGACATAAGGACGAGGAATGTCCGAATACTGGCGTCAAATGTCAAAAGTGCGATCGGAGGATATCTGCTAAAAACTATGTCAATGGTGCTACTGGCCACATTTGCAACGAGGACGAGTCTCATCTCTGTCCAGGAAAGCCTTTTGGATGTACCGATCAATTTGATCCAGACGACATAGTTACACATACGGACTCATGCCCTCTCGCACGACTGGCTCCTTTTCTCAACAAACAATCTAAGCTATTGAGTTCTCTTCAAGAGCAACTGACTATGGCCAAAATCCGGAATGAAGTCCTTGAGACAGGCTTCGACAAGATCCACGACATTATTAATGATCGAGTCTTGCCTTACATCCATTCAGACCAATCCCCCCCTGGTGAAGCGTCTGACATCGAGGAGATCGAGCGAGATCATATCCCCTCGGCTATTTCTCATCGAGACCTTCTGATGCCTGCTCATCTCCGTGCTTTGACCCCTTCTCCAGATCCCGAGGCTTCATCAATATCACAAACACAACAACATTTGCTTGCCTTGCATGAATCTCTACGTGGGAACGTCACCACTCTCGAACGGGATCTTTCCACCATGTCCAATATCATTTCCGACCTGGATGCTCGTACATCCATGCAACTCATGAATGAAACTCTTCGCATCAAGGAAGACCTCGCCCATACGAATGCGGCCCTTTTTAGCACAAGAGCACAGGTCCAGTGGCTTTTAAATCGTGAGCGAGTAGGTCAACAGCAGCAAGCAATGGGAATGCGTGGTCGAGCGCCATCTACTCAACCCCAAGGCCAAAATGGTCCGCACTCTACCAGAAGTTCCATGTCAGAAGGCAATGATCCATCTGCCCAGGCTCCAAACTCCGATGCTCATGCTCCAATATCAAGTGTTGGTCAAAGCCCGAGCTTTCGACCTCAAATGAGAAGGCTCAGCGGCAGTCAAGAAAGGGTGAAGCTCTAAATTTCTCCCTCTCTTTTAATCATTACTGTAGTTTATGTTCTTCTCAGACATACAAACCCCAGCGTCTAAAGTAGTACCACTACTCGCTCACAAATCGGTAACTTTTGTCAAAATACAAAATACTTAGCCATCCTATTACATACATAGTACTAAGTACTTATACGACCATTACTGCGATGCAATCAGAATGATCACAATAGAAGTCTGTGTTTAGGTCTCCACGAAATTGAAGTTCTGTCCATGCCAGCTACCTCACATGCCTACTTAGTACCTCTATCTTCAAACTTAATTACTGAGACCGATATACTAGAAAGTTACTACTAAATGGATACTTAACTCAGTACTATATAGCTCTTTATTGCACTAGTACTTAGTACTTAGTATATCAGTATATACTAGATACTAGGTATATAACCTTACTAGAAATATTTACAAATCACGAAGAATTCCTAATCTAGTTAGTGTTATTCTTAATATCGCCAAGTAATAAGTATTCATACTTAACTACTAATACCAGTAGTATAATAAAGCTTAGGAAAACCTCGCGATTGATATAGAACTTAATCACTAATCACGTTGAACCGGTAATTCCTTGACTATTCACTAACGGCCCTCAAGCTCCGACGAAGAAGATCATAGGCTAGAATAGTAAGCATTTTAATGATGCATATGATGATTGATTAGTAGCACTTAGTACCTATAAGCCTATCTATCCAGAGTCTCAGTGATAGTTGGCTTTGCAGCATGGCCGAACACGATTGGTATTTAGTAATTTCGCATTCGAACGTGGTGAGAACGGGCAGCGTGCCGTGCCTACGGCCGCTGACTACATCTGAAGACTCGAACTTTTGCTGGGTCACGAGCGCCTATAAAAACGACCATAGGTAGCGAGATCGAGAGTCTTCAGCGCGAAAGACCACTTCCGGCACTCATCCCACCATCGATTCTAAGATCAACCCCAGTAACATAGGTTGCTGCATCGGATAGTAGGTAGAAAGCTCCACCTGCAATATCCCTCGGCTGACCTAAGCGTTTCATTGGCGGCGCTTCCTGGAAATAGTAGTTGACATCTGGTCTTCTTTTGGCGAGTTCCAAGTTCAGATCTGTTTCGATATAGCTATTCCCAAAATCAGCTCCTGTTGTAGGTGTGCTAGAGGCATATACCAGCCAGTCTCACGCATAGTTTAGGAATGAACTTACCCGGGACTTATGCTGTTGACTCTGATTCCCTCAGCCGCAAGCTCATGGCTAAGCTGTAGACAAAATGACTTCACAAATCCTTTTGTTCCACCATATGCCGTCAAGAAGTGCCCGGGACACTTATTGGATGCTGCTTGGGAAGCAATCATCACTATGCTACCTCTAGTCTTCGTTACTTCGTTAAGCGGTTGTGATAGTAATTGTTTAACTGCGAGTTGAGTTGGGAAAAATGTCCCATTTTGCTGGAAATGTGTAAGTCAGCCAATGATAGTTTAACGCCTACAAATCAGTCTCACATTGACAGATACTACTCTGTTGAAGTCCTCCAGCTAAACCAAGCGCATGAGTAACCTTTCGAATTGTTTGAAAATTAGGGGTTAGGACTTACGGTGTGCTCAAGAAAGGGTTTGTCCGTGCCAATGCCTGCATTGGTGACGCTGTTTGATGAATTGTCAGTCTACTTTAGCTAGACGTTGCGAAGTTCTCAACCGACATTGCGTCAATGCTGCCTCCCAGTGCACTCACACACTTAGCGAAAGCAGATTCCAACGATTCTAGCTTCGTTATGTCCCCACTACCTTGAATCGTTAGTGCCCATTCATATAGATCTTCGCCACATCATGGATCCACATACGTATAATAATGACAGTTCTCTGTTTTCTCGATGAGTGCTTGACAATCGGGGTGTGGCTGTGGAAGAAGATCGATAATTGCTACGTGTCCGCCTGCCTCAATAATGACGGTCACAATTGCAAGGCCTATGCCTCTGGCTCCACCTAGTCAAAGTATTAGTAAAAAAGCCCCAACAGTACGCAGAGCTATGATCCCCGAGATGCCCGAAAAACGTATAAACATACCAGTGACGATTATCTTTTTAGACTTTAGATCAATCATTATCAAACGTACATACACAGATCAAGCTTACCCGGGAACCCGTTCTCTGTCGCATTCCATTGATATATCTCAGGGGACTGCTCGGAAAATAGATTCCGATTTATCCTGCCATGTTCGAAGCTAAGGGTGTTCTTCCGACCATTTCAAAGTAAGGCAATGTATGCAGCTCCGAGTCACTTGGCAAATAGTCATCTTGATCTTATTGATTGGCTCCTTCAGATGGGGTGTGGCCCGGAGACCACAAGCACGCCGATTTGATACCATAATGGTGCTAGTGATTTGATGCAGAGCTGCCTATCCTCAGGGTCCACCAAATACAGAAGTATCTTTGTTCGTGTGGTGAACAAAGGCTCTCATGTTCGATTGATTCTCGCGTGATGATGTTTTCAGCTGCGCCCAACGTATGTATTCTAGGATAAATTTTAAAAATGATCTATTTCGGTTGACGCTTTTTCTGATAGCACATCTTGTCATCATGAGGTGTCTAGATATGAAATAGTTAGAGTAGGTGTAATATAAAGTCGCGATAGCAATTATTCTACTCAGCATTAGCTTATCTTATCGTCTAGTCTTCATTATATATACTTACTGGTTAGGTAGGTATTTAGTAGGAGTTAAGAAGTCTAGAAACTAATCCGTCCACTAGAATAAGTAAGATATTTTTTAATTCAGCCATAGATTATAGGGAACTATCCACTATTCTTCTAGTCAAGTCTAGTCTATTCTACATCGCTTCAACGGTTATATACGTACTGCATAGAACGCTCATTGCCCGAGATCGGCCCAAGTCCTTGTAGCTAACTTTCCTTTTAATCTAATACACTGGGAAGAGTTCTCCCTATTATTGAATCTATAGACAATCTAATTCTGACTTGCCGCGGTGAGTGACGTTAGCTATATGTCTAACATCTATTCTCAGGACTGACTAAAGAACCTAAGCCATAGCTTGTGAATTCTATTTGTGGAAGATGACCTTTGTCAAGGACAAGAATTATAGCTTCCAATGACTTGATTTGATTTAACTAATTGGTTGGTTCCTCCAGACCTGTAAGGTTCTGGGATCTATCTACTTCATGTAAACAGAGCTAAGCTCCCTACTGGGCGGAGTGGTCACAGGACTGTGGATTCTGTGGTCCTGCCATCCATCCAACAGCCATCATTAAACTGCGCAAAGATGCAATGTCGTAAGCCGAGCACTATCATTTTGTGTGTTCTCAGTCAAGTATGATATGAAACTCTGGAAGCTGAACTGATTCCCTTTCAAAAAGGCTGTCTGCTCGCTACACCTCTGGATTCAATAAGGGTCCTTAAACGCATCTCATGGAATATAGGAGGGCTATTCACCGAAGTAAGAGCATAATTGAGACAGTCGCCGACTGGTGTTGCTTCGATGAGCTGGAAGCATCTTGAGATCACTTTACTGCAACTTCTGTGAGGTACTTAGATTGCAATGAGCCAACTAGGGAATGTGGTGAATGTAGTAGTTTTCTGTCAATGGGAAACCTTCCCCCCTGACTGACAAAGCAAATTTATTGCCCGTGTGCTAACATCCTCGTAATTCAGGCATAGCGTAACTATATCGCCTTCATCCAAACCACTAACCCCAGCGTTCATGGGCTTTCTCCGAGATCTTCGAAGTTCTGCTCTCACCTCCCGAATTTGTCGTTTCCTCATCTCGCAATCGTCCACGATCGCACCACCCCCTTTCACTTGGACACGGTTTCCATATGGAAGACTTGATCCTTCGTTGGTGCCAGACTCAAGTCATTCGAATCAGGAGTAGAAAGAGCACCCTCAGCATTGTATTCTTTCTGTAGAGCAATCTTCTCTCGGCGCATATCCTTTGACTTTTTGACGCCAAATCCATCTTGGAAGAGTGTGAAAGCTTCGTCAATCGACAAACCCTCTGTAAAGAAACAAAATTAGCACTCCTTCATAGCTTGATCGTGGGCAATTCCTTACTAGTCTCAGGGTAACAGAAGTAAGCAAGCACAAGGCCAATAATGACGAAGCAGAGGTACAGGCCGTAGGTCCCACTTGGAGTAAGCGTTTCGAGTCTGGATTCAAATTAGTCCATTTTCATTATTCCTGCACTGGAAGGAGGTACGCACTCGCTCAGGAAAGACACAGCGACGACCAAGTTCGCTGTGAAACTTGCCGTGGTACTGATAGCACTACCTGCCGCACGAATCTCGAGAGCAAGGTACTCGGATTGATACCAACAGAGGTGTGCATAGGTAGAACCAAAACCGGTGACAAAGACAACGATCCCGGCTATGACGAGGCCAACGAGTCGTTGAGGATATTCATATCCTTCAACAAGGACCCCTCCTGTGGGTTTGCACATGTAATAGAAAGCCACGAGGCACCAAGTAAGGCCGACGACCATAATAGGCCCGAATTTCATCAGCAGACCACGGCGACCGATCCGGTCAACCATAACCATGCCGCAGAGAAGGAAAAATGTATTTGTGATCGAAGGAATAAGACCGCCAATTGAAGGGTTGGACAGGCCCAAGAGACCAAATAGTGTACCGGCATAATAAAGAAGGGTATTGTAGCCCGTGAATTGCCCAAAGACCTGGATAAAACTGACAGTGAAGATCGACCGGCGATATGGCTTATGAGTCCACAACTTCTTAGACCGTTCCAAAAAGGTGGTCGTACGCTGTAGAGCCGTGGTAGCAGCGACGTGCTCCTTGACGACGCTTAACTTGAGCTCAATGATCTCGGGGGTCGCATACTTGTATATCGTCTTGAGTACCTCTCTGGCTTTGTCGTCTTGACCACGTAGAATAAGTACACGCGGCGACTCTGGTAGCTTATGCATCAAAGCAAGCTGTAGAAGGGAAGGGACGACGCCAAGACCGAAGAGAATTCGCCAGTTATGAGGGACGTGTTGCATACCAGCCCCTATGGCGACACTAACGGTCTGGCCAAATGGGATGCAGAACCCGTTGGTTCCGACACACCGCCCACGAGCCTTGGTCGGCGCCAGCTCAGTAATGTAAAGAGGGCAAATAACAGCTGCTCCACCTACTCCGACACCGAGGACAAGACGACCCGCGATGAGCTGGCCAAGGGAAAAGCTCGACGCGATTATGATCGCACCAGCGGTGAAGAATAAGTCCGATATTAACAGACACCTCTTCCTACCCCATTTGTCGGCAAAGACCCCTAATATCGCCGCTCCGAAGATTGATCCAATTGTAGTGGCCGCCGTGGCAATCTCCTGTTGCGTGTAGGAAAGTGGTTTGCCTGTCAACTGGTTTCCCACATAAGGAAGAGCAACACCAACGACACCGGTATCGTAGCCGTAAAGGAACCCACCAAGTGCCGCCGTGAAGATCAAGAATGCAAGGTATGGAGTCATTTTGTCTTCATTCTCGGCTTCAATGACATGTCCATCCACATGATGAGTGTGCTCCAGCTGCTCCATCCACTTCTGAGAGACGGACACTCGCCTTGATGGCGGTTCCGCCAGGTGGATCTCGTTGTGAGGCATGATGGTCTGGTGGAATATTCAATGTAGTGTATTGGAAAAGTGTGGATCTAGTTACTTTGACCAAGGAATGAAGCAAAGGAGGTGGTCTTTCTCTCAGCTAAATAGTCGAGCTGTGAGGTTTCCTGGGGAACTGTGGAGGGGGCGGGATGCGTAGCATACAATTCCCCACAACCCCGGGACTCCTGGCGGAAAATGGGTCCCGAGGGTATTTGGATATCACCAAGTGGCAATAAATTGCTCTCAGTCCTATTACTTGATTGGCCTGCATACACCTCCTTGGAACGGGGACATGATCGGGGGTGATGCCGGGCCCCTTGGAGCTGGCTTTGTCCGTATTCGCTCCCGAAGGCACCGTCGTGGCCACTGAACGGGTCCTCAGATTCCGAAGAGGTTCGGGTTTTGCTAGACGGACATACTGCACGACCTTGAGAACTCAAGATTCGGGATAGCTATCAATCCTGTGCATTCATGGATTTCCTACGAGTCTATGTATGAGTTATGTCACAATTCGGGTAAACGGAACGGTAACAGACAATGGTCGCACACCCAGGCAAAAAAACAGCACTCTGAGTTGTATCTGATTTTTGACCTGCTGCCAACGGCGTTCCTCAATAAGGAAGAAGTTAACATAGATACACTAGCTGTCCATAAAATCTCCAGCCACCTCTGTCGAGCTGAATCGACGGGAGATATAGCGCTAATCGCACCCCCGCCCCCTGAGAGGCTAATATTTGGTGCTACCACAAACCATTAGCTAACTACGAAGATGCTTTGATGTATGTATATGCATCATGATCATGGCCGAGATCTTTTAGAGGGAAGGCCTGATTCCTGTGTCAAACGTTGGTTTCTGCGCTTTGTGCCAGTCATTGCATCTCGTTGACAATTTGTCCAGTGTTTTTGAATGGCAAGCAGGTGTTCTCGGATATGTTTGGCGTAGTCAAAAGATTGACTGAGTTCGTCCAGTGCTCGGAAACAAGTGTTGAGGTCTTCAATGATGTTGACCTGCCCCTCTCCACCTGATGTTGACCCCGATCTTTCATTGGCAACCAAACCAAAGATCAAGATTAACGATGCAGAAAAAATGATAGTCACCGAGTAGACATTCATCTTACGAAACCCGTAGCGTGACTCGTAATTCCTAAGCAAGGAGGCGATTTCAGAAGCTGAGGTGCGGCATGTTTGGCGGGCGTGCTTGTAGCCAGGTCCAATGTCGCCTCGCGGCTGTGAACTTTTGGATGTCCACGGCCGATGAACTAGAATGCACAAGTAATGGAAACCCATACTACGCATTTATCAGATATAGTTCAAGCGAAGATCGGAAGCTCATCCAAATGACTTACTGAAGAAGAAGTACCTGGGGAGGAGCTACACTGTCTGCCTGTATCTGAATGACCCTTGGTAAAGTATCTTGCCAGCTGAACAAATGCATCGTCGTATGTTCAGACATATTCTGCAAAGCTACTTTTGATATCTTTACACAGCCATACCTTGAAAGTTTGAGTAAGCATTCAACAAGAGAAGCAGGGCGAATCGGCCTCTACTCACAGCACACGAATGAGGGGAGCTAGTTGTTCACATAGCATCACCCATTGCTGCACAACAATGAAGGGTATTTCTTCCGCAAGCTTAGACACACCACCTGAGTGCGAGCCTGAGGATGTAGTAGAGATTGAAGACCCCGATGATAATGTATATTCCGTGTCTAGCTCAGGGCTCGTGGTGGTGGCCAGTGGCTTTACAGTCACCTCTTCACTATCGACTCTGAACGGGCGTCCGAGACTGAAGCTCCAAAGACTAGAAAGGATTAGGTGAGACACAATTTCGCCTGCGGGGTAGGTACGTACTAATTTACCACGAGGCAACTCCAGAAGGTCTTCTTTCGAGCATCTGCCTCCTTGGCTGAGATAAGTCCTTGTTCAACGAATGGAGTGCTATCAACGTGAAGACCAAGGGCGAAAGCAAGCCGCATAGCCATTCCTGGTCGAGTCAATTAGTACCGAGATATGCAAGGCAAACCAAGGCGTACCACTGTATAGCCAAACACGTGCATCGTGTCCATTGGTAGCTTCATGACTACTCAGTAGCAGTAAAGTTTGGACGGTAGTGACATTAGGGCTCTCAAGTTCCACCTCCAGAAGAACTTTACTCTTGTCCGCAAAGAAACTTGCCATGGGTTTGGGGAACGTGATGAAGGAAGCATGATAGCGCTCCGAGAACGCAGCTCCAAGAGCACATCTGCACAGGTTAGCAGAGACCCGTAGTATCTAGTAGTGTAGCACAGAGCTTACATGACAGATACTAAGGATTGCGAGCAGAAACCAAGCTTGCCTCCATTCTCTTGTAACCGTGCGCTTTCGAATGTGGCTCTATCCACTGTCGAGTGACTGGTATTGTGCCACTTGAAAAATAGGTCAATTAAATGTTCCTGCAGGTCAAAAGGAACTTCACGATCCAGTTGGGCAGTTTCAAGTGCGATTGCACACTCCCTCTCAATGTCGTGTGCCTTGTCGTCAAGATCACTGTGCACTGGTTTCCCTAGGAAGTGATGGTTTGATGCACTTCCATAATATCGTAGGCTCCCGTCATGGCTAACACGCAGAGAACCAAAGCGAGCAGCAAGGCGAGGAACAATGTTTGCATCTCCCTCATCATCAGACGACACATTTGATACCGGTAATTCCGTTGGAAGGTTCATCTCTGCAATGGGGTTGTTGAGAATTTGCCATGGCCAGTCAGAAGGGCTGCCGTCCCATAGCCCGATTGTCGTGAAATCCGCCCAGGTCTGGAAGTCATATGTCATAGTCGAATTTTGTTGGCAGTCTTCGGGTATCGCTGTGTACATCAAACTGTCGTCGAGGAGTGCAATGCCTGGGAGGGGTGTATCGCTGAGGGCGACGGGATCTAGCCGGGAGATGTGAGACTCCGAGGACTTCATCCCCGGCAGGATGCGATCGAGTGGCAATTCAAGGTTCGCGCAGATCTGATCCAACAGAGACTGTTCATCACCACTGAGAGGCGGAATTGAAATGCCATTCTGATTCGCAAGATCTGTCAGTGTCTCAACCCGTCTATACAGAACATCGATGGCAGTCCGCAGAGACATTCTGCGACCCTATCGTAAGTGGCGACCATAGAGCATACCAAAGGGTTCAGAGGAGTCCCTCACTTTCTTTTGTCATCCTTGATGGAATATCTACAACCCTTGCTTTTGTGGGAGCAGCTTCCACAGACAGGGCGTAATCCATCGCACTGCACACGTCAGCAAGAGTTGTCGGTATGGGAAGTCCTGGCGTTATACTTTGATTTTACTTTCGCGACAATTCTCACATGCGGTGGTAATATGCTTGCGGGGCATCGTCTACGGTTCATGTAGCGCAATCAAAGCAGAACATAACATGTAGACTCGATAGAAGGAAAGAGCAGATCCCATCTTGGGCCGGGGTTTCGTTCAATTCGGGCACATGGTTATTTACCCCGCAGCTCCCTAATACTCGGTTGACGGTTGTGGCGACTGGCAGTGCGCATCAATGGCCACCCCTTGCGAATCTACTTTAGCGGCACTGGTGGAATTTTCCAATCTGTGACTGGATCATGGTCCTTTAGCCTTATTAGTTCTACTTTTCAAGAAGCCCGTCGAGAAGTACCGATGAGAAACATGGTTGGAGGATGGTATTCGGACAAAATGCCGATGTCCCGTACACTAGATGGCTTTCCAGTCATGCCAGTGGTGTTCACAATTAACCCTGCAAATATCGGAAATATCAGAGAAACCCCCCTGATCCTGGGACATCCTATCACATGTGAGGGTCGGAATCCGGGTTCCAGGCGTTTCTCATTGGTGCCCTAGCCATAGTGGTAGTGAGTCTTTCCGGCTCATACCTAGCGAGTCAACGGCCACGTGAGTCAACCACCTAACAACAAGACCAGTGCCTCTTTTTGCAACATTAGGGCATTTCCCCCTTGTTTTGTACAGGATCTGGTAGCTGCGAGCCGAATAGGCGAGGCTGTCCGGCTCATCGCCTTGGAATCAAAACGGGTACACCTGTTCAAATCTACAGCACCGAGGCTCCCAGAGGACTAAGATATGATGAACTCTTCTGAATTTAGTCTGACCTTACTTTTTGGACAACCATCTGCTCGCTCTCCTATAGTCTTGCTGTCCCAACACCCCTTTTACGACAGAGCTTTGAGCAAAGAAAGCTTTGGTTTCTCGTCAACCTAACGCAGCCACTGCAACAAAACCATGCACCCACACGTCTTCTTGCGCCCTCAGACCTTCCGCCACTCCTGAACAGTCTCAGTTACTCAGACATCATATCTTCTGTGGCTTGTCGGAGCGAAAAAACCACACTGCTCCAGCGTGCCTGTCGCAATAAAGAGGACACGCAGGAGCAGATACTAGTGCCACAAACCCTATCCTTCGTTGTATAGTACAACTTGTGTGCTTAATGGTGGATCATCGTCGCATTCAATCACAGGAACCATCAGACTCTAGCCAATACTGGTGAGATTTTCTTATCTTCGTCGCCGATAGTCCCGAGATTGCAAACAGCAGGCCGCCGTGAGCTAGTAGCCCATTGTCCGAATTTGGATGCCTCGTACGCAAACAAGCCTCGAATTTGGCGCCCAAGTAATTGAAGACATTCATAATACTGAGGGGTAGTCTCAACCCCCCAGTAGAGGTGTGAAGACATATCTAGGCACAGAGTGTGCAGAAAAAATGGTAAGAGACCGGAGTGAGAGAGAGATTGTGCGTGTTCACAATAAAAAAAACTTTCAGGGTTGTGATTGCTACATGACAATCAGGACGTTGATGTTGACATATAACCTCCGTAAAATGTGTCTATTAGTCTACAGAAGAACAATATCTTTCAGCAATGGGAATTGTTCTACTCTTCGTCAATGGAGCTTGACCCGCCGGCTACTGCGATGGCACTCCCCCACCCCGCCCTTCCGCATCCCTTCCGCATCAGCATTGTGTACTCGGAAAGCAAGTTCCGTGTCCTTAAGAGCCACAAACGCACAAACTTGAGTCACGGAGTCTGTCAGGAATTGTCAGCTTGGATCCGAAAGCGGCTACGAAACGAGCCGAGCCACGAAATATAGGCAGAGTGTTACGAAAGGGGGACGATATGCCGTCCAGGCTGTCTATGGAGGTCATTGCACCACCGGGTCCTATCAGAACCGGGTCTTGCATGCAGAGCAGGCCATAGGACAATGTAGCTTTGTATGGAGAGCGCAAGAGCTGTGTATCGCTGAAAGCGCGATTCTTGTTATGGCTAACAATTGCGTGAAGACTAGTCGAAACGCTGTCTTTGCGACAGTCGCTTATGCAGATTCTGCCATGCTGCTACACCTCGCTTTGCATTTTCACTGGGTCCATTCTCTGGCTTCCTCATCCGTCTATCGAATGTCTCTAGTGATACCCACCCTTTGAAACTTAGGTCTACTAGAAATGCCTGGGAAATTTCCTGCACAGGCATAAACGCCCCATATTCCGTTTCAAGAGGGAACGGTCTTGCCTCGTTGGACCATACGTGACCAGGTTCAAGCGAAGGATCAAACCATGGGTGGCTTTCCGAATACGGTGGGTCCATCGGCTCCCCGTCTGACAGCTGAATGTAGAACAGTTTGTCTAAGGGACAGTTTTTAACAAGTTTTTGCAGTGACTCTCTGAGCCTTTCATCTCCATCTGCTTGTCGGCTCGACGGGCTGTATGGATCTGCCCACAGGAATGTGCTCAGGTGAAAGCTGTCCAAACAAAGCCCGAAGTTATCGCGATTCACCTCCTGAACTATCATGAGCGCTTCTTGCCATGTTGTGCAATGAGATGACCATGCCAGGTTCTCATAGGCGACTCTGATAACAGGGTGCTTGGCACTCGCTAGGTCAGCGAGCTGGCGAAGCTCAGAAACCATTAGTCGGTGATCGTTGTTGATGACACGTTCATAATTCGACGGGATCTGGAGATGCTCAGCTCCAAGCGTTCGAGCAATCTCAAGCCATTTCTCTGCTTTCTTGAGTCGGTCTATCAGGGGGTGCAAACTACCTTCGTAGTTCTGAAAAGATGCGAGGGCCAGGACGTGGATTCCATTCTCCTGGCAAAGAACTTTGATTTGTCGTGCAGCGTCCAGTATCGGAGTAGATGTCTTCGCTGCGTGGGCTTGGAGATCGGGATACGTGATCTCTATGCCAGCAAACCCATTCTGGGCCGCTGCTGTAATCTTGTTTGGTAGGGTGTGAGAGTCATGTTCACCAAGAGAGACACTGGCAATTGCTAGCCTGTTGTCCAGCATTATTGAGTCTCAATCTTTTCTTTGTATTGACACAGCTCTCATAATATGCAACGCTGAAAATGGGCAAAGGTCCTTTCTTTGGATGGCTCAGCATTTGTTTGATCTTTAAACGAAAAGCCCTGTCACTAGAAAATTTCAATGATTGTTGTTTCATTGGGCATCAAATGGTTTGATCGACTCCAGCCCTCTCTGATATCGCCACGGCAGTGGAGATGACTGGGATGTGCCTCGGAATCCGCTTTCCGGCCGACGCGGCCGCAAATCCCCACAGCAAGGAACGCATCACCTCAATTCGAATCCTGTAGCTCTCGTGAGGATTTTCAAGCTCATCCTTTCGCTCATCTGTAATAAGTCGGAAGTAAAGCACTGGGTGACTTGCCTTCTCCATCAATACCATGCTAACTAGGTCCCGCCATCTTTACAAATCCTCCTACTGCATCTGCCCGCGATGGAGCGGGATTTCTATCGCTCTACAGATTTTGGACTACCCCACAAAGAGCGTATCAAAGCCTATCTTGCGAGCATAACAGCGGACACAGCCTACGACGGTTTCGACAAGCGTCTTCTACAACAGGTGGAACTATTAGAGGTCGATCTAGAGCTGGGACAAACGGTTTACGTCTTCTCTGTTCAAGATTTCATGTCCAACAAGGACGGCAACCTTCACGGTGGTGCTGTCGCAACCCTGATGGACAATCTGAGCTCCACTGCTCTTGTCACTGTACAAAAACCAGGATTCTGGGACAGTTTCGGGATCAGCCGGTCACTTGCCATTATATATCACCGGACCATGCCTGAGAACGCAGTGCTGCTCATCAGATGTAGTGTCCTCGCTGCAGGGAGACAAATGGCTACAGTAAAGGCGGTGATAGAAGGGCAAAATGGTACCATTCACGCAAGCTGCGTACATGAGAAATTCGCTGCTCCAACACCAAAGCTGTGAAGGTCTTGCAGATACACACTCAAGAAGCCGCTAAGCACCTACGGGTTGAAGTCACCTGCACATTATGGCTTTTATCGACTCATCTGTTTTTAGCGGGAACCCAGAGATATTTTTGAGAATTAACGTTAAAGGAACGTCGGCATAAACTCAAAGAGGGTTCGATATGAGTTGAACTTAGCGGTATCGTTAGAGCTATACTTGCTTACTTCTAAAATGCTTTTCGCGTTCATAATTGTTGCTATGTACTTATCTACATAATCTGTCGGTCTCGAAAGCGATTCACTTTTTCTTCCTGCCACAGTGTCTGGCCCGAAGCATACTTTGAATTGCAAACCCTACTTGTTGAACGCCAACCTACATTGCATCCACTTGAAGACTTGATTGATCGCTTGAGTTTCTCTTAGGAAATGGTCACGTTTTGAAACGGTGGCTCACTCCCACGATATTTGAATCATATATTTCTCGAACCACTGCAGGATCTGGTCCGGGTGTCGTTGAAAATAAGTGTACCCATCCCACCTTCTTGTGGTCCCTTTGATCCAAAACAGCTTCTTCTCCTTGACTGGGAAGTTATCATATACAGTCTGCACATCAATCGGCTTCGTCATCAAATCGTCTTCGACTTGGTAGACAAATGTTGGCACTGTGACACTCTTGGAAGGGATCCTGGGACCGAGCTCAAACAAGCTGAAGCTTGTATGTATCTTGACCAAGCGATCAAGCTCAGCCATCCTGTCCATCGGAACACCGTCCCGTTCGAAGCTGCGTTCTAGCAGAGTCCGAGGCGAGATAGGCTGTGGGCCACAGAGACAAGAGACATTCTGAGCCTTGAAGACTTTAGGGTATAAATGCATTGCCCACAGTGTCGAGGTGAAACCCAGGCAGCGACTGAACAGCGCGATTGACATGTCCTTGGTATCTGGTCGACTTCGAGCATAGAGTAAGGAGCCGATTACATCACGGCTTTCATACCGTCCGGCGCTGACCGACTGCGCATTGGCCGGGCCACTGTGGCCAAAGTTGCGGAGGTCATATGCCAAGACATTGTACCCAGCATCGTGAAGGATTTCATAATCCGGCATAAAGTTGACTTCGATGGTGTTGCCCGTGGCACCAAAGATGGACTTCCATGGCTCGAGATGCGATGGGAACCCTGCTCGAGAAAAACCCATCGGATGATTCGCTATGATAAGTTTGTTCGACCCGGCGCAGGGTATGAACCACCCTTCGAGGGGCACCCCGTCGTAGGAAGGGAAAAAGACATCATCATAGTGCAATCCAACTTCCGATGGGTCGTGAAGGATCGGTGAACGTGGGAGCTTGCCCATCGACCTCGCATATCCCTCTAGGATGCTGGAAATCTCCTCGTCGCTTCTCATCGTGGCAACCATGTTTTGAGTGTATCTCACGTCACAAGATGTTGTTCGTAAAATGGAAGAATGGTTACTAGATCGATATAGTTAGGCTCTTACATACTTACTAGTATCAGGGGTGAAGGGCCTGTGAACTTAGCAGCTTGAATTCGGCGAGTGATATAGACTTGGCAATCGCTCAATCTCGTACAGTTGCGGACTGTTTCAAGGTTTCTTGAATAGTCAACTCCAACGAACACTTAATACTCCATTGTAGAGCTCTGCACTCTGGCCAGTGTTCCTTGCTCAGCACTGGTGTTTTCTGGTTAGCAGAGAATAGGAGAGAAGCGAAGAGGCAATGGTGCTAACAAGGACTAGTTCTGGAAAACTGTATTCCGTATTCGGTTTCGGGGCCGAGACTGTGTTCATCCCCCGACTTTTACCCTAACTCCAGTGGTCAATCCGATAGTAGCCACAGGGACGATCGGGCATACAGCACTGTGCTCATTCGAAAAAGGAACTTCGGGCGGGCTCCTCTGCGGACACCGCGAATGTTAACTAGTCGAAGCGCCCCTGATTCCAGGGACCTGGACACAACTTTAGTCAGGGAAGTATACTAAGTATTTACTATAGGCGAACTATGCATTGTCCCTTCTTTCAGTAAAGTCTATAAAGGTTGTGAGCTCGGTCTCCTCTGATCAGTATCGGGGAGCGATCATTAGGCAGGGCGGGAGACCTCGCAATCCTCGAGAGTCTAGAGTTTAAGACACAACACTGAGTGTATCATCTATAATCAGATGGCGCCACAAGTACAGAATGCACCAACGATCGATCGATCGATTACCCTTGATCTCGTTGGTGACTGGGGTCAAGCGACTTTTCACAAGATCCTCGGGTGGTTGAGTCAAGAGTTTTGCGATCGTGCTGGGCCCAGGTCACGAACTCGCACATGGACTGTCTGTGGTGGTGGTGTTGAAGCAATCCCACTCGTACATAATGGAGAAGCAGATCTGTGTGTCGTAACCCCTAATCAATTGATGGCGGGAGCGATTTCAGGACAGGGCATCTTCGCACAATACGGCTCTATGCCACATCTCAGAGCTTTAGCTGTACTACCGCAACGCGATCGAATGATACTTGCCGTTCATCCTAAACTCGGCGTCCAATCATTCGAAGATATCCGCCAGACGGCACCTGCACTTGAGATTGCCACCTCCAAGGACGACGGCACCAGTTTTATTGGCTACGTCGCCACGCAGCTTCTGGCTGCTCATGGTATTACCACTGAAACATTGCGAAAGTCGGGTGGGAAATTCGTCGAATTCACTCGGCCTCATGAATGCCTCGCGGCTGCAATTGACGGGAGAGCAAACGCTGTAATTCAAGAAGCCATCATGCTTCCAGAGTGGAATGAATTGGTGGAAAAACATGGCTGGATCCCTATCCAGGTCGAAACCGCAGCAATAAAAAGTCTGTTGGTACCAGGCTTCAGTGGTGACAGTCTACCTGAACACTTTTGGTCAACAAGGCCGGATGAAATCCACGCCATTGACTTCTCAGACTTTCTCCTCGTCGTTCGGGATGACATGCCCAGCGACGTGGCTGAACTTCTCACTTGGTGTCTAGTCCATACAAGAGCGAATCTCGAACGTCAATTCAAGCATATCCCGCCGGAGAAATGTGCATTGACCTATCCTTTGGACCCGGTTGCAATGTCCAAAACATCACTTGAACTACATCCTGGTGCACGAAAAGTCTATCAAGACATCGGAGTGCTGAGAGGTTAACTCTATTAGGGTCGAAGCACGATCAATGCTAGATATTAATGGCGGTCGCCCACCCACGAAATGCCTATATCAAACGGCGAAAACTATAGTGTTTTGTACAGATAGGTCGATTGCTGGATAGCGAAATTCCTCACTGAAACCTTATACTTCACGCTTCTATCTCTCAGGAAGTAACTAATCTATATTCTTTAAAATCTATGTAAATATATTCTCTGTGTGATACTAATACTAAATAGAGTAGTCTCCAATAGAAATACGCGTTATCGTGGCTAGAAACGATAGCTAGTAAATCTATACCAAATTATCACGCCATTCACGGGTAAGGTATATTCGTGCTCAGACCAGAACAACTCCACACGCCTATTCTCTTTGTGTGAGTAGTTGGCTTTATATCAGCACTTGCAATACAATAAAATGTCTATATGTCTTGACTCTTGTTGAATCTTCTAATATGAGCTATGCTTTCACACGTATAGAAAACTTGAGGGGTCCTGAGGCCTGAGTTTTGTTAGCTCACTATACACAAAAACCATAAGAGCAACAAGTGCCAGGGTGCACAAATAGAGTGTGGCCGTGCTCCCTACTCTCCAATATCTACTCCTATCTGGCGAACATCTTCAAGTAGAGTATGTATGTGTATCAGCATGCACCATTCGAGCTATATCGTTGACAACACTTCGGATAGTAAACTTTGAGGAATCCACATTTTGCTAGCTATTTTCGATTGGGTATCATATCCCAAGCCCGATCGAAACCTGGCCCACGCATCCACTTATCTCTTACATCGGGATAGTCTTCTGTGGAGTCAAGGACCATGTTCGCAATCTTGAGCCACATATCTCCTCTGATCGGAAACCTGCTTGCGTCCTTGTCCTGTTCTTCGAATATCCTACTGACCTCGGCGCCATGACGTAGAGCGCGAATCATCTTAACCACATGTCCATCACAAGTGATATCGAGTGCACGGCTGATGATATCGCCCCAGTTCATGCAGTCTGGCTGACGTGGCTTGTAGTCGATAATCTCATGAAGCACCAAGAGTGGCGAACCTTGACAGACATAGATGACTAGGTCCATCCGAACCTTCCACTCCAACAAGCGTACCTTGTCCTGCAAACTGAGCCAGGGAGCAGTGGCGAAGAGGGACAGAAACAAGGAGCAATTGACGCAATGCATGTAAAAGAAATCAAACTTGGCCTCTTTGTCGGGTCTTTGCGCAGCTGCCGCGAACCACGCAGAGACATTGATCATTTCTACAGTGCGCATGTTGAAAGCCGCTTCCGAACAGTCAGGTCCGAGTTTATAGCTGGCGGCCAGCTCCAACAGCTGTTGGGGCGCAATATCGAAAAAGTTTCCGTTGAGCTCGAAACTGCCCCCTTTCCAGCAGTCGGCCTCGACGATGGCAGGATCGGATCGGGCCTTGAGGAAGAGATCCATAAGTCGCTCATCTTTCCATGGGGACTTCTGTTGTGCAAGATGGTCGGCTCGGTTGAGGAAAGTTGATGCTTGATCAACGTGAATGGCCGCTTGCGCCAGCGCCTCAGCCACGATTGCAGGTTGAATAAACTCTAGCCCGAAGCCGAGATGTATGATGGGATGAAGCGCCCCTACACGTAGACATGGTCAGATAAACCTCCAGAAGAAGAGAACAAGAGAATTGTTGGGCATTTGACCTTCGAACATCCTTCCAAACAGGTCCTTGGCCCGAGGCGTGTCAGCAAATACGCATTCCTGAACGGCTTGGACCCAGCCTTTGGCAGCGACCTCATTTTCAAAATGACTTAACCATGAAGAGTAGAGTTTGTGTTGTCCCAGGCATTGGGAGAAGTTGGTGTCATCGATGGTGAGCTGCCTCCCATTGTTCCCTGCATCAACTGGTCGCTGATAGTCTTTGTTGGTTCTGAATGCTTCCCTGATCTGGGCTGGTGATGCACCCAAGGCAAAGTCCGTCAAAAGGTAATGCACTTGATGGTTATGTAAACCTCCGGCGCGTACTGCATCCCACAAAATATGCCAGTTATCATGGTTGAACTGAAGGAGTTCATTTACTGACTCCGCTGAGCCAGTTGGGATCGTCTTGACACGAAAGATGCCCGGGGATTGTGGTGTCAATGCAATTGTGGGAGCAGTTGTGGGCATGATGGTCATTAGGGATAGTCGCTTGATCTAAGGGGTCAGAGACTCTTAACCAGCGAGCGCTGAAAGTCGACGTCTAAGGATTGAGGACATTTTAGGCCCAAAGACCCTATCTATTACCATGCTCTTCATCTCTTCATCAGGCAAAGCTTGTCGCTCATGATAAGGGCCAGTTGTTCGAGCAAGAGACGTGTGGTCCTCAAAGACCCCACAATTCGAAGGTGTCTTGGAATTGCCTCCAAAGACCGAATCCGGGCCCGAGGACCAAATCCAGCTCGAGTTGAACTGGATCTCCTGCCCAGTGTCTACCTCTCCACGGACTCGGCCCACTCTAACTCCGATTGTACGTCGTACTAGTTCCTTTGGTGTATCAAGAAGCGGCCGCTGGCACGGTTGAACCTTTCGGTAATGTCCCCTGTACGTTTGCTGGATATGCTCTGCTTCACGGAGGTCGTCATGTTCAACACGGACTCTATGAGGCAGTTGCGTTCCTGGTCTGTATCACCGAAACATACCCGCGAGTGTTCTCAGAATCAAAACTTGTAAGAGACTTCTAAGTGGCAAAGCACGGAAAGAACTTGATTCAGGCCAAAAAATTTCTGGGTCCAATTCATTCTCACCAACAATGCAGTTATCACAAACCAAGCATCCGAAGAAGTCTCCCACTGAAGGAGACACGAGCAAGATATTGATCATTGGAGCAGGACTCTCCGGGCTCGCACTAGCTCAGATTTTCCGCCGTCACGGTATCGCATTCGAGATATTCGAACGACATGAGGTTGTTCGACCTGAGAAGCAGGGTTGGGCATTGGGGCTCATTGAGTAAGACTTCCATCGTCCCGGAGCAGATTTGCTGGGACATAAGTTGAGAATAAGTGTTTCTGACCATGGAATGCTGTCGCTCAGGTGCATTCCCCTGTTATCACAGCATCTTTCAGACGACCTTGGGGATATCGAGCAGACGAGCGTCAACTGGGGCGTTCGGGAGCCTGATTCAGTTGGGATATTCGATGGAGAGACAGGAGCACCAATGGCCAAGCTTGGGGGAGTCACCTTTGGTTCGCCGGGATACTTCCTGCGTGCCAATAGAGAACACCTCCGGAAGTTTCTGGCGCAGAACATCGCCGTTACCTTAGGAAAACAATTCTCGAGCTACACTGAAGATTCTACTGGTGTGACAGCAATGTTTACCGATGGCACTTCTGTGCGAGGTCGTGTTCTCATTGGTGCCGATGGGGCGTACTCAGCTGTCCGCAAACAACTGTTAGGTCCAGATCATATACCTCAACTAAGCCCAATCATTCCCATGAATGGGATGTGTGAGCTTTCTTCGACACAATATGCGGAGTTGCGTCAGCACGCGACTTCGGTGTGGTTCGCTGCAAGACCAGGAGTCTTCTTCAACATCGGACTCTGCTCTATGAAGCCCGATGGCTCGTCTGGCCAATTCTACTGGGGAGTTGCTTTCCCATCGGACCATCCAGCTAGAGATTCAGATTGGTGTCATACCGCGGACTCCACTACAATCTACGAAAAATGCCTAGAGTTAACTCGAGGTATGCCTGATTGGCTCGTCAACATTGTATCTATCACTGGTCCAGAGGGTATCAATAAACCCAGCATCAAGTTCGTCGAGTACCTTCCACCCCAAACCTTCCCCATCGGAAATCGTGTGACACTCTTGGGTGACGCCGCCCACACCATGATTCCTTTCAAGGGCGCAGGAGCAAATACCGCTATTACTGACTCATGCGACTTGGGAACCCTGATAGTCGATGCTTTTAAGCAGGAGAAGGATCCTTGGGCAGCGTTGCAACAGGTACTGGACCAATACAACACCACGATGCTACCTCGTGGAAGGGAGGCTGTACTTGCAAGTCGAGCTGCTGGACAGAGCAGTAAAGGCATCACCGGAATCCTGGATGGGAGAGTACATCAAAATCTATCGAGTGACGCGCCTATGCGAGTTGCCGTATAGTAGATAGCGTCGGATCTACTAGGTTATGTACCTTTCATGCGATGTGCAGCCTAATTCAGACAGCTACTCACTGCGTAGAAACTACTTACTTTCGAGTCTCTGGCAACCCTGTTCTCATGTATTTCTGAAGCGGCGCCACTATCGCTGAGGAGACTATATAAGATGTCGGGTGGATGTCTTCACAGTTCGAGCCCGTCTACTAATCACCATTGGCTCTACAGAAGGTCACAGACACATTCGAACGCGACATTTCGAATTCAAGCCTTTAACATCTAGGAGACTGGTCAATTATTAGCAGTCAAAGAGAGAGAGGGAAGTATGATGTAGTTAAAGCTAACCAATCGAGCAAAGAGTCCTACGATGAACAAAACGGATCCCTAGTCCATCCCCAAGAAAAGAAGTGTCTCAGCAGGCAGCTGATTCACAGGACCCTATATCGTCACAGGGTAAACTCAAAACTGCTTGGTTTCGCTCCTCTACGAGTGATGTTCCTGGACTTGGACTCGGAACAAGCAGGGTATGATTTCGCTCACGAAAGTCTCCCACCGATCGAATTCTCCAAAGGTTGAGTTGGGGGAGGATTCAACTCTAAGAGTCATTGGCACTTTCCAAGCCGGCTGCTATTCTCTTGTTGCGCCTGGTCGATGTTTTCCATGCTGGACGACCGGAGTTGTAGTAGTCGTCGATTTGTTCGAGAGTGAGACGGCTTGTCTCTGGGACAAGGAAGTAAGTGAGCACCAGCATGGCGAAAGTTACGCCTGGAAGGGGTTCAAATTAGTTTTGAAGATCTCGGAGTAAGTGAGATCGTCACTCACCTGCGTAGAAGTATCCAACACTCATTCCCATATTACCATAGCGAGGATTGATCTGATACGGGGCCCAGAAGCTAGAGGCAAAACCAAAGACTTGGTAGATCCAGACTGTAGAAGCTTGACCATATGTTCGAAGTCGGAGGTTGTGCTGTTCTGGGGCCGAGATCCATACGCTTGTTCCGATAAAGAGACCAAAAACGAAGGACCATATGAATAGAAAGACCAGGAGAATGATCCTCGCTCTTGAGGTTGTTTGTCCCAGTGTGGAGCCAACAATGCCGATAATGAGCATACAAATCATCATTATCGTATAACCAACGAGCATTGAAAATCTCCGACCTCCATACTCAACTAACCAAGGCCCTCCGACTGAGCCTGCCAACATCATCAAGGAAATGATAAATGTATTAAGGAACGGGTTACTGACACCCACGCCAGCTAAGAAAATTGCACCGTATGGCCCAGTGAATTTTGACCCAGTAATGGCCAACCCTACCATAATCAATCCGCTGACCAAAGTCCTGCGGAAGTTGACCCCTTGATATATCTCATGCCAGCGAGTCTTTTGTTGGCTTGATCTCTCCAGCTGAATATGGTTCTGAACGTCGGCAATCTGGAGTAAGATGTCTGGATGATCGGGATCCTTAGCATAGAGCCAAGCGAATGACTTTTTCGCAGCTTCATCCCGTCCTTTGGTAAGTAGCCACCGCGGTGACTCAGGGAAAGCCATCACTCCAAGGCCTAGAATGACCGATAGAGGTATCTGACAGATGATTGGGATCTGCCACGAGAGATTGCTCGTAACGTAAGTTGAGCTACCCCAGCACACAGCACTAGAGGCCGCAAACCCCATACCGAGGCCGATATTGTATAGAGCGAGGAGCATCCCGCGATAGCGCGCCACCGTACACTCTGCACCATAGACGCCTGCAGCGGCAATGAGAAGGCCCAAGCCCACACCGCCGATGCATTTGCAAATCAGATAATTTGTCAGGTTGCCAGACGTACCGAGCATGCCGGCAGCCCCTGCACCCGCGAGGAAGGCACCGGTTTGAATGGTTCCGCGCCTGCCGAAGAGGCTACCGACAAGTCCACTGACCAGACCTCCAAGGGCAACAAATATTAGGGTCAGGGACACCAGTCCTTGCTGGAGGGCTGTTTGAGAGCATACCACCGCCGTCACGCCGGTGGTACGGTTTGTTCGTGGTACACATTTCCCAAAGACTTTCCTATAGGCTGGCATTTGAAGCACAGTGCCACCGAACCCTGCAGGAGAGACTCACTCGTAAGCAAGGAAGACTTAGCACTTCAATAATTGATATCACCCACCAAGGTCGAAATTGAAAACCCAGCCTGCCAATGCTATGAAAAGAGAGAACAAGATCATTCGCCTTGTCACATCTTGAGTAGGCATGGGATTTGAAAGGGAGTGTTGGGGCTGAATTTCTCGAGCGTCCTCGAGGACTTCAGAAGCACCCTTCTCATCGTCATGAAATGATTTGGGGGGACTGTCGGTTTTCATGACTTTGGGTAATTGATTGAGGAATCCACAACTTGACAGATGAGAGAGTTTATGATCACGAGAAGAGACACTGACAACAAGGTGACAGATTATCTAGTAGTATACCTGGAAGCCATGAAGGCAAGATATAAGGCCTTTCGAAGATCGTTTCATAGGGTGAAGAGGAAGGCTGAAAGACATCCGACCGTGACCCGATGAATACGCGACACAGTTGATGCCTCAGCCTTGAGTTGTCTCCCGAGACTCCTGGCTCAGATACGGCCACCATCGATTGAAGACTCTGCGAGGTTGGGACTAGTGGCTTTGCAAGCCTGAACTTGTCGAAATTCGTGCTTCGACACTAACACCCGGATCCCAGCATGTCGGGGATTGTGGAGAAGCATAACCCACACCTAAGGCGGGGGCGACTTCTACAGAGTACGAGGTAGAGTAGGTCCGAGTGGCTTCAGAAATCGCATCCGTCTCAATAAGGAGGCTCTTGGTGAAAACAAACGAGATCTGATCTAACTTGGACGAAAAGAATGTCGGCGCCGAAGGACATTGAAAGGGGCCGAGCGAGGGTGTCACATCATTGGTTCGTGGGGTGACGTGGTCGGCCTCTAATTCCAGAAATGTTGTGTCGTCCGTCTTCTTCTTCTTCTTTTGCCTCGATCCTAGCGAGCTCAGACGCGTTCATTCCAACAAAGAGCTTCGTGATTGTGGGAATCGTAAGGTCTGGTTCTGTGTTCAGACATTCTCTGCTCCGACGATCTACTAGCGGAGGTGCTTCACTTGGTAAGCCTGGTGGCCCCCAGCGATTACTTGGAAGTTTGCTGCAGATATTGATATTGGCAAGGCATCATTTCGCCAGGATCTTCCGGTGTGCTCGGAGGCTGAAAGATTCAAAACCACACAAGCCATCACCTCAATCGTCAAGGTAGTTGGGGAGTTGCAGAACCCGAGGTGTTAGGAACAGGATATGGGAGACGAGTCTTCCGTCGATCCATGACCAGGGTGCTCCAGTCGAGTTCTCCCCCCCGGCGCTGAGTCTTTCGATCAGGGCTGCTGTCAAAGGAATTTGTAGTCCTGAACCGAAGATTCGTAGAGAACTAATCTGCCCCTGCCATTCTTTCCATGATCTTCGAGTTCATTCCAGAGAAGCTCGGGACTCTCCAGACAGTGTGTGACCATTATCTCTAGGACATCAAGATCTGAGAAGATACGTCAACTCAGTAACGAGGTCCAATTCTCTCAAAGTCTTTCGGTATGACGGCGGCACCCTCGGGGACAAACAATTGTGAACACCAGCTTGACGTCTACCTTTTGCGCTATGAGCACTTTTGGTGGACAAACCGCTAGAGCCTTCTCCTGCACCAGATGCTTCGAGCGCAAGGTCAAGTGCGACAGGCAGGATCCCTGTTCGAATTGTTTAAGATCTAAGGCCAAGTGCAATTTTCGAGTGCCTCCTGCACCACGTCGCAGGAAGAAGCAGACCCATGGAGATTTCCACCTTACACGATTGAAGGACTACCAACATACTTTTGGGGGACCTGGAAATGACCCTGAAAGACCTCTCGTGCCTGCGCAGGTACAGCCATCTACCTCCGATCGGGGAGATCAGGGCAGATTCCTCGATCATCATAGCACTACAACCAGCCCGGAGACTGTAAGGTCGATGGAAGCTATTCTCACATCGGATACTCGTCAGACTGGGCAGCTCATTGTCGACCAAGGTAAGTCGCGATTTCTGGAAAATAACCTGTGGGCAAGCTTGTCTCAAGAGGTATGTGTCCTTGACTTGTCTCTCTGTGCTAGATCTGACTGCCAGATATATCACAGTTCCGTGGGCCGCAGGAAATAATCGCAGAGCATTCCCGCAACGAGTACGATGTGGACTCCCTGACTGAAGAATCCTCAGACTTGCTTCTCGGCTATACGCCATCCAATCTTGCTAACAATCTGCGATTTTTGCACCCGAGCCCAGACCAGGTTTCCATCCTGTGGCAGATATTTATCGATAATATCAACCCCCTTACCATGTTAATTCACCCAGCCTCGTTTCATCAAATGCTCGACCAGGGAACAAACAACCTCGAAGACCTGCCGTGCGGACTAGAAGCTTTGTTGTTCGTCATTTACGGTGCCGCAGTTCATTCCATGGACGACGATGCATGCACCATGAGGCTCGGCGAAGCTAGAAATACCCTACAAAGGAGATATCGCTATGCGGCCAGAAAAGCCCTTGCTAGAGCCAGGTTTGTCAGCACTTCGGAGCTTATAGTGCTCCAAGCGTTTACTCTCCACCTTCTGACCATGCGTGAGTTCCATGACTCACGAACAACTTGGATCTTTGCAGGAGTCGCGGCCCGCATTGCGCAAGTGATCGGTATTCATGTAGACGGGACTGACCTTGGATTGTCACCATTCGAAACCGAGATGCGCCGGCGACTCTGGTGGCAAATCGCAATCCTCGAATCTCGCTCAGCAGAGCTGACAGGATCACGAAGATCCAGTAATATCGAACTATCCAATGTGCAGCTTCCTACCAATGTGGAAGATGCTGACATATGGCCGGAAATGTCTACGGCTGTTACAGCCCGGGTGAAGCCGACCGAGTCAATCGCGTGTCTTATTCGCTACGAACTGGTTGCCTTCTGGGACGCAAGAAGTGCTGGACTTTCAAGCCTAGTGGCCGATCACATATCGATTAGTTTGCCGTCGGCGGCCGCCTTGAAACAAAGCGATTCCATGATCGATGAGCTCGAACAACTACTGGAAGGAAAGTACTTGAGATATTGCGACCCTGCCACTCCAATACAACTCTTGGCAATTATCATCGCGAGGTCCGCCATCAACGTCTACCGATTAAAAGCCCACCATCCTCGGAGGTATCCAAGGAACACGGTCGTGCCTGACAAGGAGCGAGAACTTCTCTGGCGCCTTTGCATCAAGCTCCTTGAGCACGACAATTTGGCACATTCCTCTCGACAAATACGGAGATTCATGTGGCATTCCAAGGTGTACTTTCAATGGCAAGCCATCATCTATCTTTTGGGGGAGCTGAGAAACCACACGCTCGGGCCGAAGGTGGAGTACGCATGGCAACAGATCGAAGATGTGTTCTATCACCACCCGAACTTTATCACTGACTGGAAGAAGCCATTGCATGTCGCTGTGGGGAGACTGTGTCTCAAGGCCTTCCGTGCACGGGAAGCAGCACTACGCGATCTCCCGAACCGGTCACATTCCATGGCGACTCCAAAGTTCATCACGCAATTGCGAGCGCAGCCCGGTAACGGCAGCCTCCCAGGCTCTCGACGGACACCGCCAGTCCCTACGACCACGAGCGCACCTTTGGAGTTGCTACCGACGCTTGTGCAACCACGGACGGTGTCCAACCGCAATGAAATTCGAGCTCGGCTCTCGACGCCGTCAAATTTGACACCGCACCAGACCTCCACTGCCATCCGCCCAGACGAGACCGACGAAAACTGCTTATTGGACTGGACTTTTGCAGATGACTTGGGCATGACGGATCTCCCAATCGACTGGGCCCTGTGGGATAGCATGATCGAGGACTCCAATGTGCAACAGGCGTAGCATTATCACTGTCAGCTGGCTGTGAGCGTTCATGGGGAGGATATCTGTCAAGGTTCACCCGGGCCAAGGAAGCTCATTCCAGTTGAACGCGATCGATCGATCAATCGACTAATCCCGAAACATTGGAGACCTCGGTGTTCTTCAATCATCTCTGGTCAGCCAACCGTAACAGCGACTTAACGATTGAAACACGCTACGGGCGATTTGTGCAAAAGGACTTGTTTTGGTGCCACTGATGATGAAAGATTAGAAGAAAGGGCCTCCAGGTGGCAGACGCATTGCATCTTTAGAATGGCAAACGATGAACAATGGGTTGAAAAGTCGTGACAAGGCTGACCAGACACCATGACTTTGCTTCAGCATCGTTCTGTACTCCGTCGTACGTAATTAAATGAATTAAGTAAGCGACACCTTCAAGTTAACCCGAGACGGCTAACAATCAAAAAGAACCGCCCACATTCCATGACCCCATACTATTCCCTGCATGATACTAAGTATGCAGTCCATTACGAGATAGAACAAGTCCTCCTCCCCTTGACACACTGCCGTCTGAACCCTCGAAGAAATTGAAAAGAGGGGTATCCTCTAAGTTGTTCCTCATCTCCGTAGCTCGACGTCCAGATCGGCTCCGCGCCCAAGCACCAATCACCAAATGCGGAGTGGTGTGAGTCCCTGCGGAGCCTGATACTTCCCTCACCTAAGCTGATCGCTCACGACTCACGAGAGGAGTGACTTTTTGTTAATACGAGACTTGCTTCAGGGAAAGAGCGAACCGGATCCGAGGTCCAAGAAGAAAAATGGTCTGAGGGATTGGAACCCCTCTCCATCAGTTGACGGTAGGTGTTAGGTAGTAGCCTGTGAGGAGAGATGTTATAATATTTGACCCTTGATCCATTGAATCCATATTCCATGTGATATATGCCCTACGTTACACAAGTGCCCGTCTCTCTTCCTCGTGCGTCCGTTTCAAATTCATACAAACCAAGTGAAAACGATATTTTTTGAAACCGCAGAGTCGAGCTTGACATTGACAGTATTTGAAAGATGAAGGCTCTCGTATACAAAGGCGACGGCCAGATTGCACTCGAGGACAGACCAGTTCCGGAGATACAAGATCCAACGGATGCGATCGTGAAGGGTGAGTCTTCCCAAGAAATATGGGTCTTGGTGTTGGTTGGGACGGAGTGGTGAACTCTGAGGGTTAGGTAACAAATCATTACAGTGATCTACACCACGATTTGCGGAACGGACACACATATCCTGCACGGAAATGTGCCGACTTGTAAGCCTGGAAGGGTGCTTGGGCACGAAGGTGAGCTTGTGATGCCTTTCTCAAACCCCGATCGGAGTCTTTTTCTCACCTATGGGATCTCAGGAGTCGGCGTAGTGCACGAGCCTGGGAGCGCGGTCTCGCGCTTCAAAAAGGGTGATCGCGTGTTGATTGGCTGCATCTCGAGCTGTGCGACTTGCAAGTATTGCCGCAAAGGCTGCTACAGCCACTGCGTCAAGGGCGGGTGGATACTGGGCCACACTGTGGACGGGACGCAGGCGGAGTATGTCCGGATACCGCTTGCAGACAGCGGGCTGCACCATGTGCCTGACGGGGTTGAAGAGAAGAGTCTGGTGATGCTGAGTGATATTCTGCCGACGGGACTCGAATGTGGAGTGCTCAATGGGAAGGTGCAGCCTGGTTCGACGGTGGCGATCGTTGGCGTGGGACCTGTTGGGCTGGCGGCCCTCATCACCGCCAAGTTGTACTCGCCCAGTCTCATTATTGCGATTGATCGGGATCCGAATCGTCTCAAAGTGGCGAAGAAGCTCGGCGCAGATCACACGGTCAACATCAGCGAGGCCTCTGCTGAAGAAGTTGTCATGGGCCTCACGGACCAAACAGGCTGCGAAACGTTATCGAAGCGGTGGGCTTTCCAGAAACCATTGAGCTGGCGCAAGATCTCCTCGCACCGACCGCTGTGTTGGCAAACGTTGGCGTGCACGGGAAGAGTTGCAAGTTGAAGATCGAAAAGCTTTGGGGCCACAATATCTCCATTACGACGAGGCTGGTGGACACCATAACCACTCCGCTCCTTTTGAAATTGTTAGCGTCGGGCAAGATTGATCCTAGTCCGCTCATCACACATTCGTTCTCTTTCTCGGATATGGAACAAGCATACACGACTTTCAAGGCGGCAGCACAACACGATGCATTGAAGATGTTGATCTCGATGTAGACTGTTCGAAGATAAGACAAAGTTAGTACCAAGTTGGAATAGTCTCAAATCCAGCTTGTGTACATGGAGTCAAAAAGCTTTTGTTGAAATCTAGTTTAGTTCTGACTTCCTCGACTGGTAACCATCTATGATGGGTAACGTTTCAATAGCAGTATCAGCTTCATACATACCGTCTGGACACCGCCGGGAAAAGGCTCTAGCTTGCTCATTTCCTTTAAGAACGATGTCGTAACACACGGGGAGATTGAGATGGCTAGCATATGGTAGTGGTAGCGTTTCAGCTCCAGCAGTAACGTGACCAAGAACGAGGGGGCAGTAGCGCAGAAGACAAACGTTCACTCTCCCATATCGTCTCAGGACCATTGTCTGTAGAACAAATCGGAAGTCTTCAGGTCCAGATATCCTAAGGTAAATAAGGCGCCGAGAATGCGGGAACGCGTGAATCGCCACAATTTTCAGCACGATTCGAAGTCTGCACTCCAGGAGCTGAACAAACTACTGTCAGCGAGGAGGTGTCTTCCACATTTGAGAGAACACTGGAAATGACGCACCACGATATTGCTCAAATCTAGAGGTGGTATCACCGAAAGCCGTAGGAGTGGTACCTACAGCTCGGCCAACCCTCAAACCAGGAACCACACCGTTACCGTGATTAGGTGTATTAGCGGTTGGCTTTTGTAAATGGGGAAGGTGTCCGCGTGCTACAGATGGCTGTATGTCTTGACTGTGGATTAGGTTTGTCCGGGCTCTTGCTGTTGGAATCTGAGAAGATCGGTTTGCTGTCGATCGTGTGGTACCAGGTAAGGCAACACGATGCAGAGGGGTTTCGGAAGTTTGAAGGTTTGCTGGAAATGATCAGTGCAAAGACTCGAATCACTGGCCTGGGGGACTCACCAATCCTTGATGCTCGTTGTCTTTCTGGAGGCGGCATACGCCGATGCTCCCCAGCCCCTGTGCTCCCGACAGCACTGCTACCAGAGCGTTGATGCGGATGCAGCTGTTCTATGGAACCATGAAGGGAAGGGGGTCGAGGCAGTCTGCTCTCAAGGTGTGGAGCAGTGGTGTCAGTGTATCGTGGACGAGGGTCAGGCAGTACATTGAAGGACTCTGGCCGCCGTTCTGCGTCAATGGACTCAATGGCCTGAGCAACGTTGGCTGACGCAGCAGATTGCATTTGTCCGGCCTGATATTTTTGCTTCAGAGTGTCATACAGTTTCTGTGCTTGTGCATGCTTCCGGTTTTTCTCGCGATATAGGTCAACTACCTCCGCATACTTCTGTTCCAGGGTTTTATGATCAACTGAGAGGCCTGTAGCAGGTTACGTGTTGCTTGAAGCTTGCTTGATTGTGCAGACCCACCTTCGATTTTGTTCTGCAGGCCCTGAATCTCAGAATTCGCGTCGTGGATGACTTTGTCCATCGCCGTACTGAGGTGAGTGTATCTCTCAGTCAAATTCTTGGTGACATGCTGTTGATAGGATCTAGATTCATGTCAGTAGAGTCACTCATGCGATCATTCGATTTGCGACCTTTCCTTACATCTCTTGCGTAGTCTGATAGGTCCAGAATGCGAGGGCTCTTCCAGCACACTCGATGATGGAGGTAGGACCCAATCCACTGAGAACGCTTGTCTTGTATTCTTCAGTTGGGTTCAACAACGTCTGAACCGCGTCATCGGTGTTGGGCAACCTCGTTGAACAAACTGGACAGATTCGATGATCGAGACGAGCGTCGGACAAGCCAACCTTTTTCGAGCAGGCGAGGCAGAATATGTGTCTAGATGAGTACAGTCAGAATTCAAGGTTTGATCTGAAGAACCCAGGGAGTTATCACGAGCAGGTTGTGACAACGGCCTCCTCGGTGAGAACAGCCCTGCAGTACCCTCCAGTCTGGTTATTGCATCGGAAGGGCTGTTCCATTGCTGTGAATGACACCGAGACAGTAGCAGCAGGGCTTTGAAGACTGTATGCAGTGGTGGTGCGGCAGCTTCTGGACAATTTGACGAGATTTGAGGATCCGGCCGGAAGAGAGATTTTTTGGAAGAACTAGTGCCTGCCTTTTGCACACGAGAGGCAGTGACGAGAACAATAACGACGTCGGCGTGGACGTCCACAACAATCCATCACAAAATGACCGCTATCCACTCGATAGCATACCATAGAAGAAAGCAGAAACGGATTCATTATCATAACCTCTCAGTAAATGCACCTTTTGTCGCTCAACGGAGCACCTACGCGCGATCAAGTTCATGGTTAGCTGAAGAAGAAGGCATTGCCCAGCGCGTCTCTGCGGCCTATGGCACTCTCCTCGAACTCCTTGCCGGCCTTGAATTCCTTCCAAACACTCGCAGGATAAATGTGCTTGTTTTTCTCGTACCATCTCCTGTCCACCACCTTGGTCAGGCCCGGATCATGGTCGTGACCCTCCAGTGTTTCTTTGCCAGGCACTCTCAGTAGAGGAGCATCTTCTTCCGATTGTTCTCCTTTCGCCGTGGTGCCGGAATAGTCAAATAGGAGCTGGCCTTCTCGTGTTGGGTCCTTGACCTTGTTGGCGATGAAGTAGTACAGTTCGTAGTGCTGGAGAAGTTTCAACGAGAATCAGCGGATTCATTCATGCATGATGCACACACCACGACAGGAACGGCTTTGGTATATTACTCACATGCGGAACAATGACCTCCCCTCTCACACACATCAGATCATCCACCCCAACTCTTGCCCACTGCTTCTTGCTATCCTCTCTACTCTTCAGACTCGCACCTGTACCGGACCCTGAGCCCGATGACGACGACACACCCTTCTCAGCACCGACCTTCCGACACCTCTCGAGGAACAGCCAGATATGGTCCCCTTTCTTGAGCTTGACCGTGCCGCCAGGGATATTTGCGCCGTCGTAGAACACAAACGGGATAGCAATCTCCGTGTCCTTGACGGCTTCCTGAATCTCCAGGAAATCCTTCCGCAGCTTATCGCGGGTCAGCGCATCCGCCGCCAACGCCGCTTTTGTCAGGGCCCGTGGGGCTGGGAGCGTTGAGTTTGGGTTGGGAGCGAGCTTTTTGCGAGGAAGTGCTGTCACGGCACCCTTTGGCTCGGGCGATGCCTCAGCTGACGGCCGCAGACTTTGCTGTGCAGATGTTCCGCCGCGGCCCACTGTTACTTCTTGACCCTCTTCATCGTCATCATATCCGCCAAACGAGAGAAGACCCTTGGCAGCAGCCTTTTTCTTTTTCTTCTTGGGAGGCAAACCGGACCGTTGTTTCAGCGCACTGTACTTGGAAAATTAGTCCTGTAGAGAACACCACACTCTCAGACAAGTCACTCTCGCTCACTCACCCGTCGCTGTCCTCGACATCCGGTGTTGCCATGCCGCTTGATCCATCGCGCGCCTCTTTCTCCTTCTGCTCCAGCACATCGGCGCGTCGCTTGCGGAAGTCGGCGAGATTCACGAGCCCGACCGTCTGTGTCTTGAGGAGGTCTTCTGCCGTCGCAGTCTGCCCGGTGAATGCGCGGGGGGTCGAGGTGCCCGAATGCGGTTCCGAGGCCGACATTTTCGTGGTTGTTTGTTGCTTGGGTTTGAAAGATGATACCTGTGCACTTCGAATTGTTGAAAAATGGCGGTGCTTGATGAGGCTGAGGCTTGCCCAAGGCTGCCCAACCAGGCGTGCAGAGTAAGCTTCTCACGTGATATGACGTCATACGAGAGGAAAGAAGAACCTCTGGACTGCTGAAATGGTGGTAAAGCATACTACAGGGTCAATCGATACCTAGAGCTCTCTAAAGGGTGTGTTTGGCAAAAATTTCAAGGGCACCACGAGATTATATTTATAGTTGAGTGTCATCTTCGCGCCCACCAGCAACAAGATAGCATGATCGAGCAACGCACCGAGAACGATCGGGGCGAATTCTTTGAATACGGGAGATTATGTTCAAAGTCCCTTGGTTTTCACTCCAAGGCTTTCGATGATCTGTCTGTCATATATCCCAAGGGTCATATCTGCCTAGTCGATCTGTAAACATCGACGCTATCCATTAAATCTGTCGTTCATATATCGTCATATCCTCAAGTCCAACAATTTCCGTTCTGGTTCCTCTTTTTCAACCCCGGTGTACCTGAAAACATAGAACGTTGTGCACACATAGAACATATCGACTTTTCCCTTAATAGCTCCCCCATCATAATCAAGTGGTTCGTTACCCAGATCCCGGACTATCGATTATCGAAGAATAACTTCTCACCAGGTGTCCATCCTCAAATCAAGAAATGGCAGTCGTTAGACAACGATATATTCACCCTCATTGTTTTCGAGTTTCATGATAGTTGTGAAGCGGAAGCCGCTTTCTTCCTCTCGCGGCAGATGACTTCGTCCATCTGTCCGGGGACTGGCTGAATGGTCTTCGTCGTACCGCCTCCACACCCTCTCGAGCAACTCGAGACAACTCTGATTGTTCAAAAATCCACTATCCTTCTGGATATCGAGACATCTCTCGCGGATCACGCTGCGATCCGCCTCAGCCACACATTCACTACCCGTGATGAACAGAGGCCAGAGGAGGTACACATCACTCTTCACGGCCTTGATGTACCTCAAACACTGCTGAACCCATGACCTGATACGCTCGTCCGTGCTGGGAACCCGTGGATTGGCCAGGCGTTCGGTGTAGAGCAACGCAGAATATCTAAATGATTCGGAGATATTGGCTAGATCGACTCTCTGTTCGACTGTCAGATACGGTGCCGCGACACTGGTTGCATCAAATAGGGATGTATCCAATTGCCACATCTGCAGCGCGTGTCGGATTTCACGCCACTCACGCCAAAACTGTGTCTGTTGCTCCTGCGGGTTGGTGTTATTAGACGCGTCGGTCTTGGACGAGAAAAGATTCTCATCCTCGACCATTCGCATCCAGCCATTACCATCAAAGTTGCTGTAATCATTAACGGGTGGAATTGAGGGCAGAGGCCGGGAGATGACAGTGGGGATCTGGGTGACGGCTTTCCCTTGACCCAGCACGTTCAACCGTCCGAGTTGAGCGATGGTCTTGAACAGTTGGGCATCACATCCTACCAGGTTTTCCAGTGCCCATTCCTCATCCGAAAAGGCCGACATATCGAGGTAAACACCCTGAATTTGACCCTCCCGGTCATTGACAGTTGCAGTCATTGCATCAAACCATGTGAAAAGTCGGGTGATCCAATTGGTGTCTTTACTGTCCAGTCGTAGATCATCTTTGCGAAGACCAAGCAGCTTCTTCACACCTGCAAATTGCGTCTGGAATTTGGCGATGCCGGTGTCGCAGATGTGGAACAGGCATAACATCAAGAGCGTTGCAAGGATTGAATCGTCTTTCCGATGAATTGGATCCGCCAATTGCCTATTCAAGGAACTTATAGCTGCACCCTTGTGGAGTGATTCCTCCCGAGCTTGTTCTTGTGGCGTCAACAAGCCGGTATCGTGCCAAGACTCGTTCGTCAACGACAAATGTGCCATTGAAGAACGTCTTGCCGGATCTGTCTTGCACGTGGACAAGGCGCCCGTCTCTCTGCGTTGTCTAAGATTACTCGCCGACAGCGCAGCAATAGCATGTTGCAAGGTTTCACTCCTCGCGGCAAGCTCAAGAATGTTTGTCCTGTAAGGATTCGATGGACCATCAAATGCCACAATGACAGGTGATATGACTTCAGCGTAATAGTTGATGAGATATTGCATTCTTGGTGTTTTACCGATCGCTCCCATCCCAACAAGCGGCGACAATGAAAGTCGGTATTCTCTGGAGAAATGGCGTAACGCCACTGAAGAATCGTCCTCCACAATAGCACACGATTCCTCAAAGCCTGGGCCAAATCGTGGGATTTCTTCGTCCACTTCATGTGCTTGGTGGTCTTCTGCCTCGTCCACCCCTGTGTGTTGAATTTGACCCTGGATGCCCAGACCATACGACTCGGATGATCCATAAGGGTCGTTTTGCCTTCCAAAAACGGAATATTGTGTCTGTACAGGGTATGACGGGTCGTGTGATGTTGAATATGCAGAAGAGGCAGAGTACGAGGAGGCAGAATTTGGAACACCTAATGAGGTATGGCTCATGACGGGACCGAAGTATATGGAGTCTTCCGATGGTCCGGAATACGACAAAGGCGATGCTCGGTCATTTGCGCTGTAGATGTGCGAATTTAGTCGGTGAGAGAAGTGGTAGGCTTCCAGCGGGGATGCCAGTGGGATAGGCAAGGGGTTCGAATATGCAAAAGTGTCTTCTGTCTTGAGTGTTTCAGGGCCCAGTGGTGAAGTCGCGAGTGAAGGAACCCAAGCAGCGGTCGAATAGGCAGCTGGGACTGCGGGAGAGAGGAGGGGGCGTTCGATTGAAAAGGTCGCATTGCTTCCCGCGGACTCAGGGCTGAGCACAAAAGTAGGGGCGATGTGGGCAGGCTCTTGAGACGAGATAGAGACTCTGGGACGCTGTGGATGTTGTGAGGGGTGTGTTTGCGATTGTCTTCGTTTATTCTTTGGTGGCGACTGTGGAGTGGCGACTTGTGCAGTGCCAGCAACGGGGAGAGAGAGGCCTCGGAGCTTGCCTCGACTGGCGACGCCATTTCCCCATGTCAACTGAGTCTTATAGCCTGAACAGTCCTTCGCCTCGTCCAGGCATTGTGAGCAGTAAGGTCTCCTTCGATCACACTTGACGTTGCGGGTCGTGCAGGTAAAGCAGTCGGTGGCCGCTCCAGCAGCTGGGGCTCGCTTCCTTCTCTTTCGAGCTCCCCCGACCTCTGGCTGAGTAGATGCGATTGGAGGTTGGACCCCGACTTCAAGCGCTGACATAATGCTGCGAATTGTCCAGGCTTACATCCGCTGGAATAGGTGATATTGAATAGCGTAGTAGAGACGACGTCATGGGAAGAATCGGGCCAACGTTGACCGGCACGGGCAAGGAAAGGAACTTCAGAATTTGTGTGGAGTAGACTTGTATATATGTAGCATTAGGTGCATAGTGAGTAATTGGTAGATGGAAGAGGTCAAGATCAAGAATAACGAGGCCGCGAGATGTTCAATAATGGCGGGCACCGAACAGAGTACCGAGCATGCGAGGAGGAAGCGATGCAGTTGGCGCGCTGGAGACTCGAGAGGCGAATAGGCGGAAATCCAGGGCTGAGACTAACTAAGATGGTAGGCTGTCATCACGCAAGATCTACAGAGGGTAATGCAATATTTGATGCACCGAAGCACGATCGAAGGCGTGGGAACAATGGAGAGATAGAAGAAAGAGCAGCGGCGTGCGGCAGTGGCGGTGGAGGGGCCAATTGAAGATGCCGAGTAGATATTTGTCCCGAGGGATCTTGGGAGACGGGGTTGCAGTGACGGATAAAAAGAGAACGAGAGCAGCAACAGTAACCTTGAACGACGGATAAGTTGCACCCCTGGTTACAATGACAGTTTTTGTCAGAGTTGGAGAGGAAGAATGGGCCCCACCAGCAGCAGCAATTGAAAGATAGACCCAATCGGCAGCAGAAAAGTCGGCGGACTAAGAGGAGATGGGAATGGTACCCGGAAGGAAGCTCCAGGGAACAAAAGTAAGATCGCCCGGGATACTTTGATGGTGGTTCAGGATTGATTGGTCGGAGGCTGCCGACAGGAATCTGGAGAGGTACGAAGTACGACCATTCCGACAGGGTCACTCGTGCCCTTTTGAGTACATGAATAATCTTTCAAAGGTTCATCACGCCAGTGAGCAGGATGGGTATGTGAGCGAGTGCTCCTTGTAACTCGGACTGCGATAGTGGTGGATAGCTTGAAGTCAGAGTGCTCAGAAGGGCACGAGCCCACTGGCAGTGATAACTCCCCATCTCTTTGTTGACATGCCCGTACGGAGTTCAAGCACTCGTTACGAGCGAGAGACTGACAAGCCTGACTATTTTTGAACCCTCCTACTCGTACGCGAATATCAATGATACTGACTGGGATGTTGTTCTTTCCCTTTCCCTGCCAGCTTGTGGGATCGAGTCCCACTTCGTGTCTCCGTAGGACTATATTATATCCGAAGTTCCAATGCTAGTCGGTCAAGCATGCACGGACACTCGACTTCCGATGCACTAGCTGTAGCCTGTCAGTCTAGCCGTCAGTGTCTATCATTCACAACTTACAACTCTTCACGCTCACTGTCACCAGGAACACTCCGCGGATGCTCAGGCCTCGTGATTGTCAGAGGTGCCTCTCTTTGGATGACTCGTCGCAACCGAGCAAAGTGACCGATGTACTTCATCTCTGTCGAGTCACGTTTTAGGAAATGTGCCACGTAGAACTATCTATTCGATGGACAAAGGTGTGTGGGGATACCGCATTCAAGCGCCAAGAAGTGAAACATCTCCCGAATCATATTTCATCTAGCCTCGCGACTTGTGAGCAGGGTTCAACACCGTTTTTGGTTGCAATGGGTTCGGAGCCTGATCACGAGATTGCCAATTGTGTTCTCTTGGTCAATGCACCAGTGACTCAGTCACGAACGTGGCTGACGATGCGAGCGGGGCCGAAATTGCCGTCCGGGGTGGGTTGACATGCAATTCCTTTTGAACAAGGGTATGCAAGCCTCGTTTTTTAGCCCAATCGAGTTTCCAAGGCGCACAACGAAATATTCGTATAAAACGTTGGGACAAGAGGAATGCGGTTTGTGAAGTTCAGAATGGTGTTTTTTAGGGCTGTGGGCAACAGGCGATGTGATGTCTGTCAATCCTGACCGACCAGTCCCCCCTGGTGGGTGCGTTTCAAGCAAGATAGCAAATAAACAGACCGAAATTCGAGTGCAAAAAGTTAGCAAACAAACCATGACCAAGAAAGTCCTGTGTCATTGATTCTTCCAGGATTCCATTTCGTAGAAGGCTACCTGGCCTGCTTCGAAACGGTTCCAAGATGGTCCCAACAGTTTCAAACAAGCCAATAATGAACGAACTTTGGTGCTCTTGAGGTTTTAGGGCTGTTTACGACTCTACTCGGTGAGTCAAAAACAATCAGATGAAGGGCAACCTGTTGACAGGGCATCCACTTTGTACGAACTAAGTCCATGTACTTTGCCAGCAAAGCCACGGTTGTCATGCACTTTTTCATGAGAAACCGAGAGAATTACCCACTCTGGCTGAGAACTTGTCAACCTCAATTGGGTTGCGGAAGCGATGAAGAGTTCCGTGTGCAAGTTCTCAAGAGTAAAGCCGCAAGGCTCTGAGCAAGACGATGTGTTCTTTGACTTTCAGCATTGACCATTGGTCGGTTGCCAGAACTGATACTCTTTCAGGATGCAAGGCAGAGCGCTAAAGGATCGGGGCGAAGCCGGTTCATGGGCCGAAGCACGCGACTTTGCCTCATTCTCCCAAGATAGCGGATTACCTGGGACGGGATTTGGTCGACTACTGCAGAGATGATGCAAAATTGTTCTGGCGGTAAGCAGAACAGCTTGAGAGTGGTGGAAAATCAATGTGTTCGTGCCCAAGACTGCCAAGGCCCAGGTGAGTTGTCATTTCCTCACTCGTCGCTTCCTTTTCGAACAGCAGCCTAAACATCAGAGAATTTCAAAGGAGCTGGGGCAACCACCGAAATCTCCATTTAGTCAGTAGGTAAGGTATAGTAAGATTCAAAACAATTTCAATACTGAACAGCCAGAGGCTCGGACAGGTAACGGTTGAGTCCGTGAGTTTGTCAATGAGTCGAGAGGGGGAGGCAGTCGGTGTGACTTTGGTTAAAATCAAGGGTGGACAGACCATCAACAGTTGTGCGTTGCATCAACACACAAAGACTGGTTGACTCGTCTCCTAGTCGCAGTGCGCGAGACACCTGCACCACTGACATATGCAACATGGCGTAGGCGTGACCTGAGAGGCTCCCTCGACCACGGGACCTATCAATTTGACTTTTCTTTTTATTGAAAGGTCAACTGCAGATGGATCCTTCCGTCTGGGAGGAGAGTGTCAGCTGCCAATTTGGAGGGCAACGCGAATAGGTTGATGGTGGTCAGTTGTTTTGGAAAGACAAATGCTTGAGACCATACCATTCATTATTGTTGGACGACGTATGTTTGGGTCAAGGCAAGCTGGAGCTACCCTATGGAGAGGACAGAAGTAGTAACAAGAATTAGTCAAAGCGACTTCTGTAACACTCAGCTTTGCAGTCTCATTCCTTCCAGCTGAAAGAGTTGCCACTGGCAGATTCGACGAGGCTACGGCTTGCAGGTGATTTGATAGGTGCTCCGAGGCTGTAGACTTGGAACCATGGAGGTCCATTCAGCTTGAACTACGGGCATTCAATTGAAGCTTGAGGAGATAGTTGGCCCATGGCCGTTTACCAATAGAGGGTCTTGCAGCGACGTTGAGTTAGCGGGGTCACGGGTACGGATAGGTGACGAGGGCTCCGAAAAAGCTTTGGGCCCAGCGCAAGCCACACTTCAACGGGGAACAATTGATTCAAAAAGTTGAAGGTTTGACACGATCCACAGTGGACCGGACAATAATGTACGAGTACGGAGAGCGCAATTACGAAAAGCAGTATTTGACACGGTTCCCCGTCGTTGAAAGATACGAAAGATCGATATCAAAATGGTTGGTAGAGGAATTTCACAGCCACGAGTTGAGTTATTGTTAGTTGATTGCAGATATACGGGCGTCCCAATAATAAGGGCGGAACAACTGCCAGGCAGTTTATTCAGGAGCCGCGGCACGACAAGTATGACAAGGACAGTCACCACAACTAATTGTGAAACATGCTGCGACTTTCTCACATTTCAGCTCGACAAAGAGTTTGGCCCACTGGCAGCTGCGCACTCGTTATAACCTGCGGAGTGCAGTGCGGATAAGCTGACGGACGAACTAAGGACTTCTGGGTATGAATCCACGAGTAGCCGAATGGGGGATTTTTGACCGTGCAGGAGAGACTACGAGGTACTCGTGAGCACAGAACCAGGGGCTCCTAGGCGTCGGTGGGATTTCTAGGCATGACGGGCATGACGATAGACTTGTCGTGCAGGCGGGCTGGGAACCCTTCGGCCCCTAAATGCGCAAACTCGTGGGTTGTCCAAGAATGCCCCGGGGTGCCCAGGGTCCGTCCGGTCACTCCTTTAGCCAGCCGCAGGGTCAAATGAATATCCTCGTCGCTTAGGATATTCATGTGAATAATAACCGCACTGACTCGTGCGGCCCTCGATCAAGTAAGCAGAATTTCGTCATCGATCCTTATTTCTCTCACTGCAAGACCCCGTAGAGTAGGCCCCAAGAATTGTCAGTGCAAAGCCTCTTTGAACTCGTGCACTCACTCTCTCGGTCTCTCCTTACTCGCGTCCTCTGAGGAATCAATTTGAGTGTACGGAGCAGCCTGAGTAGTAAGGCATTCGCTTCTCCCGCAATTCAAGTTTGTCTACGAATTTGACTTCCCGTCCGCGGGCCTTTGTCTGCCCCGAGTCACTGCCCTTTCTCTCTCTCTCTGTCTGTCGCCTGTCGCAAATTCATGCTCCCACTGGCACTCCCACCACCATGATGGTTTCTCGCCGTGGCGCTTCCATTCCATTCTTTGTCCATGGCATTCCCTGGTTTTACTCAGCGGCAAAAATCAATCAACTTCACTCAGGCTGCCGTGAATCACAATCAAAACCCTGTCTCCGTCACTGTGACTGGCAGTCCGCTTGACCACTCTCCTCAAGTACAAGTACCTAAACACACCCTCTTCTCAATTGACGGGAGGATTCGTATTGTACCCGTACTCATACCGTATCGAACCACACCCTCCACTTCGCGGCCAACAAGGGTGGCTGAAGGCTAAAGGAGACCCATTCTTCTTCATCCCTGCACGCCTGCTCTTAGGCTGGGCATGGGCCCTCCTCAATAATCCGCCTTTCAAATCCACACCTGAACGAAGCCCACTTGGTTTCTCCCTTGGGTAGTTCTTATGCCCCTGATTTCCCTTCGCTACCATCAATCTCCTTTTCACCACAACTCTCTCATTACCTTTGAGATTGCGATTGGATTGCCCCGACTTGGTGCCTCCTGGTTCCTGTCGGTCCGAGTGCCTTCCACTACCTTCTAGGCGTCACTAGACCCAATCCGGCCAAAATCCAGTTCAGCCGTGTTGAAAAACCCAAACACGCCAACTGCCAGCCTTCTCAACATCCTCGTCACAGACCCATCCAAGACCCAGAGGTTAAGACTCATCGTTCATCGACTCACACCGGAGCCAGGCACCCGGAAAGCCACTAACTTAGATCGCTTTGTGGAGAGTCATCACCCTGGGACAGTCAATTCTGTCAGGATTCAGGATTTTTATACTCGGACTCACCCAACCTCGCGACTTTTTTTTCTTTCCCCTCTTCTTCGACACTTTTGCGTCTCACAAACAAAACGGACAAAGCTCCCAACTACCCCAGTTCATCCAAATTGAGTCACTCAGGACTCAATTTAAACTCAATTTTCTCGCGGAGATCTTGAGAAAACCACGATATGATATTCAGCCAGACCAACATTCTCCGAACTTACCTTTTCTCTCGACAAAACACCGAACCAGATTACGCAGACATAGGTCCCGACACGGGGGAGTTGCATTAGCGAGTACGGGCAGGAGTGAGGAGTGACGCCCGGTTTATTGAGCAGAAGACGCGTTTAGGGTTTCAATATGTCTTTCCACTACGGCGCTCCACCAGCGCACTACACCAAATACTATGGTGACTCGACTTCACCATACACGAGTGGTGAATATGTTCACTATGCACCACAATACAACAACTCGACCCCCAAGAAGCACACCAGAAAGGCGAGCTACAATCCATCGCCTCGCGTAGGTGGCTGGTATTCCCCGGCCGGGTCGCCTCCACCATACTACGACGCGAACGTTCAGTATGCCGCACCACGCGATGATATCTATGTGAGTCAGGCAGCGGGCAAGTCCCACAAAAACGAGGGCTATCACACTTTTCCTAGCTCAAGATATCATACCCGTACCTCTTCGCGCAAGCAGAATCAGCCCATCTATGTCTATAACGATGAGGCTGAATATGCAGAAATGCCGGCAACATATATCATCAGAGAACCACAATCATCAAAGTCCAAGCACACGCGGAAGCCAAGTACTGATACCAAGTTTTACTATGCACAGGGACAGATCATTGATGAACAGCCAAAGAGGTCCAGAGCTCGCCGTTCTTCAACCACTACAAAGCCGTCGCATCGATCCAAGCCAAGTCAATCCAAACCAATCCCACAAGCCACTGAACAGGATGCCGCTCGTGAAGGCATTCCAGCAGGATATTCCGTCAAGCATTGGGATCCTACAGAAATTCCCATCATCCTGTTGGGAAGTGTCTTCGATGCTAATTCTCTTGGCAAGTGGGTCTACGATTGGACGGTCTTCCATCACGGCGCATCGACCCCCATGGCTGATATGGCAGGTGAACTTTGGCTCCTGTTGATCAAACTTGCTGGGAAGATGAAGCGTGCCGAAGAGTGTGTCGATCGCATCCGCAACAGCGACAAGCGAGAGACCGTTGAGGACTTCGTCGTCAGTGGCAAGAGACTTTTGGAAAGGTTCAAAAGTCTTCTCAAGGACTGTGAACAGTTCATGCTCAAGGCAGCCAAGCGTGACGGTACCAAGACCATGGGAAAGAAGGCAGGCACCGAGTTCGTCGACTCCATCTTTGGACGTGACCGGTATCTCGAGTCAACCGAGAAGATCATGAACCAGATCAGACTATGGAACATGCGTTTCGATGTCAATTGCGAAGAGAGTCTTCGTCGTCCTTCTGCTGCCTAGATGTGGCGGCAATACTTGTCACCAAGATGGCTGAGCCATGATTGTTCATGGGCTAGATCTTCATTGGTGGCAAATATACCTGATTACAATTCGCCACTCGAGTCCATCTTGAACTAGCCAAACATCCAATCAACGCACAACAAACAACAACTACACAACAACATCCAATATATTAAGTGGATCGTATTTCGGAGTACATGGGAAGAGAGGCTGATGAGCTGGGGCCTTGTAACAACAACACCAACGCTGTGACGAATTGTCTTTCATTGAACCAAATCAGCTTTTTGCATGGAAGGGTTTGTGTGAGTCACATTCGACTTATTAGCGTTCTTTAAAAAAGATACCAATCGCTTTGCATTTTCCAACATTTTCCAAGCATGGCGCCGGAAAGGGAAGGGGAAAAAAGGGGTTAAGGCATCAAAAGGAACTCGTCATCATCTATGTGGCGAAGTCACCATTAAAAGTAATGTTTCTCGCGGGAGACAAGGCAAAGAGCGGGAGGAAACCCAGGACGAACTCCCTAAAGGCATCCAGGACATGATTTTTTGGTTTTTAACCACCCCGCACCATAAAAGTTTCAATTCACGAAGCGAAGCGAACATGATCAGGATGCGTTCTATCGAAAATGTCCCGAGACGGCCAACAAGTCCCTTATTATTTGGGTGATGGCATCGGAGGCTTTTGCATGGCGGGTATTGCTTTTCCGGGAGTTGGACCTTGGGTGTTGCTGCATTTTACTGTTAATTGCTTGCTTCTTTTTCTTTTCGAGAGCACGAGATACCCCCGTGTGTTCCCCCGTCGTGGGACACCATTGTATTGTATGCTAGTCTATATTCACTGAGCTTTATTGTTTATATCGCGATGATAATGCATGTTTTTTTTGATTCAGTTTCTTGTTGTCGCGTGTTTCGAAGATCTTTATCTCTACACGATGGTTATCGTTCGCGATACACATTTTGTGAGCTGGTGGCGTTTTAGATAGTTCCCTGATTGTTTTCTATCTCGATCTAGATATTCAACATAATCTACAAAAAAATCTCCTTCAGTTCAACCAAGTTGACCTTGTTGATCTTCCCTCCCTCTCTGCCATGAACCGTGATATCTTCTCTCATCCCACTGTAGATACCTCCCCAGGTACCTACCAACGAACGTCGTACATAAATACCGTAGATACCTGTACTGAAACTCCCCATACCCGCACTGAATGAGCGAGCAAGCGCGAACTGGGACGGGACAACTTGCGAGCCCTCTCTCTTGTCACCTGGCCCCTCGCATGGTAGCACTGTAAGCATCGTCAACGTCAACGTAGCCCGCCGCAGCACGCGAACCGGCTCAAGATCTGACATCAGAACTCTCAATAAATAACCGCGCTTATCACGATCCAGCGTTCATGCACTTGTCGATTCATCGAAACCACTGCAAATCGGCGCACAGCTCGTGAGCTGGGGCCCGGGGGCCGGGGGCCGGGGGCTGGCTGGCTGAGTCACGTCAACGTTGGAAACCCTCCGTTCTATGCTCGAAATGAAGTTCATTATTATTGAACGGGACCGTACCACACAGCATAGCATAGCATAGCAAACGTCCGGCGTTCAAATAACAACCCCCAGCAAGGTCGTGCGCGTGCGTGTCCACCCACTTGGTTGGTGACGGATACGCCGTCTTGCAATTGCCTCATGCTTTATACCGTATCTGGCTCGTTTCGTCTCTGTCTCTGGGATCAAACGGGATCGTTAGTCACCCAAACCACTGTAGGCTGTAGCAGATTGGATAGATTTATTCGCCGATTGGTAAGAGAGCGTTGGTCACGAGTTACACGAGTCTCTCCCGGCGGGTTTGCTTTAGGCTGCTTGCCTGTCCCTCCGTCTGTACCGCCTTGCCGCCGGCGGCCGAAACGGGATACCACATGCAGTGCTGACTCGTTGGCTTTGCTGCATTTGGTTCGCCGAATGCATCTGGCTACGTATGTATGTATGTAATGTAGGTAGATGAGGTTGTCAGTTATGCAAGTCATGTATGTCATCAAATCTGTAAACATCTGCGTGGTTTTGGACACGATGCGAGGGATAGAGCGGATGGCTGCAAACGTTTAGACGAACTCCCTTCCTCAGCTAGGCCGAATTCATGGTCTCGATCTTTTCCGCTATTGCGAGTTAATGGACGGTTACGATACAGGCACTCCGTACAAAAGTATGATACGAATACCATGAATACTGGTCCAGGTGACAGACTTCAACTGTCGATGGCGCACACACTACGGAGTCTACTACCTGGTTCATCTATCTTGGTTTCTAGGCGATGACAGTGCGGGCGTCTGTTATCATCACCTGGAAAGTCACTAACTAATTAACTAGTATTGATGTGGGTGGGTTGCTCTGGCGCTTGCGATCGATCATGACGAAGGAGGTTGGGGTTTTTAAGTGTGGAATTGTGCTTGGTGGTTGATGGGTGTGCATCATCTGGATTTTTGCAAGCCTGTCTGGTACGTATACCTATTGGGCAGTTGATTCGAGAGAACCAAGGTCCTCGGTACACAGGATGGGTTTACGAAGGTCTAGGTAGTCTGTATGATAGGGTCTCCCGAGCCTGCGTGATACAGAACCTTTGTCAATCCATACCGAGACGTTCAAAACGAGAAGCTCGCAGTTTCAACCCGTCTCTGGGCAGCGGAGTTGGGGTGGTCGCCTGTAACTTGAGTCTCTTAGGTGTGAGTGCCCTAGGTGATGGACCGCGACGACAGGCGCGTAAAAGAGTGTGAGCGAGCCATGAATAGGTGCGTTATGCGTAGTACAGCCAAAAGATTTGGGTGACGGAGTTAAGTACGGATAGCTGTGCCTCGTAGAACCTGTCACGGTTGCCACATGCATGCAAGCACTCCCTGTAGTGGATCATCAAGGATCTTACGAAGTGCGAGGTACCTACGGATAGAGATCGTGTGGCGGATCCGCGTGGAAAGAATGAGGAAGCCTGCAAGAAATAGCGAAGGTTTCTATCCCTCATGTTTCCCCTGGCGTGTTCACATTCACCAGATTCTCTGGTTCTGTGTGGACGGACAGACTTTATGGCCGGATGTTAGGCATGCAGTCAAGACTACGAAGTAAGAGACCGTCTGGTTGGCATCTGTGCTCAAGAAAGATGTGATTCGTGATTGGAACTCGTGGTGGCCTATCACCAGTGGATTCGCTTAGCATGTCTGCCTCTGGTGATAGGGCCGAAGCAGAAAGAAGAAAGGCTGGTCCGTTCGGAGTCGCATGGAAAGGATTAATCAGATCCTTACTTGGTAGTTAGCTTGCGCTGGATTGTGGATGGACATTATTTGCCACAGACGGGGAAGGGGGAAAGCTCTTTGCAATTGAGTTGGACACCATTGAAGTCGAGGGCTGTCTTTTCGTATTCTCAAGTCATTGCACGTATTGATTTGATTCTGGCCTTGATCTTGACCTATCTGATTGTTCTTGACCGCGAAGCGGATGTCAAAACGATACGGTCTTACAGGGGCAAATGTGCCGCAACAGTCTCGTCACGGTGACGAATGGAAGAGGAGGGTCGGCTACTCATCCTCATCCACTGCATGCACTTTGCAGAATGCGCTTGGATGCTTCGAGCAGCCTGCATGAACTTCTCATTCTGGTTGGGTTACAATACATTCTCGAGTGGGTGGAACAAAGGTGACTTGGGGTCAGAGGGGTCCGCGTACGACATGTTCACATGCTCATTTCTTTGAGGTGCGACGTCCAGGTTGCTGTCAAGAAGAGCCCTTCCCTCCAATAATAGAGATTATCCATGCCCTCCATCAACGCTTGCACGCCACCAAGTGGGTGACTTTTCCTTACAGATTTGTGACTGGGTACTACCGGGGTACGAGTCATGCCAATCCTCCAGGCTTGGGAGTTGAGATTCCAGTCCTGTCCACGTACTCGTAGTACCCTGCCTGGCGTCTTTATTTCAGGTTTGTAGCAATACTCGAAGGCCGCTGAGCGGATATCCTTTCTCCGGTGGCCTGCTCTTGACCCCTCGCTTAGGTGACGAGGTGTTTCAGCCTCTGGAGTGGAGGGATCGTATTCCAGAACTGGTCCACAGCAGTGACTCAACGGTTGAGGATGGCTGATTGGGGAGTTGGTCGTCCAATTATAAACTTACTGGGCAAGCCTCTGTTGGTGTTGGCTCGAGCGCCTGGGATCGCCCCGAAGATTCCACCAAGGGGCCCTAAAAATGCCCCTCCCACGAGGCTTCGCGGGGGAGGGACTTCGGGTGGTGACTAGGAGTTCCTGAAACAACCGCCTCCTGACGCAGGGGTCTACCTTGCTCAGTGCTCAGCGCGCAAAAAACACAGATTCATCAAGGTCCAGAGAGGGTTGGCCAACAAGCGACAAACTACCAACTGTCTATCATGCTGCATGCTTTACCCCCTGCAGCAAGTATCAATGCGACCATTCTGCGGCCAACGCTTGACTCGACCCTCTGATATTTCTCTTACAGTTCTTACCGATCTTTGCGGTTACAAGGACAGGCCGTCCAGACTCGAGTGCGGAGAAGCGTGAGAGAGTTTCACAAAAGTTCGGAAGGCGCGATTGCCGATGGACAGCTACGCGTTCTGTTCAGCCTTCTCTGGCAGTTTCTTCTTCATTTCCATGGTGATCAAACGTACATGTTCGACCTTGATTCATGCTCAGTGCCTTGACACACTTTTCTGAAGCAAGGCTGGATCAATGCAATTGAAAAGGGGGAATCGAAGTCGAAACAAGAGACGGGTGAGCTGCACGCTTCCTGCAGGTACCATTTGCCTAGTTGCCTGTCCCGCCCACGCATCTTACACCGCTGTTTTTACCACTTGGAATCGTACCGTCATGGTCAGGTAATGTATCTGAAGACATTGAACATGTCTACAAAGCCGCATCTCATATCATGTCTGCGTCGTCAGAGTCTTGATACGGCGTGATGCGAAATGTACCGACTTGCTGACACAAATCGGCGAGGCTGACAGCCTCGCTTTGCATGCCTGCCAAAATGCCCACGTCAGATGAGGTTATGAAGGAAGCCTCGAACATCTGCAAGGCTGCTTCAGTCCTTCTTGCTGTTTTACGAGTCGCATCGCGAGGGTTTTAACATATCGAACAGAGAATACTAAGTGAGATACTTAAGGAGGAGATCACCTTTCCTGGATATTACGCACATTCTCGTTGACCAGGAGGATTGCGATCAATTCACTCTTGCGTGGATGAGCCCAGTCCTTGTCAAGTCAGGTTCGAATCTTCGTCATCTGTTCGATTCCACGTCGATGTCTTATTGTAAGCTACTAGTCGCTGCCCACCGTGCAGGAGAAGCAGACCTGCAGTGGGAGCATTGAAGCAATTGAGAATCGGCCTTCCAATTGAATCCTTATCCACGGACGAATTGAACCCTTTTAAGTACCCAAGATTCAGGCCACTTAAGGAAAATACTATGTGATAAAGTGCGTCACTCATTTTGACAATCCGGAGCAGGAAATTGGTTGATTTCTTGATTAGGACTTGCCCAGGCTTCATCAAGCTACTGTTAGCTATTCTGGAGAATCTGTGAGCTCCATATAGACTTCTCAGGCAATCAAGATGGGCAGCTTATTCATATGATCTCAAGTCCAACAAACTCATCACGTCGCACCTACAGCGGACACGCTTTCTGGCTATCGAATTATGGCGCGCAGTAATACGAAGACCCTCTGCTGTGCATTGTATTTGACGGTGTAGTAGATCAATACTCGCGATCTACCCTCGTTCTATGCATGATTGATCATTCGCATCTTCTGGGCTCTTGACGCTCACCCAACGCTGCTGCTACAATGATCTGCTGACGAATGACAAAGCACAGTAGCTCTGCGTGGCTCGTGTCATCAGTCTCAGCGCCAGTCGACGACTGCCCGTGCGGGGATGTCATGCTTCCCTAGAGTTGGAGGGGCAGAGGCTTCACTTCCAATGGAATCATCCCCAGGACACGCCTAGATTACTTATCAGCTTGTCTCTGCTCGATTTGTAAACAGTGAGCACATCATTGTGGGGTTGAATGTGTCTATGATATATTGTTTGCTACTTCTGTAAGTCTGGCGCGTCAATTGTTGACATGTTATTAATTATTTCTTGACCTCTTACTTCATCCCTTATACACTCCCCTCTATATCTATTCAAAATTGTCAACCAGACCTATCTGGTGAGCCTTTCAACAAAGACACATATCAAAAGCCCGAGGATTTCATCTTCACTTGCGGTGAGTTCGACACCGATTTTGAAAGTATGGCAGCTCCAAAGGCTTGGGCGGTGGTGATCGGTGTTGGTCAAGGAACGTGAGTTTCATCCTTCCACTATAATTCGCTTGGGGTGTTGACGTGTGGTAGAGGTGCAAGTGTAGCACGTCGATTTGGCAAAGACTACGGAGTTGCTTTGCTAGCTCGAAAGGCTGAGAATTATGAGCCGTTCGTGAAAGAGATCAATGAAGCTGGCGGCAAAGCAATTGGTATCAGCACTGATACTGCCGACGGCAAGAGCATCCAGAGTGCCTTCGAACAGATCAACAAGGCGAGAGGAGACGCACCGCTCGCTGCTGCTATATTTAATGTCGGCGGTGGATTTATTCGAAAGCCTTTCCTTGAATTGTCCCCGCAAGAATATGAAGGTGGATGGCAAGCCAATGGGTGCGTCTAATTTCAACTGCTCAAGCTCCTTTGTCCTTGCTGATCTCTCTTCAGATTGGGTGGTTTTTACTTCTCGCAAGCCGTTATTCCATTGCTCCTTGAGGCTGTGGGAAAGACGGAATACCCACCTACCTTGATCTTTACCTCCGCAACTGCAGGGTTGAGAGGTTCTGCCAATTGTGCTTCGTTCGCAACCGGTAAATTCGCATTGAGAGCATTATATCAATCACTCGCAAGGGAATTTGGTCCCAAAGGAATACACGTGGCACACGCCATCATCGACGGTGTCATTGATATCGAGAGAACCAAGCATTATAAATTTGACCATCCCGATGCAAAGATCTCTCCAGAAGCAGTGAGTCTCTTCCTTGTCTTGTGCAGTCCCACGCATGCCTCCGTTTGCTGACCGAACATGCCTCGAATCTAGATCGCAGATTCGTACTGGCATCTACATACACAACCGCGAACAACTTTCACCAATGAACTTGACATCAGACCTTATATTGAGAAGTGGTAAAATGGCCTGGCCAGATTAAAAGCAGGAGCGATTGCCACGGCTTCAAGTACTAATTGTATTTGTGGACAACCAAAGGTGGTCGCCAAACCACTAAAAGTGTTTGATGCAATCCAGTCTCAATTGTGTCTAGTGAATATTGAACCTGCACCATCCCTTGATACCTCAAAACCCATCCGTTCATATGGATCGGCAACGAGTCTGCTGTTCTTGGTTCCGCCGCTTGCCGCACTGTTCTACGTTTCTCCACAAATGGTGAGGAGGCGATCCACGGGCTGTTCTTTCTCCCCGCCACCTACACCATTTCTTTTGTTCCTTCGACCTTTCAAGCTCACGAGCAACAATAATGACGTGTCTTCGTCGTTGACGTGTGCTATTTCATGCATAACGATTGACCGAGGCACACTCTATCCAGACAACTCATAAAAATATTCCCAGGCAATCGACTCAATTCCCGTCCCGTCCTTCGACTCGCCTGGCTCGCCTGCCTTGTGGTGGACCATTGCTGATCCATTATTGATCACACCTTCCAAATATCATCAATTGCTGCCAGAGAAGTCCCACTTCGTACGGGGTTCGAGTATGGGGAGCCCTGGGAGGCCAACATTAATCGTGTCTGTGATTTGTCCGGCACTGATTTCATTACCGACTAAAGCTTGTCGTGTGCAAGCAATGCCACTTTCTCGCGTGCCGGTTATCCTATCAACCTTGTTAATTTTTCTCTCCAATGCTGCTCCTCGCCGTTACCTGTAAGTGCGAAGTCTGTTCCTGGGATAGCCTCGTCGTCATCAGGCCCTTCATCTGCTCGTACAACGATTGATCTCCTAGGAAACTTACCGTTGGACGGGGTTGGCCCTCGAGTTTTATGGGGATACCACCATATGGGGATCCTCCGACAGGTGGAAGAACACCGCACGGTGTATTGAGAGAGTAGGTAGGAAGATCTTCCAACCTATAACTATGACTTTCGAGGGGTCCCCAGCTTGTTATCATGATTACTATCTCTCACCCATACTTTCCCCAGATTCTGACCTGCACCCAACCACATCGATTTCGCCAAGTCAGTTCAGCCCTATTCCCCAGACCTTGTCACTGAAACGATGTCGCCATCCAATGCCCACCATTCAGACCCCTTGGCGAGACAGCATACGAACGAGCTCGAACTCGGTGTCACGGATGTTCTGCAACGTCACATCACGCGCCATGTCGTCCCGCCTAAGCCAGTGTCCCAACGGAAGCTGACGTTCGAGCATAAGCGACCTCGTATCCTGCGAGAGATGATGGCCGAGGCGACGGGCGTGTTCTTCTACGTCTTCGCCGGTATATCTTCTGTTGCTTCGTTTACACTGGCCACCACCAATGGCGTAGGTGAGGCAGTGGGCGTCCCCGTGTTTGGCTCTCTCTTCCAAATCGGCTGGGCGTTCGCCATGGGTATCGCATTTGCCATTATTACCTGTGGAAGTACTTCGGGTGGCCATTTCAACCCTGCAATTACCGGTGAGCAATCAATCATGCATTTCCCTTCTGTCGACCGCCGGATCGTAACAAAATGCTGACGATACTTCCACGGCCGCAGTCTGCTTCGCAATTTGGCAAGGCTTCCCCTGGAAGAAAGTACCGCACTACATCTTCTCACAGATCTTCGGCGCATTCCTCGCGGGTCTGATGCTGATGGCCTGCTACTGGCCTCAGATCCAAGCGGCCAAGGAGATCGACATCCGCGAGCACGGCACGGCAGTGTACAATGGCGGAGTCGCCAGCATCCTGTGCTCATTCCCGAACCCGGACCAAACGAACCAAGGCTTCCTCTTCTTCCAGGAATTCTTTGTCGACAGCTACATCGGCATCATCATCTGGGCGTGCCTGGACCCGGCGAACCCGTTCGTCAGCCCGACCTCAGTCCCCTTCACCATCGGCATCGCGTACGCCACGATGGTGTGGGGGTTCGCGGGCAACACGATCAGCACAAATCTCGCGAGGGATCTGGGCACGCGCATCGTCGCGGCCATTTTCTTCGGCCGTGAGGCCTTTACCTTTTCCGACTCGTACTCGTGGATCTCCATCTTGGTCAACGTCCCCGCCACCATCTTCGCCACCGGCTACTACGAGTTCCTCATGCGCGATAGTCTGCAAAAGATTCATCAGGGTCATGCTGAGCACGCCGAGGGCGATGAGGGCTTGCAGAGACATATCTCGAGGGTCACGGGCGCGGATGTTTCTGGGCACCGCCAAAACGGGGAGTTCAGGAGTAATCGTGGTATCATGAATGCTACCGAGGATGGGGTCATTGAAAAGCAGTTTTGAGAGGCGCTCTTGTCTGTGCATGTGCCCACCGTGCTTCTGTGGAGTGTGAAACTTATGGTGTGCGTCGAGCTTGGGCGATTCCTGATTTGTCTTTAATCCATATCTAGTTCCGTTGGGAAACTCTATCCACCAGTGGTCTTAAAAAAGACAGCTCTGATAAGTAGAGTCTGTGGAAGGCCACTGATGCACATTGATGGGATTGAAACGAAGATAATTTCCACTAACAGTAATTCGGCATTCACACATTGGGATGTGCTTAACTTGCTGGAAGGCGATAATGAGGGAGAAGATTATAAGATTATTGCTAAATAGATCGGCTGGCTCGACTTCGAAACCATGAAGCTGCGTTTCAAGTACGTGACCAACGTTGGATGCAAGCATCATAAATATATGCAAAACCAGAGCCACGCTGATTGGCTTCTTCACTCCAAGGGTCGTTCCAAGTTATTCATAGAGATATGTCTCAAAGCCACGATGAATATTGATCGTCGTATCAGGCGTATCTGTCCATGGCGACCCTATCATGCACATTCTTCTGCTGGACCAAAAGGAAACGCGGTGACATGCCAGTAAGGAGTATAGGCCAGCATGATTCGCCTTTTCGTCGAAAGTGGATATCAGTATCTCTTTATCAGGCGATATCCCTGCACCGTGGCGTCACCATAATCGACCCTTTATGCAGCCTTCTCAGTAACCTCTACGGCCTTTGGGTTGACCTCATGGATTTCGGTGGTGTCTTCAATGTGGTGGCCCAGTGCCTTGTGAGTGGCAGATTCGAGCTCACGAGCTCGTTCTGCTTCGGACTCGAACACTGTTGTGACGTTAGTGGCATTCAATGGTCAGGTGTGGGCTTTGTTGAAAACTTACAGAAAGTCAACTCCTCGAGTGTCTTGCCATGTGTTTCTGGGAACAAGAAGTAGATGAAGACGATTTCGAAGGCTAAGAAGCAGATATAGACAAGCAGGTATTTCCACCCGATGTTCTTCAACCCGATGGGGTTGACCTGTGCACCGAAGGTGCTGGCTGTGCGAGAGCAGAGTTGGAACCATGTAATTCCCTTGGTACGGGCATAGTATGGCCAGAGCTCGACCAAGTAGACATAGGTCAGTGCATTGTAACCAATGTTGTAGCATGGCGTGTAGAGGAAAATGAAGAAGATGGTGGCAATGCCGGCGGCCTCGGACTTGGTGATCATCTGTCGAGCCTGGGCGACGGTCCAGGCAGTGTAGCAGAGAATAAGAGCTGTCGTGCAGAGTAGATACATCCGACGACGAGGATAGCGTGGTGTGATGCTAGCCAAGGTGAAGCAGACGACCAAACCCCAGGCTTCACGACCAACGCTGAACTTTAGTGCCTCTTCAGAATCAATGCCGATCATGCCGAGGATCTTGACCAAGTATTGTGAGATCAAGGCGTTACCACTGAACTGACAGAAGACTCCAAGGGCGCCCGAGACAAGAGCTCGGCGACGCATGGCGGGGGATTGAAACAATTCAAGCCATCCACGTTTACGTTCCTCGTTTTCAATCTCGAGCGCTTTCTTAATTTCGGCGAATTCGGCGTGTGGCAATGGGTTGGAAGCATCGCCCTCAGCGTGGTACTTGATAAGGATATTGAGGGCCTCCTCCTGGCGATCCTTGGAGATGAGCCATCGAGGTGACTCTGGAATCATAAAGCAAGTGGCGACCTGGATAAGCGAAGGTGCAGCCTGTAGGATCGATGGCAAGCGCCAGCTCCAGTGGCTCTTGATCTGCAAAGTCTGAATGACGATACCGGCACCAAGGAGTGCGCCAACCGAGTAGAAAGCATTGAACATGGAGCCCAGGAAAGGACGCTCCTTAGGGTGGCCGAGCTCACCGAGAAGAGCTGAGCCAGCGACAATGGCGTACACGATACCGTGACCGAGGACCATTCGTGATATGATGAACATGGCAACTATGATATGTCAGAATGGAAAGTGGGGAGCAGACAATGGTTTCCTCCTTACGATTTTGGGAAAGGCCCTGCAGAATTGATCCGACGATCATGACGGCCGAGCCAAAGACCACTGACCAGCGGCGGCCGACCCAATCTGACACCAAGGGGACAAATGGAATTGCTGTGATGGCACCAAGACTGTAGCAGGAGACCAAGAGACCGAGAATAGCACCGTCGGGCTTGTTGAAGTAGCTCTTCCAATAGCTGAGGCCTTGGAGACCCTGTAGTAGTAGTTTGGTCAGTCATTGGAAAAAGAGATGCGAGTCTGGTGGAGAGGCTTACGTTCATCATAGACGAGTCGAAACCACTGGTGCTTTCAATGAACATGGCAAATGGCACCAGCCAGAGGTAGAGGCTGCGAAGGTTCTTCTTGCGATACCATGGCACTTTGTCGTTCTTGACGATGCCATCAATGATGGGGCTGTTTTCACCGCCGCCTGCCATGATTACGGGCGTTGCTGTAGGGTTTGATGGGCGAGTGAAGGACACGGTCGGGTCCTGAAAAGAGTTGACCCTCGAGCAGTCTTTATATCGACCAAAGGACGTCCATTATCCATATTCTGAGCAAGCGAGCGGGTCGCATATCGCTCTAGCTGCAACTCAGATAAATCGTGGGGATGAACCATGTGGCCTCTCACAGGACTTCTGGAGTGTAAACGAAGGTTGCATTCCTCCGTTGGCGTATTGGCAAACTTGGCAGCGGGTTGATTGATACTGAATATGGATCGGAATAGGGCATTCCCCCGGCTGATTGTGGTCAAGCCTGTTAAGCTCGACAAGCTCTCTGGGTGTGAAGAAGGGACTAAGCCAATCAGCCTAATAAGCCGACTGGGCCAGTGCCTCGTACAGCACCTTCTAGACCAGGAGGCCGAGGTAGCCAAGACGCCTAGTCAGTCAACAACAGGTGAGGCTCACCCAATATACTCCACAACCAGCCCGACCATTGGAGGCCCCGCAACCTCCGCAATCTGAGAATTGCCATATACATGGGGAACTTCCCCGGCCCTCGAGCTTTCTGCTTACCTTCTCAGTTACGGCTTCGCTCAAGTCGACCAAATCTGACCTTTACTGCGAGGTCGCGACTGTTACTAGTCCCAATCGTACTGACACCACTTGCCACCCCCGACACGCATCAATTTCCCAGACATCAGGCCAGAATTGGGTGAACTCTATAACATTTCCAGACCAAGACCACTATGCTTCAAACCGGGTTTCCTTCGATTCTTGGCTGGGGGATAGGCTGTACCCAATATAGAGTTCTACTTGGCGAGAATAGTCAGGCAACGGGGATGCCCCCCGTAGCACTCTCTGAACCGTATATCCGAACTCCTCACGACGCGGTGACAGCTGGGGGAGGCCGTGGATATCTTGATGATTTGCTCGGCTGCTGCCGAGTTAGGTAGCCGAGGCAAGACCGACCCTGCATACCTACCTAGCATCAGGCAGGAAGACGGAGGATCTCACCCCAGTGAGAAGTTCTCCTTCCCTCGTATTTGATCTGGCCTGCCTATCGCGAGCAGCGTCAGAGGCCCCGGGGCTACATGGTAGACAAATGATCCCCTTGTTGTCGCTTGGAGTCGCGTGCTGGCCATGAACGGTAGGGAGCTAGCCCTGATTTCCACGTTGAGTGATGGTGAAAGCGACCGGTTTGCAGTATCGAATCATACGCATTTACTAAAAATATGTCTCATCCATGATAGCAATGTGCTATTACAGAAAACGGTCGGAGCGCCTTGTAATGGTTTGAGGTGAGTGTTCACATCTGCTCAAGGCTGTCGTCACGTGATCAGGCTGCGTCTTGCTCGCAACCAGACAGCCTTGAACCATGGCTCACTCTGAGCAGTGTACGCATTCTAGATGTATTCAGATATAGCATTCGGTACACACGGCTAGGGAGCTACTACTCGAGAAGCGGGATCCAGATCAAAAGCGGTTTGACGAGACCTCGGAGACGCTCGCGCCTGGTGCTTTTAGTAGTCTCCTTGGCTCATTGACTTTGACCCACCGACACGGCTGGCGATGTGGTCAACCATTTGTGATTGAAAGCCTCCCGGAGATCATCAGATCAAAATCCTCAGTATATCGGATCATCTCCCCGGAGTGTGATGAACTCGAACAGATTGTGTCCAGTGTGGCATTCCGCAGGACCTTTTAGCCGCAGTACGATATGGGTGTTCATACTTGGCCCTTTGGCTAAGGGAGGATGGTGGGTACAGCGAGCACAGCGAGTGGAAGAGAGTCACAGACGGCCTCGAAGATAGAGTCGACTGTGAGTTGAGGTAGATGTGAACTCGCATTTCTGGCAATCAATTGTTGCACATCAAGTGCGACGTCGCGAATTTCCAAGACATACCCATGCACAATAACCAGTCAATGGCAAGAAAGAGAAGTCACGACAGCACTTGTTAATCTCCCCATCGCTATACAATACCTCCTAAGATCAGAACAAAAGAAAGGGGAGGTGTCGATCACAACTAGTGGATATGTCTCTCGCCATCAAATCCCAGCAACAGATTGATTTCCTGTCGGCAGTCTGCCGGCGAGTCATGCAAATGAGTTCAACAACCAAAGACACCACTTAAGGTGTGACAAGATCAATGAGCCCATCGTTGCTGCATGAGTAAAATCAATCTACGCCATTGTTTACCTTGCCCGACCATGGAGGGTGGGTGGAAAAGGTGATAAATCTGGCGAAAAGGGGTGTCTTTCTGACAGGCCGCAATTTGCATGGCATGCATGCAGAAGGAATGAAGTCAGATATGAGAGGGGATCCAGTAAGGATTTTGAACATGATTTGTGTGAGGGGTTCCAATATTCGTTCGGCATACTTGGTTGGTTGGTTGGTTGAATGAATTTCTTTTCTTTTCTTTTCTTTTCATTCAGGTGAGATTGAGATGCCACGTCGGGTATTTGAGACGCTGCTTCTACAAACCATATGATAGACGCGATCTTCCGATGAAAAAACCCCTTTGTGGAAAAAACCCCAGCGGGAAATGCTTCGAGTCACCATAACCTTAGCCTTTTGCTCACATCTCCTAGCCATCAACGTAAACATCATCTATTGCGACTTGGACTTGACTGCCTCACGGCCCTTGCCAACTCTCTCCAAAATCTTTTCTCGGTCCTTGTCGAGCTTCAGCTTGGTAACAACCACTTTGCTGGGGTGAATGCCAATGGGGACGGATTGACCGTTCGATTTTTCGCGAGAGACACGTTCGATGTGGACGAGGAATTTCAATCGGTAGACTGATGTGACTTTGCCTTCTCGGCCCTTGTTGGAGCCTCGGACGATGGTGACCTCGTCATCTTTTCGGATGGGAATGCTGCGAACCTGTTGATGGGTGTTAGACACAATTTCTCAAACTGACCCCTAGTTTCCTCGACCAGTATTGGGAATATTGGGTCTATTTCCCGGATAGATTTCATCGTACATTGTGCTTTTCTCTTAATTCTTTGCTCAAAGGAGCACTCAGGATGACTCGTCGGGTTGAGGAGGAAGCGCCATAGTGTAGTTTGCGAGACTTGCGCCTGGAAGCGGCCAAACCTGATATAGAGATTAGAAAGTGTGTCAAAACTGCATCAGTGCTATTGGTCGTCCACATACCGGAGTTTACTTTCGTCATGCTTGCGGTTTGGCGAAAATAAAGAGTGTCGTCGACGAGGGAATTCGAGGTTCAATGAGTGTCAGTGGGACTGAATTTGCAGCTGGCGTGGTAGGAAAGTGCGCCAAGATTGCGGTGGGTGGCTCTCTCACTTTTAATTGGCGGAACGGCTGTCAGATTTGTGCCAACAGTCCGCCGTAGCCCGGTCTTCATTTCGCATCCGTATGGCCCACCGTGGTACATGCAAATTGTGGGAGGCCCCGTCCATGACCGCGCCGCTCAGCGCTCCATCAACTACCTCTCTGCTCAAACATTCACGGCCAAATCAGTCTTTGTCGCGACGTTGTTTCCCGAGGCAATTATGACTGATGAGGATGCCTCCCGATACATCGAGTACCAAAGATTGACATCCAGCAGCAACGAAGCTGCGGTCGCGGTCGGTACTAGTGCGCCACGCGCTGTGCACATCTTCGCATGCGAACCCGTTCTCCATTCACTCGTCGCCTCGACAGAGAGAGCCAGAGTGCAACGGGTAATTACTCAAAGAGCTGGCCATACACCACCCGGCATGTCCCGTTTACCCAATGTCGAACTATGGCCAATACTACGATTCGAGGAACCAAGGCACCAACATGCAGAACTCCCTCCATGCCAATCAGCCCTCAAACACCAATAATAACCGTATGAACCAAGCATCATATTCCGGTGATGCGAGAAAAACAACTCAATCTCATTATGGGTCATCCGCATACGACTGGAGTACACGGGACGCTCAACCTTCACCCACCTACCCCACCTCCTCGCGACAATCGCAATATCAAACCGAAACGCGGAGGGAAAGCAGTGGCACTCACAACGGGTCTCATGGGCCGCGAATGTTTTTAAGCCAATACGCGACGCAGGCGGCTGCAGGGATGGGGGCGACAGGCCAGTACAACCCAACAACACCCAATACCCAGAGATTGAATCACCTGGCTTATGCATCAGGCCTCGACAGTGCAGACGCACAAGGTACCGTCCAGCACGGACGTCGACAAAGCCTCACTGATAGTGCTCAATACTTGAACCAACCCGTCATACATGCCTCACAGCGCGTACAGTCGCCCGTCAATCAACATCGAAACCAATTTGGGACTGGTCAGTCTATGAATTATCCCTACCATAGTGAAGCTGCGTCAGTCGCCTCTACTCAGGCTCCGGTAACAGCAGCAATGGCGCTTGCTGGTGCTGTCAGCCGTCGTTACCATCCGTCATCAGGCTCGACCGGGCAGTCCTTGGCTTCTCCCTCGATAGACAGCTCTAGATCTATGGTCCCCACTCCACAGAGAACAAAATCGCCATACAACCACATTCCAGCTCCTGTGACCAACTCTCGCCAGTCAATCAATCTCCCTCAGACGAAGTATCCAAGCTCCAATTACAATAGCATGGAGTCAGCCACACACCAGCCGGAGAGCAGGAATCAGATTCAAAACGAACGCCGAAAGACAAACATTCCTACGGCCAACCAATCTAGCCTTCCTGTCAACAGCATTTCCAACCTAGTGACACGTACAGACGCCGACGAGGACAGTTCCGCGACCTCGTATGCTACAGCTACTGACGCGCAAGGTGAAATGTCTGCCTTTATTGACCCCACGCAAGTATTCAACCCTTTCCATAAGGAGCACGAACAGCGCAAGAGAGAGATAGCCCGAGCTGAAGCCTTAGCTGCGGCTCAAGCTGCTGCTAAGAAGGCTGAAGATGAAGCACGAGCTTCAGCACATAAGAAGGCTGAGGAAGAGGCTCACGCTACTGCAAAGAGAAAGGCAGAAGCCGAAGCCGAGTCGGCAAGAAAGGCGAAAGCAGAGCAAATAGCCTTAGCTCAATCGCGGGCAGAGGAGACAACAAGAGCGCCGAAGAAAGCGGCCAAAGTTCGCCCGTCAAATGCGCAGGTTCAAGTCGCGAGCCCAGTGGTGCCTCAAGCTTCGCTTTCCAGCGAGGAAGAGATGGCCAGTGAGATGAAGGTGATGATGGAGAAGATGAAAGAGTTTCGATCTAAAGATCCGTCTATGTTCCAGAAACTCTGGGATGACATGCGTGGTGTTCGGAGCCCTGCAATTCCGGCAGCTACTCCTATGCAACCGTCGCCGCCCCAAGGGAATCAACTGTCACCTCTCCCGCCTCAACCTCGGCCAATGCCTCAGTCCGTCATTTCCCAGACCTCTACAGAAGCATTTCAATCGCCTAGCAATACATCCACACCACGAAATAGAGCGCCGAAAAGTGCTGGTGGTGTCCATGCGAATGGATTCAAGGTGGTCGTGGAAAACAACCCTGAGGGCTTACCCGATCTTGGTCGGTTTCCAGCTGAGAGACGCATTCGTGGTTCGTACACGAAAAAGAATGGCCAAGATACACCCCCAAAACAAGTAGGCGCTACGAATCGAGTTGTTCTGGCTGGTAGTGGTTCTGCACCAGTGGATGCACCTCTTCCCACAGTCAATATGGATGCTTCTGATCCGTCCTTGGTACCAGCACAAGCACTTGCCCTTGTACCCACCACCACAGCTACCGAAACAGCCCAGCCTGTTCAACCTGTTGTATTGTCAAGAGGTCTGCCTCCCAAGGCCCCTGGTGGAGGTACTATCTGGCCCGAAGATAAGCGGAATGCATTAGCAGTGGCCGCAGTCAGTTGTCTCAAGGACTTCGCCAATAAAGGATATCCTGGGAATGCGGATATAGAAATCACGCCACAAGACATTCATGCGATCTTGGAAGGGAACCCAAGTTACGTTGACTTGTGTGAGATCCTGGAGAAGAAAGGGTTCAGATTTCATCGAGGACAGTTTGCAAGCCAGCTTCTGGCCAACGTTCCTTTTCTCAACGGTGCCCCAGCACCTGCAAAGCAGCAAAGTCAAACCCCAGTCGCCCAACCACCAAAGCAAATGGCGCCTGTGGCAGAGTATCCACCGGTCCCAGCATCTAACACAACTGCACCTCACCCTACGGCCAAAGACCAGTCAGCTTCAGCGCCCCGACAGATTACCGATTTGACGCAACCAGGGCTAGAATTCATACCTACCCCGCCACCTCATCAAGCCAACGCACTGAAAGAAGGGCAACTGATGATCAAGCCTGAGAGGCCGCCTTTATATATCCAGCCATATGTACCAAAGTCAAAACCACCGAAGGGACAGAAATCGTTACTTACACGCCCTGAACCGCCAATGGGCTCGAAAGAAGCAATGGCTCGGAAGCGTGACTTTTCGGAATTGATTGACTTGACCGTGCTTAGCGATAACGAAGACTATGTGCTATCTAAGAAGCATGCGCGCATGGAAAACTCCCCACCAGGTCCGGACGCTTTCCAGGACTATCAGACACAAATGATACCTGGACCGCCAATGCCACCTCACAAAGCGTTTCCCTCAGGGCCTCGTGATGCGGCTGAGCCATTCAGGTTTCACCCTGGTCCGCAGCCTGGCCCTTATCCCGGACCACATCCCGGACCACTTCCCCCAGGTCAGAATGGATTTGTCTCTGTTCACCAGATCCACTCAACTGTGGTGCCTGCAAGGCCCTTGGTACTTGCGAAGCCTATCGATCGTGCCGAAGGGTTGACCAAGACTTACTACGACCCAAAGACAGTGGCGCGCGATATCCTGATTGCTTCTGGTCGACATCCCACAGAGAGACCTCTGAACGGTCACATGGCTGGTCTTCTGGGGAAGCATATTGACATTGATTCGGATCTGGCAACATTTGACTGGGATGCAATAGACCCTGGTGGACCTCCAATGCCGCAAGTTGCGTATGTTGAGTTTGGAGCAATACCACCTCAAAATAAACCTGGACAACAAACCGGCCGTGAGGCTCAACTTGGAGCTCAAAGCGTTGTTAGAGGAGGCCACGGAAGAGGGACGGCAGGCCATTCAACTTCGTCGAGTTCAGACAAGCATGCAATCAGTGCCAAGACCCAGCCGCCCAATCACACTTCTGTCACCTACAGGACTGCGCCGCCCATGATTGCCCCTCAACATGCACCCTCTTCAGCCTCTGCCATGTCGAATCCTCTCCGGGACGCGTCTGTTTCTCTGGTCAAGAGATTGGCTGCCCTACGTCAATCTCAAACCTCAGAGCCAGCGTCAGACAGTCAAAAGAAACCTGGCCATCCTTCCCGAAAGCCTTCGGCCTCGCGCCCTAAATCCTCCCCACACATTTCATCCGACCAGCCTGGCCCTGTCACCGGTGTCATTATGGCTAGCAACGATGCACCTACTGTCCCTCGTGGGCGAGGACGTCCACCAAAAAGCGCCACCTTTGATGCACCAAAGCTTGGTACTGCTGATGCGCCAAAATTCAGCAGTACTGGTAAGAGGATTGGACGTCCACCAGGTGCGAAAAACAAGACCATGTCAATCCGCGCGATGCAACAAAATGCGCGTCAAGTCACCTCTGTCACTATTCCTTCACCTTCACCTTCGACCCCTCACCTACCTCTTTTCAAATGTCGCTGGAAGTGTTGCCGTGCTCAACTTCACAACGCTTCAACCCTCCTTCAACACATCAGAAAGTTGCACGGCCAAGTGGAAGACAATATTGGCGAGTACGCTTGCTGGTGGAGAAAGTGTCAGTACCTGAAAGCAGACTCAGATGGCATGTGGCAGCCTGTGAAAACTTTCCTACATCTCGAAGACTGGGTTGAGCACGTTGCGCTGAATCACATTCACATAATCGTCCTGAAGCAAGGAGACGGTCCCTCAACCAAACACATCGGTAAGCGCAAGAAGCCGTCTTTTGACGTGTCGCATTTTCGTTTTGTGCCCCCGTTTGCTACAAAGACTAGAACATTTTGTTACTTAGATCCTCAGACAATCCTTATGGATAAAGCCCGATACCTTGCCGACGAAAACGGACATAATACCACTCCTATGATATCTACCCAAACCAACGAAGACCTTGCATCTGATACCATGGCACTCCTTCCAGCCTCCCATGATACTGAAGACGAAGCTGCTCAGCGCAGTTTCCTTAAGACACACCGTGATGATAAACGTGCTGGTCCTAAAGCTACTGCCGAGGAAACCCTACGTTCTTTGACGGAGCTCAAGACAAACTTCGGACCCGGAATGGCAAACGAAGGCTGCGTGTTGGCACGAGAGTCGGTCAAGACTAGGTTGCAACAAAACCCAGCCATCGCTAGGGTTGTTGAGATCGACGATTGAGATGGTACCCAGTATAAGCTCTCGAGGTCATTTATCGTATTAGGATGAATAAGCTAGACACTGATCACTGAGATCTCGGAACTAGTCAGAGTACAAAGAAAGCCCTGCGACAAGGTCTCGGACCCACGTGGGAATCACCAGGATAAGTCGCATATCGCCTTTCTCGCATCTCAAGATTAGGTCACATGACGATTCACTATGAGAATCGCACAATACAGAATACTGCATATCCACCACTTTTCTACTCATCGTCTTTGGTGATTGTAGAGTGCCATTGCATTGTGTCTGGCACTGCCTTTCCCATATCAGCCTGAGTCTCGAGAGAAACCCGTAGAGCATAGAACCCACCCGTCCGTAACTAGCGGCGCTACTGATTGGCATTTATTTGTGAAGGGTTTACATTTTGATCCCCTAGACACATATCTGCTCAAGCCTGGTATACATAGTATTTTCTGGGGGGTTTCATTCAGACCGGACAACCCTCCACGTCGCTTCGAGTCCACTTTGCTGCCGCCATGGTACTCTAACCCTGCACTGCCCGTCCGTGAGATAGATGGTATAGGGCTCGCTGCAGTTTCCGCTTCCGTTTCCCTGGCAGGTCGCCCATAGCTCAAGTCTGGAGAGCAGCATTCTCTGTTCTCGCCGCAGTCCGACGTGAGGGGTTCACTACCTCGCATTGAGCGACAGTCGTGGCCCAACAGCGTTCGCCAGGCTGGGTTCTGAGCGAAGAGAACAGAAGCTGATGTACCACGCTCTCTCGCATCGAGCCCCTCCCCTGATCCAATCTAACCCTTCCGCCCGAACCTCGCATTTCAAGCCCGACCATCCCACAAGGCAGTCAGTCAGTCTTCCCTCAAACCACGCAATCTCCTCGCCTCGCCTAGCCTCGCCTTATATCTTTTCATCTCTTCTCATCCCCTATCGGACCAGTCCCTGCACCCGTCGTCAAGCCTACGGGCTTAACAGCGCCAACACCACTCTTCTCCGACTGCAGGGCGTCCCCGCTGGCACCACTGGCCACACCACTCTCGGTGTCTTGGGAGTTCACCTCCAGGAAATGGTACAGCACGATCATCAGCATCGCCGCGCTGCCCAGGAAAATCGCGAGAGAGTATAATTGGTTGTCTGTGATCATGGTTGCTTGTGTACGTGGCTCAGCGGGGGGTTGGGAATGGGGGTGGGTGTTTTGCCGTAGATTGCGCTGGGTTGTGAATCCGATGTACTGCTGTCGGGTACCTGAGGCCGTGTATTGGAGGGAGGTGAGGCAGCGTGGATGGGGGTTTGGAGGATCGTGGAGTGGATGAATACAAGGAGATGTGGTTTCGATTGTTGGTTGCTGAGCAGAAGTTGACTGGAATTTCAAAGCCGATTTCTTCTCGTTTATCAGCGCCCTTCTTGTATCGCGGCGGTATACTGAAATGCTTGATACTGTGTAACTGCAAGACTTCTGACGTCCTGTTGCGTAGTCGCGATGAGTTCAGATGCATTGCGGGAACGGACAGAGGGCCATTTCTTACTGGCGGAACCTTTGGTCTTGGCGTGATGCAGCCTCGCCCGCAAGGCTGAGATTTGGACTTTCCCTGAACCCTTCCACTCTTTAAAATACTTTATATGTCCAATTTCTGGCTGAGTCCATGTCATTGGACCTCTTGTGCTCTGGGATACACAGTAAAGTACACCGCTTTTATTTTCCCCTCTCGAATATCCCATTCCACGAATCACTGCTCGGTTCAGGTGAGGTCTATGGTAATGGTCCCTTGGCCGAGGCCCTGCCATTGCAACATCATGATTTTGACAGTCGAAGTAGATGATGTTTTGAAGAGCTCGTGGTATCTAAGTATGCTACCTGCGTTGATATTCTTTAGGGCCTCCGTGCGTAGTAAGTGTAATCACGTGATAGTCACGTGAGATTGATTGTTGGGCAATCTTGCAACTCTTTGATCCAAAAGGTTCTCAGACCGAGCGATCAGTAGAGCCACCATCAGAAAATATAGGGCTGTGCCACGATATTTCAACCCAGTGCATCAATCCAATCTGTTGCCTGGTCCTTGGCTTGGATCAAAGTGAGAGACTCAGCCCAGATCGAAGCACTTGTGACGGTGCCTCTTGCTGCCCAAGTGGCTTCCAAATCTTTCCGAAAACGCATGATCTGGGAGAATCTGACCACATCCCATCGTTGCTGCATATCTTTCCGAACTAGCTCGATACCTTCTGGGTCATCTAAGAAGAAGCCAAGCGAATAGATTGGCCAATTGCCAATGAAACATTTCGACCAGTCTGGATCATCTTGACGGCCCCGAAGGATCTGGATTGCCTTTTTGAGCTGCCAACTGTCCCTTGGGGCGACCTGCGGTACTCCCGGCGTCCAGTCTCCGATCGAAATTTGATCCATCAACAAGGACGAAACAAGAACATAGAGATAGGCGGCGTCGCGATAGATGCCGGGACTGACTCGGACATCTTCATCCTCGAGATGATGGTCGGTTTCTCCTTCACTGAGCACCACGCCTTCCCATTCTTCCACCTCGCTTCTCAGCTGGTGGATGGCCTCCTCGTCATGATCCCATGGGTTTTGATATAGTTGTTTGAGGGATATGATTATTCTGAACAAGGCCAGCGGAACTCCAATCACAGGGCTATTGAAGCTGATGGATCGATGGGGATACAAGTTCGATTTAGCCAGAAGGCGTTCCGCTTGAAGCCAGAACTCGGTATCGAAATGATAGTCGAGTTCAAATGGGTCTGACCAGGCTCCCGTAACGACAAGGAAGACCTGGTAAAGCACGCTCTCGATTGCCAGGCGGTCAAATGGTCGACTGATATTTGACGGTCTGCTGAGGAGACGCATCCTCAAGATTCTCATGGCCGCATTCACGTGTCGTGGGATATCAGTGTAAGTACCCCTACCCATGCACTGTGGAGAGTGGAGTCAGCTCATGCCATCTAAAGCATTACCGCACCCAAGCAAAGAGGCCGCCCTAGCAAAGAGGCCGCGCTATACATATTCGCAGGAAAGGAGGGGAGATGGAACATACCCCGTGCAGATAAAGCAGCATCACGGACATCAATACACCATTATTGTCTTCTAATTGCGACACTCCACCCAATAATTCCGAAAGCCCCTTAAGAGAGTTCGAGTAATAAGTCAGGGAAAGTTCTTGCATCGCAGAGGAAGCATCCACAAAATGAAGGTGCGATGCTCCACACGCAAGCACGGAATATTGGAGACTCTTGTACTGCACCATCAGCTTTCGAATGTCGTTTATCCAGCCCCAGAAAAAATCCGGATTGCAATTCGGCAAGATTAAGAGGCTATAGTATCGCTCGCTGAAATGATTGAAGATGACGGACTCAATGTCATGGCGAAGCATTTCATGTGCAGTGGTCTCAGATAGTCGACAGAGATCGGTTCTTGTCGTTGCCATGCGAGAATCTTTTGTGAACGAAGGCCTTCGAACCAAAATACGGCTACTACCCGTGGTATTGGTAGTGGTGCTCGTTGGAGAGCCATTGTCGCTGATAGGTGAATCACTCGTCGGTGACGGTGAGGATGATTGCCTCGAGCGATGCGAAGCATGACGACGATCAATCAAGTCCTCCGAGGTTGGCCATTGACAACGACGCAACGACGACGTACAGTTGCTACATGATGGGTATGTCTCATCGCACTTCTTCCGTCGAGTTCGACCTGCCAGAGTGAGTACAGAACCCAGGTTTACCAGCGAGTATCGTCACAATGCAACACAAATACACCGCCTTAGACATGCTGCGTGCAACAGAGGAAACCTACATGTGAGGCACCCAGTTTTGGCGCGTAACTTGGTACGTCTGACTTCATTTCCCATCTCGAGTTGGTGGACTCAATCACTTTATTGCATATACAATGCCCTGGTGCAAGAACAGATGATGGTGGTACATGGCCACTGAGCGCATGCACAGGGTTTGGAAGATATGGATGCTCAGGCAAAGAACAGAGAAGACTTAAGACGAGGGAAAAGGGTTTCATAGATAAGAAGGCTCGGGTATCGGTTAAGTACTTGATGTAATACGCTTCGCCGTAAATACCCAGCTACTAACGAGGTCGGATCCTTGCCCAGCCCAGTCTCGCTAAACCCCGCAGAGGGTCTTGGATGAGTCTTCTGGGGCCAGGAGCTGTTTGTCACGGAGAGTTCCTAACTACACTCGCGCCATAGGCATTCTAGGAACTCTAGTAAATCTATTGTCGCGAGCGGCCTCCCGAATACCATCGGACCAGGTGCCCCGTGACAAAATTCTTATAATTTTCCCCGTTTGACTTGGGTATTTCGTGAGTAGGCGGCCGCTATTTATATCTAGCGTTATTCGTACTTCCACTCTAGTTAATGGAGTACCTTTAGTCCATTGTAACTTGTAACGCGTATGCTCGAGAGTAATATAGTACTTTAACGAGCCACTAGCCACAGAGCGAATAATACATGTAAGACCTCTATCCACCACATTTTTCAGATGTATGAGACGATGAAATCGACTTAGGAGCTACTAGTGACTATGTAGCCTATAAGGTGTGTCGTTGAGCATAACTAGTACGTTTCAACGATATAATGAACACGTATGAGCGATAATCAAGACGCTCACTTGCCCTCAGCGATGGCAGTATTAGCAGCAACCAGTTCCCGATACCTGGCAGCACTTCGAACACGGAAGCCCTTGCCAAAGAAGATCATGATCAGAAACGCGGAAGATGCGGCCATACCGACGAATGCCGCTGAAATGAAGCAATTCTGGTAGCCGAGGTCGGTCAACCATGGAGTAATACTGTTGACACAGTTAGAATTATACTAAGGGGAGAGAGAAGAGCTTTGGCACTTACCCATAGCTGATAGCAAAAGACATGGTGTTTCGCACAATAATGACCGTCACAATCGCATCACCACTGATGTCGTGATAACTATCAATCATATAATTGACACTGAGCGAGACACCCATGGTGACGCTGAACGCGAGTGTAGCCATACTGAAGATCAGTCCAAACCAATGGATCTTATGTGCGGCACCGACACCCCACAGGATGAGCGAGGCGGGCACGACGATCACACAGAGGGCAAAGGGCCACAGTCGGTGCTCAGCTTCCATGATGCCGTTGTTTCGTCGAGCCAATTTGATCGTCAGCCAGTCACTGGCTGGGCCTGAGAGTAATGATGCGGCAACGACGCCGATCACGCAGGCAACGTAGCTGGTACCGACCATAGACGCGCTGAAACCGTACGGGGCGCCACCTAGAATAATGGAGGCAGTGGCGTTGAGGACATTGAACCAGATCAAGTACGAGCCGTAGGAGAACCCGGCGTAGAAGATGACGGGCCAGCCAAGGTACTTCAGACTCCGGATTGCCCTTGAGAACATGCCCTGGCCGGGGTGAGGGGTCCAGATCGACAACTTCTGCATATATGTCTTTGGGGCGCCATGAATTTCACCGTTCTCAGTGCTGGTAATGGTCTTGCCGACGGTTGGATTCTTCTCTGCGTCTTCTCCGAGAATGGCCTCCGGAGGTGGAGACGAAGTCTCGGACACAATGCCAGATGCCTTGCGATAGTAATTGGTCTCTTCCATGAAGAAGAAAAGAAACACGAAGAGAACTGCGAGGAATATGGCAGGGAGGTAGAATACCCATTTGAAACCTAGAATATCATTAGCACGTCTGCGGCTTGTGGGTGCGAGAAGCCGACATACCAATACCCTCAGCAATCCAGCCACAAGCGATGGGAGTTGCATAATTCGACCCTGCAAGTGAGAAAGCGTATAGACCCATGTAAGTGCCTCGTTGATGGGTGAAATACTACATATTCAATCAGCCATAAGTTCTCGGAATACTAGTTGGGCAGTGGTGCGATCCGGTTGGCAGCACTTGCCACCACGAGGTTCTCGTAAGGAAGAAAATACTTACAATGTCGGTCACTGATATTTCTGGGAGGGCCTCAATAGGTGCAATGAAGAATCCCATGAGAATGCATCTTGCGATCCATTCTCCGTTGCTCTTGACATAGGCACTGGGAAATGGTAAGTCATTTGCGGCGCAAAGATCGGATCTAAGCCGGCTCTTACCTCCAAATACTAGTGCCCTATGATCATTATTAGCATGGCGTGCCCATTGGAAGTAAGGGATTTGGCTGCTTACGATGGCTCCAAGAACAGAAAGCAGATACGCTGGGCGTTTTCCGAATCGTAGTGCGAAAGGCTGCCAGAAGAGGAGACCCCAGCCTGAAAATTCATTTCTGATTAGCTCAAGTCTCTTTTGTGGCTATTCGCCTCCACATTGCGGTTTCTCACCTAGAAATAGAAACATGTACCCAGTTCCCTCATTGAGGGTAGAAATGGACACGCCTGATTGCACGCTCAAGGGTACTAGGACCGAGTACACCGTAGAGACAGCAACGCCAGTCCACCACGTATACCTTGATGAATCGTCAGTATATGTCTGCCATGGACTATAAAGGTATATTCTCACAGGTTCGCGCAAATAGTTGACATCAGCTTGCGCCGAGGACTCCAGTTGAGCGGATCATCGGGGTCAGATGAAGGGGAGGGATCGAGAACAATATCACCACCTTGAGCATGCTGAGCGCGCATGGAGTGGTCCAAGTCGACGAGATGGATGGTGCCAGGGACACTGTCCACATCAGTAGAGAGAGTCATGATGGGCAGATGTAGTATGATGACTTGGTCTTGCAGCAGTTTGCTAGAATAAGAGCGACAGGTAAGGGAAGCGTTGGGGATACTTATACTTGCGCGTTACACCCGACTATCTTTCTCCTCATTCGGAGAGAGTTATCATTACGGTCGGATAGCGTCTGATGAGCGGTAGGGATCTTAGTATACAAGCCTTCCCAGGTAGTTTCTTGGACCAGCAAACGATCTAGAATTCCAGCATATCTCCCAGAGTTTCGGACCAGTGGAGATATCTACGTTGACTGATAAGGGTGAAAATGGCTCTTTCGACGCCCGTAACCTACATTCGATTGCGAATGCTTACGTCCCGTGTAAAATTTAGAATGATTACTCGTATGGTAACCTATTCAACCGGAGAGAGAAGTGGTTTTGGGTAAAGTTGGAGATAGCAGAAGGCAAACAAACGGCGGCACTAGTTACCTCCTTGACAGGGGATGGAAATGAACCTGAATGGCCAGGATCATACGAGATAACGCCAACGTCTTGGTTAGGCTAGAGAGTGACACAGATGGGTGACATACTCGGTACCCCAGTTCTTCTTTGTCGTCGCGTGGCACTCATAGCTCCAGATACCGATGTCCGATAGTCTCTGACAGGGGTCGCAAATAACCATCATTGGCTACCAAGCAGCAGTTGAGCTCCCATCTCCGCCCATCGCCATCATCTAACGACAACTGTCCAACTAAAATGTTGGTGCAGGAGATAGTCGCTTTCGCCCAACCATCTAGACGTGTTCACGCGTCTAGAATGGTACTTTCTAAACAATTCCGTTGGGCGGAATCATTCCAAGAGAATCTATTGCATGATGGGCTGGATCCGCTATCTCGCCGTCATGAAATTGTTACGAGATAGCCCTTCCCAGTGTCAGCTACCCCGCGAGGAGGTTGTCGAACAAGGTTTGTGATCCCACTTGTGTTGATCTGTGTGAGTTCCGAGCGAGGATGTGTTCTCCAACTCGTATCATATCGTGGACAGCATCTATTTCTCTCGCCAGCAGGAGAGAAAGCTGCCTCCTTCCTTTCTCCCTCCCAAGTTTGACCACAAACAGCAGGAGGCGGGACTGACTCGATCTGTGATCATAAACCTATCTCGAGTCTGAGCAGCAAGCATCCAAGGACTGCCCCGAGTGTCTGCTCAATAAAGTACCTCGGTGAAATTTCATATACATATATTTCCTTCACCATGGTGGCTCAACTCTACCCCCTCGTGCAGTCCAAACCGATCCCTCAAGGAACACCAGAATATGAGGAGAAGCGTACGGCTCTCCTACGGGCCTTCTACGAGAAGATCCCCCGCGAGTACTATGTCTCGCAATCCATCATCGACAACCCACCGGCCGACGTGACGGGTATCCCTGCCAGCAGTGGCATCCTGACGGCTGAAGAGATCGAAATCACTGAGAATTACGACACAATAAGTCTGGCCGAAGCTATCGCCGCACGCAAATACACCGCGGTGACAGTCGCAAAAGCATTCTCAAAGCGCGCCATCATCGCCCACCAACTCACATGCTGCCTCACACAGTGGTACCCGGAGATGGCAGAGAAGCGGGCGCAGGAACTCGACGACTACCTGGAGAAGAACGGCAAAACCATTGGTCCTCTCCACGGAGTTCCTGTCAGTATTAAGGAGCATATGCCCATTGCGGGCACGTACTCGTCGATGGGATTCTTCAGTAGCATCGTGTACAACGAGCACGATAGCCAAATGGTTCGCATCCTCCGGAACCTCGGTGCGGTGTTTTACTGCAAGACGAATCAGCCACAGACGATAATGCACCTCGAGAGTGACAGCCATTGGGGCAGAGTATTGAATCCCTATAACATCCACCTCTCAGCTGGTGGCTCAACAGGTGGCGAGGCCGCATTGATTGCGATGAAAGGCTCCGTGATAGGTGTCGGCACCGATATTGGCGGCAGCATTCGTGGGTAAGTTCTCAAGAGTCTTCCTCGATTTCCAGTGAGAAGCCTCACTAACAAAATCTCCACCCCGAAAAAAGCCCATCAGCATTCTGCGGCATCTACGGCTTCAAACCAACCTCGTACACACTCCCAATGAAAGACTTCCTGGCCGGGACGTTTCCCGCAGAGCTCAACGTGTTGTGCGCCAGCGGACCCATGTGCCGCACACTTCGCGACATGGACCTCTTCACACGCTTGATCCTCTCCGCAAAGCCCTACCTAGAAGACCCTCGGATCGTACCCATCCCCTGGACCGGGCTCGAGACCGCCGCAGCACAAAGACCGCTCAAAATCGGCATCATCGAACACGACGGCTTCATCGACCCCCAACCGCCGGTGAAGCGCGCAATAGCATGGGCGCGCCAGAAACTCTCGGCGGCCGAACACGGCGGCAAGTTCCAAGTCAAGAGCTTCACCCCGTACGGCGCACACGAGGCGTGGACCCAGATCAGGCGCATCTACTGGCCGGACGCGGGCAAAGGAGAGATCGACCCGATCACGGCGGCCGGCGAACCGATGCACCCGCTGTCGTCGTGGATCTGGAAAGACGCGGAGCCACACGGGATGCTGACGGCGACGCAGGTGAGCGCGCAGCGCGGCGAGCGCGACGCCTTCCGCTTCGCGTTCGCTAAGGCGTGGGAAGAGCAGGACGTCGACGTCGTCATCGGCCCGGCGTTCGTCGGCCCCGCCTCCGCCCACGACACCGCCTTCTACTGGACCTACACCAGCCTGTACAACTTCGTCGACTACCCCGGCGTCGTGTTCCCGACGCCCGTCAAGGCCGAGAAGGCCGACGTCTACCCCGACGACTATACGCCGCTGAGCGACGAGTGCAACCATGTCCGCGAGTTGTATGCCCAGGCCGACTTCACCAATGCCCCCATCGATCTGCAGATCAATGCCCGCAAGTATCACGATAACGATCTCTTCGCGGCCCTGGCGACGCTCAAGGACGTTTTGGAGTTGCCTTGAGGTTAGACGTGGGTTCTCGTTCTGGTTCGCAGAGGCTTCCACCGGTATTTCACTTAGCACGTTCTCGTTGGGAAGGTCATCGATTTCACGTGGATGTGAGGGAGGAAACGAACATCAGGATCATGTTTTGAAGGATGAATTGTTCAGTATTAACGTGATATTCTGTAGTGGATCCTGACCCATATACACATATGCTCATTCATTGTTATCTTCAAAAGCCTGGGACCCAGTCATAATCCGATTCCAGTTCCATTGACCCGTTCTCCATATTTGCAGGACTGCTGGCCCTAGATGTGATTGCTCGAGAGAAAAAAAAGAACAAAAGTAAAGAAAATCCTCCCTGCGAGAGGTCAGGACAGAGCACAATGCTCTTTAAATGTAAAGACCACCAACACCGAGGTATCACATCGCTGCAATGCCAGAGAAACCATATAGACCGGAGGTGCTGTGCATGATATGTCCAGGAGCTGGAGGAACATAGTTCCCTTGGTACGGCGGGTTCTGCGCCGAAAAGTCTGCATTTTTGTACAGGGGGTTGATGATTCCGACGGGGAACTTGGGTCGAGGCGGAGCAGCCGATGCAGCGGACGGTGCAGAGGAGCCCGATGCTGGGAAGTAGGTTGAAGACGTTGAGCTCGCGGTGTCAAACTCTTGGGCACTCCAGCCCCATTTCTCCTTTAGGTCATCATGGATGAAAGTCACTCGCCAGCCAGTTTCCTTCTTTATCCTGTCAAAAATGGTAAGGACCTCTTCTTGCTCGCGACGGTCTGTGAGGTTTTCCCCGGCAACGGCCAGACATCTGATGGATGCCGAGGCGACACCTCGGTCTTTGACGTGAGCAACAATACCACATATTTGTCTCGAATGGTACACCTTCATTTCTTGCATCTCGGTCTGTGTCTGAGGTTCTATATCCTTGAGTGGGTGAACGCCCCCGAGGACAGCCATCGCCGTGTGGTAGAACAGGTTTGCGACGATTGTCGTCCGCTTGATCAGCCAAATTTCGGGGAATGCACTCTTGGATGTGGTCATATAGGTGGGGACATAAGCCAGTGCATGCATAGTAGGAGGGACACATTGATGCCATCTGTCGCAAAACTGTTTCAAACCTAACCACTGCTGGTGTCTTTGATGCAGACGGACTTGTTCGGCATGGACATTCGCTTCTTGGTAGCGTGGCTGGGCAGATGAGCGGAAATTGGTGATTTTTGATAAGATCCAGAGGATTTTGTGGGTCCAGTCATCCTCGTTTCCACCCATGTGCTGGGGGTTCATGGTCATATCGATGCCCCATGTGTCCGGATCCCAAGCTACACCCCAATTGAAATGCAAGCAGCTAAACAGTTCAAGGCCGACGTTTAGCCAGAAGCACGCAGAACCGATACCTGTAGCGGTGGCATCCCATCGACATTCTTTGATCAATGCTCGTGCTCCAGCAATATGATTCATGCGTTGAAGAGCCTTCTCGGACATGACCTCGTAGACGTTAAGAATGGTAGCCGTTGTGGCGCACAAAACGCTATCTCTGTCGGGGTTTTGAAGCGATTTGAGGAGCAGTTGAGTCGCGGAGTTGTAATAATTGAGGGCATGTTCCTCTGGGTAGACAGAGTTGACGAGGGTCAAATGGCGAACTCCACAGGCCAGGAGAGCATACTTTAACATGGGTTCCCTCAGTGCCTGGAACGGAATCCGACGAGAAAAATGCTTATCCGCGTCCATGCTATCCATCCATAATCCGACCTCCTCGACAAAGACCTGCATATACAGAACTTCATTTCGATCTTCTAGATACGGGGGAGTTTGGTCTTGCTCAGTGGTCACCAGAATAGGTTGCTCATAGGGCTGCCGTATAGATTGAGCAGATTCCGAATATGGAGCGAGGGCATTAGTTGCATCACCGTAGGCTTGGTTTGCTGAGCTTGTGTACATAGCCTGGGATTGTTCGGCGTAGGAGTTATTATAGGATGACGGAGCTGGGAGTTGTTGGTGTGGAATGATTGGTGCTGAGATTTGAGCATAGTCATAACCCAGGCCGGATACATCTAGTCGTTGTCGCTTTTGCTCTGGTTCCAGAGGATGGTACTTTTCCAACCCACCTCTATACTCGGAAGCAATGTCGCGAGAGTCATCTTGGAATGTAACCTTCCAATCATGTGTTTTGGGAAGTAAGTAGGGTGGGTTCTCGCATTGGATGTCGATGAAGTTCAGGCGAACCCCACGTTTACATTTGCGATTGGACTTTTTACAGTTCTGACAATTCGGTAAACCTTCGTCGCACTTGAGGTGCCTCTCTCGGCAAGTCAGACATCCGGTCCTAACACGTTTCGGCTTCGCAACAGGAACATCGTCCGGTTTTGGCTGAGGGGCAGCTTCAGGCTCAGTCATGGAAAGAGGACTGTGTTGTAGAGTTTGTGATGTGGGTGTCGATTTGGTCGACTGATCCCGAGCTATAGGAGATTGATCGTTGACGGCCGCATCTGCGGACACGTAGGGTGGTGTTAATAGAGTGGGGGTGGAGTACTGTGTTTTGTCCGAGGCCTGCTCGTCTTTCCGTTGTGATTTTGATTGGGTTCGATAGGCTGCGGCGGCTTGAGAATCGGAATATTGATATTGATATGAGGTAGAGGGATTGTTACTGAAATGGCCGTTGGGTGTGGACGATTGGGCCACAATGGGCTGATACGAGGTTGCGTAGGTGGGCGCCAGTTTGAACTCTTATTGCGGCTTCATTGCCGTCTTTTTTTGCAGGGAGAAGAAGTCTAGCTCTGCGGTCGTCGTACGCCTGCGATGGAATGAGGCGGTAGAGAAAGCGGTTGATCAGCTACTTTCGAGCTTGAGCAGAGAGTGAGTGTATCAGGCCGATGCGACAAGCCGGGGAAGAAAATAAGTCAATGGGTTGTTCGAATCGACTGGGCAGAGACACCGATGTCAGCTCGCGCAAAGAAAATAAAATGTCCACCAACCAACAAGTCGAGCCGCGAGAATCATGGAAATTGGACGGAAAGAGGATAATAATGATAAGTGTAGGCGACTCTTTGTGCAGTAAGGTCAGACAAATGTCTGTCGCACGTTGGACCCCTTTGGAAAATTGGAGGATAAGGCGAGGTGTTGCACGAGCAGGGCTCCTGCGACACATGACGACATAAGCTGACCCTTAGCACCACTAAAAGGATGTCGTACTCTCGCTTGTCGCTTGTCGCTTGCAATGGTGGGATGGAGAGGAATCAGAGTCGAACATACCTGATGATTATTGATCCAAGATGAGGTGTCGAGGACGTGTAGTGATGGAATGAGAAATGAGGTTGGATATTGATCAATGCTGATGGTAGGATATAGGTGCTTGTCAAGGTGAAGGTGAGGCGCTCCGAGGGTCCTTTCAGCTACTCGTACCTTTGCGTGGTTATTATGTTATTATGATTATCTGGAAATAGGAGTGATGGACTGGGACGGGCGGGCTGGACCGACCGACGTGATGATTTATTTGAAAAGGATGATGATGGCCATCTCAGTGACTCGGGTCAATGGGCTCTGGCTGAGTCTTCCAAACGCTCCATCCAGGTTCCAACCCAGCATGCAAAAGGCGACGCCCGAACGAGTCACTGCTAGCGGCTCTTAGCTTGCAGCCCGGCACCCCAAACTTGGGCCTGGACAGGGGTGTGTCGAGCCTAGGGATCTCATCCGAGCGAGCGCCATGACTTGTGGCGTGAGCATCTTCGGTTCAGCAGCAACTGCACACGAGCGGTGGCCGCCAGCCTGAGCCTGATAGTGTGGACTAGAGCCTATCCCTCCCGGGACCTTTACCTGGAATTTGCACCTTCTGGAGAATTATTGACCACCTAGTTAGCAGCTATCAGCATAAAACTTCCAGACCTCCCAGGGTCAACCCTACCCAGAACAGATATTGAGATTTGGAAACTGACACCCGCCGATTCGGCGATCTCAATGGACCAAGCTGCCAGTTGTTGCTGGGCAGGCCTAGATCCCCCGGGAAAAGTCACCATGATTTGTATTTCCTTGGTCGAGAAGGGAAGTTTACACGGCTATCATGGTCCCCTCGCCGTGCTTCTGGAGCACATCTTGCTCAATCTGTACAGAGGCTTCGCTCAATTGGGAGTCGATGCTTGGGCGCTTCTTCTTTTTCCAGATACACCCTGGTCTGTCACTCTGCTATTCTCGCTTCTTTTGCTTCTTCCATTTGGCACCCTGGTCAACACAACCCATTCATGGCTCATTGGGTTCGCTTCGTATCGCATGGGCGACACAAGCCAGCTGGAAAACCTTTTCGCCTATTGTCCGTGTTCGCTTGATTGCTGAACCACGCTCCCTAATAAGTAAGGGCCTGTCTTGAGCATGTCAGTGCTATAACCCAGATTGCCTTGCAGTCACGGTGGTGTTTGCAATGTTTCAGATCCCCACCCGGTGCTTTGTTCTTAGTACCAAGTACTTGCCCAGGTAGGAACTTCAAGTTCCCCACGCCACTTCTATTGACGAGTAGTAGGTACCTACGAGTAAGTGAATCATGTCACACATGGGTGCTCTGATCAGCAGTGATGGACCTTGAAGTGTCCAAAGGTATCTATCTACGCCGCAGGTTGCCGAGACTATCATTCTTCGCTGACTCCGGCTGCTCCCTGGCCTCCAACGGCTAGACCTTCACCTCGGGCCTTTCGCTTCAAGGCTCTCAGCCTGGAGTGGCTTAACCCCTGCTCACCCGTAGCCTTTTCGGAGCCTCCGGCCATGGCAACTGTCATCATCTACCGAGTATCCATTCCCATGTTGATTTCGCTTCCTCCACGGAACAAGGGCTTTAATTATCATCTGCATATCCATATCCGTAGTTTCATCGCATGCCTCTTTGCGTCCAAACTTCGCTTCAATCCTCGCCATTCTCGTCGGTGGCTTTTCTCAATCCACGTGGCACCCCCGAGTTGACATGTTTCCTCTAGTGGCTTCATACCTAAAACTATGGACGCCAAGGGCTTTGGAAAACCCTTTCCCCGGTTGGGGTCGACAGCCCAAGCTGAGGCTGAAAGGATTTGTATGGTTTCGCACTGAACCCTTGTCCAGCTCAACCCTACCACCTAACCCTCCAAAACTCAGCTGGGCGAAAAATAATAACTCCCCTTCCCCTTCCCCTAGTAACAATTAATCAATGGCCACTGATTCGCCCTCCACGAATCGCCTTGTGCATTCAACAAGCCTGACGAATCTCGTCTATCAATCAATCTATTGCACTGGTGGGCACCCGAGGACCAAACCTGATTTCTTTTGACGTACACTTTAGTCCCTACCCTACGCGGAAACCATGATGTCGCCCTTGATGATTTTGCGAGTCTGGTCCACCCCCTGCCATCTTTGGCTGATTGGTCCAACGGGTTTGAAACATCGAAATCATCAATTCGATCGCAGTACTACAACGGCCGTCTGAGATGAATAATCATGCGCGGCGGTGGTTGCTACTAGCCAGCTAGCGCACATTCTGGACACTGACTGATACTATCGTGCTAGTCTAACGGTCGGTGCTTTTTAGTCTCCCATCTCGTCGTCTCCTGATACTCCATTCTGGGTGGGACGAGGCACCAGGCACTCCGTAGTATCCGTACGTGAGGGCCCGTCGCATCTCGATAACCGTGCCTATGTGAGCCTTTCCCATTCCCAGCATGATAACTACCTACCAGTAGGTACATGGTAAGTACGGAGTAGTAGTATTGTCCTAGACGAAGTTCGTAGATATACCTAAGTGTCCGCGAATCGATTTCATACTAGACCTAGTATCTACTTCTCTATTTACCTTGGCACATAATTCTATATAATACTACTATGTTGACTACACGAAGAGTATAGAGAATATATTACTGCTAACTTAGAAGAATTAGAAGAGTTCTTTCTTGAGGAATAGAGGTCTAAAGTATAAGGATTTAGGTGAGGATATAGTGAAGTTGTCTTTGCAATTTTCGCGATTTAGACCTTTCGTGAATGGGAGGCCACCATTTATATCCCGCCATATTCGTGCTTCGACGCTGCCATGTCCACATCTTGATTGATAATCCCGTCGTCTACCTTATCTGCTTCAGATCATGCTTCCCTGTCGTCTCAAATTTTCCTGGTCGGATACTCTCCACGCCGAGCAAGCCTTGTGAGCCGTTGATTTTCGGCAATGTTGAAAATATGCTGGGTTCAGGGTCTCCTTCGTCATCGACCCTCTCATCATTACCTTCTTGCTTGCCTCTCAATCTCAACCAAAGCCTTGAATACCACGAGGGATCTCCTCTTCCTTCGTCCTCCGCGTACTCTTCGCCAGCAAGATCTTCAAGTGATCTACCTTTCGTTTCCGGGATCAGCAATGATGTCAATAAACCTAAAAACGCGAATGCTCCGAGTCTGTAAGGGGATGTTAGTCACATCATCGTTCACGTATCGGTACCGAGGGCATAACAGAATTCGTAGATCACGGATCCTATTTCCTGCCGTGTCGGCCGCCATACTCAACGATTGCAGGGTAGACAATCAATGATCCACGATATCTAGCATCCACCGGGTGATCGGTGATCTAGAGGCCAACTCACATTTGAATGACATGTGGTAGCCAAGGGGAAGCATCGGTTTCTCCCTCCTTGAAACCAACTCTTCTCAAAGGCCCTGCTAGGGCCTGAGCAAGCACTGCACCGAGCTTCCCGGAAGCTGCTGATATTCCGTGAGCTGTACTTCGGTATCTGGTGGGGAAGCATTCTCCAGCTACAATGAAAGTCGTGGTATTTGGGCCTTCAACAGATTGTTAGCAAGTTCCGGCCCTTTTGATGACGAGGATAACATACCAAAGTTGACGAAGATGAGTATCAACACGTACAGAGCGACTCGTGACGAGTTGTTCATTGAGTTGAAAGCGCTTCCCAAGATGAGAAGAAGCATGGTCATCATCGCAAATCCAAATATCTGGATTGGCTTGCGTCCGATCTTGTCGACGAGAAGAATTGAGAGGATTGATCCTGGAATGGCTCCTGCCACCACGAGTACCAGGTTTCCAACGGCACCGGTCCTCAATATGGTGTAGATGGTGTGTTTCGTCTCATGGGATACCCCACCGAAGCCCATTTGCTTGAGAAAGATGGTATTGTTCAAGAGGAGGGCATAATAGGCAACATCGAGGAAGAACCATGACCCTGCCGTGCCGATCAAGGTGAGTAAATTTCTTCTTTTTCCAAAGTATCTTTTGAAATCCGACCAGGAAGATGGGGGAATCGCTTCGGCATCAAGTCCGCCTAGGTTTTGATCATTCAATTGATTCCGAACATTCTCTCGGTCCGCTGAAACTTGGCCTTGGCCCTTCATGGGGCCTATGGTGTTCATACAGAAGGCTTTGTAATCTGCAAAGCCTTGTTCAACATCTCTTGTCACATCAAAGGTGTAACGGGGTGTTTCTGGGATTGTGAGCCGACAGTATAATGCGATGAGAGCCGGTATGGCACCAAAACCCTTTCCATAAGAGTTAGCACCGCCATGGTATGAAGTGAGCACTATCGGAAATTATTTGCACTTACTATGATGATCCTCCACATCCTATCCACAGCGATCTGCCCCTCGGCAGTTTTGGTACAGCGTTCTCCCAGACAGACATTGAATGAATTGTGGGTCTGGCTTTTGAATGACTCGATGACGATGAAGGCCACCAGACTTGCAAGGAATTGACCCAGAGCCTGAGTTGAAAAGACTGCTGCCACCATGGTCCCTCTCCATTTAGTAAGGGAATACTCACTCGTTATTACATTTGCCAAAGGATAGTCGCCTCCAATACCTAGCCCCATCAGAACTCTCCAGAAGACTAGCAGGCCAGTGATGCTGATGGCTGGCGAAGGTCCAGTAATGCATTGACCGAGGGTGGCCATGGTGATGATCAAAAGCTCATATCCGTACATTCGCTTCCTTCCAACGACGTCGGCAAGCCATCCGAAGAACAATTGACCAATAAGAGTACCAACAGAGGTGGTGACCTTGATCAGAGTGTCATCAGACTGCGGAATCTTGTTACCATTGTCGGGGAAATAAGTGAAACCGAGCATTTCCGAACATAGTCCAATAGCGAAGATCTGCCCAGGTCAGTGATGCGCCAGCGTAAGGGCCGACATTGCACACACATCATAGCTGTCTGTGAGAAACCCTGTTCCCGCAACGAGAACAGCGCGAACATGAGCTTGACCGAATGGACGGCGGTCAATATCTTGCAATATAAGACGGCGGCGAAGATTGGGGTCCTATTGGTCGCTCAGCTGATATTCCAGGTGCAAGGATATGCTTGCTGATAATGATGACTGTGGATTGGACCATGGTACCTGAATATCTGCGTATCTCTCCTCCAGGGCAGGAAATGCAGCGTGTCTACTTCCCATCGCACTCTAGTCGCAGAAGTATACACTGTAGTAGATTGGATTTGAGCAGTTAAGATTTATGGCTTATGTGGTAGAGAAAATCCGCGTCCACGAGTCTTGAAAGCTGCAGACATATGTGATACGGCATTTGGACAGAGGACTTGAGATGTAAATCTCGCAGGGCCCCTTTGGAATCAGCCTTACCGGTCTAAAAGGGGGAGTCAGAAAGAACCAAGCGTCGGCTAGCATATGTCGAGCAGGAGCTTGCACGAAAACCCCTCATCATACACGGGATTTCTATCATGTGCCAGCAAATCAGGCTATGCTGAGACATGGCTTTCGCAAGCTTGACTGCGTTGTGTTGCCTATTCGACTTCGAGAACGAGAGATTGAAAGTTGAGGTTAAGATCGGGCCAAGCAGCGGATGCTGCGCCCCGATCCCGAGGAGCTGCTTTTAAGGGTGGCGGTCCCCTAGGTGCAACCTCGCTTCACGCTTCATTTTATCCCCACGTTCCTGTTCACCACCATTCCATTGGCTCTTTCAACTTCACCTTCCAAGAAATGTCCTTATTGCGTTTTGGCTATCCTGCACCACACGTGGGAACATTCAGTGTGTTGGATAGGGCCACGGTCTACCTGGCAGGTGCTAGTAATACTGGCGAGGCCTATTACTCGTAATACCGATTACGAGGAAGGGAAGCAGGTGCGAGTCACGCAGGGGCCTCCTCATAAAACGCCCTAGTAGGATTCTTTATCAACGACCAGTAGTCATGTTTTTCGCGTTGTCCTACCACCGCTTGACGTCTATTCGATTCAATGTCGCGTGATCAGATCTATATTTTTTGTTCTTGGTTATTTTCAAAATTTCGGGCATGATTAACGGCTTGGGAGATATCTTTGTTCTCATCCAGTTGACAACTATCATAGCAAAGAAGCTCAACGCCGCCAGATATGCGCCTGCTGATGTGAGAGACCTGATAGAGGACACTCAGGCGTTTTCGTCAGTTGTGGTCGATGCTGACGAAAACATCCGGCGACACGGCGCTCTCCTCAAAGGGCATGATGCGTTGAAGAAGAATATCGTCTGGATCTTGCGACGCTGTGATGAAACGGCGCAAAAGCTGCACAAGATCGTTGTTGCATACGAGGGTATCGTTAGAGATGAAGGGGCCGCCACTACAGATGAGTCATCACGCAAGCAATGGGCGAGGGCCTTGAAGACAGTCTACCAATCAGTCAAGTGGACGACGATCAAAGATTCGGTCAAAGATCTCCGGAAGGAACTTCTACAACACATCCAAATCCTTCACTTTATGAGCCAACAGCTGTTGAAGTAAGTCTTCTCCATAGCCTTAATGCTTCTTCAAGACTGACGTTGAGAACCATAGTCGACAAGTGGATCGACTGGTGGAGTTGATGGGCCCGATGGGCATAACCATTGAACAAATCGGGCGCTTGCTCTCTTCCACGATGCTGAGTCCATCCATCCCACCTTTGTACGCCTCAAATCCCCAATCTCCTACGATCATGTCGCCCATTTCGAGCCCATTCGTCTTAGCTCCCAGTGAAAAACAAGAGAAGATGCATGAGTCACAGTTAGGCGAAAGGACAAGTCGGAGTCCTGCTCAGAATGGCGTCCACCAGAATTCAATACCGCAAATGGAGGATCTCGATCTCCCAGAGCCATCCATGGACTTGTACGACTTCAGTTTCGCTCACAAACTGGATCTTGACCTACCAGACAGCTTTGCCCATTCCACTCCAGGTGACGAGTATCGAAACGTGAAACTCGCTTCGAACAAGGAACAAGATGAATTTATGAGATCACTGACGGAAGGAATGGAGTATGTCGAATTGTAGGCCCTAGTCTTTTACCGGTCAAGGAGAGGTCCCTTTTACTGACACCCAGCAGTCCGATTGAATGCGTTGAATTCGTCTATCAGAAGACATCTACTTCAAATGCGGTCGTAGTGACTGCCAGCGATTCAGGAAAGGTATTGCTGTTGAAGAACGGCAATGCCGTGAGTGACATCTGGACTTTGAACAACGAAAAAACAATTCGTTTCCTTCAGAGAGGTAAGTTTTCGCTGTGTCCAGAGCCTTACGAGGGGCATGGCAGAATTCGTGGATCATGAACCGGATTTCCTACCCTGATCGCCCACCGTGCTCAACGATTACAGGGTAGAGTATTAGGTAAAGACGCAGTCGGAAGATCCACGAATGTTAACATCCGCTGGGTGACCTACTACATGTGTATACTGACTAAGTGGTGTTACAGTACCTGTGTGGGATGAGATTATTCCTTTCACCAGTGTTGGTGAGGAGTCAAATGCAGTGATTGAACAAGGAGCGGGACTACTATTTGTGACCTTTGAAAAAGGCAAACAAATTACGCACTCAATTCCAACAACTTGGGTGACCTATAAGTTCAAAGATCCGAAAGGTAGGTCATACAAAACCATCGACACCGATGATGACGTTGGCATGTCTAAACACCGTTTGAGGCCACAGATTGCAAAGAGTTTCAAGAACAACTTTATGGTTGGGATCTGCTCTTGAGCGCCCCAGTGCGCGAAATATATAAGCGAAACCGAATCAAGGACGACGATCACCTTGTCGGGTGTCAAAAAATACGAGTCTGGAAGAGTAGATCTACTCCAGAGGTGCGATTCCAGGTTCGGCTATCCAAGAAGAAGGGCAGGAAAAGATACCTGGAGTTTGACTGTAAGTCGGAATATTCCTCTTGTCGCTATTTTGGATAAATAAAAACAGTATGAGTGACTATGCTAACAGTCGCAGTGATGCAGGAAGCGCTCAAAGTGGAGGCTAAGGACAGTGGGAGGCGGTCGAGGCTCACCTTTTCCGGCCTCAGCCTTGCGATGGAGGAAGCAACACTTGAACGACGAGACTCGCTCAACTCTGTGTCTTCCATCTCGTCTGCGTCGTCGAAGTCGTCGATCATGCGCCGACTCTCTTGGAGTGAAAGCTCTGAATTATTCCACACCATAATTGTGTGTTTTGATGAGCAAAAATGTAAGTTGGTGGAGAATTGACGTAGATGTACAGCGGTATCGTTGAAGTACTAGCTGAGGCTGACACCCTTCTTTCTAGATCGGGATAGTCTACATAGACTTGTCTTGAATTGCCAGGCCCATTCTGATCTTTGAATAAGGCCATGAGTTGGAAGCATCTTGTTTCAAGCATACACCGGCAGCTCGTTTTGATTTTAGTTGCATGAGGTAGCAGTACTCGGAACGCGATAAAGCGGAAGGTCCAGACCCGAGCAGTTTACGAATCACCCCCAGTATCCGTGATGGAGACATAACTACCATGTATGAACATGGTACAATCTGCGCGGTGGCTAGAGTTATGTACCATTGAAAATCAAGCCCACTCGGCCTTGAGATAAGATTAGTGACATGTGGCGAGAGTGCTCCATTCGATTATGGATATCGACTTGGACACTAGAAGGGCTTGAGGCTCTTCAGAGCTACTGGATCATACCTAGGGGGCAAGTCAAGTCAAGCCCTTCCCGAAAAGCAGACACTTTTTGGGCTTGTAGGGGCCCCTCCTGGAAGATATCAACTCAGTTGGCAGTGTAGATTCCAGGAGTTCTCCAGCATCAATAACCACATCAGCCCGATAAAGTATACTCTTCTCACTTCCGTGACCTCCTAGAGGATATCAACTTAGTTTGCAGTATAGATTCCTGGAGTTCTCCAGCATCAATGACCACATCAGCCCGATGTACCCCTCTCACTTCTGTGACCCTCTCCTCGCTCCTGACAGACAATATCAAGGACCAAGTCCCGTCTTTGGCAGAGCTGGAAGACACATTATTTTACTAAAGTCTGCCTAGTAACAGAAGCGCAACGAAATACTATGCTCACCTTAGCGTTTGTTTTTCAGGAGCCGTTTTGGAGCTGTGCGGGGACTTACATAAGCAATGACACCCATAAACTCCTCGGACAAACGGAGATTGGGGCTCATTATATATTTTTAAGTTTCGAATTTTCGGCTTAAATTTCTGCTCCAGACGATGTCAGAAGTTTCCTACGCCTTAGTGGCCAAGTGGTAAGGCGTCTCACTCGTAATGAGAAGACCATCGGTTCGATTCCGATCTGAGGCATACGTCGTTTATTTGTTTTTTCAACGGTTGAAGTGTTGGTAGATTTTTTGCCCTCGAGGCTCGATTTATACTTAATATCACGTAAAGTTGTTAGTAGGAACGAGGGAGTCCTAGAGGATGTCATAGGTAGTATAGTCAAATCCCTGGAGTTCACCAGCATCAATGGTCGCATTACCCTGATATATTCTTGTCATTTTCGTACTTATCAGTAGTCAGTGAAGCCCCCAAAAAGACTCATACCCCATGACTGGAAAGAGACAGGGCAAATAGTATATCCTTCCGGCTGCTTTAAGAAAGGACTGTCGAATGCAGCCGAGAGATCCTGCCGTTCCAATGGTCTTTCAGCCTCGTCCTCAAGTTGAGAACATTTTAACAAGGTCCACAGACAGACGTCCTCTCAATTAGAGACCTCCTGGTGTTTCACATCGCCTTCTTACAGATGTCAGAAAGCCCACCTGCACCAACATACGTATTGCGCGGTCACTCATCCGCCGTCCATGCCCTCGAGTTCTTCGGATCAAACACCTACTTGGCATCCGGGGACACTGATGGCTGGCTCGTAATATGGAAGTTGTCATCCAAGCGACCGGTGGCTGTTTGGAAAGCCCATGAGGGTGGGCTGATGCAGATCAAGCAGTGGACAGGTGAGAGACTCATCACGTAAGTTTTAGTCATATTCACTATTGACCTCTTGATTACCTCTTTCGAAGGATATACTCTTATGTGTAAGCGAATAGGCATGGAAGAGATCACAAGATTCGCGTATGGCAACTACGAAACGAAGATTTTCCAGTGCTAAGCACAACGTTACCCAATGAAACACCCTCAGACCAGCAGGAGACTCAACAGCAGCCATGGCTCTTGCATTCGCTCTCGGTGAATGCCCTGAACTTCTGCGCTTTTTCTTTATGTGATCAGAACCCGGCACGGAAATCACTCTCAATTACTACACCCACGCCGCAACTGCTCGCTTCACCCAACGGCCTTGATTCTGGCGGGATCGATATCTTCCAGCTCCCTTCTGAGCGGCGCGTGTCGCAATTACAATCTGACCCATCTTTCAACACAGGTATGGTCATGGCAGTCAAATTATGCCATACCAATGAACCACAGAGCAAGCTACTCCTCATCTCGGGCTACGAGGACGGACACGTGATGGTGCACAGCCATTCCGGCGCCTTCGACAGCAAAGATCACACCTGGGTGAAACTCATGGTGGGCAAGCCGCATTCACAGCCCGTATTGTCACTGGACGTCTTACCCTCAACATCTCACTTCATCACATCGAGTGCGGATGCTATTGTGGCGAAGTTCGCGCTCGCCTTGGTCGAGACTGGGCGGGTAGAGAGTCAAAGCCCAGAGAAGTCAGTCAACACGAAACATGCCGGCCAGCAAGGCTTGGTTGTGCGATCGGATGGCAAGATATTCGCCACGGCCGGCTGGGATGGACGGATACGGGTCTACTCTTCTAAGACAATGAAGGAATTGGCCGTCCTCAAGTGGCACAAAGATGGATGCTATGCTGTTAATTTTGCTGAGGTGGTCCTAGATGACCAAAAGAATTCATCTGCAGAAGCAGCTCACTTTGGATCTTCTGATTCGACGGCGTTAGCAACGAGAATGACAGCACTGGATCACATCAAGCAGGAGAGAGAAGACAAGGTGCGATCAACACACTGGCTTGCAGCCGGTGGGAAAGATGCAAAGATTACGCTGTGGGAGGTGTATTGATAGAGATAATTTTATCGTTTTTTGCCAGACTTTATTGCTGGATATCTGTATTATTGGTTTTTTGTTGAGCTGTTTTATGGGAGAAGAGACTATGATGGCTCCATATGTTCCTCTACTTGAACTGATGCGTTGCAGTTTATGCTTCATGATTTTTCGACCTCGAGAGGCTCCAAGATGACGTTGTCAATCAATCTAACAGTAGTCTGCTCCAGCTCGTCGGCTGTTTGGGGCTTGTCTACGGGTCGTACCAACATAGCGGCGCTTAGGACAGCACCACGTCGAGGGTCGATCTTGTCTCGGTTAGGGATCATATTCATGGTGTCAGGATCGCTGAGAGCGATGTAATCAATCTCGAGGCGGGCGGGTCCACCAATTCGACCATCGTCTCCTTCTGCACAAGCTGCTTCCCGAAAGACCTCTGTAGCGGCGCTTCTGATGGGTCCTCCAACTAGCTGGCCAGATTTGTAGACATCCCTGGCAGCAAAGAGCGCGCGAGAAAGCACCGCGACTTGTTGGCGACGGCGTTCTCCCAGATAGACATTTCGACTACTCATGGCCAGACCGTCCGGTTCCCGAGATGTCGGGATGACACGGACCTCAGTAGGAATATGGAAGTCTTTGACCATACGCTTGATGAGGACGGACTGCTGAACGTCTTTCTGACCGAAGTAGACACGATCGGCCTGAACGATGTTGAACAACTTGGTGCAGATGGTGGCGACTCCTCGGAAGAAAATGGGACGAGAAGCACCTTCGAGGACCTTGCCAAGAGGAGTGATGGTTACGAAGGAGCCATCGCCGGCAATATCTGAAGATGGTGGTAACGTTGGATACATGACATTAACAGTGGGTGCAAAGATGCCAACAATTTTGGAATCCTTGTTGGGGGAGGATGATCTGGCGTGTTCATCTTGTAGCTCCTTCAACATGTTCAAGTCTTGCTCCCAAGTCTTGGGGTATGAATCCAGATCTTCGTGCGCAGCGAATTGCGTCGGGTTGACGAAGATGGAGATGAAGACGTCTGTATTTTCTTCGAGAGCATGCTTGACGAGTGAAAGATGTCCTGCGTGCAACGCGCCCATTGTCGGCACTAGTCCCACCTGTCTCCCTTCCTTGAACATCGTCCGACGCAGCTCGCGTAGTTGGGGAACATCACGAAAGACGGCAAAAGGCTCCTTCGCTTGTGATTTGGGAGTGTTGTACAAGGGCCCAGAAGTCGATACGGTCGAATTGGCACTCGATGTCAGCTGCCGAGCTGAGCAAGAGTGAAGTGCAGTTGGAATTCTACGACATGCTTGGGTTCGGAGCGCAGTGGTAGTAGTGATGATTTTCAGGCGAGTGGTGGCCATTGTTGTTCTTCCTAGGGCGGGATTAAAAGTGTCCTAGATTTACTTGAAGCTGCCGGATCAACAGGCAACAGCTTCATTTTGACGCGACGACGTTCAGATCAGGTCGACGGTGAACGTAGCTGCGCATGATGGAAAGTGCAGCGTGTAGTTGAGATTCATGTTAAGAAACCGAATTTCATGTTGCCGAAGCCTCGGAGAGTCGGAGAAACATGTTTCTCCAGGATGGTAAAGCAGCCTAAGATTTTTGGCTTACCAGGGGCATGTGAGGGGTTAGATGAAAGCGGCAATGCATGCTCTCCTTCTAGGCGATTTAGATTCTCCGCATCCAAGATGCAGCAAAAAAAGTTACAGAGGCTGCGATTTGCGTTGGAAATCTTGCTTGGACCATACCGGTACTTCTGGTACCGCGCAGAGCCTACGCTTTGCAACTACCTCTCCCCCTAAGCAAGATGGCTGATGATGGCATGCTACTCAATTTCTCTGTCAGTCAAGCACCTACCAGTAATCTACAGAAGTTCAAAGGTGGGTCATGGAGAGAGCGTCTACAAGCGAAGAGAAATGCAAGACGAGGCGGACGACCGAAATCCAATGACCCCAACAAAGTCGCAATAAAAGCAAGAGAGCCTCCTCCGCAACCCACTGAATTCGAGGACTCAAGACCGGTCAAGCGACGGCGTGAAAATGGGTTCAATTCCTCGTTTGGCGACCATACATCCCAATCTCGGCCTCAATCTCAAGGACGCAGACGGAATGAAGCACACACATCGACTGGGCCGCGTGAGGTCATTTCCTCCTTGTTCACCTACAATCCTAAGTCTACCATCGCACCCGAGCCACAGGATAAACAGCAAGAAGAGACGCCCGCCGTGCCGTCAAATGCACCTCTTGTGGATGGAATTGATACCTTTACTTCCCTCGGCCTCTCCACGACACTCGCAACACACCTTCTGACCAAGATGAACCTAAAGAACCCTACTGCCATTCAGAAAGCCTCTATATTGCAGATGTTGAAGGAGGATAGTGATGCCTTTGTCCAGTCCGAGACGGGATCTGGCAAGACTCTAGCATATCTACTTCCAGTAGTGCAACGTATCATGACGATGTCAGAGCAAAAGGGCAACGATACTACCGTCCACGATCCTTCTTTACACCGAGATTCTGGATTGTTTGCCATAGTACTTGCGCCTACTCGCGAGTTGTGTAAGCAAATCTCGGTGGTCCTGGAACGTCTCCTCGGTGCTGCTCACTATATTGTGGCTGGCACGGTGATTGGAGGTGAAAAAAAGAAGTCAGAGAAAGCGAGGCTACGAAAGGGCTTGAATATCTTGGTTGCAACGCCTGGTCGGTTGGTCGATCATCTCGAGCATACCAAAGTCCTCGATGTTTCATCTGTTCGTTGGCTTGTGCTTGACGAGGGTGACCGCCTGATGGACTTGGGCTTCGAAGAGGATATCACCAAAATTGTCCAGACGCTTGATCAGAAGAAAAGAAAAACAGCCAGACCAGGCCTGCCTGAAAGACGTACCACAATCCTCTGCTCTGCGACCTTGAAAATGAACGTTCAGAAGCTAGGTGAAATCAGTCTGAAAGATGCTGTTCTGATCAAGGGCGATTCCGACGATCAAGATGAGCAGATGGGAGACCAAGAAAAGAGAACTGACTCGGCATTCCTTGCTCCTGCTCAATTAAAGCAATCCTACATTGTCACAGCAACGAAGCTGAGACTCGTAACGTTGACTGCACTGCTCAAGCGGACATTTGCAAGAAAGGGCTCTGTAATGAAGGCAATTGTCTTTGTTTCTTGTGCCGACTCTGTAGAGTTCCATTTCAAGACATTTACACGTTCCGTGGAAGAGGGCACCGAAACGCAGAATCCAGTGGAAGACGCATCGTCTTCAGACCATGAGGACCAGGTACCAAGGACTGCGAAACCTGCAACAGCTGTCGACTCAGATGCTGTTTCACCGGCGCCTGCACTCTCGACACCTCAAAACCCTCTGACCGTTTACAAGCTTCACGGTTCATTGCCACAAGCCACGCGCACCAGCATTGTCAAACAATTCGCCAATACAACATCTCCATCATTGCTCATTGCCACCGATGTCGCATCTCGAGGTCTGGATCTTCCAAACCTAGATCTCGTTATCGAATACGATCCAGCATTCAGCTCAGACGACCATCTCCACCGGATCGGGCGTACTGCCCGCCTCGGCCGAGACGGAAGAGCCATCATCTTCCTCCTCCCAGGAAAAGAAGAAGGCTACGTCGAGGTCTTACAAAAATCCTACAAGCAAACTTCCGAGGCAGACACCAGCCGAAATGTGACCGCCATGTCGGCAGAAGAAGTCCTGAAAAGGGGCTTCTCAGCAGTCTCCGGCGTGGTCCCCACCAAGAACAACCGTAACAGCAAACAGGCAGACTCGGGCTCTAATCAGAACTGGGACGCCGTCGCCACCGAATTCCAACTGACGATCGAACGCTGGGTTCTCTCGGACCCGAAGGTCAAGGAACTCGCCAAGCGTGCCTTTCAATCGCATGTGCGCGCCTATGCTACACACGTTGCGGCGGAACGCAAGTGGTTCGACATTAAAGACTTACATTTGGGACATCTGGCCAAAGCGTTCGGGCTGCGCGATGCGCCTGGCCGCGTCAATGTGATCGGACAGGGTAGGAACAGCACGAGTGGCAAGAGAGGCCGGACCACGGGAGGCTCGGAGAGCCAGGCGAATGGTGCTGGTGAGGGCGGTGAGCAAGATGAGTCGGCGCGCAAGATGAGGGAGAAGGTCCGCACGAATAGGAAGTTGATGATGAGCGGTGGTGGCGCGGATGAATTCAATATCGCGTAAATAGCTGAGAGAGGAAAATATACATACGTGTGTGTCGTTTACGAGCGATGGAGTCTCTTGTCTGAATATGGCTTGCGACATTGGTTTTGGTTACATTCAGACTAATCATGCGCTGTGCGCAGATGCCTCTATCTGTTTCTGTTCTGTCCCACCCCTGTTTCTCGTGCTCAGCCTATCTATTCAGGCCATGTGCTCATAATCTCATCTCACGCTATTCTTTCACCGACAGGATCTGAAATCACACTATGGAGAGCCTCCGAAGATGCTGCGTTCTCCACTGATTACCTCTCTACATTTTCTCCTGGTCCGTCCTGGTCATGGCCCATGAGGGGCGTTTGCGAAAAACACCGTAGTGCCGAGTCTCACGTTCTCGATGGCCCGACACCCTAGTGAGCCATTTCTCTCCTTTAAGGCCGGTGTTCAGACCTGAAATACACCCACCTTGCTCCTCACCCCATCAAAGACACACGTCCCAGAAACTGGGACATACTGGCGGGTGATCAATTTGATAGCCTCCTGTGCGACCATGCCGCCAAGCACGCTCGAGACATTATGCAACTCACCTCCCGCGACGCGCTCGACTTCGGCGATTGCCTTGGCAATGTTCTCCTGTGTCTCCGTGTCGGAGGAGAATGTCATGAAATCGACGGGTGTTGACGAGGTGGAACTGGGGGCGTTCAGGGCGAGGAATATCGGGAAGAGACCCTCCCAGTCATTCTCGATAATGGAGGGTAGTGTTGCGAGGAGTTTGGAATCCGAATTCATGAGCCGAAGCGAAGGTATCAGGGTGGCTTCTGGGTTGGTGAGTACGCGCACATGAGAGGCGTTCTTGCAGAATGCTTCAATCTCGGCGTCTGGGATGGTAGAGAGATCAGTCTGGTTGAGTTTTCGTTCGAGTAGCTGGAGCACGGTCTGCTTCACTTCGGCGACGTCGTTTCTAGCTTTGGTTTTGTAGATGTTTTGCAGCTTGATGTACTCCTCGCTCGTGGCTTTCATGTCAGGCAAGGAACCTGGTAAAGGCAGCACACCATGGGTATCGTAAAAGACTTTAATGGCGTGTGCTATGACCCAGAAATTTGATGAGCCAGGTCCGATCTCGGTGGTTTGAGCCATGGAAAATAGGTTCTTGCAGCCACTTCCCACAGGTGGAGCCGCGATGCTCTTGAGGACAGCAGCTGTGGCTTCATCGTAGTTCTCCTCGCCACCTTCCGGATTGCTGGTGCGCGTGCCAGACCGGACAAAGTCGCGGAACTCGGTCTTTTCTTTGAAATTCGAAGGGTACTTATCGTCATGACTGGTCTTCCATTCTCGAAGGTAGTGCAGGAGCAGAAGAATATATGGAACATGACCGTGGTCGTGGTCAGACAGATTTGTGATGTCACCAAGTGCATCCACAGCTGCATCTAATTCGGGCCATGGCGCGAGAAGGCGGAGATCTTGGGTGGTTTCAGGATCGGGGTGGTTGTCGACAATTGGAAATTCAGATGGGAGCTGAATGGAGAATGAGGCGGAGAACCCAGCCGACTGAATATATATCAGTGGTATTGAACTGGTGTGAGCGTATGATGCAATTCTCTGGACAAATTCTGGCAGAATTGGTGCTGAAAGAAGGATGAGACTGTATGGTCTCAATGAGCCTTCCACAGGTAACCACTCAGACAGTGGTGACGTGATAGAGTGGCCAGACACATCTGGATTCAGCTCTAAGAGCAGACGAGTGGCTTCTTCTGCTCTGGGCTTGTTCAAGCTGTCTGTTTCGAGAAAGAAATTGATACCTAGGTCGGCCTCGCCCACCATGGTTGAATCTGCGATAGTAAATTGTCCCACACTTGGTAGAATTAAATTCTTCAAGGTCTCGATACCCGCAACACTGCTGTTGGAACCAACCGGAGTCTCACCGATGATAAGAAGAACGTGTGATTCCTCGAGAGCCCGCTGGCCTGAAGCAGCCCAGAGACGAAGCTGTCGGTCATACTTTTTCTCTTTGGCTGTCTGGCCCATGATGAGGGGTGGAGTGAGTTCTCGTGGAGCATCCGCCATATTGGTACAGTCTTTGAGGTTGCTGAACGAAAATTACGTAGATCATCTCCTGGTGCTGACGAAGTTGTAGATGTGCCTAGACATTCTTCATTATGGAAGTGATCAAGTGTGAGCAAGGCTGCCATAGATTATTGAAATGACACGAGCAAGATGACTTCGCCACGTGACAAGGCTGAGTTTACATCACGTGGCTCCGTCTTCCCCTCACCGAATTTGGAGGAACCCGTTGCCCTGCGGAATTTTGACCTGGCATTTAAGAAAAACATTTACTACCCTCCTCTGCCACTTACACGACCGCTTGTTCTAAAGCTGCGACTAGGGAACTAGCAGCAATTCTGGAGGGATCCTTGACAGACCGAAATGTCTTCCATGCGCAATGCAGTCGCACGGCGCCCCCACCGAGAACGTGGTCAAATCAAGTCTCGTGAGAAATGGGGTTTGCTGGAAAAACACAAGGACTATTCCCTGCGTGCCAAAGACTACAATCTCAAGAAGAAAAAGATCGCTCAGTTGTCTCAGAAAGTTCGCGACAAAAATCCAGATGAGTTCGCCTTTGGTATGCTCAGTCAGGGGAAGGCTGGGATGGGCAAGCACAAAGCCGGGACCAAAGCGAACGGGGAACACGGCGGCCCTCTCAGTCATGATGCGGTTCAGTTATTGAAAACTCAAGACGCAAACTACCTAAGGGATATTATGGCACGGGGCAGGAAAGAGATGGAGGAATTGAAAGAAGAGGTTGGCATAAATGCAGCGACTCTCGGTGGGAATGGACAGAGCAAGAGGATAGTCTTTGCAGAGGAAGATTTAGAAGAACCGCAGAGAAAGAAGCGCAGATCTGATGTGGACATGCTTGAGCCCTCGACGGATGCACCCACGATGGTTCACTCTGAGTTGTCCTCTTTCCAATCTCAATCTGCCTTCGAGACAGTGGGTGGAGCGGAGGATGAATCCATGGACATACCCAAACACAGATCGAAAAAGGCCCTTGCGGCAGAACAAGATGCGGTTGCTCGTCTACGTATGGAACGCAAGAAGAGGAAACGTTTACAGGAGGTACGGGTGGCCAAGTTGGAAGCACTGAAGAAGCGACAGCGAGAGATCATGGCAGCAGCCGACCAATTGGACCTTCAACGTGCGAAGATGGCAAGAACAGTAGGAGGAGTGAATAAGAACGGGGTCAAGTTCAAGGTTCGAGAAAGGAAGCGGTAGCCGGTCGACTTGCTTGATGGTATGGGACTTGTCTTGATTCTGCCTGCAATCTAAGATTCAACCGTCTACACTCCATCTTGTTACCCTATGGTAGATGCTGGAACACCCACCTGCTTTGCATCGTTACACACCTGCAGAAACAGCAGCAGTCTTGACATTGGTCCAATCAGGCTCTCTTCCCAACAACCAACCGAATCCTTCGACTTGCTCTTTACGGAACTTCTTAGAAGATTCCAAAAATGGAAAGAAGCCCCAATGTCCATGAGGTAGACCGGGATAGAGGAACTTCTTGGTTTTGATGCCATTCTCCTCGCGCAGAACTCGCTCATACACAATCGCTTCATCTCGGAGGACATCCATACCATCAATTTGGAAGAATGCTGCTGGAAGTCCTACATGGCCCTTTCGATGATTGAATGTGGCGTACCATATGTCGTCATCGTCGTCTGCTTGATACCCTCTCATGAACATATCCACAGCGGCTGCTGGCAGAACAGGAGCGTCCTTGTTCTGCTCATAGGAGAAGAGATATTTCTTGTACTTCTCGGGCGCTTTGCCCTGAGGCAGTACAGCGGGGATGGCAAGATATTGTCCAGTCAAAGGAGGCGAAAGTTTCTCATCGCGGGCCACATGGGCCAAAACAGCACTGATATTTCCACCGGCAGAGGTACCGCCAACGACAAAACCCGCAGATGGATCGGCGCCCCAAGATTTGGCATTCGCTGCTGCCCACCTTCATATCGTTTTAACAATCATCAACTTTTCCTTCGGAGGTTACAGCTCACCTTAAAGCAGCCCACGCATCCTTTGGCGCATAAGGAAATTTGAATTCGGGTGCCAGTCGGTAGGAAGCCGAGATAGCTACGACACCGTATGCCTGAACCAAGTTTCGAGCTGTCTGCTCTTCCCCCTCTGGTGCACCTATGCAGAAACCTCCGCCGTGGAAGAGAACCACAAGGGGACTTCCATTCTGGGGTGGCGTTGTTGGCTGATACAGCTTGGCCCTCAACAAGGTCCCGTCGTCTGCTGGATACTGGACTTCAGTCGTCTTGATCTCTGGGGGCGAAGGTCCCAGAGCTTCCATGGCGGCTGCATTTCGTTTCTCGACGAGAAGCTTGAAGTCGTCCAAATTATCATAGTTTGTCGGGGGAAGATTGGCCTTTTCGAGGAACTAGATGGACGGTTAGAACGACAAAGGAAGGGGCAACCGAAGATCGAATGGACAATACAGCTTTCAATTCGGGATCTATCTCTCCCAAAGAGAGAAGGTAGTCTTTGTCGAGGAGGTCGCCCATTTTTTCGGTGGCGTGCTACTGATCGAGGGCGGTGGATGGTCCTCCGAAGGCTTCTACGGTCTATCAAAGGATAGCAAAGGAAAGCGTGAGGGATACTGTCCACGCAAAGAAGATATAGAACTGATGAAGTACTTTCTCTCCCACAGACAGTCCTATTAGTAAACGAATCACCGGAGATATTCCTCTGCCTTCTTACCCATCGCGGGGTTTAGACGACTGTTGGTGCGGGACACATGGTTTGCACCATGACCTGATGGTGCGATTCATACTAACAGCATGCTTTGTGACCCCAATTCACGATCGGAACCTCGGTACGCCGTCGGATACCCGAGCCTTCAGCGACTTGAATTTGTGGGACGATCCCGTGATATTCGGATGTGGTCATAAACGTCACAGGTACCGAGCACGGCTTTTCAAGCACGCGGACCAAAATCTCCGTGATCATTATTACCAAAGAGTGATGCCCTCTGGACCCGACTGGTTGACACGAATATTGTGATATATAGTGGAGGGGATGTGGCATCACGTTGGTAGCCCTCATCTATCGAGGTCTGTCCACGTTGACTTACTCTGTTGGTACCGCCGTTGCTTGCCCCTCTTCCGTACATCGATATCAATTCGGCATGTCAAAGGATTTGAAGGATCTGGAGGATCTCTCAAACAGATGTCGCTTGTGGACAGTGGACAACTACGGTGATGATCTCAAGGTTGGAGTTGTTGACATCTAATTTAGAAACCCACGTCACGATCGAATCAAGCTTTTTTGATTGTGATTGATTTTCCGAACGAGGCAGGGAATGCGTTTGGGATCACTGCAGGGTTCAAGTGCTGGAGGCTGTAGGCTGTGATTCGTGATTGGTGACAAGTGAAGCAAAGCACTGCAGGAGAATTTGCACACGAACGATCATCCTAGCCGTCTTGGAGAGCTTTGAAACACTGGCCATGGGGGTACAACGATACTTTTCAGTGTTGTTCACCAGTCCACCACTTCACGTGGGGTGTTTAATGGGTTGTAGATGTTCTTCCGGATATACATAGATAAGATATATCACCACGAAGAGAAGGTTTCGACGTTTGTCACAGATTTTGCTTCTGGTGCAATCTCTCCGTGATCTGCCTCATGGCTGGATAGGTTCAAGCGCCAAACACGGAACAAGCCTTGCCCTTGACATTGCGAGTGCGGAACGGGACAAACCAAGAGCAAGCTCGAAGGCGGCGTGAAGGGCAGCCTGACAGATAGTGTGCCATGCAACGCCCCCAGCAGGGTAAACGAGAATGCTAGAGTAGAACTGGGCACGAAAATGACTTTGGGGCACACGGGGAAGGTGAGAAGCCTGCGAGGACGAACTAGCGGGTGGTAGAACCCTGTCCCCGGTAGTGGCCGTCCCTCAATCTGCCGGCTAAGGGGCCTTACGCACAAGTTCTTTAACTATCCTTAACTGTCGTAGTGTATTCCAAGGTTGTTTGATGAGCCCTGAACAGGAACAGTTTTTGCTCGTGTCGGTCGGGTTCAGGGTATCAAGTCAACGAGTTTGGTAACGCTCGGTGTGTTGCCAGACCCGCGGCAACGGATCGAGAAAGGCCTTGAGCGGCGATGGAACGTTTGGAATCCCTTCTGGTTCGTTCGAAAGTGGAAGTTCGATTGGCAAAGTGGAGAGAGAAGGATGCAGAAGGAGTTTGGGAGGGGTTGGGTGGCCAATCGAAGATGGTGCTGGGTCGTTGAGGTGGGCAATCTGGTTATACAGGCACCCTAAAGGTTAGAGAAGGGCCTAGGGCTCGTCAATGCTATCGGGGTCCCCTCGGCCGTCCGTCAGTCACTAAAGCATCCGCCAAGTCGTAGTTTGGTAGTACTGGATAGCAGTGGTTTGGAGGGGTTAGAGGGGGCTACCTCGTCACTAGCCCTCCGTAAAAAGTATCCATTTTGTCCACCCGCGCACCCGTGCGCCATCCCCATACCGCCAGTCTAAGGGCTACTAGGGGACCACCCAGGGTATTCTCATGCCTGGAGAGGTGGGTGGTTGAACCTGACATGCCAGCAGCACACCACCTCTGATCCGTGAGTCTGTAACCGTGACTCTGAGTACCTGCACCTGCACGACGAAACTTTGGAAAGTTGCTTCAACATTACTCACTCTTCCACAATCTCTACCTGCACTTCCATCACCTTTAGGCACGATCAGCACCTCCAGTGCTTTCTCTATACAAGTGGGTTGGATCTGAGCATCGTCTGCCCCCACCTCTCATTCTGCTTCTCTTCGCGCTGGCTGTCCTTCGCACCAAGAATTGATTGGCCGCCTGTGCTCCTCGTCCACCAACCATTCATCCCAATTCCATCTGCCAACCACCACTCGACCACACCTCAATCAAACCCTTCCAACAATAGCAACCACACTTTCTCTATCCAAAGCCTCGTGCCGTGGAACCCAGGCACTCCGTCTCATCTGTTCATCACCGTTACTGGGTACGAAGCCTGGTATTGGTACTGCTACCCGTACGAGTTCCCCATTCTTCTCCCCGTGGGCTCCCTTGCGCCTTCACACCGCAAAAACGTCCTAACTTTTGTCTCAGAAGCCCCTCGCTGTCCTTCCAGCTGCACTGTCACATCCTGTCATATGCTCAACTCACTCAATCTTTTATCATACAAACGTCGCTCTTCATCGACAGCGCCGGGCGCTGTTGTCCCTGTTTCTGTGCTTCTCACCGCACCCACATCCTCGATTAATGCGTTAAAGCACCCCTTCCCACCTTCATTATACTAGGTTCACTCCTTCAACGCTCCATTCCAATTGCACAGCGCTTAGCATGCTGGCTGCTCCGTTAGCCATGAACGGCGATCATGGTCCTATGCTGGACAAGAATAATATTATAAATGTACGAGATGGAGAATCTCTGTATCAAATTTGCATCAAACTGCGACGACGCTTGGCCGGTGTTCCTGGCTTTCAACCGTTTCTCGATGAAATGGATGAGCGCGAAGCTGAGGGTTTGACGGATCCCGTGTCCTCGTTGTGGCAATGCTTTCGAAGCGGTCTGCCCCTGCTGACCATATTCAATGCTTCCAACCCCGAACAAGATATCAAACTTGGCCCCACTCCCGCCCACAAAGTTGGAAAAGCCGCCACTATGCTGTTCATCAAGTCCTGCATGGAACAAATGGATATCCCCGTACAGGCCACTTTCAGTGTATCCGAACTATTTAGCGACAATACCACCAACTTTGTCAAGGTAACAAAGCTCGTCAATCGTGTGCTGGACATCCTGGAAATGAGTGGGAAATTGCCTGAACTGACGGACAGTGGAGAATCGCGTGAAGGAAGTGACAGTGGTGCCAGTGCTCCAGACCAGAGTCCCAAGACGATGACCCGGAGGCAATACATTTTGAGGGAGCTTGTGGAGACGGAAAGACAATACGTTCATCATCTTCAGAACTTGCAGGCACTGAAGAGGGAGTTGGAAGAAGTTGGCGCATTGGGAGGTGACGCTATCCACAATATCTTCCTGAATCTGAACAACCTTCTGGATTTCGCCCAACGATTTCTCATTCGAGTTGAACAACAAAATGCAGTCCCTCCGGATCAGCAAAATTGGGGTCGACTGTTTGTCCATTACAAAGATCCCTTCCGACAGTATGAGCCCTTTATTGCCAATCAGCGGAGATGCGAGGCCACTTGTCAAGCGCAATGGGACACCATGGTTGCCACTGCCAGATCAACCTTGACCCGGCAAATGCTTGCAAACCCCACCATTCTGAACGGCTTCTTATTGAAACCGTTCCAGCGGCTGACCAAGTACCCACTGCTATTAAAGGTAAGTTTCTTTCATTTTGAATCCAAGATACGTGCTGAACACCTTTCCCCTAGGATCTACAAAATCAAACCGAGGATGAGACTCTGAAGAAAGATTTGAACAGCGCAATTGGTATCATTCAAGATGTGCTCATGCAAGCTGATGCTTCAATCGACAAAGAAACTCGAGACGATGCTCTACAGGATCTACAGGAACGTATCGATGACTGGAAGCAATTGCAAATCATGACCTTTGGTGAACTCCTGCTCCTGGGCAGCTTCAGCGTCATGAAGGACAGTGGACTCCGGTCCGATGAGAAGGAATATCATATCTATCTTTTCAGCCGCATATTGATCATGTGCAAAGACGTCAACGCCAACAAGCCAAAGAACAGACTGGCAAATACCCGTCAGACGCTGAGTATGCGCGGAAAGCCAAAGATGAACTTGAAAGGGCGGATCTACTTCACGAATGTCACAGGGGTCACACCCCAGTCCACTCCCGGCAACTATTCGTTACAAATCTCCTGGAAAGGTGAACCGGCGGTGGAAACGTTCATCATCAAATTCAAGAGCGATGAGACCTTACAAAAGTGGCACACCATGATCGAGACGCAGCGTTCATCCTGCATTTTGGAGGCCAGAACGAGGGGGACATCTGAGACACAGCTACTTTCCCTTCAAGGAATGAACATGGAAAACCCATATTTGAACTCACAGGATGACGATGAGGACTACAGCAGGATCTCTGGGACGACATATGGCGGCACCGATACCACTGGATATTCCGAATTTAGTATGAGCAGAAATGCGTCAAGCACCAGTCTCCGTTCTCGCTCTGCCACCGGTGGTAGTGGAGGAAGTAATCGTCCCATGCGCATTCCCACTTCTGAAATGGGTGGACTAACCTTGAACACTCGAGGTTTACCTGCTCAATCACCAGGAGACTATGCGGGCACTTCATACTTCTCTCCTGTCGACAGAGACTCGTCAATTCCACCCCAATCATCTATATCTTCGAGATCCAGCTCGCAATCTGCATTTGCGGGCTACAATAGAGGAACCACGCCGGTAAGTGCTGGCTTATACCGACCTGAAGAGTCGCACCGGAACACTGCACCTGCAATGGCACGGAATCCCAATGGACAAGTGAATGGCAATCCATATCTAAGCAACGGCGCTCGATCACGTGGACCACCATCAGCGGGGGGAATGGCTCCCCGAATGCGATCGGCCAGCAGCCCCGATGTCCACCCTATGGTTCAACAAGGTCGCAAATACGTTTCAGGCGAACATGCTCCCAGTGTTCCGCCGATTCCTGCACACATGGCCAAACAGATGGGCGCTCCCAACAGAAGCCAGAACAACTCTCCGATCAATAACCCACCATCACGAGGGAACACTCCACACCAGCAATATGGCTTGCCTTCAAGTCAGCGTCCAGCAATCCCTAATCATGGCTATACTTACGATCCGGCATATGGAGGAGATCCAAGAAAACCAGGGCATGCGACCTCATTGTCACAAGGCAGAGCCTTCTCTCCTCCTGTGTCATCACCCTCCAGTGATGGCGATCCGTATCTCCCAACCCAATTGAAAGCAAAGGTATGCTTTGATGAAAACTATGTGTCGATGATCATTGCCAGCAATATCCAATTCCGGTCGTTGGCAGAGCGGATCGACGCGAAATTGGCGCGATTCACGAACCATTCCATATCATCTGGTTCGGTCAGATTACGATATCGGGATGAGGACGGTGACTTTGTTCTTATTGACAGTGACGAGGCGGTCCACGAAGCATTGCTGGATTGGCGTGAGACCCTGTCGTCCAATCCCAATGCACAAGCTGCAGAGCTGCTGTTGTTCGCGCACGTAGTGAGTGGTGAGGGTTCCACAATCAGTGCCTGAACCCAGATGAACTGAGTCCACGGCTTGGAAAGTTAAGATTTTCCCAAGTATAAATGGAAGGGACTGGGACTCCATGCAACGAATCAGAAGACCTCATTTTGTCCCGAGTCTTTGGAGCCAACCAAGCAAGCCATGGATGGAACACGTGAGGTCACTGTTCGACATTGCCCAGCAGTTATATGGCTACTCGAGGGTAGATGGAAGACGATCTGCACCGGTCGTAAAACTAAGGAATGAGGTAATGAATTGATGGGTAATGAGATTGGATAAACGCCATGAAATCTGAGTTTCACATGCAACACGGCGTTCAGTGGTGAGTCTATCATTGGTAAGAATAAATGAGGTCCTTGGGTGAAAGGAGCATCAGATATGGCGTTTTTCAATGGAGTTGGTCTCGAACCGTGGGATGATGTTATATGTTCATCGTTCCGATGCCGTGCATCTTCCATGCGTCTACCCTGCTCACCAAAAGAAATCATGCAACGACAACCATGATGATGAGGGGAGTCTATGGAACCGGCGTATAGCGTTTTATCTTTTTATCTGGAGTCGGGCTCTAGCTATCGTGATATGACTCTCAGTGGATGGGAGTGGTGTCTAGCCTGCTATATTCTATGCAATATACACTATCTCCTGACTTACCCATTACTGTTTTTGTCACGTGTGGCCTTTGTCATTCTTATCTCGAGCTAGAGTGATGCTTTTCTGTGGTTGCCCAATCCTGTCCTTGCCACGATCTACTTGTTCCCCCGACTATGGGCAACAGCTAAGTATCACATGACTGGGTACTAGACTAAGGGCAGACACGAGGATTATATGTCGAGGTAAACTCGCATTAATTAATCATGGCTTCTTTGCTCACAGAACATCAACCTAAACCGGAGGGAGCCGATGTCCAAAGTCTTTGAATCCTCAATCAGCTCTTTCCCTGAAGGATCTCCAGAACCTTAACAGACAGCGGATGCGCACTGTTAGGATTCTGACCAAAGATCAACTTGGGCGTCGCGACAACAACATGAGGCTGCCACGCCTCGGGATTTTTCTCATACAGTCCACCACTGCGCTCGTTCAGCTGCTTCTGCAGATCAAACGGAATGCCATCCGGCGCGACCTTAGTCGCAATGGCCTGCTCCTCCTCGAGATCACTGAAGCCGGTGACGGGGTGGCCCTTGAGCAAATACGAGCCGTCGGAGAGCTTGACGTTGACGAAGGCGGCGGCGCCATGGCACAGGCCGACGACGTACTTGCCGGCCTCGTAGAAGTCCTTGATCAGCCCGATTGACGTCTCGTCCGTGGCCAGATCCCACATGGGCCCGAAGCCGCCGACGATGAAGATCATGTCGAACTCGCTGGCGCGGCCCGCGTAGGACGACAGGAGCGCCGTGCTCGTCCAGAGGTCTTTCTTGGTCGCGAAGAATTCTTGACAGTACGCGTCGTCTTTGAATAGTCGCACCGAGATCGGGTCTACCACGCTGTGGCCCAGTGGGGAGGCGATTGTGACTTCAATGTGCTTCTCCAGCACTTGGTAGGGGTGGGCGAACTCGGGCTGTAGTGTTGTTGTTGTTCTTTGGTCAGTCTCGTGTTGAGATGAGATTACACTTCAGGTAGCAGGGTTCGGAGGAGAAATGTCTACTTAGTACTTACGAGATACCATCCTTGCTTCGCGGATGTGAGGACAAAGAGGACTTTGGTCTTGGAGCTCATCTTTTCAGGTGCTTCGGAATGGATCTGGGAGTGTGGAATGGTAGACTAGGGAAGGGTCAGGCGAATTCCTTATCGGAGTCTTGTTATGATTGAAAGGAGCAGATGAAGATGAGATGGACGAAATTGGAACGAGATCACAGAAGAGATCCGTGTTGTTTATATAGAGACCACGGTCAAGTTTTCTATTTACCTTGTCCCAGCCACTTGCACGTAAACAATCCGTGTCATCGCGCATATCTGGACGTTCGTGTTGCATCGTGCAGGAATTAGTCAGTAATGCAAGCCAGTACCCATCGTTCGCCCGATAGGCAGCCAGTGTCAGTTCTCTCGAAGACTCAAATTATGGATATCCTAGATTCGTATCCAGGTGGAGAAATGACCTATTTCGACTCTGATGATGTTGCCCAGCGAATAGATCTGGCTGTATCTTGTGGTTACATAAGACAGTCTAGCGATGGAAGCGACGAATGGGGTGCCTGAAAGATAGCCGCTAACCTCTTCTAGCACAACCTTGGGACTTCGTGATTCGCTAACTCGTACTACATCTCGGTACGCTCGCTTACTCGTGAAGTATCCAATATCAACTGCAGACTCATCGTGTTTGGCTTTACATTTGGCTTTACTCTACCACGGCCGCACGCTATAGTTCTAGTCTATTGCTGGACGGTGGTTTTGAGGTACCTTCAGAATCTTGTGGTACCCAAATCGATGCCATGTTCGTGAGCGTGAATCAGCATTGTGGAGCACCACTGCTAATATCAATCCCTCAAGGTTGGGAGCCACCAGCGAATGTGAGAGCGAGGTTAGCATTAATAAGCTTTGTACAGCGCACGAAGATACTGGAAACATGATCAAGAACGTGCAGGGTTACGTGCAGGACTCCCTGGCACGTTGGTGTTGCATTGCCTGTAACAGGATCGTGAGCCTCATGCAGCGATGCAATGCATCATCAAGCCAGGTGCCGATCGAAATAAAGAGACGACTCCACCTGCCAAATCATGCTTTCTAGATCATGAAGAGAGTGTGTCATTCACTCTCCCGGGAATCAAGAATCTAAAACACGACGTGCTCACGTTGAAGCCTTGGTCGCGGCATACCAGCGATCCATTCTGAGTTCTCCTTTTATATCTCATCTCCCATCTCACCCACCTCACCATCTATCAAGCCGGGATATATCGAGACTTGGTGAAACATGGCTCCTAAATTAGAGTCCGCATTCACGATGCGAGCATATCTGTCCAAGGAAAGCGTCAAACTCGATGGGATCAAGAGCGGACCATCAAGACTCGTTCTGCCCATCACACACGGGTTCGTTCAGGGCTCAGGACTGACTGCGAAGGTCTTACCTGGTGGAGCTGACTGGCTACTGGTAAATACCGTCTTTCCTTTTCTTGCCCAGAACAATTCTTTCGTCGTTGTCTCTTGTTGGGACTCAATATCTGCGTTTTGATTTCCGTGTCAATTATCTCGATGTCTGAGAATTCTCTCATGACAAAAACATAGCTCGATCCCTCGACCAACGTCGCCCACCTCGACGTCCGCACTCAAGCTCGTACTGCAGATGGCCACAGTCTCTACATCCACTACCACGGCGTACTGAAAGTGGACGACGCGGGAAGCAAAGCACTTGCGGGGGCGGCAGACGCGAAATCGACGGATTTCGGTGATCATGAGTGGTTTGCAGGCCCGGTTATTGAGACGGACGATCCAAACTTCAAATGGGTCGAGACTACCTTGTTTGTTGGCCAGGGGAGATACGTTATTGATGACGAGGGCTCGGCGGTTGAGTATCAGATATATAAAGTTGTCAATTAATGCTGTCTTTGTAGCATGGACATGTTATTTTATGGATGCTATGTCTTCGAGGTGGACATTCCATCAAAAGGTCAAAATTGTCAAGCCGATTTTATCCGGATAATTTCCGCTCGATCACGTGGCCGATATATCTCCGATCGCGGATATTGTGATTCCGACTTTCTTTCGCATCAGAGAATTGCAAACAATTGGGTGGTTCGTAATATTTCTACGTGCTAGGCCCGAAGCATTGTCACTGAATTACCGCAGGCCATGTATGAGAAGCTCAGGTTACAAAAAGCATCCTCATAGACCGAAGTAGGTTTTCGATATCAGCCTGTATCTTGAAGAGTCCGGCTTCACTCCGTGCCAACACTCAGAGTCTCATCATATCTCGATCAGTTGACGATATTTCAAGACCAACGCTTCTTCGTTCATACAGCTGGCCAGGAACTCCAACCGAAGAAATTAACAATTTGAGACGTGGTCGAACCACCTCCCGCACCAGTCATAAAAAGAACTCCATCCAAGTACCGCAAAAATGGCACCACCACCAACAGCAGCACGAGGCGCTCCTGACGCCGCAGCGATGAAAAGCCGCATCATCACACACATGAACGCAGATCATCAACTATCACTGCGTCTGTACCTGCAGCACTACTGCCACGTGCCCTCCAGCGGCACGGCTCAAGCCAGCCTGGAAGACATCACGACGGAGCACATCATTCTGAACTCTTCGTTCGGCAGACACGTTGTCCCGTTCGAGCCGCCGATGAAGTCGCTCATGGAGGGCCGCGAGAAACTCGTCGCCATGCATCAGCACTGTCTCAAGGAGCTCGACCTCAGCGATATCGTCATCGATAGTTATCACCCTCCCAGCGGCGTGTTCCCGTACGTCCTCGGAGCACTCGTCGTGTTGATCTGCACGACGTTTCCGTTCCGCGACAATCTGCGGCCGGAGTCGCGCAGTCTCATCTACGACATTTGGTCGGTCGGTGGACTGGTGCCCGGGTTGGCTTGGCTGAGCTACCAGCTGGCTCCGGCGGTTCAAGCGTTCATTTACATTGCCCATGGTGTTGAGATGCTCGTTTTGGCTCGTGGCCGCTTGAGGAGACATTGGGTCGAGACGTTCAGTCGGACTTGGTGGCTGTGGCTTGGCGAGTGTTCGCTTGTGGGATACTCTGCCTTTCAGCACTTTGATCGCACGGTCAAGGCGAAAGAGGATGCGAAGGGTGGGAAGGCACAGCATTAAGATATGCTCTCGCTCTAAGCATTTATTCCCGGACGTGGAAGGCTGCAGAATACGAATAGAATCATCTATTAAAAGGAGGATGTTAGTCTAGGACGGGAAGCTGGCACCACCACTGGAGATCAGAAGACCTGACATAAGAATCTTCGTGCTCAAGCACGAAAGACCACACTGGTGGGTTGAATTTGAGTGTCTTCACTGACAGACGAGTAACCATGCAATCATGTATTGTAAGTCGGCCTGGTCGCTAGAAGATCAAGAATCCTCTCAAATTCATTGATAGCGTTTTTGTAAGTGCTAGTTACCAGAGTCTCCACTTTCTTCAAACCAGTCTCCAGATCAACATTCAGCACGCCTGCTTCATGTTTAGGGTATAGCATAGAGAGAGGCTGGCTCCTCGACAGATGTCATTGTGAAAGATAAATATTTACAACGAACGCCTTGAATTAAAACCGTCCTCAGATCCCGAATGAATGCTACATAATCACTTTCGCCCCGATCCCAATGTCCAAGCACAGCGTGGGGACTTCGCCGAGTCCAGTTCCAATGGCAGAGTTTGCACCGCTGACATAGCATCTATCATTATCAAACACCCCTTCATGCATGCCCAATCTGGATCTAACGCTCACAGACCAGGTCGTATCCCACGAGCTCAAGCCAAATTTCTTGTTTACACGTTACAGAAGTGTTGAACACGTAACACGTAGCGACATGACAATCCAATTATCGTTTTGCACCATTGAGCTTGCCCTGCGAAGGCTTTGGAGACGGTATAGGCGTTTCAGAGGACGATTTCGTTCGTGATCGTTTCGAGCTATCGCCAAGGTAGTCGTTGGTAAAATCTCCTTCCAATGTTCGGTTTTGGCTGTCTTCGTCGTCAAAGTATTGCGAGTTCTCGAGGCTTTCTGCAGTGTCATCTACTTCGATAGATTCTCGAATGGAGTCTCCCAAGCCCGACTCTTCTATGCTGTCTCGCGAGAGATAGCTATCGCCCAAATCATTTTCTGATGCAACTTCTGCCTCATCCTCATCATCGAATTCATCTTCGTCGTCGTCTTCTCCCTCAGAGTCAGTGGGTACGAAGTTATCCAGGTCAGCAGGGTTCTCGCGCCAGTAGGTAAAATCGGTATACTCTTCTCCGCCTTCCTTAACAAGTGTCGAAATAGGTGGGAAGAAGTGGTCGACAAGCTCACGCATGGTAACGTAGCTACTTCGATACTTGTTCATGGTCAGCAGGTCCAGTGAAACCTCGGCATTGGAGTTGATGGTGAAGATTCGATATGATGGAATATTGACACTGCGATAACTTAGGGCGTCGGTAAATCGATTACCAAAACCAGCGTAAAATGGATTGGTTTTTCCAGGAAACAGTCCAAGGATGTCTCGTAAACAAGCCATCTTGAATACTTCGGGCTTGCGAAGGTAGATCTCGCGACGCAAGGCGGCAATGGTCCGATCTGGACTCATGATAACTGGCCCGCGAGGCAGTTTCCAACCATCTTGAACGACGCCATTTAGGTAAGCTCTGGTGGTGTCCGCTTGGCCTACTGCCCGGCTGGTGAGGTAGAAAATGTTGAAACCGTTGGCGACGATATCTGAATATAATTTGGCCACACCGGCGTGAGTCCAGTCACGCCCTACATAGGTTAGGATATGCCCAAGAGCATCAGACTTTGTGATGGTTCCATCGATATCTGAAATCACAATGGGGACATCCCATTTCCAGTAGTACATGTAAGCAGTACATGTCGCTCGATTCACCGTGAATGACATGGTGTTTTCGCCTGATCTAAGATTGAGACTCTTCAGTTGATCACTTGTCAGTCGCAAGGTTTTGGCGAAATTCCGGCCCTGCTCACCCGACATACGAGGTGGAGGCTGATATTCTTCGGACTGAGCACGTTGATGACCGTGGGGTTGTAGTTTAGCATTAAGTAGTGGGGACGGACTGCGATCACTATCACTATGGTAACCAGGATCAGAAGCCGTGTCGGTTTGTGAGAAAGCGTTTGTAGCCTCGAGAATGCCATTGTTTGCCTTTCGATTGGCAGCATCCCGAGCTTCTTCGCTACTGTAGATCCAGAGGTTGCCCTGGTCATCAGTACCTATGAGGGAGCCGATGTCATAATTCCCTTCTAGTTCCTCGGAGAGGAGTTTCCGCGCCACGGCTTCGGCTCGGAGTGCTTCATCTTCACTAGTCTTGTAGCCGGTCATGTCAAGCATCAAATCTCCAGAATCGGTCACCTTGGAACGTATGTTGGATGATGACAGTTTCTTCGACAAAGTCATGGCTCTGTTGTAGGCTTCTATCGGTTTCAAAGTCGGTGGACTCGACGAGGATTTCGCGGTGTATGTTCCATCTGGGTTACGTTGTGGAGAAACGGCGACACCGTTGTACTGGAAAGCTCCACTGACAAGGTCTAGATGTTCTCTAGTGGTGACAGGAAGAACTTCTTCGGAAGCTGCACGGTCGAGAGGAGGTGCTACCAATGCTGCTTCGGAAAGCAACGCATTTGGGAGACTAGAGGAAGATGTAGACGATTGGTAGATAACCATATCACTGAGATTGGTGCCTTCTCTCCTGATTGTCGGTACTGGGGTCTGGGAGAAGGCCAGGTCCAGTGGATTCCGGGTCTTTTCGGAAATATCTAGAAAGGATGGTTCAAGTAGGCCTGGTGATGGTGGTCTGTCAGAAGCAGAAACTGGTGGGCTACTCGCGGGAGAGACCAAGGGCGACGTTTGGAGATCTTCTGGAATGTCGTTTGAGGTTTCGAACACAAAAAAGGCTTCCCCTCCGTCGCCGAGCTTCATGGCGTAGTTCTGCTTGGCGCCGTTGACTTTGAACTCGACCTTCTTTTCAGAAGGACGTAGCAGGGAAAATTTCCCAAATCTGACATGGAAAGGGGAGCATGCCAGAGTGCCATCTTGTTGTTCAACAACGACAACATCGATGGCTCCAGACAGCGTGGCCGGGTTGATGGAATTCCAGGTTTTGGAGACACCGCTCCCTAAGCTTCGGACGTACTGCATGATCTCAAATCGGAGATGGGATGACGCTGTCTGTTGCTGAAATGCAGAAGAAAAGTTTGAACAAGTCGAGAGCTGAGGTTAGGATCGGTACATGCCTTGGAAGCCTGATGACGTTAACACATGGAAGGAGCGAAGAATAAGACGGTGCCGAGGTTAGAAGGGCCGAGGCGATAAAGTTCTAGTGTTGACACATATGACAGGCAGTGAAGGCGAAGATATGATTGTTTATACATGCAATGATAAAACAGTGACTCTGGCGAAGAAGAAAAGATGCAAAATCCAGGACCCGGGATTGGGGATGTGAGATACGATGGGGACGGCTAGAAGCAGTGGGGGACATGAAAAAGGATGAGTGAGTCTGAGCCTGAGCCCAGGGAGTCTTATTATTGGGGGTGTCGTGACCTGACGTGTCTGACCTGAGCTCAACGTGAAATTAGAGTCTCGGGCCATTACGTAGGCTCGCACGTGACGGTGACCGCCGCGGCTGCTTTTCCATATCGGGAGTAGCTTATTCTGGGCTTCACACGTGATATGACTGCTTGCTCGCATCCCAGTACAAGGTCGGGGTCGCCGGAAAGAAGGATTTCTTCGCTGGGAGGCAGTACCTCGGGTGATGCTACTCCAATGGAAAAAAAACCTCCGTCCTTGACTCGATAATTGTCCGCATTGCGGACATCTCCAAGCAGCTATGGCTTCAGGATTGCCTCTTTAGGTGGTTATGCGATAATGAGAATCCTCTCCATACAAAATGAAACGAGATTCTCACCTGGCGCATTTTGATGACGGGCTGCCTTTTGCCTGCACATGCGTCTGTATAAATATATATTGCATTAATCCATGCTCTAATCGTCTTCGAACAAAATATTGGTATACGATCGGGCGAGATCAATCCCCTTAGGCAATGGACAATAAACTCCTCCGGGATCCAGGCTTGCCTGTTGCTAATCCCACAACTTCTGCCTGGCAGCAACCCTTGAACAGGTCGATGATTACAACGACGGACCTCCCAACACATCAGGACGTAGTTATCATCGGTTCAGGTATCACTGGCTGCAGTATTGCATGGCACCTGCTACATCATTCCGAATCTTTGAAAGTCACCGTACTTGATGCCAGAGAGATATGCTCCGGAGCAACGGGTCGAAATGGTGGACGGATCAATTGCACGGCTGTTCAAGACTTTGACAAATATACAAAGCTTTTTGGACGTGAAATGGCTGCTCGCATTGTTCGCTTTGAACTTGCACATTATCAGTCCATCAAGGAAGTCGTTGAAAGTGTCGGCCCTGAGCTTGTGTCCAAGTCGGAATTGAGATGGATCAATGCGGTCTACGCTGTCTTCGAAGATAGCGAGGTGGCCGAACTCAGGTATATGCTGAGATCCTTCGAAAATGCATTTCCTGATCTGCAAGGCCGCTGGAAGGTGATTGGAAAGGAAGAAGTGACAACGGTAAGGACTGTTACATTTCTATTCGGGAAGCCCTGACAGTCCTGTAGAAGTACGAAATCAGCAATGCCAAAGGCGCTTTAGTCGGAGAAGCAGGAGCTGCATGGCCTTACCGCATGGTTACCGGCGTCTTCGAACACCTTCGATCTTCTTTTCCTGAGCGATTTTCGTTAAGCTCCAACACACCTGTGCAATCAATACACAAAACAACGGATGAGCAGCATCCCTATTCTCTGACAACTCAAAGGGGCACCATCCGTGCCACGCACATCTTCCACAGCACAGAAGGCCATGTGGCACATCTTCTCCCTCGCCTGAGGGGAATCTTGGTGCCTCGCAGAGGTCAGATGACGGTCCAAGACGCCCACAACGTTGTGGCAAAGGACAAGCTCCAGTCGTGGTCATTGATGATGCAAGGGGTATTTGACTATGCTACGATGAATACTAAAACAGGTCTGGTTTATATCGGAGGGGGCGAACAGGAAAACAAAGATTATTCGATGGGCGTTCCATCAGACGCCGAAGAGGATCTGGCAGCGCTCGCACACCTTGGCGGTGTACTACCTGCGGCATTCGGGGGCAAAACTCCCTGTGAGCGAGCGAGCCATGTGGAGGTGCAGGCTTCATGGACGGGCATCATGGGCTTCTCTCTTGATCACGCTCCGCTGGTGGGGATGCTGCCACAAGAGCTCCTGGATCGTCCAGCCGGGTCGAGCACGTCTGCGGAGTGGATATCGGCTGGATACGGGGGCTATGGGATGGTCAACGCCTTCCTATGTGGAAAGACAGTGGCGATGATGATGCTAGGACGTCAAGACCAATACCCCGAGATTCCGTCGGTTTATCTGATAACAGAATCCAGAGCTCGCGCTTTGAGTGCTAGACTTGGCCGCATCACGTCTTGGAAAGACCATGTGCAAGCCATGTTGTAGCGGATAAATAGTGCTTGTTCTGGTCCGAGTAGGACTATAGTGTCGGCGAATAGCCTATTTATTCTTGATAGTTCATTAGCTACCGAGTAGCTTCTATATATACTATACCGGGGACTTTTAGATAAGACTACTCTATATAGTACAACTAGAGTATAAGCATAGGTTTTCTATGAATTTAAAAGTATGTAGATAGAATATTCCTGGAACAATAGGAGCCTAAAGCACGAGAATTTAGGTGAGGGTTTTCGCTATTTAGCAATCGACTTGTCTTTACAAGATGTTGCAATTTTCGTATTATCATAAGGTTTTGTAACGACCCATCCTCTCGTGCTCAGACCAGAACATTCCCAGCTTGAGCCAAATCTAGATTTTGAAAGACGCAAGCGATCAAGGTTACTGGAAGAAAGGTAGTGTTCTGTTTCAACACTCCATCATTCATTTCATCCATGCTATCTTACTTATAGTTACTTTCCGCTTGATAATGGTATCAAGCGCAAAGCCAACGGATCTTCAGAGTGATGGTGTAACTTCCCTGGCGCGAAGCAGCTTCTGGACTTGAACACCAGCCTGTAGTCCTTGTTCTATGGCCCCGTCTATGAAGCCTCTCCATCCTTGAGCCCAATCTGCACTTGCAAAGTGTATATTGCCTACCGATTGCCTCAGCACAGGCAACGCTTCTTCGGCTTCGCCTGTACGAAACATGACCCATATACCTTTGGTGTAGGGGTCTTCAGTCCAATTATGCCAAATCTGTAGATCGTCAGCGCTGCATCTGAAGATTCGAAGACCGGTGTTGATTCTCACAAGTCGTTTGACATCTAGCTGCGGGTTCACCTTCTTGAAAGCTGCTACCGCCCTTTCGGGATCCTTCTCAGCAACCAGCTCCATATTCTTCCCATCTCGCAAACTAAAACAAACCATTCTGGCGTTACCCAATGGTGTACACCCAGAAGATGCCATGAATTGGATGCCGCCGGTCAAATCCGAAGATGGCGAGATGAACTGCCATGCATCCCATTCTGAACCTGCTACCTCTGCATAGATCTTAGTCGAGTTACCCTGTGAGACTTTCTGGAAGCAAGCGCCCTTGTTTTCCGGTAGCGGCGGCTCCCATTTCAGGCTGCCCAGGATACTCCAGGGAATGGTTGAAATGAGGTGTTTTGCGGTATATGACTTTTTACACGTCGTGGTTACAGTTACGGTCGAACCATGGCTGGATATCTTCGCGACGGGACTGCAGAATGCATAGGAAAAGTTCGGGGCCGATGCCACGTCGTCAAATATTGCTCGAGCAAAACCAGTTTGCCCGCATGCGAGCTTATAGGTGAATGTGACGGTGTCGATGCCATCAGGTACATGGCCAGCGAGTGACCACCAGCGCATACAGTCCCAGAACGACATCTGCGCAAGGTCCATGCCACACCAATTGATCACTGTCCCCTCCACAAACGCGAGTTCGGCGTCTGTCAGTTGTGACTTGACCTGATTTAGTCTCTCTCGTACCGATAATGCCCCCAATTCGCGAAATGCCTTCAGATTCAGAGTGTCTCGGTTGGGAGTTGGCATGACGATTCGCCCATTTTCTCCATCGACGTCAAAGAATGTTCTCAGCGCCTTCTCTCTCATTTTCGACTACTGCAGTCAACATGTGCCCCGATACCCATAAGTCTGACAATTGGGTGCCTACCTCATCTCTCGGGGATAGATTAATCTCTCCGCCATCATATCTCAAGGTGGTGTATGAATTTTTGTCGTTCACAACCTTTTTCACTTGCAACTGTTCAACGAGACCATATCTCGAGATCTCGCTGTACACATGTGGCATAAACCAATGCATCCAAGTTCCACCAATATCCCACTGCTGACCATCAAACTCTGCACTGAAGGTACGTCCTCCAATGCGATCCCGTGCCTCAATCAAGAGTACATGGCGACCTGAGTGGCCCCTTCATCAGTATGAGTGCCATGGCCAAGGGACGTATAGATACCTCGAGAAGCCAGCTCTCTGCATGCAATCAGGCCAGCATATCCGGCTCCTATCACGATCACGTCGTAGATCTTGTCCCGCCTGGCGTTGTGTTCTGTTGGCGTGACCACAGCTGCTGTTGGGAGACCTGTGGTCAAACAACTACCAGTAGTGAGGTATTGAAAGCCATCTGTGGTCGACATAGTCAAAAATGCAGTTCTGAGAATTTGGTGATCTTGAGTGGGTTACTTTCCAACCGTTCTGTAGCAGGAGCATGGGTACATAATACTACGAATACTTCCAAGCCATTGTTCTTGGAAACTCTGTACCACAATAGGTGGGCCTTGAAGAGCATAGCTCTCACTGACCGAGGGGCGCGTAATGTCCCGATACGGAAAGTAAATATCTTAGGTATCGTGGGATACAAATGCCTATGGGTGGAGCCTGTGTACAGCGCCCTCCCGTTTCCCAAATAGGAGTTGACTAGTTTCGACTACAGCGTCCGCCAGCATTCTCAAATAGGAGTAGACTAGTTTGGAGCTGATTTAAATATGCCATGCTGTGACGGAGCAGAAGTTACTTTAGAATTCTCAAGATACCTTCTCTGTGCCAGCTTTCTTCCAGCCTGTATCTCTCCATCATTCCTAACTTCTAAACGATATGCCTTCCTCAGTGCCCAACCCAACAGGCTCAAAAGAGCCATCCGCCACACCATACGGTCCACATAACTCCTTTCCTAAGGACGACTTTCCACAATATGGAGGGAAGATATCCATCATCTACCGCTCTGCTGATCAGAAGATCGTTGCAGCAACAGCAACTGAAACCGGAACTACATCATTGACATACCCTTGTGACGAGTTCTTCTATGTTACAAACGGGTGGACGGACGTTAAGATCCATGGAGGAGACGAGTTCAGATTGAACACAGGGGATTTCATCTATTTGACCAAGGGTACTACGGTGGACTTTGTCTTTGGCCCAGATTTTACCAATGCCGCTGTGTTCATAGATAGCAAGCCTGTGACGCTGGTCTGATATCAGACAAGAGGATTGTATATTCATCTTAACAGTCTCAATTCAACAACTGCATTGCCTGTGTGCATCAACTCCAAGATCTTCTTTTCTAGTGCGTCTTCCAACTTCAGATGCCCTTATCAGATTCGAGGTCTGTCCATAAGATCAAAAGAAGGAAACCCAGCGTCCACTTCGTCTTTTGTACGAGCAATGTATGCAGCCAGACCGCCGAAGAAGAACTTGACACTAGGCTCCCGCCCTTCGATATTCTGGCCAAATATCCAACTTCGTGTGCTTTTGAAGACGGAGCCTTCCGTCAGATGATTACACAAATCAAGCCAGTCCTTTTCTGCCTCGGCCTTTGCAACAATGTAACCAGTCCCATTCTCGGCTCGCTCGATGCACTCTGTGACGAAGTTGACCTCACTCTCAATCGTGCACGGGAAGTTCGCAAATGGTCCCTGCGGTCCGGAGATCACAAACATATTGGGAAACCCTGCACAGGCGACCCCGGCATACGTGGTAGCTCCACCCTTCCAATGGTCGCGGAGTGTTCTGCCCTGCTGCCCTTTGATAGCAACCCGCAAATAGCTTCCATCAAGTGCGTCGAACCCGGTAGCTAGGACTAAGGTGTCCAGCTCTACTATCGTGTCGTCGGAGAGCTTGACACCGGCGGGTACCACCTCCGTAATGGGTTTCTGGCGAAGGTCGACAATTTCGACATTGTCGCGATTGAAGATCTCGTAATATCCATTGTCACATAATGGGCGACGCGCATATAGTTCCGTCGGTTTGAGTGCTTTAGCTTTCTTCGGATCCTTGACAATCTCGTCGATCTTGGAATGAATAAACTTGCAAGCCTCTTGGTTTGCTTCCACACTCGTTGTGAGATCTCCAAACGCACTGAACATGAATCTAAAGCCGTTGCCTTGGTTCCAGACTTGCTCAAAGATCTCTCTCCTCTCCTCAGGGCTTACCGACATCGTCGGCCGGCTGACCTCAGGTACGCCAAACGCAGTGCTGGATTTCCACACCTGCTCGTAGATATCGTCGTAGTTGTTATTGACCCAGGCTCTATATTCCTTAGTCACTGGCCCTTGCCCACTAGGGACAGAGTATTGTGGACTTCTTTGGAACGAGATCAGCTTTTTGACCTTGGGTGCGAGAGCAGTCAAAACTTGGATTCCAGTCGATCCGTTTCCAATGACACCAACTCTCTTGCTGCTTAGATCGATTTCTGGCCACGAAGTAGTGTGGATTAGGTCTCCCTGGAAGTTTTGCAGGCCCGTAATATTAGGGTAGTTCGGCTTAGACAGAATGCCGAGAGCATTGACAAGATACCGGGCGCTGAACACCTTGCCTGTGTTGCACTTTATGACCCATCTCTCTTCCTGTTCATTCCAGGTCGCAGTCTCCATGGTGGTATCCAACAGGATTTGCTTGCGAACATCGTGCTTGTCGACGACATGCTTTATGTACCTTAGAATATCAGGTTGATAGAGATAATGCTTGTCCCAGGGATACGTTTGTAGATCCTCTTTGTCCCACGAGTAGCGATAGAGATAACTTTCCGTGTCACTCATGGCTCCTGGATAGCGGTTCCAGTACCATGTCCCACCGACTTCAGGGGCACTTTCGATGCATACAACATGGAGGTGCAAGGCACGGAGCTTCAGTGTTTGGTAGATTCCACCCAGGCCGGCACCAACTACCAACGCATCGCAAAGAGTCTCAGCCATTTCTTCTGGTAGACTTCTGTGATGCTGCAAGCTACGAGGCCGTAGAAAGAGGCTCTTGAGCGACACAACCGCAGGATCATAAGCACAATCTGCGAGGATTCATGAGATCCTCGGCACCCTCCTCTCCGCATGATTTGATCCCAGCTCGAGTCGCATCGGCGCTGAGCCAGAACGCCCGCATCACAGGTCGTTCGAGCAGAATCACTTCTCTAACCATTGCAGCGCTTGGAATGCTGTTGCTCTCTGCCCAAAAAGTCCAAGAGTGGTAGGGTGGCCGGATATTGCACAAATATGGCAACTCTTGTAGTCGAAACTCGAAAGCCTGTGTCCACTGGTCAATCCACTATCACGCTCGCAGCGAGGGTCCACGTGGCAAATTGATCCTTCTGCTGAATGGCCAGCGATAAGCTTCCGTTGCCTTGATCAATCGATGAACTGCTTCATCTAGTAAACATGCGAGGCTAGAGATTAGCTTTTTCTCCGCAATCTCGTTCTCGGATTTCACCGCGCACTGGACAGGCATCACATCTCTAGCACCTGGGCTTTGGCCCACATTGGACACTCTCGAGTCTCCAGGTCGTGGACGGGAAACTGTCAGCGTAAAACTAACGTTGTTAGTCACGCCTGCACCACGAATTGGGCAACTGGTCTGGCCAGGAGCCAAGGACGTCCACGTTTCCTGATAAAGTCTACCAAATATGGCCAATCAGGCTCAGTCAGTGACCTGGGCTCAGGAAAGGCTTCTGCTCCCCAGTAAAGCGAAACCAAGGGCACGGGTCATTTTAGTCCAATACTAACAGAACATTCACCGGTAGGGACCATATTGCCTTCTCACCCACCCTAGGAACTCTGACCACTCTGCTGTGAGATTGCTGTATACCAAGATTTCTTGAACTCACACCTCCTACTTGGCAATGCTACTATCTGCTTTGCCCTTCCGCATGTGGACATCGTTCCTTTGAGGGGCATCTGCCTAGAGATAAAGCTATGTCGGTGTCCTCAGCGGCCTTTCTCAACCTTGAGATTCTCTTCAGCATCCTTCTCTGCTATCTCATTTGCGGACCATCGTCCACATCAACACATCATCATGGCTGAGCCTGTGACCGGTGGCACCGCGACGCAAGACCTCAAGGTTGCTCAGCACAATAATAATGATGATGTCGAACTCTCAAGCGACACGAAGTCTGCGCGGCCCGATACTATCGAGGTTTCGAGGCCGCCTCAAAAGCCCTTCACCGTCTGGTCGGCCATGTCACTGGGGTATTCGATCTCAAACTCTGGCTTGGGTATGGTCCTCGTCACAGGCAGTCTAGTCTTCGGTGCAGGGCCATTGTTCATCTACGGCACTATCCTCATCACCGCCATTACCTTTTGTGTGGCGATCACACTTGGAGAAATGAGCTCGATTTGGCCGCACGCCGGCGGTCAGTACTTCTATGTTGCTCAGCTCGCCTCAGAGAAAAGGCGCCGCTTTTTGTCGTACATGACAGGTATTATCTCATGGGCGGGCGTAATTTGTACCGCGGCATCCGCGTGCTCGGCAATCGCGAATACTACGTTTACCCTCGTTGCACTGACGAGACCTGATTTCGAATACAAGCAGTGGATGGGTTTCCTCGTATTTTTGGCCGCCAATTGGACCGGGACTGCTATGGTCATCTATGAGCGATTCATTCCAATAATGTCCAGCAGTTTTGTGTATCTCTCGATCTCCCTTATCGCCGCGATGTTTATCGCTTTGTTGGCCCCAAATACCGAGAAGGCTTCTGCCGGACTCGTCTTTGGCACGGAAGGGTACTATAACATCTCCGGGTGGTCAAATGGCGTCGCCTTTTTCATCGGTATCAGCTCTGTCAATTGGGGCTTTTCTTGCCTCGATGCAGCCACCCATCTGGCAGAGGAGATCCCCGAGCCTCGCAAGAATATCCCTAAAGCCTTGCTCTGGACTGTCGGCATGGGATTTGCCGTCGCATTTCCCATAAATATCGCCGTCTTCTTCAAAGCACCCGATTTAGAGAACACTTTCTCCATCTTCGGGGTCCTGTATGCAGCTTACAATGAAAATGCATCGCCAGCCATCGCATTGGGTGCTTTCATGGTGCTCGCTACCTGGGGCGCAGTAATCGGCATGCATACTTGGCAGTCGAGAATAGTATGGTCTATGAGTCGAGACAGAGCATTCCCGTTTCACAATCGGATGAGCCGACTTGCACCAGCACCGTTCAATACTCCTCTCTGGGCTATCCTATGGGGTTCGTGCTGGATCACCCTATGCGGATTTCTCTATCTTGGATCAACCACGGCTTTCAACTCTTTCATCTCGGCCGGTATTGTCCTCCAGTACATGAGCTACGCCACGCCGACTATACTTATGCTGCGAGCTCGCCGTAGCACTACGTTACCCAAAGGCCCGTTCTGGTGGCCCAGATTCGGCCCGATCGCTAATGTTGTGGTCGTTTTATGGACCGTGATCATTACGGTATTCTACTCGTTCCCTCTGTTTTTGCCGGTCGAGGCAAGCGCGATGAACTACTTGGTTTGTGTGCTGGTTTTTGCATTCTTGTACGCTGGGGCTTACTGGGTGTTTTACGGCCACAAACACTACAAATTGGTGGATCTTTCAGTCATTCTGGATTAGATCCTTCGCGGACGACATAGCAGAAACCTGGTCACCCTCATAAGGAGAGGAGTGAAGTACAAGCCTAATTTTGTGACTTGGGTATTAATACCATTTAGCTTTCAACCACTGCGTGATAATCTATCAATATCTGAAGCATTGCGTGAATGTCAATGCAATCCCTGATTCCACGCTCCTATGTCAAAGTAGACCCATAGGGAGTGAGCACTATCAAAGTCGAAGCACGAAGCACGCCAAATGTGAATGGCGGCCGGCCATCCACCAAATGCCTCAGTCGAACGACGAAAATTGTAACATTTTGTAAAGACATGTCGGTTGCTAAATAGCGAACACTGTCAGTCATTTCACAAATGGGCGGTCGCCATTCACATTTGGCGTTATTCGTGCTTCGACCTTGAATGGAATGCCATCCTGCAAGAATTGAGGTTCCCAGAGGTTCTCAGAGGCTGCCTATAGGACCAATCAGGCATTTACCTGGACCCTCCTTAGCCTAATTTAGTTAGGCCATTCGAAAACCTCCCCAATCCAGTAAATATCCGAGTCTAGCATCCAGGCCCAGGAAGACAATGATCATTTCTTCTTGAGTGGATCGCACGGAGTTGCGGATAATCGAGAGGTTTGGAAAGACTGATAAGGTGAGCTCCAGTCGAGTAGCAACAAGATCTTCTGATCCATGCATTCTTCGTTGTCCCGGCGAGCCGAGGAAAAGGCATGATAGGGCAAGGTTCACCCATCTAAACAACGCGAGTCGTAGGGGGTTGACCTCGATCAACCTTAGCCACCATTAAATTACAGCGCTGTGGGTGGTGATCAGAGTGACGAAGGGGAAACTCGGCAGAGAGCAAGCGCTTCGGCACCGACTGCCGTTCATCATCCTGCTTTAAAAGACTGCAGTTTTATAACCTTTCAGGTTATGATAGGTCTCCACGTTTAAATCTAAGTATTGCAAGCCCGGTAGGTGAGATTTGGAACTCTGAGCAGCGCAATCGAACAAGTTCGAATCATAGCTTGGTGTCGTGTTGAGTGAGATCAACACAGAAGCCATAATGAGTCATACTGAACTCCTCTCCAGGCTCGAATGAGTCCATCTAAAGGCGTTCGACAACAATGAAACGAATATTGTTTTTAGATTAGGAAGTATTGAGAGCACCCATGTTGTATGATTCGAGGGCGATGAGGCTGGATTCAAATCCGTTCTGATGGTGATCTGATGGACCGGGAATTTTCGTCGTGCCATAGATCATCAACTTTGTGTACGACTGAACGCAAATATATCCGTGGAGGATCCTCCTACCCCTTGCTATGTTGCATCTGCTCCTGGTGCATACAATACTGCGCTGGACATCATCAGCGGGTGGCATGCGCTTAGCAAGAGAACAGTTCGAGTGTCAACCACCCAGGGTACGATAGAATTCGTGGATCACAAACGTAATTTCCCACCCTGTCGCCCGCCATGCTCAACGATTACAGGGCAGAGCATAAGCTCAAAGACACAATTGGGTGATCCACGAATTCTGACGTCCGCTGAGTGTCAACCCAGCATCAAGGCCCAACCTTTCTGTAGCATCAATTGCAGCCAATTAATTTGTTCTCCCGCGTCTCTCCTGGCCCAAAGGTCGTACAAGAGAGCTGTAGTCCAATTCAGTGTCGGCAGGCGTACATGCGAGTAGAGTACCGCAAACCATTTGACGACTTGTACTCGCATTTCTTGATCCTCTTTACAGAGCTCGGCCCCTGCGGATAGAAGGGGAAGAGTAAGAAATTTGAATATCGGGCTGTCGGTGCTGATGTGAGAGATATTGCGTAATATTGTTTGACTGTGGTCCCGAATAATATCTTCATTATCGATAGCAACGTCCTTGCAGAGCCTGTAGAGCATAACCAACCCATGAAGTCGAAACGTTTCATTCAGGGTTTTCAGATTGTCTTCTTGAGACGAATGTTCCCATGTCAGAAGTTCGTGCTCAATGAGGATTTCAAATTCCTGATTCCTGATTCCTGAATCAAGAAAAATGCGGCAATAACGCCCGAGGGAGCAAAGATGGTAGAAAAGCTCCGTAGCATGACTCATTAACGTGCAAAACTTGCCGCGCAAGAGGGTGACTGCAGCGAATATTTCGGGGGTGTCCAGTGGCTTCTGCTTTGATGATTCAACTAGAAAAGAGCAGGCCATGTCCCACCAAATGAATGCTCCTACGATGAAAGGTCGGAAAGGATGATCAACGGGGAAATCCTTCTGCTGCAGTAGACTGTCAAGTATGGCCCGAGCTGCCATCAAATGTTGCTCTCCAAAAGCACCAACACTGTTGTCGATCCACTGTGAAGACAAGCCTAGTATCCAGACGGCAAGGAAAGACTGCACGCGAATGGCGGTCGGTGCTTGAATTTCTTGCCGCATAGTGTAGAGAGCTTTACCTCGCTCTTCGATACACTGTGTGATACTGGATGGAGCGTAGTAGAGTTCATAGCCAGCACTCACACTCTGTAGCGCATGGACGAGAGCTTTCGAGTCAGCAAGTTGCTCGACAACAGGAAAAGACATCGGATTGTTGTCAGGGTCGAGTGTCATCACCTGGCAGACATTCTCTAACCAAAATTGTAATAGCCTTCGGTTGACAGCAGGTATGTTGGTTAGCTCACGCGATTGTAGCCATGGAAGTTCGAGCTGCCATGGTGCTTGACGGGCCTTGGGCATGCAGACCAGACCTTTAGCACTACACTGGGTGCAGACTGGGAACCTTTCGTCGCATTTGATATGGCGTAAACGACAACCGTAACAGGCAGTGCGGCTTCTGGAGTGTATCTGACGTTCGGTTTGTGTCAGGCGTACTTCCGTTTGAGGAATGCTCATAGTTGTAGAAGGTGCGAATCGTACTCGGTATTGGCTCGAGCGACCCATTCTTGCGACATATCAAGTCGCAATACCAGGAGCTGTGCTATCTACCTACCTAGGTAGTAAGGGCCGTTGGGGGCAGGCTTAGGCCGCGAAGCTGAGCTTAAGAGCAACTCACTAACGATAAATCGGAGGGGGGTCTTGGACGGGAGGTGTGAGGGGTAAATGTGTTACGCCCAACACGCCCAAAACCATTCTCTGGGAGATATACGGAGTACTCTGTAGTGTATCTCAGTGGAAACATCCTTCGCTTTCGGCTCGTCATTGTGAATCACGACAGACGCTTGATAGAGGCCTCAAAGATAAGAAATTGAGCCGGGCCTTGCTCTAATATTCCACTGATGACCTTGGAGAGCGTCCGATATCCAAGTTTTGATCTGAAAGTCAGCGATAAGAACTTGAACACTCTGTACGCTGTGTAAAAGCTTGGCGCTAACCGAAAATGGAAGTGGTACTAAAGCGCTCTAATTTCCCCGGAATTTTCCACCCTCCGGTCTTGGCAGGACCGACCGCGTTCGAAGTGTAGCACGAGATGTAGAGAATACCATCAGTTGTCAATATCATTCAACACCAGCCCATCCCAGAACTTTCAGGAATTTGCGCGTAACATACCCGATACGATCAGATGAACATGTCTCCCTGATCATCATTTCATCATTCATCTCAAACACTTCCTCACCTCGTCGCTTTAAACTTCCTCCTTCAACCCTCAACATGAGTTCACCCGCAAACCAACCCGGGCCTCTGACCCCTCCAGCAGAACCGGCAACACAGCAGACTCAAGCCACGCAGCCCTCACAGCCGACAGCACAGCCACAAGTCGAAGCTCTCCTCTCTCAACCTCTCACCTCCCTGTCTGACAATGGCAGTTCTAGAAGACCACGAGATCATCGTCTGATACATCTCTTACTTGTGTCGCATGGCATTGCCGCTTATCAGCAACGGGTTCCTTTGCAACTCATGGACTTCGCATACCGGTATACAAGCACTGTTTTGACGGACGCGCTGTATATTCAAACCGAGGCATACGATCAAGCCGACGGCGGTACCCAGACTAAAGGTCGTGGCGCAAAACATAATCAAAAGCAGTCGGAAGAAGGCGATATTAGCATAGCCGCTCTACGCATGGCCATTGGTTCCAAAGTCGGTCATCAATTCCAAGGCAGTTTGCCAAAGGAGTTTCTCAAAACCCTCGCTGACGAGCGCAATCGAATATCACTCACTTCACAAGCGAGGGAGGGAGACAAGGGTGGCCCAATGGTTGGTGGGCTCAAACTTCCGATGGAGAAATACTGCCTGTCGGGCGTAGGATGGGGTCTCAAGGACGCATGGGACAGTGAAGGCGAAGAAAGTCCTGATGAGGAAGAGGTGCCCGAAGAGAGACCGGAACCTGAAGATCTTATGATGGAAGACCGAGAAGAGGGTGACCCTGATGAAGAAGGGATTGGCAATATGGAGGATGTCTTCGGGCCTGATGATACTTCGGGCGATAAAGATGGTGACGAGGAGATGCAAGATCTATGATTCTTGAGCTTGTTCTCTGAAAAGCAAGCGCATTACTGTTTACTACTACGAAAAATGATACCCAGGACATTGATTAGAAAACCAGGACGGATCAGGTAGACCGGGAGGCAATCTGACTTGTTATCATTGTGAGCATTGTTGGTGAATGTGCAGTAGTAAGGGGTACCTGTTACTGGAATTCTTGGTCCATCTCTGTCAAGTACTGACCTGAAAATAGGTCTACTCTCATGTCTTCTTTGAACTTTGGAGTGCACATGTATAAGGTTAGAATGAGCCAATAAAGCCCAAATCAGCAACCTACGAGTAATGGATCTCCGCGCAACCATTTTTGCAAGGCATCGGCTACGGCGGCAACGCTTCTAAGCAGCAACATGGAGTACGTATTTGGACACCAATGAAACTTCAGAGAGACGCCACAAACGTCAATTGCAATACCTTGAATGTTTGGAAAAGCCGGGGGAAAGGACCTCAAGAGGTCTTAGCCATTAACACCACCATAGCCGAAATTGACAGAACAAATCCCCTCACCCAATTCTGGCAGTTGCAAATACTCTTATGGAGGCTCGTCTCGCTGCTTTTCCCCCTATCTGCATCTCGATGACGATGATGACTTATCAAAACACGGATAGTTGCCAGTTAAAGACCACCACCGCCCGGGCAAAGGACCGGCCCATTGAGTGCTTACCTGTGAATCAACACGACGACTGAAGACTGCTACCCTGTAGCTCTCACTCGAGTCTCGGTCTTGTACCCGATGTAACAAGCTGTCACCAAAACAGCAAGACGCCCTACACTTGTCACTGACCAGCTTTGTTGTTTGCTGGACGGGACTCTAATTTCTCCAGGGAAAAGCACAAGATTCTTGCACACTAGCTTACCATATCAAACATTTCGAGCGAAGGCTTTGGTGCTTTCTACTCGAGGAGATTTTCAAGTCGATATATACACGACAGTCTTCTTAAGCATGGCTCATAATCAGCAGATCTCAACATAAGAACAACTTACATATTTACATATATCACAAAGTCAATACATACCTCCATATAAAAGCAAAGGGTCGACACAAATCATGGTGGTAGTAACCAACGACGAAACGGAACTTCAAGCAATGTCGGACCACGATAATACCAATGGCAAGGATGAAGATCACGAAAGAAACTCGCCAGTCGTGGATAGCAAAAATCCCTTACGAAGGAGTGTTTTTCGCGCCATGGTGCAGGACTTCGGGCCCCTCTGGTTTACCTGGTCAGTAGTATTCTACACTCCTTATTGAAAAAAATGCAAGAATCCCACAGTTGATCACATTCGATATATCTACCCACTCCCCCGAACCCATCAACAACTAGCTGACTTACTCCCCATACCCAACAGGTGCATGAACGCAGGAATAATATCAACACTCCTGCACCAATTCCCTTACCAATTCCAAGGCGTCCAGGTCCTCTCGACGATTGGGTTCCTGCTGGACCTGACGCTCTATGTGATCTTCTCCGTGATCTTCACGCTACGCTTCCTGCTATACCGGGGCCAAGCACTCGCCGAAATCACAAGTAACGTGCCGGAACTGTGCTTGATGCCGACGTGGTGCATCGCATTCATGACGCTGGTGTCGTTCGTGTCGCTGACGGTGAGCAACGCGACGTGGGGCGGGGAGAACTGGACGCTGCTGGCGGTGGCGATGTGGTGGATGGCGACGGTGTGGATGTTCGGCAAGCTGTTCTTCTGCTTCATCACCCTGATCCGCGAACACAACCTGCTAGACCGCCAGCTGCCGACCCTGATCATCATCCCGGCCGTCGGCGTCGCGACCCTCGCAGCCGTGGGCGGCGTCGTCACCACCTCCGCCCACGACCTCTCCGCCAACCTCGCCGTCCCCATCATCCTCACCTCCTTCTGCGCCGCCGGCGTCGGCCTCATCCTCGGCCTGATCCTGTATACCTACCTCTTCCACCAACTGCTCGCGCACGGCTGGCCCGCCGCCGCGTCGACCCCCACCATCTTCATCCTCGTCGGACCCATGGGCCAGACCGCCGCAGCCCTCCAACTCCTGGGCGCCGCCGCGAACACCCACGGCCGCTTCGCAGCATACAACCACGGCACGTTCCTGACAGCCTCCGCCGCGGGACCCCTCGAAATCGCCTGCCAACTACTCGCGCTGCTCATGACAGGGCTGGGCGCCGTGTTCTTCATCCTGTCGCTGTGCGCGCTCGCCGACCGCGCGTGGCACCGCGAGCTGGCGTGGTCGCCCGCGTGGAACGCCATCATCTTCCCGACCGGCACGCTGGTCACGTCGACGCTGCTGTTCGCCGACGTCATGGACTCACCCTTCTTCCGCGTCGTCACCGCCATGCTGACCCTTTTCCTGGTCATGGTCTTCTTCATCAACGTGGTTTTCACCGTCTGGAAGGCCTACAAGGGTCAATTGCTCGTCGTCAGGGAGGATCCGCGCGTCAAGGCCCGCTTGGCCGAGCTGCGGAAGGAGTCGTAGTTGCTTACATCGCATCGCATAGCTTGTCGTAGCTTGTCATATATCTACCTTTTCTACTTGTATATATATACTCCTTTCTGTAATAAACCTACATCCACGACTCGCAGCTTCGCTACAAATGCTTTCACCCTGCACATATTTTACTCCACGCCCCAGCCAGCCCGCAAGAATTTCAGCCGATTGGAAGACCAAAGTCGTTAGTGGTCATCATTCATGTCCTGCTCAGTCTGCTGTCCACTACGTGCCGTCTTACCCTCTCTCGCTGTCCAGGACAAGAAGTTCGAGACAGAACAGGAACAATATGTTGCTCATTTCACCATCTTACACCTAACCAAACCCTCCAAGCTGAGGTTCACTGTGGTAGCAGAAACCGCACGGCATGGCACGGCGTGGACGAATTGAATAGAACGTGTCGACTATCAAGGAATCAAAATGTTTGAATACGAAAATTTGAATTGTTGAATCAATGTACAATACAGAAGTGGCACTTCAATAACTCTCGCTACTGAAAACGATCTCCAGAGTCACCACCACAAGCGTTTGCCTTCCAGAGAGCTCTCCTAATGCGACTCAACTCGACCTTTCTAGATTATTAGTCGAGAACAATATTTCTGTTTTCGAAAGCTCGGTCCGGTCGTCACGGTAGTCTCAAGCCCGAATCGATCTGAAATTTGCTCTAAGCAGTCCCTTGCGCTCCCAGCACGATGATTAGCTGAGATCAATCAGCAAGCAATGGGTCGACATAGGAGAGAAAGTAAGCATGTAGCCTTTCATTGAGCTTGGTGGCGATCCTGGCTTTGCTGCCGCTTGCACCCTCTTCAGCTTCTCCTACCCACCCTTCCCGCAGAACACTTTTGTTTTGGTTAGACACAACGCCGAAAGATAGATGCTCCACCCATCCAGCAGATGAAGACGCCATGCCAAAGCATGTGAGGCGGTGTATACCTGATAAAAACACATTCTCTATTGATTCGAATGAAGTTGGAAGAAAGATGTATCTTGCTTCGAATGGGTTTTACAAGACCCAAGATGTCGAGAGAAAAGAAAATGGTCCGCTGTGCTTTAAATGCTAAACATGTGGCTCACGCCGGGTATCAATGCACACTTCTCCACCTCCCCACAGGCGGCCGTCAGTCAATTATTAGGTGGTCGAATCACATTATGTTGTACAGATGATTGTTTATTAATTTCACCCGGTGGTCTTTTCTGGTGATCTCGATCGTTCTCGTTCGATGGCTGGCTGTGATTTGGAGGTGGGTGGTGATGCTGGGTTGGATGGAGGTGATCCAGGTGCGTCATTTTCAAGGGCAGCGAGGGCACTATATACGATTAGCTTCAACTGGTATCGACGACAAGGATTAACACTCACCTGAATGCATTTGTGCTGGATTCGTCCTTCTTCTCCTTTTCTTTGCCTGCAGGTGGCGTGCCGGTGCGACTACTGGTGTTGCTGTCATCTCCTCGGTTGAGCAGACCTCCAGGTCCAAGTCCGCGACGTCCACTGTTCGTGCGTCCACCCATCAAGCTTGGGCCCAATGACCCTGGGCCAGTGTTGCTGGTGTTACGATTGCTGCGGTTGCCCAATCTTCGCAAGTCATCGGTACCAACGCGATTGGAGTTGTCAGGAGGTGGAACTTGTCCATACTGGCTGAAGCTGCGAGCATCACCACGACCCATGGGCATTCTTCCTCCTCCACCACGACCGCCTTGACTAGCAATTCTCTTGAGTTCTTCTTCTCTGGCCCGTTGTTCAGCTTCTGCATGGATGGCCTGGATAGTCTTTGGACCCTTGTCGTCTTCCTTCGAGACCCAACCCTTGGATCTTAGATCGACAATATCCATAAGCATGAACTTGAGACGACTGTTCAGATCCGGAATGGCAATGATCTGGTTAATGCGCTCGAAGTATAGGTCCATTCTGCCTTGCGCCTTGCTCTCAGAGCTGTCAAGCTGTCTGCCAATAGTCCGCAGTAAGCTCGTCAAGCTTTCAACTTCAGCCTCGTCAGGCGTGCCCTCGTAGTCAACCAGTTTCTTAACACATTCGTGCATGATTCTTTCAGTCAACATCGAGAGTTTGAACAATTCACCGATGAATTTGACGAGACCCAGACCTCTACGTTTGGCAGCAGCTGCAACATAGTACTCGTCGGACAGGAGAGCAGCTTCTTCAGTCACACCCTCTTCCCGGGGAGGTAGATTGACCTTCCAGCCACGTTCGAATTCTTCTTGACAACGGTTGAGTAGATACTTTCGGAACAAGTTACCACCAGTGACCACACTTCCATTCTTGTCTTTGATGTTTTCATCTTTGATGTCGGGACTCATGGCTTCCAGCATACGTCGTGCAAAGGCCGCATACATGGGGGCCCAGTGAGCTTCATCAGTTGCTTTCTCAAATGTGAGTTGAATGACTTGACGAAGGGTACGTCCGTCAGTCTCGTGCTTCGACTGAGCCGCAATCTCCAAGATTTGATCGGCAAGCTTGTCGAATTTCTCGGGTGTCATCTTGTTCAAAGCAGCCTTGACCTTGCGCTGTACAACGTCGGGTTCCATCAAGCCTTCACCACCCAGTGCGGGACCAGGGGCTGTAGGTTGACCAATACTTCGAGCTTTCCAGCCAGTGGAGGAAGTCTCCAAAGCACCAATGTTCATACCCGCTGTCAGAGGCATGGCCTTTTCATTCTCTTGCTTGGGATGTTTGCCTCGCTTGCTTTCAGCACGAGAACCACCACGAGTGCTTCCGACACGAGGTGAGCCTGGAATAGGGCCAAGAGGATTGTTGGATGGTGTACGCCCCATAGGTGGCGCCATTTGACCAGGTCGACCAAATTGAGCGAAGGGGTTGGCGGCCATTGCACCACTTCTGAGAGCGGCATTAGAAGCTGCGAAGCGCTGTTCCGAGGTAGTGCCAGCTGGCAAGCTGGGACGAGCACCACCGAAGCTGCCCATAGGACCAAAACTGCCCATCTGTGGAGCTCCACGAGAGGAAGCACTGCGATTGCCCATTCCTGATGGAGTTCGTGCAGAACCAGTAGGCCGAGCAGAGTCGCCCTCACCCATAACATCCCGTATGCGAGCATCCCAATCGAGAGAAGGCTTTTCTTTGAACACACTCTGGAATTGAAGCAAGAACTCTTTGTCGTATTTGAACTTCCGATCCGCAGGTGCATTTGCATTGAGTGCTGGGCTGGGAGATGCGATGTCTGCAGGATAGACGACCTTGGAAAGATCTGCCAATCTCTTGGAAGCCTGGAGAGCTTTCAGGGTAGCACTAGGCTCTGGTGGTTCAATGGGCTTCTTGGTATCGAGAGTCAGTTCAGCCGCTTTGCCGCGCTTGCCAGGAGCTCGGACTGGGGGTGGCATCGAGACGTCAGACACAGGCGTAGCACTTCCACTCTCAACAGGTGTATGAGCAGATGGGCTTTCAACAGACGCAGGAGTTCCGAAGGGGTTGGCCTTCAGATCAGCAAACATCTTCTTGCTGGCTTCATCTACAGAAGCGCCCTCGGCCTTTTCCTTTTCACGAGCAAGCTCTGCCTCTTCGGCTTTGCGTTCCATTTCTTTCATGTTGGCTTCGTACGCAGCAGCCTCCTCCTCCTCCCTCTTTCGCTTGGCTTCGAGGTCCGCAGCCTTTTTGCGGTTATACTCTTCAGCTCTTCTTGCTTCTTCGGCCTCTTGCTCGGCGATTTCACGTTCGATCGCGTCGTAATCAATCTCGTCATCATCATCTTGCTTGGATGCTTCGGCGGCTTCGGTAGCTTTGGCCTTTTCTTCTTCAGCCTTCTTAGCAGCCTCAGCTTTTTCATCTTCGGCTTTCTTGGCGGCAGCGGCAGCGTCACGAGCTTCAGCTTCCTTGGTTTCTTTCTCCAAAGCTTCTGCTTTGGCCTTATTCTCTTCGGCTTCTTGAGCAGCGGCCGCGGCAGCTTTCTTGTCCATCTCCGCCTTGTCAGCGACCTCTTTGGCGAGCTTTTCTTTGGCCTCGTCCTCAGCAATCTTTTTCGCAATGGCTTCTTGCATCGACTTCTTGGCCTCGTCAGCGCTCTTATTGGCACTGACACTTTCAGTGCGAGCGTGAGAATTGTCAGCAGCACTGGCCGTGCGGCTTGGGGGGGTCGGAGCTGATTGTGGAGGAAGAGTTGGAGTGGAGGCTGCGGGAGATGGTGGAGGTTTTCCGAAAGAGACGACCTCACCTGCAGTGTTTTTGATGATGATGGCGGCACTCTTTTTGGGAGGAATCGTGTAGCTTGTCTTGGGGGCAGACACGCTAGGAGTACGGGCAGTTGGGTGTGGTGGACCAGATGGAGCCGGTGTGTGGGATTGTTGCCCAACGCTTGAGCCAGGACGTTCAGGTCCCGACATCTGAGAAGATTGACGAGACATGGAAGGGGGGGCAACACCTTGATTACTGTACCCAGGTTGCATGTTGGGGGCATAAACACCTTGCTGATAAGGTGGACGTGGGGATTGCTGGGGTCCCATACCATACTGAGGAGGATATTGGCCTTGCATTGGGCCTTGACCATAGTATTGTTGATTATACAGCATTTGAATACTTGGGTCAGCTTGAGTGGGAAAACCGAAACCCTGCCGTTGTGTTAGAAAATGTTCAAAATTGCCACTTTCGGGGGAAAGATCAGGGACAACAAGGGTAGCTTGGGAATTTTGAAGAGCCGCAAGGTCAGGGCGGTAGTGGTCTGAAGCTGGATCTTTGCTGTAAAAGGGTCCTTCTTCATGTCCACCTCTACCAGAGCCTCTACCGCGAGCAGTGGCACGACTGGCACGGGCACGGCCTCTTGTAGATTTACCTCTTTCCTTTGCGGGCTCGCGAGAAGAAGAAAAAAAAGATGGGTGGTGGTTGTTTACATGTTGGGGTCCTCCTTGATAATATCCATTTTGTCCAGGCACTTGGGTCATCATGTGTACTTGGCCCATGTTGGGCGTTCCGGGTTGGGCGTGGACGAGAGCTGGGCTTCGGGTGCCCATTGCTGGTGAGCCGGCGTAGGGGAGCTGCTGGCCACGACCAGGGTAGCCACCTTGCATATTGCGTCCGTTGTTCGGGGGACGGAAGTTATGCGATGGTGAGTAGGAAATCTGTGGGTTGTTGAAATTAGGGTTGTAGCCTCTACCACGACCTTGGGGACCACCATAGCCGCCACGGCCTGGGCCAGTGGGCAGACCTTGATTGCCTACATCGCTGTGAATGGACTGGGTGGAACCACGGCGCATGTGTTCTTGAGGAGGTCCGAATTGCATATGAGCAACGCCCCGAGCGAGGCCCTGATACATGTCAGTATGGATGGGATGCAAAGAAGATGTTTGAGCTTACAGTAGGATCGTTCGGGTCACCAGGCATTTGTCCAAAGGTGAACCCATTGCCTTGGCCTTGGAAAGTGGAGGGAGGACGTCCACCACTGACAGAGGCCGGCTGAGGGATCGGGGAAGGCGAATTAGAAGGTGATGGAACTCTTGGGTTAAGTTGATTCACACTGAGGTTTGCGGTGTTTTGGTGAGGCGTGCCAATGGCAGGAGAAGGATTATTGTTGCCCGTTGGCAGAGAGCCGAACTGGATCTTGTTCTGCGCGCCAGCTTGAGCACCACCATTGGTTGTGAAGGCGGGTGAACCTCCAGATGCAGCGGCATTGGAAGCCTTTCGGAGATGTTCAGGCACTGCGACGGTGCCGTTGACAGAAGGAATAGCAGGAATAGTGGGTGGTCTTCCGTTTACGGAGTCGCTGTGACCATGGGAAGGAGCACCTCCAACAGCAGCAGACATGTTGTTGGGCTCCGATGCATTTGGTGTCGAGGGAGAAAGCTTGGAGGCGGGTGGAAACGAGGTTCGGCCTGGATTAGCCAAATTCGATCCGGTCGCAGAAGGTTGTTGAGATTGTTTGGCTCGACTCGAAGAGGATCGTTGGGCTGTGGATGTCATCAGATTCGACAAGGATGAGTCAAGCAGGATTGCTCAAACTGAAGAGTTGACTGAAAGGCTGCAATGAAGCCGATGACAAACACGGGTAGTGAATGAGAAAAAAAGTCACCCGGACCCGCAGGCAGAGGAATGGAGGAAAGATGACTTTTCTTTGAGCGTGACCACGAAGCGGCGACTGTCTCGAGTGAACGGAAGCCGCTCTTGAGCTAGTGGAGAGAGAATTCCGGATGAAAAAGATGAGGTTTTCCAGTGGGAAGATTGAGAGGAGATTCGCAGAGCAACGCGAGATCCGGAACCGTTGAGGTCGGAAAGGCAGCGATTGCAGGCGAAAAGATTAAGAAGAAACCCTACTGAATGAGGGAATCAATGCACGACAACTATGAACGTTGACAGTGCCAAAAGAACCTCTTACGCGAAAAAAGGGCGCAATGAGGATGTGATGAGATGATGTTGTATGGTAGCAAGAGAAAGGCGCAGTTGGGGGACGTTGCGAGCAGTAGAAATTTTGAAAGGGGAAGCGGTTTGGGCTTGGCACAGGAAATGAGCGTCAGCGACACGGCGGGCAAAAAATGGGTGCAGGTTGCGGGTGCAAGAGAGCCAGAGCGAGAACCAGAGCCAGAGCCAGAGCCCGAGGCCAGTAACTCTGTTGGGTTACAGGTAGACTTGCCAGTGGCACTGGCAGTGCCAGGCAGCGGCTGTTCTCCTTCCGTAGCGGACCTAGTCCCCTAGGCACGCCTAGCCAGTAACCATGACCACTAACTACGGCTTATCCGTAACCACGACCACTGCAGATTCAGTGAGCCACTTGAAGTTACAACCACTGGCAGTTCTCATTTTCTCTCCTTTGCGATTGCCTGTTTTGCTTTTGTTCTTCGACGACGAATGCCAGTGGTCATGAGCGGCTGAGGCTCATCCCTTCTAGCCGTCCCTCTCTTCAAATCATAGCCTGTGAGCCTGCGGCTTAGGAGTCCCTACAGGCTGAACTCGTGTGGTCATTGTCCTTTCTGCTCTTTTGACCTTGCTCTGCGTGGCCAGCGACTTGGAACTAAAATAATTCCAGTCTCTAAACCCCGGCATCACAATTGACAGTGCACTGGCAATCTGGCACCCTTCGATTACCCCTGCGATCGCGCTACTGTGACCACTTAAGTCATCAGCCGAGTCAATGATTGACTTTCCATAAAGGACTTGGACTGTAAATGCCTTTTGTTATTTACCAACCTTACTATATGATTTCTCGTTCCCCAAAGTTTCAGCCTCCCCTCTGCGCAAAAATAATATGCAAACTATGACCACCACTTGCCACGCCACTGAATATCCCATCATGATCTCCAATCATGAATTCCTGTCATAGATTGAATGACTCCTTTTCTCCGCACCCTGGAAACTCTAAAAACCTGTCATCGCGTGCACCGGCGTGTGTCAATCCTCGAGTCATGCTTTTTCTTCAATGGAATGTGAAGTGCTTCATGATCCACCATGTGCCACACTTGACCTTGGTTACCCTGCGAACTAGGACCCAAAATATCTCTCGTGCCGGTAGTGCCCATGCCTTCCTTTCAGGCCTCGGGCTGAGGGCCTCCAAGCTAGCGAAAATCAAACCCCCTGCCAGGCTGTAAAACCCTGGGTGCCACCTAGAAAACCTCCCATTCTGATCACCCTTTAAACGATACTAATAACTAGGCTTCACGGAAACACCTTCTCGTCCAAGTATTAGCATTCCTACCGAAACATTTGATCCAGTCCACTGGAACGCCCTGCAAACAATGTCTGTCCAACAACACCAAGAGTACTTCTTATTGATCGCCTCCTTGTACGCCGTGCATCACACGTGTTTGAAACAACACTCTTTTCACCTGTGGTGGCTCTACGGAGACCATTGATGTTAGCAGTCTATCGCGTTTGAGCATTCCTTTTTTATCAAATTTTTTCCCGAGGGGGCCAGCGGCCGCCCCCAAAATTTACCTCTCTAACCGGTGGCGCGCTCCATCAACGTGACCCCTGTCCATGCTTCCAGGTCTTTAGATGCTTTTTGTCTCTTGGGGGTATGCCTGGGCGAATCCTCAAATCCCGCGGGCACACGGCAAACGACATCGTCAGGCAGACTTTAAATCCGAGAAACTCCACTATTCACTACTTTTTTATTTCCAGCAACCCGCACCTTGGACTTGAAAGAGATGTTCTTGGTCTCTTCGCCGGTGTTTCTAGTGCGTGCTCGGCTGGAAAGGTTTCCAGTCCCCCGTCGGAACAGGGCCATGCGTTAATTTCAACAAGGCCAGCCCAGCACATGCGGGCTTTACCTGCACCGAGTGCAAGTGCCAGTATCCCCTGTTGTGAAGTCGCAACAACAATCAATAATCGAGGCATTGCAGCCCTCTACACATCGCTCATTATTCTTAACAGGTATGACTGTGCTCGATCTCCGGTACCGTCTCTCTTACAAGCCACATATCTCTGGGTATCGACCACCAATGAGCGATCCGTGGTTTCAATATTGATAAGCTCCGGTATTACGTGCATTGCATTCGCGTAACCTCGATGACTCCGAAGAAGGTTGCCTTACCATCGACGTGTCAATCGCCATGGTGTGAGGTGACTCGAATAAGAAGATCTCTACTAGTGGCGTGCTCTTTTGTTTTGTTTGCTTTCTGCCACCCAGGTCAACTCAAATGCTCTTCACATGCAACCAAACGGACTGTCTGTGAGTCTGCGTTTTATATACCTGAATCGGCAAGGGAGTGGCACCGCAAGCTCTCTATACTCTAAAGGAAGTGGCACGTGGTCATCACGATGGCCTCTCTCATGCTGCGGTCCTGTGCTTTGACAGCACATGGCTAAGATTTCAAGGCAATGCAATGTCAATTCAATGCCATACCAGCTCTAGCGATATATCATGATGTAGAAAGCTCCAGCCCGGTCGTCCATTTGTTCGTCGAGGTTGAGCCCATGCGTAGTAATAATGCAGCACGTGAAACACCATCACCCTGTCCTGCCCTTTGAACGCGAAGTAAGAGATTCCCAATGTCGTCGGCGCCCACGAATTCAAAATCGATGGAGCTCGTAAATCAGCCCTCGCTCGCGCGCCCATGCCATGCTGTCATATATCTCGCCGAAATCCCGTAAATGCTCAAAAACCATAGTCAGCCAGGAACACCAGCGACATGAGATCAAGCCCTGCCGGCCTTCCTGCCCTTCTTCGCATTCTTGAGGAACGCCTTCTCGGGCGGCTCGTCCTCGACTTTGCGCTTATTCGCACCATTTTTCTTGCCTCCGCCTCCTCCATACTTGGCCTCGAGATCGTCGAAGAAGTTCGCAGCACGGGATTTTTGCCGTTGTTGGATGAGAGCCATGAGTCCAGAGGTGTCGCCGTCTGCGTCTTTGGCTGGCTTCTTCTTCTTGGAGCCAGGAGACTTCGTGTCCGCACCATTACTTCCTTTGCCGCCGCCGAACAACTTGTCCTTGATGCCCAGCTCCTCCGCGAGCTCCATGGCCTCCTGCTCCTCGTTCTTCGCACGGGCCCGGCGCTTCTCGCGCTTCTTCTTCCCTTCCTTCGTGTACTTGGCATAAGCCTCGACCTCGTTCGCAGCGATGGCGGCATCGATGATCTTCCTGAACCGCTCCTCATCCACCAACACCTCCGAACACATGACCCGCTCAAACACCGCATCAAGATCGCCCTGCGAATCCTCATACGCAGCGAGCACGTCATCCTTCTCCTCTTCAGTCCCCTGATACCCCCGCTTGACCTGATCGATCAGCTCACCGCTGACAACCTGCGCCGACATTTCGCGGAAGAAGTCTGTCCAGTTGAAGTCGTCGTCGTCCACGTTGGCCGACTCGGCCGTGTTGCCTGTCACATCGTACCGCTTGCGGCGCCGCTCGTCGCTGAGGATCGCGTAAGCGAACGCTATTTCTTGGAATTTCTTGTGCGCGCTATCTCGCTCCGAAGGGCTGACTTTGTCCGGGTGGTGTTTTAGTGCGAGTTTGCGGTAGGCGGTTTTGATCTCTTCTTGGGTGGCGGTTGAGGGGACTGAGAGGACGCTGTAGGGGTTGATCGTGGTGGGTGGCTCGCTGATGTCGATTTCTTCGTTGGCTGAGCCGGCTTCAGGTTCTGAGTCGGAGGAGAAGACTGGATCGACCGGTGCGGCTTTGGTCTTCGTCTTGCGAGCCATGGTTGATTGATTGTTAAAATGAGTTTATCAAAAGAAATGATGACTTTGTGGTGGAGAATAAGGAATCTTGGAAACAAGTCTGCAACCAAGGAATTCAAACTCCAGGTTGAGGGGAGATGTGAGAGCCTGAGAAGTGGTAGAAGTGAGAAACAAATAATGTGAATTCGAGGTTCAATGTGAAACTTCGAACGAAGACGCGGTTATTTGGAGAAGCACGCGTTGAAGATTAATTGACGTCATCGAGCACGGTGAAGCATATAGTTGCTCATGAAACCGACATACTCCACCCTTTCAAGTTCATGCCCCTTTTTACTTTGAAGGTCATCGAACTACCTTTATTGTCTCTGACACCTGGGCACACGGACTGTTCGCTCTCGAAGTCGACTTCAATGATCTCTCAGGTTCGAGAAGAGCGCAACCGCTTTTCATGCCTGGATTGAATACCCGCTGTTCATCCATCGGATTCCACACCCTCTACTACTCCCTTCTCGCCTTGCAATTGATGGTTCCTGCTAACTGGACATCTTTACGTATTCATCAACTTAAGGAACCGTGCTATGGATGTACCTGCTGAGACATCTACCTAGGTAGGTGCTTTCTCAATTTGTGGCTGCCGCCTTCCTCATATCTTGACTTCAAGATGGGAAGCCACAATCCCGGTGCAACGAGAGTGAGCTAAAGTTAAGAGTATCTCGGCTTCGAACAATGATCTTTCTCAGTTTTTCCATCTCCCTTAGTATACCCCGTCATCAGCATTGCTAGGAAGGTTTTTACGAGTAACTGCGTTTCTTCGACTGTTTACTTCCTCATATCTGCTGATCGTCACTCACAATATGAGCCGCAACCGCAGAGACTTGTCGGGTCTTTTGGGCTCTCACAGTACCAATCTGAGTCATATGAAAGTTACAATGGAAATGTACCAAGAGCGTGCATACCACAAGAACCCGAAAAACACAATCAATGGTTTCAATCCCACCGGAACGGACAAGGGAGTCAAGACCCTGCTGCAGCTCGGCGCAGAAAAAGCTATAGTAAGCATTTCCCACCAGTGAATGGAACCCTGCACCTACTTGAAGGAGGGTATGCTGAGCAGTGGGATTTCTAGGAAGCTTTTCACGGTCTGGGCGATTACAACACAGTCCTCAACTTTGTTCGCAGGATTGAATCCATGCAGAAAGATTTTCTGTTTCTCACCCTCTTGGCTGATCACCACCGTCTCCTAATCAGCGAGCAAAAGTACACCACGTTGCTCAAGTATTGCCCACCGGCTGATCAAGATCTGTACAACTCAGAACGGCGCAACCTGGCCTATCACCATGAAATTTGCTTTGAACTTGATCGGCAGGCTGGGGGGGACTTCGTTGACGGCAACCATCGTCCACCAAATACCGAGTATTTCAGTCAGATATGGGCATACGACCCTAATGCGTCAACAATGGCCAAAAAAGACGATAGTTTCATTGAATGGACAACACGGGATCTCGTCTCACCTGCACCACAAGAGAGGCGATTGGAACTGGGCTCTTACGGGACATATTTTGAAACGAGAACTGGTAGTATCGCTGTCAGGCATGGTCCTTCATTGGTCATGGGGCACACGTCGCTCTTTTCCCAGTTTATTTCTTCGCAGCTGTTGCTTTACCGTCTGACTTGCCTTTTTGGACAACCACCCTCCAACGAAGTATCGGAAGGAGGGCTCTGGGATGCAACTCTGGTCTATAAGCGCCGTTCCATTTTCCTCACTTTTGGAGAGGATTTGTCCGGGGAACCATACATACGGTTCTATGGATCTGAAGAAGCAAGTGTCGAGGCTCTCAAATTGATCAATCACCTGGTGAGTAATTTGATCACAAATGAGTTTGCCAGGTCGCTGTGTGGTGGAAACAGTCAAAACTCTCGCTGGATGGTTGAAATGCTCTCGGACCACCCGAGGTCCTGATTTTCTCGTCTATGATCGTTTTTGAGTTAAAGAAGTACAAACCCGAGGGGCATTCATTTTAGATGGGAGGTACACATGGTGGTCAGACCGGAAGTTGAATTACAGTCATTAGCAACTTTCATGTGAATTGGGTGCATATCAGTGAATGTCCTTGTCTTGTCGAAGTAGCATGGATGTGAGCAAACCACAAAAAGACCCGAGCGCCTAACATCGAGGAACCCAGCGAGAACGTCAAACACAATTCATGGGCGAAGGGCCTTGATCTATCCTAGCTCTGGAAACGGACTTTTGTCTCTGATGTTAGTGTTGTGGCTTGCAGACACCGAAAAGCGCAAGAATCACCGACCTGTACATTTGTGATGGATCCTGCTTAGAGTTCCACGGATATAGCTAAATTGAAAGATCAACCAACCCAAGGTACGATCTCGAAAGCTTTCGATCCCCAGACATCTGAACCTTGTGGATAGCTGGGGTGTGGACACAGTGGATCAAGGCCGGTTGCATTGACATCATTTCAACCCTTGTTCGATCAGCGTCATCGTTTTGATATTTCATCACCACTTTTCTCTAGGTGACCGGGAGGTACACAAGTACATGAGCCTGGATAGATTTCCTCATTGTAGTCGTCAGGATTGGACGGAATCAACTTCTGGCTCTCCAACTGACCCTTTCTCCGGATTCCGTTCCACTGTACATGCAATTCAAGTCCTGGTGTCATCGTCTGCATTTGAATCGGCGTGAACTCTTAGTGGACCATAGTTGTTTCGCTACTAACTCAGTCTTGACGACATACCTATATGTACTCGTGTAGTCTGTAAGTCTCAGATATATCATTCACATCTAGCCGTGGTACAGCAGCTCGAGCATGTCTATCAAAATTGCATCTAGCATTCCACCCACAATCTTCGAGACATTCCCACGCGTTGTGCGAAAAGCAGCCACAGCATCACCAGCACCAGCACCATTACTATCAGCAACCCAATCCAGACCCATCATGTCTGCCCCGTCCAACACTTCTTCCGATTATAATTTCAAGACCTCTCTCCCCGCCAACGCATCGGCATCCCTCGACAAGCAACAATCGATCATCACCAATTCCATCCTCGACCTCTTCGCCGGGTACCCGAGCAAGCGCAAACTCGCACTGTGGACCGACGAAGCCAGCTTCCACGACCCACTGACGATCGCCGAGGGCCGCAAACAGTACGAGGCGCAATGGTACGGGTTGAAGGCCTCGATGAGCGAGATCCACCAGCAGCATTTCGACATCGTGAAGGGCGGGAATCCCATCGAGCTGAGCCTCAAGACGCTGTACAAGGTCAAGGGCATCGGCAAGGAGCAAGTCGTCGATTCGAGAGTGCTTGTGCACCTGACGCCGGATGGTCAGAGGATTTCAAAGGTCGAGGATAAGTGGAATGGCGATGTCCCTCCTGACGGGCCGTTTGCGAAGGTAAGATGTGAAATTCCATGACTGGGCTTTGCTTGACCAAAAACTGACCATCGTTTCTTGTTAGGCTTTGAGAAATTTGAACAGTGTGACTGTCCCCGCTTTTGTCTCCGTGCCCAAGTCAATTGAGGAAGAGGAAGCTGCGGAAAGGAGATAAATGATCTGAAAGGTCACTGGAATGGCTGCGTGATTATTGACGTGTATACTACCTTTGTTCTGAATACTTCTGCGGATAGTTGCGATGCTCCATCTCCGTGCCAATGTGACCCGATTCGATTGTGCCACAACCAGCATACACCTCGTTTCCATCATTCCGCTAAACCCAAGTCCAGTGACTTAGGTCTGTGTTCGAGCTTGTCTCATTCTATCCGAAAGGCTTCCTTCCTACAAGGGCGGCTTTGCCGTTTCAATCATTGTGACAAGCGCCCAGGTCTCTGTGACTCACAAAGCGATCTGATGAATTGAATCGTCATTTACCACACTGCTCATGAGCCTGGATTAATTTGGCTCGTTCCCTGCCATTCCAGTCAGGAAAGAGCCTCTGATTAAACAAGTCAAACCTGCAGCTGCAAGCTAAGCGATACTGAGAGTGAGAATGATCTCATAGCTAGGTTATTTTTGCTTGCAGGCGAGACGACCCACTTGAGTTTATGTGAGTCCGGCACAAGCAGTGGCTGTTGCTGTTGGCAAAACCGGCAAAGGCCCAACAATCTGAGTCTTTCAATGACCATGCTTGGTGATCGCCCTCAGATGATTCTGAATGATATTAATTTCTGATAGTGGTTGTGTCTCAGCCAAAATTAATCAAAGCGATATTCAATGCAACAGCCGTGATCAGTACCCAAGTAGCGGCATTAGTCGTTCTCGAAGCTTCATTGCCAACCAGTACTCCTGAGACACTTGAGAACGCCTGGCCAACCTCTTGGGTAACAGTTGAATAGACTCCAACAACACCAGAAGTGATGGTAGAATAGACTCCAACCACACCTGAAGTCACCGTTTGGCATGGACCATTTTGACACCAGCCACTGATGAAGGACGTGACAGTTGGGGGAGGATTGGTGACAGTCACGACCACAACACCGCCACCGCTGACATAGCTTGTAATAGTTGAGCGTGGTGGAGCAGTCGTTATAGTGGTCGGGCGAGTACTGGTGATAGTGATTGGAGTGATGAAGGTAGTGCGTGTACTATATGGGGCGAGTCCATCGCATACCTGACCATAAGGACAACACGCCGGCTGACCATCTCGATTTGCCCAGTAGCAGACATTGGGATAACTGCAGCATAGTTGCTCAAAAAGAGCATCTCCAGCGCAATATGGATTTTGATCCGTTCCACATGGACTTTGAGCAGATGAGAGACACGACAAAAATACCAATATTGTCAACGAAACCAGTGATCGCCAGGAGTCGGGCATTTTCGTTGAGCAAGAATCAGTGCAACAGCAGGGTGGAGAGGAAGTTCAGGGCTGGGGCCGAGAAAATGGGAAGGCTGGGGAATTTGTAGCTTCAGATGGATGCATGATGGGGGAGCTGGACAGCGGAAGCTACGTAGGTCATCAGCGACCATTTCAAGGTTACCCGGATTCTTTAAACAACGGCTCAAGGCTGATGCCGGCAAGGCCTAGAGGTGTTTTGGGAGGGTAGGATAGCTAGAAAGTGGCCAATGGGTGGGCTTGGAAAGGTATTTGAGGAAGACGTGCAGACGGGCACTAGAAGGTGTGCTGCATAAAACATCTGCTAGGGATCACACAATCTTGATTCAGACAAGACATGAGGCAGGTTTCTGAAGTTGGAGTATCCGACGATGCCTGGAGGCTGGAAGGATGGGGGGGCCATGACTGAACTTGGACTAGCTGACTTTAGAGGGCCAGATCCCGTGATTGCCAAGATCTCAAGTCTAATCGATAACGGATAGCGATAGCGATAGCGGTAAGGACGCCCCCTCGGCCCGCGGGGTCCCTCAAAAAGGTCTGTGAGGGCATCGTGCTTTGCAAAGATCAAGTGAGGATTGTGATCCAACTGATGCTCCTAGTACGCCGTACCTAGGTGTTCTGCCTCCTCTGTATCTATTCTAGCGATATTGACATAGGCATTAGAGATCTAGGTAATCACAGATGGCTGTTTCTTTGCACACAACTCTAGTCTGTGTCTTCTGCCCTAGAATCTCTGGGCAAGGCGGCTGTGCTCCGAGTTGTGGCTTCCTTCCAGTTTCATCACCCCCCACACGTGCCCGCAGCCAAGATGAGTAACCTGTCTGCTGCTTCACTTCTCGCTCCCAGTCTCCATGGCTGAAATCCGTCTGTACATGCGCCTGGCAGTATAATGTCTCGTGGGCATCTGTAACTCTCTTTCAATCTTCATGTCTTCAGCTTCATCATTTCCATCATTCCCATTTCAATCTCACAAATTATAACATCCATTGACCACAATCTTGCATCATGGCAAGGCCGACTTCCAAATCCCGCGCACCCATGAGCCTTGAAGCTCTCCTAGATGAAGAGAATCGAGAAGTCATAGCTGCTCTTGACCGCAAACGACCCACCAGTCCTATGCCTAGAGGCGGAACCTCTGCTCGAACTGCAACCCCTCCTCCAGTTCGAAGCATGCTTGATGTTGACTCTCCCACCCACCGTTCTAGACATGGGTCGTCTGTTGGCTCGGACGGTGGACTCGCTAGCCCTCCATCTAGTGCTCGGCGGAAATCAGTTCAGCTTGACCCTTCCGACCCTTCTACATATACCTCTGCACACTCGAGCAAGCCCAGCTCTCCCGTTCTGACCAAGAGTGTTCCAGTAACAACTCGACAACGAACCTCTTCCGAGCATGAACGACCCACGGGGTTGCCAAAGGTTGATGCGGACAACAAACGAGGATTTGAACAGAATTACCAATTCGATATGTCATCCATTCCTTCAAGTGCTGGGACTGCAACACATCCACAACCAGAGATCAAACGGCCTCGGGAAGGCTCAGGCTCTGCCATGGCCGCTGCCATATCAGGAGATTTCGCGTCTCTGAATCTACCGTCTTCCTCGAACCGAAGCCACAGTTCCTCCAAGACACTTTCTCATTCTCGATCCCCTGCTTCTCGGACACGCAAGCCAGAGCCCTCCAAGTCTGGTAGCCTTCTTAGCCCCTCAGCACCCATTAAACCATTGACTACCGATTCTGGAACGGTCGTGGATGACCAGGCTCACCGTAGATTGTCTAACAAGTCCAATAGCTTCTCTACTGTGGCAACTGATGACTCGGAGGAGGGCCAAGGCCGCGTACCAGTTGATGTGAACGGCCAAGAAGAAGCGTTGGTAGAAGACAGCGATGATGACGTCGGATCACCTAGTAGTGATGAGGATGAGACTAGAGGTCGCCCAGGAAGACGCAAGACATCAGACACTGGTCACCCAGAGAGCGGTCACCTTCCTGACCCGAGTGAGACATCTTCTACCGAGAATGAACGAAGACCGTCAGCAACCAAACAGTCTGTCAAGTCTCTCCTCGAGCCCTCAATATCTATTACAAGCCCCACCGGCGAAAACCTTGCCGAAACACCAACCGACGTACATCCCGATACCAACTTTGTCAATCCTGCCTCTGTGACTTCTGTCGAGGACGAAGAGGAGGACGAAGCGCAGGCTGCAATTCGGAAAGCTAAAAGCCTGGCGCTTAACATATCTCCCTTGGATTCGAGGGTTCAAGATCGACATGTGCGAATAGTCCTGCGTGGCGATTGGGTTCATTTTAATCAACAATCAGAGGCAGGACATCGAACGGCAAGATTGTACCTCATCTGTAGTGATCTCAGTGTTGAGGCTACGTACGCTATGGAGTGGGTAGTAGGAACCATGCTACGAGATGGTGATACAATGCTTGCCATTTATGCAATTGAGGATGAAAATGCTGGAAAAACCAGTGAGGCAGATCGGGAAATACTTCAGGCCGAAGGTACTCAAGCTGGTAAGGACGCTTCTGAGGTCATGGCCACTCTTACACGGCAGACCACCCAAGGTGGTGGTACTAGCGTTGGGTTGGACAGCAAGAATAGGTACATTCCTGCTACTGAAGCGGAGAGTCTGACAGGCTCCGTTGATGCCCGGAAAACGTCAAAGCGAGAGATGGAGAGGCTGCGCGCAATCGAGGAAATTACTGGAAATTTCATCAAGCTGGTCAGGAAAACAACGCTACAAGTGAGGTGTATGATTGAGGTCATTCATTGCAAAAGTCCGAAACACTTGATTCTCGGAGCGGTAAGTGTACCTTGTGATCACGCCATGCCTCGCATTTATCTAACAATTGCTTTGTAGATTGACGAACTGGAGCCTACTTTGTGTGTTGTGGGAACACGAGGACGCAGTTCTCTGAAGGGAGTCTTGCTCGGATCATTCTCCAACTATTTGGTGACCAAGTCTTCGGTGCCTGTGATGGTAGCGAGAAGAAAACTGAAAAAACCCCGCTCTCAGATCAAAGTCAGCAGTAATAAGATCAGACTGTCCAACAACCTAACAGCATCAAACATGCCGACCAAGCGCAAGGGCTTGACCCAAGCTCGCATCGATTGAGATCCGAACCCACTAACTCAATCAAATGTGACTGAGACACAGGGGTTTGCAATAGACCGGTTGCATATGAGACTCACCGGAGATGAGCTTTACGGCTGTGTCGATGAGGAATGACGGTTGCAGAACTAATGACACACAATGAAGTTCGAAATTGAAGTAGCCAGCGCTACTCATTTTGAATCTATACAAAATTGCAAATTACTCTTTTCATTGAGGCACATCGACCTCCATCATTCTTTTCTTTCGATTGCGTGGTAGTGCTTCCTGTCGTTTTCTTTCTTCCGGACTGATGTCATCTACATTAGTACCTTGCTGTTTAGCCGGTGACTGTGACTCGTCTGGCTGCTGTCCCAACCTGGTAGCTTCCTCAGCCTTGTCAACCTTCTCCGTCCTCACATGCCCTTCCATCGCGACCCTTAAAATTTCCTCGTCCAACCCTTGCACAAATTCCCACTCCACACCGGCCTGATTCAACCTCTGCAGACTCTTCGAGTCCGTTACAAACGTCCCTGGCTCCTTCGCGCCAAAGACCACTTTCCTCACTCCTCCCCCACCAGTACCACCGATCCTGCGCGTGGCAATAATCCGCTCCACACACGGCAGATTCCCGCTCAGCCGCTTCCCGCACGGTTCGAGCGTCGTGTACAGCACGGCGTTGACCTGCGGCGTTAAGACCTGGTATAATTGGTCCTCGGCGATCTGGTGCTGTTGTGCGAGTTTCGTCAGTGCGCACTGCTCTGCGTGCGTGTTGCCCGGGAGTTCGAGGGTATAACCCGTTGAGAGTGTGGTCCTAGAGTCCGAGTCCGAGTCCGAGTCGGTGTCGGCGAAGGAGACGATCACGCACCCAACGCGGAAGTTTGTTGGTTGGGGTGGTGAGAGTCGGGCGAGCGCTAGGGCTTCAGACAGGTATTTGAGATGAGTTTCCTTCGTTGGTGCGGGCGGCATCACTACAGAACTGTGTGCTCCCTTCTTTGATATACTCTGGTAGGCGTTTCCGATTTGCTACGCAGATGGTAAAGTCTCAGCAACCTGTCTTCACCTTTATCATGGAGACGTTTGCCTCTGTCTTCCTCCCTGGAGGAACTTTGGATGACGTCGATGATAGTACGGCGGAGCATTTGCTCCACGAGAACGGCGTGCTCGCCCGTATGAGGTTAGATATCTCGATGTGAGCGCGAGGGCAGGTACGACCTTTAGATGCAGCGAATGCTCCTTCATGCTGCAAATGCTTTCAACAGGCGGTGCTTGCCTTGCAGTGTGTGAAATCGTCGTACTTGGGCAGTCACGGAGGAAAATGAATCTCTTACTTCCAAAAACCATCATGTCTTCTGCGAAAGCTCACCAACATGACTCTCCTCCTGAGAGAACTACCACCTGCATCATCTCTCTTCAAATTTCTCTTACATGCTTCAAGGCTGGCATAAATCAACACCATGGTTTATGATTCGCATTTCCTATTCCAACCCAACTCTCGCCCCAAGACCTGGACTCCTATCACTTCTCTTGAAAACTCTCAGACAGATGAGCAATGTAATGTTCTTGACACCCTAGCTCAAATCCATAAATGTGGTCTGGATGGCATCCTGTCTCTCCCCCGTTTTGTGGTGTGTGGAGATCGTTCTTCAGGCAAGACCTCAATTTTGGAATCCTTGACAAAAATCCCCTTTCCCAGAAACGACACCTTCTGCACTCGATTCGCCACAGCGATCACCATGCGTCGAGGCCCCATCGACCAGCTGGTGGTGCGTGTAATTCCGGACCCAGATCGCTCCGTAGCTGAGCAAACAGCCATAAAAGAATTCAGCGAATACCCATCTGACTTCACCGACTTACTTAGGGTGATGGGGAAGGCCAAGGGAGTCATGGGTCTGTCGTCCATCTCTTCGCTCTCGCAACCTCTGCCTGCCAAAGCATTTGCCAGAGACGTCCTAAGTATCGAAATTCAAGGTCCTTCTCGCCAGCAGCTCACCTTGGTGGATATCCCGGGATTGATTCGGTCTGAAACACAATGGTTCACTAGCCAGGACCGCGAGATGGTTGCTGAAATTACAGACGCATACATCACACAACCTCGGACAGTTTGCCTTGCCGTCATTTCAGCTACCCATAACCATGCCTCCCAGTTGATTTTGGAAATGGTCCATGATGCTGATCCCACTGGTGAGCGGACTTTAGGGATCATCACAAAGCCTGATTCACTCAATGCCGGGTCCAATGAAGAGAAGATATCCTTGGACTTGGCTCGAAATGTGAAAGTCGTCTTTAAACTGGGATGGCATGTGATCAAGAATGAAAAGGTTAGCGAATCTGCCTTTTCCTTTGAGCAAAGAAATGCTACAGAGGCGAGTTTCTTTCGTAACTCCAATTTCAATTCATTGCCCGCCCACGGTTTGGGTATCGATGCTCTACGGGCACGTCTCACTTTCATCTTGTTCGAGAATTTCAAACGAGAATTGCCAAACTTGACTCGAGAGTTGGAATCAGCCGTGACAGAAACGACATCTCAGCTCCGAAAACTGGGGGATGGCCTTGCAACAACCTCGCCAAGGCACTCTCGAAGCTATTTGACGCGACTGAGTATGGACTGTGTTGAAATCAGCAATGCAGCTATCAATGGCAATTATGAAAGTCTTTACTTTCACGGCGACTCTCATGAGACTTCCTCACTCAAGTCAGCTTCATCAATCAAGAGGTTGCGCACGGTGATTCAGCATCTCAATCGCGATTTCGTTAGCGAGATTCAAATTCGTGGAGCCAAGTACCACATCATGTCTCCCGACCAGGAGACTCAAATGTCAAAACACTTGGCAGATTCTACAATACCAGGATCCGTGCAGCTATCAAAAGACAAAGCCCTAGGATGGATTTCGCGAGTGATGGAGAGATCACGTAGAAAGGAATCTTATGGCAATTTTAATCCTTCCATCATTGGCGAGCTTTTCTGGGAACAAACTAGCAAATGGCAGGCTCTTGCAGAACAACATGTAGATCGTGTCTTCTGCATCTGTCAGAAGTTCTTTGATCTTCTGTTGGAAGAGAAGTGTCCAGGGTACATTGGAGTACGGCTATCACAATTTGAAGTGGTAAAATCTCTCAATACTCGCCGTGAATGCGCGTACAAGGAGGTTTGGAATCTGATGGATGACAACCAAGACTTCCCCACAGTTTATGACCATGATTACGCTGCCACGATCCAGAAACAACAGTCAGAAAGGATGCAAAGCGTTCTAAGGGAAGCGATTGATGATGCAGCATCGCAGCCTGAAAGTCATGAAATTGTCTCAAAGAACGCCACCTCATCGATTAGTCTTGATGCTGTCATGGCACAAGTTCGCTCGAAGACCCATCGAGATATGCACTCTTACAGCTGTGACCATGTTCTTGGCTGTCTTCTCGCGTTGTACAAGGCAAGTTTATTCTTAATATTGGGAATTCGAGCTTCTCCAACTGACTTCCACTAGGGCAAGATGAAAACATTTATCGAGAATGTCGCTACTCAAGTAGTAGAACGTCATTTGATCCGCGGCCTCGATAAGATATTCTCTCCCATCCAAGTGAATGAGTGGAATGATAATGAGATCTTGAAGTTGGTTCTTGAGCCAGAACCTACTCGACAACATGGCGAGATCCTGGTCAGAATGCTGTCCAAGTTAAAGGATGGTCGAATGATCTTATGCAAGGAAATGAGCAGTATGAAGTGATGCACCGATACAAGTATGAAAGGTGGTAATTGGGGCTGGCAAGGTCGTGAAGGGTCGAGCATGCGATGTGCCTTACTGGAAAAGAGACAGTGTATTCGTGCTTTTTCAGATATCCGGGCACGTCTTCAGCCGTGCTGGAGTGCTGCAGAATCGGTTATAATTAGTATGGTGCCGGCCGTGCTTTCTCGGGAAGGGCACTTGGCTGCAATAGTGAAAGGGCTTCAACTCTTCGACCTCACACCTCACACGCTACTAAATACTACCATTGCCGGAAGACTAACCCATGCTTAATCAATCACACTACTCCCGCCACTCGACGAGCCTTCACCGCGCCGCTCCCGTTGCCGATTGAGTACTGACAGGCGAGACCAACCACACTTGATATACCCTTCACGTTCCTCTACATCTTAAGACATACCTTGAGCGTGAAGAAGAAGAAGCGAGGTGGGTAGTTCATTAGCCGCGGCGGGACGAGGCTGGGATTGTCAGGGGGACGGACGGGATCGACGCCCAAGGGCTTGCGCGTGACTGGTCCAGTCGGTAACTAGACAAGTCAAGTCAACTACTATGTTGGTGAACACCGCTTTGCCCGGTCTAGTCGACTGCTGATATGGAACTAAATAACTAAATAGGTAGGTTACTACCCAGCTACTGATATTGGGAGTTTCGTCATAGATATATATAGTAGTAGCAGTCGAGAGTGGGTTTTTCCAAGGGCCCTTCTGAAGAAATTACTTAGATATCGTCACAAGAGTAAGTCAAACTACCTTTTATTGAAAATGTATATGGTTTATTCTGTTGGTACATGTCCGCAGACATCTGGCTGGCACTTACTTCACGGCCGAGTAGCCATCCAGGCATCCCGAGCCTCGGGAACGAGAAGGGGTGAAGGAGAAAATCTTGTCGAGCTGTCGAGTATTGTTATATGTTTTGAGGCCCGCTGGTATAGGTATAACGCCGACTTTGGCGTCTCTTGTGATGCAAATGCACCGATTGCATTGCGCTCGTGAATATGTTTGTACGAGCTCAAACAATGCGAATAAGAAAAGCCCCCAAACGGCATGAGCCTAGCCGCCCTCAGTCGGCAGGAACGAAATAAGCTCAAAACAACCCAAAACTCCTGCTCGTGAATTCCTTTTGAGTTCAGCGTGTTTGTTTTTAGAAACCCCGTGGACCCTAAGAACTCATAGTGCACGATGAAAATATAGCGCCGTGTCTGTTTTGCCTGTCTGTCGTCCCAAAAATTAACATAGTAGATCAAAAAATTCTCATTCCTTTAACGCCGACACCGACACATCCTTATCCGAATTCGTTCCATTATTGCTGTTGGGTTCTGACACTTTCGTCTTGCCCATGAGGACCGCTAATTGGTCCATGTCACTTTCCGTGGCGGCTTTCGCCTTCAGTCGACGACGGCCATTGTCACTCTGCTGAAGGGTCCGGTCCTTCCTCTCCCTGATGAGTTTTTGCATCACGGTGATCTCTTCTTCGAGATCGTCCAGATCGACTACCTCCTTGCTGCTGGTCAGTTTCCGTCGATAGGTCTTCAGCATCCGACACGCTTGCTCGGTGGCCATGCTCAAGCTTCCGAAGTCGGATGCTTGGCTCATGCTTTGCCGTCGGCCTTGCGCTATAGCATGGTTCCTGAGATCTGTGGGGACGGAGGGTGGTCGGCGTAATCGTCCGTTATTGGATTTTTGGCGATGTTTTGGGGTGGTGGGCACGGTGATAGAGAATGGTGGTGGTGATGGAGAACGTTCTTGGACGTGTAGAGCCCGATATTCATTCTCTTTACTCAATTCTGTACGTGACCTTTGTGGCTTTGGTCTTGTTGGCACCTTTAGTGGAGGCGACGGAGAACGGCGAGGATTCGATTTTGGTCCCTTTTCGCCCTGAGGTGACTTGCTGACAGCAGTGGCGATTTCGGCTGGTCTGGCAGAGACATTCTCGACGTCTTCGACGGTAGTCGAGAGAGCAAGTCGAGACGTCTTGCGCTTTAGTCTTACTGGTGAAAGTGACCTTGGCGTTGACGGCGAGAGCGACATCTTAGGTCGAGTAAGCTCGGCAATGTCCAACTTTGTCAACACTTTTCTAAGAGGTGGAAGAGATGCAGGGCTGGGCTTCACGCCCGGCGACTCTGGATCTTCCCCAGCTATACCAAGTCCATGCGGTCTTTCTGGCGACCCGTCTTGTGTCAGGAAGGATGTCGACTTCGAGAATGTCCAGATCATGATAGTACCGTCCAAGCCCGTACTAACTATCGTACACTGTCGACCCGAAAACTCATCGGTGGATTGGTCAAGAAGAGCAATATCACTGACACCCTCGGTATGCCCAGAATCTCTGCCTAACAGAGACATGTTCTTCTCACTATAAACGCGAATAGACTTGTCCATGGAGCAGTAACCAGTCACTACCCTTTGAAAGCCATCAGCACCTTCGGGTGCCTGATTGCAAATAATCGTGTTCAAGGAGACAGTGTCATCATTTTCGGAGTCCCCCACTTTGTATGAGTCTAAAAGTGTACCGGCTGCATGATCGACTTTTGTAATTCTGCGATCCATTGTGGAGACTAGTAGACAATTTTCCGTTGAGGGTGTCATCGATAGTGGTGAGCCCTTTAGTGTGAGTACTTTCGTAGAAAGATATACACTGGTCTGCACGCCATCCTGGTCTCGAGAAATCCGGTCGCGTATTATCAGCGATCTATCTGTTGAGCAGGAAAGCAACTTTTCTCCGCTGGAAGCGAAGAGCACCTGATTCACAGCTCCAACGTGATCGTCCATCGTTTGAAGTAGCTCAAAGTTATCGTTGTTTATCTGGAAAAGTTGTATCATTCTGTCCCGACTGCAAGTTGCAACAAGAGCATCGGTAGGATGAACAGCTATACCCATTACCTCTGCACTGTGGGCTCGGATGGTATGCACCACTAACCATTGTGGATTCTTGATTAGCTTAAGCATGCCGAATCGATCACCAGCCACAAAGCCACTGAATTGTTCGGCGAATTGCATGCGGTTCAACTCATTCTCAGAGTTTCCGCCATCGCCTTCAGACTGTCCCAGATCGAGAGTCTCTTGATTTAATAAATTTCCCTTCACATCCCAGAATTTGATCTCCGCATTCTTGGACCAAGTGAAGAAATCGCCTAGGCCTGCTCGAACAGGTAGACTTTGCACACCTTGAATGATGCTGTTATGAGCGGCGAACATAGGTTGTTCTTGCCCCTCCTCAGATTTATTTTGTTGTAGCTGTAAGCTTCCCTCACTATCAAGCGTGACTGTCTGCTCTTTCATTGTTCCAACGGCTGTGACATGGCGACTCGTTGGTGAGAGGAAGCCTAATGAGCGTCTAACAGCAGAGATACGATGCGGTTTGCGTTGCGGTCCACCCACTAAAGTTTTTACTTCATTAGCCGACTGATTTTTTCGTAAGTCATCGAGATCCTCGGTGTGAAGACCTAATGAGGTGCCCAGGAGTAGACGTTGACATTCTTCCACATAAGCGATAGATGTGATAGAGATGTCAAATTTCTTCAACACCTTGAGCTCGAGAATAGCTTGTGATGTATCTACCAAACACAAATGACCTGTCTCGGTCCCCAGAATGAAGGTTGTGGCATCAATGGGCAACACACTTGTGAAAGTTGAGTCTACCATTGAGCCAAGTAGACAATTCCGACCCGATAAAGGTGTCGGTCCTGGACTGGAGGGCAATATTTCCGAACGTCGAAACCTTGGTTGCCTGACTGGTGAACGTTTTAGAGATTCTGTGAGGTGCCATAATTTGACGTGCCTCGTACCAACCGTAATCAGATTAGTTCCACACCATGTCATATCACTGACTGTGGTGGTGCATTTGTTCGCGGAATGCAAGGTCAGTTGGCCAGTCTTCTGATTCAGTGACCAGATAAATAGAAATCCGTCGTTGAAGTTGCCCAGAGTGGCGAGGTACTTCATGTCAGGGCTAAATGCGATGCACCGTACCCCGTATGTATGATCACAAACAATTGATGTGGGAATCTCGGAGGAGGCATCTTCAGCGGTGGAGAAGAGGAGAACCCGTGGGTTATAGCCAGTTTCTCCTACCGCTAGCCAGCGACCGTCCCGACTGAGCGAAACACAGGATGCAGCCTTAATTCTCTCTCTTGCGGACCACGTGCTACTTCCAGACTCGTCCAACCATTCTCTACCAAACGTACTCGCACTATGATCATCTTGCGCTTTTCTCAAAGGAAACGTGCTTGTCCTTCGCTTTGAAGGAGTACTCGCAGGTGAGTTTTCGTAGTGGGATGTGGGAGGATTTAAGGAGGGTGCGGTCGGCCTGGCTTTGTAATAACGATGAGAGGGGGTATTTTCAGAGTCGACTTTGGCTAGCACTGCTACAGCTCCCGCGCAGTATGCGTATGAATTGATCGCAGGACAACACGAGAGTCCGCTGGGATTATTTGTGGTGGTTCCTATGACTTTTTGTAATTGGAGAGAGACCTCTGTTGCTCGCAATCTTCGAGACAACCCTCCCGGTGTCTTGGTGAGTATCGGAGAAGCGAGAGGCGTGGTTCGGATGGAGGGTGACTGGGAGTTTATCTTGCTGCGCAAACCGTATGGATGGGTAGCCATTGCTCACATGATCCCTCGAGGCTGGTATCGAATGCGTTGTCAACAAGCGTTCAGGCGGGGAAATGGGCATGCAGAATGTCCAATATGACTAGGAAGTGGCCGGTTCCTATCCGATGCCACTGGAAACCGATCTCGTCGCGTGTCTGCGGCAGGATTTGTGGCGAGATTAAGAGATGGTCGACTCCCCCACCGGAAATGAGAGTATGGTTGTATCAACCATAATGAGTCAAGTGAAGGAGGGGTATAGACATGAGGATTGAGTTCTCAACGGTTCAGTATAACGGCGTCGTCAATAGTGACGGTCTGGCACTGACCAACCCGCGGCTCGTCACTGTTTACATTCTTGGACCAATTGAGAAAGTGCGATACGAGAATAACGTGACGTGAGGCTGCGACAGACAGATAAGGAATAGCGTGACAGACGGTGTGGCGCATATTACTCAGGGCTGACATAATATCGACTTTTCCTTCTGCCACGGTGCTCCCTGGCGAGACATGGTAGCTCGCAGTACCAGGTACCTCGCACCTACTCCGGGCCTGAACCTAGTACCGCTATTGTGAGCCATAATATCATCGGACTGGCAACTTTGCTGCAATATTACCTTCGAATAGACTAATGCCGCCATGGTCGGAGGAGGCCGTAGTACCGCTGAGAAGAGCAATCACCGATCGCACATTCAGCTAACGAGGACCTTGATGTGCTTATACGGTACATATTATTGCCTGTATAAGATGTACGTAGGTACTATGTACTCCGTGGTTCGTGCCGGAAGCATGGATGTCAGACCACTTTCAAGGTGCATTGTCTCCTTTCCACGTTTACCAACGCGTTCGACCTCGTGAAGGCCTCGTGTGCATCTGCACGATGACATCGTTCATGTACCTAGATATCTAGACGAAGACAGTCACAAGGTCAAGGGCAGAGGTATCGAATAATCGGCTCTTTACGGATGACAACGCCAGGTCTGTTAGATGTCCACACAGTGGTACTAGTATCTCGTGCGGCATAACAATCTGCAAGTATTTTCAGCGACTTGAAACTGGGCCCGTCTCTGGACGATGGTGTCATTGAATACGGAACATGCCGAGTCTCAGATATTGCTCTTTTGCAGACCTGGTAGACGGTATTTGCCGAAGCGATTCGCCTGGATACTCGTATGCATGGCGGACGCATACCTGAGATGTCTGACCTGGTATTCATATCGACATTGACAACCCAATCCTCACTATTGCATGTTGATCCAAAACGGTTAAGACTTCAGGAATTTCTGATTGCACCGATTCGAATACCAAGACTACAGCAAAGAAAGGCCAAGAATTCCAAGAATGTTCCGTATGCAATTTAGAGAAACCGTGAGAAAGTCACGGGTTGGGAGGGTCAACAATCGTCAGGAGTGTGCCCAGAGAAGGTCGTATCGATCGTGGGGTAGCAGGCCGTTTAAACCATTCATGTCGTTGACCGTTTGGAGCAGGTGGTGTCTGGAGTCTAGACACCAAAGCAATACCACCTTGCTCACCAACGAGCCTTGGAAGACCCTGCTTGGTACCGGTAGTAGAAGCGCCTGGGCCAACTAAGGTTGATGAAATCTCGCCATTTGAAGCGAGGGGCATGTCCGTATCAAGTACTGCCATGCCTGGTATGATAGCCCACTAGCTAGGGTAGGGATCAGGGGACTCATGGTCACCCGGGGCCGTTGGAATGGGGTTCTTCTTCACGCACGGGTAAGAAGACTGTGGTCTACGGGTGGCAGAGAGGAATGACTTCCGCCAGACATGAGCCTGAACATAGCTTCGTCCACAGCCACTCGTTTGATCACTCGAACGAGCATGGCCGAATTTTGCAGAGAAAGAACCAACCTCCTACCCAGGAAAAGCGCGGATGCAGGCTGACTGATCGCACAAGCTTGGAAACTTCCTTGGCGCCGAGCTGGGCGACCCTGGAAAAAGATGACGAGGATTTTCCCAGGGCTGCCTTTCAAAAGGTCCTGTTGCTTCTGAAACTGGGGATGCTGATTACTGTAAATACGAGGTTGAAGGACCAACTGATGCCCACTCATTGAGGAAGAGGAGCCACGTGTAGACCGGGGCGGGTTATCTCGAGCTCGCTTGGAGGGTCTCGGGCAGCGATGGGCCCCTCGGCCCTGCTCTTGTGGTCATTCTGGGGGTACTCGTACTCACACCTTAGGGATCTCGAGCTGGGGTTGAAGAGCCTGTTAACTGCTTCGACCCCTCCAACCTTGAGCATTGATTGTTCGTGTTGCCCTGATCGACCACGTCGAGTCGTTCACACAGCACATGGATGTTCGGAAAGGAAGCATGTTTTGGGAGTTTGTTCAATCAATGAACCTGCACATCCCGGATAGCACAGATCCCATGGCTGAATCAGGGCTTATCTGCACCAGAACCGCAATCCATCTTTCCTTCGGCGTGGGAACTTGGAAGGCACACAAAATTGTCACCTGAAAATGCCCCCGCCCCCGTTGCTACTTGCAAAATCGTCCTTTGACCGCAACAATATACTTCATATTTGGCTGATAGCACCTAGGAACATTCCGTTGATGAAGGTTCATCGGGCTCAGTAGTATGGTCCACTTAGCAAGATTTATTCCCGTGTGCACCATTGCACCATTTTCCCAATCCGGCCTCTGTACTAAACTTCAACTGGGAAACGACTTGCGAGAACACGAAGATAGGCGTGCCCCCAGAACTTGAAGCTCTGGTTCAGGGAATTCTAACCACGGGTCCGAGCCACACCACATGGCCCCTGGTTGAGGTCTGGTTCAGTCCATCGGAAACGCGAGTACGAATATTCGTACTTGATGATGAAAGTGGCAGACCTTGATCGCGAATTAGCATCTTACATGATACTCGGCTACTCCTTAGCGAGGGCCAAGGAGGTAGTGCATTTCTCTGAGCGCACCCTCGAAATCTAACCCAAAGTCAACGGGTATCCCCCGCCGCGTAAGTGGGTTAGATGCCTATTTCCCAGTCGGGTGATAATTCATCAAGTACTATTAATATTGTCTGTGATTGTTCCACCACGGCAAAGCTTGCCAGATAGACGGCGGTGCTTCGGCACGTGCGACGTACTCGCCGAAGGATAAAAGTGGTTTCATGCTAAATATGTTGCATTCAACGGGTCATATCTGGAGCCGAGATGATAATATCGGAACTTTTTCCAGTCCAAACATGCCCATCAGTGCCAATTTCCTCCCATGTAGTAGGCTAACGTATTTCCTGCTCTCCTAAAGTGTCTCAAAGTTCGTGAAAGTAATAAATCCCGTAACGTGTGGGGAATCCAAACAAAATACCCGGCTCCAGTCATGCAGCGCAGTGTGCGCTTTCGCTCAAATACAATGGACAAAAAAAATCGACAAGTGCCTCCCCTTGTGAAGGATGGTATCTCTCATGCTTCCCCATGAACGCCCTAATTAGACATGACAATCGAACAAGAGGTCCGAATGCTCTATAGTGAATCCTCGAAAGAATGCAGGGCGAACTCTGAGTTTATGTCCACGGCATTCTTGTCGAAATAGGAATCTGGACCACTGTACAGCATGTCATGGGCTGAGAAGGCATCGAACTTGTCGAACTTGTCCGGCATTAGCATCTCACTGAAGGACTGGTCTTGACACGTCCGGAGTGCATTCAACTCGGCGCTGAGTTCCGCTATCCGGTTGTTGAGCTTGCCGACCTCATCTGCTTGGCGGGTGTACGTTTGGAGAAGATCTTGGTGTTTCTCGTGTAGGTCTTCAAGCTGATGCTCAAGTCCCTTGACGTGCTTCTCCTTTCGCTCCCGAAATGCGCGTTGAGATGCTCGATTCTGAGCACGCCTCCTCTGTTTCATGTTAGTCCATCTGTAGTAAAAGTTTTAAGAACAAAGGGGTATGACGTACCAAATGCATGTTAGGAATTGTGTCCTTTTCTTTGGTGGTAGATGTGCTACCTGACCTCCGCCGCCGTCGATTCGCTTGATCTAGAGTGGCAGCGTTGTTGTATTCAACTGCGATCTTGCCGTTCTGCGTCGGGGGATAAAAGTTTGCTGGAGCAGTGCCATACTGGAACATATCGTATTGTATCGAATTGTTGTTGAACATCATTGAAGTCATCTAATGTCATTTTGTGAGCTGGGTGGCCATTGTGCAAGGTAGAAGTATACTTACATTGGGTGTATCAGGACTGGAGCTCTCGGATGTGCTGTCGAAGTATTGTCCAGCAGCAAAGATCGATTGATTTGGCGATTGTGAAGGCGAGCTCGCATAACCATAGTCCATGTTTCCGTTGGAATGGAGATGCGACGTCATTCGATGGTAATGGGGTCGTATATATCTACTTTGTAGAGATCTTATCGGAGATCTTGATCGAAGTTTGATGGCGAAGTTTGAGTCAGCGTTGAGTAATAAGAAAATGCAACGGTCGGATGGATTTGGACTTTAATCAATTCCAATGTCAGATGGATGGTTCCATGAGGGTAAAGATATAACTCAGCCCAACCGTTCTGATTGCGACTTTCCCAAATATTTTGGCGCTAATGGAGGGACGGGGTTTATTGTTCTGCCACTGTCACAACTTGCATCAACCAGGCCGGAACTAACATAGTTCGTTTTACAGGGGTGCTGGTCCCCTTGGACAGCACAATGCACTGCAAGGCACGAGCATGGCGGGCATCACGGGCTCAGGCGGGAGTCGCTCATGCTGGACAGGTTTGGGACAGCCTGGACGGTTTGACCGACGGGAAAGAGGAGTGGTCAAGACAGTCGTCGAACGAATCGATGTGAGGGCTTGAACCCAAGCCAATCGGACTTGGTTTCCCGACTGCCAGAAGAGGTTTAGAGCCTGGCCAAGCTGGAAGAAGATTGGGGGGCATGTGGGCGGACAAGTGGGCGGGCAAGTGGGCGAGCAGCAAGCAGACTCATTTCATACGAGATTTGAAGCCAGCAGAATCCACGGTTCTCGACAAGAGTCTCAAGTCTCTGCTCATCATCGCCATGGTCTTGCCCAGTCGTAATCTGGTTCAAGGGTCCTCATGTCAGCGAACGCGGGGGGCTAGAGGCATCTGTCAGAGCACCACCTGCACCACAAGAGCACACTTATTGGCTTGGCTGCTGAACACAGTGTGAACGGTGCTGGAACCAAATCGCGAGTATCAGATACTCTACACCAGTGGTCAAGGCTCTGAAATCGACAAATTCCCTTTCTGAGTAGGTGCCTATCTGGGTTGGCGTGGATTGCATACGCCTATTCCGCCAAAATCTGTGAAGCATGAGGATCAAGGCGCTATGCCTGTCTGAGAAGGTGCCCTTAGAAAAAAAAGACCAATGGGAAGTGCAGCTCACGACATCCAGGGCTACTGGTGGCACGTACGGTTACCAAATGCTCTCGAGCGTCAGCATGCTTCTACTAGCAAGGATGGCTTTGCAAGCCCTGCTAGCGTCGAAGTACGAATAGCCCGAAGCGTCAAAGATTTGTAAAGACAAGTTGATTATCTGATCTCGAGATCCCCTCCCTAGGTACTATATCAATTCTCCAGACCTGGACATTGATCCCTCATGAATCACGACTTGTACTGATAGTAATTCCGAGTTCAATCTTCTCGAAGCGCTTCTTGTGGGAATTGAATTGACTCTATATATATTATACGGGTCGTGGTGGATATCGCTCCTCCCTGACAATCTATACAAGATTACCGGTTTCCACGGTATATTTATGCTTAGACTGGAACTGCTCGGACTAGTGTCATCCCTCATTGGATCTAGGACATCCCCCGCCTATGATCTTCACGTTCAACAATGCTTGTGCCGGGAACTAAACAGCTTCTAGCGTTTCCAGTTTGCTGATACTAGGACTTCGTAGAAGGCTGATGACTACGGAGCACCTCTGTTTGCGTATGCTGAGCGCGTTTCAAGCAGCACGTCCCACAGCAAGCATGCAGGCTAGAACGAACGAGGAGAGGCTAATGCATGGCACCTGTTTTGAAGATCCGCTGCGGAATGCTAATGCCATGATCATGTAATACAAATTCTGCTGACCGATGCGACTTGGCTTGGAGCTCTCTACAACCACTGGTCCATTCGGCGTAGACGAGCCTCACCAAAATCGCCAGCGCCGTTCTACACCAGTCACCCATTACCCTGGTAGCGATGCTTGCTGGCACTCACACTACTCAACGCACTTGCCCAGACGGGCAGTTTGTGGCGTTTTTAGGGTTTCGTCACACAGCGAAGTCCAAGTCGAACATCAAGTCTCTTAAAGAGCCTAAAATGCCACACCCGCGACGCTTTACTGAATGTCGTAATCGGTTGTCAACGTCCTCATTGGTTTTTGAAAGCTGGGTAGGGGGTACCAAGGGTAGAATTCCAGTTTGACTGGTGGGAATCTTGGTCATTCCAGCGTCCATTGGCCTTCTCGAATATCGTTGTGTTCCAACACCTCAGCACAAGTCATGTGCGCCATATCTCGCAGGGCTGTTTCCGAGACAAGAAACTTGAGGTCGATCACTCAAGGGACTGCCCAAAGCAGTCATTCTTGGCAACCTGGGTTTTGGATACCGACAATCCCCCCTATACACACATACAAGCACACGTTGACGCCGGAGGGAAACGATGTTGGCTACTGTCAGACCCTCTCTCAAGTCATCCATTATGTGAACCGCCAAGATAAAACCCAAGCCTCCCCAAGTCGCTTAACGAGATACCGAGATAGATTTATCCCCAACATATTTTGTGCCAAAGCTGAGTTGCTCCTAGCTTGTCGTTGCTTGGTGACTCTTGCCATTCACGAGTTCCACTTGACCTGGGAATCTCCGAGTAACTACTCATTACTGTTCAAAGTACGGATACTACTGCTAGTCCTGGTGACAAATTCACCAATCGCTTGCCTCTTGTAGATCTGACCCTGCCACTGGCAGCTCCAAGCATCGGATACTCCTGAAGTTGTGTGTCTTGGCACCTTCTCAAAAAGGGAATTCAGAACCTTGTCAACCCGTTATCCTCGATCATGATAAGCCCTACGGAAAATGCTAGGTACATACTCGGTACTGTAACCATGGAGTGGCCCCCTCACAAGCCTCATGTTGCTGCGATGTACCCGTGCCGCACTTCCTGTGTACGGGCGAACACCACCAAGTTGGGCACATACCAAGTATAGAAAGCGACAGCCATGCATAGCTGGTAACATATCCGAGTAATGTACGGATTGACCCAAAACAGCAATCGGAAATTAGGTTTACGCTGGATGCCCTACCTCTCTCTTGCTGACGATTCCGAGCCGCCTCAGCAAGTTTGTTTGCCGTTTAAGCGAGGTTTATGGGAGCGATCTATAGAGATAGAGGAAATTCTGATCAGAAATGCGATCACATCATCCTGTCGGTCGAGATCGCTCGAGACATCTCTCAGTGACCCGGATGCCGTTCATGTAATGAGAAAGACGTATGTGTGAGCATTTTACCGCCGACAGGCACTGAGCCGAAGACGTTGCATACGCCTGAGCGTAACGAGCAACATGAGGTATACGTGGGTGGGGATGGCATGATCGCGAGGCAAGATCTAGTACCGGGCAGGGTAGACTCATGGTGTGCTAGAGCTCTGGAAAGTACTATTCGTAAGTAAGTCTACCCAGCTCGCCAACGACAACAGACCTGATACGCGCTCGCGTACGGTATCTCTCAGGGTCAGGAGAGCCTCGTATTGCTTTCCCGTAGGCAAGCTCAGCCTAAACGCGCACCATTTATTCCCCGGTCGGGACACAGGTACTATGGCGGGCGGTAGCTATTTGGGCACGGGACCCTCCCGCGCTATTATTTAGATGAGCCATGAGGTCAGCGGCGGGATCATTGTCGCATAGTGAGGTGATATTTTCGTTTCAGTCATTTCATGGAAGGCATGGAAGGATTCTCTGGAAAACAACAAAAAGTTTGTTTGTAGATGCGATAGAACCCATGGTGGCCACCAGTGACGTACTTGGACATCAGAAGTTTTTGTGGGCGAAGTGGCGGCTCTGGGGAATTTGAGTGGAAAGCAGTCGGCAGAAATATTAGGCGTCCGCACAACGTTTTTCCGGCCGAAATCAAAGTACGAATACGCTTTGGAAAAGCCCATGGGGAGCATGATCGACATTGTGGTGCCTTGCATCGATGCCTCCCGAAGCGCAGCCTATCAATCTCGTATATTTTAAGAGTGCCAGTAGTATCCTACCCTGGTGAGAATGACACCGGATGTGGAAGGTTAACAAGGACAGTTTGTGGTTATTGACCTTACGTCATTGAACGATCGAGGCAGGGTCAAGAAGCAGTCCTCCTCTGCCACGTCGAAGACATTAAACTCGTCAGAAGCTAGAACCACATACTGAACCACTCCTGGCAAGGAGGCCGTCTGTGATTCAAGGTCACATGACCTGATGTTCCAGAGCAAGGGTCCTGGTGCAATGAGGTAATACTTGAGAAAGGTTTTCTGAAGAGACACGGGGAAACAATTTGGGTCGCTTGAGATCTCGGAGAAGAATCTCCGTATTGTTCCTGTTGATCATCTGCACGCTGATTCAGGTATGACATGAGCGCCCGCAGTGCGACCTAGCTGAGTCAGGGGAGAATCCGGGAGACACACCACTGGCAGGCGGCACGGTTTGCGCCGAGGCCATGTGGCGACAAGTTTTTCTTGCACAGATTTGGATGGTTAGCCTGGGTTAGAAATCCTCGTGGCATGATATCTGGTCTTACCAGGGGTCTTGGACCAGGGAATAAGCTGCACAAACGGAGCCTCAATTGGAGTGGTCCTGTCGGAACCTGGCCAGGTTCAGCCTCAATGCAGGACCCGAATAATGTGATCTCGATCTCGATCCTCGTCTGGGTGTCACCCTCGACAAGCGCTGATGACTTGAGCTGCGTCAAGGTGGGATGAATAAGTCCATTCTGCCATCCCGGTCTCACGCCTTTCCAGCGATGGCACTGTCGATACGTAGGAAGACTCCACGCCAGTCAGCTTAATTGCTATCCACGTGATGAATTAGCGACTTCTGTCGTCACCTTGCATCATCAATCGTGGGCAATCGATTTCTGAGAGGGAGAACGCCATGGTCAACGGAAGGAAGACGTCGACATAAGCAATAACAGCTGGATTAGGAGTCTCAAGCGAGCTGATGCAAAATATGACATTCAATTTTGGATTGCCCAGTCAATCGTGGAACTCTTGGTTCAGTGCTGTTTGAGCTTGTCGTTACACATCGGATCTTGGACACAATTTTTCTGATCGGTCATGAGAATGTGGATGCCTACCTGCCAGACACGAGGACGGCATGTCGCGGGCCTACTGGTACCTTGTCCGCCCACTGTCGAAATGCTCTCTCAAGCACCTCAACCGCGAAGAACATGGTGGGACATTGAGATGGTGTTAACTTGTGACTCGTGAGTGTAATGGCGGGGGTCAATATTTGGGTGGGAAGATTCTCAATGATCCCGCTACAAGTGGCTCGGTAGCGATATAGTGGATAATAAATGCAAGAAAACAGCAATCGATGTGTCCCATCTATGCGAACGACCTGGATTTGAGACGGGGTCACACGAAGATGCTCCGAACACGAGGGATGAGATCTCATCCCTAGCACCAGAGTTCGGTGAGGATGCCATGTCCTCGTTACGGTGGTGTACCTCGGACGGCTAGATATCTACCTGGAAAGCCACGTGCGACTCGGACCGTAGATCCGTACCCACAAGAGTTCAGGGCCACGGGATGCGGCGAGGAGGCAACCTTACTTTTGAGTGTTCCTGAACTCCACGTGTCGAGTGGTCGAGAACTGGGAGTCAGGGTGGATGTCAATAGCAGGAAAACAAACGATGGAATACACCATTAATAATTGATGAATCTCACCAAGGCTACCTAGTACACAAACTGGCCGTCCGAGCAGAATGGAATACATTCAGCGTTAGCAGTCTTGGCATACTTCTCAGGGGAACAACGAAATTGGTAGGCAGGGGGTCCAACATGCGACATAGAATTTCGAACAAAACGCCGGCGTTTCTGGTCTACGGAGTACCCGAATACCTAGGCTTCTGCCATATTGTTTAGAGTGTACGAGGCACGCGGTACAGTAGTAGTGCCAGCGAATTGTGCTCACACTGTTCAGCTCAGCCTCGGAGTACCTAGAGAGGTACCTATCAAGTGGTGCACGATGCCCTGAAAAGCTGTAGGTATGGTTCACGATCGGCGCCCGTAACGGTCGGATGATGATGGTCCCATGAACCATCTTGGGGGGCTAACTGGGGCCAAGATCGACCTACGAGTACGATAGGTAACGCGCTGGGTAGGGGAGCCCACTGCTGCCCGCTGCCTATTAATTGTTTGGTGCCCTTGAAAGCCACCTGGGCATCTCTGGCCCGTAGCTTTCCAAGCTCCAGGTGGCACCGCGTCGCCCGAGGTGCCCCCCAAACGCTTTTATCCGGACGAGCACGCCCCCATTCTATGGAGCGTGGCCAGTATCCGTATCTTCGCGTTGCCGTCCTGCTGAACTCTTCTTTCACTTTTCTCAGCTCTACACTGCAAAAAGGACATGTACTTGGCTGCGGAATTTGCATCATTGAAATTGAAATTGCAGCCCCTGAGAATTTCAGGGGATGGACCATGCCAGAGTTATCAACGCTGGCAGTGAGATGCCGTGGAATCTCAACGGAGGACACGGAACATGGCAGACCCTGACAAGTTCGTGTGTTAAGCCTCACCACTACCGACTACTACACTGAATGGCCTTTAGCCCCGTGTCCAAGCTCCTCAGGATTTCCTTTAGCACCCTCCACCACGCCGCCATCAATTGGACTTGTTGATCCACTCATGGCACCTCTGCTGCTTGACACTGGTCCATTCTTTGCCTTTAACCAACCGGCGTTCCCTCCTAGGACGACTACCATAACCGTCCGCCTCTCCCCGGCTCTTTCATGGCCCACTATTCGGTCAATGGATGCACTTGAGCACTCTCTGGCATATCCCTCTCAAACCACTCCTTCTCATCTGGGTTCGTACCTGTGTCGGTTGGCCTGATCCAGTTTGCTTTGTGTAAGACATCCCAGGTTCTCCGTACTGAAGAACGCGGTGCGCCTCCTCACCGTGTCGCAGAGATAGAGACACTTTACCAGCGACCTGTGTGAGTTACATCTTCGTTTCTTTCTCAATAATGTTTGGGTGGTTGGGTGCTTACTCGTCTGAGATCAGTCTTCTAGAATCACCCTCGGTGCACCCTGTTCCAGGTCGCTCCTGACGGCCTTGAGCTTCGAAACCCTTTCCCCAGACTACCGACCTTCATTTTTGGGTCAAGAATGAAAGGAAGAAGAACGCAGCTGCCACCGGGATTGTAAAAGAAAAACCTATTCACACCACTTTTCATATCTTATCACTGCCTGGAAGCACAGCCAATACCTGCCCATCATGGGTTGTATAGGGTCAAAGGTTGATCCCCAGGAGAAAGACGCCGCACAACAAAATGCACGTATTGAACGGCAGCTGCGACAGGACAGAAAACAACAATCTAAAACTGTCAAGATTCTCCTTCTTGGTATGTGGCCTGTCCGCGCAACCTAATCACAACATGTCGTCCGCTAACAAGATATCCACAGGTGCTGGTGAATCTGGTAAATCTACTATTATCAAACAAATGCGAATCATTCACTCGAGTGGATTCCAGGATGATGAACGAATCCAAGTCAAGGCAGTCATTTACTCCAACCTGATCGTCGCCTTCCGAGTCCTCAACGAGATCATGCAAGACGAGAAGATTGAATTTGCCAGTGATGAGAATGAGACATACAGCGAACTTCTGGATGGCATCGATGCTGACGTTGATGCACATGAGGCATTCCGGGACAAGAACGTGAAAGACGCCATGATAGCGCTATGGAAGGACACCGGAGTTCAAAAAGCCGTTTCCAAAGGTCACGAATTTGCGCTCCATGACAACCTGAATTACTACTTCCAGAGTATTGATCGCATGTTCGAATCTGATTGGATTCCCAGCGATCAAGACGTGCTTCATGCTCGTCTTCGAACTACGGGCATCACCGAAACCGTCTTCGACCTTCGCGAGCTGACTTTCCGCATGATGGACGTCGGTGGTCAAAGATCGGAGCGCAAGAAATGGATACACTGTTTCGAGGGCGTGCAATGCCTTTTGTTCATGGCCGCTTTATCTGGTTACGACCAATGCCTCGTTGAAGATGTCAACGCCAACCAAATGCATGAAGCTCTCATGCTTTTTGAATCGCTGGTTAATGGAGAATGGTTCAAAGACAAGCCGATTATCTTGTTCTTGAACAAAATCGATCTTTTCAGAGAGAAGCTCCCCATTTCTCCGCTTTCAGCACAGTTCCCAGATTATCAAGGCAAAGACGGTGATGAAGAGGCGGCCAAACAATTCTTTGCGAATCGCTTCCGCGCCATCAACCGGAATAGCGACCGAGAAATTTACATCCACTTCACCAATGCGACAGATACCAATCTGTTGAAAGCCACCATGGAAGATGTGCAAGACATCTTGATCCAAAAGAACCTTCAAAGACTTGTTTTGTAATAGTGGTGACCAAACCCCAAAAGTTTCACAACCAATTTTCCAGCATCTAAAAACGCCCCGGGGCATGACGTATTCACTGACATGTCAATTTGCATCATTCCAGAATGCGTTGGTCGAGAGTTCGAAGATTACCTGATTGACTCATTGGTTGCATAATCAGGGTTGGAGGCGATTTTATTTGCAATCAACACTCAAGACTAATGTGTTGATTCGATTCGTGTTGGGTTGGCGTTTACAGCAGGAATTAATTCATGGAGGCAGCGTCGGCGAATATGGTGTGCACTCTATGGGTTGTGCACTTGCTCCTATACTCCAGGAAAAGATGAAGAGATGATCAGACCATCCGAAAATGCCCCACAGTAGACATGTACAGAGGGCAACTTGAGCCATTGTTACAGAGCAAGAACGTACGACATGTCCAGATGGTGATGGGTGCATCTCCTAACATTGGTTACGCAGGTACATTGAAGGATCAATGCCTGATATACTGTGGGGTTCTGCCAGTGGGAGACAGCTGAAGAGAAGGAAAAGGGGGCAAAGCTATCGTTTTCTCCCAGCACCGCAGACAATGGCAGCGAGGATCGAAAACGGATCATGTTGATATGACATCCTATACTATGTCTGTCTTGATCTTCATCCTGCGTCGGCCATCATACACTCGTGTACAGGAATATTTCACTGTGAGTATAAAGGGATCTGCATGGTCCTAGGTATGATTCGAATGTTAGAGTACGATCGTATCACAATTCACATTACTCATTCGGGGTTTGAACTTCAACTTTCATGTACCCTCTCATTTTCATCTATGGGGAAAGCTATCGTGTGCGCTCTTTGGTTGATGCATCTTCCATCTCTTCCCGTCCCATTACGATCCCGCAATCAAAAGGGCAACACTCATTATCTCCCGCTCCACGGTCGACTCAAAAGACATTGCTACACTTGCAGAGTCTAGATGACATGTCAATCAGGAATCTACTGGGAAGAATTTACGCTTCTCACGTCTGACTTGAAAAACAGTCAACCCACTACCGCGACTCGCAGGTAAGGTCCCACCCCTTCCTTGTCAATACAGTCTGAGAACCACCATATGCGGACGAGACTGGATCCCGAGGGCCAACGCCATTGTTAACCCATTGGGAACGTCATATCACAGGACGGGCACTTTCCGGTCTCTGCAGGGTCCATGGATGCATGCAACGCGGCTTTGTCGTGCAGGAAGAGGAAACCAGAGTATTCCACGAGCATCGGTGGAGGTACGTAAATACATACCTTCTTTCTTCTCGATGGCTTACATTATTTCCTCGGAGTCTTAGTCATGGACGGCGTTCCGGGGATCTGTTGCTTGTCGTGAATGCGTCAAACCCAAAGTACGAACCGGATACTGACCAGATCGTTGATCTTAGTCAGGAAGGAGTCGATAGACATGCAGGCAAGACAGGGGTTTTGTTCCTGGCTGAGTGTGGAGTGTGTTCGTAAAAGAGCGTTTCTTCATTATTGAGTATATCATCCTAAAGAGGGAAAGACTGAGGTATCATGGTAAGCCAACTAAACAACTAACTAGGCACACACTCTCGTAAGATGAGCTTCTCGCACATTAACATCCGCGCACATCCACCGCTTCCACGTCCACTCTCCGTGCCAAAGCAACACACTCTCCAAGCCCTCACTTCTTCAACTTATGAAGCAAATCACTAGCAAGACTGGTACTGGGCCTGCGATCCTCGTTCATGCGGGTGCCGGCGGTGGCCTCGAGGCCGAAGATGCTGTCCTTCCGGGTGACGTCGCTGGCGACGGCGACACTGCCCTTGCGGGTGTTGACGGTAGCGGCGCCACCACCGGCGGCCGTGACGCTGCCGCGGCGCACGTTGTCGACGGCCGTCTGCGCCGCCTGCGCGTTCTCGTCCGCCGCCAGCGACGCCCGTCGGTCCCCTTCCATCTGGTTCGACGCCGCGCTGTGTCGCCGGTAGAACCCCGAGTGCCGCCGCAGGAACTCGTCGTACGTCCCGTTCGCTTTGTATCCGGCTCCGCCGGTGAGGGCGTGCGGCATCGTGAAGGACCCGGACATGGTTGGTTGTTCGGTTGATTGGTTTGATTGGTTTGGTTCGTTGGTGGGTATTTGGGGTGGACGGCCTCCTGGCGTATTTCTCCTTCGAGGATTTAGACTTTCCTAAACCTTAGGGTCGTTTGTTGATATCGAGATTCCCCGGTGCTGGTGGCTGATTGTGTGGCTACCGGTGATTCTGTCCTGCTTGGGTAGGCTGGAAGGACTATCTAGTTGGTGGAGAGTGCTGCTTGATTGCTTGGGTTTAGGGATGTACCGGAGCGGAGCCACGCCGTGAGAACGCTATAGGAAGGTGGAAGGGTGGTTCACCAGGATTAGACGTTTAGGTCTACCGAGTAATGAATAGACTCAACGTCTCAGTGGTGGAGTAACAAGTAGGTGGTCAGTCAATCGATTTCAGAACTTGAATACTGCCTATGTAAGACGTAAGAATTGATGCGAGAGGCCACGAATAACCCTTTATTGATCGGACAGGGTAGAAAATCTCGAGGATATGGTAATGGAAAGAGAGGATCCGACATCCGTGGAGGGCGGATTCGCAGTCTCATATACTGAGAGCAACTACGTACTCACCGTCGCCAAATGATGCCTTGAATGCAAAGAGCACACTATTTCCAGCACACAATAAACGCGAAAGCCCACTATGCCAATCAACGGATGACTTCCCCCGAAGGTAAAGTTTCCAATGCCATGACCATGGCCAGTGCCAGTGCCAGTGCTCGCTTCGCCTAGCAAGGGCTCCGTACGTGTGTACCACTGCGCACCACCAAGCAAGCAAGCAGCCCGTACAGCCGTACGCCAAAGACCAGACGTTCAAAAACATGCCCACATGCCCACGACACGCTGGGCCTGAGCTGGGCAGGTGCGAAAACCCCGCATTTGCCTCCATCAATACGGGGTCTGCCCAAACCACATCAGCTGTGCTTTTGATCGAATCATCGACAGAGCTGTCGAGTTTAGAATTTGGCCGTGACTTTCGAGGTCACCATCTCCGAGCCAATACGAAAGAGCGCGCCCGGCTCGCTCGGATATCTGTTTGTGAATACCTACGAGTAGGTATCTAGTGTGCCGTAGTGGACGAGTGAGTGCTGGACGGGCGACGATACGGGTGATACTTTGCTTTTGGCTTTTGGCTTTCTGAGATTGTGGTTCTTGTCGGGTTGGGAGAGGTGGGTAGGTAGGTAGGTGGGCGAAGGACTTGAGTTTCGTCTCGAGGCTCTATTCTGAATCGCTTCATTCAAGTCATAGAATGGATAACTAGGCGGTTGGGCCTTGTATCGTGTGTCGCGTGATGTGTCGGATCGGCGTGCCGGCTTGACTGAAAGATGTACCTCCAGTATGTCGGATGATAAGAGGAGCGGTCATTGATCAACATGAACTGTGAAATGTGGACAGCGAACTTTTGGCTTTTGGCTTTTGCATCACCATCTATTCACCTATCCTACGAGGTAGACTATCTTATCCCACAGTTTAGCAATCCGAGGAAGCACAGTTGACTCCTTGGTCACTTGTCAAATATGGATGGCTGCATCCAGACAGATTCCGCTCGCTAATTGATACAGTTCGCTTCCAATGCATTGTAAAGAACAGACATGAAAAGCGCAAGGTGCTTAAACTGATCGCCGAGTGGTCAACTCAAGCACAACTCCACGCTTTGACTCCATCCATGCTGCAAGACAAAACTCAATCCTCATCGACAAAGGTGACTTATCAACCGTCTTCAATAATCATCATCACGATCAAACTCGGGATCCACTTGCGCCCAGCCACTGTTGTGTCGTACTGCCTCTCGGTCTGTATTTAACCGTAGAGATCGTGCCTTCTCAGGATCCTGTCGCCAGCATCTACTTGTGTGATCGTCCGCGACGGTGACCAGGTTGCCATTTGTGGTCCAGGCGACGGCTGTGACCTCCTTTTTGTGACCATTCACCAGAGCAGTACCGTTCTGGTAGATCGGAAGACCATCGGCTGCATCATGGTATACTCGCATCCCCTTGGAAGCTCTCGTGGATGTTCGAGAGCCCGCTGTCTCCAGGGAAATAGGAGGCCGCATGGCGGATTTGGTCAAGTATCGCTCATTCGTGGGGAAGATGACTGCACACTCTTGTCCACTCCCAATAGCAATCATCTCGGCTGTGTCACCAAACGAGTCGCTGTTGTGGGAGCTTGGCCTGACAGCTAGCTTGTCGTAAAAGGAGGCTATACTAAGAGATGGATGACGGAACCCATACAACGGGCCAAGTCCCTGCTTCGGCGTTCGAGTGTATTTTGAAGGTTTGGTTGATGATGCTGACATGTCGGGTGAACCACCAAGTACCAGATGCGCAGTGGAGTAGGCATAAACAGTATGATCACGACAGGCGGCATATAGTCTTGAACCATCAGTGTTCATACCCATGGAAGTCACACCAAACTGACGATAATTATGATGACTGTCTGGTTCCAATGTTGCAGATACGGGCGTCGGTCTGCCAGAGTGATCCGCATATGATACTCGGGCATCCCACAGCTTGATAATAGCGTCGTTCTCCGAAGCTGTTGCAAGTAGATGTGGCCGACTTTGTCCAATAAAGGTGCATGTGGTTATGGCGTAGTCGTATCTACTTGGAAGGGCCCGCTGCCGTCTTCCCTTTGCTCGATTCAATTTGTCCAGTGAGGTATGCGCATCGTATATCTCATTCACAGGCTCCATTTGAATGGTAGTGTCCCAAACATCATCCAGGTTGTTGAAATTCTGCCCTAGGACAGAGTTGGGGGCCTGAGGAGATCTAAGATCCCAGAGGAAAACATTACCGTCTCTTGAACATGTTGCAAGCACTGAATTCCCCGATCCTGGCTGAAACTGTATTCTCTTCACGGAGCCAGTATGAGCCCGAAAGAAGAAAATCGAGATGCCTCTTTCGATGTCATAGATGTGAGACATCTGGTCTCCAGAAGCGGTGGCAAGGAGCTTGTCATCGTCCGAGATTTCCAAGTCCATCACAGCGTTATCATGAGGCCGCCAGGATTTCAAGATCTCGGCATACTTATAGCAATTGTTGTTATCAAAAGTCTGATGTACACGTACATGTCCGTCTTCATCTCCTACCGCAACCAGAGGACTCTGCTTGAAGCTCGTCACGCAGAATGGTAGAGACGAGAAGCGTTGAATGGAATTGTGGTAATAGCGTGAGTCTTCTGGAGTGCTGTAAAAATGGGCCGTTTCATGCTGCCACAACGAGCTGTCGTTAGTCTCTGTGATGCGCCCTCTGGCACCTAGTTGTCTCGATAGAAAGGCAGCAGAAGAACCTGTAGATCTGTAGGGTAGCAGTCGAGGGCGAGAAGTGATCGGCGGGAGTATTTCATCCTCGTCCTCTTCGTCCGTCGTATCAATGGCCTCATCGGTTTCGTATGTTTCCTCATTCCCAGCGACTTCATCTTCCACTCGAGCTTGGGGCTCATGCGATTTTTCATGATATGTCTTGATTGGCGAAGAAGGAATGGATGCGATGGACGTAAAGGAAAGCTTCCGCTTCTTGTTCGGACGGCTACCCTCGCCGGGGATGGGTAGATTCAGATGAGGAGCACTCTCAGCTCGAGTGTTGAGCCTGGCTGCGGAAAGATCTTGTAAGACTCTTCTAGACGATTTCAAAAGTCGTTGTGCATTGCGAGGTCTGGGAGTGAAGAACTTGTTGAAGCGATTAGGCGTGACGGATGGGTTCTTCTTCATCCGCGTGCTTCTCCTTGGACTTCTGAGCGGGCTGCTGTTCTCATCGGAAGGCAAGGCGAAGTTGAAATGTTGCGAAGTAGCATGTCGTTCAGGCGTGAGGTCCATAGCGACAGGGGACGATCCAGAAAGGTTTGAAACCGTCAAGCTGCAGTTAAATTACACAACAGAAGTTCAAATGAATGCTGTAGGTACAGACCAAACCGAAGCGAAGAAGCAGAAAGTTGAAGTCGGACGGGGAGAGATGAATAGTGATGATCAGCCTTGTGGAGGGCAAATCAATCCTTATTGGTGGATATGGTGAGTTCGAAGCGCGTCAAAGTGCCACACATCGTGACGCGACGCGTCGAGCCGGCAGAACTAGAAATTCCGAGATGCTCCCCACAAAGAATCAATCAACTTCTATAGAAATTGGAAGCTTTTGCAGCATTACTCGGTGATCATCGAGCCAGACTTTTCACACACGTCCGCAGATGCACGATACAACGAGCTGAGAAACATATATGTGGGCAATTTGTGGCTGGTGGTAGTCACGGCAATAGCAAATTCCGTTGCTTTTATAATACATCTGTTTGAAATCGAATTCCAAACGATTTCGCATTGTCACAGTAAGGTCATTAGTCGTAATAATGCCATCTCCAGCCTCGTCCTCAGCCAAAACCACTTCCTGGTCATCTCCTCACAGCGCCACCACATTTGCACTCACGTATCTGTCTCTTCAGTTCCGCATTCTCTGCAAGAAGCTTGTAATTCTCTTCTTCTACCTGCATCAATGCTGCCTTGTATTGTTCAACATTTACGTCACCCGACGCCTGAGTCGAACCAGAACGACCTTGCGAGCTTTGACCTAGTTTGTTTTCACCCAACACTGGAAGATTAGGACCGGGGCTCGGCGCCGAACGATTGGTAACAATCGACCCTGATGTTGGCGGCCGCTTGGAGATTGAGCCAAATGACAGAGCCGAGCTCGATGTCAACGGTCTGTTTTCGTCATTGTGTAATCGCCCCAGTGTTAGACTACCACTTATGTTACTGGCCTGGTCTGGATCTTGCTCAGACAGGATTCCCGCCAAACCAGGTCTGGTATTCTTTTGTCTTCGGCTTAGACTTCGCCCAAGGCTAGGGAAGAACCGAGGTTTCTCCTTCTCGCGCATGCTACCTGTCAGGGCAGGAGCCTTGCGAATGGTGCTATTTGTTCGGGTCAAACCCGAAAGCAATTTTGTTGGAGAAAGACCTCCTCGTCTTGTTTCATGCTCGATCCGTAAGGAATCGAGAATAGTCGATGCTGCAGGTTCCATTTCGCAAATCTCGGCGATGATCTTTCGCGCCTTTTCCAAAGTTCTTATGGCTGCAGTGAAATTGGTCGGGACATGAGGAAGTATGGTGTCAATGTAAAGACCGTATCTAGATATTCGCTGTGCTGGCTCCATAAGCAGAGATGGGGCTTGTTGAATGGAATAGGTTCCTTCCTTCAGATACTGGTCCAGATTGGAGGAGATTTGAGAATGAAGGTCAAGATATTCCCTGTATGGCATCGGGAACTTTGGGAAATGGTTCAGAAGGACTTTTGCAAAGGTGTAGATACCCATTGGGTCTTTCGCGTTCTGGAAAAGTGTAGGATTGGCTTGAGCCTCGTCGAGAAACTGCAAAGCAGACTCTTCGGAATTCTGCAGCGCAGATTCGATGTCATCCAAAAAGGCAAGATTCAAATCTTTGATTTGATCCAGCAGTGACGGGAAATGGATCATCGCATTGACCGCCTTTTGACTGCGAGAATCCGAGAATTTGGTGCTGATAGATTTGGGGGTTCTACCCTGGTTAGTAACCAAGTCCGTAAGTTCCCGTAGCCTGGTGATGTATCGATCTTCTGTATCGACAAACTCGCACATTTTGAAACGCATAGACTCCAGCTGTTCCAAGGATTGATTGGTTGTGGGTGCCGAACTGGGCTTTCGATTCGATGGCGTGGATGTGGAGATGGATGGCGTCCTCCTCGATTGACCGCTGGGGATTCGTTTTGACGGGGTCTGGACGTATCCATTCCTAGCTGAGTAGTTGCCTGCGTCTGCCGGGTGAAACGAAGGTCTAGTTTTTCTGATGGAAGCCAGTGGTCTGACAGGAGTGACTGGGCTCGGAGGGCGCTCTTTGGAGAAAGGACGAAGAGCATCAAGAACTTCATCAGTATTTAGCACTCTGCTCATACGACAAGTGACCTGTGCGGCGTGTGTTTGGCCCCATTTGGGTGTGAGTCCGTGGTGTTGATTTTCGTCAGCGATGGCATTCTTGACCTCGGTTGGAATCTCCGAGAAATATCTGCACAGAGCGAAAGCAATTCCTCGAGATACATCGTCTCGTTGTTTGTCCTCCGGAAGCTTGTGTACCGCAGAGTAGTAACTGCTGTTAGGAGCAACCGAGAATGCTCCAAAGCTCTTGAATCCTGCGGCGCTGAGAATGGTAGTTCGGATTCGAGATGTGGAGGCCAGTGAGCCGATCGACTGAACAGGAGAGTAGAAAACAAGGATACGTGGTAGGTAGGGAGCATCTTCGGCATAGTATATTGTGGGCACATCTGCCGGATTAAGCACGGCCGACAATGCGGCCAAGTTGCCCGACTTAGACATGATGGTCAATCGAGAGGACTGCGGTAGAGGATGGAACAGGCCAGGTGGGAGATTGTGCCTCAAATCCTATGAGCATGATCAATGAGGAGAGCTATGATAGGTATACAGAAGCCCTGACAAAGATACACGTCAAAAGATACGCGTCGAACGCGCTCCAGATGTTTACAATGCGATTTTGTTGAGGGGTAGCATGGCCTTGATAATTGTGAGAATGTACTCGGTACGGGGTTGGAGGTTTGTGTAAACAGATTGCTAGAAACGGTGACTCGGAGTTCCCCTTCGGCGTTATGATATTCCGTTACATGGCACTAGGCCTAGTTGAGAGTCATCCCAGGGGCCTTTAATTCCGCACATCGGCGATTGAGGTCAGCACCACTGTAGGCAGTGTGCCCTTGAACTTCAGCTTTGAATCCTCCTGCTAGATATCTAGGTACCTCTTTGCAAGATAACCAATACTAGCATTCCAGAGTGGGTTCAGGGCAACAGTGAAAAACTCGGCTTGATGCATGAAATGTGGGGTACACATCTGACTCTCATTACCTAAGGTATCTGGGTAAGTACCTAGGTAGTTTGCCACGGAGCAGATGAATGAGTCTCCTTGTCCACAGCCATTTGATGGATCCATGAGATAACCATTTCCGTTGTTCGGATCGAATAGCGTCCGAGTCAATTATTGATACGCGCTGACCAGTCCCCATCTCGACTTGTTCTTGCGCTTTGCGAGCATTAATAACTCTGTTGTTGCTCACACTTGAATGATAACTCGGGATTGCGAGTACGACAGAAAGAAAAGTCATAAGCCAGTGGAGCAATCAATCCCAATCTGCTTTGGACATGCGCGAGGCCACGTTGGTCCTGGCGACTCACATATTGTAAGCTGTAGCTGGAAGCCACATGTCGCTCTCTAGCCCCATAAAGTAACATCTGACTTCCTTGTTGAAGCAGTAGGTTCGAGTGGCATAGCCAACAAGCTTCTCTAAAGTACCCTCTGTATTTGCAATATCTGTCCTCTCGGTGGCACGGCAGACTCTCAAAAAAGCACAACCCCTCGTAATGGTTCTGGTTGGAAGCGGAACCAAGGTGCCCTAATCAATTCGTCGTCGTCATAGTCAGCATTGAGAGAATCTCACCCCACTCTAAAACTCGTGTTTGATGCAGCCTTGATTATCTATCACGGACTCGGATTCAAGACTGGTGACTTCTACCCCCAGGTTCCGACTGATGTCCCTGACGTCCTTCGCTTTATCAGCCGGTCAAGCTTTAATCTCCGCTCCTCAGATTTGGCGGCTACTTTTCCTTTGAGCCATTCGTGTCGTTGACGGATCTTGCATCACACGATGGCCTTCTCCAGAGCTCCTACGTCAACACCTGAGGAGCTCGCCCACTGTCATGTGTTTATTTCTCCACCCTCAACCTCAGGCACGCCTCTCACAGGCCAGATGTCATGCAGGTGCATAAACGGGTGTCAATACAAACTTCTTATTGATTCCATTCCCCAAGGATGTTCCTTTTGGGTCCTTGTGGTCCCTCGGCTAGCCAAAAATGATTGGGGAAACTTACCTCACACTCCAAGCGGCAGTTCACGAGTTGCCATCATTGGAATACAGTTTTTGCCCTCTGTGGCGAATGGTCTAGTCTTCCTCTGATGTTCTAAAAGTGGAACACAAAACCTCACACTACATTTCCGAACGATTTATTGGCTTATGGTTGATTGAGAGCATCATCAAGGGTCTGATATATATTGACGTCGTGCTGTTCAATTGCTGCTTACTCGTACCTATTCAAACCACCATTCAAGTATACCCACACGAAAGATGGCGATCCGAGCCTCGCGTGGAGTCCGATTTCACGATATTCGTGGTGACAAGTCGGGTCAATCCCTTTTGGACATGCTCAAGGACTCGTTGAATCCAACTGACGCATCCCCACCTACCTTTCCAACATTGCTTTTATATGATGGTACAGAGGCTCTTACTATCGTGGATGAATGCTAAACAACAGTAGAAAAGGGTCTCAAGCTCTTTGAGGACATAACGTACCTTGACGAATACTATCTCACCAATGCCGAAATCCAGACTCTAGAAACACATGCAAATGCGATTGTCGAAAGGATCACAAACGATGCTCAATTGGTGGAACTCGGTAGCGGGTAGGTCACCTCGATGCCTGACGTTATGTTCTAGTCGCACGTTGCTGACGCCGGTGGACAGCAATCTCCGAAAAATCAACATCTTGTTGAAAGCATTTGAAGCAGCCCAAAAGCATGTCGACTATTACGCTCTTGACTTGTCTCTGCCCGAGCTTCAGCGCACCTTTGCCGAGTTAGATACCGGGGCTTACCAATACGTCTCTTTCAATGCATTGCATGGGACGTACGATGATGCACTTGACTGGCTCAAGACCACTGGTAACCAAGGCAAAGCGACATGTCTGGTCACCATGGGCTCCTCCCTTGGCAACTTCTCGCGAGAAAGTGCATCAAAATTTCTTGCCAATTTCAGGAATGTGTTGCAATCATCAGATTTGATCCTCGTGGCACTCGACGCATGTCAGCAACCTCAACGTGTCTTCAACGCCTATAATGATTCTCAGGCTGTCACTGAGCAATTTTACCGCAACGGTCTTGACCATGCAAATTCTCTTCTCGGATATGAAGCATTCAAGCAAGGTGAATGGCGACCCGAGGGTCGTTATGACGAAAAGCTGGACCGACATCATGCATCATATATCCCACTGGTTGATGTGGTCACCAAGGATTTCTCATTCAAGAAGGGAGAAAGAATCGCTCTTGAAGATGCCTTCAAATACAACTCGACGCAAAGCGATCTGCTATGGCATGAAAGTGGCCTTGTGCCTCAGATGTCCTATGCCAATGATGCGGGAGATTATTGTCAGTTTGTCTAACGATCAAAGAATATACAGTCCAAAGCTAATCACATCCAAGTTGTCCATTTACTTTCCCCAGCCATCATTGACTTCCCAGTCAACCCAGGAGAATATACCTCTAGTCCAGTGCCTTCCTTGGTTGACTGGCAGCATCTATGGTCGGCATGGGACATTGTCACCAAGTCCATGACTCCGAGAGAGGAACTTCTAAACAAGCCCATCAAGCTGCGGAACGATTTAATCTTCTATCTTGGACATATACCCACTTTTGCAGGTAAGCTTGTATCACGGCATTCTCGCTAACGATAGGCTAACGTGGCACCAGATATTCACGTTACGAAAGCTATTGGTGGGCTTCCCACCAAGCCAGCGTACTTCTGGTCAATATTCGAGCGTGGTATCGATCCTGGTAAGCTAAAGATCCTTCCCTTTCTTTATTCTACTAAGACATTTAGATGTGGATGATCCTACACATTGTCATGACCATAGCGAGATCCCCGATAGTTGGCCACCACTCCCAGAAGTCTTAGAGCATGCCGCGCGTGTTCGATCACGAATCACCGAAAGCATTAATTCTGGCCTGGCGTCCAAAGACCGAAAGCTTGGTCGTAGCCTCTGGCTTGCTTATGAACATGAGGCCATGCATCTGGAAACATTCCTCTACATGCTTATTCAAAGTGAGCGGATATTGCCACCTCCCGGGACTGATCGACCAGACTTCAAGAAATTGGCCGAACAAGCTCGCATAATTCGAGTCGAGAATCAATGGCATCGAATTCCTGCACAAAAGATTACAATTGGGTTGGATGATGCGGAGAACAATGATGGACCTGACAGATATTTTGGCTGGGACAATGAACGTCCATCGCGCGAAGTCTCTGTAAAGGCCTTCGAGGCTCAAAGTCGACCCATTAGCATTGGCGAATATGCTCGCTTTTTAGAGGCGACTCATGCAAACAGTGTGCCTGCGTCCTGGGTCTCTGGATATACGGATTCCGCGCAGACGATTGGCGTCAATGGCTCGAGCAATGGAGTAAATGGACTGTCTACGGTGGCCTCTCCTGGCTATCTTGAAGATAAAGCCATCCGCACCGTGTATGGCCTGGTGCCTTTGAAATATACATTGGATTGGCCGGTAATGGCTTCTTATGACGAGCTGGCTGCATTTGCCAGATGGTCCAATGGCCGAATCCCCACCTTGGAGGAAGCTCGCAGCATCTATAGCTATGTTGACTCCACAAAATCAGCTTTGGAGCAAAATCCTAGCAAGTTGATCTCTGCTGTGAACGGGTAAGTGACTCATTCCCAAGGTATAATTTGCGGTGCAATGATTAACTCTGGTCCCAGACACCTCTCCAACGACGGAGTAGAGGAGACACCGCCATCCAACCCTTTGTCTCACGTCACTGCCGTTAACGGCAGTGCATCAAAACCCGACCCGAACAGCCTGTTCATTCCACTCCACGACCATGCCGTGGCCTTCAAGACCTGGCATCCAGAACCTGTGACGGGGAGCACGCGTCTCCGTGGTCAAAGTGATACTGGAGGCTTATGGGAATGGACAAGTACCCCACTCGCAGCACACGAGGGCTTTAAAGCCATGGATCTCTATCCTGGTTACACCGCCGACTTCTTCGATGACAAGCATAATGTTTGTCTTGGTGGGTCCTGGGCCACTGTTCCCCGAATTGCTGGTCGAAAGTCCTTCGTCAACTGGTATCAGCGAAACTACCCGTATGTCTGGTGCACGGCAAGACTGGTCAGAGATGTGCAGGCCTAGGGGGCTGCTTGCATAAGGCCAGTCACTCTGAGATCGGCAAGGGTTGCCTGGTCGGCAGAATCATGCACGAGGCCGTTCGATCTCAGTACATGGAGTGCGAGGATGAATGGGGTTGTCCGAGACTCAAATCGGAAATTCATCTTTGATGTCTTTTATACTATTAATCATGTTTGACGATGGATGAACGGCCTCTGAGAATGGTGATTCCTCGATCCACATCGCTTTCTGCTTGAGTTAACATGTGGACTGCTCCCAAGCCTACCGACAACGAGCAAACAACTAAATCCGCCAACCAAGGGACCGATTGAGAACGTGACCGAGGGATTGATTTTCAAAAGTTATCTCCACTCATTATCTTGAGATTGAAAAATAGCATACGACACTCATTTGAACTACAATGCGATGAACAAAGCATGAAGCTGAGATCATCTGCATACGGAAAACGGATGGTCGCTTTCACGAATACATTTCATTGACAAAGAACCTACGTCACCTTTCTTCGAAGTGTACACATTTCCTGCTAGTTTCATGAGTCGTCTTGAATATGCGCCATGGTGTTTGAACTTCACCTTTGCCACTGACTCTTACCCTCGGGATTTCACATCAGGCCAGCCAATTCTTGAAACATTCCAGCCTTTGCAGCGGCTCATGTGTTGGTTGTCGCCGCATGGATGTCGATGTTTGTCCGATCCTCATTCCATGTCCCTTCCGTGTCAGCCATGAGACACAGTCTTCTTCAACACACCCATCGTGTAGGTATAATTGCATTGCATTGGTGTTCGCAATTTGGTTCATGAGAAGGTATAATGTTGTATCACCTGCCATTACGTGCCATTTCTTCGAATACTTTCGTCCTGCCCTTGTTATATCATGAGTATACTTGATTCACTCCTCTCACCTCAGATTGACTCACGTCGTTGCAAATCAGGTGCCCTTCCATGCAAACAATCCTGGTGCCCGCCCTCTCCAAGATCCCAAATTCACGTTGGCTCTGGTAACACTGTCTATTATCACATGCTTGCGCAACTTCATGTTGAGTCACTGCACATTGTCACGCGGTAACTACGCGGACCCTTTACCAACGACAACGCGAATCCCGTTACAGAGACTGCGTTGCGTGTGGACAACAACTTCCAAACCCTCCCAAACTCTTATCAAACCTCATCCGCGTTCAATTTTGCTTCTTCATCGGGCAGTAGCTTTCTCTTCCCTCGTTCTTTCCGCTCAGGCATCGCGCGACTCGCAGGAGCTTCAATTTCCATCCTCGTCTCGATTTCCTTGCGCACACCCACTGTCAAGCAAAGAAAAACAGCAAACAAAAGTGCGAGATACAGATTCACTTCATTGTCCTTCTCATCTCAGGAAGGTGCGAGCCATGGATCCCGCAACGCCCAATGCGCCCTTCAAATGGGAAGCCGCATCTGGTCTTGGTAAGTTCAATCGCAAGTCTACTGACCCTGTCCCCCCTCCCCCTTGGTGGCGGATGCCTCTCAGGCTCCTGAAAAATCTCCCTTGCATTTCACAATGCTAATTCTATTGGTCTTCACGCTCCATAGAGCACAGTTGTTTCCTCTGCGCAATGAAGATGAGCAATCAGAAAGCCAAAGTCACTTGCTATGGTATCCACTCAATCCCCTGCTACAGATATCACCAAACCATGCACGCCATTGGTACCAGTCACAACTGTTTCTCCTGTATTCAAGCAGACGAGTTGCACGAGAACAGACATCGCAGAGTGAGTTTTCTTCGTCCGGTTCGCTCAAAGGAAAGACAACAGTCGCTGACCATGGTGGCTCCACCACATGAATAGATTGCCGAGCTTGTCGCAGAATACAAGGCTGTAGGTGAAGAGGAAGGAAGGCAGGCACAACCAACCCCAAGGCCCGGTCTGGATGAGTTGCCACTCAATGTTCACCGGCCCCGAGTACAGCCTGCACGCCCACAACATGATCCTGATGAGCAAGATGATGCAGAGGACAATGATGAAAACGATGACATCGAGGCGACAACCACCGACACCACAGCCAGTGATCACATGGCTCCCCCAGGCAAACCTACCAAGGCTGAGAAGCGTGCACTGAAGAGAGCTGCCAAAGCGGTCAAGTCCCAGAACAAGGCATTCAAGAACCAAGCTAGACATACAATCAGCGTCAAGACCCAGGATGTCGAATTTGTCAATACAGTCCTTCACGGCGAGGCCGCTCCAAGCGGTGCAACCCATCCATTGGCTTCCGACAAAACTATCGAAGAAGTCATCCAGAGAAACTTGGGGTTTGTGTCTCACATTGAAGCGCACAAGAGACAGCTGATCCACAGCATTGGAATTCGTCGAAGGGATGAGCGTCGCAATGGAACGCCGAACCCCAAGGACAATAAGAAACGACGGTTCAGCGCAGTCAGCAACAACAGTCACCAAGACGAAGATGAGGAAGATGAAGAGACCGAAAATCTTTTGACAGCCGTTCTCGTCAGACTTGGGATTGACCAGGAACAAATCAGACTGAGTGGTTGTGCTGGCAAGAGAAATACAAATTTGAGGAAGAGTCTCGGAAAACATTCTTCTTTGACCGGAACATCTTCCACAGCTCATGGCAACAACTATTCCAGCCCAGCAGCGCATCGTCTATCCATCGTGGGTAGCCTGAAGAGACTTGTCAGGGAAGATTTGGAGAAGTTCGATAACGACCAACACGAGACTTATATTCGGGCTGGTGGCTTCTGGAGGTACGTCGGAAAACCCGTGTTCGACAGGATGACTGCAATTGCTGGAGAATTGGACTGGAAGACGGGCGTGAAGTTGAAGGAAGTGAATGCTGGCATCGAATGAACGTTGTCAGTTTTGAACAATCGGTTGATGTTTCAGAGATGTGGACGTGCATTTGGAAGTGGGAAATCCATTGAAATGGGACATTGTCGTTACCTATTGGAAGCTACCCGCCATCGTCATTGCCATGTCGCATCACGTCGTGACAGATTTTTTACGAGTGGAAATTGGGCGCAACTTGAAAATCGATGGATGAATAATTGAGATTGAAGGGTTGGTCCGCTCTCGATGACATTTGTGTTTTGAGTTATCATCATGTCTTTGTTCTTTTCCTTTGTGTCAGACTAGGAACTTCTTGAATAAGATCACAAACATGACGAATTGAATTGTTTCTTCATATTCGGACTTCAAAATCGCGTATGAATATGGTGCTTGCATTTTTTTGGTGATGGTACGTATCCCACCTACCCACACAGTCACCCATTCGGGGTGTGCTCACTCGCTACCCTAATTAGACAAAAGAGTAGCCGTCCTTCTCCCGTGGTCTGATCCTCCAGTAGGTCAGGTAGCTAAGTGGGAGTGCTTCAATCCCACCCAACTATATCACCCGATCGCAGCTCTTCTCTGGCCCCTTCCCCTTGAAATCCGATCCTCATACAGCAAGTGTGTAGATAGATACGCTTGGTTGCGCAGGATGATACAACCCCTCATTCGCAGAGGCCAATTGCTCCCGAACTGCCTTCTTTCTTGCTGCCATTCCTGTGTGCTGCTAGGTGTCATGTCACAATGGGGATACGTTGATGCAGTCTTGTGTTCAATGTTCCTTTCGAGCTATCTTTCGGCTCTTTGACCACCACACGAAGCATAGATGGTTCTCGCTCAAGAAGTATCTCTCCTCTGCATTCTCTCTGTGCTTGTCCCGTTGTTGCTGTGCCCCTGATCTCAACCGCGATATCATCGGAGAATTTTCAAGTCAGGTTTGCAATTATAACGGTCAGCCGCTTTTGTGTTGTTTCATGCTTGGTGCGGTGTGGAAATCAAGCTCCTTGTGGACAAATTGACGGGAGATCGAATTGACTCTTTCCGTGATTGATGTTGGGTGATAGACCTCGGCTCTTTCGTTTCTTGAAGATCCTATAGAGGACCATATCATCCATTGCGAGCCAGGATTGCTAGATCACAACCCAGTGTTTTCGTGCTGAAGTCGAGAAAGGTCCTGCTTCACTTTTGGATCTCTCGAAACCCATTCAGACTTGGATTCCGGACAGTCCAGGTGTAGCATATAAGACGCATCTCTGCCATGACAACCGAAAATCGTGTGATTTTTGGAGGTTTCGGACTCGTCTTGTTGCAAGATTGTCCGAGACCCCCGTTCAGAGATAAAAGATCATGAACTGGTCCTTCCTTTACCTTGCCGTAATGATGAGGACGACAAACTAGCTCCCCCCTCGGCCGCTGTCGTCGACGCACTGGCCGGTGTTGTATCCTCGAACCCGAGGATTCTCCCAATGAGTCCCCTAGGTTTCGGCACCGGACATTCTCTCGCCTCTTTTTCCAACGCGTCGGCTTCACGCTGCAGCTCCGCGAACAGAGCAGCTTCTTCAGACATGGCTTTCCGTTGTGAAAGATTCTTCCTTTGCATGGCCAAGTTGGAGTCTTGAGGTGATGGTGGTTCTTGGCCAGACGACGTGTTGGGGGTAGGTTGTTCGGCTTCAGGACTCCTCTGTCGCTGTCTTTCAGTATCGGCGTAGCCTCGCCGTGGCCGGGGACATGGGAAGAGATGTGGAATGCCGACTACGACGAACGAAGCCAAGAGAGTGCCAGCGAAGAGGGTAGATGTTGCGGTTGAGCGGGGATGCAAGTGTGGTGGCATTATGAGAGATGTCGTAGGGAGAGGAGAGGGAGTTGGGAAGAGGAGGGAGTATTAGGTCGATGTCGAGGGAGGGGAGGTGATCGTTGACATGGACATTGAGATAGACCTGCACCTTCATTGGAATTTGGTGGAGAGATACTTTGAAGCTCCCCTTTGATCTGTGGCCAATCAAAAGCTTGATGGATCTAATCTAATCTCGGATCATCTTTGAACCTTAAGTTTCCCATCTCCAGTTTGATATCGCCATCACCATCACCGTCACCCCCAACATTGGACGGTCACTCAAAGCCATACAAACACAATACAGGTCTTGCTTCCTGATCAACTCAGCTATAAGACGACCTCCCTGACTATCATCAAGACCTTTCGCGACAACTGCCTCAAAACCACTTCCTCCTCCACCTCCTCCTCCACCTCCTCCTCCACCTCCTCCTCCACCACCACCACCATCTTCTACCTCATGAGCGCATCCTCTAGCATGCGATGAGTGACCTAGACAAGTACGACCTGTCAATCCTCTCACGATTCCCATGACTAACACCCTTTCAGAGCCATTGCGCAACTGCGCGCATGTCGACCCATCCCCGAACCTCAAGTTCGCGAACTATGTTACAAGGCGCGTGAACTATTGATAGAAGAAGGCAATGTGGTCACTGTTGATGCTCCTGTTACTATCTGTGGCGATATCCATGGCCAGTTTCACGACCTCATGCAACTGTTTGCCGTTGGAGGTGATGTTCCAGATACAAACTACCTTTTCATGGGTGATTTCGTCGATCGGGGTTTCTACTCTCTCGAATCCTTCCTCCTCCTATTGTGCCTGAAGGTCAGATATCCCGATCGCATCACCCTCATTCGGGGTAACCATGAGTCGAGGCAGATAACCACCGTCTATGGGTTTTATGATGAGTGTATCAGAAAATATGGAAGTGCAAATGTGTGGAGGTATTGTTGTGAGGTCTTTGACTATCTTGCTTTGGGAGCCTTGATCCTCGGAGCAACAACTGAAGTCCCTCAACCAACAACTTCTTCTCAATCTCAATTCAACGAATCTCTCAACACCCAATCCACCATGCCTCCAGAAGATGACGAGATTGAGTCTGAGGTCTTGAACGCTAATGGCGACATTCTCTCAAAGACTCTACGTCGACAATTTGCTGGTTTAAGTCTTAATTCACAACAGTCATTCATGTCAAACCCTTCACGAATATCTCCCGCTCCAGATGTCGACCTACCCAGCCCTCTCGATCAGAATCAAAGTCTGCCCTCTCAATCTTCTCCCCCCTCCGGATCTCTCTTCACACCGCCATCAACCACTACTGGTGCCGTACTATGTGTTCACGGTGGACTTTCTCCTCTGATAGAAACTGTCGACAAGATCCGTCTCATCGACCGTAAACAAGAAGTCCCTCACGAAGGCGCCATGTGTGATCTCTTATGGTCGGATCCAGACGAGATCGAAGGCTGGGGTCTTTCTCCCCGTGGTGCCGGTTTCCTCTTTGGTGCCGATATTGTTCGACACTTCAACCACAACAACGATTTATCTCTCATTGCTCGTGCTCACCAGCTGGTCATGGAAGGATATAAAGAGATGTTCGACAAGACCATTGTCACCGTCTGGTCAGCCCCAAACTACTGCTACAGATGTGGTAACGTTGCTGCTATCCTAGAGCTTGGTGAGGATGGTAGCAATGGTGGTTGTGTCACCCGAGCCAATGGCGATCAAGGTCGAAGAGAACCTGTTGGTGGAGATGGTTCCGGTGGAGGTAACGGAGTTCTTTGGAATCTCGCTACTCCTGGTCGTCGCTATCGTGTGTTCGAAGCCGCTCCCCAGGGTACGAGAGGCATGCCTGCCAAGAAACCTGTTGGCGAGTACTTTTTGTAACAAGATTCTTCCTTTTCACTTTACTACATTACGCTTGCTGCTCGCTACTGCTCCATCTTGTCCGGAAAGGGAAAGCAGACGACAATCTTCCCAATGGCGAGGAGGCATCCAGTCCACAGACCCACAAATGACTTCATTGTCTTCCATGACCAACACCCCAGTGGATTGAGAAACCATGAACAAGCTGCAAGTCCAGATCGGCCATTCAGATTTGGCCATCTCCTTAGTCTCCACCACACCAGCAGCACGTGTAGTCCTGGCAGACCACAGTCTCGGATTAATCAGGCGGAGAAGATGGAAGAGAATAATCCGATAGCCCGGGTCCAAGATCGTTACACTCGATAAAAGGATCTCTCTCAAGTCAAAAGCTTCCATTGGACCCGCAGTGTTGTAGCTTGGGGGCCAAGCCTCAAGAGACACCACCGAGGTTGATTACCCTCCAAGGAATCCTCAGCCACGTTCAGCTGCGGGGAGGCGATTCACGGGGTTTCGACGCTTGTTACCATTTACTGTCCTTTACAGCTCATAAAGGAGAAGCCGACCATGTGCAGTCACATTGAGAACGGTAGTCACGTGAGTCCGCTATGGGCTACGTCCACGAGAACAAGACTCAAATCGAAGGATAGGCCATATCCGTGTCAATTTCAATCTTGGTCGTTGTAGCGGAGACGAGATGGGCCGGGCAAGGGAATGGGTGGTCCGCTCGTGACGAAGAAAGAGATGATATATGGACCGCCAGCGTGGCCTCTGGAGATGATGTCTCACATGGAGAAAAGGGTCGAACTCGGATAATAGATGGATGAATCAAGAGGATGACGTCGGATGGAGCCCTGCATGATAGCGAGGAATAAACACTGAGGGTCTGGAGATAGACACTCCCAATGCCTATCTGGGGAACATATCTAGCAGAGATGTGGCATTACTGTCCCGAAACACAGAAGTTAGCCATTACCCATTGGCAGAAATACCTCTTAGAGCAGTTAATTACAGTAGGTAGGGCATAATAGAGCATAACATTATGTGTATCGTCATCGTTACCTAGGTATGAGGTAGGTATATGTCGTCCATCGTAGGGTTGCTTCGTCTAGTGGTTATATCGACTCTGTTGTAATTTGGGTCATTCATTACATGTGGGTATTGATATAGTGACCGTGGTCGTGATCCAATACGTCCGAGCCCATCCGTTAGTGTTGTGTTCAGACTTGGAGCAAGGCCTCAACCGGGTCCAAAGACCTGTTGCACCCCATCCAATCCGTCTTTCAATCAAACAATCTTTGCAGCCGAACCGGTGGGTATCATATGTGTATGTGCGTGTATTTATCAAGCGGTGTGTGCAGTCGGCCTGGTTTCTCAGTGATCCTCCCATTCTCCATGGGAATCCTCTATCTCCCAAGAATAAATCTCAGCGCTTCGTCCTCCGCCCACCCCTCCCACCCCCCGCACTCACGCCCATCTCAGTCTTGACGCGGACCAATGCCTCCCTGGCCAATTTTTCGCGCTTGACAAACCCACCGAGGAAAGTCATGGGCAGTAACTTGGCGCTGTTGGCATGGTCGGCCGCGAACTCCGGGCCCAGCCAGCCGTGCCGCTGCGTCGCCGCGACCGCCTCCTCCAGCAAGCCCGTGCCGACCCCCTTGTGCCGGAACCGCTGCTTGACCGTCCAGCCGCGGATCTGGCCCGTGACGGGCGTGTTCCTCGCCGCGGCGCGGGCGGCCCGCTTCGTCGGCGAACTGTTGCCTGAAGATGACGAGAGCGACGAACTGTGGCCCATGCCGTCACTTCCACCGCCGCCGGAGTTGGAGCTGGAGTTGGATTCACGCACGCCGCGCAGGAACAGCGTCCCGATGACTTCGTCGCCGAAGCGCGTAAGCAGGATTTCGTCTTCTTCGCCGATAATAGCGTTTGTGTTCCCATTCCCTTCGTCCCGGCCTAGGTTCAGCCACTTCCACGTGCCGATGCGCTCTGCCTCCTCGATATACCCGCCGGTCAGCCAGCGGACGGTGATGAGCGCAGACATGACGATGCCGGCGCCGGTGGTGCCGACGAGCGCCAGGTCCGACTGTGCACCGTGGTAGAAATACTGGTAGACGAGGCCCAGCGCCAGGATCAGCAGGGAGAGCGTCGAGGGGTGGAAAATGGTCGCTTTGGATGCCAGCTGCCGCTGTTGCGCCACCGAGTCCGCCAGTAGGTGCAGCGCTTCGACTTTGTCGTCGAGGGTTAGGGCTAGCGTCGTGGTGAGGGGTGGAGGGGTTGGTTGTTGGTCGGCGGTGCTGCTGTCGAGGTGCTCGTCTTGGTTGTCGGCGAAGGAGGAGGCGCTTTGTGCTAGTGGTGAGGGCAGTGGTGCTGAGAGCGAGCCCGTCGATGAGGCCATGTTGATGGGTCGAAGGCAGTCCGGGGTATTGGCCAGTGAGGGCGGTGTTGAGTCGGATTCGAGGACGAGGTTCGCTCTTAGGGTCGTCAGGAATGCTGCACCGATGGACAATGTGTTAGTTGTATTAAAAACCACGGTGTCTGTTATAACTGAGGAAGGGGGAAAGAGATCCTAGTCGCGTGCTTCAACTCACCAGCAGAAGTCTTGAGACCCGGTATTCGATCACTGACTGCAAGGGCAGTATTCCTACTGGTTTCTTGAAATAAAGCCGCCGGAGAAGAATAATAATAATGGCTAGCCGATTTGACCGAAAGGAAGGAAGAAGCTGAAGCCAAAGAGTAGAAAGTCGGCTGGGGAGGAGGTGTGGGAGGAGAAAGGTAAAGGTGTTCGGGGAATTTCAAACCATGGTGCCGGCCCATGGTTTATTATGAGAGAAGAAGAGCAATAAAATATCTTTTTGAAATTACAACAACACCACAGTTTGACAGGACGGGTGTCATCCAAAACCCTGCCTAAACTGGCATTGGTCCGGGTTGTGCAAAGAAGCAGAAACAAAAAACGTGGCACCGAAAAATGTCACATTCGAGAGCGCCAGCGAAGAAAAAAGGTACCAAAGCGGGGGGTGAGGCGAGATTACGTAGAGGCGAATAGAATGGCTGGCAGCCCCCCGGAGCCAGGAGAGAAGAGTGGAAAGGTAGAAGAATCGAAGGGTTCACAACAAATAATGGCAAAATGAAGACCCAGAAAGGGACAAGAGGGATCTATTTCATGAGAGGATAGGGTAAGGAATAAGAGGGGACGGGGAATATGAAGTCCAACAACGATGTGACGGTGGATGGAGGGGTGGATTTGTATGAGAGCACGTTTATCATTTCTTCAGCCGGACTGGCCATGGGCATTTTTGTAGGCCACGGGAAGCAACGCCATCGGGTTTGACACTAATCCATTTAATGAACTAGTTAGTACCAGATGTAGTTCGGATGACAGGCGAAAAAGAGAAGTCTCAAGCACGAGAATGACTCGTATCAAAACATGATGGCATCTGACAGTGACAGTAGCCACAAATGCTTATCGCCATCGAGGGGTACAATGAAGTAATGGCAGTTCTGTAACACTGGCACCGGCCAAGCAAACGCCAGAAGATAGCGAATCACCCATTTCCTGGGGTCACCATTGGCAGTGTGAAACAGCCGAGGGTTGATCTTGTCCTGTTCCTACCGAGCCACATGAATAAGTACCAGAGGTGATGCAGTAGTTTGTAGAATAGTGCCAGCACCCAAGACCATGAATTGCGATAACACCCTCTCACATAGATAAACAATCATCCAAGTCTTGACCGACAGTTTCGATGTTGGGGTCTCGTGATCATCTCTTGGGGTGGAAATGGTGGTATCATCAGATCATCTTCTCTACGTGTTGTATCGTGCTAACTAAACTAAAGGCCAGTGTTGCCGCGGTCTAGACTTTCCGCCTGGTTGGACTCTCACATGCAGTGACCTATCCGTATCTCATCTCACTCCCCATCAGCCCTCTAGTAAGATCGGCCGAACAAACACCACGCCTCTGCTTTATTCGAGCATTTGGGATTCCCGCATGGTGTCACTCCCTTCTCGATACCCTCTGGTTGGTCGAATGGAATACACAGACTCTTTGCTCCCATACTAGGTGCTCTCTCGTCTTGTGGAACCCCACTTTGCTCCTCGGCGGATCGCGCACTCGATTCTTTGATCTGGTCTTCGCATGCTTCCGTAAGACAGTGTTGAAGTAAGCATACGTTCTTGTCGTTCAATGCTGGCACAAAATCTTCCCATTTGGTGATTTTGATCGTGTGTGATTTGTATTTGGCTTCTGCTCGATTGAATAGATCTTTCTGGATCGTATCCAACAAGGCCGGAATTGCCGTGTTGAGTTCACTGATTGCGATCTGACTCTTGCTTTCCTCCTTGGGAAGATCTCGTCTTGATGCCGTCACGAAATGGCCCTTGCTTTCACCTGGACCAAATTCAAGTCGAAGTGGGGTACCCTTGAGTTCCCAATCGTTGAACTTCCATCCTGGAGAATATCCCTCCCGAAGGTCACTCACCACCCGGACATCAACCGCCTTGAGAACCTCTTTCAATCCTTCAATTTCCTTGTAGAGTGCATCTTTATCTTCATCACTCATCTTCGCAGTCACTCCCACTGGAACAATCACCACCTGAGTCTCGACAACCCGCGGTGGCATGACCAGACCTCGATCATCGCCATGAATCATCACCATCACACCGATTACTCGAGTGGACAGACCCCAGGAATTTTGCCAGACATGGAGGGCGTTCTTCTTCTCCTCTTCCGTCTTGGCGTTTGGATCTTGCACCGTGATACCGAACATCTTACTGAAGTTCTGACCAAGACAGTGAGAAGTACCACCCTGGATCCCACGTCCTGTGGCGGGGATATAGCCTTCCACTGTGGTTGTGTAGTATCCTCCCGCGAACTTCTCCTTTTCGGTCTTGCGCCCTTTAATGACGGGAACTGCCAGGAGTTGTTCGTAAATATCAGCATAAAGATCGAGAATTTGCAAGACCTCTTCGCCCGCCTCTGCTTCTGTCAAATGAGCCGTATGTCCTTCTTGCCAATGGAACTCTCTGGTACGCAGGAATGGTTGAGGATGTTTGAATTCCCATCTCACGACTGAGTTCCATTGATTGAGCTTCAGAGGCAAGTCACGATAACTCTGAATCCATTTGGCGTAGTATGGGTACATGACCGTCTCAGAGGTAGGGCGAATGGCGATTTTCTTCTCGAGTTTAGTGCTGCCACCGTGGGTGACCCAAGCGACTTCGGCCGCGAAGCCTTCAATGTGAGCCTTTTCTCGATTCAAGACATCTTCAGACACGAAGAGCGGGAAGGAGCAGTTCTTGACACCCAATCTCTTGATTCTCAGGTCGAACCAAGCACGTACTTCGTCCCAAACGAACTGTGAGGCAGGCTTGAGGATGTAACAACCCGAGATATCATAGTAGTCCAACATGTCGCCCTTGAGCAAGACTTGTTGGTACCATTCCGAGAAATCTGTATCTTTGGACACGTCGATGCCAATCAAGGCTGCACCCTCCATCTTCTTCTTGGCCTTACCACCTCCTGCTTTGGCTTGAGGCATCTTGGCTTCAGGTTTGCCGACTGCTTTGGCCGGTTTCTCCTTCTTCTCCTTCTTTTCTTTCTTCTCTTGCTTTTCAGGTGCTGATGAGGCTTCTGGAACTTCTTCCTTCTCCCGTGTGGGCAACTCTGTCTTGGAGGGGTTTCTTGAATGAGACATGATTACGGAGGAAGGCGGAGTTGAGGTCCAAGGAAACGTCAATGACTCAAGAAATCAGGGTCAAGTGTTAGGCGCCTCAGCCAGCTCACAAACGAGTCAGACTTTGGGAACCGTGATGTACTACGGTCGTGTGTGTGACTCCTTGGTGAGTCGAATTGCAGTGCCGCACGTATTATTGTTGCCCCGCACTTTCTATCGATTAAAAAGAGCCTGAGGATGGTAGTGGGGTGTCTAACCCTTTTCGAATATCTTTGGTGCCGGTTTAAGTATAACTTGCCAAGAAAAGTAAGATAATCTTAGTTACCCCTGAATGACTCGTTCGGGCTCTAAAATAAGCAAAGTTCTTTAGATCGTGCCTCATCAACAGGCCCTTGCACAACGACCTGTTGTTCCGGACGAAGCAACGGCAAACAACTGGATCATGACTTTCCTCTCCTTCTCAATCTTCGTCCATCCCAACTACTGAGATAAAAACATCTTCAAGGGTCGACTGGGAGACAGTGTAGTACTCGATACCGACAATGTCTTTGTTTGCTTCAAGTAGTCTGATGATAGCTGCCAAAGAGACATGTTGACCGTCGCCCTCTTCTCTAGGGTGCCCTTCTAAAGATAGATACCTGTGTATTCTGGGTACTGAGAAACTCATCTGACAATTCAGAGAGATCTTTTCGATCCTTGCATGTGGAATCATGCTTTTGACCCATCTGGTGGCGTGGTCGTCTTCTCCGGCTTTGCTGGGACTTTGGGGGCCGTCTGCGGTATTGCGAAGCACCAGATGGACGTGATAGCGATCCTGATATCTGCTGCAGAGTTCATTTCTCTCACCAACAGCTAGCATGGTCTTTCGCATAATACCAACACGATCGGCAAGTGCACTGACTTCCTCCATGCTGTGACTCGTCATCAGAATAGACATGTTTCTTCCAAATTGAGATCGTCGTATTTGACTAAGAAGTTTCCACATCTTGCGCTTGCTCAAAGCGTCCATTCCACAACTCGGCTCGTCCAGAATCAATAGACGCGGCCGTGCAATCAGCGCGATGGCAATCGAAAGCTTCCGCTTGTTGCCCCCAGAGAGTTTTGATGCCATACGATTCACATATTGAGATAAATCGAGTGAAGACAACAAGCTCTTTATCACATTGTCAAGTGAGTTTGTAGGTATGCCAGCGGTTCTGCCGTAGAAGATCAGATGTTGTCTCACTGTAAGGTAATCGATGGCATCATATTGAGGGCACACAGACAGCAATTGTATCGCCGCTCGGCGATTCGATACCATGCTTTTACCACACACCATAATGTCGCTTTGTGATAGCTTCTCTGGTGCATTGTCCGAAGGATCAAGCCGGCCATGTCCCCTTATCAGATCTATTGTGGTCGTCTTCCCGGCACCATTAGGTCCGAGAAGTGCGAAACACTCAGATTCTTGAATGCCGAAAGTCAAATCTGAGAGCACGGGCGTGTGTCGAGCGAACCTTTTGTTTACGTGTATCACTCGGAGACTATCGCTCATGGATGATTCGGTTCTCTTGGTCTCTGAAAGCACATCCGTGGACCGGGTTCGTTGATATCTACTCTCAGCATCTGACCGGGGAAAGCAACTTGACTTTGCCACAAGTGATGCGAGCTTCGAAAAAGCACCTGAGTCGTGGTGGACGAGAACAATGAAATATGCCACACACTGTACGACCAGATACAATATCGGCGAGCCAAATGCTGCGATGTCACCTGGACTGGTAACAACCACTGGACCACGGCAGAGTATGTATGAGGCGTTCAATGTGAGCAGCAACGCTCGAACTAAATTCGCTGATGGCATCACTAGGCCAACTACAAATTGTAGTATGTTCAAGCCATGCTGCAGATCTGTTTCAAAGAATCCGATCACGAAATATCTACCATCTCAGTCAGCTCAATTATCATTTCGGATTCGAAGGAGACTTACAATAAGATATAGAGCAGTAAAATTAGGCCTTGACTTCCAGCAGCTATGGCGAAAACACTCAGTGGTGATTTTACGATCTTAGCCCAAACGTAGGAGTAAAGTGTTGAGGAGAGACCGTAAAAGAGGAAAGTCGCAGCGAGATAGCCTGGGGCATGCCATGCGCTCGATAGCTATTTAGACTAGTCAGTATTCGTTAGGACAAAATTCTGCTAAGTATTGTAGTATACCTCATAAAACAAAATCGTGCAAACGGTCGCGACCACGATTGAAATCGTTCCATCGAAAATGAAATGCCCCAACCAGACCGTACTCGTCCGTATGCCATTACTTACTTGAAGAGCTTGGATTTCATTCTGACACTCAAAACTTGGATATAAGGCTAGGAGCGCAGGGAAGACGACCATTGAGAGACCAAAATAGGCTATGAACTGTATTGATTGGGCATTATCAGTCCGCACAGCAGTATCAAAAATGCTGAGCTGAACTTCGAGAGTCGCGTTCATCAAGTATGCGTCAAACAGACCTTTAGCCATTGCCGAATATTGAATTCCACCATTTAACCTGTACGCCATGACTGGTGTGGCTGAAGCATTGTTGCCCAGGTAGAGGCCGCCAGGGATGGTGCTGTTGGATTGGTTGTGAATATAAGACTCGAACTCTTGAAACGAGTCGACGCTGTGTATCATGCCAGCTCCGTACGCAGCCATAGGACCTAGCATGGAGCTGATCGAGTCCTTGTTGACCTTTTCGGAGGGGCCAATGGGAACATTGAGTCCTGTGCCTATTGCCAGAGCGGTCAGGTCAATATATCCAGGATTAGAAGGACTGTCATTGGAGCAAGTCGGCATGAAGAAGAAACGCATGAAAGTGACGCTGCATGCTGCAATAGCAATTATTGGGATGAGGATTGCAAAGAGTAATGGGAGAAATGTATGTCGGAGGACCATGATCCTTTTGCGCACGACAAGGAAGACTTGAGTAGTATGTCCTGCACGTTGATGTTGATAATCAAGCAGAGGCTCGTTGTCGGTGTTCCCTCTTGTGAGAGTCCTAAGTTCAATACCACTCTCAGTGGCAGATTTGATTGTTCCTGGCAGACCAAGATTGGTTATACTGTTCCTGGAAGAAAGGACTTCAGAGTCCCCTCCAGCATGATCCATGAAGGCCTTTTCAATTGTGGGACCATAGATGTCATAGCCCAAGATCTCACGTTCCTCAAGGTAGTCTAGAAAATCTGCGACTTGATTTGGTTGATTGAGAAAAAAGTGTCTGGAGGAATCCTGGTCGTCATGGCCAACCTCGAAAGGCTTAGGCCATTGCTTGACCGACTGTGCGTCAGCAAGCGGTATCTTAACCTCATATCCACCGCCATATTGTTCTTTCAGCTGCGCGACCGAGCCACTTAATGTGACTTTGCCGTTCACTAGGATATAGACTTGATCAGAAAGAGCATCGGCTTCGTCAAGGTCATGAGTTGTGAACAAGATTGATCGACTACCACGCTCAGCAAGCAGGATCTTCCATATATGTCGGCGAGACACTGGGTCGAGCCCTGATGATGCTTCGTCAATACAACAGAAATGACTCCCACCAACGAATGCCATTGCTAGCTGCAGTTTGCGCTTCTGACCACCAGAAAGCGTGCATGCACGAGCGTCAGTCTTTCTCTCAAGGTCACAATTGCTAATGAGTTTTCGTAAATCCTGGGCGTTGAGCTTTTGATTTGGTGATTTCAGCATAGAAAAGATCTTCAAATGTTGCTCGACTGTAAGGTCGTTCCAAAGGATATTTCGTTGCGGGCAATATCCAGTACTCTGCCCAGTTCTAAACTCGATGGTGCCAGATGAGGTCGACTCCAATCCACAGACCGCTCTTAACGTGGTGCTTTTGCCAGAACCATTGATACCGAGCAGGGAAGTGATTTCACCTCCACGAGCAGACATATTCAGCCCCTTCAAAACGTGAACTTCTTGTGCCCTGCGACCAAACAGTCGACCAAAACGTGAAGAAGTATATGATTTCGAAACGTCTTGGATTCTCACTGCAAGTGCTCCAAAGTCACCCTCGGCGTCAATTTTGTTCAGAGCTCTAGTGCCATACAGAGAGCGTTCGATGATTATTGTAAGGCTAGGAAAGATGATAATTTGCACCAAACATCCGATCAGATAGAGCCAACCAGGAACAGGAATGAACCGGGAGTCGGGGTATCCAGAGAGCTGCGCGCCAACCAATGTCTGCTCCCATGTTGCAACAAACCTGAGAAAGCTAACAAAATTGATTGGGGGAACCAACACGACAAGAACACCGACAACAATCGTGCTGGATGGTATGACAAACTGAGTCAGGACTGCGAGAACGCATGAAAATATCACGATCGAGATCCCAGACAACCGTGCGTGTCGGAAAAGGCTTCCACATAAATGTGCGAAACCCACCAGCGCGATACAGAAGAGTATATGATAGATGACCAGTAACCACGGTGCGGTATTTTTAAATATCAAACCTGCCATTAGTCCTCCAGCCGCAATGAACCCTGGAAGGTAAATCACGATGAATGAAAAGCAAGTTGACAACACTCTCACCACGTCTGCATGAAGCTTTCCTTCCTTCAGCATCATGACATCGATCAATTGAGACATGCCAAGTTCTCTTTCTGTTGCGACGTATCCAGTGAGGTGGAAAGTGATGCCACATACTGCAATAAAGCAGGTCACTGCCAAGGTGGTTTCCAGGTTACTCATATAGCGCTTATGAGCCCGGTTCTGGTACGAATCGTTCGTTTCGTCGGTGAAAGGAAGTTCCAGCATCGTCTGTGGGAATGGCATGCCAGTTACGTCGGCAATGGTGCTATCAATTGCGTGTATAAGTGGGAGTGAGAATATCTGTGGATCATTGTTCAGACGATCCACGTATGCAGTGGTGCCTAAGTTCCAATCGCTAATGACTCTGTACGACCAGATGGCATCTGACCCTCCAGAAGGCGAGGATTGGATAATTACTGCTGCATAGCATTTCGAGGTCCCAGCAAGAGAGCCTTGACATACTTGTGGAAGGTCCGCTTCTCTGGGTAAATGATAAACTTGTGCCTTTGCAGCAGAGAATTTTGTGGAAAGTCGCTCAACTATAGTGGAAGTAGCTTCGCTTTGGGTATCATTGTTGATAAAGACGACTCGTTTTCGTGCACCAGTGTGGTCGAAAAGATCGCTAGTAATGTCTCTGATAGGCTGTGAAGTTCCCAGTCCGTATCTGCAGAACGTGAGTCACTCTATCACTGAATCTTGATAAAAAGCAACTAACTTCGAAGGAGGAAGAGATAGTAGCGAAATATAGGATACAATAACTATCTGTCAGCATTAGTTAGTCGGTAGATTCACCGCCATGGCATCGATATGGACTGCAGCTTACACAAACGATGGGCAATGCCAAAGCTCGAATGAGGGTTATGATGCCTCTACGATATGCTAGAATAAGCAGATTTTTCTCAACAAGTGCCTTCACTTGTGCCAACACGATCAATACCATGGTCATGACTTAACGAGACTGTGAGATTTCCATTTTTCGACTCTATCATCGAGACAAGGAAGCATTTGCCTCGACATTATGAACGCCGTGCATACTCAGGGGTTTGCGAGGCTGTGTACTGTGGGCAATCTCTCAAGTCGGATCCGAAATCTGAGATGATCATTCGGCGGCACGTTAGCAGACACAGCCTCATAGACGTCGTATCCTTCATTCCATTGAGTGCGGCCAGGCCAGCCAGAGTTGATCGATATGTTTCAGTCTGGTTCGAACCAGTCTTCCACTCCACTTAAGAAGCGCTAAAGTGCGAAGCATCTATCCAATTAGCTAATGACTTCGGGGCCGAATGTCTCCTGTTCTGCAGTATACTCTGCACTTTCCTCTTACGCTTTAATCAGGTGGAAACTAGTACCTATATAGTTAGGTGCACAATCTTCCAGTGTACGGATTATGTTTAAACATCCACTTGGGCGTACTTCAAACTTCCCTCCAAGGCCCAGGCAGACTTGAACGTCGGTGAAGGACTTACAAGGTGGACGTGCCGAGGTAAGTATGGAGGTGGTTCATGTGAATGTTCATTGCTTAGCCCGGACAAAAAAGTCGTGTGTCTAACCCTGAGAATCATGTTTCACAGATTCAATATGTTGAAAGTGAGAAGAAAGTTGTAGTTGCAACTCGCGAATCGCGATCAGGGAGGGTGGATGTCTTAAAAGCGGCGGCGTCTCCAGTTTTGCAATTGCTTGGCAAGATTTTATTTTATCGAGGCGCCTTCAAGTTGCCTGTGCCTGTATCGCATTGAACCAAAAACACCCCTCCCCTCCCCACGTCCTTCACCTCCTACTCTGCATCCGACAAAGACATTTACAATGGCCGGCATATTCGACACTCCCCGTGGTGCAGGCACATTGTTCCTCGGAGGTCAGAAAATTAGTGGTGCCGATATACGGGATCAGAATGTCCTTGCGACCCAGGCAATTGCCAATGTCGTCAAATCGTCCTTCGGACCCTCAGGTCTCGACAAAATGATGGTCGATGACATCGGTGATGTTACTGTCACCAACGATGGTGCCACGATCTTGAGCTTACTCGATGTCGAACACCCCGCAGGAAAGATCTTGGTCGATTTGGCGCAACAACAGGACAAGGAAGTCGGCGATGGCACCACATCTGTTGTTCTGATTGCGGCGGAATTACTACGGAGAGCCAATGAGTTGATGAAAAACCGAATACATCCTACAGTCATAATCACTGGATACCGGCTGGCACTGAGAGAAGCCGTCAAATATATGCAAGAGAATATCAGCACAAAGGTGGAGACTTTGGGAAGAGACAGCCTCGTCAATATTGCCAAAACATCCATGTCAAGTAAGATCATTGGTTCTGATGCCGAATTTTTCTCAAACATGGTTGTCGACGCCATGCAATCAGTCAAGTCAGTCAATCCACAAAGAAATGAGGTGAAGTACCCTGTCAAGGCTGTCAACATCCTCAAAGCCCACGGCAAGAGTGCGCTTGAGTCAGTACTGGTTAAGGGCTATGCTCTCAACTGCACTGTTGCATCACAAGCCATGAAGACGAGAATCACGGATGCAAGAATCGCTTGTCTTGACATGAATCTGCAAAAGGAGCGAATGAAACTTGGAGTCCAGATCACCGTCGAAGACCCCCAACAATTAGAGAAAATCCGAGAAAGAGAGGCCGGCATCGTTCTGGAAAGGGTTGATATGATACTAAAAGCTGGTGCAAATGTCGTACTCACGACCAAGGGTATTGATGATCTTGTACTCAAGATGTTCATTGAGCGAGGGTGTATGGGTGTGCGAAGATGCAAGAAGGAGGATTTGCGAAGAATAGCGAAAGCTACCGGTGCCACTCTGGTCAGCTCACTCTCGGATCTAAATGGTGATGAGCGGTTCGAAAAAGAGTCTCTTGGCTATGCAGAAGAGGTCGTTCAGGAGAGAATCTCTGACGATGAGTGCATTTTGGTTAAAGGAACCAAAGCCTTTTCATCCGCTTCAATCATCCTCCGTGGCTCCAACGACTATCAGTTGGACGAGATGGAGCGATCAGTCCACGATTCACTATCGGCAGTCAAACGAACCCTAGAATCCGGCAGCATCGTCCCAGGTGGAGGTGCGGTGGAAACGGCTCTACACATATACCTCGAAGAATTCGCAATGACCGTCTCATCGCGCGAGCAACTCGCGATCGGTGAATTTTCACAATCACTCTTGATCGTCCCCAAGACGCTCGCCGTGAATGCAGCGAAGGACTCCTCCGAGCTTGTTGCTCAACTGCGCGTACGACACGCTCTTAGCCAACGAGTCCAAGATGGTGATGCGAATGAGCGAGAAAAGGATCTCGCCAAGAAACGACAGTACAAGAATTATGGCTTGGACCTCCTGCGCGGCAAAGTCGTGGATGTAGTCAAGATGGGTGTCCTAGAACCGAGCATGAGCAAGGTTAAGCAGCTCAAGAGTGCTGTTGAGGCATGTATCGCCATCATGAGGATAGACACTCTGATCAAGCTGGATCCTCCCGAGCAGCAAGACGATGGTCATGGCCATTGAGACGGAGGCTGAATCCCGATGAAAAGACGACTTGGCATGTCACTATATGACTGATGTCTGAACGAACCTGGCGAGTAAGCTGAGACACCATGTCTGGCTGAGAGGGCCCATGAGCAGGTGGACTTGCGGTCTCGTTACCCTGGCCGCCCTGGAGAACCGCTTAGGAAAGCACGTCGTCAATTGCAAACAAAAGTCCGCAAATCTGCTCGACAGTTCGCATCCAGTGTGTTACCACACCCAGGCCGTGGTCGACTTCACGGTAGCCACAAAGATGCATCGTGTTGGTCTTAAAGCTTGTGCGCAGAGTCCCAAGATGACAGCCCTATCCAGTCATAGACTCCCCTCACGCAAGGCAATCTCGAGAGATGGAGAGATAGACGAATGATTGTTAAGACTGACGAAGCCAGCAAATGGGCAAACCAGGAAGAGTAGAGAATAGCCAGAAATGCCATGATCAAATCAATGCCCGCCTTCCCTCGTGAATGAATCGTTGATCTGCTATAACCATTAGGTGTGGCCGGAGCACACTGAACTCCCGAAGTGGTTAACGGCCACCTCCACCCACTCGTGACCCTTCAACAGATCTCTATTCGTGCCTATCTTCTGGCGAGCAGTGATATCGACGAGAAACCCACACGGAAACATGCATGGGCGTGCTTTGAGTGGGGAGAAGATGCAAATAGCTGCTTAGTGACAATGCTTATGGCAGACGAATAATTCTGCCTCGTTAACACTATGTGATACAGGAGGAAGAGTACAGCACCCAAGCCAATGAAAGGGTCATCTCAGTCCTTCCTTCCCTTCTCTCCATTCATCTTCCACGGGTACCCTGCCTCTCGATTTCATGCATGTCATAAATATGCCTTTCTCATAGGTGCCCTGTCCCTCGGGTACTCAAGTATCCAACCCTCTAGACTTCAAGCATCGCGCCACGACATCCTTGACCGATTTCTCACTATACTGCTCCCAGCAGTCATACAGACTGATCATCTCCTGCGTGCCCTCGATGACGCGCTGGACGTCGATGCCGGACTCAACGAGGAACTTGATCAGGTTCTGCATTTTCTCCGATTCTTTGATTGCTAGGATTGCTTTTTCTTTGTCACTCTGTAGTTGGTTTGTGTTCGTGGTGGCGGATGGGTCTTGGGGTGCGCGGATCGGCGCTTTCGCGTTGATGCCACTGATGGATCCACTGTATTGAGACTGTTGGCCTTGGAGCTGCTGCTGCCCACCCCCAGTCATCTGCATGTTCGATAGGACATTGTTGAACGGGACGGACATATTCTGCCTCCCACCGAGCGTTGAGTAGTGCGCGGCATCGGGATTGGTCACCGAGTCGTGCGGCAGCGGACGCAGGGTGCCGGTTGCCCTGGCCGTGGGCAAGAAAACCACCGCGAGGAATATGGCAATCACGGCAGTGAGATGCGGCGGACATGTTAGCGGTAGATCGGTCATGAAGCTGTCGTTGATGATGGACCACGCCAGGCCAAGCTCGTCGTTGCTAAGTTTCAGATCCTGGTTCTCCTTCAGCGCGATCAACGAGCGGTACGGGTGCCAGACGATCAGCTGGGAGCGCATGTCGCTAATAAGACAGAACTCCATTTCGCCAAGGCGGGATACGTCGCCCGGCACGAATTCCGGCCATGACTGGCGTGCTTCGGCGGCAACGAGTCGTATGTGATGTGGTGACTCTTCAGTCTTGGAGGAGAGGTAGAATGCCGTTGCAACCAAGAGGTAGAGATTGACGTTCTGCATGGGCGTGGAGAGGAAGTAGCGCTGCAGGTAGACTAGAGCCGTGGCGACGCATTGTTGTCGGAACTGTAGACGTTTCGCGAGTAGGAGTAGTCGGTCGCGTATGAAGATGAAGACATGTCGCCGGTCCGGGTATGGATATTGCTCATAGACTTTAGAATTGGCTTTTTCCAAGTCGTCACGGATCTCAGCCAGTCTTTCTGGTGTGTGTGTCCAAAACTTGCGTTGGGTTGAAGTCCAGTAATTAGCTGCCATCTCAGTACGAGTCGACAGGGCTTTTTCTAGACAAAGTCGACGAATCGTGGTGGGCGTTGATGAAAGCCAAGGAAGTAGCTGAGGTGGCGACAGTATTAGGGTGCTCAATCTCAGGATTCATCTTCGCCTTCGCAGACCGGAAGCCATCATCGTAAGCTCATCGTCTCACTGGTAATTGAATGAGAGAGTCAAGTACCAAAAGCATCCATGTCATGAGAATTAAAAAGCCTGGTTGAGGAGAAGGAATGGGGGAGGGCGGGGGGGGATCGGCATATCCTCGGGTAGATATCTGAGTAAGGGTACAGCCTTGTCCATATCACGCCAGAACTCGAAGGGTAAGAACCTTCAAAAATGCCGGCTAAGTATATAATTTGTTCTAGTCTAGCTTTGGACTAGACCAAGAAGCGGATGTGCTTCCTTTCACATTCTTTCGGAATTGAAGGGGGATATGATTTCCAAGACTGGTACATTGTGCTAACGAGTTGCGTTTCATTTGGGTATCTAGACTCATCGGACAAAGGAGACTACCTAAGTATTCGATCACGTTTACCATGCTTTTTGATTGGTAGCCAGAAGATGAACACCCAGAACGCCATTATTTCATCTGCGCCTTACTCTTAAGTCGCTTCACCACATCACGGCATAGACATATGTTGAGCCACTCAAGACATCTCAAAGATCTGGATCGGCTCCAGCACCGATGAGACTCTCCATATCATCGTCGCCATATCTTGAAGTCAGGATAGATGCCCCATCCCAAGCGTCGTTAGTCATGTCCGAAGCATTGACCTTCAATGCCTCATTTCGAATTGACATGGCAACAATTGCAACGCCCAAAGAATTCCACACGTCTTGGTCTTTTTGACTGAAATCCAGATCGACAATCGTCCGGAGATAGTCATTAGAGATGGAAGGTGGAATAGATTGCGACTTTGAATTGCCTGTGATCTTGATTTCACCAGTGAATGGGCTCAAGGTCATGATCGCAAGCATGGATGAAATAAAGACCAGCCCAAACAGAGTTGGACACTCGGGGACTTCTTGTGCTGTGTCGAGCTCACCAGAGAACATGACTTGTGGTTCTTCAGACTCAATAGTTGGATAAATTTTTGTTGCCCTCTTTCGATGTTTCTCGGCTAAAGTGTGCAATTTGTTGGCCATTTCCTCCAGTGTCTGAAAAGTTGATCGACCTTTGCGGTGCGTCACAATCACATGAGTGGGCAGATAGTTGGTTAGGGATTTTGGTCGTAGTCCCACATCTGTCAAAGCCCAGTGTAGATATCTCTTCACGATACGTTCCAGAATCTTTTCCCGTCTCACACCAGGGCTCACATGAGTTCTGTCTCGAACGTCATGACCAGCCTCGAGAAGTCTGCGTAGCGCATGAGCAGCTCTAAACTGATTATCTCTCATGTTTTGAATCAGAGGTGGCTCCAACAGCTCTTCGTCGGCAAATATGCTCAACGGTAACGTATCGAAATCAAGCATCCAGCTCTGAGGCAGCAATGGTTGGAATCCTCGCTTTGCGAGGCGGAAGAAAAGTTCTTGTTCTGCTTCCGACCAAGTACCAGAATCGGCGGGGAGTTGTATTGCAGCAGCATGACGGCGGGCGGCTTCCATTTGTTCTTCATCCATGTCCTCGACTCGTCGCTTGTTCATTGCGGTTGTGGTGAAGGAAATTGCATCATCGTCTCTGATCTGGTACGTTTCACCTGACTGATCGAAATCTTGAGTGGGTGTTGCAGGCGGAGGCATCATTGCTCGGTCAAGTTCGGCTTTGGCTAGGGCTGTGGCAGATTGTCTTGGGAAAACACTTGGTGTGAAACGTGCAGAATCATCTTGGTTGGAATAAGGAATGAAGTCTGGTCGACCCTTATAAAGCCTGCGTCTCTTTGAACTTGGTATATAGTCTTCTTCGTCTTCACTGTCATCGGCTGCCTTTCTCTTTCTTTGTTGTGAACCCGAGTTCACATTGACTGTCGAGGCAGTGGTAGAGTGTTCGGAAATGCCAATGGAAGAGAAGATGTTGGACACAAAGCCCAAGGTTGACCGGAAGAGAGATGTGGCCATGATGAAGAACGTGAAGAACAAAGGAAGAATTAATGAGGCGACTTCGAGAATTGGTAGAGTACAGTGTCACCTAAAAAAGAGAGGTCGATGAGGTGGACAAGGTGCGTCCAATCGTCTTCAAAGTCAAGTTAACTGGTCAGGATTGTCGATTTGTCGACAGAATGGAATGCCCTTGATAGTGGGCGATGATGGATAAACCGGCCAAGGGTGAGCAGCCGGGACATGGTGTGGATGTATGTGAAAGACAGATTCTCTCTCTCGGACGTGATAAGCTGAACACGGAATGGTACGACTTGTAGTAACTGGAGGATTGATGTGTTTGCAGGGTTACCAATTAGGCCGCGAAAGTTGCAAAAGTTGGTTATGACGCATGCGGATAGGGATTAAATTGATAGGGAATCGACGCCCAGGGACGCCCCCAACGGCCGTTTATGGGGAGCCGGGAACCTGACGGCAGGGTCACGGGCCCACGGTGGATGCCTGCACGCTTTCCTCGAGGCGCGTCCACAGCCAACAGTCTAGACCCGAGCAGGACTAGACTGAAACACTTTGCCGCCAGGGGCACGCCTGGTCACGTGGGCAACTCGTCACTTCAACAAAGAGGCTGCATTGTTGTCCTCACTCACCTCGTAGTCATCTTCCACAACCCATCCACACCACACACCCGATGGATGCAGCTGAGCATGACCTCGATGCCAAGCTCTACAAAGCATCGGCCGTTCTTCTTGAAGAAATCAAACACAAAGTGCCGCTTCTTTTGACTTCCCCACACAAGCCATACAGAAAGCCACGTCTTCTCGTGCTTGACACAAAATGTAATGAATTGAGGGCTTTAGTAGGAAACAAGTGCAATGTAGGTCAATAATGGATGCTAATGTCATTTTTAGCTTGATCGCTTCCAAGAGTGGCCTCAGTTACTGGATCCTTACCTCGCTAGTCTTGTGCAGATATTGGCAAATGCCTTTATTGACTATCTTGCAAACTCCAAACATCACTATGGGCCTACTACAAGAAGCGGAGCTGCTACAACATCTCCTCTTCCACGTGCAGTCTGTAGACTACTTTACACCTTCTGTAAAGTCAGGGGTTACAAGGTTATTGTGCGATTGTTAAACAATGAACCCAGATATCTGGCCCCTATGCTGTCTGGCTTTCGAGCCTGGAATGACCCTGCTTCAGGTATGACTTGGGAAGAGCGCTATATAATGTTGCTGTGGTTATCCCATCTCATGCTAGCCCCATTCGAATTGGCAAACATGTCAATCGAGAAGCATGACCGCACCGAGCCTGAATCGAGTCTAAATTTGGGAGTTCTGCCTGGCATAGCCTCTGATGTCGTGCCTCTTGCATTTTCCCAACTTCAAAGCTCGGGAAAAGAGCAACAAGCCGCGTGTATATTACTCGTCAGATTGGTGCTTCGCAAAGATATGCAAGAACATCTATTACCTGCCAAAATTATCGACTTTGCAGTACAACAACTACTTTTTGACCAGACGCTCACCGATGTTAGCCCCTATCGTGCTCTTGGTCTTTTATCACTACTTTACGGAATTTTGAACTCTGGCTCGGACAGCGAAGTCGCCCCTTTTCTTCAACAGATCTTACATTGTGTCTCCAAGATCGCAAGTGCTCACAGCGGCCAACACAAAATTATCAGCGATTTCGCTCCAGCCCGAAAGCTGTTACTGAAGATAATGCGTGTTATACTGACGCATGGTATTTCGCTGAGCCAAGCCAACGAACCCATACCAGAAGATGTCCTAAATCTGATGTTGGAAGAGGGAATTCAATTCTTTATGGATGTACTCAGCGATAAAGATGCTCCTGTCAGAATGTCTGCTGCCAAAGCACTCAGCATTATTGCGCTCAGGTTGAATGACGCAATGTCAGCAGAGGTTATTGAAGCAGTGCTCGAATCTCTGCAAGAGAACGTACTTTTGGAAGATTCTCGGACCCAGAAATTGTTACCATTCACAGATCGTGTAAGATCTGAGACATCTGCGATGAAGCGGAATATCAGTGCGGTCGATCCTCTGAAATGGCATGGATTGATGCTTTCTCTCAGTCATTTCCTGTTTCGACGTTCGCCGCCTCCTTCTATGCTCAACGATATCATCCATGCATTAATCTTGGGTCTGGAATTCGAGCAGAGGTCATTCGTTGGCACTTCAATTGGGGTTGGAGTGAGGGACGCCGCTTGTTTTGGTCTTTGGGCGCTCGCAAGAAAATACAGCACGTCCGAGTTGGCATCAGTAGACATCTCCACCTACGCCGAAGCAAGAGCACTTGGTCTGAACGGCGAACAAAGGGTTTTGCAGTTGCTTGCCTGCAAATTGGCCACATCCGCGTGTTCAGATCCTTCTGGAAACATTAGAAGAGGCTCATCAGCCGCACTCCAAGAGTTAATTGGTCGACATCCAGATACGATACTTAACGGAATCGCAATTGTCCAGACAATAGACTATCATGCTGTGGCTCGTCTTTCCCGAGCAATGATTGATGTGTCTGGGCACGCAGCTGAACTCGACCCAGTCTACCATCGAGCTTTGTTTCAAGCGTCCATCGAATGGAGAGGTGCCCGTGCTGTGGATGCTAACCAGAGACGTTGGTCGGCCACGATTGTGAGAACTTTGACAAAAGGGATGTCGCCGAAGAATCAATTGCAATTTGTGCACGCTGTTCAACGTCAACTACTAGACTTGAAGGCAATCAATATTGGCAGCACCGCAGGTGCCCGGCATGGATTACTTCTTGCTTTATCCTCAGGAATCGAGTCTCTCGCAGAGAATAATCCTTCGTCGGGTCTCCCAGGATTTTGGTCAATCAATGGTTCCAATTTCGAGCCTCGAACTTTGACAGGCAACATTGAAGGTCGACTATCCAGTGATATCGAACTAGTCATTGAAGGAATCTCAACCTTGATTGCCACTATTGCACGTTTCATACCTGATGATTTCGATGAACAAAACCAAGGCTACATCCCGTCCGCTTGCGCCATTCTTGCTCACTGTACTGGATCGAGTAGAAAAGACTGGGTGGTGGAAGCCAGTTCCAACGCTAATCTCCAGGTGATTAAGTACCTGCCAAACGGTCAGAGTGATGAAATGTTGAAGACCTGGCTAAACCCTACCAACCAAGCCTCGTTCCTTTACATGAGCAGAGGATGGATCAGAACGTTGAGTCTGGTTCATGGTTGCCTCACACAAGAGGATCGAGCCCTCGACATACGCCGCCAGATACTTGAGTATTTGGTCAAGATCATTGAGGGTAAATTCTGGATTGAGACTAGAGTTGATGCTATGGAGGGTCTCACATTGGTCCTCTCGGATATGCCACTTTCTATACCTGAAGATGCTACTCTCATCACAACTGCACTCGTCACGGGATTAACTGACTATACAAATGACCAAAGAGGAGATGTTGGTTCAACACTAAGATTGCAAACCTTGGAGGCAGTCGACGCTTTCCGCAGAACTCCCTTCACAACTCACGAAGGAGAAAAATTAATGGAAGAGGTGCTGCCACATGTGGTAAAGTTGTCTGCAGAGAAGCTGAGCAGTGTTCGCTTTCGTGCTTGGAAGGTCTTAGAAGCCTCTCTTGGGACACATTCTGTCTTTCAAAACCGCAAGACCTTTGGATATTTGACCGAGGTCACTTCGATTGACTACTTCCGAAATCTCCTTCAACTCCTGTCTCTAGACTGGGCCAGAGAAGCACTTGTGCTTGGGCTTTTCTCATCCGCCACGGCAGGTATTGAAGACATTTGTCGAGCAGCATGCAATGCATTCGTTACTTATCTGCAAGATCTGACTTCAACCACACGGCGAACTCTGGTCCACGGGATTTCAAGCTTGGTACTGGAACAACTGGAATTAAGGGTTGAGGATGAAGATCGAGCGATTTTACCTCTAGTTGAGTTCTTGTGCTTCTTCATTAGTCAAGAGCTGTTCTCAAACGATCTACTGGCACCAACTGGACCTCACGATATACTGGCAACAATGTCAAAACTTCAACTACCTACATCATCACTTCCAAGGATCGAAGCACTCCTGAGCTTATATTCTCACCTTCTGACCATCTTCCCAATTACCTCGAACCAACATACGCAATGTCTGGACAAAATGACTCGCCAGCTTTTGCACCGCTGGCCACGAGTTCGGAATATGGCAGCAGACCTTCTATACCTCCACAGGCCAAGCGGCATACTTATGTCATGTGATTGGAACGGAACGATGGCAGTGAATAAACCCTTCGTCTTGGATTTGAGGAAGGAGCTCGGTGTAGTGGGGAAGGCATCAGCGGCAAAGAACTGATCCAACTAATGCTTTGCTGACCTGAGGGATTTCGGTCCATCAAAACATTGAAAAAGGTAATCTCAGCGCAGGGCACATAAGTTTGAGCTATGTGAAGAGCACATGCCATTCGGCCAAACATGCAGCATATTCCATGGGCATTATCTTGTGCGGTCACATTACGGCATTGACATCCCGAAGGCACATCCTTGAGTTGGGATCACAAAGAGCAGACAAGCATTTGCACGGATCTATGAAACAAGCATCACCTTAAAGCTTACCTAGAGGCACCCTCGCCACGGACAAAATGCTCCACAGAGCGAAGACAGGAACGCAAGGATGAATATCGGCGCGAGCGTCCACATAGGTAATAAAACTTTGTGCAGATCTCCGAGGACGCAACCATATTATGGAATCATCCATCCATTGCGTGACCTGAAGAATTATTGTCCAGTGAGTCATCTCCAGGATTGAGATCTTACATTCCGGTGACTTCCTATTGCTTATCACGACCAGACCTGGAGTCGCGAGACCCACGTACACTCTTATGTCAGTCGATGGAGTTCATGTCGCGAATGAGTCGACCCTGCGTGTACTGAATGGGTCCATATGACCCTGCATACCTGTAGGGCATTGAGGTCATGTGGACGTTAGAATGAAACGAGCGATTAAAGCAATTCCATCAATGCGAAATGATTGGTGGGGTTGAACGGGCGGCATCGTCTCGGAGAGCGAGCTCGGAGACTATAATTATCAATGATAGCGGGATACGTCTAGTTCGAGCCCTCGAAGTCACATTCTCGTGCCAACGAATACGCGAGAGAATTAACAGCCCTGCGTGTGATGAAGACGGCGAGAAGATCCATTGTCCACTCATCCGGCTATCGAAATCCGACCCGCCAAATCGCCGAGAAGACTCGGAGAAGTCATGATGCAAGAAGGCTACCTAGTATCGATGACCGACCTCTAACATGTGAGGACACGTGAATGTCCGAAATTCCGGCGGATTCCAATTGGCTGTACTGATCAATATTTGGACCACGCAGAGAACGCCATCGCCATGAGCACATCGAGCGAGAATGGGCTGGGTACCGCCGGAACTCACGAGCATTCGCTCGGATGAAACAGTCCGAGTCCACCGTTGCAGAGGTGAAAATGGAGACCAGATGTTCCTTCCTCAACGCATGCAAGTCGAGGTGTCATGGGAGCAGAAAGACAAAGAAAATTCATGCATGTGTCAAATGTTTGAGAAAATATTGAACATGTCCCGTCCAAAGCGGCTGAGCATGGCAGAGTAGAGCGAAGCGCAAGCTTTCCCAGTGATATGATATAGCTACCCGTAAGATCGTATTCGTATATCTGCTATCACTCTCGAAAAAGACTATGTATTTGATATACGATCATTATTTACACGTCCAAGACTCAGCCTCAAGGCCCCCACTGCAAGTGGATGTCCTACGGGATGGGCAAAATCCAAGTCCAAGCCCCAAGCCCAAGCCCCGGCAAATATTTCAATTTGGCATTGGGCAAACTGCATTGTGGCTGGGGAAACGGCGGGGAGAGCAGAGCAGAGGGGGGACTGTGGCTGTGGGGCGATCGCTGCACGATGATGCCGAGGATCGCCCCATGGTACGGATATAAGTCCACGAAGTACTTGGAGGTACATAGGTGGAGGTGTAGATCGTAGACTTTCCAGAAGTGGGAAGGCCAATAGATACCTACGAGTAAGAACTGTGTCGAAGGTACACATGTACCTAGTTATATAGCGTGTACTCGTAAAAGGTTATCCGTCTACAGACACTCGTCGTGGTTCGAGCTGTGCCCTCCCTGTCCTGTCTTGCCCCTCCATGTTTACTGCCATTCCAAGACCAAGGGTGTGTTTGTGTACCTCTAAATACCTATGTAGGGTAGAGTACAAAGATTACGAGTACGAGGAAGATGAACGGTGGAGCACTGACGACGGTGGCTGGATGACGAGTGCAACTACGGGGTATAGAGTTGGATGGATGGGGAGCGCTCGGAAAAGCCTACCTAACTTAAAAGGTTGTTTCTGCCCTGTATTGTTGTCGATTGGAGTGCGATTGACTTTGCGTCGGAGTTAGTACGGGCCAAGGAAATCAGGTACGCAATGCAGAACTGATGTAAAAGTATCTGGAGACTTGGTGGGGTGTTCTAGTTGTTGCTTTTTTGTGGAGGAGATCAAAACTTGGAATGGCTTGCGAAGGAGAAGGTGATGCGAGGAGGGGTTTGGCTCTCCAGCCGCTATACCTACTCGTAGGTACATACGGATACATAAGACTTGAAAATGGTTTGTGGTGTTTTTGACACAAAATATGAGGGGGTCTCATTGGAATATTTAATGGAAAATGTGTAGTATAGAATCGCTTCTTGATTGATCCTTTATTATAGTATTGTAAGTATAGTAAATAGTATTACAGATCTGTCGTCTTTGACAAGTAGTAGAATCGTTGCATGATTTGGTAATCATCGGTGCTTGCGTGGCCGATGTCTTGATGTTTCAGATCAAAGTTTTCCGTCGAGACATGGTGCCTCATCCACTCAATGCACCATTACAATCCTCCACTATGCTTCCTCACATAATTTCCCCTGACAGAGGATATCGATCGATGCCCAATATCCCCAGACTTCTGGGCCCTTTCACCAGGAAAGGATCGAGTTCCGACTTGGTGATAAGTCGTCCTAACCAAGAAGGTTGGGAGAATAGTCTGGACATAGGTCGTTGATGTGCCTTGGCCAGTTCAGCGCTTGAAAAGACCACACCGTGCCTGAACCCAAGAGTAGTCAGGACTTGACAGCTTTTGTGGCATCTGCCGTCGTGAAATTCGTAACGCTGAATCGCTTGATAAAAATTGCTGAAAGTAACCTCAACTCAATTGAGATCGGAGCAATGGATCCGTTCAATCGTCACCGTCCACTTCCACGGCCGTCTCCCTGACAGTGACGGGACGATTCTGTCTCCAGCCTTGATTCTTGATGTCGTAAGTAGAACTTGATGGTGGTGGTGGAGGTGGACGCCTTTTTGGGGCAGGTACAGGATTTGATTTTGAGTCGTGTTCTTCAACTATTGTTGAATGGATTTCGTAAACCTTTGCATCTTGAGAGTGGCCAGACCATTCTTTGGACTCTTCTTCGTCGAATTCGAAGACAGCCACTTCCCCAACATCGCAATCAGAGTCTAGATCCTCATCCGAAGCAGAATCTTCGAATGGGTCTGATTCCACGACCACTGCTTCTGTTGGTACTGCAGTAGTGCGACTCCATCTCCGGACGTTGTCGATAATGGTGGCATGAGCGACTAAACGAGCTAGATCGGGTGTTTGACGACGGGCTTCTCGATCCAGTTTGACCGAAGATAAATGATATACCTTGTAGGCAGTGATGGCAGGGTTGGATGATGTATGATTCGAGGACACCATTCTGTCGATGTGGATGTGTGTTAATAGGTGAGGTGTATTGAGTAGTTAATGGCTGTTATTGTCGGGTTCTGTCTTGGTATCGAATGCAAACTTCAAGCAGAGGCAAAGGTAAGTATATGTATGATCAGTCAAGGATGACCAGTAAATAGAATAGCCGGGAGAGCCAAACAAGAAGGTTCCACCAGCCATCCCATGGAAAAACAAACAAGGAAATCTCAGCGACGGAAGCGACGGCTTGGGTGCATTGACCTACAAAGTCAGATTGGATATTTGTCTATGTCAGCGTAAAATGGACCGGGGTATGGAAAAGCTAAGCCTGAATGAGGTGGGGGTCGTCGTAATGAAAGAAGTGGATCAAGGATCAAGCGGACAGTAGACAGCGGGCAACGGATGAGTTATCCAACTTGGCCTCGCACTGAGGTGATTTGCATGGTTTTGGAACTGGTGATTGGAAATCTCTCCATTGGTCCTCATTGTTCGTACTCGTTTGCTGATGCTCGTGGGCTATGCAGCACAGGATGCCTCATGACCATTATTGATCACCTATTCTTCCGACAGTGAGCATGACCACGATCTGAAAACATTTGACGCCTTGGAAGTGACACGTATGATGAGTAACTAAGAAGTCAAGACCTTGGGCCATGGACGCGTGTGGTGTGACCAAGAAATTCCAAGATCTCGGCCACTGAATACCTACTTCGTGGGTGGGTAGCTTTCTGGCAGAACTTGGATCCTGATTCCTGAGACATTGGCGCTGGCTGTAACGTGACCCGGAGAAACATAAAGCAAGCAGTCGTCCCTATGACGTCGTTCAATTTTGGGGGAAGTTGCAAGGAAGGCTGACCGTCGGCCCGAGGGGCGTATTCCCACCATTACTCTCCGTGTCGTTTGGTTTAAACACAGGGGACCCCAATCGAGTATCTGCAACCATCTGCTTCATTCGCTTACTACGATTGGTGATACACCGTATTTCGGTCTGGACAAATTGGAGGACAGCTGCCACTCTCCTCAGCATGCACTTCAGGTTCTTGTCACACTATTGATCCTCAATCGGGAATTTCCACTCCTCGTTCGCGGCTGAATGTTGTTCGCTAGAATGATAAGCTCTACCCCTACTGCACTGACAACACAACCCTTATGCTGACTACTTTCCTTACTGACCACAAAGTACTGACTCCTGAGCTTAGCTTTTGCTTGATGGTGACTTGGTCCTGACTAAGGGCGTCGGCGGAAAACTCCCCTTCCACCACTCCAAAGTTCCAACTCTTTGAATAGTCAGCAATCCTGACACCAAGCTCTCAAATGGGTAGTTTGCACTCTCTTAGCCTTTGACCAGAGCTTCTTCAGAGCCCCTCTATATCAATAATACTCAATTGGGCACTTACCTCCTCAGGTAAAGGCTGTCACCCCACACTGATCTAATCCTAGTGACGATAACTCATCATCCCCAAATTATGATGTTCTACGCATAGTCTCCTGCATCAAGAATATAGCCGGGAACATCCAAGATACTTGCTTCCGAGAAACGGCATTGTGCGTATGTAACCTATGGCTCCCTGAGGCACACTTGATATGCTCAAGGCTAGACACTATCCAACGACGAAATTCCGAATTCGGTCATGGACCAAGTATCCCTGACCTTTATTCTCAATGTAATTTACGACGATTACGAAAGGCAGCTTCCCTTATTTAGCCTCGAAGAGTGTCCAAGCTGTTCCCACAATGTTTGGGATGGGAGATTGAAGAACACGCCTCTCAAAGATTGATCAACTTTGATGGATCTCGAATGTGGCCTTCAGCCAGTCACGATCTGCGGTCATTCCTGCCAAAACTGTCCTTCATTGTGCGGCCGATCTGAGGAAGCCCCATCTTCGCGCTGTTGGCCTTATTATACCTGCGCTCGATACTCGGGATATCACGGTTTGATTATGCTTTCGACGTTTCATTCAGGCTCCCCCACCACAATGTGACAATGATCTACAAACTGTCAAAGCTTACTACGACTCATGCGAAAGTGGTCGAAAATGCGCTGCCGCTAGAACTCTCTACTCCTCGGCAGGCCATCTGCCATTGACTTTGGATTGTTGAGCGCTAATCTATGCTTCATTCGAACACATCAAGACGTATGAGCCTCCGTCTGGACAACTGTGCAGGTTATACTTCAAGAGATTGACATCGAAAACATCGCTGTCTGAGGCGAAATGTTTTCCCGCGAGTGCCTGCCTAGGTGTATCTCCAACCCCTGTCGAACTATCCCCTACAATGTTGAGCCTTGTACATGTGAAGACTCAAGCCTCAAATGAAATGATGGACATTCAGTCATTCTACAGGGTGAACAAAGTATGACTGGTGAGAAAGGTGGAAGCGGATGTAGCAAGCAATGAATGGTAAGGGGTAAGTATTACTATCAAATCATGCGTGATACCGAGCATACTCCTCCAAGCGACGAACGACGCAGTCTAAGGGCACAGTACTCAAAGTGGCTGACCATTCCAATACACTAAACAGAGGGCCGGAGGGGGAGACAAACTTACATGAACGCGCAACAAAAGGAAAAGGGGTATATCTCATAAGCCATTCGAGACCAAAACACCGTCGTCGACAAAACTGAATCAAAATCATGTTGAAGATCCCGTCGTACTCATCGCATTACCCCGGCAGGGTCATCATTCCCGCATAACGCAATCTTTCTTGTCAAGCACCAAATGTACAGTGTGCTCGTGCAACCTCTCAGCCGCAGTTAGCGGGGCACCTTTCGCTAGTAGAAACCGTTGTGCATATAGGTGATGCAACAAAAAGTCCCCCAAAAGTCGGAGACTCATTTTTACCAACACTGGGTCAAACTTTGATTGCTGAAGCAACGGAAAGTCCCCGTGACACCGAAAGCGGACCAAGTCCAGTTGCACAGGTTGTGCTTTCGAGTGCACGAAGGCGCCTTTGGATCAAGGAGGCCAGTGACATGGCAGTACCCTGCAGGGTATTCGACGACAAGACCTCTTGAACCGCCGCCATGACCATATTCTCTGCGTCCGGAGACAGCAAGGGAGCTGTGGATCTTGCTTGCGGCTCAGGTCGAGGCTGGGGTGGCACAGATGTGGACGGAAGTGGCACAACTGGAACGTTGACTTCTGGCATGATTGAGGCTCTAGCCTGGCTTCGACGACGTTCCATCTCATCCAGAAGAAGCTGAGAGGTGATTTGTCGTCCCTCCCTCTCCAGCATCTGGATGAAACTGCTCCACTCTGGCTTCAGAGTCCCCCCTGCACTCATGTCGTATGGCTCGGCTTCTTCCATCCATCTGGAAAAATTCTTCATGATGCGGATGGCAGTCTCAACGCTGCACTTGAACCACTCCATATGCCTAGTCACGCCACACATGCAGCCACGTTCTATGTGCCAGCAGTACAGAAGCTCGTAATGGACAAGCCGCTCAGCTCGCGACGCGTGTGGCACATTGTTGACCCAATATTTCAAATCAGGGGTGTACCCACACTTCCCCCTGATGGACCTCATGCGGTCCTTCAGATTGATTGAGTGTCCGATCTTGACCATCTCGAAGCTGGCTTCTTTTGAGAATATATATATACTTCCGGGCTTGAGATCTTGTTTTGCACCGAGTGGTTCGCAGAGATTTCCAGCTAATGTATCGCCTGGTTTCTTTATAAAGGGTACGAAAGTTGTCTTCGAGCGCCCTTCTCCCGTGTCGGCTTGGGTCGCCTCAGTCACTGGACCATCAGACCTTAGATGAGGCCTTGAAGTAACCCTTGGGCGATCCACGACAGCAGAGGAAGACTTGGTATGACTCTCAAATGACGTTGGTATGGTGTTGGTCTGTGACTCCGGCGCTGAACTTACACCAGACTCCGTCGACTCTGGAAGAGAGGGTAGCTCGGCCTCCCATCTTTGACGAAGGCTCTCTGCGAGTAAGGTGCCAGTAACCTCCTGCCGGTGATCACGCTTGCAGCAGCAGTTTGAGATGAACTCCAGAAGTAAGGCAGAACGCTTCTCGACGGACGTTTCTATTTCAATTTCCCTTTTGATGCCTGATGTGGTGATCCGCAGCCTTTTGTCAATCTTATTCCCACAGCCTCGGGATTTGTTGACCAAATAATAGACACACCTGAAGGTATCGGGGAAGGGATCGACATCGTGAAAAGAAGGGAAGTCAGTAGCAGACGGTGGAGGACCCATCAGGAAGCAGATTCGAAGATGCTGACACTTGGGGAGCAAAATGGAGTTCTTTCGGGAGCGCCCGAGGTCTGAGTGGAGCTAGATCAGAGTGAAAATGGATCACTCTCCACGCCTTAGGGCTTCAAGAAGGACGATCGCTCCACGGGTGGAACGCCATCTGTGGTACTATATACCTGTGAGCAGCCAAACCAGAGCACGAGTAGCATATCGGGTCCTCAGAAGACCAAGGAGGATTTGGAAGTTCCAACACCCAAGTTGTGGCTGTAGCCTACTCGACTGGAGGATAGTGGCTGTTTCCTTTCATAGTCGACTCGCCATTGGCTTCTATTAGCGAGGGGTGTGGCATAGTTTCCTCAATCACTTCTGAAGCACCTTGTGAATGACGTGTGCGAGCTATATTTGATCACAGTACCGCGCGATGGTACCCTCCTTCTGAGAGTGAGAAGGAGCTTTAGGCCCAAAGAGGACGAGGACTTGGGCTGAATAAATCTGGGCAGATGCAGACTTTGATCACAGTAATTCGCACGGCTGTGCCCTGTTATCGCTCGTCCTTTGGAGGTCTGGGCTAGCGGAAGAAGAGAATCTGGGCAAGAATGCATTTGGGCGGGAACAAGCCATGGGCATACGCAAGCTGCTGTACAGGAAAGGCAAATGCACGGTCTGATTCTCTGGCAGACTGGCATGCAGCCAGGAAGAAGGACTGTCGAGCTTGATCCGGATCCGCATGTCTATTGATTCGTCGAAGTCTAGTTATGTCGAGCACACTTGGTCGTCGAAGTGGTCGTCGGGGCCCTTGGGGTCAAGACGTGCCCAATAGCGTGCCCAGAAACCCAACGGCCCTGGGAGAACTAGGACAGGTGTTGCAAAGAAAGCCCACGATATAGTGAAAGAAGGACAGTGGTTCTGCAGTATCAGTGCGTGTACAGATAGGACAAGGCAGTGCGGTCAAGGCAGTGACAGTGGCTCCGCTGTGGGCTCAGGAGCCAGTCGGAGAGCGGTGGGGGGTCTCAGATTCCTCACCATCCTAGCAAGGCATCGCGTGGAACCAAACCCGTCCGGTTACGCGAGAACGGGGGCCATTTACGTCTCTGCCAGGCTTCAGGCGCCAGGCCAGTCGCTCGACAAGCCGATCTGGGTCTTGCTCGTGGAAACCGATGCGGTAGGGAGTACGAAGTATTGAAGCGAGAGAACAAAAGGACCAACATGCATACATCACCTGCTTTCGAGCTCCGGAATCGTTTGTAGGAATGAGACAGTAGAGAAGTCATGAAGAGGACTGAGGACCTGATTTTTGCTGACTTGGGGTAGGCACGAGGGAGTGAGAAGCCGAAAGTGCCAGGAGCAGCATCAACAGGTCCATCCGCGGGTTGAAAGGCCCAATGAAATAATAATTGCTGCGAGCTTGACCCTCAGCCACCATCAATATTTAAATACAATAGGCAGAAGAATCGAGTGGGCGAGAAATGAACAGAAGAGCACAAGACATAGGCCGAGTCATACAACAGGGTGATCCTTCACGGGATGATATAACTAGTCCTTGATTCTCATCTCTTTTTCGTGTCCTCAACCTAATCATCACGACAAGTATAGTATGAGCAAAATGTTGTGTAGCTTTGTTTTCAGTTTACCCTGAGATCGCTTGTCACAAACCCACGCATTCCATTGCATTGCATTGCAGACCCCTGTCTTTGGCATCAACATTCAGTAATACATATCGTCATCAAAAGGCCTGTCGCGGGAAGTTGACTGGAGGTGACTGCGCTTATAGCCATAGGCACTATTCGTCGTGCTCCCCCCTCGTGAACTTCCGCCGCTTCCGCCCCCACTAGCCATCGCGCCCATGCCAACGCCCATGGTGCCGCCGTTGACTCCGTTGGATTTCGAAGGATAGCTATTATTCGTGCCCGGAGCACCGCCACCACCACCTCCGCCACCACTGTTGTACTGCGTGGTATATCCATTAACATCAACGGGATTCGAAGTCAAATAGGCGTCATATCCGGACCCATAGCCGGACCCAATGCCATTGCCCATATAGACAGGAGAGTTCTCATTCGTGTCACCCCCACCCCCGCCACCAACAACACCATTCTGGCCTAGCGACGGGACCCCATCGGTGTCGAAGAAATTCAGATCCAGCGTTCCCCAGTCCTGCTGCGAGGGCTCGCCCCAGTTCTCAAAGCCCACGGCTAGCTGATTCTGGTCCTTGAAGAACCAGTCCTGCGTCTCCTCTATCAGCGAGTCGACGCCGCCAAACAGCCGCGCCGCTTCGACGGGCTGGCTTCCTGAGGCTGCGCCACCGCTCTGCGCTGCCGCGGCGGATGCGGACGCGACGGCACCCTTCATGCGTGCTTGGTGCGAGTTCCACGCGTCTTGCTGTGCTTGGGTGAGATGTGTGGATGGGCGGACTTTGTGGAGGTTGCGTGAGAGATCGGCGGCTGTCGTGGGTGGCAGGGATAGGCCGCCGGAGCTGCGTCGCGTGTCGATTGTTTCGGCTGGGCTGGGCGCCATGTGGCTTCCTGTCAGGCCCGGGTGGATCTGGGGGATTGATGTTCGCATCATCGCTTGCTGTTGCTGTTGTTGCTGGATGTTCCGCGCCATCAGATCCGTCAGCTGTAGAGGTTGTGATGTGATTTGCTGCGCCATATGTGCGAGGTTCTGGCTCTGTGGCGAGTAGTTGGCCAGCACACCACCAGTCGCCCCGGTACTGCCATCCCCAGCAAGTCCCCACTTCATCCGTACCCGCGTGAAAACCACGTCCGCCTCGTCAGGGATCGTGATCTTCCACTTCTCAGCGCAGACATGCAGAACCGTTAACGTCCGTCGCGCTGCCGTCCAACACTCACCCATCTCCTCGAGATGCTTCACTCCATGGATAATGTCCCGTCGAGCATTCTTGTCTGGGAGATTCAGTAGATGAATCGTACATGCTGAGTGTACGATATAGATGGCGATATTGCAGATCTGACGTAGTCCATGCGTACGTTTATAGAGCCGGAAGAGTTTCGATATTGCGCCCGCGGCCTGCGTGCAGAATTTCCGCGGCGAGATGTGTGATGGTAAAGGTGAGGTGTTGCGTGTATATCGGAGAAACGGGCGGTACAGGTGGATGTAGAGGAGTTGGAAAAACATGCTACAAATGTTAGAGATGTGGATTTTTGGGTGATCCGAAACGCAAGAAAAAGTCATCACTCACTGCATCAACAATACCTGCGGCAGCTGACCCTCTCTCGCCTCCAACTCAGGGGGGAGAGCCTGCTTCCAGGCCTCGAGGCGAGTGTGCACGTCACTCAATTTCTTGAGTTCCGCTTTCGAAGACACGGGTTTGTCGATTTGCGTAGGGTTGTAGAATGACGTGAGCAGGTCGCCGGAGATTTCGGCGAGTTTGGACAGCTGGAGGGCTACGGCGCGGGTGCGTGCGGGTTGGGCGTGCGCCTGGATGATCCCTGAGTCTGTGTAAGGTGACCACATCTCGCTATCTTCGTGGGGGAAGACGTCGGGTTTCTTGACGGTGATGTTGGGGAGTTGGAGTTGGGGCTGGCGGCCAAGGTAGTTCGACCAGCATCTAGACATGTGATGTTAGTAGGGGAGAGAAATGGACGTGTGTGAATTGAAGATGAAGCCATACTTATCGAACAGGAAACATCCCCAGAATGTAATCCTCCGGGCGTCAATATCTTCATCCGCCAGTCTTGACGACTCATTGATTGGTGAGACATCGACGTTTAACCCCAGATCGCACGCCATGCGGAAACTCATCCCGCTGTACACCCAGCCTTTACTCTCGCGACCACAGCCGGCCTCACGCACCGACATCAATGCCAGCGCCTGGATAGTGCACAATTTCGCGTTGGCGAACTCATCATCTTCGTACAGTAGCCTCTTAGCCTCGGCAAAGAAATGATCACCCGTGGTGCCCGAATTATCCGGGTCTGCGCGAGCACCTGGTCTGGATGAGAAATGACAGCCTAGCGCAAGCATGACGTTCACCAGTAGTGGGGAACAATATTGCGATGTCGTGCCCGTCAGAAAATCGCGGTAGAAGAGCTGTTTGGCCAGCGTGGTGAAGAAGGCATAGTGCCAGCAAAAATACATGTTGATCAAGTGTAGGATGAGTTCCTTGTCCTCGGTGACTGTCGTCCACGAGAGGATTGCTTCTTCGCGTGGGCGGACGATCCCAGAGCCCAACTGAGTGCCGGGAGAGTTTCCCAACGTCCGGTTGGGGTCGTAGTCCTCGGGCAGCCAGATGAGATTGGAGGTGCCGCCGATGAACTTCACGGAGCCGTCGAGCATCAAATCGCCCATCCTGCCCGACAACTCGGCCTCAAACTGTGGCACCGACGGATCATTACCGTAAACCGGCGAGTCCGGGACCTCGTCCGGGGCGATTTTCTCCTGTGTTTCAATGTGGTGGGCGAGTTCTTCAAGGCTGTCGCAGGTGCGGATCTGGCGCACGAGGTCCATGACATCGTCCTCCTCGGCGTTGAGGATCGCCTGGATGAGGATCTGTAGCGTCGAGTTCTTGGCCTTGGAACTGTCGACATCCTTCTTGTATACTCCTTTCCGTCGGTGGTCGGTGTGTGGCGCATACTCGCATTCGGTCAGGTACACTGAAGCGCATGCTGCGCACTTGGGTAAGTTTCCATCACATTTGGACTTCCTCTTTCGGCAGGCGATGCAGGCTGTACTGACGCATCTTCTCTTGTTGGCTGCGCTGTCTTTGTCTTTGTCCTTACTCTTATTCTTTCCCTTGGATGAGGATTGCGCTACGGGTTCTTCTGTGGTCGCAGTGGCATCTTCGGCTGGAGGAGTGGTCTGGTCGGGGTTGGCCTCATCGGCCATGATAGTATATCTATGTCAATTCAAGCTGAGGCGTCTTCTGCTAACCGCAACGTCGTTGTTGGGCAGAAGATATTACTATTCTCTGCAACCTGAATTCGACAGGCCAGCGCACCAGCATCCTTTCTTTCGGTAGATCTCGAAAGTATCGCAATGCAACATCGGGTTTATCGCATCCAGCAGACACAATCGGCAGCGGTTTAGTTCAACAGGGCCAATGCGTGGGATTAGTCAGGAAATACGATGGGGTACTGAGGAAAAGCTTGGACGAGGGGATTCGGTGGGGGTTTGAGCGGAGGAGCGATACGGATAGTGAGTTTGAGGTAGAATGGGTTTGTTGCCGCTGAGATTGCCAAGTGAGAAGAGATAGTCGGGTTCGACCAAGATAGAACCCTAGCGACCAAGGATTAGGATAAGGGATAGAATCGGTACAGAACTCAGGTGACGAGAAGAAGCATGCACCGCGGTCGAACGACTGCACGGAGGAAGTCGCTTGGTCCGACACCCTCTCTGTTCATAATGCCTCAGTCCAATCGCGGGGCAGACATTCTTGATTGTCGAAGGAGATGATCCGAACCTTGGCCATGATTATCCGCTGTCACGTGTAAATCCAGGGCATGGGGGTGTGAGGTAGGAGATATGCGCCATATAGTAGGAGTCATTTTTTTCCGGGTGTCACTATTCCATGATATATTCTGTTCCATGGGTTCATACATGACCCATCCCGGTCTCGGTCCCAGTGACAATAATCATTTCATCCCAATACCATCACCGTAGCCCGAGTAACGCCTTGCTGTTCTCATACACGATATAACTGATACTGACAGCAGGGGCCACCTTCAGCAGATTCGGCGTCACCCCTTTAAACAGTCCTTTGAAACCTTCACCCTGTATGGTTTTGATCGTCACATCTGCAATCCCTGTATATGTAGGTGGATGCAGTACCGTCCCCTGAGCCTGGAGTCGCGTCCGTAGTAGATTAATCGGATATACGACCGTCGCGCTGATGGCGCCTGAAGTCGCACCGATGAAACCAGTGATCAGATTGCTCATCTCCACGTCTTCTTCGTGGCATCGGTTCGCTTTGGCCTTCCGTGCCAGCACAAAGTGTTTGCAGTTTTCGAATATGAATAAATCAATCGCGCTATACGGGAACATACCCGCAAGGCCCATGCCGAGTCCTCGATAGTAAGGAAGGAGTCGACCTTGCCTCCACATCTTTTGTGCCGTTTGTGCTATTAACGCGTTTCCATGGAGACCGCCTTGAACTGTCTCGCATTGCATTCGACTTGAAAAGAAGAAGAGACAGTCAGTGCAAGGAGAAGATATTGGGGGATCAGGGACTTACAATTTTAGCGTATCCAAAGGATAGACCACACACTGGGATATCACGCCTCCAAATCCACCGGCAAGAAATTGTGACGTCGGATGTAAATGTTTAGGATCGGAGCCCTCAAACTCAGCGAGTGCCTTTTTCGCCGCTTCATACGCTCCAAATTTGATGGCCGATTCAGGCATGACCTTGACCACGTTCAAACCATTACCAGCGAACAAACTGCGTAGACCACCTGCCGCCCAGAGATCTTTACAGGCGTCCACCAAAGGACGTCCGAAATGTTTGATGACCTGCAGCGGAGCAGCTTCCTTGGCGGCATCGACCACCGCTTTCTTAGGACTGGTCTGGGCGATCAGGTAGACTTTCAACCGATCAAGTGGCGCGGTGGCCGTTCTGGAGATCATGCCTGCTAAGCCGCCTGCTACGAAGTAGCCTAACGGAGGGAAAAGGTCTGTCAGCATTTCTAGCAAGCCAGTCAGAATATGTAAAGGAGATTTAAATGGAAGTAAGATGGGTCCACAGAAGACAAGTAATCAAGATGGTTCTCCTCCTTGGATCTGAGGTTCCAAGGCAGAGGGGACATCTCATCAAGCTTGTTCTCATGTTGACGCATAATGCTCGCCTGCCGAAGAGTTGGAGGGGACTGTACCGAAGCCTTGAAGGGTATCATTGATATGGACATCTCCTTCTTGGTTCACATTTGCCGTTGCCGAATAGTATGTGATGACCGCCCGAAGGCTAGGTTGGTTGGAAGGAAGGAACATGAGGAAATTCCTAGTCGTGCGTGATCAACAACAGGTCTTCGCCGAGCGACATGTGGTTCAACAACCGCAGACTCAACTCACCTCCATTCCTCAAAACTAATTTCTCCATCATGATTCGTGTCCACCTCATCAAAGAACTGATCGAGTTTGGCATTGCTGATAGTCAGACCCGACCGACTAAACGCAGCACGGAGCTCGTCCTTATCGAGGGCTCCACTGTGATCGCGATCAATACTCTCGAAGAGCTGCCATAATTCCTTTTCGGCGTGTTCCACAAACACCAGGAACTCGTTGAACTGTATCCGTCCGTCACCGGATGTATCGACGGCCTTGAGGACATCGGTGAGGAGGGAATCGGCATTCTTGAGTGGATGATCAATGGTGCGAAGGCCTTTCTGCAGGGCGGGCAGATCCAGTTCGCCTTGGTTGCGGGTGTCAAGTTTGCGCCATAACTCTTCAATCCGCTGGTTGCGGCGCTCCTTCGACTCTCCGTTCATACTCCGCCTGGGTATGATTGGGTCAAGGTTGGTCTATCTGTGCGGGTGCATGGCTAATGTGTCTGTTGCTCGCCTGGAAAGAGAGAGCGCACTTGGAGATGCAAATCACGAGGATGGGATATGGCTCGATGTGGCGCTGGAAGACCACACGTGGAATTCCGGGGATGAGAAGTGCTCAAGGGAGACGTCAAGAACCTGGAGAAGAAATCTTGAAGGAGGTTCTGTGTTGACAGCAGGTTGGAGCTGGCAAACTCGCACTTGATTTGAGCTGTGACGTGGGGTCTCCATCTGCAAATGCAACTTGCCCACTTATGCTCATTCTAACCGAGGAATGCACAGCCTTGCCAAGCATGGCTTCTGAGTCACGTGTAATGAGGTGTTATTGATGAAACGAGGCTGCGAGACAAGAAAGATTGGACCTGCAGATCACAAGAAGTGTTTTTTGTATTACATTGTTTCGCTAACATGTCTGCAAGCATTCATGTGCTTAGAGTCTCGTTTTAATACTCCATACACAAATGCAATAGGCGATGCTGTTGGACTTCCAGACAACCTGTCCCCAAAAAAGCCATAAAAATCATGCTGCTTCACCAGATCGCGCCAGCATCATGATCAAACCTGCTCAACTCGCGTCCTGCCTCTTCAACCTCCTTTCTGGCCTTCATCCGCATGTAGAAGATGGGACAATCTCTCGCAGAGCACAACACCTCTGAATGCATACTTCCCTGGCATCGTTGACATTGTGTCCATAGTCTGTTGAAGCGGACTTCAAGCTCGCCGGTTCGGTTGACATGCTTAGTATATAGTTCTCCTATTCTGGGCCTGCAATTTTTGCAGACTGCACCCTTGGACTCCTCTGCTCCCACAAGCGGTTTCTTGCAGCCCATGCATGTCTGAGTCTTCTTGGCAAATTTCATCAACCCGCCCAATGTCGGAGCAGCAACCGAGATGGAACGTGTGTGGTCCCCATTGAGAAGTGAGTTTGCACGCTTCTCGCCAAGGATAGGTTCGAAGATTCGGCCCAGAGGATTCGCAAGTTGATTATCCAAGTAGTACTTGGTGTCAATAGGCACATTGTTCTCCAGCACAAACATTGGGTCTTCGGATTTCTCATAGTTCTTGCTCGAAGCAGACCCCTTGACAATGACATACGGCACTCGATCCCCCAGGGCAGGTGCTGAGCCGGCGTCACGATTCTTCATCCGCTTCGCCAACTCGACGTGAGCTTGCTTGCCATCGTACTCCTTCTTCGCTAATGCTTTTGTGATGATCAACATGGAGAGATCGATCTTGTTCTGAACCAAGTTGGCAATGGTCTCTTTGACGTAGTCTTGAGCACCATCAATGTCTCGATCCATCAAAATCTTTTTGAGGACTGTTTCAATCACAATCTGTACTAGACGACAATTGTCTCGACGAACAGTTTCGATTCCTTTGGTGTCCATCTTGTCGAACTTGTCAGGATTAGTCCAGTAAAGTCCAGCATACCGCTTTTTGTTGATGAGCAGGTATGGGTAATATACTTTCTCAAATTCGAGTTTGATAGGTTTGACGAATTTTCCTGACACAAAATCGGCTGCTTCTTGTCCCAATTTCATCGTCTCGGCCAAATCCTTCGTTCCGAATTTGACCATGACTGAGTCGGTATCACCATAGATGACCTGTGCGTCGTGTGAATAACCATTCGCTATCGTGTACTTTTCTTCAACTTCATGCTTTGTTTTCTCAATCATTTGCCGACCGTAGGCAGTTGTACTTGAAGCAATGGGCAGACATGGCAGCTTCCCCACTGTAGCTCCGGTGAGACCATAGACTGAATTGGCAGAAATCTTCAAGGCTAACTGACGACCATTGAAAACTGCCTTCTTGAACGGGTCTGTTTCGATGGCAAGATCCTTCTTGGCTCGCTTACGTGCTGAGAGCAATTCCTCCAAAATTTGTGACAACAAGCCCTTTCGGACTTTCGCAGTTGCGAATAAATCACCATTCGGTGTGAGGATGTAATCCTCGTCTTTCTTCAAATTCAGCTTCTCAATACTCGCCTTGTTGAGAAGAGTAGTATAACACAAGTTGTGTGCCTGAATGATCGAAGGGTATAGAGACGCAAAATCAAGTGTAGCCACAGGTACATCATAGTAACCTCGAATAGGCTCAATGACTGTAGCTCCTTCATACTGCTCGTCAGTAGCTTCGTTGCTAAGATTAGGAATCACTAGTTGCTGTTCCAGTGCTTTCCTGAAAAGCTGACTGATGAACTTGACTTGTTGCCCACGTGAGAGTAGATAGTTGAATGGAACACCTGTGACTCTAGCCATTTCGGTATAATTGACAAGACACATGAGTTTGTCCATGAGACGTTGTGGAAGGTAGGCATCTTTCAGACAGTACACGGCGAGACGACGTCGCGAGTCTGCTGTACCATTGTAAAGTTCTGTGATCATGGTGTGATGAACATCCTCTTTCTGCTCTCCGAGGAAATGAGCACTGACAGAGTTGAGAGTGTAGCTTCGAAGCTGGTGATCTCTTTGCACCAACTGTAACAGATCAAGCTGAAGACGACCATGAGTGTTTGTTGTCTTGGTATCGCGGTTACCCATTTGCTTGCTGGAGAAGTTGGAAGTTGTTGCTGTAGAGACCATACTCTTCAAACGCGACCAGTAGGGGAATTTCTGCAGTTTCAAGTGTTTTGCTCTGTCCAAAAGATATGGAAAATCGAATTTGGCAATGTTGTAGCCGATAATAACATCAGGATCAACCTTCTCGAGAAAGTCCCTCCAAGCCATCAGCATTTTTGACTCTGAATCATGCTCGTATATTTGCGTATTGACGATCAAACTGCAGGTATCGAGGACAAAAACATTCCGAATGAAAGGTTTAGACTCTCCGTATCTCGTAACAACATTGGCGATCTGAATAACGGGGTCGATGTTGGCTTCAGGAAAGACGCCTTTTCTCCCAGCACATTCAATATCGAAGGATAAAATTCGAAGTGGAGCCATTTTCGCCCACTCACCGTCATGACCATGGGAGATCAGGTCTCGGTAATGGCAATAGGCTTCAATCTGGCAGTTGGATTGACGATCATGAGCAGGTATAACATGGTATTTTCCACTTGTGACGCCGACCCAGGACATTCCAGTCACGCCAGTGTCGATCATGAAGCGAAGGACATACTGAATACTGTCAAAGGTGAGAATCTTGCTTTCAACACCCTTCCACATTCCCTTGTAGTTGGCATGTCCATCTTGAATCGCAGTGCGAAGTCTGTTGATATATTTGGGATCCGTAACTGTGATTTTCAGATAAGGGCTCTTTTGATTGCCTTGGAAACCATAAACATTCTCTCGGAGAACCATTTGAACCGAATGGATGGCAGGCTGGTGCTGGGCGAGTTGAGAATCAAGATATGCTTTGTAGCCGTCGACATCTTGCCGTTGGAAACTGACAGGAGCAGCGACGTAGAGATAATGAAGGAAATCTGTGACGTGGAGTAGGATCGAATGACCCGTCTGGAGCGATGTTAGCATGAGGGTAACCAATTCAAAGAGCGTGTATCGTACTTCTGAAACTCCGAAGAGCTTGAGTGTCACTTTACCACCATGTAGGGTGCCCTCCTCAACTTCAATCTGTTGGAAACACAGTTCGTCCTTTTGAGGATCAAAGTCATCTAGGCTAGGTCGATCCCACTGTTGGTCTTTCTCTGAATTATTTTTCTTGAGGCCGATGATGTCCTGGGTCATCTTCTCAAGAACTTCCGTCTCAAAGGCACTCTTGGGTTGACTGGACCCCAGCTTTGACTTGAAGCCATTGTTGTTTGGCTGGGAAGAACTGAAACTAGAGTTGAGGCCATTTCCATTGAGTTTCCTCTTCTTGGTAGAAGGAGGGGACTTGAGGGCATTATGTGTGTTGGTGGCGTCCGTGAGGACTCGCTTCTTGGGTTGATCCAATACACGTCCAGGCATGATTGCTGTTCGGCCAGGTATGTACGAAGGAACAGGACGACAAAGACTCGCGCAGTGAGTTGACAAGATCGAGGGTGTGGGTGGAGAGAGATATTAACCGTTGCTGCACTGCGCGTGTCGATTAACACGTCGCGTCACGTCCTGTCGTCACCCCGCCGCTCTAAAGAGAATCGCTTTGGGTTAGCGTGACATGCATCTTGTCTGACCGCCTTCAGGTCGCCGATATTGCGGCGCCTCACGTTTCAGAACCCCTCCAGCTGAGTCTGTCGATTCCTCCTTCTCTTCAACAGATAACTTTCTACATCCAGAAAAGAGACTTCAGTGAGACTTGTCCGTCTAGAACCACATCATCCGGATTTACTGACTTCAGTCAAGCAACTCGATATGGCGGACGACGTTACGGCAGAGAGGACGCCAGGATTCAAGGTGGGGGAGAAGAAGACACTGGACGAATATCACTCGTTGGGTAAGTCACATTCTGCATTTGACTTCCGCATTCCTGCAGAGCGGGCATCACGATGCACGGTGTGAAGTGCAAACATTTGTCCTACACACAAGACAGCTTTGTACGTTCCACCATGGTGGCACATTCAATGCTTATCTGAATCTCCCTTCCCCAGCTCCTCTCATGTCTCACCAGCCTCCGTTCACTATCACCCCTTCCGCATGATCTAGCTAACCTGTCTTCCCTAGACAAGGAAGATGATGCAATGAATAGATGGAAGGCGTCACTGGGACTTGCCACGGGCAATAGTATCTCGGACCCCAATGATCCTCGTTTGTGTATTATCAAGTCTCTCGCCCTGGTAAGTCCGCACTGTCCAGTTGTGTCGTGTGATATGCGATTGACAGCTTGGTAGGAGGTTGAAGGACGGCCAGACATCACCATCGACCTTTCACAGTCGGGTGCATTGGAGAACCTGAAAAACAAGCCATTCAGCATCAAAGAAGGATCGAAGTACCAAATGAAGGCTGTCTTTGTTGTCCAACATCAGGTCCTTTCGGGCTTGAAGTATGTTCAGACTCTCAAGCGCAAAGGTATTCCGTTGGGCAAGGATCAAGAAATGATCGGTAGTTATGCGCCAAGCACTGTCGACAAGCCAACATACACAAAGAAATTTGCCCCAGAAGAGGCACCGTCTGGTATGATGGCTCGTGGTCATTACGACGCCGTTTCTCGATTTGTGGATGACGATGATACTACGCATTTGAAATTCGAATGGTCATTTGACATTTCGAAAGACTGGAAGTGAGTACGCATCGCAGCTTCGGGATCAAGGGTTCGAAAAATGTCGACATTGACGCGACGAGTAACGACTTGTCTCTAGCGAATTTTCGCTTCGCAATCAGGCGTTGCAATCAGCTGCCATAGAGCTGTTGTGTGTGATGCTCAAGACTTTCTTGTGGATGACCGTTCCATACCGAGTCTAGAATAGAACCAATGATGAAAGTGAGTGGCCAGTCTAGAGGAAGTACTCGATTTGAGTACCCTGACCATCTTTGCCTTGAGTCTGCTGCTGCTGTTGCTGTTGCTGCTGTTGCTGTTCATTTCGATGAACATCATTCTCTGGAGCTGCATCAAAGATGTTGAAAAATCGATCTCCAGCATCACTGACCTCCAAGACACTAGCTAGATTTCCACATCTATAGCAGTAGTTTGGCGCACTCCAGACTGTGCTGAGTCTATCATCATATAGTACCTGGTAGCCTTCTTGACAAAGTTGGTGGGCACGTAAAATGTGAGACATGCTATTGACCTGGAGGAACTTCTTCACCACATCACCACCAAATGTGTACCCAGCGCCTCGAGGCGAAAGAGAAAATTCGTCCCGTTCTGGATCTGGATCGGACCAAACCAGATCTGCCATCGGTCCTTCATGAGGAATTTCTCGATATCTGTCGATAATCTTGATTTGATCGATGGAATGAATAGACGGTGATAGTCCACCATGTACGCAGAAGATCTGATTATTAATGACGACGCTGAGGGTGAGAAAGTCGAACATGTCGGTGAAATAGTGCCAGACATTGGCGTTGCCGTATTTTCTGGCGCATTCGGTATAAAAGCCATATGACTGAGTAACACCTCGTGATTCATGATTACCGCGGATAAGATGAACGCGTGATGGGTATCGTAACTTCAAACAAACAAGAAGGGAAATCGTCTCGACGCTGAATAGTCCCCGGTCCACATAGTCGCCTACAAAGGTATTAGGGAGTGGACGTGCATAACAGGGGTGAATCATACCCAGAAATAGATAGTTGGTATCAGGACAGAAGCCACCAATCTTGAAGATCTCCAGCATATCAAAAAACTGGCCATGGATATCTTTTGGTCCAATATCAGTTGCTTGAACAATGTAAGTGTTCCAGATGTGAACAAACCTCCAACCACGGTGACCGGAGCTGATATATGTACAACATTGCTCTCTTTCATCAACAGCTCTTTGGCTTTTGCGCATATTGCTTCAATGAGTGACTCGGCAAGGAGGGTCTTTTTGTAAAGCTGGGCTATACATTGGTCAAGATCGATACTGGCTGTAGAGGAAAGTGATCAGCTTGGTAGGGTTCGGTGGGAGGTATGATCAGCATACCAGGTAGGCCGGGCATCGTGAATTAAGGACAGTGAGAATGAGAGACGACACAGCAAGTCGCAAGCGTGTTGAATGGAAATCCAACTCAGCGCTGTGGACAAAAACTTGATCGATGGCAAGAATGACAATGATTTATCATGATGGTTCGGCCGAAGGACTGGATCCGATCAGGACGTGGTGATGAACAGCATGTCTGCTAGAGACCCGAAAAATCAAGTTCTGAAGGGACCGGTACTCAATGATTTTTAATTTAACACATTGACACAGATATTGCAAAGACACTGCAAGTGGGATGAAAACTGAGGTTGGAGTGGGAATTGGGCGCGTGCCTTTCGCAGTGACGACGACAAACGTGAAGCGCGATGCAGCCACGGCAACTTTAGCGGGAAGGCGCATCGTTCCTTCCTCCGCACCTCAAAAGAGACTTGCCCACACCTTCCCATCCTCACTTCCTTCCATCCTTTCGCTACCTTGCTTTGATACCAACATCACTATTGATCTACTAAACCTTCTATACTAATACTCAAATTAGTAGATGGTATAGCTCTATAGGTAGGTCAACGGTAGAACAACCCGGTAGGATAGCGCCATCTGGTCAGTTGATCTTCCGTCCTAACTACTTCATTCTGTCCATCTCAGATACTAATGACCTTCTCGTCATTGCATTGTCCCATCTCATGCAGCAAGCCGCCCAATTTTGACAGACAAGGAGTTGATTGATCGACCGCATTGATTACCGTGGCGAGGATTGTAGTCTCAGGCAAACAGATGATCTATACTGTCGACTGGTTATCTTCTGCATAATAGTTTTCGGGCTTCACTTCCCATGGTGGGAAATGGCTACCAAAAACTATGCCACTGTGTTGTCTGCCAATATCTATGTTCATGAATTTCTATCGTCTGTTCGATGTCCTTGATCTCCTGTTGTGACTTGAACTCCAGTGCCTTTCGAATCACTTCTGAGACACTAATCTGGACTCAAAACCTTGGGCCTCCCTCATGCTAGCAAACCGTGGAAGAAGTTAGTGGATGGTCCACACATTTTATACAGCCGGTAACAGACAAGATCAAAGACCTATGATATCAATTGGCGAAGTTGAACGACGGAAGAATGCCTCAAGCAAGACAACGACCCAAAATACAACAACCCGTCATGGGAGCCTCATCCTCCTTTCAAGGTGAGAACCCTCCGTGGCACTACCGAGCACCTATCCACCATGAGCCCATACACCGTAATCCAACCATAAAGACAGCTTCAGGCACTTTTAGGCGTTGGAGAGAGATCCGCAGGTCAGCATCCTCAGCAATAGAATCTCACAAAACTACTCACAAGATATATAGCAAAGAAGATCTACTCCCTCAGTCAACTGGTGAAATAGCGCTCCCGGCTACAACACTTTCCGTTGGGCCTGGCCTCGACACCGTCGACAAACCTGCACCAATTGATGCTAGGCGCTATTCCGAGATACCAGTACAAGCTCCATATCAATCAAGTGTGGCTCGAGTAGTTCGCAATCAGTATCTTGTCTCAGGATGGCCAGCAGCGCACAATGATTTCTCTCGTCCGCCATTGGAGACTGACCCACATACGAGTAAGCCGCCTTCGACGCGACTTTGCTATATGCCTCAAGAAGGTGATGTCGAGGACCTTGCTTGTTTAGATGCTGTTATTTCGAAAGAAGAGAATCATGTTCCCCTCCAACAGAGACTCCAGGCACCCGAAGCACACCTCTACTGGACGGAAGCAACGGAAGTGAGGCACCGAGTTGTTGTTTCACGATACTTTCGAGATCTCGACGAGGAAACTTATATGTCCCATGTGAGCGATACAGACTATTGGGCCGTTGTCCAAGATGACCCACTCTTCGCACCGATCACTTCAACCCTTTCTCCCAGATCAGCTCAACAGATTCGTCAGAAGATTTATAACCTGTCCACTGAGGCTGACACTTGGAGTGACCTTGTCGTTGATTGAGAGGTGGAGTCTGATTACGTCTCTCAGACAAGCGTTGCAATCAGTGAAAGTGAGGGAGAATCTCCATCACCCAGAACACAATCTGTTGGCAATGACGAGTTTTCTGAGCGGAACAGACGATCTCCACGGCTGAAAGACCTCGTCACACCCATACCAGCGCCTCCAAGCAGTTCGAAAACCATCTTACCAACCTGTCTAGACCATACTCAAGCCGAACAATGTCTATCATTTGACAAGTATGTGCCAACATTACAATTCATCTCATCAGACACCATAATACATGATGAGCCTCATCATAATGCGTCATCTCAGCCACCTTCCATACTCGCCGTGGAGAATCTATTCATGGCAGCGACACGTCGAGAAACAATCTCAACACTACAATATAATACCCCAGAACAATACGTAGACCTCCCAGCGAGCAATATATCTATATCAACCACAATACCAGACCCAAACGATGCGACTGTTTCACACAAGACTGTTTCACTGCCCAACATCCACGAGCGACTAGAACGTCCTTCAGAGCAAGGTCGTAATCTTTCAGTCCCAACCCTCCCGAAAACCCTGCCCGAGGACATCCCGAGAACAAAATCACCCGCAATCAGAATCAATCTCAAGATATCCCAACCCAACTCCCACCACCAGGAGGGTGAACGACACAGCCACAAGGCGTCCCCTTTCGCGAAATCTATCACAAATAAAACACAGCAACCCTCAGACCAACCCAGAGATTAGCAGCAGAAGTCCACTGGAACGGACGGTGATCAAACCCCGCCAAAGCCACATCCAAGCCCGTCTCAGTCTCCAACCATAGAAGCCATCAGAGCAAAAGACCAACAACCCAGCCCAATGTCCCTCCCCACATACAAAGCTCCCGGCCAGAACGCCGAGGATGATGACGACGACAAGCTCATCGCCCATGCCCCAGCAGGCCGGTCCCTCCGCCCCAACCCCACGCCGAGTCGCAAACGGCGATATTCGGCATTCGAGTAAACACAGAACCGCACCCAAGCTTCCGTAGGCAGCCGTGGTCGAGGCTCTCGAGGCAGTGGAGGCGCAGGTGCAGGTTTAGCCGAAGCTGGAGCTGGAGCTGGGCCAGGGCCTGGGTTTGGACGTGCGGACGTGCGGACGTGCGGACGTGCAAGGCCGAGGGCGAGGATGATGGGGACCTTTAAATAAGGGGGTTACTGGATGGCAAGTTTTGAGGGTTCGGTCCGTTTTCGAGGGTAGAGTGTGGGAGCAGCTTACATGGGTATGGCGAGGCCGGCTCACGGGCTAGGGTAGAAGAGGGTTCGAGGCTGTACTTATGTTCTTGTGTCCTCGTGTTGTCCTTGATCTTGGACCCTATGTGCGTATATTCGCTGCATCGAGTGGTCTCAGTACCCCCTACTTCAGGCTGAACATGCAATGAGCCACGAGAAAAGTCACACTGCATACGGCATGTGTGTTCTCCACGAAGCTGTTCAATGAGAAAAATGATCATGTGAAATTGCTATTTATCAATGTTTTATTCGTCTTCCGTATGGCTTCTGTGTAAACGAGGATATGTCTAACAGAATATGTTGATTTTCTCACCGTCAATTTCTCTTTTTTTTTCTTAGTTCTCGGTCCACCTTCATTCTGTCTCTGGGGCGGATAGGCTCAATGGACCATGGGCTCAACCCATGGATACCAAACAATCCCACAGCGAAGAACCAATTGCAAAAAGTCTTATTTACTCTCTCTCATCGAGGTTGGGAGTTTCGTTATCCACCCGTATACTTTATAGTATATTCAATGTTTCGTTCCAGATCTGCCATGTTCGAACACATCGCTCCATTAGCCCATGCTGATTCGCTTGTAAACTCGAGCGCAGTACTCAATCCCAGGCATTGGAGAACATTTATTTTTCACAGTTTCGATCCGTGTGAAGGAGATGCGGGGGACCTAGAAGATGAGTAGACACATCGAGCCTTAGCTTCCCGCTGCTTGACATCCACAAACTTTTCTCGCCTTTGCATAAGAGTTCGGCGGAATTTGAAGACCGTTTGTGATGGAGCTCGCTGACGCGAGCCCGGGTCTGATGGGAAGAACAAGAGGTGGATCAATGAAGCAGGACATGGCATGGGAGTCTTTACGATTTGCGATGCATGACCGTTGCGGCAGCCTGAAATTCAGCCATGGTTAGCGAAGTGATATCAGTGCATGTGGATATTGAGCAATTCTTGCTCAAGAAGTCGAACACAACACATACCTGATGATTCGGGAAGATCAACGTGTCAGCAATAACGACATTTTCCCTCCGTCCTGCAGTGAAGACGACCACCTCGGCGATGTCGTCCGGTGTCAGGGGCTCAACACCCTTGTAGACGGCGTCAGCTTTGGCCTTGTCACCACCAAATCGCACGACGGAGAATTCCTAAAGATATCAAGCTTCTGTCAGAGATTTCGTTCCCTTTCGCCTGCATAACGGAAGAAAAACACTTACCGTCTCTACCTGACCAGGATCAATCTCGATGACCCTGATACGAGTAGCGATCAACTCGCGCCTCAAGCTGTCGGTGAAAGTCCTGACCGCAGCCTTGGTAGCGCAGTAGATACTTCCACCGGGATAGCCTTCCCTGCCTGCAATAGATCCAATATTGATAATATCGCCCCTTCCACCATCCTTGCCACCTTGCTTGCCCTTGAAGATTGGCAACACCGCCTGCGTCAGATTGATCAAACCGGTGACGTTGGTCGCGAACATGACATTGATGTCCTCGGGGTCGATGTCCGGCGCCTGCGCCACGCCTTTGACGAGTCCAGCATTGTTGACCAGAACATCAATGTCCTGGAATTCCTTGGGCAGGTTCCGCACAAAGGACTTGACCTGCTCGGGCTTGGAGACGTCGAGTTGGAAGGGAAGGACTTGTACACCAGAGCCGACTTCTTTGTTGATGGCTGCGGCGACTTCTTTGAGGGTGTCAATGCGACGGGCGGTGATGACGAGCTTGAGGTTCGTGGGGCTGGTACGTGCGAACTCCTGTGCTACACTTCGTCCGATGCCACTGCTGGCGCCGGTCACGACGATGGTCTTGCCTTCAAGGCGTTTGCCCTGGGCGGATAGGGAGGACATTTTTCGTGTGAAGGTCGAGGTCTTGGTCGTGGGTTGCAGGATCCTAGTGGTCGTGCAGATACGGACGCGTGAGTCAAGGCGAGGAATTTGGTGCGGGGTACTGGAACTGAAAGGAGATGTAGATTGTCTCAGGGCTTGTAGAGATAAACGTTTAAACGGCCGACCAGGGCTTTGCGAAACAGAAGATACTGAAGAGCGGATAAGAGGAGGCATGTACAGAACGTGAGAGGATATGAGTTGGTGGCCAGCTTGTTAGTGATTCTTTGCTAGTCACGCAATCCGAGGAACTCGAAGGTGAACGCCGGGATGAAAAAGTCGGAGAAGTTGTAGAGACCGGGCCCGTCGGGGAAGACGCCGATTTGGAGAAATATTTAAATACTCGTAGATATCCATGCTGGATGACTATCTCGGCAAACAATGAACAAGTATTCTTGGTCGAGGTTTCGCTGAATATAGTTACCGACCCTGAATCAACTTTGCTGCTGCTGTTGGGGTTCTAAAGTCGAAAGCAACACCGGATCAGGCTCGACTTCAGCTGTTCAAGATGTCATGATCGTCTCTATTGGGACATGAGCTTTTGGATACGGCGATGCGCTCCCTGCAAACACCACTGGCAAATGGAACCAGTGATAGCCTGAGTACAGTAAGATCTATCAGTTGGTATAATCCGCGTCTCGGGCTGGTGCCTCATATAACTACCCAGGTACTCACCGACACGGGTGTAGCCACGGGTCTAAGTGACTCCATTCGCGGATCAGTCATCTCACACCTAATCATGGAACACAGCTGTTCAATCTACCGACTGATGAGCTAAGTTGAGACCCAGGGGGCCATAACTTACCTTGTGAGAGCAAGACACCATATCCTAGCCTTAGAACCCATTTTCAGCCTCAGGTTTGTTAATGCCGAAGCCAATAAACCCCGAGTCCGCGGAATGCCCCACGACAGGGGACATGATTGGCGTCGTCCCTGTGGATCCATATGGGGTTAAGGTCCGAGAGTCTTGAAGTATTTATGCCAGGAACAACAGATTCATACTGGTAGATCAAACTGATCAGGCTCCTATCCACGGATCGATCTAACGGGGGCTATTTACCTCGACATTCGTTGCTGTGGCTATGAATATGCCTCATGAGTACCTAGCCTTGCCTCTGAATATAAAGGCAAGCCATCCAGCATCAAGAGACACTCAAACCAAACAAACACGATAACAACCTGATACGACTTCTGCACTATTCACTACTTTACCGACTTTACGACAATGACCAGACCAGAAGGCTTTCCAATCTCCGAAATTCCAAGTCTTCATGGACGTGTGGCGATCGTGACTGGAGGTATGCCGAGCTCCTGGTCCCTTACTCCCAATGCTCGTCCAGTTCTATATTGACACTCGAATTTGGCGCATAGGTCACGCCGGCATCGGTTTTGAGACCACTCGACTTCTCGCCCAACATGGTGCTCGGGTATACATCGCAGGTCGATCTCAAGCTCGTGTGAATGAAGCTATTTCCAAGATGAAGTGGTCCCAATCTTCGTTGGACATACGCTTCCTCCAATTCGACCTGCAGGACCTCCAGTCCATCAAGGCTGCCACTGCAGAATTCATGCAGAAAGAGACGAGACTGGATATCCTGATAAACAACGCAGGGGTATGTTAGATCGCTACATCATACACCCCAAATCACATCTCCTCAATCTAACTAATTCGGTTCCTCTAGATCATGGCTAGTCCATTCGAGATGACCAAAGACGGCTACGAAATCCAGTGGCAGACCAACTTCCTCGCACACCATGCCCTAACTCTCTGTCTGCTGCCCATTTTTCGTCAGACCGCACAGCTCAATCCAGGCCATAGAGCAACTGTCAGAATCGTCAACGTGGCTAGTGATCTTGCCTTCAGCATGGGCCCAAAGAACATCGACTATAGGGATCCCAACTTGACAGACTTGACAGGAAGGTTGGCCCCGTGGTGAGTCTATTCCTTGCGCGATGCTAATGATGCACCACAATCACCTCAACTGGTCCTCCCTTCACCTCCAACCAAATCAGCCCGGAATCTGATTCAAATGCAATACCTAGGAAACGCTACAGCCACAGCAAACAAGCCGGCATCATCGGTGCCAAAGCCATCAACGACCACTACGAACACCTCGGCATAGCCGCATATTCCATTCACCCTGGCATCATCAAGACGAACCTACAAAGCCACGACTCGACCCTCATCGGCGCAGTAGCTCGTGTTGCAATGAACGTCGTCCCGACATCGAGTGTCATCGACGGTACCCGCACGTCGTTGTACTGCGCCACCAGCCCAAAAGCCTCCACCCAAGGCGGATTGTTTTTCATCCCATTTGGTAAATTGGACCATCGCCCTGATAAGTGGTTGAACGATCCGGATGCCGTGGGTCGGTTGTGGGATCTGGCACTTGCGCAGTTGGTCACGAGGAGTGGTTTTCAATTTGAGCTATGAGACCAAGGTTGCTCACTATGATATTAATGAGGCTTGAGTGGTACTGCAAGATCCCGACAAGTATCTTTCTGCATTGCCGTTATGGGAAGGTGGCTCCAGGTTTGCGATATGTTTTCCTCTTGATACCTTGGGTGTTTTGCTTAGCTCTCATATCTTTCCTGTCCATTACTATACCAATCCATCGTTTGATCCCTCTCTCAACTGGATAACCTCTGTCGGGTTATTCTCATTCCTCCCTCACGTCCTGATTCTGGACGACATGCCGTAGGTTCAAGCACAAAGATCGTGTAGCTAGGATGAGTCATGAACCTTCTAGGGGCACGAAATCACTTATGGGCAGGAGCCTTGTCAAGTATTCTACCCAACCTAGTGCCTTCCAAATCTATGCCGTTGTTTCTACTCAGGTAGTAATCTAATAACCTACGTAGTCACGCTTATCTATCATATTCGGTATGGGCCGCACATTCGCTCAAGCATCTGCTCATCATTGACATAGATTAATACCTAGATTATATGTCTCGACCTGCCGAAACATTACGCATATGTGCTTCCCATAGATCCTGCAGACATCAGAAATTAGCCATGGGTTCAGAAAAACAAAAACAAAATGCAACTGTCGACTGAAAAAGACTGGGCAATTGGAGAATCAAAACTCACCCAATCAATCAGCCCCGGACTGTCAATCATCCCCTCGATGGCAAATACATTAGGACTCGGAGGTTGGTTGTCGTTGTTATCATTGTATCCCTCGAGAAACACACCACCTGAAGCCTGGCATTGATGCCCCTGTTCTGGTGAGCTGGAGCCGTTGGAATGTGGATGGCCGGAACCTAGGAAGATGTTAGCGGCACATCAAGCAAGATTGTAAGCTCAAAGTCAAGTTCTGTGCTCTTGACAGATACTAGGGAGATCTACCGTGATGGGAACCATTCTGTCTTGCTATGCCCGGCCTTGGAAAGTCAGATGTCGGTGCAACACTAGGGCCAACCGCAGCCCGACTCAGCATGACAGACAAGATCCTCGCAGCCTGCGGCGACACTTTCGCATGACCCTTCCACTCAAGCCAGATCTGATACGAGCCACGCAGCGCCTGGACCAGCGTGTCATTCTCATACCTGGGGCGGCCTAGCTCATCAACAAGCCTGGGCTGACGGGGTCCGCCATCGATGCGGAAACTCAGCTCCAAACACACGATCATCGCCGCGAGGATGAAGTCTGTGTGATGCAGCGACGTCATGATCAGCCAGCGGTCGCGGTGCAGCACACCGCCGTCCTGGACCTGCGTGCGCACCGTCACCTGCTGCGCGAGCAGTGCCATCGCTGCGTCAACGCAGGTCGACCGCGAGTACATGAACGTCGAGTCGTTGCGCGCTTTCACCATGTACTCGCGGTGCAGGATGCACCGGGATTTCTGGTACAGCAGCTCCAACAGATGCTGGCGCACGATCACTGGTGCGGCGACCGTGAGGGTCACTCCCGCGTCGTGGTAGGGGACGCGGAGATGGTCGGGCACGGCGGCGTAGGCTTCGTTGAGCTGTTTGTCGAGCGCCAGGTAATGGTGATATGCCGCCGCTTGGACAGAGCAAGACAGATTAGCGATATCGGCAAAGACGGCCAGCAGCCGGCCTTTCGCTATCGTGTACGACGGCGGCGTGTACTCGGTATCCGGACGAGCGGGCGGCAGCTCCGTGACATGGATGTCGAAATCGCTGTCTAGCAGATTCCGTGGAGGCAAAGTGTCACACTGGTCTGTGGCGATCATGCGCGGAAGGCCCAGCTGGAAAGAGAAGAAGATGTCGAGCTGCACGATGCCGGCCCAGACACGGCGTCTCATCTCGCCATGAAAACATGAGATCTGGGGATACTGCGCCGGGTCGCGATGGTAGCCCATGCTCATGGCCAGCCGGGTGATGGTCCCCGTGAGTGTCCACACGCTCAGATCCGCATGTTTGCTTCGAATGAATTCGATCTGGAGGTTCATGAGCAGTGCCTCGATCGTGTACTGCTTGGGCTTCCAGTAGTGGGAGAGTAGCAGACACTCGGTGGATCGCTGGTGGAAGTTGGCGATCGTCGTCATTGGATCGCTTGGTAGGCCTGGTAGGGCGTCTCCCGCTCGAAGCGATAGGCCGATCGCTGTGGCCAAGATGCTGAAAAGTATGCTGACCCAGGCCAAAGAGGCGCCGTAGGGATCCATCCAGAACTGATTGTACTGTTGGTGAAAGAGAAATTGGGTTAGAGCATGTCAACAACAGTTTTGAACAAACATCGTACCTCATCTTGAAATGTCGGGACATGGTGGATGACTATGCAACTCATTAGCTCTGCCTGCTTGCCATGCTGCTCAAGGGAAAACCCCCCCTTACCAGCCGAATGGTCATTCGCAGCAAAATAGCGATAAACGAGACGGTCAGCTAGCAACTTCGACGGCACCGCTTGTATCACATCCTCGATCCTCAACGGCCTTGCGAGACCCTGCATCAAAAGCGGGCCATCAGGACCGGCGCCGCCCTCCGGGTCCGCAAACTCGTTATCTTCATCAGACAGTTCGAGTTCGAGATCGAGATCATCGCCCATGGAATCCTTGATCGTGGATATCTTTTCAAGAAGATAAAACTCATATCAGCACCAAAAGCCACATATATATTTAGACAAGCATCTCATTTGAACAAAGCAAAGGGAATCATGCATAACCAGAAACAAACTTCAACGCACCTCATCACAAATGGTGGCCCAATGCGCTGCAGACAAATAGACCACCTGGCCATCACCACCATTGACCTCGAGCCTGCCGAAGCGGTCAGCGAGCAACGGGGGCAACTCGCCAGACGACGCCGTCGTCGATACCACGGGCTTGCGTAGCTCCCCCTCAGTCGTGGACGCAGCCGAGACGCTGGAGCGCGCGCACCCAGTCTCGGCCCCCTCAGACCCGACACTGCCGCCAGTGGAAAGCGCTCTGCCCCGGCGATCGGCAGTCAAGCTGGCGACGAGCTCCTCGAGGCGGCGCACGCGATCGATGGGACGCGTGTGGTCGTTGCCGTTCCTGCCATTTCCGTTGCTGTTGGTCCCGCCGTTGCCGGCAGTGACCATCCTCCTACGCGCGACGCGCGACGATCCAGACCCCGTCGCCCGCGGCATCGCGTTCAGCGTGTACTTGCATGGGATGTCGCGCGTCGTGCAGTTGCTGCACGGGTCGCGGCGGTCGCATCGGAGCCTGCACACAAACACACACACCATTAGGTCTTCAGGTCATAACAAGCTTAACTGACTGATCGACACAAGGGGGTTGATTCCCTCTCGGGATCTCTTCAGGGACGGACTCGCGTACTTTCGATGTCTGCAGGAATCGCAGGACACAATCCCCGGCGGCCGTGGGTTGCCGACCACTGCCATAGCTGGCCCTCGCGTTGTTTGTTGGGCGACACCTGACACGAGCATAGTCGTAGGTCCGTTACTCCCCATGCGCTCCATTGTACAGGAGGTTTTTCTTCTTTCAAGGAGGAGGAAGCCGCCTTCTTCCTCGATGTCAATCAATGCCTGTAGAACTTATGCTTTGTGCATTTATTTGCACTCAATGGGTGCCGGCATGATAAGTATTTTCGTTGGTCGAGTCAACTCGATGCCGATATATATGTATTAGTACTCAGGTAGGTATGAAACAGCAGCGGCCCATATGTCAACCCAATAACCCAAGTTCAGACAATGCCCAGCATGCTAAGCCGCCAAAGTACGACGACAATACAATCGTGGAGCAAACAAAAACGGGGCCCAATGTTCGAGTCATCGTAAACCTACTCGATCCTCTGGACTTGTTAGCTAAGCACTCGTAGCTGAATATATTTTAGGTGCTAAGGATAAAGCTGGGACTTTTGCTCTGCAAAGCTTGAAAATAGTTGTATTACATGATCGCATTCGCCAAGTTGGCCATCTGCAGCCTGCAGGGCGCCTGGTATTGGCGTTCTTATCTGCGGCTTTAGGGCCGAGACTTTCTAAAGGTTCAAGTCCGGACGGATACAGACAGCCTCGCTTTTTGCTTGTTCAAGGCTAGTGCAAGGCTTCAGCCTTTAATACAGGACCTCTCCAAGGAATTTTCGGCAGAATGAAGCGGTAATTACTAGTTATTGCGCCATCACTTTACGAGTACATGGAATGGAAAATTCATCTCGGAGAACCAGAGGTAGATTCTATAGTTATTCAGTCATATCCAAGACGGAAGAGATCTTGATGGCCAAATGGTAATATGGCTCAATGTGGTATCCCGATAATCTCCTTCTACCTCCAACCGACGTGCCTTCTTCATCTCTCTTCGACCAATCTTCAGGAAGAGCGGGCGAGATAGCCATTTTGAGCCCAAGAAAATGTATCATTCATTTCCACAGACGCAGTGGAGCCACCGTGAACTTATATACGCTTTCATTTCTGTTCGAGGTTCACTGTGCCTCGTGCAACTTTGGATTAAGGCCGCTTGGCCTGTCATAGACGATAGTCAAATCATGTCCAATGTATCGTCAGAACCCAAAATTCCTATTCGTGACCCATAAAGTTCATTGTCGTTGGAAACCGTGTGAGGCTTGGTAATTCGAAGGAACAACGTAGAGACACTCGTTGCTCACAAGAATCCAGATTCGGACAAAAGTCGAGCAATCTTTTCCTCTTCTCTTTCTCGAGGTTCGATTTTCAGACTCTGATTGTACATGTCTTGTACGTCACCTGAATTTATCATGTTTTCCGTGATCCATTCTTGTAGCTCAGGAACGGGATTCAAGGCGTACGGCACATTTTGATATGATTGAATGTCACGGATGACTTCCGCCGTCTTCGTCCGTTTCGCAAAGTTGATAAGCTCCGAATCTTTCATCAGAGAAGGTATTCCGTCCTCGATGAATACCAAATCTGTCAGATATGTTCCCAAGAAGGGGATACACGGTGGAGTTGCTGCATGCAATGCCTCTCGGTAGACTATCCAGTTCTTGCTACTGTCGATTAATTCGCGCATGGATTGGAGTAATGCCATTGTTTTGGGATTGCATTGCTGCCATGTCCGATTTAACCGTGCTATAGGAGAAGTCCCCAAGGCCGAGGTGATCGCTGTCACAGCTGAAAAATTGTTCAAAGCTCGACATCTCTGTCGCAGTGTTAGCTTGTTCACGGGATCGCTTTTTAAATCAAACTTACATCGGCAATGGCCACAAATTGTTTAATCACGGCAACTCGCTTTTTGACTTCTGGATGAGCCAGGATCATAGCAGCAACCCAATTCGTCAATTGATTTGCATGCAGAATCGACGCATGTATATTGGGCGATATGCTGTTTTCTTTCTTTTGCCAATTCTTGTCCAGACACTCCACTGGCTTGATCTTTCCAAATAGCTTTGACTCGATGATGGTCAACTGTCTGGAACACTCAATTGGGTCAATATCTAAGAACTTCAGTTTCTTCATGTTCTTCGGAAGGATTGGTGTGGGTGCCGAGTTGTTCAGAGTCAATATCAATTTCTTCGACGTTGTCTCTTGTCCCTTCATTCGTTGATCCACAAGGGTGATCAAAACTTTCGCCAGACCAATTTTGGTACTTGTGTACGTGCTTTTCGCAAAGGCCAATATTCTTTCAAGAAGCGCCTGACTATCAGCGTCATCCTTCTCCATCCAATACTGCTCCAGCCAGGATTTGAGAATGTTCAAAACTCTAAAACGAGCTGGTTTTTGTTTATGCTCTTCCCAGATCGACATTTCATCTCTGGTAAGGCCTTGGGGTGGTTGCAGATTGAATCGCCTCACAAGAAGCTCAAACAATTCGGCAGCTGATGTAAAGGAGCGATATGTGAGTAAAAATATGGTGGTAAATGTGGTATCAGGACGGTCATGCCGGGTGAGCTGTTCCACCAATCCAATCAACGAACCACTTTTGACTTGGTAGACTTCATTTCTAGTATCGTACTGCACTTCATCTGGATGATCGAGCTGCAGATATGAGGGAATTTCATCTACAGAATTGAAATTCGGTTCATTTGGAGTTTTGATGGCGGTCAGGTTGGGTGGCAATGTGCCAAAGAACTGTCTAGCCTTATCCTTAGTAGGGCGGCGCAGTTTTTCAATCGTGTTGTCAGGTGGTTCTTGACCGATCGTATATGACTTCGACTGCCCTAGATCTGCAAGGGCTGGTCGCAGGTTAGCGGCATGGGCGGAATCTCCTCGCAAGTGATGATTTTGATAAGTCTCTCCACCATCTGTCATACGGTGATCACGTTTATTGGTGGTTCCTGGGGCATTCAACGCAGTTGCTGGGAGTAGTAATTGCAGGGCGTAAGTGACATTCGAGACATGGATCTCCAGTTGTTTGCTAGCATTTCGGACGTGGTGCATACGGGTATCCAGTGATTCGCCGCGAATTTCTGCCCATTCATCTGGGAGAGGGGCAGTGACGGCTTGTGAGGTTGCTATCAGCTCGCCAATTGAATCGTACGCCTTCTGTTTTTGTGTTCCAAAATCTACCAACGATGGCTTCTGGAAAACATTACCAAGAGCAGAAAGATCAATGGATTCGACGTGTTGAATCCAAGGTCTGTACTGATCAAGCACAGCTAGGGCTTTTTGACAAATCACATCACCAATTTCGGCTTGTCTGATAGGTGTGGCAATCTTTTCCGTGAGTTGTAGTGTCTCTTCCAGTCGGCGCAAAGTGGTTGCGAGATTCTTCTTACAATCCTCAATCATTCGGAGGAGGCTGACGTCTAGTGGCGCAGACGGACGCGAACGGATTTCATCACTAGAATCCATGAAGGATACCTCGTCGAGTTTGGACTGACTATCGATGTTGTTGTCACGCCAACCACCACCAACAGCGCTGCCCATGATGAAGCCAGGATTGAGTCGAGGAATCTCCTCTCCTCGCTGGAGCCTAGCAACCTCGACGTAGCTATAGACTCCATTCATTACACCATCAGCTTCATAAAGGCACTTGTTCAAGGTGTCAGGATTTGGCCACTCGGAAGCCGCCATGTGAGATGACAGCACCAGTTTGGAGAATTTTGACATCATGTCACGAAAGGGAGGATAGAGAGCTTTGTTGGATGAGATGATTGAAGGATTGCCCGAATGATTGTCAGTTGTCCCTGAACCAGCAGCAAGCAACATCCGTAAATGATCAGATATATCCTCGGCACGTCGAACAAAATCGGCACGTGCTCGAGATCGAAGAGCCCGGCGATAAGCTTCAATAGCAGCTCGCATGTTTTCGACCAGAATGTTCCAGGTTACAGGTGCGGCCATGGCGTCGTCAAGGAAGAATCTTGGTGTGGGAGACTTTGTTAATCTTGGATGTGGCGCTACGGTGAACGAGGTGTCGGAAGTTCCGAGAGGGGGAAGAGCCATGGATATACCAGAGTGAGAGCCGAAAGTGTTGTTGGAATGAGCAGGGAATGAATTACCGGCCTGTCTGGCAGCGCTTACATCGATCGAGTCCATTGAAGTTGACGTTGAGATGCTACCCGAAGTCATGGAGCCCTTTTTGCGCGAAGATCTTTTGGACATTTCACCATCAGCCTCGGAGGCTGACCCGTCATAATCTTCCTCGTTCTGGCCATAGCCTTGCGCCATCATTTCTGGGGGCGGCCTGGTCTGTTCGGGTATATGAAAATGATTGTGATCCCGCGGCCCAGTTTCATCTGAGCTCGTTGGTGTTTCCAAAGGTAATTCCATTGTACTGACACCTGTCAGAGTGTTGAAGTAGAACAGTCGGCCGTCTGGGGTGGCTTGAGGTACCCAAAAAGCCGCCTCTTCCTGAGTATATGTGGTGCCGCCTTCTATCGGGAGATCAGAGTCTTCATCTTGGGTGTGGTTGTCAGAATCGTCCTCTTCTTCATCGTATTCTTCCTCAGTGCCAGAACCCGTCTCGCTTTCTTCATGGCCAGAAGCCCCCGATTCTTCGCCCCCAATTTCCACGGTATAGTTGCTGGGGAACCAGCCCCGAACATCATTTATTACACCATCCCACCAGCCGCTCTCCAACTGTGTCAAAACCTGGATTATATCTCCTTGACGAAAACTCAAACTTGTATGGTCGTCAGCATCATAATTGTATAGAGCGCGAACGAAGATGGGTGGTGGAGGCTGAGGAAGATCGGGACTAGCGACATAAACGTTCATCGCCGCGGCCTGAGCAGCACGACGACGCGGCGATAGACCGCTCATGGGAGAGCGGAAGTCGTCAGGACGTGGGTTTTGCGGAGAAGAACGAGAGGGTTCGGTATAATGAAAGGCAGCGGCGAAAGTCGAACCAGGCTTGATGGAAAGTGCTTGAGAAGTGGGATCTTGTGGCACTCTTTGCGAATTTGACATGTCCAATGAATCTACGGGCGTCGAAGTTGATTGAGCGCAAGACCTTGCCTGTGAGTGCGCTGCAAGGCAAGCAGGATCTGCATGTTCGACTACTGATGGAGGGGCTAATGCAGACGAGGCAGACTGGAAAAGGTCGCCCCAATAGTCAATGTATGGGATACGATTCAGACTGCAGCCAGAGTGTGAGGTATTTTGTCTGTTTGGTGCAGGGTGGCAGGTGTCAAAGTAGAGTTGGGTTTGGTGGTTAGTGGGTTTTGGGACGAGGAGTCGGATAGGCGCCCACTAGGAGGGAGGACATTGGCTGGGAAAACCTGGGATAGGGCGTTTATCTGCAACAGATCAATTTAGCAGATCCGAAGCGGGCGAGAAATAAGAGAGATTCAAGGGAAGGCTGAGCAGGATGAGAAGGAGCAGAAGGGTTAGGACAGAAAATGGTTGAATGTCGTCGCGGGTGTCGACGAGTGTCCCCGTCGAGTTAGTCGTAGCTGGTTAGGTAAGTGAGGAAGGTACGAGTACTCGGTAGTCAGTAGGGTTGGGGTTTAGGGGCCATGAGGGACGAGGTACGAGGAGGCAGAATCGGACTTGAAGGAGGAGCACTGCACCAGCAAAGGCAACAATTACGACCCAACCACACAGCATGAGGGGCCAGGTAGGCCCATCGAGCGATAATGAGAGGGACCAGAGACCAGAGACGAGGGACGAGACCTTCGGGCCGGCTAGGTAAAGACAGGCTAGACAGGCTAGGCCGGCTAGGCACCTTCTCTGGCCTATTCAATTCGCTCTGGTCAGTGGTCTGTTCGTTGCCGGACCACATTTGGGCGCCACCATTGGTGTCCTCTAGGCGGCTGGCTTTTCGGACTCTCGGGCGTGGGAATAAATGAGAGATGTAAAGACATGATTGAAAATCTTCCATGCAGCACATGCTGTGATGATTGACGCCAACAAGTCTGAAGTGGAATGATCAAATGACAGGTTTGATGCCACGAGCAACACACCACCATTTTCCAGGGTCCCCCACCTTCCAGACCTCAATGAGGGCACTTCCCCTGTTCCTCCCTCGCATTCTCGAACTGGATCTGCGACACGGTCGACACGGTGTAAGGACGTGTTCCATGTCCACCAACACAGGCGAGGCAGATTTGGATATAAATATAGGAAACATGGAGTCCACCGACCTAAAACAGGTGTGCTGTACGGATATCCGTGCGTTCTTCAGACGACGTACCTAGGCAGGTACCTGATGCAGGTATACGAAAACCCGAGTGTTTCCTTTTTCTCTCTTCTCAGACTCGATAGCCCCTCCGCGCACTGCCACCAAAATTGTGCTATAATTCACATGTACAGATACTTGCACACCTTTTCGTTTCACGTAAACCTTGGCCGCGTATGCACAGATCATCAAGTAAACCCCAAGTGTAAGAAAGGCCGGGCATATGCGTCTCTTATCTTGAAGCCATCAATCCAGAACTTTCAGCACACTGGATACCTTGTGTCTGAACGATGATCTCGGACACGCTTGGACCACGTCCGCGGCACCCCGGACATTCCCAAACTCTCGAGAAGCATAATAATACGGATAGGCATTCCCCGCAATCGCAAATTGGAACCACCAAGAGTTCATAGGATATCGTTGTAAACTTATTCTGATCCGACTTTTGTTATCTGCAGTGATGATGTCTCACAGAAAACTCTATTTAAGATGTCCAATAGTAGATTGTCCGATACTCGCCCTGCTCCAGCCGTGAAGGTCACTTACTTGATGCGCGCATCGGCCAGCAGTAGAGCAATCGGGTCATGTCAACTGAAAAACCTCTCTCGTACTAATGGGAACAACTACTTCGCAACATGGCTTGGGTCGTGTTAACAAGGCTGAAGCTGAGTCATTGCGCCTCGATTGCTGGGTCTATAGCTCACAAGACCTTTGGAATCCAACCACAAATATATTCTCTACGCGAGACCATATCTCTCGCTGGAGTCGGCCATATCCGATAGTGTCGCACTCGCGGACTTCCTCAGTCCGCTGACTGGGATCATGCCGAGTTCAACGAATAATGTCTTGGAATTGGACAAATTTGTTAGCACGAACAGGTGGCAGTCGGTTATTCAAAGACAGCAACCCAAGTGTTACTGAGGTCAAATGGAAAGGTAGTGGTTAGTGGTCAGAAAAGAGCCCATCAAAAGAGGTCGAGATTAATGATCGCCACTCAGACTGTACACTTCTGGGGTTATTCTTTAAGCAATCAAGAAAGCCGGTCACGGGTGTCTCATTATTGACGTCGATTAAATGCCCAGGTGGCGTTCTCAGCTGCCAGCCTTACATTGTTAGCGATCGGTTCTTTCCTGCGAGAAGGGAAGTGGCTTCCCATCAACTCCATTATCGATATTTTGCTCGGAAGCGTAAGCAGAGATCTTCACCATGTCAAAAGCGCCACTTCATGTTGGTATCATTGGGGCCGGCATGGGCGGGCTCGCTGCTGCCATTGCACTTGTCCGTGCTGGTATTGCGGTGACAATACTGGAGGCGGCTACAGAGTTGGGAGAAATTGGCGCAGGTATTTGACTACCCAAACGCGAACCGTTTTGGTCAAGTTCCGGCACGCTTCTACTCGTACTCACCCTGAAACAGGTATACAGATTTTCAGCAACGTGTCACGATATCTTATCCGATGGGATGTCGATGAGATCATTGGCGACAACTTGGTCTCAGTCGATGAAGTACGGACCTGGGGACATGATGGTCATGTAGTGACTCGAGTCGACACCAAACGAGTCAAGAAAGTGACAGGGTTTCCGCATTGGATCGCACGGAGAGATCATCTCCACGAGGGACTCGTTGAGTCGGCCAAACGACACGGCGTTGAGATCCTCGTTGGAGCTCGCGTACAGAAATTATTCTACACCGAAACCTCGGCGACAGTGACCACCAATCGTGGCACAGACCACACATTCGACCTGATCGTCGGCGCGGACGGCATCAAATCGACGATCCGCAACCATCTCTTCCCCGAAATCCAACCACGAGCAACATCCAAAGTCGCGGCGTACCGGGGTGTCCTAAGCATCGAAGAGATCCTGCAAAAAGCGCCCGAAGCGAAACCCATCCTCACCAACACGATGGACATGTGGACGGGGCCCAACGGCTACATCATGACCTACCCACTCAGCGGCGGCAAGGAACTCAACGTCGTGACGTCCTTCTGCAAAGAACACGTCGTGACGCAGATGGAAGAAGTGTCGATCGACGAATTCCACGCCTACTACAAAGACTACAGCCCGGCGGTGCAGTCGGTCATCAAACTCGTCAACTACACGCAACGGTGGCCGCTCCTGACGATGCCACCACTGGACACCTGGTCGAACCAGCACAAGAACGTCGTCCTCCTCGGCGACAGCGCCCACTGTATGCAGAACCACATGGGCCAGGGTGCCGCCACCGCGATCGAGGACGGCGTGTTCCTCGGCCGCGTCCTCAGCGAGGTCGTGCGCGGCGAGCTCTCCCTCCCCGAGGCTGTCTCCCTCTACGAGCAGAAACGCATCCCCCGCGTCTGGACCAAGCAGCAAGTCTCCTTCATCTCCGGCGAGCTGAACATGTGCTCCGACCCGGAAGCTCTGGAGAAGCGCAACCGCGCCAGTCTGCCCGAAGTCGCACTCGCGCCCTCGTCAGGTTCAATCCTAAACCCAAACCCAAGTGGAGATGGAAACAGAAATAGAGAAACAGAACCACGACCCGCGTTCCCACACCTGCCGCCCTCGTACCGCTCGTGGCAGATGTTCTCGTCGATCGACACGCTTCCGTCCGTGTTCAACTACGACGCCGAGGCCGATGCGGACAACGCCGTCTTCGAGTTTCTCCAGGCCAGGGACAAGGCGAGTGGCCAGGTCGATGCCTTCACCATGGTCAGTCGCGCCGTCGAGGCGAAATGCTGGGCTGCGATCGAGTTTAATGGAATCAATGCTCTAGGTGGAGGAACGGCTCCAAGGAGCTGAAGAGGTGGGAAGTAATGCGATGTGATGGCGAGTGAAACGGGTCAGAAGGTAAAGGGGGTTGCACGATTGTTGATTAGTCCTGAGAATAAGCGATGGGTGCTTATATCCTGTTGGAGCTTCGGTTCTAAATATCAAATAAATTACTTGGGGATGAAGTACACCGATGAAGCATGTAGGATGTGATATCATAGATAAGGGATGATGCTTTAGTATACTTAGATTCAATTAATTCCTCGATCAAGAACTCAGGACCAGCAGCTTAAAGTCTATGAAACATTCGACAAGGCAACTCTACTCTCCAATCTCACATGAAAAACACACGCATTCAGTCCAACCTCAAAGTTTTGGGCGACGAATGATCATAAAGCAGGCCGCGCTCATGGATACAGCGACTCGGAGGAGACAGGTTCCATGTACCAGGCTCAACATCGACCTACCTGAGACGTTGGTGCTCGAGGACACAACGGCCATGACAAGGCAAGGCAAGACAAAACAAGACAAGTGCCGAAGTCGGATCGATATGATTTGATATGATTCGTCCAGTTGATGCCGAACATTTCTGATCAATATGACCAAAGAATGGTGTTCATGCTCAAAGTGTGAACTGTAGACCAGACAAAAGTGCAGTGCAACATGATCCATGTCCCGCTACCGTTGGCTGCGATGGTGCGTGGCGCGCTGAGACCAATGAGGGCTTCTTCATTGTCCTTGTCCGCGGATACTTGTTTCGGAGCCCGCCGACAATTGGTCTTCCCTCTGGTGCTGGTTGAAAAGTCAGAGAGTTCATCGAACATACCTTCACGGAGGTAGCGGAAGTTATGAAGCGTCCCACGTTGCTTGATCTCCGCGCATCGCATCAACGATTTCGGTGACTGGAAGTGGGCAATGCTCGGAAGCTGCTGCAGTGCTTGCATGTTATGCCAGTGATACTGACGTACCAGGTCGGAGATTCGAAGCTGCTGGAAGCACTTCGTTGAGGAGGGGTCTGCTGTTGTTGCAGCCGAGGCGGTAATGTTGGGAAAGCGGTGTGTATCTACCTAACGAAGCATAAGGATAATGGTGGGTACGTACCGAACCGTCGGTTAGCGCGATATCTAGAGCATATCTCTGAAAGGTATGGAAGAAAATGCCGATGGCATCATTGCCATAAGGAGTCGGTGAAGTCGTGTGTCGTTGGCATGTAAGTCGGGCTTATTCTGACTTTCTGGGCTAGCTGCAGTCGACTCGATGAGTGAGAGACGTGTGCGAACACTGATATCCACTGTGGGATAGCTCGACGCATGATCGGTGTACGATTTACTACTTGCCCGGCTGCTGTGTGAATAGCGCACCTCGCAAGTAGTGAGTGAACTCCATGCGGCCACATGATTGGACCTCGATGAACCAAGGGAACTCGTATAGATCTGTGGTCGCCACTGATCAGAGGGCAGTCAGATCTTGCCCTTGGAGCGGTGCAAATCTTCCCGGTTCAAATCACCGAGTCTCAATTGGCTCAAGAAAGACGTCCGTCCTTTTGTAGTTGGCGGACTGCTGCCCTAGAATGGACAGTACTGGATAGTGCGCTTGTCAGGTCAAATGGCATGTGCAGAAGCAGGACCAAACGGATGTGTAACCTCGACTGACAGCGACTTGAGAGGTGCGTGACATCTGCAAGTTTGTGACAACGGTCGCCCAGTATCCGCCCACAACCACTTTTTGCAGGGTATCTGACGGCTACGGTAATTGTCGGAGAGGATCGGGGTGACCGACATTTATTGATGAACGCTGACTGTACTCTATACCCAGGTCAAGGCGTTCTGCAGAGGGAAAGAGCTAGAAAGCGGTGAATAAGGCGGTATGATATTGCAGTTGTTAGCCCCTTTCCTCCGAAAGCGAGGCTTTGATAGCCGACGCAAATGGTCTGCGTGGCAAGAGCAAGCCTAATAATACTGGCAGGTCGGCATCATGCATTATACTCCGTGATGCATCAAGACCCACCCATGATGGCTTCAATGCTGTTTACTCGAAGCCCACGTGTATCAAGTCTGAGTCTGGACATGGAGTCGTCTGCACAAGACGCACTCACACCTCTACGGTTAGTCCTCGTAGGTACTTCACCGACTTGCCGTGTTTGTCCGTATCTGGAAATAGAGAAGAATGAGCAGCTGGAAGTGAGGCACTCAATCTGCCCCTCAAGCCCCTCCTTCCGAGGTCGCCGGCACGAATCATGAGGGATAGCGATCATCTGATTAATGAGCGATGCAATTTCAGATGATTCCCGCGGGCTTCTCGAACGATGGTTCTTTGCTTCCCTGGACGCCCCTCGAAGATAGTCGCGTACAGGGGGGCCCGGGGACGAGTCGGACAAGAAGCTCGGATCGATGCGACGATGAGACAGATGATTCGGAAATTGATCAAACTCCCAGATGAGGTTTGTTTCTGTCGCAAACCCCTCAGAAGTGGGAGGTTGGTGGATATGAAGAGTGGGGGCAATCCTGAAGACTGGGTTGCCGGCTTGTGGTCCCGACGGCCTAGGAAGGATAGTGGAGGCTTCCGCTGTGGCACTCACTGCAAAAGCCACGCTTCCAGTTTCACCAGACCAGGGCCAATGTATCCCCCCTGGTCTTGTAGACTGGACCGACAATACGGAACCGGCTGGTGGTCTGCTTTCGAAGATCGGTCCAACTTGTTTCTTCTGCACACAACTCAAAAGGAACTCTGGTCGAGGATAGCGTCACGGAAACCCTGTTGACAAAATGGTTAAATTATGGTGACATTGCGACGGTTTGGAATGCGAGAATTGGCCGTTTCACGTATCGCGAGGTGTAGGCACAGGCTATGGATCAAGAACAACTATGACTAAAATGCGGGCAACAACATGAGAGGTATTCAAATTGTCAGGGCGAGAATGATATCGCAGGGAGGATCATGTATGCCCCATCATCTGCTTTTCCGAAGGAAGTGGAAGATGATGCCCTTACCAACGATGATGCCAGTACTCCGGAGATTGCAATCGGTCAGGTTTGCAAGTTTGTCCTGAGTTTGCTCACTCTGAATCCTCGCCAACCGGTTGTGTACGAAGAAAGGTATGTATAGGGATGGTGAGTCGTAAATGAAACAACTATTGTCCTCGAATCGTGGCAAAGCAGTTCAATTCGCCAATTAATTCAGCAGAGTGTTGTCAGAAATCATTATCCTGTCCTTTCCAAGCCTGAGGATTCAGCCAGAAGCCCGCGTGGATGCGGTGGAAGCATGAAAATGGGCCTCGGATGGTGGGTTGCTCTGATGGAGTCGCGGAAGACAAGTAAACCTTCCTAGCCCTCCAGGGTATGACAGGAAGGTGGGCTACTTGAGCTTTAGCGAGCTCCACGTCTTTCCTCCCAAGGTTGTTCCCCAAGAGAGAACGGAGCCGCGAGCTGCACGGGACCTGCAGGAACAGGAGCCAACTTTCCAAGGCAAGAACTCAAGTGCTGACGATCTTGTTAATTCCATCATTTCCGCGCCAGAGCGGTTCATCACTTGATAGGGCCCCCAATTCTACCAAAGAGTTCCATTTGGAGCAATTACTGGTGACTTGACCACCAATAGTTGATGAGGCGTGGCATAGATAGTGATGTGAATGGTACATAGTATCATTGGGATTTCTGGGCGTCACGCTGCATGGCCAAAGGCCCAGAGATCCAGATGAACTCCAAAGCCAGAGATTCCAGTCAACGGCGCATGCGTGGGTACGGCCCGGGGGCACACTAATATAATACGGAGCGTGCTGCAAAATGATGATGGGTGGCTGGGGACAACGGAGCATCAACGGCACTGGTGGGAATCTTTTCAGCTGTCACATTTGAGAGATAGCATCACGACTTTTCAAAACGGAAGCACCTCCCGTGATTGAGTTTCCTTGGAAACATGTACGAGTACCACGTCGCTTCTTGACGCTCCGTGTCAAGAGAAACGCATCGAACCTGACACGATTCCTGCATTGGTTCGATGCTCGATCGGTACCTCGTACAGTCGCAAACATTGATCCATGCTTCAGGCAAGCAATTGTGATTGCTCTCTATGAGGACTGGGATATGCATGTGTTTGTAGATTGACCGTCTAATGATATCCGTATGTTGATGAATCTCTGATGGAGAGCCGAGGGACATTCAAAAACATCCGGCAGCGGGAGGGCGGGTCAAAAGGGGGGCACGAAGTAGGTCCATGGTACCGATACAGACAGTTCTGGTACCAAGCCAATACAGGACCCGAGCCAACACAGTGTTCCATCAGCTCTCGAGTCGAGTAAAATCGGAATGCAGGGGGGTTGAGGGTGGGCTGACTCAAGTCAGCTAGGTGAAGGGCTAGGTTCATTAGAGGCTGTTCGCGGGTCACGGCTTGGAAGCTCCAAGGTTCAAGTTGACGGGGGTGGGTAACTTTACCGTAATTTTTCAGGGGTTCCAAGGTTGCTAGCAGAAGGTGAAGAGTTCGACCCGGGAGAGGCCCAGGAGGGCAGGCGGGGGCAAGGTAGGCCACTGATGGGCCTGGCAGTCCTGGCACTGGCAGCTGTGCTTGTTGCTGGCTGCTTTCCGGGCGCCCACCACCTATGATTTCCCCTCCACCAGCAGTGTGGCCAGTGCCTTTCTAGGTATCATTTGCCCTGGAGGCGTGTACTACATACATGCCCACTAGCCTAGGGTAGGAGCCTAGGTAACTGTAGTTAGGTGGCAGCTGGAGACCGTCTCTTCGCCCTCGCCCATGGCCCATCAGCCATCAGCCATCGCCCATGAGCCATCACCCTCTCCTTCGTCTTCGCCCTCATCTCTCCTGTGCCTCTTTTCTCGACCCCTCCTTTTCCATGTTCTCTTTTTTTCCATTCGCACACACCTAGACATCACCATCCTGTACCAACAGTTTCCATCAATTATTGATTGTTTTGTTCTTCGCGGGTCTATTCTGAAGATCAAGAGTGACGCTATCCACGACTCGAACTCGAATCGGACAGGCGCAGGGCACACGCAGCTACCACGTGATTGCTCGTCCCCAGCGAATCCCGACCGCGGATCTGCCCTTCACCTGCAGTCCCAGTCCCAGTCCCAGTCCCTCCCCCCAAATCTCAATCCCCTTGACCCAGCCTGCGAAAATCAGATCATCTCTGCTCGATCTTGCATCTCTCAACACGGCATGCAAACACCTCCGTCGACTACTCTGAACCAACTCAATTTCGAGCCAAAGGCTTGCGCCTGGTCGGAGATCTTCTAACCCTTTCTTTCCTGCGACTGGCTCTGCACCGACCGCGCGATCGAAATGGCTCAATCTGACAACGCCACCAGCTCGGAGCCTGCCAGCACCTCTGCGACCAACAACACGCCCAAAAAGACTGCCTCTGTCCCCGAGAAGAAATACAAATGCCAGTATTGCAATCGGGCTTTCAGCCGCAGCGAGCATCGGAGTCGACACGAGCGATCGCGTAAGTACAACCACACCCTCTACTTTTTTTTCCCACTTGGCCGGTGTTTTGCGACGTGGGGCACACCACCACCCTCCAAAGGAAGGGGTACCAAAAAACCCCGCCATCAAACACCATCCCATCTACTTTCATCATTCATCCTGCTAACTCTTCATCCCTTGTTAGATACCAAGGAGCGCCCCTTCAAGTGTCAGAAATGTAGAAGCACCTTCGTCCGTCGAGACCTGCTCCTGCGCCACGATCGAACCGTGCATGCAAAGGATGGCGGTGTACCTCTTCAGTCTGAAGGCAGAAAGAGAAGTCAAGGCACGACAGCTTCTGGCAACAAGACGTCACCCTCAACCGCGGCACCGTCCAAGCCTTCGATTAGTATTGATCCCGGCACGTTGGAGCAGATAGAGGCAAGCAGCGATGGTATGCTCGACCTTGAAACTGCCGCCATGTTGATGACAGACTTCCAACACAAGGCGGCAGCAGCAGCAGTGAACGGCCTTAACAACGGCGAAGGTTCCATCCCCGACTACTCACCCGATCGCAGCTCGCTCCTCGAATCCTCCGACTACCTCACCGGTCCCAACAGCTTGCCGCATATGCCCTGGGATACATTCATGCCTCAAGCCCCCTCAGAACCCAAAGCCCATTCCATGTCGAGCATGTCGTCCCAGGATAACTTGTCACAGCCTCCCTATGTCCACATGGGCTCCATTCAGCCTCACCAGTCCCAGCTTCCCCCGATCATGGAACGACAGAACTCCCTCGGTGCTTCCTTGCCACCCTCGTTCCCCTCGCTGGCCGACACCTTCCCGGTTTCTGGAACTCCAACCCCGAATGCTTTGTCGCCCTTCCCGTCCATGACAGGCCCTGTCTCACCAGTGAATTATCGCAAGTCTCCTGGACCAGCTCAGCCCCTTTCCTTGCCCAAAGCTCCTCAATTGTACAATGATGACCAACGTGCCCTCATTGCTAACCAATTAGGTGGAGATCCCATCCTTCCCCCTCTACCCTCAATCAACCTCTATCTCACTACCTATTTCAATCTCTTTCACCACCATCTTCCTTTCCTACATCCCGTTACTTTCCGGCCGGAGACGACAGAACCGGCTCTACTCCTCGCCATTCTGTCCATTGGCGCCCTCTACAACTTTGAACAACACCAAGCATATTCCCTCCATCATGGCTCCAAGAAACTTGTCAACCAGTTCCTTCAAAACAAAGACAACTTTGACTCTCGCAAATGCCCTCTGTGGACAATGCAAAGTACCTTGTTGAACATGTTGTTCGAAAGCTGGGGTGGTGGTTCTCAGGGCCTTGAATGGGCGTGCTCGATTAAGAGTCTGCTCGCCAATGTAAGTGCAGCCTTCCGGTTTTCTCGTTGGTTGGATACTGATCTTGACAGATGGTCGCTGGTAACAAATACGAGCTCAAGCTACGGATCGATGGACGATCGGGGGCTCCTCCCACTCATGAACAGTGGGTAGGAGAAGAGGGTTGTCGAAGAACCTATTATGCGGTTTATATCTTCTTTGGGATGCTCACCCTGACTTATAACCACACCCCTGCAATCAGCTTCAACGAGTTTGACTCACTACCCCTCCCCTCGTCCGAGTCTCTTTGGAACATCGAACCCGCGGACGAAGACACCTGGCAAGACATTTTTGCAGCATCACCCACAATCACTGTACGCGATGCACATGATAGCCTCTTCCAAGGTGATGCGGCACGGTATAGTGCGTTTGCAACCCGAGTCATGATCAATGCTCTCTTCTTGGAAGTCTGGAACTTGAGAAGAAGTTTCGAATCGCTCCAAGATGTTGTCTTGGAGTGGAAGATTCGAATAGCTCTTGAGACTTGGGAGCGCTCATTGGATCTTTGCGAGCCGGAGACAATTGTTGTACCTTTGAGTACACCTCACAAGAGCCACCCCCTGATTTTCAACTCCATGGCCGTCTACCGAAATACCCGAGCTTTCCTTGAAGTGGACCTCAAAAATGTCCAAGAGGCCCTTCGATACCACAACTCCTTCGAAATCGCGGCAGCAATGACACTTTCACGTGACAATGTCAAAAGAAACAAAGAGATGATCAAGGTCATCGAACAGTGTTATGAATGCATGGAAATTGTGGCCATGCAAGGAATTAATTGGGTGACCAAAACCTCGTCGACAAATTGGAGTATCGAGCATCCTCTATGTGGGCTTGATCTCCTCACTATCCTGAGTTTGTGGCTATATCGGATCGAACATGATGATCAGGAAGCCACTGACGAGGAACTTGCCATGTACATGAAAGTGCGTGGTCTATTCGACGATGATGCCGTTGACTCAAACGGATCCCGTCTCAGCTCGACCGTCGCTCGTGTCTGGGGTACAATGCTTGATGGCGTCGTTGTCTGGGGGTAAGTCTGACGTACTCTTACGAACACGTGAAATGTGCTAACTCCAGTGATAGTATTTCCAAGACAATGGGCGAGTCCTTCAAGTTGCATGCTCAAGCCTTGGTTGGCTATGTGGATGAACTTCCCGTCGATCCGGTCACAGGCATGCCGCAAGTGGTATCAGACCAGGCTCTCATGGGCATGGCCTCTTCTTATTAATATGTTGCGATCTGGATCGAACACAAAACTCCTCTCTATATTGCATGGCGAAGTGGCGCAGTCGACATCTCAAGCAGCCCGGCGTTCAGACTCGGCATAATTCCTTTTCCCTCGGCCATCGATATCCAGGTTCCTGAAGACTTGTATCAAGTTTTCAGGCTCTACTGTGCATCTTTGGGCATCAACATCAGCATTTTCACCCTTCTCCTCAGATCATTACACAACGTGATGGTCCTAATCTCCACGAAATCTCGCAACAGACTGCATCACATTCTGCTCGTCACCAACTACAGACTAATCTTCTCAATCGATACCTTGTTCGCTTATTCATACAAGACTTTTTGGTAACTACTTACCATTGATGACCACCGATAATCGCATCCGAGTTTCAAAAATGAAAAAACTCGAGGTGTGCAAGACAGCCAGTGCAGTGTTACTCCGGCTTATGAACATTCCATACTCATATTACCTCTTTTTCCTTTCTATTGGTATAGCTCTCGAAACGGCCTCTTTTGTGTGGGATTCGTGGGTGTGTGAAAACCCCACTGTGTATACTATTAGTGTTATTTACGGCTGTGGTCCTGGCACGGAAAGGGAGGGTGACCTTGCCTACAGGGTCGGGATCGCCTTACTTTTCCTTGAGTCTGGAGATAGCATAGCAAAGCACTTGCAACCGGATGTGCTGCAATCCAAACTTTTATTATCATGAATTGATATTTGCCTTTGCTCTATGCGTGAATTGTGATAGAGCTTGGGGCACATAATATATTCACGACATCTAGTGCCACTCGCCCGTTGTCGGGATTCTTCAAACATCCATGATACGTGGAGTACTGCTCATCTCTATCTCATGATTTACGACACAGTATTTGACCATGGGGGATGGCAAAGAAAGCATCCTCATGGACGCCCCAGGACTTAAACTCGTCCGAAATCCGCCTAATCTCGTCCTCAGTTGCAAAGCCATTCTTGACCGCGGTGCCCAAAAACCCCGGCTGCAAGATCCTCCCGGCCCAACTCTCCGAAAACTGCCTGACGCGCTCACCAGAATACCGCCAATGGTCCCAAGACGCATCGATCTCGTCGCCCGCAAACCCGGCCTCGCGCGCCCACACATGGCAGTAGCGGCCGGCATTCGGCTCTCCGCCGTTCGCCTTCGCAACCGCCTGGTACAGCTCTGCCCAGCGGGCCAGCTCGCGCGGCTCCGGATACCAGACGAAGGAGCGGTAGTCGGCCTCGCGGGCGGCGACGAGGCCGCCCTTCTTGACGACGCGGCGCATCTCGCGCAGGATGCCCACGGGGTCCGACACGTGCTGCAGCACCTGGTGGCAGGTGACGATGTCGAACGTGTCGTCCGCGTACGGCAGTCTGTTGGCGTCGAGCGCCTCGAACTCCACGTTCGACACGCCTCGTGATGACGCGTGCTCGCGTGCTTGCGACAGCACAGACGCTACCGGGTCGCAGCCGATCACTTTCCCTTGCGGCACCAGCTGCGCCAGGTCTGCCGTGATGGTCCCCGGCCCGCACCCGACGTCGAGGATCGTGTCTGTCGCTTTGATGTGCGGGAGCAGGAACGCCGCTGAGTCTTGTGCTGTGCGTCGCGCGTGGTCTTGTACCACTCTATTCTCCTCGTGGAGTTGGTTAATTCATCGTTTCGTTTGGCTGGGGTGGGGTATTGCGTGCATGGTGGCGGCGGCGTTGATGGCTTGAGGAAGGTTTTCGAGCACGGGGTGGATTGAGGTAGAAACTTACGATTTGTGATGACCGTGCGTGTAGACTGCTTTTTCTTCCTTCTCTGTCGCCATTTCTGTGGTTGCTTGGTTATTTGTATCTGTGAGATTCGATACTGAGGAAGCGAGGATAGGTAAATGATACAGCGGGGTTGTGATGAGTGATTGATTAACCCGACTCTTGATTTCTATCAAAGGTACAGATTCAGATTGAAACGTATATGAATGAGAAATTGAAATCAAGGTCATCAGATTGGACACTTGTCACTCCTAACTTCGAGATATAAGTATGTAAGTCTTGATGAGATGGAAGTCCCCGATGTCGGCATTGCTCAGCCTTGCTGACTCGTTGAAAGGGGTCAAATGCGGGGAAATATGTGACGTCGAGATTCTAGAAGCATTCGAATTTAAACCTTCCGCCGGGCTTTGCCTACTCCCTGGTGGTGGTGGTCGATTCATGTGGTCCGGAGTTCGGGGCGATGAATGACTCCCTGCTTTTGCTTTGTTTGCAGCTTTCTTTCTGAATGATAGCTACCCTTGATGGTCGGCAATGATAGCGTTCCCGAGCCTCACGTGGTGCCACCAACAAGCCTGGCCATAAAATCCCGCGCCGGGCCATTCGTCAAGTCGCTCTCTTGATTCAGCGAGAGAGAATCGCGACCAAGGCCCATCAGCATTCGAATAATAAGCTCATGGCTGTATTCTTCACCCAGGAATATCAACTGCTGTAGTGTTGCAGGTATGGCTTCAAGGTCCCAAGCTGTCAAAGCAGCGACATGGTTCTCTCTCAATATCTGGATTCAATGATGAAGGCTAGGTGACCATATGGCCATTGAGGAGTGATCCAAGCTCCCAGCCAAAAGGGTTTGTAGTTGCTCAAGTCAGTGTACCCAAGTCATCATGGTTATGTTATTGAGAGTACCCTGGATCAGGTCACGTCCTTGCTGGTCAACCAATCTGCGGAGAAGTTGCACCCAGCAGGGTTGTTCGTGTTTCCTCCGGAAACGTTTCTGGACATGCCATATATGCACTACCAACAGCAGCTTGGATTTTCGCATCCATCTTGCTGACATACTTCTCGTCTTGACGGATGAGCTGACCCTTGTTACCTACAAAGGGAAGATTTTCAGCAGAGATGGCACGCCCGGACAAGGTTCCGGAGAGTGCGTTATCAAAGCGCCCCTTTCACTTGGCTTCTGAGCTTCCGTGACACTCACGCATCCTAAAAATGGCTACGGGAAAGGCGAATGACCACAGATGTTGTTCACACTCACCATCCTGCGCAGGGAGAATTGCCTTACCATACGACAGCATCTATCATTCTGTCCACCACAGCGACAAACAGAGAATGTTTTGGTTGATTCCTTCTCCTGTCGCGTTTTAATTGGCACCAAGGGCAGTGGTTTGCGCTCGCGTCGCGTGTCGTCATCTGTTAAGCGTCGGCCATATTGGAACAAGAGCTGGCTCCATCCGGGTATAAAAGATTTCGCGGAGACTGTGTTCGCTGTTGGCATCTCGATGAATTCGACGCTCTTGTCTGATATCAGAGATATAACTATAGAAACTACAAACCCATTTAAAGTTTGCTTGCAACTGATCGCTAACCATGAGGAAACTTGGGTAAGTTATGCGCCGGACTCAGTCTCAGCCCCCTGTCAAGTGCCAGATCCAAAACCAACAACCCCACTTGGCATTTGGGGGCCGTTCTCGTTTATTCAAAAACTAGGCAGACGACAAGGGAGGAACAGAGTGTCCATCATCATTATTCGACGTACGTCTGCCTACAAGAAGCTTCTCTTATCTTGCTCTACCTCTGAACTTGCATTTTCAACACTTTCCAGCTCTGCATTCATCATCACCTCTATAAATAATGACCACACCACCGCCTACCCTCTGCCCAGACATGATCATCACATCCCTCCACATAGCCTGGGTCTTCCAAGCGGTCGCTTCCTTTCCCACAGCGTTTGTCCTGGGGGGTAATGTCTTCGACAACCTTCTATATAGTTACTACCTGAACGTGTACCGCTTCATCACTTACACATTCAACGGCGTAAGCATTCCCCTCCTCGTATTGCGCTCCACTAACACCGCCGCAGCTCTTCGCCTCAGGCATCCTATTCATCATCCTAGTTCAATGGAGCCTCGCCAAGCGCGGCGCATTGAACCTACGATGGACGTTTCTTCTCGAGGTTTCGAAAGCTGGCATTGCGACGATCATGTGGACCTGGCTGTTACTCGACAGTATCTTCTACGATCCACCCTACTACACCGGTCATCGCGACAGGAGGATCGCTGTAGCGGCGACCAGTGTTGTCTTGATCCTGGTTCTGTTCTATCCGACGGCTGTGTATGCGGCGTACGCGAGGAAGACTGACGACGGCGACCACGATCAGGAATCCGCGAGACGGGTTGGAAGAACTGCGCCGACGGAAGATGAGAGCACGCCGTTGCTCACGGAGAGAGTGTGACTATTGACGTTGAAGTCTTGATAGGCTTAACTAGACGGACTATATAGCGGCAGACTAGTAGATTCCCCGAGTATCGCTTGCTTACATCGGCTTAGCTCTAGTGGATTTGAGATTTGCCCTTGAACATGCTCAAGAGGATATAACAAATGATACCCATGACTTTCTTTTTCATCATGCTCATTACCGGATAAATCCAGAGCATCGTTCGTGGCCTCAATGGCAAAATGCCCAACTATGCCCCAAACAGCTAAGAGGCAAGCAAGAACGAAGACACCTTTGTGAAATGGCTGACCAATAGTTACCCGCCGAAGTCCACAAAGCCTCATATGCTATCAAACACCGAAGCAGTAGAGAAGTCTTACAGCACAGCCGCCACCTCAGTAGAAATCCACGAAGTCCACTCGCTCAAAGTCAATGCTCATAACATGAGACACGTTTACCCGTCTATCCAGCCACTGGTGGCGGGAAAAGGGGGAAGCCAAATTCTGTTCTACAAGGAATACAAAGTCTCATCGAATTTGAGCTACAGACAATACGCAATGGTCTCACGATGAGCGGCAGAAAGTGTGCGAGATTCGGAAGAGGATTCGTGCGGATGGGGGGGTATCCAACCTCCTCCAACGACACACTTTGATACGATCGAGCAGGCGAGATTCTGAGCAGGACTGGGGGCACATAATCTAACTAGTCTCGTGAGACATTGGGGGTCCCGCGCTTATGCAACATCGGAGACCTGAATTATGACCAAGCAGGGATGGGATGGTCGCAAGGCTGAGGTCCCAAGGGGAAGGCTACTAACTAGAAGGGCGGCCTTGGCTGAGTCATTAATCACATGAGTGAGATGCTCGGCACCATATTGATTGTCACCAAAGTGTAAAAACCGATGACTCTCACCCGTGGTGAACAGTGAAAGATGCTATAAGTATTAAAATGGCTATATCTTGTATGACAGAATTAGAGAAATTTTGCACGAATTATTTTGACACTAAGTAGAACGCCGATCCCATTCCAGTCGTAGGCGTTCATATATAAGTACGGTGGTCATACAAGGAGGAGTTGTAGTGTGTGCGCCGAATTTTGGAGCTTCCTCCTTCCATTGTGGCTTGCTAGGATTTCCACCAACGGCACCGGAATTTTCTGTTGCGCTCAGAACTTATCGTCTAGTAGTAGTTGTCGTCGTCGGACTACTTGTTCGAGTTGTTGTAGTCGTCGTACTCGAAGTTGTTGTAGTCGTCGTACTCGAAGTTGTTGTGGTCGTAGTTCTCGAAGTCGTTGTGGTTGTAGCACTCGAAGTCGTTGTGGTTGTAGCATTCGAAGTCGTTGTGGTTGTAGCGGGTGAAGTACTAGTAGTGCTAGGACTATTAGAGGTGGTCGTTCTCGTTGTCGTGCTACTTAATATAGTAGTAGAGCTAGTAGTACTCAAGCTATTGGTAGACGAAGTCGCAGCACTAGAAGTTGTTGACGTGACGACAGTTGAGCTCGTTGTGGGACTCGAAGTAGTAGTCAATATCGTAGAACTAGTAGAACTAGATAATGCTACTATTGAACTAGAAGCAATAGTTGTGGAAGTTGTAGTACTCGAGCTTACACTAGAGCTCACAGTCGAAGGGGCACTGGAGCTTGTAGAAACACTAGTAGTAGTAATCGAAGGTACAGCAGCACTGGTAATTGTAGATGTGCTGAAGGTGGTAGATGTGCTGAAGGTGGTAGATGTGCTGAAGGTGGTAGATGTGCTGAAGGTAGTAGATGTGCTGAGGCTGGTGGATATACTGGAAGTAGATGAAGTTACTGAGTTCGAAATTGCCGACGTAGTTGAGATTGTGGATATTGTGACACTCGAGGCTGTACTCGAACTAGTACTCGAGGAAGCAACATTGCTTATAGAAAGCGTCATACTTGAGGTTGCGATGGGGCTAGGGGTAGTGGAAGTACTAGAGAGAGACAAATTCGAGGTGCTCGAAATTGTAGCAGTACTAGAGGTAGACGAAATTGAGGTGCTCGAACTTGTGGGAATACTTGAAATTGTGGATACTGCTGAAGTGATCGATGCGGATGATACGGTCGTGCTTGAAGTTAGAATAGTGCTGAAAGTTGTCGCAATACTCGAGCTAGAAGAAAGGCTGGAACTAGTGCTAGAACTAGCAGCACTTATTCCGCTGGAACTTGTACTTAAGGAAGAAGTGGAAGTTGAGCTAGAAGTCGCGGAAAGACTAGTGCTGGTGTTGATGTCACTTGTTGCACTTGAACTCGAACTGAACGAAGAGGTGGAAGTAAAGCTCGAAGCCGTCGAAATCGCGATGGAAGTCGGAGAGCTCGAGCTGCTTGAGTTGGTGATCGATGTACTCGAGCTACTTGCTAGACTCTCACTTGAAGTTGTGGCCGTTGAAGTGATGATTGCCGCACTAGTGGTAGTGGAGGTAGTAAGACTAGCCTCCGTGGTGCGCGAAATGGCCGTACTTGTGCCGGACGTCGTAGGTAGAGTAGAAGTATTGAGAATGACAGAACTTAAGGTCGAACTAGTAGCGCTCGAAATTGTGGAGGAAATTGAGTTTGTGGAATCCGTTGTTGCTGTTGTTTGGGCGCCACTACTTGAAAGAGAAACCGTGGTGCTCAGGCTTGTAGATGTGGTATCTAGAGAAGTACTAACACTTGGACTTGTCGAAGAGCTTGAACTTGTCGTAGTGCTTGAGGATATCTCTAAGCTAGAGCTAGTGGTTTCGGCAGTAGTGGATATGATAAGAGGAGTCGTGGTAGATGTTATTGTTGAAGTTAGGCTAGTGCTTGAAGCTGTGGCACTAACCGAGCTTGAGGTCTCGCTTTGGCTTGAGCTACTTAAGCTTGTTGACGTACCCGGACTGGTCGTGATTGATGTAGCTACCGAAACCGTGCTGGGGCTAGAGGTCGTGGTCTCGCTTGAAAAAGTGGTAGTGCTAGTAGTAGAGGTCATCGCAATATCGGACCTAACTCCGCTGGTCGACGTCGAGAGAATCACAGAGGATGTAGACGATGCAGTATTAGTCAATGTTGAGAGAATGAGAGACGATGTAGGCGATGAAGTACTAGTCAAAATCGTCGTGCTCGATAGGATGGACGTTGTACTTGAATCTTGTGCGGAAGTTGACAAAGACTCGCCTGACGTTGTAGTAGTCGTTTCAGCAACGCTAGAGCTCGTTGACACTTCGATGCTCAAAGTCGTGGTAGATAATGTCAATGTGCTCGATGAACTCGTTAACGTACTCCGAGAGGGCTGAATAGATATTGAGGTACTGGTGCTTTCGGATGTTGATGAGGTTTCAAGTGTGTCTGAAGTGGAACTCGTAGTATGGCTTGAGCTAAAGTATACGGAAGATGAAGTAGGAAAGTCATCAGAGGTTGACAGCGTACTAGATACTGATGTCTCAGAGCTGGATAATGGAACCGTGGACAGTGGAAGTGATGTGGTGGAAGACGAGCTCAATAAGCTGGTAGTCGTCGAGTCTAATGAGCTAGTAGTCGTCGGGTCCTCTGAGCTAGTGGTCATTGAGTCCACTGAGCTAGTAGTCATTGAGTCTATCGAGCTGATAGTCGTTGATTCGATCGAGCTAAGAGAAGTCTCTTGAGTCGATGATGAAAAGCTTGACATCGAGGCTAGGTCGGATGTAGAGGTCGAACTTGCGAGGAGTGATGTAGAGGAGCTAGTGAGTAGAGTAAAGACGGAATTAGAAGTTGATGTGGTGACTTGATCAGACGTCGATATAGTGGAAGATGAAAACTCTAAACTGCTTGTACTAGAGGAAGGAGTGACCGAGAATGACACTAGAGTCGACGTGGAGAACAAGGATGATGTCGTTGTTGTATCCAGAGGAGTTGTTGTTTGTCCAGCTATCGCTGTTGTAACGCTTGTCGAACTTTCTGGTGCCGATGAAGTTGTTGTCGATGACGCAAAGCTTGTGCTGGATATTAAAGTGTCCGTCCTTGAAGTATCTCCTACGGAAGTAGTGATATCTGTGGTTGAACTAGTCGTGTATAGCGGAGTTGTACCTGTGGCGGAAGTATATGCGGCTGAGGTTGTTAGATCCGACGTTGAAGTATCCACACTCGATGTAGTTGGTGCCACTGACACATCCGAGCTGATGCTAGATGCTGACGAGGGCTCAGACGAAACTGTGCTGGATGCAAAGTCAGAGGTTGATGAAGTGACCGAGCTCAATGTGGAAGAATATTCCATAGTGCTTGAAGTTTCGGCTACTGTCGTGCTCGATAAGAAGGACGTGGATGTAGCAAGGAGAAAATTTGACGTTGAGGTGGTGGCCTCCTGTGACGTGAAATAGACTGATGATAGAGTAGATGAAGTGGTAGATGAACCAGGCGATGTCGAAGTAGAAGTCACATCTGTGTTTGTGTCGGAGGTAGATGATGCCATTGTCGAATCTGTGGTTATTTCGGTGGTGGATGAGGTTAGCGCATCCTGACTTGATGAGGTGAACATCATGGTTGTCGACGAACTTGATATCGTAGTTTCGCTGGAAGTCTCAGAGCTCGAATTTTGCGTCTGTGAGTCAGTTGTAGTACTCGAGGAAGAAATCTTGGAAGTTGTATCAGAATCGGATGTGGTAGAGAGGAAAGCTGAAGTAGTACTAAGTGTGCTAGTGGGATTACTCATCGCTGTGCTTTCTGAGGAAGTTGTCTCTGATTCCATGGACGATGTGAGTGGCGAGGTACTCGACGATGTATCACTATTGAAAGAGGTCGAAGTCATGATCGCCGTTTCAGAAGTCGTGACTGTAGACCTATCAGCTGTGGTGGAGCTTGTAAACTCAGCACTTGTGGTGGTATCCGTGGAAGGTGAAGATGACATGCTGCTTGATGAAGTGGAGCTTGACTGCGTCGGAGGACCGGGCATTTCACTTGTTGTCGAGGACATACTGGAGCTACTGTAATCACTGGAATCAAAGGCTGATGAGCTAGACATAGGCATATATTCAGTTGTTGACAGGATCGACATGGTCGAGGAAGACTCGGTGGTAGAGCTGGAGCTGGAGCTGGTATACTGATCGGATGTAGAGAACGTGAATGTTGAAGTGGAGCTTTCCAAATATTCGCTGTCAGTACTGGAGGTGTATACGGTAGTCTTTGTGCTAAGTGTTGTTAGAGATGATACCGTGGAGGAAGTTCCAGGCTGCTCCGTTGTGACAATTGAGTTGCTCGCATACTCAATGCTCGAGCTCGAGAAACCAGTCGTTGTTGATGACAGGCTGTATTCTGATGAGGTCGTTGCAGTGGACTGGGTGGTAGCTGACTCGGTAGAACTATCTGGAGAGGAAGTAGAACTTGAAAACATAGCACTTGTTGATGTACTGGTTTCTGCTATTGAGTTGGTAGTAGATGCAGAAGATTCATATGACGTCGTAAGGAAAGATGTACTGGAATAATCTGAACTCTGTAGACTTGAAGTTGAATCTTGTTCGGAGGGGGTGGACGTTGAGCTTGAATCGCTAACGAACGTAGAAGACGGCGAATCCGATGAGGTGGGTGGCAGACTAGAGCTTGATACTTGAGTATTTGCCGCAGATGATGTAGTAGAAAGGGGCTGCTCCGATGAAGTACTGCTATTTGACGTCGTGAGTGTTGATGAGTCTGTCAAAGAAGACGTTGTCTCCGAGTTTGACGCACTTGACTCAGCTGTACTGGAGGTGTCCGTACTCAAACCTGAGTACCCAGAGGAAGAATAATACTCTGAGCTCGAAAGTGTGGTTGTTGACACAACAATAACCCCTTGCGTAGTGGAGAGCGTGGAGAAGGAAGAAGATTCTGTGGATTGAGTTGTTGTAATGTACAAGTAGCTGGAGCTTGAAGAAGAGCTGGTTGATACTGTGGTTGGGCTTAGGGGTGTAGAAGTCGAATCAGAGGCTAGCACTGAACTCGTACCGGCATCTGATGTCGTGACTTCTGTCGATGACATGGATGCAACAGAAGTCGTGCTCGTTGATGAGCTAGATTCAATCGTACTATCTTGATCTGACGTAGTTGTATATAATATAGAGTTAAAACTTGAATCAGATGTAGTGATTCCCAACGTAGTGGAATCTAACGCCGAGAAACTGGTGGAATCCGAATTGCTTCTCGCTTCGGTTGTGCTGAAAACAGTACTAGTTGAGACATCGCTTGTTGTGGGCGGTAGACTGACCGAGCTCGAGCTAGAGGTCTCTGAAAAGTCATAGGTCGTGGTTTGACTTGTGGGCAACTCGGAATTTAATCTAGAACTGACGGTGCTGGTAGTATCTGACATTTGACTAGTGGTGGATGAGCTATAGCTGCTACTTTCGAATCGTTCAATGGAGGTCGTCGAGTCAGAGACACTATCACTTGTAGTTGTTACGAAAGTATTGCTGGAGCTGGTGGCACTAGTCGTGTCTGTGGTAGGTGAAGCACTCGCAGAGGACGATTCAAGTAGTGTAGAGCTGGAAAAGGGCAACTCAACAGGAGTGGTAATGGATAGAATGCTCGTTATCGAAGTGGGAGCAAAAACCAATGTGGAACTTGAGCCTCCACTGGTGGTGTCTCGGGAGCTCGAAGTACTTGTAGTTGAGAAGATGTCCGTCGTTGGTTGAATCCCAGAAGTCGTTGTAGATAATTCCAAAGTCGTGGTAGGGCTGGAGGAAGTTGTCGCGTCTGTAGAAAATGTAGTAGAGTCAAACGTCTGAAACGTGCTACTACTAGATTCCAGATCTGTCGATACAGTAGTACTAGGTAGTTCCGTGGTCATAGATGTGGTGTCCAGTGGAGAGAGAGTCGATGTCGTACTCAAAGTGGAAATTGTGGAGGAGCTGGTCTCTTTGTCCGTGGTGGTATCAAGACTTAGGCTAGATGGGCTGGTTGTTGTGTCAGAATCTACACTTTCCGAAGAGCTTGACGAGACACTGCTATCTGAAGATGTAGAAAATACGGTGCTAAAAGTGGTGCTTAGGCCGCTCAAACTAGTTGAAATTACTAGATTGGATGTTGTCAATGTACTTAGTGCGGTGGTGCTTGAAAATTCAGTAGAACGAGAGGATTCAAGAGAGCTTGAACTTTCAGTAGAGATCGGAGCTCTAGAAGAGGTTGAAGATTCGCTTGTACTTGAAGGCCCGTTGACAGTCGTGGAGACAGTGGTCGTGGAAGATTCAGTGGTCGTGGAAGATTCGGTGGTCGTGGAAGATTCGGTGGTCGTGGAAGATTCAGTGGTCGTGGAAGATTCAGTGGTCGTGGAAGATTCGGTGGTCGTGGAAGATTCAGTGGTCGTGGAAGATTCAGTGGTCGTGGAAGATTCGGTGGTCGTGGAAGATTCAGTGGTCGTGGAAGATTCAGTGGTAGAGGAAGATTCAGAATTAGTGGTGGGAAGAAAATCAGTAGTAGTTGAGGATTCAGTTGTGGTGGAAGATTGACTGATGATCGAGGATTCGAAAGAGCTTGAACTTTCAGCAGAGCTTGTAGAGCTTAAAGATTCGCTTGTGCTCGAAGGTAAGTTATTAGTTGAGGAATCAGTACTTATCGAGGGTTGAGGGGTAGTCGAGATCTCAGTAGTCGTCGTTAAGGATTCGCTAGTTGTCGAAGGTTCGGAGAGGCTGCGAGTGGTTTGCGTACTTGTGGAAAGGCTTACGCTCGAACTCGTGCTCGAGGTCGAAAGAGTGGTAGAGCTTTCGCTATCCTCAGATGTAGTTGTGGAAGACAATATGGTACTCGATAAGCTGTCGGCGTTAGTACTCGAGTCAGTTGTGAGATAGCGGCTCGTAGTTGATGTTAAAGTCGTGTCCGTAGTTGAAGTGATATAGCTACTGGATGTCGTGGATGAGTCATTCTCCGTTGAGGTTGTATAGTAGCTACCAGTAGTTGTGGCAGAGACACTAGTAGAGCTTGAGACCGAAGATAATGACAAAGTGGTAGAGCTAGTTGTCGTGGATCCTTGTTCTGACTGCGAAGTTGACTCTGTCGTGCTTGTGGACTCACTGGTACTTTGAGTCGTGCCTATTGCTGAGAAAGAGGCGGAAGCTTCGCTGCTAGTACTGCTGGAAAATGAAACGCCGGACGTCGTGGTGGGATCATCAATCGATAGAGAGAAGCTTGTGGAAGTCGTTGAGAAGGAGGAGCTTTGAGCAACTGGACTCATCTGCTGGCTTGTACTTGTAGCCTCACTTGTTGTAGCCGATGGCTTTGAGGTGATCATAGAGGTCGCCTCTCCGGTAGAGCTACTCAACGTCGATGACGTTTGCTTCTCTGATGTCGTGGAAAGGCCTGACGCCGTAACTCCCGAGGTAACACTCGAGATGCTGGCAGTCAGACTTGGACGGGTGGTTTCAGATGCTGTTGTGGGCGCATCGAAAGTGCTTGCTAGTGAGTCAATCGACTGTGTACTGAGAGATGAGCTGCTGACAAGCCTTGTAGAAGAAGTAGTCACCGATGGTAGGCTGGTGGTACTCGAAATCTGTGTCGGAAATCTTGTTGCGGTCGAGGTACTATCACTAGTCGAGGACGATTCAGAAGTAGTAAGTGAGACACTCATTGAAGAGGTTGAGCGAGACTCGATGGTGTCAATTAATGCTGATTTGCTCGATGATACAGATGATGTTGGGATGGAGCTTGTCTGCAAGCCCGCTTGTGAGCCTGTTGATATATTAGTGGAAGTAGAGCTTATGGCAGACAGAGTAGTCGCGGAAGGAATCGAAGAGCTTTGCGAGGCAACTGCGGAACTCGTGTCACCTCTAGTATCTTGGGTTGACACTGAGGATGATGTTTGGGTGCTGTAGGTCGACATAATGCTACTAGCAACTGAAGTCGCTTGAGTACTGATGGTGCTTCCCGTAGTGGTACTGATGACTGTCGGGACTTGAGATTGAGTAGATATGAGCTCACTTGTTCTTGACGAAAGTGTACTCGTAGCAGAAAACGATGTGACTGCGGAACGAGGCGTAAGAGTCTGTGTGGTGGAACCAGCGGACTGTGAATTGACGTTACTTGTAGAAGGATTTGTCGATAAGTTCGAGCTCGTTGAGCCCATAATGGAAGTTGAAGCTATAATGGATCCTATATTTACTGAAGTTGAGGGTGAAGATGTACTCTGACTGGAAGAATGGAAACTGACTGTATCCGTCGGCTTAATGCTTGTTGCGTACGTCGAAGTTATGGGCTGGGCTGTTATCGTCGAAAACAACGTTGAAATAATGTTTCCAGTCGTTGTGAAATCTCGAGGTTGGAGTGACCCAGAAGAAGCAATTTCAGTACTCGAGAGCGGTAAGCTACTGACGATGCTTAGAGTGGTCGAACCACTCGGCTTTGAGATAGACGTGGAAGTGCTCGTGAACCCCTGGGTTGTTTCTGATGTCATGTAGATAGTCATTTCTGCAGATATCGTTGGTATCGACTGAGATATGCTCTTTGTGGATGCAGCATTTGAAGAAACTGGGGTCTGAGTCGACCTAGGAGGAGTTGTTGTTGTAGTTTCAGAATTGAGGGAAACGCTCGTTGGTGTTGGAGTGATAGTCAAGGATGCCCTAAATGTTGACATAGAGATCGTGGAACTGGCCCCAATGTTCGAACTCCTTGACGATGGATACATTATGCTAGCATTCGTTGACAAGCTGGCTGACGCGTTGATAGGCCCTTGGCTTGGTGTAGGTGAACTGACTGTTCTTGATGTTGGCACTTGCAATGATGTCCCTGACCGAGATACAACACTCGATGATGTATAAATCTCGGTTGAACTTGCCAACACGGTAGAACTTGGGTGGGGTGAGTTGCTTGATGTATTGATAGATGATGGTAGGACCACAACTTGGCTAGTACTGGTGAACAGATAAGATTGAGTTATCGTGCTTGCTATTACGGTCGAGTGTTTCCGGGGAGTTGGATTACCTTGCGACCAAGATGAGCCGCGAGGATGCTTCGCTGTGGTAGTACTTTTTGAGTATTGGCTTCTTGTCGTTGATATATTGGTATAAGTTTCTGTTTTAATCGAATTCGAGCGAGTCATACCATGTTTGCTGTCCACAAACCAGCAGCTGGAGTTTTTCATCAGGCTGTCTGGCAATGGCCACCCACTCGGGCCAAGGTCAGATACCATAGTTGGTGGTGGTAGTAATGTCTCGTACGAACTGCACATAGTTAGTGAATGAATTCAGGTGAGAAGATCATGCTACTCACGTCGTGGGTGGTAGAGTGAATGAGAAAAGTGTATATGTGATTGTTGTTGTCATGTACATTGTGAGATCGATCACTGTCGCCCCGGAGCAAGATCTTGTGACATGTGCAGTCCATGAAAATGGTGGAACAGAGTATGTGTGCGCAGGAACAAGACTATGTACGGTATGGCGATCCGATAGAACAACAGTTATAGTACTCGTGCGGGCTGTGAGGGTCTTTGCCGGGACGACTTGTGGAAAATTCCACACGTAAATTCCGCGACCAGGAACTTTGATACTCGTCTGCAATGGCACTATCACAGAAGTTGAAAATCTGAGGTCGGAACGGAAGATCCAAACTTCGTGCCATTTCCTGCATTTCCGCCATCGTTTTGAAATCCTACACTCGAAAACTTCGACCTCTTGCTCGCATTTGTGGGATCTTCGGACTTCAGCCGCATGGGATGAGTTGCTCCCACCCCAACCAGGTATCGCGAAAGGCCCGATGTCCTTGAACTCTGCAACCGCTCTTCTCGTCAATATTTCCCTTTCTCCTTTCTGATGTCTGTCGTGACCAAACTTGGGAATCCAGAGATATTTCCAATGCGCCGAGTGAGTTGCAGAGGAGGTTTCGATGAGGGTAGCGAAGTACTCCGAAACAATAATCAATTGATCTGTCCGCGTGACCCGCGTCGACCGACTTGTTGTACCGTTCCATGCACATGGTATGTCTGTCGAGATGTACGCATAGGTCTCGAAGTGATAAGATGTCGAGCACCGCCCCCTGACACAAATAGAGGTTGGTGAGCATGTAGAAACTGCCTGCAGTGGAGTAGTCACAGTAATTGGTTTGGCCCTGAGCCCTCGAGGCGCAGCAGGACAGGGAGACACTATAGTTAGAGGGGTTGATGCAATAACGCATATCGCCAATATCAGCTGGAGACATACATTACCAAGCCATGTCCTAGAAAGCATGGCAAGATCGACCATTCAGCCGAGAAAGTATCTCAATCTCATCTGAATGGGATTCATATAATTGACAATGAGAAAGAAGGCTGTCTGGAGAGTGATGTGGATGTCGCGTATTTTCGACTTCATTGAATACGGGCAGCATGGGATGACTCGCTTCAAACATGGTTGACAGGTAGCAGAATACAAGTGTCGACTACGGGACTTTGGGAGGTCAGAAACATACCGGAATCGCATAGTCTCAGAACTTCCACAGCCACTCGGTCTGCGATTTCTAGAGATCCGTTCGCAGTTTGCGTTGGACCCACAAGATTTTCATGTTGGCTACATCAATGCTATCCTGACACTGATTTCGCAATAACATTCCTTGTGCCGGGCATCACAATGGACAGCTTGAAATGCCCAGTCTGTTTGACCAGGGTGGTGGCGGTGCACAGACATGGAGATCGGATTGCTTGAGTGTCAAGGATGGTGTACAAAAGCAAGCATTCCAATGTCAAGCAGGACATCATTCTGGGATACCCAATTGCAGCCGGCGTAGAAAACATGGGCTCAGGATGATGAGCTCCCGTCAAAGGATAGTCCATGCGAGCCTGATAGACCTTGCTGCTCGATACAGGAACTTCGTTCCGTTGTGGCTGAAGTTATGGCATTTGTCATGAGCACCCTTGCTCGATCAAACGCGTTGACAGATAGTGCATGCTCAGAGGAAACTTGAACGGAAGCAACTTCAACCTGTCCTACCGCTGTTTTGAGATAATCAGTTCGAACTCCCCTCACACCCAATGAGGAGAACATGGCGGTGTATTAGAGCAATGCTGTGTTCAATCATTTGACCCAACATACTGTAGCTTAATGATAGCGGTCGATCAACACTCAGGGCGAACTTGGTTGCAGAACCAGCCGACGTGGAGTTTGGGTTTCAAAACCGAGATTCGGATCGAGCGAAATTCAGCCGACCACGGACGCTAATTTGCTTGGCAGGTCAGGAGTTGAAATCTTAACGATTGATCAGCCTTCACAAAAAACCTTACGCAGGACTTGAAATCTTATTGAAGACACCTATCATTCCTGTGGCACGTCCCATTTACTGCTCTATATGGATACAAGTGCAGTCAATCATCGTTGGCTACTGTAGCGCGGATCATGAAGAGGCCATTCCTTGATGCTAACAACACCCTTCATATGCAACTTGCTGTGACTTTCCAGCCTGGGCCCAGCATCTGAACCTTCTGCGAAGATTGATAATGCTTGTGCATACGAGTAGGTCTGTGGTTTTGTTTTTGTGTCTATAGCATGAA